ATTAGAAATATTATTTTCAAGATCCATAAGATCCACATTAACAATAGTTTAGTTAGAAGATATATTCCAAAAAAAACTTTTTTACGAAAAAACAATAACATTAATATCTAAGACATAATTTCCTTATCATCTCATATTATTCTAGCTAGAATCACATAACCCTTATAAATAAAGTACAAATCATATAATATTCAGACACCATCAGACATCAATATTTCCTAAATAATACTAAAAAGAGATAGAAATAGCCAAAAACGAATAGTTCTAGTATTATCCTATTTAAAAGAAGATTATTATAGATATTTTACATATTATATTTAATAATATTTTTAGTTATTAATAAAATTTATAAAAAATTATAAAAAGAATTATAGTCTTTTCAAAAATTAGAAAATATTAACTTAATATATCTTAATATTCTAGATTAAATTAATATAAATATTTCCTATCATTTTTATTAAATAATATTATCTTTAATTTTCTAGAAATCCATTCAGACTATACTAAATAATATATTATAATCTAGAAAATCTAGAAAATCTAGAAAATTAAAAAATCTAATAATTTAGATTAAGACTAAAGATATTTATATATTAATCTTTATAGTTATTATATTATAATTAATAAAATCTATATTAAATCTTTTAATATATAATAATATATAATAATATATCTTATATATTTTAATATTAAATAATATAAACTAAAGAAATATAATAAAAATTATTATTCAATAAAAAAGATATTAATCTACATAATATATCTTAAATAATAAAACACTTTTTCTGTAAAATATATTAATAATTTTATTATTAAAGATTTTAGAAAGATTTCTAAATTACAAGATCTAGAATATTATAAAACTATAAAATTTATTTATATTATAAAAAATATATTAATAAGAAAAATATATATACTAGTAAAAGCTTCTTTATCTATATTTTCTAATCCTAGCTAAATTTTTATAACTATGTCAAATAATTATATTTTGATATAGATATTTATATTTAGTAATTTATTAAATTTTATAAATCAGGACAATATTAATTTTAATATTTTTTCTATTTTATTCAATAGTTTTATTAATTATTTATCTGTCTATTCTCTAGAATAACTCTCACTTTATATTTATCTTTTATGTATCTTTTATAGATTTAATATTAGTTTTAATAATTATATTTTCTAGTATAGATCTAAATAATATATTATAGAATATTAAAAATATTTATTTATATCTAATAGATTTATTTATTAAGATTAATAAATAGTCTAATATTTAGATTAATATATTATAGATATTCTATGAATTTTAGTCTATACTCTAGAGTTAATAAAGATTTAAATTATTCTTTTTATAATATTTAACTTAATTTTTAGATAAGATATCTATTATATTTTATAAATTAACTACTTCTTAGGTTTTTTTATAAAATCAGATAATATTTATCTATATTTGACTAAATAATTATTTTTATATTAATATTATTATTACAATTTCTTTTTATTTATATTTTTATATATATAGTAAGATTTAATCCTATCTTTTTTTTTCTAATATTTTTAATAATTTTATCTATAATATCATTTATTATAAACTTATTTTTCTTAAGTATCATTACAGTTATAAACTTTAAATATCTTATTATAAGTATAATATAGTATCTTCTTTATATTATTTAATAACATAAAATTATCTTACTTTATTATATCTATCTTAGCTTTTATTTATCTAGACTTATTATAATTATTATAGTTTCTATAATATAGAATATTCTTTTAGAAATATCTATTTTCATTATATTTAAGATATTTTCTCTTTATTTATCTAAATCTATTAGTTCTAGTCTATATAAGTTCTATTTCTAATAATTTAGATTTTATTAAAACCAAATTTATCTATCTATATTATTTTATCCTGGATTTTATCTTTAGTTATCAACTTCTTATTTTTCTATTTATCCATTAAAACATTAATTATCTATTTTAATACTAATATTAATAAGAATTTTTATATTATCTAATATATTTATTTCTATAAATTCATTTTTTATAGAAGATTTCAATCTTGAAATATCAGATAGAATTAATATATAATCTATTTAATCTAGGATAGTTATAGTTTATATCAATTTTATAATATAAACTATAATAAATATTAAATATAAGATTTTTTAATTAATATAAGAAGAATAATATACATTATTATTTATATCCTTAATATATAAATAATATTTATCGAGTTTCTGTTATCTAATTCTAGAAGAGTAGGATATCTCTTTTTTATATAAGATATATTTCTATTAAAATTATTTTATTAATTATTCAAGACATTTAAATAAGATAGTATAGATATTAAATATATAACCAAATAAATAATATCTTAAATCTTCAAATATTTATTTACATAATAAAAAAATAGTTTAATAAGATAAAAAAATGAATAACTTGATATTATTTAATCTCATTTATATAAAAGGCTAAGGCTTGATTCGATTCAATCTAAACGATGCTATATGCTATTTACAACTATGCCCGTAACAACTTAATACTATTTAATAATATATCGTAATATAAATATCTTTAATAAAAATAGATAAATATCTATTATGATATCAAAATATTAAATTCTATTAATTCTTATATCTTAAAATAAATCTAGTAATATCTTATTATTTACTATATTATTCATTATTATATTAAATAACTAATCTTACACTTTTAGTTTAATTAAAACATTAAAAAAACATAACTTCAATTAGTAATAATATATATTTTATAGAATAATTTAGAACTAAATAAGATTTTTTAATAGATCTAATCTGTATTAATAAAACAATTAATAATAATTAGAAAAGATTAAAAAAAGAGATATCTAATAATCAAGAATAATACAAAATTTATTATTAGATAATAATAGTAGAAGAATCTATTATTACTAGTCTTAGATTAGTTCTTTCAATTAATAATAGAGAATATTAATAGATAAAATAGTTAATAATAAATAATCTTATAATTTAGATCATAAAGATTAGATATTTAATAAGATGGAAAGATAATTTATTAATTTTAATAATCTAGAAGTTATTTTTTTAATAATATCATAGAAGTATTTTTAAGAAATTAGACAATATCTTTAATATCTTTAATCTAAAACTATATAATCTTTTTAATTTTCTCTTATTTTAAATTAATATATTCTATTATTTTTAAGATGATAGATATAAAATTTTTATTATATTATCTATATTATTAATAATTCAATCGAATGTCTTTTATAAAGTAGAATATCTTGAAGAAATTTAGTTAGTCTTATTTTTTTATAATATATCTATAATTATTATTTAGTCTATTTAATATATACGTTTTTTTTATTAATTAGATCTAATTTATTTAAAAATTAGAAAGATCAGAGTATGAATATCTAATTTAAAAAAATTTAGAGATTAATAGATTTAAAGATTAATTACTAGATAAAGTTATTAAATAATTAGATAATATTAGAGATACGTTAAATTATCTAAATCCCTGTTATAAATAGAAAAATAGGAAAATTCGAAATGCTGATTTTATAATATTATAAATTAAAAGGATCAAGTTTAAAAGACTTAAAAAGAGATAGTCTTTTTAATATATTAAAAAGTTGTTAGAGAGAATTATAAAATACTTATTTTTAACTTGTTTACTTTTAAAGAAAAAGAGACAAAAAAAATCTAGAATCATAGTAATAATCTAATAAAGACCTATAATAAAATCTAGTAATAATCTAGAAAACATCTATTCCCATTTTAGTTTATTCCGATTTCGATTCTAGAAAATTTCTATCAGTTAGATTTAATATCTTGAGATTAGATAATAAATTTAATTTTCTTAGAAATATCTCTAAAAATTAAGTTAAAGTGTCTTGAATCTAACCTTTCTTTTTATATATATAATATGAGAATCTATGAACTAGAAATCATAAATTTATTTTCTACTAATCAAACCATGTAAAAATTATATTAGAAAAAATATATATATCCTTAATCTATTTTTCTAGATAATTAAGATGTTTAAATAAAAAAATCTATTAAAATAAATATTCCTAATTTTATATCATACTTTATTTTACGAAATTTCTTATATTTTAAAGATGGTATATTATATATACTAAAAGAAGAACCAAAACTACTATAAACATAGTAAAGTCTCTAGATTAGTTAGAAGCTTTATAAATAGTTTTTATATAATTTTATATAAAAATAGGTCGAATTAGGTCCAAACTGGGTCTTACTGGGGCCCTAGTAGCTGGTCCCGGGTTGGGTCTGGGTTGAGCAGCTCTAACCTGGACCTAGGCTGGGTTGGGTTATGGGTTGTAACCTTCGACCCAAATTGGGTTATGCGGAAGCCTAACCCTATCTGTGGAAGTCCCATGGCAAGGTCTAAGACTAATCTTAATTTTAAGTTATTTAATACCAAGAGATCTTTAATACTATTTATATTCATATCAATATATACAGATATTATCTAGCTACCAATACCTATATATAGGTAGGCCTACCTATTACCTGCCAAGAAATAGTGCCACAGATTCCAGCTAGAGGGTATACTATATAAGGTGTACCTGGGCATATCCGTACTTCATGTGCGGATATGGTGTCTTTTAGCTCAGTTGTTAGAACATTAGCCCAGGGATGATCCTTCACAAATAGATAATAGGTGCCCCCTTTAGGGAGACTTGCGGGTTGTAGTGTCACGGATTCCAGCTAGAGGGTGTACTATATGAGGCGTGCCTGGGTATATCCGCGCACGAAGCGCGGATATGGTAGTCTTTTGGCTTAGTTGATCGAATATTAGCCCCAGGGATGTTCCTTCACATGTAGTAAGGCCTTAACTCAGATGAGAGACCGTATATAATAGTATATCACTTTCCTAATAACGACTATGTTATTATACCCCATAGTATATATAAGAATAAAAAAGTAAATATTTGGTCAGATTAACCGCCTAAAGTTAATGAACATCTAATCATCCGGATATTCATCCCGCATATTACTGACAAAGGTCCCCGAAGCAGCATCCCACCTTTTGAAATGCTTACCCGCAACCATGATAAGATCCTGCGGTAAGTCATCCAGCTTAGGGAAAATCAGCTCAATATTTTCCTCTGCCACATATCGCATACTACGGTCTTCGGCCCTAAACAAACGTCAGCTGATCCACAAGATTAGAGACAACAGGGTGGGCAACTTACAGGACATGGTAGAAGCTCTGGTGTCGGCCTGCCTGCAGGCGATCGATCCCCATCCGTCTCATCCATTGCTCGCCTGCATCGCACTCAGAATCCCAGCCTGTGATGATTGCCCGGTAAAAGTAGCGTCGATGCTGGAAGACCTGGCCAACCTTGAATCGAATATGCTTCTTCTCTCCTGATCGTTTTCGCACCTGTTTGGGGATCTCGTCCACCGCACGCATGACATGAAGAGACTCTAAAATGTGCTCATGTTCAAACAGGCCTTGGAAGAGCGGCGCTATGTATTTTTCAACCAAAAAGATATCAGACGGGAACTCCGTCGCAAACAGCTCCATTAGACAAGGCAGCTGGTGTCGCAATTCCATGGCGCGTGTCTCACCAGCAAGGAGCATAATTGACCAAAGGGCAGCGTACTTGGCGCCTAAGACATCCACTGAAGCTGATTGGCCACCCGGGCGAGTAAGTGAGTGGATTGAATTTAAGATGTTCTTGCTGCAGCGTATAACGGTCTCAGACACCTCCAAGGGCCCTAGGAATACATCCTGCTCGGTATCTGGAGTCCCAAGAAAGTTCAGTTGGTCTCTCAGATCGGAGATCGGAGTCTCTCGAGCACCTCGGAAAGGATCAATATACATGGGAGATCCCGGAACCTTTCCTGGTGTGCTTTTGCCATCCATGTCAAGTCCCAATGGCGGACTAATGATAACATGGACATGGAAAGGGAATCCACAGGGGCGCGCATTAAGACCAATCTTCTGAGCGAAATAACAATATATCACTGCCGATATTAGTGGTAGAGAGTTGTGACCAGGGCTCTTAATAGCCAGGCCCAAGAAATTATGCTCCAGGGCGTGGTATTCTAGCCCGCTCTCGATGCCCGTAAAATTCATATCTCGCAGCCAGGACGCCAGTAACAAAGCCGTTTCCCTGGGAGTCCGAGCCTCCGAAGTCCCATGCGAAGCGATAAACTGGGATAAAACCCTATCCAGTGTGTCCTGAACCTGGAATACGTCAGAGAAGTCGACGCAATGGCATCAAAGCCTATACATACCTCATTCAGATCACCAAAGCCACTTTGCAGGATAAATAGATCGAACGCGCCCATAGCGCGCTCGTAGGATACTGGTTCACCGCGTCGAAGTTTGGCCCACTCCGGGATTGCGATGCTTCGGTGAAGGCAAGTCAAAAGCGCCTGGGCATAATATCTGTTGAATTGGACGCATGAGACAACATAGAATATGTAAGGGATTGATAAGAGCCTACCTTCTGGCAAGATGATCCTCTCCAGTAGTGACCTGGCTGTGCCAAAGAAGCGTATCCTTGGCGTCGTATCCTAGGTCAATAACGGCACGAAACTTTTCAATCCGTCCTGTTTGGCAGGCAAGTATCCCATCCAGAAGTCGGCAGACGGATTGGTGAACGCGATGCCTCGCCGTATAAAGTGCTTTCCAGTCAACAAAAGATACTTGACTCGCAAGCTTCTGCACAATATTATGCTTGCTATCCCAAAATCGATAGTGGTGTCTGCAGTAGTGACGCCATAGCAGAGGCTCGCTTGTTACTTGCCCGAACCTGCGGCTTGTTTGCTGTAAAGCAGCAGCATCTGTTGGGAAAGAGAGGATTAAGATCGAGTGGAGGATTTCATCAGGCAGGCATTCCAGAGACTGAAGCATTACTGTACTGTCAAGTGAACGAGCAACCGGCTCTTTCAAAAAAGAGAGGGGAGAGATTCAATATGACTGAGCCTGGACGGGCCAAATGCGGGGTGATCTTGTGTCGGGCCGGCAGTTGATGGTCAAATCTAAATCAACGGAGGAAGAGATGAAATGTGGAGAGATTCGATTGGCAATCAGATTCAGGTAATTCAAGAGTCGACGCCAGCGGACTCGCGTAAAAACCGGTTATGACGGGCAAGAGAGCTTTCCAACGGCACAAGAACACGGGGGCAACGCGCTGCCAAGAGCCCACTTCTTCCGGGTCAAAGTAGCAATTTTATCGCGTCATTTCCCCCCCTCTTGGATCACCACCTCGATGGGCCAATCTCAGTCCACGGGCTCAACTGGCCCCGAGGCTACACCAACCTCGGAGCAGAAAACAGACTACTATGAATTATTGAGTGTCAGTCGAACTGCCACGGATGAGGAGTGGGTTCTACATCCCAGCCAAACAAGAAGACCGCTGACAAAAGATGCAGAATCAAGAAGGCATATCGAAAGAAAGCCCTTGAACTCCATCCGGACCGGAATTATGGAAATGTCGAGGAGGCAACAAGGCTTTTTGCGGAGGTCCAGTCTGCATATGAAGTCCTTGCCGATCCACAGGAGCGCGCATGGTACGACTCTCATAGCGACGCTTTCTTAGGGACTGGCGGAGCTGGAGACGGAGCACAGCATTCTTACAACATCAAATTGACCACCGCCGAAGATGTATTAAAAGTCTTTTCAAAATTCAATCCGCGGATGGAGTTCTCCGATTCCCCAACCGGGTTTTACGGAGGACTTCGGGACCAATTCTCACGATTGGCATTAGAGGAGCGGCTAGCTTGCCAGTGGGAAGGTCAAGATGAAGTGGAATATCCTTCATTTGGCTCTCATGCCGATAACTTCGAGACTGTTGTGCGCCCATTTTATGCTGCGTGGAGTGGTTTTTCTACCAGGAAGTCTTTCGCCTGGCGGGATATCTATCGATATTCGGAAGCGCCGGACCGCCGAGTTCGACGAATGATGGAAAAAGAAAATCGACGCCTTCGGGAAGAGGGCATTCGAGAATTCAATGAGGCGGTCAGGTCCCTGGTTGCCTTTGTCAAGAAACGCGATCCTAGATGGAAGGCCAACGCCCAGAGCGAAGCTCAGCGCCAGGAGGCGCTTCGCAGCTCCGTGGCTGCTCAAGCTGCCCGGTCTCGGGCCATCAATAATGCTAAGATGCGAGAGCATGTTGTTCCAGAATGGGCCCAATCTGAACAGCTACCGAGTGACGAGGAATCATCTGAAGGCGAAATCGAGAGCTTTACGTGTGTGGCATGCAACAAATCTTTCAAAAGCAAGAAGCAACTTGAAGCTCACGAGCGTAGCAAAAAGCATGTGAAGGCTGTCAAAGAACTTTGCCGCAAAATGCGGTTCGAGAACGTGGAATTTGATCTAAATCCGATAGCCGATATTGAGGCTCATGATGCCGCGGCCATGGATGACCATCAAACGCTAGATCAGATGTATTCTAGGGACGGCCATCCCAACATCCAGGATACTAGTGATGACGGCAAAGATCAACAGCAAGAACCTCTTGACCGTGGAAATCCTGCATCAGGAGACAATGGATCATCGGCAAACGTGGAAAGTCCCTCTTCGAATTCTGACGAGGATGACTATGCCCCAAGACACTCAGTTGCGGCAAGACTTTACTCTGATTTGAGCGAAGTGCAGCAGGGCCCGGCGCCTGTCTCGCACTTAGCAGAGGAACTGTCTACCAACACACTCGCTGAGCAGTCCCCGGCCCTAAGATAGGGAAAGCCAAGCAGAAGAGGGCAAAAAAGGCAGCGCGAGGGGGAGCAGTCTACTGAAAATATATGCCGTCACTGCTCTGCCACGTTTGCGTCTCGCACTAAGCTGTTTGCTCACCTTGATCAAGAACATTCGCAATCTACACGTGGGACTAAAAGGAAATCGGAGAAAGGGATTGAATTGAAGACACCTTCGAATCTGGAAGTTATTTTCCTGTCCTCGAGCTTGCAGAGAAGAAAAGAGCTTCTTGGCAGCTTGTCTCTTGTACAGTGATAAACGGGCAAATGTACAACTAAGCATCTACCCCAGACCTGCTCGAGAGTTCTTGACAACATGTGTGACAGGAAGTAGTATGCCCTTATTGTTGGAGGCTCCGAGTGCCGTGCCACTACTCCAACCCATTTTCTCCAGCATCGCTCGTCCTCGATTACCTGCCCCGATTTCGGGAGCAGATGCACCAACAACTTCACCATCGGTGTAGGTGACACCTGCGGTGACACCTCCGCCTGCTCGCTTAGGCTTGGGTGGCTTGGAGGTGCTTGAGGAGCTCCATGACTGAAATAGACGCCGGTTGAGTTTTCTCCCTCCGAACAGATTATCAATCTGACAGATTGTCTTTCGGGTATATTGTGGTGTCCTGGATGTCTTGAGCAGCACGGGGAACCTGTCCATGCCATTGCCGCGTGATTGGGACTTCAAGTTGACTTTATTTGCCAATTCATGAATTGTCTTCCGACGATGCTTGGACATCGGTGGGAGCGAGAGACTGACCATTGTGTTAAAACCCTTCTTGCTTAGAATTATGAGGGTGTCAGATACATACCTGGTTTTTGACGAGAGGAGAAAGGTCCGGATCTCAGACATCAATTCCTCTACGTCCATCCCCTTCGCGTACTTGACTTTGAGGTCAGCGTCATTAGCATCTCTACCCAGTAATCCCTGCGATCGTAGTTCTTCCCGCTCCTTTTTCCTTAACTTTTTCTTTTGTCGGTCCGTTTGCCATGCCCATTGTAGCTGAGCCTCGAGCTCACTGTCCGAGGGGACATAATTTTCTATTATAGGTGCCTTTTTACCCTTGGGCTTTTTCTGCAGACTGGGGCGATTGAAATCCATGATATCAAACCCATAGTAAGGGTCTGATTCGAGGGCATCTGCAAATGCGGTGGCCGATGGGAAGGCACCACTTTTTCTGCCACTTGGCATGATATGACTTATGGCGAGTTCTTCAAGCAGATCGATGTCTTCCTCATCATCGGAGTCTTCTGAGGTCTGCAAATAGTCATCTTCGATCACCGATGATGGGTCGGTGTGGGCCTCCGGTGTGGATTTTGAGGGTCCTGGTGGGTATATAATTAAGCTTCGTGACCGTATGTCTTTTCCATGAATTTGACACTCACGATCTATACAGTCTTGAACTTGACCCCCATTCGGCATGTCTTCTAGACTATGTTTTGGATCAATGATGATTTGGGTCACATCATTTCGGCGACCTATCAGTGTGGATTGCCCGTCCATCCCGTTATTGCCCAGTGGGTGCGACTCAACCTGAATATCCTGCTCCTGTGCTTCATAATCTCGGTCAATATTGGCAATGTAATCTGCCAGTAGGTCTATTTCATCTTCTGAGGACCGACCCTGTCGCTTTCGGTGGTGTGGTATTGCCTTGGTTTGGACTTTAGTAGTATCTTCCAGGTGAACGAGGGGCGCCATCGCCTGGGGTGGCTGGACTGGCTGGATTTTCAGCGACTCCTGAAGCTGCTCTTCATCCGTTTTGATTTGAATTGGCATTCGCATATTCTGCCGTCCGGTGAAGACAACTTCGTCCTCACTTTCGTCATTGTCATCTCCGTCGGTGTTCAATAACTCGCATGACAGGACCGGGTTCGGCAGGCCGGTCGCAACTGCACCATCTCCAGTGGAGTCAATGAAAAACGGATTGTTCTCGGTGTCTGTTCCTAGTTCTAGAGGAACGTTGGTGTTGGTTTCGGGCTCGCCGTGGTGATGTGTCCCTGGCTGACTATTGGTTTCTTCACGGTCGGCATCTTGCGGTTCGGCCTGGTTCAGTTGTCCGGCGCTCACGAATTGGACTGCTTTGTGGCGAAGATTGCTATTGTTCCACCATTTGGCATTTGTGTGTGTCTCAGTGTTACGTGCCTCTTGTTGCATTGTAAACCGATGCGGCGATGGTTCTGTCGGGTGTCAGTCTTGAATGAGAGCTGGGACGGAGAGGGGGAGATACTCGGCATCACGGGGGGCGGCCCTTTGGCTCGTGCCTTCGATTTCCCATGTCGAGCCATGAGAGTTGATAGCTGGGAGTGTGAAGAAGAAAAGATGTGAGGCTTTCCGGGTCCGACCAGGTGGGGGGGCTGCGTGGATCCCGGCTAGGACGATTATGGTAAGCATTGTGGCAACTATTATTATGACCAGCAGCTACTTCTCTTCCCTACGCTCTCTCAGTAGAAAAATAATGAGTTCACACATAGGTTAGACAGAACAGCATTCTTCTAGTAATAAAAAATCAGCATAGATTGCACCCTTGGGCTATCTTTGTCGCGGGGTTTTATCATGCGCGTATCATGATGTATTTATCGTGTCCCCGCAATCACCAGCTGACCAGCCCGCTCTCCTACTTTGCTCTGGCCTGGTGGTCTCGTCTCCTGGGGCTTTGTAATTCCTCCATAATTTTGAATCCTTGTATTTCTCTTCTCCCACTGGATCTTCGATGCCCTTAGCCACCGTCAATTTTGAACCCCTCTTCCGGCTCTACTAGTGCCCCTTTATGCTGATCCTCAGCCCGTCGAGCTAGATATATATGTGCTGCAACCCCTCTATCATCACCCGACTTAACCATATCTCGCACCGCTCCGCACTCCACCGCCGAGTAGAACTGGCCAAGGTGAGCACACCGACATGACAGGCGTGGATCTGGAAAAATGCAAACGTATCGTCCAATATTTCTGGGACCCCGAACCTAGAAATGATGCTCCAGAGCAGCCGATATGGTGTCTCGGCCAACCCTTCCTCCCCCAAGTCCCGCAACAAAACGGCTCAGGTATGCCATTACCAGGACGACGCTTCCCTGAATGGGTCATACCCATATATGAAGGTCCACTACTAATATGAAAACTAGAGAGCGAGGTCAACCAGGGAGTCCCGAGGCCGCTCAACGAACCCAGTGAGGGTTCATGGCCGAACGCTTTCTTGGAAGATTTCGAATCCCGAATATGGATGACATATCGCTCGAACTTCCCACCGATCCCACGAACCAAGAGTGCAGAGGCGAACTCCTCCATGACACTGGGTGTTCGTCTGCGAAGTCAGTTGATGGATCCCCAAGGGTTCACATCTGATACTGGATGGGGCTGTATGATCCGATCAGGACAAAGTCTCCTTGCAAATACATTATCGATACTCAAGCTGGGACGAGGTAATATATCCCATGCACCGTACACGTTATCGCACACGAGTAGAGGAAGACTGACAGCGAAATAGATTGGCGACGGGGAAGCAAGCCTGAAGAAGAAGCAAAGCTACTGAAAATGTTTGCAGATCATCCCGATGCCCAATTCTCGATACATCGATTCGTCCAGTGCGGTGCTTATTCGTGTGGCAAATACCCCGGGGAGTGGTTTGGACCATCGGCGACAGCGAGATGCATCCAGTACGTGTCGACTCAAAACCAGACACGGCCTAGCTAACACCACTCGATAGAATCCTGACTAGCGAGTGCAAGGAAGTGGATTTAAACGTCTACGTAACAAATGATACCTCTGATGTCTACGAAGACCAATTCAGGAGAATTGCATGCAGCAAAAAGGGACAGGTGCAGCCAACGTTGATTCTTCTCGGACTACGACTGGGAATCGATAAAATCACTGCCGTTTATTGGGACGGCCTTCGAACCGCGCTTCAATATCCGCAATCAGTGGGAATAGCAGGGTAAGCCTCCCTTAGCCCTTGTCCCGCCATATTGATAACCAAGATGGAGACCAACTAACCATATGCAATGAAGGGGACGCCCATCTTCATCACACTATTTTGTGGGAGTACAAGATTCACAATTCTTTTTCCTTGACCCTCATCTTACTCGACCAGCGCTTCCTTATCACTCGCCCGACCAAGAATACGCACCAGAAGAACGCGGAACGTACTATACCCGCCGAATACGGCGATTGCATATCAAAGATATGGATCCAAGCATGTTGATTGGGTTTCTGATAAGAGACGAAACGGACTGGGTTGATTGGAAGCAGCGAGTTCGATCCAGTCCAGGAAAACCTATTATTCATATACTGGCCGGAGATGCTCCAGTGCACCAAGGGCTTGGTCGTGAAGGTGCAGTAGACGAGGTGGAAGCATTGGATGACTCGGATGGGTTGGAATAAATTATAGCAACATACCCCAAATAGCTCTGAATACCAGGTCAATCCGCCATTTACCAAACCAGAAACGACTAGGGGACTAGCAATTAAAAATGAAGGAGAAAAAGTAACTGTTTGAATGCGATCAAGCATTTGGAATTTCGCGTTCTAGTCAGGGAGGTTAGAACGTGCAACCAGCCCTAGACCCGAGTTATGTTACACCGCGCGCATCGAGTAGTAACCGTCAGAAAAAAGTCCCATCGGGAAAAAGAAAAATTGATACCATCCCATGACACATTAGAAAACCCGCAAAACACCCATAACCGACCGCCTCAGAACCCATCAAAGATCAGGAGGCAGTAAAATGAAAAAACAAGAGCAATCCCGCAAGAAATCAAAAACCCAAAGCCCGCTTATTTGGCAGACGAGGAGTACTTGGTAACAGCCTTGGTACCCTCGGACACGGCGTGCTTAGCGAGCTCACCGGGAAGGATCAAACGAACGGAGGTCTGGATCTCCCGGGAAGAGATGGTGGACTTCTTGTTGTAGGCAGCCAGCTTGGAGGCCTCAGTGGCGACACGCTCGAAGATATCTGGAGTGAGGTCAGCCAAAGGCCCAGACGGCGCGACTGGCGCGTCTAGAAGACGGCTGGAAACACTTACCGTTGACGAAAGAGTTCAGGATAGACATAGCACGAGTGGAGATACCGGTGTCAGGGTGGACCTGCTTGAGGACTATAGAATGGAAACATTAGCCTTAACGCGTCCGGAATGCGATCTCCAACAAATCGCGTCTCTAAAGATCCGATTTTACTCACCCTTGTAGATGTAAGAGGAGTAGGTCTCCTTGCGGGTCTTGCCGCGCTTCTTCTCTCGCCGGTGGCGGCGGAAGTCTTCTTGCCAGCCTCCTTCTTCTCAGCGGGAGCCTTGCCGGCAACGGGGGCCTTGCCTCCAGTGGAGGGCTTCTTCTCAGCAGCCTTAGGGGGAGCCATTTTGATGAAGTGAAAAGGTTAGAAGGTAAGAGTTGTGAAAGGTGGATGAACGGTTGGCAGAGGAGAGATGGAATGGAGAGGGGAAAATAGGAAGGTCGCGGTGACGGAGGGGAGGGTGGTCTTTATACTCGACCGCCAACGGGACAGTTGATCCTGGGTGTGCAAAGGAGGCAGAATTTCAATACGGTCACAATTATGTATGATCTGTATGATTAGACGGGAGGGGGACGCGTTTGGCGGGCCCCAAGGTGGGGGGGATCACGCGGGTCACGGTTACGAGCGGTATTGCCTGTAACTTACAACACTAGCCCGAATCAGGCATACCAACACGACCGTGATCTGATCCTTGATTGGTTAATCCTCATAAGCGAGTGCGTGATCTGGAGGGATGGTTGATACGGCCTAACGTCACCCTCACCGCGTTCTTATAAAGGCCCTCCGCTACCTCCACGCTGCCCTTCCCCCTGTTCTTGCTTCTTACCATCAACGATTTATCGACCACCCCCATTTCGATCCCGCTTCTTCTTTTTCAAACCAACCCAATAACCCCAAATCTCATTCAAAATGACTGGCGGAAAGTCTGGTGGCAAGGCTAGCGGCAGCAAGAACGCTCAGTCGTAAGTTGAGGTCTTTTTTGTTTTGATTGCGCGGCGTCTTGACACGCAGCCTATCATTATAAACCCATGATGCTAACTTCGGATCCTGCAGCCGTTCCTCCAAGGCCGGCCTGGCCTTCCCTGTCGGTCGTGTGCACCGTCTGCTCCGCAAGGGAAACTACGCGCAGCGTGTTGGTGCCGGTGCCCCCGTCTACCTGGCCGCTGTTCTGGAGTACCTGGCCGCTGAAATCCTCGAGTTGGCCGGTAACGCCGCCCGTGACAACAAGAAAACTCGTATCATTCCCCGTCACCTTCAGCTCGCCATCCGCAACGATGAGGAGCTGAACAAATTCCTGGGTCACGTCACTATTGCCCAGGGTGGTGTTCTTCCCAACATCCACCAGAGTATGTCATCTCCGCTGTGGAATTTTCGAGGAGTTTTACTAATGTTCTTCCCAGACCTTCTCCCCAAGAAGACCCCCAAGGCCGGCAAGGGTGGCAACAGCAGCATTGAGCTGTAAGGTCTTTTTTTCGTGGGGTTTGATTTATTTGTTTTTTCCGGCGTGGGTTGGTTTACATTCACGATAATGGGGTTATGGGACGGGCACGTTAAATGGCTCTTGTTTTTGCTTCTTTTTTTTTTTAGTTTACCTGGTTGTACATTATGCCTGCGGGCATTGATCGACGAGTTCGTGCCTGTTCGAGGGCTCGAAGGGACGCTTTCATGGATAGTTACCTAGTCCTTGGATTTCAATCAAAAGATTCTAGGTCTACCAGAAACCACATCCGCTTTTTAAGTGTTTATCTGACCCTGGTAAATGCGACCTCCACATCTTTGTCATGCTTTTCGCAAGTAATATGTATGCTTCATTGCAGCGGGCCTATCGATCGTAGAGGAAGGATGCGAAATTGAAAAATATCAGTCTTTGAATTTGGTAGTATGCTACATTCATCGGCTCGACAGAATAGACCAATGCTCTTCTCAATACCCTATCACCTCTAATGCTTCCACGTTTCTCCCTTATTAGTGGGCAGCGGGAGGCTCCGCATCTGCAAGAAGTTAGAATTGAAGATCAAGTTCAACGGCAGGGGAGCATACATGGTAGAATAGGAGCAGGCAGATTTCTCTCCCATTTGTTTCCTGATGCAAATATTAGTGATCGCCGTGTGAGATAATCAATGATATCGGCAAACATACCTCCGGGGGCGGTTGGTGGACGGTAGGGATCAGGGTGCTTCCAGTTCTCTAGCAGCCTTTCTGTTTCTTGAAACAGCACCTAATGCGAGTTAGCAGATCGTTCTGGGCATGTCCAAATCACAGACGCGACGGGTAACACAGATCGTACCTGCTGCTGGCGCGGGTCGCGAACATCCTTGTTGGCATCAAAAAGCGAGCGAATGTAGACAGCTTGGCCACGCCAGACACGGCGATCAACAGCCCAATCAAGCGACTGCTTCAACGACCGTCGGTAGAGGGACCTGGCCATTTTGTCAGTGGCCGTGGGTACAAGAGGGGAGGGGAGAACTTTGTACGGCCGTCTCAGTACGTGGGACTTACAGCGCGGGGGCGGACATTGTGGGCCTGTTCGAGTGATCAGGGGAGAGGATTTCCACAGGGGGTGGTTTTGAGCAGCTGGCGAGGCTCTGGAACAATTGACCCTGGACCAGATGATGCAGTTGACCATTCTGAGCTTGTTCATTCGCCCCGGACGGAACCGGGTTGGTTTCTGCCTGCTGATACCGCCCAGTCACCCGGTTCGGCATTGGTGCACTCGTTGGCTTCGGCTACGTAACAGCTTCAGGGCGTGCGCCTTTTTCCTCCGACCTATCCTGTTTGTTATCTGACTTACTCTTCTCTCTTCCTCCCTCCTGCTCAGATCCCCGGAGGAGCTGTTGCGCTCAAATTTACTCCTTTTTTTTCACCAATGCCTGCTCGACTTCCTCTTGCGCGCCTCTCGGGGCAGCGCTTGACGCCTCTGGCCCGATCCACCCGTGGTCTCAGCCAGCTTCGTACCGCTCAAAGCCTTTCCACGCTCAGCAGGTCAAAGACCCCCTCAAAAGCTTCAGGCTTGCTCCACGCCGCATCAGGGTAAGACTTGGTCCCTATCACTTCTCTCTGCGTAATCACTAATAAATGCAGGATCAATGTTGCGCGCAGCCTTGCTCCCTTTGTGGGCTCCCAGATCCGCACCTACGGTAAATGCTGAAAGATGTGATTGCAATATTATGCCCGGTCCTAACAATTCTCGAACTAGCCGACAAGATGGTCCAGGTTCCTCAGATGGCTGAGTCAATCACAGAGGGTACTCTGAAGCAATTCTCAAAGCGTATGGACATTGCCTCAATCATTACCTTGGATGCCTACATAGGTCTAACAATGACGTCTTAAGAGGTCGGTGATTTCGTCGAACGTGATGAAGAAATTGCTACTATCGAGACCGATAAGGTGATCATACCAACCCCTAATATCTTTCCGTTGGCCCGGACTAACTCAGCGTCCTGCATATTAGATTGACGTCTCGGTCAACGCGCCGGAGTCAGGCACCATCAAAGAGTTGCTCGTAAACGAGGAAGACACCGTCACTGTTGGTCAGGATCTTGTCAAGATTGAGCTGGGTGATGCTCCTGCGGGTGGTAAAGAGGAAGCTGCTTCCGAGCAGCCCAAGGAGGCTTCTGCCGAGAAGCCAAAGGAGACACCTGCCGAGAAGCCAAAGGACAGTGCTCCTGGGCCAGAGAAGCCTCAGCCTACCCAGGCTTCGAAAGATGCTGCCCCAGAGAAGCCTAAGGAGGCCCCCAAGGCCAAGTCTCCCAAGTCCCAGGGTGCTGCAGACACAAAGCCCACCCTGGGTAACCGCGATGAGCGCCGGGTATGTTCCCAATAATATCCATGTGACTGTCTTCCACGCGGGGAGGAAAAACTAACGTAGCATGAACGTTAGGTCAAGATGAACCGTATGCGTCTCCGCATTGCCGAGCGTCTAAAGCAGTCCCAGAACACCGCCGCTTCCCTCACTACTTTCAACGAGGTTGACATGTCGTCTCTGATGGAATTCCGCAAGCTCTACAAGGATGATATTCTCAAGAAGACCGGTGTTAAGCTTGGATTTATGAGTGCTTTCTCGCGCGCCTGTGTGCTGGCCATGAAAGAAGTGCCCGCTGTCAACGCCTCTATTGAAGGCCCCAATGGTGGCGATACCATCGTCTACCGCGACTATGTTGATATCAGTGTTGCTGTGGCTACCGAGAAAGGCCTTGTTACGCCTGTCGTTCGCAACACCGAGACTATGGATCTTGTTGGCATCGAGCAGTCCATTGCTGACCTTGGAAAGAAGGTAACTGGCATTGCCTCTTCACGAAACATCTTCATCATCGTTAACCGGAGATTTTCTGCTGTATAGGCCCGCGACAACAAGCTCACCATCGAGGATATGGCCGGCGGTACATTCACCATCAGCAACGTAAGTCCGGATGTCGTTCTTCCAGCCTTCGTTGCATACTAATTGATCTTAGGGTGGTGTCTTCGGCTCTCTCATGGGTACTCCGATCATCAATTTGCCACAGACTGGTTTGTCGATCCCAGCAATCTTTATCTGCGCTGAGTCTAACATCATTTTGTAGCCGTCCTGGGTCTCCACGCTATCAAGGACAAGCCTGTGGCTATCAATGGCAAGGTTGAGATTCGTCCGGTAAGACACCACTACCACCCTGTCGCACTGAACACTCTTTGCTAATTCCTCGGTGCCAGATGATGTTTCTTGCCCTCACCTACGACCACCGTCTTTTGGATGGCCGTGAGGCAGTTACTTTCCTTGTCAAGGTATGCCACTTCATCCTTCCCGTGGACTCCCATCACTAATTCCCGATATAGGTCAAGGAGTACATCGAGGACCCCCAGCGCATGCTGCTTGGCTAAGCTCGAACCTCGTTAGCGCCTTACTAGTGAGTTTTGATGTGTTTTGTGCTTGGAGTAGCCCAGCCCGTCGGCACCCTATGTAGATTATTCAATTTTTAAAATATAACTGTCAAGTTCAATGACAGGCCATAACTCTTTCGCGCACGATTTGTAGCCAATTCGGTGACTAGGTGGGTATCGTTGGAGTTGGTAATGGGAGTCGTCTGACATGTGCAGCTGTGTTCCATTCGAGCTACTTTCGGTGAACGGAGCTATCGCGGCATTACAGCCGCCTATAGCTGGTGCATGGAGTGATTCGCCTGTCTATTGGTAATGGTGTTGGCTATGACATTTGGTTATGATATTTTGGTTATGATATCTTGGCTGTGATATATTGGTAATGATACATAGGTAGTGATGCAAGTGAGTTTCTTTTCACGTTCTCAGGAGTTTCCATCGCGCCGTTGCTCACATGGTAAAGACCCGGTTCAGCAGGTCTTGGGTCTCCGCGCGGGTTAGGTCACCCAACTTGCCTCGTTCGAGCTGAATGAGAATGGGGGCGTCAAGTGTGGCCATCAGGTCATACAGAAACTCTCCTATTATCATCACTGCATGTCTGTCGAGAGGTTGTGGCAAGGATGGGGAGACGGTAGGGGATATCACCGGGGTTCGATGGCTCGCTGACGTACTTCCAGCGTACCTGCGCCCACCTCAAAGACAAACCGGGGTCGTTTGGTACCCATGAGCATAACTTCAGCAGATCTTCGGATGGAGAGACATCATCCCCGTATTGGTATTCCTTCGTGGCCAGGTAGATCCACAGAGCGCCAACGTCGAACCAGCGCTTCTTGGAGACCCTTTCGACTACGGTAGCGCAGAGTTCCAGGAACTCAAGACCCAGCGCGGGGAGGGCTTTACGGTCTGGTGCCTCTGTGTGTGTGTGTTTTCGAAGCCCGTCGGCTACCGCTAGGATCCTTGTCTTGATTTGAACGTCTTCGGTCAGCAATCCGCCTTCTGGGTCTGGAAATTGTGAACGTTGGAAACCTGAGAACAGAGGGAAGGCATGTTAGCGATGGATCCTTGGGTCTTCTCTTCCTTGGGTAGCGCCTGGCGTACCTTGCACTGGTCGGACGGCCCAGTCTAATTCTTCACTCGTTTCGGTGCCTTGGTCGAGAATAAAAGTAAGGATCTTTTCGATTGCAATGCAGGTGAGGTAATCCAGGATCAGAGTATCGACTTCAACCTGTGTTTCGGAATGTGCCTCCGTCGGCGCGGCAGGCGCGTCGATTTTAGGCTTTTCTGGATCCGATGACATTGTGGCCTTTGTTAAGCACCACTCGTCATACGTTTGGTTGCAGATGAGGCTGTGAGGCGAGGAGCCTCGGGGGAAAGGGGGAAAGGACGATCCACAGATTTGGTTGTGGAGGAGAAAGTTGGTGAGGTGAAGGTGAATGGATCCCACCCCGCGTCATTTATAGATACGCGACGGGTTTCACTGGCCGCGTCCTACTGGTACTACCTCTTCCAGGGTTTTGGTGCTCGTTAGTTAGCAGAAATCGGTCTCGGGGTCTAGATATCTCCTCGGATGCTTTATGTATTTCCGGAAACAATCTCAGGTAGTAGGCTGTGTGCTCTTCCTACCGGTGATTCTCCGTAACATATATATTCACGGATGAATCCCCAACCTGGGATGACTGACGAGGCTTCACTTGTAGAACCTGGCCCCCCCCCCCACCACCTACCCCCCTCCGCAGAATAATCACAACATAATCCAAGAATACACCATCAGCAGCATAGCAGCCCTGATAAGGTTGAAGTAAACAGAGACGTCACGTGGGGATATGAATCAAGATGGCGTCACGCTCAAATCCAGCGTACCCGCTGTGTTTCCTCTAGATGTTTGCTTGTCCGAGACAACAGAACCGATCAACTCTAGCACACATTCGACGACTCGGGACTCTAACCATGGCGTGGTATTGCTCAGGGTCGACCAACACTGAATTGGTTGAGAATCTATTCAAGGCTGGATTGGTCAAGAATGACCGAGTCAAAGAAGCTATGCTCGGAGTGAGTAGTAGATCTTCCAATTCCTCCCCATACTAGCCGGACATGGAGGCAGCTCTGGAAGAACCGGACTCCCCTGACACAGAGTGGCCAGGTTGATAGAGCCCACTATGCCCCCCTCGCGTCCCTATTCAGATTCACCACAGCCCATCGGACACGGAGCCACCATTTCTGCACCCCACATGCATGGCCATGCGTGCGAGTATCTCATCGATTATCTCCAACCGGGGGCTCGTGTCCTCGACATAGGGTCGGGCTCAGGCTACCTTACTCATGTCATAGCCAATCTCGTAGCAAACCCATCGAACGAGGGACTCGTGATTGGAGTGGATCATATCCCCGCCCTTGTGGAGCTCTCCCGGAACAACATGAACAAGTCCCCGAAGGCCGTCGGCTGCAAGACTCGGGCAAGTCAAGTTTATTGCTGCAGATGGTCGATTAGGATGGAAAGAAGGGGCCCCCTTCGACGCCATCCACGTCGGAGCAGCTGCCGAGAAGCTTCACCCGGTGCTAGTCGAGCAACTACGTGCCCGGGGAGACTCTTCATTCCGGTGGAATCCGAGGAACATGACACTGCCAGCCTGGGCAGCGGCCAATGGATCTGGATTGTCGACAAAAAGGCCGATGGATCGGTTCACAAAGAGAAGGTCTTCCAGGTCAGCTATGTGCCCTTGACAGATGCCCCGAGATCGTGAATGAAGCATGTCACCATGTCGAGACCGCTCTAGGAAAAAGCAGCATGCATTTACGAGACAATGATCGACAAGATACAGACAACAGGGTCCTAATAAAAGCTACGCCTACATTGATGTCTGGAACTAAATCCCGTGGCTATCGGGATGGTTCAGGCCACAGTTAATGATTCCAATGTGATGACAATGCTTGCCTAAGAATGCCCTCGCCACGAGAGCGTAGCGTAATACTCCCCAAAACACCGCGCGATATGTGCGAGAAAGATACATGAGACCCGAATATCGAAAAGATTGGGAGTTACCTGAATGGAAAGCCACCAGGGAACCCCTGACCGGAAAACTTGAAATGAGAGCCGCCGCCCTGCTGGAAGAAGAATTGTTGGTTACCGCCGTGGCCAAACGGGCTTCCCTGCTGGAAGGGGTTTCCCCGCTGTGATTCGGGGTCATTGGGATCGTCGCCACTATCGTACCGAGTACGCAGTTCTGGGTCCGACAGGACCTCGTAGGCTTCGTTGATGACGCCATCTTTTCTCTGCTGCCTCCTTCGAGATTCCTTGGGTTGCAGCCTTATCGGGGTGGTACTGCTTTGTCAATTGACGGTAAGCCTTTTTAATGGTCCGGTCATCTGCGTCGCGACTAACGCCCAGGACCTTGTAATAGTCCTTCTGTTTGGAGCGTTTCAAAAGAGCCTGGGCCTTTTGAAGAAGCTTTTGGACCTCTTCGGAGTGACCGTGGTGTTCTTTCGCGGTACTGAGGGTGCGAATGGCGTCCTCGAACCGGTCTTCGTTTAATTCAGTCTGAGCCTCGTAAAGAAGGCCATGCAGGGACGACGGAATCAACTGCAGCGCCTCGGAGCAGTACGGTCCTGCTTTCTTCACCATATTCATCTAGGAACTCAGGTCAGCAAAAGGACATCCAATGAAGTAAATTGAAGGAGTACACGAACCTTTCGGTAAGCTTCACACGTCTTCTCGACCAGAGAGGCATATAGATTGCTCGGAGCTGCAGGATGAATGTGACCGGCATCCCTTGCCTCTTTAGTGTCGGCTTTGATATCCTCGATCAAGCCCGTGTCCTCGCCGCTACCGACCAGTAGCTTGACCGCATTGCTAAACTTTTGCGATTCAAATGCGCTGTGCATCTTTGCCAAAAGCTTGGATAGTTTCCTCTCTCGTCGGTAGAGAGCGTCGCAGGGTTTTGAATCTGGATCGGTGTGTAGACATTTCCGGATTTGAGCCAAGCCACGATCGCTATCCCCAAGTGCGTAGAATAGCATCGAAGACATTTGTAAATGCGGCTCCACTCAGGTGCGGTGAGATCTGGAGAACATGCGCCAGGTCACTAACGCCCTCCTCGATCTCCCCCTCATAAATCGACAATGCGATCGCGTGTTCCGAAGGGACAAGTCGGTATTCGCCTTCATGATGGCCACTCCTGCCTGTGTGACACATGTTTCCCAATCGCCTTTCTTTTCGGCGGCTACAGCTAGGCCAGCTGCGTCTCGCGCGTCTTCCACCTCCTTATATTCAGGCGAGGCCTTTTTCCCCGCATGCTCAAGATCTTCAAGTGCAGCCTTCCAATGCGCAGACCGGGCGTGGAGGCGGGATCGCTGAAGAAGCGCGCCCTCGAAGCCAGGCTTTAGTTCTAAAACGCGATTGAAGTCCTCCGAGGCCTGTAAGTTCTTACCTATCGACAGATAGGCCGCCCCCTCTGGAAAATGGTAATATAATTGGTCGGATCTCGAGTGACGGCCGCATCGAAGTATACCAGAGCGTCGCGTGGCGAGCCCTTTGCGAGGTGGGCCTTGGCCGAGGAGATCAGCTCGGAAAGAGGCGTATCAGGCGGAATCTGGGAGGCGTAGCCAGTGGCTAGGCAGGCCAGAACGATCGTTAAGGGCTCAAGGGAAAGTCGCATACTGTCAATGCAGCTAAATGGACATGCTCGAAGTTTGGAAGAGAGAGGAAGGAGGCCACGTTCAATGGAAGCGCATATCGTCGTGGCCTTTACGCGTATTGTACGACATAAATTACCCGCAAACTACTGAATCCGTAACGTCTTTTTCACCTCTCAATCCTCGCTCTTCTTCCCCCCCCAGCATGCTACGATGGCGTCAATTCTTACGGCCCTTACATTTGGGACATCGTCTTCCTTTTAGAGCACTGCATACTGGTACTAGCATCCCCACCCACAGACCCCCAAGCATCACTTCGGTCCTAGGGAACTAAAACCTATCCAGCGCAAGACGCCGGCCTCTCCCCCGTTTTACTCACTCGAGCCCGATTACTTGCTGCTGAACACACGCGGCTGACGGATAAGCTGTCGGATTCATTTGATACGAAAGTCGCTAAGCGAGCTGGAGAGCTTGCATCTGTCACGGCAGCTTTGCGAAAGTGGGAAAATGCCAATGAGGTCGGTGCCTACTCGGCGGTTCTGCTCAGGGTCGGTTGGCCAATGGCTAAATTTAATGCGCGCAGGCCCTTCAAGAATTGAAGTCTCTTTTACACGATGACGAGACCGACGAGGAGTTACGGGCTCTCGCAATGGAGGATCTAGACTCCACCAGAGAGTCTCTGCCCGCGATCGCCGACCAGTTGAAAAAGTCGTTGATCCCCCGTCACCCTTTCGCGGACCTTCCATGTTTGCTTGAAATACGGCCCGGAGCAGGAGGTGACGAGGCTGGTCTGTTTGCGTTTGAGCTGTTACGCATGTACATATCATTCTGCTCCAGAAGGGGGTTGCGGCCGATCATACTAAAGCAAGACACGGAGGACGGGCAAGCAGAAGATCGACTGACCGAGGCGGTAATTGAAATTGAAGCCAATGGCTCCTACGATATTATGCGAACCGAATCTGGGGTCCATCGCGTGCAGAGGGTCCCGGCCACCGAAACGAAAGGCCGCACCCACACCAGCGCCGTAAGCGTGATGGTCTTGCCAGTTTCCCCGATAACGGCAACGAGATGGACAGCGCTTTGAATTTTGAAGACCCGACTAGTGACTACTATATCGATCCGCAGGAGGTGAGGGTAAAAAAAATGCGAGCGGGAGGAGCGGGTGGACAACATGTGAATAAAACCGAGTCTGCTATCCGATTGACACATATACCCACTGGCACCGTGGTGTCCATGCAAGACGAAAGGTCTCAGCAGGCAAACCGGCGAAAGGCATGGCAGGTATTGCGAGCGAAAATAGCTGAAGCTCGCCAGGAAGCTCGGGAGCAAGAACTAGTTGAGCTCCGTCGAGGTGCCTTGGGGGGGAGTGGCCCGGATGGGCCGAGGCGATAAAATTCGAACATACAACTTCGGTCAAAGCCGATGCACAGATCATCGATGTGGGACGACGATTCACAACCTGGATGGGGTTTTGGACGGCGGCGACGGCTTAGAGACGGTCATGGAAAACGTTCGGAGCTGGATGGTTGACCGAGAGGTCGAAGCCATGGTAGCTGAAGACTTGGCCAAAGCAAACTTGGAGAAGACGAAGAAGAACGGAGAAAAGATAGTAACCGGTCTTCTTCCTTGATTGAATTTGTATACTAGGAACCATGATACCATGTACTTTTACTGCTGCACATTATTTATCTCATTCTTGGAGAGGATTCTATCTTCTATTGCACTTTGCACCCTGTCGGCCTTAAAGATACTTTCGCTTGGGGTCCATGGAATCCAACAGTTCCATGGATTTTTCGTACCTGCATGTGAGCCGCAATCATTGGTATGGCAGACAGATAGCAAAAAGGAAAGGAGGAGCAACATACATGGTGAACACAATTCCTCCACTGAGGATGAGTCGAGCCAACCGGGGCATGGCTCCAGACCACAGAGTGAGCATACCCTCATTCTTAAGAATGCTGGCAGCGCAGGCGAGACTGTTTTTATAATGCTTGCTGGCTTCAATTGACTGCATTCGAGTCTTGACAGTGTCCAGAGGTTGGGTCACGTAGCTAGCAGGGGTCAGCTGTAATTCACGAAGCATCGGATCAACGTAGCAGAAACATACACTGTGATAATTCCAGCCATTCCTCCAATGGCGAAGGTAGCAAGTGTCCCAAGCTTTTCTCCTGGAGCCGTATACCCTTCGGCGAACTGTTTCAGGGTCGTATACGCAGTGAACCTGGTTGCGGAATTGGCTGCCTGTCGTGCGGTGGTTGGCACGAAGCCCTGGAAGAAGCCCCGGACGCCTCGTTCTTGCCAAATAATCTTGCTTCCGTGGAGGAATCCACGCATCCGGGGGGTTGCTGACTTTCGATCATCGATCCTGGATCCCAGCAGCGTCAGCCTTCTTCCTGCGTTGTGAGCAGTGGGACCCCACGACTCACAATTGAGTTTTGATGCTTTCGAAGGGAGTAACGGCTAAAAGGGATTCCATGAAGCCTGCTCCAAAACCTGCGACAACCGTTCTGGGTCCCGATATCTTGCCATTTTCATCCTGTAGGGCTGCCTTGATAGCATCGAACGCAACAAAGCCTGCCGAGTGAAATGCATGAGTTACTGGACAAAGAGTAAGCTTGAGAAGCACAGTAGACGTACGGATTCCGGCCTTTAGGGAATTTCCAATAATGAGCGTTGTGCATCCGGCGTACCACTGTGGGCCGAACGGTGGCCAAGGGAGTTTCTGTCCCTCGGCGAGTCGACGATTAAGCTGCGTCCGGGTTTTGGCGACTATAGGTCAATTAGCGGTAGCTTATAACCTACACAGCCGAGAAGCCCTACATTCTGCGGGGTATGTGATTGCTGGAATATTCATTAGTACTGCAGTTGAAGCATTTGGCATTTGAGGGGGGGCAGATTCTCATACCGATCTCCACGGCTCCGGCAGTGGAGCCGGCAAGGATGGAGCGCAAAGCACTGGGCTAGTGAGTTTTAGGGGGTTAATAGCTTATCTCAGAACTGAGGAAATGGGCATTTGCCAACCTTGGCCTTTTGGTCCTTGCTTGCTGTAGCCATTGTTCGCGATGGGGGAGTAAAAAGATTATCGGACCTCGGGAGTAAGCTGCTGTAGATCACGACCATCACGTGCCCGCGATTATCGCGATAATGTCGAGTTGGGCCATCGGGGAAATCATCTGCGTCTGGTTCTGACCTGGGCCTGACGATTGCTCTGCTGTCTATTGAGCCATGCCAGCCTATGTAGAATAGGCGCTCTTACACAAAGACAACTGTATAATAGGAATTTCTTTTGGAGGGACTCTTTGATTTCACTAAATGCTACCGAGGTACCTGGCACTAAGTGCTCCTCCAAAATTGATTTTTGGTATTTTTGTCTTTTTTGTTGGGGTGGAAGGGGATCAGTGTGGGGGTATTCACCGAGCTGACATCCGAATATGCTGTTGTGATAAGAGTGGTGGTTTTCGAAACCGATGCGTGCGAGTGAGTAGAAGGAATGGGAAGACACGAGCACACTGAGGGAAGATGCGGTTGTAGGAGAGATGGTACTCGGGAGGCGCAAGGAGGCGTATCGGGTTTGGAAGTTTGAAGGTAGAGAGATGATCGAGTAGCTCTTGAACAGACAGGTAAGAAGAACCAAACCAGGAAAAAGCCAGCCAAGCGAGCCGCTGCTGACTCCTAAACGCCCATGTCATACCGGAAAAAGAATCATTAAAAACGCCGACTCTGCACCTTTGGGATGACAAAAAGAGACAAGACTGCGGCAGAAAAAGCGTATGTACACCATCGCCGCAGGAAGGCCGGGGCAATAAGAACAGCCCCGAAACCAGAAATGCACCTCAAGACCAAAACCCCAGCTCAACATATAGCACCCAATTCAGAGACCAGCGGGCAATTTGCAAAGAACACGAGGGAGGGGGGGAGAAGGGAATTATGATACAGATGTTGCACCAATGCCTGGGTCCCTGTGGAAGATAGACGGGTCGGCAGTAGCGGAGAGCTTCATCCGTACGGAAAGGACGAAGAGGCCGCTTAGTGGAGAGGGACGTAGAAAGCAGAACAGACAAGCGCAACGAAAGAAGACGCAAATATCAAGGCAGGGAGAAAGGGGAAAAAGAATAGGGGGGGGGGAAATTCAACAGCACATTCAAACACATCATAGAGTTGTATCAAGCCGGTCATTTCAAAGAGAAAAAGCAGAATGACATAGAATGGCACTGCTCGGGTGAAAAGAAACTCAGGGTCCTGGTCGTCTCATGCGACAGGCGCAGGAGGCTTGGTCCCCACTTGCCCGGGAGGGAATCCTACTCGGTTGGGATCGTTCTGTGGAGGCCGTCGAGGGCCTTGTCCTCGTCCCCCACGATAAGAGCCTCGGCCTCGATTGTTATTGTTGTAGTACTGGCCATTCTGATGATTCTGGCGACGAGGTTGGCGCTCGCCGTTTCCGGGCTGGGAACCGGGAGGCGCTTGCGGCTGAGGTGGACCAGAAATAGGACGGGGGATGTTCTCAGGGGAATCGTAGACATAGAGTTTCTTGTCAATGTTCTGCGGAATCGGCTGAATCTCAGTGCCTAGTTCTTGCTCAATCTTGTAAAGGTTGAAACGATCTTCCCAATTGATGAGATTTATGGCAAGACCTAAGTGCCCAAACCGGCCAGAGCGGCCAATTCGATGCAGATAAGTCTCTGCGTTCTTGGGGAAGTCGAAGTTGATGACCACATTGACCGCCTGAATATCGATACCACGAGTGAGGAGATCTGAACAAACCAGGTTGCGACAAACACCGTTACGGAAATCGTGAAAGACTCGGTTACGGTGCTGTTGAAGCATGCGTGCATGCGAGTAGAAGCAAGAGTAGCCGAGTTCCGTGATTTTCTTGGCTAAAAGTTCCACACGATTGGTGGAGTTGCAGAAGATGATTGATTGGTTGATTTGGAGTTTCGAAAACAAAGTGTTCAGGCAGTGAACCTTTTGCTTCTCCTCCACAAAGGCATAGTACTGTGTGATACCGCGAAGGGTAAGTTCGTCCATGAGATTGATTTCGTAAGGATTGCGCATGTGTTTGTCTTTGAACGACTTGACAATAAGCGGGAATGTAGCGCTGAACAGCATGACCTGGCGATCCTTGGGTGGAATGACATGAGCTGCTCGATGACGGGGGTGAACTCAGGGGACAGCAGCTTGTCAGCTTCATCCATAACGAAGGTAGGGCATTCAGAAAGATCGGCAACACCCTTGCTAGCCAGATCTAGAACTCGCCCGGGAGTACCGACCAGGATATGAACGGCGTCATTTAATCGAATGATGTCGTCCATCAATCCGGTTCCACCCGTGGTGACCATGACATTGATCCCTAGGTGCTTACCCAAAGTTTTACAGACCTGCGAGGTCTGTAAAGCTAGCTCTCGTGTCGGAACTAGAATCAAAGCCTGTGTCTTGGTGCTTTTGGGGTTGATACGTTCGAGGGTAGGAATAACAAAGGCAGCCGTCTTGCCAGTACCGTTCTTTGCTCGAGCCAGAATGTCACGGCCTGTGAGAGCGACGGGGATGGTCTCTTCCTGAATGGGTGAGGGTTTTTCGAATCCAGCCTCAAAGATTCCCATCATCAATTCGCGCTTGATGTAAAAGTCCTCGAACTCCAGGCCTTTGGTGGCGGTGACATCCTAGAGATAAAAATAAGTGGGGTTCCAAAAATGAGTAAACATGCTTGACAAACCTCTGTTTGTGGCCGGGCATCCTTAGGAGGTAGCTTTAGCGAATCTTGCAATTTTGGTTCTGGAGTTGTTCCATCCCTATCAATCACATTAGATAACTGACATGAAAGGTCACGCTTACAAGGGGTAGATTTTACCCGAGTGAAGTGTTCTGAAGTTGAGAGGCAAGAGCGTCGGCCATTGTAGATAATGCTCTGTTCTGTTGCGATACAAAAGGGTAGAAGTGGAGGCGAGTGCCGTAAACAGGTTGGACTTGGGAGGCCAACTAACGGCAAATCGCACGCGGTCGAGATGCTTAATGTTGTGGAAGGTGATTGAGGAGGATTCAAGGCGAAAGAAAAGGACCTCGAGCCACGTCGTAAAATACCAAAGTTCGTTTGGGAGGTGTTTTGAGAGTCGACGTGCGTTCTGGCGGGGGTTGTGGCCTCTCGGTAGATCAAAAGAGTTTCAATGAGAAGAACGAAAAAGTGCGGACGTTCCGTTGAGAAGTACTGGGAAAATGTGAGACCTAGATCACACCGTCAAGACGTGGGAGGTATGTAGCGGATCGAAGAGATGAAGGCTTGAGGGGTAGGAGGTTCAATCAGGTGAAGTGATTCAGGACCGCAAGAGGTCACAGTTTGAGTGGGAAACCATCCACCACCAGACCCGCATCACGTGATGGGAGGTATACAGTTGAATGCGTGGGCGCAGTTGGTCTCCCAATTGCTTGGCTAGACAAAACCTTCAGATTTCCTTATCTTGCTTAGAAGACTACCTTCCATGCATGGAAAAATGACTTATGAAGCTACTAGATACTCCGTTGAATAAAAGACGACCAGGCTGGTATCCAACTCGAAGTTTGATCACGAAAATTTGAACTGTGGATTTTAGACACTAGTATGTGATTAGATTCTTGTGATTCAATACGTATCTTCAGAGGCGGAGGAAAAGGAACGCGCATCTGGCAGGAGCCCAAGGGTTTTGACTAGAAGGGCGATGGCCAAATAAGGCACCCACCGTTGCAATATCAAGCTCTCATGAGGAGGAATCAAAGCTTCCGTATACTAGGAGATATCACTCATCGCTGGAGGAGAAGGGAGGCATAAGGATTCTCGTACGAACGCGAAGGCAGTGTGAACATGGGGTATCAGCAATAAAAGAGCAAAATCTAGGATTAAGAGATCACATTCATCCCCGTTGGAAGGGCAACGTTGTCTGACCGCGCTCAGGGTCAGAGAGTTCCTTGACATGAACGTCCGGCCCGATTTTGATGTCAGATCGGGTTCCGGGAGTGATGAGAATGAATTGTCGCCTAATGGATCGACGTGCAGCAAGCAACTGTCGAAAGGGTCAATGATTTTGCGTAGCAGAGCAGCTGGGATAAGGGATTACATACTAGCATCTCGATGGACATCTTTCGGTTGATATGGTCCATGTACACATCACTATGGTGTCCGAGTTAGCATGATAGACACCAAGGCTTGGAGAAGACCGTAATACATACAATTCATCCAGGCAGCGGATTGGCGAGCCCATAGCTTCCCAGAGAGCGAGCAACAGACAGACTTGTGAGAAGGATTTTTCACCACCCGAAAGGGTCGTGGTATTCCGACCAGTGCCATCGTGCTTCGTGATGTCGGGCTCGACCTAAGTCTACGTTAGTGTCGAGACGTTTGCTGATCGTTTGAGATATAACCAACCTGAAGATCTAGCCTTCTATTGGTGTGGTCCAGAAGGAGATAGCCCCGGAAGCTTCTTTCGCTCAGGAGATATGTGAACTGCGCCTTGGCTCTCGAGGAAATATGCGCTCGGAAGATTTCCCATCTCCTTTTGCGGTTTTGGAGGGTTTGTTTGAAATACTTGCACATTGTTAGCATAGAACCTCCGTCTAGAGCTAGTTAGGACTCACGTCAACGAGATGGCCTGTTTCCTCTATCTGCGCCACGGCCTGCTGGTATATCGTTTCGGTACGTGCTGCCTCGGCTGCGATCTCTTCCCTGGAAGCCCCAAGTCTGAACCCTGATTAGCGATGAAGATATATTCAGAGTGCATCAAACTTACTGCGCATTGTAGTTATTCAGGTCACGCTGCAACCTTTCGAGTTTGGTGTCCAGGCTGGTTGGTGTCTCGCCCTCATCAATCGGGACCCGTCGGGTGGAAACCAACTCTGCCTTAGTGGTGAACTCTTGAACTCGTTCAGTAGATTTTTGCCATTTTTCTTGGAGCCTTCTAACTTCAGCCTGCCGTTGTTGTATCATTGCGATAGCTGAGTTTTTCTCGGTGATGATTTCATGCTTCCTGGCGTCCACGCGCGACCGCTCGCTTTCGGCGACACGAGCATTTTGTTCCAGCTCTGTGATTTTTTGATCCTGTGCCCCAAGCCCACGCCTAAGAAGTTTGAGTTCCTGAATTATCTCTGCTTTGGCGGCTTGACAGTCGTTGAGGGACCCTCTGTGAGTTTCTATTTCCCCTTCCGTATTGGCCAGAAGATTCTGGAGCATATCGATTTGCGATGCCTCATTGCCATTTTCAAGGGCTTCACGAAGCCTTTCCCTCTCATCCTCCTTCTGTTGCATTTCGAGTTTTAGTTCGCGTTCTCTTCCATCGTGCGCAGCAATTTCTCTTTTACAGGCTTCGACCCGAGAGCGAGCAGTTTCGAGGTCCTGTTTGAGTTCTTTGAGGTGGCCTTTGAGGTCTTGAACAACTTCTTCTTGGCTTCTATGTGGTAGGAATAATGTTATCTAATGCTTCGTTGTTCGTTTGCCGACTGGGACCAGATGCTTACCTGATTTGGGAGGCAGCGTCAGACTTTACTCGCGGATGCCCTTTTTGAATGGGCACTGGTCCTTGACTAGGGTCGCCAGATTTGTTGTAAGTGAGCATGACACCTCGACGTCTGTCTTTAGCATCGATGCAAAAACACCGTTTGACATTTCGCAACCTTGGACCATCGTAGAGCACTGAAAATGCCTCATCCAAGTTCTCAATTAAAAGGGTTTGGTCAATAGAGTTTTGAATGACGAGTAGCCGTTGGACCTCTGGATTATCAAACTATTTAGGAGAAGGATTAATCACAGTTACTGGTTAGCCACTCAGGTGCTCGAGTTACCTGTAGAATCCTCAGTGTAGTGGCATATCGAGTATCGGGTTCATTTGAAGAGGTATCGATTTCACCACCGCGTCCAATGAAGATTGGACAGACACTGAGAAATGTTAGCGATCTCAAGAAGGCATTGAGCTACAAATTACTGACCAGTCCACGCGATGCATGATATTCAGTAAGATCCCTTGATCTCGTTTTGAATCAACAATGAAGCCACTCAGATTGTTTCCCACAGAGTGTTCAACAATGCATGCCCATTTCGCTTCTAACAAGGTGATATAATGGCCAACAGGACCAATGGGGGGGGCTTTGTGAATCTGGTCTCTTGTTGGATGGCTTGGAGTAAACTAGGCATCTTTGCAGGAAAGCCAGTTTGTCTCGAGCCGTTTTCTCGTCTGAGAGAATGAAGGCGGTCTTCTGCCTGCTTAACTTCCATTTCCTTCTCGTCGACTTGCCTTTTAGCGGCCGCCTCTTCGTTTAGAGCTTGTTGACGATCCTCAACCAGCCGGGCCTTGCCTGTGCGATATTCATCCCAGACTCGACGGGCATCATCCGCAGACTGCTTTGCTTCTTCGTACTCTGTCTGTTTTCGAGCATGGCTCCCATTGCTCATTTCAGCAAGTCGTTGATTTTCGGCATCGATGGCCTGCTGGTGTTTGTCCCTTTGTTGCTCAGCATTTTCGAGGGCTTTTCTGATCTCGCGTTCTTGAGCCTGATATTATCATTAGTGGGACTGCACACCGGTTGACTAGCTATCAATTCGCTAGCGCGATCAATGTAAATACCAGAAGGTTTCCATGCTCTTTCTGCTTTAGCTCGCTCTGCTGCTTCTGTTCTTCCTTATCGCCTCGCGCTTCTTCAACGATACGGTCAGCTTGCAACGCATGCTCTGCTGCTGTCTCAGATTCGTGCTCAATATGCTCCAGTCGAGTATCGAAGCTGCTGAGCGCAGATTCTGCCCTAGCGACCTCGTTGTTTCCTTTGATCACTTCCTGGGCAATGGATTCCCTTATCTATATCAATTAGTTTTCCTTTTCGAAACTTTTCATCAATTCCGGTTCATGGGAACATGACTGACTCGTTCTTGTTCTTCCACCTGAGCCCAAGCCATCTGGTGTCGGAGATTGCGCACACGTTCTCTCAGCGAATTGTGCTTATCAGAGGCTTCCAGCTTCTTTCTAGCAAAGTTTCTTTGATGCTCTAGGATCCGAATGTCTTGGGCTTGACTTCGAGACTTTTCTTCCATTTGATCGACAAAATCCTCAATCACACGGTAATCCTGGTCTAGTTGCTCTAGCTGCACTCCTTTCACAAAAAACTTGTACTTCTCCAGTGGGCTAGATGAACTCAGGAACTGACGTGCCATGTCTTGAGAAAGCACGTTCATGGGGTTGTCGATCTGCAGAGAGAAGTAGTCTGTAATAGCATCCAGGTCTGCCTTTTTGGTAGAGATGATGCGGCCATTTTCAGACTTGATTTTGAATCCGCTGCTCCCACTCTTCGTGAAGTGACGCTCAATGATGATGGATTTGCCAAATTCGGCCGGCATGTACGCTGCCTCTCCTTGGTTTTTGATTCGAACAACGATCGTAGAGCTCTCTTTGCCTTGTTTGATGAAGCTTTTGAGGCTTTGTCCCCGATTTGTGTCAGAGGCCTTACCCCCAAGGCAGAGAGTAAGTGCTGTTAGGATAGCGCTTTTCCCGCTACCATTTTTCCCCACGATAAAATTGATCAAAGGCCCCAATTCTACCGAAAAGTGGTCATGACACATGAAGTTGTAGCAATCCACTCTTTCCAGAATGCCATGTTCTGCTGGCACGTTGGCTTCATCGATGACGTGTGAATATTTGTCTTGAAGAATTTGGGTCTGATGTAGCTCCAATGTACTTTCGTCTAGGAGCGCGTCGTCGGCTAGTGGAGTAGTATTGTGGTCACTAACATCGTCTTCAGAGGGGGAAGGCGAAGGGCGAGGTCGTTTTCTCTAAATACAGAGTTAATAAAATGGACACCTTGGTATAACTCTGGCAGACATGAGAGGAAGGATAGACACGAACGGAATGAGGTTGTGAGGGCGAAGCAGCACTCTCAGAGTCGGTGTTGTCTGGGCTTTCCGAGTCATACGACTCCGAAGCGCGTTTGAGAGACGGCATCGAGGTGAGGAAGATCGAGGAAGAGAGAAAATTCAGGGCATCATAGCATTATGCAAGTTGCCACTTTGGTTAAAGGAAAGATTTGTGGCGCTCAAAGAATTCGATCTTTGAAAGAACCGTGTCCCACGCGTGTTCGCCTACACCTGGGCAGTTTCGCGTCAGCTGAGTCAGCCGTTGAGCGGGGTTTAGTTAAGTGATCTGCAGACAGAAGCATGGCAATGCAGATGATATGGTCCAGATACAAGTTAAAGAGATAAAGCTTGATTATTTGTCCCAAGACACTGTAAACTACAATTACGAAAGAGTGTAAAAGGGCTTGGGAAGTGCGGTTCTTGAATGCACGAACACTCAACGACCTTGCGAAGTTCCTTCCCAATCTATGTGGCACTAGCTTGCAATCGGTTCCTCCGCCACGTAGTGGAGATAAGCTCCCAAAAGTTTGGTACCTTCGATATAGTTTCTCTTGTCCAACTTCTCGTTGACAGAGTGGGCAGCATCGGTCGAACTTCCCATAGGGGAGAAGGAGAACATTCTTTCCAGTGGCTTGCTCGAAAGTCAAGGTCACAGGGATACTTCCAGAGAATTAGCACAGACGCCAACGAAAAACGCTGAAAACAGACGTACCTTCCACCTTCGCGGGTGAAATCAGGAGCCACGCCAAAGACCTGCTCCACAGCCTTGCTAGCGGCGGAAAAGTTCCAGTGCTTCGGGCTGGCAACCCACCATTTTCCGTCATGTTGCAGCCAAACATCTAATTTGTTTTTGCTGTTGAGCTTGGCAAACTCGGCCTTGACATAGTCAAAGACCAGCTTGTTCACATCCGGGCTCTCCATGTTGGGTACGGTTCGGATGGAGAATTTACCAATCACCTTGGCTGGAATGACAGTCTTCGCTCCAGGAGCAGAGAAAGCACCCTCGATACCATGGATCGACAGAGAGGGGAAACGCCAGCGAGCCATCAAGGTTCGCTCCTTGTGGGGTGGATACTGGTCTCACTGCCCAGTGACTCGTGCAGGTTCTCCATGGTGTAGCTGATATTGCCATAAAGGGACTTCTCCTCCTCAGTAACGGGCTCAACGAGATCCATGATGCCAGGAATTAGAATGTTTCCCTGAGCATCGACCAGCTTCGACAGAACATTGACCAGATCTGTCATAGGCTCATGTGCGGAGCCACCGAAGACACCGCTGTGAAGATCCTGGGCAGGGCCCGAGACACTGATAGAGTAATAATTGCAGCCGCGAAGGCCATAAGTGAGACATGGCTTTTCTGTGCCAAGCCAATAGTTATCAGAGATACAGACAGCGTCCGCATCTTTGAAGAACCCCTTAGCCTCTGCTTGGATGAATTCATCGAGACCTTCGGAGCCGTACTCCTCCATTCCCTCAAAACAGCACAACAAGTTCACAGGGAACTCTACGCCAGCCTTTTGGTGAGCTTCGATAACATTCAACCAGCCGAGAACAGGCCCCTTGTCATCCGTAGATCCACGGCCGTACATCCGATCCTTCTCATCGATAGTCAGCTCGAATGGCTCAGTAGCCCAGCCATCCTCCTTCAGGGCGGGCTGCACGTCATAGTGGCCGTAGACCAAGATCGTACGCTTATTCTTGTCATTTCCGTATCGTGCAATAACGACAGGAGGGAGATCGAGATGTTCCTTGCCAGGCTGTTTACCTAGCGGTCTCTGGTGCACTTCAGCACCAAGGGCCTCAAGTTCACTGGCCAGAAATTGGGCCATCTTCATGGAAATAAAGATCAGTGTCATGTTCCGTCGGGCCCTAATATAATTGTTTTACTCACTCGGACGACATCTTTGCGGCACTCATCTTGCGCAGAAATCGATGGGATTGCAACAGCTTTCCGCAGACCTAAAAGGACGTAAGCCGGGGGATCAAGTCGCGTGATGTTGAGGCGCAAGCGAGGATGGGACTGCAAAGGACAGAGAAGCTAAGGATGTGCGACGTACGGTCGATAAATGCGTCTTTGGAGTTGTCCACCCTAGATACAGACAGGTTAACGACAAGAAGAGGCTGATGCTGCTGAGAGTAGCAACGTACTGCTTGAAGAACGGTTCCAACTGAGGTGCCATTTTGGTGTCACTGATGTGGCCGTAGTAAAAGCGCCGAGGAACCAGGAGAGGAGAGCGAGAAAACCGAGTCCAAATGGATTGCCCGGGTTTGGGAACAGATATGCAACGGAGGGAAGGAGGGGCATTGCAGGTAAAGATACAGAGTCTTATCACGTAATTACAAAATAGGGATTTTGACGGGTGCCGGCTGTAGCCGCCCATCATGCGGTGACTAGGGAACGGGGAAAAGGTAACCATGGGGTCCTCGACGCTACCCTCGCTGAAGATGCGCCCACCAACTCGTAGTTTTGTTTCTCAGTCTCGACGTCTTGGGAGGCGAGTATGTTGTATGGAGCAAATGAGACCCGGCACTGCATCCCCCTGGTTTGTTGTGCTTGAGGCACGCGTTCCTTGAACCAATTAATGTTCAGCGTAGTATCCTACTATGGGCTTTCACATTTACAGAGGCAGGGCTGCGGCGCAACTGCTACAGGTGATCGAGCTGGAAAGCTCCAGGACTGATTATTCAATGATATGGTAAAATATGAAGACAAGTGCTAAGGTGTAGAATACATGGCAGTTTTTTACATGACAGGAGCTTGGTTCTCCGAGGGATACCAGGAAGCATAGGGAGAATTCGGGGTCTAGCCGACCGAAGCATAGAGCGAATAAACTACTCGTCTCGGCCCCAAGCCTCACGGCGAAGCTGGCGATCCTCACGAGCCATCCTGCGCTTCGGTCCCCATCGTGACTGTACGGCTTCCAAGACTTGCTTCTGAATTTCTTTCTTCTCCGGGCTGGCCTCGCAGACCATAGCGATAAAAAGGGCAGAACAATCAAAGCGCTTGGCCAATTTGTATCGGCTCCATGTCATTGGATCACTCAAGCGGAGTTTCCGAATTTCTTCGATATCAGCAGGGGTGAGGTGGTACTTGTTTGGTTCGTTGTTCTTGTATACAGTTGGAAGATTGCTCGGATCATGGGTCTGAGAGCTCGCAATCTGGATTTTTTCTTCGAGCATCATTGGCAGGCAAGAACTTGTTTGGCGTGTGATAGACGGAGGGAGCGCTGGACGGCGGGTTGTAGATGATGTGTTCACGGCCTTGATTTGAGGTTCCGAATGACGCATCTGGCTTGACGCGCAGGCGCTGCTTGGTACGACGATATGAAGATTGGTGACGACGAGAGCCCAAACCGAGTGCGCCAGTCCACGAAGGGAGGAGGAACGGTAGCGCGAGGAGCGGCCGCCTTGGGGCTACCATTGTTGTCGCCATCATGCAAAAATCCACAGCAGAAAGGTGTGTACGGAGGGAGCGACAAGGGCAGCAAGAATCGAAGTCCCAATGGCCTTGGTGGAAGGCGCCTGCCCTTTTGGATAGAGGTATAGGGCACGACTAGGATGAAGGCAAGGCGGCAATCATGAAGGGAGTCACGCCTGAACTTTTTTCCCGCGAGATCAAAGTCTCGTGACCATGCCGTTATCGCTCATGATTGGCAGGCGAACAACGACTCTAGTTAGTCAGCATAACCTTCGTCCCCGGGCCACCCGATGAAACCTATGTAGCCCTGGAACCCGGAGCTAACTATAGCTTTGGCACAAGGACTGCAACTACGACCACATGTAGAAGACGGAAGCATTCGCTTCGGAAGGGGATATGGTGTACTTTTGATCAGATGGATATGATAGCTGATCGTGAAATTCAATGGCCGTTGGACCGTATCTAGGTATCGCTTGAACCGCTTACGATTCTGGGACTTTTGTCGTTTCTCGTATTCCGAGGCCAGTATCGCCTCATGTTGATGAGAGGGTCCAGATCCAGATCCGCGGTGTCGAGAATTTTATCAGACCCAAACTGAGACAAGTTTCCCGTCTGATATGGCTGGGGATTCTGAAACGCAGCCTAGTCTCATGGCAAACCCAATGTGTGTCCACAAATGTAATGTACGAGTCAAGTCCCACACTTGATTACGGGCCGCCCCAAGTCACCAGTACTTGCGATGGCCGGGTGTCTCCTGAGCCGGCGCGCCCAATGATCGGGTCCAATGGGTACCGACTACTTGGTTCCCCTCATAACCTCCAGTGATCACCTGGCACAGCATGTCATCGCCTCCCGGTAGAGAAAGTGATATGATGATTGCCTTCCCCTCCCCCCTTTTTCTTCGCTCAGCACTATCCCTTTTGGATCTTGAGACCTTCAAAGCTTGTTCTGGTCATGGACGCTATCTAGAACCCCTTGGTGCGTGGTTTGTACTCAATAGTCTCATTCCGCTCAAGCGATCTTCGCTCCATTCGTCATGTCTACTCCCAACATTTCGTCGGACCCCGTCGAGGAACAAGCGCAGCCTTTCGCTGCTTCGTTACCGACAGGAGCAAACCCTCTCCGCCAATCCGACTCGAGTGCTCCATCGATCGAGAAGCCTACCTCCAGCATTCGTGCTCCAAGACCTGCAAACTTGACCTGGACGCAACTGCGGGAGGTTGAGAAACACCAATCTGTAGAAGACATCAGCACAGAGACTGGGTTTTCGAACAGTGGTCCAGTATCTCCAATATCACCTCTCGGCTCCTCCGAAGCATTGCGAACGCCGAATTTGACAGACCGACAGAAGTATTCGAACAAGCTTCCCCCATCCCCGGGCAGCACCACGCAATTACCACCTCGACTTCACTCGCCCGCTTCTCAGATATTTGAGCGCAACGTACAAGAGGATATACTTCCCGCACAGGCGTCACCGTCGATACCTGCCCATATTCGCACAGAAAACTATATTCCACCTGTCCTCGAGGCGTCTTCCGCTGCCATTACCGATGACCAGCTTGATCCAGACTCAGTCGAGATTGTGACCCATAGCCTTCACCAGTCTGCCGTCGCTGGGGTCACAGGCCCCTCTACTGCAGAGCATTCATTAGCATCGTCTGGTCTCGTAGATCATGGCATGCACTCTGATACCGACGAAATCTCGTCTGCGTATGGCGCACTGGACACAAACGACGTGCGGCGCTTGAGCTTCATTTCATTTGCCGATGTGGTTAATGCAGAACATGCTGAAACAGGCGAAATTGCTCACAGCCGCGAGCCTTCCCAAGGTGCACCGATCCCCGGGGCCTCTTTTGCAGCAGGGTTGCACAATCGCTCTCCATCCCCTCTACGGTCGCCTGCCTCATCCCATGCCCTAGGCACGTCCCCTCCCACCAGCATCTCCACCTCATTCAAGGGCGTAGAGATGTCGCCTAAGACTGGACCTCGAACCCCCGGAAGTCCTCTTGCCTTGGCTCAGAGTCCTGTTTCTTCCAATTTTGGCGGCGAATTGAACGTGGAAACAATGACTCAGGCCTTGAGAAGGACCGGGAGCGGCGATCTGGGTGGCGTAGCGAGTCAAGCCGCCAGTTCTTTTGGGAATGACGAGCCTCTGGATCGGTCATTATAGTCACGGCATTTACATCCCAATGTTGCTGTTGTTTCCTCTCCGCTTATGTATTTGGACGTTAATGCGCCTTGAAATCACTCTTGGATCTGGGCCACAAAGGTTTGCTTGCTATGCAGATTCTGATATGAAATGATCTCAAATATGCGGGCGTTTTGGTCATTCATTTGGGGGTTTGGTACATGTCTCAATGGGGCGGGATTCCTCGATGATATGTCACCTCAATTATCTCTAGTCTGAAGCCTGGAAATAAAAGGCTAAAAATTATACCACCATCCTCCACGACCACACGGTGAAAAGGGGTTAACCCCATTTAAGAACCTGGTCGCTCGAGAACCCAAAGTCCAAGACAAGCTCATGACGGCGTCATCCACGGTCTTTGAGAAGTATCAGTAGGTTTTGATATGTGACGATGCGAGAACCTGCTTCGAGGGGGTTTTCATAGCTACATGGTATGTTCTAAGTACAAAATAGGACAGTTTGAGACACTCGAAGTGACACGCAGTTGATGTGATGCTGCCCAGGTATTGGGAAATCTTCTAGCTTCCAAGGTTGCCATGCCATTGCTTATTTAGTTACCGCTTTCTCGACTGCATCCAAAGCCTTTTGGACCCTCAAACGCAGGTCAGGCAGCTCCTCCAGTCCGACACTAACTCTAACGAGGTCGGCCTCGACGCCAAAGGATTTTGCCTATCAACACATTAGCATTTCGATTGTTGTCCCAATATGAAACTCGACATCTGGTGATAACATACCCAGTCCAATTCGCTAAAGTGAGCCAAGAGAACATATGGGGATCTAAAGATTATTAGCTAGATCATTTGGCTCATATGTCGCATTGAGGGAGCTTACGCCAAGGTGAAGTTAGTGCCCAGACTGGGTCCTTTGAGAACTTCTAGGGTATCAAAAAAGGCTATAGCTTCGGCAGTTGAGTAGAATTTGACTGAGAAGAGGCCACCATATCCACCGTTAGGATTGCGAAGGCTGTCATAGAAGGGCCGTGTAGGGCTATATTTCGGATAGTATACTTCCTTGACTATGAGTCCGTGAGCAAAGAGTTGAAAGTTACAAAGGTGTCTTGGGCTTCTTACCGAGCGGAGATGCTTTCAGCATCGCAGTGATTTCCTCTGATGTAGAGTTTATTTTCTCGATTCTTGCCACAAAGTCACGACTGTTTCTCTCCAGGAAGACGGCATCTTCTGCCCAGACCATGTCTTCATAATCCCGACTAAATGTCTCCTTCAGTTTGTGGTAGTATTGTCCATGGGGGTTGAGAACAAGACTTCCTCCCATGACATTACTGTCCCCGCTGAAGATCTTCGTAAGACTGCTGGCAACCATGTCCGCATGAGGAAGAACATTTATATTGAGGAAATTGCTGATAGTCTCATCAACAACCACCGCAAAATCATACTGGGTTGCAAGGGCTCGTATGCGTCGAAGGTCCGGTGTCCTAAGTAGAGGATTACTAGGCGCCTCTGTGAATAGGCCGAGGAACCTTTCACCCTTCTTCAAACGAGACTCAAGATCATCCAGATCCTCTGATGATCCATGTCCGTAAAATAGACAGCCCGGCCCCCATTTCTGCAAGATCTTCAAAGTGTCCGTGTATGGGAAACCAAAACAGATACTTTTGAGTGGACCGCGGGTATTGAGCAATGTTTGATGGGCATTGAAGATAGCACTCATGCCAGTGGGATAAAGCAGCACATCGTCTGCCGAGATACCAGCAACTCGCCCTTCCGTGGAAGTTGTTTCGAGGGCCTCGTTCAGCTCTCCATCTGCAGTCAAAACGCCCGCAATGCGCCTTCTGACCGCAGTTTTCGCCTGATCGGCATGCTTGGCGCTCAAGTTGCGTCCAAAGCGCTCCTCGATGAAATGGGAGTAATCACGGCCATCTTCTGCGCCATTTGTAGGTGCCACCGCCGCCGTTGACGAAGCTCCCCATGAGATCCCACTCAAAGAGCGGCGGCCTCTATATCTGCGGGGGCCCTTGCAAGGACGTTCGGGCAAAGATTCAGTCGCTGACGTGCCCTTGTCCTCCACTAAGAATTCATCTTGAAGAGCACGAAGGCAGAACTCGCCTCGGCGACTCGATACCCCATCTCCAGAATGCTGCCACACTTGTTTGGCGACAGGAGCGTACTCTTTTGGGTATATGGTGGCGAAGAGGGACGAGGTGACTGAGGACAAGCTAGTATCCGTATGCGGGGCAGGAACAAAGCTAACGACGCGGATCTTTTGTGATTCTTCTTCGTTAATTTTCGATACAATGAATGACCGGCATGCTTTGGCACTTTTATGCGTAGCAAACAGAGTAACAGCTTCGTTATCCGGATCGCCGACTCTCTGGATCACCTCCGCTGCGAGTTTCTGAATGATGGGATGCACGAAAAATCGAGGATAGCCGCATTCCATTTTTCCAATTATCCAATCCTGGCCTTCTTCGTAGGCAATGTTAGCTTTCCATGTTGGAAGGGATACGCTGACGGCCTTTGTAAAGTGTTATTAGCTCATTCATGATGGAACCATCATCTCATGTCTAGCATCGCCGTACAGAAGGGAACTACCGCGGGGCCCGGGGAAACATACATGGTCGGTATTGGGGGGGCACTGCGCCTCCAATAGCTTGTAACATCTTCGAAGGGAAAGGATCAGACAGAGAAGTAGAATAGGAGAGCAGGACGAAAGAAGAATTGCTTTTACACAAAAAACAAAAAGAAAACGAAAGGAATCGAGTCACATCTGCGTTGCGATTTCGGCGATGGCGGCGCCTCTGACTCAGCAGAGTTGTTAATCGCTCTTATCGCAAAATGCCGACCCCATAAAAAAAATTTCCCGTCGAAACCTCATCGTACACAAATGCCTGCCTCCACGATGTCGGGGCACGCGGTGAAGCGGAGGAAACTCAGCCCCGAATCGAACGATCCTCAAGGAAAGCGCAAGGATGATGCATCGAAGAACCATTTAGCCCGCAAGGGCAAGCAAGATCAGTCCGCAGAACTTGCTACGGCTACCGGTTTCTACAAATCAAACTTCTTCAAGCTTCAGATGGATGAACTGCTGACTGGGCTGAGACCAAATTATGACAAACAAGTCTCGAAGTTCCAGGATATTCTGCACAAGCTGAAAGATGTGATTGAAAGCTTACCCGAGAGATCTCCTCAATTCGTCCCAGAAGCCGAAAAAGAGTTGCGAACGACCTCTGAAATCGTGATCCCTTGGCCTGAGCCACGGCCAGCTAAAGATGTCAAGTACACCATGTCATATGCAAAGCCTGCCAACATCAATGTGGTGGGAAGCTTTACCCTACGGAATGGGGCAAAGACGACCGACGCTCGACCTGTCGATTTGGCAGTGACCATGCCGAACTCGATTTTTCAGGAGAAAGACTATGTGAACTATCGCTTTTTCCACAAACGGGCGTACTATATAGCATGCATCGCAGCAGGAATACAGGAGATTTCCAATGAGCTGGCCCTGGATGTCAGGTTTGGATTTCAAGATGGGGACAGCTTACGCCCAATCATTCTCTTAGAGCCTCTTTCTACCTCGAAAGCAGGTAAAGGCTCGTCTCAGCCCAAAATTCGCATTCTTACTGCTATTGATCCACAATTGTTTCCAATCACGAAGACTCTTCCAGGCAAATGTAATATCCGCCAAGGATCCACTGCCGGACAGACTGACAGTGGCGAGTCTACACCTTTCTACAACGCCAGTCTCAGATCAGAGGCTGCTGTCGCTCTCTTTCACAAACATCTTCATTCGACTGCGCAGAAGTGTGAGTCCTTTCGTGATGGATGCATTCTGGGACGAACTTGGCTGCAGCAACGAGGCTTTTCTAGCTCTTTTCAGAACGGAGGGTTTGGAGGTTTCGAATGGGCAGCTCTTGTTTTTTCTCTTGTTCGAAGGCGGTGGCCCGTCTGGCCAGCCGGTTCTTCTACGATCTTATAGCAGCTATCAGATCTTCAAGGCCACCATGCAATTCATTGCAGGCCGTGACTTGTCATCTCCGCTGATTCTCTTCGCCAATGACATCTCGGCCCCAGAAGGAGGTCCTGTTTTATACGATGGGCGGAGAGGACTGAACATTCTATACAAGATGACGCCTTGGACATATAAGGCTCTCCGACATGAAGCATCCATCACTCTTAAAATGTTGAATGAGTCTCGTGAAGACAATTTTGATCGGGTTTTCATTTTCAAGGTTGATGAACCCGCTTTACGGTTTGACCGACTCATACATTTCCCTAGTGCATTCAATGGCGATACCCTGCGGGCCCTTCGCTTGCAAAACACTCTACATACCACTCTTCTGAAAGCTTTTGGGGATAGAGTCAAACTCATCTCGCTGAGTAGCCAATGCGCTGGCTCTTGGCCTGTTCGCTCAAAGGCTTTGAACAAGAAAGCGAGCCATGGACTATCGGTTGGGTTTCTGCTTGATGCCGACAACGTAGGCCGGGTGGTTGACCATGGTCCACCCGCAGAGGAGAAGGAAGAAGCTGCTGCGTTCCGGGAATTTTGGGGGGAGAAGTCCGAGCTTCGACGGTTCAAAGATGGCAGCATCTTGGAAAGTTTGGTGTGGTCAGATCAGCAACCTGAGGACTCCATTGTACTTCAAATACTGGGTTACATCTTGCAACGCCACTTCCAGTTGTCGGAAGATGATTTTGACTTCACTGGCGACGAGTATGATCAGAAGCTGCTTGAGGAGGGCGACGGGGTCTTAACCTACTCTAGCTCTCCTTTCCAATCCATCAACGAGGCGTTCAAGGAGTTAGAGCGATCTATTGGAAACATGGAAGAAGTCCCCTTGACTATCCGGCATCTTGCGCCCGCAACTCCGCTACTCCGATACACCGCATTGCGTGTACAGGGTCATGGTGGAGGCCAAGAGCCCGCTGATGTCGCGCTTCAATTTGAAAGCTCTTCGCGTTGGCCCGATGATTTTGCAGCTATTCAAATGACCAAAGCCGCATTCTTACTGAAGATCGGCGACTGCTTGAAGTCATCCGGTGCTGCGTCCTCCTGTCAAGTTGGCCTTGAAAACGAATCGAGCAAAATACTCAACAATGCTTATCTCGATATTGTTCATAACTCAGGATTTCTCTTCCGCCTCAGAATCCACCATGACCGTGAACAGACTCTTCTTGAGCGTCGACTGAAGAACAAGACTATCAGCCCCCGAGAACGAGAAGAGGTTGCGTTTGCTCTCTTCAAATTCAAGCAGCTGTTTGTACATGCACCACGCCTGACTCAAGCGATGCGGAGTCTCTGTACTCGTTTCCCACTGCTCTCACCCACAATTCGATTGGTCAAGCATTGGTTCAACTCGCACCTTTTCTCGACCCAAATATCTGAAGAACTAATTGAGCTCCTGACTGTTCGTATCTTCACTCAGCCTTCGCCGTGGGATTGTCCTTCGAGTATCATGACTGGGTTCTTGCGGACTTTACATCTTCTTTCTCGCTGGGATTGGCATCAAGAACCTTTCATTGTCGATGTGAGTGGCGATCTGACCCCGGAGGTTACCGAAACCATTCGCACTCGTTTCACTGCCTGGCGTAATATTGACCCAGCGATGAACACTGTTGCATTGTTTGTGGCATCTGATATTGATACCGACGGCGTTACGTGGACCCAGTATGAAATGCCCTCGAAGGTGGTAGCTGGTCGGATGTCTGTCTTAGCGAAAGCGGCAATCAACTTGCTAAAGGAGCAGAGCCATGATATGGACCCATCTGATCTGTTCCAGACATCGCTGGCTCCTTACGATTTTGTTATCCATCTACAGCCCAAGTTCTTGGGAGCCCCTTCGGCTCCTCCGCCCAAGTTCAAGAACCTAGCAGGGATGAGTGTGTCGAACAAGACTAGCAAATTGGCTATTGTCAAGTCATTTGCACACGATGTCCACGCTTGTTATGGCCAGAACTTGCTCCTATTCCACGGCGATGACCATTGTCCTGTAATTGCTGGGGTTTGGAACCCACAGTCCTTGAAACCACGAAGTTGGAACCTGAAGACTGCGTATTCGACATATTCGGCCGGTTCCGACGAGCAGCAGGACCGTGTGGTCATCAATAAGCCAGCAATCTTGAACGAGATTGCTCGGCTGGGCGAGGGTCTTATTCATACAATTGAAACGAACATAGCAGATAAAGCAAATGTTTGATCAGGGTTGAAGGAAGAGAAATCATCTAAATTAGATCTGTCCTACTGGTGAATGTACATTACCTGCTAGCGCCGCTGCAATGCAAACAATTTAAAACAAAACACCCAGCACCAGCATTAATTCGCAGAGAAAAAAGAATCATTTTACATATCATGAAGAGCCCCGGTCTGACTTGCCTGATGGGACCTGCGAGGCAAACGAGCAGAATTTGTCCTTAATTGCCACGACCTCATAGGTACCTTCGTCAGACGTCTTGACGGTTTTGCGATGCTCGTAGGAGATATCATGTTTAATATCAAGCACCTCCGATTTCTTTCCCTTACGAGCATTGGAGCTTCGAATGTAACTATAAAAGACAATTAGCATAGGAAAACCAGGGCGCCAGCCAGGGTCCAAAAGTGAAGTTGATAAGACTTACGTGAACTCGAATGGGGGTGTTCCCCAGAAATCGAAATGGAGCTCGGCTTCTCCACCTTCGTGAATGTCCACGACCGAGACCTGGCCATTGCTAATTCGCACGCTGGGCATCTCGTGGATCACCTTAGTGATATCCTTATGGGCCTTGCATCTCCCACTGGCGCCATCACCGACTGCAGTGATGGTGAATTCTCCAGCCCGCTCTGCGATACGGCGGAAATTGGTGTTTTGTGAAGTAGCCTTGCGCTGAGCACCGTTGAACGTATAGAACACATCGAATGGGCGTGGCCCGAAAGGGAGAATGACAATCGCTCACCGACACAGTAGTCGACCTTGGACTCAAGGGGAATGATGGTCGGGACATCAGACACAGATACTCGAACGGAAGAGGCGTCATACTCAGTTGTTCGTTGGCAGCCACGAGAATCACGGACCTTGTTGATACTGACCACATGCTGACCAAGATCAAGATGGCGCCGAGGAATGGGCAGATTGTGCCGATTGGAGTTGATCTTCGGAATTGAAACAATTTCTGGCTTGGCATTCGAGTGGTGCTTAATGGTGATGTCCAACGAGAACGGCGGAACACCCTCCAAAGTGATAGGGATTGTTTCTTCACCAGTCGCGTCCTCTTTACAGAAGCCGTAGATATGGCCGGGGGAGTCGAAACGAGCCGTGGGCAGGGGATTCACTTTCTGAGTGACAACCAAAGCGCTACTCTTTGGATCATGGTCGTAGAGATTGTCGCTGACATCAGTAAATTTGTAGGTGTAGAGGCCAGGCTCAGAGGTCTCCATCTCGGTCGAAATCACATTCAGGCCGGTCCTTAGATTTCGCTGTCCAGTAGAAGCTGCACGGTCTGCCTTGCGACGTTGCTCGTACTGAAGAGCGAACGGAGGATTTCCGGAAAGGCGTAGCTCAAGACTGTCGTCGTCACCTTGGCAGACCTCGGATTTCGCATACTCCTTTGTTGATCCAATCACAGTGCCATCGACGGCGATAATTTGGGGTCGGGGTATCCAGGATACTTCAAATTCTTGCGCTGCTTGGTCCACAGTCCCCGGGCACGAGCTATCTCGGACCTCGAGAATCTCGTAAAGACCTTGTTGGGTCACTGTCAAAGCGCTATTCTCACTGAGGAATGTCTTCTCAACCGGAGCTTTGTCGACGTCCACGTTCTTATACTTTACAGACCATGGCCGCTCACCACTCAACCTCAGAGGCAGTTCGATCTTTGAACCTTGCAGGGCTTCAACACTGCGTTTCTTGTCGATTTCCCCGAATGCAACATGAGGCGGCTTGGACCTAGCATCGATTTTGAGAACGTCCTTCAAGTTGCGCTTGCAATTCGACTTATCTTTGACGCTCGTCAATACGAGGCTGTATTCACCACCGCTGATCAGCTTATCTGTGGTGATGGTCGCCGTCTCAGTGTCAGACTCGAGCACGTGCTTCGTCCTCTTGCCGTTGTGGATGAGCTCGTATTGCAAGGTCCATGGTGCTTCGCCCAAAAAGGAGACACCGGCAGATATGGACTCCCCGAAGCAAGCCTTGCGCGCTTGCCTTGGCCCGATAAAATGAGCAGAAGCAGGGGGCTTGACATCTTGTTCAAGAATAGCCACTTTGTCTTTCAATGACCGAGGAGAATAGACTGAGTCTTCGATATCCAGAAAGCGATAGCGGTAGAAGTCTGCCTCCGTTGGAGTCAGGTCTAACTGGCTTCGTAGTCCGCTGATGGTTTCCGTCCTTGTGAGCACTCCCTTGGAGTTCTCAACATTGTAGCGGACCCGGAATGGGGGCGACCCCGTAAGATCAAGGTCAACCACAAGACCGATTGCATTATTGGCACACCGATCGAATTTCTTCTCGGATTTTATCGAGAGCTCAGGTTCTGGTGGATTATGCAGGTAGCAGCTCGAAGGTTCCAAGATATCACCGGGGCAGAATTGACTGGAGACTGATGACAAAGAATACCAACCAGGTTCTTTGATGGGTGCCTTCTGATCCAATGACTTCATCACCAGCGTTCTAGAGGTCTGAGGATCCCCTGTCTTCAAGTCGGAGCCAGGATTGAAGGAATATGCGACGGAGAATGGACCATCGCCAGTATAACCCCCTCCAACAGGCTGGAATCTGACTGGAAGATCGACAGAATCTCCGCGGGCAACTTCAAGGGGGCGTTGATCATTGCAACCAGCGAAAGAAATAAGTGGGCGTTCATGAACCGAGAATTGATGCCACTGCGACAAAGATTTGCTAGTGGGACGTTCTCCATCCTCAAATATGGACGAATAATTGGCAATGTTCCCACACGCGTCGTGGACTTCTTCAACTGCGTAAAGCCAATCGCCGCCAACATTGAGTGATTCATTCAGAGGCACACTGATAATCTGACTTTGGGCCCATATATAGTCTGGTTGGTCGACGCTGAAAAGCGCACCGCCCTGTTTTTGACTCAAGAGGGGAGAACGGAGGTTATCAGGTTGAATGTTCTGAAAGGAGAACCCGCGGTCATGATGATTAACCTGACGGCTATATTTGATCTTTAACGGGGGCGTCCCCTCCACCTCAAGCACCAAATTCGACAACTCTCCCCTGCATTTGTTTGTATGGGAATTCTTGATCAATGCTCGCGGACAGGCCACTACCAATGCATCGGATGTGCGAGTTCGGACGTCTAGTTGGGACTCATCCACAACGCGCTGCAAACGGTAGATACCCGTCTTCTTGATCGGTATATGCAGGTCGCGGTAAGGAACTGGGTCGAGAGTCGCGTGTCTTTTGTCCGCTTGGCGCTTGATTTGCTTCAATTGCTTTGCCGGGATCGTTATAGTCTCATTTTCTCCCGTGTTCAGATCGAGCCGAAGCACCTCAATAAGGATGGGCTCGGTCTGGTTGACGCGGATGGGGAGGTCGATAACATTTTTCTGGGAGTCAAGGCACAGCGGATCGCGTTCCGGATTGAGGATGGCAGACCTAAAGGTTCGAAAAGGAAATTAGCCAAACACTCCAGCTATATTGGTTTCCTCCAACCCTTCACAACCGACGGATGACTTACCCCTCAGGCAAAATGTGCACAATTTGCTTTCCCAGGATCAAAGAAGCATTGTGAATAATGTCGCCAGGTTTGACTTTCCGCTCGGAGATCGATAGCTCACGGTCGTAGGCGATTTTGACCAATTCCGCTATCCAAATACCCAGAGGAATCTATGTAGCATTAGCGGTTTACAATTTCAATCATCAGGGCTGTGAGACATACCGGAATGCGGAACATTAGAAAAACATTACCAACCACATGAAGTAAGAAAACAGCAAGTGTGGTTGGGAAAGCCCACTCCAACCAAGGAATGCGCAAGGCTTGGAGGCCAAACAAGAAGACACCATCCACCGAAACCCATTTCAGAAACAACCATGTTGAGTCCAGCTCGTCGGACGCAGTCCAAGACTCATACACGCGCCATGCATTGAGGACCAGATAAAAGGCTACCACATAGAGTCGCTGGGAGGGAGCGTCGACCAAATGGACGGGCACCAAAGGTGTGCTCGAAGGCTCGGCAGGCTTGGGTGGCTTTGCCGGAGATTTGGCTGGGGACTTTATCGGGGACTTGGCTGATGACCTCGGCTCTTTGACGTCACGGGGCTTGGAGCGAGGAGTTTCAAAGAGCTTTCTTCTCGTTGTAATTGTTTGAGGCGTCTGAGGAAAAGCAGACGGAAGACGAGGAGTGCCACTCATGGCATGCTGTGGTAGCTAGGAACTGGGGGAAGGATTAGGTGAGAGCTTTTGGCGAGAGAAAGTCAAAGGTGACCCTCTGTATTCGCAATTCCCCCTCTTCACCAGAAAGCTGTCCGGAGGGCGAATTGGAGGTGGTGGGGTTGGCTTGAAGGCGCGAGGGGAGGAACAACAAGAAAAAAGTGAAGTTGCCGAGCTCAAGAGGAACGCGGGAAACGCGTCAGGCTAAGGCTCCGGATCCAGTGACATGCCAGTATTCTCAGCCATCAGGGCGACACCATCTCTTTGTTCCCTAATTTGGGAGTTGGATCGTCCATTTAGGCTGTTTTGATCTTCTCCAGCTTGGGGTTTCATCCATCGATCCATCCTCAAGAGCTTTGCATTCCACCATGGTTCCACGAACCAAGAAGCGACGCCTGACCGACTCTGCAGAAGACAAAAGTCAGGAGATTTGCAAGCCTGCTACTCTCGCCCAGAAGGACAGTTGGAATGGCTTCTGCGAGATTGAATCAGAACCAGTGTGTTGAGCTTCTCTTGCATCAGTTCTCCTTGCTCATGGGATCGATTAGGCTCTATTCAATGTGATGCTCCGGGAATTTGGAGTAAAAGGCGTGAAGATCCAGGAGATCATCTCCCTAGATGAGGAGATGCTGGAATTCCTCAAGTAAGTCCGCGATGGAAGTGACGTACGGCAGAATTGCTCGTTCATCGTGCGACAGTAAGCCTATCTATGGCCTGATCTTCCTATTTCGCTGGCGAGAGGACGATGCCGAGAAGCAAGAGGCCAGCTGCCCGGATGGTCTTTGGTTTGCAAATCAGGTAATTTCACTACCACTACGCCGGGGAGCACTGGACCTGGAGCTGACTCCGGCTCTTAGACTGCGGATAACGCTTGCGCTAGCGTGGCTTTGCTCAATATCGTCAACAATATACCTGACATTGAATTGGGAGAGCACCTCCGGCACTTCAAAGAGTTCACCATGCCTTTTACTCCAGCCCTTCGAGGCGACGCAATCAACAATTTCGAATTCGTCAAGCGGGTGCATAATTCCTTTGCTCGGTATGTATATGGATCATTCGCTGTTGACTAGCTACTAACAAAGGTCTATGCGAAAAGAAAGATGGATATCCTGAGTACCGACTTCCAACTCAAGTCTGAATCTAAGAACAAAAAGCGATCGAAGGGGCAAGAAGACAGCGAGTCAGATGTGACTTTCCATTTTATCGCATTCATGCCAGCTTTGGGCCAACTCTGGAAATTTGATGGTCTAGAACGGCAGCCTCAAGCACTTGGTAAGGACCAGAACCCATGACATATTTTTCACCCTCATCCCTACCTCTTTATTCCCCGATGACGGAATTCGTGATCCGGGCCTGAAATTTTTCGGACCCCTTAACCTCCTTTTTCGTTCCGATTGAGATGAGTGAGTGTATAATGTGCTAACGTCCTTTGAAGGTGCATGTTCGGTGGATGACTGGTTGCAAGTGGCTAGGCCCAACATTCTCGACCGCATGGCGGCGTATGAGGAGGGCCAGATCGAATTTTCCATTCTTGGGCTAGTCCGGGACCCCATCCTCGACCTTACCAAGCAGCTTGCTTGTAATGTGCGGCAGCTAGAGAGGCTTAATGCGCGATTATTAGCTTCTGACGAACAACCTTCCGTGAAAGCCATGCTAGCGGATCTCAACGAAACCCTGCTGGGTCCAGATCTTTCTTTCGAACTGACACCCGCTGCGATTAATGCGGCATCTATCCCCGAAGTGGAGTTTGACAGCTGCTCAATACCGGAGCTACAGGAAGAGCTCAGAAAGCTTCGAGACGAGCAGCAGATGTTGCGGGGCCGGATACGTGAGGAGCAGCAGTCTCAGCGGTTAGACGAAGACCATGCGACCGGGAGACGATACGATTATGGACCGGCTGTGCGGACATGGTTGCGATTCCTAGCACGCAAGCAACTCTTGGCGGAGTTGTTGGACTGAGTCCAAGGCAAATGGAGAAGTAGAGCTGACCCCTCGTGGCCCAGTGATTGGCCCACACTTCCATACCTTAATTCCTTAATTCTTCCCTTAATACCTCACTGTTTTTGGTGACGTACACTTTACAGGAAAGCGGCAGGTAGCAGGTAGCAGGTACCCGGTTGAATAGGCATCGTATGCTGATCTTGAAGGTCTCCCGGACATTCAAGACTCATGGGCGAAAGATAAGAACCTAATACGCAGTAGTTAGAACCCATTCCAAGTATACAACTCCAATGTACATTCCCCACTTGCCTGCCGGGGGGCAAAAAATTAAGGTCGCCCACCGCCTGTTTCTTGCATTAGATCTTCCCTCCCCTTCAACTTCACTTGGTTCATTCTTGATATAAGTCTGGAATCTTGTCAGACTCCTCTTTGTGTGTTCCCTGCCTTTGGTGTCAAGGGCCATCGCCCGCGATCCTATTTTATCTGCTTGAACGCGTCAACCCCCGCATTCCCGCTTTGTCTGAAGCTCTCCTGACAACCCTGTCGCCACATAATGTCATCGCCCGTGGCCGAGAAGGCTCCCGATGATTCTTCCAAGCTGAAGACCTTCCTATCCATCCTCCGAAAGTGAGTTGCATCGCTCTTCGCTCTCTTTTGTCTGAGGAAATAGCTGCGTATACCGGAAGACAATGAAAAGGCAGACCAATGAAAAGCAAATCACGGGAAGACAGACGATGCTGATACCACGATAACCCAGGTTCGTGGGTGTGACAGATATCGCCTCAGTTCGATTCTCACTACCGGCTCAGCTACTAGAACCGCGCCCCAATCTAGGTATGTCTACAAGAGCACGGACACAGCAAGACGAGTAATTCGAGGCAGAAGCTGATATGACAATTAGAATACTGGAACTACCTGGACCGACCGGAAACCTTTGCCAGGTCAGCAACGTAACCCATCCATCATGTAAGCGCTCATATGCTGACTCCAGAGCTACAGTATCGGCACCTCCGATGATGAGTTGGGTCGGATGCTGGAAGTGTTGAAGTTCTGGTTCACAAAAGACCTGGTATATACTTCCGCGTATCATACTTGTCGCCTGGGATCTTATGCTGAAATGTGCCGCAGAAATACATCAAAGGGAAACCCTGCAAGCCCTATAATTCAACCCTGGGAGAGTTCTTCCGAGTGAGTAACGGCGCAAAGACAGCTGCTGGTTGCGGGTGGGTTGTGCTGATGATTTGAAACAGTGCAGCTGGGATGTGACAGAAGGAGACGCCTCCGAAGCAAATGTACCGGGTGTAAAAGTCAATGGTGCTGCTGCCACAGATGGAGGAGAACCTGTTAAGGTGTGTTACCTGACTGAGCAGACCTCACATCACCCTCCGGTCTCAGCCTTCTACATTGACTGCCCCCAACGAGGCGTCTCAGCGCGAGGATTCGACCAGATCAGTGCCAAGTTCACCGGTACCAATATTAGAGTGAGCCCGGGAGAGCATAACCTCGGCATCTTTGTCAACATCGAGAAGCGAGATAACGAGGAATATCAGTTGACGCACCCACATGCCTACCTGGGAGGCCTGCTGCGTGGCGCACTAGCGATCACTGTGTCAGATGCAGCATATATCACCTGCCGCAAGACTCGAATGAAGGCTATCTTGCAGTACTTGGAAGAGGGATGGATCGGGCGTTCCCAGCATCGGCTTGAGGGTGTTATCTTCCGCTTCAACCCCGACAAGGATACTACCACAAGGATCAAGGATGTTGCAGAGAAGGACGTGGTCGCCCGCATTAGCGGATCCTGGCACGGCAAAATCACATATACCGTCGCCGGAAGTAAGGAATCCCAGGTCCTCATTGATGTCGAGCCGCTCTTCCCTGCCTCCAAGAACGTGCCTCCCGATGAACAACAGCTCTCCAATGAATCCCTGAAATTCTGGGGTGATGTTACAAACGCCATCACAAGCAAGCAATTCACGCAAGCAACCAAACTCAAGCAGGATATTGAGGAGCGTCAACGCCAGCGCGCTGCGGAACGGAAAGCGAGCAACGAGGAATGGAAGCCTCGCTTTTTCACAGGAGCCCTCACTCCGCTGGGTAAACCCGAGCTGACTGAAGAGGGTCAGAAAGTCCTACAAGGCATTAGGGATGGAGACTACTCCTTGGAAGAAAGTACAGTTAAAGGCGCTTAGATACACAATGGCTGCGGTTGTGGGTTTTATTACGGTGGTGAATCGATGGCGTATCTGGCATACGACCACGTTTCACCTCGGCGTCTTGTGTTCAGCCTTACCCTCTGCATATTAGAATTATTTCCCCCTTGCTTCGTTTTCAACAGTGTTGTATATTTTCCATTCCTGTTCTGAATATTCACGTGGGCGAATGGATGGCTTTCTTGCTGACTCTACGAGGTTTGTAATTCCCTTACGATCAGAATGGAGATAGACTCGTCTGTTAGCATATTCTCTTAAATCCATTGACACCGAGGGAAGAGAATACGTAGATAGTGTCAAATTCTCGAACGAATATGCATGACAAAATCTTATGTACAGGTAGCTCATGACCTGAAGCCGGACTCAAAAAGAAAACAAATGTAAAAAAGCATGAAGCCCCCCCCCCATCCCATTGTAACACCCAAAATCCAGAATCACCCACTGAACAGCTACAGTAAGAAAGATAAGGGTCATTAACGGCATTACGCATCAGGAATTCTGCGGATGAACCTAAGCCGTGGCGCTCACAACTTTGCTAAAGCCCGCTGTCACGGTCTTCGTGATCTCCTCGTTCTTGTGAGGCAATAACGACAAGGCGTAGGCAACGTCGTTCCATTGCCGCTCAGTTTCGCACCGCGGGAGTCGAGCAGCGAGTTTATCGGCCAATTGTCGAGCGTGTTTCTCCTGAAGAGGAAACCTCAGTAAATGCATCATTTGGGAACGGGTGATATGTGTAGAGACGACGATAGCTTACCTTTTCAACAAATCCAATCAAGAATTTGACAATGCGCCGGAGGGCTGCCTCGTCGAGGTTACGCTCAGCACTCAACAGACTGAACATATCGACAAAGTGGTTGTAAACAGCGTTGTCCTTGGTAGCCAGTTCTGTGAAAAACATCCGCGCCAGGTCCGCGATCTTCTTGTCTTCGTCTTCCAGACATTTAGCCATCTCCCCGAGCTGGCCTTTGACCTTGACCTGACCAGCCAGAATAAGGAAGGTTAATGTCATGAGACATGTGCGCTTGACAGAGGCATCATCATCGTTGAGACGTCGGTAAAGGAAATCCGTATTTTCGTCAATGAGATGGTTAAAGCAGACAGCCATATCTCCAAGTGCGATCACAGCATTGCTGCGAACAATGGGATCTTCGGAGCGCTCCATAATCGTAATCAAAAGTGGTAGGTTCTTCTCACAGTATTCCGCGGATACACACATCAGCTTGGCCATACATAATGTAGCCGATGCTTGCAGATCACGATCCGCATAGGTATTGTTGTTGGCACAAATCTCGGCAACCAAGGGTCCGAACTTGGCGAGAAGGGAGTTATCTCCATAGAGAAGTTCACGCTCCCGAATATGAGCCATGGCATCCGTAAAGTCGTCTTCGGTGGTACCTCCGATGAGATCGAGTTCGTCATCATCGGTATTGTCTGTGTTCCTCTGAGCAGCAGCCTCTGCGGTTTTGTTCTTCTCTTGCTCCGCCTTACGGCGTTTGAAATCAAGCTCACACAGCTCGAGATGAACGATTTGCTTGATGGCAATATGGCCAACAACAAAGAGAAGCTGCGACAGGGCCGCAGATGAAGGCTTGAGCTTTGAACCTTGTTCATCAGTCGAAGCAGTCCCGGGTCTTTGCTCTTCGCCTTCCGCTGAGGTATGGGAAGATGAGGGGCGTTGAAGATGAGGCTGGAAAACAAATCGAGTCTTCCGGCGGAGAATGTCTGAGCAAAGAGCATCAGGATGCTTTGAAAGGGTGTAGATAGCACCAACTGCCTGCTCTGCAACACCATACCACTCCTTGCTATTAGAGCTGATCTCGAGCATGGCAGCGAGCTTGGTCAGAACCGCATGGTCGTTGGCAATTTTGGAAATGCCAATATCTTTGGACTTGGCCTGGCGACCAGGCATCATTCGTCGTAAAGCAATACATGTGTACTTAGCCAGAACAAGATCAGATCTTCCCAGCCCGCCAAGGCCGATCCGTAGCATCGCCTCAATCTCCTTGACTACCACCTCGGGGTCAGCTAATGCAAGCATTCCGAGTACGATAATTGAGCCTCGGCGTTGAGTTTTCGAAATTTCTTTCTTCTGAACACTGTAGACTTGCCAAAGCTTGGCTATCACTGCGTCAGATATGTGCCCAGCTTTCATCATTGTACTCATCAGTTGCTCAAGGCAGGTGAGTTCGGCTGGTGTTGATCCAAACGTCAGACTAATCATGTTCCGCGCAATGTAGTTCGCTGCGTCATTAGAGCTGAAGGAGGCTGGCGCATCAAAAAAGAGGCCCTTATAGCAGTCAATGAGATGAGTCTGGACACCTTTTCCTTCATCGCTGTTGCCCTTGGTCCAGATCAAACGGAGCATGCGTCTGATTCCAGCTCGAGCAGTCTCGACCTTGTAGGCGTCAAGCACCACGAAAAAGTCCATGGCTTCGATGACTTCACTCTTGTTACGGGAAGAGAGTAGCTGGGACACAATGGTGGAACCAGAGTGAAGAACTTCAATGAAGCGCAACGCCTCATTGTAGTACTTTCTCGTGAGTTGCAAGCGAGTCAACAATTCCGAAATCGCCGCTTGTTCTGCTGCCTTTTGCACAGCTATTTCCTTCTCTTCTTCGGTCATTCTGGGGGCTTTCGAAGGAGAGTCATCGGGCAGTTGAGTTGCTTCATCCAAAAGTTCACTATCTGGCATCTGAGTAACATCTGCGTCGAAGCCGGGGGTCTCGGGGGGTCTCAAGGCGTTTAATTCTGCGTCTACACCGTCCAATCTCTCCGCCCAGTCCTTGTATGAAAGTTGGCCACCGTGCATGACGCTGAAGGGGTGCGTTGCGACAAGCTTTGAAAGTAATTTGATCGCATTACGTCGCACATTGCTGCTTTTGTCTTCCAAGCTTCGCGCGGCTAGCTCAGCAGCGCGTTGGCGTCTCTTGGGGAACTTCTGCTCCAAGTCACAGATGCGCATGAAGACTTGGATTGTCCTGCATCGACAATATGGGTTGATATCCAAGAACCGCTCCTCCAGCACGTCGAAAAAGGCGTTGATTTGGGTCTTGTAGTTTTCGCTGGGTTCTTCTTGTCGACTTAAGTCAGAAATGAGGTTGCCGCAGACCTCTATGACCGCGCATCGCAATGTATATGCCTGGTTTCGAGATCAGCAATAGTTACCGCGAGTCTTCAGCGTAGATTTCTACCTCACTATCAAGCTGCTTCGCTAAGAGGGTCATTTGCTTGATAATCAACCTTGGAGCTAACTCAGATAGCTTGATTATGAATGCTGAAACAGATTTCGGCCCTCGCGTATCGTTGGAATTGAACTCTTTGTTTCCAAGTTCCCTGCTTCAGATTAGAATGGAAACAAGCAGCGTAGGAAGGTTGGGCAAGTACTTCAAAATCTCATCCGAAAGCTGCGGATAGTCATATTGCTCTGAAAGGATGTGCAGGAACTCGGCCATGGGCTCTGATAGATGCTCGAAGTAGGTCAAACTTTGTACGATGGATGTTTGGGCACCTGTGGCTCGAATTAGTTCCTAACCAGAGATGAATACCCAGGAACTTTGGTGTTGGTCGTACCAAATGCATGGCCGTGATGCTTTACAGCGATACACAAGACCTTAAACGCATGCATGCGAATCGCCATACTTTTGACCCGCTGCTCACTCTCCAAAATGAGATAGATTGTGCGCGTGAAAAGGTTGATGAAGGTATCGCGGTCCGAGGTGGTTAGGAATATGCGGCTCAGTTTTAGTTTCATTACCTTGCACATGGTCTCCATAGAAATCTGAATTTGAGGAGTCCAATCCCATTGGCCATCCTTGGCGGATTTCTTCGACTTGGGTCCTCCACGGCGGGCAGGCGCAGACTCAGCAGTTTTTTCGGCGGCTTTCACCTCGACGGCAGACAGGGCCCATTGGAGGAGAAATCCGTACATTTCCAGGAGCTGCTTGTGGTGTTGGATCGCATCCTGCTCGTCAGCTTCTAGGTCTCCATGGATAATGTCGGCTTCCACGGAGAGTCCAGATACGATCAGGTCCAGCACCTTGCTTAGCGATTTGGCGGAGAGGAGGGTCGGATATCTGTAGGGTTTCAAAAGTTCAGAGTCGATTCCAGGCGGGAAAGAGCCTCGAAGGAGAAGTTGGGAGGGACCGGGGCGCACTTTAACAACAGTTGGAGGGAATCAAAGAATGAGGCCCTCGTCAATCCTTCAGGGTTCTCCGCAACAGCATCCACGATCGGATTCAATACATTATCCACTAGGGCGGGCGACAACTGGTCGGGGTCATTTTCACAGTCGAGGAGTTCCGGTTCAGCATCAGGTGTTGGTATAGAAGCTGGATCACTCAAGTAATACTTGAGCGAATCGTTGATATCGAATTGTATTCTCTCTTCCATGGTGGGCGAGGGGCTGGGGGGGAGGAAGGAGAAGGTCCAGAGTCGGAGATCGAAGAGGAGGGGAGGAGTGTAAACAAACAAGAGCGGGTCCCTGCCAGACGATACCGCCCGCAATTCCGCGGCGTATTTTACTATTACCAACGCGTAAACAACGCTTTTGCTGGGATAGCTTCTTCTTTGCCTCCCTTGCTGTTAAAATTCATCTGTCTTGACCTCTTACGCGCTTGGGAGATTTTGAGATCCTTACCACCCTGTATTGACCGCACACCCCATTACCATGTCGGCCTTTCGAGCCGCACCGCCGGGCGTGTTTGAGCTTCAGCGTAGTAGCTCTTTCCAAGCCTCTAAGGCTCCCGCACACCGATACGCGCCTGAAGAGGGCCAGAGAAAGGCTTCGAATTCGGAGGTACGAGAAACGGAGTACGACTACGAAGATGAAGAGGTAGACGAGTCTGTTCGAGAAGACATGACAAAGTTGGAAGACACATTTCCTGGCATTTCCGAACGCTTTAGACTGGTGAATCGAATCGGAGAAGGTGTGTGCCGCTGAAGCTCGAATTTCATTTGTGGACTGATACTGAGACGTTTTTAGGGACATTTTCAACCGTTTATAAAGCCGAAGATCTCTTGTACGACCATTATGACAACGACTGGGACATATTCGGGCAAGCACAGCAAAAGGAAGCATGGGTCAGTCCACCTTCGAAACGGCGTCGGGTTAATGGTGAGCAAACAGCTCGCCGGAATTGCCGTTACGTGGCGTTGAAGAAGATTTATGTCACCAGCAGCCCTATTCGGATCCAAAATGAGCTTGAATTGCTCCATGACCTCCGCGGTTGTCGAGCGGTGTGTCCTCTCATCACAGCATTCCGATACCAGGATCAGGTCGTGGCCGTGCTTCCTTATTTTCCTCACACCGATTTCCGTATTCAATACCGAACCTTTATGGTAGCGGACATGCGTCACTATCTTCGGTCGTTGCTTACTGCTTTACAATCTGTTCATGAACATGACATATTACACCGGGATATCAAGCCAACGTAAGTCCACACCTGCATTTTTGATTCGATCTCTTCGGCTTACTGATGAGCTTTAGAAACTTCCTTTACAACCCAGAATTGAAGGAAGGTGTCCTTGTAGACTTTGGACTCGCGGAGGTGAGCTCTACTCTTCCTTAAAACTTACCGATGGTGTTGCTGACCATTCCCTCCTCACTCTATAGCGGCAGGGTTCAGAATACACGAGTGCATGCCTCTGTACTCATCAATCATACGTCCGTCGCAGTCGAATTGTATCCAGCCACTACTCCAAGAATCCACCTTCATCAGGACTTTCGGCTGGATACCCCAAAAATGATTCTCGGCCATCAAGGCGGGCAAATCGTGCTGGGACTCGAGGATTTCGAGCGCCCGAGGTGCTTTTCAAATGCACATCCCAAACAACCAAAATTGATATGTGGTCTGTCGGTGTGATTCTGCTCACTTTGCTCGGTCGTCGCTTTCCCTTCTTCAACTCGGCCGACGATATTGACGCTATGATTGAAATGTCGAGCATCTTCGGCATTCGGCGCATGAAAGCAGCGTCGGCTATGCATGGCCAAATTTTTGAAACCAACATTCCTACCATTGGGGAGAAAGGTTACAGTTGGGAGAAGCTGATCAAATGGTCCAGTTGTGTAGAGGATCTTACTGAAAGCGAGCTCCAAGCTACACGTCTTCTTTCGGGACTGATGGAACTGGATCCAAACAAGCGTTTCAGTGCAGAAGAAGCACTCCAGCATGAGTTTTTCACCAATCCTGTTCATCACGATGTTAAATGGGGAGGCAACCCGGACAGTGCCGACTCGGCGAGGACGATGAGGCCGTGGAAGAAGAAGAAGAAGATGAAGTTGCGATGCTATGATGATCAATGTCCGTACAACGTATAATGCACTGCTGATGGTCCACGATGCTTCTATTCTGCAATAAACTCTTCTCACTTTACTCCTATGATCACAAGGCTCAAACAGCTTCAGATCTTGTATAATATGCACGCCAAAAAACTGAGGATTTGATTTGTTCAAAACAGCGGTCTTATACAGCTTCCCCAAAGTCGTAATGACCGGTTTCTGAGGCGTGTTTGGCCGCGCCCTTCTCTCCTGTAAAAGTGCCCCCGCATGTGTTACACCGCACTGAGAACCCAGCAGTATCCGTGTAATAATGTTTGCGTTGGAGAACTTGGCACAGCTCTTTAGCCTTCTCTAACACAACAGGATCTACCGCCTCAAAGATTTTAGTATCGCCATCAGCAGATGGATTGGCGTGTGTGTATGGGGGATCCGACGGAGACAGTGCCAGAACGTCGTAGTGGATGCCAGAATAAACGACGATGCAGCGAGTTGGCGCCCCTTCGTTGAACTGAAACATGTTCAATGTTTGGACATCAATCGAACAAATTTCGATGTTGAAGTATTCACTTAAGATCTTGAGTTCAATGGCACCACCCCAAGAATCCTCGTTCTGGATCCATTGGCAGTAGTCGTCCGGATTCTTGCCGAGTATCGCAGCACTATATTCCACTGGGTTTGATTGAATAGACCCTGCAACGATGGATCGTAGTTCCACCATCGTGTCCATATCACCCATGACAGCTGCCCCCACAGCTCGGAAGAGACACGAATTATCATCGGGCATGACTCGCAGGACGAATGTACCGCCATGCTCGGGAGATGCGATCTCCGGAGGGTCGTCTTCGCAGGACTGGGGCTTTGGGGGGGAAGAGGGCTGTTGGTATAAGGCTTGAGACGCGGGCGCTGGAGGTTCACTCGAAGGAGCAGCTCCCTCTCGCGGTACAACTATAAGCTGCTCTCCATTAAGGTCGATCCCGATTTCGGATACTGCTTGATTCGGCGCGAATTGGTCAAGTGCCAGAGGCTTTATATCCGGATATCCGTATTTCACGTCGAATGAGGTCAGACCTGTCTTTTCGACGATCTGGGCTCGCAGTTCTTGAATTGATGATGAGCTCTCCAAGGTGACTGTTGACTGGCCGGAGGGGCCTCGCACGCGAAATCGCATTTTGACAAGGTTCCTCCGAGGGGCCGAAACACCGCTGCGTATGTGATGAGGGGGAAGTATGACGATCTGAACTGCCGCGGGTGTGGGGTAAACCAGTCCAAGTCAGGGAACGCCAAGATGGCGGGTTCTCTGGCAGACTCGTATCGCGAACAAACAACTGTAATTCAGTAGCGACTGAACAAAGCAAACAGTCCTTTTCTTTACACATTTAGCTGAAGTCATTACTAAGGATAATATCCCAAGGATGAATGCCCAACGTATCCGGGATCCAGCGTCCCTGGTAGAATACTGTGTAGACTTTTCTAGACCATCCGCCATCAAAAGATCCAGCATCTTATCCATACAAGGTACTTTCAAACCTCGATGAGTATATCAAGATGCTACTCTTGGAGATCTAGGACACTTTTACAAGCTATTGAATTTCAGTCTCTTCTAGCCCTACCAGTTACCACACAATCAAATAGTTGCACATCACTTTCTGGACAGGCATATGCTCCGGAATTGGAGGCCCAAATAACTTAGTATGAATCAGACGGTACCTACTAGTAGACTGGCATGGTTTCTATGGTTGAGCATCGCTGTGTTCCAGAGTTACCCCCGCTTTCTTTAGGCGCTCATGAAGATTCTGGCTTAGCTGTGTAGATGAAGACGACGATCCGTTTTATCGATTGTGGTAGCTCGCTGTATATGGTAATTAGCTCCCACCCCACTTTTTGTTCGGCAAGTACAGATATGGAAACTTTGAGGATTCAACATCCCATACTGACGAGAATGGTCCATGCTGTGGAGGTAGTTCCGTGGGGATGCATTGAATTGGTTCCGGAATGCGAGAATTCAGTCCCTCGATCTCAGATATTTTGTGCCTGTCTTGCCAGGCATCAGGTTACAGGACGTACTGTATTGTAACCAGCAGGTCACAGTACCGCTGACTCAGCGTTGCGCAAAAGCGAGTCCCTGCACCCTACGCAACCAGTCCCATCCTAACTCATCTTTTCGGACATTGACCCAATACTCCAAGCGGTGCGCAATGGATCAATCAGATAGGGGCCAGTCACAGCCCCAGCCCGAGGACCCGGTGACCTCCATCGAGAATGATGGCGCCGTATCTGAGGAGCAATGGAGGGCTATGATGGATGTCATCATGGCCATTTACGATTTTCGCGAGCCAGAGTAAGCTAACGCGTGGAATACAACCTCTTATACATGAAAAAGGTCGCTGACTGTGCTGTAGTGGCCATGACCCTTCGCGACTTTTCCATCGCAGTGTGAACAAGCGCGTCGTGCCGGATTATTATGACATTATCAAAGAACCCATGGCGCTTAGCATTCTGAAGCAGCGCATCAACAAGCGAGAGTATAGGCAGTTTAAGGACTTTGTGCGCGACTGCGCTTTGGTATGCGATATCATCTCCTGCATTATCGAGTCATCATCGATACTAACAATTGCGCGTGCTGCCCTTTAGATCCCCCACAACGCGCAGACATACAACAGGCCAAAGTCACAAGCATACGAAGATGCACTCGTGATTAAGGTAAGGGAAACAATTATACCCCAGGGGTGGGAACCTGCGATTTTCGCTGACTAGTATCTTGTACGCAGGATGTTTTCCATCAGGAGCTGAAGAAGCTCGTTGATAATGGGGTAATCAGCGCCGAGGAAGCGGAGTTCCCTGACCTCGGCGAGATCCCTGAGGCCGATCCTGTCCCCGACGAAGAAGACGAGGATGAGGACGAAGAGGAAGAAGAGGAAGAAGATTCAGACGATGAAGGACGCCGAAGGAAGAAACCAGGCCCTAAACCAGGATCCAAGCGCGGTGGGAGAGATGGGAAGCAAGAGCCAGACCTCCGTAAAAAGCGCGGTCGCCCCCGCGGGTCGATACGCCGATGGAAACTCGCATCAAAACGATCCTAAAAGGACTACGAAAGTTCAAAGGTCCAGGCGGTCATTTGAAGGTCGTGCACTTTGAACGTCTTCCTGACAAATCTGCCTATCCGGATTATTACATGGAAATCAAAGAGCCCATCGCTATCGATATCATCAAGCGCAAGTCGAAGCGCAAGAAGTACAATTCAGTCGACCACTTCATGCGAGACTTGGACCTGATGTTCGAAAATGCCAAAGCTTACAATCAGTCCGAGAGCCAGATCTACAAAGATGCCGTGGATCTGCAGACGGAGGCACGAAAACTGGCCGAGCAGGAGAAGAAGAAGCCTGATAGCGAATACCTCATGGAGGATGGGCGTTTTCCCTGCCAGATGGGATATTGCATCGAAATGAGCTCTGGAAGGTTGGCGATTGGGTTCACATTCAAAACCCCAACGATGTCACCAAACCTATCGTTGCTCAAATCTACCGGACCTGGGAAGACTCCGAGCGTGAGCAATGGATCAATGCATGCTGGTACTACCGACCGGAGCAGACTGTCCACCACTTTGAGAAGCACTTTTATCCTAATGAGGTGGTCAAGACAGGTCAATACCGTGACCACCGCATTGATGAAATTGTTGATCGTTGCTTTGTGATGTTCTTTACTCGCTACAGCAGAGGCCGTCCGCGCGACCTTCCTCCAGGCAAGGAGATCTATGTCTGTGAGGCTCGCTATAACGAAGAGAAACACAAGCTCAACAAAATCAAGACATGGGCAAGCTGCTTGCCAGATGAGGTGCGAGAGAAAGACTATGAAATGGATCTTTTTGACGTGCCCCGTAAAATCAGAAAACATCCTAGTCCGATCAAGCACCTGCTGAAGGAGGATGCAAAGGAGACCGATGATCTTCCACGGCCAACATGGGGAGCTGACAATGCACCCCCTGTGGTAGGCGCGGTACATCGCCGCCCACGCGATGAGAATGTAAGTTCTCCCCACTGGGTTGTCCGGACTCGGGCGACCTTGTCACCCGCATCCCCTTCATCCCCTTCTCCTATCGGTGTCGCGATTCTAATTCTTAACTCTTGTATAGGAATCCCCGCCACCTGAACCCACTCCATCTCCGCCGCCTCCAACTCTGCCACCGTCCACCATGACATCTGCCACCCCTCGTCCATCTATCAACCAGCCTCTCCCGACAGTTCCTTTGGCTACCTCGAGCAATGCAGTGGCAGCTCAAACCCAAGCCCCCATGGCGACTGCATCGGTATCCCAGGTATCTCCGGCTCCAGTGCCGCAGACAACCTTCCAGACCCCCATGAATACGCAAATGTACCAAGCTCAGCGCCGGCCAAGCAACTTCATGCAGCAGACTCCAACCACCGCATACCAGACCTCACCGGCTCCACAGTCTTATCCAGCAACCGCGGCATCACAATATGGTTCTTACACTCCTAATCGTCTTCAGACTGCAGCTCCTGTCTATAACCCCAACGCACCACGCACAGTGGAAGTATTTCATCTCAGTGATGCCGCGAATCTCGCAATCCCTGCCGATATCCGGCGTCAATTCCACTGTGACGACAAAGGACATGTTTTGTTCTTCTCGACCCCTCCTTTGGATCTCATTCTTCCAGTTCAACCACAGCTGACTCATTCTCTCAAATATCTTGCTAGAAGAGAGGACCGTCAGAAGAAAGTTGCTGAAAGAAAGCGAAAGCGCGAAGAAGAAGAGGCCCGGCAACTGGAAGAAGAAAAGCGCCGCCGAGTCGATGAAGAGATAGAGCTTGCTTCCCGAATCCAGGCACTTGTCCCTCGAGCTGTCGAGTGCATGGTGAAGCAAGTCGTTGCAGGAACCGAAGAGCTTTATGACATATTCCCCCTGGAAGGTGCGGGTCATTCTCGCTCTGCGGATGACCAGGTTCGCGCGAACCGAATCTTGAACGATCAGTTGGCGAAACAGCAGACTGAACAGATCCAGGCACAGTCCCATCCAGAAGGGTTCGTCAACTTGAAAGGCAGTGCAGTGTACCTGGGAGATAGCTCAGTTGAGGGTCGCTAGGACTCAATTGTTTTGCTTCCGAGCTGTCTTTTCCATTTCGTTCATTTCTCAAGCAGTACTATGATGGGTTTACCTTGTGGCGTATTTTGGTTTGAGGAGAGGGGGGCTATTCATGGGGCCAGGCAGTTCAGGGGCGTTAAGGTTAAGACTTGTACTATTAGGTGGATGCCGAGCGTCGATGTGTCTAATATCAAGCTCAATGAATTGTTGGATCAACAAACATGGTTTTACACTATTGACAATGAAAGTAGAAACTGGCGGGTAGCTTGAAGAACTTCACAGGCATGGGGCTTATTTGCAGATCTCCTGTTTATACATCTGGACGGCCAGGAGATTGGGAAGATAAAACGTCAACACGAAAGTATAGCCAAAAACACCAGGACCGTACGTCATTGACTCATGAATCAAGTGCGCGAGGACCAACGAGAAAAAAGACCTCAAACTCAACTCCCCTGCGAGTCGGGACGGGGTAAAGGACCTCATAGAAGGTGAAGGGATTAATACAGAAGATGGGTTGGGGAAAGGAATCGAGAAAGGGAAACGTCCAGTTTGGCAAGAGCCTCCTCTCACAGAGGACAAATGGGAAGCAGGATGAGATTTCTCTAGATGATTCAAGAGAGAGAGAGAAAGGACGAACCCAGGGTCCGAGGAGACCCCAAGAAGGATTGAGAAGAGGAACTTCGGCGACCAATAACGTGCAGAAGACGACACAGCGGTATGCAGTCTTTCAAGATCAGAAGCGGATGAACCATCTCTGCCTACAGCAGTTTCCGAAGTGCTGAATTCTCGATGCCGACAAAGGAAAGGCGTAGACGGATAAGCTGACGTGATGATTCGGGGATCGGTGTTGTACTTTTCGTTTTTCTGTTTTTGCCCGTGGTTTAATTTCTATGACGCTCCGTTATGCTGCTGTGCCAAGTGAAACTCCGTTGTTCCCCCCGTTTTGTGTTTTGTGTTGGCCTTGCCATAAGCATGCTCAGACCGAAAGGTATAAGCATCAGGCCAGTGTCGTGATCATGAAAGTAAGTAGCATTTTTATGCGTCATTGGAGCTTTCCTTCGTCTCCTCGGAGTTCCAGGACGAACTGTTGCGCTTGTGGCCCTCCTCTTCCTCCATGGAAAAGACCAGGTCATTAGCATCTTCTTCCTCAATCTTGCTATCAATTTTGCTCGTAGTGTTTGGGGAGGAGATGGTTCGATCTAGGCGGCCTGGGACCGTGGGTGGTCGAGTAGAACCTGGGTAGAGAGACATGCCACCCAGTTGCTCAGAGATCATGGACATAGAAGATTGTCTTCCAGGGCTAGATACAAACGGCGAGCCATCGTGAGAAGCCCGGCTACTACCGATGGGACCTAGACTCGGGCTTCCCAGAGGATTCAAGGACGATTCACGCAGCGGTGAGCCAATGTGATGGAAAGAGGAACCAATGGCATCCTCCTCCTTCTTTTGACGTTGCTTGGCAAACAATGCGCCAAAACGCGATGGACTTGAGGCGAGAGGTGATCCATTCTTGGAAAAGCTGCTGCTCATACCGAGGCCGCTGAAGTCGCGATGGCTACTTCCGAGATCATGATCCGTTCGAGAGAGGCGACGAAGCTTTTCCTGTGGAGTGAGGACATCATCGTGCAAGTTGACAGGGAGATAGTCTTCCTCCATAGGGAAATTCTCATCCCAATCATCAAGACCAGTTGGGCGGGGAACACTGGCGGATAGCATGCGGGGTTTTACGGGCCGTGAAGAGTGCAAGAATCGAGGCCCAATAGTATCCTCAGGAGCTGGAGGAGAAGAACCGATGTTGGACGATTGTTTGCGCAGGTCTGAATAGCTGACATCACGGAGGTTGCGGAACATGTCTGTTGGACCGGGTCGGTGGGCGGGCGGGGATTCCAATCCAAATTTCGATGGCATTGAAGCAGCCACAGGACCGTATCGAGCCACATGCGAGATACCCTGGCTGTCGAATGATGCCGGGAGTGGAGCGTCAAGTGCCGTCAAGTGATTATTGCTGGGTGACATGGGAAAACGCACATCGTCGATGGGGGGACCCATACTTCGAGCCAGCGTCAGAAGCCAACCCCGCATCGATTGTCGGAATGTCATAAGGCGGTTGCTGTCCATGTACTACTCCTGGGACATCCTCCGACTGCGAAGGGTATCGGGGCTCATGACCGTTCATGCGCTGCTGAGACAGCACCGAGTTGGTCAAGGCTGAATCTTGATTCACGTAAGCCTGCGGATTGACTCGGCCACCAAGGTTCAAATGACTGCCACTGCCCATGCCCATGCCACCACCACTCGGTCGATTTACTCTCCGTCCATCGGGTAAGATGTGGGCTAGTGCACATTTTGCGCCGAACTTGCAGTTGCCCTAATAGCGGCGAAGAAAAAATAAATCCATGTCAGCGTCGGAGCCTTCGGTAATGCAAGCGGATCGAGCGATCGTCATCGCAGCGCTTCTCCTACCTTGGTGAAGTATTTGCAGGGAGTATATTCGACCGCTGCATCAGTCGAGTGCAGGAATGGACAAGCGGGGCCGGCCTGGCAAGCACCCTGGCGGAAGAATTTACAGGGAACGTGCTTCGTGTCTACCATCGAGTTAGAAAGGATGAATCCATACAGAACAGCAGCTGATCCAATTTGACGGGGGAGAATGCGTACTCTTGTTGCTAGGGTTAGGTGGGCTGCGGGCCATATCCAGGCCTGAGGGATTTCGAGCATGGCCATTCTGGTTGTTTTGACCATTTGGCAGCCCAGAGGGCACCGGGAGAGGTGCGCGACCTCTCATATCAGAACGACTGGGACGAGATGCAGGAGGGCGAGAGGCTGACAGCATCGCCAACACGGATGGAAGATTTGGAGGGGTCGGGGCGAGAGAGGGGAAGAGAATGGGGAGCAGGCGGTCAGATCGGAACCCGAAATGTATGAGCGCACGCTCAATCGAATCCAAGAGCTTCTAGTTGGGCTGGACAGCATAAAAGATGGAAACAGGGGGCAGATAGTGCTCATGATCAGAGGAATCACTGTCGACCTTAGCTCTCGTTGGTTCCGCGTGTGCATATGCGCTGTTCATCTGATTTGGCTTGGTTCGCCTTCCGGAGTTTGCCTCCATTCCTATGCCTTAGGTGACCAGTCTAGCCTGATCCCCCAACACGAATAAGAAAATTAAACTAGTAGGATACGTTGAACAAGCAGCTTCCTTGCAGTATCCCTCACCCATCATTTCTCGGGAAGTTATCATATTTTGGCCCTTGTAACCCGGCCCCTAGTCCATATCGCGATGCACAAAGCTCCCCAGCTCCGCTCAGACCGAGCCGCAAATCGCGCTCGTCAAATGATATGACTGGGTGGAGACGAGGGGGGATCATCCTCACGCTGTAGCGTCAACACCCGCCAGCCCCTCATTGGAGCGGCCCTTCAAGCCCTAGCGATTCCTTGCAAGCCATGTTAGCAGGGATTCCTGAGGGACGGAGACTACATACCCAAAGCTCTCTCTCGCTTGTTCCCTCTGGTAGTACTTCGGTGCACCTGCCCCATAGATCCCGGCACATGCGACGGCGGCTGGTGGCATGACTTTGCCAGTATTCCCATTCCCGTTCGAGTCTTTCTCGCTCTTCTGGGGATAGGTGTACTTCGTTATCGTCGTGCAAAATAGCTAAGTGCTCTCGGATTCCATTTCGTTCCTGCTCCAAGCGCTGGATATCCTCCTGCAGATTGGAAAGTCGTGGGTTAGCCTCGAAGACCGCTAAAGCCATCCGGGCTTTTCTTTCACTGGTCTTGAGATCAGCGAGCTCAGTTCGAAGCTTCTCTATTTCCTGATTCATTGTAGAAAGGACTTGGGGGGTCACGCTTCGTGCCGCATCCTGCAAAGCATGATAGACCGCTTGCTTCCCTGTTTTTGAAGATTAACGTAACTCTCGTCATGATCTCGGGTGTGGAACACATGATATGACATCTATCACCTACCATTAGTCCGTCCTCCGATCTGGCCCTCCTCGTGTAGTTGCTGAAGCGCCTTCGTAGCTTTTGCTGAAGACAAAAAGTTTCAGTCACCTTCAAGCAAGACATATACAAGAAAAATGGGCATTACACCAATGCGTACCCTTAGAGACTTTGTTGTGCAAATTGGCAGACACCTCAATAACCTAGTCATCCTGTCAGCTTGAGTAGCACCTTTAACTCGGCAGGCATATTGACCGAGAATGGGCGACTGTGCGGACGAAGTGTTAGATCCCGGAAAGTCACTAAGCTTGATGAATGCATACTTTTGAGCACCTTTCAATGTGTTAGTGCTCCCTATTCGTGGAGTGTAGGAACGTCATACAGCGAGGACTCACGTAGGTAATCGAGAACGAGTGCCACGTCTTTGCCATGTCAGTTGTCCGAAAGAGTAAATGAAGTTTTTCTTTTCTTTTTTTTTTGGGAAGGCCTACCACCAGAAGCTGCGCCTGTATCGGCCTTGGGCTTGCGAACCATGTTGGGGTTGTTGAAAAGGCAGGAAAACGATGTGAAAAACGAGGAAAGATGAGCGCATTTGGCGCTGCGCTTCACATTTGTCTACGGTGGGTTACGATCAGACGCGGCAGAATTTCGCTAATAGGTTTGATTCCTTCAAAAGGTCGTCCTGTGTATCTAGAAATCAAATAGCCGAACAACCATATGTCCAAAGGCCCCAGGCAACCATGACATCCTGAGCGTAAATGCAAAATATGCGTAAATGGAGATGGGGGCGACGTCAGCATAGTTCGCCTCCCGGACGACGGAACTTAATTTTTTTTTGGAAAAACCGGGATTAAAGGATATAGGAAATATGCAGGAACGAGATGAGAGACAAACAGATAAAAAAAGACAGACGCTCAAAGATCCATGGTGGAGGTAGTCCAAAATGGCGTTCAGGGTATCACATCACCAGCTTAGCAAGTCAATTAGCATACGAATATAGAGACGAAGGACTGAGGTCAGGGGGAGATACTTACACAATCATTATCGCTTTTAGCACTCGGAACTCCCATTTCTTCGAAAGTTTTGGGTCCTTTTCCGGGTGGCGGAGCACTTGGCTTAGATGGCTGCTGCTGAGCAGGGGGTCTTGGCCCAGGGGTGGTAGCGGAAGGCCCAGAAGCCACAGAAGAAGCCGCGGACCCTCTGGATGGTTGCCGGGACTCGGTTCGTGGAGGAAAGTTCCCCTGGTTTGGGAAGTTGGCAGAAGACGGAGAGCCACCTGGCCGAGGAGACGCCGTAGTACGAGGTGAGGCAAGACCGCCAGGACCAGCAGAGCCAGGGGGCCCACCCACAGGTGTCCGCACAGGTCTTCGGTCTGGAGGTGCCCCCTCGAGTCGTGGGGGGCGGCGTCGGTCACCAGGCGGCGGCACAGGTGCAGAATAACCGATATCCAATCGAGGAGTTCCATTGGGGCTCATCATATTCTGAGGACTCATCGGGCCAGGTGGTGCGCTGACTGGAGTACCGGGGCCACTGCTAGGGGCGCTACCGGGGCCCGGACGGTAGGCGCCGGGGCCTGCACCGTAAGATGCAGTCCGAGGAGCAGGTCCACCGCCGTACGGTTGAGGTGGGCCATTGGTGCGAAGATTTGGGTTGACACCAAATGCGGAGCTTGGTCGATGGTCAGGCATCTGATAATTCTGCTGGCCTGGAGGACGAGCGCGCGGAGTAGCGCGGTCAGGATAAGGAGCAGCAGACGAGGGCGGATCAGACAGAGTGAGCCGTGAAGGGTCAGGCATTTCAAGATTCTCCCCGCCGGATCAAAAGAATTGCCTCGTTGGTGCGCAACATGCCGAACTGACTTGATGCGATTGATTGCGACTGCCTGGTGATCCTTTCGGGAAAGCGTCTTGGAACGAGAGATACTATCAATCCGACTTGTCGCGTCTCTGTTACCGCTAGCTTCTGCCTTCGCGTACCAGCTTCGGGCCTCCTTCAGATCCGCAGCAACGAAGATCCCCACTTCATAGAAATAACCGAGGGCAAACTCGGCAGTAGGAAGACCGCTCTGGGCGGCACGTTGAGCATACGTGAAAGCAAGCTCATCGTTTTTCTCGAAAATTCCTTCGTGTCCACAAAGGAACCATTTGCTGATGGCCATTTCGGCCTCCGGCTCGCCTTGGCGAGCAGCGAGTGCGTTGTAGTGCAAGGATAGAGCGGGGTTGAAGTCGCAACCGAGTTGACAAAGCTCATATGCGGCACCCATCTTTACTTGAGCCTTGGCGAATCCATGGTATGCAGCTTTCTCAATATTGACACGCGCAATGTTGTAATCCATTGGCAGGAAAGATTCAGGGACATTGACTTGGGGTAGCTCTCGGGCAATGAGCATGCCATAGACCTAGACAAGAGATTAGGACCATCGTTCTAACCAACCTAATAAGCCAAGACTTACGTAGGCACCCTGCGGCGCATTCTGATCGCACGATTGTGCGGCCAAACGAATGTACTCCAGTCCTCTTGCGAAGTCTTGCCGTTGACCATGCTGGCCGAGGAGAATCATCATACCCAGACGCTAAAGGATCACTGGTTAAAAAAATTTTTACTTCAAATGTCAGCAAAGCTTACATAGTAAGATGCAGAGTCACCCATCGTGACACCTCGTTCATAGTGCTTGATGGCCTTTTCCGGCTCGCCCGAGCTCTCGAATTGCATACCAATACGGTATTCTGCGCGAGCGTAGCCCTTGTCCGCTGCACGCGTATAGCATCGGAAAGCTTCTTTCCTGTCGACGCGATAATTGAACTTGCCGAATTCCAGCCACATGCCCTTGAGAAACTCTGCCTTGGGGTGGTGTTGTTCGGCTAAGAAGCCAACGATGTTCAAAGCGTCATTTTTCAACTGGCGCTCCACCGGTGGGGTATGTGGACGCGGGGGTTGAGTCAAGGATAGGCGCGCTTCGTTCTGAGCAGCCACTTCGACAAAAGCCAGCGCATCTTGAGCCCAGGCCAATTGCATCTCCGGGTCGGTGGTGGACAAAACGGCCATTCGGGCGCGATCCAAGTTCGCCTCGCGCTGCTCATCGGTGGGGGGGCACATTTGGCGGCGGGTTGCGCAGAACAGGGAAGGGAGAAAAAGTTGGGGTGGTCCATACTATCGTAGGTGGCCGACTGAGCGTACGCTCCATGATCTTGAGTCTGAGTCTGCTGTGGCGGGGCTTGGAGAGCGGAGGAAGTCCGCTCGGGATACTGCGACTGCGAACGATACTGCTGAGAAGGCGTCTGCTGGGGCCGGGCATGGCGGGGGTCGCTGGCATGATGCTCCATTTGAGCTATATTGTCCTGCATGTTCTCGGGCACATCGGGCATCACTCTGCCAGGGAGGATTAGTACTCGTACCTTTGACATCTTGACGGAACGGGGTCGCGTCTGGAAGCACCAAAGTGGCAACGCACCTTTGAGGGGAGGGGGAGATGACCTCTGGCATGTAGAAGTCATCCTGGCCCCCTGGATACCAAGTCGCGCCCACCCGCGGCTGACCACGACCCTGTGGCGGTCGGTTCATCCGGTAGTCGGTCATTTAGCTGGATGGATGCAGCATGGGATAGAGAAGGAGAGTCCGGGGGAGAAGGGTGGGGAGGAGAACAAGGGTCAAGAGAGCAGAGTAAAGGTAATAAATCAGAGGGAGCGGGGGCCTCGAAAGGCGAACCACAGCCCACTTTAATTTTCTCTCGCGCAACCAAAGGCTTGAACGGGAGTGAGAAAGAACAATTTCCGCCGGGGGCCCGTTACGTACCAAAGCGATCCTGGTCAGCAATGTAGTTCCCCTCCTATAAGGTCCGCGTTTGCATCTTTCCTGGCTGTACCTGGTATTTGCATCTTGTGTTCCCTACTATGTCCGGTTCTATTGCGGAGGCAATTTGGGCCTCCTGCAGACCATAATTATAATTACATGGTTTATAAATAGTAGTAACTATGGCATCTCGTCTTGGGTGCTGACAGCCTACTCTGGCCCTATCCTTGTCTGTCACAGCCCCAGGCGCCAGCCCCAGGCCTTACCAGCAATGTACAATGGAGGGATTGTCCCAGGAGTTCCCAAAGAACAATAGGCCCAATTGGTTTTGCAAGACCCGCAAGTATCTCTCCCTCTCTTCCCCTGAAGAGGGGCTTGTTTCTCCTTGTTCCGCCTGGCCTGACAGGACACAACCCCGGTACTCGGCTCCACCTAACGGGCTGTTATTTTTATCTTTTTCCACCTTCCAGAAGCTGAAGATCGGCCCTGTCATGGATCGAAATGAGTTTCACCATCCGTTCACCCCCTATGATATTCAGCTTCAGTTTATGCAGGCCCTGTACACCTGCCTCGAAAATGGCAAAGTCGCGGTCTTCGAGTCTCCCACTGGTAAGCGCGCTGGACCATCTGGCTATCCTCTTTTTGTGCCCCTGTTTCCGATCTGACCGCAGCTTAGGAACTGTATGTCTCCACCGAGCGAACTATTTCCCCCAAGGATTTTAGAGGCTATGATGCCACAGGGTCATCCTCGGAAACCCTCCGCCCTTCAAGTGCTGATCGATTTAGGGTAAATCATTGAGCTTGATCTGCGGGTCGTTGACTTGGCTTCGTGATCATAAGCGCAAGGAATTCCAAGAAACATTGAATCAGATCGCGTGTATGTCCCGAAACTCAGCCCCCCCATTCCCACTCCATCGGGCGTGGGTTGCAGCCGGAGAAAATAACGGCTCACTGTTGGAGTAGATGATGATGATGAACCAGAATGGATGATAGAGTACGCCAAGCGAGACTCTCGACGTGCAATCACAGAAAAAAGGCAAGAATTTGAAGCTCGGCTGGCAAAGGTCAAGCAAGAGGAATACCGAATGATAAATGAAGGCAGCCAGGAACGGCCCCGGAAAAAGCAGGTAGGTTCCCTCAACTAATGGGTTTATTTGCGGTCATTTTCTTGAGCTTCTCTTCTCCTTTTCTTTTCATAGCGCATGGATGAGCCTGAAAGGCAGACAAAGTCGAACTCGGAAGAAACAGAAGATCAATATGCCCTCGACGACTACGACAGTGAAAATGACGAGAAGACCGCAAGTAGAGGAGAGACCGGCCTCTCGGCTAGTACTCTGGCCTTGCTGGAGCAATTCAAGGGGAAATTATCAACTCAAAAGCAAGTCGATGATGAAGAAGATGATAGCATCAAGATCTTCTTTTGCTCCCGGACGCACTCTCAGCTGTCCCAGTTTGCAGGGGAGTTGCGCCGAGTGCAATTCCCTTCGAGTATACCCCCCGATCCCGACTCGGAGGATAAGGGTGATCTCCCGACTCTTGAAGAGCGAATTAAACATCTTTCCTGGGATCCCGAAAGAATCTATGCATCAATCCCAAAGTGCGAGCATTAGAAAACAGTACTGCAATCAACGAACGATGCCTGGACTTGCAGCAACCCGGAGTGGCCCAGGATAAGAAGTGCTCTTTCCTCCCTTCGAAAGATAACGAAGCTCTCATTCTTCAGTTCCGGGACCACGCCCTAGCTACAGTGAAGGACATCGAGGACATCGGGAAAGTAGGTAAGCTAGTTGGATTATGTCCCTATTATGCAACCCGCTCTGTCATCAAGCACAGTGAAGTAAGTACCCATGAATCAATAAATCATGAGCAGACAGTGACTGACAGTCATTGAACAGATTGTGACGCTTCCCTACCCGCTGTTGCTTCAGCGATCTGCTCGTGAGGCTCTCAACTTATCCGTCAAGAACCATGTGGTCATCATCGATGAAGCACACAATCTCATGGATGCGATTGCGGGAATCCACTCTGTGACTGTTACCTTGGCTCAATTACAACTTGCTATTTCACAATTGACCGATTATGCAAGAAAGTTCAAGGCCCGGTTGAAAGGGAAAAACCGAAGCTACGTGGCCCAAGTCATCCGACTAGTAAGCTCCATATCCGATCATCTGCGGGTAATCTCTCTACGAAACGTGCCCCTAGAAGGCCCTGTTCAGTTTCCGGACCTGATGGCGGGCAAGGGAGTGGATCAAATCAACCCCTACAAACTCTCCCGCTACTTACAGGAAAGTAAATTGGCAAGAAAAGTAGACGGCTATGTTGAGTCGTCCGAACAGGTTCAATCCAATCAACCTCGAAGGCGAACGACAGTGCCTGTTCTATTTCATATCCAAAGCTTCCTGCTTCCTTTGATGAACCCTTCGGAGGAAGGCAGGCTCTTCTACCAAAAAAGCCCCGAAAACGTGTCATTGAAGTACATTCTTCTCGACCCCACCAATCATTTCCGGGAGATTGTTGAAGATGCCCGTGCTGTGATTCTAGCAGGCGGCACTATGTCTCCTGTAAGCCCTGACTGAACCGACTTGTGATTGCTTGAATTGCTAAAAGCTCCAATTCTAGATGTCAGATTATGCTCATCACCTCTTCTCATACGTACCCTCTGAACGCCTTGAAACCTTTAGTTATGGACACGTCATTCCCGAACAGAATCTGGTTGCGCAGTCCTTAACTCGAGGGCTCATGGGCTCAGAGTTTGATTTTACTTATGAGTCAAGAGGGTCTGAGAAGATGGTAAGCGCTTCTCTATTTCTTCATCCGAATCGTTTCTTGTTTCTGACCTTATGAGTATAGATCGCGGATTTGGGCCGAACGATTGCAACTCTATGTCAAATCATTCCTGATGGTGTCGTCGCTTTTTTCCCGAGTTATGACTACTTAAGCCAGGTACTAGACGTATGGCAAAAGCCCATTGCGAATGGAAACGGACAAACTACGCTTGATTTGATCGGGCGGAAGAAGACAATTCTCTATGAATCTCGCGACGCAGCCACCACAACAGAATCTCTATTGCAGGAATACAGGCAGGCTGTTGAATCAGGGTCGGGAGCCTTGCTCCTCTCTGTGGTCGGTGGAAACCTGTCAGAAGGAATCAATTTTTCCGACCGACTCGGGCGAGAGTGCTGATAATCGGGCTTCCATTCCCCAACATTCGAAGTGCTATCTGGGAAGCCAAGATCAAGTACATCGAAGAAAAGACTTACAAGCAATGCACCGGCTCAGAGTCTGAAAGGAAAAGCAAGGCGACTGCTGCGGGTAGGGACTTCTACGAAAACTCCTGCATGCGTGCTGTCAACCAATGTATTGGACGAGCAATTCGTCACGTAAATGATTACGCAGCTATTGTCATGATTGACCGCAGGTACGATACGCCCAGGGTTCAAGGCAAGTTACCTGGTTGGATTCGAGGGAGTCTGGTCTCTTCACCACCTACGCGTCCAGCTCAGTCAACTGTGCAACGTCTAGCAAAGTTCTTCGCAAATAAAAATTGAGAATTTTCATCGCAGCAGGGTCTACTTGCCATAGAAAGCAGAAAATAGAGTAGTACCCAGGAGTATGGACTGTAGTTCTAATTGGTGGATACAGCTCTCAGGCGGTGGCAGAATGGTAATAAGCGGAAGGAGCAAAATAGGGCACACCCTCCTTTCCTTTTTGGTGCAGCAGGCCCTAGAGCCGAAGATGCGCTGACTAAGTCCCACAATTTTCGCTGGTGCAGCCGATTTCAACATCAACTTCGGGAAATTCAACTGACCCTTCAACCGCCAAACCTCAGAACCGGTCTTGTCGACACCCCATCCACGACAAGTAAGAATACCTTCACGATACAAATTGAAATGCTCTCGTGATACTAATACACACTTTCTTAAACAGTGCCTACTCGTCTCAGCAAGACCCGCAAGTCGTAAGAACTGCCCCCTCACCGTTTCTCCATATTGGCCTCCTGGTTGCGCACATCCAATGGCCTCGTTCTTCTTCGCCTGTTCCAGCCGCTAACAAACTCTTTCAGCCGCGGCCACGTCTCCGCGGGTTACGGTCGTATCGGCAAGCACCGCAAGTCCCCCGGTGGTCGTGGTATGGCCGGTGGTCAGCACCACCACCGAACCAAGTGAGTGGAACGCCTCCTCGCAGCCCTTGCACAGCAGCCATCCTAACGCATACTAGCTTGGACAAGTACCATCCTGGTTACTTCGGTAAGGTTGGTATGCGCTACTTCCACAAGACCAAGCAGCAGTTCTGGAAGCCCACTATCAACCTCGACAAGGTACGTTATACCGCGAAAATTCTTCGATCGACAATCCGAGAGAATTTGGAGTCCAGGGAAATATGATTTCGCATGAGGATGGACGTAGATGAGCTGTGGAATGTTGAAATGGGCTATGGAGTTCATATGGATTGATTGGAACGTTGCACGCCTACGCAATACCCAGACTAACGACGATTCTCTTACAGCTCTGGTCTCTTGTTCCCGCCGAGAAGCGTGATGCCTATCTGAGCGGCCAAAAGAACGACTCCGCCCCCGTCATCGATCTTCTCCCGCTCGGCTACTCCAAGGTCCTCGGCAAGGGCCGCCTCCCCCAGATCCCCGTTGTCGTCCGTGCCCGTTACTTCAGCCGCGACGCTGAGCAGAAGATCAAGGAGGCCGGTGGTGTTGTTGAGCTGGTCGCATAAGCGTTTATTTGGTGTTCTTTGGAGAAGGCGGGTGAATCGGGGCAATTGCAGCACTAGCTGTGTTCGGTCTCGAGTGGAGGATCATAGTCTTTCTGCTCCTGAGGAAGACAGTTGTAACTCGATAAAAGAAAGTTCGTTCAGAGCCGAAGTGGTTCGGTTCTAGCGTTCGAAAAGAAAAAGGGTTTTTGTGTATGCAGTTTCGCATAGCATAACCTCCGAATGCCCTTACGATTTCACATTGTGTTTAAACAAATACCACAAGGAGGATTTTTCACACATTTTTCCCTGTGCCATCGTAATCGACCAATGAGCGACGAACTTGCTACTTGCCAAAGTGGCTTCCCAGTATCTCTGTCCCTTGAATTCACCAATAGAGTATAGGGGTTAGGACGCATATGGAATACGCTCATGAGGCCTACGTTTGTGGCCACACGGCTAGAGCGCAGCTAGTACTAGTATGAAGAAGCTAGTATCATTGTGAATTCAGAAATAGAAACTTTCATACTATTATGATCAGTCCACTTAGGGGATCATCTCCGAAGTCATAATCTTCTGGTGTCTAGATCTTGGACTCGCGTACGGAGCCTCTACGGTTCTGTCTATCGGCACTCTCTTCTAAAGTCTCGCGTATAAAACGGATCGCCTGCTCAGCCATCTTGGGGGTCACTTCATGGCCGGCATTCTGGTCAATGATATCCTCAAATGTGATACCACCATCGCCGAACCAGCCATCAGATGACACTGCCATCTTGAACCACCTGAGGAAGGCTTCTCCCCGATGATAGGGAACAAGCTTGTCCATTCCACCCGACAGGTTCAGAATACGCTTGCCCGCGAGGCGTTGTGATAAAAGTGATCGAAGTTCCTGCTTCTCTGCATCTGTTGGTTCTGGAAGAGTCCCATCTCGCAAAGGGCCCGGGGCATTCGGAACATGGCTAAGCATAAGACTAGCGGGGTCATATTTCTTGACAATGTCCACAAATGAATTTGGGAACGCCTCAGAGCCAATGATCTCCGAGCCGGGAGGGTTGGTCTTAGTCCAGGAAGGTATTTTTGACAATCGCGCACGGTCCACCATGAGGTTGAGATAGTCAGGGCAGCCAATTATCACGACACCAGCGCTGACGCGCGAGTCATGCAAGAGGCAGCTCCATGCGGCATGCCCACCGAGGGACACACCAAGGACTAGGTTCTCTGAGATTGTATGTTCGCCATTGGGGAAAACATAGGCAGCAAGATAGTCCATCAATAGAGAGGTGTCCCTGGCAGTGCCCTCTGTTACAGACCAGATGATTAGCCCCGTCTTTCATTTAGTAGAACTCCGCGCAGCAAACATCGACGTAACTTACGGAAGATGGAAAACATATCCTGAGCATGGCGTGGATTGCCTTGTCGCCAAGCTTCATTTGCCAGAGGATCAACCATGCGGGTGCCATGATTCCTTTGGTCGAATGAGACCGCAATCAAACCCTTCTTTGAAGAGGTGCCTTCGTTACGGCCATTCCAGTCAGTGATACTGGAAGCAGCGATGTCGGCCATGCGTTCTTGGGTAGCCAATCTAGGATGCAGCAACCAAAGACAGGCTACATTCTCCGCCTGCGTCTGTAACTCCTGCAGACCGTAGACTGTGACTGATATTCCAGCAATAGCGTATATCCTCCGAGATATTGCAGCCGGCTTCTGGCGCCCGTCATCCAGCGTCTTCAATGGATCCGTCATAGTCGTATAGGAAAGGAAAGCACAGGGATTGGAGCTTGAAGGCCTGAGAGATTGATTTGGTCTCAAGGACGGGACACCAGACGAATATCAAATGAGAGGGGCAAGAGAACAAAATATAGTTGTAGCGGGGATGTCTTCGTGTTTTGTCAAAGAACTCGGTTATAGAGCGAAGAAGCCGAGGGTCGTGAACCCCCCGAATAGAAAAGCCCACTTGAGTTTGCTCTTGACATCGCCCCCCCCCCCCCGACTTCCCATTGTACACAATATCAAGGATTCTTAAAATCAATGGGGTTGAATGCTCAGTCGCCCAAGCTTCAACTTCTAACATCTAATCATATTTGGTCTACTCACAGACGAAGGCATACACAAAATAACGTCCCTCACGTGACCGACCCCTAAGCGGAAGAGTCAGGCCACAAAATCCCGCCCAAATGGGCAAAAGCACGCAAACGAGTAAACGCGATTGACAAAGACCCTACACCCCTGCCAGGTGTCAATGCAAATTATCCTGCAGCCTGTAATCCGTACTATCTTGCTTGGGTTCCAGTGCGTGTGGCCCGCTCCTGAACTCGGCATCCCTTTTTTGATCCCAGATCTCCGTACACTGCCTACTGGTTAACTTGGCGGGTCCCCCATAAACCACTCGGGGGATTCTGATGGGGCACCGAGACCCACTGCTGTTGCAAACTAATTCGACCTTTGGGTGCTCCTTAACATACTCGAAGGCAATGCTACGCTTCCAACCGAACTCTCAACTCATCAAGACTGATATGACGAGATAAGCTCATTGCGTATCCAAGGGGTTTGATCACTCCTGCATGTACGCCTTCCTTGGCAACCCGCGCTCGCAATGACCTGCAGCTGACGATCGCTTCTCAAGACTAGCATGACTGACGCTCCAGTGGACTCCTTTGCGTTTAAGGAGACACGTGGTAGCCCTGACGGAGCTCATGCTCAAAGGCTACACCCAATATCGACCTCGACCAGTTCGAAGCTCGGCTCGCCCTTTCCGTCCCCCACCGATACCAAACAACCGGCTCCTGCCAATCAGGACCAGATGGAAGCTACGGGAAATGACAGGGGATCGGTGAGCCAAGGCTTGTCGAGAGAAGTAGGATTGCCCACCGAAGAGAGCAACGGTAGCCGACTATCTCCAACCCAACAAAGTCCGGCCGGGGACAGTCATTCGCAGGATGCCCACGGACAATTCATGCCTGCCGACGATAGACCGCATTCAATGACTCGGCACAGACAGCAATCGTCCCTCCCAGGGTTCCCCCAACCCTCCCGGATGGAGAGTACTCAACCTCGAGACACTGACAACGAAGGCGCTGAGTTGTCACAATCCAGGCCACCGTCATTGTACGGCGAAGATGGTGAACAGGCGACAAGAGGCAGGCCATCGTTCATGACCAAGCTAAAGTCATTTGCCTCCCACTCCCGGTCTGCAAGCGGACATACAGTTGCAGATTTCCGCCCTGCCCCGGCCGACTCGACACCCGGCGAGGAACGAGGGGAATTTCGATTCCCCGCGCCATTGCCAGAAGAGGGAAGTGACATCGATGCCGATGCAGAGGAAAGTGGTGCAGAGCAACGGGATCGCCCCGAAGAGGAATAAGATTCTGCGACGCCGGCAACAACAGGAAGAAGACGGCAACCGTACTGCTCCTACGACCCCCAAAAACACACGGCGACCATCCTTCCACTTCTCTTCGTCTTTTGCACCTTTCGAGGCATATCGGCAGAACATATTCCCGCGGAGGGCGAGTACAACTGATTTCACACCGCAAGTACGAGAAGGAGTCTCTGAAGATGAGGGCCGCGAGAGACTTAATCGCCGAAAGAAAAGCGTTGTTCGGCCGTGGGCAGGAGCTCGTGGATTGTCATATGTGGGGCGCCAGCCGGAAGCAACTCCAGACGAGACTCGTCCAAGTCACCTCAGACGACTCACGGGCCTTGCTGGGCCGTCTGGAGAAAATACCGACGGCCCCACGACGTCCTGGAGGCGTCATCGAGCCGAGCGTGGTACCAGCGCCAGTGCTCAACGATGGAGGCAGATCAAAGCAGGCCTCAAATTGATTGGACAGCGTCGCAAGACGGACAACACTGTTGACAACAAGAAGTCCGCAGAGCTACTTGCCGAGCTTGCCTCGGCCGTCCCAGCCGCTCTTATTCTGGCCAGTTTCTTCCAGCGTGACGAACACGGAAGCAAACGAATTCCCATCCTCTTGGAGCAGCTCAAGGTTCGTGTGACGGATAGCCGCATTGATTCTCACTCCGGCGATCGCCACCTGGTATTCCGCGTCGAGCTTGAATATGGAAGTGGCATGACTCGAATGAAATGGATTATCTTCCGGACCCTGCGAGACTTCGCCAATCTTCATTTGAAATACAAACTCCACCTCGGAACACAGAAATATATCCAGCTACGAGCAAGCGAGAATAGCCCTAGCCTGCCTCGTTTCCCCAGAAGCGCTTTCCCTTACTTGCGTGGCGTTCGAGGCTTGGAGAGCGAATTCGAAGATGAAGACGAAGACGGAGCGTATGAAACTGAAGCTGCAAGCGGCACAGATAGGGTTGGAGGAAAGAAGAAAAAGCAAACACCGCCAAATCAGCGCCGGCCCTCAGGTCCTCCCAGTCGCAGACAGTCTAGTCTCACAGGCCCTCGCGATGGTGACTCGCTTGCAGCACTTCCCGAGGGCCAGGATGGTCTTCCAAATGGAAAAAGAGAGCCTTATCCCGAGAGACAACGGAAGAAACTCGAAATTTATCTGCAGAAAATGATTCGTTTCTTGATTTTCCGGGCTGACAGCAATCGACTATGCAAGTTCTTTGAACTATCTGCCCTAGGGGTCCGGCTTGCTGCAGAAGGGAGCTACCACGGCAAAGAAGGATTCTTAATCATCCAGTCCTCGAAGGGTCTGGATTTCCGCAAGGCCTTGAACCCATCGCTGATCAAGAAACGCCATTGGCCCAAATGGTTCCTTGTCCGTCACAGCTATGTCGTTTGCGTGGACTCCCCAGAGGAGATGAACATTTATGATGTCTTCCTCGTCGACTCCTCATTCAAAATCCAGACTCAAAAGATGAGTCTCCGTAATCAGAAGGCGAAGGATCTGGCCAAATCTGCGAAACAATCTGCCCGACATCCACAGCACCACACGCTTCGCTTGGAGAATTCCGAACGCAAGCTCAAGCTGCTGGCTCGGAACGAGCGACAACTCCAACAGTTTGAAGATTCTATCCGGTTCATGGCCCAAAATACCCCATGGATGCGACCGAACCGGTTTGATAGTTTTGCACCAGTGCGACAAAAGTGTTTCGCGCAGTGGCTTGTCGATGCCCGAGATCACATGTGGGTGGTCTCAAGAGCGATTAATCAGGCCAAAGACGTCATCTATATCCACGATTGGTGGTTGAGTCCTGAGCTATACATGCGTCGTCCTGCCGCCATCAGTCAGAAGTGGCGACTGGATCGTCTTCTGCAGAGAAAGGCCCGTGAAGGTGTTAAAATTTTCGTCATAATGTATCGCAACATCAACTCGGCCATTCCAATCGACTCTGAATACTCTAAATTCTCTCTTCTGGAACTTCACCCCAACATCTTCGTCCAAAGATCCCCAAATCAATTCCGCCAAAATACGTTTTTCTGGGCCCACCATGAAAAGTTGTGCCTCATTGATCACACAATCGCATTTGTCGGTGGTATCGATCTATGCTTTGGAAGATGGGACACCCCCCCAGCATCAGTTGACTGATGATAAGCCTACTGGGTTTGAAACGACAGATCTACCGAAGGACGCTGACCATTGTCAATTATGGCCGGGTAAAGATTACTCCAATCCTCGAATTCAGGACTTCTACGACCTTGATAAGCCATACGAGGAGATGTATGATCGAAACGTCGTGCCTCGAATGCCATGGCATGATATTTCAATGCATGTGGTGGGCCAGCCCGCGCGAGATCTAACTCGACACTTTGTGCAGCGCTGGAATTACATTCTTCGCCAGCGAAAGCCGACGCGGCCCACGCCTTTTCTGCTGCCTCCTCCAGATTTTGACCCTGCAGACCTGGAAGCGTTAGGTTTAGATGGAACCTGTGAGGTTCAGATCCTACGGTCCAGTAGTATGTGGTCAACTGGCACCCCTGACGTTACTGAGCATAGCATCATGAATGCATATGTGAAGCTCATCGAGGAATCCGAGCACTTTGTATACATCGAGAATCAATTTTTCATCAGTACGTGTGAGATTGATGGCCGCAAAATTGAGAATTTGATTGGAGATGCATTGGTCGAGCGCATTGTTCGAGCAGCCAAGAATGGGGAGGCCTGGCGTGCTGTCATAGTCATTCCATTGATGCCAGGGTTCCAAAACACCGTGGACAGCGAAGGTGGCACCAGTGTGCGTCTCATCATGCAGTGTCAGTACCGCAGTATTTGCCGGGGAGAGACATCGATTTTCGGCCGACTTCGAGCCTTGGGTATTGAGCCGGAGGACTACATTCAATTCTTCAGTTTACGTACCTGGGGCAAGATTGGACCGCAGAAACAGTTGGTCACTGAGCAGCTCTATATTCACGCCAAATGCATGGTCGTCGACGACCGAGCCGCTATCATTGGGTCGGCAAACATCAATGAGCGGTCCATGTTAGGATCTCGCGATTCGGAGGTTGCTGCCGTGGTACGAGATACTGACACGATCACTTCCACCATGGATGGCAAGCCCTATGTGGTTGGTCGATTCCCGCACACCCTGCGTATGCGTCTGATGCGAGAGCACCTCGGAATCGATGTTGATGAGCTTTTGGAACACGACTTTGCGACAGAGGAAGAACTCCGCAAGATTCAGGATGATGAGGATGGTACTCACCCAACGGGTGGCCAAGGGCGGCGCAACTCGCAGTCATCAATGATGGACCGACAAGACGAGAGGGATATGATCGAACGGCGTCATCGTATCCAGGACGAGTTCCTTTCCCGCTCGGAGGAACTGCATAGCTTCAACCATGACGTTGACTGGGAACAGGGTGCGAACCCTAACCTGAAAAGCAACCGCCGGCTTACAACAGACCCCCGAGTAACGGACAACTCCGAGCATCAAAAAGATGTAGATGGCAATGGCGCTGACCACCTGGCGGCCGCCGAGAAAGCCGGCCTGGGAGTTGCTCGAGATTCGCAGATGACCTCGAATGGGCGGGAAGTCCTCCTTTCCCCGATCTATTCCGAAGGCAAGGGTACTATTCAGCAGCCCAAACCCTCAATCCCGCAGAAGTCCAGCTCGACCAGCAGGAATGCCAAGGAGGCATTGGCCGAAACCCCTCATGATAACGCATCCAACAATAACTCTGATACCCCACAAGGCCATGTTCCATCTGACCCCTCGAGTCGCGAGTCAGAGACTGCTGGCCCAGGTCTGTTCGTGTCTAAAGAAAACCATGAGACTCCCAGGTTTGGGCACCCGCTGCTCCCCGACCTGCGACGTATCTTCATTGATAAGGACTGCATGCGCGACCCAGTAAACGACGCGTTCTACTTGGATACTTGGCAGGCTGTGGCTGAAAAGAATACTAAGATCTATCGGTCTGTTTTCCGCTGCATGCCAGATAGCGAGGTCAAGAACTGGAAAGAGTACAAGGAGTACGCCGCGTATGGTGAGCGGTTTTCAGAGATGCAAAGTCAACAACAGACTAGCAAGACTACCAGCCAACCTCCAAAGCAAACCGGCACTTCTTTGGCTTCACCTGTCTCCCTTGTGGCCTCTAAAGCGGACGGACAACCTGTAGATGAAAAGAAGGAGCTTTCTGCATCTGACAAGAACGATTCCGATCGACCGCACTCTCCTCAACAAGAAACATTATCCTCGATTGATGAGAAAACCGCCATGAAGGCAGCATCCGACCCACATCTCTTGAGCAAAGTGGAAAATAGCCAGGAGGAAGGGCACCCTGTCACCGGGGCTGATATTGAGATACCCCGTTCCAACTCAGTGCAAGTTGACTACTCCGAGGCGATCAATCTCAATGCATCGCATTCTCGCAGGCGTCGCCGCCGCGGAACTACAACTAGCTGCAAACGCGAATTTCACGCTGCGGACGAGATGTTGGATAAGCAACGTTCGGAAGAGCTTCTCAACAAAACCCAGGGCCACCTCATCTTGTGGCCCTATGACTGGTATGTCCAGTGTTACGATTGTGAATAAGGCTCATGCTAACGAATCTGCAGGCTCGAGAAAGAGGAACAGGGTGGTAATTGGCTCTATGCGTTGGATCAAATTTCGCCCCTGGAAATCTAGTAAGTGCCATCTCAGAAAACCCCCCTCCCTCCCCCAAGGCTTCTGATATCGGTTTTAACATAATCAGCAATTAATTTCGTCCTACTTGCACTCGACGGCGTCACCTATTGGTTTCAATCATTGTTTGCCAAAGATATTTCATTACGTATAAGCATATTCTTCACCTTCTGTTGCGGTTGTGTTGAGCGCTGCTGTTGCAAACGAAAACGAAGGACAGTCTTTTGCTATTAATCAAGGGCGGCGGTTTAAAACATAGACATTTTGACCTTCATTATGCTAGCGAGCAGGCGACTTCAACCCCTAATTCTGAGAGTTTACTTCGAACATAATGCCAACAAAGTTTTTGTTGTATGATTTCCAGACGATGTAGGAGAGATCAATGCCATTTATATAGGGTATCTTGTGAGTGTATGCGTATTGTACAACATGAAGAACTAAAGTCGATCCTATCACACGTAGGAGCCTTCGGCATGATGCGCAGAAAGTATCATTCTTCTCCGAAACCTCTCCAGTTCAGCAAAATTAGCATGGAGGCCATCCTTCAGGATCGATTCTTTTTTCGGTTGCGAGTCCCAATCGCCCAGAGACTCGACCAGCCGTTCGTGCGCCTTGGCAAAGACCCTCTGCATCTCCACCACCCGAGTACACGAGCGCCCCAGGTTATTCATGTAATGAGACGGATCCTGAACACACAGCCTTCGGCTTGCTGGTCTATTACCTTTCACAGCAGCTGTATGCTTCGCATTGATCAGAGACCGCTGACCACGAAGGTGTGCAGGCTCTACTTCTTTGGTCGGGGGCGTGCGGAGGGTCTTAATGCTAAAAAACCCTGGAGGATCTGCGGCCACTCCTACGGACGAAAGATTGACCTCCATACCGTATAGCTGGAGGAAGCCTAAGAATTGGTCACCAAGCCGACTATAGCCAGGAAACCGTCCATGGGTTGTCTTGAGAAACGCAACGACAAGTAAAGCTAGCGCATCGGGTTCGATGCTCGCGTGCGAGTCGCCGAACAGGCTATGCGCCTCGAGCAAAGTCCGCGCAGCGGTATACAAAGGCCTCAGCGCAGGATACTCTTCCGAATAACCTTGGAGGTACTCCGTGAGGACAGGAACACCCTCGTCGCAGCGAAAGTTCAGTAGCAGCCCTGTGGGTTGGTGTCGTGCCTCTAAGAAGGGCCTCCGTTTCCCTTGTAGTTTAACCAGGCCATTGAAGAGTTCAGTAGCTTGGAGAGCTGATTCGACACGGCGCAGCAAGTTCATATGGGCTTCCTTGATCTGTGGCCTCGTGGCGCTCGGCCTCCTAGAATTGTCTAGAGAGCGCGGCACGTCGTCGTAGCGCAACAGCAGGCTCACGTTCGAATGCGCCAGCGCCAAGCCCGTTCGGTGAGGGCCTATCAGCTGCGGACTATACGGCACGACCCTCTCTATCAAGGCGCCAACTTGTCCGATTATGCGATGAATTTGGTCCTGCTCGTGCTGACTCGGGGCTAAGTAGCGGCTCAGTGCTTGGAGCTCGGCATCCAAGTACATCGAGGCATCACCCGCCACTGCAGATCTAGGTAAATAGCTTAGCCACGGTAGATTTGGCGGAGTTCCATAGTGTGGAAAATCTGCACGTCGGGACTAAATCCAGAGGCTTGGGTTTTTGGGTTGATTGAAGGATGGCCGCCTCGTGACGGCGCCTGCGAGCGCGCCGTTTGCTTTCCGGTCTTGGAGCATCGTGGGAACTCGACAGGGCGACTGGCGGTTGATAGCCAGCCCAGTTCTCAGGGGGGGAGATCCGGACGGAAAAGTCCAGGGGCAGGCGATCGGGGGTATATTTTGCGAATCAGACGGGCGCGGTTCGAGGCGCGATGGGCTTCTAGGGTGTCGCGCAGGCTATCAGGGACAATGTCCGACTGGGGTTGCGAGAAAGGGAGTCGCCGGGGGGCATAACGAGTAGATCTGATGCCGGATAACCGCATCGCCGTGCATTCACAACATGTTTAAAGCTTCAAGTTCTAGAAGCGCCCCACGAAGGACCCGAAGAGTGGAATCGCCCTGGAATACTGGGTGCCTGAGGCAGACACAGCAGCAGCCAGTGAGAAACGCAACCGGACTATACGCTCCCCAGCACGAGGACTCGAGGACGTGATAACAAGAGTAACGAGGGATATTGCATTTCTACCGCGCTCGTAACTTCAGATATTTCTTTCAGGTTCTCTCTCTGTCTACTTCTGCTCGGATGAGCAGACTCAATTCATGACGTAGGACTGAAGACATTCGGAATCCAAAGGAAACCCCACTCTATGAATAGCAAGGCTTATTGAGCCGATCTCTAGAATGAGCAAAACTTGCCTGATGCGGCCGGTGGCTGTTATCACACACCGCTTGCCCCGCCTATTTCTTCGACGCTTCTAGCATCCACCCCCAGCTTGTTTCTTTTAGCAGACGTGACGTGGCAATTCTCATGGCTTGAGTGCCAGTCATTCCCGTGTCGATCGCATCTCCCCTCTCGTGCTCCCCCCGAGGTATGCGCCATCCCCGGTCTCGGCCCTCCTGCTATCAAAAAAATATCCCCTGGCAGCTCGCGATTGCGTCTGTGCTGACTCGATCAGTGGAATTGCGTCCTTTGTTGGGCTTCCTCCCACCTCTTTCCCGCCCACGATGTCTCAACCAGACAGCCCCGCGGTGCCTGACAACCAGCCAAACCCGGTGCTTGTCGGACCAGGCTTGACAGCTCTCAAGGATGAGGCTTACGCTGAGGCTACGAACGCAACCCCGAGCTTGGATGCCGATCGAAAGAACCAACTTGAGACCGATGCGCCCTCCTACCTCGCAGACCTCCCGGCCGAACCTGCGTCCCAAGACCCTTCCCACTTGTCCTCTATCCCAGAGGAGGCCTCACAGGGTAACCCTTCTGGCCAAGATCTACTTCGGCGTTTAAGCCTTGTAGAACTACCGGAGATTGATCCGAGAACTCAGCACCCAGATTTGAAGTTGAGCGGTCGTCTGATAAGCGCGGCTTTCTGTCTCCCCTACAAGCTTTATTTCCGAGAAGGCGAAGACTGGGTAAGTGGCCAATGATTTCCTTTTGCGGCGGCTGATACGGTTGAGAGTGGCTTGCTAATGCATCATGGAGAATAGACTCTCAAGCCGCGGTCTGGCACATCGGCCCTATTCGATTCTTTCGCCCATCTGGCTTCCGATGAAACAAAATGGTCTCACACCTTGGTAGGATGGACCGGCGAAGTTGAACCCATCCTTGACAACAGCAAGAGTCCTCTGCAGCAGATCCCCGTTAACCCCGCAGGGAAAGCGCAACCCCCGGGCAGTGGTTCCAGCGGATTAGGGATCAACAAGGCGGCTGCCCTGTACCGGTAGATGCCAGTCAGAAACCGCCAGCACATCCCTTAGTGGATGGAATTAGGGTCGGAAAGGAAGACCGTGCTCGGTTGGACAGTCAGCTGGAAACTGGACGATACGGTCGTATCTTGCCTGTCTGGTTATCGGATGTTTCGGAGGAGCCAGAAGACCACATCGTCCTGAAAGATCAAGGCCGATGGCGGAGATATGCAGAGCGGGAGCTCTACCCCCTCCTGCATTACAAACAGCATGGGCCAACAGATGGACGGTCAGAACGAGAATGGTGGGGTGATTACATTCGACTGAACCAGCTGTTCGCCGATCGTATTGCCAGTGATTATCAGGAGGGAGACGTGGTATGGGTCCATGACTACCACTTGTTCTTGCTACCCAGTCTCCTTCGGCAGCGCATTCCTAATATCTATGTTGGGTTCTTCCTCCACTCGCCTTTCCCTAGTAGCGAGTTCGTTCGCTGTCTGGCCAAACGCAAAGAAGTGCTGACAGGAGTGCTTGGTGCCAACATGATAGGTTTCCAGACCTTCTCCTACTCACGCCATTTTTCGTCATGCTGCACTCGGGTGTTGGGATTCGACTCCAACTCAGCAGGAGTAGATGCCTACGGCGCTCATGTCGCGGTGGATGTCTTCCCTATCGGTATCGATGCCCGCTCGATCCAAAAGGCTGCTTTCGGTGCCCCGGACATCGAAATGACCGTAGAGGGCATTCGCAAGCTCTATGCGGGTCGGAAGATCATTGTTGGCAGAGACCGACTCGACAGTGTACGGGGCGTGGCTCAGAAACTGCAAGCTTTTGAGATCTTCCTCGAAAGGTATCCCGAGTGGCGCGACAAGGTTGTTCTGATCCAGGTGACAAGTCCGACGAGTGTGGAGGAAGAGAAGGAAGACCCAGACAACAAGATTGCAGGCCAGATCACGAATCTAGTCTCTACCATCAATGGCCGTTTTGGGTCTCTCAGCTTTGCTCCCGTTCAATATTACCCACAATACCTTTCGCAGCGAGAGTACTTTGCCTTGCTTCGTGTGGCTGATGTCGGGCTCATCACCACCGTGCGAGACGGGATGAACACAACTAGTCTGGAGTACATTATCTGCCAGCAGAACAACCACAGCCCTCTCATTCTCTCGGAGTTTTCGGGTACGGCGGGCACCCTTCCCAGTGCTATTCATATCAACCCGTGGGACCTGGTCGGCGTTGCTGGAGCTATCGATGAAGCACTGCGGATGTCAGTAGAGACGCGGAAAGAGCAGCATATCCAGCTGTACAAGCATGTTGTCAGTAACACTGTCGGGGCTTGGACGCGGCAATTCCTCCATCGCCTGCTCACCAACCTTTCATCCTTCGACCAGTCGGCTGCCACACCCGCTCTGGATCGGGCTCAATTGGTCAAGCAATACCGAAAGGCTCGGAGGCGTCTGTTCATGTTTGATTATGATGGGACTCTGACTCCCATCGTAAAAGACCCCCAAGCCGCCATTCCCTCCGATCGGGTGCTACGCACCTTGAAGACTCTCGCCGCTGACCCCCGTAACGCGGTCTGGATCATCAGTGGTCGAGACCAAGCTTTCCTGGAGGAATGGATGGGCCATATCCCCGAGTTAGGGCTAAGTGCTGAGCATGGATGTTTCATCCGCAAGCCACGGTCCGATGACTGGGAGAATCTGGCGGAGCGATCCGACATGGGTTGGCAAAAGGAGGTGATGGAAGTTTTCCAGCATTACACGGAACGCACCCAAGCTTCCTTCATCGAGCGCAAACGGGTCGCGTTGACCTGGCATTATCGACGGGCAGACCCTGAATACGGTGCTTTCCAGGCGGCCGAATGCCGAAAGGTCCTGGAGGATACTGTAGCCAAACGCTGGGACGTCGAGGTTATGGCCGGGAAAGCCAATCTCGAGGTGCGACCCACCTTTGTCAACAAGGGCTTCATTGCGACCCGACTAGTGAATGAGTATGGAACCGAGCCTGGGAAAGCCCCAGAGTTCATCTTGTGTCTAGGAGATGACTTCACGGATGAAGGTATGTGTAAAAAGACAATTTCTGCTCCTGGCAGCAGTTGCTAATGAACGGTAGATATGTTCCGCGCCCTGCAAAAATTCGATCTTCCACAAGATCATGTGTACTCGGTCACTGTGGGTGCCAGCTCGAAACAAACGGACGCTAGTTGGCACTTGCTTGAGCCTGCCGATGTGATCAACACGATTCAAGCACTTAACAGTTGAAGCCAAGACTTCTGGATGTTCTCGAGATCGACAGTGATTGTTATAGACTCAGCGATATTCTCTCGTCTGCCAATTTGCCGTTTGTTCATGTCGCTAGACTTATAAATCTCTTTTTTTCTTTCTGTTCTACTAAATCCGAATGCCCCCGTACACGACCCTCCCAGTTAAGAGCCGGATTGGAGATGTGGGGGGACGCCTGTGGACGTCCCCGGCTCATCCTCCTCTCTAGCCCTGAGCGATAGCGTTGCTTGCATTCTTCTTTTCATGTTACTTAAGTACTTTTGGGTGCCTGGCGCTGGTTGGCATGATGGGGGCTCTGTTATGCCATTCGAAGCATAAGGCATAATGCAGTATGCTAGATAGCGTTCCTTGAAAGAGTCCATGTTCGCTTTGCATCTTCTGAACCCTCCACCCATCCTAGCATCCAGGGTGAGATCTCCACTATTACCCCATACCCCGGATGACGGAGAAGCATGGAGTGGGGATCGCCCCAATGGTTCTTCGCCGGTACTAGCGGTGGTACAGGGGCTGCTATACCGGGTCTGAAGTTCTGATTATTCGATTGTAAGTAGCAAGCTTCTCACCAAAGCTCCCGTCTTGTGATCCGAAACCCCGCATCGCAGATCGCAGCAAACAAGAGTCGCCTTCATGGTGGAGTCGGCCAAAAGTGCGAATCACCGACGTTGGAGCTCCTTTCGGCACGAATTCCGAGAGAGAATGGGTCTCTTTTCTTTCATCTTGGTCCTTGGGAAGTACAATGAGTCAGAACCCAATCTCTTTCCAGGGTTACCTCTGGGCTTGAATTTCAATCAATTGAACATCAGGTGTTCTCGGAAGATCAAGGGCAACAGAACAGAGAAAGGTTAAAAGAAAGAGATGACAGTGTGCATCGAAGCATAATTCTATATATTCCCAATCATGGCCGAAACCCCGCTCTCTTCAGAGAAACAACAACTACCCCGTACCAGCGTACTGGACGAAAAGCCCCAAGTGTGCGCTCCTGTGTCGGATCGAAACCATGAAGCCCACGCTCATACGCGATCATCCGACGAGGAATCCGCGACCAGCGCCAACTATGACCTGAATCAGGTACCGACGAACAACAGCGCAGTGGCCCGAACACTGTCTGCCGTTCGCACACGAGGATCAGGGAGAGACATTGGCCCACCCCCCCGATGGCGGATTGCATGCTTGGCTGCAGGTTGGCTTGGGCCACCTGATCATCTTCAACACATGGGGCTACATCAACAGCTTTGGAGTCTTCCAGCAGTACTATAGCACCACACTGGGCCATCCGCCGTCGGACATCTCCTGGGTCGGGAGTATCCAGATCTTCCTGCTGTTCTTCATTGGCACATTCTCCGGTCGGGCCACCGATGCTGGGTACTTCAAGCTCACCCTCCTGGTGGGCGCGACGCTGGAAGTCCTCTGCATTTTCATGACATCGCTCTGCACTGAGTACTGGCAACTTTTCTTAGCGCAGGGGCTGGGCCAGGGGATCGGTTGTGGCCTGATGTTCTGTCCAACCCTGGCACTCATCTCGACATACTTCGTCAAGCGCCGCGGGATCGCTCTGGGGATCACAGCCTCCGGCTCGGCGACAGGAGGACTGGTCTTCCCCGCTGTTGTGATGCGCCTGCTACCGACCATTGGGTATGGATGGACGATGCGCACGCTGGGGTTCATCACGCTGGTCACGCTGCTCCCATGTCTGCTCTTCTTCAAGCAGCGTCTGCCCCCGCGTGCAAGCGGGCCGCTGGTTGAGCTTGCAGCGTTCAAGGAGACGACGTACCTGCTGTTTGCGGTTGGCATGTTCTTGAACTTCTGGGGGTTGTATATTGCATTCTTTTACATCGGCAGTTTCAGCACCGATATCATCGGGGCAGATCAGACGACATCGACCGACCTTCTTCTGGTCATGAACGGCGTTGGCCTCGTGGGGCGACTGGTCCCTAATTTTCTGGCTGATCAGGTTACAGGGCCGCTGAACCTCTTGATCCCATTCAGCTGTGCTACAGGGCTTGTTGCGTTTTGCTGGTCTGCCGTGAAGACTCTCAATGGCCTTTGGGGCTTTGCAGCCTGTTACGGGCTCGTGGCTGCGGGCATTCAGTCGCTTTTCCCGGCAACATTGAGTTCGCTGACGACGGATTTGAAGAAAGCTGGAGTGCGCATGGGGATGGTAATGAGTGTGGTTGCAGTGGCGGCTTTGATTGGATCTCCTATTGCAGGCGCGCTGGTAACGCAGGACGGGGGTCAATATCTCTATGCGCAGATGTTTATGGGAGGTGCTATCATTGCCGGCACTCTGACCTTGATCACAGCCCGTGTGGCTAAGGTTGGCGTGAAAATTGCTCGAGTTTGAGTATCGCATTTCTGCATACGCGGAGGTTTGAGTCTACCGCAATTATTGCAAATGGCAATGACTGAGACGCATGTCACGAAGTTACATATATCAGGTCTTATTCTGTGCATAGACGATAGAGGATGGAATAGAAATAGGATCTATACAATGAAAGAATATAGGTCCCACCACGACCACATGACTGATTAATGCCCGCGCAGCGACTCGCAGTTCAGCTCGAAAGGACCGTGATCTGCCAGTTTTGGTACGGCTTTCCCACCCCCACCGCTACCGCATTTCTGAGTCACGCCCAAATTCCACAATTCAAGAAGCGGTGCCAGAAAACTTACTCTCCACGCTCTCCTACACTTTTTGCATTATGCCACCCGCGGCCGAGGAGGAAAATTCAAGCCCTCGCGAGGAGGTATGGTCGCGTGCACCGCACGATAAACAACCCAGGAAGCTCACAACCAGCCCAGGCGGGAAACATTTCAGCCGAGACATTATCCCTACCGACAAAGACGGCAATGTTGTAGGGTTATGGCGTGTGAGTTCCATGGCGGGTTTTCTGCTTACCCCGCGATCGCGACTGACCCTGCCCCTCCAGGACCCCGGAGACCAGATCGAATCGTCGAGCGAAGAGGAGTCCTCCGAAGAAGAGAGCTCTTCTGAAGAAAGCGAAGATGCGGAGGCTGGCCTGAGTACCACTGCAGCGAACGAGGCTGCAGACCAAACCCGTGAAGCGCGCCGGGCAGCCGCGAAAGCGAAGAAGCAAGCCGCGATCGCCAAGCGCAATCGGCTCGCCGCCCAGCCAGGCGATCTACCACCCAGTGATGACGAGGAAGAGGAAGACGAGACCGATCTGCCCGCGAACCCGAACCATACCGCCAAGTCGCGGTCGCAACTGGAGAAGAAGGATGACGAGGAGCAGCCCAAGAAGAAGAAGGCCCAGGATATCTCACAGCTGTCGCGACGGGAGCGTGAGGCGATCGAAGCGCAGCAGGCTCGGGAGCGATATCTGAAACTTCATGCTGAGGGCAAGACTGAAGAGGCGCAATCCGACCTGGCACGCTTGGCGCTCGTCCGGGAGCAGCGCGAGGCGGAGCGTGCTCGCAAGCAAGCCGAGAAGGAAGAGAAGGAGGAGCAGGCGAAGCAGAAGGCTGCTGCGATCAAGGAGCGAGAGGAGAGGGCGCGAGCAAGTAAGCAGAAGAAGGGTGGGAAGAAGAAATAAAAACCACCAGGGCTGTCAGCGGTGGTATATTGTGGTATAAGCGTCATCAACGAATAAATTGTTTCGTCCCGTACTTTTTTCGCGACCCGTTTTTGTTTGCTCAATAGAAGTCAATTAACCAATTGATGTAGTAGGACGCGTGAAATCTTGGATCTATTGAAACAGAGGGCAAGTATGCAAGATTCTCATCCTATATATGGGAAACCACACAAAGACTCATGTACACCGGAACTCCACCCAATCACAGGAAGGACATAACGACTAATGTTTTCGATGCATGAAAGAGAAAAGAAAAGTGAGAAAGGAAATTGAGTTTCATACATGGGCCCCATGCAGGCCCAAAGTAAGTCGTGTTCTGCGCGGACTCGAACCAGCCACGATTGGAGATGTATACCTTCTCATACACCCCAAAACAGCCCCTCGACACTTCGACCGTGCATGACCACCCCCCAGCCAGCAATCAGACTGATCACCCACAAAACCGCAAAAACCAGAATGGGAACGAGCAGAAGCTCGGTGTTGTGTAGGAACGGCAACGCGTTATACCCTAAGAAGGTAATGTAGGTGTAGTAAATGAGAGCGGAAAGGTAGAGCGTATTGCCCAAGAAGGTTGCCAAGAAGTTGCTTGGGTTGCGGGTCAGGAGGGGGAGAAGGATAAATTGCACCACATAGAGGTGGAGGTACAGAGGGAAGAAAGCGCGGTTCGAGACCTAGCCAATTGGAGAGCCAAGTTAGCTTCTGGGAGACCAAGTAAGCCGGTGGGAGGTGCTTATGCCTACATCAAAGCAGTATCCAAACTCAAGTTGATCCTTTTCTCCGGGCTGCACAAAGAGTCCCTGCGCAGCCCCCCCTCCGGCGGCCCCTCGAGCCCCGGAGGCCTGTGAGTGATGCAGCGGCGCCATTGGGACCGAACAGCCGGCCAATGACGAAATACCCGATCGCTGATACCACTAGGGATGAGCCGATGAAATGTAAGAAGACGAATAGGAGCGAGAGTCGTATTATTGCTCCGAATGAAGGTGTATATGCGAGCCCCCATGCTAGGGCCGTGAGGAGTAGGAAGAAAGAAAGGAGGTATGTGAAGGATGGGTCGGGGCGGTGCCAGGTGTTTTTGGTTTCTGCAAATCGGGGTTAATCAAGAGGCTTTGACAATCGGTTGCGCCGGTGAGTTCCTCATAGCTTACGTTTCTAGAGACCGAGGTATGGTTAGTCACCTCGAATGCAAAAAGGGTTCCGCATGAGTAGGGTAGGGAGGGGACATACGTGGTAGTAGATCGACTTGAAAACCTTCTTAGGGGCAATAAGCAGGGAGGTCATCTCCCAAATGGCCATTTCAAAGTCCATCTGGGGGAATTTAAATAGCCTAGAACGTTCTTAGAGCGGTGCTATAAGCGGGAGAGCTGCGAAGCTCGTACCGTTTGAAGAAGCGTGGCATGCGCACGCTTGACCCGCGGCTGGGGGTCGCGCCAAAGTTGGCCGGCCCAGCATGTTGACGAGGGACAGAGATGTGCGGGTTCATGGTCGAGGCCCGTTCTGCTCAACGGGGATCGTTGAAGGTGATTTTGGTTAACGGCGACGTGTCGCGCAGGTTATGTCATCGTCACGTGGTACCTCCAGGTCTGGAGTAAACACGAACTCGGTCCACAATTTCTGGTTGAGATTGGAAATGTTCACTGGTGAATACAATTGTCAACCGGTACAAACTGACATGGAATCAGCTCCATTTTCGTTCCCAGCCAGCGTTGGGACTTTTCATCTTGTGTTACCTGGGCAATGTGGAGGGTCCGCTTGTGGCGTACGATACCAAGCTTTATTGAATACTCCTGATCTACAGCATACCACACAGAAGATGCGACAGGCAAAATATCAGCATAATAATCAGTCCCAAGCCCAATTCCATTCCTACAATGTTCCGCTAGGCTACCTTCCTGGAAATTGAAAAAAAAAAAAGGCTCCTGGTTCCCACGGGGAGACCGCAAGATTTGCCCCGGCTGCGTATATATATCGTGACGCCCAAGGTAAGAGAGCATTGGGTCAGGCACTTATTGGTAGTAGACATGTGAGCCTGGGAACAGAGCGTGGCTTGAGTTGATCCGTCATGTATGCTGCAAGGGTGAGCCAGAGTCCGTTGATCTCTGCAGCGGATCTAGACTTGCCTACTAGTCGTTGAACTGCGACTGATCCAACCTGTTTAAGGGTATACCGCTGGGTACTTCTTTTTATGGTTTGTTTGTTTTCGGAAGCAGGACAGTCATTACCTCCAGTGGGTAGTCATAAAAGATTGAGCTTCGGAGAGAATTTCTCCAAAGGCCCATTGGATGAATCGCCTTCCGAGATGGTCGATCACAGCCAGCGCCCGATGTATCATGTCGCCTCCCATCTGCAAAAGGCTGGGTCGATGCATCCTCCTCGGCGCCCTATGATTATCTGCTGTCATTGGCCCTCGAGTAGATTATCGCGAGAGCGCGGGACTCCACTTGTGAGGAGTGGGCTCCACTCGAGTCACGGCCCTAAGCAGTACTACAGAAGCACTAGTGCGCCAAACTCTAGCGCTATGGCATCTAAAGCCATGAAGCCATGAGCCAACAGAGGTCACTTTCAGGAATATCGAGACTTTTGGGTGAGAGCCCTGAAGGAGGAGCATTGCCAGTGCCGAATTGCCATGGGGTGTTCGTATTCAAGTCTGTGATTTGTACAACGTGCCTGAAATCCGCGGGTACGGACCGTGGATGCGCCATTAGGAGGGCAGCATCGGGAGGACCTTTGGATTGCAGTAACAATGTAAAAGAATGCTTGTACTCCGTATTTTTTTTTTTTTGATTCTGTAATTTTATTATTTTGATTTATTTACTTACTTATTATCATTATCTTTTTTTTCCAGCATCGCCTACTTGAACAAACCCAAGGCACCGGGCCTGTACTGCAAGAATCCCTGCAAGTCTATAGAAATCGACCCCTGAATCGGCCCCCGTCTACCACCGATCCGGTCCAATTGGGGGATAGTCGCATGAGTCTTGAATGCCCCTGTCTCGGTCTAATCCTTATTCAATTCACAATTTCCAGGGCTCTTCCCCTCGTCCCAGGGTCATTTGTCACGCACGGATCGTGTGGTTCGAGGTTCCACTTCCGCTCGAACTCCCCCCGTTGATATTCTTTTCAGGAGTTCGTCCCCGCTCTGTTCGGGTCTGGCCTTTTTCGCGGGAATCACCTGTCTCAACTTTTCTTTGAACGATGACCTGACAATTCCCGGGAACTCAGCACGACCAGTTCCTCTGGTCTTCGTCGCTCTGTCCTATTTCTCCAGGACGTGGTACCCCCGACTCCTTGGGCGTTCTGAACCTGGGTCTTGGGCGCGCGATACATGGTAACCCTTCCAACAAACCGATCTCGAGGAACCTCCGGATCACTGCTACGCACGTTGCGTCTATTGCGCCGGTCGCCCAACCCAGTCAATCGCCAATTGACGGTCGCCCGTCGGCGTAGATCCCGTTCATTGACTTTTGATCGTTGCACAGTCGCAAGCCGTAACCATGTCGCAGCGTGACCCCTTCTCTCGCTCCCCTCCTCGCACTCCTCCATCCCAGACAGCAACGTACCGGCCTAAACGAGGATATCCGGCGAGACCCTCCGTTCGCGATGCCTTTCCAGACGTCAGCGTGGACGCCGCCTCACGACCCAGCGAGTCGGATGATGGACGAGATCCCCATGACTTGAACCTCTCTCCGAAGCATGCTGCTCGCACTTCCGTTGTAGACAACATGCTCCTCTCCTTGGACCAGTTCGCAACTACCCCTACCGCACCTGTTTTTGACGACTATCAGCTCTATAAATCGGCAATGGACGGAGACATGGCAGGCCGATTCCGTGGCCACACCTTCTCCTCTTCGTTCTCTTCGGAGGCCGACTATCACTACGACGATGCCGCTCACCATGCGACAGCTACAGTCACTAAAGGCCGACGGAGCAACAGCAGTTCAAACTATCAGTCATTACCGAGGAGGATGGATAGCACCCAGAGCCGCGAGGCAATTGCTTCACGCTCTGGGACAATGCCAAGAGCTAACGACTCTCGCGACAATAGCAAGGGGAGCACCTCCACCCTCGATTATACGTTCCCGATTCCCAGGATGCGAGCAGATTCAGACGGGTTGGACCGTCATTCTGCCAGCTTTGACTGTGGACCCAACAAGTATAACCCATACAGTGAAGCATCTTTCGCCCGAGACTCTCTCCTGTACGATGATGATGACGCGGCTCCAACTCCCAGCATACCGGCTGGACCACGCAGGTTTCCTGAATACAGGACTCCGACTGGGCCTGGAGCGAGGACACCAGTAGTCTCTCGACGGAACAGTGTTAAATCATCTCAACCCTCGCAGAGTCGAAAGAATCGCCCAGAAAATCTTGGCACTGGGGTGGTCAAATCCCGCGACGGTGATTTTGAATCGTTCAATGATGCCGCCCTTGATCTGCCACCGACAATGGGAACGTTGAATCATCCTGCCCCAAGTCCAACGATTTCCTACAACAAACCAGCATTCCCACAGCCCGAACCAACAGCAGTATCTACAACCACGACAATCAGCACGGCAAATAATATAGCTCCCAACAAAGAACGCCCGGGATTCTTTCGTCGTGTGTTTGGTGGTGCTTCCAAAGCATCCTCCCCAGGGCCAGCTCCAGCACTCACAGATTCGCCAACCTCAAATGTCAGTGATTTGTCCTATCTTCAAGAAAATGAAGTCAAGGATTCCACTGGTGCTGCTGCCAATCTGAAAGGAGCCAAGTTGCAACCGCCCAAGAGCTCCACTGGGCCCAAGACGGCTCCCGTTCCACCCCCAACGCCAACTCGCCAGGGGCCACCTCAGCAGGTTGTGAATAAAAAGTCTTCATTTTTCCGTCGACGCAAGAAGTCCGTGGCTGAGCACGCTCCCCCGCCTATTGTGCTACCTCAGCACCTGGCTGGGCCATTGACCCTGGATAGCATGAAGCCTGAACCAAGCCCTGTAGGTAGCTTGCAGAAGGTGATGACCCCATATCTTGCGGATGGGCCATCAAAACCAGATGGCAAAGATAACCAGGGAGAGTTGCCAAGTGTGCAAAGACCTAGAGAAGGATCTTCGGCTACGGAAAGTGGCCCAAGGCTCAAAGAAGTCTCCCAGCCCCCTAGCTCGGCTCGTCACGAGGACACTGCGCGCCCAGTCGATAGCCGTGGCACCGAGGAAACGCACTCCGGCAGTGGTGAAATTGAGACCACACTCCCTGCAACTGCCCCCTTGCAGGCAAAGGTTCCCAATAATGGGCCTTCCAAGTCAGACGGGCCTGATGAAGATCCACGCACCCTCCGTGTGACAACAACCACCACGCCTTCAACAGCGGAATCTCCGCAAGAGGCGACTGGACCGACCAAACTGGTGCCTCCAGCGGAGAGAAAGGTCCCAGAGTCTCCTGCGGCTTCTGAGGCTTCACACTACCACACCGCTTCAAACACTCCGATAATCGAATCGGGAGAACGAGAGCTCGACAAGGAGGCCGGCAATATGTCGGATGGGCCAGGAGAAGCGATCGATGATAGTCCTTCTTCATCTGACCGAGAGCAAGCCTACAAGCTCTATGAGAACCAGGGATCAGTGGCGGGCAATGATCCAGCTGCGGCATGGCTTGGCGACCCTGATCGAGCAAAAGTCCGAGAGGCTTACATGCAATTATTCAACTGGTCCAATTTCAATATTCTGGCTGCGCTTCGTAGTCTCTGTGATCGATTAGTGCTGAAAGGAGAGACTCAGCAAGTGGATCGTGTCCTTGACGCTTTTTCGAACCGATGGTGCGATTGTAACCCGAGCCATGGTTTCAAAGCTACAGGTAAGTCACGGAGGTTCACAAAGCGGACGAAAGCATGGTCAACTAACATGCGCAGATGTTGTCCATACGATTTGCTATTCCCTTCTCCTGTTGAATACCGACTTGCATTTAGCCGACATTGACCAAAAGATGACCAAGGCCCAGTTCGTCCGAAACACTATGCCAACCATCCACCGAGTTGCCATGGATGCAGCTCCCGACGGATTCGAGACCCTGCGTCCGTCGAAAAGCGCAAAGACAATTTCTGTCAACCTCGATTCGTTACCGACACCGTCATCAACGCGCACACCATCCTTCCCAGTCGAACCAGGCAGTGCCTCTGATCTGGAGAAAACCGGAGCAAGTACTGCGGATGCTGGGCCCTTGGTGAGCATTCCTTTCACGGGCACTGTCCGAGCTTGGGAGCAGCAAGTGGAACTTGTTCTGAAGGATTTCTATACTTCAATTCAAAAGGAGCGGCTCCCACTCCATGGCGCCCAGCAAGAGAAAGAGGTCTACCGAACGGCCTCGAGCAACTTTCTAGGTGCATCCACTGGTACACTCCGCAGAAGCCCGAGTACCATCAGCAAAAGCGGCTCAGACATATATCCTCGCGGCCGTTCAGCTGATTCCCGCCACGGGCTTGCACGATGGTCATCGAAGCCCCGATCTCGTGCTGGCAGGCTTTATCCTCCTTCGGTGATGGGATCGAGTAGAACTAGTTTGGATGACCAATCTTCTGCTTGGAGCCCCACTGCGTCAAGCACATGGAGCAAGTACTCCCTGGGTAAATTTACCTCTGCTTCGGTCGACTCCTTTGGCTCCGAGGCTCCCCGTGGTGAATATCAGCAGTCTATTGGTTTCGCCAACGCTCTCAGCCAGGCTATCATCCGAGAAGACTCGGCCACCTCTATTTACAGCTATGAGGATGAGCGTACAACCCCTCTTTTGGAAGATGAGACATTGGCCTTGGCTGGTGCACCTTGGGCCAAGGAGGGTAGCTTGAAACACAAGCATCACCTGGATGCAGTGGATAAGCGTGCGAAGGACCGCAATTGGAACGAGTGCTTCGCCGTTATTCAGCAAGGCTGGATGCGTCTCTTTGCCTTCAATTCAACCAAATCCATGCGGCAGAAGGGGAAACAACGCGGGGGTGTCATCGTTGGTGGTGGAAATTGGACAGAAAATGCCGAGGAGCTCTGGAAATTCATGCTCCGTCAGACTATTGCCAGTGCTCTTCCACCCCCTGGATACTCAAAATCTCGACCTCATGTTTGGGCATTAAGCTTGCCTACCGGTGCAGTTCACCTTTTCCAAGCCGGGACGCCTGAAATTGTCCGGGAATTTGTTTCTACAGCAAATTACTGGAGCGCGCGTTTGTCGAAGCAGCCGCTGGTGGGAGGTGTTAGCAACATCGAATACGGCTGGAGTGATGCAGTTATCAACTGTGCTTTGGTCAATGGGGGCGAAGATCGCTCTCCGTCACAGAATTCCGGGGGCCCTCGACCTAGTATTCAGAGCTCTATTCGAAGCTCCATCGATCACCAGAGCGTACGGCCGAGACTGCCAGCAGATCGCATTAATATCAGTGACTGGAGCCCGCCTCAACAGAGCATGGCGGCTTCCAACCAGAACGAAGAGGACCAATTGAAGTCCTTGCAGAATTATGTGAAGAATGTCGAGGATGACTTGCAGCGCCACAACGAGTTGCGCTCTGCCATGAACCTCGCCTTTTCACCGCGGCACCCTAACGCTATCAAGGCTATGTCTAACTGGGAACGCAAGTCCTCGTACTTGCTTCGCGAAATCGTCAAGTTCCGCACTTACATTGACTCCCTGCGGAATGCGATCAACCAAAAGCACAAAATCTATGCGGAGTCCAACAACTACTACCACGACGAAAACGCCGGTGCCGACAGCGCGGGTGCGGACACTGCGACCCCTACCGAGCCTGAACAGGCTACTGCTTCGACTTGATAGCAATGCTCTCGCTATTGCTCTCGACTGAGTATAGTCCACTATGTCATTTCTCTACGTCGTCTCTATTTTGTCTCGATTTTCTCTTCACGCCAGGAGGTTGGAATTCCCCACTTAGAATCGACTCTTGTACATACCCTCCTGGTTGGGGGCTCTCCTGCAACACATACCCTTCAAAAGCGACCTGCGCCTTCTTTCCTATTGGTTACTATTTTTTTTTTAGTGTACATCTTCCTTTCATGCCTCGATATATGTTTCTTTCGAAGTGGGCGAGTATGATTGATTTCAGGGACGAGGCAATTGATTCTTATGGATACCATGATTTGTATTAGGTTAATTTTTCCTTGTTGCGCTCAGATCGTATTAGAATTATTATCTTTATCTTCCGGTGGTGGATGTGTCAATATACATGACTAGTGCTTTACCTGTCAGATTGCCATATGCTAGTACGTACTAGTCGGGACTCCTTTGTACGAGCAGCTTTGCGTGGCAATAACAAGAACCCGAGTAGACCTCGTCATTAGGCTTGGAAGGGGCCCCGTTCTAGAAGGAAGAGAACTCGAGCCGAAAATGCAAGATCCGTGGAACCGGCGCCTTCTCTCAGAATAGCCGTTTGTTTTGTTTTGGTTTTTTGCTGTCGCATCCTTCAAGCTTTAGACCAAGAAAAACCCCCAATGTGAGAGATCCTCCCTTGCTCATTCGTCCGATTCGCCCGCAGTGGGTAAAACGTACAGCGGTGGAGCCCAAAACACACGCCTGGGCTCCTCTCCGTCACCATGTCGACCGAAGCCCCAGCTGCGACTCCGATCATTCACCCCTCGGTGCGCACACCTTCAGCCTCCAGCACATTCCTGACTCCCATCGACTCTCCCATAGATGCCGGTTTGGGCGGCTCAGACTACTTCATGGCCGAGGACACACGGGGGGGTGACCCCCCCCGAGTATCGACAACTCCGAATCAACACAGAACCCACCTACCCACACAGGAGATCCCTCAGCTTCAACGACCGAGTCGCGCTCTGCAGAGCACGAAACCACGATCACGACTGCCGTGCGAGATCCAGAAGAGTCAAGCCTGCTCCCTCCACTGACCGATCGCGACGATAGCAGCTTATTCCCCTTGTCTAGTGAAAATGGCGATCACGACCGGGGGAACAACCAGACTCTTATTGAGGAACACGAGATGCGCCAAAAGCTCATGGACATGGAGTCGAGTTTCCTTCCCGAGCCGTCCACCATCGAAGTGGCCGCGACCGGTCCCAGGGCTGGCGCAGATGATACTTACCTGGTCGGCGTAGACGGAGGACACGATATGGACATGACACAGCAAACAGACTCGTCACAATTCTCCTTCATCCCCCCGTCAGAGACCACAACTGGCCCCGAATATACTCGAAGCATCAATTTCGATCAGGATGGGATCCAGATCGATGAGCCCGAGCCCGAGCCGGAGTCGACGAATCATGAAGAGCGACCAGGCAATGAGACTTTGCTCGACTCTCTCGCATCATCTCCTTCCGCCGCGGCGATGTTCCGGAGTGTGCAGCGCAACCAGTCTCGTACCGCAGAAGATGTGGGCGACAACAGTCAATTCTCGCAAGAAGAACGACCATTCAGATCTCAACTATCCTCGGAAGAGTCACAACTCACGCCGTCGAAACTTCGAAGGTCATCCCGCAGCGTTTCTCCAGGCCCAGCGCGGCTTTTCAGTGACCAAAGCTTTGGTACAATCGGGAGCCGACGAAGTGGAAGCCGGCCAAAGTACTTGACCAGCCGCCAATCCGCCAATCGCTTGTCGCATTCTTCGATCAACAGCACAAACACCGATACTACGAACAGCGATGCTACGCTGGGCGCCGACTATGCCTACAGTCAGGTGGTGCAACATCTGACCAGTGGGGTGGTCTCCAGCCAGGCTCACGCTCCCATATGACTCGGACAACCAGTCTTGGAAGCATGGCATCTGGTGTCTCCGGATACAGCGAAGAGAATTCCTTGGACAAGCGAAACCTACCAGGGCCCACCGATGGCGGTCTCCAAACCTTGGAAGAGAGGAGAGTTCACCACGGTCTACGCGACAGCAGGCGACGTTCGACGAAGCGGCTCCTGAAACGCCAAAAGCGAAACCTGCAGACAAAGCCTTCCCGAGCGACACGGCCATCGCTGAGCGCGTGAAGGGAGTCCATGTTCCTAGTGTCTTTGCGCAACGATATCGAGAAGAGCATGGGCCATCGCCTGACAAGCGCGCTGGCACTACGCCTGCGTTTGGGCGTAGTGGCCGTAATTTGACCCTTAAGGAGCAGAGCAGTACCATTGACCGTCTATCTAAGGAGAATTTTGACTTGAAAATGCGGATTCACTTCCTCAATGAGGCGCTCAACAAGCGCTCTGAGGAGGGTATCAAAGAGATGATATCTGAAAATGTTGAACTCAAGTCGGATAAGTTGAAACTACAAAAGGACAATTCGGGGCTAAAACGCAGGATTCGTGAACTGGAGAAGCAGCTCAAAGATCGGGAGTCTGACAAGGAATCCATGCTCAACCACGACCCTGAAGGCTCGGAGGACGGAGACCGAAACTCTGCCCATGAGACAGAGGTCATTTATCTCCGGGAGAGAGTCGAAACCTACGAGCTTGAGGTTGAGCGTCTTAGGTCCGAAAGCATTGCGCGAGAGAGTGAGAAACGACGTCTGGCAGAGATGGTTAAGAATCTTAGTGAAAATAGACAAGAAGGTTCGGAATCGGGGGCAAGGGAAGAAAGAGTAAGTTATACCCGACGAATTCCTGTCACTACAATCTATTTTAATTCTGGCTCCAGGGACTGTGGAAAGACATGCTCGATGCAGAGACCGCTGCTCGTGAGTTGGCTGAGGAAGAGAACCGCAAGCTACGGGACGAAACAATTCGTCTTCGGAGCGAGCTCTACAGCTCAAATGTTGGCTCACACCCCGGTGTGAGGCCCGGGACTCGGGACCACGGCTCAACTGTATCCTATACGTCTGTGTCTGAAAGCCATGGAAACCGTGGCGCTGCGATCAGCACCTCTAACAGCACCCTCCTCGTTGAACACGAGCTGCTCAAGCAGGAGAATGCAGAGTTGAGGAAGGAGGTTAGCGCCCAAACTTCCATGCTCACTTCGCGCAACCGGGAGAAGGAGCGCCTGTACCAAGAGATTGAGGAACTGAAGCTTGGCCAGGGACGCCACGGTGGCCGATCGATCGCTGGGGACAGCATATTCGACCGCTCAGCGTCTCGAGCCCAAGGACGCTCTGGCTCTGAACCCAGCGATGGAGGTGTATCGCGCAGTGATATGGATCGCGACGAATTGGAAGCTCGAAACGGCCAGCTAAGGGATCAAGTATCTACCCTGAAACTTGAGAACCAAGCAGTCCGAAGCCAGTTAGATGATTGCATCCGGGATTATGAAGAGCTTGACGCCGCCTACCAGGCCGATGTAGACCAAGCCGAAGCGGAGATACAGAGCCTGCAACAGGAGCGAGATCAGGCTCTTCAAATGGCCGACGAACGCGATTCGGCCTTCCAAGACCTTCGAGCTGAAGCGCAAGAGGAGCTGGATGTTCTCGGTGACGAACTCGACCAAAAGATTGTGGAGTGCCAGCGCTTGAATGAGGAGCTGAGGAACCAGGATGAAAGTCTCCGAGTGCTTCAGGCAGAAATGCGCTCAGCCAGCGAGGGGATCATTCGCTTAGAAGAAGATGCACAGAATAACCTTGAGCGATACAAAGCTGTTCAGCAGGAGCTGGAGCAGACCAATGGCGAGATGGAATCCTTGGAAAAGAGTCTATTTGAAGCTAATACCAAGGTGCAGCGACTTACTGTGCAAATTGAGTCGAGCCAGAACGAGATCGCGTTCCTTCGGGAGGAGCAAGATGGCGATAAAATTCGCATCGGCGATCTGGAATCGGAGCTGAAGACATACCAGATGAGTCTGCACAGCGAAAAGGACAAGACCAGAGAGCTTGAGCACCGCCTGGCAGATGAACGGCACCAGCGCGAGATGGTTGGCAGCAAGGAGAAGCAAGAGGTCCAACGGATCATGAACGAGCTCAACCGTGAAGCATCTGCAGCCAAGGAAGAAGCCCGACGACTGAAGAAGAGTCTCTCGACTCAAGAAATCGAGACATCGACTTGGCGGGAGCGGCTGATGGATCTAGAGAATAACCTTCGTGAAACTCTTGGAGATCTCAGCGGCAGCCGATCAAGCCTGATTACCAACATTATGAAGCTGCAGAAGGAGCTTGAATCTACGGCACTTGAACTGGAGAGCATCCGGTCACAGTTGGATGAGAAGGAGACCCTTCTGAAGAACCGTGATGCGCTTTTGGAGAGCCATGGCCTTGAGTCTCGCAAATTATCTGAGCTGCTCGAGAAAGAACGACAAGCGCGACGAGCAGATAAACAATCCTTCGATTCCTCCCTCAAGTCCCACCAACAGGCGTCGCGATCCATTACACAAAGCAACTCGCGCATTACCGAGCTGGAGCATGCCCGTAACCAGGACCGCAAGCGATTCACCGCCCTTGAATCACAGTACAGGGAGCAGCTCAACGAACGGAATGCAATGCTCCTTACTGTTTGGAAGAAAGTGTCGAACATCTGCGGTGCAGATTGGGCCCACTCTAACAGCCTGATCAACGGCAATCTCCCAAGTCAGGAAGTGATTAGCAATATTCTGTTCTGGCCAGGCTTCAGCCGCAACCTACTTCTTGCGATCAAGACGGTCGAGGGCGTGATTTCGCAGTTCAAGGGCCGTATTAAGAGTGTGGAGGTCGACCTGAACAAACAGTATCAAAACCTCGAGCACTCTTTCCACCAGCGCGTCCGCCGGCTCGAGCGCGTCGAAGAAACGGTCAAGAACTTGCGCGCTGGACGAAGCCATTCGAGTTCCTCTTCCGAAGTGTCCAAGTTACGCGGGGAAAACCGGCTGTTGAAGGCCGAACTCAACCTTCTTCAGTCCAACACGCGTGGCCACAGCTCTGCATCTTCGGCGGCGGCGGCTGTCATGGCATCCACGGGCTCGCCGCGATCATCCTCCTTCGGCTCTGCGGTTGAGAACCAACAGCAATTGACCCGCCACCACTCGACTTCTGGGGCTAGCGAAAAGTCTCGCCCGGAGCGTGGCCTCACGCGCAGCTCTACCGGTCTTTCGCAGCCCACTTATGCGTCCTCCGGCAGCACGCTGGCGGCTAACAGCAGCAGCGGAGCCATGGTGCATCGCACCCGCAGTAACCAGACCGGTCCGTGGGAAAATATGGATGAAAAGTGGATTCACCGGCTGCGCGAGTTAGAGAAACGCCTGAAGTCCGAGCGAGAAGGCCGCCTTCTGGATCGCGACGGAGCACGAAAGCGGATTGAAGAGCGCGATGCGGAAGTCAGAAAGCTCAATGAACTAATTCAACGCGAGCGCCTCCGGCGTGGGGTGCCTCCCTCTGGGGCCATCGAAGACGGACGCCATCGAGGCCCAGTCTCCGACGGGGCTGTGAGCTCCAGCGAAGGAGAAGGCTTTGTGGTGGACATTGAGGTTTGAACAATGATGACTGATGTCGTTACGTGCGCTGTACTATATATACCCTTGTGTGTGTTTGAGTTGTTTTTGGTTTTGCCTTGACTGCCTTTCTTTTTCCCTTTTTTTTTTTCTAATCTGCGATTACTGTACGCCATATGCATGTGATGATCAGAAACGACGAGGATCATGAAGGCGTTCGAGAAAGGATTCTGTTTGACTTGAATTTGTGTTCTTCTTTTCTTCTCCTTGCTGGATTGCCTATACTTTTCTACTGTACTTTATTTTAAATTCGTAATGTGCTGCGGGCTGCTCTCGGCAATGTACAAGTACAATTTCCCCCATCCTCACCGTAATGATACCTTGAGGGAGAAATCCACAATGCTCGTGCCCTGATGGATCGAGCTGGTAGACAAGATATCGACATCCGGGCAGGCATACGCGGCCGCATTCTCCTCCGTCAACCCCCCACTGACCTCAATCAAGAAAGACCGCTGCTTGGCCGCCCACTCCTGCTTGAGCACCCTCGCCGCCTCCCGCACCCCCTCCGGCGTAAAGTTATCCAACATAACCACGTCCGCTCCCGCCCCAATCGCCGCATTGGCCTCCTCCACACTGCGACACTCCACCTCCACCTTCGTGGCAAACCCGCCGGCCGCCTTGGCCGCCTGCACCGCGCGCGGGATAGCGGCCGCAATGGACTCGATGGACGAAGGATCCTTGACCCCGCCGTCCGCCGCTGCCCGGTTATTCGCGCACGCCCATACATGGTTATCCTTGAGCATGGTCATGTGGCTCAGATCATGGCGGTGGGGGTCCGCGCCGCCGACAAGGATCCCGTATTTCTCGACGACGCGGAACCCCGGCGTGGTCTTGCGGGTGCCGGCCAGGGTGCCCTGCCACCCCTGGGCGCGCAAGGCGGCGACGAGGCGGGCGCTTTTGGAGGCGATGCCGGAACAGCGGGCGAGAATGTTGAGGGCGACGCGCTCGCCGAGGAGGATTTTGCGGATTGGGCCGCGGACTGTGGCGCAGTGGTGGATTGGGGATGGGGAGAGCGGTTGGCCTTCTTTGATGTGCCATTCGATTCTGGGGCGCGTCAGAATGAGAACCGAGAATTGAAGATCGAGGATCGATATGTGTTTTTTTTTTTTTTTTTTTTGTTTTTTTTGAGATTCAAACTTACGTGCAGCCGAGTTGGGTAAAGACCTCGTCGAAGAAGGGAACACCGGCGACAATGCCCTAGAGGGCGTTAGCGGGGATCGATTTTCCTCCCCTGCTTACTCTCCGGGGGTGTTGCAGGTCGCTGGAGTACTGCTTGCTGGACCTACCTCGCTTTTCCCCAGGAGGCGCGCTTCGCCCTCTGATTCGCCCACGACAAAGCCACCATAGTCAAGGCTGGGGCAGTCTTCTTCCAGCCATGAAGCGATCAGGCGCTTGTAATTGCCAGGCAGCAAATGCCGCAAATCCCCGTGGGCTGCAGCCATAATTGAAACTGATGGAGATGGCAGATGGGAATGTTGGAGGTGGGGGGGGGAGATAGATCTACATTGCGAAATTTCCCCGCGCGGGGATCGGCGAGTATCGGAGGGTCACGTGTGGTTCCTCAGGGACAGATTCCCGTGACGAGTTCGATGCATTCAGTTCACGGTGCTCAACATGCAAATGAGGGTACGGAGTACTGCTCCGAGTACTGCTCCGAGTACTGCTCCGAGTCCTGCCAGTCGTGGTCATCCGGGGATAATAGGGTAATTGATCATAGGTATACTAAGGAGTCCTAGAAAACCCCCCTCCGGTTCAATCATATAATACATCTCCAGAGTTCAATGCATCCGCGTTGCCACAGACGGGGGATTTGAAAGTATTTCGCACGAGGGCCTACTGGATCGAGCACGTCCTACACGTCGAAGACGGCAGATGGTCCATACTTAATTCCATGTCATACCTCCGAGCCCAAGGGCCCTGGTATATTTCAAAATATTAGCTCAATACGACTAGTGCGCATTGGGAAAGGGAACTGGTAATTTTCCTCCGACGCCAAAAACCACGCAAGGCAAAGAAAAAGGAGGTTAGGGCTGTGAACGGCCGTAAAGCCGCGATCGACTCGGGGTTTGTCGATATTAACGCCACGGCACAACAAGGTTTGGAGCAGCTAGCACGAGCCTAGTCCGTGCTAGCCGTGAAGATCGGTCCTGTCAGGAGAAACCAGAAAGCACGAAATCGGGAGAATGAGGCATTTTTACCAGGAAAATCGGCACCGGAGTATCGGAACGCGGCATGGAAAATCGACTTTCGAGAATTTCGAGAATTTCGCGTTTCTGCATTAATGTGACCCACATAGTTTATCCCTGCAGTCGGTCACGAATGGGGGACCATTCGAAGCACTTTCTCGAAGAGCGGTGGGTTCCAGTACTTCCAGTACAATGAACCTACTTTAGGTACTCCGTACGGGATCGGCCCATACTGGGGGAGCTTTTTTTTTTTTTGCTTTTTTTTTTTGCTTTTTTTTTTCTCCTTACCGAGGTATCGCTACCGAGGTATCTCCCAGATCGAGTCAGGCTACCGATCAGGCGACGAGGCGACAAGGCTACCAACTCCTTGTCCAGGTCTGTCTCTACCCGGTTTTTTTAGGCCAGATTGCCTATTCCAGATGCTTTGGATTGGAGGATCCTCGGCTCGGTTCTCACGGCATAAAGGTAAACGATATCGGGGTCGGGATGGGGCCATCTATGCAGTGAGCGAGGCCGAGGGCCCGCCTAGACCAATCCACTAGCAGTCTGAGAAGTGGAAACCAATAACAAGGTCAATGTGTGCAAGATCTTGAGGCTGGAAGGGGAGGTGATAAGAGAAGAAGAGATCCACCAGGTGACGCCGGCGGCGCCCTAACCTGTTAAGCTACCCAAAGATCAAGGAAAGACAAACTGTAATGCCACTTTTAAGGTTTGATAATTTCTTGTTTTGAAGAACTACAAGCAGCGTTGAATTGCATTGCATTGGAATTGAATTGAAACCGGTAATGTAAATCGGAGAATTTTACTGGGAAAGGACGACGGCAGAAACTCGGCCCGATCTCGGAGATGCAAACCTCCCCCACCCATGGCCCAACCCAATCACTCTTTCCACGCCTTGTAGACGTTCGTGCAGCCGAAGACCTGGCCCTTCTTCAGCAGCACCATGTCGCGCCATTTGGGCTCGTTGATCGCGTTGACGAAGCGGCTCGGCTCCACGCAGAACCCGGCGCCCTCGGTGTGGGGTGGAGCACCGTCCAACGAAGGGACGTTGATGTACTTGCCCGTGTAGAACTGGAAGGCGGGCTCGGTGCTGTGGACTTCCAGGTGTAGGCCAGAAGAGGCACTGCTAAACCTGCCCAGCAGGCGGAGGGGCTGACTGCGCGTGTCGAGGGGGATCTTCAGTGGGTCGGGTTGGACCACGAACACGTCGTCAAAGTGCGGACCGGTCGCATTCAGCTCGAAGGGTTTGGTGACTTCCCGGGGGAAGGTCGCGATGTTGCCCTCTGGAATTCCGGTAGAACTAAGGGGGAGGTAGTCGCTGGTGGCAAGCTGCGCCGTGGTGCCGGTGATGGTGGGGCCATCGCCGATGTTGAAATAGCTATTCAGATAAGCAAGGTGAGTTTTATATCTGGAACAGATGATACTCGATATGAATAGATCGTTGCAAAGTGGAGAGGAGGGGGGGTGGGGGGTTCATCACAGGAGGAGAGATGGAAGGCCATACCTGTGGTTGGTGATGTTGACCACGGTTTCTTCGCACTCGTCACCAATAAGTTCTACTTCATAGTCCGCGGTCAAGACGGTCTTCTCGTCTTCTTTGCTCGCAGCATACCACACACGGATCTCTACAGTCCCGGGGTATCCCTCCTCCGCATCTACTGAGCGATATTTGAAAAGCAGAGCATCCCGACCATTATGGGTGACCGTCTGGGGGCCTTCAAAGATCCGCTTTCCCCATCCTTTAGGACCCCCATGGAGGGCGTTTGGACCATCATTCTGGACGAGCTGATACTCGCGGCCGTTCAGGTTCGCAATGCGACCATCCTTGATACGATTGGCGACACGGCCGATGGTAGCGCCATAGTGTGGGGTGTTGTGCTCGACGTAGTGTTTTTGCGTGGGGAAGCCCAGGACGATGTTCTTGCCGCCGACGCGGAACTCCTGAATGATGGCGCCGAGAGGCAAGAAGGTGAACTCGGCTTGCTCAGGGACAGACATTATGCGATAGCGTAGAGAAAGAAGAGGAAGGGGTGGAAGGAGGGAGGGGGCCCATGACGTTTGACCCCGCAAAAATGAACGGAATCACCCACCGGAGAAGTCCCTGAATAAGAATTGCAGTCGGGCCTGTTGGGTCTCCAAGCCCAACGTAGATTGTAGCTGGAAACACCTTCATTGGGAGCCGTGATGGTTGTGATGACTGTTGGTGGTTTTCCCCAGGTCTTCTTTTTTTTTCCTTTTTTTTCTCACCGACGATCAAAAGTTACGGAGAGTCTTATGCGTTATTAAAGGGCTGTTTGGAAGCTCAACCGTTTCCTGCATAAATTAGAGTTGCGCACCTCGTGACTTGATCCGTCCGTACGCGCACAATTTATTTCGTCTGGAAAGGGTGCCGTTATGCTACTTTCTCTATCCTCAAACTTTATGCCCGACATGAGCTGCCCCAGGCTTGGAATTCCTGGGCAAGCCCCGGGGCAGGAATTCGAAAAATCAACCGTCAGCGCCTCTGCCCAAGCATGGAAAAGGGGGCTGAATCCGCGGGCTGAATCCGCGGGCTCTATGCCAGCTAGAGAACTTCTAGAACAGATCCGCAGGAATTCAGGCACCATCAGTCAGCGGAACGGGCCAAGAAACCCCCTTTTGACTGCATGCGTAGCTCTTTTCTGCGCTCTGCGGGTGCAGGGAGGGACATCCGTCTCGGATGGGCGGAGTTCCGAGCCCGGATGCCTGTTACTTTGATACCCCGGACTTGGGCCTCTCCATGTCCGACTCCTATTCATTGGGGGGCCTGTGTGGGATACGAAGGTCTCGTACTCGTACGGTTTGGGACCAACACGTACGAGGATGGAGTAATGGGGCCAGCCTAGCGCCCGATCGATGAACCGGTTTGCTCAGGGGCCCCGGGATTTGGATTCCCGCTCGGGGCAATTGCAATCTGGGCTTAGGGGGGGAAAGGAATTATGATTCACTAAACGCAACTGAGGGGCCTCATCAAAGTTGCTGTTGGGGGTCGTTAACAGGAATTATGCCCAGGCGCATTGCTCACGTAAGAATGAAAAGATGAAGCTGTCACTGTGGGATGCAAACTGGACCCACAAGGTCCTCCAGGTTCCGCTGACTCAAGCCTCAAAGAGTCAAGCGGATTCTTGATCCAACAAAGGACGCATTGGGAAGTCGACGATTCAGGGAAAGAGCGATGGGCCCATGTCGTTTGCAAAGCCTAGCCGAGACCTCAGCCCCTTTTCCCCAAAGGCAAGCCACTAATGAACGACCTAACAGCTTTGCAGCTTGACAGCTTGATAGAACGTAATGGAGATCAAAGAAGCTCGGGGACGTGACGTGTGTGCCGCGGATTCAAGTCATTAGTCATGGTGGCGTCCCTTTCCGAGGTCGATCGGATTACATTCCCGGCGTTGCAGACCCGATTTTCTGGCTTCAAAGAACAAGAAAATGGAACCGAAACTGAACCAAAACTGAACCAAAACTGAACCAAAAATGAGATCATCTACATGTAGCATGAATCAGGGAATCTTTGCAGTAGAAAAGTGGATTGTAACATTAGTCAATCGAAATGAGTATAACGCCGAGATCCCTCTGTACCCAGACTCCAGAACCACAGGCCCCCCCCCTCCCCAAATCCAAGCACTGTACAAGGTGATTACGATCCCAAATTCAAATAGGGGGAGAAATAGCCCCGATCCTCCGCAGAAAAGAAAGTGAGAATAAACATGGTAACACGAAATCCAAAACATGTATAGTAATACATGCGTCACATCATACGGCGTTAAGAAGCTCGCAGGGAGATCAAACAGATATAAATGGAGAAAAAGAAAACAGAAACAGTCTTTAAACCGAAGTGATCTCCGTGGGGTTGGGGTTGAGGAACTGGTTGAAGTCCTCGTACTCATTCGATGAGATGCAACCCATGGGCATTTGCCGGCTAAACATCGGCGATGTGATCTGGTCGTCGAATGCAAGGTTGGCGTAGTCGGCGCTAGGCATCATTTCTATCTCGTCAAAGGGGCCGAATCCCGACGACCACTGGCCCCCTTGGAGAGCCAGGGGGTTGACCACTCCCTGCATGGCGGGCGCGTATTGCGGATTGGCCATCATGGGCTCGGGCTCAAGCTTAATCGGGGCCGGAGGGCTACTATGGTATGCGGGGGGCGTAGGCGGCAGGTTCTGCTGGGAAAAGGCGTCCGAGAAACGAGTGCGTGCGGGCGAATGTGGCTCGGAGCTGCTATCTGATGATTCCTGCCGTTGCATGCCGTGGCGCCAGAGATCTTGTTGCATGGCCTCGGGGTTCTCTTCGAAGCGCTCGCCCTTAGTGTGATCGAGGGCCCCCCAGTCGAGTTAACAGGTCGTGTGTAAGTGGCTGGCCGTTCGGTTCGGCCTTCAGGGCCTCGCCCGGCCAGCCCTCGCCTTCGAGCGATCGTCGATATAATTCTTGGAGGCCGTTGACGAGCCATACTTGTTGTTGCTCGAGCATCTCGACATATCTGGCAACGAGCGACCGTTAGCAACTCGGTTGTCATTCGATGATTCAATGGAACCGAAATAGATCTTCCGACTCGCGTGTCTCCCAGTGAAAGGGGGGGGGGAGGTTTCACGTCGGGTTGGGATCACATACCCTTTAGGGTAGACCTTATCGTGAGCCTTCTTGCGCTCGCCAAATACACAGATCGCATTGTCCGCACGACAGCGTGAACACGGGCTAGAGCCATCGCACTATTTACCAGTTAGTACACCAAGACAGCACAAGCATGCCGATGTCCACAGGGCACCCACCTTGGATTTCTTTAATCGACACCGATCGCATGCCTTGCATACACGCTTGCGCACTCCATCGCCCGAGTGCGAATGCTCGGAGGCAGGCGTTGATTGACGAGCGGCCATTATATGTGATTATAAGAGATTGCGGCCGAAAGCACCGAGTCGATAGGTTGAAAGAAAAGAAGACGTCAAGCGGCAGTGACTCTTCTTTTACGTGGGAGCTATACTTCCAGATCCGGAGGGGTGATCGACGTCAACCAGTCAATGATCTAATGACGAGGTGTAATGGACCGATTAGCTTTGCACGAGGGGTTTCCAAGTTTTCACAACCCAGGTGTCATATACTAGTCATTCGACGAGGGGAGGAAAAAGACTAGGCCTAGCTTCGAGGGAATTCAGGCATTCTTAATACTTTTAATAATCTACGCGGGTCAGGAAAGCATCCGATCGGAATCGAATCATAAAGGGCCGTTCTATGCGGACTCCACTGATCACAAGGACCGCCTTGGGGATTTCTTGGAATATTGGAATATTGGGAATTATCGATTTTCTTGGAATTATTGGTATTTTAGTTTTTCCCTATGTATTTTTAGGGAGCCCTCACCCTGTTCAGATGCCCTGTTGGAGATTGGTGAGTCGAAAATTACCGCGCCGAGTGTAATGCGGCCGTAAGGAATATCAGAGTGGAGCCCCTGGAACTCGGCACTGTGATTCCAGAATGGCTTTTTTTTTTCCCTCTTTTTGCTTTTTGTGCATTGTTAGGGGGGAGAAGTCAAGGTTCGTACGGAGAACGGAGCTTTCATCGGCCCTCGGGGACATCCAACGCGGACGTGGGTTTTGACGTATCCGGTGATGGCACTAAAAGTGGTGATTGGCTCTGGGATGCCAGTCCCGGGTCTAAACCCCTTCGTGGACGGCGTTAACTTGGGTATCTCCTTATAAGCAAACTCCGCTCTGTCAGCTTCGATCTTCAGGCCCAGGGCCCGGGGCTTCGAAGAACAAGGGCACGGCTACGCGCTCCTGTCAGGATGTGGTCTGCGGGTGGTCGTATACTTATGTCGAACACCTGCCCAGGATGGCCTACGCATCACACTGAATCTATGCACAACGGCCGATGCATAACTTGGCATAAGACTGTACAGAGCTCTGAAATTTCAGTTCCAAAAGTTTCCACTAGTCCAAAAAGGGAAAAACGAGGGAAATCACCCAACTCGGCCTAGTGTGTCGGGCTGGATGCAAAGCGACTCCTTGGTAAGCTGGAACATTAGAAATCAACTCTGACTTGCTTGCTCGGATATATGGCTTATGGCTTAGAAACTTTGCTTGATGACCCATGAGTAATCTTCATTTTCGATTTTTATCTTTTTTGCTCTTTTTGTTTTTTTCTTTTAAAAAAAAGAAATCTTTTTTTTAATTTTTTTTTCAATCTTGTTTTCTTTCAAAGCCCGCATGCCGTCCACGGCAGACAAAGTTCAAGAGAAAACGCCCAATTAATAGTGTTGCTGCTACGGAGGAGACGCTACTATAATAGAAAAGGGGAAAGCGAGAAAGCAAGAAAGTATGTTTTCTCAAGGGGAACCTCAAGGTGAATCATCTATAGTCTGCGCCACATAGTCATGACGTGAGAATACGCCAGCTATTACCCCATATATCGTAGCTGCGAATGTGGCAGTTAAGATACCCAAGTAAACGCTCGTCATCATCACATCCATCTAGAACTTAGCTTCTGAGCCCACCAGCTAGCGTATTCGATTATGATGCTTTGGCGGGGCGGCTACACGCAAGCGGACATGCGCTCTACGCGCAGAGCCAGAACCCAGTCCTCAACCAAGAAACGGAGACCTGAGGATCCAAGATCGCGCGTCTGGATTAGTCCAGCCTTATTGTCTTGGGCTCTTGGTATCTTGGTACTCCGGTACTCCTTTGGTACGCGAGTCCCTTTCCCTCCTGGGATCTCAGGCATCCCCAGAGTCATCCCCAGGAACCAGGTCGATCACCGGCTGAACAAAGAACAAATGTGAGCGCCTAGATGGTCTGCCCTCTTCATGGGAGTTAGCTGCAACCGCTGAATCATTGCTTCCAAGGCCGTCCCAGCGTAGTGGTCTCCCATGCCTACCCCACCTTTCTGCCCTGCTGTCCACCCCCAATCTCGCTGCTCTTACCTCCTCAGGTAACCATCGTGCATGGGTCCCTGATGGGCATGCTCGCCCCCAACACTCACACGGACCTTCATTCCGGCCCCAGATTAGGCTACGCTAAACCGTGGCATCTCCAAACAAACCATCCTTTATCTACCACGTTTTGAGCCACGCAAGTCTGAGCCCCAGCTACGCTCAAAAAAGCAACCATGTTTCATTACACTAGAATACCAATGCCAACCTCTCCTCGTACAAAAAAAAGGGTATCCCAAGCAGAAAACCAGATTCCAACAATAAGCGTGCTCACACCGCCCCTTTCCTCCTATTCCTCAGGGCTTAGCAACGTGAACAGCATAAATGCCGCAACAGACATCCTCGAGGTCCCTCTTCGGCCCTTGAATCCTTATCCTTGTCCTTGGTGAATCCGGACTCGGTCAAAGGCCGGCGTTTTCGACGTCCGAAGAGCCGGGACCGAGCCCGTTTCTCCCTCTGGCTCCTGGCATCGGCCGTCGTGGGAGGAAGCGCAGTCGTGCGAACTGACTGTCCAGCCCGCGACGGCGCCCGTGTCGGTGCTAACCCTTGAGCATGCAACTGTCGGGACTCCACCACGCGGCGCACCAAGACTGGGGAAAATCTCCACGTTAGCTACTGGGCGTGTTCCCGTTCGGAATAAGCTTGATCGAATGGGAGAAAAGGCAGACCCTTCCCCCCCGGTCACCTACGAGCAAATGTCTCTTCGATATTAACCATCTCGCGCGCTGGTTTCCATAAACCCACACCCGTTCCGACGCGCGTATGCCAGACCGTCCCGCGAGCTAACCATCCGCCCTTCCTTCAGATCGCACTTGTTCCCCGCCACAATTTTCACCGGCGGAGGGCGCCCAACTGCATCGGTGGGTTTGGCCCCGAGTTCTCGACGCAGTCGCCCGTTATCCTCCACACGCTGCTCGGCTTCCATGTCGATCAGCCCCATGAAGTGGTCGAGCGCATACAGACTGTCCGGGTTGGTGATGTCGTAGACCAACAAGAAAGCGTCTGATTTTAGGGTCGCGGCCGTCCATAGTCCGCGATATTCTTCCTGGCCTGCGGTATCGGTGATCGAGAGAAAGTATGGGAGGCCGTCGACAGTGCGGGTCACCGAGTACAGGTCCTCTGGCGGGATACATTAGCCTGCATCAACGGGATTTGCGATCGCAACCGGGTTGGGGGTGGGTAGGTGGAAAGGGACAAAGATACCGATCGTCGGATCATATCTGTTTCAAATCAAGAACGGCGAGATGTCTGTCAGTAACAATTCTCTAACATGGTGCATCGGAAAGGGCTTTGTACTCGTGTATCCATTGACTACGGACCAGCCGCAACGTGATTGATGATTTGCCTAAATATCTCCCGATCTGATCAGACCTCGATCGCGCGATTGACCCAACAGCACCGAATCATGTCACGTACCAGTTCCGCCGTCGCCACAGATTGTTACTGAGATATTGTCTGCCATGGGAGCGCGCCAGCCTCAGGGTCAATCTGGGGAGCCAACCCAGCAAATGGTAAGAGATTATAGGAATATCAATCCCGTATATAAAGAAGAGTATCAAGAATGGAGGGGGGAGAAAAAGAAGGAAAGGACTGGACTAAAGGGCCAACAGGGCCTTGAAAAGAGTGACGAAAGGGATAGAGGGGGGAGGGAGAATTGGGCGAGAAGGGAAAAACAGACGCGATGCGATAAGGCGCGAACCAGATGGAGTAAAGACCGAGGGTTTCTACACGTCCAATGGGCTCAATTTTGGTCCTCAATACTCGATCATGAGTCAATGCAGTCTCGAACGACTCGTACTACCATCTTGCCCCTACTAGAGTAACTGTACTTCCCAGGTTACCCGCCCCTTGCGCAATCTACCATCAAACCTCCATGGCGCGAACTCCTCCCACTGGAAAACTTGGGATTCTGCAATGACGGCGTAGCGTTGATCAGGTGGGCCGAAAGCCAAAACCTCCCCTAACGCGTAGACATTCCCGTCACTCGTGTTCTTTGAATGTGATGGATCGAATGGGGATGCAGCCCGTCTTTTCGCGTCCCGCCGGTCGCGACATTCCTGCCCCTGCCATTGCCCAATCCTGAACCGACGTTTTCTGGTGGGGACACTGTCACTGGAAACGTTCAGACAGGGACGATCGATCTGACATCACTGGCACTTTTCCCTGAAAGCTGTGCCAGGCGGAAAGAGCAGTCGGGTGAAGAGTGATTGGCCCCAACTGGGAGGTGGTGGGTCCACCATTACGGGGATCATCGACTCAGTGAAAGAGGGCGAGGAGAGAGAACGACCTGGAGAAAAAAAAAAGTTCTTCTCTTATTCATTCCAAGGCCAGTTTGTATCCCTTTGGATGTCAAGCATCCACATTTAAACTCTTTGCTCAAAGTGGAGTCTGATTCACCCCAGACACTAAGACGCCCGTCCCGTTGGTCCCCCCTTATCCCGACGCTCTGGAACTCCGACCTTCGCATTCTGGACCCCACGCAGGCCGAGGCCTGCTCGAATCCCCAACATGGCGGACCCCATGGATTCTTTCCTGGAGTACCGTGAGTCTCGCGACGATGTGCTACAGCCCTCGTTATCCCAGGACGCAGCTCTGATGGGGTTTCCGGACAGCCATGTGGCGAACTACGACTTCCCTATGCTTCCCCAGGATGGCGACCTCACCCTGGCAAACTTTGATCGGATACCGCCCTCCCAGCCCGAGCTGGAGGGCCATCTATCCGATGTGATGCTGAACTACGAGTCCGTGCCAAGTTCAGGCGTTTCAATGCCGCTGAGCCTCGATGCGACCAACGCTTTCTATGTACCGACCACCTACCCCGCGGCCCCGATGGGTCACGCTCCCTCTCTGGACCAGACTCAACTTCACTCGACATACCCTCAGTTTCAGCCACATTTGCCGGCGCAGTATCTTCAGCAGCAACGACAACAGCCGCCTCTCCGAGCTCTCCCGGCCCGCAAGGAGCTCTACACTTCCGGCAATAGCTCTACTGCGAGCCTCGATGATTTAGACTTCTCCCGACCCAGCGAACGCAGCCCGGCTCTGGCGCGACCACTGGTCCAGGGACGCGCACGACCACAACCTTCTCCGCTCAGGGCCACGCAGCCTGTTGCAATACAGCCAAAGAAGCCACCACCGGCCCAAGGTAAGCTCGCGCGTGTGGGAAATCTGCTTTCGCTTTGTTTCGACCCACAAGGCTGACCCGGATGCATGCCTTTGGTAGACTACTCCCCAGGACTGAACACGCCCGATGCAAGTCGATCGGAGCATGCAGGCATCTACTCCGGCAGTGGATTCGACATCTTAGGCGTCCTCGTGAGTGGTCCTTGGCAGTCTATCTGCAAGTCAAAGTGGATATCTGACTAGTCATAGAGTCGAGTGGCGAGCCGCCCTAATCCGCAAATCAATATCGGTGCAGTGGATCTATCTTGTGCTTTTGTCCTCTGTGACATCCTGAAGCCAGATAGCCCCATTGTCTATGTTTCCGAGGCTTTCGAACGACTGACCGGCTACGTGAAAGATGAAATTGTGGGCCGGAACTGTAGATTCCTGCAGGATCCCGAAGGCCAAATTCAGGCGGGTGCCGCGAGATCCTTTGTAGATGCGCAGACCGTCTATCGACTCAGGTCTACGATCGATGACCGTAGCGAGATCCAGGCCAGCATCATCAACTACCGCAAAGGTGGCCAGCCATTCATGAACCTGATCACTATGATTCCAATCCAGTGGGACTCGGGGGAATATCGGTTCTACGTTGGGTTCCAAGTGGACCTGGTGGAGAAGCCGGATGCTATCACAAGAAGGAATGCTGGTAGGTGCTTTCCGTGCCTCACAGTTTGATCGGTGAGAGCTACTGACTTCCTTTCGCAGATGGAACATACAGCATCAACTATCAGCGTGACCAGCTCCCCAAATATGTGGTCCCCCCTCCGGAGATATACCGAATCAGGCCCGATCTCGCCACTCGTTTCGACCATAACGAAGTGTCCGCCATCCTGAATGCAGTTGGGGCACCGGGCTCAAATCTGTCGCGGGATTACTTGGATCGCATCCTCGTGGAGAACACGGACGACGTGATCCATGTCCTCTCCCTGAATAGCGAGTTCCTTTACGTCTCGCCGTCGTGCAAGAAAATCCTCGAATACGACCCGATCGAACTCGTGGGCAAGACTCTTTCGGCGGTCTGCCATCCAAGTGATATCGGGCCCGTGATCCGCGATCTGCGTGCCAGCACGACATCTGCCCCCATCAGTGTGGTCTATCGGATCCGCCAGAAGTACCGCGGATACATCTGGTTCGAAAGCCATGGCTCATGGCATATTGATCCTCACCAAGGTCGGACGCATGTTGTTATGACGGGTCGTCCTCGACCTGTCTATGCTTTGGACCAGATTGCCGGACTGGGCTCCTCTGCTGCGCTAGCAGAAAATGATATCTGGGCCAAGGTCTCCTTGTCCGGTGTCCTTCTATTCGTGACATCGAAGGTGAAATCAGTGCTAGGACGCACCCCCGATGATTTGATAGGCAAGAGTCTGCACGAGCTTATGGAGCCTGGAACAGACGCCAGTGACATCAACAAAGCCCTTGAGGCTGCCATTGCCGCATCTGACCCCGAGAGTGAGGGGGGATCCGAAACAACCACCTACGTTCTTGTGTCAAATCCGTCATAAGAAAGGCAATACGCTGTCTGCGCACACCACTCTATATGCTGGAGATCTCCAAGAAGACTCCCGACCATCCTTTCTTGTTGCTCAGATTCGGTTTGTCCGATCGTCTCCAGCGCCTGCTGCAGCCACACTGGCTGCCAATGACGACAAGATGGGATCCGTCCCGGGATCATCCAAACCAACCACCCTCGTCACCAAAGATGCCAACCCGCCCGGCCCAGATGGGGTTCTCGGCCAGCGTCCCGTCGATCTGTCCCTCGTCGGTCTGAACGGCCTCCCATCCGGTAACCGCAGCGCCTCTCCTTCAGACCCAGCCACGTTTTTCACCGAGCTCAATCCGACGCGCGGATCTAACTGGCAGATTGAGCTGCGCGAGCTTGAAAAGCAAAACCGAACACTTACCGAGGAGCTGCAGCGCCTGCTCAGTCGGCGGAAGAAGCGCAAGCGCAAGCAGAGCGCGGTGTCCGTGGAGAAGGCGTGCGCGATGTGCAACACCCCGGAATACGCCCGAATGGCGGCGCGGTCCGAGCGGGAATCGAGACTTGTGCAACAGCTGTGGCCTCCGATGGGCAAAGCAGGTGCGCAGTCAAGCGCAGCCACCTGCAACGACGGCTCCGCCCTCAGGGCCTGCGGTATCCACCAGCCGTTGATCGAACGTTGTTCTATAGTGTTTCTCTTGCATTGCTTTTGTCGGATTTAGTAACCCCCCCCCTTTCTGATACCATATGGTTTATCTGGCTTGCTCTTTAGCGGCTCCCCCCCTTGGCTGGGAACTCGGATACTCTCTTTGCGCATGCTAGTCTGGCTCTGGCCGATGGGAGGAAATCGTGCTGATGGTGAGTTTTGTGTAAAGCACTTGGAAAAGCAAAACGGTCTCTTGCATTTTCAAAGAGTTGCATACAAGTAACAAGCCCGTCTACTGTAATCATTGTGATATTGTACCCATTGTGATGATGTATTGTACACGTCTATCTCCAAGAAAATAACAAGAAACGAATATTATATACATGCAATCCCGAGCCCATATGCTAAAAAATGAATCTATTTTGATATAGAACCCATCCCAGCCCGTCTCTCTACTCCCCTCTTCCGTGCATCCAACCAACCGTCCAACCACTCCCTCTCCTTCTCTAATCCTTCCTTCTCCCGGTTGATATACAGCGCAGCGACATCTCCACCACCACGCTCGTCCAGCGCAATCGCCAACTCCGCCGCACTCAGCGCCTTGACCCCCCCACCGGCCCGGATCATCTGGTCATCAATCGCCAAATACTCCAGATACCTCCTGAGCCGCGGCCGATAGACCCTCCAGGCCAGCACACGCGCCACAATGCCCTCGAACCGATCATGCTTCCCCACCAGCCCGAACACCGCACACGCGCGCAGGACCTCCGCCGCACTCGCCCCGGCCGCCCACCGCGGATCCGCGAAGCGCAGCAGCAGCGCGCGCGCTCTTGCGCCGAGCCGGCCGCAGGCAGCGGGGCAGGCATACTCTTCTGCCGGACGGCGGCGGCGAGCGAATGCGCCTCTAGCGCTTTCGTCTTGCGCTGGGAGGCCTTGGTGCGCTCTTTCGCGATCTGGTACGGGAGGCGGCAGGTGGTCGGGGTGATGGCGGAGCCGTAGAGGGGCACGATGATGGCAGTGAACTCACCGCAGATGATCAGGACCAGGGTGAAGGGGATCAGGCGGCGGACGTCGCGGGCGGAGCGGCGCACGAGCTGGTACTGCGAGCGGGTGAGGCCGATGGTGGCGATGTTGGGGTATTTCTTGGGGGCGGAGAAGGATTGGGGAGGGGAGGTCGGGCGGTATTTTGGCAGGTTGAGGGTTTCGCGGTGGGGGATGGAGGCGCGGTAGTTCTGGAGCACGTTTTTGAGGCCCGTTTTGTAGAAGGAGAGGTAGGCGCGGCCCGTGGCGATGAGGCGTTTGATTTTGTCGGTTGCTGCCGCGGTCGGAGGGAGGGGGGCTGGGGTTGTGATCTCTGCTGGGAGGGTCGTGATAGGGGCGTTGATGTTCTGTGCTAGGATGCTTGGTTCGGGCTGAAGCTGCTTGTTTGCGCTTGGTTGGGAGTGGAGTGGAGGGGGAGGTTGAGAGGAGTCGGTATGAGAAAGACTGCCCCTGGCGCCATTGAGGCCTCAATGGGCCCCGTGGGACCTGAGGGCCCTTGAATCGACAGGTCATGGTGGTGTTGGAGAGTGTCGGAGTTTTGAAGAAAGATGAGACACGGAGACTCGTCTCCAAATATCTGCCTCAGGCATCAATAAGATCTACTCGAGTATGATTGGGTGGTGTCTGAGGCGGGAACCGTGATGCTTGTCTAGAGAAGACCCAAAAGAAAAACAAGAATTCGCGGGCTTGACCTTCTTGAGATGGTCGATCGAGTGAAACCCCCTCTATATTCCCTGCGAGCACAACGTCACCTCCTTCTACTTGGGGAAGTCCTGCTAGAGCAGAGAGGGTGGCAGGGACGTTTAGCCTCGCAGCCTCAGCTGGGAGCTGACAGATATCTTTCTTTCTTTCTTTCTTTCTTTCTTTCTTTCTTTTTATGGTTCAATATTCTTGATTTCTGGATCATTTGACTGTTAAGTGAGGGGCCGTGTAACAGGAGTCCAGGCTCGGATCACCGCTAGATGCCACCTAGTCATTACTCGCTCTCTTCGAAACGACAGTGTATAATGCATAACAGGCAGTTGCAATCATATTACAAAAAAACTAACCAGAAATCTACCAGAACAGAACAGTGAGCCTACCCAATTGTATCCCAATAACATATCTATAACTCCACCTGCACGGCCACCATGCTCTCTGACATGAACCCAGTCACGAACAGCCAGGCGAGCTTCTTGCCATTCTCCGGTGCGATAGGCACCAGGACAGCCGCACTGGCAGAGCGAATGCGCGACCCATCATCCTCAAACAAGAGTTTCTGCTCCCAGCCCTTATTACCAAGCCGAGCATACCAAACCTTGAGTGGATCCAGAGCGTTAGGGTCTTTCGTAGTCTGGGGAGAAGAGCACCGCGTGACACCCCCGCGATGACAATGCCGCTCGCATCATCTGCGTCGGTACGGTAGGGATCCGTGTAGTAGCTCGGGTTGTCAGTGGCGCTTTTGAACGCAAGAGTGGTGTGGATAGAAATGGAGAGGGGAGTGGTTTGCGGGCGACCAGTTGGCGAGATATAGCTCTCCGCTCGCAGCGCTGGAGATCACCATCTCGTTTGCGGTGCGGCCGTGGCCAAGCCCGTTGTTGTTGTGCAGGCCCGCGTGCGCAACGGAGACTTCGAGGCCGGCTGTGGCGTCTTTTGCCTTGGAGTCGGTGATCTGGACGTGGATGATATTCGACCACTTGGCCATGTATACAGTGTCCTCGAGCATACGCATCAGACCTTCTCGGTAGAAATGGTCATTGGTTACGTAGAACTCGCTGGGGCTGATGGCATAGACATCGTTGGGAGTCGTGATGAGCTCGTGTCTGATGGAGCGGATGTGCTTCACCGAGTTGGATCCGAGGACGTGGTGGAATAGCTCAATCTGCGAGCGAGCTTTGGGCGTGCCTTTGGGAGGCTCACTTGTGCCAAAGTACTCGGGATTGGTAAGATGGTTGACCGCAAAAATATAGACAGCGTCCGCTTTCTGGGGATCTCCAATGACATCAATGCCATGAGTTACGAACGAAGACTCAAAGTTTTCAAATTCCAGTCTCTTCGACTCAAACGTCTATATACACAGAGCATCATTCGTTAGCGAACACTGATTGAATGGCATCTGCTACGAGACACACCGTTGGGTCAACAACGTGGATAGAGCCACGAGCGGGAGGCTGAGGCTCCAAGTAGTGTCCTAGACCTGGGAACCACTTGAAGCGCGTCTCTTTCACATCCTCGCACGCGGTGAAAAGCAAATTTGCCGGGAGGTAATGGTGAACATCCTCGCAATGAACCGTATCTTGGATATAAATGGGGCCTTGTCCCTCGCCCAGAACTGTGGGCTTTGGTACAAGGAAGGGACCGAAGACCGTGAGGAAGTGGACGACTACGGGGACCACGAATGCGGCAAAGCCCGCAAGCAAGCTCAGGTTGAGCACGGATCGAAGCGAACCCATCGTGTCTCTAATGGAATAGAAGGAGAAAATGGACTGGGGGAAGAAAGGGGGGAAGGGAAAGAGGGAACATGTCTAAAATTTGGGGGATTCCAGTCTTCCAAGCGAACAAACCCATAACCTCGGGAACTGGGGTTTGCTTGGGAAGTCACGCGGGGTAGAAATAGTGGGGAAGCATGTGGTGGGGCCCCGCACTCCTGGGCTACATCAGATACTGCATACTCTACTGCGGGGGAATTATGAGCGTATTGGAAAAGGTAACATACATTGAATACCCGAAGGAGCGATGCAAGGAAATGCCAACTGGGCGTCGATTGTTGTTTTCAACTGTTTTCGATACAAGGAGCAGTGCAAATTGGACTGGCAAACCCGGAAAGATGGTAGAAAAGAACATGGGAGAAGCAAAGAAACGTTGGGGGGAAAGGCAAGTCAAAATCAAATTCACGTGGCGAATAGCAATTGTCTTGAGGGTCGGGCCTGGGCATGCTAGAACCGGCTGGGACATGGGATACCTTCAATGGAAAAACTCGTGAGCAAGTGAGGATGCCCCACCCCCCACCCTTCTGAGCTGTGTTGCAAGAAGTCCAGAGCCGTGATTCCCAACTCGGATCGTTCAGCGCTAAGTTTCGGAAAGTCGCAGACTACTGCACCGACTGTTTAGCTTCCAGGAACTCCTGGTCACTCGCATCAAGCACGTCGTACTCCTCATCAGTGAGGAAACCGGCGTCAGTGTAAGCATCATCCAAGGTTAGACTCTCAACATCCTCCAACACATCTCCCTCGGAGGCAGAAGAAACAGTCGGGGCAGGATGAGCGGCAGCCATGGAGTTGTGGGTGCTGGACTCAGGGGACTCCTTCTCCAGCTTTGGGAAAATCATTCCGCTCTCATGGGGCTCAGGGGCCGTGCAAGCATCCTCAGATTTGACCGACGGAGCTTCACATTTGGTAGACTCGGCCACCTCCACGGGCTGGGCGCGGACTTGGATATCGCACCAGAGTCTATGGCCAATCGGGGCGCCGTTCGGAAGCTTCAGACGCCAGTATGAGATAGCAATGCAATCGCGCTGAGGAGAGCGAAGGTATACGGTGAAAGCAGCAGATTTTCCAGGCTCCACAGGAGCGGTAAGCTTGTTGCTCTCCATGGCCAGACCGATCGAACTCATGCTGGAGGGGTGAGTCGTGTCCACGTCCAGCATGGAATCACCGCCCACGAAGTGTACATAGCATCCAACCGGCCACGCATGAGGCCCAGGGTTGTAGAGCGTGAAAGTTTGCGTGAACGAAGTGCCGGGAGGCATTTGAGTACCATCTGCGATGGTGTCACCCATGAAGAAGGCCTGGTATTCATCCGCGTCGGCACCAGATTTGGAGGCGTCAGTAGGGGCACTGGGAGCTTCACTGGCAATGACTGGAGCTGGCTTTGTGGCATCCACCTCAACAGGAGCTTGTTCCACAGGAGACTTTGTGTCCTGGAGGTCAGTGTTCGTGTCGGCTGTGAAGTAGGCATACGCGTGAGCAAGGGACTTGTCATTCGTCCACACGTTTCCATTGGTAGTGTCCTCAAAGGCAGTGCTAACAGCCACGGAGCGAACAGGGGTGCGGAACTTGATCAAGGGATGGGTGCGGTTGTGAGAAAGGGTGGGCAAGGCCTCACAGCTTGCACAGAAATCAAGGTCGTCACACATCGCACACTTGTAGCGGTCACCCGTGATATAGCTCTGTGCAGGCTTGTCCTTGCAGAGCGGTCCATCACAGAAGATGCCATGGTGAACCACGTGCTCACGAGGTGGCTCCTGGATAGCCTCGTAGAGAGGAGCAAACCGATGGCCAGGGTGGTTCTGGGAAGCATTGGTGAAACACTCTCGGCAGTAGTCCCAGTCGGGGCAAGTAAGACACTTGTGTCGGGTGCCATGGATGTGCTAAGAGTACAAGTTAGCTATTGAGAAGAGATAAAGAATATTCGTGGGTGTTCAATACCTTTTCACAGCCGTCACAAATGGCTGCGTGCTTGAACTGACGGCCAGGAAGACAGCGCGACATGATCAAGTTCTTTAGGCAGAAGTTGTGATCCGTGCCAAGGTGGAAAGTGTGACCAGGGTGATGACCATGCTTGTTTCTCAAGAGGCAACGCAGGCACAGGTCATAATCCTCGCAGTCATTGCAACGCACCAGGTTGCTTTCATCGGTGTCTGTTCAAGAAAGAAAAAGGAAATATTAGTCACTGACAGTATAGTTATTGAATCTAACAAACATACCATTGCAACAGCCGTTGCACACGGGCTTATCCTCCTCGTGACCGGCCGTGGCCACATTAGTGGTCTGAACTTCAACCGGTGCAGCAGGAACAAGCGCAGCGACCGGAGGTGAGGCTGGAACAGCATCCTTCTGAGCAAAGACACTCTTGGAATCCGCAGCGGGGGCCATAATGTCTGGAGAAGCTGGTGACTTGATAGAGACACCTTGCTGGGCCAGGGTGCGGCGAGGAGGAATAGTCTCAGTTGTGCTGTTTGTTACCACCCCTTCCACGACGGAACGTTTGATCAACCAGTGACCTTCACCCAGGCAGGAGGCACCATCAGTCACGCAGCGAGGGCAAAGGTCATAGTCGCCGTCTTCACAGATACTGCAGTGATAGTGCTCATTCGGGATCGATCGACCACAGTTGTTGCAGTCGATGCAAAACATTCCACGTGGAGTACGGTGGGGAAACAGAAGGGAACGGGAGACTGTCCTCCTCAGGCTCGAATTTGCGGAACTGAACGGGGTTGGCAAGTGCAGAGAGATCCACCATGTTGGACGAAGTGAAAAGCGACTGTCCGATCACAGAAGTAGGCTCCATCGCAGAAGGCAGGGAACCACTCTGGGCAGCGGGAATGGGCGAGCTGAGAACTGTCTCAAGGTAGTTGTGTCGAGGGACCTGCTTGTTCAGTGCCTCAACCGGGGTAGTCGTACCAGGGTGAAAACTGGCAGGCTCCGTTGTAGAATCGACGATGGTAGCCTTAAGACGAAGCTTCGATTTCGCTTTTGCAGCTCTGTAAAGCTGTTTGTAGACAGCAGAGTTGTTGCTGTCCAGTTGAACGTAGGCGGCGGCGCTATCGGAGTAGCGTTCAAAGATGACGCTAGCTTCCGGTGCAACTCCGAGAAGAGCTCGGAGCTGTTAAGATTGTTAGTTAGCAAATATGGAAGAATTCAAATCCATCATGATTTGGTCTACACAGAAGTATGCATCTAGCCAAGCTACCGTCATGGTGAATGGCTGTGATGGTTACTCTGATAAGGGATGGGGCGGATCGAACATCCGGTCGGGAAGCTGTAGTGGAGCCCTCATCATACCTTCTGGGGAAGCACGGTCGCCCGGAGGTCCCGCAAAGGAAGCTTAAAGCGACGGTGGCTGTCTTCATTAACAAAGACTTTGAGAGTGATGAGGTGGTCAGGGCTAGGGTGGGATGACACAGCCGGCGTTGCCATGATGACGATGTGGAGGAGTGAGGGATGTCAAAGGCCGGGGATCTCGGGTGAGATAAGGGTGTGGGTACTAAGAGGATGAAGGCGAAATCGAGGATAGAAGGGGAGGTCAAGGAAGAGATGATGGCAGAGTAAGAAGGGGAGATGCAAGGTAAAGCAGAGGTTGGAGATGAAGATGAATTAAAAGAAGTAGATGAGGGGGAAGTAAGAGAGTAAGAAGCAGGCAGTCGGCTTGACGAAAGCGTTGTACCATTTGGGCGGGTCAGCTGGTTTGCCCGTGGGCGGTGAGAGCTGCTACATAGAACACCCTTTTCCCAGTAACTTGTATGGTTGAGTCTGGAATCCAAGTGGTCCAAGCTGCCGGGCAAATTTACAGCAGTTACCTCGGTCCCCTGTCTGGATATGTATATGTACTACAGGGGGGATTGGTTTGAATCTTGGGCAAAGATATACACTAGTCATTCATTATAAATTATCCTGGACCCAACCAGACCGTGACCCTACCCTAGATACGCACCTCATGGGATGCTACAACAGCTGCCAGGAGCGGGCCGACCGATAGCTATGCTGTACGAGCTTTACGGCCAAGGCCACATGGCCTTATGAGTTAGTATATGTCCTTCTTGGACTAAGAAGTGTGGAATCTACACGGATCAGAGTTATCACAAAAGGCTAACACAAGATGAACCAAGATTACTTTTTTGTTTGACTTTTTGCTATGGTATTGTGTGGCTCCATCAAGCAGAAACACAGCAGGAAAAGTTGAGGTCATGCACGGGGCCTAGATCATGCAGTGATTAAGGCGTGAGGGATGGAGGGGGAGGGGAGGGGGGGAATTTCGTGTGGCGGGGACATGAGGGGGGTGAAACGCTCAAATGCATCCGAGTTCAAGTCTAACCGGCGGCCAAAACGGAGGAGATCGATCAAGATGACGAGTATCGTAAAATAGGATTAAAGAATGGCCCGGGGAAAAGAGAAAGTGAAAATGAAGAAGTGCGAACCCCAGATAATTGCCAGAAGATGAAAAATATGAGAAAGATAAAGCACGGTTCATCCAAAGAGACACCAGAGAAAGTGAAAGGCAGGCCAGTCAAAGACGAAAAAAAAAAGAAAGAAAGAAAGAAAGAAAGAAACAAAGAAAGAAACTGCGTTCACAACAACACCAGAGTTTGGTCAAACCCATTCACGGTTGCCCGTAGAACACTGCCCCGCCGCCCGGCGGTTGGGGATAGTAATAGGTGGCGCCTGGGGGCGTAATCATGCCGCCCATCCCCACTACACCACCGGGACCTTGTCCATGGGGCGCCCCGTAATTAGCACTGGGGTTTGGATGGAAGTACACAGTGCCATTCAACTCATGCGCCACAGTCCCTTGTGCTGACTGCTCCCCAGACGAGGGGGGGGACCATGTATGGCATAGGTTGCTGACCGGAAGGGAAATTTGGCACTGACGCCCCCGGTCCCATTGGTCCATTGTACGCGGGATATTCAGCTCCAGAGCCAGGATAATATATCGGGCCAGGGGGGGTAGTGGCCATAATACCCAGGCTGCTGGTAGCCATAGGGGTTGAAAGGCACGGCGTGAATAGCCCGCTCGGGAATCTGAGAGAGTGGTGTTGCGGATGGCTGACCGGTAGGATCATGGGCAGTCCCGTCAGGGCCAGGTCCAGGGCCGTTGGTGGCCACCGGGACTTGATGATGGAACGGCTGCTCGGGCGGAGGCCGAGATTGGTTGAGAGCGTATGTGGCAGGGCTCTCAATATCGGCCACAGAGACAGGTTTTTTGGGTCGAGGCTGATGCATGGTCTGAGCAGGGCGACCTTCACGGTAGGCAGGGAAAGGCAGCGGCAAACTCGGCGGCACTGGACCGGGCCCTGCTGGCATCATGGGCATGCCTGGAGGTGGCATCCCCATCGGAGGACGAGGGTGCGGCGGTAGACGAACCACTGGCTTATTAGGTTCAAGAGGGAACATGGGTGGCATTGGCTGAACAGGACGAGAATAGACTGAGCCAGCTGGTGAAGGATACCCATCTTGGGATGGGGCCACACCAAATGATGATCGCCGACTAACAACACTAGGCGTATAGCTGCCAGGGTAGTAGCTTTGTCGCCGCTGGGGGTAGAATCCACTCCCACGGCCTCGGCCGCGGTAGCCCTGCTGATTTGGTCGTAGCGCACGAGGAATAAAAATGAAGGATCTCTCAGTTGATGGGAAAATGTAGCGAGGAAGATGGTCCGGGAGAGATATCCGCACCGGTTTATCCCGGCGCAAGGGAGGGCGATGCTGAGGAAGGCGGGTATGCTGATTTTTGGGAACTGCGGGAAATGACTTTGGCTGGTCCATGCCCGGGAGGCTGACTATCACGGGTACATTGCCAACGAGTGTAGTGCTAGAGAAAGACCGATTTGGCGGCGAAGACCTTGGAGCGGTTGGAACAGCTGTCGAAGGCGGAGGGGCACCCAACGACGATGCTTGCTTCGAAACGGGTGGATCATCTCCCGCAACAGTATCATGGAGATCATGGCGCCACAGCCCCCCGCTAGCATCGGCCTTCGAGGAATTTCTAGGCTCGTTAGTACAAGGTTCTGTCATGCTCCATGCTAAGTGGTGGAGAGTGTGGAGAGCATACCTGCGTGCATTCCCATCCACAATCAACCCGAATGGACGTGATTTGCTCTTGTTGGAGTTGGAAGAACGACCATTCGAGCCTGTCTCCGCAGCCCGATTGTCGTGGAGGAAAAAGCTACCTTTCGTCGGCACAAACGCTGGGTTCTGTTCCCGCTCCTTGACATATTTATCGTTCTCCCGCTTTTTTTTCGTAGCGAGTGGTTCCCGCTTGGACTCGGTGGGAGGAGCCGAAGGCGTGCGAGACGTGGGTGGTTCTTGGTTGTCGTTGATCTGACCGAGTGAATCCTCTTCGGTATCGTTGGATATCGTCAACCCGTTCAACATTGCCTCCGTATCCGATGCCGTTGCCTTGAGCCCTGGCTTGTCGGGTGATGGGGATATGTAACGCTGTTCCCGGCCGTTGAGCTTCTTGCCGTTCAGTTTGTCCGGACCTGCCGTTACTTCATCCTCCGTTTCACTAGCCTCGACATCCGCATCTTCGTCATCTTGGTGGCTCTCTGCTGATCCCTCACTCAAAGAGTCATCCTCTACTTCGGCCGCCGGCGGACCCTCATCCTCGCCTTCCTCATCTCGCCTCTGTCTGCGACTAGCTCCGATGTGACGTCGCCGAGGAGCCATGGATACGGGACGGGTGCAAAATAAAGCTTGATGGAAATTTGCGTAGATTTGATAATTGTGTAGCAAAGTTGGTCGAAAGTTCAAGAGGCGGATGGAGATGGGACGAGGACCGGAGCGCGGAGAAAGCAGGCAAGAAACAAGGATGATGAAAGTCAAAAATAAAGTACCGGAGAAATGCTATCGAACGAGGAGAAGCGATTTGGAGTGAAGAAAATAAAAAGGAGCCAGCCTGGAGAGGCACCAGGAGATGGAAAAGTGAACAGAAGCAAAAACAAGAAAGGAAAAGAAAGCGCAAGGGGTTGTTCGAAGAAAGGAAGCTTCGAGATGGAGAACCGAGATTCATCGACTCCAGCAAAAGAGCAGTGACAGCAAGCGTAACCAATAACTAGACCTGTTCGGGCTTAGTGGCGGCCCGGTGGGCGGTGGGCGGTGGGGTTGTGCTTTCTGCCTATTACGATTTGCCATACAATGCGCTTTATTTTGGGGGTTCGTCATACTCTACAATCCGAAGGGAGGGAGAGCCCGTGAGCCCATTTCTTTCCACACTACCGGGCTCAATTCTCAATATGTCTCGGGTCGCTTTTTGCACAGTCGGGACTGTCCGAGAAAAGTCCCCGATGCAAGATGGTACTTACCTCGAGGGACACAGTGGGAGTTTTCCAGGCGCATGCGACCCTGGATTGATAAACGCCCAACCCACCCACCATCGTCTCCCAAATGTATGGAGGCCCATCATATGACCTCACCGAAATTGAGATTCTGCCTACTTTGGGCGGGCGAATGAAAACGTGTACAGGACAGAAAAATTGGGTTTGATATAACATACCCACGTCGAATGATGCCCGAGGAGAAAAGTGGAGAATGTTGACATGAAATGGGTCCAACGGAAGTAGCCTGCAACATGTCGGAACAATGCAAGTGGGAAACATGTCTTTCTCCTTGTTATATTGAGCCCGATTGAGTTGTCAAAGCCCGCTTAAGACCATTGAGGAGATTTTTTATTAAAGAGAGGCCCTGAAAACCACCCGAAAACGCCTGCAGGTGCGCTGCGATGAACCGCCAAACAGCGGGGGAAACAATTGCAACAACTTCACTCTGACTTGGACAAAGCATACACGCGCTCGCTCGATACGGTCGCATTTAGTCGAACGTGACTTTCTGGCCCTGCCCCTCGACAATGGCACCGCTGAGGCGTTGCACAGTCTCCTTGGAATACCGAGAATCATCGATCTCCGGACGCTTAGGCTTCCTGACCCGGGACCGAGCATCAGAGCCCTCAGCATTTTCCGAGTGATCTTTCTTGCCCTCGCTGTCCTTGCCGAACCGTTTCTTGTATCGGGTGGAGGCGTCCTCCGCAAACTCCATCCTCATACGGCGGCCCATGATTTGGTTTACCCAAACCTTTCGCTTCGGCGTTTTCTTAGGCTTCTTTGCTGAGTCGGAGTCATTGCTATCCTCCTCCTTCTCCTCCTCCTCTTCGTCGTCCTCTGCAATCAGCACGTAACCCTTCACCGCTGCTTCTGCTGCAGCGAGGTCTTCAAACTCCACCCAGGCATATCCCTTGCATTTCCCACTATCTTGGAAGGTCGCCATGTGTACGTTGGTCACGGTTCCGCATTGGCCGAAATGTTCCTCAAGTATTTCTTTAGTGGCATCAAAGCTCAGATTGCCGACAAAGACTCGGCGAGAAGGGGGATGGCCAGGCTTGCCGTTACTAGCATTGCCCTGATCTCCCTGGGGCTTGTCCGGGCGGCCTTCAAAGCTCTTTGCGTTCTTGATCAAAACTCGACGGCCCGTCAAAAGCTGTTCGCTAAGACCAATTGCTTCCTCCAGGGCTTTCGGAGTAGAGAAATCAACGTAAGCAAAGCCTTTGTTTTGGGGCCTCCCGAATTTCTCTTGGCCCTTCGGAAGGTGAATTCGAGTTATGGTAGTCTCGGGAAAGGAGCAGTTGCTGACAAAAAAATTGCGGAGGTCGTCTTTGGTGGTTGCGAAGCCCAGGTTACCGATCCAAATACCGTAATCGGAACGCTTCGCAGGGGCATTTTGTGCGTCGGTTTTTTCCTTGGTCGAAGCCGTCTCGGGCTTAGTCTTGCCATCCTCAGCGGCTCCTTCTGTTTTGTTCTTTTTAGCTTTGCGCAGAGCTTTCTTAGACTGCGGTTCTGGTGCAGAAACATCAATCTCGATCTCCGGAACATCCTGCAGCTTGCGCTTCTTGTGGGAGCCGTCAGTTGCCTCTGTCATATTTGCGACGGTCGAGACTGCAAAGGCTATGTAAAAAAAGAAAACGGTGGTTTCAAAGTAAATCTTGCGCAATCAAGCTCTTGACTCTAGGAAAATCAATTTTTTTACGGCCGTCGGGAGGCACCGCTTGCGCAGCCTCGTTCTTGGCGCGCCGGGACTTCGGACCTGCGTTGATCCTCCTTCCTAAGTCCATCGCGTCCATATCTCGCCCGAAGCCAGTCCCAACCCGGATATTTCCAATTATATCCTCCTGACCCTCGAACAATGTCACAAGAAGCCCAGGACTCGGGCCCGGTATCCGAGAGCCTCCCCGATGCTCCTACATCTGCCCTGTGAAGCAATCATTCCGCTCTTTCAAGTAAGGATTGCTCTACACGCGATGAAAGGACACTTTCTAACAGCTGGCTAGGAAAAAGTATGCGAAAATGAAGCTGAAGTTTGAACTGGGGATTCGTGAAAACGAAAGGTTGATCCGCGAGGAGCTCCGGATCGAGGACTTGTCAAAGCGCATCCAGGAACAGAATGAGTAAGTCACACCGGGAGCTTCTAAGGTCCCTTCCCAATCGCTGCATGATGGATCTAATTAGTCAATAGTCAACTTCTCGAAGTCCTTTTGGAATTCAACGAGAGCTTGCACGTCCCCCCAGCCTTCCGCTATGGACTTGAAATTCCAGGTGACCCCGACTTCTCCGTCAGCTCAGAGCCACCCATTGCAGCATTGGTGAACGACCCCAGCCTGGCTCGCAAGACCTGGTCAGAAGCCAAGGAGGGGCTTGCAAGCGGCAGTCTTTCACCCAATGCCTATCGCCAGGTAGAAGAGAGCATTAAGCGGAACAAAGAATTTTTGCCAACACATCAATACAGCGCTCTCATCAAAGTCCCCCATACCTCTCCCAGTGCTTCTGATCAACTGAAAGACAAGGATGGACTGGATCGCAAGCTGGGATATTTTACTCCTGAGCACGAAACTGAGTTTTACCTAGCTTTGGATGCCAAGCTTGGAGATGAAGCAGCTGCAGCGCAACTTGAGCGAATCCCTGAGCCACCAACTCTTGCGGAGCGGGAAAAAGAGGCTGTGATGCGTAATCCCGCATCTGTTGTCAACTGGCTGCGACGTAATCAACCTTCTTTGCAAGATCAAGAAGTTGCATCGGAGAAGTCTGCCTCGAGGCCGTCAAACCAGCGATCCTCGAAACGTGCTCCCGCACAGCGCAAGGACGAGGAAATGCTTGATGAAGACGGCATGGATGTGGAGCCAACCCCGAAGAACAAACGCAAGCGTGATGAGGATACTGGGTATCGTCCCAAGGGAGGTAACAATCGTTCCAAGAAGAAGAAGGAAGACTCAACCCCGAAGAGCAAGAAGACCTAATGACCTACGCAAGACTATCGATGTTTCCATTTTTCTCAATTTTTTTTTTCTTGGCTCTTGACATCATTAATCCTTTCTTCTCCCGATGTATTTCTATATTTCTTTCGCATTTACGTGACTTTCTATGGCGTGGTTTCATGAATGGCATTTGCGGGATGTACGGCCCTTCGGGCTATTGAATCGGAGTTGAAAAATTCGTCGTCGTCTTACGCAGGTTCAAATTACACGTCATTTGAATGAATAATCAATCCCTTTTTGATCTCTGTCTGGTCAACTTGTAGAAACAGTTTATCGTTATCTTATCGGCGAGGGACCAGTCACGTGTCGTAGAAGAAAGTCTCGGAGCTTCAGTCCATTTGATCTTCTCCCAGCAACCCAGCACCCTTTCGCCATGGCAATCACAATTTTGGCTCCGGTGGTGGAGGATGTGCGCCAGGATGACTCTCACGCTCCCCATGGCTATGCCGATCAGTCTATGTCCGAGGATTCCGACTCGGACGTCGAAATGGGCGGCGTCTCTCTATCCCAGAAGCGACGGCCCCGCGACAGCAACAATCTCGCAACAGGAATCATGACTCCTGGCGAGGTTGTGACGGATGACCCGCAATGGATGAGGTATGTATGTGGGTTTGGCCCGCTCCTTTTGGAACACAAAATGAACCGGGCATCTCTATCTGGAATTTCAAGCTGATCAGCTTCCAGAGGTCACGGAACCTACACCAACCCTCTTTCGACCTCTATCATTGCCACGGTCGCCGGTCACATCGAAAAAGTCAACAAGTTAATCTCTGTCCGCCCTTTACGAGCCCGGTACACCCCCGAAATCGGTGATCTTGTCGTAGGCCGCATTGTGGAGGTACAATCACGACGATGGAAAGTCGATGTCGCCGCCCCGCTACTTGCTCAACTCCCTCTCTCCGCGATCAATTTGCCCGGAGGCATTCTACGACGAAGAACCAGCGCCGATGAGCTCCAGATCCGAACATTCTTCAGCGAGGGCGACCTCGTTGTCGCCGAAGTGCAAAGCGTACACCAGGACGGATCCGCCTCACTCCACACTCGATCGTTAAAGTATGGCAAGCTTCGAAATGGAGTTTTCCTCGCAGTGACTGGCACAGGTGGGAGTGGTGCTTCTAGCTCTAAACCGAAGAAGTCTGGGTCTAGTTTGGCGGTCTCCGGATCCGCCAGCGGGATTGGGGGGTTGTTCGATCCCGGCGACAGGTGTGGACTCAGCAAACAGCAAGCGGTGGGGCAGACGTAGATATCATTTTGGGAGTAAACGGGTACATCTGGATCTCCAAGCATGTCGAAGGAACAGATGCAGCTTCCTCCGCCTCGGAAAATGTTTCCATCACACGGATGGAGGAAATGGTGTCCAGCTCAATCTATTCCAGCCAGAATGACGAGATCTCGCCGCAGACTCGTCATGAAATATCCCGCTTGTCGCAGTGCATCCAGGTGCTTGTGCAAAACGGAGTTCGCGTTGAGATGGAGACGGTGCAAGCGGCCTACGAGGCTAGCCTGCAAGTGGATCTAGAAGTGGGCGACGATGAAGACGAATTAAGCGAAGAGGGTCGTGATTATTTGGAAGGAAACAAGGCATCTCGTCTCATTGAGCTGGTAGAGCAACGGTGGGCGAAACAAGAGAAGATCGAATGAGCTCGAGGTTACGATAAGCTGATAACTAATACCCCCGCAATTGTGATGACCCACGTTTTCTTGTTTTGTAGTTGCTTCTTCTGCTGCTTTATTTCGAGAGAAATCTGGAATTCAATTTCCAGAAAAAAAAAATTACTTGAAGGTTCAAATAAATAGAGATGAATCATATTCGACCGAGAGTGCATGGTCGAGGGAAGGCCCGCATGTGGCGACCCACGTGGTTTACTCAGACGCTAATCTGCTTGCATGTGGTTGGGTACTTCGCCTTCACTGCAGGTTCTTCATTCACTCATCTTCCATACATCTCCCCTTATGTTCTTCGCTCTAGACGATGTGCTATCTTATATCTTACATCTCTCGATTTCATTTCACCATAGCTCCGTTCCAATAGGATAACCACTTTCCCTCGGACCTCATCTTTTCATTCCTCGCAACTCAAGCCTCATCTTCGCCATGCCTGACCTTCGTCGCCAAGTTCTGGAGAGCGGGAAAACCGTCTCTCGCAAGGCTGCTTCTCGTGAAGGCACTCGACCCACCTCGCGTGCCAGTTCTAAGACTTCCGCCCGATCTTCGCGCAATGCAAGCCGTCAACCATCAGATGACGACGATGCCAGTTATATGTCTGATGATACTGCCATGAGGTAGGATTCTGTTTCTTTTCATTACATCCCCGTCCCTTCCACACTGCTTCTTTTTTTTCCTCCCTTATTCCCCCCCGAGCATTTTCAAGTTATCCTCACGGTTCCACTCCGTGGCGGAAAATGATGTCACCGCCAATGGTTGATAATTTCTTTTGCATGTCTTGTGATAGGACGCAGCTAACAGCGACAGCATCGGCTCCCTCGATGATGACAACCCCGAGGCAGAAAATGCCGACTGGCCAACCGAGCTGGCCGAACGTGTCCAAGAACTCCTTGATCGCAAGCGCAGCAGTGTCCAGGGCCGTGAAGAGGCTCTTGCGGCATTTTGCCGTCTGACTAAATATCACTACGCGGAGGAGGAGATTCGCACATCTGTGGATGACCTGCTTGTCGCATTTGTGAAGAGTATTCGGACTGACTCAAGCACCCGGGAGACTACATTGGCCTTGCGAGCGATTGAGCTCCTTGCGATTACCTCTTCGGATGACAAGATTTATGAAAACACCGAGCCGCTTCTTACCCGAACTATCCGCGACTCGGAATCCAATGCTGTAAAAGCCGCAGCTATCCAATGTCTGGGTGCGACGACCATGTTTGGCGGTGCTGGAGAGGATGGCATCCTGGACCAGATGACCTTCTTGCTTGATATCGTGGCTTCGGATGGCCAGTCAATAGGGGCCGCTGATGATCCCAAGAGCGTGACAGCCGCACTGCAGGTTTGGGGATTTCTTCTGACGGAGATCGATGATTTTGAGGGCGAGAGCGAAGAGTCCATCCAAATTCTCATGGACCAACTGGACAGCAGCGACTCGGGTGTCCAGATTGCCGCCGGTGAGAACATCGCCCTGCTCTACGAAAAGAGCTATACGCCCCAGGAAGATGATGATGACGAAGCGAGTGAAGAAGAGGAAAGTGACGAACATGAAAACGACCTCTCCTCTGGACCAAAGCTCGTGAAACGCTACAACGCCTACCACAACACCCCGGAGCTTGAGCGCCAGCTGGAATCCCTGGCATCAATCCACACAAAGCGCATCAGTAAGCGCGACAAGAAATCGCTGCACAGCAGCTTTGCCTCCATTCTCACAACCGTTGAGAATCCACGCCGTGGACCCCGCTACAATACGGCCATCGACCAGGATACGAACCGCCACTATGGCAGCACCTTGACTGTCAAAATCGGGCGCCACGGAATCATGAGCATTGATCGCTGGTGGAAGTGGGCACGCCTCGCAGGTCTGCGTCGGATCCTGCAAGGAGGATTCGCCGAGCACTACTACCAAGGAAACAGGTCTGTCTTGGACAATCTACCTGTTATGATGCGGCAGGCCGAATCAAACTACTCAACGCCAGATCGAGCCAGTGCAAAGAAGGCTGCGAAGATCCGCAACTCACGCCGCTGGACTGCCCAGCATTCGGAGGATGAAGATTGATCGTTCCCGTGTTGATGAGTTCGACTTGACTCGTTCAAGTTTCTGCATTCTGCTTTTCTTCCCACGTGCGACACCGGGAGTTCTATGCATCTGTTCACATTCGGTGTCTTTTGATTTTGTTTGTTCTCGATGATTTTATTCTGTCTTTACTTTCGAGTTTACATGTTGCGCGAGGTTCGAAACCCTCCGAGTTCAAGTTGTCAATACTGGTTCGAACACGAGTGCAATCCATCCTTGTCCACTTTCTTGTAATAGTCATAAATTCATTATTGAAGTTCAGAGAACGAGATCAGGAAGCCACAGTGTATCATCTCCGATAGAGAACTGCTAGGGAGAAGATGACCGAACCGTTCTAGACTTTTGCAAACCATAGCACAACTCTACGCTTCCTGAAAACAACCCAGGGTCCAAGGATAAGCGGGGAATGGCATGTAAAAGCAATTGAGGGATATGGACAGTCGACCCGTCTTAACTTAAAAAGCGCCGACAGCATATCGTACTTCTCATCATCACATCGAAATTTTAAACCTCAAACACATCCACAATACCGCTCCAGTTACCCCGGGCCCGCTCATCCCAATATCCATCCTTTCCACCCTTAAGCCTCCAAACAGTTTCGTCGCCCGAATCCTCCGCAACGCGAGTAAACCAGCGCGGAGACCAGCTTTCGCCCGAGGCTTCCATCTCGCGTCGCCGAGCACGCTGCGCCTCTTCCAGTTGAACCTTGACTTCCTCAGCACGATCTAGATCGCCATCCTCAAGGGCACGCTGGTCAGGTCGCAGACGCGAGTCCGTAGCCGGGAGGCGGGACTTCTCAATGGGGGTGATCTCGTTCAGTGTAGCAGCGAAGGAGGTCAGGCCATAATGCTTGGGGGAGTTGGGGACAAGCGGACCGGCGGTCCAGATGGGAGAGCCCGATGGGGCACCGTCACGGGTAAGAGAGATGGAAGTCGGCCAAGTACCAGCGAGACCGAGAGAAAGGGGTTTGTTATTGGAGTCCACGGCGCGGGTTGCCACTTCTTCGCTGCGGCCGGAGAACATACCGCCGGCTTTAAAGGTGGAGATGGTGCGGTGGCCGGTTGACTCGTTGGCAACTGTCATTTCGCCGACGGGTTCGACGTACTTTTCGCCAGCAATGATGTTGCGCAGGAATGAGGTGGCTTGGATCCAGGAGTAGCGCTCGCCAGTGCTGTGGAAAATGAGGCGGACACGGCCCTCAGTAATGATCTCGGCAGACTTGCCCCAGAATTTCTGAGATGGCATTGGTGATTGGGCAAGACTCCATTCGCGGCTATCGGCTTGGTAGGCCAGTTGGACGGGACGGTGAGACACTTTCTCCGCAATGAAACGGAAGCCTTGGTCTTCACGGACGAGTTCGTATGTCTCGCCGAGCATGGGATTGAAAGGTTTGCGAATAGATCGTTCTCGGACCCGGTTGGAAGAGATATAGGAAATGGCAAAGGCAGTCACATACATCAAGCGTTCAACAGGATCAGAGCACTGAGCGGCTTTGTCGAGGAGCGAGGAATATTCCATGATCTCCGCGGCACGCTGCAATAGAGACAACGGCTCGTTGGCGGAGACCGGCATGGAGATTTGGGAAAGATCCTTGCCCACGTTCTTGCGCAAGAATCCTATCAAGCTGGGGGGCATGACGGTAGGGGCTGTAATATTGTTCCGACGTTTGACAGCATCGAGAGGAAGAGGAGCTAAAGACTTCGGGCGGGCTGGGAAAAGAGGGGAGGCGTTGGTCGCATCGTGCACAGTGGATTCGCGGTCATCCTCACTGTCGGAAGGTGCATCGTCTTCTACTTCCCCAGCGGCGTTGTCAAATCTATCGGCATCATCGCTATCTTGGATTGTAAGCAGTGGAGATGTGACACCGCCATCCGTCGCATCAAAAAACTCTTGGGAGATATCTGATTCCATACTGCGCCGAGATGCTGCCACATGACGCGGAGGGTGGCGGCGTTGCTTGCTTTCGTCAATAAGAGATGAGAATTCGGAGACAACGCCATCCAAGTCTCGAAGGATCGCCATCAAGTGGTCATGTACATTTTGATCCATGCTATCATTCTGGCTCCGGATGCTAGCAGGTTTGCCAGAGCCGTCCGGCGTAGGCACTATCAACTGAGACGGATGGTGATTGGCCTGCTTACCACTGGAAGACGAATTCCCACTGGCCTTACGTTTCCAGAACGGTCTCTTCGGATCAACCGCATGAGCATCATGGCCGTGAGGGTTGGGGCTTGGCGATCGACCGCGGGCCCTTTCTACAGGCAAAGGGGACGGCAGCGGTGAAGTGATATACTTAGGATCGGTGTCCTTTGCCAAACGGCGCACAGCATCCCGCGAGCCGGATATCTTGCTCACCAGGCTCTCGACCTGAGTCCATTCCCTTTCCTCTTCGGGAGACCCTGCCGTCGGGGTGGAAAGCCGCAGTTGGGGGGCACCAGCAGGGATCAGGCCTCCCGCATTTGGTGTCTCTCGAGAAGAGGCCCGTTCTAAAGCGCGTTTCCATGAAGTAAACTCATGGTCGTTACTTGCACGAAGATGCCAGATCTCAGTTCCAGAATCAATGGAAATTTCGCGGGACTTTTCGTTTGTAGCCACCGCAGCCAACGAGAGCGGGATGGCGCCGCGGAGAGCAGCGGAATTCGGGTCATGATAATAAGATAGCGTTGAAGAATCGAAGTCCAACGAGAAATAGCGACGTGCCCAGCCCTGACCGCGCTTCCTCCGGCGCTTCTGCAAAATACCGCTGTGTACATTTGGGGGCGATGACAAGTCAGACTGTGCTCGATTTAGAGCGGACCCTCTACTATTACCCCGTCGGCGGCCCTTTGATTGTGGTAGCGACTCATTCGAGGCGCTGGCGTTTGATGGGGTCAAAGCCGACGCGACGGCGGATCCATGCGGCTGGAGACCGGTGGGATAGGTCAACAGTACGAGGGTGACTTGTTTCGAGACTTGTTTGGAGAAGGTATTGTCGAAGACGAGCGCGTAGTTTCCTGCATCAGAAACATCGTATGTACCCTTTGAGATCTTGTCGGCCTCACATTTGCCCACCCACTTGATCGACTTGAGACCAATTCCCGTCAGCTTGTCAACGACACTTGACGGCTGGTGTCGTGAGCCGGAGGCCGCGGCAGTTGCTGGTAGATTCTCATTGGAGTCGGTGCTATGAGAGTCGGAGGTTGGTAAATGAGCCCCGAGAGAGGACTGGCCGGGGTGCTTGAAGATGCCAAAGTTGATCGACTTCTTGTGTGGCTGGATGCTCCAAGAGATGGTGTGACCGGCGCTGACGCTGATCCAGCGTACGAAGTACGACTGAGAGCAGAAGCCCAGTTAGCCAGGAGCCTCCGTGGCCTCCGTAGCCTTCAAAATCCATTGCTGCACTCACCTTGCTGTGGATCTGCAGCTCCTCCATGGCAGCCATGGTTGTTGATGGGAGAGGTTGTGGAGCCGCGTCCGATGTGGACGGAGGCCGCAGCTGAGAAATGCACGGACAACCGGTAAGGCGTACAGGAGGTGCACTGCGATGAGGTTCCCAGGCGATCTATGAAATGCGAAATAAAAACACAATGAGGGGGAAAACGTCATGCGAAGGAGCCCAGCCTAGCGGGGCAGGCGGTACAAAAACAGCCAAAAAGGTCCGAGGCAACGCGCTTCACATGTACACATGGACTCCCCACGCTCCAACTGCGGTACCAACTCGCCGGGTCCACCACAGTTCGATCGGATTCGGACTTTGCGATACCAGCTTTCTGTGGAGCGATTACCTATTCCGAAATGATTTTACATAGAGAGCCTTCAATGCTGAAATGCCATTCATTGCTTAAATTCAAATATGGGTTACAGGACGTCCTTTGCTTCGCGCCCCCCCCCACCAAAATAGCCAGGGGAGGTGTATCAAATTAACTGAAGAATATGGAAATGAAAGGGCGCGGGGGTCGGAGAGATCAATCAATGCAAAATGCCCTAATTTTGGGGGTCGGTCCATCTTTCTCGCATAAGAAATGATAATAATAATAGTAATAATAGAAAAGCAATCGAGCATATCGAAGACTTCTGCAGCGAAGATTTTCAAAGAGTGCGCGACGTATGAAAGAGCCATGAGGGGGATGAATTTCGAAAGAAAATAGAGAAGGGGGCCACGCTCCGCCAAGGGTGGAAATAAAACACTGTACAAACGAGCTCTTAACGGCGCTGGGCTTGCATGTTGGTAAACATCAACTTGAAGCCGTTGCACAAGGCCTGCATATCCGGGTAGGGGTTTTTCTGCAGTTCGAATCCCTGGGGAATGACCTTGACGGGCCAGTTTTGAAGCCGTGAGCGCTCGCCTGCCTTAAAACAAAGAAAGAAGTAACCGGGGTATTTGGTGTTGATACAGAAGGCATAGGCAGAACGACGAGGATTAGCCTTGGTGTAAGTCTCAAGCCATTGATCTAGGAGAGAAGTTAGGATTCCACAAACATCACAGAAGATTAGCCGCTGGAAAGCCTCCACATACCGGTTTCAGACTTGCTACCATCTTGGAACTTCTCGTGCAGCATCATCTCGTCCACCTTCTTGGCCATGGCCTTGACGTGGTTGACGATCAGATCATCCAGATCACTGTAGGTGTATCTGCCTCCAACCTTGAGGACTCGTCCCACGGAGAACTCGTTCTCCTTATCCAGTTCTAAAACATCGATGTGCTGGTACACACCGTGGGCTACCTTCCAGGTGACCGCCAAGTGGTCGGGACCACGCGAAGAAGGACGAATAACCACATCACCGCGACTACGGGAGCCAAGGTACTCTTCAGCCTGGGTAGAATTGAAGGGGTGGAACAACGGGTGCTTGATAACACGGATCGCTTGGCCGGTGTGCTGGATCTTTTCCCGCTGGGACTCCCGATCTTTGCGCTCCTGTGCTTCATCCCAGTCGCCAAATCCATGATTTGGGTTCCGATGGACGGGCTGGCTGACTTGATCCTCCCGCAAAGACACATTGCAGGTGAAGCTTTTCTTGTTAAGGAACAAGATTTTGGCGGGGACAGTTTGATGTGGCTGATAAACACTACGCACGGGGACATCGTAAGGCACTCCCAGCTCCGTCTCCGAAACCAGTGCATCGATACCGCAATCCAGCTTGGCATCGATATGGTCGTCAAACACGCGCTTGATGGCAATAGGCACCACCATACCATCCTTCAACGAATGTTGAGTCTCACCAGTGAGCATGGTGAAAACGTCTTCAGTCCCAAGGAAGAGGAACTGTTTACGTAGCTCCTCATACGGTTGTTGCAGTTCCGCACGGATTGTTTCCAGGGTAGCTCGCTTCCGCTGGTTGAGATTTTTCTCCAATTGCTCGGCATACTCCTCGAGGATCAGATCGTTGACACGATCTTGTTGCTCGTCTCGGAATAGTTTCCGCACGATTGCGCCCGAGCCATTCTCGTCAGTTTCAGCCTTGATATCTTCTTCATCAAGCTCCAAGGCATCGGCAGCCATCTTGCGTGCGATGTCGTAGTCTTCAGGGTGCACCCGAGTATTGTCCAATGGGTCCGCGTCCGGGTCGGCATTCTCATAGTCAATGTACAGAAAGCTAGCGCAATTGTTCCACACCTTGATACCCATGGCTGGGTATTGAGAGTTGATGCCAATGAGTTCCACGCGGTTGTTGATATGGCCGCCTCCCTGGTGGATCATCTGGAGCATGTGTGCGGCCTTTCGAGGGCCCAGTCCACAGACATAAGGCAGAAGATTGGCTGTTAACGGGTCATGGATGGCTTCAGTGAGTTCGACACCCACAAGATTGACCATATCGACCAACGCAGTCTCCAGTTGCTTGATCAATAGATCTTGAGATATTAACTGTTGGCCAGGCTTGAACTGGATAGAGACGATATCGCGGCCCAAAGAGGCATACTCCTTGAGAGGACTTTGCAAGTAGTGGCCCAGAGCGACACAATAGTTGGTCATCGGCTGGAAGCTTGGGTTGTCTTGACTGGCACGGGGGCTGTTTTGATAAAGTCGAGCGACCTCGTCATTGACAATGACAACTTCCAAACGGTCGCTGACATCCTTAGTGTCGCCATTCTCGTCTTCGTCTTGATAAGTGGGACCACGAATGTCCTTCAGTTCCACAACTTCAGACACCAATTTGTAGAGGCGTCGCGTTTCTGGAGTCATACCAGAGACGGCGATCACATCTGGCTTGCGTCGATGGCAAATATCGAGGAAAGTGCTGACGCTTTCACCGTCTTTGATACCCCTGCCAGCGTCTCCCACATCAAGATGGAAGAGTTGTCCATTCTCCAACACACGGCCATCTTCTTCGATGAAAGCCCAAAAAATGGGTTCTCGACCAACGATGCCAAAGCCGGTAGACAATGCAAGGACACGTGGCACGGTTCCAAGGACCATTCCCTTGGGTTTGTACGGAGCTTGATCCAAACGGGAAGAGAACGCCTCTCGGCACTCCTTGGCCACATGATTCTCGCACTCCTGCCGAATGTTTTCTTTGACACTGCGATTGATAAACCGTTCGAGCTTGCTAAGCGCCATGTCCAAGACATCGCGACGGAGACGATTCCAGGCGTCGGCGACCTCGGAGTAGTTATCAGACTCGATGTCAGCGTAAAGACGTTGGCGGAATTGGTCGAAGTTTTCAAAACGCACTCGAACTTCAACCAGTCCTTCCTCCTCGGCTTTGAGCATCCGCAGGAACATCTCCGGCGGCGGGCAATGTCGCTCAGCTGCTGATTCCGGAGGTACTTGAACTCATAGTAAGGATGCTGCTCGTCAATCCGTCGTAGCCCCTTTTCGGTTCGGAAGCAGTCGACCACGCCATTCATATAATATGATTGGCGAACAACCTTGCGCATTTTGGGGCTCATTACGAGTTCTTCAGCAAACATGGACTTCGCAGCTTGCAGAACATGAGACGAGTTGGAGAAGTCCGCGTCGACGAACTGATCAGCCAGCTCCTCCGGTCCTTCTGAAGGGTCTTCGGTGTATTTCCGGCGATTCTGCTTGGCAGCATTATCCGCGAAGTCATTAGCTGAAATTCCGAATGCGCGCACCAAGCCATAAGCTTTAGCATTTCGCACTCTTTCGTAGATTGATTTGCTGGACGTTTTGCGGCGATGATTTTCGCCGTTAGCCTCGCCGTTAAGGTTGGCCATGTCACGAAGTTGAGTGGCGTATTGGAAGTGGATGTAATCCTGGACATCTTGAAGCTCTTCCATGGTAGCTGCAGTCGTGAGAAGCTCTTCCGCGTTCGCATCTTCCACGCTAAAAAGGCTCTTCAGACCGTCGTAAGCTTTTTGGATAGTATTGCGCTTATCAACAAGGGCACGGAATTTCAGATCATAGTCAAAGATGTCCCACAAATCAGTCATGTTCAAGAGACGCTCTGCACGAATATTGTACTGGGTCGATCCATCATCAGGACCAGTACCGTTGGCAGGTTCCTTAACTGCATGGATCATGTAATCTTTGCGGTGCTGGAAGATGAATGGCACCTCCCAATCATCAGTGACCAAAAACTCCAGCATTTTGGCCACAGAACGCTGGAAAGGCTCATGCAGTTCTGGATCCAAGCGCTTTTTCAGCAACATGAGACCGGAAATCCAGATGGCTTCTTCCCGGAACTGGTCTTCCGTAAGAACCACATGCTTGTATGGTTTCCGCGCAACTTGATGGCGCTCAGGCTCGTCGATGGCTCGGATCTCGTTATCCTCTTCGGTCAACATGCGCTCCGCCAGCTCCGAGGGATCGAACACGTCTTTCAAGTCGAGCTTCCGGGATTCGTCCTGATTAACCTCGTCTTCCTCTTCTTCAAAGTCGAGAGCAAATCTGTAGTCCGACCCATCACCAAATGCCGCACGCATGTCTTCAAGAGCATTCTCGTCCAAACCAGCTGCTTCGGAGGCACCAATTCCATAAGCGTGAGGGCGAGCGGGAGGCGCAACCTCAAGGTCATCTTGTTCTCGCTGACCTTCCTCATCTGAGAAACTGTCCTCCGTGATGAACCCATCCATCTCGTTGTCGCGTGGGCGGCCGCGGTACGGCTGTGCTGCTGCTGTATCCTCATCGTCATCCGAATTGAATATGTCATCGATTCCTTGGGGGTGCTGAGACTCGCGATCTTTGCCTCGCTTCAGGCGTTTGAACTTTGACTGGCAGGGTATAGTGTAAGTAGATCTTCAAATGTCTGCATATTCATCTTCGGGGCTTTTGTTCTCGACTGTATTGATCGACATACCTCAGATGCAGAACCCCGTTGGAGGCCAGGAACATGTTCGCCGATCAACTCCAGATCCTCTTCATCGAGGTGCTCCTCTTCCCGCGCACGTTTTTGCTTCCTTTCCCTCCGGTGGCTCTTGCGCTGCTCGATCTCTTCATCGTCATCATCAATAAATCCTTCTTGAACCTGTCCGTCAAAGCAGTTGATTAGCGCGCGGAAAGCAAGTGGGTAGAAGGCGAAGTTGAACATACAGCGCGACGGGCCTCTTCATCGTCGTCTTCCTCTTCATCCTCTTCGCTTGAGTCATTGAACTCATGAGGTCTGCGAGGGGCATCCTCATCTTCACCATCAAAATCCTCGGGGACATCTTCGTCATTTCTTCATCGTCCAGCATGGCCTCGCCTTCGATCAAGTCGCGCAGACTCATGGTGGCTGGTCGGAGGTCTTCCTAGGTGCAGGAGGGGACGGACGAAAGACGGAAAAAGAGAGAATTAGCGCGTAGATATCCGCCACCAGCGCCCAGGTGAAAAGGGTGATAAAAAGAGAGGGGTGAGGCAAGAAGGTTAGGGAGAGAAAGAAGAAAAGGACCTGAGCTTTGCCAGGACCAGAGGCTCGGCGAGGGAGACGCGGGTGGCGGTGATTGGTAGAAGCCGTGGCTAGTGAATGTGGCTACGCAGCGGGTGTGATTAGTCAGTATCACGTGGGGCCTGGTTTTTCTTAGGCCTTCAGTCTCTCAGAATCCGAGGTGACGGTTCTACGACCATTTTGGTTAGTCCTGGTCGCCCTGGACTTCTAAGTGATGTACTTTGGTGATGTATATGAAAGTCTCGACCGCAACGTAGATCTAGGCCGGTTACCTGGCTACGTAGGTCCCCACCTACGTGTCTAGCGACTGTACTGTCTGGTACTGTCTAATAAAGCTGCTCTATCTGCCTCGTCCTCTCTCTTATTGATTTTCCTCATGGTTCGAAACCACGCCATACACTAGAGGCCCCAAGAGAGGCCCACGAAGCCCTACGGGGTAAGGATGAGTGGAGCACCAGGAACTCACCTGTGTTTCAGCGATAGTATTCTGTCGCTGAGGGAAAGAACCCCCCCCGCCCCATCAGTTTTAAGAGCCTTCGGATTTCTCATCCCACCCCCTGAAGTAGATGTCATAGTAGATGCCCATTTCTCTGTGGCCCAATCGATCCTTCTGTTGGCGCCGACCCTCCTTTCCGTATTGTTGGTTGCGCCCGAGAGGCCCAATCAGCGCTGCCCAGAACCTCCAGACGTGATATTGGGTTCCCCGCCGCTAGTTCGCGCTTCCAACTCCTTGCCCATTCACCAGCGGTCGGCTGTGATCTCTCGCGCAGTCGTCCCCCCACCTATTTTCCCCTTTTCTCGACTTTCTTCTCCCTCTTCACCCCTGCGTTCCGATACTACGAGACTCACCTTCTCTCAGCGCCATGTCGGACCCGTTCAAGGCTCGCACGCTTAAACGCAAGAACGTGAAAGGGCTGGCTCTCAATGCGCCCCCCAAGCCCAGCGCAAACACCCCTTCCGAGGGCGATGCTCAGATTCCAGGTGCGATCGGCAATGCTGAGAGCAACCGTACCGACACCTTAGAGATTGGCTTGGAATTTCGGCTGGATCTCCGGAGTGAGGACCTGGTGATGCTGAAGGAACTGGGCGCTGGCAACGGTGGTACCGTGTCGAAGGTGAAACATGCGTCAACCAACGTCGTGATGGCTCGCAAAGTAAGAAGATCGAAGTCAGTGGTCCTCGGTTTGATCTGATTTTCTAACCCCCTGCGTCCCTCTTGCATCAGATCATCCGAGTCGATGCCAAAGAGAACGTGCGGAAGCAAATTCTCAGAGAACTACGAGTGGGCCACGACTGCAACTGCCCGAACATTGTGACTTTCTACGGAGCTTTCCAGAATGAGGCGAGGGATATCGTTCTATGTATGGAATATATGGATTGCGGGTAAATACTACCAAATGATCCTGAGAATGTGGGGGGGCTGAATGCTGACACGGAAAAGATCTCTTGACCGGATTTCCAAGGACTTCGGCCCTGTTCGAGTGGATGTGCTGGGGAAGATTACCGAGTCCGTTCTCGCCGGTCTGGTTTATTTATACGAAGTCCACCGGATCATGCACCGTGATATCAAGCCTTCCAACATTCTTGTCAACTCCCGGGGCAATATCAAACTCTGTGATTTTGGTGTGGCCACTGAAACCGTGAATTCAATCGCCGATACATTTGTTGGAACTTCGACCTACATGGCCCCAGAACGTATTCAGGGTGGTGCCTACACGGTCCGGTCGGACGTGTGGAGTGTGGGTTTGACGGTCATGGAGCTGGCTGTCGGACGCTTCCCGTTTGATTCGTCAGATTCGACCGCGGGCGACCGTGCCAGCGCGGGCCCCATGGGTATTCTCGATCTGCTTCAACAAATTGTCCATGAAACCGCCCCAAAGCTGCCCAAGAGCGATGCTTTCCCGCCGATTCTGCATGACTTTGTTGGCAAATGTTTAATGAAGAAATCGGAAGAGCGACCAACTCCTCGCGAGCTCTATGTGCGTGAAACATCATCCACTCTGCATTTTTTTTTTTCAAATGACTGACTTGGAACAATTTAGGACAAGGATGCTTTCCTCCAAGCAGCGAAGCGCACTCCGGTAGATCTGCAAGACTGGGCTATAAGCATGATGGATCGACATAACCGCAAGTCATACTTGGCAGCACCAGCACCAAAATCGCTCAAAGAGGGTATCACTCCGACCTCCAACAGCTCTTCCTCAGTCGCTACTCCTTCGACAGCGACCGCTTCTAAGCCACCTCCCATCAGTAAATCATCGGTCCACCCTCCCCAACTACAGACCTCCAACTCCTCGGGCGAGATTCCTCTTGTACATGACACTTCATCTCCAGCCCGATACTACGGCGCGTCGGCTCACCAATCTTCAAACTCCCGTTCTGGACGATCTCTTCAACCACCGTCATTGGAACACCTCTCTCTTGAGACGAGGGACGATAACGACGCGCGCTCCGGCCGTCATCAACACCGCCACCACGGGGATCCGGTGTCTGCCATCGATGCGCCCTCACGGCCATTTATGAGCCCACGTTCGATCAGCTCACACAACAACAAGACCCGCACTAACCTGAACCCCGCCGTGATGCCCATTTCTTCAGCTATGCCACCACCCACTGGACCTCCTCCACCACCCCCTGTCTCCGCCGGTAACAACTACCGCGGATACCCTGGAGCGAGTTCGTAAGGAACGTAAAATAGACCCCAATCTGCTATCTGATTCCATCTTTCCTATCTTCGCATCCGATCATTTGACGTTGCTGTCCCCTCAAGAATGCATATGCACATGTCTCTGCGCTTTTGAGCCCGTGATTCTTTCTCTTATCTGGCCTGGTCATTTGTTGATATCTCGTTACGGTTTCTGGTCTGATTTTGGTTGGATCCTGTCCATTCCTCATTTGCCTGCCTTACCTCGAGTCCTGAAAGGCCGTCCCGTGCCGGCCGAATGCGTGTATTAGGGCAGGTAAGCTGAGCATCGTATATCCATGTTCCCAGATGATCTATATGGTTCTTCCCTCCCCACTGGAAGTCCTGTTCTTGTCTTCGCGCTATCTTTCTCTTCTTTCTTTCATTATTTCCTTCTGGCAATGACTTGAATATCACCGTACCACTATGACCCCGACTTTGGCTTTCTCCTTTTCTCTGATGGTTTTTCTTCCTGTCTTTTGTGGTTTCCTTGCTCAAATATGTTCCTGCATCTCATGGCGTACATAAGCGCAAGCTTGTTACTGTTGATACTACATTTTAACTCTTGGTTGGCATGTCTTTTATTGACCGTGGCCGTGACAGAATATCGTATATTGTTGGACGTAGATTGGTGCCAGTGTTGACGCAGATCGATTTGAAGAGGTCGAACTCCAGGAGGCAAAATGAAGCCAGGGAAACCAATTCTTAATTCATAGATGAGTGATTTTTTATAGATACAGAGCAATCGAATGCCGCATGAAAACCTAGGGCGTCTCAGACAGAAAGAATACCATCAAAGGGAGGTCCACATCTGCAAGGTACTGATAACAAGGGAACCGTCCTCATACGCCAGGACCGTCAAAACCTTAAGATCCGTCTAACACCATAACCAGCAATTCTGAAAGTGAGCGCGCAAGAAAGAAAAGAAAAAAAAAAAGAAAAAAAAAAGAAAAAAGAGCAATTCGACCATCTATTTCATCGCCAACTCCGGCCCAGCCAGGGGACTCGGGCCCGGAGCTGGGGTTAATGGAGGCTGAGAATGCGAAGGTGGTGCCGGGGCCAGGTCAACCATGGGCATGGAGGAACTGTTGGCGGCCTTCGCACCACGAGTACTGCCAGCACCGCCGCCTCGGCTTCCAGGACCACCGCCACGGCCGCGGGGACTATCGTGGGACGGGGACGAGGTGGTACCATGCTTCTCGCCTTGATCTGCCTTTTTGGTCGTGCGAGCCCGACGCGAGGTTCCGCCTCTCGAGCCTGGCCCACGCAGTGGGAGACCTGTATCTTGGGAGATAGGCACAGCCGCAGCGATAGGGACATGCGGATGCGATGCCAGCGAGCGTCCACGGCCTGTTCCACGACCTCGGCCTCGGCCGCGCTTGATAGTTCCATCGGCACTGGGAGCAAAACCGTTAGTTGAGGTATTAAAGATGTAACATGGGAGGATAACGAACCGTTCAACCTGGACCTTCTCACCCTCGGAAACTAGCGGTCCACTGAAAACAAAGAACCCGTCTTTACTGGCGGCAGCCTGTTCCTGCCATGCCAATTCACTATCGTCGACAAAAGGGTCGTCTCGATCGTACTCTTCCACCTTCTTCCTTCGCTTCTTCTTCACATCACTCCCCTCAGACGGAGCCCCATTGGTACCGTTTGTGGCACCGATCATGGAAACATCACCGTCGACGTCGCTGTCACGGTCATTGTCTACACTGAGGTCTTCCTCGGCGCTTTCACCAGCTGATATACCCTTCGGCCCTTTGTCATTCTTCTCTAAAGCTGCGCCAGCAGCCGCTACACGCGCAAGGCGCTCTTTGTGAGCGGCTAGTCGAGGGTGCAAAGCGGCAAAGCCATATTGCTCTTCTGCCAGTTGGGCAAAGTTTATAATGTGGTTGCCCTTGGATAGGGGAATGTGAACAACTATGTTAGGTGCATCGCGGGTGTCAGACGAGGTAGCGTCGTCGCCTCCAACGCCGAAAAGGGCATTTTGAATTAGACCAGAGCCCTGAGGAAGTTTTGGGGCTTCCTTCGCTGCACGGGCAGGTTTTGGGGAGACAGCCTTCGATGACGGCGTTGAAGCAGGCGCCTTGTCCTTCTTTCCAGTGGTCGATGGCGGCTCTTTAGGGTCAATTTCCATCGCATCGTGGGGCTGTTGGGGCTGCTTGGGCGTGGATGCTGGAACTTGAGCTTCAGGCTGCCGCGTTGGAGGCGGTTGCGAAGCTGATGGTTGCTGCTGTTGTTGCTTCAGAACCGGTGAAGATGGCTCCAACTTAGGCGGTTGTGTATAGGCAGGCCGCTCCGAGCTCATGTAGGGCATGTATAGGTTGGGAGGTTGTTGTGGCTGCGGCGCGTGAATTGCACCATGTGACGGGGACGATGCGGGGACCGGCGATGGAGCCAATGAGGGATGTGAAGACATCGGTAGCATAGGCGGTGGCACTGGAGACGATACATTCGAGGCATAGCCAGAGGACGAGCGAGGGAGAGCAGGGGTGTAAACGCGGTTCTGTTGGATGGGCGGGTCGATAATACTAGAAATTGCGGGAGATGCGCTGGCGCGGTAATTTGGCGGCGACAGGGTGTGGCCCGGCGGACTATAGGCTGGCGCAGGCGATGGGTTGTCAAATGCAGACCGAATAGGATCGAAATTTTGACCACTAGTCCGTTGCGATGGTGGTTGGGCCTGGGGAGGTGGAGGTTGCGACTGTGGCCGGGGTGGGTATGGTTGGGAAGGAGGGTAGCTGGGTGCTGGTGCGACGGCAGCGGCTTGTGGTGGGAAGGAATAAGAGGGAGCTGGAGCCGGCTGGGGCGTAGGCGTTGATTGAACTGCCTGAAGTGGTTGAGTTGGCGGCAGTTGAGATTGAGGTTGAGATGGAGGTTGAGGTGGAGGTTGAGATGGAGGTTGAGGTGGAGGTTGAGGTGGAGGTTGAGGTAGACTCTGTTGCGGCGAGCTACGCGAAACTGGGGCGGGGAGTGGCAGGCGTCGCAGGCGTCGGCGTCGCGGGCGTTGCGGGTGCTGCATCTCCGGCTGGGGCGCCCGTGTCTTCAGCTTGTTCTAACTTGGCCTTTTTGCGAGAGGCCGGAGTGGCATTGGATTTCTCCCGAGGACGACGAGGCGCCCGGGTCTGCTTCTCCTTGACTTCTTTCTTCGGTTTGGCATTGCTGGCATTATTGGCATTGTCATCCTCATCCTTCTTGCGACGCGACCGTCTCGTTGTCGACGCCCGGCGAGTGGTGGTGCCTTCAGTCTTGTCGGCATCGACAGAGACCCCTTCATCTTTTGGGAGATCTGGATTTGGAGAATCGGTCGACATGATGTGACAAGGAAAGTGACAGAAGGAGTGGGATGGTAGTTTGGGGATTTTTTTAGTACATCAACGGTCGGCCCACGCCAGGTATCACCAGAAAACCGGGAACGCCAGCTTGGGGAACGGGACACAAAACCGAGACGACCGATCTGTGACAGCTGAGAAGCGGGTGGGGGCAAGGAAAATCAAACGGGACAGATACGCGGGTTGAATGAATGGGATGGAAAGGGAAGGGGAAAGGGAAATTGGGGAAAAAGAAGAAAGAAAAAGACAAAAAGCCAAAGGGCAGGAAAGGGGAAAACAGGACCAACAAGGAGCACGTTTGGACATCAATTTAGTCCAGAGAATTCCGGGCCTGCGGGCCTATGGTCGTACTAATTAGTTTGGCTAGGACTGCAGTCTGTTTTCGTCTTTGGTTGGTCAGACCTTACGAAACAAGGAATCGATCCCCCCAGTGGGTAAGGCAAGCAGGCCTCCCTTCAAAGTACTCCGTACTGCAAGTACCAGTCCCCTCGTACTCCCTTCTCCATGCGCGCGGATCTGGCGTCAAGTGGGGTACCCTAGCCGACGGGTCGGCAGTTCCCCTTGCTTGGATCTCGACGATTGGTTCTTATAGAAGCCCATCGATGCACGGTGCCAGGAACATATGCCATCATAGACTGCTTTAGCCTTTGGATCGGATTTTTGGCCGTCGAATTCCACATCAAGAGGGTCTGATGCCTGGAGATCGGCTCCCGGCGTACGGGTTCCTGATAGATCCCATGTCAAGAGAATATACTATAAGTACCATATCAGAGATAATATGGGGTAATAAATTAAATTAAATTCAATTAACTAGAACGTGATATACTAGTGCACGGAGTCTCTCTAGCCATCGTTCTATCGGCTGTCAGGTATCGAATAGGTCGAACTCGAGACATGTAAAACCCAATCTGTGCAGGTTTCCAAATCAGGTCGAGCGTATTTCCTCTTTCTGATTAGACGATTCTCACCTGGCGCTAACCGCATACGGGTTAGCTTAACGCGTCTCCTTAATTTAGGTTTTCTTTTTTTCCTTGAGCCGCAGCTCCCCGCGCTGACATAACTTCTGTTATATTTTGCTCTGCGTTCCACCATGGCTTTCAGAGGAGAGCGGTTTGTTCTTGACTTGGACGAACCTGATGGAGGGGAAGAGCCTGCTCCATCCCCTTTCTCCCTAATCGGCGAAATCCGTGAACGAGCTCCAACTGCTGCTCCGCCTGCTCCTGCCCCTCAGCCCACCGCTTCTTCCACCGGCTTCCCCGCGCACCGGAAGCGCAAGGTCTCATCCTTCAAACAGCGCCGGACAGGACAATCAACCGAGCCGCCCGATTCTCATTCTCAAGCCGACACGTCTCCCCCGACTGTTCAAGATGACAAGCGGGCTATCGAGGAGGAAAACCGCCGGCATCTGGCATCCATGTCGGATTCTCAAATTCAGCAAGAGCGAGAGGAACTGATGGCCTCCTTGGACCCCGGTTTACTAGAAAGATTCCTCCGTCGTGCGAGGATCGATGAAGATGAACAGGTTGAATATGCGCCGAAGCCGGAACCAGCCAGGGAGCAACCGGCGACAGCAAAGCCTCAAAAATCAGTTTCGTTCGATGTCCCCGCCACCGATTCGGCCCCTCCCAAATCCACCGCTCCAGTCTTTGCACCAAAACAAACTCCACAGTCGACCAAACCCCCTGCAAGAGACGACCTCCCGCCAAAGCAACCCCCGGCAGATCTGTTTCCAGCAGCTCAGCCTCCTTCCCTCGACCCAGCCATGATCGAGAAGTTTCACTTCCCGCAACCCAAACAACCCATGCCCACTCTAGACCCTACATCCCCAGAATTTCTCACAGACCTCCAATCGCACTACTTTCCTGAAATGACCCATGATCCCCAAAGCCTCTCATGGCTCCGCCCACCTACCGGCGACGAAGACGATCCGGACTCCACATCGCCCTACCACCCGGCCAGCGAAGCAATCTCCATCTCTCCATCCGCAATCCGTTTCTCCCTACGAGGTACAATTCTCCCCCCCGAGACCTCTCTCAGTATCCCAACCACAATGGGCCTGCACCACCACGGCGACGACCCGCAAGCCGCGGGATATACGATCCCAGAACTGGCCATCCTCTCCCGGTCCACATTTCCCGCCCAGCGATGCGTGGCATGGCAGGTTTTGGGGAGGATTCTATTCCGACTGGGGGAAAGGAGAGTTCGGTGATCGAGGTGGGCAGCTCTCAGAGGGCCTGTGGTTTGTCATCGAGAAAGAGGGCGTAGTGGGTGGCATGCTCGCCGAGGCGGAGGGGGCGACTGGGCTAGAGAGTATTCCTCGAGCTGCAGCGCAACAAGGGAAAAATGAAAAGAGCGACGACAGCCGGGTTCCCGCAGGGTCCGGTATTGGACGGCATGCTAGTGCTGCGGCGTGGGCGGTTGAAGGGGTATGGCTGTGGCAGAAGGGTGGAGGAGGGGATCGGGGTTTGCTGAAGGAAGGCCAGCTTCGATCTCAGTAGATCTCACGACGAAATGTTTGCATTGTAGCCGATTTCACGAATGTCATTTTGATTTGCGGGTTAAGGCAGCGAGCGCCAATAATTACACCCAAGTCTAGAAGTCTACAAATGTTGTACCCCGAGAGGTATTGTGAAACAGTCTACTTGGTATGCATTATCATATCATGGTTATCATATCGTACAGGCATACCCGGACGCTTAGCAATAAGCCCCATGCATAAAAGGTAAAAAGAGACAAAAAAAAAGACATTAGCAAAGGTCTCAGTCGCCACCAGTCGCCGCACCGTCACCAAGAGCTTGATCCTCAATTTGCACGCCCCAAATCTTCCACCTGGCTTCCTCAATAAAGTCTCTGCGTAACCACAGTCCAGAGGGCAATATGCGCATTTCTTGCGAGCCTGCCAGCTCGTTCTCGGCAGATTGAGACCGATCCAGCCAGTCAAATAGCATACGAAGCTGCCATATACGATCGCGGACTTCGTCCTCATCGGCCCCACGGCCCCGAGAGGATCTAATGATACTCTGAATCGTGTGGGAGAGATCGAGGCGGGCATCGACGGCTGAGCTCCGTAGCCATGGGGGCGAATGGGTGAGTGCTGTAGAGATGCGCGGCGATGGAATCGGGAACGAAGAGGGGAGGACGAGAGAGCGCTCGCGGATATCGAGATCCCGGAGGGAAGGGAGTTGAAAAACCCAATCCCAGGGACTTTGAGACGGTGTGGTGACAGCAGATAGAGAGCGGGGGAGAAGATCAGTTCCGTTGGCGAGGGCGGATGGTGGGAGACCCTTGGCTGGGTTGGAGGATGAAGCGGCTGTGCCTGCCGGGAGGATGTCCTGCGCTTCACTGAGACCTGTGAGTGTGGAAGCAAAAACAGAGGTCGAAGCACCCAACGGACTGTATGTGGCTTTGCGGCGGAGGTAGACGGAGGGGTCACCATGGCGGAATTTGTCTCGCAGAGCGTTGTCTTGGCTGAAGTCTAGGACGAGAGGCCAGTGGTCTGGACCACGAACTTCGATGCGTGTAATCTCACACGGATCAGGCAATAAACAAGGGGCAGTGGTAGTATTCTTGGTGCCATTGCGGGAAGTGATGACTATCGGGAGAGAGATCGGACGGCGAGTGTCAATGTCACGAGGAATGAGACAGCGAGGCTCCGCGGCAAGAACCCAGAAGTGGCGGAAGGCTTGCAGATGACATTTATTGTCCAACACAGTTGTGGGGAAAATAGGATAGAATGCACATAGCAATGAGGCTACTGCAAGGTCAGACGTGCCTAAGGTGTAGCTGCCTCCACCCAAAAATAGCATGCCAACAGCCATATGGGATGCCATATGGCTACCATACGGAGTATCGGGGTCCACTCTGCCATGAAGAGAACGCAGGCGCCGGAATAGAGCTAAGTCGCCTGTGCCGGCCATAACAGCCGCGGCGGACAAGGACAAGACGTCCTGACAATTGCGTACCGAGTTTCGAGCTAGCTTAGCATCATAGTTGAGTGCTGGGAGCCGACATATGCGAATGAACTGGTCCAGGTAAAACAGCAAGATGTCCCGTGCTGGAATATCGCCAGAGCCTGCGTAGCGGAGGCCGATAGCAAGACATAGACCCCCGATTATGTTGAAGAATGGCATATCATCACTTCGCAGCTTGTTCATTCCTGTCAGACGAGACCGCTGCCGGTATATCTTAGGCAAGCTTGCATTGATCCAATCGAAAGAGGGCTTGATGCCGTCCCACATGATCAAATGCCTGGCGAGGGTTCGTAGAAGGAAGAGATCAGGTCGCACATAGTCAAAGCGCACACTTGTGTCAGGAATGTCAATCTTCTTAGCCAAGACCTCGTCATTGGTTTTCATGAATATAACTGCCAGGGCAATGGTCGCTCCCGCCGTCGCACGATCGAGTATGTGTGAAAGATCGACCTGCTTTGTCCCAACAGCGATTGCCAATAATCGTTCAACGATGTGCATATCACGCATTCCTCGCAAATCCTTGCCCTTGCCAAGGTTAATGAGACCCAGTGCAAAGCCGGCAGCAAGACGGTATCCTTCGTCACGTAGCTCTTCTTGAGAAACCGACTGCTCGTCTTGTTCGATGTTTTCGATTTCGGAGAGCATGACCTCACTCATCCGCCGATGCTGGGAGCCGCAATACAGCAACCCGATACCCATTATACCAGCAGTTTGGGTGAGGGGAGAAAGGTTAAGTTCTGCTGCTCCAAGCGGGAGCATTCTGGTGACATGAACAGACAGCAATCGAGTGATCAGCGTGTCCATTGTACCGATATATGATGCTGAAAGTCCAAGCAAAAGGCCAATCGAGGTCATGGTATGTTTGGGCGTCAAATATTTGAAGGCTACCCACTTGGCCAATAACTTGAGATGACCATTGAGACCAAGTGCTAACAAGAATCCGGCGTGGCGATTAGTGAGTTCCTGCGGCTTGTTGAACAGTATCCATGAAGTATCGATGCCTTTGGAGGCCTTTGAGATTGCTAGACCGGTGGACACACCATTGTGAAAAAAAGCCCAGCAGACCTTTTCTTCAGTAAATGCGGATCTCTCTGCGCTGACTGTGACATTGGACGGCTTCATAACACACTGCAGTGAGAAGGAGGGAATCGGAAGCTTTTCTGTGAGCAGCGGTAGCCGACCACTGAAAGAGAGCATACCACGGCCTGCAGGTGTAGACAAAGTTCGGAATGAAACCAGCTGGACAAGATCCTTCTGTGCCTCGAGGAGCTGAGAATCTGTCCAGTCAGGTTCAGGAGTACAGTCCGCTACTGGCGCTTTTGATTGGTTTAGTATGCGAGCTGCCTCCAGGAACCGTTTGTCCTCACGGAAGACCAGTTTTGTCACAGAGAAACGGTCAGCCTCGGCAGAGATCTCAAATGCATTAACGTTGTCGATATCCAGAGAAGAAGTGCTGATATGATGAAAGTCTCGTATAGCATCATGAGAAACAACTGACTGTTGGGGTGTCGCAAACGTGTGGCTGTGAGCCGGATTCATTGACAGGTACAGATCCTCACGATCAATCAACTCAAGAAGAGCTGAGTTCCAAGACGTCGAAGCCGTTGTTTGGCATTGCATTATTGTCTCGTACAGCGGAGCACTTACACCTTCTGGAAAGGTATCGATGATGCTTTTAGTCAACCCCCATCGATGCAAGAGCTTGATCTTTTCCAGAGGTGTCGAGACTCGGTGAGCTTCGGTAAAAAAGCCGTTCAAAGCCATTGTACGAGGGGTCAAATTGAAGCATCTTTGCCACATACGACCCTTTCTGGGAGCTCGGTCGGACACAGCGACAGTGTCGAGCAAAGTCAAGAACATGTTTGTTGTTTGTCGGGAGGCGTTGATGAGGTGGACAAATATGGATGGAGGCGCGAAGGGTTCAGCAGGCACGTTCAGAAGGGAAATTCGCGTGTCTTCGAATTGCCAGCGATCGATGCTAGCCATCTCGGAACCGAAGTAAGAGTCTTCCTTCCAACCCCAGGATTTCCATCCTAGCCAGCCGCCTAATTGTGCAAGAATCGGAGCAAGCATCCCTAAAGACTGGCGAGATTCTTCAGTGTCGCAGTTCGAGAGCTTCTGCTCTTCCCGGAGAAGATGGAGACCAACAATGATGGTCCCTAGGGCTGTGCATCTGGTTGTTTCGGGAAATGCGCCTGATATGGGCAGGAAACCATCCTGTCCAGAAGCTCTCTGGCCACTAGGGCTTCTCAGATATTCTCGGCTAAGAGATGCACATCGGAGGATGTAAGAATTGTGGCGATAAGTAGATCGATTTGCATTAGGCTGGTCGTTCTTGGGGGTTCGGGATGCATCGCGAGCTGCCAGGTCTTCTACTGCGTCTTGCTCAACAATCCAACCCCAAGAGCTGCTCTTCATCCAAGGGGCGACAACACCTGCAGAGCTGGTCTCCAAGTCAAGCATAGCTTCCCAGCTTTCTAGATCCACATAAGTGCCGCTACTTGAGCGGAGAAGTCCCTTCTTTCGACGCGTCCTCTTTGCTGGCGTTTCGGGGGGTGATGGTGGGATGAATGGAACTGCAAGAGCAAATAATACCACGACTAGAGCAGTCCACTCCGGTTCATTCTCGATCTCCTCTTTACCTCGGAGCCATTTCATCACTTCCCACCATGCCACGATAATCCCATCGCCAGCCTTCTCAAAATCGCGAAGAATGAACTGGCAGACTTTGAAGACCTTCTTCACCAGGTCATTTCGAGGCTCCATTCGTATTTGCACTCTGTGTCGTTGCTTCTCTGTATCTATCAGGTCGATCTTTCCCCTCGAACAGCTATGATCCAAAGCGACGAAAACAAGATCAGGATCAGCCATGACCCGATTAACGCCGCTTTCACGCGGACGACTTATAAGTCTGCTTGGAGATATACTATGAGGCTCATACAACTGCAACGGCACTGGTATCTCAATCTTGGTCGAGCTTCCCCAAGGAGTCTGTAAAGACAGCTCGTGAGGACCAGTCTCGGACCCACTCAAGGTTAGAATTCGCGAAATCTCCCCGTCAGTGATCCGGGCAGCGTCCCACACGTTAGAAATATGTTGGATGCCCGCAGCATGAACAAGCAGTGTCCATTTGTCTGATCCTTGGGCTTTCTTTGATCTCGACGGAGCCCCCTTTTGATTCTTTGACACCGCAACCCTTTCTGTTTTCAGGTTCACAATGGTCATATTTCGCGAATCCTTGTCCACGATACAGATCGCCACGGAACTGTTCTTGCCGTTCTGACGGTCTCCGAAATCGACGGGAGACAGTGTAGAAACTTTCAGATTCCGTAAGAATGCCTGCTGGGTAGAAGAGCTGAAGCTCCCTGAGAACCGAGAGGAGAAACTTTCGACCTTTGTAAGAAGAATTTCTTCTGATAGACCCGATGCAGATTCCCGGAGGGCTATGTTCTCAAATCCAGCAGATAGAACATCATTGTTCAACTCCTCAAGGAGCCTGTCAACTGGAGCCTCTGCAAAGCTTCCTACAGTGCTGTAGACAGACCCTACTGCAGGAGGCAGAGATGCACGGGGGTTAAACCCGAAACTCCCACGAAGGCTAGCCCCCAAGGACTGCCGCGGTCCCCCATGATGCATGGCGTTAGATTGGCTACCAGTAGCGAGATCCGTGAACGTGATGCGGTCTTGGCTTGTGGCAAGATCTGTTCGTGCTAGCAAAGAACTGACGCGTCGCGAGGTTTTCAATGGCACTCCAACGTCGCCAAAATCCCCCGCCACTCTCGAGGCCAGATCTTCTTCGCCGTCCTTCTTGGATGAATTGGGTTGGGAGGTATTTCTGTTTTCTGTCCAAGGTCCAAAGCTTTCGCGCGGACGAGGAGCCGGGGTGGCTGCGCCAGGTGTCATACCAAAATGGGAACTCCTTCGATTGGATCGAGCACCCTCGGTTTGTCTGCGAGTTTTCTCTTTTGCATCCTTTCCGGATTCGCCTTCCTTGTATTGAGCTGACCATACCGTGTAAAGCCCAGTTACCGAGTTCATAGTAACCACTAATATCAGTGAGGCTGACGATGCTTGGCCAGGGCTTGAGAGTTCGTCCTTGGGTGAAATGTAAACAATCTTATCCGCTTGGTCCAGAACATCAAGCCCGGAAGGCCGGCGCTTGTTGGAGCTTCCGACACTGTTCTGCAGCCAGCGAGAAGACTGCGACGTGACGACCAGGCCCATCTCTGAATGGGGATCGATAAGGGAAAACACCCGAGGGAGATCAGAGTTAGAAGAAGGATTCGGTGCCCAGGTAGTGCCTTTGGTCGATGGTATTTTGAGTGACCCTTTGCCCAGTTTGCTAGCAATGGGTGAAAGGCTTGATTGTGAAGCATCCGGGTCAAATAAGGCCGCTGTCATGAACGAATTTGGGGGTGCTGTTTGATTCGCGCGTCCAGTGGGCTGCTCGTCTAACATTTTCCTCTGGAACAACAGCCCACGAGGCGTGGGAAACACCGATTCTGTCTCGAACGGTAATGGAACTGTATGGCTGTTTCCCGCAACGAAGAATACATGGGCTTGCGACTTGAGGACGACCACTAAAGCTCTCGCTAGAGGGCCGGTTTGTTGCTGCGGCGCAATGACAGCGACTTTGTCATCTCCGAGCAAATCCAATGATGATCCAAGACCAGAACTGAGCGTGTCTTTCCCATGTCGTCTGCCCTGGCCAGTCGGTGCATTGGTCGTATGTTTGCGAGTTTGAGGCATAGTTCCCACAGGGCTTTTGGAGATGTCCACCGCAAATTGCGTAAACAGAGCAAAGCGAATCTCCTCTTTTTCAGGGTCCATACGGAAAATTCTTTTTACCATCCCTGCGCGCGACCACACCACGCAATGCTTCGTCCATACTAGCTCGTCGTCCACGGGACCCGTCAATCCGCTTTCGTCGACGCATGTTGACCACTGGTAGAGATCGGTTGATGGGTCCGAGGAAGGATACCTTCTGACACCAAGTAGGAAACGGCCGCGGGTTCGTGGAGGCCGAGTGAGCGAGTGGAGGCCATAGTGGGCTGTTTAGCAGCTGGGGCTGGAGTGGTCGCGTTGTGCCGTCACAAACAATTCGGTGACGGTCCAGGCAGCTGAACAAACCATCTTCGACCATGAATGACAATCAATCTTGGATCGAAGGCGTTTGGCCTTGGCGTTTGGGTAGGAACCGTTCGTGCGAGCTGGAGGTGTTGGGTAGATGACGCGCCAGGAACGCGGGATTTTGGACTGGCCTTTCCCCGAGTTCTTTTTGCTCCGAGCAAAAACAACTTCTCCCTCACCCGAACTCCACCCTTGACATCCAACCTCCACTCCAGCTCTATCACAGCTCGGTCACCTTGCGCTGTCTAGCCCATCAGACGAGGATTTTTACCTTCCATCCAAGCGTCGAGCTCTTAAGCAGTTCCCAGGGTGCCCTCGCACCTACGTGCTGAGCCCGTGCTGCACCAACCACCATGCCTTCATTCCCAACGAAGCCTCTGGTCCGCCCTCGGGAAGATGGGTTACAATTGAGGTAATTCAACATCCTTCAGGCATAGAAATCGAGCATGCCTCCTAATACCAGTGACTGCTTCATTAGTTACAAACTGTCGCATCGCGTGCATGCCGCTCAAGGATACCCACTACGAGCCCCAAACGGCGCCTCAATCATCGTGTATGGGAACGAAAATGGACTCAAGGTTGTATGGAGAGGCGGACGTCAATTCTCAGCCCTTCAGAAGTTCGAACCAGCTCGATCGGAGAGAAACGCCGGCAACAATGATGATTCGGTCATGATCCTCGATTCCGACGACGAAGATGCGCCTGATGTCTCCCTAGCTCAAGAAGAGCCCAGATACGATTTTGTCAATGAGGAGACTGAGGTCGACCCGTCATCTCCCTATGAGCCTATTTTGCGACAGATAGATATTCCCTTGGGAAGCAGGGTTCTGCATTTGGCTATCCCTCGCGTTACTCCCGAAGAATCACGATCGCCTCTTGATCCCTTTCCGCCTATCGCGAAAACGACAATCGTTATAGCTGCGGTCTGCTCAGACTTTTCGACTCGTATTGTCACTCTTCCACTCCGCCCTCCTCACCCTGAACAAACCAACCCTAAAGACTGGCACATTCAAAGCATCACCCTCAATGGCGGAGTCACTCATCAAGATATCCCTCGCGGTGTGTCCCTAACCTTCACCTGTGAACTAACAGAGGAGGACCAGAATCCACCCAAGGCGCGGAGTCGGGCCGAAGCATCTGGACAATGGAGTCTTGTTGTGGCCACGCATTCCGCTGAAGGATCCGGCCTGCTCTTGGTGCACCGGATTTCAACTCATGAGGAGCCATCTGGCTACTACACCATCCTGGAAGATGACCTTGTCTCTCAAAAAAAGATCCTGCCGTCACCAGCACAAACTATCGCATTCAATCCCTCTACTTACCCTTCCACCCGCCACGCGCACCTACTCGTCGCCTTTCACAGCGGCTGCGTCAAGATATTCTCCTGCTTTTCCATTCAAAGATCCTCGAGATCAGCCAGGCGAGCTTCTCTTCCACGGGAGGAGCTTGAAACCATCGACGGAGAGGGTCGCTGGCTCATCAGTCTATACCCTGGCTTCGAGCAAAGCCCGACTGGGCTTTCCCGGCGTAAGACTATCATTGATGCCGCCTGGGTGTTGGGTGGCCGAGCTGTCATGGTTCTCCTCATGGACGGCGAATGGGGCATATGGGATATCGAGGGAGCAGGCCCCGGGACCGTCAAGGGCCCATTACACCGCCAGACCAGTGTCCAGGGGGTGAGTGGAGGCTCTCTCACAACCTACGCTGTCAGCGGTCGTATCGCATCTCCGCCGTCCAACACACAATCCGAAGCCGAGTCACGGCCTCGTTTTGCACCTATGACACCATCCACCAAGCGAGTTCGCGAAGATACCTTCCTGAAAGGATCAATGATTCCATCTAGCCCATCCCTTCGTGGACAGATCTCTGTCCTGCAGACCAACCCTCCTCAAGACGCACTTCCGGATGAGTCCATCTTACTGCGTCATGGCCGTCTCAGTGCCATGATTCCTAGCCTGCTTTCTCTGTGGCGCAATGCCGTCCGTACTACTGGTACAATGGACGCTTCGAACCGGTGCCGCGTGACGCCGTTCCAAGACGTGAATCTCTTGGGGGGGGAATTTCCAAGCCATCAGCTATCTTCCCGCGCCCCCTCGCCGCTCTCGACCCAAGGGACCGAATGCCTTTGATGTCCTCGTTGCCTCCGAACATCACCTTATAATCCTGGCCCCTCGCCTGATTCAGGATGATGAGAATGTCTCAAGCGCAATGGTGAAGCAAGAAGCAGCCGACGCCGATGCAGAACGAGATCAAGCGATGCTTCAACGAGGCGATCTGGATGTGGAAGGGATGGGTCGACTGATCAACGGAATGGTCAGTGGCTCCAATCCTTTACGGGTCGGTAGCCCTGTTAAGCGGACCCGCGTTTTCACTTGACACCGAGGGTATAGGGAACATGTTTAGACGATACCCAATGCTCTATGAGTTTTCTTACCAAGCCCCTGCCCCCTCTCTAAGAATTACTTCGTCTTTCCGAGGTCTATATAGGAACTATTTTGTATTGAAGTTCGCGCTGTCAGGTGGAGCGCAAGGCGAGATCCATGCCTTGAAAGTCCTTCTCTGAAGGAATAAGCTCTGTATCGGATGCGATATATTAAAAACCATCGAACGGGTCTTGCGAGACCCAGTCTCAGATTTCGTGGGGCCTCTTACCTGCCCTCAGTTGGCCCGTAAAGCTCCACAGCGCCCACTTTTGGCTCGAGGTCCCTGTGTTCTTTCGCTGGTCTCCGTGGCTGCTGATCTCTTCTCCAACGAAGTCCTACATCAGTATCCATGAAGCCAGAGAGAGGATGCAGCTCGAGTCAAAAGTGGTGCGTCATATAGACACCGATGGGACATGCCAGTATCGTACAAGTACTTGTAGTAAGTCTCGGATTTCGTAGTTCAACGCTTTTAGATTGTTATGCTCTCCAGTAAAAAAGCACTTTTTTTTTCTCCTCTCTTCCCCCCTCGCCATGCTTATAAAAGTCACCTCTAGAATATACCCGATCAGAACCCATCCCTCAATCCAGCCCTCTCCTCCGCCTCCAACCGCTCTTCATTCACGGAATGCCACCACTTATGCGCCGGATCCTTCGTCTCCTCCGGCGCACCCCAACAACCTGACCCTTGACCCACTCGTCCCAAGGCTTGGGACTAAGAATGTAATGCACATTCTTGACCCTGTCGTCGCGCCAGATAGCATCATGCACGCCTTCCCAGCGGAGCGTCTTCAACGCATTGTAGATATACGGAAGCCCGACCCATCGGCCGTGAAACAGGTCACCGAGGAGCGACTGGTCAGCGAAGTCGTAGCTTGACGTGTCTGCCTTGGCGAGCTGGGCGATGATCTTGTCGTAGACGCCCTTGGACGGGTTCACGACTTGGAGGCCGCCGTTGGGGATTCCCAGGGCTGTATCCGAGGGGGCGCCGGTGGTTTGCGCCGCTTCGGGATTGGAGTGCTGGGTTGTATAGGCACAATTTTTGGGGATCCTTTGTGATAGGTTAGCTTATTTGCAACGTGTGGAAGCTATATGAATCGGAGCGGTGGAAGGGGGGGGTTGGAGGGAAGGGCATCTGTTACCAATTCTCAGGATAATGAGGCTTTTTCAAGGGATTGCACGCGCAAGCGTGGCTGCAGGCGAAAACCCGATTGCCCTCGCCGTTCTGGGAGGGTGGATCGAGGTCGAGTTCCATTAGCTCGTCCATGTTCTGGAGGACGAGCATGTCGCTGTCCAGCTGGACGACGCGCTCATATTCAACCAGGGAGAATGGCGTGAGCTTCGACCAGCAGTCGTAGAAGCGGGGGTCATTGGTGAATGCCTTGGGAGTAGACGGTAAGAGATAGGCTACCCGCTGCTTGAGGATCCCCGGGCGTCCAGGGCCTTGTGGCCTTCTTCCGGGAAGGTGTCGGTGTACAACGCCACCAAAGGGTACTTAGAGCCCGATTTCTTGAGAGAGAATAGTCCAACGTCAGCAGACCTGACAGGTATTCTGTGTTCGTGATGAGAGTCGTCCACACTGTTTCTCGAGGTTAGCGCCGGATGCATGCATGGCATTTCAGGCTCCACTAGGCGTACCTTTGGTGGGAGGACGGGCACTATTGCTATCAGACATATTGACGCTGCCGCTACTGGATGCGTAGACGGTTGGAAAATGTGAAGAAATGGAAGGTGTCCTGGCAGTACGATCAAGCTATGCGGCATGCGATAAGCTTACAGTCAGAACGGGCTTGTAGCTTCAGAACGCAGGGGACGGGCTCGATGTAGAGGAGCATTAGATCCGGCTGAGCCAATGTATCGAGAGAGATTAAGCCAGTCTGCTAGTCCTAAGCGCGAAGAGGAGGGGCGCGGATCTTCCTGAAAGGCCGATTGCGTTATCAAATATCTCCGATGTGGGGAAAAAAAACGGGCTTGGTTACTCCCAGCTGATGTCTTCCATAGTGGGAATGAACCATTGGGGGAAGTGAAGATCAAAACGCATCTTTGGCGCCCAGGTTGTACAAATTATCTTTAGCTCGGGGATATCTTATATGGAAATCGGAATCACTTGCTCGCCCTCTCTGGCTCTGCCTGGACCTGCTCTGTCTGCACTGGATCTGCTTGCATCGCTTCCTGCACTGGCTCCTCTCCTTGGATTGACGACCCTTCCAGCTCAAATCGAGGCTCGTTCGTCCCAAGTTCCATAGGAGGCCGACCGATTGTCCCTTCCATCTCAATCCGGTTCTCTCCAGCCTGCAGCTCTGCTGCCTCATACGGCGCAAGTTTTGTCTTCTGCTCCAGTTCTACGTCGCCAGCACGACTATCCGCCTCCGCGGGCAGTTTGCTATTGTGCTTGGACTCCAACTCCGACGCAGTGGCAACCCCAGGATCGACCTCGATCAGGGGTACCTCCGCCGCAGCCTGCTTTCTCTTGCGGTGCCGAAGGAACCAGAAGGCCAAAAGCGCAAGTAGAATTAACGCACCCACCGCGACACCCACACCGATCCCCGCTTTGGCCCCGGTGCTCAGTCCTGAAGATGCCGGCGCGCTGCCCTGATTGTAGCCCCAGACTGGGTATCCCTGGATGATGATGTTGGCTTTGATGTCCTTTCGAGTGGTCATGGGCCAGGGGTACGACAAGGAGGCGGAGTCAGTCGGTTTCACGGCGTAGGTCAATTCTGAGGTCTTCATGATTGAGTGGCATTTTCCAGGCACTGTTGGGTCTCCGCCGTTCAAGTTCTTGCCCCAATTCCTATAGGCAGAATTGTGTTAGTTTCTATCTTGCGACCACGCTGGAAATAAGGGCTCATCGCCGCGGGAGTGAGCCAGATGCCACGACTTACGAAGGACAACACATGGTCATAGTCAGCGACCCTAATTGTGACTCCTGGGTCGTGGCTATAGTCCAGCCAGAGGGACACACGAAGGGGCCCAGAGAGGTCACAGTCGACGAGTCCAGATTCAGCGACGAAGAAGCCGACGTTGTCGCGGCAGACGGGAGACATTGCAGGCTGGAATCGACATATTGGCCGTACTGCGGCCAAAAGACCGACATGGTCGACCAGCCGCTGCCGGCGGAGGCGACGTAGTCAGTCGTACAGGCATCTGGAATAGACCACTCGGTCGTGAGCGGTTGGAATTCAATGACGGTGTAACTACTCGTCAACGGGGCCAGGGTCGACATGCTGTAGTTTGGAGAAGAGCAAAACCGGAGGAACACGAACGCGACTCGTAAACGCGGCGATCATCGATTGATAGGACCCCACTCTATATACTCTTCATACTCTACATGTGGAGACAGGCTATTCGGCTATTCTCGTGTTGCTGCTCGTTCAGCCCCAGTCTCGTACCACGGGCCCCTCGTGCCGCTCTTGTGGACCAAGCGAGACCCATAGACCACGTATGTACACTGTCTGCTATGCTTTCAATCTAGAGAGTAAAGATAGGACTCGGTATGGGCACACAAGATACTAGGGAGACCATAAGCTATTCCTTTCTTATCTGATGAGAACTGGTCATGGAAATCATCTATGCGAGTGTCTTCGCTCCATCCTCCGTCGGGGCTGACGGCCAAAACTAGCAGGCTGGAGGTCCTGGCTACCTGTGGGCAATCTTAATAACCTTCCAAACACTCGTATTGGACTGTCTCCAGGCCTCCCTAGCCCCACAGGAGCTTGTCTCCACATTGCTTTGTTTATGGGTTTGGACGGGAAGGGGTTCCAGAAGAGTCAACTGTGGTTCCTGCCTGTCGAACCCGGGGTTCCATATCTATAGAATGTGCTAATGGGCTGGTGTCTAAACCAGTAGGTGGTCACCAAAGAAGTTAAGTGTATGTACTGAATATCAATGTGCAGTAGATCTAAGCAGGACTCAGGGGGACCCTACAGATATAATAAAGGGTCACAGTATGGTGCAGGGGCATAGAGGCTGGTGCATCCGCCTGGAAACTGGTGCATCCGCCTGGAAACTGGTGCATCCGCCTGGAAACTGGTGCATCCGCCTGGAAACTGGTGCATCCGCCTGGAAACTGGTGCATCCGCCTGGAAACTGGTGCATCCGCACAGCTTCTGGTGTAGCCGCGCAGACACTGGTTGCATAAAGCAAATATGGGTAGTAGAAGTTGCACCTGACCCGTCCTCAATGTATTCAATACCACATGCTGGTTTCCTGCGGCTATCGCGGCTGTGGCGGCACTATTCCTGGTGTCATAGTATGGTTTCTGGTGTTGTAGCGCAGAACTGGGTAGCAGGGAGCTGGTTTAGGTGGCGTAAAGTTGTATTGGATGAGGGTAAGCGCGCTGTGTCCACATGTCCAACTTGTATCATGCTACTGCCGTGAATCTAGTATACACATTCCTGCTAGCATCAAGAATCGGATGATCCTTCCAGTGCGAAGATCTTATTTCAAAGGATGCGAGAGAATATAGCAAGAGCCTGTTCGTTGATATCTAAGCCCCTAGTAATTGACTTACGTGCACCAGAAATAAACAGCCCTGGAGGTACAGCACAAAGCGCCCACCGCCCCCAACGCCCAAAAAAAAATAATGCGGTACCGGCCAAAACCTCGTATCAGCACAGCACGAACCCATGCAAACCAGCAAAGCCCATCCACTGTGCATCTGGTTGGCTCTAATCCCAGAGAACAGAGCACATTCAAACCCCAATCAAGATCAAGATCAAGGGTTCCCCCGTTGACTTGAATCACCTCTAGGCCACCCGCGGGCAGTTGGACGATCCTGGCTATGTCTAGTTAGCCTGGCGGGGCTAGGCCCACTGGTAAACCTTCTCGTAGGATTGATTGGGGCTCAAAGGTGCCGCTGGGATGCCTGACATTGGATAATATTTCGATCAGGACTAGCTAACATGCACGCCACGGAATTGGGGGGGTAGGCCGAAATATGGAAAATAGATCTACAGGACCATGATATGGCATGCAAGCCGGCTGCAAGATAAGGTTGTAAGAGTTTCAATCTAGTCTGGATTCTAATTTATTGGATTTATTTCTTTCTGGCGTAGGTGAATGCATGGATATACGGCGGGCAATGCAAGTAGACAACCCGCAACGGATTGGAAGGGAGGGGGAGAAACCGCTAGCCTCAAAGGGTCTTTCAAAGGGTCAGAAAGTGCTGATGGAAGAAGAGAAGCTTCTACTTCCACATCCATTCTCCACTCTATCCGCTGTATCCCACGGCATCAAGCTCCTTGCGCACCGAGTCCTCGGTCTGGATCTTCTTCATCTGAGTATCCTCGAGCTTCTCGCCACCAGCCAGACGCATCTTAAGCTCGTCAATGGCCCGGATTTTCTTCAGGAGACCACGGATCTTCTTGTCCTGAGCCGAGGAATCGATGGGCGGGGCTGGGGCCGACGTCGGGTTTGGGGCTGGAGCTGAAGCAGGAGCAGAGGCCTGCTTAGCACCGGCGTTGCCGTTCACTGGCGAACCATTGTTCTTACCACGGTTGCGGTTGCGATCGGGGCTGGGCCCAGTGGGCGCGTTAGGAGGAGGAGCATTTTCCTCCTCCTTGGCCTTCTTAGCGGCTTCGCGCTTCTTCTTGTTCTTGGCAGCTGACTTGGAAAGCTTCTCGCCCTGCCCGTCAGCGCCGGGAGGAAGTGCAACGCCGCCACCAGGGGCCGCACCAGGAGGCAGGTACTCCTCCGCAGGTTCAGCACCGGGGACGGTCCGGTGGCGAGGCTTGCCGAAGCCGTTCATGCTGGCACCGGGAACGCCATCGCGGACGAAAGCAGCTCCACCCTGGTCTTCGCGCTTAAAGGCAAGCGGGGTCAATTGACCACGAGCGCCGGGGGGTCGATAGGCACCGGCAGGTTTCACGGGAGCCTTGCGGGTGCTCAAGTACTCGGTGGCGGAGGGGTGGGCCACGGGCAATTTGGTGAAGGGGTCACCCAGTGGGTTCTGAGCCAGACTCCGTGGACGCCAGGTAACGTCGTACAGCTCGTTCATATCCTCGTTGTACATCAATCCACCACTGACATGCCAGATACGGATGCCATTGTCAACACGCAAACGGGGGCTAGTGGTGGCAGTCAAGATATATTGGCCATCTGGCGACCAGGCGCACACACTAGCATTGGACGCCTCGACCGTAGTAATCTTGTGGAAGTTCTTGTCCATGTCATAGATATCCATCTGACCAGCCAGGTTACCGAAACCGGCAACCAGGACGAACCGTCCATGGGGCGAGAACAGGATGGTGTTGCGCGGGCTCAGAGGGAAGTTGTGCTTGGCGACACCGCGCAAGTTGAAGATAGTAGTCTTCGCGGGCATATAGCCATAGACAACACCAAACTCTTTCGAGTTGGGGTTCCAACTCACATCATGGATAGGGCCCTCCTTATCTAAAAATCTAAATTAGCGAAACTTGCATTTCAATCGAATACGAATCCAAATGCTTACCTAAATCAACTCTGGAGTCAAACGCGCCGCTGGCACTGAGCAAATACAGCGTGGTCTCGCCGTAGTAACTCTTACCAGTACGGTCGACCTCGGTCTGCGCAAGCACAATCAGGGTGGTCCCAGATGAGTTCCACTTCAACTGGACCTTGTCACCCTTGAAGAAGCTTTTCTGCGAGACTGGGGCACCGAACTGTGGCACAATAAAAACCTTTACGGAAGCGGGCTGGCCCTTGCGCTCTGGGATAAACACCGCAATTGAATGGGTCTGTCCTGGCGAGAGCGCAAAATCCGAAACACCCTCCACACGCAGCTTGTTCCACACGGTCGACAGGTTGTCACTCTGGTAGAACTGGACCTCGTTGGTCACGACGCGAGCGCACAGCTTCTCATCCGGCGTATATTGCAAGTTCCAGCCAGTCTGTGATTTCTGGACGTAGCTCCCCACAATCGATGGTTGATCTCCGCTCTCAACCGCACGCCACACCTTGAGGTTCTTGGTGGCGTCTCCGTTGGCATCCTTGCTGGGTCGCTGCCAGGTGATCAGGTAGGTGCCGAGCGGCGAAAAGCCCAACTCGAAAACATTATCCGCAGCGATTGTCGAGACGATGTTACCAGTGGAAGGGTCGATGATGGTGACACTATTGGGAAGACACTGGTTAGGTATCAATCGGGCATGTGAGTGACACCGGTCAACTTACTTTTCAGGCGACGCCCATGCAAAATAACGACCACATGGTGAGTATGCGCTGCAGCGGAGATTTCCCTCGGGTCTGTAAAATCAAGTCAGCATTCCCATGAGCCTTCCAAATCCCGCGGTGTTCCAATCAGACTAACCTCGCAAACCCCGACAAAGGCTCATAGACAGGGGCAGCATCCATGATGCCGATCCCTTTGAGAGTTCGGTCTGTTGATAGTCAGCATTTATTGAATGACCAACTCGTCCATGTGCGGAAACCTTGGGAGGGAACCAGAACTTACAAGCAAGCTGTGTAGGAGCCGCCATGTTGAAGGTAAAAAAAAGCTGGATAGCTAGAACCAAAGTAGAAATCAGAAAGATCAAGTATGCAATCTCTGAGACCGTAGAAGGGCCTCCGTAGTTTTGCAGACGTCTCAACACAAGCAAAATAAGAGGTTCGTCTGACTAGGTCCAGACGGTCGGTTTGCAAATAATGGGACCTGAGCGACAGGGGCGAGGCCTAGGAAATCAGAGCAAACACGAGACGTGTAGATAGGAGGATCAGGCGAATCAAGCGATGAGAGCGATATTTGAAACGGAGATTTCGTGGCTTGGGAAGCGTTGAAAGGGATCCAGCGACGTGGCAAGCGAGTTTTGGGGCCTGGGTCCAAGGAGCTTCAATTGAAGCGAAAAGGAACAGGAGCTTGTCGAAGTCTTCTCTTCTATGCTAGACAAGTCAATGCCAGCAGGGAGTACAGAGCCGGGGTGGAGGAGTGGTGGGTTTAGGTGGGGAAGGATGAAGAGTGGAAAGAGAAAATTCGGGTGTTGGCGCCGCGGGCTCTCTTCAGGCGGCATGCCGTCATCTGGGCCTGGGCCGACCCCGGCTTTCTCTGCCTACCGGATCTACGAGCCTCGGTATTAAGTTCGCATTGGCTATATCTGGCAAGGGGCTCTCATGGCCCTCATGGTCGGAAGATTTCCTCGAAAATGGATGTGTGATATGTTATGTGTCAATAGTACCGGGTCAAGTCACGAGGGACAGAAGCACGGTATCCAGAATCAACGCCGTTCTCGCTCCAAAATACCTGATAACAAAGTGGAAAACAATTATGTCCCAAGAAAAGGCAGAAGACATTAATAGCTGCGCTGAAAAGATCGCATAGTTCATATCCGAGACATGTCTGTCGTGACCACCGAAGACGGTGGTGTTGCCGGTCTCCCAGATCGCCGCTTCGCATAGAAATACATCCTGCAAGATCGACAAGGACCCAGGTCAGGCTGAAAAAAAGAAGAAAAGAAAAGAAAAGAAACAAGACCACATAAAAGACCCAGAAGTAGCGAATGACACAAGTGTAGAGAAAGAGAACCAGTGATATCCTCGAAGAAAGAACGCCACCCTAAATATCTTGGTCTACCGTATCACAGATCAGTAAGATATCCGGGGGTAAGGGGTAAAGCTATTCACGGCTCGGTGTTCCAAAACCACTGTTGCTCCGATTGGAAGGTGTCACCAGGCGCGGCGTGCGAGCGGTGGTATCGACAATATCAGGATCGTAAGTCATGCCATCGAGCATCCTCGCATCCTCCGCAACAGGTTCAGGAGTCATCGAGCCAGCAGGGGAAGGCGACATCATAGGACTGTCCCCGGGATGTTGCTGTTGTTGTTGTTGTAGGTAGGATGTTAGGGGGTTCGGACGACCGACATTCGAGCTGCCAAAAGAGGTGGGTCGAGCACCCCCCGAGGACAAGCGGTTGAGGCCTGCAGGACGGGAGGTCGGGCCGCTGATGGTGCTATTTGCGCCCTCGCCAAAGCCAACGAGGCTCGCGTTGCCTTCGTCGCTCACGTTGCTGACGCTGGAGACACCGTCGTCTACGTCCGGGTCCTCGCTCATCTTGTCGGCATCAAAGGCGTCGCTGCTGCTGGCCCAGGTCGTGTGGCCAATGCTTCCCGTGGCACTGGCACTCCCGACGGTGCTGCGCTCTTTCAGTGCCAATGCGGCCTGGCTGTCGAAATACCCCGGGGTGTACGACACGGGTGTTGCAGCATTGGATGGGGACTGGCCGCCTGCACGGGCGGTCGCAACCCGCTCGAGACCCGCGAGACGGGAGATGCGGTCGGCGCGCTCGGCTTCAAGGGTTGTGGTGGAGGACGTGGATGCTGAGGAGGACTGGTGCGCATGTCGCGGGTGGCCGAAGGTCTGGCCTCTGTGCCCGTCTTTGATGGCTGTCGTCGACAGTGCGGAGAGGGACGTAGTGCCGGAGTTTGGAGTACCTCTAGCGCATCCCAAGGTCAGTCATTCAGTCACCGTATATTTCCGGGTCTGGGTGCGGGGAGGGGGGGAAAGAAAAGTATCGACGTATGAGGATGGCTTACGGTCCCATGTCCGGAGTGACTGGGTCGGAGGGAGGAGGAGGTAGATTGATAAAGGTGGGGGTGGTCATGATGAGGATGCGAAGTGGGATGCCGTTGAAGGCTATGCTGTAATGAATTCCAGATCAGAGTAGCAGTCAAGAATACGTTTAGGCGATTCTTTCCGGATGTTAGAAGATCCAGTAGGGGATCAATGGTCTTGGTGGGGTTTTGGGTCGAATATGGAAATTGCGGGGAGGGGAAGTTTTAGCGCGAAGATCCGTCTCTGGCGCAAAAACATAATTTCTTTGATTATGGGGAGCGACGTCATGCTGTCCAATACAGCCAATGAGATGGCATACCGACCCCTGGAATTTTGATACCAACGATTGATTCTGAAACTACAAGGATCAAATCAAGGTGACAGCGATTTCATACATTCATACAAGTCATCTCTAGTTGATACCAGAGATATGGTTGGGAACACTCCGTCATTGACTGACTTTGCGGCCTTCATAATGTCCACGCAGATCGTCTACTTCCTTCTGTAATCGAGTCAAGTCGGCCAGTATATCATGAGCATTTGAGGGTTGAGGCGGTCGTGTGGATTCTGTATAAGTTGATGGGCTAAGATGTATACTGTCGCTGCTGCGGAGCATGGAATCCCGATTCCGTCGAGGGGAGGAGGCGGCGGCGGAATTGTGGATGAAGAACCCGCTAAACTGCCATACGACGAGGCTCTTCGATTTGGCGGGAATCCCGGCGGGGCCGGAGAGGATAATTGATCAGGACGCCCGCTGGAGGAAACACTCGATCGCAGATCCCCTGACGAGGGTGGAGGCATACTGATACGCTTTCGGTCTTGTGACGAAGAGCCCAAAGATCGAGTCGATGGACCAGGGCTGGGGGGGCTGGGAACCATAGTTGCTCTCAGAGTCGACAGAGGAAATGGTGAGGCGACTGGTACTCGATTTTGATTGAGTGGACTTGGATCTTCGCATCTGGCTTTGTCGTCGACTCTGAGGTGGCGTCGGCGGCCGCTTACTCTGAGACCGAGAGCGTGAAAGAGATTCTGACGAATCGGTAGCTAGCTGGTTCTCTGGAGTGCCTTGGAAACCTTCTCCTGTTGATTGTGTCACCAGGCTCGCATTGGGCGCGCCGGATGGACGGGAAGCTGCATTTTCTGCAGCTAAGGGGTTGTTGGAGAGCCGGTCGGATGGTCGAGGTGGCGGCTGCTCCGGAAGCGCCCCGGCATTCGATACATTACTGATTCGCTTGCCACGATGGTTTTTAGGCGGTGGCGGTGGTTTCCTTTCTTTAAGACTTCGACCAGTTGGATCAGTGTTGGAGTTAATTTCTGAAGATGTCTGCTCGTCTGATCGATTGACAGATTGAGGAACAGTCTGATAATCATGGGCGTTGAAAATTGGGCTTATTGGTGCATTGTGTTCTCTCGGTAAAGAATTGGTTGACGGGGATGTGATAGATGCTCTATCCGTGGATAGAGCTAGGTGTGGAGCAGAACCCGAGGAATTTCCGGGTCGATTATCAGGAGCTCTCGAGAGCTGGTAATCTTCATTCTCATCGTCATCACTGATAGCGGAGTCTGGATCAAAAGGATCTACTTCTTGTTCATCTGAGGACGTCGATACTTTTTTTTGCGGCCCCAGGCGACGCAGTCTTCGGCTGTCTGGGGTAGCCGCTCGATACCTGAGGGGGCGCGGATTCAGGTTGCGCAGGCAAGTCGGATGATGGCGGGGCTGGTGGTAAAAATGTAGAGTCTGGAAAGTCCGGCACCGTAGCTGAAGCTGCAGTAGTAGCTGCAGGGCCTGATTCAGGGGTTGTTAGCATTCGTCTCAAGTCGTGGGGTCGACTTGTGGTTCATCTCTTATCGGGACCTGGCGGACCTGGCGGACCTGGTGGACCTGGCGGGGAACAACGAGAAGGCGTTTGAGGGCGCTTGACGAAGGGTCAGACAGGAGTCTGGAGGAGAAAACTTACCGTCTGCAGCCCTCGCACGGAAAGGATTGAAGGCCGACATCGCGATGAAAAAGGGCGAGTCTTGTTGGCCTGAAAGGATGGAAGAGGGGAGATTTCCATCTCCGCCGAGTTTCTTATCCATAGGATCCTGAGGCGCCGCTTTCCGATCGACTTGTCCGGACGCCCCGACAGGCTGCAGTCGCGGCCCAAAGTAGGCTTCGAGGCTATTGGAGAGGGGATCAAGTACGCTGCAAATATGATCTATTTTAGACAAAATATCGAGGGAGAAAAAAAAAAAGGCTTGCTATGGTACAGTGGTATGCAAAACGAAAGGGAAACGGGCCTTCTTAAGAGAATAACAAAATAATGATGATAAACACGACCTTGATCCAACCAAAAGATTTCTTTATAAACCTCCCAAAATCCCATGTCCCATTTCGATTGCTATGGTATAAGAAATGAGCGGGGACAATTATTCGCCTTCACAGAGCCGTCCTCACGGTCTAGGTGTTGTTTGGTCACGAGGGCCGTCTGGTTCATCGTAAACATGCCATGTGTCTTCGTCTTCAAAGAACTTCTCCGCCAGCTTCTTACCACCAGAGGTGGTTTGGCTGAATGCAATCTGAGACTTAGGCAACTCCATACCATAAATAAAATTGCTCACAACGCAATCAAGCAAGTCGAGAGCGATACCCTTTCGCCGCGAAGCTCCGGAAGTCCAGATGCGCGAGACCCCGACAATGGCCGGATGATACTCCAAATGGGCTTCGACCCTCGAGCTATCGGAGTCGCTAGAATTTTCTTTATCCATGATCACAGGCCGGCACCGCCATATGCGTTCGGTCAGACAGAGACCAACACAACGGCTGCCCTTCATGTGCAGAAAGACGCGGTAACGATCGGCCTTTTCTTCTGGTTCGCTACCGCGAACTTCCTTAGGTGGTACTGTTTGACTCCACAAAGTATCATTGTCGATCTCCGGAGAACACAGTTCCTTGTTGACGACTTCAAGCACGTTCTGCGCCTGGTTCTTTGCGCTAGGAGAGGACTTGCGATCCACGATCACCACATAGCCTTCTTCAAACCTAGTTGCTTCGTAGACCCAACGCGATGCGTTCGCCCTCATAAATGCCTTTCCTAAATCCACTCCAGTAGAGTTCATTTCATGGAACATTTTGTGCAGCATTGCATCTTCCGAGTTGGACGGGTTATATTCCATCTCGCACGTCGCGCATTTCTTTCGCACCTCGCCTCCTAAATCAATCTGCATTTGTCGCAAAGCCGGTTGCTTTGCGGGCTTAGTTTGCGGCTGTGGTTGGATCTGCTGCTGCTTTGGGGGATCGGCAGAGGAGCGCACGCTATTCGAGTTGACTTCGGTTAAGGGGGAGCCGGTAGACGCGTCCTTATGCTTGCGCTTCAAAAAGGAAAACGTTGGCTTGCGAGTATTGGCAGGCGGAGGGGTCAGCCGTGGTGGCGGCGACGAAGGGGGAGTGGTGAGATCGTCGATATCGTCCAGAGTGCCCTCGGACAACACTACCGAGTTGCGGCGGGAGGGGCTTGACAACACGGCCGCGGAGGACTCACGAATCGCATACTGGAGGTTGGCCTCCGCTTCGTTAGTGTCGTCCTGGACGCGTCTTTTTTTCGCGGCCCGCTCGTCGTCATAGACGCGCCATGTTGGTCTCCCATATGTTTTCATCAGGCCTCTGCAGAAGGATGTTAGGAAAGGTACGCGTCAACCAAAAGGAACACCAGACACATACCGCTTAAAAGAATTGGTGACTGTCCACGGCATCTCCCTGGAGCTTCGAAATTTCCCAAAGAGTGGGGAGGAGGAGATGTTGTTGCTCTGACACGGGGGGGTTTTCCAATTTACAGCGGATCGACCGGTTCCACCACACGCGGTGACGCTAACTGAATTAGGTCATATTGTTCGGTGATGGGGCACAACACCACTTACAGTTATCCCTTGCAGTGGACTTCGAAAAGAGAGTCCGTCTGGGGAAGTCGGAAGGAGAAGAAGGATAAAAGCCGCAGGCGCCGATGGAGCTTGAGATTAGGCAAGAGGTGTCCGATAGAGAAGCCCAATCAGAACGATCAAGTGGAGAGAAATTAGCCCTGATTGAATGTCAATCAGGAGGTCGCCACCGCGAAGTTACGACCAAGGAGCGTGATCACGACAGGGGAGAGTAGCAGAGGCACTGGAACAATAAGCAGGTGTGTTTGGTCAAACGGAGATTTTGGACTAAGTTATCTAAATTCCTGAATGCCCGTCTGGTATGTTCTGTGGGACGCGCTCGTCGGGCAGGGTTTCTACTGTTGATTCTTGGTGTCAGGAACCAGTCAGCATCCAGCCAATTCCAAACACGAGCTCCGTGACGCTTTTCCACAGCCAATGACCTTCTCCATTCCCAGCCAACACTGCTCCCCCAACCCCCGATATACTACTACTCACAGTGCAAGGGCTCAAGGCGAGTTGGGGCTATGAGTAGTGGGCTTCGCCCCCCCGCGCGAGGCTCTCAGGGCTTGGTCCACCCAACGCTCGCGATGATTTGATGAATTTCCCGGGCCAAGGCACTCCCTCGTGCATCCGCGTTGCATCGTGCAAGGAAACGGAAGCTGGCTTTCAGATCGCCACCGCTCCCCATCTCACCACTTCTGCCTGGCAATCATCCCCCAGGTAATCCCCACGGCAGATGGGACAGGGGAGAAACCGGAGAGGCTGGACCGAGACAGAAGGCGACAGTATCGACCGGTCTCGCTGATTGGACCATCTCCATTGCGCAGAACGGAGATTGGCAGATCAAGGACCATGATTGGTCTGATGTGTACAGGCTAGAAGTTTCGCTAGAGTCGCCCTGGGCTACGAAGTGCCAATCACCGAATGTTGGGAACCAACTTTGTTGCGCCCCCCTCGGGTTCAATGGATGCAAAGTAAGCTAGTACAGCATGAAGCTCAGGGTAATTCGGTGGCAAGAACCGGAGAAGCCCACCTGGCAATGACCTAGCGCCCCCAGCGATCCCAGGCGATCGACTGGGGAAAGCTCTTGAAGGGAGCTTCCTTGGCGTGTATGTACCAGGCCATGGAGGGGCACTCTCAGCGGTTACTTTGACTGCCTTGGGCTTGATAGGTGACAATAGATTGCCCCGATGTCAGCGATGAGCCCGGGACGTCACGGCTATCGATGGTCACTTCGCCCCATATTCAAGCGAGTCTTTGGGATCAGATCCTTCGTACAGTATTCTACGATCGGTCGATTCCCTTATCCCACGTGAAAATTTCCCGGGATCCCTCCAAGGGCTGGAAGACTCTATGTGACACAGGATGCCCCCCCCGCAAACTGCTGCATGTCTACGTTCTGATCCTCCAGATAAGCCGAAGGAAAATTCACGATATACGATGCGAACCATGTCAGCCTCAGCGCTTGAGCGATATGCTGACTCACATTTCTGTCTGATCTGACCTCGGATGTGGAGTGGGAGGTGTTGATGTTGATTAGGATTAGAAGAGAAGCGAAATGTATGAGTAGATCACTCCATTATTTGTACGTCCAGGGTATTCGCATCATGCGTCCGCAGGTTACACAAAAATTGAGCAAGTTTCTTTTCCCTCGGGCTTTGCCCAGGAAACACTGGCCTTCTTCTCTGTCATATCGTAGGCGGTTTCCTCAACGCAATGTCTTCTACAGAAGAACTACAAGAACCTTGGACTACGTGGAGAGCCACTCCTCTATCTACGCAGCCTATGGATCTGGCCCCAAAGCAAGTTGGGGGACAAAAAGGAGCCTGCAGGATAAGCTCTGGGGGCCGGACTCCGAATTGTATAGAAACGTTAGCACTTAGTTACTCTGTGGCCAAGAGCAGTAAAAGAGGGGACAATCCCCCGAAGTCGGGATGCGGCTAGAGCTTGCAACGACGCAGCACCAAGCGCTATATAGCTCAATTCCATCGCCCCCAAACTTCTCTCATCCTGCAAAAAGCTAAGAAGATCCAGAGACGGCCCTGCCTCTCGTTGCCCCTCGTTGCCCCCTGTTGCCCCCATCGTTACCCCCGTCGGTCGATTAAGCTGATTTGCCGTCCCGCTTTTTTTGGTTGGGTCTGGCGGAACCGTTTGGCGGAGAAAAAACGAATCTGCAGAAAAAAAAAAACTGCTTCCCCTCTGATCTTCCTCGATTCATTCCTATACCGCTTTATATACGAACCATGTCCGACGATTCACAGACTGCCGGCAAGCGCAAGCGTGCGAGTAGGTGTACCCTCCAGGCTGATTTCTGCTCGGGCCCCGTTGCCATCCCATCCCCCCATTGGATCTGTAGACTTGGACCCCAGTTCCCTTGCCCCGATAAATTCTTCCCAAGTTCCTTTGTCTTTTCCTCCTCCCCTTTATCCGTCCAATCTATGACGTTTTTGTGCGACCGATGACTGGGGACTGCTCGGACGCTGGAATCCTGAATCTTGTTACCCCTCCACCATTCCCGCTGTTTTGAGACATCGATGACAACCCAGGGCCCGCGAGAGCGAGAGAAAGACATTCAACATGGCTAACTTCATCTCTCTGCCAGGGACCCAGTCTTGCCCTCCTCCTGAGCTACCCCAGCTTGTGGCAGAGCAACATGTCCCGATCCCTTCGCATGACAAGGATACTCAACGTTTGATTGTTATCCTTTCCAATGCTAGTCTGGAGACCTACCGCGCATCCAGTGGGCGCAATGGGGCCAAGGACGAGAAGTACTCTCTGCTGAACAGCGACGAGCACATCGGCATCATGCGAAAGATGAATCGGGACATCAGCGAGGCGCGTCCAGATATCACTCACCAGGTAAGCCTCTTAGGGTGGCGACATGTGGATTGGGATTTACGCGATATTGACTCGATGTGATTCGTTCTAGTGTCTACTCACCCTCCTTGACTCTCCCGTTAACAAGGCGGGTCGCCTTCAAATTTTCATCCATACCGCCAAGGGTGTTTTGATCGAGGTCAACCCGTCCGTCCGTATCCCCAGAACTTTCAAGCGATTCGCCGGTTTGATGGTGCAGCTGCTCCACCGCCTCTCGATTCGCTCTACCAACTCCCAGGAAAAGCTGCTCAAGGTGATCAAGAACCCAATCACGGATCACTTGCCACCCAACTGCCGCAAGGTCACGCTCAGTTTCGAAGCCCCCGTGGTGCGCACCCGTGACTACATCGAGTCGCTTGGACCCAAGGAGAGTATCGCTATCTTTGTCGGTGCCATGGCCAAGGGCCGCGACGATTTCGCCGACTCGTTCAAGGATGACACGATTGGTATCAGCAACTACAGTCTTTCTGCCAGTGTGGCCTGCAGCAAGTTCTGCCACGCGGCGGAGGAGGTATGGGATATTCTGTGATCTCTCGGGCTTAGACATCCGGTGCCTCGTCTTATAATGCGCCAATGAAGCAGCTGTCTGCTGCTTTGGTAAGCTTTCAAGCTTCCTCTACCGCCACGAATTTCTTCCCCGACAAATCTTGTCCTTGCGAGTGTTGAGTGGAGACATGTTTCGGGGAGGTTTCTTTTGCTCTTTCGGTATTCTCAACAGACCGCTCCGGACATATGGACCTTCTCGTTTTCTCGTACTTGTGTTGTTTTCAATTGTCGGTATTCACCATTCGAATGGCCAGCATGTATCTTGTTCTTGTATTTTGGCTCCTACTCGGTGGCCCGTGGGTTCTGGGGGGAGAACACAACATATTGGGGGGGGGGTATCCCACTCGCCCATTCCAACACCAGAGACACTCGGACTGGATGGCATTTGGTTCCTTTTCGCCGTTACAGTCCTGATTCCGAAAAAAAAATCTCTCCCGCGCGAGCGGTGATGAGTTCCGAAAAAGTGAACAGCACATATCAGGAGCATCTTCCTGCGATCAGGCACATACACTGTACCAAATACAATTCTTTTGCTTTTAGTTTAGCGGGACTTTTGTTAATTTTCTCTCGTACTTTGGGGGAAATCAGCTGGTCGTATCCAAGCTATATTCCGTTCTTCATGCTTGACGTGGCCATGTCGCCTCACTTCGCACTAAAATTGGTAGCTAATGGGAGCGGTGCACGACAAGTACTAAGCCTGCACGGCGGCCCATGGCGATCAAATAGGCCCTTCCCCTAGTTCGAGTCCCAAGGCTGGGTTGTATGATAAACTTAGGAAATGCATGACTCACAAAACCTGTGCAACATTTGATATTAGTTATACTCTCTTACTATTGACCCATCGGTGTTCTATAATCTAGAATGTCGATAATAGCGGTCAGCAGCACACATGCCCGAACAGGCGCTGAGCGTTCCGGGCCTTCCCCAAGTCCGCCCTTCTCCACCGGTTCTCGCCTTGTAATTTGTTGATGATCCTCTTCCACCTCTTGACTGCACGCCCCTCCCCCCTAATCCAGCAGATCCACTGGGTCCCCGCGATGACCTGGCCTGGGTATCCTAGCCACCTGGTCCCCGCCCAACTCCTCAGGACTGGTTAAGCTATCATCCTGCGAATCCACAGATCCATTTATCTCTGTTCTCACCGAGTCGCCTCGCGAACATGATTTGGCACGGATGGTTCTCATCCGCTTCCAAAGTGACCGAGGCGACTTAAACGCTGCTACCCAGCACGATACCGCAAGTCCGCCTTCGTGCCGTAGACTTGTTTCAAGATGTTCCGACGTGCAGGTCTTCCCACTTGGACCGGGCACGGTGCCATTAGAGTCTGGATCAGTGTCCCACCAGTCCACTGTAGACCCTGAGAGGACACCACCGAGTGGCCAGTGTACGTGGTCAAGGAGGGGCGGCCGGCCAGACTTACCTTAAGACATCTCAATGGGCTTGGGCAGCGTACGTGCTTTTGTTCTCTTCAACCGGATTGGCGGTTGGCTTTAGCCTCGCTGTTACCCTTTCACGTCCCTGGCAGCTTCGGGCCTCTTGTCGTAGTTCATGCTTTCATACTCGTCGGTTCCCAATATAAATGTGGGTGTCTGCATACTTGCATACTGGCAGAAATACTTTCTCCCTTCCCCCTTCCATCTTAACGTACTGTCCTTTCCATCTGCCCCTCTCCACGGCTATTCGACAGCCTCTACAGCACTCGCTCATACATCTTTCCCAAGGGGCTCACGTGCTAGCCGCTGATCGCACGCTTTTTTGCTCATCATGCCGGTTTCTCATATGACATTGACCGTCTCAAATCTCCCGAGTTCGACCTCTTTCTTCTTATCATGTCTCCAGCCGTTGGGATACCAGTTCATTGGTCGTCATGATGAATACATTGGTTTCGGACAGAGGCCAGGAGAGCCAGCCGATTTCTGGATCACAGAGAAGAAGCCTGGGTACGTAATAGGCCGTAAAGATCGCCCTGTAGGGGAAGGTTGGAAGGTCGGTAGCTAATCCAGCATTGATAGAGCGCCTCCAAGCGCCGTCCATATTGCTTTCCCCGCTCCCTCCAAGGATGCGGTCAATTCGTTCTTCATCGCTGCACTGAAAGCCGGCGGCTCGATGCACGCCGAGCCGAAGACGCGGGACCAACGCAGCATGTATCACAACGCAACTGTGGTCGACTTGGATGGAAACAGCATCGAGGCCGTGTATCGGAATGACCTGGTCGCTCCGGCATCGCAAGCCGGGGGTCCTACCATAGCTCAGCTCGACAACCGATCCGTCGTGTCGAAGAGCAAGGCCAGCACAAAACCCGAGAGCGTGAAGGCTGAAAGCGTGAAGGCCGAGAGCTTTGTCCCGACAAGAACGGTCGTGACCAAGACAATATCGAAGCCCGACGAGGATAGCAAGACGGCCAAGACACTTGTCGGAACGCTCATTGGTGCTGCTGCCGGTGCTGCGATTGCCTACGCAATGGTGAAGACTCGCGAAGACTCGGTTCAGAAGTTTGAGAACGCATTCGAGGTTGAAAGCACCCCGGAGGATCCCTCCCCATCATATGCGCCAGAACAACAGCGCCTGATGGCAGCGCCTTCTGAATACTCCCGAGCCGAATCTCAGATGCGCCCTACCATGCGAGCCATCGAAGCACCTCCTGCACGCAGCGTCTACTCTGCCGTCCCACGCTCCACAGTCAGCCGCAGCGTAGCCTCCAAGAATCCCCGCGCCAGCACCGTCTACGAAGGCACCGAGTTTTACAGCGACCCTAACCGCCGCGCCTCAGACGGCAGCATCATCAGCATCCCGGAGGACTTGCCGCTCCGTGCAATCGAGTACCCGCCCAGCATCAGCGGCTCGCGCTACAAGCAGCCCTGCAACCCCAGCACCTTCATCAGCAGCTACGCCGCCGATAAGCCGCGTGCCGGAAGCGTGCACTCGGCCTCCACCATCAAAGCCTCGCAGCACCCCAGCCATCTCTCGCGCCGCCACAGCGCAGACGAAAGAGACACTTACTCCGTCCACAGCGGCAGCCAGCACACTTCCATCTACCGCCCTGCTGCCACAGTCCACAGCGGCCACTCTGCCCGGGAAAAGGCCCCCAGTGCCTTCTCGGAGACCAAGTCGGCTCGCAATGTCCCCCTGCCCGCGGGCTCCTCTCGCTCCGTATACTCCGCCGCGCAAAGCAACACGGGGAAATCCTACGTGTCTGCGCGCGAAATCCCTCTGCCGAACTCCGTGCTCGATCTTGACGTCGACTCGATCGTGACACCCGACGACTCCATCAGCCAAATTGGCAGCCGGTCCGGACGGTCCAATCACTCGCGGCACTCGAAGTCCTCCAAACATTCCTCGCGCTCGAAACATGAGAACGGCGAGGGCAGTCAAGTGTCTCGGTCTTCGCAGCGCACCGTCAGGGCTAGTGATAGTAAGGCTGGTTCGAAGGCACCTAGTCGGTTGGGCAGCCAGCTTGTATAATGACTTGCATTGGTTGAGGTTTTTTTTTTTTCTTCTCTTCTCTTTCAATTTTTTTTTTTCTTTGTGCACTTTTTCTTAGCATCTTGCATTTGGCCCCGGGGGGTTTCGGGGAACATCATACATTTACAGACTACGACAGACTGAGGTGATAGCGCCTGTTTTTAGCATATATAAGGTCTTTATAGAAATTTGTCATCCAGAGCCTCGGAGCCCTGGAGACTTTGTTGACACTTGCCATTCATACTAGCAATCCTCCCTGGTAGCAGTAAATACCTAGATGGGAATGGAACACATGCTGGAGCGTATCACAGATGTTGACCAATCTTCAGACCGCCCAGTACAAGGAGCCGAAACCTTCAAGTTCTTCCCTTTGACGATAAGCTTTCCCAAAAAAAAAAAAGAAAACCCCGGAAAACCCCCGGAAAAAAAACAAAAAAAGACACCTTCTCAACCTCATGCATTCATTACATGGTATTTCCATCTCTAGAATTCCACCAAGCTCTATCAAACTCTCCCCAACCCCCCGGCGGTGCATCCCACATCGCCAGGTCCCGAACCACCATCTCGTAGCACCCATCACCGGGCATATTTCCCTGGCAAACATTGCCGCCAACAGCAATATTGATCAGGATCCTAAACTCGCTCATCTTCCTCGTCCCGGGTGGCTTCTCCGCCCTCATGATCGGCCTGCCATCGATCAGCCAGACCAGGCGGCCTCTCCCCGAGGCCTCGTCCTCATCCCAGATGAAATCATACCGTACGCCCCCCGGCGCACTGAGGTTCGGAACAGGCGTCTCCAGCACACGATGCTTATCCCAGTCCTCGCCATTGAAGTGGCCCCAATGCAGACAGGTATGGTTCACGGCATCGCCGTTCCACGCCTCCATGATGTCCATCTCGCCGTCCTCGGGCCACTTGAAGGGGTCTTTCGGCAGCAGCCAGAACGCAGGCCAGATCCCGCGCGCCACGGGCGCCGTGATCCGGGCGGACAGGCAGCCGCGGGGCCGGCTGAGGGTCTGGTGGCTGGAGAGTCTGGCGCTGGTGAACTTGTGCGCGGGGTCCGGGTGGCCGTGGTTGATCAGGGCGCGGACGATCAGGGCGTCGCCGTGCGGGGAATGGAATGAGTTGTAGGGACTGTCGATGTAGTTCTGGGCTTCATTGTTGCCCCAGCCGTGCTGGCCTTGTTCATGGTGGAAGTTTGTCGACACGGGGGCTTGCGGGTGCAGATTGGGCCACCAGCAGACTTGGGGCTGGGAGGGCAGTTCTTGATATGCCGGTGGTGGTTTGCTTGAGGTTGGGATTGGCGGTGGGGCGGGCTTGTTGTGGGATGGGATGGCGGGCGCTTGGTGACTGAGGTCTCCCCAGGCCTTGTCTGCTTTGTCGATTATGCCCTGCAGGGCTTGTCGGAATGGCATATTGGTCTGGCCTTCGGTAATGGAGGTTGAGGGAGTGGAAGTAGCTGCCTAGAGAGGGTGTGTAGCTTACGAGTCGTTGACCCTGTGGGGTACCAGGCATTTGCCAAGATATACGTCTTGGAAGGGGGATGAAGTAAACATTTTGGATTGATCAAATTTGCATGGCTTTCTTCCTAGACCTGATATTATGGGTTATATGTATTATTCACCAGTGGTAAGCAGCACCCGTTTTAGCTTTTTGGTATACACAGTAGCATTCTTCTAGATGATCGGCCCCGGTAGTGGCGCCGATAATCCCCGCTTGGTTGCTTTCAAAATGCCTCAGGCAGCTTATGCAAACCGTACAAACCTGGGGGCATTCAACAAAATTTCGATATCATACAACTTCCAAGACCTGGGACTCCTAATATATGGCCTATCTACTCCGTAGTATGCTATCAATCAACGCTAGTCTTATCTCCGCACAGCCGACTCTCGACGTAACCAATCCCCTTCCAAATTATCCCTCTGCTCGCCTCATTTTCCAAGCATGGCAGAAACATGCCATGAGGAGCCTACCACAGAACTCTCCAGAGCAGCGCGCTTCAAAGCCACACACCTCGCCGCACGCTATGGAAATTATCACCAATACTATACTAAGTTCCGGGCCCCCACCGTCCCGGACGAGCGGCTTTCACTTCTCCCCGCAGAGGTCCTCCCCGGCGCGCGAGTGATAGACCTAGGCTGCAACGCCGGCAAACTGACCCACGAGGCGATAGCACACTGCGGTGCAGCCGCCGCCGTGGGCGTCGATATTGACCCGTGGCTGATCGAGCAGGCGAAGGCCGCGTACCCGGACGGGCCGTGCACATTCGAGCACTTTGACTTTGTGGATGCGTCTGCGTACACGGGGACCGCGCTGGGGAAGTTCGACGTTGCACTGCTGCTGTCGGTAACGAAGTGGGTGCATCTGAATAACGGAGATGCAGGGATGTTGAGGTTATTTACACACATACACAGCATCTTGAAGGACGGGGGCTATCTGGTTGTGGAGCCGCAACCTATGAGCAATTATGCGAAGGCGTCGAAGAAGAACAAAGAGTTACGGGAGATGTATAAGACTATCCAGATGAGGCCGCCGTTTGATGCCGAGCTGACGGCGCTGGGATTCGAGAGCATAATGCAGGTTGAGAGAGATGAAGAGGGCTTTGCTAGACCGGTACATGTTTGGAAAAAGGTATCATGACCCGACCGAATATATGATCAATTCCTACTCGTATGACTTGGAGGGAGTCGAGTAAAGTGACATCTTGGGAGAGTGTGGATGATGTGGGGAGTTCCGCTGGAGGTTGGTTAGCAGGTAGAAAGAGAAGATGGTCATGAGACCAAATGGCATTTCATGAGGATGCTCCAAAAGGCAAGGGTGTTGCCGCTGGAGATGTGGAGGCTGTGGGCATCAGCGGGAAGGACGAAGGCTTAGGGCCATTGTACCGGGGATTGTGGCTGTTATGCTCTTCGGAAAGGATCTGGAATCCCAAAAGACAAAGAAAACCATAAAAGGAACGTCCGAGGGAATGATTCGCTGTGAGAATGAGATTGTCGTTTAGCTGCTGGATTCTTAATTTCCTCCGGTTTCTGCATACTTTGTTGGCCGAGAGTCTTGATCGCTTGGATCTGGAGTGTACACTTCTGAAGCGTTTTACGCTGAGAGGCGTGGGAGGGTTACATGAGGAACATTAGAGGAACATCGCCATAGGGTTTGGCGTTATGCGGCCCACTAGTGCCAGAGGCTCAGCATTAGACAAGGGATGTAACACCCCATAACTAATATCGCAGCGTTGCTTCTGAGCTTAGACATCCCATACTAACAGTTTTCAACGGTTATAGTTTGGCCCGCGCTAAGACGACCGGGGGGGGCCTTACTTTAGGGCAATTTGAATCTGAGCATCCTGGTCTAGACCCGGGAGGGGCCGTCGGGTGAATTACTTTGTTTTCAAGGGGAGCTATTTTATCTTAACCCGTCCTACACGTTGAGGAATAGAATGTGCTCGAATGTGCTCGAGTTGGAGGACATCATCATTTCAGTGGATTTGGAGAGCGCATAATATAGTGAAAAGGGTGTTGAAATCAGCGCCGTGTCTCTGCTCCGGGCCTCTGCTCCGGGCATGTACACAGTAGTATGTTGCCCGGTACGGAGTACATTTCTGAGCTATCAAACAAAATCGAACATGAGCTTTGGAAGACCCAAACGCTCCACAGTCCCACGTGCAGCTGACCAGCCTACACTCAGCCTCGGAAGGATCTTGATGGGCCAATATCTACAGCGGACCTGCCCCCACATCGTATCGCGTATTCACCGAGAATCCGACGAGCTAGAGACTCAGCCGACTAGTCGCTCCTTGGTCTGGCAGAACCCTCCATGTGATCTAGGCCGGAGAACGGCAAATTAATGGGAGGCCTTACATGCTCACTCCTTTTCTCCGTCCCATCAAGATTACGATGCCTGGTCGATAGCGGAGAGGTTTCTATCCTCGTCCCAGTTGTTTGTCCAACTTGACGGCAAAAGTACCATTGCATGCAAAGTAGACCTATGTGCGGTGCCAGCCAATAAGTTTTCGAGGGGTTCCGCAGGCAAGGGGGGTGATCTGAGGTTGACAAGCAGCCCAGGGGCTCGTGCTGCCCCACTGATATAGAGGATAACAACAGTCCCTGAAGATTTGCCATTCTGTTTGATCCCATTTGGCAATCTGCAGAGCGCCAAAGTTAAGGCCACCATACCAAGACTTTGCGCCAACCGCCTTGTTGCTAGTTGCATTAGACTACTTTGGTCCGTTCCCGTTCTGTCCCAACGCAAGCCTAATGATCCGTTCTTCAGGCCGATACGGAGTAAGTTGGCGCTGATCCAATTTCCCAAAAACCGGAATTCGACAGTATAGTTTTCGGTCACGCATCGCGCAGACCGCCCTGTGGGCGAATTTTTCGTATTCGCAGTTCTCTTACATCATAATAATGACGCCCTACAGGCCATTGAATTATTTCCACGGTTGCGAAATGGGATGCCAACTCTGCGCTGGTCTCCGTCGACAGTGGGGGGCTACGCCATCTTCTCGCTTCCGGTGAATAGCTATTCGAGTGCATGATGTGTACCTGTTAGTACCCTCATGCAGCCATGGGACCTAATTATATGAGATTTCAACAAGTAGGAGCTGCCCCCCGGGGATCAGCCTTATAATTTGTCGGCGAATCAAAGATGTCGGCACGAAGGCAAAGAATGTTCACCGTAAAAAAGAGCCCGACCCCCGAGCCCCCCCCGCCTAAAAGAAGCAGGGGTATATAGTCAAATGAGTTCCTGGTACCGGTACTTATTTCTTTAGTTCAAACCTAATCGACCATGTTCATTCGTTGCCTTCTTGTCCTCTTGGCTGGGACACATGTGGCCGCCGCCAAGTGCAAATGTGTAGGTTTTCCCCCGTGTGTATTTGCTCAATCGCAAATCAAATTTGTGCATAATATCCAGGATATGCACCCCCTTTACCCCCCTACTCCCTAAAAACACATTGGATCCCCTTTCTAACCTCGTAAAAGACCCCACTGGATTCCTGTTGGCCGTCCAGTGGCACCTGGACCGCTCTAAACGCATCAGTTGACGGCCGACTCGTCCGAAACGAGCCTTTGGCCAAACCGTGCTATCCAGGCCAAGGCTACAGCGCCGCCCTCTGCCAACAAGTCAGTACCAACTGGTTCAATGAAACCTGGGTAGTAGACTCGCCAATTGGATACGTCTATCCTCTTGGTGCGAACTCTTGCCCGCCGCTCAATGCCTCGGTCGCTGTATACCCGATCTGTGAGCTCGGTGTGGCGCCCGCGTACAGTATCAAGGCGACCAACGCAGATGATGTGGCGGCTGGCATCAAGTTCGCAAAGGAGCACAACGTGAGACTGGTTGTCAAACTGACGGGCCATGATCTCGAACATCGGTGCGCGTTATCACCAGCTGTTGATGAACAGGAGAGTACTAACGCATCCCGCGCAGATCACAAGGATATGGCAGTTTGTCCATTTGGGTCCGCAGCATCCAAAATGGACTGAAGTTGCAAGACAAGTTTACATCAGCGGATGGCTCTTGCAACTCGGATTGGACCGGCAGTGCAGTCCAGATCAACGGCGGTTATCTCTGGGTCGACATCTATAAGTTTGCGGGTGATCGCGGCTACCATGTGGTTGGTGGCGCAGATCGCGTAAGTCTTGCCCTCTAGACACTGAGAAACATTCTCCCGAAAAAAAAAAAAGGACCAACTCTCACTAACCTTCTCTTAGACGGTTGGCACCATCGGTGGATACCTGCAGGGAGGTGGCCACGGCGCTTTGAGCCATTTCCACGGACTGGCAACCGATCAGGTTCTCGAATACCAAGTTGTTCTCGCGTCAGGCGAGCTGGTCGTTGCAAACGCCTGCCAAAACACGGATCTCTTCACTGCTCTCCGCGGAGGAGGCGGTGGGACTTTTGGCGTCGTGATATCTGCCACCATCAAAGCATACAAAGACCAACCGGTCCTGCTCCACAACCTGGAGGTCATTGCCCTGCCCGATGACTCCTTTGAGGACAATGTGAACGAGCTTTACAAAGTGACGACAGACATCCTCTCAGAGTACCCCGGTCTGTCCGATGCCGGATGGGCCGGCACAGCCTGGTTCACAGTTGGCGAAGGACTCGCTTATTACGGACACCCGTTTCTTTCTTTACTCGAGGACAACTCGACCGCCGCTGTCGATAAAGCGAAGAAGGCCATGGAGGACAAGATCCTGAGCAAACTGACCAAGTACGAGAATGGCGCTACTCTGAAGATCGAATCGCAATGGAAGCAGTACAATTCCTTCAGGGATTACATCTTCCTTCCTCCTTTCAACCCAATTCCTGCAGGGGGGACCTCGATCATGTCATCGTGGCTTTTCGACCGGAAGTCTCTCGAATCCCCGTCTGGAAACACCACACAGCTTCTGCAGACCCTGAATTCCGGGAACGACAACATCCCCTTGATGACACCCGGCGGCGGTGCAACTTTGTTCAATCTTGTTGCTGGCGGCAAGGTGCTCGACGAGGTACCGCACACGTCCGTATCGCCAGCCTGGCGCCGGGCGTATCTCCTCGTCGAGCAGATCGATACCTGGCCGAAGAACTGGGGCCCAGAAGCGATCAAGGAGAAAATTGATAGAGCCACCCACACCAAGTTGAAGGCTATGAAGGATTTCTCGCCTGGAATGGGGACGTACTCCAATGAGGCTGATCCCTACGATCCAGACTGGAAACAGAGCTGGTGGGGAGATAATTACGACTTCCTTCTCTCTGTGAAGGAGAAGTATGACCCCGATCGTGTCTTCTGGACGTGGAAGAGTGTGGGCAATGACGGCTGGGGAGAAGTAAAAGGTGGTGGCTTATATGGGCCTTTGTGCGAAACCGGCACCTCTGCCAATTAATTGTTAGTATAAAATTCTGAGGAGCAGCTTCTTGATGGACAAGGCCAAGGGTACCTCTAGAACTAGCACCTCATGTTCGATCACCATACGGGAATATGAGTCTACACGAAACAAAACTATCGATGGACCTGCCTGGATTGTTGCTATCTGATGACAAGAAAAAGAATAAATGGACCTCGTAAAGGCCCCTTCCCCGCACAGTCAATCTTCAGGCTAAACCACCATCTCTCCAAATCTCGATCTCCCATCCAGCCAATTCCATCCAGCAAGGCTAGGCGTATGCACCGTAAATTGCAAAACAAAACGCCGTACGACCAGCTCCGACATTTGGCACCGAAAAGTGCCATGAGATCTTTTGTCATGAACTTGTTCAATCATCGCAGGGAAAGAACTCGATTCCAACTCCAAGAAAGCTCGCCCTTGGGAGGGAAAAACAAGATGCCATGGATGCATGAGAATTGGTCATAAAAAGAAAGATTGATACGACGGTCCCCAGGAACTAACGCAGGGGAGACGTTAAAGGAAAATGGGCCCTAGGCCAGCAAAGAGAAACTAGTCAATGGGACCGAAGTGGATAACACAGAGCAAGTTCTACAACCACGGTACGCCAGGCTTCGCGGATTGAATCTACCGGACAAAGAGAAACAAGATGCAGAGACGGCGACGGTAAGCATAAGGAATCACGCAGCGGGGAAAGGGGATCGTTGGTATTGGAGCATAGTTGTTGGAAACTGCCGATCAAATAGCGTACTTGCGAGTCCACTCGCGAGCCGTGGCCTCGTATCGTGGACGGTCGGTCTTGTAGACGTGCGCAATCTCGGGCACCAAGGGGTCATCGGGGTTGGGATCTGTGAGCATCGAGCAGATCGAAAGGAGTACTACACGGCAGGCATCAGTATTTCATGTCCAACCAAAGTATCGGTCCAATGCTGGACGGCACCACCACACACCTTTCGAGATTGTCAGAGCAGGACTCCATTGGTCACGCAGGATGTCGAGACAAATGCTGCCGTTGGAGTTGATGTTGGGATGATAGATGCGGGTACTGAAGTTGACCTTGGGAGGCTTGAATGGGTAGTCGGTAGGAAAATGGATTGTGAGGAAGAAAACGCCACCCGAGTAAGGCGAGTCACCCTATAGTCCATTGTGTTAGAATTTGATTTCTTAATGTGGTCTGATCATCGGCCTCGTGCCCCGGGGAGAGAGGAGAAGTTCGGCCCCGTGCGACCGTCACTGTTTTCAAGACCAGGTAGAAGAAGGGAGAGTTCGACTTACAGGACCCATAATAGTTGCCTGCCAGTGGAACTGTGGAGGGAAAAGAAAAGCGTGTCAGTTTATCAATATATCAAACCAGTATCGGGCGATCGGCATAGGGTCATTTCAGCCCCGCCACATGATAAGCTTTGGGCTCATTCTGGCGGCGAGGACATGGAAATAACCGTGACGCAGGAAGGAGTCTGCCGTAAGGAAGTTGGATATCTCATACCAGATCATCTCCGATGGGGCCGGCGGAGCAGGAGGACGGGGGGTCCCTGAGACATCAAAGTCAGTATAACCGGAAGATCTCGCAAGGTTCGAGGGTGCCTTACCGGCCAAGATCAGTGAGTTCCTTGTTAATGCGCTTGAGAGCCATGGTGACGACGAAGAGGAGGATGGGCTAGGGGCTAAGATTAGCAGAAGAGATCTTGTAGAAAGTGCAGAGCTGGATCCACGTACGGTTACGTCTTTGTGTGGAAAAGAGAAGAGAGAAGAAAGAGAAAGAGGGGGGAAAGTGGTGCGGGACGGGCTTTACACTTGGTATTACCAATACGCGCCACCGAGTGACACATCGATTTAAGGCGGGTAACTTTGACACTCGCGAAATTACGTACAGTTTGCGCATAGGGCTGCCGGGTTTTGCTCTGGAAACGCCCGTTCTCACTCATCGGTGACAAAGCCTGCGATTATTGAGAATCATCTCATTGGGGACGTTCTTTCTGGGTTCCTCTATTTTGTTGAAAGTTGCTTCCTAGGCAGCATTGGGTGGGCTGTCCATGCAATACGGCGTATGTAATATCTGCCCCTCGATGATGTCACGTGTAGATGAGGCGTTCGTCGATTTCCAAATCGGGAAGGCGCGGGTATTTGCATTTTGTAGTTTCATTCATCAAGGCCTCCCAAGCTGCCTGAAGATCAAGTTAGATTCTACATGTTTTACGGTTGGGGAAACATAGCTTCACTGTAATATGAAACTTCTACTATTTTTACATTGTCCTGGCTTAAACAAATGCCTGTTTTCCAGTAATGGCCCGCCCCAAGATCAACGCTGCGTAAAAAAAAAAAGAAAGCACGGTTAGTCTCTCAGCCCAAGTACCATATGCTGTTGGGCACTTACCATGGATATCGCTCTGACCCTCATATGTCTGCACCACAAACAAATTTGCGACATGACGTCCAATATGATACTCATCGCTGGTGGCGTTGCCGCCAAATACCTCCTGCAGGCTGTGACGAGTTAGCTAAAGTCGATCGAAAACAAGGGCTACAGACAGGGAAGTCTTACATTCGCGAGTTCATCAATGCCCGGTCACAGTTCTGTCGCTTGATCATCGAGATCATCTCGGGTGTGGCCTTGCCAGCATCCTTCAAACGAGCCACTTGCACAGCCGCCAGATTTCCATAAGCCGCATCGGTCGCCGCATCAGTCAGCTTCTTCTGAATCAACTGGTACTTGGCAAGCGGGTTCCCCTTGAATTGCTTACGCTCCAGGCTGTATTCCCGAGCTCGAGCGATGCAGTCTTCTAGGGCGCCCATGCTTCCAAAAGCAATTCCCAATCGTGCGCTATTCAGGCATGTAAATGGGCCCTTGAGGCCCTCGACCTCGGGGAACATGTTCTCAACTCCAACAGGGCAATCGTCCATCTGAATCATACCCGTGATTGAGGCACGCAGTCCCGTCTTATTCTTGAGAGCGGGCGTCTCGAACGTGCCGGGCGGGCACTTGGAGCGCTCAACAACAAATCCACGGATCTTCCCCGTCGATTCCAACTTAGCCCAGACAAGAGCAAGGTCCGCAATGGGCGAGTTTGTGATCCAGGTCTTGCTGCCTGTGAGAAGGTACACTCCCTTCTGGGTTGGGTGCTCCCGAGCAACGGTTTCCATTGAGCCCGGGTCAGAGCCGTGATTGGGCTCAGTCAGACCAAAACACCCAGACAGCTTACCAGAAGCCAGGCCTGGAAGCAGACGCTCCTTCAGCTCTTCACTGCCAAACTCGTAGATACCCGTCATGGCCAGCGAGCTCTGCACCGACATTCCCGACCGGTATCCGCTGTCCACTCGCTCCACTTCCTTGGTGATGAGCCCTGATGCCACGGTGCTTACGCCAGCGCAGCCGTAGCCTTCAATCGAAGCGCCAAGGAGGCCTAGCTCGCCCATTTCTTCCAAGATCCGGCGGTCATAGTCTTCGTTGCGATAGGCCTCTGTTGGGGGAGAGTGTAAGTAAGATACTGTTCACCAGGACAATGCGAGGCACCGTACCTAAGACTCGTGGTAGTAATCTGTCTTGACAATATTGTCGAGCTGTTTCTTGGATCGCCAATTCTTCCGGTGTGAGGAGTTCTGCAGTGACGAGAGGATCCTCCCAGTTGAACACCGCGGAGGAGGCGTACCTCCGACCCGCAGATGGGGAACCAGCCTTCAAGGACCGCGCAGCAGCCCGAAGTAGTGAGCGATTCATCATTACGGACAAAGACAGGAACTTTTGCGTGAGAACAGGCGAAAGAACGGTATGAGGGAGAAGAGGCCAGTTGCGGGGGAAGCTTCGCATCAAATATGCGCTAGTGACGGCGAACCTCGGCACTACTGGTTCACAGACTTCCGAGAAGAAGGGATACGCTCTACATTTACATCAGGTCTCCACGCCGAATAATATCCTGTAACCTCGGGATAAGAACATTGTACAATGAGTCTAGAAGGCACTCTCGGTCCGATTTGTACATGCTACCACTTGGGTCGGTGTTTCTCGGCGTTAGTCGGGGGCTCTGACCCGTCCCGGGAGATAAGCGTGGGGCGAAACGGTCATATATTCTCGTCTTCATTATTCTAATGCTCTAAAATCCAAGTAATTTTCTCTTATATTCACAATAGGAGCTGGTACAAAGTCCAAGCAAGCAGATGATGGGCACGGGTATTCAAAATGTACAAGGTGACAAGGTGACAGGGGAGCACATTAGCTTTAGGGATGGAGTGACGTAATTACGCCGGCATTTGGCTCTGCAAGAAGTCGAACACTCCTGTAGGGAAGTAGTCCTCGTCGAACCCCCCATAGATCTGCCATCATGGGATCCATCGACCCTTCTGACAGCCCCGGCTCGGTTTTGCCTGTCATGGCAGGCTGAAGGCTAGCACTGCTACTTCGTTCGGCGGATAGTGGAGCCACGCCTAGCAGGGGAGGAGGGTGGCCAAGAATGGTGTCCCGTTCTCCTAAGATCTGAGCGCCGGGGATGATGACTGGCTTGAAGATTGATGCGGTGTCTGACGGATAGGGGCCCGTGAATGATTGACTGCCGTTTCGCCTCTCCCATTCTTCGAGGCCAGTCAGCATCTTCTGTAGACCCCTTGCAATATGATGACTCAAATGACGTTCACTGGCTCTCCGGCTGCATGAGATCATCAGGTCGATAACACGGCCAACCAGGGCTCGCACTTGGCCAATATCTACCAGTAAGTCTGCGGATGCGATAGAGTTCCGTTGGCTCTGTCCTCCGCTATTGGTGCTGGAACACGCTTTAGCGGCAAGCTTCATGAGGAAAACAGCTGCGAAAGTGATCATGCTGTGTAGATACAAGGGCACTCCGACCAAAGCCCGCTGCATGTCTTTCTCATCGAGCACAACCTGGAGAGTAGCGATAGCCGATTCAATCGCGAGATTGGCAAGCTTCCTTCGCTCGGAAGACATGAGTCTGGAAGAAGTCGATGAGTGATATGTACGCAGCGCAACTGAATGCAACTGCAGCCGAGAGAAATGGTAATGCATGTAGACGCCCTGGTAGGGGTACGATCCGATGTGCCGATTACCAACTGTGGGAGCTCAGTCAGGGGGAACGAGATGGCCAGAATCACAAACACACTGACCTAAGCGAGGTAACCATGCCGATTTCCAATCATTCAATTCCATATCAAATTGCTCAATCTTGGGGAACTCGCTCTCGGAGACTTCGAGATCGACGTCGGGACCAAATGCAAAATATATACGAGTAAGAATTATGAACAAGTCAACTTGACTATGCAATCGAAGGTCACCTTGTGATACCGATGGAAGTCGGGTAAAGGTATTATGTTGAGTGATACTGGCATCTTCGTGAATAATGGGTGGTCGTCCGTATGCAATGGAGAAATGATGCTCCAAAGTCTATCAAGAGTCAGTACCATAAACAGAGGAAGCCCGGCTGATTAGCATACGTATAGGAGATACCACAGTCTGGCCTGTTCTTGATGTTCTGCGGAGCCCTGCGCAGCCTTGCGATAGAACTGGTGCAGATTACGTTCGGTTGCTATACGGACAGCATAACCAGAAAGCTTCCAGCTCACATCAGCTAACCAAAATGCTCCGATACAAACCGCCCGTATGTCATCTAGTGTGTGGTGGTGACCAAGCATTGACTCCGATGCTAGTTTTGCGAACTCGGTATAACAGGTGTCGAAGGTGCGCTCTTTATTGGGCATATGAAGCGCCGTTACAGCTAGAATGGCCGCCGATAGCATAGAAGACGATCGTCGAACAGAAGCCAAGTCTTTATGGGCCAATAGCGCTCCGTCCCAGAGATAGCGATTTAACACAACATCGAAGTGATAGAATAACTCTTCAGCTTCCTGTAACTCCACTACTCCTCGGGATATAAAATCCGTTACTAGAGCTTGGTCAGGGGCGTAAAGATTGCCAGGTGAGCTCCCACGGTTCTCGCTCAGTTGTGTCACCTCATACAAACTTCCCATTGGGGCTGTGACCAGTGATGTAGCCGGGGTCTCACGATCAATAGAATACTGCTGCTGTGGCTGAGATAACCCATAGGTTGAGGCGCTAGACCCGGTAGCTGAACCAGCTGGAGTTTCTGTTGATTCATTCCCTTGTGCTTTCCAAGACCAAATCGTACTCCATCCACTGACACAGAGGACTCTTTCCGGACATGCTTTTGGAACGGCGTTTCTATGATTGATCCGCCTGCTTGGTAGTATGATAGCTCCGGTAGTTGAGCCTTTCTGAGCAGGTCTGTCATAGCAAGCTCGATCACATTCTTCCAGCTTAATTGGAGAAATCTGATTAGCGTTTGATTGAAGTAATGCGCCAAATATGGAGCGCTGCGCAAGTGTATCAGCCACAAGGAAGCAATTCAACTTACTCGGCCTCGTCCTCGAGTAATGTCTGCAGACTTTTGTTGACGACACATTCCAACCCCATCCGTCGACATCGCGAGCACGTCGACTCACCTGTCTTCATGTCGCAGCGCACTTTATGCCGCTTACATTCGGTGCATGCACGTATTCGCCGTGAGATCTTCGGGACATGCTGCTGAGCCCGAGGATTGTCGTCCGGAGAGAAGCCGCCTTGCGGAGACACAGACGAAGAATCGCCATTAGCCTCAAACTGAATGCGACTCCGCTTCATACTGACATAACGGACTCACGCTCTGCATGGCGAGTCCGGGGAAGAAAGAGCGGGGTTGGGGGTCTCGACCGGAAGATATATTAAGCCTGAGGCATCAGCCAGTCTATCGGTGCCGGTCACCTGACTTTAATAACGCTATTCCCAATTCAGGACTAAGTGATGCGGCGCGTGTGCATACCGCGAAAGACGCGCCAACTACTCCGTCACGCCGAGAACCACCGTTTTTCGAGCTTGCCCAGTTCGCACCATCCAGGCTTCTGGTCTTTGTATCAATTTGAAGCCTACACCTTGCCCACAATGGGTATTAAACGTGGGTACGCTACTGAATTCATGATGAGTCGAAGCTTAACCGCCAATAGACCTTTACCAAGTGATCTCCGAAAATGCCCCCGATGCGATCAAGACTGGGGAGATCAAGAACCATTTCGGCCGCAAGGTCGCAATTGTACGTCCACACCTAATGATATTCTACATACCAGACCTGCTAATCATTTCCCTAATATATAGGATGCGTACGTCCACTGAAGCTTACTGGGCCTCCATGCCAGTTTCGCGCTAATCCGGCACAGATCCATGAGCATCTACAGTTTCCTCATCGCCGTGCGGTCCGACGGCCAGCAGCTCGCGACCGAAACCGGTGAAACGACCTCACATTTGATGGGTATGTTCTACCGAACACTGCGCATGGTCGATAACGGCATCAAGCCTCTCTACGTATTCGACGGTGCTCCGCCTAAATTAAAGTCCGGAGAGCTAGCAAAGCGTCGCGCACGAAACGCTGAAGCCACAGAGGCTCATGAAGAGGCCAAAGAAACTGGAACGGCCGAGGATGTTGAGAAGTTTTCGCGACGAACCGTGCGGGTCACTCGTGAGCACAACGCCGAGTGCAAAAAGCTGCTGACCTTGATGGGTATTCCATATATCGATGCTCCTACTGAGGCCGAAGCACAATGTGCCGTTTTGGCGCGTGCGGGTAAAGTCTACGCTGCTGCGTCTGAGGATATGGATACCCTATGCTTCGAGTCGCCGATTCTGCTGCGCCATTTGACATTCAGCGAGCAGCGCAAGGAGCCGATCCAGGAAATCCACCTGGACAAGGCATTGGAGGGTCTGGACATGGACCGCAACCAGGTAGGGCCCTCAGGACTATACTTGTGTCCTGTTATATATGAAGACCGATCAGAGCTAACTATCGCTTTACTGCAGTTCATCGACCTCTGCATCCTCCTCGGCTGTGACTACCTCGAACCGATTCCCAAAGTGGGCCCTTCGACCGCTCTCAACTTGATCCGCGAACACAAGAGCCTGGAGAAAGTAGTGGAGTACATGCAGAATGACCCGAAGAAGAAATTCGCCATCCCGGATGACTGGCCATACCAGGATGCGCGTGACCTCTTCACTGCTCCTGACGTTCTTGCTGCAGACCACCCTGACTGTGACTTCAAGTGGGATGCTCCCAACGTAGATGGCTTGATTGAATATCTTGTTAGTGACAAGGGATTCAATGAGGATCGCGTCCGCAACGGGGCCGCGCGCCTCCAGAAGAACTTGAAGAGCGCACAACAGTCGCGACTGGAGGGTTTCTTCAAGCCCGTTGCACGCACCGATGATGAGAAGGCCAGTCTAAAGCGAAAGCACGACCAGAAGATCCAGGATCAGAAGAAAAAGAAGAAGGAAGATGCTAAGTCGAAGAAGGAAGCCAAGGCCAAGCCGCGTGCTGCGGGTTGATTGTCTTGCGCCCGCATAGTTGGGCTGCGAACGAGGATCACCATTAAAATAAAATCTCGATAGTTCGGTCTCGCTTCTATTCCTTCTGAAAGGTTATCTTCCCATCATACTCGCAGGGCGGCGCCGTTGTTCGGCATTTGTGCTCCCTTCGCGGGTTTGCTTGCTTTCTTCCGTCCAAGTGGGTACAAAGCCTACAACTCAATCTCCGAGCCACGAGTTGAATTATGCATTACCAGGTCTGACCAAGGCTGAAAGCAATTTGAATCGATCATGAATAAGCTGTTTAATGGTCCCCAAGCTGATTCTAGGATTTTCCTTGTCCAGCGCATTTAAGATCAGGATATTATCAAGTGATCCATATACACGAAGCTTTGCGTTTCCCCCTGATCTCTTCTTCATGCAGCCAGTAATGTTTCTCAAACTTCCTCTAAGGTGAACTTGTTTGACTTTACATCAGCCAATGTAAATCTGAAAAGGCTGGGAGGGCTTGGGGGTGGCCAATCTAACGAGATTAGGTTGGGTAACTCTGCAAAAATGGGTGCCGGGGCTTAGCGAGATGGTGATCGGGTAGAGAAGAGCAACCACGAGTGATCTCCACCTGGGGACATGACGTCCAGTAAAAAATGGAATAGAAATGATGCATTAGGCTTTATTCTTCTATGCCCGCAAATCTTTCGAGGATATATAAGCGAGGGGGCGTGGGATCACGATTATGCTGCATATGTCATGGTTCCATGTAGTCGCAAGGCTGCAAGATCAGTCGCTCTGATCTTAACTTCCTCACCCGTGTAGGCTCATCAAATAATACAAATAACATACAATCGCAGTGGCAGCTACTTTTGCTTTAGGCATTCAGGCTTCCGTAGTCTGATTTATCGCTTCGTTCGCAAAGCGGTCTTTGTACCAAGGTGAAGTCACTATCCGGATCAGGATAGAAGCATCAGACGCGCCCGCTCCAAACCCCCGTCTTCAAGGGAGATATGGATCGTTGAGTAAAAATCTCTAGCAGATATTGATTTACTTGTAGCTTAAATATTCATCTGGACCGTTACTTCAGTCAACGGATTAAGTGTCCGCCTCATTCGTGCGCCGACCGTGGTGAAATATATCTGGGCGCCCCTCACCAAGTCACGTACCCATTTCCATCACAAGAACTACAAGGCTTCGACCACGGCAATATAGATTTACTAGGTTTGATCTTGATAAATCCAGAGCTCCCATTGATAATCAATAGCCTCGCCAGTACTATAGACTTGCATGTACAACGCACTGCCAGCCTGGCTGCCGTCGTAGGTCCAGTATCCCTCGAATTATTGGCCTCGGGTCCAGCAATGATGGTGCCAAGTTAGGGTTAGCAGAACACGCGGAGAATGCGGCGCCTCAAGATCATACAAGCTACGAGGTCAGCCACGCACACCGATAACCAAAATCAAGTCAAGACATCATCGAGTCCAGGCCGCGTACCATGGACCCAAAGTTCGGCAAGGTGGCGCATGACAACACACTCCCTCGTGACCCTGCAGGCCCTCTAGGCACTCAGCAAGGAGCCGAAAGCTTAGAGTAGAAATTGTCCGGTGCATAGCGATTATATCTGATATTCTTGATTATCCCATGGTACTCTGGAGAGGTACTATGCTCTCATTCCAAGGATCGTACCGTTCGCAGCAGCCTGGATTAAAGTTGCAGCGCGCGAAGAGTAGGAGGACGTAGATCAAATTCCATACCCCAGCTCGCCGGTCTAAAGAAGCAAGAATTGGGGGTGATCTCTCCGGTCGCGCTGGAATGTCCCCCGAATCAAAACGAAATGTTCTCCGGAGAAGCCGTACGAGCATTAGCAGTAGATGAGAGGGATACACGCGGAACGTGTTAGTCGTAAGAGGTGCTTTAGTTTCCCCTCTTGCCAAGTGCGCGATTTCTTCGAAACATGCTGTCCCAACCTGGAGGTTTGACATTGGACTGTTATATGCGCGATATCGAGTAGTCTACAGACTACACAGGGCGGGGAATGGATGGACCTCCCCGGCCATCTGAGGGAATGCGCGCGGCCAACTATTCCTCTTGGACAGATCGAAACGCGCTGAAGAGATGGGGTGTGGCAAGTAGGATACAGGCGGAGATGGTCACGCAGAAGAGGGAAAGGGGAACCTACCGTGAAGATAAAGACAGCCAGACAACCAAGGTAACCTTATGATGAACGGGAAAGGCGATCACAGAATTGTAGCCAGAAAAGACCCAAGCGAATTAGGATTTTCCTTAGCCGGAGGTGATCTTGTGTCAACACCAGCCGCGCCTATAAATCGCGGATGCCCCGCCGGCCCTTTCCCACCCCTTCTGTTGCTCTTTTTTTCTTTCGACTAATTCGCTCGCCCTCGCCCAGTCTCTCGATCCAGATCATTCGATCTTCCAACCAGTCAAATATAACCTCAGTTTATTTTCCCTCCCATCTCATCAACATGCCCCCCAAGAAGGCCACCGGCGCGTCCAAGAAGGCCGCTGCCGCTCCTCACACCTCTTACCGCGGTATGTATTCTTTGATCCTGAACCCCCACAACATCGCGTAAAAATAAAAGTGGTACTATCTGCGTCGCGAACGTCTGCTGATTCCACCGATATAGATATGATCAAGGATGCCATTGTGAACGTGAGTAGATCACTGTCGCCCCCGGCGTGTTGTGATGGCGGGCCGCGCGCCCGACCGTGACACGTCTTGCCCGTTGGGCATCGTCAACCACCACATCAAGTGGGCTGATGATCTTCGTTTTGGGGACTTTGCTGACTGGTGCGTCCATCTATAGCTGAAAGAGCGCAATGGTAGCAGGTATGTGAAGAGTGGCTCCCCATCTCGTCGCCGCGACTTCCTCTCTGGTCGCGCTTCGGTCGTGCGACAGTGGACTGACTTCCATCTTCCAAATTCAGCCGACAGGCGATCAAGAAGTATGTTCAAAGCAACAACAAGATCACCTACGCGTCGCAGAGCGCATTTGATGCTCAGTTCAACAAGGCCATCAAGGCCGGTGTTGACAAGAACGAGTTCACTCAGCCCAAGGGTAAGTTTTGATGCCATTCGCCCTTGCTGCGCAACGCCATGTCTTGATTCCCATTTCTCTTGGGACTTGGGTGCACTTCGCTTTCCACGTTATGAATTCCATTGATTTGTTATGGTTCACTGACGCGTCGATCTCTAGGCCCCTCGGGACCCGTGAAGCTGGCTAAGAAGGAGGCTGCCCCCAAGCCTGCTGCTAAGCCCGCTGCTAAGGCCACCACCAAGGCTGCTGCTCCCAAGGCTGCCCCTAAGGTATGCATCTCTCAAAATCCTTTCGGTTGACGCCTCACTCACAGTTCATACAGAAGGCCACTGCCACCAAGGCCGCCGCGAAGAAGGCCGCGCCTAAGAAGACTGCCACCAAGGCTGCTAAGCCCGCTGCCAAGAAGGCCACTGCTACCAAGAAGACTGCTGCTAAGCCCAAGGCCAACTCTGGCAAGGCCCGCAAGACCAAGGCTCCTACTGCCGTATGTTGAACGCTGTACTTTTCGTCGCCAGTTCTCCCGACTAACATATCGCCCAGGCCCCTGCTATCGTGGAGCAGCCCAAGGTCATCAGCACGACCAAGTCTGGTCGTGTCACTAAGACCACGGCACCACCTGCCAAGCCAGCCGTGAAGAAGCGTACGACCAAGAAATAAGAGGGCCTTGCCAACCTCTTTTGACTTGGTGATGTCCTCTCATTTTACGTGCGCTCTTCTCGGGAGGGCAACCCAAGCGCACCTTTTTGCTTTTGTCTTTTCTCTTCCGATGTAATTTCTTTCCTCCTCACCCTGTGGACTGGTCACTGATGGCTCCTTTGTCGAATTGCTTTTGGGATATCTTTGTTATGATGGTTTTGTCTTGTGTTTCCTTATTATCGGGGGGATGGCGTACTGCGGCGGGTTCTCACTGGGGAAATTGTTTCGTTCTTCGTTTTTTTTTTTCATCCTTTTGGATCTTCTAGCGACCCTTAATCGGAATTGGAATATCCTATGATCAGATTGTGTCCCGAGAGCTTTCCCCGCCTCTAGGCCTGTAGAATGCGCGATTTTAATTGGCAGAGGATATGAGATAACGTTATCAGAACGTTACGTCGGGAATGTGATCAGTCGTGATGAGACAGAACTGTCGCTTGTATGCTACGACGGCTTTCTGAGGCAGGACATTAATATCATGGTTGCGGTCTTTCCTGGTCCATATGATACAAATTAGTCTCATTGCCTTATAATCGCCTTTGATGCTTCTGATGCTTTTTGGAATGTGCGCTTGTCTTAAGGATATTGTCATTCCACTCCTCATAGCCAGCTATGATGGAAAGATAACATGACTGACACAGTGCAGCTTGGCCCGGAGACAACAATGACTCGCTTATACTGCGTAGGTTCATGTATTCGGGAGGCCGATATGGGTTCGGGGTGGAGCCGGTTATTTTTGGAACATCTCGGATCGAGGGCACCCAGGGCTCAGGAAACAGACCGGACGGTCCCTACCCAGACGAGCATGGGCGTCGCATCAATAGATCTTTTGGAGCACCACGTGAAAGGCGTTGCAAGCGTTGCCGGGTCTCCCGGACTCCATGGGGATCGGGTCAAGGACATCCGCCCCCACTAGGAGGACCCGGGCGCTGTATACAGAGTACGAGAGGGTTTCAATCTCAAGGACATCGGGCTTCTATGCATGGAGCGGTCTAGCAGCGCGGGTGCTCGCATTCTAAGGCCTAGTACGTGCGACGTCACTTAGTTCTCCTCCTTGCAGAGAGGGGTCACCAATCGACCGGGCCCGTGTCCGGTGCGCAGCCTTTCACTCCATGGACAGCCCGGTTTTTTCTGGCGGAAGCGCTCGATCGAAAATTGAGGATCTGGCGATACGAGGCTCAACGGTTAGGTCCAAGGAGTTGACGATAATTTAGATGATATTGTAGTTGAAGAGATCCTACGAGTCTGCTCGATGTTTATGTGACGAATGACTCTTATAGTACGGAGTGAATGCGCACGTATTGGCGGAGCTGAACGGTGGAGTCCGGGAGTAAGAAAACCCTTGAAGGGCGAGTCGTGTATACTGGAAGTGCGCTCCGTACTATACTGCGTACAGTAATTAACACTTCAGTCTTCCAACCCGGTTCGCCCCTCGGAATTCTTGCGATCTCTAAATCCCCCATCTCAACATCCTCTTCCTCCCTTACTCCCAATTCCCCAACTCCCAACTTCTGGATGAATATGGGTGCCTGGTCATGTTGATCGGCTGAAACTTCCCGGCTCCGATCCTGCCAGGTCTTGCGCTAGAAGCCACCGAGAAAACGTCGAAACCCATCAACACAACTCGTTCCCACCCCCCCCCTGACCACGGCCCTCTCCCTTTCCCCTCGATTTCCTCGGTCTTGAACACTGGAAAGCGGTCCGGTTCTTAACCTTGCTGGCTCTCTCTACACCAATAAGGGTCACTGCCATCAGAACGGGTTACCGGTCCACGCAGACCTCACGTCACCTCCCGTGTCCCTCGAGTGGCCATGCCGTCTATTTCCAACGACGCCTACCAGACGGCGACGGCTACCACCACTACCACCTCCCATAATCGCTCCTTCGATTCGCCCCGCAAGTCGCACGACAAGAATTCTGTCGGCAACGCCTTCCTGTGGACTAACTGGCCCAACGGCGACGCGTACCCTGACCAACAGAATGACCGGCAATTGCTCACAAACCTCAAGAACGGCAGTGCCTACTCTCTGAATGGCCCTCGATCGAGTATCGGCTCTTACACTCGTGAACAGCCGCCGAACAAGGACGCCAGCATGCAGTCGGTAAGCAATGGCTCTGTCAGAGACCGAGATGGCGTCCGGCCGTCAGCCACCTTGGACCGGAAATCATCGGACACCGGGCCTTTAGCAAGCTCTGCGCCAGCGTCGATGTCTATCCAAACCATTAATGGCACTGCGCCCAGCGCGACGTGGTCCTACCTGCCGCCCGCCCAGGGCAAATTGGGCTCAAACGGGGACCCTCGCCGTCCCTCCGCCGATGAGCCTTCCGTCTCGGAACAACCCATTAGCCCATCTGCCTCTTTATTACAGATCCCACACGCCGATGAAAATGGCCGCCACTCCCCCGACGCCGATCGATTGGGTTCGGGTCCAAGACCCAGCCACCATCGCTATTCTTCACCCCCCGCACCTTCCCTCACCGACGCCAACTCAATGCATGAATCCCAGCCCTCTAGCATGCGACATAGGCACTCGCTTCAAGTCCCGCGGGCGAACAGCGGTCGCCGTAATAGCCGAGATCAACCGGAAGATGCCGCCTACGCCAGCGGCCGATATTCCCCGACCACTGCTGGACCTCGACGAACGTCCTTTGGCATGGGGCGCCGGAACAAGTCTTATCCAGAGCCACCGGATGATGTGACACCGGATGAAGAAGCCGCGCGTTGGGCTGAGGCTATCAAACAGAAACGTGCCTCGCGGCGGCGACGCGAGGACGAGGATGACGAAAGGGTCATTGTGGGCACCAAAGTTGACCAAAATCATGTCAATTATGTCACTGCGTATAATATGTTGACGGGTATCCGTTTCACGGTGTCTCGTATCAACGCCAAGATGGATCGGGAGTTGACACAGGCCGACTTTGAGGCGAAGCACAAATTCTCCTTTGATATGTATGAGGACCACCTCCTGTTTATTCCACCACGAGCACTCCACTGACTTGACACAGCACTGGGAACGAACTGATCCCCTCCGCGAAATACGACTTCAAATTTAAGGATTATGCGCCCTGGGTTTTCCGACACCTGCGAGCCAAGTTCCGCCTTGATCCTGCCGATTATCTCATGTCCCTGACTAGCAAATACATCTTGTCTGAGCTGGGATCACCGGGAAAAAGTGGAAGCTTCTTCTACTTCTCTCGTGACTACAAGTATATCATCAAAACAATCCACCACTCCGAGCATAAGCTCCTCCGGAAAATACTTCCTGAGTACTATCGCCATGTGGAGAAGAACCCGAACACCTTGATCTCGCAATTTTACGGCTTACACCGCGTGAAAATGGCCTACGGTCGCAAGATTCACTTCGTTGTGATGAATAATCTGTTCCCACCCACCGAGACATCCACGAAACATTCGATCTGAAGGGATCTACGATTGGACGGGACCTCCAAGAATCTGACCTGGAAAGGAATCCCCGTGCGACTATGAAGGATCTCAATTGGGTTCGGCGGAACCGAGCTCTGCAATGCGGCCCTGAAAAACGAACCTTCTTCATAGAGCAACTGAAAAGAGACGTTGCGTTGCTCAAGAGACTTAAGATCATGGATTATTCACTGTTAGTGGGGATTCATGATCTGGAGCGAGGCAATGAAGAGAAATTAAGAGATAAAACTCTTCAGGTGTTCCAACCTGGTGGAAACCGTGAGGAGGAGTCAAGCACCAACGTGCTCACACGCACCCCCTCCAAGTTGGAGAATGAGCGTAAAGCTCGGGAGCTTCGCATGCTGATCAAGAAAGAGCGCCCGGTCCCACTAGACAAGGCAGCTTCTAAGATGCCTGAGGAGATCCTCGATGAACGGAAATTCCATGTCTTCTATGCAGATGATGGAGGCTTCCGAGCTACTCACGAAAATGGGCAACTGGGCGAAGAGATTTACTACTTGGGAATCATTGACTGCTTGACTCACGTAAGGACCCGGCATGAACTCTTTTTTTAACTCCCACAAACTAATACATCAGAACAGTACGGCACAGTCAAAAAGCTCGAGAACTTCTTCAAGGGCCTCTCGAATGATCGAACTCAGATTTCGCCCGTCCCGCCTGAAAGTTACGGTGACCGATTCATCAATTTTATTAAAGGCATCACTATGTCGAAGGAAGAAGCCGAGCGGAAAAGAGAAGTCCCAGCATCTGCCACTGAAGAAAGCGAGAAAAGGCGGTCGAGATCTCCATCAGTCGACCGCACCATGCATGCAGCGGAGGCCGAGGCATCCAAAGACGTTTCTATCACACATCCCAGAACACTGGCCACTGTGTGGGATCCTGCGGATGCTGCCGGCCCAGGTCCAACTTCAACCCTTCCCATTGTGGATGAAGCAGGTGAAGGAAGCAGTGTCGGCGGCCATAGCTCACATGGTCGCTCCGCTCCTGAAAAGGAAATGTCTACTATCCCAGGTGAAAGGTCTCCCGGCAAAGGCAAGGGACCCGACCGATAACTGCCTCCAAATCACCCTCCCTTCACTGCTGTCCCGAAGGCCTGACTGCGATGGGCAATCTGCCTGTTTCTTGGGCCCTCTGGGCTGTCTTGTTTTTTCTGTTTTTGCCTTTGCTTCCTTCCTCGTGTTGTATTCAGCGGGATATTCTCTTTTTTAATAGACCACCTGTTTCCATCCAATCCTCGGACAAAGACATGGTTCGAAGAAGGCTTGGCTTGTGTTTGCTATCCTCACCTCCTTTGGCCCATATTGCTGATGTTCACGAGTAACGTGCATATCTCTATTGTGGTTGTGTTTCTGGTTTCGAGTTGCTCTCTGAGTTGTCCTTGGGATGACTCTGCTGTTTTCCGCCTGGGAACGAAATCCCAACCACCGATCTCCGGTCCATCATGAGCGTCGACTTCCGCTCCTATCTCTTTACGATCAAATCTGCATCCCCAAACGAACTTTGCTACCGTTGATAGACCGATCCGACCTGGTCCAACATTCATCGACATTCCCCTATACTCTTTTGATATCCAGCCACCGGCCTCGTGGCCCTTCTCTATTTTCATTTTGTCATCAGATCTCATCTTTTCTCTTTCTGTTTTTGCAGCGACGTTACTATCCTGCGCCACTGTCATTAGAACGCCTGTTTAACTTGATTCTTCCAGCCTATCACCCACTCTCGCAACCCGAAGTGAGGATGCTGACTCTGGAAAGAAACTCCCCAGGCACCAGGGTGTTAGCACCATCCTGGCATTCCCGAATCCTCGGCATTTTCTTATTTCCTATCATTTTAACACTTTCTTTCCTTTTCCTTGTCCACTTTGCGTATTCTCTCAGAGTTTCTGCGTGTTTTCTGCGTGTCGAACCATACCCTGTACCAATCACTATACCACTTGTCTCACCTATCTCGATGACGTTGTCTTGTACCACAAATCAAACTAGCAGTGCCAACATGGGAACATACTGAATCCTTCTCAAAATTCCTTGCGTTTCAGCTTGTTCTGCTTAATGGTAGGCTCTGTGGGCGCTGTAAGGGTGCTTGTGTACGGTCAAGATACTTTTGATCGCATTTCCGAATTTCTGCGGTGGTAACACGCCAACTTACTACTGCGTAAGACTATACGAGTGGTATTTCCCCAGGCTAGAGATATAATGATGAATCTTAGATGCTGGAGGTTGTCTTCAATTTACATTTCAAAAGTAACTTTCGAAAAGATCCCTAGTTGATCTCGCGTATAATCAACACGGAGAAGGCAACACCATAAGACTATGGAGAGCCAGCTCCCCTGGTCTCAAAGAAGTAGATATAGAAGAAAATGGAAAAGTCTGCAAGAAAAGCGATTGCATTCATTGCACCTAACCTCCATGGAGGACTAGGGAATCATTAAGACTGCTGGTTCCGGGACTTGAAATGCCCCCAAGGAAAGAAACGTAACGCCTGGCGCCTGGAACACCGACCCCTGTGTATGAAAACAGCCCCTCATAACTGCCTTTTGAAAACATAGAAGCATTGCGGGAAAACAGAAGCCCAGGGAAGAAAGAGACGCGTTTCTTATCTCTCTAGTACAAGTATTGCGGGGAGAACTGAGGACAGAAGAAGCCTACTCAGATCGGCCCTGGGTCACCTTGGCGGCTTGGACAGCGGACATCTTCTGCAGCCAGCCTTGGGTGGGCTGGGGCTTCTTCACTGTACGAAGATCATCGGTGGAGAAACCCAGAGATACGCATGTTGTAGTTGCGCTCCAGGACAAGTTGGATATCGCGGATGTCCAAGGTCGAAGAGGGGCGCAGCTTGGCGAGGCGGCAGGCTTGGGTGATCACATCGTCAACAAAGTCGTCGGCCATCTGGAGGACAAACTGTGATTGGGCAAGTTAGATTGAGGTTGCAAAAAAATAGGGCTTGGAAAGCGGCATAGTGGGGTCAGATATATGCAGCAAGGGAAGTGAGGGATCATGGGGGGGATTAGATGCTTTTACCTCTTCGGCATCGGGAGTCAACATCTCTCCTTCACCACCACCGGTGACTTGGCGAACAAGGATGTCAAGCATTTTCTTGCTGAGCACATGTTGGCCTTCGCCTTCAAGAACATATCCAGGGTGCTTCTGGATGGCGGGCTGGCCCATCATACCCATGGCACCGTGGCTGGGGCCACCAGAAAGTGTGGGACGTGCAGCAGACATTGGAACTGGCTCGGGGGTGGAAACGTTGAGTTTGGTGGGGATGGCCATGTTGATTTGACGCGTGGAAGTTTCTGTTGGCCTATTGGCAAGATAACCCGTTGGATGACCGCTTTGACCGTTTGCACCCTGATTCACGCCCTGAGGCTGCTGTTGATTTTGGTTCGTATTGTAGTTTGCAGCTTGGGCCATAGCCGCCTGCTGGGACAGTGGACGTGGTGGGCCCTGATTCATGGCTTGGGTAGTAGGTGTGGCCGCTGACCCATCTGCAGTGGGGGTTTGATTGAAGGTGGCCTGTGCCCCCTGGGGTTCCTTGCTGTGATGGCGGCTGGGGTCGAGTAGGTGGTTGCGCGTTTACTGCTGCAGGTGTTGCCCCGGTAGACTGAGGGGCAGCTGGTTGGCCGGGCTGGGATGTCGAGGGTGACATCGCAGTCTGTCCAGCTTGATTGCGAGCCGCATTGACAGCGGAATTAATGGTATGAGGTGCTGGAGTGGGCGCATTTGCCATACTTGCAGAAGCCCCTCCTGCAGCCTGGTTATTTCCTTGAGCTGCACCTCCTGCTGCAGGTCCAGATGCTGTTGTTTGAGCCGGGTTTGCATTTGCGTTCTGCGCTGGCTGGGCCATCTGAGAAGTCTGCTGTCCCTGGGCTTTGAAGGTTTCCTGCTGATCCTTGAACTTATTTAGGAAATCGCTACCCTCTCTGAAGAGCTTTTCGGCAGCCATCTGCCGATTCTTGAATTCCGTCACCTCCTCCTGTGACATACCTCCCTGGGATTGCCGTTGCGAAAACTGCTGACGAAGGTCCGCAATTCGGGCCCGCCCGACTTCCTGCTTCTGCAACGCGATACCATATCGCAACCGGGCCTCCGGGATCCACGACTGAATCTGTTCTGGTGTGACATTCGGAGGAAGGAAGAAGTTGAGACCCTGGACTTTTTGCTGGATCTGGGGCAACAGTTGGGTGAGGTTCTGGGGGTTGTTCGACTGGGTTCGTTGAACTGGCGGACCCTGGGCTTGTGCCTGGACTTGCTGCTGTTGGGCTTGCTGCTGCTGCGCTTGCTGTTGCTGAAGCGCTTGTTGACGGCTTTGCTGGAAGAGCCGCATTCCTTTCATGAGGTTTTGCGACAGTTGTGACAGTTTCATGTGCGCTGTCGAGTACTCAGTACTCTGGGGATCGCGGTTGTTCAGGGCCTCCCACAGGCTACGCACTAGCTGGGTATGTTGGCTCTTCTGTTGCTCGGTAGATGCGGCAGTTTCTGTACTTGATCTGTTCGAATCAAGTTGGAGTGCTGCTGAGGCGGCACCATGGGCTGCGCTGCCTGGCCCTGCGACCCATCCATATTGCTTTTTGACCGTGAAGACGTAGGGAATCTCGGGGCAGATGAGTCTGAGCCGGCGGAGTTCAGGGCGGACAATCAAAGTCTCTGCGGGCAATCCAATGGTCCGGGTATGGAAGGCTCCTCGAGGTTGTGACCTTGAACGGATGGCCTTTGATCGAAGAGGGTGGGTGAGATCGAAGCCGGCGCGGAGTCAAGGGGAGGTTGAAAGTCTTGGCGCTCGGGCGGCCTGGGTTATTGCGCATTTAAGCCAACCTTGAAGGACTGATTATTTCATTCGATAAAGACAGAAATGATTGGCCATACCGAAAATGGGATAATCGAGCTGCTTGTAAAGATAATCTCTATTTCGGGGGGTTCCTCTGGTGGCCTAGGGGTGTTTTTGCAGTGAACATGTTAAATGATACTTTGACGATGTTGGTACTATATACTAGTACTCCCAACGTTCGAGATATTAATACTTAATCCTAGCACTGAAATATATTACGATCAAATATGCCTTTTTGAGCTACCGAAGTTGGCACCAACCGTCCGCTTAATGGAAAGAGGTATAACTGCGTGGATGGTAGAAGAGCTTGAAGCTGCGCGTATAAAACCCACCCATACCATCTAGGGTTAATGCACACGAAGGCAGTATCTAATCAGCTGCGACAATAGATGTAACAGCCTGTGGACTGGACAAGAAATATCACTAATAGTAATCGACCCATGGATATAGTGTGTTATATGGGAAAAGGCCTTTCGAAATTGGGCTAGTTTTACCCTGCTTTCTGACAGGAGGCTGCTGTGCCTCAGAATTTATGAATTTTTCTAATCTCAATACCAGGAGCATCGTAAGGAGCCATGATTTATAGTCCGTGTGTTGTGTTCACAAGGAGCTGCTCTGTCATCGGTATGGAAGACCACGGTCATTTCAGTAAATGCAGTGCCGGGTCTTAGCAATGGAGATGCAGTGATGTAGTCTTCAACTTTGGCATGAGCTTTAGGACCGAAGGTTCGATGTTAGCCTTTCGTCAGAGGAAGAAGCCCTTCAGCCCGTGTATGCGGAGAATATCCAGGTTAGATATCCAGGACAGTTGATCCAATATGATCACCAATATGATCACTTGGGCTCGATGTCATTATGCGGAGATAGTATAGCGTCTCTCTGGTTTCAACCCATCAATCCACCGAGGTCCCGATCCATTCCGGTTACTCGCTCTTCCAGCTTTCGTTTGCGGCGTTCCAGTTCTCTGATCTCAGCCAACTCTCTTTCGATGTCTTCATCAGTGACATCTGCATCGGGAGCTGCGGCTGGCATTGGTATGTCATACTTGTCCTCATCATCGTATGAGTTTCGCATTTGTTCTAGCTCCGCAGTATTGGCCGCAACACGATCTTCTAGATCGGCGATAGATTTCGCAATGATTTCATGACGGTAACGCAAGGTGGCGATCTTGTCTTGGGCCCCGACAACAGGACTAAGCGACAAATAGTTAGGTGACAGACCAGCCAAGCGAATGTTGGAGATTGTCACAACTTACTAGACATTGCATAGAATTTCTGCACCGCGCAGCAGGACCTCAATATTCACCTCGCCCCGGGGCCCGCGAGACGACGTACCAGCGGATTTTTTGATCTCTTCCATCATATCTGAGCCCAGGACGCGAGCAACAGCCGACTGATTGCGGTTGTTACGCGCAGAATATATGCGACTGGCCATTGATTCCTTCTCGGGTTCGGCAGCAAAGGTAGTTGTGCGACGAGTAGCGCGTCTGGACGCATGGGGTTTGCTGGTAGGATCGACTTGAAACAAAGCTCGCTCGTGGGCTTCCGTATCGCGGATTAATGCTGTAATATCGTGAGATCCCAACAGAGCGTTAGTGAAGATGCGGGGTGAGGGGAACCTATAGCGCGAATTAGTTGGATGCCGCAAGGACTACAGAGGAAGAACGAACGGTAATTCTGCGATGGCGCTCGAGGAAAGAGAAATTTGCTCTAAATGCGAATCAAGGAGAGACATTTTGGAGGTGAGAATAAGCTTGAAGACTGTTGAATATGGTGAGTTGTTAAATGGCGATGAAGATCGTAAACACGGGAATGAATACGCAGATTCCTTATTCCTCAGGCACACAGTTTAGAAGGTCCTCGATTGCATGTAGTCACCGTAGTACACGCAGTGGTACATGGAGGACTACACCGCTCAAGGCGCCATCTCGTACGCGACGATGTCAACACATAGTTCCAAATTATTTTCCATCTAACCCATTCTCACCGGTGGCTTATTTTTTTTTTTCAAACCCCTTGTCATTCAACGAGTTGAATCAAGCGATCCGAAGGGTCACCCGAGCAAACTTACGCCATCCTGCACTGGTAAGCTCCTGACTAAGCTGGCTCTGTTGGCTTCCTGCGCCCGTCCTCGTCTCTTGACATCACATCGCCCCGTCCTCTTCATCCATCTGCCGCTTTTCTCATTCCCCCCTCATCGTGTCATTGTTGCCTTGCAGCTTGGAGCTGATCCATTTGCCCTGCGTCCGGCTTTTGATTCCGTTGCTTTTAATCCCTCATTACCCTACTTCCTTCTTAGCTTCCCGTCCGGCTCAGCTGAGCTTCACAGCTTGGGAAAGATGCCCGAAAGGCGTTCTCTACGATCAAACAACAAATCTGACGCCTCTTCATCTGCTAACGGTGAAAAGGCACGTTCGAACTCTGGGAATTCGAGTGCCAAGGACAAGGCCGCTCCTACAACTCGCGCAGCTGCTAACAAGGCCAAATCGGCTCCGGCCAAGAAAGGCGCCGCCAAGGGCGCCAACAACGGTATGGAGGAGGATGACCAGTCGCACACCAACGGCTCCAAATCAACTGAGAATGGTGTGAATGGTGCTGAGGATGTGGAGATGGGCGAGGATACGGCAGGTGCGCCTACATCCTCATTCAACTCCCGTAAGGATCGGCATGGTGACGAGAAGATGACTGTTGTAGTGCCCCCAACCAAGGGTTCGAAGACATCTAAGACAGGTCAGGACAAGGACGAAGATGTGACGATGGAAGGTGCCGAGGACGAGGACGCCGAGCAGACCGAGCCCGAGGACCCAGCGGTTAAGGCTATTCAAGGTGGGTGGCAACTACTCTGTTTTCCCCAGTGTGAAGATGGACATGATTCACTGACAGGGAGTGATCTGGCTTTCTATAACAAACAGATATCAAGACCAATTTCACCCTGCTTGATCGCGCCGTAACCCATTTCGATCCCCGATTTACCCTTCGTGTGCTACGGTCCATATCGTCGATGCGGAAACATATCACCCCAGAGGTCCTCTCATGTGTCATTGTTGACACATACCCAGCTTCTAGCCCAACAGCTTCATTCCTTCTCGAGGCTATCGGCGAATCTGGTGCCTTCGAGGGCCCACTGGCCAGCTCAAAGATGGATGTGGATTCGGAGAAGTCAAAGACCAGCTCCAAGGAGGTCCTCGCTGAGGTGGATGTATATCTGTCTATCTTGGTGCAGATCTATCTCTTTGACCAGCGGTTGATCCAGAAGGGTGCTGAATTCTCGACTAACCTCATCGAGCGTCTCCGCAGCCTGAACCGTCGGACCCTGGATTCTCTTGCTGCTCGCGTGTACTTCTACTACTCCATTTTCTATGAGCAGATTGCTCCCCTTCCCCCATCTCCCGCTGCTACCGTGACCGCCATCCGCCAACCATTGTTGGCGGCCTTGCGCACTGCTGTGCTCCGGAAGGATGTAGACACGCAGGCCACCGTCATGACTCTGCTTCTCCGCAACTACCTTTCCACCTCTCACATTACTCAGGCCGATCTTTTGATCTCCCACAACAAGTTCCCTGCCGCTGCTTCCAACAACCAGATTGCTCGGTACCTCTTCTACCTTGGCCGTATTCGTGCCATCCAGCTGCAGTATACCGAGGCCCACAGCCATCTTATTGGCGCCACCCGCAAATCCCCTACTAGCCAGTGCGCTCGTGGGTTCTACCAAGCTTCTCATAAGCTGCTCGTTGTAGTGGAACTTCTGATGGGTGACATTCCAGACCGTGCAGTCTTCCGCCAGCCAGCCTTGGAGCGTGCTATGCATCCTTACTTCCTCCTAGCGCAGGCTGTCAGCGTTGGAGATCTGGATGGGTTCCTCAGCATTGTCAATACCCACAGCTCTACTTTCCGCAAGGATGGTACCTACACCTTGATCCTTCGCTTGCGACAAAATGTGATCAAGACCGGCATCCGTATGATGTCGTTGTCCTACTCTCGTATCTCCTTGCGGGACATTTGTCTCCGCCTTGGTCTTGACAGTGAGGAATCGGCAGAGTACATTGTGGCCAAGGCAATTCGAGATGGTGTGATCGAGGCTACATTGGATCACGAGCACGGTTTCATGAAGAGTAAAGAGGTTGGCGACATCTACGCTACCCGAGAGCCTGGTGAAGCTTTCCATGAGCGTATCCGTGCCTGTCTGGCTCTCCATGATGAGAGTGTTAAGGTATGTTTCTCTCTTTTCCCTGTATTTCGAGTCCAGGCTTCTAACATTTTTCAGGCAATGCGGTTCCCCATGAACCAACACCGCCTGGAACTCAAGAGTGCCCAGGAAGCGCGGGAGCGAGAGCGCGAGCTGGCCAAAGAGATCCAGGAGGGAGATATCGATGATGAGGATGCCGGCGGTGATTTTGATGCCATCTAAGTTGGCCTCTGTATTTACCTCATTTCTAACTCGCGCTGGACTCACGTGCATGAGCCTCTATGCTTGTAGCGGCCTTCTTCAACTTATGTGTTAATTCTGCGTGATCTGGCTGTTCCTCTGGATTTGTATGACGAAGAATATGCAGCGCTCTAAAGGACCCGCAGAATCTTCTATGTTTCTCTATACTTGAAATCATTCTTATGGATAAGACCCGAATTCGCCTAAGGAACGTTCCATAGGATTTCTGTAGCTCGGCATTCAGTCCCCCGACGTGTTCTTAACCATGCCTCACTGTCATGAGATCATCAGTATAATTTGGGAGCCTCCATGTATCCCATTTTCCGTTCGATTTCCCAAGACACATGTGTGCAATATAACAAAGCCTGATTATATACGGGAACGCTCCGGCGTCTCATCTGGTTTTGTCGGCCAGCCTGAGGTGGTCCGTGCCGTCCCGAGACCTGGGAATTCTTCCGCCCGAGCTGATTCCCTTCACCACTCCGCAAGCTCCCCAAGACCCCAATCGACCTCGAATACCATCTATGTCTTGGGTCTGAGCTCATTCAACTTGACTTCATTGAATTGAGTATGCGAACTCGCACTGCCTCCGCTGCGGGGCTGCTTCTCGCACGACCAACGACAACCTCCGTATGCTCGAAATGCCTACACGACGATCCTCTCATAACGGGTATCTCAAATCAAACGCGCAAATATCGCCCAACCCGCCCAAGAAATGTGTCTCCATTTGGTGCTGCTGTATCAGCAGCCCAGACAATCTTCAAGGGAATCCCAAAGGCCCCGCCAGGTATCTCTGTTGATCCATTAAGGATCGTGGGCAAGGAGCTGAAGTTCTTGACCAAGAACATCCGCCAACTGCTCGGCTCAGGCCATCCAGCCCTGGATAAGGTGGCTAAATACTATACTCAAAGCGAGGGAAAGCATATGCGACCTTTACTGGTTCTGCTTATGTCTCAGGCCACCGCGCTGGACCCTCGGAAAGATTCATCCTCCGCTAGCACTCGATCTGTCGATAACCCACTGAGCTCACCCTCAATCCTCGACGATACAAACCCTGATATGAACCCCCTAGTATCGCGATCTGCCGAAGTCCAATATGACTTTTCCGGCGATGACAACATCCTCCCCTCTCAGCGCCGCCTGGCCGAGATCACCGAACTCATCCACACGGCCTCTCTTCTCCACGACGATGTCATCGATAATGCAGTGACCCGCCGCGCTAGCAGTTCGGCCAATACGGCTTTTGGAAACAAGATGGCTGTCCTGGCAGGTGACTTCCTGCTTGGTCGTGCTTCCGTGGCTCTGGCCCGCCTTCGTGACCCCGAGGTTACTGAGCTGATGGCGACGGTCATTGCCAACTTGGTTGAAGGAGAGTTCATGCAGTTGAAGAACACCGCACAGGATGAATCTAAGCCACAGTATACGGACGAAACCCTGTCGTACTATCTGCAAAAGACCTATCTGAAGACTGCTAGCCTGATCAGTAAATCATGCCGATCTGCCGCTGTTCTGGGCCGTAGTGCCCCTGAGGTCGTCGAGGCTGCCTATTCCTATGGCCGGAATCTTGGTCTGGCTTTCCAGCTTGTGGATGATATGCTGGATTATACCGTTACTGAAGCCGAGCTGGGCAAACCTGCTGGCGCGGACCTGGAATTGGGTCTGGCTACAGCCCCATTGCTGTTTGCTTGGGAAAGCAATCCGGAACTTGGGCCCCTGGTTGGACGCAAGTTCCGAGAAGAAGGCGACGTTCAAAGGGCAAGTTACCTCCACTAGCCATACTCAACAAACCGAAGTGCTAACATTTAACTCTAGGCTCGTGAGATCGTCCATCGCAGTAACGGCGTTGAGCAGACCCGCGCCCTTGCCCAGGAATATGCGGACAAGGCTGTGGCCGCCATCAGTGACTTCCCCGATGGCGAGGCCAAGACTGGCCTTATTGAGATGTGCGAGAAGACCATGCGACGACGCAAGTAAGCAACACGCTGAAAGCCTGTAATTTTGATGTAAAAACACCCATGCATGTTTTGTTCGGACTGTTCGCCCCTCCTCACTTGATGTTCTTCAGAGTACATGTATATCTAGATATTTCACGGTGTTGGTTCTAGACTATGTTACGGCGTGGTGGATCTACAGAGGCCAAAGGGTGGTTGAGGCGTGTCTGGATACGAAGAGAACCTGCAGATAGTCGGATTGAATGTTAATAGAATTGCTGTATTGGAAAGTGGCTTCCACATGTATAGGATCTGGTAAACCACAGCTCTATGACCCGGCAACCTTTCAAGGGCGGACTGCTAGAGCATCCATGTCCTGCAGATGTTCCTGACAGCATGTCGGATCGCTGCGGGGCACCGTTGTCCACAATGTAACAGCCCTGCCGTGTATAATACATACCGTAACATACCGTAGCTTTGGTGTGCTTTGCATGCTGGGGCTGCCGAAATACCAAGATGTGACCTATTACGTCGGAGACCTGTTCTTCGTCATACTCCATCGTGGAAAGCTGCAACTCCACTTCTTCCATCTACTCGCGCTTTGATACCTCGCATTGTTCGGCTTTTCTCCCTGTTTTTTCTTTTCTGCTCGGAGCTGGCCTCTTCCCTCGGTCCCCAACCCTCGTTCCTGGCACCTCTCCCCCCCTTCTTCTCCCCTGAGACATGGAGCTTGTAGCATGAACACATTGATCGATTGATCGCCCGATCCACAGCTTCCTCATGGTTTCGCTCGGCAGCTACCTCGCCGTATACGTGCTCGGAGGCCTCACCTTCTTGCCACTGGTTCTATCACTAGCCATCCTTTTCATCTACCTCACGTTCCCCGATGTCCCACCGTCACAAGCGAGTTTCCGAGCTCCCGAAGCTCTCCGTCGGCCCACCGACGACGAGTACAGTCTGAAGTCCGGTACTGATCAGCTGGCGGAGGAATTCCACCGCACACACGACTCTGACGTAGCTACTGGCTACTTTGCTGTCTGCCGCGAATATGTTCCTGGTGGCGTGAATGGCAAGCCGCCGGAGAGGACCACCCCCGCCGGAGAGGTGGTCGCTACTGAGAGTCCCAGTGTCTATCAAGCTATGTACCGCAGCCTCTTTGACAGGAAACAGCCACCGAGTATTGAGCCGACAAAGGCAAACGGGAAGAATACTAAGCGTTCGCGGAATGTGTTTTACATTGTACTTCGGTATTCGCAGTCTCATCTTTACTAATATTGAGACGATTGCTGACAAGAGGGTCTTCTAGGCATGGTCATTTGATGCTCTACGATGATGCAAACCAGGTAGATGTTCGATATGTCATCTCCCTCGCCCATCATGATGTCTCTATATACGGAGACGAGGCCCCCATTCCCGAGGCTTTGTTATGGACAAAGAGGAACGCCATTTGTCTGTCTCGGCGGCTTGATTCCCTCGGTGAATTGGGAGGCCCGACACCTCCGTTCTATCTCTTTTCAGAGAATCAGTCTGAGAAAGAAGATTTCTATCATGCTATGCTTCAGAACCAATCCAGGCTATGGGCCTCGGCCGACCGTCCTCCTGTGCCCCAAGAGTTTGATGTAAAACACATTGTCACTTTGGTTCAACGTCTTCATTCATCCGAAGAGCAGCTGCAGACTCGATGGATCAATGCTATCCTTGGTCGTCTGTTCTTGGCTCTGTACCGTACTCCCGAAGTGGAGGAATTCCTGCGACTCAAAATCTCGAAGAAAATTGCGCGCGTCAACAGGCCCAATTATATCAGTAAAATTGCTTTGCATAAGATCGACTTGGGCGAGGGAGCTCCGTTTATCACAAATCCTCGCCTCAAGGACTTGACTGCTGATGGCAACTGCTGCACCGAGGCGGATCTCCAGTACACAGGAAACTTTCGCATCGAGATCTCGGCAACTGTCCGCATTGACCTTGGTCCACGTTTTAAGGCAAGAGAGGTGGATATCCTACTGGCTGTTGTTTTGAAAAAGCTACAGGGCCACTTGTTGGTGCGGTTCAAACCCTCGCCGAGTAACCGCTTCTGGATATCGTTTGAAACCATGCCCAAGATTTCCATGGATATCCAGCCCATTGTCAGCTCGAAACAGGTCACATTCACGCCTATTTTGCGGACAATCGAGAGTAAGATTCGAGAAATGGTTGCCGAAAGTCTTGTTCAGCCCTTTTGGGACGACGTACCATTCCTGGATACAGAGGGTCAGCAATTTCGCGGCGGCATTTGGAAACGGGAGATGCCTGCAGATGATGATGACATAGAAATCCCGGATGAATCGGAGAGCTCAGCGATACCAAAGTCTACCCCTGGGGATTCTCTGGAAGCTTTGAAAGCTAAGGATGATCGGACTATGAGCATGCCCGTGCTTTCTGAGCCTGCTTCACAAAAGCTGAAACCACGCAGAGCGCCAAGGACCTCGTCGTCCGACTTACACAACAGTCAGTCCGCCGCGAGCTCGAGTGGCATAGCTACTGGGGTTGAGAGATCTGACAGCTCGCCATTACCACGTGCAATTCGATCACAGACATTTTCCAATGCCGCAGATCCCATCGTGACACCAGATAATGCCAATAAGGTTGCTGCTGAGGGCAAAAAGCACGACAAAACGAGTGCAACCAGCGCTATGATTGAAATATCAAACCGTTCCCCACCTTCTTCCCCCCAAGGGACCCCGGACAGCTCGCCACCTACCGGTGGGATCGCTATGCCAGAACGGATCGCTCACAGCCGTGGGTCCTCATTTGCAGATTCGATTGATGGAATGAGCTTCCCCTATGACAATCCTCTTGGAAGTCCCTCCTCACGTTTTGACGGAAATACGCTGCCTAGTACACGAAGCTCCCGGGGCAGCTCAACAACCTCTCTATCCGGTGATCAACCGCGCCGACGCAGTACACTGGAGACTTTGGCTAAACCATTCACATCCCCCGAGGAAAAATCTAGCAGTGGAAACAATATTGCTGCAGCAACAGCCGCGGCAAAGAAATGGGGTATGAGTGTGTTTGGAAAAGGCGACCAACACGCAAATTCGGAGGGCAGCCGATCCCTAGTTGGAACACCTGATCAACCGATCGGCCGCGGTCATCCACATCTTCCACCAGGTGCTCCATTACCCCGGCCAGACCGTTATGCATTGAAACGGAATTCCAACTCGGGCACCCTGCCCAAACGGAAGCCCGTGGCACTGCCGCCTCAGCCGGATCCTCCAAGCACAGGGAGTCATCGACCAGTCCCACCACCGCCCCTCCCTCACAGGAAGCGCCTTAATCCTGGCGCCAGTTCTGACAGCAACCCTGACGGCAATGCTGACGAAGTTCTGGTAGTGGAAGCACCTCAGGACTCTGCCCCGACCAGCCCTGTAGTGGGTGAATTGGATCTAGGGGAGCCTCCTCGCAAACAAAAGACTTCTACTGGAGGGGGTCTGTCTAACATAGAAAACAACCGGCCCGATTCAGCATGGAACGACGAGGCAGTACCTGGCGTACAATCTCTACAGCCCACGGGCTCGACACCTCTTCGCTCCGCATCAGGCAGCCACGAGGCTTTGCCACCAAAGGAGCCAGTGGAAGTCTCATAACCATACCAATGAATCTGCCCGAGGGTCTTATCGCTTGAATTAGCCTTTCCAGGGTCCTGTACATCCCTCTCCTCTCTGACCCTGGTCTCTTCTTTCCTGACTTTGGCGTGTAGTTCGCAGGAAGCAAGGTGTACTTGGTTTGTATCTACCTACCGAGTAGATTCTATGCAAATTGGACTTGTCTCTAAGAATCCCTACCGTACTGGATCAATCAATGGCAACATGCAGGGAATTGTACTTGGGGGTCTTTGAGTATCTAGATGTTGTTTGTACCGGTCACCCCTATGGGCATCGATGCTTTAGATCCCCTGACTTGTTTATTCCTAGGGTTAAATACAAATTCGATCAACTCCAGCGCGTAATTCATCCCGAACCACTAAATCGTGGTGCCTGGTGGTACGTGTAGATCAAATATTATATGGGGCAAGGGGGTGGTGGACCAGGCTTAGGTGTTGCCAAGACTCACAGGCGCCAGCTTTCCCCCCCAACGTCATTGCACTCCACGTGCGAACTTCAGTCGATTCTCCCTCGCAGGCGCTATATTTCTCGAGCACCCTGGTGCTGTCCAGATTTGCGTTTAACGTCCAAGTCCCTTTTCTGATTATCCTCTGAAGTCGCTCACCATCCTGCCTCACCGGTCAACATGAGTCGGTAAGCTGCCGTGCTGCGCCGCCCCCTCCCTGAACATGCGGATAACCTCAATCGCATAGGACTGAGGCCGACTTGGCCATCAACATCCGGAAGGCCACGAATATCGGTAAGCTTGCTATCCGTCATCCGAGCGGTGGTCCCCCAGGACCAGGGTGGGAAATCAGTGAATGGTGAGCAGATCGGCTAACATTAGATTGCGACAGAGGAAACCGCGCCAAAACGTACGTCCTACCCCGAGCGATAACAGATCTGGGAACTACGAGTGGGAGATATGCAGCTTGAATCGACTGACATTGCTTGAATCGCGCAGGGAAGCATGTGCGCAGTTGTATCGTGTACACGTGGGACCACAAATCGTCGGCGGCCTTCTGGGCGGGTATGAAAGTGTGAGTGTTCGTCGGGTCCATTAGGGGAAGCTATGAAGTGGCCAAGAATATCAGGCTAACATGGTTCTTGCTGCAGGCAACCCGTTCTAGCCGACGAGGTCCAGACGTTCAAGGCTCTCATTACCATCCACAAGGTTCTTCAAGAAGGTCACCCGATCGTTATCCGGGAGGCGCAGCAGCATACCAATTGGATTGATAGTTTGATGCGAGGTGTTGGTGGAGAAGGTATTCGAGGTATGAAGACCGTTGTGAAAGTTGGAGCCGCACGATCTGGGGATGGCGTGGGGGATGAACATTGCTGACATTGCTGGACAGGCTATGCGCCTTTAATTCGCGAGTACGTCTATTACCTCGAATCGAAGCTCAATTTCCACCGTCATCACCCCGAATTCAATGGTAGGTTGCTCGGAAGCTTGTGAGTTGGATAAAGCGGTTGTCTAACATGCGTAGGATTGTTCGAATACGAGGAGTACATTAGCTTGAAGAGCATTAATGATCCTAATGAGGGGTATGATGCCGAGTTTTTGGGACTTTGCAATGGTAAACAAAAGACTGACCAGTGGCTAGTTACGAAACCATCTCCGATCTTATGGCCTTGCAGGACCAGATTGATGCTTTCCAGAAGCTGATTTTCTCGCATTTCCAGTCGGGGACTAACAACGAGTGCCGTATCTCAGCGTTGGTGCCTCTGGTGCATGAGAGTTATGGTATCTACAAGTTCATCACGAGCATGTTGAGAGCATTGCATACTAGTACGTATCAATTGCCAGCTCCTCTTAGAGATAATCCGCAAGCTAACCTTATTCTGTAGCAACCGGCGATGATGAAGCCCTTGAGCCCCTTCGTGGCCGTTACGATGCTCAGCACCACCGCCTTGTGCGGTTCTACTACGAATGCTCGAACTTGCGCTACCTTACCAGTCTTATCACTATTCCCAAACTTCCTCAAGACCCGCCAAGTCTGTTGGGTGAAGATGGTGAGCGTCCAGCCTTGCCGAAGCGACCTGCGAAGGAGATTGAGCGCCAGCCTTCTCCACCACCGAAGTCACCCCCCAGGGTCGCAGAGCCCGAGCCAATCAATGATTTCTGGACCACTGAAGCTCGACGCCAGCAAGAAGAGTACGAGGCTGAGCAGGCACGCCTTCAGGCCCAGTGGGAGGAGCAACAGCGTCAGCAGATGCTTGCTCAGCAACAGGCCCAGCGTGACTTCGAGGAGCAGCAGCGTCTCCAGCAGGAGCAACAACGATTGGCACAGGAGCAACTTCTCCGTGACCAATACCAGACACATACCCAGGGTCGCCTTGCTGAGCTCGAACAGGAGAACTTGAACGCTCGTGCCCAGTATGAGCGCGACCAGCTCATGTTACAGCAGTACGATCGTCGGGTCAAAGATTTAGAAGAGCAGATGAGCCAGTTGAACAACAATCTCAATTTGCAGAGTGCCTCCAAGGATGAGCAGATCCGATCATTGCAAGAGCAGGTGAACACATGGCGGACTAAGTACGAAGCCCTGGCCAAACTCTACTCGCAGTTACGACAGGAGCATCTGGATCTTCTGCAGACCACCAAGAGTCTTAAGCTCAAGGCTGCTTCCGCTCAGGAGGCCATCGAGCGCCGTGAAAAGCTGGAGCGTGAGCTCAAGACCAAGAACCTGGAATTGGCAGATATGATTCGCGAACGTGACCGTGCTCTGCACGACCGGGATCGTCTGACTGGTAGTAACAAGGAGGAGTTGGAGAAAATCAAGCGGGAGCTGCGCATGGCACTTGATCGAGCTGAAAATGCCGAGCGTTCGAAGGGCACTGAGATCTCCACCATGCTTTCCAAGTACAACCGCGAGATGGCTGACTTGGAAGAAGCTCTGCGGGTAAGTTACAATGCTATGCTGCTCTCGCGGATCCGATTACTGACTGGGGTGTAGAACAAAAACCGGGCTTTGGAAGAAATCTCCAACCGCAAGTCCGAGTGGGATGGAGACCATGAACTTGCCTTGCGTGAGAAGGACGAGGAGATTGAGGTGTATAAATCTGGCATGGAGCAGGCACTGATGGAACTGGAGGAACTGAAGATGGTATGTAGCTCACAGCACAGACTATTCGCCATCTTTGCTCTGAATGCTAACTCTGGCGCTCTAGAGCCAAGGAGATACCGACAATGCGCTTGACAGCCAGATTGACACTGTGCTCCACGGCACTGTCGCGAAGATCAACGATATCATCGACTCCGTCTTGCAGTCTGGTGTGCAGCGTGTAGACGATGCCTCTACGAGCTTGACTCGTCCATGCAAGGTGGTAACCAGAATGCCTCGTCGCCCTACGTACTCTCCCAGATCGAAAAGGCCTCAGCGTCCGCCACCGAGTTCTCCACTGCTTTCAATAACTTCATTGCCGATGGACCCAACAGCCCCCATGCTGAGATCATTCGCACCGTCTCGGTCTTCTCTGGCTCCATTGCGGATACCCTGAGCAACACCAAGGGTCTCACTCGCTTCGCCAATGACGATAAGAGCGCTGACCAGCTTGTTGGCGCTGCCCGCAAGTCCGCACAGGCTACCATGCGCTTTTTCCGTGGCCTTCAATCATTCCGTCTGGAAGGCATGGAGGCGCTGCAGAAGACCGATGTCGTGATCAACAACAACCTGGAAGTGCAGCGTGATCTTCAGAGCCTGTCGAAGCTGGTTGAATCTTTCGCACCCAAGAGCAGCAAGATCAATGCCAAGGGCGACCTGGGTGATCTCGTCGACCAAGAATTGCTCAAGGCTGCGGACGCTGTTGATGCCGCTGCGGCGCGTCTCGCCAAGCTGAAGAATAAGCCGCGCGATGGATACACCACCTACGAACTGCGGATCAACGACGTCATCTTGGCTGCAGCCATCGCCGTGACCAACGCTATTGCTGAATTGATCAAGGCCGCCACGGAGTCGCAGCAGGAGATCGTGCGTGAGGGGCGGGGAAGCTCGTCAAGAACCGCCTTCTATAAGAAAAACAATCGCTGGACCGAGGGTCTTATCTCTGCTGCCAAGGCTGTGGCGCAGTCAACCAACACTCTCATTGAGACAGCGGACGGCGTGATCTCCGGCCGCAACTCCCCCGAGCAGCTGATTGTCGCTTCCAACGACGTCGCGGCCAGCACTGCTCAGCTGGTGGCTGCCAGTCGTGTCAAGGCTACGTTCATGAGCAAGACTCAGGACCGCCTGGAGACAGCCAGTAAGAAGGTTGGCGCCGCTTGTCGCGCCCTGGTGCGCCAGGTACAGGACATCATCAAGGAGAAGAACAGCGAGGGTACCGATGCGGAGGACTACACGAAGCTGAGCTCGCACGAGTTTAAGGTTCGCGAGATGGAACAACAGGTATGTCTGCTGCATCCCCTACCGTGCCTCTTGAGGACTTGTCCCCGGTGGTCTCCCCCCGTTGTTCTGGTGACGGCTAGCTAACGACGACTCCCTACGTATTTAGGTCGAGATCCTTCAACTCGAAAACAGCCTCTCTCGGGCCCGTACGCGCCTTGGAGAGATGCGTAAGATATCTTACCAGGAGGATTAGGTCTTGGATGGGAATTCCCCTTGCTGCATCTCTGTGACAATCTGTGTTCTCTGTCTTCTTCGCTGTGTATATCAAGGAAATCCTATCGGCTTTGCGTTGCCCATGCTTTCCCTAGCTTCTCTGCCTCCAAATGTGCCTGTGAACACGTACCCCGCATAATATATTGCGATGCGCTCTTTGCAGAGCAGCCCTGTTCTCTTGTAGCAATCGATACTTCCAAGCTCAATGCGCGCTACATGTGGCGCAAATACTCCAGCCACACCATGTCAGTTCGACAAAAGAGCAGCAGAACAACAAGTCCTGCCCGAAGCCTCTCCACCACCTCAGCATGCTCACAGACGCAGACTGCCCTGTAATCGGCCTCCTCTGCGGCCTCTCTGAAACAAAGATACCAAGGCCTTGTCAAGTCCACCAGCACGCGGAACAAAGAACTCTCGCTAATCCGACGCCCGCATACGCCACGACCCACCGGTTCCACATGCAGTCCCCGTTCCACCGTGTGGGTCGCATCTGAGGGATCGGCGTCTTGGCGCTGCAGGTCACAAAGAAAATCCAACGTCACTCGACCTGCCAGACGCCAGACTCGAGCAGGAGATGGTTCCCGGCGCCCAAGGGCCTCGTAATCTCTACCGGTGGCGTATAAGCAGTGGGTGTCCGACTGGCTGTCTGAGCGCTGTAGCTTCGGTCTAGACCTGGTTGTCCGTAGAGAATCAAAGAAAGCCAGAAACAGAGTTTCGGGGAGGTCTACTGGCCTTTGAGTCTGGGTTGGAGTTGCCGAGAGGCTGGTGGCTTGCGGTCTTTCGGGGACGAAGAGATAACCTGAGTGATACCCGGCTGTATCCCATATGCATGACGGTACCCATTGTTTCGGGGTTTACACAATGTTGGGGATACTGGGGGTATCGAACGTAAATACACGGCGAACCGCTACGCCCGGAAAGTCTACACACCAGGAGTTACAGCCTACAAAGAAGCTACAGGAAAGTCTACAAGGGCACACGTTTTTTTTTTCTTATTTTCCCCTATCTACCTATCTATTTTTGCCCCAGTATACCGCTCCGGCTCACGTACACCCGGAGGAAGAAGTTGGCTAGCTCCCCCGGAACAGAATACCATCATCGCGATATACAGGTTCAACAACAGACAAGACCAGACAGGTTCAGAAACAGACAAGAAAAAACTCCCCACGGGTCTGGCGACAGATAAAGAAACAATTTGGGATGGCCAGACCGGGCAAATTAGAAACAGGGCAAGCCCCCAACTGGCATATAAGATCTTGTTGAAGATCGCAGCGGAGGTCGAGCAGCAAGGGTCGCGTTTGGGGTGCACTTTGTTGAAAAGCGCGTCGAGAAGTTGGGCAACCAGCGTGAAAAGAACATCTTGGCAAGCAACGCATTGGAAGCCGACAGCCGAATCATTAGAACGCGAAAACAAAGCGTTGGGACCAACGTATTTTGGCAATCCGACAGCGTGTTTTTGGAACACGTAAATGGTTGGGCTTTTTTTTTTGGAGGTTTTTTTTGTTTTCGTTGGAAATCGAAAAACGAAAATCAGTTGCAGCATTGGAAATTGCAAGTCGAAAGCGTCCTTGTTTTTTTTGAAGGTTTTTTTTGTTTTCGTTGGAAATTGCAAATCGGAAATCACTGTTGAAACATCGGAAATTGCAAGTCGACGGTGTGTTTGGCAGTAGAACACGTAAATGGCTGTTTTTTTTGAGGTTTTTTGTTTTCTTTGGAAATTGCAAACCAAAACGAGGTTCAAACAAAGGAAATTGCGTCGAAGTGTAAAAAACGGACGCAGCTCGCATTTAAACTGCCGTGAAGGGGGCTTGGCGAGTGTCCTTGTCGTCTTTCAATCTCTGATTGACAACAGTAGTCATACGCTCAATCCAAGGATCGAGGTGGGGTTCCTCCACTTCAGCGGGGTCATCTGGGTCATCACCTTCTTCAGTCTGATCTAACTGACCAAGAGTCAACCCATTCGCTTGGAGGGCTGGCGGCAGACTTCCAGGTTCAACAATCCAAGCTGGCTGCTGACCATTCGTAACGGTGAGTGGCCGAGTGCCCGCCTCGCCTTGACCGTAAGCCATTGTCTGAATGTAGAACACCAAACGTGCCATGGTGACTGGGACAACAGGCCGCACAAGAGTGACCGAAAATCCGGTAACAACATGGTATTCGATTTTGCCTTGGAATCTGGATTCCACAACTTCAATGCCGTTCATGCGCAGATAGACTCGGGGGTCCGCAGGGAAATTGAAGATAAAGCTGACTAGCCAGCCCAGATAGAGTGAGACCGGTATATCGGCTTGCTGGTCAAAGCTTTCGTTCCGCACGATATTGTAGGCCCTGGCGATAATATCCCACGTTCCGATATAAGGATCTTCGTGCCAGCACATACCTGCCAGCTGGGAGATATCTCGTTGTTTAGCTCCAGCGAAAGCAGCCATAACAAAAGCTAAGAATTGTTAGCATAGTTAATAATGAAAAAATGTGGACTTCACTTACTTCTGAAAGCCATGAATCCATTAAGAGAAACCTTTTTTGCGCTGACCTCCACGTCTGCAGACTGCTTAAGGTATGCAAGAGCGGCAGTTCGAAGAACCGGGGATGTTGTAGGGTTGTCGATGATTTCTTCAAACCATGACGGGAGAATAGTAGCGAGAACAACCCGCCGGAAGTCTTTTGGAACACCAATGGAATTTTCCTGCAAGTCTAAAAGGTCGCTCTTTGCATCGTCATCAAGAGTGGACAGATAGTGTTCGAGTAGAACGTCAGAATTGTCCGGAACGGAATTAGCCGAAGAATCGACATTGACCCAGGAGAAGGGAAACTGTTCTTGATCTTGAGTCGACATCTTCGAGAGGCTGGGGACAAATGACAAGAGTAGATGATGCGCACGAAATGAAGGATACCTTGCTTCACTTGAGCACACGGAAGAAGAGGGTGGGACTACCGAAGGACAGCAAAAAGATGCACAACGGTGATCCTAAACGCGAAATGGATGAGGAAGGAAAGGGAAGGAGAAGAAAAGATTGGGCTGGCGGGGCTGTTGTTTATATACTTCTCCCCAGGATAGGCAGGGTGGGGCAGATCTCGCTAGCCACTAGCTTAGCACTAGCGTGGATTTTTGATTTGGCCAATCAGAGGCTCTAGTTGCTCGTTTGCTAGCCTCGCGTGCAAACGGATAAGCGGGACTGACGGTATTCACTGTTGACAGGGTAAACAATAGGATCTCTTCCCAATTAGGTTGTTTACGAATGGCTGCCCCAGGACTCCCTAGCAACCACTGTTTTCCATGTTTTCCAGCTCCTACAATGCTTTATGGTGCAGGATGGCTAGTGTACTAGGTATACGCGGAACAAAGAGAACCCCAGTAGTGTTGATTTTGGATATCTAAACCTTTCCCGCGCGCCAAGGAAAATTAGAGTTGATGAGCCAGGCCCCACCGCCCCGCAGACAAAGCATGGTTGTCACGTGATCGTTTCAAGGGTCTGGTTGTACAGACCCATTCCAATCGCTGGCCCATATGAAAGTTGGACATCGCCATTGTGTTCCTTTCTCCTTCTCTCCACTAGGTCCTAAGGGGCGAGCACAGATCCAGAACGCCCGTCCACAATTCATACCTGGTTTCTTTGTAGTAAGACTTATGCATGGCTCTCGATGTGTTTCGCATAAGGGGACCGGTTTCCTGGTAAAAAGCTTAGACCAGTTCTCCTTACTAGCAGCAGGATCTATGACAGCATCGGTTGCTGATGTGTCTGGAGAGGCGTTCATAAACGAGTTTCCAGAGGCTGTAGCTGCCAGCGCATCAGGGACTACGCGGGGCACTTGCAGAGCCCATTGGTCCGGTTCGGAATCGGCTGCCATGGCAGTGGGTTGGATTACCTGTGCCGCAGTGAATGCGATCGATTCTGAAGTCTCTGTTTTTGGGTCGACGGCAGGACCCTTCGGTTTGAAAAATCCCTTCAGGCTTTTTTGTCCAGAGGCGGCTGCAGTGGGTGTCGCCAGCGGCTTCGATCGTTTGGAGGTCACAGCTGCGGATGGTGGTGGCTGTCGTTTACGCGAAGTTGCTACTGGCGGCACGCGCGATGCCTCAGCCATGCAGGGTGCTGCCACACAATCGTTTTTCACATCTAGCTCTTGTCTTCCTGGAATATTGACGGCAGAAGCGACTTTGTTTGGGGAAGCTGGGGGTTTGCGGGCAAACATGTCCTTGATGCTGCGTCGTTTTTCAAGATCAAATTCAGGCAGTAAACGCCCAGATGCTGGCAAAAGCAAGCGGTTTGAGTAATCCTGCTGGCGCCGCCCCTCCTTGAACAGCCCGGGGGGGGTTCATGAGATCATGGATGTGTATTCCATGGGAGCCCAAGGGCACCCTGTCCTTGAGAACGGCATAAACAGGACAATGATCGGACCCCTAAAGCCGCGTTAGTACTACTATAGCACTCTGTAGGCACTTAGAATCTTACCATCAAGCCTTCTTGTATATTGGATTCGCAGAACCACTCTCGCATGTCGAGGCTACATAGCACATAGTCGATCCTCGATCCATAGTTGCCAGGCCTTGTGTTAAGCCTTGTGTCCCAGCAGGTGTACATGCCAGTCCTCTCAGGGTGGAAAGATCGGCAGATGTCATGAAGAACGGGTTCCTCTCTGCCATCCATGCGTTCGCCAACCACGACCCCATCAGCAAGTAAGGAATTGAACAACTTCCACGACGGTCCAGATATGTATTCCTCCTCTGTTGTGGTGCCTTTCCGGATTCCTTCCATCGCGCTTGCCGAATCAATGCCGCCTTTAGCTATGTTGATATCCCCAGTCACAACGACACGTTTTCCCATTGTCACTAGATTCCGCACTCGGGCATCCAAAGCGTTGAGAAAATCCATGCGGAAAGAGTCTCGGCTTTCATCTCGATATGCCGGACAGTATACCCCAATCAAAACGAAAGCTGGGAACTCTAGAACGACACATCGGCCTTCTGAGTCAAGGGTAGCTGGATCAACCCGAGCCTCTGATGCCGGAGAGCCCGCGTTGGGGGCCCCGGTGTCGCTCTCTGTACCTGACGTGCTCGACATGGTGAGTTGCTCGAATGTCGGATAGCCGCCTATTTGCTGCTCCTTTGGCATGTCACGGAAGGCCAATTCCGAATTAGGTGGGCATAGGACCCCAGTAATCCCTTCCTCTGCTCGGATAGGCGCGCATGTGGCATTTCGAGTGTAAATGACCACTCCAGAATACCCTTTTTTCTAATGTTAGATGGGGTTTTTCATGACGTGTCTGCAAATTGCTTGCCTTTCTTGATCCGTGGAAGGCTGAAATAGCAGTCCCATCCAGGCACTAGGACCATATCGTCTCGCAGGTCTTTGCGTTGGATCTTGGTCTCTTGTAGCACCACGATATCAGATTGCAAAATATTGAACATTGACTGCGTAGTATCTGATCAGCCATATTATTCCTGATATAGGTGAATGGCGTCATGATGCGAGCTCTCTCACCTCGAATGTCCGATTACCACGCCATGGCTCATAAGAGAACGGGTTTCTTACGAATCCATTAGCAAAGATCTGTTGATCTCCTTACTACGCGGACATACCGAATTCCATTGACTGTTCTTCATTGTCAGTGTTTGAAAACCCTGGAGACTCAGGTTCATCTTGGTTAAGCGTACCATTCCAAGTGGTGATGCGAAACCCCATGGCAGGCGACTAGTGCTCGCCGCAGCGCATCTCCTGCTTCACTAGACACCAAGGTTGGGTGACAGCTGTCAGTTCCTTCTTCTCCCAAATCAAACGGTTTTCAGTCTGTAGGTAATCTGTACTTCTCAACGCGTTGAGCCGGCTCTGGGTTGATAGTCACGTGGGGGTGGAGTGACATCAAATTACATAAGCCGGGGGATCACGGGAATGCACTAAGCCAGTCGAACGGCTCCGATTTCAGTACAACGTCTGATCGATCACTTCTCTCCCGTTTATTGCTCCAACCACCACCGCCATGTTCACCCGCAACATCGCCCGCCTGTCCCAGCGCACTGCGCCCTTCCGCTCGGTTGCTCAGCGCCGTTTCAACAGCGCCGAGGCCAAGCCCTCCTGGATTGTCGACAACGAGTTCAACCGTGAGCGTGCCGCCGTCAAGCACCACGCCGCCTCCACCAGCGGTACGTAACTACTTCTAGAGCTCTGGTGGCCTGAAAACACGGCAACCCTAATGAACTGAGACTTTGTGGATTGTTGGAACTGACTCAATGGCTCGCAGACCTGTGGCGCAAGCTCTCCATCTAGTACGTTTCCCTAGAGGCAGCAGACATACACCGGCTGCACAACTGCCCTGGAAGTCTCTCTAACCACGTATTTTGTCAATATAGTGCTGTCGTCCCCGTTATGATTGCCGGCAGCATCAATGCCTGGTACCTCTGGGAAGAGCACTGGGAGCACTGGAGCCACATGCCCCCGCTCGAGGAGCGCACCGAGTACCCCTACCAGAACATCCGTGTGAAGAACTTCCCCTTCGGAGACGGTGACAAGGTATGTCCTTCTATACTCTCTACTCTTGTTTTCAATTCTTGAGCTATTGGTCGCTAATTATTGTCCCACAGACCCTCTTGTAAGTCCAACCCGCTCAGCACCGTATCGCCTATACGGACAGCCTGCCTCACCGTCTACAAAACCGGCGCCGACGTCCCGTTATGCACTCTTCCCGGTCCCCATACACAATTACGTGTATATTGCTCACAGACCGCTAACCGCATTCACAGCTGGAACGACTCCGTCAACTACCACCACAAGGACAAGGCTACCTAAATGTAGCGCACAGCGAACACAGCAGCTCCCAAGGGCTAGGAACTAGGCTGCCAATTTCTGTTAGAGGAGCTGTTGTGTGCACAACCACATGTATATGTATCGCAGTGGCATTAGGAGACACTAGAGGCCCGAACCTGGGAGACGCAGGGCTCCGTTGACCGAATGAAAGGAACTTGTCGTGATTTTTCATTTGTACTGTTTTACCTTGGTGTATTTACGCCTGTATCCAATGCTACTGGGTGAGGTCCTATGTCCCATATGCTTGTAGACTCGATTCGGAGAGGTTAGAGTAAGTCTCATAGTGCCAAAATATGCGAATAATTTTCAAGTTTTGGTGAGGTAAACAGATACTGCTATGGAACATAATAATACATACATGCCTTCGAGTATCAGTCACTGATGTAGATACAGAGTAGTAGGATTCAAGAGTATTTGTCCTTACTAGTAGGCTCCTAACAAAACCTTAGCATACTGTGACCAAGATACATATCCTATCTACCTCACAAGTATTGCAGAAAATAGGCACCCCATCCGCAGGCTTCAATAGTGTCATTACTTACGAGTAGCAGAGCGGTCGTTCAAGCAGAGCCCTCGGGCTTTTAATCATACACCTATGATGTCGGCATCAAACCTCCATTCCCCTGCGTCTTCTCAAATCCAAATATTTCGCCGCGTAATCATTAGCCAGCACCGGATCTCCCGTGAGATGCATGACAGTAGCCTTCTTAGCCATCATCTCCGTCTGGCCCAGCAAATCCTCAATCTCCTCGTACGTATCATATGCAGAGTCGATGTGCTCTAGCGCCCGGTTCACATACTCCTTCCGGACAGGCGTACTGTCACGCCCCATAGATGCCCATAACTCTCCCGCAATGCCCATGTTGGCGTCGACAAGCAGGGAGTATGCCCGCGCGATCAGTGCTGAATCCTCGCTCTCGAGGATTTGGGGCAAAACGCTCTCGACGAGCTCGACGGTGGCCTCGAATTCGCGCAGACTCAGCATCACTGCTGCGAGGACGCAGACTGACTCCCAGAGGTCGTGGAGGAGTTTTGCGTGATGAGCGATCGAGGCCGCGCGCATGGCGAGGGAGAAGCCTCGCTCCGGATGTCCGGATTTCTCGAGTATGCGGGCTTTGAGGCATAGAAGTTTGATTTGTGAGTGCACGTCGAAGTTTTCAGGTTGCATGGAGTGGGCAGCTTGCTCCACCATACGTAGAGCCCGGCCGTGGTTGCCCTGGCGGAGGGTAAATTCGATTGTGTGGAAGGCTAGCAGGAGACGCATATCAAAGTCGAGGATCTGCACAGCTTGGAGCTGGGAGAGAATGTGCTCAACGGCGACTTTGTCATCACTGTGGGTTGTGAGCCTTGATTCTTGGTACCGGAGGATGTGTGACTTACCGGCAGATTTGACGACGGAGCTGCAGCAAACCCGAATAGTACGTCCAGGAATTATTGTATTTGATGGCACGGAGCCTTTCAGGCTCGATCTTGTTCATGCGAGCGAATGCCTCCTTGTAGTTTCCTTTTTGTGCAAGCTACCCGGGCCGTTAGACTATTTTCCTAGATATGGGCATGTGAAAGGGCTTACAATTTGGCAGTTGCAGAATGTGAGCTTGACGTAGTCGTCATATGGGTGTCCCTCCGTATAGCACTCGCGAAATATCTCGGTGTTCAGCCAAGACAGGTGGGTTGCTCCTGGGGTTGGTTGTGTGAGCAGACGCCAGATACGTCATGTTCATAATATTGGCACAAGCTCTAAGTCCATACCTATCCGAGAATACAAGGCACTCTGTAGCATCATGAACGCGCCTGTGGGGTTTGAAAGACCCTTGGACACGTTGACATGAGAAGCCCGCACGAAGGACTCAACAATCGATGCAAGACTGTCTCCCTGTATCAGCAATCAGTACGTTGCTACCAATGAAATTGTCCATTCCAGACAAACCTGTTGCATCTCAAGCTTAGCTTCACTCAGCAGGGTAGTACTCAAGAGGGACCACATATCAGTTTCCTTCGATTTCGCTTTGAGAAAAGCCAGACCCTCTTTTTCGTTCCCCAGCATGCCACTGTTCTGCACGTCCCGCATCTGCTCAGGGAACGCCTTTCCGAAATGGTAGAGCCAGCTCATGCAGAAGTTCAGGCAGTTCATATCATGCGATTCGCGAGCAATAGCCACGGCCTCTTGAACCGCAGAAATGGCTTCATTAAAACATTCAAAGTCAGCCTGGATGATGGCCAGATTGAGGAGTGCAAATTGATAGGCGCTTCGGTCAACATTGCTGTGCATGGTGTAATCAAAGTACCGATGGAGATTATCAAAGGCAGATGTGTAATCGCCGGCTCTCCAGGCATCGAGGTATCTAGAACGGCTAAGCAACTCCGACCAATGCGTATATCCTATTGGAACCCAAATTAATACTCACTCTAAGTAATAAATCAGCACCGGCGCTGAAGAGTCCGATGTCATGATGTGCTTGAGCTGCGCTCGCATCTCATCCGGGACTCTGCCTCCCAGTCCTATTAGCGTTAGTATAAGATCCTGCAGCTGCTGAGGAAAGGTTGACAAACTTTGCAGCTCCCCGACCTGGAATTCAATGAGTCTCTCTGCATCTTTGATACTGGTAATGCCATCCTCCTCTTCGTCATTCTCGATATCACCATACACGACCTGCGATAGCCGACTACTCGAATCCAAGTCATGCATCAGAAGATTGATATCAACAGCGGCATGTTCTTGCTGCGGATTCCTGCGCGCCCACATGTGGTACGTCGGCAACCGATACTTAACAAACCCAGACCACAACTTCACCGAATCATGAAACTGCAAACGCGTGTGCTCCAGACAGGCTCTGCGCACGAACGCGCCGAGTGGTGAACTGCGCGACAACTTCATGCCCTCCGTTTCAGGCACAAGGCCTTCCTCTCGCTCCTGCGTCAACTGCTCACGCGTCTTGGTGAGGAGGGACGGCAGGACATCGTTGAAAAAGGTATCCAGCGCATCGAGTGAATCAAGGGACCAGATTCTCCTGAGGAAAAGGTCCCACAGTGTCCGGCCCGGCACCGATGATTCATGAGCTGAGAGAACTTCTTCCAATTCTGTGATGGATGGTAGGTAATGCTTCGCCCATTGCTTATCGGCGGGATCTAGAGGGAATAGACCCGCAGTCAAGAAAGACAACACATGGATGGCGGACGAGTTGGGGACGTCGCCGTCGGTGTAAACGGTGACCAGACACAGGAAGGATATTCTCCACGGGGTCAGATAACGCGTCATATTGACCTTTGGCCCATTTTGTGGCGAGGGACGCGCTTCGGAGTGTTTTGGACAATCGCGGTTGTCGATACTGGATTGTTGCCTTATGGCCTGAGGCAAAATATCTCCCACTTGTATCGGACTTGATATCTAAATGGCACCAGACATGGATTGGTGACATGGATTGGTTCCACTAACGGGGAAAGGAACAACAACTTGAAAGCTTTTGGATCTCTTTACTTGAAAAACAGAGGTTAGAGCTTATACCGATGGGTACGTGCGTGTATATCTGTCAATCGACCTTGGAATGCCCGCTGTCCCTTATGAAATCCCAGATAAGGCCCCGAGTTTTTTTGCGATGGCTGCATTACAAAGCCGATGATATTGGAACAAATGTGATTATGATACATGAAATGGTAGATGCTGCATAGCAGAGGCCCGCGGCATAAAAATGCCAGGGCCGAATCTGCCTGACCAAGGAACCGCTTGTAATGACGATGACCAGCCGCAGCCTCTATAAGTCAGTTTAGTGTACATGGGCAATTCCATTTTGCCAAAGATGAATGATCCACTTCTACAATGAGTTGTTGAACTGTTTGTCCATCTGAAGCAATTTGAGAGGATCACTTCGAGCGAGATGACCTTCTTTTATTGACCCTGCATGGCCTTCATACGGTCCAACATCGACAGACCAGGGGCAAAGGCAGGGTCGTTCAAGGCCGTCTGCAGATCGGTAGGCTTAGCAAAGCCCCAGACTCGCCAGGAACTTTCACCGCTCCACCGTAGCTCTTGAATGACAAGATATTCCATGCAGCTCTTCTCCTTGGCCGAGGCTTCGGTGACAGCCGTGCTGGCGAGTCCAGCTGTAGATTTGGCCATGACTTGCCTCGATGTCACCCGCAGAACGATCTGGCGAATACCGGACTTGGGAAGGTTGGGAAGGGAGGTTGCACGGTCTGACACGACCCGTACGCCGCGGAAGAAGGTGCTTGGTTGGCGAAGCCATTTGGTGAGTTTCCAGGTGACGGTCATGCCCTTTGGGCGTCGGTCAATTTGGCCAATGAGGTCCTTGGCGAGCCCATCGCAGCAGAGGCGCTTCAACCCAGAGGTGTCACCTCTAAGAATCGAATGGGTCAGACACAAGACCACTGGAGAAGGAAGCGAAACTCAGATCGTCTACTTACCTCGCAAAGGCCGTGTACATATCCTTATAGAGAAGCTGTGCGCGCTGACGTCGAGCTTTGATTCCAACTTCGGTTTCCTGCTCTTTGCAATATTGCCACAAACTAACGGTGCGTTAGTGAATGCCTTCACGTCTCATCGCTGACAGATCAAAGGTTGACACAGCCGTGAGCGGCGAATCATGAAGCAAGGATGTAACAGTACCTGATGTAATTCTGGAAAAAGGACTTGATGGTGATCCATTCCATGTGCAGACGGTCTCGCGGTTGCGAAAAGATAGAGGGTAGGTCCCTCCACAATGGTCGCACAAAGGTTCCCGGTAATAAGCCCAAGTCATTCGGCCTCTGGTTAGCGAGTGCATCCTTCTGTCGGGCCTTCATCGAGGGCATTGAAGGGCTTCGGGGGTTGAAGTTCTGTGATCGGTATGCCCATCGTTGCGACGTTTCCGAGAAAGCCCGGGATTGAAGGCTGTAAGCGAAAGGCTGCGTAAAAGTGATATTTGGCCGTGCGCATTTAGCCATACCACCTGGGCACAAGCGCAGCGAGGACGCCATTGGGGTTCGTTGTATAAAGCGAAGTCAATAGACCTCGAGATGTTGACATGGGCGAAGGAGAACAAAATCCGCAGATCACGTGCCGGTCTCCGCGATTTCCAACTATGAGGTCGCCATTGAACAAAGTCCTCCAGCTAAATAAATTCCTCCACTCTACTTGATTTACGAATATATCTTGAAGGAGCCGTCCCCAGAAGACGCCGAACCATACAGAGTAGAAAGACGCTCTTCGAAGACCAGACATCATCGATCACTTTCTAACAAAAAAACCCGCCGATCAGGAGGCCGAGTCATATCGACGGACTCGCAATCTCCGAACACCTACCAACACGCTTCCCTCCACTTCACCCTTTCTACCAATTGCTTAACGATTCTGCGTTGGCGGCCGCATATGCCGCAATTACACCTAAAGGCTGGCTCCTCATCGTAATGGCTCACCTCCGCCCTACTCACCTCCACAACCACCCAGCACACAAGCCGCGCTGGACCTAGTACGCCCAAGCGAGGCACCTGAGCTTCTCCGACCCTCTGCGCCGCTACAAGCGGCCCAGGCAGACAAAGGAGTGGCTTCAGAACCCTCTCCCGCGGCCCCGCCGTCCCCAAGCTCCTCTGCTCCCCCCACCCCACTCGGCAGCGATGCTGGGCAGGCTGGTCCCTCCCCCCTGCATCCCCGCGTGGCAGTGATACTGGGCGTGGACCGCAGGTGGTACATTCCTCTGCTGGTGTGCCGGGCTTTGAGTACGCTGCCAGCGGCTTGGTGGGGGTTGCGATGTGCGTTTACCTTTTTGGCTGAGCTGTTGCATATCCGGCCGGGGATGGGAAGGGAGGGATGGGCTGCGGCGATTGTCGGGAGTGTTGGGCAGGATTGGGATGTTGAGAGGAGGTTTAGGGTGACGGAGGTTGCTTTGGCGATTATGTGGGTGAGTATTACACTACGATTTCGGGAGATCCCTGTCCTGTTCAAGGCGTCGGTTTTCATGATGCGTCTAACGTTCGTGGTTTATAGTGCTGTGCTTCCGCATATCTTTCTTATTTCTTTGCTGATTGTATGATGTCTCGATGGTTTGTTTGTCTTGGAGCATTGATGTCCCACGACAATTACTGATTGCTTTCTCTAGGCTTCTAAACTACACTCCTCCGGCTGTCGTGATCCGTCTCTTGACAACAAATGGCTTAATTGCCTATATCACTTCTTGGGTGACCTATCTTTCTGGCGCATCTTCTGATCCTCGACACTTGCTCCCGGCTTGGATCTCCATTACAACAGTAAGAATTCCGTCTTGCCCTGGACGCCCTGCACATACAAGTCAGGAAATATACTCACATGCGAATACAGACTCTTACATTCGTCTACCATGCGACCCAGAACCACACAACAATAAAGCGCGAAACAGCGGCTTCGTTACTCGTCGTTTCAATTGCCAGTTTCTTAAGCATGTCCTCGCTTCTTTTGCAGCTGCATTTGACCCGAGAGAATGACCCAGAAGTTCCTCTCTTCGTGATAACGCAGAAACTTTGGGACTGGGCTGTGACCATCTTCATGCGCATGCGCGTTGCTGACGACCGAGTTCCTACAGGAAAAGCTTAGCTGGTCTTCCCCCTCCTCCCTTCTCGAAGCCTTCCATTGTTCCCCCCTTGATTTCACACGACAGGATGAGAATATGCGCACAATCGGCAGATGCTGGACGCGGGAGCAACAGCATGGGCTGGATCTGTATATTTTTGGGATTTTTCCTGTTGTTTCTCCGGGCTCGACATCACATTTCTTTCCTTGCTTGATACGACTTACTTTCTCATACCCGATAGGTCTTTGATAGATCTAATATATTCCCCCATTTCCCTCATTTGGAGTGTCGATGCGAATATATATACGAGTAGTCTCGTAGTCGAGGGTGTAGTTCATTGTTGATCATTCTAAGGCTTGCTCCAAAGTCTTTATAAAATATTGAATTTGGCAATGTACTTCAAAGTTGGCAGCAGGGTCTTGCGTAATGCTAGCCGACGATTAGGCTGATTTATCTACTGTCCAGAGGTGTTTAAAAAGCTACAAATGGGGAAGAAATCATATCTTGAAAGAATTCCATGACTAGGACTAGTCAAAACACACGTGCGGGAACCAGAGGGGTAGGGTGAAGAATAATCAACGGTAGTGACCGACAAAGCCGGATCAACACAACACGCTCCTGTCCCTGATCTCCTCGATCCAACCCAATCAATATGAAACCGCGGGACAAGACGAGTGAGCGGCACGACATGGGCAGCTCTTGAAGGCGAAATAACAAAGCGCGAAAAAAAAACATGGACGAAAAAGCATCTCTCGGATGCAGATCAGGGTATCTCCCAACGCCTCGTTCCGTCATGATCCTATCTGGAAATAAAACACTGTCGAAAGGACACGCTTTCCGTCATAACGCAAAAGTCAAATCAATCTGGAGAACATATCGTGTCGACAGTAGACGCAAGTCAAGCACACCAGGCACGGAGGGTGGAAGAATAGAGAGAAGGTCGCTCGGCCGGCAGCTGAACATACATAGCATGCTCCCTTCTCCACCGCTCACGGGGTGACATGGACTGGTAAGAAAGGACCGGAACAAAGCATGACGATGGGATTAGAAACCGTGGACCTTGATGGTGTCAGGCTTCACGCCAAGACCCTTGGGCAGGTCGTCGTCGTCCAAGTCCTTGTCGTCGGACTTCTTCTCTTTCTTCTCCTTCTTATCGGGATCAGCGGAGGCGGCAGCGGCCTTCTTCTTGGCCTTCTTCTCCTTCCTGCGCTGTCGCTCCTCGTCCTCGGGATCAGGCTTGGTAATCAGGTACTCGTGAGCAACCTTACGCTGGTCTCCTTGCAGCTGGATGACCTTACCCATCTCAGGGTCGTTCACGATGTTACCATTGCAGGCTAGTTGAACGTTAATATGCGTGGAATTCTGCGCCGGGTTGGGTTGGGGAGCTTACCAAAATCAGCCTTCATCTTCTTCAAGATGGCCTTGTGGTTGCGTCCATCGCCAAGGCCCTGGATGGTAGTCAGAGTTTTACGGCCATTGCGTTCTGTGCAAAGTTAGTATGTGATAGGCATGGATGGCGAGGGCCTAGAGGAGCAACTTCGGTGGAAACGTACGCTGGATCCGAATGTGGATGTAATTTTCAGTCTTAGGGGTCTCGCCAGCTTCTTCGGCTTCGGCGAAGGGGTCTAAAAACAAGGGAGTGTCAGCTATAGTTCGTGATAGTATGAGGGGTTTACCCCGCCATCGTGGACACGGCGCTAAAGAGACGACGAGAGGTATGATGCCAATCAATAATTTGTGCAATGCGGCAAACCCCCTCGCATTCACATAGACTTGATCGCAGATATTATACGTGTAGGAAGGACATGGGGCGAGTGTCACGAGGCGGAAGGGTGGTGGCGATCTTGACTTACCGAAGGTCTTGAGGTTTTCGATGGACATAAACTCGGCGGTTGGCGACGAAACTTCCTTAAAAGTGGTATTGATAAAGAGAGCTTGTTGCGAGATTCAATATCTCTGAGGGACGAGGGTTCGTCAAGAGTGTTGTGAGAATGAGAGAAGAAACGGTGGAACTGATGGGTGAAGAAGATTTGGACCTGAGCGGCAAACCCTTATGAGGAGTCACGTCGGGGGCAGGCGGTGTGTGACTGGGCACATGCCCCTCTTGGTCACGTGGCACCAAACGAAACGGAATGAACTAGAAGCAGTCGCCACGGGAAAATATCCCATCTGGGCTATCTATGCCCAATTGCTTCTACTTACTTGCGATTACAAGGGGCCATATGCCCAAATCCCGTTGTAAAATTCGTAAATTATTAATGTATGGTTACAGAGAAATGAGTTCAGCCTGGGTATTGGTACATCCCGATTCGATGCGCACTCAGGCTTCGTCCCGTAGTCTACCAAGAAGCCCGGGCTAATTGGTGACAGTCACATGTCCCCTCCAACAACGCATGGCTTTACATAGAGCTACAGCGGGACGCTGCGGCGAGGCCTTAAATGAGACAGCGTTGCGGATATCTGTGCAAATCATCCGGTCATGCGGATGGCACATTGGCACCGGGAGCGGCCTTCGCCTGGGGAGGCATGAAGAGGGGGAAGTATGTCTGTTACAACAGAGTTAGAAGGTCAAAAATGACGGTGACGTTCAGAGGCGGAGACATACAACGAGGAGAGCCATCACTAGAAAGCTCTTGATTAGCTTGGACCTTCATAACATTCACAGGTCGGACGGACGGCGGACGACTTACGAGACATGAAGACAGACATGTAAGCTGGAGTTGCAGCATTCTTCTTTTGTTCGGGAGACTCGGCAAGCCATGACTGAAGAGAGAAGACAAATGACACCCTGCACGACGATTAGCCACCCCGGCAAGCATTGAACTCGGGCCAGTTATCACTCACCATCCAATCATTCTGCGAGAAGAAATCTAGAGTCAATACAATCAAATCCATTGATCCGGGGCAGCGAATCCAGGCTCACCGGTTACGCGTGAACATCTGCCGGGACTTGTTAGTGGTGTCCGTCATCGAAATGGAGTGACACAGCGTACCGCTGCCATAGGCAAAGTGCTCGACATAGTGCCTAGATCATACTGCATCAGAACCAATGGTTTTGTTTGAAACGGAAGACCACGGGAGGAGAGGAGAATCGCGTACTGGACATGTCGCCATCGCTGGCACTCTTGGGGGGCTCGATGTAGGGGATGACTGCGGAATAGGGATTAGCCAGTATCACAGAAAAGCCAGCCGATGCAACCAACCGAGGTCCGCTCGTCGCATGTCTTTGTTGGAAGCCATTGTGGAAGGAACACGGAGGGAGGGCAATTGCTGGTGAAGGCAGAGACCGACGAGGTCGATGCCAAGCCCCAGTTCCCCGGGCAAACCAGACTAAACCTAGTGGGGATAGCAATCCCCCGTACTTCGTTTCCCCCGACTTGGAAATTTTTTTCAGGATCTCGGATTTCAGATTTTAGACTATTTGATGATATTCGGTAAAAACTATTCTCTCATCTGTATCATGCCTGCTTGGACATGATCGGGCCACTGCATCTGCATCTACCGATCGTCCGATCTGGGAGGGACCTCGAGTGCTGGAAGCACCGGTGAGGAAATGGACTTGGGCCTGCTGAATGCAGTGCAGATCCGTGTGCAACCCCCCATCACCTCCTTGCTTATTTGCTATACGTATGCACCCCGTGTACATCTACCGCGTTGGCTGATTAGGCAATGTGGCCCTACGTGATGCGCCGGGGAACCAAAGCCACACCGTACGATAGCACGAGAGCCGTGTAGCCCAGCCGAAGGTGGGCCGATGCGGAATGTGGTCTCGGAGATCAGCGGCTGAGATCAGATGCTTGAAACGCGGAAAGATACCAAAAAAGCCAAAGAGCCATTGAGAATCAGTAGGGATTGGATCCGGAGCCTGTTCCGCAGAGCTAACCGGAATTCATGATTCACGGGGCAAGCTGCTTGGAGTCAAAGGCTGTACAACCTGGCCCCCTTCCTACTGGGCGTATCAGGGTTATCTCGAGTCGGCCTTAGCCCTTAAAGCCCGATCTCATAAGATCTGGATGGAGGCGTGACTGGAATTATCCGCGGCCGTTACTCGGCAAATATGCGGACCCTAATGGGGCGAATGGTTCCGAGAAATGATTAATGGGAAATGAGAACGGAAAAGGTCTAGGGATGGTCCTGGTTGGGATCTAGGGACCTAGAACTGTACTCCACTGTAGAGCATTCCCGGCTGTACGTGTACGGCGCGGAGGCTGCATACGACTACTTGGGCCTAAGAAAAACAATCTCATCCAACACCAATTCGCCCGGAAAACCCACGAATAAAAGCACGTCAAAAAATTCTAAGAAAAAAGAAGCACAATTAGGGCCGGTGTGGAGGCGCCAAATCACTTGTCAATCCCGGCCTTTTGCAGGTGGAGTCTGCCACGGAGGAGAGCGGAGTGCTGGTTTGGCCCGTGACTTGGGGCTATCGCTTTCGCCATAAACACCGGTTGATAACGCCTTGGGCTCGATCCCTTTCTCCTCGTATAACCCCCGAATTATTGACATATGTCCGGTTCCAACTCTCTTTCCACCGTCCCTTAACCCTCCGAATTGCCAAGACACCTCCCGCCCGCGCGAACCGCTTGACCGCGATCGAGCCACACCACCTCTCTCCGGTGAACCGAACGCTGGCTGGCTGGTTCCAGCGCGTCCAGCCTCTTGGCTATATAGATGATCGAATGATATCATTTACAGACGGAACACGATGTGCCTAAGATGATACCCCATTCTTCTGGCGGCCAACCATGGGGCCATCCCATGAACCGAACACTAAATGGTGGCCCCGGGCGAGTCGATCTAGCGCAGCTGTCTGCCCAGTATGATTCGCCAATGACCTCGCAACTACCTCTTCCTTCGCCATCACTACCTAGACCCTTGTCGCAGAACCGCCCGGTGGTCGACCTTACGAGCGCCGAGTCGCAAGATCGGGAACCGGTCCCGAAACGACCCAGGCTCGATGTTCCCAGTGGCCCGAATTCGAACGAGCCAGGCTCCACTGGGAATGGCGGAGAAGCGAGGAGTACTCCTGGTAGTGCTGGGTCGCGGCCTCCTCCTTCGTGGCGTGGTCGACCGATGTGGTCGTTCCAGGCTGTCATGTCTGAACTGCCAACCGCTGAGAACCGAGGAGAGCATGCGACGGGCGCGAAATCGACTTCTCCTCCTCCACTCCCCACGCAATCATGGAACGTTGCGTTATCTGAAGTATCAGGAGATGGGGTCTCCAAGTCCCGAGACCCCTCTCCGGATAAAAAAGTTCAAACTACACCTTACCGCATTGCGGTCCCTTCTGTGGCTCCGGTCCTTAAAGGTGACAGTAAGTCTCATGATTCTTTCTGCAGAGCCGTGTTTCTGGGTTGCTAACGACTCCGCAGAAGTCGCCGATTTCACGCCGTGGACGGGAAATCACCCGGAGGACGTCCTGAACGAATCGACTGCCAAGCAAGGGTACTACGATCGGACGCAGGTTTCCCAAAACGAATCTAACACCGCCCGTCCCGCCTTATATACTCAGTTGAAACATCGTACTGGCTTGCAGATGCTATCAACTGTCTTCGCCGCCGCACTGGAGAAACGAAGGAACCATAATACCGTTCATGCACCCTCCACCTTCAAACCTCCCCCCGCGTGTTACTCTCACTGACAATAAGCGAGAGGCATGGCTGCGAGACCTCGCTAATCCAGCTGTTTCCCTACGTCGACTGAGCAGGACCATCCCGCATGGCATTCGAGGCAAGGTTCTTCTGAGACCAATGTCTCGGGAAATGGATCCCGGCTGCGCGGGCCGTATGGCTCGCTAAATGTGTTGGCGCAAATGAGATTCGTGCTTTCAAGCGCAAAGGAACAAGCGGTGCATTGGCTGTGGGTTTAGAAGCAAAGTGGGTGCGTGATTGGACCACCAGTGTTCAACAATTTGTAGAGGGCGTATTTGGTGCCCCCAAAGCTCCGGACTGGAAGACCAAGATGACTTACGCAGTCGGACTGACTGCTCGCCTGTTCTTTGAAAACCTTCTGGATCATGATCATTTTCTTGAATGGTTCTTGGCGTCATTCGAATCTGCTTCTTTGGCTACAGTTCCTGTCTGGCTTTTGATGCTTGGAATCTACTGGAACAACCTTCTGCGGTACCGCAAACGGGGCCGGAGACTGGCCGAGCTTCTGCTCGACAAACTGTCGAAGGTAAGTGATTAACTAAGATTCTTCTGCTCTGGCCTCATTCTTACGGTTCATTTCAGGCCACGGAAACCAAGTTGCAGGCCCTGCAGCCGCTAATTGATCGCTTAAGCCGTTTTGTCAACAAGCTGGTCTACGAACATACTTCATCGATGATTCTACCAAATTCATGGAATAAGTATAAAGCGCAAATCTCTTCGTGCATGAACTTAGCACACCATGTGGATCGTGCCTTATTTCAATCGCTCCTAGAACGCAATGCACGAATCCAACGACCTGCTAATTCCAAACAAGAAACAAAACGGACTCCCAATCAACGCCTCATTCGCCTTCTTGACTCAGTTCGCTCTGCGCAGGACATCTCAACAGTGTCTGAGGCCTGTTTAGATACACTGGAAGATCGGGCTGTTCTCATTTCAAAACTCATGGAATGGATTGCGACCCCGTTCCGATATGGCATTTGCCGAGTTTACGTTGGCGTTCGTCTTTTACGAAAATGGAAGGGGAGTGGGATCGATGTCGACGATCATATACTCAGTTTCCTCAGCCGAATGGGGGGGAAAAGGCTAAACTTGAACAACATATACCATGCTATATCTGAGCTTGTCAGGTCACAGACATTCTCAGTCGGTCGATACCTCCAATGGCTCATGGCCAAAGGCTCGGCGAATCATTCGTCCGATGAGAAGTTATCCGTAAGTGCTCAGATGGTTCTTTTTGGCCCTCATACAATACTGATGCCTAGTATAGCTGCATGACCTGCCAGGTGATATCGGTTTGATCGCCCAACTTCCGGTCGGCAGGCTTCCAGAACACGTCAGGAACTTGCGCAATACGTTGTTGGTCCGAACGGGCTTACAGCCATCCGTCGAAAATTCCACAATCGCCAGCGTGAAACAGTTGATCAGTCAGCGGCTCCCCGAAATCTTCGGCGGCGAGGTTTATGCAGAATCGCCTCTAGGCTCGCTGACAGATGACTTGAGCTGGGCGATTAAAGCCGAGATTGGCCAGTGGTTACGTCGAGGCGTTGCTGACCATTTCCGTGATGCGTCAAGTTCAAGCATTCGCCCTGCACCTCCTTGCGATATACTTCCACTAGTATCGGCACTGACGCCCGACGAGTTTTATAGTGTTCGCGAGATCTTGGAAACATTCGGCGACATTTCTATGTTGGCGGATGTATTGCGGTGCGCCTCAAGCTCTGATGACAGCACTGTTCTTGCTTCGGTGGCCGACACCACTAATCGCCATTTCGAGTCGCTTTGCGTGATTGGAGCCACTCCAGATCTGTTTCGAAGACTCGTGGATGCCTATGCTGGCATCAAGAGGTTCGCTCCGCCGAGTCTCGATCTAATGTTCTCGTTGATCGAACTGGGTCTACGCATCCCAAACGAACTGAATTCTGTTATCATTCTCCGCCAAGATCTTTCCCGCATGGAGAACAAGACCGTCCTCGCAGCGTCCTCACCGGTCTCCGACCACATCCCTGACTCTTTCAATGATGCGGACCCCATGTTCCGCGAAAAACTGGACCAACTCCTGCTTCCTGGAACCGTCATGGATGAGCCCACCTTGGACACCATCTTCTCTACTTTGACGAAGCATCTGGAGTCTGGCTGTGGACAAGTGAAGCTATCTGCCAACGATACATGTCTGTATTTGGCGCAGTTGCGATCTTTCCAGCCCAAACATTTCGATGGGGCTTTGGCTCGATGGGTCTGCGCGCATCTACGGTCTCCCGATCGAAGTATCTTGTTTAGTGTCCTTCCCTCTCTCATCGGGGTTGGATGTGTCACCATCAGATCGTTCCTATCACTACTCAAACGACTGAGCCACTCTTCAATCCCACTTCCTAACGCAGCAAGCATCCCCGCAGACTTGTTAGGGCTTCTTGTGCCTCGGGAAAACGCCACTAGGTATCTTGATCTGGTAAGCATGTAGGATCTACCATGGGTTACTCACGAGATGACTGACATTTTCCAGGTTTCTTATCGATTTCAATTGGCACAACAAGAGTTTCTGTCCAAGAACACGGACGAAATTCTCGAGATCATATGCAATTCTGCATCGGGCCTTAGCTCTGAAAGACAGAGCCCCCTGGAGGATTCTATGATCATGCTGTTGCGCGAATTACTTGTGCGAAATCCGGCATGTACTGGCCAAAGCTACATGAAAAAGCTTGTCAGTCAACACCCCGTAGCCACGAAAGCTCTACAGAAGGCTCTCGATGACTTGCTCGGTTTTGATTCGCAAGAGGGTACGTGACTATTCTTTCTGATTGGGAAGACGCAAAAAGCTAATTTCTGTCTCAGACAATTCGATCATGCTGGAGGTCGAGAAGCTGGCTAGCACTACGGATGACTTTTCACTCCCATTCTGCCAGTTGAAACTGCAAGTTCTCTTCCGGAGCGAGACTACGGGTAACGAGCAAACCAACATTGTGGATGCAATGTTCAAGACTGTTGTGGCCGATTCACGGGTACACAGGCTCCACTGGGTAGATCTCGTTGCTCTCATGAGTCCAGAGTCCGTCTGCCAGATTCGAGAACGAGCTGAAAGGGAGCTCTTTGCCATCCCTCTGCTTGAAGATTCTAACCCGATCAATGGCCTTTCAACGGGCAGCATTGAGTCTTTAGAATCTGCGAAAGTTTACCTGTCTATCATCGAGGAGCTCGCGGGTACAGTCCATCACCCAGGGACGTCGTCCATTGCTCCAGTCCTCGTTGAAAAGATGGAAGCTTTGCTTCACAAGATCATCACAGCACAAGCTAGCGTCAAGCAAGCTGGCGACACAAAGGCTGGATCTACACCCACAACAGGGCGAACATACTTTGAGCGGTCTCTCGCGTTCTGGTTTTCAGCCCTCTTGCGAATGGTTGTCCTTCATCGCGCGTCCTTCACACAAACCTCGCCGAATTTGAAGGCCCCTTCTGCCCAGGAGCAGTCCCGCTTGTTGATCTGTATCCTCTGTATTGCACTGTCCCGCCTCCCGGGTGACCTGTTACGGCTGTTCCCAGGTGCCGACTACTTCCCTCACCCAGGAACCTCGGAGCCCTACCACCCTTGTCCAGGCATCCTGCTGCAGACACATGCTCTCGATGTTGCCGCCTCGCTCATCGACGTCTTTCCAGACGAAATTCGCCATCATTGCTGCCGCTTCCTGAAGGAGAAGTGCCCTCCCTTCGCGCCGCTCCAAAACGATTCTCGTTTCCTTTATCTCCTCGGCCCAACCGTCGATGCTTACTCCCATGGCCTCCTTCAGTCTGCCGCAGCTTCATCCCCAGCTGCATCAGGCTCCACTTCCACCCCTGCCCCTGCCCCCACAAACATCCCTGCTTCGAACCCATCCTCCCAAGCTGCCTTTATCCCCGCAGCCGGCACCGCCAGTTCCACCGAAAACCCCGACTGTGTAACCAGCCGCCTCCGTCTCCAGCACCGCGGCCGAATCGTCGGTCCCTACCCGATCCGCGCATGGGAACTCTTGGAAGACGCTGCGCCCTTCGTCGGAGCAAACGACACTGCCGTGAACCTGGGCTACTTCGATGCCCGGCGCGTGCGCGTGTGATTTTCGATTTTGCCGTCCTCAACCAACCGGACAGTTTCATGTCCTTCCCATTCTCGCATATATTCTGCCTGGCATACAGCGCTCGATCCTTCAATCCATCCTGCCTATCTCATCAAATATACTCCTTTCTCACGCTCACGAGGCGCGTCCCCTTCTCCATAGCGTTAATATTTCCGTCTGCTTCTGCTCGTCTGGGCTTCTTTGCATGCTTCTGCTGGGGTGAGGAGCTTGGCGCTGTAAATTTCTGAGTGCGGATCTTCTGCTTCTTCTGCTTCGTTTCTTTTTTTTCATCCATACAGCGGAGTTCAATGCTCGGGGTGGTTTTTTTTTGTTACGTTATCATTTTCTTCGCCTATTTCGGCTCAGCAACAGATAGGCCAACAATCTATGGTTCTGGACAATTACATTTGACAAGCATGCGCCCAAGGCGCAGGCTGATATCCAATCGAAGCCCTTGGTTGCCAGTTGATGGTTTACAATCATGCAAAACATACTAGCCATAAGAGGCATATGTAGCTTTACGATGGCAAATACTCCAACTACTAGGTGCTGCTCTGCTCTCTAGTGTGTTCCTTGAAATAAAAGCAATGGATTCAGTAGTTAATTCACAAATCGCATGAGACCAGGCATACGGAGTCCTATTGAGCCCCGAGATATGTACTCGCCCTCAAGCCAGTTTTTCAGTTCCAGTCGGAGATCTTGGCGGACCAGCTCGATCTACCAGGAATCTTGTCCCCCGAGGCCGGTCTAGATATCTCTGAAGGTCATGTCGATCCACTTGAACGCAAACTGAAAGGCAAAAAGAAAAGAAAAGAAAAGGTTCATCTTGGATAACCGAAATAAGAGATACAGATAACAAGCGCGTAGGCATGAATCCGTTGGTTGTCATGCATCCTACCGAAATATCAAACCCCGGAAATTTGTAAAGGCTCGAAAAAAGGACAAAAGAAGGAAAGAAGAAAGGCAGAAAAGAAGAATAGAAGGACAGAAGGATAGAAGGATGAAAGAACAAGGAAGGAAGGAGGAAAGATGAAGCTGAAAGCAGGAAGCAGGAAAGAAGAAGAAGCAGTAAAAAGAACCCGGAAAAGGCGTAATAATTTCGGAAGAACACCAACCTCCCCTTCCCCGGGCCCTCGCGTGCTCACGTAGTCTTAGACGAATAAGAGCGCGCCAGGGATCCGCTTCGCGAACCACTGGGCTTCAACTCCGCTTCTTCTTTTCCAGAGTCTTTGACTTGGTCTTCATCCTGAGCCGCGGTCGCACACTGTTGCAGCTCCTTCGCTTTCCTCATCTCCTGTTCTGCGAACAAGGACAAGGCCACTTCCTCAATCATCGCCTGATTATCATCCCAGCCTCTTTCGACAGCCGCCTCTTGTGCATAATATCTGAACTTCTCAAGGGGAGAATCGGTGAGCGCGCCGGGACATTTGGGTGGCGGCAAGTTCAAGTTCGAGCTCCCCTTGGACGCGACTGCAGAACAATGAGAAATATGTGCAGAGAGTTGCGGTGATGGAACGACGGTGCGGATCTCCTGTGTTTCCTGCTCGGAGCAAGATTCATCAGCTGCCGACTGATCGTCCACTTTTCTTTCATGCTTCTCAGTGATCTTGAAATCATCTTTGCGTTCCTTCTTCGGCGAGCCTGGATCGGTGAAAGGCGTCGATGCTAATACGGGTGAGTTTGTCTCCGTTTTATTATCAATGTCGGCTTCAACGACCTGGGGTGTCTTCTTCGAAACTTCTAATTGTGAGATCTGGGCTGTAAAATTTTCCAAATCACACTTTGGCGTGATGATTCCTTTGTCGTCTGCGCGTTCTGTCTCGCCCTCGGCTGTGGAGTCGCTATCGATCTGAAGGACAGATGCGTCATCAGACTCACTGTCATGGATTCGGATGAGCTCAGGCCTCTTCTCCGGAGTCCTTCGTTCAAGTAGATCCTCGATAGTCACTTCCTTGTCTGGCTCTCTGGTGGACTTACTGGACTCAGGCGTCTTGGATGCGGTCGAGGCTGGCTTGGGCTGATGGTAGTGTCGCGGGTGATGTCGACCCATCGGTGGAGGCGGAGGTAGTATATACGGCTCCTGGTATGGACCATTGAAGCCAGGAGCAAATCCTGGATCAAAATACCCGCCTGGATGATTGACAAACCGATTGTCCGGCGCAAAGTTCTCTCCATAGAATGGAGGAATGGGAGGAATGGGAGCACTGTATGGCGGGTGACCGTTGACGATGAGGGGACAGTGGTTGAAGGTTGGTGGGAACGGAGGCGGAGGAAGGCCTTGAGGATGAGGATGTAGGAATCCAGCTGGTCCATTGAGTTGGACGAAGGGCATTGGATGAGGCTGAGGCAGGAACTGAGGGTTGATGTCGTGATACGGAGCATGGCTCATAGAAGAATGGACCAAGGGCTCAGCATGCCCGAACGAAGACCCGCTACCATTGCTGAAAGATCGCCGAGCTTGGTGATCAGGCTGATGTCTGTTGTACCCGCGGTTGATATTTCTGTAATTGGAGAAGCCCCCGCGTCCAGGAGGCGCACCACGCCCAGCGAAGCCTCCGCGAGCAGGGGATCCTCCGCGTCCTCGCCAGTTACTGAGTCGAGAAGGGTGGGTGCCACCATTGCTGGGCGAGAAGGATAGCGCATGGGGTCTGTTACGAGTGTAACGGCCCTGGTTGGAGAATCGAGGAGTACTGCTGCCGTTGTCCATGTCGAGTAATTTTAGATAAAACTTGGTGTCTTTTTGGAAATGCTAGGAAAGCAGGATCAGTCTCGACGCGTCAAAGCAGAAAAGGGCAGTTAATTTACCTTGATTGCGTCGCGGCAGTCATCAACGTAGGCAAACGTAACTCTGCAGACGTGCACGTATTGATTAAGCCCGATGGGCCATGGAATGATGGAGTAGCACTCAAGGGTACCGCGCTTGTCGAGAGCCTCGTGGATCAGGGGAAGAGTAATGGGGTCAAAAGAGTGAAGACCTAGAATGGCAGTTCCTTCCTTCCAGTCAGCGTGGCAGAATAAAGAAGGGACTGAGGGAAAGAAGGCGAAAGAAACTAAGTCTCCAGCCCTGGAAGACTCACTTTGACCTTTCGCCCTTTCGATTCGCAGCCACCGATCATGCAGAATCAGGCTTCCATCGATATTCAGCACGGCCGCCGCATCCTTTTGTTTCTACAGCCTAAATTAGGAGCTCGTTCGACCATGCCACGGGGCCCAACAATGAACAATGGCATTCAAAGGAAAGCATGGCGGGACTTGCCTCGAATTGCACAAAGGCCCCGGGGAGGCCCTTCTTCTTGTCCAGCTTGATCTTTACATGACATGGCCCAAAGCTCGAAAACAGCTCTTTCAGGTCTTCGGCCAGTTGATCGTTATCTACCTTCGTCGACAGACTGAGTCGATCCTGTTAGTTTCAAGCTCGCGGTGCTGGTTCAGATCGCTGATCCACATACTTTCCCACAAATATACAGGCATCTGGAGGGAACAAACCCTGTGCATTCTTCGCTGAGGGTTCTTCCCTCAGACGATCCTCTCGCTGGGGATATCGGGCTTCGTCCTTTGGATCGGCCCTGACGGCGGCCATGGCGTGCCTATAAGGAGACCGAAGCTGTAATTATGTGGAAGCAATATAGATCTTGAAGAGTATGAACAGAAGATAGATACAAGATGCGGACAAGCTGCGTGTGAAATAGAATGAACTCTCCAGATCCTCCGCCGACAGTTTCGTAGAAGGAAAGCTCGCTTAGACATTGCTAATCCCGTTTGAAGGAGTTCCTATCCCAAAAGCAATCGGCCACGACATATGGCTGCTCTCATAGGCTAGAGAGGACTTTCAACTATGGTTTTACTCAGTCCCGAACCTTATCTCATAGACCCATACAAGCTGAACTCCATTGCCTGTCTTGCCGTAAGCTCTGCTCATCAGATGTAGTCGCCATAATTTGCTTTGGAGGACGATCTATATCCGTGGATCGTGGACCCTTTTGAGGCCGCCCCGGCCAATCTCCCAACGCGGACCCCGAAATGGCTTGTCGTGCAAATCATGACGCTTTTGAACTTGGGCCATGAATTGTCGTCAAGCGGCGGCTGGAAGATTTGCACAGGGCTCTACTATCACTAGATCGTGACCTTGCTTCATTTCATATTCGCAAGGTAATCCGCGCTATGAAAAAATGATAAGTTCAAGGTTTGCAGTCATAGTCTAGGAATAGATCTGTGGCTAATTCCCGGAGGGCTACAACTTACCGTGGATATTCTCCATTTTGCCAATAGAACTATTGGGCGTGGCATTGTGAGTAGAACCCTGGCACAGCTCAGTCCAGCCCAAGGCATTGTCATAGTCGGAAAGCCCAAGTTGCCACAGGCTTTTGTATGGGTCATTGTCGCATCAGTCTGCTCCAACGAAATTTCCACATTATGCCATGTTTCTTTGAAACGAGCAGGTTTGGGTGTATGAGAGAATTGTGGCCACTGGTTCAAGTCGAAATATATGGCTGAAAAGCGAGGGTTGACGCTACCCTATGAAACTTCTTCTGCTCAACTTTGCCCGCCTCTCATACCATCCCTGGTGCGGTGTCCCTAGGTAGGCCAGACCGAGATAAGCTAAGGATTGTTGGCATAGCGGGTGATCGGAATATGCCGACGGTCCTTCGGAATGCCATGGAGTTCACGCCCCAACCTCTTCTCAGTGTCCCTCGAGATACCCTCTGATAGCATCTCTAGGAGAGAAAAGACATGTTATCGAGAAGTTCAAACAGTCTGCTCCACTTAATCCAATTAGCGACTTAGTACCTCTGTTGACATCCCTAGGTGTCGCTATGTAGAGAGAGTGAAGAAGAAGGAATCAAGGCAGTAGATCGATTTCAAATGATAGGCTGCTCCAAGAGGTCTGTGCATTCCATCAACGTATACTGTCTCTTCAAGGTTCTATTGTATGAAAGTATATTTGAGCTATCCTTCACCCCTTGGGTAGTATCTATGATTAGTAGAATACGTTGATAAGGGACGCGGCCCCCTGCTCGTAAAATGTCCTGTAAATCGATTCATTTCTTCCTTTCTCTTCTCGTTTCTCTTCTCGTTTCTCTTCTCGTTTCTCTTCTCGTTTCTCTGCGTAAACACTCCGATGGATATCAACAAAAGTCCCAAGAGGCCACCTTCCAATAGGGGCGGAGGGAGAGAACTTATACAAAAGCAAGTTGGACACTCGAGAAACAATAGGATGGTAAAAAGAATAGATGGGAACATTCAAGTTTACTAATATATATACAATGAACAAGAACACATTAGTCGGCAATACCAGGAGCTCTTCCGCCAGATATGCCTTGATAGACATTAGAGGAAGAAACCCTATGCGAAAAGCACGACAATCCAAACGCAAAAAATGACAGAAGACACCATAGGAATTGGAACTCCAAACTAGACAGACTTTTTCACGTCCATTAAGATTACCAGGCCCTATGGGGCCGATTCCGATATGCATCTTATGAATAGATAGATAACCATTGTTTATCTAATCATCGTCGAATATCTGGAAGGTGTTATTGAGGATTGTCTCAATCACACGGACTTGCCAGCCGGCGTCTGCAATATTGCCACCGGTATTGGCGCCCATCAGTGTTGGTCTGTCATGATCGTGTCAGTTGAGGGTGGTAAGGGGGCTGAGGCTAAGATGAAGCTTACCCAAAGCAAATGGCCAGATTGCCGGCATTCATACGGTTCTGAGTATAATGCTCTTGGACCTTGTGCAGGTGCTATTGAGAGGGTGTGTTAGATCATGGACATGCTAATCATGAGGGAAAGGCATACCAGAATGATAGCACGCAACGTCGCATAGTGAGCATCAGGAAGGTTGTTGATGAGAGCGTGCATCGAGTCTCTCCGTTGAATATCATCCTCAATACCTAAAGATCAATTATTAGTGCAGGGATTGAGATCGGGCTATGGCAATGACTTACGTGCCGCCTCGATGAACTGAGAATAATATTGATTTGTGAACAGGGGGTCGGGGAGATCCCTGAAGAACTGTTTCACAAGCCCGGCAACACTGTTGACATCGTGATAGAAACTCTCCGGGTTTGTAAGGTCTACTTGTGAAGAGTCTGATTACGGCGTCAACATTGCAACTACATATGGATTTTCCCAGGGAACTCACCATTGTCAAAGAGTGCCTTCATGTGGCTAATATGATTAGCACTACCCGAGAGTCGATATATACCCTCCAAGTCTAACCCAAACAGCTCAATTGCCTGGAAGCATTGATATACAATGAATGGCACTGCAGTTCCATCACGCGCGTACAGATCCTCCAAAGACACTCCAAAGACGGGCTTCAGTGGAGGTAGATTGGATGGGGGACCAGTCGTAGGGGGCGGAGCAACCGGGGGAGCTTCATGGGCGGACGGGAATGGGGGTTGGGGCGACCCAGTTGGTGGCGGTCCTTGGGCCGGCAACTCGTTCTGTACTGAATAGGATGATGCCTGGAAGGTACTCGAAGCTGGCTGGCTTGGGGAAGACATATTTGGTTGCTGGAAGACCATAGAAGATTGGCGTTTAGCCTGAGGTTGGGAACCCGTAGATGCCCCTCCTCCGCCGAGGGTCTAGGGGTAGTGTTAGTGAGAATGATGCCTCCTGGCACACAAGAGCTGTGGACTTACAGGATGACGCTCGTATTGTACCTCAGGTCCGGCCACAGCACCCGGGTTGCCTGCATGACTCAAGATAAAGTCGCGCAGGTCTTTCTCATTATCTACCTGCCGAACGACCTCCGCGAGGCTCTTCGGCCCGATGCCGTTGGCGTCAGCCTTAATCGGACTGACGCAAAGTCCCTGGCTCAGGAGGAGTTTTTCATTGAATGTGGCTGTAGTTTCCCATTAGTGGCTGTAAATGAGCCCATTGGTTGAGATTTCAAGTGGTAGCTTACCAAACTTCTGCTGCTGCAGAGTCAATCCAGAATCACACTCCGAGATGAGCTGCTGGAGGTTATACACGGCTTGCGGCCGGTGGGTATTCACCAACTCCCGACGTGCCATCTGCGCCGCCTCGACCTTAGATTGATAATCGCTGTCGGCATTCTGGACCTTCCGCAGAAGCTCCTCCTCATGCTGCGCGGCGGATTTGTGGCCCTTCAAACCGAACTTCCCGCCTGTCTTGTCGCCGGTGCGCACGCGGTCATACTGCTCGGCTAATGTGTCGTACTTGGCCTTGGCCTTCTCCGCCTGCGATTCTGCCTCGTTGACACGCTTCTCCGCAGCCAATCCTGTCTGCTTCCACTGCTTGCGGCCGCGCTCCATGTTGGTGGATAGTTCCTGGAGGTCGTCCGACATCTGTTGGAGTGACACAGCGAATTGAAGGCCATGATCGGCCATGCGTTCGTGTATTCTTTGGATCTCCTTGTAGCTGGCGCTGTAGGTGCCCTGGCGGTTATCAGTGCGCCCCGCGGCATCCTGGACTGTGCGGGCCAGTTTCTTCAGCCCCTGAGCATGTTCCTCTTCGAGCGCCGCTCTCTTCTTTAGGAAAGTCGAGAAGTCCTGGTGAAAGGAGTCAGGGTATGCGACCAATTGCCTCCACTTGCGGCGGCTGAGGAGACGGACGAACCTTGGCAGATGCCACGCTTTGCTTTAAGCGGGCGAGAAGAGTGGTGATACCGATCTGCACGCGAGACGTTTGGAGTTAGTACGAAGAATCCGATCGCGTAAGGTGCACGAGACCGGCGTTGGCGCCACACACCTCTGAGTGAATAATGGTGTCCAAGCGAGCCTTCAACTCGTCGGAAATGGGGGCAGGCTGGTTGAGGCCCGACGCGGACGAGCGACCAGCGCTGCCCGGGGGCGCCTCGCCCAGGGGATGGTGAGCTTCAGGTAAAACGGAGTCTGGCAGCGCCGCGTCCGACATGGTGGAGAGCGGAATGGGAAGATAGGGAGGGAAGGCAAGCACGGGGGAAGAGGCGCTATTATTGTCAATATTGTCAATGACGGGCTTGGCGTGGAGTGGGGAGTTTGTTGGCGATCAATGAGGTCAGATCGCCGAATGCTGCCGCCTGTTCCACGGGGTGGCGCCAGGTACTCAGCCACAGTCCACACAATGTTCTTGGATCTTTCTCTTCGAATGCACTCTTTCAATTGTCATATGACCGCCATTATTGTTCCTAGGGGGCACCTGCGGTCGTTTGTTTCCTCCTCTACCAGCACTAGCATCCCGTAGCCTGAAACCCAATCCGGCCCCAAGAAGAAATGCCTCGGTCTGGTGTTCTATGAGGACTTTGGGGGTGCTAGTATCGGAGAGCACCCGGCAAAGGGAGTATTGCTAAGTGGAGTACTGCCACCCCGATCTTGTAACTAAACTCTGGCTCTCCTTAGAAGAGGAGCTCTTCCCCTCAAACGAGCTCGGAGAATGTTTCCCACGAGAATACTTTCCAATTGAGAAATTTCTGAAAGACCTTGAGATTCTGATTTTGACATGATCATTGAAAGGTCTGTCTCCCTCTCTTTTAGATCTAATCAGCAGTATATGCAGAGTCAGCATCAGCAGCCTTAGGAAGAGGCTTCTGTAGCTGATCTGGCAGAGATGGAATGACTGTTCCAATCGAGTTCTTCCCATGCTCAATTCTTTGGATAACTATCCATCTTCAATAAATCACTCTATCATACTAACATGGCGCGAGGCTTTAATGTCAGTGATCTCTAGAATCCGATGGAGCCATCAGGAAAAGGCTTCTCTTCGAGCTTCTGTATATATATATATTCATTTACCTCTCCAGGTATAAAAGCCTGTCTCATATTTTTCACAATAGCCACCACAGTGGAAATTTTCGATGTCGTCTTCTGCCAGACACATTTGAATGAAGTGGGAAGTGTTCGATGAGAGTGGGCTGCCTTCTATATTGCGCTGCCGCAAGAAAGGTTGGTAATGCGTAGGAGATTGGTGTTTTGCTGAAGGGAATATGTAGAGTGGTAGCCGTGGCATAGAGAGTAGCATCCTTCCTTACATACGATCATCAATTGGTGATAACACTCTGTTCAGCTCCATTGATTATTTTCCAGATTCAATCAGACATGCCTTCTACGCGGAAGAGGAATAGATACCCCAGGCATAGGTCCATCGGTTGACGAAAAACGACAAGCACTGAAAATCCACGGAACCTGCGTATGGATTCTTTGTAAGACAGCTCACGTGAAATGCCACGGTAAGAGGATAGGGCATTTTTAGAGCGGGTTAAGGGGTAAGCAAGAATGTGGAGGTAGAACCGATGGAGACCACTGCGGCGGGTCAGCATATCTCATCTCAAGCCCCACCGTGATCCGAGGCTTTCATGAAGCACCGTATCAGGTCTTTTTACCTTCCATACTGCTCATTGGATCCGTTGTCTCCAAGGCACAATCCATTCGGGTTCCGGATATACTCTTTTGGCTTGCGCCAGAACTTGAACTGCCTTAGGGCAGCCCTCATACCGACGTGTCCTGATTGAGAGCAGCCAACAATAAATGTCCGAAAATATGACAATTGTGGAAATCCTCACCGCGAAGCCTGACAAGCGTGACGATGTAAGAACATGATCTCCAAGCGCTCTGGGCTCATGGGAACTCCTGTGTCGACAGATTGTCGCCTACTTCGACGAAGTGGCTCCACAAACCACGAGCCGAATGTTTTGACCTACGACGCAAAAACGGTTCTCAATTAGAACGACGTGATTGTTGTCAAGAAGTATGCGCCGTATAAGCGCGCGAGGTGCTTTGAAACACCCATCGCCAGCCCCCTTGTTTCTCCAGGCCGCTACATCGACCAGCGGCAGTACTCCCAGCCTAAGAACCTACCTAATGACCTGTACTCCTTGATGGCTCCCAGGTAATTCCTCCCATATATATAAGAGCAGTGACGCCTTCGACAGTCACATGAAGTCGGCTCATGTGGGACAACTGGAGAAATTACCCGATCTTCTGGGGAAGCCCGCCGAGGCTCGGATTGGGGGATGCACCCGAGCGGAGATCGAGGGCCGGTGCGGCTGTAGATGGTGTTCATACTCTCTGTTATAAATAGATGGGCGTCTCTGGGGTGATTTGGCGTGCATGGCGCGCTCTCGTGATTGAAAGGGTATGCGATTGGTGCATAAGGGGAAGACTGGGAACACTTAGCGGCCAAGCAGATGGGGCGGACTACTCATAGCGCTCCGTGCCCCGTCAGGAAAGGAATCCAATCCTATCGCAGGTGCCATGTTTTATTTAGGGGGGCTCAGGGCCCAAGGACTGGACATGCGTCCATGGCGATCCTATTCCAGCAAGCCACCATGCTGAAGTTGACGTATAGTTTGTAGATCCGTCCCAGCTGCTTTAGGCCTTGTAGTACGGTCCCTGTTTGTATGTTCCACGGTATCAGGAGTCGCCGTCTCCAGTAAAAGATCAATATTTAGATGTGGGGACCCGAACCTCGAAAACATAATTCCTCTTCTCCCCCTAGAGCTTTTCTTTTAGCATCCTATCTTATCGAGCTTGGGTCTCCTTTTCTTTTTCTTTCTTTTTTTGTTGGTAAACTGCCGTTCCGTCTCCACCGGCCTTTCCTTCCCCCCCCTCTTCCCCTAGCTTCAACACGGCTCACCCCCTAAAGCTCACACCACCAGCTTCTCCGCGCTCTGGGTCCCCCGCCCATTGACATTTGGACCGCCCCCTTATCATTCTTCCTCTTCCCGTGTACATACTTTTGCACCATGGCGACAGGCCCGGCTACCCAATCGCTCAAGGTGAGCTGTCCGTGATGTCGAAAGGAAACGTCCCATAGCTAACATTCATTAGTGCGTGGTGACCGGCGACGGTGCTGTCGGTAAAGTCAGTATCTCGATATCTCCCTTCCCCAATATTACCATCCGATCTGATGATTGACCGGGCCCCCGTTGCTCTAGACATGTCTTCTCATCTCATACACAACCAATGCTTTCCCTGGAGAGTACATCCCGACCGTGTTCGTTCTCGCCCCCTTTTCAAGCACCGCTGCGATGGCCCGAAGACTAACAACACCGACAGCTTCGACAACTACACCGCCAGTGTGATGGTCGACGGCCGGCCGATCAGCTTGGGGCTTTGGGATACCGCGGGACAAGAGGATTACGACCGTCTTAGACCTTTATCCTATCCACAAACCGACGTCTTCCTGATTTGCTTCTCGATCGTCAGCCCTCCATCGTTCGATAACGTTAAAGCCAAGGTACGATACCTTTTCGACCACCCATTTTCAGATCTATCGCGCAATACCCCACCCCAATACCTTGTCTCCTAAGCTCGTTCACATGAGCTCTGTACCCCATCCATGACAAACATATTGCCAAAACCGGCGACTAACCCCGTTATGCACAGTGGTACCCAGAAATCGAGCATCACGCGCCCAATGTCCCCATTATTCTGGTCGGAACCAAGCTCGACTTGAGGGACGATCGCGCCACCACCGAGGCTCTCCGCCAGCGCAAGATGGAGCCCGTCTCCTACGACCAAGCCCTCGCTGTAGCCCGCGAGATTCGAGCACATAAGTACCTGGAGTGCTCCGCGTTGACACAGCGCAACCTGAAGAGTGTATTCGACGAGGCCATCCGGTACGTGTCCTGATCAGATGTGCAAATGCTTTTCTCTCCGAAAGCTGCGGCTTTATGATGCTTTCTTGGATCCTCTTACTGACTGCATCAGGGCCGTCTTGAACCCCCGCCCACCTCCCAAATCCGGGCGGAAGAACAAGTGCAAGATCTTGTAAAGCTGTTTAGGTCGCCTCTTCCTCTCTTTCGTATGCTATAATGAATAATATATAGTTAATACGGCGTCCGGCTAGCCTGAGGCCTTGAGTTACTTTTTGAAGGCTCTTTTTGATGAATCCATTGACTCGCTTGTTTTTTATGCTGGGACTATCGCTCGTTTTGCCAATCTTGGCGATGTTTTTTTTTTTTTTTCCCCCCTTTTTCCCCCATCTGGATCTATAGATTGTTCAGTGCAGTTCTTGGTATCCGGCTGCTCTTTCTGCTTGAATTTACCCGTGAGGCTTTCACCTTCAGACTTTCAGTTGACAGTTGAGTAAAGAGGCCCGTAACATTTGTGACGGCTACGAGTACTCAGGTATACGTAGGCAACACGTCCTGCAAGGACTCGGCTACTAGTATTAGTACGTGGCAAAGGGGAAAGTGGTATGCAAATGTTGTAATAGGTCAAGTAGGCACAGAAGAAATTGGTATCCGTAAACAAAAACTCTTGAACTTTTCTCCCTGGTCACATGGATGTTTAACAATAGGAATAGACAAGCAGAAAGCGACCAGGCAAATCCAAACAAAGAGAGAGGCTGTCTACCACATGCGTCCCCGACGACTAGGATGCACGTTGGCAAACTTGTCATCCTCACCGGCATTGGCGTTGGCATTGGCGTTGGCGCTGGCGTTGGCGTCGACTTTGACGGCGTTAGCTCCAGAAGCACCCTCGGGCTGGGTCTTCTTGGAGTGCTTCTTCTTGTCCTTTTGGATTTCCTTCGCATTCCGTTGGCGCTCGTCATTCAACTTTTCGTTCTTAGCCTGGATCTTGGCTCTGCGGTGATCCGACTTGCCGCCACCGCCTCCAGCCCTGCGATAAGAAGAGATGTTAGGAGATGACAATTGAGGGCACAGGATGTACATTTGTAAACTTACGTCAATTCAACATTGATACGTCGGGGCGGGTATTTTCCGTCGTCAAAGGTGGAGTGGTGGTACAGCTTGAGGCAGGTCTTCATGCGATCATAGTTGTCGAACTCGATGAAAGCAAAGCCACGGCACTTGTTCTTGGGGTCGTCCTTCTTGGTGGCCACGCGAATCTCCGCAGGTGGGTTCTTCTCGAAGTGTTTTGACAGAGACTCATGGTTGGCAGAATAGGGGAGGTTGCCTGCAAATTTTAGCATTAACGACCGCCATATTATATACCTGAATTGGAAGTATCAATAGTCACGAACCGACGAAGCAAATGAAGCGAGAGTTCTTAGATGTGCCTTCCTGAGCGGTCTCTCCGTTGGCTTCTTCGGTGGCCTCGGCGGTCTCCTCAATGGCCTCCTCAGTAACGTCTCCATTAGCCTCTTCAGCGGAGCCATTGGCCTTCTTTTCGGCCTTCTCGGCCTTCTTCTGCTTCTTCTCCTTGCGTTCCTTCTTCCCCTGCTCTTTCCTTTGCTTGCGCTCGCTCTTAGACTCCTCCTTCACCTTCTCATCGATGACCATCTTATCAGCATCAGCTTCAACAGGAGACTCATCTTTAGTCTCGGACTTGCTTTCCTTGCGCTTGTTGTTGTTATACTTCTTGGCCTTGCGCTCTTTCTTGGCCAGAGCTTCAGCGCGCTCTTCGGGGGTTTGCTCGCTGGGGTCCTTGTAGACTTTCTCCTTCTTGGCAGCCTTTTCACGCTTCTTCTCCTTCTTCATCTCCTTCTTTTCCTTGCGCTGAATCTGCCAAGGCTTCAGCTTCTTGCCATGGGGGCGACGGTCTCGGCCTCGTCCTCGAGCTTGCGCTTCTTGTCGCTCATTGTGTCGATTGAAGCGGTGCAGATATAATTTGTGTGAAACGAGAGGTGTTGCCAACAAGTTAATGTCAGCTCACGACCAAGTAGAAATTGAAAGTCGGCAATGCGCTGGAAAACACTCCGATTTAGCTTCGGAAAAAAAAGTGGGCGGACACAGATGAAAATCATTTTTCTGCCCGTCATTATGGCGGTGAGGTGCATCAATCGGGCACTATTGGTTGCAAAACTCCACCTTATTCTACGCGGTCAGAACATCTATAAGACTGATTCAGACTCCTATTAAGAATCCGACGGACAAATATTTGATATTCTAGGAAAAATTCCGAAGATTGGCAAAGGTTATCTCTACAATAGTATTTTAAACGCCAGCCCATGAGTATCGTCAAACAGCAATTAAAAGACCAGGATCTGAGTCTTGTTTTTTCCTGCTGCGTAGCGTTCGCGCAATTCAGGTCGAGTGAGCAGCTTGAGAAGAGGGAAATGGGTTTCCTTCATGTCGAAAATGCCGCGCTGCTTTTGATCAATGTGCGATCCGTCAATGACAATACGCTGCAACTCGTCGATCTTCAAGTCCCCTAGCAAGATGTTTTAGCAGTGCTCAGAACTGTGGCGGAATAGGTAATAATTACCAGACTCAATAAGATCTGAAACTCGAGTAGGGGTTCCAACACCGATTCCCATCCTGTAACTTGTTAGTCGGACCGTAATGCTTGGACGTTGGCATATTGCCTGGGTTATCCATACTGAGCTCGTTGAAGGAACTGCTTCGCCTCTTCTAACTTGATGTGCTTCGCAAACAGCTTTCCAACAATAGATTCCTTGTTCTGGAATGACCGAAGTGATCTATATAATATCATCATTAGCATTGGTACTACTTGCGAGGTTATAAAGTGTCCAATTGCTTTCGTACCTTACAACATCAGCAGCTCTGAGCCCAGCAGCAGAAATCACCAGAGTATGAGGAGTGCCCTTTTGTTCCGATGCTTTCGAAAGGTCCGTCCCCTTAGGACTGAATTCCTTGAGGAATGCGGGGAGCTTTTCAAGAGATCGGGAATCGGCGAATCCGGTTGTGTCGAGGAAACAAGAGTCTATATGCTGTTAGAACAGTAGTCGCATGTAAATTCGGTTATTAAGCCCTACCAGGAATAGAAAGATCGTTCAATTCCACCGCAGACAGCTCCTTATCGAGCTTCTGCGCCCGTTGTGCGAAGTAGTCTGCAAGCAGTCGCCCATCCATTTTGCCAATGGATTCGTCCACACCGTCTTTTCGATCTTGTGATTTCGCATCTTGCTCAGGCGCCTTCTTGTTCTTCTTGTTCTTGCGCTTCTTTTTGCTTGGACCGTCTGCGGTAGCTGGTGTTGCGGCAGGTGCTGTCTCTGGTTTGTTCTGCTTGGTCGAGTCCTCGGCGGCTCTCTTGCGCTTTTTTTCCAGTTTATTGGAGAGCCCCTTTGGCGCACCGTTTTCAGCCATTGGGTTTGGTCTCAATGGTATATCTCGTAAGATTGCTGAGATAATTCGAGAATCGAATGACGTGAATCTCGCGCTGCAGAAAAAAAGCCCGCTCAAAATCCGATACTGACTCAGCATATCTTATCAGGGCTGATAAGAAGAGTGTATGAGTATGCATGGTTGACTTTAATCACTTCTAGCTGTTGTATATTCGAGAACATACATATACCATGGCTTATATTGTAGCATTGTCCTTATATAGCTATCCGTGCAATTACACCCATACACGATTTTTCGTCTTTACTTGGTTATCGTTTGAAGAGAACATGCATAAAGCAGTACACGGGCGGAAGGAAAGGCGGTGAGTAGGAGACCGGCATTTACAGGCTTGCAAGGACCAATCACGGCCAAGCCCACGTTGTTGTGATATGAACGCGACATAGCGACATCAAAGACAATACGCTCCAAATAACCAGCGACGCAAGTCCTTCGAACACACTTCACTTCGACCCTCATGGTTTCCCCATAAGCACAGTACCAGGAAACCTACCTGCTCCAGGGCCCCAACTCACCTCCAACCCGAACATGTCGACCCCGAGAACGCGCCGAGAATCGGGTACTAGATTGAATACCCCATCCGGCGAGCCGACGTTGACGGGGGTAAGCAAGCTCCGTAGAAACAGATAGTCGCATACGCTCTAACTCAATGCTTTAGCTTCAACGACTTCCTAGCCATACACTCTATCCACTCACACCGAGCCGCCTCATCACGGACGCAACTCCCTCACGCCAACGCTCAGCTTCTCGATTTACGCCTCGCTTTACGCCTCGAGCGCGAGGTGCAGGGGCGCCAGCTACACCGTATGGACTCCGTGCACGCCAGCAGCGAGCTGCCAATACACCGGCTCGCGAGCGGCGCAAGAGCGGGCGCGCGCAGCGAGAAACGACGTTCGATATCTTGAGAAATCTGGGCAGAGGTACGTTATCAGATTGGCTAGAATATTATCGTTACGAGAAAAAGGAGTGTGAAACTAACTTGAAATTTTAGCACTTGCTCCTGTTTCGAAACCAATCCAGTCGTCTCCGCAAGAGGAGCCTCAGCCTGTGGAAGAATCAGTAGATGAAATCGACGAGCTTGACAATGAGCCAGAGATTGAGAGGCCGAGGCTTTCACTGCCATTCCAGGGAGCTGATGATGCGAGCGACGAAACGAGTCCAAAGTCCCCGCCGCGACTGTCTTTGCAGTTTAATGAAGAGGATTTAACGGTTGAGTATCCGCGCCGGGCTCTGCCTGACCGCGATAGGGAAAGGTTGTCAATGCTCAGCCCTGGTGTTGGAAGAATTAGTGATTTTGGGGGCACTCAGATCCAAAGTGACTCTGATGGTGGAGACGAAACGGGCGTCATTAGTGAACGCGCTGCAGACGAAACCCTGATCAGTGGAGGTGATTTTGATAGGGGGTAAGTCTTTCTGTTCACTAAGGATTACTGCATGTGGTACATGGTTGATTAACGTTTATATCTAGTGGTGAGACGGAAGACCTGGGACGATTCAATTTCGATTTCAACTTTCCATCTCCAGTTGCAGCAACTTTTGATGACCCTATGGACGATGAACAATTTGGCGAAACAGAAGGGTTTGAACTGTCCGCAGGAAATCTCGAACCGGCACCGCGATCACCATCTTCTGACGATGATGATGCTGGTGGTGACTTTGGATTTGGTCTCAGAACTAGCCGTTCCGCCGTCTGCCAGTCCGAGCCCGGGGTTGATCGGCGGCGGTTTACGAGATGAAGATCTGCCCATACAGAGAAAGGAAAAGAAGCTCTCTCGATATGGTATTCCAGTACCCAACTTGCCAGCGGGGGTAGTCAAGAAGATGGCAACTCGCTTTGCACGTACCGGAGCAGGGTCGAAGGCCAAGCTCAACAAGGCTGCGATGGCTGCCATCGAACAGGCTTCTTCATGGTTCTTCGAACAAGCCAGCAATGACCTGGCTGCATACTCAAAGCATGCCGGGCGGAAGACCATTGACGAAAGTGATGTCACCACGCTAATGAGAAGGTAAGGTGATTAGCTCCCATCAGCAAGGACATATGTTAATTTTATCTAGGCAACGACAAACTAACAATACGGTTACTGTATTTTCCTTAGCCCAGAAATATTTACCGAAAGAGCTTCAGCAAGATATGAGATTGGCTATGCCTCCATGAGTGCCTGTGCCTCTCGAGATACTCAAATGATATACCCCCGAACGCCCGTATGGAAATGCTATTCGATTACTGTACAGTGAGACCCGCGACTATGACCAATTGCGGTTCTGCCGGACTCGGCGCATAGCCTCATTTGGCTTCTTTCGCACAAGCATCCACAGCATGATGGACGTGGCTAGAGACAGGCCGTACCTGATATCCATTAGCGATAGTCCTGCGGAGCACACGGGTTGTGACCAACTCACCAAGTGAAGATGTACTGGGAATGGTTATTACGCAAGTTCACCTCGGCAATACGCCCGATAGGAATTCCCTTTGCTTGGCGGTCGTATGAATCCAGCAGGTTAGGAACTGCACAATCGTCAGCCCATGTATCAATAGAAGACATTGAATATCATACCCATAGTTGCCTCGATCCAAATAGGTTGCGCTCCAGTCAACTCGGCCATCTGCTCAATATCTGGGAAGTAAAACTTGCCCGCCTTCGGGTCGTTCGCTGGCGTAAACATATTCTTCTGCCACGGCTCCCGAAGCAATCCTTCCACTGTAACTTCACCTGTGGGAAGCCCATCTGGACGATCCTTCTGGTTTGCCAACTTCTTTGGGATCCAGCCCCGATTCACAAGAACAGTGCTCTGTCCACTGCCGCGCTCCAGAGGCGTCACAACCATGAAGCCGTCCTCACCTTCCCACAGACGAGGTCCGATAAGCATCTCCTGGTCATGTCGAAAGTGTCCTGTAGCATAGACTCGGCGATAGTCAAATTCGGCAATTGCCTCGGGGTCGATCCGTGGGGAAGCGGAAGAGGAGGGCGAACCAGGCGGTCCTCAAATTTGGCGATTAGTTTGGTCTTCCAGTCCAACCGCTGTACTTGCCAGCATCCGAGGGCAAAGGAAATAATTGGGATCAACGCTATAACCAAAGTCGTCATTAGTCGCCGTCCGCTATAAAAATCCAACAACACTCAACCAGGTCTCGGAGCACGTCGGGGTAGGAAAATGGAAATAGCATACCAATGATGATCAAGCCCGGTCCATGCTTCTGGTTCACTCTGACGAGCTTCGCCGGGTGATCCACATTGTAAAGTGAGTCTCTTAGCTGTAAGGACTGAGTAAAGGGTCGGCGGTGCAGGTTAAAGCGAGAGTAGATCGACTCGGACTTCGCAGGCACATTCGCGGCTCGGACGGGCCGGAGGGAAATTTTCCACGCTGAGAGCGAACTTCTTGGGATTGATCCCTTCGCCAAGGTTGAGAAGAGAGGCCGCATGATTGCGAGAGGATCGGAAGCGAAATCGCGACAGCAATGGGGGTTGTTTGGTTGGACTAAGTGAGCCCACCTCCGGTCAACATCGATTTCGACCTCAAGGCGGTCACGTTGCCGCTTCCGCGCGGCTCTCCGCGATCTACGCAACTGGCGACTTTCCTTGACCCACAGCTCTTGATTAATCGACATGCGATCATGACAATATTTTATCAAGGAGATCTACAGAGCGGTATAGCTCTCGCTGTGAGAGAGGCCAAGGCCGTCGTGTGCTTTGTTCGAGGTTGGTCATCTCCCCGCTTTGTAGTACGACGCTCTCTCTAATTAGGCTGTTCAGACGAAGCTGAGAAAAGCTCCACGTGGGAGAATGAGTACTTCGCTGGAGAAAAAGTATAGCTCTCTTTTTTCTTAATAGATCATCATCGGTGCTCTTGCTAAACATCCCACGGAAGATCTCACAAGTGCTCGACGCGAAAGCAGTTCTATTACGTTTGGCTGCAGGATCTCAAGAAGCAGGCTTTCTGGCGTCTTTCTGTCCGATCGTTAAGTTTCCCACTGTTGTGGTTATCCGGTAAGCTCGTCTCAATATATGGCTTAGTATATATATTAATACATGACACAGGAATGGTACTATGGCGGAATACCTTGTCCCCGAGGTTTCTAAAGAGGATTTCCAGAATCGTCTTGTCACTGCTGTGACGAAGGACAATTCTAATTCAGCACAGCCGGTGCAGAATACCAGTATACCTGGAGAAGGAAATAATTCTTCAGCCGCTGTCTCAACGCCTCAATCTGCTTCCCCTGTACCACCATCTCGCGCGCCAGTGACAAGTCCAGCACAGAATACCAGCCAATCTGCCCCTGCACCGCAACAAGTATCAAATACGGCTAAAGAAAGTACTACAACCAAGAAGCCCATAGCAAGCAAAGGAGAGAAGGAAGATACTATCCCCGAACCCCAACCACGAAAAGAAAATCAGACCAAGCAAGCTCCCAAGCCTAAGAGGGAGAGCAAATTGCCCGGGAAGGCTCCTCAGGAAAGTTCCTCAGCCACTCGCACCGAGCCAGGTCCAGTGTCAAAAGCACCTACTCCTCGAGGACCCCCAACCCAATATCGTCTACAAGTCCGACTCTTTGACGGCAGATCTGTCCGCTCCAATTTCACTCCCGATCAGAAAATTGGCACTGATGTCCGCCGTTGGCTCGATTCGCAAATGGGAGACGAACAGCGTCCATACAGTCTTAAACACGTCCTAACGCCCCTCCCCAGTCGAACCCTCTCTGTTTCCGAGGAATCCCAACCCCTTCAAAACCTGGGCTTAGGTTCGACTGCGAACCTTGCTATGATCCCTGTGGCGACTTACACAGAGGCATACGCCACAACTGCAGCTTCTTTACCGCTCCGTGGGGTTTCAGCAGTCTACAATGCAGTTTCATCTGTTGCTTCTTCGACCACGGGATTCATTGGATCATTAATATATGGCTCTAACGAGGCCCCGCAAAATGAAGATGGCCGAACTGTTGGTAATATTGCGGCAAATCCATCACGTCCTCGACCAGCGGGAACAAATATTCGGACGCTTAATGACCAGCAGAATGAGCGAGGGGACCGTCAGTTATACAATGGCAATCAGGTACGTACGTCCATACAAAAGTATTTACGGATTACTGATATCTAGCAGCTGAATTTCGAGCCTCGTCAGGATCGCAAAGACGAATGAGAGTTCGAAGTCAACAGGCTTTCGATATTGCATGTCGGTTTTCAAGGGTGTATCTTTACGTCTTGAAAAGCGGTCTGGCATATGACATTTTATTCATTCGGATCCAAGCGTCCTTATTGTTTTCTCCAAATTCTGCAGCGTTCCGGTCTCTACTGATGACTTTGACATACCAAGCAAACATGGAAGATCCTACGCAAGCAAGCAAAATGATGTTTACACTTAAAAACGAGGGTTTTCAAATTAGCCTCAGTAGTTAAACTGGACCCTAGGGGGGCCAAAAGGCCTCGAGTGTCATTTTAGTTGATATATCGAGGAGAGATGGTATAGAGTACAGAAGCGACACCGTAGCCGCAATGCAAGAGATTTAGATCACAAGGGGTTTCGGAGCAAAAGCACAAAAAAATTCAACTAGACCCTGCCCAGAATCTAATAGGGCTTAGCAGCAGCCTGGCAAGCCTTGAGCTGGTCCATGTACCAGCCGCAAATGCTCATGTTGCCTTGGTTCTCATCCATGCAGTTGCGGAAATCGCGCACATTGGAGGCACAAGGGCCGTTCTCCCAGGACGACTGGGTGGCGCTGCTCTGGAACAGACCGTTGTCCATGGCCTGGGACTCTGCGGGAGCTGCCTGCTGGGGCTCAGCTGGGGCGCTGGAGCCGCCACCACTGAACATACCACCGATAGCGTGGCCGATGGAGGAGCCGACGGCGACACCACTGAAAAGATAGTCAGTATATGTGCTGAGAGGGCCTGAGGTTCCGAAGCCGGATTTTCTCGGAGTTAAGGAAAAGACCGGGTGCCGGAATCCAGGGCGTACGGGCGCAACTTACGCAGCTGTTGATGCCATTTGGCCGAACAGGCCGGGGCCGGCGCTTTGCTGGGGAGGGGCCTGCATGGGCTGCTGGTGTTGCTGGGGGTGAGCAGCGGTGGAGTGAGGCTGCTGTTGCTGGGGAGCTGGTCGAGCAGGGGCAGCGGTAGGGCGAGTGGGAGCGCTTCGCACAGGGGCGGGAGCGGCACGGCGTTGTTGACGAGGCATTTTGGATGTGATTGTGAGGAAGAGATGAAGAGAGAAGTTGGGGAAGAAAGTAGGTAAATTGAAGAGCAGTGGAGACTGGAAGAAGCTAGAAAGCTGAGTCAGTCGGCGAACAGGCACCTGGACAAGATTCCGAAATGAATTCTCTTGTCGCTGATTGGTGAGAAATACTTAGTCATACATCACGTGGATAGTACATAGGACATTATTGGTGTGCTTGAGAGTATCACCAGCTGGTTCGAAGCAGCCTAGAGCATGTCTAATTGGGGTATCCGGTAATCATAATGGTACATAAAGGTGGCCAGCTTATACTGGATTCAAGTGGCTTTCTGGGCATGTCGGGCCTTTCGAATCTGTTGCTTCTTGGCTCGCCTCTCCTTTCTAGCCTCCTTTCGGTCTCCCGCGCTAATCTTCTTTTCCTTTTTTGCTTTTTTCTTTTCCTCATGTCTTTTGCCTTTCCGTTTCTCATTATCGGTAGTTCCACTCTGAGGCTTGTTATCTAAAGCTTCAATTATCTCGCTTTCCGCCTGTATTCCTTCGTCAGACATGTTATCATCGTCGTCGTCGGATGAGGGTGAGTCCTTGAGATCGTCAGTCTGACCTGCAGAATCCTGCGACTTTGAGGCACTCTTCTTGGCAAGCATAGCAGCCCGAACCTCTGCACGAGCCTTTTCCTTTGCTTCTCTTTCGGCACGCTCCAAATCGATTTTCTCATTTCCAGCCTAGGCATCATGTTAGCCGTTGGCTCACCTTATGGGTTGTTTGCAGATACTCACTAAACCGTGCTTGATGAATCTTCCTGCAGCCTCTTTGTCAAGAGTCATGTTGCGTTCTTCCGGCTGTTCAAGGTTCTTGATCTTTGCGAAATATTGCTTCACGCGGGTAATTTCTCGGAAAACAGGGTGCTGCACGGCGTCCACTCCATGTAGTTTCAAGTACGCTTAGTGTATGTTAGTAATCGTCCCAAGCGGGTTAATTCGGAAGCTGTCACTAACAGAAAAGTAGGGATTCGAGAGTATATGTGATGAGTACGTTGAATTTGGCTTTGTCCATAACGGGCAAGTTACTCGAAGTTTTGGACAGAGCTTGTCCAAGAACTGGCTGAAGGACCTCTTCGAGGTCATCGATTTGATCATCCAGCTGCTCAAGCAGCGGAAGCAAAGCTGTCGCATCCATAGCTGTGAGGTAGTTGATTGAAGCCGGAGGAAGAGGAAGTGCTGAGAAAAATTATGGCTGGTACTACTTAGCGGTGTATGGGGCGGTCAGCCGCGTTTTTTCCATCGCGCGCCTCCGCATGCTATGTTTCACAGCTTCTACCCTCCATAATAGCGTGAAAACGCTGATTAAACTATGCTATGGGCCAGGTATTCGAATTCGAAATGAAAAATTAATCGGAGCGCGCCCCAGACAGTCGACACGTCCCTTTTTCGCCATCCCGAAAGCTACAAGTTGATCGTTCTATCGAATGGAAACCATTCGATAATCACCAAGCGCTTTCAAAATGTCATGTTTACTAGCACACCGATCAGTATGGAGGAAACAGGTGACTGAAAGCTTCAGCAAACTGCTTTGGCAGACCACAAACAGGAGTTATGCTAGGTACCTCTCAACATGGGAACAGGATGTGGAGCAGGGTTCCGAAGACTCAAAAAAGCCTCCATTGTCAGGCCGAGTGCATATCCTTGGTCTTGGGAATGTAGGCTCTTTCATCGCCCACGGCCTGGCCTCTCGATTACCCAGGCCGCCTATTACATTGCTTTTCCACCGCCCGGAAATGATTGCCAACTTCCGGAAGAGGAAGTACAATATTGGCATCAACACCGATGGGTTAGATGACAATAAGGCAGGCTTTGATATTGAAGTTCTCGACTCGGAAAAGCAAACCTGGTATTCCGTACCCACAACGGATGAAGAACGTTCAAAAAGTTCATACCGAAACGGCGAGCTTCCTGAGGATGCGCGGCCAGTGGAGGATCCCCATCGAATGCCTCATTCTTTGTTGCAAAGCAAACGTTACATATGGGGCCCTATTGAATGTCAAGCATCGCTTGACACCGGATTCGACTATCCTTATTGCACAGAATGGCGTTGGCGTCGTAGACATGCTCAACAGGTCTCTATGGCCTGACCCTGCAACCCGCCCCAATTACATGCAAGCAGTCATTAGCCATGGTCTTTCATTTACTGGCAATTTCCAGGTCGCCCATAAGGGGGTTGGAACCATGATCATCAGTCCCACAGTCACCCCAGGCTCGCCAATAGTCGCGGCTCATGAAAACACCGACTGGGCACCTTCTACAAAATACCTCATTCGTCTCCTCACCCTCACACCTTCTCTGGTTGCTCAAGTTGAATCTCCAGCCAACCTTTTCCAAATTCAGTTGGAGAAACTGGCCATTAATTGTATCATCAATCCGCTCACGGCTATTTACGAGTGCCGAAACGGGGAGCTTCTCTACATCTTCAACGCCACTCGTATGATACGTTTGCTGTTGTTTGAAATCTCGAACGTCATATATGCACTCCCGAGCTTCGAGGCATGCCAGGCGTCGAAGCTCGGTTTGCGCCAGAGCGACTTCGCCGCTTGATTACACAGACGATGCACACAACTTCGCAGAACATCAGTTCTATGAGCCAGGATATCAAACGGAGGAAGCCAACTGAGATTGAATATTTGAATGGTTGGATTGTGCGCCGTGGTGAAGAGCTCGGCATGAAATGCGTGTTGAACTACATGCTAAAGCAGATGGTTCTCACCAAAGCAATTATGACCGAGCGAAAACACGACACTGTGATCCCGATAGATACGACAGATGGCCCTTTTAGTGACTCTCTTGAAGTTGGGAAGAGTTCTGAAGATTCTGATCCTCATCTATTTTGATTTGATGCTATGCTAAACATAAACTCCTCCCTCGCGTCATGGCAACATAAAGATCTCGCAACATATGGAGACTAAGATCTTAAGAAAGACTTGGCCTTATAATGAGATTTCCTTCAAGGCAGTCTCGCATATATTCTTGATCTGTGCCCACCGTCGTCGCAATGACTGCGCCTTTGCGTGGTGTGCCTGGATCACCGCGTTGGTCTCCTCAGCTTCTTCGATCGACTTGATGGTTGCTTCTGCCTCGGTGATGTACGTTTGAAGCCAACCCCCAATGACGGCTGTCAACTTTTTCACGTCCATTCCCTTTGTAGATCCCTCCAGGACATGATTTCTCCAGTCTTCTTCTTCCATGTACACTAGCGATGCCGCAACCTCCGTTCGATAACATACCCCGTCGGCGTGAACTCGGTATTCCCTGTTGAATTTAATAAAATACGCATATCAGTGACGCATTGGAGCACCTACCCGTAATATTGATTTAGCGAGAGTTCCTCTTGCTTATCGGGACTGCTCAAATCTCGAAAAATGATGTCATCAAGATAGACACAATCCGAGCTGCTTTTGTCTAGATAAAAACCATCTAGAAAATTGTCAACTTTGTGCTTTCGCATTTCAGGCCCGGCATTGTATTACACTCAGCAAGAAGAAAATCGTTCGGGTGGCTTCCATAACTCATGTACACCTCATCGCCCTCGTTGTAGTCTTCAGTGGCTCGAAGGGTGTACTCGTTGGAATCAAATTTCACATCGCACTGTCCAGGAATCACCTGTTAGCAACACAGTTATTTTAGCAATTACACTTCAAATGTACGGTACCTCAATATCTGAATGATTAAAATAATCTGCAAATGGCAACAAAGCCATAGCATCATTTCTGTCCTCTGGCGGCTCTTGATCAGCCTCAACCCAGTAGAAACTACGTGTGTTGAGAATCAGCCAGTAGTATGAGAAGGACCGCCAGTCTGTGTCAGGCAGCACGGAGATAACGCTTTCCCAAGACTTGCGCAATCGACGTTCTTGCTCTGCCATCAGATTTTGGTGCACGCTCTCGTACTTCTTTGTCCGTGGACCTGGGCTGATCGTGTTCCAGCGGCCGGAGATACAAGGAGGCAGGAAGTTCGGAAGGGAAGCGAGACCTGCATTTGAAGCGGCCGAGCTGTCTGGCCAGGCCAAGCCACCTAGCTCCCTTGGCCAAAGGAGCGGAAGGGTTTCTTCAAAATCTTGACGTGGTGGCCAGGTCTTGAACCAGAGCTGGTACTTCTCAAGTTGCTCCTCATCGCCATGTGTCAAAAATGCAGCCATCATAGCTTGTGTACCCGTGCCCTCGGGGAATTTAGAGCGGAACGTCTCAGGTACACTCGCTAACGTGAGAATGACGGAAGTTGGCACCTGAACCACAGCTTCACCTCTCTATTCCTTGTTAGATGAATCCTTATATGGCTAACAATGGACTTCATGCAACCTACTTTGATCTTACGCGTCGCTCGCATTCCAAGGCCTCGTCCAGGGAAACGCGCTGGGGTCACACCATTGGCAACCACACCGTTTTCGAGAGCCCATTGAGTGAAGGCTTCATGGTCCCCACCGGGGGACCAATCTTGTGACATTGTCGGTGGATGGATCGCAAGCTAACCATGGAAACAATAAGCTCGATGCTTGTTCACATACAAGATGATAGTACCTAGGTAGAGTTCAATGGATTGAGACAGGAATCTCAGGTGTCTTTGGTTGATGGGAAATGTTTGACACCAAAAAGAAGAGAGTTGAAGAAAGTCAATGCCACAATGCTGTGCGTCAAGCCTTACATGCAGTGCAGATCAGCAGCCCTGGAGAAAAATGTGGAGCAAGTTTATCGATAGCAGCTCTTATCGATTGTTCCATACGGCGGTCTGCAGAGGCCTGGTGTGCTGTCTTCTGTCATACGATCCCGGTGCTTCCCTGCATTTGACTCCCATCATCAAGTCTACCTCAACATGTTAGGATTAGGGAGCAGGGGAGCAGCTGAGCTTAGGACTGTGGTATGCAGGAGCTCTAGATCTGCAATCCATACACCGCGGGCTTTCTCAGTCCTCAATCGCCCACCACCAAATTATCCCGGCCATGTCCCATTAACGACAATTGAGCGTGGCGCTCTTGCTGTGGGTTCGGCAATTGGGTCTCTGATCAATGTTCGGAGAGCAGGTACGACCAAATACGAGGAGCGGGCTTTCGCTCTTCAGGCCGCAGATACGACATCAAGCAGGCTCCTAGCTTCACTGCGGTTACATTTGCAGTACAGCAGCAGTACTAATTAACCCTGACAGACCTAATTGCAGCCCTCGGAGAAGCCACCGCAACCCCTTATTTTATATATCGTCTCCGGGATGCCATGCTCTCAGACCCTACCGGCCGGCGCATCCTCCGCGACCGTCCTCGCATTACCTCCCGAACTCTTCAACTCACCTACCTCCGCACACTCCCCGAGAACTCCGTGGGCCGGGCATATGCTACTTGGCTCGACCGCGAAGGCGTAACTCCAGATACGCGTGACCAGGTACAGTACATCGACGACGAAGAATGCGCCTATGTCATGCAAAGATACCGCGAGTGCCACGATTTCTACCACGCCGTAACAGGGCTCCCGACCTTTGTCGAAGGCGAGCTAGCGCTCAAGGCACTCGAATTTCTGAACACACTGCTGCCCATGACGGGGCTGAGTATGGTTGCCTATGTGCGGATGAAACCGGCGGAGAAGGAGCGGTTTCTGTCCCTGCATCTACCATGGGCGGTGCGCAGCGGGCTGGGCAGTAAAGAACTGATTAATGTATACTGGGAAGAGGTGCTAGAGAAGGATGTCCGCGAATTGAGAGCCGAGTTGAACATCGAACAGCCACCGGATTTGAGAGAGATAAGGAAGATGATCCGCCTGCAAAAGAAACGCGAGAAGGAGCAGCAACAGAAGGCTGCATAGGCGGAACCGAGCACTTTCTTCTCCTCTTTTCTTTTCTGTTGCAAGAGCTAGCCTTCATATGTACGATTATCGAGTTTGTGAATAATATCCCAGTGTAAGAGCAAGACGTGTTGCTGTTCATACAATTGGAACCGAGTAAACCAATCAACGCCTACCAGGAAATCGATTATTCCGACCTGAGCTTTTGTGACAGTGGTAGTGACGGTATCCCAGGCGGAAAAAAGGTATGATAGGAACCATGCTACCCAAAGACGACCACACCTTATCTTCGTAAATTCATCCGGCTTGTGGATCCTATAGATCCAGCAAGTCGTCATCGTCATCCCAAGCACCTTTACGCCGGCTGATGACGATCTTCTGTTCTTCCTCCTCCTTACGCTGGTTCTCTGCAACAGCATTCAAAAGCTCTTTGAGCTGCTGCTCGGTAACCTTTTGTCGCAGCTGACCAGACTGGGCCAGCATGAGAAGTCGGTTCTCAATGTCTGTGGCGCGCGATTCCTTCACAAGGCGAATCCGCCCAAGCCTGTCAGCGGCGGCAGGGTCTAGAATCTGATTCAAGATGGAGGCGCGGCGGTCCGCTACAAATGGTGAGTGACTTTGTTTCAGAAGGGCCATGCTAATCGGAGGGTTTGCGGAGTAGCCTATGGGGCAGAAAGATCACGTACATTCAGCTTGCCTACATTTCACATTTGTAAGCTTCTAGTCGCGGACACCGGCGCAAGTCTTATCGCTAGAGTACTCACCTTCGCTGCTCGTCCTGGCCGCCATCTCCACTTGGGCCACCGCGAGGGCCGCCTTGTTGTTGGAGCTGCGCAAGGCGCGCTCTTCTGATCTGGATCTCGGCGTTAGCATTTGGTCTAGTCGCGTCAGCCAATTGAACCCACCTCCTCCAGCTCAGCATCCGCCATGGTGTGGTTAATGCACGAGTTCCAGGACCCTCGGATGTGAACTGCTGATCTGGGTCGTGTGGGAGAATCGGAGAGAAGATTATTGACGACCCCCACTTTCTTTTGCCTGAGGCTCTCACGCGGGGGAGTTGTAAGTGTCACGTAATCAGACGTCAAACGACCGGGTTCATAGGAGTGACAGTACGCAGTATGCTACTAATGGGGAAAGTATCAAATTGACCAATTATCTATCGAGGTTTCTACGCTGATACCCGACCTCGGAATAAGAGCTTGGTTGAATTGTTGCCTAACAATCTTCCGGAGGGCCGATGTCATGTTCGGAACTGTAATGGTACAATACGGAGCTATATTAGTACTTGACGAGATGTACGTATATAACCTTGAAAAGGCTGTGAATAGATACTACGCAGCTGGGTATTGAGACATTGGCTCCGGTAAAAGTCTGCTTATGTTGACGACAAAGCAACCCAGTCGAGGCTGGCGTGTTTCTAGATTATAGAGTCGCTGGCGGAGAACAGGACCACATGGGGTAATTGGCCAATCCGGGCTCGAGATAGCGAGATAACGCGCTCGCGTTGGTGCTGCGCCTCCTTATTTCATCCTGGGTATGTCGGCACGTCCTAGCGCGGCCAGAATATCCAGACGTAACGTCTCTCAAGGACGCAGAATCCGCCGTCTGTACCCGCGAGATCGGCAGGTACTCCATCCTTAGTTCGACTATAGCTATGCATGGTGATACACCGTAAAGACCTGTCGTCGTGCATCCGAGGACCAATCCAAACCCAGAACAGAGATCAACTGCGAGGGTGGCTTGACCAGAGAATCAAAGAAGTGGCAAACATGAAGCTAGAGATTATTCGGAAATAAATACGAGCTGAATTAACCTCCAAAAATCTCATCACGCTCGATCACCTGCTCCCGGTGTGACCTGACTAAGCCGATGGGAGGCGAACGAGGTGCAGCGGCTGTAACCCCCGATCCCAATACATTTCAACCTAAACCTACCTCAATACCTTTTCTTTCCTTTTCTTCACCTCGAGTCAGTCCTTTTCCTTTCGCGCGCTTCTATACCTTCCTTTTTTTACACCCAGCCGAGTAAACTTGCCCTCCTACCCATTGTCCACAGCCCCCGATCGCTTGCGGGGACCTCAGCCAGCAATCCTTTACCGATTCCCGTGAATGGCGCAGTCGCTATATTGACCAGAGTCCTCCTGGACATGAACCCGGCTCTTGTGTATGTTTGGGCATCACAAATTTGAAGAAACCGGGCACACTCATATCACATTCCTTGTCCGACGCCGTTTACGTCACTCATCATGGCCGAGTAAGTGAATCTGGGCAGCATGGAGATGGACCAATCAGACAGCCACTAACGGTTAGAATAGTCTAATTGCTTTACAAACCTATCATCACAATAAGCTCCTCCCCCCTTCGTCCACCATGATACCACGACACGCCCACAAGCGCTCGCTGTCTTCGGAGCATCGAGCTTTATCCCCCGACAAAACCGTGCATAAGGCCAAATCCACCACCAATCTTACCGAAATTGCTGCCAAGAATGGCTCCATTCCAAAGTTCTCCAAGTTCGAAGAGAACAATTTCAACACCTTGCAGGATCCGCGGTTGGCCACTCCTACCGAAGTTTCAGATGAGGACCCATCCGCCCAGCACCCTGACTTGAGCAATGAGGTTGCTGCACTTAGTGTGAAACTGATCCAGGCGATCAATAATCAGACCCAGTTGGATGACAGTCTCGTTGCTGCGCGACAAGAGCTGGAACTAGCACAGGGCAAAATTCAGGCATTGGAGTTCCAAAATGAGAAATACCGACGCGACATTGAGGAAAGGATATACATCAAACGATCCGACGCCGAATACGAGATCGGACAAATGGCAGCAGTGCTGGCAGAAGAGAGAACCAAGCGCCAGGTCGCGGAGAAGGGGAAGAAGCAAATGGAACAAGAGCTAGAGGCCCTGACTGCCGATCTCTTCGAGGAAGCCAATAAGGTGAGATCATTGTCACCCACTGAGACTGTTTCACGGGCATTTTTCACTGACTGAGTTTAGATGGTGGCTGCTGTCAAGAGAGATCGAGAAGCTACCGAAAAGAAGAACGAACAATTGCGATCCCAAGTCAAAGACACAGAATTGCTCCTCGCGTCACATCAGGATCAGCTGGCCGAGCTCAAGTCGGTTATGCAAGGGATGCAGCTCACCAAAGATGAAGTTGAACCCCGCACTACTCCTTCGACTGCACCTCCATCCCCAATTGGGGCCTCCCATCTGCAAGGGCACGCCAAGCAGGACTCGGAAGTCCATGGGACCGCTGCCATTCCCTGCAATCCCGATGAGCAGATTCCCGGTCCCTCGTGCAACTTTCCAGAAATAGTTCGCCTGGTTTGTCGCAATGACTTGCCAGCTTATGATGACTTCCAAGAGCTGCTAGTGCTCTCAAGGAGCTCTAAACCTCCCAGCCGTGCAGGGAGCGGATCGTATGGGGGTTTGAATGTCATGAGCCTGGCTGGTTTTGCCTCCAATGCTATCTCAAACAATTATTCCCCCACGAAAGGTGCAAATCATTCCCCGAACGGAAGCCTGAACTCTACCACTGGTTCTCACATCCCCCTTAAGGACACCAAATTCTACAAGCGTGTCCTTATGGAAGATATCGAGCCCACTTTGAGATTGGATTTGTCCCCCGGGATCTCTTGGCTCACTCGACGAAGTGTCTTGAGCGGCATTTGTGATGGTAGCCTGGTTGTAGAACCAATGCCTGCGGCGACTAAGAAGTACGAGTTTCCGTGTACGGTCTGTGGTGAACGACGGGCTGGTGCCAATAACGAACGTACGCATCGCTTCCGAACCTCCGACAGTGAGACTGCTCAGCGATACTCGCTTTGCCAGCAATGCTTAGAAAGGTTTCGTGCTTGCTGCGATTTCACTGGCTACCTACGTCTCATTCTGGATGGCCACCTTCGCGCAGGTGATGCTGATGAGGAACGGGATATCTGGGAGGAGACTGTCCGCCTCCGAGAACGATTGTTCTGGTCACGAGTCGCAGGTGGCATCGTGCCACTTGTGAGCCGAGTCGCCGAAGCTGACACTGATCACGAAAACTCCGAGCCCAACTCCGATGGCTTCGCACCCTCCGAAGCGCGGGATGGTTTGTTACATCCTGAAGCCAACCATATTGCCGAGTCAAGGAGTGAAGATGTCACAGTTCGGAGCGAGCGAGACTCTAGCGTCTTTGCTCCCTCTCTTCCAGACCTGGACCTGCGCAAACCCTCAACACCGGAGCCACACCAAAGAACCGAAGACTTGAACTCTGACCTTCCGCCAAGGCGGGCCTCTGTAGACTCCGAGATCAGTGTCTATGAAGAGGCTAATGATGACATGGAGACCGAGCCTGTGGAGGTTACAGTGGAGGTAGTTTCCCCCGTCATGCTAAGTCCTACCGAGATACCTGCCGATGTCTCGATCGAACACCCCACAGAGAGTGCCGAGTCTCTTGGGCAAACTGCACCCCCTCCACATAATGAGCCGGACCCCGCTCGCGATCATCAAGACAGCATTGATGCTACAGGAATCACAGAGAACGATCCTGTGGCGCTTCCCGAACACTCCGACAAGCCTACCCCCGTCGAGCCTGCCGCGGAGTCTCCAACAGAAGCCGCTAAGAATTAGCACTAAAAAGAAACAATGGGCCCAGCTAGTACCATGCAGTCGACTAGCTACGTCACTACCCCGATACTCCTTTCACGACACCCCGATGCATTCCTCCATGGCCTCCGTTCTCGTGCATATTCACCAGATTGATAGACTTCTACTTCTTACTGCAAGCTGCCTATTTCTTTAATCCCCTTTTCTCAACGCATTTGTTTGATGTGTAGCTTTCCGTCGATATCCCCTTTTGAGCAGCTTGCAGGCCCCCCTTTTTGTATTACTACAAACTTTTGACCGCCCAATGTATACATAATGTCTTCGTTTCTTGGTGTCCATTAAGACACAGTGACAGGTTCAGGCGATCCAGCCTTTGATTGGACTACGTATCAAATGCAATTTCACATTGAGGTTTTCTTTTCCAATCGTAAACTATTATAATCACTTCTTCTCTTGCTAACTTTGGAGGATAATCCGGTCCAGCGCAAGCTCAGTTGAAGGGGAGGAATTTCTATGTATAGCGTGCTGTATTTCAAGGCTCCGTTGGAACCAGCCAGATCATGGAGCCCAGCTGCTGGGTATCATTATGCACTTAAGTTAATACACGTTTCAGAGCACTCAATAAAAAAAATACATGATAGTTTCATCCTCACACAAGTATATCTGTAGAGGCCCAGACGGCATCCCAATGGCGTGCATAGATTTCTTCTCCGTGAGAACTACCCAGCCACAGGATACCCTTCATCCGCGAGATGGCCTCGTCGCTTGTCTGGAGTCCGAGAGCGGAGGCAGCAGCACGCGCCTTTTGCACGAACCATGTATAATGGCTGGATCCGCTCGACGCCTCCATTGCAATGGAGTAAAACCAGATACCCATCGAGTCTGCGTAGTGCTGGGTTTCGCGCTTCTCGAGCTCCTCTTTGAACCGAGCGACGGTTGTATCCAGCAACATCGCGTGTGGATAATATGAGGGTCCATGAATGGTAAACATATAAAGAATAATAGCAAATCGTACACATTCGCTCGTTGGTGATGGGGGAGATGTTGAGGAGGGAGAGGGCGTGAGAAGACGATGGATGACGAAACAAGTGAGGTCGTGGAGCTGTGTAGATGAGAACGGTTTGTTCTGGGTCCGATCAAAGACATTTCTCAGGCGATTAAAGACATTTTCGACCGTTTCATCAATATCAAGCTCTTTATACAGTATTTTATCGTGAGCGGGTGGCTGCAGTTGCCACTCGGGGGTGGGAGGAATGCCATCTCCCACTCCGACATCGTCCTGGGTGTCGAATTGAGGTCGGCCCATTATGACCATGGAGACCCTTTGGTGTGTGTTAGCGACCATTTCGTAAATCGAGGGAAGTTTGCCCTTACCAGCTTACCATTCTTGCCGTCAGAGGACTAGTTTGTCTCACTGCGTTGATGCCGCCTCGCATGTTGACTAGCGCTTTCACGCCATCGACATGTGTTTCGCTGACTTCGACATTCCCCTTTCCGAACTGTAGGTTGTTAGAGCAGTGTCAAGGATTGGGACGTAGAGAGCAACTGGAGCCTTACCTCAATGCTCGCCAAGGTAATGACGGAGTTGATCGTCCCATCTTGCACCGCCAGCGATGTATCTTGTACTTTGCGTCGAAGGAGAGCAAGAGAATCCGCCATCAGGGCTTCTGAAGCCTGGAAGCCCTTCTGGGCTAATAACTCTTCATCAAGACATGCTGTCTGTAAGGAGACATGGAATAGGGCTGGATCCCCCAATGCCAGCGGCCACCACGACACAAGAAAGGGATTCGTGGTAGCATTTAAATCCAGAGGGTAGTATTGGAATGCAATTTTATGAAGGACTGCATTATTCAGACCATATTTCGACAAGGGAACTCGCTGAACACTTACAGGTATAGATAAGGCGTTGAACATGTTCTCTAGGAAGCCTAGTTTGCGGATACGCATCGAATGGGTCCAAGCCCCCGAAAGGATTGGTAATTGAAGAGCAAGACTTGGAAGGCTCTTGCAACACGGCCACTTCTAGTCCGGGCCCAGCCGATTGCGCGTTCAAGGGCTGATTTGCATAGACGCACAGAACCTTGCGCTTGATACAGCGGGAGCAGCTCGGCGTGCGGAGATCACAGCTATGCTTGAATTTGGCGCAAGCGCTACAGGACCGGCGAAGCGTTGGGCGCATACTGGACATGGAGGGACCTGATAGAACACATTGTCCGGGGGAAATCAGTAATGAAGCAGGCGAGACCCGCCAGATGGTTAAGCCCCCATAACCCTCAGGCCACAAGGCTCGCACTCTGGGCCCGTCCTCATATCCAGCCAATCACAGCCAAGAATCACCAACTGCGAGCGAACGGTAACGCCGGATCGTTTTGTCTTGGCGTTCGCCCCATCGGAGTCTAGTCCTACTTGGGTAATCTATATTCATCCGCTCATCTAGGGCTGCGGCTTGCTGGCATGATGAGTGACCGGTCACTGCCGATTGCTGTGCAGATGCCTCATAAATGGTCTCGATCCCTGGTTCCTGGTCGAACAGTATTTCGAGTCCTAACACAATGGACTCGGAGATCGCCAACAGTTCCAGTCCCCAACTGGGACTGGCCCAGATCGAGTCTGCTACATCATTCAGTGCTCAATTACCGACACTGCTAGGGGACGTTTTTGCTGGCTGGTCTTTCTGGCAATATGCGGCCACCTTCTTAATGGCTGCTATTGTATACGACCAAGGTAAACCCGCTGCCATATTCTTCCCTAGTCCATACTAATCTTTCTCCAGTGATGTACATAAAGCGGAAAGGATCGATTCCAGGCCCAGCATTCAAAATCCCCCCTCATGGGGCCCTTCCTTCAGGCTCTTGATCCCAAATTCGAAGGATATCTCGAACAATGGGCAAGGGGACCGCTTAGCTGCGTGTCCATCTTCCACAAGTATGTCATCACCCATCCAGGCGCAGGTTCTAACCATGTTGGCTAATTGGTCGTCCCAGGTTCGTGGTTCTCGCTTCAGACCGTGACATCGCCCACAAAGTCTTCAAGTCACCCTCCTATGCTGAGCCATGTATTGTGCCTATCGCGAAAGACATCATCGGGCACAAGGCTTGGGTTTTCCTCCAGGGTAAAAGTCACGCCGAGTACCGTCGAGGACTGACTCCGTTGTTTACGAACAAGGCCATGGCAACCTACCTTCCTGCACAAGAAGCAGTCTTTGCAGAGTACTTCAACAAATTCGTGGCTATCAGTGAAAATGGTCAGGGCAACCCCGTTGAGTTCATGACCATGTTCCGTGAGATCAACTGCGCGCTGTCATGTCGGACATTCTTTGGACATTATATCTCCCAGGACGCCGTGAAGAAGATCGCAGACGACTTTTATATGGCCACCGCTGCTCTAGAGCTTGTCAATATCCCCCTCTCTCTGTATATCCCTTTCACCAAGCCCTGGTGGGGGAAGCGAACCGCCGACGCCATCCACACCGAGTTTGCCAGATGCGCAGCTGCATGCAAGGCCAATATGGCTCAAGGCGCAAAACCAACCTGTATCGTTGATCAATGGGTGTCTCACATGATGGAATCCGAACGGTACCGCCAACGAGTTGCCGCAGGAGAGACAGACGCCGAGAAACCAACAAACCTCATTCGAGAGTTTACAAACGAGGAGATTAGCGATACGTTATTCACCTTCCTGTTCGCGTCTCAAGATGCCTCCAGCAGCGCTACAACCTGGCTCTTCCAAATTCTGGCCCAAAGACCCGATGTGCTCGATAAGCTTCGTGACGAGAACCTCGCTGCTCGAGGTGGAGATCGCAACAAGCAGTTCAATTTACCCATGCTGGAATCCCTCACGTATACAAATGCCGTGATCAAGGAACTTTTGCGTCACAGACCCCCTGTCATTTTCGTTCCTTATCTCGCTACAAAGGATTTCCCTGTGACGCCTGACTATACTGTGCCCAAGGGCTCCATGATCATCCCATCATGCTACCCCGCCCTCCATGACCCGAACGTCTATCCTGAACCGGACGTTTTCGATCCCGAGCGATGGATCACCGGCGACGCGGAGTCGAAGACCAAGAACTGGCTTGTCTTCGGGACCGGGCCCCATGACTGCCTTGCGAGACGATACGTGCCGCTGTCTATGGCGGGGATGATTGGCAAAGCTGCTCTGGAGTTGGATTGGAAGCATCATGCTACGGAGAAGTCGGAGGAGATCAAAGTGTTTGCGACTCTCTTTCCTATGGTAAGTAGATCGAGATATCTTTCATTTCTACCAGATGGCTCCCGTTTATGTCCCGCTGCACCTGTGCTAATACTAACCCAATATAGGATGGCTGTCCACTGGTCTTTACGAAGCGCTCTTAATACATACTGTAGGGCCCCTTTAGAAGGGGCATTGTTCTTGAACGGTACATTGTACAATTCTCACGTTATCAGAAACAACTCCGATCAACACGCTCATACCACTGGCGGGCAGCAGTATGAATATCAGTCGCAATATACCATGCGTAGATTCATATAGTTATTGTGGTAGTTCACAAATATGTCAGTTCTGATCAAGATTCCAAGGTGCTCACCTTCAGGGGATCACGAGATAAGTATCATCTTACTGCGAAGGAAGATACTTGCCATATTAAACACCGGTCTTAGTCTATAGTAGGAAGAAGAAGTTCTGAAAGCCTAGCGAACGATACGAATGGTATTTTGCTGACGCGGAAAGGTTATTGTACAAACATGGCCCCTAAAGATCCAGACGTTGCGCGCAAGCCGGATGGTAAACCCCGATAACTCCTTAGTTGTGAAGAGAGAACTCCTAGATTGAAGAGAGAGCCCCTAGTTGTGAAAAAGAAACATAAAAATAAGGGGCAAATATTGAATAGCAAAATCGTCAGCCAGCGAAAAAGGAAGCAGCAAGCTCCAGGCCAGTAACATAGAGGCTCGAATTACTTTTTGGCAATTTGGTGAATGTGTCGGAGCTGATCCTCGATATTCGTGGTCTGGGGGACGTGTCCGGGAGGCACCGCAGCTGGACCGGGAGCAACAGGAGCTTCTGCGCCAGTGGCCATACGCTTACGACGAGCATCCTCCTCGGGATCCAGAGCCGGAGCACGCGAAGCGGTAGTGTCGAATACGTCGGTTCGGTTGCTGGCAAGACGCTTCAGGTTGTTGACGACGTCGCTCGTGTTAAGATTGGTCGTGGAACTGCGAGATTCAGCCTTGGCACGCTGCTCCTTCCAGCGAGGGTCGAGAAGCTCGATACGCATATGCTGCTCAAGCTCTGCAACCGGAATCTGCTGTTTACAGTTTGGACAGAGCGCCATTGGACCAGGGGCTTGCTGGCGACGGGCCTGAGCTCGGGGCACGTAATCCGAGCGAATACGCATGGGAGGCTGGCCGGGGGCCGCTGGCATCGGAGGCTGTCCCGGGGGGAACTTGCATAGGAGCTTGGGCTGGTACAGCGGGAGGGGCCTGGAAACCAGGAGCCATTGGAGGAGGCTGGTAAGGTCCCTGGGCCTGAGCCGGGTAAGGGGAAACAGAAGAAGGACCAGGAGCGGGTTGGTTGGAGGCGTTGTAGTAGGTTGGGGTATCAAGGTCGGTGGGCATAGCCTCTTCAATGCGCAAGGTGTTCATCGACATAGCAGCCCGCTGTTCAAGAGAGGCAGTCTGCAGATCGTGAAGGGACATGGGAGGTGGCAGTTCTTCTTTTTCATCCTCCTCGGTAAACACAATGGTCTCCGCCACAACAAAGTCATGCCAGTCAATTTCCGCATACTCCCGTCGCTCTTTCTCCTCCAGATCTTCTTTCTCCTTCTTCTGCGACTCTTGCCATTTCGTAAATTCGTTTCGCTCCTTCGCGCGGTCGAGGATGTGGTACTTGTTCTCGATGTTCTTCTTCAGTTCTTCACGGCGGTGTTTCTCGGTGGTGTCCGGATTGACACCATCACCGTTTTCGTTGAGGAGAATGGTGTATTCTTCAACCATGGCCCGGAAGTACGAGTAAAGGCTGTGGTTGGGTCGTAGGAAATCGAATTGAGGATTTCCAGCTTCACGCTGCGAGAGTCCCGTCGCGAACTGTTGGCCTTTCCCCGCAGTATGAAACGCAGTGAGTCTGAGGACATCCAGATCGAGCGCACTGATGTTGGGCATGCGCGCCGAGAACCGGAGCTTGGGTGGCTCGGGGGGGGCCTTGGGTTTCTCAGGCATGACGGCGACTGCTTCTCCTGCGCGTCCTGCAGAGACCGATGTCCCACGACCTTCTTTTATTTCGGAAAGACGCCACTTGTAGTAGGGAGAATACGCATCGGTGTCAGCAAGGAAAGAGAATTTGACGTTCTTCCTTTCTTTCTCGCGGATGCGGTCTGTAGACTCGGTTTTAGCACCAGGTGGGGAGAGGGGAAGGTGTAAATGGGACAGTTGCGAGATGTACCTTCAAAGACGGTTCCGTTACGCGCGACATAACCAGCGGTCTTCTCGATGATACCTGAGACAAGGTTATTTACCGGCCTTCAACTCGTTTGGCGCGAAAGCGCGCATATATACTCACTTTGAATATCCTTTGGAGGCAATACGACGCCAGGGGGAGGCTTCAGCCCCTCCTCCGGCACGGGGGTGCCACCATTCGAAGCCATGGTGAGGTGGATGGAGGAAGAGGAAACGAAGACGAGTTGGCGAAGCTTTTCGATGCGGCGTATCGGAGACTGGCAAACGGCTGACTAAGATACCGCCTTGTCCTGATAAGGTGTGCACCAGCCACTGTTTCACGTGTAGATACGGTATCACGTGCGTATTGGGCAGTATGGCAGTGCAGGCTGGTTGCGGCGCATCGTTTCGATTGCTTGCGTCTACAGTCTTAGTAGATTTGATCACATCTTGACTGAGAAAATAGCCAATGTATTTTTCCTGCCTAATCCTGCAGTCCCTTTCTTTACCAACCTAAGTGAAGTAAGAAGTAGGCCGAATTGCGAAAGAAAAACCCCCAAGCACAAGTCTTGCGCTTGTGTCAAAGGTTAAAGGGGGGCCGCGAATCCACGTTCCGCTCGGTTGATCTGGCCTCTCTCAGCTTTTGCACGCTTTCGTTCACTCCCTCATCGACCATTTTCGACCATTCCCCTTTTTTTCTTTTCCCTCTATCCTCCTGGAACCCTGCCATGGGGTCTTTTTTCTTGTGCAACTACGGTCATTAACTGTTCGCCAATTTCCCCGGGTGAAGGGCTGTTGGGAGCTACTAGAGCTGTCAGCGGCTATCGACAATATTGAATTCGATCCCCATTTTTCAATAAGTGGTGACATTTGTTGAACCGAGCCACATTTCAATCTTTTCCTCGTCTTCCATCATTATCTTGATTTAATCACTCTTTCCCTACATCGACTCAAATCTCCCTACCGAACGCCGAGACCCGCATTCTCCTACATCCCGCATCCAATGGGTCAAAAAGCTAAAGAGACATTGGCTGTGCGGCCCCAGAGCCGCGGCCGACGCTCTCGAAGCCGCTCTCCAAGGCCCAAGACCAAAGCGACTCCACCCCCGCTACCTCCAAGCTATGCCTCCGATGGTGTGAAGGACTATGACATCCTCAATCTTCCCGCCTCTGATTACAAGTGGCTGGTCTTAGTGACCCTGGTGGCCGCCATTGTGCGTCTATTCCGTATTTACCAGCCCACTAGTGTAGTGTTTGATGAAGTACAGTATGTGCTCATGGCACCTTGAATTTGGATCTCGATAGAAGCAGTGGCTAACCGATGAATAGTTTTGGTGGATTCGCAAGCAAGTATATCAAGGGCAAGTTCTTCATGGATGTCCATCCGCCACTCGCCAAGTTGCTACTCACGCTCGCGGGCTGGCTCGCTGGGTTTGATGGTAACTTTGACTTCAAAGACATCGGCAAGGACTATGTTGCGGAAAACGTTCCCTATGTGGCGATGCGAATGCTTCCAGCCGTCCTTGGGGTTTTGACAGTATCTTTGATGTTTTTGACCCTCAAGGCCACTGGTTGCCGTACCTCAACTGCTGTTATGGGCGCCAGTGTTGTTATCTTCGGTATGAAGCGTTACTTGATCAGCCCCAGATTGAGCACTGCTAACATTGACTCTAGATAATGCGCTCACGACTCAATCTCGTCTTATTCTTCTGGATTCCCCTCTGGTTTTCTTCACCGCCCTGACAGCCTTGTCGTTCAACTGCTTTTCGAACCAACAAGAATTGGGCCCTAGCCACGCTTTCCGAGGCCCGTGGTGGTTCTGGTTGGCTGCGACGGGTCTTTCGTTGGGAGCAACATTGAGTGTCAAGTGGGTCGGTCTCTTCACTGCGGCCTGGGTGGGATCTATTACTATCCTCCAACTATGGGTTGTGCTTGGTGATGCCAAGAATGTCACTCCACGACTCTGGTTTAAGCATTTCTTTGCCCGCGCCTTCTGTCTGATTGTGATCCCCCTGGCTTTCTACCTCGCCATGTTTGCCATTCACTTTACTTGCTTGGTTAACCCTGGGGAGGGTGACGGTTTTATGTCCTCGGAGTTCCAGGCTACCTTGAACTCGAAGGCCATGCAGGATACCCCGGCTGATGTGGCATTCGGCTCCCGTATCAGCCTTCGTCACCACAACACACAGGGCGGCTATTTGCACTCGCACAACCATATGTACCCAACGGGTAGCAAGCAGCAACAGATCACCCTCTATCCCCACAAAGATGAGAATAATATTTTCATCATCGAGAACCAGACCCAACCTCTAGGCCCCGATGGTACCGAAATTGCGGGACCTGCTGCCTGGGACGGCCTAAACTTTGAATCTAACTTTGTTGAAGATGGTTCTATCATCCGGCTTTATCATGCTTTGACCCACCGCCGTGTTCATTCCCACGATGAGCGTCCTCCTGTGACGGAAGCCGATTGGCAATTTGAGGTCTCGGCTTATGGTTACGAAGGGTTCGCCGGTGATGCAAACGATCTATTCAAGGTTGAGATTGTGCCATCTCTTTCGGAGACCTCGCTTTCGAAGAAACGCGTTCGTACTATTCAGACCAAATTTAAGCTGGTTCATGTGATGACCGGATGTGTACTATTCTCCCACAAGGTCAAATTGCCCGACTGGGGATTCGAGCAGCAAGAAGTCACTTGTGCTCGTGGTGGTTCGCTGCCCAACAGTGTTTGGTACATCGAATCTAATGCACACCCCGCCATGCCTGAGAACGCTGAGAAGACCAATTACCGCAATCCCGGCTTCCTGGGCAAGTTTTGGGAGTTGCAGAAGGTCATGTGGGTTACTAACGCCGCCTTGGTGGAGTCGCACACTTGGGACTCTCGCCCGCCTTCATGGCCCACTCTCCTTCGTGGTATTAACTTCTGGGGCAAGAACAACCGCCAGATCTACTTGCTTGGTAACCCCCTCATCTGGTGGTCTAGCACTGTTGCCATTGCAATCTACGTGGCTTTCAAGGGCATTGCGGTTATCCGATGGCAGCGTGCTTTCAAGGACTACCAGAATATCAACTTCAAGCGATTCGATTATGAAATCGGCACGAGTGTTTTGGGATGGGCATTCCATTATTTCCCGTTCTACCTCATGGCCCGTCAGCTCTTCTTGCACCACTACCTCCCTGCTCTCTATTTCGCCATTCTGGTCTTCTGCCAAGAATTTGATTTCCTGGCCAACCGGGTGAAGAGCTTAGGCCTTGCCTCTCGGCCCGCTATTGGCAAAATCTTGATGGCCACATTTGTGCTCCTTAGCATCGGCGTTTTCACCCTATACTCACCCCTTGTCTACGGAAACCCGTGGACCAAAGATGCGTGCCAGCGAGTAAAGCTCCTTAACAGCTGGGATTTCGATTGTAACACATTCCACACCGAAGTAAGTGTTCCGGAGTGGCGTCCACCCCGCCGAGGATATTAATCGACACCGCCGAACGAGTATGGCTAACGTGGAATCTTTTTTTCCATCTTAGCTCAGCCAGTACGTCACGGAGCTCTCACCAAGTAATTTACCAATCCAAACCACTCCTATCCCCGCTGCTCAGGTCGAGCAAGCACGGCACCCGCAGCCTCCGGCACAGCAACCTCTTGATGCCGCCGGTCAGCAGCAGGAGGAGCAGCCAGGAGCAGCAGTGACCTCGCCGAAGCTTGCTGGTACCATGGCACGTGTTGAGTATCGGGACCAAAATGGCAACATCTTGGACGAGGAGCTTGTCGCCTCGCTTCGTGCAGATGGCAAGGTCAAGTTCGAGACCCGCTGGGAGTCCAAGTCTGAGACTCCAGCACGCGCATGAGGTTCCTATTGTCGATGGCCAGCTCGCTCCTCCGCACCCTGATGTCGAGGGCCAGAACCCCGAGACTGACGCTGCGGATACAATTCCCCCCGAGAGCCCTGCTTCCGTGGATCAGGGTAATGAGAGGTCTGCTGAGGTCGACAGCTCGCCTGAAGCCAAACCTGCCAGTGAAGGAAATGAGGCCACCCGATAAATGCCTCTCTTTTGCCTGATTTGATGGGGGTTAGGAGAAAGTTTACTGTTTCTTACGACCCCAGTACTAGGGTGGTGACTCCTTCGTGTGATGAGTTGATTAGGTTATCCATCATTGTCATATAAGCGATCATTGTCATGTGTTAACATTTTACTGAGTGAACTTGCTAAGGTGCACGCTTGAATGTACAAACATGTACCGTATTTTGTCCTTGAAATATTCTTGCGTATATGTGTTGACATAACTATGAGTCCTCCGTAACTAATAGTAAACACCTCAGGCTGCTCCAATATTGCTAGTACCTAGTGCTAGTAGCTCCCTCGGACTGTCAAGCCCAGTGATCGAATGGCCTGTAGCCATCCTCAAGACTTGAAGTTGTACCTGAACGTCTTAAGCCCATGCGGCTGATATTTTCCCACTGTCCATTTAGACCGAGCGTCATGGTGCTCCCAAACAATTGGCCCCCTGCCTCGGTGGTTTCAACTTGCGGTTCAACTTGAGCCACTTTTGTCCACCCTATGAATTTGTTATCAGTCACCCCTTCTTATCATTGTAGTCCAGACAGTTATTCTAGCTAGGTCCATTGAACATTTCAGGCATCCAATCTGGAGATTGTAAGGTTCCAATTCGAGTTTGACGGTCGGATAAAGACTGGCGCGTTCTAGGTATCGATACTACGTGTACTGAGCCCACCGGAGGGCAGCGGGATATATATATATATATATATATCCATACCCGCCAAGTCATAGTAAGTACCGCTTACAACATCTAAATCAATGTAGTGTACGTATAGAAACATAAGAAAAGAGATCGATTCCCAATTGACTCTTTCTGAAACGAATAATATGCACAAATTGATAGTTTCAATGGCAAGTCCAAGCGCTCTTCTCTCCACCGTAGTCTAGTATACAGCAGCAGCCCAGCCGCAGGAGGGAGGCATGGCTCCCTCAACAGTTTTTGAAAGGCTCTACTGCAGGAATCTAGTAGTCCCACTCCTCCTTGCCGTACTTGTTGAATCTCTCGTGGAGGTCCTATCAGAGAAAGCCAAATGGTCAGCATTTGTCCGTCGGCCAATCAGAACGTATTAAATAATATCGACTTGAATGGCATCAAAACAGAGCCAGTCTCGTCGCAGATAGACCGAGGCGTGGTTGTTGCTTACCTCAGGCAGGGTGACGTTGGGGACAATGACGGTGTTCATGGCGCTAGGGGCAGCACGGAGGGGCTGGTTCTTGTCGCCGTGAGGGTGGTACTGGTACTTGTAGACCTTGCCGTCCTCAGAGGAGGCGTGCCAGGGCATGGCACTCTCGCCGATACGGACGTTGCTCTCGGAGTTGACGGAAGTGGGCTTGCTGCCGAAGTACCTGTGATTGCGGAGAGACGCAGTTAGCGAATTGCACTCCACGCAATGCTTGTGAGCTCATGCTAGTCGTCATAGACCATAAAGCCTAGTATCGGTAGCTTGATTGAATTTGTGGCGATGGGCGAACCACGCCACAAGTAGTATAGCAGCAGAAAGTAGAGCGACGAGAAGAAAAGGGGAATATTCACCAGCCAGCAATACCGAAAGCACCGGCCATGACACCGAGAAGGACCTGTAAAGTCAGGTGTTAGGTCTAGAGCTATATGTGAGGATCAATTGCATTTGAGGTTCCGTACGTAGAGCTCGGGATCACGCTTGGGAGCCTTGTCGAGGTTGGCATCCTCGACCTTGGAGGACTGAAAGCGGCGCATGGGGGTGCGCAGAACGGGCTGGCGGGCCAACGCCCGACGGGTAGCCATAGAAGCAATTGAAGACATGGTGGCAGCGAATCGTGCGTGAAAGAGGGGGTTCACAGAGGAGTAAGAGGTGGTGCGAGAGAATCGGATGATGTTGGAGAGTCAGGTGACATTCCGAGCTGAGTCAGCGCCGCTTCGAGCATCGTCCTTGTCATCATGAAAATCATCGTCATCCAGCGTCGTTCGCGTTTCGTGTTCTGCGGCCCCTTTTGTCGCGGGTGACCACCTCCTGCTTGCTGTGTCTGCTGGATTGGTGATTTGACTCGTTCGACTCTTGGAAATATCCCTCATTCATCCGCACAGGTAGGTGTTCGCTCCTCCCCTATTTATCTTTAACCCGATCAGGGGCTGCAATCCCCGGAATTCTTACGCGTGGTTGCGCAAGGAGTATACAGCACATATATATGAACGGCGCACCAATTCAAGCTAACACTGACTACAGAACACCAATTCTTCGAACCGAACGTTCCCTCCTCGCCGTGCGGCTGTCACTCCTTTTTTTTTTCCGTATACGTCTCCGCCCCCAGGTCCGTTGATACCTTTTTTCTCTTGGTACGGAAACACAATACACTGAGTATTGGCGAAGCGAAAACAATGAAATAATACCGAACGCCTTTGGGAAACTTCATTTTATATCATTACACATCATGGAGCATCCTTCAGACCGTCCCCAGCCCGTGGGCACCGACCACCCACAGCAAACAGAGCAAGTATTAGGGATCCCACGTCCTCCATCTGTGGGAGGCATCTCTTCTCGAATGACCGAAATGACCTCGGAAGATGGAGAGCGATCCCCCGTGTCTCCGGTCTCGCCAACTTATCCGCCGCCTCCTTCAACAGTTCAATCACGTCCATCGGCTTCCCGTCGAGGTCCACCCCCCACGAGAGCGTCTAGCCAAGTGACGAGACCAGAGAGTGCAGGTAGCCGACTGAGCCGCTCACATATTCCGTCTTTGACGGCCCAGGGATTCTTCCGCCCTATGAGTTCGCAGCGGTTGCAAGCACACCGACAAGGACGACCAATGACTAAGGGAACTGTCTCTTCTACTGAAGAATGGGGTGATCAAATGAGCCAGAATCGTCGAAGCTTGATTTCCAACAGTACCATGCAGCAGGGGTCACTCCCCCCAGTGGACATGGAGCCCCCGCCATCGCGTGGCACAGAGTTTACCGACCCAGTCTTACCAGATCGCAATGCATTTAACGCTAGCCCAACTGGGGACCATACCGTGCGAAGCCTCGGTGAGAGTGTTAAGCTTTTACGAGACCGAGACCAGGCTGGCAAACACCGCCCTGCCCCTCTGAACCTCGCAGTCAATTACAGCACTCCCCACCCGCAAGACACTCCATTGAAATCGCCACTTTCTTTCTTGTCATTGCAAAACAAAGGACCTGGAAACAATGGTCACGATTCCCGAGGCCACGAACGCCTCTCTTCGGCTGGTACATCACCTGGACCCGCAGATGCAAAGAAGCAACAGCTGCCAGCAGGTAAACTAGGGAAGGTCTATGAGTATTTCCCTGGTAATACTATATTCGGCGCTGGTGGAAGGCTGCAGAATGCGAGGGACAAACCCATTAATATTCTCACTGGGACAATTGTCGTACTCCCTAGTGTTCTATTTTTCGTATTCTCGTAAGATCCCTACCCTTTATAACACGATGTTGGGGATTATTCTAACAAGATTATACAGAGCACCATGGATATGGCACAACATCTCCCCAGCCATTCCAATACTGTACGCCTACGTCTTTTTTCTTTGCTTCTCGTCTTTCGTGCATGCGTCTCTGTCAGATCCTGGTATCATGCCACGAAATCTCCATTCGATGCCCCCCCCATGATCCTTCACGAGATCCATTGGCTCCTGGTCCAGCAACAAGCGACTGGGTTATGGTCAAGATGTCCACTTCCAGTTCAGCAGCCATGGATGTACCGGTGAAATACTGCAAGACTTGTAATATTTGGCGTCCCCTCGCTGTTATCACTGCCGAGTCTGCGATAATTGTGTTGAGACCCTGGATCACCACTGTGTTTGGCTTAACAATTGTGTCGGGCGCCGAAACTACCGTTATTTCTTCGCATTTGTGAGCTGGGGCACCTTGATGGGTTTCTTTCTGATCGGTGCCAGTGTGGCGCACATTATGGTCTACGCAAATCATGAAGGCATCTCATTTAGGTCCGCGATTGGTCACTTGCGTGTGCCATTTGCCATGGTGATCTATGGCGCTGTGGCGACTCCTTACCCTCTATCTCTCTGGATTTATCATTTGTATCTTGTGGGCCGTGGCGAGACCACACGAGAATATCTTAATGCGCACAAGTTTGCAAAGGCCGATCGACACCGTCCATTCACGCAGGGCAGTGTGTTGAAGAACTGGATTGCTGTCTTAGGTCGACCACGACCGCCTTCCTACATGGAATTCAAGCGATCGTATGAAGAAGGCGACCAACGTCTCACCATGCAGAAGCGCAAATATCTCACCACCCGCGACGACGTCGAGTCACAGGCGGGGATCGAGATGCAAGAAGTTGGTCATGATCATACTAACTAATGTCTAATCTAAAAGTTCAGTTTTTTGCAAGCACACCTCGATTCCCACCTGATGACCCGTCAAGATGATACGACAGTTTTCGTTTCTTTCTCAGCAGCATATTGTACCATTTCCCCCGGGAGAACTGTCTCCCTATCTATTGCTTTGTAATTGCCTCGCCAATACCGCTCGCAGCGCCTTTTTTCTTTCCTACCATTTTTGTGTCCCAAGAAAAGGGATGTTGTATTTGTCAATTCTCTTGAGTCTATCTCCTCCTCCCTCCACCCTCTCTCATATGCACATGTATTGTTTTTTTAATCTCTTAAACTATACTCCTGTCATCTCATGACCACTTTTTTTTTGGGGATTAATCCATGTGAATATCAATCATCTAACCTCCAATTCCATATCCTGTGAATATCTTGCTCATGCCCTTGTATTTGGGCCTCGTTATTAAGTTTCCGTTTAAGCACAACTTGTACTTAGCGAGTAAATACTTGGATCATCTGGTAGACCCAGACAGAAACCGAGTTTCATCCGGTGGTACCCGATAAAACCCCACGCGTAGAACCACCCCGGGTAGAACGATTACGAAGAGGGATATCGACATTCCAATTGTTCCGTCCGCGATATTCTCTCCCTTCGTCCGTGCCCCTTGATAGAGACACAGTGAATGCAAGGCGAGATTGGACGAGTCATTGAGGCTGTCTAGTGTTGATGTTGCACGCGTCAGACATCGCCCTAAATTGATAAGAGGCGCGCGGCTGCTGATCCTCCAACTCTTTCCCACTTCACCCCTGATATTCTCCGACTGAACTCCCGCCCTTTTTATCGCGAGAAAGACTGTTCCTCTTACCTGAGGGGATTGTCTTTCTCCCAACTGCACCGGGTTTCCACAAAATGACGCGCCGAACCTCCCGCCTCGCGACATCTGCTACACCTGCCCTCGCTGACGTTGCAACTCTTCTTGACAACCCCGACGACGCAATGAGCCTCGATGTTCCTGAACAACTCTTGACCCCAGAAAATAGCCGTTCTGAAACCTCGAGCAACAATGAGAACGCGTTGACCGAAGAGAACCCCTCGTCGCGCCGCAGGTCGACACGAGTGGCACGGGCATCCTTGCGAGCTTCGGGGGGCTCAAGACAACACGCCCGCCAAAACGGACATACCTACGAACGGATCAAGCCAAGCTTATGTGGACAGCCTCGCTAATTCCAAGCGCTCTCGATCCTCCCTGCGACATAGTATTGCGGTGATGGAATCATCTATACGAACCAAAGTTCTACCCGATGAAGATACCGTGATGGAAGATGCCTCAGTAGTACCCGACACGCCGATTTCGAACTCTTCTCAAGAGCTTCAATCTGAAGACTTGGGAGTATCTCTGCAGCAACGCACTCTCCGAAAGCGCCTACACAAAGAAGTGGGTGAAGAAGATGCAGGTAGTGCAAAGGGAACGCCCAAGGTCCAATCTACTCAGTCTCCCCGCCGGTCAAGCCGTCTCAGCATTGTGAACAAAGCCTCTGACTTTCTGGACCGCGCCAGTAGCGTTCTCGGTAAAAGCGGCAAGGATCCAAACACAAAGGGCAAAGAAGTTGGTCGACGAGCCAGCCTGCGACCCCGCAATGTTGCACCTCCTAAGGAGGAGATGCCTACCCCTGCACCCGAGCCAGCACAAAAGAAGCGACGAGTCTCCGAGAGTGATTTGCCTACGTCAAAGGAAAAGGATACACCATCCGAAGAGCCAGCTCCGCTGGCGCCTCAACGCTTTAAGCGTAAAGTGTGGCTGACACATGGTCTGTATTCCGGACAGGAGGAGACCGATTCACCCCCTAAGCAGCGCCGGCGCAAAAGCTCGACGAAGAATGACAGCTCTCGCTCCATCGTTGAGAAAGGTTATCCTTCGTTTTTGTTTGCCGGTGCACGGCTTCTCGAGAAAGGCCGAGATTTTCGGTTGCCTTATGACATTTTCTCCCCACTCCCCCCTGGTCAACCGAAGCCAAATGAATGGCGGAAGACAAATAAGAGTGAGTTCCTTTGTTGAAATCCGTATTGTGAACATTGAATCATCTAACAAACTACATAGATGTTTTTGTTGGTGATGCTGCTGATGAATGGAAAGCCACCAAGAAACTGGAGCTTTCCACCTGCATGTGTTCAGACGAAACTGGCTGTGATGAAGACTGCCAGAACCGCTACATGTTTTACGAGTGTGATAATGGGAACTGCCGGGTCGGTCCAGATTGTGGCAACCGGAATTTCAGTGAACTGAAAGCACGCACCAAAGCTGGTGGTAAATTTAATATTGGTGTAGAAGTTATCAAAACCGAAGATCGTGGATATGGTGTCCGCAGCAACCGCGCTTTCGACCCCAACCAAATTATCGTCGAGTACACTGGGGAAATTATCACACAGCAAGAGTGCGAGAGACGCATGAGAACTGTTTACAAGAAGAACGATGTGAGTTGACTTGGTTGCTCTTTTCCCCGGCCGTGACTAACCTCTGATAGTGTTATTATTTGATGTACTTTGACCAAAATATGATCATTGATGCTACTCGAGGATCCATTGCTCGCTTTGTGAACCACTCCTGCGAGCCCAACTGCCGCATGGAAAAGTGGACGGTTGCAGGAAAGCCTCGAATGGCTCTTTTCGCAGGCGACCAAGGAATCATGACAGGAGAAGAACTGAGCTACGACTACAACTTTGAGTACGTTATCCTCCAGACCCTCTAAATGCTTTGATAGTTTGCTGATTTTCTAATTAGCCCCTACTCCAACAAGAATGTCCAGGAGTGCCGCTGTGGCGCTGAAAAGTGCCGCGGTATTCTTGGACCCCGACCAAAAGATAGAGACCAACGCGCTAATGCCGAAGGTGCCAATGGCAAGAAGACGGTCAAGGCAGGTACTAAGCGAAAGCGCGAGGCAACCTCCGCGGCCACTTCAGTGGCCAAGAAGCGCAAGGTCATAACGCAAAAGTCCATTAAGGCAGGCGTCAAAAAAGCCGTTGCGAAAGCCACGACAGCACGGGGGAAGGTGACTCGAAAGACGCCTGCCTCAGCATCGCGCAGTCCAGCCAAGGGCAAGGCAGAAGGTAAGAAGCCAATAAAGCTTCCCAAAGTCAAAGCTGCAGCTAGAGTGAAAGCTGCTGTTCGCGCACCTCGCAAAGCCGAGGGCGCGAAAGCTAGCTCGAAGTCACCAGCCAAAGTTTCACAGCTAAAGCGACCCTCGGCGGAGACGAAGAAAAGGATCCTTGCCAATGCGGCCAAGGGTTCCAAACCCGCGTCGAAGAAGTCGCCGGCTAAAGCTGCAAAGCCCGCTGCTAGGAAAGCCCCGAGCAAGAGCCCCGTGAAAGCAAAGGTGCTAGCCCAAGCGAAGAAGACTCCCACCAAGTCGACAGGAGTGACTCGGCGTGTCCGCAATGCCGCTAAGAGTGTGGTGCGCGTTGTGAAGGGCGGCAAGAAATAATCATGCCGTCCTTCGCGGATTATGAATGCTACACATACTGTCCGAGTATGTATGATGAGTGGCGGGCTTTGGACATGAAAGCTCCGCTTCATAAGCCTTGCTTTGGTTTTGCGTGGATCGTTCTTCTTTCCTATGGAATCGGCTCCCACGCGGTTAATCGATCTCTTCGTTCGGGGAGCTGCTTTGGCACGAGTATTCGCTCCTTGCCCTTTTCTACCAACAATTTTCGACTCCTTCGCTGGTCCTTTTCCCGGTTTGGTATCTACAAATGGATGGTGTTTTGCATGTTTCGCACGGCTGGTCCTTTTTTTTTGTGAGCTGGGCATTGACGCGTGTATATCAATGGCGCAGCATTGAAGCCAGCTTGTATCTTTCTCCGATCTTGCAGGCCTTTGGTCCTGTTCGACTGTGTTTCTTTTCCTCACTTTTTGCTCATGCGGTTTCTACCTTGGTTTGTTATGTGCCCGCGGTCGTGGCTCCGAAATTGCTTCAGGATAGGATTGTCGGTGTTTTGTGTAGGGTGTTTTGTGTAGGCTGGCCGCTCGTTATCCGGTGTAGCGAGTAGATAACCCTTAAATTTCAACACTTTTCGGGCAAATAGCCCATTTCTTAAAAAAATTCATGTCCACGAGATTCGCGGTGCATCTAAATAGTCATACTAGTTTTAAGACACCAAGCTGGAGTAGACCCTAGTGAGTTGTAGTGAATTGAAAGTTGAAGAACTTAAAGAGATAGGGCGAGAAATCACACAGCCAACGCCAGCCATCCCGAACTTAGTGAAGAGCGTAAAGGTTACATACAAAGAAGACTCGAACCATCGCGCGAGCATGTCTGAACGCTCCACGAAAATATTATTCATTACACAAAAAGGCTCATGGACCACAGTTTAAGCAGCATCCGTGGCATTTGGAACGGGCTGCGGCTCCAATGGCCCCTTGTTCTCCTGAACAGGCTCTTGAGCAGACTCTTCAGCTGGGGCCTGGTCAACGGAAGCAGGAGCTTGTTGTTCATCTCACCCCGGGTGCCGTCACCTCAGCGGACTCTTCCCGGCTTGATCTCTACAGTGGATGCTGGTGCTGGCTCTGTTTGGCCCTCTGTTAGAGGAACCTCAGGTAGAGGGACCTCAGGGGCGGGAGGATCAACAGGCTCAGCAGCGAGAAGATCAGCAGGTTCATTAGCAGCAGGTCCGTCTGTCACAGGCAGGTCTGAGGGCGGCGTGACTTTCTTCTCAGGCTCCGGTGCTACTTGCTGTGGCTCTTGCTGTGGCTCTTGCTGTGGTTCTTGCTGTGGTTCTTGCTGTGGTTCTTGCTGTGGTTCTTGCTGTGGTTCTTGCTGTGGCTCTTGCTGTGGCTCTTGCTGTGGCTCTTGCTGTGGCTCTTGCTGTGGCTCTTGCTGAGGCTCTTGCTTTGGCTCCTGCTGTGGTTCCTGCTGTGGTTCTTGCTGAGGCTCTGGCTGTAGCTCTTGCTGTGGTTCTTGCTGTGGCTCTTGCTGAGGCTCTTGCTCTGGTACGCCAGGGACGTCACCCATCTCAATGTCTGGTTTAATCTCCGTCTCTAAAACTTCAGCTTCAGCCGGAGGAGCAACAGAAGGTTCAGTTTCTTGAACTTCTGGGGCTTGTGTAGCTGGAGAGGGCTCAGGAGCTTGCTGCTCTGCTGATACTGATGGCAAGGCTTCATCGAGCTTGCCAGCATCTGTTGGTGCGGGCAGGCTATCTGCAGGCTGTTCTTCCACTTTGTCCTCAGTGGTACTCTCTGTTGGGCCGCCCAAAGGAGGAGACGGCAGCACAGGTGTAGGTGCAGGTTCAGGCTCAGCCTTTACATTGGCTGCAACAATATCGGCAGTCCCGGGGGCAGCATTCTGGGCAGGGATTGCCTCTGTTGCTGCGATAGCATCAACCGACGATGCTGGTTCTGGTTCCTTGGGTTCTTCTTGTGGTACATCATCTGTTTGATCCATTGGAGGTTCCTTTAGCTCTGCAGGAGAAGGCATTGAAGTCTGTTCTGGGTGTTCATTCATGCTGGTATCCCCCATTTTGGCGGGTGTTTGCTCTGATGACACATCTTCCGTCTTCTCTGCTGAAGGGACTGCTTGAACCTCAGGAGGGTTGGGCTTAGCTTGGACGTCTTCGGATTTCAGCACTTCAGGTGCTGTGGATGGCGGAGCACTCTGATCTTCTTGCTCGGTGAGAGACGGCTCTGCTGACTGGGCTTGTGGTTCGGCAGTAGCATCGGCCATATCGACATCTTTGATTTCAGCCGGTGTTTCAGCCGAGAGTTGGTCTGTAGATTCTGCATTGGAGGTAGCCTGAGGAGTTTTCGGGGGTCTTCGCATCCACCATGGACTCATCACCCTCATCACTCTCGTCACCGTCCTCACCATCATCATCGTCATCATAATCATCTGGACCAGATTGCGACATGCGTGAAGGGTCTTGCCCATCTTTACTGTCATCAGCACCAGCTACGCCATGCACAGTAGAAGCATCAGCGCCTTCTCCTGGGGCGAACATGACCTTCTTCTTGCGGCCCTTTCCAATGCCCTTGCTCTTCCGCTTGGGTGGGGGGGGCCGTCGCTTGGGAGGTGTCATGACAGCCGCAGAGCCAGCCTCCGCAACCACAACGCCCTCCGCATTGACGATACCCACACCCTCAACCACAGTCCCCGGCGCAGGCGTCTCTGGCTGCACAGTACCCTCACTTTGGCCTACAATGGCCTGGATATCTCCGGTGATCTCACCCTCAATCCGATGCCCCTCTGGAACAAAGGCATCATAGATTGAGACCTTGCCGGTGGCCGGATCCACCTTCTTGAACTTAGTCTTTCTGAAATTAGGAGCTCCGCCATCAGCGCCTGCAGCACCCCCGTAGAGAGAAGGCAACCCGGGGCGACGCTTCGCCAAAAACTCCGGCTCAGAAGGCTCCAAGTGCTTGGGGATAGTAGTCCATTTCCGACTCGTAAAACTGCGGTCCACATTCGCAGCAGCCGCCTCGTCGCCATCAGTCACTTCTTTTTCCACCGAATCGGCCGCACGCCCGCTCGAGCGAACATAAATACATCCGGCGCGTGCGGCGCGTAGAAGTGCGCGGCTCACACTAGGGAGCAACTGGCTGTCGCGCGGCATGGCAAGCTCGGGAAGACCCGATGTAGCACCTGGTCCTTGGACAGTGAGCTCAGAGTCTTCGGGCTTGGGGACTTGGGAGATTTTCTGGACCTGGCGGGACCAGCGGCGCACAGGCAGGCCTTCGAAGACATCATGGTCGATTTGGCCGTTTCGGGTGCGATTGTTTTCGAGGTGGCGCCCTGAGCGTGATGATCGAAACTTAAGATAGTGTTAGCATCGTCTGATTTGCTGATGATAGGTCTGCCAATGCGTCCGCAGCCGGAGTGGGCGTGTAGCTGCTTTGAACTTGATCGGCGGACCGGGAGCTGAGGTGATCGCGGGCGCGACAAGCACGTACAGTGGATGGCATTGTAACCAGTCCTGGAGCTACGTGGCTCCAATATGGAAGCTCGGCAAATTGAGATTGTAAGGACAAAGGTAGACGCTGGTCGCGTAATGACGATTCGCGATCAAGAAGCCGCGGATGGCTGGAGCGTAGCGTCGCGTTACAGAAGGAAAGGAACCAGACCCGCCTGAAATGGACTGTCACGTGATAAGATCAAGTACCAGCCTTCGGTTTGCGCAAGCAGCAACTGCGTGTTCTACTTCGGAAGAAGTCGAGATGCATGGCCTTGTTGCTAGGAGGATTGGAGAGGTGCATTTTCTATCCAAGTATTTTTGGGGAAAATGGATTTGCCCATCAGGAATCGCTTGTACTATAATACAGAAGGAAAGAACCGAGCGCCACTCTACTCGTCGCCATCAAACCTCATCAAACCCCATCAAACCCCATCGAACCCCAGGTATCCATTCCATGCGAATGATTATTTTGTATTTCGTTGCGATTGGTGGCAAATTTAGTCCCAGCTACGGTGAATTAGCATGTTTACCCTTTGGAGGAATCTGAGTAGAATCAAAGGTGAGGGCATACCCGGTGTCCTTCTGACGAACGATCTCCCCTTTATCTCCAGTTTCTTTCCCCTAGTAAATATTAGTAATTGTCGATGTCATATTTGGAGAGAAGAACCTACAGTCTTCTGGCCCTCCACCACTAACTTGTCCAACTGATAGAACTGGCTGATCACCGTTTGCCTCTGTAGAGGGTGTTAGCTTGAAATCTAGAATAGCCAGCCGAGATCGTTGACTAGAAGCAGTTGCTGCCAATAGAACAGCATAGATGCTTTCAGGCCACAGAATCTCCCGAAAATGCCGAACACTGACCTTGAGAAGACGCAGGCTCTGCAGCCCATCCTGGATCAGCTCCTGTACCCGACGCTCCTCCGACTCGTTCTGGTGTTCGCGGAAGGAGTCGATGGTCTTCCGGCGAGCATACTCGCGAAAGTTGTAGTTGGAAAACTGGGCGGATTGGCGAAGAAGGGACCGGAACTAGGAGTGCCAGAGTTAGCATATGTCTTTTCTAAAGCGCTTGACACCGGTAATGCAGCGGAGCAGTGATCTGGACCTAGGATACGGTAGAACTTACCAGTGAGCGGGCCTGAAAGCTAGTACGAGGGTTCAAGCTTGAGACAGACATGGTTGTCTGTTGGATATCTCTTGGAATTATGAACAGGCGTGAGGTTGTTGCAAAGGTATATGGATATCGCGACCGTCTTCGACTCCGAAATCGGGGTCGACGCGTCACGGGGAAGGCGGGAACAGCCTAGGAAGGTCCTAACTGTTGCAGAGAGCTTGCAGAGAGGTGATCTCTTCCTGACTTTCAAGATCGATCGGATGCTGGAATATCAGGAGTACCAGATGTGCAGTGGGTGGTGAACGTTGATGGCGTCAACGGGTGGCGGTTCGCTGTTCCAGGCCAAAGCCACAGTATAAATGTAGTTTGGCACAGCACAGGCTAGATAGATATAAGCCTCGACTTTCCAGCAAAGAGCTAGATGCCTTCTTGTCTTGCAGCACAGGTCCTTGACAAGGAAAAAAGAAAGCGACGTGAAGTTGGACGTAGCGCAGGGCGGGAAATTCTTTCGCGCCGGAGTCGCCAATGACGGAGTTACCTGGCCGGGCCGAGCTCTCCTCCCTCCCCCACATCACTGGCACTTTAGCTTCTTCCCCCCATACTACAATCATCTTCGGGGCTTGGTTTTGAGCTTGCTGGTGAACCTAAATGAACCTAAATGGCCCAGATCCCTACTCCTCCACCCTCAAGGGTTGGTTCTGAGGTGCCCGAGTCTTCCAATGGCCAGCGGAAGCTCGCGGAGTCTTCAGCGATCTGCTCGGAGTTAAAACACACGCTCGACGGCCTTCTGGAGCAATATTTGCTTCTCCTTGATCAACAGCAAGAACTACACGCTGCTCTTTCGAAGAAGCTATCTTCAGTATGATCCTATTCAAGCAAACACTGTTTTTTTAGTTTGTTAACTTTGCAGGGGTTTCTTGCGCTTGCCCATGCGAACTACACTTGCCCTCCCGGCCGCCGATATGGCACGGACTACTACGATGAAAGGATGAAAGCAACTCAGGGAATGTACGCTCACTTTGAAAATACTGCATTAACGAATGTTTGCTGACTTGCAATGCAACAGTTCAATACGGGATCAAGATACAGAGGAGCATACAAACGAGACCAGCAGCACCGGCAATGCTACCCCTGATCAACAAAAGTACTATTTCAGCACCAAAGAAATTATTCGCACCCCGACAAGCAGCAAAGGGCTGAAGAGAAGCCAGAAGAGAGCCAAGCGGGGGCAGTTGGCAAGGAGTCAGTTTCGCCCGCTGATACCCACGACGAATCAGAGAAATCGACCCGCAAGACAGATTCCCCAACCACAAGTTCACCGTCGCCAGATCTGAAGGATGATTTAGGCCGTGCGAACGATGATTCCGGGGCCAAGCCTAAGAAGTTCCGTTCAAATGACCCAATTCATTGGTATGGGATCTTGGTTCCACAATCCTTGCGCAATGCTCAGAAATCCTTCCGTGATGCCGTTCAGACCGACGTGCCAGAATTGGCGGGAACGATTGTCGAGATGCGAGCCCTGGAAGAAAAGATTGCCGAGCTACGTAATAAGCTCGGTCCTTAATCTTGACATGGATGAATTGGAGCTGACAAGACGCGGTTGCCGGGAAAGAACTTTATATAGAGGAAGCGTGCAACGACCCCTTTATGGATCGAAAGCATGCATCTTTCCGCATAGCTCGGCCCAAAATGGGACAGCCGCGTTTCGGATCGAGTCATCTAACCCGCACTAAAATCGGGCAGAAAGAGGGATCCTCCACAGTATTAACTTGTCTCTGCACATTTGGATGCCAGTGAAGGAAGCGGATCTTTTTGAGACTAAGCCTTGTCTACATGTGCAAAGCCAGGAACCTGAAGAGATGGGGCAAAGCTCCGTGTAGCTGCTTCAACGACCTTGGGAGCCGATCTCCGTCTGTAATCACGCTATCTCCGGCCCCGTGACACCAAAACAAAAGAAAACCTACATAAGAAAGAACAGGGATCAATTACGGGGCGCCCTATAACTAGTGACCTGCCAGTATGACCTAACCTCCGTCGAGCCTCTCGAGGTCGCGTGTTTGTAGTAAACAGCCTATGACCTAGAACAGATGAGGTACCAGCTCTTCCGAGGTTCTATCTATCACTTCCGCTCTACGGAGTAAAACACCCAGAAATGGCCAGTGCAGATCCACGGAAGCGAAGGGCTCCACCCCTTCAACATGAGACGTAGCGTGGGAGACGGTTGCGCCAGTGGGGTTCTTTCCAGACATCTCTCCCTATGCACCGAAGCAGCCCCCCAGCATGGTTGGCTTTAGGGGGGAGGCCTGATGGGGCCCTGCCGGGGCTCCACCACCTGATTCGCTCGCTTGGGAATTCTCCGGGCTTGATCTGATAGGTACCCGACTCTGAAACTCGGCGGTTTCCCCTGAAATAGGACGTGGTGGTCAAGGGGGTTTGGATGTTGCACCCATCAGAAGGCTCATAAATCCAGTCCCTCGAGTGATTGGCCCGTCATCTGGGCCGGATGAAGCTGACTCGACCTGGATCTGAGGGGAAAGGGGAAAGGAGGATATGGCTATGGCTAGAATAACCCCCCGGATATGGGAGATTCTGGGTAGTAAAGGGGATCAAAGTCGGTTTAATCTAGAGCAGAAGCGGACTCTCCCGGATGGTCTCCCGTTGTTTCGCCCGCTAGAGGCTGGTCAAGGCCCTTAATCTAATTCGACTAAGTTCGACTAGTCTGTCCCCGTGTGAGACGACCGATCTTCGACCCTTCTCCTCTTTTCTTCTTCCATAGCGTTTGTTTCTCTGTGCTCAGAGAGCTTGAGGCTCTCCTAATTCTTCTTCCTTCGTAAGTGACGAGGCGTCTGAATAGGCGATCGTGGTGCTAACATCGTGAAGGTAGCCGTTCTTTTCTCAAGACTGATCACCTAGTTTGATACTGGTGACCCTATTCACTCGTTTTCGTCACTTGTCTGCCTTCGATACGGTGATATTTATATGACTTGTAGGTTGAGCAATGTCCTAGCTTAAGTCCCTCTCTGACTCCCCCAATAGAGGCATTGAATGCCCTTTCTTTCTTGAATAGTCTTTGTGCCCGGATCATTTGATTCACTAAAGTCACCGTTGGTGACTCACTGTGTTCCATCTGCTACACCACACACTCTCTTTTCGTGCCAATTTAGCCACCGAGCATATGCTTTCTTGCTCGGACTTGACTCAAAACCTCGCCCAAGTCGTTTACGTCGATTGCCAGCAGTGCTGTCACTCAACTGCAACCTTCTTTTCCTTGCTACAGACTACCATTCAAATTTACCTGATCAGAACCATCTGCTAAGAATGCCGCCTACCCAAGGAGCCGCTGGGAGTGGCCCTATCTCGGAGTCCGAGAGAAAAGGCTCCGTCAAGAGGGCGCGAGAGTTGTTGGAAGCTGGTGCTCATCGGACGTCCCCTCAGACAGAATCCAGACAAGTACAGTCACGAGAATCTGCTCACCATTCGCAATGGCCTCTGCCGCCACCGGGCCTACAGCCCCATACATTCAATGCAGGCCAGAATCCTCGATTTCTTGTACCCCGGGGCCCTCCGCCCCGGCGACCACCACGTCCAAGTGAGGTGCCAATGCCGATGCCGCGCGTGCCATCTCAGCTGCCGTCGCCATCTGTCTATTCTGAAAGAAGCGGAGGTACTCCGGAGCCGAACCCGCACTATCCTTACCCATCCAGGCATCGGTCTTTCTCCCTTCCAGGGAACGCTCAACAGCAATCACGACCCCTAACAAGCGGATCACACAGCTCGACTTCCTCGGTAGATTTGAGCGCTACACCTCGCATATCAATTGCCGCCGACAATGCGTCCGGAAACTCCTTCACATCTACATCGTCTACGGCAGTACCCAGCATGCCTGCCATTCCAAGTCTGCAACCGCGGCGCCCACCTCAGACTCGTCGATCCAGTGGAACTTTAGCTCCCTCAAATGGCCAGCCAACTGGTGATCGGAGAATCTCTGTATCTCCTATTCCCGAGGAACGCTCTAGTGCTTCAAGCCGGGGTCAACTCGCTCCTGTGAGCTGGGGATCCGAACAAGCAGAGTCGGAAATCCTAGGTGCTTACTTGGACGATTCGGGAGACGAGAGATCTGTAGATCATGATAACCGTGCTTCCAGCAATGAAGCCGCTCTTTTGCGTAATGCAAGTCTAGGAAAGAGGCAGAAGCCCACGGTGCGCACTATCACGAAATCTAATCCCTCCTCGGAAGTATCTCTTGTTCAGCCATCGCCGCTCAATATTCAAGGCCAAGGCCAAGATGCGGCTGCTGGTGCAGCAGTGAGTATGTCGCCGAGGGACCAGCTTCGTGAAAACACTCAGCCCAGTCAGCCCAGCCCTCTGAGTCGGGCATCGTCCTCTTCGCAATCAGGAGAGTCGTATGTTGACCCAGCAAAACCGCGCATCGCGAAACCAACGGACGAGGAGAACCGTGCTGCTTGGGAAAAGGAAATGGGCCTCCCTGCTCCAGCTCCGACGATGAGTGACAAGAGGCCGGGTGCTCGCAAGCCTCCTAAGCTTGACCTGGGCGCAGTGCGGAATGCAGAGCAACGTAGCAGTCTGTCAAGCATGACTGATCTGATCAGACGTGCGACTAAGCTTGCTACCAACCTGGAACATGGAAGAACAGCAAGTAAGGGCAATGTGCTGGACAATGTCGCTCAGAAAACAGACTCCAGAGAACGACTCGGACTCGGAGGTAAGATCCCAGATAAAACGTATGCAGTGCGCCAAGGCATTCCCTAACATTCCCTAGTTCGAGAACGCAACTCGGGATCTCTTTCTGACATCCTTGCATCTTTCCCTAACCCCAGCATGATCACGCCCGATGTGCGAAGCTCATGGCCAGTGTTCTTCAACCGTTCCCATTCTTCCAATCTCCGCGGCGAGCCTCTTGGCTCCTACGACGAGACCGCCCCCCATGAAAAGAAGCCCACCCAGCGGAAATGCTGCGGCATCCCTCGCAAATGGTTCATTATCCTCTGCATTATACTCTTCATTGTCGTAGTACTCGCCATTCTCCTACCCGTCTTTCTAGTCGCCGTGCCCAAGGAGAAGGCCAGCGATTCCTCATGCGCCACCAAGAACCCGTGTAAGAACGGCGGCGTGAGTGTTTCGGCTGGCTCCGAGTGCTCATGCGTGTGCGCAGGTGGGTTCATTGGTGCTCAGTGCACGGTTCAGGGCGACAGCAGCTGTGTGACATCTGCCATAGACCAAGGGAGTGTTAACAGCAACGCGACGATGGGTAGCTCGCTTCCGACTGTTTTTGACCAGTCGCAGTCGAAATTCAACATCAGCCTCAGCCCGGTCACGATCATGGCTTTGTTCAGTATGAACAATATCTCCTGTCCGACGGAGAATGCCCTCGTCGCCTTCAGCAAGGTGGATATTGAAGACAGCAGCAAGCGTTCTGTCGCGTATTTGGAAGACCGTGAATTCCAATATGAGAGCCTTCCCCCTTCTTCTACTGAGGCGGACACTTCATCAGTCGCCTTGGTTCCCCGCGCTGTGGAAACCTCTAACGGAATCGTGTTCGAAGGAGGCGCGGAGAACGGTCCGAGTGGTGGTACTAGCACCTCTGATGATACCACTTCCAGCGGCACCGCCACAACATCTACAACTCAAGGTACCGGAGCATCTCATTCGACTGCGACTGCAGTAAGTACTTCTACTGCGGCAGCTGCACCAGCCACCTCTACCAACTCTCGCGTTCCTCTAGAAGTAGTCGAATTCTCGAAAGCCGTCGTTCTTCTCGTTCTTCAGCGGACAGGCTCCTTCAGCTCCGCGTTGTACTCGGAGACGGAGATCGAAACCTACCTGGTGGATTCTTACCCCTCGGCCGCACACCCATCGATGGATGTGCTGGGCCTGTTTTCTCTGGACTTTGAGAATAAGACCTTGACGGTGAAGTGAAGTGGTTCGGTAGATGTGTAGGTTTAGATGTTTGAGATGGGTGTTCCTAGTGTATATTTCCCCGAAAACAGGAGCCATGGCGTTTGGATTTCACAGGATATGTACAAAGGAATAATACAAATGAGGATCGAGCAATGTATCCCATTGCATGAAGCTCACATTTTACTTGATCGATCGAAATCGCCTAAAGCTCTGACCTAGATTGCTCATGGGGATGAATCATGACTCTTTTGGCTCCATAGGGCAGAATCCTCGGTAGCAATTGCGAGCTAATGACCGAGGCAGGTCATTGGCGGAACCACCGTATGCTACATCGCGAGTTGTCTTCAGTCCCGCTACTTTACCGAGTATAAAAGGGGGTTTCACTGATATAGTACACCTTAGTACATCTACAGATATAGTGCGCATACAGATGACGTACTGCATGAAGCTCGGGACAACGTCAAGGCTATGGCATTCGAATGAAGACGCCGTGCCTCATTGGACAATCTAGTCTTGATAGGCTGATCATGTGATGATTCCCAGTGGCAGAGCGTACACTACCCGCGGCAGGCTTGTTCCTTGTAGACGGAAGGGGCCGTTCAATAATACATTATGATAGGTCGTGCACGTTATCGTTAGACTGGGTTGCCTGACCCGGGTGATTCGAACGCGGAACCCCGCTTCGCGCCCTGCATCACATTGACAACCCGCTGGAAGACCCCTGGCCGAAGGACATCTCGACAAGAACCACCAGAGGTTAAAACAGCCGCTCAAAGGGAAGAAGTAACTTAGACGCTTGTGGCTCACGGCATAACGAAGTCAAATAAGGTAGCCATCATGAGAGCCCGGCGCAAGAGGGTGGACTTGACGAGCGATGTCTGGTATCTCATCCTCCAGAACGTATGCAGGCATACCTCGATCAAAGAATAGGGCCACGGACTGACGACTGGCGAAGATTGATTCTCGAGCAGACTTCCACAATTTATGTCTAGTGTCGAAAGATATCTACACCTTGGCCATTCCCCATTTATATTCCAGTGTGTGGATCGGTCCAAGGGTACACAGTCTAAGCATGCGTGACCTGAGGGCTTCGGCTCGAGCCAATGGCGGAAAGACGTTGCGAGAGGTGCAATGGAGGAGATCCCTCGAGTTAGTGAACCGGTTAACGCAGAATCCTGATAGACGAGATGCGCATGCTGTGCATGAAATAGATATCGCCGACTTCGACGAGAGGGGAGGGGGATTTTGCCGCAATATTGGACCGAGAGGATGGGCTTGCGGCGCTGGTGAAAGCTCTACCAAATTTAAGACATTTCCGGTACGTCGCGCGCCGGCTATCAACGCAATAGTCGCTCACCAGAAGATTGACAGGCTGCACTCGTCGGAACCGAGTTTCGAAGCTGTAATCCGCGCCGTAAATGAGCACCCCAATAAGCCAGAGCTTCACCTGCTTCAAGAAGGCGGATTAAGAGTTGCTGCAGGCCCTTTGCCCTGCGTAAGAACCATCCATGCCCGCGTGAACCCTTTCTGCGATACCGCAGAGCAGCCGAATCGAAGAGTTCCACGTTTCCAGCAAATGTTCTTCGCTTGCCCGAACTTGAGATCGTTCTCGTTTACGTTATTACAAGGTCCGTTAGGGCCCAATTGGTTTAATGCAGTCAATTCATTCGTGCTCCGGGGTGAGGAGCAGTTCCCACCGTTGGAATTGCTGTCGCTAGATGACTTCCGAATAAGATCCGGGGACTGGATGCACTGGCGAGAGAACGCTGACTGGTCTATCTTACGATCCCTTAGCCTGGGGCCTCATTGGGACGTGCGTTTTCTGACGGGCTTGACTGGGCATGCCAATGCCCTCGCAGTCTCACGGTAAAGAACTTGGCCATAAATAGCCCAGATCATTGCCCCGAGCTAGACAGGTTTATCAGGTCTTTCAGTACCCTGGAGAAGCTCACAATAAAAGGCCGTTTAGTGTCCGTCGAGACGCTAAGTAGCCATCCCAGACTCAAGCAGTTATGCGTGCACATGTTTGAGCTTCCGAGGGGTCGTGATGTCCTCGTCCGGTATTTAATCTTGCCGACCTAGCTGAGCTCGATGTCAGCTGCCCACATCTCGAAGTACTCAAGATCGATGTCAACCATCCCATCGCAATGGTAAGTACGACCCAAGAACGGTCCCGGCCTCCCGTTAACATACCGCCTAGCTCGCTGAGGCCACCAAACCGCTAGCAATTGGATTCGACAACCTTCGTCACTTGACACTGCATCTTGAGGTGGGACTTACCTGGCCATTTCCCCCTTGGCGAGCGAGGATAACAGATATTAAACCCCTGCATCCCGAGCTCAATGAAACAATGGCAAAGGAATTTGGGCAAGCCTTCTTTGCTTGGCGGCCAGAGTCGAAGCTACAGACACTCTCATTGAAGACTGGAGAGAAGCGACCCCCTTCGCGGATTGTTCGTAACGCCCAAGAGGAAGCCGCAGCCAGAACAGCGCATATGTGCCGATCAGCGAGTCGTAATGGAAAGCTTGTGGTAAAAGTAGAGCGACGGTGTCCCTCGGAAAAAGATTAGCCAGACCTTTGATTTGCCCTCGAATGAACTTTGTCCTTTACGCCAAATCTCTTCGTATTCATGCCAATACTAACCAGACTATCCAAATTTTTTTCTTTTTTTTCACCTTCAAATATTACTATAACACTAATATAACACAGTCACAACCACATTTCCAAAAATTTTCCAGGCATCTTGAGACATCTACCACTCTAACACGTTTTCAAATAGAAAAAGAAAAAAGCATAGCTAAACTTGACAGATGGGAGCCAAGACGTGTAAACACAAACCCTGTGAAACACGCAATATACAATGGTGTAACAACTATGTTCCGAGGACCCCTATTTCCGGCATGGGTCGTCAACATACACAGTAGAACATAATAGTTAGCTTCCTGACTCAGGGACAACGAGGGAGCCGCATACGACCTCTGCGGGAGATTCACACAGCCAAGTGGGTATTTCAGCATCTCAAATGAGTGAGAACAGGCATACTTGTAGACAATCTCTTCCTGACTATCTCGTGTTCATTCCCTAGAAAGAAGGCCATATCGACTGGGAACAGTACTAGAGACGAAATCAAACATCCTGAATGCAGAGACCACTGATCACAGATAACAGGGAATTATGGCATTCGTACTTTGCAGGATTTGTACGCATGGTTAATTGAGAATGAGACAGAAATCATGTATGGCATTGTATAAAGTCCTGTAGAATACAAGTGCGAAGTATACGCATACTTGAAGTTCTGGAACGGACGCAGGGTCGGCACGGGTGGGCACCGCCAAGCATCTCAAGCACGACATTTTCGGCGGAGGTTGCGTGCTTCACCACGTGACCTTAAGCCTCCATGCCGTATATACGCAGTACAGCGCATAAAACGCCGCCCAGAAGCAAATGTTATAGTTCGTATTGCTAGGCTGGGGATAAAAAGTAATATGGAATCTGTATGATGCCGCTACTGCTGCACGATGCCACCTGCCAAGACGAACCCCGTATCAGAGAGCCCGTGACCTAACAGTATACAAGAGAAGCAAAGGATCATCATGGCACCCGACTTCGGACGGACCATAAAGTCCCTGGAGATCCCGCCATAACGCGTACGGGCATCTGAGTCTCCCGGGAGAAAGCCCGGTGATATCCAGGGGCGTCGCAGATGTGGCAGCCAAAGGATGATCATTCCCTTTCTCCGGTCTTATACGTAGCATACGGTGTCCCTTAGATAGATCGGCATCGGGCGCCCGGCAGAACTCCTAAGGCTCTTGTAAGCTGAGCCTGTCGAATGGCACGCTTATCTCCGGGCGATGAAACCACGGAACCCACTAGGCTGCTAGCTATCATCGTCAAGGCCAGGCGCAAGGGCAGAAGGTTCGAACGTGGTGAAACGAAAGCCCGGAAGAAATACCACGGTCTGGGTGCGTCGACCCCATCGAACTCCAGCCAAGACTCCGCCCTGCTCCACTTATTGACGACTCTCCCGGCATTGATTGTCGTGCTCTGCCCGCGCATACGACGCCCTTGGTCCGCTGGGCGAGTAATCTTGGTAAAACCTGATAGTTTTTTTTTTTAAAAAAAAGGAGCGCCCCCGGTCTCTTCTACCCTTATTAATCTTCTTCCTCTTCCTCCCTTCCTCCTCTCCTGTACATTACAACCTTTCCAGCGGGGCAAATCTTCATCCCACTTTCTCTTTCTCTTTTTTGCCCCTCCATATACACAATGGCCAACGCTCCTCACGGAGGTGTCCTGAAGGACCTGCTCGCTCGCGATGCTCCCCGCCACCAGGAGCTCAGCGCTGAGGCCGAGACCCTCCCCGCCATCACTCTCTCCGAGCGTCAGCTCTGTGACTTGGAGTTGATCATGAACGGTGGTTTCTCTCCTCTGGAAGGTAAGTTGAGAAGACCAATTGATTGTTCTCCTCCTGTGCCAGACCCTTCTACGCTCTCCCACATCCATCAAAAGGAATGGTGTGTCTCCCCATTGTGGGACACGGACTTTCTTACGGCGCATGGAGGGGTAATTTGACAACTTTTATGGAGTTTTCGCTAATTCCGATGTCGCCGCACAGGGTTCATGAACCAAGCCGATTATGACCGGTATGTTTGGCGAGATGTGATGACAAAAATCCGAGTACTGATGGCGTGTGCATAGCGTCTGCGAGGACTGCCGCCTTGCCGATGGCAACGTCTTCTCGATCCCCATTACCCTCGACGTTACTCAGCAGACCATCGACGCGAACAAGCTTAAGGCCGGCGCCCGCATCACTCTACGGGATTTCCGTGATGACCGTAACTTGGCCATCCTGACCATCGACGACATCTACCGTCCCGACAAGTGAGTGGCTCCTATTTTATTCTGCCTGGCACATATACGTGTTGGCTTCCCGTTTTGCTCTTGAACGGCGTTCTTGCTTTTTTTTCTTTTTTTCTTTTTTTTCTTTGGATCGCCATATACCGCCGATCCCCGCAATGGCGCCATAGCTATCTGACGCCATCGCGGGGCTTGGCGCTTTTGCTGCATTTGCTCTGTCGTGGTCACCGATCTATGAGATTGATATCTTCGAATTGGTTGTACTTTTTGGCTTTGTGTGCCCCCCCTGAAGATCAATTTTGTTTCACTCATGCAACAATCCCTGCTGATCTGAGACCGTGCTTTCCTGTGGGTCAAGCTGACGTGGTTACCCCTGAGTTTAGGGAGAAGGAGGGCAAGCTTGTCTTCGGCGGTGACCCCGAGCACCCCGCCATTGTCTACCTGAATGAGACCATCAAGGAGTTCTACATTGGTGGTAAGGTCGAGGCTGTCAACAAGCTGAACCACTACGACTATGTTGCTCTGCGCTGTATGTTTCACCCGGAAATGGATATCTTCAAGGACGCACTCTTCTAACCCTAATCTAGACACCCCTGCTGAGCTGCGCGTCCACTTCGACAAGCTGGGCTGGTCCCGCGTCGTCGCCTTCCAGACTCGTAACCCCATGCACCGTGCTCACCGTGAGCTGACTGTCCGCGCGGCGCGCTCCCGCCAAGCTAATGTTCTAATTCACCCCGTCGTTGGTCTCACCAAGCCCGGTGACATTGACCATTTTACTCGTGTCCGCGCCTATCAGGCCCTGCTGCCCCGCTACCCCAACGGCATGGCCGTTCTGGGTCTGCTCGGCCTGGCCATGCGTATGGGTGGTCCCCGTGAGGCCATCTGGCACGCTATCATCCGTAAGAACCATGGTGCCACCCACTTCATTGTTGGTCGTGACCACGCCGGTCCCGGAAAGAACTCCAAGGGCGTCGACTTCTACGGCCCCTACGATGCTCAGCACGCCGTGGAGAAGTACAAGTCCGAGCTGGGTATCGAGGTTGTCGAGTTCCAGATGGTGACCTACCTCCCCGACTCCGACGAGTACCGCCCCGTCGACCAGGTCCCCGAGGGCATCAAGACCCTCAACATCTCCGGTACCGAGCTGCGTCGCCGCCTGCGTACCGGCGCCCACATCCCAGAGTGGTTCTCCTACCCCGAGGTGGTCAAGATCCTGCGCGAGTCCAACCCTCCTCGCGCCAGCCAGGGTTTCACCATCTTCCTGACCGGCTACATGAACTCCGGCAAGGACGCCATTGCCCGTGCTCTCCAGGTTACCCTCAACCAGCAAGGTGGCCGCTCCGTTTCCCTGCTGTTGGGTGACACCGTCCGCCACGAGCTCTCCTCGGAACTGGGCTTCACCGCTGAGGACCGCCACAAGAACATCCAGCGCATTGCGTTCGTCGCCACCGAGTTGACCCGCGCCGGTGCCGCCGTCATCGCTGCCCCCATTGCCCCCTACGAGCGTTCGCGCAAGTACGCTCGCGACGCCATCTCCCAGGCCGGCTCGTTCTTCCTCGTCCACGTCAACACTCCCTCGAGTACTGCGAGAAGACCGACAAGCGCGGTATCTACGAGAGTGCCCGCCGTGGCGAGATCAAGGGCTTCACTGGTGTCGATGATCCCTATGAGGCTCCTGCCAAGGCTGACCTCGTCGTGGACGCTTCCAAGCAGAGTGTGCGCAGCATCGTCCACGAGATCATCCTTGTTCTCGAGAGCGAGGGCTTCTTGGAGCGTGGCCAGTAAGCTGGTTAATGAGATGATATTTGCTAATTTCCTTTGTTCGATAAAATATTCGCTCTGATGGGCACATAGAAACGTGTGCTACGTGCGTTGCGATTTGATTCCCCGTACTAGATCTACAATATATGATTCTGAAGACCTTTGATTTTTTGTAGAGTGCTTGTTTAAACCTTTGTAGTGACCTCAAGCCTTGCTGGCATATCCATGAATTCCGATCTTGTATCATACTTGGAGCATTCCTACTGATTCTTGTCACAGACTATGAAGCATGCATGTCTTTACTGTTGTGTTTACTAGGATGGGGTTGGGAGCTCCATAGGGTCTCATCCAAGTTTGCCCTTCAACAAGGCTATGGATTTGTTGGTGCAACTGAAATGGCCTACCAAAAAGAAAAGCTGGAGCTTACCATGTCATCCGGGCGTTATCAACTGCTTGCAGGCGATTAACTCGGTTGACTTGGTGTGAACAAGTACGAACCGGCGTTATCACTCGTACTAGCTGGTGCTTCTACACATCATAGTCTCCGGTCACCAATTCTAGCTCACACAAAATGACACCCGCCAATACTTCCTTACGTGAGCTGGAGTTGTGCCCCCGGGCCAAGAGCGACGTGCAAGTATACATATAAGTCACGTGATATTCCGCACACCGCAACCATCATATCTACAAGCTTGCTTCACCACATGACTGTCCTTCCAGCAACAACCATGCTGCCCCCACGAAGCGCCCTTGGGCGAATACCGGCTCATGCCCGACGGGTCCTTCCAGTACGGCCACACTGTGCACATCCTCAACCCCGACATTTTACTCAAAGAACACCGCTCCAAATTGCACCTCCGCCAGGTCGACCCCAACTCGGGTTCCTCTCACCACTAGCCCCGAATCGACTCCCCCCACCACTCGCAATCCACTTGCGCCAACATTTCGGCCGCCTTATTTCCACAGAGAGCCGTGAAGGCTACAAGCGCCGAATATACCGGGGCATCAAGATTGGTCTATCCTTCTGGGCCATCCTTGTCTTGTTCGAGGTGATCAAAACAGGCGCCTACCAAGAGGACCTAGAGCACCAATGGCCGACACCGGGGGAATGGAAGTGGAAGAATCGGTACTGCCTGCGTAATGCGCAGGCTCTCCAGCACCCTGAGTATATCGGCAAGATCATGACCAATTGGCCCATGGTTGGCGCCTACTTGAACCAGCTTATCGAGGAGCTGGAGGATACTGAGGGAGAGGGCAAGGGGATTGTGGACCAGGAAGAAGGGGGGATTCTGGTTGAAGGCGTTGGACGGACGGGCCTGGATATCTCGGCGAAAAGCGAGCCTTGGCGCCGCGGCTACCACCAGGCCCTGATGGGCGCGGCCAAGGCAGCGGAGAATCTGGACGGCTGGTTGACGGATCGTAAGGAGAAGATTTCTGCGCCCGCGGAGTATGTTGTTGGGCCTTCGAATCCGAGACCCAAGCCCATGCCTACAAATCAGAAGAAAGTGCTCCATGAGGAGAATTGTGAGGCCGCATCGCCACCGCCAGAAACATATTATATGAAGGTGTTGACGACCAAGGGGTTTGACACCAGACAGAAACTGGATGCTGCGCTTGCGTATGCAGACTGGCTGGATTTCAAAGGGCTCAGTTCTACGGCTAGTGATATGTATGCCTGGGCAATGGATATCGCGGTTGCTGGATACCAAGGCGACGCCAGCAAAGTCGTCGATCCTAAGACTGGTGTCCTGAAATTCGCGGACACAAATTGGGCCTCGGAGAATATCCTGCGCGTCTCAACTGCGCTCGCAGTTCACAAGGCACGACAACATGATCTCGCTTCCGCACTCTCCATCTTCACCTCAGCGCTCTCCGTCCGACGTTCTCTTGAGAGCTTACCTGGTCCTGAACCTTCTCCCCGACCCATCACACCACCAAAACGAACTAATGATATCTTCAAACACGTCTTCGAATCTCTCCAAAATTTCCTCATTCCAGCCGAATATCCCCCTCCACTCCCTTCAGGCGACACTCCCGCCCTCCACACCACCAACCTTCAATGCGAAATCGCGGGCTTGATGACCTACATCGGCGAAATCATCCACGCCACCTCATGCCGCGAGCCAGGCCTTTCACGCGAGCGGGGACTCGGCTGGACCCGCGATGCAGTTCTCATTGCCGAGAAGCACATGAAGAGATGCTCCAGCCCCGCCGACCGGGATGCCCGCCAGCAATGTGCGCAATGCATCAAGGTTGGCTTGGAAAACTGGAAGTCTATGGTCTCCTTCCTTCTCAACCAGGCCCGCAGAGAGGAAGCCGAAGCTATCGAAAAAGCAGGCAAGGCATGGTGGGGTGGCCAGAGTGCCGCCCAAGCGAAGGCCAATGAAGTGCTTAAACTGGAATCCGAGGAGGCCGAACTAAATGAGCGCATGCATAGGCTTTTGCCTGTTCTGGACGGCGAATCTAGTCTTGGAAGTCTAGCGCCTGATGTATCTTTGGCTATGTAATATAGATCGGCTTGGAACGGACGGCTAACTGGAGTTTTCAAGGGTTTTGTATAATATATGCTGCCTGCAGCGCGTACATATTGAGTTCTGGACAAGATCTATGAACCGTGAATTTTATCTGAATGATAATTCCATACACTAAATTACATTCTTCTACTACTAGTAGTCGAAGACCTTGACAAATGAAGTCATCCTTTCAAGAAGCCCTCCACGTATTGACTTTAGTGTGGATCAGCAGGACCAGCCTCTCTCTATTACTGGTATGAGCCAAACGGATCTAGGCGACTATACAATATGAACATCCAATATCAGACAATCCCTGCCATCACCACCGAGATTTCACACCTTCAAATCGCCAGTCATAACTTCAGGCTCCAGAATCATAGCCCGGTTAATCAGGAAAGCGAAACAGACAACTGCCTTTAACCCTCCACAAAGCAGCATTGGTATCCTTGACCCAACCTTCTTCTGAACAAACACTCCAACACAACACCCAGCAGCAAGCATAATCAGAAACAGCACCCTCCGGTTTCTCAACCGATTCCTGAGCTTCGCCAACTGCGGATCAACACAAACATCAATGATCGCCGCCGTAGCCGCAGCAGTCGTAATCTCTGTGATCTTCAACGACCGCGCCATGGCAACCTGCCCTCCACTTGAAAAAGCCATCAACCCCACCACCACTATGGCAGACCTCCCGTCCCTCTTAACAGGGCCCATATTCTGGACAGCCAGTGCGAGATATATGAGAACTGTTTGCACCACATTGCTGATGAGCAGCCACAGCCGTTTGCGCACCCCGATCCAATTCCCCATTTGTCCGAGGACGAGCGCGCCAAGCACGAACATTAGAAGACTGGAGGCTATGTTGGGGATACTGTAGGAATGCTTGGTCAGGCCCGCTGCGCCGATGAAGAGAAAAAGCGTGTTGCCAGTTTGATTCGAAGCGAAGCACGCGTAGTCCGGCCACGCGGCGGCATCTTGGATGCCCGTCGCGAAGGTAAGCACCAAGAGCTCTGTTTCCAGGAGCATGTCCTCGCGGATATCCTCACTGAGGTAGGACCATAATATAGACCGTGGACTCCGGGGCTCACGAGCCTCCGGTGTACTGGACGAGGACTCGGGCATTGTGAGGTTTCTCAAAACGGAGACCAGCAGATCGGATTTAGTTATAGTGATAGGCTATCTATCCCCCAGGAATGGACTCGTCATATCGGAAATTAGGTTTCTTATCCTTCCATTCTTGCTTCGAATCCCAAAAGGAGTATGCGTCTCGTCACGACGATCATCCCGTCCTTGCTGGCCTTGAGCGCCCAATAACCAGCGTCGCAGGCCTGGTGAAAGATAAAAAGTAAACCCTCGACTTAATTGCCACGACGGAACGTCGTCCTGTACGGCTGGCCCCTAGGGATCACTCTGACTTGGCCCTAGATCTTGATTTTGTGCTCCGGGCACATTCTGGCTGACATAGTGTGGGTTCGGGGGGGATGGAATTTGGGGTTTCATCATTCGGAATCCTGGCGACGCGGCCTCTGCACGGGGTTCCCCATCGACTTCGAGATAGGCTTGATAAGGTAATGATATGTCCTCTTTGCGATTATAATTCTTGGCGATGCTGGTGGATATGTATGAAAAGAAGATTTGTCAGTCTATTATGACAGGGGATCATGTTGTGCTTTCCGAGGCTCCTTGCTTGCATGTTGACGTTGTGGGGTGTTTTTAAAAATGATGTTTTGTGCTCTCAGTATGCCGAGTTTGTTTGAGTGTATTTTATGTGTGTTTAATGCTGGCTCGTATCATTTGCAGTGAGGCGCGTTCCTATCAATTTGGCATTTGATCTCCGGGTGTATGTAATGTGTTTGCGTCCTGGCAGGGCAGATTGAATACTTCTAGTGTACTTATCATGACGATAGAGCTATATGTGAACCAGCGCGAGTATTATATATATCCCTATAGTAGAGCTGGCTCGACTAGCGTAATCAGATGGCGACTGTGGGGACAAGAATGGAGCTTATCACTAATGAGAGGCCCCGAAACCATGGGTGAGGATCTATAAACTTTTCCCATAGTGAAAGACTAGGAAACATGCGAGGCCTCTCAGTTTCTGCAGGGGACTCTCGGAATAGCCTCTTCGAATCACAGAGATGTTTCGGAAGCGTTGAAAGACTTAGAGTACTGGGGACATCGATAGGGCAGATTCTCCTTCTCGATTCCGGGAGCTCAGAGCAGGCAGCTTAGGATGTACACAGGCACCAGATGAGTCCAGTTGAAATTATGACGGCAGAATGGATTCACAGAAGGAAGAGTGATTTGCCCAGTCAATATGTCCATCTCACCCCCAGAAGGCAATTCCCCCGCTGCCTCACCTTCTATTCATGCCGCCTTCAGCATCTGTTGTTTGTAACAGCCACCCTTCCTTTTCCTTTTCCCTTTTTCCACCTCTTCCTCCATCTTTCCATCTTCCCCAAGCCTTTCACTTCGGCTAGTGCTCTCTCGTCTATCCAATTTCATCAGGCATTTCAAGCACTGTAGCTTGAACTGCTTGCCCTGGCTTGTTTCGGCAATACACGGCTGAGTCTTTGTCCTGATCTCTTGTCAGCCTTGACAGCCCTTCAGCCTCCATCTCCATCAGTTTAGCGTGATTTTCCATCATGCCATCCAAAGAATTTCGTGCCCATCTACGGGAAGCTGTTATTCCAGGTCAATACCGCCATCTGACTCGCGTTCAAGAAGGTGAATTTGAGGGATCCATCGCTTTTGTATTCTCCTCGCAAGAATCGGAAGAGATTGTTGAATACTCTGCTATTGTTTCTGGTAAGCAACTTTGAACTAACTATCTGATTCGACTGCTGACTCGTGTGCAGATGACCATGACTACCCCCAAAATCACAGCTTCGTGGTCTTCGCGACTTCTGAGAATGCGAATCCGGCCATAACAAAGGCCTTGGATATGGCCCAGAAGGAAGGCACCTTCAATCAAAGCACGATCCACGAACTTCTGGCCGCAATGGAGGACCTTACGCTTAACGCCCTCAATGCACCTCAGGAGCCTACAGCTCACTCTGACACTGATGATTTCGACGCCTTCGGTGATAGTGACTTTGATGATTTTGATTCGGAGAGGCCCATCAAAGTTTCCTTCCTTATGGTTTCCGCAGAGAAATTGCGAGAAAAGATGTGTGCCGACTTACGAGACGCTAAGGCTGCAGGCTTCAGAATCGGCCTCATCAGAGAGCCTGGCAATCCTTTCTTGATCGTGTCAATATCCTATCGGATCTCGCGACTTGGCATCTCTGAGGATGCCATGCAAGCGTGGAAGCTGGAACGACAGGACTACTTCGTTCTACTGATTCGATACACGAAGGTTTATGTGGATATGAAGGACGTATTTGAGCTGGGAGATATTCCATCTCAGGATTCAGATGCGCGTTGGTCTCTGCAAATCGTACAAGCCAAGTTTGCGTGCCGCCGAACAGGTCTTCGCGACAGCCAGTCTGCCAGAAGCCTCATCAAAAGCCTCGCGAGAACAAATTGCCTCTGACCTGCGGTCTTGTTTCATCTCGGAACCCCTGCAAAAACTGTTGAACGAACGGTTTTTCCCCATAGCAAAGCTTCGACATAAATTTAACTTCTCGTGGACAGGTGCAGAGCTGTTTTTCCAAAATAACCAAGGCATGATTTCCAATGATGACAATACCAACTCTCCGGACTACCAACGCCCAGACGACTGGGTGACGCCTGCTCCAGATATCTTTCAGAAAGATCATTTTGCCAAGGTGTCACCGGACCTGTCCAAAATGTCGTTACCACTGGTAGCAATGCAATACGTACTTCGCCATTTTGCCAAATGCGGTGAGTTTTGTCTGGTGTGCCATTGCAAGACCTTCAATCCATTTGAGACTCTCAAGCCTTACGTGTGCTCGAATGGATTATGCCTCTACCAATACATCGGCCATGGCATGGGGTCTAATTTAGAACACACCATCCGGACCCAGCCAAAAGTCGTTGACTTGCTTGTTAGCCTCGTCTATGCAAGTACATCGGCGGGCCGCCTTGAAGATTTCCCAACCGGCCTGGGATTGAAGGTACCCAGACTCGAGAGTCCCCGTGACCTTTTTTTCCCCAAAGCCCCACGACGACATGTGGACCTGTCTGTTGCAACCGCCTCAGCAGGGTTGTGCCAATTCCAAAGCCCCCAAGTACTATGATGCATTCCTTGACCCGGAGACAATGACCCTTACAGGAATGGAAATTGGGAAGAACACATTCACAGTCGGTACCTGGGTTGCTTTCGGCATGCCCGGGAACGATGTGATCTCAGCTTGGAGCAGTCGAATCACTTCCATTGATCGAGATGGCGGATTTCTCATCCTTTCTGAGCCTGTACCCTGGCAGGAGACTGCATTCCGGAAAGTGCTCCCACGAACCAAAATCTCGGGTGAGCAATTGGCTGTCAGGTTTGCGCTTTATGACACAGAATTTGACGACTTGACTGTTGGTGGCAAACAATCCGCTATCAGAATGCTGCTCAATTCACTACCAGACGTCGTCACAATGGAGAGCTATCTGAAGAAAAGTGGACCGGAAAAGACTTTCTCATCTTGGGATCGGCTGAATCCTGCCGCGCTTGATACTCTTCGGTGGATAGTCGCATCCAATAGATCCTGCATCATGCAAGACGATACAAACCCTGATCATCTTGTGAAGAATATGCCTGGCTATGTCCAATTTCGCCTTATCCAAGGAGCCCCAGATAAGGAACACCGATTCATGCAGGCCGTCAATCAGCATTCGATGCTGCAAAAACCTCGGTGTCCAACTTTGTTCGCCTGGCATGGAAGTGATCTCCACAACTGGCACAATATCCTACGCCAAGGGCTTCATTTCGATCAGATAGTCCATGGCCGCTCTCAGGGAAACGGCGTGTACTTTTCTAACCAATTCACAACCTCTTTAGGTTACTCCAGGGGACCAGAAGTAGGGGGGACATGGCCAGGCAGCAATCTGCACATTGCACGCGTAATTTCGCTGAATGAGATTGTCAACTGTCCAAGAAAGTTCACCTCCGTTAGACCCTATTTTGTTGTCGACAACCTGCAATGGATCCAACCTAGATACCTCTTTGTTGGGACCACGGTTGGGACCACTGACGCAGCTTCAGTACCGTCAGTGAAACCGAAGAAACGGCGTGCCGATTCAGATTCGATTTCCATCTTGCCACAAGATCCTCAATACGTTGCTTTCGGCCCGAATGGAGCCAAGATCAATATCCCCATGTCTGCCCTCAGCTACCAACGTCGCCAGGCTCTCTCAAAAGTTCTGCCTGTTCACAATGATCCTAGGGCGCGCAGTTCAAAGAAGCCTTCTCGGGTAATGGACGGCGTTCCCCATGACGACGACTTGCGGAGCGTGGCTAGCGAGGCTGAAGACATTGCCCTGCTACTTTCGGACGATGAAGTTCTCCCGATGAAAAATCTGGCGGCCCGCCCTGTCACTAATAAGATGGCATTCGAGCCTGATAAGCTTACCAGTGGATCTGTCTCTCTGCTTGAGGAACCTCAGTACTCAGACAGCAAAACGACATCGGTCCTCCAGCGCCATCTGAAAGCAGTTCTTAAGCTTCAGAAGACTGAACGATTGGATGAGCTTGGGTGGTATGTCAATAAGTATCTCCTTCAGACTGTTTACCAATGGATCGTTGAACTGCACTCTTTCGAAAAAGATCTCCCCCTCGCTAAAGACCTTGAAAAGCGCAAGCTTCAAAGTGTCATCCTGGAGGTGCGATTCCCACACCAATTCCCCATGAGCCCTCCCTTCGTTCGTGTGATCAGACCGCGCTTCCGGGAGTTCGCACAGGGAGGGGGTGGCCATGTCACGAACGGCGGGGCGTTGTGCATGGAGCTCTTGACCAATAGCGGATGGTCGCCGGTGGCTTCTATGGAGAGTGTCTTTCTCCAGATCCGTATGGCTATCACCAGTACGGACCCCTGGCCTGCACGCCTCAGTGCCAATGATGGGCGCGGCAGCTACACCATTCATGAAGCTGTCTCCGCTTACAAGCGGGCTTGCCAGACCCATGGTTGGGCCATCCCCACGGAGTTACCGACTGCTTGAGAGGTGAACACTCCTTATTTCCGTGATCTCTCATTCTTTCCTTTCTTTCGCCTTGCTTGTCTATGGAATTTCAGAGGGGTTTCTCCCCTGGTACTCGTAGGATGCGGGGTGGATGATTCCATGTAGCCTGGAAATTGTGACTGGGGGGAGAATGGTTGTTCTTGCTGATTTGAGGGCCTTCGGCGTACCTGATCTATTGCTTTTCATATGCAGTTTAGTTCCGGCCCACTGTAGCATTACCTCTTCTGTAGGATTAAAATACCACAATGTTTAGTACTATTTTTGAACACCAGAACATGTCGATTCGAATACTGCGGTCTGAACGGGGGTAGCTTCTACGCAGGCTGACTGAGCAGAGTCCGCAGATCTTGAAGTTGTATCAGTCATCTATAAACTAGAATTGTCAAGGAGCTTTAGTCATTTGATCATCAGAAGGATGGGATATGTCGATAGTGCGAATAGTCTACTTTATAGTATCTGACCCCGACACAATCCACAGCCTCCCCTAGCAGGGTCGCCCCCCAGTCATAGCGCCCCCGGCCAACATCCTCTTCTACGGTGCCGGCAGCCTCGTATGAGCTTGCGCCGGCGTAATGATAGAGATTGTGGAGTTGGAGAGGGTGCTGGGGATCCGCGGCGTTACGGCCGAGGTGGCAAAGAAGTTTGCAATTACGACGAGGGTGGAGTAAAATGCGGTGGGAGAGATGATTATGCTACTCGGTGGATATTCCACAAGGTGTCGTGTACCAACCCTTTGTGCGAGGATTGTTCTGACCTGTCGTGTGTATGCGTGTATGAACCGCTGAATATGAGTCTAAATGCATGAAGTATTGGTCGCTAGTTGAATATCTGGTGGTTGAGTCGTGAGGCTGAGTCGCGTGTTTACTCCGGAGCCCAGACAGCCTTTGTCGCATATAATTTGTTCTCATCAAATAGACAGGACGATACACTCCACAGCCATCAATCGATCAGTCACAAGCCAGCGAGGTTCGAGGTTCAGGAATCGACTATCGAGCCCCATCATGGCTGCATGTTTTCGAGAGCAATCGACGGTGTCCGTGATCAAGCTCCCGTCTTGGGTATGCCTTCCCAGCGATCTAAGGACAACTGAGACGAGGCAGTTTCACCATCTGTAGCTTGATGGGCCTCGGGGTTGCACCGCATGATTTATGGTTGGGTGATGCAGCTACTCCAACCGTGGCTCTCCACATATACGGGGTAGTTCGGGGCAGGGAAGCCCGACCAAAACACCTCGGAGAAGGGGTCGATTACGGGCAATAACGACATCATGTTCGGAGGTCAAACCACGGGGGAGCACAATTAGCTGGTCGGGCCAGCATTGACTAACCAAAGAGCAGGATCTCGTCCATTTTGGACCCAATCGCCCCCGTTTTTTCTCGAAGGAGCCGGGCGTTCTACACTGCAGGCTATAGGTGATAGATAAGCCTTCTAGAAGGCGAAAGAACGCCGATCAGAGCACGCCTGCAGAGTGACACGCGCTCTTTTCCATGGTTCCACCGGGTTAAGGATTGGACCAAAGCGGAAAAAGCTTAGCGTCCATGAGGTTGGTGGCGTGGTTACGATGCCAATGGCCCCAACAGGGTCCCTGCTTCCTCTAGCCGCGATATCTCTTACATAGGCGGATTTGGTGACTTGCGACAGAGATAAGTGCCGTTTGGCCTGGTCCACTGCTCCACCTGGATCCATCCTTTTTTCGATAAGGGAGTCACCCCTATTCTGGTGACCGATACGGAGGACTTTCTGAGGGTTGGAGCCGAAGTCCACATCAGCAAAGTACGGGGAATATGGGGTTATTACACATAGAAACACCATCGCGCTGTAATTGCGAGGCTGTTGCAGCGCAAAAGATGGAGCCCAACTCCGGGGTACAATGCCCCCTCGACTCCAAGAGCGCGCTGCTCCATACGTTTGAGGTGGTTCCACCAATCAGACGGCGCCCTCAGACGATAAGCTCCAGGGCGCAATGGGGAGGCGAGTGGCGCCCGGAATCGGACCGCCCGAATCTGCTTTCCTTTGGGCCTCGTGATTGGTGCAAACCACCGTATTCGGGGCAGCCAGCCAATGACCCCTCGCCCTTGTTATCGCGATGTTCACAAACGTTAATCGCATTACCCCAATTTCTTATTAACGGACTCTAAAGCTATCCCCCGCAAAATTCCTGGAGACTCGGGCGCGACTTTCAAATCGTCATGGCTGACGCTGACTTTTAATACGGCCTGTTGCAGTTTCTTTCGGCCCTCGACTCTCCCATCCTCCCCAAACCCGCCATCATGAAGGACACGGCGGATGACGATGTGCAATTGGCCCAGATCGGCCACAAGCAAGAGCTGAAGCGCCATTTCTCGCTAGTGTATGTTTTCCGCGACGCGCCACCGGAGATCTGACTACCATACTGATTGTTTTCTACCAGATCTATGCTGGGCCTGGCTTTCGCTATTCTAAACGTACGCGCTTCAATGGAGAGAACCTTATAACATCGAATAATGGTCGACTAACTTGGGAGGATAGTCATGGACGGCGCTCTCAACAAGTCTGTCGCTGAGTCTTCCGTCCGGCGGAAGTACCAGTGTCGTGTGGGGTGAGTTCGTCCAATCCACAGATCAATTGTTCTATACTGACAAGTTGAAGGGCTCTTGACTGCCGGTATCTGTAACTTGTGCATGTCTGCATCGCTGGCCGAATTCCTATCTGCGTACCCGACGTAAGCTCCCCGGATGTGCTTTGCGCCCTGATCAGACGACTAACATGGCTTGCGGCGATAAGCGCGGGTGGTCAATACCATTGGGTTGCTGGTGAGTAATTGGATGGAGCGAGATCTACAATAGATTAATTGGTTGACCATTCTACAGTCATTTCCTGGCGAAAGTCAATGCCTATTCTGTCATGGATTACCGGATGGGTGAACTGCGCCGGTTGGGTCGCGCTGGTCGCGACTGGTGGTCTTCTCGGCAGTCAACTGGTCCTGGCCGTGATTTCTTTGATGCATCCGGTATGCACCGATTCCAGCCATTGCAGATCGAAACCTCTCATAACTCCATCTAGACTTTCGAGTCCCACCCGTGGCAACAGTTCTTGATTTACATCGCATACAACATCGTCGCTTTCCTGATCAACGCCCTTTTGAACCGCATCCTTCCCTATTTCAATAAAGCTGCTTGTATGAGGATCGAGTCTTGGAAGCCGAGTCTACGTACTGACAGTATCGCTAGTCATTTGGTCTCTTGCTGGGTTCACTATCATTTGTATCACAACGCTTGCTTGCGCATCGCCCAACTATAACTCTGGAGAGTAAGCATACCATGCTCGCACACTACGAGTCTCTTCTAATATCAATAGCTTCGTGTTCCGGGAATTCCTCAACAGGACGGGATGTACGTTCATTATCTGAAAGTGTTCAAAACTGCGTCGCTGACTCCTTCTAGGGCCTGATGGCATCGCGTGGCTCCTCGGTGTATGTTTCGCGCTCAACCCTCAAGTGGTATAATTTCTGACCTTTCAATAGCTTCTTCAAGGAGGTCTTGGTGTTACCGGATTTGTAAGTTCCTTCCGACAAGCACATGCTTTACACCTATTCTAACATGGCGTAGGACGGTGTTGCACACATGATTGAAGGTAAATCACGCATCAGTCCAGTGCGAGGACGCAAAACTAATAGCGCCAGAAATCCCTAATCCCTCTGTGGAGGGTCCCAAGATCATGATCGCTTGTGTTGGTATCGGCACTGTGACCGGATTGATCTTTCTTATCGTTATGTTGTTCGTGGGCGGCCCGATAGACAACATGATTAACGGCGCTGCTGGTCCCCTCTTGACTATTTTGAAGCATGCGACCCAGAACAACGCCGGTGCCATCTGCCTGTTGATGTGAGTGAGTCCAGAATCCCGTTTTCATGCCTATGCTAACAAAAGCCACAGTTTCCCTCTCGTCTGCATGCTCTTCGCTACCACTGCGATCATGACGACCAGCAGCCGTATGTGCTATGCATTCGCTCGGTATGACCCCATCCGTTCATCAAGACGTATTCCTTTCTGACACTTTCTAGTGATGGCGGTCTTCCATTCTCTAGGTTCTTTTCCCGAGTTCACCCCAAACTCGGTGTGCCCCTGAACTCGCTCTATCTGAACCTCCTCCTCGTTGTCATCTTTGGATGTATTTTCCTCGGATCGTCCAGGTAAGCAAGCCCAATATGCATCATTCAACAACTATATTAACATACAAAAGTGCGTTCAATGCGATCATCTCGGCTGCTGTTGTCATGTTGGATCTTGCCTACGGGATCCCCATCGCCATCAACTGTATCCGCGGACGTAACACCCTCCCTGAGCGCCACTTCGTCCTTCCAGAAATCCTCGGCTGGACCTTGAACATCGTAGGTTCCTCACTAGCGTATCGATGCGGTGCTTTGCTAACACTTGTCATAGATCTCGTTGGTCTACATCACTTTGACTACTGTTCTGTTCCTCTTCCCACCCGAACTTCCTGTCACGGGGAACAACATGAACTACTGTGTTGTCGCCTTCGCGATTGTTTTTATTATTTCGGCATTGGCTTGGATTTTCGACGGTCGCAAGAACTTTGTTGGCCCGCGCATCGAGTTGGAGGTTCTTTCTGGGGAGGCTAAACCGGAAATTCCCATTCCTGCCATTGAGCAGAAGAGTTGAAGAAGTAGATTTAGATTGCTTGTATGATAAATTGATTAGACCATTACATCGTATCTGTTCTCTGTGGATATGAGAACTTGAAACTTCCGCGTCTTTTGTTCCAGTGTAGCTAGGATTTTCGGGGCCAGAACTTGGGGTAGTTGATCAAGAAATCACTGCCGTGGCGCAGTATTAACCCTAGTCGTTTTGAGAAGCGCCCGGTCCTTTATGCGTATCGTATTTCTAGAGCCTGTCAAGCTGTTTCTTAATATAGAATAGAGCCTCACTTGCTTTCCAATGATTTGAATCCTCCTCGCGCGCGCGTACATGGGGTATTCGCAAATACGCGCCCGTCTCGATGCACCGACTAGAAATTCGCACCTCCTCCAGATCATGTCGTTGAATCCGAAGAAAAAAAAGACAGTGTTCTCTCCATATTTTCCCTCACTGTTTGTGGCCCAGCCCATGATCCTTCAAGATGGGGTCTCTCATGCCTCAAATGCATTTGAACGTCGGGCCCGCAAGCGGAGTCGCAAATTTCGGTATAGAATTTCTCTTCAACCTGCAAAGATTAGGGATCGACACCCACGCCATTTACGTTGCTAGCTACGTTGGCAGCCAGCTGAGGCTGGGTCCGACAGGACACCATAGCTTACTTCGAGCGCTGCATGAGAGTGAGCTACACAAAACTGCCTCGAAGACGCTATGGTTTGGACTTGGCCAAAGGACCCCGATCGGTTTGCTGACGAGCCATGAAGCCTGTTCCCACTTTGTGGCTTTAACAGGCTGTTTGCTGGAGATTTACTCGCCGTGGGTGACGACCAGGATTATGCGGGCTTTCTGTGAGCAGTTCGTGCAGAGGGCCCCAGCTGGGTTCGGTCTTCGTGTCCCTGGAGAGTTGTCCATGCAGAAACTTGTTGAAAAGTGTGGGGGTCTTGTTTCTACGACAGCGTTCCCTCTTCTAGCGGAAAAATTTATGTCTTTTGATGGCGAGTCGACTGTTGGGCGACAGACATGGCCGAAGCTCGATTCCTCTGACCATATTAGGTCTTTGAGGAAGATCTCAGATCCACAGAGTATTGCCGAAGCGCTTTATGCCATGACGGGCCTTGCAAAGAGGGAGGAGCGGAATATTCGCAATATCACGCTTGTAGGAACGGCGGACGGGGCGGCTCTTGCGGCTATTGGGGCTTGGCTCTTTGACCTCAGTGTCACTATATACAACAAAAGCGACAATCGCCGGCGATATTCCAACTTTGACGAGAGGAAACAGCAGGCGCAGCTGACAGCAGTGCTTGCTCAAGCTCATCAGACCCGGTCTGTAGCGAAAACAGAGACGATCTTTCCTTTGAAAAACGTGGATGATGTTAAGGCAAGGCATATGATGGATGATCCAGACCTAGAAGACATGATTTCAAGCCGAATATCTTGGGATATCATTCTTGAGAAAACATTCCAAGAGGCTTTTCTTTCATTGAAGCAATCTCCAGAAATCTTTGGGACCGTCGTTGGGAGTGGAGCTCGCATTTTCTCTGGCATCGCTAATGGCGAGCGTGGGGTCCCTATGGAGTGGACTCGTGAATGCACGATCCACTTCGAGAATAGCTACGGGATAAACTACGTTACCTTCCTGCAGCGACGGTTTCCAGAACTTGGTTACAAGGGCTTCCATCGTTCTATGCTGAACGCGGCTTCTATTCAGTCGTTTAAAGAAGCCACGGATACTTTCGAGAACGCAGTCGGGCTGCTTTGCAAAAAGTGCGCTTGCAAACTATGTTCTAAAGAATCTGGTGCGAGGAAGCATTCCCCATACTGTCTTGCTGTGCTCACCCTTACCGTCCTGCGCTTCGGTAGACCCCTGGCAGGTATCAACCCCATTGCTGCCCTGTATCCCCAGCGGGGTGGCCTGGAATATCTATATGGCATTCAGCGGCAACGTTTTTGTCAGATAGTAAGAGGTAATAAACCGATGCCTTTCTTCATGTCGGTTATTGAGACCGAGTACCGGTTTCTCGAACTCTCCGTCATGCAGGTGGCAAGGTGTCTTTTCAGTCGCCCGATACAAAGCCCTAAGGATGATCCTATGAGATTCTCATCTGCGATAGATGAAGACGGGATCTGCTACTACCTGGAAATCCTGCGCGACCCCTATCATAATAATGTTGTCAACTATGCACGGGTCAATGTGCTGAACGGCCATATTCTCTACGAAGGCCGGTACTATCGATATATCGATGAGCCTGTCCGAAGCCATTGGGATATCCACCGTCGTGAAAAGACAGAGGGCAGCATGCAGAACATTTCCAGGAGGGCGGTCGAGGATATCCAACGTTGCTATGGTTCTACACCTGAATTACAACTGACAGTTCGAACGTCCAATAAGGTATTGGAAGAATTCTTGCAGGTGTCAATTGCCCTTGTTCGAGGAAGCACTGTTCTGTCTCACGTTGGCCCTCGATTTGTTGTCGACAGCATTGCACATGGAATGGGACGAGCGGCCTGTCGGAGAGACGGATGCAAGTCGTCCGCTGATCTTAAGAAGGAAATAACGAAGGAGCTCGCTAAGGCTCGACAGCAGCAACCCGTATGCACAATCAACATCAGAGGACATGAGGTGGCTATCGTGAATGGAGATCAAGGCTCGACACTTATGGCTCTATATGGGCTGTATAATCCACTGGTGGCTCGCCAGGAGTGTCTCGCTTGTTGTATTGAAAGTGGGTGCAGCATCCCAGGCTGGAAGAAGTTCCCGGTCATTTTGGCACAACCTGCGTCCCGGAATGGGTTAGTTCTGCTGAAATAGGAGGGTTGGTCACTGTGAGCCCCTGCGCTGGGCGCGTGGGTATTTATGGCGTGTTTGGGTCTTGTGTTTTAAGCAAACGATGTCCCACTCGATACCATTCTAGGAAAGTTAACTGATGGTACCGAAGGCATGAGCTCATTTGCAATGTCCCAGTAGGCTCCCGATCGAATTACTTTATTTTCGATATAAGGCACTTCCTGCGTACTGTTTCAAGTTGTTTTATGTTCTATACCCACCAAATAGCCAGATGACGTTGATCATGTGACTGAGTGCCGCCACTTTTGATGCCTGTGTTAGAAGGCCACAATCCCAACATTGAACGCGTTGAGGCCGCCGGCCTGAAAATGATCACTGTGGGCCTGGAGACAAATCATTGAGCTTCGGTTTCCATCGAAAATTGCTCCAATTCAAAGGAGCTCGAAATCAACGCAGGTGAGCCCTGGAGTGCACTGCAAACCCAGATCATCTGACCCGTTGACAAGCATATCGCCCCGCTAACGTCATTGGCATCTGATCTACCAACACGATGCTGTCCATCAATTGGCCGTCATTACGGTCCCTGCGACTGTTTTCCTGGGAGAAGCAACCGCTCAAGGTCTCGCCAGTGAAGATTCATGATATCGACTCGGCTCAAGAGAATCCTGGCCGGGCGTTGAAACATTTGCTCAGGTTGAACCATGCAAACTACGCGATCCTGTACAACGATCGGAAATTCCATAACCATGCTCCTCATGTTAGTTTCGTCTTTCAATGACGAAGAACAGTATGCTAATCAGATCACTAGATCCTCTGTGCGGCTTTCCTCCAGGGCGCAGACGCAGATGACCTCACGCGCATGTACGAAACAGAGTCCAAGCTACTGGATGCGTGGGAGGACTCGCCAGCCGAGGTGACAGCGGAGGATTGGAGAGAGCACCTAGGACATCGAGAGTATGTACCGCCGTGTTTGGACCTCTTAGGCTGCATATTAACGAGCTTTCCCAGGTATCAAAAAGCGTTTGTTGATTTCTTCGAAGACGAACTAGTCCGGTACAATTACGAGTGGAAGGAAGTGGTAGCGGAGTACCTGTTCTCGGGAGAAAACCCCATTTTCCACTCCATCATGGCTGATCGTACGTGCTGTCTGAATATACATTGGAAGTTGATGGAACTGACAAGACTAGTCGGTCACCCTCTCATCCATCTCGCATACGCCTTTGAGATGTCCAGCCGAGAGGTTGCCATGGAAGCCCTGGACTAGCTGCGACCTGCTTCAACGAGAAGCATAAATACCTCGCGGACCCAGCATACACAGAGCTAGAGCCGTCATATCGCTCGAAGTCTGTTTTCGAGATCTTCGAAAAAGTGCGAACCGACAAGAAGTTTGACGGGCTCTTTGCAACAGCCGGAGACGATAATTTCTCCAGGGTCTTCCAAACCCACGAAGCCGCTTTACTCGACCACTGGAACGCATGGACAATTGAGAACCCCATAGAGCAGTTCCGAGAAAGTCAGGAACTTGCCGCTACACTCTTTGCTGCCGCGCCAAAAGACTCTATTGAGAAGTATGACTTCTTTCTTGTCCATGTCCTGACCACCAGTCACGCGGTGCGGGTCCTTCTCCCATTCGTTCCTGCCCATTTACAAATCCCATTGGTTCGGCAATGGTGGCTGGTCACATTAGCTATTTTCATTGCGCAGCTTCGACCGGAGCTGTCACTCAACAGAGTCCGTGAGACTGACCTTCGGGGCAGAGATTGGGATTGGGTGTCGAAGCAAGCTGTCAAGGGGGAGTACTCGACCGACGCGCATTACGTCAAGGCCTTACGGTGCTTAAATGAGTTATCGTCGACCTGGGGCGACCATGATCAGTTTTATCTGAAAGCGGCGGTGAGATTTGCGGATGAGTTCGATGGTTGGGGTGGGTTTGTTTGAGTTCTCGCGTCTGTCCTGCGTCGCGGATGCGTCCGTGCTTCACCAGGTGGTTCGTTTCACGCGCTCCATATTGCATTCATATGTCCCAAAATTAATGTGCATTTTTATAGCTCGTATGGATTTTTACATATGAAAAACCTCAAGTGAAGGCGAAACCAGACGTCAGAAGTATAAGCCTAAGCTGAAAAATGGATCGAAAGATCTGGACTTTTGTAGCACAAGCATAGGGGTTAGGGGTTTGGGGGCACATTTATTCATGGATTCCCACCCCACATTCGCAAATGGACCATCTCATGTGAGTTCCGAAGCAGTGAGTTGATCCCAGAGAATTGATTCCAACCATCAACTGCCACCTTTACAAGAAATGCATGGAACGTCCCACACGCAGCGAAAGCGGCGCCTTCGAGCCTCCGGCCCAATTAGGCTTAGTGCTATTTGCACTGTTTGCATTGGCCCAGCTATCATCATATTTTGTGTCGCGTTGATGCCAAAACTGACCTTTCCCACGCAGTCTGTAATTCAGATCAAGACGCGTCCAGCTTCAGCTGAACAACTGGCCGCGTTTGCGTCTAGAATGCTCTCCCCTCCCGATACCCCCCTGTACCTGCACGCCGAACTCCTCCCCAACATCCGTCAAATCACCCTCTATGTCTCTCTCCCCTCACACCCAGCTCTCAATGGACTGCACCCTACCATCCAGCTCTCAGACTCCCGAAAAGCAGTGACCGTATCTCTCCCCCACCCTTTCCAAGATGTCACGGAGACCACCAAGCTCCCCGCGCGCGTCAGCGAAGCTGCTCGTCGGATCTTGACTACACACGCACATCCGGCGAAGCCCCCCTAGCCATGACTATTCTTTCAGAATGCCCATCGACCCCACTGACCCAGTCCTCGCGCCCAGCGACGAACTAACAGATGACTATGTCCCATGGACAGCGGGGGACATGTCACCGGATACGCGAATCCGATGTCGGTCATGCAGCGCGGAGCTCCTAAACACCACGCCCCCGCAGCGAACCTCGCAGGACGAGACGAGCGGAGGTGGCTGGGACTGGAAAGACCTGCCCAGCGGGAACTGGGCTGAGATGATGGACTTCTGGCACTGCCACAAACCCGATCCGCATGAAGAGGATGCGGAGCCGGAAGCCAATGCCGCGCTTAGGGTTGAGGAGCAGAATGCTCAGATTAAAGGGTATGGTGCTTCGAGTCGTGTTGTCGCGACCACGGGGACTGTGCTCGTTGACACCGCGACGTTTCTGCTGGCGGAGCGTGATTGCGGGGGACTGAAAAAGGTATGGATAATCCCTTTATTTAGGAACAGTGACAATGCTATTTGTTATTCCGTGCTGCTATTCCCTTTCTCGACTTTCTAAGTTACGAGGGTGTATTCCTTTTCCTACACTGCTCTTGTGGGCAACAAGAAGGAGACCATTTCTTGCCCATGGGGTGGCCTCCGATACAATTGCCCCAGAAAAATACAGCGCTGCAAGTTGCGTGACGGGACGATTTCGCCTAGACAGCCAGTGGTCGAAGCTGTTATCCTCTCTCTGAGATGGATTTCGCGGAAGCCACGGACTAGGCGATACATCTTGGAACGAGCTTGCCATTCGCTCCTTCCTTCTTCAACGGTAGCTGGAGCTGCGTCTGCGGCTCTTGAAAAGTCATGCGGTTGTCGTGATTGAGGAAGGGACATTTCGTATTATGGAATCTTATTATCTATTTTCAAACACTTTTGACTTCTCATTCCGGATAGCCCGCTAACATATCGACCATCTACCTAGACCAGCGAGGAAAAGCCTTCAAATCTTCATGACCCTGAACAGAGAAGCCTTGCCTGTACAAGCTGCAACGCGGTACTTGGCACAGAAGACCCCTCTGTCAATGGCTGGCGGCTCTTAAAAGCGCACGTCTCCATCAGCACGAACCAGTCAATACAAAGCTACTCAGCGGAAGTCATCATCGCCGCCCAGCTCCTCGAGTTAATCGAGCGGGAAAGTGCCCGGCGGTTCGTCGTGCACAGTGGACAGAAGTCTGGACTTTTGGTATGCGCCCTCAATTTTCCGTAACCATGATAGTTATTAAACACCCTCAGCTCTGGGTCTTCAATCCCGATCTTCGATACTCGAATGTCAGTGCAGGCCATGCTGTGAACAACCAGCAGGCTATGAAAGTATTATACCAGGCACTGGATGACGTGGATACTGTGCTTAACCGCGACATGGGCAGGCCGTCGCCCTTGTCTGTGGAGGAGTTGGAATTGCCGATCTCGATATTTGAGAGCCTTTCTAATGCCTTGCATGCTAGTAACTGTATACTCCCATTCTCCGCGAGGAGGTTCAATGAATGGCAAGTCGGTCTTTTGAGTCGGTTCAGTCGTTCAACCTAATCATGACTATGAATGCGGAAGTATATTTACATCGAGACAACCCACGATACTCGGGGTTCTTTCTCAGAAATACCCCTACGACTCCAATCGGATTCAGCTTGGGCATATAGATCTCACAAATTTGGCCCTTATTTTATCATCAAGCACATCGATTTACATGGTTTACTCTTCAAACGGAGTCTCATACGGCTGCTCCGCCTGCGGCGTGAGACGCGCAATATGGCGTCTTTGACCATCCTCCCAGTCGAAAACAGCCGAGTGGGCCACCAACCGGTTATCCCAGACGACGACCGTCCCCGGGCGCCAGCGCACACGGGCCTGCAGATCCTGCGACAGCGCGATGTGGTCGAAGAGGAATTTGAGAAGATAGTCCGATTCCTCCTTCTTGTAGCCCACGATATAGCGGGTGACTGGGGCATCGTTAGTCTGGTGCCTTCTTTCCTCTCCGACTTTTGGAGGGTTCAAGCTTACATTGCGGGTTGACATATAGCGCCTTCTCGCCCGTTACTGGGTGCGTGCGGACAATAGGGTGTTCGGTGGTAATAGGATCGCGGCGCGCGATGCCGCCGCCGTTCAAACTAGCGTTGATCTGTTCGGCACCCGAGTGCACGGCGCGGAGACCGTGGAGGCGCTTCTGGAAGCCCGGGGACAGGCGCCTGTAGGCCTGTGCCATGTCGGCGAAGAGGGTGTCGCCGCCGCTCGTGGGGCCATCGAGCCAATACAGGAAGGTGGTACCGGGGGGCTGCTTCTCGAAAGTGACATCGGAGTGCCAGGTAATGGTGTTTGTGCGCTGGGCGAGGAAATTTGCGCCGGTACGGTCGTCGGCGCCGCGGAAGACGATGTGGACTTCCGGGAAGCCCTTAGGGGCGCCGGAGGTTTGGTGGATATGGTGGCGGCCGAAGTAGCCGGCATAGTCGACAGCTTCTTGGATCGGCAGGTCGGCGAAGTCTTGGTCGCGGAAGGCTGGGGTGGGTTAGTTTTGCTGATGAACGGGGGGGGGGACTGGAGATGTCTGGGATGGACATACCGACGACACGACGCTCAGCGACATAGCGGGCTAATTGGTCCTTTCCGGCGTTGCTGAGCTTGCTTAGTTGCACGCCGTGGACTTCCGAGCCGATGAAGGGGGTGATCTCGTCGATTTGGGCTTTGTCCTTGGGGAACAGGTCCGGGTAGCTGGGGTCTGCATCTTTGCCGTGTTCGTAGTGCTCGAAGATGGTCAAGGGTGGGTAGCGCTCGGTTTCGTTGTCCCACACGGGGAGGTAATGGGGGTATGATACCGGAGCGACCTTGTCTGTGCCCTTGAGCTCCTTCTCTTTGTCGATCGAGTATCCGATCAAGTGCTCCTTGTTGGAGCCACCGTTGGTGGGACGAGGGGCTTGGGTGGTTGTGTCTCGCACGGAGACCGTGCCTGTGATTGAGGGCGCCATTTGAAAAGTATCTGATTGTATGGTAGAATCGAGGTGTTGGATGCTTCAACCTGTATCTGACTTATACTTGCCAGTAGTTTTTTTTTTTCAGGCTATTAGAAAACGCGGAGTGGCGAGGATCAGATCTCTATATACATGAGGCCTGTGACCCAAACTACTAATATTGCACCATGAATGCGGGGTGGCGATAGGAAAGACTCTTTGCGTCCCAATATACTGTCCGAGGCATTGGTAGAACGGTTCATCGTCACGATACTCCGAAGGGAGTATACTGTCATTTGCATTCGAAGAGTGCGTTCGTTATAACCGTTGCGAATGGCGTGCTTGTTGTTGCGCAAGATAGCAATGGGGAGCTGTGATTGGTTGAATATCGACCATCTAGTAGATCACGGTCTCTCATTGGCCACACCCCACGATGATCTCGAGGCCCTTGTCTCTTCTGTCTTGTCACTTGCGATGGAAATGACGTGAGATTCAACTCGACTGACGCGACGTGAGCTGCCGACTTTTCGGCACCTGAAGTCAAAGTCCCGACGTAAACTTGATTCGCATTTAAGGCGCGGCCTAGTCGGGGGATTTTTTATCCTGATAGGACTTCACGTCGGAGCATTGTTAGGGCTGCTCGCCCCCCAGCGACTCCCTAGGTCGACCAAATAGGTAAAACCCTTGAGTGTGGCCTTTGATCTTAAAGTACGCTGCCTGTTGCGCATTAGAGCCTCTCTGCCATCCACAGATAGCCCGCCGGCTACGGACGGTTTTGCGATTGGCTTTTTCAAAGCCTTGTACGGTCTAGAAGGACAGAAACATGAAGGCGGGGGGCAGTGGGGCATTTTGTATAAGCTGCACGATCCTGACTCGTCCACCCTAACGTCACTTTATGGGAGCTTGCGTGATTCCAGCCTTTCCCCAGTTTGTGGAGTTTCTTGCGTCCCGCCTGCTGCATACGCTCCGGCTAAAAAGCCCAGGGCCTGTTTGAGATCTCGGATTTGGAATCCAGTGTCAGCTCCAATGCACCCGGAATCTCTCCGATTATGCTTTCATACCAGCACATCGCGAGCCTATCGACCCCTCCCACATGGCGAATGGACCATTCAGTGGAGGTTGAGCTCCGCTAGAGGACCGAGGCGACTGGGCACCATCATAAGTAGCCAGACGAGACATGAGACGTTGACCCCAAATGCCCCACTCCATCCAACGAGGGCATCCGTATACAAGATCAATGGGCCACGCTGATGGCGTGATATGTGCGCGGGAAGGCTATATCATATTTTTTATTTCGACCACCAGCCTTTATAGCTGGGATTCCCCTCCGTGATAAGAGTAGTTATCTTTCCTCGACACTGTAGTCTGCCCTTCACGCTCAAGGCCCAAGATGACCGTCGAGGATAAAAGCATCGACTTCAAATCCGGGGACTATGATCCCAAGACGACCTTCAAGGTTGAGCCAGCCTCCGACTCGGCGTCCTCGTCATCTCTTGAGGAGCACCGCGGCGAGGTCAAGGTGATCGATAGCACGTTCGATACCACCGAGGACCCTCGGTTTTATAAACCAAAGGAGGACTACGAGGGGTACCATCGCTGGGACCCCAACTTCGACTGGACCGAGAAGGAGGAGAAGGACGTCCTCAAGAAGGTTTGCGCACTCGACACCACCCATGGCAGGGCTGGCATGCTAACTCGACTAGATTGACTGGCGCATCTGCACTTTCGCCTGTATTACTTTCTTCGCGTTACAATTGGACCGATCCAACATTGTGCAAGCCACATCCGACACTCTGTTCAGTGATATTCGAATCACCCACAATGACTACAACACCGGCCAGACCATCTTCTACGTGGTATTCCTGTGCGCCGAGATGCCCTCCCAACTCATCTCCAAATGGGTCGGCCCCGATCGCTGGATCCCCGTGCAAATGATCAGTTGGAGCATCATTGCCGCCTGTCAAGCCTTCATCCAGAACAAAGGCGGCTTTTTCGCCTGCCGCGCCATGCTCGGTCTGCTCGAGGGTGGTTTGTACGTTTCCCTCCCCTCCTCCCCAGGATAAACATCATCTCTAACGCAAAAGTTGTCCAGCATCCCGGATACCATTCTCTTCCTCTCCTTCTGGTACAAATCCAAGGAGCTCCCGATACGCCTCAGCTACTTCTGGGTCGCCTACGAAGCGACTTCCATCGTCAGCGCCTTTCTCGCCTACGGGTTCCTGCACATCCACAACTCAGAAGGTACGGGTGGCTGGCGCTACCTCTTCGCCTTCGAAGGCATGATCACGGGGCTCATCGGCATCGTCGCCATCTTCTGGATGCCGGCCTCGCCGACCCAGACCCGCGGCGGGTTCCGCGGCAAGGACGGCTGGTTCACCGAGCACGAGGAGAAGATCATGGTCAACCGCGTGCTGCGCGATGACCCATCCAAGGGCGGCATGCACAACCGCGAGCCGATCACCCCACGGATGCTGTGGCAGGCGCTGAAGGACTACGACCTATGGATTATCTACCTGGTGGGCCTGGTGTGGATGATCCCCAACACGCCCGCGACGAACTACATCAGCATCCAGTTGAAGGCGCTGGGGTTCAGTACCTTCCATACGAACCTGCTGACGATCCCGGCCTATGTCGTCTTCATCTGCACGCTGTTGGGTATTACGTGGATCTCGGAGCGGTTCAATGTGCGGTTGTTGCTGGGGGTGGTGTCGATGGCGTGGGCGATGATCCTGTTGATTGCGCTGGAGACGCTGCCGGATAATGCCTCGCCGTGGGTGCGCTGGGTGCTCAATACCCTGCTGATCGGGTCGCCGTATGTCCATGCCATTCTGGTGGCTATCACGTCGAGGAATGCGGGGACGGTGCGGACGCGGACGGTGGCGACGGCCCTGTACAACATGATGGTGCAGGCGAGCAATATCATTTCCAACAATGTGAGTGGCATGTCCCCCCAGGGTTGCTTGGGCTGGGAAGGATCAGGGATCAGGGCTAATCGGGGAACCAGATCTACCGGGACAATGACAAGCCGTATTACCGCGTGGGAAACAAGGTGTTGATTGCCTTGGCGGCTTTTGCTATGGTTCTGTTTGTAGTAGCCAGATTCTATTACGAGTGGCGCAACAAGTATGTTCGAATCGTCGGGCTTCTGGCGGGTTCTTTTTTTTTTTTAACAGGATTTTTCTTTTTCTTAGGAAAAACGCTGCGATTTGGGACAAAATGTCCAGCGATGAGAGACAGCGCTATGTCGCTGAGAACAAGCACCTGGGCAACAAGCGGTATGTATACCCTGAAGGGGAGGAGAGGCATGGACAAACGGGGCTAACGATGCCTAGGGTTGATTTCCGCTTTGCCTATTAGCATCGGAGCGATGGAGTCTTTGCTTAAAAAGTTCTGGGATGATTCCTGAGGTTTGGATTGGACTATAGATAAACAGCGAGCTTTATTTAATCGCCTACCCTGGATGGTGGCGTTAGTTATGAACACAAGTATGAACACAAGTATGAACACAAGAGCGTACCACGTAATTGTAACGGAGTGGTCCACTTCTCAATCTGGAAACCTTTCCCGATGACACTTCGAGTCGCTTGGCTACCCCAAGGCAGTCATGGAGAGTCGCAATCGATTATCGCACCGTGCCAAAAACTCCAGTCTCGAGTATTGCGCAATATCACTGTAACAGCAGTAACCCGCTTTCTCACTCCCCAATCACATACTCACACCCCTCATCTCCAATCCAAACCTCATGCAGCTTCCCAGCGGGTACATCTACTCGAGCGCCAGCGCCAAAGGTCTCTTTCTTGACCTCGCCGCTGTGCAAGGCCGCGTTATCGTCGGGGTACGTGATTGTCAGCGTGCCCCGCCGAATCAGATGAGTCGTGAGACCTCTGTGGGTATGCGGAGAGTAATATGCATTGCTACTACCAAGTTAATCCCAGGCATCCAAGCTGTATTGGCCATCAAGCTGGGGGGGGGGGGCTGGAGCATACCTTCCATCCGACCAGGTGAAAACATGCCGGAAGCCCCAGTCCCGAACGAGGTTCTCGCTTTCAGAGCGAGTGCCAATGGGGTATGTGTCAACCATTTTTGCATCAGCAGGAGCACCCTTTTACTGAAATGAGGATTTCTTTCCAAGTTAACAAAGACATATGCGCCTGGAGTCCTGTGTGGGGAACTGGTTATTAATGTCGCGGATGATGTCAGGCAGCATCACGTGAGGATGTATACATGTGAGCAAAAGTACAACGGAGGCTCTAAAGGAGACAGAACTGGATTTTTTTTTCAAAAACATTAGAGAAAAGAAAAAAAAGAATCGGGTTCCAATTTGACGAGAATGCAAGGTGCTAGGCAAAAGAGTGTACAGAAAAAGTCCAATGGAAAGCACAGATACCGTCGCGCAAGCCGGCCCAAAGTTGTATATTGCGAAGCCAAAGCGCCAAAAAGCAGCAACCAAAGAAACGCGACCAAAGATGTTCCCCGTCCCCACAAAAAGCCACTGGGTCTGTTTGAAAATTGCATGGGTGCATTGCCGACGAAACCCCATTCGCCTCGAACCCCGGGATCCAAGATGTTTCCTGAAGCACGCGCTAGAAGAACTCCGTGAAATGAGAATGCTGAATGCGAAGCACAAAAGTCGAAGCAAGAGAGAGTAGATTGAAGATCGCATGTCCTTTGGATCATGCACAGGGGGGTATGGCAGACATGGCAGCTCTTGCCGGGGATGACCCAGACCTCCCGGCCTTGTCTCATGCACGTGGGACATCGAACGCCAGGCATCTAAGAGCCATTAATAGCGGTACACAAAAGTACGCGGGAAGGAGATCCAAGCAAACCTTGTTGACGACAGGAGAGTTTGCACTCGGCGCGGTGCCATCTTCCGGCTTGGACATTGTGAATATTGGTGCGAGGTGAACGAAGCCAAGGGAAGGCACCAGTTGAGTATTGGATATGAAGTTATTGGATTTACTCTCCGGAGGGGAACCGAGGGAGAAAAGATGGTCTCCTCGCCAGCTGAGCCTGAGCCCGTCTTTATAAGGCCGATCAAGGTCCAACGATTCCAATGACCCGTGGTTCGCAAGCCTACCTCGCGATGGTGGAGGAAAAGAGCAGGATGGGAATCCAAAAGAGAAGGTCAAGAAGAACTCACAGCTGCAGTGCATGAAAGTAGATAAAAAAAAAGAAAATGGGGGGAAAATGGGTAGAGCACAAAATATAAATTGAAAATCCAAAATCAGAATAGAATCAAATCAGAAAAGAAAACAGAAAATAATGACACAAATAATCCCAGATTTGTGAAAAGTCAAATCGAACTCGGTCCCCAAAAAAAGGGCCAGGAAAAAGGGCCAGGCATCCGCTAGATCACCCGGGTGCAACTGAGTTCAGCTAGATCCTGTAGGGCAGGATGTTCGGAATATCCCGTGATTGCGAGAAGCAGATGCTACGGTTGATCAAGCAGAAAGCACGAAAGCTAGAACCACCCAGTGTCGATCTGGACGAGCACGCTCCACCCCATCACACTAGACGCATGACGGGGCTGGAGGAATCAAGGCGACGGGGCAAAAGGCATACCTGATGCAGGCAAAAAAAAAAAGCCAATGGGTACATGTACGGGGCCTCCCGAGGGCTCCGTGGGTGTTCGTTGTTTGCTTGCGGGGGCATACAAGGACCATGCGAATTGGAGCGGGACCACGGAATGACCTGGATGACATGAAGCTGCACGTCCCCCATCCGCTGTGGGACAGGGTATACTTTAAACACAGCCAACACAGCCATAGGACCCGTATGGAGCTTCCTTCCCAGGGATACTCGGCTCGAAGCGCCTTTGCTTTTTTTTTTTTTTTTTCTTTTTCTTTTTTGGCCGTAACTGAAAGCATGACAGCCTGACGGGAGGGCCGGAGAATACGGGATGTGCGAGAAGTTGGCAAGGCTAGCGACAGTGTCGCGCAACAAGGGCACGTCAAAAAGTTGATGTATCGGTTCTTGCAAAGCAGATCTTCGATGGGGCTTCGTTTGACCTCCGCCCATTGGCTGCGGCGGACAGCGGCCAATCAGCAGGCGCGCTCGTTCGCAGTGAACCCTCAGGTCTTCCTTTAGTCGCGTCTTTTTATTGTTAATTTTCTTTTTCGTTTTTAGTCTAGTTTAGTGCGAGTTCATTTCGGGCGTTGGCGATCCCATCCGATCATTGGTCAGTCGGCCCCATGCTCGTTGGGTCTCTACGCTTTCGCTTTATCGGGGCCTCGGTCCAATCCCGTTCCTGATGCATGCGTTAACTGGCAGGTGTGACATATGCAACCTGAATGCATGATCTTCTTCTTCTGGATCCTGCATGGATACCCCATGCTATGATCGCCCTGGGCCTCCATTCTTCCCTTTCGGGCTACATGCGGCTGGGGAGGGTTTCTGTGGCGCAGGAAGGACGTGACAGGTAGAACCGGGCCATGTCGCTGAGCAAATGGCCAGGGGGAAAAACAGGGGAGGGGCGGGGCAGCCTCTCAGATGGCTTTGCTCTCCAACCTTCCCCACTCTTCTTTTCGGAGCTTTAACCGATCACTGTGCGTGTGGCCCCACACGGGTTGATCAATTTGATACATACCTCTTGGCGGGCCGGGTTCCTCTCTGGCGCGGTTGCTACGGGGGCCACAAAGCCTTGGGACGTGAATTGGCAGGAAGAGGAAGTGGGCTTCTTGAATTCTTTGCTTTTGCTCACCGACATTTTCGTCTAAACCTTGTCGTCTCTCCAAGTCCGCCAACGGGGCCCGAGAGCCATGCGGGGGGGATCACAATGGCGCGCATAATGCATCGTATTTTGCTTTGTCTGCACAAAAGCCTTCGATCTCGAGGCCTGAGCGGCCCCTATGCTGGGTGTTCTGTTTCGTCGTGACCCCGAGGATCTGGCTACCCACGTTTTAGGTCTATTAAGCAACTGCCTAAAGTCCCAGGTCCGTCCCCGCGGTGTCGACCATTCGAAAAACGGCAAGAGCGTGATGCGCGGATCGACCTTGGATGTGTCTTAAAGTTCGTACAGGATCTAGCCGCTGCTTTAGTCTTTTCCGGGTGGACCTAACTCTTTCTCTCCCCCCTCCCCCCTCGCATCTCCTTCGTATGGCCGTCGGCTCTAGGTGGCTCTCGAATTCCGTACGGGGACCTCATTCGCCAGACGCCATACCGAAGGCCCTCGTTTTTTTTGTTCCGGCCGCTGCATGTGTGTGTAAAATCTGCACGCCCCGCAGCCTCGATCTCCACAGGAAGGGTATCTTTGCACATTGCATCATATCCTTGACTGGAGCCTCCTTGCTTAATATCTTAGATTTGTTGGAATTGGAGCTGATTTCCGTTTTATCTACTTTCCTTTTCCAGCCGCCGGAGACTGCCCGACTCACCTCGGGGGCCGTCAGCCACCTCGTATAGAACAATGGCGGCCTCTAATGCCCCGATCGAGTGATGAAGCAAGCATGCGCCACCGGCAGGTCCTGAAAAAATCTGAGGAAGATCACGATGACACGCATGCCACAAAAACCGCACGGAATCGTGCCTCCTACGCAAGCGCGTGCACACCACCCTGCACTGGCCCTATGCGACAAGCACAGCGGCCTAAAATTCTCCGGACATCTCGAAACATGACGTATCACCTCAGGAGATGACCTTGGTGACCCGCACCAAAAGCACGCCGCCTGTCCGTTCACCCGTTGCGTCTCGTAGATGGACGAGTCTGTATCCATTTCGTAAGCGGTCGAGTCGGATGCAGGCCCACGCGGCCAGGGGGTCGCGGCCGAATTCGTCATCTTTAATTTTAAATCTGGAAGTTTGTCAGTCGAGGCGCGATTCCCGCGATCGATCGATCTGAGAGCTATTGGTCACGGCATGGAACGGAAATGCTGCTGCTGATAACCTGTACACAATAATAGCACAAAACAGGCAAGCGAGACGGATGGGACGGCAGTCATCACAAGCGGTCGTGCAGGCATTGCCCATGCATGTTTGGGAAGCCTCATGCCATCATGCCATCATGCCATCATGCCGTGATGCCGTGACAGAGTTCTGCTCGAAGAGGTTCACCCCATCAACGCAAGGGCTTTGGGGAGGCGGGGGTGTGGTGTGGTGGGACATATGCACGCAATGGCAACCTAAAAGCCATATCGAGCGAGAGGCAGGAAAGAGCATAGCAGCCACAATAATCCTGAAAAAGATGGGGGAAAGAAAGCAAAGGGAGAAAAAGAAAAAAGCCCAAAAAAAAAAAAAGACAACAAGAAAGGCAACTAACCTGACAAAGCTCAGCTCTTCCACGATGCCCACTACAGCAGGAAAGACCAGCTTCTGCCCTTCGAAATCAGGACATCTCCCCGCTCCGTTCCTCGAGCGCCGCCGATAACTACTCTTCTCGGTATCCGAACTCGCATCATCGCCCTCACTACTACCTTCCACCTCCGGCTCCTCAACATGCAACTGCACCACCAAATACGGTGAGAATCCCTTCTCCGTATGCCCGAGCGGCAGTGCCAAGTCCTGCGCTGCGAACACCTCCACTGCAAAATCCAAATTTACTCTGCAGATGGAGGGGGCGCTGCACCTGCACGCCTAATGCTGCGGTAACCGGGCGGCTTGAGCTGCCAGCCCTGCGTCCCATGGAACATGCCGTAGTTGAGCATCATCCCTTGTCCAGATTCTGCCAGTTGAGAGCCACGAGCTGCGCGCCCCGCCGCCAGTAAAAGGTGGGATCGAGGTTCGAGGAGGTCACGCGGAAGGCGTACGGGTAGATGCGCATGAGGGCGCTGCGGTTATGCTCGAAGAGTGTGTCACGATGCGTCACATGGGCCTCGCGGGCAGCCTTTTCGGAGAGCGAGAAGACGTGATTGGGGACTTTCGCTTCTGTTTGCGGTTTCATCAGATTAGGGGGTGGGGTTTCAGGCAGCTGAAGTTATCAAGCGGGTGGCTGCATACCAGGTTGGTCGAAGTGGCTGAAATGGTAAGCACGGGTGTATACGGCCATCTTGGCGAGGGCCTCCAGCACCTTCTTGGGCTTGGCTTTGTGAGCTGCGTCTTCGGGGTCCGCTTCTGCGTCGGTCTCGGGGCCTGCTGCATCGGGGGTGTCGAGGACCTCTTTTCCTTTGTTTGCGGGTGGGGAGGATTCCGGGGTGTCTTTCTTCACGGCGGTCGATTTTGTTTTTATCAGGATCTTTCGTTTCAGCTCAGATAGTTTGGGCTGGGCATCCGGGTCGGTGCCCTCGGGGACTTCGACTAGATGGCCCTTCCATGCTTCGTGGATAATATCTACCATCATCTGTTGCTGTTCGAGGTTGGCATGGACTTCGAAGCTGATGATGATTGGGAGATCGCTGGTGACGAAAGCGCTGTCGCGGATTGCATAGCAGATCTCACGAAAAGTAGTCCCCTTGGTGAGCGTGTGGCCATGTAACACACGAGGCTCTGCCTTCACGGGAGCTTTCTCTACAGGCTCGATGGATGTTGTGGTGACCGAGCTATCTGTCTGAGGTTTATCGACCTTCCAACTCAATCTCTTGCTCAATTGCTTCGAAACAGAGCGCGTGAGGCCCGATCCAGGATTTTCCCGGGACTCGAGCCTGGACATGATCTTTTCCTTGAAGCTTGCCTTCGGGGCGCCCTTGGAAGCTTCCTCTGAAGCACTGTCCGAGCTGCTCGGGCCACTGCCTTCCGACCCCGAGTCTTCTGGCAGCCCATCCCAGACATCGATCTCAACCGATCGACATCCGCGCAGCAGTACCTGTCCGTATTAGCAGGTTCCTCCCACGGAGAGATGCATCGCGCATGCACAACTCACAGAAGTGTAAGCACTCGCAGCGGCATCACTGTACAGCTGGTTGCCTGTCAAGTAAGTATTATGACTTGAGGAAATAAAATAGTCCGAAATCGGCGCCTCGGCGTCTACTTCTTGTGCTGGAGCTTCGGCGCATGCGGCTGCGCCTTTCATGTACGACCGGAACGTTTCAATCGAAACCAGAGGATACTCCGGCGATTTGCCTTGGAGAGTGGGCTCACCCTGCGTGGTCTGGAAGAAGTGAGCCTTCTCCGTGGCGTCTGCAGGGAATGCATTGTAGATCTTGGTCAAATGATCATCAAGAGTGGAGTGGAAGGTATCCAGTGGATGGAGCGATAGGTGGCGAGCGCTTTCGACGAGCGCTTTCACTTTGTCCATAGCTGCAAAAAAAAACGTTTGCTCAATCTATAGCTGAGAGCTACGCTAATTTAGCGCGAGGCTATCCGGTTTGCACGGTGGTGAGTGGTGCGCTTGTTCGATCCGGTGAGAGCTACAACGGCCCTTCCCCGCCTTGGTTCACTGCAGGATGCAATCTTGGGTTATCAAGCCGCAATTTTAGGGAATGTTCATTCCGGTTTTGAGGGAAGGGAAAAGGGTTGGGAAGAGGGGGGGGTTTGGGCTGAAGTGAGTTTCTCCACTATGATCGACCATCCACTTGCTGTAGACGTGGCGCCAGGGCCGCCTGGAGCTTCCAGATGGGCGAATTCACACACCGGTGTACCTGGTAGGTCTCCACGGTCCTATGTATAGCGTTTTCGCCATTTGACTTGATTGGTGTGGGGGCTTGGGTCCCTCTTGGACGTACATAGCACTGTGCAAGCTTCAGTAGATTCGAGTTTGAATGCCCCTCGTTCAATGTACTCAATGAGTAATTCTCCTGTGAGCTTGGCTGTTGCAGTGGAACTACCGTGTCATAAAGTCTCCGACCCGCTGAGAAATCCGCCTGTCGGTGCCGCACTGCCCCGCACGGAAACATAAAGCCACAAGCAAGGGCCATAGTAGCCGTACATTCTACAAATATTCGCCGTACCAGCTACCCGTTGATCACAATGCCTGATTCCGACGCAGTCCACTTCTTCGACATTGATTCAACCCTTCCAGGTACCCTACCAGTACGGGCTATTAACTGTCCTGCGTGAGCTAATGACATACCCCAGGGTCCTCCAGGTCATGGTCGCCGAACACCCTCAAAGTCCGCTTGGTTCTGAACTTCAAGGGAATCCCGTATACCGAGAGCTGGATCTCGTACCCAGACATTGAGCCTCTAAACAAGAGCCTCGGATTGTCTCCAAACGAGGAAGGCATTCCTTACACACTGCCAACTATCATTCACTCCTCCGTGAAGTCCAACCCACACGGAGCTCTCACAGATTCTTTCCCCATCATCCAGCATCTGGACAAAGTCTTTCCGTCACCGCCGTTGTTCCCCTCTGGCGATGCCAGCGCCGCAATTGCCATTGTCGTGGGGAAGGTTGTCTCGCGGATGATGCCCATGTTTCTGAAACTGGCCATCCCCAAGGTCCTCCCCATTCTAGACCCCCGCGGGCAAGAGTGTTTCGAGCGCACGCGGAGACAAGCGTTCGGAAAGCCGGTCGAGGAGTTATACCCCAAGACGGACGCGGAATTCGCCGAGGTATGGAAGTCCCTTGAGACGGAGGCAGAGGTGCTGTTGGAGATGCTTCGGGGACAGGAGGGAAAGAAAGGGCCGTTTTTCGAAGGGGAGAAGCCGGGCTGGGCGGATCTACACTTGGTAGCGTTTATCGCCTGGTTCGAGCGTTCGAATCAGGACGTGTATGAGAAGCTCCTCGGCTTAGGAAACGGTGAGTTGAAGGCGCTGTATAACGCTTGTTCGCCCTGGCTTGCGGACAACGGGACGGAAAAGGAGTGGTCGATTTCGCAATAAGAGGGGGGCAGTTTGCGCGGGGGATTTGGGGAGAAGGTCAAATGCCATTTGAAATATATTGAACAATGAAGTAACCAAAACCAAACGTAATAATACATGGACCGGGCTTTTGCCCGTTTTATGCGCTATCAGGTGAGAAGTACAGTGGGTTGTCACTGCTAGTTGACCAATGGCTGACCCATTGATCGATGTCTATTGTAACACGGATATTAGGGGGGAATTTACAGGCCGCGCAGGAAGTTGGATTCCTTGATAGCCTTTCGTCGGGCTTCGCGAGCGCTCTTGGTGACCTCGGAGCGCTTGATTTGACCTTCGGTGGCATCGAGCATGGCGTCTTCAGGGATGGTCTGGCGGTTATAAGGGGCCGGGACAATGTCCTCGGCATGGTGGTGGGCAGGGATTTTGGGAGGGAGGACGGCGGTGCGAGCGGCGAGTTTCTTCTCGTAGCGCTTCCGTTGCTTTTTGTTCAAGGCTGGAGATAAAGATGTGAGTACGGAAGAAAAATTCATAGATGAACTGAGGGGAAACATACTGCTTGGATCGACGCCGCCTTTTTCACTCTTCGCTTGCTTGCTGGAATCGGTCAAGAGATCCCACAGCCAGTCTGGATACTCCGAGTCCTCCTTGGCGACAACATCGGGCTTGTTCTTGAAGTAATTTAACCCGTTCATCACGGTGCCGGCGGGGCAGCTACTGGGAGGGCGCTCAACAGCAGGCTTTGTGGAAGCAGCAGGTTGCGCATCTGTGTGGACACCTTCCGGGGTACTCAAGGGCTGAGACACGCCGGGGGTCGCAGAGGAGATGGCGGATGGCGCAGAGGCGTCGCCAACAGTGGGCTGGCGCGGGTTGGGAGGAGGAGGAGGAGCAGCCACAGGAGGGTTTGTGCCCTTGTCACTGTAGAATCGGATTTGGCTGCGGACTATGGGTAGTTGGCGTTTCACTGATGATGCCCATGTTGCGGTCTGTGGCTGCTGCATGCGCAGCAGCATGCTGCTTCGGCAACTTCTGCAGATCATGATTGCAAGGTCACAGACTCTGGGACAGCAATGGTTTGCGTGTCAAGTCGAGAGTCTTGGTCAACGTACGAAAGTTGACGGTGATGGTTCGCGGATCAGAAAACTTGCGGCGCGGACACGACGCCAAGCCCGCGGTCACGTGGTCACTATCGTGAGCTGAATGGCTTCGATAGTTTCGCTGATCACGACAACATCGTCCTGAGTTTGCCTGAAGATGTTGCTCTGACACGTTCTTATTTTGGAAGGAAATCTCATTATTGTGAATGAATACATTTATACATTAATTGTTCTTCGAAAGAGGGGATACACAGCTTCCATTACCGCCGATTTCTGCACTGCTCTTCCAGTCAGCCTGCAAACCCAAAGACAAATACCTTATTATACGAAAGAAACCTGATGCTAAACCATTAAATCCTGCCGCACTGCCGGCCCTGCACATCAAACACCCCTGGCCCTCGACCCCGCTACATCGCCATTTTGCGGACCTCGAGGAAATTACAAATATCCGTGCATGCATCTTTCAAGGTCTTTTCGGTTTTCCACTGGAGTTCTTGCTGCGAGCGGTCAGCAACGGCGACACAATAGCCAACATCGCCTTTCCGACGATCAGCAACTCTCTTGGGGATCTTTTGAGAAGACACAGCCTCCATGGTGTTGACAACATCCATCACTGAGTTCCCATACCCGGTACCCAGATTGAACGTCCGGAAGTTCTCTGCCAGTTTCCCGGCGTTGGCAGTGCTGAGTGCAGCAATATGGCCGCGGGCCAAATCGGTGACATGGATGAAGTCACGAACTGCTGTGCCATCCTTTGTTTCCCAATCACTTCCGAACATCGATAGCTCGGAGTACTGTCCTGTCATCACCTTGATCACGACCGGAAGAAGGTTGGTTGGTGCCTGCCGGGGGTCTTCTCCAAGAAGGCCCGATGGATCACACCCAACCGGGTTGAAATAGCGCAGGGCGACGATGGTCCATTCTGGATCTGAGGCTGCGAGGTCGGCGAGAATGGTCTCGCAGATCCATTTTGTGCGGCCGTATGGGTTTGTGATGCCCGTGCATCCAGGTTGGATCGTTTGGGACACGCCGTCGTGGTCAATATATACCTCCTCCTTGTGGGCGCAAAGCTCTTCTTTCAGAGGGAGGCCAGACGTTGCCAGTGTGCCATATACTGTGGCTGACGAGGAGAAGATGAAAGTTTTGATGCCGTAATCGCCAAGTGTTGCGGCAAAGTCGATGAGTCCGCCGACATTGTTTGCGTAATACTTGAGTGGGTGTCGAATGCTTTCTTCCACAGCTTTGTAAGCTGCAAAGTGAATTACGCCAGCGATTTTGGATTTAGGGGTGCCCCATCGAGACTCCGTTTGATAACTGTCGAGGAGAGGTCGCAGCGCGGCTGTATCCCGATAGTCGTGCGCATGTAAATGCATAGACGGCATGGGTGTTCCATTCTGCTCGTGGAATTCTCGAGCTAGTCGTGCGACTCGGTCGAACACATCTTCGAACGCATTGCTGAGGTTGTCAACAACGATAACATTATAGTGCGCCTTGAGGAGCTCTAATGTGGTGTGACTTCCAATAAATCCCAACCCTCCAGTCACAAGGATGTATGGGGTTTCGACGGAATGTCTTCGCAGTAGCTCATCAAGCTCATCGAACAAATTGCCGCGTTCAGTGGCTGGGGTATCAACAGATCCCGGCGACTCACTCCCGGAGGGAGTAGTCACGTCCGACCTGCGCTCAATCTCCATGGTAGCGCGAAGATAAGAAAGATTCTCGGCGAATGGAAAGTCCAGTCAATATAGACCCTAGGCTAGGGTTGTCTGCAGAGAAAAGCGAGATAACCTTGAACCAATGACCTCGACTGCACGAAGCGCTTGCCAAAGAACCGCATGGAAATACCAAGAGATTGCTCCCGGGACTTTATAAGATGTCCAAATATCCGTCTCACTTCACCCTCTGAAGTCATATACCGGCTATAGCCTATTTTTTTTTTTGCGAATTCGATTTCGAAGCAACACATTCCAGGCGGCAAAAATGAAACAAAAGTGAGCCGGCCGAAGACGAGCCAAGAGGGTCAAGAAATTAGTTAACGCCCCCAAATGTCCACAGATGTCCTAAGAATGGCACGGAATGGGCACGGAAGGGGACCAAGGGAGAAAACTTGCAACAGACCGAAGACCAGCCAGACTTGGTCTCTGTAGGAATGGGGCTGGACCGTGGCATATGGTCGTTCCTGACCAGATGCTCTTAGGGCTAGCCATCATGAACCGGTAAGTGCCGGGCTCTAGTTGGTTCAACCGATACATCGGAGCAAGGAACGGTTCTCGATCATTCTACGTCTCATCTAAGATGTCATCATACTCCATCGAACCTCTCTCATTCTATTTTAGGTGACGTAGAGGCACTACTTACGTATGGAAACTTACACTTTCTCCCGCTAGTAATATTGGATCGGTTTAGTTTGACGTACAGTTTTTATTTTTTTTTTTTTACCCTTTTTCCTTTTAATCCTTTTATTTATTTAATTTTAATTCCAGTTGAAATGAGCTAGCTTCTCGCAAGCCAGGCGGTTTCTGGATATAGAGCGGTGACATAGATCTGGCTGCTGAATCCACCCCTTTCTCTCAGGCTATCCCCCATTGTCCTCAATCCCGGCCCCATTCTGCCCTCTTTGTGCCCACCAGAATGTCTACTACCAGCGTTGAAAAACACGTGAGCAAGGCAGGCTTCCTCAAGTCTCGCCGATCCCGAGTCCTTCTAGCACTAGTCCTATTTATTATCATCTGTGCTGCCGTGATCCCGCCAGTTGTGGTCACTGAGCTACGCAAGAAAAACGACATGGGCCCCAAATCCAAAGTCATTGTGCCACTCTACGTGTACCCAGCGCCAGGGGCTTGGGCTCCCTTGGAGAAAGAGTACGTTTCAACATTTTCATTCTGTCTAGGCCTTACCGCCACCCCGATTTCCCACACCTATTTTGCATCCTGCGCGGCACCCGCCACTGCAGCATGGCAATGCCACGCGCGTTGGCATCTCACCTGCGACGTACACTTTCGCAGAAGCCGGGAATCAAATTATCCGAGAAACCGTTGCTAAGGCCCAACCAGGATCGCCGCGCACCCGGACGTCAATTTCACGGTCGTAATCAACCCCGGCAGTGGGCCAGGGCCAAATGCACTACCGGACGCCAATTACACTCGGGAAATCCCCGTTCTTAGATCATACGAGAATGTGCGGCTGCTGGGATATGTGCATACCTCGTATGCCCAGCGCAATATCTCGCTCGTGCGCAGGGATATCGAGACTTATGCGGCGTGGCCCGACGTCTCGTCGAATAAGTTGGCTGTTCGGGGGATATTCGTCGACGAGACACCCCAGCGGTACAGTGGCAGCGCTTTCGATTACCTGCAGAATTTAACCGATCTGGCCAAGAGTCTAGATGGGTTTGGACCGGATCCATTTGTGAGTTGGCTTCTTTCTTTTGTTTCCTGTCGCCTTTTTGGTTCTTTGAGTGTCGTCTGTCTTGTCTTTTCGCTCGAGTCCTTCCTTTTGCACGAAGATCCTCTCAGAAGGGTTCCTTGTTCCTTGTTTTTCTTTCCATGGTTCCCCAGAGCCAGACCCACCAGTCCTCCTCCTCCCCCGGATCCCTGCATCCCTTCGACCTGCATTACCTTGTACCCTTGCTTGAGGCCCAATTCCTTCTAAGGGTTTTCTCCGGGGCCATAAATTACTGACATGTCTAGGTGGTTCACAACCCTGGTACGGTGCCAGATTCTCGATACATGGCCACCGCAGACTCCACTGTTGTTGTGGAGGCAGCATACGATACCTTCCTGGAGAGGAATGGTACGAGGCAGCTGACAGAAATTCCGAGCAGCAATCGTACCCAGCGCGCCGCGCTGATTCACTCTGTTCCAGACAGCGTGGCAGGCTCCAAGCTCCGTGGCTTGGTGAAGCAGGTCCGTGGAGTCGCGGATGAAGTTTTTATTACACACCTAAGCGAGGACTACTATGCTAATTTTGGTGACCGATGGAGTGAGTTTGTGGACTTGATGGATGACTGAGGTCTGCTCTAGTACATATGACGATTGCTCAATTGAATGATTCATGAATGTAGGTAATGGCGGCCGCGGTCCAGGATCACCGGGCTTCAAGAGCGAATAATGGCAATAGTCCCAAGGACGAGCCGCTCAACTGCCCGTAATAGTCTCTTCGTGATAAAACACAGCCCCTAACCAGCATGTCTATTGGCTGCCAGACAAATTTGGTCGAAAGCACAAGCACAGGAGAGGATGCTAAAACGATGCCGATCCTAGACATACATACACTAGACGGTCCCACTTTGTGACGGAAGGTCGTGTAATTTGCACTTTGCTCTTGTATTTAATACAGTGGTATTGTTACATAAATACAACGAACCCATCGGATGTCGACAGCTCGATCGTCGATATACGAAAACGACCATCGTACCCATTGCTTGACACATGCAGTTCGTCTCATCGTCCCTCCGCCGAGGCTATGGATGTACTAGCGGATGTAGAAGGCGCTTCCACATCCAAGCCAAGACCTCACCCCGACTGCTACTCAATTTTTCCGTATGGTGTCCTTCACCTTTGTGTCCCCTTGCGATCTGACCTGGCCACCACGTGCCGGCCGTGCTGGCTCCGAGTCCTTGTACGAGGTAATATGCCCAACTCCGTAGCCCCCATAGCGAGAACAATCCCTCAGGCCCGTATAGAAACCTGCAACGCAACACTGCAATGAAACGGAACCCAAGGAAGCCCCCTACAAAGCCTAAAACATCAGCCGCTCTCCCGTTACACAAACCGAGTACCCCGGCAGCTCAAGTCCAGGAACTTGAACCATATCACATCTTCCAGATCACCATGTCTTGGCGATTCGGGCGGTGCGTCCGACGTGCAGAAGGCGGGCTTGGCGAAGGGGGGGAAATTACCCGGAACATCGCGGAAGGTATTGGACGTCTCGTTCTGTCGAGACGCCAATGCTAATTTGGCTGCAGATGTGTGGAGTGTGGGTGCAAAGGTACGTTTGATTAAAGGTCAGAGAGCTCAGGCTCTTTTTCCCAGGTTGGGTCTAGAATCGGGAGGAGCCGTCGGGGAGGGGAACCGAGACATGGGCCGTGCTCCTCTTGGGGTTTATTGACTATAGGGGCTTTTAGGGGGGCAATGATTCAAGTGGCTGGATCTGGAGCGGCTGGACCAAGTGCGTAAAGACTCGTCCTCTTTTTTTTTGTGGCTGAGGAGTATAGTCATGGAGTGGTAGGATCAGGGTGTGATGGGTAGACCGAGTTTGGATGGACGACTATTTCTTGCGGCCGTTAGTAGATGCATTCTTGTTGAGCTTTGTTTGCTTTGTCCTTTCGACATTACTGGCCAGTCATATTCCATTGTTTGGCCTGCTTTTTGGGGCATCTGTCTCGCAAGGCCATTGGAACACGTTACATGGGAGAATACAGGGGATATGCAGGTGGCAGGATAAGGGTATTGCAACTCATGTTCGCTTTTCCTATATCGAGTGGTGCATATTTTTAGGCTTTTTGACTATTACCCCCCCACACCCCAAGAATCTGTAAGACATCTCGGACCAGAAGCTCGCGTACGAAGAGAAAAGACAGCTCGAGCCTCGACGAGGCTTGTATCTCCACCGGTACCGAAATTAACACTCGCAACGAGAGAGCCTTTTGCTTCCCGCTCACGATTCTGCCTCTCACATCCCTGCAAAAAGTGACGTGTGTACTGGACGACATATTGGTCATTCCCTGATCCCCCGTCGTGAAGTCAAACAGGGCCAATGAGCGATCGCAAATCCAGCAGCGCTAAAAGGAACAGGCAGTACTGTGCGGTCGAGCCAGACCGGCAGAGACTTGGCATTTGAAGGGCAAATGAGGCTATCTGGGGTGTGTAGATCCGGGCCTATCCCAGATCGTCTAGTAACTAATTAACTAATTAGCGGGACTGTTTGTCACGCCCCGCACGTACTTTTGTTAAACAGCCTTGGCGGTACGTGAGGCTAGTGAGGCTAGCAATGGGCAACGATGGAAGATATTCCTGGTGGATTGCGCGATGGGCCCACGCGCTGTACTATGTCCAAATCCGAGCGCCTGGCCTGACAGTTGTTAATTAAGCTGGTACTTTTAGCAAGAGCGATGGAAGCATTTTAGTAGAGTAGATAGTGGGAAATGGAAGACTCTTCGACTGGGGCACTGTAATGTACGTCTGGGATGAAGGGACCCGGCTGAGCTTTATGGTAGGCCGCGAGCGTTGAAGCTACTCCGTGTGCACACACCGTATGTTGATAGATCGTTCGAGTTAACTCGTCTGATCCAGACGGGAACTAGAAGCGAGCTATGGAACTCGAGATCAATATTAGGTGTCCGCTCCATCGCCGTGTCAAATTGTACAGAGTTTCAAAAGGATATCGCTGGACAAATAGCATCTATGTATAGAATACACCTAAGAGCAGTATTCAACCCAATTATCCAAGTCCATGTTTTTGATCACGGTGGAGAAATTCCCAGAACTGGGAGCATCACAAGCCGATGACTTTTGCTTGGCAGACACATTGTCGTCATTGTTCGTATCATCGCCCTTCGGGTATTCGATGTGGAAGACGGGCTTGTCGGCAGCTATGAAAGCCGCATAGGTGTCGCATTCCTCATACTGAGCACATTGCTCATTGACGGACCATTGCATCTTGTCAATCACAGAATCAATGATATCACCGCCATTCTTGAGGCCGAGGGACAGGCCACGGCTATGAGCCTCCGACGCAAGCCAGTTCACATAATCGATCGCATCGTCTTCCGTGAGCCCGAGGCCGTTCTTGTTGTCGTAGCCATCGATATTATCCGGGTCGACTCCGTCGCAGCCCTTAGACTGCGCCGTGTCTCAGGCGCTGCTTCATAATTCTGCGCACATTGGCCGAGCTCGTGTTGAGCCACTTCTCGCCCGGCCAATCAGGCAGGTCATCACCCAGGTCCGACTTGTCGAACTCGTTCGCATCGGCACGCCAATCCTCGTAGGTGCCCGCAGAAAAGTAGCAGATGACCTTCCGGCCCATATGCTGCAGATTGGAGATGGTAGACTTGGGGTTGGCGAAGAGGTCAATATCGTAGACGGGCGCGTCTGGCGAGGTATCGTTCAGCGCATATTCAAGCACAATTTGCCATTTCACGCCTGGTACAGGCTGCCACTCCACCGTGTTGTTGCCGGTCGTGGTGCCGTTCCCTCCATTGCCACCACTTCCGCCACTGCCTCCACTGCCTCCGGAGCTGCCGCTGTCGTCGCTCCCGCCGTTGTTTAATCCCACGCCCAGTCCAACTCCAAGGCCCACACCCAGAGCGACCACCAGGAAGGCAATAGAGCCAAAAACAAGGATCTTCTTCTTGACTGTCCACGCAGCAAGGCCACCCTTCTTGAGCGACGACATTTTGCGACCAAATGAGAAATGATCAGCAGACGGATAGGGTCGATAGGCCTCAAGTACGAGAAAATTTCATGCTGCCCACAGGCGGGAGGTTTCAATTAATGAGACCGCGATCCTTCCAGGCACCCAGGGATCAAAAATGGGCATAATTAAGCTCAAAGAAAGTGAAAGAAAAAAGGATCCGGGCTAGGGCGCTTCGGGGGAAGCGTCAGGGTTTGGGGGCTGGAATTGGGGCGCGGAACCAGTCACAGCCCTGCAGTGTTCGCTCCATCTTACTCCGTTTCCATTGCCAGCTGACCGGATCTAGTGAAAACAGTGCAAAAGGCTAGTTCTAAAGGGGCTAACGGCCAGCATAGAAAAGCCCAGGGCAGCCGAAAACTTGGCAGCCTAGAAACCATCGGAGGCGGAGCAACGCGTGTTCCGCGTCTCATGGGCCCATCGAAAAGGGGAAACGCTGAGATCTAGTGGACCGCCTGATCCATCTGGACCGCCGGGCTCGCAATTAAGGTAGTGGAACTAATTGTGTTGATCTTCCGACGAGAATGATCGTCGCGGTTTACACCACCGCATGGCATGTTCGTCAAAAATGGATCCCTCTCCTTTCAACCCGGAGGACGGCCATCACACCATTTCCAGGAACAAAGTGCCGGTCCACGCCAAGAAATCATCTATTCTTAACTACTGCTGCCAAGAAGAGACTAATCCCCAAGAAGACGGGACCGCTCCAGTAGTTCTTCCTGCTCAGCCCAGTGGGACTCCGATCTGGTGAGTTGAGGTTGACATTGCGAGTCACACAAGCGCCGTCACTCTTCAGCCGGCCCTCTCAGGAACAAACGGTACTCCCCGATTACCTCAGTGCCCTCGGTGCTTAATGTGACTGTCGACTCTCATCGTCCTCTGCAATAGAGTAAACTCTCTGCCCTCAGGTTGATTGCCGGCAGTAAGACCTCTCCATTGAGAGCTAACTCCTAATCTGCAGGGGATATGCGCTGTCAGGTCGGCGAAAAGTTAAGGCTGTGGGTTTGTCGTTTTCGTATTACTGCCCAGTACCGATGCATGAAGTGGATCTTTCGTCAGAAACGGTACGGTATCCGCGTCTCCCCCATACACAACAAAGTCCCAGCTCAATCGAGTCTTGGCATGCAAGCGGGCCTAGCAGAAAATCCTTCGTGCTTGTGCATTCGACCAGTCACATTCCCAATTTATCCGACTCGAGGGCATCTATCCCAGACCTGACTGACCAAGCCCACAAGGATCTGTTAGTGTGATGGAGGCCAGCGAGACAGACATTTTTCCTTGCAGTGGCAAAAATCGGGATTCATCATGGAGACTTATGCATAGTGGCATGGGATTTTGTGGTGCCCATCTCCCAGCCTTCCAGACAATTCTCAACCACGATGCAGACAGGTTATTGACTCACCCCCATCTGTTCCGAGCAGCCAATTCAGGCGTAAAACGTTCAAAGTCCCCCACACCAAAGAAATAAATAGAAAAGAAGACGGAAGAACCATGCTCCCGGTTACTTTCATAGCGCAGCTCTGACTCTGGATAACATGCTTCAATACCAATTGGGAGTTACCCGCTACGGCTTCAAGACAGAAGAGCTTGGAAAGCAGTGCGAGCGCATCATGATGGATTCAGGCTGGCCACCGAACGTCTAACTCAATAGAGCACCAACAAGTGTGAATAAAGCCGCTAATGGCTTTACGGCTACATAAGTGCCTTCGTATCTGCACGCAACCCCCTCAACATCGGCCCAATTGGGAGGGCGGGTGACGGGGTGTGTTCAGGCACACTAGCAGGATGCAGGCACGGAAGTTCCGTGCCCGAGGCCTTTGAGCCTAGACCTGATGCCACTGACCAGAAGAGTGCGATAGATGCAATGTGGGGGGGAATTATTCAACTTTTGGATGGGAATGTGGGCTCAATTCGATCATGTCAGGTCTAGAGATCAACCTGCAGCTAATAGTACTGTTAGAAGTAGCACTGAAGAGACTCGAATCCTCTGCGGCCGGGCCCCCGCCAGGGGAGAAACTCTGTTTGTGAAGGATATACATGTGCCTTCGATCATTCCGAAGTACGAATCATCTTCATCGTCTTGCCCGCCGCCCAGAGAAAATTGACCGACAAAGTACAAGGTCCATCTAATAGATCCGAATCGAATATAATCTACAAGAATATACAGACACAGACCCACGCCTTCGTATTGCGGAGAGAGATGCAGGGTATCATCCACCGATCTAAAAGGGAATAGCCTTCGAAAGAGTGAAAGACACCGGGGAACCAGAAAGCTTGACCCAGACAGTCAACGGGTCAGAGCCAAGCTTCTCGGTAGTGAAACCTTTGGTATCAGTAGGAGCCACAGGGAAAGTAACAGGGATAGGCTCGCTGCAAGTATTTCCAGTAGCAGTGACAGTGACACCGGTGATAGAGCCACCACGAACAGTGTAGCTCAGTCCGTAGCCACACGCATCACGTTTGTAGCGGGCAAGGAAGCCGGCGGACATGTCCGCGTGCTTGAGGGTGACGATGGGCCAGGTAGCCAGCCGCACGAACTCCTGCACAACGGTCTCAACCCAGGCCTGGAAGATGGAGATCTTGGCCGAGACACCGTTGATGGTGATCGGCTCGGCGTCCGCATTGCGCAAGTTGGCCTGGTGGAACATGTAGGGGTCGTGGTAGAGCCCGAACAGGTGGCGCATGGTGTCGGCTTTCTCGGTGGCTAGCAGGTCGGCGAAGGTACCGCTGCCGGCAGAGGTGGCGATCCACTCGTTCACGGTACACTCCGGCGTGTCGCAGTTGTAGTAGATGCGGGTCGCCCAGCGCGGGTTGACTTGCATACCGTCGAAGCCGTCGGTGGAGGTGACCGTCCAGTAGGGCCACATCGCGTTCTTGGTGTTCAGAAGGGCGGGGCGAGTGTTGTCACCCACACAGTTCTTGATGCCGTTATCCCACCAAGCCCGGAGAGCATCGCCGTTGTGGAGACCGGTGATGGCCGGGGGAATGATACCATTGGGAGTCCAGTATTTGGCCCGGTCGAGGCCGGTTTGCTTGAACCAAGCCTGATTGAAGCTGATCTCCTTGTAGACATCAGAGTATGTGGCATTGTCTTGCTCCTCGTGGGTGAAAGTGTGGGAGATCAGAGCAAAGGTATCCCGGTTTCTGGGGACGGCCCACCATTGGTAGAGAGGGTCGCGCTTCACGCAGTTCAAGCTCCAGTCGTAGACGGTAGGGGTGGCAGGCCAGAGGTTGGTGCCAGTACCCAGAGGCTTCTTGAATTCCAGAGGGGTATCGGGAGGCGAATCGTACTCAATGCCACCGCCTTTGCAAGCAGTGTAGCCGGCGTCGGTATTGGAAGAGTTCTCAATGTTGCCGTTGCCGTTGAAGCCTGTCTCAGGGAACCAGGTACTGCCAGAGTTCAGCTTGGCGTTGAGAGTGGGGACCCAGTCGCGAATTCGATCCAAATCCTCATTGCGGATACGGAAAGTCTTGCCGCTAGGGTAATAGATGTCAGTCTCGAGCAGCATGTCATCGATCTGAGTGTTGAGGTTGACTCGGCGGTATCCAGCATACAGACCCCGGGTAACCCAAGTAATCCAGGCGTGCTGCAGATAGCTTGAGGTGGCACTCCACGTAGTATCAAATCCAATGAAGAAGGCCATCTGCTGACGACCATCGAAGTCGTTGATAACAGCCGCAGTGGTGTCTGACGAGGTGACGGAGTTGGCAGCGAATGAAGCTATCTCCTTGGTGGAAGTGGTATTGGAGATAGTAGCCGGATAGTGCCAGAGCCCTTCAGTGCTGACTCCCGCACTAGTCCGTAGGCCAGAGGTAGGGAAATCACTGATATCGGTGAAAGAGATATCCTGCTCAACGCCAGTGCTGCAGCAACCATCGCCAACAGCAGTGGCGCCAAAATTTGGCCCGGGGTAAACATCGTACTGAACCATACGAACGCCGTAGGCTAGCTGGTAAGCGTACAGCTGATTCCATTGATCAGTAGTCAAAGCACTTTGGAAACCAGTTGTACCGCCATAATCATAAGCAACCTGCGAAGCAACGACAATACCTCCGAAGTTACCTCCGGAAGTGCTGTTCAAAGCAGGAAGAGTCACACCAGTCCGCGGGACCGTGAGGACTGTGTAAGGAATTCCGTAAGCATTAAGACCGGACGTGGCAATGTTGGCGGCTGCAGTATCCGAGGCAATGACCAGTAGGTTATTGGCAATAGTAGCATCAGCCACCAATGAGGCCGTAGCCGTCGGGGTAATTGAAATTCCCGCCGAAGGCATGGAATCAGCTGGAGAAGGAACTGAGACTTTCACAGTTGTAGAAAGAGCTGAGGCCGTTAAGCTGGAAGTCAAAAGCTTGACCCCGAGGTGGCAGTATTTGAGCTCGAAATGAAAGTGGAGCTAGTAGAGTTCGCACTGGAGCTCGAAGGGGTGCTCAAAGAAGATACAGTCACAGGCGCGATGTCAGAGCCAGAGTGGAGGAGAGCTCGAGGCACCACTAGTAGCTGAACCGCTTGAAAAAAGGCAGCAAGAGATGAGGCTGAGATAGCGAAAGTAGTGGAAGTAGTGGCCCTTCCAACGGACAATGGAACCGCAATAGTCAACGAGGGTGATGTACTAGTAGTAGTATGAACTGTACTAGTGGTGAGATGGCGAGGCTCCCAACTTATGACTTTTGGATGACTGCCAGGCCAAACACCTGGCGAGTGCCGCATGTTATAAGCCCCGGGAAGCCACTGATTTGAACAGCCCATGTGGGGGTGGGTGGCATATCGACAATCAGCACGCGAAAACGAGGGGATGCGCTGCAGTGCGCGAATAGCGATCGATAATACAATCGAAATGGCTTGAATGGAGATATGGCTGCCTTAGTGTGCATCTGCTTTCTCAGAATACTAAGTTGATTAGCTCTCTATACAATTAGGGTGACGTGTGCTAGCATTGGCATCCTATCGCCTTCTTTTCCTTCGAAATAGGACAGGAATCCTATACGGTGCTAATTTCCACCAAAGACAGATTTGGCATCTAGGTCGCTAGGTTCTGTTTTGACATGTCTAGCCAGGCCGGTGGGGCAGATCTCGGATTTAATCGATATAATTGATCAGTTCTACCCGAACGGACATACCGGAAAGGCTAAGGTTTGCCTCAACCCTGGGGCGTCCCGCAGGAACAGATACTTGTCCAGGGACCATGCGGTGCTTTGTGGCCATGATCTGCAGAATAAGGGGTGAGTTTGGTCCGAATACATTGCGCTGAGGAGAGATTCGATTTAAAATGAAACAAAAATGGGGATTGAAATAATCGAATACAGGGTAGCTTCAAAAGAACTCTCGCTGAGACAAGACGAGCTCCATTCACAGCCAGGTCATGAATTTCGAGGTCAACCCACCATTTCGATGCACCAACACAGAACTCTGCAGGTTCTCGGCGCCAAGGAAAAAGTGTGATATGGCTTCAATGGGGGCATGATTGTGAAGCCCTACGTGGGAATCCCGAACTCCGGTATTGTGAGGTTGCTGACCTGTTCTTCAAGACTGGATGGGGCCAATCTTGGTTGGAAAATGATGGAGAACTATTGATGTGGATGGTCCTGTATCGTATCGTATCGCTGGCCTCGTAATTTTCAGATCTCGCAAATACCGGTTTTACCATGAAACAGCCTAACCCGCCCAGAGTATTTAAAATCATTGATCCCGGCTCTGGTCTCAGCCATGGCCTATGACCACCAGCGCGCTAATGCAAACTAGGAATATGGGAACAAAATGAAATCAGAATTGGTGAAAGGGCGGAAACTTCCTGCACCAGATCATCTCGTCCTTCATGGTCTCTCATCAGCTCAGTGGGTCCATTCAACCAGAACAGCGATCTTCCCGACTGGTAAATTTCGCATGCGTCTGATTGATTGAAAATAGAGAAAATCACGATACCCAACTAAGCTCCGCAGAGCAGTCACTCAAGACTCATCGCGATTTTAATTTAATTTCGAATTTTCAGGTTCTGTTTTCTTTTCCTTTTTCTTTTCGCATTTTATCTAATGCCATGACGGATACAGCATTAGTCGATAGATAGTATCCATTATTCGGGATTTTTATCAGTCGGATTGATGTGTTTATTCTCTTGGAAACCGGAGGCTTTGCCACCCACATGGCACTTGATGTCGGGTAACAACGATCTGGGGTCACAGCGGAATCCGGTGTGTCTCATCATTGTGCTTTATGCATCGCGTGGCTTAGCGCCCCAGTCTCGAACCTGTTGAATAAAATGGCGAATCTTGAAATAGATCCGTTAACTAGTTAGCGTTTTCTCCGCTATTAACTAAACTTGGCAGCCATCGGCCACTCGCCGTGGAAGGTTAGCGAAGCCGAGTGCATGGCCTGGTCTTTTCTTAGTTGCGGGTGATTGACCGTCTCTGTTCGGTCAGTCTGTTTGTGGGGGCTTTAGAATTGATCTCTGAGTTGTTATTTTCAGCCATGATGGTCTGAGCCTAAAAACTGTCGACTCTGTGGTGTCCCCCACCCCCTTCCCTGGGTCTCTTGTTCCGAGTGCCTCCCAGCTTGGACAACACTCGGAATTTTGATAACGGTGGAATGACGGGGGAAGCTCTTGGAAGCAAGTGATCGTTTTGGTGGCTTCAAGAGCTGTGTTTCTTGGTGTGCACAAACAATTCTAAAAGGGTGCTTTGGCTTCTTGATCACCATGAGCGAAATGAAAGGCAAAATCCTCCCCATACACCTTGTCGGGTGGAGTGGAATGAAAAGTCACTGGTGGCAATTTGTGAGTCTCTTTCGAAATTCCTCCACTCTCATCCGCATGTACGTGCAAGGTATCTAACTATGAGCTTCGTAGGTCATTATTGGGGTTTTATTGGCTTGCATTGTTGTGGGATCTCTGTACATTATTGGGTCTGGGTTGAGAAAAGTGTTTGTGTACCTCAAGGTAGGCCGCAGCATGACCAGTCCAAGACCAAAGTTATCATCGGTTCTGATATGACTATAGTCAAGGGCCAGATCTCATAAAAAAGTACATCCGAGCATATTGAGGCGGCTCGAAGAAATCTCGAGCCAAGTTTGGAACTTGAACCAACTTCACTCTGGCAAAAAGCCATCCTCATTTGGTGTGTACCTTGGAAGTTTCAGTGATCCGTTAACAGAGGAACAAGAGCGGATCTTACAGCAATGGGACATCTTGATCGTGGATCCGTTCGAGGAAAATGTCTTGAGCGCTATATCGAGGCGAGGAGGCGCAAGATGCCTTGGCAGACTCGATCTTGAGAGCATACTGTCACATGAACGATCCGAATTGACCAAAGTGGAACGAATTGGAGGCATCGTCGAAAGAGCCTTCAGTCAGAGCACCTTCTATGGCGTGCTTTTTGCCAACTGGGAAGAGACATTCTCTCCATCCGTGCAGGAGAAATTGTTCGAAGCCGTCAGCAGTCTCGGACTGGCAGTCTATCTCGAGACACAGGGACCAGAATTTTTGACAAATCGAAACTCGTTGCAAAATCATGCCGTTTCTGGGCTTGTTATTCGCAATGCGACCATCATGCCCCAAGGTGAAAAGCGCGACTACTTCCAGATGACCAACCTGCAACCAACTATCAAGGCTTTTGTTTCAGAGGCATGCATGAGAGATTTTGTCGTTCTTGCATGGGAGACAACTAGTAATGACGTGAGCCTCTCCAATGCAGTAGTTCGTAGGACTCTGCAATGGTGCAACTTCTACAGTGTTGTTCCTTGGATCGGCCAAGAAGTTGCCCTCCAGGATGCCGAGTTGAACAAACGTACTCTTGAGCCCCTTCCAGCGTTTAGTTGGTTGAAGGAACCAGAGGTCATGAAAGCACATGAAGTATGGCGCTCAACATCTAATCTTTCCGACAGCAACGCAGAGACTAGATGGTCGACCTTGGCTGATCTGTTTCCTGCTATTCATGCTTTCCTCGAGTCAAGAGAGCTCAAAACAGAGTCGCCCGGACTGGGAAAACTGCGTCTCCGAGAGCCCCCTAATTGGGTTGCTCAAGGTAAATCTCAAGGGAATCCCTTGTCCATTTCCATGTCCGGACAGGAATACGACTATCTCGGCTGCTTCCCATTGGGGTCAAACCCTACAACAGTTGCCTTCGCGGAAATATCCCAGTCTCAGCAACGCCTCAGGAGCCTTTCGCTCCTTCACCCGGTGCCCAGGCTCCAAATCCTGGAGATGGGTACACTCTTTGGTCGGTTCGCAGAGATCCCTGATATCTCTGACCGTGACCCGCAGATTTTGACCACGATCCGCGAGCTTGCTGATCTTGCATCAAAAGAGATCTTAAGAGTAAGCCTGGTATTGGATTCAGGCCTGACCAAGGCAAAAAACTCCAGATTTTGGGCTGTTTACCAAGTTGATAGCGAGGGCGTGGACATTTTTGTATCGAAGAACGCCCAGGGATTGGTCGGAACAGTTTTGCATACCTTCCTATCCGCAAAGGGGTTTCCTCGTGATATCTGTTTCGAGATGGAAACTGCATTGGCGGCTTGGTCTCATGATCTCGCGCCTAATACTCATCTCCCTCGCCGTCTCATTCAAGATATTGATTCTCTCAGCCCGGAAGAGAGGTTACTCACCCTGCAGCATCTCTCGCTCACCGATGCTCACAGCTCATTATCGCGGAATATATGTGCATACATCCGCAGGCAGCTGATTGACGGCCCCTCATTCACGCAGCTAAAGGAGCTTAATACCATCGGTTATCTTCAAAATTCGACTACTGTTGAAGAACTCGTGAGGAGCAGGGTTGAATGGTATCAGGATCAAGGGCTTGAGCACCCGTCGACTTCTATATCGAGAGACCTTTTTAATGAAGTTGATGCAGTTTTCTCGACAGTATTAAGGCAGCACCGAGAGGACCAACTCGCTAAAATCACGGAAGGGCTTTCTAGCCTCGTGCAAGAAGGCTTTGTCGACCCTTACGTGGACATGGTAGCAATGGCTATATTTTGTGCAGCGCGGAAAGGAGCCTTTGACGAGATTTTCGAAGAAGTGACAGATCGCAACCCTCTTTTCAACCAACACCCAGACCAAGCGGCTGCATTCGCCGAGTCATTTGCCCTCGGATCTCGTTGTGATGCCTATTTTGATGTTTCGCCGAGCGACTTCGGGAAGCTCCTGTCTGATCGATTCCGGGCTTATTACATGAAACATCAACCGCCTAGTTGGATCAATGGCGCACCTCAAATGGCCACTTCTTATGCTGGTGCTCAAATTGACGTCAATCCTGAAGATAAAACAACGCCTATGCGGGGATACCAGCGATTCACCTTTCTTAGTGTTTTTGCTATCCCTGCGCTGATCGATATTCTCCTGCTCACCATCATCGGCCGTGGTCTATATTTGTCGTCGAGTATGTCGCTTGATGACCAGAGTAGCGCTACCATGGCGCTAATGATATCGCTTCTCCTGTCGGGTGCCATTGGCACCTGGATAGCCTGTGGTGGGCCGTACTATCTCATTTCTATGGCATTCGCTGCTGCCAACATGTTTGTGCTGATCCGGCTTATCGCCGGTATTGCCTTCACCGTGGCAGGAGGGTTGATTGGTTTTGTGGCCTTTTCTGCGGTTAAAGGTCCAAAGGCAGGCATCATCTTCTACCTTTACCTGGTTGCGCTCACCACATACTTCTCGACCTTTGCTTCCCTCGCGAGCTTCAGCTATCCCGGATCAACATTCCTGTCTGGTCGGAAGGCAATCATCCTTTGTATTCCGATTTTGTTCTTGGGACCCATCGTAACACCATTTTCCGGGCATGATGTGGCTATTTATCTCGCCATCATCTACGTATTTATCGGTGTTCTTCTCCTGTCTCTTCGCTCCACAATGTCAAAATGGGTTACATGGTACCAGTCTATCCGACACACCGATGATACTGAGATTCGCAAGTGGTATATTTCTGCACACGGAGAAAACAGCGAGAAGGTCTTCGCTAATTTGAGCGACCCCGCTGCCCTGAAGCTTTCAAGAAAGGCCCTTCTGGATGCTGTTATGACAGAAAGATCGCGGGCCTTCTTCGTCAAGGGCACAAAGGACTCTTTAGTCAAGGAGCTTGCTCGGGACTGGGAATCCACAAACTTCCTGCTTGATTGGTACTGCCGCTATGCAGACGTGCCACGTCCAATCCCGTTCAGCTCAGGCTGGAACATTCAGACAAAAGTGGCATTGGATACTTTGCGTAGCTCGCAGAAGGGTCTCCGTCTCCACAATGCCTTCATCCACTGGCGTCAATCCAGCCAGGAGATTGGTTGCGGCGTTCTCTACTTTGTTCTGGCGCTTCTCGACAAATGGATTACTTTGCTATGTGGTGATCATCTTCTTGCTCTGACTGGCTCTCTGACAGATCGGAACCGTAAAGCTGTTGGGTTCGCACTGGCTTACTACCTGATCGGCGCCGTTCTCATCGACACAAAAGCCCAAGAACTGCATACTGCGATCGGTGGAAATAAGCCTAGTGCTGTCAAGGTATCCAAGGACATTCATGCCTCACAAAAGCGAGATGTTCAGTTCCGACGAAAGGTCTACTGGCGAACATTATTCAAATTTCTTCTTTGGCATGTCTGGAGTCTTGCGTTATCGACTACTCTCCTGTGGATTTTCCAAGAATCAGAAGAGGCTATGATCGAGTTCTTTGCTTATATCATTGCCTATACTGGGCTGATCTGGTATCAGTATACCAAGATCTTCACCGGGCCTCATGCATTGAAGCCACTTCTTGTGGGTCTCTGTGTAGGATTACCGGTCGGCATCTCTCTCAAATTGACACTACCTCAGTTCCCTTACTCGGAAGTAATTGGGCTCGGCGCCGCAACTTGGACCGTGGCAATCTTGGCTCTTTTTAACTCGAGGATGGGCATGCCTCCCAAAATTGACTCTCTAGTGGAGCTTGGCAAGACTTTCCACGCATTCACAACTCCCTGGTCTGATCCTGAGTGGTCCCAGCAAGAACTCCAGAGCTTCTTCGATCGTCTGTCTCTTCTGGCCTATGATTGTCGGTATCGCATCGATGCCACTGGCCACCCGGCCGTCGAAATCAAGAGCATTCTCCGCAACCGCAAGGAGGAACTTCGGATCCAGGAAGCTTTCCCTAACTCCCGTGATATCGTTGAGTCTGCAATATTTCTATGGGAAAACGGCGAAATTGAAATTGAGATTGTTCCTAGCGGCTGCCTGGGCCCTTCTATCCAAGCTCTGGCTAGCAGTTCTGGGAAGCAACTCCACCTGGCTGTGAGCCTTGGAGGTGTAAGCAACCGGGGCTCTCAGATCACCGCCAATTGCCAGATTATTGCGGAGACTTTGGTTCATGCAGTTGCAGAGATGATTATGGGCATTCCCCATGAGTATGCTGTGTTGACAGAATCCATTGTCTCAGGGGGCGTGAGCAACACTATGGCACAACAGCTACGGGAAGAACCTAACCCGGCTCTCGTTGTTCGCTGGGCTAAAAATGAACTTCTTCGTCAACTCTGCTTAGGGTTCGAGCCAGATATTCACTGGGACAAATTGCCCGTTGAAGTGCGAGAACTGTTGCTTAGCCGCTGCCTGGGTGAACAGTCCCATCTGTCCGAAGAGGAACACCAATGGCTTGAGCATAGCCTATGTCAGTTTGACACTAACAGCCTTGACGTTCACGTCGCGAGATGTAACCTTGGTGCAGTCATTGCCGCAAGCATCCTTGACTACGCTCATTATAGCACCGAGGACGTATACCCCAAAGAGCCAGAGACATATGGATACATTCCATACGTGCCTCGGAGACTTCCAATACTTCTCTCGATGGTCCACTCTCCATTCAGCTTCCTATACCACAAGCTTGGAAGCATTATAAAGTTCATTGTGATTGCTCTAGTCGCCGATCCCGAATTCCAACGAGAGTTTGACCATGTTGCAAAATCGCTTCCAACCGTCGTCCGGGTACCATCAGTATTCATACTCAACATGCTGTGGATATACGCCAAGATGGCGCAGGATCTATGTTTATCTATCTTCCTCTTCCATGGCCGCAGTAATGTCCAATGTCTGTGGGAGGAGACGAAGGGCATGACCATCCACATTAAGAAGAGCAGGGTCATCATCCGAAATCTGGACGGGACCTTCACAACATTTAGGCACAAAGAGCGTGACGGCAGCTCTAAGGTATACCAATATGCTGGCGAGCACAAGATTGAGCCCAAGGACATGAGTGCCCTGAAGTCTGTGAGTGCGTACTCAAAGGAGATGCTGCTTCAGACCAAACGGGAGCTTAAGAACGGCAAAGTCATCAACGAGTACCATTATGACTACCGGCTGCCCTCCAAGAAGGGACTGACGCTTGAAAGATCGACTTCAACAAAGATCCCGATTGCGCGTCGCTGTGTACAGGGCGACAACTATCAGCAGAATGTTCAATACAACCGCAAGGGTCTGATCGAAGCAGGTTCGTACATGAAGGACGGTAACCTAGTCCGCTTCAAGTATCATTATCGCAAGAACCCGCAATTTGGCGATGAGCTGCTCCGCGCGGAGTTCGTGTTGTCCCACATTACTTGCACTGTGGCTTGGTGTGCTCCTCCCCGGCGTCACCCTGAAAAAGTCGAACGGTGGATTCCTCATTCGAAGGTGACTGAGGCAACTTTCGTCCAAGGAGCCGATGTCTTCGAGAGCAGGTGGCTTTACGACCACAAATTTCATCCCACCATTTTCACGACTGTCAATGGGCAAAAGATACAGACTCCGCCAATGATTGAGCACGATTACCTGGGCGTCCTCTCCAAGCCTAAGAACACTGGATTCATTCACGACAACCCGTTCTTCTATTGCGACAGTTTGACCTCGAACATATTCACCCGAGCTCTTGGAATGACCAAAAAACAGTTCCCCGTATCGACATCTCGTGCAAGGTCTCTCATGTGGAAAGCGTGGAAAGGCCGTGCTGACTTTGACGGCATCATCGTCCGCTGGATGGACGATCGGATTCTGCGCCGAGACAGGGTCCTTGCACCTTACTGGCAAAGCCGCGACTGGGGTAACTTGACTGCGGCCAAAGAATATATGGACCTTCGTGCGGATGCTATCATGGCCAGCGCTGATCTGGATGACGATATCTCCAGCTGGACACCGCTGGCTGTGAAGATCAGCGATTTGTTCAACTTTGGACCTGGAGGCGATGCCGTCGTTACCACTCGATCGAAAGACTTCGCCTCGGACACCGACACGACTCTTCATGTCATGGCTGCGGATACTGGTACTTGGCCCAACGAGGGAGGTGGTGTTTCTGCCTGCCGCCGAGACATGATCAACTCCCTGCGCAGCATCAAATGGCACATGATATGTGAGTCTGCTAATGACTTTGGTATCCCAAAGCACCAAACGGAGCAAAATGTTCAGTCCTTGAAAGTGATCCCACTTTGGGGCCTGGATTTCCTCACTCCGACTCACGGGCTGTTCCAGAACAAGCTCGACTCGGAGGTTGAGAACGTTACCTCCGCAAGTGCTTTCGACATCAAGATCAACTTTATTCCTATCCTGACGGCACTTGTCAAGGGTGCACGGGCTGTCCATCTGTCCAAAGCTGATATCCATCAGGCAACCAGAGCCCTCGTGAATTTGAATACCTACTTCCAAGAGTCTCGTCATTGGTCACAAGTGTGGAATAGTGAGACCGTGAAGCAGAGCTGGCGGGAGCTTTGGCTGACGCAAGAGATGCCCAACACGATCCCGTCGTCGCAATGGCTCGACACTGAACTTCCAACGCTCTCATCGCTTGACATTGCCCTCGAGCTTTGGTACCGCTACCTTTTCATCTTCTCGATTCCTGTGCCAGATAAGATTCCTGGGGTATTCCAAGCTTCGCACCACAGTGTCAGTGCTTCCTACGGAGTACTCTGCAAGATCAAGAGGAATTGTACTCTTCAAATTTGGGATCATGCCATCAGTTGGCGAGAAACAAACCTCTGTCTGTCTTCTGCTTTGTGCAAGCTTCCTCCCTTCGTTCGGAACTGCTTAATTGGGCTTATGCGGGTCACGTCGGTCTTGACCTTACATCACGCCGATGTTGTTTTGCCATGTGCAGACTTTTTCAATCCCGGGTGGGAGGTCGAGATCGGGACCTGCCAGGGCTCCATCGAGCACCGGAATGTCTTCCGACGCAAGGTCGATCCGGTGGTAAATGGTATCACTGATATGCAGAAGTTCACGCCGGTTGAGAAGATTAAGTCGGAGCGCCCTACCGTTACGATGCTCTCACACGTCTGGTATGCGAAGGACATCAAGACGGCGCTATTGGCTGCAGATATCATCATCAACCAATGGAAATTCGATGACTACCATCTTGACATCTACGGTGCTATCGATAAGGCACCGACGTATTCCACGGAATGTCAGGAGATAATTGCATCGAAAGGTCTTCGCGGGCGGGTTACTCTCCGTGGAACAGCCGACCCGATGAAAGTTCTTGAGAATACTTGGCTTTTCCTGAATTCTTCACTTTCCGAAGGTCTCCCTCTGGCACTGGGAGAAGCAGCCCTCACCGGCGCTCCCGTAGTGTGCACAGATGTCGGCGCGTCGCTGCGCGTGCTCAGCGACCCGGACGACTTCTCTAGATTCAGCGCAGTGGTAGCACCAAACGATGCGCTGGCGCTGGCCAAGGCTCAAATTTCCATGCTTGCCATGCTCGGAGAATGGACAAAGTATGCTGGCGACACCGAGCCTGCCCCCGTGCTCACCTCGGCCCCTACTCCCGAAGAAGTGGCCGCCATAACGCGTCGCATGTATGAGAAGAGCCAGCACCGCCGTGAACTGGGAATGAAGACGCGCCAAATTGTGCAGAAGTCTTTCAGTGGCGACCGCTATCTTCGCGAGCACGAGCAAATGCTCTGGATTGGCAAGTCGAGGAAGATGATGGGCACTCGCACTGCGGGTCCTACGATTGAGCCAACCGACGCGTCTATGACACCAGATGTGATGAATACAGTGGAAGAGGATATCATCACCATTCCTCCCAGCGCAGTCCACTCATGGCGGTCGTCTAATGTCTCTGGAATGTCGACGCTGCACAGCTCGGTCGAGGGTTATCCGGGCACGCTGAAACGGCCCATCTCCAACATCTCGGCACTCAGTCTGGCGAATTCAAACGAGAACCGGTCATCCGCCCGTCTACCTGTTTTTGCTCCTCGCCATTCCAGGCTATCTGATATATCTGTTGGCGATTCGTCAGGACAGAGGTCACCCGGAGGGCTTGCAGTTCCGTCGAATACGCGGCTTACTCTGGGAAATCGCAGTCGCTCGTACAGGGCAAGCCGATCTGTCTCCACGGCAGGGCGAGAGCAATTACGCGGTCTCGATCGGGCAAGCTTGATGCAGTACCGCAACTCGGATGTCAGCTCTATCATGCGTGAAGAATTCTTCAGCAAGCCCGGCATGTTTTTTAGTGGCTAGGTAGAGGGCTCCCGATGATTCGGCTTAGATAACTTGGACATATCTCTTTTTTTTTTGTACATTCACAAACTAATATAAATATCCTGCGCGGACTCCCTCAACAATATATTGATTTGAACCCCGAATAAACCATTATTATTTCATGTGCGCCGAGTCTCTACTTCCGGATGTCAAAAACAGCAATCCACAATGGGCACCAGACCACTGTCTCTGAGGGATTCTGGTAACTAGAGCTCGTACCAATGCTTGAAGAAATGATAGACAATTTTGCATAGCGATTGAACGCCGACTATTTTGTCCGTCTCGCTGGAAACAACAGCTTCGAGCTTCCAAAAGCTTATCAACGCTTATGATGGGGACATATTCTCTTCGTCCAAAGGCAGTAGAAATGTACAACCAAATTATGGACTCAAATAGACAACATGTCTTCGGTATAAGGGAATTTCCTCACTTGGTGTTCCTCTGTCCCATACGATGCCAAATTGGGTAGAAAGTCCATCTGAGAGAATGTCAGCCGATAGAAAACCATCTTGTCACATCGGCACTCACATCTTCCAAATGTAGCTCTTCATAATGATGACCGAAGAATTGTGTCTTCGCTCTCCCATCGTTTTGCGACGCAAAGTCGACTCGCACCCCCTGTGAGCTCTTGCGACTGGCATCACGATCATGGAAATTGAGAGGAGCCAGGATGACAGAGCTAGCGCTTGTATGCTGAAGAGTATTGGGGATATCCCCCGAATGCGGGACATGATGTGATCCCAGGTTAAACCATATGACACTATAGAGTCTGTTAGCCGTAGCTCAGACAAGGAGGAAAGGCCCCAAGAAGCCGCACTCACAGGTCTTCCTCCTCGATATCCTCGTCATCCAGATACTGGCCAAAATCGACCAAAGGCTGACCTCGGTTCAGTGCGTTCCGGGGACTTGCGCTGCGGACTTCGTCATCTTTCTGCTTGGTAACCCAAAGAGCTTTTGTCGCCCACAGTGCTGATTTTCCCAGTGGCTCGGACTCTTCTGGTATCAAATGGACGGGTGTACCCATGCCGCTTCCAGGCATGATTCGGTATCCTCGGGTCTCGCCCCAAGCGTTGTCTGACCCATTCTTGGTCACGACATACATTGAAGCCGAGTTAGCAGGCCAGTCCAAGCCCGATTCTTTCTTAATTGAGCTCTTTGTAAGGCCCATTGTGTTCATTGATTTTCCTTCCAGCCATGAGAACGACTTGACCTTTGGCTCAATGTCGATTTTCATGAGGGTATTCCGAGACTCCAAGATGTCAAGGTCAGCTTTGAAATTGATCACATGATCGTGCATGCTTGTAGCGAAAGCATCGTGCACTCGGAATCCATATTCTCTGCTTTCATCAGGCATGAAGTAAGCACCTTGAATGTAGCCGCTTGCACGGACTTTGATCTCGATAGACCCATCGAGGTAGAAGATGTAGTCGACAGTATAATCGTAGTTTCCTACAACGGCTGTCGTGCGAAGAATAAGATAGTTATTCTTGGACACCGTGACATAGAATGAGGTAGAATGCCGCTGCAAAGGATAGTCTGATGTATATTCAAACAAACAGATTGTGTTTCTCCGACGCTGTGTGCGCTCAGCGTCATAGATTGTTGTATCCATGAAGCTGGCGTAAGCTGGGCAGTCGTAGCCTATTTCGAATGCGATATCATGATTAGTATAGCTCAGATGATGAGAAACATGAAGGAGATCCGCACCAGGAACAAGCTCAAACATTGCACGGCCCATGCCGAAAAAGCTATCAAAGTAGGCCAATGCGCCTTGGACGGGGTCGTTACCAGCGTATAGCGACATTGCCTCTTGAAGACCGAGCTCGTATAGGATTCTCTCTCCCTTGAACCGAACATCGAACAAGGTCACGCCACTCGCCTGGCTGAATGCCCAGTAGAAGGTGAATCCCATCCACGAGACATACTGAGAATCTCGATCAAGCCGGTATCTTGACTTTCCCGGATGGACCATTATGGGTGCTGGATCATCTCGCTCGGGATACTCCGATGAAAAGTCCTCGATTCTAGTCCACTCTCCATCGTAATTAATGGGCGCTTTTTCAAACCCTGGAGTTTCCCATGCAGCGCGGAATTCCTCAGTGGAAGAGTAAAGTTCTCCGTTGTAATACCATTTGAGTACCTTCCAATTTTTCGGGTCCCTTCCAGTAGTGTCCATCTTGACATAGAGCCCCTGGGGAAGAATCGTGCCGGCCTCAGTCCGAGTACCTGCTCTTTGAAAACTGCACCACCGAATTATGTGACCGTCTTCGATCCACGGATCGCGAAAACTCAGCTCAAGTCCATCTGGGTCGCTTTGGCCATCGAAGTTGATCGTGGCGTTTAGCAGATCTTGTGTGATATCCGAAATTTCTTGAGCGATCATGTAAGGCCATTCTTTAAAGGACTTTGCATCTGGAATCAGGTTTCTCGCATGCTCTAGGTCGGCTCGGTGGTGATATTCAAACGGCTCGATCCTCGTTTTGTGTGAAATCGGCAAGGGGCCTACCGAGTACTCATCCCAGTACACCTCTGACTCCGTGCCCCGGTGTATGGCCAGTTTGCCATACCTCGGTGGTGGATTCTCAGAGGCGCCGGACATGTAACTCAAAGCATCATTCTTGCTGGGGCGGATCACTTCGGTCCCGACTACAAAGTCATCCCAGAGGGTTGCATTGATGGCTGCGGTTAGGTTCAACCCAAGCGCACTAGAATGGAAAAACTCTAGTATAGCAACAACTTCGAGATTTGACAGGTCTGCCCAAACATTTTCTCGAGGTGCGATGTGTTCAGTCTCTTTGGAAATTGGTGACGGTACTGTCGGTCTGCCTGCTTCAATTGGTGCGGAGAATTGAGCTAGCTGAGCCAAGAAGAAAAATACAGTAATGGTAATGATTGAGAGAGAAATCACCCCTGTTAGGAATGGTCGCATGAGAGACCACATCATAATGAAGGAATCGATGTGAGGAACAAGAAATGAACTCAGAATCCTTATCATGTTGCATGAGGGCCTTTTTATTTACATGGGTAAAGTGGTATGACGATACGCCGCTATACGGTACATACCGCCCCAATGTACTTACGTCCTGTATTGCCGGTCTCTATCCCGGAGCCCTAATCATGATGTTGGCCAGAACGTTTCCCCTGAGAGCCTTGAAGCATGTTTCCAAGGCTCACGATGATGATACCGACGGACTCCTTGAGAACAAAAATTGCAAGAAGTCCACCACAGATTCGATCAATAAGCCGGGTATTGGGATATAGATACCCTGCCACAATAGAAATCAGTGCAAAAATGCTAGTGAAGGAATCCAAACGGTGATGCGCGGCGCTTGCAGAAAGAGCCCGGGAATCAATTCTTTGGGCAACCTCCATAGCTAGTGTGTCTTAGTCGGGAATTTCGGGAATTTGAAACGATGTATTGCCGGAGGGGCAGAAGCTCACTTTTGGAATACAGAAATTCTTTGACGATGATCGATGCAAAGCAGAGCCAGACCGCATGTGCACTGGCTAGCTCCGACGAGCCACCATCCTGGGCCAGAGCTTCTTTTCCTAATGCAGTCCCACCAGCGAGCACCATTGACGCTATGGCAATTGCACCGACATCTTCGAATTTCACAGGGACTGATTTTGTCTGCAAAAGGTTGACAGAGTCTAAATAGAGAGTCCCCATGGCAGTAAGATCCGTTATCGAGTCGGCAAGTGAGTGAAACCCATCGGCTTTCAGGGCTTGGCTATGGAAGAAGGAACCACCTATCATCTTGAATAGGCCCATCCCCAAGTTCGCCGATAAGCCAAGGAGGGTAATATTGAACTGCTCTCTTTCGAACTGAGACGACATGATATGAGTGCTTTGTGGTTCAAAATGAGTCGAAATGAGGTAGATAAAGAAGGAGCAAAAAGATAGAAATGTCGGATTGCTGCTAGTAGAGGCGGAGACTACTTAGGACCCGACGGGCAGGAGTCTCATATATACTAGTAGACGGCACCCGGATATAGAAACAGAAACTCGTCCAATCAGAGTCTAGTTCAAGTTCTTACGGGAATAGATTTGCGGTTGGCCAATTTGTTTCTTATTTTAGATTTATCCAGTGATAGACTATCTACCAGGCCTGAGTTATGGCAAATTGGGGCCGCATTTTTTCTCCCCCCTATTTGATCATATCTAGCAACCTATCCACATGGACGCAACGGTAGCGAGTATCTTCAGCAGGTATAACCCCACCGGAACCGTCCAGAAGATAGAAATGGAAGCGAATTATAAGCAAAAGGCCATTTAAGCCTCGTACTCACGCTTGGCGGGGGAAGGAGGAGCTGCTTCTGTCAATAATTGAGACCATGAGAGATAATGCCTCTACTTACGGGGGCTGGAGCCACGGAGACGAAGCTTCATGTCGGAGACGTCCACAACCTCGGGGGCAGTTTCGTACTCACGCTTAGCGGGAGAAGGAGGGGCTAGTTCCATTGAGTTTTTGTTCCACGGTGAGAATTGCATCTACTTACGGGGGCTAGAGCCACGGAGGCGGAGCTTCATGTCGGAGATGTCGACCACATCAGGCTGGGCAACGGGAACGGCGTTGGCGACGGCAACAGCGTTGGCAGCTCCAACAATAGATGCAACAGCACAGAGAATGAAAGAGAGCTTCATTTTTGCGAGCCGAAGGCTTGGATGATTGGTAATGAGATGACTTGGAAGGTGGTTGAGATAAGTTCGAAAAATGAACCAGGTCTCCGGACCAAGCTATTTATGTGTTTGCGGGTCGGAGGACTGTCGGTCTTGGATTGATCATCCTCCATGGCTCAATCCTGGAATCCAGTATCGAAGTATCAGACTCTCTCAATGTTTTCACATCTGTGCCAAAATGCGACTTCATACTTCCGCCGATACGCATCAATTTGGTAAATTACAGTAAACAAAATGTAACATCAGTACACCATGTAATTGTACCGTACGATACACCCGTAAAATGTCCACCACGTTTCGTTCGATGTCCATCTTTATCTCTAATCCCCACTCTCCAGAACGTACCTTGGAGTGGATACTTCCGCGTGGCTTTGGGGCTGGAATCCTCCATGGTATCAGCCCCGCATAATGTATGCAGGCCGGGAGGTAGTGAAGCTCGGTGGCTTTGGGATTTACCCGGCTCTTCGAAGCCGAGGGCGCGAGGGCAAGCTTACAGCCCGCCTTCATGGAAATATTCCTGTCCATCTTTCGATCTCACTGAATAGTGTCTAACTGGTGTTGTTCTTGTATGCACAATGGTAAGTAGGTCGTTACTGGCCGAAGGCTCCGATTTCTCGTGTCTTCAGCGACTATGCGTCTAAACTAACCATTATTTCAGGGCGTTCTTAACCGGTCTCTCATGATTGTGGCTCTCCCACTCCTGATCGCGTTTGGCACTCGGGTCGCGTTGAAACCAGAAGAAATCAATCTTCTGTCGTGCGAAGAAAAGAAATATAGCACAGAGATTCTGTCTATTGATCCTCTGATTATATATATCAATGATTTCATCTTTGACAAGGAGATCGATTATCTCATGAAGCTTGGGTAAGCGTCGCAGCAAGCGCGTATCGGTTTATAAAGCCTTCAAGAAAGTCACAAATCTAACGCGATGACTCCAATAGCCAGCCGCTCTTCCAAGACTCCCAGCTTTTTGACAATGATCAAGTACGCACAGTCGACAAGCCATACCGCTCATCCTCAAGTGCCTTCTTGCCATACGAAGATCCCGTCTGCCAGTGCATCGGGAAAAGAGCTCTGGACTTCTTAGGCTTTGTCGAGCACAAAGCCCACGAGCGGCTACAGCTAGTCCGCTATTACCCAGGACAGGAATACAACCTTCACAGTGACTGGTTATACAACCCGAAAGTTAGTCGTAGTCCCGGAGATGAGGGACAAGAATACAACCGGCTGGGAAGCTTCTTCACCTACATTGGCGGCAACTCGACCGGTGGAGAAACATACTTTCCATTCGTGAACGGCGCCAGCTTGACAGCAGACCCTACCAAGTATGCTATTTCGTCCAACGGCCAAGGTCTGTTGGTTAAGCCAGTGAAGGGCAGCGCGCTCTTCTGGATGAACCTTCACCCAAACAACGGGACGGGGAATGACAAGACTTTCCACTCTGGACTGCCTGTTCATTCGGGGGTCAAATATGGGATGAATCTTTGGACAAAACACTACAAGTCTACGCCTATTCTCGGACCGTATGAGTCAAAGGAAGACAGAAAATTTGAGCCCGAGGAAGCTCATGTTTAGCGAGGTTGTCTCTTTTGCCAAATTTCCAGCTACGAGTCTTCTTCAGAGTCGGAAAAATCCAAAGAAACATTCGTTCCGACTACTTAAAAGGTATTCTTGCATGGTAGAGACAATCTTATAAGTCCCCTTTTATAAAGATCCGAGTGATTTTCCTAAATATAGAAAAAGGTAATGAAAAAAGAACAATAGCAGCAACAACAACAGCAATAATAGCAACACCTTCTGCAGCAACTCCTGTTACTACCACCAGTTCAATGACCCTCCGGAAATGAGTGCTATGACCTTTACACCCCCGTCAGTATTGGGCGAAACCAGGAAAAGCAGCCATAGCGCCGAGGCGCCCCCAAAGACAGACCCAGCCAACTTGCTGCTGTACATTACAATGAGTGTCCCCGTTTGAGAGTGGAGGGAATGACCCACAGGCGAAAAGCACTAGGCTAATGCCACAAGCGCTCTTTATTGGTGAAATGGTTCAACGATAAGTAGATAACTTTTCGGGCCGTTTTCGCTAACCAATGCAGGATGATGCAGCTCCGCCATGCTATACTAGTGAGTTGGATCGCAGGATTCGGCTAAACTTAGAATCCACTCCGTAGACTTGGCATCAGACATGCTGACTCGTTGACTCGGTTCAGGGTTTAGCATTTCGAGAATCAAAGGCCGAGCAGGCATCGGCATATTCCGTCCCAGCATCTCTACTATCGCTCGAAGATGGGCCCTGTCACTTGGCAAAGGCCCATCCACCGCCGACTGATCGAAGATGGAGAAGTGATCTTCATCGGCAAAACCGAGGTTCCACGGAACAGTCGGCATGTAGATCTGACAATAGATCATCCCGAGGGCCCACACGTCTGCTGCGAAAGGATCATACTTCTCTGGTTGATAGGCTTCCATTGGGGCATTTGGTGGTGTCCCTAGTCTCCCTGTGCTTTTTTAGCCCCTGCATTATCACACATCAGTTAACCGGGGTTGCCGAATGAGCCGAATGAGCCGAACAGGAAGCTTAGGCGGCCCAGTTTGGTGGCTCGATCGAGCATCCGGCAAGGGAAAATCAAAACTGCAAAAGACGGAGGTGATCGTACCTTGTACTGTCGCATTCTGGGGCTCGGCGAAATATCTTGAGTGGCCAAAATCAATGATCTTTACGAGATCTCCGTCAAGAAGAATGTTATTGGGTTTCAGGTCCAAATGGGCGACCCCATGCTGATGCATGTGCGCCACCCCCTCCACGATCTGAGCAAAGGTACAATCTCCTTCCTCTCGAGTCAGAGCAGTTCCATTGCCTAGCGTCCGATCAAATAACGTGGTCGGTATGAATGGCATCACCATGTGCCAAGATCCCTTATCAGTAAAAAGATCCAGAATTGGCAAGACATTGCGGTGACTCAAAATCTTAGCAATGTTCCATTCGTGGCGCACGCTAGCGAGATATTCGTCCTCAGATACCCCTTTTCCCTTTCCCCGAAAGGTCTTCACGGCAAATGAGCTTCCATTCGGGAGTTGGTAGTGAGAAATGGTAGCAGTCGCCCCCGTGGCTTGGATGCCTTTGACTGAGCCGTATCTGTTTAACCCAGAGGGGTCCAAGAGGAAGGACCGTAGATACCCGAGAAAAATGGCAAGGAAGATTAGAACGACGCTTAGAATCTTGCAGTTTGTCAAGAAGATCATGGTAGAAAAATGGCGTTCTTGTCGGATGCAGAGTGAGAGAGAGAAAAAGAAATGTGAATCCGAAGTCTTGGGGCGTCGCAAGTTTATAGTCTGAGATGGCTGTCGAGTCGGAATCGACTTCAATTCTAACAGACTTGCTTATAGACTGGCTTTGCTAGTTGGGACAAGAATTTCAAAGTTGAAGGAGTTCAGTTTGGTAGTAGTTCTCTATAGTAATTGCACATAAACCAATGACTACCAACCCAGAAAATTTGAAGGCACATTGGCAGCTTTATTCCCAGCATCGCTTCAGTAAGATATTCATACCATACTTGGTACCAGATCGGATTGGAAGCGCCGAATGTTGCACTCGAGGATCTCCCGTATTGTTCGAGTAGAGGTTCATCCAAAACATAGCATTCCCAGTTATAGGCTTGACAGCGACACCAAGCCCATCATCGCTGTTGATGTTACTGAACTTCTTAGGATCCGCATCTGGAGGAGCAGGATAAAGATAGTGGAAGCAAGTCTCTCCGCCCTCAGGCTCGTCGCCCAAGTAAACAAAGAAGCTGGCTGCTCGGTTGCAAGTCAAGCCAGATGCAATCTTAGGAGGGGATTGGAACCAATCAAAGTGAGGATCATGGCGCTCATTCTCGAAGTACCGAACAACCTGGAGGGCTTCAAATCCATCATGCGGAATGAAACCAACGAAATCGGTTGATCGTTTGATAATGCATTCAACCATGGGGTCATCCCTGGCAAGATGAGTGAGCTGGCGATGCGTCGTGAGGTCTCTTCTTTGTGGTCAGGATATTTATCTTCGTGGTGTTTGAAGGAGCCTTCTGAGTCCCTAGCCCATCATCAGCATGCCGAGCATATCACGTACCTTGCGCGGTTTAACTCACACGAGATTTCGTAGATAGGCGATCTCCGATTTCGACATGAAGCCATTGATGTAGACTGCTAGCGGGTCGAGGGAGACGATTTCGGTGGTATAATTTGCTGCACCGCATACCATCTCCGGAGTACTGACTTGGTTGGCGCTACCCCAAATCCCCCATGATTGAAGGGGAGTGGTGAGTGCGGTCAACGGGACCAGAACCTGCTGGAAGATCTTGTTCTATGTTGCCTCTCCCATTAGCCACTGTACGGGAGATGAGTCCTGGTCAACATACCATCTCTTGGGATTGGAGGTAATGATGATTGATTGCAATATCAGAAGGCTTGACTTCTGCCTATGAGAAACAAAACCTTGGAATTGTGAAATCGTCGTTGGCTTAGCGGTTACCCCTCTGCCGAGGTCCTCCAAGGAGACTTTGTGATTAGAACAAGCCCAAACTCGACCACAAATATCTCAAGTTCCCGATATGAATGCTTTTGCGTGAGACATTTTCTGCCTAAGTTCGCTTAACGAATTGCATGTTACACTGCATACTGGTCCCCGACTCACAGGAATGAGCCAAGATCCTTCGACCCCCAATTCCCGAAAAGATATCCACCCACGGTTGCGTATCTCGTCTCCGGGACCTCGCCAAGTAGTTTTGCGGAATTCCCTTCGCTTTTCTCATACTATTCTTGAGATAAGATTCGTGGGGGCAGAGTTTTGCGATGCATGAGAATCCACTTTACATTGATTACCCGTACTTCGCTCGCGTGGCTTGGAAACGGTAATTCACGTCCCGTACTAGTATCGAATTTCAAGACAGTACGTTATTTTGAAACATCACAATACACAGGCTTCAAGAGCCGTTTCAGGAATCAGCCAAGTTCACTCTACCTAACGAGCCAGAGACACTTTGAGTCAAACACCATCATTCACAGTCGGCAATGATACACAGTTTTTCGCATAATGGCCGTACACGAAGAACCGCCCCTGTTCAACACCACTCCTTCTCAATTAATCAAATCAGCGTCTGACTTGATCGATCGAGTTAACCAAACCATTAGCGACCTTGTCCAGTCTGTGTCGCCCGAGATGGCATCTTTCGAAAATACAATTCTCCCATTCGCGGACATCGAGAACGAAATTAAGGGCAGTGTGCAATACATGGCCCTTTTCCAAGCCGTCTCTCCTGATCCGGAGATGCGCAAGGCGTCTTCGACTGCTGTCAACACCGTCGATAAAGCCTACCTTGAGCTATTCCGAGACCGTCCATTATACTCACTAGTGCATGCAGTACAAAGCAAGAGCTTACAGGGTACCATGGATGCTGAAGACAGCAAGTATCTGAAAAGGCTCCATTCCTTATTCTGGGATAACGGGGTTGGGCTGGAGGGAAGTGCAAAGAAGCGTTTCAATGAGATCTCTAATAGGTTGGTGGAACTGCAAGTTGCTTTCATGGAAAACTTGGGCTCCGATCCTGGTTGTGTTTCGAAGACCCAAGATGAGCTTGTTGGTCTGACTGCCAAAGAAGTGGACAATTTTTCGAACGGTATTCCTTTGAAAAAATCACAAACCAACATTGTTCTCTCACATTGCCGCAATAGTGAGACTCGGAAGGAGATATTTCTTCGAGGCCAGAATATATTCCCCGAAAATGCCGATCTACTGAAAGAAACAGTCATTCTTCGAGATGAAGCAGCTAGGTTGCTCGGCTTCAGCTCATTTGCAGCACAGAAGGCAGGCGAGAAAATGCTCAGTTCACCTCAATCGATCCACCGGACACTTGACGAACTTGCAGATCATTTACGTCCACTCGCCCAAATCGAGCTACGAATAATGCGAGAGCTGAAAGACGGCTCTGATGAATCTTTCTTTTTATGGGACTTTGACTATTACCATGATCTTCTCCTACGGGAACGATACAATGTGGATCATGAATTGATATCAGAGTATTTTCCAGCATTATACACGGTCGGGAAAATGCTTACGATCTTTGAGGGCATACTTGGTCTGAGAATAGAAGAGATTCGAGATATATCTAAGGAAAGAATCTGGCATCCGGAAGTCCAAGTGTTTCGCGTTCAATGCGCGGAGACATTGCAGCTTCTTGGATTTCTCTACGTGGACATCTTTCCCCGAGCAGGGAAGTACAACCATGCGGCGAATTTCAATATCTTTCCGGTAGGTGATAATGCCAGTGAACTTTCCAAGCTAATGGACAATATGCAGTCTTACAATCCTCCACAGGGAGGGAAAGCACCCGTTGTATGCACGGCTCTAGTATGCAATTTATCTCAGCCATCCCCCGGAAAACCGGTGCTGCTGAAGCATCGGGAGGTCGTCACTTTATTCCATGAACTTGGGCACGGTAAGATTTCCTCCAATCCTGTATATGCAACTTTTACTAAAAAAATATTCCAAGGGATACATGACCTTCTAGGGAGATCCAAATACGCAACATTCCACGGGCATCGAACGGTGGCAGACTTCAGAGAGGCACCAAGCCAATTACTTGAGTATTGGTGCTGGGTCCCTGAATGCCTTCAATTGATAAGTTGCCACTATACTGATCTTTCATTGAGTAGCAAAGGCTATGAAAACACTCGAACGGTTTCTTTTCTTCCGAATCATCTTGTTCGAAATCTGGCTGCAGCCAAAGGGGTTAATCAAGCTATCTCGACACTAAGACAAATTGCATTCAGTATGTTCGATATGAAGATCCATAACCCCGGGTCTCATGACGAGATTTGTTCAATGGACCTTGGTGAAGTATTCAATTCGTTACTGCAGCAAACAACGCTTTTGGGCGGTCCGGAAGATGACCTGAGATGGGGGAATGGGTATGCAACTATACCCCATTTCATGTGGGGACAGGAGGCCAACTACTATTCCTACGTATAGTAAGTCCGAATTTCCAGTTCCCTCTTATAAACGGATATGCTCCAGCAAGGCTAATCTCGTCATAGCACACGTATGCTCGCAGCTGATATATGGCACTCTTCTTTTGCGAGGGATCCAATGAGCCGGGAAATGGGTTTAAAGTACCGAACGCTAGTCCTGGAGCCCGGTGGCACGGGAGATGAATTAGAAGCCGTCCAGAGTTTCCTTGGAAGGGATACTACAGCAGAAGCGTACTTGCGAGACTTAGCTCCATGTTCAGAAGCAAAATAGATCTTATCATTCTGCTCAGAGATAAATTATGAGGGCTTCACCAATCCACTCCATCCAGGCCAGCATAAAGCGTCGTGCCAGTTCCCCACATATCCGTCGGGTTGCTGAATCTCGTCTTCCGATCATTCGAACTAATGGCCTGCACCTCTTCCTCGGTCAATACTATAGACTGTGCTTGGAAGTTCTCTAATACCCTTTCCCCATGGTCACTTTTGGGGATAACAATAACTCCACGGTGCATATTCCAAGCCAGAACAAGCTGAGCCACGGTTATTCCCTTTTTATTCGCCATTTCAGACAAGAAAGGATCATCTAGCAAAGGTGTAGCCGAGGACTGGTAGATCGGATTCATGTTTCCAAGCGGGGAGTAGGCGATGACGCGGAGCCCCTGTTCCAAATTCCAATCCACGAATTCCTGCTGTTGGAGAAAAGGGTGAGTCTCGAATTCGTGTACAGTTGGGCGAATGCGCGCATGCCGTAAAAGCTGCTCCACTTGAGCCTGGTTGAAATTGGAGACCCCGATCTGTCTAACGAGTCCGTCACGAACGAGACTTTCCATTTCCCACCAAGTCTCCAAGATCGGGACATTATCGAGGACAATCTTGGATCCTGTGCCGGGCTTGAAAGATACAGGCCAATGCATCAAGTAAAGATCTAGATACTCGAGGCCGAGATCGTGCAACGTTGTCTCTAGCGCCGGTCGCACTGCGGCTGGTTTGTGGGCATCATTCCAAAGCTTGCTGGTAACCCAGAATGAAGAGCGGGGGAGTTTGGCTGCGGAAATGCCTTGACCAACCTCCTTTTCGTTGCCTATTTGAAGAGAAAGTTTTAGTCGGGCCTTGAGGGGGCGGTAACTAGGCGTGAAATACCATAAACAAGGGCGGCATCTATGTGCCTGTATCCGTTTTCAAGAGCCCGCTGAACGATTCCAGGGGCCTAAAGAAACACCCTTATCAGCAAGCAATTCTTCAAAGTAGTTTGGGAATGATTGTGTACTTTGTCTTTTGGAAGCTGCCATGTACCTAGACCAAGAGGAGGGATATAAGTCAAAACAGTCTTATCGTAGTCAGCGCTAGCACCGTCGTCCGGCGGTGACAGAGCGGGAGAGCTGATGTTCCAGATCAGAGCAAGAGAGATTATCGAGAGGGCGATAAAACAAGTCCACCGAGTAGAATTCGAGTTCCAAACAGATCGGGGAGCCAACCAGGTTGGCGCTGAGAATTTGTCCATGATGGGCTGTACCTGTGATACTTTACAACGAAAAAAACTAGAGGTACTCGGGGGGGATTCAGGCCCGGGGTTTCCTTCCCAGTTTATATACCTCGGGGTACTGGAACTCCACCTTCCTCCCTCGTACGTGGACACCTGAGATTTAGGCTTTTTGTGTACACCACATAATAATGAAATACTGCATCACTTGAGCTCCTCAGCTGGTTTCGTATTCTCATCCAATTTATTGAATTTCCATAAGCTGATGAAAATATTCAGACTTCTCCATTGTTTAAAAATACTGCGGGGGCCAGAAGTTCATGGCAATTTTACTTCCAGAGCCCACCGGCAAAGCTGCGTGAAGAGTTCGCTCGTCGCCCTGGCCATTGGCCTTCAAATTAACCCAGAAAACCGCATTTCCTTTTCGAGGTGCAACATAAAGACCCGTTCCATCTCCATTCGTCCAGAACCGAGGCTGGCCTTGGCTTCCGTGCCGATCGACTGCGGAGTCATTCATTCCCGTGATGTATGGGAAGTAGGTCTCTCCTTCAGTACAGCGATCGTCGAGGTATGCCAAAATAGTGGTTCGCCTATTGTACAGACGTCCTCCTCGATTCTGAGGCTCAAGCCACCAGTCTACATGCAGATCATTCTTTTGTCCTGGTGCGTATTTCACCAGCTGCGGATTCCCGTAATCGCCCAGCACTCGTTGCGATCCACCATGGAAGTCGAGAGCCCGGCGGCCGATGCAAGAAACGACAGGGTCGTTTTTTGAGAGGAAGGCAGAGCTGGAGGTCTTTCTTTCGTCGGGAACGGCTGGGTCCGAGAGGGAATCGCCTTGGTAAGTTAACATGCGCTCGTATCGGGATTCTCTGTGATAGGAGAAAGCAAAGTCAGTTGCTGCACTAGAAACTGGAATGAGGTCACTTGCCCTTGCTTCATCAGAGAGGCCATTTCGGCGTCAGAGAGGAAGTCATTGATGTATATCATCAGCGGATCTTGGGAGATGATCTCCACGCTGTACTGATGATTCCCGCATACTGCCTCCGCCGGGTCTGCCACGGTGTAAAACCAGCGATAAAGAACGAGAATTGAGAGGAAAATTCCTCCTAGCGACTTAAAGCTCACAGGAGAATGAGAGGGTGCCTTCTTGTCCGTCATTTCCAAGTGTTGCCCCGAATGGATAGTCCTGAGATGCGGCACTGATACAAATAGTGCACACAGTACAGAACACACCCCTTACTAACAATACCGGTAAGTTACGTTACATTAAAATTCATGTAATGTGACACGTATGATACGCGGCCGGATATGCCAAGTTCTGAGCAGCAGAGTTCTTGCATGCGCTTCTTCAAGAATTCCCCACATCCCCACAGATAAGAAGGGAAGACGCAAACCCACCGACCTAACACGGCGGGCATAAGCACTAAATGTTAGGGGCGCTTTTGTATGGTTGCATTCAGATGCGAAAACGAGGGGTCCAACCTTCCCTGATTGGAGCGTTTGCTTGGTATAATCGATTACCAAAGTGTAAGAGTCATGCAATTCCTGATGGGGGTATGACCTTCCGAATGGCCAAGCTGGGAGCTCTTGCCCAAGGTGAGAAATGGGGCTATCAACCGGCCGAGCCGAAGCCATAGAACTAGTATGCCAAGATTGGCCCAAGAACCCCACCTGCGTCAGTTCACGGAGGCAATGTGTGTTGTGGTCATAGTAAAACTCTCTTTTATGAAAAATGGAATAAACAATTTCCCCTGTGACTTGGATATCTCTTCTCCAGCATTGGCAAAATGTCACTCAATTCTACATTAACCAGTGTGAAGGACTGGATCAGTTGGTCGAAGAGCTCACGTCCAACCTATGACCATTTGGATCCAGAAGAGTCTGATGAAGGGAATTTGATCAGCGAAGGGAAATCAAGCCTTGTCAATCATTCGCTCGAAGAGGCCTCCTACACCCGCAAATATGGCTTGATTTTCTTGTCAGTGACCTCCATTATAATTGCATTGGCCGTCGCTTTTGCTCTTGGTCAACATAGTGCCCGGAATGACTTCCAGTCTTATCTCCCCAAGTCCGATGCGATTTGGGGCAACGGTATTCAACCATCTCCAAGGACTTCGAATACCATTGCTAATGCTAGAGCAGTACCTCTCAAGAAGGTCCGCTTTGTTGATGACGACCGTTTCAAGATGACAGACCCTACAACGGGCCGCTTCTTCGCCAATAAAAACGGAACTTGGACGATATGGGATGAAATTCACCGGGGTACGAAACAGGTTTTGAAACCAACTTTTTTTTCAAAATTGCTGATTTGATGTGAATTGCTTCGCTCTCTAGGCTCCTGGGTCCAGTTGCTACCGTCCGAACAACTCGGAATAACAGGAGGGCTTCCATTGAACCTGTACTCCGCCAACGGGTCATGGCCAAACGGCAAAGAAGGCTATGTACCAGCTGTTCTTCACCAGATTCACTGTTTAGTAAGTTTAGCTTCCCGCCTTAGATTCAAGTCCTCCAGGGCTTCATAGTTAATACTTACCTCATTATGACCAGGGTGTGATGAACCACTTTAAGATCGAGTGGACAAACGGATCAATACCGTCAGAAGATGAGCTGGAACATATGGAACATTGCATTGAATACATTCGTCATGTATGACTTTCTTAAATGCCAGCTTGGTGTCCTCCATCTATCTACTCATTGCTGACGGCTTACCACAGGCGGTGATGTGCTATGGCGACACAACGCTCGAAAAGCCCGTGGATCATTCTAACTTCGTGCGTGTGGATTACCAAGGAGTAGAGCATGTTTGCCGGGACTGGTCTGTTCTGGCGGACAGGTTTTGGGAATCATCCATTGATTTCATTTGGGGGACCGAGCGACCTATGACTGTGTTTGAGAACACCGATGCAGCCAGAGGGAATCCCGATGGTCCAATTCCTACCGCCATAGGTGAAGTCTCTCAGAATTGAAAAAAAATAAAAAAAAAGTTTTTTTCTTCCTATCCTTCCTTCTTGGCTTCTTTAGCATTGGGGGATATGTCTCAAATTTTCCAGTTCAACGAATCATGCAGCGCCCGTTTGGCGATTTGAGAGTGGCGATATGGCAATGGAATTGGTGCTCATGGTCAAACCCTTCTGCTTTTATCTCGGATAAAACAGCTTTATAGTCTATAGGTAGATAGCTCAACGTTCTATAGGTACGGGACGATATATTTGCTTATAATCAGCCTATAAGGAAGTGGATGAAATTCATTCCAAGTAATATGCCGTCTAACACCCGCGATATGAATGATGCAGCAATAGAATTCCGGCTCAATTAAAGCTTCCTACTTCTATATCTACCACGACATGATCGCATTTTGAAGCTTTGGCGGATCTCTATGTCAACATGGTGATAATGGCAGACTTGCTTAAAGTCCGATCCCTGTATATAATAAGCTGGAGACATAAACCCAGCACATACGACCATAGGGTGTGGAGAACAGGGCTTCCCGTCCGCTCAGCCGTACTTAAGCCACACGCCGGTCAGTTAGTACTATGGTGGGTGACCACATGGGAATCCTGACTGTTGTATGTTTTTGCTCACTTTTTTCTTTCTTTAACTGTCTTCTTACAAGTCCAAGAACCAATGTCCAGGTGCTCTTGATTTAACTGATTTAGCTGATCAGCGGTGTTACATGTCAATGGGAGCCAATCGTTGATGGAGTGAAACGCAGAGGCGATTATGTTCGAGCTAATAGAACTAAAGAAGGGAAAGGAAGAAGAGAAGAGCCACGCAGTACAACAACAGCCTAACTCCCCTCTAGCAATCCTGGACAAGTTATCCCAATACGTGGGCGGTGTCAGGTGACAGAATCTAGTGATGGTCGCACCGCCTGGCGGGTATCTCATATCGACCAGGGGCATCATTATCAGCCCTGCAGCGGGTTACGTGATTGTATGAAGGAATGTGGAAAAGATCTCAGCTGTCTTGATTGGTCAGAAGATAATGTGTTTTCTATTACCCGTCTAGCTCGATCCCGACAATTCAAAATTCATTTTGGTTTGCGTTTTAAGATATATGTGTAAAGACAACAAATATACTAGGCTAGAAATCGACTAGTCATCACGAGACCTCCAAATCACCCCTAGACGTTCAACGCTTCTGTCGCCAAATGCCAATAGGAAGCCTCCCACCTCTCCGCGCTTTGTGCAGGAGTCACACTGCATACAAGTGAGGTTTCCCCCGACGTAACTTCACAAATGCCTCTTCATACCCGAGTAGGTAGTTAGACCACAATGAGTGAGCATTCTCACAATAGTAACATAGTAAGTGCCTCTTTATCCAGAGTGAACCTTCTAACCCTCTGATAGCCCTCAAAATGGGACTTGTTCAATTACATTCCTTATATACTTTCGTCTGATATCGAGATACGCTTTGCCCCCTCAATGAGACACCCGCCCCCGATCGTCACACTGGAAGAAATCCGAAGCGCAAACGACCTATGTCCTCGTACTATGGGAGGCTGCAAACTCTTAGAGATCAACGCATCAACTATATTGAAAGTCGGGCCTACGGTTCAGATGGGAGAAGCGGAGGCCCTCAGTCTTCTAAGGAAAAGAACATCAGTCCCTGTCCCTGAACTCTTCAATGCTTACACAATCGCCGATATCGGATTCATTTTGATGTCCAAAGTCCCAGGTGTCCCTTTGGAGAAGTGCTGGAAAGGTTTGACTCGGGATACCAAGCGATCTATTGTCGGACAGCTCAAAGGCTTTATTCAGGAATGGCGCCAGATTGAAGGGCCGCTCTTCGGATCTATTGATGGTGGCTCATGCGAAGATATCCTCTTCCAGCATGCATGGGATGCGGTACCCCGTCGCTATGGCCCTTTCTTAACAAGAAAGGAATTCAATCAAGGGGTGGTAGAGGCTCTTCGCTACTCTAGACCCAATGCGCAGCTCACGAAGAGAGATGAGCCTCTGGTTGAGGGAATTCTTGCATCAGGTGGCCAAGATGAAGGAAAGGTGCTCACTCATGGTGATTTGCACCAAAGTAATATTATGGTGGACGGTAATGTCGTGACCGGGATCATAGACTGGGGCGCAGCTGGCTATAGTATATCGGCAAGAGAGTACTTTTGCCTACGGTGGCAAGCGTTGGACCTAGAATGGAGGGATCTTGTATCAGATATGCTCCAGTTCGATGGCAACGAATATGAGCTTTTGGCTGAAGTTAATCAATCCATGGTGGATTATACTGGGATTTGAATTTGGGACACATGATATATTCACTTCAGACTCGTCCAGTTCACTCCCACAGTTGCCTCAACAGCCCTTGCCGACTTGCCAACCATCCCCTTCCAGAAGTGACATCTAATGAACGGGTAGTAGTCGTGGTGCCTAGATCAAAATGCTGATATGAATAGCCGAAAGCTGTTTATACAAGACGGACGAAGCACTTGTTTGATATAGAACACGAGAATATTTATATTGACAGCCTCCAAATGGAGGCACTTAAATGCCCTTAGATAGATAAAACCAAACAAAAGGGTGATAAAAGGTCTCTTCATCCACCGGATCGACGATAAGAGGTAAATGTTTAGACTCCCATTCCTCCTGGACATCATCATCATCGAAGTAGTTTGTCGTACATCGCCGTAGCTTGCAGTATTCCCAATACGCTGGATACCAGCCAGACTGAGCCCAGTCAATTACAGCGACCACGCTAGGATTCGAGCCTCGCGTTAAGAGGATGTTGGGAGGTAGTAGATCATTATGCGCGAATACTACGGGTACCTCGCCCGTGATATCAAGGTCACAGCCTTGGTGGAATCGATGAACGGCGTCAGTTCCATGATACGGTCCTTGTAAGGCAGGCTCTTGACGAAGAAAGAATTCTCTCAATGGCTGATTGTTCAAACTTCCTGAAAATAAGATGAGTACTTAGTTGTATGGAACCAAAGCTTCACCCTGCGGGTCCAAGCACCTACCAATATATAGGCCATTTTCAGTGTGCTGTAAAGCCCTCCATTCTTTTACCATTCCATGTAGTTGGCTGCAGATCGCCAGTCTCTCATTTGCACTCATGGTAACCCACCTTTCCTCCAGCGTATCGCCTTCGATCAGCGCCATATAGATAAACCCTTGGCCCCCGTCCGTCGTCCCCCCGTAGACCTCTGGGATTGGCACTTTGCCTTGTAGCCTGTCATAGACCATTTTTTGGGTTTCAGCCTCGCCAATGGTTGTGTTAGCGCCGTACTTGACTAACATCCCCAAGGCTGGAAATTTGACTGGCGTAGGTCGATGAAAGTTCTTGCTCCAGAGACCACCCAGCTTCACATTTATGTCTCGAACCTCAGCTGGGGATGGAAGCCCCGGTGCACGGTTCTCGCGAAAGAACCTTGAGTCAAGAATTTGTTTCCCCATGATGGTCCTAGAGCTAGCTAGCTTGATGGGGTTGGCTTCAAACTTTTTGCCGGCTATCGTGCTGGGAGGAAGGCTGAGAGGCTAGTGAGACGGTCAACCTGGTGTTAAAAAACCAACGCTTATAAGAGCGTTGATTGTGGAAGACAATGGATATGTAGACTTAAAGATGTATCTAAAGATAGAATCTCTTGGGTCTGGTCGTGGAAAGTGGTGAATTGTGAATCAATGAATTAGCGCGGCAGCAGCGGAGCCAATCAAAATGGATGTATAAACGCGGCTTCAGGCACTTACGTTTCGGCGTGCCTCAAAATTGTCTACTTACGTGGCAGGAGCGTAATCATGCGGCTAATTATGTTTCATGATGCGAAGCGACTATCTTAAACTTGGGAGGTACGTGTGGTGTTTACCCATTGTGGAATGTACTGTCAAGGGTTTATACTCTAATGCCTGCCAGACGGAACCACCATTGGCTGTTATTGGGTTTGGAATAATCAGCTCAATCTAATTTCTAGCTATACATAGTATATGGACATCGCTTAGGCGATCAGGCAGAAGGGTTTTCCTTCAGCCAACTGCAAGCGACGGTGGATGACGCATATATGTAGGTACCTTTACCTTCAACCAGAAACTTCTCCCAACCATATTTGCGTCTTTTCCTTTATCCAAGTATCCTCAAATTGGCTTGAGTAATTAGCTATATCTATTAGGGATATGTTCTCTTCCTCTAAGCCGTGCGGGCAGCCACCACCAAAAAGAGCAGGGCAGATGGCAGCTCACCGACCCCATCCTCCTGCTATCACAGCCGATCGCCCACCAGGCGCATTGCTAGTTACACTGTTGACTTTTAATGGTGCTCCCTTTAAGGATCATTGGGCGTACTGGATTCCTTCGAGTTCGAACCCGAACCCGGTATCGTCATTCACGCGAAGGGCGATGTGCGCAATGGTTTCCAGCTTGAGATCAAGCGCAATCACAACCTACTTGAAGACGATCCTAGACCCTCAAAGCAAATACCCTTACAATGGGTTGGCGAGAGTTGGATCAATGAGCCAGCAATGCTGAACCACGGTATCGTCAAGATCGACTCCGCACCGTGCTGCCCTTTAGAGGATAGTCTTTTCAAAATCCCAGCACCTGAAAAGACCTTGAGAGCTGCTCATAACATGGTATTTTCTATTCCCTCTCTTGATTTCTTTTGGGTGGATTTTCCAGACCATAAGCTAACTAGAAGTTTCCCAGGATGGCTCTGCCCCTGGCAAGATCACGCAGAGAGACTGCCAAACGTGGATTGTGGAATCGACAGATCAAGCTGTGAGAGATGGTGCCTTTACGGAGAGCGTTGCTGCGTATCTTTATGCTATTAAACAATAATGCCAACATAGGTCTGTGAAGGCCACATATACCCAGACGGCGTTTTCTCAACTAATGGACACATTATTTGGTAACTATGTACGCTAATGAAGGGCCCTCTTACGCGCTGCTAATCAGTGACGAATAGTGGGTGATTGAAGGTATACGTTCCTTGGCAGCTCACCCCAATCGTCTTAACAGCACCTTGTAATGCCTTAGGTGGCAAAGTATCTGGATTTTGTTGTTATTCTTAGTTACTAAAATAGGTGCTAATGAAGACACCTACAAGACCAGGTTCTAATGGATCCTTTCAAACTGTAAACCAATTATGATAGACTAATTTTTGCGCTTCAATGCTCAATGCTTGCGCGATATATCATTTATCTTCCTGGAAGAGATTATTAGCTTATGATGGACTAGGCCCTTAGAATTGAGTTCAGGTTCATCGTAGGTGCTACTTTTTTGTCGCAAATGGCGCATGCCATCTACGCTGAGGCGGTGTGTTTGTGTATAATATAATATGTTTTGTCGTGACTTATCGCATAGGCAGTATAGGCTGTACAGTATTGAGCCTTTCATCATTTGGGTCAAGATGTACGTAGTCACTATTGGATGACTCGTAAACTCCCCCACATTCATCTTCAATCTTCTCCGCTGTGGCAGTCGACAGCCATACATATCTCTCCACGCATCCCACATTCGCCGGCCTACTCCCGTAAATGCTGAAGTCTTCGGCCCATCCAGCGGCCATAGAAGAAAAGTCAATCGAGCTATAAGCTGTCGAGTGCCTAGGCTCCATATCAGCCGCCAGACTGGCTTCATTCACATCGTAGTCGCCGAAGTCTGCGAGCTTTTCACTTTCGACATTCGTTTTTGCTGCGCTTTCTTCTAAGTACTGGAGGTAGAACGGGTTGCTACTTCGTTTCGCGGCTGCGAACAGAGCTTCGCGGGGAGGGGGCTCCAACTGTCTGAAAATAGCTTCATAGTCACCCAGCACACAGGTAATTGCTACCTGAAGCCTCATGGAAGGACACTTCTTGGCTAGCTCATAACAAGTACTATAGTGAGGCATTACCGGCCACCAGATCATCCAGGGGAGGCAGTCTGAGCCATCTTCAATGCCGCCCACTTCATTACTCATTATCTTGCGAGCCGTGATGGCAGTGCGAATCATCCGACTCTCGTGTTTATTGCCGTCGCTCACCAATTTGTCCGGGATGATGGCTCGCTCTGGGTTGATTTCCATCTGATAGGCCCACCATCCCGCAAACATTGTACTGTGATGGATCCCACGCAGAATACAATTCAGTTCCGTAAAAGTTCTGAGTCTCCGTGGGTGCATGAGTCGGGCATATCTGTCGATATTGCCATCCCACGCAGCCATCTGCGTTTGAAGGCGTTTTTCAAGGACTGGAAGGTCAGGCGGAAGAGGCATCCACAGTTGCCCAGAGTCCCCTGGCCCAATGAAAGCGTCACAATCCTTGAGATTAACGTCTTCTAAGCCGATAAATCCATCTTCCTCAAGATCAATATCATCTGCTGTTGTATCTGGTATATTCTTGGGAGGACAGGCACGCTGTTCAAGGGCCCATCGGGGCTTCATATTTCCGTTCAGGAATGCGGGTGTTTGCGGGCTCTCAAGGTTGACAGATCGAGTGAAATCATCCATGACAGCATATCTTTGAGAGGCCGACTTGATCATCTTATAGATCTCGGCATTTGTGTCCACCTCGCGGGCTTCTTCCGCAATTGACACATCAGGAAGGAGGTCTAACTCTCTATAGAGATCGGTGTAGGACGCAGCGGCGCACGCTCGACCGACTTGGTATCGCATGGATGGGAACCGACAGGCAATCTCACGGTACGTCTTAATGGATGCAAGCTCCGGATACCAAATGCAATATGGCTGGGTGGCCGAGTCGTCCATGTCCGGGATAATGTCACTCATTATCAGGCGGGCGTTACGGGCACGGGCAAACTGATGAGCATGGCTATCGTCGCGAGCACAGAGCTCGATGACTGCCGGGCTTTGTGCGAATTCGAGCGAGTCGCGAATACCGCGGATGACAGCTCGACGATGCCAAAAAGAACTCAAATCATTCGGAATTTCTTTGCCCTTCATTGCCGCGACGCATTGCTCCATATCGTATTCAGGCGAATTTTTGTTGCCATGAACTGGCTGGTTTTTGTGGAAGGCGACAGATCTTCCCCTCGTAACTTGGCCATCAGTAGCCTCGGCAGCCGCCATTGCAATAATAGCGAGAGAAGGTGCCCAAGTTTTGTGAAAGGGGTGGAAAGGAAAGAGGGAAGGACCTATTTCGTATGACGCGAAATGGACCAGTGAATAAATAACGAGGGCGAGGAAAACCAAGGAAGAAAGCAATCTTTTCGTTTGCCGGCATATTCCTCACTTTGTATTGATTGGGGTTTTTTTAATCTAGTTCGACGGTGCTGGGGCTTACCGTGAATTTACATAATAGTGTACAAAGCGGCCCCGGGGGCACCGTGTATCTCAGGATCTTCTCAATGCAATCGCGCTAAACCCCTTCCAGTCCCGCTAGCAAATCTTCTTCCAGAAGCTCTCCATACTCCGCAAGTTAGCCGTTATTGTGGCGTTGGCAAGATATCACGTGCGCTATCTACAAATACAGTAATTTAGTCGACCGTCGTTGCAGGTGCCTTCCGAGGCCCTTCAGTGATGGCCATCTGGCTAGATGATGAGCTTGTCTTTGATGGAGATCCGCGTCGCTATGCTGAGCGGAGGTTGCTAAAAAGGAGCAGGTTTCGTATAGAGGCAGCCTGCGAAGGTTGGAGATCAGATCTTAGAGGCAAAACCTGGTGAGGCGGTATTAACCAGGCATGCAGTATTTCATATTAAATTGTTTTTTATGGAAATTTTGAAGTTTGGATCTTGCTCAATAGCCTCATTCTCGGAGGATGTAGCTCCATCATTCCACCAAATCATTCACACGAGTAGTCGTGCTGGAGTCCTTGTTCATCGTTCTCTTGCAGTCCTGCGATCAATTTTGAAAAGAGCAGGTTAGTAGGGTTTCTGGCCCACCGCAACAAAGACTCGTCCCTGGTGCACCGCAACACCTTGTTCCGTCTCTCGCACGGCCGCCGCAAACATATCAAGCCATGACTCGCGCGACAGCGGCGCATCTGGTGCTTCTGACTTGGTGGGGAAATACGAAGCCAATTCCTCCCACACAATGAGATAGTCCTCCGTCCAGCCCTTATAGTCCTGCTTTCTTTTCTCACGTGCAAGTAGACGTGAGTCTTGAAACCCAGATTTATCCAGAAGTTTGTCAAGGCCTTCCACCCATTTATCGCTGATATTCCTTGCCTTTTGGCCGCTCCATAGCACCTGCACAATGCTCTCGCAGGCTGACGTGGAGACCTGCGGAGAAGGCGACTCGACCATCCAGATATCGCCTCTTGATTCGTCCCACTGGATGAACCCACCAGGCTTCAGAAGCTTCGAGGCTACAGCGAGGATAGGTCCAACGTTACCATCGGGCACAATACTCACAAAGGCGCGGATGTGGACCACGTCGTACGTCCCGATCATCTCAGCTGAGAGAGGCTCCGCAAGGACATCACGCTGTTGTAGCTTCACCGAAGCAGGCAGAAAGGCGGGCGCTGGGAAATTCACAGGATTGATGTCGAAGCCATCTAACTGCGCTGAGACTTTGTCCCCCAAATGGGTGTGCAGCTCCGTCAGCCAGACACCATTGCCACAGGCCAGGTCGGCGATCTTCAGAGGCTGCGACAAGGTGGCCAAGTGTTCCTCAATGGAAGGCTCGATAAGGAACCCAATGGTGTTTTGGAAAAGAAAATGCTGCAGGTGCAAGCGAGCAGACGTCCGGAAGTTTCGTGCTGGGGTAGTCCAGAAATTGGAAGGGTCATAATTCTCGACATGAGATGGGGTTGTCATGTTGATTGCGGGGGTAACCTTTGCTCTTCCTTGCTTTGTGGGAGAGAACAAATGGTGCTTATCGAACGTTCAAAGCGAAGCAGCTCCCTATCTGCAACGCTTATCTTGCTTCAAACTTGGATACAGTGAACTTCAAGACGCCCCGAACTTTCGAACTGTGGCATTGACCTGTTGACAACCTCTGGCTACTGGAGGAATCAACGGAATTCTTGGAATTCGAGCAAGGAGAAAGGTGACATTTAAACTGTGGGGGGTAAGCAGGAACACTAAAACACATGACACGCTACTAGTAGAAATAGGCTCCGCCAACTAGCCAATCAGCCCTGGAGGGCGCTGGGAGGCCTAACTCCTTCGCGAAGGGGCCTCATTTCCCTTGCTAGGTATCGAAGCGGGGCTTATACCGTAAGACTACAACACCTTCCGGATAAGATTACATCGCATAATGCCTAAGCAAAACGTATGCTCTGTTCGTACCGCACAGCTCTTGGCAGACGGGAAATAAGCAAGTTTCCCCGGTCATTGCCCAGTCGCCTGCTTGTGTCTTAGGCTCTCTGCATTTAGAACTAAACTTCAGCTATGTGTCATGGCAAAGAAAGTTCCATAGTTCCATTTCGTTGCTCCTGTAAACTCTATTATTCATACCCAGGTGGTCCCCAGCTCTGTACGTACCATGATACATAATTAGAGAAATCCTCGAATGGCATTGGCAACAGCCTGAGGGTCTTCCAAGGTATGCCAATGACCAACATCACGCAGCACCACCGGCGGTTGGCAGCCAGGGATCCTCTCTGCAAACCCGGCGCAAAGAGCTGGCGGACTAATTCTATCTTCATCTCCAGTCACGATTAAGGTATCACTGTGAATCTTTCCGAGGTCCAGTCCCTTGAATTCGGCAAGGGCAGTACAGGCCTTAGCATATGACTCAGGCTCAGTAGCGAGAAGGCTGAGGCGTACGCCGTAGGGCCCAAAAGAAGATTGTGTCCGTTGTGAGGTGTCAGCTGAAGAGACCGCATCAACAATAGCAAGCATGCCGTTCTTACGAACAAGAGCTGCTCGGTCATGGAATGCCTTCACGGCAGGGTCTGGTAATGGATTGGGAGGAGGGCCAAGCAGAATAAGCTTTTTAACGAGGTTGGGATTCTGCATCGCGAACTGCAGAGCCACTAAGCAGCCCATTGAATGGGCGACAATGGTCGTGTCTGGTGAGGTGACGCTTGTCATTGCGAAGATCCCTTCCAGATCACTAGCGAGGGATTCAATAGTGATAATTGAAACGGCAGATGTCGGAGAAAGACCGTGACCTTCAAGATCCGCCAAGTGAAGCCGATAAGACTTGTCGAGGCTGAGGGCCTGGATCAAGGGGGGTATATATTTCTAGGGAGCCTCCAAGGCCATGAATAAAAACGATGTTCTTGTCTCCAGCCCCTTGAGACTTGTAGTATAGAGGCTTTCCATTTATCGTTGTGAGCGTGTTCCCGGTAACAGTCTTGGACGTATTGATGGCCGGCAAATTCAAGTCAGATGGAGCTTCGACAGATGGCACAAAAGATACGTCTGCTATCTTATTCGTCAAGCTACCAAGCCCTGTGATCTTCACAGTCACTTCATCACCTGGCTGAAGGTAAGTGGGCGGATTCTGCCCAAAGCCGACGCCCGCAGGCTGTATTCATCGTGTCAGCCATAATGGAGTGCTTGTGGTTTCCCTCTTCACGCATGACTCACTGTTCCAGTCGCAATAACATCACCGGGCTGAAGAGTCATTCCCTCTGATATTGTCTCTAGCAGGGTAGGAATTGAGAAAATCAGACTTTGTGTCGTTGCCTCCTGGCGTTTCTCGCCGTTCACGAACGTTTGGACCGTAAGAACTTCCGGCAGAGCAGATGCAGGAACGGCAACAGGCCCCTACAGATATTTGACGTTTTAGCCTCTTGAGAAGTACCTAGCTGCAACTTTGAACCTCTCCATACCATAGGGCAGTAGGTATCACCGGACTTCCCAATGAAGAACTGTTTATGATCACGCTGTCGTTCTCTAGCGGTCACATCGTTGATGATAGTATACCCCCATACATGATCCATGGCATCTTTAGCCTTGATTCCACGGCCAGCCTTCCCGACAATGACTCCCAGCTCGCCCTCGTAGTCCAATGTTTGCGTGAAAGACGGGTTGAACGCAATAGGAGATCCATCCGGCACAATCGATGTTGCGCGCTTCGTGAAGATGACCGGATGCGATGGCTGGTCCACCTTATCGGAGCTGTCGTAGCCAGACTTATTGAATTCGATTGCGTGCTCCGCGTAGTTCTTTCCCACGGCAAGGATATCACGGCCAGTGATTGGTGGTAGGATTTCCACCGCATCAAGCTTCAGGGGCTCTCCCACGGGCTTGATGCCCGCGCTTTCCACGGCAATCACCTGGTATAGAGTTTGGAGCGGGAATCCTGATGCCAATGCGAGAGGCTGGACGGTCCTGCTCTCCCAATCTACATGGCCGATCCGTGGCACACCTAATTCGGGCTCTCGAAATGAGAGATAGTTGACGAGACGAGGGGCCATAAAGGAACTGAGCAGGATTTCAACATTTATGGGCTTTTGATAGCATCAAAACTCAGCTCTTGACCCTGCTGTAGCGCCTGAGAATCTACTAGTAAAGCTCGTCAACTGTGAATTGCGTTGGAGAAAGTTGACAGCCCCGCTTGTGCCATTGACTCCCAGTCTAGTCCATTCTAGGTTTAGCCTGACATTCGCATACGATTACGTCTGTACCACCCAGTCACTCGGAGTAAGAAATCTTCTCAAGTCTCTGAACTTGAAAACTCCTAGTCTGACGAATCATAGATCACCATTTAGTGTTAAGTACATTACCAAATACCGTAAACAAGATCTCACTGACATAGTTTCATACATCAATTCAACAGCCCAAACGACCAAGAGCGCTTCGTCTTTTTCCACGCAGACTCCTCCGGTTTGGGATTAGCGATACGATGCCACTCGCCGTTGAACGCGTTGATGAGCCAGCTCGAGAGGCGTTCATAGACGATAGTATGACCATTATGGAAGAAAATGCTGTGGTCAGAGTCAGGGAACACCTGCATATCAAAGTTGTTGATATTTGCCAGGTCCAGCCGATCCAGCAGGACAAGAGTATTCTGCAGATGAACGTTGTCATCGGAGATACCGTGCATGATGAGAAATCGGGTGTTCTCGCCTAGGGCGGCCACGTTCGTGATGGTCGAATTCTCGTAGCCGGTTGGGTTGTGCTTAGGTGTGTGCATATAGCGTTCGGTGTAAATTGAGTCTAGCGGTCCTGGGTCAGTGAACGTTCCTTAACGATCCATACTTCAGGGGATGGGTTAAACCTACCATAATATCTCCAGTCGGTCACAGGCGCCACCGCCATTCCATACTGGAAAGTCTGGCCGGCATCCTGCTCCAGAACTTTCAATGTCATGAATCCACCATAGCTCCAACCCCAAATAGCCATCCGGCTAGCATCCACGTACGGCTTACTAGCCCATATCTTGCCTGCCTCGATTTGGTCGTGCGATTCATAGTGGCCGAGGTTGCCGCGAACCTTACATCTCTGCTCACGACCAATAAAGCCCGTCCCGCGGCCATCCACGGTGACAACGATATAGCCCAAGCTCGAAGCGACATAGGATTGGAAGTCAACGGTAAATTTGCGGTTGACTTCCTGTGAGCCTGGGCCTTGGTACATGTAGAACAGCACAGGGTATTTCTTCGCTGGGTTGAAGTGTGGAGGTCGGCGCTCGAGGGCTTGCAACACCACACCGTCGATGGTGACATTGGTGTAAATTTCGGCAGGAAGAGCGTACTCCTTGACCATCTGCTTGAGATTTTGGTTCTCCTCTATGACGATCTCGGTTTCGATTCCATCGCCCTGGGTGTTGATAATCGCTTGCCAGGGAACGGCAGGGCCATCGGAGCTCAGGAGCGCATAACCCGTTCCAGAAGAAAACGAGACTCGATAATATCCCGGCTGAGAAGTATCGGTTAACGGGCGTAGGCCAGAACCATCAAGGTTCACTTGGTACACGTGGCGCTGAGTGGGGGACTCCTTCGCAGCGACGAAATATACCAGGTTCTTCTCGAGATCGACGGCCGATGGCGCGGAGTCGACTTCCCATTCACCCTTAGTGAGCATCACTGGCTCAGCACTGTCGAGGGGTGAGAAATACGCTAGATGGTCGTAGCCCTCGTAAACGACTGTGTCAACGTAACCATCGTGCGGGCGGCCCTTCTCGGGGCTTGCAGGAATGAACCGCGTGGACTGCGAGGGCTCAACCCAGCCGCCATCAAGGCTGGCAATATCGTTTGACCGCACCAGCTTTCCGGTCCTGTTCTTTGCGTCCAAAAGGAAAATCTTGACAACATCGCTTTCCCGATTAGTTGCGCGGAGGAGCACCTTTCCTTCAGATGCCCACACGACCTCAATGATGATACGGTCGTCATCCGCAAAATCATCTGGTATGTGGATTGAGAACACTTCTTGTTTCTCCACGTCGTAAAACTCCAGATGGACAATAGGGTTAGGAGCACCAGCCTTGGGATACTTGATCTGGCGAACTTCGGGATAATTCTCCAGTCCCGGCGGCGGCTCCTTGCCCGACGGACGCGACAAGAAGTACTGCACCGGATACTCAGGGACATCAGCCTCCTCAGTCCGCATGAATGCCAGATACTTGCCATCACCCGACCACCAAGTAGCACTATTCCCCGCGATAACCTCCTCCTCATACACCCAATCCGGCACACCATAGAACAGATTAGTGCCGCCATCCTTCGTAACAGGAATGACCGCCTTTGAGGAAAGATTCCGCAGGTAAACATTGTTCTCTCGCACAAACACCACCGCATCAGACTGCGGCGACCAAAGCGCCAGCTGCACGCGCCCGCTCAGATTATCCGGGTCCAAAGGCTCGACCGTCTGGTTCTTGACGTCAAAGACCCAGTAGTTCCCATAATATGAGTAGCGCCAGTTCGACTGCCTCTCTGAAATAAACAGTACTTTCTCCAGATTCGGACTCGGCCACGTCTGCTGCGGCCGAATGAACTTGTCATCCACCCAGACATACCCCTTCTGCATCAGAACCTGCGTCTGCATGCTCTCTGCACCGTCCTTACGCGTCCGGATATCCTCGACCCGCAGGAATCCTTCGTCGCTCTCGCCCTGCTCGACGAGAAGGCCGTCTTCGCCATTTGGCCCGGCTATCCACGAGATAGCATGGGACTGCGGCCGCCACGCACTGCCCAGAACCTGGTCTAGAGTGAGAGACTTGCCATAGCTCGTCCCGCCGGTCGCCGAATGCGGGTCGTGGACTTCGACCGTTGAAGCCGAAGAGAGGGCGGCCGCGGCAGGTCGTTTCTGGACAAGGAAGAGGACGAAGGCGAGCAGCCAGCCGCCGACGCAGAGAAAGCCGAGCAGCCAGAGCACGCGGCGGGTGCGAGAGGAGGAAGAGGAAGCTTTCTTGCGGGCTCCGTTGGGGAATAGAGGTGCGTCGTCGCTGGGGTCGGCGCCGTCTTCGATGTCGCGGTACGGGTGTTCCTCGAGGTTGTCCGCCTCGGGCGGTACCCTCAAGCCGCTCTTGTGGGCTTCCATGAAAGCTGCAGAGGCTACCGAGAGACCCGAGTCAGAGGATGATGCGGACACGGTAGATTGAGACCGCTGCCTCAGTGGGAGGGCCTCGGGGACGCCTTCGTTGTCGGTCCCCATGGTTGGTTGAGAGGAAGGAGGTCCAGATCGGACTGATAAGATCGGGGAATGTGGAGCTACGGGCGGGCCGCCGAACCTCGTGCTCTCGAATCTTTGGTACTTCGGGAAGAACTCGAGGGTTATGGAAGCAGTCCAGGATTATACATGTAGTAGAAGAACCTTTGGCAGAATTGGATGTAGGCCTCAATAGCCTGGCACGTGCTTTACCATTCTCGGTCCTGCATATGGATCTCTTTTTATGTATGCCTAGAGCTCGCGGACCTCGGGGCTCGCTTGCAGACAAAGCCGGCCCTGCTCTATTGAGACCTTGTTCGAGCTTAGTGGCCATCTTGCCACCATGATACGAAAGGGACCAGGGGGCGCCTTAAATACAGGGGCAGAGAAAATAGACGATAAGAATGATTAATGTATCGATGTAAAAGGGTTTGTACCAAGAGTAAATTTGAAGCTGTATGATGAATAACGCTGAATTGGGGGGGGGGAGCTATTCAACAAGTCTCTTGAGTTCCCTCCTGTATATGATATATGTACAATGACTCCGATGAGCGCCTTGCCTGCAACGCCAAAACAAAACCATAACACCGTACGGATCATGACCCGTCTAACTTCAGGTCAGACTTCAACCGCTTTTCTAATCCAGTCCACCAAGCCCAGAAACTCTGGCGGGATCCCGCATGGTATGCTATTAAAAGTCTGGATAACACTATAGACGAGCCGTTTCCCCGAATCACGCGCGAACCACTTCCGAGAGGAAAGGTGGAGGTCAAGACCGTGGAACAAGATGAAAATCAAAGCCATGGGCTCGCCCTGTTTGACGAGGCCCACGAAGGCCTCGCTGATGCGGATCGGCCAAGCCAGGCTACCTTGGCCGGAGGGCCAGGTGTCTAAACTCTCGTCGAGGAGCTGGTATGTACTTCGGTAGATCTCCATATTAGGGCCAGGGCTTCCCTCAACGAACGGCCGTAAAGATCGGAATCTTTCGAGAATGGTTCGGTGCAATTTGATCAGTGCGGGGTCCTCGCTGTAGCTGGATCAGCATGATATCCGCAATATGGACGAATGGTATTTATACATACCTGGCGCGAGAAAGCAAATGTCGGTCGCTCCCGTCCCGAGTGACCCACGGGTCGAGTGAAATACCCTGTCCATGGTATATTTGCAGCCAAAGGAACGCGGCACCGCTTAGGATCGAGCGCATAGTCAGGATCTCGCTCAGCGGATCGACGGGGTTCTCATCATGGCAGATGCCAGGGTATGCAGTAACGAATATTAAAATCAAACCAGAACAGATGAACGACGCTTCAGCATTTTGGGGGTTGGCGGCCAGGTCCTGCCGTAGGCCGTTGGTGGTGTGAGTCTGGTAGGTAAGCGCCGTTTCAAGCCATGAGCCGGCGTCTTCGACTTGGATGGAAGCTATATGTAGAGCAGCGACGGCGAGCAAGCCATCCATGACGTAAGGATGCTCCGTCGCAACTTTGGGAATTCGTGATTCCCAGAAGCGGCGGTCTACCTCATCCTTTGCCATTGACGGGAGAGTAGCGGAACAAGCATGGTGGAACAGGCGCATTTCCTGCAACCGCGGAAGTCGAGTGAACCCATCGGCAACGGAAGAGCTGGCATGCGATGAGGATCGTTCGGAGCGAGTGTTCTTGGGGGAGCCTGAAACGGGCCTCCGCCTTGGACGTGGAGCGACGTAGATACATTCCAATCCTCGCCTCACGCAAAGACTACATGTTGGTCGATTCTCATCGCACTATTGGAGATTAGCGGGGAAACCGGATGTTTTTTGGGGGGGGCAATCGGTAATGGGAAATGTGAAATGCGAGGTTACGTAGCCAGACAACAAAGAACTCACCTTGACATGGCGCTCTTTGCATTGGACGCAGCCCCGCCTTGATTTTGTATGGCATCGTCGTGGCATGCTGGCACGTATCGCGATCCATCAGAAAGGCAAACACGCGATGGGGAGTCGAAGGCCTTTGAAGGCTCCAGGGCCCGCGGGCCTTTCTTTAGCGGTGAGTCAGCATGGCGCAAAGCCCCAGTCTTGGGGCCATTTGGGGGCTAACAAAGAACGTCCCTTGGGGCCAGAGGCAGGAAGTAACGGTAGACTTGATCCGTGTGTGGGGGACAAAGGAAAAAAATAAAAATAAATCTATTTACAGTATTTCCCACCTACTGCTTATTTGAGGCAGGCTTTTTTTAGATGAATTTCCCATTTCCGCTCCTTCTACTGGCTCGAGAAATGGACTAAGTCCTGGTGTTGACCAGAAAGCCTTGGGACCATTACCAATCTTACCTTTTTTCTTCGTGCTTCGCCAAAACGTGTCTAGGGCCATTTTCTCCAACTTCCTTCCCGCGAGCATCTTAAGTTAGAGTTAGCGCATCTTGTTGTGGTCTTGCGAGACAGACCCGCTCCTTGCTTATGGTCCGTATGGTCGTCATCAAATTTCCAGGAATGAAGCCCCAAAGGATTGCGCGTGAAATACTGGTACTAGCACAATCGCAAAACCACGATACATGGAAGGCCTTGAAGCCTTGTGAAACAAAGGCTGTGGCTCTAGGTTCATGACGTCAAGGACAATGAAACGCCACGGTGGAGATCATCTCAGCTATACAAGGATCCCGCGGACACGAAGGATGGAAGTATCACATTGCTCCGAGGGGGACCAGGAGGTGTGGCTGGGAAGGACCGGGGTTTAATTGAAGTCCGGAAACATGAAATTGGGGCTTTTGCCCCAAAGCGACGAAGGATCAGCAGGGTAAACACGCAGATCTTCAAAGCCCAAAGACCACGAACCTATCTGAGCGAAGACATCGCGGCGTAGATAAGTACCCACAGGGGAGACAGGAGCCCGTCCATCATAATTCAAATTGGACTCGGAAGTGTAGCAATACTTCCTGCTCCCTTTGGAGCTTGAAAGTATACCTACTGGGACTTTTAAGCCCTAACAAACAAACAACAAAAAAAAAAAAGGTAGAGTCCCCAGCTAGAGGGATGCCACCAAAATTGGCGGCTCCGCAGCCCTTGAGTCCAGGCAACTTTCATCATTAAAGAGGTCATCGATCTCACTCACAATTGCAATTGGCCCAACCAGGGCCATGAGACAAAGTCCCGAGGCACTAAGTGGGCTCTTGAAACAAAGAAATCGCCCAAATACGAAATACGGAGGATCCGCCAGCGCTACTGCCGCCTCCCGAAGTGCAACTTCGTGGCGATCACCAAACGCTTACCTTGGCCCCGCTACACTTGTGCTCCAGAAAGCATCCTACTTGACCTGTTTTAGGATAACGCTGAGGCAACGTGGACAGGTTTATGCACTTTTATCCCCAAGAATCCCACAGGCATACACTTCCTGCTCGGTCCCTAGAGGGGGCTGAGCACGTACTGCATACTACGAGCCAGGGTTCAAGCACTTGGTTACTCAAGTCGGCAGATGAAGCCGCTCATATCCGGCTTACTGCCCCTGGTGATGTATCAGACTTCTTTAACGAGCGATAGACGCGCCTCATGGTGGCGCAGCTAGACTTAATGTGCCCAGCTCTTACCTCCAGGCTATACTCAACTAGTAATGGCCACCCCCCAGCTTCTCTAGCTCGGCATGTACTTTAGCTCGATCGCTGGGCGCCGCCAAATCGGAAACTAAGGGCTTTAAGGATGCATCCTGAACCCATGAACGACACATGGCGCACATGGCGTAAGGCCATGCTCCCCTCACTGCATATGCACCTCCTCCACGCATCAACGGGACGATATGGCCCATCGGCTATTGGTCGGCGACCAAGCGTGATCATTCCTGCCGAGGGTCTATTTACAGCTCTTCTGGGGGCAAATTTACCAGCCCTTTTCCGCGAGAATATCCTTTTGAGACCATTAGGGCGCACTCCTTAACTGTAAGTTTCAAATTGGGTTAGTATGCAGTCGGGCGAATAAACCCCCAAATCGATGCTCAATGTAGAGCCGCCTTGGTTCTACTGTATCTTGGTTCTACTGTATAGACGAACGCCTCGTCGAGCTGACTTCCGCCTATTGCGCCCCGCAGAACCCTCTTTCCTTTCCAGCTTCGGCTTATTCGACACGACATAGACATCCATGGACCCTTTCGATTGAATCCGCGAGGCTGTCTTTGTTATCCCTCAGCAGGGACACCACACACCCCGCTCTCGGGTCTTTGGGGGCGTTTGAAGATCGACCACAACTGCAGAAATCCCACCTGTAGATCTCACCGTATTGTGAAATTATCAGTGCTCTCCACGTTTCCGCCCGACAGCATTGGTCTATTCGTGGCCCGATTCTCGTCCACGTTGTTCTCGTCTTGCTAGCGACCTTGATGTGCTTGGACGCAGCCTTGGACCAAAATAGATCCTTGAAAAGGAATATGAGAAGGACTTGTGCGCTGCATTAGCCTGGGCACCGGTCCATATCGACTGTCCCTTGTAAGAACAGGCTGTGCTTGTTATGGCGGTGTATAAACACGTGGCTGGCGCATGGAAACGACGAGACAAGGGCAGACCGTTGGGGAAAGAGCAACCGGCAAATGAGCTCACATGGGCTTCACGTCTTGCATAAACCTTGGCCCAAGTCATAGTTGCCCTAGCAGTATGCAGCATCGGGAATAACGCTCGATGCAACGCAGGGGCGTGGGTCATTGGAGCACGTTGGCGAGCGGCCGATCATACTAGGACGTACACGTAAATCTGCTATGTAATTCCGAGGAACATATAGCTTTGACTCGCTCAATCGGAGCTCAGGTCTGTAGGATATGTGGTTTCTCTCATGGAAACAGATTAAGCTTGGTCATTGTCCCCGTGTGTTTGCACGGCATGCAGGCGGAACTGGTACAGTACTGTATGGCCTCAGTCCTACGGGCTGAACTATATGAAACAATCGAATCTTCTAAAACGATGAATTTCTTTTTTAGGTAGAACTCATTACGGTGGACCAAGTCGCGTTTCATCATACAAATCCATAGCCCCTGAAGATCATCTACCGCGAAAGGGCAATATCATCAATCCTCATGATCATCTTCACAGTCTCCGCCGCCAACTCAATAGCGCTAGTGCTGACCAGCAGCGGCTGGAGAATGTTTTCTTCAGTGATGTCATCTTTCACGCCCCCACTGCGGATGCTGACACCAGCATTGTGTTGGCCATGTGCGTGACGGTGTCGAAGATCAGTCACAACCTTGATCGAGTTTAACCCGGCGTTCTCCGCGAGCGTGGTGGGGATGACCTCCATAGCATCGGCAAAGGCCTTCCAGCAAATGGACTCAGTGCCTGTGAGCTCGCGGGCTCTCATGGCGAGGGTGTGGGCGACCTCGACTTCTGGCGCGCCGCCTCCAGCAATCATCGCGCGCTTCTTGACGAGACAGCGGATGACACAGAGGGCGTCGTGAAGGGAGCGCTCAGCCTCGTCCAGGATCAGGCTGTTGGCTCCGCGGGCAACGATCGACACGGTTTGGTTGGTTGGGCCGGTGGTGGGCTGCTTGATACCGGTAATCTTGACGTAGCGGGCTCCGGAGGCCTGGACTTCCTCGACCAGGTCGGCGGTGCCGAGCTTGTCCTCGGTGAAGGAGTCGACGTTAGCGACGGGCTTGCAACCGAGAGACTTGCACAGGAATTCAACTTCGTCGCGCTCAATCTCCTTGATGGCGAGGATCTTCAGGCGGGAGAGGAAGTGGAGGGAAAGCTCGTTGACGGCGTCACGGAGGATGGACTTCTGGATCAAAAGCACATTACACTTTGTCTTTTGGATCTTCTTGACCATGTTCAGCAGGTATTGGCGCTCCTCCTTCAGAATCTTGTCCATCTGGCGGTAGTCGTTGACTACGATTTGGTTTTCCATCTAGATTTCTGTTAGCTATCAATCCAAGATAAAGGAGGATTCCGATACTTAGAAAGTCGTACATCAGGCTTGGGTGGGCTCAGCTGGAACTGAATGAGACCTATCCGGGCTTTCTCGATTCTTGTAGGGCCACCACTGCTCTTGATAACTGGCTGGTTAAGCACCAGACCATCAACCATCTCACTGTCCTCAATGGTCCCGCCAACCTTCTTCACGATTCGAATATTGCGCAGGTCGACATTGCTTGCAGTGGCAGGATCCACAACCTTCAACACAGAATCGACAGCCATAGGTCCGAGCAGACCAGAGTGCTGGGAAACAATCTTGGAGGAAAGAGAGGTCGATGCAGCTTGGAGGAGGGTAGATCGGTCGTTCAAGTTGATCGGACGGGACATATTGTGGAGGATCTCGACAGCAGCGGCCGCGGCGCGTTGGAAAGACTCGGAGATGACTGTGGGGTGAAGACCCTTGGCCAGCAGTCGCTCAGCAGCCCCGAGCAGGCTACCGGCGATCACAACGACCGAAGTAGTTCCATCACCGGCCTCAACATCCTGTGCAGCACTCAGATCGACCAACATGCGCGCAGCGGGGTGCATCACGCTCATATCCTTCAGCATAGTGTTTCCATCGTTGGTCTGCGGGGAATTAGTGATTGTCCATCATTTTGGGCGGCGGATTGCGTACGATAATAGTCTGTCCCTTGGGGGGTTTGGATCTATATCCTAATTAGTATCATATATTGAACAACAGTGACTGGATGTTGAACGAACCATCTTATCCATACCCCTGGGTCCCAACGACTGTCATCAAGTTAGCCCCTCATCTCCGGATGAATGTTTTTATTCTTTTTGGCTGGAATCATACTGTTCGAATGGCATCGGCAACAGCTGGAGGATGCAATTAGTATACAGGATGCTAGTTTGAGAGGAAGAAAACGGCATACCTCGAGCGGCGAGAATGTTGGAGGCCCGCACGGCCATCGGCTTCTCCTTGTCCTGCTTTGCTATCAGAAATCCACACACAAACGCATGACACATCAGGAAATCGCACCTTGAAGGAGTTGTTGCCAGCAGCTGGGGAAGCCGCTGCGGTCGCCATTTTGAATATCGGTATTCAAAAACAAGCGATCTAATAAAATATTAAGGGGAAGTGGGACAAGCGGCGGCGGAGTTGAACACACAGAAATTCTGCGAGGTTCTGAGGCGGTGATGAAGCTTGGCACTGATTAGTGAGTTGAGCTCGGCCTACCGCAGCTCTGCTACCGCTACATCATCAACCTCGTTGCCTCTACCATCACCACATCTCTTCAATTTCCGCTGTTCTAGCAGTCGTAGACCTCGGGATTTTGCCTCTTGTCTCGGTCTTGAATTCGCCTGCCCTTCGACTTGATTTTCCAGCTCTCCAGCCCTAGGCTGTCAACACTTGCATCATGCCTAGCGCCACGGGTTCGAACTGGGAGAAATACCAGAAGAACTACGCGGATGACGAAGAGCCAGAGAAGAAAATTGCGCCTCTCACAGATGAGTAAGTGACGGTGATGATTTGTCGCGGAGGAGCTCCGTTGGCCTCCTGTTAGCGATGACCCGCTGACTTCGGACCGCAGTGATATTGCAGTACTCAAGACCTACGGCGCTGCTCCGTACGCGAACGCGTTGAGGAAGCTCGAGAAAGACATCAAAGACAAGCAAGCAAGCGTGAATGAAAAGATCGGCGTCAAGGTGATTACCGATCCAGTTATCTGCGGCTTTGGGCCCGAAAAGCTGACACGGTTTAGGAATCCGACACCGGTCTTGCACCTCCACACCTTTGGGATGTTGCCGCTGATCGACAACGCATGGCCGAAGAGCAACCGCTGCAAGTTGCTCGATGCACAAAGATTATTCAGGATGAAAAGGACGCGGACAAGGGCAAATATGTCATCAACGTGAAACAGATCGCCAAGTTCGTTGTCAACCTAGGCGAACGCGTGAGCCCGACAGATATCGAGGAAGGCATGCGAGTCGGGTAAGTTTGATTGTTACTTGTGCATCTAGGGGCCCCCCAGATGCTAATCTATATTACCTAGTGTCGACCGCAATAAGTACCAGATTATGCTACCTCTTCCTCCGAAGATCGACCCCAGCGTGACGATGATGACTGTCGAAGATAAGCCCGACGTGACCTACGGCGATGTGGGAGGCTGCAAGGAACAGATTGAGAAGCTCCGTGAGGTCGTGGAAATGCCGCTCCTTTCACCAGAACGATTCGTAAACCTAGGTATCGACCCACCCAAGGGTGCCCTGCTCTACGGACCTCCCGGTACCGGTAAGACTCTCTGCGCACGTGCAGTAGCAAACCGAACCGATGCAACCTTCATCCGAGTCATTGGATCCGAATTGGTGCAGAAGTACGTGGGAGAGGGTGCACGAATGGTGCGTGAACTATTCGAAATGGCGCGAACCAAGAAGGCATGTATCATTTTCTTCGACGAAATTGATGCCGTTGGTGGAGCTCGTTTCGACGATGGTGCTGGTGGCGATAACGAAGTTCAGCGAACCATGCTGGAGCTGATCACCCAGCTTGACGGTTTTGACGCTCGTGGTAACATCAAGGTCATGTTCGCCACTAACCGGCCATCCACCCTCGACCCTGCACTCATGCGTCCGGGTCGTATTGACCGAAAGATCGAATTCTCACTGCCCGATGTGGAGGGCCGTGCCAACATTTTGCGTATCCACGCCAAGAGTATGTCCGTTGAGCGGGACATTCGTTGGGAGCTGATTTCACGACTGTGCCCCAACGCGACCGGTGCGGAACTGCGCAGTGTTGCGACCGAGGCTGGTATGTTTGCCATCCGTGCTCGACGGAAGGTGGCCACCGAGAAGGACTTCTTGGCCTCAGTGGAGAAGGTCATTAAGGGCAACTTGAAGTTCAACTCGACAGCGACGTACATGCAGTACAACTAGATTACTGGGCTGATTCTCGCATGGGCGTGGTGCATAAGGTTGTACGATCATCTTTTATCATTTTGGGGGGCTCGTGCCTTATACCGTGGACGAATCTATAATCTACAATCAATTGACCTGTAGCGAATATCTGCCCCCTTGAAATTAGGCGCGTAGGGTCATGGTAGTTTCCCTCTGCCATTTATAGCATTAATAATAGTGTATCTTCGACGGGCCTCGCAACACGATTCCTACTTCATATCTCCACGAATGCTGTCCACCTGTTCATGAGAGGAGTTATCTTGTAGTGAGGACCTTGTGGCCTTAGTCTAAACCACCGGGAAATCCGGTATTGGAGACTCCGCATAAACACTGCTTGCCTTGCGAAGACCGATAGAACTCAGTCTCGCAGTCTATATCAAGATCCCCATTCGATGCAAGGTCTTAGTTAGGTTCGTTGGGTTTCATACGAAGAGAAAACAGGAACCACGGGAGTTTGTTCTCTCTACTAATGCCCATCTCCCACCCCCCAAATCCTTTTGCGAGCCTATTAAGCCAGAGGCATGTTTAATACCAAATATAATTTTCAGACGCCATAGAACCCTATAGACGCAAAATCCTTCTACTCAAGATGCCTCTGCAGTCGTCTGTTGCCGCCAACCAGGAAACACAGTTATTTCTCAGTCCACGTCTCTGGAAGAGTCCAGCCTGGTTTCGGGGATTCTCTGAAGCTGAGCGATACACGTTTGGTATATACAACCTGACGAAAAGTTGCGTAAATTGTACTCTTATTGGAATTCCCGAAAGGGCAAAGAGTTTGGATGAAGATCATGAAGATCTGAAGAGCTGAATCCTGGTTTTTTATCAAGCAAGTGGTTCGGAATAGCTTGTCGGCTTCCCTTCCGGTCATCAGGAATGATGCTAAACGTTCTTCTGTAATATCGAAAGTTTTGCGTGTTACATCACAGGTCAATTCAAGGTATGCAAAGGAGAGTCAAGGCCAATAAAGTCTGCTGTAGTATGATCTTTATTTGCATTCTCTGGAAAACAAAACAAAACAGAACAAAAAAAAAAATAAAGAAAATAAAAAATAAAAAAATAAAAAAAAATAGAACAGCAGTCGTTCCCTTGAACGCGAAAGCTCATGAATAAAATCCTGGGAAACAGTCGCCAAATATTCGCTCTATTGGCCATCGATATATCCATGGATTGGTACCGTGATGTATTTTCTGACAACGGAATGCTTGGAGTAGCCTCGAAAAAATTTATCAATATTGCAGGCCAGGACAACCAAGTAATTCGAAGAAAAGACATTAAAGCTTGAGGATTCTAGTCCCTATGGCAAAGTGATTTCAAGGTGAAGACAAAATTAGACAATTTGTCAACGTAAAGCAGACCTTTTCAAGTTCTGGAGTACTCTGTAGATCAAGCGGAATAACGGAGAACCCTATTGCCGAGACGATGGAAAGAGTACATCGCCGAGAAGCGACGAAACTACCGCCACCAGTCGGGGCGCGGCCATTCGCGGCATTTTGAAGACGCTATTCCTTCTAAGACCGCAAATTGCGAACTGTGTAGTTACGTGCAAGAGTCGACCAGCAGTCATATTTCCGCATGTTTCTCTGTCAAATGTTAATGTCACGTGGAGCGGCAGCCCGAGCTCACACCCTCGGCACGAAAATGAACAGGGCCGGCGGACCAATCAGAGTGCGTCCAATAGTAACAGAGGCTGCTTAGCTCAGCAATCTCTCATCTGCAAGCCGAAATCCGTCGCCGAAGTGGCCCTGATGCTGAACAGGAAGTTCTCCCTTCTTGACCTCCCCACTCCTTGCCCAATTTCACCGTCTGCCGGTGTCTTTTTGTTTTTAGGGTATCTAGGGATTCTTCTCTCTTCCGACCCGTCATCATGAGCTCTTTGAGCTTGCGGAGCCTGGCTCCCGCCTCCAAGGTCAGTAACCGACGTGCAAATGATTTCCGGTCCGGCTGCGCGCGGTCTGTGAACTGATATGGAATGAGCAGGTTTCCCGCATCTTGAGGGACCAGAGACGCATGTTCTCTTCCTCCCGTCCTGCTGGTACGCATTCAGATCTCTCGAACCGATACGTCGTCCCCCCATCACTAACCGTTTCGCCCAATTAGCCCGGATATGGACCAACCAGCCGCTGCGCGCAAAGGCTGCCGAGGGCTACATTTCTGAGAAGTACCCGATCATTGTAAGCAGAGGAACACCTATCACTTGAGAGGAAGTGATAAAGACGGGATTCTGACCCTGTTTGTGCAGGACCATGAGTACGATGCCGTCGTCGTTGGTGCCGGCGGTGCCGGTCTGCGTGCGGCCTTCGGTCTCGCCGAAGCTGGTTTCAACACTGCCTGTGTTTCTAAGCTTTTCCCTACTCGCTCTCACACTGTCGCTGCTCAGGGTGGTATCAACGCTGCTCTCGGAAAGTAGGTTCATATTGGCAGTTTGATATACTAGTGATAATGTACTAACCGAGGTAACAGCATGCACGAGGACGACTGGAGATGGCACATGTACGACACTGTGAAGGGTTCAGACTGGCTTGGAGACCAGGATGCTATCCACTACATGACCCGTGAGGCTCCTGCTAGTGTTCGCGAACTTGAGGGTTACGGGTGCCCTTCTCCCGTACCGAAGATGGACGTATCTACCAGCGTGCTTTCGGTGGTCAGTCCAAGGAGTACGGTAAGGGAGGCCAGGCCTACCGATGCTGCGCTGCTGCTGATCGTACCGGTCACGCTTTGCTGCACACTCTGTACGGCCAGTCTCTGCGCCACAACGCCAACTACTTCATCGAGTACTTTGCCCTCGATCTGCTGATGGAGGATGGCGAGTGCCGCGGTATCATTGCCTACAACCAGGAGGACGGTACACTGCACCGTTTCAAGGCCCACCACACTGTTCTGGCCACCGGTGGTTACGGACGTGCCTACTTCAGTTGTACCTCCGCCCACACCTGTACCGGTGACGGTATGGCCATGGTTGCCCGTGCTGGTCTGCCCAACCAAGATCTGGAGTTCGTCCAGTTCCACCCCACTGGTATCTACGGTGCTGGATGTCTGATTACCGAGGGTTCTCGTGGTGAGGGTGGTTACCTCCTCAACTCCGAGGGTGAGCGTTTCATGGAGCGTTACGCCCCTACCGCCAAGGATCTGGCTTCGCGTGACGTTGTCTCCCGTTCGATGACCCTTGAGATTCGTGAGGGCCGTGGTGTCGGTCCCGAGAAGGACCATATCTACCTCCAGCTGAGCCACTTGCCCGCCGAGCTGCTCCACGAGCGTCTGCCTGGTATCTCCGAGACCGCCTCCATTTTCGCCGGTGTCGACGTTACTAAGCAGCCCATCCCCGTCCTGCCCACCGTCCACTACAACATGGGTGGTATCCCTACCAAGTACACCGGTGAGGTCCTGAGTGTTGACGAGAACGGCAAGGACAAGGTGGTTCCCGGTCTGTACGCCTGTGGTGAGGCCGCTTGTGTCTCCGTCCACGGTGCCAACCGTCTGGGAGCCAATTCCCTGCTCGATCTGATTGTCTTCGGCCGTGCCGTGTCGCACCGTGTCCGTGACATTGCCTCCCCGGCAAGCCCCACAAGGAGCTTGCTTCCGACGCCGGTGCCCAGGCCATCAAGGACCTTGATTTCGCCCGTAACGCTGATGGCCCCAAGTCCACCTTCGAGATCCGTAACGCCATGCAGAAGGCCATGCAGACTGACGTCAGTGTGTTCCGTACCCAAGAGTCCCTTGACGAGGGTGTGCGCCGCGTGAACGAGATCGACACCTGGTACGAACAGGTCGGCACCAAGGACCGCAGCATGATCTGGAACTCCGACCTTGTTGAGACGCTTGAGCTCCGTAACTTGCTGACTTGCGCGTAAGTTTCGACCGCCTTCTCCCCGCGAAAGACGTCCATTGCTAATTCAAACATCTAGTACCCAAACCGCTACTGCCGCCGCCAACCGTAAGGAGTCCCGTGGTGCCCACGCCCGTGAGGACTTCCCCGAGCGTGACGACGCCAACTGGATGAAGCACACCCTGACCTGGCAGAAGAAGGCGCACGGCAAGGTTGACCTTGGTTACCGAGCCGTCGAGGCCAACACTCTGGATGAGGCTGAGTGCAAGCCAGTGCCCCCATTCAAGCGTACCTACTAAGCTTGTTTCCCTTTGGAGTTGGGGGAGCGACGATTGGGCTTTTGGACCCAAAGAACTGGAGTCCCTTGGATTGAGGGTTTCAGGATATCCTTTTGGTCGTCTCTCCTGAAAAATGCTAATGTGGTGTCGCGGACTCTATGAGGACCCTACGAAAAGAGCCTTTTGTTTTCCCTTTTGATTTTGATTGTGTTATCTACCATCCTGTATAGCCATATTTCCCTTTTTTTTTTTTAAACTACAGGCGAACAGTCGGTGCACTGAGTTTCCCCTCGGTTTGTCTGATATAAATGCAATTTTTCCTGATGAGTACTTCTGGATAGAACAAGCTCTCGTAGAGTATCATAGATCTCTAGCGGTTGACTTCTGCGAATGGCCCGGCAGGTATAGCTCAGGAAAGGTAGTTGTCATCTAGGTTATTCAAACATAATTGTATCTGTGTTCCTTGTTTTTGTGGTTGGTGACAGGTTAGAGCAGATGAAAGTCAAATGCTCTTCGGGGCTGTACTGATGGTAGGGGGAATGTTCCTTCATTGTCTATCAAACTCGTAACGCTAGTCCTTTTTCTTCGTCATATAAACCGTAGATGGTGTCCAGATGTCTCTCTACAGGAGCTTCTTCAGGACTGCAGTCTGCTCCAGAACAGCCCGCTTGCTAGTACCACCGATAGCATCCTTCAGCTCGACAGCACGCTCATAGTCCAGGCAAGCCTGGACATCCTCGTCAAAACGGGGATCAACCCCCTTCAACTGCTCCAGCGAGAGAGTATCCATAGGCACATTAGTCTGCTCAGCGAGCTGGACGACACGGCCCGAGATATGGTGGCCCTCACGGAAGGGCACACCCTTGCGAACCAGATAGTCCGCGATCTCAGTCGCCAGCATCTCCGGCGCAAGAGCCGCAGTCATCTTCTCCGGGATAACCGTCAGAGTAGACAGCACGCCAGTAGCAATCTGGATACTGTCGCTAACAGTCTTAATATGGTCGAGCAAAGGCTCGATACTCTCCTGCAGGTCCTTGTTGTAAGTCGTCGGCAGACCCTTAATCGTCATCATCAGACCCGCCATTTGCCCAAACGCACGGCCAGACTTGCCCCGCAGAAGCTCCAGACTATCCGCATTCTTCTTCTGCGGCATCAGCGACGACCCGGTCGAGTACGCGTCCGAGAGCCGCACAAACCCGAACTCCAGACTGCTGTAGATGATCAGGTCCTCCGCCCACCGCGAGATCTTCAGCATAAACGAGCTGCCCCACTGCATGGTCTCCATGGCGAAATCGCGGTCGCCGACGGCGTTCAACGAGTTGTATAGCAGATCGTCGAAGCCGAGCTCCTTCGCCATCGCGTGCCGGTCGATCTGGAATGGATTCCCTGCCAGCGCACCGCAGCCCAGCGGACTACGGTTAACGCGACGGATGACCTCGCGCAGCCGCTGCAGCTCGCTCGCGAAGGCGGTCGCGTGCGACAGCATCCAGTGCGACCAGCGGACGGGCTGGGCCTTCTGCAGGTGGGTGTAGCCGGGCATGAGATACTCGATTTCGCTCTCGGCGCGGGCAATGGAGACCTTGATCAGGTCCGAGAGGCGGGCGTCGAGGAGGCGGAGCTCGTCGCGGAGCCACAGGCGCATGTCGGTAGCGACCTGCTCGTTGCGCGAACGGCCGGTGTGCAGCTTGCCGCCGATCTCCTTGCCGATGATCTCGCCCAGGCGGCGCTCGTTAGCGGTGTGGATGTCCTCGTCGTTCTCCTTGGCCTCGAAGGAGCCGGTGCGCCATTCTTCGGCGATCTGTTGGAAGCCGCGCTCGATTTCGGCGAACTCGTGCTCGGTTAGGATGCCATTGTTCTTGTTGGCGCGGGCGAAGGCAATGGAGCCCGCAATGTCTTGCTTCCAGAGAATGCGGTCGTAGGGGAGGGAGGTGTTGTATTGCACCATGAGGGGGTCGAGGCCCTCTGATCATTTCAAAAGATATGAGTCACTTGGGTGTGGAGGGAGGGGGATTGCGGGGGGGGGGAAGGAGAGACTCACGGGTGAAACGGCCACCCCAGAGCATGTTCTCGGCGACGCCTTTGGAATTGCTCATGTTGTCGAAGAAGTGAAAGGCTTTCTGGGTATAATTGATGGACTCAATGAAAGCGAGGAAAGCACAAAAAAAGAAATTGGCGCTGACCGATAGTCGCCCGATGATCGGCACGCTAATCCAGTTTGGGAGCTGGTGGGGAGCTCTTGGACGTATACACGCTGTTATTTGGATCCCTTCTACTCTTGCAAATGCTACACTCTTGATGGCATTGAATAGTGCTGTATATTCATTCTTTAAAATCTGCATAATCTATACTCCGAGTCTCCAAAGCTCCCATGACTAATCCTTATCCCATTAACTAACCTTGGAACCTTCGGAAAACCTAGCAGAACACGCTGCACTACCAATTAAGGGACGCAAGGCTAGAGGAGAGGGAATAAAAACTATAAATATAAGGGACTAGAAACTCAATAAGCATTTCTAGACATGGAGTTATACCACCTGGGGCTTATTCAGAGTGCTCTCCCACCCACCTTTGACGCATTTTATGTTGCTCTTACTCCACCTCTCTTCTTCCCACCTCTCTGCTACGTTCGGATTTATATTCTTTCCAGATTGCCTGGTCTTCCTTGTTTCAAGATAAAGTCGTTCCAGGTTTGAATCCGCCATCAGAGTCAGTATTTGCGACACCATTGCACGGCCTCACAGGTTCAAACATGTGATCTGCGGACAAGCATATGGTGGACTCGGCCAGATAAACACGACAAAATTGGACGTGTTCGGACGGTTAATACAGTTTGACCAAGAAAACACGCGGGACTTCTGATCGCCAATATGATTCGCCCTTGAGACCTAAAAACATCACCTTACAGCTAGATGGGAGTCTTTGCTACGTATAGTACTCGATTATCTTATCAGCATCGAGTCGAAGATATATTGCAGAGCCTACTTCACACTTTCCCTCTATCCCTATTACCAATAACAAATCCCACATTCACTTGATGATATTACTCTCACATGAGGCATATTGGGTCCGCAAATTAGTGAACATGGAAGACAATCAGGAGGCAACAGAGCAGTAAGTGGCGCAGAAGTATGGGTGCGACAGACTCCAGTTGTCCAAGAGGGAGACATAAGGGGAGCCAGCAGACACCCCAGCTTCTTCAACGACAGCGAAGACGGTTCCCAGGAAGCCAAAGAAGGGAAAGTCCCCCATGGCGAAGTTGAACACAGTCATCAGTGAATCCACCTTCTTCGAACGCCCTTTGGCAGAAATGATTGACCCGATAGCCGTGGACGTGGCTTACAAGAGGATGCCTTCTAGTTACAACAGACTTGAGGGAACCCTTTTTTCCAACGGATATGCCATATTTCCCTTCATTGATCAATCTTTGTTCCCTACAACAGGAATAGGAATCTATCAAATGGAGGTAGAATTCTGAGATTTTCCCGATATTCTTGGGTTTCCACTATCCCATCTGAAGTCTGTCCTGGCTGTACTCAGTTTGACATTGCTAGTCAGTTGTTTGCAGATGGCCTGCCAGCTGTCAAGAGTCTTGCAGTTGAAGTTAGCTCCTACAACAAAAACATTTTGCCTTTCCCCCTCATTTTCCTTACTCTTTACAAAACTTGAAGCCTTGGAATCGAGCTACGACGAACGTGAAGCAACGCACAACGGTGGACTGGAAACAGGGCAAATGTCATCTGGAAAGCCGCCTCATGAAACTTAGCATTATCAAACCTAGGAGAAAGAAAATGGAAGCCCGTACAGCTCAGGTTGAAGAAGGAATTCTGCTGGAAAGTCGCTTGATAATGGACTTGAACTTACAGCATACCTTCAGTCCAGAACGTAGGCCGAAGTATTGGACTTCATAATATTGCCAGAAACACAATATACCTGGCATGCGAAAATCCGGTTTGGTAAGGATGAGATCTTGTGTATCATGTCTATATTGAAGTTCGATGTTGGCTAGCGTTGAACAGTCCAAAGCACCCGATGATGAACATGTCGCAGTCACGCGCACTTTATTTCAATTTGCATGCAACCTGTCATATGTAACCAAGCTCGAGGACAAGGTTACGAAGTACCAGCCGGTGGCTCACAGGACGTACTTCTGCAGTCCCATACAACCATCCAGGGGTTTAAGCAGGCCTGGACATTTTGTACTTTGGTGTCACTCGTACTTTGATGCCACTAGTGACGTTGATCTGTCGGTGGGTCTTTCGGAAGCTCATAATTGCTACCATATCCTTGAATCACGAAAGCCCGGGTCCTGGGTGGATAGCCAAATCCTCCTGCGAACGGGACCTACAGGCCCCTGTGAGAGACTATCAAGTGGTTCCTAGTGCATCTCCAAACTCTACTGGTAAAATCGCATTATCGAACAGAAAGCACGTATGGTAGCACCGGCCAGGCTGTGCTGTGGAACCGTGTATATCCCCTGGGTCAAAGCTGATGAATTGTCGAAAATAGACCGTCGGTAATCATAAAACAACCTTCTGCAGGACAGAGCCCGATTTGCCGATAACCAGTTCAATAATCTGCCCTCTACCCCTGATCCTCGCGGAGTGCAGAACATTCTGGCGATCATGCTGAGCCCCGGCACGTCATCAAGGCACCAAAGCCCCTGGTAGGAGGTGCCATCCAATATTGCGGCAAAGGTGGTATACGGCAAGCCCGCCAAGCCAAGGCCATAGTGGAGGTCCCCAGCTTGAAAAAGAAAAGAAGACACAAAAGTACACGATCATGCAGCGTGAATCATGATCTTCCCCAACCCCCAAGGTACCAGGTCGCCGGGTCGCTCCGCTGAGCAAACTGAAAAAGAAAAGAGAAGAGGGGACAAAAGAAAGACAAAGATAAAAGAAACAGACTATTCAGCTGCAGGCCTTGATAAAGTCCTTATCTCCCCCATGTGGGGGGGCTTTTGGGTTCTGAATTTGGAATTAGGAAACTTAATCCTCTTCGTCTTCCCCCCCCCTTCTCCCGGGAGAACAAAGCCAGATCCCCAACTCCGATTCAGCCCAACGTCAGCCATACCCCTGTTAGCCATGTGGTCCCATCCCGGCCTGAGATCATATCACTGAAATTATTGCCCAAGCTCAGAGTGTCCCCATGGAACATGGGACGGGGCTCGAGGGATCGGCGCGCGGTCCGCTCGGCCCCGTACCCGGCACCCAGCGAGATGGGATAACTTGATCACTTCTTTTCTTTTTCTGCCTGTCACGTTCCATATACCAAAAGTCCAGGGTTGCAAGGAGTAGGCGCCGCTCTATGCGGACCAGGGGGTGTCCTTTATCGACCTCTGGTCTCGGCCGCGAACATGATCAGACCACCCCGCTGCAGTTGATTGCGTCAAGTGCTCACCGTGTGGAATCTAAGTTCGGACTAAAACCTGGACGTCATTGATCTCTTGCTGTTTACGGGCGTAGTGCTCGCTTGTACGGCCGAAGGGGGCCACTGCGAGTCATTGCTACAGCGCTAGCGCCACACTAATACGGTTGGGCTCGGGTACCTGGCCTAAGGAACGTTGAGTTTCTAAAATTACCGGTGGGGGCTAAGAATTCCCGGGTAAATGCTGGCTCTTCTCTGACTTCGAGGGTGAGGACTCAGAAGGGGCAGAAGGCAAAAGGAGAGATTTAATCAGGACTGCATGTAGGGAGGACTACTAAGAAAGTGAGGAAAAGTGGGTTTTGTGTATGTGAAGAGACTTGAATTGGTGGATGGGGAGTCTCAGCCCCCGCTATGTACGGTTCCGATAGTCCATGCTTAGTTTGCAGGCATGGCTAGTTCCTTGCTCCAATGCTAAACCCAAAACGCCATGCTAATCCAATCGCTTGATAAAGATCCGTAGAGTCCGAAAGATATGGGTATGATAAGAAGCGTGTGACAAAGGGAAAAAAAAATGCAAGATATGTCAGATCACCCAGAGGGCTGGACGCTGTCGTCCATGAGGTCGTCAAAATGCCGAGTAAAGGGATATGGAGTCGAAAGGCAGAAAAAAAAATGTGGTTGCAATGTCGTGACGCAGGTTGAAATAGAAATAAGAACTGCTTATGCAGAGCCCCGGCGGTTTTTGAAATCCTCCCGAGAGAGGAGCCGCCGGATCTTGGAGACCAATCGAGTTGATCGGCACTCTAGAGAAAAAAAAAGATGTTAGAAACATGCCAATACAACTACCATTCATAGGGTGATTCTGAGTCTTACCAGTGCCTCGTCGAACCAAGTACGGAGATTGAGGTTCATTCAGCGGGTGGGTGGTATAGGCTGCGGCAAAGTAGCCGGTGTTGCTGTACCCAGTAAAGGCACAGCCGGACGTGTCGTATTGTTGCTGCATGGCTGTAACGTGCGGGTATAGATTTGCCAAGGGGGAAAGAAGTTCTTCAGGTGGTGGAGGAGAACGTGGAGAACGTGGACTTCCCGGACCGTCACGAGTCTGTTGAAGGTTAGCGAAGGGCCCGGACGAGGCCGTAATAGTAGGCCGTAGTCGTGGGACATACATAGAATTGGTAGTTGCTCTTGTATGTCATGACGGAAAAACTGAGCCACGAAACAGGCCCAAAGATGTCTAGTCTGAGAATGCAAAGCTGCAGAAGGATGGTGGCCCTGGTTATATGTTGGGGATGTTGAGAAGTACGGCTGAGTTAAACCGGGACCCTCATTACATCTACAGGCGGGGAAGAATTCCACGTTTAATCTTGGGTGACGAAGTTGGCATAGCGTACCGATATCATTGCCAAGTTCTTGGAGATTTCAGACGGTGAGCAGAGACGGGGGCCGATCATTGGACCAGATGCAGCGCTCGGGCGGATAAGCGTCCATAGGATCCGATCGCTCGGGGTGTCCGAGCAGTCGCCCATCCGAACCAGGTTATGCCTGCACTGGATTTGTCTTCCAAATCAAAATAGTCTTTTTTTTTTTTTTTTTTCCTCGGTCTGCTATTGGTTCCCATCCCTACAACATTCCTAATGAAGGCTACCACTTCATGTCAGTCGCTTGTTCTTTTTTTGAATTTTTGAATTTTTGGCTTTGCCTTGCCCCTTGCATATGGAACTTGCGTTGTCCACGTTTGAGTAACTCAGGTACAGATAGACACGATGCGTGATTGCAAGCTAGATCTCCTCGGACCCCGAAGGCCTCCCTTCCCTTAGAAGGCAATCAAGTAATCGTCTGCCCCGAACAGGACCGAGGCAACTGTCAGCATCGACTAAGCATTCCTTGACTAGGGCTAGGGGACTACATGGGATCGAAGCAGATCGTCGATCGTCGATCGTCCGAACTTGACCGGGGAAGATATGATCCTGCATCAGGATTGTGTATTGGAAGTCTGGTGCAGACCCTATGTCATCGTCAAAGAGTTTCCAAGGTTCAGGCCACCAGCAACTATCGAGGTGGGGGTTATTGACGGAAATATCACACAGGGCAAGTGAAAAGGTTGCCTTCTCCACCCCAGGCCAGCCAAGACAAAACAGGATGTGGCAGACGTTCACGCGAGATGAGGATCATCTCCGCTCTGGGAAATCTTCCAAATCATTCCCGAATTCCAAGCGATAGTTGGGTGGACAGACGCCAGACTATTGACGCGCTAGCCCTGTCTGCGGGCCCATAAGAGGGGGCGCGCTCATTGGCTGAAGGGACGTCTCCGCGGACGATAAAGAGAGGATCTGGCCCACGACGACACAGCCACATGTGTCTGTCCTGTTTGGGATAAGCGCACGAGCCACAATCGGGGAGTCCGTGGCTAGTGAGGGCCCTGTGGGGCTGGCGAACCTCGGTCGAGGGGTAAGGTGTGGCTTGAGCTTTTTGTTGTGGCTTGACGTCCTTCGTACTCCTCCGATTATGCCGTCAAAGCCGAACTAGTCCGCCCTTGATCTTCAAAATGTGATCAAATTTGAGCTCCCTCACCGGTCCCTTGGGACTATGGTTTCGGACTCTCCGCTAGTGAGCCACGAGCTATAAGGATCCCCTACTTCCCCAGTCCGGTCATCCAAAGTTCTTCTCCAACTCCCAAAACAAAAGAAAAAACTTCCAAGTCTTTTCTTTAGCTTTGCCCTTAGCTTCTACAATTCATATGCCAGCCGAAAACAATGTCCATCAGCATGCAGGGCTCCGGAAGAGAGTGTGGGAAAACTCTCCTCGTATGGCGCATCTTTGCGTTCGCGAGCATCCCGCTCAAAGTAGGTGGCTCCCTTGTTTGTTTCTGAGACCCATGGAAGTTCCGAGATGTATCGTGTGTTCTTTTGATTCTGAGACATTATCCCCCAATTCAGGACCCATCGAACGAGATGCTGAAAGTGCCTCCGACAGGCATGCCCAATCATCCTCCAATGAGGAAATGAACTATGCTGAAGCACGGCCAACTTTGCAAGATGGCGAATTTGGCCGTGTCGATCCCACTGGCTGGTATCCATACTACAAGGTCTGCATGAAGCATTTCCTGGAAGTCGGCCAGTATAATCCTACCGTTCAATCTTTGGCTTCCTTTTTGAACATCCGTCTGCCATTCCAAAACCCATTGGGAAATGGTACAACCACATCGGACGCCGCTCCATATGTTTCTTTGCGGCTATATGTTCGGCGTCTTATTGTGACCGCCCAAGACTCGCCCACGACCATGCAAGCGTTTTTTGGTGACGACTGGGAAGCCGGCGTTGGGTGTATCTACAAGCAAGAACGCTCGAACTACCTCTTCACAGCCAAAAGTGGTGGTTGGGCATCGACGAAGGCTGCGTACGACATTCTGCCCGATGAGCAGGTGCCATTCTTACGCCCCCTTCGTGAGCCATCCGAGGAGGAAATTCGCATTGCCGAAGCACGGTGGAGCGAATGGCTCGCCATGGAGGACTGGATGGTTGGGGCCCGCAGCCCGTGGTAAAGGGGTAGGGAAAGCAGCGAAAACAATGGGTTTTCCCTGAGTAACGAAGACATGACTATTGTTTTTTGACGCCTCGTGTTTCTACTTTTTTTTTTTTTTTTTTTTCTGTTTTTTTTTTTTACCCGCTCTTTTTTTTTTTTTGTGAGCCACGGTCTATGACGCTCTTTTCCTTTCAACTGCCTTCTCTTCATTCATTGGTGCCCACGAGGGCCAGCAAAAGTTCCGAGGGGCTCGTGTTCAGGGGTTGATTTTCTCCGGCGTTGCAGATAGCAGTTAGTGCGGTCCTTTGTTTAGGCGTTCATAGTGCATGCCCAACATCTTTCTACCTATCATGTTCTTCTTATTTCCGGCTAGAGCCGGTTGGCACCGTTGAGCTCCTAGTGATCGCCCTTTAGCTCGCGCATCACCGCCCAAGTGACAGGTGATCGCCTTGCGGGGCCCCTGTCAGACCCAGACTCAATAGTGCCGCACCGCCACAGGCACAGACACTTAAAACACTGACAAATACTCCGAAGCAGGGAAAGATGGGCAATTATTAGCTGCCAATTTAGTGTTGCCTGAGCGTACCTGACCTGGCGCTGCTGAGCTGACACTATCTCGGGCCTAGCGCCGACTCTTCAGATCCACATCCCGCCCACAATGATATTGTGGCATGGAAAGGCATGTCATACCTGTCATCCTCGTCATTTAATCGCTTCGTTTTCGGTAGTCCCGAGCCTCCTAGTCTAGTATTCGTCAGCACTCGCCCTGTTTCAGGAGAACGGTCCAGGCAGATTCAAGCTGCCCGCCCCATCTTCGTATCCAGGTACCCGGGTTGGAAAAAAAAGAAAAGAAAAGAATAAGAAAACTCCGGAAGAGAAACAGAACCCAAACCATGGATCTAGAATCTGCACCTCGCATCTACGAGCACGATGCGTCGATCCTCGCCGATCTCGCGACGGAGTTACCTCTCTCCATCACTCTTCTACGCCGCATCCAACACGGCCTCGCCTACCCATCCCCAACCGCTAAAATCCTCTCCACCTTTCCCCCCGGCGCCCCAGCCCCAAGCACCCCGTGGCTGGCTGCGCGGGTGGATCTCTTTCGCGGCCGCGAAACCCAGATCGTCCTCTACTCCAGTCTAGAAAACAGCCACTCGAAAATTCAGCCCGTCAGCCCTAGTAGCAGTCCGAAGCCCGCCGGTCCCAGCACCAGCGCCTCGGGTCCGGCTCCTCATCACCATGATTACCTCGTCGCCACCCTGGACGTGCCTCAGTCCACAAAGGACCTAGCCCGCGACCAGCTCCTCGCTCTGCTGTCCTACGTCAAGACTCATCTGCGGCCCGCCTACCTGACCTTTCTGGCGGCCCAGCCGCCCGCTCTTCAGGCAGCGCAGGCAGGCGTGGCGCTCATCCCTGCTCCAGACCCGCGCGCCTTCCTGCTCGGCTCCTTGCACACAGGGCTGTACAGCTTGCTCCTGCTCTCGGGCGAATTCGCTCCGTCGCCCTCGAGCGAGGAGTCGCAGGCCGCGTTGCCGGGGATCAAGGTGCATCGTGTAGATAACCCGCCGTACGAGAAGTACTTCTTTCCGCGGACGTGCTTCACGCCGCGGGAGGACGGGGAAGCGTCAGGTTCGGTGCCGTTGCCGGCGGGGTACAGGTATGCGGACCGACGGGGTCGCGTGGGTGTTTTGGCGGAGCATCTGGATCTCGTGCAGAGTCGGACGCATATCCCGCGGTCGAGAGAGCAGTTGTCCATGATGCCGGGGGTGGCTGTTTATAAGGATGTAGATGGGGATGGGGAGGAGGAGGAGTTGCCGATTGCGTGGGCGTTCTTGGGGCTGGATGGGCCGCTTGCGACGCTGCATGTTGAGCCGGAGCATCGGGGGAAAGGGCTTGCGTTGGCGTTGTCGAGGGAGACGATGCGGAGGGGGATGAATGCGGAGGGGCCGTTTGGGGCTGTTAGGTCGGGGATTGTGGATGAGAGGGTCGCGAGGCTTGTAGGGGATTGGGTGCATACGGAGGTTGCGGCTTATAATAAGGCGAGTAAAAGGGTGATGGAGAAGATTGGGGGAGAGGTGAGGAGTACGGTGATGTGGACAGTGATTGAGCTTCTTGATTGAAGGCGTGCCTATTTAGAGATTGCAGATACTTTGCCCATGTCGATGCCTGCATTTAGATTGCACCGTTCTCGAGTGGTCTGATTTCTTCATATGAATATAACTTGGAAATGGTTCAGTTCTTCTTCGCCAGCGAGGTCGTGGATGAAGTAGATTGGCCGTAGTTACAGAACTTTTTAAGGTTGCTTCTTCAAGAAAGTTCCTCCAGTGGGGTCTTTCACAGAGCCAGAAACCCACACTTGAATCTGTGGGATGGCATATTCCGTCGTTATAAGATATACATCTGGTGCTGGGCTATATATATGCTCTTGATGAATACAGGCATCGTATGAATAGATTCTACTGGTAGCAAGCGACAGCGGGACTTATTACTAGTACATGGTCCAGGGTTTCTCAGGACAATACGCAGTACCTTGCATGGATATTATTCAAGGGAGACAGCCAACCAAAGGAAGTGTTGAAGATCTCGCTATGCTTCACTACCGATCCCCCGATATCAACACAGGCATTCAGATTTGCTGCTGCAAACGGGATAAAGAGATAGATTGATTGATTAACAAGTGGGATAGACGGAGTGGGGATTTTGCACATTCTGCGGACCTACAGGAATGACGTTGAGCCTGCCTCTGTCGCGATAGAAGCGGCCGCTACTGCCGGGCAACTGCAGGCAGTCGACTTCCTAGAGCGCAGATGGCCTTCGTGTGATATAAGTGCTTACCGAAGGTTAGCAAGGTTCTCCATTGCAGCCAAATAAGGCGATCTACAACGGATGAAGACCTTGGTCATCGAGGGGGTGCCCCTAGATCAACCTGATATACATGGAGCAACCCCTCTATGGTATGCAGCAGCACTTGGACATGTTGCTGTGGTCGAGTACCTTCTCGCTCTCCGCGTCGACCTCGACCGCGCGAATGTCCGGGGTCAAACTCCAATATTTCTTGCGGCAGAACATGGGCATTCGGCTATTGTCTCGATACTAGTCTCTCTTGGTGCCAAATTTGAACTGTCTGATTTGAAGGGAAATACGCCTCTGTCTCTTGCCAGGAGGCATGACCACAAAAGTGTTGTGACAATTTTGACGAAACATAAATTGCCAGACCAGCACTCTATGGATAGAAGTCAAAACTAGCTGAGCTTCTGGCAGTATGGGCGTCACCAGGAAATTACAGATAACATAAAGCGAAGTCATCTTACGAGATGGTATCCGGACGTTCACGATATTATAAATTCAGAACCACAAGGTGACGGTCTGACTACCAGCCGCCAGCATTAAATCGCTTCATAAACTCCCTCGTAAGACACGCAAAAAAGCAGAACGCGGCGACCCAATTTTTGTCTGTAGCACAAGAAATGCACAAGTAACCCGAGATACCTGAACATTCGGGTGGTGGACATGACAGGGGATTCATAGTACCAACGGTGCTCGAACCAGATATAAGAAGAAGAAGGATCAGAGCATTAACAGACCTGAGATGATGACAGGAAGTGCGAATAGAAAAGAAAGAAAAGAAAAGAAAAGAAAAGGAAAAGAAAATTGCGTCAGGCATCAAGCATCAAACGGGAGGTATCATGGTCTTGGTCCATCAAATCGTGATCAACGTAAAATAGGATCATGGACTCATATTGTATACACCACACCAGGAGCTCACATCGAGACAAAGCTCACCGATCCAGTACCAGTGCCCCAACGCAAGCGCTTGAGACCCCCTCGCACCGCCTCTTGACCGCAAGCTGCCGAGGAACGAGCGCCAGGAACACTGCCATCACCCATTAGGCTCATTTCCGTGCGGCCGACTTCTCGGCCCAGCATGTAGCCAGCGGAGAAGCTGATCGCAGAAAAGAGAACCACCACACCCGCACTTATAACCCAGGTCATAATAGTTGGGGGCGGTGGTGATTCTTCCAACCCGATGTGGCGGGTCTTCTTAGCTGCGGCGTTGCGGTCTTTCGGGGAGGGAGATCGGCGTTTCCCCTTGGCTGGAGCCACGACGGTGCGGGGCTGCTGGCGGCGGGGAGCGCCGGTGGGGGAACTGGCGTCCGTATAGCGGAGCGATGATCTATTCTCGTCACTTTCCTCGCCCATGGCTACGGATTCGCCGACCAGGCGGAACGATGCTGGTGGTGCATTGGAAGGGCCCGGTTGTAGAGGCCGGTGATGTTCTGGCTTCGGGAGGCCACGAGCGGCAGCGGCGCATGACAGTAGTGTCGATAGACTAGCACGAAGAGCGGCATCATGGTCTGCGTGATGCGATGGCGAGATCATATTATAGGGGCTGTGATTTGATTGAGAGGACCGTCTGGCCGACCGTGTGTTTGGCAATGAATCTCTCCGAATAGCGGTGCGCCGACTCGAGGTTGATAAGACGCTGGGTTGTGAGCGGCGTGCTTCGTTCGGGCGAGTCCATGAGGGGTCTGAGGTAGCTGGTGGGTGACTAAATACGTTTGGCTGGGGAACAAAAGGAGAAGTATTGATGCCCATTCCAAGGGCAGTCGAGGTATCGTCTTCTTCATCGCTGGAATCCACCTCGGGAGACGGAGGCACCGATGTTGAGGGTAGAGCTGGTCGACGAACATCCTCGTTGGAACTACTCATGCTTGGGTCTGGGTCGCTTTCACTCTCTTCATATTCCTCCTGACTACTGCTTGCTTCCCTCGATGAATAGTCCGCCTGCGCGGCGGTGACGGCTGCAAGGTGCTGCATGCGTCGGCGACGGTTGTGACGAAAGAGGCCTATTTCTTGCTGTTCGACCCGGAGACCCGTGGTGATAATGTCGTCGCTCGCCGCCGAGAGGGAGGAAGACGACGGCTGAGAGGATAACTCAATCCAAGAGTCTAGATAATATTGTAGTGAGTACATTTGGACATAGAAGCAACATTTGGCTCAGTATAGAAAGAAGACCGTGAAATAAACATGCACATATGCGGGCGAGGCTATAAAAGAGAAACTTACCCTCTGATCTCATGGGCGCCGCACCGGACGGCCGAGGCTGACCCTGTTCGCGCGGCTGGCCATCGCGCATCAGTTGACTTGCGGCTCTGGGCTCACGCACCTGACCAAGCAGGTCGCAATGATTTGGTTGCATGGCCACGATGGAGAGAGATATGGAGGAGGGGGGCGGGGGGGGTAAAAAAAGTTATATGGAGACAGCGTCCCAGCAATCAGGCCGCCCGGTCTTGAAGAAAGGGCGAGCAGCGGTCAAGCGTGGCCGGTGGGGTTGGATCTTATCAATGTGGGGACGAACGTGCATTTGGTGCCCAACCCCTTTCTGTCTTCTGCAGAATAGTTTGGGTTCAGTGCCTACCAAGCCAATACACTATGCTCTTCACTGAGTAGAAGCCTTGGAAAGGGTTGGGGAAATCCCTGGAAGAAGAGTTGGGACGGAAGTAGCCCAGGTGAAGAATGATGTGATGATCTGATGATCGGCGCCGCGGGGCCTCGTGATGGAGCCACCTATGGATGTGAGGGGCTTACTCGTGAGTAGAAGTCGGTCCCAGTTAAAAAGCGCCGAATCAGGCTCGAATACACCGGGGAAAGGCTGCTTTATTCAAAGAAAACCTGAATAATGGGAAGAGTAATCTTAGTCTTGCAACAAAGAGGGGCGCGGTCGCGGCTGGCAGTACTCCGATACTCGTGATGCTTTCTAACTACGTCACGGAATCCTGAGTACTGCCTCATAAATGTCATGCAACGCTTTAATGCAGCGCAGAAATTAGTACTTGAAGACATTCAGGCATCCATAAATCCTTCTGTTTGATGGCAACTCATGCGATGCTTACTACTGCCCCGTGACCAGGCCTCTAGTTCGACTAACTGTGCCTGAAACAGTTTTCACTATATACTGTATGGCACAAATAAACCATGCTGTAGGCTGCAGGCTTCATGGCCTTATCCTACGTGGAGATATCCGCGCTGCTATCCACGCTGACAATGACTTGCTCAATTTTTACTAGCTTTCTACAGTTCCAATTTCTGTATACGCTTCTCTCAACTCCACTCCAAAGCCAGTACTAGTAGTTTTTCTGGCGTTTCATCTTCGCTGGCGTATCCCTTTCGAGCCTTTCCCACATGCCTGCGGACTTCCAGAGTGCCATCCAAATTCGGTGTCTTTCCACGGCCAGTATCCCAAGCAACTATGAGCGCACCGGCTGAATCTTCGAAGCCAAAAGGACAAATCAGTCCCAGCACGTCTCCTCTTGAAGAGGCAAGCTCTATGTTGGACTTTCATTTGTGTGCACCAGATATCATTCAGACACTGCAGCAAACGTACTCAGGGTGCTACGCCACCCAGGAAGCCGAAATATGGGAACGTGTACATATCTACGCCATTCAAGTAGATAGGTTGGAGCGAAACAAAAGCCCTGGAGCGAACTTGGAAGAATACGCAGAGTACCATGGAACATACAACGCCGACAGGACAGGGGTTTTTCTCCACTCGCCGGGGCAGGACAAGAAAGCTGACCTTGAGGGTTTCGGACTGTATGTGGAACCTGAATGGATGGAAAAGTGGGAGCTATTTGGAATTCAGAGCCTGTTCAAATATGAAATGTGCGTTTCTGACATGTTGGACAATTTGGAGTGATAAGGACTCAGAGTGTGGAATATGGTAGTTCTGTTTTCGGGCGGTGATGGCCAGGTGAAGCTACCTAAACAATTTGACCAAGTCGAATGAAGAGCCTGGCTAAATTGCGGGACGGCTTTGATGACTAGAAGTTATTCTACGGAAACACGACTTAGAAAGCGTGAGGGAGCAAATGTAGCAAATGAATTTCAGAAATAAAATACACTGGTTCCGTTCCTATGGCGCATAGTGAGAATAAAACAAAACTTTTCGAATCCCAAGGCTCAGAGGCCAAAATTACACCGCGTAAATGGTAAAGTCTGCGTTAGTTGATGCGTTTAGAAAGTGATCTTGTTGCCCTTGACACCACCGGAGGGGATACCACCGGAGGCCTTGTTGAAGCCACCGCGGCCACCACCGAAGCCACCACGGCCACCACGGCCTCCACGGTCACCGAAGCCACCGCGGCCACGGCCACCACCACGGCCACCACCGCCACGGCCTCCGAAACCACCACCGCCGCGACCACCGAAGCCACCACCGGCACCACGGTCAGGGCGAGGAGTGGAGTAGTCGAGACGGAGGCTGCGGCCCTCGAGCTCAACGCCGTTCTGAGCCATAGCAGCGCGGGCCTCATCAATGGAAGAGAAGGTAATGTAACCGAAACCCTTGGGGCGGCCAGTCTCCTGCTCAGTAGGCAGACGGATGCTCGAGATGTTACCGGCCTCAGAGAAGATGTCACGAAGGGCATCCTCAGTCGCGCTGAAGGGAAGGTTGCCGACGAAGAGGGTGTCGCTCTCGGGGCTGGTCTGGTCACCGAACTTGCTAGCGCGGGCCTGGGCACCGCCTTGCTCCTTGTTCTGGCGGCCGGTAGCGTAGTCCAGGTTGATGGGACGTCCATCGATCTCAGCACCCTTCTTAGCCTCGAAAGCGGCAGCAGCGCTGGAAGCGTCAGTGAACTCGACGTAGCCGAATCTAAAAGCTTGTTAGTGGAATGCGATGATGGCAGGGAAGGAAGTTGGCACATACCCACGAGAACGACCGGATTCACGGTCAGTCACGATACGGCAGCCGGAAAGCTCGCCGAAGCTCTCGAACTCAGAGCGGAGCCACTCCTCATCAACGTTCCAGGACAGGTTTCCAACGAAGAGGTTAGCGCTGGCGCCCTCGGGAGCCTCGGTCTTGGTCTTCTTGCTGGTGGCGACGGGCTCCTCCTCGGCCTTGCGCTTGTTGGAGGGCTTAGCATCCTCAGAGTCACTCTCGCTGTCAGAGCTGTCAGAGCTGTCGGAACTGTCGGAACTGGACTCGGAAGCCTGTGAACGACAAGGTTAGTTAACGGTATCAGGGACAAAAGTATAGAGACTGAACATACCTTCTCAGCCTTGGCGGGAGCCTCCTCGGAGTCCGAGTCGGAGTCAGACTCAGACTCCGACTCAGACTCAGAAGAATCAGAAGACTCCTCCTTCTTAGCGGCCTTCTTGGCGGGAGCGGCCTTCTTGGCGGGAGCAGCCTTCTTAGGAGCAGGCTTCTCGTCCTCAGAGCTGGAGCTCTCGTCGCTGCTGCTGCCATCCTTCATCTCCTCATCGCTGTCGGACTCGGAGGAAGATTCCTCCTTCTTAGCAGCCTCCTTAGCAGGAGCCGCCTTTTTGGGAGCGGGCTTTTCGTCCTCAGACTCAGACTCAGACTCAGATTCAGATTCAGACTCGCTTGATGAGTCGGAAGACTCGGAAGACTCCTCCTTCTTGGCAGCCTTCTTAGCAGGGGCCGCCTTCTTGGGGGCAGGCTTCTCCTCCTCAGAGCTAGACTCGTCGCTAGAGGCCTCGGACTCGGACTCGGACTCAGACTCAGACTCAGAGCTGCTGCTGGGGGTAGGCTCCTTCTTCTTGTTGCTCTTCTTCTCCTTAGAGACGACCTTCGCGGCGACCTTGGGGGGCAACAGCCTTGTCCTTGGAAGCCTTCTTGACACCGGCGTCCTTGGCCTTCAAGACCTTGCTAGGCTTCTCAGCCTTGGTAGTGACCTTTGTCTTAGACATGTTTGTATTTCTGGAAAGAAGAGAAGACGAGTTAGCCAAGTGTTTGACGAAAGGTAGCCCACAGCCCACGTACTTGTGGTTTGAACTGATAAGGTTTGTCAGGTTTTTTTTGTTCTTTGTTTCTGGTGCGGCGCAGCCAACTAGTCCCTCAGATAAGCCCGCGTTTTGATAAGAATCAATGCCAACAGCCCTCAGGAAAGAAAGTGTGCCAGTGGTGATGGTAATCACACTGCTAGAAGCCCTCGAATAGCCCACGAAGAACACCGACTGGTGACAAGCAACCAAGTAATAAACCCACGAGAAAAGATCCCACAGAGCCCACAAGATTTGAGATTTGCCCACAGCCTGTTTCTTGAGGTCGCAAAGGTAGGACCCAAGCAGTGTGTTAGTTGGGGGAAGGGGGAGGGGATAATTACTTATTGGAAAATTTTTCAGACTGCTTCGATGAGAAGATTTACGGTATCAGAAACAGTGATCGGGGGTGGGAAAGAAAGAAAAATTGGAGACGGACTAGAGCTAATAAAAAAAATTTTTGGGAGAGACGCGCTAAGGCGGTTGCCACAGAAATTTCAAAATTTCTGCCAGAAGTAGCAGACCGCCTGCTAGATGCAGAAAGCCGCCAGGCACTGGCCCACCTGAAAGTGGAGGCAGTGGAGACTCACCGCTGGATATGTTCCTATTGGGATCCCGTGCTCCGATGCGGTGAGAACTCTGCTCGATTTTTCTTGAGGAATTTTTTTCTTCTTGGGGCTGAATTCTGATTATCTAAAATGGCTCAATTGCTGCTGGATTTGGATGAAGAGTACCTCGGGGACTGGACTCGACATCTTTCCCATTATTGGTGAGACAGCCACAGATGATATCCATCAATTAATGTGAGGTGTCTTTTGCATGTGCTGCGAATTTTGCGATCAAGTATGAGAACTACCTGTTCATATCGAGTATGGAAGTCGAGGCTCGAAGCTCTATCGTACATTAGATGCCTTTATAATGACCCAAAGTAGAGTTGAACCTCCTTTGCTGCATTGCTCTACGGATAGCAAATGCTGCATGTCCATTAGGCTCGGTGCTGATACTGGCGCCTCCACAGCGACCCACTTGAGCTTTGATAAGACAAGTCAAGATAAGACTGCAGATTTGCGGCAGGTCTATTTTTGAATGGGCCAATTCACTTGTGTTGACGGGCAGGGCTATGATGCTAGCAACGGAGCATCTGCCGTGGTCTTGCTAATACAATATAATTGAGCTCATAGATAACTCTAACTTGAGGTGATGATCATCGATGCCGAAACCATGAAGTCACGGGATATACCCACCTCTGAATAGAATATCCCTACTCGTAGTAGTATGAGAGAGACCATAGGCTTCGAACGATCGATATCTAAAGCCTGAAATGGCTCTTAATCTCTCTTCATACCAACTCCCCCGATGCGACGGTATCCCAGAACACTAACCACACACACGGCAATCATCCAAGCAAACAGGGTCCAGAAGACAGCACGATAGCCAACTCCAAGGGCACCAGCCGAAGACTTGTCATGATAGTTCGAGCCTTTTGTCACGGAAGATGCAATAAGCGAAGTAAGAGTCAGCCCAATGGCTGTTCCAACCTGCGCACAGGTGTTGAATACAGCACCACCCAATGCTTGCATGTGGGCGGGGAATACATCGGATCTGATGAGCAAGCCCACGGTGAAGAGTACATCACCGCTCACAGGAGCAAGGACCTGGGTTATATTAGTCGAGTTGAAGAAGGAGGGAAACGCGTACCTACCTGTGCAAAGAATGCGTCGTACCAGTATGGCCAACTGGCGTGGATAAGTGCCATGAGGAGCGGTGCCCCGGCGGTTATAGCTGAGCAGAGAAATGCCGCCCACATGACTGGCATGCGATTGACAAATATACCTGTGGTCATGCCGGCCAATGCACCAACTATGAGAGATGGTAGGATCCGCAAGGAGGCCTCGAGGGCTGACTGGTCTTGTACATCTTGGAAGCTATAATATGATTAGCTGCTGGAAAGACTTTTTCGGGGCGATACGAAAATGAACTCACAAGAGACTGGTGTACAGCTCCATACAGTTGGTAACCGCGCTTGTCAAGAGAATGATGATGCAGCTGCTCACGAACGTGGAATTACGCCAAAGATAGTTGGGAATGAGCGCAACGCGGTTAGACTTGACCTGATAATGCATCCACCCAATGAATGCCGGAACCGAGATACCACTGATAGTCAAAAGTGCGATGTTGGATGGTCGGTGTATATTATTGATATCGTCCGAGAGGACCCTGGAGTATCGTCAGCTTTATAAAAGATTGCCGAGACTTGGTATCTTACGCGAGAATATAGGAGAGCGTCGCGAGCCCCGTGCTTGCAATCAAAGCTCCCACCCAATCAATCTCCGAAAGCAATCGACGCCAAACAGACGGCCTGGTTCTCACTCGGACATCTTGTGGGAGGACCCAAACCCCAATGAAAAAGGACGCAAAAATGACAGCACCAGCAATGTAGAACGGCACTCGCCATCCTACAGTATCCACGAAAACACCGCCCAGGACAAGGCCAACTGAGAAGCCAATCGGTTGAGAGAATCCTAAGCATGAGAAGCCAATATTCCGTGGCCTTCCATCTTCGACACTTTGTGACACGATGGAGACCGACGAAGGGACAAATATCGCATTAGCTATACCCTGCAGGGCACGGAAGGCGATCAGCTCGCCCCCGGTGCGAGCCAAGCCAAAGGCGACGGCAAAGATAGCACCAAGGAATGCTCCGATGAGATTAACACGCCTAGTGCCTGCTACATCTGCGATTGATCCAGCCAGGAGTAGGCATGATCCTGCAGTCAAGTAGAACACTGATGTCGGCCATAGCCGAAGTCCTCTTCCAGGTGCAACGAGGAAGCAATCGCAGGCAATCCAACGACAATGACTCCGTTACAGAAGCTGTTGAAGACTGTCAAGGCAATGAGATAAGAAATGACAATGACGGTTCGACCTTTGGAGAGGATCACTGGTGCCTCTGTGTCTCGCAGGCCCCTCGCTGCAGGACGTGTTTCTGCTGACCGGCCATCGCTTTTGGGAGATTGAGATGCCGCGTTATTAGCCAGTGCTGGGCTGGGCTCAAAGATTTGGAATTCTGTCAAAACCTGCGTTGCCATTGTGGGAAGCGGCTATTACGGTTGGGATGGTCTGGGGACAACGCTGCAAGGTAGGAATCTTTGGGACTCGAAGGATCGTGAGATGACCCACTGGACCTTTTGGAGTGATCAAATCTTTTCTGCTCACGCTGACGCTTGGCACCCGCAAGTTTACACTCCCTCGGTATGACAGACGATACTGGTCAACCTTCGAATGTTGTTTATACTTCTGGTTCCAAGTTTGGGAGTTCAATGCACTCTTTTAGTGGTTATATACAATGAAATGGTAAGCATTGGCCCGACATTTTGATGACCAAGGTAAATTTAGGGAGCCCTGAAGCTAAACAAAGCTCAAAGATACGCTTTGGAATCCGTCAGCATGTTATTGACTAACGTCCCCATGTGCTCCAGGCAGCGGCGGGTAAGCACCCTTAAAGCGGCAGTACACCTTTCCATGTAGGGTATAGATCCCCGCAATCGTAGCCGCTAACTTCTTGGGGACAGATAAGTGACCGACGCGACGGTCTTCTTCACCGAACGACTTGCTCTCGGCGATTTACCTTGGGTTCTGTTGCGGTGTATTCTGGCTGTTGAGCTTTGAGCCCGCTGGGAAACACATTACCCCCGTTTCACCCGTCAATGGACCGCGTCTAAATCCCCAGCTACATCACAATGGCTCCAAGTCCCCCATCCCATCGTCCCCGCAAGAAGAGGAGGACTCCGGTGGCACCTGGCTCGAATAATAACCTCATTCTGAATGTCAAAAATGGAGAGCCCTCATTTCCATTGGTATCCTTTCTATGGGCAGCTAGGGCTGGGGTTTCGCAATGGCTGATTCTACCTCTCACACTCATGGCTGTTGGCCTTTTCCGGTGGGCTGTTAGTCTCTGGGGTTACTCAGGTATGCGGAATTGATCCATTGGCCGATGCCTGGTTGACTGACAAAGTACAGGCTTTCAAGTTCCCCCCATGCATGGAGACTTCGAAGCACAACGCCATTGGATGGAGATCACCACTCACTTGCCCATTTTCAAGTGGTATACCTATGACTTGCAATACTGGGGGCTTGACTATCCTCCGTTGACTGCGTACCATAGCTGGCTTTGTGGGAAAGTGTATGTCTGTCTTCTTTCTGCTGCATAGTCGCGTGCACATTGCTGATAAGAATCAAGTGGCTCTATTTTCAACCCTGCGTGGTTTGCGCTAGACGAGTCGCGGGGATTTGAGAGCGCAGACCTTAAGGTTTATATGCGTGCCACCGTCATCATTTCCGAGTACCTTATCTACATTCCCGCTGTGGTCACCTTCCTCCGTCGGTATACCCGAATGCATGGCGTGCACGCTTGGTCTGCCTCGATCGCTCTCGTTGCCATTCTCCTCCAACCAGCGACTATTTTGGTGGATCATGGTCACTTCCAATATAACACGGTGATGCTGGGTCTCTTTGTGGCAAGCCTGGATGCTATTTTAGCTGGGCGTATGCTTTGGGCCTGCATATTCTTCGTAGGTGCGCTAGGTTTCAAGCAAATGGCTCTCTACTATGCTCCCGTCATCTTCGCCTATCTCCTGGGCGTCTGCTTCTTCCCACAGATTAAGATCGTGCGCCTCGTCAACATCGCCTTGGTCACGGTGCTTTCATTCACCTTGCTTTTTGCTCCGCTGCTTGTTTCGGCTACCGGTATCGAGGCTCGGCAAGAATTCGCATCCGCGCCGCAGCCTCCATTGCTACAGACTCTGCTACAGGTCCTTCCTATCACTTTGGACTCAAAGTCCATACCTTATGCCCTCCTATACCAGCTCACACAAACGGTTCACCGCATCTTCCCCTTTGCCCGTGGTCTTTTCGAAGACAAGGTAGCTAATGCCTGGTGTGCCCTTCATACATTCTACAAGCTTCACCGCTTTGACGCCTCGTTGCTCCAACGGGCTTCTCTTGCTGCTACCCTGGCTTCAATCATCGTGCCATGTAGTATCATTTTCCGCCATCCTCGAGGCTCCCTTCTCCTGCCAGCGTTGTCTTGTGTTTCCTGGGGCTTCTTCCTGTTCTCATTCCAGGTGCACGAAAAGAGCGTCCTCCTTCCCTCCTCCCAATGACACTTTCGCTTGCCGGTAATGGGGGACTGAATAAAGAGAACCGCGCCTGGGTAGGCTGGGCTAACGTGCTTGGCTCGTGGACGATGTTCCCTCTACTCAAACGCGAAGAGCTGCGCGTGCCCTATGTTGTCATCACTCTTCTGTGGGCTTACCTCCTTGGTCTTCCTCCCACGTCCCTAGAGACATACCACAGTCGCTCTACCAAGGACGACCCAAACTCTCAATTCGAGCTTCACGCTCTTACCAAGATACTTCACTTCGTGTTCTACGTCGCCATGGTTGCTTGGCATGTCCTGGAAGCTTTCGTTCCTCCGCCCGCCGGAAAGCCGGATCTGTGGGTGGTTCTAAACGCCCTGATCGGCGCGGGCGGGTTTGGGATTGCCTATTTATGGTCCATGTGGAAGTTGCTTGTCCATTGCCAGCGTATTGCACGCGAGGCAAGCGAAGATGATGACCGGAAGAAAAAGCAGTGAGTGAAAAGAGAAAAGTGAGAAGGGGCCGTGAACGTGCCCGTGGCTCTTTCAGTGATACCCCATTATGAACTTTCTCCCGGCGTATAATTTACAGGGGGCTTTGCTATTTATCCTTGGTCTAGAATTCCCATTGCTGTTACAAGAGCAGGCACGGCCGAAGATAAGAGGAGAGGTATCATTCAGTCCTATATCCTCCAAGACGAGTTCTATTCTAGTAGTACAATATCCGAATGTAATAATGTAGTAAGACTCCAACCTCCCGATGCGAGAATATTTACAATGTTGTACAAGATGACCATTGTGGCATCAAAGAGATCCACGCGCAAGGCTAGACCTTGAAACCGAAGCCTGCCATGCAAGTCTTGTACTGCTCGATCGTCGACTTGCAGTCTGCGGCGGGATCTTCGGACTTGGAGAAGAGCATGCAGTCATCACGGGTGGCCTTCTCATCTTTGCAAACGCAGCATGGCTATGTGTCGGAGTAAGCGGGTTGTTTGTAGTCTTCGCGCACGGCATGGGCCTCGTACCTTAGGCTTCTCAGTTTGGGGGGCCGCCGACTGTGCAGTAGGGGGGCACAGTGGTCTTTTCTATTGGAGATCCATTGTCAGTCTGCGACACCATTTTTTTCTAGCCGCATCTTTTGACCCTTGCGCAATGGGCCTATGGTGCCGACAGAGGGTGGCGGATCAGCGGCAGGATGGGTCAGGAGCAACTTACCACTAGAGGAACCGAAAAACCAGGACATCATGATGGCTATGTGTGTAGTAAAGCAATTCGCTGGAATCTGAGGGAAGTGAGGAAACGAAAGCAAATGTTGCGCAATTGATTCGGAGCATCAAGGCGCATTAGTAATGTCGCCGATCATGCGCAACTGGGCGCTAAGGCCCACCGTACATACTTTTTCTATGCAAGCAAAAACAATAGAGCGCCACTTGCCAATTTGCCTACTCCCTGGACTTCTCCCTTTTCCTTCTTCTCCTAAAGTTGGTGGTGTTTCGGTCTATTAGTCCAGTCGGGGTCTTTCAACACCCAAACTCCATACGTTTCCTTTAATATAAACATCAATTCTTACTCAGATTTCTACCACTACCCCGCCATGGCCCCTCCTAAGATCTTCTCGCTCGACGGCAAAGGCCTCAAGCTCGACACCGCCGAAGATATTGAGGCTCACATCAAGCCTCTTACTGAGAGCACTGACTACACTGAGATCCATTTCGGTGGCAATACCCTGGGAATCGGTGCCTCCGAGCGCCTTGCCGCCGTCCTTGCGACTCAGAAGAACCTTGAAGTCGCCGATTTCGCCGATATCTTTACCTCGCGCCTCCTGTCCGAGATCCCTCCTGCATTGAAGGCCCTCCTGAACGCCATCCTCGAGATCCCTGCCGTCCACACCGTCAATCTCTCCGACAATGCGTTCGGTCTCAATACCCAGGAGCCCCTCGTTCACTTCCTGTCGCAACACACCCCTCTCCGTCACCTTATCCTGAACAACAACGGCATGGGCCCCATCGCGGGTACTTTGATCGCAGATGCCCTGAGCAAGCTTGCTGAGCGCAAGGAGGAAGCACGCAAGGCAGGCAAGGAGGTTGCCAATTTGGAAAGCATCGTTTGCGGCCGCAACCGTCTGGAGAACGGCAGTATGGAGGCTTGGGCCCGCGCTTACGAGAAGCACGCCGGTATCAAGTCCGTTAAGATGACTCAGAATGGCATCCGTCAGGAGGGTATCTCGCACCTGCTCCAGAACGGTCTGCGTCACGCTCACTCCCTGGAGGTTTTGGATCTGCAGGACAACACTTTCACCCTCAAGGGTTCTACTGCCCTGGCTGCTGTGCTTGAGGGTTGGCCTTCTCTCCGCGAGCTTGGTGTCGGCGACTGTCTGCTTTCGGCTCGCGGTGGTGTGAAGGTCGCCGAAGCCCTAGCGGCCAACAAGAACCAGAAACTTCAGACTCTTCGTCTGCAGTACAACGAGATCAAGGCTGACGGTGTCAAGGCCTTTGCCCATGCGGCATCAACTGCTTTGCCTGCTCTGCGCCGTATTGAATTGAACGGTAATATCTTCTCTGACGAGGAGCCTGGCATTATTACTATCCGCGAAGTCCTTGAAGCTCGCCAGGAGGAGCACGGCACCGATGATGACCCCGAGGATTCTTGGGGTATCGACGAACTTGACGAGCTTGAGTCTGAGGATGAGGATGAGGAAGAGGAGGACGAGGAGGAGGAAGAAGAGGAAGAAGAGAAGGCCGAAAAGGAACTGAAGGATACGGACCGTGCCGAGGAGGAGAATGTTGCTCAAAAGTCTGATAGGGATGTCGACAACCTCGCCGACGTCCTGGGCAAGACTGCTATTTAGATTTCAATCTTCTCTACCAAGGGCGTGATCTGTTGAATTCCCAATACCCCCTTATGATTGACGGTTTCTGATGTCAATATCCTCTGTCCAGGCAATGCTCCACGAGGCACCGATTATCTGAAACAATGCGGTCCTCTGCTCAAGAGATCTCTGACAAACGATGTCAACGTTCCCCCGTTTTCCTGAAAAAAATTACTCCTGTTCACCACATATACCCCCCTCTTGATTTGCACATAATCATATCTCCTTTCCCCAATGCATAGCTGTCACAAGATCGACTATTCTTGGGATACACGAAAAAATAAATGTGATAGATGTCTATGATAACTCAGTCACTTCATCTCTATCTACATCATCTGATGAGCTCCGTGTAGTTCAAAGCAAGTTGATGGCTTCGAGATCGCGATCCACTCTTATAGATCCGTAGTTCATGTACCAGTGAGAAATTTCCTATTTGGGCGATGTTGTCTTGGCATTGAACCTCGGAGTCTCCCACGTTTAGTTATTTTCTTCTCTTTGACGCCACACCTTAAAGAAGCTCGACCTGCTCTTCCGACTTCTTTGCTTCTTCCGGCTTCTTGCGAAAACCTTCAGCCACTTTAGCGCCCACTTCGCCTTGACGGTGCTCTCAGTGTAAGTGTCCGCGCATCCCGCCCTCGTCATATCCTGCCCGAGCCCGCAATAGGGTCCCATCGCTATCGCAAGCGGCCGCGGCGCAAAAGTTCTGTTGCAGCTAGTGGTATTTGCTCAGATTATTACACTCAGTCTGATTGCTCTGAGTGCAATCAGCCTTTGCGCTAGCTGGCCTTGTATCGACACTCGCAGCGCGGGCTTGGGCGCCGGGGAAGTCTTCGCGAATTTTCGCCGATCAAACCGTTCCCTTGTTGTGCTTGCGGCACGAAGGCTGACTTGATCGAATGCCGTCATGCATCTTCGTGTCCGCGGATGTAAAGATCTTTACTACGGTCTTGAAGGAAAGCAACTCTGACAAATTTCTTAGATAGCTGAGACGGGCCTTGTCACCGCGAGAACCTCTTTCCCCGCCTCGAGCTCGACCCTTGAACCCCCTCATCACGAGCCTCAATCACCATGGATGCGAAGGAAATCGAAGTCAAGAGTAAGGCTCTGGCCAAGGCCACGACCCAGGGCGAGCCATCATCTACATTACTTGACATGCTCGCGGATTTGCGCAAAGGAGTGCAAGCGACAGAAGAACTCCTCCGCTCGACCCGCGTCGGTATCATCGTCAACAAGCTGAAGCAACACAAGAGCCCGGAGGTAGCGAAACAGGCCGGCGAACTGGTCTCAAAGTGGCGGGCCCAGGTGAACAAGCAGAAGAGTGGAGGAGCATCAGCAAGCCGCGGCTCAAGCTCACCTCGCCCATCACAGAACGGTTCATCGACACCCGTCGCCGCAACCCCATCATCTGACAAGTCCGGCGGCTTCAAACCGTCAGTTGCGCCTGACAAGCGAACCTGGAAAACAGATGGAGTGAACACGTCGGTCACCGGCAGCAAATTGCGTGATAATTGCACCGGGCTCATTTACGACGGGCTGTGCTTTAATTCGACTGAAGCGCCCACAGTCATCCTTGCAATGGCCACGCAGGTCGAGCAGGCTGCGCACACTGCTCTTGGCCCCGAGTCGAAGCCCGAGTATCGTGGCAAGATCCGCAGTCTCTACCAAAATCTGAAGAACAAGTCGAACCCCAAGCTGCGCGTCCGTGTGATGGCAGGCGATATCACACCCCAGGAATTTGTGACCATGTCATCCGAACAGCTCATGTCTGACGATCTGCGCAAAGAACTGGAGAAGATCAAGAAGGAGAACATGAATAATGCCATGGTGGCTCAGCAGGAGCGCAGTATCAGCAAGAGCTTGCAGTGTGGCAAGTGTGGCCAGCGCAAGGTCACCTACACGGAGGCGCAGACTCGCAGTGCTGATGAACCGATGACACTCTTCTGTACCTGTACGAACTGCGGAAAGTCGTGGCGGCAGTAAGCTGGAGATCCGGCTCTTTTAAAAGAGAACGCTTGAGCGGTGAATTGAGAGGTTGTACTATGAAACTACTGGGTCCAGGTGTTATTCTTTTACTTTTTTTTTTCCTATTTCTGCCAGTGTTTACTCACCGGGGATTTCTGTCTCGTTATCGTTCCAAGAGGCTGGTCAGCCGGTGAAGGAGTTGTGTGATCTTTTAGGCTGGGGATCGATCTTTTATTCTACACCCCCAAGGTACTTTAGGAATCTATCTTATTCCAAAAGGTCCTGGCTCAAACTTTGTACTATCATATGTAAGCTCAGGCTTAAATGACTGTGAAAACGATTATTCGAGGTCGTGGAACCGTTTCCTCATGGCACATGCAGGGATCATTTGTACAACTAATTCGTAGTGGATTGGTCCAAGGCTATCAATCCCAGAAATTGTCGACAAGCAAAACCCCCCCGCGCTTCAGGAAAAGCATACAGTGAGTTTGGGAAGAGAAAGGCCGATCGATTCTCTTTTATTGTTTCGAGTCCTACAATTCATGGGAGCAAATCTTGTTCGGCAGAGAATTGCCGCTAGCAATGCATCTATAAGGGGGCGGCTAATGGCCCTGCGTGATTAGTTGCCGTGTTGGGCCCCCAGGACTGGCGGTATACGAGGCTAACTACCCAGCATAGCCTCGTTGCCTCCTCATTTTCTGGCGCGATACTCATAGCCTCCTCATTTTCGTGGGGCATTGTGACGTGAAGCACTCTTCCAATCCATCTTGAGATGGTCTTTTGCCCCCTGGTCCGAAGTGCTTCACTGAGCCTTTATCATGCCCCTACAGTCACGCTCGTATGTGCGACCGTCCTATCGCCGAGATTTCCATATCGCGATCATCTGCGCATTGGCAGTCGAATACGATGCCGTCTCCCTCCTCGTGGACGAATTCTGGGACAGAAATGGCCATCAATACGGACGCACCTCGGGGGATCCCAACACGTATAGGAATGGGAGAATCGGGGAGCACAACGTCGTGCTATTGCTACTCCCAGGGATTGGTTCGGCATCGGCTGCCTCGGCTGCGGCGAGCTTACGCAAGAGCTATCCAATGATAAATCTGGTTTTCCTCGTTGGAGTCTGTGGTGGAGTGCCTTCGGTCGGAGGACGTGAGGTGCTTCTAGGGGATGTAGTGGTCGGTGAAGATGTGATTCAATACGACTTTGGGAGGCAGTTCCTAGCAAATTTGTGCCAAAGGATGCGACTGAGATCAGCAGACACGCGCCCAGCAAAGATATTCGCGGCCTCATCGCCTATCTCAAAACAGGGTCTGGGAGGATGGAGTTGGAAGAGGTTACTGACGAAAACTTGAGAGCTATTCGACATGCAGCGGCCTCCAAGTCTTTTGAGCATAGCTACGAGTATCCCGGTCCCTCGGAGGATGAGCTATTTGCGGCAACATATAATCACAAGCACCGGAATTTAGCTTGTGATGTCTGTGATGAAGACATATTCTGCGAGGAGGCCTCTAAAGCATCTTGCGATGAACTTGGCTGTGACAAAACCCAGCTAGTTCCGAGAAAGCGCTTAAGAACCCCTCAAGCTGGCCGTCCTGGGATTTTTATTGGGCGAGTCGCTTCTGCGGATACGGTGATGAAATCTGGACAGCATCGAGATTGTATTGCAGAATGGTGCAATGCTATCGCTTTTGAGATGGAGGGGGCTGGGCTATGGGATGAAGTCCCAAGCATCGTGGTCAAGGGGGTTTGCGATTACGCTGATAGCCACAAACACAAGGCATGGCAACCATTTGCTGCTGCAACTGCAGCGGCTGTCACAAAATCGATTCTCAATCGATATGGCATCACCAATGATGCCGATTCTTTTGGAGCAGAGTCAGCGGTTGATAAAGACGTCGCAAGATACGGTCAAGATATTGAGCATCACGTATCTTATCCCGGAGCAACTGCCAGATATCAGGGTAGAGACATGTGGATTCATGATCAGAAGAGGCCATTTGGGGTAAGAGCAATGTTTGAGGATCTCCTCTCGTGGACAAAAGAAATATATCTGAGATCATGTCGAACGATTTCTAAAACCCATAAAGGACAGCTGCTTGCTTCCCTCTCGGTTCTTGACCACCTGACTCCTCTCAAGCAAGCTCGTCGAAAGCGGCAAAGTGGCACAGCAGAATGGTTGTTTGAAACAAAAACGTTTGATCGCTGGGTTAGTGATGACGGGTTTTCGGCTCTTTGGTGCTCTGGGAAGAGTAAGCAAGCCCTCCTCCCTATCCGGGAATGGAGCTAATGATCTGAATTTCAGTTGGCTCAGGTAAAACGATCCTTGCGTCAGTATACCAAGCGTGGAGTATTCTTTGGGTTAATTATTAGGTCAAGAATCTTGCTAACCCACAATTTTTAGAGCAAGCGTGGTTGATTGGATCCTAACTGAGATACACGACTCCAAAGCACTGGTTTCCTTCCTCTTCGTACGCTTTGACGACTACATGTCATTGGAAACCGAATCTATTTTGAAGTCGATATTATTCCAGGTTTTGGATAAAGCTGGCTTCCCCGACGAAGTTGCCGTACTGCTTGCGGATGCACAGCACAAATTATCATCCACCCCTAAGGATCTTATCAACATGCTGGGTTTGGCATATACGACGTTGGAACTTAAAAGGATCTACATCGTTATTGACGGGATAGATGAGTGCCCAAAACAAGAACGTGACAGCCTCCTTAGTGCACTCGCTTCATTAAGATTGTTCGAATTGAACATAAGAGTATTTATCTCCGGCCGCGAAAGCGTGTCTAGCGAGGTGAACATGGAATTCCGTCATCTCAGCCACTTATCTATGAGGTCTCAGCTCGCCCAATCTGACATTGCAACTTATATTAACAAGACCGTTGACCAAAAGTTGCGGAATGAAGAACTGATTGTCGGAGACAATGATCTCATTGAAGAGATCAAAGACGCCCTAAGGCAAGGTGCAGACGGCATGTAAGTCTCCGGATCCAACCTCACTCGACAATATTATATTAACATCTCCAGGATGCTCTGGGTGGCCTTCCAGATTGATGCACTCTGTTCACAGCGTTGTGATGAGGATATCAGACGAAGCATCAACGACCTACCGAAGGATTTGACCGAGGTCTTCAACAGAGCCCTTTGGCGAATTGTTGCTCAGAATAATACGGAAATTGCCTCGAGGTGTTTCCTGTGGGTCGCGGCGGCAAAGAGACCCCTTTCGATCAATGAGCTCAAGGAGACCATTTTGATTGAAATTGGTCAAGAACACTCTAAACCAGAGCGATGGCCGAATGGCATCCACAAGATCTGCTCCTGGTGTGAGAATCTAGTCCAAGTCGACGAGGAAACACGAATAGTACAATTTCCCCACCGTGCCGTTCGTCAATTTCTAATTGAAAAATGTACCGATAGCCAACTGGAGAACTTCCATGTTGATCTCAAGCAAGCCGATCACCATGTAGGGGAAATATGTGTGACATACCTCAATTTCACTGATTTCAAATTGGCTCTGGCTGAACGAACACCACCGCGGTCCTTGCCCAAGTTTCGGTTTTCCGCTGTAGAGCAAATTGTTCTAGCGAGCGAGCAGAGATATTCTGCCATTCCTTCTTTTGTTGCAAAGCTGAGATCAATGATTGGGAAGATGCCAGAGGCCTCTAATGGAGTGGGAGCTCTACCTAGTTTCATGTCAGATCATTCCGCGTCCAGGGTAGACTCAAACAAGCCCAATCATTCATTCTTGAGATATGCATCAGAGAATATGCTATTACACACAAAATCGTTCCAACAGCAGAGTTCTATCATGTGGGAGCATTGGGAAAAGATGATACTTCACGAGAATCATCTCATCCAATATCCGTGGGGCATCAGGCCTTTCAAGGAAGACGACCCTATCATCATTGCATGGTGCTGTAAAGTGTCCCATGTTGCTCTGCTACGCTTGATCTACCGCCGTATAGAGCTCCTTGGGATGCAAGTGCCTGAAAGATTATCGGTATGGAAAGCCGTGGAATGCTATGATCTGGACTTCCTTTCCTTGCTGATAGATGCTGGAGCTGATGTGAACCTTCGAACATCTCAGGGGTACACGGCACTCCACTACGCTACTTCAAAAGGCAGTATGTGTCTCGTTAGCAGACTGATAGCTGCTGGAGCCGATGTGAATCTTCGAACACAACCACCCATGGACTTTACTGCGCTCTACCCCGCCGTCACACACGTGTTTCATACTGATGGTAGATACCTTGAAACATTCGATGGATACAGTACACTGCCCTACGCTACTTCGGAGGGCATTGTGCGCAATTTTGACGGGCTTCTGGCTGCCGGGGCTGATGTAAATCTTCAAATGTTTAAAGACTCCACTACGCTCTACTCTTCCATACCCTTTCGCGACTCGGGAGCTACTGGAAGAACTGGGGCATTTGGCGAAGATGTGGATCTTCAAACTTCCGGGGGCTCTACTGCACTCCACATAGCTATTAAACGGGGCTGCGTGGACGTTGTTGATGAGCTTCTAGCTGCAGGGGCTGACGTGAATCTTCGAACGTCTGAAGGCTCAAATGCGCTCTATGTTGCTGTTGAGTATAGTCGTGTGGAAAATGTTCACTCACTTCTGGCAGCAGGTGCTGAAGTGGATCTTCGAACGTCCGATGGCTCTACTGCACTCCACAAGGCTGCTTTCCAAGGCAATATAGATATTTTTGATTGGCTTCTAGCCGCTGGGGCTGACGTGAATCTTCAAACGTCTGAAGGCTCAACTGCGCTCTATGTTGCTGTTGATTATAGGCGTGAAAACATTGTTGACAGACTCCTGGCAGCAGGGGCTAATGTGAATCTTGGAACCTTCAAGGGCTTTGGTGCACTCCAACGGGCTGCTAAACAGGGCAGCGTGCACGTCGTTGATAGGCTTCTGGCAGCAGGGGCTGGTGTGAATCTTCAAACGTCTGAGGGCTCTACTGCGCTCCACGAGGTTGCTTCCAAAGGCAATATAGATGTTGTTGACAGACTCCTGGCCGCTAATGCTGATATCAACCTTCAAGCATCTAATGGATACTCTGCCCTCCTCTACGCTACTTCAAAGGGCAATGTAGGCGTTGTTGACAGACTTCTGGCTGCCGGGGCTGACGTGAATCTTCAAACATCTAGAGGCTCTACTGCGCTCCACATTGCTGTTCAACGTGGCCATATGGAGATTATTGATAAGCTTCTAATCGTTTGTGCTGGTGCTGGTGTCAACATTCGAGACCTTTCTGGAAATACTGCACTCCACTACGCTACTGCAAAGGGCAAAGTGGATATTGTCAACAGTCTTTTAGCAGCTGGAGCCGATACTATTAAGTGAAGATGCTAGTAGTACTTTGATATAGGGACCACATAGCACTATTAATCAACGTTTATGCTACCCAGCTCATTGAGGAATAAGCTCATTCTTATCAAAGATTAGACCAAAAGCCTGCTTAATATCTGTAAACATTGACTATAGCACGTGCCTATCAGTAAAACTAGAAAATCTCTCACTTGTTTTAACGAAAGACAGTACTAGTTGCTGCCCTGTATACCATATAATGCCGATGTAGTTTACTAGGATTAAGATACTAAAGTTGCTAGTAGATCAAGGGAGAAGAGAAAAGAAAAGAATCCTCGAAAAGGCCAAGGCCAGAACTCAACCGGCCTCTGTCACTGGCATGGTCTCATATATCTTCAATATTAACATCACCGGTAACGTTGCACTGGGCACTAGCATTATGGCTCAGTGTTAGGTAGAGAGTGGTGTTGTTCCAATAGTTGCTTGATAATGAGGAATAACTGGCCCATCTAACTGGCCCATTATATAGGGTTTGGGTACTTAAGTGTAATTGAAGGAACAAGAGCCTTTACCTTAAGTGCTGAGTCTGAGCGGTTCAAGATGAAGGTGCCCGGGGGCAATTCGTTTGGGTGTCTGGGCATCTTCAAGCTGATCTCTGAGATTCGTGATATGTTACCAACTGAGAGCCTCCAATGTTGCATGGGTAAAAGGAAGCTCGGGAAAGCCAGCCTTGCGAGGGTAAGTATACGTAAAGGCCACCGATGTCAGTGGATATGCTGGATGATATCAATACATCTAATATTGACTCTTACCTCACAGGCATTGGGGAAGGGCCCTCGCGCTCGCTTTCTATAGATTGATAATGGTAGGAAACGTTGTATTGTGATAATGATGATACAGTGAACGGGTTATTCCGTGGAGCGACTGCTTTTGTGATTTATTGCTATTCGACAAATTATATGGATGCAGTGCTTGCGTTTGGTACTAGATGGCAAGGCCTAGTACCACCCAATTCCATGGATCCTTAGCTACCCAAATAACTGTTTGTAATGGTGTATGCGGGGAATATAGCCATGGGAGATCTCAAACTCTACCAGACGCCTAGACGGGCCAGTTTGGCTTCCGCCAAGAACCTCAACCTCGACGCCTGGCCGCCTTCTTGGTCTCCGCATTTATTTTGTACTCACAGAGACATTGAATAACAATCTTAGCACCAAGGGTCATCGACTGAACTACGTCCGAGCATTCCGCCACTACCGAGACACAGCCTCACATGTTCCCAAGGTGGGGTTGTCAGCAAACAAAGAGGGGCATCCATGTTACCTGAACCAACGCTCTTCGGTATAGACAGTAGGTCAGGACCAAATATGAACTCCCTCAACCTCCAAGCAGTGGACACGCTTGAAGCCACTGTCATCATTGACAATGAACTCGATCCATTATCGCCCGCCGCGCCCGAGACAGTCAAAATCGTGGGCTCGATGTATACCGCCATGACGGACCCCAGCAACCACCTCACTGATCGAGGGGAGGCTGTCAAGGAAATGCGTATGGGTGATATATGCTGTTCTGCGCATGGCTTGTCTATTTTGGTGGTAAGGCTCTCCGCTACTTGACTGCAGCTTGCGGATTCCCTAGTGGTTTCCGATTCTAAACGATCATCCAGACAGCAACAAAAGGAGGCGAAAAGCACACGCTCCTATTTGACGCCGGACCAGAGGGTCCCATATGGGAGCGCAATGTGAAGCGTTTACGCCCTGATCTAGCCTCTGTCGAAAGGATCCAGCTTTCCCATTGGCACCGCGACCACTCAGGTCTGTCCCAAGAACTTGCCGTCCCTGAGTTATATTGACCTGGATTAGGTGGCTTGGAGAAAGCGATCAACATGATCCAAGAAGCAAAGCAAGCAGCTGGCCGTACAGAGAAAGTGGTTGTGGACCTTCACCCCGACCGACCGGCTTATCGAGGTATGGCTTCGCCGGAGCGCATCATTTCTATAGAGGCGGATCCGACATTTGAGCAACTCGTGGCAGCGGGCGCCACTGTGGAAAAGCACGATGAGCCACATACTGTTCTAGACGACATGTTTTTGATATCAGGCGAGATCCCCCGAGTCACTAAATACGAAACTGGACTTAAGGGCTCTGTGACGTGGGATCCTGAAGCAAAGGACTGGTACTCGGATGAAGCAATCGCGGATGAGCGCTTTCTCGCATGCAATCTCAAAGGTGCCCCCTATCTTCAGCCCACGCCTTTGCTCAGCCTAATTCTCCGATACAGGGAAAGGGCTCGTCATCTTCACAGCATGCTCCCACGCCGGCGTTGTCAACACAGCCAAGCACGCACTCAGCCTGGCGGGCACGAAGGCACCCCTTCATGCAGTCATCGGTGGATTTCACCTCGCCATGAGCGATCAAACGCAGGTCCAAAACACGGTATCGGATCTCAAGCGCCTTGATCCAGCCGTGCTCATGCCCGGCCACTGCTCGGGTTGGCGATCGAAATTTGCCATCGAAAAGGCTATGCCAGGGACTCTTGTGCCGTGCACCGTCGGAATCAAGATCGCCTTCTAGATGGCTCCCCAACCTAGTCACTTTTCCCGATATAACATTCCTTGGATGCATGTCAACCCTGGTTCCTTGCAGTTCGCCGTTGCTCCACGTGTATGCCAGGGCCTGGTTTGGAAGTGAAACATTCCAGGTTGCTAGTGCAACTGTTATCTCCCCAAGGGAGTATTTCGTCATTTCCCTCGGCTAACTTGACTGGGTTCTGACATTCCAATCATCTAGCGCGTTTTTCCCCGCGATCCCTTGCTGTCTCATTTCTATAGATCGGGAGTATGGCGATGGATGTAGACGCGTGGGAGACAGCCGTTGAAGGTGTGCTTTGCTTATATCGATGATCAGGGCACTCTGCGGCATCTTAAGAGGGCCTAAACATAGTACTGAATTTCATTTGCAACGTTATGAGTCTTTAGCTGTTGCCGTATTTTATGTCAACTCACGTGATTTGGTTGCTATATTGACATTGGCTACTTATCATGGGAAGACTCCAATTTATTGATCAAATTCAGTGTAAACCTCGAAATCCTAAGGGCTCTAGATCAATAATGTCTCGCGATGGACAGATATGACGTGCTTGATATTCAAGTGATGGTAGTTGTTCAATGTTCTCGGGAGTTGCGGTACTGGGACATTCGCAGGTATATATTCACGACCTTCAACTTCTGTTTGAACTCGCCACGAACTCCAAATTGCCCTATCAACTCGAGACCTCAGGCCTGTTTGGTTACGTACAGATGCAAAGAAAGCAATCCGTCAGTATTTGAATCCTGCTACCGAAGTATACGAGGAATGATTCGTGCTGCCAAAGCGTGATGGACGGCCACTCGAACTCGCCTTGCTGCTACTAGTAGGACAATATAAAAGGCTATAGGTAATGGATCTCGTAGCCAAACCCACAGTCACCCGGCCTATTGCAACCCCTAATATCAAGATTGGAATCGAACAAGCATGTCGAATCCGAGCCCAACTTGAATCGTACGGTTCATCGTTGCTCCCTGTATATACAGCACTTCAGTACTATGGAAACTAATGGTTTCCGTCATAATATCGAACTAAACCGCTCACTACATAAACAATACGACTAAAGCTAGTTGTCCCATCCAAAGTTTCCAATTACTTCCACCTCGGCACAGCAGACCTCTCATCAGCCGATACACCTCGCCCTATTCAAAATCCCTGCCCGCTTACCCCTTAAAATCCTCCTGCTACTAGTCCTAAGACACCAGCAGCCCCCTGAAGCCAAAGGGGAAGTAAGCCCCGCCCCGATCGTGAATCCACGAACACCACCATTCCCTCAAACTCACCCTTGGCGTAGATCCTCTTCAAAGCCTCGCCCGCAGCCGCGCCTTGCGACCCCATTCCCCCATTCGACGAACCCGCATCCCAAGGAATCAGACTGCTAAAAGTAGTAAAGCCCGAAAAAATGCCTTAATTCTGCAACCCTCCGAATCCTCCTTCCCGCGCCGCCCACGGGGTAAGAAAAAAAGGAATCCCATGTACGCATGTACAGCCCCCGCCAAGCCCAGGATGAACACCAGTCACCATCCGAATCGCCCTTGCGCGACTGTCCCGCCCGTCCCCACGTAATGAACGGTCTGTATCTGTAGGTACATATGTTGTAAGCGCAGTTAGCGGGAGCAGCGTGCAGTATACGTCTACGAGAGCCGAAATCGCGATCAGATATTCGTACAGCGATGTACTATCTAGCTCCTCCGCGCACCCCCGCCCCCATCCCCAGGATCACAAAAGTACATCCCCATCCATCTCCATCTCCATCTCCATCCTCTTGTCTGGGGAAAGGGGGAGATGCACGTATTGGGGCGAAGACCTTCCGCCAAGAACGATAACGCGAAGGGATGCACGGCGGCTCTTGGCGCGGTTCAGGGGGGGCCTGGATCATGTCAGTTGATCAAGGGGGCGTATTGCATTGGGATAGTCGGTGCATATACGAAGTACCAAGACCTGCGAGGGCGATCGTCAGCCGAAGTAGGGATTGTCGTGTTGCCGGGTGTGCGTCGCCAAGATGGTTGTGTCTGGGGAGATCAGCTGCGGGCAACTTGTCGAGGCTGGGCACTGGAGCCGTGTCCGGCGCCAGCGAGGCTGTGGTCTGTCCTGATGTAATGCCCAGCTATCTTGGGGGGGATGAGAAGGGGGGAAGGGGGGCTGTAGATTAGGGGTGGGCGCCACGATCGACCGCGTCTGATGCGCGTTTTGCATTGTGATTGTCGAAGCCAAGGTTGATAGCAGGTAGATCGTGGCTTTGAAGCCGGGGCGTCTCTTGGCGCGACTGAGAATTGGGAGGTTTTCTGAATATCAAACATCATGGTCCATTGCCAAGCAGCCCAAATACAGTTTGCTTGGCTGTACAACTAAACCCCCCCCCCCCTGAAGTCCTTTGCCCAGCTTGATCGGCGGGGCACTATTTCCGCAGGCGCGCGAGCGAAAGCTTATGGAAGGTTCTACTTTGTATGTAATTGCATGTCTAATGCCTATCTATAGATCCTTATCTTGCCAGGTGCGGCAAATGATGATCTCGAAAATCTTCATATCATCCCTGTGCTTGGCAGATGGTTACTTTCCGCCAGGCCAGAACGGTAACGCCCACCTGCACAGTTGTTGCCTGTACGAGATATGGAAATTGGCGACCGGTACACAGCCATGACGCCGAGAGAAGGCAACTCGTAGCCTGAACAGGCACAGGACAACGATGGCCAGGGCTTCACTGCACGCCCTGAACGACGTCATTTCTCTCCGAACTGTTCGCGGAGAAACCAGGATCGTCGGTCATTCGCGAGCGATCGAATTGGCCCCAGACCGCTACATGCAGATGCCAATGTGTTTTTACAAGGGACCAAAAACAGGACACGAAATACATGTAATCACGAAATAAATGGAGATAAATGACCTCTGCGTCACTCAAAACACGCTCCGTGCCGGTGCCATCGGCCTCCTGGAACGGGATCTGCAGAGTGCGCCGGTCAACGCGGCTCTGTCCCCGCTATGTCGTGGCAAACCAGTTATGTATGGCGCTTGTGTATCCTGTATAACTGGTATTACAAGGCTGCGAACTATTGTAAGGACAAAGGCGCCCCAGAACCTGATTCTTAACGCTTAAGCCCAGAGATTAAATAGTGATACGCGCTATGGAGCACGAATAGCCCAAACAGCTCAAAGAGGTTCGCGAGTGGCCCCCGGAGGTAAGCTACGAGTTGAGGCAGTGGGGGTATTGAGGGGGGGCCGACTAGGCGGCTTTAGGAGAGTTCTCCTGTCGATCCAGGACCTAAAGCGACTAGCTTCTGCCTTCGTTTCCTGCTAGCTAGCTTTCTAGCTGTTTTGGGGAATGTCTTGTCTCTGGGGCTTCTGCTAGCTTTGTTTACCTGGGACTGACGCGAGTCGCGTCGGTGTGTTCGTTAAATCCTTCGGCACGTGCGATGTTGTCATTTCCGTGATCTTCGGGCCTGCCTTGTTCCTCTTCCAAGGTTTCACTTATGTCCCAGGGCCCTTATTGGTCTGATCACATACATCATGGAGAGGGTTGGGGGGGATGGTATGGGCAGACACGTTCATCTTCCTTTGTAAGGAATGGGGCACCCCCCTTTTTTTTTTAGGATCTTGGTTGGGTCTAGTGTCTGAGATGTATCGGGTAAGCTATGGTAGATCTGGGAAAGTGCTCCCTTGGTCCTCTTAGTGTTGAAACTCTCGGCCATGATAGGTAATGACCCGACGCTAACATCGTGGCCTCGGCGTTTTCATGACGCTGGCAGATTGCATTGCATGACCCTGTGCTACTCGATCGACGCAGGGTTCGCATGCCAAGATACACTACGAGTGATCCTACACGATAATCCGGAGTTACAGGTATTAAGCAGCAGGACACCGTACCAGAAAGGTCTATGCACGATCCAATCTCCCCTAAACCGAGCTTCTACCGAGATAGGACCTGGACGGCCGCGACCATACCAGCCAATAAGAGGCCGGGGGTCTCGGGCTTAGTCAAGACACAGAACCCCTCGAAAGAATCCATAAAGCTATACTACAACTTGCTTAATGTCCCGAACCAATCTCCTGAAGGCCTCAACCGTGGGAAGCCACTCGCAGTTGATGCCGAGTGCCGTGTGCCGCGCACCGTGCACGCCGAAATCTGGGACGGCATTCCGACAATCCGTAAATCCGCCAACGCCAAATGGGAGCAACAGTCAAGTTGGTTGCCGAGTTTCCTCCCGGTGACTATGCCCACTTTCCCCCAGTGATTCTTTCTTGTTGGGGGTGCGATTGTCCGGGAGCCAAGACGGGGCACGCGAAAGGAGTGAATAGTGAGCGATAATATACCACTTATGCCGCACTTAGATACGGACATATGGAGTAGTGTAATTTACCCCCATGCCCAAAACAGTGGGGAGCAAAAAAAAAAAAGAAAAGAAAGCAATTAGCACGGACAGTACCTCACGGGTCCTATTGCCGTGTTAGAACAATGACGCTTGTTCTACTTCGTACAGAGTACACGAGCCATTTACTGACAGACTACTGCGTAGTGCGCTGGGTAATCACCATGATGGATTTGGCATGGCTGGATGCAGCTGTTGATCATGCTGGAGTGGCTTGCAGGACGACGTTGTGCGGCATTTTCGTGCCGTGCGGCTTTTCTTTACACCGAATCAACGGTGGAAGTGTAGACCGCATATTGTACCTTCTCGTCCAGCTCACGAGGCTGGATGGAATATCGCGAGCCACGTTGATTCCCTTACATTGTGCATATCCTGCCGGGCACGGCTATCGTTAGAGCGGGAATACCCAGGCCGAGAACCTAAAAAAACGGTCGTGAAGGCACGGCAGCCGCATGAGAGATTTTTCTCCTCCAGAGGATATACCCCGAAGGAAGACCTGCAGACCAAGTCGAGACCCAGGCTCCAGGTTTTGAGTTTTCTGTTTTTCTCCATTGCACGTCAGTCCGGGGTGGCCGCGTATCTGGGGAGCGGTCCTCGATGGTATCAGGTCTTATCAGCTACTTCGGTTTCCAGATGTCACCGGCTGCTACAATGGGATACGAGATATGAGACTATTTGCTCAACGCAGGGACTGTACCAGGCTGGGCGTGAGAACGCCAATCAAACCCTAGGACCCAATATTCCCCGTACAGCCCTTGTATCCACCAAATGTAGCCCTCTACGAACGACGATACCAAACACCAGGATAGCGTAGTCCCTGAAGCTTCTCGAAAAACGTCAGCAAAGCTTAGTGCACGGGGAATCCGGGACGAGCCATTTATTGGAAGCCCATTAGACAAAGTGGTAGGCGGATCCTGCCAGCTCACCCAGATGAGGCAGTCCTTCCAGTCCGGGGCCGGGGGAGGGGGAGGGGGTGCTACTGCAAGTGAAAAATGCCTCACGATCCAAGCAAAGAGCTCTCGGCACTGGTGCTCGGATTGGGGCCCCGAAATTAGTACGCGGAATGGCCGTCTAGCAGTTAGATTTTGGCAGGGCGATCGACCCAGTGGGGCCCAGGACTTTCCCTTTCACGATGCTCCTCTGGCCCACCGGTGAGGGTTTGATTCCAGTGCGGGCCCTCGCGGCCAGACCTCGCGGCGTCTGATTGCTCAACCCGGGTTGGTGTCCATCCCACTAACGTAGGTACGAGAGAGAGCCAAGACGAAAGGTGGTCTGGGTGTCTCTCTTAGCGGCGATCAAGGCAGACCGGTGCATTGGCTGATGAACTGCTGTCGACGGACATGGAGGGGAAGGGGTTTGCAGGCGAACCTGACGAGATGTCCGGGGAGTCAATTGGGTTGTTGCGGACGTTCCTGCAGCTTCTCCCATGCTTTTCTTCCTGAGAATCTCCTCGGAGGGTTTTTCTCTAGTTTCGAGCCAGTCGTCCAGAGTCCCTATTTTCCCGCATTAACCGACATGAACGGGAAGAACGGCAGGATGCCTGACTCAGCGGCAATTGGGAGGTCTGATTGGCCGTGGCAGCTGTCTTGCGGCTAGTCTGGATTGGGCATTTCCTTCCCCTTCTAGGCGTTTTCATTGTTTTACGAGGGTACGGCGTGACGACCCCGATACCATGCTGGGACGTAAGAAAACAAGAAAACGGGACACGACTCCAGGATGGGTATAGTTGCACACGGCGAAAGCGGCATCATGAGCTAATGACGTGAAAGTCTCACTCTTATCGGGTAATCCCCCTGTGCCGATTTCTCCGAGATGAGCGTGCCACAAACGGCTTCCTTTAGGCGCGAGAGGGGACAAGAACGAAAATTTCTGATCCAGGTACAGTAAGCCCTGCAGCAACCCATGGAACCGCGCATCCAGGGAAGGCTTCTAGAAGACATCGAGAACGAAGCTCTTTGGCACACGCACCGAGGACGGAGTGCTACGACTGGCCACCTCGGGGGTCCCACATCGTGAGTCCCCGTCTTCCCCCCCAATCGCCCACAAGGCGGATTGGGTGCCGGTGAACCCAGCACCCACACTAACCCCATAATCAGAGTAGTCCTAGAGGATCTGTGCTAGCCCTATTCCAGCCCCCAGCGTCACCGTACAGAAGCTCGCGTGAATAACCTCCCGATTGTCCCGTGTAGTATACGGGGCGTTGGAGCCAAAAAGCTGCATGACGAGTCCTGGCAACTCTCACTTGGCTTTTTCTCCGTTCTTTAACCGGGTGGCAACGGGATCTGCTATGCGTTTCACGGCGTCAAGATTTTCACTACACCACTTTCTTGTCTCTTATTTCATCCGGGTGAATCGGCGTGGCAACAGGGCCGACAATTGAGGCATTTTGTTGCAGGGTGCCCGTGCATTTCCCCAGACACGCTCCCGCAGCGCGACATCAGCGGCGTGATCTTCCAAAGCCTGGACGAAAGAGGGCAAGGGCCACACAAGTAAAATGCCCCCAAAAAATTTTTCAAATTTTTCAAATATTAGAAAAAAGCAATGACAGCTCAATCCTGGCTACCACACGTGAGCAAACAACGCAGATTGGGCTAGGGCATTTTGCTTTTTTGGCCCAGCCGAGGATTGCGAGTCGAATTTGGTTGGCTGTGATAAAGACGGATTCTTTACGACGCATCATCAATAATTGGTTGGGTGGGAAGAGGGGGGGGGGGCTAGACCGTACTCTCTGTCTTCAGTATAAGCAATGTAGATCCAAACCTCCAGATGGGTTCCAGCGCTCACGGCGGTCGCAGAATCCTGCTAGGTCAAATGCGCTTTTGCTGGTAATTTCCCGTCGCGCATAGTGACACTCTATCTCCTATTCTGCCATTATGTGTTTCATAAGTTCCAAGTGGATCGACCCAGCTCAGCTACACGTGGGGGTGGACGCGGGCTTTTTCCGACTTCGGTAGCTTTCGCGCGCCTGCGCGCTCCAGACGTCTCGTTACGGAGAGCTCTTTACCCTGAAGTTTGATCCTGTGGGTTCTGGATTGGGCTATGTTTTTCGCAATTGTACTGTGTGGGGAGGGTGGCTCTCAGTTTTGAGAGAACGAGGCTAAACAAAGTCCTCTCTTCGCAATAACCAACCCTGGTCAAGGGCACCGACAGCCAAGATCGATTTGCAAATCATGGGCGTAGGGGACGTGAGCCATCCATTCCCCAGGATCGAGGCCGGGGCCTTGGCTGACGTGGTGGCAGGAAGCGACCGCATGGAATAAAACGAGACTCCCCCGGGATCATACTCGTAGAGACAGGACGAATAAGAATGTAAGGAATCCCATCTCGAAAGCAGTCCATCACAATCACGTAGGACACACCTAATGGAAACCGGTCATCCAATCGGCCTGCTCGCACAGAGCTGGAGGACGAAGCGCAACGTCGTAGGGGGGAAAAGCCGTGCCGTTTGATTAATGATTAGGCCCCACCCTGACCCTACAAGTTCCAGGGTAGCTTTGGCTCAGACCGAGTCGGCTTCCCGAATGGGTTTGGCCCCAAGGATTGGCCTATCATTACCCTTCAGAGCTTTGGGTATTGGAGGAAGGAATTGAGTCTAGCGCTCCTGGATCCTCAGGCCTGTATGCGACGATCGCCAAGCCTACACTTCGTTGAAGGGGATTATGAGGTATCAAGTGAACGGTGCTTGCAGTTCAATCAATGCCATAGGGATTATGTCCTAATCGAGTAGTCCATGGCCCCCGCTGAGGGGAAACCTCGGTACATCTCTGTACCCTGCAGCGACCGTGGCTAGCTCTGCCCAGACCGGTCGCAATTGGCTACAGCAAATTCCTAAAATGTACAGGTTATCAGCGTTCGCCGCAAAAGGCGCCGGGTTCAGATCGTGTGGCCGTGTATATCGGTCGGAGCTGTAGTATCCTCACCGTCGACCTAGAATCCTCGATCAAGACTCATGAGGTCACGACGGAGCCGGCGATATATATCGGGTAACTACACTACTTCGCCAGACCACAGACGAGCAGTCGGTTATCAATATGCGACCAAACGTGGGAAGTGTCTTCAATCATCTCCAGCTAACAACCCTGTCCGTGTAAAATATATATAATTTGAGGCTATTCCCAGCATCCTGGTCCTCTCGTCTCCAGCACCGTAGTAGTCCTACATCATAGTACTTCTGCCCAGAGCACTGACTCCCCGACTAAGGCAGAAGCTTAGCCCAGGGGACTGAACACAATCGCTCAGAGCTCAAACAGAAAACCCGGGGTACATCACCTCCAGACCGGATTTCAATCGCCTTGATTATGACCAGGGCCAGGCTTGAGCAGTCATGCACGATGCACCAATAATCCAGCAGCGGCCAGCAGCGACCCAGCAGTCATGATTCATGTATACGGTCGAACGCCTCCGAACCAACGAAATGTCAATCTACCCCCTCTACGATTTTGATTTTCCGGCGCCTATCATGGCCGCGTCGACAAAGGCCACCGGGATTGTTCCCTGTTCCAAGGATCCAGCCACCCGGCCGGACGATCTGAGCTACGTGCGGAGTGTCATATGTGGACGGAGTAGACTGCGCAGGACTACCACGGCTCCAGCACAGGCGATGGCAGCACTGGCAGCACTGGCAGAGGTTACAGTGAGATATGGACGGGGATGCCCTACGTCGAGACTTCCCCAAACGGCAACGGCGGCCAAAGGCCTTGGACCAGGACCGGGACGAAGCAAAACGCGTGGTATTTGGAAAGAAAGCCATTTTTTTTTTTTGGGGCATATGGTACTTGAGCGGCAAACTCGGGGCGTTGGAACGAGGTCAATTCAGACGGAGGGCCAACGCATACACATTGCGTAGGGCGAGACCTTTTGAAGCCTGGATAACCCAGGACACTAACCTCGCAGGATAGTAGGCCTATTTTTTTCCCGCGAAGAGGTAAAACGGGCCTTGCTCGACGGATTTGGAGAGGGTTGGGGCCGGTCCATGATGGGTATGAGGTCATGAGTGGATGCCAGCGACCGGTGATTCGGTGCGTGCTGGTCTCCACTTGCCCACTAGGTGACTTAGTGAGTGGGGAACTGGGAGGTCGGTCGACCAGTTATCCGCCCCGAATTAAATGACGCTTCTGGGGAGGTCTCTTCACGAGGGTTAGGGGGGGACCGACGATCGACCGCGGGTACTTAGATTCGAGGGGAGGCAGCTTGGGCGAGGGCGCATGGGGCTGGTGAATATTTTACGCAGTCCCTCCCTACAGCTTACTGGCTGGAGGGCATGAGGGTCGCTAAACAGGGCGATTTGGGTATTGATTGAGGTTTGGCGACCCGGAAGAGAAAAAAAAAGAGCTGGTTGGTGTTGGTATGTTATGCCAATGCCGAGATATCTGGATGGTTCTTGGCTGGTTGCGGCCCCTTGCAACGTTGTGGTTCGGATAGGCCGGGGTCTCTACGAGCAGAGTTTTCTGTTGTTTTTTTTTGGTCTTTTGACCTTGATTGTCTGTTCTATGTCGTACGCGTCTGATGGGCTCTTCAACCGGACAATTGGATCAATGGGGGAAGGGTTTCGGAGGGACGAAAGCCTATCTCTAATCTGGTAAGATGCAAGGAATGTTGGTTGTTTCTACCTTGCGAATCAAAAGTGTCTTAAATCTTGATTATCGATATATGATTAGCTTCCACGAGGAATTTTCCGCATCTTGCACCACCAAATTTACTGAAACTTAATGATCAACTATCCCTCTCTAGGGGAGCTGCGCCAATACTGATAGTTTGAACACGACAGAAGATGGAAATTGCACTTTTTTCCGCGTAGATGGAAAAATCGCGCATAGTCAAGCTGGAAGCAGTTTGGCGGGCGCGAATTACCCGTAATGAATCGATACCGATTGATACTCGGCAGCGTAGTGCCGGGCGCCTTGACTGGGGGAAAGAGCGCAGTATGTCATTTACGGGGCGGCGAAAGGATACGGTACGGTATGAACCGAAGTGGCTTTCTGCGGTCCCCTCGTTTCCCTCTCTCACCTTCGGGAGAGAAACACAGCTGGAGGGACTGGAGTAAAAATTTAGTAAAATTAGAATCCCCAATTCCTCGCGTGGGGGAGCAAAACGCACTGGTAGTCAATCGGGAATTGCTCAAGTGCAGGCGATCAAAGAGGGAAAGATAAAGCCCAAAAAATAGTCCATAAATCCCGTAATGGACAAAAGGGAGGTCCATGAGGGAATCAGGAAAGGAGTGGAAAAAAAGGAAAATCGCGAAAATTCGGAAGTGGAGCCCAAACAGGAGAAAATCTCAATCCGAGAAAACGGCAGAAAATACCAAAATGAAAAAAAAAACAATACCAAGAAAAACTAAGAAAAAAACAAGAAACCCGGGCTCCACCGCGATATCTGGGTACATACTCTTTCCCCAGCAACCAAGTACTACAGCCAAGTTACTACTTCAGCAAACACGGGATTCTTGATCCGGCTTGGGTCACCCCGAAAATACCAGAATACCATTTAATTCCTCTTTGGCCTTTTTCTTACCCTTTTTCCCTTTTTTTTTTTTATTTCCCTCAGGACAGCCGTCTTATCCACACAACCCACTCGCGTTCGCTCTTTTCGCACTCCCGATCCTTTCCACTCCCGTATTATAAAGTAGTCCTTCCCACCCACATCCATTCTCTCTTTTCCCTTCCCTCTTTCATAGGACCATTCCGACTCGCGTCATACCTTGAAACGACTGGGGTGTCTGCATCTGCTCATATTGTTGGGTACCGAAGGGCTTTGTGAGCCGCAGCTGCAACCATGGCGTCTACCAACAACACGACGTCCGAGCGGAGGATCTCCTATGCTGTCGACGTGGAGAATGGTGAACGCCCTCACCGTGACGAGGGTGCTGACCCTGCCAACCTTGATGAGTACTCGGCTCTGAACCGTTACATCTCGACTGCCCGTGATGGCCGTCGTGGTTCTACCTCCAGTGCCGGTGCTCGCAGCGAGAAGGGCGAGAAGAAGAAGCCCTGGTGGAAGTTCTGGGGCGGCAGTGGTGACTCCGTCCAGGATGGCTGGCAAGCTCCCGAGGAGTGGCTCGATACCGACCTTCGCCAGGGTCTGAGCTCTAGCGACATCGAGCCTCGCCGCAAGAAGTGCGGCTGGAACGAGCTGACGACTGAGAAGACCAACATCTTCATCCAGTTCCTTAGCTACTTCCGTGGTCCCATTCTGTATGGTAAGTGATAGCTGGACACTGCCCGACGCTGGGAAGGGTCTTCCAAGTGGTGCCGTCTGTTCGAAGCCTTACTGACGCGATTTTTCTTTTCTCTCCAGTTATGGAATTGGCTGTTCTGCTCGCCGCTGGTCTTCGTGACTGGATCGATCTCGGTGTCATCTGTGGTATTCTTGCGCTTAACGCTCTCGTCGGTTGGTACCAGGAGAAGCAGGCCGCTGACGTCGTCGCCTCCCTGAAGGGTGACATCGCCATGCGTGCTACTGTTGTTCGTAACGGGCAGGAGGAGGAAATCCTTGCCCGTGAACTGGTCACTGGTGATATCGTCATCATTGAGGAAGGTAGCGTCGTCCCTGCTGATGTCCGCCTGATCTGTAACTACGATAAGCCCGAGATGTTCGAAACCTACAAGGAGTTCCTCGCCAACAACAACTCTGATGAGCTGAAGGAGAAGGACGACGATGAGGATGACGAGTACGCTCGTGAGGCTCATGCCGGTGTTGCTCTTGTTGCCTGTGATCAGTCCGCCATCACTGGTGAGTCTCTTGCCGTCGACAAGTACATGGCCGACACCTGTTACTACACCACCGGTTGCAAGCGTGGCAAGGCCTACGGTATCATCACTGCCACTGCCCGCCAGTCTTTCGTCGGTAAGACCGCTGCTCTCGTGCAGGGTGCCAAGGACCAGGGTCACTTCAAGGCTGTCATGGACAACATTGGTACCTCCCTGCTCGTTCTGGTCATGTTCTGGATTCTCGCTGCCTGGATCGGTGGTTTCTTCCGTCACCTGAAGATCGCTACCCCTGAGCACTCCGACAACAACCTGCTCCACTACACCCTTATTCTGCTTATCATTGGTGTCCCCGTCGGTCTGCCCGTCGTCACCACCACCACCCTCGCTGTCGGTGCCGCCTACCTTGCTGAGCAGAAGGCCATTGTCCAGAAGCTTACCGCCATTGAGTCCCTCGCTGGTGTTGACATTCTTTGCTCTGACAAGACCGGTACTCTTACTGCCAACCAGCTCTCCATCCGTGAGCCTTACGTCGCCGAGGGTGTTGATGTCAACTGGATGATGGCCGTCGCCGCTATTGCCTCTTCCCACAACATCAAGAACCTCGACCCCATTGACAAGGTCACCGTCCTAACCCTCCGTCGCTACCCCAAGGCCCGTGAAATTCTTTCTCGCAACTGGGTTACTGAGAAGTACACTCCGTTCGACCCCGTCTCCAAGCGCATTACCACCGTCTGTACTTGCGATGGTGTTCGTTACACCTGTGCCAAGGGTGCTCCCAAGGCCATTTTGAACATGTCCCAGTGCTCTGAGGACGAGGCCAAGCTGTATCGTGAGAAGGCTTCCGAATTCGCTCGCCGTGGTTTCCGTTCGCTCGGTGTTGCCGTCCAGAAGGAGGGTGAGCCCTGGCAATTGCTGGGCATGTACCCCATGTTCGACCCTCCCCGTGAGGACACTGCCCACACCATCGCTGAGGCTCAGGTTCTCGGTCTCTCCGTCAAGATGCTTACTGGTGACGCTATTGCTATCGCTAAGGAGACTTGCAAGATGCTTGCTCTCGGTACCAAGGTTTACGACTCCGAGCGTCTGATCCACGGTGGTCTTGCTGGTTCCGCTCAGCACGACCTGGTCGAGAAGGCTGACGGTTTCGCTGAGGTTTTCCCCGAGCACAAGTACCAGGTCGTCGAGATGCTTCAGCAGCGTGGTCACTTGACTGCCATGACTGGTGACGGTGTTAACGATGCTCCTTCCCTCAAGAAGGCTGACTGTGGTATCGCTGTCGAAGGTTCCACTGAGGCTGCCCAGGCTGCCGCCGATATCGTCTTCCTTGCTCCCGGTCTTTCCACCATCGTCGATGCCATCAAGCTCGCCCGTCAAATCTTCCAGCGTATGAAGGCCTACATTCAGTACCGTATTGCCCTGTGTCTCCACCTGGAGATCTACCTGGTTACCTCTATGATCATCATCGAGGAGACTGTCCGCGCCGACCTGATTGTCTTCATTGCCCTCTTCGCTGATTTGGCCACCATTGCTGTCGCTTACGATAACGCTCACTTCGAGGCTCGCCCCGTCGAGTGGCAGTTGCCTAAGATCTGGGTTATCTCTGTTGTTCTTGGATGCTTGCTTGCCACTGCTACCTGGGTCGTCCGTGGAACCCTCTTCCTTCCCGACGGTGGTATCATCCAGAACTTCGGTTCTCCCCAGGAGATTCTCTTCCTCGAGATTGCCCTGACTGAGAACTGGCTGATCTTCGTTACCCGTGGTGGAAAGACCTGGCCCTCGTGGCAACTCGTTATCGCCATCTTCGTCGTCGACGTCATCGCCACCCTGTTCTGTGTCTTCGGCTGGCTCGGAGGCTGGACCCAGACCGACCCCTACGACCCTGCTGGCCCCGGTTTCTCCAAGAACCACGACGTCGACATTGTCACTGTCGTTGTCATCTGGGCTTACTCTATCGGTGTGACTGTCATCATCGCCGTTGTGTACTACCTCCTGACCATCATCCCCGCCCTGGACAACCTTGGCCGCAAGACCCGCTCCAAGGCCGATACCCAGATCGAGAACATGATTGCTCACCTCTCCAAGCTCGCTATCGAGCACGAGACCGACCGCGAGGGCAAGTCCCGCTACGTCCTCGGTGCTCGCGTCGAGGAGATCGAGGACGAGTAAACTCGTGCGCTCGTGTAATTTCACCTTTCTGAGCTCGATACTGGTCCGAGGTCAAATTAATTTCCCCAATTTTTTTTCCTAATTCCCCCATTCCCTTGCTCCACATACCACGCACACCTTTGCTGGGATGTATCTGGACATGCATACCGTGGGAAACAGGAGGCAGGCTTACCTGTCTTTTTGCTTCCTTTTCTCGTATTATAGACTTTTGTATGTTCCATTTACTTCTTGATTCTCCGTTTGCTTGTTTTGAGTCGATAGAGTGTCAAGTTTTTTTTCTCTACGTGTATGTATGCCGTTAATAGTGGTATCTACAATCAAGGGATTCTAATAATTTATTTTCCATGTAGCATTCCAGTGCAATTGGAATGTAGATTCTAAACTCAAATTCTAGTTTTTTTAAGTGTCTTGGTCTAGTTAATAGGCTGTTCATGTCTGATTCCTCGGGTCCGACGTAATCTCTGCTAAGATCTTCTCTCCTAATCACAGGGAAGAGCCCCCCCTATACTTGACCATGACTAGTACCTCTGTTCCTCCAGCTGGGGCGGATTGAATCTCCAGTACATTCTAATACATACACATTGCAACTTCAAAACCTTCATGCTCTGTATGAAAAATTTGCTTCTTCAATGCGTTACTAGTGAGTAGGACGCTGGGCTGAAATCCACTATGAAGTTCTTGACTCGTACATTCGTGGACCAGGAATATTCTCCATCAGCGAGTACGGTGTGCCCACTATCGACAATGAAACACTCCAAAGCTACCTTTTGCATAGTAATTGCACATCAACCTCGGGTGGAACTAGCTCGAATTCCAGCACTCTGCTACAGCGCTATCTTACACGTAAAACGAACTCAGCATGCAAGAAACAGTCAAAACAACAAAGAACACAAGCATGATGCAGATGCAAGTCCCTATTATGGAGAGAGAATTAAAGCAATGCAAACACACAGATTCGCGGACAAAGTGAAATAAGAATATGGGTATCATCGTGATCGCTTGATGCGAGGGTAACACTAATAAAAGTTCGTCGGCGTCCACTCCTGCCCGGGATAGGCAGTAGGCGACATGATGATTTCTCGCTCGAGTCGTCGCTCCAGGCGGCGAGTTCGACGGGGGTGGATTGTCGGTGCACGGAGAGCGATTCGTCGCGGAAGGGGTGCTCTGAGACCACCGACACGCCTGAGACGGCGATGTTCTTTTGCTGGACTCGGTCGGTGGGCTTGAGATAGGGTTCGACGGGCTTGCGCGATTGGACCGTTTGGTCCGGGCCGGTGGAGGGTTCTGGGGACGACCGGTCCCAGGTGTGCTCGACTTGGGGGTTTTGGTACTCTGGGTCTGGAGATGCAGGTAGGGCTTCAGGCGGTTGGTGTTCGCTGTTTGTCGTATCTTTCTGCTCTAGCTGTCTGCCGAATAGCGGCGTAGCTTGGGATTCGGCATGTTTGTCTTCCTTTTCATGATTCGATTCACGCGGTTGGGACTTGGACCAATCGCTGCTATCAGATTCCGAGGGCGCGACTTGAGAAAGGGTATAGCCGGGCATAGTCATTGGCATGCTCCTGGCGCGACTGTGCTGAGGCGAAAGAGGCGAAAGAGGCGACTCGCCCGACTGATATTGCGAGTAGAAACGGCCGGACAGGAGCGCTGAGTTAGCTGATGGGCTTAGCGGAAGTTGCGTACTTGTCCGTGGCTTCGGTTCTTCAGTGGATTGGCGGGGAGAGCGTGTCAGCTCGGTAACTGGGCCGTTTGATTGTGGCTTTGCGAAGGGATCACCGAAGAAGGACTCTTCCTGACGCGAAGCAGATACTCGGTCCAGTGTGTTGGGCAAAAATGTTTGCGAGGGCTTTGTGTCCTCCGTGGATTTACTTGCCCGGCGGCCATTTTCCCCACGGTCAGGGGACGTCGATCCTTGAAGATTGAAAAGATTCTGCAACTTTTCAGTAACTGGATAATCTGGTATGATTAGAGTGTAACCTACGCCGATGCTGAACGAGCGTTTCTTTTGGCCCTTCTTTTCCTTTGATTGTGCGCTTAATGGCTGCTGTATCTTCTCCTGAAGTCCCTGGAGACCACCTTGAATCCCTGTCAGGATATTACCAACCGAAGGACGGCGGCGTTTACCAAAGCCTTTTAGTTTATCTTTTGTTGTATCACTAGTTGATTTTGTGGACACAGCGTCCACATGAGGCATGGACAGGTCGTTGGCAGGCGTAGATGGTCGGATTCCTTTGCTGTTGGTGCTTTGTCGGCCGAAGCTACCGAAGCTTCGCATGCTGCTTCGAGTTGCCGGGGAGTATCTAACTTCGTTCCGCAGGGGACTCTGCATGCTTGGAGCGGAAGGAGGAATGCCGCTGATTGAGCGTCGTTTCGACTCAAGGATCTCAGCTGAGCTAGGCGGGAAAGATGGGCTCAAAGTCCCACGTGTGCTTTTCGTCGGACGGCCACGGTCCAGTGGATGGCTCACTTGGTTTCCCGTGGGGTGGCAAAGGCGCGAATGTTTTCGATGTTGTTTTAGGCCTTTCAACAACTGGTGTATTGCCTTCGTTTAGAGGACCCTTGGGCTTGTCACCGACAGCGAGCTCCTCAGCGAGATCACCCGCCGTATCGGTCACATCTGTCGTATCGGTCACATCTGTCGTATCGCGAAGATTAAGGTCATCCTTCGTTTCGGTCTCATCCTTCACAGAGGGAATCAACGGCGAAGGTGGACCTTCAAAATGTTCAGTCATGTGCCGTTCATCTGCCCCAAGGCTAGAAACGGACGGCTGCTGTTTCATGTGAATTCTAGGCTTGTAGTTCAGCGCGAAATTGAAATCAAGTGGTAGGATATCGTCAGGAGGGCTCTCTGGCAAAGCCGAGGCAGCTTCAGCACCGCCCGGTGCACTTGTGGATGGATGCTCAGACGGGGCAACTGGGCGAATCGACGTAGCCGGGTGCTGCCCTTGCTCTTGCCCCTCTTTCTCGAGTTGTTGATCCAGTATGGCATTGCCACCCTTGGATAATCGGCGGATGTCTTGTGATTGTTGGCCATCTGGTGCGTTTGAAGATGTGGCAGGCTTCGAAGCGACTGTCTCCTGGGCATCTGGATGTTCCTTGGCAGGGAAAGACCAAAAGCAGCAAACATCTCCTGCTCGAGGTCTCCCACCATGTCGGGTTGCGCTGGTAAGTTTTGAACGGGAGGCATATTTGCATCTGAAGAATGCACGGTGCTAAGATTCTCGAGTCCGAGGAGATCCAGGGATCGACTGGGCTTAAGGCGTTTACCAGAAGGCTCGCTCTCCTTCACACCGGAGTTTCGACCGAACTTCATGTTGGATAGGCTGCCGAATGTGACAGAGTTGCGTATGGAAAAGCCACCCCCATCTTCAGAACCAGTGTTTGGCTCTGTGTTATGAGGTTTGCTGCGGGAGATGGGCGATGAAACCTACAGAAATTACCAACATCAGAACTTGAGCACGAAAAGGCGAGGATCTCTGGGATAGAAGCGTAAGATGAGGAAATGGATGATGCATCAAGCATGTTGCATTCTAGTATCCCAATTGCAAAGCGATGGGAAATTACATCGTGATATCAAGGAAACAGTTTGCCAACAAGAAACGAAAAAAATCGACACCGTTGCGCTGTCCGCCCCAGTGCGCCATTCCAGATGGTAGAGAATGCATATCCAAGATAAAGTAAGGAAGAGAAAAAAGAAAGATCATGAATCTACCTTGTCTCCACTGGCTCGGAGCTTGCTCCTCCCCTTGGCGAATAAACCTTTCGCGGTTTCACCAGCTTTGCCGCCAAATATACCTGCAGTATGAAGGAATTCTTTTCCACGCTGCTCCACGTTTGTCCGGTTCACAATGGTTCCAATATGAGCCGAGGACTTCCTGGCATGGCTTGCACTGGTGGTAGTACTATCATTGCTGTGGAGGGTGCCGAGGGATGTCAATTTCGGGAACCGGGCTCTGGTAGGAGAGTTCTGAGGGGGAGCCGAGGCGAGGCTCTGGCTTTGCTCGACGACATCCCTATGCTCAGGGTGAGCTTGGACAGTAATTTGAATCCAGCGGTTCAAGCCGGTATCGAGTGTTGCAAATTGTGAACGAGTTTCTTCAAACGCCTTGATACGTTGATGAGGAGCAGCAAACTGAAGGATCTCCCGGAAACCCTTAAGCTTGGTCTCGTCTGCCGGAATTGGTACAGTGCCTGTTGAAGGCGCTCCTTGAGAGGAGGATAGGCCGTCCGTGGGACCGGCGATTTGTGGGGGTGGCAGTCCACCCTCGGGAACAGGAGGGACAATGGAAAGCCTAGGTCTTTCAACCGCAGGAGCTTCAGAACCCTCGTCATCCGATTGTGGTAGCTCCTTTCTGTCTTCTAATGGTGCCTGATTGAAATCATTGACAGCAGGAGGAGGGGTCTCTTGGAGCCAGATCTGAATCGTCAGGTGCAGCAGCCGCAGCTGTAGGTTGGACGTTAGCAGACTGGAATGTCGGTTCATCCGCTGAAGAAGCTGACTCCCAAGAGAATCTTCTCGCAAGCCGTGGTTTGGTAGGCATTTGGGTCCCAGCGAATGCAGCAGGAGAAGCGACATCGCGCGAGGTTTCGGGGGATGCGTATGGATCCTGCGAGCTTGAATCCAGAGGTCGTGGGGTTTCAGCAATATTCGGGCCAGTCGGTCCATCCAAGGGTGTCGCTGCCTGATTTGCCACAATCTCTTCTTTCGAAGTCTCTACCTGGGGCTGAGATATTGGCTCGGGCTCCTCGGATCCCTCTCTGCTCAATGAACGCATGATTTCCTCTCGAAGCCGATCATTATCCGTGTCTTGGGGAGAAGGGTCTGCGCTTCCGCCAGCGGGTATAATCGTGGGGATATTGCCACGATAGCCTTCAGTGCTAGGTTGGCCAGAAGAACCGAACTTGAGGGGAGCAACAAAGTCCTTCTCAGGTGAGGTGGAAGACGCATTATTCATGGGCTGTTCTGAAGGTGGGATCTGAACGGAGGGAGTCGTAGCAGCTACTTCAGCGTGAGCCGCTGAAGGAGCTTGGTTATCCATGACAACTGGTCTTTTCGAGGGATCATTATCTGGATGTGGCAGGCTCAGATCACGGCGGTGGCCAGGGATGAACTGAGGTCCACCATTAAGAGTGTCGGTGGGAGTTGACTCGGTAGGCTCCTCGGGAATAGTGGGTGTCCTGTCCTCAAAACTACGGTTGATAATGGGACTGACTCCAGACGTCCCGTCGCTATTCGTCCGCGAAACAGTGGGGGCGGTGGAATTGGGGGTTTCTGGAACATCAAAGGCCTGGTGTACTACTGACGTGAATCCTTGAGATTCTTGCGAGGCCTGGGAGTTATTATGATGCAAGGTGCTCTCCTGCTCCGGAATGGAAGGTGGCTGTTCAGAGCTCAGGTCGCTGCTTCCACCCAGGAAATCCGCACCAAATCCTGATAGGCGTTTGACCTCCGGCAGACCAACGGCTGGAGCTGCTGTATCTGAGGCAGCGCCTGAAGCATCAACTGTTGGTGCATCACTTCCAGCAACAGTCGGTTGTGCCGGGGCATTAAAGGGAGTACTGACCACCGGAGATGCAGCTGGCGAACCCTCCTGCGCACGTTTGTAAAGGTCTGCAGGTCGTACAAAAGGGAGTGTCTTCGGTTGAGGGCTTGGAGCGGGGGGAGTCGGCAATCCCTGATAAACGTCTTGAACTCAGTTCAGAGCTTGCTGTTCGTTGTGATAGGTAAGGAGGTGGTGGTGGCCCGGGCTCTTCTTCCTCTTCTTCGGAATCCTCATCACCCCAATCTCCACCATCATATGAGACAGACTTGGCCTCTACCCAGCGCTTCGTCTTTGCACGATTCACGTTCGGTCGGAAAGAGATTGGGGTGTTGCCGCCGCTGCCTGGGCTGTTCGCGAGCTGTTAGTTGAGGTTCCCCGGATCTTGTGCGACAGAAGCCCGCAGATGCTCTCTATCTTGCCGGCACACTTACGGGTTCTGAGTCGCGCGGCTCTGCCCTGGCATATTGGGATTCGCCATGAGGAGAGGAATTTCAAACTGTCCTCAATCAATCTCGCATCGGTTGTTGCCCGATCAAGTCGCAGAGGCAGCACAGCACCACAAAGTGTGATGCCCGCAGGTAGTCAAAAGCTCGAAGTCCTCGAGGGGGGAGACCACTAATGTACGAAGTAAACTCGAAGGAGGACAAGCAAAGTGGCGTGAGCGACGTTGGTGTAATAGCGTGATAGCGTTGCCGATCAGACAGGCTCACGGGCACGGGGTGGCGGGAACCAGGTTATTGTACAGCTGTAGATATTCAATGACGTGGGGATTCACCGGAGGCTTATATGATCTTTTGTACAGGAACAAGGGCCTCTTTGACCACGATTGGAAATGACTTCGGTTCTGCCCCTGACCCTCTATTTCTGGGGAAAGAGAGCCATCTAAATTTATCTCCACGGGTGGCGGTGCAGGTGGCGCGTCACATGACCCGTCGCGACGTGTTTCATTTAGGATTCAAGGGTAAGGCTTCACCGGGGTTCATCTATGGGAAAAGCAAGCTCAGGCAGTGGTGTCCAGTTAGTTCCTTTCTCAGATAGCCTGTTCTATCACTCCCGAACTCGATCTCTAAAACGGCCACTTGAACGCCAATTACTACATCCGGACGCCAGCTACCCCTTATCGATACAGATCGGCGTTTCAACCAACCTCCCCACGCTCTCCAGGTCCGCTCTCTTGGCTTTCATTTCTCTCGTCCCCACTGCAAATACCCAGGAGACCCGTGGATATCTTCAGTCCTTGCTGTTCGTGTCCCCCCGTGCCATAGCAGGATGACTGGCCCGTCTATTCAAGATCGAACCGGCGAGTTCAGTGCCATTCTCGGCCAGGCCCAAAAGCGCCTCGGCACATCGAAAGTCGGATCGCAGCGCCAAGCACTCCTCACTGACGCCCAACGGCGACAGGCTAATGGATCTCCATCGGGTGCGCAGGACGCCAAAGGTGGCCGGTCGGAATTTGCACGAAGAGCGCGCGATATCGGGAGGGGTATCACTGGAACAACAGCGAAGTTACAGCGACTTGCGGAGTGTGAGTTTCCGAGAGGAGGGAAAACGGGTGTCTCATGAATGATTGGCTAATTGGAACCCAGTGGCGAAGCGCAAGACCCTCTTCGACGATAGGCCAGTTGAGATCTCGGAGTTGACATATGTCATCAAGCAAGACCTGGCAGCCCTGAACCAGCAGATCGCCGGCCTGCAACAATTGACCCAGGCCCAGCACCCGAAAGCCAATCGCTCAAAGGCAGACCAGGAGGGCGAACATAATGATAATGTAGGTGGATCCTAAGAGACATGCGCGGTGAGTGCTAATATCAATTTTACAGGTGGTCGTTATGTTGCAAGGAAAGCTTGCCGATGTGGGCGCCAGCTTCAAGGATGTACTGGAGGTCCGAACGAAGAATATCCAAGCGTCGCGCTCAAGGACAGAGAACTTTGTATCGTCCGTATCATCAAAGTCGCAATCTGCCCTCGATACTCAACGCTCAGATTCCCCTCTGTATAATCCCTCGGGCCGACGAACTCCTCAGCCCGGATACCAAGGAAACTCGTCGGATCTCTTGACTCTCGATCCCTCAAATCCCTCACCTCTTAGTGGCCCTTCTATGCAATCAGACCAACAATTACTGGTGATGGAAGAGGCGCAGTCGAGCAATTCTTACACCCAAGCTCGTGGTGAGGCTATCGAGGCTATCGAGCGTACTATTAGCGAACTCGGCGGTATCTTCGGCCAATTAGCCCAGATGGTCAGCGAACAATCCGAAATGATCCAGCGCATCGACGCCAACACCGAAGATGTTGTCGACAACGTCCAGGGGGCTCAGCGTGAATTGATGAAATACTGGAGCCGGGTCTCCGGTAACCGGTGGCTCGTTGCTAAGATGTTCGGTGTTCTGATGGTGCGTATTCCCTATTGCTTCAACATTGTAGCCCCCGCTAATGCTTTCCAGATATTCTTCCTTCTCTGGGTCTTAATATCATAATAGACATCACCCGTCAGCTTTGTCCCCCTTGTGTATTATAATACGTTGCTGCACGTCCTAGATAACGGCTTCTTTTGCATGTCTTTCGGCATTTCCCCTTTCATCTTCTGGTTAGACTCTGGGATGACACCCTTTCGCCGATCTTTCTTTTTCTTTTTTTCTTTCTCTTTCGTTGCAGGACTGTGTCCTCTTCCGAGTTACCCCAGTAAATACAGCATGTACTAATCCGACTACCATGACACCATTCGAATCAACGCACTGCTAGAGCTCTATATCCATCCCTATTGTATATGTACACGAAGAGAAGCTAAGTTCAAGGACCCATCTGGATCATCGCGTCCCACAATCCAGACTCCGCCCATCCAATTGTGGGCTGATTGTCGAATAACTCCCACATCAAACTGTCATCCCAGCCCTCCACTGCCCCAGAATCGGCTTTACTGGCTATGGGACTGGGAAGAAGGTTCGGCTGATGAACAGACCGGTCGTAAATGTCAGGATACGGTGGCGCAAGATGGGCATTATTCGGGCCATTCTGTGCGGGAAGAAGACTCGCAGACGGGGGCCGTTGAGTGTTCTCCATCAAAGGCGCGCAGAGATCCATGAATTTCGAGAAAAGTCCGTACAGCTTTCTGAAAGGCGGGTGGATCTCAGCGAATTGGCGCAGGTCGTTGGTTGTGTTTCTCATCATCTCGAAGTCTTTGTGATCCGATGTTGCGACGACGTTGCAGAATAAGACGAAGAAAGGCGTGAGAGGGAAAAGCAAAATAGTCCTGCAGGAATCGGCGGGGTCAATCTTCATGGAGCATTGTCACGGAGGTTATGGTCTCTTACCAGGTCAAGAAATACGGATACCCAGTATCGGATACTTGGGTAGAAAACAATTGCTGTAGCGTACGTAATGTGGTTGATGCTTTTCGAGCCGCGTAGAGACAATCTTCACATACGGGGCGCGATTTCAGAACTGATGATCGGGCGCGGATGATAGTAGTCATGGTGGAATAGTAATTAAAGTCCATGGACAGCCATGAGCCTTCGAGGTGCCCCCAGGCAGATGCGAACTGCAGTTCCTGATGTTTCCGTTGCTGTGGAGATTTAGAGCGTGGCTAACAGCAGGGGGGGGGAGTTTCAACGTTCGAACGTACCACTTGAAGCCTAGAATGCACTTCCTTCGTTTGTGTCATCAGATCAGATAAAACATTCGCTTTTTCCTTTGCACTCATTGGCGTGGTTCCCAGTAGGATCGGTAGAAGAGTGTCTTTGAGGCAGGCCAATTCCACGATACCAGAGATTATCGGCTTGAATGGTAGCTCTCCGCTCATATGAACAAGGTCGACAGGGTTGACCTTGAGCTTTGGCATAGACATGGGCCGGAGGAGAAGGAGGCTGAGAGTGTTATCGAAGTAGAAACAAGTGTACAGACAAGCGTGAATCTCATCCTCCACGTCGTCTTGGGGTACGGTGTTCGTAATATTGTGATATCCTAGGGCGACAATAACTTTCGCCGCGTAAGAAACGAACATCCAACAGCGAGATTGGTTCCCTAAGTATTGCATGAGGCGTTTCTTACAAGGGTAAGCAGACAACCAGGAGAGAGGGGGATTAGCGGGACTCACGCCAGATAACAACGCCTGAAGCAGGATAAGGCTTGGAGGAGCCGACACGGATATCGAGTTGAGATCTCGAAAAGCGGCAGCTCTATACTGTCTCTGAAGATATTTGAAGTGTTCCCTCAGAGGCTCGCTCGGGGTGACGATGATTAACCCGAGAAGGAATGTAATGACTTTTGTCCAAACGATGACGCGGTAATAAAGTAAGGTATGTTCGTTTTCGGTTCCCTCAATGATAGCAAGCCCCATACGCTCCAAAGTCTTCGAGGAGATGTGATCAGGCCATATCCATAAATTCTGAGAATTTGTGACTCCATCGGCACCTGGAACAATTTAATATAGCTCTGAAGATCTCTTGGGAACACTCACCAGGTAGCATCATGTAGAGTAGCTCTGGGGTAAAAGTAGGACGCGGAAGATCCTCGTCAGTGTCAAACTCTTCCTCAACCTCCGCACCCCGAGTGAACCTAGGATTAGAAAGTTGACCGACGAATTTTCTGGCTGCTTCCAACGCCCCGCGTCTGTCCTGGGAGAGCGCTGGGTTACATTGGAGCTCGTGGTCAAGGTACTCTCGAGCTTCAGTAGCCTGGTGGGTGGCGTTTGGCGACTGGCGCTCTGTACGAAATCCTGCAACCGTACCTATAGACGCCTTTCGCTTTGGCTCCGGTAGAGCCGAAGGGCTCACTGAGCTGGAAACCGAGCTATTGGTGGTGGGATATTTTCTTTTGGAGGTAGATACTTGATTATACTGGTGAGCCTTGGGAGGCGATGGTAAACTGCGGATAGCTTCATGATTTGCAGCAAGCGACACTGGTGACGCGATGTTCGGGGCGCCATGGCCTGTTTTCTCAAGTCTGGCCAGTCGTTCTGCCAAGGCGTCAAGCCTAATAAAATCAAAATCATGCCAAATGATAATCATAGATGAGCTTTACCGAGAAACCCTTGGGCGATGGACTCTTGTCTGTCGGGTACGTAGACATTCCACGTGCGCATCGACGCAATTCATGCACGGGTCCTGGCGATCACATTTAACCTGCGGGTCAAGCTTAAGCTTCGCATGTACAATATAAGTGGGCCATGTTACAATCTCTGACCTTTCTGGAATGGCATAAATCACACTGTTGAGTTATTAGCTATGAGCTTCCCGGAAGCCTGTCGGAGGTGTCGGAGGATATAACCTACTGCCGGTATTGCAGATGGTGCGTCCATACTTGGCTTTCTTGAGCTTATACAGTGATAGGTAACTGAGATCTACCTATAATTGCGTATTCGACTGGCAAGCAATACCCCCGCGCTGCTTCAAGCCCCGGTGGATGCGAAAAGCAGCGCCGTTGCTGACGGCAAACTCCGAAATCCCGGGAGCCGAACGCGTTAGGTCTAGCGCGATAAGAGCACCGATCATTACTCGATCTAGCATGGAGGGAAACTTTCCGATGAACAAAGTGTTTTACGGAAGATATCCAATTCAGATTGTATTATGCTTAAGACTCTCCGTAGCACTGGTTACAATGAAGGGCCACCGCTGAGCCATGAAGCACGTGGACTGGTTCCTCGGCCGTATGCGGGATCGCTCCCTCTGCGACAATTCCTCAAAAGCCGCCCCAAACCATACCAGATCAAAGGTTGGAGCGATGATGGGTTTTTGGTGAGTAGACTGTCCAGTAGCTGCCATAAAATGTCCAAGGTCTTCTCGCATCCGCCACAGAAATTCTTTCCGGTGAGTCCAGTTGGCGGCGTGGGACGAGGAATCGATTCTTTCGTCATCCTTCGAAACGGCAACGAAGAACTCCAGGATCCGCTCAAGGGTTGAAGTAAGGAGGAGGAGGCTGACCCAGTTTTCCGAAGTCGAGGACTGAAAGGTTGGGCTCATGAGCCTTCGCACGGTGGAGCAAAGAAGATGCATGCAATGTTGGGTTTGAATGATTACTTGCGTATCTGTGAATGGCGCTCTCTGTAAAATTGCTCGTTGGGTTTCGATCGATGCATAGAGATCAACTATTCGATCCGGACCTTGCGGTTCAGAGACTGATGCACACGACTCGAGGAAGAATACAGCATATGCGCTACCCTATGTTAGTGCTTTGAGTGATTCTGCCTGCAAAATGATCCTTACAGTGGACGCAGGAGTTTGTGCTGAAGCATGCACACTGCTTTGCTGTAGACCACTTCTTTCTCAGTCTTGGACGACGCCCACATTGACCGTGCCACGGAGTCAGTCTCCAAATGGTATCGAATTTCATGGTCGGCCAAATGAAAAGAAAGCCGAATACATGTGACCCAGCATCGCTTGAGATCGACAAGATATGCTAAGGAGTATTCGGCGTCACCGTAGCCGCCTGCATCATATTGTGGCGGGGTGGGGGAAACAGATCAAATATAAAAGTCAGGTCCTCGCCTGGCGACGAGTGATCATCTGCATCGCGGTACATTCCGTGACTTTGACGCATTTCAATAAACGCATGGGCAATGGCATGTTCGTTTTCGAAGATGCGTTTGTGCAGGAACCGACATGTCAAGGCCAAGGACTCGATATCTTCTAGTTCGCATGTTGCAACCAAGGCAACAAACACCGTATCTGGCAGACAGCTCCAGGCCAACTTGTAGGGCACTGAAAGGGAGGCTGATCGCCTGCGTCGTGAGAGACGCGCCCGGAAACGATCGAGCAGCGGCGGCATAGTTTAATGTATGTGAGCGATCATCGCTGCGGAAATGCAGATATAGTTACGCTTTGATTTGGCAAGGGTGCAGTTTTATGGCTGCTCCCAAGCCGGCAGGAGCTAGATATATCTGCCACTGAGACACGCCTCCAGAAGTATGTGTGCGAAAAAAGGCGATGTTCCAGCCCGAAGTCAGACGACGTTGGAAGCGGCTGAAATGGAGTAAGGCTTTATGTGGCCTGGAATTCCAGGTGTCGAATAATCTTGACACGGCCCCGGTTATGACATTGCCGGAGAGTTCTTGGATTCTTTCCCAAAGGCTCTTCATATTCATGGGATCTTGGGATAATCATCCATAATATCTTATAAGCCAGCACCGAGGCACAAACAATAGCGAGCACGCATATACGAAGCGAGTCGCGTGCAGCAGGGGCTGGACACCATGGACCGGCCGGAGACACCGAAGCCCTACTCCTGTGTGATATGCCACAAAAGGAAAGTGAAATGTGACCGCCAGGAGCCTTGCTCAAACTGTTCAAAGGCCAACGCCGAATGTGTGTATCGGCCTCCGCCGCCGCCTCGGCGTCGCAAAAGGGAACGCGCCGACAGCGGAGACGCGTTGCTGGATCTTGACCAATCAATCCGGCGAGGAGCTAAGGAGCTTCCCCAGAATCATGCTGCCAAACAGGCTTCCACTAAAGATTTATTGGCTGACCCAAGCCAGCGTGGCCATAGTAGCGGGAGAATGATCATGAAACAGGGTAATTCTATCTATCTGGATAGGTAAGATCTGCCATGTCTCTGGTCTTTACTCGCACTGGCTAATAGCTAAGAAGCACTCTTTGGACGAGAGTCAGCCAAGAGGTTCGTGAAGCCTGATGCAATTTTTATTAGTATCCTGACCCGTCTATAGCTTCCCGATGCTACACATGTTTTGGACAATGCGTCAGATCATGAGAGCGATGATTTATCAGACGAAGAACTTGACGAAACACTCATGATCCTGGCTCCTGGGGCTGAGAATAGCCGTGCAGGCCTACATCCCAACCCAGTCCACATATTCAAACTGTGGCAGACTTTCCTTGAAAACGTCAACCCCCTTATCAAGATATTACATACTCCCACCGTCCAGCCGCAAATATTAGACGCTATGGTTGACCACGAGAAGATGAGCAGAGACCTAGAGGCCTTGATGTTCTCCATGTACTGCATATCGCTGATATCACTGACAGCAGAAGAGGTGGCAGAGTCATTCGGAGAAAGTAAAAAGAACCTGCTGCGAAGATTCCGGAAAGGAGCCCAGTTTGCTTTCAGAAATACATCACTCCTTCGCACCTCTAGCTTTATGGTACTGCAGGCTTTTATCCTATACATAGTAAGTCGATCTCAAGGTATTGGGGGCCATGGTATTAACGGCCTTGGTAGCTATCCTTGCGCGCGGTATCTGATCCCTCATCCGTCTGGACGCTAAGTGGCATTGCTATGAGGATCGCTCAACGAATTGGAATCCATCGAGATGGCGCTGGCTACGGCTTGTCGCCATTTGACACTGAGATCCGACGCCGAGTGTGGTTTCAGTTAGTGATCCTTGACGCCACTTCTGCGCAATCCTGTGGAGTGGCTTCAAGCCCGATGCTGCCAACGTCTGATTCTAGGCCACCAGCAAATGTTAATGATAGTGATCTGGATCCACTGATGAAACAACCACCAAGCGAGAAGGACGGAGTTACGGATATGATGTTCTGTCTCGCCCGCAGTGAATTTGGGAAATGGCTCCGCCGTTGGAGCGCGGCGGATGGATCCGACCCCTCTAACTCCCCATGGGCATCTTTGGCGTCTTCGTCAATGTCTTCCCGGGGAAAAGACGAAGCAGTCAAGGAACTGGAGAGTCTGCTCGAAGAAAAATACTTGAAATACTGTGATCCATCGATTCCACTGCATTCAGTTACAATTATGATGGCTCGATCCGCTATCCTCTACACCCGGCTTATGATCCATCACCCCCGGCAATACCAAGGCTCAAATACTCGGATCCCGCAAGTTGAAAGAGACATAATGTTTCAGAATTGCTTGAAGATGGCTGATTATGCCAACTATGTGCAAACTTCCACCGCTGTTCGACGTTTCTCCTGGCACACAGAAAACCACATGCCTTGGGATGCCATGATCTTCTTGCTATCGGAGATCCGCTCTCGTGCTGACCCCGAAGAGAAGAAAAAAGTTTGGGAAACTGTGGGCAATATTTACTCACGCTATCTCGCGCAGCGAAAGAGGAATCTAGATGCGCCTCTGCAAATGGCTCTTCAAAATTTGATTACCAAGGCCTGGAGAGCTTATACTGCGGATTGTAGTACTAATCAGCAAACAACTGCTCCATGTCCGCCTGTCGTGTCAACCCTTTTGGAAAAGGCGCGATCCAGAGGTCTGACGAATTTGACCGGGGGCTCTTCTCAAGCTGCAGACCCAGACCACTTAGTATTCAACCCGGACACATCGCCTTCGCGGGTCATGAGCGACGGAACAGACTTGGATTTCATATTTAACGCCGACAGCCCGATGGATTGGAACGAATGGGACAAATTTTTGAATCAGTTCCAAGGGCCTTTCCTGGATGGTATGGCGGGGAGCATTTCCTGAACTATCTCAGGGCTCGCCTGTGCCACAAGTAAAGTCCTGAGATTCGATTGAGCTTCTGAGCTCGAACTCGGAGGCTGCCCAGCCGGCTGGCCGACTTTGCAGATCCTTACGCGTTTATTCCAAGATTTGAGGGTCACAGATCTCTCTAGATCTACGGTTACAAAACAATATCTATCGCATCTATCAACTCATGGCACCTTCAATCTTCCGTCTTCAACTTTTCTCCTATAATGTCTCAACCGGAGGTTCATACCACCGGTGCGGGACTACCGGTCTCGTCCTCGCTCTTTGGCTGCACGAAGGGGCATCAAAATTCGAACAGTCCATCGGTCCGAGAGGCCCATTAGAAGCTCTTGCGAAATCCTCGTACAGGTGCGCATTTTGGAATTGCACCACCAGTTTGGATTGGCCGAGCAGCTTGTGGCTGCCTGATGGTATGACTCGAGCGACCATTTCTCCACAATCAAGATATTTGGTGATAGATTCATGTATACAGCGAGTCACGGTCGGAGCCGGGAGAGCGGTGTTCAGCCAAGAATGTGCGGTTGACAGTCTTCCCATGGGGTACATCCAATGGCCAAATTGGGCTAAAAAATTCTGTGTATCTGCTGCGCCCGGATCAGTATATTGCAGCGATCTTTGCGAGCAGTGTGCCAAAGCTAGAGAGCTATTTGGAACGTGGCTTGGAGCACTGGAACCCGTTGTCTTGATGGTGGTGAAAAATTTATTTTTGAAATTTCACTGAAAACATCCTGTTTACTCAATGCAGGATCACCCTAGTTTTATGACCAAGATAGGCAACCGTTGCGACCTATAGCAGTTGAGCCCCAGAAACACTGGAGCCTGGTAGTGTCCTTTCCGCAGTACTCCTAGTGCAAACTTGTTTATGCAAACCGTGAGTCTAGATCGAAAAATCACAGCCACACACGCTCAAAAGAACTTGAAACTTCTGAAGGCTGAAAGTTATCGCCTGCTAAAAATAAGGCTTGTAGTGAGATCGACTGGTCGGCTACAAAGAGGCGCTATCATTGGCCCGATGCGCGCTGGGGGTGGGGATACCGGAATTTATGGAAAATTCCGGTCGTGTTCAAATTATCCATGTCGACGCCCTTTTCCCTCGGCCAGAAAATTCCTACGGATTATTCGTCTCGAAGAGGCTCGGGAATTATGTCTGAACGAGCTAAAGCTGTACCCCGCAGTGCGAGCTGGGGAGCCGCGTGCGCCCCCTGTGCAAGGGCAAAGGCTCGGTGTATCCGGTCTAATAAGGCGGCCGGAGACAGATGTGATAGGTAAGTTGTCAGAGATTCCTCTATATACGCGAGAAAAAGCACCCTATATTGTTACTTCTGTTGCTGATTGTGTAGATGCGAGAATCTACAGAAAAGCTGCGTGGAGCAAGCTCCTAAGACAAGAAAAAAGCGACAAGCAAAGCTCTCGTAAGCACAACAGCATGGTAGTGACCTATCGAATGATACTCACTGGCTTTTTGCAATAGGAGGTCACAGCAGCTGGAAGCAAAATTGGACAATCTGCTCGAATCATTAAAGCGGCCAGAGCAGAACCCGAATCTAGGCCATCTGGGCATGCAGCTCCGCGACAGCCCAGAGGGCTCAAAAGCCCACTCGTCATCAATATTCACGGGCGGACAGCCCGGCAAAATCCAAACCAGCGATACAGGCTCAATTGAGATAGCTCCTCTACCCGGGTACAATACATACGCACGCCCACTATGTACCTGTTCAGAGACGATCGAGCAAGAAGACCTCGTCCCATCACAGCCTGATGAGGTTCTGTTATCAATATATCGGAGCCAACTGAGTGCTCAATTCCCCTTTGTGATCATCCCACCAAGAGTGACTCTGGCAGAGCTCCGAGAAACGCGCCCTTTCCTGTTGAAAGTCGTCAGAATGATCGCTTCGATTCGAAACCGAAGGTCGATGTGGGGACAAAGCCATGCAGTCATGCGTCATCTTACGGAAGCGGCGATGATTAGGGGTGAGCGCTCTCTGGACTTGCTGCAGGGGATATTGATGTTTGTAGGTTATTTTCACTATTACTGCATGGCGCATGGGCAGTTCAGCAATTTGATCCACTTGGCAGTGAGCATGATCACCGATACGGGGTTGGACCGGCATTCCAAGCCCCGTGAGAAAAACCAGTTTGTTGCGATGGATCGGGAGGAGCCTAGGAAACTGACAAGCGAAGAGAAAAGGGTGGTTCTCGGAGTTTGGTATATGAATTCGAAGTAAGTGCAGTTCATGGCTTATACTTTTGGAACGGCTCCATGTGCTCACGGAACCTCCAGTGCTGCTCTGACTTGGAACATAATCAACTCTACATGTTTCACAAAGCACTTGCAACAATGTCGACAGGAGCTGGAGGAAGCGCCAGAATACGAAACAGATAGGCTGCTTGTCGAACTGGTCAAGATCCAGCACCTGACCGAGAAGATCTTTCGATTCAACCATAGAGAAGAGTTAGTGGACACGATGCCTGGTTTCACATCCCCGTCCGAAGAAGATGCACTCTTGTACACAAGCAGCTTGGAGGCCGAAATGGAAGGCATGAGGCGATCATTACCGGCCAGCCTAGAACATAACTGTAAGCGCCCGTCCGCGTCCCAAAAGATGCATCTTGCTGACACTCCCCTTAGACCTCCTATCGAGTCACTATAGCATTACGCACATACGGCTCTATGAAAACCTATTAGCCAATTCCCACCCATGGGAAGAGCGAATGACACAGTCTCTCAGCCCAGCATCCGATTCAACGCAGTCTGAACACAACATCCACTACGCCGCCGCAACACAAGCTGTGCAAGAATGGCTTCACACCTGGCTTTCAATACCAGTCTGCTACTATTTCTATATGCCTCAACCAGGAATTAGCCATCTTATTTTCGCCGCAACAATGCTCGTGAGACGAGCCCGGCTGGTCCTGCTCGCCTGGGGCCAGCCCGCACAAAGAAGCGCCACAGGCAGCGCAGCAGGAACCGCACCATCCGACCGCCCAGTGCCCAAAGCAGTTCCAGCTACAGTCGGATATACCCCCTTCCAAGGGTTCTTGATAGAACCTCTGATCACACTGGCCGGACGGTTCGAAAGCGCGAAGCAGGAAATTGGGGTAGCGCACGCTACCGAATGGAAGAATGACTTCTTCGATATCGCCGGTATGATCTTGCGCAATCGAGCCGACCGTATCGAGAAGTGGTGCGGGGTGGTTAACGCAAAGGGCTTCTTGCCGAGGAAGCACACGGCCTCGGACTCGCTGGAAAGTCCGAATGCGTTCCGGACGGTGGATGACATGCTGTTTGAGCAGGGGAATGCGCCGCTGTTTAATGATGCTGATTTGGAGAATTGGCTTTGGGCGGGTGACTTTTTTTGACGGGATGGGGTTGAATCCAGGCCCGATGGATGGGTTTGGTGGTAGTGATCCCGTTGCTGGGATTTCAATGGGGATCGCTGTTGATCCATCTGTTGTTTATCGATAACCCGTGACAAAGCGAATGGATTGTTAGTCCTGAGGATGACGAGACGTATCACGGCTAGATCATGAGTTTGTCGAGGCTTGATCCTGAGGGTTCTACGCACAAAGGTAAGGTGTATTCTAGGACTACCACGACACATTTTTTGGACCCTTTAATTTGCTGGAAATCGTCTACGATTGGTGATACATGTGTTTATTTGGAAAACTCCACGAGCCGAGATCGAAAATCAGCTTGTGATAAATCCCATGTTTTCCACTGGAATTTGGAACAGCACATTGTATAGGCATACTATCTACAAGTTTCGCGTTCACAGGGTTCCAAGAATATTCCAGAGGCCACTGCAGACGATCACTGGGCCTTGTCCTTAAGTTGACGCATCTTGCGTTCATCCATCCAGTGCCGCATTGGCTCCCACTTTCGACAGGTGTGAGTTTGGCCAACTCCGAGCCCTATAGACATACCTTCATGGTGATAGAGTGGTACTGGTGATAGGTCGCCCTGGCATTGTATAGCCTGGCGGAGCTGATCCAGGCAATGGTCCATGTGAATTCTTCCCCAGTCCGGAGGAAAAGCGGTTGAATTCTGTATCTCCATCTCAAGATGACTAGGGCCGAGTTTGGAGTAATAGTCTTTGTCAAGCTCTTTGCGGACCGCATTAAGACAATGTAAAGAATGAAACATATCAGGCCTGGGGAAGTGTCAGTTTGTCTTGAAAGAAACTGAGATATAGTATTTCATACTCAAAATGGTAATGGCCGGACGCAGGCTCTACAGTCAGATCTGGTAGGTAAGGTGCCGCTTCTTCAGGAGTTAATCTGACAAATTCTCCTGTGAAAGAGTCAGTCTTAGTGGAGGGAAATATTTGGAAAGGCTGATGTACCTCTCAGGAGATCACCCCAGGCACGATCAATCTCGGGACCGGGAGGTCCAAAATATTGAGGTTCTGCTGGATCGATTTCCCGATAGACAGTTTTAGTTTCTCTGTCGAACCACAGCTTTCCTGAAAAAGTCCGCTCTTCAAGAACGATATGCGGATGCGAATCTTCGAGGTCTGTTCGGTAAGCTGGGCCTGTTGTTGGAAGGCAGTAGCTCTCTCTGTGTGCAACCTGATGAAGGAGAACGTAAATGACCACCGACCCCAATGAAAACGTCGAGGCTATCCAAGGCCAGACCAGAGGAGCCCGAGGCTGTTCCCAAGTCCATTTTTCAAGAAACGGAAGTTGCTCTTGGGAAGAACCATTCGGCTCTTCTGCCCGATATTTCGTATAAACATAGTCTTTAAGAGATTTAAAGAAAGCCATTTTTTGGTCCGAGAAGTATTGTAATGGGCAGTTTGGCAAGCAGAGATCTGATTCCGGCGAGATGTGTTCATATGTGCTGGCAGTTCCCAGTGACGTGATCTTACTAGGCCCATAGACTTCCCAGAGAAAAGGTATCCCAAAAATGACGTCTGTTCGACTAGATTGGACCAGAAGAATGCTTGCACAATCAGTGAAGTCGGAAGAAGCATGGTGATCGATGATCAACTTGAATGATCGGCAGCCCAATCAATGTCTTGGGAGGCTCGCCCCGCATTCTTGATGAACACTTCTCTCCATGTTTCAAAAGATCAGCCTTCTTAATGACGTAGTCTAAGGTGGGATCTGGAGTGGTTTTTCTCGAAAGATCGCAAAAGAGATTTCGGGGATGCAGCGCGATTTGCCCCTCGCAAGGCGGTGATCTACATAGCTTCATTGCGATGTGGCACGAAAAGCGAGGCCGCTGACGATAAGTCACCCCAATATGATCTCATAATTCCAAGCGCCACTGAAGCTCTCTGTGCAGTTTTGAAGGAACCTGATGGCTATAAAGTTGGCCAAAATTCCCCTATGGCGGCTCACCAACATACAAGACAACTTTTCAAACAAACATCTTCATAGATCAAGTAAGCTGCAATGTCTCTTTGATGGAGGCCTTTGATCTGTTTTACTGACGCAACACAAGACCCAAACACTCCATCATGAAATTCTCAGTTGCCATGATGTCCATGACCGCTGGTCTGGCTATCGCAGCTCCCATGGTCAACAAGGAGATGCCTGAGACCCCGGCGATTACCAAACTTGGCGGTAGTGCTGAACCTGCCATGATCAATAAGCGAGCCGCCCACATGGACATGTATGCTAAACGGGGCTTAGGCGATGCACCCGAAGGTGACGCAACTATCAACAAGCGTGGCAACGCATATGCCTTGGAGGGCGACTCGATTGATAGGCGTGGTATCAACGATGCTTTGGAGGATGATTCCCTCAACAAGCGCGCCTTGGAGGGTGATTCCAACAAGCGTGGCGACGGATATGCTTTGGAGGATGATTCCCTCAACAAGCGCGCCTTGGAGGGAGATTCCAATAAGCGTGGCTACGGACATGCTTTGGAGGGCGACTCGATTAATAGGCGTGGTATCAATGATGCTTTGGAGGATGACTCCCTCAACAAGCGTGGAGCTGGATACTCAGATGAGATGCCCGATGTCTCCATCAACAGGCGAGGTCTCGACGGTGATTTGGAGGATGACTCCCTCCATAAGCGCACTTTGGAGGGTGATTCCCACAAGCGTGGCTACGGACATGCTTTGGAGGATAGCTCCCTGGACAAGCACGCCTTAGAGGGTAGTTCAAACAAGCGTAATGCCGAGCATGATGCCATGACTATGCGCGACTACGCTGCCAGCAATATGAATGAGGTGAACTGAGTGAGCCGGAAAGGACAATGGACTCTAGAATTTCATTCGGGTCTACTGATGGGGTGCCAATGTTGAAATGTCGATAGCTTTGCTGGTGCTTGTCAGCTTGGTTTGTACTACTACCACTAGTATGCATCAAATAGCTGACACCGTGAGGGAAGTGTGTTACATTTTTCATTTACTTTTTGCCATTATTCTGTGTTGTTTGAACGTAGCAGCTATTTGAAAATCGCTACTGAACTGTCCAGCCTCTTTCTTGACCGTACGTTCCTCCCGCTTGAAATAACCATCGCATGCTTTACGCCAATCTTCTGATCCGACAAGAGTAAATTCATAGTCGTTCTGGCCTCCAGTCCTATCCCATCCCCGACTTCGAGCCTATCGTAATATAGCCTTCATAAGACCACAATCTGCGATACTGTTATATATTGTTTTACGGCCTATGTGTGCTACCCCACAAGAACCCAAAGTTAGAATTACCAGTACATGACTGCGGAGAGCTCTCAAGCGACGGTGAGAAACGTGGCGAAGATAATCGAATGCTTTGTTACTAGCTAGGGCCAACTCATTGGTAGCATCTCTGCTAACATTTTTATTTTAGCGCACCCAATGCACCTGATTTCATATGTATATTGTAGATGGATAGGTGTTTCATCAGAGGCGAGCTGCGTTGTCACGCTACCTTGTCCTATGTTGCTCGGGCCACCCTTCAAATCGAGCAAAATGGGCCGAAGGGGGCCGCAGGGACATACAAATGGGGGTTGAGAAGAACGAAGCGAAAAGGCTCCGCTGTCAGCGGTGAGAGCGAGGTACATTGCCGTCTTGGAAATCATCAGCCCCGAGATGTCTCCGAACGCGTAAGTGGGCCGCAAGTGCTGTAGCTTAAAAGGGAGATTGAGTCCTCATTGCTTCAGAGGAATACATGAGGCTATATATAAATCAAACATCAAGTTGAATTCCAGTCAACTTGGTGCTTTCTAAGAGATATACAAGGAATTCATTCCGGTGAAGAGGCTCTGTTTCTGATCTACGCCAGCCCCCTACCACAACAGGCCAGCTACCGTGATAGTCAACAAATTGGTCCGTCGATGTAATACATTTCACGCAACTCACCAACCACCGCCGAGTTTCAAGCGGCAGAAAACGCGTTGTTGTTTCCGCGCAACAGAATATCACGTGCCTTCATCACCTCTGATTAACGACGCCCCTGCCCTCTCACCATACCACTTGTATTCTCTCCAAAGGCCTTCTCGAATAAAAAGGAAGGAAAAAGGAAGGCAGAATTCATGAGTTAAGCCATAATCATGGTATCACAAGTTGAGGATCAGCTTCAGCCAACGTCTGCGCAGTTGGACATTGCGACAAATGAAGCTCGGGCGTACTGGTATTCGCTAGCCGACGAAGCTATTGCCCTTCTTCAAGATAGAATCATGCTTAGGTCGGTCGTACCACAGGATATGCTGTCACAGGTTCCAGCGTTGCCAGCCACGCAAATTGCAGTCAACAAAGTTACTCTCTCTGACGAGATAACAAAGGCGCTTCTTACAATTGCGACATCGGCAACGAGTTTGGCTGAGCCCGAGAAATGCAATGCTGAAGCTGTTTCAAGGGATATCGAAGCAGGCTTGTTGGTAGGGGTACAATCACCTATTTCATGCAATTTATCCGGAACTTGCTTTCAACGGTTGCAAGCAAGTGGAACAGGGGGGGAGGAGAACGCCAAATCTCATTGGTGTACTATCACTAGCATGGGCTTATATCCTCTCAGCCTATTTCATCGAGGTGCAGCAGCATGAAGGCGCAGATATGGTTTACACAGACTCTGCTGCGTCTTGGCGGTGCTATGACATGGATCCAAATGCGGAAGATACGTCTTCTATCAAAGTCGACATCGGCAAGGCAGATGAAAGAGCTGCTCGGTGGTGGGCAGCTATTTTAGCCCCTTCCAAAGGATGGAAAGCAACTGTTACTCAGAGGAATGGGACATCATACATCTCACCTTGGTCACTTTGTTTAGAAAATGAGCCTGGGTTTGGAATTATATGGCAGGACAACGGTACCGGAAAGGAGGGCACTGCACCTCTTTGCCCTCTTTCATCTCAATCTGCCTTGGAACTCTTAGCTGAGTTTTGCTCCTTACATGACTTGGGCGGACAATGCTGGGCCGCTTTTGCAACAGCATTGACCTTTCCGACACATAAACAGTACGAAATTACTATCCAACTTCCTCGACCAACAACAGCCCAGGGACAAGCAAAGCATTCTTCAAACATACATCTGATTAGCGAATATCTCTCGGCTGGCAGGGACCTTGCTTATTATATCTCTCTGAGTTGCAATTACAGTGTCCTGATATCTAGTCTCTGCGGATCGTTTTGGGAACCGAGCATTGCATGCAATCTTGTCAGTCCATGGCTGCATCCAATTTTGGAGAAGGTCCCTAGAGCCACCGGAATAGCAGAGAACGCAGGGCGATATCATGAAATAATTGCTCTTTTATGCGGCATGCGCCGTCCGCGACTTAAGGGCCTTTGGGAGGGAGCTGCCCTAAGTGGGCTTGTGCCCAAGGTCATCGATCTTGTCAAGAGTGGAACACCTCCTCTTGATCCAAACGGCTTTCCTTGGACAGCTTCTCCTCAGACTTTCATGGACTCATGTGGCGCAGGGCCATACTTCTATAGACGAGCTTCCGGCGACAACGCTATCAGAAGAAGTGATGCTTGGAGACTTCTATATCTCCCCACATCAGCGGATGATGGCCTTTACTATAATAGTCTCCCCTTTTCACCATGGTATCCTACCGGCGAAACTGTCGAGAAAAATTGTGCATTTCGAGTTCGTGTGCACAAATCATGTTCAAGGCACCGTCTCGCCCAGACCTCCTGGTCCTGGCAATTACAAGATGGCTCATCTCTCAATGGCCGCATATTTCGCGCGGAGGAACCCGTTTATTTGCAGCCATCTAAAGTTGCGCGATCTCGCAAAACTCACAGATTCGTTTGCCCACCAGTTGCTCTCTCTCCGTCGCAGGACGCATCGCATGCAGCATTCTTCGAAGCGTTCCGCTGGGTATTGGCAAATCATGAGGGAAGACCGAATTCTGAGCCAGTATATGATGATGACTGGATTGCTGGCTGCGACGATAGCGATGAATGTTATTCGGAAACAGAAGAAATCTCTCATAGCAACGTTCCCACCAACAACAATGAGGAAATATTTGCTCAGGAGCTGAAAGGCTGTGTTGACCGGGCTTTGTCTTCACAAGGAGATTCAATAAAATAATGGATTGAAAACACTTTATGATATAGTGAAGCTGAACTAGAAATCAGATCTATTACACTTGACAGAATGCTAGCCAGAAGTATCCAATAGTCCTTGTAAAAATGGGGCTGTCCTGCGATGCTCGGGACATTTCTTATAGATTCTCCACGCTTGTGCTATATAGGAATGAAACTGCAACCCCCAAGGGAAGGAGCAACAAGAGAAGGTTTTTGATAAAAAAAAAACCAAAAAAACATACAATAGTCAGGGTTCCTATGTGGCCACCCACCATAGTACTAACTGACCAGCGTGTGGCTTAAACGTGGTGAATAGTCGGTGGGTGCCGCCTGGGTGAGAAAGGGTGAGAGTGGGTGAGGATCATGCCACCCCGCACTGACCCTTTCAGCCACAGGCTAGTACTGTGCAGCTGCAGGCGTGACGTGGCGATTCAGCCTCATTTCGATGAATGAAATTGCCGCTGTCTTTCCGGCTTCCTATATCCAAAATCCCTTTGTGACACCCCCTCTGCGCCTCCAAGATAGGCTCAAAATGGCAGAGCTCGTTGGAGTCATCTCTGGTGGTGTTGGCATTGCTTCCTTTGCCCTCCAAATTTCAAGCAACGTTAATTCTTTGAGACGAACTTATCAGTACAACAGGAACAAAGCATCACAGGAACTCGAGGAACTCGCCCACCGTCTCGAGTTCTTGAATTTGCTCTTGGAAGACCTCCAGCCTTTTGAGGGGAAACCGTCTGTTGATCTTGCAATTAGAAGCTGTCAATACATATACCATGATATGGACAAAGCTTTGAAGTTATTACAAGAGAAGATGCACAGGGCGCCAGCTGGCTGGAAAGGCGACTGGAAGTTAGCGAAAGGTTGTCTTTCTAGGCAAATTCGCGAGGAGATTCATGACATTGGACACAAGCTTATATGGATGACCCAAATGATGAATACGTGAGTACTCATGATTGAGCGACATCAAGAGATTTCTAGCTCATATTCAGCTCAAGTGCACTCTGCACGGTGTCAGTTCCCCCTAGAGGTATCGCGGGAAACCATGCCGACTCCCCCATATCCCACGACACTCCCCCCAACTGCCACGAGCAACCGAGAGAATGAAAAGGCCCTCACGTCAAATGAGAGTGTCGCTCGCTCACAGCCCAGTGCATCTTCAGTGACTCGACGAAAATCCTGTGTCGCACGACACTGCCATTGTTCATGCCATATGACCGAGAGCAGCTCAGGCCGTTATTGGGGTCTGCAATACACTCCGATTTCGATGATCTTTGCGGAATGCGATAATAATAAATGTGACATGAAGGGAATTTGTTTGAGCTTCAGGGTTGCTTTCAACAAGTTCAGCATTCCATGGGCACTTTTGCTAGACTTCCAATTTATTCTCGGTGCTAGAAAGTATTCTTTGCGGCCCGCCCTTAGCTTGCAACGAGTCGTGAACTATACATCACCCGGATTTGAGACTATATGGAGATGTCGAAAGGGCCTTCTTCCACTTTCAGAAGCGCAGGATCAACTCCGGAGACTGAACAGATCGCCGTCGCCTCTGTCACAGCACATTAATCCAGCTGGAGACAATTATATCCGGGTAAGTTTTATGTTCCAAGGTCAAATTTAGCTAATTAGATTCTAGGACCTTCTCTGTTATGGACCATGGAATAACCAGAATAACCAGTTTGCTTTGTTGGGGTTTTTGGTCAAAGAGTTAGACATGAGACTTGAGGATGAAGATAATCAGTTTGTTTTGCACCAAGTGCTGGTAAAAGAAGCTTTCACTGATTCAACTATAGGACACTGATCCGTTGCGCCTCGTGGATAGGCGAAGGATCACATATCGGGTTACTCGAGGCCATCCTTGAATTAGGATTTGACGCCAGTGGTATAGATTCACCATTGTTCCAGAAATGGCCCTCGCCTTGTTCACCTAATTGGATTTCGGAAGAGTTCACACCTGACCCATTTTTCCTGGAATATCTTGCTATCATTTCGAAAGACAACCCGGGTGAGTAGAGAACCGGTGTTCTCGTAGTGTTCGTGCAGCGATGCAGACCTAATACAAATTCTCAGAATTCGGAGGGTCTACAGCCCTCCATGACGCTGTACTGCGCAGATCGCCAGCGACCGTGCGATCCCTCCTTTCAAATGTGTCCGGCTTGGAAGATTGCCGCAACTTTCTAGGCCAAACACCCTTGCATCTCGCAGTCTGCGATCCGGAAATATTCACTATGGTTCTGGATGCTGGGTTTGATATGGACTCGAGGGATGAATGGGGGATCACTCCCCTAATGTATGCAGCTGGGATGGGAGTAAGTGAGGTCGTACAGTTACTCATCTCCAAAGGCGCAAATATAATGGCCCAGGCTACATATTTGAACCGGGGTTTCGTGGATTACGCATCTGCCCGCGGACACTGGGATTTAATACTCGAATCACTGAAAACTATTCAGCTATACTACTGTGAACAAGCCTTTCAGGATTGCGTGTGTTGGGCTATTCTCAGATTGATTTACAGCGACAACATCACCTTATCTGATGGTTCGAGAGAGAAATACTTTGTGGGTTATCTTGATCTTTGTGAAAACTCGAATTTCACATTCTCAGATAGCTATAGAGGTACAGATGGCAATAACCTCTTGCACTATGTCAAAACAGAGAAGGAGCTGCATGCTCTTGTCAATCACGGCTTTCATGACTTTAACAGACCCAACAGTGAAGGCGAAACTCCAATCTTCTCCATTTTGAGCCGTGTCTCGAATGCAGACTTGCTTCGGTGCTGTGTTGATAACGGGACTGATATCAATTACGTCAGCCATAAGGATCGCACGATCATATTTTCGCTCATATCAGAGCTGAGCGGCTTTTACTATACCACTTGGGATACAGTGGATTCAATGAGGTTCTGCTTGCAGTTAGGTTTGGACATCTTTCATACGGACAGCTGCAGATGTGCTTGTTCAACTAATGGCTGTCATACCGCCTCCGCCTTCGATTTGAGTTTCAGATCTAATTATTCCTGGAATCAGGCGAGATTTATCTGGACTCTTGAATGGCTTTCAAAAATTGAGGAACTATGTGGGTATGGGGCATGTAAAAAGATGCTTCTGGCATTGATTCGCAGAATGCGTTTTGATATGCTTGAGATAACCCATGTCTGTTGTCAGGGAGAGGCCGGCTTAAGATCAAGATGGGAATTCGCTCAGACGAGGCCCAAGGAATTTGGAGGGTCATTACACGAGGAGCGACAGGCGATAATGACATTGGAGCAAGAGATGGAGGATTACAGCGCAGAGAGCTTGGAAAGTCTCAGATGCCAGTTGATGAATCTCGCCAAGGAGAGATATGTCAAGGCTAGCGTTGCAAGCGATGCAAGAGCTGCAAGCCGCAGAAGGACATACGAAGTAAGTCGCCTTTCAGATATGAAATTAATAGTGCAGTCTATCTGATAAATCAGTCTGGCTTTACTGTCGACTACAAAAATGACACTTTCCGTTGGTGCGTCGATTGTACTACCAGCACCGGGTATAACTTGACATGCGACATATCACAATATGCCTTCTGGCTGCAACACGAATATTTGCGAGGGTACAAAGATCGCGAAACTGGCTTCGTTCAACAAGGATGGTACGAAAGGCGGACTGCATGGCTTGTTGAAATAATCAGCGTGATGGGAGTTTCACTTCAAACAATTAAGCAACAAATGGAAAACATACATCTTGAGGAGACAAGGTTGGAGAAGATTGATTCAAAGGCTGTCGTCGACCAATTTTGGAGTTCTGCAAAGGATAAACTTGCCTAGGACCTAATACCAGATGTTATATGGTCATATTAATGGCGACCAACATCTTGACTATCAATACATTCGTTCCTAAATTCACTGACTTTACTTCAGTTATCCAAACCATACGCGGTTAGATCTTGCTTCATGATCCCTGGAAGTACATAACTAAACATTACTTTCTTTTCCACCAAAACTTTTAATCTTCTTTCCTCTGCTAATTGGGAATCCACAGAAATGAAAATTCCGATCCTTCAAAGGAAGGAGCAAAAGAAAGCTTAAAAAACATACGACAGTCAGGATTCCCATGTGGTCACCCACCATAGTACTAACTGACCGGCGTGTGGCTTAAGTACGGCTGAGCGGACGGGAAGCCCTGTTCTCCACACCCTATGGTCGTATGTGCTAGACGATTCGAATGACTGCTCTATATTATACTGCTGATCCATGGGTACATGCTGCTGGCAAGGTGTCTTCTATGTAGAATACTGGCGTACCTTTCCCAGGTTTCATGTATGTGTCCCGAAAATATTGAGGTCACGCAAAGGAATCGATAATAAGGAACCTTCTGTATTCGAGTACGCGAGACAGGAGAACAATGTCCCGTCCCGTACGAATCATACGTAGCCCAATTCGGAACTGGTTGTTAGGCCTAAGACTGGTTTCGGAACGTCGAACTGGGCAATACCGGCGGCAATTATCTGGGCTTCCAAAGGCTCACTTGGGTACTATAGTCTGATTGTCAGATACAATCATATTATGAAAGACGACTGCGTTTAAGAGCTTGGCGAAAAGAATGCACGGGTTTCTCCAATTATTGTAATTGTGGAATGCTCTCGATAGTCAAGAGCTTCGGTTTAAATCCAATTATTACAACCTGGCAGGACCCGAGGTTTTGTACGATTGCTTTATATTGTATCACAACCCATGCATCAATATGCATATCGATCATGTGTATATATCACGCATATAAGCTTTGAAGAAAGAGACATGTGCTACCGATCCGCTTCATTTGGCTCTTTCCAGACCTCGATCCACCGAAGAGCGATTTACCTATACCTACTGGATGTACCTTTCATGCAGATATTCTCCGGAAACGAGCTATTGGTTCTCCTCGTCAATTTTATCCTCCTTGCGCAACTTTTATAATATAAAATGCCCAAGAACATCAAGCATTGACCACAAGCAAAATCCTATACGTAAATGATTGCACTGTGCAAAGGAATGCATGCAAAAAAGTGCAAAAAAAATTGTTTCACGAAGCTGTACGCAATCTGCTCACCAAGAATCTCTTCAATTTTTTCGATCTATTTGGAAGAGCATGAAGATACAGACTGAGGGCCATCGGCAGTGGTCACGGCGTTCTTTCATGCCCACTTCAGAATCTTGAGCTTACATCGCGGAATGCCTGGTCTGCTGTTGTCCATCGCTCAATTAAAGTTCGTCTCTGTATCCCCGCCACGACATCTTCGACATCAACCCAATGTTCACAGAGAAAGGATCTCCATTGCGAGAACGAGAAGTGGCAGCTATATTCTCCACTCGTTCCTCATTTCTGCCAAGGAATGAAGGCTATTGTTTATTCCACTTTGTTAAGGCCACGGGGCTCGTATTGGGTGGTGGGATGTGAACGTAAGAAATAAGTGAAGAATGGGACGGTGCCATTTAATTGGGTTCTAGTGTCAGTGGCCGAGTGATAATATGGCCTTATCTATGGGATAAGCCAAACCCTGACGTTATTCGAATGACCCTTAGATAAAGGATAGGTATTAGCACCATTTTATGGATGTATTATTGCGTTATTCTAATCAAAAGCAATCAGAGTGGTAACGACCAATCGAAATTATGGCTACTGTATTCCAATTAACTAATCAGGAAGATACAGAATCACATTGATAACTGGGGAAGTCAGGATCAATTTTGATATGTAAGCGATGTTTAAGCAATTGGGATAGTATGTCCTTTCTGTCGGGAACTCCATCAATATTTCTCAAAGTGGTTCGGGTTTCCCCTTGGAAGGATACCCAGGGGGGGGCACGAATCATATCAAACGGATTCTCATAGCATTCGCCAATGACGCCAAAAGTTGCAACTTGGATTATTCGGTTCATTTGAATACTCAGAAGCTGACGTTGGGTTGTCTCTTTCAGAGACTTTTTATCTTCTTCGGATATCTTGAAGCCTTGAGTTTTTTGGCAACAGTCACATTCGGAAGTGCAATGCCCAACCCCAAGCTTTCGCTTGGAAGAAGGCTCGCGAATCCAGCAACAGTTACAACCACGGGCACAGCAACCATTCTTGCGAGCACAGTCATCCCTCAGTACCTGGTGCATGTACCATTTTGGATGAGATCGCCATAAATCAAACCCTCTCTGCTGGGTCCCATCTGCTAAACAGTTGTAGCAATGGGCCCATTTCTGTGTGAGGAGCCAGTACCGGTTATTCAAATATTCAAGTCTTGTAGTAGTATTTTTATCCTGGCTTGAGATATTGGATTGAATTGATATCTCTTCTTGGACAACTTCTCGTAGATCTTCCTCGATAAAGTAGATAGAATGTGCAGCAAGATCATCAATGGTGTCGGAATTTTCTTCAAGTTGATCATAAAAGTCAACTATGCGGTATCTTTGAAGAGCGTTTAGATTGCCGGATAGCTCAAGCCTGTCTTCCTCCTCGTCTTTATCACCAGGTAGGAATCCACAATCCCTGGAAACACGTTTTGTTTTTCCAAATGTTGCATCTGTTCGGTCCGTATCGTTTGAATCGTCTGAATCGTCTGAATCGTCTGAATCCTCCGTATCGCCTGAGTGGTCTGTATCGTCTGGATCGTCTGTACTAATTGGCCGATATGTGTCGCCTGACTGGTTCAAGTTCGTTTCTGAGGCTCTACGGCAAAAAAAGGGAGAACATTTTCTGTATAAGGGATTGATATGGAGTGTGTCAAGTAAATTATAATTTAGATGAAATCCATCAAGTAAATGTAGTCAAACTGACTAAACTGTATCTGGAACATACTAGACCTACCCTGGTAATTGAGTCATGAGTCATGATTATGATTGTCATTTTATTTTGCTTATTGTCACCGCCTTTAGAATAAGAGGTCTTTGCCCGAACTGTGGAGATGAGATGAAGGAAAGGAGTTGTGTTTTTGTTATAATTTCTCCTTGTTCGTTCTTCTTATACTTCTTATCTAGACTAATTATCTCAAATAATAGCGCGGCTACTGTTCTGCTGGAGTAGTGATTGGCTCCCATTGATAATAATATCCGTATCAATCTCGCGCTTTCTATCCAAAGTACTAGCTAGCCATTTTCAAAGCCAATTCTGTTACTGTCCTTCCCCTCTAAATTACAATGATCGATCGTCCAAACATCGCGCTAAACCGAGGTGAGTTTAAAACCGAGGTGAATTTATAACCGAGGTGAATTTGACCATGGAGTAACTGGATAAATCAATGAGGAGAGGGAGATAAGCATATTTTGGATGAAGGCTTGGGAATTCATGCACAAAATCGAGAGGCATTCCGAGCCCTATTTCGTGATGGGGAGGTGGAGGGACAGGGTGTACAATGGTTGTTTCATCTCGGTGATCTGGTCTGGACTCGTCCATTTAGTGAGAGTCGGCCCAGACATCAAAGAAATTCGAGTCTGATACGCGGCACTATGCCTCTGTCCAAAGCTTCCAGATCGCGGTTGACGAGGCTCGCCTATTGCTTGCGCCATACGTGCTATCTACTGTCGTCCTTAACGCCAATATGGTTCAATCGTCCCACAAAAGTGATGGCCTCGTGAATACCCGAATCAATTGCACCATACTTTGACACGACTCTGTACTATTATTTGACATTCTAAATTGATTTGATGATCCAGCGTATGTTTACCCGATTTTACTCCGTGCATTAATCATCCCTGGGCATCTACTGGCTGGGGCGCCAAAGAATCAGCCTTCTCTCTAGTGGAATCTACAAAGGTCTTAGAGGATGAAGACGTATTGACTGATACGGTTTGGTTCTTTCACGTGTTCGAAAGTTGATGCTCTCCATTTCTTGATTATTTGTGCGTGAAGACTTTCAGACTCGCGGATTTTTGGCAACGCTGGATTAGGTAGAGCCGTAGGCTGAACAGAACAATAGTCAGGATGGTGGGGGTCTCTAAGGCCAGCCGAAGCACATTACCCTTCTCCTATCTTCCTGGCTATATCCGATTGGTGAAACACCACAACACACAACACTACAGAAACAAGACGATCTATATCACGTTGAAATCCTCCAGTAAATCGGGGCCTTTGATCACCGTAGACTGCGAGCAAAATATCAAGCCTTGTAACTTCTTTGTGCTTGACCTTCCAACCAGCTCGCGTCAAAAATCAGTAGCTCATTGAAGCCTGTCGCCAGCTACCTTCTTCTTGAAATCATCTTTTCCACCATCACTTCAACGCCTCCCAGGACCTCTCTTTCGATAAATCGAGTTACAGCCAGGCCCAGTGATCCATCATTCAAACATTTGACAAGAACCATGGCTGTGTGTCTTCGCACCATCCCTCAAAGTACCCCTTCAATCTAGACCCCTCATCTTACATTGACGCATTACCAGGAACGACAGACGACAGGCGCGTCATTTCACCTCTTCCCCCGCCTTCCAGCCGAGATTCGCCTCATTATCTGGGAGTACTGCTTGCCGAATCGCGTGGCCGAAGTAGACGACGTGTTCTTTATCCTCGACGGCCGTGAAAACAGGCAAGGCTGCTATGCCCAGTCCACCACAGCCCGAAATGCCCAACCGCCCGTTCTCGCGTCTGTTAATGCCGAGGCAAGGAGTATCACATTCCAACAGGGATTCAAGTTTCATCAACAGGAGCCACATACGTGCTTGAAATCAGTGTGGGTGCAGCCACGTCGGGACATCATGCATTTGAACTGGACATCCTCGTATTTCCGACTGCTTCCCCATCCAGTTCCGTGGGAGAAAACGGTCGAGCACTTTCTTAGGCGCGCAGAAGCACTCAAGACCCAGGGTTCAATCCTCGCGGATGTCATTTACCCATTTTACTTGAGGCTGAGGGCCGATGGGCTTGACGGTACTGAGGTAGCTCCCATGCCCGGACTTGACGATGATTACTTTCGCCTTGGCAACTTCGAAGTCCGGGGTATCGTGCGTCACCTGAGACTTCGCTGGAATGATATTCGGACTGCAAATGGAATGGTACGCTGGGGAATCCCGTTGAAAGCTCGGGATCCTTCCGAAAAGATAAGCATTCACGTGGTCATGGCCGCTGTGTCTCTCCATATCACCAAAGAAGTGGCACGGGAGTCTGGTATGTTCGGATTACTGGGTGATGCTCCTGTTCAAATGATCAAAGTCGGCGACACTGATCGACTAAGCCGATTTGAAACATTGTATCGACAAAATACGTCAGGGTGCGATACAGAAGTTCAGTATCTGTTTGATACATTCGCCTCCGCTCGGTTCCAGCGGGACGTGCAAGATTGGAAGACGGAAGCCGAATCGGTTATTTTGCTGCACTTGTGGAGTTTCGAACGGGAGATGAAACACGAACTTCTGGGCGAGGATCCTGGCTCTGCTTGGATACCTAACCTTACAGAGGAAATGGAGTTCGGTATTGAGATTGACGCGGTTCCTCCGGTACCTGATGAAGATCATCCGTGGGTTAAGCATGCTAGAAAATCCATTCCGGATCTGCAGCCGCATATTACGGTCCGTTGTTGCTTCAATGGGTGCTTCAACATCACATGGCTTCCTGATGGCCCTCCGACTGGGAGGCCCTAATTCTATCAAGCGATGATTGGAGCTCCGAGCAATGGATCGCACTTTGGTTTGGAGACTTCCCCCCACTCCATGTTTTAGCAGTATCCCTGGTGTATTTTACAAGACGTTAAAAGGCCATCAAATCTAAGGGAGTAACAACTAAGCATGTTAAACGAAAAGTCCAGTTGCTTTATCCAATTATCTTCAACGGACAAGTCGAATGTTTGATTAATTGGCTTCACATCAAGTTGCCGACGCACTTTCTTATACTAGTTATATAACAGCTTATACGCTCGAGCCAGCTAAGATCATGGGTTACATTTTTGCTTTCGGCTTGGGTAGCACAACAGGGCGTTCTCTACGGGAAGCCAAATAATTGACGAGAAAAAGTGTTTGATTGTATTTGAGCCCTGGAATCGGGACCAATGCCCTATTTATACCATACTGATACTCCGCACATTCTCTGAAATGACTAGAATATAGACTTTTGTTTTGTTCTGTCTAGCACATACGACCATAGGGTGTGGAGAACAGGGCTTCCCGTCCGCTCAGCCGTACTTAAGCCACACGCCGGTCAGTTAGTACTATGGTGGGTGACCACATGGGAATCCTGACTGTTGTATGTTCTTTAAACTTTTTTTTTCTTTGCTCCTTTCCTGGTTTGAAGTTTCATTGCTGTGGGTAGGGAATCAGTAGTATACCGCGCCACATAGTGCCATACCCCATCTTATATATGGCCCACTTACCTTCATCTGAGGAACAGTAATTCTAAATCCTCCCTTCTCAGGTCCGGTACTATACATGCTTCCAATCTGCTATATCACCTTAACTTATAGATGGTTCGGGTAGTGGGGACCTAGGATGGTTTTATGAGCGGTTTTAGAGGCAGTAGAAGGGAGAGTAGAAGAGATAGTGGAAGGGGCAGTAGAGAGCACCAGGAGGAAGGGTAGGAGAAGGGGAGTAGATAGTATCGCTACATGCATTGTCCCTGTCTACTTTACTAGTCTAAATAGAGCGGCCTGGGCATCATCTGTCCAATGCAGTACTATAATCCTATCGCCATTAACACTTATGGCGCTGTACATTGCTGTGGCAGTCGAGGCTTTAGCGACTCAGGGCTTCAAGTCTTCGATGACGGGTTGGCTGCAACCACTGCACCAGCGGCAGTCCCCGCTGCAGCTCATAGCCTAAGTATCGCGTTTTTGAGAACCCGCTGATACTCTCCACATCATCTTTACTCAATAATTTCCAACACTTGCTATTCATGTGCCAGCACCAAATCTCTCACCAAGCCCGAGCCTTTAGGAGTCTTTTGCTGAGTTGGAGGATAATACGGATACCATTGACTATATATACAGTATCATGTCGAGGGGAGCAAAAGCTCCGTGTTTCCCTTTTGGAACAAACGGAACTGGTGTATGGTGAGACATTTGCCTATTCGAAACTTGCTGTTGCTGCTGTTGTGATGCTCGAGAGGGATTTCCGCCTCCACAGCCCCGAAAGGCCGAGTCTAGTTTCTTGAACAGATTATTTAATATTAGTATTTCCATTTTATCTCCTCCTGTATGTACTTGCCGGACTAACTTGCTCTGAAGTCTATGTTTCATGGCCAATGCGGTCTGAAACAGTTTGGTAAGAGCATCAAAGCGTATGTCGTATATGGGATGGTCTCCAAGCCCTCTTTGATAACTAGAAGAGATACCAGCTAGCGAAAAAGAAGTTGAAACATAAAATTTAAGGTCTTTCATAATCTATGATTTTCAAGGGACTTCCATCATTCGCAAGTATCCCTCGCAGATCAAATCCAATCGCTAGGCCATTGCCAGCCTCCTCTGCCTCACGAAAGCCAGGAGCATACTCATCCACTAGGTTGACATCCCCACCCATGTAGATATCCACGATTGCCTTTCGCATATCCACCCTAAGCACTGATTAGTATAGTTATAAAACCATAAAAGCAAAGAATAGGAAGACTCACGGCTTATCCTCTAAGATAAGCTTCAGATCCCTGTCCTCAGGAAGATTAGGATAGTAATAGCTCTCAATATATTCGAACGCAAGCCATAATGGCTTCTGATTACCAGGACCAACGTAACGATACAGATCAGCATGATCTGACGACATAATTTGGACCCGGTAGGCTGTTCTGTAAACGCCATTTGTGTCGAACTCAACCCAAAGCCCCAGTCCGGTCTCTAGGGTTCGGTCGTCAATAATCAGATTAGGACCACAATACTTGAAAAGCACTGTTCCATCTAGCGCCATGTGCATATCGAGAAAATGGGGCCGGGCGACGCTTTGCTGGAGCTTGAAAGTTTCGAGAATATCTTGGTTACCTTCTAGAGGTAAAAACATCACCATTTCTTCCCCATAAAATTCCCAGCCTTCCTCCCATGGAAATAACCCTAGGATAGCCTTGGCCAGTAGGGCCTGTTTCTCTTCGTTTAGATCTGTAATACAAATATAGACCATACCCATGTCTTCAATATCATTTTTTTTTAAATGACTCGTCCTGCTTTCAGATCAAAATCAGATCGAAATAAATATCAGAATCAGGAAAAGTGAAGATATTTCCTACCTTCATTTCAGGGCCATCAAAAAAGCTAGGCTCATCTTCTGGTGCTCGAGATTGATAGCCCTATTTATACCGGTCAGTAAAAGCCCATGAATATACATAATGAAGTCATACATCTCGAAATTCTTGGTCTGCTGTTGCCCATTGTTCGATCAAATCTCGTTTCTGTTGATCTGCGGTGTCGCCGCCGACCCACCGCTCACGAACAAAATGCCTCCATGCACGAGTGGCAGCATCAATGTCTTTCCATTCAACCGGTTCTTTGTGTTGGCGGATAAATGAGGGGATACCTTCAGGCCACTGGCTATGCGATCTTTTGAGGGACATTTTTAAGTAGTGTAGTGGGGGTTGTGAGGATGAGAAGAGGCGAAGGACGCGAAGGAGGGAACCTCCGGAACTCCGTGTTGACCCGGTGTATGAATCGATATACAACTTCCAATAGAAAGACAAGTAATCGACCCAAAAATGAGACCTGGGTCCGCTTCCCACACCATGCTTATTTAAATAGAATTTCCTGTAAGCTTCCCTGTAAGCGAGGGGCAAAGAGTGGTTAGAACCAACGCTAAAAAATGCACCCCTATAGAAAAGTGGGTCTATCTCCACACCGAATGCAGTCTGAAATGACCAACTCCATCCAGAACTTGAGATGCCGAGAGATCCATTCAGCGAAGTTGGAGATGGGGCCGTTGAGGCTTTTATTTGGGGCTGCCAAGATAAAGCCGCCGCACAGAGTAAGATTCGCAAAAAGAAGTAATTTTCTGGGTTGATCGTTACCTTCTGGTTATACTAACGGACTTGGCTCTAGGCTAAAGGGCAAGCTGGTAGGCTTTGTCCATCTGGAACACTATTGTAAAGCCTCCATTGAATGCTATCTTGTTGCGTCGTAATTGGATAGCTCCAGGTCCTCAGATAGCAAACGTTCTATCAGCCGTCACGGAGACCTATACCCGACAAGTCTTCAATAAAAAGTAAAGATTATCTAGTATATATAACTATAGGGTGAAGAATCGGCTTCCAATCTGCTCATTCGTTCTGAAGTCAGTTAGTACAATGGTAGCTAATCACAAGGGCATCCTGGCTGTTATATGTTACGGCCTTCTCTATCTGTGGGACACACAAGCATAAAATTTAATTGGTTATTCTTCTGCTTTCGTGCTGAAAGGTCTGAAAGGCGGGGACTTGAATTACGAAAGCTTTTTGAATGGGCTAAACCCTCAAGGTACTGCGATTGAGTTATTGCTGTCAACGGGAAACCTAATCGGAGTTGGGACGCAGCAACAACGGCGTTTCAATTTGGTATACTAAAGCTAGAGAGGAAAGAGGAGAAGGGGAGGGAGGAGAAGCTACAACGACCGATCCAATACCCAACTCCCACCATCCTTCCATCCACTTTCGTATGTGTTCGGACGACAGTAGTTCGGACGGTGCTGCCATCAAGGGCGGTGGGGAGCGGCAGAATCGACCAACGGCTGACAATTGCTTTGTTGAGGCGTCTGATGGTTTGAGAGTTCACCTATAGGAAGTTATTGGCAATTCTTATGTCTATTGGACATCATCCATCTCCCCCAAGCCAATAAGGTGTTTCCGAATAAGTAGACCTTTTTCAGATATAGCAGCTCGGCTGGAGACAATAGAGAAGAAAAAGAACCACTGTAAATACTACGCTCAGATACCTGCTCCCAGTTTCGCTAATCCCAGAAAGAGAATATTTAGAAGAACGCGCCAATCACTCAGTGATAGATGGGATAAATATTGGTGCAACGGGTAACAAGTTTTTCCGGTCCTTCCCTTGACAAATCTTACACCAAGAAGAGCTATGTGGCACCATAATAGCACGTATTTCGTTCCGTGAGAGGAGAGCCGGACCACCCGGAAATAAAACTTCCTGGGATATCGCGTCGTATATTTAAGGTCCGTTTGTTCCTCAGAAAAGTGCCCAAGTCAGCCATACGTAGGATATTCCTTCGAGAGGCCTTCTTCATTACATTCCTATGTACAGGTAGCTCTGCCTCTGCCTCCATCTGACAACCAAGTAAAATAGCCCACGACAGATTGAATATTATACAGTGATTGATTATGAAAATTTAGTTTCTCAAGAATTCTGAATATTGAAATGAGGATCAATACTTGAAGCCCAATCAGGTCTATACCTTGCCATTATTAAATTTACAGTTATTTGTGAAGTATCTTCCCCCCCAAATGTCTCTGATTCGGATTCTTCGGATTTTCAATCTGATCTTCCATTATAGCACCATAAGTCCAGTTGTGAATCCGGCTGCGGGAGAGTTTTGTCTTAAATAGCTGATCCACCAGATTGGACCGACTACGCCTGGCTGCTAGTATTCCTGTGCCACTTTGTGCTACTAATAAATAGTCAATGTTAGTTAAAGACTTCGAGGATCCCACCTCGAGCCTCTTCAGCGTTTTACCCTGTCTTCTACTTCGTTCCTTCTAACTGACCATTATATCTCTATTCGACGGTCCTTGGTGCTAGCCGGACCAGCAACTGAATTCATTTCATTAGCAAACAGGAATATCTATTCATCTGGAATCACCGATCATATGATGACCAGAATGGCCAGACTTCTTTCTGTTTTCTCCATTCTCTCGGCCCTGTCTTTCACGGTCGCCGCGCCGAGCCCTTCAAAGCTCCACGCCATCACCCTTGGATACAGAGACATTTTTGAGCTCAGCACCCATCAATCCAAGAGAGCTGGGCAGTTCACTCTCCCTCCACTTCCATTCGCCTATGATGTGAGTCATACTTGGATAACCCCGCAGACAACTCGCTCCCATCTCGCAGCCAAGAGCGAATCTAACATCATAAGGCCCTCCGACCCATTATCGAAACGGAGATCATGAGAATTCACCATGACAAACACCACAAAAACTACGTCACAAATCTAAATGCCGCCCTCGCGAATCAAACTGCCGCCATCGAAACGAAGAACATCCCAACACTAGTTGAATTACAAGAGAAGGTCAGATTCAACGGCGGGGGACACATCAACCACTCGCTGTTCTGGAAAAGCCTAGCTCCCTACGGCTCGAAAGCGACAGATATCACCATATCGGCACCGTCCCTCAGAGCTGCCATCGAGAAACAGTGGGGCAGCCTTCCCAGTTTTATGAATGATTTCAACAATACTCTCATGAATATCGAGGGGAGCGGCTGGGGATGGCTGACGACCACTCAACCGGAGGGGAAGCTGTCTATTATCAGCACTAAGAACCAGGACCCAGTGACAGACGCAGTGCCTCTATTCGGAGTTGACATGTGGGAGCATGCGTACTACCTGCAAGTAAGACATGCTACTTTCCCGTGCTGAGTGGAAAATAAGTTAACGTATCATGCTGAGGTAGTATCAAAACAACAAAGCATCCTATGCATCGGGAATATGGAAGGTGATCAACTGGCAGGGGGCGGAAGCACGCTATAGGAATGGTCTGGAGGATTTGAAGCTGTGAGCTCATTCAGTTAGCCAGCTCATCGGTTTTGATGAATCCATTTGCAGACATGAAATTGAAAGTCTTATCAGGGCTGCATACATACCGTGTAGCGTGGGAAGCTTGCACGTTCAGCCGTGGCTCGGCCTTGGATTAATTATTATTTAGTGTATTAAATTCAGTTGCGTTTAAGTTCAGTAACTTTCAAGTCATCTTAAAGCATTGATAAGCAGCACGAGGGGACCCGTGAACTAGCTGGATAATTCTTATGGGTTACTCGGGAGTAAATTATCTCGAAAAGGTCCAGCGCTAAACTTGGGGCTCGGATCCTCATTTCTAAATTAACTATAACTATGCATTCCATTGACCAAAGCCTATGGTTCGGGATTGTGGAATCCCGGCTGCTGAGGCCAGCGCTATTCGAGGTCATTGCAAACGCCCAATGCTGAGATTTACGATTCAAGCGCAGATGAACAAGCCGGCGGTTGGGAAGCTGCTGACTATCTCGAATGTGTTGAGTGATTTTTGTTCAAAAGAGAAATTAAAAAGAGGGATATAAATCGCAGCATTTTCAAGAGTGCCTGGGGCCGACTTTCAACCTAGTGAATAATACATATCAAGCTAGCCGTGAGGTAATGCGGGATCTGGGAAATTTGGGATTCCCCCTGTGGATCATTTTCTGTGTTACAGATTCGAGCCAAAGGCATGCTTGAAGGGAGAGGAGCGATGTTCGAGAGTCGCTTCCATAAAGAGCATTGATCCGGCAGATTGTAGACTGAGCGAGGCGAAAGTTAAATGGGGAAGCAGAGTCATACGGGGATTGCACAATAGAGAGGAGCAGGATGAATGAACCCAACACACCAGCGTCCCGAGTCAGGCTGTGACCAAGTTAATATCGAAACAAGGAAAAGCCAGATCGAGTTTCTGGACTCAGGTATACGCACTGATTACATGCCATATCCCCCTTGGGACCTAATGCAAATAGCTGCAGGGTCCTCCTGGCTTCCGCAATGATGAATTTTGGCAGTTTATCCCAATGATGGCCTTGGTGAAATGCTGAAAGACGACTCGTTGTGATGCCATGGATCGCACATACAGCTTCCAAAGCGTTGCCTTCCAATATGACCAGATGGACAATATCCGACCGGTGGAAGGTCGCACGAACATTGGCAAGACTCACAGGGCAAGAGAATGTCCCTCTCCAAATGCGAAACAATTCTTCAAGCATACTGACTCTAAGAGGTCTGTCTTGGGTTGAATTCTGAGAGGTAGAATCAGGTAATGAAAATCCCAATATCCTGAGTTGCAACACGGCAAGCTCGGCGTGGGCGCGGAAGATATCCATGGTTTTCTGGCCGTCGATAGATTGAGAAGTTCCGCTTCGGTTGGAGCCGTCTTCTGCAGAAGCTATGAATTGCGACAGATTGGTTTCGGCCGATTCAAGGCTGACAGTGGGTTGCATATCGCCCTGGAGGCAAATCGAAGCCTCCATAGAACCCCCAATCCACCACACTCGAAGAATCTGCGCATCAGCTTTCGGTCCGCTTGAATTTCCGGCATCATGTGAACGTCTACGGCACTGGTCAAGAATTCGAAGTGCCGCAGAAATAAGCCCGCTAGTGCGCTCTGGGGCGCCAGTTCCTTGCACAAGAACTCCTAGTCCCATAATACATTGGGCTTGTAACAATGAGGGCTGCTCCAACAAAAGACCTCCTACCCGAGAGGAGACATATTTGAGATATTGGCCAGCTCGCAGGTCGTCTACTTTCGTAGAAATGGGACTCTGAGCTCGTAGGTGATGAGCGATTGCAAGAAATAGATGGAAGCAGAGATCTGACACCGGTAAAATGTCTTTGGTCTCACATTTCTGTCTGAAAATGGCCCAGACCCATGCATCCTCATAAGTCTGTTTGTTGAACACTCTCTATTGCGTCAGCTATGTTTTTCAATATATGTGATAAGAACAAGTTCGAGTGGTCTTGTCAATAATCTCGTTTAACGTGCAGCAAAGCGACCAGCAACGGAGAAACACCTAGTAGAAGTTCAACTCAAGGCAAGAAATGAAATTCATTCTGCCCAGAAATAGCCATCTTCAGGATTTATATCATCTGAGTAGGCAAGCCTATAATCTGCGAAGTAGTGGGAGTGATGAAGCTTAAACCAAAGTATAGCTGAACACTGGTAGAGATGACTGAAGAAAGTACGAGGTAAGGTGTCGTCGGAAGACCTGAGCTTTTTAAGACGATTACTCTCCGTCAGGTTTTCGCGCAGTCAGATAGCCTAGTGAAGAGGATGGAGGCAAGCAATGACAACTGTGCCCGCCTATCAAGCCAGTGTATATGTGACTTGAGGACCCTAAGCTATGAAATTATCTGTGCCGCTCAGCCCCATGTTTCTATGTGGGGCAGGATAGTGCCGTTCCTAAGCCGCAGACATAAAGGCGGTAAGGAAAAATATGAAGGGGAAGTATGAGTCATTGGACATGGGATCGTCCCAGAATGTATATTTAGGGCTTAGGGCAGATCTCCCCGCCGGCATCGGCTTCTCTTTCTATTTGGACTTCTCCAGATGAATCATATATGCTCCATTGAAGACAAGATGGCGGCAGATTCAACTAACCCGTTGCCGGACCCAACGGTCTCCTTAAATTGGAATGGATTCAAAGGAGGTGAGTTCCCATGGGTACCGTGACAGCTGTACAGTCGACGTATACTGACGTATCACCCCGCTCTTAAGCCATCCATGAAATATTTGCCCGCAATGCGACCGAACATCCCGACCGACTCTGCGTCCTCGAGACTAAAGGCCAACGAAGTCCCGAGCGCCGTTTCACATATAAGCAGATTAATGAAAGCTCCAACCAGCTCGCGCATTTCTTGCTGGCGAATGGCTGCGAGCGCGGAGATGTAGTGATGATCTATGCATACCGAGGGTCCGTACACTCCTGTCCCACTGGAATTGCAATTGTTGACAGAATGATAGCGTGGATCTCGTCGTTGCTTACATGGGTGCTCTCAAGGCAGGTGCAACTGTGAGCGTGCTCGACCCCCAATACCCCCATGAGCGCCAGAAGGTCTTGCTTGAGGTGGCCAACCCCCGATTCCTTGTCCATATCGAGCGAGCTGCCGAGGATGCTGGTCCGATTGCCGAAACCGTGTCTGAGTTCATCGCCTCCTCATTAAGCATCAAGGCTCACATTCCTGCGCTGAGGCTTCAAGATGACGGCGAGATCCTTGGTGGACTCCACCAGGGCCAGGATGTCCTTCAGCCCTATGAGCACCTCAAAGAGCAATTGCCCGATGTACTGATTGGTCCTGACTCGGCTCCTACTCTCAGCTTCACTAGTGGCTCCGAAGGGAAGCCTAAGGGTGTCCAAGGCCGGCACTTCTCCTTGACATACTACACTCCATGGATGCAAGAACGATTTGGTCTTTCGAAGGATGATAAATTCACCATGCTCTCCGGTATTGCGCATGACCCAATTCAACGCGATATTTTCACCCCATTGTTCCTCGGTGCTCAGATTGTTGTGCCACACCGCGATAGTATCGCCCACGAGCTTCTCGCTGAATGGATGAAGGAGTATCGCGTGACTGTCACTCATCTTACACCCGCTATGGGCCAAATCCTGGTTGGTGGTGCTACAGCACAGTTCCCGTCCTTGCATCACGTCTTCTTCGTGGGAGATCTCTTGACAAAGAAGGATTGCCGAAAGCTTCAAGGATTAGCTCCAAATGCCTCAATCATCAACATGTACGGCACAACCGAGACTTCTCGTGCCGTGTCGTACTTCGAAATCCCAAGCAAGAACCAGCAGCCTGCCTACCTTGACGAATGCCCTGATATTATTCCAGTTGGCCAGGGTATGCTTGATGTACAACTTCTGGTCGTGGATCGCAATGACAAATCCCGGGTTTGTGATGTTGGAGAACAAGGCGAGCTGTTCCTCCGAGCAGGAGGTCTCGCAGAAGGATACATCGGAGATGATGAGCGCACGCGGGAGCTAAACCAAGAAAAGTTCCTCACCAACTGGTTTGTTGACCCTTCCGTATGGACTAGCGAGTATGAACGCATGGCTTCAGAGGAACCGAAGCCATGGATGCAACTATACAAGGGACCCAGGGACAGGATTTACCGAACTGGTGACCTTGGCCGATTCCGCGCCGATGGTGTCGTGGAGTGTACTGGACGTGTCGACAACCAAGTAAAGATTCGCGGCTTCCGAATCGAATTGGGCGAAATCGACACCCATCTGTCGCACCACCCTTTCATTCGCGAGAATGTTACTCTGGTCCGACGAGACAAGGATGAGGAGCCGACATTGGTCAGCTACATTGTTCCTGAGGCCAAGCGGTGGTTTGAGCAGCTTGCTCAAGATGGGGCCCTTCCAGCTGAGGCGGAGACTTCTTCAGAAGATGAATCATTGGTTTCCATGCTGAAGAAATTCCGCTCGTTATCCGATGACTGCAAGAATTTTCTAAAGGCCAAGGTTGCTCACTATGCGGTGCCGACGATGTTCATCCCCCTTGCTCGTATGCCTTTGAACCCCAACGGCAAGATCGACAAGCCTGCCCTCCCCTTCCCAGTACCAGCGATCTCGCTCTCTTGAACCGAAGGGCCTCGCGAAGCTCATCGATGTCTGCCTCTTTGACCGAAACGCAGAAGAAGGTGGCTGCGATTTGGGGTGAGGTTTTGCCAAACATCACTGCGAGAATGCTTTTGCCCAAGTCCAACTTCTTTGAAGATGGCGGTCACTCCATCCTGGCCCAGCAGATGCTGTTCAAGGTCCGCAGAGAATGGCCTGACATTGATATTCCAATGAGCGCCATTTTCCAGTCACAGACCCTGGAGGAGTTTGCTGCTGAGATTGACCGTGCCCAAGATCCTACCGGCCTCCGCCTCGACCAAAACGTTGACCTTGCCTCGTCTATTGCGGATCAAGCCTACTCGGCTGATGCTCGCGAGCTCGCTGAGAAGCTTCCGGCTACGATTGCGAAGTCTACGGAACCCGAGCCCACCACCACCCTTCTTACTGGCGCGACTGGATTCCTTGGCTCATACATCCTTCACACCCTTCTTTCCACTAGCAACCAAATGCGTGTGATCGCTCATGTGCGGTGCAAGGATGCTCCTTCAGGTCTTCAGCGTCTGAAGGGCATCGCGGAGACCTATGGGCTCTGGCGCGAGGAATGGGCGAGCCGAATCCAAGTCGTGCCCGGTGACATCTCCAAGCCTCAGCTTGGCATGTCCACAGAGGATTGGGATCGCCTTGCCCAAGAGGTAGATTTGATCGTCCACAACGGAGCACAGGTCAACTGGATGCTGCCCTATTCCAGCCTGCGCCCCGCCAACGTTCTCAGTACCATGGAGTGTGTGACTCTTTGCAACAGCGGCAAGCCCAAGCGCCTGGCGTTCGTCAGCTCAACATCCACTCTGGACACTGACCACTTCGTCAGCCAGTCCCGACAAGGCTCGAAGGTTCTTGAGACTGACAACCTTGAAGGCAGCGCTAAGGGTCTCGGTACCGGTTACGGCCAATCTAAGTGGGCCAGTGAGTACATCGTTCGCGAAGCCGGCCGACGTGGACTTTCTGGTGTTGTCGTTCGCCCTGGTTATATCACCGGAGATCCCGTCTCTGGTTTCTCCGTGACAGATGACTTTCTCCTGCGTCTCTGGAAGGCCTGCATTCAGGTCCAAGCGCGCCCCGACATCCCCCAAAACACCATCAACCAGGTTCCGGTTACACATGTCAGCCGTGTTGTGGTAGCTTCATTGCTCCACCCACCTGTCGAGCCCTTGGGAGTTGTGCAGGTCACTAGTCATCCCCGCCTGACTACTAACCAGTACCTCGGCGCCTTAGAAACATATGGATACAACACGCCGCAAGTTCCATACCGCGAGTGGTGCACATTATTGCACAACTTCGTGGCCAATGACAGCAACACCGGGTCGAAAGAACTTGCGCTCCTCCCCCTGTTCCATTTCGTCGTTGGCGATTTGCCATCCCACTCCATTGCCCCCGAGCTCGATGATGCACACGCCGCTAAGGCCCTGCGCTCTTTCGGCACCCCTCCTGAGCAACTGAATGACCTTGCGGTGAACGAGGAGACTGCTGGTCGATACTTGGCGTTCCTGATCGCGACGGGATTTATTCCTGCTCCACCTGCCGCGGGCTCTAAGGCTATTCCTGAAATCGATAGCCAAAGGCTTCAAGCCCTCGGCAGCCTTGGTGGCCGATCTTCGAAGTAGAATCATGCATGGTATATAAGGGAAGGTACTCCGTGACCTTGCCCACGAGTAACACATTCTGACATTAAATGTATAGCGCTAGACCGTTTTATGACAAAAGTTTTTTTTTTTCTGTCCATCTCACAAGCCATGCAGCGTTCTTTTAATAGCATCAAATCGTCTATTTCATTGTACACCACATGTCTAGTAATTTTAAATCTATCTCTAAGGTGCTATTCATAGATGCGATTCACCACCCTCGCCCTTCTTCTTTTCCTCCTCAAAATTGAAGCCCAACTGCTCGAGAGAAGTAATTTCGCCCCTCCGACTCCCCAGCGCTTGCGACGCCTTCTTGATAAGTGGAAACCTCTCTCGAGTCCACCTTTCTTTCTCCCCCCAATAGGGAGGTGCCTTTCCATTCCCCCCATTTTCCAGCCCATCGCGCTTCCCCGCATCTTGACAGAGACCATAGAGATAGCTGATATAATCTGCATCTAACGGGAAAGGAAGAGTATTAAAGCCCTGTCCATCTCCCGGACCGCCGTCCACTCTTGAATCCACTTTTCCATCTCTGCCCGCGATGGAAGACCCAGACGCCCCGAAAACACGCGCGCAACCCACGCCCCTTGCGCCTGGCTCAACGGGAACGGGACAATCCGCTGCGGAAACCCGATGAACGCTAGCGTGGGATCCGGAGTGTAGAATATGTGCTGATAGAGATGGCGAGGACGGATTCCGTCGGTGATTACGGGGGGGCTGCAGGCTTGACAGGAAGGGAATGGAGAAGTGGTACCCTGTGCAGAAGACTACGTGGTCGACGCCGAATTCTTCGTGGCCGTTGATGAACTCGACTCGCGCGTTCTGTGGGTCGAAGCGTCGGATTTCTGGGAGGGCTTTTGCGACAGCTGCTGTTTCGGGGGGGAAGGACGGTCTCTGTACGCTCGGATATCAGGAGGGGATGCTGCGAGACGCTGCTTATTTGGAAGCCGATGTCGATGCCCGAGGCGGAGTGGCCGACTATGATGACTTTCTGTTGGGTTTTAGCAGGCATTATTTGGAAAGTGAGAATACGGTCTAGTTCACCTTGTTTGCAAAGCTTTCCGGGCGTCTGTAGGACGATGAATGCAGTATCGAGTCGGGGTATGCCCTGTTCCACTCGGCTAGTCCGGGAATGGCAGGAATCTTGGGGTCATTATGGTGGCCATTCGCCACTATCACTGCATCGAATGGCGCAGCATGAATTTGCTCATTTTTGAGGTCACGCCATTGAACAGTCCATTCTTTCGGACTCCGTGAAACGTTCACGACCAGGGATTGATATCGGATGTATGGCGTCAAATCCTCCGCATACCGATGAAGATACTTCTGGACCACGTCGTGCGGAGGAAAGAGTGGTGTTTCCTCTGGAAATGCCAGATCATTGAAATTCATCAAAGTCTTTGGAATGTTCGTCTCGAGAGAGTCGTACACAGGCGACACAAATTGGCCATTGACACGCTCTTGGGGCGTTGAACTCGGACTGGCATGTGCGGTCGGTGACCCGGTTTCCAAGCCGAGATCACCGGTGTAGTTCCATACACCGCCAGGTTGGTCTCGCTGCTCGAACAAGGTGATCGTCTGGAAGTACTTCTCCGCTATCAAGTATCTGTGATTTTGTAAGAGAGGTTCAATGGTTAGTGGATAATGGGCCTACTTTGCGATACCCAGGCCACAAGGGCCCGCGCCAATGACAGCGATACGCTGAACATTCATCTCAACAGCACCTGACAGGCCAATCGTGCCTGTTCCGCAACTTTAGATGATTGCACGAGGACTTGGAAGATGTGGGATGATATGGTGGGGTCGATAAGATAGAGAGGCTTATCACTAGGCTGCGTGATTGGATGCGCATGTTGCCATCACTATATCACTTCATCGCGCCATCTGGACGGCATTGGTGTGGCTGGATAGGGTAATACCGGTTGGAGAGTGTCCGACTAAGCAGTTTCTGTAAGTCTGAGGCTTGAGACTTTTTGCGTTGCGCTAGGTTTTCGATTTGACTAATCAATATCTCGAGATCTCCGTTAACAGGGAAGGTCCTACGGTATGTAAATGACCGCTCAGAACTTTATTTTCATCAATTATCGACATAATATGAGGATATGCGCCTCGCCAGAGATACTTCATGATGTGGTCGTAATAGCAAAAGTCCAAGTCACTGTACTCTGATTGGGGCATATTTGGGGGCTTAAATTCAGCCTACCAGAGCACCGCGACGGGGACGATCAACACGAAACAAAGACGGCACAACTGGCCAGAACGATGATCGTAACCCTATCAATTTGTCGAGGAGTTTCAGCTGGGCCTACCCCGCTCGGTCAGTCCTGCAGAAAAGGTCCAAATCTCTCGATTTGAAGATTCAGAACTATTGCACATTTACAGAGAAAGGCCCTGCAAGCATTCTAGCCAGGATGGGTCGCTTACGAGCACCTTGTGGTATTCAGTTCCAGGACACATTGGCATCGTTCTCTAACCTGCAGGCTATCTCTGTACTGATACTTAGTCTTGTATGATTTCGAGTCCGATCAGGTCACAACTTGAGACATAGGATATTAATCTATTGGCAAGCCAGGTCGCGTCAAATCTCATATTTGCAGTGATATACAATCTCTACTTTCATCCCCTTGCCAAATTTCCTGGTCCTTTTCTCGGGCGCTCGTGGCTGGTGAGTATCGGTTTGGAGTCATGCGGAATACAGAGACTAATGCCTGGTAGATATGGCGATGGATTCATATGCTCTCTGGGAAGTCACATCTCGCTATTGAGGAACTTCATCGACAATATGGTAAATCTTCAACCCTCGAGCGAAAACGGAGGAGGCTGATGCTAGCTACCAGGGCCCATCGTTCGGATTTCACCGAATGAACTCTCACTTGGATCGGCAGAATCCCTCAAGGCAATCTACGGACATAATCCCGGCAGACCTCATCCAAAAAGAGGCTCTTTCTACAATTTCCTGAATGCGGGCTTCTCGAAGTTCAATCTGGTCAGCGAACCAGATCCCCACCGGCACAGCGAAATGCGGAAGCTTCTACTATCGGCTTTCTCCCAGCGGGCCCTTTTGCAGCAGGAGTTGGTCCTAGGCGGGGTGGTGGACCAATGGCTGAAGATCCTCGAAAAGAAAGCTGGCCCTGGGTCTGCCGGAGCGAATATTACCCGATGGTATGACTTTGGATCGCTCGACGTGCTCGGTGAACTTGCGTTTGGAGAGTCATTTCATGCTGTGGAAACAGGTCCGTACTCCCAATAATTCTTGAGCGGAACTATCACTGACGTTTTCAATCAGAGCAACTGGATGCTCGCCTCAACTTGGCGATCAACCCTTACTTGATCACCATAATTGACAATATCAGGCACATTAAGTTCCTCAGTAAAGTTTTTACAAACCTTGTGCCCCCTTCTGTGTTCCTCGAGAACCCAAACTCCCGCTTCAGTCGACAGCAAGTTGATAAGTATGACGGCCTCCTCCGAGACTTCCACAGTACATGTATGCTCTAACGCGCGCTAGACGCCTAGCTCTTGATGACTCTCGAAGAGACTTCGTCTTCCCCTTGGCGCAAAAGGTCCGAAGTGGAGAAATGGACAAAGAAGAAATGGCATCCAACATGTTTGTTTTCTCGTTAGTTATCCTGATGAATTAATTACCGGAGCATAAATGCCAAAAAGAGAAACTAACAGACAGAAGCGTTGCTGGCCAAGATACAACCTCTGTGGCTCTCGCAGCAACCACTTATCTCCTCCTCAAGCACCCAGACAAACTGGAACAAGTGGTGACTGAGATCCGCCAGGCATTCGGCTCATACGAGCGGATCAGAGCACAAGAAGCACAGCAGCTTCGCTATCTCCAGGCAGTCGTCCACGAGAGCATGCGCATTCTTCCTCCTGTCTCGGCAGGGCACGCGTTACCACGCTACTCTAATGGCTTTGAGCTGCACGGAAAATACATTCCTCCTGGAGTATGACACCTCTTCTTCCAAGCTGGGGTGCTTATTGACAATTCCGCTAGGTAGAGGTTTTCAGCAGTCCGTGGACCATCGCGCACGATCCTGAGTATTTCAAAGACCCTATGGAGTTCAAGCCCGAGCGATGGTTAGACCCAGATTCAACGGACTTGAAAGAAGCCAGTCAGCCATTTTCAATCGGTCCGAACGCGTGTATTGGGAAAAGGTATTGTATTCCGCGCAGCTTATGCTGACAAAGTTTGCTCGTTGCATTGCCTTCTTCGCTGACAGGAAACAGCTTCTCATGGATGGAGCAGACGGTGTTCTTGACAAAGATGCTCTGGGCTTATGACCTAGAGTTGGTCAATAAAAATGTAGACTGGATTCGCGATGGCAGGGTATTTGTCGCTTGGTCAAAACCCAAGCTGTTCGTTCGGTTTCATCCGCGCTTATAGGCCATGAGATATCGAGGGGAAAGCTATGTGGTACACCACCCGGTCAAAAGTCTGTGTGCACTCGGCCCCATTACCATCACCCTAATAACCACCCACATTTTTATTCTTTCTCCTACACCTCCCCCATGACATCGATCGCTATCAATATGGAATGATATTCTAGCAAGATTAAAAAAGATCTATATAGCGAAAGATATGCATGTTTGGTTTAAAGAGCACGGGATATATGATGAAGATTGGCTGGTATACTCGCCTGGTCTTAATCCTATTAAACTGATCTGGAAACGACTATAATATTAAATTTTTTTTATATATTTAAAGATATTGTATAGATAGAAAGATCTGAAGAGGACCGGGCTTAGTTTAAAGAGTATATTAATACTATATAGGATATGTTAGACTAGACGAAGATTGATATGTTAATATTGAGTATAGGAGGAAGGATGGATAGATTATATACAAACCAAGATTATTATATAAAATATTAAGTATGATAACTTTGTATATAAACCTGATTATTCAGTATTTTGAATTTTAGTATGATCCAATAAGGGTTGGTGATGTAGGATATGTAACTATGAATATACATCAGTATTTGATGGGGTAGGTGAGGAGAGAATATCTCTGGACATAAGATTTTAGCTACTGGTTCATAATCATGCATGCTATCCATGCGATCCAGACCCTTTTGGTAAAATGTCACTTTCCATGGTCTTTGCAGACTCAACCCAATTGTACCAATCCACATCACTGCTATCGAGATCCATGTTAATGTCGAGGGATTCCATTGCAGGGTTGCCAAATGTTTCTTCTGACCAAAGCCACGGAGTAATATCGGAGTCAGTGAGCTGATCAAACTGGTCTGACGGCAAAGCTGAAGCTGCCATCTGGCCTGCTTGAATGGTGTGGCCCCCTGCCAATGCAGGGTTTATGGATGTTTCAAAGCCAGGAGCAGCTGTGCCATCTTGGATATCACCACTCATAGGATCAAAGGGCGCGCCTGGCTGATAGTTGAAATTAGTATTAGCGGGGCGCGACGATGCGACCGAAAGGTTGGCATGGTGTAAGTCCCTGACGGAATGTTTCGGGGGGGCTTATCAGCTGCCGCCATTTGTCGAAAAACAACTCGGTAGAATCAGACCCAGCAGGAAATGGTCCCGGGCTCGAGGGCTGCAATCTGCCCCTGTCCTCTATTTCAAGCTGTCGGGTAGCTTGGGGATCACTTTTCAAACGAGAAATCTCCGCATCGCGATGCTTTGCTGCCTTCGCTTTTAACTTCCGCAGAGGGAGCCACATGCGCAGGTTCTTGTTCATGTGGGATTGAGGCGGAATGAGATGAACGCTATGCAATGCAGCCCATGCCCTCTCGGCAATGGGTGACCATTGCCTCCGGGCTACCTCAATGAGGATAAAGACGATTGAATGCCAGTGAGTGTATGTCTGGAAAATCCATCGCCATTGCCGGCATTCCGAGGAGGAGTTGAGAGCATGATTATATTCTGCGACTTCGATGGCCGCAATCAGCAGCTTGTCCCGGGTCTCGTCAGGGAGGTGATCGCCTTTAGAGAAGAGGACAGGTAAAAAGACAAGTAAAGTCATCTTGGCCATCACAATCCGTATAATTGCGATGGAGGCCCAGTACAGCACGTTAGAGTCGCGGTCCGGCTCCGTAAAGTAGATGAGATAGTTGCTTTCAAGAACACGGTACATTTCCTCCACGTAATTAATCTGTTCTTCGACACTGATCGTTCCAGAACTTGCCACCATCTGTTTTGAAATCAAGGAAGTCTGAAGAGTGACCCTAGGCAAAGACATTTCAGTCAGACCGTCAACGTCTTGAATTGGCTCTTTCGTATCTGGCCCGAAGTCCGCATCGTTGATGTTCAATGGTAATTTTGTGTCAAAACTGCCAACAGCGATACCGAAATCTGATCCTTGATCCTCAGATGCTCTCACATCTATAACGATCAAGGTGTACCAGGCCCGTCGTCGTATCTCGATCTCGTATGGCGTTAGATGGGGAAAGTGAGATCCATCGCGATGCAAACCAAGAGCTATTGCCATACGAATCGCAATTCCAGTCATCATCCAGACAAATCTTGGACTGTCATGGCGGCGTAGAAGGAGGAGAAAGATCGCAAAGGCTTGAACCAGAGCTAGATCGGGTACACTGAGAAAATCCGCTTTGGCCAACGCCTGCTCTAGGCCAACACGGTACTTGAGGTTCAATTCTGCCTTTGTTGACCCAAAGTTCATTGTGACGTCTGCCTCTTCCATCGAGGTGACGGCGGCATAATAAATAGCAAACAAAAGGGCTTCATTGGCCGGGGTCAACTTTGTCATGTCACCGCGCAGATCGCGGATCATTTTGCTGACTGTAGGCATATGCAGGGTTCTTGCCATAATATTCACATTCTCTGCATATACCTCTAAAAGGAAAGGGATCTGTGAGGGTAAAGGGTGGAATTCGCGAAGATCTGGCATGGCCGAGTTCAAGTTGTGTCGAAACATGAATGCATGCCGTTCCGATGGCGACCGACCGAGCTCTTGTGTCGATGGAGTTCTGTAAGAGGACTCATCCTCATCATCGGATGTATTCGAATCGCCAGCAGCGATGTTGCCTGTCTGTGTTTTTAGTTCTCCGAGCTGGTGTGGGACGTTAGTTTAACTCTTTGCTGTGATTGACTATTTTTCCGTACCTCGTCGTTGACCCAGGACCAGAAGCCACTCCCAACATATCGGCTTTGGTTCGAGTCTTGAATCACAAGTCTGCCAAACTGTTTTTGGACACCAGGAGGTCTTGGGGATGAGTTCGGCCGGTAGGCGGTTTCATGATCGTGGGTGGAGCTACCTGGGGAATTGGGTGAGGCTGCAGGGGGCGATTTAGCTGCTGCGTGAGCTTGCTCGAGTTTTCCCGTGAGATCTTTGACAAGACTCTCAAGATGATGAAGCCTATCCATGACATCGCCGGTCACCGGCCGTTCAAGGCGCCGGGCCCATCTCGGCGGACGATCGCCAGATGGATAGATGCAGGCGATATTTGCGCGACGACAATTGGAACAAGAGACAACTTATCGCACCGAACCTTCCGACTACGACATATCACACAGCTGCGCCGCTTCGGCGCTTGCGCGCACGTGGTTGGAGTGTTGCTTTTATTGTCTGCCCTCGCGCTTTTTTCGGCGCCTGACACCGAAGTGTCCGAGGGCGCGACGCTTGGAGTTGGCACTGAGGCTTCCCCTGTCGCAGGGATCAGCGACATCTTGATCTCTTGATCTTCAGAAAACGGGCTATACTCTCTTGAGACTTTTCATAGTCCACGATGGCCGTGCTCAGCTTTGCTCATTCTTGCGCTTCCTCATCTTCGGTCGCGACAGTTGAGGATAAGCGGCCCCGCTGAATCGGGAATGGTGGTGGCCCCAGATCATCATGACATCTTATTGGACGCGAGAAAAAGAGCGAGGTCCACTGCCTCGAGAGGTTAAATCGCGGATATCGCGTGGGATTGGGGGGCACTCGGTGCGCCATCGCGTCCAACCTATATCTCAAGATGCATTATAAAAGATCCCAGTTGCCTCTGTCCCTAAATGCTCTACACAGGGAATCCAATCAAGCAGGCAGACATCCAGATTAGAAAAGGCACATTCCAACTCAACAATCACTTCATCCGTCGGAACTACGTCGCAATGGGTTCTCCCAAGACTATCGCTTTCCTAGGCGCTAGCTCCGGTGTTGGCCTTTCCGCCCTGAAGCACTGCATCGCCACTGGCCACAAATGCATTGCATTGGCTCGGATGCCGTCCAAGTTCGAGGAAATGTTCCCTGCGGGCTCGCAGCCCAACCTCAAGATTGTCAAGGGAAATGCTCACGACATCGATACTGTCTCCCAGTGCATCACAGCCGATGACTCCGGTACCCAGCTAGTCGACATTGTCATTACCACCATTGGCAGCCGACCAACTGCTAAGCTGACACTTGAGGACCCCGACGTCTGCGAGAAGGGCTCGGCCAGCTTGGTTACTGCCATTAAGAAGCTCCGCAGCGAAGGTTTGGCCGGTAACCCCTACATCATTGCCTGCAGCACCACTGGCATGTCCAAGCATGGCCGCGACTTCCCGCTCGCTCTTTACCCTGTTTATGCTTGGTTGCTCAAAGCGCCCCATGCTGACAAGGAGGTCATGGAGCGCAACTTCATGGAGAGCGGGCTGCCATGGACCTTCGTCCGTCCCGCTCTCCTTACGTCTGGTGCCACTACCAAGATGGTTCGCGTTGGTGTCGAAGACCCTAAGAATGGATTTGAGTCAAAAGAGATTGGATACTTTATCTCGCGCGAGGATACTGGGAAATGGATTGTTGATTACCTGGTCAACACGGAGGACAACAAGTACATGTACAAGTTTCCTTCGCTCACTACAGGCTAATTCTTCCTTTGATTATTTCATCGGTCCTGTTTTGATATCCTGTTTCTCAAGAGCGAACTACTCTTTCCCGCGCTAGACCAATGCTTTTTCAATTTAATATTTTTTGTCAGGCTTATAATTCCTCATTTCCGCGCATCCAATTTACCTGAAGATTTAAATCAATAAGAAAGCGCCGTCTATAGTTAGTCAGTAGGGTTGCACTTAGTTAAAAATAGGGACGAAAGTCACCTTGAAAGTTGATACTTTCCCGATGCCTCAGGCTAACGCTAAACCTAATCGGGCGTTGATCTGGAGATTGTTCAGCAATCCGACACGGAACTCTTCACTTTCTCCGATCAGCAACGTCCTCTCAATCCCAAATGTCGCCATCCCTCAAGATGGCCTCCGGCCTGCTCGGCCGAGCCACCAGGCAGCTGGCCGCCGTCGAAGCTATTCCCTCATCACGAACCATCCCGATCCTGCGCTCTACCATGCAATGCCGAAGCTACGCCCAGGCGCAGCGTCCTCGCTGCCAGAACGCCCCGGTGTCCTTCATTCGCAATCAATTCTCTACAACCGCCTTCCGAGCGCGTGCCAAGACCATGGGTCAACTACGCCAGCGCAACTCGACCGGCCCGTTCTCCTGGAAGGCGGCGGCGCTCTTCATCCTGACTGGCGCAGGCATGATGCTTTACTTCCGGGTTGAAAAGGCGCGCCTCGAGCGGAAGCGGATCGCGGAGATGAGCAAGGGTGTTGGGCGGCCGAAGGTGGGCGGGCCATTCGTGCTGAAGGACACGGATGGGAAGGAGTTCACGGCTGAAGATCTGAAGGGGAAATACGCCTTTGTGAGTTTCGGTATATCACGCGGACTGCGATACCGATGTATGTGCTAATGCTCTTTTCTTTCCTACCGTGCAGGTCTACTTCGGTTTCACTCACTGCCCTGATATTTGCCCCGACGAGCTAGACAAGATGGCCGAGATCATTGACAAAGTCAAGGAAGCTACCAAGGACGACAAGCTGTTCCTCCCCGTGTTCATTACCTGTGACCCTGCCCGTGACACTCCTCAGGTTCTTCGGGAGTATCTGAAGGAGTTCCATCCGGATATTGTTGGTTTGACTGGTACCTACGAGCAGGTGAAGCATGTCTGCAAGCAGTACCGGGTGTACTTCAGTACGCCCAGGGACGTTAAGCCTGGCGAGGATTACCTTGTTGACCACAGTATCTACTTCTATCTGATGGGTAAGAGTTGCGCTGTCTGACTATATCTCGAATGCGAAACTAATCATTGTGATAGACCCTGATAATGACTTCGTGGAGTGCATTGGCCGACAGGATACCCCCGAGTCAGCCTCTAAGGTGATTCTGGAGCACATTAACGATTGGAAGCGAGAAGGTCGGCCACTCAAGACCGAGTAAGGGTCGATCCTGACAAAATGTACAATACTCTATTTCCCGAAATATCCTGCTCTTCCATGTACCAAAACACAATGAAAGCTCTCCTTGAACATGAAATGTTTCCGCATCTAGAAAATCATGGGCAAGAGTCTGAGTCGCACTATATCATGGACCGGCAAAGTAGGTAGGCAAACCTATCAGTAGAGGAATCCTTTGGCAGTTCCGACCTCGGGGGTGCATGCAATACTGAGTCAGAACCGTCCAGCCTGACGCCCGAAAGGGGCCCTGGGCCCATTAACAGGCCCCCAGCTTCCCAATGGATATAAGCCCACTTGACCTCTCTACATGAGGCTTTGAAACCTGGACGCTTCTCATACTTAAGGACCGCCCATACTAGAGAATGTCGCAATGCGCCCACTTTCGGTTTCAAATGCCGGGGTTTAAGCAAGGCATGGAAAAGGACTAGCCAGGAACGGACAACGTCTTCAACCTAGTAGACAGTTTCATGTTCCCGGTTGTCTATGGCAGAGCTCATGTCCTATCTGATCAATTGATCGGCCTTGAAGATTGTCTCGGCAGATTAAGCGAATGTGTATTAATGCCGATCACACAGGAGAATGAGGATTTCACCAGCATCTCCACGTTGAATACCGAGTTTGAGGATATCCATGACGGTATGTGGGACAACCAGCAAACACACTCACTCAGTACCGAGTATCACTGGTTCCCATTTGATGTCGAACTGACGACTGAATTCGAATGCTGAACTCAGTCATACATCAACAATATCCACACATTTCCTTCCTCAATGGAATAAAGCATCATACCACCTCCGGGGTTTCATATAATTTCAAACAATCGGGTTGAATATGACGAGCTGCCAAAATTCGCATCAAGCCCTGGTCTCGGTAATATTTACGAAGAATGGAAGGCTGCACAACCGGTCAGGCTCCTTGAGCCTGTAGACTTTCTTCCACGGGGATCTGATGATTTCTTCGAACCGACGGTCAATCTGCGCAAGAAGTTCACCGATAGACCTCTCCAGGTTGTTCTGAAGCTGACCAATATTGAGCTGACGCCGGACAAGCCCAATTACCAAGCGGAATCATGGCATTTGGATGGCCAATTGGTAAGTGCTGTCTTCTAACACTAGCTCGACTGCTTTTAGCCAGCCACTAACGCTAAAAAAGAACAAGCGAGTCTGTGTCTCTGCCATTGGCTTTTACGAGAACCAAAACATCATAGAGAGCACTCTTTCATTTCCACCCGTGGTGGAAAAGCTCAACGAAGTGAAATGCAAGGCCACGGTATAACTTTCTTCAGCAAGTTTACAGGTTTGGCCCTGAGATCTGGGCATGGGGTCAATACCAAGAAACAACGCAAGGGCTTGGAAGTGTTTCCTGTCAGGAAGGGAGGATTGCCACGTTGCCGAATATGGTGCAGCATCGGTTTGCTCCGTTCCACCTAGCCGGCAGATCAAAACCAGGGTATTGCAAGTTTCTGTTAGTGGGTAGTTGAAGATGGGTATGCGGGGGAATGCGTCCTCGGGTGGAATTCACCGTTCGCTTATGTTCACGGCTGGCTTGTGGGTTACGTTACTCCATAGTTAAGTTAGTTAGTTAGTTAGTTAACTTAAGTTACTTAGTTACCTTGGGTGACCTGACTAAGTCATGGGATTAGATTGATGATTGAATGACGTACGCAGATCGGCACACTTCGCGATGACCCAATTTCCGTATCTCACCACGAATGCCAAACTTTTTAAGTCTTCTCATTTCGAGTCCATCGATTTTGGGGGTTGAAAGATGGCACTACCGCTACAGGAACTGATCCCACCGCCCCAGGAAGAGACCCCAACAGCGCAGGAGGATACATCACCATCGCAGAACGAGACATCACTACCGCAGGACGAGATATCACTACCTCACCAGGAAGAAACATCATTAAGCAAAGAAGAGGCATCGCCACCCCAGGAAGAGACACTGCCGAGACAGCATCATGCGCCCATCGTGAGCGTAGCTGCGAAAGCTCTGGCTGAGAAGAATATCCCCGTCGTGGAGTATGGGGAGCAGATACAGTGGCGCTACGGAGACCCTGTACTCCTTCTGGTAAGCATCAAAGAGCTTTTGTGGCATTGACCAGTCGACTCGTTGGGCATTTCTAATGTCTTGAATTCCAGCGCGTGGAGTGGGCAGTCCCCGATGAACTGCTCTCGCTTGCGTCAGAAATTCTATCAGACCAAGGTTTCCCTCCTGTGTCCCTATCCACAGAAGCTGTTGCTCACTACGGAGAATGGGATCGAGCTTGCACTATCCACACGTTGGGTGGGAGGTGTCCGGTATATCTCTACCCGCTGTCATTTGTCGGCCTTGAGCTTCAGGACACCTGCAAAGTCACATCCACCTTCGACCGCACGCTCAAGATCTTGACGCCCAAACCCAACAAATACATGGTGTCTTTGCTCCGTCATCTCCTCAACCACCCGCTTGACGATATTTTCAGACTTCGAGTAAAAGATGATCTACTGTCTTTTATATGCTTTTACATTTTACGTGAAAAGCCGCTGAATACGAAGGATGGGGAATGCGACGATGATGAGAACGAAGAAGATTACCAAAACAGAGTCGGAGAAGCATTGAGGGAAATAGAAACTTGGGATTGGGGCGCTGGTGGAAAGGACTATCTGAGCATTTCTGAGTCTCTAGTCCGAGACTGTCGGGCTATTGACCAGTTAACCAGTTGCTAATGAGAAAAGACCATCTCCGCATGCCTGAATCGGTTCTCTGAGACTGTCGATCTATTGACCGGCTCTGAGGATTCAGGTAGGTGCTGAAAGAATATCAATAAACGTAGTAGGTTAATGGGATATTGGTACCTTTATTGACCAGGTATTGAATCCGTCATGGCTAGAGCTAAGTAGTTTAGGGAACCAAATTTGTTACGAAAATACCTTTAAACTAGCAGAATTCGCCGACAGACCGGGCTCATAACTATTGGAGCGTTATGAGGCAAAAGGTTGCAATGTATGGTAATCAAATAAAAATATATATATCTCTGAACTAGCTAAATCACAGGCATTGAGTATTTATACGGTAGGTTCCTAACATACAGTAAGAAAAGTAGTGCTCATTAAGCGAGCAATGAAAGTTTGGTATTGCAGTGGTAACGGCACCGTGTACGGAGTATTCCGACTCGCTTGACTCGCTTAACGCTAGCGCTACTGGTTCCTGTCCGCCCAAGTATAAATATATGCGCATCCTCCCCTTGTTCCTTTCTTTTTCTTCTTCATACTTACCTTGTTTGGGTGGCTGCGATCATCAAGGCGGCTCACCACAGCTTGGGCCCTGCATTGCACATTGCGGCGGAACAATCTGTTCAGCGGCCTTCGGGTCTCTGACAGGCGTATTCTTTGGCACCCTCCACCTTGTGGAACCTTTCTTTTTCATCATGCCTTGGGTCAATGACTCGAGTATGGAGAAGAGGATTCTTGTAATCGTGATAATATTTAGAAATTTCGATTGTCTGTATCGTGTTCAGTTTAGGATAACATGTGTTCAGTTGCTCTTTTTGTTCACATTATGCTGCATCGCCCTTCTCTCGACTGCATAATGGGTTGTTCTTTGTAGTCATGACCTGCAAGCTAGCTACCTTTCGTAGATCTCTGACTGCGGACAGCTTCTCTAGACTTAGTTTGGTACAATGCCGCTAAGCTCTTCTACGCGTGAGCTTGCCATCTAGCCTGCTCCCTTGAATGAAAATAGCCCATATCTTGAGGCTAAACCCCACCAACTTCGCTTCATAGAGGAACGTCAATAATTTTCTCTCTGAGAGGGGGCATCTAAAGCTCTACAAGCCCGAGTATATCGAAAATTCTTTCCTGAGCTAGGGTGGGTTGAGACGACCAGAAACCCGGATGACTTTGTGCCTACACAGCACCTACTTACATGATAAAACGCTACTAGCATTGATCAGCAAAAGTGAAGACAGGAGAATGGTCCAACGTCAGTAGAAGATTCGTACAATGTTGTCCAAATGATACTCAGAATCAAGAATCACGGTCTGACGCTATCTGACTACCGGTTATTATATATACATATCCAGCGACCGCTATGGATTCACTCGTATGTTGCTGTTACTAGTAGTAGAAGGCCTTTGCAAAACCCAGTTCCCAACGCCCAAACAGCAAAGGACAATATAAGCCCAGAGCTGGCCCTCCCCCCCATTCACCAACTCCAGCCAGAGTCGACCTCAAGATTCACTTTCACGGACGAGCTTCCCCTCCGCATCCCGATCCGCATTCGCCCTCCACTCCATCCCCCCATCCATAAATTCCTCTCTCTTCCATATCTCCGCTTTCTCCTTGCAGGCCTCCAAGACCTCCTCCCCGCCCTCCAAGCGGCTCCACGGTGGCCCGCACTCACAGCAATAGCGATCGAAGCCTCTCCAATCGGAACAACCCCCAAACGGTGCGCAATGCTCACGCCTTTCAAATCATGCGTCTTGACAGCTGCGTCCGCGATCGCCGCCAACGTCTTCAAGGCCAGCGGCGGATAGCACGTATAGCTCAATTGTGAGACAGAGCGTCCCTCGAAGGTATCTCTTGTGGTCCCTAGGGAAAAGGACGTTGGCACCGGCAGCTGGCGAGGAGGTTTGCGCGAGGTATGTGTTTGCGTCGAGCGGGTCGTATGTGAGGGTGAGGTGGATGTTTTGCGCCTTATCGTGCTGGGTGCGAGGGTATGTGGCTGGGTCCAGGTGTGCGGGGAGCGAGGACTCGGTAGTCATTGTATATTCATCTGGTTGGATTATATACGGGCAAAAGAAAGCTGTCCGGGTCCTTTGGACAAAAATGCTTATCGGGTGCGGGGGGGCTTTGATAAGTGGCGGAGTCGCGGCGACCACCGATCTTGGTCTTGTATATTCTCCGCTTCGAAGAGCGGAACTTCTCGCCCGCGCGGGTGGACTTGGATTCGAAGTAAACCTGGGCTATTTCTTATGGCCGGGAACAACTTGGCTGTGGCTACGTTCACGCATATTTGTGCCTTCGAACAAAGTCGCAGTAGATGGAAGCTCCTGTAGTATAGTATCGCCTACGAAGAAGACTCGAGGAATCAGACTGTTGGAAAAAGTACTGCGGATCTTACCCCCGAAAGGTAAAGTACTTCATTCTCTCTGGACCTTGGAATGATATCATCCGCTACTCCCACCACTCAATGCCCATACTGTGATCATCAAAAGCCCAGAGCTATCGCCAGTGCTTAGCTATTAACGCCAAAAATCCTCATCAAGCCAGTCGCTGGGACCGTGGCGGCCACGGGGGTGATTCCATTCCCAGCGCCATCCAAATGGCCAGCGGACCCATTTGCCATCGCGACCATCATGATCCTCTTGGTTCGCTTTTTGATCACCCTGGCTGTTTTGGGCGCTCTGAGGAGTGTCCGTAGTATGCTCGGTCTCTTCCGCACGTTTCAAGATATCTATACATAATGGTGAGTATGAACCAGAGTATTCATCGGAATATTCACATACCAGATCCTGACGAAGACACGGAACAGCAAGAGCAGTGCTCAGAAGGCCAACGAGGGCGAACAAAGAAGTAAGCTTCATTTTGACTAGTACGTCGGTATAGATCAAGTCGCAAGACGTTTGAGTGATTGGATGAGGGCAGGCAAGGATGATGTTAGAATTACCGATGTTTTTTCCCACAACGAAGGGCAGACTTCTTTTATAGACTTTTTATCAGAATGAAGACAGAAGTCCCTCCATACTCAAATCTCGACAGCGACATGAACCCTGATATCTCCCTGAAACATTCTATATCAAGGCCAGTCACGGGGTTTCCGTTGTCTCCGGTACAAGAGTGAGGCTGAGCTGGTACTCAGATACATTTAAAAGCATCACGTCTCTTATCTTGCGGTACTCTCCAAACCAGTCTACATAATTTTCAAAACTCCGCTATTGCTAACTGAGAATGGTTCATGACTGAGTGGTATTTTCTGTGCAGAAGCTGTTACCAATAGTAGGAGAATTGGGGCATGGCGCTTTACACAATCCTTTGAAACAGAAGTCAAGTATTCCTTAGCTCAGGTTCGAATTTTTGGCTAATATTCTCGTAAGTTTCATGTCACGGTCCACCTGGCTCTATGTTCAGCCAATATTAATCATGACCGATCTCTACATGGTGAACAGCATGCGTGGTGTCTTTAGTTCCTAAGATCTCTAGGTCAAAAAGGGTACCACGGAAGTGGTTGCAAGAAAATCAGCACACTTTGTGTTTCATATAAGCAGCCTCAGGCCAATCTCAATGCAGACTGCTAAAGTTGTGAAGCAAAGGCTCCGTCCAGGTCTAGTCATCATCGAAATTACGATTTTGCGCAGGGTTTCTCGTGCTGACATGCTTGGTTTTCGACAGCTGGTACATCCTGACATTGACAAAACACACTCTGAGACATACCCCAAGACCTCCCGAGGCTCAATGGCAAGGGCCCGGGGGGTTACGAAACTAGAGTTAACTGAATACTATGAGATGATTCCCCAATATGGTGGCCCAGGAGGCTTCAAAGACGCGGCCTTGGTAGCTCATCACCGCCCCTGTAACGTAGCACAATAGTCAAGTTGAATGAAGATTCAATTGTTGGCATGTGGCCACATGAAGGATTGTACATGAAAAGACCAATCCGGAGTTCCAACTCCCGATGGTGCTAAAAATACAGAGGGTGACATACTCGACCCATGAAGATCTTTTCGCTGGACCTCCAATACAAGCACAGCTTGTCATATTATCCCGCGATATACCGCTGGAATTTCCACAAAGATATGACCAAATCAACACCCGAGGCGGTATTGGGCTTATAGAACAGAGCAGGCTTCTGAAACCACGGGTCTGCTTGTCTGAGACTCGCCAAGTCAGACTCTGATAGAAGCTGCGCTAGGTCGAATACGGGCACCCTTTTCCGCACCTGGGGCAACATGGTCAGGTCAGCCAAGGGTTCAGCATCAGAAGATTTAGGGCCATCAAGAACAAGGACAACGCCACACTCCATCTGTTGAACAGGTTCAAGACACTCTAATGCGCTTGATAAAGCGGCATCTGAATAGTGCTGCATATTAACCGCCCTCCAAATGTCAGCAGTGGGTTCTGTCGTTCCAAGCCTCTGGACAGCACTCGTAAGCTTCTTGACAATGTCACTTCCCATCTGTCGAGCCAGCAACGAAGGCATATCTTTACTCCACGTGAGCCTTTCTACATCGCGCGGAGTGAATGGGCCGTGAGGCGATCGCCAGCGAAAGGATAAAAGTCTCGCAATGGGCGATTTCTTAGCGTTGGCCGATAACTCTACCTTTTCCGACAGGCGACGGATGGGATTCTTGAGATACGCCATATAAAGAGTCATCGGCTGGTCAAAAAAGCGTCTCCGATCTAACGCCGAATCGGATTGCAAGTCTGAGACGTTCTCCTCGCTCGTAGCTGCTTCTTTGTTTGCGTCCTGGTTCCGTCGTGCCTTTTTCGTGTTCTTCGACGGCCGCCATCCCAGAGAATCCATCAGTAGCTCCACTGGGAGCATGTACAGCTTATCTGTATCGGGTTTCCGCACCATGCCCCATTTCCCCATTAATGAGCGCGGCATCCGCGCACCTGTCAGGACACATGCGCGCGTGTCTGAAGCCAGAGCCTGCGCCCACGGGTTGTATTGGAGGCGGCCATAGTCGTCTGTTGTCGCGGCCTTCTTGCGTATTTTGAGATGCGGCGTTCGAGGATGGGTGATGAGAGGGGACTGGGGAGACGTTGGGATGGGCGACCGGAGGTAGTTGTATCAGCTTCGGGTCGCGGCGCGGATTGATCTTGAGGATTATGTTCTGCGGTATGCGAGATTGGCCGTATTTGTGGTCGCGGGGAGCTGTCTAGGAGCTGGCGGAACATGCGTAGGCGCCATGCTGCCAGCGACGCTTGGGATGTGCACTGCATCTTGGATGATGAGATGGAGGAGGCACGCGGTAGTTTTTTCCCCAGAAACCCGTGCCCGCCAATCAGAAGCTGGGATTTGCGGAGGACTACCGGGAGCTTGAATTTGGGATGGGCAATGAAACTAGACAATTAGTCAGTCTTAACCCGGTGGACGATTTCAGCACATAAAATTAGGGCAAAGATATTCTCTTATCCGTGGCCGGGTATGATCTTTGGTCTTCTCATCAATCCACATGAGCCCGGGTGTGGCAGCTCCGTATCTTAGCGCCGATCGGACGATTACGATAAACTCGACAGCTCCGTCGTCTCTGCTCCTTTCAACAACCCCATCTCCAACACTTTAGAGGATGCGCGCCACAATTGCCCGCTCTCTGCGACTTGGGCAGACTGTCCCGTCCGCCACGGCCTCTGCGCTTGGCCGCAGTGGCTTTCCGCGAGCCTTCTCCAGCTTCAGCCCTGCGTTGAATTATAGCCCTCCGCGGGGTTGGACTCCAACGCCATTTGTAACAGAGACAGTGGTAAGCCAGCGCTCTCTCCTACTGTGATCCTAGATCATGCGCGAGCTAACTTGATTTTTAGGGCGGTGGCTGGCATACTTGTACGTTGCGCGATCCCTGCCAACCATATACAATCAGCATTCAACTAACCCAAGGCCGCTCCCCCGGCACGCAACAGACGACATCTTTTCCCGATTACTCAAGGTATACCCTCGAATACCTATGTGGCTTCCACAAAGACTGACGAAGAACAGGAACGAATCATCTGCCTCAATGGCGAAGTCAACGAAACCATGTCCGCCTCCATCGTCGCCCAGCTCCTCTTCCTCGAAGCCGACAATCCCAAGAAGCCCATAAGCCTCTACATCAACTCCCCCGGCGGCTCCGTAACAGCGGGTAACAACCTCTCTCCTACCCTCACACATCGGAACAATCTAACGTTCTCAGGCCTCGCAATCTACGACACAATGACCTACATCTCCGCCCCAGTAAGCACCATCTGCGTCGGTCAAGCCGCCTCCATGGGCTCTCTCCTCGCCGGCGGCACAGCCAGCAAGCGTTTCTGCCTCCCTCATTCCTCCATCATGGTGCACCAGCCGTCGGGCGGGTACTTCGGACAAGCGACCGACATTGCGATTCACGCGAAAGAGATCCTGCGCGTGCGCGCGCAACTAAACAATATCTACCTGCGGCATCTGAACGGGCCGAAGAAGATGACGCTGGAGGACATCGAGAAGCTGATGGAGCGGGACTATTTCATGAGCGCGGAAGAGGCGAAAGAGATCGGGATTATTGATGAGATTCTGGACCACCGGGTTAAGCAGGAAGCGGAGAAGTCTGAGTAAGTGCGACGGGTTGGGCCATGGCTTGGACCTGAACCATTCTACTTGTATTAATATCATGACCGGCTTCATGGGCGCTTGCATTTACGTTCTATATGCGTTTTCTTGGGAGTTCCGTGGACAGGGGTTGAGCGCGTCGGCTGCCAGCACCGACTTATGCAACGTAGAGCCTGGCAATGTAGATTTTCCTTGGATAAACTAGAATACATTGGCGTGGTCCATCAGGAGTTCACGCGCGTTATCCGCCCGTCAGAACCGACCTGGAGCCCGAATCGCTGTCGGAGCAATGTCGCTGCCTCGGGCGAGGGAACGTAACCTGAGGGCCGGCGGGACTGCGTGGTATAGAGCCACTGGTCGCGGATGGTTGTGAATAGTCCCATTTCCAGGATGATGGCCCGCCCCGACGCGAAAGAGTCGAGCGGGTGCCTTCCCCGGCTGGCCGAGCTGTCACCTGGCTCGGCGAGGAGGGTTGTTCGTTCTTCTTGGAGGCCGTCGTCGATCTCTGCAAGCGGAGGTGAAGTGGAGGGCTCATGTGAGGGTTCTACGGTTCCTGTCTCGGCGGGGCCACGGACGACGCCGCGCTCTTCTGCATCGTGGTCTTGTTGTGTTTCGTCATTAGGTGTGTTTGTATCGGAGTTGGAGGATTGGGTCGGTGCAGAATTCGTCGATGTACTTAGGTTTGTGGCGGTTGTCTTTACACGCTCGATTATGAGGCCCAGCATCAGGAAATCGACGAGTAAGATGAGCAGGTCGAATGTGAGGAGCCGGAATACGGGCACGGGCTTTTGCCCGATAAAGTCGATAAACAGCCCACCATGGAGATACCCTCGAGTCGCTTCTCCAGCTTCAGGGCGAATGAAAAAGGCGTGAAAGATCATGCAAAAGAGGTTGCTGGCTAGGATGGCGCCCACGAAAGGTTGGTTTCGGGTCGGGTCGAAGGGAGAAGCTTTGGGAGTAAAAAAAGATCAGTTCCACCACGGCGCGCAATGCAAACAAAATTATCGAGCAGCTATAGAGAAGCGTTGTTAGCTATGCTGCGGTGTTCGGTGCAATTGTGCCCTGTCGCGGCGGCTTGTGGGATGACGTTCCTCAGCTCGCCCAAGGCTTCCAGGTGCAACGGACACAGACGTACTCCATGTAATACAGTGCGGATAGCTCGCAGTAAACCAGAATGTCCAGGTCGCGCAGTAATTTGTCGATGAAAGCTACCTTGGCAGCAAACTGCGCTTTCCTCACGCGACTGCGGTCCTGAGCGGACCCAGGAGTCTCGGACGCATCGTTAAACGAAATACCAAGGACGTCAACGATGTGCTCGCATCGCGAAATGCATCGATGTCCGCCATAGAGGGTCATGGGGACAAGGATGCCTTCCAGCAATCCTCCTGTTTGGGATGATGTATGAAATCCGACGTTGGCTGAAGCAGATGCGGGCTTATCCCGGAGCCGCCCCACGTGCCTAGAATAGCCGCTGTCATAGTTCGGCGTTAGCGTTTCCTGCCTGGGCAAGCTGAAAAAGAACTAATCTAGCATATGTAGTCATATGGAGAGAACATTTTCGCTGAGCTCTTGCATCGAAATATACCAGCGCCCGAATTGGTCGACAAGGGCAATAGGGTCAGGCTGATTCATTCGGTGCGTTAGGCAGACGTCTATACGGGGTTGTGTGGCTTTTAGATCGCTAGCTAAAGTCCAGTGCAGATCGCATGAATCGCAGGTGCTTGTTGAACCATTTCTACGGATATGGAGGCCGGACGCCTCCCTAATGTGCCCTTTGTAGGGTCATACGTTTTTCATCCTAACTCGAACGTGCTGGACTTTCATTTGAAAGAAGCTCTCAAGTTACCAGTTGCTCGCAAATTTTCTCAGCATCATTTAGTTCCCCAGAATATGTAGATGCTTAGCTGCTGGAGAAGGAAAAGCTTATCGAGTTCATGTTGTTCTGACAACCAGAGCCTTGCTATGCCGATGTTTGGTATTCGAACGTACGCTAAAGTTTGTCCGGACTAGTACGAGTACCTGTCTACGTATATAATATGATTGGGTGCCTCGTCAAGAAGTGCTGGTATTGTGGAAATAATGGAGGTCCGTCATATCGAATGCATTTGCTGCACCTACACGGCTTTTCCGCATGGTAATTTCTTAGTCCACAAAGATCTTGGGGGCCAGCTCAGAGTAGTGCTTGAAGAAGCCGTTGAACAGTCGGATGGCATGGTCAACATCATAGGTACCGCCAGTCTCACGGATACTGTGCATACTCAATTGAGGGTTGCCCAGGTCTAGAGTGCGGGCACCCAAGGCTGCAGAGAGCATAGGGCCGATGGTGCTACCACAGCTAGAATCATTGCGTACAACGAATAGCTGCAAGGGGATGGTCGCCCTTGCTCTTGGCCGGCCTTGCGGGCGATCTCCTGGAGAAGAACGATACCCGGGGAGTTTGTGGCGTAGCGAGCGTTGGCATTGATCTTAATAACGGTACCCTTGTTCATCTCGGGCTTGTGGTCCGACTCATACTTGGCAGCATAGTTGGGGTTGACAGAGTGCGCCATGTCAGCAGATACGAGGAAGGAGGTGGAGAGGGTCTGCTCGTAAGCAGTTGACACGTCCTCCGACGATGACTTGGATGAGGGAAGGACGGAGAGACGGCGAATAATGGAGGGGAGGATGTTAGAGTCCGCGCCCTGAGCGGTGCGGCTGCCAATCTCCTCGTGGTCAAAGAGAGCAATAAGGCGAATGGCTGACTCGTTCTCTAGGTCCTGCTCACTCGCCGAGGACTGTGCGAGGGCCTCGGTCGCACAGTAGGTACTGTTCAGGTTGTCCAAGCGGGGAGAGAAAATGAACTCATCATTGAGACCACCCAGGGCGGATTTTTGGGTATCGAAAAGTATCAATTCGAAGTCCAGAACGTCCTCTGGCTTGACGCCGGCCTCAGTCGCAATAAGCTCAACAAATTGAGAGTGGTGGCGCTCAGAAGGTGACTTCAACGGGGCAAATTCATCCTCCTTGGCTGGGGCAGGTTCAGCTGTCTTGTTAAGTTCAGCAGCGGCCAGGCCAGCGATTGGGAAAAGCTGGGTTTCCTTGTTGAAGGAGAAGTTCTCCTGGCGGTCCAAGTGGATGGCCAGGGTAGGGATGCGAAGGACTGGGGAAGTCAGCAGAGAATCTGTAATGGGGAGGAAGAAGCAACATACTTGGACGGTCAACCTTAACCAATTTCTGAACAATGGATCCATCGCTGGAGCGGGTCATTACTCGGCCAGCCACACCAAGGTCACGATCGAACCCTATATCAGTCAGCTCATGGCTTGAGGCGATAGATCAAGGTTTGGAGTTCCGTACAAGTGTGCCAAATACCACCGCCATAAGTCTCCACGCCAACTTGGATGAAGCCTTCACCCTGCTTCTTGCTAACTGGCTTGACACGCAGGACGGGGGGAGTCAGTGTGGGCACCGATCATGGCAATGGAATTGCCAGGCTAGACCGTCAGTACAAAAGAATCAATATATGATGACAAGAAACCCCTACCGTCCATTGCTTTCCGATCGCAAAGGCGATAAGAGTGGTAGTGTTGCGGGTCAGGTAGTAGCGACCGCCAGGCTTGCAGGTCGATGCCCAGGAATCTTTCTCCTATGAGGATATGAGTACTTGTTCCTCCCATGATCTGAGTGGGGCTATGGATACCTTGATTTCCTGGAACCCAGCTTTTGCCAGAAGATCCTTGGCGGACTGGACGGCATGGAAAGCTAGAGACGGTTAGCTCTAGGGCTGAGGACCCGGGGGGGTTTACAGGGGAGCCATACGGGTTGGGGAAGCGTTGACGAAGTCCAGGAAGTCCTGAGCAGGCTGCTTTGAAACTTGGGCCATGGTGGATGATGATCGAGAAAACAAGCTACGGCCTAGAGAGGAAAACATAGAGATACTTGAAGGGCGCATAGTGAGGAGCCCCGTGTCACTTTAGGCAGGGTTTTCGGTTGGCGGTGGGCACTCCCGCCAGATAAGCGTTTATGGGTCCAGCAGACTACGACAAGATGGCAGTTACAAGATCCCGTTGAAAAGCACAGGGCACCCGCTCGACTACTAGCGGCCGTCCAGTAGCTGTCTACTTTATTCTCCGGGGGGGGCTGGAGTGATTGGCGGGAGTTGCTGGACCGAGCTCGCGCGTGTTGGACGCGTTTCCACGCGCAATGCCAGCAGCCCCAGCGTCGCGTTTCATTGGTCTCCCCACCCTGCATTTTGCTGCATTTCATAACAAGACAATCGATTTAGGCCATAGACGATGTACAGTAAACCAGTCTGGAACAGAAATGGATCTTCCACATGGGCTTTATGCTTCATGCATAGCCCCTTCCGACCAGACTCGAATCCTAGGTGAACGTGGATGGGAATGAAACACATCAGATCTGGGTAGAGATATGATAGCAAAAGTCTAGAGCAACAATGGAGAACGTTCCAGGGTCTCTACTCCTGTAAGGCTATCGAGTCGCAAGAACACCATAGAGGGCAGGAGCTTTACCCGATTAGGCTTAGGGCTCCCGACGCGTGACCACAGAGAGGGATGGCTCTCCCTTCCAACTGGTGATGTTTGGTCTTTTCGTCCTTTGAATGCCATTCTCTTTGTGTTTCTTTCATTCCTCTTTTTCCATTTACAATCCCAGGCTTTATTGGGGGTGCGAAAGTTGGGATTTCCCTGCTCCTCTGCCTTAGCGCCCATCCCGGTGGCTGGAAACCCCGACAACCTCTCATCACAACAAGACACCCCCTCCCAGCACACCTTATTCTCCATCATCAGCTGTGAATCCAACGCCCTGCACCTCTTCGCTCTTTGTCCGTTATTCATATTGCATGCGCTATCACATCTACTGCCTCCATCCTGCATTACCTGTATCTGGCCCTGAGGATCAGCCGCCAACATGGGGGACCGATCTCAGGATGCAGAGCCAGGTGTAGAGGTCCCGGCTTCGCCCTCAAAAATCCGACGGACAAGAGCAGCCAACATTGTCTCTCCGCCCGGATCAAAGACGCCACCGAGCATGCCCGCCAAGAAAACAATCTATTACCCGGATAATTCGAGGCATCGCCCAGCCCAGGAAGGATCAGAACCGGTAGATGCCCACGCGCTCGCGAAAGCGCTGAACGACTATGAGGAATCCGGACGCCGGCGTGAGAGGACGCCTATTACAAGCCCTGTCCGAAAGAGACCGCGGCTGTACGGCGATCGGTAAGTGAAGTTCCGCCCCGCCTGGTCCCACTTGGAGCATAACTAGCTCACCTTGCAGCTTCATTCCAAATCGCGAGGGACAAGATCTCCAAGCAACTTACAGTCTCCTCCATGAAGATGGCTGCCCCTCGACCCCTTCGAGATCTAAGAGGCGGGCTCCTCACTCGGAGCTTCATTTCCAGAAAAGTAAGGAAGCGCCACCGTGCGTGGACGAGGTGAAAGGTCACTGACATTGTTCCCTTTGCAGCTGAGGAGGCCAATCGGACCTTCTCTCGTGTTCTCCGCAGTGAACTATTCGGAGACACTGTGCCCCAGGCAGATCTAAACACTACCTCACCCGACCCATTGCTTGGCTTTCCTCGTGGCATTAACGATAAGACCCGATCTCACACCCCGCCCTCTAACATCGTCAATCTCCCTCCCGCCAGCATCACTCCCTCAACCCCTCATAAAAATCTTTTCAACTATGGACCTAGTCGATCCGCCAATCCAACGCCAAACAAGACGCCGCGGACACACGGCCCGAACTTAAACGTTCGTTCGGAATTGTACAGTCTGTCTCCAATTCGATACGATAGCCAGCGGATCCTCGAAACCCCTCGCAAGCAACCCCGCTACGTTAATAAAGTGCCTTACAAAGTTCTGGATGCGCCAGACCTGCAGGACGATTTCTATCTCAACCTGGTCGACTGGGGCAGCAGCAATGTCCTCGGAGTTGGTCTTGCGAACTCGGTCTACATGTGGAACTCTCAATCCGGCCATGTTACTAAGCTATGTGATCTCAAGGATGACACGGTTACCAGTGTCAGCTGGATTCAACGAGTAGGATAGCCAGTCCTCGAATACCCGATCCCTTTATGCTGACATGTTGATTCAGGGTACTCACCTTGCCATTGGCACGGGCAAAGGCCTTGTACAGATATGGGATGCTGAGCATTGCCGAAGACTGCGAACTATGATTGGTCATACCAACCGTGTCGGTGCATTAGCATGGAATGACCACATCTTGACATCTGGATCCCGTGATCGCCTCATCTATCACCGTGATGTTCGCTCCCCTGACCAGTATCTTCGTAAGCTTGCGGGTCACAAGCAGGAGGTTTGTGGCTTGAAGTGGAATACAGAGGATGGTCAGCTGGCTTCCGGTGGTAACGACAACAAGTTGATGGTCTGGGACAAACTCAATGAGACTCCTCTTTACCGCTTCAGTGATCACACCGCCGCCGTGAAGGCTATTGCTTGGTCCCCTCATCAACACCACCTGCTTGCTTCCGGAGGAGGTACAGCTGATCGCACGATCAAATTCTGGAACACGTCGACTGGCTCGTTGATCAAAGAGGTTGACACCGGCAGCCAAGTCTGCAACCTCTCCTGGTCAAAGAACTCAGACGAGATCATTAGTACTCATGGATACAGCCAGAACCAAATTGTTATCTGGAAATACCCTCGCATGGAACAAGTTGTATCCTTGACAGGTCATACCTTCCGTGTTCTCTACTTGGCCATGAGCCCCGATGGTCAGACCGTTGTCACGGGGGCCGGCGATGAGACACTTCGGTTCTGGAAAATCTTCGATAAACGAGGAGCCAGGGACTCTCGCCGCGAAAATAGCAAGCTTGCCGAGTGGGGCACCATTCGTTGAGTGGCTCTTTTTTTTTTCTCCCTGCATCTCTTTGCCTGCATAAATGGAGTTTCGGATCATGGGCTGTCATTTTCGGGAGGATGGTCTTCGCATGGTTTGAAGGAATTCCTCACCACATTTCGCATCGATACGACATCTACAACATTTTACAACTTTCCACAATCCGTCCAGTGTTTTCAAAAGGACAATATTCGAACACAGATATTCTTATGCCACGTTTCATCCATCTTCTTCGGCTAGCGGATGACTCGGGCTAGTTAATGTTGTTGGTTTTCTCTCCGTTTCTTTTCTCTCAGCCCTTTTGACTCTACAGTTTTGTTTCTTTGCGACCACGGGACACACATCACTGGCGTTCTCGGCGGTCAGTCACGCCAAGGTTCAAGCGGTGGCGCTTATGGTGTTTCAAGGTCGCCGGTCTGGCGTTGCGTTCGTATGGACAGGGGACTTCTCATAGCAGTGCTTTCACCTTTTCACGACGTTACGAATTTTTCCAATTTGCCCTGTTTCGTTTCCATTTGCCTTTGTCTTTGTGAATCCACATACCATGGTCCGGCACGGGGTTATTTCAGGATGATATCATGGAGTCTTTAGGCCTGAGTCGTGGAACAGTTCAATTGGATCTCTCAACCTATCAACACGTAATTGCAGTATCAAAAAGCCAGTCAGGCTGTATCCGATTATCTATGCTACACTGAATACAAGAGCTTGTCTCTAAACGCAAGGGGAATGACATAGGAAAGCAGGACAAGAAGCTCCGAAAACAAGACATGAGGAGATTTATAAAGCCATGACCTAGACCACAAGCCGCGCAGGTTCAACCTGCAGAAGAGTCTTCAGCCGCTCAAGGAATTCCTTAGCCCGCAGCTCCTGACCGACTGGCACAGTCAAGCTGAACACATTCGAAGCACCACCCGAAACATCCTCTTCAAAAGGCACCGAAGCAACCCTCTTCTTGCCGGGCTTCGCGGTCAGGATATCAATAATATCCTCCTTAACAGGCTGAGAACGGAACGACGCTGGAGTAGCCTCGTACGCATTCAACTCCGGGATGTAATCCCCACGCGAAGTAGTGAAAGGCTCCGCGCCCAGAATCTCCTCAAACAGCTCATCGGGCGTAGAAACCTCGTCCTTTGACCGCGGCAGATCATCATTCGCCAAATCCGTCGCCACTGCGAGGAACCGCGACAAGGGCACCGTCACACCCAGGCTCTCCTGCAGCTTCCGCTGCGCAGACAGTACAGCGGCCAGCGAGATCGAGATCGCGATTGAGGTAGTTCGGACGGGCTTGGGCGCCTTGACCTCTTCAACTGGCGCGGGCGCGGGCGCGGGCGGCGCCGCGAGCTTGATGTTGCTCAGGTCGAGGTGTGCGAGCTTGGCGAGCTTCGCAGCTTGTGTTGAGGGGTAATCGGTGGCGATCTGGCCCAGGTATGCGAGCACATCACCCTTCAACAGGCGACCTTTGGGGCCGGAGGCAGGGATCTTTGATACTTCCGACTCGGGGATATTCTTCTGGTGTAGGAGTTGGGCGACGGAGGGGTAGAGCGGGTAGGCGGGGTTTTGGGTGGTGGGAGCAGAGGAGGATTGAAAGCCTGTAGTCAATCAATGAGTTTGCGTTCGGGCTGGGTATGGACTGAGTTCGGATTGGGACGGAGTTTGTATAGATCCATTTGATCTGATAAAGGGCAGCTCGCCGTTCGGAGGTACCTGCAGTTGGCATGGAGGAGTGGGATTAGGGAGACTCACGCTTGGAGAAGCTGGACAGGGTGCGAGGCTGGCGCCGGGCGAAGACGGCCGTGGCCTGGTTCAAATGGATCCTGGCAACCATTGTGAACGGGTGTGCTTGTGGTATATCGTAGACGGGTGGTGTGCTGCAGATCCTGGGCGAGGGTGCGCAGGCTATGCGGCGGGAGCAGCTAATCAGTTGGTCCGGAAGCGATGGAGACAGTCCACCGCCGCAAACCTCACGAATATTTCTGGATCGAATATACGGGGTTGCTGAGAGTAAAGGAACGAGCTGCTGAGGGCGTTGGGAGCTTTCACCGGCGGCCGGGACGGGAATATTTTTCTGCCGCAATCCGCTGTTTTCGACTTGACGCTTTCCGAGGAGAACGGCGAATAGCTCCGCAATCTGGGTGAGTCTTGGACTGTTTTTCCCTCTTTTGCAACGGTTCAATCGGAATCGCTTGAAGTCCCGCTGTTTTGTGGATCAGATATGTTCGAGACGATCACTAACTACTACCCAGGCTTCGACACCCATCACCAGACACGCAACCATGGCTTCACGCTCCCCAATCCTACGAATGCTATGGCAAAGATGCGCCAATTCTTCCACGAAGTCAGGCACTCATAGTGGTTTCTCTTCGTCATGGCGCTCTTACGCATCGAAGCCTGGTTGTAGAACTCGTGCGCCTCCACCGAATCCAAGCTCTAATGCTCAACCGAGTAGGACCGCTCAAGGTGGTCCAAAGTACGGACAACTGGTTCGGAAGGTCGCAGCATACGGTGACTTGGTTCTATATCGTGGTCCCTCGCATACACTCTACCGCTTTAACGCGTTCGCTGTGGCAGCATCTGCTTTCGGATACGCTGCCTACCACTCATACATCAATTTCGTGGACCCATTGATGGAAGTGGAGAACTGGATTCTTTATACCCATGGAGGCATCTGCGTTGTCACAAGTGCCATGGGTGCGGCATGGCTAACGAGGGCAGGAAACCTGGTGAAGAGTGTCGCTGCCGTACAAAATGGCTCGCAGACACTACTCCGCTTCACTGTGCAGGGTACGAGGCCATTCAGCCGACCGCGCGAGTTTGAAGTCTCACCGCGCAAAGTGGCCATATCAAAAAAATTAGTGGTATCAGAGGAACGACGCCGGGTCGTTGGCGAGAACGTCAGAACCCCCATCGCGGCTTCCACAGAGCAGAAACCTCCCAGTCTCATGATGGCTCCCATTCGTGCGATGAACCGAGGCGTGGGAAGCTGGCTACAAGCTCTCAAGCAATTGGCTTTGCAGGAAGACTTTATTATCCTTAGGGTTGACCGAGAAAATGGGAAACGTCCACTCGAGCTCAGGATGGATGCTAATGGGTATCTCTCAAGTGACTTCTTCTTAATCGGGGACCCGGTCATTTTCAAGAACTAAGAAATACCCGAGTCGTCCTTAGCCATGTTTTAATATCTGGATCATATCCTCTGCCTGCTCTATCTGTATAAATAGCCTCTGTACTTAAGTATTCTAAACCTGGTCGTTCATTTCGATGAAATCCTGGGCTGGACCCACACTCATGACTTCGCAGGTTCCCCTATAGAAGAACATTTCTCTTTAGATCATTCGAGAGCGAGGATCTGGTTGTCGGGTGAATGACTATTCGAATATCAGCCTAGTCGCGCCAAAATCTGTATACAACCTCATATCAGCCAACTGTCTCTATTCTAGCGAAAATTCCATGCCACTTTATCCGGTTCTCGCGCCTTTCGGAATCCGACTTATCAATCAACCTTGGCTCGCTGCCCTGCTTGTCTGAAGTAAGAAACCCATTAGCAAGTAAGAACCCTCCTGAGTCCAAATGATTGGCTGCAGCTAGGCTTTTCTTCCCAACTGACTAATGTGATAATGAATGTCCAATATAGAAGGCCTCGCAGACAATTACTTATATAACAATGTACAAATAAAGTCTTGCGTCTTCGGTGACCAGGGCTAATATCATGTTTCAATTATCATTTACATATCTCTGATCTGGTCTTCTTGATCCCATGGATTCACACTCTATCCTCGTCTTGGGGGCAACAGGTAAACCCCTTATGATGCCTGCAAAGAGGACGACCTTCAAGATATCCGCTAACAAAATCACAGGTGGCTCCGGCCTGGCCTTTATTCAGGAAGCCCTCGACTTGTCTTTACCACCCCGATTAGTCCTCTATGTACGGACGCCGTTCAAACTTCCAGAAAGTATCACCACGCATCCTAAGGTTATAGTAGTCAAGGGAGAACTCTCAGACCAAGAAGCCCTGGACTTCGCTATGAAGTCAAATTCAGTCACTTCTGTGATCTCATTCCTGGGCGCTTACATCTCACCTTCCGCCATAATAACCCGACCCAAACACACCCCCATTGGCGACTCCTTCCCGGGCATCATGCAGGCAATGAGAGCCAACTGTGTCCGCCGCATTATGGCACTATCAACACCATCCTACTGGATCGATGGCAAAGATGTCAGTACCTGGAGAATATCCGCCTTTGCTGCTCTGCCGAAGATATTTGTACCGCAGGGCAATGCCGAGATGGTTAAGGTTGCTCAAGAGGTGGCCGGCGCAGATGACCTTGATTGGACGGTGTTCCGAGTGCCTCATTTGTCAGACGGGCCTGGAAATCTTCCAGTATATGCTGGTTATGCTAGCCCGCATCATGAGGGGAGTCTCAATTTGTCGCGGAGGAGTCTGGGTCGTTGGGCTCTGGAAGAACTAAGAGACCCGAAGTGGATCAAAGGTGTACCGTTCTTGGGGAATTGCTGATTATCTTCATTTCTAATTTCTTCCTACTAGCACAAGGTTGCTTAATACTGACTGCCAAACTTCTTGGTTCCAAGATTTTCTTCTTGTATGACTCCGTAAAAGTCGAATCCCCAATTTCCAACGCTCATAGATGAACTTGGAGTTGAAGCCAGGACTCAGGACGCCTCAAAGGATTCTGATGTTGAAGGTTTCCTCGAGCATTGATGTATAACAATCCCAGATTTTGGCATTCCGCAGCGATCAAGTGAGGCTGATCCTCTAACTGAGACATGACATTATGTAGTATGGCGGGTCAGATATATAGCTCTCTAAGATCCTAATGGTTATCTTATTATACAGATCCCTGGGATATGAGCTAATGGTAGAACTCCCACAAAACAGCGCATGTGGTATTTAGTTAATAGACAATATCGTCATCGGTACTGCCGTGAAAATTGTTGAGAATTGGAACGAGACTACTTTGTATGCTGTGACGAGCAAGACCACGTGACGATTTGGGGCGCGTCAATCGACGCGCGATTCCCCGTATCGCGCCCCTCCCACACTTTTGCTTTCCAGTCTCTCCACGAAAACAACAACTCATTTGTCTGTTTTGAGTTGCGTGGCTTCCGTCGGAAGCGGCTACGTCGCATCATGGGGAAACTCATTCGCCTCGAGCTTTTCAGTAAGGAATATTTCCGTGTTGCATTTTTGCGCTGCTAACCATACTCCAGATTTCAAGTCCTACAAGGGCCACCATACCCTTTTATTCGGCGATGCATATTTCACTTCAATTATTGGACCCAATGGGTCAGGCAAATCTAACTCGTACGTTATACGGTCTCCCAGTATCTGCAAACATGCCTGCTAATATGGCTCTAGGATGGATGCCATTTCGTTTGTTCTAGGAATCAAGTCATCTCACCTGCGATCCACAAATCTGCGTGATCTCGTTTACCGCGGTCGCGTTCTGCGCACATCCAAGGTCGATGGAGAGCCTGCCAGCGAGAACGACGGCAACCAAGCGCAAGAAGCCGACGATGCGGATGTCTCCCACGATCCGAGTGGAAACGACCCAAAGACGGCTTGGGTGATGGCAGTATACGAGGATGACGCAGGTGAGGAGCAGCAATGGCGCCGCTCGATCACAAGCTCGGGAGTCAGCGAGTACCGCATCAATAATCGAATTGTTACGGCCCAGCAGTACAACGAGGCTCTCGAGGAAGAAAACATCTTGATCCGCGCACGCAACTTCCTTGTCTTCCAGGGAGATGTTGAGGCCATCGCATCGCAGTCTCCCAAGGACCTGACGAGGTTGATTGAACAGATCTCCGGCAGTCTCGAATACAAGGCCGACTATGAGAGGCTGAAGGCAGAGGCAGAAGAAGCTGCGGAGCAGCAGACCTCGCAGCTCAACCGTCGACGAGGAATCAATTCGGAGGTGAAGCAGTACCAGGAGCAGAAGCGGGAAGCAGAGAACTACGCGAAGAAAGCTGAAGAGCGTGACCAGGCTATTATCACACACATCCTGTGGAAGCTTTTCCACTTTCAGCGTCTGATTGACGCGTCAAGTGCTGATATTCAGAAACACCAGGACGAGCTCAAGGAGTACCGCCGCGGAGTTGAGAAATATGAGCTTAATGTTGAAAATGCTAAGAAGGAGCATGCGCGCGTCGGCAGGGATGTTGCAAAGGTCGAGAAGAATATCGTGCAGAAAGAGAAGGAGATCGAAGAACTCAACAACTCCTTGGTTCCTGTAGACGAGAAGGTGGACATCACTCAGAGGAAGGTTGAGCGATATGCCTCGAAGATTGCCGAGATTGGTAAAGAGAAGTCAAGCCAAGCAAGCAATGCCAAGCAGCTGGAGAAAAACCTTAAGCTTGTGGAGAAAGCCCAGTCTCAATGGGAAGCCGACTGGCAGAAGACTATGAGCAAGCAGGGTGGCCAAATGAGCGAGTCAGACCGACAAGAATACCACAAGCTCCGTGAAGAAGTCAGCAAGCGCTCATCCGCCGACCAGCTTAACCTTGACAACCTACGACGTCAGCGCAAGACCGAAGCCGAAGCCGTGAACAGTTTGAAGAGCAAGTTTGAGAACACAGAGTGGCGACTGAAGACCCTCGAGGCAGAGGCTCAAAATATGAACGAGCGCAAGTCCACACTCAATGAAACCATCAAGTCGACCTCCAAGGATATTGATCACAAGAAGAAGGACCTGAATGCTTTGACATCCGAGCGCTTGAAGGTGTCGCAAATGCGGACCGAGTTTGACGAGAGGCTGCAAGTAGTGTTGAAGAAGCTGCTTGAAGCTGATGATGGCAAAAAGCAGACCGAGAAGGAGCTTCGCGCCAAGGAGTTGATCTCTACGCTGAAGCGTATTTTCCCGGGTGTCAAAGGCCGAGTCAGTGACCTTTGCCGGCCTAAGCAACGAAAGTTTGCGGAAGCCGTTAGCACGGTGCTGGGTCGTCACTTTGATGCCATCGTTGTGGACAACGAGAAGACAGCAAAGGAATGTATCCAGCACCTCCGGGACCAACGTGCAGGACAGGCCACCTTCATCCCCCTTGAAACTATTCAGGTCAAAGCACTTAACTCAAACTTGAAAGGAATGCACCGGGGCATGCGCCCAGCCATCGAGACTGTCGATTACGATGAGTCTGTGGCTCGTGCGATTAGCTATGCTTGCGGAAACTCTATCGTCTGCGACGATCTGGCAACTGCGAAGTATCTTTGCTATGAACGAAATGTTGATGCCAAGGCTGTCACCCTCGATGGCACCGTCATTCATAAGGGTGGTCTTATGACGGGTGGCCGAGGCCCCCAGCAAAATTCAAAACGCTGGGAGGACTCTGAGGTCGAGAACCTCCACAAATTAAAGGAAAAATTGGTGAACGATCTTGCCAATCTTCCCAAGAGCCACCGCCGGGGTTCAGAAGAGGAAACCCTGCAGGGCGAGCTGGTCGGTCTTGAACAACGATTGAATTATGCCCGCGATGAACTCAAAGCCCTGGAACGCAACATCGAGAGCAAGCGCAGCGAGCTGGACTTTGTCAAGCGTCAAATGGAAGACCTGCGACCCAAGTACACCGAGCGCAAGGAAAACCTCGACGAACTGGACGAGACGATCGAAAATTCCCAAGCCTCAGTCAGCGCAGTCGAAGATGAAGTTTACCGCAAATTCTGCAAGCGTCTGGGATATGAGAATATTCGCGAATACGAGGCACAGCAGGGTTCTCTACAAGAAGAAGCAGCGCAGAAAAAACTCGAGTTTACCACCCAGAAGAGTCGCATTGTGAATCAGCTTGACTTCGAAAAGCAGCGCATTCAAGCAACTGACGACCGTATCAGTGGCCTCCAAGCCCAGTACGAGCGCGATCTGGCCTTGGTTGAGGAGCTCAAGGGCCAGCAAGAAGACATTCGGAACCGTTTAGATGAATACAGCGCCGAACTTGAGCTCCTGCGCGAATCTCTGGAAGAGCAGAAGGCCCTCTATGCTGAGTCGGCAGAAAAGCTGGCTGAACAGCGACGGGAACTCCAGAAACGCAGCAAGCATATCGAAGCCGCATTGAAGAATATCAATAGCCTTGAAGCTGATATGCAGCGCAATTCTTCAAGCCGATACGCTCTCCTGCGACGATGCAAACTTGAAGATATTGACCTTCCGTTGACCGACTCCTCCAATTCTCTCGACAGACTTCCCATCGATGATCTTATGCAGGGCGCCGATCCGGATGCCATGGACGTTGATGAAGCCGATGAAGCCGACGATACGCCTGTGATCCAGGACTACGGAATTGAGGTGGACTTTGACTCCCTTGGAGATACGCTCAAAGAGGTATGTTCTGCATACAAGTGTAGAAATATTGACTTGCTCACCATAATCCCCAGGAATCCGACGATAAACTCGAAGAAGAGCTGCTGGAGAAGGTCCGTGCTCTTAATAGTGAGCTTGATAAAATGGCGCCCAACACTCGAGCTCTCGAACGCCTTGAGACCGTGGAGAACAAGCTCCGTAGCACCGAGAAAGACTTCGAGGACGCTCGGAAGTATGCCTCGCAAAGCGAAGGATGAGTTCGAGGGGGTGATGAAGAAGCGATCCGACCTCTTCAACAAAGCCTTCACTCACATTTCCGAGCAGATTGGCCCCATCTACCGGGAGCTTACTCGCAGTGCTAACTACCCGCTGGGTGGACAAGCCTACTTGGATATTGAAGACTCCGATGAGCCCTATCTCGATGGTATCAAGTACCATGCAATGCCCCCTCTCAAGCGGTTCCGGGACATGGAACACCTCTCTGGCGGCGAGAAGACAATGGCCGCTCTTGCTCTTCTCTTCGCCATCCATTCGTACCAACCTTCACCATTCTTCGTCCTGGATGAGGTTGATGCAGCTCTGGATAACACCAACGTGGCACGTATTGCCAACTATATCCACGATCATGCTGCACCCGGAATGCAATTCATCGTTATCAGTCTCAAGACCGGTCTCTTCCAAAACAGCGAGGCCCTGGTCGGTATCTTCCGAGATCAGGTGGAGAACAGCAGTAAATCCTTGACGCTTGATGTAAGTTGCCTTTCTTCTTTGGTTATGTTGACGTGGATGTCCCACTAACGTGACTCTAGCTTCGTAAATACACCTGATCCGGAGGGTTGACACGGGACTAAACGAGTCTTCGCTTTGTTTGATTCGCTTTTTGTAATTTATTGATCCGGCCCGATTCTGATGCTTTAGGTGGAATGATCGCCAACGAAGGCGTGGCTGACGCATATGGGTTTTACACGTTGTTTTGATACCAGATTTTCCGAGCGGAATCTAGTTATTTCTGATTATGTCGCCTTGATGATTTAGGACTACGCGGCTCTGCGCCCAACTATCGCTTGTAGGAACTTATCTCTTGAGTCGTGGGGAATCCCAGCCTTCGATATCGGTCTTTGCCACCTCATTCATCCCATTCGGTCAAATGAGAAATTTTTGGGAAGAGTTCGGCTCTATCCAGCGACGGCGACTAAAGTCGATGAATCGAAATGCGTTGGGCCCCAACGATCACAGCCTGGGGCACTCGGGCCCCTTCCTTATTCGTACTCGAGCGGGTGGTGACCGCAACCCGCAGAACAGAAGCACGAACCTATCACTAGGAAGAGTAGTGGTTCCAAGGCTGGAGTCCTCGATCTTCAGTCCCGGGTGCGTGGTTCAGCCGTGGCATATCAGCAGTGGAGCTCGATAGGGGGGATGAAATTATATACCCGGAGTTGCCGAGACAAACCAGACCTTCACAGGCTACCCAGGTACCGGGATGATCCCCTCAATTGAGTTTGAAGGTTAATAACACAGGGTAGTAACTAGATGCCGTGTAACCCCTCCCCCCTTGACGCTATTCCGCAGGGGGGTTGCCGGTCTCCATCAGGGCCGTATGACATTTTTGCCGTAACACTAACTAAATCAAACTACTTACTAATACCTTCAGTTCAAGCAGAGTACTTTTATCCATGAACCGCTATGGACACGTTATACAAGAATCCCCACCTCGAACTGCAACATTGACAGGGGGCCGAGGGGGTCTGTGGAGGATCGGTTTCCGTGGACCATGCCACGCACTAGTCGAGATCGCGAGTGCTGAGATGCGGATCTTCGTTCACACAGCCGCTAAGGAATGCAAAAGTACCTTTGAACCCGTAACGATCAAGTTTCTTCAAATCTCGCAAGCGCTGATGGTTCATGCAGATCTCAGTCGGCGAAACACCAGATTCAGACGTCCTGGCATTTGGTGCACAGCCACGACATGATGTCCTCGTCACCTCTCAGCCACAACTTCGCCATCACGAGTGGGGGCGTTCTGTCATGCGCACAGATAGAGAGAAAGAGGCGGAGAGAGAGAGACTGGCATATTGGATCCTTATGCATGTTCTGGAATGCCCGAATTGGGAAGCGGGTTTTTGGAGAGCGGGATTTGGAGAGCGGGATTTGAAGCACAGACAAAAGCTCATAGCGACAGGCGGGCATCTGTGCGGTACTTTTGCTCACACCAATGGTGGGATTTTTGGCCTGGGCAGATGGCCTGGGACTATTAGTCTTTTACAAATACATATGTGGCTTTCGAACAAGCCCAAAGTACCAGGATTGGTCTGCACTCCCTATGTCGGATTCCTGACCGTTTGGCCCTCCCCGTGCTGTTGCAAGCGACGCCGGAAAGATGGCGTTGGCGATGAAGTCTTCGGCCTTTTCGATTTATGCAAGGGGCGGGGTACGTCAGTGGCGTGAAGCTGTAAAGGGCTTTCTGGTCCAAGGTCAAAGCGACTAATGGGAATTGGCCAGGAAGCCCTATGAAATTTAGTGACCTGTTTGAACGGAGGTGCCTGGTTGTCTGTGCCTCCGCGGAAATCTAACTTTATCATGCAAAATAGTCTATTGAACGCAATGACTCCAGTATCGTACTTTGTACACGATGGGGACTTTGGGATCGAGTCATAGCAAAATGTTACCGGCAGACCTCGAAGGAACAGCTTATCGATCTCGACTGAAAATTGGGACTTCGAGGAGCACCTGCTAAATCAGGAAACGACTGGCCTGAAGTACGTCCTTTTGCTGCTACACTGTAGCAGTGGATCGAACACCAAAGGCCTTTTGACGGCCAGATTGACGAACCCTGGGTCATGCTGATCTCTGGTGTGGTAACGCACGTAGGTGTCAACAATGTGCAGTGGGGATCAGCTCGATATCCGCCATTGAGGAGCCGCCGACGAGGCTGTTGCAGAGGGAGGAAAGTTTATCTTTCCCACTATTACCTCCCGGCGCTAAGTATCAACTACATACTCCACCCGCCAGGCCACCGATCGATTATGTACCTGTACATCGGGAAAACCCACACAGCATCACCCACTTCCAAGACTCGACCCGCAGGGCCTCCGCTCCCAAAGTGATCGTTGATCGTCGATCGGGGAAGGGAAATGGTTCCTAATGGGCTACCGCTGTCTGGGACCCAGTGCTTCAGCCCGACGTGTTCGCATTTCGGAGGGGCTTTTAGTCCAGTCCACCTTCGAGGTGATGAGCGCTTCGAAGAGATCAGCAGTTTGTAGGCTTCGATGAACAATGTAACTGTTCTTTTGGCGACCCGTGCCGTGACGTGCCCGAACTATCTGTGGGGTTCACCAAATCTCCCCCCCGGCGCGTCCGTTTCAAGATTAGATTGCGCACAGACGATAGCATTGACCTAAAGATCATTTCGATCTTATTGGTTGGAACCGACTTCCGAGCCTTGTCCTGGACTTGAAGAGATAAGAGCTATCTCGAGCCTAGTGGTCTGCAGGAGGTAATCATTCTATCGAACGGTAAGGCCTCGGCCCGTCTGACCGTTGATAGACAGGACTTTCTCATTGGCCTGTGGATAAAGAAGTTCATTGGCGGGTTCGCAACCCCCAATTCTCTGTGGGGTGATAGATGAGTGGCTGAACAGATAGATCGATCGGGGATGGCTTTGTGATTGACGGTGTAATTTTCTTCACCCACTGGCCCATTGGCCGATCAGTCGATCTCGGCACCGCGTCGTGCTTTTCGCAGTAATAGACAAAGCTCCCCCCTCCCCCTGACGGGAATTCTTTCCCGTAAAATTGGCACTTTGAATTGGCTGGCACATGACACATCAAGAACTAACCTATGAACTATAGGTGCTGTGTCACGCGCAGAAAAAGTGTTCAGGTTGTCACAGCTTCTCCCAAGCTTGACCACTGGGCTTGCTTCCTTAACAGCTCTATTGGCCAACCACATTACCCGAGCGTAGAAACGCGTCAATAGAACGACTATGCCAGCATCATCAGCCCTTGAGCACGGCTGTATGATCAGCCCTACTGAGCCAGTGCGCTCAGGCTGGACCGTCTGGACCCGGAAGATGTGGGACGGCGATCCGTTCACTTGATGCAGGGCTCGTATACATACAAAGGCACATTGCCACCGGATCGAGCTCCGTGCAATATTTGTTTTTTTTTTTTTCTTTCCTTTTCTCCTTTTTGCCTTTTTTCCTTGCATTAGCACGGCGCCATTGTTTCCAAGGAACATAGATGCTCGCCCGAAGGCCTTAACGAGCATGCCGGTGCTTGTACGCTAGGATCTATAGTATATTTAGCTCCGCCTTTCCCCCCTCCCTCCCCACGCCCTTGATGGCCCAGGAGTATACCGTGACCTCCGTTCGCTCGCGTCCAAACCCTTGTGCGTCATAATCGGGCTACCGGAAGTCTTCCGCAAAGCAATAAGAACCAAAAGGACCACCAAGCCTTCCTAAGGGGTTGGCTCCACCTTCCTACATAAGGTACACTCAGCGGGCCTTCATATATTGAAGTAGTGCTCACCCTGTGCCGGTAAGGGTGGAATATCTTATGCCACGACTGGAATAGGATCCGGCAATTTCCCACGATACAATGGCAGCAAGGCCCTTGAGAGGAAGTGGAGAGGGGTTCGAACGCCGCCATTCAGAAACATCTGTTCCACGCCAACCAAGAATGGTAACTAGCTCCCTACCGCAGGCATAGATAAAGAGAGGGGGAAAAATTTGGCAGAATACTGATGTCAGAATAGCACACCGAGCTCGAGTTTCCTCATCCTCATTTTGCGCTCATCTATATCGATGAAAATGGAAAACCCCAAGTCCATGAATCGCCCTCAATCGCCGGCTGCGGCCGAGCGATCTTCACCCCAGATGTAACAGACCGGTTTATGGAGATGGCCAGTCCAAATGGACAAACCACTACCCAATACAGCACTAGTATGTCTCTTCGCTATGAACTCTCGAGGGCCCGCAAGGCGCATTGGATACTCACAGTAGCTTTAGATATGAATCAAATACCCCAATCATCGTGGAACATGCCCGAAAACCCAGAGTGGATGTATCCAGCTCAACGATCGGTCGAGCTCATCCCCTGCGAATGGCAATCGCATCAGTCAAGACGCAAACGCCGCGACACCAAGCGCGTAGGGCTGGGCATGTCGCCGCCAAAGTCATCGTCGCCGCCCCCTACACCTGCAATAGGGCACACGGTTCTGCGCGTCGACAATCGCGAGTTGCTGCGCCGGTTCTATGCGAAGGCTTTCGAGGAGTTCCAGCAATTGAACTGTCGGTCTATCGCGAAGTCTTACATCAAGCTCGTCGAGCCTCGGAAACAAGTGCATTTCCCGTACAACGGACGCACAACCATTGCAGGGGTGCCCCAGCGCGTAAATCCCGAAATGACCAAGCCTGGTTGGTGGCCTGCGGGGGTGGTGCACAAAGAGCCCGATCACTTGTTGAAAAATGGTATGTGCCACGCCGCCCCTCGTTTCTAGTCGACCCGATGCTAACAACCCGCAGACCGAGTCAGGCTCCTCGTACATATCCTCTGTGAGCTCAGAGACAGCCATGGCATCACAGTCGAGAAGCTCCGGGAGGCGTCCCAGGAAGCGCGCAGGCATATCAACCCCCCCAATCGCCTGGAGGTTCTAGATGAGATTTACTTTGTCCGAAGGATGGAAGAGAAGTATCTCGACGGGAAAATCGGTACAGATTCCCCCACTCCCGCCCCTTGCCCAAAGTTGCTTACTGACCATGACCAGACGGGAGCAAGATGATCCAAGTGACAAAGACCCACCTCCCCGACGCCGTGTTCTCCGGCGAGGGCCTGCCCAAGGGCGCCTGTTTAGCGCCTATAAAAGCCTCAGACTCGGCCCACGAAAGCTTCGGGGACGACGGCACCTCATCCATCGACAATGGCGAGTTATCGGTCCCGAAGCAGGAAGTTCCCTTGACGCCCACAACGAGCAATTCGAGCGTCTCGCACAGTCCCATTAATGACCTCGGGACTTACTCGATGGGCATGATGCCCAATACACTCTCACACGGGTCTCCGGTGGATATGCGACAAGCGGCGCCGGACCAGACTTATTTCAGAGGGTATTTTCCCCAGCAGTTTGCACCAGTGGATAAGGAGGCTGCGTACTGGCCGAACGTGCCGCATTCGATTCAATACGGGTATTGATTTGGCGAAAAGCCCCTGAGAATTGGGAGTTTGGGCGTCAAGATTTTGGTATATTGGGATACGGGAACTAGTACAGATGGATGGAGACGCAAAGATATCCTTGGATATAGATCGGAGAACGCTCTGGCAGAAGCAACATATCAGACTGAGCTGCAATGTACGGAAACAATGAAAATAGGTTTATCATGGCACCGGCTCAATCACAGTCTTACTTCCAAGGATGGATTACTACCAGTAAAAAGCAAAACCAAGAAGAATTGCCAATACAGAAATACTGGAAAGAATACTGAAAAAGAGAGTGAGATGAAAGGGAGAAAAAAAGAAAAGAGGAACAAAAAGGGGAAAAAAAGGAGGAACAAAAAGGGAAAAAAAAAAGGAGAAGTAGATATCGACACCTCGCGGATTTGAACCGCGGCCCGCGAACGGAATAGATTTCTAGTCTATCGCCTTAGACCAGACTCGGCCAAAGTGCCATTGAAGATCCACTCCACAGTCGACTATCCGACCATTGGATGGACGGTGGTCGCCATTTATTGCACTTTAACCCATTTCACCCACGGATATCGCCCTTGTGCGTCTCGGCCCTCATTTTCTTAATCTGCGTTCCCCACCAGAGCACATCCCATGTCGCCTAAATCCCCCATCTCTTAGGGGACCGGGGATCCAGGTGGCGATGAGTAATGAAATAAAAAGCCACCTGCGGCCACTTGGAAATTATCGCCACCACAGCCCATGCTGTGGAACACCAGAATCTGATCTATCCCTAAGACTATTGGGTCGGCGAAAATGGTGGCTGATACCCTTCGATGGTGGGGTGGTGAGGCGGATATTGATGGGTTTGATGTTTCGTATTCGGTTCCCCTGGTAGGTTCCCTCATACGATCAAGTTCCTCTTTTCGGAATTTCTGGCGAGGGGTGTTTTTTGTGGTCCGATTATGCGGTTCCGGGAGAGAACTACTCGAGTAATCAAAGGGGCCGCGTATGCGTTCTGACCATCCGGCCTCAAAGTATGCGTGGCATTCGTCTATTGTAGATGATGTGGTAGATGAGGCGGATATGTAGTAGAGGAAGTGAATCTTGAAGATTTATACAAACGAGTGGGTACAACTGAATGTTTGGGGTAGCAACTATTATGCAGCGGCACCCGAGGAAGTTGAAAGTCTCTCTCCCTGGACGATTACAGCTTCTATTAGTTCTCCTTGTATGCCCGAGGCTAAGTCCCAATTTTCCTGCAGCCGAGCTACCAGCTACCATTGGGTCGAGAGCATTCTTATCAGACGCGTTGCACCGCATCGGAATATTGTCATTTCCTTTGTATTTCTCCGCGATCTGCTCCCATGACCGCCAAATGAGTCCGGTACGACTCTCATCCATGGAGCCGCACAGTCCGCGATGCGGGTTTCGATAAGCTGCTGAGCTTTGCACTTCTCTTCAGCATTTGTATGATCATAAACTATGCAGACGATATGACCTATAAACCAAGTCAGCGTCCAGATTGAAAGGCCCCTGAGACGACCTTATCCATCTCCCGCCCCGACTGTGAACGAGGGAATGATGTAAAATTCCGGCTCTTGAACCCTTATCTTAGTACCTGAGAACTGAAGATTTGCATCATCTCCACATGACTCGGCTAAGAGAAGAGAACAGATGAGCACCATTAGGGATCCACTCTACCCACTTCAATGCATCGTAGGTTGGAATTCGCTGCAGAGTCTTGTCTCTTGGTGAAGCACGCAATACTCTTTAATATTTCCCCCAAAAAAGTAACTGGCACCTTCGAAAGCCGAGAAGGATTCCTTGATGATACCCCAGAGTGTATTGCGCGTAGACACTGGACCCTACGATTGTGAGAATGTTGGGATGAACAAGGGAGATCATACAGACGTGAAGAGCCGTAGAAATTCAATCGCCCGAAATATGATTTCTTAACTATGGCATCCACCTCCTCATAGCCAGGGGCCCTTTGTGCTTACCCAGATACCCAGTTTATTCTGGGCGAAGCAACCGTCATTGTCTGGACCAATGCCGTACGGGAATAACTGCCAGCAATGGTTCCCTTACCCCTTCATCTAATCCAACAGCACTCTGGCCTTTCCGGTTGAGCTGTAGCATGGCCCCCATTCCCCGTGCATATTAGCTCCCCGTCGGGAAGAATGACTTCCAGGCCGCAGTGCATCATCCAATGGGTTGGCTCTTGTCAGTGCCAAGGTATATAGCTAAGTGCTTACTCGATTCACCTCCATAGAGCGTATAGTCAACGCCTCTATCGATGGTTTTCGCCAAAACCAACTCCACCAAGTCGAAGAATCTGGACACGTCTAAAGAAGTAGCTCGCCGAATGAGTGGCGGTGGTGACTCGCATCAAACCGAAATTTATCGCAAAGAATATGATCAACAAGATACTGATCAGAATTGAGAAAAGTCACTACCGGCTCCACTACGGGCTCCACGACCACATACGCTCCATCGACATTGACTTCCAGCACCGGACGATTATACTTCCCAGGATCGAGAACAATTCCCACGACGTTGAAGGAGCAGCACCACCGTAAACCTGGGTATACCCGATCGAGCTCGGCCACATCGAAACCTGGGAAAAGCTTGCAGCTCTGACCTAGGCTTGGATTTCTGGCACAGAGCGTAGAAAGACGACGGCGGAAGCTACCAGGTAATCCTGATTCAGGATATAACGAGAGCCATGGGTGAATGGCTGCTCAAGGTAGGTTTCGTCCTTGAGATGCTCTGCCTGGGTAATGACGTTCACATTTTCGGGTCCCACGGTCTTCGATACCTCTTTCACGGAGCGACCGAAGAAGTCTGCCATTATGTTTGGGGGCAAATCAAGCGGGGTAGTCATATTGTGAAATCGTAAAGTTCGAGGCTATGATACGGATATGATCGGGTGCTTGGCCCCTAGCAATGGTCTTCCCCACGATACTGATATACATTTGTCAACCCGGCAATTGCTTGTGCAAGGGTCCCTCTATTAGCCAAACTTGAAGGAGGCTATTTAACGACTCTAATGTCCCAGGTAGTGGTTGTACTCCGCGTCCACGTCTACTAGTAGAAAAGGCTAAGCTTGATGAGGGTTTCTGACCAATGATAAGACATGAGGAGTTGACTTCAGTCAACTGAAACTCGTGGGAATACTAGATCCTCGTACAACTTGAAGCAGTTCTAGTCGTATTCATTTCTCCTACTTGAAATTTCCGATAGTTAAGAAAGAAAGGTCCTCCCCGTGTCTCTATAGTTCGTCTCCCGTCCCCACTTCATAGTGATTTCGCCCATGACGTGTGGGGCCGAGAATGCACTTCGAAGAATTCTGACTACCTTCTGGATATTAAATGAGACAAGGACATGGAGCTGCTCGGGCTGTTCAGCCTGATCAGCAGGAACATTCTTTTTCTCAATTAACGGCGAAAATCATAAAAGGACTGCAACGGAAGGAATCCCGCCTCCAGAAAATGACCAAACCTTGTTCTGGCGATCCATGCGGGGGGCGTGAAGAATACGCGTTTCCGACGTGTATCTCCGGAAATCCCGACTTGACTCTTCCAGCCTTCAGGTCTACAACCCCTCCGGGAGAATGCGCCATTTAGTTGAGACGGTCCACGCTAAATGATTCAAGATGGACGCCCAGGCAGAGCCCGCGAGCGCGCGCTTCCAGTGCCATCTGTGCGCGGCAAATTTCCGCCGCATGCAGCACTTGCAGCGCCACCTGTCATCCCGTACGAAGCCCTGAATCCCCTGCGCATAATTCTAGCTGAAACCGATCTATCTAGATGAGACCGCGCAGCCATTCGGTTGTCCCTTCTGCCAGGGGCTGTTCACCCGCAGGTATGGCTGATCAAGCCGCCCTCTACCCCTAATGTTGCTAACCGTCCCAGGGATACTCTCAACCGACACTGGAAGACATGTAAAGCTCGCCTGGCAAGCGGGTCAGGTATTCCGTCCTTGGCTAGCAAAGCCAGGGGCAAGAAGCGAAAGGCATGCGACCGCTGCATGAGGATGAAGCGCGCGTGTAGTGGCTGCCAGCCGTGCGAGACTTGTGCCGTGAAAAACCAGGATTGCCACTATACGGAGACATATCGAAGCCTTCCAAAGAATCAAGAAACCCAGTCCTTTCAACTGGTGCCTCATAATGAGCGCAATCTAGATGGGAATGGGATGCCTTTTGACCGTCGAGCCGGGTTCTCGCTATCGACTGTCTCGCTTCATTTACCGGATGAGCTTTTCGCTGGCGCTTCTCATCCTAAGGCTACCCACCGATTCGAGTTCCTAGTGTTCGTGGCAAATGGGACTGGCTTGGCTGATTCATTTGGTGGTCGCGCCATAGCTGGACTTGGACCCATGATTCCAGGTGCCATGGCCCTCAGCCGGTATCCAGCCCAATTCTACGGATTCGGAGATGACTCGCTCAGAATGCCAGTTTCAAGTGGCGCACACATAGTGCCGACGTGGAGTTCTTCGTTAGATAATGTGCTCCTTGCTCAACCTCCAGTACAGCCGGAGCCTTTACACGAATGGGCCACTCACCCCCTGGGCTATAAGGCCCAGGAGATGGTAAGCAGAATCAAAGCAGCCGTGCTATATAAGCCACGGCGGAGCTCTATTACTTTCGAATGGTCATTCATGATGGAAACCATGTGTTTTCAATTCTTCTCGCCCCAGAATATCGCTCGGCTCCTAGAAGAATTTTGGGTATCGTGGTATCCCCACACCCCGATCATCCACAAGCCCACCTTTCATGCCGCCGAGGCCTCGCCCAGTCTTCTCCTTTCCATGGTCCTTGTTGGAGCATCCTTTTCTCCATGCCCTTCTGATCGCCAGAGCGGGAAGATATGGGTTGATGCCATCGAGGAATTGATATTTGACGATGAGTTTCTTCAATACGAATACGACGGCCTTCACAACCAAGACGATGAGGTGCATAATGTAAAGAGGCTTGAGACTTTGCAAGCAGCCTTCTTAGTGTGTCTTTGTCAGAATTGGGAGGGGTCTGAGAAGGCTATGGAGCGACTCCGGCGCCGGCGATATAGCACTGTGATAGCAGTAAGTATCACGATTACGTTGGAAACACCCCTTGATACTGATATCTTCGGTTTCAGCTTGCGAGAGACTTGAAGCCTGCTTCTGGAGTTCATCATGACTTCCGCGACCTTAAGGCTCCCAGTCAACTTGCCTGGGAATCCTTTATTAGAACGGAGGTGAAAATCAGGTAAGCTATGGTGCGCCATACCACTCGGCAGGCAACTGACTGTAGCCAGAACTCTGTCCTTTGTTTTCCTCTTGGATACCGCATTCGTCATGTTCTATAACACCCCGGCAAGAATGTTTGCCACCGAGTTGGAGATGAACATCAACAGCCCAGAGCCGGTGTTCTTAGCAGAAACCGCCACGGAGTGGTTCTCCAGTCTACAGAGTTGGATGAGGGAGACCCCCAGCTATCCCATTACGGTTGCTGCATTGGTTGAGGGGATCTGCCAACCACATCTGGAACCTTCCCAGCAGCACGTATATAGCCATTTAAGCATGCTGAATCTCTTTGTGCTTATATCAGGTAAGACTAGCCTCATGACTACATCGTCTCCTCACAGGAAACACTCAACTGACATCTTGAACAGCGCTGGGATCATCAATGTTCCAACTGAAGAACTCCCTTGCGCCGCCGAAGCAGCATTCAAAAACATCCAGCACGGAATGACCAACTGGAAGCATGCGTGGGACCAGATGCAGTTCATGCTTGGCATATCTGATCAGCAATTGGAAAATGCCAGTAGTTCTGGCGGCGCCATGTGGAGACATGTCGGGTTCATGAAGAGTGCGTGGGAGTATTGGCTCCTTTGCACTGTTATGATGAAATGCATCCGCGCCGAGTCAGACAAGAACCCTTTCACCAGACGAGCACTGAACAGAGTCGATCAGTCGGGGATGGGACAATTGAAGCAGCTGATCCACCGATTTAATAATATGTCAGTGGCTTGATGGGGTGCAGTGCTCTGATCCTTGGCCTGGGGGCTATAGAGTACGTGCTTGGGGTAGGGTGGCGAATCCTCTACCACTACTAGAACGGGACGGTGACTTGTACTTTTTGGGGAGTATGGGCGTGGGTAGTGGGCTTTGTAAAGATATTTTTGGGGCGTTGAACTATATTTTACCTATTAATATTTGTGATTCGCGAATTGAGGATTCAAGATACTTGGTGACTCCGGCACTGTGTATATCCACTCGTTGCGGGTGAATCTTGGTGAGGAGCCAAAGGGATGTGATGCACGTATTCCTCGAAGTGACCTGCAGCTTCCTTCAAGTATAGTTGATCGGATTGAAATGGATTGAAGACTCTCGTGCTGGATTCTACTACCCGATCGAGTCAAGCATTGATCACCAGGATCAGCAATCGTGATCTGATCAAGCTTCATGATTGGACCGCGGCGCGGCGGCTCCCCAGCCAACCACCAACCTCCACTCTCGCACACGCTGGCGACCTCCTTTCTCGCTGGCTCTCTTCATCCTCAACGACTCAAGCTTATCGCCGATTTCGTGCTCCTCTACCACTCCTGACCAGTTGGCCCCGTATAGTCTTACCAACCATAACCTCTAGTGGCTCCATCTCTCCGCGTGGACCGTGGTCGTGATCCACTTCGATAAGGTATGTTGCTTTGCCTTTTGCCCCTCCCCCAACAGTATAAAGCCATATACAAGCGCACTGTACGCTATGCAATTCATCGGCCAAAATGGGGATGCTAACTTTTGCCCGGTTCCTGACTAGGCCTTATCCTAACCATCGGGACGGCCCTACCATCTTCTCCTTCCAGCAACAGTTCCTGATGGACGAATCTAGTGCGCGAGAGCGCAGTAAGTCAGACGCTTTGGCGCCTGACTCCCTGGCCACAACACCCCTCTCCACAGCGACGTCTCCTGCGGGAGAGCTCCTAGATACTCCCTTCCTTCCTGGATGATGATGCAGATTACTTTTCATCTGCCGGCTCGTCGGGCAGACTGTCGCGGACAAACTCTTTCTCGAATAGCAGCTCGTTCCAGGAAGACTGGGAGACTTTTCCTCCTCTCGACAAGTTGACGATCTTCGATTTGCTGGATAACATCAAGATTAGCCAGCGCCTGGAGCGGTGGCAAGCGGCGCTCAACATGCAACGTGAGAAGGTTCGCAAACAACGCGAGAAGCTGCGCTCGACTGGGCAGACCGCGCGGGATCGTGTGGTCGGAGAGTTGAAGCGACGCGTTCCGACGGCCGACGAACAACTCGAGAAATACCGTCGTCGTATGGACCAGGGTGTCGAGCGCTTGAGCAAACAATGGGGCAAGACTGCGACCGTTAGTGTCCGTGAGAAGGTGTCGTTCATCGCTGCGGTGTTAAACATCTTCTTCAGCGGCTACATTATCGGCAACTGCCCGGAGTACTTCTACCTCTGGTTCACGGTTCAAGTGATTTATTTCATGCCTATTCGTTATTACACCTACCATGCCAAGGGGTATCACTACTTCTTGTTCGATCTCTGCTACTTTGTCAATTTTCTGAATTTGCTTTCAATTTGGGTGTTTCCGAATTCGAAACGCTTACTTATTGGAACGTACTGCTTGACCTTTGGGAATAACGCCGCGGCGATTGCGATGTGGCGCAACTCGCTGGTCTTCCACAGTATGGATAAGGTTGTGAGGTATGGTCAACTTGTCTGATGCAGCATGTTGGAGGTGCTAACTGACTACAGCGTTTTTATCCACATTATACCACCTGTGGCTCAACATTGCCTTGTGCACCTGACTCCTGTGGAGATGCTCAAAGAGCGTTTCCCGGCAGTTTATGCGATCAAATTCAGCCAGCCCGGAGACCCGGAGCATTACTCCTTGAGTGCCATGTTGGTCTGGGCCACTGTGCCATATCTTGTCTGGCAGCTCTCGTACCATTTCTTTGTCACCGTCCGACGGGCTGACAAAATCGCTGCCGGTCGCCCGACCAGCTTCACCTGGCTGCGGAAATCCTACGCCAAGGCTTGGATCGGACGATTCGTTCTGAGTCTTCCAGAAGCCTTGCAGGAACCAATGTTCATGGCCATCCAGTACAGTTTCGCACTCACCACCATGCTCCCCTGCCCCATCTTCTTCTGGTCGAAGTGGGCCAGTGGTCTTTACATGCTGGCCTTGTTCACCTTGACCGTCTATAATGGTGCCACTTACTACCTTGATGTTTTCGGCAAGCGCTTCCAAAAGGAACTGGAGCAATTGAAGAGCGATGTTGCGCGCTGGCAAAGTTCTCCCGAAGGTCTAAACAGCCCGCTCATCGTTCCCGATACCCCTGGCTCTACTGCTGCCGACGCTGCCCACAAAACTCATCCCCGCATGGAAAAGCGATCCAGTGTCGACCGTATTCCGATGCTGGACGCCACCTCGGCTGTCTCGTCTGCTGTGCCTGGGACCGCCCAGAGCATGGATTCAGTTGTGCGTGAACGATCCTGAGCGATGTCGTTTTCTTTTTGGTCACATTCCCCCACTTATGATACCCCTTACGTACCTTATCTCCTGCGCGATCCTAGTATCGCAGCGTTCTTAGTCTTTAGCCCTTAGCTCTTGTGCCTTACATGGCTCTTTGATTGCGATTTAGTTTCTATCTTCGCCTGCTATGGAGGAACCATTTCGAGCCTAGTGCATCAACGCTCTTCTATGTTGAGATGATATGAGATGAATATAATCGAATACAATAGGTGAAGTAACCTAGGGTTATTGAATTAGTTCCACCACTAGAACCCCTTTCCAGGGGCGTTGGGCCCCGCCGTGTTCGGAGATCCTCATCGAATCGCCGAGACAGCATTCGGTCACGTGGAAAACGTGATGGTGATGTCCCAACTTTCCGTCCAGTGAATCTGCCCTCCTCAATCGACACATTGTACCATTACCCCGAGTCGTTCTGTTTTCATCTCATAAATAGTCTCGCATTCCTTCTTATCGCTGTTGTTGCGCCGTCCGCGAAGCCCTGCTCGTCCAACCGAGCCTAATCCTTTCCCTCACCATTTCCGCAAATGTCCGCCACCATGAGATCAGCGAGACTGGTGCGCAGCAGCACTGCGTTGAGGCCAGCTTTGGCGGGTAAGGCTTCAGATCGCTCCTATATATCATTGAGGAGATAATAGCTGATGTATTTTGCCTGGACAGGCCGCTCTGGCTCCAGCGCTCTGGGCTCGGTTTCTTTGGCTGCTGCGAGCAACGCCCTCCGAAATGGACGACGCTACCCATCGCAGGTCTCGGCTCTCGCTATCTTAGTGCCTCACCGGGGTTATGCGACTGAGCAATCCACTTCCTCGTCTTCACAGTCATATCCGCCCCCCGGCTTCAATGCTGAGCAAGCAAAGAAGCCGATCCCCCATGATCAGGTGCAGTCGACGCAAGCACCTGCGAAGCCAGAGAATGTTGCGCCAGGATCTACGGACACAAAAGTCGCTGCATCAACGGAGGCTCCTGCTGCAGAAGCCGAGAAGAATGCTTCTGGAGAGAAGGAGGCAAAGAAGTTGACCATGGGACAAAAGTTCAAGAAGGAGTTGCAGCACTACTGGGACGGTACCAAGCTGCTCGCCACAGAGGTCAAGATCAGCACCCGATTAGCAGTGAAGATGGCCTCCGGATATGAGCTGAGCCGGAGAGAACATCGCCAGGTAAGATTTGGACATGAAATTCGGTTCGATGAACGACAATGGCTAACGGGGGTTTTTCCGACAGCTGCAACGTACCACCAAGGATCTGGGCCGATTGGTTCCTTTCTCCGTCTTCCTCATCGTTCCCTTCGCGGAGCTCCTGCTACCCGTCGCGCTGCGTATCTTCCCCAATCTTCTCCCTAGCACCTACGAGGGCAAGAAGGCTCGTGAGACCAAGGCTCTGAACCTGAGCTCAACCCGCAAGGAAGTGTCAAGCTTCCTCCGCAACACACTTCGTGAGACTGGTCTGCCCTTGACTGCAGCCACCGTGAAGAACGAGGAATTCGCGGATTTCTTCCGCAAGATTCGCACCACTGGCGAATCGCCCTCGACCGAGGACGTCATCAAGGTCTGCAAGATCTTCAAGGATGACCTGACCCTGGACAACCTTTCCCGTCCTCAGTTGGTCGCTATCTGCCGGTACATGAACCTGAACTCCTTCGGAACTGACGCTATGCTCCGCTACAACATTCGCCACCGTATGCGCCAGATCAAGCGTGACGACCGTGCTATTTTCTACGAGGGCGTGGATTCTCTGTCCGTCCCGGAGCTTCAGATGGCCAGTGCCTCGCGTGGCATCCGGACCCACGGTGTCTCTCCTGCCCGCCTGCGCGAGGACCTGAACATGTGGCTTGACCTGCGTCTGCAGCAGGGCGTTCCCTCCACCCTGCTCGTTCTAAGCAACGCCTACATGTACACTCAGGGGGGCAAGGAGTCGGAGATGGCTTCTCAGATCGATGCCTTGAAGTCGGTGCTTTCTAGCATCCCCGAGGAACTGTTCCACGAGATCGAGCTCGAGGTCCACAATGCCGAGGGCGCTGCCACCAACAAGCAGCGCCTGGAGGTCATCAAGGAGCAGGAGGAGCTGATTGAGGAGGAGAACGAGCAGAACAGCGAGAACGAGGATAAGGGGGTTCCGGCGCCTAAGGACACCGAGGACATTGATGACAAGGAGGAACACAAGCTCGACGCTTCTGCCAACAGCACCGAGAAGCAGCAGTCCGCTGAGGCCAACGAGGCGCTGAATGAGGGGGCCCAGGCTGAGCCCAGGGGCGAGAAGAAAGACGGCAGCTCTTAGAAATTTACGACTGGTTGGCTTGCGTTCCGAATTTTGTTGCAATATATATAGATCTTTCACCATTTCTTCTTGTTGGGCCCCCTTTGGTATCCCCTATGTGTTAGTCTACTGTGATATAGACCCCTTTTCTCATATTTATCTCTCCCGTTTCTCTCCCGCTTACCCCCCCCCCCGAAACGTCCCTGATACACTCATTGGGACATTGTCCTTCACTGTCCTTATTGCATCTCACTCCTGTTAACTATCCATAATGAAATCAATCTAACCTCTGCTCTGCATGGGTAGGAAAGGCACCCGGTATGGGAAGCACGCAACCATGCTAGCAGCTTAGTCCCGGCACCGAAGGTATCCTGTATTTTATCGAGAATTCGAATGGAGATTTCTTGTCCATTTGTACCTGTGCAGACATATAATAGAAGCGATTACTGCAGTAGAATACCCCCAGGCGCCCGAGTCCCCAGGTCCCCCAGGTGCCCCGGTGGGGCCTCGGCCTATTAGTCACCGGCAATATCCACCCGGGCCTCGGCAACTGTAGCGAGTACAGAAGAAGCATATCTGCCCCCGCCAAACCCACGGGGTTCTTCTCAGGCTATGCCCGACTGGGAAACGAAGTTCGGGGTGTTTTGATCCAGCCTTGCAATCTTCCGATTCCCAGAAAACTATGCGGAGGCCACTGCGATTGCTTCAAGCTATTCGTCCCTACATCTCCAACGCGGGTCCGTCACCGTGCCTCCAGACCTATCTCAACCGGTCTCAGTCGACTATGCCCCCACTGAATGCGGCTTCTCAGGTATGTGGTGCAGAATGCATATTCTTACATTTCTCGATTTGCATGAAGCAATGGCAGGGCGTTGTACAGGTGTATCTGAAGTCATGAAACATAAATACCCTCCGCCTCACAATCATGTTTCCTATGCTCATGCCCCTTTGCATCCGAACATAAGAATATTGGCAGAAGCCCGCTGCTATGCACCGAATTGTCTTACACTTCATTCCTTGCTCCCTCGCCGATATCTGATATCCCACATGCTACTCACCTCTATTTCCCTTTCTGGAGACACCTCCGAGATCCTCAAGAATGGACTCCCAGTCAAACATAGTCTCTCACAACTGGATGGCCTCCGAACCACCGTGGATGTCCATCCCCGAGGCACTGAGACCCAACCCGGACTCACGTGGCGAAACACCAAACAAGCAGAAACAGTCTCAGCCAACGAGTTAACTTCTTCTAGGAAGCTATCGCACGTCTCCGAAACTACGTGCCCCCGCCCACAGCCTACTACGACGTCCCGCTGTCCCGGCGCGCAGCAGTGCTGATCCTGCTGTATGCCGACCCGAATGGCGACCTCAGAGTCGTCATTACGATCCGGGCCAAGACGCTGAGTTCGTGTACGTAATGTATCTTGCCTTTTTGCTCCCCTTGCAGGGATCGGCGAGTTTGCGGCCCTTTCTGGGATTCGGATGTGCTGCACAACATGCGAGCTGTGCTGACTTATGCATGTAGATGCGGGAGATGCGGCTTTGCCTGGAGGTGAGTTTGTTTAATTTCCTCTCTTCTTTTCTTTTTGCTTGGGCTTCCCGGAGGACCGAGTGGGACATCAAGGGCCATTGCAGGGATCGGCGTCAACGCATGCCCCAAGTAGAGAGAGCTCTCGGGGACTGTGGCTTGTTCCGTTCCCCTGCACCTGGGGAAGCTAGTAAGGGGCTTACGGTGAAGAAAGAAAACGGCTCATTTCTAGAAGGCAAAAAAAAAAAAGAGAGAGAAAGAAAGAGAGAGACAAAAAGAAAAGTCAGGAGCATGGCAGTACAGTCCGGGACTGTGCAACCGTCGTATCTCGGCGTATCCCAAGCACAGAATGACCCTAGGCAAAAAAGAAAAAGGAAAAACACCGAACTGGATGATGGAAAATGGAAAATGGGAAATGAGAGAACAGAAATAATAACACATGACCTAGGCCGAGCAGACACGCTATCAGAAACGCCCTTCGAAACTGCCCGCCGCGAAGCGTGGGAAGAAATCGGCCTCCCGGGGATAGGAAGTCCGCTGCCCGACCCTTCGCCGTCGAGCATCTCTGCGAGCTACCGGCCAGCCTGGCCAAAACAGAACTCGTGGTACGGCCGTGCGTGGCCCTGCTTCACTCGTTCGACAGCGCGACGGGCAAGACCGCTGACCCAGAGGTTTCGCTGATCCCGAAGCTTGACGCACGCGAGGTGGCGGCCGTGTTCACGGCGCCGTTTCACAGGTTCCTGTGCCTGAGGGGCCCGGATGCAGCTGGGGATGTGCAAGGGGATGACGACCCGGGGCAGTGGTATCGGGGATCGTGGAGCCGATGGCATAATTCTAATTGGCGAAGTAGGTTCTCTATTCCCTTTCTTTGCTTTTTTTTCCTGTTTCCTGCTTGATTGGGGGGTTCTAGGTTCGTTCTTACATAGTGAGTTGTTCATGGGAGGAAGTGGTTGGCCCGAAGGTCGAGTGGAGTTGCCTTACTTTTTGGAATTCCGTTGGCCTTATCCACAGGGTTTCCCATCCACTCCCCCTGTCCCCTCCCATCAAGCCTTCAAGCCCATTCCACAATGCATCCCTGGGATCGGCAATTCGGTCTGGTTCCTGCACACATGGATGCGTGGAAAGTGGATACTGTCAGATCCACTGCTTAGGCCGTTGGGAGTTGAACAAGGAACGGGGATTTAATCTTGTTTTTATTTTTATTTTTATTTCTTTTTTTTTCCCTGCTTTTCTTTGTCCAAGACCCAGGTGATATGCTTTCTGCTTTTTTGCTGCCTTCCGAGCCTGACACCTTCCACGCATGCCGGAGGTCCCCACCCTACACCAGGAACAGGGAAAAGCAGCAAGATTGCCCTGGAAAAAAAAAAAGAAAAAAGGCAGAAAAAAAGAAAAGGAACCAAGCTAACGGCTATCCGGCGACTAGTGCACCAATTCTTTGTCCGGGCTCACAACGCAGTGCAGCCTCGCAGCCCCGAGCAAGCAGCAGCGCAGCAACAGGTCGCCGGACAGCGCTATCGAGTATTCGGGATGACGGCGCGAATCCTCGTGGATGCAGCGCGACTGGCATACGCGTCAGAGCCGGAGTTCGAGCACAACAGTCACTTTGGTGACGAGGTGATGATCGCCAAGTTGCGGAAGCTGGGCCGGCTGGGGCCGGAGCGTAAAGCGTCGGATGAACTAACTCTGGAGACGATGGAGAAAGCGGCTAAGCTAAGTTAGGCCCGCTGCAGAGCGTCATCAGGCTGCCAGGGATCATCGGTTGGGTTGACAACTGGGGGCTTACAGTAGTCGGTCCATAGTTCAGCTGGGTGGCTTTCTTTATTTTATTATATATATATTTTTTTTTATTCTGGTCGTATGTCTAGTTCGGGGTGAGAGGGCCGATTGGCTCTGCTTATCATTGGGGCCGCTTGGAGCGAATCATGGGGAGCCGTTAGGGCCATCCGACTCATGGATCGTTGTCATAGAGGTTCGCTACGTCCAGGATTTCTGGCTGTTCATGTGTGACATGTGGATTGTTTATCCCTTGTTCTGCATTTTTGGGGCTGCCTTTTTGGGTGCCAATCTCCTATTTTTACCCTTCAGTGCGTATTCTGTTCTTCCATCATCCACTCCAGGCGAAAAATAGGCAAATCCCTTGCGGCCCCTCGCGTGTGTCCGTGCACCAGATGACGCTGCAGCCGATCGCCGGTTCGCCGCAATAGATAATTCAGCCCTGCCCTCGCTTTGTCTTCGAAAGGTCCCTCTAAAAAAAGAACCTCTAATCCCCTCAGATGCGCTTTCCTCTTTGTCCCTGGGTCTGCGGGTAGACGACACAATGCTTTTCTCCCACCTTCTCCTCCGGGCGGGCGCCACCAATCCGTCCTTCACCGTCGCTGGACGGCTTAGAACAGGTCATCCCCCCGCGGTTTATGTATCTGGCTCCTCATCGCTCGGAGATCTACATCGACAAGCCTCTGCCCGCCAGACCAATGCCCGACGAGGACCCTATTGAATACTCCGCCATGTGGAGTGACTCGAGCTCCGATTATGACAGCGACGATGGAAGTACCCTCGAGAGTTTCGCCAGCCCGAGCAGCCCCAGCGAGCCTCGAAAGTCCGTCGAAAGCTATCCCATCTTCGTCAGCTCGGACTCGAACGACCTGAACGAGTTGGACTTGGACGAGCTCGATGAGCTCGAGGAGCTGGAGGACATAGTCGATCCCGCCCCCACCGATCATGTCAATCTGGGTACATCTCCACCCGCTCTGGACGACTCGCGCACGGACTCCATCGACCTGGACGCCTCGTCGATTATCCTGGGTGCAAATGCACACTACGGCCGCCCGCTGCAGTGGTCCCAGCATGCAAATGACGGCAATCACTATTTCCGCGACAAAACCTGGCATTTCTTCCCCGAACTAGCCGCTCCGTCCTCCCATGCCCTCGCCGGCCGCGCGAACTCGACCTCCGCCTCGACCAAAGCTCGCAAGGAAGGCCGCCTCAATGTCTCTGCACGCCGCCGCAAGTGGTACTCCTTCGACCGAGGCCATGCGTACCGCTCCCACGGCGTTCGTGATTCGATCAAGACTTACGTGCACAAAACGCTCGCACGGGACGAAGAGCGATCTAAGACCGCTCCGCGACCGGTCACGGCACCCACAGATCCGATGGGCTCATCGCGGCCCTTCCCACAGAGTAGTGATGGATCTGCGCCTGCAGTGCTTGAAATCGACACCCGGCTAGCCAATATGTCCCTGGCTGGTCTCAGCACCGCCACCTACGAAAACCCTCGGGCATCACCAACCACCCCGCGCGAGAAGCAGCCGGCCGGTCTCACGTCGCCGTACCCGCGATTCGGCCCTTCGAGCGGGGAAGCTCCTGAAAAGGTATCCGGCCGGGTGATGATCTCTCCGCCGCAGAACGCAACGAACCCGTCGCTGCCTCTCACAGCGAGCACATCCTCCCCTCTTCCATCTCCGCTGAAAGTGCACCTTCAGCAAAATACCCGCGGGGCCGTCAGGGCTCTCCAGGGCAGCACAATTCAAATGCGACATGCTCTGGGCGGCGCCAAGAAGAAAGAGCGCCGCCGTGAGGAACTCAAGTCTCAAATCAGACTGGTCGGCACTGTCAACCCGCACACCTTTGGCAAAGCGGATCCCTGGTCGCCTGCATAATACCTTTTTCCATGACTCTTGGTACATATTTGGTAATTTTTTCCCCTTCTCTCTTATTTTCTCTTTACTTTTATTTTCTTTTTTCTTTTTCACTACTTTTTACCTTTTTCTTCTTTCCTTCAGCGTGGCGATTTGGCCCTTGACGATCCCTTACGACTGTTCCAACTTCCTGCAGTTTCCCCTGCAATTCTCTTTCCTTGAGACACCTATGCATCGCTCTCTTCAGCCCTCCTTATCTCGTCTATTAGCGTCGTCGTCTTTCTACTGTTCGGTTTGTTCGGTTTACATTTGCATATACCCGCCGGTGTTAGGGGCAGGTCCTGGTGGCGCAGTTATAAGATTGGTATTCTACCAGCTCAATCCAAGTTTATCCCAGTAATCCAGTCCTCCATTCATCCCATGTAAGATTGCCAAACATACGGCACCCCAAACAACCTCTGGCTGCCCCAACCAGCATGTCAGGTGCTCGGGCCCCGTAATCATTACACGCCTCCTGCACTGCCAGCAATCCCATTTCACGGCTGCCCGCATACACTGCTAAATTTTTCCGCGCCAACCATCACGCCGTCTCTGGCAGACCCCCCAGATCTTGACTTCGCATACGCGATGCCCTTCAGGCTGTGGAAATAATTGGGCCGGTGCGCGGGGCCCGATTTAAGGAGCGGTGTCCGGATGCCAACCGGCCACGCTGGTAGCTGTGTAGCGTTCTGCTCGTATTTGAATTTTGGATTCTGGAATTTCGCTTATTCTTCACACGCTTGGGGCTACAGGGATAGGGCTGCGAGTCTATGTTTGTTCAAGATGGGGGCGAAATACAGTGCCACTATCTTTCCAAGGGTTCCGAGTCGATGCTTGATTGTGTTGGAAGGGGGGCCAGATCTTCTCAAATTCAGCCTCTGAAGTATGCCCCTTTGAAAACCTTGTGCCTATCCACTTAAGACGATGCTCTCGTCTCTTTGACAACAGCACTAATACTGCGAATCGTATGACCGAGATTGAAGTCATTCAGTCCCCTGTCAAAAGTTCAGCTTCCACGTTTTCCATCCACGGGCCCTAAGAAAAAAAAAAATCTCTACTCACGCAATCGATATTCGCCCCGTATCCTGCAGGTAAACATGATACTTATTCCTCAACAGCTCAACCTGCTCCACCGACAACCCAACATACCTAGAAATAAGTCAGCGCCAATCCGCCCGTACCCCTTCCACCAATAGATTCCACCCGATCATAGGCGTAAGACTCACGAAAACATCCCATTCTGCTCCGTGATATGCCCCCAATTCCCCGGCGTCCCCAGCCCCTCCAACCCCTCCCTAAGCGCCCTCCGCCGGGCCTTCAACCGCCCCGCCATTCCCCGCAACTCGTCCCTCCACTGCTTCTCCAGCTCTCCATCGCCCAACACCGTCTCCACCACCCTCGCCCCAAAATCCGGCGGCGATCCAGACTCCGCCCGCGCGAGCAGCCGCAGCTGCGTCTCCAGCCGCGCCCCCACCTCCGTGCTCGGCACCAGCACCGAAATCACCCCCACCCGCTCACTATACAGCCCGAACGCCTTCCCGTACGTCGACACAAAGACGAAGGGGATCTCGCGCTCCGCGAATAGTCGCACGCCCGCGAGATCGGTGTCGATATCGCCGGATGCGAAGCCCGGGTACGCGGCGTCGAAGAAGGCGAGGTGGCCCCGCCGAATGAAGAGGTCGGCCAGCGCTGCCCATTGGGCCGGGGAGGGGTCTGCGCCCGTGGGGTTCTGGGCGCTGGATTGGAGGAGGACGACGGAGTGAGCGGGGAGGGACGTCAGGGCGGCGGTGAAAGCGTCGAAGTCGAAGGCGTTGGTGTGGGCGCTGAAGTAGGGGATGGAGGTGGGTTTTATGCCGGCGGATTCGAAGACGTAGGGGTGGTTTACTGGCTTGGTCAGCTTCTTTCCCCCCTCCCTTCGACACTATTTTTATTCCTTTTAACTGGGGAAGCGGAGTGGTTGCGTACGCCAGGTCTCGTGTGGGAGGAAGATCTCCGGCTGGAGGCCCTGTTTCCAGGGCGCGTAGTGCTGGCGCAGGATTACGGCGCCGGTGTGGCAGCCGCCGCTTGCACCGAGGGTTTGGGCTGTGACGATCCTGAGAGGTTTTATCAGTCTTGTATAGTTGAGGTGGGGTGGGTTTGGGATTTTTCACCGTCTTTCTTTCAGGAGGCGGTGGTCAGGGCCGAAGAGGAGCTTTGCGCTGAGATCTCTGTAGCCCGGAGTGCCGAGGGCAGAGGGCCGGTATTCATGGTGCCAGTTTGGGTCGTTGAATATCCTCTCTTTCGCCTGGCCGGTGGTTTAGTAGCTAGTGTGACGAGGCGTTTGCTGGGAACGTACCGCAGTCACACTGGGTAAGTTATATGCTTTACCCTCGTCGGTCTTGTATACACCAACTAGGAGATCAGCTCTGTTTGGGTCGGTATCGGCCCTGAATTGGCCCACGAGGGTTGCGAGACCGTCTGCATGGTATGTTAGTGAGAGTCGATGGTCGTCGGAGTGGATGTCGTACCTAGTTTGGCATCCGGGATATCTTGGAAAGGATTGCCGGGCGTAATTGCTATGCTGCCCATTTTGAACACGGAGATGGAGGTAAATGCTTCGTCGGTGGCTAATAATGGCTTTGGAAGTGGGAAAATTTACCTCTGGGGTAGATTCATTATGTACTTGACCAAAGCGGGGAGGAAGCTATGCGATACGAAGCGAATAGCACGCAATTGAAACGCGCCATTACTGTCGCAAATGGAACAAGCACAGGACTTATTAATCCTCCGGCGCCCCTTCTAGCCGCTCTGCTAACCGCTAATTTTGGTCACTTCGGACGATTTATACATGTGATAGTTCTTCAAGGGAGTGTGGCTTGGGGTCTGAGCGAAATACATGATACATTACCACTCAGGAAAGTCGAAGTTAGCGAAGGGTAAATTACTCCACGATTCCCCTGGTACGGAAAGCTGGTAATGATTGTTGAGAATGGACTCGTCACGCAAGGTCTCTGTGGACAAGATTCGAAATGCCGAATTGACTGAGAAGTATTGATGTTTAATCTTTAGCGGAAGCGGGATATTGGAGTCACCAGATGATTCTTGGAAGGTTGAAATTTAACAGCGTAACAGAGACGAAGACAAGAGAAGCGGAAGCGGGTAAAATTAAGAAAACGAGGAAACTTGAACAAATCAGACGGCCTAGTGAGCTGCTAGAAGAGATCAATTGAAAGCTTGGTCGAGGTATAGGGCAAAACCCAAAGCCGGCGAAGATCTCTACTGTGCCCACGCTTTCTGGTATGGGAAAGACGGCAAGCAAATAGCTATGTGGCCGCGCTGAGTAACATGTTTCCTGTTATGAATTGCGGAGGCTTTGGGTATTACGGCGGAGCGAGCACCCGGGACTGGACCGCCATGTATGGCACTGCTGAAAAATCATCGCGATCTGATTTCCGCCTACTACATCCAAATAGTTCAATTTCTCAAGATAGCGTCATTGTATCCTTTGTCCACAGACGCTAGGGCTTCTAGGCCGGCTATCAGCAAGCAGATATAAGGCTGGTAGACCTCTTTGTTTGATACACTAGCATCATACTCAGCGCGGCCAAATTGCGGCAACTGTTGCTTCCAGTTAAGAACCATGATCATGGGGCGTGTGAGCACAATTGTGGTAGTTTTATCGATCATGGCTTCCGGCATGGCTATAGCATCCCGTCTGCGAATAGTTCGAACTCTATGCTGAAACGATGCCCTGGTATACTGCCTGATCCGAAATATATAGGAAGATACGAGAGTCTTTCATCTGTATGATGATATGTTAATTATAAGCGCTGTCCCTCTATGCTGGCCTACTATTGACAAATCTTTGTTCTAGCATGTCTAACGCAGCGGTCGCATTTCTCGTGCCCACCTTGAAGCCCTGCCCTTCGACTGGAGAGCGTTAACTTCTAAGGTTGTTCTGGGTCGATCTGCGTATAGGCTATTGCGGCATCATTTGCTTTAGGGCTGCAATTCCGTGGACCTAAACCTTAAAAGCCCAGCTCCGGCAAGTACATTGATCAATATGCACTTTATGTGACCCTAGCAATGATCCACATGATGCTCGATATAGCGGTAATAGCAGTTTCTACGGCGCTGCTTTTGGTGAGTACAAATCATTCAGCACAGACGATCTCGTATTTCCAGGTTATCTGCCCTTCGTGTGCTGTGAAGTAGGCCTGGCCTTCCGAAAATAATAACAATAATAATAATAATAATTCTGATCCCTGGCCGGCTCATAACATTAGTCACGGCATCTTCGCTGACACATAGAACCAAAAAGCGTGCCTATCCTCACAATCTCAGCTACCAACTCTCTGCGGCGTCTTTCCATACCGCTCCGTTCGATCGGCTATGGTATGTGCTTATGCCAGCGATATGGCTACAGTTGGTACAGAGCACGTCCAGTTTGTACATCCCCACAATAAAACGTATTGTCGGGGATTCCAGACTGGTATGATGGGCGGCGCAGTATCGGAGTCATTCGAGATATCTGTCTCCGCGGGTCACAGCAGCAATGCCGAAGACTCACGCTCAAGTCTCAGGAGCCATGTCGGGAAAACGCACAAGACGATCCCGTACCTTTTCAGGGGCGCGGCGTAGTTATTCGCCAGCTGAGCGGGCTGATTCTCAAAAGTACCTCAAGGATCACGCGATCGCGCAGTCGATTGACCACGAAGTTTCCAATGAGGAAGAGTATGTGTCGCTCCAGGCATCCTCAACGGGCCCTGATCTCGAATCAATCAAAGGTGAAGGGTTCCACTTTGCTCCTGGGGCTCAGACCAAGAGTTATTCGGGAGGGAGGTCGATCCTTGTAATCTACGGCCAATCTTACGACAGAATAATAAAAACCAGCCCACTTCCGGGCTGAAGTGGGCATGAGAGTGGTAAATTCCCGTTATCACATACTGAATAACTATGCGATACTTTTATGGTCGATCCATATAAGCTCTCGTAAATCCTTGGGCGTTCACGGCTCCGTTCAACATTTCCATCATCAGATGACATCAGATTATACTACCCTATCTATAATCAAATCATCGACTGTATTCTTGAATATGGCCTTATGACCTTCCTGAGCCTCGTAGTAGTGGGGCCGATACCCCTGCTTTTTAGCTGCGGGTGGCGTGGCCGTCGAAATCTCGGCGTCTCCTAATGCACGCTAGTGTACCAGATTGCTGTGCTGGCACTCGGCGAAGTTGGCTGTGAAAGCTCCTCGTTGAGGGCTAGGCGCTTTCAATTGCCCAGCTCCGATCTTGGAAGCCAATCACTTCGACCTGGGCGGCCATACTCTTTTGCCTCGGAATATGAGCCCCAGCTCCTTAGGGGAAATATTGCAGCAGTTGCGCCCCGGTTCGCATTATGTACGCAATGCATTAGACAAATTTTGCAAAATACAAGGAGGCTTGTAGCTCTTCAAGTCTTCTTCTCATGTTTCCCCTCTATTTTCGATACCATCACGGTCCCACTGTTCTTTGGCTCGCCGTGACAGAAACCACCCATATCGTAACTTGAAAATTTGAAGTTGTTGGCTTAGCTGGAATAGGGGGAAAGGAGTATAGTAAGGCAGACGATACGGCAAGGCGAATGGCACAGGCATGATACGAAGTTGGCAAGACATTGTTGGCCTCTCGGTATTATCCGCTGCTGTGCCACTGTTGGCGATCCTCCTCCCTGTGGCTGAAACGCAGGCCAACAATAGGTTCACTTCATGATATATGTTGGTAAAAAGAGACTTGGTAAAAACAGAGAAGGGAAGATGACACTAGGTCGATCGCTTCCACAAATTACATGACGACCATCCTTGTCAGTGGTGAATATTTCCCGAGACACAGCTTCAATGGACAGGCTTCGCCCAACATGATGTACAAGCCACGAATATGGCCGCAGTTAAAGTAGGAGATGATAGAACCACTATAGAAGTCAAATACAGTTGATTATGAAGTGTGCGCATATGATTCAGTGCCTGTGCCTTCCTTTCATCGCCACCCAACTGTTTTTAGGGTCTCCATATTACCTTGCTGTGCAATACTCGCGTTTGCACAGTCAAGCCCTCTAAGGTGCCTTGCGGGTAGCTCCGAATTATTTACTTATAAGTCTCTCCCTTTGAGTTTACAATCTCCTTTCTCCATCAACTCCTCCTCCTTGGAATCCATTCCTACTTTACCAAAGTTCCCATATCAAGCACATTCCGAGTTCACGATGACAGCCAAAGAAACATCTACCTTGCCCACAAATCTGGGAGATCCCGCTCTTCTTGAGGCTATTGACAAGCTTTTCGCCTGCAACGTAGGGCAGTACATCAACCTGCCCCAGCTGGTTGTTGTTGGTGACCAGTCTAGCGGTAAAAGTTCCGTACTCGAAGGCCTTACGAAGCTGTCGTTCCCACGCGACAGTGGTCTCTGCACCCGATTTGCTACTCAGATCGTTTTTCGACGTGATGGAAAGTTACTGGAGCGACAGATCACTGCTTCGATTATTCCTGGCAACGATACCGATTCCAAAGAGAAGCAGAAGCTTGAGGCCTGGCAGGCTGATAGTCTTCAAAACCTTGACCATGAGGGCTTTACAAAGATGATGAATGAGGTAATTGCGTAAATTTAGCTCCTTATACTTTCAAAATACTGACATTCCAGGCCCACGATACTATGGGACTGTCCAGCATGACCGGGGACGGGAAACCCACTTTCTCCAACAGCGTCTTGAAATTGGAAATCGCTGGCCCAAACGAGAATCATTTAAGTGTTATCGACGTCCCGGGAATATTCAGAACTCCTACGCCTGGCCGCACGACTATCGCGGATAGAGATATGGTGTATAACATGGTGGTCCAGTACATGCGAAACCCGCGATCCATCATCTTGGCTGTCGTGCCTGCCAATGTTGATACCGCTACACAAGAAATCATCCACTTGGCGCGCATAGAGGATCCCTTGGAAGAAAGAACCCTCAAGATCTTGACCAAGCCGGACCTGGTTGACGCAGGCACAATGAACAGAGTGATTGATATGATCGAAGAAGGTAATCGTCACGGGGAACTTGGATGGATAGTCGTTCGAAATGCTGGTCAAGCCCAACTGGAGGAGCCAGGATACGATCGAGATCTCGAGGAGCGGATGTTTTTCCAATCGTCGCCGTGGAACAGCCTAGAAGAAGATAACTGTGGCATCAATTCGTTGATTGAGCGCCTACAGCATCTTTTGAGCGCTGTTGTGACGCGGGAATACCCAAAGGTCAGTAAGCCCCGTGGACGAATTCCCATTTTTCATGATATCAAGACCGGGATCCTGATACTTTCCTTTCTGAATAGGTTGAATTGGAAATAGCCAAGGCACTCAGCGAGGCTAAACAAGCCCTGAAGGATCTGGGAAAAGAGAGGGATACCTCATTTCAGCAGCGAGCCCTCGTCCTAGACGTTATCACTGAGTTCCAAGCTGTTACTGGCTATGCGCTCACGGCCCATTACGGAATGCACGATATCCTGAAGCAAGACCGGACCACACGATTGGTGACTATTGTCTCCAATCGTAATGCCCGGTTTTCCGATGATATAGCGACACTGGGTCATCGTTACCAGTTCCACACCCACCCATCAGCTGCCGATAACGAAACTCCTGGACCATCATTCTCCCATGAGGGCCAGAGGCCTCCGAAGCTGCAATTTAAGCTGAAGCGTCAGGCTACAGACACGTCGCCTAAGGAGAAGCTGGAGGAAGCTGACGAATCATTGTCAAACCGTGGGTCATCACAGTCCATCGAGCCGGCCAAAAAACCTTCCGTCGAGTCCAACCGCTCAAAGGTTGCCGATATTCAGGGAATCCTCCCTGAAAAGATAGGCATCACATATCCTCGACAGATGGGTATCATCGCTTGGATCGCGGAGCTGTATCGGGACTATCGAGGATTTGAGATCGGCACTTACAATCCTATTCTACTATCAGCCTTGATGACTGAGCAGTCTGTCAACTGGACAGCTCTAGCACAAGAATACATCAGCGACATCATAACGGCTGTTCATGAATTTATTGTCTCAGTGCTCGAGAACATCTGTTGTGACAAGAAACTTTCTTCTGGAATCATGTCCCTGATGCGCGCAGACCTCCAGCAGCGATACAAACAAGCTGTGGACCAAGTCAATCACCTGCTGCACATTGAGCGGGGGGGGAACTCCAATGACCCTCAATCATTACCTGAATGATAATCTTGAAAAATGGTTAGTTCACCCAGGTCAGTATATACTTTATGTTTGAAGAGCTAATCCAGATGGACATCAGTCGCCAGGAACGACTTGAGGCTGCTCTTGAAAGTAAAACGAAGACCGTACCTGGGTATGGGGAGGTTATCTCCACCGGCGATCTCAAAATCCATAACAACATGAGCAATACTGAGCATGCAGTTCAAGACCTCCATGACGTCTTGAAGTCATATTACAAGGTCGCTCGGAAACGGTTCGTCGACAATGTATGCATGCAAGCAGCAGATTACTGTCTGGTCACTGGAGAACAAGCTCCTATGAAGCTATTTACTCCTTCTTGGGTGAATCAGCTTTCTGATAGGCAGTTGGAAAGACTTGCAGGCGAGAGTAGGGCAAATCAGCGCCAACGACAGAAGCTGCAGAAGAAGATCAATGATTTGGAAGCGGGCAGGGCATGCCTTGGATATTGAAGTGGGAGCTTCGATATTTGCGCTCTATTTGATTCTTCCCGTTGGGTTTTGCGGTGCTGCTACAAATTGATCATTGTCAGACAATCGGAATCCTTGTTTTTGTTTCGCTAGTGTTCTCACAGTGTAAAACGTTCCAATACACTAGTATGAGATTTCTACTACTTTGAGAGGCGTTTATATGCCAGGTGCCTTTCATTTGAATAAACTGAAAGCTCATAATTAGATATGTAACCTATAGATATTGAACAGTGAATCCTGTCATATAGAGAGTACGATATCGAATTAGAAGCATGAACTTTCAAGGTGTCGAGATCGCCATATTGCAGAAGCAGAAGGAATCGGACAACAACGAGAATGATTGATATAGCATGGATGCTAGGACTGCATATGTGAATGGAATTACCACAATATCATGCAGAAATCTAAGAATACTCCAAAGAAATACAATCTAACTAGCAATCCGACTAGGAGAAATGCTCTGGAACATGAAGGCTTCTGCAACTAACGACAGTAGCAGCAATAGTGAAGGGATACCCTTGATTCTTCATATTGAGGACTCGATATTTGCTGGAAAGCAGTGTTGTTCTTCATTGTCCACGCCCGTGAGGAAACCAAGATATATATAGTCACTCCACACCTCATTCTGCGACAATTTCTTTTATAATACTCTGCAAAGTCACGCGGACGGTTGATATACCAGGATCAACATCTGAATTAGCCTTAATTTGATGGCAGTAATCGACCACATCCTCGGCTCGTGCATTCAGTAACAGGGTCGGGACAACTCCGGCCATTGAAATGTTTATCCGGAAACCCCCACGCCTGCGGGGAAAGCTTTCCCGTCATCGTGAGAAACTTAGGGGGGAAAACCCAATTCCGATTGGCCATTTGCTATCAGGAGATCCCTAAAGACGAGTTCGCGCGGGGTCATATACAAAACCTCGGGGATAGCTCCGACTGTGTAGCCCCCTCGCACATTCAAGATCGCGTCCCCTGCTGGTCGCTCGAATTCAGTTTTCCCACACGCGAGCCCAAGCTTCTCCTAAGATCGCAGCCGCCATAATGGTCGATCTAAAGCAAAACAAAGCCTATCGGATTGTCTCCCATGCAGCTGCCAACAAATATGCGGTCCCGGCTACCTGCTGCTACAATCTGGAGGGAATCATCGCCTCGGTTCGCGCCGCCGAAGCGAAGAAGTCTCCCGTCATAATCCAGCTCTTTCCCTGGGCTATCGAGTATGCAGACGGCTTGCTCCTCCATGCTGCAGCTGAGGCAGCTGCTAAAGCCAGCGTCCCTGTCGCCGTGCACATGGACCACGCCCAATCACCCGAGATCATTAAGCGAGCTGCCGACCTAGGCGGCTTTGATGGTATCATGGTCGACATGTCCCACTACGAGCGGGAGGAGAACCTGGCCAAAACCAAGGAACTCGTCGCCTACTGCGCTGAACGAGGAATCATCACCGAAGCCGAGCCGGGGCGCATCGAGGGGGGAGAGGACGGAGTGGCTGATACCTCCGGATTACAGGGAGTGTTGACGACTCCCGATGAGGCGGAGGAATTTGTGGCGACGGGCATCCAATGGCTTGCGCCCTCGTTTGGCAATGTGCACGGAAAGTATGGGCCGAAGGGCCCACAGCTCGACTTTGAGCGGTTGAGGGGGGTTGTTGGCCAGGTTTCTGATAGAGTTGACTTCGTATTACATGGCGCAGGCACCGAATGGTTCAATGAGACATTGTTCCACCAGGTCATTGATGCGGGAATTGCTAAGTGCAACATCAACGACGCTTTCAATTCGTCCTTTTTGAAGGTTATGGGTGAAAAGGCGGCCAATACTCCGTTAACTACATTGCTAGAATTAGTTACGGATGAGATGCAGAAGGATATCGAGAGGCATATGGATTGGATGAAATCTACTGGGAAGGCATGGTAGGTGGAAGCGTCGCGTTGAAGCTGGCGATTACTGAAAATTTAGGACCGATGTAAATATGCAAATAGAAGACAGCCCCGGGGAATCCAGTTGCCAGAAACATCAATCCATTTCTAGCCCCATCATATTTGGTCTTAGAAATGGATCAATTCCATGTAGTGAGCAGGTGTCCTTCAGACAGCGCCATCTCTGGTCTTCAAGGACAGCATGATGGTTCATTTCGAGTCATTCCGCGGGTCGGTTAAGTGGGGAACCATTGGCTGCGCGTAAAAACCCCACCAAATCTACAATTGAGAAAGCCAGGTCCCAAAATGGGGGTATCAAATACCACGACTGCAACTTCTGGCTTACTTGATATCCAGGGTCAGAATCCTAGTCTCTTCAAGCTTTACACCCAAATATGCAGCATCTACGCAGTGCCCGACCCATCATCTCACGATACGATCGCCAGCACTTTACGCAGTGGTCTGTTCAGGCTGATGGAGACATTCCCCTGGTTAGCAGGAAATGTGATCAATGAAGGAGCATGTGAGGGAAACACGGGCACCTTTCGAATCATTCGCACAGACGAGATCCCTTTGGTCATTAAAGATCTCCGGAGCATCCCTTCTGCGCCCACCCTGGACGATCTCCGCCGGCGGAATTTCCCCATGTCCATGCTTGATGAGAAGCTTATCGCCCCGTGCTTGACTATTCATGTTCCTGGGGAAACAACCGGCCTGGCAGTTGACGCAGCTCCGGTTTTCGCGGTTCAGGCCAATTTCATTACCGGTGGGCTAATGCTGACCCTTGTAGGGCAACATAATGTGATGGATATGACTGGACAAAATCAGATCATGAACTGGTTCTCGAAAGCATGCCACGCCCATCGCTTTACGCCTGAAGAGATATCAATGGGGAGCATCAACCGAGCCGACGTGATTCCTCTGCTTGAGGATTCCGTCAACCTAGAGCCCGAGATTGCACACCAAATAGTGAAATCTCCCCTAAGCACCCAAAAGGCACCGTCGCAACCTCCACCGAGCACATGGGGCTACATTGTATTCTCTGCCACTGCCTCCGTTGCTCTTAAATCCTGGGCTACCAAGACCATGACGCTTCCGTCCGGATTTATTTCGACCGATGACTCGATCAGTGCTTTGATCTGGAAGTACATTTCTCGAGCGCGCATACCTCGTTTCAAACCAGACCAAGAGTCCCGTTTTGCTCGTGCCCTCGATGTTCGCACATCTGTGGGAGCACCTGCTGCATATACGGGGGTCTTGACTAGCATGGCATATAGTGCAGAAACGCTGGACAACTTGGATACATCCCCACTTGGGGTGATTGCTACTGACTTACGGAAACAACTTGACCCAGTGAAGATCGGCAGGAATGTTCGCGCTCTTGCAACGTTCAACACTCGAGCTGCCGACAAAACCAAAACCTCAATCACTGCAAACATGGATGGGTCGTTGGATGTTATGCTCAGCTCCTGGGCCAAGGTTGACTCCTTTGACCTTGATTTTGATCTGGGGCTGGGGAAACCCGAAGCGGTTCGTCGACCGGCATTTTTGCCTGTTGAGGGGCTGGTGTATATCTTGCCCCGGTCACCAGCGGGGGAAATTCCTGCCGCGATTTGTTTGAGAGATGATGATTGGGAACGGCTCAAAAATGACAAGGAGTTCCTCCACTATGCAGAGTATGTCGGATGAGGGCGAGGCTCATGAGTCGGTTGCAAATACCATGTCCGCCCCAGAGCTTTGCGTAGAGAGGCGACTAGGACCAAACGACGCAGATCACGAAAAAATCCCCAGTCCACAAACAATTCCTTCTCGAGATTTCTCTGCTGTATTTGTCTGAATTGAGCCGTGATAGGACTAGTAATCCAGTGGTATTTGATCTCTGGTGCCTGATAGATACCTGTGGGGTGTACAGGGTATGCCCACTACGTCACCTGGTTTCACGCGCAATGACAGAATTCAGACCTCCTGCAACTTGGGGCTTCCTGAGATTAGGAAGGAATTGCACGACCAGATAATCAGAAAGTCACCAAGATGCTCCAATTGGTAGTATTGTTGCAGTGTTGTGTTCCATCTCTACTAGGAGTCTGTATCATTGGCTCTATGCTCGGTCGATCTTCCCTCGCCACGCCTACTCCGCATTCCTCTCCGCATTAGGAGCTCAGCTTCCTCCCTGTTGCTTCACCCCCTCTTTGCTACACAAACCTCGAGCTTCTTCGTTTTCTTCGTTGCCTTCGTTCCCTTTGTTCTCAACTTTTGACCTCGTCACCATGGGTGGAGAACCCCCACATCACAACCGCGCCCCAGTCACCAAGGCGTTGCCCGTGCTTGCGGATCGCCCGGTCGGTCAGCGCATCAACAAGATCTACACCGATCGGCTGAAGAATTTCACTGCCAAGGGCCAGTATGAAGGCCAAAACCTCGTAGCCAAATACTACGAGGGAACGAGCTCTGATGAAGAGCACGTCAAGCTCTCCGTCTACTCCGCCCCCGATCTCCAACGGCCAACCTTCAAGGAAGCTACGTCACAGCAATTCAGGCCCACCCACGTCGGCGAATCGTTCGGACCAAGCTGGTCAACGCACTGGTTCCGTATTCGTTTGACCGTCCCAGAGGAGCTGCGCCAGAAAGAGCGACTGGAGTTCCACTGGGATGCAAATAACGAGGGCCTCGTCTGGACGGAGAACGGGCATCCACTACAAGGCTTGACGGGGGCGGGAGCGCACGGAATGGATAATCCCCGATGAGTGGCGCGATGGGAAAGAGCATGTATTTTATATCGAGATGGCTTGCAATGGCATGTTTGGCAATGCTCCCGGCGGCGACTCAATTCAGCCCCCCAGACCCGATAAGACATACCAGTTGACCTTGGCTCGGATCACTGCCGTGAACCTGGCAGCTCGGGCACTCTACTATGATTTCTGGATCATTGGGGATGCAGCACGAGAGTTCCCGGGTGACTCATGGGAAGCCCATGAAGCCAATGTGGTGGGCAATTCCATGATCGATACATTCATTGCAGGCAATGGGAGCCAAGAGTCGATTCTGGAGGCGCGCAAAATTGCGCAGAAATACCTTGGCGACAAGGTAGACTCCTCGGATGTTTATGCAAGCGATAAGGAGCCGTTCGTTTTTGCCATCGGTCATTGCCATATCGACACTTGTTGGCTCTGGCCTTGGCAGAGACGAAGCGAAAGGTGGCGCGTTCATGGTCCAACCAATGCGATCTGATGGACCGATATCCCGAGCATCGATTCGCGTGCTCCCAGGCACAACAGTTCAAATGGTTGAAAGAATACTACCCATCTGTATTTGACCGTGTGAAGCGGTGGGTCAAGAAAGGCCACTTCCAGCCGATCGGTGGCAGTTGGGTTGAGCACGATACCAACATGCCCAGTGGCGAGTCCCTGGTTCGTCAATTTCTCTATGGGCAGCGCTTCTTCGAAAGCAACTTCGGGCAGCGGAGCACCACTTTCTGGCTGCCAGACACCTTCGGTTACTCTACTCAGATCCCCCAGCTGTGTCGACTCGCGGGGATGAGCCGATTTTTCACGCAAAAGTTGAGCTGGAACAACATTAACAACTTCCCTCACACCACTTTCCAATGGGTCGCCTTGGATGGCAGCCAAGTGATGTGCCATATGCCCCCTTCGGAGACATACACCGCTGAGGCTCACTTCGGCGATCTCAAACGCAGCGTCACCCAGCACAAAACACTGGATGTGGACAAGTCATCTTTGCTTGTGTTTGGCAAGGGGGATGGCGGCGGCGGTCCTGACTTATGAGCACATTGAGAAACTTCGCCGAGTCCGCGGTCTAAGTGACAAGGTGGGGAATCTTCCACGTGTAAAGCTGGGTGACTCCGTGGACGACTTCTTTGCCAGGCTAGAGGACAGGGTGGCGAATGGCACAACGTTCCCAACTTGGTACGGTGAGCTCTATTTCGAGCTCCATCGTGGTACCTACACCACCCAGGCAAACAACAAGCGCAACAATCGAAAGTCCGAATTCCTGCTGCGAGAAATCGAATTCCTGGCTACCTTGGCTACCATCCATGGTACCGATGGTGCATACAAGTATCCCAAAAAGGAAATCGATGAGATGTGGGAGAATACTCTGCTTTGTCAATTCCATGACTGCTTGCCTGGAAGCTGTATTGAAATGTGTTACGATGATTCGGACAAGTTATACGCCGAACTCTTCAAAACAGGTGTGAAGCTACGCAAAGAAGCCCTTGAGGCTCTCGGCATCAGCAGGAGCAGCAGCACCAGCAACAGTTTCGTGGCACTGAACACCCTTCCCTGGAATCGCTCTGAGGTTGCTCGCATCCCAGATGATCTGAACAAGTCTAGCACATCCAATTACGCCCTAGTCAATGGCCCTACTGGATTAATCTCCTGTCAGCCGGTTAACTTCAATACCACAACTGCTGTCTCTGTCGAGGAGATTCAACCAGGTATCTTCCGTCTCCAGAATGGCAAACTTAGAGTCGATGTTCAGAATGGCGTTATCACTTCGCTTTACGATATTGAGGCGGAGCGCGAGGTCATTGCAAAGGGAGGTCAAGCCGGACAACTGGTGATCTTTGATGACAAGCCCCTTTACTGGCAGGCCTGGGACGTCGAAGTCTTCCATCTTGACTCCCGCAAGGAGCTTCCTCACGGTAACACTGTTATCGCGGAACAGGACCCCCATCGAGCGAGTTTAGTGACCGAGGTTAAGATCAGTGACAAGAGCTGGGTCAAGACTACTATCAGCCTCGCCGCTTCCGTCTCCTCTGAGCCCTCATATGTCGAGTTCGAGAGTGAGGTCGAATGGAAGGAGACCATGAAGTTCCTCAAAGTCGAATTCCCTGTGGATATCACTAACACGGAAGCATCTTATGAAACCCAATATGGTATTGTTCGCCGTCCGACACACTACAACACCAGGTATGGTCCTCTCCAATCATGACACCTCGTACCTCGTACTGACAACATCAAGCTGGGACATGGCCAAGTTCGAAGTTTGCTGCCACAAATGGGCCGATCTTTCAGAACACGGCTACGGTGTCTCGGTCCTCAACGATTCGAAGTACGGTTTCGCAACCTGCGGCAATCTGATGCGCCTGTCGTTGCTCCGTGCCCCGAAGGCTCCTGATGCACATGCTGACATGGGCCGTCATCGCATTCGCTACGCTATTCTTCCCCACGCCGGCGCACTTGATGAGCGCACTATTCGTGCGGGCTATCATTTCAACCACCCTCTAGTTATCGAGCAAGCTAACTCTCAAAACCCGAGTCTAAACGCAGCTCTGCGATCTATATCCATTAAGGGATCCCCATCTATTGTTCTTGATGCCGTGAAGCGTGGCGAGGATGATGAAGATGTCTCTACCGGTGCGCTGCCCGCTCGAAGCGGACGTAGTGTTATCCTGCGTGCGTACGAGTCCCTTGGCGGCAAGGCCCGTGGTACCATCCAGAGTTCTCTCCCGGTTAAGCGGGTGTGGAAGTGCAATGTTCTTGAAGACGATGGCGAAGAGTTGCAACTCCAATCTCTGGATGGAGGTATCGCTGTCAACATCGAACTGAGGGCTTTTGAGGTTGCTACATACCGGCTGCAACTATGATCAGAGCGACTTCCAAAAAGGGTACCTCGGAGAATCGTTTTCCTCCGATAACGCGACATATCGCTACGGGACTATGGTCATATGCTATACGAGAACAAATCCAAATAACCTATTGTGCAACCGTACTGCCGTTTGAAATTCATAATGTACATAGCGTAGCCAACACACCAGCCACACTTTTAGCCCACGCGCCTATGTTTTGTCTGCGATAACTCCATAACGAGATGTATCCCCCTAACGCTGACACCAGAACCAAAAGAGAAAAACACCCGTGCCCAATGAAACAGTCAATGCTCTAATCCCGCCCATAGCTAATCTTGAGGCGCTTCACAGACGGCTTCTCGCCATCATCGGAGAGCTCCTCCGTCTTGCCTTTCGTATTCTTCGATCCACCGCCGGCCTTCTTCTTATTCTTCGATGATCCGGACGAGTTCTTCGCAGCATTTCCTGAGACAGACACGTCCCCTCCATTGGTCCTATTCAGGCCATTTGGCCCTGGCGTAGACGTGGGTGTCGCTGCGTGGGAGGGCGTGGTTTGTACAGAGGAGGGACCGGGTGAATCCTGCTCAGAGAATACAGATTAGAGACGCTCCTCCTATCTTTCCGTGATTCGCTCCACCAACCTGCATGTAACTTGCTGAACTTCGGGAGAAAACTCGATCAGCGTCTGTGACTTGGGCCTTGCGGCGCGCGCCTCCTCCGATGCCCAGCCCTGAAGCACCGAGGGTTGACGTGTTGGCTGAGCCTTTGATGTAGTTGTCAAAGCCTTTGATAATGTTGCCTGCAGTTGTTTCTTCAAGGTAGGACTGTTCGAAGCGGAAGATCTGGTCTTCTAGTTGGGCCTGCGGTAGCGTTTGTTAGCCACAGATCCTGATTCTCCCGTCTCGGAACGTGCTCGCCGCGCATGGTCCATTGTCAGTCCAGTTTTGCGGAATCCCCATTGCAGGTCGCGCATCCAGGTAGCCAAGGTTGCCCAGGTTGTCCACTCACCATGCTCCTGTCCATCATCCGCTTCTTGGCCAGCGTATCCCGCAGCTCGCGCCGCAGCTTCTCGTAGTATGGCAAGCCACGATTAGTCGCGTTTTGGTCAGCCGGCGCATTCGGAGCCCCTGCTGTTGCGGCTGCTGGCTGCGCGCTGGTCGCGGGTACAGTCGCGGAGGCCGTCTCGGCCATGGTTGGAGATCCGAGGAGGGTGACCGCTAGAATATCACGCACGTGTAGAAGAGGGCACTGAGAAACGGGTGGAATAAGACCGGAGGGGAAAAAGGCATGGAGTGGTTTGTATCGGCGGGATCGCCAACTGAAGCTCGAGGGCGGTCTTATCTGTTTGTGCGGTTTGCACCCGTGGTGGCATCATATGGTCCCGCATATGTCAACACGACGACGGCGTGTTTGCTTTCCTTTCCTCGTAGTCGCGACGCCTTCAAGTCACGGCTTGCGCTCCTTTATCTTTGAGCCTTTGTTGCGTTATCCTGCTCGCCATGGATCATAGCCAGATGGACCACGGCAATATGGGACATGGCGATATGGGTCACGGCGGTATGGGTCACGGCGGTATGGATATGGGAGGCCAGTGCAATATGAATGTAAGTATTCGGCTCTCCAGAATTGGAGATTTCGCGATGGCCGGCCACTTGCTAATGCCAGTTGCCATGTTAGATGTTGTTTACCTGGTCTTCTAAGGATCTCTGCATTATCTTTCGCCAGTGGCGCGTTACCGGCCCTTTCTCGTTCCTCTTCTCGCTCGTGCTTATCGTCGTCCTCACGGCTGGTTACGAAGGCGTCCGCCAATTTACCCGCCGCTACGAGATTGCCCATGCTCAACGTCTGAGTGCCTTTATGAACTCTTCAGCTACTGGAGGTATGTCTTCCTTTCTTTCCAAATTGGGCTTTGGGATCATACACAAGCCCCGTCGCAAGGGAACGAATGGTGTTGGCATGGGTTTGGATGCTGGGAAACAATCTACCTCTCATTTCGCATACCTGCTTGAGCCAGCTCTCATTGATGTCTTGCTCTTCAGATGATGGCATTGCCAACCCAGTCACGGCCAACTTCCCCGAGGAGCCAACCCTGCCCATTGGTGGCGAGCGCTCACCATTACTTGTAGGCAGTGAGAACAGGGATGCCGTTGCTCGCCGGGGAAAGTTTGCCCTCGCGGCACTATATGCCCTTCAGGTGTTTTACAGCTTCTTCATCATGTAAGATGTCTTCAGGTCGGTTTCCAGTTTCGAGGAGGTGCTAATTGCTGTCCTTTGATTTAGGCTGCTCTTCATGACCTACAACGGCCAGGTTATGATTGCTGTTGCTGTTGGTGCTTTTGCCGGTTACTTAATGTTTTCGGAGGGCACGCCGGCTAGCAAGAGTGTTGCTTGCCATTAGCCTTAAGGCTTTTCGATGGATTCGCTTCAGCCTTATGTGGTGTTTTAGGAGTCTTTCTTTTTTTTCTGTTCCAGGAAGCGGCGCTAATTTCTTCATGATTATTCATTTTGCCAGGAGTTTCTGACACTCATGGACTTTCAGAGCCTGATTGCTGTGGGGATTTAGATCCCATGTCTTCAAATTTTATGTTTCCAATTTCATGGGACTTCAACATCGCTCCCATCATCTCCGAAGCCGAAGCTAAAGCCTCCTTCGGGGACTGCAGGTTCAGCTTCGCCTGCCTTTCCGTGGACAATCTCATCCCACTTTTGTTTTCTCCCTTCTGCCTTCTTTTGTAAGTCATGCTGCGCTCGTTCTAGTAGATCAGGATAGGCAGCCTGCATGCCATCCACAAAATTCTGGTAAGGGTTCACAACATCCTTCTGAAATCCAGACACTTGGTCGGCCTTGTTCGACAAGAAATCCAACGCAGCAGTAAGATGCGCACGTGGGATAAAATTCTGCGTGATAGCAATGGAAGGCTCCAAGTTCACAACTAGATGCCACCATCCAGATGGGACATGTAAAATCTCTCCCTCGCCACAGATTCCTTCCATACATCCGGGCGTTCGACGTGCCTCCGCATGGAAATTCAGCAGCCACTCCGCGATACTCAGCGGCGAAGTAACCTCGCTCTGATCATCTGAGACGAAGACACCCGGCGGTGGATCTCGCTTCTCACCAGAAGGAAACATAATCCAATACTTGGGTCCACGCAGCACCGCATTCCACGCGCTAGTCGCGTTCGGATCTTTGTGGAACTTGCTGCCCGAACGCTCTGGTCCCACAATCAACCACTGGTGATCGGGGCGCTTGTCTCCGAGAACAGAGAAGAAGTCCTCAACGAAGCATGCGGGCGGCCAGTATGCTGCGTTGGGAGTCTGGTCTGGTTGGCCTACCGCCAGGCCCATTTTGGAGACGAATGAGCGGTCAAAAAGGTACAGCGGGCTCTCGTCCGCATTATCGGCCATGTAGTCTGCATATGCTCGTAATGGCCAGTCGACTGCCTCTGCGCGGAACTTTCCCTGGCCGTATCGGGAGAGGAGGGTGCCGACGGTCCAGTTCTTATAGACGGGCCATTCTTTGACCGGGTCGGTGAGGATGAAAGGGCGATCGGCCCAGGTAGAATGGAACTCGTCTTTTGACAGATCGGCTAGTCGAGGTATTTGATTTCGGAGAGGAATTTTGGTGACGTAAGGATCTAGTGAGATGTGGGCGCAATTGAATGGCCTGTACAGAGCATCGGAGTATAAATGGGAGCAGTCGATGGTTGGCACTTTGGTAGGAGGTAGATTAAGATATGTTGAGCGCCATGTTCCCCGCCATGTAAAGTCCTCCACCGAAGATCTGGTTTAGTGGGTTAGCTGAGATGCTCTGACTTGGCTTTGCGGTGTTACCGAGGGTGTACTACGCCTTAGTCTACTCCCAAAGGCGTAAATATATCCAATTTGTAGCGACCCAAATTTGAAGGACTGCAGCCCAATAGGACAGTCAACTCAAAAGGCAAAGATGATACCGTACCGGATAAATAGTGCCTTCCATACTTCCTCTGCACGTGTGAATGCATAGAAAGCCTTGCATGTACGCCCGATGCAGAGGAGACTCGCGCTGTCCAACTCCTCTAACAGGGATAAGATTAATTCGTCAGGTAAGACTCGGAATGTTCCGATCGCATCCCGGAGGGTCCAGCTAGCCAACAAGGCATTACCACTGGGCTTTACACCAAGAGGATGAGTCGGTATGGCCTCAACGCCATCATCCTCATGTGGATAACTGGGCAACGTTGTGATGTCAGGCATGGTCCCGCTGGCCTTAGGGCTTCAATTTTTTCTGCCGTCCGACCGTGTCCCTACTACAGCCTGACTCAGGGAACCCCAACACGAAGAGGAGTCACAGCGGATGAGTCGACCTACTCGGTGGAAGGCAACCCAGTGACCTATCAGAACAGTAGTAACGAAAATATCGAAGAAGAAGTGACTCCAACCATAGAGTCATTCGCTTGGGTGCGTACGGGAATGAGCCAAATGGGGAGGCGGTGGGGCCATGCCCACCTTACCAAAGCGGGTAGTGAAAAAAAAAGAAAAAACGAAAAAAAAAAAAACGTCGCAGTAGTAAATGGAGTGGCGGTTGATTTTTTCCTCTTCCTTCTTCCCACCTAATTTGTGACTTTCACTCCACAACATCTTGTCACCTTCTCATAGTATCTCTTGTGCTCTTCAACTAGAAGAGCCGTGATACTGATTCCAAGTCTACGAACTACCCAAAGGGCACGTTCGTCTAAAAGCACTCTCACCCCGCCATCTCCCGGTCACAGCGTCTTGTCGCCTGTGATCACCCCTCCCACCCACCGCCAATATGTCGAACGACAAGGGCCTCGAGGATCTTCCCGAGGGTATGTGAACTTTTTTTTTCTTCCTATGGAGGTCTGGATCACCAGCGTGAATTCTTATGGTTTGAAGCACACTGCCAAGCCATAGACGAATAGCGAGCCTCTTCCCAAAAAATTCGTCCGAAAGCCAAGATTAACCGCTCTCTCCACTCAATAGGACAGATCGAGTCTAACTACGATGAGATCACCGATTCTTTCGACGCCATGGACCTGAAGCCTGAGCTGCTTCGCGGTATGTCACAATCTGAATCCCTTGGAGCCCCCTTTGAGCGGGGTACGACGGGAAAATTCTAACATGATAACCAGGTGTCTATGCCTACGGTTTCGAGCGCCCCTCTGCTATCCAGCAGCGCGCCATCATGCCCATCATCAAGGGTAAGTTCTACTGGCTCGAAATTTTCGACAAGCGATTAATGGTGATTCAGGCAACGATGTGATCGCCCAGGCCCAGTCCGGTACCGGAAAGACCGCCACCTTCTCCATCTCCGCTCTCCAGAAGATCGACCCCAACCTCAAGGCTTGCCAGGCTCTGATCCTTGCTCCCACCCGTGAGTTGGCTCAGCAGATCCAGAAGGTCGTCGTCGCCATCGGTGACTTCATGACCCTTGAGTGCCACGCCTGTATCGGTGGTACCAATGTCCGTGAGGACATGCAGGCTCTGCGTGACGGCCCCCAGGTCGTTGTCGGTACCCCTGGCCGTGTCCAGGACATGATCCAGCGTCGCGTCCTCCGCACCGACCACATGAAGCTTTTCATCCTCGACGAGGCCGATGAGATGCTGTCCCGTGGTTTCACCGAGCAGATCTACGACATCTTCCAGCTCCTTCCCCAGTCTACCCAGGTCACTCTGCTCTCCGCCACCATGCCCCAGGATGTCCTGGAGGTCACCACCAAGTTCATGCGTGACCCCGTCCGTATCCTGGTCAAGAAGCAGGAACTGACCCTCGAAGGTATCAAGCAGTTCTACATTGCTGTTGAGAAGGAGGAGTGGAAGCTGGACACCCTCTCCGATCTCTACGAGACCGTCACCATCACCCAGGCCGTCATCTTCTGCAACACCCGCCGGAAGGTCGACTGGCTCACCGACAAGCTCACTGCCCGTGACTTCACTGTCTCCGCCATGCACGGTGACATGGAGCAGGGTCAGCGTGATGTTATCATGAAGGAGTTCCGCTCCGGTTCTTCCCGTGTCTTGATCGCCACTGACCTTCTGGCCCGTGGTATCGATGTCCAGCAGGTCTCCCTGGTCATCAACTACGACCTGCCTGCCAACCGTGAGAACTACATCCACCGTATCGGTCGTGGTGGACGTTTCGGTCGTAAGGGTGTTGCCATCAACTTCGTCACCGCCGACGATGTCCGCATGCTCCGTGAGATCGAGCAGTTCTACAGCACCCAGGTTGAGGAGATGCCCATGAACGTTGCCGACCTCATCTAATTACACTAAACACCCCAACCCATTTTATGTCTTGATGCGGATTATGAATGCCGAACCTGCGCTAAAAAGAAAAAGTGGCTTCCTGTGTTGCTAAGCACTTTGTCACTCTGCAGTGGTCTGAAGGCTCTGGTTGAGGCTGTCGCTTCTGTGGAGCGATGTCCCTGCCGGCAGCACCATTGCTATGGTTTCCTATGTTTCCTGCACTTAACGGAGATGTGACATGTTTTTGCGTTTCATTGCTGTCACGGTTTTCTTTTTATTTCCCGCATCTCTTTTATTTTTCTCCCGCTTTTCTCTGTATCTAGCTCGCTCTGCTTGGTTAAGAATCCCGCTGTTATCGTACTTAATCAAATAGATTCGGGCCAAAATGTGATTCTGTTCCTCACGGTGTCTTGCCAAAAGTAGTGCTACGATATCCCTGCCATCCCAGTGCTTCACCTTGCTATTGCTAGCTCTAAAGTTGTGGACGGAGAAGTCACTGCTCCCCAATCAAAATGACCCAAGTTCATCGTTGCTTTTCTGAGTATACTATGATTCTCGAGTGAGAGTGTCCAAGCTCCCCAACCTTCCCCCCAGACGATTAGCTGGCTACTCTAGAGCATGTAGACAGGGCAAGCAATCGATATCAATCACTCTTTGGGATGGCAAATCACCTTGTGTTGCAATTGGTAAAGGAGCAATATATTTGTAAAGAACTCAGGAGTCAATCGCATTTCCCCGTAAGGGCGGTTCCCCTGGTACTCATTATAGTGTAGGACCAAAGAACCTTCCAATACTCGGAACTCTTGCCCCTCAATCTCAAGGTAAAGGCCAAAGTATGGTATGAATACTGCCATCTATAGCGGTAGGACTTTGGGCACTTTTCTGAAGTTGTTCACCGCAGCAGTCTGAAGTTGGCGAAAACAATCTTTCCTTTAGAGCGTGGACTATATTTGCTTACCGTCCTTTCCCAGTCCGCTTGCTACCAGATTCTCTAACACCGCCTCATTCACACTGCACCCGGTATCTGAGCAGCCCGTCATGGATCCGGCCCTTGCAGTCGACCCAGCTCCTTCTACCCAGTTCGAGCTGCGTCACCCAACTGCTCTTCTTTGGGGCTATGAGATGCAACGCGTGACCAAAGAGCTGACGGAACGCCTCGTTGCGACGAAATCCCAACTCGAGGAAAATGAGAAGTTGACGCGCCTCATGTACCAATGCCTCAATGACCTTATTGTCATCCTCGCCTCGATCACCACCGAGCTCAAGAATACCTCCCACAGCAGCCGCCATCGCCTTCAAGTCCTCCGTCGACAGCTGGCACATGCCCTGGGCCCCCTCCAGCTATACGCCAATGCAATTGAAAAGAAGAATAAAACGCTGATCAGCTGCATCACTGAACTGAAGGATATGTACAAGCGTGAGGGAACCACGGCACCCACAACTGCCGAGGCCAGCCACGATGCAGAAACCGTTGACTCGCATTTGCACCCCTCTACCGATACCGCAAAAGTCAAGGTAGGCAAGATCACTCTCAAAGTGACCGATTCCACTGAGGCGTCTCTGGCTGCACAGCCAATGGAAGTCAAACTCGCCGCGGTAATGAAACAAGGCCTACGCTCACTGGAAGAGTACTACGAATCAGCCCGCGTTTTCCGCCGCAGCCAGCGCCGGCTGCAGCAGGACAACGATAAGCTTTTCATCAATGCTTTCATTGCAGGGCTGGACCGGAGCATCTACCGCCGGCGCATTACCCACTGGCTGAAGAAGGAGCGCTGGGAATGGGCGTGGCTGGAGCATATCATCATGGTTCTCATCCTTGAAGAAGAGCACTTTGAGAAGCAGGAGTATGCTCTTACGCATCGGTTTTCGGATGGGTCGGTGTTGCTGCCGGATGGGATGCGCGAGCCACAGTTTGTTGTTCTTTCGCCTATCACAGAAGAAGATCTGACCGAGTCGGAGGGGGAATGAAGACTTCCTGTAGATCGACCTCCTATGGCGTGGTGGATGGTGCCTTTAGTTATTCCTGCGGGTTCAAGTTTAGTTTTGGGGGATGGGATGGTTTGAGATGCGAGGCTTCGAAGCCGGTTGTGTTCTTTGATGCAGCGCAGAGGTTAGTCTTACAACGGAGGGTCCACCGTCATAATGTAATGGGATATTCTTAGTGGTCAGGCTTTCCGTTTGTCATCCATTGCTCGTTTAGACAATAACCCATTGATTTATTGTGTGTCGTCCTCCGTTGTAAATTGAGGATAGTGGTCCCATATCGAGTCTCGAGTTTGTTGAGCAAGGCGTAATATGAGGAGCAGCGTTGTGGCGACGGTTGACTCCGCCCGGATGAACCCTCCGCGTTCGCCAAGACCTTCCCTCTCGACAACCAATGTCAAGGGCTTTCATTAACTTCGTCCATCCATTCAACAATGCAAGTGGCAGAGATCCTATCCGATTTGACCTCCTTAAGAGTTTGTGTGAGTGTATCATGTCGCCATGATCCCATCATTGGGGTTCTCCTCTCAAGTCCTAGAGGCGACAACCCCCCCACCTTGCACAACAGTGGTGCTTCCATGAACTGTTCGGCTGACCTGATACAGGGCTACAATGAAGCTCTTGCCTTGGTAAATGCCCAGGCCTCCATCCAAAACTCGGAGGCCTCTGCTCCCGACAGCTCTACAGACTCTACGTCCGAACAAGGGGCAGGCCAAGTGGCGAGGGGAAACGCAGATCTACAGCGGGCAAAAGAGCTAGTCGCACTCCACTACGAAATGAAGTCTAAGAACGCCAACGGAGAAGTTGACGCTGAGTTACGGCGTGCCCGGGAACAAGTGAAGCTCGTTTTAGCTGAATTATCATAAAAAGGAAGCGATTTTGACTGCGCACGCGCAAGACATGATCATCAAATTGAGATACCTTATAGCAATGGCTGATCGAAAAATCGTATCAACAAATATGTACGTTCTAAAGGGTATTTTGCTTCGCCAATTCAACAATTCGATCATGCGCCACAATGCGGCCCTCGGTGGTCTGGCACAAGTCTTTAATCGCAGCCACCTTGGTACGAATGCCCTCGTCTCCAAGGACCCGGTCCATAGCCTCGGCGAATTCAGTGGCCTCGGCACCTGGTGCGGAAGTTCTGCTGCCATGGGCACCAAGGCCAAGGTACTCAACGCGGGTCGCGCAATCATACGTATCAAGCCACTGGGGAAGGATGACCTGGGGGGTTCCGGCTCTGTATGACAAAGTTAGCGAATGAACGGTCTGGTTTCCAGAGCAGTATGGCGCTACTTACTTGCAAGCTTCATGGTATGAATTAGCACCACCATGGTGCACGTATGCAGCAATACGACCGGTTTCCAGAACCGACATAATGTCCGCCTTAATCCAAGGAGTAATCAAGACCCTGCCCTCAGCGACCGCTGGCCCGAGAATATCCTGGAACTCTTTCGATTCCTCCCACTCCCACCGAAGCTTCCATAAGACCTGCTTGCCAGGATGCTTGCCGAGGACGATCTTGACGGCCTTGGCCATCTGCACCGCAATCTCCGGGGTTGGCTTCATGTGCGACCCAAGACTGATCAGCACAGTGGGCTTGGTCAGCCATGCTTCCATTTCGGGATCCGATTTTGACAGAGGCTCTCGCTTGTGAAGGATCGGACCGCAACAGACCACATTGTCAAAGGTTTTACAAGGGAAATCCATCTCGGGGAAAGATGGGGTGAATTGCAATGTCTCTTTGGTGAAGGCATTCCCCAAGGGAATGGATTGCGCCTTTCCACGTCTTTCTCAGATCCTGGGTCCTCTTGCGGTGTCTTCCCAGAGGCAAATGTCATTGCAATTTGAAAAATCAAGTAGAGGTTTGAGGGAATGAGCTTGAACGGTAATGGGTAAGGGAAACCTGACCCGACACTAGATTGAAAAATTAGCATATATGCTTGCTGAAAAGCCCCATGGAACAAGTCGATTGACTTACGCTGGATAATGCCAAACTATCTTAGATCCCTGCTCCAGCGTGACGACATCTTTAACCGGGACTGGCCACAGGATAGCCGGCTTGATGTTTGCCGTCTTGCAAGCATCTAGACCGACATGGAGGAGGGGATCAACAATAACCACCGCAGGTTTCACCCGCTCGAACATAGCAAGGATGCTCCTATATGCCTTGGCATATTCAGAATGCTTCCAGCTGGACATAGCCGTGCTAATTTTATTAAAGCCCTTCATAGCACCCGCGACGCCCGGCGGGTGACAGAGCAGACCGACGTCACTCCGAATCGCAAGATCCGTCATGCAGGGCCCATATATCTCATGGAAAGTCGCCGGGGTCCTCGTCTCGATGCGCTGGTTCAGCTGCTCGACATTGGCCGCAAGCTGGCTGTACGAGCCGATATGGACTCCGTATTCGCCGCGACGCAAGAATTCCTCTGCAATAGCGAACGCGACATTACATTGGCCCAACTCGCTGTTCGTGAGAAACAGGATGTTCGCCATGGCGGACAATGCGTGTCCCTTGGATCAAGTTCGCGGAGCAGCTTAAGAGGGCACCGAAAATTTGAGGGATCAACAGGGGTCTATCCCAATTTAATAACCGCACGATCGGTGCTAGTTGGTCCCGCTTTGTGCATCTTGAGTGGTTCGCGAGTCTGGGATGGGTTACGCGACCATTCAAAAGTGATTCGTCACCTATATTGCCGAAGGGTAAAATGTTGCTAGCTGTGCACAGACGAGTCCCAATTTATGGCTGGCAGCCCGCTACATTCGCCTCTTGTTGGGGTGACATACGGAGTAGAGATCGTCGGATTGCTTGTTCGAGTTTATTCGAGTGGGTCCAGGGCCCCATACTCCACCGAAGTATTCTGTTTTTTTCTTGTTGCTGAGCTCAGTGGATTTTCCCAGCAGAGCAAGCCCCAGAGGCAACTCTCTGCCTGAGTTCTTGTCTGCTTCGTACGAACTGGGAAGTTGGAATTCCCATCACATGCAGAACTTAAAGCTGAAACCCAGCGAAACGAACAAATCGACCCTGACGATCATGACCCGTTCCATAGGAGGTGTCAATGCACCGATCCGATATGAAGCGGGTGGGCCACATCGTGCTAAGATCAAACCTGGGCAGTCACAAAAGATCCGGCGGAAATGATGGACGTATGCTCAGAGATTCTAAGGAGCCAAAGTTCGAACCTTGGAACACACGGAGGAGCAACTCGTGTTCTCCGTCGAGGCGGAACTATGTCTATCTCCGATCGGATCGGACTTAGCGGCGGCTTCCTGCGCTGAACAACCTAAAGCATTCGGGCGTGGCAAATATTAACCCCGCATCGAAGTACATAAATTTGGAGGGTGGATTTCGAATTCCTGAGGATAAACCAAAGGCCCCAGCTTGCCTAATTGCATAACTCTTGTAAGAATATTCCACTGGCCCAAATCTCTCCATGACATCATCCGGCTAATAGTCAAATAACAGCACCAAATGCAGAGGACCATGAGCAGAAAGACATACGAAGACGTCTTAAACCTTTGGTTTGGCGCTAAGTCGTCAAAGGACTATCTTCAGAAAAAGTCATTTTGGTATGGGAGCCCGAAAGACGACGCATTCCTTCGGAAGACGCTTGGCCAGGAGTACCAAGCGGCGAAGGACGGCGAGTTCGACTCGTGGCCTACCACTGGCAAGGGCGAAGGCGCCCTTGCGCTCATCCTTCTGCTAGATCAAGTTCCCCGGAACATCTTCCGTGATACACCCGCAGCATACGCCACAGATCCCAAGGCACTTTCGGTCGCACGCCATGCGGTTACTCAGGGCTGGGATAGGGAGCTTCCTGCGATACAGCGACGGTACATGTACTCGCCGTTCAATCACGCTGAGAACTTGGAGGACCAAGAGATGTCGGTCAAGCTGTTTACAGACTTGGGCGATCCTTATCATCTGCACTGGGCAAAGAGTCACTATGATCAAATTAAAAAATACGGACGCTTTACACATCGCGATGAGATCCTTGGGAGGTCATAGCTAAGAGAAGGAGCGCATCGTCCTCCTAAACATTCTTGGCCGTTATCATCTTCAAAAGCGAAATACCACTTATTGATCTACCATCGCTAAAAATGCACGAGCTTGACCTTCAGGAGAGAAGTCTACAGCAGATATAGAGTCGTTGCCCTGGGGCTGTGAAATGTTGATCATGTATATACTGTGGACCCTACGATGTAGGATGAATACAGCGAAAGAGAAAGGTGGAAAAAAAAAAGAAAGAAAGAAAGAAAGAAAGAAAAACAAAGAAAATCTACAGCACCGAGAATCGAACCAGACACCTCTAGAATACTCACATAAACAGCTGTTCCTCAAATGAGGCTGTTGAAGTGAGGCGAAAAACTTCATCAACCTTTTTGATATCTTCCAATTTCTCAACAACCACGGGGTATAGAGAGCTCAAAATACATTCAAGTTGAAGAGAAAGTCTCCATGAATACTATTCTCTCAAAATTCGAAGAAAAACATTGCCCCGCGTGCCCAGAACACGCGCCCATCCCACCCCCCATTTCCTCCCCGACGCTTACTTCTTGGCTGGGTTCACCAGAAGTAAGGAGCACATGTCGACCAAAACGGCAAGTGCTAGATTGCGCATAGGGGCGTCCCCCAACTGCAGCACCCGGGGAGGGATTGAAGTGGAGGGTCATTACTTGCTTTATGACCCTCTCCCCCCTTCTCAGCCCCAGGCTCCCCCACCAGGAACCTTCACCATATCAATCCAAGTTGTTACTTTGTGTCCCAACAGTCTCCCAACACCCTTACCGGAACGCATTTTGCCTACCTTACCACCCTATGTCTTTCTCAATTGTAAAAACTCAAGAAAGAAAATTTTCCAATTGGTTTGAGTCATTGACATGGCGGGCCTTACCCCCCCCGCAGAGCCGCAAGCCCGCTGTTTACACCGCCACCGTCCATTTTCTGCGAGTTCGTAACGTCGGACTGTGAGTCGATGCTTGGTCCTGTTTCAAGTTGACAATCACTTTTACCATGCCTCATGGTTCACTCGCAGGCTGCAATCATTTGTCCATTTGTTATGTGCCTTCCCACTACGCGAGCATCGCTGGGTACACCAGGCCAGACATATCAGAACGGCTCTCCGCTACAAAACCTAAGCAGTCTTCTCGAAAAGTCAAGCCGAACTTGTCCGAGAGGCACAACGAAAAAGTCTTCCCCGCACCCCTAGTGCTGCCAGGTGATGATTTGGCGGAAGATCCTGAGTACCCAGCCCAGAGCTTCCAGACTGGGTCGATGAAGAGGAACGCAACCTAGTTACCGCCAGGCGCAAGACAGTGTATATTTTACAGGCGCCCGAGATCGACGATGCAATCGATTTCCTGCGTTCCTGGGACATGCCTCAAGGTCATGGTTCTGGTACTGCCACCCTGTCTCCCAATTTCGAGGATGTGGGTGTGCGTGATTATGTCGCCGCTTTTGATTCCGGGTTACCGGTCAAAAGCTTGTCCGAACCTCGATCAGGTTCATTGAGTGGGAAGATGGCAGGAAAAAGCCTGGCTCCAAACCAAAAAGCTCTCGTCCCCCAAAGTATATCGGGCTAAGGATCGGCCAGGAGGTGTGTACGCATTCGGACACGTCCATCGCCGGACGGAGTTTACAGAGGCCAATTGAATCTGAACGACCTCCTAGATGCTGCAATAGCCATCCTCCCCAGAGACGCGTATGCTTTGATGCTTCTTGTAGATCAGGATATGTACGAGGACGACGACGACACCTTTGTATGTGGTCGTGCGTACGGTGGAAGCCGCGTGGGGGTGGTCTCTACACCATTTTTTGAGCCTTTTGCTGCATGGATTCGCACCAAGTTAGCTCTAAATCACCCCCCTCCAGGAAGATGACCATAAGCTTATAAGATTTCTTCATATTTAATACCTAGTTGTTGTAAAAAAAACAAATAAATCTGCAGGCTCATGGCTTGTGGCAAAGATGCATAATCTTGTAAAAGAAACACTTGGACAAGGCGCAATAGGGATTTTCGCAAATTCTTAGGGTTGCGCAATGTCAGACATATGCTGTTACTACAGAGCCAAATTATTAGTGTCTCGTGATATTTCTACAGGAAATCTCTCATTGCATTGGCTTTTCCAAGTCATCCCACTCTAGGTAATTACGATAACTACCAGCTGATCCAAATTTACGTCTCATATTATAGGGTCCATGGTCAATATTATACCTTGGTTATCCATCATACTATGCAATGACGATATAGTTTATTCTCGTGTCGGAGGGCCAATCACTCCCATGATGGCAATGTTTGATTCTTTGGTACTTCATTCTTGCTGCCTGCAGCAAACATTTCAAAAAGGTGAAGTGGTGTGTAGATGTTCATTCACTTTGGAGGATTTCTTCACCCTCTCAGGGAGGGCGTGATCACCCAATATCTTATACTAGCGAAGCCTGTATATTGAAATAGTCATTCATGATGAATTGACATCACAGGGCACATGTCCTTCCTCCCCACAAGGCGGAAGGTAAGTACCGATAATGTGGGTTATCGATAACGCCCTTATCGATCAAGCCAGCCCACTATCGCAATAAGCTACTACGCGTTAACCCAAATAGGAAGGCGGTGATAGTAGACCACCCAGTTTTGGTGATCGCTCGCCGACAATTATTTGACCGCCCTGAGCGCGCTGCTTCCTTCGTCTTCCTCATCTTCGCGCATCTGCACCCCACAGCTTCGCGACAGCTTGAGCTCTCCATCCAAGATGGGGGACCCGGTCAACGCCAAGCTGCTCAAGCAGATGAAGTTTCCGCCCGAGTTCAATTTAAAGGTTGACATGCAAAAAGTGAACGTGGAAGTGATGAAGATGTAAATTTCCCCCAGATTTCGTTCGCGACAACGTTCGTTCGCTAACCCCGCGTAGCTGGATCGCCGGTCAAATCGAGAAGATCCTTGGGGATGACGACATTGTCATCCAGCTCTGCTTCAATCTCCTTGAGGGAACTCGTTTTGTAAGCATAATCCACAATGGCGTGTTTCGTTGCTCTCGCTAAACTTCTGTGCCATTGTAGCCCGACATCAAGTCCATGCAGATCCAGCTGATGGGCTTCCTTGAGAAGGATACCGCCGCCTTCTGCAAGGAGCTATGGGGGCTCTGCCTGAGTGCCCAGGAGAGTCCCCAGGGTATCCCCAAGGAGCTTCTCGAGGCGAAGAAGGATATGCTCCGAAAGCAACAGGTATTCTGCGCTGTTAAATATTCCGTTGGACTTCGGCTGACGAAGTCTTCTGTTCTAGCTCGAGGCAGAGAAAGCAGCTGAGGAGGCCCGCCGCCGTCGCGAGGAAGATGACCGCAGAGACCGCGAAGTCGCCGAGCTGCGACGCCGAGACCGTGAAGAGCGTGGGCGTGGTGGCCGTGATGAGCGCGGATGGAACTCTCGCGGCCGCCAGGAGCGTGGACGGCGCGACAGCTACAGCTCCCGCCGCCGCTCTCAGTCTCCTCGTGGTCGCGGCAGTGACCGTTTCCGTGACCACCCATCCCGTCGTGACTTAGACTCCTATGTCCCCTCAAATTCCTACAGAAGCCGCCGTTCCCCTCGCCCTTCCTCCCGATCCCCACACCACTCTCCTGGACGACATGAACGCCACGGTGGCAGTCGCTCCCCAGGCCGCGGTCACTCCCGAGGATTGCGGCGCAACTCGGACCATAGCAGCCGTCGTCAATCCTTGGATCAGGAAAATCTCGGGGGCAAGGAGGATGTCGCAAAGCCCAAAGGAAAGGGAGATTAGTCATAAGAGCAGAATTTCATCACGAAGTGTACGATAGGATGATACCTACAAGCGGAGCTTCCATTTGCAAACTCAAAACCAGCCTTTTCACAGGTAGCGAAATGAACAAAATACCTGCGTTGAACTACAAAGCTCTCAGAAGATAGCTATTCTCTTAAGTTCAAATCTGATTGATCAACTGTCCTTGTCATGGCGATCGATGATTTCTTGATTGCCTAGCTGGAGTTAAAGGGTCTTTGACAAAAGTCTCGTGTCTGATCTGCAATACCAGTACGTGCATCGGGATAGATACAGGTATCTCCTATATGACTTCAACTGTATCCATAGATATAAGTCCGTAGTAAAGTCAGTCAGCCTGAAACCCCCTATCAATACACCTCAGGGCTGCCCTTATATACCTTATCTAGTTTGGGGGAATATGGGACGTAGCAAGTTCAACCTTATACAAAAATTGCATTCGTGATGGCATGGCGGAGGTGTTCTCCAAGTCATAGGCATCTCCCAAAGTTCGGGAAAAATCGCCATCTTTGCATGGGTCATCCACCAGAAGCCCTCTTCTACACCTGAAGACGAACTCTCATAGTGTGTATTATAATCCGCCAGAGGTTCTCAATAACCCCGCCTGTCTCGTGCGCCTTCGAGTCATAATACCGCAGCAGCTGTCGTCAATCGTCTCGGAAGTACAGGTTAATGGCAGCTTGGTTTCAAGTTGGAATGAAGTGAAAGGCACTCACTTCATACTCGCATCGAGGCCTTTCTGCGATGGAAACGAGCTCGGGTAGTCCGGACTGATGGAAGGACATAGTTCTTTGCCTACTAAGAGCTCCGTCAGATCTGAGTCGAATTCTACCAGCTTCTTGCGCTCCTCCTCCTCCTCCTCCTCGACGGCCAGGAGTCCGTCAATCTCGCAGCCACATGCAAAGAGGTCAAACATGTATACTGAGAGGAAATCGAGCTATGAGCTTTACTTAAAGCATGACAAGTCTATCCAAGTTCGAACGAATCATGGCTAGCTGCTGCGGGAGAAAGTTCCGCTGGAGCAGAGAATGCTCGGACCAGAACATCTGGAGGGCGGCACAAGTTTATACGACGAGGCCATCACCCGTGGATTTTAACAACTCAAGAAACGCAATGTTCCTTTGGAAGGGGCAGTGAGGGCTAACTCCGGAAGGAGAAAGTATCACAAAGCTGTAGTGATGCGGAATGTCCAGTGAAGAAATTCGTATTCTCTACGATCCGAGAAGTTCAGAGCTTCAGAAGCACTCGGTTTCCAAATTTGGTGGGAATATCTATAGGACTTGCACATCGAAGATCAGATGCTAGGAAGACAGAAAGCAACATAGCCATTCCTAGTATGTAAGCTTTTCCTGGACTATACCCGAACTGCGTCCCGGTAAGAATTGTCAAGAGCCCTGCCTCGAAATGACTTCACTGCGAACTCCGGCTTCCATTGCAAAGACCGAACCGCCGTGTTCCAAAGAAACTCATGGACAAGCGGGAACAGGGGAAGTTCGTCAAATACGGGGACATGGAGATTAAGCCAGTCCATGAGACGGTACGAACAGAATTAACAGCAGGAAAGCCTGAGGTCGCTGTGAGCCCAGTTGCCGGATGGTCATGATCCCTGGAAAACGCACATATGGGGCAGAAAGCCCCAGGGTTTCTTCTAGCTCATTGTTACGATGATGTTGACCTATGAAAATATCCAAAGACCATTCTTGGAACGAACTTGGAATTCCAACCCTTACGCGTGCGAGCCCCAGGGTAACATAGAACAAGCAGAGCCGACGATCAATATTGTCCTTCTGCATGAATCTGTCGAGTATCAACCTGTACTAACCAGTACGTATTTCCTATCGTCACAATGGGACACCTTGATACCCCTTAGCAAAGATAGGTCGGCATGTGCCAACGTCTAAACCAGATCAAGCTCCTTATCTACCGTATCCACGTAAGACATGTCTAAAGTTCCAAGATTGGAAAGACCGAGGCTCGTCCCGCGCACTAGATCTGGTTTAGCGTATCCTCTCCCGTCATGTCATGTCAGTATCGACATAAAGGGGTCCCTCAAGAACTCTGTAACATAGTTAAAGCGGCATTTTTAGTCATGTCTCTGAATTTGAAACCCAACCTCCAGGATGACGCCAGCAGAGTCGAGTGGTCAACAAGCATGAGCAGAACAGCAGAAGTTAAACCAACCCAACCACGCCTGAAATGCAACCCTGTATACAGCGCAATTGCGAGCGTCATTGAAAATCGGGGAAGAGGCTCAATGTGCAACTCTAAACCATGGGTCTGGCTGAATCATGATTCAGGGGAATCTTCCCCGAGATGCCATGCAAACCTGAATAATGTGAAACAGACTCGGTAGTTAGTGGAAATGTGCATAGTTAGAAAAGGTGTCTTAGCCCGACCCGCCGGGGCCGAAACAGGGCTGGGCATTGCTCGTCAGTGCGACAGAGCCCGCTCATGCTGACTTCCCCCCCAATTTGGGGAAAGTCTGTTCGCCGGGATTGACCAGCTGGTGCAATGTTGTTGAGGTCCTGAGCCAATCGCGGTGTGGTCCCCCGTCGCCGTGGGGAAGCCGGGAACCCTAATTTAATCATTGGATCCCAATCCTGGGGACGGAGGAGCGAAAGCTTTTTACGGCGTTCAACGACAAGGGGACTGTGTCCGGAGCTCTTACTGTTTCCATAACGATTGGCGCAGATTTGGAATTTGTCAGCTCGTCCTTGCAAGCCCCGGGGTAAGCGAGCAATTTCGGCATTTGTTGTGTGGATACGATGGTTCTTTTGCTCTTCGGCTTGGACGTTGACGTGCGGAGACAACTAATCCCAAGATGGCTGTTGGGAGCGGGGCCTTAGCGGGGGTCAGGAGTTATTTCGACTTTTTCGAATCTCGGACAAGGGGGGAAACACCTCGGGCTGGAACGAGAAAAGGCCAAGACTGAAAAGATGCCCAGGGCCCGATGTTCAAAGCTTTGATGTCAACGGAGTCGGTATCTGGATTCGGGCTTAGTGGTGTAGATTGTTACGATATCAAGTCAAGCAAAAGCCCTCGCCACCTGTCGACTACAGCCGGCTCCACCGTGGGGATGATCATGCCCCTTTTCTAAATTAGATTACGCCCAGTCCTGCTGGAGTGCGGGGCGGCATGTAGCGCGATCCCTCACAGGGAGGGGGTGGGGGCCGCCTGGAGAATACACGCGCGAGTGATTGGCGGCACTAAGGCGCAAATTCCGCAAGGGCAGTCTTGGGCCTGAAGAGCTTGAATCCTCTTTAAGGTTCATGCGGCCCCTGGTTTCATGGATCTACGTGAAACCCGCAGAGCATGGCCACCACCACCACCGTGACAGCGTCACCCAGAGCAGCGCCTGCGCTCTCGAGAGACGGAGGCGAGTCGCGGCCCAGTCCTTCGCGGCCCATTCCCTCGCGCTCCTCCACTTCGGCCGCATCTCCGATCGGATTTCTGGGGAATCTCACTCCGCAGCAGCATATCAAACTGAAGCAACTTTGGAGGATCTTACTGCAGTACTGGGACCCCAATACCACCGTCCCGGATGTCGAGACCTGCTCCGTGGCGAGTACCTCGCAAACCACCAAATCGACTCGCCAGCGCATGCTGGCGCTCACCCGATCGCAAAACCACCAACCCTCGAAACGAATCGTCATCCCGCCCCAAATCCTATTGACTCTGAAGAGCCTGGGTGCGAGCTCCAGCGACATTAGAGCATGTCGCTCCTTCCTGGTCAAATTACCCTGCGAGCAGGTGTGTCCGGCATTCCTAGCGATGTTGAGACACGAGAACCCAGACGCATTGATGCTGCGGTTCCTCCGGGAGGAGAAATGGAACGTGGTGAAGGCCTGGATTGCGCTGCTGCACGTCCTCAATTGGCGCACTAATACAATCAAAGTCGACGAGATTCTGATGAAAGGCGAGGAGGCCGCTTTCTTGAAGTCCCGGATGTTGGAAGAGTGTGCCGACAAGAAATACGGCGAGGGCTTTATGCTCCAACTCACAACCGGCAAGGGGTATTTTCATGGCATTGACAGATCAAATCGGCCTATAATCATAGTGCGTGCGCGGTGTCATCGTCCGAGTGATCAGCCGTTGAAGGCACTTCTAGACTTTATCGTTTTCTGTATAGAGAATATACGGCTGGTGATGACGCCGCCCACCGAAACCGTGGTACGTCTGTGGGTCTGGGGTTCTTTGGTGCCCCTCGGCATTGGCACGCGATCGCTGATATTGATTGTTTCCCTTCTTTTTTAGCTCGTGATTTTCGATATGGCTTCGTTCTCTATCACTAACTGGGTAAGTTGAAATTTGAGTCTCTGGTCTTGTTCGATTCCCGGGTTGCTGACCGTGGAACAGGATTTCCCTCCCATCAAATTCATCATCGATTGCTTCCAAGATAATTACCCCGGTTTATTAGGCCATGTGTTGCTCTACAATGCGCCCAAGATCTTCGCTGGTGCGTGCATGCATGACTCCTCGTTCTGCTGGCTATGTGCCGGAGTTTAACGCGTTGGCTTTATAGGTTTCTGGAAGATCATCCAAGGCGTTCTCTCCCCTGAGCTAGCCGAAAAGGTGAAATTTGTCCGCGGCGTCAAGAACCTCGAACGCTGGATCCCCCGAGAGCGCATCCTCGGAGAACTAGGTGGCGAGGAGGACTGGCCTGGGAATACATCAACCCCTTCCCCGACGAAAACCACCGCCTCACGGACCAGACCACCCGCACACAGCTCCTTGACGAGCGACGGAGCCTTGGAGATTATTTGTTCTGTCTGACCGCCGAATGGGTCGCCACCTCGAGGGACGACTCCTGCGATCCCACCGAGACGAGGTGTTCAGGCGACTCGGCGAAAATTACTGGAGACTCGACCCCTACATTCGCGCCCGCAATATCTCCGATCGCACGGGTGTCATCCAGGAGGGAGGCAAGCTGGACTACTACCCATTGGGCGAAAAGCTGATTCGCGCGAAAGCGAAGCCGAAGATTCTAGCTTGGAACGTGAATGGTATGAACCTATCCACTGTAACAACTATTAACGGCAGGAGAGTATGATGGACCGTGCGCCAGGATTTTCATATGGTCTTTCCTTCAATCCTTTCCTTGGTTTTTATGTACATGATGACACTAGAGTTATATCCCCAAAGGACGGTGCTGGGTTCTTGTTAATTTCAAATGATAATTCCCATGTTGGACGGGGTCCAGCTGATAGCGCACATGCTGGTCGAGCGACGAGTTCCTGTTCTCAAGTCTCATACTTCTGCATATGCACATTCCTGGGATTTGAAATGTTATAGCAACACCGTAGTATGCTCCATCTATTCCCAGCGCGATGTTGCACTGTGCTTCACAGCCAAGGGAAGACCATATCGCGTCTTTTTTTGCAAAAGGACTCCACGCTTCATTTCCTATATCGCATTTGGTATCAACCGCGCGATCGGCTTATAGTATCTGATCACTCCGACCACTGATCGGGGCGAATTTGTCCGAGCCTGAGACTTGGCGCACATAGAAACCGGAAACAACAAAACGCCCGAGGATGTGATCCTTCAACCGCTTAAACAAATTGCTTTGTCTGTTGCAGGGGGAGTCAGCCGCCCTACTGCTTGATTTGGAGGCTTCCGACCAATCCGGAGGCTTCATGTATAACCCCGCGTTACCACAGCCCGGGGGAGACGTTAAGTCCTCTGTCGGGCCTACCAAGGTAGATCAGGCCATATTTGGAATGGATCTCCTCATGGCTGGACTGCAAGCTTTGCTCGCCCTCGGACCAATTTGAACCCCGCACAGCCCGTCGGTCCAATGTCTCGCCGTATCCTTGTGCGTCCGAGAGAATGGATGAGCCGTGTGCCACACGTAGGACATACATATAGCCAAGGCCTCGCGTAGGCTCTGTTCATGCTAGGTTTTTGCTCTTTCTGAACTGCACAAAGACACAATGGGCATGACATCACTTTCGCAGGCGGGCCTGAGCAATCTATGGGTAATCCTGGCTGCTGTCACAGCTATTTGCTTGGTTTCACAAAGAGTAGTCAGGTATATTCAAAGTATGGAGCGGTTCAGTCTTGGAAGGATGAAATGTACTGATAACCTTATAGAAAGAAGATACGTTCGAGAGAATGGCTGTGTGCCTCCGTCCACGACTCTCAGACAAGGCTTCCTGGGGCTGGGTATGTTGAGGGACATACAAAAGGCAAACCGTGAACACCGTGTCCGTGCACAGTTTGGCGAATGGTTCGCCAAGTATGGCCATACATGGGGGGCAGACACTGGTGGGCGGTTATTCATCATGACAGTGGAGCCTAAGAACATCCAGAGCATTTTGGCTCTGAAGTTTAAGGACTTCGAGCTTGGAACTTATCGCAACAAGAGCTTCTATCCCTTGCTTGGCTATGGGATCTTCTCCACGGATGGAAGCAAGTGGGAGCACTCGCGGGCTATGCTTCGTCCTAATTTTGCGCGGAATCAGATCGCTGATATCGAGATCTATGAGAGACATGTCGCCGCGCTTATCAAGCAGATTCCCCGTGATGGATCCACGGTCGACTTGCAGGAGCTTTTCTTCAGAATGGTATGCCCTTGATCTGATCTACTTACCTGATTCGTTTATGCTCAATTAGTCCAAGACAATCGATTCTGCCACCGAGTTTTTATTCGGCGAATCCGTCAACTCCCTCGAGAACCCGACATCAGGCCCAGAGCAATCCTTCTCCAGCAACTTCAATATCGCCCAAGATGGTCTATCCCATCGCTTCCGTCTCGGCCCTTTCAGGTTCCTATACAGGAACAAGCAGTTCGCCCCTGCAGTCCAGAATTGCCGCGACTATGTAGACCGATTCGTCCAAAAGGCCATACAGTACCGCGCGGACGTCGACAGCGGCAAGATCTCTCCCGAGGAAGCCAAGCTCAACGACCTGCAATATATCTTCTCTTACGAACTATCCAAGCACACAATCAACAAAACCGAACTGACAGATCAACTCCTCAGCATCCTCCTCGCCGGGCGTGACACCACAGCCTCCCTCCTAGCCATCACCTTCTGGGTTCTCGCCCGACGCCCTGACGTCTGGACCACACTCCGTAAGGAAATTCTCACCCTCGACGGCCGCAAACCCGACTTCCAAGAGCTCAAAAACCTGACCTACCTCTCTTGGGTTCTCAACGAAGGTACAGACCCTTGCCCTCATTTAGCCCGCCCCCTCAAACTAACAAAACATACAAATCCCAGTCCTCCGTCTTTACCCCGTCGTTCCCGTGAACTCACGCATGGCCAATAAAGACACCCACCTCCCCGTCGGCGGCGGCCCAGACGGCAAAGATCCCATCTTCGTACCGAAGGGCAACGAGGTCTTTTACTCCGTCAGCACCATGCACCGCCGCAAGGATATCTACGGCGACGACGCGGAGGAGTTCCGGCCCGAGCGCTGGGAGAAGTTGCGGCCTGGCTGGGCATATCTGCCGTTCAATGGAGGCCCGCGGATCTGCATTTGGGCAGCAGTTTGCGCTGACGGAAGCGGGGTATACGGTTGTGCGTGTATTACAGGAGTTTGAAGGGATAGAGAGTCGGGATGAGCGCCCTTTTACGGATTCGCTGACGCTGACGCTTTGTAGTTTGTATGGGACGCTTGTAGGGATGAAGCCTGTTGGGAGTGTTTAAGCTATTTCAAAGATAGCTGGGGGCTCTCTTTTTACATTTGGTTTAGAACTTAGTTGGTCTGGGTAGTTGTGTGGGTTTGGTAATGAATCCCATCTTTCAAGAAAACAGCATTATGCTACTTGTAAAGCTTCTTGTTTCAGTGGGGTGTAAGCATATTCATTATCTACCAAGTGATCATCGGGTGCTGGCAATAAAGCGGCTCCTCTCACTATCATCGGTGCTACTATACCGTATGTTATCAAGGTTATTCTATACATTGAGGGTATGAGGGTTTGGCTTCAGATATTTCTGCTATTAGTAGTTGTCTCAATGAAATACTTTTGATGATAAAATGCCTACTGTTAGTCTACGAGCTGTCAGCTTGAAAAGACATACTCAAAATACTACTTCCTGACCTTCGAGGCACACTTAGCGGAAACGCTTTGCAAGATGCTCCCTTTGTTTTCGCTTCAAAGATACCTGCTAAGTTTCTCCAACGAGCGGCAAGTTCCTCAGTCAATACAAGTTGACCGGAATGAAAACATCATTTAGAAGGAGCTTAAAGCCGCGCGCATCAAATCAAATACCTGAGAAGCACCACAGACATGAGACCAAGTTTACCTACATGACTTCATATTTGTTTGCCACCGCAATCTCCTTTAACCTTCCTCCACTCACTTCCTCCCCTTCTTTCTTCTCCAACATATATATATCGTCCCTCATCTCACCCAGACATCAAAGAAGTGGTGGTATGCCATGCAAGCTCTCTATACCATACCCACCCGCCAGAGGCAACTGACTTCCCATCTTCCCAGATACACAGACATTACTATAATTCTATGATATAGCCAGAGATTCAAAATGCAGTGGCAGCAACCGGCGCCTTATGTTGAGGGTGAAGAAATGAGAGATCCTATACAGATGGTCTAGGGGATCATCAGCGTTACGTGGTACATTTCGGTACTCGAAACTATCTGACAGTCCCATGGCCGATCCGCATCCAGCAAAAGCGGGGGCTCATTACCACACGCCTATCCACCTCGAGAATCCGAAATCGAGTATCAAAATAGAGCATCTTGAAGCGACAGAAAACGACGCCTATGTCAAGTCGCCGACGAGCGTGCGAGGCGGGACTGCGTTAATATCAACTTCTAAAGCTGGTTGACGTGCTTTGTGCTATTCTACAGTCGAGCACGCATACGTTCAAGATGTCGCATCCATATTACGCATTCTCTATCGATGTTGCAGTGCCTCTCGCATATCTCAAGGAATCGACGGCATCTTACTATCATTCGAACATTGACCAATTCGTGCACCTTTACGGAGGGAAACAGCGAGCACCCCCGAGCTACCAATGCAACCGCATCTCATTTAGCGCACCGTGAAGAGATAGGAGGCTAGAATATTGCTGCAGATACGAGCTTCATACTCGCGCAGTATTTATACCCGGATTCATCGAAAGAGGGTGAAAGCGACAGATTGCCAGTATGAGATGCTCGAAAGAGGCCCCTTCACGAACACAATTTAATCAATAATACGTGGCATGACACGCGAATCATGATGAAGAAATCACCTGATTGACAAATACCGCCACATTGACAAAGGCTCTGGGAAAAGCGTGTTCTTCATGTTGCTGGACTTATTGGCCGTTCCACCCCTGAGCCGTGTCGCACTTAGCTTGGGGATTTTCAACGACAATCTTACATTAGGACTCTTAGACCAGCGTCGGCTATCGATTTCTCGAAATATAATGTCAAATTATCCAGGTACCGACCATTTTCTCTTCAGACAAGTCGGCTTTCTCGCATCGTCCATGCTCTGCTGGGCACGACACAGACTGTGCCCATCCAAAAGATGTGGCAATCTCACCCCTCCTCGGCGGATGATCTGTTGAAAATTTAGCCAATGCTCTGTCGAGACGATATATGACCTATTAGGAAGCCCATCGACATCGTCTCAGACGCACGATCATGGACTGCAAGGCAAATAGAGTGGGAAAATCATTCATTGCTGCTGTCAAATGGATCAATCCCGAGATCGGAAACCAAAAGGACCCTCGACCAAAAGAAAGCTCGGAATCAATCATTATGTCACGAAGAAACAAGTCATTTCACGGGCTCCATGAAGTTGTACAACTTGAGAAAGACAACATGGTGAAAACCTTGGGCCTTCGTCGGTCTTCCTTGAGTTCATCCCTTCAGGGGTCATCGCTTGTTTCCTTCCGCGATTTTCGTTCCCACGCTTTGAACCTACATTGGGATCCTGCAAGTGGTATACTGGTAGCCAACCTGCAGGTTTCTTGCCTTATATAACATGCTATATTCTCTTCGAAATGGGGAGCTTTGGTATCTTATGAGCACATGAAGATACTCGTCGCAGAGACGATTGGCATTAGGTGAGTTCCTTACTGAAGCGCTATCCAGCTATTCACGAAGGTTCACGAAGGTTGCTGATTTTCTTTTCTTCCTGGTGCAGACTTACTACTTAGCGTCTGAGTATTCCGAGACTATAAAAAGACAATCACCAGTAAGGAACCTTCCAAAGCTTCCGTAAAGAGGTCACTAACACGGGCTATTTAGAATAATCGTACTAAGGCGCTACCTACGCTTCACCGACGGGAAATGAACAACTCGAAAGTGACCATACTTGCACTTATTAACTTTCTCCAATTTCACTCGAGGCCCCTTGATCTTCCATCGGAAAATCTCGCTGGCTTACGCTTAGCTTACGCTTGCTCCGTTGCTTTCTCCTTTTACCTTCTCTAGCTTCATTTACCTCGATATTGGATTGTCTGTTTTCCTGTGGATACATGCCAATCTCTTCTCACTATGCTCACAGCTTACCCCATTGGGGTGTGCATAATGCCTCCGCGGATGGTCTATTGCTCGAGAGATTGGATAACAACCCATACAAGTCGGCCCAGGCCGAGAAAGAACAACTTGCGACGCATATTTGACGGCAATCTCTTTTGATCGTTTTTCTTCACTGGAAGAGAACAGTTTCTACTTTACACTCGGTCTTTTCACTCCTCACTTCAATGAAGTTCTTCGAGACCATGTCCCGGTATATGAGTCCCGTGCGTCCGAGGTTCTGGAGAGAAGGAAGCCTTCGTGGGAAACCAAGGGACCATCACGAGCTTTGAAAGAGCATCTCTGGGCTAATTTTCCGTCAACTGAGCCAAAAGACCATTCTGGCACTTCATGTGCGGAGATGTCCAGGCACACCTTATATAGTACACCCTCTAGCTGGAATCCGTGACACAAGCCACATGCGGCCTGGGCTCACCAGAAATGACCGACCTTCTGCCGTCCTTCCAGTTGGACGGAAATATGATTGCCAAGATGGCACCCCCAGTGACGCGAACCCGTTCCAACGATCCAAGCCGCATGGCAGGCAGCGAGTATCCAAACGCGCCGCGACCCCCTAGAATATCGAAAATCTGAAGACTGGTCCTCGAAAGCCAAATCACACATCAGTTACACCTTACACTCGGCTGGTTCAAGTCAGTTTACACGAACTGTTGCCGGGAATGTATCAGATGTGACTGAATCTTCCCCGCCTTTCATAGATTCAGATAAGGTGGGATGTCCGCATCAGCCAGATGGACGAAGCGTCCATTTGAAGTATATTGGAATGTCTTTATAAGACATCTGCTTGGAAGAGTCGCAGCGTGCATGCAATTCGTGCGGCGGGCTAAGAAGTATGGAGAGACCGAAGTCGAGCAAATCAGCGGTGCTGTGAAAATCGAGCTTACTGCAGACGTGCTGAAGGCCGTGACGGACCCAGTTGACACCCAATCTAGATCTTCAGCAAAGAAGTCAAAGATGGGACAGATCAGCGCAGTCACATCAGCCATCTCGGTGAAAGAGAAAATAGCAGGAATGGGAGACATTAGTATAACAAGAGTTCAAGAATGGGCCGAAAGGACGAGGGTGACCATCATACTGCAAATAGGATGTTACAGATAAATACCTCGTCTGACTTTCGAATCCGAAAAGGGCAACCACAGCTGATGAATTTACAGTTTACGTTATAGGTGAGGGAACGATAACTAGCAGTTTGGTCATGAAACTTGGAATGTGACTGTATACTGCCAGGACGATGGTTCGAAAGAATGTCTGTTTATAATATGGAAGGTGAAGTCGGGTGTCACTGCACATGCAATATGAACTCGATTCAATGCTGCTGTATTCTATTTTTCAAGATATCATTAACACAATACATTCCATCAGTAGACAGGAATCGCTGGGAAAGTAAGGTACAAGAAGTAAGGGAATGTACTCCATTATGGGGAAGAAACGACGACAGCCTCAGGTGTCCGAAGACAATGATCTCAATCCCAAACACAAAGCCCAAATGCCAAAAGGTATGCCCGGCGGAGGCAGACATCCTCCAGGCATGTAGGATTAAAATTACATATCTACAGATAGGACGAACAAACTGAGTCCCCTCGGGCTGAAGGGGCGAGCGGCCTTGGTGAATTCAAAGAGCACACCCTGGGATCGAGGTCATCCTGAGGAAGAATTTAAGCAAAGGCTGACCCTTACTCGCTGCAAGCGCACACAGTCTTGGTGACCGTGACGGTCTCGGTGCAAGCACCGGGGACCCAAGGAGCAGGGGTAACAACAGTGGGAGGACTGGTAGGGGCAGGAGCGCCACCGCCGACACTCCAGGTAGCACTCCAGGAAGCACCACCGGAACCACCAACGGAACCACCAGTAGAGCCACCGGTAGAGCCGCCAGTAGAGCCGCCAGTTGAACCGCCAGTGGAACCACCGGTAGAGCCTCCAGTAGAGCCAGTTGGCCATGGAACACCGCCGCCGCTGGAAGGAGAGGCAGAGCCAGTGGGAGAAGCACCGGATGGGATGGCAGGAATGGAAGCAGGGACAGTGGCGGAGGGAATAGAGCCGCCGGGGAGAGTAACAGAGGTAGAACCACCGATAGACACGGTAGCGGTCGAGCTGGGAGCAGGAGCACCAGGCAGGCGGCATCCAGTGATCCACTCAATAATGATAAGCTCGAAGCTGAAACCAATGTCGATGTCGACGCAGCCACCAAGGAAGGCAACGAGCTCGGCGATGGTCTCGAAGGTAAGGCAGGTAATGCTCTCACCGGCAGCGAGCAGGCCCAGGGCACCACGAACCTCAATGCTGAGGGAAGCGAGAAGGGTCTCGGTAAGGAAGCCGAGGACATCACCGACGAGACCCGCAACAAGGTCGACAGAGGCCTCAGCGCTGACGGCCAGAGACAGCCAGAGAAGAACAACGGCCTTGAGCTCAACACCGAGGTCGCAGCTGGCGCCGGAGAGCCAGATAGCGAGAGCAGTACGGAGTTCGATGCTCAGGCCAGCGGCAAGGTGACCAGCAGCACAGGCCTCAAGAGCAGTGCGGACAGAAACATCCAGCTCGACGCCGGCCTTGAGGTAAGCCAGGAGAGAGGCCTGGGCCGCGGCAGTCAAAGCGCCGGTCTCCTCCACGAGGGCGGCAATGGAAGCACCAACAGAGACGACGGTGAGAGCAGTCTCCGACAGAGCTCCAACAGCGACGACATCAACACCGGCCTCGAGGTCAAGGAGGCCAATGACGGCCGCCTTCAAAGTGGCACTCAGGGTGCATTCTGCGCCGTGGACCCAAGCAACAAGGGCAGCCTTCACCTCCGCAGTCAAGCTAGCGCAAACACCGCCCTCGGCGATGACCCACAGAGCAGCCTTAACGTCGGCACTCAGGTCAACCGCACCCTTGAGGAAAAGGACAAGTTCCGCCTGGGCGGCGGCGCTCAGAACCAGAGTAGACTCGAGCTCCGAGATGGAAAGGATACCGTCGAGGGTAACGTAGAGCTGCTCCTTAGCAGCGATCTCGGCGCAGGTAGGAACGAAAACGGAGAGAGCGGCCAGCACATCAACCTCCAGAGCAGCACCACCATCACACCAGGAGATGAGGGACGCCTTGAGCGAGCCGGTGATGTAGGCTTGGGTCTGCAGCCAGGCCTTCAGCTCGGCACGAGCATCGGCGTGGATGTCAACGGAAGCGCATCCAATGGCACTACCTTGCAGAGCAGCGGCAGCCTGGGCACTGATACCACCCAGGATGGTGACAGAGCTGGTAGCATGCCCGCTGATCCCAAGGACACCGCCGATGATGCCCTCCAGGTCGAGGCTACCACCGACTGAGCCACCAATGCTCAATCCTCCACTAATTCCAAGGGGAAAGGTGCGAGTGTCGAGATCGCGAGAATCGAGAGAAAGGTCCGCCGGGTAGGCGAGGGCCGAAACGGCCAAACTGGCGAGGACGGCGTAAGAAGTACGCATTTTGCTGCGCTATAAACGAGTGTAGAGCAACGGCTTCAAAAAGTAATAACTTTCACAGATCGGTTTCTGTGAATAAAACGAGAGACGCGAAGCCGCAGTTTCGACGGACGAGTGCCGTCGGGTTAAACGATAGACTGAATTATAAAAAAGAACGAAAGAAAAAGAAAGACGATAGAGTATGATCACCATAATCGAGCGACGATCCATCACCTTTATATACCCCTGACCAGCATAGAAGTGCACCAAAAGGGTCTCCACCAGACGGTTCCACCATCTGGATCAGAGCAAACCCCAAGTCTCAGCATCCTCGTCCCACTTTTCGAGCTATCTACACTTAAGGGGTCACAGTTATCGGGAGCCGGGATCTTCCAAAGTCCCCATGTGGATCGGGGCGGAGCCAGTGATCATTCGCTCGCAGGGCCAAGGTCAAGATAGGGGGGCCACTTGAGCCATTCCCAATGTGGCAAGGCCTGTCAGAGAAGGTGTCAGATGCTCGGCACATCACGATTTTCATGATTTGCAAACGGGCGACACGGGCGACACGGGCGAATCATGCCATTCCAACGGCAAAGACTTGTTCGTGCCATGCGGACTCACCAGCTCATATCCCCTCTTCTGAGGCGATGACCTCCGAGATTCGAGAAAGCAGGCAGTCCAATACGAAGACTGCAAACAAAGGGACCGATGACGTCCAGTCCTTCCCGGAGAGAGCTAGTAGAGAAAAAGGTGATGCATCCGTGGCCCCACCGTCAACAGACACTTTTAGTTCCTAAAATCGGGATCCTGACTACATGTGCGTTTGCATTTCGGATCCTTGGGTCTGAATGTTTGAACTTGGTGGATCATGGTCTATGCTCACTTGGCCAAGGCCATCCCGTCCATGGATCATGTAAATTAAACAAACCCTTCCAGGTCCGCAGAGAGCGCAACCCGAGAGCGCAACCCGTGAGCGCAAAAGGCGAGCTGCTGGGCCGAGGATCCTCCTGAATCCTCCTGAGCTGTGGAGGGGGAATTGAGTCGGAGGGAATCCAGACCAGCCACCTATCATAGGTGTACGGAGTACGTACTTCGTACTGCCTCTTTGGCTACGCCGTTGGGGTTAGATCAGGAGCACACTGGTCAACCCCTGGCCCAAACTTAGCCTTGGCTTAAAAAAAAGACCTGTCGAACTCCTACGGAGCAGCCCCCAGCAGTTCCCGATCTCCGAGCACTCGTTCTGAGTCAATTTTGCCGACCGGCTGGGTGCAGAAGGTTTTCTCAGTTCTTGTTACGGAGTACCCTGTCCTCTGTAGGACCTACGTAGATCCGATGATGGCGTCGTAGGGCTGGTAGCTCCCATTGTCTGTCCATGATCACTCGGAATACTCTGTACATCCCTACGTGCCGTTCCTCGTGGTGCCATGCGAGGATCGTGGGCGAAACGGTCGATCTCGGAAGAATACCCATGCAGAATGCCAGATGTCGGCCTCTTTCAGGGGGGAAGGGGGGGTTAGAATGGAGGGCTCCCCAGATGGATCCAACGAGGCGACGGGGCTTTCTGCAGACACCTGCACTAGTGCAAGCCACAAGTCAAGTTTCGAACGATAGTTGATGCCCCTGCAGTTCGCCAGTGTAGCCTCGAATGAACAGGCCGCAAATTTGAGGATCAAAGAAATCGAGCTTGACAAGACGAAACTTGGTACCTGGCGCTAAGTGGGGTCCGTGGGGTCAGGGGGTTCCGGGCTGTTCCACGCGACTTTTAGGTAAACCTCCGTGAACGACATACAGTGACGGAGCAATCATGATTCCTCACATGTTGAATAATCCGACTGCTCGCTACGCGGAAATGCCCTTCTCGTGGTGTCTCCGGAGGGTGGCGCTACACCTGCACCGAACTAGCCATGCGGAGCTCGTCCCGGGATAACAACGGGTGCGTTTCGCTCTTGAAGATCCAAAGTTAAAATCCGAAGTAATGGCGGTTTCAGGTCAACCGGCATTCCAAAAATATATCTCGATAATGAGGCTAAAGTCGGTTCCCGCTATGGAGTACATCTGTAGGAGATAAAGTAGGTGTTCGAACTTGTCTCAACCCCCCCCGTGGAGAGAAGGAGTTAAGGTTTTTTTTTTTCTTGAGTCGCAGAAGGCCCGCAACGGTCATACCCAGAGACGGCTTGCCAGTGGAAGTGGACTCGATTTCAAACAATCAGGGGGCAATCCGTGCACGCCTTTCCGGGTGCCGAGGCTTCTGACTGGGCCGCTGTGCATTAGGGCCAGTAGTCGGCGGGACCCTTGGTCCAGAACGGTATAGGGGGACGCTTGGCTCTCGTAGAGCGATACACCTTTCAGAAACCATGTGGGATTCTCAATCAGTTGTCCGTCCTGGTGGATGCTTCGTGCCAATGCTCTACTCCGTAGAACATGCAGAGTGCACAGGACGGCTTCGCTTCGAAACGAGCCGTTTCTCCCCTCTTCGGCACGTCTCCATGGCTATTCCAAATCATTGAATCGCTTCAGTAATTAAGAGGAAACAATGTCTCGGCACGAACCGTCTCGACGGAGTATACCTTACGTATATGCCCCTTCGTGGATCGGAGGCTGAATTCTATTTTCGTCAACGCAATGCTGATCGTGAGATGTCGGAGGATCTAGACCACTATTCGCACCGGTCAAAAACGCCTCAATCCCAGGTGACCGCCCGTGCATTCGCGCATGGTCTTTCCAATCTTGATTTTGCGCTGCGATCGATCGATCGGCATCAAAGTAGCTTGTTGGGGGGGGCATCGATCGGGCCAAAAACAAGAGCAACGGTCTCGTAATTCGACCGCCTCGCATTGCGCTGCATGCTGCATGTTTGCTTCGACTCCTGCAGGAGACCCGCGAGCCGGCCAATCAATCGACAACCCCGAAGTGACTGCCCCTGATCGTTCACACATGCAAAACCGCTGCCTGGAATTCCAAGGTTCTGGAATTGCCTCGGCTTCATGCCGTATGCAGGGTACTTATTTCCCAGATCATGGGGACGGAGACAAAAGGGCGGCAAACCGCTTATCGATTCGCCGGTCATGGCTGTTAGTTCCAACGTGTGGGACATGATACATCATGCTACGCGCATGCATGACCATGGGCAAGCAATGGATCCTCGGAGGAGCTCCGCATGATGGGTACGCGGTACGCTGGACTAATCGTAGTCATCATGGTATATGTCAACTGCCAGCGATGATTTCTACCACTAGGAGAACATCTGTATCAAATTGCTATGCTGCTTGTCCGCAGCGCACCGTCTGTACTCCAAGCAAGTTTCTAGTACACGCCCTTGTAACTCTTCGGATTTCTGGAATGAAACCATTGGAAAACCCATGGCTACTCGTGTACCAAGCTTATACTATTGATGGAACTTGAACAGCACCAACTGGTGAGACTTGGACCGATCTTAGACGACCAAAGGCTCCAAATGTCGGATGAGACGTTCGATGTGTTTTAGTATGATGTCCAGCTCCAATCACCACAGAACCTCATACGGTCTTGTACAATTAGGGTTGAAGTAGTCACCGTCTCAGACTATTAAGATATTGGAAATGAGAATGGTTTTACGAGTTGCTAGTAGCTACCGATACTCCAAATGCTGGACGCAGAAACCCTTCCCAAGTTGGAGTGTGTCTTTCGAGGCCTGATGCTGCTACTTGAGGTTCTGAGATTGGGATGGATGATATATATGTTTTCGGGTGGTCAATCTGACGTCTCCTCGACGTCTCGTCTGCTCGGTACCTCAAAACTCCGCAACGATGGACCTCCTTCAGGTGCAAAGGAAATTTTGTACCAGGATCGATTTCGAGAAGCAACTTTTAACCATTCTGTCCATCTGCAGCACTTCCAACGTCGTATATGCAACGCTCGCAGGCCAAACATGCCAGTCTAATGTTGTTCCGTCTCCATAGCAACAATCAAACCACGTGACTCTGCGCGTTGACGGAACGTCGAGATTGGACGGGCTTTCCTCGAAGAGTATCAACATAACAAACATACGACAACTTCGGGTCGCCGCTGCATTGATCTACGACTTCAATGTAGCGAGCTTGCCGCCATGGCCTCTCCGACTCCTCTTTCGACATACGACTCCCGTCTGTATTCCCAACCGCCGCGCCCAATGTCCCGAACTGCGGTTTCACGGTCCGGTTCTAGACGGGCGTCGCCAGCCCTACAAAGCGCGGAACCGCGACCGGCTATTTCACGGCACTACTCCGGCGACAGCTCCGATGAAGAGGTGCCGGAGCCCAAGTTCAGCGCATCCGTCAAGGCGCTTTTAGATGGAGACGGTTTGGGGTCCTCGCCCCATCTGCAGAGAGGCCATGCTGCTTACGAGCGGCGGGCGGCCGCGGGCTCGAGGCATTCGAGTCAATCCCCGCGCAATTCATCCCCTCACGACTCCTCGACTGGCAGCCCAGCGCCTCGTGTAGTGCGACTGGGGGCCATCTCGTCGTCCTCGAGGTTTTCCCGCGAGGGTTCTCCACTGTCGAGTAGCCAGACCGCGGAGCCTGAAGGTCAAAAACCCCCAACTGATTTCATTACTCCCGCTCCGCGGCCCCGGAGTGTCCGCATCAATGCTTCGCGTAGCCATACGCGATCGCCATCGTCGGTGTCACCTTCTGCTAAGCGTTTCTCTGAACGGAACTCGGGAGATGAACATGGCAGTGGTGATCGGTCTGATAGTGACCGCAAGTCACGATATGACGAGGATCCAGCCTCTCGCATTGGTACCTCCTCGGTCTTACGCGGTCGCAACATGGAGGACTTTGGCCCCCAGAGTTCATTGCGCGTGAAACGGGTTGGCAGACTTACCGGGACCTTCTTAAACGGTCCTGCCCGTCGCGGAGTTCTGCGCAGGCAAAGTGAGGAGAACAACGAAAGCTACATGAACGAGGACCTCAGAGAAACGGCGGCGCCGAGCAATGAGGATGCAGAATACCAGCCCCGAGTCAGGGCCTCTTCCCCAAGGTCTCATGGGCTGACCCTAGTCCACCGCATGAAAGTGAAGAGCGCCGGAAAGAGCAGCCAGCGTCCATCGAACGGCCATTCTCAAGGTCATCCTCGCCAAAATCATATGGATCACAATCCAAGTCCACCCCAGGTTCCTCTTCGGACCTGTCGTCCAAACCATCCAGTGCAAAGGGAGCAGCCTGTCTATAAGGTTCCGTCGCTTCCTCACCTGCCTTCCGGGAAAGACCAAGAAAACGACCCTCCGCCAACTTTTAAACGGACGAAGCCTCCGGGATTGAATGTGTTGGATAAGCCCGACAAGTTGTCAGCAATGTACGATACCGACAAGAAACCTGCTGAACCACCTGCCGGAAGCTCACCACGCAAAATTCTTGCTACCAGAAGTAATAATGCCCCCCATCGACCCGCCCCGCCGCCTCCGAAAATGTCCGTCCTCGAAACCGCGACAGCGACGGGAGGTGCCTCCACTTCGCAGTCGCGTAAGAAGCGGACGCAGGTATCAATTAACCAAAAGCACTTCACCCGCCTAGATTGTATTGGACGAGGCGGTAGCTCTCGCGTGTACCGAGTGATGGCGGAAAACTATAAAATCTTCGCCCTCAAGCGTGTGAACTTGGAAGACGTTGATCCGCTCACATTGGCCGGTTACAAGGGCGAAATCGACCTGTTAAAGAAGCTGGAAAATGTGGAACGGGTGGTGCGACTCTTCGATTGGGAGCTCAATTCCGACAAACATTCCCTCAGCGTGTTGATGGAGATTGGTGAATCCGACCTGGAGAAAATCCTCACCTACCGACTGAATGCGGAGGATGCTGTGTTCGATATCAACTTTACCCGATTCTACTGGAAAGAAATGCTGGAGTGTGTCCAGGCGGTTCATAACTTCAACATTGTTCACTCCGATCTGAAGCCGGCCAATTTCCTCATGGTACAAGGCCGTCTCAAGCTGATTGACTTTGGTATCGCCAATGCCATCCAAGACAACACGGTCAACGTGCACCGGGAGCAACAAGTGGGAACCCCGAATTACATGTCCCCCGAGGCGTTGGTCGACTCCAATGCCTCTTTGGGCCTCCCGGCCAGCGTTGGCAAAATGATGAAACTGGGTAAGCCCAGCGATGTGTGGAGCTTGGGTTGCATTTTGTACAAAATGGTTTATGGCCAGCCCCCCTTCGCGAAAATCGCCAAGTACTACGAACGCATCATGGCGATCCCCAACCCTCGTGTACAGATCGACTTCCCAAGTCACGGTGTGGGCGGCGTTCCTGTTCCTCCCGGGTTAATTCGAACCCTCAAGCGCTGCTTACAGCGTGACCAGACTCTTCGTCCGACCATCGAAGAGATGCTGGGCCCGCGAGACCCATTCTTACACCCCGATGCCCAGCTCGAGGGCGCGGTTCCTGTGACCCAAGACATGCTGGGACGCATTCTCGCAAATGTCATCCACCACTGCAAGGCCCGCGGCATCCCCAAAGAAGAGGAGCTCGCCGCTTGGCCGGCTGGTTTCTTTGCAAAAATCAAAGCTGCATTGGAAGAAGAAAATTCCTGATCCCATCGACTGGGCTGTTTTCCTTTGTATTCTCCGTCTTTCGTCATAACTTTCGCCTCCCATTCTGTTTCCAGCACGATGTCATGACCGGTGTTTTGGGGTGTTACCTTTTTCTTTGTTCCTTTGTTTCTGGCGGTGGATCTACTTCATATCTTGTTCGCCACTTTGCATGCTGTTGCATACGGCTTGAGCCCGACTCTTCGATCCCAGCGATTCAGCGAAGACTTGCGGTCTACTTCTGTATATGATTCTTCGATACTTCTCTCGTCATTCGACGGCGCTGCGCTATTGAGCCGGGCGTCGGATCCTTTGGAGCTTGAAGTAACATTGCTCTGTTAGAGTGCAATGCCTAATTGGCATATCGATGCTTTCCCCTTCGTTTCCTCCAATCCTGTAAAACCCAACACTCTAGATGTGCAAATAGCGTGTGCTAGTAGTAGCTAGTGGCAACAATCGGTATCTATATTCAAAAAATGCATGTATTTTGTAGCTCAGCTCATCTATCAGCTTCATAAATGCCGAGGCATGCCAAATACTTTTCGTTTCGTAAATCTGAAGGAACTGCGCCATGAACACCGAAGAAAATATGGCCTAAGCCATGTGAAATCCGACAAATCAAGGGCTTGTGCCCTGGGCCCGATGGTATCGAGAGAAGACAATCCGTCTGAGGTAATTAGGGGGGGGGGAAGGGCGATCTTGAAGCGTAAAATCTAGACAAGGAGGACGGCGTTGACACAGCCGTCGTTCTCAGGCACGTTGGTGATCTGTGCCCATTTACCCCACACTACTTTACCGGTGGTGGTGACGAGACCCAGCTCGGAGACGTTGATCTCGATGATCGTTCCCTTGGTCAGGACACCGAGTTGGGTGTAGAGAGGGTTTGAGGGGTTCTTCTTGACGGAGAGGATGGGGAGTTGGACGGTGACACCCAGTTCGGGGCTGGAAAAGATATCCGGTTAGTTCCCTGTATGGATGGCAGATACGAGGGGAGGGATGACATACTGGGTCACATTGGCCTTCTTGTAACGGAGACCCATGGGACGGATGAATCGCTCGTACTTGACGGGGCGACGAGTGAAGTCGCTTCCGACGAAAGTAGGCTTGGTAATCATGCGCTTCCATGACTTCTTATGGGTCTTCTTTCCGGTGTTGACCACCTTGAACATCTCCTCTTCGCTAATCCCCTTGACCTTCGGCAGTGGCACGGCGAATTTGGCAGCCTTCTCATTCCGCTTGTCCTTAATAGCACTCGACAGGGCCTTGGCATTGGTGGCTTGGGATCGGTCCAGCAGGTATTGCGGCAGAGGGGTCTTGGAAGGCTCTTCGGGGGCGGAAGACTTGACGTTCTTCTCTTCCTGGGCCTTGATGCGCTTCTTCATCTGTATCTTCTCCTTGTGGCGCTTCTGCTGGTACAGCTTGGCTCGCAGACCACGCAGGTTCTGGGCATCGTAGGACTGCTTGTGGCCCTCACGAGCCTGACGCTTGCGGACTCGCTCATCATGGTCGAGTCGCTTACCGTGCTGCTTCTGCCAGCGCTCGATGTACCTGGAAGATGGTCAGTGGGGGTGGCTTTTTTTTTTTGCTGGGTGGTTGGCGGGGAGACAAACTCGTTCTGAGGCTATAGGTGGGAGTATTTTGTTAGTTCTTCTGGTTTTATCGGAATCAGGGTATGGATTCAAACAGGTAAACTTACCATGTTGATTGCAGAATGAGTATATCTGGCAAATTGTTGTGATGAGGATTTCCCTGCAAGATCTAATCGGGCCTCGAAAAAGTTGTTTCGGCGGGAAAGATAGTAATCCACGTGATCTCTTATCATGTGCCACGTGACAGGTACGGCGCGCCGGAAACACCATAAGCGCAGTATTTGATTTTCTCCGAGTCGACGGAGATCCGCTGTGCTGGAAGCTGCGAAGTGTCCCAAGGTCTCCCCAATTCACCTGAATTCCGGGAGCGGCACTTGACGACCAATCCACAATGTTCTCGCGCTCCGTATTAAGAGGCTTTGCCTCCGAGCTGCGCTGTGCAGCCACCACAATCTCCTCCGCCGCTCCCCTTCCCCAGCGAGCATGCCTCCACCAAACAGCTCGGCTCCACGCCTCACAGCCAGCATCCTCATCCCAACCGCCAAAAGCTCCTCTCAGTGCTGAGCCCCGTGCTCAATTCACCACACCGCCAATTCAGAGAGGCCCCCGCGTACCAACAGACGAGGACGGCAACCCAATACCGACGCGCCGCTGCGACATCCCCTCGAAAAGCAACCCGTGAAACCAGACTTCACCAAGCCGCTCGAAGTCTCCAAGTCGCTCATGGAACAACTGCCCCATCTCCGCGGCCAAGGCCCGAACTACATCGTCGCCCAGCTCCACGCCCGCCCTACCTCCTCACGGAGGGCGACCACATCCGCCTGCCATTCCTGATGCCCAACGTAAGGAGCGGCGACATCCTGCGCTTTAACCGCGCCTCCGTCCTCGGGTCCCGCGACTACACCCTTAAAGGCTCGCCGGTGCTCGACGAGCGACTGTTTACGTGCCGGGTGCGCGTAATCGGTACGGAGTCCGAGCCCATGCGGATTAAAGAGAAGACGAAGCGGAGGCAACGCCATGTGCAGGGCGTCCGGAGCAAGCACAGGTATACGATGATGCGGGTCATGGAGGTTTCGGTGCATAGCCCGGAGCAATTGCTGGCGGAGGGTGCTATAGTGGTTGAGGATTCAAAGGATGTCATTGAGAAGGCTCAGCAATGATCGGGTCGGAAAGCGAGCTTCTTCCGGGGATGCATTGGCGTCTTTGTAGCATTTCATGTACAGATAGATGGATGTTGGCTATCCTGAGTGACGTTGTATTTCTATATCAAATTTATTCCTATTTGTCTCAGGCTGGGGAGTATGAGTGTTCACGTTCACTACTATATTTTATTCTCTCATGAAAAGCTTTGACATGACTGGTGATCTTGGAGGCATCTATGGTTGTGTTATGTCTAGCAGAGCTGGTACAATACTCTCTTATGCAAATGATTGTGACCGAGGGGCAGCTTCCTCGCACTTCCCTGAGGGACTGAACTCGGAGTGAACGGATATTCTTACTTCTTGCGGCGACCCGCTGCTCGGAGAAAAAGGGTCTTCTGCTTCAATATTACCAGTACGGGAAGGCCCTGGTGTCCCCAGCGCCATCTCCTCGTCGCCCAGTGACCCAGGCAGACTATGAGTGGTGACGGGGACGTTAGATATTCCGCTTTCTCTTCGTGGATCTTTAGTAGTCTGCTTCGACCTATCACGTAGATGACGCACGAGCGGTCGAAGAGTCGGCAGGCAGGCACAAAGAATGCCAACAGACTGTTCAATCGATGACCACGTCGCGGGGTCAATGCTGAGATAGTGAGGGGTTTCGCAGGTTCCTCGACTGGAAGCTGGTTACGCGAAGAATCGAAACGAGAACGACACTGGAGGGGCTTAGCCTTGAACTGAACAGAACACGGTGATATTGGAGGAACTCACAAGCCGCCCAAAAGGAACAAGCCACTCAGAGTGAGCTTTTGTCGTAGGGTCGTTTGCAGCCTCCAGGCCATTGGATAAGGAAGGCACAGGATGAGCACGTCGAGTAGGATATTGGCGATGCCACTCCAGCGGAAGAACGACACTTCGTCAACGCAATGGCCGGGAAGAGACGGGTTCCAGAATTTGGCCACTGGCCAGCATCCGAAGATGGCAGCGAGAGTGCAAGCGACGAAATAAGCGATCACCAAGAATGCCGATGCGTACAGAACCCAGCGGAAGTATTGGACCACGCCGAATATGCGGTAGTAGAGTAGGAGGAATGACGACTTGGTCAGCACCGAATTGAAAAAGTATATGATTTGAGTCGCCATGAAAGCCTAGATATTTCTTATGAGAATCTCCGACGTACTTGACAGGTAGAATACACAGTACCTTGCCCAGATTTTCGCCCAGCTCCACACTGAAACTGTGGGAAGTATATGCTGCTATGAAGAGTATGATTTGCGTCCAGCGCAAAGCCACCGTAGCCCAATTGACAAGCTATCGATTTTTAGCAAATAGGTTCTATACAATAAGTTAGATCAGGAACTTTTCTTACCAGGGCAGCTAAGATGGTATAGTCATCCCACCAGAACCCTGCGCCAGAAACACGGCGTGCAAAGAACCGAAGGCCCACCAGTATAGTTGCGGGGACAATGGTGGTGATGGTCCCAATATAGATCTTTGCTTTGTTCCACTCAGTTTTATCATTGGAAGAAGAAAAATCCATAAGAAGTGATCTCTGAGACGATTGTTTCACGGCCAGGCGCGAAGGAAGAAGCCATCTGCCGCGCGTGCATTTTTTTTCTTCTTATATAAAAGTTCGGATAGCCAGATCGAACAATGAAATCTGGGGATAGAAACATGGAGATCCGGAGCCGAAACCCCCTAAAGCCACAGCTAAGCCTCATTGTCCCAGGAGTTGCTTCGGCCGGCTGTCTTGCTTGGCGTCTCCGAGATCGTGACCCATGGTTCGCCTCAGCTTCACTGAATAGCTGTTTCTGACCGAATGTAGAAGGTCAACGTAGAAATCAGAAATAGCAGTCGAATTGACCAAGTTCGACTAGTGCGCGGTAGGGTCTTGGTAGACCCTATTATTCGTTATGGAAGCTAGAAAGCCGTATTGATAGAGGGAGGCTCCGCCGCATTTGCCTAAACCATCAAGCGGGAAGGATCCGACCATTCTTGCGGGTGAAACGTATTGAGCGGTCCATCGAGATTCTCCCCGTCATGCGATCAAAACCTTTCTCACCTGCCATTCTGGATATGATGCCAAGAAAATGCTCTGGGATCGGGCATCATGATAATCCCCGGTGGCGCAACGTGAAGCTGTTAGGCTGGGCTCTCGTCTCTCGTGGAAAAAAACTTCGCTTTTGGGCATAGACATCTATTGGGATCATCGGACAACCAGATGTCACACTCCCACGAATGGCTAGTAGTCGAACCTGATCATCATCCAAGCGATTTGATATAGTTGCTGTTCAATAGAGGTATCAGCGATATTCTCACCTATGTTTGTCCTTATCAGGCTAGAAGGTGTTGAGACTCGTCCCCCCAACTGCAGACGAAACTCCGGAAGGATTCTATGCAGAGTCTTTTCTTCGTAGGCCAAGGGTCATGGAACGATAGTTTGTGTGACATCATGCGAGTATGAAATCTGTGTTCCTTGTACTTCCCGCCTCGTTGTGGCACCATCAGGCCCCCTAGACCTTATTCTTGAAGAATATTATGTGCCAAAGTCATCAAGAATCCCATCGCGACATCATGATGGAGGATTCGTCGGAGAATTGCTGTCAGAAATTTGCCGAGAAACATGGAATGACACAGCCGCATTGCTAGCGACAGTATTTTGTGTCGATGCCATCGTGACTGTCGGGTGAAAAGCCAGTATATGATGTAAAGCATTCATAAAGTCGCTAGTCGTATGCGAGAGGTACAGTGCTCATGGCGAAACTTTGATTTTGGGTAGTTGAAATTAGCGATCTATTGAACTAACCCTTGAGGTATACGACGAATAAGACACACCCATAGCTGTCCCTGTTCTTGAAGCCCTAGACTCGCGACAAGGGAAGCACCTGTCATGGTTCCCACTTGGGCTTGCTGATAACATGTTAGTCGTCCCGATGGTCTTCGGCTTCTTTAGCTCCCATGACAGGAGGACCAACAGGCTGTTTTGCCTCCATTCTGAGGTCCAGAAGTCTCTAGAGAACAATAGGGTTGCAACTTGGAATCCAATGAGGGCTGCACATAAGTTTATAGGGTCAATGTCGGCAAATCAATTCGGACATACTCATGCCTCGCTCCCGGGGCTAAGCCTCTGAAACAAACATGACAGTTGGTTTCATGTTGATCTTAACCCCTTCCAGACGGGGCTACATGTCTCTTCCGCGTATTAGAGCAGCCACGGCTGCCGCAGTGGATCTCAGCCTCCTGATCCCCCCCAAAATGGGGTCGAACTGGGCTTTCTTTTTACGAGCTGTGCGAAACCTGCTCCTGATTGTTGAGACGTTCAGATCAGCACGCTATAGGATACCTCTTTTGAAAATCGTGATGTACACGAGTGGTGAAAATTAACGCCTTGCAGTCCCTAATACTCGAGACGTGGCTTCCGCAGTCCATCGCGCCCCCAGACGGCCTTGTCTGGGAGTTTTTCTTTTTTTTTTCCATCGTCAACCCATTAACCTGGCGACAACCCTGGGGGTGGTACATCCAGGGTAGCATTCACTTTGGACACGAATTATATCCAAAATGTCACCCATTGTTCGCCACATCCGCCTTTCGCTTTTGAATATAGTTGAGGCTCTGCGATCAGGCGCGGGTCAACAGAACTATCGGCTTCTGAAAGGCGTCCCAGAGGGCTCAAGGAGGCAATGGACCACCCTTGGCATAGCCACGGCGGCTCTTCTATTCATCTGGTATGTGATGTCAGGCTCACCTCTCCCCGCAACCTTCAATCGAACCTTTGTCGCATACCACGATGAACTGTGTGAGCACCCCGTCGTGCGGCTCCACAAAGATGCCTTGCTAGCATTTAACGAAACCCTCAAGCGCCAGTCGACTTCTTTGCCGGAAGCTGAGGCGGAATACCGACGACGATACAACATGCCCCCACCTCCGCATTTTGACAAGTGGTACGACTTCGCGAAGGAGCGCAACACCGTCTTGATTGATGAGTTCGACACGATATACCATACCTTGCTGCCCTTCTGGGGCCTGTCGCCTGCGATAATTCGGTCGCGCATTCGGGAGGACTTGGGGGCCAATAACTTTGCTATGGGCATCACCATTCGCGATGGGAGGCCGACGGACTTTGGTGAACAGCAAGGCGGCTTCCAGCGAAATGCCACGATAAAGCAGCTTGGGATGATCGCGCAGTGGCTACCGGATCTGGATCTGCAATTCAATGCCCATGATGAGCCGCGGGTGGTTGTTTCGCACGAGGATTTACACCGGCTCATCACTGCGGGCCGCGCATCGCAGACCCGGTTGAACGAAAACTCGTCGCTTTCGAATGCGTTCTCCGGAAATCGCCTGGAGCCTATTGCAGAGGTTTTCAAGAGCAGATTTAATAATATCGAGCGCCAAGAAACTTGGCTGGTGGCCAAGCAATCATGCCCGCCCGACAGCCCAGTAAGAAGCCTCGAGGGGAATGCCCCCGATAACAGCAGCGCCTTCGCCATCGAGCCCTTAGGGTTCATCTCCAACCAAACCGCTGCCAGTGACCTTTGTAATAACCCATCGTTGCGCCACCGACTCGGTGTCTTCAAGAAACCCAATTCCTTCAAGGTGACGAACGAGCTCACGCCAATGTTCTCCATGTCCCATCCGTCTTCGTTTCAGGATGTTGCCGTCCCCTCGCCATTCTACTATGAAGGGATCTCGGCTTTTGATGAGACGGCCTCGGTTCCATGGGATTCAAAGAAAGGACAAGTGTATTGGCGAGGAGCGACCACCGGAGGCCACAGCTTCCACGACAGCTGGCGGGGGCTGCTCCGACAGCAAATTGTCGGGAACCTAACCCAGCCCGAATCACCACGATACACCCTGGAGAAGAAAGAAAACTCGGCTTGCAAGATTGGAACGGAAGAAGGGTGGGAAGTTCGCGAAGCCAACGAGGCCGAGATTCGAGAGTATTTCAACACCTATTTCGTGGACATTCAAGACTGCGACGATGATTGCCCCGCGGAGGAAGCCTACTTCCAGGTTGTGGACCATGACGACCAGAACGAGGCTTGGAAATACAAGTACCTCTTGGATATGGACGGCCATGCGTATAGCGGCCGCTTTTATGCCCTTCTGCGCAGCAAGAGTGTTCCGCTGAAGGTCACTTTCTTCCGCGAATGGCATGAGAATGTGCTGTTCCCGTGGGTGCACTACGTCCCACTGAACAAGGATGCTCAGGAGATCCCTGAGATCATCCGATTCTTCGAGAACGATCCTGCTGGCCAGGAAATTGCGAAAAGGATTGGTGCGGAGGGCCAGTCATGGGCTGCGAAGGCAATCAGGAACGATGATATGGATGTCTATATGTTTCGACTCATGTTAGAGTATGTTCTCTCCGTGACGAAGCTCCAGACACACTAGGCACTGACATTTTCTTTAGATATGCACGTGTGCAGGATGACCGACGAGAAAGCTTGGGTTTCCTGTAATTGGGTCCGTCAGAGTAATGTAGCTATAGTAGAAAAAGATACCCCCTTGTTCAGTTTAAGAATGAATTTTACTTCAAGATGTACTACCGATATTTCTCCATTCGAGTTACTTCTTCTAAATCGTAATATATCACTACGTAATTGTGAATTCTTGTCGGTATTCGGTCAGAATTCCTTATCATTCAATTGAACAAGAATTTCCAAGCCGAGCAGAGACATGGTAAACGATGAGAGGGGGGTAAATGGAGGTCGAAACTGCGTTTGAGCGACAGTGCCCTTTGGCGTGAATGAAAAGCTGGGTGGTGCGTTTGTCCTGTGGCAATTGGTCTGGGTATAAAATCAACGACGCCCGTCCACTATAAGGCACACCCTTTTCCTTTTCTCAATAACCTATCTTGGTCGGGAACACATGCGAAGCGATTCGTCATTAAATGGCTGAACCAGCGGGAACAGCAGCAGACCTGGGGCACGTCCCTGCCACCCCGCGCTCCCATGATCACGCCGTCGTCGGTCACCCTCTAACGCATGCGACTTCGACGCAGAGGGCCTCCTGCTATCAGTGTTTTTTGTCGGCGGTACGCGAGGAGAATTCGGATGAAAATCGTACAGCAGGACACTTCACTTGGCAGTGCGTATGGGAGACCACTTCTAGGAAGTGTTTGGGCTGCGCGCAGATACAATGTCTTCCGATTCCGAAGGGAATACAGGGCGATTGGCAGGTTTTCAACGATATCCTCGATTGGGGGTATAACGCTCACCCCGGGGCGATGATGATTTCCACTATCGGGCCCGACTATACGTGGATGGATTGGGGTCATAACGCAATTAAAGCTATACATCGCGAGTCCCGAATCTTAGCTCGTGTGATGGTAGATGTTATTCAGGAATACGCCAACGACAACGGCTATAAGCTGTCATCAGATAAGAAGAAGGCTCGCCTTGCCCGGTTAGCGTATGATGAACGGATGGAGCAGAAACGTGCTAATAGGATTCGTGTCCTCCAACTACGGGCCGGGATCACGCCTACACTGGCGAAGACATTGATACGACTGGAGCCTGGGGATTCCCTTTTCCCTGTGGTTCAAGCTGGGATCCGGTCATTTTTCATGGGCGTCGCATTGGGAGCCATCGCAGATGGGGAGCCGCAGTATACGGCAGAGCTGATCCGGGATACTTGGCAGTGTTTTGGGGATCCCACGGTGTAGGCTGTTGCTGAGGAGTTGGTATGGACTCCCCATAAGTGGATTCATATGTTGAGACCTCCGTCCACTAGAATGTTCTCGGTAGCTTCTAAGCAGAGACCAATTGCATGACCTCAAATCCCACAAAACACCCTTGCTTGCCGATGCCAGTGCCACCTAGGAAATCGTATCTAGAAGGGCGAGCCCTTCATTTCAAATACAATCACGCTCGCTTTCTCTACCAGGTTGCCATATTCTGACCTTAAGTGGAGGAGAGACAGAATAATCATTGTGTGAATCATGATTCATAGATCTATGTACCAAACCCTGTATCTATAGACAAAAAAATCCATTTCCGAAAGGAATTCATTCCATCATGCTAAGAAAGCCGTCATTTTCGTACGTAGTACATCCACACAGTGCATGCATAGATTCATAAGATCGCTTCATAAGTTCCAACGCCAAAAGGGGATATCGAGAAAAAGAGGCAGAAAACATCAAGACGTAAAGGTAGAGAGCAAAGATGGGAGGGAGGGAGGGAAGGAGATAAGGAGAAGGGGAGAGAAGTTATGCGGCGACAGTTCACATCAACGGAATTTCATTCTCGTCCATGTCACTGACCGAGGTCGCAGGCGAGACTAAGCCGGACATAACAGATGATGTAGGTCCTGCCGCGCTGGGCATGCCGTCCTCAAGTGCGTCGTAGGAAGCGGGACCGGCGTGTGCGCGGGCAGACTTTGTCTGCGCCATGAGTTCATCAATGTTGGGCTTTGGCGGGACGTGCTTGTCCAGGGCAAACGAGTTATCCAGGCTCTCGAGCGCGAAACTCATGAACTCAGCGTTCTTGTGACTGACGCTCAGGGTCCAGCGGTACTCGCAGAGACGGACACGGTAGAATTCCGCCTCTTCGTTCGTGGGAGCAGTCACGCGGAGGAGCATACCGAAGGAGCCGATGAGGGAGAAGTTCGTGCGCGAGCATGCAGGCCAAAAAGAGCGCAGGTGGGCGGGGCGGAGGCGGTTGACGAAATCCATGGCGGAGATCAAGCGGGTCTTCGCCGCAGAGCGGCAAATGTGGGCGAGGTAAGAGTCCGTGCCTTCGGTGGTGAGGGAGCGGACGATGCAGCGGTGGAGGGTGATTTCAGTGGCAAAATAGGCGAGGTGGAGGGCACCGTTGCGGGCGTGCTCGTCGGTGATGGTTTCGACTAGCTCGCCGGTCGATGTCTCCATCTTCAACGATGCAGGGAGGGAGGAGAACCATTCTTTGAGTCGGATCTGCGCAGGCTTGGCCTTGTCCAGGATTATGCGGGTTCGCTGGTTGCCGGCAGCGTTAAAGTCTTCGATGGACTGGAGAGTGTAGAAGCGATCAAGAATATCGGAGAGAATGGTGGTGAGGGCGACCATGTGGCAGAAGAGGAGAGGCCCGTGACCGACAGCGGCTTCGTCGTGGGCAGAGTCGGTGCCGGACGCAAAGGCGTCTGTGAAATCCTGTTCTACGAGATCCTTGACAGTCCAGTTGGTTGCGAAGATCTGCGATGGCCGCCCATGAACGAGCGAGGACCACTTGTCCTGTCGATACAACGCCCAAGCAAGCCGTTTTCGGAGGCCCTTCTCCCAATCCTTCATACGCCAGTTCGAGCAATCCTGGTGCAAACCCAACTCGAATCCAGCAGTGACCAGCTGGCCATTGAGAGAAGCCGTAGCCAATGTCGACTTCTGGGTGAGCAGCAATCCCGCTTGAATCGTAGATATACTAGGGAAAGGAAGAGACTCCAGCAACAGTTTCAACGCAGTACTCTCCAGTCTCGCAGCATCCGGTCGGCGAGCAGTCTGCGAAGAAGTACCGACATCCACGAATTTCAGCGTCAATACATACACCGCGGCAAGAAGCAACGGTGATAATTGACGGCGTTCCCGGTACGATTGACGGAAGGCATCTTCCATCAAGATCGGGAACGAGGGGTGCACATGCTCGAAAAACTTTTCAATCAACGTAGCACCGTACGGAGCAACCAGGCCCTCGATCACATCGAGTGACACGGCCTGCGAGTCCCCGATAGGAACAGTGTTGACGACCCTCATGTAGGTATAGTCGTCGTCAGCGCACCTTCGGATACGAGCTGCGGAGAAAGTGCACTCGTCAAATTCGTCCAAGGGTAAATATTCCAGCAGGGCAGGTTCGAGCTCCGTGGTCATGCCAATGTGCTGTGTGGTCTGGTTGAAGAACCCGGGACGGATCATAGCATGACTTTGCTTTGGAGAAAGGATCTCTTCCTCAGGCGCTGATTGTGCTGACTGGACGGTGGATGGCCTGGTACATTTGATGAGTATGTTGAATGGGTCAACTGATGCAGGGAATATGGAGCATACCGTTTGACCGATTCCAGGTCCGCGGCAGAGTCGTCTAACTTCCTCTTTTAGAGGGGGCGTCCCCGGCCGTCAAGGTGAAGGTGCAATCTTGACGGTGGAAATCGCAGGAGTAGCACTTGTTAACCATTTCATTCATTGCGCAACGGCTTTTTCTACGGAGGCAGGCGTCGCAGCTCGCTCCATCCCGGAATGGGAAACGTTGAATGTTGGAATGGACCGACAAGGGGGACGAGGTCAAGTTTGTTGCCGACCCTGTCCGGCGGTGGAAGGCTGAAGGTGAATGATGAGGTTGAGTATAGGCCGGGGAGGTTGCAGTACCCGCGGAAGAGGGCTGGATCGTGATAGCGGTAGCCATCATGCGAGCGGCCCAGATAAAGCAGGTAGCTAACAAGGATTATGCAGCACGATGTCACTCTACTCCTTCGCAGATAGGGCAAGGACGTGATCGGAGATAGAGGATTGATAGCTTGAAAGTTCACGTAAAAAGGGCCCAGGATGTTCTGAGACTCTGGGGCTCCACGACACTAACTCCGCAAAGAATCGGGTCTGGGGCTGGATTTCCAAGAATGTAGTTTTTTTCCTTTAAAGATTTATCTTTAATCTGACTACGTTGAATACAATGGTTAGCTGTCATTCGACGAGGCAGGAGGGTGAGATAAGAGGGGAGAACGCACGATATCAGAGCTTATCAGAGCCTAGAAAAAACGGTGCGTTATCTCCGATGATCAATCAGCCAAGCAGGATCTTTAGATGTATTTACGGAGAGCACGCGAGAGATTGCACAAGGATTAGGTGACGGGTGGTTCGCTCCGTCATCCCTGGGGAATCCTGTGAATTGCGTTCGAGTGCTGAATCCAAGGAATAAGTTTGAACGAAAGAGAAAAAGAGAGGAAGGGGGGGGAAGTAAGACTACATGATGACATCGATATAGATTGGATTGGTATGGACGAGCCCGGGGACGACCAGATGATCGCCTTTTTGCTCTCGTAACAGAATTGGCAGAATTACCAGATGCGATGCCAATTATGGCTTTGAAATTGTCAAACCAGATAACATCTGCGTCGCTCATTGGGCCGGTCGGACGAGCCTCCATCCTTATTACGTACAAATGAATCCTCAGGGCCCCCGCCTTAGTCATGATTTCCATCGGGATAGAGAGGCGCTGGGAAAGACAAAAAAAAAAACGAGATGAACCCTCATGCAAGATAGAGGGCGGACTGAGGTCTGAAAAAAAAACAAGATGAGACAGTGTGGGGGAAACTTCCCCGGATGAGTACGCAATCGATCTTGGATCATGCTCATAAGGGGCAAATGGTCAAACACTCCACGGAGCACAAAAGTCCTAGATCCCCACAGCCAATCAGCGGCCAGTGATAACGGCCTCAGCAGCAACCAATCACGGTACTCTGATCAGCGTGGGGATGCAGGAAACGTGATTTAAACGGGGAACAATTTTAGGTGAGTTAAACCAGCCGCGCCCCACACACGGAGAAGGCGACGCAATCCCCGGCATGTGAGGACTTGCCTATTGCCTAATAGCAGCTTCGCTCTGGGTGGCCGCCCAATTCTCATGTAATAGTAAGGGTCCTCGACCTCGGAACCCAATAACACACCGCTTATAGTACAAAGGGTAAACCCGGGTTTTCACTCCGGCCTATACTGGTTTCTAAACTGCGCGTCCATTTGTCATAGAATTTCCTCTCGCCCGACAGGTCATTTAGCAGTTGCCATTTAGCAGACATAAGGTGGGACCGGCTCAATATCTGAACTGCTTGCTCGACTGCTTATTCAATCCCCAGTGTCGTATAATCATCTCCCAACGCCATGCTTCCGAAAATGTAAAATCAAAGGGAGAGAAAAAAAAAAGAGAAAAAGCCCAATGAGCCAGATGCAGTGCACTTCTTAGAAAAGGCACATGCATGAGCCATGCTAGTATGTCCGTATGCGATTTACTGAGCGAAGTTGCGCAGCTTGGTCAACTCGTCCAGCAACTCTTGCAGGGCTTCATCGGAAATCTTGTTCTGGAGGCTGGGGATGAGGGACTTGGCCTCCTCGGAATTGTCGCAGCACAGACTGCCTAGAAAAGAGAAGATGCGTCGTTAATATATTATCCTGTCGAGGGTCTCGTGCCGAGGTTGACGCCTGACTCGGCGTAATGTACATGGGGGAACCAAGCTTACCCAACTGTGAGCGCTCGAACATCTCCAGTTCAGTGTGCGAACTCAAAAGGCGCTCGACAGCCTTGATGTTCTCCTCATTCTGAAAGCGCGCGAAGGTATCGAGGTAGTTCAGTGTCTTACGGAGGTTCCTGGCGCGCCACGCGGTTAGTATAATCTCAGCTCCAAGCTCCAGCGCGTTGGCCTGCGGAATCAGGTGTGTAACTTACTCAGACTCCTCATACTCCCGCCCGTCGCGACGCTTGTTGGCGAGCACTTTGTGGATGACCAGACGGGCCTCAGAGTTGGATAAGGTGTGGGTATTCTGGTCCCCGCCTAGCTTGAGGACCGCACCAGCCTCAAGCTCGCCCTGAGTAACGGTGCGCGGGCGCGAGGTCGAGGGGGGAAGTTGCGGGGGTTGAATGCTCATTTTGTCGTCGTTCCAGTGCGTGTTTGGCTCGACAGAGGCTGGGCAAAAGATTGGAGATCCTGGTGTTCGCGGTCAAGAAATTTACGGGTGGGCAGTCTCTGGAACCAATCAAGGATATATAGAATTATTAATAGCCTGTTCCGGATCAGCGTTTGCATGATCAAGAGCCGCCGGTGAAGCTTTCGTAGGATCTTCTGCTGGCCAAAAAAGGGCGGTGAAATACTCACCGCTTTTCCATAAGGAAGCAACGAGGCTCTCAGATTGGGACGAGCATGAACAAACAACTGGTGGATACTTATGGGACCTCGAGGGACTCGACAGCTGACATGCCGTCCAGAAAAAGGCATCACAGTGAATAGCGGAGACCTCTTATGCCAAGAATCAGTTTTGACAGTCGTCCCTGGGAATGCTCCCATGCTATGCTTCCAGGATATAACGTTACATCAATTCTCTCGCTAACCTATAGGAAGCCTTTATTACAATACTCACAAGGTTTCTAACTAACTGAGAACCTATCCGTGGATGCTTGAACATGTGTCTTTGGCTATAGAGTAGGGTATCGAATTTGCTTTTGTCTACTTATGCTTCTCCAAACGCCTCCAATGCGACTGAACACTGTATCTACACCTTCCGGAAAGCAACGTCTGCCGGCAGCCGGAAGCTTGCACAGAACATCTGCTTATTGGGGCTGACAAGCCGCACATTGTGGATTGCCAACTCAACGTCTGGGTTGCCACTGCCTCCAACTCGGTCCTCGGTGGTGATCGTATACCCGATGCGTTCAGAGACGCGCTGGCAGACATCGATGTGATCATCCAACTCATTCTCCGAGTGGCCAGAGAAACAGTAGACATGAACCATAGGCAATTTTCGAGAGGTATGAGGGGCAAACAAAGACTCCTTGCCGGCATAGAGGCCTTGGAAGGCGTCAAGGAACTCAATAGCAGTGGCAGGCAGATTCATGACATAGTGGTCAACAAAGGATGGCCGGTCATAAACCTGAGGCGGAGGCTTTGGGTGTTCGTCCTTGCCCTCTGCATTTGCCTTCGATCTGCGAATCTTGGGCTGGATCTTCACCGTCACTGGGTCAGACTCGAGCAGAGACTTAGCTGAGAACTTGATAAATTCACGCCCGTCCATATTGAATGGGGTGACGAAATCTTTGACCTTGTTTCGGACAATTGCATCCTGCATGACCTCATAGCCGTGGGGGTTGAGATCGTTGGCCCAAACGAAGATCCTCTTGCGTCCAGCGGGGACCGCAAAGGGTCCGACCCCGGCCATCACGTCGCAGACCATCTGACCCGGCTGGAATTTCTCCACTAGACGGCGGTGCTCGGTCTCCAAGCGGCTGTTCCAGTACACGCGAGCGTAGTCGAAGCGGAACTCGCAATCCTGCTCGTGCTGGATAACATTCAGGTCGCTGTCGCCAGCCAGCAATTCGAAGGGAAAGGTGCGGAATTGACTCTGTGAGCCGACATCTTCGATTTTGTTAATGACAGTGCGCACGGCGCTGTTTTTGTCTTTGATGACTTCGGCAATCAAGTGCTTATACGGTAGATATTGGTCTCGGAGATTGAGGTGTGCTGCGCTAGTTAGTACCGAGTGTCACGATGTTGGGCAGAAACCTACCTACGTGCCCCACCAACGTGAAGCCCTGAGGGATCTCTTGCATTTGGTCTTCCGGGAGAATAGCATTCATGATCTCAGCTAGACAGAGGTTAGCAACTTCCTTAGAAAAGAAAAAAAATAAAAAAATAAAACAATAAAAAGCGAGAAATGCATAGCGCGTCCAAAAGGGTGAACCCATACCATAAGTCCAATAATCATATTCCAAAGTCAATTCAAAAGGCCCAACAGAGACGGATCCCTTCTCCACAAGCTTGCTCACAGTAGGCGACCACGTAGATTTATCTATGCGCCCGCATCAGCCTCGTCTCTCGCGCAAGTCCAGCTACCAACATACCATCGTGCTTCAACCCCTCCCTTAGTAAGAGTGCTTTGCGCATAACACCTTCCTCATCCTTCACATCACGTATTATATTCATTCGAGGGAGATTGAGGAGATCAGAGGAATTCGACAGTGCCTGGCGGATCTTCGAGATTTCGGAGTTCTTGAAGACCCTCGCGGCGGCGATCGGCGACGATCTGCGGAAAAACGATCGGTCGAGGGTGCGCATTGCGCGATTAACAGGCGGGCGGAACATGGTGGAGGTGGCCTGTTGGGGCGCTTCTTTGCTTGACTCCATTGAAAAGGAGATTGGCCTGAGGAGTTTACGAGGGCGCTTGGACTGGGGAGAATTTATCGATAGCGGAATTTATTTCTTATCGCTCACGCAAGCGACCCTGACCGCCTTCGTATAGATCGGCCCTTGACCCTTCACTGAAGGAGATGCGAGTACGAGAACTTCGAATCATGGAAGTATATGGCAGGTTTACCTACTTTGATCACCTATCTATGGGCCTCGACCAGTGTCCCGAGGTCATTGTCTTCGCGCTGAGTCATATCCAGAAACTGTAGAATGTTTGAACCTGAGCATGAAGAGACTTCAATCGTGACATCGTTACCATTATTAACTCGCTATTATAGGGAGATCCTGGGGTTGGATAAAAATACAGCCTCAGATAAAAGGAAAAGCTCGATGCAAACCGAATGACCCGAAACTGGAGAAAGTAAGAGAAACTTCAAGGAATTTTATTCGCCATATTCCGGAGTTCAACCTGCGCCTTCAAGTTAGTGTTGCGCTCCTTCAATTTAACAATTTCTTCATCCTTCTTCTTGATTGCGGTCCGTAATATGTCACGGCTGCGAATAATGCCCTGGTTCTTCTTATTTTCACGGTTCACTAACTCGATAATCTCATCCCGCGCATTGTTGGGTATTACAACGTCGAGGCGGTCCAGGATGCTCATGATATGTTGAGACAGGCTGCACGAATCTGCGCGTGAATCCGAGCTGAGCACGTCGCGATATTTTGTTGGTGTAGGCGTCATGCAAACCTCCGCCGAGGCAGGAGGAAAGCGAGATGAAAAGCTTGCAGGTGGTGATTCTGAAGCCGTGTCTGCGATCATTGAGGAACGCCCAGATGGCAAATCTGCGAATTTGCGCTTGCCTGGGGAAGAAGTCTTCGGCGTTCGTGGGACTTTCGTCGGCGACTCTGGGTGGAAGTTGGGTTGCGACATGAACGAATTGTTTTCGGTCATAATGGAAGTCGCTTCGACATATTCTTCATTATCGGAGTCATCCCAACCGAACTCGTCGGTGTCTTCGGCCATCATTCGTGCCTTGGCACTCGTGGGTGGTGTCTTGAATTGAGTTATCTTGAGCTGAGTGCGGGGTGTTGTGTCAAGTGCCTTGCGCTCTGTATGGGGCCTCTCAGTTTGAGGGGTAAGAAGACCGATATTTGAAAACTCGTCATTTGGCTTCGTCGGGGTTTGTAATATAGGGTCGAGCTCTGATCTGTTATTCGCGAGAATGACGGCTTTGGCCCGGATCTGGGCATCGTCGTCCCACAGGAAGAAGCCACATTTAGGCTGTTTCTGGCAGGTGTAGACTGATCGGGCATCTGTCAGTTGGTGCGCTCCGTTTCTGTGCTTTTCCAATGTAACTTACACCATCTTCCGTGGTTTTTGCCAACCTTCTTCACCTGGAATCGGACGGCTTGCGGGCGATCGGCGCAGTTGCAACACCAGACACCCTCCTTGTAGAGTCCGTTAAGTCTTTTGATAGTGCGCGGCGAGCGAGGAGTGCCGGGCACACTCGATACTGTCCTGGTAGGCGAAGCCATCATGCTGTCGAGTCCAACGGCCCGAAGTTGAAGATGCTAGAACAGCAAAGAGACTGAGGAAGCATTTTGTTGCCCGGGGAGACTCTTATCGCTTATCGCCCCCGCACTGGAACGTCCACTTTTAAACGTGATCCACATTCCCCGGGATACAACTTCCTGGCCAGAGTGAAAGAAATTGTAGGGCTGGCCGACTTATATGCATAGTACGGTAAGCATATTCCCTCTTGTATATAATTTATAACCTTGCCCAAGTTCAACAGAACATATCTCCCTACACCATCCATGTCAGACGCAATGGCGTCATTGGGGAGCTCCAAACGCCACCTTCGAGTCCAAGCCTCAACCCCACGCTCTGGATATAACATCCATAAATCTCCTTACTAGTACACAATTACCTGCCATCCCAGAATACCCTACCCATGATCCGACCGAAACTCCCGTCCATCCCACCATGGACTCTTCTCCCCACCTCTCCTCCCTCCCCCCTGAACTCCTTGTCCACATCTCCTGCTTCCTCCAGCCCGCCGACCTAAACACCCTCACCCGCACAAACAGCTCCTTCCACGCCCTCCTCAACCACACCCTCTACCGCCAAAATGCCGTCGCTAACAACAGTACCGCGCTCTTCTGGGCCGCAACCCACAACAACCCCCGCACAGCCCTCGCCAGTCTAGCCGCCCATGCCGACATCCACCACCGCATCGACGCCGACGCAACCCTAAAAGGCTGCACCCCGCTCCTCCTCGCCGCCTACCACAACCACCCCGCCATCCTCTCCCTGCTCCTCTCCCCGACCGACGCAAACCCCAATGCCCGCGACAGAGTCTACCTGCGCTCCCCGCTCGCCTGGGCCGTGAAAGCCAACCACGAGCGCATCGTCCGCATCCTCCTCCGCGACGACCGCACAGACGTCAACCTGCCCGACCGCAACGGCGACACCCCGCTCATGACCGCCGCCATCACCAAGAACTGGGACCTGATGTCCGCACTGCTGCTGAGCGGGCGCGCGAACCCGCGGCTGGCGAATAAGCGGGGCGCGACGGCGCTTGCGTGTGCAGCGCGGGACGGCGACGGCGACGAGCATGTGGAGCTGTTGCTTGCGGCGCACCTCCGGCTGATCCTGGACGGGGACGACGGGGCGGAGCACTGCCAGGCGGTGTTCTTCAATGCGGCGATCACGGGGCGGACGGAGATCGTGGGGTATCTGGTTCGGTATTTTGGGGAGCGGCTGGATCCGAATGGGGGGCGCGGGGGGTATGGGCGTGGGGTATTCTCGATTGCGGCGGAGCGAGAGCAGATTGGGGTTGTCAGGGAATTGTTGGGTGGGAGAGGACGGATCCGAATATTCGGGATAATTGGCAGCATCAGACACCGCTGTTTGTGGCGGCGGCGAGGGGCCGCGGGGAGGTGCTGAGTGTGTTGCTGGAGAGTGAGCGGGTGGATTTGGAGCTAGCGGATGTGCATGGGACGACGCCGTTGGCGGAGGCGGTTAGTCAATGTCGTGTGGAGGCTGTGAGGAAGCTTGTAAGTGGACGCAGGAAGGCGAATCCGAATGTTACAGATGATAATGGGGATACGCCGCTGCTTCGGGCTACGTTGTTGGGGCAGCTGGAGCTCGTGGATGCGCTGCTTCAGGCGGATGGCATTGATCCGCGTCTACGGGGTGGAGATGGGAGAACGGCGATGGACGTTGCGGTTGATTCTGGATACCCATGCATAGCGGCGCGATTGAAGGAGTTCTTAGCTCATTCTTCTTGAATCTAACCATCTATCTCTTAAGAACGAAAACGATACGCCGGATGTTAATGTGTAAATCATGAAAAGCGTTGGGTTTATCATGCTGAGGGAATAGTTGGACGTTGCGTAACCAACACGAGTGTCGGTATAAGCAATTAGTCGGCTAGTACATGGCGCAACATGACCACAAATGGGTCGGTGAGTTTGAGAATCTCGTGCACGTCCGGCTTGACAGGCTCACCGGCAGTGCGGCGGAGTTGGTTCTGCTTTTTGACCCGACGGCGACGCTCAGAGGCAAGAGGATCGTCTAGTTCGTCTTCGTCAGTTCCCTCGTCAGAGGAGTCGGAAGCCTCGTCAGATATAGTAAGGTCTTCTAGATCGGCCTGGGGAATTGTTCGTTAGTTACGACCATTGAAATATGGGACAAATTTGGAAACATACCTCATCCAATCCAAAATCACTGCCCTTGAAGGTAGCGGAGCCGGGCATAGTCTCTCCGGTGCCCTCTGCAGCCATCTTCTGGCGTGTCTTGTTCAAGTGCCATCTCTTTCTATCCTCATGCCACTTTACCAGGGCGTTGATCTCCGCAATAGCGACGTCCTTGTCGATCTGACCAACAGCTGCTGCTCCTTGGAAAAGCGCGTTCATATCTAGCTTACCGCCAGCAGGACCCTTTCGCAAGAAATCGAGGATCTCTTCAATCCACGACATGAGTGACTGGAAGAGACCATTGTCGTGCAAATGAACCTCGTGAACAAATTTGTACAATTTATCTTCATGGCGAGCACAGAGATCAATGAAGGATTGGACGGTCTGGTTAGGGTCAGCCGATGCATCCTGGCGTTGAGCACTTTCAATCACGGCGATAGCATCGTCGGCGAAGTGCGCAAAGTCAGTAATGCTATTGTAGACATTAGCAGACTTGTAGACGCGCACAAGAGGCTCGTAGAAGATAGTGAAGAGGTCACGGAAGAGCTTCAGGGTTGTCGGTTCTTCGACAATGCTGAGCATCATCGCCTTGTCACGTTGCCGAGTGAAGAGCTTGAGCAGCTGTTTCATGTTCGCAAACCATTGGACACCCTCTTGCATTTCAACATCGACATGGTCGACTGGATTGTCAACAGCGTGGTTCCACGCCACCCAACTGTTGACTACCTTGCCAATCTGCTCGGCACTGATCTCGGGCGCGATAAGCTCGGACCGAAGAATGGTGACAATCAAGTCGGTCTCTTCCGCTGCGGACTCCTCTCTGATCTCATTCTTGACCGTTTCATCCGCGTCGACAAAGCTCTTGAGCTTCTCAGTGAGGATAGGGTCGTTGATCTTTGACGACAAGGCATCGATGTTCTTTTGGAAATCCTTGATACTATCATTGAGCGTCAATGAGAACATGCGTTGAAGCAGGGATCGGGAACCGAATGGTTGGGCGAGGAAGAGGTCCAGAACACCTGCCATGACAGCGGCAGGGTTGGCAATACGGATGACATTTTTCATCAGCGTATATGGGACAAGACTGTGGATACGCTTTGCTTGCGCGAAAAGCTCAGGGGAGTTATCTTCGGCCAGGAATAGGTGATAGATTGTTGCAGCAACCCTGGGTAGTGTCAGTATATCGAAACAAGTTTGGGGTTTTGGCGTAGCATACTCGATACGCAGCCATTCTGCAAATTTTTGATATTGCGGGCTCAATTCCTGAATAGTGTTCTTCACTCGAATCTCAGCAAATAGCTTTGTCAATCCATCTGCAAAAGAATCAGTATAGGTCTGAGCGAAGCACATGAAAAGAGATCAACTTACTATCTTCCACAATCTCTCGTCGGAATTTCTCCATGTAAACATCCAACTCAGCTGCACGTTGCCTGGCGATTTCATAGAACCGCTTCTGTTCTTCAATCCGGATAGCATCCATTCCTTTCCGACGCTCCACATCAAGCTGCTCCTCTTCATTTAGCTCAATAGGATTTGCAGTCAAAAAGTCTTCTATAGCCTTAGATTCGGCAATGCGTTTATTCTGGAGAAGAGTCCGCAGGAACGCCCTTAGCGACACTCGTTGTTCTTCCCGATAGAGAACTGTCTCTCGGGATACCTCAGGAGAGCGACTGGGAGACTTCGAATGAGCTGACCGCATCGAGTTCTTCGATGCCGACCTCCGCAAATTGGACTCCGGGACTAGTGTCGAGCCCGAGATTGAGCTTTCGGTAGGTGCACCTTGGGTGGAAACGGAAGAAACTGATGATTTGTCGTCATCTGCGGAACTAAACCAGCTTGATGTCGTCGACGACTTGTTCTTGCGAGGCAGAGCAGGCAGGTGCTTGCCCGGGAACTCAGTGCGCAGTCGTTTATGTAGCTTGACGAAATCGCCGTATCTCCTGCCGACATAGTAACTGTCTCGCGGGGCCCTGTGGACGCGAATCAAGAATTCCTAGAATCCCTCTAATTAGTATGTGTTTCGCCTAGTGTGCTGTTGAAAAGGGGGACGAACCGCATGGGGGTGGTATCGAACAGTCCGCTTGACCGAAGTAACCCGAACCGCAGCAACATTGACATCCCAGTCGTTGATTGCATTGCCTTCAGGCATATTGACGAGAAGCCCTTTATCGTTGGCTCCCCGCTCCACGATCTCCATCTCTGAGAACTGCAGGCGCTCCTCATAACCGGACGCAGTTGGCACGCCAGAGACCATCATCAACTCCACCAGCTTTTCGCACTTGCGAGCCAACTTTTTCCGCTTTGTCTCCTCCAAACGGTCTTCGGATGACGAGACATGCTTGTTGGCGAAGGATTCGAGGAACTGCAGCCTGAGTTAATACCGTGTCGCTCGCGAGCCGAATGGGATGCACGTACCACCTGCAGTTTATCCTGCCAGAACTCCTTCTCCTTGGCCTGGTCCAGGAAGGGGAAGTTGCGGACATGATGCACGAAGATATAGCGCAGGATCGGAAGCTCCGAATCAACGGGAGCGACTTCTCCAAACTCCGATCGAAAGGGTGCGCCGAATCGCTGTAGGGCTGTGGGAGAGCTGAGTTCGCTAATTTCACCGCGAACTTGGCGGGCGATGAGTTCGCGCTTCAGGTCTACAGGCACAAACAAGATTAGGATCCAGAATAGTTCAACCGTTCGCAGATATGGTCCTCGGAATGTAGCCCGACTCACAGTGTTCTTGCTTGCCCGTCAGGATCTGTCCTGATGGCGGGGCAGACTGGCCAGGTTGTAGCTTAGCTTCACCGCCAGAGATTGCAGGCTCAGCATCCAGCATGACGGCGATCGAGAGTTGACGAGGGGAAAACGATGCGCGCCCGAGTTTAAAGCAGAGCTGAGTAGTGCGTTCAATTTAATTCGTCTGCCTGGCCTTATTGGATGCCGAGAACAACGGCCGACTTGCAGCCGGGGGGTTGCTGCAGCTGACAAGTGATCCTTCCTTCCTGACTGGATATAGAAATTGCGCAGGGCGGAAACTATGCAGGCCCTGAGTCAATGAGTTTCGTGACCCTATAGGGCCCAAAAAAAAGGAGAACGTGAGCGGGGAGGATGTCGTCACTCCGTAACCCGTACCACACACGGTCTCGGTCCGGTTGCCCATATTTAGGTTCAGGGCCCGGGTTCCCACTCGCCCCATAAGGCAATGCCTACACATAATCGTTGGACCCTTTGCCCAGGTGCTCACGTCGGTTCTAATAATATTGCCAACAGACTGCATGCATGCCACGTGATACGCCGCTGATGTAGGTCAAGTAATGGAGACCAGGCAGCACAGTTGCCACACTAAATCAGCCTTGGCGGCTTATTGGCGAATACTATCCAAACAGGATTAATGCATTGCATTTCTGATTGAGGTCGGGTTCTGAAACCATAGATCATGCGCTAGTCTGAGCAAGAATAGCGTAGTAGCTAATACGCAAGCCTGAAGGACGAGGACATGTTCAAAAGATACGCTAGTCATACCGAAGACTGGTATATGATGCGAGCAAAAGATCGGCTGATGAATGCAAGATCAACTCCGTACGTGCGAGATACTCGAGGCTTTATGCTACGTAGAATACACGAGAAGAAACTGGAGCTTTGGTGTCGAGGCAATAACTTAGTCGCAGCGTGATATTGTAGGAACTATACTACTCAAAGACATGGAGCAAAGGAAACCAAAAAAAAAAAAAAGTCAAACCAAATGTCGCTGCCGAACTTCCTCCAGACTCGAATGTATGATCAATCAGACTTTAATATGAGACATATTCCATTTCAATGATTTCCAGAATCAAAGCCACGCGTAAGAATGCGGGAGGAACGAAATTCATCACCATCGCTTGGTTCATTAATTAGGAGAGGGAATGGTTTTGTAACAACTTCCTTACATGAACTTGAGTTCCATGTCGGAAGGGAGATAAGATTCAGAACCGCCATTTTGGGGGTGCTGCTCAGGCCAAGTCTGCAGACCCTGCTCGGCCAAAGGAGGGAACATGGTCTGAGACTGGCGGTACTGGGCCGCCTGGTTGCGGTTGACTGATGCGACGTTTCGCATCTGCATAGCAGGCTGCTCATAAAGCGTGAAGTCATTGCCGCTGGGAGCGTGAACACCGTAATCATACTGATCAGCGCTCGATTCAGGGGAGTAGAGCATCAAGTTTCCTTGGGCTCCAGGGGAGAGGCCAGGCAGGTTGCCCGCACCACCCATTGGCATTTGAGGCAGTCCCATGGCAAGGCCTTTCTGCATGTGAGACTCGACGGGCTCAGGGGTTGGCAGCTGCATGTGCAACGCAGTGTAGTTGTCCGACATGGACGTCATGTCACCGCCAAGCTGGCTCCACTCGAAATCAAAGTTCAGGCTGTTGTTGTCGGCGGTTTCCAGAGGCGAGCCTTCGTAGGACATGCCCATGAGCTCAGGGACAGAGTCGGCGGACGGAACGGACATCGGGTTCATGGATTCCCGGTGAAGCTCCAGTTCGGGGATGAGTCCGTTGGGGTCGCCGGCCTCAAACTGGGCTTGGAACGAATCCAAGTTGAAGGATGTCGGGAAGCTGTAGTCGCTGCTCATGCCACCCGTAGAGTTTTGGTAGGGCGAATTGTCGAAGAATCCGGAGTACTCATCACCGTGAGCAGGAGCCGGCGGGTCGTTGAAATTAAACTGGGTTTCGGGGAAGAGAGACGGAAGGGGAGAGGGGCTGGGTCCGCTAACGGGGGTAGGGAAATCGGCAGACTTGGAAGCGGGGGTTGAGACACTTGGCGTACGCGAAGCCTGGATAGAAGAACCGCGTTTGCTTCCACCACGGGCATTGTTCTTGGATCGAATGTAAACCCAGCCGTGAGCCTTCTCCATGTGTTGCTTGCAGTTGGATTCTCGCTTGGAGGCGTAGGTGCAAGGCTTGAAGTTGCACTTGTACAATGCCGGAGTTTCCGAGTGCTTGTCGTTGACATGACGATCACGTTCTTTCTCAGTAGGCCATCCGAGTTGAAAATATTTGCAAGATGGCTCCGAGCACTTCCAGGGACGAGAATGGGTCTTTTCGTGCTTTGTCAGATCGCAAGGGCGCTTGAAGACCTTGTCGCAGTGAGCACATTTTTGGTTAATGTCCATAGGAGGAGCGTTCTTCTTGCGGCGTGCCATGGAACGTTGAACACCCTCGTCGACGTGCTCATTGAAGCTGATAGCGCGTTTGAACGTGCTTGGAGTTTGCTGAGGCTCGTAGGGAAGACCAGTGCGCATGGAGATGGGCTTGCCATCCTGGACGATAACCAATTCAAGAGGCTTTCCAGTCTGCGCAAGGCCACCTTCCAGAGTAGCAGTTGGCACACTGACCTCAGGCTTGTCAGCTTTCTCACTCGTCTCGCCCGTCTCGCCCTTCTTCTCCTGGGCCTCTTGGGTGGCCTGCACCCTTTCGCGAGAAGCCTGAATCATAGCTGCGTATCGTCGGACCTGAGCCACGAGGTCAAGGAAGTAACCGTTAGTGTAAGGGCGATCGGCAGGTAGGCGTTGATCCCGATCGTTCAGGTGAGAAGTCGAAGTGTGCAGGCACTGAATAGTAAACTCCGAGAAATGCAGATAGGAAGCTCGCGAGGTCGAGAACTTCTGTGGTAGAAGAAACCTTTTATGAGTACCAAAAGCCTTGACGCCAAACCCCAGAACTCCAAGTGAATGACAAGACTTACCGGTGCGAGCCAGAGAAGGGTCTTTTCAAGATCTCGAAGGCAGACGATCTGCTTCTTCACTATCCGGCGCGGGACAGTTCGGACGAGAGGATGGAATGGTTTGAGTTTCTCTTCGTTAAGAATGGGAACTATGATGTGCCGCTCGATCTGCTTGCAGGCTGCAATGTCCAGCTGGCGCCTGGGCCCCGCGTTCTCTCCGAGGGAAGGAAGCTGGAGTTTTGCGTTTGCAGTGTCTACTGTGTGGTAATACTTTAGTATGGACAATAAACGAGTAGTCTGGATTGGACGTGACGGATTCCTTCACGACAAAGCCATTCACAGCGTATCACGGTATAGACGGGCGGGGCGTGAATTGCCCTGCTGCCGCCCGCCCGAGGAGAGGATAAGGAAGCGGACTACTAACCTTTGGGGCTTGAGATATCGTCTCTGCTACCGACCGAGGTTCCCAGGCCGCTGTCAGATTCGTGACCATGGTCCTCTTCTTGCACTTGCTTGTCTGAGAAGTGCATGCCGTCCGCCTCAAAAGAAGAGCGATGGTCTTTGGACGTAGAGTCTGGTTCATCATAAGCATACAAGAACATCATCTAGGGTGTTGGCAAACTGACCAGCTTCCTCGTCACTGGCATCCAGTGTCAGCCGACTGAGAATCGAGGTCATACGCTCCTCAGTGGCAGTTAGGGCCTCCAAACAGGTTGGGGAACGGCGAGGCAAAGATCGAACATCCAAGACAGGATCTTGACTTTTGGCAGGAGACGTTGGAGTATGGAAAGTCTCTCCCTTCTTCAAGGGCATCTTGGAAGTAGGAGACTCGGTCACCAGGGATGGGAGGGCTGTGTTTAAGATGGGTTGGCGGCGAGGGTGCACCCGGGCGGTTTCAACTTGCTGGGTGGACGACATGATAGGCCGTTCTGCGGGTCGCAATTCGTATTAACGCACTAGCTCTCGAATGAACTATCCTGAAGGCAGCTATTGGTTGAGCTGTATATGACTCACAGATCCTGGACGAACAACACGAAATCGAGTCACCGGATGTTCTGGAACGTGCGAATCCCGAACCCAAACGCCTATACTGGATAGACAGAATGGGTATATATATGATTAGGCGCCCGTCTCGTCTCGTCTGAGCACACTACTCAAGCTATGGATTCTATAGTGGAACCAGCGATGGTGCTGCCTTGGGATCGACGATGATCAAAGATCAGACCGATGGACTGGAAAGCAAGAAATTAGTTCAGCGCCATGGAAAAGGGGGACCTAGGGCAATAAAAGAACATTTTCGCATTGAGGTAGATGCTCAACTTACAAGACAAGCAGTGCGAATGGAAAAGTCAACGGATAACGGATGAAGGACAAAAGATAAAAGATTGGGGAAACTTGGAGGGCATGGAAGGAGGAGGGATGACGGTACTCCAGTGTCTGCCTGATAGACGAATCCACTATTCTCAAAGTGGCTTAGCGGGCGAAGGCTGAGCAGTTTTTGCCCAACGTGATTGGCTGGATTTTCATTACCCCCTCCTCCAATTACCCTTTGTTACGGGGCTCAGCCTTAGAACCCACAGATCATTATGCGGGAACTCTTTGCTCCGACGGTAATTGATGTAATGTTACGGTAACGGCCCCGATCGGCGTTCATTTTTGGAAACATTACAGCGGTGCGGCTCAATCAAGTCACGCGGAAATCCGACTGCCTGAAAATCACGCTTCTTAGGGGATGCATGCTGAGGTTCTTGCTGAATACCTTGTCCAAGCAAATGGCAAGAGTCCGGCAGGTTACTTTGCTCTCAATTCGAGACATTAGATGTGTTCTACCTCCTGCTATGTTTCGTCCCCAAATGAGTTGAAACATTCGAGCAGGAAGCCACGGCCAGGCCATGCTCGAATGAGATCCGCAGGGATCGGAAGATCGGGTCGATTTCTTTCCCCCGTTGGGCTCCACATCAAGAGCCTCCCGGGCGGATCGGCTTCATGGTTTCTCGTCTGCCTGATCCCTACGGCTCAAGCAATTGCCAAGTGGCCTCTGCTCTCACCTCGTAATTGACTGGCTTTCCCTTGACCTGCAGCGGAAAATCGGTACGTGTATCTAGGCCCCGTGGCAATTGAGTTGAAGCCACATGCTGGTACATCTCGGTATTGGTCGTAACAGTTGCCCTGAAATCCCGGCCGTACCAGACCTGCAAAAACAACGCAGCCTCCGTATCAGGCCATGTCCGCGTCATCTGAGGTAAAAAATTTGCGCGAGACAATTCCCTTCTGAGATCCGGAAAGGAAGCTTATGCATATCAGCCTACTAACTAGTGCTGATGGGGGAGGGGGGGGGGGTGCTTACTCAAGATAATTGGTTTCTTATCCCACACTGATGAAGTCTACGGCATCTCGGTTTGAAGGTCTCACTCGCCATTGATACTGGTTCCCCGATAAAGCACCTAAAGCGATAATTCCCGTGGAAGTACCGAGACGTACCGAAATTTTGAATAGAATTGGTTAAGTGGACATGGAAGTTCGCTTTTTTTTTTTATTGGGGAACTCATAATTCAGAGGACATCATACTATGTAAACCTCGCTCAGGAAGTCTTGTCCAACAAAGTTGGCGAACAGGCAACTATAAACCACACGAGAGGACGAGGGTCATACGAGTGGACAGCCTTCCTCGTATAAGCTTACGGTGAGACGAGCCCTCGGCGAATTTGAACTGAGCATATCGAAGTAGAAAAGTCGAAGCCTAGACCTATTGCGTATTTCTCGTGGCATGCCCTTCGGGTTTCCTCCACCCCACAGTAATGCAGGCACCCTGATTACCTCCGCGCCTGATCTCTAAATCAGTGTTACCAAGTCATTGGATTACGCCTAGTCCCATACGGCTACCCAACTGCCCCACCAACCCATCTTATCCCCCACTGCATACATCTAGGTACTCCAAGCCCATATCCCCACAATATAGCGTCATGGAAGCCTCCTTCTCCTGGGAAACAGGTGAGCGCTACTGCCAAGTCCCACTGAAAGGAACTCCAGGCACACCACCATTGCAGATCGGAGTGTCCGTGTCCGGCCCAGACCGTATCCGGGCACACCAGTCGTCATACTCATCCTGGGCATGGGATCTACGCGATCAGAATGGAATCCTGTTCGCCGCCGTCTTGCACGCACCACCCGTCTCGTCAGCTACGATCGCTGCGGCCTGGGCATATCGGATCCGTCGCCAGACGCACGAACCGCTGCCAATATGGCGCGCGAGCTGAAGGACGTGCTCGGCAGCGTCAACATCAGCCCGCCGTACGTAATCTTGTGTCACTCATTCGGGGGCATCATTGCGCGAGAATTCGCGGAGCTCCTTCACGACGAACACAGATCTGATGTGGTGGGGATGGTCTTTGTGGAGGCCAATCAAGAGAAGAGTATAGCTCTGTGGCCAGAGTACAATCTGATTGATATGGCTAAAGGGCTGGATTGGTTTAAGGAGATGGGTCTTCATCAGGCTGGTATTTTGACGGACGAGGATTGGAAGGGCGTGCAAGATGAAAACGAGAATGAACTCCATGGGCAGACGGTCCAACGGGAGATGGAAAACTACGCAAGGAGCTGTGAGACTTTAGGAATCAAGAACCAGCTAGTCCGCAGTCCCCCTGTGTTGCGGGATTGCCCCGTCAGTGTCGTGAAGGGCTATCCTGAATTGGAACTGCGCAAAGTTTTCAACGCAGCTGTAAGGCTCGGTAGGGGCTCGGATGAACAGAAGAAGTTAGTTGAGGAGAAGCTGGCGATTTACCCCTCCTTAAACGACCAATTCCAACGTGAAACCCTCAAGTTATCCACGAAGGGTCGGTTTCGGGACGCAATTGGGTGCGGACATTCAATCCACATGGTTCGCCCTGACATTATCACTGAAGAGGTGGAATGGGTCTTGGAACAAGCGAGGTCAGATCAGTTTGAATCGTGAGACAGATTGAAACTTGACGAAATTGATCCTGAGCGTGACATATACACTACTAGCATGGTAATGAGTCCACCATATAATTTCGCTTGACTGGAATGTACAGAAGATCATGGGTTATCCTCATAGAGTGGCCCACCACGCCGTCTCCGCAGCGGCTTCGCTGATCAGGCTTCATCATCGCCGCAGAAGTTAGTCAACTAAATTTGAGTCCTTCCGGGAACGGGCTTAAGCTTCCTTCCCTTGGAGGCCCCTTGAGATTCTCCTGTGTAAAAGAAAGCAAATGCATCTTAAGATTCTGTTAGTCCATTTGAGTTCCTGCGGTCTACCTAGGTAATTTGACATAATCTTGTGTTATCCACTTTGTTACGTCTGTCGCGCAACATTCTGGACTAGGGTCACTACCATGGTTCGCCCGCGTTTAAGTATCGGGTGAAAATCCTAGGAAAAGCCTGTAGGTAGCATCGCACGATCATCAGTGAAGACCTTTTGTCTAAAGGTTGCTTAAAACTGCCGTCGGATTGTGGTCTGCTATCACCGCCCCTTTTACTGGCAAGATGGAGGGCTGCAGCATTTGGACGTGTTGCACTCTCCATTGTACGAGGAGTCTTTGACAGGATCTATGTAGACCAGATCAAGTAAGAAGCTAAATCCTCCAGCGAAAGCGGCCTTGTAACACCGTCCCTTTCCAAGGCATAGACATCTACCTCCACTCAAGTTTGACTAATCTCTCCCAGATATGGGTAACCCCCTCAAATTCCCTGGCTGGAATACGAGCTATTTATGAGACAGCAAGGCGTTCTGCCTGATTTTGTCGACTCAATGGAGCGAACGGCCTCTGGAGGGGACACAAGAATGCAGAAAGCGTAATGATTGGCCTCCTCGGTGGCGATTATTGTCTCCCGGCAGTACCATGCGGCTTCAGTCATATCGCAGCGCTCGTAGCGAAGCTGAAAAGCGCGGGACAGAAACCGGGAGTTCTCCTTCTTGACTACAACCTGGCTCCTGCATGCAAGTGGCCTGGGTAACTAGACCAAGCTGTATCAATTTTTTGGTACGCGGTCGAGTTACTCGACAAGGAGCACTTGGACATCATCTTACAGAGCAACTCTGTGGGTGCACATCTTGCGCTTGCAGTGCTGTCTCAACTTGCCCGTCCCCATCTGGACCCCTGCGCTAGGAATTCGGAGAACGTCCACGACGCTTTACGTTTGTGTCCTTGGAGTGGCTCTGACCCCAGCTATGGAAGCTTCGCCAGGAATGCAAATAGAAATGTCTTCACGGTGGGACCTTTGAGTTGGTGGGCGACGTCATTTTTAGGAGATACGCGTGGGGACGAGCCATCCCGCTGCGAAGGCCTCACAAGGTTGGCAAAGAAAACTTACTGTGAATAGAATATTCATCAGTGGCCGGAATAACCAATGGCATACGACGCCTAGTTTAATCAGTCCAATGTTGAGGATAAAATAGCTTTAGGAACAACACGGAAAAGGCGTGCTATAGGGCGGTTTCAACCTGGTTGATTTAGCATGTTACGTTATGTAGTATAATAATACCTAAGTACACACCCCCTCTGAGGGCCCTGACTTCTACACACAAATTCGTGACGCTTATTGAATGATACCTACGATACTACTCACTCACTCTAAAATACCCAGTTTCTTATGGGTATATTGAGTATATATCCTTTCACGGATGACGAGGAACCTTGAAGCTAGTTCAGGAAGTTCATCGAACTGTCGAATAGACGAGATTGCAGCAAAGCCTCGAGCTGAAAAGCAAAGTAAGTTGATTCCATCATTTCAGCGCGAAGTGCTTCGTCTTCGTCTCATCGAATCAAGTCTGCTTGGAACTTTGAATGTTTCCCCATCTGTCTCCCACCTAAACGGAAACACGCTCACAAAACTTGGATATCTTTTGCTTTCCATGTGGCGGTACCTTTGAGGTCATGCTTGTTTCCCTGGACCGGCTCATCCGGCAACTCTAAACAAGATCCATCCTAGATTGCAGCGTATCAGCGGGCCATCGTTTCACGTTTCTGCAGCGGAAGTGATCGACAGGGCCCGATTCTCCCCCCACAGATGGCCACGCACCAATAATTTCGGGGGCCAGAAAGAAGTCCACTCAGTCGCGCCAATTGAAGTCTTCTGGTCTTCAAGGTTCCGACGATCTGCCAATGAGCAGTCGCCCCAGTCTGATCTCTGCCAAGTCTCTGACGGGCGTACTCTGCCTGATCTAGAAACTGGTAGTTCACAATTATCAATGGCCCCCACTCTTCGCAGAAATGGCCTTGGACTTGCCACTTCCAGAAAATCGTCTCCTAGATCGAGATGATTCTATTCGACGGGCTGAGGAGGGTCACATCATGAGTTTGGAGAAGACTGACCCCCTCGTCATCCATCAAACCGGACTCGAAATTGGGGTATAAATTGCCCAAGGGATCCAGGATCTCTGCCAAATCATTAACCTTCTATCCTTTACAAAATGGCATTCCTCAAACCCGCCATGCTAGCAGCGCTAGTCGCCGCTCTCACTGCCAACGCGCAGTCCGTCGACCCAGGCGTTGGCGTAAACCCCAAGGCCCAAGGCGCAACCGAAGACGTCACTAAAACCACCGGACCTAATGGGTATTAACCCCCCTGACAACCTCAATCTCAACCCCCCAGCATCTAACAAGGCCCCAGATCGGAAGACTGGCTCAACACCGGAATCACCGGCGACGGCTGGAACCCGCCATTCCTCGCACTGGATGACATCTACCACGTCTCCCTCGACGATTTCTACGGCAGCATCGGGTCCCCCTGCAAGCAATATGACCAGTACTTCCAGAGCGCAGGCTCGAAGTACGGCGTGGACCCTGTCTTTCTGGCTGTCATCGCGATGCAGGAGTCCTCCTGTAATGCGAGTGCCGGGGGACCCACGCCGGGACTGATGCAGGTATCCTGTGACAACTATCCCAACGGACAGTGCACGGATTCAATCCAGGACAATGTAGATGCGGGCACAAACTATCTCGAGTCGCAGCTGAACTCGACGGGTGGGAATGCCATCGAGGCGTTTGGGTCTTATAATGGGTGGTTCACGGCTGGTAGTGGGCTGAATAACAACCAGGGCCTGACTGAGAGTTACCCTTGCTCTTCGGAGGGTCAGGCGAATGGCGTTCCGCAGAACTTGGACTACCTGCACCAGGTCATGAATGGTTGGTTGATGGGTCTGGATGTGTACGGTGCCCAGAACTGGATTGGTAGCTACCAGTGTGACCAGTCGTGTAGCGATGGAGGCAAGTGTTGAGAGCTTGTGATGTCCGAAGTGAAGGATATGATATCAGCAGTTGATGAATGATTCTACTCTTGTCTCTCTTCCAATTGCGCCATCAAAAGATCTCCGCATTGTTGGCAGGAAGTATATGCGAAGTTCACGGGTGAAGAAAGTAGTCAGCATTGACGTCTAGTCGGGAGGGATCAAATTACTAGTTACTAGTATGAATAGGACGAAGTGTCCCTGCTCATCATTTTAGATCTTTTGATTCCGTTTTACCGTAGTTAATTTCCATGACAACTCTCTGATCGGAACGCCGAGCCCATTCCATAAGCCTAAGAATAAAAGCACAAAAGCAAGCTTCCTAGCCACCGTCGCTCGCTAGATACGTATTAGGTAAAACTGAATCTCGGTTGGTTCGTGCAGAAGGCGGAGGCGCCAAAGACTGCAAAGTTAAGTGTCGCAAATTCTGACCTAGATGTCGATGTCGATATCCAGATCCAGTGCTGCGATGTTCTCATCATCATTTTTCGCGTATGTGATCATGAAGTTGGTCTTGCGTTTGTTCGGAGTGGTGCCGGAGGGAGTTGAAGCCTTGGAAGGGGTGACAGAAGGCTTCTTGGGAGTATCTTCCGCAGGCGTCTCTGTCTTAACTGCCGTTTCCTTGGGCTTGTCTGAGACATCATGGTGAGTCTTGGCAACCGTACGCACACGCATGAAGGGATCAGCAACCGCCTCGCCACGAGCCACGGCTGCGGCAGCCTTTCGAGCGGCTTTGCGCTCTTCGAGCTGAGCACGGCGCACGTTCTCGTAATTCAGTTTCTGATTACGAAGGTTGATTTGGTGGACGCGTTCAGCCTCGGTAAGAGTCTTGTCGGCGGGTTGCTTGTTGAGAGAGGTACCCCAGGAGAGGTTGGGGTTGAGGATTTGGTTTAACTCCTTCTGCAGCTCTTCGGCTCGCTCGTAATCACCGTTGGCCTTGGCAAACTGCATATCACGCTCCAGGTCAAAGCGCTTGCGGACATTGGCCTTGAAGCTCAAGGCACCTTGCTTCCGAAGCTTCTCGGTCAGCTCCTCCTTGGTAAATTGATGGTTGATCAAACGGTTGATATCAGCAACTTTGATAGCCAACTTGGTCTTGGTGGCCATTTTGATATCCTCCACGGCAAGGGTCTTGCGGTAACGGTTGTATTCAGCCTTTTCAAAGCAGTCAGTATATGTGATAAGTGTCCGTTGGAAAGGAAGGGGAGCTTACATCGGTAAAGGGGAATCAGAGCAGGCAATAAAGGGGAATTCCCGCACAGCCTTTCCATGGGCCAGCTTGGCATACTGGTTCGTAACAAAGTCACGCCCATTGGGAGCCTCCATGGCATAAGGCTTGCCCTCTGTGAAGCCTGTTGTGAAATTAGGTATGCATTCTCGGGAACATCACTATCAGTACATACCCGTGATCAAACAGAGGCGGTATTCATTCACGCCGGTTTCATGGTGAGGCCCAATGTTGACACGTGCATAGCAGTCAGTGATAGCATCCTCAAAGCCTGGGTAGAAGCAGACTTGAGCAAAGTTGCTGCGTCCCACACGAGCACGGTTGATGTCGCGGAGTTCAGCAGGTGGGTCATCCTTGGGGATGGATGGCGAACGGCCTACACGGTCATCCAGTTCAAGATCACTTTCAGCATCGGCATCCTCGTCCTCATCAGAAACTGCAGAGCGAGAACGGCGGCGAGTCTGGGTAGTGCCTGGGCCACGGACTTGATCACGTTTGCCCTTCTGCTCACGCTGGCGCTTGTATGCTTCAATCGCACCGGAGGCTTCACCGACCTTACGGCCACCAAGAGTCGTCTTTTGGCGCGAGCTCTTGCGCTGAGTATCATCAAGTCCAGCAGATCCAGCCTTGCGCTTCACCATCTTGGCGGCTCGCTGTTCTTCACGCTCACGAGAAGCCAAAAGGCGACGTAAAGCAAGGTCTTGGTTGTAGCGGTCCACCTGTTGAGCACGCTCAGAAAGCAACTCCTCACGTTGGATTTCAGGCATGGCCATGATTTCCGATTTCTCTTTGGCCGAGTAGTAAAGCTTTTCGTAAGGAAAGATGGGACGGTCTTCGTCTTCTGGGCCATCTCCGGCGTCCGAATCCGATTCAGACATGGGGGCAGATTCGGCGTCAGAGCTGCAAGTGAATGTCCATATTAGAGTGAATGCCCGTATGAGCGGGGCTAACCGCGACAATACGCGTATTGCTGGGCCCGTCGTTGTCCAAATGGGAACTTACATTTCTCCTTCCTCGTCGTCCCTGGCAGCCTTGGGGCGCCGAACCGGTTTGGCGGTTCCCTTGCGACCCATATCGGGGGGATTGGTCACGATGTGGAGAGTGGATGACAGAGGAGTGTGAAGGGGAATCAATCTTTTCCTCTGGGGGTGGTGAGTTCTCCTCCTCGGAGTCACCCGCTAGAGCCAGCAGCTCTGCGTCCAAATCGTCCGCCATTATGCTGATCACTTTTTGGCTCTCTTTATCAGGTTATATACCCAACCCTTACTCGCACTATGTAAAGGGTGGCAGTCCTTGAATCAACAAGACCACCTAGGATAGTCACTCTCCAGACGGGGGAGTACAGGACAGGAGGCGCAAATTATGGGAATCGAATGGAGATTGCGGGCACCCACGTTGGAGAATGAGACACCACAACGGAAGATGCCAGGGATCGATAATGCGCTTATTCTGTACAGAGCGCCGTGCGACGGGTGGGGGGTTTCGAGGTATTGAGGACGTGTAGGTTGGCTGTCGCAAAGTTGGCTTCTCCGGTTCATGACGTTCGGCGCCAAGAGCCGAAGCGCGCGGCTGCGCCAAGACCATCCGGTCCGGCTTCGCCAGCTTCCGGTCTCGAGAGTCCGAATACCTCCAGTCCTTCGCGATCTCTGTCTCCATGGAGTCCCTTCCAGTTTTGCGCAGGTTTGTGCTGGCTCAGTCTAGACGGCCATCTCAAACTACGTCCCCTCTCTTCCTCGACTTCCTCGCTCCAACATCTATTCGAACACAGCAGACGCAACGCCGGTACTCTTCCTCCAAACCACGATATGTCCTGAGCAAACAGCAACGCGAATTCCTTGATGGTGCTCTGAGGGTGAACCAGGCGGGTGAACTGGCGGCCACTTTGATCTACACGGCACAGAGTCCTCAAGTGGTCCGATCGCATCCACACCTCCGGCCACTGATGAAGCACATGTACGAGCAAGAAGCCGGGCACCTCAAAACGTTCAACAATATGGTGGCGAAGCACGAGATCCGCCCTACGGCAATGTACCCTGTATGGGAGGTTGCGGCTACTTTCTTGGGCTGGTCAACCGCAGCTCTAGGCCGTGAAGCTGCAATGGCCTGTACCGAAGCGGTGGAAACTGAGATCGGGTCACATTACAACGACCAGGTGCGGGAGATTTTGTCATGGGAGGCTGATGCTGCGCGGAGAGGGGAGGAACTTGACGACGAACTGAAGGAAATGCTTTCCACATTCCGCAGGATTCGGGACGAGGAACTCGAACATCTGGACCATGCGGTTGCGAACGACTCGAAGGAGGCTAAGCCATATGATCCACTGGTGGATGTGATCCGTTTAGGCTGCCGTGCTGCTATCAAGATCAGTGAGAAAGTATGACCGGAGACACCTGACAGAGGAATCTAATGATTCTCCCTGTTGAGCACAAGATCCTTCCGATCTGTTCTATATAGTTACTTGTATCATCCTTGTAAGGTATTGGTTTCCCGATAATAATTTCCAATTGGTCGTCTTTCTATCTATTAGGGGACTATGCCTGTGATAATATATCCTTCTGGTGTTCCATTGAGTGTTCGTCGATGTTGTTGATTTCTAATGATCTAAGATATTTAGTCACCATCTTAACTAGCACAAATACAGGGTATCATTTGGACAGTAGTCCGTCTCTCTATTCTTACCTACAAGCAGGACAATCCTCCTGTTCACATAACGTGTCATTTATTTGTCGGCCTTTGTCACGTAGTCGAGGAAACCCTGAGAAAATCGTGTCACTTGCTTGTAGACATTTTCAAATCCCTTGGAGCCACCGTAGTATGGGTCTTCGACAACCTCGCCTCCGCCAATTGCATCGTGCAGCTCTCCCCCTGGACCGAAGTCACCGAAGAGTCGGACCTGGGCAACTTTCGTGTCCGCTCCATGTTCCCTGATAGCATTCTCAGTAGCCGAACGAGTATTTTTAGCAAAGGATTGGGGCTCGGACTTTTTGCCCAGTGACGTCATAACCGACTTTCGAGTGTGCAGCAAGTTGTCCAGGTTGGATTCGTCCATAGCTAGCAGATAGTCGAACTTCAAGAAATCCTCTCTAGTGACCTTGCGAGCAGCATGGTTGTAGTTGGTGATTCCATGGCGCTTGAGCGTCTCCATTGTGCGGTAGTCCGGGGGCTCGAGGCTGTGATAGGCCCCGGTACCAGCAGAGTCAATTTCGCCGATAGCGGGATTCCCCTTGGCCAAATTGCGGAAGACGCCTTCAGCCATAGGGGACCGGCCTAGAATATCGAGTTAGCCGTCTAGTCTCATGCTTGGTGAGGCGTCCGCCCAGCGTCAGCTAGCCCCAATGTGAAGAGGAGCGGTGCAACTGACAAATGTTTCCTAGACAGACGAATAAGACATTGACGGGACGACTGTTAGATTTGGAAGCCATGGTGCACTGGGGGAATAACCGAGAATGCTATTTGAGGGATTCGATTGTTGTAGTTGTGGTATGTTGGCTCATGCAGGACGAGCTTTAGCGGAGGGGCTTATCGATAACGATCGATAAGCGATGCCCCCCAGGGGCTTGCGCGTGAGGACAGACGATATTTTGCTAAATGTAACAACGCAGGAACCCAATAAACTGTCCTCGTGCTTTCCAAATCAATATTTACTCAGCGCGTTAATTTCCGATATTTTGCACATGTATCTGGGCAACCGTAAGAGAGCATCCCCGCCTGGGCATTCCCTCCCAAGATGCAGAAGCCATACAACTAGCACCCTTGGAATGTATACAATCCCCTCCGAGTCAACTCCAGTTCTGTCGCTGGGGAAGACTCGGCTGTGGATGTTCGGGAGACCCATACAAAGCTATTAGATTTAGCAAAGATCTGATAGCCAAGAGCTGAAATAAAGACCGTTACCCGTCGAGTTCTATTGTCAATTCGCCTGATCTATATTTGGGCCTATTGCTAGGATAGGCGTCCTACGACACAGCCCTACAGAGGACTCACGGCATGAAGTTTCCCACAGTACGACCCATCTCTACCATATGAATGGTAATTTAAGATGACCACCGTACGGATCTATATGATAGAGGAGAGTGCCAGGCTGCTCTGTTTGCCAGAAGGCAACCGGTTTATCTAAAAAAAGAAAAGAATCTTCACGCGCCACCAAGGCGCAGTCACCGAACCGTGGCGAGTGTGGGAGTCCGTGCCTCCCGTTGGCCCAGTGACGCGGGCGATGTGGGTAACACGCCAAGTCCCATGGGTTGCGACTCGGCGTTGTTTCAGGGCCTTTTCCCCTCGTCAAAAGGACTATATCGCGCTTGTTGAGTCGCTTGTGTGTGCTCTCTCTCTCAGTTGAGTGACCGTTCTGTTCTGATCATCATTCGAGTTCCTTGCAGTTGAAACCTCGCTCCATCGTATCTACTGCGCCTGGGCGGGTCGGATGCATATGCACGCCTATTCGCTTCCTTTGAACTCCACCCAAAGTCGTCAGCGATCGCCCTAAAGCCCTCGTAAACACCCGCCGATCCAGCAGGCCAACTTTTATGCTTCTGTAACAGTTCGTTACGGATGTGCCACACCTTGCCCCCCAAGGATTTGATCACACACAGGACCGTCTTTCTGAAACGCTGCCCAGAGTTTGGGATCGTGGGACTAGTGCGCCGTTCTCAACCACTGACGCTGCTTGATTCCCACTGGCGCTCCTGGCGCAATCTCCAACCGACGAATCCCCCTCCGACGCTGATCTAAGGGCGGGATCATTTCATTTCAGGGAGAGCTGTTGACTGGTGCGCTATGTCATACAACAGAGTCGGTTCGTCTTTCTTCCTTTCTCTTTTACCTGGACCTCGGTTTCGTCTCCGCACGCTATCTTGCTGGTCATTGATAGTATCTGGCGACGGAGCAGAAAATCAAGGCTATTTGCGAGCGCGATAGCTTGGGGATTGCTGCGAGATCATGCCTACTAACATGCCTACCCCAGACCCCTTCGGGGACGAGCATCGCTCGCCGATGATGAACCCGTCTCTTATGAATAGCTACAACAACCGCACTCCTTCCCCAGGCCGACCGCAGGACGGCTACCAACTTCAAGATAATCCTTATGGGCATCCTGCCGGGCATTTGCCCATGCCCTCTAGCGATCAACTAGCAGACCAACCGACTGTACGTTTTGCGCGGAGAAGCTGTGAGTGGAGGCCATATTAACGCTCTGGGATTCTAGTATTCTGTCGAGAACGTCCACAATTCCTACGCTTACGAGGGACACGGAAACCCCTACGGCTATCATGAAGACTACGCGGTGGACCCCGAAGCTCATCACGATGCGTATTATACTCAACCATATGAGCCATCACATACCCCACAGGAGGACTATGACCTAGGGCAGTATCCCGAGGCCGGCGCCTCTCCATTCGACGACCGTGTACCTATGCTCCAAGTTTCGGATAACCCTTATGGACCGGACGCCTATTCTGCAGACTACAAGGATGAGCCCCGACCTACCCCAAGCCCGGCCCCCATCAAGCGCTGGAAGACCGTCAAGGAAGTTCAGTTATTCAATGGCAACCTCGTCCTCGATTGCCCAATCGCCCCGAAGCTGTTGAGCCAGGTTCCCCATGCCGAACCTCCGGGCCGTGACGAGTTCACTCACATGCGTTATTCAGCTGCGACTTGCGATCCGGCCGATTTTTTTGAGGAGCGATTCACGCTCCGTCAGAAGCTTTTCGCCAAACCTCGCCATACTGAGCTGTTCATTGCAGTTACCATGTACAATGAAGATGACTTCCTCTTTGCCCGAACGATGTCCGGTGTATTCAAGAACATCGACTACATGTGCAACCGAACAAGCAGTAAAACATGGGGTAAGGATTCCTGGAAGAAGATCGTGGTCTGCGTGATTAGTGATGGTCGTGCGAAGATCAACGCGCGAACTCGTGCTGTGCTGGCCGGTCTGGGTGTCTACCAAGATGGAATTGCCAAGCAGCAGGTCAACGGCAAGGACGTGACTGCGCACATTTACGAATACACCACCCAAGTGGGTCTCGAAGTTAAGGGCACGCAAGTTCATCTGAAGCCCCGGAGCGGACCGCCTGTGCAGATGATCTTCTGTCTGAAGGAAAAGAACCAGAAGAAGATTAACTCCCATCGATGGTTCTTCCAGGCCTTCGGCCGTGTTTTGGACCCTAACATCTGTGTGCTTCTGGATGCTGGTACCAAGCCTGGCAAGGATTCAATCTATCACCTCTGGAAGGCGTTTGACGTGGAGCCCATGTGTGGTGGTGCCTGTGGAGAGATCAAAGTCATGTTGTCGCACGGCAAGAAGCTCTTGAACCCTCTCGTGGCTGGGCAGAACTTCGAATATAAGCTGAGTAACATTCTGGATAAGCCGTTAGAGTCTTCCTTCGGGTTCATTACTGTGTTGCCGGGTGCCTTCTCGGCGTACCGGTTCATCGCATTGCAAAATGACAAGAATGGCCAAGGGCCTTTGGAACGATACTTTCTGGGTGAAAAGATGCATGGTGCCAACGCTGGTATTTTCACAGCCAACATGTATCTGGCCGAGGATCGAATTTTGTGCTTTGAGATCGTCACCAAACGCAAGTGCCGCTGGCTCTTGCAGTATGTGAAGTCGTCCACTGGGGAGACCGATGTGCCCGACCGCATGGCCGAGTTTATTCTGCAGCGGCGTCGTTGGTTGAACGGCAGTTTCTTCGCTGCTGTTTACGCCATTGCACACTTCTACCAGATCTGGCGCAGCGACCACAGCTTCTTGCGCAAGTTCTTCCTGTTCCTCGAATTCATCTACCAGACTGTCCAGATCATCTTCGCTTGGTTTGGTATCGGTAACTTTTTCTTGATCTTCCACATCCTTACGACGTATCTGGGTGCTGCGGACCTCCTTGGGACGGTTGGCAAAGTCCTGGGTATTGTCTTTGAATGGCTTTATCTTGCGACCCTGGTCACTTGTTTCGTCCTGGCTCTTGGCAATCGACCTGGTGGCTCCAACAAGTTCTATATGACAATGGTCTACTTCTGGATCTTTATCATGATATACTTGTCATTCGCCTCCATCTTCGTCACCGTCAGGTCTATTCAAGAGGAAGTCGCAGACAAATCTTTCTCTGTCTCTCAACTCTTCACTAACAAGACATTCTTCTCGATTATTGTGTCTCTCGGTTCGACCTACGTTATGTGGTTTGTTGCATCGTTCATCTTCTTGGACCCCTGGCACATGTTCACCTGCGTCAGTCTTCCTTCCCCAAATCTGCATAGGCTTTTTTTTTTTTGCTGACATGATTCCAGTTCATCCAATATATCCTGCTCACCCCAACCTACATCAACGTTCTCAACATCTACGCTTTCTGCAACACACATGATATCACCTGGGGCACGAAGGGAGACGACAAGGCTGAAAAACTGCCTTCGGCCAACCTCAAGCCTGGTGGCAAGGTCGACGTGAACATCCCGCAAGATGATGGGGACTTGAACGCTCAATACGAAGCCGAGCTGGCAAAGTTTGCGGTCAAGCCTCCGAAGGAAGTTCAGGTTATATCAGAGGAGGACCGTCAAGCCGACTACTACAAGGGATTCCGAAGTGCCGTCGTGCTGGCGTGGGTCTTCTGTAACTTTGCCCTTGGTGCCGTTGTTCTCAGCGCTGCTGGTCTGGAGAATCTTGACAACTCGAGCTCTTCCTCGTCCAGCTCTTCTTCCAATTCCCCCACCAAGCGATCAAAAACCGACACGGGCGCTGACAACCGATCTTTGATTTATATGGAAGTCGTTCTGTGGAGTGTGGCCGGCCTCTCACTGATCAAGTTCCTTGGCGCAATGTGGTACTTGGTTGTTCGCATGGTGAGTTTCCATTTCTTTCCTATCCCCCCTACGCCGAGGTCCGAATTAACGTCTCTTCTTAGTTCCGGGGCGTTTGATTTTCATCATTTGTTTTCCCAGTGGGGAACATCTTTTTGTGTCGTTCAGCTTTGCGTCTGGTCTTTTTCAGGATATCCCCAATGTTGATACCTCGGCGGGTCCGGTCCGGTATGAAAGTAACTCCGAAGCTGTATTATGTGTGACGACCCTCGATTCCCGTCGGTGTTTCTTATCTTGCCTGCCGGATGGTGATGTGACTGATATGCGCGTGTTGCTACGTTTGTTTGTTTGTTTGTTTTTTTTTTTCTTCTCGTTGGCCTTGGGGTATACGTGTATCATGATGGTTCGACACGGGTATGGCCTACGAATTTGGGTTTCTTCTACGTGTAGATATGAAGAGGGCTTCTATCTCAGGCAGGTTCATGGGTTGTTGGTATAGATGACAGGCCTCGTCTGCTTTTATTTAGCAAGAACCCGAATATATAACAGGAATTCGTGCTATAATTATTCTTATAGATGCTATTATTCAAGTCATCCTACACCTCCGAGTCCCCGTATATAGCAATCCCGCAACTCATCCCATAGTTTGATTCTTCGAATGAACACACAAGGCAATACCTCCCAAGACTAGAATCAAGCCAACCCAGGTTTCTTTCGCAATGACCTTGCGGTCCACATACCATTCCCCAAGCACGGTGAACAGAAACGCGCTCGAGTTCGCCAATGGAACCGTCAACGAGAGTTCTACTCAAGGCACAGTCCGTCAGTTTAAAGTTCATCCAGGGTCACACACAAAGCATCCGCCCCATAAAACGCCGTGGAACATCGTGCAACTCGCACCAACCAAAAACCCCCAAAATAAAAATAAATAAATAAATAAATAGACTTACCATGCTGCCCCACCAAAAGGAAAAACCAAATACTCCCTGTCAAATTAATCACCAACGGAACCGAGTACGCCGGCGTCCGCAACAGATTCACCACCGTCCAGAAAACCGACACAACCTTCGCTTTCAACCACGACTGCCTCGGCGCCGCGCGCATCCACGCAGGGTCCGGAATATTGTCCTCGTCGCCCGTGACCCCGCCCGCACCACCCGCAGTCAAGGTCTCCTGTCGCTGCCGACTAGCGCTGCGTCTGCGCACTCCGTCCTCGGGTTCTTCGCTCTCAGGGTGCGGGTCTGCGAGAAGCAGTTCCTGCTCTTCGTCTTCCCCGCCAGGCGATGGCTGTGCGCGGCCGCGGGCGGGAGGGTCAAGGACGCGACCTTGTTTCTCCTGGCGGGCGTTGAAGTCTGCTGCGGCGCGGCGGATGAAGGGGGTTGTGAAGCCCCATGCTACGCCGACGAGGAGGAAAGAGAGGACGTAGTTGAAGACGGAGGGGGCGGGTTCGCTGGGGATACTGGCGTCGGGGTCCATGGTTCTGGATCGGGGGGTTGCGGAGCGGAAGTGGTCTCTTATGCTTCTGATGCTTTGAAGGTCTGGGAGTTAATCATTGCCGATTTGGGCGACTCGCTCGCCGCTTTTACGGGGTGCGAACCACTTGGTTGTGGAAGAAGGGGTTGATTTGCACTGGCGGCCGTGGATTATTTGACATCATAAAAACTTGAATGCAGGAGTCATAACGCGAGGGAAGATTCCTGTGAATTCTCATCTACAGCATCGGCATGATGGGAGTATGTTACGGGAATCTACTTTCATCTGCAAATGTGATAATTTGATTATATTCAGTCTATAGTCTATTGTCGCCAAAACCGACATCTATCGGATGTCTATACAGAAGCCGAGTTTAAAAAAAAAGAAGAATCAGAGACCAACTGCCAGATATGCAATAAAAAAAAAAAGGAAATGAAAAAGAATGAAAAAAAAAAAACCAATGCCAAAATTCTATATGCAGGAAAATCTTTCTATGCCCGAGCCGTAGATCGCGGGACTCTATTGCTTCTTGGAAGAAAACTTGGCAAAGCTCTTCTTCATGCTGTCCAAGTCCCAGCGACGGACCCGGAAGAGATAGTACGTCGAAACAACAATAAAGATGTTGAACACGATGTACACCCACACCAACCCGAAGTTCCTCCAGATCTGGTCGTACTTGATGTTGACGGAGGCAAGGAATTGGTCTCCCACCGAAAGAGGACAGTACTCGCAGTGGGAGGTCGCGTTTCCGTTGATGATCTGGCCCCCGGAGGAACTGGCGTACTTGCTCAGGTACTCCTGGCAAGTCTTGCCGGAGGGAGGGTCGAAGACGGACAGTTCCCGGGCGGCGCAAACGACCTTGCGGCCATGGACCTGGGCGGCGGCCATGCCGCCAGTCCAGTACGTGAAGGGGAGACGCGGTACATGAAATGCCAGAAGCCTGGAAGGTCGTCGACGGGCTGCATGATACCACAGAAGGTCAAGGACATGGCGAAGATCAGGGTGACGACGGCGCTGGCGGTCAGAGCGTCAGGGAGGGCTGCGATGGCGGCCTGAGCGAAGGTGCCGGTATAAATGAAAAATTGGATAGAGTAAACGAGAACAGTGCCCTGGGTGAGGGAGGACGGGACGCCGACGACGGCGTAGAAGTAGGAGCCGAAGACGAGGATTCCGGTGAGGATCATGTAGGGAACTTCGACGAGGACATTGGAGAGAAGGAAAGCTTTCCAGGAGTAGGCCTTGCTGGGGCGCTCGCGAACCTCATAGAGGGCTCGGGAGGTGACAAAGAGAGGCATCAGCTGTTGGACCAGGGGGGTAAAGATTGTGCAGAGCATGAAGATGGAGTAGACGACAGTTTGCATGCCCTGAAGGGAGGACTTGGCTTGGAAGAAGGAGAATCCGATGAAGAGACCGGAGGCAACACCCAGGATCCACTTGGAGATAACATAGGAGGGCATACGCCAGTACTGCTGGAAGACACGGGTGGTGACCTGGTAGATCTGGAACCAGAGGGGCATCGCGAATTCGGAGAGACTAACGTCGGACACATCGGCGGGCACCTTCTCCTGCTGGTCCCTGTGGATGCGCTCGAGTTCGGTCTGGACAGCCTGACATTCCTTACTGTTCTTCCACACATCAAACCAGTTGACGCCGTCGGCGTTCTTAATCTGGTTGACAACTTCGATCATGTACTCGGCAGGGTTCTCCTCGTCATCACAGACACGCGCGCCGTTTGACTCGAAGTAATCCAAGAGAGTCCGTGACTGCTCACCGATCTCTCCAAAGTACACGGTCTTACCGCCACGAGCGAGGAAAAGGAGCTGGTCGAACTCCTGGAACAGAATAGCGCTGGGCTGGTGAATGGTGCACAGAACAGCCTGGCCGTGCTCGGCAAGCTTACGGAGGAAGGAAACGATGGACCAGGAACTCTGGGAGTCGAGACCACTGGTAGGCTCGTCCAAGAAAAGCAGAAGCTTGGGGCGTGCAGCCAACTCAACACCGATAGTCAACAGCTTACGCTGCTCAACGTTCAGCCCCTCGCCAGGGACACCGACAATAGCTTCCGCGAAGTCTTCCATCTGCAACATCTTGATGACATCTTCCACGTAGTCATACTTTTCCTGGATTGAAACGGTCTTAGGCTGACGCAGAAGTGCACTGAAACGAAGCGATTCACGGACAGTGGCAGTCTCAAGATGAAGATCCTGCTGCTGGACGTAACCAGTCTTACGCTGGAAACTAGCATCCAGACTACGGCCATTGACCAACATGTCACCCGTGACAACTCCCATTGTCGTACGGTGGGCCAAAACATCCAAAAGCGTCGTCTTACCAGCACCACTGACACCCATCAGGGCAGTCAGGGTGCCAGGCTTGACCCAACCCGCGACGTGATCCAGGAGTCTGCGGGGCTCGCCCTTGATCTCGATATCATAGCAAACGTTGTTCCAGGTGAAGATGTCAGTCTGGGGCTCGATGGCGCCCATTCCCTCATCACCGGCACCGGCCTCCGCAACCGCTTGATCCGCGGACGAATCCTCGGAGGTCTCGACATCCGACGTAGAGTTTTGCATCTTGCGGCGCATATACTCGGGCTCGTGGCCACGACGGAAGACAAGAGATTCAGCCGTGCTAGTAGTGGATGAGTTCAGCTCACAGGCGATAAAGTAGATTGCCATGAAGCCAACAAGGAACGCAAAGAGAATGCCCAAGTTCCTCCACATGTGGGAGAAGGTGTATTGATAGTTCTCCCAGATGTAGGCGTCACCACTCACAGTAGTCTGACCAGCGACAGCGCCAGTGGTCGAGCAAGAGAAGGAGTTTCCAGAGAGATCAGCATAGGAGGGCACGAACTGGGCGCAGGGGGAAATTGCGGCCGTGGAACTCGTTCGCGATCAGCATCTCGAAGGCGTAGAAGATCGGGTTCAGGTACCGGATCCATGAGAACCAGGGGTGCATGGACGGGATGGGAATCACGAAACCGGTGTAGATGACGAGGGCCAAGATCATGACACCTGCTAGACCCATGGCTTGCGAGATGGTCTTTGTAACCGCAGCCAATGTTCTGAACACGGCGCTCATGACAAAGGTAATGATGAAACTGACGAGGAAGTAGAGGAAGAAGTTGCCCGGCTTCCTTTCGAAGCCGACGAGGAAGTACAGAATGATGTTGAACGCCACCGCGAGAGCGAATTTCACCGGTATATCGGCAAGGATGCCTGAAATCGCTTCCGTGGCGGGGTGGTAGAAGGCGTAGGAATTATGCTTTTCGATAATGGGACGTTGGGCGTATAGATTATTGATTTCGTTCATAGCGGTCAACGCGTTAAGAAGGACTGCGAAGAAAAGAGCCGCGCCCTTGGACTGGAAGCCTGCCGTGGTGTTGGGAGCAGAGTAGAAGGTGGAACCGACAATCAACGCCATGACGATCTGACTGATCACGACGGCCATGGTTGACGCGATGTCATTCCAGATGCGCTGGTACGCGCGAGTAGTGTTGAGACGGATTTGCATGGGCACACTGAGCATGTAGGGTGACTGCGGACGGGTGTGCTTGGCCTGCGCTTCACGCTTCTTTTCTTGAAGCTCCGCCACAGCCGAGTCATCGCCCACCGGGTACTGGCTCTCATACTCGGCAATTTCGGTCTGGAGCTGCTGATAGTCGGCCGAGTTCAGCCACGCCTGCTCAAAGTCCTCTGCGGTGCGGGGGACGCGAGATTCAAAGCCAGGCTTGGCCCGACGCTCGGAGGGGTTGGTAATGGAGGTCAGGAAATCACCCGTGGTCTGGCGAGGGGGACATTCCCAGCCCTGGGCTTCGAAGTAAGCCTTCGCCCGTGCAGCAGGGCCGAAGTAGATCTGGTGGCCCTGGTACAGGACGACCACCTTATCGAAGGTGTCGTAGATGCTCTGACTCGCCTGGTAGGCGGCCACCGCGTGGGCAGAGCCCTGGAAGTCAGACAGCAGACGCAGGGACTGGACGAATTTCAAGGCCGTGGCCGAGTCCAACCCACGGGTGGAGTTATCCCAGGCTCCCAGGGGGGCGGACGAGAGTGCCATCTCGGCGATACTGACACGCTTGCGCTCACCACCGGAGACACCGCGGACGAAATCATCACCCACCCGAGTGTTGTACGTGTGACTGAGACCGAACACGGCCATCATGACGGCCGCCATGTACTTGGCAAATTCCTTGCGGGTCATTCCTTCGAATCGGTTGGACGGGGTTCGCATGGCCGCCGCATGCTCCAGGGTTTGCCCAACCGTCAGATGGGGGAAATGACGGTCGACCTACAAATGAGGTTAGCATCATAGTTCCCAATTCTCCCCAGTTCGCGGTCCTCCATTGGATCAGCCCTACCTCTTGGTTGTAGACGACCTCTCCCTTGAACTGCTTGATCATGCGACGCAGCGGGATACCATTGTAGTGGATAACGCTGTCCTCGCTAATCTCCAGGCCATCTAGTTGGCCACAGATTGACTTCATCAGGGTACTGCAACCAGATCCGGGACGGCCCAACACCAAGAGCAGCTCTCCGCTCTTCAGCAGACCGTTGAAATTTTTCAGGATCCGCTTACTGGGAGACTTGCGGAAAAGCTCCCCCACCCGCAGTGGTGCGCCCAAAAAGGATGCTACCGTTTGTTGGTATTGCAGTTCTGAACCCGATCCGTAGATGTTCAAGTTCCTGAAGGCCACGCCCAACTTCTTGGTGCGCTCGGGGCCGACTTCTTTCATAGCACGGTTCACCCATTTTTCCAGATTAAACTCGGGCGACTGAGGGTTCAGCGCCGGGTCTGCGTCGGCGACGGAGGTGAGACGGTGCGTAGCCGATCTAGAGATTGAGAGCTTGCGGGACTGCTCCGTTGCGATGCGGGTGAGAGCGTCGACCTCATCGGGCTCAATCAAGGACATGCGCTCATATACAGTATTCTCCTTGTGGTTCTCATACGTGCTCTTCTCATAGTAGGAGTCATTGCCCTTCGAGCTAGGAAGACGCTCCTCCCCTTGCGTGGAAGAAGCCGACGACATGGCTGAAGGGGGGGGGGGGGGGAATCGGTTGAAGCCTGGGCGGGCCTTACGGGGGGGGGGTTCATCGTTTATCTATGGGAAAAGTTCTTGCATCTGGAGTCTAATTTGCAATCTCCTTTTTACGCGTTCTAGTGCATTCGGAAAGGCTTCGCTAGGACTCCAGTGGGCCTCGGAGTTGGAGAGCAGCTATGCCGCTTGCTTCGGACGGCCTCAGCCCGGCAATCAGCCGCCTGTCATTGGCCCTCGGGCCCCTCCAGTTCCGTGCACGGTGGATCTCGGACTGCTGAATTTTCACTAGGGCCGCTGACTCAGAATGCCTGCCTTATCCATGGATCCCCAGGAACCAACCAAAGGGTGAATAGGGAGTAAGGATCGGGATTCGGTCAAATTGTTGACATGCGGGCAGGAGTTAACTAGGCCGGAGGCCTGGGCTCATTGGCGCCCCTGTGCATAAAATAGCTCATTCTCACCAATGACAGCGCTAGATAAGATCTGATGCGAGTGGCGGTTCATGCAGCTGAATGCAGCGCGCTAATCGATACGGGCACGATCCCTGTCTCGCGGCTTGCCGATGCCTGCCCGAGAAGCCGTACATGTCCCATCTCGATACGCATCTCGATACGCATCCCGGCTACGTTGGAGGGTCTACGAGAAGCATGTTCTCACAAGATAAACCGAGGGATTCAGGCTGGGCATACGTTCTATAAATCAGTCAAGTTGAGACCCAGCCCCACCTTGGCGGGGAAGGACTGGAGATGCGAGTACTCCGTATTGCATATGCTTTGCCGTTTTGGGGCGGAAGCTGACGAGTGCCAGAAAGCAGGTTTCCCGTTGGTACAAAGGTATCAACAACTAGGCAGCGGCGGGTCACGTAGGCTCTCAAACTTGAGTCTATCGGCTATCTTGGGATCGGATAAGGGGGATAGGGTGTAGGCTATCTCTTGACACTCCCCTATCTACTCGTACACGCAATATCAGTCGTACACTCTCGGCCGGTGCCCGCTGCACCCTTCACGTTTCGAGGCACAACCTGAGCTACGTATTTGAAGTTGCCCCGCTCTGTCCTCACCTGCATTACCACATGAATTCGGCTGGGTGTATGATTCCTCACAGCTAGCGCAGCCAAGTCGGAATCACGATATCGCAATAGTCGTCGCGTCATTACAGCCACGTGGACCCACCAACAGCGAAACAACTCGAAGTTAGGGACTGGAATTCATAAGCCCAATCCCGACGCCCAGCTTTCTACACTGTGTAAATTCCTCCGCCATAACGGTCTCGCCCACGTTCATGGTTGCTGCCTTGCACCAGCTCCTATCCCCTCACAACGTGCTGGACCCAGACGGGTCCGGCCAAGGGCTTGGTCGACTTACTCGGGCCTTCCTCAGATTAATCCCGGTGTCCCGGGTGGAGGCACAGTGCACCTACCCCAATGTCCGCACAGTGGCTGATAAGCGGGTCGTCACTGAAGAACCAGGGAACTGTGCACCACCCGACCCGATAGCCGTTGTTTCCAATAATTGATGATGCTCGCGGCGCGAATAGGGGACGGTGGAGACTACGCAGTACAATTCACAGAGGCATAAACCCCTTTATGAACACCTATTGTGCTAATGATTGGGAAACATCCCCACTGACACAGCCCGGGCCGATGGGCCACGGTCTCAGCCTTGCTCCAGTTCCAGGGCAATCCTCCCAAGGTTCCCTCATCCTGGAAAAGGGGGTGGGGCGAAATCTGCATTAGCAAGGTTCTTCTAGGCTCCTAGCATAAAAAAATGAAACCGTCGCCCCGGCAGCCGATTCCTCATGTCGGCTGTCAAGCTCGGGTCCCATCTCGGTCAGTCAGAGTTCAAAATTAGTTTCAAGGACGGTCCACCGCCATGCCCAAGCAGTTTTGCGGTAAATGGCAGCCCTTGCTCCGTTCACGTTGTCTTGGCCACTCTGAGTAGTAGCGGTACCGATTCGACCTCGGCATTTGCTAACAAATTTTGAGGAGCGAAACATAGACCTCTCAGTACAGAGTAGATCGCGTCCGGGCAACTGGACAGCTTGGACCCGCTAGTGGAAGATTTCTAAGCCGAAACCGTACCTAGGTAGGCGTGCTTGCTCAGCGCAGGCTGTGCTAGTGTTTGCGAGGCCAAGCCCCACCTTTCTTCGCTAGTGTGCAAAAACATTCGGAATTCTGGAAGCTGCAACGTGGGAGTCTTGCTGAGTAGTAAAGTCAAATATTGTAGACGTTCCAACCCGGATTGCTTGATATCACACTTGACATCCTTTCATTTTTTTTGCTACCAATTGGCGCGTTGCAGGCTAATATGCGACTTGACATCTAATCGGCATCACAGTACCTAGGTACAGAATGTCCTGAATGTTCTTTTTAAGTTCACTACTCTTGGTAGGTGACTCGGAGTAGTCACTAGTATTGGCACAACAGCTGATTGTCCGGCTTCACTTTGCAAGTACTTATGAACTGTGCCATGGTATATCTGGGGCTATCTGGGAACACCCCCCTGCTCAGTATTTACTGCGCTGTGAATCAACCCAACGCACGATCCATCCTAGACTCAAGATCATCATTCGTCGGCCGGTGTTATGTCCAAAAATGTTGGAACCTTGGGCCTCCTAGGACTGACAGACCTTATCGGTGTCGGGGACATACCCTCAGCCTAGTTTCAAGACTCAGAGTCCTGGACTGACTGACAGCCTCACGAAATAGAGTGTTCTTACGGTGAAGCCGTCTAACCTAATATGGACAGGCGGGGCTAAATTTAGATCGAATGTGGCGTCTATCGTCCGCCGTGATCCAAATAACCGCCGGACAGCGAACCATTGGCACCCTCGGTATAAACAAGCCAGCCAGCTGCCATCCAAACTTCGGCCAACACTTTGCTGGCCCCAAAGCATAGAATAACCTGGATCTCAACCAAACACCTCACCCACGCTCGGGACAGTCGAAAATGGACCCGAACGTCCGTGATCTTAGCGGGCTGGGGCTGAAATTTTTGGCCCCCGAGGAGGCCTACAACGATAAGGCCGCGGAGCAGCGCGCGGTCGAAGTTGTGACAGAGCTATTTTTCACTCCTCGTAGAACCCGCGCGCCATGTCTGATTTCAAGGTCGTGATCGTTGGAGGGAGCATTGGCGGGTTGACACTTGCCAAGACCCTCGAGCTCTACGGCATCGACTATGTCCTCCTCGAAAAGTCCCCGGAGATCGGGCCCCAACTAGGCGCGAGCGTAGGCATCCAGCCTCACGCCTCCAAGATCCTGGACCAGCTGGGTATTCTCGAGCAAGTGAAGTCCAAAGCGCACCCGATCTACGAGGATCGCATCTTTGGTCCGGATGGAAAGCGCCTACGAGCCCCGCATGGCATCAACGGGTTGTACTATGGCCTGTGAGGACCGCTCGTGCATCGCTTGAGACACATGGAATGCTAATTTGGGTCTGTTCGCAGCTCTGGGTATCCCCTCATGTATCTCGATCTTCAGCAGCTTCAGCTGGTCCTCTATCACAGCATCGAGGACCAGTCAAAGATCCACGTGAACAGCGACGTTGACAGAATCGAACAACTGGATGGTTTCGTGCGTGTTATCACCAAGAGCGGGGAAAGCTTCAGGGGCGACATCGTGGTTGGAGCAGACGGAGTGTACAGCCAGGTCAGGGAGGAGATGTGGAGAATTGCCGACAAAGAGACGGGCGGAAGTCACTGTGTTCCTCTGAGAAACTGTAAGTGTGGCCAGCGAGTCCCCCAGCAGTCGCAATGGCTGATTGTGTGGACAGCAATTACCTGCTCCTACAAGTGCATCTTTGGTATGTCCGAGCGTCCTCAGGGAACCCCCAACAATGCGACTTTCTATACGTTCCATGATCAACACTCGTATTTCTGCATTTCCGGGCCCGAGGGCAAGATCTACTGGTTCGCTTTCTTCAAGAACGACAAAACCACGGTAGACCGGGATATCCCGTATTACAAGGCTGACGACGCACGGGAACAAGCTCTCAAGCATGTCAATGAGCCTCTCTTCAACGGCCTTCGGTTCGGGGATCTGATCACTCGCCAAAGTACCGCGACCATGGTTCCTGTGGAAGAATTTGTCCTGGATACAAATTTCTATAAGCGAGCAATTTTAATAGGCGACTCTTTCCACAAAGTAAGCCGACTAGCCCTTCCGGTCTCATATGAACCAGCCATGCTAATGCCACTCAGTTGAACCCATTGACAGGCCAAGGAGCCGCCTGCGCGATAGAAACAGCTACCCTGCTGGCCGACCACTTGAAAGAGGCCCTGGATGAGGGCGCAACGCCCAACGACGATAAAATCTACAGCATGTTCTCGCAAATCCTTGCCCAGCAAAAACCACGGACAACCAAGCTTCTGGAGAAGACGAAGAAATTGCAACGACTGCATGCTCTCGAAAATTCAGTCCTGCGGTATATTCAGTTGAAACTTCTTCATCGCTTGGGCCCAGAGCATCTCTCGACGCTATACGTTACCAGGACAACCCCTGGACGCAAGGTGAAATACCTGCCAGAGACCTTCAGAAGTGGAGCGGCATTGGCCGATGAAGACGTGGTTGCGAATCCGAGTGAACGACGCCCGTCAGCCACAAAGCTTTGGATGGGATTGATGCTCCTGATCGCTTTACTCGGCCCTGGCGCGAAATTCACTCTCCGGGCTCAGCGTGCTTCGGATCCTAACGAGTCGCGAGTGCTACAGACTTACCTCATTGTCTTATCCATCGCTACTAATAGCATATTTGTGCTCGAGTCGCATCGACCGGGTCGTTGGATGACTATTCTGCTTTGGAGGTAAGCGAACATCATTGAAATACTCAACCGCTGGCAAGTCTCACAAGAATACAGTGCAATCCCCTATTCCATGCTATCAACTTATACATTTGGATGGACATTCTATGCTCCTCTCTATTTCGCCATCTTCATTGCCCTCAGTGCAGTGCAGGAGTTTTACTACCCCTCTCCACGCGCCATTAGCCCTTCAACTGCGGCCGCTCTTCCTTACGCTCTGCTGGTCTCATATGGACCGCTCATGGCTCGGGCTCTATGGACATTACTCACCAAGCCCGAAGGAGACGGCATCAGTAACGGCTGGGATACCAATCTGAGCCACCTCAGCTTCCCGTTCCTGGTCAACGGCATCGGGGACATGATGATGGGCGACCCGCTCAAAATCAGTCAGTTACAGTTTGACTTTAGGGACATGGACTGCCTTTCGCAGTTTTACAATGTGTTGTTTCTGGCTGCTAGCGCTGGCCACGTGATGCTGATCAGCCAGTTCATTCCGTATATCACCACTGTCCCGATCGCAGACTTGAGTCTCAGTCTGTGCGCGGAATGGGTGGAAATCGGATGTCTGACCTTGGCGGTGGTTGCTTGGAGTCTTTTCACTGTGTGGGACATGCAACGGGTCAACTTGACTCAGGTCTCTCTGCTGAAGGCATTCCTCGGCGCTGTTGTGGGCTCTGTGCTTATAGGCCCTGCGGCTGTGCTTACGGGACTTTGGTGGTGGCGCGAGTATCCTCTTGAGCGAGGCAGAAATAAGCCTGCACAAGAGGTGGAGCCCAAGCCTGAGCAGAAACCTGAGGTCCGGGCTTAAGAAATCCCCACTTTGTACTAGCAATAGTAGGCCAAGAACACAAATGATACTTCATGACATTTGGACCCCCGGTATCTCAGGAATGTTTCAAGTTCTGGAATGATAGCAGCTCTTACTCTAGACTGGCTCCCAATCAGAACACCAGCCTGAATGACAGGCCTGGCCTGTCTCACACAGATCCAAAGCTATCATCCCATATTCTGCCTGTAAAACAGAGCGCCACGCTAGATGTCCTGCTTCCAAGATTCATACGATCAGCAGAATGCAACATATCGTGTCTTAATTTCCATCGGCCGCCAGATATATTGGATAAATGATAAATCCAAGTCCAAAACGCGGCTTTTCAGCGTAGAGAAGAATCTTTAAAAGATTACCACCATCGAATCACCCGCTCCTTACTCTAAGAGCCTCCCCTCATCCACCTCCTTCATGATCTTGACCCCGGAGCTAGTTCCAATGCGCATCGCACCCGCCTTCACCATTCGAAGGAAGTCACTCGCAGACCGAATCCCCCCACTCGCTTTGACCTTGCAGGTGCTGCCACACACGTCGGCAACCATGCGCATCGTCGTGACACTCTCCGGATCTGCGCCCGCGCCTCGGAATCCCGTGCTCGTCTTCACAAAGTCCGCCCCGGCCTTGCACACGAGCACAGTAGCGGCAATGAGCTGATCCCGATCAAGCTGGGAGGTCTCCACAATGGCCTTGAGCTTTACCGGGGCGGGCGCAGCTTGGCGCACGGCAACAATATCATTATACACAGCTTGGTACCTCCCCTCTTTCAACAGAGGATAATTGATCACCATATCCAGCTCGCTCGCCCCGCGCTCGACCGCCTCCTGCGCCTCGCGGACCTTCGCACTGCTATCGAACGCCCCCTCGGGGAATCCTACCACACACGCAACGACGGTCCCCGGTGCGCCCTCTAGGTTAGCAGTTGCGCGGGCAACATGGTCCAAGCGGACGCAGACCGAGGCGAAGTTGTGTTCTTTGGCTTCGGCGCAGAGCTGGTCGATCTGGCCGGGCTCGGCGGGGACTGAGAGGAGCGTGTGGTCGATCAATTGCGGAATGTTTAATGGAATCGGCGCCTGGAACAATGGGCGTTCAGGGATTTGTTCCTTCAGGGTGGAAATCAGCGCCGCCCACTCGGCATCTGTGGCTGGGCCGGTCGACATGTTGGGCGCGCCGCGAGATCAGGGAACTTCCACGTCGCCCGAGGGTAAGTTTTGGTTTGTCCGGTCTTGCTGGGATCGAGGGGCAAGGAGGGGTACCATCACGTGAGGGTAATGGGGGGTTTCCTCGTCAGAAGGATTGTGACTCCATCTTGACACTATATAAGGCGCAGCTGTGGCGTTGAGGCCGGCTGTTACATGGCTGATTTGCACTAAAAGCTTATGAAGGGCTATTTTTTTTTCAGCGAGATGTAAAGAGTGGAAGTCATGAGCAGAGATATTTATTGGTATAAGTCAAGACTCTTGATTCGAAGTAGCGCATAACCAATTCAATGTTAACCTTCAAAGATACCGCAATAGAGACAGATGCGAAAGAGATAACTCTATCGCTACCTTATTCCATCCGTGGCGAAGTCGCCAGTTTCTGATCTCAGTGTGGGTGTCTAATTAACAGCCACCTCCACCACATGGCCCCGGTACCCGAGGCCTTGGATACCATCGTTGTGCCCGCCGCGGATATCATCCATGCCTCCAAATCGTTTCCGAGGACCGCCTCCTCCACCTCCTCCACCTCCACCACCCCTCCGCCTCCGCCGCCACCAGAGGATCCTGATCCTCTAGCGAAAGGAGGTCGGAAGCCAGGGGTTTTCATGTTGTTAATGTTGAACTGCGAGTCCCGCGCCGATCCGTATGGGTCGAACTAGCAACGGCCGTCAGTCTCTGAAGCTAATCAAGGATTCATCCCAAAATAACACAGGCAACAGGAGTGGGAGACCATAGTTAAACCGTGGGTCTTGGGTCTATCATACCGAGAACAGGCTCACAAAGTACAAGCCAAGGAAGATATAGACGCCCTCGAAGAAGCGGGTGAGACGGACGGACAGCGGTGGGCTGGTTCGTAGATCATGTTAGCCCAGTGTCTGCCATAGGGCTGTTCATGGATTTTGGTCGAGTAGACTCACCTCTCAAGGACCCTTCCGCCGGAGAAATAGGTCGTTGGTTTTGTGGATGCCATCGTGTGTTTTTCGAAGAGAGAAGATTAGGTGGAGTTGGCGACGTGAGGCAACAAGTCCACGAGTGTCCAGGACCCACTTAGTCACTTAGCCAATCACGTTGCTGTATATTATTCATAGCACATTTATAGATTCATGGCGTACTTGTTTGTGTGTATACAGAGTACCTGCGTAGATACAAGAGCAAGTATAGACTCGTGTTTTATTTGCCTGGGAAGCTTCCTTCATAGAAGCACAAAGGAATTGTTTGTCCAATGGAGCCAATTCGTCAAATATATTATGAGTTCTCTTTGACGGCTTCTTCCTCTCTTCTCCAACACCCGGGTCTTAGAACATTCTTGTATCTTTGGAAACCTATTCGTGAGCAAGCCTTCAACATGTCTCACCCAGATACCTGTGACTGTTCTCGTTGTGATCCATCCCCTGAATTCTTCCAACAACCTTCTGCTACGTCCATCAATAAACTCGTTGGAGAAGCAAAGTTCAAGGTCGCCTTCCATCTTCGTGAAAGTCAAGAGCAAGGAGCCTGCCACTCTCTGGTATTTGATAATGAAAATACCTTGTTCCGTGATGAAGACCAGGAATTAAATTTGGTACACAGCCTTGAAGATGAAGTGAGATTTATTTTGATTGATACCATCCGCCGGTTCGAGTGCAAGAAAGAGTACTTCAACTACTTGGAGGTAGAAGTCGCTTTCAAAGAATTTGAGAGACACTGCAGACTCCAGAGGCCATTGCCAGTCAGGTTGTCACTGTTTCTAATTGCAGCAGTGGGCGACTTTACGTCGTCTATCGAGACTCGAGGGAAGCAAGAGATCAGAGACCGCTATCTGAGCAAACATGTTACTGAGGACGACATTAGAGAATATGTGAAGATTGGCTATGACCATTTCGGCTTCTTCTGTGCTGGACTTTCCTGGCTGAACTCTGTGGTCCGAGTGTCGTGGGATCATGATCTGAGACTGACCCGCGCATGCTCAGAAGGCATTATACACCCTACGGGCGACACAGAAGAGGAGAAGCCCGAGAAGCTCAATATTGCCCCTATGGTGCCAACCAATGCAAATGCATGCAGTCGAGTATCTCCCGAAAAAAGTCGATCTCGCTGGCCTAAAAAAACCCCAAGGCATACGAAAACTCGGCAAGATGCGATACGTAACTGGGACGCCAAGTTCCTACCGGGGTTGGATGTATGGCACCTTCGATCCCCTTCCAGACTGTGCTATACGCGAAATAATAGCACAGGGCTCCGTGGCAGCATACAGATGCCATCCTTCGATTTTCGCGCGGTCTGAAGACAACACCTTCCAAGTTGAACCAGCTTACTGGCCTGTTGCCTTGGCGACTGACGCTCGAGGGCATCGTTACCTTCCTGACCACCTGCTAGATACGATTCTCCCATCATGGAGGGCTTTGATGAACTTGGACCTGAAGGCTATTTCCATAAGAGGTTCAAAACAGGCCGAAGAATGGATGAGAGAAAACTCGGGAAGGCTGATTGAATGGGTTGAGAAGGAAAAAGCAAAGGTCAAGAGCTGCGGGATTCGAGACTGGCCCCCTCCATATGCCTCACCTGTTGACGGAATGGGCTCACCATACAGTCAATCCGAGGTAATCCGAAATCCCTGGAGAGTTACTCAGCGGACACCACGCCGAAATCCGCCTCGGAGACTTCCTGTGCCTCTGAACGAAGTTCGAGGGTTGGCGATACATGAGGCGATAGGAGAAACTATGAAGCGATTCAACGAACTACATTTGTCTGCCTTGACTGAGCTCCAAAGAAAAATGGAAGCAGAAACAGCCGCGCTTGACGAGAAGTTCAAAGCAGCTATGAAGCTTCCGGAGATACCAGCTCACCTGGAAGGAAGCCGGGCGTTGGTGGACACCTTGTATTTCTGATTCACCAATCGTGGAACAATACGCAGATGATATCGATGCCGATATTGAGCAGACAGAACAGATGATTCCCGAGGCCTATGATAGTGCTCTGGTCGCCTCGGAAGAAGTAGATACGTCCAGCAAAGCCGACCCCAATGAGTTGTGTGGCACGTCGGAAAAGATCTGGTCATCTTCTGAGTATGCTTCGGATGACGGTATCGACGGCATAATGGAATAGGATATGATTTTTGAATATCTCGTGCGAGCCAAAACCAGATATTCGCATTAGGGCATGGGCCAAATGAGCAGCTTGGGCTGGAACGAGACGGGGAATTGGCATAGGGCATAGGGACTTCATGGAGGAATTTGGAACTTGCAATCGGCTTCCTTGTTATCCCAAATTGATTCTCATCAAATTGACATGCGAAATTGACCACTAACCAACGATAATCTTCCTGTAATCGCGTCGTAGTTCATCGTACCTCATCGAACCCGTGGACCACAAATCACGTGCGGCCCGGAGCTTGCAGCTCAGGGCGGAAACATCGAGCTTCGTTCCTCCATCTCGTCATCACCTCGTCCACCTGTATCGCTTTCTTTCTTCTCCACCGCTTCTCTGCAGAAGGCCCTCCTCTATATCCCGCATTCCAGGTACCTCCCAAATTACACAGTCGCTCTCCGACACCATTCGTCATCATGTCCGATGGCCTGTTGAAGCCCGAGAAGGACTTCTCTAAGGACGCCGACAAGGTCATCCCGGAGGCGGAGGCTTTGGCCAAGGTACTTCTGAATCGAGGAAATTTCATCTGGGATGAAACTAACAGCTGAACCTAGAGCGATGTCCAAGGTGCAGTGGATAAGCTGTTGGGCCTGGAGAAGCAAGCACGTCAGGTTCGTTTTCATAGCCACTCGAGCTATTATCCGCAATATTTACTGACCCACATCGCGGCATCTGTAGGCATCCGATCTTGCTACAACCTCACGTCTTCTAGTCGCCATTGTCACTATCAGCAAGAACTCCGGCGACTGGGCCCTCCTCAACGACCAGGTGCTCCTTCTCTCCAAGAAACATGCCCAGCTCAAGCAAGCCACCACCCGGATGGTGCAAGAAGTTATGAAATTTTTGGATGAGACTCCCAACTTGGATGTCAAACTGTCTGTTATCGAGACGCTGCGGACGGTGACTGAAGGAAAGGTAAGACCCAAGGACGATACGCGCTCCAGGCTTAAGATCAATTTACTGATTGGCCATGAAAGATCTTTGTCGAAGTCGAGCGCGCCCGAGTGACGCGGATCCTATCAAATATCAAGAAGACCCAAGGCGACCTCAATGCGGCCGCAGATATCCTTTGCGAGCTGCAGGTGGAGACCTTCGGATCGATGACCCGCCGCGAAAAGACCGAGTTTATTTTGGAGCAAGTGGGATTGTGTATTGAGCGCGGAGATTGGACACAGGCCTCGATTCTCATCCGGAAGATCAATAAACGGTACTTCAACCGCAAGCCGAAGAAGAGCCCCGAGGAGATAGAGAAGCTTAAGAAGGAGGCGGAGGAGCGAGAAAAGACCCGTGGGCCTGATGAGGCTCCTATGGAAGTGGATGACGATGTCACAGATCTGAAGCTCCGTTATTACGACCAGCAGATTACCCTTGCCAACCACGACTACAAGTATCTCGATGTCTGCAAACACTACCGAGAAGTTTTGGATACCGAGGCGGTCGAGAACAGCCCCGAGCAGCTGCGCGCAGTAAGTTTTTGTTCAGCCTGATGATTCGCATTCCACGGCTTTGCTAACTCTTGGACCTTGGAAAAGGCCCTCGCCCGCATCGTTTATTACATTGTCCTCTCCCCCTACGACAACGAGCAATCAGACCTTCTTCACCGCATCCAACAAGACCCCCGACTGTCACAAGTTCCCGAAGAAGCGCGCTTGGTGAAACTGTTTACCATTCCCGAGTTGATGCGCTGGCCCTTGGTATCCGAGCAATTTGGCCCCCATCTCTGCAGCACCGACGTCTTCGATGCTCAGCCTCAACAAGCCGCGGAGAACCAGGCCCACCGAAGATGGCAGGACCTGCGCAAGCGTGTGATTGAGCACAACGTGCGAGTTGTGGCCAAGTACTACACTCGCATCCAGATGCCCCGCTTGACTGAGCTTCTGGACTTGACTGAGGAGGAAACTGAGAAGTATATCAGTGAGCTGGTCACCTCCAAGACTATCTATGCCAAGATCGACCGCCCTGCCCGGCTGGTCAACTTCGCCAAGCCTCGCGATGCGGACGACGTGCTCAACGAGTGGAGCAGCGATATGAAGAGTCTGCTGGGTCTCTTGGAGCGTATTGATCATCTCATCACGAAGGAAGAGATGATGGCTCGCATCCTGCCATCCCGCGGCGACAAAGCCAAGGCTCGCTGAGGGAGACTCGTAGAATGATCTGGGTTATCTGGGGATTTTAGGAGTATGGGAATTCTGCTTCCGTGTGTATCATATATCGCCGTAGACCCCTGATGAGATGAATCCACTAACATTCTGACATTTGTCACAACTGATATGCAAATGATGAATTTATTCATGTCTAAGTGATAGCTTCCAAATTCCCTTATCTCCCGTAGCAAGTAGCTCCTCGTGATCCTACAAGGCCGACTACCTTACCCAGCATCACTGTAACACGCAAAGCACCCACACTCCGGATCAACCACCCGCAAAGCATGCAAAATCCGCCGTAGCGCGACCGATGTCTCATCAGCCGGTAGCGTGCTCAGCAGCGTATCAATGCACCCGATTCGCGCCCTTGACAAATGCGCCATCTTATCGTCGCCGCCATGGATTGCCAACGCCCCAACCTGCATGCTCAGGATATTGAAGAGATCCACCAGATTCTTCGTCTCAACCTCGTTGAAAGTCTTATAAAGCCTCGTGAGACTGCTGGTAATTCTTAGCGCTCTGGTGATATCGAAAACCCGTTCCGCAAAGCAGTGAGTTGTCTGGCTCGGGTCCAAGTGGTCCTGGTAGATGAGGAAGATCTTCAGCGTACCAATCGACTCGCTGAGGAACTCGGCCGCTGTGTTGGGAGAGACTCTGTTGCAGGCTATGCGGTGGGAGTAGGCCTCTAGCCTATGGACTAAGTCGTTGCGGACGTGGGACAGACGGGTTGCAGGGCTGGGGTCTGCCGTGGCGCGCCTAGGATCTGCTGGGCTGCTATTTCTACCAGTACCTTCAAGTTGATGGTCAATATCTTCGAGCAAGTTAATGGCCAACATTTTCCGATCAAAGTGCTTTGCAGACGGTGATGTTACCCATTTGAGAAGTATCGTAGGCCTGCTTTACTGGCACTTTTTATAAGGACATTGTTCGAATGTGGCTTGGACAGGATGATAATCAATGCCTTTGTGCAGTACACAATGCAATCTCCTCCGGTTTCTATTCAGGTGCATGGTAATTAGGGTATGCCTCTTGACTAAAGAGCTAATACAATGCCCAGCTGGGCAAAGGCGGGTTGACAAAGAGAACCGAGAAATCAAAGATATGGGAGCTGACAATCCCCAGTTTAGGGCCACAAGTGGATGACAGGTAAATGGCACAAACCCTGACAATATGATGGCACTCCACGATAGTTTCAAAAGTACTAGAAAGCTCCTCCTGACACCGCCGATGCCCCACTGGAACTCAACGTGGTTCGTGATCTTGCTTCATTATGATATCATGCTCGACTATACAATTTATATCGCTTCAAATACGCAAGGCGAGATCAGAGTGTTACTTCAGGATCCCGTCAGACTTGAAGAATCCCTCTAGAAACAAATCAAGTCAATCCCATGCTTACTATGTAATTGCTTTCGACAGGTAAATGCGAGATCCCCGAGTATTTCTCCCTGCTAGGAAATGCTTCTGGTAAAATCATAACGACCTTTAGACTCATGCATCAGCCTACTCCCTGAAGTCTCAGACTAGCCCCGTACGCTAAAGGGCCATATATTGGTATGGTATGTATCTAGCGTAGGCGTGGTTCCTACTTGGGCATGAAGGATCTGGCGGTTTTTTGTCTCCGATCGGCCTATTGCAAATTGCATCAAGATGTAGCCGCTCTGATCATTATGCTCGTAGCCTTGGATCAACTCGTCATGGACCTGAGCTCGTCTCTCATGCCCCCGGAGTCCACTGATCACGACAAATGTCGGTCAAAACAGCCACCGATCTCCCCCTTACATTCCGGGTGCAATAGTCCCGCAATGTTCGGCTTCTATCTCACATCTGATGGTCGGTATTTGAGACCCCTTAGTAAGGCCTCCAAGACAACAAAAATGGTCCCTCTGTGTGCCTTGACAATCGGTAGGAATGTCATTTGGACGTGGGGCTGGTGGATCTATACTCAGCTGAACAGCGGCTGCCTGGGTGACACAACATTAGCGGAATACGCAGGGGCACAAAAGTGCCCTAGGGGACGTAATATGAACCGAACGATAACACGAGATGTCCAGAAAAAGACTTAGAATACAGTCGCTTCGTGGCGACCAGGAATGTGCCCACTGGGTCCTGTTTCCCGCAGGATTCCCAGACTGAGACCGATGATAAATACTGGCTCCTTCGGGTCGATCCTGCGAAACGAGCATTGGGAGAGCGGGGGTTGAGCACCGCAACGCCTCCAAGCTGGTGATTAATGTGGGAATTGGGTCTCGCAGCGGTCAATCCATCTCGCAGCCTTCCAACCAGATGGTGAGGACCCAAAAAGCACAGGCCCACTCCCGCGCGACGATGATTTCATCTAGCGTGATCTACACGCTAGGTCCGGCCATAACTTCTGGGGATTCCGCTGTAGATTGGGCCTCCCTCTTCAATCCACGCTCACGTTCCCACTGTTATGCATAAGTATGGCGAACCCCCGCTCGGTATCCGAGCGCAGGGTAGATCGCTGCGTGCCTGCGAGCAGAGATATCCGGTTCAAAAGGCGGGCGGAGGGCACTGGCAAGCATGGCGCGCTTTCGAAAAAATCATTTCGGAGCACCCTCGACTCGTGATGTTGGTGTCGTTCCTTGGTTTCCTGCTGTATATTGCCCGTGGTGTCGCGCTGCCGGTCTCAGTGCCTTCGCCCACGGTAACTATAGACTCTGGGCCCATTGTTGGCACCACGACCTCGTTGCCCTCGTCGACGGTAGTGGTGGAGAAGTATCTCGGGGTTCCATTTGCCCAGTCTCCGACCCGATTTGAGCCTTCTAAGCCCGTGTCTTCTTGGTCGACGCCATATAATGCGACGCAGTGGGGGGCCCGGCTGTATACAGCAGATTGGCCCTACCGATCAAACATTTTATAGAGAGCTCGGCATCATTACACCAGACGGTGGGGAGAGCGAAGACTGTCTCAACCTGAATGTCTTCACGCCTAGTTCCAAGGGTTCTAGGCCAGTTCTATTTTGGATCTATGGCGGGGGCTACGCAAATGGGGCCTCGTCTTTCGGGATTTACGACGGATCCAGCTTTGCTGCGCATCAGGATGTCGTCGTGGTGACGAGCAACTATCGGACGAATGTGTTTGGATTTCCTGGTGGCGATGTGCCTACCAAACACGCAAATCTAGGGTATGTTTGTGCTCGGCCTTGGCCCCCCAGATTCCACGACCCATTGGAAAAACAGTCACTAACTAGCCTCAAACAACAGCTTGCTAGATCAGCGCCTGGCGCTTGATTGGGTTCAGCGTAATATCGACAAGCTAGGCGGTGATCCATCTCAAGTGACTATCATGGGAGAGAGTGCTGGTGCGGGAAGTGTCGATGCTCTACTTACATCTGCTCCGGACCCGTTACCATTTCGAGCAGCTATCATGGAATCTGGACAAGCCTCCGTTCGGTCTTCTCCTAGCGATAACGTCCAGTCATACTCCCAATCCTGGGATACGCTTCTAAGTGTGACCGGGTGCTCTGCCAACTGGACCGAGTCATCTTCTGACAAGCTGGGCTGCCTACGGGACGTCCCAGCCACGAAGATCAGGGAAATTTTGGACAATTCCAATCTCACCTTTGGCCCTCGAATGGACGGGGTCAGTTGGTCAGCAGCGCCTCGGCTCAGCCGCCTCGACTCAAGATTGGAGAATTCGAGCTTTGCCCGAGTCCCCATTATGGCTGGATACAACGCCGATGAAGCGAAGCCTTTCATTGTCGGTATGAACAATACCAAGCGATTCTTGGAGGGATATAATCTGGGCCTCTTCTCGGATGCCTTCATCAAAGAATATCCTTTGGGTGCACCGGGCATTCATACCGAAAACGACCGGATCTCGGCGATCTACACGGATATCGCGATGCATTGCCCGATCGCCACGCTGGCGAATGATAGTAGCAGTGTTGACATTCCGACCTGGCGGTACTTCTTCAACGCCAGCTTTCCAAACCAGGAGATCTTCAAAGGCAGCGGCGCTTTCCACAGTGCGGAGATCCCTTACGTCTTTGGGACCTACAAGACCGAGGGCGCTACTGCATTTGAGAGAGAAGTCAGTCAGTCCATGCAGAAAGCGTGGGCTGCCTTCGCGAAAAACCCGACTAACGGACCTGGATGGGACACAGTCTCTACGATCGGTCTCTTTGGCGATGGGGTCAAAGTCGGCATGAGTGCCAAGGGAAAGAAGCCGCTTACCACTGTGGATTCGAGCATGGATCAGCGATGCTCGATGTATAAAGCATTTTATGACCAGTACATATTTTCCGACTACTAGTCGTGGTCCATACGCCGCTGGCGATTCATGAATTACGAAGAATAATAGCATTTCATAGCGGGGCCGGATGTGTTATTTTTCTGCTGGATTACCGTCTTCTTTCTCTTCTCTCATGAGCTGTCCACAGTTTCATATCTACAGGTCAACTCTCCCCGTAAGGATAGACACTGGGGCGACGTTTCCGCCCTAGCTCGTTTGAAAAAGAGATAGCAACAAACAAATTGACTTATTGAAAGAAGACTGGAGAAGACTGTGGTCTGGCGCTGACAATCACACATCGAGCCGCTACATCTCTCCTTCTGGATCAGCATATGAGCCCAGAAAGCCCGAATATATTGAGGTTGATACGGGTTCAAACCGCCGTATCCCCTATTCTCGTCGTCACATCCCAGTTCGATCGTATACCTGTCAGCTGTTTCAATCGCCATCAAAGCCAGTGCATCATCGGGTTCTCTGAAGGTACAAAGGAAACCTTGGAGCCTTCGAAATAACGTGGATGCTTACAGAGCAGATCATATTTCTCAGAAGTTCAGGGCCTGTCCGTGTCGTATTCGTCATGCACTTCGCTTCTCGGATATTGTCCACTCGATTGTGCAAACTATACAGAGTTTGCACCCTCCAAACCATTCCTCGGCCTCTACGAGCCTCGAGAATCTGATAACAGCTCTTATATCCGTTCAAATCCACCATTGCGTATGCAGAGTTACATCATCCAGCTGTTAAAAGAGAAAGCAAAAACCGTGCTCAGCGTCCTCAAGGGTATCATGCGGCGCTAAAATTTCTATATCTCTGGATACTCTATAGGGACTCAAAATGGAACATCCATATCATTGACATCCTCCTCCCCGGCATCCTTCGCCCCATTGCCCTTCTCCAGCTGCTCCCGAATAAACAGCACCGCAGCATCAAGATAAGGCCTCTGACAAGGAATAAAATGAGACCCGGGATGAAAAACAACATGCCCCTTCTTCTCCGGGTCCCCTCGCAAGCCTCAATCAACGATCTCGTCCTGGACTCGTCAACCACAGAATCCAAGGTCCCAATCACGTGCAGCACCGGCGTCTGGATCTTCGGCTCCTCATAAAATGCCCGATACCTCGCCCCCGGCGCCCGGAACCCACAGTAACACAGCGCAAACTTGAGCGGCGGATGATCTAGTCCCACAAACGATTCCGGGAACGGAATGCCTGCCACCCCAGTCGCCTTGTCCGCCTCCTTCTCGAACCGCGCAAAGCTCTCCTGCCGCCCTTCCAGTAACCCAGCCAGCATGCCCGCAAAGGCCGCACCCTGCGAGAACCCGATGACCCCGTCAAAAGGGCCTTCTTCGGCGAGCACCTTGGCGACCGTCGCTAGCCCCTGCTCCATCCCCGTGTACAGCGGCGGGTCGGCGGTGTTGGACCGCCGCCACCACCCGTATGCCTCGATGGGCTCCTGCGCGGTCTCGGAGGGCTCGTAGCCGGGAATATCGCTGGGATCGAGTTTTATGGGGGCAGTGGGGTAGATGGCATTGACCTCGTGCGACGGAAAGGCTTTCTGGATGTGTTTCGTCAAAGCGCGGGTTTTGGCATGGAACAGGGGACCCGACTGCGTGTAGCCGTGCAGCATGAGGATCTTGAGCGGGGTGCGCGTCTTCTCTACGGACGGCGCCATTGTGCTGAGCGGGGCGGCGGTGCTAACGAGCTGAAGAGAAAGGCCTGCGAGGCGAGTCCGGCTAGCTGGCGACATATACAAGGAGCCGACGGTGAAAGGTATGTTGAGAGGGGGGGGAAGCACGTGGAAGTCCACCGAGCGGATCCTGAAGTTTGTTTGAGGGCGATAAGATAAGGCCGGTCAGACCCCCCCGTTCCCCCTAGAGAATGGGTGTCGTCATACTAACCATCCTGGACACAGCTTTGAAAAGAAGGAAGAAAAATTACAGAAAAGAGGATATTTTGACCATCTTTGAGACTTCCATCATGGATTTGGAACCCTCGGCCGATATGGACAAATTGGATCTGCAAGCTGAGAGAAACTATGACGAGCTGGGACTAAAGATGGACGAGCTGATCGAGTATGTATATCTCTCCCAAACGTTCGAACGTCTGCGTTTTGACCAAAACCTCCCACAATCCTCTTTGCAGAGCAGAGTGCATTTGCGCATGGCGTCGCTTTGGCAACATGATCAGATAATACCAACTGCAGATAATCTTCCAGCGCGTTAGCATCACACCCCGAAGTGCAACCACCAACCCCACACCCGACGGCCTTCTTCCTACTCAGCTTCATTCGCGCCACCCGCGAGCACCTGCGGAACATCGACTTCCAGAAACTCGCCGAAGGCGGCAGTAAAGAGAGCCAGGCCCTGCGCGATGTCATCGGGCGGAATTGGTTCGCCAATATGATCCTCAACGACCAGTCGGGCGCTTTATCGCTGGTGACGCCAGGCGACGGATCGCACTCTATCCAGATCGGCCCAGATATCAAGGCAAAAGCGAAAGCGTTGCATGATTTCTGGGGGCTCAAGTCGGACTGAGTGGTCCACGACAAATCCGGGCTTCTTTCGTTTGGCTTGCATTATCATGGGCATTCGAGCAGGTGTTTCCTCTTTTTCGACTTGCAGCCCTATGTCTCTCTTCACGCTGGATTTGAGGCATTTCCTACAGTGTACAAATAGGAGTGCTATAGATGGATCTAGCGAGCGTTGGTTTTTTTTTGTTTTACTCTTTCTCACTTTTGATCTTCAGTCGTTTTTTTTCCGAAGCTCGTCTGGGGCTTTCGAGTCTTTCTTTTCAACTATTCGCTCACGAGGTTTACGTACCTGGGCCACGTTCGTTATGTACAATGGGGAAAAACGTCATACCCGTTCGAATGAGGATACGCTATCCTAGGCAACATCATCCCTCAAAAGCGCATGATCCGTATCCAATTCAAAACCAATTCTTTATAATTCGCTGGCAATCCATTCTCTAGCTCAATTCAACATCCTCATCTACAAACCAGGGAGGGGCGCACGAGGCCTCGCGCGAAGATTCGCGCAGCTCTCCCAAACCAGCGAACCCCCCCCCCCCTTCAGCGCCATGAAACCGATTTTCCAACCTTGACCAGATCTTTGGAGGGTGCATGTAGCCCTCGAAATGATGTCATGGCTGCAGGATGTGCCTGGGATGCGAATAGCCGTGCACGGTTACGTAGAGAAGTGGGGATCAGAGCGCGGTGGGGACAGTGAACGGGCGATCAGCCCGGGATGACGTGGGAGAGTCATCCTCAAGCCTGGCCAAGTTCCTCGGGAGGCTAATGGTGCTTGGTTGAGGAGTCACTGCAGGATTTTGGAATAATTAAACTTATCTTTTCAAGTGGTGTGGATCTGAAGACTCTGGGGTGCTCCTAAGCCACACAAGATCGTGGCTCTGCTCGGACCCGTGGACGAGGGCAGTAGGTATTACTAATGATTGTTTCTATGGCAGTGAGCAATCCTGAGCCACCCGAGCATTTGGTTCTCTAGAGCCTATAGTGCCGGATAACCCGTAGGTATCTCCTGGCTGGGTAGAATGTCCTTCTCACGACCAAGCCCAGTGTTCAAGCCCGCTCTACCGTAATGAAGAAGAACTTGAATGCCGGTAGAGTAAGATACGATAGGTCTAGAGCATCCGAGGAAACCAGAGGTGTCGCCTTGAGGGAGTTTTCAGTAGGACTTTTATGATCATGAATATTGACTAGGCAGGCTAATGGGTGCGAGCGGCGTCACTGTAGGCAAGTTGAGGCTTCTCAGGTCAGACTTTGAATGTGAGATCGTAGTGAAAGCCTAGAAAGGTTAGTTGATGGTGAAGCGCATCTGAAAAAAGTCCCTGTGGGACTGGATTCTAATGACCGTTGGAACCTGGATCATACTATGATGCACTAGCACAACGAGGCTTCGCAAATACCCACTTTCCTGAGCTAGAAGCGCGGGATACACTGCTACTACCGGTACCAATAGCAACATCATGGCTTCCAATCAGATTCGAAGCCAGAGCATACTATGGAGACAGCGCTTCAAATCTACAACACATGGTCATTGAGAGGCGAAACTCGATTGAGTCTATTCCCCATTATACATATAATGCAGCACAAAACAAAAATCATGGAATCAAAAACATGGTCACGGCACAAGACTAACACGTTGCCTTTTGTGCCAGATATCCGGAACTCCCTGAGCTGAATGCTGCATTGTTGCTTTTTTTTTTTGTCGAATGCTTTTGAGGGGGTTGCTGCGCTCGGATAGGGGCGAAGTATTCCATCTTCTATCTGTCATCAAACCGCAAAACAACAATAGCAAATAAAAAAAAAAAAACCGCTGTGACGTGGTAAAAAAAAACCACGCGCATCACAGCGGAAAAGCAAGAACGCAAGAAGAAAAGCAATGGAAAGACAGATTCAAGATGCCACATCCAGAACTTTCGTAGATTTTAAAGGAGGAAAAGGAAGGAAAGAAAAAGGATAAGGAAGTTTTTGGTATGGATCGTATCATATCATTTGCCCCCTCAACAAAGCCCCTCGCTCCAGAATCGATCGAAGGCGAAGGCGAAGACGAGGGGTCATCAAAAGAGAAACGTTGTGATTGGTATGTGACATTTTGAACGGGGCGGCTCTTTCTCCGCTGAACCGCAAACCGAGTAGTGCAAGGTCAAAAACCCGGGTGTGGTATTTTCATCCTAGTTGCTCCATGCTATTCCCACTAGTGCGTTTCAACAAAACAAAATAAGAAAAGAAGTTTCGTTGCGTCTCGTTTACTTCCGGCGGAATGAGCAGCCCTCGGTCAGACGGGCCTTACCACCGGTGGGCTGGCAGAGCACGGTCGAGCAGCCGGCGCAGATGACGACGGTCTGGGCGTGGGAGAAGACGGTGGTGATGGTGAAGCAACCGGGGCACTTAACGTCCATGAAGAAGGAACGGGGCTGGGGCACAAGGGTCTGGATGGAAAGAGATCGTCAGTCACCATGTTCGATATCAATGATTTCTCGCCACTGGCAATGTTGCGAGTGTTCTGAACACCATGCGGGTCCTGGCCGATGTCGTCGAGGGCGGTAGAATCGAGGTCGATGGCCCGGGATGCCTTTTCTCCCCCTAGGGCCGATCGCCCCCGATATCCAACACCATCCACGGCATGTAATTTCCATTTCCCGTCGGGTGCTTTTCATCGAGTATCCGGGTTGTCCTACCTTCAGCTTGTGCTTGCGAGCCTCAGCCTGAGGCGAGGGGTTGAGGAGGTCGACCGCGAGAACCTGGAGACAAAAGTTCGTTAGCATCCGCGAATTTTGCACATGCCGGGGAAAAGCTTGCTGAAAAGCTCTAGGGAGTCACGGAAAATTCCAGGTGGAAAGGAGAGCCGTGAATTTCGAGGCAGAGGGTCACTCACCATCTTGACGATAGAAGATCAGCGAGGGTGGTTGATGAATGGCGCTGATGGCGATGGCCTTGTGTGAAACGGGTATGAGGGCTAGGGAGGAGTTTGAAGGCTCTTGGGGGGCGAACTAGGGTTCCAACCCTCGCTTGCTTTCCTAATTTGGGTCGCCGCTGTGTGCCCGTCCCGCCAATCACACCGCCCTATTTCACTCGGGCCAATTAGCGGTTGTGGCGATTTCTTGGGTCGGCTCATGTTTGTATGGTTTGCTTGCTCGAGCGGGTAGGCTGTCAAGTGTCTTCTTGACGCTTCGAGTCGAGTCCAGACTCCTCTTGTTTAGCTCGCTCTGATAACGTGACAATTCCATTGTTGTTCTGTTCGGGACTACCAGGGCTGACGGTTATGCGAAAAAAAGAAAATCCTTAGGACCTCGGAGAAAAAGCCACTACCTTCCTCCGAGTGCACCATCTTCGTTCCTTTTAGTTTACTCGAAACAGAAATAACAAAAGCTCGGCTCCGAGTCTGCCCCGCATTTACTGCGAAAGCTGTTGTGAATGGCCCAGGGTATTGAGATTCAGCTTCTGTAGCCCGCGGGCCAAGCTCTCCTTAGATTCGGGTTTAAATGAATCAGAATCTGATACGAATGGTTGTCCTTTCCTCATACCAACCTTAGAGCTTTTCCCAGTAATAATCTTTTCATCTTGTTAGAATCGACGAAGATATCCGAACCACGAGATAGGAGCATCAAAATGTTTGAACGCATCAACAACCAGCGCAGAAGACTATACTTGCCAGCCTTGTGCATTTGGACAGTACGACTGGGCAATGATTGACAGAAGCCGTAGAGGGGCGCAAGTACTACTTACGTGACCTGTGAATCTAAAAGATCTAGCAATACTAGAAGCATTGGCACCTGGCATGGGGCCAGTCTCACAAAATACTTGGAAGATAACTTCGAGTTCCGAATGTTAGTCATGCTTAGGGACGGTATCCAGTAGGTATCTATATTGTCAGCCCCATCCCAGTAAGAAGAACCCTCACTTAGCATGGAGTAGTTTTGGTCTACAAGCATATACGGTCTTTTGTTTAGCATAGACATGAGAGCGCCTATCACAGTAAACCGGTATGAGTCATATGCGCCAAGAATTGTGTAGTTGCATCGATGTTCCGGCCCCCACGAGTCTCCTGAAGATCGGGGCTAAATGGAGTCGCATACCTAGATTAAGATAATTACTAGTAATGACTGCTGCCCAATGAACGGAAGATCCCTGTCATACGCCCAAACTAACGGCAGTCCGACGGAAAGCCAGTCTCAGATAAATAATGCGATTCAATTGTTTTGCAGAAGACATAATGAGCGAGAACAAGCCAGTCTTAGCGTTTACTATATTCTGTATATAGACGGGCGAGTGATTGGGGCTGATCCGGTGAGATTTGAGTTTGGACAGTAGGGATGCTATGACTTGATTCTCCAAGTTGGGTTTGGTTGATAGCTAATGAATAAGATCCATAGTACGCCAATGCTAAACTCGAAGGATCCTATGGTAGGCGGAGCACGAGCTTGGCATGTCGATCGTTTTGTGAACATAAGTAATGGAGCCATAGACTCGAAGGCATGGATTCCTATCTATCTTTTAGACAAAGTGATTCACCTAGAATTCTTTGCACATTACCTATCCATCCGTTCTGGGATCGAGATAATGCAGACCCTTCTCTTCTTTTATGCCATTTTGTCCAGTGTGCCAGTTATGGCGACAATGGGGCTGTATAAAGAGACAGGGTTGGACACGGCTCTTTCTGTGAAAAACTCTACGGTTGTGAGTATTTTCTAGACTTTTATATCAAGCTACTTGATCACATGTACACATGCACATACTAATCGAGAGAGCATATATAGACTGAGTCCACCCCTACTCCCACCACTATCCCTGGTGGCCCTACCCCTGGTCCTTGTGAGATTGAAAGAGGCTGCGAATGTGACGCAGCATATTGTTTATGCTGCCCTGGTAGTGATGGCTGCGCGCCATATTGTGATTAAGCTCGTCTTCCTGGAGCATGGACTTGCGTCTCATTATGGTGATATTGAGAGAGGGGGGGGGGGGGTGGAAATTCCTGACCATTGGCATATCGTAACAACTTCCAATTTGGAGCTTGGATGGTAGCAATATCAACGAGCGGAGAGCAAGGTTTCATGGGATCTATTCAGGGGATCTAGATTCTAATTGGAAGGCACTCCCTGGCAGAGAAGACTTGCCTTCCTCCAAATAGGTACTCTGCTTCGCTGGTGGCATTGTAAGAGTATTGTAAGAGTAAAACAAAGGTAAGCGAGAGTTGATTCGGCAGGCGTTATGTGGAGAGAAGAGTACAGAAGAGCACCATCCCCGGAAGGGAAGGGGAGTGGCAGTACTCCAGGGCGCTCGGCATCGGTAGAGCCGTGAGGTTACGGATGAAGCAGAAGAAGAGCTTTTCCGACAAATATGTACGTAGTTTTTGAATCCCCGAAACTACCATTAGTTAGTTACCAGCGTTTATTGACACGTAAAGACGTTCCGGCAGCGCGGTCATAAAGGGTAGTATAGCGTATATCGTATGGTTCGCTACAGCATAGAGAGATTTGATTTAGCACCTTTGCACGGCCTGAAAGGCTGATAGGACCGTGCCCTCTTGCTTAGCAGATTTGTGCCAAGATTCAGACTGGTTTTGTGGCATAGTAGGTAGTTGAAGATAAAAGGTAGGAGAGGACACGCGCCTTCTGGTACGGCTAACGTATTAGCCGTGAATCACCTTTTTTCATTCCTGAAAAGTCGCGCGTCCATACCGTAGGTGTCCATGCACTGCTGTTTAGTTGGTCTTCTTCCCCAGCTGGGCTCCCTCAACGAAGGGGTACTTGATAGTCAAGCAGTTGATGTCGATATAATCACAAATTGTTGTGATGACGTCGAGCTAGAACTTTGATCAGCACTGACAACCTCAAAAAGAAAAACCAAAACTTACCACAAAGCTGCCATAGGTACCAACAGCCAACCCCAGACTTGCCCACACGAAAGGCCCCTCGCGAATGACAGGTACAGTCCAAAATCCAAGAAGAGGGGCAATGCTGTCGAGAACGGCGATAGCCAATGGCAAGAGCAAGATGTTGAAGTAGGGGAAAGCAGTCTGCGTGAGGTGGGCCACAATCATGCGACCCACGGAATAAGCATTGATCAGACCGACGAAGAGACCGAACGGCACAGTGTAGTGAGCAAGCACCTCTGGTTGGAGGTACAAGTAAAGTGGGACGAGGGTCCAGGTGGCCATCAGCGGGAGTAGACCATACAGCGGAACGAACGGGTCCTGTCCCCGCTGGCGGCGCACCTTGATGACATTGTAAATGCTGGAGCCAGTGGCAAAGAAGAGAATCACAGCGCCGTACACCAGGTACCACTGCGTCCAGGGCATCTCGTATACATTCTGCGACATGAAGCTGGGCTTGGATACACCAATGGTCTTCAGCATCGGTTCGTGCCAGAAGCTACCGCCGCCGACGTAGGCAGTGATTCCATACACCGTACACAGGGTCAGAAGACCCTCGACGGGCCCAGATACCACGCCCAGCGTGAGAACCTGTGTATAGTACTCGTCCCAGGTTTGCACATAGAATGTCATGGTTGAGCCGAAGAGAGTGAGGAAGGTGGCCCAAGATTGGCCAAAGTTCATGGCAGAAGCAAAGATCAGAACCCCAAGTGCGGTGTTGCACGCATCAACGCCTGTGACTTTGGTTAGCCATATCATTTTGAAGACCGCATTCAGAGCTCAAATAGGGACATACTGTGGTCAAACAACTCGCCTAGTGGTCCACTCTGCTTCGTTCTCCGCCTAAAAATGTCAAGTCAATCACCAATGACCAAAGCTAAAAGTAGCCAGGTAAAACATACGCTTGCATCCCATCCACCGCATCGAATGTCTGGTACAGGAACAGTCCTACCGCATAGCTAGCATAGACCCACGGTGGACAGTCCTGGTCCAGATTTGGGTTATACCAGAGCATCGTCAAAAAGTTGAGCACCACAAACATGAACCCGGTGAGCGTAATCTATTAAATACACGTTAGTGTAGCCCCACATAGCGGATGTACTCAGAAAGTAGTCGACTTACGGCATTGGGACTATTTGCGCAAAAGATGAGTACATGGGTAGCCAATTGCTTTAAACAAGAAGATCACACCAAGGCTCACGCAGCGAGAGCCAGAGGAGAAAGCCTTGCGCCTGAGCCGAGCTTCGACTCAGTCCAAGCGCATGCGTAGGCTTCCGCTCACTCTTCGCTGCAACAGACCTTAGCTCCGACGGGGGAAGAGCAGGTGAGACTTACGCCATGCCCATAGGGAAAAGAGGGATCACGCATTTGCTGTAGAAGGGCTTGAGGATGTAGGTACTGATCAGAGAATGGTCGACACCGGCATATTTGTAATTTTTAAGGTTCGGTAATTGGTGCTGGCGAATGTACACCATTCTGTCAGAGGCGGTGGCCTAGGCCAGTGATGCGATGGGTGTCAAGTTGCTGTACACAAGGCCGAAGGAGTAGGTGACCGGAGGGACCGAGGATGTTGCGCGCGACGTGTCGAGTTCGGATCTTGGTTTGCAAGAGTCGAGGTTGCAAGCAGCTTTTCGCGATCGTGGGGAGGAGGAATCTGCCGTTGTGGGCGTGACGCGTGGATATCGGAGAGGCAGCGGCTCAGACAGAGAAAAGAGGTGTTAAAAAAGAAGTCAAAACTTGGACTTGAGGGAAAACCGGGAGGCGGACTGAGCCCAAATAAAAAGACTCCACCGTGGGAGGGGACTGAACGGCAAACTTGGATCGGCGAGGTTTTTTAGTACATTTTGCATCACCAAGAACGCGTTGGTCGCTTTGCTGCTTCGATGTTCTTTTGTTTTTTTTTTTTGTTTTTTTTTTCTGCTAATCTATTCCGCATTGGATACTTTGTGCTCTTTTTACTATTGCCGGGATGAAATGTAGGCCAACTAAATACGGAGGATAATCGACGTGTACTGCCTGCTCTCTTTCGACTCGGAAACGTTCGATTACGCACGTGCGGCAAGGACGCACTGGCTGAGGCTGGTTCTTGGTCTTGACCGAAGATGCCAATGAGGTACAGCGATCGTCCCTGTTAGAGGTGGGGTCTTACCCGACGCTATGTAGGCTTCAGGGACGACTCACACAGGGTCCAAGCGTATATACTCCTCTAGGTATTTGCAGCTGGGCCTGGAGGTGGTTTTGAAAGGGTGATATGCATTAGGTGAATGCGCCTGCCTAAATACACGATACAAACGTAGTAATGCGTTTCCTTTGATCCACCCGGGTCATTCCCGCCAAACGGGTACCTTGGTACTTGGCGTTTATAGACGCAGTCCTTCTGCCATGCAATGAGACTCCTCGCAATGAAAAACAGACGGAATAGTGGATGTCTCTGGGACAAGCTAAAATTAGAGCCCAGGAACAATAAGCGTAAGGTTGAAGACGGGAGCGGTGGAGTAGCGGGTATCGAATGTCTGGCACTCGATCATCAACGCTTAACCGACTGGGCTCCATGGCATGGGGACCAGAATCCGGCTTTGCATCGTCTGGATGAGGGGTACAGTCTTGTGGACTGTCTCGGCCCACCCTTCGACTTCCCAAGATTGTTCTCGCCGGATTCTACGCTCCTCCAAGTTGGCAAACTGCCACAGATGGTGCACCGTGTTAAGGTCTCCAATTTGGACAAACCAAGCTCCAACGCCCTCCATAGTCTCGCGTCGTGCGGTCAGGCCTCGGCGCCAGTGATTCTCCCACTCCATCAGGTTTCCTGGGTGCAGTGTGTACGATCGGAGCTCGAATAGACCGCCCAGACGGCGGGGCGGACTCGTGGGCCAGAAGGAAAATTCCTGCATGAGGGATGTCTTCTTGCTCTTGATCAAGCTCTTAAGTTTTCGGTCGAAGTCTTGAAACTCAGGCTGGATCGAAATATTATGGAGGGACTCGTGGTAACCCGCATAGCGCTGGTACTCCCAGATGTGAACTGAGCGGAAAGAAAGGATACGTCAGAACAAACAAAAACCCCGGTAGAGGCTAAAGGAAGGGAAATACCAAATGTATCATTGTCGCCGACCTGTGTACGCCAACTGCCGACCAAGTTGACGCGGTTCTCAGGAATGCCAGCCATACGAGGGTACCACTGGCCGACCAGCTCCACATACTCGTCGACCTTATCCGGCTTGACGTCGTGGAGAACAATCGAATGGACGTATTTGCCGCGAGCCAGGACTTGCGAGAAGGAGCGCTCAATGTCCTTATCGAAGTGCTGGCCCTCCTTAGTGCCGTAGATGAGCGAAGACAGTGGCCCGCGCTTGGACGGGCTCTCAGGCTGCTGGTCATCTCCTAGAAAGCGGTGCATAGCGAGTGAGCCCAGTGCCTTATGGTCCAAAGCGTCGGCCGCATCAAAGGCGGGGCGAACTCGATCAATAGAGCTCGCATTGCTCACATTCGGAGCAGTGGGAGCGGACTCACGGGAAGGGGAAGACGAAGAACCATTGGAAGTAGAGACGGACTGACTCTCTAACTGTTCCTTTCTCTTGCGAGCCTCTTCGAGGTTTTCGCGGAACTCTCGCTGCCGTCTATTGAATTCTTCGGCAGAATCGTTGGTCACGTCTCTGATGGAAGGGGCGCGGGCAGCCACTGCAGAGCAGCTGAAGGGTCGCACCAGCGAAGTTGCTGGGCGAAGGAATCGGGTGGGCAGCATGGTTTTGCAAGGAGAGGTGGGGGGGTGGGACAAGAGTGACAGGAAGAGAGGGTATTCTCAGGGGTCCTCAATCACTCATGGACTGGAAGGACACGGAGAGACGGAATCGGGAGAGAGGGGAAGGAAGGTGGGAAGGGAGAGTAGGGGTGTGGAAGTTGAACGGTTACAAAAAGGTACGTGATAGAAAACTTCTGGGCTTGAAAGTTCGGAATCCGGGGGGGAGTCACAAGACATGTAACTAGCGAGCTGCGCCGCGTTTGATTTGATCACCAAGACACCTGGGGGCTTTCTCCTGTACGCAGTAAGCTCAAGATGTGCGGGGAAAGTAAAAGCTCCTTTCGTACTGGTCCGATACACCTTAAGGGATCCACAGGGGCGGAGCTCGCTGTGGGTAATGATGACATCGATGCTCTCTGCTCCGGTTCTGGCATGATGCTCTCTACTCTGGTTCTCTCTTGATTCGAGCAAATTAAAGCAAACTCTGGGCTCAAATGTTCAGAGCCGATGCCTGCATTGTACTGCCACATCCTCAGAACCTGCCCAATTGCTCGAGCGCCGGAATGAGCGACTTCGGCAATTCTTCGTGAAACAATCCTCCGGAACCCGGAGGATCGTCGTTGATCATTGCGAGGGGCCTTCATTATGACGGAGAGTGCTCCACCGAGTGAAAAGTAGATACCGATCAGTCTTTCTCGATCTGTCACGGAAGTCTTGCATCAGCCTCTACGGTACGATCATGCCAGAGCAATCAGATGCGTATAGCGCTGTAGGTACATATGCGGAAGAGCCAGGTCGACCTGCAGAGCCGTTATGGCGCCACCTCTTTCCACTGCTTACCGAGGCATTGAATCCACTTGGCAATTACAGTATCATTATTTAGGCTGACACTAGTATTCCAAGGTTATAGCACACGAGAGCCGGTTCCAGCACCTCCCAAGTCTTTGAACGTTGGTCACGGGGGGGTTCCGTCATATAACAAAAGCTCGGTATCACACCCTTGAGTAGAATCGCATTTAGCTGAGGGTATTAGGTAGAGAGCAGGTTCAGAGTATTATATAGTTATAGACACTTGGGTTGAAGTGTAGTCAAGAAGCCATCCTCGCTGAATGCTTCAACGCCCAGAGGCGGAGCTATGCAAAAACAGACACTGGCGGACGAATAGATTTGCGACCCATCAGGCCAGATGCATGAATGAAAAAAAGAAGGAGAATCTCGCCGCATCAAATCGACGTCATAAAAATAGAAATGCAAAAGGGGGAATCAAACGATCATGCGGTGGATACACCAGGAGTGTTAACTTCTTCGCCTGGTCAAATTATAGCGAGACCAGGTCAAAGAATCACGCAGCCTCCACTAGGTCCCTTGCCTCCGACAGGCTTCACTTCAAGCGCAACCTTGGCTGCTTCATAGAAGCTCTCTCGGATGCCTCGATTTTGGACCGCAGAGCACTCTGTTGAGGAACGTTAGCTACTAATCACAAAAGCAAACGCTCAAGGGTATCTCATACCAAGGTACTTGACGGCGCCAATTTCCTCGGCTTTTGCCAAGCCCTCGTCGAACGAGACGCAATCTGGCCTATCGTTCATCTCATCATCCTTTCGCAAGTCGCACTTCAATGCGGTCAGCACAACCCGGACTCCGGGACAATTCTCATTGATCTCCGCAATCCACTTGGAGCCAACGTTCTCGAACGAATCCCGGCTGTCCACCTGTATCCACCCGTTAGCCCCTGGGTCACCCAGCATCCTCGTTCGGCATTCTCGACGCGAACACCCTACCACATACACTGAAGCAGAGCATAAGCACGTGGGTATCTTCGTACGACAGCGCGCGTAACCGGTCAAATTCCTCCTGTCCAGCTGTGTCCCATAACGAGAGTTCCATATGTACATTGTCGACGAAGATATCTAGATGCGCGCATGAGTATGGGAGGTGTCTGAGGGTAGGAGTCGAAGGTACCGTGGACATAATTTTCTGAGCGCATGATCGTTAGCAACCTGGTGTACAGATGGATGGGGGTCCTTGCGCATACCGAACACCGTAGGCTCGCTGTTTAGTGCCAGTCAAATCGTGGTTAGCCATTTTCCTCCTGATAGTTCCACTCGCCAAATCCTCGTGAATGTCGCCTTACTATACTGTCGGGAAAAACCTAAGTCATCGCAGGATTGTCAGCTGTGTTCGTCCAGAGATGCGGGTGAGGCGCGCGGAGGGATAGGAGGGTAAGAAAACATGACACACCCCCTTGTAAACACGTTCAGCGCGGAAGTCTTGCCACAAGCACCATCACCTCTGCATCATGGTTAGTATATTCCTTCGTCACAGAGCCAATCTGGCCGCGGGCTGTAACTGACAGCAGCACCATCTTGCGCTGCGCGACCTTTTGACGTCCGCACAGCTCCATGGCGAATGACGGAGAGGTAGAATATACAATCGTGGTCACGTAGAAGCCCGGAAAGCGAAGTGGAAGACAGAAGAGGATATACTGTCAACTGACAATCGTAAAGGCCAGTTGGGGCCAAGCGCGTGGGGGATGTGGTCGGGGGAGGATTCCAGCACTGCCCGACTCAATGACAAGCGTCCTTAAAGGGATCGGCGAATAAGGTACCACACCCCCTTCCGATCCACCTTGCGCGGCCCAGACGGGCTCATTATTTCATCGACGCGCACGTTCATTTCCGTTTACGAGCCCGTGTTTGGGAATCATTGCGATGCTCATCAGGACTACTTAGCGAGATAGCAGTGGGTGGCCTATCAGTCGTGGGTTGGTTGTTCGGGCTGCCTTGGCCGGGCGGGCGGCTTCACAGTTGTGGTGCCGTGGGGACCTTTTCAGGAACAGTCAATGCATCTGATATCTCAACGTGTATGGACATGGGAAAATCTATTATACTGAATGTTTCAGAGTGCCATAGAACCAAGCCAGGCAAAATCTCCGTCATGGGGCGCCGATGATGTGTAAACACTGTAATGTGTCTGCCAGTTTTTCGCCGATTCCTCGAGAAGAAAAGAAAATATAAAGAGCAAAAATGGAGTAGCTAGGCTTGACCGCCATTGGAGTTGGATCTTGGTCTGCGTTTATTGATTCTAGATACTCAGAAACAAAAGCTCTTTGATGCAGGTAAACGCGTTTAGGGTAGACCAGTTGGCGATTTCCTAGATAGTGAAGGCGGAAGCAGCTCAACTGCCAATTCAAGCTTCTCCAACACCCCGCGATACAACCGCTCAGCACGTTTTCGGTTCCAGCACCTTTCTTCCCCTTCCCACCTACCTCTCCTTAACCCTCATACACACAAGGCCTGCCCAAGATGTCAGACGATGATTTCATGCAAGATTCTGGAGATGAAGCGTACAAACACCCCTTCTCCACCCTCGGGACTGCCCCAGACTAAGCTGACCGGCGAACAGTTACGACTTCGAATACGAAGACGAGGATGAGGATGACTCCGGTGACATCGGCATCGAGAACAAATACTACAACGCGAAACAGCTGAAAGTGGACAACCCAGCAGAGGCGGTGGATGAGTTTTTAGGAATACCAGCATTAGAGCAAGACAAAAGTGAATGGTTCGTCATGAAGGATCCCTGACTGATAAGCTACTCGACTCACTTTCTCTCTCGCAGGGGATTTAAAGGAATCAAACAAGCGATCAAATTGGAGTTCAAGCTAGCGAGGTACAGTGATGTGAGTGAGCCGTCGCCAACAAGTGCATAGGAAGGCATGCTGATATTATGAACTGCTAGGCCGTTGAACATTACCGTGAGCTTCTTACATACGTTCGATCCGCTGTGACGCGGAACTACTCCGAAAAATCCATCAATAATATGCTTGACTACATCGAGAAGGGTTCCGAAGACGCGCAGGCATATCAATGCATGGAGGATTTCTACTCTTTAACACTCGAATCGTTCCAGAACACCAACAATGAGCGCCTTTGGCTGAAGACAAATATTAAACTGGCCCGGCTATGGTTAGAGCGCAAGGAATATGGCCAACTCAGCAGAAAAGTCCGGGAGTTGCACCGCGCATGCCTAAAAGAGGATGGGTCAGATGACGCCAGCAAAGGAACTTACTTGCTCGAGCTCTACGCCTTGGAGATTCAGATGTATGCCGAAACAAAGAACAATAAGCGGCTCAAAGCGCTCTATCAGCGGGCCTTGCGCGTGCGCTCCGCCGTCCCCCACCCCAAGATCATGGGCATCATTCGCGAATGTGGTGGCAAGATGCATATGAGCGAAGAGAACTGGGAAGAGGCACAGAGTGATTTCTTCGAGTCCTTCCGCAACTACGACGAGGCCGGCTCTATGCAGCGAATCCAGGTGCTCAAGTATCTTGTCTTGACGATGCTGATGAAGTCGGACATCAACCCATTCGACTCGCAAGAGACCAAGCCTTACAAGAATGACCCCCGTATCTCCGCTATGACCGATCTAGTGGACGCCTATCAGCGGGATGACATCCACACCTACGAAGCAGTGCTCCGCAAACATCCCGACGTCCTCGCAGATCCGTTCATAGCCGAGAACATCGACGAGGTCAGCCGCAACATGCGAACGAAGGCTGTGCTCAAGCTTATCGCTCCATACACCCGATTCTCCCTGCAATTCATTTCCAAGCATATCAAGATTGCCGTGCCGGAGGTGCTCGAAATCTTGAGTTTTCTGATCCTCGACAAGCAGCTGGATGCAAAGATTGACCAAGAAAAAGGGACTGTGGCTGTTACTAGTTCCAGTGACGTGGACCGGCTGCGTGCGCTGCAGGAGTGGAGTTCCTCCTGCGGAGCCTATGGAAGACTGCGCTCAATGGTGACGGGTTCCGTCCCGAGGAAGCCTCCCACGGGCCCGCTACTGCTGGCGCAATGTTCACCCCCGGGTTCGGTGACGAATTGCCGATGGGCATGCGAGGATCCCGACGACAAGGACGAGGGAAAGGCCCCGCGGGGTAAACTTGCCAGTGCGTCGTAAGGGCCTTAAAGCCGAGTCCGATCTAGAAAGGATCTCCTTTTCTCCCTTTTTTTTTCCTTTTTTTGGCCCTCCCTCCCGCCTCCCTTCCCTTTCTGCTGGAGTAAAGGTAATAAGTGCATACGCAGACATGCCCTTCCTATTGGTACGTGTCGGTACTTGTGATTTGCGAGTCTGGTTTTGGCGGTTGAGCCGCTTGAACCAAAAACAAAGGGGGGGAAATTAAGTCACCAATCCCGGAGGCAAATACCTGAGACCGGGACAGTCGATACGACCCACGTGGTTCTCTGTGGCAAACCCTCACCGATTCTTTGTTGCTAACAGTAGCTCTCGGACCCTCTGTTTTAGCCGTGCTTCAGCGTCGGGCCCTGGCAGTTTTGGCGGTCGACGGACATAACTCTGGAACTGGACGGCCTTACAGTGTTAAGTTATTTCTAGCTCCGCAATTTAGAGTTATTGTGATATAAGGGCGCTAAAATTCTCTGATAAATGATTTGAATGGTCATTCGTTGCTCCCTGAAGTATGAATACCGTGAACACCCAAAATTAGCCTTTCTAGCACAGTAAGGCGTAAGGCTGAGTCGCCCGAGTCATGTTACCCTTAGCATAGCCTCACCCCCCCCCCCCCCCAAAAAACTCGCACAGTCCCCTCGTCGGGCAATTCAGGGAACCCTCTCGAAGGACATCGGTCTGTACCAACTGACAACTGGTCTTCGCTGTGCAAAAAGTACGAGCCAAAGTCCGCAGATAGTACAAAGTGACCCGTCCCATTGCACCGGGCCGACTAGCTTGAATAGCCCCGGCACTTGAACAAATCACGCTAGAACAAGCCTCAGCTCCTCCAGTCATGAACGCTGCAGCTCCGGCCCAGGAACCCTTGCAGGGACGGAATGAGCTTTCCGAGGGCACTGGCCATCCAGACCGAGGACTCACAAGTAGCTACTAGTAGACGCACAAGCGGCAAGAGGAATTCCTGCGCAGGTGAATCGCACATGGGATCGCCTTGATGATTATATCCGGTTTTTGGATTTCGGATACTTTTACCTCAGTCACATGATTGGCAACAGCTAATAAAGCAGAGGGACCGTGGACCGCGGTACTAAATGAATTCGCCCCCTTCCCCCCCTCTGTGTTTCCGCGTCCTGCCTTGTTCTCAACTTTGCGCACCATCCATACTACTTGCAATTATGTCATTTCGTTATCGTGCAGCTACTTGTTCTCACCGATCACCAGCCCGTGCTTGGGGCGATTCGTAAACACGGGGTACGCCTGGAGAAACTGACCTGTCCAACTCGACTTGGACCCCAAGCTCAGGGGATTCAAGAGAGGAGGAAAGTAGTGACTGCGCACTGACGCATGATAACATCTATAATACGGTGCCATTAATGACGAGCAGAGCATGGGTCATGGAATTGGAACAGAAAAAAAAGAAAATTAGCAGCTAGAGTGCTAGGAAATCGACAGCTTGCGGCTGGACTAGCTCCAGCTGTAGGGCGTTGACCAGGCCCGGGGCGCGTGCAGACTCGCACGTCCCCCAGCTGGGAATACGATTGGGATCATGATCATCGATTCGTTCTCTACCCCACCCAGCAAGTCTTAGCGCGGGGGTCGGGTGATGGGGAACAGGGCCTTGACCTTCTTTCAACGCCTAGGTGGTATAGTACTCGTGATCCTGGGTGATATAGCAGGAGAATAAGCAATTGGAATGATTGGGTTTAGGGGTGGGGGGGGAAGGCCTCGGAACTATTGTTCTAAGAAAAGATTCCGGGAAGCTGAGAGCCAGCCGACATCGAACCGCCCAAAAAGCAAAGATGGAAAGAGAAAAATCAATAAGAAATAGAGAAAAATAAACCAGCTTTGCCTCATGCTGGCAATCGGGAGTTGACCCTCTATGGGGCGATCGAATCAAGGCCCAAACTGCCCAAAACTCAGGTAGATTCTGAAACCCCGCTTTGGGTGCCGGATAAAAGGCCTGCAGGCGAGCAACTAGATGATAATATTAATGTCCTCTCTCCGTGGGATCACCTCATCAAGCTAGTGGCTGTTAGCTGCTGGACTTGGACGGGTAGACCCGAAATGAGCCGGGAGAACCGAATTTTGAGTCCAGAACCATTGGAGCTGGAGTGGCCAGAGCGACACAGCGCGATCGTTCGCTAAAAAAAGAAGGCCGATCTGAGCTACGTATCGTTGCGCGCGGTTGGAGAAAGCGTCGAGGATTTGAGTTTCCAGCAGGGGCGGGGAAATAGGCCCAAGGACGAGAGCCACAACAAACTGTTTGCTTTGGGATCCAGCTGTACGGTTGCGCTGGCAGCTGGCACGTTTTCCCCGATCAGCAAATATACTTATGCGCTTTTCTCCCGTCCCGTTTCCCTCTTCATTCTACTCGGATTACCCCCCAACTGGTTTCTTCAGGTTGGAGTAACGCTTTTCTCCAACCTTCTCCTCGCCTGGTTCCTTCATCCCTGCTCAGGTTTCCCCTTTTTCCCATTTCCCTGCCCTTTCTGGACTACCTTTCAAGGTTTTCAGGACTCTCGCAGGGCTTACAGTACCCTAGTTTCCCCCCTCCGTGATTAGATCCCACCACCGGGCATACAAGGTCTGAGTTCCCGAGTTCCCCTCATCTTTCAGTCTGTCGTTCCCGCTTTCTTAATACCCCTCAATCTACATCCTTACATCACCACCCCGTCCCCCCCCCCCTGTCCCTGTCCAAACTTTACCTTCTTCCGCCTAGATGACTCAAGGAGATTTCTCGGAGACCATCCCGGAATTCTGATTGCATCGAGGCTTGGCTGTCTCCGTCAGGAGTGGACCCGTGGTGGTTCGTGCATGGGAAAAAAAAATGTGGATGATCTCTCGGCCCGCTAGTCATTGACAGGGCATTTCCAGAAATCATTGAAACGAGTAGGAATGATGATAATTGGCTTTCCTTGTTCGGAGATGTGCCGAGTTCTCGTGGTTCTGGCCAATTTGCCCCCCAATGTTGCTCATCTTTTCATCACAATTTCTTGAAGGTGGCCCCTAGGCCAATCACAGCCCTTATCCCCGTGCCTCAGCAAGCACGCTCCCTCCATCAACCTCCACCGGCCTCCTGGTCATCTGTGAAGAAAATGTTCTCCATTCGTCCCTGGCGTTTCATATATTCTCGAAGCATGCATATCACTACCCACAGAAGCTATGTCTAGATTGTACTAAACCTATCCTTATAGTCTGGTCTCCACCCACAGTCCCGGCACGCGTGCAGTGTCACACAAAAAGGCGCAAACCACAAGCCCATCCCCTCCCATTGAGGAAATCTTCAGGGCGATTCAAGCCACTTTTGGTCAGTTCCCAGATTTGCTTCTGCTATGGGGGGAGACTTCATCTGGCCCTCTAACATATAAACCCCAAAAAGACTGGACCCCACATCCAATTTGCGAAAACGGTCACCTCAAGGCAGTCGGAATCTCTGGAGTCCCCCGGAACTTCTCTCTAGCAGCGCCTCCTCCCCGCCGGTCGCCACTGTATGCAATGTCCTTATCAAATCTACCTTGGAATCATTTTGGTCCTCACCACCCCTTCCCGCAAAAACAGAAATACCCCGGTTTCCTCCAGGACAACTTCCTTCCTCCGACTGTTCTTCCCCCGCTTGGATTTTCTTTGTCTGCCAACTTCCCCCCTCGTCCCGGGATGAGTAACTCGGCCAACGCCAACGCCCTCTCCACGGAGGAGATGGAGCGTTTCCAAAAGCTGTCCAATGAGTTTGAGCCCGATGTCAAAGTAAGCTGCCTTACCACACGGTGTACCATCCTGTGCCACTTTTCCTGACCCAGTTGCTCTCCTTCTTTCCAGGGCCCTGCAGTCTCAGTCAAACAGTCAAGTCACAACATTGCTCTTGAATACGCCAATGCAGACCCCACCTTAGCCGCCAAGACAAGCGTAAGTGGAACTCGTCCTCTTTCCACAGATCATATCGATTTAATGCGAAATCCCTCTAGGCTCTTGCATTGACGCATCCTACCACCCGGGTAATGAGGGGGGACGGAAATTGCGGATGGAGAGGTAGGTCCACTACTGTCCAGAGATTGGCTCCATCACTAATGTTGAGCAGCGGTCATCTTTGGCTACTTTGAGATTCTGTTCAATCTCCGGGATCCACACCGCGTGCAGGCGGAATCACAGCGAATCAAAAACTTGAATGGCCTTCTGGATCGGGTCGGGCACCAACAAGATATCTACGAGATCTTCGTCGATGAAACAATGGACATCTTTACCCAAACTCTAACAGCAATTCAAAACGGAGTCCATGACGAGTCATTCTTGGTCGAGGCGTTGTGCAATGAGAACCAGTCCAATGCAGTCATTACCCACTTTCGGGTAAGATGTGCCTTCTCCCCCATTAGCGAGTCTCTATACTGACTGCGTGCAGCTTCTGACCAGTGCTTGGATGAGGCTTAACCCCCAAGACTACCAGGCGTTCTTGTCACTGCCCGTAGATCAATATTGTTCCACACGGATAGAAACTGTGCGCACCGAGATTGACGAGGTCGGGCTACAGGCCCTCGTGGTTGGAATCATCAAAGACGCGGGATTTGGGGTTGAGATACTTTACCTCGACCGAAGCGAGGGAGACGCCGTGACACCACACCCGCTCACCACCGCCACGCCTGCAGGGGCCACCATCCGACTTCTGTATCGCCCGTGAGTAATCCTGAGACCATTGGGGATGAAATCAATCCATTCAGTTGACTAACGAACGAATCAGGGGTCACTATGACCTACTCTACCGCCCCGAAGTTGAAGTAAACATCAATCCCATGGTCAATTATCAATATGGCATGACCACGAACTACGCTCCCTGGGACCAGGGTGCCGCTCACAATTTCGAAATCAGCCCACAAATGATGGCAATTCCCAATTTAATGGCGGATCCGGCCTTTGCTATGGGTCCTGATCCCATGTCTCCCATGTCTTCAGTTTCCCCGGCTCCCGCCAGCCCATATCAGCCTTCTCCTACACACGAGATGTATCCAACCCCGATCCAAAGCCACGCACCCGTTCCGGCTGTTCCGTCCATTCCGGCCCCGTCGCCTCCGGCCGTGCAATCGAGTGCGCCAAAACCCATGATGAGCCTGCCCAGTCGGACATCGGACGGTCCACAGATCCGCATGAACCCGTTTGCCATGAAGGCCAGTCTCAACCGGGCTCTCCCAGTGACCACACCCTTCAAGAAGTAAGCACAGTTTCAATAATCAGAGGACCTCTTAATTTAACTAATAACAGTAGCAGCTCTCCGTACAACCAAGCTCACTTCCAAAACCAAGATTTTGAGCCGATTCATTGGGAGCCAAGCGATTCCCGAAGATAAACCGTCCAGACGAAACTCGAACAAAAACAAAACCATAAGAAGGACCCTCCCGGCATCGCCCCCCATGGAATCATGCCCTCTTATCAATCGAATCCCCGTCGTTTTACAATATCTCCAGCCCAGCAACAATCTTACGACCGTGTGTGATAACCCGCTTTCTTCCCTATTTCTCTGCACTGTGGGCTAGATCTACTGGGCGATCTAGCCCCGGACTAACCCCGACATCGCCGATTTTCTAATGACACGAAACGACTCCTTGGTTCAACCCCAGCTTATGTCTTTTGTTACCGGCTTTTCTTGCGTCTTCTTAGCGTGGGTGTAGCGTGTGCATGGTCCGAGCGTTTTGATTTGCGCTTTCCCTTTGTATTGGCTTCTTGTTTCAGGTGTCTCCCAGATTGTTACTTGGCTCCTATTGCACGCTTATCGTGCTTGGCGTTTATCCTAGCTCCATCTTGTTCTTTTTTTTCTTTTTTTTTTTTTTTTTAACTCTATTATCTCGATAGGGCACGGAATTCAAAAGATAGCTCCCGGGTAGGAGCGCCGGTTCGAATGATTGGCTTTTGTATGACCGGGTGACGTAGATGAACGGGGTATTAATATCTTTAATATTACTTATATTTATATTAAATCCGCTGATTGGTTCTTTTCTAGTTGCTTGATATTCAAGGTCGGTACGTTTCCGTAAAACTTAGCAACGACCCTTAAGTACGAGTAACCAAAGAATGCAGGGCTGGGCACTGGCAATCTACCATTGGTGGCATTTCCATGGACCCCAATTAAGAGCTCGGAATCACGAAGCACCTCTCCTCTCGGGGTTTCACGTCCCGAGGGAATGGATACAGCTGATACGGTTCCAAGGCCTACTTTAAACAGTTCCAATTGGCCAACTCCCCCTATTAAGAACTAAGTCCTGCTGCCCAAAACGTGGCAATCACCATGCCAGCATATCATAAGTTCATGTTCCCTCAGTCTGCATCCAAGCAGTCCGATCCCCAATTGACCAAACACATCCATTTTAGAGTCGACTCACATACCATTCCCCATAACATCTCATGATATAGAATCACATGAGCACAACCTAATAATCTATTCTATTAGCGGGCAAATCCCCAATCCCCCCAATCCCCCAAGCACAAGCCCCAGTCCATCATCAGACCGACCTGAACCTGAATCCAATCACAAGTTTTCACACATGAAAAATACAATATATATATGAAAAAAGAAAAAAGACATTTCACCAGTAACAAAAGCACCGTCCCACCTACGCAATCTTCTCATCCCCCGCCTCCACCACCGTATCAACCATCTTATCCAGCGCCCGCCCACCCCCCCCCGCATCCAGATATCCCGCCTGCACTAACCGCGCCAGCGCATCACCCACCCAGTTCTGGCTGTTCCAGTCCCCTGCCGTGTCCGGGATAGGCGTCCGCGACACCACAGCCCGCACTGCCGGCGCGGGGGCGAGGATCTCGCCGACGGGTATTGCGCGGGCGAGGGCTATATGTGGTTAGTTTGTTTTTTTGTTCTACAGGTTGGGGCTAGGGTTCTAGACCGGGGCGGGAGGTGCGGGAGGGGGACCCCATTCTGCGCGGATCACCCGGGTGTTCTAGAACATGGAAGTCGGGCGCAAGGGGGGAATTGGTGGATCATGATGTAGGGCAAGGTTAAGGTAGGAGGGTACTTGGTGGGGGGGGGCACGGCCCCCGGAGCTGGGTAAGGCTTGTCACGTACTGGTTTTCTGGGTTGGGAGGTCGGCGTTTATACGCTCGGAGAAGCTGAAGAAGCCCGGTAGACCGACGATTTCCATGGTGCAGGATCTGATGTGCGACTCGGCGGAGGGGTTCTCAGAGGGACTGGGACTTTTGTCGCCGAAGTCGAGGTGCAGGGCTGTATGGCGGTAGCGGGCGTAGTCGAGGGGCGAGGCGACTAGCACCAGGATGTACAATGTGGGGGGCATGTACGAGGGTTTTGCGGGTGGGGAGGGCAATAACTGATAATTTGGTTGAGGTGGTCAGGTAACTGGGCTTGGTGGCGATATTACAGACTCTATATCCCAGGGGGATTGGTCGCCTCGGGGCGGGGGGACGAGAGGATGATATGGGGCGCTGAAATTCAAGTCTTGAATGCGAAAATCCGGGATGACGTCTGGGGCGGTTTTTCACAAATTCAATCTGGTAAGGCTGTTTTTATTTCCTGCTGCTTGCTGCTTGGGACTGAATAGAGTTCTCTAGGGCTCGACATAGGCTCTCCTTCTCAAATTAATCGGAAGACTCAGCCGGAGAAAACGTAATTGCTGCAGAGTAGTTAACTATGAAAATCGTCTATTTCTGCACCGGTTGGTCTCCCGCCAATCACGCCTCGGCATTGTATAGACCCAGCCAACGTGGGGCTTAGCCTCTTAGCCACCCTTCAAGAATCGAATGAGTCTGTATGGAATGGCCGTGATCACTTGGAGGAGCATCCAGGCATTGTCGGTCATGGGTTTGCTGGCAAATTTCACAGGACGGGGTGCAATGTCCGCTATTGCGAGGATGGCATTGACGACTGGCGCTGGGTAATTCTGGCGCAGGTAGGCGGCGACGAGGTCGTGGCCGTTAGTTATTCCGGCTTGATTAGTCTCTTGTTAGCAAGAGGCTTGATGGGCCTTCAGGAAGAATGATGTGAGAGGTCTCTTACCGCTCATCCATAGATTCCCGTCGCATGTCACGCGCGCCATGTCGTCCCAGAGTTTTGCTTCGGGAAATTCCTTCTTGAGCCTCGGGACCAGGAATCGGGGTGCCGTCGCCAACTTTCCGGCTGCAATACCTGCATGGGCAACCACCAGTGCTCCGGTGCAGATGGATAAGATGGTGGTGCCTGCGGCATTGTGCGCCTGGATAAACGTGATCCATTCCTGGGCTGGCGGCATGGTGCTTGGAGGGGGACCGGGGATGAGTATGATATCGAGGCTGCCCACGCCCACCTCTGAATCAGAAATAGTGTGTGTTACTGAGACACTTATAAACGACGTCAGGTTCATCGGCTTGTTTGCCTCGTCAAGGCCAATATAGGAGATCTTGCACGGTTGACCGAGGTCGACGATGGGTTTGGGAAGTCCCAGGGAGGCCAGATAATCTGGGTTTAGCATGAACAGAAGGTCCACTGGGGCTACATCAAGTAGTTGAGAGTCCGGCAGGAGCAAGACGCCAATGTGGAGGGTGTCTGATGGCATAATGATAGTTGGAGAGACGGTGTTGAGATTGAGGGTGCTGGGCATTAATATAATGTTTCCCGATCCTCTGCGATACGATCAATGCGTTGAGTCACCATTATCATGGGTTTGGTGAGGTTGCGAATGTGTCGGGGTACTCAACCGAGCTTTTACAACAGCCACCCCAGCGCTGGGACTGGCAAGCAGATAGAGCTAAATGCAAATTTGGGTTTTTCAAGATCTCGTCAGATCTGATATAGCCGCAGCCAGGAGATTTTGTCCCCATTGACTTTGGACGAGAGCATTTGAGCGGATTCCATAATGAAACCCTCTGTGTCACACAGCTCGATATTGGTGACAGTATCGACAGGGCGTGTTGCACCACCGCGATCAGATCCAGGTAAAGACCGCAAAAGCCGGCATTCACCCAAGAGCATGCTACATGGCCGCTGGTCTCAAGTCCAATGGAGTTTGCTAGTCTACGAACAAAACACAGCCTTACAGCCTTCCATCCGCCTGGAGGCGTGGATAGCCGTGTGGTCGGTCACTGAGAGTATCTCGGACATTCCCCGGTAGCGTGAAAGTCTGGCAGGCCCCCCTTTTTCCCCAGCGCCCCCCGCTCCTTCTAGACTCCACACTTCTCCGCATGGAAAAACCTAGACCGAGCTAGGTGACCACCGGTGGTGAAAGAGGAACTTATAAGAAAGAGATAGAAATCTTAGGTTGAGCAGACTGTAGGATCGCTAGTATCTACACCTCCTCATGGCACTCTGTACAACGGTTAGACTCAGAATAAGCTTCACCCTCTCAGGTTCTGAGTTTGGGAGCCTCCAGGCGCTCTCCCCGCATTTCCCTCTAGGAAAATGGGCCCGTTTCCCCAGAACTCGGAGCACATCTCTCCGTGATTGATCTGTTCTTCAGCCAAGACGGTCAGCAGTATCGCACTCGGACTCGGGATACGGAGCACTGTGTTCCTGGAGTCGGCATGGCGAGCGGCAAAAAGCTTGAAGAGTTCCCCAGTCTTGAAACGTGGGGGTTGCAAGCCAATGCATTTATAGGTTGATCTTCCCCCGGTTTCCCCGCAAACGTCCCGGGCTTCGAGTTGAGCACACGCCAGAGACACTGCTGGGTTGGGAGCCGGGAAACTGAATAACTCCCTACCGTCATGGGTTCGATCATGGAAAGCTCTCCGAAGGGCGGGTTCAAGCTAGTCCTGCAGAATCCCTACTTGTGTGGCGTCGCCTCGGTGAGTACAAGAACTGCTCCCCTTGAAGGGATGGCCTTATTCCTAACATGGCGAGTAGTTCTCGACCCTGGGCGGCTTGCTTTTTGGCTATGACCAGGGGGTTATTAGCGGTGTGATCACTATGGAGTCTTTCGGGGCTCGGTTTCCGCGGGTCTTCTCCGATAGTGGATTCAAGGGGTGGTTCGTATCAACGCTGCTGCTTGGTTAGTTGACTCTCCAAGGTCGTGGGGATACAGTTGGATGTGACTAATCTTACCACAGCTGCATGGCTTGGTTCTTTGCTTAATGGGCCTGTTGCCGATCGCGTCGGCAGAAAAGTATCTATCGATTTGGCGGTAATCATCTTTGTGATTGGGTCTGCTATTCAGTGTGGCGCAGTGGATATTCCCATGCTATTCGTCGGTATGTGCTGTGAGACCGTGTTAAGATCAGACACCCAAGTCGCTGACTTCCAGAAGGCCGAGCAATTGCCGGCTTGGCTGTTGGCCAGCTTACCATGGTAGTTCCTCTGTACATCTCTGAGGTATCTATCCCGGAGATTCGCGGTGGGCTAGTGGTGCTACAACAACGTGAGCGTCCTTTGTATGAGGTTTGATAATCAAGCTAACAGGGACCAGTGTCGGTCACTATTGGCATCTTGGTCAGCTACTGGATCGATTATGGCACCAACTACATTGGCGGCACCCGATGCGCCCCGGGTATCCCGTACACCGGTGGAACACCTGCTTCCCCCAGCTTCAATCCGTATACAGATGTCCCGATAGGGGATGTAATGGCCAGTCTGAAGCCTCTTGGCGCCTGCCGCTGGCCATCCAGATTGCTCCGGCTATTATTCTGGGAATTGGCATGCTGTTCTTCCCCGACTCACCGCGTTGGCTTTTGATGAAGGAACGTGATGAAGAATCACTCAAGGCACTCTCGAGACTGCGTCGGCAACCTATTGAAAGCTCCTCTCTGCAGAACGAATACCTGGAGATCAGGGCGTCGATCATGCTGGAGAGCACATTTGCTCGGGAGCATTTTCCTAATCTGACGGGCTACAAACTTCATGCCGCCCAGGTATGTGGAAGAATCCAACAGTTGTCAGTACTTTTGACTTATTGAGATGTAGTACGCTTCTCTTGTTACCAGCTGGGCACGCTTTAAGCGATTGGCGATTGGCTGCTGTGTGATGTTCTTTCAGCAGTTCATGGGATGCAATGGTGCGTGTTTCTTGACCTCGATGAAAGAAAAGATCGGTTGATTGCTAATATGTAACAGCTCTCATCTACTATGCACCTACTGTCTTCGCCCAGCTGGGCCTCGACGGAAACACTACCTCTCTCCTCGCTACGGGTGTGTATGGTATTGTCAACTGCCTCAGCACTCTTCCTGCCCTCTTCTTCATCGACAAGGTGGGCCGCCGACCACTGCTGATGGCCGGCGCCACCGGTACATGTATCTCCTCGTCATTGTGGGGGGGTATTCTGGGCGGCTATGGAGACAGCTTAATCAACAATAAGTCAGCTGGCTGGGCTGGGATCGCTTTCATCTATATCTATGATATCAACTTTTCGTACTCATTCGGTGAGTCAAGCAGATGGATATCGAAAAGATCACCCCATGACTGAGCTAACGTGGAACTTGAAAAGCCCCCATCGGCTGGGTCCTTCCGTCTGAAATCTTCAACTTATCTATCCGATCCAAGGCCGTCTCGATCACGACCTCGGCTACGTGGATGTGCAACTTGTGAGTCTATTCCGGTTCATTTTCTGGTTCTCTGTTAACGTCAAACAATAGTATTATCGGTCTCGTCACCCCCGATATGCTCGAGACGATCTCCTGGGGGACATACATCTTCTTCGCCGCTTTCTGCCTCATTGCACTCGCCTTTACATTCTTTGTGATTCCTGAAACTCGCGGGAAGGTTGGTCTTTTCCTATACCCAGTTCCTCATCAGATCGGCTAACTTGTCCGCAAGACTCTCGAAGACATGGATCTTATATTTGGCGATACAGCTGCTCACGAAGAGAAGAAGCACATCAAGAACATCGAGGCTCAGCTGCGTGGCCTAACCGTGGAAGATGATGAGGTGTTGAAGCCAATTGAGCAGCACAGAGAAATCGTTGATGACGCATAAGCATTGGCTGGCAGAGAAGACTGATTAGTTTTCTACAAGAAATAGAGTTAATAATGTATCCGATGAAGAAAGATGTGCGGCGAGACGACACACAAGTACCATAGCAATTGTAATTGTTTGACAGAGCTCCCAAGTTAAATGCACGCGTTCCTATTATCCAGATAATCTACCCATAAATAGCCTCAAACCTAGCCAATCCAAAGTCATACAAGGGGTCCGATGTAGCTCGACCTAAATGACGCCATCCCGCGAAACCCACTTGCTCCCGCCACCTCAACTCTCCTTCCGATAGCACACCACTGCTATACTCAACACACCACACACCACAATGACCGAAACATCACATCTCCCCCTTTTCGGTGGTTCACGGTACGGTCCCCATGCCATTGGGCCCAATAGACTCCGGACCCTCCCACTAACTCTCCCCCCAGCGCGTGGACTCCCGACGAATGGACTTCGTCCGACGACCGCGTCCGCGGCGGCAGCTCCAAATCGACTTTGGAGGCGACCGCTGAATCCCTCGTCGCCACCTTCAAAGGAACCCTCGACATCACCACCCTCGGCGGCGCCGGCTTCGCCTCCCAGCGCACGGCGACCGAGGACGGCCGGTGGGATCTCTCGGAGTACGACGGAATCGAGCTGAAGATTGATCACGCGGACGGCAAGCTCTACACACTTACGCTGAAAGACGAGATTCTGGCCAAGCGGCCTGATGGGCGGGAGCAGAGTACGCTGAGCTGGGAGTTTGATTTTCGACCGCACGGGGCGACGACGTACTTTATTAAATGGGCGGATTTCCGGCCGACGTATCGGGGGCGGGACCAGGAGGGTGTTGAGCCCTTGGATTTGAAGAATGTGCGGCGGTTTGGGATTATGATACGCAGGTATGTATTGATCTCTGGCTCTTGGGGGTTTGGCAGTGACCGTCCGGGTGGTATTGGTGTGTTAACGCCTTTGATAGCTTTTTTGGTGGCCAGGAAGGTCCGTTCGAGCTGGGGATTACTTCCATTGCTGCTTTGCGAACGGAGCGGTATCTGGATCACCCTGAAGAGGAGCCAGATGAGTATTTTGATGAAAAGCTCGGCGCTTTTGTCCAGCGCCGGCCAACTTGGTTCGGATGGTTCACCTCATGCCTTGGATGTCGGTAAAGTCCCTATCACATGGCTTACATCGATCACATCCAAGGAAAGGCTGCTAGGGCATAGTCAATAACTCCATATTTTAGGATATATGGTATCTATACAGCCCCAAAAAAAAAAATTTTCTTTATTCATAGGCGTCTTCGTTAAATGCACAAGTATGTCCTCCTGCTTGGAAGGGAATTTCAATCCCAACGCTCAATGATTACTTAGTATGTCCATTCTGATCTCCTGTACATGTCGAACCAAAGAAAAATATATAACACTATTCTTGAGCGGGGAAATTAACCCATTCCGAGAATTTCAAGTCCATTCCACCGGGGCTGGGGAGTGGCTGATCAGACGGGAAGAAGCTGCCGCCAAAGGTCGGGTCGCTGAAAAGCTGTTCAGGAAAGGGCATCATGCCCTGTTGGGGCTGGAAGTACGGGACTTGCTGCGGCTGCTGGTTCTGTGGCATCCCTTGTTGCAAGCCGCACATGAGTTCTGTCGTTGGGCCAAGGAGCCGGTTGATTACTTCTGCGCATCGGGCGGCGAAGCGGTTGTTGCAAAATGATGGGTGAGTGAGAAGAGCTTTGGTGGTTTCGATGTCTTGCATCCAGCCCGGAGCTTCCGGGCTCGTGGGGTCAGTCATGAGGAAGACAACTGGGATTAATCCGGCTTGGAAAAGAAAGTATCTGTCAAGGGCGTCTGTCAGGGTATGTTTTTGAGTAGGATGGCAATGGGGACGTACAGCATATACCAAGCGCCTATCCTCGTACACACATAGTTATCCATGTACGACGATATGGAGGCGATTGTCAACCGGGCATTTTGCAGACAACGTTTTCGACATTCTGTTTCGGTAGGGTCCTCGTTGCTTGCATCAGAGCTGACGGAAGATCCGTCCGATCCACCGCTATGAGGGCCCCAACGTCGAGCGGCCCAGCGTAGAAGGATTGGGCGATAGATCAAAATGATCAAATTCCAGTTTCGCCATAAGAGTCTGTTTCGGACAAGAGCGATGGTATCTGCATCGGGTTGTGTCGGGTGTGCAGGACGGGTTGGAGGGGATAATGCATGTAAGAGGGCAGAGAGTTATACCACTCGTCCATGGGCTTCTGAAGATTCAACGTTTCTTCCGGGGTGACGCTTGGAGTAGAGATCAAACGCTGGTAGACGCGGTTGGTGAGGAGATGGAAGCGGGATTGGGCGATAAGGCCAGAATATAAAGTTGGCCCAGATGATTCAGAGGGGAGTGTGGTCGTTGACGAGACCAGTGCCTGGGAACATGTTAGTGATCTTTCCATGCCGCGTGAGTATATGCACCTGGACGTACATCGTCATGAATATTCAGGACCTGCTTTGCGTCCATAACATCTTCCTCTGGAAGCAAGATTGGTCGACCAAAAGTTTTGGCAGCACCGCTGTCGAAAATGAACACTCCCCACCATAGTCTGCGCCGGATTTCTCGTTGGAGCAGACTGATTTTCCAGCCAGGAAACTCCTTGTGGAGGCCAAGACTCATGGCCATCCGAACAGCTAACCCTAGCAAGTTCCAGCCAGTGTTGGGCTTGTTCCGTTTTTGGGCGTAGTTACTGAGGAGCAATAATGCCTGAACCAAGGTGAGATTTCCTGTTTCAAACACCAAAGCTTGCTGTAAGCACCCTCGAGCTTCTTGGTAGAAAGTGATATCAAGGTCCGAACTGTCGTCGCCAATGCTCCATGCGCCTAGAGCGAGGATGGTATTGAGCAGGATCTGCCAAGCAGTTCCATGAGGGCGAAGAGAGGGTTCGTGGAACTGGGCCCGGAACGTCGGTTCATGAACGAATGGATAGCTGGTGTGATAGTTCAGGAAATATGCGTCAATAAAGGCTTGTTCGATCAGCCCGGATGGCGCACTTTGCAACAGCTGTTCCTTGAGGGGAACGCCTCCGGATCTGACTGAGCGAACAGGAACATTCAAGTCAAACCCATGGTCAAACAAGGCTCTTAAGGGGACAACACTGGATGATGCCCCGAAATATCCAGCTCCTTCAGGCTTGATGGACAATGCGGCCATGCCATCCGTCAGATCACCAAGTGTGAGCTTTTCCTCGGCCCAATCAAATCCATCAGCTTGCTGCGGAAGAGCCTCTGGCGCGGGCTCTGCGCGGTCTGCTTCGGCCTTGGCTGGAGTCGAATGTCGAGATGATGTTTGAGATGAAGGTGCCGGAGGGGTTTCCTGGTTCTGCAGTAAAGAGCGAAGTGTAGCATCCAGGTCACCTCCTGGGAACAGCCTACTCAAAGCTGTTTCAAAAGCATGCAAGCGGTCTTCGACCATTGTCAAATGTCTATCGCGGTCAGTCCTGTTCTTCTTTTTCTTCCGGCATGATAAGTTTGGAGAGCTTACTGTCGCGTCAAGGGACTCCTCGTCACCTTAGGGCTATATTTACACTCCTTGTTCAACTGTCGGCACTGCAAGCACACCGGCTTCTCTTTGGAACACTTAAATTGGGTCAATAAGGTGCGCATCGAAGGAGTATCATAGAGTCTCTTACTCTTGACTTGCGGAGGCGACACTCATCGCACTATAGACCCAGTAAGCTAAGTTAAACATGTACCGGCATACACCATACATACAGCGAAGGAATGTGAATCTCGAGTACTGGCCATATTATCTGGACAGATCAGGTCGGTCGTGTTCTAAGTCCAAAGCGCTCTGATCATGACAACTCAACCAGGGAGTCATCTCCACAAAAAGTCAGCGGGACCATGCCAGACTCGAGGTGACATGTATCATGATGCTTGCATGGACGCGGGAAAGCTATTGCATGGCCCGCCAAGCAATATAAACGAAATTGGAGGAAAAGCTGCGAGGTTGCGCAGCGGGAGCTTCACTCACGATCGGCGCTCGAGCAATAATCAATCTATGAAGGCCGAGCAACTCGCGCGACAATGCGACGATGAAAGACGAGGCGCCGCAATCCGACTCCTCCCCTCATGGTGGGGAAGCATCACGTGACGTGCAAAAAAACTCATTTGGCGCCTTAGGCCCGGGAAGGTACGACCAACCTCCAAGATGTTGTTTTAGGTGTAGGGCTTACTGTATTGGAGGGTGCATTAATTTCCATTTCGATTACTTAATGACTCTACAAAGTCACAGTGCGCTTCCAACACTCAACAAATGACCGTGAGTAACTTTAATAAGAGCTAGCTACGGCGGTTAGTTATTCCCTTTTTATATACTTCGCATGCCCAATCATATATTCAAACCTGTGGACTTACACACTGCCAGCAGACTTTGAAATGCAAATAAAAATACTAGTTTACATAGAATTTTCCATCGGATGTAACTATATCCAGAAGAAAGAATGCTTCTGCTCCATACGTTGGAACAAATACGCCATTAATTCCCATCAGATCGAAGCTCTTGGCACGCATGCAAAAATGCGGCCAATCACGGCTGCTCTACGATTTTTTCCCTGGCTCCTATTAACCACACCTACCACTTCAGACAAGCTAACCCATGCCAGAGTAGCTTGGCAAATTCGGTCTTAACCCAGAATCGAGTTAAGGTGAAGTGAGCAACTTATTGAAAGGTTGAAATACCGCGAGCGCGACTGCCCCGCGATGCCTTCTCAACCCCCGCTACCGCCCCTCCTCACGCCATATCTATCATCTCATCCTGACTCGTCGCTCACCCTGGTTACTTCAATCTTAGGCGCCACGTCAAATTGGCTGATTCTGAGGTTTCTCCACTCTTCCCTCGCATCTCTATGGGCTCCTAATCCTTCGTTTGGGTTGGACGAGTCCAACAATGGCACTAAAAAAAAGGTTGTTTTAATAAGCTTCCTCAGAGGTTGGCACTTTTGGAGAACCGAGGCCAAGAGATTGGTAAGTCATAAGAGCTCAAGCGCCTTCGGTTCTGGCGATCAGCAGAATAATATCGCTGTGACACCATCAACCCAGTTCATTCTCCATGGCGATATGCTAATGATTCAATAGGGTCTTGATCTTGCACGCCTGGCAGATAAGAAGCAATTTGCATTCATCGATGGCTTGTCTGATCTATTCAATACCGCACAAGGATCAAGGTCCCCTGCAAATCCAACACCTGCCAGACCTGGGATCCCACAACGCACTACACTTCCAGTCCGAGGCCCGCCGGGCGCTGTGCCCGCGAGAGGACCACCTACTGCGCAGATTCCAAGCGCTGGCGCACCGGAAGGTACGACGGATAAAGGAGTCGCTCAGACACTCAGCTTCTCTGGACGTGGCGTTGCAGCATTAGATGCCCTAGAGAATGAGATACTGGCAGTCATTGCGCAATTAAAGATATCAGCCGAAGACGGCGAGGAGATACTTCTCGTCATTGATCAGCCTGATTTTTTGCTTGCTGCTACGGGCCCGAGCATGGATATCGGAGCTACGGAGATGGCAGAGTGGATTACAGGTCTACAGCAGGTAAGCCTTGCCTGGACCTATGATGGTTATTAAAACGAAGGGCTAACCGAGGGCAGAATGTGCATGCAACTGTAATCACGCTGGCTGCCGACTCCCCGTTGATCCATAACGCGTCTACATCGGGCATCCAAGGGTCTACGCCCATCGAGGGAGAGCATGCAGCTTTTGCGATTGGGTTGGCACACAGGGCACGTTCGGTAATGCAGCTTCGGACTCTAGAGACGGGGGCCGCAACTGATGTCAGCGGAGTATTGAGGATCAGCCGCGGAGGTGGTTGGAGCAGTGGGCCCGAGGACAACCTTGACGAAAAGGAGCTGTTGTATTATATCCAGCGAGATGGTGGAGTTCGGGTCTTTGGGCGCGGAGAGTCGTGAACACGAGGCTGCATGTTAATACGTAACTAAGCATTTTGTCTCTGGCGACAAAACTAGACAACAGGAATGATCTGCCCATGAAACGGCCAGAGCAAGCCAGGATGGCAAATAGAAACCAATGTGTAAGAAGATATCTTCGTATTTGGATCTGTCATGACATGGTAAAAATCGCCAGCCATGGACAAAAGTAGAAAAAGGAAATCCATGCATGTTTCCCTTGATTTTATGCCATCTCCTCACACCAACACGTTCCAACGTAACTTTTCCAGCCCTCTCGGCTCAGTTCCTCATGGGCGAGGTTTGTACCGGCACATCGAGAAAAAACAGAACGAGATCGACGATCGCACACCAACTCCGGGGGAAAGCGTTAAAATTTTGGAATTGCCATTTGCATTTCGAGTAATCTATCTCGCAATGCTAGGCCATGTCATGCCAGGATATCACCCCTCATTCATTTTCCAGCTTCTCCGAGAACGAACAACGCGACGCCGAATTGACAACGGGGAATTTACTGAGCCTCAGTACCGGGGCCACGGGCACCCTTGGGGGTACCGGTCTGGAAGCCGTTGGTGAAGCGGCGGTGGACGTCGCGGAGGGAGCGCTGGCGGCCGGAGCCAGTGGTCTTGCGGCGCTTGGCCTTCTCACCCCAGTTGACTATGAAAAGACATCCGTAAGCCAAATTTGATTCATTATACCAGTGTTTGCATATCGGCCATGCATTCGGAACCCAAGGAGTGTCGTCTTCCAGGGATCCGATCGCAAATGACTTCAAAGGAGAGGAGGGGGTGTTGCATACACTTGCGGGTCTTAGCGGAAGGGTAACCGCAGTTGGCACAGGTGTGCTTCTGGATGTGCAGGGACCGCTTGCCTGGAAGCAAGATACTGTCAGCGATTGTCCTATTGCTCGAGTTTCCAACCACCCCAATGTTGCCTGCCATCGTTTAACTCCTTCAATCCATGGTGTAGAGAGAAAAATTTCGCGACTGCGGCCCGGAGCAGTTGAATCCTGATTTGGGGAGAAGATAATACTCACCACAACGACGGCACAGAGTGTGTGTCTTGTTGTGGCGCTTTCCGAAGCTTGAGGTACCCTTAGCTGTGGTGGCTGTTAGTCTGGACGTGTCCGGTATTGCAAATGTTCGCGATGTGAGATTGAATGTCGAATTCGAGATGGGACGTACTCATTTTGAATTAAGGAACTGCAGGACAAATAGAGTGGTTAGTTATGAGCAGCAGAGACGTAGCATTTCGGCATATCAGAGGGAGTCAGCATACCTGGCGATTCCGTTGAAGGGCTGTTGTCGGTGGTCGTCGTCGCTAGGCGTATCGAATCTTCCGCTCAGTGGAGGAGAATCGGCTAAGATTGGTGGGTAACGTGACAAGGGCAAACCCTCAGCTCAGCCCCATGCACGTGATGCATATCCGCTCATCAATCACGTGATTTGAAATTTACAAAAATGAAACAAATGAAACGGCTTAGCACTTCGTTAGGGCGCTTTGTCACGGCAGGGGCTAGTTAACTAACTAACTAACTAGAATGCTAGTTGTTTTATTATTAAGGGTCTCTCCAATGTAACCATGTTATAATTGCTGCCTTACCCCGCATTATGGCCACAGACTACTTCGTGTGGATAACAGTACATGACTATAAGAATTTCCAATCATGATTTTATTTGAGAATGTGTAGCATGGGGTATTAATTGAGTCAACGCCGAGTATGACACGATAAATAATAAACTCAAAGGCAGAGTTCAATCCATTTGGTCAACGTAGTTAGCCATGGGATCGTCAGCGGCCAGCCGACTGCGTTTATAGGATTCAATCTCTTCTTCGGTGATCCCGGACTTCAATTCGTCCAACGTACGCTTCTTTCCAGTTGACTCATCTCGGTCCTCTTTGGTTGTCTTATCCGGATCTGTCTGTTGTGATTGGCCGGGAACGGAGTCTTTATCATCCTCAATAGCTCGATCGAGCATGAGCATACTCCCCTCTTCTTCAAAGGCTTTCTTTCCATCTTCTCCGGTGCAGTAGCTGTTTTTCACAGTAGAATAACAGCAAGAATAGCCCCATTTAAACTCGTACCACCAGCTGCCAAACACCGACTTGTGGTTGTTGGGCATAACATCCTCGGGGTACTTTGATTTGGTAGCCTTCTTAGGCGCGCCCTTTATGGCACCAGATTCGTCATATTCCACGAACCTCTCGTTCTCAAGTACCATAGTGTCACGTAATGGCGTTGGCTGTAGATGCTCGCTTCCACCATATTTCTCCAGCAGCGCTTTGCGAGATGACTCGCGTTTCGCCTTGGATTCCTCTTGCTCCTTCTTGCGCAAAACTTCGCCAGATGTCGGGTTCGCTTGTAAATGAATCTGAGTTGTACCCTTCTCTTGTGACTCCCAGGCATACTTCTGGGCCTTTTCAAACTCAGCGGCGTCACCAGAGGCACGGACAAAGTTCTCTTCTGCCACCAATGCTGAGGCCTGGTCCTCTTGCGCACCCATGTCCACCATCCGGCGGGTCTTGGGGTCGTATTTAGCAGAGTCGAGATCTAAGTTGAGCAGGTATTTAGCTGTATCCTCGCGGATACGCAGGTTACGCGTAGAGGTGCTTTGCCCGCGGCCCATGTCGGATTCTTCAGCATAGCGAAGATCTTCAAAATCTCCTTCTTCTCCATCCCCGAGCTTCTTACGCTCAGTTTCCCTCGCTGCTTGTTTCAGCCGTTCGATCTCCTCGTGCTGTTCGATAACATAACGGTGGTCGCTTGCGTCGTATCCATTCCAGCGATCCCTTTTGGCGTCCCACCCAAGATTGACGTCTTGTACGATCTCATCCGCTTGAATATTCTTGCCAGTCCAGCGCGCGCCTTTCTTGCGCGGCTTACTGAGGCATTCTTTCGTTTTATGCGTCATCGCGCCGCAATTTTCACAGGCACCTTTGCGGTACTTTGTCGCAGCGGGACCGGCGCGTTTTCCTCGGTCGTACCATTTTGACTGATCTAGGGCGGATTTTTGGAGACGCTGATGCTCGAGATAATCGGTGTTGTCGTCGTCGTCGATGTAGAAAGGCTTTTTCGAAATGAACGACGGGATGTACTCGTTGGGCTCCTTCGACGCCACGTCGGCCGGTTTTCGGGACGCCATGGCATAGAAAGCCTGCTCGAGAGGCCAGGCAAGCGTATGGAGTCTGCGGGATAAATTTAAAGTCTTTGGCGCAGACGACAAGACGGGTCTCGGTGCAATGAAATGAAGTAAAGCGTCCGGACCAACGTCGCTGATGCCAAGTCCATCATGGTCACGTGACCTTTAAATTAGATCGAGCTGCAGCAGCAGACAAATCTGGGACGAGAAATCCGTCTCTATGTTCGAGACGAAAAGAGCCAACCTCTTACCCCAAACAAACATGTTATTCACTCGGAAATAAACCCAATCTGTACTTTCTGTTGCTGCCACAGAGTGATCGGTTTGACGCGCCTTACTAAGCTGCATAACAGGCGCCGATCACTGGGTCACGTCAAGATTCCAGAGAACTCCGACGGAAACCAGGAAGTCTCACGGGCATCTTTATGACATATTCTCCCTCTGGATACGGGCGCAATGTCTCTAGCGCTCTTGGAAAAACTACACAAAAGCGATGGACCCCTTTCGCGTACGCCTCAACTGCATAGATCATTATCAAGCGACCGCGTCGGACCTAGATCCCCCATTGCCCTTACGAGATGGCGCGTCCGCAAAGGATTGGCGGCCTAAAGTGCCGGTAATTCGTGTTTTTGGGGCAACTGAATCTGGGCAGAGGGTCTGCGTGCATGTCCATGGAGTATTTCCTTATCTCTACATCGAGTACAACGGTTCCTTGGACCCCCAAGCTGGTATGTACATGTTTAACCATTTGATCGATTATTCCTTCCTGAGACCTCTTTAGTGAACTCGGCCACTCAGAATCTTCATCTCTCTATTGATCACGCACTGGCCGTTAGCTATCGTCGCAATGCCTATGATAGGAAGACTGCATATGTTGCACATATAACCTTGGTCAAAGGGATACCGTTCTACGGCTATCATGTCGGCTATCGGTTCTTCTTCAAGATCTATCTCCTGAATCCCTTCTACATTACCCGCTTGGCCGACCTTTTACATCAGGGCGCAGTAATGAAACGGCCCTTGCAACCGTATGAAAGTCATATGCAGTACATCCCACAATGGATGTGCGACTACAATCTTTATGGGTGCTCATTCATGGACTGCCGACGTGTGAGGTTTCGGGCGCCGGTGCCAGACTACTTGGAATTGAGTAATCCCGAACATGGTTGGCATGATCGTTCTATCGATCCCAAAGATATCTCGGAAGATCCTGCTCTGGGAAAGCAGAGTCATTGCCCTCTTGAGATAGACGTTTGTGTCCAGGATATCTTGAATCGAGAAAGCATCAGAGAACGCCCTCTTCATCATGATTTTTCAGAATTCTTGAGGCCAGCTGCTTCCAATGAGCGACTGGTCCCCCAGTGTGGCTGGGTTATGGCAGGACGAGACCAAGAGACGCAAAAAGCGGATGGGCATAAATGATCCTGGGAGCAGCCCCTTCGGCCCCGAAGAACTGGTCTCGATGTCTGCAGATCCTCGAAACGAGGCTCGCGGTGGTTGGATCCACGAGGATGAGTTTCATCAGTTGGCACTTCAAATTGCCGCTAATGAGAGGCTTGCCGATGGGAACAAGGACACCTCCTTTCAAACGTTCCTTAATCCGAGCCCATATGAAGCAAGCATCAAAACAGCCCTCGATAGTGTAGTGGACTTCTTCCCGGAAGAGATGGAACATTCAATCCAGGAGAATCAACATGCCGACTTGGACAACCCGCCGGAAGTATCCGTGGATGAAGACCTTGCTTTGTCTTCTCAACCAGAGGCCCATGTCTTTACTGACAATGACACTCATGGCCCGAGCTCGGAGGAAGCCACGAAAGAGCTGAGGCATATGGAAAGTGTTACGGTAGATGAAAGTTTTTACGACGGTATTTTTGACGACATAACATACCAAGATGAAGCATTAAATGCAAACAAAACTGCTTCAAACGAGGCTCACATGCCGCTGAATGGATATGATGGCAAGAATCCATCAGTTTCAGTGGACCAGTCCGCCCAGCTCCAACCAGGATTGGAGAAGGATGGCGTGACGCAAGCACTTAAACGAGAATCAGAAGAAACATCTGAGCAATCTCCAGCTGTTCCGAAGAAGCCGAGGTTTTGGAGACACTTATGATCCAGCGAAATATGAAGTGTCGAAAGCTTCACTTCCCAAGAAGAGCCAAGGCCGCCCAAAAGAAACAATGGACAAACAAGACACACCTAATTATGACCCTCATCATTTTGAGCCTCCCTCATCTGAATCGCGATCGTCTTCGTCACAGAAAACGGTTCGTGGAAAGTTGCCTAACAGCAGGCTAAACTTCCCCGTGGTTAAGGATCCACATGATCCGTTGACCATTCTGCGATTCAGTCAAGATAGCTCTCAGCGTTCTCATAAAGAGCCAGGATTGCACCAGCCCGTGCAAAGTTCACACCCACCAGGCTCTACTACCAGTGGATCTGGGGATGGAGCTATGCCTTCTTCCTTGTCTCTCCGTTCCTCTTCCACCGCCACCGCAGCTCCTGCCCTTGACATGCATGTAACAAAAATAAAACAGAAGTTATCATCTTCATTTGGCTTCTCGGAGGGCAGCTCTTTGTACATTTTTAAATGTTGCGCTCCTGGGACTGCCGAAGTCATGACCACTATGCATGATTATGGCCGTCCTGCTGTTGTGTACCAACAAGCATACTACAGCGAAGAATCCGACGTCCCTGACCGACCGCGCGAATATGCCGGGCGCGAATTTAGGCTTGAAAGTGATACCATCCACTATCTCCCTCCCTTCGACACATCGGCAAACTTGCCTGCCATGTATGGCGAACAGTATCCAACCGGGTTCGATCGAGTACGTCAGGAGAAACTGGACAAAGAGATGCGAGAGTCATGCTCTATAAGGCACTGGGAATTTGCGGCTGTCCCACCAAGTCGATCCGAAGTCAGAGAATGGTTTGAGAACCTGAAGGCGGCCCAAGAATCAGTTCCACGGAAGAACCCACCCAAGACGCAACTGCAGCAGGAAGCCATGTCACAGATTGAAGGACCGACCCAAAATCCGCATGGTTTCAAGTATTCGCAGAAAGCCAAAACGACTAGTGTTGAGCACCAAACTCAGTACATGAGCACGATGAGTATCGAAGTACACGTCAATACCAGAGGCAATCTGTCAGCAAACCCTGCAGAAGATGAAATCACTTGTGTCTTCTGGTGCATCCAGTCAGAAGACGAAGATCTCGATGTCAACAGCCACCTCCCTGGCGTTCATGTTGGGATGCTTTACCACGGTGAAGGTGAGAGACCCGAAGACAAAGTCTCAAAATCTCTGAAGATCGACACCGAACATGAACCTACCGAACTCGACTTGATCAATCGCTTGGTTGATATTGTAAGATACCACGATCCCGACATCATCACCGGTTATGAAGTGCATAACGGCTCATGGGGCTATGTGATCGAACGAGCTCGAAAGAAATACGACTTCGACATCAGCAACGAGGTCTCTCGAGTCAAAGCGCAGTCGCATGGCAAATTTGGCAGAGATGAAGACCGTTGGGGCTCTGACCATACCTCCTCTATTCAGATCACTGGGCGACACATGATCAACATATGGCGTGCAATGCAAAGCGAGCTGAATTTGCTTCAATATACGATGGAAAACGTGGTCTTCCATCTCCTACATCGGCGCATTCCGCACTATTCACACAAGGACTTGACCAAATGGCACAAAAGTGGGACGCCTCGCAACTTGCACCGACTCATTGAATACTATTCATCGCGGGTGCAAATGAACTTGGAAATCATCGAGGCCAATGAGTTGATTCCGAGGACAAGCGAGCAAGCTAGGCTGCTTGGAATCGACTTCGCGGCCGTTTACTACCGTGGTTCTCAATTCAAGGTCGAGTCTCTCATGTTCAGAATCGCAAAGCCAGAGAACTTTCTGCTTGTGTCGCCTAGTAGAAGGCAGGTTGGCCAGCAGAATGCTCTTGAATGTCTTCCGCTCGTCATGGAACCGCAGAGTGACTTCTATACAAGCCCTCTTATCGTGCTTGATTTCCAATCCCTTTACCCGAGTGTCATGATTGCGTATAACTATTGCTACTCGACCTTCTTGGGGAGAGCTGCGGGGTGGCGCGGACGGGACAAAATGGGCTTTATGGAATATGAACGTCAGCCACGGTTATTAGAGTTGTTGAAAGACAAGATTAACATCGCGCCCAATGGGATGATGTACGCAAAGCAAGAAGTACGACAGTCATTACTGGCCAAGATGCTTACGGAAATACTGGAGACACGAGTGATGGTTAAAGCCGGTATGAAGGCCGATAAAGATGACAAGATCCTTCAACGCCTTCTGAACAACCGTCAGTTGGCGCTCAAGCTGATAGCCAATGTGACATACGGATACACATCGGCATCATTCTCTGGTCGAATGCCCTGCTCCGAAATCGCCGACAGCATTGTGCAATCTGGTCGTGAAACACTAGAAAAGGCCATTGCCCTAATCCATTCGATAGACAGATGGGGTGCAGAAGTGGTCTATGGCGACACAGATAGTTTATTCGTCTACTTGAAAGGACGAACCCGCGATCAAGCGTTCGACATTGGAGAAGAAATCGCCCAGGCAGTGACAGAAATGAATCCGCGGCCGGTGAAGCTCAAGTTCGAGAAAGTCTACCATCCCTGCGTATTACTCGCAAAGAAACGCTACGTCGGCTTCAAATACGAGCATCGCAGCCAAAAAGAACCAGTATTCGACGCCAAGGGCATTGAGACCGTCCGCCGCGATGGCACCCCCGCTGAACAAAAGATCGAAGAAAAGGCCCTCAAACTTCTCTTCCGCACTGCAGATCTTAGTCAAGTGAAATCATATTTCCAGCGCCAATGCAACAAAATCATGCAAGGTCGCGTCTCCATTCAAGATTTCTGCTTTGCACGTGAAGTGCGTCTCGGTACTTATAGCGACCGCGGGACTATGCCTGCCGGTGCCATGATCAGCACAAAGCGCATGCTTGACGACCCGCGTCTGGAACCGCAATACGGCGAACGCGTGCCGTATGTCGTTATCACAGGAGCGCCGGGGTCTCAGGCTAGTTGACCGGTGCGTTGCGCCGGACGTACTTTTGCAAGATGCACAGCTAGAGTTGGACGCTGAGTATTACATCACGAAGAACATTATCCCCCCGCTGGAACGAATCTTCAATCTCGTGGGTGCGAACGTGCGCCAATGGTACGATGAAATGCCCAAGGTGCGGCGGATTCGACAAGTGAACACCTCGTCTACGGCTCGTACGGGTCAGCCAGGTCTTATGAAGAAAACCTTGGAGTCTTACATGCGGTCCTCTTCATGTGTCATCTGCAGAGAAAAATTGTCCGATGCCACTGCTACAGTTTGTAAAAAGTGTCTGGCGCATCCGCATCTATCACTCCTGGATGTCGTCTCACGATTGCAAAGGGCAGAGAAGCGAGTCGTTGATCTACACGCTGTATGTCGCTCTTGTACGGGTGCTTCGGCGAGAGATGAGGTGAGTTGTGACAGCATGGACTGTCCAGTCTTCTATTCTCGTACGCGCGACATGGCTAGTCTGCGCCATTTGAAGGATAGCTTGGAGCCTGTTATTGAGTTATTGGAACATAAAGGGGATGAAGGACTTGATTGGTGATTTTGAGCGTGAATCGAAGGCCTGGCTTGGCGTTTACGGCGATTTAGGGTTTACGGTCTAGTCCTAGGGGTTCTGATAACCAAGAGGCGTTTAGAGTCAAATACCCTACAATTAACCAGGTGCACCATAGTCCTTCAATATAGAATTAGAGAAGCTCTAAAGTAATAGTTTCTATTCCTTTCATGAAGGTCTTGGTATTTATTTTCTCACGCAACAGCAAGTATTGATTCTCCTAACGGCTCCCTGCGCGTAACCCGTGGCTATCGACGCCAGCAAAAAGTATGCACGTGGAAAAATCACGCATCTGTTTCACCGATCAAACTTAGTAGCTTCTCCACGGCAGGGAGATTGGTTTTCGACACATCCTCAGCCTCCACAATGTCATTTCTCTCCCCTGTATGTAGATCTTTGTCGCTGACTTTACTCCCCGGGTCACTATCCCTTTCCGGATCAGAGCCACCAGTAGCAGCCACATTCTTCCAAATCGAGCCCTCTTCAATGACGCCGCTCTCGGGGGACTTTTGAAGCTCGTCAAGGACAGCAATGACATCAGCATGGCTGTACATCTTCCCAGTATCGAGCTCTGCGTTATCTGGGTTTTGAACTTTGATGCGGCCTTGGACTATTTGGCATAAGATATCTTTGAATATCCAGGGGAAGCTGATCAGCGGAGTCTGGGGAGAGCTATCGAGGTCTTCGCTATCGACTGATTCCGCATCGTCAAACTTAGTCTGGCCTTTGTTGTTCGCCCCCTCTTGGAGTGCTACTTTAACCTCTTCGCTTGTGACGCGATAAGCTGCGACGACGAAGGGCGCCATGCTCTCCATTGTTCGGCTCCCCACCTTATCATAGCATTGTTGACGGACACCGTCTTGCAATATGGAATTCTTTCGGCCGAGCTCTTCGCTAAGGTTGTAGTCCCGACACAGCTGGTTGTGGCCGAGGACAAACGAGGACCAGACCTCGAACTCTGTTTGAATCTCATACTGCGCCATTACACGCCGTATGGCTGCATCATACTCAGATTTTAGCTGGGTGGCAAGCTCGGTCCACTTCAAACTTGCAGGGGCATAGGGGCTGTTTAGGACTCTCTCGTCGAAAGGGAGGCTGAGATTCGGTGCGTAGTCGGGCACTTCGACAGCATCATACAGCTGGCCGAGGATCTTCTCAGAGTGGTAAATTTGCTCAGGCCGCTTGTGTTTCTTTTCCATGAAGTGAGGCCACAAGCGGGGTTCCAGATCGCGGGTCATGATGGCCACAGCACCTGTTTTGTTATAGTCTACCGCGTCTGAGTGCAGCTGTGCAAGCTGCATACATTTCTTCTCGAGAACGCCGTTCTCAAGTCGATCAGCAAGAGCCATGTGGGCATGGGCTATTCGAGGAAGCGAGTCATTCTTCATGTAGGTCACAAAAAATGAGATGATTTCATTAACCGTCACGTTGCCGTTAAAGTCTGGGGCTTTTCGACTGGTGTATTTCATGGGTTTGACGAACCAATCTTTGGGGATAAGGTCCTGATCCCATATGACGGTGTAGTCATCCCCATCAAGATCCCCACCGGAGCACATGCTTGTGATAACTTGATCGCCTGTCTGTGGAAACACAACTACATTGTGAAGGTTCTTCAGCTCAGGTCGATTCACAGCCCGCACCACACGAATATCACCAGGATGGAGAGACGGGTTTCGAGCGACGATGCATATGCCTTCGATAATTTGGAATGTGTCGGCCCTGTCTTTGTGTTTGAGATCGATTTGGACAAATATCTCCGGGAGAGCCGCAACTCTCTCATCATAGGACGCATTGCCCCTCGGAATCTTTTTGTCGAAATGGCCTTTCAATACTCCTATTTCATCGATGCAACCGAGCAAAGATGCGCCTTGGTTGATCACAATTCTTGCTTTCTCTTTGACGGACTTCATGTGCCATGACTTCCATAACGCGACCACAGAGTTGATGAACGGTTCCTTTTCTCGCCGAAAGCCGCATTCAAGTACATGAGCAAGAGAGGCGGTGATTTGGTTGGGGTCGATGAGCTTATTGAGTGTTTCTATCGCACCGTGATGATTCTCCATTGCCACATCAAGATCTTCTAGCATCCCTCTGAGCTTTTTGCAGATTATTGCATCTGGAATTCCCAGTGAGGAGAGCACGAGAATCAGCTGGCGGTTGAGGGATGCCGGAGAATACTGAGAATGACGGATGATTTCCAGGCCAGTATGGTCTGACGGGAACTTGTCCTGGCTGGGGCGGATATGAACCTCCTTAGGCTGAGGGTCGTCAGAGACCACCAGCATGCCTTTGGAGCCTCCCAACCGGAACTGAAATGCACACGGATATCTTCCAGCAATGGTTTGGAATTTGAGTTCCTCGGTGGTCATCTGCGCAAGAAACCTGGAGATCTTGCCGACCCCGTCAGAAAAACACTGCCCATTACGAGAAATCTCATCACATTTCTTTACTTCGACAGGGCAGCCCACGACAGCACGAGTGGTCGAGAAGCATTGACCTATTCTAGCTGCATGCCTTGCGACATTCTTGATGTGACTGAACTGGCCCATCCATCCACGAATCTGAGACGCTTTTAAATGCGGCGTTGATGCAAAGAAATATGCCCCGTGTTCACGAAATTGGGAGTTCCCAAAGGCAAGGAACTCATAGTGGCGGTCTCCCTAGCATGATGCCATTCTTGAGTGTTCGCCAGACTCGAGTGAATATTTCATCATCGCTGCTTGTGGGTGTGGGCATGATGCGTCCTCTAGATTTCTCATCTGTGAATCGTACTCGAAGGAAGCGGTCAGCATGTTCGCGATAGCGTCGAGTCACCCGGTTGGAAATGTCAACTGTCGGAGTGTTGTAGTAAATCGTGGTTGGGGTGATCCGAGCAGTTCGCATGAAGCAACAATATGCCGGGATTTTCGAGTTGGTGACGCCTTTTGCATACGTAATGCTGAAAATATCCATGGGATCAGCATACGCGCGCTTGCAGGTGGCAACCTGTTCAAGGAGCTGTGTTGCTGCTGCTTCTCTCATTCTCAGTAACCTCAGTAAAAATTCACGGGTCATTGTGAACTCTGAGAGGATGTTCTGCGAAATGCAGACCTCAAGTTGGTACCGCACGGAAAACGGAAGATGAATCTGACGAGAGTCCAAGGTCAACATATCCTCAAACCAACCAATGGAGTCAGTATCTGAGGACGCTTTGTTGTATTCAGCTGCGCTGGTGTCGATCCAGTCCCAGACAGGAGTTGGACGCTGATACCGTCTTTCAACTTTTTGATCATCCTTGAATACGATGTTATGGTCCTTCAAGATATCATACACGAGTTGCATGTTATCACTGCCAATGTCGGTGGGGAAGGTCATCTCAAACACATGCCAGCGACCTAGGAAAAATAGAAATTAGCTCTGTGCAAATAGGCCCTGTGAGGCCAACTTACCGATATCAATGGCCTGCCCGGTTTGATGCAAGCTTGTTTTCTGCTTCTCTTGCTTCCACGGCCGGTCGGCCACGTTAGTTTGGCGATACCAGGAATCTCCGTCCCTCCAGATTGTGTCATGTTTCACTGTGGATTGAATGTCCAATACTCGGCGGTGGACTATTGGAGGTGAGTTTAAATTGGCAATAAAGGAAATTCCTTCAGCGTCGCGGCTGGCCGTTCGCCAGATTTGAGAGAGTTGAAAGAACGGAATGGTGAAGCGGTATGGCAACTGAGAAGTCACAACCTTATGCTTTGTATGAATGACCTGGATTGGGATTTTGAAAAATAGGAATATTTTCCGCTGCCTTGCATCGATGACCAGCTTTGGTGATGCTGATTCCTTGAAGGAAGACAGTGGACAAAACGTAGACGCTCCGAAAAAGATGCCAAAGTCGATCTTTACAAGTGGCAGCTCCTATACATGAAAAGAAAAATTAGCCTTCGATGTTTATTAAAACTGTCAGATGGCTTGTCACGGACAAACTCTGCGGGGTAGAAAACCCCTAGCTGTACGGGGCTGGGTACAGCCAGTGGCTGGCGGTTGAACTCGATGAAGAGAGAGATGGCAGCAATGCGGCCACTGCGTGCCCTGATCACATATGGTCCACGAGTCCAGAAGTCCTCTAAAGGAGGAGGCCTATATAGGTGTATGCATTAATATCAACACAAGTTCAGGACGTTCGCTACGACTCTGAAGAGTAGTAACTTAACTCACCGAAATCGGATCCTCCCCCGCGACGATCGTTCGCCATGTCTGTCATCCCAGATATCGATTGCCACAATCGACCCTTCCTTGTGAAAGGCATCCCATATGTCCTTGGTGTTGCACTCTCTAGGAATCCCCCGGAGGCTAATTGCCACCGACTCCCAGCTCCTCCATGTCGTCCACTGAATGGATAGGGAGTCTGGAGAGATCAAGGTAGAAGAAGCAACCACGGTGGAATCCATTATGAGAGGCAAAGGTGGAACGGGGAATGGACAAGGAGAGAGCTTTTTTTTTCAAGGCTGGCGCTGTATTGGGTGACCCTTGGGACGTTCGGAAACCTGGATGAGCAAGGCGAATTCCACGTGGCTTACACAGAAGCTCGTTTGTATCGAGGACATCTCTAGGCCTCAGGGAAAGGGATTGTGTAGGTAATACGAATCTGACGAAATGATTAACTTATAGGTGAGGTGGCGGCCTCCGTATAGTGACGGCTTATTCCGTAGGGTTAGCAGAGTCCCCTCCAGTAGTGTGAGACCCAACTTCAGTCAAGCTCACTCACTCAGTGAGCCAAGCAAACAGATAACATGAGACGCAAATATCTCAATTAATTCAATGAATGTAATGACGGAAGATTCTAGTTTACGGAAAGAGCAGTCTATCCTTCCAAGGGGGTTCTCACGCGCTGAATAGGGCTGCATTATAAGTATTGGGAAGGATTTTGACCTCAGTGTGCTTTATATTTAATATCTGCCATGTGACAGATAGGGTAATCTAGGTGAAGTATTAAGCCAGTTTCTTCGCTACTTGATTCATGGCTTCCACTATTATGAGGCTGCTTGGTCATGGGATCCTGTGAACGCTGTACTTGAGAAAATAAAGTCTCTGGGAGAACTCCAGGTCCATCGCAAGATCAACGTTCTGGAGATGATTTGCCCCCATCACGTCTACCTGTGGCCGATTCGACACGGGTTGAGTTGACTTGAGTTCACTTGATATCGATTTTGCGGGGTTCTTGGAGCTGTTGGAGCACATCTCTTGAAGAGGCTTCCGAGGGGAAGGGGTTTGGGGGCTTTCGGTGCTCGGGCCCATTTTTTTTTCTCGGTACTAAGGGTGTCTTAGGAGGCAGTAGCTGGTCTAGGTTGGTTGAGAGGCTGTTTCCTTTGGGTCGCTTAGGACTTCGCTCTCGGGGATCAAAAGCCATGGTATCAAAAGACTCTGCTAGGTGAGTTTCCTCTTCGTCATAGGCTTGCTTCCCAGTATCCCTTGAGCTTTTCCTCTCGGAACTTTTGGCCCGTTGATGCTTGCTTGATGTTGCGGGTATTTGCTGCTGAGGGACAAACCCCATGACGTTCATCAGACGCCCGATGTGCTCTTGCGCTTCTGAGAATTCTCGAGCTTTGGCCGCCCTTTCATCATGCAACAACTGAATCTATGGGGCAAGGTTAGCGGTGGCTTAAGAATACTTTTGACGGGAAGCCTACTTTGCGCTCCAACTGGGCAATGTGTTTGTTCTTCATTTGAACTTCGTTTGCTGCGTTGTGTGTGGCTTCATGCATGGCTGAAAGTAGGCGCTCGTTCTTCTCCTTTTCATGCTCCAGCTTTAGCTAGAAATTAGCAATCTGTCGGAACCCACAGGCCGGGCCTAGACGTACCTCTTCATGGACCTGGTTGTTTTCAATCCCATGCTTGGCCTTCAATTCTCCCATTTCGAGTCGACTCTTGGCTTCCACTTCTTGCAAAGTAGAGCGGAACCTCTCAGCTTCAAGTGTTTGTTGCTCAGCCTAGTGCGTATCAGCATTGTATCTCCTGTTGATCTTTAATGGGACAATCCCACCATTGTTTTCATCGTCTCCATTTCCATTCGCATATCCTCGGCGTCGGCTTGATGGCGCTTGATTTCATCTTCTTTGCGAGCGCTAACACGCGAGCTTTTTTCAAGTTGCTCTTTCAGCTCAGCTACTTCATGTCGCAAAGTGGTAGACAAGATGGCTTGCTCCTTTGCAGCATTGTCTAAGGCTTGTTGTACTTGTGCTTTCTCGGAGTGAAGTCGATGCACCTCTTCTTGAAGATCCTCGATTTGATCATCTTTTTCAGTGGAAATTGCAATCAAGTCCAGCTCCCGAGTTCGGGCCTGTTCTTTTTCTTGCCGAATAATCTCTTCGCTGTGGTTGGACTGCGCTTCTAGTTGGCTTCTTGCGGCATTAAGCGACATGGACAGCTGTTTTATTTGGCCAGACATAGACTCCGTATTTTCTTCCTGGTCATTTACTTCCTGTCTCAGGTCAGACAGCACTTGCGCAGCCTCCTCGAGTTTCTTCTCCAGTTGCTCTTTTTGGCGCAGAAGGACCTCTGTCTCCAGTATTTTTCTATCACACTCGGCTTCTGCGAGGCGTAGAGGGGCTTCGACTTCGTAGCACCGGCGCTCCAGGTCATAGCAAACTTCTTCAATCTTCTCCATCAAAGTTTGGTGAGATTCTTGAGCATTTTGCTTGAATGATTCTGTGATGCAAGTACGCCAGTCGCGAGGAACTTGCGAGGACGGAAGGTTCGGAAGGGAGTTCAACGAGGCTTGGCCTCGGAGGCTGCTTTGACAAGAGACTGAGAATCGGCAGATGCCATTGCTAAGGGAGCTCGCAGATCGGTCAACAAAGGCTTTCATCATAATTACACCCTGATCATCGCCACTGCGGGTCAATACTGCTGCGAAGTAGATTTCAAACAATGTTAGCAAGATTTTGTTTTGCAGCTCCACTTTAGCAATATGGCAGGTCTCTAGGCCTTCACATTGCGCCTGGCTTGAAACGATCGGGAAGGCCTCAAGTATATTCGCAATAGTCTGCTGGGTTGAGACCGAGTCCAGAATTGCAGAAGATAACACAGGAGACTTTGAATTTTGAAGCCCTGAAAGAATCATCCCGGACAAGTGGAGATCAGATAGGGAGTTACGGTCAGGTAAGGCGTCATTTTGCACAGCCTCAAACACAAATCTTAAGAGGTGGTAAATCACGGATCCGTCCGTTTGCTAGAACCTTGTGAGAAGCATATCTCACGCTATTCTCAACTGAGGCAACTTACAGTCACTGACTCCGCTAGCCTTGGTATGAGATGATGGGGCATGACTCCCATCACCCCTCGGCTACCCTTCGAAAGGAGCACATTAAGGCCAAGCTCCCGGGTATGGGAAGGCAAATTAGCGACGGGGAAAATACATAATAGGAAAGCCACACCCTGAGAATATTTTAGCAGACCTTTCAGGGTGACTTAGCTCCCAACCTTACCATCATCTGGACTTCCTGATCGAGGTCGTCTCTTGCTACTTTCTCACATAGTTTGGCGATCTTCGGCGAATTTGTAGACATCCAAGCCTGCTTTTGCTCCGGATCAATAGCATCAGCGATGCAAATAGCGAGTCGGATACTTTCGGCCGCTTGGGATGGAGCTAAGTTGTTGCAGTTTACTGAGCAGGCCAAAATGACACGGAGGACAACCAAGTCCAATGTCTTGAGACCTCTCTTTGGTCCGAAAAAATGTTGAATATTAAGAAGCCAGGACGGGGCCTCTGGTCCGTGCTGGTTGCCGATGTTCTGGCATTGAGGCGATACGATTCGAGCAAAGGTCGCTAGGCATAAGAGGTTGCCCATATGATCATCCAAGTTCCGAAGGGCCTTCGTGAACTCCAATTGCATTTTTCCCATTACTTCTAATGGAATCTCATGGCGTATGAGCAAAGAGCCTTGGAGGCCATTCATAATGCTGTGCAGAGGAAGGACATTTTCAGCGCGTGGTTCCTCTGCTACTCGGGAAACAAGCATTGTAATGAGGTCGGCAATTCTCATCGGTGGAATGAAGCCTGAAGGTAGAGGCTGAGAAAGAATTGTGGTAGACACAGAGATGTACTAGGTCTGTTAGCTCAAGTCGAGGAGCTAATATGAGCGCACTTACTTCGGGATCTCCGGTTCCAGCAGCCCTCTCGACGAAAGCAGCCAATGTCGCTGGATGTCGACGGAGAAACGCATCTCTAAAGTGTACCTCTGAGCCTTCATTTTATCAGTTGTATGGTCTTTGGCGTCTTGGAAGTCACAGCATCTCACCAAAAACGCTGAGCAACGGAAGGGCTATTCGCGACCGCGATAGTGCGTCAACCAAAACATCAACTAGCAAGCCGACCTGACATGGCTTCTGTGTACTCCAATATCGAATTTTTAGTCTGGCATCGGTCTGCACAAGCGCATACAAATCCTAAGCAGAAGTGTTACCATGGGTACATTGACGCCAACAACAAACCTCCCACGCACTTGCAACGACGGAACATATGGCGCAGTGACAACGCGCTCAACCTCGCGCACAAGGCGTGAAATATCTTGGGCCATGTTCAAGAGGTCTGCCCAGGTGTCGCAAGCGGTCTTGATAATCCTCTATTGCCTTCAATTTAGCACCATTTGTGGGTCGCGGCAAGAACGGGATGACTGGGGGTTGCTGCGCCAACGGCCTGAGGTCCCTTCTGCCAATCATATCTGTATGGCTCGTAGGCAGCAGCGTCGATCAGCTCGATCAAACGTGAACTCCAGCAATCGAAAATACATTTAGAAAGTGTGAATCACAGTCGTGCCAGACTCGAATATGGATCCCCATCTTATTCGAAAGACAAACGTTGATAAATGGATTGTTGCCAATCCTGGACAAATTGCTCCTGATATTATCAATAAATTGATACCTCTCAACAAGGTCGGTTTCATGGTCTAGTGGTTATGACGTCAGATTCTGAAGTTCTCTTCTGAATCACTTCTTCTGAAGAGCCCGGTTCGATTCCGGGTGAGACCTCAATTTTCTTTTTGACCTTTTTTTGCTCGCTCATTCCTTCTTTCGCCTTTCTACCGACCACCTATCTATCCATACTTCTCATTCCTTTTGCCTTCCGTTAATTTTCTTTTTCCTCATCTGTACTCCAAAATCGCCCTTCTCAATGCCCTAGCGTAGCTACTAATATTGGCTTATCAAAGACAGTTCGATCGCTTGCTAGTTAATTATCATGGCCAGCTACTGTCAAGCAGGGATTTGGTATGATTTTCGGCCAGTCCTCTACCCGCAGAAGCAACCAGTACCATTCTGACAGCTGTGTTGTGCAGGGGAGCGGCTTTTGTTCTGATAACCAGAAAGCAGCTTCATGTCTTAGTTTGGATAGAAGCAGATGGCTGCGCCGCAGTGTATACGTTTCAGCGCACTGAATTTGAGAATGCTCTTGACTCTGGATGTCTGGCGCTCTCACCAGAAGGGTGTTGATAACTTGAGTCCTTCTGGCGACCTGCATAGTGACCAGCACACTTAAGATATTTTATGTATAACTAAGTATATTGGTTAAGCGAGCATCCTCACTTGGTTTCAGGTTCCAGTCATGAACCAGGGATCAGGAATTTACGATGGAATTTTCAGATTGCATTTCACAGGTACCTGGGCGCCAAACCTTGGGAGAGCGGGGACCACGGTGAGATTGAAGCTTTTGAAGAAGAATCCCACCGGTGTCTCAAGCGAGATTGTCTGTGAAGGAATTTTACGAAAGACCTCAAGTCACTCAGCTCCCTGAGCACAATTTGAGGGATATCAAGGAATCCAGCAAGCTGCCAGATCCAACGAGTTCATAATGTGATTTTCACTGAGACTAAATGGCCTGGCTGCGACACCAACTCGTGTTGCTACATCCATGAGAACCTCCCCTCTTAGAATCTTGCTGCCGTACTATGCTGCTGAGCGGGCTTCTAATCTCCTATCACTACCGACACCGCTATTTTGTCCGTCCTCGAACGACTCATCAGAGGAGCCAATTGCTGCCAGAGGACCTGAGCAAGCGTCTTTAGGGGCCGACTCCGAGTCAGTGTAGCTTTAGGATTGGACCTTCCTTCTCCCACGTCGCTTACTACATGTAGAGTAAACGAGAAGGACCAGGATCAAAAATAGTGACATAGGCCAGTAGTTAATCAACAGGGATATCAACGCTCCTGGTGTTGGTGTCTCCTGTAGCCGAATAATCTAGCAGTTACTCATTACTGCCTACTTCTCAGCGGTCCATCTTTCGAAGGAAAATGCTGGTTGATTTGGACGGACCAGAAGTGATAAATCCCCGCTATTCTTTTCTCCATCAAAGACCCTTTCCGGCTGGCGGGAGCGAAATACAAGCCGGATCGACTTTACATGGGCGATTGCTGGCACAGTCTCTAAAGTAACTGTGTGACGAGCCTTCGATATACCCCAATAGGTCTGGTGATAGGCTCAGAGTCTTCATTGCACATGACTGTTCGAAAGTAGATGGGTGAAAGGAAAGGAATGTTAGCTCCCAGCCTTCCCCGGTCAAAGTACTACTGGCAGTTAACGGTTTGGATAACAGAGATGAGAGTAGGCCAAAAATAAGAGTCAAAAAAGAATCATATTGAGGTCTCACCCGGAATCGAACCGGGCTCTTCAGAAGAAGTGATTCAGAAGAGGAACTTCAGAATCTGACGTCATAACCACTAGACCATGAAACCGACGATGTGGACACAGCCAAATTTTTCGATCCACAAACCAAGATGTGTTCTGCCTTCGCAACCTGGGTTCCCTGTATTGGACATAAAGTCAAGAGTCCCCATGCACGATAGCCGTGGTAGAGTGCGGCACTCGCATTTACCCATACAGGCCCCGATTGCGAAAGGGTATACCTGGCCTGCCACTTCTTTTCTATTGCATCCATTCCATCTCATCATACCATTGGTAATTGATTCAGTATAGCTGTGGGCCTTTGCCATGGTAAATATAGGAACCTATGGGCAAAATAAATGGTTCGTACACAAAAAACCGAAATTAAAGGTGGCTTACATGGCCCGGCGACTGCAGGAAATGCATGCTGGACTATCATTCAAGATGTATGTACTAGTGGCGTGTGGCGTTGGGTGTAGCTTGAATAAACAGGCCTACTGAGAAAAGGAATGCCCGCACACACTTGTGCATGTGTCGGCCCTTGTAGCTCAGTTGGTAGAGCGCAGCACTGTAAGGCCTTCTGCCAGCTAAAGTTCTCAAAAACCACACTAACGAAAATAATAAAGTGTATTCATACATATGATATGCTGAGGCCTTGAGTTCGACTCTCAACGGGGGCATATGTTTTTGGCGTTTTCTTCTTTTGTCCCTTGCTTTGGACTTTCTGCGTTTCCGAAACGGTATAGTAGCGACTTACAACCGAACATACATTCTCTATCCTCTTTTTATTTGAATGCATATGTCAAGGCACTGCTCGGGAAATCGGCGCACTCAAGTTAGTAATTCAGTCTAATAACTAACATTAGAAAAAGGTGCGATGGGGATGTAATAGAGGTAAAATTGCCATGTAATAGAGGTAAAATTGCCATGTACTCAATCTGTAGCTAACTCTACGCTGGATCCTTTCGGGCGATCGATCTCAAGCTCTCGAGTGGTTGGTGGACCGGGTTGTATAGGGTTTGAGTGAATGTGGACTTGAATAAAGATTAAGTGGTTCTTTCGCTGAACCAAGAGATACCAGGTTCCTGCTAGGCGGAGCTGTTAAATGTCTCGGTCTAATCTGGCTATGTTGGTTGCTTAGATACGACTGCGAACTCTAACTATTGCCACATAGTGACGGACATATGCGCTACGAAAGCAACGTAGTACATGTACTAGAGAGCGGCAGAAGGACAGTGCAGCCCGAAAAATGAAGTACACTTATGTTGGTGGGAAGAAGAATAGAGGGAAAGGGTTTCAGACAAAAAAGAGAAAAATAAAATTGAGGTCTCACCCGGAATCGAACCGGGCTCTTCAGAAGAAGTGATTCAGAAGAGAACTTCAGAATCTGACGTCATAACCACTAGACCATGAAACCGACCTTGTTGAAAGGCACTAATTTCTTGACAATATGAGAAGCAGCTTGGCCAGGATTGGCAGTTCGTTCGCCCCGGCTTTTGCCATCTCAAAGAAACTACACAGTGTAGACCAGACATTACAATGACGCCTGGCCTGCTGAATGAATAACAGGTTTCCAAGTCCGCATCATATCTAACTCCCAGTTTGCCTTGGCTGCACTAGTATATTACCACGGAATGACCAAATTCGAATTTTCATTTCCATAAATTTGTCCTCTGGCGGCCGAGCTGTCGGTGCGATATATATAATGTGGTCAATGCAAGACGAACTTTCGCATTGCCCGCACTCTTTGACTAGGGACTAGTAGTGTTATTGACACCCTCGTGCAATAATACACTAGATCAAGCTATGATTTTCAAACGTCCAAAGGCCTGGAATCATCGCAGCGGATGTGTAGCTATCACTATGCCAGTAGCTCGATGCATTTCTAATGTTCGGAGGCGATAACACTCCAGAGCCGACAGAACGCAGTTCCGAATAGACAGAATCGGCTTGCTGGCCGACATCGGGCAGGATCTCGTACATTCCGGGGATGACCCAGCCCCCCCAAAGCGCGCCAACGTGGGGAGTCCAGCCTTCCCCGCATATTCCTTTGGAGGCTTGGCGATCATCCCAAGCCTTTCTCGCCAGCTTCTCCATGATCCCGGGCGATCAGTCGGGGTTTGCCGAATACGAGAGAATTTTCAGCCCCCGCCATTGACTTACACTGACAAATTTGTTCGTGCTCTGTGCAATCTCGCTTTCTGAACATCCTTGCTTATAGAGACCAATTCAAGGGCCGAGCGGAACCGTAATGACCGGCATGGATTCTGGACGGTCGGAAAGAGACGACCATTTGGCTCACCAGGAGATGCAGGAGAAGCTGCAAGCCTGCCAAAGTGCAAACTCGGTAGGGGTTACACTGGCTGAGCTCAGCAGGATATTGCGCAAAGTCGATCTTCGTGTAATTCCAACCTTGGCGGTTTTGTACCTCCTAAGTTTCCTCGACCGAGGTGGGTGTTCAAGTTTAAGCAAAAGAGCTCTTGGCCGCGCGACCGCCGCTAATCTGCGCCAGGGAATATTGGAAATGCCAAGATCCAGGGACTGGCTACAGACCTGGGTTTGGAGGGTCAGCAGTATAACTGGTGATTATGTCCCCTTTAAGTAAATCAGGCAATAGCTGACGCTTCCAGGTGCCTCACGGTGTTTTTCTTTCCCTACTCATTCCTAGAGCCATTATGCAACTTGCTGTTGCTTAGATTGAAGCCTAGTATTTGGCTTCCATCTATTATGGTAGCATGGGGGTATTGTGCTCCATCCAGTGACCAGACGTGATTGGCATCCTAACCATGATAAGGTGTTGTTATGACCCTGACGGGACTGGTCCAGGGCTATTCCGGACTATTAGCTGCTCGGTTTTTTCTTGGTCTGGACCCCATCATATAACACAAAGCGAAGTATTAGTCTGATTACTTACTTATACAGGTCTAACGGAGGCTGGTCTCTGTATGATTGCGACCCCCAGTCCTACCGACACATCTAACTTGGCTATGTACAGTCCCGGGCCTCGCGTTCTACGTATCACTGTGGTGAGCTTCATCCTGCACTTCAATAGCTCTTCTGAAAGCTCACGAAGCTAGGTACCCGCGGGAGAATGCTCAATTTAGGCTTGCTCTGATTTTTGCCTCGGCCTCTATGGCAGGTGCATTCTCAGGGCTGCTGGCTTATCTAATTAGCATGATGGACGGGGTTGGCAAGCTAGAAGGCTGGCGGTGGATGTATGTCTCGTTTCTCCAAGAAATAGAGGTCCAATATGCATTAACAACCACCGTCCTAGATTTATACTGGAGGGCCTTTTGACAGTTATTGTGGCCGTCGCGTCCTACTTCTTTGTCTGGGATGAACCCGCAACTGCAGATTTCCTCTCGGAAGAGGAGAAGATGGCTCTTGCCGAGAGCTTGAACTACGTTCAAATCAGCGCATCAACGAGCGCACAAGTTGGGAACGAACACTCTTTCAAATGGAAGCACGTATCGTCGGCGTTGCTGGACTGGCAGGTTTGTTTAAGAATATTGACTTTGGACTGTGACTAGGTGACTGACTTGGTAATCAGCTGCTTTTCCACTGTATGAACTACTGGGGAGTGGTAAGTTTCTAAGCGTGATCGTCTTGTACCACGGTCTAACGTGTGGTATCTAGGCGGTCGCAGTATATGCATTATCACTCTTTCTCCCGAGCATCATTGCCGGACTAGGTTACTCCAGCGCAATCGCTCAGCTCCTCACAATTCCAGTCTACGCAGCTGCTACGATATCCTGTATCTTGGTAGGATACTATTCAGATATAACCGGCCAGCGAAGTCTTTTTACCTTTGGCTGCTATACTGCTGTGATTGTTGGATTCATTATGGCAGTTGCCCCGTCTGAGTTCATGCCTGGTCTCACATACGCTGGATGCTTTATCGCTGCATGCGGAATCTATCCTGGTGAGTACAACTGTAACCTTTAACCTTTTGACGTGCCGCAGAATAAACATAATAACATCCATCGCAGCTATCCCCGGTCTGCTAGCTTTGTCCTCGAATAACTGGGCCCCCAATACAAAACGAGCTGTGGGATTAGCTATTCAAATGGGATTCGGGTCCATGGGCGGTGCAGCAGCATCTAACTTCTACAGAAGTGAAGATGCACCGAGATACAGACTGGGCCATATTCTGGTCCTGATATTTGCTGCGATAGGGTTCTCGACCACGATTGTCTATTATTTTATTTGCCGCACCTTGAACGCAAAGAGAGACGCAGATGCAGACCGGGTTTATCAATACACGTCCGACGAGCTGGCTAATATGGGCAACACCGCCCCGAGCTTCAGATACAAGCTCTAGCCGACCCTCAAGACTTGGATCACTCAGAATTAAGAAAGCGAAAAAAAGAAAAAAAGAAAAAAAGAAAAATAAAAACAAAGTCTCATTCTCAGCATTGGAGCTAGACGATGAGTTGTATTTTGCAAGAGATAGTACCGATCATAACCATGACATAGCCATGTTCTGTTCTGAATCTAACACTTGAAAATAGCGATCGAAAAGAGCCGCGCTCCACTGACAGGATGTTCCGGTCGTAGGAATCGAGATATCCAAAGGGTCTACGCTAGAACCAGGTTCCAGTACATTCGCACACGCCTCTGTCAATTTGCCTTGTGAACTCGCCTGAACTCCCATCGCATCTGTTGGCTGGGGATTATACGTCCCCCCCGTAATTTCAGATTGCAGGTTCAAGTCGCCAGCATGACCTCCACCTAGCCCAGCCTCTTCCACTCGTGTCGATAGCATCATTGACGGTCCTCCAGGGCTATCAAATTCAGTCGGCAATGGGCCGAATTGAGCTGGATTATCGCGGTACATCTGTCTTGCCGAAAAAGCATGCGAGCGTAGACCCTCGATCTGTTTCCATCGATCATCGAAGACAACTTCGCTATGATTCCTCCAGTACTCGTATATATCCTCTGCTGCTTGCCATGCGGAGTCGGTTGTGCTACCCGACGGAACCAGAGATAGATTGATGAAGAGGTACGTCAGAGCATCCCACTCCACATACGTTTGGAAAAGCCAGAGCCATTGCTTTCCATTCTCATAACAGCGAAGTGCGCGGGCACTTTTCAAGATTTCCACGCAAGTGCGCCGAAACCCTTCCTGGGTTATGATATGCTGGTTCTGTCTGGCCTTTGGTTTGATCACGTTGAGCTTGAGCTTGGCAAGGACCAGCCGACTGGAAGCTGCAGTAATGTAATCCACCGGAATATCATGATTGCAAAGAGCTAATATCTGCTCCTCAATCTTTTCTCGGGCTATATCAATCTCATCACACTTTTCTGATATCGATAAAACCGGATAGGCATTCTGTTGACAGAAACTGTCTGAGAACATGATTCGGCGAACGAGAGTGCTAGTATTGTGTCTATTGAGAGTGAATAGCATCTCTGTTCTTTCTGAGCTTGATTGGCGTATTTCACTCATTCCGGGATGGAGATTCAAATCATTGATGCTCAGCGGAAGCCGTGTCGTAACCGAGGGCTCTGATATGCATGGCTCCAAGCCATGGTCTTCGGCATTTCGGACATCTAGTGTATACAGCTGCCACCAAATTCGACGCCGCATTTCACTCTCGAAGGGAGAAAGCATTGAATTGCTGTCAATTTTGTCCAAGCCATTCTTTTGGGCAGTTTTGATAGCGAGAGATGTTAGATGCTTGACATCGGGACCCCTCTTGTCGAACCTTCCGCAGATCTAAATTCTGTTAGTCTCGTTGAAGAGTTTCAGTCAAGGAGCTCTTACGATGTAGATTGTGAAAGCTTGAAGAAGGGTCATATCCGTTGACTGTAGAAAATCAGCTGCTGTGAGGGATTTCTCCACCCTAGCTCGATATCTATAAAATTTAGAAGAATGTACATGCGGCGAAATGTACTAGTACCCTTACTCTCCGAGAATTTCTTCCCTTCCTCTGCCAAATTCATGCCAGCACTCATCAACTGATGTAGTGACAACCGCAGAGTAGCATATAGAACCTATCAGAGCTTGCATTTCGATACCGCCAGTAACTCGAGCTGTGGCGACATCTACTATCTTTTGCTGGGTAGTTGGGACGTGGATCATCTTCAGAACAGGATCCACTCGCTCCAAAAATCGTTGCCATAGTGATAATATAGTTGTCGTGTGGAAGGAGGCTTCACTACTAGAAGTAGTATTGGTGCTCGCTGGTGTGTTGAGGGAATTCTTTTCAACCACCCTGAACGGCGAGCTCCGTGGACCCCATTGCGTAAAGCTGCCATGCTCCTTGATGAGGGTTACTATATCATAATAACAGGAACGGAAATGTGCCATTTTCTTACTTCACCTTCCCGCTGCCTCTGAAGGTCAGCTCTGCTCTGGGCCAGGGGTTGCGAGAGCGGACTTGACAGCACTAGTTGACTGATCTGAGATAAACTCCGCCCAAAAGTCTCTAGATTCTGTTCAATCCTCTTAATACGAGAAAATACATCCGTGTCGGTAATAGAGGTAGAGGCTTCTTGAGTGACATGCCTCTCCCTGGAATGCCTTGGTGGAGGGTAGCGACAGTCGATTCCGATCTTCACGCAGTATGAACAGGGGTGAGACTTGTCACACTTGATCTTGCGGCGATGGCACTCAAGGCAGGACCTTCTCGATGATTCTCCCGTCAGCGCCATATTCTGTAGGGCCTATCAATGGCTTAGTATGATACAGCCAGCATCAAAACGAACGTGCTGAAAAAGTATGCTGCGTTGGTTGGCCAGGGCGGAGGTGCGGAGGTGCGGAGGTTCGAAGTCCGCAATTTCTAAGCATCGGTTGGTTTTTTTGAGTTCCCCTTTTTCGGATCAAATGGGGCGAAATTGGGTACGCAGCATTTATGATTGGCTACAGCGGACAAGCCGCCGCTCCTGACCGTCGTGCTCAGTCATCATCCCTCATAACTAGTTCCAAAAGCGATGCACGCGGTTATGGAGTCCTCGGGGCCATCAAGGTTACTATACCAAGTCATGGATCAAGTTCAGACTATAAAAAGGGATAAATATCCCATAAATCTGGTCTCAATAAACTCAGAAATCATCTTGAAAGCATAAGCGGACCTTCAACTCTCTCAAGTACATCTCTTCCAATACCGAAGCAGCAAACAACAATGGCTTCCATTTTGAAGAACGTGGTGATCATCGGGGTACGTTTTCACGAAGGCTCTTTTATGCCCAGTAAAGAGAAAAAGTAAAGAGGAGAAAACTAACAAAATTATAAGGGCGGCGGCAACATTGGCAAGATGGTCTTGGATGCCCTTGTTTCTTCCGGTCAATTCAATATCAGTGCCATCCAACGAAAGGAGAGCAGTGCAGTTTTCCCGTCAGTGGTCAAGACAATTAAGTCCGACTTCTCAGATGCAAGTCTCGAGGAGGCTTTCAAAGGCCAAGATGCTGTGGTATCCACTGTGGGAGCCACTGGCTTCACCGAGCAGCAAAAGTTCGTGGACGCGGCTCTGCGTGCCGGAGTCAAGCGGTTCATCCCTTCGGAGCTGTCTGCTAGTAGTGAAGATGAAGCTGTGATCGAGCTCCTGCCGCTTTTTGGAGTGAAGAAGAACCTCATTGACTACCTCAAGAGCAAGGAGTCTGACGGACTCTCGTGGACTGGGATTGCTACGTCGGGCTTGCTTGACTGGGTAAGTGGTACTATGTACTCTGTATCTTGAGTATTTCTAATGCGCCACTCAGGGCCTTACTACTGGCTTCTTGCAGTATGATCTTCAGAAGCATACTGCTGTTATCTGGGACTCTGGCGACAAGAGATTCACCACTATCAATGAGAAGGCTCTTGGACAGTCTGTCGTCTCTGTCCTGCAGCACCCAGCGGAGACTAGCAACAAGTATCTGTACGTTGCCTCGGTCGAAACTTCACAGAACGAACTCTTGAGGGCCTTGGAGAAGGAAACTGGCACGAAATGGTCTGTAACTCGTGTGAAGACCGATGAGGTAGTCAGCGAGGCTCAGAAGCAACTTGCAGCCGGTGACTTTAACGGTGCCTTTAGCCTGGTCCGCGCCATGGTGGTTGGAAACATTCCTGGTCTCCGTGCAAACTATGTGAAAGACACGGACCTTGCCAATGATCTGCTCGGATTGAAGCTTGAGACTGTTGAAGAAACTGTAAAGCGAGCGTTGTCGTAGTAGCCTTTGGACTGAGCTCGAGTTCTAGACTCCTTACTAGGATAATGACCCGAATCTAATCCATCTTCAAATTCCGGAGTAAACTGTCCGACTCCGGACCACTGGCGGGGCTTCAAAACTTGTAGTGTGGCTGTTGAACCAATAAAGTAAGAGAAAATTTTGGCCGATACAGGTGGGTGACTCAGCGACCAGCGCGGGGCGACATCACCATTCGATCGCGACTCGACCAGCAATTCAGCTCATCAACGTTCGATTGGTAAGTACATTTGGATTTCTTGCTTGTTTCGTGGTCCTTGTGGCATTCTGAGGGTCCTCTCAAGTAGTTAAGTCATCCACGCGCACTTGTGGTTCCCTGCAACTAATCATGCGGGGTACCCAAGGGTTGGCTTAAAATTGACTCATACGGTCCCCTGATCCCCTGGTCGTCCATTGCATATACTTCGATTCGATTTTTTTTTTTAAAAAAATACCAGCAAAGCAGTTATATTCGATAAGTCCGCTGATCCGCTCGCAGTCACTCTCGATCTCCTACTATCCTAATTGACGATGGCGACGTCATTCCCTAAGAAGAAGTGCGGTATGCTACTAGTATAGAATCAATTCTGCATTGTTTCCGAATACTAATGTTTCTGTTACAGGCGTCTTAGGTGCCACGGGCTCCGTCGGCCAGCGATTCATTCTGCTGCTGGCTGACCATCCCTTCCTGGAGCTCCATGCCGTGGGTGCCTCCGAGCGCTCTGCGGGCAAGAAGTACAAGGATGCCGTGAAGTGGAAACAGTCATCTCCCATGTCAGAGAAGCTTAGCAACCTTGTTATCCGTGAATGCCGGGCCGACAAGTTCGCCGACTGTGACCTTGTCTTCTCTGGTCTGAACAGTGATATCGCCGGAGAGACTGGTAGGTCCATATCAAAGTAAACATGCGATAGACAATAGACTGACAAGCCTCACAGAGATGGAGTTCATCAAGGCAGAGATTCCTGTCTTCTCTAATGCCAAGAACTACCGCAAGGATCCCATCGTCCCCCTGGTGGTTCCGACTGTGAACCCATCGCACATGGACTTGATTCCTCACCAGCGTAAACACTTCGGTCTGAAGAAAGGCTTCCTAGTGTGCAACTCTAACTGTGCTGTTATTGGTGTTGTCATCCCATTCGCTGCTCTGCAAGCCAAGTTTGGACCTGTTGAGCAGGTCGAGGTCTTCACCGAGCAGGCTGTCTCCGGTGCTGGATACCCGGGTGTGCCCAGCATGGACATTGTCGACAATGTTATCCCCCTATATCAGCGGCGAGGAAGACAAGCTAGAGAACGAGGCCCAGAAGATCTTGGGTGATCTCAATACCGAGGCCACCGCATTCAAGGAGCAATCCGATCTGCGCATTGGCGCTACCTGCACTCGTGTCGGTGTGACTGACGGCCACATGGCATTCGTGTCGCTTCGCTTCAAGAACCGCTCTACCCCTAGTGCAGAGGAAGTCAAACAGGCTCTGCGGGAGTACAAGTCCGAGGCCCAGAAGCTCGGCGCCCCCTCTGCCCCCAAGGAGGCGATTAAGGTCTTCGACGAACCTGACCGTCCTCAGCCTCGCCTCGATCGTGATATCTCTGGCGGATATACTGTGAGTGTGGGTCGTGTTCGCGAGGGCAATCCAGGTGGTTTTTTCGACCTCCGATTCGCAGCCCTCTCTCATAACACCGTGATTGGTGCTGCAGGCTCATCTATCCTGAACGCCGAAGTGGCCGTTATCAAGGGTTACATTTAAAATGTAGATACCAAAAGTGCGATTTTGAAGCGTCATTCAACACAGTTGTATAGAAATACATACCAAATCATCAAATCCAGATTCCCCTGCTAATTCTAAATAACTATTAACCTGCCACAAGTCAAATCTGTAATCGAGTCCTTTGCGCCCGGGGCAGGCCATTTTTCCAATATGTCCGTAATAGGAAGGTGGGTCCCGCGACAAATCATATAACCATCCTAATTAGTATTTTATTAGGGTAGGTTACCGAGAGGTCACGGGACGGCACAGTAGCTAAACGAATTTCACTATCCGTGACCCGTCCCTTTCTCCATCGCGATTTACCGTCAACCACAACGCCGACAAATCCGACAAAATGGCTCGCGGACCGTAAGTGCCATGCCTCCTCTCGCTCTTGATACGCCTGCAGCAATGATCGTGAATACGACGGCCGACTCTTCCTATCGGCTTGATTCAATCGTTGGCCTCGTACTTCGACCGTCGCGCAGCGGACCAAGAGCGGGAAAAAAAATGAGACAGGGAATTGGGGATGCTAACCAGGATTTCTTTGCAGTAAGAAGCACCAGAAGCGCCTCAGCGCCCCCTCGCACTGGTTGCTGGACAAAATGTCCGGCACCTATGCCCCCAAGGCCTCCCCCGGTCCTCACAAGCTCCGGGACTGCCTTCCTCTGATTGTCTTCATCCGTAACCGGTACGCTACACTCTTCCATACGATAATCCGCCTAGACACAATGATAACAGTCCAACTAATTGTTCGACAGTCTCAAGTACGCCCTGAACGGTCGCGAAGTCAAGGCCATCATGATGCAGCGTCTGGTCAAGGTTGATGGCAAGGTCCGCACCGACACCACCTACCCCGCTGGTTTCATGGACGTCATTTCCCTCGAGAAGACCGGCGAGCACTTCCGTCTCATCTACGACACCAAGGGTCGCTTCACCGTCCACCGCATCCAGGCCGAGGAGGCTGAGTACAAGCTGTGCAAGGTCAAGCGCGTCCAGCTTGGCAAGGGCGGGATCCCATTCTTGGTTACGCACGATGCGCGAACGTGAGTGCACACTCTCCACAAGTTCCGTGTCATTCAGTCGTTGGACCAAGCTTTGGTTGATCGGCGGAGGACAATAGAACAACCTGTTCCCTTTTCCCAGGGAAACAGTAAGCCCCGAACCCTTCAGAACTAGGTTTTGCTAACTTGCGCTCCTTACAGTATCCGCTACCCCGACCCCGCCATCAAGGTCAACGACACCGTCAAGGTCGACCTTGCCACTGGCAAGATCACTGACTTCGTCCGCTTCGACAGCGGTGTTGTTGTCATGGCTACCGGTGGTCGTAACATGGGTCGTGTCGGTGTTGTCACCCACCGTGAGCGCCACGATGGTGGTTTCAACATCGTCCACATCAAGGACGCCATTGACAACACCTTCGCCACCCGTGAGGCTAACGTCTTTGTCATTGGACAGGACAAGCCCTGGGTCTCCTCCCCAAGGGCAAGGGTGTCAAGGTAAGCTTTTTACTCCTTCGTATTTAGTACGCCCTTCAGTATGCTGACGTTTCTGATAGCTCTCCATTGCTGAGGAGCGTGACCGCCGCCGTGCCCACAACCTCGCCAACTAAGTGTAATTACACAGGGGTGCTGGGTCTGTCGGTTATCCTCATACAGAGGATAAAAAAAAATCATTAACCAAAATAGTAGCTGGGAAATGTCTCGTCCTGCTTTGTGGGCCTGATGTATCGAGCCGTAGATTCGAACCATAGCAAACAAACAGAGACGGGTCTACCTCGTTTCCGAGTGACATGATACCTTTTAACGTTACCTTTTCTTGAATGATTTCATGATCGTATTCTTCCATTGAGTCTAAGTAAGCTCTGGTACCTACGTACTTGTCATATCATCGTCCTGGAAGCAAGCATGTGCACTCAACAACGCCTAGTATCTACCAGGCAGAGTAGTATAACTGGAGGTCTTTCGATGTCACATTCACATGTGTACTAGTACCTGTCGACCTTGACACTTAGGCTCCCACGAATTTTCCCCCGTCCCGATAGCCAGGCATCTGAGCTGAACTTAAAAGTTCGTGTTGCTTAAGGAACTTGAAGCCGTGACACTACTCGCAACCACTATTTACTACGAGTAACATTGAATGTCCTTGATCTACTGCCTCACGATTTTGTTCAAACCATCTCTAGACCCCACCCTCGAATCTCCTCACCAACAGCGCCTTAAACTCAGCAGGGGAAGTTCAGTAGGGTTTTCTTTCTTCGAAGCTAACCTACCGACCCTCTCCATCGGACAAGGCGGTCAATTAATTAAACTTTCGGCCCTCCCGAGGTCCTAGCTCGAAACATAAACCGACCTTTGACACTGGGGCAACACTCCAGCTGCTCCAGCTGCTCCAGCTGCTTCAGCTCAGGACCGCCCATCAAAACCCCCCACCCAGCAAGCAGCGTGTAGACAGTAAACCCTACCTGAGCCCAAAAGTAGCAGGAGGCAGTGCTAACAGCCCACCATCAAAAATGGTAAACAGCCTTAAATGCACCGGAAAGAAGCAATAACGCGGGCGCGCAGACTATTGGCTCGCTCCCATCCCAGGTCCGACATGCTTCCCCAGACCGCGGCCCTGCATGCAAGATCGGCTCACGGGCTGGAGACACCAGCTTTCGCGGCTCATCTCACTGGCTCGTCACCCTCGAAACCTCCCAGCCATGCACCACATGCGGGGGCCTGGCGTCGAGATCGGCAATGTGATGCATCAGGGCCCGGGGTTTGATGGGGCTTGGCGTGGGGGAGGGAGAGAGACTATGCGTTGTGAGCGCAAATCCGTTGCCCTATGGCGTAGGAGCCCGGGGGCGATGATTGCGGGATCCGCAAAAGTCCCTGCATTGTATACGAGAACCGGTTAGCGGAGGGAGGTTACTTGGTGACAGGTTGTTCGATCGTGTTCCATTGACGTATTGAGATGGTGGTATCACTGAGGACCTTCGGAGCCCCAATACCTCTCGTTTCCCTTATCTACATATGCGTGGCTTCAAGGGACCAAGGGAGAGATCCTTATTGGTACATCACGGGGTAGATGTTTATATTTCGTATAATTGCTTTTGTTTCTCGTTCCTTTTTCTCCGGTGTCGGAGCGCATGCACGAGACTCGCTAACCAGCTGCATCCGTCTGAGTTGGCACGCCAGCCTTATTTCTCGCAACCTCCACCCGGAGAAGTTAACCGCTTTGCAGAAGCCGGCCTACTGGAATCTGCACATTAGCATAGCATCCGCAGATTTCTGGCATTAGCGAAGATGCAACGTGCGTACTTTTGTTTACGCGACCTTTTGTCACAGAGTTTTTGACTTCGGACCATTTGAGAGCCAGTGCGAGTTCCTTGCGTGGTGATGGTGGTAAGTGGCTGGGAAGCGCGCAGGGTAATGGCAGGCGAATTAGGCTGCTCCGGAATTCCCAAATTCAATAGCCGTTTTGATACTATGTGACCTGAGACGTGGTACTAGTACGACGCATAGTTTTCTCTGCAGGGTGTTTCGAGGCGTTGGCGATCATAGGCCCCCCCTGTCTCATATGTGGAGAGGAATCTCTTTCGCGCTAGCATGGGCATAATTCCTTTAATGGCCTAAGGAAAGGGATGTTTCAGATCGATTTGCACGGCCGAAGTTACATTCAAAGCATTTGTGCCGATGAGCCAGGGCCCCAAAGGAATAAGGTATTGGGGGGGGAAGGTTCTCCACTTTTGAGGTGTAGGTGTAGACGGGACAAAGTCCTGAAAGAGGGTCCTCTGCAACCTGAACGATGGCGCTGCGGGCGCGGGTGGCAAAAGGGTCTAGAACGGTTCGTCGCGAGAGTCGACCTTTGGAGTCGCACCGGTGCCCTCCTGCGAGATGAGCCGGTGGCTACGAGATACGAAACAGGTGTGTGTAAACAGCGATTTCCTGGGAAAGTTAGATTTCATATATACCCAAGACGTCAAACTCAACTACCACTGCCCTGGTCTCCCCGATCCACTGTAAGTCTTTGGGACAGGAACAGGTGGATCTAGATCTCCGTGTTTCCAGTACCCCGGACTTGGGTTCCCTGGAACATCGGTCAAATTCCTGGACTCTACCTTCACGTGGCGGCGACGTCTTGCATTCGCCACTTGAACGACGTGGTTTACACTGTGTACGTAGACTAGCTCCACAGCCTGCACGGATGGACCCAGGGTATCTGAGAGAAAAGATTCCAGCGGTGAGAAGTGTACGGCTCGGACATTCCTAGGGATTTAGGTCCGAGGAAAAGACCAGGCAAGTAGCATGGGATACATGATACATGGTGCCACCTGGGCAGGCAGGATTATGATTACTATCAGCAATAAACTCGCCCGGTCCGCGGACTTGGGAGGAGGGCCTCTTATCGAAACCTGCAGAACACCGGGGCGATCTATTCAGGGGCGAGCTTACGGGAGTTTCTGACTGCTCCAATTTCGGGGACCACCTTTTTTCCTCTTGAGCCTCGGCGGTGAGCGGGTCTTCCCTCCGCACTGGGCAGACCGCAACAATCAGTGGCGATCGATCTGGGGCGTCCAGCGGCAGAGGTTGGGCTGGAAAGGCCTTGATTGGGTCAGCTGGGAAGCCTGCCATTCCCTATGATTTCATCGCAAGACCGGGAGAGAAACCTTGAGGACTCGCAGGTCCCCACCTTGATTTGAATTCCACCATGATCGTCCACGCACCCCTCGCTCCGGTTAGGGCGATTGAGTTGCTGGCCCACTCATGTATCGGCATTTGTAGTCATTGGCGACCACTCGGCCGATCACCTTCCTTGACCTGGCAGGTTCTCTCTGCACCGGCGGATATCCACTATACAACTAATCAGCGGGAAGGACGCGGATGGCGGATTGCTAATGGCCCATTGCCGATAGAATGCACGAAGAACAATGGCGGAGTCCATAGCCGAATCCACCCCGACGGCTCGTTTCTTCCAGGTCCTTCTAAGGTATTGGATACTACGCAGTAGTGGGCCAGGGACCTTAAAACCGACGAATACCAGTGTACGTAGACTCCGTAGTTTAGGCGGTTCCGCCTCCCGGGAAATAAATGATGACATACTTCTTACTGTATCACAATAATGGGAAAACCCCCTTCCCCCTCCCCCTGCCATCCACTAACGTAACATGCCTGGCGACAGGAACAAACTCGAGTTGACCGACTCCTAAGGTTCTTGGGGACTTCCAGAAAGACGCAGAAGGTTTCATGGGCGACCGCGTCCCAACCGATTTCCCTGTCAACTGAAGCTAAGAGAGAAGCGTTCTGTCGAGTTCTGCATGCCACAACTCGGGAGTCATATCATCAACTGGTCCAGCCTGCAGCCCAAACGGGCCTTCGGCATTGAACCAGATTCAAGTCGATCCGATTGGGACCCAATACACTTCGAGATACCGTGCTCCGAAACTCATTCTTAGCAGTGGAGCAAGTCCCTTTCCAGCGGATCTGGGGCTGGTTTGAAAAAAAAAAAGAAGAGCCATACGTGTTTGGCCAAGGCCAATCATTCCCGCTTTTGACTCCCGCTCTAAAGTCTACAACATGTACAGCAAGTCAGAAGCTGTACGGACGCCCCGAGATCGACTAGTAGGGCTTCGACAGGCCTAGAGCTTCCAGATAGGCTTAGAGGTACAACTCATTGCGCTTTTATGAGTCCAACGTGGCGGAAACGGCGACAGGGTTGAAGGAAAACCGCTCCAATCAACCGAGTCCCTTCCGGATCTCCCGAGGAGAACAATAAAATAGAAAATAAAACCCGTCTTTTTTTTAAGTTTTTCTTCCTTGGATTTTCTTTTTTTTTCCCATTTCCCTTTCGGGCCGTCGTCAATCATCTTTCCTTTTGGGGGGGGGAGGGGAGGGGAGGGTAATTTCTTTTCTGACTCTTATCCTTTTCCTCTTCTAATGAAATAACCCTCCATCTCCGTCACCGGCTCCATTTTTCTCGGAGCTGCCGCCACCACACCTGAACCTCGTCCTATAGTCCAATTTTTTTTTCCTATTTGAATTTCCTTTCAGCTCTCTGCATACCTGCCTCGCAGGGACCTCAATCAGTCTTGAATCCATTTTACCCAAATGCGTTGTCGTCGGCGACTTGAACCTGGTGGTGTGGTGACCGTTTAAATATGCAATACTCCGACGTGGAGGAGTCGCTATTCCAACCACCTTTAAGCAACGTGTATAGGTCTGGCACTCACTCGCCGGTGGCCAGAACCGATATGTCTCGCAGTTTGCCGACCCAGCCAGCCCAGTTAACTATGGCGCTGGATTATGATCAGTCTTACAAGTCTCTCTTCCAGGCAGGCCTCGAGGTTCCTCGCTATGTAGTCAACAGCTATCGATGGTGGGAGGACGAGGCGATGACGGTCATGTGGGCCTTCAACGTGGCCGAGATAAGCCTGGTGATTCGCTTTTCGCTGTATCAGATGGGGGACTTACCGCGGGAAATGTTGCGCCGGCGTAATGCCAGCGCCATCGATACTTTCTTGCACAACCTGGCTGACCCGAGAGAGCAGCAGCTCCTCAGCACCCTCTCCCATGCGCAGCGGGTGGAGGAAATCCTGCGTCGGTCGACAGTGCAGGCTCAGGATCCGGTGCCATGGGGCTGGTTCCCGCCATTGCCTGGGCACGGGCTGGAGCCCAAAGCCATCGCTCTGGCAATCGAGACAGAAAGCCACTTCCACTTCAAGAGAATTGCCTTCGAGGAGCTGGTGAGGATCTCTTTGGGATACTCTGCACCATCGGTGGAATGGTTCATGTCCCAGCATACTGCGTTCTATTGTTACCTGAAGGACCATCTGAAAGCTTATCCGGACGAGTTCCCCCTTTACATGGAAGTGGAGAAGGTAAGAGTGAGATTCTAGGCTAATCTGGGTGCCCAAGCTAAAAACCGTTGGCAGTGCCTTAGGACGAAGAGTCCCTTTGCGCGGCGTGCTCTCATGACCTGCTTATCTGATATTAAGCCCGATTCCATCAACTCTATGGCGCCAGCAGCTCCACATGGTCTCAGGATTCATTGCCGGCCCTATCCAGCAACTTTTCCGAAGCCAGCCTCCGAGTTTGATTCCTATCCTAAAGGTATTTAGCGTGTTGGCGGTACGATTCCGCCGGCTATACGTCCATGTCCCCAAAATGAACTGGTATACTCCGTTCGATACTTCTATCCAGTTCTTGGAAGATTTTCTCGGCTCGACATCCACAAATGATCTCGCGCGCAGTATGACTGCAAACGACGAGAAAGATTTCTCTAGGTTGACCTATGACAGCCTCCTCTCCGAAGACGCCTACGTGAGGCAGCTTCTTGCCAATTGGCACAATTTGAGCATCGCTGTTTGGGAATGCTGCTCAGGATTACCGTACTCCATCCCCTACCTGCGGGACTGTGCGCATGTGAGTTTCCCTGCTCCGTATATAGCCATGTATATCTAAAACTGACCTACAAACCCTCCCCCTCTATCAGACCCTCTACTCTAGACGGAACTACCATTCCCTGACGGCAATGCTGGAAGGTATCCACCGATACTCCATTTCCACTGCCCAATCCCGCGGCCTCAACAGTACCCACGGCGGCATGGTCGTAGTCGACCCCGTGGTCTTCCAAGACGCCGTCTTACTCCGAAGGCCAGACGACAACTACGCTGCCTACCGCCAACATTACGCCGTATACCCCGGCGTCCCATTCTCCTCCCCATCTCCGCGAGAGCCAGAAGTTTGGCCCGGGAGCTCTCCAGCCTTTGCTAGAATATCTGCAGATCACTTTCTGAGATCACTTTCTGAGATCATTTTCTCAGGAACGCAAGACCCTCCGTTCCGGGACCGGTGAGAGGTTCTTGAGCGGGCCGCCTTTGTGTGGCGCACTTAGTTGCAGATAATAATGCTATCATGCCGGCAGAGAGTTTTCGAATTTGTTTGTCCAGCCAGACTCCAGCCGGACTCCAGCCATTAGCTAATAGTATGGCGATATGATCAGGATCTGCCGGTGGGGGAGAGGGGCTCGTGGCTTGATGACATGGTGATCTGCGTTCCGCGTTCGACTAGACTGCTCTGGCTCTGAGTCCAGGCTCTGTATTTTCGCGATACCCGAATCTAGCATCCGCAGTGCTGAGGCGTTGGGCGTCGCATCATAATCTGTATGAAGAAGGCTTGTGCTATGCTTTTTCTTTTGCTTTTAATTTTCACCTCTCTTATGGGTTGGGTTTCGCTTCCTTTTCCTTTATTGGTTCCTTGTCTCCGCGGGTATAACATGCTCCTATTAAGACCTGTCCATGTAACTAGCTGATCCAGTCCGGCCGTGTCGCCACCCAATTAGACCGAAACATCTCACGACTATTTTGAAAATCCTCCGAGGCGTTCCTATCACATCCGATCCACCCCGGGATCGAACAACAAAGAAAAGCCACCGCATGCCCCCAATCTAGAGCAGGATGTGCAAGAGATGATGTACAACGTACCTATACGCCTAGACCCAACCTAGAATCTCCAATGTGCTGACTACCCCAAGCCAATTCCTGAACAGACTCGTATTAAAGAACAAAAAAAAACAATATCTCCAAACCCTGGTCCCTGTAAATACCTTAGCAGCCAATCCCGTTGGTCTACCAATACGAGACCCAGCAGTACCAGTAATCCTCACTCCATCTTCCCTCCCGCTTTAACCACCCTGGCCTCTCCAAATGCACCAGAGAAATATACTAGCCGGTTCAGAAGTAGGAACGCCGTGAACCCGATATTGCCCCATGCGAGCGCATTCCATGCGCCCACATCCATATAGGCCTCCCAGCCCATAGCCACGTAGGTCGCGTAGAGGTGGCCAACGTCCGCGATGGCGCAGGCGATCAGGTAATTGCGGGCGACCCTAGGCTCGGAGGTAGAGTGTAGCACCCCGACGCCGACGAGGAAGAGCAGCCCGTACAGGTTGGCGAGCTGGTAGGCTAGGGCTACGGTAGAGGGGTGCTGGGTAGCCGGGGCGGCGAGGTGGTAGGCTTGGCCAGAGATGAAGTAGTTTAGGTCGACGATGGGGGCGACGGCGCCGCTGATGCTGGGGAGTTTGTTAGCGGTGTGGGTCGGGGGGGGGGGGGGTGTGAGCGGGCTGGGTACAGGGAGATGGGCTCGATGATGCCAAAGAGGATATTCGGCCATGTTGGGAACACGGTTGGCATTGTTGCGGTGTGGGTTTGGGGCTGTGGTTTGTGGTGTCTTGGTTCGGTTTGCGATGGAATGGTGAGCTGGATTGGTCGAGCTTAGAAAGGAGGAAGCAAGAGAGAAAGCTAGATTGATCGGCTTAGGGGGGGAGGGGGAAGCTGCGGGCCTGCCTAGCTCCACATTTGTTTGGTACATCTTGCTTAAAGCCCAGGTGGTGGAATTGTCATTTAATGTATATATTTCGAAGCCATGTTTGATAGTACCCAAGAGCTAATCCTAAATGACATTGGGGGAGCATTGGGTCAAAAGGATGGGGACGGCGCTGACTGACGTAGGGCAACCGTTCACCGCCCGGCGTTATCGCATTCTTATCGGGGGTTCACATCCTAAATGTTTCTTCCAAGGTTCATGGACGAGTCGGCAGGGCATTATGGACTTGCGGATGCTGATTCTGCAGCCGATGGCAGTAACAGTGCAATAGCATTTGAAAGCATACAGCATGGACTCGAATGCGGGGCGAAGGCCCGTGGACGAGTCACTGCACCGCGAACTTCCCCAGCTCTCTGTCCGCATTGCCCCTCTGCGGGATCCAGGCTCGTCGCGAAATTTGAGTGTTCCCTCTCTCCTAGAACCTGATTCAAGAGAGAAGCCCGAGCCCAAGGATGTTTCCAAGTCTACAGCCAGTGGGATTGCCCCTACAATAAGCACAGCAGGCCTACCAACAGAGAACGAGTCCGTGGCGACTACGCCAACTAAACTCCCCGAGGCCTCTGCAGATACTCAGTCAAGTGCTGAGCTCCCTCCCCGACCAATACTGCCAGCTTTCGTGAACCTGCGTGCATTGGAGCGCTTCCCTTTTTCGTCTTCATTTGACGATGATGCTCTCCACGGTCCACGCAAGCGTCGTCGGGTAGATCTCCAAGCCGAATCCTTTGGCGAGCATCTACAACTACCAATCCCGCAGGCACAAAAGGAACAAAGACCTCCGCCTTTTGGACCGTTTGCTATTCTTAACGGACTCAATGAGCCTCCGCCAAATGCTGCTCTACTCCCTCCAATCGAAGCGGGCTCCATCAGTCATCTTCTTACAAAGCCGTCTCGACGTGTCGCTGGTGAGACAGAACCAACTAGTGGCGGCTCTGAACTCAACACAACGCCAGACGACCAACCTAACCAACCTACAGAGGCAAAGGATGCAAAACTCAAAGAAATACTCGAGGCTAAAATTGATGGACACGATCCTGATGATTCCCACATCCCTCGCGTTACTGAACCGGCCAAACGAGACCAAAATAAGACCGCTGCGCCAGCGACAATCAAGCCGAATGAGAAGATTGAGGAAGAAAAGGCAACTCGTCAATCATCCACTGGGAACGAGCCCCTTTCGCCCAAATCTCGAGGCAGGTCACGTAAGAATGTCAGGAAATGGACCGAGGAGGAAACGACCGATCTTCTCCGCGGAGTCGTCAAGTGTGGCATCGGAAATTGGACCGCTGTTCTTGCTCAACCGGAGCTGAAGTTCAACAAGCGAACAGCGTCGAACCTCAAGGACAGGTTTCGAGTCTGCTGTCCTTGGGCATATCGTGCTTCTGACCCAAATGAAGCAACCAAGCAACTCCGTGATAACCTAGCCAGCACGCTTTTGAAAGCTCACGCCGAGGCTTCCGATGATTCATCCAAAAAGACGCGCCCGCCAATACCTTCTCTCGCCAGTACCAGCTCTGAATCAAGTTTTGCGTCAAACAGTTCAGGCGTGAGCTCTCATAAGCCTTCTTTGTCTAGCCTGTCTTCAGCTACAACTGAGACCGAAGCCGGAGCCGCAAGCACAGGCCAACAGAGCTCCCCTCCAGAAACACCCACCTTTAAACTCTCGCCTAAATCCGAAAAGACCCTGGAATCCCTCGGGATCCCAGACGCGCACGTAAGCACGAAATCCAAACGTCGCTCCCGCCGGCCGTTTACCACTGCAGAAGACGAGGCCTTACTCAAAGGCTATGCTGTCCACGGCTTCCATTGGACCCTCATCCAACAAGACAAGCTGCTCAACTTGGGCCATCGCAAAGCTACCGACTTGCGCGACCGCTTCCGCACCAAGTTTCCGCATGTTTATAGGGACGGCGGCTCTGTCAGTGGCAAGCCGTTGACGCCAAACCCAGACCCTCCAATTGGAAATATTGGAACTGTGCCTCGAAACGAACCTCCAAGCCAAGAGTCCACGCCTACAAAGGCCGCGGCGCAGCGACGCTCTGATACACAGAGTCATAGCCGTCAATCATCCGGCTTGTTTGATCCATCTTTTTTACCGCCGCCGCAGGGAATCCTTGAGCCTTCCAATAATTCGCTATCATTTGGCTTGGAGGGCAGTGCGGCTGCAGGCCCATCCTCACCCTGGGAGGATAATACCCTTGCTCCTATGGTTTGGGATGATTTGGGTTAATTCGAGCAGCTTCAAAAGTTCTATTTTGTCTTATATTGGGTTTGATTTCGCATATTCGGCGTTTCTTTCTTCATCAAATATCCCGCAGTACACGATGGTTTTTGTTCTTCAATGAAATCGCTTTCTTGTTCTCGATGATACGAACTGTCAGTCTCCTGTCCTGACACTGTTTATTCAAACCGGCCCCTTAGATTATAGCTCTCTACTTATTAGCTTGTTGGCTTGGCGAGTTTTGCAAGTCTTCCCAAAAGAACCAATAAAAGCATACCACAGGCTACGAGTTCAACATTTATCTGAATCATTCTTCATGGATCATTATCTTGGTACCATTAAATAGCCTAGTACTGGTAAAGCCAATATCCCAAACTAAGCACTAATACTCGGTAGTGGATTCCAGTAACCCAAACATGCCCGAGAACATCCTAAGAAGACCCAAACTAAGCCGCCCCATGCACCATTAATCTCCTAAGCCAAGGCATTGCTTTTGATGATTGAAAACAGTGCCATTGAAAGAGTGCTCTCATGAGTAGGGTATCCAGCGCCCAATGAGTACTCACAGCATGAAATGGAAAATACAGAAAATACAGAGCTTTCGTGTTAAATTAGGGCAGCAGCAGAGAAAAGAAAAGGACCTTGCAAAAGACATTGCGCTCAAGAAACAGAATGGGTGTAAGAAGAAAGAAAGTCGGGAACAACCCTAGAACCCCAGACGCAGGCATCTACCACGCATTGCGGTCCCAGTTGGGATCTGGAATGTCAGAAAAAGAAGTCAGCTATCACATCCATACAGGACCGTCCCCAGGCCCGGTCGAATAGCAATGCACTAAACATCGTGACCTTCCAGGCCTGACTATCAAAGCAGAATGACCCACCTTGTATGAAACTGGCCAGCACCTTACTTCCGGTCTGCAGCAGGGGGTGCCCCGCCACGATCTGCAGGAACCGCTGGAGCCCCTCACGGCGGTGCTCAATGACGTCGTCGCTGAACCGGTTCGTGAACACTTTGCCTGGCAAAGGGGGGATCGTCACACGCGTGCTCTCCCGCTCCAGGATGTCGCGAAAGTACTCAAAGTCGGAATAGCGGCGGCGCACGACAGAGTGCTTGAGCTTGAAGGCGGGGATGTTGGTGCGGCAGACGATCTCGTATGAGGTGTACATGTTGCGGGAGGTGCCATGTGTTTGAGGATTGCGGACCTGGTGCGGGAAGAGGTCAGGTCATGGTTCATTGGTTGGACTACATGTTGCCTGGGATTGCCATTGTCCTTGTGCACGGACTGGGGCTGCAAGGCGTAGGGCTGAGCTGGAGAGTGTGGGGGTGGAGGTTGGGCACGCGACACAGTGTCAGGTGCTGTTGAGACTGGCCAGGTCTGGAACTCACTTTGATCTCTAGGAAGTTCTCCGGAGGTCCATAGATCTCCTCGAAGGTCTGGGTGCGGGACTCTGGGACGTGCTGCATTGTGGGAGACGGGAGGGAGCTGGGAAGGAGGAGAGAAGGAGAAGTCCACGGGCCAGCCAGATGGGATTAAACAGTCGAGCTCAGCAAATTGGCAGAGATCCGAGAGTCCGGGTTGAAGTGGAAGCGGGGGCTGTTGGTGATGGCGGGGAAATACTTGATCCTGATCCCGGTCTTTATCAGTCAACGGTCGCAGCGCTTGAGTTCTGCCAGTTCCCCACCACCACCGCGTGGGGCATTTCGTATTGAGTTCTTTTGAATGTAGCCGGTGTCCCTTGCCCATGGAAGTACATTTAATTGAAAAGTCTATACGGAAGCCCTGCTACTTCTTGGCGGCTCTCCATATTCTGGCAGTTCAGCCGCAGTCTTGGGGTACGAACTGCAATGTTGGCAGACGCGCCAATACCGAAGTGATGGCCCTCTCCACCGATGGACCGTAGCTCGAGCTAATTGCTTGAGGATACGGGAGTGGAAATGCTACTTTTCCTGCGAACGTCTAAGCTGTAGACCGGCGTTGGCAGGTCATAGACCAGAGCCGGTTGTATTCGTTCGATACGCCTTTGGAAGGCATTATGAAGCATGTGTCTTTGCCTATCTATACTAGGAGCCAACGGCGCGTTTAACCTTGTATGCCTAATGAAGTAGATCGTGATTCTTGGACGGTTTCCTTGTATCCTTGCCAAGGTAGTAGCAATTCAGATGTGAGCATTGAAATCAAGAGGCTTCCTGGATATATAGTTCTACGGGCTGTTTTGATTAAGCTTGGGAAGACGGAATAAAACCAAAAGTACATGTTTTGTCTTGGGAGTACTTAGAGAGAACATCCTTCATGTAGTTGTTCTAAATTTCGATCTTTCCAATAATTCGTAATCTCTAGATAGTCTTAATTATGGACAATTTGGGTTGTAAAATGGGCTTCGAAACCCAACCTTCGATGAATTGTGCCTGTAAAAAATGGCGCGCAAGGTTCTCCAAAAAAGAGAGGTATCTGTAGAGATAATCTGCAGGCGGCATGGATCCGAAATTGAACCCTGCGCTTCCTAGCGGTGGTCTTACCCCTGGCACATCTTCCATTTATGCAGGATAGGTGATCAGGAACTTGGCCAACGGAGCAAGAGGAGTCAGGTAGTTATAGCCGGGTTGGCAGGTTTAATCAGCAGGCTTTATCGGCCTTATCTCCGGATTCGAGGTTATACCCGTTACCGCCTGGACCGGTTATCAAGTCTATCGATAAGCGGCACCTCTCCTCACCATACATACCACCATGAGCTCTCACGATTCACCCTCAGATGGAGCAAGAGGGGACGCCGTCTGGCATCCTGCCCATGAATGGCTAGAAGAAGACGATGAGCTGGATATGGACTACCATCCCGCTATGGAGGGTTCCGACGAGGACGAAGGTTGGGATGACGACGCCGCACCAGAAGATGATGAAATGGGCCTCGGTGTATCTGACGGTATTGAACACCATAGCTGAAGGAGATAATGTCTTCTAATAATACCCTTCTACAGACACCCCACATATCAATATCGGTAATATCCAGATTGAACTCACGACCGACGATCCGAACGAAGAGCCAGAAGGCGACCATGGGGGTGAAACTCGCAGTATGTCACCCGATCACAGCGCGGCATAAGTCAAAACTACAAACGCTTACCGTACAGATAGTTCCAGCTGCGCGCTTGTTTGAATTACTTGCATCTAGTGGCCTCCAACAGATCCTCCATTCTACTGGGTGGACCGGCAATATACCGGAAGGATTGGAGGACGAAGAAGACGAAGAGGAAAATGATATTATGGCGACATGGCGCCGAAACAGGATGCGGAGGCGTCCTCGAAGGGTTCAGCAATTTCCGAAGGTCCCGAGTACCGAGGGCACAGAGTTAATGGGCAAGGGCCAATTCGGTACCAACCCGTATTTCGTCGATCGCCTCAAGAAACGCAAGCGGGGATTTGCGTCGAATCTCATGTGGCGGGAGCTAGGGGTTGATCCTTACGGCGTTCGCAGACGAGCTGATTTCGCCTTGGCACAGGTTTGTCTCCTGTTTCATAGCCGACGATGTGATTTCTAACACCAGTCTAGGGTCCTTATCCCGGGGTCTCCCGCAGACAAGATTATTCACTATGATTTGCGCAGTTATTCGGGCCAATTCTCGGACGACGGGAACTTCTTCTTCTGCTGTGCCCAGGATTTTAAGGTTCGGATGTACGACACATCTAACCCATATGAGTGGAAATATTATAAGACTGTCGAGTATCCATTTGGTCAATGGACCATCACCGACGCGACATTAAGCCCCGATAACCGTCACCTCGTCTACAGCTCAATCCGTAGCCAAGCCTATTTGGCTTCAACGGACCCAGAGGATGATTCCGATCCCACTGTGTTAGACTTCTCTCTCCCGCCCGGTTCACGAAGGCGGCGGAGCTGGGGAAGTTCACATTTTGGGGTAAGTTCCGGAGGGGTTTATACGACGTATTCAATAACTGACTCGGATTGTAGATATGGTCTCTCCGATTCTCCGGCGATGGTCGCGAAGTCGTGGCTGGTACTTCCGAAGATTCCGTCATTGTTTACGACCTCGAAACGAAGCAGCCGGTCCTGAATCTTCGAGACCGACACCAACACCATGTGAACGCTGTCTGCTATGGTGATACCTCATCCCCGCATATCTTGTATTCCGGATCAGATGATACAACATTGCGTGTATGGGATCGACGGTCCATGGGCGATGGCCGCGAAGCAGGAGTCTTTATGGGCCATACAGAGGGCCTTACATACGTCGATAGCAAAGGCGATGGTCGATACGTCCTATCCAACGGCAAAGATCAAACTATGAAACTATGGGACTTGCGAAAGATGATGACGACCGCAAGGTTTGAAACGATCGATTGGAGTAACTACACCTCTGGATTCGACTACCGCTTTGAACCGTACCCCGATGAATTTTACGAGCCGCATGAGCACGACTGTTCTGTTGTGACCTTCCGAGGTCACCGCGTGCTCAAGACTCTGATTCGATGCCACTTCTCGCCGCTAGGTAGCTCAAATTCTCGTTACGTCTACAGCGGTAGTGAAGATGGCAAGGTTTACGTGTACAACTTGGACGCTACGCTGGCAGGAACAATTGATGTGGGAAAGGCGACGGTCAATTCTCGCCCTCGAGACCGAGAGACATTTACCACTCCTTCAATAGAAATGGGCGGGGAGATGCTATGGAGGACTTGCGTTCGGGATGCGAGCTGGCACCCGAACGCTCCGGTATTAGCTGGTAAGTCATATCGACCATAGGCAACTTGAAGGTTGTACCCGTGACTGATATTGATAGCAACTTCATGGAATGGATGGGGCTTGTCCTCGGGCACTTGCACCGTACACTCATGGAACGACGGAGCCGAGAAAGATGAAGGCGAGCCACCAATCGGAAAAAGTTACGATGACAAATTGAGGCATTTGCCTGACTTTGATGAATACCGCCAGAATGCACCCGCACCTCGGACTCGACGAGGGCTGCGCAGTCGGCCTGTGCGGCGCTTATTCGAGAATGGTGATGCTGATGAGGTGCCGTGGTGAGTCGGAACGTACATGTATCGTGCAGCTCAGAGTGAAAAAGAGCTGTCTAAATAGCATTTATTCCATGTCATGAAACTCCAGGACTCGCGTCCCACATTCCCAGGTATAAGGAATGAATGATGTTTGTGATACACTGTTTAGTGCACTCAAACCGCTGTATTTACCGGTCGACGGGTAAGGGAAAGGAATCGTAGTGAGGTGGACGGGTCATCAATTAAATGAATTGAAAACAAAAAAGACCCTTAGTGGTACAAGAATTTGGTATATGGTATCTCGAGGGCAGCAATGTGTGCGATCATGTACCTCCATCGCTTCGCCCGAATCAAAAAAAAAGGCCGGAGGCAAGAATTGGCCAAGTAGCCAGACAAAAATAGATTGTGGACCTAGCACACAGATAGGTCGCGAACTCTCAACTCCTCATCCCTCCGACATGCAACCGATTAACTGGATGATCCAATTGCGCCAGCTTTGGAAAAAGACTGTCCCCTGGTAAGGGGTCTTTCGATCGTGGAATGTGCGGGAGGGGCATTTATGCGCCACCGACCAGGACTTGGTTGACGGGGATGTGGACTGCAAGAAGACAATTAGGATCGGTCTCGATATCTCTTCTGGCTTTGCGACTTGGGAAAGCTAGGTTCTCGAAGTGCGATCATGTCACTTACTCAGTTTGACGAAGTATCCAATGGCACCCTAAGAATGAACCGGTCAGTTCTCCTGATTTAATGAGACAGGCATACCATATTGATGCTTACCATGACAAGGAAGCCCATTCCCACAGCCTGGCTGATCTTGATGAACTCGCGCTTGTCGGCTGTGATTACAGTCAGCAATGGTCACGGAGTCGACGATCGGTGATCGACATACGCTTGGTGCAGCGGCGAACAAAGAGAGATCCCTCCCGGACAAAGTCCTTGGGAATATCAGCAAGCTCTTGGAAAGTATCAGACATTGTGGAGGTGAGGAGGGAATTGGAAGAAGGTAAGTCGGGGGAAGAGGATCGGGGAAGGGAGCAGCGTGTCCACATTTGGGAGCGTGGCCTTTGGGTCCGGATAATCAATGCCCCGAGGCCCAGACTAGCTTCGCAACCTCCTCTCTCTTCGGGACCAACTTACCTTTACTCTCGTTCCCCCCGGTTGATGTTACAAGGAGGAGCTGACCTCTGACCTTGTTTGTTCCTTATACCTGCAGCTCCCTGTTCTCTGTGCTGCCTGTGCCAAACATATTACTCCTGTATCAAAGCTCAGCCTTCTGTGTACGCGCCTGTGCTGGCTCGCGCGCTTTTCTTTTCCGCTGGCTTTCAGGTCGATTCGGATTGTACGTATCAGTCACTCGTCGTGTGATTCTCTGCATGCCTGTGATATCTCTGCTCCCTTGGATTTTGAGCCGGTTACCGCTCATTTGATCTTTTCATCTTGAAATGTTGCGCTGGCTGAATGTGATGTTCATTCTCCATGCTAATTGATATCATGTGTCTACAGAAATGTACTCTTCTTGATCCAGAAGTGGGATATCAGTGCAGAAAAAAAAAACCAATACAGGACCTGTGTATATCCAGCCACTCACTTTACCAATCGATACTCTTCCCCCAGCCTGTTCTCCGGAACCCATTTCTAGTGCAAGATGGCCACAGAAGACGATAACTTCGATATTGACATCTATGGAGATGGAACCGAGCAAGGTGATTTCAAGCAGGAGGACCCTGACCTGATCCTAGACTCAGATGCGACGCCGCAGCCCCATGACAGTACCAAAGAGACGTCCGCAGCGCCGCCTGTAGCGCCGCCTGCTGACAACGCCAACAATAACGTCAACAACAACAACACCAACAATACCAACAACAACACCAACAACGTCTCCAACTCCTCCAACTCAGCGAACGGGGATCACGCAATGGCTATCAACGCAAACCCCGGCTCCGAGGCCTCTGCTCCTCATGGTGTTAAGCGTAAGGAGTACGATGACCGCCAATCGGACCCGGATGCTACTACGGCATTGCTTATTTCCGACATTTTCTGGTGGACCACAGATGATGACATTCGAGGCTGGATCGCCCAGGCAAACAGTGAGGATGACCTTAAGGACGTGACCTTCAGCGAGCACAAGGTCAACGGCAAGAGCAAAGGGTTCGTACCGCCAATGCTTCATATCTACCCATTTTATGGCTTTTCTAACTAGATCCACTTACACAGACAAGCTTTCGTCGAGTTTACTACTCCCCAAGCTGCAACGGCCACCAAGCGCGTTGTCGAAGCCATCGAGGACATGACAAGCGGCACCCTTCGCAAGTTCGTGGTCACCTACACGAACCCACACCAAAATCCGTTCCGCACACTGCCGAAAGATGCCCCGATGCGCAAGGAAAACAACCGCGGAGGCATGGCCGGTGGTTTCAACTCCGGAGGTCACCAGAACTACAACAGCAACAACAACATGGGTGGAGGCTTCCGCGGCCGTGGCGGTTTCAACCGTGGCATGGGTGGAAACTTCAACAACCGCGGCAACTTCAATAACATGGGAGGCTTCCAAGGCGGCGGTGGCCCTAACATGATGGGCGGCGGCTTCCAGGGCGGCCCCATGGGCATGCAGAACTACGGGGGGTTTCAACCGAGGCGGCATGATGGGTGGCATGCGCGGTGGTCCCGGTGGAATGCGCGGAGGCCGTGGGAACATGATGGGGATGCCTATGCCTATGAACAACATGGGGATGAATCCAATGGGTCAGATGATGGGTAATATGCCTAACATGGGCGGTGGCATGCCTAACATGGGTGAGTTCTCCGGCGAGTTCCTCTCTTACCTCCGTCGTATCTAGTGTGTTGAGTGCTGACTGCCATGCTTTTACTCCCAATAGGCCAGGGCTTCCAAGGTCCCAACCCCGCATTCAACCAAGGCTTTTTCAACAACAACCAAGGCGGAGGTGATGCCTCGTGGAACCCTCACGGTGCCAAGCGCAGTCGACAGGAGTAAACGACCCGCCCATCTTTGTTTTAAGAACTGGCTACGGAGTTTTTAGGCGACTATTAGGATCTTGTTTTTACCTTTTAAAGTCTCTTCTTTTCTTCTTTTCTTCTTTTCTTCTCTTCTGTAATATGATGCAATTACACCCACCCCTTTCGACCGTGTGCAGATTATTTTAACCCATTTTGTTCGCGTTGTATGACGCCTGGTGTGATTCCTTCAGCTACCCAGCCATAAAACTGGGGCTGAGCTAAATCAACAGGGATTAAGAAGAAGGCTTAGATTGTGTCTAGGCAGCCATCGGCATTCCTTACCTTTCGTCTGTATTAAAGCAATAAAATGGCGTGTTCTTGTTCTATGGCTGTACATTAAATGGCGCTTGTCCCCGGTGTTTCTTGCGGTACCCAGGCGTTTCAAGATAGGCTTGCAAATGTATGACTGCGAAAGTTACTTTCACCGTCAAAATATTTCAGGATTAGGACTGCAGCCTTCGGTCGAGTGCGGTTTCGAACGTCTACTGGCGGGGATGAGTCGAGACCGACTCTACTGCAGCCTGTGGCGTTGTTTGCCTGCAGCCGAGGTGTTGCTTTCAGGTGCAGAGTCCACTTGTCGCACGCTGACTCGCTGTGGTACGGCTTTTTCGAAGCTAACTCGTGCGCTCTAGCGGTCGACTCAAGCTCCTGCTGTACGTGCTATACTACAGTGGGCCTGCACAATATCTAGGGGCTGTGCTTCCCAAGCCAGGTCTGAGCTCATGCAGGGTTATTCCAACTTAACACAAGAAGGACGATGAAGGTGGAACTTCCCTCAAGGCTCACTAAAAAAGGCACGTTCTTCATAATGAAGTATGAAAATAGCGCATAGAAACATTCATATTTGAAATTTGAGGAATAACCAGAGAGCAAAACAAATCTCATTCAATTCAAATAGCTCAGCCCAAAAAAGAAAGACATCCAATTCGTGATCATAGGGGTCGAGGGCGAAAGCAGCATCGGATGTTGGATAGAATGGGCGTCACGAAAATCCGAAATCGTATCATCTAGCACATCATATATCAAATAGCATACCATGTCACATAAAAAAGATCAAGCCCGAGGGACGGGTGTTTCAAAGATCATAGCAAGGGGGGAAACCAAGCAAGATTGACAAAAGAGAGCAGTGTGGGAATCGGTCATTTCAGTTGTTTCTTAGGGTCAACCTCTGATGAGTTGTATAGCATCCAGACGAGGCGATGGAAAATCAACTCAACAGACTGATTGTCCGAGGAAATGATCTCCTTGAGAAGGTCGTACCAGTTGGGCATGTTTTGAAGGCAGCTCTGCAAGTCAGCAGCCATGAAGATTCCCAAGATGGACTCCTCGTGTTCATCGTCTGAGTCTGTTGAGTCGGCAAAATCGGCCCACGCAGCATCCAAGCAAGTGGGAGACCAAAGAGTGAGCTGATTAGCTAGAGATGTGGTCAGTGACTCCATGTTTAGAAGCGCAGACTCTTCATTGGACCTAGACTCCTCGCCCTCTTGGTCATTCCCCACCGGATCATCTTCATCATCGTCATCACGGTTGTCTTGCTCCTGAGGGCTCTCGGCATTCTCTTTGTTTTCGTCCTGCTCCTGTTCTTTGTCTTTCTCCTCCTGTTCATTCTGCTCTTGAGCTGATTCTGATACTTCAACAGCAGCGATAACATCCTCCTCTGAGGCTTCGCTTTGCTTTCGGTGTCTTTTCTCCGCAGTCTCAGCGGCGGAAGTACGCAGCTTCAACAGTTTCACGACGATCTGAACGCGGCTGTGTAAGAGCTTGCCGGGCTTCTTGCCGCACAGAACTCGAACGCTCATATCTACCTTTTCACCTTTCCCAATGTCAACTCGGGCCCTGAGAGCACCGGAGTTCCCACACTCCGTCACCACGAGGGGAGGCTCCGTGGCCGGTGGGAGTGCAGCTTGGGATGAAGGAGATGGACCTGGGTGTCTCTGTTAGCTTATGATACGAGAAGATGCCACGAAAAATCAAAAGTTATGGGTCGCTTACCTCCCACGAAGCGGTCTTTGATGTCTAGTAAGCATCCACCAAGGCCCTTCATGCCTGCTTTCACGCTTGGAAGCGATATACTCCGGGCCATAGACCCTATTCCCAATGGGCCAACCTGAAAAATACCAGGCTTACATTCCGTAATAATAGGCTCAATTGGCCCCGGGACATCGACGACAGTCAGTACTTGGGAGCCGCCACTACCACCTCCAGCGTGTGTGTGGAACTGAGTCCCCGTAAAAGAGTCGTAAGGAGAATTCTGTCTTTGAACACGGCCTCGCTGCGCACCAAACGACAGCTGAGTTGGAAATGATCCGTGAGTGGCAGAAGGTGGCTGGTAGGCGCCAAATGCTGGGTTTGGGACAGGCGTGGGCGGAGAGAACTGTAGCTCTGGAGGTGGTTGATAGATAGTATTCGCTGCACCGCCACCACCACTGCTACATTCATGACACCATTCTCCTGCGTTGAAAGCTGAAAATGAGTGACATATATTGCATTGTGCCCTGTTATGTCCACAAATAAGGCAAAACAGGAGTGACGTATATCCAGAGTCTCGACGTATCTCAGGATACCCTTGTGGAGGGAAGAATGCACTAGGACTCCCCGGAGGATTACCCGGAGGATTTTCGTCGCCGAAAGACGGTAGTGCGGAGTTGGCGGGTGCCTGATAAGGCGAAATCCTGTTTCCCGGCGGGTTTGATGGAGAAAGAGTTGAAGGTGGTGATCCCGCACTCGGTGCGTGTGACCCCCGTCGCGGCCTATTTGGACGTATGTTGAATCCAGGTAATAGGTGTCCATTTTGATCCTTCTGAACTGGTGGAGTGTTTGCAGTGGGCGAAGGTAGATCATCGTTGGTACTGCAACCCTGACTGCTGACGCTGCTTCTGCGAGAATCAACCGGAGAGACTACAGCACTTGAGCATCGACAATGTTTGTCCAAAAAGTGATTGTAAAAGTCCGTCCAGCTGCTCACAGGGTAATGACAGACTGGGCAGCTCGACATACATGCAAGAGGGCGTATGTGTCTTTCAAGCTCTGACTTCGGAGGTTTCTTTTTGAAATGGATTGTGAGATGCGCTTTGAATTTGTCCTGTCTGTGAAAGACATCTCTGGAGCGGTTCTTCTTCGCCCCGCTTTCAGGGTTTTTGCAATATGAACATTTGTACTCCAATTGCGGGTGGTGATAGTCCTGTACATGCCGTAGACAGGCACCCTTGGTGCTGAAGCTCGACGTGCAGTAATGGCAACGATAAGGTGCAGCCCCACTGACATCGTTTCTCATTATATCCAAAGAGTCAACCAGCCTTTTCTTCATATCGTCGTCTTGAATCTTGCCAGAACGGATATCCTGGAAGTGCTTCTCGCAGAAGTATCGGGCCTCTTCCACTGGATCACTCGAATCATGGTGAGTTTGAGCATCATGATTGACAGATGGGTCCCGATGTACTTCCATCTGCGCTGGAAGCCCCACTGGTAGGCCACTATGCTCCCCAAACGAGCCCGGCGAGACCTGTTCTTTTTCTTGCCATCCACCCAACCCATTCGTTTGTTGATCGAAGGCGAAAGCATTCTGCTTGGGACTCGGGACAGGAAGACCTGTCTGTGGATGGGACTCCACTGTGTCAAGGTGGTCCCTAGTTTCGGCTGTAGTGTAGCTTTGTGTAGGAGACCAAATCTGGAAGATGAAAAATTAATGATTAGCCCGGAGCATAGAAAGGAGGACAAATGCAGTGTCACCTGTCTTTGACGATGCAAAGGTACCCGAGCTGATGGTGAACTCACTGGATTCGCAAGATAACAAGAGCTTGTATCGGACAGCTCTAAGTCCGCTCCACCGACACCGAGTCGATAGTCACGGTAAGTGCCATTCTCCTCCACTGCCTGATACTCTTGCACAGGGTCACTAAAGTTGAGACCAGAATCTCCCGTGTCGATGCTGGGGTAACTGGGAAACTGATGAGCCATGAGTTTCCAGCTGAGGTTTGGATGAGAAGGAAGCCCGAGGCACCCTTACTCAGCCACCCAGATAATAATTGAAGCTGAACAAGTGACGGGGAAAAAGGGCGCAGTTCACGAGCGCAGGCGGCCAAGATGTTGGGATGCGACGAAAGAGAGGAGGAGAAGGCGATTGAGCCTTGTTATGTAGTACCCTTCAGCTTCGAATTCCCATTCTGCAAAGGCCCACTAGCACCCGGGTTCGGGTGCTCTTTAGTGTCCAGGGCCTGCAAGTGGGGAGGAATTAGTGCATGCCCTCTGGATCAAAGGTTCGCACCACAACGGGTCAATACTGTTCTTCTTATGTTGTAGTTTCTTTGGTTCCCAAGTTTTATTTCTGGACTGAGAACCATTTTGAGGCGAAGATTGGAAGATAAGTCTGCGTCCATGAGCTTCGTCATTTCGGAACGGGGGGCCATGGAGCTTGGAGTGGGGTGCATGGTCAGCAATCAATGGCCCCAATAATAGCTGAGTAGTCGCGTCTCATTTGGCAGGCTGGCATTAGTGCGAACCTAATGGCCTCGAAACCCAGGTAGCAAGGTTGCAGAGGGGGCGCAGCTGCGCTGACGGTTGCCTTTTTAACCTGGGTGAAACTGGGTGGAATGAAGGCAACCTCCCAACTGGTAAGGGGGGGGGTATATGTAGCCTCCTTGGGCCGCCACGTTGATGCACTCCCAGATTCTCTCACCGAGTCTATGTTGGTACAGGATGGAACTCTACCGAGGCTTGTGGAAAGAAATGTGATCCTTTTGCAGGTCCTGCTGCTCGACTCTGAGCCTCAGCTCGTAACCGAGATAAATCGAGAGCCCTGATTGGCCGTTTCCTCAGAGCCTCATTTTCAAAAGAAGGGAAGGAATGAGTTACACAAAAGTTTCCGGCTTCAAATATCGATGATCATATTTACTAACTAAATCACTAATTAACTAACACGTTATTTGACATGAATGCTCCAAAAGTATTCTCGGCACGACATTCTATTAGGAAAGAAGCAAAAATACGGTAGGGACACCCCGGGGTATCCAATTCCAAAAGTCTTTAATACTGATACCTCAGGCGGTCCCAGGCTTTCAAATGGGTTTGGCCACTGATCATTCTTTCAGCCGCGCCTTGACATAGAGATCAGCCAGAGTGGACGGCGGACGTAAATTCGGAGACGCGAGCGTACGCAGCAGAGTCCGCGACAGAACCGTTGATGTCAGATATTTGGGAATTGCCCGGAATTCCAGACCAGTCGTAAAGCCTTGTAAACACGCCTCATTGGCAGATTGTAGATGTCCCGAGATGACTCTATCATTCAGTGTGTAGAGCGGACTCATCGGACGAGAGATCTAACGTAGTTGATACGGAATCTGTCTCTCAGAAGTCATCAGGCCCCTGTGCACAGAGTCCTGGTTCTTCGTAAGACAATACAACAGGTTAAACATAGAGGTCCCTATTGATGATTGAAGAAAAGAAAATACAGACTCATCACCGAGCCTGCATCCGATAAGTCATCGGCAGCCATATCGGGCCTTCTCTCCGGTCGTCTTGTCTGGAAGATGACACCAGTCCTTCTGGTTACCTGGAACCGAGGGGTAATGTCAGTAATACTGATCAAAACCTCCAAGCAAAAATGATGCATATTAGTAGCTTGATTCTTCGGGATCAACCTGAGACGCTTGTCTAAACTCATGCCAGAGGCCCTCTTGTCTGTCTAAAGAAATGGCCCTTGTTAGACAGCCTAGAGCGAATGCTGGAGTCTTTCGACCAGAAGTCGGGCTCGCTGACCTTGCCTGTTGCGATCGGCTGGTCGAAACTTCTTCCACGGGCACAGGGACATCAAACACAGCACGGGCCCGGAACGAGTGGTTTCTCGGACCTTGAAGTCTTCTGTACTAACTCTCCCTTTCACTCCCTATATCACTTGGAGGTCCAGGTTGCCTCCTTGGCGAGGATTGAGGGATCCAGGCCTGACCGGCTGGGTCCATGAATTGCATATGATAGCCATGGCTGGATGTTGATAGATTGTATCCAACAGCTCCATCAGGACCCCCTTTGGTTGAGCTAGATCGAGTCATCGGTGTTGGAAACTGCCCCGTGGCTGCCATGTCCACGAAGGTTCCCACACAATCATGACATTCGTCGGTAGGTTCTGTTCTGAAGCTACAAAGATGACAGTTTAGGAAGGCGTGTCCGCATTTATTGCACCGGGCAGTCATAATAACGCTCCCACGCTGGCCATATCGTGCGTTGGGTGATGAGAAGGGGCCGTAATGTGATGGGTGGTAATGAGCTGAGCGCGATGGGAGAGCCCTAGGTTGCAGTTGCGGCTGCGGGGCCCTTGGCTGGGACGGACACACGAGAGGAGGCGGATCTCCAGGCGGACTGCCCAAGAACTGGGGCGCTTTTGAAGGCTCTGAGTCGTTGCTAGATGGCTTTGGGCGTTTTTTGGGCCTTCTATGTTGAGACGAGCTTTGATCATGGCTCTGGGACTTGAAATTATTGCCCTGATTCTTGCTCCGCTGCTTAGAGTTTGCAGACTTCTTTGGCCCCGAGTGGTCGAGACCATCATTGGAGCCACTTCCTGTGCCATCGTCATCAGGCTTTCCCGGCAGAAGTCCCGGCAGCGACCCGGGGTCGTCGTCTGAAAGCTTGCAGTGCTTGACAAAGCATGCATAGAAATCGCCCCATCCAACGACCTCGCGAAGACAGAGAGCACAGACGTGTGGACACTCCCACTCGGTTGTACATGATGTAATAAGAGCTCTGAATTCATCCACAGTTCTCTTATGAACGCTGACGAAATGTTCTCTGCAATTGTCTTCTCTGGGGTATTTCTTTTTGTTGTTCTGATTATTTGGACAGTCATTTTCAGGACAAAAGAACGCGGTGTTCGGGTAATGCTTCGTCTTTAAGTGTCGAATGAAGACATGCTGAGAAGTGAAGAGTGGATGCTTGCAGTCAGGATGCCTGCATCGGTATTTGTAGGCGAGCTTGTCTGGTCTTTTGCCCCCGGTATCTCCAGACTGGACGGACTGAATATCGGCCATATTCTTGCCATTATTCTCACAATAGTATCTCTCGATATAGTCAACCCACATTTTGTGTCCATGTAAGAAACGCTGTAACATGCCCGGGCTCTGTGATTGAGGGTTCTGAAGGAGAGTCTCGTAGTGTGCAATCATCCAACGCATGCAATTCCTTAACTCTTTTTCTTCAAAGGGTCGAAGGCTATGGCCCGACGGAAGGCCAAGGAAAGGTTTGGTTCTTGAAGAAGATGCCGTATTCCCAGTGGCCGGGAGGTGCAGTTCTACTGCAGATAGCACTGGATCATCCCCTAGATCTTCTTTTGGGACTTCGGGAAATATCTGTCCTACATTGAACTCATTCTGCTTGTCATCTCTGGAAGTGGACATCGAAATTTTGTTGTCGACTTCCATGAAAGGCTCGGCTGGAGGGACCTGTGTAGGGTCGATGTTGCTTGTCCCATATGTGCTACTGGGAGGTGGTCGAGAGAACTGGGACTTATACTAAAATGGAGGGCAGAATAAATATGTCAATTCCAGATGCAGCAAGGTCCATTTCCATCTTTCGCATGTCTGGTTGGGAGGCCAAAGAAAGGCAGTGCTCACTGTTGGTGCAGACTCTGCTGTCTGGTGCAGATCGATGATCTCATTGAATAATCTCAAGGATTCCGCATAATCAGAGCCAGCATACATAAAATCTTCATTATTAAAGGGTTGCATAATGCATTCTAGGTTGGGAAAGACTCAGGGTGAAAGGAAGGGGAGGAATAGAAAGTAATATCCGGAGGAGGGATGCGGAGTCAACTTTATAGCCACGAGCAACCCGGGTCAGAGGGGAGTTGGCAAAACCACACGTAGGGTGCACGACTTCCAAGAGCGGTTGGTTCTGTTCGGGTGCCAGCGAATCAACCCCTCTCACTGCAGCGAGATGAAACGGTTTCCCCTCCGATGGCGCCGCGTAAAAGAGCCCATGTGTTATCCCAGTAGCGGTGACAGACTCCGGATTCCCATCCACTTTTAAACCCGAGCTCTCAGGTGGAAGCTGGTTCGCAGCGGGGTTCGTTGAGCAGAAGAGGCAACCAATAATGGTGCATAAGTTGATGCCGCTAGGGCGATAAAGCACTCTCACTCGTCAAGCGTGGGAACTAGAGAATGTATCAACATGTCACTGGTTGAAGTCATGGGTCAGCAAGACTCAAAGGCCCGCATGTTTCCATCTTTCAACAGCAGAGCCTCTTGGGTACTAGTGGATACTCGACCGCAACGGGCGGGGTATCATTTGGAGAGGGGGCGGCGATGAAAAGTCCAAGCCCCGGAGGTCCTTGTACGTCGTTGAAATTTCGTCATCCAACATCTTTCATCACTGAATACCACCTCAGATGGAAATAATCGGCTTTTTAGCAGACAAATAGTGCCCAGTCTTTTGGATGCATGATCGGCTTTTTCCTCGTATAGCAGCATTTCAAACCGAGCGGGAATACTGCGTATACGACATGTACGTCCTGCAGGCCACTCGACTATCTCAACCCCCGAGAAGAACCGACATAGACCGAAATACCCCTTCGCCTGCCCTCGGGTATGGTCATGATTCGCCAAGTAGTCCCGTTGACAGAGCCGTGGTTTCGTTGACAAAACACGGTTCAGGGCGAGGCGAAGAGCGGAATGAGGGCCCAAGCACAAACAGGTAATATTCGGTAACGCACTAGTACATCATTCCCCACCGATCGCAACGAGCCGAACCCTCGTGTCAATTAGCGGTCCACGCAGGAGAACTCGAATCAACTTCGTGCCAGTCAATCGGGCCTATGTGGGCCCAACCCCTTGGGTTGAATAAACAGAAAAACGGGGCCATACAAGCCAGGATCTCCTTGTTACCAAAGGATACCGTAACCAATCGAAATAGCGTCATGCATAGAAGAATCGAGTGGAGCAACAGTCGTCACCAGCATTGAAAGAAAGCCGTTATGTCCTGCAGCAGAAAGCCAAAGGAGCACTGCCTCATAGGACACAAGTGCCCCGGACTCCACCACGGTCAGGCACTGCGGCAGGCAATTGGTCGGCGATTCGTGGCCGATTTCTCCGTGCTCCGTCGCTCAAGTCCCAACAAGACACCAAAGTTCCCCGACTGGCGCTATGGTGCCCCAGAGCTCCACCAGACCTGATAAAGTACCTGGAGGCTCCATTTTCCAATGCCGGGCGCCAAAAAAGCAATCATGTGAGCTTCGCCAAAGTCAGTAAGGGCCTTGAAAATCCCCGGGGGGAAGCAACAATGTTCCCGGAGGATGTGGCCATGGCGCTGGCCACTCCAGCCAAATCAGCCTTGCTCTAAGAAATCAACTCACCGGAGTCCAGCTTCGGAAAAACCTGTCTGATCCAAAAGCCCGGATCAATATGAGGCTTCAGCGTCTCGCCCGTCGTATTGGACTGGAGTATTCATCCAGAAAAGCAAGCTGAGAAATCCGCGCAGGAACGATATGACACGACCCCGTAAAAGGAATGGAAGCTTTCCAGAACCACGAGGCATCCAATTAAAACAGCATAATCAATAGAGCGCCGAGAGGGGCAATGCGCATCATCTGGTGGGCCAAGATTTCTTACGGGGCGTACTAGGGATGATCCTCATGCGGGATTTTCTTTCCAGAAAACGCGCCGCCCCAGAGTTCGAGTTTTCAGGTCCGCCAAGACGTGACGGGCGCCATGATCGACCTCTTGGCTCGATTTGCTGTTGCACAAACGCCGTTCCTTTCTGTGGAGAAGCTTTCCCATTGCCACTGTTAGTGTTGACCTGGACACGTCAATGAGGCATTTAAACCCCTGCGATTGTGGCTTTTCCTATCGCGAGATCTGTAGCGAGGATTGCTCTCATTCGATCAACATTGATCTCGACACGAACCACGGTCGACCTCGCGATCAGATCCACTTGCCATACCAATAACCATGGATCTCTTACGAGGATGTAGATAGCAATCTTCATTTTGGGATAATGATCGACGGGAAACAACCATGATGCATTATGTCTGTACGTACAGTAAAAAAACAAAGCTGAAACAGAGCGTCGACCCCAAAAGTCAGCACGGGAATAAAAATACAACCCGTGATATCAAAATAAACCGAAAAAAAACGCCCTCCCCAAGTGATACATTCACAACTCATGTCGCGGTAATAAGTCCAAAACCCGTATATCGGTCTACCTAACACCGCTCTTTAATCATCACCGGAAGAAGAGATTCAACCTGTCCTTAACTCTTGTAAGTTCAGTTCACGTATCCCTCAGATATTGCTCTTACCTTGCCCTTCATCTCCATCGCCTGTGACCTGATCAGTTGCGTCACGCCCATTCCGGCCTTCCCAGTCAGTTCGCTACTTTGTAGCACGCAGCCTGACCGTCCGCGCCACGTCTGTTCTCAGGGGACCAAGAATCGGAGTTTGTCAGGTAATTGCAGACGGGGTGGTTGCTTTTACTGGTCTCAGTAGCAGGGCGAATGCTCAATGACGAAGCGCCGCTGGGTGGTCCATGGCTGCTCGCAAAGTTGGGCAAGCGGGAATTCTTCTCCCAGTGATCGAAAATGGTCTGCGTCCGGGTCTGGGATCTGGTCGTGGTGAAACCACCGTAGGTGTTAGCCAATAGCCAGGTACAAACACAAGGTCGACTGTATTCAGGGTGGGAGGGGGACGGTCAATGCAGAGCTATCGAGCGACGGGAAGGTCGCTGGATAGCTGGCGGTTGCGAGACTTACGATTGAGTGCTGCTCATGTTGGCGATGGCAAGGAATTGGTCGGGAACCACTTCAAATTTAATCGTAGTGCAAGTTGCTTGTAGCTGTCGACAGCGGGGAGAAGGGTAACGGTGAATATTTGCGAGGGAACTGAAGAGGGGGGGTATTTATGTGTTTCTGATCACCACCTGGGCAGGGTTGAAGGCAGCGAAATATGAGTCAACCTGCCCACAAAAACCTCAGTGGAGCGAGGCGGGTTCTCATTGCCACGATTCGCAAGACCCTCCTCAACCCGGGGAAGAACTCCTGGAGGCTTGGCGGCCCGGGGGGCGTGGCTGAGTAAGGTAAAAACCCATCTTTCCAAGGTTGCTAGGCTGCTAGGTGTTTTCTAGAGCTGCCCAGGCCAAAGTTAATCAAGCCCTTAGGATACTGGGGATTCTAGTTGCTTAATCCGATAGCTTCGAACCCCGGGCTCAAAAATGAGCTGCAGGTACTTGACCAGGGTTGCAGGGTCTGTTCGAGCACCCCGGTCTGACCGCGTGGCAAATTAATCGCCTTGACAACTGGTAAATGCTATTCTACCCGTGATTTACGTCCTATAGCATACCTGACAATGTTGGTGAATCTCAGATTCTTGAAATGCATGAAGGATGTAAGCCTGGCATTCAAGCACGTCGCCAACGGAAATGCTATTGGTCAATCACCTGCAGACAGGTCACCTGAACTTCTAGAAAAAAACGTTAAAAACAAATTCTGTATGGTCCCGTGGATGATCGGCGACAAGACCAGGGGGGGCTTGCATTCATCGAATTCTAGGCCTTCGTCTGCAGAGGCCTTCGGAAGGCCTGGAAATGCGGAGACCTTACTACATAGGTCACCTCGATCATTCGAGGATCTGGGTTCCGGAATCACAATCGAATTCGATAGTTCCCAGCCAAAAATTTGCGTGTGCGGTAATCTCCGAAGTGCTCGTGCTCATCACGGTCACCTTGCAGGAAGATAACGCTCCATCGGTGCCGGCCAATGATGGAAAGCCGCTGATTACTAACGGTAGATGCCCATCGCCTAGCCCTGGAGTGCGCCCGAAGCTTGAAAGGGACCGAAGATCGAGACGAGTCCAGCAACCTGAAACAAGAGATGATTTCGTGGTCTCGGCGCTTAGAGTGGGCACTGGACAAGGCGTCCAGCCTGCTGTGATGTGCGATTGCACCGCATTGTAAGCCGTCGATGGTTGATTCAGCTGGGCAACGAGCAGATGATGAGACTCGGGGCTCTGTCTCCAATCATCCTCGCCCAAGGGCCCCTCTTCGATCCTTCGATCATATAATAGAAGGGCACTAGAAACGGGAGAACAATCCACCAAAGAGGGGCAGCCCCTCAGTAAGCGTAGATAAAGGTCCCGCTAGTAATGCTCCTGGGATAGACTTTCGGAGCTTGGTACGTAACGTACGCGTCACGTTGCCCGGGACACTCCCAGTGATCGATCTCGTCTGCTCGATGAGACTAAGGGTGATCGGCAGAACTACGCAAGAAAAAGAGGGTCGAAAGGTAAGTCACCCTTGACTGGCAGATACCCTTCAAGCACCTTGGTCCGCTGGGTTGACTCGACAAGCCAAGAACAGCCGAACCCAGGAATACTGTATGCCTAGGCCGCAGTTTCTGGGCTGCCTGAGTTGTAGTCAAGACCCAGCACCTCGAGAGTCTGGCCTGAATGACGTATCCGCCAACTACAAGTCTGCCATGCGATTTCTAGCCAAATATCCTGGACAGAAAAGCAGACGGCAAAGCGCTTAGCACCCCAACTCGACATATTACGATACGTAACAGAGCTAGACCCACATGTGGCAGTCGCTGGGGTGTAAAATCGTCCACCTCGGCTAAGCAAGTTGGAAGGGTTGAGCATAGCTTCCCACCGGAACAGGTATGTCCCGCGGAGTGATCCAAGAGGACTTATGCACTCCATGCAGCCCATCCAGAACCCCGAATGAGCCTTCGAGGCCGATTCCGCCTTGGGTGGGATGCGGGTGGTCATCTGTCGGAGGAGGCTTGGCCCAAGCCTCGATATTCCCTCTAATCGACATTGTCCAAGGGCCAGCAAACATATGCTCTATCACATAATAATAATATTCTGTACTATAGAAGGGGAAAAGGGGGGGATATGAGCTTATCACCCGTGAAGAAAAAAAAACCTTTTGCTAATCTTTGTGGCTGTTGTGCCTTTGTGGCTGTGCTATCCCTTGTGGACCTGGCGCTCGTATTGTGAGCCACTCACCGTCGCTTAGCCACCCCACCCCTCTTTTGCTTTCGTTTTCTGCTTCCCCTGCGTCAATTTCCGGGCAAAACGAAATGACCTGGACCGCTGCCCGGGAGATCAAAAGGTATTTCACCTTGGAACCTGCAGCATAGTGCATCTGGCCACTGGACCATCACGTCACGCTCTATGATGATGGCAAGCCTAGGCCAGTCTTAGGAATGTGTACAGCCTCAAAGGGTCGGTCTGCCTAACCACTCTATGTGATGACCATGGAATCAGGTGGAAGGAAGAACTAGATGCACTACTGCCAGGATTCCACCTCAAGGCTGGCATCATTTACAGCGTCATGGCTGAGCACATATAACCCAAGCCCTGGCTGTCGATGGACTTAGCCTCGGAGTGCTAGACGTGAACTCCGAAGGCAGAGCGAAACAGAGGATCTTTTCTCCAAAGGATCAGCACTAGGCGGAACATACACATTATGGAATCCACGGCATGATCAGAAAACCAAGCTTTCAAGCTCTTTCGATTCAAACGCTGAACTTTGGTGACCTCTAAAGTTCCCCGCACTGCGAAAGAACGAGCCACATTTATCCCCACGGGTGTGGCAGTGCTGTGGCTAAGATCCCCGCATTGATTCAGGAACACATGGAGCTGCATTGAGACTCGCAAGAAAACTCAATGCCAGACGAGCCATGTCAAAAACAGTCAGAGGGAGCTGCAGGAGTTTGCTAATATCCACTCAAAACGAAAAAAAACGGCAATATCTCGAAAATGAAGTGGTGTATATGCATAATTTATCCGTCACGCTGGACGGGCGCCCATATACATGAGTAAACCCCGAAATATCTTCAACATCAGACGCTAACACTAACACCAATTGGAAAATAGTCAAACGATGAAGCATAACTATAACCCATGACCAATGAATCAAACCGATCCTTCTCTTGTAACGCCCGCTGTCGAATACCCTCACGCCCAGAATATAATGTCACAGAAGCAGATGTGTCGCTCCATCACGAGTTGGAGTTGGACTTGTTGGCCTCCTCGGAGGACCATGGAGCCGGTCCATTCTGCATAGCCTCGAGGGCACCGCCGTTGGATCCATAGAGGGTCTCGGGCTGGGGTTCGATATCGAGGAAGGCGTTGGCGGTACCGGAGCCATCAGGCAGGTGGCCGGGCAAGGCGTTCTCGGACCAAGCTCCCAGGGAGGCCAGGTCTAGAGCAGGAGCTGGAGTAATATTGGAGGAGCTGTAAGAGAGTGACCAGTGTCAGAATGACTGAGCGTACAGGAGAAGATGCAGAGAGACAAAGGTGAGGGAAGCGAGAAGAGATCATGAAATTGGTGAGGACGAGACAAGGAGAACCCACTACTCAGTGTCACTCATGATGACAGCCGCAGTCGCTTCGCTATACAAAACGGGGTTGGAATGGAGATTTCCCTACGCCGGAAATGTAGGGGATTGAAACGAGCTGTAGATAGCAACGGTACTGAACACAGCAACAGAGGGGACAGTTTCCAGTAGGGCAAAAGAGGGATGCCTTATACAAGGACTGATATAGTATAGAAAAGTGTGAGGAAGAGTAAATGCAAAATTTTGTTGTGTCGAGAGTATGGGGGAGTCTGCGGGTTATAAATAAGGGAAAGGCGGAAGAAGGACGTCTGGAGTCGAGCAGATGAAAGTGCGCGAGGTTGAACACCAGATAGCTCTCTTGCCAGAGCGGGAAGATATAGTTGACAGTCGAAGAAAAGTTCAGTCCAAAAAAAAAAAAACAAAAAAAACAAAAAAAACAAAAAAAACAAAAAAAACAAAAAAAAACACAAAAAAGGGGAAAAAGAAAAAAACAAAAAGAAAAAGAAAAAGAAAAAAGAAAACGTCGGAAGAGGATGGAAAAAAATGGGTAAAAATTCACCACTTCCCGACCCAAAAAATCCAGAAATGATGGAAATCCGTTCCGTCGTAAAATCGTATATAATGCTTATGGCCGACTTCACTTAACCTGGGTTTTGCAGATCGGGCCTCGCAGGCGTGATAGGTACTATTTGTACGTGCTTTTGCTTCGATCTCGGGGAAGAACAAGGCAAAAATCCGAACGCACGGTACAAATGACATGCCAATAAGCGTTGTAGGGGGGGACTGCGAAGTTGCGAATCGGGCAATATACAGGGCCGAATGTGGTAAGGGACGGTGGAGTCCCCCAAGGGCTTTTCATTTGTTTTCTTTTTGCCCCTGTTTTGGGGTCCCATTGCTGTATTTGGTTCTCGTTTTTTTTTTTCCCCTTTTTTTTTGCTTGATTTTCCGGAGTACTAAAACGCCGAATCTCAGGAAGAGGGCTCCTCAGAAAAATCCCAGAATCTTATTTGGAAAACGACCCGGCTCGTGGACTTGGAGTTTCTCTCTTCACGTCATTATCTGTTGAACTATGCTATCCAAACCGAGGTTCAAGATAACAAAATAGGTTCAAGATAATGAAATTACGCACAAGCTTGCCAGCTAAGAAGAAGCCGCTCGCTATAGGAAGCTATGTCAACGATCAGGGCAAGAAACGAACGAATAAGCTCATCGAAGCTGGCCACCATCGACCCGAAACGCCTTGACACCAAGGGAAGGCCGGACAGCGGCAAACTTCACGGCCGAGAAAAGAAGTGACAAAAGTACCGGCGGCACCGGCTTAGCTCCAGATCCGAGGACGAGGAGCGCCCCAAAATCTACACCCCAAACCAAGGTCACTTTTGGAAGGGCTTGATACCTGTAGTCCGGTATTTCTGCCAGTAGTAGGCGCACGTTGGCCCTACGGAGAGGTTTAGACAAATGTTGCAGAAGCGTAAGCAGGTGTGTCCTTTGGAAAGCCATTCCAGAAACGAATATCCCCTGTATTCCGGCATGCGAGCAGGCACTGCATAATGCGTGAGTGTCTTCCCCAAACAGACTTCTATGCAAGTTGCAGAAGATTTATGCAAAAACAAGGGAACCGTGATGATCATAAAAAGTGAATGTTCTGTGGCTCGGAATGGAAGCTATTCCATGAAAATCTGTATAAAACTTGGCCCCATGTAGACCGTAACTTTTTTCCCAAGTGGATATCATTGGCTGACCGACACCCGACAACTCGGTCTCACTATGCACTTACACGACCCAAACCCCTTTACTGGTACACCATACTTGAACGAGACGATTGGCCTAATTTGAGTAAGCTAAGACATCCAAATCCCTTCTGGATCTCAGATTATCTAAACCCCAATTTGATTTAGGGCCCGGTCCGATTAAGCGGGCCACAGCCAAAAGCTACCACAAAAAAAACAGATGATCGAAGTTTTGACAGGTCAATACTCCTGTGTCATAACCAAGCTTGGGACGAGCGCGCAACCCGGGTTAAGGGCGTGGTGCTTATCGGCCCGTTGGTTGGTTGGGGCGGGGGGAGCTTCCACACATCCCCCTACTCTCCGTTCCATTGCAATTAGCAAGAGGAAAGGCGAAAAAGACAATCGAAGGCATAGGATTCAAGTGGGTTCTATACCTGTTTCGCCTCTGGACCTGACCTACACGATATTTGCGGGAGGGCTCCGCCCTGGAGGGAAACTCCCCGAATAGCGGAAGATACGCATGTCATTTATCATCGCAACTACTCCAGATCGAGAATGAACGGAAGGGGTGAGGAAAGAGACCGATGACGGGGAGGGGGCGTGTCAGAGGAGAAAATCAAGAAAGGAAAAAGCAAAGACTCTCAACAACAATTGAGATTGTCCCACCGGTTCAATCGAGCTCCAGGATCGGGAGGAAGTGCTGCCTAGCCTGGGGGAAGCCCAGCCGAGACGGCTGGCGGGATTACAACCCGTAGCAAGGGCAGGGATTTGCAAATTCGCATAATTAATTCAATAGACCGGACGAAGTGGGACGGACGAGGCTCAGATGAGATTTTTTTTCTTTCTGAACATCACCTGCATTCAACGTTTCCCCGTTTTGAAGAAGATCATCTTTTTTAGGGTTTCCGAGAAAAGTCAATTTTTCCTAAATCGGAATTTCCCCTTTAAATGCGCATTTTCCCAAATTGGGTTTTCCCTGCTCGTCAGATCGAGGCCATTCACAGGAAAAGATAAAATAAAATATGATTATTGCCCTCTCCGAAGGTGTTCCGTCCGCTAGCAAATCGAGATGAGCGGATAGCGATCAATCTCATTACCTGGACACGAGGCGTAAGGCGGGATTCCTTTTCCGTCGCCCTTTACTTTTTTTTTTTTCGCTTCTCCTCCCCGGCCACGTTCAGAGATCAATTTGGCAAGACCATCCAGAGGCCGACAGGCTACCTTTTCCCAGCCTTTTGATACCGTTTTCTTTTAGGCATGCATATGACAGCCTCTGACCCAAAAAAAACCCAAAAATTAGACCTCGTATAGCTGAAACAATCGCTGTAGGACCCTCGTGACGAACTCATGCAGGTGCTCTTTCGCTACGGAGTATAGTAGGAACCCTGGTCTTCTCATGGCCAGTGCAACAAGAACTCCAGATCAGTGCGGCTGCTCTCCGAAGTGTGTATCAAGCCCCGAGGATGTACTGGGCCATGGTTTAAACTAGTGTCAGATGGTGCGTAGCAAAGCCAGTCCGTTTCGCAATCACCAAATCACAACGCCTCAAAGATGCGGTCAAGCGCGCTATCATGCCCCTGATGGACAACACCCTGGTTTTGTTTCAGTAGCCCACAGCGCGGGCTATTCTAGCCGTTCCACCGTTCATCTTACTATAAGCTGATGCGTCATACACCCGCTGTACTCGCGTCGCCAGGCGCCATCCACACCAGCGTCCAAGACACCACATGGGCCCCTCCACAGATAAGAATTGTGGGGCTCAACCCGATTGTCAAGGCCCTAGGCACACTGCGCCCTTTACCCCTGGAAGATCGACGGGGTCCTACGCAGTATGAATCCTCCGAGCCACGCATTTGCGCTTGCCCTTACATGCAAGGGGCACGATCTAGGTCCGAACGTGCTGACCTTGGACAGCCGTGGCTTCCGAAACTCCCTGGAGTCTACACACAAGCCCTGAGATCCCCTACTAGCACACCACGTCACTGCCACACCGCCGATCCTCGAGAAATTAACGAGGATCACCGATCTCGTTTTGGCTTCTCGGAACCATGGTTCCAGCATGTCTACGCCAAGGTAGGGTGGGGACTTGGACCCACACTGATGTGCTGGCAAGCCTTCTTGGGTGTCTCCTAAAATGTAATGCTCGTGCGTGGGCAGTTCGTCCTCCAATATGAAGCGTCCTTGCCTAGAAGACTCGAAGAACTTGCTTCAGAGGAAGGAGACTGGTGTCCGCAAGGATACAATATCATGCATCGTGATTCGACAGCGCGGAAGCGTACACAACATCAACCACAAAGTGCATAGATACCTGATGCACTCGGCAGTCTACGCCAAGGATCCGCAGGGGACACGGATGCATAAAATGATCGACTTGCAGAAGGCGCGGAAAAATTACCGACCCCAGGAACAGGCACTCCCCCAGCCGGGGGTGGTTGGTTTCAGTACAAAAGTCGGATGAGACACATTAACTATGACCAAATACTCCGAGCTGCCGCCGTTTAGGTTTAACCATAAGAAGCGCCAGTCCCAACAGGAGGCAGAATCAGGGAGTACTCCGTACGGTTTCCATGATCCTTCCAGCTGCGTAGAAAAGGGGCCGACGCAATTTCCAAATGCTGAAGGCGCTCAGCTGGGTCTCTTGCATTGCAGATCAGATTTAGTAACAGAGTTCTCGAACGTGGATCCTGCGACGTGGTCGTGACCCACGGCCTTTAGAGCCTCGGACAGGATTTTGAGAAAATTAATCCTCAAGCATGGCCCGGGCCGTCAGCTTCCAACTGGGCCCGAAAGGGGATGTTCCAGAAGTTTTGGGGGCGGAGGGGACACGCCACAGAAGCTAACCCGCCAATCATTCATTCTATTTTCTAAATCCTGCTCCTCAGTGAGTGGATCGGCTTGGCTAACCACTGGACGCGTCAGACGGGAGCCGCACGCTCCTCGTCCCGGCAGAGATCGTCCCTATGGAGTTTCCCCTTTAGCGAGCCGTTCTCCGACTACCGCGACTGGGCCAAGAACCCTCCAAAGCGCCATCCGATTGGTAGGACGTCGTTATAGGACCCGTCCTACGGATCTCGGATCTCTAAAAACCCGTTGGCGAGCTAAGATTCAAGCGTGTCCGCCCCAGTCCACAACGATGATCGCGGGAAGTTAAATTGCCAGTACACGGCAATCCAAAAACAGCCCCCCAACGAGCATGAGAGATGAGCACAAACTAGAAATCGAAGATATTGTGAGATTAAAGTATATATTTTACGCAACAGGCTGCCATCCCCTTGCATGAGGCTCCCCGGATGACAGAAAACGTGGCACGGGGAATAAGAAAAGGGCTAGAAAAGAAGGTACATGATGAAGTTGGGTACAATTCAAACAAGTCCAAATCTTGGACCGCATTGTTGTTGTTGTTCTTTTTTTTTTTTCTATCAAAGCCTTTCGATCGGCATTGATTCGCTTTTGGCTCCTTGCCCCGAGGAGCAAGACATGAGAAAGAAGCAATGAGAACGGGATCGGCGGCGGGAGATCGATAGCAGTCAGGGTGTTTCTCCAGCTGTTAGATGGATAGACCGGATGCGCAAACCATGTAATAGGCCAGGGACCTGACGAGCTAATCTTTGCCCGAACGAGTGGCTCGTACAGGGGACCAGGGCGGGCTCTCTGTTTCGCTCGTGATTGGCTCCGTAGGGACGTCACCGCGTGGGGTTGAAGAGTCATTGTTTCCTTGAAACTCGGGGGAACCGGGGTGGCTGGAGCCGGAATAAGGGTACATGGAATCAGAGAATTTGGCACCGATACCCTGGAGAGGGATACCCTGGAGAAGGATACCCTGGAGAGGGTTTTGCTCGTCTCTGAGGGAGCCGAAGCGTTAGCATTCTTCACAAGTGTAGTGGTGATAGCTTGAGAGAATGGAGGACAATGATCGCAAGCGTTTGCGTTACCATTAGCATGAACTTACTGCTTCGAACCCTTGTTTTCCATGGTCACAAATAAGCTGGAGCAGACGGATTGTGGCGAGGCGGTGCACTATTGTAGGCAGCAGAAGGCGAGTTGGACCAGAAGAATCAACTATCCATGGATGGAGAGAAGTCATCTTATATAGCCACGGGCAGCACCAATAAGTCAAAAAAAAAAAGGGGTCTCCCAGGATCTCATTATGCATGCATGATTACCCACCCCCAACCCAAAAGAAGCAGCACCCTGAAGAAAACAGTAATTTAATATTTCGAGTCGAGCCCCCGACAAATTTCTAAAAGCCGGCCGCGTGTCCGGCTCGGCATACCCAATAAAGTGAACCCTTCTGGAAAATCCAGAGAGTTTGGCCTCGCCGCTAGTGTAGGGCTCAAGATGGGCAATCCGGTTCCCAGGTGCAGGTGGAGAAGGGGAGCTGGGATTACTGCACACGTGGAGCCCAATCCCCAAAATATCGCCGGTTCGGAGAGTCCGGTCATTGTCAGTGCATTCGAACCTAAGGTGCCTTCGGGCTATGCGGCAATATGAACACACGACGGGCTGGGAAGATCGCCGCCGTGCATGGGGGGTTTGCGCCCTTATCATGACAACTTGACAGCTTGACATCCCCGGGCTCCTCCTCTGAGTAACTCATCCTTGGAACGACCTATCCTTTCACAAGCCAAGCTTATTACCCTTGCTTGTTAGCTAGTCCGCAGCTACCGTTGCCACGGGAATCCGCACAAAACCCACAATCTAAGCACCCTCAATTAGAATTCATCACCACTTTATCATGAGCCCCTGGAGCGACTGCCATTGAATGGCATTCCCGCTGCTCATTTGCTAGTGGCGCTATGGCCTCTCGATCTCTCCTGCAGGAGGTCTACGGTGGCCCTCGTTCGGAGAGTGGAGTTTCCATAAGCGGATTCCTTGTTCGATGGCAAGGAACACCCCGAATTATGAGTCGCCTACAGGTGCATTTTGGCCTCTCAAGCGAGAGAAACGGGATGCTGGCCTTTTTCTTTTATGAAAGATCGCTCATGACTAACTATTCGCTAACTAATGAAAAATGCAGTCCAAATGAAGTCTAGGGGCGTAGAGTACCCAGAATCGGCCCTTCAGCGTAGAGATGGGTATGCGCAGCGCTAGAGCCTTAGGTTAGCGGGAAGCGCACGGGAGAAAAACACAGCGCACAATGGGGATGAGGATTGAAAAGAGAACAGATGTTGAACGAGTCGACAGCACTGCCCCAGACACGGGGCATTTTAGGCGCTTACTTATTGAGAGGCACACGAGATAGTCACAACATTGCATCTTCGCGGAACCGGTATGGAAAAAAAGAAACAGGAATCGAAGAGAGGAAAGTGGCCATAAAAGCGAGTAATGATTCCCTCTATCACGAGGTCGGGAAGTAAGCTCGAAGTATGGATAAGCGTGTGGTTCCAGGATTGATACAGTTGAACGCCTGGGTCTTCACTGCCGAAACCAGTGGGAAAAAGCTGTCACCTTGGGACTGGAGACGGGCTGGGGAATGGCCTGGTAGAAATAGGGCATATCCCTTCTTGTCGTACACCGCCGGAGGATTCTTGATGGACCCACTACGAGAGCCCATGGGCAGGACAATAGCCCTTGCTGCAGAAGTCGAGGAGTTGGCATCCCTAGCGCCCGAGAGGCCAACACTACGGATCATCTCGAGCATAAAACGGACTTATGCGTTGTATTGCCTTCCCCAGATAAGGTCCCAGTTATGGGGGCTGTGATTTCGTACTAGACCGAAAAGTTACGTCACTATCAGGGAAGCCCTGATACTAGAGAGCATTTTCTCTTGTCCCTTTGAATTTTTTTTTTCCCTCTTTCCCTGACAGTCCGAATCGGCCATGTCCCCATTCTCCGTAAGGTCTCTAGTTCTTGTTTTTCCGCCCGAAACGAGGACAGACGCAAAGCCTAGAGCCGGCGGATTTACTGTTACGTTTTCCCGTTCTCTCTCTTTAGCCGGTCGAAAGTGTTCTGTATGCGAGTTCGGGATCCTCTTGCGGAGTGGGACCTATCCATTACTCTGGGGATCCTGAAAGTCGACTCACGGGCCAGTGGGGACAAGACGGAGCAAACCTGTTCCCATGATCCTCGATCTCGCGCCAGTGCGCCTCGTCCATCTACTCGGTCCTGTGTTTTCAAATTCCCGGCAGTCCTGCACCGAGTACTAGGGAACAGATTCACTGTTTAAATGAGTTAATTTCCACTGTGGGTATTCCGTAGATTCCAGATGTTCTCTTGAGACCGTGAACTTCAGTTCCGGGACAGCCTGCATGACCTAAAACGCTAGTAGCAGCGGCGGGCAGGAACCCACAGTACACGTCCCCCTCCCAGGGCCAATCTATCGCCCATTTAGTAAGTATGGATCACATCCCCGGGGCCATGAAAAGTAAATTAGAGACACACGAGTGATTACTCCATACCAATGCCGTGGCCCACTTAGAGCCACTAAAGAGATTTCTGAGATGATCGACTGTCACTTTTACTAAATGGGTATGTCGTCGTGATATGGGACTTTCCACCTCAACGCCCATCTGGAAAATAAGAGATAGCAGTCATCGCGCTGATCCATATTATGCTAGTCCGTTTGCCAGGTTCCGGTATATGCGATATTCAGAGAAAGCGCCCCCCCTCCCAACAGTCCCACGTAATATTCACTATGACGGTCTAATGTCCCAACAATTTCTATACCCCTGTCGGCGACCCTTCCCCCCCCCATTTCCTAACCCAGTCTGCCAAAAAATTGCAGGGTTTATGAGATGAGAGCCGTCCCGCGTCAAAGCCTCTGTTCTCCTACTCCCTGTCGTAGATTTGCAGCCTTTCCCCACCCCTTTGAGCCTGTTATTTTACAGAAAAAATAATCCTAATACCATATCACACCCAAGGGAAGAAGACATCCCATTTACTCTCTACTAACTATAATTAGGATCAACGGGCGCAACCGGTATACGCCTCGCAATATTGGGACCTTACATAGCGTACTGTCATTTAACCTTGGAATTAAGGGCTGGCCTCCCCGTACACCGTGACTCCACTTCGTCGCCTCGGCTGATCATCTTCGTAGGTGGCCGAAATGCTGAGCGCGAAGTAAGAGAAGCGCGGTGGACGGGGCAGTGGAGAGTAGCGCGGCGTAAATGTAGTGATCGACCAAGGCTTCTTTCGCCTCCCCCAGAAGCCTAAGCGACACTAGCCAACGGGGGTTTTAGGCGGACTTGCAATGGCCATCAAAATGGCGAAGCCCAGGCCTGCCAGTGTGGAGTTCGTGGTCAAGTGGGCAGGCTCGGGGTGGACGCTAGGGCATACATTATGCTGCGAGGATGGGCGAGACAGGGGAACAAAAGAGGCCGGGGCAGTGCTCCTCAATCCGCCTCGCAACGAGGTCTAAATGTTTGGTTTGGGTCATGTGGGGGGAAGACCTCGTAGGTACGCCATCGTCATGCTTGCGGCTTGGCCGTTGGTCTGGGTAACGCAGTAGAAGGGTCTAGAAGTTTGCAACGGGGCTTGGAACCAGGACGGAGCAGACGGTGGTTCAGTGCCGACAAGGGCCTCGACGAGGGCCCAGAAGTGTCCGGGGCCATCTTAGTGCGATTAGTAGTCCATTGATTTTTTGATTTTTATTTTTTGATTTTTTCTATTTTTTGATTCTTTTTCTTTTTCTTTTTCCTTGATTTTTCATTTATTTTTCATTTATTTTCCATTTTATTTTCCATTTTATTTTTCATTTTATTTTTCATTTTATTTTTCATTTTATTTTTCATTTTTCCATTTTTTGTTCTTTATCTACATTTTTTGTTTTTGTTCTTGTTTTTGATTTTCTTCTTTTTCTTTTTCTAGTTCGTATAGGATACGATAAGGGCTACGCTGGCTTCTGATAGGAGACCAGGTCTGTTTTGTTGCACAATAAGAGCCATGGTACTAGGGGTTTTCCGGTTCCTAGATCAGATCGAGCGTGCATTACTTGGTCACGGCGCTTCCGAGGCGATTTCTTCTCTCGGTGCTGCGCTCCCTCGCTAACAGCCCCCCCCCCCGGGGAGGAATGCTGCAGAGGGAATGTGAGGTATTTTTCGTTCCCATTTCACAACCAGTGTATGACCCATGGAATTGACGCAGAAAATGACAAACTCCTGTGCCAGAAACGGCCGCCGTTATTTCACGATCGCCGAGACCAGCCAGCGCGATGCTAGTTACGATACGGAATAGTGGTCGAGGGTGATGTGTTTTGTGCCGCCTGCATGATCGCTTCCTGGCCTCAGCCGAGGAGGATCGCAGCTGCACCTCACACTCTCCTGAAAGGACTCCAACGTCCAGATACTATGCTGGACGTAAGTACCTGCAGATAAAGGCCCGTCATACAAGCTGCATCTCAGTTCCTATCGGTTTGGACAAAATGCCCTATAATCATACCATTCATTTGATTCTAACGCTCCTGCCCCCGTGTCCAGCCAGATTGCTTCAAGTCTCGACCTTCGAATAAGAAGGAACCCGAATAAGAAGGAACCGATTCATGGAATACATGCCAGACTGGCTCATATGCGAATCAATTGTGCTGGCTGCCGGTCGTCTCCGCCCCCCTGTTGCCCGTCTAGGTGCAGCCGCTGTCTGCTCGTTAGGAGTCATGACCCCAGTGCTATGGGATCGTGAGTCCTACGTCCAAATTGAAGGGACAGAAATGGGTCAAGTGCTTTTGCCCCTGATCTACAACTACATACCGAGGGAATACACTAACAACAATTGACTCGTTCGCCCAGATCATGCCCTATTACCGGACCCATCCATCCCCGGAGTGCCCAGCGCTTCCAATTGACCCGCCAATGCTCGTGCCCAGAGGGTTGAGCTACGGAAGCCCATGCACACCACGAAATCCCCTTTCCGCCCCAAACGAGACACCAGCTCCGGAAGTGCAGACGGGTCTGGCATTGAGATCGTGTCCTCACGCCCGTGGGAGTGCAGGTATCGAACAAGCGTCTCCCGGGCCTGGCCCGCTGGGACTGGATCAACTCCATCTGCCTGGCCGATGATGATGTGTGCCGACTCTTCGAGAGCCGCGGGATATTCCTCCAGCCATGCCTCAACATTTTTCACTACTGCGGTAGGCTGGTAGACAGCAATGACTCGGCGCGCACCCGCTTGCTTTGCCATCATTTGTGTCGCTCTCATTTCCGCAGGGTGGGTGCCGAAATCGTCGATGATTTGAATGCCATTTGCTTCACCGACGTGGATGTACCGGCGATGGGTTCCCTGAAAGCTTCCCAACGCATGTCGGATGCTTTGCAGTTCAATGCCGAGCTCAAGTGCAATGGCGGTGGTGGCTAACTGGTTTTGCAGGTTATGCAATCCCAGAACGTTCAAGACCATAGGTCCAACAACTCGATGAGTTCCGTCTTGTCGGTCTCGGACGGACAGGACGAAGGTAGTGTCTTGCGGGTTGAATTTGACATGCTCTGCACGAACGTCGGCATCCTCTGAGACTCCATAGGTGATGATGTTGCGATCTTGAACTTCAGGCAGGATCTTGCGGACTCCTGGGTCGTCGATGCAGAGAACCGCGAGTCCATAGAATGGCACATTCCGCACAAATTGAGCAAATGCTGCTCGGGTCTTCTCTTGTGTCCCGTAAAAAGTGATATGGTCACTGTCAATATTCGTCACCACCGAGATCAGGGCCGGCAGCTGGACCATTGTGGCATCGTTTTCATCGGCTTCCACAACCATCCAGTGCCCAGAGCCCATGTGAGCATTGCTGCCATACTGCATGATGACTGCGCCGGATATAGTGGTCGGGGTCAGTCCGCCAGCCTCTAACATGCCTGCAACCATGCTAGTCGTAGTGCTCTTGCCATGGCTGCCGCCAATGGCAATGGACTTGTGATGGCGCATCAATGCGGCCAACATTTCCGATCTGTGAATGACCGGGATCCGTCTGTCCCGGGCAGCTTCCACCTCGACATTCGTTTTGTTCTTCGTGGCCGCGGTGGATGCTACCACGAGCTTTGCCGAGCCGAGCTGGTCTTCAGCATGGCCAATAAATACTGTTGCACCTGCGGCCCGTAGTCGGTCGACATTGTCGCTTTCTCTGATATCGCTTCCTTGTACAACATATCCCAATTTCAACAAGATCAGAGCGATCGCCGACTGGCCGTGTCCTCCGATGCAGACAAAATGTATCGGGCTAATAGAGGTGGGGAACCCAGGCGTGCGCGCAGGGCTTTCATAGTGAAGAGCTTCTTTCAGGTCTGTAGCAAGCATCCTGGTAGGGCGGGTGAGGTTCTGAGCTGGAAAGTCAGAATAGATACCGAAATGATGTCGCATCCATTCTGTTTTCTGCCCGCTTCAGCAGGACTCACGATCATCTATAAGTCGCACTAGGATGGCTAGCTTGCATTGACCTCGTCCCAGCCCATGAAGTTCGACCCACATGTTCGTCACTGGCGTCATGTACGAGGGTCGAATCCGAAAGCTCTGCAACGTTTTGCTATTTTCGAGTCTACAGCTAATAAATGTATAGTATCTGTAAATTTAATTCACGTTAGCAAACCTTCTTATTCCTCTTCCGCTATTAGTCTTGATGGTGGTTACGAAGATCAAGAGGGCAGAAATATGCGATATCCTAGCGTAGCAGAGTAGGGGAAGGCGAGAGGCGGGAGGTGGGGGAGGCGGGGCGGTACTATGATTTCAAGGGCTAAACTATGTCGGGTTAGAATATTATTCAACTACCGTATTTCTGCAGAACTTTTCAAATTGACCGCCCTGAACATTGGGATTGTAGAATTCTCTATCTGACTATGTTTACTTCAGGCACAAGACGCACTCCAAATTGGCGGTTGACGTCTTCAATGATCCGATCGGAGATCGCCTTCACTTCATCGCCCTCTGCCTCTCCAAAGTTTACTATAATAAGCGCATGGTTGGCATAAACCCCGACCTGGCCTATCCGCCTGCCTTTCCAGCCACAATTCTCGATGAACCACGCGGCTGGAACGAGGCGGCGCCCATCAGCCTTGGTGAAAACCGGGAGTGCGGCGTATTTCGTCTTGAGTGACGTGCAGGTCTCCTCATCGATGGTCACATTTTGGAAAAAGCTTCCCGCATTCCCCAGCTCTCTTGGATCGGGCAGTTTATGTCTGCGTAGGAGAGAGATAGCCTCACTGACCGAGGATATGGTAGGAGTGTGAATGCCTTGCTCGCTCAAAACTTGCTGTATCGAGCCGTAGGCGGTATGTAATCGATGGTGAGGAGCATTGGTCAGCTTTATGGTGACCGTAGAAACCAACACATCCTTCAGACGTTTGAAGACGCTGTCGCGATACCCAAACATACATTCGGCCCTTGTCATGGTGCGTGTCCTGCCGTCTGTCAGATCGACAATTTCCACCCTTTCGAGCACGTCGCTGAGTTCCATTCCATAGGCGCCAATGTTTTGAATGGGGGCCGCGCCCACGGTGCCGGGAATGAGGGACAGGTTCTCGATCCCCCCAAGGCTATGTGTGAGGCAATAGCCAACCAGAGAGCTCCATGCGACCCCTCCACCGACCTTGAGCGTCGTATGCAGATCGTCTCGGGAGAGGGTCTCGATTCCCAGAATTTCGTTCTTCAGCACAATGCCGTCATAGGTCTTCCCGGTGAAAAGTAGGTTACTTCCTCCGCCCAAAACCACATGGCGGTGGCCTTGAAACAAAGGTGACTGAACAAGCTTGCTGAGGCCGGCGTTCTGCACGCGGACGAGATAACGGGTGGTCACTGGAATATTGAACGTATTGTAGCGTTGCAAGCTGACATTTTCCTCCCAGCGAAAGCTTGACATTTGTGGGAACGCGGTGCTTGGGAATCTCGGTGAGTGTTGCAGATACCGTGCTGCGTAGTGGGGGAGCACTTGTACTCCGCACCTCTGATTTTTCTACAAACACCGTGCTCGCGTGCCTGTTCGTCCGTGTCGATCACATCGATCTTATCTGCCTCCGGATTAGCTCTATGGCAGCGCTGCAGACAGGGAGACCAGTCAGTCTTGGCCCAGGGTGGGTTTGATGCCAGTACGGGTCATACAGGCACGCTCACGCCTCGTCCCAGCCCCTTTTCAAACATCATGCCCCGCACTCGAACGTCATGGCTGGGGAGCTTGAAGTTAGCGTGTTCGGCAGCGATCTGAACAGGGCGATCTGATCTTGAATTCCCACGAGGCGATCATTTTTCCCCGCCATAGAGTATGTCAAGGCAAGGATTTCTCGATCATGCCTCATGCGACGACAAACATTCTAGCGATCGAGGGCGGTCATGATGTTACGGGTGATATACCTGTCTCTGGCTCCAAAAACGCTGGACTAGCTCTCCTGGCCGCATCTCTATTGGCGTCTGGACCAAGCATACTTGAAGGAATCCCGCCCTTATCCGATGTGGCCCGTATGGGTCGTATCTGTGAATCTTTGGGCGCAATTGTCGAACGCGCATCCGATTCCTTGCGGATCGACACGACGCATGTAGGCAGTCTCGATGTTCCAGACCGCCTCACCAGATCACTGCGAGCCTCCATCTTAACCCTGGGTCCTCTTCTTGCGCGCTTTGGAGTTGCAAAACTATGCCCCCCGGGAGGATGCGCAATTGGAGCACGGCCAATCGAGGAACACGTGAAAGGGCTGGAGAAAATGGGAGCTAAGGTCACTGTCACCGAGCGGTCCATTGAGGCTTGCGCACCGTCGGGATTACATGGGGCCGCCATTCATATGCAGACTCCATCCGTGACAGGAACCATGAATTTAATGATGGCGGCCTGTCTCGCCTCTGGAGTGACGTACATTTCCAACCCAGCCCGTGAACCCGAGGTGACCGACCTTGCCAATTGTCTCATTAGCATGGGCGCGACGATCCAAGGAGCCGGAACGGACCATATCACCATCTGCGGGCGTGACAAGCTTCTCACCCCCTATAAATACACCGTCATGGAAGACCGAATCGAGGCAGGAACGTTTCTGATTCTCGGAGCAATGGCTGGGGATCCACTGGCAGTGCATAACTGTACTGCGGAGTACCAGACCGTATTGATCCAAAAGCTGCGTGCAATCGGCGCTCAGATTGACATCAATGAGAGATCAATCATTGTCCGCAAGGCCAGGTGCCCTGTCGCTGCGGACATCCAGACGGGCCCCTATCCCGCCTACCCGACAGACCTTCAACCGCAACTCATGGCACTGCTCTCGAAAGCGCAGGGCACGTCCCGGATCACCGAGACGATCTTCGAAGAGCGCTTCAACCAGGCTGCGGGGCTGATCGCCATGGGGGCGGATATTTGTGTGGATGGGCAAGACGCCGTGATCTCAGGTGTGCGAGAGCTATCCGGAGGCATGGTGGCTGCAACAGATTTACGGGCCGGTGCTAGTCTAGTCATTGCAGCCATCGCGGCCAAGGGGCGCACCGTCATTTCGGGTTCTCATTATATTGATCGCGGGTATTATGGGCTACAGAACAAATTGAGGAAGCTTGGGGTGAAAGTGAGGCGACCTCAGAGCTTCAAGGTCGATGACGGGGAGCGCAAAGTAGAGACTGCTCAGATGACAGTTTCTACTCTCTGCTCCAGGTCCTAGCATCTTGAAGGATGTGGCTGTGTATAAGTGTTTTAATGCTGTCGTTAGAGCGAAACCATGGATGGCTTCTCAGAGCTGATTCCCAATATCTGCGTCACCCTTTTCTGTTTTGGGAACGATCTATCGAGCTTAGGAATCATGGTACAGCTGCATGCGCTGTATCCCAAGAGGGACCATCTTCTGGAAAAAAAACCCCCTGCAGCAGACTAGGGGTAATAGAGCACAAAAGTATCAAACGTGGCAATATGCAAGTCAGGGATAATCTCGAGACTCAACTTTACTATAGGTTACGTGACTCACAAACCCTTGCCAGCGAAAATCTGAGCAGTATAGCCCACTAAAAGACAGTCTACTGGTAATAAATAGCAGATACTCAAGAGGTGGATTGCTAAATCCCAATTAGACTTCCGGGATGCATACACGTAGTTGCTTGCCTGGAAGTTTCGACTTAGTCCCGCGCCTAACGAAGCTCAGCTCTACTTGTGGCTTTACTAGCTTAAATAGCGGGATCCTGAGCTTGTCCACCCTATGCCATCCCTAGCCAGTCTGTGCTGACCACGCACGAAGCTTCGTATTGCGGACTCGTGAGGACGGCGCTGCTAGCCCAGAAAATCCTAGTCGGGACACGGGAGAGGCCTAACTGCCTAAGGCTGACATGAGGCTTTTCGGGCTTTTGAGAATGGAAGAACAGAGATTGGAAGTTGAATAGGATTATGGACTTTTATTGCATATACATTAAATATTATGAAAACCGACTCGCTGGATGTTTCTCACCAGCGACAGAGACATCAAAACCCAGGCACCGCTAGTCAATGCAGAACTTATGCCCTTAAGACGAACTATGCACGAGCTCAATACAGAACTCTCCCCAATCGCTACCCCCGCTAGACGTCATGATCTCTTCGGCGATAGCTTCTTCGATCCGCTCTCCATACCGGCGCCTATAGTCCGATTTCACCTGCTCAAGGTGCCGTGGCTCCCAGTGCAGGCGGACCAGACGGGAGATGAGCAGTTCGGAGCGCTCGCGGCCAGACTTCGATTCACGGAGGGCTTGGTGGAGGAGGAGAGCGTCGCGCATGGGACGGTTGATGGCACCGTTGAGAATATGAGCGAGGGTTTCACCCTGAAGGAGAGAAATCGTCAGTTTGGGACACGAAAAAGAAAGGGGGATGGATAGGAACATACAACCAGGTTCCGCGACTTGGCAATCATGGCTTTCGCAAAGTTCTGCTCGTAGAAATGCTCGTACGCACGCAGGACTTCTCGCAGATGTGAGTCGCTCCGAAGAACGATGATATTGATCATGGCCGTTTCGCCTCCTTCGCGCGAGATCAGTGCCCGATGCAGATCAGCCACGTCTTGTCGGACAAGCCGGGTGTCCAGCGGCTCGCGTTCCTCCTGGCGGCGCTCTTCAAGGGCCAGGAGCACCGCAACACGGAACTTATCCGCGCGCAGTTCGGAGCGCATGCAGCGTTCCAGGCTGTCTCCGTAGCGTGTATCACGGAAGCAAGCCTTGATCTCGCGGATAGCGGCGTTGGAGCGGCCGATCAGGGACTCGATGAGGAGTTCTCGTCGAGAGGTCCCCGCTTGGTAGTAACAGTTCGCCCAGTAGGCTTCGGATTCCCAGCGGCCAAGGGCTGTAGCGTAGGCGATTTTGCCGAAGCTGGAATTGCCGAGCTTGAGGCGGAGGTGCTTTGCGAGGTTGATGCCCTTGCCCTGGACCTTGACACGGGCTTTGTATTCCGTGCGCAGACGCAGGATTTCGTCGCTGGTGAGACGGGGGAGAACGGAGGTAATAGCTTTGTTGTCGATGTTGCGGGTGTGATTGAGGGCCTCCTGCATTGTTTCGGCATCGGCACCGGCATCGTAGAAGGAGACGCGCTTGCGACCGCTTGATGGGGAAATGAGGACCATGGCATCTTTGTCGCCTGCGCTCACGGACGAGTGCGAGTCTCGGGGGCCATGGTTGGAGGTGCTGACGGTCGGGCGGCGGCGAGACTTGCCTTCCTTGCGGTCGCGGTCGCGGTCACTGAGCTTTTCTTTGCTGCTGCGGTAATCCCGGTCCAAGTCTTTCTCGCTCGAGGACTTCGATCGAGAGTGTTTCTTTCGTCGGCGGGTTTCGGAGTTGGATGAGGTGCCGTCAAGTCCTTCGATGTCGGAGATGTCCTCGTCTCGTACTGAAGGGATCACGATTGGAGAGGGCATTGGGGACATCGATTGGTAGGTGCCACGGTAAGGCTCAAGGAGAGGGCTAGCTGGTGGATGACCACCAACGGCCTGGGGACCGCCGACCGCGAGGTTATTCGACGAGACCGACAGACTATGGGGACGACCGCCGGATCGTCGGCCACCGGGCGCAATCTCTAGAAACTGCTGCTGCTGCTGCTGCTCTTGTGGCTGAGTGATAGACGCAGAGTGAGAACGAGCACGGGAATGAGACGAGGGCTTATCGGAGAACTGAGGCTCGTTGGTATACCGGTAAGGATAGATAGCTTGGTCGCCCTGTTTAGTAGTAGCCGCATAATGGTAGTCTGGCACCGGGTTTTTCGAGAACTGTTCGTTGGCCGAGGCAGTATAAGGGATCTTGGGTGCGGATTTCGAAGTGTACCTGACATTTCCCCATCAACGTGAGCATACTGGTATTGATTCGGGTTCGCATATACACCCGCTGGCTGGGGCGGATATGGAGCTTCGGGACCTGGAGCAGTACGATACTGCGAAGGCGCGTAAGGCCCACTCGTAGCAGGATGCTGTTGCTGCTGCTGCGCATACTGTGGCGCTGGGAACGTGGGAGCCGTCGAAGGCATGTTAGGGTACGAAGCCCCGGGGAATGTACCAGGCATGCCACCACCAGCCTGCGAAGAGGGCGGCACAAAGCCCGGCTGCTCGCACTCCGGCACCGGTGCCCAGTCTGGAGGAACCTCGATACGCGACTGAGGGCCGCCGGCACCAGGCTGGCCAGGCTGGCCAGGCTGAGCATGGAGGTAGTGCGACGGCTGCGCATACTGGTACTTCCCGGGCTTCGCATAGCTGGGGTGACTCCCCGGCGCATCGCCATAAGCGAGATCGTCATCAACCGACTCATCATCTGATTCATCCGACTCATGTCGTGGGCCACGACCCCCGGCCGGCGATGGCGGCGGACGCGAGCGCCCTGGATACTCACGAGGCTGAATCGTCCTCAAATCACGCTCATCGTCCGAGATCTCGTAGCGATCGCCGCGATGGCGCGTCTTCTCGTCATTCCGGTCACGGTCGTTGCGCATCCGATTGCGATTTCGGCGGTCCTCGTCGGAATCGGAATGTTTGACGTCGTATCGTGCAGGGCTGCGCGGGGCTCGCGAAACGACTTTCGCCTCATCTTTGTCGGCGCGCAGTCGACTCTGCTTCATCAGCTTGTACTGGCGCTCGATCTCGGCCTCTTCGTCCGAGTCATAGCTGCGGCTGGCAGGCCGGGCTAGCTCGGGTGCGGAGGAGCGAGGGCGTGAGTCGCGGGACCGTGAAGGTGAGGGCGACGGAACTCGGTTGTCGCGTGAAGCTGATCTCTCACGGGTTCTACCAGGGGACTTGGAGCGGCTGCGCCGCGGATCTCGCACCTGGAGAGAGTCCATGGTTCCAGCGTTCGGCGGTGGGGTTCGCGCCGGATCAGGGTATTTGTTTTGGCGACGCGAAGTATACAATCTCAGGGCAGTCTCTTTCCTACGGAAATGAGGGAATGAGGCAACTGAGGCAGAGAATTTGAAAGGAAAAGGAAAAGGGTTTGGTTGCACAAGAATAAGCTGGAGGCTGGGATGGCGCTTAAGTGTGTGAGAAGCGGGGAACCTTGGAAAGAGGGTAAGTCCCGCTTTTGACCTTCACAGAACAGAGAGGGAGGAAAACATGAAACCCCAAGCGTGATCATCCTCGTATTCTGATTTCCTTCTGGGCCAGGCGCCGCGAATGTTTTCCCTGAACGGTTCTGCATCGTCCAATCTTAGAACACGCCCCTCCCTGAGCCGCAATCGCCCCCGGAACGGTTGGCTGTCATTGGTCCAACGAGCTCCAGCTGCTGTAGTCTAATGCAGGCCGGGGCGCTTCCAGGATTGGCCGCGGCTTATGCACTGCTAGGCCTACGCGGTCAATTGATAATCAAGCCGAGCAGGACTGGGAAGATCTACGATTTACGAGTCAAGAACAAGTCCACTCAAAATAGAATTATCGCGGTAAGCAAACGTAAAGGAGTACAATGGCTGGAGACTCTCGAGACTCTCGATGTAACACATTTGGTCCGTAAGAAAGAAACAGAATCACAAAAGTAAAGACAAATCAGAAAGGGATCCACGGTCGATTGTGGCTTTGGCAAAAGGGTTTGGGGTATGGGCGAAGTAGCAAGCTATGCGAACAGGGTAAGAAAAACAGCGGTATTAAGACCTCTTTTTTTAGCGCGTGCGACGACCATCACGAGAAGGTCCCAGGCGGCCTCCATAAGTCTGGCGGGGGGGCTGGCGCAGGCTGTCCATTGCTCTTAAGGCGGTTGGTTCTCCAGCGCTCGTACCATATCACACGGCTGGCCTCACGCAGCTCCGAGCGCCATTCCTGGAAGACCGAGTCCTTCAGGCGTACAAAGTCGCAATGTTCAGCATTGTAAGGGTCGGCAAACCCCCAGGGGAACCGTCGACCAAGAGGCTCTTCTCCGGACGAAAGAGAGTGAGGGTCCGGGGAGAGAATAGAGAAAGGAACATGTGGGTTGGCGGGCGCAGCCTTGGGCGACTCGGGAACTTCTTGCGCAGGAGCGGGTTGCTCAGTTTTGACTTCCTTGGCCTCAGCTTCTTCCTCCTTGGCCTTCTTGGGCTCCTCGGCATCCCCATCCTTCGCTTCAGCTTCGCTCTCCTTAGGAGCTTCAGATTCCTCCTTGGCTCCCTTAGTCTCGGCATTTGCAGTAGTCTCAGGCTCGGTGAGCCCCGTCGGGTCGGCTTCTTCTTGTACATCTTCATCCTCCACACTCTCCGAATCGGTGTACTCCTCCTCTTCCTCTGGATCCTCGAGAGTCAGGATCTCCAAAGGGTCGAGGTTGGCTTCTTTCAAACTCTCCCAAACTGCCTTGCGGAGGTAACTCATGTGAGCAGAGGTGATTGTATCCGCCTTACTGATGACCGGAACCACGGTCGTCTTACCGAGCATAGTGCGCAGTACATCCAGGTCAAGATGGTGGTCCAGAATACCAGTCACAGGAGTGTCGGTTTCCTTGCGCTTGCCGTTGCGCGCCCGCTCTGCAGCGGCAAAGTTTTCGTCTAGGCGGACAGGGTCGAGGAGAAGGAAAGTACAGTGAATATGAGTATCGCGAGCACCGGGGGGAGCGCACGACCTTCATCTCTTCAGCCAGGGTCTCCTCAAACTTGCTCTCCAAGAAGCCAGTCACGCCGCGCATCTGCAGGTCCACGATGTTGCGTTCGAGGCCGTTAGAGTCCCACAGAGTCAGGCCGACGCGCTCGCCGTCAATTTCGGTTTCAAGATACTGCGAGGTGAAGCCTTCGTAGGTAGAGGTTTGATGCTGCAGTTCCTCGAGCTCTTCAGGGGTTCGGGTGGGGTGCTTGTGGGCGGGCATGGTCAAGGCCTTGCGGAGGAAGTTGAGGAACTCAGTTTTACCGGAGTTCCTAGCGCCGACGACCAATACACTGTCCTTTCAGTTAGCCACATTAGACCAAGCAGATGTTTCCTTGAACCGCTTACTTGTACGGAGTGGGATCCTTGCGGCGGCGGACACGACGGGGGCTGTTGACCGTGCTGAGAGCGCTACTGGCGTAACTGTAGCGGCCGCGGTGGGTCATGCTCTCCGATCTTGAATACGGATCGAAATCAGGCGTGGGCGAAGACACCTTGATGGAAACGCCAGAGTGAGGGCGAGGAATGGACCCCTGGACTCCCAGGGTGTCCCGTCCTCGCCTCCAAAGGTCTCCAGCTGCGGGGTGGGGGATAGATCGGGGAGGCGGGGAGGAACTTTGGGCGCGTACGACTCGCGCTGGCGGCGCATTTCCTCCTCCATCATTTGAGCCTTGGACATCCGCTTGCGTGCAAAAGATTTGCGGTTCTCGGCGAGAGGCTCGGTGGATTTGGCGCGGCGGAGAAAACCAAGCGACGCACGGTGCTGGTTTTGGAGAGATTGTTCGGGCGAAGAAGGCGCGCCTTCGGACGGGGAGGTTGCCATTTTGGACCGTTGGTTATGTTTTTTCTCCAATTTACTTTTAAGTTTGTGTATGTTTCCCTGTAGCCCCAACCTCAATTAGTTTCAATTGTTTACCATGGCACCCCATTGTCAGTGGTCAACACTCCGTTTGTGTATTTCCCCCACCATATGATCTTGGCCACTTACAGCTTATCAGCTCACAACGAACATATACTATTCCAAGGTGAGTTCGAAAGAGTCCCAACGGTTGCAATTTATCCTTTAGTCCAAAATTGAAGTACACCACAGAGTTCAAACTGCAGTTGCTTCGCGACGGAGGGGGAGGGGGCAATTGCTGGGTTGCGATTTATGGACGAAACGAAAGTGATGCTGCGACAGCAGACAAAACGAGAGGCAGATCGTGATCAAATGGCGACAAAGCTCGCAGCCAGTGTGAGATGTCAATAGGGCTGGTCGTCACTACTGGAGGACGGACAGGGGAAAGAGCAGGACAGAATTGAAATCGGGGGCGAACAAAAGTTTCCCTCGAAAGCGGGTCTTTTTTCTTTAATTTGGGAAGGCTAAGGGTTTGATAAATGGCCTGCTCACAGCGTCCGACTACTGCGGCGCATGGAGAGAAGAATGAAGAAAGAAAAAAACGAGAGGTCGAGTGGATGAAAGGAAGAAAAGCCCGCGATGCGGAGGAATTGGTCAATAGTTCTTTTAGGCGCCACGGAGCTACGGGGCGCTCTATTAAGATTATGGATCTGGGGTTCAAACAAGACGGAGGATGCGACATGCGAGTTGCACTTAGTATACATATTATGCTGCTAACACACTCATCTACAGGACTACTCACACACTCCAAACGCAAGAAGCCCAAGTCCCAAGCAAAAGACAAGACAGACAGGGTGTCACAAACATTCAGGGGTAAAAAGGTGTTGCTGCCGGTCCAGAGCCCGAGCCGGTCCCCCCCACTTGGGGCAGCTTGAGTGGATTGCTGGGATACGGTTCGCCCACCCTGGCGGGCGACTAACGCCCAACTGGGCAACCTGCCTTGTCGATGAACCCAAGCACAGCTGAGCCCACGAACCAGTCCAATTTGACTTGACAAGGCCTGTAGCTGCCATCCTCGAAAACGTGATTGCATTCCGATCCACCACGAGGGAAAAAGGGGGCATCGCGCACGTGCCACGGGCCGTTGGAAATCTCCATGACTGGTTCAATCGGGCAATCTCCATGACTATCTGCATTTGAACAAAGCCTTAAAACGGTTGTTATCTGCAATGGTGATTGTCTCAACGCCTCACTTTGTACCCCTGCGAACTTACTTTTTGCCATGCTCTCATCATGCCGGTCCGCAGGCCCTCCACCTGTGCAGGCGATGACGGGGTCCATGGGGGGCCATGAATGACTTACAAGCCGGCGGAATCTCACGGCTCTGCAAGAATGGGCGCAGAGAGATCTTTTGCAAGTTGATTCGTCTGGTGGATAATTCTGAAACGGCGTTGAAACTTTTGGGCCTAGCTCGCCGAGCTACCGGTTGATCAGTCGCAGATTGCGTCGCCTACTCTTGCCCCGTGAATTTTAGCAGACAGTTGGGCTCGAATCTGAATTTGCAAGTGGCAAGAGACGCCATTAACGCGCTGCCTATGCCGCAGGAAGCTTCCTGAATAATTTCTAGCGTCTCCAAGGTTCCAATGCCACCCATACCTTGCCCTGGATGTCCACGCCTCGCTTCTTTATTCTCTTCGCTGGTTTCAAGAGCAGAGAGTCTTTCAATGGACTCAGTGTTCATTCCCCTTCGGGCTTCAGCTGGCGTAGAACAACTCAGCAATGCCCCTTGGGCCTTCGTAAATCCGCAAATCGCAGCACAGGTCCGAAAGTGCGTCTTCTGTGGGGCACGCTCACCCGCGGAACCACAGGGGGAGCTTAGGTACAAAAGGGAGGTGGTAGCTGGAAATTGCTCTGTGATTTGATTCAGGGGTACCTATCGCCCTCGCTTGATTCCTCTCATAAATCAAGCAGCAGGACTAGGCCTGCCTTGGCTACTATTATCCAAAGACATTATTGCCCTGGAGCTGCTAGCAGAACGCCGCACGGTGCTCTGTGGTGGAGCGAGAGTGGAGCTTCGGGCTCCATGTGGTTAATGCTTAAGAGGGCATCTTCCATCCTTCAAACGTACACTGGTCTTTCCAGGCAATGGATCATTCTCACCAAACGACTATTTGTTCTCAATAACAGATTATAGCTTCATAAATCTCCAGATCGGAGAATTTGCACCATATCCCCCGCACAATTGAGAGCTGGGACCGGATGCATGGTTCACGATTGCTTCTGCGCTCACACTCCCATCCGTGCTTAATTTTTGGCCTAAACGAACGGGGGTGCAGGACGGGGTGCAGGTGATCGACTAGCCAATTGCTAGTAGCTTAGCTACCGGTGGCTTCGCGTCCCGTTCCTACCAAGACACGGCTCCTGCTTCCAATTCCTAGCCGCGGCACGAGTAGCATAATCAAACTCATAATCATGACATGGATTATTGATCGATTAGACATCCCTAAATACTAACTAGTTATCCTATGTCCATTATAACCCCCATTCCGACTACATACACCCCCATGTCTGAGCCCCACTAAATGGAAGTCTCGTTGCCAGCTAAAACAATCGCATCCCACACAACACACGGGCTGGACGGACAGACCTCCGTGCGGTTCAGGGTCTTGAACTTCGGCCCATTGGGACCAGCGACGTACTCCGCCTGTCCGAAAATAGTTTTCTCGTTCTTGGGCTGGTCATCGCCCCATCCACCGTTGAAGTTCAGCCATGCGACGGGGGTATTGTCGTCGCCGGCTGTGAACGTGCCGGACGACGCGTCGTAAGTGTAGGCGTAGGCGTTCAGGGTTGGGTCCCAGAGGACACCTTGGTCGGAGTAGTCGAGTAGAGGGCCGTCGGGGAGATCGATCCCGGGGATAGTATGGTCGTGTTGGCTATATATGTATGTTAGGTGGATCATGCCTTGACGTTGTGCCTGCTTCTGAGGAGATCTGTAAGAGGGGGGTGTCTTACCCGGCATTGGCATAGTTGGCGTGGGTCCCGTTGCCTGAGTAGGACAGGGGTCGCTGGCCGTCTTTCTCGACGGCGTCGTAGGTGAACGCCTGGCCGCTGGCATGCTGGCTGAACCACATGGCCTGGGGCTCGCCATTGGAGAAGCGGACCATGTTATGTTCCCAGTCGCCGATGTGGTCACCGAACTCAAGGCCTAGAACCTTATCGCCCTTGTTGTATCTGGGAAAAAGTCAGTCTCGTCAGCGACGGGCGACGAAGAACGAGCCAACTTACGCATAGAAGTAGAAGTAAAATGCGTCCACAGCGCCAGACCCGTGGTCGTTCACGACGATAGCGCAGGCGTGAATATTGCCAGCATTCCCACTGCTGTCGGGAGTCACACCGAAAAGCCAGGATGGCATAGGTCTGGCAGCGATGCCGCCAGCAGTCGTCAGATAAACACTAGTATTGCCCAGATCGTTCAGCTGGTCCAGGTTATCCAGTGTCAGAGGCGAGGGAGCCCCCTCAATAGCAGTCCAGTTGACCTGGGGGGTGGTATTGTCTAGCTGGGCCTGCAGATCACTGGGACGGTATGCGTCTGTGCTATACAGCCAGACTTTAGGAGCTGCCTAGGAATCAGAACTTAAACGAGCGTATAGGCCTGCCACCGCGAGCCCGTTCCAGTTATTGTACGCACTCACCATAGTCGTAGACATACTGCGGGATAGTCGCAGCAGCCCTCGCCAAAGGCAAACTTGCGGCGAGCGCTACGGAGCTGGATACCATACGCATTGCGGCAGATCCAAATGCTGGACAAAGTCGATATGAGCGAGAGCTTAATTTACTCAGGTCCTCGAAGCGGCCCGGGTTCCCTCGCCGACTCTTTATCTAGATCGCGATCAGCATGATCTTATCACACGACGTGGGCATGAAGGGTTTGCCCCAGGCATATTACACGTACTGCAGGTATGAAGTTGGGCCTGCCGGGTATGAGTGACCAGCAACGGGAGCTGCCAGTGGGCGACGATCTCTGTTTAAAAGGGTATCTCGGCCTTGTGCTCAATCACACCTTGCCGGGGCCTCAATCGTAATCGGCCTCAGAACTCTCGATGGCATCGGCGACTCGGAGAGAAAGTGGGGACCCCTCCATTACGACGAATGGGGGGGGGGTTATATTTTACTCCGAGGTCCGTTAGCCATGCTTTGGAATGTTACATGCAGTTATTGGGAGGAAGCGATCGGCAGCGCCAGGAACAAGGGCTGGATGGATCCTGTGGGCGCAATTTGCATTGTGATTGGGCTTGCGGGGTCAAAAGTTTGTTCCATTCACGATTCCCTTTTAGTTCGTTGTCTATCATATGCAGATGAGGCGTGACTTCCGAGATCCTGACCTTGTCATCTGGCAGAGGTCAGGGCGAGAGAGACTGGAGTCGACTACTCGCCGCTAATACAGTTGAAGGAACGCTGGAGTCTAATAGCACTCAACTGCCTGGGATTCAATACAGATCTCCTCAAAGTTCCAGGCACATCAGAGGTTAAGGGGAAAAAAAAGAAAAGAAAAAGAAAGTTGCCCTGCGCCCCGCGAACCCACAGCCAAGACCCGCCAATGACATGACGCACAGGCATCAGGTACCCCGGTCCGCGCCTTTAACTGGACAAGGCTATATAGAATCGGTCGTATAGAAGAACCGAGACGATGAGCAGTCCGGGATGCGATTTGGTAGAACAGTTATAATACATGGATGATCCGCTCAATAGAAAGTTGATCTCTCCATTCTGCACCCTCGCATTAATTGTTTCACCCACCCATTTACCCGAAGATTCGCAGGTCTAAAGGAATCTTATCCCCCAGCCATGTCGCGCGTTGGGTGTGGTTCCGCTTTTCCTCGGACTCGATTGTGTTCGGGTGCACCAGTGCGCTAAGCGGCCCGCGATGAATGACAAGCCAAGGGATGAACGCACCGAACTGAGCCGGAGTGAACAGATTGACTTCAAACATAGCGACCGGGTGCGGACCAACGGGGCGATCAAAAAATTTGTAGATGCGCAACTCAGGGACTGGGCAGGTCAGTATCAGGGCAGAAACGGGTTGGAGTTGTGGAAACAAATCAGGCCAAACTTAATGGATCTCCCGGTTTTTTGTGTGAGGAATCTACTCACATTCTCGGCGAATTCGCTCATGCAGGGCTCTCGCAAAGGTAACTTGCTCCGGGTTGGTCTGCGCTGGTCAGCAATTCTGATCAGCGGCATCTGGTTGCTAGTCACATAGCGTTATGTCGGGTCCTGACCTGGTAATGATAGATGTGGACATCAAACCCCCCTCTGCGGTCTTTGGCGAGAGGATTCGGGAACTCCTCGTATGCCTTGCTCAAAACACCAGTTTGCGGGTTGACGAGGGACTTGCCATCTGCTGTCTTCTCTCTAGTGCAAGATCAGTCGTCGGTCACCAGCATTGGCCCCTCCGAGCAATGGCTTGAATATACTTACTCTGTCAGTGGCTCCAGGCCCTCGTATCCCTCTAAGGGCGAAGGATACTCAAACGCAAATTGATCGGTCATGATGGATGAAGTTGGTGAAACCTGAGATGGCGTGCTGAGGAAAAGCGGGAGCCCCTCCCATACGGTTCAAAGTATATCAGTACCTCAGACTAGGAACCAAATTAACAAAACACTCTGTGGCGTTTGGAGGCGGAAGCCGTTGGCTATTGTAAAAGAGTTGCAGATTAGATCCGAGTTATCAATCGAGTTATCGATTCTGATCAATCAGGGTGGAAATTCGGCTGCTCCGCCAATTCCCCGTCAATTCCGCGCTCTGACAAAGCTGACGAAAGCCGCGGAATACAATCCATGGATCTGGGGACATACTGGGTCTGCATCTACTGTGTATATACTGTTGCACCCTGTAGGACTCATCTTAGATCGGTCGAATCTTCCTTTTGTTCTCAATGTCCGGGTGGCAAATTCCACATAAAAAGACAACCTCATTTTCCGAGTCCAACCCACCTTACCCCGGCACCGAGGACGGGTAGTTATATAGAGTCATATTACTCCGGATTGGTCAATCCTTTATTCTACTGCAAATAAGGCACTGATATTGCTATATAGCTCAGGTTCGTTCATTTCTGGTTTTGGCGACTTGCTCAGTACTAGCAGCGACCTCGTTCCCCCCAACCACTAAAAGGCGAGTTGATTAAGCCAAGAAATGACCCAAGTAATCCGTCTTGCCCAGCGGGACGCCTTCCTTCCGCAGGATAGCATAGGCGGTGGTAACATGGAAGAAGATATTGGCCTGCATAATTTGCGCCGCCTGGGTACCGGTCGATTCCCGCTCCATGGGGCCTATCTTGTATTTCCTAACCTTCTCCACATGCTCAATGATGTACGCATTGTCCGCACTGTCGAGCGCCTTGAGGGCACTGTCAATGTGCTCGTACAGCTGATCCCAAGTGAGCTCCTCGACCTTGGGGAATCCGTCGTTGGGACTGGCGATGGCTCCGTCGGTCAGAGCGGTCAGCGCCCAGAACACCGAGGAAGTGACCGCGCGGACCTGGAAAGTGAGGGGATGCATGTCGTCGATGATGCGCTTGTCGGGGAAGCTGGCGGAGTTGGGGTGCTCCTGAGCCTTCTGCAGGCAGTGCCTGAGGGCTTGCAGGGCATTCTTGGCGGGCTTGAGGAAGCCGTCTTCGACGGTGTAGACCATTGTGGAGGAGGATGGATGGGATTGGCTAATAAAAGACAGTCTTGATGGCGTTATTTGAGTCTACAATGGCTAACTTCGAAGTTTAAGTACCCCTCCCCGGCCCCACACATCTGCATAGCCTGGCTTATGCAACTTTGATCCATCGTCGAGCTTCCCGGGCCAATTCGGGGCCCGGTTAGGCCGACGTTCCTGTGCTTACACCAAAGGATGCACCCTATTGAGCGTCGACCGGGCAAAAGCCTTAATGTCCTCCACTCAGTGGTCCTGCTTGCCTATGAGGAAATCGGACAATTGAGAAGCGAGGCCGAGGCTTCCCAGGGCTCTAAAGCGGAGTCACTCTTGGTACGTCAGCGTACCGTTCGGCGCAGGCAGCCCACACAAGGCTGTGTTCGTGATTTTCCATCACCTACACAGTATGAAAACTGTCAACATCAAACACGTCTATTTTAATTCCGCAAATACCATGCCACCCCTAGTTAAACGAAAGAAGAAAAACTACCAGTATGGGTAAAATGACCGGCTCATTCCAGGTATTCTTCTGCCCACTCACTGATTCTTTCTCGGCACATGGGACAACTATTATGTTTCCAAAGCCATGGGCGATACACACCCCATGGAACATATGATGACAAGGAAGCTCAGTGATCAGTGTATCCACATCAGGAGCTACCGTACAAATAGCACACACACTCACACAATCCACCAGCTTCTGATCAACAGTCCGCTGGGGGAGTTTCTGAATCAACCAGCCCGGAATGGGCGGCGCAGAGAACATCTCTTGCCTAATATCTTCAAAGTCAGAGTCAATTGCAGTCAATTCATCAAACATCTCCGTATAGAGCTCAAAAATCTCCAATGAAAATTTGGGGAAATGGTGACCAGGAATCCTATTCCCTCGTCTGTGAAGGATCATCAGGCTCAGGATTCGGAGGATCTTCTTCCTCTCATCAACGGGCCACCTCTCATAGAAGATACTAGCTTTCTTTTTCGCGGCGAGCATGTTTTTCTCCACGTCTGTCAGTATCCCGTATTTACTTTTGGCCTTGAAGCCGCCTTCTCCCCATTTGTCTATGTGCTCCAGCGCCATCTTGAAAAGGTCTTCACCGAGGCTGGACTTGTCTGCACAGACGCGGTAGAGATCGCGGTCGTTAAGCCAGCCAAGGGCCACAAGGACTGCGTTCATCTCTCCAACTTGAATTTCTAAGCTAAAGGAGGCATTGGAGGCAGGGACTTGTTCAAGTTGCGGACTTGGAGGCTTTTTCGTTAACCCGAACTTGAACATGACGGACGGTTGTGCCTACTGATTTGTAAATTAAACAGACTAGGCTCAAGGGAGAGCTGGCGATTAGACGGCTGTGAATATAAGAAGGCCTAGTCCTTGGAATAGACAGCTGGAAGCTCAGGCCATTTCATTGTCGTGGGCTTTTATGCGAATCGGCTCCAGGTTTCTTTCATGAATGCTCAGGAAATATGCCCCCTACCCAAGTTGCTTTATCCTTTGACATCATTTCTTGTTTGATGGATAGTACTCTAATGTTCTGTCTTGCAGCGTGTCACGGGCGGGTCTTTGGATCTACTGGAAGGTTCTTGCATGTGGACAAAGGACTCATGGACTGTTTCACTGGCATTTCGTGTTTCATTTCAAGAGCAGGGGTATCCCTCACTGCAAACAAGTGTCTTCGGGGTTTAAATTAGAATACAAAGCCTGTGTCCGAAATTGATGATATCGCTCATGCACGCACGTATTGATTAGAGAGGGGCTGGTTGTAGTTGGAGATCTGGAGAGACAAGCAGAAGTGAGAAGTCCAGGGGTAGATTATCAAGGGAGAAAATATGAAAAAGCTACCATTGGGGGCGGACGTCAGTATGGCCTTGATCATCCGTGAACTTGCCTCGATCCCACTCTCGGCCCTCACCTTTCCGCGACCACCGCAGGCCTTCAAGATCGGGCTCATCGGACACTGTTGCTTTAGGTGGTTTTGTGACCCTGTTAATCAATGCTTCGTCGAATCCAGCTGCACGCAGCCTTGCTTCTCCTCTCTGCGTCCAGTATGCTCGATCGCGGGAGACCTCGGGAGACAAGGATGACTCCGACTCACTGTAGACCCCCATAGATTGACGACGGGCTGATGGACGATCCGGAATGCTCCTGCGAGGCTGCTCCACATCCAAGGCCGGGTCGTAGTCTGGCGCGAAGTGGGAGTCGATCGTGCTCGGGTTGGCGTTGTAGATTCCTCTTCCGCGGGATCGGACAGGCTCCTCGCCGGCCTTCGGAGGAAGAGGGCCGATCAAGTCATCCAAAGGATCTGATTCGTCGCTCGAATGGTACTTACGGCGTTTTATGATAGGCAAAGATCGTGGCTCGGTTGCCGTCGACTTAGTAGGAACGGGCCGACTTTGATGGGCCGATCTAGCAGCAGTGTCCGACTCATTGCTTGAAGAATCCCTGCGCCGGTGTTCTGCGTGTGAGGACCTGCGATCCCGAGAGTCAGGCCCCTCGGCCGCGGAAAGACGACTAGCTCGAGATGATTTATGAGACCGTCTACCGGACGGAGAAGAGGATCGGCGTCTCTCATGTCTCTCACTGCGATAAGACCTGGACTTTCGACTGGAATAAGGGAACGACTTCGAGATCGTGAAGAGGACCGGTTTCGGTGTCGAGGTCTATCTCCCCGGGATGATCGGTGTCGAGAGTGCTCCGATTCCTGTTCTTTGCGGTCACCAACGTCATCATTCATTGTATCACTCCTCGGGGGCCTGCGTTCATTTCGATTTTTGTTTCCACGCGAGTCGCGATAGCCTCCACTCTTGTCCTCACTTGGTATCTTTCGGTCGCGGCGGCGAGAATCACGGTCACTTCGAGGATCCTGACGGGTACGCTCCGGGGCTCGTTGAGACTGCTCTTGTAGGCGGCGTTTGTGGTCTTCTGCCTCTTTCTCTTGCTTCCGCCTCAGAGAAGCATTATGGCTGTCGGTGTCTCTGACCAAGTTGCGAAAGAACCGCGCATTAATTTTTGGCGCGTGTCTTGCTGGTCCACTGGAACAAAGTCAGCACGATCAAGTTGTCCGAGCCCGTTTTAGATAGACGCAGCCTTGGAACTTACCTTCTGGGTACATATGCCCTTGTGCCTTCAGCGGAGGACCTCTCAAAACTCTCGCGCGCCTCTTTCGCCATCATCGCGGCTACTTCATCATCGTCCATCTTCGAGAACAAGAGTGCAGCAGATGGCCGCGACTATCCTCCCAAATTCAAGCGAAAATGGTCTAGCCCGGCATCAATTCATAGCACGAAGAGGAACGGTCAGAAGAAAATCGCGTAGCGGGGTTTGACAGAAGAACAAGTTCACCTCCAAATAATCTGGAGATAGGCCCCAGTATGGTCACGTGCTTTGTTATCGATAAGCGGTTCCCGCATTGTTTACGCCCGCGCTTGCGACACCACTAAATATTCAAAACTTCTGGACCCTGTTGTTTCCTTTTGCTGGAGACGTTGAACCATGGCCAATGAGGCACATGAGGCACTTGCTGCCTTGAGAAAGCCGCAGAAAGAACAAGGCGATCTGAAACAACTAAGTATCATTCGCATTTCGGAGCCTATCTCAGATGTCGGCGAGTCGAAGCAGTCGCCCTCGAAACGACGATCCGACGTGTCGATGTCCGACTGGAGCGATCCAACTCCTGCAGTTCTAGAGGCCGACTTAACGCACTACAAGGTATATACTGCATCGCGCTACAAATAGGATTCTTGTTGATATGTCTGTGCGCAGGAACTATTTTCAAAACTACGATTTTCATACCTCGAGCAAGTGACCAAGGAGAAATTCTTGCGCGCGATTGTAGGTGATCCGCCTCTGGTTGTTGGCCATAATGAGAATGTCGAGTTGGAGGGCCAACTAGCAGAGGTGAAGGCCGAGCTCAAGGCCCGGAAAGAAGAGGCTCGAGTGATGATTGAGGAGATGGAGAGAATTAGTCGCGATTTGGCGCGCAGTAAGTAGGGCCCTTGCTTGCAAATATAGCTCGTAGGGGCAGCCGCTGAGGGATGAATGCTACAGGATATGAGATTATCGAGCTCCAAGAAACGCAATTGTCGACCCTCCCTGACTCCATCGAGAACCTTGAGTCTACCATTGCCGGTCTCAAAGCAAAGCAAGTTGCTACTATGGACTCCTCTGACCCACGATCGTCACAGAACCTCTCTCTTCCTGCTACCGTGCAGCTGCTCTCGGAGCGTGAGGCGGAATTGGCGGCTCTGAACCGTCAGATTGCTGCTGTGCAAAACTCGCTGCCACGTAAAACACGAGAGGCCGAGGCAATCGAGAGGGAATGTTCGGTGCTTGAGCGCCGAAAGGCTGAAGCGGTGACACAAGCACGCGAGGCTTACCGTAAGAAGCAGCAGGGCGAGAGCGACGGGCTGGAAGAGATAGGCCGATGGTATAGAGGGGCAGAGGAGACCCTGAAAGAACTGGTGGGCACAGAGGGGTAGCGAGGTTGATTACGATAATACGACGAAATGAGGGGACAAGGCGTCAAGGATCTACTGTACATATACGAAAACCTCAGCCGTTAGGGCAACTGGAGATTACTGAATGCAATGGATTCGGGTCTCGAATTTAAGCCATCTGGCTGGTATGTATTCATTTGATTTGCATGATCATACAACATGAAAAGCTTGATGCTGCAGTCATCAGGCCCAGGGTATTGATTTGCCCAAAGCGAAACCCGTCCGTACTCCCATTTTTCTTTTTTAGAGGATAATTTACTCCTCGTCCTCCTCCTCTTCACCGTCATCACCACCACCGGCAGCAGCGGCGGCCTTCTTGCGGCGGGTACGGCCGGGACGGCCACCACCGAAGGGAGAGGTCAGAGAGAAGTCAATGTGCTTCTGGGAGTCCAGGCGGACCATGAAAGAGGGCACGTTGACGATCTGCTTGCCGACACGGATGTGGCGCTGCTTGATCAGGACACGGGCGTGGTGGATGGACTTGGCGAGGCCGAGCTTGTAGACACAGGTCTGCAGACGACGCTCCAAGAAATCCTCGACCTTGAGGGCCAGAACGTAATCGAGCTTCATGCGGGACTCGTCGAGCACACCGATACGGACCAGACGGCGAATCAGGGCGTTACCCTCGAAAAGACGCTTGGGGTCCTTCTCGTCAAGGGTGAGGAGCTCACTAAATTGGAAAAAAGTTTCTGGTTAGTACGTACTTCAGGAAGCCCGGTATTATCGCTCGACAAGAAAAAAAAGAGCAAAACATCCAGGGCAGTATCCGCGGGGTGGGGGCCTCCACATACCGAGCAGCACGACGAATCTTGGACAGGGTAAGCTGGACACGCCAGACCTCACGCTTGTTGCGGAGGCCATACTCTCCGACAACCTTCAGTTCAGAGTCACTAAGAAATAGCGGTTAGGCAATTGAACACACGACATAAACAGAAGCACGCTTCTGATCATTGGCCGGAGAGTACTAACAGACGAGCCGACTCATAAGCTGTGAAAAAAGTTAGTCTTCGACTGTCGTGCAAATGCGAATTTCGTCGGGTTGGACTTACGGCGACGGGGGACCTTGTAGGTCTTGGAGTAGACACGGCTGTAAAAAGAAGATTAGAATTATCCTCGTCATCACGAAGCATCACGATACTCACGGAGCAGGGGCCATGGTTGCTGGGTGTCCTGGTTGTCGGTTGGGCGCACTGAAAAGAATCCAGAGTTCGAAGTGATGGGAATGGGTATCTCGGTTAACGCTGTGCTAACGCTAGTCCATATTAGGAAATATCCATTGGGGCAAGAGAGCATTAGGGCACACTCATATAGTTAGGGCAAGTCAAATTTCTCGGCTAGCTCCACAATATCATCACATGACACACGGACGGTGAAATCCACCTCCAGGTCTGACTTTGATCATTTTGGAAGGCCGACTCACCACCAGCATCAACCACCAACACCGCCGTCATGCCTCACTCCTACGGTCTGCGCGCCGGCACTCGGGTACGTCTACAATACATCCCATCCATTCCCTCGATTTTTACGCTTTCGACGATCCGGATCTTGTGACGAGAGGACATGCAATTTTGTGGAAGGACGACATCGAGACCAACTTACTGACCAAATGAACAGTATGCCTTCAGCCGAAACTTCAAGGAGCACGGTATGATCCGTCTCTCCACCTACCTGAAGACTTACCGGTACGATCGCTCAAGCCCCGGAATCTCGAATTGAAATGGTGGAACAACGTATCTGACAAGTTTTACAGGGTTGGTGACATTGTCGACCTCAAGGTCAACGGTGCCGTCCAGAAGGGGTCAGTACTCTCCGAATCTCGCATCTCGCTTGGTCCTATCGTTACAAGCGCTATGGGATCATGGCTTCGCGATGGAAATGAGCATGAATAACTGAGATGTATCTATAGTATGCCCCACAAGGTCTTCCACGGCAAGACTGGTGTTGTCTACAACGTCACCAAGTCCTCCGTCGGTGTCATCATCTACAAGCGTGTCGACAACCGCTACATCGAGAAGCGCATCAACGTCCGCATCGAGCACGTCCAGCACTCCCGCTCGCGTGAGGAGTTCATCAACCGTGTCAAGGAGAACGCCCTCAAGAAGAAGGAGGCCAAGGAGAAGGGCATTCACGTCCACCTGAAGCGCCAGCCCGCCGGCCCCCGCCCCGGCCACGTCGTCTCCCTTGAGGGTAACGCCCCCCGAGACTGTCGCCCCTATTGCCTACGACACCCACATCTAAGCGAATCACGAAAATGGGACTTTGGGTTCGGTATGCGTGGTTGTTCGGTGTTTTTTAAACTGGGTTTTCGCCGTTGTTATCCACCCAGCGGGGTGGATTGCACTTGGGTTGCATGAGACGACGTTAAGGGTCTCGGATGCCCTGGGTCATCTCACGCCTGTGCATAGATTCCCCTGAATGAAACAAAATCAAAAATTTTCCGATTTCAATTGCTTTTGAAGAATTGAGATGTATGAGCTATCTGACCACTAGTATACGTAGACAGCTGTCAACCGTAGGTTCTTGTGTTGATATCGTCCAATCTTCGGACCGAACCGGTGTATAATACTTCACAGAGCTCAGGATGAAGTACTGACCGGCCGTAGTCAATTTTCCAAGACTCAACTGCTCGATTTTTAAGCTTTGACTCGGTCTCCTTGAGCTGTCCGAGTCACGCCAGGAGGTCAGGTGGCAATATCCATGATTAATGCGATAGAGAGACCCATCATGGCCTCTTCCTAATCGCCTTTTTGACTTGAAGAAAAGAGGAGAAGGCAGCCCTGGGGGCCACTAGAATGAATAGAAGGAACAGAAAACCAGTTGCTGAAAATGCAGACGCGTTGTCCCCACGTCAGTCTTACGCTTCAATGACTAGTTTTTCTGTGGATATTTTCATATAAGCATCCTGTCTGGCATGCTTTGGCTTCGCGGATACTGACCGAAATTCTCAAGGTAGAAGGCGAAGTGCGTTACAGGGGTCTTAACAACCATATAGAGCTATGGACTCGTAAATCATAAATCCCGCTCAGAGTTCTGTAGGGTTGTCCTCCGAATAGATTGGAGTGGCCCGTCGGCTATGTGCAACCTGAGGAGACTTGAGTAGCCCTGGTGCTTGAAGACACCATGCGCGAAAAGAGACTACTCGTAAAGTTGATAGGTCAAAATTGAGGCTTGGTATTGATGGCAGCAAGTCTTGGGTTCCATCGCATGAAGCTCGGCTGCATATTGGACCCCGCGGCCTCCAACAAGCTTGAAGTACTACAGCTTCATAGAACCTAGGGACTTGCAGTAATCAGGCGAATGCATCGAATGACACCAAACGGATCTCGGCAAGATGCCAGATGCTCGATCCATGTGACGCATAAATTTCCTCTTCCTAACGCATGCAGACTGGTAGGGCGACGGGGCCTTATGCACGGAGCTAGTGATGAAGCTAGGGATTAATGCGAAAGTACCACGTTCTGGACATGGGTTATTCAGCCGCACTAGTTAGTTATATCTGTGCCTAGCATGCAAGGGCCCTGCGAGGGCCTTGTGCGACCTTTGCGTAGGAGTGATGTGATAAGTCTGTCGTGTAGCGCGTTTTTGGTGATATATTGCGGGAGCCCAAAGGCCGGTCCTGATCTCGCTCTGCTTTTCAAATCCCAGGTTGTATCCACGGGACCCGCTTGAAGTATTCTAACGAAATCCTGTTATTCCAAGCTTTGTACCTCGGCAGTTGTTGCTCTCCGATCTAGCGGCGGTGTGGATAGAACATGCGGACGATCCTGCGTGGTTTAGACCTGCATACATTGGCTCGATTATGGAACACACGACTGGACTAGGACCATTGCGGCAGACGATTTCTTAGATGGTGGTGGGTAGCATGCACGGTCTCGTCATCCTCAAGAAAAAAAAAGAGGATCTGCCAATCCTTGTTCCGGTCGACTCAAAAACTGTACACTCCACGGGGACTGTATGGAGCCACAGGATATGTTGCATCGACTCATTTTTGAATCCTGTGGCCGATACCACATGGAGACACGAACTGGCTGCGCGGGGAATTATTACACATGGTTCATTTCCCCTGGAAGCGCAGCCGGACGTATCACAGATCGCAGAGGATTCAAACGGCAAGTGGAACCGCCCTGGATCGCGGGACCGTCGGGTGTACCGCTACTTGTGACCACGCGACCCCGTCTTTCTTGGGGTGCAGTTGCCAAGTACAAACTGAGATGGGGCTAAGGGGACTTGGAGTACTTGCCCCTTTTTATACTCTCTTCGATGTGCCTCTTCCTCTGGAGCTGACGCGTCGTACCCGGTCTTTCTGCAAGGGGAGCGTCTATGATTTGAAATATTCAAATCATCAGAATTTCCAGCTATCTGCTCCTGCAGGTCCCCGTGTGAAAGATCGCCCTTCCAAACGAGATTTGCGCCTGTCAACCACACGATTACGCACGAGATGGCTTCGATGGCTTCAGCCAAATCCGTAGATGTCCGAAATCCGGATCCACTGCTGATCTTCCCCGCAATCCTACTGTTCCAAGCACTAGGCCGTACGGAGTAATTAGGGCCTGATCCTATCGACATGCAGAAGCAGGACTCTAGTATGCCACCGCTAGGGAAAGACCTCGTCGCATGATGGCATCACACCCCCTAAGCACTTTCCTCCTGTCCTCACGAGCCTATCAACCGTAGAAGCCCAGGGTCTCTTCCTCGGCCAACCTCGTATTCATCTCCTTCAGAAGCTTTGATTCTTTCAGCCACACGGGCACCACTGTCATTTACTCCGCATCTTTATTTTGCGCCATCCCATGTGCTCAGTCACCTGCAGCTTATCCACCCGAAGCCACAAAAGCGGGCGCTCTCACTCGCTGGCGCCACAGTCGGTCGATCCACGCATAGACCGCCGTTTGTTCTATGCGGCCAAGCGGAGGCTGCAGAATTCGACTTGTCTCGGAAATAGGGCTCTTCAGGTGTGCATTCCCTCCCTGTGCCCACCCATCTATCCCAATGGGTCTTCCACCCCTCGCGTCCAGTCTGTCGGCGCCTTGCCATTTGGCCGAGTGTGCGGCATGAGATCCTGTATACTGGGTGCTGATGCTGATCAGCCGACTACCCTCGGAACTTTCATTCAGCCTGCTGGCCCGACTGCTCCATAACGTTGCTGTCGGAGTTAATTCGCCCTGTTTTATTTTTTTTTTTATTTTTTATTTTATTTCCCCCTTTTTTTTCCAAGAGACGGCCGGTGGCATGCGGGCCTGAGACGGACCTATGAGCATTCACTTCCCCCTTTTGCCATTGGCGTCCTCAAGTATAAAAATGTCCCTGGCATTCTGGTAAACACCGTGTCGATCTCCTGCGCGTGCTCCGTCATTCAAACTGCTCGTGCAGCTTTCTGGTCTGGAAGCTCTAGCTCTTTCGCACTCCTTCAATTTGGTGATTCGACTTCAGTAATAAAAGGACAGGCTCCTCGGTCGATCATTTTGATCCCGTCCAATCCTTCCGACTTTCGTAAGTATGCAGCTGTCTCGTCTTGCTGCTCTCGTGAGCGCCTGCGTGGCTTCTGTTGGTGCACAGTCAACATTTTCGCCTGCTCGCCCTCCGGCAATCCCACTGGCTGTGCGGTCTCCCTATCTTAGTGTCTGGCTCGACGGTGGCAGCGATGGTGGAGATGGTGGTTACCTAGCAGGCGAGTGGCCTACCTTTTGGCAGTGAGTTTGGCATTCCCCATCCGTCCGCCAGACGGCAATTGGAATCGCGGCCACAAAAGGATCTTGAGTATCTAACCTCCCAAAAAGAAACCAAGTATTTGGCTGGGCGGGTATTGTCCGTGTCGATGGCGCGCCCTATACTTGGATGGGCTCATTGCCGAACACTATGTCTGTTAATCAAACGGCATTCGAATATACCGCAACTAAGAGTATATTTACAATGCACGTTGGCAACGCTGTTGAAATGAAGATCACTTTTCTCTCCCCTATCACGCCTGATGACTTGAAACGCCAATCCCTTGTTTTTCTCTTATCTGAATGTCGAAGTGTCGTCGCTTGACGGTGGTCACCACGATGTCCAGGTTTATGCCGATATCTCCGCCGGTGAGGACTGCGACACACGTGAATCTTGCGCATCTCTAACGAATTGATACAGAATGGGTCTCAGGTGATCGCAATGCCGTCGCCCAGTGGGATTATGGCACAGCTGATGGTGTGTCTTACCACAGGGTCTATCGCCAGACCCAACTCGCATTCTCCGAAGTCAACCAACAGAGTGAATGGGGGTACTGGTACTGGGCCACCGATGCCGTCAACAGTATGACCTACCAATCTGGCGCTGACACCACTGTGCGCGGTCAATTCTCTCAACATGGCAAGCTTTCCAACAGCGGCGACACCAATTATCGTGCTATCAGCAACAGCTGGCCAGTTTTCGGATTTGCGTCTGATCTGGGCTCAGTAGGGTCATCTTCAGCAAGTACCCTGTTCTCTATTGGCCTCACTCAGGATGAGGCTGTCCAATTTGAAGGGACATCTACCTACGCCCCTGTTCCTTCCTTGTGGAAGTCCTATTTCTCGACCGATGAGGATGCATTGACCTTCTTTCACCGTGACTACCAACGGGCCAACTACCTGTCAAGTGGTTTCGACAGCAAAGTTTCGGGAGATTCTATCGCTCTTGCTGGTGACAACTACAACGTTCTCACTTCCTTGGCCGCCCGCCAGGTTTTCGGTGGTACACAGCTCTGCGGTACAGAGGATAAGATGTACTTGTTCCTGAAAGAAATCTCCTCAGATGGCAATGTGAACACTGTTGATGTCATCTTCCCCGCCTATCCGTTCTTTCTATATACGAATCCGGCCTATCTGAAGCTGGTTTTGGAGCCATTGTTCGAGAACCAGGAATCGGGCAAGTACCCCAACTCATATTCCATGCATGACATGGGCTCGTCCTATCCGAATGCCACGGCCCACGCCGACGGCAGCGATGAAAAGATGCCTTTGGAGGAGTGTGGAAACATGCTCATCATGGCTCTTGCATACGCGTTGAAGGCCCAGGATCTTGACTACCTGACCGCCCACTACGACCTTCTGAACCAGTGGACTGCGTATCTCATCAACGACGCACTTTACCCTGCTAACCAGATCTCTACCGATGACTTTGCGGGATCCCTAGCGTAAGGCAACACAAAAAGTTCGTTTCAGAATCTTGGACACTAACTACTGAAATTAGAAACCAAACCAACCTAGCCTTGAAGGGCATGATTGGAATCCAGGCCATGTCGGTCATTGCCAGGGAGACCGGTCACACTGCGGATGCCACCAACTATTCTAGCATCGCCAAGGATTACATCGGCAAATGGCAGGATCTGGCAATCAACAAAGATGCGAGCCCGCCTCATACCACCTTGAGCTACGGTGACTCGAATAGCCACGGTATGTTGCATTCAGAAGATATCCCGCGGGTAGATAGGCTGACCGATGGCTGTTAGGATTACTCTACAACCTCTATGCTGATGCCCAGCTGGGACTGGGCCTGGTGCCGCAACAGGTTTACGAGATGCAGAGTACTTTCTACCCAACTGTCGCTAACAAGTACGGTGTGCCGCTGGATACTCGCCACACCCTCACCAAATGTACGTTACCGGACACCTTTCGGATTGACCCTCATATAGCTAACTGTGAGCTAGCTGACTGGGAGTCCTTCGCTGCCGCGATCGCTTCCACCGAAACTCGCGACTTGATCTTCCAGAATATCGCCACCTGGATCAATGAGACTCCGACCAACTTGGCTCTAACTGACTTGTATGACACTGTGAGCGGAAAGTGAGTAATGCCCATCTTTCCGCCCTTTCAAGCCGCTCGATACTCACACCCCATAGCTATCCCAACCCGACTTTCATCGCTCGACCGGTCATTGGTGGCGCCTACGCTCCTCTCCTACTCAACTCATGAGCGCTTCTCGCCAGCGGATTTCGCTTCTTGCTTATTATCTTTATCTACTACTTTTGGGCATTCAACGCCTCATGACGACGCTCGTTTGGGGACCGGAGACGTTGATTGAGTTTAATAAAGAAGCCACAGGCAATGCGCGGGACGCCACCACATCCTTTGTTTTGCCCTCGTCTTCAATCCTGTGATCGTGTTGTATTCCTTTTGAGACCATTGATACCCATCAATAGACCTTCGCTTACTTAGAGTGTGGCCACTCGTGTTGGCTCAGCGATTGCATTTGCGCTTGTCGGGTGGCTTGCCCGCCCTCATCTGTTATGCATACCTACAGTCTCTAGTTTCTCTAATCGATCGGTTCTTCCTCCCATTTTTTGGCTATAAATTTATGTTAAAAGACGCCGGGTGGTTCTATGGCCTGATTCTGCTCTTGTTTTGGGCATCGGAATAGCGGCCAGATGCTTGAGCTCGAGGGCTGTCGAGGTCGGATTTTTTTTTTTTTCCACGCCTTATTCGTCGAGGAACTTTGTGCGGGGTAGAACTTTGCCTCAGACTGGGAGACATCAAAGGATATTGTATTTGCGGCGTTGATGAAAGTATTGAAGACGGTATTTTCGTTGTAAAATAGAGTCTAAAAGCTGTAGCTGCGCTTGCCATATACGTACAAAGGCATTGCAGGCCGACCATAATCTGAGAAAAGTGTTGAAAAAGCCTAACATTAAAAAACAAGCTGCAGTAGTTTACCACCTGGGCACCATCGAAGTGATTACCAAGCAGTCAGCGTTGTCAACCCTGTGAAACAATTGAAATTTCGTCTCGTGCCTCGCGAACACAGGAGGACAGTCACCCACAGGACCCCAGTGATCAAATTCTCTGCTGGATTCCGAGTATCATCCTTGAAACGAGTGCCCATTGCCAAAAAGTCTGGAACGCCGGTAATATGGATCCACAGAGAGGAGGCAGGGCAATCCGTCAGCCCTACCATTTATATAGAGTACAATTCGACCAACTCACGCCATCTAGATGCGCAAGGTTCCACTTTGGTAAGCGACTGGGATCAGGCGTGTCCCAACCGGCTGAACTCAGCGTATAAAGACTTGGCTTGGAGTTCAAGACTAGGGGTCCTACACGATGACAAGCTGACAGTCTGACTACTGGATGGGAGAAGTAACGCTCTTGGGCAACACTTGTGTTACCGGCCCCCTCGGCCAAATCGCTCCTGGTAATTGAAGCCATGAGCTAAGGGTAGACGATTATCCCTATCTATGCTTATATAGACCCCGCAAGGCCCTGGCGCCTATCCATCTCTGGGGTCTCTCTTTCCAACGTATGACTGGGGTGGGTAGATGTCCTGCAACTTGAAGACCATTTCACGGGGTAATGGTCTTTTCTCATCAATGCATTGCATCTTCTCACTTCAAGTCCTTTGAATTCCATTTATATAAGAATCGAACTTTTGGACGACTCCTCAAGTTAATGCTATTTATACGAGAATGGCATATCAGGAGATGAGAAACAGAGTGGCCCCCAGCAGCCATCATGATCCTCTTCGAGGCCCCGCTATTCGCAACCGAGATGATGTCCAACTACAGCGGCTAGGAAAGAGGCCATCGTTGAAGGTATTTGCGAGCCTCTGCTGGGATTTACTTGAACCCTGCTTTGACATGTCCTGATAACAACCAGAGAAACTTTGGCATGCTCTCTCTGGTGGGTTTTAGCTGTCTTATTCTTTTGACGTGGGAGGGCATAGTCGTGTAGGTCCCAGTTATTCTTGATCGCAAGCCAAATCCACCAAGCGAATTAACCAGGTTTCAGAATCTTTGACCAAGTGATCAGAAAGTCCGAGAGTTTCACTTCCGTATAGTGGGATTAGTGACGCTAATATCTTCTAGTGTGGGCCCGGCGGGGGTTATGTACGCTTATTTCTTCGCCTGGACAGGCACTGCTTGCTGCTTTCTCGTTCTGGGCGAGCTTGCTTCGATGTAGGGGAAAAAGCGTCCCCACAAGACCACCAAGGCTGATGTATAGCTAGGGCACCTACGTCCGGTGGCCAGTATCACTGGTGTGCCATGCTTGCGCCGATGCACTGCATGAAATTCCTCAGTTATGTCACTGGTGAGTATTTAAAGCCAAGGCAATAGTATTTTCCCAATAGCTCATATTTACTAAGGGTGGCTCACGGTAATCGGCTGGCAAGTGGCAAACGCCGCTACGAATCACTTATGCGCTGTTCTCATCCAGAATATCATCCAATTCAATCACCAATCCTACAGCCCCGACGCGTGGAAAAGAGTGATGATCTGCTGGGGGGTGCAGCTGCTGTCCCTCGGCACTAATCTGATTGGAGGCAAGTTTCTACCCCGATTGGAGACGCTGGCACTGGTGATCCATGTCTTGGGGTTCTTCGGTATCATGATTCCCCTTGCGTACATGTCGGAGCACAGGACCTCGCAGCAAGTATTCCAAGATTTTTGGAATAGTGGAGGATTCAGCATGCAGAGTCTTTCTTGGTTTGTGGGCTCTATAGGCTGCGCGGGAGCTTTTGCTGGAGGCGACGGCGCCGTTCATGTAAGGATCTGGACTTGGTTTTTCCCGAGCAGGACGGATTTGTATTAACAAGTCTGGTAGATGGCAGAAGAAGTAGAGAATGCAGCAGTTGCGTTGCCCCGGGCACTGCTGATCACTCTCATTATAAACGGATTTCTCGGGGTCGGCATGATGGTTGTTCTGCTGTATTGTATGGACAATATCGAACTCGCTCTGAAAGCAAGCACCGGCTACTCTGCAGTCGAGTTCTTCTACCGAGCCACGGGGTCGAAGTCCGGCGCAATCAGTATGTGTTGCTTATGTGTGGTCATGAATGGGGTGGCTTCGTTTGGCGTGTTGGCTCCTGCGTCGCGGCAGATTTGGTCTTTAGCGCGAGACCGGGGCATTCCGGGTTGGGCATACTGGAGAAAGGTTTGTATATCATGCGAACCTGTTGAAACTGGCTATAATACTTACAATTCATGAAGGTCTCCCCCGCCGACTGCCTACGTACGCGATCTACCTCGCTGTCACCGTGTCGGTGCTGATTTCCCTTATCGATATCGGCTCTGAAATCGCGCACACTGTCATGATTTCTATAGCCATCCCTGGCTGGTACTCTTCATATCTTATCGTGGAGCTGCTCTTGCTCTACCATCGATGCAGAGGACAGATTGCTCTACAGGTTGACTACGATGATACGAAAATCAACACCCCCGGGGAAAAGCTTGTTTGGGGACCCTTCCGAGTCCCAGGCATTTGGGGTATCTTGGTCAACGGCTACGCGATTGTCTACAGCGTTCTTGTCATCTTCTTCAGCTTTTGGCCGGCTGAAATGCGGCCCACAGCGACGGGGATGAATTACAGCGTTGTCAGCACGGGAGGCACCGTCATCCTGGCCATTGTTTACTACGTGTGCAAGGCGCGGCATGTTTACAGGGGCCCAATTATGGAGACAAGCATGTATGATTAGAATGGGTCATCCTCATCCCAAGGACCAGGCATATATCGTGGGCGTATTCAGGTTTATATCGGTCTGGTGGTACGCAAAATAGAATGTATTTTGGAGAATCGCTGGCCCCAGGGCAGGCCGAGGTGTGTAAAAAGAGGTGCGAATTAGTGGTTGTGAATAGCTTCAATTTTGGAGGTTGCCAGGGTTGGTGGTGGAGCTTGATTCGGTAATTACTTTGTGGTGGTCCACGGGTGGCCGGCAGTATTGTATGGCATTACAGGGCGGTACAGTGCTAGCCGGTGGATTTGGAATGGCGCTATCGTGGAGGAACTTGCAGCGATTTTGGTATTTTCAAGTGACTTTTGCAGTGAATTCGAAGCATGTCCTACCACAGTCAGCAGATTGTCAGAGATCTCAGGCCAAATGACATACGCTTTTGGAGCCATAATGCTTCCACTACCTGATAAGTCTCAGGATGTCAGGGTTCAGTGGTGATGATTTTGGATTCAAGAACCAGAGTATGGGAAATTGGACCGGGATGATGAAGAGAAGAGACACGACTCAGAAGAGCCTCTCATGTCAACCGGGCCTTTCTTTGGGCAGGTCTCAGTGCCGGCTACTCCAATGCTTCAGACAAAATTTCTGCACCGGCAAACACAGAGTCTCAAGTGGAAATCATGAGCGTGAATTACTTCTTTAATTAACAGTATTTGTTCTGAATCGAAATTTGAACCTTCTGTTCTACTCTCCCTTTGCACGTTGCGACTAGGAATAGATAAGAAACCTTTTATGGCTTTTCGCTAGAAATGTCTGGGGCAGCTCTTATCAGGTTTTCTTAGTATGCACCCAGCTACTCCAATTTTTCGTCCCAGCCATCGAAGGCGCGGACCAGATCTGTGTACCATAGTCAGTGAAGCACTTATCAATACGAGCCGAGGTAAGACCTACCGTAGTAGAGCATGATTCCCTCCAGATGCGCATCCAATTGAACCCGTTCATCAACCGTGTGGATATTCAGCGCAGTCCCCTCGCGCGAAGGGCTCCAGCGGTAGATATTTTCAGTGAGAGACCAATAGAATCGTGTATCGGTGTTTCCAGTCATGACGTCGCCAGTGACAACAACCCTGGGGACTGACTCGACTACCTCTTCCGATTCGGTCCCATGGGCCAGACTCGACTGGCGCTTGGTAGGATCAGGGTGCGACTCAAAGACGCTACGCGTCACGCCGGCGAATCGAGCCCAAACCTTTGAGGAGAGGGTCCGTCGGAGAGATGGGCGCGGGGGCCAAAGGTTTCAGGGTGCGATTCGAGATTTCAATTGACGCTCGGCGATGGGGCTGATGATTCGAACAGCGCGCTCACGCACCAGGTCTGGGGTCTGATGCAAAGCCACGCGGTAGTTGACAATAGCAGAGATCTTCTCCCGGTAAGGCATTGGTCTTGACACCGCCACTGATCAAGTCAGCAGCTTGGGAGGTCTGCAAAGTGTAGCGAATCCTAGAACCGCGAGGACTGTGATACGGCTTCCGCCAGCGATTCAGCATCTCCCTCGGCCAGCTTCGTCGACAGCCAAGGCTCGACATACTCGGGGAAATACGCTGGCACTCCAGCTTGCCGTAGGTAGGGTGTGATGAGTCCAGCTTTGCAGTAAAGAGCTCCTGTCGCTCCAGCTCGTAGAGAATCTCTGCGATGATCCCGATGCCGCGCGATGGTGGATAGAGCTGTGTCCTCCCCGGAACCGCGAGCTGAGGACAGTCTGTTTTCCCCTTCGAGGACCAGGTCTTTTTTCCCCTTTTCCCGACAGCGGGAAGTGCATATAAGATCTCTTCTGCGGAGTCGGAGTCTCCACCCAAACTGCTCAGCCCCATACCACCTTCATCGAGGAGGAACTTTTTTTTTTCTTTACCCTAAACCTCTTCCACCTTCAGAATTTGGAGATGGAGCCTGCGCCTAGGAAGCCATGGGACTCCTCATCAAAGCCAAATGCTAGAAGGACTGTACGTTGCGGGTTCCATCCTTGGCTGACCAGATCTTCTAAGGCGGACAAAACCCCGATCAGGGAATTTTTGCAGTCGCTGGCACCGCGGCCCCAGAGCCACTCGCCGTCAAAGTGGCCCTCGAACGGGGGGTGGGCCCAGTCTGATGGGTCGTCAATTGGAACGACGTCTTGGTGGGCGGTAAAGAGAATTGGTTTACGGGTCGTGTCGACCCCTTGGAAGGTGTAGAGTAAACCAAGGCGGTTGATATGCTCGACCTTAGCATGGGCATGTCTGTTCGAGCCGAGTCAGTCCAGAATGTGGGTATGACCCGGGGGGCTCCCTTTCGAATGGCTTACACAAGGGGGAAGAGTTTCTTCAAGAGTGTCTGAAATTCTACAAAGGGTTCAAACGCCTTGTCGTATGGATCGGTAGCATAATCGCCGACGGTCGTTGGGCCCTGCACAGCTCGGGACACCCGGTCCACCTGGCGGGCCCGAAAAGCCCCACTCTTTCAAAAATAAAAGACGAATGGAACATTAGTTAATTCGTACTTTCGGTGCCTGGGGACAGGTCTCACGCCCAGATGGTTTGACTCCGGCAGGCAGGGTTCTCCGCCGGGGGGACAGAAACTTGCAGAGGGATTTTGAGAGCGAAGGCCGGATGGCAGACACGCCAAGTGAGGAGGCTAGGGGCTTTCATGTTAGAATTGGAGAGCCTCTTCTTTCCTAAGCAGTTGAAGATAATGAAAAAAACATCCTGGAACGGGCTTATGCTTTAATAGATTGCGCCATATCACCGCGATCTTTATCTTCCCTCTCTCCGCGGACGATGCCGCTCTTAACCCAATAGGCATGTTTTGGCCTGATTCGGCCTGATTTGGGTAGGTGGAAAGGCTCAATTTGCCGTAACTCGGCAGTAGGCAGGCTGTATCGCTTTTCGGCTCTGTCCGTGGTTGTTCAAGGGAATCACTTATCATTCATTGGCCTTAGGTGGACACGAAAGAGCGGACCACCCAGGGTCCAGGGACATGATGACAACTATGACGCTGCGGAACTGACGACTCGAGATATCGTAGAGAACCCCTTTCACTAGCAGTAAGTACAAAAGACGACACCTTAGCGGGTCATGTCAAGTAAAACTGTAATACTGGACATTCCAGATGTACACATATTCTTGAACGTATCATCCCATTTTGCAGGATCCAATTCTTGTCGGAGAGTGGCGTGTGTCAAAGAGGCAGATTGTGGCGCGATGGACTTATACGTGTCTCATAGTCATCTCCTGTTGATTTGCGAGTGGTGTGAAGATATGGGACGGGTTGAAAGAATCGGACAAACTTCTGCCTTAGAGGATCTGACCACTTTGTTAACAGTCCGGTGGATCAGAAGTGGCCATAATCCTGACAGGATTGACAGTCGCACTGGAGTGGTAACGGCCCACCCACAGATGAATGAATTTCCCTTGCGATCTTCAGCTTTGCCAACATGACATCATTTGTGCTACGACCTATTCACGAGCATAAACTAGTATTAGGATCCAACTAGTACTAGGACTGGCACCTTCGAGTTGGACTTCTACGTACTAACCACGTACTCGGCGGTCCTCCTGGTCGACTCCCAGCACAATGCCATCCGCCGTGATCGTACATCGACGGAGTCACCAGCTCCGTTCATGAAGTACGACATTGAGAAGATCCTACGCATCTCTCAAATATGGATAAAGTGTTCTTCTCCAACACGATGGAACTCGTGGGCTTATGTACCGGCAGAAAATTCGAGTGAATCGAAAAGGGCGAACGCTACAACACCAAGACTGATCATCGCCACAGCCCGGAAGCTGCTGGATATTTGATGATATCGGTTTCATGTGAGTTCTGTAGTGACTGGTTCTTTCACCAAAACAATATCGGACTGAATCCGACTCATGGCCGAGGTGCTCGAAGCAATAAGAGAGACCTACTGGCAGACTATACCTTGGAATTTCAGAGCGATAGTTGAGTTGCTTGCAGCCAGGTGACCTGGAGAATAGCTATCCATTTGTATTTCTGGGATGGTTTATAGGCGTCGCCGAGATCGTCCACCTAACCACCAATCAACAGAAGTGTAGGCTCGAAAGATGTAAATCCTGTCTGGAGATTATCGTAGGTTTATAGGGGAAGACAGCTGAGACTCGCGCCGAACTCAAGAGTGGAACCCAAGCGCTCGCCCGGAACCCGCGTGGAAGCACCCCATCCCACGGGTCAATTCAGGAGATGCGAGTCCACTGGCTTCCAATCTCATGCTTTTCCCAACTGCTGATCTGCCTCCTTCGGACATCGAGCCTTGAAAAATAATATGAGGTCTTTTTCAACGCTAAGCTCTTGGGCTCCACCGCACCAGCCGCGTCTCTTAGCTTGCGAGGTCGCTAAAAAGGGGCAGACTCGAGGGGGCTCGGGGCTCCAGGGCCTCAGAAATGCAACCTCGGGGTTTCCCACATCGAAGGATCCGTGGGGCGAGCCAATATCAATTGAAGCCAGTTGGGGAGGCGAATGATTCACGATCATCAGTCATCATCTCCAAAGGTGCCGACTTCAAGGCGATCCCAGCCGATCGCGCAACTCCCCCCACCAATGAACCCGGTCGCAAGGTTCAATGACCGAAGTTTTAGTGTTTCAGGCGACGTCGGAGCTTCCTGACGCCCCCCCCCAGTCTCCATACAGAAAGGCCCACCGGCTGTTCCTGCCAACCACACCCGACGAACTGGGGACCCTGAATTCTGAGACACGCGATTCGGTTCTTAATCGCCCCCAATTCCCGGGGCTCTCTCTTCTCTTTTACGACTGATACTGCATCTCTGCATCTCTGCACACGCTACAATCGTTCCTTTCGTTGCTTTTGCTTTTTAAACTCGTCTCTCCTTTCTGAACTCCCATCGCTAGGATCGTTTCCCCGAATCATCTTTGTCTCCACTTGCAAAATGCACTACCAACAACTTTTCGCGACTCTCGCCCTCGCCGCGCCACTCGTGGCAGCCGCGGGATATTCTTCCCAGCTCGGCTGCTTCACCCAGGTCCCCTCTCTGACGCAGGTCGAGTCTTACGAGTTCCAGAACAACGGCTACTGTAGAAACAAGTGCGCCGGTGCCAACTACCTCTATGCGGCTCTGAAGGACGACGACTGCGGCTGCAGCAACTCCGCGCCTACATCTGAATCCCAAATCAGCACCGCCAAGTGCTCAACTCGCTGCTCAGGCTATCCCACTGACATGTGTAAGGCCGATCTTCCTACAGGACCCCCCCCCCCCCCCCCCCCCGGCGCCCGCTTTGCATATACTGATCAGTGAACAGGCGGTGGCCAGGACTCGTGGACCGTCATCCGCGCCATGGATGACGCCGATTCCTCCGAGGACGACGACGACATAGTCACCAGTGCTGCCAACGTCGGAATCGCCGATCCCATTACTGCGTCCGCGCCTGCGGCTTCCGCCTCCGAGTCTTCAGCCCCATCTTCCACTCCCACCATCATCGGGCCCATGAAGACCGCGACCGACGTCGCCGAGGCCACCACCACCAACGGCATCATCGTCCCTGTCAGCGTCAGCCCGGACTCCATTCCAACCGGAATTCTGACGGCCGCTTCGTCTGCTGGTAAGCACACTACTACCGACGCTGCGTCGTCGACCATGGTCACCGCTACCAAGGCGACTGCCACGACCAGCTCCAGCGCCAGCGCCAGCCCTACTTCCACCGGCAACGCGGCGGGAGCCCTCCGCGCCGCCCCTGTGGCAGGTGTCCTGGCGGCTGGTGTTGCGCTGCTTCTGTAGATGTATTTGACAGTTTAGCCTGGTGGTGTGGCATCTTCTCCGGTACGAGCTGGTCTGGTCTCGCGCCGTTTGTAAATTTTGAATAGTGGCTCAGCTTTTTTCCCTGTGGGAAACGGGCCGCATTTAGTGATTGGATCGGGCGTGTTCTACGTATACGGGCTCCGCTAGCTGGCTGGCGGTGCTGGCTGCAGTGCGCGCGTATAGCCGGACTATTATCAAACTTGGACATTCGTTGGTTTTCGGCTCATACATCTCATACATACCCCTTGATGGACTTCGATATCCGTCGATGCAATATACAAAGATTGCCTGGAGTGGATCTGCTATACGTAGGGTATTTTCTGAATTTTCGTATCGCGGAACGTCCCGGTGTGAGAGTAAAAACAGTATATGATACCATGAGAACGCCTGAGAAATGCCAAACTGGGATCGAACGACCTTCAGTTGCGGGATATCATAAGCCAAAGAGAAACATGAAACAAAATGGGGCCAACCCGGAAACAGAGAGAAAGAAGCAATTAATAAGAGGAAAAGGTACGAGAATGGAGGAATCCTTGCTCAGAGCCAAAGCTCTTACTGAAGCAAGCCCACACGTTTGGCAGGCTGCACATTCTCGAAGCCAGGGGGAATGGGATCTCCGGCCCTGTAGACACAAAGATTAGTATAGTCCAACCTTCGAATGAGGGGGAAGGGGCGCTCACAACATGAACTTCGCTTTCAGATCCCTAGCATGGTCTTTGAGATTTACTTGCGTTCGCCCCCGCAGCGAAAACAGAGGACCTCCTTCTGCATCAGGTACCAAGAGGTCCTGTTCCAAAATCTTAGCCCACTGCATGGGATAGGATCTCATCAGGCGGATAAAGCGTTCATCCTCGACTGCAGTCCACCTGCCACCCTTCCTCGCCGGGGTAACCGGCTGCGGCCTTGTGGAGGCATTCTTACTTGCTGATGGCGTTGAATCGCTTGGCGTGATATGTCTCTTTGCCCACGACGATTGAGCAGGGATGGTTTGAAGAGAGGTCTGAGTTGCAGATGGCGCTTGAGAAGGGGCTGGAGGCGGAGGAGTTCCGTTTCGCTGAACCTGCCCTGGTTTCTCCAGTAATGTGATTGGTGCGCCCTCTCTCTCTGCCCGGGGAATTTGCACTTCAACATGGCTGTTTAGCACAGCCGGCTGACTCGACTCGGCGAGAGTTTGCTGGAGTTGAAGACCGGTTGCGGAATCGGGCGTTGCGCTGCGCTCGATGCGGCGGACTTTCTGCGGCTTCTCGGCGCGTTTCAAGGCGATGTTGATCTCGCGGCTGTCTTGTTCAAAGTCATCGTCAGACTGGTCGCTCTCTGGCTCACGCGGACGTTTTGTGACTCGTCTTTTTGGCTCAGTTGATGGGTTGGAGCTTTGAGTTTCGTTTTCATCGATATCTGAGACGCGTGAGGCGCCGGTCTGATGATCAAGGAGCGTACGCCGAGGAGTGACGTTGTGGTTTCTTCGTTGGCCTTGAGGAGTCGAGACGAAATTGGCCGATGAGGTGGGCGCGGTCTGCTGCCTCCGATGGTAAGGTTCAGACCTTGCGTCTGGGTTGTAGCTCATCTGCCTGGTCCTGGCAGAGCCTGGAGGCGTTGTTGATTGTTCAACAGGTTCGCCAAGCCTCAAATCTTCATCGTTATTGATAAATGTCGTTTCTCCATCGTCAAATCCATGTTCTAGTGACTCTGGTATCTCGTCAAGATGCGAATTCTCAACGTAGGTAGCTGCACCAGCAGGTCCGTTTGATTGTTGAGTTGAACGAGGTAGGGCCTCATTGCCATGGGCGGTCTTTGTGAGGTTTAATTCGCGTCCTGTGTAGCTCAATTTGTCCATGTCCTGCCAGTTACCGAAGCTGTCTTTCGTTAGCAGTATTCAAACATGATGGAAGTAGCACCTACTTCCTGCCCTCCTTGAGACGCTGGGCTTTAGACTTCTTTTTGGGCTTGATGATCTTGCGCGGAGAGTTGCTAGGACCTGGGGCCCCGATGGGAGGACTGGGCTGCGCAATTATTTCTGGAGAAGTTGCGTTCCCTTCAGGAGCCGGTGACTCGCGGACTTCGAAGCGGACGTCGTGTATACGTGCTGAGGACCTTTCCTCATGAGAATGAGCATGGTCGCCCCTAGGTTCTGGATTTACTCCTTTGCTTTCGATCAACTGTTCAAGCTTTTCTTGTATAGTTGAGAATTGCGCTTGATTTCTGAATTGCCATCTGATCTCATGGTCGCGGCCATGCAGGAACTCGGCCACGCGCATCGCAAAGCGATGCCACTTATAAGACGCTCGCAGGCCACTCAAGTCGCTATGGGCTATCTCAAGTTTCAGGTCGCGAAAGCGCTCAATGACTTCGTCCTGAAACCTGGCCGGCAAACTTTGGTCTTCGTTTTCGAAAACTTCGGGCAATCCAAATGCCCGAAGCCACCGAGCATCGAGAGACTCGTAGCCTTGCTCAAAGAAAAAGGTTTTCTTCAGGAGCAGCAATGCATCAACCTTTGCCCCTCCTTGGCTTTCCCTTTCCAGTTCCGAAATGAACCACTGAGTGCGGATTTCGAGGGCAAGTCTGAAAACAGCCTTCTCGCTAACCCCGTTGGCCCCGGCCACACTCCCAGCGTACACGTCATTGAGGAAAGGAGCCGGAAATCTGGAATTTAGAGTCCCAATCAGGTTCCTAAATGATTCAGGACTAGAGTCAGTCAAAAGCACCTCCGCAGCAAGCCGAGCGCAGTTGGCAAAATGCAGCGTTGGCGTTGGCTGCCAAGAAGCACTTGTGGGAGTGGATGGGACCGATGGAATCAACTTTTGAATACGCGCCACATCGATAAACATATCAGGCCCGTAATGTTTCATGCTATCAATCAGTTTCTGTCGACGTCTTTTCAGGACTTTGGCATTCTGGCTTTTCGGGTTGGTCTTCCACTCCATAGCTAACTCGACGATATTGGAGGAGTCCGAGTGCTTCGAGACCAGCTGGTTCATGAGGCTTAAAGCTGAATCCTCTAATCCGCGGAACTCTTCAACTAAGAAGATGGGGTTGTCGTCGTCCGAGTCTTCAGTTTGATCGTCTTCTGCGGAGTCATCAGACACAGCATGGTGGCGGTCTATCACGGTGGTTCCCGAGATGTTTGTGGTTCCATCCAGATCCGAGGACTCATTCACAATCTCGTTCCCTAAGTGGGAAGAAGATCTATCACGCGATAATTGCGGGGACCTTTCAACAACAGGGCTCATGTCTGAAGCAATTCGTTAGTATAGAATCAATGAATCACCTGAGGACGTCGCACAGTATGGGATAAGGGGAAGGAAAAGGACGGGGAAAGCATCATTAAATATCCCACTTTATCAATCTTTTCAGAACATGCATGCCTCTATGACAGCCCAGGCTCTCATCTCGTGCATAAAAACATCACAGGGTAGACTGGCCTGCGGAAAAACGCGTCACTCACAAATTTTTTTGCCTTTGGCCTGCCAGGTATTTTTAGAACCCGTTTCTTGATAAGAGGGGGCCTCTCGACTCTGACTCCTAGTCACCCGGCGTGGGACATCCTGCTCTCCAGGACGCGACATGGACGGCAGTGGGTCCACAACCGCGCGGAAAACACGTCTGTCAAGAGGCGGTAGACCTTGTAGCCTATTGGCCAGAGATGCCACTAATAAGTTCCAGAAATAAATCGGCGTTAGGGCAGCAGCAAGACTCGAAAAGTGCTGGACTTGTCTGAGGAGGATGAAATGTTGTTTTGGAGTGAATAGGGGTTGGCCGCCAGCCCAAATGATCTGGGAAAAATATTAGTCCGCTCCGAAAATAATGCTAAGCCGAAGGAAAAACCCCACTTTCTTAGGGGTCTAGGGGTTTGGGGTTTGCAAAAACCATTGACTAACCTGACAAAACGTACAAAATGGAAATTTAGCGATAATTAATAGGCGATTATGGATTCAGGCACTTGTGGAGTTTCTATCATATCAATTTCTTTTCCAAAATCTTGAATCTGGAAGAAGAAAAGAAGGAAGAACTCACTAGGGGTTTTAGGGATTAGGGGTCTTCCCTAAACAGGCGATACTTTCCAAGTCATTGCATTGGGAACGCCGTTCTCAGAAATACACACCTACCGTACTGATCGTCATGAGTATGTCAGTTTCACAAGCAGGAACATCTATATGACTTCCAGTTGGCACGATTTTAGTCCTCTCCGAGTCTGAGTGCTGCAAGTGAGTAGCGGGATTGAATAGCGAGAGTGAGTGCAAACTTTACCAGCACTCCATCAGAGCTTGATACTACATCTGTTGTAGCCAATTCCTGCTAAGAGCAGGCATAAACTTGAAACATGATAATTCAATATTTGGATCTACAGATGCTTATGCATGGCACAATTTGCATTAGACACTTTCCGTTGGCAGTCACATTCCAATGCACTTAAAACTTGAAGTTGAAGCTAGGCTTTACAAGTACGAGTAAATTGGACTCGACAGAGCTTCCCTTAGACAGCAGCGGAAAGGCAGATTGACTCGCGGAGTCCTAGGTAGAAAATTTTGAGGTTGGAGAAAGTATCAAGGCGCTTCTGGGCTGCCAGTAGTAAGCAGCAGAAGATATTATTTCATTAAGCACATGTATATCACAAGTTGCGCCGACTTTTACAGTAAGGTGAAGCGCCAATCCGTGCCCATGCCAAAAACCAAAGCACACATTCAACCGCTCGTATGCAATACATTATTGAAACAGAGCCTCTATCAAGTAGATAATGCCAAAGATAAGGAAAGCTGTAGCGCCACCCAGGGTAACTATGAAGAATTAGTAAATAACAGGACGATGACCTGGCGGGGAAAAATAAAACTTACCAACACGCATGCTGACACGGCCGGCGATCGCACGACCTCCAAGAACAGCAGCAGCGGTGCAGATACCGTGGCCAGTGATTGCACCAATGGTGACCCACCAGTAATCCTGACCAGCAGCCATGGCGATGGTGGCGATCTGACTACGATCACCCCATTCACCGAGGAAAGTCATGGCAAAAGTCTGGACCCATGCTGGACTAAGAAGAAGAGAGAAGAGGTTGCTCACTCCGACCAAAGCGTCGTTCCAGCGACGCGAAGGGTTCGGAGAAGATCCCCGGGAAGAGGAAGACGAAACACTCGAGGGAGGTGATGGGAGACGGTTATGGGAGCCGCGGGACTTTGGTCGTCCACCGGCACGACCGGCTTCCAGGAATGCGGAGTGACTGAAGAGCGGCGACGGCCGAGGCGAATCTGCTCTGCCTCTTTCTCTTCTAACTCTTGTTCGACTTCACGCATCTCTTCGCCGACGCCTTCGTCCGGCGACATCTCCCGACCCTCCTTCATCATCTTGGCGCCAAAGACTAAGAACAAAATTGCAGCCATAAACTTAGTGACTGATTTGGGAATCAAGTGAGGAACTGCGTGGCCCAGAACAGCAGAAAGGACGGTCATCGCAATCAAGGCACAGAAGGCAGCTGAGAAGACCACCAGGCGAGGGTGGCGCATTGCCATGAGCGCAGCCACGAGGAAAGTCTTGTCGCCGATTTCAGAGACGATGATCATGGTGAAAGAGAACACAAGAGAATGGAGGCCGTCGTTCTCCAAGGGGGCAACAGGGAGCCTTATCGTAGCTGGACGAAGCACTGGATGAGGAACCAGAGTATGAACTAGATCCCGAGCCAGCAGTGCCATGCCCGACAGCCAGAGGATCATTCTTTGCCTGAGATGGAGACTTGGGGTGAGGGATGTCATAGGGCTTATCAGGTAGATCAGCGGGCTTTCCCAGCATCCCAAGGGTTCCCGCACTGTCGGCAGTCCGACCAGAACCGGTCGTGTCATCATTGCTGGAAGAGAGCTTTTGTTTCTCAGAATTTGGCAGCGGAGGCACCTCTTTGGGCCCACCGGGCACTTTCTCCGAGGCCATGTAACTCTCTTTCCCCTTTTCTGACACCCCACCCTCCGTGCCACGAGTGCCTTGTTTAGGGCCGGTACGGTGCGGGTCGTCCATCACGCCGCCATTGGAATGGGGAATCATCTCGCCATCATCTGTGCTTATATGCTCCGATGCCGGGATCTTGGAACTGTATTTCGTGGACGATGGCTCGTAGTCATCACTCACTTTGGGGCTGCTCTTGCGGTCGCGGTCTGCACTGGTCTCGACCCATGGGCCTGCATGTGGTCTGCCATCCTTACCATCAACAGGAATCTCTAGTGACTCTTTGGCAGAGTTGCTGGAAGCGTACGAGTCGGTGTCGGTGAGTGCAGCTGATAGCGCGGGGAGAAGGAGAAGCAATATGGATGTAGGGTGGATCTTCATGGTGTGGGTGGCAGTGACCGCGAAACGAATGACACAATGGTGGCTCTAGCCAAGAGGGTGAATATGGGTCTAGGCTGAGAATACCGACCCTTGAATTGGGAGTCACAAGTCGCAGGGTAGTTGAAGGAGAGAAATTTGCGGAGCGGACAAATCGACGGAGGATTGAAAACACGGTGGCGAGTACGGAGTACAAGAGACGTTGCTATCGAAGGGCGATGAAACACGAACTAGGCGGTCGGATTGGAATAAAAAAAAATTAAGGCTCCTCCAACAAGAAGTAAGAAGATCAAAAGAAGCGAATATTGACTTGAACCCTGAACTGTTCTTCTCCTCTGCAAAGGGGCTACTGTACACGTGACCGTCTGCAAGCGGTCGCGACGCGAAGTTCAACCAAAAAGCTTCGCCTCTGATTGGCTGGGAGAATACGAGCGTTATTAACCCCAAGCCGCACGAAACTCGAGCCCTTGGACAGTTTGTAGTTTGTCAATGACATGATCCTGGCGAGGGCTCGACTTGGAAGTTCTAATTGCAGAGGATTGACCTTGCCCAGACAATCATCATGGGCAGTTCTCTATATACTATCCCATTCCTTCTTCCGCAGCTCGGGCACTCTAACCATCTCTCGAATTGCTTAAACGACAAGTAGTGTTTATAAAACTTAGGACTATACTTATGGGTCAATGCTAATGATTGGTATCGAATTTTGGGTATAGCAAAGCTTCAAGTGTCAGAGATAATCTCGACAGTAGGTGTATTTAGTATTCACAAGAGGAATGCCCGCCAGCAGGGGAACTTGACACCCAGTTGCAGAATATATCACCGGTATTATGTCCTCGATTGGACATATGACCATCACGGTGACCGAGTCTTCTAACTTTACGCCATTTTTCTCTCTTTTCCCTTCTTCATCTACCTTTCCGGGTTATACTTCAAAAATGTAGTCATAAATCTACACTAGGTCCGGGATTTGACACCCCACTGGAATGAAATATCATCAGGCTTAGGGGGTATTCAAACATGTTCTATGACCCTCTGAATTTTCGCTTCTCCTTCTCTCCCTTCTTCATGCCGCCTCTTCCATTCCTTCTAGGCCTAGAACCTCGCCATGACGAGGGCTAGGACTCAGGTACTCGTAGATGTTTGTCCATGCCCATGCTCATAGCACTAATCAAGTCCGGGAGCCGGCTTGCTGAAGGAAAAGTGTCCAGAGGTCATTGTGTTTGCAATTGCAATAGACTACTGGGATGTATGGCTACGGGACAATCTCAAGGTTGGAGAATTACTACATAGCGCAGCTTGCGTTCACTGGCATGCTTTCAACAGCTTTGGAAGATACTAGTACTGGCCATTACTTGAGTAGATGTCCCACTTACGGAATCTTACGGAATCTTACTGAATGGACCTGTGGACATTTGGATACTCCGTGGTTAACTATCCTTTTCGCGACAGGAATGTAAGCCCTATGTCCATGCGGTAGAGTCGCCACCGCCACAAAAGCCACTCAAGCCCGAGTCAGCCCTGTGAGATCATCCCGGGCGCTAACCACAGCTCAAACGCCGTTGACGCAGCCTGAAGCTATACGGGTGCGCGACCCATGGCAGCCATCGTGCTGGAGGGTACATCCATGTGGCGTTAGCGACCCTGCCTATCAAGGATTATCATGCATTACCAGCGCTTGTCATTGATCGGAGGCGGTCCACAGTGCCTGATCGTCGCAGTTTCAACCCACGGCTGATTGGCGGAAACTGAAACCCACTGGAGCTTCCATTAACAATTCACCCCTGACGGGCTATTCGCTCTGCTGATCTCGACATTCCTCGCCATGACCTCATCTACGGCCCATCTGATTTGGGGTCACAACAACGAGGGCTTGTGCCCTTCCCCCCCTCCCCTTCTGCTGATGCGGTGGGCCAGCTCCTCCAGTCACAGTAGAGCCCACCGCCTATCAGATCCTCCAAGTTCGCTGGATCCTTTCTCCACTGAGAAAGGGCAACCCCTTCTGTCCCGAGCAGCCCTTGGATGAGGGTGGGGTTAACCGTTTTACCGTCTGCTGAGACGACTTTTTTTTTTCGCTTCATGTGCCCTCAGCCGCGCGTTTTCGCACTTCTCATGCTTCCTCCGACGGGCATCCTGAATCCCTCCGCATCGCCCTGTCTCGAATCCCTACGTCGCCTCGAGAGTTCAACTGGCAGTTCGACGCATCCGCTTGCGGCTCGCACCTGCATCGCCGCGGATCAACTGCCTCCGCTTCAAAATAAACGAACCCGCCACCGTGTGATCTCTGCTCCAAATTGAACATACTACCGGTGGACCACAACTTAACACTGCATGGCACGGCATGGAGGCTACAAGTAAGGCACAGCAAAAGGTATCGCATGCTACGGACCGGCGAGTTAGGGAGCTGTATCGCTATTATCGGCCGCAGTCGGAATCGCTGCCGGCGATTCCAGAGTGGTTATCGACCGATGCTGAAGGTGTACCACCACCATCGTCGGTGTACAATGGGACACCCCCGGTGACAACTCCGCCATTGATCGACGGCACCGGCTCCAATAGTGGCTCTAGCAACACATCTGCGCTAGGCCCAGAAGCGCTGGTTCTGGGCACGTCGAACAACACCTTGACAGCGTTTGCACAATTAGCAGCCGTGCGGTTGGGAGTGGAGCGGGCCCTCATTTGCGTGCTCGACCGCGATAAGCAGTTTACACTGGCTGAGGCAACTCCGTCACTTAATCTGGATGATACATCTTCTTATGAAACTAAAGACAGTTTATGGACAGGAGTGACTGGAAGTCGCAAGGCATGGAGTCTTTGCCAAGTGAGTATAACCAGCGCCCACAAACACTGATCTACAACATGCCGCATGACCGCTTGATATCGAAACATCACGATATGCAGCTAACAATGATGCGCAGGATACTGTGGCCTTGTCCCGTTCTGACCGTGAAAATGGCTCGTATCCCTTCCTGATTGTCGACGACCTGAGCCAAAATGACCGTTACAAACGTTTCTCCTTCGTTGAGAAAGATCCACACTACCGATTCTTTGCCGGCACGCCATTGATGAGCGACAACAACATCAATTTAGGATGCTTTCTTGTTCTCGATTCGAAACCGCGAGATGGATTGTCTGCGTTGGAAAAAGGTACACTTGGCTCGCTCTCCGCATTAGTCATGGACTATTTAAAAGTTTGTCGAGAAGCATCTGAGGGTCGCCGTGCAGCACGCATTTCGCGTGGACTGAGCTACTTCGTGGAAGGTAGCTCAAGTTTTGTGGACCATGACAGCACAGTGGACCCTTCGCGCGCGGATAGCACCGGCCTTTCTGCAACTCCATCGTCCACTAATAATCGCATCAGCGTGTCTGGGGGGTCGCGCGAAAACAACATCGCTGAACAGGTATCACATTCCGGATCGCAAGATGTGGTGGCTCCAGAAAATATATCGGATGCTGCTTCTAATAGCCAAATGCATGATCGCTCCTCCAGCAATGATGCGCGTTCAATCGGGTCTGGCGGATCCGACTCCAAAAATGATACAGGGACGTCGCGTGTCACTGGTGGTTCCCTGCCTGAATGGATTACGAATAGCAGTCGCAATCGACTTCCACCGGGCGACTCACAGGGGAATCCGTGGGTTTTCCGCCGCGCAGCAAATCTTTTGCGCGAGAGTCTAGATCTGAGCAACGATGGCGGAGTCGCTTTTTTGGAAGCTGCAAATACACCCTTATTGGATGATGTGGACACCAGCGGCAGCGATTGTGCAGCTGAAATGAGCGGCCCTGCAACTGTGTTATCCATATCTACGAATGAGGAGCCATTCTCACCAAGCGCGGGCTCCATGACAAGCATTCCCGCGGGGTCTTTGGATCGCTCATTCCTCTCGCTGCTAATCCGACGATACCCTCGAGGCAAGCTTTGGTCTTTCCATCGCGATGGATTGATATCCACCTCGGACGATGATGATCGCGAGCCCCGTGACCGCAGTTCTCCTTATCCCAATCGCTCACCGCCAGGAGCATCCACGGCCAATCTCATGAAGCCTTTGAGTAAGCGCCGAAAAGCTGCGGAGAACTCCATGCTCAACAAGTATTTCCCTAATGCTACTCAGCTTATCTTTGTTCCCCTTTGGAACGCCGTCAACTCCCAATGGTTTGCTGGCTGTTTCTGTTGGACTACTGAGGAGACACAAGTATTTAGCTCTGCAGTGGATTTGAGCTCTGTTATTGGATTTGGAACGTCTATCATGGCAGAGTACAGTCGCATCGAGTCGCTGATCGCAGATCAACAGAAGGGCGATTTCATAGGGAGTATATCACACGAGCTTCGCAGCCCACTCCACGGCATTCTTGCAGCCGCAGAGTTCCTCCATGGAACCAACCTTAGTGAGTTCCAACGAAATCTCATTGAAACTGTTAATAGCTGTGGCCAAACATTGTTGGATACAATGAATCAAGTCTTGGACTTCTCGAAAGTGGTATCGCTAGAGCGAACTTGGAGATCTCTGAAACGAAAAAAGGAAGGGTCGCTTGATCTCAAGGGAGATGATAAGCTTGCATCCCATCTGGACTCTTATGTCGTAACAGATCTGAGCATTCTTGCAGAGGAAGTGGTTGAAGGAATTTGTCTGGGTCATGCCTATGGACAGAATTCAGCCACAGTCCTACCACCAGATCTTTGGTCGAGTAGTGCAAAAAGGAACACGATCACGTTCGAACGTGGATGTGATTATTGATGTAGCATATGGCGATTGGGTTTACCGGACTCAGCCCGGAGCTTTACGACGCATCATCATGAATCTGTTCGGGAATGCAATGAAATACACTGAATCTGGGCGTGTGTCTTTGAGCCTCGAAGCCAAATCCCACTCCGAAGGCCGGACTCGGCGTCAGGGGCTGGAAGACCTCGTTGTAATTCAGGTTGCGGACACAGGACGCGGTAAGATGTTTCGTATGATAGCTGTTCCGGGCCTCGTACTAATATCGAATAGGAATCTCCGAAGAGTTTTTGCGTACCAAGATCTACGTCCCCTTTGCTCAAGAGAACTCCTTGTCTGTGGGTACCGGCCTTGGTCTCAGTATTGTGCGAAGTTTGGTCAAGGCCTTGCATGGCAACATCAAAATTCGCAGCCGTGTTGGCGAGGGTACTGTTGTACGAGTCTCATTGCCCCTAGCAAGGCCTGTTGGCCTCGAGTCTCCCCCAATGGAGCCATCGGACTCACATGACGCGCACAACGCCCCTGTGAAAGAAACTCAGAAAACAACCATGGCTATTCGAGAAAAATTCCCTGGAAAGAGGGTCGCAATTTGGGGTGTAGACCCAGCCCACCTGTCCGAAAACCCGGAGTGGGTCGAAATCGCGCGGTACCTAACCGAGTGGTTCAGCCTCGAGATCGTTGCGTGGCCGCCCCATGGCCCCATCGATATTTTGTTGGTGAAGGAGTTCGATTTACCCGCACTCCGAGACACTGGACTTTCAGCGATGTTGCCTGCTCTTCTCATCCTTTGCCATCGAGCCGTTGATTACTCTTTGGCAAGCTCTGAGTGGGAGCCATACACCTCATCCGTCGACATAATTCGGCGTCCGTGCGGTCCTCATAAACTCGCTCGCAGTGTGCTCAAGTGCCTTCAACATGGCCGATCAGCCGTTGTCACACCTACATCCGTTCAGCACGACCCAATGGACTCATTGGGCTCAACTCTCCCCATCCGCTCTCACACCCCACCACCCATCGAATCTGCAATCACGTCGCCCGTCCTGTCAGAGTTCAGCCCAGTGCAGGATACTCGGAGCACACCATCCTCCCCCAGGCCTCTTGCGCCTACAGAGCCATCCATAGTTACTGCGCCCCCGGAGGAAATTGCAGCAGCCCCTCTACCGCCGCCTCTTGCGGAGAGTACTACGCGGGTAACACGACCAGCTCGAGTTCTCGTGGTTGACGACAATCGCATCAATCTGAATCTCATGATGACTTTCATGAAGAAGCGACAATTGACAGAACTCGCCGCTGCAGAGAACGGCAAACTAGCGGTTGAAGAAGTGGAGAAGCTGCCATGCGGCTTTGATATTATTTTCATGGATATATCAATGCCCGTCATGAACGGCTTCGAAGCGACGCGCGCTATCCGGTCACTCGAAAAAGATAACGGAGACCGGAAGCCCGCCATCATCATCGCTTTGACGGGATTGAGTAGCTCTCGCGATGAGTCTGAAGCTCTTGCCTCTGGTGTCGATATGTTCCTCACCAAGCCGGTTTCCTTCCGCGAGGTTGCTCGGCTTCTGAACGAGTGGGAGAGAGATGGGTTAGAGAAAGAGCGCAGGGCCAATTCGTGAGGGTCGGGGCGTCAGGTTCCATCCAATACACTTTATACTTGGTCTCCGTGCCTATGTCTTTTCTTTTCTTTTTTTCTCATTGATGTTGTGAATAGCGAATTATGCGTGATTTGTGCATGAGTCGTCGGCTGGGTACATGATGAGCTACGACGGCGTTTCTATAACAACATTCTGGCCATTGCGGCGTTTTATAAAGGGCTTGGTTATGCATCTGGAGCCTGGGTATGAAAACTCGAGTTTTATACTCACCTATATTATGCAAATATAACGACATCCATATTGTGATACTTCGACCTTGATGTAATTTGTGTTTCATTTTCCTGCGTTCATAATGACATGATGCATCCTGAGATAGCTTTGATATGGTAGAAGCATTTTTATGGCGCCTTGGCTGCCTTCAAAGCCTGATTTTCATTTGTAGACTTTGAGCATCAGATGTCTCACCTCCATATGGAGTGCATTCGATCTCTAGTGTTTGCTTAGCTTTCAGCCCTCCTACCCAGGTATCACTGAGTGGCATAGCGGAATCGTCGGAGTCCAGGCCCGCCACTAGAATCTCTTTGACGAGCCCATAGTCCACAGACAACTTTTTACAGATTATCTGGACTAATTGGCTGCCCGTTCTCTCCGACTCCCGGAGATAGGCAGCGTAATAAATGTCATCATCGCCACTATACCCGCCTTTTTTATAAGCGCGGAAGTATAGACAGAAGGCTGCACCACAGTCAACATTCGGAAGAACAAATCAATTCTCAATTGAACCATCTTACGCTGCGGCCGTGACTTGACAGCCCTTGTAATTGATTCCTTCCGTGGTTGCCCCAGATCTCCAGACGGCGTCAGATCCAGGCCCGAGATCCTCGCAGTGAGAAGCCTGGCATCTACCTGGTCGAAAGAGGCCGAGCGCTCCGAAGCACCCGCCCCAGATAGAGAGAGCCGCTTTGCACGGAAATGGTCCCCAAACGCATTTCCAAAGTCAGCGAGTAACTGTGTCGGCGGCCTATAGGGACCATGGAGGGGCAGTTAGTTCCCAGCTTTGGCAAAAGCTTTGTGGCGTCATGAAAAGAAAAGAAAAATAAAGACGTACCCTCGTTTTGGCATTATGCAACAGGTACACAAATCCAGAGCTTGATTTTCATAGATGGCCCATGCCAGGGCATCCAACTCCAATCTGGTCAGGTCGTCTGAATGAAGTCACTATTGTGAACATGGCCATTGGGGAAGAATTTGGCCCAGGCGATTGCCTTGGTCATATCGCGCCGGTCCGTTTACCCACCAATGATATCGCTCCTACGGCGCCTCGACTACGCACTGGCGCCAGGGGCAAGAGGCGGTAGCTCCTTCGCAGATCATGGACGGGAGGAGCTGGCGCTTGAGTCTCTTGAGTTAGTAGAGTAGCTTCGTTGACTTTGTCCTGAATTTAAGCTACGTTAGAACGCAGCGATCCGCCTCATTGGCGTATACTAGCCCGAATCTGCTCTCGACGTTCACGACGTTCATGACGTCATTCACTTCTGTGGCAGAAGTACGAGTAACGCGGGGACCCGCCCGGAATATTGAGTGCATCTCCTACTAGAAGTTGCTGCATTCGAAGTCCAGGCGGGTTGTTCATAGACCAAATGCCCAGGTGTGGAGCATAAAGCTTCCGGCGTGACTGTCAGACGGGCGGCTCCGTTTATGCTTAAACTCTCTGGGAAACACTTGAAAGCTGGAAGAATACCGGTAAAAATTGTCGCCCACGCACCACGCATTTGCCCCACGGGGTACATTATCATGCCAAAACTTGGAGGGGGGGAACAAAGCTAATTTCAGAATTTTATTTGAGGAAAAGACAAGAACCTCAAAGATCCGAGGTACATATGCTGGCAACTGCCCGCGAAAATAATGGGATCAAAGGCCGGATCTCGTTTGATCTGGGACGCGAAGAGGTGACCTTGACAGAGAAATGTCACACACCTCACAGTAGATGCGTATCCAAGTCATGAACGGCAGTAGTTAGGTAGAACCGGATGAGCCATCTTGGCGACAGGGCAACTTTTGGACTTGAGAAGCCACACGACCTTGATAGGGCGGCAGTTCACATGCAACTCGGTATCACTCCACCCAATGGAAACACAGGCTGAAATATAGAGGTACTGCCTATTACGTTCACCTACAAGGTAGATTGGCATTTGGTGAGGAAACGAGCAGTCTCATGGTTCCTGTTCGTTATACGCTTTCAATAATAATAGAAGATCCCCGCGCTATAGAGCTATTATTCGTAGAATACGGTACGCGACCAGCAACGCCCCGCCAGGGGTATCAAAAAGCCCCTCTGAAACTTCAAGGCCACCAAGTAATGCGTAAATGATGTCTGATGAAGCTAGCTTTTGCAGCAACTGAATTCCATATTGCTTTTCAGGATGAATGAGAATGTCGGAAACGAGAACCAAGCCCATCATAGAAAGAATTCAAATTCTTTGCCGAAACCAGACCTTAGCAGCAAGTTCTTCTAGGCGAGGCACCGGAATGAGGATATCCGTCTCGCCTGGCAACGGAGAGCGTCCCATTATCTCTTGGACGGTGATACGGAGTGGCACTGAGGGCCGTGTTGTGATTATACCCTGACGCCGTGTGATAGTAAGATGCTGTCGAGTTACTGTGCGGTAGTGGGGACGATTATTGTGAGCCGGCAAGATAAAATTATCTAGCACAATACACTCAATCGTGATCTGTGGTTGTCTTTTGTCGATTGCGATAGTAATGACCAGTTTGACTTCTCCATTTGAATTAGCTAACCACCATGCTGCATCACATTTCAGTTTGCCCGGGGATTCGGAATATCCAACTTCTAATACCACCGTTGGCCAACCACTAATGTCATCTTCTGGCATATATTGTGAGTCAGGTTCTTTGTGACTCGAATGTCCAGCCATACGAGCAGATCCATCAGACACGACGGCCAAGTTTGAGGCTATCGCTTGGGTTCTCAGAACAAAGTCCCACTCTCTAGTCACTCGCTCATGTGGGCCTCCAGTAATGGTAATGATCATGCGACGTGTCTGCAAATCGTAGAAGTTTCGAGTGGCCTTAATATCCGTACTTCTGGCGATTTCCGGTGATACGTTCGTGAATTTCACATATATTGTATCTTGAGTTGTAGAAGCTTTGGCCCGGTTCACCATCCTCGTGATGACACTTTTCGTCGAGCCAATGTATTCGGCGTAGTATCGTACGTCAAGATAGTGTATACCCGGACAGGTATCGCTATTGGTGAGGGGCTCCATCATATCCTGGGGAGGTGGCGAGCGAATGGACGAAGTGTGTATTGTGTTTGACATCATTCTGATTACTAGACTGCGGCATATTCGCTCCAATTGTATGAGATCCGATACCATATCCGTAAGTTGCAGATATTGGACATGGTTCCAACACCATATCCTCAATGAGGATGTCCTCAAATTATCTGCCCTAGCATAACTTTCGCTTACCTTGCAGATATCCGTGGATATTGGGCCCTAAATATTATAAGAGGAGTGGCCAGACTCGTCCAGATATTCCAGGCGCTGCATGAAGAACTTCTTGTCATTAAGTACCTTGATCAGCGATCCATATCGTGCGGGGCATAGAAAGTGTACAGCCGGGCGCTTCCTTCGTACGTCTCGTGGCCATCGGGAATGAGATAGCAGGAAGTGAAGTTCAGCAGAGGGCTGCGGAAGATTGGGTCCTGGTAGCCCCATGTTACGTTCATGCGATTTTGCAGAAAACCGGTAAATTCGGTGGATGGTCGTATTCAGCCGTGCCTGAGCAGCCCCGGAGCGTACTCGATACGCCCTGGGGGGCCTGAAGCCGTCCTTAGCAGAGCCTCGAGGCCTTTGCGATTACAAAACCGAGTTCAAGCACAAGGGGATTCCCCCCACCCCCCCCCCCCAAAAAAACAAAATCAAGAAGTTGTCAATTGTAACAATATCGGAGCGACAACTCGTCAATTCGTAACGAAAGAAGCCGATTCTTTATACAACCTGCGTTTTTGGGACAAAAGATTAGCATGGCTGCGATTGAGACTAGACTTTTTATCAACGGCAAGGTGGTATTGCCTCTATGCACGTTCCGCAGAGTTCAAACTAAGTAGAGAGACAGTTTGTCGAGGCATCCGACGGCCGGACCTTTCCGTTGTACTCGCCAGCAACAAAAGAAAAGGTTGCGGATGTATCCGAGGCCAGCGAAGAGGACACTAACGCAGCAGTCGCCGCTGCAAAGGCAGCTTTCCCCGCTTGGTCGGCTCTCTCCCCATCTGAGCGAGGAGTCCCTCTCAGGAAGCTTGCCCAGCTGATTGAGGAAAACCACGACGAATTGGCAAGGCTGGACGCATTATCCATGGGCCGACCCGTCTCGACTTTCGCTGACCCCGGACGCGCATCAGCCCATTTCAACCACTACGCGGAAGCTGGATACGAGGCCTTGGGAACATCGAGTGTCAATACCCCTGGCTTTGTGAATCTGACTTTACGCCAGCCTTTCGGCGTCGTGGCAGCCATTATCCCGTGGAACGGCCCATTGGTGTTTTTGCCCATGAAGGCAGCACCTGCGTTGGTTGCTGGTAATACTATCGTTTTGAAGAGCAGTGAGAAAGCTCCATTGACAGTAGGCCGAATGAAACCGTGACCCGGACCGCGTGAATGCTCACCAGAAAGCAGTGTGCCAAAATCGCTACCCTCGTTGAAAAGGCTGGTTTCCCTCCGGGAGTTTTCAACATCATTTCTGGACATGGTCACATTTCTGGAAATGTACTCTCTCACCACATGGATGTCCGAGCTCTGAGCTTCACCGGCTCCGGAAGAACTGGTCGTATCATTCAACAAGCGGCAGCCAAGTCGAACATGAAGAATGTCATTTTAGAGCTTGGCGGGAAGTCCCCGAGTATCATCTTCCCTGACGCTGAATTGGACAAAGCTGCGAAAGAAACCATGTACTCGATTCAGTGGAACAGCGGTCAGGTCTGTATGGCCAACTCACGAATTTACGTACATGAAAGCATTGCCCCCAGATTTATTGAGCTTTGCAAGAAGAGCTTGTCTACGGTGGTCAAGGGAGATCCGTTAGACCCAAAAACGACTCACGGGCCTCAAGCAGACAAACTGCAGTGGGAATCAGTGCAGCACTACATCGAAGCCTCCAAGAAGCTTGGCCAGATGGTCCTAGGCTCTGAAGAACAGCCAGACGACTCCAACGGATATTTTATTGAACCAACGATTTTCCTCGGGGTGCCAGAGGACGCGAAGGCCATGAAAGAAGAGATCTTCGGACCAGTCGTGCACATTAACACATTCAGCACCGAGGACGAAGTGGTTGCGAAGGCAAACGATTCTGAATATGGCCTCTATGCTTCCGTGTACACAAACGATCTCAGCAGGGCGCTGCGTATGGCTAAGAAGCTTGAATCAGGCAACGTAGCCATCAATTGCACTAGCCCTACTGGCGCTCTGGACATGCCGTTCGGTGGGTACAAGTCATCGGGCGTGGGGAGAGAAGGGTATACCGTTAGCATCGATCAATATTTGGAGACCAAGACCGTCCTCATGAAAATCGATGAAGAGACGAGTCTATAACGCTGGAACTGTACTTTTCTTATTCGCGTGGAATTCATTCATTCAAGTACCTGTAGTCCTCCTGATCCCCTGTCCATCACAGCTTTGACTTGAGAATTCTAAGAAGCATATCTATCAGAGCGCATTCGCGTACAGGTCGCCCATAGTCACTGGTAGGGTGCTATTAACAACTTACATCTCAGGCTATTGAGCACTAGCAAGCTTACTACTATTTCGGGTGACGCCGTCTAACTAGTAGCTGTACTATGTTTGAAATAGTTCTTGCGTATTATTTTCTTCCCTTCATCATCTTCCCTTTTCCCCATATCCACCATGGTTGACCACTGGCAGACAAGCCATGCCTCTTAATCCACTTGAACTTCAATGAGTAAAGGATCTTCCCCACACCATCTGTCTCCGCATCAGAACTTACCAAAATCTCATAGGTTGCTACACTGTTATGCCGAAGAGACGTGTCGGATTACGAGTTAGTAACAGGAGGTCTGGAGGTGGGGTCTTGGATTTCAAGTTCAGACACACCTCAAGTAAGTATACTCGATATCTAATGGAAACAAAGTGGAAGCTAACCATCATCTATTAGTATGGTGACCTGGAGCTCATAGGAGATACTAAAGCCAATATCTTCACCATCGATGCAGCTATGGTTCCTTCGGGCTGTTCCGAAAGACTCACTCTTCGCATCTAAACGCGCGTTACCCGAAATTCCTACGAATTGAAAGCCAGAGAACGCAAAACATCTCCTTCGACATGGCTGGTCCATTATTCCATTCGGTCATGACTAAAGAGATCAAAATATGCTAGGTTGGAGAGGGCTAGTGTGCGCATCTTCCGGCATATTCCACTTGGGCGTGATATGGCACGCCCATCTCTTGCTTTTCTTGCTCTGTTATTTCTTAGCTGCCGCATCTCCATATATTGATGGGTTGCTACTGTGCATACTCCGTGTACTGCATCCACATCATGCTTGCGCATCATCATGGCCTGAAATTTGCGAGCAATCGCGGAACCGAAAAGCAGCGGTACGAAAGCGGCTCTCCTGAGCGCCTTGGATATGCTACAGTCCAGCTGAAGTCTTGCTGGGCTACCAGCCGCACACCTACGGACCAGGTCCCGTGGAGGAAGAGATCATGAAGGAGACTATCATCGAGAACCACGAACAGTGGTTCCGCGGAGAAGAGATATACCTGGCGGCGCAAGAATTCCACTCAGCGAGGCTGGATTACGTGAGGGAGTGCGTCCGGGAGATCCGAATGAAGAAGAGACCCCAGCTCTGGAAGAAAGGACCGTAAGGCACTTCCACATAGGAGACCTGGTCCTACTTCGAAATGTGGCCCTCGATCAGGTACACGGGCGGAAGTTTGAACCAAAATGGAAAGGGCCATTTAGATCAACAAGTACTGATCGGGAAGAGGTCAATCTGACTGGAGGACTTGCAGTCAGCCCAGCACGTAGGGAAGTATCATATTGACTACATTAAACTATTCTACCCTCGAACCAACGACGCTGTTGAGGAGGGTTCTGAACTCTCACTTCTTACCTGTCCCTTCCCTGTCCATCAACCGACAAGTCGACCGAAACAAGCCCTTACTTTCACCTATCTCTTCGTCTGCTCTCGCATCTATCTACAGAATCTCCGCTGAGTTGAACCCAAATGGGAAGGAATGGACCCTTGCATATGCATGTCTAGCCAAATTGAATGACAGGATAAATACCAAAAAGGTTGCCGTTGATCTTTGAGAAGACAAGATCAGGGGAAATACAAATTTCCGTATGACCTCTGAAAATCGGATGTGCGAAAGGATGACAGCTGGATGAAACAGAAAAACAGCCTTGGTCGCTATAAAAGATCGGAGTTCTGGCAAAGACGCGCTCGGCCTACAGCACAGGACCGTGACCAACAGGGGGAGTGCCAAAAGTCAGACAAAGACAACGATGCCCAGGACGCCGAGGAGAAGCAGGAAGTCAAACTAGAAGTCTAAGACGATTTCAACAAACGTCCTCCCGAGGTCTGAAAGAATGGCTAGCCCAGGGTCCCGTCAATCTCCATTTGAAAACGAAGCTGGGGCGGGAGGACTTCTTCGGGAAAATGCCAGATGCTAGAGGGACAACGAGAGAGTCCGGGCTGAACTTCAGGCTCAGACCCAGTCATCCGAGAAGCTTGCTCGGTTGAGACTCTCCGGAAGCGGGCCACGGCCCCGTATTTCAGGCCTAGTGGGCATAAGCTCTGGAGCTGGTATCACTGTGTGTCATTCTTTGTATGAAGATTACCAGCAATAAGACGAAGGAGCCCATATACACTGCAGTGATGGCGCCCCCGCGGGGGGAGCCCCGCCGGCCAGGGTCCAGGCATTATTAATCACCTTATTAGGGGGAGACCCACCGAAACCCCCCTGCTCGTAGCCTGACACCATCGTCCTTCAATCTTCCAGCTTACATCCTGCCGTGGAAAGAACTCATATACACAGGCATAGAAAAGTAAGGTAAGCCAAGAATCGAGATCTCCATATATCCCTATATTTGATTGGCCTGCTAGCTCTTACCATTGAGGGGTTTGTTTACCTCGGGTGTCCTTCCCCTCACAAATACCCCGCGAATTGTTATACTTCATTCCACTCAAATCCTGACCATATACACAAGGTGACCCCATACGCAAGGACAAAAATGGCAAAGGAATACCAGGTTCCGTTCAAGGTTCGTGTACCTTGACCTTTGAGCATTGGCCATCCAGGACTGACTCGACGTTTAGCTCGCCGACCCAAGTCTGCTGCACTTCGATTCATGCGTTGGCGACAAGTGGGTGGAGTCCAAGAGCGGCAAACGCTTTGAAGTTCTCGGTAATATTCCCGCGATACAACCCTTTCTCTCTACGCTTCATTCTGACTTGATAATTGCAGACCCTGGAACCGACCAGGCGTGGGCCAGTTGCCCCGCATCTACTGTGGATGATGTGCCCGATGCTGTCGAGACTGCCCACAAGGCATTCGAAGAATTCCGCAAGACAACTCCGCGACAGAGAGCGAAGTGGCTTCTCAAATGGTACGATCTGGTAACTGATGCGAAGGAAGACCTCGCTCAGATTGTCACCCATGAAACCGGGAAACCGCTCGCCGAAGCCCGCGGCGAACTCGACTACTCTCTGGGCTTCCTGTGGTGGTTCTCCGGTGAGGCCGAGCGTATCCAAGGCTCTGTGTCCCAGCCAGCTGCGCCAGGCCGTCGAGTCTTCACCGTGAAGCAACCGATCGGTGTCGCGGCTGCTCTCGTGCCATGGAACTTCCCCGTCGCCATGGTGCTGCGCAAGGTAGGCGCTGCCATGGCAGCTGGTTGTACTATGGTGGTGAAGCCTAGTCCCGAGACACCCATCTCAGCTCTGGTGCTCGCCGAGCTGGCTCGCCGAGCAGGGATTCCCCCGGGTGTGCTGAACGTGTTGACCACCGATCTTGAGAACACCCCCTCTCTCAGCGAGGCGCTCTGCAAACACCCGCTCATCAAAAAAGTGACCTTCACCGGCTCGACCAGAGTAGGCAAGCTCATTGCATCCCACTGTGCCCAGGGTCTGAAGAAGGTCACTCTGGAGCTGGGCGGCAACTGCCCCTACATCGTCTTCGACGATGCTTCTCTTGACCAGGCGCTGGACCAGCTTATGGCTCTGAAATGGCGTCATGCGGGCCAGGCGTGTATCACTGCTAATCGAATCTACGTGCAATCCGGGATCTATGACAAGTTTGCTGCTGCGCTGAAAGAGCGGACCCAGGCTCTCGTTATCGGCCACGGCAGTGACCAGAACACTACCCTGGGCCCCCTGACAACCCCCCGCAGCATTGACAAGGCGATTGCCCAGGTTGAAAATGCTCGCAAGCTTGGCGCAGAGGTGCTGATGGGTGGAAACCGTGTGACTTCACGCCCGGGATACTTCTTCGAGCCGACCATCCTCTCCAACATGACCAAGGAAATGCAAATCACCGATGAGGAGTCGTTCTCCCCGATCGCTGCCCTGTACCGGTTTGACACTGAGGAGGAAGCCGTCAAGCTGGCCAATGATACCAGCATGGGGCTGGCCAGTTATGCTTTTACCAAGAATGTCGATCGTATCTGGCGTCTGCTTGAGAATCTGGAGGCTGGAATGGTTGGATTGAATACTGGTGAGTTTTACTTCCAAGGACTCCAAAGAGTACGAGTAATTTAGGATATCGGTAACTGACCATACAGGTAATCAATCCGCTGCTGAATCTCCCTTCGGCGGCATGAAGGAAAGTGGATACGGAAAGGAGAGTGGCAAGGATGTTGCCGTGCAGGAATACTTGGTCACGAAGACCGGAACCTTGACTGTTGAGGGTCACTTTTAGATTAGTTGGTGGCAGGTGAAACCCAATGTAAATAAAGCTGACAAATTGAGGCAGTATGGTCTCCAACTGTGAGTCTTGTACTAGTATCCCCGGTGTACTGGTTAGAATGTGTATGTTTCGATCTTTGGATCCCCCGTGCTGAATGGCCTCGTCACGAGCACCTGTGAGGTGGGGTCTGCACACAGTACGAGTATTACCAAACAGCCATGCCTGGCTGTCAGTGGTCTACCTGCGAAGCTAGCTGATGCAGGATTCTAGTCCTTTGAGCAGCTCCAATGGAACCCCGAGTTTCTATTGTTCGGCTGCGCTGGTTCGGTGGGGCCACAACACGCGGGGCCAACAGAAAGCAGGAATTAATAATGCGAAGCCGCTCATTGATTGCTGCAAAGCTGTCAGATACAGCTTAAAAAAGTACGTATTATACCTAAGCTGATTAGGATATAGTTGGGAGTATACGAGTAGATGTGTTGGGGATAAACAGGGAAATCAGGGTCTCTGATGTTCTGTGATTTGGCCGTCCTCGTAGCCCCATTCACCCCTCCTGCTCGGTTGTGCACCGTAAAAGTTGCTAGAGTCTTCCTCGTATTTCTCTCCACCATGGATTCAATGGATTCCCTCCGCCACGTCATACAGTTTCATCCACTCATTGATAATCATGCACATAATCTCTTGACCCGCGACGCTGCGGCAGACTATGAGAGCTTTCCACTGGAATCTATTACCTCCGAAGCCCACGGTCGGGCCTTGCAGAATGCCTCAACGACGATGCCGTTGCTTCGGGCCACCAAGCAGCTCTCGGAGCTCTATGGTCGTCCCTGTGCAACGTGGTCGGATGTAGTAGAAGCTCATTCTGACTGGGTGAAGACTGACTATGAGGGTTTGATCCGCCGAAGCTTGGAGGGAACACACGCTCTTCTTCTGGATGACCTGTTGGTCGACGAAGACGTGGAGCAGTACGCGTGGCATGATTCCTTTACGATCTCCGCATCCAAGAGAATCGTGCGGATCGAAGCTGTGGCGGCTGACTTGCTGCAGCAAATCATGAACGCGGAGCGCAATCCGGAGGAATCTGTCTGGAGCACATTTACGAAGAAGTTTGCGGATGCGCTCGAACACGCCATGGAAGACCCAGCAGTCGTTGGCTTTAAATCAGTCGTTTGTTATCGTACGGGTTTGGACGTGAGCCCTCATTACTCCGACGAGGATTCGCTCACGACTTCTCTCCACCGCATCCTGGACTCGGGCACTCGGAAGTCCGGGTATCGTATCGATGACAAGCCGTTGAATGACTGGCTGGTCCAGCAGACGCTGAAAAGCATCACGTTCAAAAAGCAAGCGGGTATCGTGAAACCTCTGCAATTCCATACAGGTCTCGGCGACAATGACATTAGCCTGGTTCGCGCAAACCCAGCCTATCTCCAGCCGCTGATTGCTCAGTATCCCAATGCAGACATAGTCTTGCTTCACTCCGCATACCCATACACACGGGAGGCGGGGTACCTCGCGTGCGTGTATCCAAATGTATATCTTGACCTTGGAGAAGTTTTCCCGATGGTCAACAGGCAGGGTCAAGAGACTATCATCCGGCAAGCTCTGGAGATCACCCCGACGAACCGTTTGCTATGGAGTACAGACGGGCATTTCCATCCAGAAACTTTTTGGCTGGCAAACAAACAATTTCGACAAGCCCTCGAAAAGGTAAGTAGATCAACTTATGTTCACTGAATGACACGCTAATGTCCTTCGGAAGGTCCTGGTGGAATATGTTCAGCAGGATGATTACACCATTTCCCAGGCTACAACGGCCGCCGCCGATATTCTTTTCCACAATTCAAATCGCCTTTATGGATTGAAACTTGATCCACAGTATACGCATCCCGCTTCGAGCACCATCGTTACCAGCAAGCAACTTCCTCCTGAATTGCCCCCGGCGTTGTCGACCTTCCTCAAAGCGAACCCCAACCTAGAGTATGTATGGGTGCAGTGGCTTGATTACACAGCAACCCCTCGCGTGCGTATGTTTCCAATACCAGAGTTTATCCGCATCGCGCTTCATCAAAGGCGCATCGGAGTCTCCTTGGCAGTTCTATCCATGCTGCAGGACGACACCATTGTTGCAGGGGGAAATGTGACAGGACAGCTCTATCTCGAGCCAGACTGCTCGAGTCTCTACCTTAATGCGGGGATGTCAGAATCCACTGCATCAAGTGCAAGCGTTATGACTTCTTGGCGGACGGAAGACAATAAGCCACTGGATGGCTGTCCAAGGACGGCGTTGGCAAGCGTCATTGATAAGCTCTACCAAGAACACGAGATCGATGTGAAGTGCGGATTTGAAATCGAGTTGATGCTCCTCAAGCCAGTCAAAGACGGCGGCGGCAAGGTCCTTGATTACAAGCCCGCAACAGAAATTCATTCTTGGTCACAGATAACTGCCGACACGAGACGAATGCTGCCAGTCTTAGAAGAAGTCCACAAGACTCTAGCAGCCATCGGCATCGAGCTGCAACAATTCCACGCGGAGTCTTCACCCGGGCAGTTCGAGTTCATTCTACCACCTGCGTCGCCACTTCAAGCGGTAGACACTTTGATCGCTGCTCGAAGAGTGGTCACTGCAGTGGCAGAACGCCATGGCTACCGAGCCACCCTCCACCCTCGACCGTTCCCCGACGCGACCGGTAATGCGTCACACACGCATGTCTCGATTAGTCGGCCTGAAAAAGACGCCTCTTTCTTAGCTGGGATCCTGGCACATTTCCACTCTATCATGGCATTTACTCTGCCTCAAGACATCAGCTATGAGCGTGTCCGCTCTGGTATCTGGGCGGGCTCTGAGTGGGTTTCATGGGGCTTCCAGAATCGTGAAGCACCTATCCGGAAAATTAGTCCTGGACATTGGGAGTTCAGACTCATGGATGGCCTGGCTAACCCCTATCTTGCCCTCGCGGCTGTTTTGGCCGGTGGGCTTATCGGGCTGGAGAGTAGACTGCCTTTGCGCATACAAGACTGCACAGGTAAGGTTCCCTCTACGAAAATTGCTCCCATTTGGAGACTCACCTTGTCATCTAGTGGACGCCTCTACTCTGACTGATTCGGAGCGCGCTGAGCTTGGTATTACGCAAAGGCTCCCTCGGTCCTTGTCCGAAAGCCTCCAGTCTCTTGAGAAAGACACCTGCCTACAGAAGCTGCTCGGAACCGACCTTGTGCGGCATTATGTTAATCTGAAGATGGGAGAAACCAAGTGGCTCAGCTCCATGGGTGATGAAAATCGCCGCGTATGGCTAATAGAGCGGTATTGATAGATGGAAGAGCTTGGTTCCTCTCTCCTCCGAGGTAATTGATGAATATCTAACCCTCCCGCTGGGCTTCAGGTCTAGAGCTTTCATTAACATAGAACGCATTTATCTTAATAGAATGATTTCGGGGCCATAAAAAACCACAATTATGAAGGTTGACCCAACTTTCGATGCAGTGAGAAGTCAAACTGCTTCGTAGTTAGACGTAGGCATGCGCCCACTGGCAGGTGGCCGTGAGACAGCGTAGCACTCCCCTCATAGACTCGGGCCTCGGAAGTGGCAAAAACCGCAGAGGTTCCCATATGGGTTGGTGAAGGATGATTTGGCTGCATAGGTAAGGTACCCAGGCGAACTATCCCAGACCTCCACGACGCACGGCGTTCCCTCAACGTTCATCCACGAACCCAACCCTGCCCTTTCTGCAAATAATCTGCCCTTCCAGAATAATGGCCGACGCCAAGGCCGTCTTACTCCAGCGTGTCCTATCCCCTTCATTCCCCAGCCTGCAGAGAGGATTCAAGCCCTGAAAGATTATCTTCAGACTGAATGGGGTCAAGCACAGCGTGTGAACGTGGAAGCTCTCATCCGAGGGTATGCGAATGGGGAACTTGGTCCACGTCAACTCGGAGACCCCGGTCTACCTTGTTAATGGGAAACGAGTTGGTAAGAATCCCCGAGAGGATTCATCAGTGCCCCCAAATACCCCGAAATGGTGCCAAGTATGTTCGTAACGCGCTACCGAAAACCTCCCATGGTGACTTGCATTCCCGATAGTTATCTTTAGGTGATTTATCAACAGATGGTCCAAGGGCGCGGGCTTGAGGCAAACATCATGAAATCTGTCTGATGTCTGAAATGCGGCTTGCCATTCTACATTCTATTTTGTCCGAATCGTATCAGTCATAAATATTATCTACAGGCTCCCCCTTTTAAACCAAGCTATCAACACTAACATGTCGCCCTTCGTGCGAGCGAGCCTCTGACGTATGAACATCATCGACAGTATATCGCACCGAGACATCAGTCGTCTTCACGATACCCTCGACGGCCTCTTCGCTACCACTGGAGATGGACGGACTATCTCCCCCGCGCCGATACTTACGCATATTAAACGCATCGCCGGAGGTCACGTCGACCCTATGTTTACCATTTCGATCGGTCATCTCATACCCGTCCTCCCCGTTGGAGCGAAGCTGAGAAGCCTTGTTGGAGAAAATGCGCGATACGGGGAATTTCCGCGAGCCGCCCGCACTGCCGTACCGAGACGTATGCTTCCCAGATGATCCAATGAGACGGGGCAAGTATTTTGTGGCAATCGCTCTGAACGATGGACCGCAGGCCGTGATTACCGCGACGTTCACCTCGATTGCCGAGCTGCAGAAACTGATGGCGTACGTTGGGTCGGGGTTGACGCTGGAGGGGAAAAACACGCCTGCGAGCACTACGAGGCGCCACACACCGATTCCGGTAGCCCTATCGAGAATCTGTTAGTCGAAGCTTGGGCGGATAGCTGTTCCCTCCTTCTGTGAGACAACTTACACGGCACCCATGCACAGGATGGCACAGACGGCGATCTTTCGTCGAAGCGGCATTTGGAGTCGCCAGGTAATGATAATAGGAATCGTGAGCACCATTAGATCCGTGAACAGGTTCAGCGCGGCGGTCGACACGTAGAAAGCACCTTGGGCAATGCATGTACCGCCTGGGATCGACAAGTCGTAGACGTATGCGACGGGGTGGCATTGGAAGATATCGACGAACAGCACGGCGATGAACAGGCCTACGACAATGGCGAATGATGTCCAGATCAGGCCATTGACCACTCGGGAATGCGAGTCGAGCCGCCGTAGGAACATGAGGATGGAGACTTTGATCAGAGTCAAGCATGGATTGTAGATGAGTTGATTGGCATAGTTCCACTGTTGCGCGAGGCTACGTTAGCAAGAACTCTCTCGTACCGTTCCTCTCCTTTCTCCTTCTTTTTTTTCTTCTCCCATACTTACGATCAGGCCCCGTTTCACATCATGGTCTTTGGGAACATCCCAGATGTGGATTCCCACATAGTTTGTTTTGATGTCTTGGCTTGTTAGACACTGACGCCAATGCTTTGATCTCGCTAGCTGACTCACAGTACCAGGACGTAACGGATTGGCATACTGCTAGAATCTTGGCCCTGTTAGTATCTCCCATTTCATTCATTCAATCTCCCACATACATAACCGGCAATAATTAGATAGTCGTCTGTTGAGGATGTCAGTCCCCAAGCGTTCAGATGCCACGGTTGATCGTGTAGATCACGGGGGCAGACCCAGACGTACCACTAGCCAGCCTAGATCGCGAGAGCGACCGAGCCCAAAGGCGGAGCAAGATCGCGATTCCACCCAGAACGGGGAATGCAATGACCACGCCGAGCGCAGTTTTCTGATGGTGATCATCAACCATCCTGAGCCCTCTGCCGCGACAAGGCGTATGCTGTCCGCGGAGGAGGAGTCCCTTTATAAACGAAATCGTCTGGGTCCGTACCAAGTCTTGCGTGGATTTGGTCTTTTCACAGGTGCAGATGAGCTTATGATGCAACCTTTGGATTGGGAGATGAGATGCATACCCAATAGAGGGTAGTCCAGAGTTTCATCCGCCATGGGAAACTCAAAATTGGGAGCACGCTCTGCTTAGCCTACCCGGGCGCGACGCCAACGGTCACCGTCCAATATATCTACTGTCTCTGAGATAGTCGTGGCCGTAAGCCACAGAATACCACAATTTCCCGCCTCCCAAATCGCTAGTCAGAGAACGGAAACTCTGTGAGTGTCGTTCCACGGTCCGAGTTGTGTCTAGGAATCCTCCGGAGTGGACGGGTATGGGGGACTGTACCCGAATTAATCTATTCAAATTATACAGTTAGGGAAAAATCCCCGCCACTAGAGTCCACAATGAGGACTTCTGATGAACTCTAAATCGCAGGAACCCAGCTGTCGGGGCCGGATGCTGGCCACTTACAGTACAGCTGGATCGGTGCCTCCTTTACTCCGCAGAGTGTAAGCAATTGCTACACAAACGCCCACTGGGTCACGGATTGATGGACGGAATCAGATCCACTCCCTCCCGAGCCAGTTATGTATGTGGGAGGAGCTTTGCCCCGCTCACTATCTCTGGGCACTTCGCTTTTAGGGTTTACGCTTCCGTGTCACGCAATCTCTCCTGCCTTTAGCGGAGAGTCTCGATGCCTCTGCAGGACTGGTTCGATCGCTTCGAACTTAGCTTCCCAGCCTTCGGGCTTTTCCGAAAAGGATTTGGGCAGGGATTGTCGGGCTTACGTATGCCCCTATTTATGAATCTTCGTTGCCTTTCTGTGTTTATTGGTTATGCGGGAATGAGTCCACTCCCCGAGGGGGAATGCAAGGGCGGTCCCAGTCGGATTAGATGGCCATCCTTCGGGTCGTGAACTCGCCAGGGCACAAAGGGTGTAGGCTTGGTGGTTCGAGATTCGAACTTGAGGTTCTCGCACTTCGGCAAATCTTGCATGTTCTTGTTCCTGGACAAATCCTTCAGAGTCCGGACTTTTGTCCCCTGCTGGGACAAGGCTGCCTAGCGCACCGAGATAAGCACTATCCATCCTAGCGGATTTAACATAGATTGTGGCGCAGTCTTCCCAGGTCCCGAAAGCCCCGGCTTATTGATGTCCTTCATCGCTTGCGGGTAATGACCGGGCACGGAGCATCCGGTGCAAGAACCAAATCCCGTCCTTCTACGATTTCCAGAAGGAGAAATTGTGGAGCACCAGGGCTACGCGGAATATGCCGAATTGCCTCCCCAGCGGGGCCAGATTCTTCGAATGGGATGTCTTGAAGAGTGATTCGATTGTTTACGGCAGTGGAGAAGCATTTTAGTCAACCTCGTGGTCGAGCTTAGCCTGGGCCCACGCTCTTATGGGCATCTCGCGATTTCTTTAAAGAACGCGGTGCGCGCATTTCGGCAAGGATCACGCTGATCGCAACGAGCCACTGGAGGGCATCTCTACTCCTCAAGCAATGGCCTACGGTATGCTGGTCGCCGGGCTCTTGAGCCTGGCTGTGGCTGCTTCGTCGCAGAATGTCGCGCAGCGCGTCTCTTCCAATTCTGTTTCAGGCATGCCTCTGTTCCCAAGCGAGACTCTGCAGTTGACCGATGAGGCTTTGTCGAGGCTCGCCAAGGACCAGCGCGCGTGGTTCGAGTTTGGCAGCAATGGCTCTGTCTCGGCTGCTCGCTCGTCCAGACGCTGCAGGCTACTCCCGGGGATAGACTGTGGCCTTCAGAGAACATCTGGGAGCTTTTCGACTGGGTCCTCGGCACTGGCTCTCTCATTAAGACCGTGCCTCTTGCGACGGTCTGTTATCCCTCCGAACCGGACTACGACAGTGCCAAGTGTGAAGAGATCACCGACAACTGGACAAACTCCTACTTGCAGTACGTCCCCTTGATGCAAACGATGGATCGACTTCGGCTCTAACATGGATTAATAGTGCTGCGGATCCCGCATCCATAATGTGGCCTTTGTTTGAAGGTCGTACATGCTTACCCACGAACCAGAATGTCACGGCGGACTGTACACTGGGTGGATACAGTAGTTACGCTGTCAACGTGAGCCATGTGGCGCAGATTCAACTTGCTGTCAACTTTGCTCGTCTGGCCAACCTGCGCCTGGTGGTGAAGAACACCGGTCATGACTTCTCTGGCAAATCCACTGGAGCCGGTGCGCTTGGTATCTGGACCCATAACTTGAAGGAGATGGAGTACTATGAGAACTACCGCGGTTCGGGCTACCAAGGACCTGCTCTGAAGATGGGTGCCGGTGTCCAGGCCTTCGATGTCTATGCGAAGGCCAGGGAGCTCGGGTTGACGGCCATCGGGGGAGAAGGAAAGGTATGCTGAACGGATCCCCTCATGCATCACGGCCACTGACTGATTCATATAGACCGTCGGTGTTGCTGGTGGCTACGTGCTCGGAGGGGGTCACTCCCCCATGTCCAGCATATACGGTCTAGCGGCTGACCAGGTTCTGGCGCTCGAGGTCGTGTTAGCCAACGGTCGCTTCGTCACTGTCACGGAGGAGACCGACCCAGATCTCTTCTGGGCTCTTTGTGGTGGAGGCGGCGGTGAGTTCTCAACATACATTCCAAGTGCCAGCGTCCAGAATTGTAGAGCTAATGGCAACTAACAGGCACTTACGGCGTTGTCACCTCGGTCATCTCTCGCCTCCGCCCCAAGGTTGGCGTGACCCTGTCCAAGTTCTCCTTTGCTACGAGCCCCAATGTATCCGCAGATACCTTCTGGGCCGGGATCCGCTCATATATGCAACGGTTCCCTACCTACGCGGATGCCGGCACCTACGCCTATTTCTGGGTCCTGCCCACCGGCCCGGGTGCCTTCGAATTCTTGATGAACCCATTCTTCGGTGTGAACCACACCCTGGATGAATTCAATGCCTTGGTCAAACCGTGGTTCGACGACCTGAAGGCTCTCGGGATTCCGTTCACGCCTAACAGCACCTACTTCCCCGACTTCTACGACGCCTGGGCCGCTGGCTTCCCCCTGGAGACAGTCGCATCCAGCACCATGCTGACTGGATCCCGTTTGTTCCCTCGGGCGAACTGGGAAGACGAGTCGAAGTTCAATGCTACCTTCGCTGCGCTGCGATCTACCATCACCGCCGGTCACCCCTTACTGGCATTCAATATGAAGGTCGACCTGCCCGAGGGTTCCCCCGAGAACTCGGCCAACCCTGCCTGGCGCAAGACCCTCATGCACGCGATTACTTCGACCACCTGGAATACCACCACGCCCAACGCCGAGATCAAGCAGATCATGGATACATTCACCTATGATACCCTTGGTCAGTGGCGTGCTACTTGCCCTGACGCTGGTGCTTATATGTCCGAATCGGACGTTCTGGAGCCCAACTTCGAGCAAGCTTTCTACGGAAGTAACTACGACCGTCTTTACAAGCTAAAGCAGCGCTATGACCCCACGGGTCTATTCTATGCTGTTACCGCTGTTGGCAGTGAGAACTGGCAGGTCAAGAGCCTGGATGGCCTCCCTGACCAGAATGGCCGTCTGTGCCGCATTTAATGCCGTACAATCCGAGAAGTAGAGATCATTATGTAGATATAATGTCAATCGAGACTCTCACACAGCATCTTGAAGTTTGTTCTAGAACGAGTATGAGGAACGGTCCCCCCTCTCACACAAAGTAATTGCACACATCACAGTGATACTCGCATTCGCTTATGCTTGATACTGATTCCCCAGGGCCCAACATACACCACCATCGCAAAGGTACTCTGGACAGCATTCCCCTGCCCAGATGTTCTATAAGGTGCTGACCTGCAGAGACAGCTGCAATAAAGCACCGAGCCACCCGCGGGGAAGCTCAGCCGTCTTACCCCTCACTGCAATGGATTTCAATCTCCGACAGATCGGGCTTAAACGGTCTCAATTACCCGGTCCTTGATAAGCCCTCGCTTAGAAGTTCGGCGGGTAGCTCGCCGCAAGCTGGTTGGTGGGCAGCCGACGATCGTCGAGACTGCTGGTATCAACAGCAGCAGTTGGCGCGTCGATCGCTTCCCCCCCCCCCCAGGTTGTACCGCACCGTCTCAATATAATGTGACTTTGGGGAGATGCGGCTATCAGGTTACATGACAGCGGTTTATTCGCCCGCGGCCACGATCTTTCCAACATAAATATCCCCGATCGAAGCAAAAGGATGTCAAACAAACTGAGGCTGTCCCGATCCCGAAGCTTTGGAAGAGATACTCCCTGGCAGAATGAAGCGGGGCCGACTCTTTCAGTGCGCAGCTTCGGCTTTGGTATGGCAAGGAGGTAAGCTGCATCAACTATACTCAATTTCAGTAATCGCCAACCGTCACTGACCATTTGCAGCATACGCACGTCTTGTCACGGTGCCAACCATCCCTTTCACGGAGACGGGTGGGAGCTATGATTTATCGCAGCTCACCCAGATTATCGTGGACTCGCGATATGTCAACGCGGTAGACCACCAAGGCCAAACGCTCATACCACCGACGCTCCTGGGTTTCGCCGAAACCTTCCAAGGTGACCTCAAGTCGTCTCTGGGCTTGAACCTTGACCTTGCTAGGGGTGGCGCATCCAAGGAGAACACCATCTTTTTGACTCTGGCGAATAACACCCAGTTCCGCGATGTCGCCGGTCGATTTACATCCGAGGGATACAGGCTCGAAGTCACCGACGATCGGATAGTCGTGACGGGGGCAAGTCCCCTCGGTGCATGGTGGGCCACCCGCTCCATCATCCAAGCTGCAGCAGCTGGAAATTCGAGTATGCCCCAAGGAGCAGGCGTGGATGCGCCAGGCTGGGCATCCCGCGGCGTAATGCTCGATGCTGGGCGCAAGTTCTTCCCCGCGGACTTCCTTGTTGAGATGTGCTCGTATCTCTCGTTCTTCAAGCAAAACACATTCCATGTCCATTTGAGTGATAACCTCTATAACAATGTGGACCAATATTCCCGCGAGCGCTCGCTGGATCTGTACGCCGCTTTCCGACTGTGGTCAGACGATCCGGCAGTCGCTGGCTTGAATCGCCGGGCCAATGAGTCTTATACCTTTGATGAACTCAATGACGTGCAGAAGCAATGCGCAAAGCGTGGCGTTACGATCATCCCGGAGATCGAAGCCCCGGGACATGCTCTTGTGATTGTGCAGTGGAAGCCCGAGATCGGGCTAGATACGGACCTGAGTATGCTGAACATCAGCCATCCCGAGACACTCCCCACTATGAAGACAATCTGGAAGACATTTCTGCCGTGGTTCCACAGCAAGGTGGTTCACATCGGGGCGGACGAGTACGACAGCAGCCTGGTTGCAGATTATACGCGCTTTGTCAACGAGATGGAAACCTTTATCCGCCAAGAGACAGGCGGTCGCAAGTCTATGCGCATCTGGGGCACTTTCACACCCAAAGAAGGCGCGAATGTGTCAAAATCGATTTCTTATCAACATTGGGATACCGGGGCGGATAAGCCGTACTACGATTATCTTCAGAACGGCTACTCGGTCCTCAACTCAGATGACTATCTCTATCTCGTTGGCGGTTGGTCGGGGTCATTCCCACCGCAGCTGGAGCTTAGCAAAATATTTCAAGGCCCATATGGAAAACCGTACTCGCCAGAAGTGTTGGACAGTTCTGACAAGGGTGACAATCCCCCTCGTAACAATCCACGAGTTTTGGGCGAGCTGGCTGCTCTCTGGAATGATTACGGTTCCAACGCCACCACAGTGCTGCAAGCGTATTATTCCTGGCGCAATGCTCTGCCAGCGCTTGCGGATAAACAGTGGGGCGGAAATGTCACCGAAGATGAATATCGAGCAGCGTTTGATGCCCTGCACCAAGCAGCCCCGGGTCAGAACCTCGACCGCACAATTCCAAGTCACTCCGATGTCATCCTCAACTATTCATTCGACAGCCATCATGGGGAAATGGCGACCGATAAGTCTGGGAACGGCTATCACGGCACTCTGCACGGATGCAAAGTGTCGGATAAAACCCTCCGTCTCGTCGACGGATGCTATCTTGAGACACCGTTGAGGAGCAAGGGGCGTGATTATACCCTTTCATTTCGAGTGAAGCCAACTTCGAAGATGCCAGGCGCTCTCTTCTCTGGGCCCGACTCTGTGTTCATGGCCGGCAATGGCTCTATCTCTAACGTAACGTTGATCACTGGCGGCAACCCATACTCGCTGAACTACAGCTTGCCTCTGAACGTCTGGACAGATGTGAGCCTCATTGGGAAAGGAAACACCACGCTGTTGACTGTTTCTGAAAAGGGAGCCAAGTCCACGACTATGGAATTTCTGGCGAAGATCGGTGTCAACGGGGAGTATTTCGCTTGGGCACCGATTGGCATTGAAGCTCCGCTGGCGCGGATCGGGCAGGGGTTTAATGGGCTGATGCAGAATATCGTTCTCAAGAATGGTGCTCCCGATAAATAGATCCTAACTTGTTAGCTCGAGTTTACGTTACCTGATAGGCATCCAGATACGTTCACTGCGAAATCATCCTTTGCCTTATCAAAGGGATGGCCATTTCTGCCGTTCTTCAGGAACTAGTCTTGGGTAATCTATCTTAGTTTACAGAAACCCATCACCTTGCAAAGAGTTTAAACTCTAAACCTTACTAACAATCTTTATGTCTCTCAAGCATGAAGGGCCGAACCACGTCCAAGTTCGTTTCTCAGGACCGATATCCGAAACTCTGCATTCCACGGCTCCAGGGCTACCGCGGACCAGACCGGAGAGCCTCACCTGCAAGCATAGAGACTCCCAAATCCATGATCTGCAGCCATTGGATCCCTCGGGTGGACCATGGCACCTCCTTATCAGCGAGCTTAGCCGCATCCGGCCGCATATCGACGAGCGACCCCTATCCGCCCAATCAGACCGCCGAACCGTCCACATGGCCCTAGTCTATTGCGCAAGACTCCTTCACCAGCTGCAATAGCGTGCCATGGCGCAAAGCATGGCCGATAGCTTAAAACCACTCTACCTCTCACGGTGGGAGGCTCCCAAGCTGCAATGACCCGCGGCCCAGCCACCATGAGGCTCGCCAGCCTAGCTATTGTGCTGATCTCGTCCGTCGGCCTCGCGCTGCCGATCCAGGATATCCCCCGCAGAGCTCCGGCCTCACGGACAGTGCTGTCGGGAGGGAGCGGGAGCTCTTCGCCACAGCATGTGGTAATTACATGGCCCGAAAACAACCAAGCGTCAAATGTCCAAGATTACATCGAGCGCGAAATGGACGAGATGCCTTTTCTCCGCTCCAACGAGAAAGAATATAACTTTGTCGCCAGCGTACACACTCCTCAAATGCCTGATTCCGATACGGGCCCAGCAATTGGTTGGTCGTCATACAGAGTCTTGCTGGGCGAGCACAAGGGAGAACACGATAGAGATACAGGCACCGAACCCCATACAGCTCCCGGCACCGGCTCGCCGAATGTGCTGGAGATCATCGACCGCAACAAGCTCGGGCCCCAGTGTCTCGCGCTCACGATATTCATTCTTGTGTCCATCATCTACTTTATTCTGTCCATGCTGGGGATGGCGTTCAAATCCTGCATCAAAGCGCGTTACCCACCGAGAGGCTGTGATTCGGTACATCTTTCTGGTCCAGAGCGGCAGCTCCTTGCTTGGACTAATATCCAGTGGGAAATGATGATGGAGAAGGAGAGGCACTGGTGATGGAAGCGCCAGGCGCGAACGGGGCAGATCTCATGATGATTCTGATCATTACTTTTCTTTTGCGGAGTTGGGCCTTGGTAGATACCCTACATATCAACTGGGAATTGCATAAAACCTCAATTGACTTGAAACTTCATGCCGGAGAGTCGTTGCGTCCTAAGAGACCTTGATGCGGGTGTAAGGAGATACACTAAGATTGCTGATTGTCATCCCCTTTCTGGCGTATGAGCTAGAAGTGCACGGTGCAATAGGACTACCTTATATCGATTCATATGGACTGTTGCAGGATGAAGGGTAAAAGAACCAGCCAATCTTAAATCTCTAGATAGGCCGAAAATCTAAATATGCAAACTCGGCAAGGATCATCTTTTGCCATGCTAACAACCACAGCCACAACCCCACACAAACCCCCGAATCGATCCCATCCTTAGTGCACTGGCTTGTGCGCCGGCTTGTGCGCCGGCTTGTGCACAGCAGCATGGGCTTTCTTTGCCGCAGTACCTTTTCTAGCAGTAGAAGACTCGACACCATTCTGCATAGCCTTGAGGTGAGCAAACTGATAGGTATCCTCACCCAAACTCCAAGCCATCACACCCCCAAGCTTCTTCGCCTCCACGATGTCCGAGAACTTGCGGGCGATCAAATCTGGGGTATCCCAAGTCCAGAAGAGGTTGGTCTCTGCATCCCAGTAATACTGGCCGCCGGCCTCCTCGTCCGTCTTGCCGTCCTCTTGTGCCCGGCGCCAGGAGTCGGTGATCGAGACGCCCTTGCAAGTTCCGTAGTCGGAGAGGCAGCCTGCTTGGCAGAAGTCGTCGCCGGTGCCACTAGAATAGAACACAAGTTAGCGAGCTGAGACAGGTGAAGCAAAAAGATAGAGCAATGGAGACTGACCAGTTGCCATATGCACTGCAGCATTGGCCATCAGGGCACTTGGAGGCCTCTCCAGCACCACACTTGCCGTTGGTGCTAACGGCCAGGTTGGCCGGGGGAGCAGCCATAGTGCCTGCTTCGAAGGTCAGCGCGCCGGACTTGCCGTTGTCACTGCCGTCGTCATTCTCAAGCTTGACCATCTTGCAGCCAATAGGGTGGGTGGCGCAGTCCGAGTTGGGGTCAGTGGTGAACCACTTGGCGTAGTAGGCGAAGCCCAGGTTAATCTTCTCAGGCTCAAGACCCCAGTCCAAGTAATCATTGACCACGTCCAAGCTGCCCTGCACACTAGAGTGGTGGCCTGTGACGGTATCACGCCGATTGAGAATATCGTAGCTCATGACGTTGACCATATCGACAGACTTCCAGATCTCAGGACCGGTTTCGTTGTTGAAGGCAATGAAGTCCTGCTTCCGGGCGGGGGTAGCAATGGAAAGCGTCTTATTGCCGATGGCCTCGCGCATGGCAGCTAGGAACTTGGGGTAGGTCTCGATCTCAGAGGTCTTCTCAGAGTTAGGGACCTGCTTATAGTCCTGTCCGTTCCCGCCGGGGTACTCCCAGTCAATGTCTCGTGCATTGTCAGTTGTATTCGGGAACGGAAAGCGATGTGCACATACCAACACCGTCAAAGCCATTTGCATCAAGCATGGCCGCTACGTTCTTCGCATATCGCTTTCGGCCGGCGTCGTCCTTTGCCGCAGCAGAGAACCCAGCTTCATCACCCCATCCACCAATGGCAATCATCAGCTTAGTGTTGGGACTGAAGCGCTTGCGCATGGTATCAGGGGATTCGAAAGGGGTGAATGACGCGGGAGAGTCTGAGTTGAAGAGCTCTGATGGGGCAAATGCCATGATCGCATAATCGATGTCCTGCGTCTTGTCGGCACCTGGCAGGTCCGTAACGTGATACCTAGAGTAACGGTTAGACTAAATGCGCGTGAGCAATAATGCAAAGAGATCCATACTCATCAATGTACATGGCAAACCGCATGGCGGCGGCACTGTGGGCGGCCAGAAGGCCGAGGGCAAGACTCTTCAGCATGTTGAACGGCGAGCAGCGGGCACTAAAGAAGCAGAAATGAAAAGGAACGAAAGTGCAGTGAACGAAACCAGCTGCGAACAGCTCGAGACTGCGAAGCCACAAAGAGAGAGGAGTAAGAAACCGGTAAGTACGAGGGCGTCCTGTGCTTTCATAAAACAAACAGCATTGGTGCCTCCTTCAACATACCCCGGATGATCATACCATGTTTAAGCCCCACTGGTCAAGGGAACAATGCATCCGCCTGCCGCTCAGCTTCATTGGTCCATGGGGGTTTGAATAAGTTCTTATTCTGCGGGACATTGTCCATCCCTATGGCAGAGTGGACCCCTTGGTTCGATCTATGTAGCGTGGATATTGGGTTAGGAGTTACCTCAGGAGCTTGTTTTGGAATGCGAGTGAGTCTTTCTAATATTGTGACTTGTAGAAGTTCTATTATTAGAATTGGTCCCATCAAGACTCAGCAGAGCAGTACAGTTGCCACACGGTCGATCCGATCAACTTGGATATGACGGATGGCGATTTGCTGCGTGTTCCGCTGACCTCACGCGGCGACGCGGTTAGCTGGCATGCTAGATCCGCCATGCATTCACATCCCTCGGGCTTACATTCTTGGCGGCTTAGAATGCCTAGCCAATGAGGAGTCATTGAACCGGGACAAACGCTTGGAACTGTAATCAATTAAGCGTGGAATCGGTGATTTCACGACTAGTTGATTGCCGGAGCAGAGGTTGACCTCAAAAATGTAATTTGATCAGAATGGGCAACAAGTCAATATTTCTATGTGGTGGGTTCAATGGACCAAAATATAAGGGTATAAAAGCAAAGCCAGACTTATTTCACATTGGCTGTTCATGAAAAGAGTAGTATGCGTGCCGCTGGTCAATTCCATTGTCGCCGAATAATAGGCCGGGCCGGATCCCAAGGGCCAATGACAACATTCTTGTATTTCTGCAAACTTATAAGCCACCAGCTACAGCCTCCCATGGCAAGTGCAGTCAGAAGGCTGCCTAGGAAAGACCCGATGGCAGCCGAGGTCAGTCCGCTGCCCAGGGTCATTCCCGACAGCACCGCCGGCAATGATCACCAATGCAAGTGTCAGCATGACGTGGCCTGTCCAAGATTGCTGTCTGAGTTGACGGCGGAAGATTGGAAACAGCCCGAAGACTTCCATGGAGAACAGCATCAGGCTGAACACGTGTGTTGTCGACGGTAGACGCGACGCGAGCACAGTGGACGCCATGACGGCAGCGTTCGTGGACAATGAAGCTGGGAACTTTGTTGTAGCGCCTGCGCCTTCCCCCGTCCCGTAATCGAAGGAAAATATGTTCATGATTAATAGCCAACAACTCAATGCCCAGATCGAGTCGCTGGCCGTGGACTCCGTCAAAGATTTCAAAATTGGACTTAGTCCTAACAAAGATGAGTAAATCAAAAAAGCCGATTTGACTGTTGATAAGCGCTGCCGATTTCGTGACGATAGGAGAGACAGGAGACCCGGGTCATGGCCATCGGTCCCCAGACTTGGGTTCGACGTTGTCGAATAGAATCCAGCCCTTGACCCCCCTTGCCCGTTCGAAGCCCCATTGAGGTCAGCGCTCCCCGGCGACAAGTGATCCTTGGATTCGCCACCGGCCATTGTTAGACCGAGGCCGTGGATGGGACTAGTCTTCCAGCTATTGGGCTGAGCTTCGCTGGCGGCTGGGTTAGCCACGCTCGCCATCGAGCTCGAGCTTGACCCGTCGTCGCCATTGACAAAACCATTCGCATTTTGTGACAGCCCCGCCTGCTCAGCCCCGGCCCATCTGTCCCAGAGCACCCACCCGATGGCCGTGCCTACACTACCCCAGCAGACTACTGACACGGGGCTCACGCGTTCGTGGAAAATCCCGCTGAAACAGCAGACGAAGATAACCACTGAACACACATGCTGCACAATTACTGTTGAATCTGCAACAAGTGGCCAGAAATCGTAAGGTCTGACCCTCGGGTTCCGCTGCAGGTGATCGAGGAAGGTCTCGGTATCGGTGTAGTTGTCCGGATCTGCCACCCATTCCAGTTAGCCCATATGTCTACTCCAAGCAAAGAAGAAAGAAAAAACTTATAAAAAGAGAAAATAGATCCGATCCAGCGCCGGGGAGCTCTTACAGGATTGTTTGACCCAGAGTAATTTCTTCCATGCTCCTTTCCGCCGTCGTCTTCCACTTGTGCTGCCTAATTTCCGCACTTCCTTCCGGCCATCGTTGCCAAGCACTCCACGCGGGGCACGCAACGCTGCACCGCCGCTGCCCAGCGAATGAATGCGGTCACCATAGACTAGTGGTGCTGAGCGCGCCCGTGATAATGAGGTCGCGAAGTATGCATCCTCCGGCGCTAGGCGATCGGGGTCGGGAATGCGGTCCACTTCAGGAGGTTGGTCACGACGGGATTCTGAGTCGAGGAGAGGCGGAGCAAATGCGGATATTGATGAGTGCTGAGATTCCATCGAGCCGAGACGCCTAGCTTCGGGGCATGGCGTTGGCGAGCGGCTGTGCTTTCGAGTACAGTTATACGTTTGGTCTAGACGACCTGTCAACCTGTCGCGCGGGCGTCCAGCGGTATCACGTGGTTCGAATTTCCGGATTAGGAAGGGGTATAGTTTGCGCGACAACATCGATGGACTTACGGGGTTTTTTTTGGCAGAGGTCAGGGGGAATTAACATATTAAAGCTTTTTTTTTTTTCCAACCTAGCTACATTCTGCTCCCCATACTTTTACTCGTGGAGCCGAACCTCGATGACTCGCTCCTCATTATTCTCTAGCGAGAGCGTGGCCACATCGCGACACAGCATCTCGAACTCCTCTTGACAACCTTTGCCAAGATACCGCTCCTCACCTGCCCCGGGAATCTTGCACCACAGCCCAGCTTCTTCGGTCTGCATATTGCCAAAGAAATCTTGAGCCTTCTTAAAAAAAGACTCAACGTTGCATCCGTTCGCTGGGAAGTGGCGGGCTTTGTTCGAATTCGATGAAAGTAACTTGAACCGAATTGATCCCAGATCCACCTTTGTTTCACGTTGCTTGGTAGATGGTCCGCATCCAAGGTTCCCAGACTTTGACAGGTTAACTGGGATATGACTGTCGTGCGTTGCCTCATAGGGATCCGGAGGCGTCTCAGGAAGTGTAAGCCTAGCCGCCGACGCCATTTCCATAGGGCTGCCAAGGGCTACCCCATGGTAGGGGCTCGCAGGCGACTCAAAAGACAGAAGACCGTCTTTCTGTGAACTGGCTCCCTGTACGAGAGCTTTCTCGGGGGTCACACGAGGACTGCTTGGTTGGCTAGAGCCAGTAAGGCGGGAACAGACACGAGAGCTGTTTGTGATTGTGCCACTATGGCCAAACATGCCTGCCCGAAACTTAATACCGCTTTCATCATCCGCATTGATCTTTGAGACCTTTGCGGCACACACTTGGTGCTCGAAACTAAAATTAGACTTCAAACCAAGCCAGATCACTAGGAAGGTAGCCCGCCAATTCTGCTTGACATTGCGAACACTCGGAGGATTCTGTATGAGGCCGACGAACACATCATTTCGCAGTTCCTTTTCTGTTTCGTTTTCAAATCCGTTTTCAGAATGCAGGACCAACATGGTGTATGCGGTTCCTTTTGCGGGAACGCCGATTCTCTTGTAAGCAACCTTGTAGGCTGATAACTCATACTCATCGCCATCAAAGTTGAAAACTTTGAAAGGGAACCACTTATCCAGAGTTGACCTTAGGACTTTCAACGCGCTGGGTGGGCTTTCTTCTGGGGATCGGCTGTGCCATTCGTCGAGCTGAGCGAGTAGATGGGTTGGGAAGGGTTTGTCAGGGCCAAAGACACGCTCGATTCTCCACTGGCTTCCAGCTGAAATCGAAGGAGAGCGCGCAGAACCAAACGAGCTTCGAAGTCCGGTTCCGGACACTCTTGCCCCAGTCATCGGATCCCAAGCAGCATGGCGCGCGGAATCCGCCGTGGGACTAACTGGAGATGGTTGAGATGCTCCAGGTCCCGCCGGTGGGGTCTTTGGAAAGCCGGAGAACCAATACACCTGACCTGGGGCTTTTTGTAAGCTCTTTGACATTTCAGACCTTGTTGCAGGAGGTTTCGTACCAATATCCTTCCTCGATGTGTTGTCGATTTCGACGCTTGGGACGGGTGGTTCTGATGGCATGCTCTCAACTGTTGGGTTCAGGAGGTATTTGATACTGAATTTGTGATAGTCGGTATTGGGTTTAGAGTCTTCCATACCGAATTCAAGCTCTTTGATCCTCTGGGGAACGCGATTGTCGCGTGCACGATCCGGCGTAACAGGAGAGAGGGCTGTCTGCTCTCCAACGCTACGGGTTAGAAAAGCTTCTGTGGTTCTGTCATTCAGTGGATGAAAACAAGGCAGCGTGTCGGGAGAGGTACTATCAGATTCACCAAGTAGCACTGGCCGTTCACGTCGATTAGACATCTTCCTCGTCGGTTGGAAATTCAAAATTGAGATGCGAGTTGAAACACGGTCAGAGGTGCGAAGGATGAGGTTTGAGGGTGTGTGTCAGAGCCTTGGGAAGGAGAAAGTCAACATGAGAATGAATGTCAATGAATAAGAAAGATCACTGGACGGGCGCCAACGAGCAGAAACAAACGCGGCAGCTCGGAGGCAGCCCCGAGCTTTTTTCCACCCCAGTGCTAGTAATATTATGCAATAGATCGGTTCTTACTGTCTAGTCTAGTACTGCCAACTCTGGAAGTATACAAGTGTGCCAGTCCCCATGGGTCTATGCTCGCAAGCCTTCCCGCATGGGTAAAAAGACCAATATCCATATGGGATGTATGCTAGAGTTGATGCTTCATGCTAATTTGGGCTTTGGAGACACTCTTTCAGCATCTCATTTACTTCATGTCCTCAACATCAACACAGTCGTTCGCGGTGGATACCGGAGAATTGGGTATTAGTCTTATTGCGTGGATGACTTATACAAGATAACTAGTTACTGGGACATAGCACATCACTAAGCACGGCGGCTCAAGCCGGAGGCAGGGCAAAGATGGCACGAAGTGTCGAGGTATTAGGCTGCGACTACTATTGCAAAGGAAATTTGAAGAAGTAAATGTCCTTTTAGGTCTTTGCTATCTGCCTAGGTGTATCTATTAGTAGCTCATACAGAGTTTGCGAAGCATACCAGTGTGCATCTGCGTCATTCTATCTCTGGGTCCGTCTAGAAAATGACGAAGATCAAGGGTATCATTATGAGGGTGATGAAATGGATCGACGACCCGGATTGGATGTGGATCTACCCTTGGCCAGCGATCTTTTGATGAGTGACCGTTTTGTGAGAGAGGTTCTTGTAACCTGCCAGGACAAATGGTATTCCGCGATGTTCAGAGTCCCCCATCAAACAACACGATCATGAAGTGGATGTGGACAGGCCATTCCGTTCCTCGATAACACTCTTGACGACATTTTTCACCGCCTGCGGTGCGACAATATCGTCGACACTGTTGCGACGGCCCCAGTTCTGCGGTTGTCGGCGTATGAAAGCACCAACAGCGCCCAGGTAGCCCTCATGTCGCAGGAAATAAGCCTGTTTTTCACCTTTCGACCAGAAACGAATGGCGTAAGATAGTGTGTTCATGGTCTGTCGGTGTCCACGAATGAAAGATCCTCCAAAATAGATGTGTTTTACTCCGTGTTTTTCCGATTGCAGATAAGCGATTTGACCGATGTTGTTACTGCGCATGTTAGTCTCGAAATACTGGAGGAGCAATCACTGAAATCTTACCTGATCGCATAGAGCAGACTACGGCTCATGTCGGCGTGATTGAAGTTAACTCCACCACTTCTCCTTTCGGAGTCGTTGATCAATCCCTCGCCATCCTCGGCGTCATCTTCTGCATCTTTCTTTAACCTGAAGACTTTGCCAAATGTGCTTGCGATGGCAGTGCTCTTCAGCCCAATTTTGCTGTAGTCCATTCCATAGATGTCGCCGACCAGCATATCCACCCCGCATTATCACCACGATCCGCCATGGCCAGCATGTCGTCGAATGTAGCGGCACCGGTTAGTAGGGACATGAGACCCCAGAATGTTCCACCTCCCAAGTGGGTTCCCCCCACACGCTCGAATTGCCTCGGGCCGGATACTTTGATCATGGACACTCCCGACCCGATATTGACCAGGAGGTATGGGTACACGTCTGGGCGAGCCTCTGCATATTGCATTGGCTCCGAGTCCGAATCGCTGTAGGTGAAGACCTCGTTGGGAATCTCTGTAATGAAAAAGTCCAGACCTGGGTCGGATCAGTTCCGTGCTCCATCTCGCTTCCACCTGCCCGGGACATACCGATAATCAAGCATTCCATCTCCTCTTCTCGCAGGATATTGACGTTCAGCGCCTCCTTCATCTTATCATAGAATTTGAATGCACCGCCTCCTGTTGCGACGACACATAATTCATCACGCTTCGAGGTATTGCGCTTCTCGTGCTCCTCCTTAAGGTGTCGAATAAAATTGATACAGAGGTCAATGCGATGAGTCTCGAAGTTCAAAAAGTTCAGTCGACCGCCATTGTCCGCCGAGTCCAATTCCCGGGTAAAGTACACGAGCTTTGCGAGTGATCCGCCAATCTATGGATACCCTCATTGTCAGCGTGGGGGGGAGCTTCTTTTTTTTTTGAACCCGAATTGCGGGGCCGGTCGCATGCGGGGCACACACGCAATAGAAGCTGGACAACAACTTACATCGACAGCCACATGGCTCACCAGGCCAGTATGATGGGGGAGACGGATATCTTTGTTCTCATAATGCACACCATCAGCTTCGATGGGGCTGCGCGACCGAGGTTCCTCGTCGACGATGAATGCGCCGGTGACATTGATCTTCACGGCGCCGGGATTGGAGATGGCTTCCTCCAGGCGGGAAGCGCGTTTGCGACGGCCGTCTATCTCTGGAGGATTTGAGGGAGCCATGGTGATGTTGAAAGGAGAAGACCAGAATGTCCAGAAGACAGCTTTCCCCGTTCCCACGTTTACGGCGTAAGGGTAGTAATTCCTTCTACCCGGATCCACTTGATCTGCCCTGCCGAGGATCGCACTTCCGAGGCTTCCTGCTTATCACCAGCCGATCCTCGGTCGTTGTACTTGCGTCTATTCACCTCCGCGGCGTAGGAGACCTTTGCCAGCAGTGTTTGGGATATTAGTATGTTCTCCAAGGTGGGATCACGATGCCCGTTCTATACGTGTAGCCTCCGTCCCCTTTATGCGTAGTCAAGAATGCGAGAAGCATCCGATGTCGTCGATTGTAAGCAACAGGCCTGAACCAGCATGAGCTAGTATGAAGAGTAGGCAGATAGCTCTTCAAATTGCAACTACCACGAGGAAAAGCGAGGTCGCGGCGTTTCGATAGTAAATTCAAGTGTCTTGGCGCTGCAAGGTGGGTCCCGCGACCTGTATACCTTCCGCTCTTGGCAGACTGCATTCAAACGGTGATATCCAACAGGGATAATGACATCTTTTTACTATGCTAAAGTCTAAGGGGGGAGTCCGAAATGTAATTTTGATTCAAGGCAATACGCTTGACTCGTATCTAACAGAATTAAGATTCAATTCCACTCATAGGACATGTCAAGGTGCAATACGAGCACTAGTAGCAGGTGAGCTCTCTGGTGAATAGAAGGCAGATGGACAGGGTCCCACTAACCTTGGAAGCAGTCCTTGAACCCTGTCAGACTGATCACCTGCCCATCTGCCGTAGGGTTCCTCCTTTGGCGAGGCCTTAGTACGTGAATCATAGGCTGGGTCTTGATCCTAGTTTTGACTTGACATTCAGTACGCTATCAGGCTTCAATGAGAATAAGTCGAATCTTTCAGTATCTTGCCTACACACCAAAGCTCATAAGCTGCCGTAGGATCCACTACTGTGGTGGTCACGCACCGCCTTGTGTAGCTCAACTTGTTGCTAAGGAAGAGTGAGCTCGTTTGCTCGGTTTGCTCTAGTTGATGGTGATGAAGTGATTATTTACATCTCTCAACTTCCCTCCTTATCTTTCCTTTCTTTTTCCCCGCTCTCGAGTGATTTTTGCGTTTCCCTCCTCCGCTTTCGCCCCTGTGATAGCGGTTGGCATTGACTTCCAGTCCACATTGCCATCTCCTTGACCTTATCACGCGTGCCGTTTGAACAACGCGCCGAACCGTGACCATGGGGAATTTCGATGTCTCTGCTCTGCAGGACGCCCTGAAAGGCTTGACTAACATCTCTGACAAGGCCGAAGTCGCCGAAAAGGCTGAGTCTGCCGCTATGGACGACGCCGTCAATAAGGCCATCCACGGATGGAATGATCCCACCCCGTTCGATTACACAGGCTTCTCGACGTCTAACACTAGTGACTGGGCTGGCAATGCGGCTCGCTATGAGTGGAAGGACGAGTATGGCGACGTCGGCCCCGCTAACCCTGAGCTGGAGAAGCAGCTTTTTGAGGTTGAGTTCCGCTCCAAGCCCGGTGAACGTCTTCGCGAGTAAGTATATTTCTCTCCAACTTCCGGTGGCATATATACACCTCATACCGGTTTCCCTTCACCCATTTCGCGTACAGGCGATACTGATCTATACACAGACTGAACGAAACCCCCGTTGTCAACGTCGAGAGTGAGCAGCCGCTCAAGCCTGTCATTTCGGTACGTCTTCCTCGTCAAACCCATTTTTCCATGATGCTGACAAGTCAAAGTGGGATGGCATGGGTCTCCACCCTGTCATGCGCGAGAACATTGAGCTTTGTTGCTACAAGTACCCCACCACTATCCAGAGTTGGGCGATTCCGGCCGTTCTTCAAGGCAAGGACCTGATCGGTATTGCTCAAACAGGTTAGTTCAAGAATCAACTTCGGTGATCCTCGCGCTAATAAAGTTCTCAGGCTCTGGAAAGACTGGCGCTTTTCTTATTCCCGTCCTATCCAAGTTGATGGGGAAGGCGAAGAAGTTGGCAGCTGCGCGTCCCAACGTGGCTGAAGGGTTCGATAGCCAGAAAGATGGAGTGACAGCTGAGCCTCTTGTGCTGATCATTTGTCCTACTCGCGAGCTTGCCACTCAGATTTTCGACGAGACTCGTCGCTTGTGCTACCGTTCGATGCTTCGTCCTTGTGTTGCGTATGGTGGTGCGCCTGCTCGACTCCAGCGCGACGAGCTTCGGAAGGGTTGTGACATCCTTGTTGGGACGCCAGGCCGCATTATTGACTTCATGTCCCAGCCCCATGTTCTTACCCTCACTCGTGTTCGGTAAGTCGCCTTCCTCTATTACTTACGATGATTTTATATGACTAACCTTGGGCAAGATACACCATCGTCGACGAAGCGGATGAGATGCTGCACAGTGATTGGCAGGACGAGTTCTCGAAGCTCATGTCTGGAGGTGGTGAGACTTCCATCCATGGAGTGTTGTGAAGTGGCGTGGGTGTATTTCATGATAACTAACTTCTACCAGATGGGAACGAAGATACCGACCATTGCTACATGATGTTCTCTGCCACTTTCAACCGTGAATGTCGTCAGCTTGCCCGGACCTTCTTGGCCTCGAACCATATTCGCATTCGCATTGGGCGCCCTGGTAGTGCTCACCTTATGGTGCGCCAGCAGGTAATTTACCCCTCTGGCCCCAAATACAACTGATTCGTAGCCTGACTTTACTTCTAGGTCTACTTCGTCGAAGAGCGTCAGAAGAAGCAGGCTCTGTTTGACCTCTTGGTTAGCATGATCCCGATTCGTACCCTCGTCTTTGTCAATAACAAGAAGGCTGTTGACTACGTTGATGACTTCTTGTACAACAAGGGTCTGCCTAGCACTTCTATCCACAGTGACCGCACCCAGCGTGAGCGTGAGGATGCCATGTAAGTTTCTTTTCCCTCTGGAAAAAAAGATATGATTTCAGGCCATTGACAACCAATCAGGCGTGCCTTCAAATATGCCAAGTGCCCCATCATGGTGGCTACTGGTCTTTCAGCTCGCGGTCTGGATATTGTCAACGTGATGCACGTTATCAATTTTGATCTGCCCAAGGCTATGCACGGCGGTATCAACGAGTACATTCACCGTATTGGTAAGCTTCCATTGATGGTATATCAGGAACCGACCTGCTTTACATTGCATACTAATCCCGTTCCACTGGTACTTAGGTCGCACTGCTCGCATTGGTAACGAAGGTCTTGCTACCTCCTTCTACAATGAGGGCGATGCGGATCTTGCCCCCGACCTTGTCAAGACTTTGCTAGAGTGCAACCAGAACGTTCCCGACTTCCTGGAAGACTTCACGCCATCCGGTGGTAAGATTACATTCGGTGATGAAACGGATGCCGAGGATGAAGAAGACAATGACAACGCAGCGAAAGCCTCAGCTTACAACGCCACTGAAACCGCTGGGGAAGACGTTGATCCTTGGGAAGCTTCCGGTGACACAAATGCTGACCGCGGTGCGAACTGGTAGATCTTTGATTTGCCATTTACAAGCAGGCTCCTGACAGTTCGGGGGTCGGCTTTTGAGTGATTTTTCCATCGATGGCTGTGGTCTTTTGCCTCGATCTTTAAGTCAGTTATGTGACTTGTGCTTGATTCAACCTCGGGAATGCGTGCCTCTTGGCCTACTCGCTCGACTTTTGCCCCTTTCGATCTCCCAGTTGTCCTTTTTTCTTTTCAAGGAATGTGTTATTGCGGATATCATCATGTTCTGGTGAAGATGTTTCGGCATGTCTCTAGTCCCACATCGAGTCCGAGGTTAGGAAATCAAGATCTGCTATTGTGACCGTCTTCATTCGTTGACGTAGAATTTCCCCTGTAGTATTCCCAATTCCTAGCATAAGTAGGTGTTGAGCATCGTGCCTTCCTGCGGGTGTTCGCATGTCAACAATGCCTACCTTATGCAGCGGCATCCCATACGGAGATTTCCCCACCAAGAATCCTCATCACCTGCTGGGATTTGCGTGTCGTTGGCTCATCATGCATCGAATTGTGTCTTTCAAGGTTTCATCCGCCATTGCCATGGCGGCACTCTTGCCTGCAGCCAGCTGCATGTTCCACGCATACGTCGAAACCCCGCTACAACTCGGCGATGACGAAACTTCATTCTACGCTATAGGGAGCCAAAATCCAGTCCCCTCACTGGTTATTGATACATTCCAGCATCAAATCCATAATGATCTCGGTTTCTGGCATGGCATCGGCGAAAATCTGAAGATCGAGCATGAGCCAGGCTGGGTGCGTCTCTACCTACAGACCCTGACCAGAACTTCCATACGCAGTTCGATGCGCGGTCGTGCTTCAGTCTTCTACCCTGGCAGAACCAATTCCTCCATGTAGTCTTTGATGGAACGGCGGACTTTACAGTCTCTTTGAATGAACATAACGCCGACTGCAACCCCCAACGAAGCCCGTTTCCTGGTGTCCCGGACAGCGTCCAGGCATCCAGATACCTGATGCGAACCAAATTCCATGCAGATGGAAATGAGAAGGATAAAGATTGCACGGGTGGTAGCCCAGCCGAGGCGCAGCCCCCTCAAGACCAGACGGTCTTGGGGAATAAGCATGATCCAGATAGGTGCAATGTGGACAGCGACAGTCAAGCTCCTGCTTCTCTAGAAAGAACCGAGCTCTTCATACCACTTTCTCACTTCAATATCGACCAGAGTCGAGTTGTATCTGTTTCTTTCACAGGGTTCTACACTACTGCGCCGCTCACCATATACCGTGTCGAGATTGTATCAACCGTACCTCCTCCATCGGCAGCAAACAACAATTTCCGTATACCTGGAAAGTTGCCTAGTGGTACATTAGTTTTGCGCTGCAAAAGACCGAACTCTTTTGCGTTTGGCATTGATGATGGCCAGCCACGTTTTGCACAAGAGGTCATGAAAATCCTCGATGAGGAGAATGTCCGGGTGACTTTCTTCGTTGTCGGCGCTGGGCTCAGGGATCATTCAAGCAACTTCACCAACTTCTATAAGGACATGATGAGTCGAGGGCACCAAATCGCCCTGCATTCAAATACACATCCTAAGTAAGCGGTCGCGAAGTCTGTGCCAATCACCGATTAACCTTGTCCCAGGATGGAATCACTTCCGACGATGGACCAAATCGATGATGAGATTGAGCAAACATTGCACGTCTTCAGACATGAGCTCGGAATAGAATGTAAGGGCTAAAGTTCCCCGCGACAAGGTAGGTGTCTAACGAAAATGCAGCACAATACTTCCGACCCCCCTATGGCACGGTTGGCGCTCGCATGAGACAGCGGCTGGCCCAGTACATCCAAAACCCGCAGATCGTGAATTGGAGCGTCGATGCGGAAGACTGGATCTGGGCCAACTCGTCCACCCCTGAAAAACAGCTAGACGCATTTTACCGTGGTGTCGCCCGTGGGGGAAATATTGCCGTTATGCATTACCTAAATCCGACAACCGTCGAATACCTTCCACGGTTCATTCGTCATGTCAAAGGCGCTGGGCTGAAGGTAATGCGCATCGACCAGTGCCTGGAAGATCCTACCAGCCCGCCGCTTCTGTGAAGAGCTCGTATATTATCATTGCTCCCGATATGCCTAATTATCCTTATTTTCATGGCCGCCATCAAGCACGCTAGCCCAATATCCATAGAGTTCTCAATTTCCAGGCTTACAAAATCCCAAAATCGGCGAGGACTCAACTTGGTGTATTAGGAGAGTTGACCTTTGCAAATTCACATCCATTAGCGAGATTAGAGGTTGAAACTGCATTAAGGAATCAGGAAACGTCAAACCGAGCGCCTGTGCCATGTATATTGTTACAACAACAATGCTGATCATATCCACACTTTTGATCACCAAATACATATAGTAAAATTGGTGAATATAAAATCCCAATGCCAAAACGCAATGCGTGCGTTACAAGCCCAAAGCTTGAAGGTCGATGAGGAATACTAGGGAGAAGTCAAAATCCCAATACTCGTCATTATTCTCCAAAGTCCGGTTTCCGACAAGGCCCCTTCTTGTCCATCATCTGGCGGATACGACTCGTGAGCCATCCGGACCTGGCATTACCAGGCTGGGGATTGCCGAGGAGGGGCTTTACGCCAGTATAGCAGACTCCCTCACGGAAAGAAAACTGCACGCAGTCCTCCTGCGCCTCGCAATTTCTGCGACATTCTTCAAAAGATCTAGCAAACGGCTTCTCTTTTTCGGACAAGTTATCCCAGTTTGATCTCATCGGCTGCGATGCGATTTCCGGATACAGATATTCGCGGAAGACATCGCCATGTAGTAGGATGCGTTTATTTTTCTGCGAATTTCTTAGCAGGGAAACGTCGCGTGTCCAGATACGGCGTTCACTCACATCATGCCATCGCCTCTGCTCAAATTTCCAAAGATCCTCAATATCCTGCGAGCTCAAATGATGGAACGCAACGGCGGGGAAACACCACGGCTGCCGATACAAATCAACATTGAACTCATCCAGTTCCCCCAAATTAGCATTCTGCAAGATCGGCCACGAAAAATGCAACGGAACCCCCGCATCCAGCAACACCTTCCCCAGCACACAATCCCCCGCCCAGTGCTGATCCGTGTACTCATGCAGCTCCGCTTTCCGCGTCGCATACTCCCGCGACGCCGCTGCCAGCGCGGGATTCGACAACACGAACCCGGACCCGCCGTGCGCAAAGACCACGTCCGCGATCTGCGTCTCCGTGCCGAGGTAGTACGGCTTGCGAGCGTCGAAGCGCGCCAGCCACGCCAGCACAGTCGGCCACGAGACGTACGTGTCGGCCTCCATGAAGACGAACCACTTCGCGTCCGGCTTGTAGCGCAGCGCGTCCTGGGCCATGGGCAGGAACTTCCATTTGTCCAGCTTCCAGCCCGGGTTGTTGGGCTTGCCGATGTTCGAGTTTGCTTCGTCGGCAAAGTCGTCCTGCTCCAGGCCCTTGCGGCCGAGCTTGCGGATGCGGTTGTAGATGTTGAAGTCGGGGACTCGATCACGGACGTCGGCGTCCATGGTGCGGAGGGCGTCGTGGATCTTGACGCCTTGGATTTCTTCCTCGAAGTCGGAGTAGATCACGAAATGCGGGATGCAGCGCAGGGTTGTGGAGAAGTGGATGGGGACTTTGTTGCGGGATTCGGTGACGCCGGTTTTCATGACGACGAGGACATCCTCGATGCCCGGGAGTGGAGGACAGAAAGTGTTTGGAGGGCCGGCATTGTGTGGGTTGGGCCTTCTGGCGCGGCTCGAGAGGTCGGATTGGAGGGAAAGGATGTGGTAGAGGAAGAAGACGGCAATGGCGGCAGCGAGGGCTTTTAATCGGCGGCCGAAGCGGCGGGAGGGGACCATCCTGTCAAGCTCTCTTTCGTGAAGCTTCACTCGCGCGGAGCTGGCCCTGCGAGCATCGTTTCCGGGAGCAGGGGTTCTGGTGCTTGGAAGCTCGAGCGCTTAAGCTTTTGATCGACTTTTGTAGCTTCGGTTGCTGACGCAGCTGACGCGTAGATTTTGGGATTGTGGTTGGGTTCGGATGAAGAGGAGATTGTAGATTCGTCCTGGAGGAGGATTCGTTCGTAGCTACTGCGCTGGAGTTAATGTTCCCAATTGTAACTTGTAAAGGTGTTCTTTGTCTCTCCCACCCCTTGATCTACCCTTGGCTCCTGGGAGGGATGGCTCGCAATGCTCCGTATCTTTCAGAGGAATGCGTGAATTACTTGGTCAGGTCGGTGCTCTTGTCCATTGATCATTCTAATTGAGGTCTCCTTCGTCTGAGCGACTCATTCAGTGCTCTGCAAGCTGTTTCAATGCGTTTTATAAGGTGTTTGTGTGACGATGGATCTACAGTGGGGGTTTCCCCACCGACCTTGACACAACACGTCGGAGCCCTGGAGCTGATCTAGAAGCTTCCCGATCCGCTAGCCTAAGGAAGGTAAAGAGTGTGGCTTGCATGCGCTTCTTATTATCTGTGTATACTATATCTTACTTTTGCACGGTCTTCGCTTCAATTCGCTGACCATGCAACTTGACCAACTCCGGGATGATGAGGCTCTCGATCTCAATCCCATCCCTTAGGTCCATCTTCTTCCAGATCAGTTTGGGTATCAGGGCCCTTCTCTCCCTTCATAGCCTCCGCAAGGCCAACTTGATCTTCCACTCCAGAGATGCTCTTGCTGCGGCGAGACTTGGGTACTCGGATCCACCTCTCGGGCTGGTCGGGACTTATGAATACAACTTCCCACTTGCGAGTTGAAAGGAGGTTACCAATGACCAAGTGGTGTGAATATCGCTGCAATGCTGTCTGTGCCTTGTAGACCAACAATGAAGGATCGGTTTCCAGCTTGAACGAGACCACCATGCTTCCCTCCGGCGCCCAGCCATCTACAAGCCGGTGGAGGAACTTGGGCACGGGGTCGAGGTTGATGACCAGCTTCTTGCTATTTGCAGGCTTTTCCTCGTTCTCGCCAGTATAGATTTCTTCTGCCCCAACGGAATTATCCTTCTGGAAATGAGCAGGAAGCTCCGACGACTGGATCTTATGCTCTGCCATCCGGCTGCGGGGGATGAAGAAATCGCTGACAGCCGCTGCGAGATAGAACAGAGCATTGGCACCTATTGGCTGCATAATCTTGGCAAGTGAGCGGAGCTCGAACATGTACTCGGCCACAGTGGTGAATGGAAGCAGGAGCAGGCGGTTATGTTGCTTCGCATATCGGTACTTCCGCAAGACATCCCGCATCGCATCCTGGTATTCGCTGCGCACGACAATCCGCCCATGGTCCGAGTCTGCAGAGGCGTCCGTCGGGGGCGCCTCGTCCATAAAGTCCAAGAAACAGTTTGTGGAATGGCTGTAGTGTCGAGAATATGGCAGCAGACTGTACTGGCGGTGCAGGAAAATCACCGCGTACCCTTGTTCGAGAAAGTATTCTGCAGACGTGGCACCTCTAGTACCCGCGGAGAAATTGTCGATGAACCGGACCGTTTGGGTTTCTAATGGCACTGTAGTTCCACCGGAAGTGACAAGCACGACGCGGCGCTTGTCTTCCACATGTAGCTCAACGAATGCCCGGGCGAGAGCTTCGTGTTTGGGAAGGGCCTTCGGAGGGGGGTATTCGTTGAAGTAGACGGATTCGGCCTCGGCGGGCTCCATTTCACCGAATGAAGGGGCCATTTTGGTGATGCCACAGAAGAGCTCCTTCCAAAGGCTCGATTAATTGATTTGCGATCCCGGCTTCTATTGATACGTACTGGTGTTGGGGTTTAGTTCACAAATGACGAAACCGGTTACGCAGAGTCGAGATCAGATGCCGTACCGCTCATGGGCTAGAAATCCAAGAATCGGCCAGTGGAGTTGGGGCTGTACAGGTATTTGACCAGGAACTGCACCAGATCAGCGCAATTGACATGTGCTGTGAAATGCAGTTGACGCGGGCAAATATGGTGGGGTTTACAGCACGTCAGCTTGCCGCGCTGAACCGAACGCGGTACCCTGGCGATAAAGTTATGCTGGCCTGATGCAGTTTAGCGCTCCCGTCAGTCCGGCAATAAAAGATTATCTTCAGACACTTCACCATTGACATAGTTAAGTTACTATACTTCATATACAGTAGCTCCGAATCATGGAAACGGCTGCTGTCTGTACCAATAATCATATATGTTTTTGTCATTCTTATCTACAGATACCTTCAATGCGAGGAATGAATAATCTTCGGGCCAATCAACAATCGACTCTGTCCGTTCGAGCTATCAGTCATATAGGCTAGATTACAAAGTATGTACGGATGACAAAAGAAATGAAAAGATCACTGCAAATATCGACTTCTCAGCGCCTGGCTGATAGTGCTCATGCGGCTCGCCATGCCTCCATGCTGCATATTGCTCAATAGAGCTTCCTCCAACGCAGATTGAGTCACACTCGCATCTGCCCCTCCAAGAGAGTCACTGTCAGCCCGAGATTCATATGGAGACATCGATCCAGGTATCAGAATCATCTGACTCACCGTCCAAGTCGCTGAAGCTGCTTCCCATACTGGGTGTCCCGTCGCTGGCTTCTCTTCCAGATCCAGCAGTACTCTGAGACGTAATTCTAGGAGGGTCACCTACTCGCGGTCCTAGTCGGCCATTGCGATGGCGTTCACCCGGTGGGCCGGCTGCTGGCGCTCCAGAGCTGATTGAGCTTGCTGGGGATTCGGATGGCGCGCGGGGGGGAGCATCCGCTCGGTTTCGAAGGCGCTGCCGAGCAATCAGGGGGTCTTGGTCGAGACGAAGTGTTCCGCTGAGGTGTTGACTGCGCTGGTCCCGGGGCTGCTGCTGGGGTTCACGGGTAAATGGGAGGAATGCGGGCGTATCGTCCCCGTCATCGGAATCGCCGAGGCTGGGTCGATGGGTGGACATGTGCCCGAATCGCTTCAGCCATGGAGCTGGTCCAGGCGAGTCATCTTCGGAGTTGGATTCTTCTGAGCTGGAAATGCTGTCTTCTTCTTGAAGAGGGGGTGAGCGCATAAAAGTGGCCGGTGGTTCTGGTCTGGTAACCGACGGCCTGTAAGGAAGCTGGTCGCGCTTGGGGTCAGTATACTCAGCTGTCGGGGTTCCAATGCGCGCGTTGTCCTGATTATTGTGAACCTGATTGATGGTAGTTGTCGAGGTTGAGCTGGTACGCCTACCCGTACCACCGAGCACTTTTAAATGTTAGATGTGGCTTCAATTATTGAGAATGAGGGAATCCTAAACAACTTGCCTCGCTGAGGTGCTTCCTGTTGGCTGCTTATCTGCCGAGATGGTGCTCGAGGTCCTTTCATTCATGTTAGCCATCAAAATTGCACAATGTAAATGAAGTCATACCACTCAATAGAGGCACTCCTGCAACCTGTCCACCTAGTGCCAAGCTTCCAGATGCAGATCCTGGGCCCGGTGAAGGCGAATTTGACTGAGACTGAGTGGCCGGTGCTACTTTGCGCATCTGGGCTCTAACTTGAGAGAATTGCCGATCATAAAGGCATGCGGCTTGCTGATGAAGGAATTGAAGGGTGACGCCAAAGTGCTCGGCCCTGTACTGCTGTCAGAGTCGCGCTTCTTAATGCGCACATGTAGGGCACCTACAGTTCTTTCCCTGCGGTCAATTAGTAAACAGAAGATGGGGATTTAAAGCGGTGCACATACAATCAATATCATCTTTCGAGGGCCGGGAGAGAAGGTCCCATAAGGCTTGGTCTTTCGAAGCATTCCAATTTACCTGGTTGCGCACGTAAGTATCGGCGGCAACACCTGCAAGGGAGACGAGCACGTACTTGGGGTGGATCAACGAAGTCACCACGCTTACCCGGTACACGGACGAATACCGTGAATTGTTTCTTGCTGGGGTTCCCCGCCATGATGTTAATTGCCCGCGCCCGACGCGGTGGAGCCGCGGTCTAGCTCCGGTTCCAGCTGCCTACGATCGGATGTAGGAACAGCGAAACCTCAAGGTTAAGATACAAGAATATGGGACGGTGTGAAATGAAGATGGTACAGTGCGGACCCCGCTGATGTTGACATCAGAGCAGAACGCTGGGTGGAGGAAGATCGGCGAGAGGCGAGAGAAGAGTGAAGACGGACGACATCTTAGTTCATTGGTCAAAGAGCTCCGTGGTTTTAATAGAGTAGATGCGTGTACGTAACAAGTTGCTGCGTGTATGATCATGTGATATAGACATATTAGGGTATGGGCACGCTATTACCTGTATTTCCACTGTCACATGCACATGCTTCTAGTCTCATCTCCACATGATCTCACGTCGGGTGATCGATGTTGTTTATTGTATTCTGGTCTTGAAGAATGGCCGAATGAGCGTTTCAACATCATACCGCAGTCACCCCCACTTCTGAATGCTGGCACTTAACTTGTCACAAGTCCTTGAGGTATGCCCACATGGAAGTGGTGTGATCTGTTAAGCTTTTGCGAATGGGTGACAAAAAGTAGCGATCATAGACTACATGCAATAATTATAGAATCAGCCCCACTATGGGGTAGTTCGGGGTAAACCACCAATAAGTAAACATGAACAGAATTAGACGAAAAAATCTACGCGGACAAAGGAGGCCAATGAACCTGATCGACCTCGGCTTAAAGAAACAAAACATCTCCGCCCAATCCAAACCATCCATCCAGTCGCACTCTGTCCTGCCATGGCAATGTCATATCTGAGATACCTTTACACTAAAGCCTTAGCCACGCTACTCCGTGCTGTTGTTCTCACGTTCTTCCATTTGGCCGGTCGTCGTAATGCCCACCCCGACGAAGTACGCCACATACCGTGCCGTGATAAGGGGCGGACCATCAAAGTCCACATTTACCGATCGTCCGACAAAACAAGCCCATCGCCAGTTCTGGTCAATTTCCATGGGAGTGGGTTCATGCTGCCCCTGCACGGCAGCGATGATGAATTTTGTCGATTCATCAGCAGCCGTACCAAGTACGACGTCATCGATGTTTCCTATCGCTTAGCACCCGAGCATCCTTTCCCGGCAGCCCTAAACGACACCGAGGACGCGGTGAAGTATGTGCTCGGCCGGCCAGATGAGTTCGACTTGACACGATTATCGATCTCCGGGTTTAGTGCTGGGGGGAACCTTGCGTTGGCAGCAGCGGCCACGCTTTCCCTCAGGACACCTTTCGATCTGTGCTGGCCATCTATCCATCAGTTGATCTCAGTCGTCCGATCACCGAGAAAATCGCGCCTGATAGCACGGGCAGGCCCCTTCCAAACCGAGTGCTGCGATTCTTTAGTTCGTGCTATGTCCCTGGGTTAGATAGAAAGGACCCGCGTATTTCCCCCGCATTGGCGCCGCTCGAGCGGTTCCCGCGTCGGGTTCTCATGATCACCGCATCTGGTGACTCGCTCTGCTTGGAGGCGGAGAGGCTCGCCGAGTCGCTGAAGAGCGTGCCAGGGTCGCATGTGGTCTGTGAGCGGATGCAGCAGTGTAGTCACGGATGGGACAAGAAGCCCCGGGCGGGGCCGGCGCAGGCGGCTGCTACCAAGAAAGCCTATGGACTGGCGGTGGAGATGTTGAACGAGTAGCGGCGGGATCCTCTGGTATTTGTCATTGCGCCAACAAGTTTTGTGACACGTCCTGGGTTATCTATTCGGCCATTTGGAGCTTTACATTGTATATAGTTGGGAAGATCGCAATTTCCGCACACCGTACATCGTGTATCTTCAAGTAGATCATTTTAGTATCGGCCCCTAGTGCACCCTGTGCCATGTGGTTCCTGGCCTGATTACGCCCCATTCCATGGATCGACCTTCCAACCCTAAACCCTACGGCCCCTTCACTTCTACCTTTGGAGAGAGACACAGGTCAGATTGGACCCAGGCGATCTTTCTATAGTCCCAGGAGCATGAATCCCGAGACCTTTGGCCGGATCAGCGTAATCGGTGCCACTTTGCGCCAAAGTGGGCGAATTGCATCAAGGCTTCGCCCCGTGGGTCACCCGGGAGGTTTCATTTCCATTTAACCGTACTTTATAGGGGGTGAAAAAAATCATGAGGGGGAGATACTAATTTCTGGGTTCTTGCTTCTTATGGTTTCTTTTCTTTACATTTTGACTTCATTTTTATTCTTTAATTTCTTATGAGCTTTTGACTTTTTGGCATTCGCCTCTCCGGTCCTTACAGCAATTTCGCCCCTCCATCTTCATACTTGCTCGTGTTCCCCCCCCCCGATCCTTCGACGTCTAATAATAATCATTGGAGGGGCGGACGCGGTCAGTGTGCGCAAGCGACTCTACCGTGACCTCCACCAGACCCGATAGACTGAAGCTGCTTCGCTTCGAGCGCGCATTCCTCGCCTGCCTACATACCCTCCCCCGATCAATGCGCGCCAGCTGGATAGGCGCCGCCGCCTGTACATAGACGATGGAGACGGAACCCGATCCATCAACCTCAACTTCGACCCCCTCCGCACCCTCCACTCCTTTGACCCCGGCCATAAACCCCATCCTCGATGAAGACAAATACCGAGAGGAAGTCCTTCTCTCCCCCTCCGCAGAGGCAGAGCAAGCGCGGGCGCAACAGCTCTACCATGAAGCCCTGCAGCTAGGGCTGAAGGTGCCGGGAGTCCGCGCGTCGGGATCGTTGTCTGCTTCCGGATCCGGGGTGGTGGCCGATATTTCGTCGCCTATTTTGTCTTCAGGGTCTTCCACCGACCGAAACTCGGTTTTTGAAGACACCGACCAGACCATTGGACCTGTCTCGCCCTCTCAATATGACCATGTGGCCTCCTCTATTTCGCAGATTACTATTGATTCCGGTGCAAAGCCTGGGAGTACTCGATCAATGGCCTCCGCTTCGACTCGGCCCACTTCATATTATTCTATCGACAGCCATACAGCCCCCGGGGCAACCCCCGGGGGGCTTGGATACGAAGATGCATTGCGGCAACGGCGCAATCGAAACTCACTGCTTAGTGTAGCTTCAGCTGATAGGCAAGAGAAGCGGCGTAGCAGTTTTCGATCTGCGCTGAGTCGGATTCATTTTCGCAAAAAGCGTACACCCGTACCTCCAGTCCCAAATCTCCCCCCGGATGTGCTAGCTATGTATAGCGGGGGACAGGACGGTGGTGAGCATGTCCGTGTAGATGGACAGCCAAGGCCCCGCACAAGCCACGCCGATGATTCGGATCGAACGAGGACTCCGAGGCCACATCCTACAGTATATGACAAGGAGGCACTTCAAAGGAGTTTAGATCACCCGCAGTTGAAAGAGATGCAGGAACTGCATAAGATGGAAATGGAGAGGCATATGGAGTTTGAAGAGGCCGCTCTTCGCATCCTCCGGCGCCGACATGAGACCATGATTACTGAAAGAGAATCCCTCAACGAGCGTGAGGAGGATGAGAAGCGCGAAAAGGTGGGTCCTACAATGAATCATGTGTGGAGAGGTCTGGGACTAATGCCTTGCGACAGAATCTCGACGACACTGTTAATATCGAAGAACGTCAGCTTGCCGTGGAAATGGAGCAGGAGCGGGAGTTTGAACGGGCCAAGTTGAATTCCCGCACTCGAATTAAGCATATGGAAGGTTACTTTCGCAATGCAAGTCCGCCGCCCTCACCTGCAGGAACGAGGGATCGCTCTTCGGAATCATTTTCCTCTGAGACAACAGACAGTACCGCGCCCACCCGCCGATTCACCCAACAGCAGCGCGAGCAGCTGGAGCAACAATACCACGACCACAAAGCCATGGACCATCTCCACGAGGCTCGGATCAAAGTCTTGCGTGATCGTCAAGAAAAGCGACTGCGAGAAGCGGTAGCGCGAATGGAGCGCGAACTTGATCAATTGATCAAACACAATATCCAGAAGCTGCAAGATCTACAGAGCGAGCTCCACGATAAAGAAATGTCTCTGATAGATGCTCTTGATGCCAAGAAAACGGAACTGCAGCATCGGTGGCACTTGGAAGAAGCCGTTCTCCGCCGCAAGCTGGAAGTCGAGAGTGGACTGCCTTACGGCCCGTTGCCTCAGCTCTCTTTTGACAAGCACCCCGAAACTCGTGACTCTGCCATCTGCGTGCAGGAAGGCGAAGCTGAAGATCCCCCTGTTGAGCGGAGCAGCTGAATACAACATGACACTGAAGGTATCTCTTCTCGGCCTCTATAGATACCACCGAGGCCACAGTGCTACCTGGTACCCACATAGCCTTGAACTCAAACATTAGTTGCCGGCGTATTATACCCTTTTGGTTTTCTGTTTTATTTCTTCCTCATACCCATTCACTCTTGTACTTATTCTTGACTGCTTTGACACTACTCACCTGTGGACTCGGCACATATATCGCATGGCGCAGCTACCTGATACCGGAGAGGCATAGCATTGGTGCATCTTTGAATACGGCAGATAAGTTATAGATAGTTGAAATGTTAATTATGTCCATATCAAGCATGCTCGGTTCGATTTCAAATCGTCAATGGGTATCTCGCTCAGGGAGGAAAAGAAAAGAAACAGATATTAATTCAGGCATGTTAACCATCATGTTCCTTCAGTCTATCCAAAAGGGTCTCAACCCTCCCTCCCCCACCAGTCATGGCATCTTCGGTCTGTTTCACCCCCCCCTTGTCGCCAATAACGACAGCACGTTCCACGATGCCCGAATTAGTCAACTTGAATCTCCCAACACGACCGTCCTCCCACTCCACACGCACATAGCGCGCTTCGACAGCAGTTGCCGTCACAGAGATAACACCAGCCTTGCTTTCCGGCGACAATCTCTGGACAGCCGCAGCTTCCGATTCAGCCTCACTGAGCCCTAGTTTCTCCCTCAACAGCTCCACCGCGTCACTCCGCAAGTGCCATGCCACAAGCTCGCGGCGCAACTCGCGCACAAACGCATGTAGATCCTGCTTCCTCGCCCCCTTCGCCCTCTGCGAGGCCTTGGATAGCTCCACATCGTCAGTTTCACTGTCCTCCTGGCCCTCTCGATCGTGCCCAGACCCTGGAAACGGAAGATAAACACTCTGCAGCTTCGCAAGCGATATAAATGCTGGCACCGTATGCCGATGGACCTTGAATCTCTTCTCCGGGTCTCCCCGCGCGCGCTCCCGTTTCAGCAAAAGATAATACGGTTTCGCAAACCGCCCGCCCCGCGTACATACATCGATGCGTATCCCGAGCAGATTCTCCTTCGGTGCTGTGGGCGAGGGTCTTTGAATGGAAATGCTGTTGCGCCGAATGCTATTCGATGGTGGTTCGAGTCGGAGTGTTGGCTTGCTGCGCGCGCGAGGGGCGACACTTCGTCATGAAATGAAGTGGTCGGCTTTCGGAGCAGTTTCTGGATGGGGTCCGAGGCTAAGAGACTTGAAGCGAGGAAGCGCTTGCGGCGCTGGAGCTTTTGAACTGGATCGCTGTTAGACTTGGGCTATTGTTGCTGGTGTTGGGCTGCTCACTTTCTGCGCGAATGGAAACAATATCCGCGTCTAGCTCCTCCGCTTGGGGGTCTGTTGGTGCGGGAAATCGATCGTGTGAAGTCATGGTGATATGCGAAAAGATTCGAAGCTTCGATATCTCCGGTCCTCTTGGTTGAGGGCGAATGTGCCCGGTTGGTCGACGAACCCGTGTTGGTCTTAATCGACTATGTTCTAGATTTTGGAACGGTTTGTTTAGGGGATGTCACATGACCACGCATCACTCCGGACTGTTGCGCGTTCAGTTGGGTTGTTAAGCAGTATATTCGGCGTTAACAGTCACTGTGCCACTTGACAGGCTTATCTTCAGTTTATCGCCTGGGGTTCTAGGGGTGCTTATAAGTGGTGGATTGAGATGGTGACCATCGCCCCAACTGGGCTTGCTTCGGGCAGCGCGGCATAGTCATATAACAAGCTGCATGGACTGTACGACCAAAACCAGTCGCTAAGCCAAGCATTGTACTGTAGAAAACCAAAGAAACCCCCCTCCCTTAGGTCCTCATAGCGGGGCAAGAATCTGCAGATAGAGTAGATTTGTCAACCTCCAGAGTCGAGCGTTGAAGAAAAGGAATCCGACCCGCCTGCTCTAAGAGGCCAGCTTGCCTCTCAACTTCGCCTCCTTCCAAACCTTGGATCCTCCCCCACCTGCATGCCTCCAGTTGAGGCCCTTCTGTCTTTTTCTCATTCGTCTTCCATGCCTTGGCCTTCCACTCGCTACTGCTCGACTGCTTAACCAGAACGGATTTCCTATTTTCTTCATCTACAAAGTACGCGCCTTTCTTTCAAACCCCCATCCCCCCACCCATAAAAAGACACGGTTTCTCCACGCGACCTCCGACCTAGCCCTGCCGCGTAACCCAGATTCAGTTTAATTGAAATCACGCAATCAAGTCAAATTGGACATCTACTGCACACTTCAATGACACGCAAAAACGCTAGTCTCTCGAAGCGTCGCTCTAAACCGAGCTTGAAGGTTGCAACCGCCACCGGCCACAGCGGCCGCGAGAACGGCAAAATGAACCACGGCATTGAAATGCGCAAACGCGACACCCCCTCTACCGAATCCTCCGAAGAACGTACCGCTCGCCTCATGTCTCGAAACAGCTTTACTCTTGATGAGGACCCGGCACCCGTCACCCCGCAAACCCCCGGCATGACGACGACAAGCTTCCAAAATTTACCCCGAAGTGATAAGCGGAATTTCATGCTCCTATGCGTGCTATATTTTCTGCAAGGCGTACCGATGGGATTAGCCACCGGCTCTGTTCCTTTTTTGTTGAAGCCCTATCTTTCATACGGGCAAATTGGCATTTTCTCGCTCGCTTCATACCCATATTCATTAAAGCTGTTTTGGAGTCCCATCGTGGACGCGGTATGGAGCCAACGGTTTGGCCGTCGGAAGAGTTGGATTACCCCCGTCCAGATCATTGCAGGCTTGGCTATGATCTACCTTGGGGGTCATATTGAGGAAATGATGGAGCAGGCCGGCGCGAACGGTGGGGCTGGCGTGTGGAACTTCACATACTGGTGGTTCTTGTTAGTGTTCTTCTGCGCCACCCAAGATATCGCTGTTGACGGGTGGGCTATCACTCTCATGTCGCCTCCGAACATCTCATATGCCTCTACTGCGCAAACGGTCGGCTTGACAGCCGGCCACTTCTTGTCCTACACCGTGTTCCTTGCGTTCAACTCGAAAGATTTCGCCAACCGCTGGTTCCGAACTATCCCCGGCGAGACCGGCCTCTTGTCTTTGAGTACCTACCTGACGATCTGGGGCTGGACATACCTCATTGTTACCTTGGGATTGGCTCTATTGAAGAAAGAAGATCGCACCAAAGAGCGAGATAGCATTATGGACGTCTACAAGAGCATGTGGAATATTTTGAAGTTGAAAAACATTCAAACCATCATCATCATTCATCTTATTGCGAAGATCGGATTCCAGGCCAATGATGGGGTGACAAGCCTCAAATTATTGGAGAAGGGCTTTGGCCAGGACAACATGGCCCTGGTCGTCCTCATCGACTTCCCATTCGAGATCATGTTGGGCTACTATGCAGGAAAGTGGTCCACCGAGTACACGCCCATCCGCCTTTGGGGATGGGCATTTGGTGGCCGGCTTGCCGCCGCAGTGCTTGCTCAATTGACCGTGATGATCTACCCGAGTGGCTCAGAGGTTCCGCTTTGGTACCTGCTAACCGTCATTTCCGAGCATGTGATATCGACCTTCATGAACACCGTGATGTTTGTGTCCATTTCGGCTTTCCATGCGCGTATCGCAGATCCAGCTATTGGCGGTACCTATATGACTCTCCTCGCAACGTAAGTGTGTTTCTACCCCTTGAAGAATGAGCCGTAACCAATTCTCTTCTAGCGTCTCCAACCTGGGCGGCACTTTCCCCCGCTTCTTTATTCTGAAGCTCGTCGATCTTTTCACCCAAGCGACCTGCATTCCTCCCACTGTCGCTCCGCCAAGCGACCAGCTCAAAGACACTCTTGTCACCTCTCCTTTCTCTTGCGCCCTCGAACCCGAGAAGAACCGCTGCGTCAACGGCGGCGGCATTTGCGAGATTAGCCGCGATGGCTACTACATCACCAATATTCTCTGCGTCCTCGTTGGCACCATCACATTTGTATGGTTTATCAAACCTGCTGCGGATAAGCTGCAGGCTCTGCCCTGCGTGCTTGGCGATTGGCGTCAGGTGCTCAGCGAGACTAGTTCAGGTTCTGCGTGTCAAGCCTCCATCGGTCTCGACTTGTATTCTATATTTAGCCGGCAAAATGGTTGTAATAGACTTAAACGAAATACAATGAATGGCCTAATCTTGTCTCGAGGAGTAATCACGGTGCATGTTGAATTGCAAAGGCACGCAGGATACGTCCGTTTACGCCATTAATTCTCGTTGAATCCCCATCAATTTACACCGGCTGATCATGCGATGAGACGAATACCAAAACCTGCCTAGTGCCCTTGTCCACATTACACGGGCCGTGCCGAACAAGGATATTCGCCATGTTCCTCGCAAGGAAACCTTCTCGGTCAATCTAACCCCATTGCGCTGATCACTCAGCTCCTAATGCAGCCTCGCTTCCTTTTTCTGACACACCCCGAACCAGTCGTCGATATTCTCCCGGGGTCCGACTATTCAGCCAATGGCAGCGCTCAATGGCGCTTTTGCTGCATTACGCCAAGGGCTTTTCATGCAAACCCCGCTGGGTACCTGATTGTGGCCAAAATTCTCGTCCTCTCATTGAAAGAGATGGGATGGCGGGCCCTGACTCTGAGAAATCACGATTCGTGATGAACCCCGCTCACTGGTGCTGGTGATTTGCTAGGCTAATCTAGAATGGGATGGATCTTGAGCTGCATGTCAGAGTTAGGGGTCAGCTGGGTTGAGATAAATTCTCAATCCCTCTCTTGTCTCATCTCAGTCCCAAGTTCACGTTCCTTCAGATTTCTCCGTCGAGGATCATATTGAGAATCCATAGCAGAGCCTTCTTAAGCTCATTGCCCTATTGTTTCACCATGCGCCCTATCCTTTCTTCGATTTCATTTCTGGGTGCTTTGGTCGCAACTGCGAATTCTTCGCCTTTAAATCACCCGCGAGAACTACTTGCATTTAGAGCTGTGAGGCGATTTCCATGCTTAGCGTTCAGCCTCCTGCGAATGCGTACTAACTCTCGATATTCCAGTGGGATATCCGCTTTTTCAGCGAAGCGCAACCAGTCTGCAATGCGAATGCTTCCAACACCGATCTCACCCTAACTCATCGATACGGGGCTTCTATCCGCGATTGTGAGTCCTTGAGCGAGGACGGCACCAACGCAACTTTAGTGAAGAGCATTTCATGGAAGAGCCCGTACCGTGACGAGGATGACTGGTATGATCTTTGCATGTTCCGAACAGCAGATTGCTCGGGGGGCCAGTCATCTTTTGCAGGAAGCATCACCGATGGTTGGGAGGTGTGCTACCCATATAATGGATTCGCTGGGTGGACTGTTGTTCACCATGGGACTTCGTGCGTTTGAAAATGCTTATGCGATGGGTTATTCGAAATTTGCCTCATCATTGAGGAAGGAACGGACTTCTCTTAATGAAATGTACATATAAAGTGCAAACCCTCCCCTTAATTCAAAACCCCATGAGCCTTGGTTTGCATGAAAATCCCGCTCCAGCCCTCGCACGACAGTACCAAGTACCAACCTAGCGTACCGATGCAGCTCCATGGTCCAACAAGGAATGTTCTTCTGTCTCTTTACCCCTCCGTTCCACAATTTCATATCTATGCCCCGACGCGAATCGCACCTTCGACAAGCTTCCCTTGTCCCGTCTCAAATGGCTTCGAAACACCAAAGCTATGTTTCTCTCCAAACCTCAAGCACCAGTTGAAGAGCCCTTTACAGAAAACAAGCACCAGACCGAGCCCTTGGCTCTCAGCGCCCTAACCTAAGCACAGATCTAGCCCCCGAATCCCCAATAGCAACTCGATCAGCCGCATATGTCGTACACATGAGGCCTGAGAGGGCTTGGGAAAGGATCCTTGCTGCATTGATATCTACGTACGCGCACCGCTGGCGGAATAGATTGTCGGGCCTGCTGAGGGATCCGTTGCTGGTAGCTTTTGGGGGCTGAGCAGGGTTCTTCTCGTCCAGTTATTCAGGCTGTAGTGTGTCATGGAGAGTACTGCTGTGAGGTGAATGGTCACTTTGAGTTTTCGTCCTGATAGGTCTCCCGACCGTCCCAGATGTGCGAGGCCGGAATATATGTCATTGCACTATAGCGAGGGGTTTTGTCTAATGTTTTTTCGTTTGAATGAATCGACTGATTCTCGGACTACATTATATGTAGTTCGCGTCAGGTTGAAGCTTACCTCGACGAATCCTATGAATTCAGAATATATGAGGGTACACACTTTCTACTCTCTAGCCACACAATTTCAATGGAATCGTGCGAATACACCATTACTGACAATACAGACCTCTAGTAATGAATGTCCAACAAATAACCCACTACCATGCCAACGGACGACCCTCCATGGCTGCACTTCATTCAGTATAAAACTAAACCGAAGTTTACCACAATGTACGGTGGAACTCCGATAGCTCCGCCGATCCACTTGAACTTTTTTCTTATCGCACCCATCCCACCTCACCATCTCCAAAGCAAAAATCTACGAAGCAACGTCACTACCTCCAAAGTGCTGCCGACCCCAGGCTCCAAATATCCTGCCAAAAAGGGCCATGACACCAACGCACACCGACTCCAGTTCCGCGAACTCCGCCCCTCCATCCCCCGCAACCACCATGTCCGCCGACAGCAACACCACACACCCCGCCGCGAACTCCCTCGACGACATCTTCGGCTCCTCCCCCCGAAACAAGCAGCACCCTCCTACCCCCAGCTGCAGAGCGCGCACCCGCACCCGGAACCGGGGGCGAACCATCCGACCTCCCCTCCCTGCGCCGCCAACACGTCACAGCCGGCTACCGCGATGGGCTGTCGAAGTCGAAGGGCCAGCATGTGCAGGCCGGGTTTGACGGCGGGTTCCCAGTCGGCGCGCAGCTAGGGATGCGGGCGGGGACGGTCCTCGGGATTCTAGAGGGGATTTCTCGCGGTCTAGAGGAAGGGGGGGAGGCGTTGCGAAGAAGCCCGGTGCGCGGAGCGCGGGGCCTTCTACGGCTGCTCCGGAGGAAGGACGTCGGATCGAAGCACGGGCCCGGGTCCGGGCGCAGGTGCGCAAGATTTACGAGGATGCTGTGAAGGCTTTGGATGTGCAGGCTGTGTTTGCGGGGAGTGGTGGGCCTACGGTGGGAATGCAGCTGGGGCCTGATAGGCATCAGGAGGCGGGGGAGAGGAAGGAGGGAGGGAGCAGAGGAGGCACTGAGGAGGAAGGGGGATGCAGCGATTACGGGGTGGGAGGAGAAAGTTGCGGTGCCGAGGTGGGAAGAAAATATGGAGGCATTGGAGTTCAAGGAGGCTGCGGGGAAGGGCCAGGGAGATGAGGGCACGGGTGACCGAAGTTGAGTTGATCAAGGGAGCTCTCAGGGTCTTGGTCAATGGATCAATTTTCGCGGAGGCTAGGACTATATACTTCCTGGGCCTAGGTCCGCCCACTCCTCCCGTTCCACACCAAAGGGGGTTCGATCTGGCAAGGGAACCCTTCTTTTTGGCTTCCCAGGGTGGGATCAGAGATTTCTGTGTTTGTCTGTTTCCCTGCAGGGAACAGGGGTTCGTGAAGTCCTGCAAGTGGCCCTTGCTATTAGAACCAGTGCTAACGGCCCCGTTGACCGGTCCGGTTCCCTACTCGATAGGCTTTGGCTGAGGCCTAGACATCTGAGTCTTTTAGCCGCCGTAAAGGAACTGCGCTCCGCTGGAGGCGGCACGGAACGTCGACGCACCATAAAGGATGAAACAAAACAAAGGGTCTTGTTTGAGAGACAACATGGGACTCCCAATTGGGTCATATGCAGGACAAGATTATTGAGCTACAAAGAGATGAGAAGTGGGATGTGCAAGGAGGGCATATGTACTAAATATCCAGTTGGATCCCCCAAGATTAGTGTATCCTCGATCCTAGAGTTGGGATAGGAGCAGTCACTTTTGTTGAAGGAATTTTGCTGAGGCTTGTATGTTTGTCAAGACTAGGTAGATGGCTTAGCAAACAAGCCACGAAGCAGCCAGCCTGTTCCAGACTAATCCATCAGGGGTGGGCCCATACAGCAAACTAACTCCGATAGATCTGAAACCCATCGTACTGGCTCGGACCCGGGAGACTCGAATTGCAGCCGGAACAAGGAGGTAGACTTTTGGCGATGAGACTGGGTCTGTCTACAGAAAAGCCCCACTACGACAAAAGGACCGAGTGCTTGTGGAGACCAGATAACCGTTTTAGTGTCAATCGAATCGACTCGTCTGGAATGTGAGATCGAAGAGGCTGAAGTATGATATCATATTCCTAAGGGATCGTTGTGGTGGCCATGGAGCGAGCAATTCCGAGTTGCCTTACACTTGAAGTAGCAATGGTCTGCGCTGTGGCAAGATTGGGCGACAAAGTACATACCAAGTGAACCTTTCCTTTTCAACGGTAGCGACAATACGGAACTGAGGACGTTGCCGACGCAAGGGGTCGGGTTTCTCGTACAGGCCTGAGCGGGTGCCGCTTTAAACATCATGTTTACTAGGAATTCATGTGATTATAGCCGAACTCTCCATTTAGTTTTCTTCATCTTTTGCATCACGTTCTGAGTGGTTATTGAAAGATGTCACAGTTGAGCCTGCATGGAGAATACGGACTCGGGCATTTTTAGGGCTAGAGCTCCTTGAGTCCGAGCCCGCGTTCCGAAAATATATACTGTGTCGATAACTCCGAAGCTCACCAGACATCCCCCGGTAAACATGACTTGATACGGAATAATTTAGCCATGTTTATTTCAATCTGAAACGAAAACCACTACTACTATTTCTCACATAACGGACCGGGGCTTTATGAGGTAGACCAGCGTCGCATTTCGCTAGTAAGAAATCATAAACCAATAACCTCAGCTAGTTTGTACCTGCACCGAACAGCATCTAGGCTTCCACACAAAAGCAGCGGCACATACGAGCTAAATTGGTCCTGGAGGAGCTGAAACACAAAAGTACATGTCCCTTTTGGGCGCCTCTCCACAACGTGGGCCAAAGATGACGCGTTGCCGCCACTCCAAGCGCTTCAAACTCAGACAGAGGACGTCTATTCTCTCCGGGTAACACTCTCGTAGGCTAGATGAAAATACGAGCTTCAAATACTCGTAAACCAGAATAACCATCCTTCATAAGCTGCTACACCTGAGCGCCGAATTTATCCCAGGCGTGTGTGCGTAGGCGGCAACAGAGAAGGCTGGTGCGCGTTCTCGCTTAGCTCAAGGCGCAAAGAAAACCCAGGGTGGCGGTGCTGCGACCTGTAAGCTACTGATCAGCATCTCGGATACGGAATCTGCAGCTCGCGACCCCGACCCGGGAGCCAGGGTGGCATCCCTGCCGGCCATCTGAGGGGGGGGGTTCCGATGAGCGGAGAGCTGCAGGGCGATGCGTTAGCGTATATGCAAGCTGTCAAACGGGGAAAATAAGCTCAGAGACATTCGCAATAGTCCGCAGACGAGAATAGCAAAAGTCTAGACTATGGAAATGAGGCTGAGACGTTTCATAATTATTTCCTTCGTGCATCAATTAGAGGCGGGAAATAGCACCGAAGCAATTATTGTGATGCAAAGTAAGATAACGACGCAGAATAATACAATGAGATATTGATTGCTCCCGTAGCATCCTCGAATACCATAGGTTCAGTGTCTTACTACGACGTGGGAGAGTAGGAAAGCCGGACATTCCGGAATAATGGGATTGTTTTGACCCGACAACGAAGGGCGGAATGCAGAGGTAGTGGTCATGCGCAGGTTGCATTATTACATTCTTCTCATTTTCGTGATTCATGTAATATTTCCTTCTCGAGCTGCGAACAAATATAGAAATAGAAAACGAGATTCTTGACTGGGTCGGACATGGCCCGCCGTACACCGTATTGCTTTATGTCATTATAGGAGGTCGTACATGAAGGCGGATAGAAGGCCAAAAGAAAAAAAAGAGAGAAAAAAGAAAGAAAAAGACATGGTAAAGGCCGTGGAAATCGGTACAGGACATTGACAGGAATCATGGCAAGGAAATTGGCTAGTCGTGCAGCCAAGGGCAGAACAGGGTAAGGTGAAAAGGAGCGATTGACAGTGGCCTAAGCCGTAAGGTATATTAATGAAAGTGAAACTCGTCAGAGTCAGTGAAGTCATTTTTTAAGACATTTATTCATCGAATGTCATTGAGATGTGGTATCGAGCGTGTATTCGATAGAGATGCGTGGCTGCTGCCAGTCGGGAAGAGCGCGCCGTAGCGAGTTCGATAGAACGTATGACATGAAAGTGAAGCAGTAGTTGTCGTTATCGTCGAAGCAAACACCGGAATAATAAACGCCGCCGCCGTCTAGTAACTTTTGGGTTTTACATAGGGGTTGGTATGTTGGTTTTCTTTGTTCTCGCACAGTTGAGGAAGCGCAGGGACTCGAGCATTCGTCGCATGAGCGGCTTGGGCTCCTCAGCAACAGCTTCTTGGAAAGTGGCCTCCGAGTGCTGCTCAAAGCAAAGGGAAGTGAGTCTTTCTTTGTCAGACTTGGCAAACTCAGGCGTGTTGGATCGCTTGCGTCGAGTCTTGGCCTGGAACGCAGCGGCAGCAGACCAGTCAATATCTGAATCGTTACCACTGCTATTTTGCCGAGACCGGGCCTTGAGTAATGATGTGGTAGATGGAGCAACCAGACGAAGAGTCTGCAGAGGGTGAGGCCGCAAGCCATCCCGGCTGGTACTAGGCCGGCTAGTACTAGGTCGGTCGAGACTAGCACTTCGAAGAGCATCAGGCACGGGCTCTCCAATGGCATCATCTGGCAAGCATGGGAACTTCTCCGAGACCTGGTCATCGAGCATGGTCTGATGAAGTCTCGGTTGCGACTTGGCGGCACGTAGCTTGGCCTTGCTACGGACCTTCCGTAGAGTATCGATTGGCTTCCTCGACAAAGATTTATGGCTAATAGACTCGTTATCCGAGTCCGACTCCCAAACGGACTGCTCGCCGTGTGCATCCATGGTGGACATTGACGGCCTCTCCATCGATGTGCGAGTCATTTGACGTGAGATAGGTGGGGAGCTGCCCACAGGGCTCGGCATAGGACTCGGGTAGTCGTTCGCAGGAATGAATAACGCTTGATCAAAATGGGTCGCGTGTGGTTCCATTGTGACGGGGTTGATCAAACTAGGGGGCGAGATCATTGACGCATCCACATAAGGGCGTGTTCCCGGACTTGATTGCTTTCGGCGCGAGCTGTGACAGCTTGGACCGCGCGATAAGTTGGGCAAGGTGGGATGAGCCTGTCTCCTCCGACGGGAGGAGGACGACATACTTGATGTTTCGTATCGCATGGTGTTGAGTGTGGCGGGCTCAGCCGGGGTGGTAGGACGAGTGTGAGCGGGAGTAAGAGCCGCGATGGGCGGAGGTGGTGGAAGAGAATATTTAGGTGGATTCGACGCAGGAAGATGCGATGGACGCTGGGATTCAAGTTGCGCTTGCTGCGCGTGGTGGTAGAGCTTTTCCGTCGCTTTGAGCACTGCGTCTGGGCAGGAAGTGGATGATTGAGAGTAGGTAGAGGAGAAAGAGCTGCTAGGTGTCAGATCCGGTGTGGTGCTGACCGTCTGCACCGAGCTGAACGAATCCTGGCTGCTATGCAGCGTGTTTCGTTCGTCTCTGGACGAAGTATAGCGATGGAAGATCAAGCTATTCTCCAGTTCCAATTGAGCTAGTGTTGAACGGTCTGGCCCGGTGTACTTCGAAGATGTCTTCTGGTGGTCGACAGTATAGTATTGGCTGTTGTCTGCACCAAATCTTTCATCGCAAATGGCCGGGGTATAGCTATCGTCCGTGGGGGTAGCTGCCAAGGACTTTTCCAGGTAAAAGGGATCTGGGTTGGAGTCCTCCAGTCCCCTATAGCCGCCCTGAGGCAGGTAGGTAGATACGGGCTTCGCCGGGGAAGAGGATGGCAAGCAGATGGTCGTTTGCGATAGGTTCTGGTCCTGTTGTAAAACTTCCAACTCGCCCGAACAGTGGCAACCTCCTCGATCCATGGACTGTGGTTCCGATAGCGAATGGATAAGATAGAAAGGCGAAGATCCAGGCCAGTGGATCTTGAACACAGCACAGGATAAGATAACTGCGATAGTTGCCACTGGGAAGAAGGAATGAGGAATGGATCGAGCCACACGGGGGAGGGAAAGGGGGATCTGTTTATAGATTGGATCAAAATAACGCGGCCCCTCGTACAAGGGCTTAGTATTTCCCCCCCGGGGGTGGGAAAATAGATCGATGCATGCCAATGCAGGTAAACAAAAGGTTGAGCACAGACGATCATGACCTATCCGACCTTACATGACGTCCCTTTCCGCAGTACAGTAGGGATGAGGTTGCAGCAAGGACCAGCTCCTCGGGCTCCCAGCAAGGGCGCGGAAGAGGGTCCGGTGTTTACGGTAGGGCTGCGTGCTCGTTGTACTTTTGGTTTTCCACCCAGCCATCCAATGGGCCCCCCCTATTGCTGGGTATCAGTGTTCCGCTATTCCGCTACCCTGCTACATACCCTCTTGAGCTCCTGAGGCTTGTGTTCTCACCGGGCGCCGGGACCTGCGTGCCCCAGGAGCAGAGCCGGCTCGTCTTCCCCCTCGGAGAACCTGAAGGACCTTCTGCTCGACGGCTCGAACCCGGGCCATTGACAGATGCAAACTGCAGTAGAAACTTCCTCAGATCCCATGCAGAGCGCGGCCTCGCGAGAATGTGAGATATCAGCCTCTGGCAGCAAACTTGTCCCGCGGAGGCCATCCCGGATCAGCCACTAACGCTGCCCCACAAGATCGCCCTAATGCCTGTGGCCGTGGCAATGGTGTTTCGACAGCCACACTTTACAGGATCTGTGTCTGCCCTCACATTCCTGAGAGCTCCATTCCTGGCAACCGCGCAACGGCGTTTAGCCCGCACCTTAGCCTCAGCCGCCCGGTTCATAGTCGATGCCCTGTGAACATCCAGATACAACGTCTTGTACGCCTCTGAGCTAGGTGGCTGTTTGCCGTTGATCCCCTCTGGAGGACAGTTCTAGTGCTCCCTTATGTGTAGTAATTCTTCCTTTCCACCGTGGCTGGCTAGATGGTGGCCTTTTCCTATCGCGGGCATTTTTGGTTGTGACACCCACCTAGTTACTCGTGTCCCCACATTGCGCGGTTCGTTTCAGCTGCACTGGGATGCTCGATCGCACTCATCCCCGATCTTCATCTGTGAGGGCTCAACTCCTCTCCCGAAAGAGTCAGATCTCAGTACCTTTGCTCTGCTTTTGTGGTGTGTGCATTAAGGGTATTCTATCACGGCCTGCGTCGTGTCTGCCGAGACCTGGCCATCCCCGTTTAGGCGACTCGTACAGAGTGGACACTCGGTAAATCACATTTTGACGTTTCCCCGGAGAACTGATCCATGGACCGATATACGATTGGAGCTGGCCTGAACTTTGCTCGGTCGGACCAATCTGCGCTTGTAACCCATGGTGCGCTTTATCGTTCGCCATCTGACATAGATCATCCTGGTCGTTTATACTCCAAGTCGACGGACCAGATAAGGTCAACATCGTCATGCTTCCAAAATGGCTACTAGTGAGATGGTCACCTCACTCTTGGGTCTAATTATCGAAGACTCACCTCGTTGACTTGACGACCAAATCAATAATCACGCCGGGGACCGTATCCTATCTTCCTCTTTGTGAGCACTCTCCACATTCCAATGGAAAAGTCTGTCTTGCATTGCATCGCATTATACCGCGGGTACCTCCCGTCCCACTGCACTGCGATGTTTATATATATATGATTCGAGCCTGCCCCTGATCGGCGAGGTCGAGAGCCATCGAATCGCTCCGGTTCATGCAACCAGCCTGCCATGGACGGTACCTGGAGTTGAACTTTTGGCCCTGCAGCGACCTCGCTTCCCCCGTCTGTCACATTCTTCAGCACTGAGCGTTGTACTTTGCACACAGTATATTGCATGAAACTTTGATGTCCTTGCTCAATATATTCAAACCTCTTGAGCTCACCGGCGCCTGGGAAATTGAGAACTTCGGCGCTTGCACAGCATCGAGGCCGCGGACCCTAGACACCCTCCTAGGACCACTTCCAGACACCCTCGTCTTCTGAGGACCCCATCCAGGGTCTCCTTCGCCAGCAGATCTGCATAGACCTGAAGGATCGTCTGAAACAATTTTTCTACTGCTTCGCCTCGGGGAGCCGGGAACAGAGTCGTCTGAGAGAGACAGAATCAGCTCCGTGATTGGCCGACGATCTCGTTGGACCCGACGCAGCGGAAATAGGACACTGAAACCTCTATTGCGAACTCCTAGACTTCCGGCGGAAGGGAACCCAGATTAGCCTGCAGACTGCAAGGCATATGTGAAACCTATTAAATCCCTCGATGGGGGATCTTCTCGATTGCCGGGACTCAGTAGCCGGACCCGCGAATGCACCGGCTCTTCCTTCCCGTCGCGCCTATTGATGCCGTAAAATCCCCGATTCCTCTCCTTGAAGAGTCTCCTTCTACAGCCCTTGCATCTACCGTGATAGCAATAGACCTGGTTCCTGGCCCGCTGTTTCTAGACGCCTCAGAGGGGGTCTTCCGTGGATGTGTTCTCCTGAGTTCACGTTCTCCTGAGAGAACCCCTGACTATAACACCCGGGGGATGGACGAGGACTCGTCTAAAGTGGCGGGACAGGGGGACGTACTTTGCACTTGAGGAAAGACAGCCCTGGATCGCCTGGTTACCCTATCACCTTGGAGCCATTAGAGCCCCAATCTGGACCCCTAGAACTCACCATGTGGGGTGCGGAGAAGCTCTACTAGTAGCGGCTTCGGACTCCCGGAGCTGCCCAGCGCCTACTAATGATGCACCAATAAATGCCGAGCTTGCATTTGAAGATGCCATCTCGCCAGACTAATCCATCACGATTCCAGTGTTTACCGAGTACACGCTCATGCTGTGGAGAAGTTCGTTCCAAGAAATGGCAATCGGGTGAACCATGGGCTCCACGATGGATCCGCTGGACCCGAGTATGTCCCTGTCTTAACTTCGTCACGGTGAAAACCTCTTCTAGGAAGGAGTCCAGCATCATAATCATCCTCAGACGGAAAGAAAAAAAAAGCAGTGAAAAAGTGGGGAGTTGCAATCTACACTAGTCGAGCATAAAGTGCACTATCGATGCCCGACAGCCCGCGCTGCCAACGCATCACTTTTCTGACGTACTAGTAAAAGCGAAGTCCGCCGACCCTTTTGAAGCCCAACCGTGGCTCTACGGATCCAGTGAGGATCGTCCCTTTCCGAGCCTCGCTTGCGTTGGTAGGGTCCAGCTTTCGAGATCGTGGGGGTTTTTCTCCAGCCTTTTGACCTCGTAGTTATTCATGATCTGAATAGGAATCACTGTCTTCAATTCTCGCCTGTGCGACAAGCTAGATCCCTGGTTTCCAGGCAGTTGGAGATCATCTGTGGGAAAGGCAGGAGACATTCCAAGTGCCGTCATTGGTTCTCTGGGGCTTCCATTCCACGGGACCTCCCATCCCCGTTCGCTCCAGACTGCAGTCAATTCACTTCTTTGTCGCATCGTGAATGGTGTCCAATTGAGCAACCGACTGGTGTGGGAGATTCATGAGCCTCCCGGGTCACTCTTGGTGTGCAGCAGCCGCTGCGGCGACCCCAGCCATCCCAATTAACCAGCCACCACATTCACAACCGCTTCTCTAATTTTTTCAATTCTCCCTACCCTGGTCGTTTAATCATTTGCATTTTGTTCCTAATTTCCCCTTCGCTTCGTTTTGGATCTCCAGAACACCCATTGCTTCCCGCGATCGTGATCCACCGGAGGTCGACCCAGCTTCCCCAGTGACGCAACAGCTTCAAGATCGCGGTGTCGTCCAACCATCGGTCCTACCAACGATCTTCAGACGTGTCTCGCCACACTCGATCACCTCATAACGAAGTCTACGACCCTTACGACCCAATTCCCTTTACGACCTCTGCCCGGCAGCGCCAGCAGCCCACCGTCCATCCTGTCCGTCCCTCTTCCCTCCCAATCAGCGGACCACCGTCCTTCGTCCGCCTCCAGCTCCCACCGAACATTACGTCGAGTCCGCCGTCAGCACGAAGGTCAATTGCCTCATCGCCGGGCCTTCTCCCAGGATATCCCCGGTCCACGGCCGCCGCAATCCCAGGCGGCGCATTCACGACGTGCCACCCCGCAAGTAGACCATTCACTCCCCAACGTTCCCCCGGCTGCATCTGAGCCCCAAACCGACGAGAACGGATCGACCGTCGACGACCCTTACCAACTCCTCCATACCTCTTACTGGCCGGAAAGAACCACCAGAGTTTCATCGCGCACCGCGTCGGCAATCCTCTTTGCGCTCGAGGACGCCATCCGCCGTCCGATTCCTTTCACCGTCGACTGGGACGAAGTGAATTCGCCTATGTCAGAGATGGTAGGCGTTGCTGGTCCCGCTGGGCCTGTAGGCAATGGTCGCGTTCAAAATGGCCCTCGTCCGCCCCCAGTCCCTGCATCAGCTGGCGCACGCGCACCAAGCGGTGTGCGCACACCGACCGAGATCATGAGATCGCGACGGGATCGCGAAGCTCGACAGAAGGCTGAGCAAGAGGCACGCGAGCGGGAGCAGGAGGAATTAGAGAGACAACAGGCCGAGCAAGAGCAGCTAGCAATAGCCCAAGCTCAGTCTCAGCAATACGCTGCTGGTGCTGCCGGCGATCCAGCTACCCAGCGCCGAGCCCGGGCTCAGCGAGTAGCCAGGGGTTCAGAAACTCAATTAGAGCCACTGAACACTGCTCCCGCATCGGGAGGCCTCCGTCCCTCCCCGGCGGCCCAGCCTTACCAGGGGCCTTCTGACGCCTCGACCCAACCGATTCCAAATCCATCAACAGGGCAGCACCCAATGGGTTCTTCCGCTCATTTGACACAGGGCCAGGCACCGACTGCATCCGGGACGGCGGGCCCTTCAGCTGCTGCGGGTATCTCTAAAGCCCAAGCACCTCAGACCACTCAACCAGACACCTCGCTCCAGCAGCCTCGGCGCGCAACATTCCCCCATGCTTTCGAGCGATGGGAAACCCTGTCATCGCACTGGGAGGGCCTTACGAGCTATTGGATCCGCAAGCTGGAACAGAACAATGACGATCTTGAGAAAGACCCGCTCAGTCAGCAGCTTGCTCGACAAATCACCGATCTTTCTGCAGCCGGCGCAAATCTCTTCCACGCGGTGGTGGAGTTGCAACGCTTGCGGGCTTCTTCCGAGCGGAAGTTCCAGCGTTGGTTTTTTGATACGCGCGCTGAACAAGAACGCGCCAAGGAGTTGCAAGCCGACCTCGAGCGTCAGCTCCAAACCGAACGCCAGGGCCGCGCCGATGCTTTCGCGGCAGCTCAGGCAGCCGAGAAGGATAAACTTCGCACAGAGGAGCTGCTCCGCGAAATGCGCAGAGAGCTCCAGATTTCTAAGGATGAAGCTCGCCGTGCATGGGAAGAGCTGGGACGACGCGAGCAAGAGGAGCGGGATCGGACCAACTCCCTTCGCAACGGCGAGCCAACTCTGGTCGGGGGCGTCCAGGTTGTCCCCATGATCCAGGGCCTCCCCAGTCGCAACACTCGACCACCAACTCGCGAGGGGCCATACCCAGGGGGTCCCACCGCCACTAGTATGGGTGCTGAGTACCATGGTAAAGGTCCTGATCCGAATGCCCGCACCTACTACGATGAAGGCCCCGCAATGTCCCCAACTGGCTCCGATCCTTTCATCGAGGAGCGCCAGAATTCGTCTCGATCCGATATCCCTACCAGCAAACCGCCTTACAGTTCTGCACCTCATGAGCCCAGCACTACGGCAGCCTCTTATCCTACCCACACCGCGGAGCAAGACGATCTGCATTCTTACGTCGGAAGCAGCGAAGCCGGCGAGGATGAGTACCCTGGCTTCCACCCCGATCCCCAGGGCCAAGGCTATGGCTATGCTGCTCCTCCTCGCTCTGAGGCCAGCGATGACTATGAACACTCACCTGTCCATGATCACCACTACACCTCGGAAGCCCCGTTCACTGGTACTTCTACTGCGCCCGTCCATGCCCCATACCCTCCCACAACGGCTGACTACAGCGGTTCCGACTGGGGCCCTGAAACTGGTTGGGAGTCCATGACCCCCCCGTCACAGACACCCCACCCGACTGAGCGATGTACTCGAAGAAGACGAGCCGAGTCGTACCAGTCCCAGCCGGGCCAGCCAGGCGAGCCGAAGCATCCTTTAGGACATGCAAGTGATGGAAGGGCCAGGAGAGCAGACTCAGTCCACATTCTAATTTTGTCGCGGCTCTCGATTTCAGGAACGGATGATGCGGACACAGATTAATGGGGCTGCATGGTTACCGGCATTTGTTGCGAGCGTGTCTTTTTTCTCTTCCAAAATGTTTTATCTCCGCATGTTTCTCAAAGGCCATACGGCAGAGGGAGCCTGTTTCATTATTCTTTGCTTTTCCGTTTCCTTTCCGGTCTTATTTCATTCCCCTACCAAATATCTCACATGCGTATCCTATGGCGTTGATTCCCCTCTAATTTCCTTGACTTTTCCTTTTCTTACCACTCATATCTCTTCTCAATTTCATGACGGTGACGATGCATGTTTTCAAATTGGTTATTTCCCACAAAATCAGTAAACAAAAGAGGCTATTGGCCTTTCAGACCAGTTACTATGAGCTTTTCAAACTCAACTGGTGGATCTTGAGCTTAAGATTTTGTATTCAGAGAGTGCATTCGACTGGGCGGGTCAAACCCACATCTCTCTGGCCCCTAGAACAGTCTAGTATAGCTCTTCCTGACTACTGGTTTCTGGAAACAAAGAAAGCCTACACACCAGTGGGAAATGTCACGGTGAAAAAATATATCACTACTCTAGATATCTTTCAGCATTGCTGGGCACCGAGATCCCGACAAGAAAACCACTGATCCAGATATAGTACAACAAGAAATAGCCACGCACGCCCAACCAGTTGCTTTGGCCAGCTATAAGCGTGTCCTTCTGCAAACAATGATTACGACGTAGAAATCAGCTTAGATACCGAGAAGGGCTTTTGGAGGCATACAGTCGTCGATTAAATTATATTGGGCTGCCATCTATGATAAGGTACAAGTTTGAGGTTAAGGAATGTAGACGTGTCAGTTCTTGGAACGGGGTGCCTAGGCCATACAAAATGAACACGTGAAGGTTGGATAGTTGTAGGAGAGAAAACAGAGAACCAGCAAAGATTTTTTGCTAGTATCTGGAGGAAAAACCACCAAAATTGATCCTGGTGAATTTTATAGCAGACGGGTATCATACCTTGGAACCTGGTGTTAAGGCCATATAAGATCAAGACGTGAAGGTCGGATAGTTGTAGGAGAGAAAACAGAGAACCAGCAAAGTTTTTTTTGCTAGTATCTGGAGGAAGAATCATCAAAATTGATCCTGGTGAATTTTATAGCAGGCGGGTGTCCTTTCTTGGAACCTGGTGGAAGATCCTTTCGGAGGTCTTCGACACAGCGCAGCTCTTTGCGGTGACTACCTGCGTCCTGCAATATGATAAGATCGGGTGCCGGCCTCTGGCTGTCTGGTAGATTTGACATTGCAATTCGCTATGTTGTTGTTACTGCCATCCTGTCTGGTCTCTCTTCTATTGATCTGCTGTATATCCGCCGTCTGCCCTCAGGCTTGTAAACGGTTGTAGGCGAACAGTATATAACCGCATTAATGCCTCAGAACTGCTTCTAGCCTGACCCTGTTCACTGTTCTTTGTTCGGTTCTTTTGCGTGAACAGGTCAAGTCAGCCAAGGAAGCTCCAGCTTGACGCCGGTGAGGAGATGGGGGTATATTTCCAGAAACCCATTGAAGGAATAAGGCTTTGGCTACGACGCCCTGGCATATTTCTGACCGTATCATCGGTCCAGTTCTAGTAGAGCTAGCACGGTCGATAAGGGCCTTCGAATCATATACCATAGCCAAGGTGCCCACGTCAACGCCCCCGATGAATCGGTTCATACCTAGCATTGCATAATTTGGCCGCTTTAGATACGTACACCGTGTTGGTCCTCCTGGCTTTCTTGTCCGAAAATATAGTAGCTACCCCCAAAAGAGCCTTTGTCCAAGATTCTGGTATGACTGTAATATACTAGTAGCATGATCGTCATACTGCTAGTGCTGTCGGGACTTCCAAAGCCCAAAGCGTGTCCGGGCATGCATGCTACTGCACAGCTACCCCCACACGAGGAAGGCATGGATAAGCCTGCTATGTGCTTGCCAGGTTTCTCGGAAGGTGAGATCTGTCTGGCATCATAAGACACACGGTGATTTCGACTGTCGACACTTTCACTAGTACAGGCCGGCTTGCGATTATTAGAGTAGATTATCATATGGTACCTTTATATTCAGCTGTAAAACTCATATGCGGCTCTCTTTGTTTTTCTCATCCGCTTCATGATAGCCTCGACTTGCAGACCGCAGTTCTCTCTCCAGAGTCTCCGTCAATGCACTGAGCAGCCACTCGGCCTCCGTTTTATCGCCGAGTAGAGGGTTTTTTCTATCGATCCAGCTCCACTCAAATGGTTCATCCGCAGCACGCGAGGGGGCTAGGGGATGCTTCCCGGAAATAAGAGAAGGTAATACTCCCACTCGAGGTAATCGAACTCTTTGGTTGAGCTGCTCTTTGCCAGGAGAATCATTTTCCGTATCTCACGAAACAGGATGTAATGGTAATGATGAAGGTTCTGTGCAGCAATGTCTCCATGCTGCCGAGCCACTTCCTCTTTTTGGAGCTCTTTGGCTTCCAAGTAACCGGCACGAGGTAGATCAGGATTGGAATCATTCAGAATATCGCGTGCGTTATTTGTCTCGCCTGTAGCTTCCTGAAGCCATTTCTCGCGGCGAAACATGTCTTTGACGCGAGATAGAAAAGCCTCCTCGCCCGGTAAAATGGTCAATGCACCAAGATAGAGGGTAAGATCCCGAATGAATCGAATGAGAGTATCGCCAATGTTCGAAATGAGAATCGTGATCGTGGGTACTGCCAGCAATGACCAAAACACAAAAAATGCTTTCCCAAGGCTGCTTTCGGGGTAAACATCGCCGTAGCCGATAGTGAGAAGGGAGGTATAGGCAAAATACAAGGCCTCAAAATAAGTCCAAGGCTGGTGCGTCTCCGACCGCCAAAAGACCACGGCTCCAATCAGCCACAAAGCCATCCAAACTATCAGAGACACGCACAAAGACACCCACTTGTGCTGCACGCTGGCTATCTGGCGAACTCGGCGCATCGTGATGAACTCTCGTTTTTGTTTTTCGCGCTCAGTCATATCCTCTTCATTTCCATCAGTACGGAGGTCTGGAACGATTGCGCGAAAGCGATTGCGATCTGACAGGGCCTCCTTGACGAGAAGTTTGCGAGTCATATCCGCAATGGCACTTCCGATCTTTTGCCGCCCGTGCTCGAGCATCAGAGTCCGGATAGACGAAATGATAAGACCCAAGATCACAATACCACCAACGGCGTATGGGAAGAGCAACCCACGACCCAGATGGGTGGCTGGGGAAATATTCCCAACGCCGATAGTCAGCAATGTATAATCCGCATAATATACTGCATCTAGGAATCGCCATCCCTCGACTTTGGCATAGACCGCCGCACCACCAAGAAGATAGATGCAGAAGATAATAGTCTGTAGCATGAGCGTCCGTTGGCTGTTCGTCAAACTAAAACGACGGCTGTAGTGGCCCTTGTAGGCACCGTACGCCGTAACCGTGAGCAAGGACGCAAGAATGAAATACAAGCCAGCAGCAAAAGTTCCGTAGAAATACGCCTGGGTATAGATATGACCAGCATTCTCAGGCCTGTACATCAGGACTCCGAAGGGGATGAGAATTCCGACCAGCAGAGCCGACGAGATGTACCACCCAAGTATGATGATAGGCTGCGCCACAGAGAATCGGATACGTCTAGCCATGTTGAGTGAGAGAGCCACATTTGCAACGACAGCAAATACCAAGGAAATCGCATTGACTCCTATCACCCTGAACGAGCGTCAACGGTAAGTTTGATTGGGTAGAACCAGGGGTTGACATACCATTTCGGATCAGGAATATTGAGGTAGCCACCACTGCTATCTGGCTTCATACGCCATGTTTGCGCAAGACAGCAGACATTGAATGCGCTGGCCATAGGTCCAAACGTACCAGCAGTCAGCGGGTACGCCGTGCTAGCCAGCCACCATCGAGCCTTGAGCGACTCTTGCGAATCTAGGGAACGAGGTGCGTTGTCTTTCCCCGATGTGGCACTGCTCTTCTCCCGGGAGATTTGTTGCATATCCAACGCATTTGCCTCATCGGCAATGGCATCGTCTAGACCGGGATCATTCATGGTGGACCCATGCAAAAGTATCCAGCCGTTAGAGAGGCCTGGCGATGCCGGGAACGGTGTAAAGGGGTGCCAGGGGGCTCCATTGTTAAATGCAAGCTGTCAGAACGGAGTGGGGAAGCTGGACCCTGAGGGGAAATTAGTGGCGCAGAACAAAACAAGCTTTTGGCAGGCGTGTCCGTCATGATCGACTGTTGAAATCGACGAATTCGCGATCGGAGAAAATGGCAGGTGGAGACCAACGTCATGTCACGTGCGATTTATAGAACCATGGGAAGCTCCACGCAGGAACGTGTAGATCTTCATCTACAGCAATCCGGTTGGTAGTCAAGAAGCTACTGCACATGTGGATGGGTAGCATAGATCTCGAGCTATCTATCAAAGAGGACTGGATATCAAAGGAAATATGGGAAGGGCTGCTCGCTGGGCTTTTTAGATCGTGTAAACAAAAGCCTTTACATCAGTCGCTGTACACATTACCGATTCACTGCTGTACATTTAGGCCAAGAGACCCGTTCATGTGGGTCATATCAACAACTCTTGGCGCCTAGCAAGAAGCGACAAAGGTACGGTCAAGGAGAAAAATAAGAAAGCAGAAAACCGGCCTTGGATAATCATAAAAGCCATCCCAGAACTCCAATCTCGGAATGACCTGCACTGCCATGAAGTTGGAAAAGAAAATCACAAATCATCCTAGATTGATCGCGGATCAAAAGGGGTATCGTCGAATATGTTGATCGGACTGGCGAAATCAGAATGGGAGCAATGGGGTTCGCTCATGGGAAATTCATCAAACTGCAAGATGTCAGCAGACTAGGAAAGACGTGACTCGGCTATTCCAACTAACAGTGAGCTCCTCCCGGTGTAAGGGCTGAGGGAACGCCCTGTCCGGCCTGAGACGGGCGGTGCACGAAGCGAGGATCCACATCTTCGACGTAGCTCCCATGGTCACTGCCTTCTTGGACCGGTGCTGGGCTCGGGCGAGGCGACAAAGTGCGGTGGTGGTCATTCGTATTACCCCAAGCGGCGCGAGCAGGAACATAGGATCTTAAATCATAGAGTTAGTGGGACCATTTAGAGGGCAATGCTCTGGTATACTTACTCGGTGCGACTGTATAAGCTCGTTGGGCTTTCAAGAGACATGTCCGGGCCTTCTATGGATAGCGTGTGTGGTTGAGCCTCATTGCTCATCGTTATATTTGAGCGATGAGCGTCATATGCCCGCGGTTGGGGCGTCATCTCAATTGCTTGGCCGACAGTCTCTGGAGATACAGCCATTCCAATTGGGCCTGGAGATGGTTCTCGCATCGGGCTTGCCGGTTCGCGAGAATCATATGGATCGTCCGTATACTGAGGTCGGCTGTATGCATCGTAGCCACGGTTTTGGTAACCGGTATGGTGATTATAACCAGCATAACTACCGTAGTTACCGTAGTTACCGCGGTGCGCGCCACGACCGGGCATCATTCCTCCACGTCCGCCTCTTGGAGGGGCGCCCATGTAGCCTCCGCGCCCGCCAGGTGGGCCTCGTGGAGCGCCGCTATAGGGCCCACCGCGATGGAATCCGGCCCGTGGAGGATACGTGCCACGGCCGCGCGGCGCATACCCAGCAGGAGCGCCGCGTCCGTCACTCTCCATACTACCGTTGGAGTACTGTTGGCGCAGACGAGGGTCGGAGGTGTTGCGCATTACTTGTCCATTGCCATAAGGACCGAAACCGGCTTCTTCTTGAGGATGGTATGGTGTTGGGTGGCGACTAGGGAACTGGCCTTCGCTCGCTGACGGGTCGTTAAGAGGTACCTGCGTGTTGAGAGGAGTTCTGTCGTCATCGCTGTCTCGGGTGTTTGTACGGAAAGAAGCAACTGTTGGTCCTGAATCCGTTGCAGCATGCGCCGAAGCGATGGTGGGTGGCTTGGCGTCAATCAGCACTGGCGCTGGCTCGGGGGCGAGTGCAGCAGCAGCATTCTGTCGATTATAATAGTTTTCACCGCTCATCTCCGCGTTCTCAGCGATCCGGCGCTTTCGTGCCTTTCGACTTACAAGGGTGCGGCGCATTGCACAAGTCACAACCCCGCCGCACACGAGCAGGATAGTCGCTGCCAACACAATCCAGCCGCCCCATTGGAGATGCGGGACAAATAGCAATATATCAACGAGGAAAGCTAGGAGGGAGACCAGAAGTGTCGGCAGAAAAAGGATGAGGAGGGCGAGCAAGAAGCGTGGGGAATGCGACGGTCCGTGGAAGTGGGAGGCAACCGCGAGGATTAGACAGACTAACGTCAGGAAAGCGGCGACCGGGTGCACAATCAGGATAGATGACAGTGATTTCCGGGTACTGGAGGGAAGGTTGAAGTCATCGCTCTCGCCCTGGATACTATCTGGGGGTCTGTTAGGGCTAGGCAGAAGCCAAAGCGTGCGCAATTGCGACTCACCGACGCTATATCCAACATGAACGTTGGTGCATTTACTGCCTTGACAATATCCGAACACGCCATAGTCGACATTTTCGTAGGTCGCCAGAGGTATTCCCTTCACGATGGGGGTGGAGAGGCACGAGAGGAGGAGTAGCACAAAGGCGACCACTAGAAGGATGGTGAGGGGCGTCGCAGGCTTGAGCAACATGATGAGGAGAGAGGATGACTGGAGACACTCCTGGGAGCCTTTCCTGCTCTCTCTCCCAGGTGATAACGAACGAGGTCTAGGGCCGAGGCGCGTCACTTAGGATGAAAGCGAAATGGTCCGAGTTACGCCAGCGTATACAGGGACATCGCAGAGGTCTCCTGAGTCCACGGGTGGCGGGGAGTTGATGAATAAAGGTGGGGGGAGGAATCCGATGTCACCCTTGACAAACAAGCAAAGGCCAAAGCCGAAAGAAGGAAAGAGTCAACCGGTCAAAGAAAGGAAAGACTGAGGGTGAATTGACACGAACGAGGCGATGCGGTACAAGGAAACCGAGTGATTCGCTGTTGCCTTGAAATCCAGGCTGCTAAACCCACCTGGCGGTCCTGCAAATGCCCGTAAGCACTTGCTTTAGTTATGTGACTAGTTTAGCGGCAACCGACTAAATACTCCGTCTCTCCAAATCATTGAACGGTCTTTTCCGCTGATTGCTGTGCATTTCGTGTCATATGTCTCTCATGATGACCCGTTTACAGTCTACTCTACTTACAATCGCCCGCACAGCCAAGTCCAGCCCAATGAATCTTCAGCGCAATGAAATGCTTTTCCATGGACGTCGCATCGCCAAGCCTTCCTAGCGACCAATGGCCTGTTGAATCCCCTCGAGCCGGGTGGGGTTTAACTATGGCCGAGCGCCGCGCCTCGCCTCGAAGGTGCGGGGGTAGTTGTTCCGGTCGCAAAGAGACTGGCCCAAAAGCTTATCTTTGTTGGTAAGATTATGATCTTGAGGTCCGAATTGGCAAATGAACGGCCATATCAACACAATGATGAACCTACCCTTGTTGAAAGAGGATCTGCGCCAATGAAACTAGGATCTCACGGCGCATTAGGGATGCAATTATACAGATCATGGCCCTTGCCCGGTGGTCCGAAGTACACATGACAGATCAAATTGCTGTACAGAGATTGGGCCCCAAGACCTCCAGGGTGGGGAAGACGGGCCAAAGACAGGCCTGGCCCATGGCCTGTCGCCGCCCTGGGCCACATTTTAAGATGAGACAACCGCACTGCGTCGGCAAGGGCTAGTCTCATTTTGAGATAGGCTGGAGCCGAGGGTTTCAAGCAACTCGCGCCCAGTCGGTTATTTCAGACAGCATTCCGATCTGCATGAGGCCGAGTCGGTCGGGTTCTTTAACGGGCCCCCTGGGCAGGCTAATTAAGCTTATGCGCTCTGACACAGGATCAGGAATGTCAGGAAGAAAAGTCTATTGCATGCTACACGACATCTAAAGGTCTATTACGTTCAGTTTATCCTATGAATAGGAGTAGTCACATAGCATATAGTCTGGATTATCTTTCACGCATAGTGAGGCCGAAAATCGTAACTCATGCAATATGGTGCGGTTCAATATTGTTGCCCCAAGATCCTAAGCAAATATTCGGAAGTAATCCAGACTTATCTGAGCTGTCAGGCCAGGTGTTCCATTATGTTGATCCATGGCGCTACGAATGCAACAAACTATTCTAGGGTTATAGTACAAAGGCCACCATTCCGTTCGGGAATGTATGAAGTATCTGCCTTCCAAGGGAACGAGGGTTTGTTCATAGACTTTCACCATAGCAGCATGATCTGCTACAGCCACTTTCAGGAAAACATATCCGATGGTCGTCGTTCAAAATTGTTCTGGTGGATTTGATCAAGTGACTGGCCGAGGATGCTAGACATGTACTGAGCGCAATTCACCGATTCTTCTATAGCTATCACCTGGCGGGTATCGATGACTTAAGCTTGGAAATAGATCAAGTTCTATACGATGTCGCATAGGTAAGCCGCTGAACTACAGGCATTCAATCTTGTGCCCTTGGAGATAAGTCTTCTTGCTGTACGATCGGATCCTCGATGAGTTCTCCACCCAGCAATACAGATCGCGAGACCCGCCCCCCACACAGGTTGAACGATGCCCGACCTCACGCAATAGATAGCCTATTCAAATCCGCCTTTTCTTTTACCCTATGACTCTAAATGCACCACATTCCCAATACGATGGCGACGATTGATCAACCAATTAAGATTGACGCAGTCAAGTTTGAGCGCGGATTACTCATCGATCCCTCGGCGTGATGAATAAACAAGTAAACCAGCCCCGAATGCAAAAGTGCCTGAAACCATCTTCATTCTCCATGATTCTTGAGAATTGGGATTGGGCGAACTAATGACTTCAATTATGGCTACAGTCCAAATTGCTTCAGATGACCAGAAACCTAAACGGGGCCGCCCAAGAGGTGGCAAAGCGGACATCGCAGAGGTTAGTATACAGTAGTCCATGCTACACCAAGCGAAGGTCTGACCAGGAACAGAAACGCCGCCAACAACTGCGCTTAGCACAGAGAGCCTATCGCGACCGGAAAGAAAATACAATTAATGAGCTCCAAAAGCGCGTAGAGGACCTCACAGGCCAAATCGAACAGATCAACCAGTCTTTCATCGACTTCAGTGACCTCTTATTGGAATCGAATGTGCTGGCAGAACATCCCAGCTTGATATCATCCCTGGGATGCCTGACTCGAAAATGCATTTCATTGGCGCAGAATATGTACGATGGCGAGGGCGACGCTCCAATTAATTATTCCAAAAGCCTCGAGTCGCCGAGTGCGAACATACTTCAACGCGGTGTCGACTCAGATGAGACTCCGACAAGGGATATGACTGCCTCAGACCTACACGACTACACCAAATATTCGTCTCCAACATCATCCAAGTGGCTGAAGCCATCAACGAGCAGCTCACCGCAAGGACTTCACCAAGATAATCCAAGCGCCATTTCAGAAGCACCTCTGGCAACGATCGAAGTGTCGCCTCCAAGTGTCGGCCTTCAACCACCACTATTCGTACCATATTCACCTCCAGTAGAGGCCGGACGCGTCGATTTTATAAAAACCCTCGTGCAGCGCTGCTGCCGCGGCGCATATTCTTTACTGGTCAACCCGGAGGTCAACATTCCGAAAGTGGAAATGGTATTTGGCTCGATACCTCTATCCCCAGCCCGAAATGCTATCATTTCGTCCCTCTATTATGTCGCAAGTGTGGGAGAAGAAAACGACATTGCACTCAGGGCTAATGTCCTTGCTAAGCTGCGGGAACAGCTAACCCGAGAGCCAATGGAGAATTCTGAGGCTTCGGCCAGAGCGTGGGATATCGCTTTCGGGTCTGTTTCGGGAACGGAATGGCTGGATGCAAATCAGGTATTGAAGCTCCTGGTTGCGAAGGGCATTCAGGCTCGGGGAAATGACTTGTTCATTCCCATTCAGCATGCAGGCATTGGAGTAGCTCCTGAATCTGCATTTCTTTTTGATATGGCCACGTTCATTAAAGGTGAGTGTTCTCCCTGAGACACAAGTGTTTGACTCCTGACATGTTATAGCTATATCTGTTCGGGCAATTTGCATGTGCCCAGGCCCGGCTTTTAGGCGGCGAGACATCGAGAACGTGCTAGACTTCTTGGTTGCACATTATGGGACGATTAACAGACAGCATCTATAGTGGCCTGCTATTCACCGGAAGGGTATTACTTCCTAGTAATTCTGCAACACCGAAAATAATTCACGAACCAGCTTGATCAACTTAATGATTCCTCCAAATCCTAAGATTCCATTCAACGCCGTAGGTCTTTGAACGCTTGTGGGGCGGAGCACACCGTGGTTTTGCTTCCCCTCCTTAGTCCGGCGATAGCCAGGGCTGCTGCAGTCTTCTCTCCCAGCTTTGGTCGTTTCCCAGGACCCCGATTGCCCAGCCAACAGCCCTGTAGCATTCTCAAGCACCCCTGCTGTCAGCTTAGTCTTCACAGGTTCGTGAGTTAGTTTGGCCTCCGTCTCCCCATCCTTCACAAACTTTCCCTGCTCTCGCTTATTTACTTTTTCGGAGCACGGGAACATAGACGTCCTGACGCTGTAAATAGCAAGGGACCCTGCTCGGCGATCTTATATGCTCAATAAGGATGGCTGTCTGATGCCGACCGCGTCTCTTATCGAATCCTTGATCTATCTCTCAGGGCATCTCTCTCTTCTATTCTGGACATCATTCCTCTCCACACCATCCTACAGAGGTACAGAGAAGGAGAAGTCAGTCTCGATTACAACCCTCACTGTGTCTAGAGACACAGCGAGTATGAACGACAATCAAGAGACAATCGAATGATGCAGAGGTGAGGGGGATGCCAGTTTCTGCTGTCCAAGGTGAAGACACGGCCGGGGAGCCAGCAAAAACACCAGCTCGTACATCGACGACGAAAGGGACTCGCAAGGCCGCAAGGAAGAGAAAGTATACCATGGCCGAACTGAGTGCAATAGTGAACAAAGGGAGGGACATTGTACGGGAATCCCATGTCTGGGATGATAAATCCGACCGCCGTCAAAATAGCATACAAACGAATGCCGAGTACTGGGGATGAGGCATTGCCTTAGAACCTACGAGACATGCCAGAGTCCGCCAGACAGACCTACGACCTCGAAGAAAGAGAGCTTATCAAAGTCATCCAGTGCGAGTTAAAATACGGTAACAATTCCAGGTGTCTTCCTTTGTGGCTGAATGGGTAGGCGACTGCTCTATGCATGATCCATTGGGTTGATATTAACTAACATGAGGTTCATTTGAGATACGTAGTCACGACCCAAAGCACTTCAGACGAGTGTTCTGGGACTTATGATCCATCAATATGATAATACCCCGAAGACGAGACCTGGAGTTCCAGAAGGCGAATAGTTAGTATTGAAGGCCCTCAATGTTGTTCCCACGGCGCGCTATGGAATCGGTCTGCGTCATCCGTTGCATCTGATTCCGCGTATGGACGGGAATCCTGAAAGTGACAGCCTCGCTCATATGGACATCTTTTTACACAAATAAAGGCCAATCCTACACCGGATGAGCGTACACTTGGCAGGTTGCAGATCTCACAATAGTTGTCAAAACCTTCCACAAGTTAGCTTTCTACTCCGCTATTCATTTGCCTCGCAATTATATCTTTCTTGGCTTTTCATGTTATCGCTAGAAGCTTAGGATTATCACACTACAGCTTTCCTACGGGATTTTTAGTACATGTATGCAGAACAATTATCTTATCTGGTAGCCGGCCGTTTAATTGTTGACAAATGAGCCGAATTTTGTTCTCTCGAGTCATTTCACTGGCGTCAATTGATGCCCTCTTGATTGGTTATTCTTATGAAACAGCTTAACTATATTCCCTTCCAGCGCCTTTCTATTGATCGCTAGACGCCCGAGACTTCCCTCTTCCCAAGTGCCCGCTTCTATCTCCTTCCATATTCTGACTACTCTTTCTCGGGATTTTGTAGATATTTGCGCGTCGTCTCAACAATATACTCCGAAAACTGGTCGGGCCCAGAAACGTACGGGAGATGCATACCCCGCAGCAGCTTCACATTAGCGCCGATCTTCACAGCCGTCATGATATTATCGAAGAAAGCCCCCGTAGGCGTCGACGTCCCAATTGTCCAGTCAATAGGCCGTTGCTTCAAACCCTCCAAATTCCCGACTGGAGTCGAAGGCTCCACAGTCCCGGTGTAGCCGCGCGCCCAGCGAATGCAATTCTTGCGGATCCTTGCATGCGCCTCGTCCCCAAGAGCATCCCACGCGATCGGGTTGGCGGACAGCACCCGCATCCACATCAGGAGCTCGTTGGTCAATTGCTCGTCTTCTGCCTTGAGCACCCGGTCGAGGACACTAAAGGTCCGCGTCGGGGCCTCATGGGCATGGCGTTTAGAACGCGCTCCGGGTAGTCGACGACCAGGGCCAGGATGGTCGACGCGCCTGCGCTGCTGCCGAAGAATGATGCCCGCTCGATCTTCAGCGCATCGAGAAGCGTGATGACGTATTTGGCCAGCGCTTGGGCGGTGACTTGCATGTAGGACTCTGGTGGGGCGTTGGCGCTCCGCGACATGCCTGGCATGTCGAAGGTTGTCACGCGAAACTCCTTTGTCGCGGCTATGAGTGTGAGCGCTTTGTCGTACACTTGACACTCGCCTAGTGCGTCAGGAACGAGGACAATGTCGTGGCCGGAACCCTCTTGCTCATAGTACCAGTTGATCCCGTCAGGGGTGGTGACATTACTCCGGGTGCGCATCTTTCATGTGGATGTGGCTGGTTTGGTGATAGAATTCGGGAGGGCCTATTTGTCTGTAGTCTTGATTTAGGGGACCTTCGGGATCGCCCTTGTATGCATTTTAGTCCAATAGGGGTGGGGGGGGCGGCGCAATACATCCTAGGCGAATATCAGGCACCCATGCAGGCGAAGCTATTCCCTAATTGGCTGCACCAATTGGATGAAGTACGCGTTACAGGGTTCTAACCCCGGCTGCCAGGTGACCCTAACATATCAAAAGGCCATTTCTGATTTCACTTACTACGTTTTTGCGCAGTATAGTGTGAATACAACTGATTTCCAATTATAGGAATCATTGGGTTGTTGGGATAGTAGACATTGCATTTGGGACAAAGGACAATCACCGAGGCTAAGGAAGAAGAACAAAGAAAGGCAGATGTTATTAGTTCTAGCTAGGTATACGAGAGCGAGGCATATATTAAACCTAACGGGCGTGCCACAGTTAGTGGGAAATGGCCAACGGGACACTCACGGAGTATGGGCTGAGATAGCCTGTCGAGTTTGGTTTGATTAGCCTCAGACCCAGTTGACACTGATACCTAGTGGCGATATTCCGGTAATCACTGTCTGCCTGGGGATTGATGTTCTGAAAGCGACAAGTTAGAAATTTGCTCTGTGAGTCGATCAAGAGAGGATGATCTTCTAGATTGCTTTAAAGTCTGTAATTCATCAAGTGTGGATTGTAGGATCCTACGAGACACACTGCTTATGTTCGGATGCGTACGCACAATGGCACCCATATGCTGAAGCATTGAGCGAGCCATGTCATTTGGAGTGGGTTCCGTGCGAGCTCTGACTACATCAATCAGGTGCTCGAGAAACTGAGGCGCCTGTGGCTCTCGAACCACCCGTTTCAAGCTGCTTGAAATGATTTCAACGACCTCAATAGCGGCTTGGTGGGACCACGAATGAGTAGATAGCTCGGTAAAGCCATCTTCCAATGGTCCGCCATGTGGTGGAGACTGAGCGTTATGCAAGGCTGCTACTGAAGCTTTTTGAAGAGGCTCATGGAGATTGGCGGTTTGAGAATAGAAAATGTCGGTATGGACAGGATGTCTACTAGTAAACTGTTGATTGCTGTTGGGAGCTGTGGAAGTCTCTGCTTTTTTACTGTACATTCTGAAACTTACTAGTAGTTGCGCTGGTCTGGATAGCGTTGGGAGTTTGTATGCTAGCTACAAGAGCTTAGCTGTTTCGATTGAGAGACTGGTGTAATGCTGCACTTAACTTGAGAACCTCGAGACCTTATATAGCCATTCCTTCGGGTCGAGGTATACTTGACTTTCAGCTGGACAAAGGCTGTTATAAAGACATTTTTTGTGTCACAAAACCGTTGTTCTCTTTCGTAATATCATATAGATGTTTTAGCTAACAAGGGTCTTTACATGGTTTCAACCACCATGAAGTGCATTGAAAGAATAAGACTAGACAGAACTAGGCCAATAAAGCCATTCACAAGTTCGAATACAGCCATGGATAGCTGCAGTCGAGACAGGGCAAAAAGCGCATTACAGCTCCAAGGTCATTCAAACACTAATTCAATCAACCTTGATATTCCCCAAACCAAACTCCCCCTTCAAGGCAAAGGTGAGAAGGTTACACTCATGGGTTTCCCCTTTCCGAGCTTCGATTTCTTTCACATTCCAACTCGACATTATATATCTCCCGGATAAATATTTCTTGTCTCCGCTGGACAGCCAAACCGCCGTACCGCCCGGCAAAAGCGGCGAATCATTCGCGTACGGCATCAGATAAGGGACATCCAAAGTCGTATCCGTTCTGACAACGCCTGGATCGAGGACAAAGCTATTGATGTTAGGGTATTCGGAGTTCAAGTAGGCAGTGAACTTGTTGACTGCAGCATTCGAGGTAGAGTAGGGCCCAAGGACCGGTGGGACCCCCTGAGATGGCATCGACGTGATGCTGATGATTGTGGTCTGTTTCGCGGGAGTGGCACCTGTCTCCTTAACAAAGGCCTTGGTGACAGTAAAAATAGCCTTGACGTTCACAACCTAGGCAGCGTCAGCGTGGGTCCTTCGGCAAGGAAAGTGATGCTTCTCACCAGAGTATTCCACCACTCTTCTACACTAGCCTTCAAGTTGGGCTTGACCGGTCCAGCGACACCAGCATTGTTGATCAATACCTGCGGAACTCCAAGCTCGGCGGTGATCTCCTGGAAGGCCTTGTTCCCGGCAGCCTCGTCAGTAACATCAAGGGGGAGAGAAAGCAAATTAATGTCAGGGTTGATTTTTTTTGATAATCTTCTCTGTCTTCGCTAAGCCTGACGTTGAGCGGCCAATGAGCGCAATGGCAGCGGGGTTGCCCTGTGCGAATGAAGTTACGAAGCCCTGTTCCCTCATCCCGAGGATCAGATGATAATTTTCGACAGTATAAGACATCTTGGGCATAGAACTCTATGGGCGTGATTGAATTAATCACTACCTTCTGACCAATTTCACGAGTTACTCCAGTGATGACGATGACTTTGACCGTCTGTGCGAGCTCAGGGCGCGTGGGAGTGATAGCTGGGTATGGCTGAGTATAGCATTGGTGTGTAAAGGCAGTGCCCTTAACATTTGAGAGTTGGTCAAATTCAGACATGGTGATGCTGGCTTTCGAGATATAAGGGATGCAGATGAAGAGGGAAATGGGAAGGGAGGGTGAAAGCATTTATACGATGGTCGGGTGAGTTTGCTAACCCTAAATCCGGAAGCAAATGGGGGCAAAAATTGCCCGTGGTAGAACCCCTCGGTCTCCCCATTTAGCCACTTTTCTAACTTTAGAAAGATTCAGGGGATCTCATCTCTAGGCACTGAATATATCAGAGTACGGTGATTCTGTAAACGAAAGCAGCCTTACTGGGTTTCAGGTTACTGGTATATCACCGCAGATCTTTAAGGCTAGTCTCCGACTAGATCACAGGAAATCGTGGTTAGTTGCGCTAGAGAAAAGTCTTTGCTAGGATAATTCAATGTCCATACCGATCCTTGACGGCCCTTCTCGTGATCTGCTGGTGGCAGCGCGTCGCCAACTGAATTGGATTATCTTACTATCATCCTCCATCTATCTTACCATCCTTCGTACATTTAATCTTGAGAAACGTCCTTGCCTTTGGATTTCAAAGGCAAGAATAATAATGACTGTCGCGGCTTGCACAGTCATCGTCCCTGGTAACAACCTGAAGTCCATGGACCGCAGCACAAATTGAGGGGGGAGATTGCAGTCAAGATACCGGACACCGACTCCGTAATACGAAAGAAGTCAGATTCGAAAACTTTGTCCATCAATTGAATTGCATTCAGGGCCATCATATCAATACCCCTTCTGTTGGCGGCGCGAATGCTGTGGTCGAGGTCAGCTGGGCTGATCCCATCGACCCCATTTTGTCTGCCAAACTGGAGACGCGCTTACGCTACGAAATAGAGATGTAAGGCTTTTCACAGACCCAGCGACCTTCTCCCAGTGTTACCCTTGTCTTGCTTAGATATTCTGATCTAAAAATTCGGGATCATACGTCACTTGACTAATAACAGCCGGCTAAATTGAGGGGCTGGCATGCGCCAAGTACATGGGCCTGCGACGTGGCGACCTGGGACGAAGAAAAGTTAGCCATAAAATTTAAATTTTGTAAGCTCAGGATAGTCTCAGCAAAAGCAGCTAGCAGATCTTCTCTGTCAAATCTCCCAATTCATCTATATTTCTTTTGTTGTGAAGAGGGCGGATCCGCGGCTTATGAGGCTTGTGTAGGAAACACCTCCAAGCAGAGTACAATGGCGGCAATGGTGTAAAAAGTGGAAACTTGCACAGCAGATCCGGCGACGTATCTATCTGATTTCAGCAGCCTGTTAGCAATGACCAGACTAATGCAACGCACTGATCAGATCAGACACGCAACCCTCTGTAGAACACTTGAGGGCCACCTGGAGAAACCCCATTATCTCTCTAGGTACAGACTCCTCCAGGTCCCTTCATTTATCAATCTCAAATAGCTATCATGTAGTCTAGTGCTAGTAATACTTGTAATATTCTGATGCATATATCGTTCCAGTTAAGTCGGTATGAACCATGCCCCGATAAGTGCCCCGGGATACACGGTTCAATCTGATGGTCACTCTGAATGCCAAGGCAAACGTCATTTGAATTCCAGTTTGCTAGTAGTAGGAGACATACCCCTTGCATCCCATATCTACCCGTGCTTGACCGGATAGTCAGGATAAAATGCCGTCTCAGCTTTCACATTATCTGGCTAGGTACATTATGATGAGGTTACAATTATCATCATGAGGACCAAATATTAATCAAGATAAGAGTCATGTATTCCGCGTATATCAGTGGTATAAAGTGTGCTAAAGAGACGGGAAAATGAAAAGAACGCAGCCGAACAACTCCATCTTAAGAGAAATGAGAATGCCAAAAAGGCCTGATGAATCGGAAGCCAACGGTTCCGATTGCAGAATCCAACCGACAAGACAACGCATGTAGCCTCATAAGACCACAGGTCCGAGCCTCCAGAATACACTCGCGGTTAACGCCAAAATCTGATAGCAAAAAGTAAGCCGAAAATCTAAAGCATGAAGCCAGTTCATCTTTAGCAGGAGCAAAAAGAGACACAATAAATCTCATGGAGATATCGTCCGTGCCACAGTGCCCATTCGTCACATGGACGTCCCAGACGGCATGAGACAATCTTCAGGTCTTGAGTACGTGGGACAGCTCAACCCAGGGAACTCTCAGTCTCGATATATTCTTTAAGCCGTGGTCCCGATTAAAGGGTGACGCTCTCTAGATCTCGCATAACGACGGCCATTTGTGCCCTCTTTGCAGCCTCCGCGACCAAACTGAAGTCCTGCAGGAACGGCGCCGTCGCAGTTGGCCCCCCCCAGACCGTGGACTTGGTGTGGATAGATATCGGATGGCTGCTGGGTAGAGGGAATGGCGTCCGATTGAGGGGCGGACTCGGTGGTCACAGGCCGAACGGCCGGTATTCCAGCCGGTGCCGAGGTATTGAGCGCTTGGGCAAGAGGCTGAGCCTGTGACATGGCGGAGTGGGCAAAATCAATGGATGCGGATTGTATCGGAGCAGTAAGAGGTTGGGCATCCGAGTTTGAAGAGAGAGCAAATGGGTGAGGTTGAGCGACTGCGCTGGGGAGATTTGAAGGTGTCAAGTTGGAGATGGGCGCAAAGGGTTGGGCGGGGGACTTGGCGGGATGGGGTGTTCGTGTCGAGTCCATCAGGAAAACGACCTGGCTATTTCGTAAAAACAGGGCAAAGGAGGGCAAGAGGGCAAGGACGGTGGCAAAGGGATTAGACTTTCCCGGGGCGGGGACGGGGGGGGGGAGGACTTTTTCGAATCGTGGGGGGTATATCCTGGGGTGATCCTGCAAGGGTCGTGATGCAACAACTGTGAATGATGAAAGGATGACTGGCCGAACCGCCCCACGAGGATCGACGATCAGGGGGAAGAGGAAGGGAGTGATTATAACCTTAGGGGGGGATTGTGCAAAGAAGATCGAGGAAGAAGAGAAGAACCGAAGGAGAGCACGAAAGAGGAATTGTTCTCCAAATGGGGACTTGACAGTTCGATCCAAAAGATTTATCCAAGGATTTACCCGCGCGGTAACAAAACCGTATCTCCACAGGTCTCCAAACAGTAGCCGTGGTAAATTACGGAAATACGGTAAGAGCCGAGGCATGCGATTTCTTTCGGGGGTGATAACCTGTGGAAATGTGATTATCGAGTAAAGGCGTCATTGGCCGCCACATCACATTCTGAACCTATGGGTGGCCTGATTGGGATTGTTGCTCGTACGCAGAGTAGCTGTAGCGCGCAAAGTACAGCCAGACTACGGTATAGAAACCAGACTAGTCTCGTTCGGACGACCGGCTCCTCCAAGAGCCTTCGGGTTTCGGGATCGTCGTAACTGCAGCATGGAATACAACCCACTCCATGAAATACCTGATCCGGATGGCTAAGCATTTCCCGATAACCTGGTATCAGTGTCGGTCGCCGGGCCACCTCGGACCGGTCACGGAAGTAGTCCGGTACAGACTACGGAAACAGACTAAGAATATCGTCGTTCAACTAGGCTCCTCCACCGGCGCAATGTCAATACTGTCAGGCAATGCTCCGTGGGACTTCAATTTCCACTTCTCCAGGAACCATGACTGTATTTTCCAGCGTTTGGAATCCCATGGCTGATAACGCCCATCTGGTTCTTCGTACTTGCAAAAGGCCGCATGTCTTGCGTAGATATCTAGCTTTAGGTCCCAGAGATTATATTTTTCGGGTGTGCAAAACACATCATGATCACCCGCTCGCGAAGGAGGGGGATTGGGATCAGATCCAGACTGGCGTGGTGGGAGATGAGAATTTGGGCCATGGTCGGTTGGAGATGGAGGGGAATAGATGTATTAAGTGCCGATGCCACAAGGTCTTGTGGTCTGTCGGCTGGCCTGATAGACCTAAAAAATGGAGAGATGTAGTTTGCGCGACAGTCTACTAGCTGTAGCAGATCGAATCCGAGGATCACAGCATTGGTGGACACAGCTCGCCAGATCGTGTCCCGGGGAGTTGACAGATTGTTCATCAGCGGATCAGCCAATGGTATGATGTTCGCGTTCCCGGGCGACGCGCTATTCAATTCATCTGAATTCGCTCCTGCAGATGCCTCTAGCTGAGAAGTGGACCCATTTGAGGACGGCTCGGATGGCCGGGGCGCCAGTTGTCGCGCGCCTCTTTGTTTGGCGGCATTTTGTCGGGCTGCTTTGTGTCTCTCCCCTATGTGTCTCCTTGTTCAGTATTTATGTCTGGGAAGAGGAAGATCTTCACCCACTCCAAGCTTTTTGCGCCGCCTTATTCTGCTCTCGACGAGCAGGTGTGACGACCCGCTTTTTCGGACGTGGAGGAGGCGCTGATGTTGGCTTTTCCTCGGCGCAGGCAGGGTCGTGGATAGCTAAGTGCAACATGTCTGAAGAGGGGGGAATTAACACGAGGACGTAACAGGCGGTAATACTATGAGGAACGTTACCTCGAAGGCGAGGAAATTCTTAACCCCGGCTCGTCCGATAGAGGCGATCGTAAGCCACATAAGCCAATCTGGCTTACGCCCCTGGGCCAATCAGAGCACACGAACTATGTCGGGGAATAGCATCTGAGAATATTCAACCTCATACCTTCAGATTGCGTTCAAAATATAAGTAGGGAGGACATCCCGCGACGAATATCTTTCACAAAAGGTTTTATCAACACTTTATTGTGGCATCCTACTGGAAAATGTCTTCAGAGAAAAAAAATCATCGCAGTCGTCGGTGCAACAGGTACCCAAGGTTCATCTGTTGCTCGAACGTTCTTGAGTCTCTCTAACTGGCACGTCCGAGCTCTGACTCGCAATCCAACTTCCGACAAGTCTACTGAGCTCAAGAGCCTCGGTGCTGAAGTTGTGCAAGCCGATCTAGACGACAAAGGGTCACTCGAAGCAGCATTTGCAGGGGCCCATGCGATCTTCCTCAACACGGACTTCTGGCAGCCCTACCGGAAGATTATTGCGACAGGAGCTGATCCTGAGGCAAGTGGGAAGCAAGCATATGAGATTGAAGTGAACCACGGCAAGAACGCGGCCATTGTTGCTGCCGGTATTTCCACCCTCCAACGCTTTGTTTACTCAGCTTTGGGTCCCATGAAGGCTGCATCTGGTGGTAAATACCCCCACTCACGTCATTGGGAGACGAAAGCCAGTATTGTCGAATACATTCAAGCAGAGCAGCCGGAATTGGCCAAGAAAACATCTTTCATCTATATCGGGGCATACATCACCAATCGTTTCCTGTATCCAAAGTTTGATGCCGAGACCAAGGAATTCTCATATGTGATTCCTGGAGGAAAGGATCTTCGGATGCCAATCATCGATACTGCCAAGTCGACGGGTCCCTTTGTGAGGACATTAATTGAAGATGAGGAGGCGGGGACCAAGCTTCTGGCGTACGATGACTATCAAACGACTGGGAATGTTGCCAAAACATTCTCCAGAGCTCTTGGCAAGGAAATCAAAGTCTACAACGTGGGAATGCAAGAGCTTCATGAGAAAACAGGTGCGCCTTTGGAGGTCCTCAGTGGACCTGCTTTCTTGAGTGAATTCGACTACTGCGCTGGAATATCTAATGTAATCGAGCCTGATCAATTGAAGAACCGCCCGTCGGCTCCAACATTTTCGGAATGGCTAAGTGGTCATGATGTGCTCGAGCTGATCGGGTTGAAAAAGTCAAACAATTGAGATGGGAAAATCGATCCTTTGAGCAAGAAAACGTTCTGGCGATGTTTCCAGAAAGCGTCGTTTCCAGGTATCTTTAAATTGCCAAGGTGTGCTAGACGATCTTCGTCAATATGTAATCATCCTTGTCGAACGAGTTTGTCCCTCTCACCCATTTCCCCCATGGTTTTTTCTTCGTTTCCAGGTTCGTTTTGTTGTACTGAGCAGGAGGTGTTCCGCGGGCAGCAAGTCCAGATTCGCGAGACTTGTTCATTCTGGCTGCGGCAATCCGTCTAATCATTAGACAGACGATAAGCAATGCCACACCACCGAGGAAGAGTTTGAGGAAGAATTTGAAGAAGACCAAGATCCATTTCAAAAGCGATAGAGTCACAGACTTCAAGATCGGTCGGAAAAGTTCGATAAAGCCATACGCGACGCGAACGTAGAGAAAGCCGAACCAGAGTATGACAAAGCAGGCGCGGGCGGTTCGGGGGCGATCCATGGTAGTGGGAAGATCGGTAGAATGGGAAGAAGCAGTGAGGATAGAACTTCCGAATGTCAAGAGTGGGAGATGAAGGAAACCAAACCGTGGAGAAGGCGTTCACAGTGTTTCTACTCATTGATATACACTTCCGCCTCAGGCACCAACTGATAAGTACAATCGATAAGCCTAAATTTTCCCCAGGACGCGGGGTTATGTTCCAACTCCCTCCAGATCCCACAGCATGGCCGACGACGATTTCGAGACTGGGGACCTCTTCCAGGACCCAGAAGGATTCTATGAAAAGGATCCTGAGCCTACATTTGCCGAGTATGAGATGCTCTCTGGGCAAACAGTGCGCGTGCGTCTCGTGGGCAGCCACCCACTCTACGTATGTAATTTGGGGCAATTGTGTAGTTGGAAGCGAAAGTACCGACTAACCGCCTGTTTCTCAACAGGGAAATCTACTCTGGAATGCTGGTCGCATAAGTTCCACCCACATCGAAGAACGAGCTGATGAGCTGGTCCGCGACAAAGATGTCCTCGAGATCGGCGCTGCAGCGGGCGTACCTAGCATTGTCAGCGCGATCATGGGAGCGAGGAAAGTCGTCATGACCGACTACCATGACCCAGACCTCGTTTCAAATATGCAGTATAATGCCGACTTGGCAGCTGACCAGATTCCCAAAAGTGACACATCGTCGCCGCGGCTAGTAGTGGAGGGATACAAATGGGGGAATCCAGTCGAACCACTGCTGGCGCACATCTCCCCGAGTCTCGCCAAAAGGCTGATGGCTTCGATCTATTGATCATGGCGGACGTGGTCTATAGCTGGCGTGAGCATGGAAATCTTGTGAAAACCATGCAGGAGACACTGAAGAAGGACCCCAGTGCCGTTGCGTTGGTTATCTTCACGCCATACGAGCCATGGCTGTTGCCGCAGACAGAACGCTTCTTCCCGCTGGCGGAGCACGGAGGATTCACCGTGACGAAGATCTTCGAGCAGCTGGTAGGCAAGGTGTTATTCGAGGACGATCCCGGAGTAAGTAACTTGAGGACTGATTTGTTCAATATTTGGCTAATTGTTGGCTCTAGGATGAGAAACTGCGTCGGACTGTCTTTGGATATGAGCTTCGATGGTCACCAGAGCAGCTGAGTGGACAAACTTAGACGATGGTTTATATTGGTAGATACCCTTGCATTTGCGAAAAGAAAAAGTACATAGACAATGAATCTGCTGCGGCGGGGTAGATCGGTCACTGGTCTACTATCCCAGTTCTACCTCGATTTCAACATGCGAAAATATCCTCCTGAAAACATGAACGTCCGTTCACTATTGACGTAGATGAAAACTTGAAAAGTCCAAGATATCCGCTGTAAGAGCGCAATCCCTCAAATCTATACACCCCGCCTGAGTCACATGCCCAACCCCTCGGGAAAAAAAAAAGTTCACCGCACCCAAACAACCCACGCAGTCTACGATGCCGGTAAGTGCGCCCCTATTGCTTGAGGAACCGCATTCTAATCAGAGTCTAGCTTATAATCTTAACCGGATATCCATGCTCGGGCCTCAGCTACCGCGCAAAGCAGCTCGCAGCGCTCCTCGAAACGACCCAAGATGAGCTGTTCGCATCCACCGAAACGACCGCCGCCCTGAAGTCTAAATTTAAAGTCCACATTGTCCCATCACATGATAGCTCGCACCCTCGGACAGTCTACGACCATGCGCGCACAGAGAAAGAAGCGCGCGGAGTCGCCTATGCGCGGGCAAAGCGGGTGCTCACACGCGACAGCATCGTGATCCTGGACGGCATGAACTACATCAAGGGCTGGCGGTACCAACTCTGGTGCGAGGCAAAAGCAGCTAATACAACATGCTGTGTGGTGCGATCAACTTTACCGATTGAAAGGGTCGAGGGCTCAATGGCTAACCAATCGCATATACAGGTCCACGTCGGCACCCCAATCGACCAGTGCGTCGCGAACAATAACAGACGACTAAACCGCCAGTCTACATCCCAACCAGAACCTCAACCCCAACCCCTAGCCTCAGACTCCGCGCCCAGCCCCGATCTTAACCAACCAACCCCTTCATACCCAGACACCGAAGAGCCCTATCCTCCCGAGCTCCTTGACAACCTAATCTTCCGCTATGAAGAACCCAGCACCCACAGCCGCTGGGACAAGCCCCTCTTCACCGTCCCCTGGGACGACCCCGCGCCCCCAGTAGCCGATATCTTCCACGCTCTCACCGGCGTAGCCATTTCGCCCGCCGAGCCCAACCCCGCCATCTCCTCGCTCACCGAATCCCTCGCCTCCAGCACCCTCTCCTCCGCTGCAAGCGTCACCACCGCTCGCACAGGCTTCACGCGCGCCGGCGGCACTGGCTCCAACCGCCCGCGCATCATCCCCCACCAAGCCACCGTACAAGCCGCGCCCAGCGACCCCACGGCCCTCAACACAATGGAGAAGCGCACCACCGCGGTCGTCAATGCCATCCGCGCATTCACGCAAGCGACCCCATCCGCGGAGGTCGCACTCGCGCAGAGCGACGATCCCAATGGTATCTCCATACCGGTACCGGATGCCGAGACGAAGGTCTTTGTGCCGGCGCACGTGGCTGCGACTGGGACGACAGATGAGCTTGCAGGTGCCGGGGGTGTTTTGGCGGCGCCGAAGCTGCAGAGGTTAAGGAGGCAGTGGATTAGTCTTAATCGGCGGTATGTCGGGCATGGGCATGGGGCTATGCAGGGAGGATTGGCGGCGGATCAGATTGGGGATGCGTTTGTGAGATTTTTGAATTCGACATTTGGAAACGAGAGGGACTAGGGTGTGTAGTCTTGTTTTGACTCGAAGGGAAGTAGGGATATCTTAAAAAGTTAGAAGGAAAAAGTGGGTTCAGGCTCTGTGTCCATCTCATTTGTGTGGGATGTGTGAGAGGTTTGGGTTGATTAGCCTTTGCATATAGATGGTTATACCATAATGAAGTCATGATTTATAAATTTTTAGCGCAGAACGAAACAGAGACTTCTACTTTCGTTTTTTTATTCTGTTTTGTTTACTGAGAAAGATGTTTTGATAATATTTTCCATTGCAAAAACCAAGCTGAAACAATACTGCTGTCGGATACAAAAGTTCAATGAAACAAGAGCAAAAACAAAGCCACACATTCTATATACATCATGTCTAATTCCTCCTCCAAGTCGAGACAGGCTTCTATGCCTTTTTGTCTCTGAATCCCAACCCAGTAAAGGGCAGGTAAAAGGGCCATGAAGGCCGAGCCTATTTTTCCAAGGCCAAGTCAAGGTTTCGCATGGGCGAAGACTCTAATTCCGTGGGGTAAAATCCGGCTGGAATGCCCGGTTCCAGTGCAGGTCCTTCGGAGTATGTCAATTCGCCAAAATACCAGTATCCACGCATAAGATCAAGCCAATCCTAGGACGGGGAAAGTTCCGCAGGTTTGTGCAATTGATTAAAAGCAAGGCTGTCCATGGGGGGAATTTTGGTCGAAAACGTCCTTTCCGGTGTTTAAAAGCAAGGCAACGCAAGGCAATCCTGGGTATGGCTGCAAGGGAGCCAGAGGATAGCGACCTTTGGATGGGATGATGAAGCAGCGAAGCAACTGCAAACCACTTTCTTCGACTTTACAAAGACCGTGATTTACAGATCCCCTGTGGAAATTCACACGGGCGAAAGTCCGTTGGGGAGGTGGGAAGCAACCTGGCTGGCCTCGATATGGCGGTAGCTCAGACCGAGAGTGTAGAGTTCCTGGAGACTGGCATTGACCTTCTCGTGCATCGAAGTATCCTGGGGGGGTGATCTTCTCCAGCTCCGAGAGGAGGCGGGCGCGGCATTTGAAGTAGTTGTGCTCGGCGGTTCGCAGGCGCTGTCCATGCTGGGCGGTGTTGGGGGTGGCCTTGACCGAACCGTTCTGGGAGTGGATGGAGCGGGTGCGCTTCATGGCCGGAGCAGGAGTAGGGCCGGTGACTCTTCTCTTGCGGATTCCACCCGAAGTATCCTTCTTCTTGGGGGCCGGGCCGGTGGGGGAGGTCTCAGGGGGAGCTGTGGCGCTCCGAGGTGGTGTAGTCATGCACACGGCGCATGTGGTCGAAAAGGTTCCATCTACGCGGGAATCCATATCCAGGAACAGAGCGTTCGCATCCTTCCCACAGGCAAAGGTGGGGGTTGTCGCCGTGGCCGTGGAGTCCATGGGCTTCACGCTCGTGGCGGAAGAGGCATGCATTTGAGGAGAAACGCAGCTGGGCATCCATACAGGCGGGGACCTTGCAACGGTAAGGCTTTAAGTGGGAGTCCAGGTATTTGCTGTGTAAGAAAGTCCGGGTTAGGTTTCGGTCACGTCTTGCCTTGTCATGGGATACACATACTGATAAGCGCACTTTTGCGTGGTAGGCGGGTGGTTGCATGGCTTGTCTCCATTGGCAAAAGGGCAGTAGTACTTTCCATCACTATGGGTGGGGAGAGAGTAGTATTGGTGCTCCCGGGGGTTACGGGCCTCAGCACCATCCTTGGATCGTTGGCGAACCGGCTCTCGCGCGGGCAATGGAGAGAAGAATTCCTCGGACTTAACCTGGGGCTGGGCGCCCGACAAAGTTCCACGGCGAGCTGGCTTGGAAGGTCGAATAGTCCTGTTTGATTTTTTTTTCCCGTTAGATCATGTTGGAAATGGCGTCTTTTCTCCGTAATCCAGGCTTACCTGTTGGGGTCTTTGTCGCTCAAAGGGGAAGCATTTGGGAACAGGGGTTCCGCTGGGTTGATTCCGTGGCTACCAAGGGGTGAGGTGTATTCTCCGATCATGGATTCATCGGGGGCCATGAATGAAGGAAATCCGGGATGGGAACATGAGGAAGTAACAGAAATATCATTACTGGCTTCCGTCAGTGGGGGAGAGACCGGAACGGTCTGGAAAAGACTTGAAGAAAGCTGGTCCAGGGTTGTTCCAGGATAGTGAGCTTCAGGCATCATGCTCCACGTATCGTGACCAAGGAAGTGGCCGTCCTCGGTGCTGTGTGCTACTGAGAGCGCATCATCTGGAGTGCTGGATTGCATTCCAGAGGCATCGTGATCCATGGCAGAGATATCAACGAAAGAGTAAAAATCCCGGGGCATTTCATTGTGGTCTTGCAAGTCAGAGACTGCTGGGAAGTCCATGCTTGGGTACATCACATCGTTGGGCCCGACCGTTGGGGTCATCAAGGGCTGCGATAGTGAGAAAGAAAGCATGTGCACCTGTGGGGAGTCCTTGGAAGAAGTGGCCTGCTCGAGAGATTCTGGGTTCAAGTTCCAGTCTTTCATGTCCTGGGGAATTCCGTGGCCAGTGGAGACACTGGAGCACAAGGATGCGGAATCCTGGCTCGATAAATCATCATCCTGGTGGGTTCTTGAGGCCATATTTGAGAGTCCTTGGATCATGTGTCTTGGCTGAGAGAGAGCGACACGCTCGGAGTCAATGCTAGTCCTTGAAGACATTGTGTGGAGTGGTGTGAACTGTTGGGGAAAGCATCATCAAGTCAGTAATCTACATCGTCGAAACGCTTCAACTGGCAAAGCAAACAAAAAAAAAACAAAAAAAAAAGGACAAGAAATGGATCAAGATAGTAAAGAAAAGCCAATATGAAGAGAATCCAGGTCCAAGTTGGGATTGTCGAATCCTAGTCCATGTTAGTTCAAGTAACAGCCCGATCTCTCGAGACATCGGACGCACCAAAGAAGTGATAGTCGAAGTGTATTTCCTTGGCGGGCGCACGTGCAGGTTGACGTATGGATGATTTTCCTTTTGGTCGAAGATGGGGGGGATCCAGGTGGGAGTGGCAGCGGAGGCCTAGTGCCCGGAGTGATTTGTCGATTTTATGTCCATAAGAGGCGGGGTCCTAAGTCAGCAGCTGGAGGATATCAAGCAGCATCGGATATCCTTGTGGTCCTTGGGGTTCATATTTTCGTTGATTCAACACGCGGATGCATGAGGTTCCAGTTCAGTCAGTTCCTCTGAGAAAATGAATAAGATCGTATTCCATGTCGAATATGAGCATACATTAAGCTCGAGTCCATTGGAGTTCCTGGGTTCAAGTTCTTGTATTGTAGTCCATGTGGAGGCTTCGAAAAGCAAGGCCATAAAGTTCAAGTAGATCCAGGGAGTAGAAGTATAAGTCCAGAGTAAACAGAAAGGTCCATGGGATTCAAAAGGCCATTGTATAATCCAGGCGGTAATAATCCAACGACTCCACACCAGGTTTGGGTGGAGGGTAAAGGTATCCAGGGCAAGTAGACGTCCAGGGCAGGTATAATCCAGTGGCAGTAAAGTTTCAATCAAGTGTGTCAACATAAAACAGCACTCGATGAGTCCATTCCCCGGCGACCGGCGCCGGGATCCAGTGGCAAAGATGCATTTATCTTTGATCGCCAAGAGGCAAGAGCACTGTCCAGACAAGTAGTCATGGTCAAGCAAGCTTCCATGGGGCCATGGGTTCCGAGGTAGGCTGTTGGTATCCAGGAGAAGACAGGAGGTATTGGCAGTACAGGTCCAGGTGCTTGGCAGAAACGAAAGAAAAAGAGAGAAAAAAAAAAGAAGAAAAAAAACAAATAGGAAAATGTGGTGGGGGGGCTACCTGATGAATTTTTCAGTCGGGTGAAAAGACGCAGACTAAGAGAAAGCCTGGGGAGAAAACAAAAGCAAATCCTGTCCAGGGAGTATGGCAAAATAGAAGATCCTTGGGATAGAAAGTAAACCAGGGAAGAGCTGTTGGTGTGGTTTGGTCCTATAGTCCAGATGTATAGGGAGGGGTATCAAAAGTGTAGGATCAGAATGAGATCAGAGATATATCGTCAGATTGTGTGTTACAGAAGGAAGAGAAACTATTCGAGACTATCGGGGATCAGCAGGTCTTATGAAGAGCCGGGAAAAGGGGAAGAGCGGGACAAGCACAAAAGGGGGCGGGGACTCAAACATGGCGTGTGCCAAAGTCGCATAGCGCAGCATCGTGTTGGCACCAGCGAGAGCCAGTCAAGGCCAGTGATGACGGCTGACGGTGATGGTGGATGCAGATGTGGATGATTGGAGTTGGCAAGTGGACCAAGAGTGGGACCATCTGAGTGGCTGAAAGGACGCGCATGTCAGTAGCGGTGAGACGGCACGGTGTTTCGGCGACTTGGCTCTCCACGTACTCGTCCTTCATTGGAGGAGGAGCAGCGCTGACGCTGCAGGATGATGTCCCGTTTCGACGATCGGCAGAACTGCTGAGCGCGTGGGCTACGATTGTTTGGCCGACAGTTGTCCACGGAGAACTTGCGGGACCACCACCTGCATGGCACGAATGACAACACGTCTACTTCGCGTGGCAGCGTACAGGCTAGAGGTCGAGGCTACAGGAAACAGGACAACGAAGACATGAAAACAGGGCAGATTGGATTTGTGCTATTTCAATGGACAAACGGATCCGACTGTCCGGGCCGGGGCGAAAGCCCCACGTTGGGCAGCAATGCAGCATTGGGCGACCAAAAATTGAGATCCTTGGAGTCTGTGGATGAGAAGGGTCAGCCACGGGAAATTACAAACGATCACAGAACTTTTCCAGAAGAATTCGACAGTCAGGTAAAAAGAAAGATGGATAAAGGTTGTCGTTCAACGATCCGAAGATCTCAGGTGAACTATGCTTATGGTAGGTTTGTTCATCACAAAGGTCGAGGCCCAAACACGGACTTTGCAAAAGGATAAGAGAAGGAAATTCAAAGTGAGGCGGCTTACCCTGTGGATCCACTGACACGGTCTCCCTGGTCGAATGTGAGCTATAGCGCCATGCTCTATTGCTCTGTTGCGCTATTAGCAGCAATTGGCGGAGAGAAGGAAGGTGAAAGACATCTGTTGCGCGGATTTTGTGCGTGTTGTCATGTGACATGTTTGCGTGGTTTGGCTATTGCCCCATTCGGGCATAGTATCAACGCTACATCTACCCTACAATACACTTCCTATCATATCAACCTTGATTCTGAGTCCTTGTGGATGTTATAAATCTATCATGAACTGGACAGGAGGTCAGCTGCATCTCCATTCGAGTCGGTCCGGTGTGCTGTCCAAAACACAGCGACAAAACTTTGCAAGTACCCGCCAGTTGGCTGGCAGCAAGCCGTCTCCACCGAGACCCTTCAGCGGATTTTCAAGTCTCAAAGAATCGGATGCGAAACGAGATGACGAGGCCCAGCAGCAGTCAGTGACAGAACTTGGTGTTTGCTCGCAGTTTGTTCATCTAGTCATACTGCTTCATGGGTTCATTGACTCGACGCTGACCCATCATTGATGATAGATCTACAGAGCAAAGCGATGCTCGTCCCGCTGAAGGTCCTTCCCTTGAGAGTGGTAATCAGTTAGACCAAATCAAACAGAAGCTTCTTCGCAGATCTGATTGGGCTGTCTTGTCTGCTACACGTCCATTGGCGATTTCATTTCCCCCGCAAACAGAGCGCTTTGGCAAAAGACGGAAACTGACAGGTGCCGATCATAAACGCTTGACCGCTACAAACGGAGAGCACACCCTGCCAATGCTGTTTCAGTCCTATCGGAGAGGCAGTGGTCTTTCCGCTGGACATTATCTGCCAGATGTTCAAATTCGCATCAATGGGCAACTTACCAATCATCCATCATCCCAGTTGATCAATCCCCTGGACGATGGGCCTAGAACCTCACTGTCACCCTTTGGGCCCGTAGAAAGCTTACTAGCAAGGACTACCACAGCCACTCTACAGCAGTCCTCTGCATCTGAACACGAAGCCACTGATGACAAAACGGCATCCATACCCGAAGCCTCTACTCGAACTAATGAATATTTCCGGGATGGCGATGTGGATTATCGCTTGTACCACGGTCACCGGTCTCCTGGAATGGTCGAACGAGTCTCATGTCACAGTAATCGGGGGTTCTACCCACTCCATGGCACCCACGGGGCCGACTTGTGTGAACCCGGCTATTCGAGAATCGGCACTCCTCAATCTCGCTAAAATTGCTGGACAAAGAAATGACATGAATGCGGCATACGGCAAGCAGAAAAGAATATGTTGTTCAATGGCCGAAGCTCGTCTCGGTCTCAAGACTAACGAGACTCTACTTCTTAATATGAACTCCCAGACCTATCAGACTAATACAATCTCAAGCTTACTCGATTCATCTATGAAACTAGGAGAACTTTCAATGCAATATTCCCAATAATCTAGTTTTGTTAAGAGTCAAACACACTCACTACGGAGTTACCATAGGTGGCTTTTTAGCAGCATGTAGAAACATCAAGCTGCTGTGGCCTTCTTAAACATAGAAATCTCAGTTATAGTCTCAATCGGGGTAAAAAGGCAACTGGTGGAAGGGGCGAAGGGAGGGGGCGCGCTTTGATGATGCTGTCTCTGAATGCGTTTACTAAAGTTCAATATGATGTTCCCGGTCTTGTTCTAGTAAAGCCAATCCTGAACGTTTGGCTCTTCGTCAGGCCTTCGAAGTGGACGGTTCTCTGACCAGATGGGGGTCTTAATGACATGGTATGCCGGTTTGTGGGGATCTCAAGTGTTCGATAAATATGTATATATCGTCTTTCTCTAGTCTCATCATCATCCATACACGGGATGAATCAGTTGGTACTAACCATCTGGAGGCCAAGGCCTTGAAATGCAGCTTCGATCTTTATTGCACAGGCGGAAAACTAGCTGGGAATGCCGCACATATTCCACCGGCCAAGCAGTGGTCCTTGTAAGATACGACGGGCTTGCTTTCATCGGCCCCTGTCGTTCATTAGCGGGGAGAGATTCGGTCACTACATGTACTACTGGTGCAAGAGACTATAGAGTCAATAGTTCACGCAACAAATAAAGCTCCAGCTATTATTTCTGGGTATATAGCATGGTTGTATCAGGACGTTGTGGATGAACAATGGTGTAGAATGTTCGTATATATAGTGGTGAAGGTGCTGAGAATTGGTAAGGCAACACGACAGGACAATAAATAAGGCTCAGGAATCCTCCATAAATATGAATTAGCTGCATGGTGTCTTGAAGTAGTCAGATCGTGTCAGTTTCAACTAGGCCTATGGTATCCTCTTGATTGGGAAGTGCGCGGAGAATTAGGTCTAGTTCTCCTCTTCACGTGCTGATAAACCCCAGCTTTTCATCTCCAATCCCCAACCTCCAACCTCACCTCACCTGAACACCCACCAGCACCATGCTGTCCCTCGTCCCAATTCTGGCAATGGTTGCCACCCCAGCAATCTCCGCCTCTATCAGCATCACGCCGCCCGCCCAAACCACCGAATTAACCCAACTCCCCCTCGTAATCTGGCACGGCCTCGGCGACGACTTCGAGCGCGAGGGTCTCTCCGAAGTAGCTTCCCTCGCAAACCTCACCAACCCTGGCACCCACGTGCACATAATCCGGCTTGCAGAAGATGGCAACGGCGATCGCCAAGCCACCTTCTTCGGTAACGTAACCTCCCAACTCGAAACTGTCTGCCAGCAACTCGCCCTCCACCCCGTCCTCCGTGACGCACCCGCAATCAACGCCCTGGGCTTCTCGCAAGGCGGCCAATTCCTGCGCGGCTACATCGAGCGCTGCAACCAGCCCGCCGTGCACAACCTCGTCACCTTCGGCAGCCAGCACAACGGGATCTCAGAGTTCGAATCCTGCAAACTAGGCGACTGGTTCTGCAACACCGCGGAGGCCCTCCTGCGCGCGGGCACATGGCTGGATTTCACGCAGTCGCACGTCGTCCCTGCGCAGTATTTCCGGGACCCGGAGGAGCTGGGCCCGTATCAAGAGCACAGCAACTTCCTGGCCGATATTAATAACGAGCGCGACGAAAAGAACCCAGAGTATAAGGACCGGCTGGCGACGCTGAACGCGTTCGCGATGTACATGTTTGAGGAGGATACGGTCGCTGTGCCGAAGGAGAGCGCACACTTTGCGGAGGTGAATGCTACAAGCGGTGTGGTGACGCCGTTGGAGAAGCGGGCGATTTATACGGAAGATTGGATCGGGTTGAGGGCTCTTGGGGAGGCAAAGAAGTTGTTTTTCCGGACAGTGCCCGGTCAGCATATGCGCCTTGAGGATGAGACGCTGAAGAGCGTTTTTAAGGAGTTTTTTGGCCCGCTGCAGACTCAGGTCAGGGCTGAGAAGCCGCGGCTTCTGGCGCAGGGTAAATAATTGCTATGCTTTCGCCGTGGTTTTTCCAGTTTCGTATCTTTGGGGGCCGTTTCAGTAGTGACCTTTTATGATATCCCGGTTTGTATTTTCTAGATCTGAGCGCTGAGCTGATTACTTGATGGGCTGGTCCTGGTGGATTGCAATTATTTGGTTACTCCGCATTATATATGGGCACTTGCATAAGATAAACGAGCCTATAGAGTGGACCACCACAAGGATCTTTTCGATATGACACCATCTATTTTTTTTTTACCTTCGTGGTTGTGTCTATAGGCAAAGAAACTAGATACAGAATCCTCGAGAACGTAAAAGCAGCAGGTTTGACATCCGGACGCTGCTTCGTTGGAGGAAAGTTTGAAGAAGCGGGTTTTTGAAAGTATAAGCATATGCAAAACGAAATAGATGAAAGGACGAAAGGCCAGGTAGTACAGAGGGACTCGAAGGAAGTCAGCCGAACGAACGCAAGGGCGATTATCAGGGCCCGATCTTCAAAGAGGGGATGAAACGATATGAGGAAACTAATACAGAGTTGAGACAAAGGTCTTGGCCAGTAATTACAGCCAGCAACTGTCCAAAACAGTTGATGGATGAAAGGGAATTTTACATCATGTACAATGCGGAACGCAATAATTAGAAATCTCAGTAGTATGCCAAGACTTGGTCTCAACAGTACAATAGGCTCAAGGCCAGAGAGAGAAAAAGTGAGAGCAGGTTCAATAGGGAGGCCGTCCGATGCCACCGTTGAGATGGCGTCTTGTGGAGAAGCTGCGGGGCAAGTGATCCTTGGATGAGGCAGTATGTAGCCGGTCTCCGTTGGTCAGTATGCCGTTACTAGGGACAAAGGCACTGTCCAAGAGCAGCCGCAGTTGGTCGCTTTCACTCTTGTCTGAGTTGAAGTCCAAGCCTTGGAACGGCTCCGAAGCTGAATTCAGGTTGTGGCTGCTTCGGCTCTTGTTCCGACTGAGGGAGTTCGCATGGCGTTCGTGAGTTTGGCCGTGTTTAGACCGGTTGGAGGATGGCTGGGGATTATCTGGAGCGGTGGATGGGCGCTCGGGGACCGCAAGCGACCGTTGAGAGTCATTAGGGAAACCACCAGGGATCGACAGGGTTGTGGGGATTGGTGGAACGGGGGGGGATGTCATCGTCGGAGTCCACACCGCTTGGGTTGTTGTCTTCCATCGGAGGGTTCTTCTCCCCTGAAAGCGCAATGGCTGATGCTGATGGGCGACGTTGCCTATCACCACGGTCTTCATCCTCTGGGAGGACGAGCACCTCTCCGTCCGCATCAGATATAGAAGAATTACCGCTTATCATGCTATCGCTGCCAGACGAAATGCTAGCATTTGAGTTTTTGACGTGATCTCGCAGGGGGCTACGACGTCGATTGTTGCTGTCAACATTCACTGAGAGGACCCGGCGCAATGTGGTAGCACGCACAGGCGAGCTTCGGCCTGAGCTAGGCTCCGGCGTGCGCGAACCCTCAGGTACGCTTAGACGGCGGTTGTCCTTCGCTCCGGATCCGGCTGGAGATCCATTGACGCCATTTGCATTGCTGTTGCGGGCCAACGTACCACCGCGGGAGCCGCTCAGGGAGAGCGTCTTAGCGCTCTCCTGCTCAACAGATGCCAAGCAAGCATCTCTCGACCAGGGAGAAAATAATTGTTCCCGCACTGAAGGGGGGAGCCCGTTTTCCGCCTCACTTTGAGGAGGAGGGGCGTTTAGAACAGGGAAGCTGAAGCCTCGCGCTGACGGGGAAGCCGGAGGACTTTGTGGTGGGGAAGGAAATTGACGGTAGGATTCTTCAATACCATCCACCAGTCCGTCAAGGTTTTGGAAAGGCTTGAGATGAGGGGTGACTGCATGGCCATTGGCCGGTTTTTCGTCATCCATATTGATCTCGTTAAGTTGAGCAGGAGGCAGGCGAATGCTAGAGAGCCAGTGGCCGTCCTTCCGCCTTCGGTTTATTTCGCTCTGGATCTCGATGCCCGGGGTCGTAGACTCCAGGTTGAATTTCTCTGATACGGCCAACAGGTAACCGTGAACAAGGCTACCCACATTTATTCGCGAAGCATAAGACCCAATGTCCATGAAGCTATCGTCTTGAAGTTTCAAGATCATGGGGAGACCGTATTGGACAGCATTCACTCCGAGGTGGTCAACTAGGCTGGCAAGGACGAGGTGAAGGAAAAGGATTTCCGTTTCAGAAGAAGCAGAATCAATAGCCGAATCGTAGATTGCCAAGTGCAACAAGCGGAGGAAAATAGATTGGGCCGCGAGGGCCACCTTCTCACGCTGGTGTCCAGGAGCTGATGTGCTCCGCCGAGTGGCCTTATCAGTCTGCTCGGCATCGCGCTTTGACGGTGGTCTTACAATCTTTGGTAAATCAACCCGCACCTTGAGATCGTCTTTGTTGGTTTCAAGCTCTAGCCATGACAAGAATGCATCGGCGTAAGCGAAGCGCACTCCTCTATCAGGATCTCGTAGAAGACCTTGAGTCCCTTCCCAAACATAGATACCGACCGGGTTCCTGACTTCAGACGCAGCAGTAGACGGTTTGCAAGTCGAGTTGGCGACCTCCAGAATAGCCTTTACCGCACGGAAAGAGGTGATTTTGGCAGTAGCAATTAGATAGGTCTGTTCGCGAGGCACTTCGACTGCTGGAGTCGATTGGCTGAGATCCGCAGGCTCTCCTCCTGTCTCGTGGACGGTCGCCAAGGCGGACTGGACCATGCTCTCGTTGGTGGTAGGCTTGTAACGACGCAAGATAGCGCGTATCATATCAGGTACCTGATCTCCATAGTAAATATGAGTGGCCAGATCTCCGATGGACCGTTCCAGTAAGGTGAGCAGCGCCTTGCGTGGGGCGAAAATGCTAGTGAAAATGGGAAGCTTTTCTTCGGGCTTCTTCTTTTCCGTCTCGATGTTCACTGGCGAGAGGATGTTCGAGGCGTATTGCATCAGACCAAGCAGAATATCCATCACACTCAATCCGATCATATTGACAGAGGATTTGAGAAGCCAATCCACCGCGGAAAGAATGGTGTACGATGAATCGAGCGCATCCTCCTTCGGCGTAGTCTCCAGCAAAATATCCATGGCAGTCATTAAGATTACGAAGCGAACCTGCACCGGGCACCAGTTCGCCACCAGCTCGATCAACGTAGTAGCCCAGTTTCCAGCTTGGGCTTTTTCGTGAGATGCATCCCCGGACGCTTGTTCATACTTTTCATACTTCTGTTTAGCAATGAATCGCAGAATTGTCGACGCAGCAATTCTGATCTGTCCCCGATTACTTCCAGACACGATGATCTTCTCCAGGCAGCGTAGTGCTAGCAGTCGAGCGTCCATCTCAGCCTGACGATCATTGTCTGCAGTCGACAGGCTGGCTTGGGCCGGGTTCCCATCCGCGGTGTCTAGAGTGGGCACATCGGCGGCACTTATCCGGTGCGCCCGAACACCTTCACCCTCGCCGGTCTCCGTCTCGCGGAGCTTGGCCTTGAGTGGGATAAGTACATCCTCCGTGGGCGAGTACACGTTGGCCAGGATCACGGGGATAATGAGTTTCAGGGAGGTGCCACCATCAGCAGCGAGGCTCTCTGTGCTAACCACGCTCTTAATGGCACGGAGACCGGCATTCCGCCACCGGATTGCAACGGGCGGGCTGGGCTTTGAGGACGAGTATGATGCGGAGGTCGGGTCGGCAAAGCCCGCGTAAGCATTGACCACTTCGCGATACTTGTGGGCAATGTCTTGCTCGGCGGCAATGATCGCGATGTCCTGGTGGTGACAAAAAGTTTCGAAGGTTTCGAGTGAGTCTTCAACCATAGAAATGTCGTTTGATTTGAGGACGGTCTCGATGATAGTGAGGACGGAGCGCGCATAGATGGGGAGGTCGCGCGGGACTTTTTCAATTAACGCGGTCACGATATGAAGGGCGACCTGCACATTCCTGTAGCGTGTGGCGGTTAGCATTTCCGGTGGACCGTCTTGTTCTTCCAATTTTGTCATCGAAGGCCATTGCGTCAGTCTCTAAAGCGCCCCAAGTGTTACTCACCCCAATCGACGGCGCCAAACATCTTTAGCTACTCGCTTCTCCAGGAAGGCGCCGACCTTGGTCAGTTTGCTGCGACGTGTGCTGGCGTAGTAAAGCAGATAAGAGAGCTCGCTGGGGTTGGGCTTGACCTCCGCCACGCCTTTTTGGTATCGGGGATAACATTTCAGCGTCAGGACCTGGTGTTTCGGCCGACATGACTGACGGACGGTCTCCATTGCAATGATTCTATTCCCGCGGTGGGAGAGCCCAGAAGGAAGATTTGAGGTCGCAGGCGCGGATTAGAGCTGGTCGAGGTCCATAAGCAGAGGAGGGTCGAACGTTAGAAAACCACGTTTGGACGGGAACGGCTGTCCGATGAGGTAGATGGATACCGATCACCAGGGGGGTGGGGCTGGTATCCGCGCTCGACCAAATCCCCGATTGTGTCGAAAAGGGAACTGGAACAACCTGAAAGGAAAAGGGGTACGATGTTTATTAAGAGCGGGGAGAAAAGAAAGGAGGCAAGCTTGAAAGTCGAAGACCGAGCTAAATCCAGTTTGTCTAATTTGGTAATTCGTGACTGGGAACGGGGTCGGCGAGGTTCGGCTTCGAAACAGATGATCACGTAGTGGAACATAAAGTTCTCCGGCTGGTTAACCGGAGTGCAGTTGGTTTTTTTTCTACTTGTACCAGTTGACTTCCTTGGAGCTTTGACAGCCGGGAATACTTGAAATTGAGGCTTAGGGAGGCGACTCCCTGGCACAGTGGGGGCAGGGATTAGTACGAATGCGGCCTGCGGTAATCTCAGAGGGTAATTAAGATGAGCATTGGCGCTCCCGCGCTTGTGTTTGGGAAGGTACTTTGTCTCGTGTCAATCTTCAATCTTTAAATACTGGGAAAAGCTCTGTCGTACAAGGACCAGGTACTTCGACTTCAATGCTGTTCCCACCGCTTGGTCCTTCTCCAAACCCCGCAGTCAATGCGATTGTGCTGTGTCGAATCAACCCGTTCCCGCTTTGCGGTGCTTCCAGGTGTTCGCGCGCCCCATACCTCGGCTCGGTCGCACATGAGAGAGCACACCAGTCCTACCCCCGCAACTATGAACCCGTATCCATAATGATGAAGTTTGACCGCAGTGTTTTTGCCGTATGTGGAGGGCGTGTGGCCGATCATAGGAGATTTTGCCTGGGAGGGATTGATTCACCTTCCGAAACGTAGGTAGGGCTCCGCGGCTGGACAACTCAGACCCAAAGGGCCGGGTCTAGGTCTCATGTCTTCACTCCGTTCTCTTCGTTCTGCTTCTCTGCAGGGCCCGCCGCTTCGGACTCGGTAGCTACTGCATTATCGGTAGCCACAACCCCCGCTAGTCCGTCAATCACCTGAGGGAGGATAATGTCACGCCGGAAAGCATCTTCTTGTAAGAGCCTCAGCGCACGGAGTGTCGGGCCAGGATGAGTCAGAAACTGGGAGTATTCGGGCGTTTTCCAGTATGAATAGAGGGTAGGCAAGGTATGCGGCAAAGGCTTGGGCGTCGGGGGAGGAGGCTGAATCGTCATCGTCGTCCGCGCGCGAGATGCCAAGGAGGTTCGGATAAGTGACAGCGAGGTGGGAAAGATAGTATGGATTGGCGAGCGAGGAGACAAACTCCAGCTCAAGGGTAAAACGGGGGTTTGTGAGAGTCGGCGGTGGCTGTGTGGGCTCCATGATTGTAGGGTGAGGATTGAACAACTGACTCTGGAGGAAGTTGGGGAAAGACGAGCTTCTGAGCTTGAAGGTGCCAAGCCCCACATTGGCCGCCCTCAGTTTGTAAATCCAAACAGCTTTTCTTCCAAGGATTTACCCTTGGAAATTATGGAGCAATAATTAAGACAATTAGTCTGCAGTATAATCTACTGCTGTCCTTAACCCCTGTATCTAAAATACAATATGAGATCTGAACTATTACGTGAATATGTTATATATACAATACATACATACGCAGCCACAGCAAATGCCGGTTCGAGTTGCAGTAGCAACATCTAGAGGAGCCTACTCAAGTCAATCCTCGAGTCCAATCACGATGATGGTTCGCGACCTTTGAGATCTGATGTTCCATGGCGGGGCCGGTAAATCCACGATCAATTGACCTTCACCGACAAAATTAGAGGATTCGTCCCCATTTGCAGCCTGGGTGGCTTATCTCTATAATGGGGAGCCGTAGAGTACTCATGATCTCTTAAAATGGGGACTTCCCCTAACATTCTCACATCATTCAAGATCCTCCCGGTACTGAATATAAAATCAGTGACCTTCTGCTGAGCGTGCGGCGGTGATTATGCCTTAGTAGGTCGGGCATTAAGCGGCAAATCATTCGTGGTTTGGTTCTTTATCAGTCCGACCATGCCGCTGATCACCCTCACTCCTGGACCTGAAACAAGGATGAGAGTCTGTAACTTCTGGCGGTGCGCGTCGATCGGTACATGCCAGTCCCTGTGGAGTTCTATTATGTCGACTTGGGACTGCCGAGCGATTTGGAGCTTCGATCTTTGTTCTGGTACATACTGATCACTTAATGCGTATAGATGTCTTGGCAACACATCTGGCTGCTCGTAGACCCAGGTCTTCGAAGGCCGCAGAGGACCATGCTAGCTGCACTAAGCTCAATCCATATTAGCCCCAGGCTGTCATGCTACCTTCGGTCTAGGCTGTGCTTAAATGCAGACTCGGAGATCAGCATTGTCTGCCCTGAGGGCCCTTAAAAACCCCTGACCCTGTGGATGGGTATTATCGCGATGGACGGAGTACTAAGGACAACCACTCGCGTGTTCCAGCCACGAATCCACATTCTCCCGGGAAGATGACGGCATTTTGGGGTTCTGAAGGCCCCGGGAATGCAGACGTCATTCCAGCGCGAGGCTAGTGTGGAAGAATCTGGGTAGCGTATTCCGTCGGGGCTGACATCTCATTTCCTAGATTCTTGATGTCTTTGTAGTTGAACAAGTCGCCAAGTTCAAAGCTTTTGGTGGGCAGAGAGTGGAGCAGTGTCGATCGCGACAGGTTGACCCCTGGATTTTGCCGCCCTCGTAATCCCAAGATCCAACGACTAGGCGGAGTGTTCTGCAGGAAACCGCCATGGATCATGGGTTGTACAGAACATAATTGCCCCAAAGACACAATAAGCCCAATAATTGAGAGCATAGCAGCCACCACCAGCCACTAGCGATTTCTAGAATCCAAGGAGGTTTGGAAAGTAGAATTAAGTGGTCCTGGGGCTGATCGTCCATCCACATACGTACCTCTCCCGTGTCCCTTTTTTGCCTTTTGCCCCCGCGAAAAGTGTCCGTCGGTCCTCCCCTTCTTCTCTTCTCTATCTCGTTTCATCGCTCAGTCCAAACGGCTGCCCACGTACTGGTGCGACGTCTACCACCCAACCACCTCTCTATCATCACCGCAATTCTCCACAACTGTTTCACCTCAAGATGAATGCCCCTCCAGCGTTCGGGTACCCGCCCGGCGTATCGCTGGCGCAGACAGGTGCGTAATCACGTTCGGCGTCACTTTGATGCCCCTGATCGCCCTTTGTCACACACATTGAGCATATATTGCTCCAAGTGACACTCAAGATGAACCATCTGCTTCTTCTGGAGAAGCCCAATTCACCGGACAGATCCGCTAATGCACGCGACCCCTGCCGCGTTATATAGACACTGTCTCTCCAACCCCAGCGAACTTCGGCTCCAACAACCCATTTCGAAACCGCGCTCTGTCTCCTTCGACTGCCCCAGCTGGAAACAGCCACCCAGACCGACCCCGTTCGACCAACCCATTCTTGGACGACTCCGAGGTCCTGTCACCGCAATCCGCCCCCGGTATGTCGACCGGCACCACCATGATTTCTCCAGTGGGGAACTCAGATATAACCAACAATACCCGCGATCTCTTTGTACGTACTCTCGAGACCTATACCATGGAACAAGAAGACAAAAGAGACTAATCGATCTCAGGAGAACCTCTCTATTCAGGTCGCTCCCGCGCCCCCTGCGCCCCAGGTAGCTCCTTTTCCTCAGCCTAATGGCGCTCGTCCAACAACCAGCGGTGGCCCACGCCAACCACCTAGTCGCTCTCGCCCCCCGAGAGACCGTCCTTCGGGCCGGCCTGTTGAGCCCCGAGCAAAAGACCCTAAGGATCCGTTCGATATATTTGCAGATCCTCCCGCTCTAACCAAATCCTCAACTTCACGCCCAGCAGAGGGTCGTCCTCGCCGCCAACGTCGAAACTCTGAATCTTCGGTGATGGATCGAGCATCTAAGATTTTTGACGATGACGAAGAGAGGAAGCGACGAGAGCGTCGTCGTGAGCGCGAGGCGCGCCATCGCGATGGAAAGCCTCGCTCTTCTCGTAAAGACCGTCGGTTGGACATAATTGATAAGCTTGATGTTACAAGCATTTATGGCACAGGCAGTAAGTTGAAAACAGAGGAGAAAACGAGTGCCTCAGGTATACTGACTCATTCAAGTGTTCCACCACGACGGGCCGTTCGACGCATGTAACCCCCACCGCAATCGCAAGGGCCAGCGCACTGCGCCCATGCAGGCCTTCCCCAAGGGATCTTTGAATATGGCTTTGGGTGGTGCTGGTCCTAATAACTCGAATATCGACATCAACCAATTCCATGGGCGAATGGAAGAAGGCTACAACGATTTCAGTACCGCGGCAACCAGGAACACAGAAGGTATGCCTTTCGATGCAACTGTGAAGCTAGAGCCTATCCACGGCTCAGAGAGTATGGGTCTTGGTACGAGCACGTTCTTGGATGGTGCCCCGGCAAGTCGCTCCGCCATGGCTCGGCGCCAGAGCGAGAACGACGAGTCGGCACCTAACGGCGGTGGTCTCGGTCGCACGAAGAGTCTCGCACAGCGTCTACGCGGCAAAAGTGGCACTGGCCGTGTTGCGTCTCCTACAGAGCATCGATTCGGCCCCACGCCCGCGCCAAGAGGATCTAGCCACTCAGCCTCTTCCAACAAGGCCACCGAGACCAACCCATTCTTCCAAGATTACAACGAGGAGTTTGATCGGAAAGGTTCTCGCATTCAGGAGTCCCAAGTCGGTACAACCGGTCGTGCTCGTGCCATGAGCAGCCCCAAGCAGTCAACCATCCTGGAGCGTCACCGCACCAATGATGACATGCAATCACCTCCAGCAGGCGGCGGTTTCCTGAACCGCATGAAGAGCTTGCGCAAGCCACGCCCCGAGCGCCGACCTAGCGACTAAGCACCAATCATCTATTGAGATGGCATGGTGTATTACTGACCTGACACGACACATCTATATGAGATCGGACACTCGAGTGTCTTATCCTGGGTATCCTCTGGCCCTGGGGATTGATGACTTTTTTTTTTTTCCACGTGTAATACCCAACATGAAGCGCCACTCGCATCTGGCTTCTGACCTGGCGTTTATCTGAAGGCGCAAGTTGATTTTACCTTAACATTGTTTCCCCCGTCTTTCGTTGGCCCGATTCTTGTACTGAGTATACGAGGCTTTTGGGACTGTGTCCAGTGCCTTGGCATTTGCTTTCTTGTATCTTCTATTGAATAAAGCTTTGTTTACAATGAATTGAATCATTCGCTCATATTCCATCGCTTTGGTAGTAGTATATGTCGTAAACCCACTCCGAGCCCAAATTGGCGTTAGTTTACCCTATTAACATGAACATGGGGCTGTCTTTGACAGCCTTTTAAGGTCGAGATTCAGGATGACCGCACATTGAGGGTTCGCGATATCAGACTCGTATCGTTTTAATAGTTCTTCATTTTCATTAAATCATAGTTTGGCCACTCAAGGGACCACTAAATCCCGGGCCCTGATAACAACGACGGTCACCTTGAAGTAGCGCAAGAAATATAAGACAAGCGCCTGTACACCACATGCAAAACTAAGAAACAATGGTATTTTACTCTAATCGAAATCAACCTCCGCATTCCCCGGCCCATTTAAACGCCAGTGGGCATACTCCGCGGCAGATGCGGGTTCTGGACAGCAACACCAGCGCGACGCTTGGACTGGGGCTTCGGTCGGGAAAGTGTGTATCTGCAGGTCACTGTTAGAATGGCGACTCGGACACGACGCTGATGGAGGGGTTCGGGAAAACATACTTGGCAAAGGCACGAGACAGAGCCTTCTTGCAGCTGACCTTCTGGCTACCAATGAATGACTCGACGGTCACTGCGATGGCACGATCGATGTCCTGTGCGGAACAGTATTCTGACAGGCGCATCTTGCAGAAGGCTTCGGCAATACGCATGATGGCTTCCAGGTGACGGACCTAGGCGTTGTCAGTATATAGGTGTGATATTGAGAGGGAGCGTGATAGATTACCGTGATGGGGTAGGCACCTGTGGCCAGGGACTCGCGGCGCATGTCCGCAAAGAGACGGGCGATCTTGTCCTGGTCGATCTGGTACAGTTTGGGGTAGCAGCGCTCGCGAGCGTAGAGAATGTACTTTCGGAGCAGCTCCTGGGGTATCTCGCCCTCCTTCTCCTCATCTTCCTTCTTCTGCTCTGCGGCACGCCTAGCAACCTCTTCCGGGGTAGGTGGGAGACGGCGGCCTTGTGCGTCAATACGGAAGCCCTCCTCGTCAATGCGCTCGCCATCTGCATTCACGAGTTCGCCAGCGTTGTTGCGCAGAGGCTTGGGGGGGTTGGAGCGGTGGTGTGACTCGATTACGAAGTTGGCGAGACGCTCATCTTCGCTCGGCTCAACCAGGTCTCGCACTACGCACAGGATATCGAAACGAGACAGGATAGGCTCTGTAAGCTCAACATTCTGCGAGAAAGGCTTGGTGGCATTGTAGCGGCCGCCAGTAGGGTTGGCGGCAGCAACAACGGCACAACGGGCTTTTAGGGTAGTTACGATACCCGCCTTGGAGATAGAGATGGTCTGCTGTTCCATGGCTTCGTGGATGGATGTTCGATCTTGGTCATTCATCTTGTCAAACTCGTCGATCAAGCAGGTACCACGATCAGCCAGCACAAGAGCACCACCTTCCAGAGTCCATTCACTGGTCAGAGGGTCGCGACGGACACTGGCAGTTAAACCGACAGCACTGGCACCTTGACCAGTGGCGAAAACAGCTCGGTGGGCGGTCTTCTCTACATATTTGAGTACCTGGGACTTGGCGGTACCGGGATCACCAAGCAAGAGGACGTTGATATCACCACGAATCGACATTTTCCCCTGAGCCTCCTTGCTGACACCTCCGAAGAGTGAAAGAGCCACGGCAGTCTTGACGTCGTAGTGGCCGTAAATACTAGGAGCCATGGAGCGGACAATCTTGTCAACGATGTCAGGATCTCTTGACAAAGCGCGAATCTCACGCTCATCCTCTTCAGTCAGATTAAAACCGGCCATCTGGTCGTGGGACTTGACCACATGGTTGGCCTCAATGATAGTAGCGAAGACGGGGAACCCGTTCTTGTTGTTCAATTGCGCATCATAGCTATTGCGGTATATGCCAGTGATCTCAATCTCGTCGCCCGGCTTGGCGGTATCAATCAGGTCGGCAAGAAGAATGACCTCACGCTGGCGCGGCAGACGACCAGCAGGCACAGAGCCAGGAGACTCCTGTAGAGTCAACTTCTGGTAGTTGCGGTAGAGGGTCTTCTCGGAGTTGATCTGGAATGGACCGCGGGACTGGCAGTTCTGACAGAAGGAAATCTTGACCTCGGCGCTGGATTCTTGCTGGAAGGGACCGAGCGTGATACCACACTTCTGACACAAGAACATCACATACTTAAGCTGTGGGAAAACACCGGTGCGGCGAGTGACAACCCCGCTCACACGGACCAAACAGTTGAGGTGGGACTGGCGCAGCTGGCGAAGAGTGTAGATGATGGGTACATCGGTGATGCGCACGTGAATCTCGTTGTGGATATCATGGTATGACGGGTAGTGGAAAAGAGTGACATCGAGCGCGGCTTGGTCGAACACTTTCAAGACTTCAGTAGGTTCGTTGGCCAGGAAATATGAAAGCGCAGCCTTCGACTCGCTCAGATGGGCGTAAGATACCTCCAGTGATGCAGAGTTGATTTCACCCAGATGCTTAATACGGTTACCGTAAACCGATTGACCCGACGGATCGATATACTCGGTCAAGAAAGCTTTGAACTCCCGGTACATGGATCGCAGAACTTGAGGCTGAGTAACCCAATCGGTGATGTTTCCGGCCTTGACATCTGCCAGCTCCTCCAGGGACAGCTCTTCCATGCCTTCATCTGCCATATCGATATCCTCCCGTTCTTCATCATAGTGATGACGCCGACGGCGGGGCTGGCGCGCTAAGTCTAATTCGAGATCATCGTCGTCCTGTAAGAACGCAGCGGGCATACGGCGGTTGCGAGCAATTTCACGATCCCTCTGGTTCAGTCGAGCATCCAATTGCCGACGGGCGCCAACATCAAGGTCCTCGTAGTCACCGTCGTCGTCAATGTAATGCTCGTTCTCGTACTGATCTTTTTCGCCGGCGCGGTAGTCCCGCTCAAAATCGTCGCCGAAAAGGTCAATCCCATCCTCGTCCTCTGCCGCTTCATCCGCATCATCAATATCCAGTATCTCCTCATTTTGGACCTCTTCATCATCAGAGTATTCCTCAAATTGCATAGGCGGAGATGAGGCAATTGCGGGAGCTGTGCGACCGTTAGTGATATTTTCCCATGGCAGCCTCAGGGGAATCTACATACGACTTGAAGGGGCCACTGGGACTGGCGAGGACATGTCATCTGGTTCTCTTGAACGCTTGCGAGCATTCGATCGTGGACCGCGGTTAGCAGCCGAGGAGCTGGGTTGGAGGGGACTGCATTGCGATTAGCCTTGTATGCTGAAAATTTTGGACTATTGTTTCAACTTACTCCATGCTGAAAGTTGGGCTCAGACAGTTACACTAGGGGAAAAAATCGCAAAATCCAGTAAATCCCAATGCCTGAAAATAAAATAACGAGCGATGCTTTTTCCCTTGTCCTTCTCGAACACTGGGAGTTGATGGGAAGGGAGAAACGAAGGGGCGGGCGGAGCAACTCGAATTCAAGTCCCAGCGGCGCGTGTTGCGACGCGACGCGTTTCAATTTTACTCAATCTGGACACCACGTGACACGCAGCACGCGTGGCAGGGCCTGTCTATCCGTTCAATGGCCCACGTTGAGCTCCCCTCTTGTCATCTCGGAAAATCGAGGAGAGAAGATCAACAGAATCATTCAAAACAGTCTTACTCTGCCTGGAAATATATTGTATTCTAGCAGAGAGTCATATAGAGCCTAGGTTGCTGCTTCGGCAAAATACAGCGCTCAGTGAACCCGATAGTCCAGCCAGCTAGTCGTATGCTCGAAATCAGCTATGACTCGGACGTATCCAAGTTAGAATCTATGGACGGTCATTCAAGTATACCACCACGAGCTCCCTCTGGGATACATGGGGACTAGATATATTCATAAACGCGATCTGTAGCCAGGTCGGGTAATATTGCTTGATGCAAACACTACAAACACCTCCGCGTCTCGCGATCGGTCCTCCGCGGGTGCTGCAGCGCGTTCGCATTCATCTCAAACACCAAAGGCTCGTTTCTTTGCGGCAGTTTCATCCGAGGTCGATTGAACGATTTATCAAGGGTAATGTATGTGCTTATAGGTGCAGAATAAAGGCATCAGGTTGAGCCTCGCGCTAATACTACTTCCACTAGATTATCCATCTGGAGATCACCTGGAAGAAAGATTGACCAGGGAAGGCGCCACGGACGAGTATAACCCACTCGGAAACCGAATCGAAGTCCTCAATAGAACCAAGAAATCACTCCGCTAAGTGTTCGTCGAACTACTTTTTCCCGATCATTAGCCACCGAGATAAAAAAAAAAAACGAAAAAAAAAAAAGAGAGAGGGAGAGAGAGACAATCGACCCGTCTTACTCGGCGATTCGTGCAAACACTCATCTGGAGCGTGTGGTAGTTCTGTGGCATCTGTAGCCATTCAGCATTTGGATCTGCTGTTGAAAGCTTTGGTGGCGTGAACACAGCTCTTGTGACCTGACAGGCAAAAGCTTGCCACAGCAAGTGCTTCACGACTTTGAGCACATCATAACGCAAACATCCAGCCACACGTCACCGCCCACCCCGTCCATCGAAAGCCAAATGGAGAACACCGCGGCAGGCCAAATCAAGGCTGATAGTCGACGAGGCAGTGTCGGGTCGGAGAACTCCCAGACGGCGAAAGAGTACGATCCATTCTCGTAGGTCTTACGAACTGAGCTAACAGTGCGCAGGTTCATCGATTCCCAAACCCGCCTTGAGGCTGATGCCCGAGAGGCTCTTCCCTATGTAAGTATCAGATTCAGCTTTATAAGGCCAGGACTGACAGATCTCATGATGTAGTCTTTTGACTCCTGCACCTATGACCTTGGCCCTCTGCGACAGAGCCTCTTCGCATGCTTGACTTGCAACCCTCCACCCTCGGACTCAAATGATACTTCGTACACCCCGGCGGCCGTCTGCTACTCATGCTCGATTGCCTGCCATGGCGAACACATCCTGGTCGAACTCTTCAACAAGCGCGATTTCGTTTGTGACTGTGGCACTACCCGCATGCCCGCCAACGCCTTGTGCACTCTACGCGAAGACCCCGAGACAAAACGCAAGGGCGTCCATTCGCAAAAAGCAGCAGCAGGTAACAAATACAACCACAACTTCCGCAATCGGTTCTGCGGCTGTGGAGAACAGTATGATCCACATCAAGAGAAGGGTACCATGTTCCAATGTCTCGGTCTAGGCACAGTTGAGACTGGAGGCTGTGGTGAGGACTGGTGGCATCCTGAGTGCCTTATTGGTCTCCCAAGGGATTGGTACAAGAACACAGAAGCTGCACCTCAGACACAGACATTGGGTGGCGGGGATGCCGCCGATGAAGTGGAAGAAGAGGGCCTACCCCTTCCGCCAGGATTTCCTGATGAAGATGATTTCGAGCACCTGATTTGCTTCAAATGCATTGACTCCAACCCATGGTTGAAGCGATATGCTGGAACCAAAGGCTTTCTTCCGCCTGTCTACCGGGATGGGGGTATGAAACCCGAATCTGTTGTCAAAGACGAAGCTCCTCAAGTAAAGAGCGAAGAGATCTCAAAGGAGCAAGACCAGAACCCTAAGAAGCGCAAGGCTGAAGACGACGAGAACTCCGTTGATCCCAGTGCGAAGCGCGCCAAGGATGGCTCCCCATCTAAAGAACAACCTTCCAATCTTACCAGTATTTCTGAAGAGCCCGCTTTTGAGCCCGCTCAGAGCACTCAGAGCACAACTGCTGCTCAACCGAAGCATGCACTGCTACCGACCTCGGGGCCGGTTGAATCGTTCTCGCTTTTCCTCTTAGAGGATTTCCAGGATCAGCTCTGCCGCTGTGCAGATTGCTGGAAATATCTGTCAGATCATCGCCAGCTCCGCGAAGAGGAGGTCACGTACGAGCCTCCGCTCTCGGAAGACGGCGACGCCAACGGTGCTGCAAGCACCGGTACGGGCAGTCTCCTTGAACGCGGGGAGGCAGCTCTCAGCAACATTGATCGGGTGCGAGCGATCGAGGGCGCCATGATCTACGATCATTTGCGCACCAAAGTGAAGGATTTTTTGAAGCCCTTTGCGGACACTGGACGTGCGGTCGGCGCTGAAGACATCAAGGAGTACTTTGAGAAGCTTCGGGGCGATACGGCTGGAATCCGGGATGCAGCCCAGGCTGTAGAAAAGGGTGGACGTGATGGTGGTAATGGAGATGGTGATAGTCGTCGTGAGCAGAATGGTGAGTTCAAGATCCCCGAGTATTCTTTCATTGCTAATGAGAAATAGGCTACTAAAATTTACTGGATCATCCAACATATTCCTGGTGATTTCTCAAGTACTATGTTTCTGGGCCTTTCAACATCTTTCACGGAGCGAACTGGGACAAGGGTAACGATTTAGGGGCGGGCTCCGGATATGATTTCAATATACAATTATTCAAATAATGGGAAAACTTCGCGGTGTTTCGTACCTCCAGTAGCCCCGTAGAAGAGATTTGTCCATAAGACTCGGATCTGGGACAGTCGGCGCCGTGCCCCTCCATCGTAGGTATACTCCTATCCCCCAAGATTATCCGAATTATATTAATGACTGTATGGATAGACGTGACCAGACGCTCCAGAGTGGCTTTCTGGTGGTCTGTTCTCGAATATTCTGTGATCCTCTGTGGCTGCTAACTATAACTAGGCTCGACTAGCTACTAGCACTAGTGGCGTTTCAACTTACCGAACCCTCGGCGGTCACGGTTGAGTAGCGCGAAGTACCAGTTGGATCTGCCAGTGTAGCCTCATCATTGGACAACCAAATTTCCTCATATGTCACCATCTTTGAGACAGCGCTTCTAAGCTCACCAGCTACTGCCTACACACCGCCAGCTTGACATTGGAATTTACCAGGTGGGGTTTAACCAAGACACCAACCGGTGTGTGCCGCAGGCCAAGGCCACTGCCGTTTGGCTCAGGAAGTGGACCAAGGCATCTTTATTTTTTGCGCTGGGCCTCAAGCTCAAGCTCTACGAAGCCCATCTTGAGTTTGAGTCCTCAGTCCGGTTTGGCCCGTTATGAACCCTAATGGATCTTCAAGACCAGGTGCGGGGTGCCACTTCATCATCCCATTGTCTGTCCCCTTGCCAAAGCCTCGGCTGACGTCGGTCTTACAGATTATTCCAGGAAACTCCAGGTACGGAGAAACCCTAGTCAGAAACCTAGGAATTCTCGGACCAGGCATCCATTTACTCTGTCCTCGGAGGGATTAATGGTGGTGGGCCTTGGGGTGGAGCAAGTCCAGAACTGACGTCGAGGAGAGCCGCTCCGTCGAGAACATCCATAATATTTAGAAACCCGTTTATAGGCCCTCTTGCCCCACGATGTACTAGTATTTTTCCCTCCCCCCTCCTTTGCCAGTGCCTTCGGACCCATTAGAGTGGTGTTCTTCCCCCCTTTTCTTAAGGCCTTACGCAAGAAACCAAAATAGAAAACCAATTGTACAACCCCTCGAGGGCGGTCGCTGATTCTTGGCCTTGTGGGATCGACCCGAGCGAGCAGATCGCAGATCGGCTCTGGGGTTCTTAACAAGCCAAACACCGGGCTGGTCGAACCCTCGATCAGGGCCTAGAGCCTTATTTGACTGGAGCAACTCGCGGCCTTCCTTCACCTCTCATTGTCCCTCTCATACCCTTCCGCCATGGTCCGGTTACCGCTGCCAACGCGACTGAAGAGCTCGCATCTGGTCCCGCGGAGCACAACCACCACCCCGGGACAAAGCAGAAGTACTAGTCCTATGCGAGCGCCGCTTGATTCAAAGCCGCTCTTGCTGAAAGTCACCGTCATTCGTGTACGTCATTCCCCTCTCGCCCCCCAGGCGCCGATCGCGTCCTGGCATATGGGCCACGAAAGCTAACCTTACACGTCATTGCTCTGTTTTAGGGTCGGAACCTTGCAGCTAAAGATAGAGGTGGGACAAGTGATCCGGTAAGTATACCTCAAGAGCCCCTCCCCTTGCGTCGGGGATTTAGCTGTCACCCCCTTGGACACATGGCTGATGACACGGTGGACAGTACTTGATTGTGAACCTGGGCGACGCGAGGCAGTCGACGCCAACGATCCCGAAGACATTGAACCCAGAATGGAACGTCTCCTTCGAAATGCCGGTCATGGGCGTCCCGCTGCTTGAATGTATTTGTTGGGACCACGACCGGTTTGGCAAGGATTATTTGGGCGAGTTCGACATTGCGCTGGAGGACATCTTTACAGGGGGAGAGATCGAGCAACAGGTAGGCTGGGACAATACGCGTGGTCGTTTCAGCGAGGGCTGTGTAGGAAGTCCAATGGCTGACCATATCTCTCTGATAGCCAACATGGTATACCTTGAAGTCGAAACGAGCGGCCAACCCGACCCGACCAGCAACAACAAAGAAGAAGAAGAAGAAGGATAGCAATGTGTCGGGCGAGATACTGTTGCAATTCTCGCTGGCGGATCCATCGGACCCGACTGCGACAACTCACGACATATATCGGAAGTTTAAACAGCTCGTCTGCGCGGAGGAGGACGATAGCCTGGATCAGATAATCCCAACGGCAGAGCTGGACGAATTGGATCAAGATGAGGACACCTCTGATGAGACCGACGACCCCTCGAAACCAGAAGTGGTTGAAAAGCGGCGGCGGAAATTGCGTCTGGCACGTCTTCGACGCAAGTCACTAGCTGCCCGAGCATACCAATTCTCGGGAGCTGGTACGGGTGTACAGGGCATTGTATTTATGGAAATCATCAAGGTGACCGATCTACCTCCGGAACGAAATGGTAAGAAATATTGTCCTTGATCCAGTTGACCTCGATATTGATCTGCCTTCTAGTGACACGTACATCGTTTGACATGGACCCTTTCGTTGTGACTTCTCTCGGAAGGAAAACGCTGCGGACACCTGTTGTGCGTCATAACTTGAACCCTGTCTACCATGAGAAGATGGTATTCCAAGTTATGCGACATGAGCAGTCATACTCAATAAGCTTCACGGTCATGGACCGGGACAAGTTCTCCGGAAATGACTTTGTCGCTTCCGCCAACTTTCCTCTACAGACCCTTATTAAGACTGCGCCGGAGGCCGATCCGGAAACGAACCTGTACCAGTTCGTTGAGCTGGAGGAAGTTGAAGCTCCTCCTCTCCCGGCGAAGTCGGCACGAGCTCCTCTCAGCTCCCACTCATCGTCGGCCAGTCTTTCAAAGATTACACGCCCAGCGCTGAAATCGCGCAACTCAGCAACTTCTATTTCAACACACTCTGTTCTTGAGGTCGCGAGTAAGGCTGCACCCACCTCTGCGCCAGTTGAAGCAAATCAAGCAACCGATGCAAGTAGCTCTACATTGCAGGTTCCGTCTACTATTTCTTCATCTCTACCATCTCCTACCTCCAACTTGGTCGAGCCAGATGTAGTTCCGCCCCCTGATGAAGAAGGCTTACGTCAATATATCATCCCTCTTACTCTTAAAAATAAAGAGCGGTGGGAAGCCAAGCACTCGCCTGAACTATTCGTTAAAGCCAAATACTTGCCATATAGCGCACTTCGACAGAAGTTCTGGAGAACTCATGTTGAAACAATACGATGCAGACGAAAGTGGACGAATCGACAAGATCGAACTGACCACCATGCTGGATACTCTGGGCTCTACACTGAAGGAATCCACCATCGACAGCTTCTTCCAGCGCTTCAGCGACGAGAATGGCTCCAAAGAAGGGGACCTTAGCTTTGATCAGGCTGTCATGTGTCTCGAAGATACATTGAAGGCATTGCAGAAGAAAAACGCGCCACCCACGTCACCCGGTAGACCTCCACTTGGACCGTCGTCCGTTGGAAGTCAAGAAAGTGAGCCATCCAGCAGCGATGAGCTTGCCACCGAACCGAAGCCATCACATGCTGATCCACCCACCGTAGCGGTCCCGACTATCTCTAGTGAAAATACCCCTCAGCTCGAGCAATGAGGATCTTCACCCGGACGACCTGGTCGACGAAAGAGGAGAGGAGCATGTCGTTGAAATCCGTGAATGTCCTCTTTGTCATCAGCCCCGCCTGTCAAAGCGTTCGGATGCGGATATCATCACGCACATTGCCACTTGCGCTAGCCGTGACTGGCGTCAAGTTGACAACCTCGTCATGGGTGGTTTCGTGACGTCTAGCCAGGCTCAACGGAAATGGTATTCTAAAGTCATCACAAAGATCTCTTATGGTGGCTACAAACTGGGGGGCAAATTCCGCCAACATCCTTGTGCAAGACCGAATCACTGGCCAGATTAATGAAGAGCGCATGAGTGTCTACGTTCGTCTCGGTATCCGTCTCCTCTACAAGGGTCTCAAGAGCAGGGATATGGAGAAGAAAAGAAGTAAGTATAGAATTCTCATAGGAAAAGCACTTTTACTTACCTTGCTTTTACAAAAACACAGTCCGTCGCGTCCTTCGATCTCTCAGCATCAAACAAGGCCGGAAATACGACGACCCAGCATCCGCCAGCCAAATCCGCGATTTCATCAACTTCCACCAGTTAGACATGTCGGAAGTGCTGTTACCTGTAGAGGAGTTCCGCACTTTCAACGAATTCTTCTACCGTGCCCTGAAACCTGACGCGCGCCCATGTTCCGCCCCAGACGACCCCCGAATTGTCGTCTCCCCCGCTGACTGCCGCTCGGTGGTCTTCGATCGCATGACTGAAGCAACCAGCATCTGGGTCAAGGGCCGAGAGTTCTCTATCGAGCGCCTCCTAGGCGATGCGTACCCAGAGGACGCACCACGGTACCGCAACGGTGCTCTGGGCGTATTTCGTCTCGCACCGCAGGACTACCACCGCTTCCACATTCCCGTAGACGGAGTTATGGGCGAGCCGAAGACTATTGAGGGTGAGTATTACACTGTGAACCCGATGGCTATTCGCTCTGCGCTGGATGTGTACGGCGAGAATGTTCGTGTGCTGGTCCCCATTGACTCCGTCGCCCATGGTCGTGTCATGATTGTTTGTGTAGGTGCCATGATGGTTGGCAGCACCGTGATTACCCGAAAGGCTGGCGAGCAAGTTGCCCGGGCCGAAGAGCTTGGGTACTTCAAGTTTGGCGGTAGTACGCTACTCGTCTTATTCGAGGAGGGAGTGGTCAAGTTTGATTCCGATCTGGCTGATAACTCCAAGGGTCCGTTGGAGACACTGGTAAGTACTCTTTGCCTTATCAGCTGCTTTTCGAGGCTTGACTAACAGTTCTAGATCCGAGTTGGTATGTCTGTCAGCCACAGCCCCGAGGTCCCCCAGTTCGAGGCGGACATGGCCAAGAAGGCGGAGAATATCACGCAGGAGGATATGGAAGACGCCAAACGCCGGATTGCAGGCAGTGTTGCGCCGCCAGACAAGCTTGCTACGGCTGCTATTACGAAGTGAGGAGATTGGCTGAGGACGGGTCTCCTACACCTAGGCATCAGAGGCCATAGGCCATTGAACCTGAGTGCTGTTCATTGATAATACTGAGTGAGCCTTATCTTTCTCATGGGCAAAAACTGGTGTTGGGGGTTTGTGGTTTACATAGCGGTTTCTCTATCTATCGGCATCTGCATAGTGCGGAATCCCTTCATTTAGCATTGGCTGCAAGTACATATCGCAGCTCGGAAATATCATTGTATTCATGGATCATTTTGGCTGGGTCTCCGCCTCAGGCTTGAATTTCGAAAGCATCATCACTGGGCTCCGCTTTCACTCATATCATGATTCGTTACGAGTGCCAGTATGCATTTCAAATCTCTAGCATCTTATTAAGATACCCCCGAGCTGCATCCGTGGAGCCATGTCGATTATTTGGTTCAGCATATCACGAGGGGTTTGCATGTAAGGCCCCAGCCTTCCCAGATCTCAAGAATGCTCAATGGCACTAGCTCAAGCGTAGCGATTGTTCACACAACGTAATACCACTGTCTGAGCTTGGCAATTCATTCTATAGAATATCTGTCATCTGTGGACATCTCGGCCATTTGCTCTTGGTATCCTTGGATGTGTTATTGGGACTGTGACGTAGGGGGGAATCCTCCGGAAACGCCTAACAAGGTATAGAGGAAGAAAACTGGCGGGTCTTCATCCAGCGCAAGGTACCAAAGCAGTGACGGGTGTTCTTCTCAGTGTTAATGATGAACCATTTTTTTATTAAAAATATTAATGTGCACAAATAAGAAACGTTCTTTATCGAGGTCTGTTGAGGAGATGCAGAAAGCAGAAAGGCCCACAACGCTGTATAAAGCCCAGTCCAAAAGCGGTCTAGCGCCCCCACGCGCCCCCGACCAAAACAACCGCGTGCCCGAATCTCCTCCAACCCACCATCTGCGCTTCCCTTGCCGCCCGCAGCCACGCAATTGCAGATGCAATTTCGACCTGCGCCCTTTCCAGCATCAAAGACGCTGCCAAACTGGACGCCTAAGTCTACCTCTGCTCCCGCCCCAGTCGAGGGGCGCACGCCTGGTCTGGAGATCTTCATCTCAAGCCCGACGCGACCAGCTGTTTGGTGCGACCAGACCACAAGAAAAACAACGACAATAGGATTTTGAACAACCCGCTATCTCGAGAAAACCGCGACATCTGACCTCGAAACCGCCCATTGAGGGGGTCCGACCAGTGCTCCCCAATCTCATCCGCGACTGCCAATCCTTCGTCAATCTCCCCTGACATGACCACCACGGTCATAGCGGCTACGACGACCAAAGTAAAGCGCCGCGAACCGTTGGGGACGATTGGAATGGCGGCCTCCCAGGCGCAATCGCGTTCGGCGGGCGCGTCTGGCAGGACTGCTGGTAAACGGAGTGCTCGCCTAGGCGCAGCGCAAGATGGATTGGGTGAAATGACGAACAAAGGTGGGAAGCGGCCAGCGGGTGAGTTCTACGCCAAATCATATTTGTATAGGTGGGGTATCAAGTGTAAGAGGTTCTAACGAGGCTTTACTTGGCGCAGTATACGAGGAAGACGAAGACGGATTCCAGTTTTCGCGAAAACCCTCAAAAAAGCCAAGGCCGTCTGTGGAGCCGGCTTCAGGGAATCCACAGTCGGACTTGGAGAACGCGCCTCCAAAATCGACTCCAAAGAGGGGGCGACCACCGAAGAAACAGAAAGATAGCGCCAGTGCAGCTGCAGTATCAGTAAAGGGGCCAACAACTGAGCTCCCAACAAGGAGGCCGACCAGAGGGAATGGAAATAAGGCAGATGTACAACCGGCGTCAGAGTCACAGCCAACGCAGATGACGCGCTCACCACGAAACCACGAACCTCCTTCACCAGAATTACCCCCAGCAAAGGAAAGGAAACGAGGGCGCCCGGCCCGACCGAAGAATCCAGAACCGAATGGGTTTAAGTCGCCTGAGCCACCGTCCGTAGGTACGAAAGTAGCTCTTCCCACGGCGGACACACCGGTCATCCAGCGAAATAAGGAACTGCGGGGTTCAAAGTCAGATAAGGGTAGACGACGGAGCAGTTTAGGGATGAGGGGCGTCGAGCCAGCTCCTTGATCGACACAGGAGCTTCTACCGGTAGGAATCACCTAATTTTTCGATGAAGTGACGAGGAGCTAACTCGCACAGCAATGCCTCATCCGAAAGTCGGAACTGAAGAATTCTTCAAACACATTGCTGATAGTGGTCTTCCAGAGCCACGGAGGATGCGACAACTTCTGGTCTGGTGCGCCACTCGTGCGATGGGCGCTGAGAAATCGAGCTCACGCTCAGAGGATCCGAGTGCCCGCTTAGCAGGTAAGATAAATTCATACTTTACCGAGACAGCTATATTGACTTGATTTGGCTTCTAGCGCGTGTTATTCAAGAAGAAATCCTGAAGGACCTTTCTACGAATGACCTCTTATCCAACTGGTTTAGCCGCGAAGACGTGAATCCTCCCACGATCGTGGTCAAAAAGCCGAATCCGAGAAATGTGCAAAATATGGACAAGATCAAGGAATTGGAGGAACATATTCAAAAGTGAGCAAATATAGCGAGCATTCCACAGAGCCAGGTGAATTAACTTGTTTGGACAGACTCCAAAAAGAGCGACATGCTCTGAATGCCCTCCATAAGCAACCCACGATTCCACCAGTCACCAGTGACCCCGAAATGCAACCCAAGCGCAAAGCACAGACATCACCTTACGACCACATCGACACCTCTCTCCTTGACCCCTCTCAACAAGCCCTTCTTGCGTCACTCCATCCTCCAGCTCAAACATCTTCCGAGGACAAGTCCTCATCTTCGAGGTCATTACCACCTGTCTCGCCCTCAACCGTTTCAACTCGTCTTTCCAAAATCACCACAGGACTCGCTCCTACCCTCGACGCTTTTGCGGCTGGAATTCACGATATCGAACTGTATCGATCATCGGCAGATGCTGTATCATCACGAATACTACGCATTTGCTCCCAGCGGCTCGAAGAGCGCGATGCATTGAATACCCAGCAATGGCTCGCAATCGAGGGTAATGATAATGAATCACATACTCCAGGAGAAGGCCGTGCACGTCGACGAGAAGACCTCGGAATGGTCCTCGGCGCACTCAGCCGAATCGAGCGACGGTAGAGAAGGATTTCTGGCTGGACTCGATATACTTGTGTTGTGCTTGGGCTATTAGCCCCTCCGTTTCCTTTCCCCTCTCTTCCTCGTTTCCAGCTGCATTCTCTTACCAGCAGAACTTTACGGTTGATGAGCTGCTTTTTCTTTGGTGATGATTTGACGAATCGGTCTTCTTGTTCCTTGAGCATGGGCGTCATGAGGTAGGGGCTGGTGGGATACATTTCAATCATTCTTGAGCATTGGAGTTCGGGTGTTGGGTTGTCTAATATACCGTGGTGGGGATCGAATCTTGAATCTTGGACGCTTATATTGTGTTTCTAGCATTGTTACCAATTCATCTTACATGAATCCAATCTAGTGTATGAGCTGGGACTTTGTCCAGCCACAATGAATATTTCAGGAAAAGCGACGTTGCTCCGAAGAAAGAGCGACTGTTGAATCGAGAACGCTACAAGTAGATAGCGCACTACATGACCATGACAGCCTGACCCATACCTCTCGAAACTGCCAAGACCCCAAGAACAAACATAAAAGAACCAAAACCGAGGACAGGTGGACAGGATACAAGTCTTTCAGAAGTCGCTAGTAGTGGCTCAAGGTGACGAGGGGACTGGGAACCACCGGCTTTCCCCCAGAAGCGTGAAGTTCGCTAAGAGACGCTTTTACGGGGCAGTATGACTTGCCTCCTTAAGAATGTGGGGTTGAAATACTCCTACCTAACAAGAAATTCATTGAATACCAAGAATCAAGAATATTGCTACTATGCATAAACTCAACCTGGCTGCCGAAGCCCCAGTATGCGTAAATCGGACCCCCACAGGCATTAAGGGCAGCACGCCAAACAAAGTCGCAAGCAAGAACTAATGCAAAAAGGAAAAAACAGAAAGACGAGACAGTCTGAAAAGCCAAATTATCAAAGAAAGACGAACTGCCCAAGCAGGGGCCTCGATGTGGTCATGACTCATGAGAATCGTGGCTTCTATGTATGTCCGAACAACAAGTCCGGCGGCGATGAGTCGGGATAGACTTTGTCGGCGAGAAAGGAAGACGAAGTGGTGCCCAAAGGAAAGAAAATAAAAAAAAAAAAAGATCACAGAGGACCAAAAACAGAAATGAACATTGCCTGTCGCGCTTCCAACTCCTCCGCTCCGCATGAACTCCGCCAAGTAATTGAATTCACAATGAAATGGATCACCAGCGTGTAGGGGCAATTTGATACGCTGGTGAGGTATAAGGGGTGACGAGTGTAGATGAGCTGTTTCAAGGGGTGTGTATAAGGGGGAAGGGGATGCGTGTATAAACTGTCCAGGTTTGGCTGGATATCACTGGGCAAAGTCGAGCCTAAATTAGAAGCTGAAGAGTCCACTGCGCTTCTTGCCTAGGGGGGTAAACGATGAGAGCGGCGAGGAAGAGCCCAACGGTTGTGCCTATTGCGATCTGGACCATGCCGTAGCCGATGTCGAAAACAACACCGTATGATTGAGTCCGGTTTTCGGGGGAAGTCATGTTCTTCGCCGCGTCGGCGAAGCCCTGGGTTCCGTTGGAAACGACCGAGTATGGTGATTGGGTCATTTCCTCTGCCGAAGTGATCCCCGAGATCAAGGAACCACTAGCAGCCAGGCCGGAGGGAACAAGAACCCATATAGCAGGTAACATGGCAGCAGCGGCAAGGCCATGGCGGATGCGGCTGTAGAAGTTGCCCATAATCCCAATCACGAAGGCGCCAAGGGCGTTGGAGACCTGCGTGTTCGAGTAGAACCGCTTTGAGCTGAAGTATGTCACCGCGTAGCCAGCCAGTGATATGCACAACATGACGGGAATCTGCTTCCACTTGGCGAGATTGACAAGGGCAAGACACACGGTGAACAGCAGGACAAAGGGGAACCGCTGGAGATATTCATTGGTGATGGGGCTGGCAGGGCATGTGTACGCAGTCGTCGCCTGGGAGTCGAGCAAGCCGTAAACAGCGGTGCCAATCGTGATGCCGAACCCCAGGAAAAGCGAGTATATGATAGCATAGACCATCCGTACCGATCCAGCAATGATGCTGCCCGACTGGAGCTCTGAGACTAGCGCATAGCACAGTGTAGCCCGGCAAGATCAGGGCGATGGAAGACTGGGCGAGTGCAGAAAAGCAAAAGAGCGGTTCACCGGCGAACTTGATACTCCCAAACGCGCGGGCGAGGAAGGAAGTCAACACGGCCGCAGAGATCTCGAATACGTTTGAGTAGAGACTTGACTTGGGAGACAAAATGAGCTGTAAGATCCCCAGCATGCAGCCCAGGAGAAACGCGATGGGCATGTCGATTGGTCGGGCCTGAAAGGCGAAAGGCCCCACGCATGCACTAGCACACCCATGGGCAAGGATCCGGAAGAGGATGTGCAGTTTGTCGGGTCTCTTCGCAATTTCGTCGAGCCGCTGGATGGCTTCTTCCACACCGATCACGTCGTGGATCACTTCTTTGTATATCTCGTGCACATCCGCAAGACGGCTAAGGTCCACGCCTTGCGTTGATCTGACGACTTTGACCTCGGTCGTGTGCGTTGAGGCGTCATCGAACGATATGATCATACATCCAGGGATGTACAAAAATTGCCCATCGATCTCTAACACGCGAGCAGTCATCCGCATGTATTCCTCGAGGCGGTGGGTCGGCGCACCGTATTTCATCAAGGCTCGACAGAGACGGATCAGATATCTCTGACGCGATAGCAGCTCGGCGATGTGAATGGTAATTCGAATTTCGTCTTCGAGATGAGGTCTTTTCCAGGGGCGAGAGACCTGGCCCACAGCACCACTGCTCTTGGATCGCTTCAGCATGGCAAAGGGGGACGACGTCCTTCGGGTTGAGCTGCTGGAAGACCCCGTAATGGTGGTTCCAGTCAGCGTAGTGCTCGAGCGGCTGGGTGATTTATCATACCACTTCCTAGGTCGATTTGGTTTGCACGTATCCGAGGATAGGCTGCGTCCGCTGAACTCAGAGGAGCTTTCTTCGGATGTGCTGCCATACCGACCTCGACGTTGGCTGCTGAAGAGGGAACCGCTGCTGCGGCGGTCGTATAGCTTGAGAATAGAAGACAAAATACCACCACGGTAATAGGATGGTCGCTCGACGTACGTCTCTCTTGGTCCCTTTCTTCGACTGGAGTCACCCGGCCGGAGAGAGGACCTGGAGAAGGAGCACGAACGCGAGTGAAGAAGCTGAAGTCCGGACGGGACATTTGGTGTATAAGATTGGAGGCCTCGGAGGTGCGCGGAGTGAATCGCCCGTTGTCGGTGGGCGTTGCATTCTCGTTTGTGGAACCAGAGGGTTGTTGTTTCTCAGGCAAGCTTATCATAGGAATCTCATCCCCATATTCAGCAGTATGCACCACTTCGGTGGAAGCAGATGTAATGGACGGTGCAGGGCTCACTCGAGGGCTGAGCCGCGGGGATTTTTGAGGGCGACTTAGTAGGGATGCCAGCTTCTGCGTATTATCTTCACAGGCCACAGCTTGCTCTTGGTCGTCGGAGCATACGCTGATCTCATTGCCGGGCGAGCTCGACTGGGGATGGATCATCAGGCCAGTGACATCTATTGACGCCCCTGCCGACCTTAATGCCCCTTCCTCCACTGAGGGCTCGGGGATTATGTTTACGGGCCCTTTTTCCTGGCTGGCTGGAATGCTAGCAGCCGGCCATGGTCTTCGAGGCAAAGCTGTTCCATTTGGATCCAGTCGGGTCTTATCCGAGGATCCACCAAATCGGTCTTCCGACTCAAGCTCGTCGAGCGTAAACTTGACTCGATTGGCGGGTTTCTGAGCTCCTGCATTCCACTGCTTGCCCCGAGCTTCAGCTTCCGCCACCCTGCACTCCTGATATGCCCATGGGACCGGCAAGCTATCACTCGAGGCGAGGAATGACGATTGATGTGACACAGAGGAAGTTCTGGGAGCACTTTTCCCCGTATCAGGAGTGCTGGATCGACGCGAGCCCGAGCTGGGAAGCTCAAAATAACCCCCCACCATTCTCGGGCCCTAGTTCCTTTGCGCTTCTTTTGGTGGCTACAATCAAAAATGGAATAAGTTTCGCTTCAGCCCTAAACGAAACCCACCTTCGTCGTGAATCAGAATGTATAGACGATGTGGGTAAACCTCGTAGGTGTGAAGAGGTCAAGTTTAGAGGACCTGTAACCTGGCAACGGTCAGTTATGTGATCTCAAATACGATTCTCCTCCCCACCCATCTCAGGGGAAATGGTTCCTCCCCGGTGTTACATGGGGCCTTTAGCGAGCTGCTGGATCGAGATCTCTTACTTTGTTGCACATTCAAGATAGCAAACGAGATTTGTCCTGTTGGCAAGGATGTGATCTCATACGCTCCGTGTCCGGCACCTCCTGTCAAGGGGAGAGATGGAAGGGTCCTTGCCTCCAGGAATGATATTATGTCACCGGTACATAGGGCTGGAGACACCCAAATCCTGCGGCCTGAAAACCGGTCTGTAGCAGTCGAATATCGGATCAAGAAAAACGAAGTATTGAGTAATTGGAATTTGGTCGGAGCCACTTGCCAACACGGCGTTCTCAGATACTTTTACACGATAAAGAAGCTGAGAGGTGACTCTGCGTTATCGGAAGCCACACGGGCCACATGAATAGCTGACGATTTGATTTCCTCCCCGGGCGATGGTGGGAGGAAAGTGTACATGTAGCCATCGACGGGGGTGGGCAGCAGGGCCTTTCGTATTGGGCTTCCAGGGCCTTGATCTTTCCTGATTCGCCACAGCCGGAAGTCACCTGGATTGTTCCTCATCATGGAAATATCTGTGATCGTGATAAGGCTCTAAGTCCAATCAAATTGTTCTGATTTTTGTGGGGACGACATCACCTGCGGCTGTCTTCGCATCGTGGTATACTCCGCGATGGAGATTAATCTTATTCTCCCCGAGCTGAATCACCATGGAAGTGTGCATTGGCGGTTGAGTCTTTCCGGATCAACAAACACCGTTCCTTCTAGAACAGGAAAGCTCGGGAGAAAGATCCCAAAGAGCGATGTCGACAGCAAGCCAGCGGACCAGCAGGCGTCGATGCTTCGATTGCTAAAAAAGCTAGAAGGGAATCCCGGTTCCACGGTGACTCGGAGGTACCACAAAGCACGAGATTGAGGATGAATTAGGGCGTTCTTTTGATCAAGGGTATTCAAAACTGAATTCTCCAGTTTACGAGGAAATTGTCGCAGTTAAGAGTAGATTTAATGGCGTCCGTTCTGGAAGCCCCAATGCTAGTGGACACCAAACCCTAAAGGATCACCCCCATGAATTGGTATCCCCAGCTCTACGATGAGGAAGGTTTCCCGTTGCCGTTCTACAAAGAAAGCAGGTCAACCCGCCCGTTCAATCTGAGGTTGGAAGTCTGCGTGAATAAAAGCTCCTTGAATGCGTCTCGCGGATCATCAGTATATGATCTGCGGGATGTTCTGTTCCTGACCAGCGTCTTAAATGTAGGGACTCAATTGCAGTCTCTGTACGCGTATGCCGATCAGGGAACAACACATCGGAAGGAATTTCCCCCTTTCAGAATTCGTAATCTCGTAATTTCCAGACGTTGGATACTATCAACGGGCATGCACGGGTCCACCCAGTGGATTAGGTCTCGCGAAATGCGGTATGCAACAGCTCCGAGCGCGAGAGTACAAACAAATAAACCCGATTGAGAGGAGCTTTCCTGTGTTATTCCAGCTTAATAGCGCTATATGTTCGATCATAATTGATCATCTTCTATCCACAACCTCGTATTTCCATAGCACAAGGCCAGCGCGTGCCGTAAACTTTGACCTCAGGATACTTCATGATGTCAACCGGTGTCTTAAACAAGGGCTCCTTGCACGTCATCGTGTCACCCAGTGCCTATCCAGGGCCGTTCTCAAGGCCCCGCGACATCCATCAATGGCCTTTGAGAAAGTTTGGACACCACTTAAACTTCCCGCGGCCCTGGATTCCTCCGACCCTGGCCAACGGCTACCACAGATCGACATAGTCGAAACAGGGATAGCTCTGCCAGATGCAGAAGACCAGACATTAAGGAATCCAGTCGCTGCCCGAGAGAATTTCCTCGGCATGCCGAATCCAATACACTGGAAAATCAATCTCGATCTTCTCACGGCCAGAATCGCCAAGTCGTCGGTAGTGAACTTTCGAGAGTTTCAAGATATCCGCTTCTTCTGCCATTGTATCTGTAACAATGCGACCGCACCATTGCTCTGTAATACCCCGTTTCAGGTCGCACAGCCCCTCCAGGTCTGCCGAGGATGACTGTCTAACCTATGAAGACGCAGGGACAAACAATTAATCTATACGGGCTGACACGGCGTGTCCACATCATCGTGACACGCCATGTCCCACGCCGGATTACATGCTGGGGTAGGTACAGTTTACAACTGCTCGGTGGTGCATACGCAAGCCTCTTTATCAAGATAAGCAGTGTATTCTGACCGCATGGTAGAGAGTCAGTCTGGTGGGTTGGCCTGGCGCTCAGCTCGAGGAATGATTGATAGCGGCCTCCGACAACACGTTGAACTATTCTGCTAAGAGCTGAAAATTGAGCTGTTCTCATGGATATTCCGGCTATCATTCAATGAAAATCCCAAGAGATATGCTTGAATGATTGGTGATCATTTTTGGGCTAGTTCCTGCGGGGACATTTGGGCATCTGAACATGCGGGCACCGTGAATAATTCAAGATCATACGCGAGCTCTGCCGGTGCCAATCGAGACCTCATAGCTCACCACCAGCAATATACTACCTGCATCAAGTGATAGGCTAGTACATGCCTCGGGTAATATTCTCTAACACAAGGCCGGTATTCACACCCGCCTTGGAATCAGACTCTCTTCACATTCCGGCCGAACGGTTCACGGAGCGAGACAAGGACGAGAAAGTCAAATATCCACAATACTCAATCTCTAAGTCTAAGCCCCTTCAAAATAACCGCGGAGGCAATGTTCTAGATGCTTACTCAGTTACTCATATACTAGGAGTCTGACCTTGTGGGAGCTGTGCGGTATATTCATCAATTCCAGTATGGTAGACATAATATCCCGACATTGAAATTTGAACTTAGCGGAGCGTTTCCTTTTTGAAAGGTACCGAACCCCTTCGATTTTGTCCCTATCACTAAGCTATTACCGGTCATGGAGGGCTTGGGCATACCAATAAGCTTGAAGGAGCGATTCAATAATGACGACCGAAATCTCTGCATATCCGTGTACTGTGGGGCAGCGCAAGCTTGATATAAACGGACGGTGCATGTGGCTTTATAGATCACGGCGCAAGGAGACTCGGGCAATTGAAAATGTGTCGAAACCTGGCTACCAGTACGAGAGAAAGACTCGGAGTGTTTCACTCGAACTTGACGGCCTATTCACAAACTCCTCAGTGGCACCATAACGATCTACCTATCGAAGTACTAGTTGCTTTCCAAGTCACGATCCACAAGACTAACCTGTGACTAGCAAGCCGGTAGAGCGTAGATTACACTTCTTCAGTCTTGGATATTAAAGTTGCTCCTGTTATCCAATCGGCAGATCTAGCAACCCAGCAGAGCCGAGAGACTCGGTGCAGGGCAGGTGTTTGTCACGTACAGTACAAGGACCTCGGGAGTGCGTATGAGCTTTAATGTCCCGATCCATTATGAGGAATTCTCTCACCTATGTACTAGTATCGGCGACTGTGTTCTACCTTACTTTCAGTCCTGGTGATACTATAAGATATTCTTCCAGTCGATCGATCACTCACCTAAACTGACAGAGAGTACGTTCGAGTCCCTGACAGTACGCCGGAACCACCAGAAGTTCTTGTCCAATCATCGATACGCCGGGAGGTGTACTCACGTTACATACTCCTATGATGGACATGGATTTGAGGTACCTGGGTGTTCATCAAAGGTTTTCCAGACCAGTCGTGGAAATAGGGGCGACATGCGTGATCAACAGGACAAGGACCCGACAACGTGCATGCGGCGCTAAAGCCGCAGTTCCACCTGCAGAGACAACTTGCTTTTTCTGTGAGCGTCGTATCTTATTGGCTGCACGCGCTTGCTTAGACGCTGCATGACTCGTGTGTATGTACCTCAAGAGAACCAGCACCGGATCTCACCACAACATCACGGTGGGTCATCACATTTGGCATACTAGTATGTAGACATCCTTACGCCAACCGCAAGGGTGGCTTCCAACGGGGAAAGATAAGAACCGATAAAGCTATGTATTTGCACTAGAGGCCTAAACTTGCATAGGGCCATGAAAGTAAACTGAGCGCGCATAACCGGATGCACGGCAGCCTTCAAAACATAAGAGCAACCAGACAGGCGAGCCAGGCGCTTTAACTCCCGTCTTGTGACTCAGGGACAACAAGATCGGTTTAACCAATGGTCGGATTTGCATCATCCGCAGAAGCATACAAAACAACCGAGAACATAATGGAAAAGCATGTGCCCACTGAGGGAAAAAAAATGCTGAGACAAGAGGAAATTTCATGGTGACTGTCCCAAGTCTTTCGTCACACAAAACATCAACATTGGCAAGGCGGACGTTGCCGTAAAGATAGTAAAGAATGAACCTCGCGCCCGAGAAGCGGAGAAGGTAGGGCGCTAGGAAGAGAAGGATAATGAATGGCCCACCTGGTGGAGAAGGGGAAAGAGAAGGAGAAGGAATTAAGGAAAGTTCATACGTCGCTGTCACATGATGGTCGGCATTACATGAGGGGGGTCTTGCGCTTTTCGGCGCTAGACAGCACAAGCATAGGTGTCTTACGACGCTCGGGTGCTTGAGCAACCTGCCCCTGGCCCGCGACCACGGCCGCCACAGAGGGAGAAGAGGCGCCAGAGGGCGATGAGACTTGGGAGGCTTGCTCCGAACGTATCTCATTCAGCCTGGCCGAGAAATATCCATCCTCACTGGTAGGACTGGCACTCTGATAGGGACTATCAGGAGACCTGCGGCTGGACTTCTCCTTGCGCTCGGATCCAATGGCACCACTGGCAGCAGCCCGGAGACTTCCCAAGCTAGGTTTGCTGGAGAGGCTTCCACTGCGGACAGTGACATCGTCGCCGTCGGAGAAAGTGAACTCCTTCTCACTAGCGGGAGTGTTCGTGCCTCCGCTGCTGTTGTATCCATTGCTACGAGAGTCGGCGCGACGCTCGATTCCAGCACGAACCAGATTGTGGACGGCACGTCGGCGTTGGCGCGTAGCAAAGTTCTTGCTACCCTCATGCTTGGATGTTGGCTTAGCAAGAAGATCCTCCAGAGAAGGCGGATTACGAGGCTGGCGAGCTGGATGCTCCCCCGCACGGGCCTGGCCAGGTCCAAAGGTGCCAGTAGCAGGCGTTGGAGGGAAAACAGCCGAACGAGGTCCAGCGCCGACATTGGCCTTTATAGTGTCAATTCCAGTTTTCAATGTAGGATTGAAAGATCCGTTCTTCCGATGGTTTCGGCGAAAGGCGCCCGTAGCCTCCGCTGGTGGAGAAGGAGTACCACTTGGCGGAGAGACCGACCGCTGGGGGAAATGCATTGAAAGTGGAGCGGAGTCTGCTGGGGGAGAAATCTCCGCACGGAACTGGGGCACCTGGTGGGTAGCCATGTGTCTCTCGCTGTAGAAGGGCTTGTCTTCCTGGGCCGGGGAATTGTGATCCATGACATAGCTCTGCTGGCCTGTAAGAGGATTGTACACGGAGAACAAGCCAGGTTGGCCTGGAACAGGCTGCACAACCGGCTGAACACCCTGCTGGAGCTGTTGCTGGTAGAATCCAGCACTGGCCATGGAGGGCGAGACGACCTGCTGCTGTTGCTGATGCTGCAACTGCAGATGAGGAAGACTTGCTCCCAAGGTGAGTCCTTGGAATTGCTGCGCAGCAGCGGTAACACTCATCAATTGCTGTTGCAGGCGTTGCTGCTGTGCCGCGAGAAAGAGATTGGTCGACATCAGCTCTGCGTACAGATTCTCATCCATCACATCGCCGTTTCCCATATCCAACAACGGAGGTGCGAGCACCTGCTCCGGCATGGTGTACATAGGACGGTTCTGGGTCTGGTTCCGGTGGCGCGGGTTCATACCCTGATTAGAAGCGAATGTGTGCTGCGGGAATCCAGCTCCCGTAGCAGTCTGGGGAACACGATCACTCCGGTTTGGAACGGGGAATCGACCACCCTCCATGGCACTACGCTGCTGCTGAGAGGGAATGGTCGCAGACCGGGGTGCGGTACGCAACCCAGCCAAAAGATGAGAGCGACTTGTACGCGGCGTAGAGACGGAGGGCTGGGATTCGTCGATGGTAGCCACTTGAGGAGGAACACTCAGCCGCTTGATGTGGGAGCCTTTCCCCCGGGAGGCAAAGCCAGAGCTAGGCACACCGAGGGAACTGCCATTATTGAAAGAGTTATTGTAGGTCATTTGAGCAAGACCGCCAGCGTCCAGACTCATGTTCGTTGAGTGGGCGAGATGGAGTATGTGCAAGACAGAGCCGAGATAGAAATTGTAATGGTAAACGTTTCGTTCGAAGGGAGATTGGAAGATTTATGGGTCAACCACAAAGCTTCAAGCTTTCCTGGGAAATTAGGTGATTAAAGGTCTCTAAGTCGATGAGTGACACCGGAAGCAGATAGGAATCGATGTTGGATCGCAGGACAAAAGACACGGTTTCTGCTTGGCAGATTGTCAGCGGGAAGGTTCGGTGGCAGACTAGCGAGTCGGCTCACATACCACAAGCGAACAACAAACTCAGAAGATGGAAGGAACCCAAGGCAGAATATCAAAATTATCGAGCTGTACAAGGTTGATGATCTGAGAATTTTTTTTTCTCCTTTTCGAGCCAGGCCCAACAGAACTTGGACCTAAAGATAGGAACACGGAAAAGAAATTATGTGAATAATGGGTTAAAAGTCTCTCAATGCCCTGGAAAGAAGAGAATCGGTTTGAGAGAGATGCGCTGCAAATCCCTGATGGAAAGGTCGAAGCAAAAGGCGAGTTTGGGGCGGATGTATGGGCTCGGGAGGGAGACCGAGATGAAACACGCCTAGGTTTGTCGACACAGAGCCAAGGCAGGTGTTCCAACAACCACAGGAACGCGAAAGAAAGCCCCCGTACTAGAGGGGAGATGCGAAGTCCGAAGAGAAGACAAAAGAACCGATGGGGTTCGGAAAGCAAATCGAAGGGTTCGGGAACGAAATCAAGTCGGAGACTCGGCCAAACGCGAGTAACCTCTTTTTTTCTTCAGGGGTAGGAGGAATCGAAGTATTTGCAGAGGGGAAGAAAAGGGTGTTTTTTTTTGGCTTTTTTATTAGGTTTATGTTTTCCCGAATCAACGACGCGAGCTGCAAGAAAGAAAGAGTGCAGGGAAGAAAAGAAGGGTAGAGGAGAGAGGTGGAAGAAGAGAAGAACGAGACAGTGCGGCTGTGGGGAATTGGAGGGTTCGTGGGTGCCTCGGGCTTTCAGGCAACGGCGGTCCGGCGCTGTGATTGGCGGGCGGAGAAGGTATACACTGCTAGTACGAGCAATCAACGGTCGTCGTGCCTAACTTCTGCAAGCTTACATTTGGGCAGAAACAGCCTGTCATTATAATTCTTTGCAATATGAACCCCCCTTCCTTGAAGACCTGTTTGGACGGAGCTGAAGAGGCCCAGGGCTGACGGAGCCGCCCACCGCCAATCACGGACGCGTTCAAGCCTCCGGGGGTGACGAGGCCAGGCCCAATGCAGCCGGCTGTCACATCTTCTCGCCCACAATTGGCTACGACTCCTTATGCCACCGCCCCCGGCACCCGCTCCATCGTCTCAGAATCCCCCTGGAGCCGCCCGGCTCTCGAGCCAAGCCCTCTGCTCTGCCCAATAGCGCTGCATATCTCCACGCGGCTCTCGTGGCAAGTCACCAGACCAAGCCATTGTTGACCTCATTTTTACATATGCGGAGCGGTCAGACTGGGTCTGAGGAGCTGCCCGGATGATTACCGACTATTCGTAGGGGAGGGAATAAACAAGTGCGATTGGGTATGTTAGCGTGATTGTGATCTACGATGGGCGACGCCGATCACTTGTCAGCCGAGCTGTGGCTGTGGACCTGGGCGTCTTATGTTGGTTCTATTGCATGCATACAGACCTGGGGCCAGCGCCTACCAATGATTGCTTGAATCTACAATGGAGATGGAGAGCTCCCCCTCTCCGATAACTCCAAGTACCAGATCGTGACCCCGCCCTTGGCTTGCGTCTGACATTCGCTGTTCGCGCTTAAGATGGGCGTTTTGTCTAGATCTTGAACCTGTTCTCGAGAAGGAATAGACGAACGTAGACAATCCGCTCATGACGGAACCCACTCCTTGTCCCCTCCTGTAGTTGCTTGCACTTGGTGATGCTTTTAATCCCTCGCATGGGTCCGGGTCACAGATCTGTAAGTGGCGATTGAAGATCTGAGAAGCTGAACCCCATGGACGAACTACAGTTTAAGGCGAGGCATAACACAGTATGTGTCAATAGCATACGAGCTTTCAATCAGCCTACGTAACTAATAACTTATACATAAGCTGGATAGTAGATAAGGTTATATAGGCAATGAATGGGGTAGTCGAGTTGGTAGTTTACCTCTTCATCAAATATTTCCATGGCCTTCCTCGGGGTGGGGTCACTCATACACTTACCCGTAGTCATAGCCAGGTTCGGCGAGAGTTACTAAAGTCGCGATGCGTTTAGATGAGCAGCCTTGGGGAATAAGAATAGTTTTCGTAATCATGAAAGATAAGAATAAGGTTACATGAAAGAAGATCGTGCGAATGCGACGACTCTTCACCTAGTCATTGGACGTGTGATCAAACAACTGCAGGCTTAGAAGTCGCGCTTGCGTTGTTGGCGCGGTCGAACTCCAGAGCATCAGCGAGCTCACCGGCGATAGGGTCCAGATCATCTTCCTTCAGGCCGGTTGCAAGGGACACCAAATTGCGGTGTCCGTTGAGAATGGGGCTCACGCCGGCGTCGGCGGTCAATGAGACGAGTTCTTCGACGGCAAGGCGACGCTCCTTCTCAAGGCGCACGAGGTTGCTTATTGCTTCGAAACGGGAGACCAAATCTTCGCGGGTAAGAGGGGCGGAGTTGGGGTTTGAAGGCATATCAGGGGCATGAAGGGCAATCCAACGATCAAGTTTTGCGCGGTGGCTCAGCTCTACAAGAGACTTGAATTCATCTCGTTTGGTTGCACATAATTCTCGTCGGCTTTCAATGTCGATGTGTTGGAACTGAGCCTCTTTGGCAATGATAGAATCTGTCTGTTGCTGGATTTTTGCTCGGTCTGACTCAAGATGCGCGTACAGGGCTTCGGGGTTGGCAATGTCATTCAGTTCTTCTTGACCGGGTTTCGAGCTTCCATAGTGCATTGCCAGCTTCTTGTTAGCATCAGCCATAACCCCGCTGATCTTGGCGAGCAGACTTGAGTGAGAAGATAAATCGACGCCGGCATCTGCAACGGCGGCGGATTGGTGTTCAGGGACAGCCCCCCCAATTTCGCCATCGATGTGGTCATTTGCCATCGTGATGGATGATGGAGGGGGTGGAGGCTCGTGCTCAGACTGATATTGATGAAGCATATGAGCGGCGGTTTCTCCCTTCTTGTTCATGAGGTCACCAGCGCGGGGGCATTGGGCAAGAAGCAAGCTGACAAGGCGGAATGCACCATTGCGAGCGGCTACAAGAGCGGCAGTATCGCCATTGTTATCCTGACAAGACATCAACATCTCGATCTCATCAGGTGAATAGAGTCGGGACAGTTTATCCCACAGGACCTCGCAATAGTATCGGGCACTCTTCCATTTTCCCTTGCTGCGAGTCGTTTCGGCAATGTGATGAAAAATTGTAGCTCCAAACCAATCTCGGAAGTTGACAGTCTCACTCAATAGATCCACCAGGGCCGGGAAAGTCTTCTTCTCGTAGTTGTTAGTGAACAAGACGGCTCGGACAAGCGGAGTTTCGTCGTGATTTGACAAAACACTCAGATCAGCTCCCCGGTTAATGAAGTCCTGCACGATTTCGAGATCGCCCATGGAGCAAGCCCAATGCAGCGCGGTGTTCCCAGAATCATCGATAGCCTTGTCGATTTGGAAATCGGCGGGAGGTTGAGGAGGGCGAAACCGAGTTGCCTGGGGACCATCTCCCACAGTCATGAAATAGTCCAGCAGCTGGTCTCCATACATGATATGTTCTTGCTCTTTGATGGACATAATCGTTTCCTCGCGCTTGCGCTTTCGAGTACCCACGTGCGTCGGGCCGACAATGTCCTCATCTAACATTGAAGAGCTGTCGAATTGCGCGTGTTCAATAGAATCGTCAACATCAGGGCCAAGATCCATGTCATGATGGTCGTGCGGAAGCGCTGGTGGGGCCATACTTCCGATGGGCTGAGAAACATTGTAGGCGTCTTGGGAATGAGAAGAAGGTGGAGGGGGAGGGAGTACACGAGTAGCGGTAGGTCTGCGCTGCGCTCTCGCCCTTTGACCGGATGCGTTTCCATTAGTAGGTCGCGGCGCAGGCGGCGGAGTATGAGCATTAGGATCAAGATCAAAGATCGCTCTCAATTTGTCCAAGACATGGTTGCGCTCTGCCAGCAGGCGCCCGTCTTGGAGAGGGATCCATGTTCCTAAAGTTTCCACGACTCAGCATTATTCAGGATCACTTCCCAATTTGCGGTTCTCACCTTGATATTTGCCATATCCACCCTGCACCTTCTCATGAATCCCTTTCTGGACTTCACGCTCTAGAATCCGAGTCCTTGCTGGTTTATCGAACCCTGCAGCCTTTAGAATATGAGTCGCATTGACATAGTCGTCTTTGCGTCGTCGCATCACACTTTCCGAGCCGATCTTCAATTCAAAGACAGGCTCCTGCAAATCCACAAGTTAGAATCAGCAGCAGGAAGACAATTGCCCATGATAAAACAAGAGCAGCAAATAAAGCCCGGAGGAGTGCGCGTACATGGCTGTAGGTGGCTGAAAAGACTCCCGCCATCTCGAATGTTGCCTCCAGCGGCAACGATCAAGTCTCGGGCAGCGATATGCCAGCGCGAATGCGCCCGAAACTTCTTCAGGATTGACAGATCAGACACACGGTTTTTGGGCTGTAATTCGATCTTGTCGCAAGGGGTACGATGCGCGAAAAGAGGTCGAACGAGGGGTCAAGTATCGGGACTTTGGTCGATCGAAGAGATGAGAAACGCGAGACGCGCCTCCAGGCCTCGCGTTAAGTGGGTTTTGTAGGCTAAACCCTTTTCAGTGAATGTCGCACCGGTCGGGTGAGGTCACGTGGTCAATGAACACTCCAGGCCAGTTATAAGTGAAGGATTTCACATGACCGCGGTCACATGACTCTACCCGGAGCCAACATTTGATATCGCCAGTGAAAGCGTCCGCCCAACCTCCTGCTCTGGTGCTAGCTTTGTCCCCGGTCCACCAATCAATTCGTCTGCACAATGACTGTCACCGAGTCAATTAAGAATGCGGTTGGCCTTGGAGAGACCACTGGTGTGTTTACTAGCCATTGGCAGAGGGGGAACAGCCCCAAGCTAACAGGACCCAGCGACCCGCCAGGAAATGTCGGATGCCCGCCTTCCCATGCAGTATCGCGACTCATGTGCCCACCTCCTGATCCCTCTCAACCGATGCCGACAAGCAGAGTACTATCTTCCCTGGAAGTGCGAGGTACGAATCTTCGAGCGCTCCCGCTCCCGGATATGAATTGCTGTATTCAATATCTGCCTCCAATGCTATCAATCTAAGCTTCAATGCGGCTCATGCTAACCCATATGGACAGGATGAGAGACACTCCTATGAAAAGTGCCAATATGACGAATTTAAAAAGCGCGTTGCCAAGATGGACGAGCTTCGTGCCGCCAAGGAGGGAGCTCGAAGCAACTAAGTGCTGCGCTGGGCTTTTCCTTTGTGTTTGGCAGCCAGGGCTGCTGCACAGGCAGCAAATGATGTACATATAAGATACCGACACTGCTCATGGACTTGCCTTTAATGGCGTTGGGACCTGCTCTTTTTTTTTGTGTTCTCTCGTGAATGGAGATATGAAAGCCCATGCTTGACTTGTTGAACTCTCAATACTCCAACAAGCCACCGAGGAGTCAAGAACCTCCAGACGAAACATTGCAATGGCATCATTTCCTTTAGCAATGATCTTGGTCATTGGTATTTGTAACAGGATAGATATTGGTAGTACACGCTTCCGGTCGCAGCTCACATGACCCCGCGAGAGTATTTCCAGACCAGTGAAAACTGACTTCAGGTCCCTCCAAGGTCTACAGCATATACCTTCGCCCTTCTAACGAATGTCCTCCAATGGCAACCTAGAGCGGCTCCGGCGGTGTTGGACAAACATTTGTCAGCAACTGCCCTAGCCTCCAGGGCTGGGCATCTGCACGTCGCTTGTATTGGCAGGATGACATGCAGATCCAATCGTGTGTTCCATGCAAAGACTGTAGGGGATTTAGAACAAGCGCCCTCTCCTCGTATGGCCAAGCGGGGCCTAATTAATTAGTGTCGGATCAGGTCCGCGGGAAACGATCCAAGCCTCCAATTCGCAAGACCGTGGTTCGATTGCTCATAACTTTTAAGGCTGGGTCTTATACGGTTGATAAACTTCCTAGACACCAGTGGCGTATAAAGACTAGGGCTCTTCGCCTCCACGGTGCTTCATACTGAATCTCCAGGCCTCTAGATCTATAAGAAGGCAGTTGAATAAACAGGGCGGAATCACCTGATTGCTTAGAAATCGATTCGTGGGCCTTATCGCCGAGATCAGCCCCGCCAGAGCCATAACGGCTAAAAATTCCCCCTCTCTTGATGGGCGAGAATTGAAAAGAACCGGGCAGAACGGATTTCTGAGGACCATGCGCGGCTTCTTGACTTTCTAGTCTCCGGCATCGCCTCATCTCTGCATCTTTACTATTCACTCATTTTCGTCGGCGGCCTTGTGGACTCCGCGGGTCGGAAGACCTTGTCGCAATCTACTTCCGTTTCTGTCCGGTCTTGTGCACCAACGAATTGAACAGACATCATGGGTCTACTGTACAGAATACTTGACCCCCTCACTGCAGAACATCTCATTGACCAAGTCATCTAGTGCACTCGGAACTGCGCTGGAATGGCCCGAGGCCAAGAAAAAGGCCCACCAGGTGCGCCAGTGGGGCATTGAGGTATGCGCAATGGGACGGCGGCGATGCAGAACAGGCCAAATTTCTGGAGATGAGGGGCAAGAAACTAATAGGTTATACAGCAACTGTTGGCAAACTGGCGACGCATGAAAGGCAAGGAAAGGGATGCGCTTCTTTGGGGTGACGAGGTATGGTCAATGATGTTCGTGGTTATCCGGGGTGTAGGCTAACGGGTCTCTCGCATGGGGGGGGGCAGGTCGAATATCTTGTTGTTGCCCTCGATGATGCGTCCAAGAAGGCGCGCTTGTCATTGGCACAAGCTGAGATCCTGAAATCCCTCGCTCTAGATGAGGCTAATTGGAAGCCTGATGAAAGCCAGCATGGTGATGGTGACCAGTGAGTTTGGTCTTGTCTCTTTTGGTAGCGTTTAACCGGTAGGCTTTCTAACATCTAGCAGTGATGGCGAACATCCTCCCCATTTCCACCCCGAATTCGGACGTTTCATGCTCGAGGCCACCCCAGGACGCCCGTGGGGAATTGGATTCAAGGACTTGTTGAAAGTGGAATCAAACATGAAGTGGAGGTTAGAGGGGGCTCTATAACTCGTGGTACCCGGTATACACCATCGCTGACAATTCATTGGTCTAGACGCGAGGTCGCCAAGGCACATATGGCACCCAACGAATCCCCTATAACTCTGACGACTTTCCCTCGGCTCGGAACGAAAGATGACTACATTCAGCCATATTATCCTCCCTCAGGACCTGCCCTTCGATCACAGTTCGTTCCTGATGAAATTGCAAACCCCCATATCCGGTTCCCGACACTAGCAGGCAATATTCGTTCACGACGAGGCCGCAAGGTGGAGTTGAATGTTCCGATCTACAAAGATAAAAACACGCCGGTGCCATTCAAGGACCCTACTGTCAACTATGATCTTCATAATTGGCCAGAAGATGACGATGTACGGAACGGGGCTGCTAAGGATGATCATGTCTATATGGACGCGATGGCATTCGGCATGGGCAGCTGCTGCTTGCAAATCACCTTCCAGGCGAAGAATATGACCGAAGGAAGAAAGCTCTACGACCAACTGAGCCCCCTTGGTCCCATTCTTCTTGCTCTTACCGCCGCTACCCCAATCTATAAGGGATTCCTTGTTGACACTGATGTGCGGTGGAATCAAATTAGCGCCGCTGTTGACGACAGGACCCCCGAGGAACTTGGCGAAGTAGTAAGATCATCGTTCCTCATCTTTATCTTGGTCTTGACTGACATTAGCAGCCTCTCAAAAACGACCGGTGGAGAATTCCGAAGTCACGCTATGCGTCCAACTCAACTTACATCTCTCAAGACCCTCGATTAAGACCCGAGTATCTGGATCCAGACCTGGTAGTTGACGAGGATATCAAGAAGCGCTTGATAGATGGAGGGATGGATGATCTACTTGCAACCCATTTTGCACACTTATTTATACGTGATCCACTTGTGATCTTTTCGGAGGACTTGGAGGAGCTGGACGTGAACAAAGGTGACCACTTTGAAAACCTCCAATCTACCAACTGGCAACACATGCGGTTCAAGCCTCCGCCTTCAGAGAAGGATGACATCGGCTGGCGAGTGGAATTCCGATCAATGGAGATCCAGATTACGGACTTTGAGAACGCCGCCTTTAGCATCTTCATGGTCCTAATCACTCGCGCGATCCTGAGCTTTGATCTCAACTTCTACATCCCAATCCAGCGGACTACGGAAAACATGGAGACTGCACATGTCCGCAACGCCGTGCTGGACAGCAAATTCTATTTCCGCAAGGATCCTTTCCCAAAGCGAGTCCCAAGGACCCACGGCAGCACAGTCTCCGCGAATCCCTCCTCGGCCGTCAACACGCCGCCCTCCTCGCCACCTCTTGGACCCGTAGAATCCGAGTATGAGCTGATGACCATTGCTGAAATTATCAATGGGTGCCCTGAGGGCTCCTTCCCCGGTCTTATTCCCCTGGTCGAGTCATACTTGAACAGCGTCAACGTGGATGTCGAGACACGCTGCTTCCTTGCCAGCTATCTTGACCTCATCCGCAAGCGGGCTGATGGCACCCTTTGGACTGGAGCTAAATGGATCCGCGAGTTTGTTACTCACCACCCAAGCTACAAGCAAGACAGTGTTGTCTCCGAAGAAATCTGCTATGACCTTGTCAAAGCGGTCGAGGAAGTGACAGTTAATGAGGGCCGCAATGGCAGGATTGGCTGGGAGCTACTCCGCGGCAAAAAGAATTAAATAGAATCTGCTTTCACAGTGCCCTTAAAAAAGTTTGAAGCGGGAGTGCTTCACATTCCTTGCAATTAGACACGAGCCTCGAATGCACATATTCGTTGTGGCCAAGAGTATTCCCTTCTTGGCCACGAAGTTCTTGATTAGTTACCGAGTCTTGCCCCAGCTTGATTTAGTGAACCCATCCCTTTTCCATCATTACTTGATTACGGTCGATTTCAGTCTCTGCTGAAACCCGATAACAATAGTCTCCGTGTCACGCAAACTCAGATCATGCCCTGGATCAGCAGCGTCAAGCAGCGTCACACAGCATATGGAAATCTCCAGGGCGTATTGCAACGGTTACAGCAGTCCTCAATGCCAAAGCTGTCGGAGAAACTTCCCCCCTTCAATCGTCTCAGTCTCTCTAGATCCATGAGACAGTGAGACTGCGAACTTTTGGAGAAAAGACCAGGCTTCTCACTACGCACCCCAGCGCTAAAGGTTCCCGGGTTCTCTTCTCGTACGAATAAACAAGTCTAGTTCCCCCCCCAAATCACCATGTGCTGGACAGTACCCATCACCCCCAAACTCGAGCCACGCCACCTCTCTGCAGAAAAACAAACCATCATCGCAGTAACACAGGGCTTCCTCACGGCCCTCAGCACGAAATCCTGGACCGACTTCGAAAAGTACTGCGTCCGGGCGGGAGGCATGTCCCTGTCACCGCCAGCGCCCACAGCGCTGCGGTTCTGCACCATCGGCTCGTTTCTTGAGTATATGGCGACTCTGCAAGATACCATCGACGAGCGGATCTGGGATGCCGAGGTCAGGGTGCATGAGGACGGGAATCTGGCGACTGTTTGGGCGCCGTTCCGGGCGAAGGTGAATGGGGTCGTGGATCATGTGGGAGTGGAGCTTTTCGTTATGCATAAGATTAATGGGGATTGGAAGGTGACTGGGTTGGCGGATTCCTGTCGGCGACCCCGGGGAGACGAGGTGGAAATGGAGTAGTCGCTTCACACGTCAATATCCAATGGGGTTGGTCTTACTAGTATGCGTTTGTTCTAGTACTTTTATCTTGTACTTCACCTCTGTAGATCAATGTCACCCGCTAGATCTCTATCCTCCTGGATGTCCAGCGGAAACTTGGGCTTTCCATGTCAAGGGCGATCGAAACTCCATACGCACGCTGGCTGCGTTGGCTGTGATCCTCGGCTCTGAATGGGTAGATTTACAAAGGGTGTTTGAGGGGCTCCAACTGATGAAATCAGCAGAGTTACGGCTAATGTTGTTTTATCCTGCGGGGCTTTGATTCACCTCGAACTTGACTTGGGTAGCCTCTGCATGCACGGTAGTGTTACCATTGACGAATTGGGTGCGCTTTAGGAGAGCAGAATATAGTGTTCAGGTAGAGCAAACTAGGCAGGCCTCAACTCCTAGCACTATTCAAAGTTAACAGAAAGTATATTCTAGGGCTTTGATGGATGGAAGCCGATTAATAAAAGTTGACACACAGCATTAAGGCAGATGAACGTAACGCGACGGGTTTCTAGATTTTGAAAGTGCGGTCTTCGAGCTCATTTCCTAGAATCATCTCCCTAGAATCACGCTGGATTAGTACATTTCGACGCAGCCTCCAGAAATGTTACTCGAGAAATGCCCCAGCCAATGCTGCCATGGAAGTCTCGGGTAAACCTCGGTCTCCAAGGGCACCACAACTGGCAGATCCCACATCGTCAACACCAATGCGGCAGTCAATCCGCCGCTATGCAGCGCCGTTGAGTGCACTGACACTCAAGACTGAGAACCGTAGCCCAGCATTGGCTCGTTCCCCTCTGATCCCCTGGTTGCCGTTTCTCTCGGACCTCAGATGTCGTCATGGTGGAATCTGCGGAATCTTGGAACAATCCTTTACTTGAAACCCAACATCTTCCCGGCTTTCTTGGACGGCACATTTAGCCGGAGATTACCCTTCTTCAGTCTGTCATCCTCCGAGACAACCGCTGATCATGGACTGTTTAGGTGTGGGGCTTCGAGTCCCTCCGTCCCTGCCCCGCAAAATGCGGGATATTACCCTAAGCTTCCCAATCTGGGGAAGTATATGAATCTTGCCCCTATTTCCACCATGGATCCCCCTGTCTGCTCATCCCAGGCAGTCCCGGCTCGCAAGTATCGTGCGCCATGCTAGCAATTGCCATTGGTTTTCTTGCGGTGTGGGCGACTGCCCTTGCAGCTCCTACGCTAGGGTCGGCGCCTACAGTACAAGTTCGCAATGGAACCTACACAGGCATTCACGACACAAATTATAACCAGGATTACTTTCTGGGTATACCCTATGCCCAGCAGCCTATTGGGAACTTGCGATTCACGGTGCCTCAGTCGCTCAACGAGAGTTGGGACGGTTCGCGCGACGCCAAGGCTTATTCGGATATCTGTGTCGGCTATGGAGTGAGTGCTTCTCATTCGGTACCTGGGATAGACTTAAGCCCCTGTTCTGGCCTAACATGAATCCAGACCGATTCGATTTGGTATCCTCAGAGTGAGGCCTGCTTAACCCTCAATGTCATCCGGAGCGCCTCCGCTACAAAGGGCTCGAAGCTACCAGTGGGTGTCTGGATTCACGGCGGTGGTTTTTTCGAGGGATCCGGAAGAGACGAGCGCTATAACATGTCGCGTATTGTAGAGAATGCCTCCAAGATCGGTACGGCTCGATGCTATATTACAAGGAACTATACCCTTTTGATACTAATTCATTGCAAGGAAAACCATTTATCGCTGTCAGCATCAACTACAGACTCTCGGCCTGGGGCTTCATCAGCTCCAGCGAGCTCGCCGGCAGCGGCAATACCAACCTCGGCCTCCGGGATCAACGGCTTGCTCTGCAATGGATCCAGGAGAACATTGAAGCCTTTGGCGGAGACCCGACCAAGGTAACTATCTGGGGCGAATCCGCCGGCGCCATGTCGGTGGGCTACCATCTCACAGCATACGGCGGACGAGACGACAGGCTCTTCCGGGCAGGGATCCTGGAATCCGGAGCCCCGATTGCGGCCGGGCCGTCGAACTATACCACCTACCAGTCCAGCTATGACGAGATCGTGGCTGCGGTGAACTGCACCAACACCGTGGACACGCTGCAGTGCTTGCGAGAAGTTCCGTTTGCCCGTCTCAACTCTGTTTTCAACGGGACCTACGGGTCGCCTAAGTACAACTTTGGGCCGGTGGTAGATGGTGATTTCATTCGTGATTGGGGTAGTATCCAGCTGGATAAACATGAATTTGTCAAGGTGCCTGTCCTGGCTGGGTCTAATACCGATGAAGGAACGGCGTTTGGTCCAACCGGGATCAACACGACCGAGGAGTGGTATGACTACCTGACTGGTATGGCTCTCCCACGGAAGAACGTAAACCTTATTTATTACTACAGAGCATACGCTGACCCGTAGCTGGGATAAATTAGCGGGGGGCATTCAACTTCGCAACCCCACCCACCGTCGCAAACCAAATCCTCAAACTCTACCCCGACATCCCTTCGGAGGGCATCCCGGCCTTCCTCGGCGACACTCGCGTCCCCTCGCAAGGCTATCAATGGCGCCGAACGAGCGCCTTCGCCGGCGACTTCACCATGCACGCAAACCGCCGCCGCCAATGCGAGGTCTGGGCTGAGACGTCTACGCCCGCATACTGCTACCGCTTCAATGTGCACGCCGCCGACGTTCCGCTGCTGTACGGCGTGACGCACTTCGAAGAAGTGTCGTTTGTGTTCAACAACATCGCCGGGCTGGGGTACCACTACGGCAAGCCGTTTGCCGGGGTGCCGCAGTCCTATATCAACCTCAGCTCGATGATGACGAGTATGTGGGCCTCGTTCATCCATGACCTGGACCCCAATTCAGGCGTCAATAAGTCGGTGCATTGGGCTGCCTACCAGCGGGATTCACCCATGGATCTGGTGCTGGATGCAAACACCACCAGCCATATGGAAGCTGACACCTGGCGCAAGGAGGGGATCGATTATATCAATTCAGTGGCCAAGGCTTTTTGGCGCTGAAATAGGGCCGTGTTCTGTCTTCTGTGCCTCGGCGGTTCTACCATTTAGAGCCATAGTCAGAGATGCAATGGAACGATCTATAATTTGGCTAGCTTGTACTCCGGAGTGTTTTCTAAGGCCCTGGAACGATGTCCGTAGTGGAGCCGATATGGTACTGCGGTACGGAGTATGTAAGGGGTAATAACAAGCCGCATTCAGCGTCTGTTGGGCAACGTCGATTATTCAACAAGATAACTTAACGGAGACACAGACGAAGCGGATCTCAACGGGAACCAAGAGCGGGGGGGGGGGGAGCTCCGGCACGCGACACGTGGAAATCTTCATCGGGATCTGAAATCGAACCTTCGCATTCCGAAACATCCCTATTCGATGATCGGATAGTCGCGGCACCTGGGAGGCTTGTGACGAACTCGATTGTTTATTGTTTGTAGACTCGGTACTAGGACACGGTACTTTCATGGGAAAAAAACTAAGCCCACCATGTCCCAACTAGTTCAACACCCTATGACGAAAATGGAACACCCCCCGACCCAAGCCGCGTCTAAAGAACGTGCAGATCGGAGACCTACCGATCGAGATCTCGCGTGGAGTTCGCGTTGTCCATGGAACGGCTAGAGGGGCCGTTTCAATAGCGTGCGCCGATGTCTCGCCAATCTATTGAATCTTTGCCCGACGAACTGGGTTCCCCGTCTGATCCGGCAACGCGGGTCGCAGACTATTGAAGCCAAAAAGAAAAGAAAAGTAAAGAAAAAAAGAAATAAAAGTAAAAATAGAAAGGAAGAAATGGACACCCAATATAACGTCAACAGATTGCCCGATCCGATCGCGTAGATCTCTGGCACGATCCTTGTACAGGATCAGGGACTCGGATCCACATGAGTCGCATGATCCTTCGCTAATGTAACAAAAGGGCCTGCACGATCTTGGTAGCGTCAAATGGCCCGAAAACACTAGAAGCGTTCGTGATCGGGTATGTGCCCTCTACCCAACGCGGAGCCTTTGAGTTTCGATTCAATCCGATCCTGAACTAGTCCGATGGGCCTACGCCCCGGCAGGTCCGCCAATCAGGAGTCCTCTTCCAGGCAGCAGAGCGCCCGATACCGCGCAGTACAACAAATAGAAGAACCAAGGCTTGCTCGCAACGAAGTCTATCTACATAACGGGCTGCCTTCGACGGTGAAACCCTGCTGGGCGACGGGGCGGGCTGCAGTACGCGGTGTGAAGATCGGAGGCGGGCTCCCTCCAATCAGAGGGGCTCGCCGCGCATCGCGGTAAAACGGTGACTTGAAAATTACGGATACCGGTATGCGAGGGGGCTCGTCCTGCGGGTGTCGTTGGCGCATCGGGGGGTGTGGCCCCGCTGCGTTTTGACATGCACGATGCATGCCATGGGAGGAGCGGTGATCGTGAAGGAAAGATGCCGCTTGATCGCAGAAGGCTTGTGTCTTCAGGGTCAGTGACCTCATGACCCGGAGTACTCTCCGTAGTCAAATCAGAGATCTGGAAGACCTTCTTCCCTCGCCGCAGAAACCAAGAAGATGGGGCGGGCTGTTCTGATGGCTTTTCTGACTCATGGCTTTGCATGAGTGTCTACTGTTTTAGTACACAATACATATGGATGGCCAATGGGGGGAGAGAGGCGGGCAGGAACGGGCCTTCGAGCCTTCGATAATGTTCTATAATGCCCGGGACCACGTCTGGGGGCTTTCTGGAGCGGAGCAAAACAGTATTCCAAATCAATAGTTCCATCGCGCGATTTGGGTGTCCCCCACTCCTGCTGGGGTTAATGTGAGATAAACTTCGGTGTGGTCTATGGCGCTAGGTTCTATTGAACCATGGGCCTCAGCCGCCGCTAAAACAGTATGCGCCTCGAGAATACGGATTTGGCCAGAAGGATGTCCTCCATACGGAGTACTCGATGAAAGGGATCACCGGTCCAGAAAGCTTGTAGCTGACCCGTGTGTAAAGAACCTTACCGCGATCAGGGCATGCACATTACCTTGTACACACCACACGCCCTCCCTCCCGCATTTCTTACCAATCAGCCTGCGGGTGGACCTATACTTATTCGCCAGGAGTATTCGAGTATTTCAACGCGGCAAGGGTATCCAGCGGAGCATCCAAGGCGAGCAGGAAAGGGAAAATCAAACGATACAGGTATGAGACGGGTAGATCCGATGGATCTCCAAGCACAATTGGTTTGGGCTGGTTAAGGCGGGATGACTGATTCCAGCTCCATACTGCGTACACCCTTGAAAGGGCTCAGGAGCACGTCAACCCTTGGACCTCTCCCCCCTCCCCACGGCCCAATAGATCGATGGATGGATGTGGTTTAGCGCAGGAGGCCCCAAGAGCCGGTAAAATATCGATCTACCTTCAATCACCCTGGTTAATCTCCAGCTCACCTGCACCATTGGTGCGATTGGCAGTAACTTTTCCTTTTTTTGGATTTCAGATTGAGAGCTGAATGGTGCTGGCCCAATTCTCGGGGAGGGCTGACCTGCTGCGCGTGATGCAGCTTGAGGAAGGAACTAAGAGGGAGGGGGTTGAAAAGGACAGATCTGAGAGAACGATCGCGGCGGCACGGGTGCAACCCCTCCACACCCTTTTTTTTACCCCTTCTGCAGACTTTCTCTAGTCTCAGATAGGGTTTGCACTGGGGCACGACGTTGTTTGTGCCGTGCGGACCAGCTCCGGTAATCGATCTACAGCTAATTCCAGTTAGGAAGGAGAGTACGAGAGATGCCTCCGCTGAGCCATGTGCAGGTCTCCCCCGGGGCCTTTCCTACTACAGTGGACCGGAGGCATACCCAGGGGAACCCCGTCCACTGCCTCCCTAGGTAGTGCCTCATTATCTGGTGCAAACTCTCTGCAGATGTCGATGCAGCAAGAATCGAGAGTCAGGGCAGTTCGGAGGAAACACGATCTGCGAGACGAGTCCGATCTGGTGTTCGTGGTCTGAGCTGCGTCTGATTTGCCTTGGCTGCAGGGGGAGAATTATCTCCGTGGGGTTCAGATGCCTTTGACTGGTGGACTCGGCGGCCCACTCCCGACACTATTGAAATTGTCTGGATTTGCGTAGAACCTCATTGTTTGGGGCTTGCCTCCGAGTCTAGTATTACCGCCTTTTGCACAGAATCGCAGTTGCGCCCCGGATGTCCTCCGTACTCCGGATTTGCTTATTGAGAACCGGCGTCCAGCCAAGGCTGAAGCGGTTGACAGCAAAGGCTAATGGCTAATGGCTCATGCCTGATGTTTTAGTGACGACACTTCGCTTAGATCGAAACCCGATAGGCTTAGTCGAGATCTTGGATCTGTGCGCGTATCTGCATCGTACCCATGCTAATATGTGGTTTCGGTCATCGTACATTTCTTGTTGTTTGATCTATAGATCGATCCCCAGGTATGACAAGGTTCAGGTGGCATCCATGGATCGAGTAAAGTTGACACATGGCAATGTCGGTACGGCGTACTGTCAAGGTGTGACGATGGTGGGGTGGTATGCTTACGGCTTCTGAGCGATGCAAGATCTCCACAGACATCGGCCGAAAGCCGGCGTCCTGATTGAGTTGTATGGATCTAGCAGCGCGGCTATAGATCGATCTACGCCCTAAAAAGAGAAAAAAAGAAAAAGAAAAAAATATATCTTATACTAGTTTGTTTCGTGGATAACAATGACACGTGTTGCCGTCCTTACAGTTCAGCTGCAATAAAAAACAAAAAACTAAAACTGAAACTAAAGCAAAATGAGGAACAATCCTGCGCCCAACTGGAGTCGGCGTGTTTCCCGGCCGTAAAAGCAAATGCCGCATCGCAGCGGAGTTGGGAATTCCAAATTCTCTATCTCGATCACTTCGGGTGCATGCTAGCGCAAGTCTTGGCTCCGAACGTTGCGATAACTTCATGTTCACCGTCCTTTTCCAAAAAATCAGTCGTCGATCCTATGGCCCGCTTCATCCTCATCATCCCTGCTTCGCAACAGTACCCCGGTCCCGGAAGATGAAGAACCTCCGACTCCAAGACTTCCGTCGCGAGCACATGACTAGTTCAAGGGTCTCCAAATTGGAGTAGCAAACCCCGAGATATGGAGCCGTGATTACCCCCCCCGTTACGTGTGGCACCAAAATCCACAACAGCTATGCAAAGTGCTGACCCTCTCAGATGCCGAGAAGGGGGGAAACGACAACTCAAGTCCAACCTAGCCAATCCGACCTGCACCCACCAGGGATCGCACGAACGGGCCTGTCAACAAGCCCCGCGAACATGACAAATTCTGAGACGCGCGGGGGAGGCGTCGTGATTCGCGGCTATGCGCGCCGCGTATCTTTCCTTCTTCTCGGTAGCCTGGGCTGATTTGGAATTATTACATCTCAGGATCTTCCCACAAGGCTGCAGGATGGCCGTCAGGCATCTCTGAAGCGTCTCGAGAAACCTTATTCCAAATTGGGAAGAGGCCCCCCCCCCTTCCGTGGGCAAAGCGCCGTTGCGGGAGGAATCGCACTTTCGTCATGGGGTCGCTTGTACGGAGGACGTCCGGGGGTTTGTAGCGGTACGTGGTTTTTTCCATGAGACCTTCTATTTTAAACTTGTATCTGTACGTAACCTGGATACTTTCCAAGTTGCTTTTTGGGGGGTTTAAAATGTATTTGGAGTAAGTAGCCCGGCTGAGCATAGAATGACAACTCCGTGGGAGGATCTCGAGGCTACTCAGATGATCGTAGCGGCCTGCACCTAGACGCGTTCGCCCGATTCTTTTTGACGCCCTGTTCCTTCCCCCAGCCGCCCCCCTTTCATGTGCGAAGGATCGCAGATCGGGGCGTTCGATCCTAGATGAGATCCAACGGGACTCATTCTCTTTTTACCCTAGTACCATGACGTTGAGCTTGGCAGCCATGGACCTCGGGAGGGACTGTGCATCATCTGATGCGGTCGGGCCCTGCCATCTGGGTGGGGAACGGAACACTTGGCATCATACGATCTCGCCGCAATAGTAGAGTCGCTTGAGATTTGGAGCCTAGCTGGATCTGAACCAAACAATGGCCGCCGATGCCAACCGCGTGAGCCTCGGCCGACAGTCGCGTGGCAATCTAGTACTTGTAGCACCTGAGAAACATCTATGGATATCGACTTGGCATATTCATCTCTTTTTTCTTTTTCGGATTTTATATACTGCGCACATGGGGTAAAAAAAAAAGAAATAGAAACCGGATCGGATCAAATTGCCACCCGCAATACAAGTCCGCAGCAATCAGAGAAGACCGGGGTGGGTCAAGCAGAGAGCCAGCCATACAGAAGGATCGTGAATAAAAATCATACTAGAAGAGAAAAAGGGGAGGGGGGGGGAAACCAAGAGATATCCAAGAGGAAATCAAGTTCATCCATAGGCCGTGGGAGATGCTAAAGAACCAAGATCGTACACACATCATAAGAAACATACTCAGACACGCGAGATGAGGACGATAGAGGAGGATCGTGAAGATGCAGGGTATAAGCCACAGAGCAAGGGGGAACATCCCTCAACATGAATCGAAATCCCAGAAGTCAAACAAGGAGGGTCTATGCTTTGAAGACTCCCAAACGCTGCGAGGGTATTATGTAAGGGCACCGATTAGGAAGGTCCAGGAAGAGCGTAAAAAGGGCTTTAAAAAAACAAGGGAAAAAAAGGGAAATATCGAAGGAATTGAAAGGGGAACATAAGAGGCCGGAGTACACGGGGACAGGAAATAGAAGCACGATAGATCCCCCAAAAAAAAATGATGGTGCCAAACAAGATTTGAACCGGGAGAAATCAAGATAGATCCCAGAGAAGAGGAAAAAGAAAAGAAAAAAAGAAGACAAATGGCCGAACTCCTTTTTGCCTCCCTCTAATTGCCATTTTTTTTCCAACGCCAGAGAAAAGGAATGTGGAAAAAAAGAAAGAAAAAGAAAAGAAAAAAAAAAAAAGATGAAAAAAGGGAAGCTTTCCTAATGACTCGCCGGTGAGGCAGAGTCAAGAACCGACTTGGGCTTGAGGTTCGATCCCAAGGTTGCGGCTTTGGTGGCTCCCATCTTGCGAGTGAGCTTGGCGTAGTGCAGCCCGCAGGCGTTACACAGCGTTCGGGCACCATCTGGACCCCGACGCCATTCTGGCGTTTCGGCTCGGTTACAGCTGTGGCAACGACCAGGAGGAGCCGCCTTCTGTTGAAACGGGGATTGTTAGTTAGGTTTCAGGTGGGGGGGGGGGGATGGCGCACGGATTCATCCGTGACAGGGAAAGCCATTATCAGGAAGACTTACACCGCGCCGCTTCTTCGAGTCCGCGCCGGCGAATCCACCGGTGCCCTTGAAATCATCTTGGTACAGTGGGCTGACCATGTGCTCGTCCTCCGGCTTGTAGGCCTTGCGCTGCGCCATCTGCTCTGCCATCGCCTGCTCCTGGTTCACCACCGCGGTTCGTATCCGGATCAACGCATCTTGGTTCCGTCGTTGCATATGGAGAATGTCTTCGACTTCGTTCAGCGTGGGGAGCGAGCCCATGACGGGTCCGGACCGTTGTGTTTGGTGAGCCAGAGCAGCATAGTGCCGGGAAAACTCAAGTGTGCGTGTACTCATCTCGGCAATCTGTTCCAATGACGGTAGAAGAGTCAGTCATCCCGCATCTCTGGTACTGGTTACTTCATAGGCTGGATCGACAGAAGATCGAAATCTGCTGTCAAAGGGGGCCCCCCGAGAAATTACACGCGAAAAAGGGAGAGGGGAGGGGCATCCGGAAGCAATCGAAAATTTCCAGGGTTCCATACCTCATTTAATGACGTCTCCACATCGTAAACGTCTAGATGCCTCTTGACCGAATCAGTATGGGGCTGACCCGGCATCGGACGACCCACAAATCCGCCTTTCATATCTGGCGCACCGATGTAGGCGCGACCGTCGTAGGACGCAGGAGGGTACGATGGAGCGCCTGGGGGAGGGTAGGTGTAGTTCGGAGGGAAATGACCGTAGCCGTTAGGGGAGGCTACGCTGCCCGCCGATTGTGGCGCGCTGTAATCGTAGGAAGAATTTTGCGAGCCGGAGACAGAGGTAATGCCGGTTTTGGCACTTTGGGTGGGCGACTTGCCGGTGCTGAGGGAGTGAAGAGAGGAAGCATTTCGTGAATCTTGGGTGTTGATGGTGTTGATCGAGTTTAAGCTGGTGCGCGACGCATCTGCTTGGTGAGGGAACGCTGGTTCGCGCATCAGCGAGCCAGACGGAGGGCCATTAGAGAATGGGTTTGGAGGGCCCGCGGGAGCTTCGCCTGCGCGTCCGATGAGGTGTGATGGAGGCGCGGCGTGTCCCGGTTGTGAAGGTGGTGCGGACGTGGGCGCAGGGTATGGGAGGTGGTTGTCCTTGCCGAGGGCTTCGTGAATGGAGGGGAGGGACTGGCGAGCGGCTTTCTCTTTTTCGTCGTCGAGAATGCGGCGCGACTCGGGGGGTGAGACGTAGCCCGGCGGGGGCACATTTGAGGGCGCATAGGAAGGATATTGGCCGGAATACATCGTGTTTGGGCTGGGGCTCATCATGGGGGAAGGCGACGCGACAGTTGGGTGACTCGGCGGATAGGCCGGGCCGTCTTTCCCCAAGAAACCGATGGCGGGCAAAGGGTCTCTGTGATGCAAGAGTCTGCTGTTAGTCGTAGCTCCCACTCATCGAAGCAGAAGAGATCCCAACTTACCTGTGCCTTGTTGCGGCTTCCAAAGACCCCATCACGGTCGAGGGCGGTTATAGAAGGCTGACGAAGGAAGAACACACAGGAAGTGCCGTTCTCATACGAATGGAGAAGAGGAAGTATCACGGGGGCGTGGGATCGAAGATTTGAAAAGTGACACCGAGGGGAAATGCAGCGCAAGAAATAAAAACCCAGATCGGCCGAAATCAACGGTTCTCGGAACGCCGTACAACCAGACGCTTGCTCCAGGGAGATCGTTCCACCAGTTCGTTGACGACTTCGAAAGAGTCCCAGGTGGCGATCGGATGCGAGATGCGATTTCAGACCCAAGATCCTGGAGGGCCCTGAAGGGTTGAGAATTTGGAAATCGTGGCGTTTCAAGCCGGCACCGCGGTTGCGAGCTAAGTCAGATGCGATCGGGGGGGGCGAGGGGAAGTATAGCTTTCCTACGGGCCCAACACCATTCCTTGGTTCCGTCAAATCACCGTCGGTTTTCTGGGGGCTTCTGGCGGCTGCGAACTGCTGCTATCACGGCTGCTGGATTCTTCGGGAGGGAAAAGAACCCGGGGCTATAGTTTAATGAATCTCTGAACCCTAATGGCAAAGACGATAGGTCCCGAGTCCACGATCGATCGGCCACGCAAGGGATATTGGGGGGGACGAGTCGAAAGGAACGCCGCGTGGAAGTCGATTAGGAATTGGGTGTTAAAGGGGAATGTCAATCCAAATATGCACGAGGAGGAAGGGGCGCGATCGATTATATGGATTTGGAGGAAGGCCAGAGGGGAGGGGGGTGGGAATTAAAGAATAAAGAACGCTGAACCGTCCAAGCAGGAAAGGGAATAGCCCGGGGCTTTAGGATTTTAAGGATTTACGTATTTCAGAAATTAGCACTTTTTTAGTATTTTAGGCTGTCTATAATGGCGGAGACGTATTCGAATAATAAAATCCTCCAATAATTGCGAAATACAGAAATCGAAAATTAGGATTTTGGGAATTTCCGAGATTCCTACAAGCGGAATAGGCCCAGTACGAAAGGGCGAAAATGTATTTTTTTTTAAAAAAGAAAGGGAACAAAAAAAATAAGAAAAACAGAAAAAAGAAAAGACAAAAAGGAAAAAAAAATACAAAATGCAGCCGGGACAAAAAAAAAAAAAAGGGCCCAAAGGACCAGCGAGGCCAGCAAGGCCAAGGGGATCGAGGCTACTTCGTTACGGGCCTTAGATTGGAATGAACGGAGGGGGAGGGGAATGGCCGGTACGCCAACAGGAAGTTTAAAAATAATAAATAATCCTCAAAAAGCAACACCCCCATTATTTTGCCTAGAAAGAGAAAAAAAAGAAAATAAAAGTTGAATTTTTCCATCGGAGGGATCAAGTGGAGATCGAGATGGGCGGATCGTAGACGATTGAATTTAGCAGGGGTGGAAAATTACTGGGAAATGAGCAGATCTGTCATGACCAGGTTTTACGGAGAGGCAAATTACGGTACAGCGAACTGCGGATCTTCGCATGTGGAGTAGACATGGGATCATACCTATCACTGCTAGTCTGGACGGTGGGGAAACGGGAAAAGAAAGGATTCAATAATCATCCCATCCAGTTGGGAGTTCTGTTATACATTTTTGATTATTATGATGATTATTTCTTTTTGAGCTTCCTCTGCCCTCAGACACTGGACCCAAACCCAACCCGCAGCATCGATGAAGTTTTGGGGGGTCACAGAGATTGTACAGAGTCCCTTCGCTGCCGCCTGGGGCGTCGAAGAAGCCGGTATGGCATGACTCCAAGTCAGGAACACATGGGTACGGGTGCAACCTGGCCACTGCCACTGGCAATCTTCCCTAGTAGTTTGCTAAATCTGGCTGGCGTAGCGCGCTTTGCGAACAATTCTGCCACGCGATGTCCACTGTCTGTTTGCACCCGACAGGCTGGGAGCTTGGAGCTGGGAGCTGGGAGTCGGGGAATCTTTGAAGGCGATGGTTTCACGGCGGGCAAATATACTTCGAGGCCTCTCGGGGTGATATACCCTCATAGACACTTGAGTTACTCCCGGGTAAATAGTCCATCTAAGTATTCTCACTATTGTATCGGCTACATTTCTCTCCCTGATTGGGGTATTCCCCCGCCACCTAATTTTGACAGATACTAGTATCACATGGGGGGATTATTTGACCTATCAGTCCTAGGCGAGGCAGTGTCTCTCTCCGGCGTTCAGACCTCTTCCAAGATTTGGGGCTGATCAATTTACCGAAGGGGGTGGGAGCCATGATGTCAGGGATCGAGATCGTATACAGTATTGGTATATAGGATCGGGCTTTCTGTGAAAAGGCAACCGTCCTAAAATAACCGCAGAGAGGCCGGGCCCGAGAATCAGGGCCATAATCACGCATTGAGATCTTAATCGGTGGAGATCAGCCATCGTCATATACTAACCCCCTTCTAGGTTCTCTTGCAATCGTGACTAATTCGGTCCCGACATCTCCAATGGGAGGCATAGACGGGTTACACAGACGTGTCTTTCACCAGATCTGCCACTGATAGTCTCGATTCAACGACCCATGGTTGGACCGTTGGCTCTTTTCTGTCTCGATCTCGGGCGCTGCCGCACATATCCTAGCAAAGACGACGTCACGCCCCCACTCCTGGGAGCTGCTTCTGATCGGATTCATAAGGGCTTCAAAGTTCAGTTTTGCTCTCGTTCGTCTCAGTCGGACGACTCAGGAAATAAGAACGCGCCTCAGCCCGCTCGGCCGAAACCTCCTTTGACCCCTCTCTCTTCTGCTACTTAGCGCCCTCGATCGGGGCTCACTTCCCTGTTCAGCACTGGCACCGGACTTTTGATCATGACCATCCGCCCCGCCAAGCAGTTAAACTTCGGGATCTCGATCGGCTGCCCCGGAGAGTATGAGATCGCGAAGCCTGGTGAGCCTTCAGCTTTGTCTGTTGCTGCATTCTCTCTCTCTGTATCTGCCAGGAACAGTCCGCACTCTGCTCGATTGCCTGCCCTCCTGGCTGTTTACTGCCCGGGTCCCGCAGATGTCAAGCCGGGAAAGCAACATGGCACCTTAATAAACAAAAGCAGGGATCCATGGGGCGTGTAACCAATTCTGGGCGGTACACCTTGTCCCCAAACTGCCGGGCGTGGACCCTTCGAGGAAGAGACGATGGAAAACCGAGAGCCTGGCGAGCCCCATTTAAGGAGAGTTTACGTGGCTTTGGCCCTTGCGGGCCCACATTGGCAGCTCCGCCGTTGGACTGTCATATTCTGACTTGCCCATTACGCCCTTATTGCCCCGACTCATCCTGAGACAACATCTAAGTCTACCACCCCCCCCTCGTTCATAGTAGTCTGAATCCCGGACTGAATGACACTGGTTTGTGGGCTCTGGCTCTGGATCGCTTCATGCGCACAGTCCCGTGGGCCGAACGCCTCCACAATGTAGGCACCAGGCAAATTGCCGTGGGATCTTCGGAACCTTCTCTGCAGCCCGTTGATCGAGCGGCACAGACCGTGCGGACTATGTCTGGGTTTTGCCTGCTCCCCCTTTATCCTGCTTATCCAGATCCCCCAGAGTAGATCCCTAGAAAACACAGTATCCCCACAACATCCACTGCCATCGCAAGCGAGGGCATGATTGGAGACAGCAATGCACTCTGCAAATCCCTACATACTGCACCCACCCACAAACACCTACAAACCAACTCATCCGCATGCAGGGGAAAAAAAAGTACGCTGGGAATGATCTGCCGCCGCAATTTCCTCGATCCAGCAGACTAAGGCTTCATCCCCGTGGCCCAGAGCGCAAACTACGTTCAAAGCAGCATCCCAAAGAGGCCTATGGACGAGGGCCTGTCAGGAGCCCTGCGCATTTCTTCTTCCCCCGTAAGACACCGGCGACATCCCCCCTCCCCCCCCGGGGTCTCTTTCAGTCACGCTACGATGTGTTTCATGCATCTGTGTCGGCTGAGATTTGGTCCATGCACGGTAGGTCACCTCGTTTGCCCGAACTTTGATGCAAGACTTGTGTCTCCTGCGGGCCGTCTCCACTATGCGCACGATCGGGCTCAGCAGGGGGGTAAGCGGAGGGCTCGAGTGGACGGGCTGGACAGCACATGCTCTTGGCCTAGCTAAACTAACTTTCGATCCCGTTTGATCCCTGGCCCTCCGGGGAAAACAGGATGGCACTTTGCCTTTTGGGTTTCAGCGTGGTGTGCACCGGAGGAAAGCGAGAGGGGGCGAAGGGCGGGAAGACAGCAGGGCCCGGCCCGGGGGGAAGGGGACAAATGTACGGAGTACCGGGATCAGAGCTATCTCAGGGCCCAGATCCCCCTCCCCCGCGGCCCTGGTATTTCGATCTGAACCGCTCGGAATCGAGACTGACAGCTCCGGTCACGAACTCCGCGCGAGAAGACGGTAGTCCGAATGGTATCGCCATTGGATGGGACTTGACGGTCGAAGAGCCGCGCTGGATTGCTAAAGGCTCCCACCCCCGTTGCCTTGGGGGCAACCGTGCGCTTCGAAGTGACTAGTCGCGAGAACTATTTCCCATGTTCACGAGGGCCTGCGGACCTCGGCCCATACTCCGTAGACTGGAGATACCCCCAGCGGGACGTCAAGGTCACCTGAGCAGGGGAGGGGAGTTTAAATGAGATTACAGTGAGGTATTACGGAAGGGCTGGAGACTGGAGAGGGAGAGAATTTGCAGGGAAAGTAATTGCGCAGTTCCTTGCGCGGAATCATTTGTACGAGTCTCGCATGAAAGACAAACCCTGTGGGGTCTGCAGTGTGAATATCGAGGTCGCTGTGCAGGTCACAAGGGAATGACCAGTAGGATTGTGGCCTCACGGAGCTCTGATCCACTTAGGGCTCTGGGCATTTCTCTCGCAAATGCTCTCTCTTTCTTTCTTCCCCCCTGCCCCCCCTATTCAACCCCCCAAGTGCCAGGCTTGGTGACCTCCTGAGCTATCCCTTGTCAATCTAGATTGGAAAAGGTCAGGCGAAGCAGAACCCCCTAAAAGGGCGAAGAGAGATCGTCCAGAGACCAGCAGCAGTACCGACTAGTGAACGCTTCACGTCCCGGGCCAGAGGAAGTGCGGTCGCACGGGGATTATCACGGAATGATCGACAACGCGCGATGGGACCGTTGGGACCGTTTGGGCTCTGGAGCCCTTCGAGGCCCGCTGGGACAAAGCGGCCAATTTCCCAGCCTCCCGACAAGTGGACCTGGGCCACCGATCGCTCACAGATCAGATAATCCTAGCCTTTCCAAGCAAATGAGCTGCAGCCCCTTCACTCAACTGGGCAAGAGATTAAGATCCGATCACTAAGTAGTTTGCCTTTTCCGGGTCCAGAGCACGATCCCCCTCCTCTGGGACCGCCTTTTTTGGAGAGACCAGGCGTCAAGAGGACGAGGAGTTGGGGACGTGTTTGCGAAGTCCACTTTCCATATGGTCAGCGGCATTGCTCCGACTATTTCTTCAATCCTGTGGCATCCCTATCCACATTCCAACCTGCCATTCGCAGGACGATCGTTGGACCGTCCCGCTAAAGAAGTGGCGCGGCCAAAACCGTTGCACCTCGATCCGATGAGGTGTGCCGCTTTTGATCCGAAACCTCTTGATCCCTGTCAGCGTTAACAAATCTGATCGGGGATCATCGAAAGGAAGTACTCCGTGTTCTCAATGACATACTAGTGTAGATACAAACCCGTTCTCACGTCAATCTGACATAAGGAGTTTTCCCCAGCCGTTTGGCCTTTTTACTAAGTCGCCCATATGCACTCGCAGCATATGACGTGCCTCCGGGGATTTACTACTAATATCAGTCTAAAAGAAATACGAATTAGCGCGAGGGAGTGCGGAAAAAGGGAAAAACGGGGAAAAAAAAAAAACAAAAACAACAAAAACAAAACAAAACCGGGCGGGACCCCACTTGCTTACCTAGCAAGTTCCCAGCGAGTCTCCAAACGACAGCAGGTTCACGCCCCTACACAGATAAACCTCCGAGCGGGGAGAAGCCACAAATGCCAGGGATCTGGGTATCTTCTCTACCATTAGCCTCGCACGTACCCTATTTCCCACGCGTGGCGTTGAATTCAGGCTGAATACTCTGATTAAAGGGGCGAAGGAGGGGGGGAAGGGAGAGGCTTGGACTCTCCCAGTAACTAGTGGGGACTCATCCGGTAATCTGCCCGATCTCTAGACTCAAACGGGCAAGTTGACAGCTAAACGGCGACAGCTGAGCGAGCTAGAATAATTTAGGAAAGGAGGGGAGGGAAGGTGACGAAAGTGGTTTCTCCCTTCTCCGAGAATAATCAGGACAATCGAGCCAATCTGCACTTTCCCCGAGCGCGGGATGACAAAACTGGTAGGAAACTTCTGCACAGCGCCTGATCAGGGCGACTACCCTTCCCACGAGGGCGGGACTTCAATCAGGTCAGGCCATATGGGCCCTTCAGAAAGCTAAACCGGTTAACATGGAGCATCTCGATACGCTCCCGTTTTAAGTACTGCGTAGGGTTACGATAGGCACCCCCGAACTCCTCATCGGGGCCGGTTGCGTCAGATCTTCTCGTATTGTTTACTAGCTTAGGAGGTTGACACTATTAGCGCTTTGTATCTAGACTATCAAAATAAAGATAAAATTAATCTTTTCTATTCTTTTCTTTTCTTTTCTTTTTTTCTTTTTTCTTTTTTGCGAGAAGGTGTGGGGGGTGGAGGGGCCGCTTGTTCGTTTTCGTTTAGGGAACATCGGACTCTGGTTTCCTTGGGATTGACCAGATAATGTAAGTCGTCAGAACAAGAAATAGCTTCGTGGGCGGCCGTTAGCTGCATGTGGAATCCGGACCCCAGATCGGCTCCAATATCTTAGCTCTTTGTCATCGCTGACTGATGATGGAGTCTGATGGATAGCTGTTTTGATCGGCGGAGGCAATTGGAGCGATGGCAAGCGGAAGAGAAGATCAACCGCAGGGGGGGGTCATTCGCACGATTGCTGGGACCCCTGGGTCCCAGACCGCAAAAAAGAGACTCTGTAGAAGTTTGTTTTTAGTTGGAAGAGACAACACCAGTTTTACGCCACCTGAGATCTAACGGTAAGCTTTCTGCATGTTCCAATATGGATTTTGAGGTACATACAGGCAACCGAAGGCAACCTAACCCCCATCTGCCGAGCTGCAAGGATGTACCTCCATGGGAGCTGAGGAGGGCCATGTCAATCGACCCGAATCAGGATTAGATCCTTCCTAAGAGATTCAGGAGATAGTACTACGGAGTACGCGGAACACGGTTTAGTTCCGAACCGAACCCCCGGGAACGGTGAGGCGACTGTTGGGAGAAGAGAGAGATGGAGAGTAGCTGTACAGAAGGACGAGGCCGCGAAGGGGGGTAGGGCGAGCTCTGCGCGATTTGGACCACGATTTAGCGTATTCCTCACGCTGCAGGGCAAAAGCATATTTGTACTCCGTGCGTATCCCAAGGCGTCGGGATCCAGGTACCAATGACCTTTCACGGAGATCTTGCGCAAGACGATATTACGGTTTTAAGACCCATGCATAGACAAATCATCAATCTCATACACTGTTTCCCATCGCCACGATTACTCCAGACTTCCGTGTTGCCGCGATGCAGAGCACTGCAATAGGAAACGCCTCCATGCGACCCACTTCCTTCCTGCCACCATCTGCCGTGCAAAATAAGACTAACGGTATAAAGATGGCGCAAATCCCGAACTACCGGCTCCTTCCCAGCCCCACCGCAATTTTGCTGATTTGCTACCGATGGGCTGTCGGAATAATCATCACCCCGGTCCTTTTTTGGGATCCCAGCAGCTCTACGGAGTAGCTAGGAAACAGGCAACGACCTCTCAAATTCCAGCTGTCTTGGTGCGCTGGGATTCGTGAAACTCGCGTCCAGCCACTAATCTAATCTGCATTTGAGTGCATCTATCATATGCTTGCTCGGTACGGAGTACTCAATTCCACTCCTTCATCGACGTAGTGGTCCTCAACTCCTTCGATCTATGTTTATTCCACAGGTCGGGGTTTCCGAGCCCTACAGCTGACCCAAGATGGATTAACGCATCGTTACATCCGCTTGGGCGACTGCCCAGGCGTCAACAAGCCTCCATTTGTCTCAGGGACGCTTTCCCGATGGTTTTCCCGAGTGCTTGCCACGCGGGTTGGAAAAATTCTCCACATACGAGGAATATTAAACATGAGATTCTCTTGTGGGGACGGTGGATGTGACTATTGCTTCCTGTGTTTGATGACCCGTGTGCCGGATCACCACAAATCTGATAGAACCAGAGTAATAGGCAGCTGTCCTTTACTCCCAGACACCTTGGGGCTAATACTAGCACCAGGACTGGGTCCTTGGCTGACATTCTAGACTGTGAGTCTGATTACGGTTAATCTCCGGTCTGAGATTATCCCGTGTCTTCGATAGGCTTAGCGGTGAAAGTGCGAGCCACGGAGGCTCTCAACGATCTTTGATTCCCGCTTGCGTCAGCTGACTTCTATATCCAATTCACTGGCTCCTACCCTCGTGGTTTCTGGCCCAGGGTTGACCGCTGGTTCGTCTTTGTTTATCGACAGATCCCAGGGCAGGACACGGACCGGCGAGCTAAGCTAGTCTAGCGAGGCATGAAAGAAAGGATACCAAGGGTCATATATGCGCAATTCATGCTGGTTCCCAAGCTCTGGCCATGACTGATGATCATTACTTCTCTTGCAAGCACTCCTCCCTGGCAATGCCTTTTGGTTGGCGGCTTCTTCTTCCAGGTCGTACATGATGGGTGTACCCTCCCCACAGGCCCAGAGAGCTCCCGGCGCACGATCGTCCCGGTAGATCAAGGTAAACAGCTTTTCCATGGGCATTAGTAGCTGCCGCTTTAGGTACACGCATGACCAGATTGGTATAACGTCCGGGGCTTCTGCTACAGGGATCGTTCCTTTAGGGCTTCGTGCCGTTCGGCCGAAGGACTAACTATGCAGAATGCCGAATTTGTTTACTGAATACGTTACCTGTCGAGAAGAGGAGCCCTACGGGATCTTTCCGTTTCCTTCATGGATTGGAGTCTTGCGTGGTTTTACGCTTATCGTCGCATGTACGGAGGGGAGCATGAATCATGTTATTGCAGGTGGAGACCAGACTCCTTCAAGGTTGGTGGGATCGGGGAGAAGACGCTCCCCTCTCATCCCTGGAATCGGTGAAGCTAGGACGAAGCGAATCGGGAGACTCGCCCCTGGCCTCGTTGCGCATTCCTCTATGAGCAATCTAACCAAGTTGATCCTTCCCCGAATGAAGAGAATGCCTTCTATTCACCACTAGCTGTACGGAGTATCGGCAGTGATCCGGGGATAAGGGGGGTTCCAGCGTATAGCACTTGCCAGCTGGAAAGTACCTGCTAGCAGGTAAATCCTTCGCCCCTGACCGCTGAAGAATGGAGTCCGGCAGATAGACCTCTGTAGTTAATGCCGAAGTACGAATTGTGTTTCCTCTGGAGACGGACATGCTTAATACCGTAATTTTGTTCTGCATCTGATAGCTCATGATGCTCTCTTATCAGAAGATGGACATTGTGATACAGGTTCTTCTAAGCCTTTGTGTTGACAGCTGCCCAGGGCGCAAGAGTCTGCAGCCCGTCTAGACCGCCTGTGCTGGAGTGGGCGATTTTGAGTTTTTTCTGACAGGTGAACTAAACCCGCTCGGTTCCAAGGAACGACTTCCCCGGGTCGCCAAGGACCCCTACTATAGTCCCTGACTCAGTATAGCTTCCCGACAACATGGGTTCGCTTGGTATTTGTCATGCGTTTCCGCATTCCCCATTGCAGGAGTGGCCAAGAGGTGCTGTTCTTCTCCACCCTGGGATCTTCCAGATAGGGGGAGATCCCCACTCTTCCAACAGCATATCATCACTCCTAATCATGAATTGGTTTACTCATTTCCTCATAATCATAGCTTTCATGACGGGGTTCGGCTCCCTAACGTGAACCGAGCCTATGTATGAAGGAGGTGGACCGGCCTCGACCAATCCGCAAGGGTCCTTTCTCATCTCCTATCAGCACCGAACAGGAAGGAGGATCGTCTGGCTAGGAAATCCGTAAAACGAGGCAGATCCGTGCGATCGCTTACTGCAGCACATGGGCCGAAGGATCGGCAATCTTCAATCAAACCAAGCACCGTGACTATCCAGGCCGCGCACATGGGCTGGACCCATGGCATAGTATGACAGAAAACGGCCGTAGTTGGCGTCCACAGGCTTCTCCACCTCTAGCGACCCGCAGATTCGTTCTTCATGCATCCAGCAGGGAGGTTTTCATATGTAGCGATCTGGAAGCGAAGGACAAGGGGGGGGTAACGAAGGTGGTGGGGGCAGTCCGAGCTCCGCTACAACCCTTAGTGCGAACCAAACACCTTACTTGTTTTAAACTTTTTTTCCTTTTTGTCTTCGTTCTTGAGACGAAACAAAAAGAGTGGAGCTCATTCCTCACAATAGGTGGGATTGTGGCGCCGACATGTCCCCGTGGGCTTCAGGAGGCAAAACCGGATACTTGGGAGAGTTAACGCCTCTCATACTCGAAACCGTCTGGATGGCTGGAAAAAGAGACCGCCGATCTCAGGCAGTTTGATGAGTCAATCAAGAGGACTACCGGAAGAGCGCTTTGCAGCGTAGAAACAGGATTCGCCTCTGGGACGGCCTATTCCCGCAGCCGACACAGACTCAGGACTTTTGCGGATCTCGATGAGTCGAGTGTGATGAACCTCGATGTAGTTGTACACAGCCTGGCCCCCATCCCATCCCTTGAGCCCAGGAAAGCCAGGGACCAAAGAACGATCCGTCCAATCGAGCTAGAAGACTAAGATTCGTGCACGAGGGAGGGCGCTTGGCGAAACCGTTCTCGACCGATTCCTTCGCGATCCGATGTCACCCATCTGTCACCCATCTGCCACCCGAGGCCTTGGAAACTGAGGGGTTAGACGAAGACAACCAAATCCCGAACCTGGCTGGACGGGGGACACAGCCCCCCTCCAGGTACTTTTGCCCCGGACACGTTGTGGTGGGCAACGGGCGTGGGATATTTCTGTCAAGAACCACCCCACTGTCAGAGTACCTGTGTTTCGTTTTCTTGTACGGAGTACGTCGCGTGCAGATTGCATACTGCGATGCAGCTTGCCGTTATGGTGCTCATTTGATGTCTTCTGGTAGTTGGCAGACTTCCTGCGCTAGTTGTTATACCGTTTGATCCGAGAAAATCATATGATTCTGGTTCGAATTCTCTTTATGATCCCTTGCTTCCTTGTTTGAGCCTGGCATTGCCTCGTTTCTAGTCCCAATTGGACTGTGTGGCTGTTCCAGCGGCGCGAAGAGGAGGGTGGTTTAGTGTAGTCCGTATCAGACCCATGGCGTAAGAAAAGAGGCAAGTCTAAATGGGTTATTGAACTCTTACCTAGCATCCGCTCCAGGGCTTGCATGTCCTATATTACTTCTGACAAAGTCACAGACGGGCAGAAGAACGCGAATGGCTTTCGCAGGTTGAAGTAATGCGAGCGCTGAGGCGCCCATGAGGAAAAGAAGGCATCCGCTTATGGTCCAGGGATGGTATACTTCTCTTACACCGAATGCCTCATTCGGGCCCCTGCAGCCGCTGACATCGCAATCGACCTTCCACCCCTCCTTATCAAGTCCGCCAGGTTCCAGACCTCATCGAGATCCACAGAAATACCTGGTCTGTCCATCAAGACCGCATCCAACTGACCACAAGCGGCGGTTTCGTCCTTACCAGCACGTGACCACGCGCCGTTGGACGCGGGGGGATCTCCAACTTCCCCCCCCGCGTTTTCGCCCACCTCTTCGTCTTATACACATCAGCGTGCCCCCTCATCTGGCCCACAGTCTGGCCACCAAGAATATGGCGACGTCCCTGAAATCCCTGGCCGAGATCCCCGTTCTCTCGCGCCTGTATCGCCAGGGAATTTTGCACCCCTCCACGTCAACGAAGCAGCCCGTCCAACGTCTCAACGATTCCGTGGCCTCTCTCCAGTACGACATCACCAAGCTCAAGGTTGACTGCATCGTTAATGCCGCGAATCGCTCATTGCTGGGTGGTGGCGGCGTAGATGGCGCTATTCACCGGGCGGCCGGCCCCCAGCTGCTAGAAGCATGCAGGTATCTGGACGGCTGCGATCCCGGCGATGCCAAAATTACCCCCGCTTACGAGCTACCCTCTGAGCGGGTCATCCACACCGTTGGCCCGATCTACCGCCTCGAGAACAATCGAGACCCTAGACGCCCGGAAATCCTCCTTCGTTCGTGCTACCGGCGCAGCTTGGAATTGGCCGTTCGCAAAGGCATCAAGAGCATCGCGTTCTCGTGCATTAGCACCGGAGTCTACGGGTACCCGAATGAGGCAGCCGCGTTCATTGCCGCGGACGAAGTTCGGAATTTCCTTGAAGAGCCCGAGAGTGCTGGGAAGCTGGATCGTGTCATCTTCTGTCTCTTCCAACCAGAGGATGTGGCCGCTTACGAGAAAGTGCTTCCGTATGTCTCCCTGTCTCATACTAAGCCCTAATTGGGGGCTTCAGCTAACCGGCTCTTTCCCTTCTTACCTGCTTTATAGGAAAATATTCCCCCCGACAGAAGAAGACCTCAAGGACCCCAGTGAAGGGGCATGATTTGTGATTCGGATCGAAGATTGCTTGCTTGCTTTTCGTTTCCATGGCCTAACGAGATCACGACGATATGTAACATGCATAATAAAAGCGAACAGAGGCAGAGAAGGGCTTTTTTTTTTCTTTTCCGGCACACAGACTCCCAACCCGTCTTTTACGTGCTCCTCTCGCCCGCTAATACCTGAGCCGGAATTCTACTGTTCTATCGGGCCTGAACCAGTCTTCTCTGCACCCAAGCCAAGAGGGCCTAGCTACGAAAACGATGCGCCTGGCTTTACTTTGAATGGGATCTGTTCTTTTCGGCCGTGCCAGTCTGAGGTAGATTGGCCATGGTATCTTTGTGTTATTCAATCAATTTCCGTCGGAGTTCCAAACACGCTTGTGCGAGGCCTGGTTTGTATTTTTTTTTTCTCTTTGGGGATCACCGAACAATATCTCTCCACCTTGAATGCCCGGGGTAGATGCCATAAAGTAATATTACTTCGAGTTTATCCTTTGACACTCGAGCGGACAAGGAACAGCTCGGGGAGAGCCTCTTATTTCTTCCCCAGCTTCGTGAACCTTACTTAACGCGCATATTCAAGCCGAAGAAAGTTCAGGTTTATACCATTATTATTAACGGCTCGTGCTTTATGTACGTATCTCTGAAAAGACTTCCAATGCATCCAAGCCTGGTAATATCAGGGCTGAAATAGCCAAATGAGCCAAAATCCCGAAATGTAAAATGCTTGAATGCGATGCTTCGTGTTCGCAATGAGAATGCAAATGCTACTGAGAAACAATCCGAATATCCTCATGGTTCTCTTCTTGTAAGCGGTCGATCTCTGAAGATATACTCATGACCCAACGGTCTTTCTCCACTCGACTGCGTGCCTTGAAGACGATCGTCCGGCCAAGTTTACCAAGAGCTGAGACATGGCGCAGAGACGTTTTCGCAGCGCCTTGTGCGTCTTTTTCTTGGGCCCGGAACAGTCCTTTCCGGATTGATTGCCAGACAACGAATGTGATGGCCGTGTCTTCATCCCGACTAGTGAAGCAGTCGGATGAGAGGTAGACACGAGGGAGAGCGTGGAGACCGGGGTTATTACTATCAAACGTTTGGTTGGCGTATAGCAAGTCTGACTCGGTCGCTAAGCCGGAGTAGATGTAGCAGTCCCGTAGGTCAATAGTTGTTTCGTGCTCCTGGTGGATATGTGGAATTTGGACGCCATTGCTGCCTCGGAGACCGTGGCGGAAGATGATCAGTTTACCGTCCGAGAGGACAACGTGGCACCGTGCGAAAGTCGTATGGCGACGCGGTTTGCGGTATAGCTGGCCGGACATCTGGTTGGGACAAGTCTAAGTTGGGCTCTCTGGAAGGCAGGGGTTATATGCTTACCTTGATTGTACGGCAGCCTGACAGCAGGCACATATTGTGCAGATGTGGCGATGCCTCGGCCTTCTTCACCTCCCATTTCTCTGCAAACTGACCCATGACGGACTCCATCTCGTCATCTATCTCAAGAAGCTGGAGATTGCGTTTCCGAATGGCCTTGAGCTCAGCTGCATCGTCGGCACAGCGTCTTCTCCAGTAGTTGACCAGCGCCTCTAATCGTTTGATCCACTCGTCACGAGTTCCAGCATCGTATGCCTGGAGACGAATTACTAGGCCGTTGTCCAGTGCCATCTCAAAGGTCCGATCATCATCAAATTCCCTTGTTGCGCCATCGTCCTGAAGGGTGTCTCGCGGCTCGGGGTGGAAATCAACAGAAGGGCCCTCTCCGATATTCGGATCCGCTGAGCTACTTCCCCACCGAACCTGACGTACTTCTCGCACTTTGCAGAGATCAATGTACCCATCTGCTTGGCTGATATTATGCGCTTTCCTCTGGGCCTGGGCATAAGCTTCTTCGTCGTGTCGCTGGATATACTCAGGGTTCCCGTTTGTTAACCACGAAACATCGCCCTCTTGGAGTGGGTATGGATCAACGTTGAAGCAAATCGGGGCGTTGTTGATGATATCCTGGTAAGAAGGGATTTCGGATTCGTCTGTAGCGGTAAGCTTCGGTGGCGGCGGGGGCAGCGCCTTGGCCGGTCTACAGAACAGCAAATGATGGTCTTCGGTGTAGAAGTAGAGTCGCTTGAAGAACATTTTGTTTCTCCGCTGGTGGATGCCTCTCTGAGATGTGAGTCGAATGAGAAACCCCTCCAATGGCGGTGGTTCTTCCTCTTTGTGCTCATGACATAAGTCGCCTGGGGACTTTATCGCAGTTGGGTAGTGATACCGAGGACGCAGCTCCAATTCATGAGATGACAGCATTGCCATGGAACCATACATGTTCTCTTCGTTCACTCCAAAGACCCATTCGAGACGATCGTATCGTTTCCAAGCCAGGCCCATCTTTTCCGTCTTGGACCACGCTCCAAGCACTTCCGCCCATTCGGGACGCCCTTGAAGCATGTCCAAGCAGCCTCTTATAATGGCCGCAGCAGCGAATTTCTCTTCCGCCGCGTGCTGGCTGAGAATCGTCGTGTGGTTCTGGTCGGTATGTCCTAGCCCTAGACGAGCTTCTAAATGCTTGAAAGGGTCCTTGAATATCAACGAGACACCTAGGTCAGGAATGTTGATAGGCAGGTCACTTGGACGACGCCAACCGAGCACCTGGCGTATGAACGTATACCACTCAGCTGCATGAGCCGCCGACTTGGGCCGAATAATATAGATTTTGGTGCCGCGCTTGCAAGGGTGCGACACTACGATGGTCTTGTCGAGGGAAGAATACAGATTGACCTGGGTGTTTCTGTGGCTCAGCCGGATCTCGTAGTGAGGCGGCGTTCTGCTGCGTGGATTTTGCACATCTGGAATCACTCGGGTGCGATACATCTGGAGAGTGAAGGGCGCATGCTCGTGCGAGCTCGTTCGGCAAACAACTAAGTACTCCCGCCATCTGTCGACGGTCCGGGTTTCCATGCGCAGGCTGTCATTCTCGCCGTAGTTTGCTGGCAATGCGTCTTTCGAGGTCTCTTCCACGAGCACCAGCATTCTTTCAGCTTTGACAATCTCGCCCTTCTGGCGCTTCCGTCGATGGGGCCTGTTTGCAGAAATGGTACCGTGCGTCTTAGCAATGCGGGACCGCAGCCTTTGTTGCTTATCCATAATATTGTCATCCAAGTTGAGTTTGGCCATTTTCTTGGTGATCCTGCCATGGACGTGTCGTTTCCGCACTTCTTGCTCGGGCTCTTCATTATCACCATCCGCATACTGGGGGCCATGGGGCTCTAACGAAAGTCGGGATATACCAGAGGCTTTACTTTCCGACTTCATATGGCTGATCCGGCCTTTGAAGCTCTTCCCGTTCTGCTTGTTATCCGGCCTGTTCTTCAACAGATCCGTTGTTGAATCAGCCTCGCTGGGGGCTGCAGAGTTGGCTGATGGGCTTGCATTACTAGGTCCAGGAACACTCAAATTTTGGGACGCGCGTGACTTGGGTCGTGTGTCAGAAACACCTAGCCCTTGATTTGGTCGAATTGTCGATGTGGATGCTCGATCCGTATCTGCAGAACTGGCAAAAGTCTCTCGGGCTGTCACAAAAGACGATGACGCGTCTCCTTTGTCATACAAGCTATGATCATGCGCACTGGCGCGTGTACTCGGGCGCGGAGTATCGTCATCATCCTCTTCGTCTCCCTCGTGGGGACTGTGCTCTCTTTCATCCTCTGTGTCCGTTTCCGCCGTCAGTTCTTCCGCAGCAGGATCTTCGATCTCACGGAGCTGATCAGAGGGTGTTTCAGGATCTTCAGTCTCGGCCGCAAGGACTTCTTCGTCCTCAACTGGTTCCTCGTTAGTGTGGGTAATGGTGAGGGCGACATCGTCCACACCGGGTTCCGTCGAATGCTCGCTCTGATTATCACTGCGCTGCTGATTGTAATGAGCGGTAACAGGATCAATCGAGAATGATAGTGTTTTCGATGTGTAATTCTTGAAGCGGAGTCTGGATCGAAACCACGATTTTCGGTGTCCATGTAACCATCCTTCTGGAATCGGGCCGATAAAGAAACGGCGGCTTGTCATATGTAGATGATGGGCAGAGGCATGACGCTACTTGTGATGGGTCCTATCAGTCTAGAACGGGCCCTCAGGAGGGCATAAAAGGGGGTGGATCGCTGATCCAACGTACCAATTTCTGCTCAGTGAAGGATCCGACCGGCAAGCCTTCATACTGACCACAGTTGCCAGTACAAGAAGGGCCGGGGTCGGAGCTGTTTTCTGGTTCTGGAGTGCTCATGGCTCCTAGTGGTTATCCGCTAAGGGATTGGGTTGGAAGACACCGTGAAACATTAAGACCTGAAGATCATTTATGGCCCAATTGAGCGAGGATCGACATGAACAACCAATTCTGCGAGGGGAATCGGAGATCTCGAGACAGACATGTTCCGATGACGTCTTGCTTCAGAGCGGGAAGACAAGGCAAACAGTGTAAACATGCAAACAGCCCAAACATGCACATCGGAGCCCGCTTTCCTATTGGGTCCTCGTGCAGACGGGTGAGTGACAGCGGGACCGCTGTTGATACCCCCCGTGGTGGGTGCTTTCCTACTTCAGTTTTCATTCTTCTACACACTTCAATTCCTCTCGCGATCATGGTTCAAATCGCTCCCGGTACCACCTTCTTTGACACCATCCCGAAGTCCTTCGCGGACGTCCCTATCGATGCGGCCAATGGGGATGCTATTGCTACTGCCGAGTTCCTAGAAGCTGCTTCGTCCTTGGTGACTCTGTTCGGTATGGGAGGACTCGCATGGTATATACCAGCGTCAAAACATTAACGCATAGGCTATACTAGATGTCCTCGGATCTGCGGCTTTCACTCCCGTCAAGAACGACTTGTTGGGCAACATCAAGGTACGCTCCCTATTGCCCCCCCCCCCTTACCCCTCCCCGATCAACATCAATACTAATTAGGAATTTAGAAAGTACAAGACCGCTTGAACCAGGCTCCTGATGAGTCTCGCACTCTTCAGGACCTTGTTCGGAACGAACTAAAGACTAAGAAGCACACCGCTACCGAAGGTCTGCTCTGGCTTGTCCGGTACGTTGCTCCAGGTGTTGCAAGACACTCACCCCTTATATCTTCTGACTGAACATCTACGTTCAATTGCCGTTCGCCTCGCTGATAAACTGAGTAGTGGTCTGGATTTCACCGCACAGGCTCTCCGCCACAACATCAATAACGCCGCCTCCGAGCTCTCTGTTTCCTTCAGGGAAGCATATGGCGGTACCCTCAAGCCTCACCACTCTTTCCTCGTCAAGCCTATCTTTTCCGCCGCCATGTCTGCCACCCCATACCGTGCCGATTTCTACAAGAAGCTTGGTGATGACCAGGCCAAGGTGAATGCTCAGATGGACAAGGAGATTGCCGCTCTGGAGAAGAATGTGGCTATCCTTAAGACCTTCCTGGATAGCAAGGAGGCCAAATGGTAAGGTATTTTGGAAGTATAGTCTGATAAATTGTTCAGAGATTACAACCCAACTTTGATATGTACATATTGAACGTGTGCTTAAAGACACATGAACTTCTTCGATACAGCGGATCAGCAACTGGCTTTTAACAGTGGCATTTAGTCACCAATCAAATGAACGAAGATACATGACAGCTTTATCTTATGTCTTCGGCGGTGTATAGACGGTTAATAACCCCTCGCAGAAGGGGGTACAATCTCATTGGCACACTTTACATCGTATCTACTTTGCCTATTGTATTCTTACCCACTTGTAGGCGGTCCTCTCATCCCAGATCTCGTATGCAGGCACTGTGGCCTTTTTTTTTTTTTGATCATCCGAAACTGGCATTCAGCTGGAAAGGGAATAGCACGAGCCACCTGTCACCGGTGGCTCTGGACATTCAGATACTCCCTAACCCCAGTTACAGTCACTTGGGTAAGAGGAAACAGGGGAGCACATTGAATGACCTTCCAAAAATCGTATTTGACTATAAGAATGAAATGGCCGTGATCTGATGGTGCGATAGATAGCATCACACAACATATACACTGGTAAAATCAGAGACTGGGGCCATATCTTTGCTTCTTCCTGACATCTCACGGGATATACAAGTAACTCTCTTTAACTAGTATTGTCTATTGTCTTCCCTAATAGCAGCTTGAGCGAAATCCTTCGTATCTCTTGATGATTCATAGGCTGTGCAACCAAAATCTCCACTTATCTACTATACTCAGTCGGTGGTCACTGTTAGCAATTCCCAAATGCTCAGAACAATTACTCTTCTAATTGTACATAGAGGGATCCTAGAAAATGGAAGCTCATGCCCGAGGACTCCTTGATTCAACTACTAACGACAGTTTGGCCCGGGCCTCGAAATTTTCATCTAACGCCACATGTAAATCTTGAGAAGAACCCGTCCTCAGGTCCAAAGGACTGAAATCAATAATAGTTGAATATTTCATGCATGCTTTATCGCACGAAAAGACTAAACTCGTATGCACGGGTCATTTTGCCTTCTGGACTGGCTTAGGAACCACGGGTTGACCGACCACGCTGTGTCAATCGACAGAGCCCCCACAATGGCGTCAATCTTTGCCGATATAGGGACATGCAAATCAATCCCAGTTTGGCTGATTCGACAATCAGGGTAGGCTGGCTTCTCAATCGGAAAACCTCAAGTAATCGCAATAGCAACGGTCTCCGGCTCCTCTGCGACCGAATGATCCCTGGGAGAAGCTAGTGTTGTCTAAACGGGCTCTGCTTTGTGAAGATCCTCGCCCGCCGCCCCACTTAGTTAATGTTGCATGCATGTTGTCAGCAGAGAAACCCAATAAGCATCAAAGAACAAGACTGATTCTGGTCTAATCGCCGGGGTGGCCGGTCTTGAAACCGTAACTGGATTTCGAAGAGGCCTCAGACGGTCTTTTGGAACCTTGCTGCACGATAAATTGTAGCGGATTAGGGTTCTTTTGGATAAACATCCGCAGAGGCCCGGGCACCCCATATTAGAGGGACGAATGAAATTGGTCAGACGCGAGGTTGGCTTTACATTAATACGCATATTGTAGTAGTCGACTACGTAGCATTTCCCCTCTCTAATCTATGTGCAGATCAGTGATTTTCTGAAAGGATACCCTTTTGGGATATCTAAACTGTCTCTATTGCCGGTCTCTTCAACCAGCTTCCTATCATGGTTCACATGGGCAGCAGAAGGAACCCCGCAGGCTCGATCTGCAGATCTAGGGCCGGGGCTTGCCCATGTTCCTGCAATTATTGCGGTGGTTGCATATAACATTCTTCTGGAACCCCTTCAGTTATCTGTCCCAAGCAGTCGCTTCACTCACGATCACGGAAACCGCGCCGGCAGGCCGAGCTGCGTTTCCTTTACGGCGAATATATTCTCTACGCCTAGTGTCTACCTCAAGAAGTAATATTCTGCCCAAATTGCTCACCACTCTTATCAAAGGTGCACAGGGTGCCGTCCAACTTTCGCGAGGAAGAGTTTTCTTATGATTGTTGGTGGTTCTGACACCACAATGTCCTCCCTTGAGGGCCGCAGTCTGACTATCTTCATTGTTGCGACGTTGTCCTTATCCTTCTCTTTGGCCTCTGTCTGCCTAAGATGTTTTGTCCGGCTTAGACTGGTCCGGGCTTTTGGCTGGGATGATGCACTCATGGTGCTTGCCGTGGCAAGTTCAGCCCCAATTCTTACATATGTCCATGAATGCGAGTCTTACTATTGAACAGCTTGTAAACTTACTTTTCGCCGTCTGCGGGATTGTTGGGTCTTCTGTCGGTATTGGCCAACAGCTGCATGTGCTGGTTGAGCGGCACACAGTTGAAACTGCCATGTTTGTATGACAGCCCGCGATCTTTCACAAGAACGTGACATGCTGATCTATCTTAGTGGTGGTGGCTGGGGCAAACCAGTTATATCTGGGTCAGTGCAATTGCCAAAATTTCTATCGTCCTTGCTTTGCTTCGGTTCACCGTTTCCCGCCTCTATCGCATTATCTTGTGGGTCGTCATTACAGGAACTTCGATAATCAGCATCGCTTTTTGGGGGCTGATGACTCTTCAATGTCAGCCAGTCTCATTTTTCTGGCGACGGGTAGACCTCTACATGCACCCAGGCTCCATTGAAGGCAAGTGCGTCGACCTCAATAGCGTCGTGTCCATCGGCTATCTGTATAGCGTCGCTGCCTTCATTGGCGACTTGACGCTTGGGATCCTGCCAGTTTTCCTTGTCTGGAACTTGCAAATGAGCCTTCGAAGTAAGGCCGGGTTGATAGCAATTCTGAGTATAGGATGCATGTATGTTTTCTCCCAGCCCCGATACATGGTCTGAACTAACAATATCCAGCGCCGGCGCCGCAGTTGTTATCCGCATGCCATATATTCACGACTATAGAAGCCATGACTTCCTTTGTGCGTTCTAACATCTTCTTGATAAATGAGAGATGTGCTTCAAAACTAACAAGGCACTTTCCCGTCAGACGCTACGGCTAATATCTCCATCTGGTCCAACATCGAAGCTGGTTTGGGCATAACAGCAGGAAGTCTCGTCACACTTCGGCCTTTGTTCCGCTGGTTGCGTGATCCTGAGCTGGTGAACCCCAGGCAGAGACACTCCAGTAGCTGGCCGGTTCCAACAGGGGTAAGCCCTCGATGCTCGAATCTGTCGGCTCCGCAGACGTGGCGAACGGACTTCGTCCCTGAGCTTACGCCCACTATGGTCACTACCATTCACGCCACACGCCACCAACGCTGGAGCAGCAGCCAAGAGCATTTTTACCATAAGCGCGACTCGGTGTTTGAAGGGCTCAATGTGGAAAAAACCTTCTACATCTCGGAAGATGATCCGTAGCCTTCGAGTTACAAGCCACTTATTCCGAAGCATTTCCTCTTATTGATTGTAACCGATCCATTAGATGTTAGTTGGCGCTATGGTAACGAAGAATGATGTGTTTTGTTATACCATAGCTGGCCTGTAGATTGGGCTCTGGACACAGCGACACCGAATCGCTATACCATTCTGTGACCACGCTCAATCCAAGTCGAGTCTCGAGTCCCGAGCATTGGAACAGTCGCAAAGTGCGACGTAGTCTTCAAACTCAGGTCTCGCGTCAAAGACTTGACCTCAGCACCCTTCATACTGTCCTTTTCGCTATTGGCTATGATACCTTGCTTGGCATGCTCAAGCCGGAGCTACCAGTACTATTGGTGCTGACGGCGTCACCCTGCCTAGTATTGGCGCATCCCTGCTCCCCGGATTGCATCTCGGCGGTTTTGGGCTTACCGGCTCCCTGTGTGAGAACGATATATGTTCTCGATCTGTGATTGGCGTAGTTTTGAGCTTGACTTGGAACCCCAATGCTACTCGAACTCGAAATCTTTCGTTAAGCAATGCGGCCAGGTCTGTCCCTGTCACATATATATATGCAGCTCCATCTACCGTCGTAACACAAAAATTTTACCAAAGAGCCCCACAAAATAAGAAATAACCTTCGCAAGTAGCATATAATCAATAAAGGTTGATTTATTGTGCAGAAAATCATATAACGGCAACGAAAACGTCGTGGATGCCGGAAATTCCTCCGTTCACTCTTGCAATGAGAGCGATTCACTGGGGCAGCTCGATACTTCAATTTCTGGCTTATGGTGTCAAATTTCGGTCGACCTTCAACAAGCCCTGCCGGGCTAGCTCAATCGGTAGAGCGTGAGACTCTTAATCTCAAGGTTGTGGGTTCGACCCCCACGTTCGGCTATTCCTAAAATAACCTGAGATCTTTTTTTTCCCCTTTCTTCAGAAATTTCACTTTGTTAACTATTTTTTACCCTTCTTTTCTTTTCTGTTTCTTTTCTTTTCTTTTTTAGGTGGGCACTTTACTAAATTTCAAACTAATGCAAGGTGTGAAATCTAACCAAGCTAGATCGTGCCACAAAGAAAAAAAAGACTAGAATTTCTGGCTCTTCCATTATACTAGTATATCTCAAGTCCCGTCAACGCCTGATGCTATGCAGATAACTTGGTAAGGTGCTTGACGCCCAACACAGCATCAAGAATTTCGCAAAATGGAAGGGGGAAAAAAGACAACAAAGAAGATAGTTAGATGACAACAAACCATGCATCTGTACACAGGCTATGTGAAAAGAACGGGCGTGAAAAGCAATCACGAATTCGCCTGCAAAGTTCCAGTGTAAACACCCTCGAAATCGAGACCAGCTAACATGCCATTGACGCGATCGATCTCGCGACTTAAGTCTTCGACATTCATAGCGAGGCTGCTGACTTCATCGAATCTGCGCCGACGGTTGGCGTCAGCAATCATCTCGGACACGAAAAATTTCTGCTCCTCTAGCACAATGAGGCGCTCCCGGAGAGACTTTTCTTCGGCTTCGAGGGCGGACACCGCGCTGCTCGTGTCACTTGCCAAACTGGTGTTGCTGCCAGTAGCACCAATTCGGCGGTTGTATTTGATGGACGCAAGTGCTGAATCTTGTGGCCGACTTGGTGCAGGGGATCCATTCACCGGGGTCATTGGGGAGGATGTGCCGCTTGGAGTTTGATCTCTTGCTGGCGCTGCCTGTTTAAGGATCTTTGGTAGAGATTTCAGTGGCAACATATGAAGATGTAAGAAGTTGCTTGCTTGTTGATATATGGCTTTCTGTAGCTTTATCTGGGTAGGGGAGTTTGTGGGCAGGTCTCGAATGCGGCGGGCTGCGACGTCGTATTTTGCGAACGAGTCGATGAGTCGCTTTCGGACTTTGGAAGCTTCAGCAATCTGTGCTGATGATGGTGGGCGTCTCGGGTCTCTGTATCTATGGTTAGGATGCGATGATGGTCATCTGAGACATTCAGACATACTGTAGGGCATTGAGAAGCTTCTGAAATTTCGGTAGATGGAGTCGGATGCCTCTTTCGAATTGAACTAGATTTTCATATGCTCGGACTTCAGGAGATCGGCGTGACACATCGGCTTCAAAGTCGCGCCTTTTAAATAAAGTGGCTTTGCAGTCTTTGCACAGACGCACGTCCACGTTAATCAAGTCGTTTGTTCGGGCTTTCTCCAACGGCGTTTTGGATGCTATCAAAAGTCAGTTTGTGTCATAGTTTCGGATCAGCAACACATACAGGGTGAAACACTGAGCCCAACTTCACTAGAGCAGCCGGTACTGGGGTCCCCACAGACCACTCGCCCACAGGTTCTGCAATGGTGCCTTCGAAAGGAGTATCCCGAGAAATCTTGTTGACAAAAGGGGCAGCGAGAGACACTGGCATCATCCTGCCAGCTGACGACAGTCTGCTCAACAGCTTTCCGCTGGTCATGTTGCCAAGATAAGGAGAAAAGCTTGGTTGCACTGGGCTGAATCTGATCTGGTGGAAGGCTGGACAGCATCTGCGTGAGACGCGTCAATCGCTTTTCGAGTCGAGAAACCTCAAGGAAATCCTTATCCACAGTCTGCTTCCGGATCTTTTTGAATTCCGCAGAATGATCTCTCGATGCACCTGGTTGTGATCAGCTTTATAGACGCGATACTACCCAGGCAAAGAACGTACCGTTATGATCATTATACCCGTCTCTTGACTTGTAGCAGGTTTCGCAAACCCGAGCCCAAATCCCTCTCACTGGCTCATGCTGTGCCGACCGGGACAGCTTCATCTGGTACATTGTGTGCTCTTCACAAAAAAGATTGCCACATTTCCGGCAGTTGACGCACCCATTGGTTCCGTTGAGCCGCTTCCCACAGGATGGCTCTAGGCAGGTGTCGTAAAGGGTAGCAGTTTGCCAGTGTTCTTTCGTTATAAGATCTTCGGGGGCAAGGAGTCGAGGTGCAGTCTCTGCAGGTCCGGCGTGCGCGACCGCTGCTGGACGGCTAATCGTGGCGGTTTGGTTCTCGTTCGACTCGAACACGTCCAGGCCCTTGAGCTTCTGATTCAGAACAGCGAGCGGCTGGAAGCGTCTTGCCTTTTCCATTTGTATTTTGAACCAATCCTTAACTTCATCTTGCCGGTCGTCTTCTAGATTCTGGTGAAGGTCGTCGAGATGCCTGTCGATGTTAATCTCCGCGTGCGCACAATGGGGGGAACGAGATAGAGAAGTATAGGGTACCTATTCAGTTGGAGGAGCGTGAGCTAGAGAGGTGTTAGCTATCTGATCAATAGCAGGACCAAGTGAGGCGAGGTAGACATACCATCTCCTCGCTGCAGATCGGGCACGAGAGCTTAGCTCCGGGAGCCGCCGGGGCGGCAGAGATGGAGGTGTCGCCATTCTCCAACGAAATGCGCGAGGTGAGGTCTTGGGTCTCGGACGAGAACTGCGAGACGGACGTCTGGGAACTGAGAGAGACGCTGCTGGCGGTCGGCGAGAGCACCCTTGGCCTTGGCTGCGGGGACGAGGCCGGAGCTGCTTGAATCGCGGCCGGGTTTCCTAGAACTCGACCTCCACCCAACGTCCTCCGGGACATGATTACGGGAACATGGAAGCTGGGGCGGATAGGAGCGCGTTCAGCTCAATACCAAGTTGCCCGCACAGAGGTTCAAGCGCCCGGAGGGGGATAAATAGTAGGAGGCTTAGAATGGGGCCAGTGACGATGCGGGTGGAGCCTTGCTTTTTCAGGCCTCAGGCAGAAACGGGCCTCGGAAGGTTTGGGATCGTAGTTTCGCATATGCAGGAGATGCGCTCTGGACTTGCAACAAAAACATCGGAAATTTTCAAAATAAGGTGAACGGACAGACAAGGAAGCTAAATCCGCGGTATCACTTGACCAATTCAACCATAATGCTAAAGTCTGGTGACCAACGAATATTAGTTGCGTACTTTCCCTAATCGGGGGTTGTATGGCTTTATTGATCTCGGGTCTGCGAGTATCGAAATTCTGTTGTGTTTGTACTCGAGACCGCCCGAAGCCCTATTTTGTTTCTCTGTCCTTAATTCTCTAGTTTCAATTTGCTGCTGCGGCCATTGGTATTCTAGTATGGTTCACGTTCGCCAATAGTCAAGAAACCGATATAATCAAGTGGGTAATTTGAAGTAGAGTTGGCTAGACTACCGCCATTGAGATCACTACTGCCAGTGCATACTATTGAATGGAATTATATAGTATTCAAACAGTCTAACTATCTAATCCCTAGATTTTCTTTGCTAAAAGATCTCCCAATAAAACACAGCACGTTTTTTCAATAGTTTCATCTTTTCATCTTTTTTTTGGTTTTGTTTTTTTTTTTCCCCTTCTCTTTTGGCAATGAGGCTGACGGACCTCATTTCATCTTTGTTTTCTTTGAAAATATGCTTCTTGATGTTTCGCGGAGGACTTCATAAAATCATGTCTCATAGTCGCGGTGGTAGGCGGTTCCAGTATTGGGGTTCGCATATTCGCGATGGACGCGGGTCGTCCCGTCGTCCCGGTGGTCCACATCGCGGTGTCGATAGGTTCCCTGCGAGTTCACTCGCTCGCGGTGATGTCGGCGCGAGGTGCCGGTGTCATAGTCGAAGTGCTGGTCATAGGCACCTGTGCTGGGGTCGTAGGCTGTGCTGCCGTATCCATTCTCATCCAGAGCTTCGTAGGAGACGCCGGTGGCATCCGTGCCATAGTCCGTGGCCGAGGCTGCAGCGCCGCCTGCTGTGCCATACGTGGCTGTGAGGTCGTATGTGGTGCCCGACGAGTCATAGTTGGTACCGGTGGTATCGTATGCCGTTCCAGGCTCGTAGTCGTTAACGTGGTGATGATGGGGGGTAGTCATTTTCGTAGTTATACAACTTCTGGGAGAAGTCGAGAAATTTTGACGTGCGGTTTCGAATAGTTGAACTCTTTGTAAGATAAGTTCTGTGATAATTGAACTAGAATGTCTTCTTCTCTGCTCGGACCGTAGGGTTTATATCTGCAATCGTGGCGTTGGGACCGAGTTTATGACTTTCCCGTGACATCATTTGGATAAAGAAGTAGCGGAGTACACAGAGCATGAACCAAATTCCAGAACATGAATGGGAGATATCGAAAGACGTCAACGATGGCCTGCCTAGGTGGTGGTTCGGGCCAAAGGTCCAGGCTAGCGTCCTCGGGACCTTAGCGAGTTCGAGGTCGGCATCGACCCATACCCCACAGCCCCATAGCTGAACCGCTAGGATGAGCTAGGATGAGGAGTCTATGAGGGAAACTGAAGGTACAAATCAACCAATAAACAATGAGAATCTGCCCGCCGGAGCTGAAAAGTGGCAAACTTGCTGTGAGTGAGGCGAAGTTGACTCGAATTCTGCTCATTGCCACATCCCGTAGGGAATCATATCGAAGACAGGTGCGACTGACGCCAAAGCCGAGAAGGTTCGATAGCCTTGGGCGGGTCAAGGTCGATCGTGGCTACATGCCTTAGTAGATCTTTCTCAAGATTTTGAAACCAAGATGTGCTACCAGCAATTCGTGTGTATGGCCACCCCAAAAGACCATGCTGGCTCGTGACGATCGAATAATTGCATTCATAAATCAAAAATGGGAGAGTACCAAGGACTAAATTCTATTTTTGCAAACGAGATTATTCAGAATCTCATAATGATCCTAGATCCAGCGCCTCCTGAAGCAATGCAAACGGACTTTCCTCGTCCTTTAAGAGCTCCATCTGATTGTCGTCCTCCCTTGCTTCCCTTTCCTCTAAAAACTTCGCCAGGTCCGAGAGACGCGGATGCTGGAAGATTTCGGCGACAGAGAGACTGCCGATGGACGAATCTTGACGACTCATAGCAGAGACGTGCATGGCGACCACAGAGTCGCCTCCCAGTTGAAAAAAGTCGTCATGGGCCCCAACAAAGTCAAGCTCCACGCCCATGGCATTTGCCCATATTCGCTGCATCGTCTTTTCCATCGCCGTTGAAGGTGGGAGACGAGCCTCTATAACCTCGCCGGCAAGGTGCTGTTCCAGCTGCGTCTTCGGAATATTTTCAACCATGTCTCGAATAGCGCGTCTGTCAAGTTTACCAGAGACAGTCAAAGGAACTTGGTCAACAGGGATATATAAGCTGGGCACCATATAGCTGGGAAGTTGTGATCCCAGAATTTTCTTCAATTGACCAAAAGCGCCGGAGTCTGCTTTGTTCCCATTTCGGAACTCGATGACAGCGGCAAGACGGATCTGGCTATCCACGCCACGCGAAATAGCGATAACCGCGGCATGCTTGACGTTTGGAAGATGATGTCCGATCCAGTGCTCAATTTCCCCAACCTCAACACGCTGTCCGTGGATTTTGATCTGGGTGTCGATACGGCCCAGGTACAGAATCTTGCCATCTTCGGTTTGTTTACCCATATCTCCGGTTCGGTACAGATGACATTCTGAAAGGCCGATATGGCTCGCAAACGCAGGGTTGTGAATGAATACAGCATCGGTTTTGGTTTTGTCACCAAGGTATTCCCGAGCTAGGCCTGGACCTTGAATGAGAATCTCACCAGGTGTCCCGACCGCGCTGAGCTGCTGGGGGTTCGATGGATTAGCTATCCAAATGTGCGACCCCATACCGTGGCCGATACTCTGTGCGTCTGCGACGTCTACGATGGGCCCATTGCATGTGGAGTTAATGGAGCACTCGGCCGGTCCATAGACATTAAGCACATCTGCGTGCTTATACCAGGTCTCGACAACTGAGTTCTGAATTTGTTCGCCGGCAAGAACCAGTGTTTTCAAGCTCGGTACACTTTCAGGAGTGATAAGGCGGGCAACAGTCGAAGTCAGGTTGGCAAAATTGACATTCATCTCCCTCATAATACCTGCAAGGTTGCTCATTCTGTCATCTTCAGATGGTACGCAAACTGTGCCCCCGCTGATGAGAGTGGTGAAGTAGTCTTGAATGACCGCGTCGAAAGTATGCGTGGCGAACTGGATTGTCCGAGTCTGAGACCCAAGACCGAATCGGGCACCATGGATCTTGACAGCCGTAGATAAGCTTGAATGTGTGAGCACTACACCCTTCGGCTGACCGGTGGATCCGGAGGTGAAAACAATCCATGCTGCATTATCTGGCGTAACAGCGACCCGCGAAGCCGAGGAGCTCAGCGGAAGGGCTCCAAGAGATTCCGAGTTGATGAGGAAGGATGTCAACGCATGCGAAGAAATCAATGGCTCTAGGCGACTGGCCTGATGCGAGTCGACCAGAATAACCTTGGCTTTGGTGTCTGCCAGGATACTGCTGATACGTGGCAAGGGGTGATCGACTCCAAGAGGAACCACAACGCCACCGGCACGCAAAACGGCCAAGAAGGAAACCATAGCCCACATTGACTTGTCCATGCAGACGGGAACAGCAATTTCCGGTCCAACTCCCAGATCGTTTAGATGCTGAGACAGGACTGTCGCAAATGAATCTAGTTGCTCATATGTCAATCTCCCGTCCCAAGACTCAATGGCGGTTGCTTGAGGCTGGGATAGAGCAACAGAAGCGATAAGGCCATGCAAGGTTTCCCTAAGCGGACTTGGGAGAGGCTCAGAGTTCCAATGTTTCAGCTGATTGATGTCCTCGCCACTTAAAACATCGATGTCTTTGATTTTGAGTGTAGCATTCGCTTCAGAACGTAGCTGGTGAACTATCGATTCGAACTGGCTTGCCAGGCGCATGACCTGCGCAGGGGTCATCATCTTTGCATCGAAGCGAAAGTCAATCTTCACAGATCCGCCTGAGAGTGTGCATTCAACATTAAGCCCGTAGCTGTCAAATTCATCGACAGCAACAACGTGATCACGGACTCCAGGAATCTTGAACCGTCTCTCGTCATCGTTGGCTGGCTGAACAACAAACAGATGTTTCAGGTCGACTGCCGATGCAAGGTCTGGTAACATCTTCTTGATCCGCTGGAGACCAGTATGTTCGTAGGGGATCATCTTGACGGCCTGCTCTCGCACACTTTGCAAGAAATTTTCCACATTCTGTTCAGGGTCAATGAAGATCCTCACAGGAACAGTGGTTAGCGTAGGCCCGGCGATACTAGTCACGTTGCGGACTGGCGCATTGCGTCCCGAAAGGGCCACAGCAAAGATAGGATCGATCTTTCCAACATGGGGATGCACAACCAAAGCCCAAGCGCCACGAAGAAGATCAGGAAGCATGATCTCTGTGGAGGTGCCCCTTTGGCCCAGATGAATATTGTGTCGATGACGGTGCTTCGGACGAGGCTGGTAGTTTGCACTTGGAGCGGCGGGGAATTCAGCACTTGCAGCTCCTCCAAGCTGTTCCCGCCAGTATGAAACTGTTCCACTCTGCAACTGTGGGCTTTGAATGTACTTGATAAAGTGAGAGAATGGAGTGGTTTGTGCAAATGCTTGCCCAAGGTAAATATCGGCAGTCTTCTGCAGAACGAGGCCTCTGCTCCATCCATCATAAGTGCTGTGATGAGCTGTCCACACGAAATATTGCCGTCCATGGGGCTCACTTATGAGAGCGAAGCGATTCAAAGGTAATCCGATTCCCATGCCGGCCTGCCTGTCACTTTCAAGGTATTCGTCCAGACATGATGATTGGTGCCAATCGACTTCTCCAGGTTTCGAGATGACTTGCAGTGTTCCGAACTCAGGGCTGGACACAATGCGTGTCCGTAGAGTTGAGGTCTCATTAATAGTGGTCTCCCAAGCAGACTTGAACCGAGGAATGTCTACTGTTGCAGCTAAATCAAATACTTGACGGTCAATATAGGCAGTCGGTTGCTGCGCTGTAAGGGCAATTAAGCCTTCCTGGAGAGCAGTGCAAGGAAGAATATCTTCGATTAGTTGCGTTTCCAACCCGCAAAACTGCGCAATTTGGGAAATTCTGTTGTCTTCTTCGCCAATTTCGATATGCAGGGCCTCCCTCCAGATACTGAGAGGAGCCGGTGCTTCATCGTCAACTTCTGCTAGGATGCGGTTTTCCACGACACGCGCGAGATCAAAGAGGCTCGGGTGTTCAAAGATATCCGCAACACGCAAGTCCAATTCCACGTCTTGAGCAGCTGCCACGACCCGCATGGCGGCCACAGAATCACCTCCAACATGGAAGAAATGACCATCTGCACTGATTTGTGATGCATCTATACCGAGAATGTTTGCCCAAAGAGCCTGGAGCTTGTATTCTGTTTCTGTCGAGGGCTCCTTGAAGTGCTTGCCAACAGCAAGATACTGCTGTAGTTGCGAATCATCCTGCTCATTGATAAAGTGAGCAACTGCCCGCCTATCAATTTTGCCTGAAGGATTGAGAGGGAGCTGGGTGACTGGCGCATAGATTGAGGGTGACATGTAAGGGGGCAAATGCTCCATGAGCGCCGTCCGTAGCTCATTCAATACCCCAGACAAGGAAGCTGTACAAGGAAGCAGTCGCGGGGCCGAGGAATCTTCAGAGATTTTCTCTTGATTCAAGTCTGACTGCTCGGAGAAATCACTATGCTCGGCGAATTCAACAGCAGCAACCAGTGACTTTTGCTCCTTTCCTCGCCCTCGCTCAACAACTAGGACAGCAACTCGACGGACGTTCTTCAGACATTGGGTAATCCAGTATTCAATCTCACCAATTTCCACTCGTTGTCCCCTAATTTTGACCTGGGTGTCGCGTCGGCCCATATGGACCAATGATCCGTCTTTGAGCTGCCGAACCAGATCACCCGAGCGATATATTCTGTGCGTGCTACCTTGAAATTGAGATTTCCATACAGAGTCGCGAGCCTGAAGGTATTTGATGAAGGAGGGGTTTTCAATAAACGCTGCCGCCGTTTTCTCGGCATCATTTAAGTAACCCCTTGAAAGCATCGGGCCTTCGATAAGAAGCTCGCCCGGGACTCCGACGGGACACAGTTGGTTTGGATCAGTGGGTAGTGTTACCCATAGCCGAGTGCCGGTAGGATAGCCGACATTCGCTGCTTGAGTAGGGTCTGTGAGAGGCCCAGATGCGACAGCAATAATAGTGCACTCAGAGGGACCGACCGAGTTGAATACTCGAGCATGAGGCGACCACTTTTCAACAATCGCTGGATTCAGGGCTTCTCCCCCGGCAACAACAGTGCGGATATCTGGTAGTTCAGCTGGATCCAGAAGACCGAGAACTGTTGGAGTCAAGTTGACGTAATTGACAGCTAGTGTTTTGAGTGTTGCCTGGAGGCTGTTCATACGGCTGTCCTCAGATAATACACAGACACATCCACCGTGGAAAAGAGTCATGAAGATATCAGAGAGACTGACATCGAATGTGAAGGCAGCAAATTGAGCTGCACGAGTGTTGCAGTTTGTGCCAAAAGCAGCGCCATGAGCGATGATGCTCGTTGAGATATTCTGATGCAATAAAACCACACCCTTGGGCATTCCAGTACTTCCGGATGTATAGATAACCCAAGCAGCATTATCTGGCGTGACACTAGAGACCGGGGGCTCAGTCAGACTGGGTAAAGAATCAAAGAGCCGTTGATCCACAGTCAACGAGCGAGTGTGCTCTAATTCCAAATTCGCAAGTCGCTCAGAATGCTTGGAATCAACGAGCAGAGCCACTGCTCTGGTGTCTGTGAGAAGTGCCTTGACGCGCGCCCTGGGATGCGAGACGCCCAGAGGGACGACGATTCCGCCTGCCATTAGAACAGCCAGCATGGAAATTATCGCCCATTTTGATTTGTCAATACAGATACCAACAAATTTCTCAGAGCTCACACGGAGGCTCTTTTGCAGATGATGTGCCAGCGTCGAGGCTTGGGCTGTGAGTTCAGCGTATGTGAGGTCTCCATCCCAGGAATTGATAGCAGTAGCGCTAGGCTGAAGCTTCGAAATTTCAAGAACTTTTTCATGAAGACAGATCCGCCGTGGCTTAGGAATAGCTGAGTTCCACTGCGCTAATTGTCGGACATCATCTGCTCCTAGTAAGCTGATGTCTGAGATTTTGGCATTTTGATCATCTATGATGGCTCTGATTGCGGATTCAAAAGCACCAAGGATTGTCTCGGCTCTCTCGTCAGCTAGTCTCGATCTCCAAAAGTCAAGAGAGATAGATAAACCCTCTGGTGTCGATGAAATGTCTAAGGAGATATCATACTAGAGGTATTCAATTTAGCTGAAGTCCTTCGGAGAAAGCATCAGAGGCTTTTATGGTACTTACATCGGTCGGGTTGGCTTTAGCCTCAATCACTACGGACAAGTTCGCTCTCTGGACGGGACGGTCATCCACAGCACGTTGGAAAGACATCGTTGTGTTGCTGAGTTGTCGGGCCGACTTCGATGTGGCGCCTGTAGATTCTAGAGGCGATACTGCTGATAGTGCCTGCAACGAATCCTTATGGAGCTTCTGCAGGACGTCGGACACTGAATCGGCCGCGGTCAATTGGATTGAACATAACGATGTTTGAACAATTGGGCCAATCACATCATGAACACCAGGAATTGACATGGATCGACCGGAATTAACATAGGAGAAACAGACATTGTCTGCTCCTCCGTAGCACCGCAGTACAAGTCCCCAAGCCAGCTGGCAGACCGTGGCGAGAGTAACTGAGTTTCGAGCGCAAGCAGCTTGCACCAGCTGAGAGCTAAGATGTATGTTGCGACTAACTGTTCCAAAACCCGACAGCTCTTCATTTGGGCAATCCATCTCGATCATTAATGGCGCAACATCGGGTGTAACACCTTCATCTTTTTTTGAGTTTGTGGTGGAATGCAACGCTCCCTGGAGGTATGAAGAGACATATTCGCCGTAAGATAATGGTGCAGCAGACAGTTTGTGGCCATGATAAGCATCACTCAGATCTCTCAGAAGGACTTCTGCTGACTGCCCATCTACAAGTAAATGGGAAATCTCCAACTTCATCCAAACCTCGGACTGCGATGCTTGAACAAGCTGAACACGATGCGGAACATAGTGCGACTGAAAGGTAACGGGCCTGCGCACATCAAACGCTGGACTCGCAAGATGTGCTAAGCCTTCATACATTTTCACATCAGGTATGATATCATCCAGGATGACTTGGTTGTGATGGCCAGGTCTCTGGGTGCTCTCAACCAGAACAGTGCGCAGACTGGAGTGGCGCTTGACAACTTCACTCCAAGCCTCCTCAATTTGCTTTGCGCTGACAGGAAGCCCAGAATGGAGATGTGTAAATTTGAGAACAAAAGAGCAAGAGTATAGATGAGGATTCTGCACTTGGCTGACAATTATTCTTTCTTGGATGGCCGAACAGGGGAAAACAGCCTGGATGTGGCTATTACTAGACACGGCGAGCGCCAACAGCTTCTCTTCGATATCATGAGCGAGATCATCCATATAAACCGAGCCAACTTCCGTCGAGGGCATGGAAGCTTCTGAATCCGAGCTCATACTGTCATCGTGTGTGGTGTTGGATGTGTCGGTATCTGAGGCCCCTGGAACAAGGTCATATAACGATTGCAACGTTGGTGCGCTCATTATGTCGGCGATATTGATTGTGATGCCTTGGCTCCTACACTGGGCTAGCACTTTGATGGCTAGTAATGAGTCACCACCCAGTGCAAGGAATGATCGCGCATTGTCTTCAGCTGTCAAGTCCCTTTGGAGGACATTGGCGCAAATTGCCTCCAGTGAGGAAGACATCCTTGCGATGGGAAAAGACTGAAGGAAAATGCAGAGCGGCCAAGCAGGCGCCGTGTATAAGAAAGAGGACTAAGGGTATCCTGTGATCAACCAAGAAGATGAAAATTTGGGAGATGTGTAAATCAGAAGACAACTTTGGAGCCCCGAGAGACCTTGAATCATCGACGAGGCCCAAGGCTGACACCAAAGGAATCCACGCCGAATAGAGGCAGTGGCTACAGTGGTTTATCTATAGAGAATCAGCTTGTTCGTGCTAATAAGCGACCTTGAGACAGAAGTATGCGAGAGTTGAAAAATACTAGGGCTTTACCGGCGATACAAAACACTGTACAATACTCAGCTGGTATGATCATGATTTTATCTGCACCTGGGGTATTTACGCAGCGCGTTGCTTCGGCCATCATCTATAGGTGGCTCCATAGAACCGTATTTTGGTGCCGGTATGATGCAAGACCGTATGATCGGTTCTATAGAAGAGTATGATTACAACTAAGGATAGACTAAGGAACGGCCCCCAACCCATGCACTCCACAGTACACAGGGGTGCCTCGTGAGTTAACCTTTATTCTTCGACTCGAACTGTCGATGCAGTCAGCAAAGAGCCTGAAAACACGTGGAAAGAAAAAGCGCAAGATGGGCCCTGTATGCCGGCAGGCCCACCTGGCTAAGGATTAAAACTAAGGAAGAGGCTGATAGTAAGCGCTAAGAAGCACCCGTCACCTCACCAACCCCCACAGTTGAATGATGCAGTAGAATTCTTCGTATTTGGGGGGGGGGGTCTTCTTTTTATTTTTAGCAGATTCTGTGAAGTAATTCCCATTAGCCATAGTTGTCAGAAAGAGCAGCTGTAAAGAAATTGATAATAAATTCGAAGTTAAAACCTGTCGAGAAGGGGCGCTGATTAGTAGGAAGGTTTCTGAGTTACATTTTGCATTTTCTGAAGTGAAAAGGCCTACGGCGGGAAAATTAAACTCCATCATCCAAATCTCCTAAGGCAGGCACATATCCCGAGTGTGCAGAGCCCTAGGAACGTTTAGCCATGTCTCCTTCTCTCTCGGCTCCTCCAGTGAAGCCTCAAAGCAGACTCAACGCGATCTTGAATGACCTTGCCCAGCAGTGCAAAATCTCGCCAGAGCAAATACAGGATGTCTATCCCTGTACTCCGCTTCAGCAGGGTCTAACAACACTCTCGGAGACCTCGTCAGGGGCATACATGGCACAGCATGTCTATACCCTGCAAAAAGATGTCGATCAGGAACGCATGGCACATGCATGGAATGCAGTAGTCCAGAGGCATCAAATCTTGCGCACTCGCATTCTTCTGATCGGAGAAAATGCCATGCAGGTGGTTTTGAAAAGGGAAGTGGACCAGTGGGGCGACTGCAGCGATCTACACGCATATCTGAGCGCTGATCAAGCGACTCCATTGCAAATAGGACAGCGATTGTCGCGATTAGCAATCTCCAAATCGCATCTGGTTTGGAGTGCTCACCACAGTATCTATGACGGATTCTCTGTTGAACTGATTCTGCAAGATGTGGCAACTGCCTATTACGATCGCGAGCTTCCACCTCGGCCGTCATTTCGTCATTTTATCGAACGCACATTTCAAAAGACGAAGAAAGAACAGACTGAAGTATTCTGGAAGTCAAAGCTGGGCCATATTGAGAAAATCAGCGCGTTTCCTCGATTGCCTAGCTCTAGCTATCGGCCTAAGCCCAACAGTATCTACCAGCATGAGGCGACTTTGTCCATCGATGGCCCCTCCAGTGTGACTATGTCGGCAATTGCCAACGCAGCCTGGGCATTGGTCCAATCCAGCCATCTTGGAAATGCAAGAACCACATTTGGAACGACGCTCAGCGGAAGAAATACCAATGTGACGGATATTGAGAAAGTTGTTGGTCCTACTCTTGCTACGGTGCCCGTTTGTCTTGACACTAGGCGCAACCTGGCTGTCAAAGACTATCTCCAAGCGACCCAGTCATACTTCACGGAAATGATTCCGCATCAGCACATAGGCCTACAGAACCTGAAGAAGCTGAGCCCAGCTATCGCAGAGATTTGCGATTTCCAGACCCTTTTTGCATTCCAGCCTGCAGGGACAAGCGACTCTCAGCGACCATACGGAGATCTGCTCCTGGTTGAGACCAAGTCTGATGTTGATGCTTCTTTTTACAACTATGCACTTACAGTGCAATGCTCCTTGGGTAGAAGCGGGGCTTTCAAATTGTTAGTCGCGTATGACAACACTGTGATCTCGGAAGTGGCGATTGAACGGCTTACCCTGCAATTCGAGCACATTGTCTCGCAATTAATGACCAGCAACGGGTCTGAGAAGTTAAAAGACATCGATCTAGTTTCTCCACATGATCTGAAGCAGCTCAATGAATGGCACAGCAAAGCTGTAAAGTATCCCGAGCCACAGCCCTTGGATGCATTCAGCCACCATGTTGTTTCAGCTCCATACGCAACAGCCATCTCGTCCTGGGATGGTGACCTATCTTATGAGAAACTAGATGTCCTGGCATCTCGGCTAGCGGGTTGGTTGATTCAAGCCCGGGCTGTCGTCCCAGAGACTGTTGTGCCCATCTGTTTTGATCGCTCCCAATGGATGATCGTCTCAATTCTGGCTGTGATGAAGGCTGGTGGAGCCTTCCTCCTCCTTGACCCCATCTATCCAGAAGAGAGGCTGAAATACATGATTGAGATGGCCAATTCAACGACAATTCTGGTATCAGAGTCGTGCAAGAGGAAGTTCCAAACTTTCAACGGGTTGATACAAGCCGTGGATTCTTCATGGCTTGAAACAAATACAGATGCCACCACCGTCCTTCCGCGAGAGCGCGAAATGCCAGCTGACCGCGCAATGTATCTGATCTTCACTTCAGGGTCCACTGGTCAGCCCAAGGGTGTAGTGATCACTCATAGAAGTTACGGAGTATCTGCCGCAGGTCATATTCCGGCTCTGGGGCTGGACTCGGCCACACGTCAGCTTTTCTTTGCGTCCCCGGCCTTTGACCTAACCATCTACGAGACTGTATCTTCGCTTATGGCAGGCAGCACGATCTGCATCCCATCTGAAGAAGACCGAAATGGCAGTGTCGCGCCGATTATTCGGAAGATGGATGTGAATATGATCTCGTTGACCTCTTCCTACGCCCGGCACCTTGTTCCAGAAGACGTGCCAAGTCTTAAGACACTTGCTCTTGTGGGAGAACCCCTTGCTAGGGATGTACAGCGTGTGTGGGCGGATAAAATCTGTTTGGTCAACGCATACGGACCAACTGAATGCTCTGTGGTCGCAACTTTGAAGCGCCTGGTAACATTGGACTCAAACACTGCCAATATTGGCCCACCAACAACGGGCCGAGCTTGGATCGTAGATCCGAATGATGTTAACTCCATGCTTCCCATTGGAGCAACAGGAGAGATGCTCATCGAGGGTGGTCATCTTGGACGTGGGTATCTGAATGACCCTGAGAAGACGGCATCGAGTTTCGTCTTTAATCCCCGCTGGGCAACTAGAACACAATCTTCCGAGCCCCGACGGTTCTACAAAACGGGCGATCTGGTGCGTTTTGATGAGGATGGATCGCTTGTCATTGATGGCCGCAAAGACACCCAAGTGAAAATTCGAGGCCAGCGAGTTGAGATTGCTGAAATCGAATATCATATGACTAAGCTATTCGACAAAGCCGCTGGCACTGGCGTTGAGGCTTGTAGACACGACGATCAAGTACAGCTTGTGGCTTTTCTGTTCTGTGCTGAAGGTGCCTGGGACGGCTCAGTAGGTGCAGATAAAGTCCTTCAGCAACTGAGCAGCGCCGCTATTTCCAGCGTGTCAGACATCAAAATGTATCTCGAGAAACTGTTACCTTTCCACATGGTGCCAACTCGATATCAAATTTGGCCAAAGATGCCCCTCATGGCCTCTGGGAAACTTGATCGGAAGGCACTCCTGGCAGAGATTCGGAGCCCCAGCCGAGGCGTCCTTGAGCTTGACGAAACGGATGTTGAATTCCCCGTAATCAGGGAAACAAATGAGGTAGCGCTGAAGCTAAATCAGCAGATCCTGAGCCTCACATCTGGGGAAAAGATAGCATCTCTTGAGGGTCGGGATTTTCCGTTGTCAATTCTGGGGCTGGACTCGATCCAATTGATTAGACTTGTCACCTTCATCCGGAAAGAGTACGGGACCAAGATGGTTGTCGGTGTATTGTATGACCTGAAACTCACAGTGACCAGGCTGGGAGCACTGATAACAGCATCGCAATCCGACAAGAATGAGAATCCTCGTGGCCCAGCCCTGGATCTCTCAAAAGAACTTCAAAGTGTCTGTAGAGAGCTAACTCGACGCTCTGAATCAGCAAAACACAAGCGAAGGGTCTTCCTGACGGGCGCAACAGGCTTGTTAGGCTCACAGATTCTCCGACAGTTGCTCACGGATCCGCATGTACAGAAGGTAATTATCCATGTGCGTGCCACCAGTGCTGCCAAAGGCCTAGCTCGAGTCGTGGCTGCAGCAACTTTGGCAAAGTGGTGGTCGCCGTCTTACACGGATCGGATCGAGTGCTGGCCAGGAGACTTGAAGGAACCCCAACTTGGTTTGCATCCAGACCACTGGCGGATTTTGTGTGGAACATCGGGCACAGAGTCCCGGGTTACCTCGATCATCCACAATGGAGCTGCTGTTCAGTGGCAGGCGCCCTACCAAGCACTCAAGGCCGCCAACGTTGACTCAACCGTGGATTTGTTGACAGCTGCCTCGCAGTGGTCTGAGCCTGGCAGTTTCACTTTCGTCTCTGGTGGGTTAAAGAGATCGCCTGAGGAGGACTTTGACACATTCTTGAGATCTCTCGAGCAGGCGAATGGCTATAGCCAGAGTAAATTCATTGCCGAAGAGCTAGTTTCGCGCTTTGGAAGCCATCAGTCGCTGCACCGCGTGTCGATCGTGCGCCCAGGCTGGGTCATCGGCACAGCGCAAGAAGCTGTCCCCAACACGGATGACTTTTTATGGACATTGGTTCAGGCTTGTATACAGATTGGATCTTACCCTGCCGAGGGAGGAGATCTCTGGCTCGCAGTTGCAGACGTGGAAGAAGTTTCGACTCGTGTCTTAGCCACAACATTTGCTGCTAGCGGCGACTCCCCCTCCATCGAGAATGTGGAAAACGGAACCACTGTGTCACACTTCTGGGAGTTGATCAAAGAGCAGACAGGCAAGGAGCTGAAAGCCATCAGCAATGAGAGCTGGAAAGAAGCTGCACAGAACTTTGTTCGAGATGGGCGGTCGGGCCAGGACCAGTTCCTGCCTATATTGGCTATGCTGCAGGATCCCCAGATGAGCTTTGGCGTGAAGCAACCATCCCAAATCACTTCTATCAAACAGGTCGACGGTGCATTGAAGAGTAATATTCAGTCACTTGTTGACGCGGGTTTCTTTTCTGGTGCAGAGACCTTTTCTCCAAATGCGTCCAAGCTGTTCTCCCGGTCTCGGGTCAATAAGTCGTCGCCGGACTACGTTTGATCAATTTGTTTATCTCTAGATTATCTTGTTTCTGTTGCTTGAGTGTGTGCGAATGTTTAAAAAGACTAGCCTTATAGCAAATACTCGTATCAAGTCTTGTCTCAAATTATAAGAATCTCGGGCATAATTAGTAAAATCAAGCCAGAAAACGTTAGGAAAAATCGGGACTTGCTATGATATACTGACATCTACAGAAGATCAAAAAATCCAAAAAAAAAGAAGCAAAACGTGTATATGAAAAGCCTAAGCCAAGGCATCCATCTCCTCCTCGTCAGGAACAAAGTAAAGCTTTCCAGAGCGACCGTGCCGTCTAACCATCTCATCCAGGAATTCTGACAACAGCAATTCACGCATACCACCAACATCGTATCCAGCGGCAATCAGTTTATTTTCCATAGTGGCAGTAGCGGTCTTGTTATCTTGATCTGTCGTAAACACAGGAGACTCAGTCTCCGAGGTGGCTCTTGTCCGAGAGAACCGGGACCCAGTACTGGACGTAGCGCTACTGATCGATCTGCGCCCCGACAACGAGGCCCCACTAGAAACCGAAGCGCGACTGCGACGACTGGAAGTAACCTTGCGTGGGCTTCTAGACTTCCTGTACCGGTCTAGCTTTTCAGGCACCAGTCCACCTCCCTCGGAGATGGGCAACGATGCTGCAACATCTATAGACGACAATTTCGGCGTCGTCAAAGGCGTCTGCTCCGGCGTGTCATGGTATTCGAGAGGCGGAACCCTGCCCATCGGAAGATCATTCAGCGGACCGAAGTAGGAATTGTCCAGGGCAGATTTGATGAAGTCCACGGCTGCTTCGTGGTACTCGTTCCCGCACGGAATCGCGTGAGCACCGGGGTGCATCATCTTCCGCCTTTGAGGACCCCCGATCTGCGCGAGGTCCACGGCAGCGACCATTTCAGACGGAACGACCGGATCAAACTCGCCCATGAAATGCATGAATGGGGTTGTGATTATAGGGTCGGTGTAGAAGGCCGAGAAGATCGGACTGCAGCCCATATAGGCGCCATACGTAATGACAAACTTCAAGGGTGGATGGTCGAGATTCTTGTAGGCCTCTGGATATCGAATGGCGTCGGGGTATACAGCGGAGTATTCTTCGAATCTTCGCCGTCGCTTGGGGCCCTCCAGAAGAGAGGCACACATGCCGCCTATTATCGATCCTTGAGAAAAGCATATCATGCCATCAAAAGGGCCTTCGGTTTGGAGGATGTCCGCTATACGGTCCATACTCTCGAAAAACCCTCGAGGCGGATCATCTTCGTGTAGTCGGAACCAGGAGTGTGTTTCGATAGCGTCCGGATCCTTGAAGTTGTCCGGTTTTTCTTTTTCGGTGAGTTGAGAATAGTCTAGCCTGTCAGAAACCTTGTATGCGATCGGGCCAGTTGGAAAGTAGAAAGATGTGCCCGGAAAAGCTCTTCTGATATGCTCCTGGAGACGGAGGGTTTTGCGCGAGAGAATAGGCCCTGTTTGGGTATGGCCATGAAGACAGAGGATTTTCATGATAGTAGGTATCAAGCCCAAATAAGTCGAGAAAGTATAGCAGTATAGATATAGCTATTACCCCTCGAGAGGGTCGATTAATCAGAGAGGGTGTTGAATGGGCCCCGAGTTCTAAAAAGAGACCACTATATTAGAAGATTCGCGAACCTGTCTTGTGGCCTTAGATAATACCCTGAGCTGGACCTACATTGCCATACTCTGATTTCTGATATTATCGGACTAGATGCCGCTTGCCATACTGCCGGCCAAGCCCAAGGACCGTTTTAGCAACAATACGGCCCCCGTCAGAGGGATTTCAGCCAAGGAAAAGCGCTAAGAAGTTTGAAATCGACAATACACAGCTCGGGCCAACATGAAAATTTGCAATTCTCGAATACCAGATCAGATTTCGCGCAGGCGCTTGAACCCTTGGGGACCGAACCGGTATCATAGATACAGAGGGAGTCTGACCACATAACCTTAAGCACGTCACGCCCGCAGGGTGGACGCCTGGCTGGTACACAGCTGACGGATATCTCTGAGAGACGCTCATATCTCAGCATATTCCAGAACGGGCCGCTCCTACATGCCCCAGCAAAGGGCAGAGGAGGCATTTCGAGGAGTTATCTCAGCTTACTACTTTGGCGGTCTGTTCGCCATTTGCCCAGAAAAACTATGAAATCCCTGCATATGGGGCCTGGCATATGGGGCCTGGAGTCAGGCCGGGAAACCTGAATGTCTGAATTGCCACATGGTGTCCCCACAGCTAAAATGGAAGTTGGGGCTGCATCCCGGCGTCAGTATGTAGTACCAGCCAAGACGAAGGCATATTGTCGATATGTTGGTTTCTTAGTCTGCAGCCGCCCAAATCACGCGTCTGGTTGATGTGCTGCCTTCATTGCCCTTCCGGCCTTACCGAGAAGCAGAAGACCAGCCAAGAGCAGTCGCCAGTAAAGCCGTAATTACTATTATTGGATAAGGTTGACCTGAACTGAAGTCTCTTTTATAGAGAACAGATCTTACCTAGCTCTAATAATGGGGGCTTCGAGCATAAAGCTCCGCGATCCTTGCAGGCAACTCCATCCCAGACCTACCACACTCTAGTCAATTTCTCTTCTTCTGTTGATCATGACGATGAATACGGCATGTTACCCCTCGAGTTATCGTGGAAAAGCTCTCCACACACAGCACCTACAAAGCTATCACTTACAAAGCCCGGAGATCTTTGGCGATATGCCAAACACTTTATCAGAAGCATACCCTACGGCACCATGGCAGACTCTCAGGATGACACAGCGAGGTGCCCCCCAGCAATCAACTCACAGAAACACGGTACCTCATACAGCACCTTGGTCGCCACAAAGGCGACCCGAGAGCTTGACAAACGACGGCCTCCAAATTGACTATTCAACCTACGAAAACCCCGAACCCGCAAGGTCCACCGAGAGAACAGGATGTGGCGAGCTAGCTCCCTCACGCGGTGGGCCTTCAGGTTTGAGAATGGAAATCCGATGCTGGGAACACGGCTGCGAGGGGCGGAAATTCTCATCGCTGGGAAATTATAGGCGACATCTTCGCGAAAAGAACGGCCAAGCCAAGGGGTACCCCTGCCCCGACTGCGGGCGCGTATTCACGCGCTCGACTGCAAGAAACTATCACAAAAATTCTGGAACATGCGGACAGAACCCGAGACAATTAATGCTCCAAATGCAGATGGGGCTGCAGCTCCAAGCGGAGTCGCATCTCCTGGCATCTCCACCTCTGAACGTGCCCTCTGCAGGGGTCTTCGAGCCGTACATCGACCCCAGCAGTCTCACCGACTTGTGCTCCACATCGGACGCCTTTCTATGGGGTGACACCGACAAGACGTCTCTATATCGGTAATGCAGCCTCAATCAGCTTTGTCTGGTTCAAAAGTCGCCTCGTCGGGGCACCTATAATTGCTTCTTTTTTCCTCTTTGTCCTTGGCGGGGATGGGGACAAATAGATTTTGGGAACCCCCACTGCCCAGGTGTTAGCTTGGACGCTTAGTTAGAAATAGCCTTTGGCTTCGGTTAGTGTCGTCTAGTCCTGCAAAGCATCAAACCTTCATTGAGAACCACGAAAAACCCAGGATCGTAATAGTGGGGTATAGTGTTACTTCCGAGTCGTAAGGCCGCCTAGAGCTGAGCTAAGGACCAAGAACCCCTGGGCCTAGAATTCTCCCCGTACAAAGCGCCAATGATCCGGATACCCAAGATCCCTGTCGGGTGACGACCATTTGGGAGGAGACCCCATGGTGGCTGGAATCCAAAATGTACTGAGGGTCTATGATCACCACGCTAAACTTTTATAGGCAAAAGGGGAGCAGCTGTAGTTCAATTCGCAATTTTGAGTGGTGGGACTCTCTAAGGCTCCCAAAACTGACGTACACCGGTCCCTGCCTAAAGGATAGCCCGCTTACTTATGGAGACGCTCTCTTGGTTACTCCTGCCCATCTTGCACCACGACTACTGACCAGTTTCCGCTCGACTCCTTTTTATTGTTATTTTTTGCACTCAGTAAGTCGGAAAAGCATATCCGCTTATTTTCAGTTGCCCCGGGCGTTTTTGCAATAGTATTGTCAAACATTCCTGCAAGCATGGCTGCAAAAGAGACTAGATTCTATCCGTAAGAGAACAGTCCTTCCAGTGAGACCCAAAGCTTTTGGGTTTTCTGTCTACATATCTCATCCCTCCTTTTCATGTTTGCAGATACGCAGACAATGGTGGCGCTACCCTAGGGTATCTCCGGTGCCGATTTTGCTATCCTCGCCGGCGACACTCGATCAACGTCCGGATACAACATCAACAGCCGATCGGAACCCAAAGTATTCACAATTCAAGATGCAAAAAACCAATCAATCGTCATCAGCGTGGTGGGATTCGCCGCCGACGGCCACGCGCTGAAGGAGAAATTGGAAGGAATCGTCACCATGTACAAATACCAACATGGGAAGAATATCAGCCTCCGTGCTTGTGCACAGCGTGTCTCGACGATTCTCTATGAGAAGCGGTTCTTCCCATACCAGTTGCAGACTATGGTGGCGGGGATCGACGCTGACGGTGAAGGCGCCATCTACTACTACGACCCGGCAGGATGTATCGAGAAGAGGTCACATTGTTGCGCTGGCGGCGCAAGTAGTCTGATGCTACCATTCATGGATAGCCAGGTCCCCAGGCTACAGCCAATAAGTCGCGAGGTTGCCGAAGGGCTGGTGCGAGATGCTTACCAAGGCGCGGCGGAGCGCCATATCGAAGTTGGTGATTACCTGCAGATGCTGGTGGTCACCAAAGACGGCGTGGAAGAGCATGTTGTTGATTTGAAGAAGGATTAGCATAGCACGGGCCTCGCGAGGAATGTATAATAGGGTAACGTCTGGCGTTCCTGTTCCGGTTGAGGGCGTTTCGCTTGTCCGCTGCGTACAAGTCCGTGGATTATTGATCAGAGGGTCCAATGTACCGCTGCAAGCTGCATACCATTATCTGCTCATTTATGTTACGGCATCGAAACTATAAAGAAAATCCTAGGCTGAGTCAGATCTTATCCCAACGCCTGGAACGGCAAAGGCGCGGGGGCGTGTTCCGTAGGCTGCGGATAGTTGGGAAGCGGGACCCGAGAGAGCCTAGCAGAGCTCTCGTTCCAACTCTAGCCCCAGTGGATCTACGGCCCGCCTGGAAACTGGGCTGCCGTACTAAACCGGACCCATGTCGGGCTTTTCCCTTTGTAACATCGGATTCGGCAGCCGTGATTAAAGTTAGACTTTGAATTGATGAGTCAATTTTTCTTTCGGGCCTGAAATAGCTGCATATTTGTGGCGTTCGGGAATTCAGTACGAGGATGGAGCTGCCGCTTTTCCAGCCGAATCACATCCTCATATTTCATCAGGGTCCTCCGTTTTGAGGAACCCTGGCAGGTGGGCGAAACATTTAGCCACCATTCAGAAGAGGCGACCCCCCGTTTTACGAACGAGGACTTCACCTAGAGAGGGTAAGCGACATTCAGTTTCCCCTTGGCTACAGTGTCCTTTTACGTCAATAGGTGGGATCGGTACTTTTGATTGTGGAGGCCGAGGGCACAGTCCTTCGGCCAGATGATCGGGGCAAGTGGCATTTTACTCCAACTTCAATCAAGTTATCGGATATTGAATAGAATCCGACACCGAGAAACGTGGACGAAGTTGAAAGTTAGTCGTAGATCCAGGCTCGCAATCACGTATGCGCTTCCCCTCTTCAAGCCCTAAGCCATGGCCCCCTGACGATTACGGCCGATTTCCCCACCGGTGAGATAGGAGCTTAGTTACAGTATCTGATGAATTGTCGTTCACTTCAGTGTGCCGTATAACCTTTTTGATAGTTTCGATGAGAAAGTTTCGGGGGTTTTCTCTAGTTGCTCCACTTTGTACCAGTGGAATGGCGTATAGCTATGATACCACTTCTGTAGAATTTTATTGATCTTGTAACTTGTGTAATATAAGACTGGCATCCCATAAATTTTGCTACAATGCGTAAGCCGGACCTCATGTCAATTAGCTACCAGGCCCTGCCGTAGCTTGTACTTCAGAGGCTTTCCATTACTGCTTTTCGGGAATTCGTCCACGAACGTAATGTTCTTTCGCAACCAGTGAGGCTCGCTCAGTGCTCCCTCAATGAGCTGATTTAGCTCAGCCTTGAGGGTCTCTTCGTCTGTATCTGTCATTACTGTGGGAGACCGGACAATGAAAGCGTACGGTCTTTCGCCAGCATCTTCGTCGCGAACACCAACAACCGCCACTTCGGCCACGGCCGGGTGCGCTGCCAAGTGCGACTCGATCTCAACCGGGGCAACCTGCATTCCCTTGACCTTCATGATGTCTTTCTTGCGATCAACAATGTCCAGGTACGTTGTCTTTTTGCCATCTTTCTCCTGGATACGGAAGACGGCGATATCACCTGTGCGCAGCCAGCCCTGCTCGTCAAAGACTTCTTTAGTGGCCTCCTCTTGGCCCAAGTATCCTTTCATGTTGCTAGGGGATCGGAGATACAGCTCGCCGGGCTGGTCGTACGCATCTACCTCGTGATCCTCGGAATCGATCAGTCTGGCTTCCACTCCCGGTAGGAGGCAGCCATCAGTGCCAACGTACATGTAGTCGGGATGAGCCACGGAAATAATGACAGCAGTTTCCGTGAGACCTGTCCGAGCCTCTCCAGATTAGATGATGCAGAATATACTGACATCAAGATGTACATACCGTAGCCCGGAAGGACTTGCCAGGATGGGCGAATCTTGCGCAAAGCTTCTGCTAAGCGGGCTCCAAATGGCCCGGAGCCTGTGACGACGGATTTGACCGAAGACAGATCAAACAGCTCGAAAAGGAACGGGTTGTTCACCATCGCAGAAATGATAGGAGGAACCTGAAACAGACATCAGATATATTCCTTATGAGTATCCCGAGCAACCTACTAGGTAAAGTCTCTCAATCTTATACTGTTGAATCGCACCAAGAGCTGCTTGCATGTCGAAGCTAGCCTGCAAAATATATGTGTCGCCACGCCATACTGTCAAGTGCGCCAAAATCAAGCCATAACTGTGGCTCAGTGGAAGAAACCCCAGCGCAATCTCGGTGCTGCCATTTTTCTGACGGGACTCGAAAGTGGCGGACTGGATCACATTGGCAATGATGTTGTAGTGGGTAATCTGAGCAAGTTTCTGGAAGCCGGCAAACCTTAGCCCAGATCTCAAAGTAGTATCAGTTGAGCTAGTGTCCATACCTGCAATCCTGATGTTCCACTGGTTGGACATAGATAAGCCACCTGCTCGCGGCCCTGTCCGAGCTTCCATCTCAACGGCTCGATCGGCGGGAGAGATGATCCCTGCTGAACCAACTGCTCCACCGTCTTCTGTGCCTGGTCCGGCAGACTAGGCATTTTGCCGAGCTCATCAGGAAGCTCAAGCAGAAAGACCTTGTGGTCGAGTACTCCGCGCTCCGCCAGGACCTGGTTTGATGTGGTCAGCAGCGACCGGCAAGTAAATAGCACGCGACATTGAGTGATGCTAATGTGCCGCTTGATCTCAGCCGCCGAGCTTGTTGGGTGCAGGAGTAAACAGGTGCCGCCGACGCGATGAATCGCCCAAGACGCAACGAGGTAGTCAAGCTAGAGCCTTTTGTTAGCGGCTGTCGATCGCTAGAGCGTGGGCCGCGTACCGTATTGAAACTGAAGATCCCAACAACCTTATCCTCGGGCGATCCGGAGTTCGGAGCCCAGCCCAATTCGTGACTGAGGCTGCGCGCTAGAGCCTCAACGCGCGTGTGAATGACATGAAGCGTATAAGAGTTTCCAGAAAGCCCGCAGATCAGAGTCTTACTATCTTCGACCCAGTTGTAGAGGTGGCGATTGTCTCTTTGCATTAGGAAGTCGTAGATCGGGGTGGATTCCGGGATGGGCATCATCTCGCGGCCCCATTCTGGCGGAGTAAGAATCATGTTGCACCTTGAATATTGCAATGCTCTTGGGAGTCTGCTGAGAAACGGGAGTGCTCCCCCATATTCTATGATTTTTATGTCCCATTTATATGATGGTCTGTAGATTGGTATTGAGGACGAATACCCAGCTTTGCAATTACAGGTACGGTAAGGATCTCGTAAGATTCTAGTCAGGGGCGTCCCGCAGCCTTCGCATTCCAAGGGTGTCCAGCTGAGGCTTAGTTTCCCCAAGGTTCGCCTTAGCTTACTTGATCCTTAGTGGAAATCCTTTTCCTTAGCGCGGTCACACTGCAGGAGACATGTGGGTGTGAGATTCCAAATCAACAAAGGAAAAAAAAAAAATCGCGTGGTAAGCGGGGCCCTATTTGCACACGGCCCTGGGGCCACGACGCAGCTGGTAGCCTTGAGAACCTTCTTAGCAACAAATTTACTTAAACATGTTTTTGCGTTGAAAGTCCCCCGACTACATTCTGTCACATCATGGAAAATACCACTGAAAAAACTGACGTTGTGGCAGCCACGCCGGATGAACTCAGCGAAAATCTCAGCGAGCGCTCGTCCTCGACCGAGTCTAAAGAGGAGGACGTGCAATATGTCGGTCACATGAAGTTCTCGCTGATCTTTATCGGCCTTTGTTTGTCTGTCTTCCAGGTCGCATTGGTGTGTGTTGCGCGGATATTCTTTCCATTTCGCGCGCTAATAGAATAAAGGACGAGGTCGTTCTAGGAACCGCCGTGAAAACCATCACCGATGAATTCCACTCACTTCAAGACACCGGCTGGTATGGCTCGGCATACTTGTTTACGGTACGTGGCCATCCCCGGAAGTGCTTCGACGAGGACTCACGATGACACAGGACTGTGCTTTCCAATTGATATTTGGGAAATTGTATTCGATCTTGCCCGTTAAGATCGTCTATCTGGGAGCTCTCTTGCTGTTCGAGGTCGGTTCAATTGTTTGCGCCACGGCTCCAAACTCGGTTGCGATGATATTGTACGTGAAATTATTGGTCATTTGGTGATATACGCAGTGTTTACAGAAGTCAAGGGGTCGCACTATTGCAGGTATTGGCGCCGGCGGCATCCTCTCAGGAGCTCTGACTATTTTATCGCTGTCTGTCCCTCGAGCCCAAGTTGCCGTGTTCAACGGCATTATCGGAGCTGTCAATGGAGTCGCATTTATCTGTGGCCCGTTGCTGAGTGGTGGGATTATTGATGGCACCACATGGAGATGGTAGTTTCCATTCGGTCGCGATCTGTGGCACTTTTGGCTAACCCGAGTAGGATCTTCTATATCAATCCCATTATGTCCGCTCCGACCTTGGCTATCATTTTCTTCATGGTGAAGAACGAACCGGCAAAATCGGGGCCGACGACCTGGAGAGAGAAACTGGAGCAATTGGATCTGATCGCTTTTACATTCTTCCTCGGATCCATTCTGTGTCTGATTCTGGCACTACTCTGGGGCGGCAAAGACTACGCTTGGCAAAATGCCCGCATCATTGTCCTCTTCATTCTCTTCGGAGCGTTCATGGCCATCTTCGTGACCATGCAAGTCAAGAAGGGCGACAAAGCTCTGGTTCCGATGGGGATCCTCACAAGAAGAAGTATTGCCTTCGGCATGTTCTTCTCTTTTTGTACTTCGGGCACAGGGTTCATCCTTGAGTACTATGTTCGTTCTATTCACTAGTCAGACACGAAAGCAACTTCACTAACAGGGACATCAGCTGCCGATCTGGCTACAAACAATCAAAGATTACTCCGTCATATCCTCTGCCGTGAAGCTGCTACCCATCATTGGCGCAGCAGTCATCTTCACTACCCTAGCCGGCATCCTCACCCCTGTCATCGGCTACTACGTCCCGTTCATGATAGTTGCGACGGCACTGCTTTCAGTCTGTATGGGCCTTCTGTCTACACTGGAAGCTTCCTCCCCTCTCCGTTTCGTGCTCGGATACCAGGTTCTCGGCGGCATAGGCTTGGGCTGTGCACTCCAGCAGACCCTTGTGGCAGCACAGACGATCCTCCCGATGATGGATATTCCGATCGGAGTGTCCTTGATCGTCCTGGCGCAAACGCTGGGTGGGACTATCGCGCTGTCGGCTGCTGATGCCATCTATGCCGGGTCTCTGGCCTCAAGTATCAGCCACCGGTTCCCTGAAATCGATGCCTCGACGGTGTTGAATGCGGGCCAGGGAGAGATTCGCAATCTTGTGCCAGCTCAGGATCTGAGTACCATCATTGGCTTTACTAATGATGCTATTAGGAAGACTTGGTATCTTTCTGCTGGGTTGGCTGCGGGGTCAATCTTCGGGGTGTTGGGAATGGAGTGGAGGCGGGTTTCTGCGCCGCAAAAAAAGTAGTTTTTGAATTTAGACCCTTGAGTATAGACACTTCATGTCAATGTGCATAGATTATTTGGAGAAGTACCATGTTAAATGATTATACTGCTGAAAAAAATACGCTACCTCTTCAACTTGAGAATAAAGAGCGGCTAAAAAGAACTTTTAGGAGAGAATCCTGGGCGAAGATGGCTGGGCATCACCCCAGGTTTGCCAGGTGACATTGATTTAACTAACCATAAAATGACATAGTGGTCCCGCAAAGTGTAAATCGAGGTTTTTTTTGGGTTGTATTTCGTCTTTAGTGTATCTATTGATGCTCCAAAAACTAACTACCAGGAATTAGTACCTCGTCATCGCTACCGTTAAGAATGTCAAACGGAAAATAAGCCATCATAAAAATCATTCAAGGCCTTGTTTTGGCTGAACAATAGCAGCAAGTTGCTCTAAGAAAGATACCAGAATAACGATATCAGGAATAAAAGAAGACCTCATCAAAAAATTGAAGAATTTAGAGTTCTTGCTCTAGCCACGTGCATTTCCTTGTGCAGTTCCTTGAGGGGCAGTTCCTTGAGGGGCAGTTCCTTGAGGTATGAATCCTTGGTCACGCCAGACTAAAAAAGCAAGTCTCTCTAAGCGAGGCACCGGAATGAGGATATTACTCTCGCCTGGTAATGGAGGGCGTCCCATTATCTCTTGAACGGTGATGTAGAGTGGCACTGAGGGTGTTGTTGTTATGACTCTATTGCGATCCTGTGCGATAATAAACTGTTGTCGAGTCACTGCTTGGTAACGGGCACGAGAATGGCGAGCCGGTAAGGTACTTTGATTCAGCACAATGGACTCAATCGTGATCTGTGGTTGTCTTTTGTCGATCGCGATGGTAATCACCAGGTTGACTGCTCCATTTGAATTGGCTAGCCACCATGCCGCATCACATTTCAGTTTAGACCGGGATTCGGAATATCCCACCTCTAATACTACCATTGGCCAAGCAGACACGATATCCTCTGGTAAGTATTGTGCGTCAGGCTCTTTGTGACTCGAATTCCCATACCTGCGAGCAGCACAAAGAGACTTGATATTCAAGTTTGAGACTTCTGCTAGCATATACATAATCTTGTTCCATGCTCCGACTGCAGTCTCATGTGGCGATCCGGGAATTTTTATAATCATACAACGCGTCTGGAAGTCGTAAAAGTTCCGTGTACCCTTAATATCCGTTCTTGAGGCGATTTCTGGCGGTACATTCACGAACTTTACATAGATCATATCTTGATTGGATATAGAAGCTTTGATTCGGTTTACCATCCTTGTAATCACACTCTTTGTTGAGCCGATGTATTCCGGAGCATACGGTAGATCAAGGCAGCCACGGGGGCATAACTCCATTGTGTCCTGGATTGACGAGCGAACAGACTCAGTTGGCTCCGAGAAACCGCTGTATTGTACTTTGTTTGACGTCATTTTGATCCGTTGATAGGCAGGAGGGATGTGAAGGCGATGGTTGAGTGTTGGTGGGAATAGTGATCCACGTGTAGCTTATACTGATCAGTTCGGACTTTCGCACTCTGGCCGGCGCGGCCAGCAAGCCCGCCCAGCGGGCTCCACGAGGCTATAGCCTATATCCGCACACTCGAACCTACAGACTTCGCACAGCTTTGCGCGGTTACAAGGTTCTACACCGCAATTTGCCCGCGTTAGGGCTTCCCAAACTCTTCCCGTTCCTTCCCCCCTCTCTTATTATATATTCTCTCCTCTACCGTCTCCTTTTCCCTACTCTCCCCTTTCTCTCCTTTACCCACCTTTCCTTTTTCAAAAAAAACGGCGCTGTAAGCGCCTAGGGACTCTGGTCCTAGTTACGCTGGACTTAAGTCTACTGAAACCACGCGAAACGCTCTACAGGTCGGGGGCAAAACCCGCGGAACTACGGCCCCATGGCCCGGCTCTAGAAGCGCTAAGCTGCTTTCTGGGAGGAATTTAGGCCGGATAATGGCTAAGGCAAATCGCCAACTGGTGTATTGTAACAGCCATTTTCGGCAAAGATAGACTCTCAGCTTGGCACGTCCCCATGCCCCAAGGGAGGCTTGGAGCTGGCGGCATACACCGCCAGCTCCCTGGACGTTAATAATTACATACATACATACATACTGATCAGTTGGTAGGTAGCAGTATGAAAGATATGAGGCAGAGGGGTGAAAGCGAGTCTTGGTGGGAGTAGTGACCCGGGTATCTTGTGTAGAGCGACTGGCACTCAAACTAGTGGCCTTAGGGGCTTGAGGGAAGGGAAATTGAGACGGAGGGAGATGTGGGGAAAAGGAAAGAAATACGCAAAGGAGGGAAAAATAATAACAGGAGAGTATCAGTGTTGGTCTGTTCTGTCGCTGTAGCTTCTCCTTCCCCTTCTTCTCTCCTCTCACTCGGCTTTTTTCAACAGAAATGGAAGCTTCAAATATCGAATTCCATTGGAGCGGATTACAAGCTTGGCTTTCACTATATTTCACATGGACTTCTATTTTTCTCGTCAAGACTCTGTCTCGTTCTAGGTCTGCTGCTAAGATTCCTAGTCCAAGTTCCGAGGCTCGGTTGGTGCTATATTTAATTTAATCAAGGAATCTTAGGATCATAAGAAGAGTAATTGCGACTCTAAAAACCTGCACATACAAAGGCTTGATTATAATGTGATTGGTACAAACCGCCGAATCTTCCATCGTTATTATAACGCCGTCGCCGCGAAAAGACGAACCAACACTAAGTACTATGGTATCGTAAATGCTTAGCTTTCCTTCCCAAGCGGCGCCAATGATTCTGTCAAGAACTCATTGGCGTTCAACAGATCTGTGCTTCCATACACAATACGGCGGCGTGCAGTGGGCGCTCGATTCTGCTGGGACACTCCATCAGGCCCCTGCTGCCCACTCGTCCGATGGACCCAGTCTTGCAAATTGCCGTACTCATCCATACTACCACCGCCGACGGTAAAGACGATGGCTTCGTTGAATGCCTGGCGACGCTGGCCAAATGTCGCTCCTGTTCCAGGACCCGAAATGCCTGGTACACCGGCGCTCTGAGGGTTACGCGAGGCAGAAGCTGGCGGCATTGCGCCGCGAGCGTTGGCGCTGCGGGGATCGAAGTATAGGTAGCTTTCCGTCTTGGCGATTGCGGAGCTAGAGGCGGCGGCCGGGTCCATGATGGATTCGGTGATCTTCGTGACCGTCAAGTCCTTATTTGCGGGGAGGAAGTTCTTGACACCAGAGATGAGGGAGTCGAAGTTGGCGCCCAGGGACCCAGAGGTGATGCGGTCTGTGAGGCGGTTGGAGAGGGAAGAGAAGCCGCGGAAGAGGTCGGAGGATTGGGGCTCAGGGGCGGCAGTCGTCATCATGGTCATCCGAGTGATCTCGCGCACTTGACGGACGTAGGAAATGGGGGCGATATCCGCAACGCCAGCTCTGATTAAGGCTTCTTCGAATTGAGTGATCTCGTTGCGGTTGAGTTCGGTCTCGGTGCTGAGGAACCAGATTATGAAGATACGTAGTTTGTCGGATGGATTGCTGCCCTTGGCAGGATCATTGATCAAGTCAAGTATTTGGGTTTTGGATTGTTTGGTGATGTTCTCCTCCAGCTCGAAGAAGTTATCCAGCTGCCGGTCTTTGATACCCTTGAGCAGCGCAGTGGCGATATTCATGTGCATATCCAGGATCGCCTTACGCTCGCGCAGTTCAGGAAGCAGGGTGATGGCAGCTTTCAAATGCTGGGCGGAAGCGCTGGTATCATTTTGGAGGTCTTCAATCGAGGAGGCGCCGGTCTTCTTCGTGATGTCGTTTGCATCTTCTTTGTAACGAGTGAGTTCGGCATCAATATCTTCCGCAACTTGAGGGAATGGCGCTCCAGCATTTTTTTGCCAAAAGAAATCACTGCTGGTCAGATCGTACGACTTTTTACCGGAGCTTGAGTCCTGACCGTCGGCTTCCAAGGTAATGCGATTCAGCCGCATTTGCAGCACATCCTGCACAAGGGACTGATATGTCCAAGAGTGAGAGAGCATGGGCACCAGGTCAACATTTCGGTCCATAATGATCAACACTGGCCGAGTGGAGGGAACCCCAGGCAATGCCCGCTGGTTACCAGAGAACAAGTTGTCTTTAGAGTTTAGAATGTGGTCACGAAGTTTCCGATCCAACTTGGTTGCAATGAGCTCTGCCGCACCGCCCTTGGGACATCGAATGATTGGGATAGAGCCTGGAATATCATTAGCCATAGGTTTCTGAAGAGGACCAAAGGATGAGTCTGACCCATTGTCACGCTGACACTGAACAACCCGCTGACCACCTTGTCTACAATTGCATCCAGATCCTCATCGCTTGTTTTGGGGCTGTTGATTTTGTAGTATGCATCATTCCCAAGTCCCAGGCTGAATAAGTCAGGCTCGGCGACGATGAAGTTCAGGTATTGATCGAATACTTGTGCAATGTGCTCAGAGGCGCCAGATGCTGCTACTTGTGAAGCAAAGTCTTCAAGCAAGGGCCGTGGTATTGAAGACAAGAAGTTCACATAGGCGGGGGAGTAAAGGCCATGGGAAAGATCGCGCGTGATCGCCTGGATGTTGGATTCGGTGGGCTCAAGGAAATAGACAACAGGGACATTGGGGATCGGGTATCTTTGGGCGTTGATGTTTCTGGGAATTTTCAGTCAGCGCTCCAGGCTTCCCCGCAGTGTTTCCAAGGTGCAACAAGCGTACAGATGAATAGTGACACCCCATGCTCGGAGATCATTAACTCTGAGTACACTGCTAATGACATCTCGGCCCATAGCATCAAAGACCAGAACTTTCCAAATTGGGTCGCCGTCCTCATTCAGGATGGGGGTTGAATGGGAGATGAGACTCCCGGTTCCAGAGTCTTGGCCATCCTCCGTCGACTGGGGGGCGTGGTTCAAATTGAGTAGCTTTTGGATTGACGCTGGAGGTTACAGGTTAGCTATTCGCAATTGGCAACTGCAAGGAGAATAAAATCAGTATCCCATACCAATCTGTCGGTCTCGGAGAGACATGGGGTGCGCCATGGCAGACCAGGCACGGGGGCTCAAGAGAGAGTCACAATCAAAAGTACAATTAGATCCTTGTCGGGATCACCAGGAGCAAGATCATCCAAGTCCAAAATCGCTTGTAGACAATTTCAGTAAGTCAACAATTTATTGACATACCACTATGTCCAAGTGGCCGAAGCGGGTGATCCAAGGTAGACCAAACAGAGCAAACAAGGCACATGTCTATCGGAGCTTCTGACCTGCTCTTGGCGCAGGCATCACTTCCCGCAATACCACAGTACCGTTATTTATTACCACCTCCACCTATCAGAAACCGCCATTTTGCGCGGTCCTGGTTCTCCTCGTGACTCCGCGTTCCTGCAACCAGCATTTTGGCCCCCCCCCCTTCCACCTGAACTCATCATCCTTCACCCCCAACTCCCCCAATTTCCTTTCCCTTATCCGTGCTTCGTAAAGTGAATGGCTATGTTACTAGAGTGACTCTGAACTAAGGAGCCTTCCTCTCAACCTACAGAGTTTTATTTCAAAGCAAAGGCTTAAGAGGAAAAGAAGCAGACAAGGGTGCAAAGCTCTGCAGGAGAAAAGGGTCTTGGGTCAAGATACAGGAAGGGAGGCATTATACAGTGGGACAGGAGACAAGCCCGTATCTTACTCGGGTCCTTAAACGCGATCCCCGGCTTGATACCTTGCTTTCTGTTCTCTCTCAACTTCCAACTTGCTCCCTCGACGTACTTATTCGGCGGGTTTTCATTAAGCGTTGGGGAAACGGAGGATTCGCATATGGATGCCTGAGGCACCATAGTCTAAACCTGCCTTGTGAGACGCGTGACGAAGACTCAACACTCAACACAAGGTACGATGGTACAGACAACTCTGATACGGACCTAGCCATATCTCCGACGTACGACCCTCTCCTGATAATCTTGTCAGCTCCTCCATCGCAACACCCTTGGTGGTCGCTTGCCAATCAGAACGGACTCGCACCCCCACCTACGGTCGATCGTTTCTCCGGGCATTTCATATCATCTCCTTTTACAGAAGGCGGTGGAGTTCCTGGATACATCACATCTGGCACACGTGATATTTACAACAACTTTGGTAACTCAGTAGCTTAAAGAAGAAAGGGGAAAAAGTCTTGCCGGCGCTGGGAGGTGGAAACTATGGAGCAGTCTTCGGCTGAGAATCCAATGCCGGGTCTGCCCCATGGTGCCTCGCAGGATCCGTTGCCTCAAGAGTACTGGAATAACCTGGATGCCATGTATCCTAACCAGCTCCACGCAGCGCCGCAACAACAGAATCACGCTCGTGAGCAGCCCATGGGCATTAGTTGGGACCATCCTATTTTCCAGCAGCAAAGACCCCAACATACCCCGCCGCCCTCTCAGAGAAACCACCTTCAACCTCAGACGGATCCAAATCACGGCATCTACTCCATTCCGCAGTCCTGGCAGTCCAACCCGTTGCAACCGCCGAACCGCGCGTTTGTGCAATCGCCATATCAACCTCAGCAAGTTCAGCAGCCTCAGCAGGTGCCCCATATTCAGCATGAGCAGATTCAGTTCGACTCGCGCGCCATGAACCAGGAGACCTCTTCGTTCCCTCAATACTCCTTCCATCCACAATTCTTCCCCAACCATCAGCTGCCTCCCCACGGATCTTTTCAAGAGCGCCCACCCCCGCAGCACTTGCCTTCCGAATTTCACGCCCCTCAATCGGTCTTGCCTCAGTTTCACCTCCAGCCGTCGTACCCTGCCGACTTGCTCAACAATACAATCGATCTCACCGACGACTTTCAATCTGCTCCTTCTCAGAATAATACCATCGATCCACAATTCCTGAATCCAGTGCTTCAAGCCCCCAGTCAGCAACCGCAGCAACTTCGTGATGGTTACATGTTCACGACGCCAACGGGGACGCCAACGGGAATTCAACAGCTGGGAGGACAGGGCTTTGATTATTACCAGAATGACCTTACACTTCAGCCCTCTGGCAACAACCTGAATAACGCGAATCCCCCAAAACCAGGTATGTTAGGCGTATTCCGACCAATCGCTTCCTCTAAACCCCCTGGAAATCCCTCAAGACTAACTGGTCCGCCTCGCCCCGAAGTTGTTATCGAAGCGAAGAAAGCACCCGTGAAAAAGGCAACACAACCCAAGAAGACCAAGGCAAAGAAGACCAAGACAACCCAGGAGAGTGATAGTTCTGACGATTCCGAGTCGGATATTGAAGCACCACCTGAGCCGTCTCCTATTCCATTGCAGCGCCCCACCGACCGATTGGAAGCGGCAGAATACGACACTATGCAGGCTGTTTGGGCGCCACGAAACAAGAGAGCTGCACCCGAGAAGGTCAAAAATGCCCTGGTTGTCTACAAAGATCTCGTGAAAACACTTCGAGACTCCTGGAAGGATCAGGTTCAGGCCATGAAAGCTGCAGAGAATTCGGGAGATAATGAGAAGGCCAATGCTTTGAAGCAAGATGTCACATTGCAGCGTGGCATGATGGATCGGATCTTGGAGACTACCCTCAAGGGTCGGTCATCCTGTAATTGTTGAGAAGTATGCTCTCCTTTCCCCCCACTCTCTTACTCTTGCACCGATTCCCTTTTGCCGTATTCATATAATTCTGGCGCAACTCGAGTGATTCCCTTATGTAAACCTTGCGTGGAAACAGAGGAGAGTGTCATCTAATAGGCCGAAAATAAAGCCTACCATGCTCCAATCTCGCAAATCATGGGCCCGTGTTTCGAAATACAGAAAGCAGACATGGAAATGCCCGCGTTCTCTAATGAACTCGTGGCTGGGCAACTTGAAGCTGTTCATTGGTCTGGTGTCTGGTTATCCTCAATCAGATTTCCTACAAATGTCCCGCAATGGCTAGTTTGGGTTTAAGATCTTATCGAGGCGTGACCTCCAGTCCAGCCCCCTTGCCGTCCTCGCACCTTTTTTTTTCGTCCCACTCCGTTTGAATGCTCGGTTACTAATTAACAAACACTCTGTAGGCTCGGAGAACACCCCGTTGCTCTATCAGCTATGCATTCATTCATAGTAGATCGATTCCAGGCAGCTGATTATGATGGGTCTTTAACCACAAACATCTTAAAGGTATGTGATTCTGAGACTCTTATTTTGATCTTTACTGATGAATATCAAAGGTGCTGGCACGTTTTATCACTGTAGATGAAGAGATGCTGCAGAAGACCAACTTGGCTAAAGTGCTGCCGCGTTTTGTTAAGAAAGGCGGACAGGCAGTGAAGGAATTGGCACAGAAAATTTTAGATAATGCTAAGGCCTCGACCAAGCGCAAGCAAACTTCTAAATCCGTTGAAGATTCGCCAGCAAAGGCACCTGCCCGCAACTCTCCCTCCGTCGAACCGGTTGGGTTGAAACGCACCCGCGAGGGTGAAAACAGTGCTCAGCCAGCCAAGCGTCTTGTCGTCATGCCGAATCCTAAAGATCAAAGCAAGGCTACTGCTTTGAATGGTACAACAAAGCGGGTCCCTGATACATCAAATGGCAAACCGGCCACAGCTGCTCCGCGGCCAAAGCCCACCCATGTTGCTCCCAAGGCGTCTGCTCTATTCAGTACCCTGAGCTCTGCATCCAAGCGCCCTGGAACAACTAATGCAGAGAGAGCTGCCGCTGCCGCTGCCGCCGCCGCTGCAAAGACAAAGTAAGTGTCTACATGGTTTTTGTACGAGAACCTGCCTACTAACTATGTCATAGCCCAACCCCTGAGAAGAAAGAAAAAGCGCCTCCCAAGCCAACTTTCTCTTTTGGTGACCTGATGGCCGATCTTGATAAGCCCAAGGAGCCGATTGCTGTCAAGCCCTCTGAAGACCAACCACCCGAGACCGAAGAAGAGCGTAAGAAACGTTTGCGCAAGGAGGAGCGGCGTAAACTGCGTGTCACCTGGAAGCCCGAAGACTCTCTCACTGAGATAAGATTGTTTACTCATGACCCTGAGGAAGAGCTGGGTCCTGAAGATGGGCCTTTCAATGATGGTTCAAATATCAAGTCTGAAGGTGATGCGCTCAAGTTACACAAGGATAAGGAAGTCGAAGCTGAAGACGAGGAACTGGGGGGGCACTATTCGTGAAATCACCCTGCGAGATTACTATACGCTGTCGAGTAAGTTGAGATTCTGTTGTATGCCAGCTGAGCCATCATGCTAATTGCGAAACAGCGATCCAAATCGAACTGGACGAGATGAAGAAGGCCAACTTCATCAAACGTGGTGGCAATCGTACACCCGTTAGTGCCGAGAAAGAGGCCCAGGATCATCGTGAAGCAACTACGCTTATGGTTTTCTATTCTTCCCCGGCCGACGTGCCATCAACACCCAAGGAACCGGCCGCGGTAGATGAAAACGAACCTGTACCTGATGTAATCTCCTTTGGAGAGCTACCCGACACTGTGAAGGTTTGCTACTATCTTATTTGGTACACATAAATTATCTTATACTGACCAATGCTCACACAGGCGAAGCAAGACGAATACTACGCTCGTATTAACCCTCAACCTACTCCCGCTTCTCAGGCACCGCAACAGCTCAACGCTGGAGGTGGGGGAGTCGATATTGCCAACCTTCTGAAAATCATACAAAATGGCGCTACGCAGCAATCTACACCGCCACCACAACCCGTCCAACAACCTCCTCAGGCCCCAATGTCTGACTTAGAGCGTACCATTAGCATGTTCTGCCAGCAGCAGTCCGCTCCTCCAGTCCCGCAGGTGCCTCAAGTACCTATTCCACCTGCCGCAGCCTCAGTTGACTTCCAAGGCATTCTAAACATGATGAAGCAGATTCAGCAGCCTGGCGGGTTCTCTCCCGCGCAAATGCAGCAGACGCAACCTGCAATGACACCGAATCTGGGTGCTATCTTTGGACAGTTTGCCGGACAAACTAACCCTGCTGGTGGAGGCTTCAATTCTCACACGCCGGGTACCTTTGAAGACCCTGAACGGAAGCGCATGCGTGATGGAGGGAGCAGCCATTACGACAGTCAGAACCAGGAGCAATGGAGCCGAGGCAAGCGCACCAAGGCCAATGCCCCCCCAACCCGTGAGTAACGTGTTCACCCCCGCAAATCACAAACGAATGCTAAAACAACAACAGTACAAGGTAGGATTGGTTCCCTGCAAGTTTTGGGCGGAAGGAAAATGCCGCAAAGGAGAGAATTGTACTTTCCGGCATGACACTTAATTCGCCTGTCTCCTGCAAACTGTCTCAGTGTCGTTCTTTTTCCATTCGATCTGATACCCCCTTCTCGGCGCCTGGATTGTGCCTTCGTCCGCTCCTCTTTTATCCTTCTATCCCTCAGTGGATCATGTATTTTCTAACCCACCTACCTCTTCCCTTCTGTCATGCTAGTCTTTCCCTAGAATTGTCTCTGATGGATCAGCTATCACATGGCGTTGAATCTCCCGGCGCTGTCTTATGGTCATGGTCTTGAGGGATTGAGGGTCTTTTCCTGTTGTCCCGTTTCCAGCTTCTTTCGTGTGTTTTTTAAGGGCATGTTTTGCATGGGCCCTCACGAGGCTACAGAGGCGTTCTTCCTCTTTCCCTAGGCTGTCATGTGTATGCATTGGGCAGGGCTTTTCTGGTGCTGGCATATTCTCATTTCAAGGCGCTTGTTTATCGGAAAACATGGAAAACAATGTATACCTGCTGGCTCCGCCCAGGGGCATATCTTTCTGTTATTAAGCTTTATTAGCATTGATGCACTGCTGCTAGTCACGCTCTGAAGTGCGGGTCAATTCAATATCCACAAGAGCATCTGTATTTCTCGTTAATTGACTTCTTGTAAGATAATAAACAATCTGGTTGTAGATCGAGTATGGTTCTTAACATTAGAATCTTTCCTGCGATCTGGATGTTCAGCTTTGAGTCATTCAAGGAACCCGCGTGGTGGAGTTGGCAAGTATGACTAGTGGTGGAAGCCAGGCATTTGCCAGTGTCGCTCGTGCCAAGTTATAATTTTCAAGGCCTCAGATTTGGTAGGAGGTGGGCGTATCTCGTCTATCTTAGCTACTTCGGAACCATTGGGCTAGTTTCTGCTGAGAAAGTTAGAGATGTATTAATATTATCTGACATTGAATTCACCCGCAAGACAAACATATCCCAAAGTATTACTAGTAAGTCGCAGAACAGGCCGCCTCCTATTCAATCAAGAGATCTCAGGATTAGTCCAGCAAACTAATACGCAGTCCCTGCCATTTCGCAGGTTCTGGAATATATTCTGTGCAGCATATCGCGCATCAGAGTGAGGCCAGCCGCCTGATGCTCCCAGAGAGCCAAGAGCCTAAGCACAGTCTTTACTATAGACTGCCAATTGGGTGGCGGCCTCACCATCGGCGCCGTCCTCGAGCATGGGTATTGGATGTCACAAAGCTTGGCTCCGATGATCAGCATTGCAGCGGCAAACATCTGAAGATCTAGATGCCAGCCCCATGGGTTAGGCACATTGTGCCACCCTGTGGCAATCACACGCTCGCATGTCTCTATGCCTCTTTGGGCGAAATCGAAGATTTCATTGGTCAGATGCCGACTAGTTTTAATGCAGATGGGCAGTGTGGTAGTGGAATGCTAGGTAAACCGTCGGCCGGAGAACTTTCTCGAGGGCTGCATAATACCGTATGCGAAGCATTGTTTGATGGTCATTGCTCATCGACAGGCTCTGGCATGATACTTGCCACCTAATATAGCGGTATTAGTGAGTGAGTTTTCTACTGTATAATTGTGAGAGGTGAGTTTGGGGGGGCACTCTTTTGAGAGAGAGAGCGGATTATACACACCATTGGTCAATTATCCGCACAGCGTCTCTAGTTCGATCGAGTAGGTTTTTTGGGATGGTATAGCCAATCCTCCGGGCCACAACGCCACAAATCAATGAGCATCGTTTCAGTTGCCCGAGAGCAGGAAATACCGCCCAGAAAGGTCTTCCAGGTTTTATCGGCTTCTGAAATATACGGATCTAAGGTGGACGTGGAATTATTGTCCTGCACAGTGCCGGGGGAACTACCTGCTGATCTGGGTAGAGATGGAAATGGGTCTGAATATGGCAACGCGTCCAGCGAGCTATTCCAGAGAGGCATAATTCTTTGCAATTCACTAAGAGACCGTATTAGTACTAAGGTTCTTGGAACTTCGAGAGATCAACACACTGTTCGTTATGCATGCATGACCAATATAGTCGTGCTTCCAAATTGTGGTAGTTTCCATCAGCTACCCATTCTTCCCGACGTAATGATCGTAGTCGGATATCCAGTCGACAAGATGCTTGTTGGAAGCAGAACCAGGCATCCAGTGCATGTGAGGTATACCGGTGAAACATGCCCGCTAGGATAAAGCATTGGATATCTATCGGGCTCGTGGAAAGAAATCCCATTCGCTGCATGGCGGCTTCGAAGTAAAAATCAGCCTGCTCCATGTCTACTTCGCTTGGCGGGAGTTCCGGCATGTTACCAAAGTCAGGATAGTCGTCGAGAGAGACTATCGGAGACGAGCAACAAGCCAGAGCACATGCCAAGAGCTACCATAAATGTTAGCCCAAGAGCTTAGCTGAGATGGGAAGGTGGGTTTCATGGCAAAAAGCCAGGATGCCCATGCATAATCCCAAATACGGGAACAAGAAAAATGACGAGATGCCCAGGCAACGTACCACCAGGCATGATTTGCCGTCCCACCCTAACCCCTGCACTGTCACCTCGTGTGCATATAAGCGCAGCTCATCCATATCTATTACAGGGTGAAAGCGATGTGGGACCATCACATATTTTTCACACATATGCTGTAAATTGGCCACAGACAGACTGGGATTCGTTCGCTTCGGCGGGAGGTTGGTCGGCCACCGAGGTTGTTGGCCAATGGAGTCGAGGATAAAAGACTGTATGTGCCTATCTCCCTCTGAAATAACATTTCTGAAGACACGCCACCGGATCAAGATCTCGGGAGAGCATGCTGTAAAGAGGATACGGGGATCATGATGAGAATCTTGTACATGATCTACACTGGTGGTGTTGCGCACGGGATCCCCTGAGAAGGAATCGGTGATACGTGTTGTTAGGTTAAGGGTATCTCCCGTGGATCCAGACAGGGTGCCTCGAAATGAGGAAATAAGAGGTACATCGGGCCCTTTCTCGTATTTGAGATCTTCCAGCAGGTTCGTGATATGATCTAGCTGCTGGCGGATATCGGTCGACTCGGACCTACGAGACACAACATATTTAGTATCATCCTCTTTGCTTTCTATTTGCCTTTTCATGGTTCGAGAGAGGGGCCTGGTCAGAAGAGGAATTTGAAGCGAGTGTTGACAGCAAAGAAAGGAATGAGGGATAAAACAGCCGCCCTCTCACAGATTGAGCTAACATACTTGGTGAACAGGGGTAAAGTATCAGGGTAGACGCATCGAACCCGTTGATTGATACAATAACTACAGAAAGGCCTGGTATTGTCGCACCGAGTCTTGCGCAGACGGCATGTCTCGCATGCTGTTAGTGCGCGCTTTCGGCTCTCGCGCTTTTTCTTGAACTTGACGTCGGAATATTCCATGTTTCGCTATGCGATTTGATCCTTGAAGGTGACTATCCAAGGACAACCCCGGGGAGCCACCGGGGAGATCGCGGGACAGTGACAGGTCATAAGAGAATTGCTTGACCCAAGGACGACCCGAGGGGGTGGGCGGGCGTCCTTAGGAGGGGAACACAGAGCCAAGCAGCTGGACTCTTTCGCCCCGTTAATCGAGCTCGATCAAGTTCGAGCCGCTCTGCTGGAGCGACGCGACAAAGAAATCACTGACGTGACGGCTGTTAGCGTGTCGCCCCATGCCGGATAAGGAAGCAGATTGGCCTTGACCAACAAAGAACTCGCAGCCTAGTGGCTGTGGCCACCGGATATCGAATCTAGGGCTTTGCACTCCCTTATTGGTGTATGGTCTTGACATCATGTAGTCCCATTTCATTCGGCGCCAGACGAACGGGCTTCTGAAGCCTGGGGTCGATGCTCAGGACCCTAACCACGGGGCGCAAACAGAGTTCCAGTAGTGGTCATATCGGCTGACAACGGGAACGCGACTTATTGGCCATTCACTACCCGCTCTGACTTGATCCGGAAAGAAAGAGATGTGTGCTTCGAGAGACTCATGGTAGAGTATGGTAAGAAGGGGTGGTTCGCGCTGGTGAGCAAGTTGGGAGTTCATTGGCCACCACATCCCCCTCGCGCCCCGTGGACCCCAAGAACAAGACCTCGAAGACAAGCCCTCGAGACTCTGAAGCGATGGCAACACGCAAGTAGGAGTAACCGGACTGACAAGCTAGTAGGCGAGCAACTTGTAGAGATTTTCTCAACAAGTGACCGTGGCGCATTCCTACGTGCATGGGAATTTACTCACAAAGACAAAGCTGCTTTCGCGATATAGTTACAAATAGCTTTAGGAAATGTCGCTTTTGACCAAGTCTATCCATGTCGACTCTCACTAAAGCCATGAAACGCTTAAAACCAGAAGCCGTTGACTCCGAAGCAAATGGAACAATCATGCGAAAATTTTGCACGCACTATGATAGATAATGCTCATTCATCACCTGGCACGGGTGTGAGAATTAGAACTGAGTAAATTTACAAAGTCATTGACCCCAGGCCTCCACCTCAAGTGTAGAGGCCAGACTTTTGAGCTTGGAATTGAAGGCAACTGCAACTTGAAAGAGAAAGCTGCCACTACCTAGTTCTCTTCTTGGCCCTCTTCGTGGGGGGTGCCTCGTTCAGTTCAGCCCATGCGTCCTCGAAGACGGTCTTCTTGGCACCAATTTGGCCATCATAGAAGTTCATCTTCCGCACAACCTCCATCGCACCAGTGCCAAGTCCCACGGTCTTGCCCATAATGATACATTCCGAGACACCCTCGATCAGATCGGTACGGCCCGCCCACCGGCATCAAACAAGTGATCGGCTGTCTTTTCGAACGAGGCCAGCTGAAGAACCGAGTCACGCATTTTTTGCAGACCGAAACGGGTAATACCCAGGACCTCACCCTTGTAGGTCATAACATCTGCCAAGAGCTGCATGTGGCGGGGATCGATGTCCATGTCCTTCATGACTTCGCTAATTTCGGTGATGATGGTGCTCCTTGCGGCTTCAATTCCAAGGACTTCACGTGCTTCCATGACGTTGTTGGTCCGGGTATGGAGACCATCCACACCAACGGTGGTCATGCACTCCATCAGACCATAGCCTTCGACCAGCAATACATTGTTGGTCTTGGAATCGTCCGTCCGGATAATGGCTCGGTTGGCCCGTGGGTGTCCCAGAATCTGGATGTTGGGCAGGAAGCGTTTGAGGTGATTGAGGCGAAGGAAGGGATCAATACTGGTCGTCGCGATTTCGGTCTTAGTAAGGCCTGCTTTAGAGCTCGGATCCAAATTCATAAACATTTTGATGGTCCGCTTGGTCGTTTCAAAGCTGATGTCGTCACCACGGAAACGTCTGTGGCTTTTGATCGCTTTCAAAATCTGGGAAACGTCGGTTTCAAGCTGCAACTTTTCGATCGTTTGGAGGTTTATTCTGATTGTGATGTAAGCACGCTCGGGAGACATATTATGGGTCATGGACTCCATCACGTCTCTCAAAAAGGTCTTTTCAATGCGACCTTTGACAATGCGCGCTGAGCTCAAGCTGTCCTTGGTGACCAGTTCACAAGAGATAACAGGCGTACTGATCTCCTTCGAGGCGTTGATGATTTCCTTGATACGAGGCACACCTTGAGTAATACTCATTCCAGCAACACCAGCAAAATGGAAAGTCTTCAGTGTCATCTGCGTTCCGGGTTCACCAATGGATTGCGCACCCACGGCACCCACGGCATGACCAGGCTCAACCTGGGCCTTGCGGTATTTGGTCAGGCAGGCGGTGATGAAAGCCCGAAGAGTGGTCTCCGTCAATTTCCCCGTGTGATCCAGTCCTTTACGACTGCTGGGACCAGATGGGTCAATGTCGCCTCCAAGATCACTCAACTTCTTAGCCTTTTCGGAGACATATTCCTCAATGGAATCAAGGAAGTCACGCGCACTTTCGTACTGGTCAATTCCATTGTCGCTGCGATCCATGTATTGTAACTGGTTGCCCATCAAGTCCTGACGAGTCAATTTTGCGCGCTCTTTACCAAGCATTTCATTACAGACTGCCGTGATCTCTGCTGGCAAGAGACTACGTTCGTCATTGGAGTAGGTCGTTGATTCGGAATGAATGAATGTGCGGTCAAAATGCACAGGCTTAGCTTTACCTTCCATATCCACGGGATCGAGCTTGTCGTCTCCGTATTGGAACTGGACAATGGCAGCGGAGGAGTTGCGCACTGTATCGTCGTACATAGTGGACAAGTCTTCCAGGGACTTCATCAATCGACGGGACATGTATCCAGTCTCGGCAGTTTTGACAGCTGTATCAACCAGACCTTCACGACCAGACATGGCGTGGAAGATGAATTCTTGAGGCTCGAGTCCAGAGAAGAAACTATTGCGGACGAAACCCTTCGAGGGAGGTTGCCGCGCATTTTTGGGGAAGTGTGGGAGTGTACGATCTTGGAAACCGTCTTGCACACGCTGACCACCGATAATCTGTTGACCCACAAGCGCAACCATCTGAGACACGTTGATGCTGGAACCTTTAGATCCAGAAGTAGCCATGATCAGGGAGAGTTGTATTTGCTGAGCTGTGCAATACACTCGTCACCAGCCTCTTGACGGACCTTACTCAGAATACCGGAGATCTGGTTCTCCATAGTCTGCAACTCGTCACATCCCGGATATTTTTCGAGAGTGCCCGCTTTGTACTTGGCAATGACCTCGTCACAAGCTGCGTAAGCCGTTTCGACCAGATCATTTTTGGACTGAATCAGCCTCTCACTTGGGTAGACGTCGGTGATACCAATTGAGAAACCCATGTTTGTGAACCAGCGGGCAGACAACTTTGACAAGCGATTCATGCCCTCGGCGGCTGCAGCAGGCCCAAAGTCTCGAAGCATAATGTAGAACACGTTATCCTTCTTTCCAGAACCAATGGTAGATTTATCCATCACACCACACATAACTTCCGAATTACGGATTACTAACCAAGCATCATTGGGATCCAAGTCCTTTGGTCGACCATCTTTGGGGGCTTTGAATTGACGGCATGCCGCATCAAGATTAACCAGGACGGGATCATCCTTGTTGGGATGCATCAGGACATTGAAGACCTGCTTGCCTGTCCAGAGCATCTGTGGTTTCATGATCGAAGGAGGTGGAAGATCAAACCGTGTCTCGGGGCCAAGCATGTAGAGACAGATTTGACTGAAAGTTCCACGATCGTAGAAATTATCTTTGTTGCTGAGGAGGAAAGCGGCACTGATGAAATCTTGGATGGCAGAGATGATAGGCTCGCCGTTCTTGGGAGTGGCCAAATTATTCTTCACACCCATCAATTCCATTGCTTCTGCTCGAGCTTCTTCCGTCTGTGGAACGTGCAAATTCATTTCATCACCGTCGAAATCGGCATTGTAAGGGTTACAAACACACTCATTAAGTCGGAAGGTTCGGTGAGGACGGATCTTGGCAAAATGGGAAAGAATACTGAGCTTGTGGAGGGAGGGTTGTCGGTTGAACAAGACGATATCACCGTCTTCAAGATGTCGTTCAACCATATCGCCTTCTTGAAGCGCGTTCGCCACCTGTTTGAGATTGCCGAACTTCAAATTGGTCTGCCAGTCGGATCCCTTTTTCACCAGGTATCTTGCACCAGGCCATTTGGTGGGACCATTTCGGACGCACTTTTGGAGCTTTTCTTTATTATACCTAGTGACAAGTTCCGGGTATGTCATGTTTTTAGCGACCAACTCCGGGATAGCAACCTCGTCAATGCGTAAATTGGGGTCGGGAGAAATGACGGTCCGTCCAGAGAACTCGACACGTTTTCCCGAAAGGTTGCCTCGGAATCGGCCTTGCTTTCCCTTCAGACGCTGCACAAAGCCCCGAATGGGCTTTCCGAGGTCCGCCTTGTTGAGGCCCGGTACGTCTGAGTTGATGTATACGGCGATCTGGAGCTGCATGTAGTCCCAGCATTCCATGATGTTCTGCACTGGGGCACCTTTCAAGAGGGCGCTTTTGAGGGTCATGTTGCTCTGAATGATATCGCCGAGTTTCGCCGTCAAATCATCTTCTGTTGAGGCTGCATCCTGCCCTACGGAAGGCCGAATACAGACTGGGGGAGCTGGAATAAATTGCCAGAGAAACATTTCTGGACGAGCTTCTTGCGGATCCAATCCAAGGATCTCACAATCAGCATTTGAAATTTTTTGGAACAACTTCAGTACGCGCAGGGCATTCAAGTCTTCTTGTGCTTTCTTAAAGTGCTTTTCGACATCTGGATTCGATTTGCGCGCATCCGCAAAAGATTCATCAAAAACAATCTTGCTGACTGGTGGTTGTTTTTTCACGGAAGAAGAGGCATTGAATGCGCGGAACTTATCGTGGGTGATCTTGAGCGCACTCGAGCCTACCTTTTTCACAACACCATTGATTGCGTCACAATAGTAGCACTCTCGAGTTTTCCGGCATCGCGCGTTGAGTCGTTTCATAATCTGCATCCGACGGAGATTGTCAAGTCCTGGACGTCGTAGTTCGCGCAAGTACTGGCGACGCTCCTTCTCAGTAAGAAGGACACGACCGCACTGCTTGCAAATTTCTTGCAAGATTCCGATCACTTGTCGGAAATATCCCACGTGAAACGCAGGGAGGACGAGTCGCACAAAGCCAAAATGCCCATTGCAGTCTTTCAGCTGGAGACCACAGGTCTGACAGCTTGCAGTTTTATTCGAAATACCCATTCGCGGGTCGAGAGGGCCATGTGGGGCTATAGTTCGGCCATGTTCGAGGTCGAAAAACTTCCTATCCGAAACTTCTACCACAGCTTGATTGACAATATCGTTATTCGTTCTGTATGGAAGAGAAGATCTCAGTCAGTGAACACGTCCGTTTGGAGCCGGTTGCGCTCTGGGAGCGATAAATTGGGAGTCCATACAATACACCAAACTTCAGCTGTTTGATAACCTTTGGGGCTTGATCCATGACCTGGGCCTTGCCCAGGTCGATCTGTGCTCCTTCGGGAGGCTGCATTACGCCGTCGTCAAGGGTAGAACATGGCAAGTTGAGTCACAGCCGTGAGCGGTTCGGGGTGCGAGCGTTAGCCGCAGTCTCGGGGTCGAGAAGAGTCGCAGGAAATCGAAGCAAGATTCTGCGCTTCGGTCGCGTATCAGGAGAGTGAACGAGTAGATTTGACCCCGAAAAATGCAACGGGGCTCCAGTCCGAAGGTGTGCAACGAAGTTTGAGCAGAAGAATGCAGCGGGGTTGGCGACGCACTTTTTTTCTTCCGCCAACGCTTTCTGGCAGAATCTGGAGGCGGTGTGTCAAGCGTGAACGCGGTCGTGCATTACCCCTTACCACTTTAGGACTAGCGTACAAGCTCTGGACTATGGGCACTCCTCCATGGATCTGAGATGTTGATTAGGATTGTTGGAAAATAATGTACATGAGATGTTCTATTATACATGACTACTTCGCCAAAAATGCTTGGAATGCTTTGTGCTCGATCACCACATTTCCCACGGCACGAAGCTTTTTGCGGCCCTCCTTCTGCTTCTCCAGTAGCTTCCGTCGTCGGCTCACATCGCTGGCATGCAACTTGGCCAAAACGTCCTTGCGATAGGGCTTGATTGTCTCACGTGCAATGATCTTTTTGCCCACAGCAGCTTGAATGATGATCTCAAATAGCTGCCGATCAACATGCTCTTTAAATTTAGTGACCCATATCCTTCCCTGGCGACTGACTTGGCTCATGTGCATAAGTCGGGCCACAGCATCGACAGGCTCCTTGTTGACGAGAAGCTGAAGCTTGACGATGTTGCCAGCCCTCCATTCAGATTCCTCGTAGTCCAGGCTAGCGTAGCCTTTGGTACCACCCTTCAGTTTACCAAAGAAGTCATCAACCAGATGTGCGAGCGGTAGCTCATACTTAAGGATAACTTGGGTTGATGTGAAGTACTCGATGCTGATCTGTTCGCCTCGGTTAGACTCACATAGTTCTATCACCTTTCCTAGGTACTCTTCCGGAAATGTAATAGTCGTCCGAACATAGGGCTCTTGGATCTCAGCGATCTTTAGCCGCGCGCTATCGTCATCGGGGAACTTGGCCGGGTTGGTAATGATATCTTCTGTGCCATCTTTCCATAGAACCTTCACTGGGACCGATGGGGGGGGTAATGATGATACTGGCACCATGTTCGTGCCGGAGGCGGTCTTCGAATACAGAACAATGAAGCGTCCCTAGAAACCCCATGCGGAACCCAGCGCCCAGTGCTTCTGATGATTCTTTTTGAACTGTGATACTTCGGTCGTTCAGGATCAATTGATTAATGCTGTCCTCGAGGTGTTCGAAGTGATCTGCATTGACAGGATACACAGCGACAAAGACCATGGACTTGGGCTCTTCGAATCCTGGAAGGGGTGTGACGGCCTTCTCTGATCCCACATGGGTAAATGTGTCGCCAATCTTAGCCTCCTTGCTACGCTTCATGCCGGGGTTGAAGTATATATACCCGACTTGCCCGGCACGAAGGACCGTCTGGGCCGTCTCAAGAGGATGCATTATTCCAACCTCTCCAACATAATATTTAAGACCAGTAGCGAAAGACACGAGTTGCTGACCTGAGCGCACTTCGCCATCGAAGACACGTACAAGTAGTATGACACCCTTGTATGAATCGTACCAAGAGTCAACTAGGAGCATTCTGAGCGGTTTTTTGCTGTCACCCACGGGCCTGTAGAAGCCGCTGTTAGTTCAATGCGTTGCGTAGCGAGCGTCTAAGGGATGCATTAAGAGGACATACGCTGGGATCTTCTCAACAACGGTTGGAAGCAATTGCTCCACATTTAACCCAGTTTTAGCCGAAACTTGAACTGCATTCTCGGTGTCAAGCTCAAAAGAATTCTTCATTTGCTCCAAAGCCCGCTCTGGATCTGCAGATGGTAGATCAACCTTATTGATCACAGGGATCAATTCGAGACCTTGCGCAAAGGCCAAGTAGAAATTTGCAACCGTCTGCGCTTGAATGCCCTGACTAGCATCCACAAGAAGTAATGCACCCCCACAACTGGCGTAACTCCGCGAAACCTCCGCGCGGAAGTCCACGTGCCCAGGTGTATCCACCAGATGTAGAAGGTAGTCATCGCCTTTGTGGTTGTAGATCATGGTACATGTCTGAGCTTTGACTGTAATCCCCCTTTCCCTTTCAACATCAAGTTTGTCTAGGATTTGCTTATTCGATCCCGGTTGAATCGTTCCGGTAAGTTCCAGTAAACGATCGGAGAGTGTGCTTTTACCATGGTCGACGTGGGCGACGATGCAGAAATTTCGATATCGATCGAGAGGGATTGCGGATATACGCTTTTCAAGGTCTGTCTCTGGCGAGCTTGCGGACTTTGCACGGGCGCTCCATACTGCCGATGTCGTAAACGATCGTACTTGTAAAGGAATAGATCGGGGTGGTAACCTAGTCGACCTAAGGGTTGCGACTGGAAGACTCCAAGTTGGACGTAGCCATCGGGCTATCTCCAGACATCCTCGCATCGGGATTTAGATTATCCGATATCGCATTGAAGGTGGTAGTCAAATTCCTCCTCAGAATGAAGCTATGCAGGCCGGAGAGGATAGTCTCAGACGGTTTGCCCAGGCGGTGTAGCGCAACTTATTTTCACCCGGCAGATTAAGGCGGTATCGATAAGTTGCTGGGGGGCTTATCGACATAAACAAATCATCTTCTACAATCACACTTCCTAGGCCGTCTGTCCCCTTTGATCACCATGTCCGAGACAAAGGATAAGTCCAAGGTTCACAAACTCTCAATTAAAGGTTCGCTTCAACCCCTAGTTTCATTCTTTAATGATGCTTACAAGTCACAGGATCGGCGAAGCTTGTCGCTGAATTTGTGAGTGTCCACACTGCTGGAGGAGTTGTCTGGATATTAATATGTTAATATGAAAAAGTTCGAATACTCGATAAATTCGATCCTGTATGTTTGCATCTTTCTTGGGCTGTGCACAGTTAGAAAGCTAACTCTCTTTGTCTAGATTCCAGCGTGGCGTTTACCACCCTGATGATTTTACAACGTAAATCTCACCCGGACACCTAACACTCCCCACCCAGAGAATGCTGCTAATTCGACATAGGGTGAAGAAATACGGCCTCAATATGCTCGGTAAGCACCTGATGTTTTACACTCCCGAGTGCAATAGAAGCTCACATCGACTGCAGTAACTGCGGACGACCAAGTCAAGGCCTACATTAAGAAGATCATGTCTCAGTTGAACAAATGGATGGCTGGCGGGAAAATCTCCAAGCTAGTAGTCGTGATCACAGATCGTGAAACTGGGGAACATGTGGAACGTTGGCAATTTGATGTATCGATTGCATCCCTTCCTTGTTGCCTCATTGATATCTGATGTTTGAACTATAGGTCGAGGTCTTCGGAAAGTCATCAAAGAATAAACTCGCTGGGAGATCGGGAGATAAGGAAAATGCGACTCCAGGGTACGCTGACATATTCCAACAAAACCTTTGACCCTGCGCTTGACGGATATAACTAACCAATGTACAATCCCCAGTGATGCTGAACCCCATGCCGAGGAACCCGTTGAGAAAACCGAGAAAGAAATCCAAGATGAGATCCGAGCTATTTTCCGCCAAATCACCGCATCTGTTACGTTCCTACCCGTCCTCGATGGCGACTGCACCTTCAATGTCTTAGTCTATGCCGATGCGAACTCTGAAGTGCCTGTCGAATGGGGTGATAGCGACGCCAAAGAGATCAAGAATGCGGAGAAAGTCCAACTCCGCAGCTTTAGCACCAATAGCCACAAAGTCGGTACTCTGGTCAGCTATAGGATGGCGGACTGAATGAACAGCATTCTTATGATGGTCCACGATAGATGGTCTACGTGCCGGCGTTAGGATGGGGGGGCTTTTATTACTATTTCCAACGCAATATGCATGCTATTAATATTGCACACTGTCAATGGCTATTCTTTGATCTTCCGTAATACCAGGGTAGCTCCTCTATCCTTGGGAACCATTGGTTGCCTGTTCCGCCATCCCAGCAGACCAATTGCGCAACTACTTCATCGCATCCAGAACTCGCAATTAGATCGGCTCTCGTTTCAGGAACCCATCCTCGCTTGGCGCGTTTGCTGCTCAGGTCCTCAGCAACGCCATATAGATCTTTTTTTCCATAGACCAATCCCTCTCGTCGCTTCGCCCCGTACCAATGATTCAAGCGGGCTAATATCCGGAGGGGGGTTGATGCCAATCACGGTAGCGTTATCATTCGATTCAACTGGGCTCGTACCTGTCTGGGGAACCAGGCCCACAGCGGGGAAATGGCATTCCAAGAATCTTTCTCTTTTAAACGCATGGGTCACGACGGTAACGCGACGAGGATAAGCTCCCACATGCGAACGAAACCTCAAAAGCGAAAATAGTAGATTTTGGTAAGAGTCTGTGGCATACTCTTCCACAATAATCTTAGTGGGGTCAATCGTGGAGTCGGCTGTTTGGTCCTGGTAAAAATTATTTTCCTTGGCCAGATTCTACGATGATGGAGTTAGCACACATTCGAACGCGGTAGTCGGATCTTCCCTACCAGATAAGACTGTCCTTCACTCAGACTAGTTCTTGACTTCTTCGTCGCCCCCCTGAGCCAAACATGATCAGTCAATCACGCAGAAAACAGCAAGCGATGTTATGTACCCAGAAAAGATAAGGATGCCACAATTATCTGCAGCTAGAGCATCTAACCCAGCCTTCACATGGCTCACAAATGTAGGCGTCTCGCCCCTTTGGAAGTCTTCGATGAACCTGACACGATCGTCAACGGAGATGGACCACGATCGCTTAGAACTGCATAGCTCACCATTCATCCTCGGAACTTCCATGTGTTGGCCCTCCAGCATAGATTGCATGACAGCATACTATAATCAAATGGTCCGACCTGTCTATTTCTTTGGAATCCGCCATCTCTGTGCGCTTCATTCCTTCGCGGTTGCGTGGATCACGACCCCTCCCGTTAGCGTGACAAATAAGAAATGGCCCGTGCATCCATGGATCCAGTCTGGGGCACAACTTCGCGAATCCATCAAGGCCAGTATGAAAAGCTGGTATGAAAGATGTCTTGTTAATTTTCCCTACTCTCCAGCGCGCAAATTTACCTTGCTTCCTGTCAATCATCGGTCGCACCCCCGGTGAAACTAGTATTACTACCTAGCTCGCAATCCCCTATCCTATGAACAGCACCACTGGTTTATTGGAGTCGAACACTACTTGAAATCGACCTCTTCGACAATCGCACATCCGTCATTACAGATATGAATACATTGCCTAACTGGCATAGCTTCAAGCGACGTCATCCGAATACCTGACTGTGGGTACTTGTTGTCGGTGGCTATCATGAACGTTTGGATCTGCGGCAGCTATATCAATAGCTTCTGTGGAGAATGCACGGTTAGTTAGCTCCTTTGAACAGTTGAATGTTCCATTCCCCTCCCTGTTGATCCGTATCTGGAGTAATATGTGCTCTAACAATTCAGAAAACAGCCAACTAAAACGAACCAAATGAGGCAACGCGATTTCGCGAGAGGAGGTTGTATAAGCCACTCCAAATCCTCTTTACAAATATTGAACCTAAAAGGGCACCAGACCACGTTATTGCCCAAGCCGTTCAACCTCGTTGAAGAGTATAGCCTATTACTACAGAGAGCACTTGTTTGAGGCTGAATGGTTTATTGATAAGGCTGCATATGCTTATGCAGATCAACCTACTACTTTGGAGGTCAAGGCAATACAAATGAAGCAAGAGAACTTGAAGCTTGGCATTCAACCCCGGGGTCCACTGGGGATCTCGTTCCAGGGCTTGCTAACGCGATGTTCTCAAAATAAGGTTCTACAAACCCGCCCTTCCGCTCGATCCGCGCGCTTAGCCGTGATAACCGCCGTCTGCCTCCCGATCTCCGCTTGTCTATCTATCCGCGATCTATAATTCCCCTTAGCCCTAACTTGATGCCGCTACTCCTCGCTGCCCCTAAACGCTCTCGATGTTCGATCTCCTACCGGCTCCCAAATTACGGGCAGCGATGGATGTGTTCGACAGCTTGCCAGCGTTGAATCGATGGTCGAAAGAGCTTGCTCTGGGCATGATCTACTGGTCCTCATCAGCCTCTCTGGCAAATTGTGTTCGCTATTGGTTGTTTCATGTGTGCTAAGGCAGATACTGGCCTCCTTGTGGAATAGAGCAAGCTTTCTCTGTAGTGCTAGGAATCGTAGTGATGGAAGATAAGATTTTTGCAATTCCTACACTCAAAACAAGCTTTATTGTCTATCTAGCATATCGAGATTGCAACTAGTAGTTCAAGGTAGTCAAAAGCAAGCTTGGAACGACGCAAATCATCGCTGGAAAAAAAAATCCTCCGCGTCTAAGAGGTATGGTGTTTGCCCAGACAAAACTCTCTGTAAAACAATCAAAAAGAAAGGAAAGGAAAGGGAAAGGAGACGCCCATCAAGACGAGGGGTGTTCCAGGAAGGAATAATAATAGGAGCTGCCTGGATTTAGCAAGCGCAAACGCAAAACCAGAGGGGGGTGGGGAATAAATCTGGGGAAGCTTCCGGCAAAGAGTATATCTTTGACAACTTCTCCCCAACTTACCTTCCATCCTCCATCCTTCCTCTTCCCATCTCCATCTTCAGACTTCCACAAAGCCTGCAGATTTCCATTCATCAAGCTTCCTCCCATCTTTGCAAACCTTTGTCCTCCATCTTGATCATCATCAAACCAAGATGGCTGATAACAACGAGCTTCCTCGTCTGCCAAACACTGGCTGGCGCTCTGATGATGGCTTCACCCAAACGCCTCGCGCTGGGGATGAATCCACACCAGCTTCAGCTTCCGAGGATCCCTCTTCTTCTGTTGTAGCTCCTACCCCTCATCTAGGAACTGACACACCCTCCTCCACTGGCCCCGAGACACCAGTCGCGGGTCACCACCCTCCTTCTGGTGGGGTTCCTGCCCGTCATCCAGGAGCTCAAACACCTCCCGCTGGCCGCGACACACCAGTTGTTGGTCACCACTCTTCTTACGGTGGGGTTCCTGCCCGTCATCCAGGAGCTCCCACACCTTTGGCTGGCCCCAACACACCAGTTGTTGGTCGAGCCACTTCTTTCGCTGGACCCCCTGCTCACAACCCAGGAGGCCAAGCCGCGGGTTATGACATGTCCGTCGTCGGTCAGAGCCCTTCTTTCTCTGGCTATCCTGTCCACAACACACAGGTGTATGGTCCATCTTCCACTGGAGCCCAAGGGTATTCCAGCTTCATGGGGCCTGCCTATGGACACAGCCCTTCTCAGTTCGAGCCCGCCTCCCATCGCGGTGCTCCCTTCAACCACGGCCAACCCATACCGTCTATGAGGCAAGATCAACCATCGTATGGGGAATCTGTGCAGATGCATGGAAACATGTTATCTCAGCAGGATGTGCAGACTCATGACCCCTACCCTTGGGAAGACAGCCCTCATTCCAACATTGAGGATATTCAAGCTCAGCATCGTATCTACCGGTTCCGCAGTGAGCACGCGTTCCAGCGACGTGACGTCCCGCCTCCCGCGCACCGCTCGACGTCTATGATTACCGACGACGATGAGTTTCTCTCGCCTAGCGCCGAACCACGTATGCCAATCCTCGCACGCCCTCGTCACATGAGTGGGGTGACCTATGACCCTTTCGTGCATGAGCAGCCGGGTCCGCCTCGCCAAGGGCTCTTTACTACTCGCCCACGTCGAGAGCTTCAACAACCCCGAGCGACGACAACCCCTCGCCGCCGTGTTCGGAACAACAGTCCAACGGCAGAGGAACAGGGTCCCTCCAAACGTACCCGTCGCCGCATCAACGAAGGCCTCTCCGCGTCGCCCCACGACAACATAAGCGGAGAGCCCATGGGCAAATCCTCAGACGATGAAGACGGCCCTTACCAGTCAGGTCTGCAAGGATTGAAGAAGGAGCTCGGTATTGACGACGCCAGCTCACGCCGCAAAAGCAACCGTGGCCGCAACCGCAAGGAGCCACCAAGCCTCCTGCACCGGTCCCAGCGCGGGGTGACTTACCATCTGTGCGAGTTCATCCAGCCTTGCAAGATGACGCCCTCCCCGGACGGCATGCACCACCGCAAGGTGGTCTCCCACATATTCGGGCGGAACAAAGCTTCCACAAAGCTGTTTCCGGATGACGTGTGGGTGCACTACTGCCGGAAGCACTACCAACGTGCCCGGTACCGCGCTGACCAGTGGCCGTTCACGCAGTGCGAGCTCATTCTAGAGTCGCTGCGTCGCATGGAGGCCTGGGGCGGTGTCGCCTCTTTCGAGCTCACCCTCCGCCGCCGCGAAGCTATTCGGGTGGAGGAAGAGCAGGACGACGCCGCCAGTGGCTCCGGCTCTCGACGCCGAGCGTCTGCGCCGGCGATCCGACGATCGCCGCTCCCAACCGGCCGTAAGCACCCTACGGCAGTGATCTCTCCCGTCCCTGAGTGGCTGCGCTCTCAGGTTGGCCCTGGAATGTCCTTCCAGCAGATCCGGGACCTTGTTCTCCGGGTCCGCGAGGAAATGGACTCCCAGCGGACCGCCGAAAAGCGTAAGCGCGAGGAGAAGATGGGGAAGGTCACCCCCGCCGGTGAGTCCATGGGGACCACTGCGGGGCCTAAGGGTGGCTGGAAGGGGAAGAAGGCCGCAGCATCGAAGCTGCACCTAAGTCAAGTCCGTTTCCCGGACGTGGAGATCCTGCCCACGTTCCGGCCTTGGGTGTACGCGGAGGCTGCGGCGCGTCAGCAGCGCGAGGGCCGCGGTGAGGAGGAGGAGGCGGAGGCGGAGGAGGAGCCTCAGCCTGGTCAGGATGACGAGGAGGAGGAGGAGTAAATCTCCTAACTCTGACTCTCGCTCTGGTTAGGGTTGGGGTGTCCTGGGGTGGATATGGGAGGGGCGTCATTGGGGGCGCGTGGTGTAGCCCTGAGGGAGTGCCGGGCGGAGGGGCACCCATAAAAATTAAAAAAATGAAAAAAAAAGAAATTGTCAGATTCTTCATCTTCAGTAAGCCGAGTAAACTGAGCCCGTTCATTTCGTGACTCTTCAAATTATAGACATGAGATGCAATTAAGCCTGGGACCTACGAGGGGTTTGCACGATAAACTGCGATAAGACGCGGAGTGTAATAAGCATCTAGGCGGTGTAGGATTGAACTCATATTTCAATTCTGACGTGTAAATAACGCCTAATCAAAGTGATTTCACGTCAAGTTATAGGAGAAATTTCGGAAGCAGTTGATGTATAGGCTGAGTTACTCGCGGCCTACGCTGGTTGATGCTCTGAAGCAACAGGATAACGTTATCTAGATACAAACACACTCATAACAACCAAACACGCTTGCCCCACCGACCAAAATGCTCGAATTACCGCTGTACAGCCACATTTTATAGTGCACTTTAATGGAGAATTATCCCAAAGAACCAGATCACGAAGTTAAAGGGCCAGGCATAATACATCTAGCTGGCAACAGCCAATTGGGCCACCAGATCCGACGCCACGTCCAGGAACGGATAGGGGCTTGTAACCTCCTTCTCCTTATTCTTCAGACGCTTGCTAATGGGATGCCATTCAGAGTCACCACGTGCACGAATCACATTTTGGTAGCCGTCGCACTTGAAATCGACCATGTAGTTGTTCTCTTCAAGCTGGTACAGCTGGATGTCGACGAAGACCCACACGCCGTGGGAGACATTTGAAAGACTGCTCGGCTGTGATGCGGACGAGGGGCCTGAGGCCGTGCCTTCGGAAGTCGAGGACTTGACGTCTTTGTCCTTTTCTTTCTCTTCATACGGAATGTTCAGGCCGGAGATGTGGAAGCGACGACGTAGCTCTTCGAGGTCGGTGCGGCTGTTACCAACACTGGTTGATGCTCCTGGAGCCATAACGCCTTCTTTCAGAAGCCGGGCGCGGATGAACCAGGGATCTTTAGGGATGTAGTAATCCGACGGCAGGTCAGGGTATTTGCTCTGGAGTGGCTTTGGTTTATCTGGCGAAGGAGCAGCGTCAGGGCCAATATTGGTACCTTGAAAATTCAATTAGCTTGATGTCATTGGCCACATAAGAAGGGAAAGCATACCTGACTCAACGGGCTGGATGTCCCACACTCCACCCTGGGCAGCAATAGCTCGATAAAGGTACAGCATCGCCTCGTAAGGCTGATTACGTGAGCGAATACCGAATTGCCACTTTCGCGATCTCTTTGGCGGTTGCTGTGCAATTGGATAGCCAATCGGTGGCTCCATCAGCCGCAGCTTTTCTAGATCCACAATGCTACGAGAGTGAGGCTTCAACGCTCTTGCGATAGCGGCCTGCTCCTCAGCTGTACGCTCTCCAGGTTGATCACCTCGTTTTTCTGCCTCAATACGCTCTTGGCGCTGTTCCTCTGAGCGAGCTTTCTGCTCTCGGTCTCGTTGTTCCATGAGCTGGTCGTGGACGAAGGGGACACTGGTCGGCAAAATCCGGACGTGACTAGGACGAGGAGGTTCGAACTCCTCAGGATCTGGCTGGGGGGTTTCTTCTGGAGGTGCATGGCGAGAAGCATTTGATTGTGAAACAGGTGGTGCTGGAGCTGCCTGAGTCTTCGGTGCAGGAGGTGCACGGCTACCTGCAGGATGAGATGGACCTGTCGATTGCTGAGGAATATTCGAGGCGAGTAAGTTGTCTTCGATGGGCGCTAAAACCAGCTGTTAGAGATTGGGAGGCAAGAATACAAATCAGAGCTTACAGTTGGTTTGCATCATCTCATTCTCAACCACAATGGAGAAGGCATCTTTGATAGCGCTGGGCTCTGGGCGTCGTAGCGCATCCTCAATGTCGTCACGATCATATCCCATACTCCGTTGAAGTTTCGACACCGCAATCTGGTGAATCTTGTGTTGTGCTGGCTTCCCTGCAGTAAGCTTCGCGGTGTCGATAGCCTTGTTCGGGTCAATGCCTGATGACATGTATTCTTCCGGTGGAGGTGAAAGGTAACTCGGGAGGTTCTTAGTGAACCAAGGGTCCTGGCGGATCTCGGGGATAGTGATTCTATGGACCGGGTGGACTTGAAGCATGGCGCGGATCAGCCGGGCAGCTCCTGCGAGATGTAACTCGGCATATGGAAGTTCCCTGCGGCGATCTTTTTGAACAGAGCAGGGATATAGTCATCATCGAAGGGCAGTCTGCCCACCAGCAGCACATAGAGAATCACACCGCAACTCCACACGTCGACCTCCGGACCGGCGTACAAATTTGCCCGAAATGACTTCAGGCGCAGCATAATTCGGGCTCCCACAACTAGTCTTGAGGAAATTGCCATCTGTCATGATATTACTTAGGCCGAAATCGGCGATTTTGACATTCTTCTGGCTGTCGATCAGCAGATTCTCCGGCTTGAGATCGCGGTGCACAATTTTGTGTCGGTGGCAGTACTCGACGGCTGTGATGATCTGTTGGAAGAACTTGCGGGCCTCGTCATCATTGCATTTTCCCTTGCGCACGAGATAATCGAACAGTTCCCGCTCGGCGTACTCGAGTACCATTATGATATCGGTCTTCGTGGCAATTACAGTGTATCTAGTAGGGGACATCATCCGGTTAGCCATCCAGCCTATGATCTAAAATTTGCACATTCAATAGCAGCACAGGGTGAAGGGGGGGAAGCTAACAGCTTGATAATATGAGGATGCCGGAGCAATTGCAGATACTGGATTTCTCGCTCGACGCGCCCGATCATATCTCTGGAGAGTAATTTGCGACGAGAGATAATCTTGAGCGCGACCTGGCGGCCGCTGGGCTGGTGAATAGCGAGCTTGACCTTTCCGAAGGACCCCTCGCCCAGGATCTTGACAGTCTGGTACTGATCGAGGCGTTGCATGTCCCGCGTCGTTGCGGGCGACTGCGTACCAGCCACAGCCTTAGCGGACGGGCGCGAGGGTGGCATCGCCATGGCAGCAGGGATGGAGCTTTCCGGTCTGGTTCGTTCGTGGGGGGGCTTCAGCAGAGGGAGGGAGGGGGACCGCGAGGTCTTCTTCGTCGAGGGCGGCGGCCATGATAGGACAACGTGACGTGATTGATTTTCTGGGTCCGTCCCAATGGTTCCGGATGTAGGGTGGTAGATTTTTATTGCTTTCTCTTTTCTCCTGCTGGCCTCGCGACACCAGTCACGATTTCTCCCCACAGTGTGGAGCTGAGATAGCTGGAATTTTACTGTTCAGGCGGGCGGGGTGGATGGAGGGGCGGCACACCGAACGCACACAGGCCACTTGCTTGGCGCGGTTTGCCGGGGAATTGGCCAGAGAAGAGTTGAAGTGTCAAATAATCCCGGGGGTCCGAGAAGCTGGGAAGCTGGAAAGCTGGAAAGCTGGAAATCTGGAAATCTGGGGGAGTTTGAGGAGAGAAGGCCGATGCCGGTTAGCTCGGGTCTTTTTGCCCCACGGTCCCTCGCTGTCTATACGACGCCCCTGCTGAAAGAACTGGGCTTGGGTTTTCTGGGGTCCAGTTCGTTTAAACCTTCAAGAACAGCCGAATTGCTCTAGAATAAATCTATCGCTTGGTATGATCTAGGCGTTATGGTCAGCCTAGCCCAGACCGGTGTGAATTATTATTACTGGCAGTAGGAGGGCTATAACTAGTACTAGAGCGCTTACCGGACTCTATCATAGGATCGACGCGGGGATCGCCTCAATCCTCTTACATTTACTACGCAGTATAACCACCAAGATATCAATTTTTCCTCACTTCGAACCTTCCTCACGGATTCTGTCCTCAATAATACTACGAGCATTTCCCAGGCAAAGGCTAAAAATGGTGGACTTTTATTTCTATGCAGCTTTGTACAATCATCAATGACCCGCCATATACCCGACAATGGAGAAAAGAGTCCCAGACACCACCCAAACTCCGAAAGCCTGATTCATACACTTAGTTATTCACCAGCTACTATGCCTTCAACATATCGAGCACCCCTTTTAGCTGATAGGCTTGGTGGGAAAGCTCAACCTCGTCGCGGACACGAGTATGCAGCCGCTCGACCAGTTTATCGATCTGAGCCGACTGGCCCAGGTTTCCAGAATAGATGTCGAGGATATTCATCGCAATTTCAACACTTATGTTCACAAGCCGTGGCTCGCGAATGTGTTTATACACCCATTGCAGCACAGGCTGGAGAGCAGTCTCGTCACGGTCTTGGAGAGCCGTGCGAAGCGCAGAGCGATGACGTAGAGCGGTTAAAAGCGTGAGTTGGGCAGTTTTATCGGTCCCAGAGAGAACCTTGTCCAGCGCGACCGCATAGGCACCCTTGCGGAGATCGTATTCCCAGGCCTGTTCTGATTTCGCCTTCCTGCGCTCTTGGCCGTCGATCACGATGTCGACTCCCTCGCCGATGAAGTCCCGTCCACGGAGTCGCTTCTCCCAGCCGGACCCTCGGAGCTTCTTCTTCTTAGCTACTGCACGGTCGTGCTCTTCCAATTTACCTTCGAGCAGAGCCTGCATTTCCTTGCGGCGCTCGCGCTCCTTGACCTTCTGCTGTCCGGAAAGACGAGTCTTGACGGACAAGAGTCCCGATTGCATACCCACGGCAATGTGCTTATCCTCGTATGCCAGACCAGAAATAATAACGCGCAGCGACAGAATAGGTGACGGGTACTTAGAGCCAGATACGGTATTCCAGCCCGTGGTCTCGAAGACCTTGAGGTGTCCATCCAAGGCACCACTAACCAGCCGCTGGCCATCTGATGCGAGCGCAAGCGAGGTGACGGTCTTCTGATGGCTTTGGATCATGTGAAGGGGCTTTCCAGCAACGATGTCCAGCACTGCAATCTTATTGTCGGCCGCAGCGAGGACAGTCGTACCAGCCGGCATGGGTAGAACACTTTCGATAGGAGCCGCCATTTTGAAAGTCATAGCAGCGCGGCTCTCAACACGAGGATCCCAGATACGTACGGTACGGTCGTAAGAGCCAGACACCAGCAGGCCAGAGGATGCCATGGCACCAGGCATGAAGGCACCGCTACGCACATAATCAGAATGGCCGACGAAGGTGCGGGTGCTGGACTCGGCGGGAAGGTCCCATAAGCGGACTGTGCGGTCATCGCTCGTGGTGAACAGAGCTGTAGGATCACCGGGTGAGAACTTGCTCACCCAGACGGGCTGCTTGTGGTCTCGCCATGTCTTTAGGATCGCGCGAGAATTGCAGTCGAATACTTGGACTGTGCCTGTATCGTCACCAGTCACTAGCACTCGGCCATCGGGACGGACATCTGTGCCTCTTACTGTATCTTCGAATCGGGTGATTGTGCGGAGGAGCTTCCGGGTGCGAATAGAGTAGATCTGGACTCGAGCACCGGTTGTAACAGTGAAGATATCTGGTGGTTGGGTCAAAGACGGGAAGACGGAGGAAGATGACGGCGCAGATGGCTGTGTGATGAGGTTGATTGGTCCATTGGCTGGAGAGGGGACGAGGAGAGGGTCTTTGAAGGTTCGCCAGTATTGCTGTTCGGGTGTGAGGCGGGTTGAAGGTAACGAGGCGAGCTTCACCTGCGGCAAAGGCAGGACAGGAGCTGCCATATCGGTCAAGTTAGGAGGCCGATACTAAATGCTTTTTTTGCTTCACTGGGATAAGCGAAATTCTGACGGAGAAGGGCGGCAAGTGGCGGCTTAAAGAACAACGCCTTACTCGTGCAGCTTTTCGTCCGCGATAGTAAAAAAAAAAAGTTCTGCCAAATCGCATGGCTGGCGGTGAATATTTGGCCTGAGGCATAAGTAGGGGTACTTACGCGCCTTTTTTATGCCTTCAATCCTAGGCATCAAGGCATCAAGGCATAAAGGCACCCAACAGAAGCCCGACGTTAACTAATATGTACGCTCATCATTTGGCGAACTTGGAGGCAAAGGCGCAAACGCCATGGATTCCGGTTGATGCGGCATCTACTAAGTACAGACAGAGTGGCATCGTTCACCAAAGAAAATCATACATAACAAGACTGCATCTCCCCTGACCCAGAACCACCGCGCCGGGTATGGGGCTTATCCGTGGAAACCTTCTTTTTCTTCCTTGGGCAACTTACGCGACTCCCTTAACCTGAACTACTAAATATGGATATACGCGTCACCCAGCAGGTAATGCAAATTGCAGTAACAGCAGATTGTCCCGCGTCCAAAGCGAAACTACTTTGTAGTATTGTATACTGGTATCACTTGAAAATTCAAAGCACCCAGAATTGCCTTGAAGACAGCTCCAACCCCTGAAACCAGGAAGTCTCGAACGAGCCCACTCCTTCGTCTGCAATAGGCCCCACTGAGAAAAAGGTATTATTGTCAGAATATTGAGAGGTGCAGATCCCCGCTCCTCCACTCCTTGCACATCTTTGCCGTTTGAACCCGTCGATCATCCATAGCATCATCGAATACTCGCAGCGACGGCATCTACCCTATGTCGATCGGCTTCGATAGCCGGCCCGTGGCGTTTTGCCTCGGCCTGTAAAGGTGAAATGCTTGGCAATGCTTGTATCGTGATATACATCTATATTCGAGACTTGGGTGGAGGCGGAGTCGAGCTTAGACCAGCCGTTCATGCAGTGCCGAGCCTTTGGCTCCACTGCAGTGGGATGCAAAAGGCTCATTTCGACTGAGGTTCATGTCGACTGAAAGCTGTTGGCCGACTGTGAAAAATTCCAAGGGTTTGACTACATTGTTTGTACTGTCCAACGGCTCGGCTGAACTGATTTCTCGAGTATGATCCGAGCTCTTGAGTTGAAAGTCCTCCTATGACGCAGAGGGTACAAGCTGTGCTATTAGTGGTACTAAGAGATATGATCGGAGACTACTCAGACAAGGACGAATGCGAGTTAAAGGTGTATACCGAACTGGCCCATGGCCTTCATTTTCGTTAAAACACGAGTATGGGTGAATACTATCAGACATGACATGAAAAATCACATTCACATATCGACATGACACAAAGAAAAGAAAGCAAAAACCAATGCGGGAATCAAGGCACTCTATAAATCTATAGAAGTGGGACACGCGTAACCAGCTTTCCTTCTCCAGGATGGAAATCTCAAAGCAGATGGCACGAATATACAGATGATTAAATTATCCACGTCTGAGCATCTCTACTCAGAGTGGCCCTTCTCATCGCCACTGCTCAGAGCGGTCTCTATCTTCTCAGCCTCAGCGGAGGCAGTGTGGTCGGCAGTATCGAGACCAAGGGCAGCCTGGTACTCGGCGATCTCGGCAGGGGAGAGCTTGGGGAGAGAGGCGGCGACCTGGAAAGGCCACTTCTTCTCAACGTGGGCCTTGGCAAAGATAATGTCGACCTCCTCAAGATCACGACCAGCGGTCTCGGGGTAGTAGAAGTAAGCAAATGGGATGCCGATGAAGTTAATCAGGGCGAAGAAGAGGTAGATACCCCAGGGAGAGGCCGCGGAGAACAAGGGAGTAAACATGACGACGGCGAAGTTGGTGATCCAGTTGGTGCAAGTAGAGGCGGAAGCAGCCATGGTACGGGTACGCAGGGGGTTGACCTCGGGAGGGTAGATCCAGGGGAGAGGCAGCGTAGTGAAGGCGAAGAAGCAGATGAACAAGAAGATACCAACAGCAGCACCCTTGGCGTTCTCAGTACCGCCAGCAGCCAAACAAGCCATGGTGATGATGAAGGATCCACCTTGGCCAGCGAAACCAATCAGGAACAGGTTGCGACGACCGACCTTCTCAATCATGAAGAAGGAGGGGATAGTTGCCAGGGCGTACACAGTGGCGAAGACACCACCCAGGACCAGGGAGAGCTTGCCCTCGATGTGCAAGTTGTTCTGGAACAGCAGAGTGGAGTAATAGATGGCAGCATTGCAACCAGTGAACTGCTGGAAGAACTGGCCAGAGCAACCGAGCATCATACGCTGGAATTCCTGGGTCTTGCCGAAAGTGAAGAGGGTCTTCCAGCTGGCCTTAGCATTCTCAGTGGACTTCAGGTCAGCCTTCATGAGGTTGTAGTCGGTCAAGACGTCCTCGGCATCAACAGAACTGTCGTTGAGAGCGGCCAAAACCTGCAGAGCCTCGTTGTCGTGGCCTCGCATGACGAACCAACGAGGGGATTCGGGGAGAGTAAGAGCGCCACCGATGACACCCAGGGCGAAAACAATCTGGAAGGCGACGGGGAAACGCCACTGGGACGAATTTTTGACATACGAGAAACCGAAATCGATCCAGTAGGCGACGAAAGTACCGACGGCGATGATGGCACCCTCGAAGCACACGAGGAAACCACGGTTGTGAGCACGCGAACACTCGGACTGCCAGACGGGAATGGTGGCAGTGTCCATACCGTTACCAAGACCGGAGATGACACGGCCGATAACGAATTGGCCTAGACCCCATTGATCACCGAAAGCCGCAGTGGAGATGACAGTGCCGACAACCATCAGAATTCCACCGGCGAGCAAAAGGGGAGTACGACCAATACGCTCACCCCAGATTAGGGTGAAGACAGCACCAAAGAAACAACCGATTTCGTAGCAAGAAGTAACAGCACCCTGCAAGACCGAGACATGGTTCTTCACGGACTGCGGAGCGCCCTCGGGGGTCTTGAGGGCCTTGAACTCATTGGGGAACTCGTCACCAGTAATCAGTCCGGACATCAGACCCTGATCGTAACCGAACAGGGAGAAGCCGGTGACGGAGATAATTGTGATGGCGAGATGGAGCCTCTTGCCCCGAAGGCCACTGGTTGTTGTCCACATGTTGGCGTATCGTTTTTGGCTGATCCCTCTAGTGAAAGGCAGTCAAAACAGAGGCGACACGGTGGAAAGAAAGAAAGACGCGTGGTCAGCCCGGGATGGACATATGCATATATTCTTTTTGGAATTTAGGGTGAGTCCGTCTTCGGATTAGCGCCGAGCTGAAAACCATGGGCCATGACGTCGGTGGGACAGCGCTAAAGGCAGGTCGCGCGAGCCGTGGAGGGGCCAAAAAAGTCCCACTGCAAAGTTTTCCGCCTGTGCCAAGAGGGTTGTTGGACGTTACGCCGAATTCAACCAAGCAGCGCAAAGCAGATTCACGATGCCGCATCAGATCCGTGTTTAGTCCCACAACTCGGGGCTTAGTGCGAGCGCCTCCCCCGACCCCCTGGTTGCCGCCACCACACAGAGCCATGGGTACAGTACTTGCATCAAGGGGTATGGGATGTTCTCCATGGTTCCCATGGTGCTCGAGCTTCCAGAAATTCGAGCGTAGCAGACACTGGAATGATTGGTTGGAGGGTTGCAGTATCTCGAGGACCAACCAGTGGAACGCCCCCAAAGCATCGGGCCACCAGCAGCCACCGGTTCTCATTGGTTGCTACGATGGAGTATCCGTAGTGGGGGGGGACCCCTTCCCAAAACCCGCAAAAACATCCTTCTGGGGGTTGCGGGGCGGGCGGAGGATCGCTGAGTCTTATTTCCTCAATCGGAATACCCACCTTCCAACCACGGGGGATTACGGGGACGGCGATGTGGGGCGCTTGGCTGCAGCCGTGCTTTGTTCTCCAATTTTCGCAACCGGCTGCTCCAGTCACAACTACTGTGACCGGTTGAAACTCTCCCAGAAACCACGGAAGTGGACAGGGATTGGCCCCGAAATCAGTACCGATTCCAATCTTAACTCGTTTCAGTTGCCCTTTTTGCCTCGCTCTTTGAGAGTGCCTTTCAGAGCCTGACACGGACCACTTGAAGCCCCCCCCCAATCGTGCTAGCGAGAGGCGCCCAACACGACCCCGCGGGGTGAAATGAGGAGCCGACCCCGTTGCGTCCAAGTGGACATTCTTTCCCCGTCCGTCACCTGAGCGCGGAACGAAGAAATCTTCCGACCTCAGATCCCGCGACAATTCTGCTTCGCTAAGAACAGACGAATTTTTCAGCGAACCTAAATCGGCCTGGCGAAGAAACCGCACTAACAAACTAAACCGCATATGGAGCCCCACCCAGGGCTCGTAACAAGGTGTGGCGGGCCAATCCCGCAAGCGTCTGCTTAAAAGGTTTGGCTTCTTGGCCTTTCCGGGTAATTCTTCTATTTTCTGTTTATTTTCATTAATAATAAATAATTAAAAGAATTTCCCGCCCGAGGTCCTTTGCTTAGCTAATGCACTTCCCGAAGGCGGCAGGCCCCCGAGATTCGCATCCCGCAACGGGGAGAAAATGTCGGGGTGAAGATGACATGCGCCCAGTAAAGCGGGTACGGATACTGTATCCCTTCGAGTTCAGATGAGTTCCTAGTCAAGGTCTCTACCGTGCGTGTGCTATTCTGATGACATCCAGGTAGAAGCCTTCCCCTCCAATGACATTGACTCGAAAAAGGAATGTATCTGCGCGCCTTCTAGAGACTTATCTCGCTAACTTTCTTTTGCCCGTTCTGCTTCAATGTGATTGAGCCTTGTGGGCCGCTTCCGGAGATTGGGATATACGATTGGTCCCGCTCCCGTCCGGGGCTGTCTCGCATGCGAAAATGGGATCCAAACAAGCACCACGCACTGTGCGCCTGGCGTAACATGTGAAAGCTCTTTGGAGAACAGTCGGAATGTATACCGAGATTCAACTGTTATCGCCACGGGGAAAGATGACAAAAGGTGAGGTGGGCTCAGATCTCCCCATCTAACGGTCTAATCATATTTCCCGGTCAAGTAGGCATAGCCTTTCTGACCCGATCTATTCCGTGGACCATAGGTCGAATAGGCCTCCTTCGAGTTCACGTTGTCACCCCCGCTGGGCCCGACGTGGGGAGGCGTACGCCACACGGTAATATGCTGGGCCCCCTCCTCCACACCGTAATCTTAATCCGTTGAAAAACTCTTCGCCGCATTGTCATGCCCACTGTTATGGCTTAGTCCAACGGGACACTTTCCTCTTCGCGTAGTTGGACCACCGCTTAAATGTCTCTAGCCTTCTACTTCGTAAGCGCCATTCTGGAGTCCCCCGGGAGACGAGTGACCTGGAGAACCCTCAAGTGGCGCTTCATTAGGCAAGTTCTCCAAACCCCGGGAAGCCTTGATGCACGGTCCATTGCCCGTCCTATGGCTCGTGAATGTACTAGGGCCTCCTGCCCTCGGCCTTTCACGTAGGAGGTTGCATCGGCTATACGTCTGGGGCGTCTCCGTTTTACCAGTCACGCGGCTAAAACCTTTTTTCATAGCAACTAGACTTTCCGATGGAACTCTCTATCCACGCGAACCTGCGCTGTCCCGGGTGGTGGAAAGCCGATTGGTCTCGGCGTGATTTCGGGTGGCCCTTTCTCATGCGCGAGCGAAAAATGGTCGCGCTGGCATTCTCCATCGTCGTATGTTCAGTATGAGTTAGTGGCATTACTATGCAGCGTACAAATCACAGTGGACCTCCCGAGTCGGGAAACGGCTTCCGACTAATACGTAGGGGGCGGTCTACCCTTGCGCCTCCATTCACACGGCACGAGCAGCTCAGTTCCCTTGGGGCTTATCGCAAGCTCATCCATTGCGACGTCATTTGAAGCCACCCGCCTGCATACTGTTCCTGAATAGGTAACGATGGACGAGATAATCGCCATTCCAAACAGATCTGCCTGTCGTCCACGTTGCGGTGAGATCGCCGCAGTGGGCTCACGTCTTTTGTGGAGGAGGCGCATGAGACTACGGTACCTACTAAGCTGCTTTTGTTCCACCCCGCTGGTCTGCTCTCTCCATAGGGGTGGTCTTTGTCGATCACAGCACTGTATGTCCCTAATAGGCCCCGTAAGAAAAGGCGCCCCCTCACCCGTTAGAGGCCGAAAGTTTCAGTGGGCTCCTATCGCGGCAAGCCGTGCGGCCGATACCTTTCGGGAATCCGAATTACGGCGGGTTGCTCCATGGCATTTCGCCAGGGGATTTCCCGGTCCTCGGAGTTGGGCAGCATTTGAATGGATCTGATCGGGTTGATCTAGGGCTAGCACTGGCTAACTGTTAGTCACTATGGGGCTGGTTGTAGGAGTATAGGCGGTCGCTTTCCGAGGTCTCAGCTCAGGCTGAAAACCCCCTCGCGGAAAACCCAGAGGACCCACTAATCAAAAATTGCGAGGTCACCCAGGCATCAGGTGAGAATGCTCCAATGGAACACGAATATTCTATATCCGAAAACACCGTATCTCGCGACGATAAGGTACAACCCGTGACATCCGCTCCGAGCAAGTCATCGATCATCTTGGGTTTGTTACTACGAACGTGATATAATAGCAGGCCTTTTATTTCGAGCAATTTGCATAGACATTGTAGCACATCTCCCGTCGGCACCAGCTAATTCCTATTGCTGTTTTCCCCCAAAACATACGACCTGGACCACTTACTACAATGGCTCAAACTAGCTGGTCGCAACACAGAAACGGCCCTTGAACGTTCGCTTCTGAGACAATGAAATCATTACATATCAATCATCTCCATCTACTAGTAGTAGCACGTGGACTCCATGCGCCGGACCTGCCGGACCTTCCCCCAAACGCAGCTCGGCAAATCGCCTCGAGCTTCCCCCCCCCCGAGATATGCGAGTAAATGATTCAAACAATATTCTGGATCTACCTCACGCTAGGCTCTCACGCTCGGTCGAAACCGGCGGGTCAGAAACCAACAGTGTCTCGCAAATGAGTTACACTCGCACCGGCTATAACAGGCCCGCCTAATCTCCAGGTCACTAAACGGAGACGCTTGCTAGCGACCCCGTTCCAGACCAATGAAGAGCAGTCTCCAAGCGCACAGCAAAGGGTCTCGCAGTAGCCCATGATGCAGGAGAACGGATCTGTTGGTTTTTTCCGACGAATGGAGACCCCGCGGGCCACTTTCCCCAGATGATAGATCACCCGGGGGCCGGCCCCTGTCCCGTGCGGTCTCTCGTTCACTAACCCTTATGCCACAGGCATGAAATAGGCAACCTCATTGCTCTGTTAATTGCTGAATGTCCTTGGCTGAATCGTGTAGCTTTCGAGGCGGTGCAAGGCTGGCCAGGGGGCGACCATGCCGGTGGTGGTCGGTTGAAGGCGCCAGAGCGGCGCTGAGAACCCCGTCACATCCGACCCCGGAAATGAGCCCGGGATACTTGCTCAAGGCTCTGGGGTAGTTACCTTTTTGGGATACGATTGCCATTCAACAACAGGGGTGGTCATGCAGGCCACGCGGGCTGCGGAGATTAGATGCTATTGCATGGATAGTGGGCTGTCCATTATAATCGTTAATTTGCAGCTAGAAGTACGAGAAACTGTAGGGAGGGGAATTCTACAGCTGAGTACGTGTAGTCCAGGGTCTGCTCCAGACAGATAACCTGGGAAGACGTGTCGGAAGCCTTGCGCCCCAGGGGCGGCTGAGTGCTCCTACCGGGGCGAAAATACCGCAAGGCTATGACTGCTTCTCTTTCTCATTTTTTGCATTGATCTTCCTAATAATGGCTTTCGGAGTGCCCTGCTCAGTCTAGACTACTAGGCATGCAGTGATCGTCCGCTGGGGCGCGTGTTTCCATAATCCACTATACGATGAATAGCAAGTCGCTGATCAGTCACAGCTGCGTTTGACCACGGTCCTGGCAGGGCTACAAGCATAAGATCAGGACATTCTGAGAGTCGAAGGTTCAAGATCCGACGCTCACCAAATTGATCTCAATGCGGGAAAGCATGCTCGTCATCAACGTTCGACTCTTCCAGAGCCTCTGCTCTAATCATACGACTATTTTGTTCCAAGACTTATCTATGATCAGTTCACCGTGACCCTAACCAGCGACAAGGCATTTTCGTACCGACGAAAAATTCTTTGCCTCGTGTGACGGACCCTCAACTACCGGTTGCTTGAAGACAAAATTCTTTCATTCGGATTCCTTAGACTAATAAAGCTTGTTCATCTAGAGTAGCATGTGGTAGGTGATCAGATCGAATGGATGGATCAAAGTAGACGGTTCGATCTCTGATATTTCATTTGATGACCACTGGGCTCTGCACCAGTTTGGGGGAAGTGTCACCAGCAATGAAATCTTCAATCGTTTTCGAGGTCTAATGCTGATTTCTCAACCCTTGATGTCTTTCGGACGAATATTTTACTTCCCTTTCAGGGTTTATCTGGCTGCTAGTCTCTTTCAGGGGATGCCGATACGACGCAGATAATGGGGCTGCTGTGTTTGGCTCGCCCTAACAACCCAGCTTCGTAGCGCATGAAAAAGGTGGCACCGCCCGCGCTTCCATTCCCAGGCTCCCAGCAAATTTGTTTGTCATGAAGGCCATGGCATTCCAACAAGTTGGATATTTTTGCCGAGTCTTCATTTGTGCCGCTTTCCACTCATTCGATAATGGCTCTTCTTGGAATGGAATTCTCTCTATCGGCAAATGTTGCTCAAAGAGCCTCGGAATTCGGTGCCATTCCTACGGGCATCTTTTGCTGAGAGTGATCTCAACGGATAGGCCCAAGCTTACGTTTCTGGTGAAATTTGCTTGAGAAGGTGTAAATATGAGGTATAAATTTCGAAGAGAGATTGCCAGTGATCCCACAGGAGAATCGTGCTCGATTTTGTCGGGCTATGCCGCTTCCTAAGTTAACTCAAAAACCCATCATTTTAGATCATTATGATGTACATGTGAGCCCAGTCCATGGATTCATGGATATTGGATATACTATTGAGCTAGAACCTCCGATTCCACTTGCAATCTTTGCCCGAAGTCAAAAGTCGTCGAGAATTCCCATGCTACATACGTGGATGGACTATGAAATTACTAGTCCTAGTCAAGGTCATGATCTCACTCACTAAATGGTAACACAGGCCAGGCTATCTAGCGACCAGTTGACAGGGGCACCTTGATTAGTCCCATTTAGATACAATATTCAAGAAATGCTCGGACCTTCAAAGTACTCGACTTGGTTCTTTACATGGGGGGTATAGCGATCACTGTTCGGTTCAAAGGATCAGAAAAAGCAAAGGCATTATCACGATCGATGGGATTCAGAGTCGTGAGTGTCTTCGATCTGATTTGAACCTTTGATATATATCCATTCCCCAGGTTTTAACAGCCGCGAGAACCCCATTGTGCAGTTTTGGAAAACTGCTTATCAGGCTACATACAGATCCCCCAGGATCATACTAGGATTGACTGTCAGGTTCTTCAAGTTTACCAAGACAGTGAGAGCGTGGAATGTGCCAGCTATCGACGGGGTCATCTCAGTTTGATATTTTTGCCGATCAGCCGGGGTGGAATGTCTTATCCACGCTTCTGGCCGCCAGTTGGTGAAATGTTCCGACCGTTATCGATAAGCTGAGGCCCATCAACACTATGAATAGTGCATTTGATTTGTATCAGCAGGCTCCCATATAATTCCCCGGCAAATGCGCACCCCATCGCAGGCTGGAGTGCAACATGGGGTACGGAGTAATAATAGAAATTAGCCCCGCTGGCAATCAGGGTGGAGGCAGGCAGCAGCAGTCAACGAACAAGCAGGGGATGACACAAAGTGGTACAATACAGATCTGTCTCACTATAGTCTCAATGATGTGCGAAACCGTGTTCAATATTACTCAAGATTTTCCGGTCGCAAGGGCTGCTAGTCGGTGTGGTTTCCCCGTCGCCATAGCAATTCTATAAGTGCGGGAGAGAAGCGTCCTTCATCGAGTATCGCACCTCGACATTGTAAGACTTCGCAGTTGGAAACCGGATTCAGCTGGAGATACTATTGAACAGATGACGATCACGGCGCTAGATTTTCAGGCTTCCCGCCAATGGTTGCACTTCCTTTCGACAGGCCTGCCCTAGCGCACGCCTGGAATGCATCGATCTGTGGATCGTGGTGGCTGGGAAGCGATCGGAGCTTACACTAGGACCCCACCTCAGGTCTCGACCTTCAGCCTGGCTGCGACACCCTAGCAACGAAATGAAAGATGAAGCTTCTAGAGCTTACCATGAAAATTGCTAGAATGACAGGATTTGCAAATAGGTAGGACATGAGGTATGAGGTCTAGGGAAAGATGAATCGATCCGAAGTAGACTTGTTTATCGATGATGCAAGCTCCCGTATCGCGCGTATCGAAATCGTCACGTACTGTCACGTCGCTCCGGTTTGCCGTATGTTGAAACAGAGCATTCAGGGGTTCCAGCCAATCACAGGCTGCCTTCATGCTGCCCCAGCCACCTGCAATACCGCATCTGACATTCCATGCGGACCCTTTTTTATCGGTGGCTTCCCCTCCTCCTCGAACTGGCTTGACTTTCCCTCATCCAATGCACTCCTAGTGCATCACCCTTGACGAATTTGTGCCTAATCACAGATTCACAATGTCGAAGCTCTCCAAAGTCAACCATGCTGCCGGCATCTTTGCAGATATGTCCGTTGATGGGCCTGCAATTGGCACCCTGGTGGCTATCATTGACCGAGCAAAGAACCTGCCTAACCGCAAGACTATGGGCAAGCAGAACCCGTACTGTGCTGCAAGGCTAGGGAAAGAAGCCAAGAAGACACAAACAGATATGCGTGGCGGGCAGACTCCAAGATGGTAAGGTTTCCAAACAATTAAGACGTTGGGAAGCTGAAGACTGACACTACCAGGGATCATGAACTCCGATTTACTGTCCACGAATCCCCCGATTACTTCAAGCTGAAGGTCTCGGTTTTCAATGACGACAAAAAGACAGACCTGATAGGAGAAACATGGGTGGATTTGCAGAATCTGATTATCCCTGGAGGTAGCCAGGATGACCAGTGGCACTCGTTGCAATGTCGAGGCAAATACGCAGGTGATATCCGCATCGAGATGACCTACTACGACACTCGTCAACAAGACGAAGCAGTGATTGAGAAGCGAAAGGAAGCAGCTGAAAAAGTGCAGAACAAAGCCGCTCCACCATCATCGAGCTCCGGTCTCTCTGGTCCCAGGCAATTAAACCAGGTGAAGCGTCGGCCCCTTCCTTCTGGTCCAGCATCGGCCGCGCCTCCCAGACCAGCCACCGAGCCTGTCCCAGTTTCTACCCAAGCTCCACTACAGCACCCGGTGCCCTCCAGGCCCATTCACGAACCGCCTACCATGCTTCCAGCGCCCGGAAATGACATGCCTCTGCCCTACCCCACACAACACGAACCCTCTTATGATAAATCATCATATGCGCCTCCTCAAGCACGTCAATACGAGTCCGATGGATACCAGCGAGAGTGGGAGACCTCGGCTCCCCCCCCTTCCGCCAGCTGGGATTGTTAGACGGGCCAACACGCATGAGGTTCCTTACCATACCCAGGAAATGGCCGAGACCACATATGGCGTACGCCCATTGCAACCACGCAGTCGCTCCGACCACGATGACCCCCGGGATTACCGCTCTGTGTCACACGAGCCTGCCTTCCATCATGTGCCTGGAAGGCCCAGTCCTCAGGAAGAAGAGATCTATAGTCCTCTCTCGCCCCAGTACAGCGCACCGCCCTTGTCCTTTGGGCCTGTTTCAACATTCACACCGCGCAATCAAACAATCCTGGATGGACGAGAGTACGATCGTTCACGGCCAAACTCATCCTCAGGTCCGGTAGAGGATATCCGCTACCAATCCCATGATATCCAGGCATTGCAGCCAATTCGCCGCGATAGCTACCACCCTGAATATGCGGGCATGCAGCCTCGTGTTGAAGATGAAGATGAAGATGGCCCTCCTCCCCCCCTCCTGTTCACCGATCTCAGATGGCTCAGATGGCTCCAGCTCCATCTTCAACCAAACCAGTGTCTTCATACCAGGCCTATATCCCCGGATCCAGCACGACCTCCATGCCGGCAAGCCTGGTGGCTGGATATGAGACCGAGAATCAGGCTGACCGCACTGTTATGGACCGTGGTCGCCGACGCAGCACTCATTTTGATGACGAGATGATGCTCACCCAACCAGCATCTGCGCCTGCGCCTGCACCTGCACCAGGACCGGCACCAGCCCCAGCACCGTCGCACTATGACTACCCTGTTTACCCTTTACGCACGTCCCCTCACCCCATGGATGACCGTCCTTCCAGCCGAAGGTCGGCTAGCCCGGATAACCGGCCTGTTACACGTAGCTCGGTTAGCCCGCAACCCTCTGTAACCCGGAAATCTGTGAGCCCGCGGCCTTCGATTCAAAGTGACCGAGGATCATCAATCCCATTTTCTCCCGACTCTTACGACTCCATCAACCCCCGTGCTCCGCGGGAAATAACAAGCAGAGAGATTTCTCCTGCTTATGAAACCCTTTCACAAGCCAGGGACGCGGCGACCCGCGCGGAGAGCGAACCCGCTCGAGATCTCGATCACCCTATCATCGGCGATGACGGTCGTGAAATTGATCCCTCGGATCATCTGCCTACGGACACTTGGGCTCCAGAGCCGGAGCGGAAGAACCGCAAGCCTGAAGTCATTATCCGCTTCAAGCACACCGCGCGACCAACATCTCGCGGGAACGACGCCCCGGCTCGCACTGCAGGGCCTCCTCGGGTAGGCTTCAGAACTTCAACAGATACTATCGCCTATCCGGGCGACCGAAAGAGGTACACTACCAACCAAGAAGTGGACCGAACACCGCCTCGGGCACAAGACTACGGGAACAGCTATTCACAGAGCCGAGCCTACAGTACCCCGACATCCGCAGAGCGTCCGCGTTCTTCACAACGTAGCTCCGTGTCTCCCACCCCCAGCAGCCGCTCGCCAATCTACGAATACAACCCTGGGCCGCCAATTCCGTCCAAGGTGCCTGTTTCTCCAGGACCGCCAAGCTACCCCGTTGCGTCGGGCCATTCTAGTGGAGGGCACCCGTTGGACGCCTTGAGCCGGGAGTTGAAGACCATTGATATTGGATCTGCTGGGTGCAGCCCAAGCCGGGCTATTCGAAAATATCAACCACCTCGAGTGTCGGCCTCGATGGGGTATGCCAGCTAATGAGAACAACCCGCCTTCATGATTTATGTACACCTATACTTCTTACCCGGGTGGTCCGCTTGATTCGCTTCTGAAAGTTATGATTCGACCTATGAATTTATTGGTTATTGGGGATCTATGGCGTTTTTGCTGTGATTTCTCTTGCCCTATGTTACATATGATTTGGCCTAAAGCCTTGAAGAATGAATGGTACCGAATTTAAAAACCCTGTGGACTGGCGAGTCTAGTATCTTTTGCATAGTTGTCTGGGCTTTTTTGAGTATCGTAAATTGGAGCCCTTTGAGTAGCAGCGATAAATTTGAGGCCAATTAGAAGGGGATTCATTCCCTTGTCTTCTAATCTTATGATACTATCTCTAACACTGTAGAACACACCCACCACTATCGATAAGGCGATAAACCACCAAACCAATCGCGCTCACGCGATATGGAGGACAGCTTATCAGCTCCCCCGCCAAAGCAACCTTTGAACGCTGAGAACCTCTCGACAACCATGACAAGCATGTCCGGCCTCACGGAATCCCAAGTAGCCTCGTTCAATGAGAACGGCTACCTTGTGCTACCGGACTACCTCAGCCAAGCTGAGATCGAGTCCCTCCTGACGGAAACAAACACTCTCCTCCGCGATTTCTCGCTCGACACCCACCCACTCACCCAGTTCACGACCGGCGACGACGACCAAGCCGACCATGTCGGCGACGAATACTTCCTCACTTCCGGCGATAAAATACGCTTCTTCTTTGAGCAGGACGTCTTCACCAAAGACCCCGACCCGATCACCGGCCGCCCCGCCCTCCTCAAGCCCAAAGAACTTGCCGTCAATAAGATCGGCCACTCCCTTCACACCCTCTCTCCGCCCTTCAAGGCTGTCTCGCTCAACGAGCGCAATGCCGCCGTCGCAAAGTCCCTCGGATTCAAGGACCCCCGCGTCCTGCAGAGCATGGTGATCTGCAAGCAACCCTCCATTGGCGGTGCGGTACCTAACCACCGCGACTCGGAGTTCCTATATACGAATCCGCCGTCAGCAGTCGGGTGGTGGTACGCACTCCAAGACGCGGGGCCTGGGAACGCCACGCTGGGTATGTGGAAGGGGTCGCATAAGGGTGCGAAGGGCGGGCATATCAAGCGCCGGTTTGTGAGGAAGACAGGTATGCCGGGGACGGAGTTCGTGGAGAATACGGGACCAGCGTTGCCCAAGGGCGCGGATGAGGAGGAGGTCGGTCAGCCTCAGGAAGACGAGCTGGAGATCTTGGATATCAAGGCTGGATCGCTGGTGCTTATCCATGGCAATGTGCTGCATAAAAGTGAGAAAAACACTAGCCCACGGAGTCGGTATGCGTATACGTTCCATGTTATTGAGGGGGCAGAGGGGTGGGAATATGATAGCAGGAATTGGTTGCAGCCACCTGCGGGTGGGTTTTCGAAATTGGAGAGTTAGGGTTGAGCATGTTGCATTTGTCAGATACATGAATGTTCTCCAGACTGGGCTGTGATATATTATTCCGGAGTCTAAGCGCCGAAAATCACAGTCTCAAGTTCTATATATATCCGCGGAGACACCAGCTTGGAACAGTAACATTCAAAGTTTTATCCCTTGAGACTACTTGAGAATCTCACTTGACATGGGCCTCAATCCTTTTCCAAGGGGTCATGTCACATAAACTATATCATCTCACCCTCCAACTCCATTGAAGACCGGGGTATACTCGGTATCTTACCAAACCGCAATGATGGAGGCGCAGGTCACGACCACGTGACAACGTAGCGCTAAGGCAGAAGGTCGAATTCGCAAAGCTTGTGTACATAATCGAGAACTCGAGTGATCCTATAATATGAAGGCAGGCGCGATCGATTGACAACAGAAGCGAATGTTGATAGCCTCGGTCACTCCTAGTAGGATACCTTGAGAGAATTAGACTTATAGCAATAGCTATCATTAAATTATGCCTAATGCACTATTGTCTCACTAGTTGTACATATCAAGACCAGAAAAGATAAAACGGCTCCAAAGGACAGTAGCGCAATGTAAGGGTATGAGAATAAGAGTGAGAAATGAAGGAAAGATTTGAGTCAATCAAGAAAGGACAATGTTCCGGGATGTATGCGAGTGTTGTGACATGGACATAATAGGAAAGGTTTAGAAAAGAGAGATGGATGACAGGAGGAGAGAAAATAGGAGAGGTAAAGAGAGGATTAGCTGGCATGTACTTCGAGAACTTGTGCAAGAACTTCGACGGCAGATTTGAGGGTATCATCAGACCGGCCGCGGATGGCGAATAAAAGATTGTCAACAATTTTTTCAACTTCCCGACGCAGATCGCTGCTGCGAGTACCGAGACTTCGGTCCTTCGAACGACCAGGGGACGAATGAGGAATCTGGATACCAAGTGTGCTATAAGCCTTCGTAGGAATGGCATCGAGGGCATAGGTATCAGTTCGCGAGGAGAGAGTAGGTTTGTGACGGTGAAGATTAGATAGTGAAAAGAGATAATTCCGAGCAATGAGGGCCGCGCAGAGCCCATCTAAGATGTTCTCTGAGACGTTGGGGAAGATGGTTCGGAATGGGCGGAGGAAGTCTTTCTCATCGCTTCTGCGGAGAAAGAGGATGACAGGCGATGTGAGTCGGAGCATATTGCGAGGGAAGTCTTTGACAAAGTGATCCAGCTCGTCTAGAGTCCACTCGTGATCATCCAGTGTCCACTTATGATCCATTAACTTGGATCTCTCAGGCGCCTCTTTGTCAGATAGAGGGGATCTTCGACCTGATGAACTTTTGGCTGGTGATAATGCTTGCGGGCTTACGCTGCCCGAACGAATCTCTGGCCGGGGTGACTTGGTGCGCTCTCCCTGCGCGGTATCCGGCCTCTCGCCGACGACTGTTGACGTGACACTGTCGGATGTCAGAGACCCGGGGTCGCTATAGGAATCTTCGTCCTTGCTCTCGGGGTAACTGGATAGCGAATAGCCGGACTCCCGAGTACCATACCCACTGTCAGACATGTCTAGTGGTGTATCAGGACTAAAAGCGGACACTTCCTCTTGCCGCTGATCTGGTGTCATTGGGAGAGGGTGTGGGTTGATTGATGCTGGTGGCAGTGCAGGTAGTGATGGTGAAGAATGGGGTGCAATATCGACCAATTTCGGTTTACTTGCGACGGCAAATCTCTTTAGAAGAGGATTAGGGATGTCCTGGATAAGATTTACAGAGGGGATAGTACTCACAACTGGAGCTTGGAGGGTTTTTACCCTACCACCAAGACCTAATTTTGGCATGGGGGGGATCCTGTTCGACGATCTGGATTTTCCGACGGTTGTGTTCTTTATCGTTCGGACTTTTGCCAATCATGGGATCGAGAGGTACTCCTTTCAGCCATGTCTCACAGTAAGCCAGGTTGCTGGATATCCAACTTGCTTCGCTTGAGACAGTTGCTGTCCTGGGCCGTTGAGGTCTCGGGGAATTGCCTGGTAGGTGGCGTCTGGGGCTGGGGACAGATGTCGGTGACCGCGGACTCGCATCATTTTCTTGAAAGTTGGCAGCCGTCTCTAATTCATTCGCTTCGCAATGCCGAATTAGATTAGAGTGAGCCTCTTGGACATTCGTAACAGGCGGCGTTGGCCTTTTCTGAGATTCCAAAGTCACTTCTTCGTAGCCTGAAGATTCACTCGGTATCTCGGGTGTTCTGTCTTGTTTCTTGATATTGTCGGTGCTACCAGAATGATTCACGCTTTTTGTAATCTCCTCCACCATTTCCGGCGTCACAACTTCCTTCTCGTCGCTTGGAACTTTAGAACGTTTCAAAAAAGTCGACTCGGGTCCTGTGCTTGCGGGTCGCGATTCGGTCATGGAAGGACTTGGGAGCAGACCAAGCGCTGCCATGTTCGCAGATGTCAGGTTTTGATCCGAGCGCCAAGTTCGTAGTGTGTGGCCGCCTGGGGGCTTTGCTTCTCGTTGCGATCTAAGGGGGAGGAAATGTTGGAGCACTGTCGCATGAAACCGGCGATGACGGGAGGCGTAGTTGAAATGGCTCCTTCATCCTTCGGACCGAGCGAAATGGCGAAATGCATGGAGCCCCCCTTTCAGTAGGCCGCCTGGGTATTGTCAACGAGCAGGGCTCATGAGGATCCAGCCGGGGATCTGTGGGGGATGGCACAAATGACAATGTCGGAAATTGCCTGCTCCTCCGCCTGGGCTGATATGTAGGAGACCATCGGCGTGGTGACGGGATAGGCTCAACGGGGGCCATGGCATCATGGCTTAGCGACGACGAATGAGAATCTTGGTTCCTGTTGTGACTTTGTAACCTGCCTGGGAAGTACGAATTAGGCATTTTGGCGGCGACACCCTCGTCCATTGTGGACATGGTGCGGCCTTTAGTCGAAGCAGGCCTGGTCGAGAATCAAATCGTGGAAAAAGCAACATGCGGCCGCACAAGAGCCGGGTGAGAATGAGATGCACCAGAAGCAAGCAAAAATGTTGGCGAAGATCAGTCAAAACAAAGCAGCTGTCGCCTATGCAGGGGCGAGATGTCCTTATACGCAGAGTGGCGTTAGTCGAGGGAGCTTCTAGGGACGAGAGGGTTACCAGGGCAGAGCTTCACTGCAGAAACCCCTTGACACTTCCTCAGACCCTACCGTGAACGAGCTCGAGTATGTAAAGAAGTTGCCTCCCTTCAGGGCTTTGGGTTTTACTCTGGCACGAAGCGACCAACCGGCACGGGCCAACATAATACTAGTTGAGAATGGAGGTCGCGCCGTCCTTGCATTCCCGAGGAAGCTCAGATCTAAGCAGGCAGAGACCCACGATTGGCCCTAGTTCTTGTTGCCGTGCTCCTGGAGGCCTGCAGGCCCCCGTCAACGTGGATAGACCCTCGCCCGTCGCTAAACATCGTCATCCTTCGATGCATAGGTGGAGCCAGGAATGAGACAAATGGGATGGAAAGAGGGGAAGGACGAATCAGGCGCTTGCAAAGGGCAATTAGATCGACAACAGGGTGTGAGCAAGCGGGGCTTCATTGGCTATTGTGTCTCGTTGCAATAGCAATGGCAACCCCCTTCCAAGGAACCATCTGCCCCTTGCATTCGGCGTGACCCATGCCTGGCAGTCTGAAACTCGGGAGTATAAAAATGCTTTCGCCACGGATGCCCATTTCAGGGTCTTTTGTCATCAGAAGATGATGTGAGATTGGATCTCACCAATCGAAAACTGCTGTCTGTAGTCCGTTCATTCTATACTTCTGTTCATAGTTGCATATGACCGAGCATGCTCGTATGTCTTAAGATATTCTGTTGGATCTCTGATTGACGTGTTCCTCTTGGCTTGCCATGCGCTCGCCACGGATTGTGGTCCCCAGATGATAGATACAGTTTCTTTTCATCGGATGTGAGATCGATCTCTGATCCGGCCTCTAGAGTTTAGAACATATCACATCGCGTGGGAAAAGCGAGACGACGGCGGGCGAACTATGGACTGCTGGGGTAGGCGGTATCCTTATCAATCGAGGTTATCAACCGGCAGAAAAAAAATTGCGGAGGTAAAACGGGAAGAAAAAAAGCGGCTGGAAGGAGTGGAATTCCATTCTCCTGCTGCGCCCCCTGATTTCCCTATGTTGTCTGAATCCTTAGTTGCGGCGACGTTATCGTCCGCAAAAACTCCGACAGCCACGCTAAGAGACGTTGGAATTTGCGTGCAGGAACTCCAGCCCGCGCCCCAGTTACGCGCCACATTCAAGAAGAGCTCGGCTGCAGCCAATTGCCTCGCAGTGACCGCCTCACACATTTTCGCAGCCCAAGCAGACAAAGCTGTTGTCCATGTATACAGCCGCGAAAAGGGGAATCAAGAAGCTCTTATTCCTTTCCCAGAACGCATTCGCAGCATTGCCGTTGCGGGAGCGAAGTACGGCGATGTACTTGTCCTCGGAACAGAAGGTGGCCGGTTGCTTTTATGGGAGGTATGACTGGTCCAACCTAAAACGAGATATATCAGAGTGCTCCTTATCTAACTTCTAACTTTTTGGGTTGCCTCCAGACATGTACTGGCCGTCAAGTAGCCACTACCGCCTCTCATCTCCAGCCCGTCACCTCTCTCGTCGTTGACCCCACCTCGAATTTCATTTTGTCGGGATCTGCCGATGCCAGTATACATGTCTGGTCGATCGCGAGCATTTTATCCTTCTCTAAAACTGCTCTAGCCCGCGACCATCAGCCCACAAACTCACCGATCCGAACATTCTCCAACCACCGCGCTGCGATTACGTCTTTAGCCCTTGGACACAGTAATAGCCGCCAGAACATCGCTGTATCCACCGCGAAAGATAACACCGCCATAGTATGGGACTATCACACCGGGCGTACTCTGCGAACATATCTCCTCCCGTTTTCTGCAACATGTGTAGCTCTGGATCCACTCGATCGAGCAGGATATGTCGGGTACGAAGACGGAAGCGTGCAATCGATCGATTTCTACCGCCACAGTTCTGTACAGCATCAACTGTATGACCCGTCTCTGCAATCTACCCCTGCTCAGGTGTCGACTGAAGAGCGGTGGCTTCCACCATCTGCCGAGACGGGTGCTACTCAAGCTGTATGCGTCTCATACGATGGCACCACCTTGCTATCTGCGCATGAAGGAGGGAAAGTCTTGTCATGGAATGTTGCGCGGCACAAATTCGCCGCCTCAACCGCGGACTTTACCCACCCAGTAACAAACTTGATCATGCTGCCGCCAACCGGCTTACCAACCTCAGACCAATCGCAGAGAATAACCCACACTGTCATTAAGCCGCGCCATGACACCGCTCTCTCAGACCCTTCCCATACTTCTGGCGCTGTCCCAGCTGCCTACGCATTCAACACACACATCTCCACGCCATCAAGCCCCAGACTTCGTAAACCAACCCAATTCTCTGAAGCCCTGACACACAGATCCTTTCCGGATTCACTACTAGATGAAGGCCTTGCTGAGCTTGCTACGCTTCGACAGCCAGGTGGTACTGAGGTCTCACGCACGTCACCTGTCACCTCTGCGACCTCTGACCACTCTGCATCTGCACAGGCTCAAGAAAGCCACATTGCAGAGCTGGAGGAGGAAGTTGCCTTGCTCAAGATCAGGGCGGCGGCCAATGACAAGGCTCGACATGCGTCTGTTGATGAAATCGTGCAGCTACGAGCGGACCTTGCTCAGCTGCAGGATTATGTCAGCGAGCTACATGAGAAACAGGAGGGAGCGCAACGTGACAAGCTCCTGCGGCAAGCAAGGAAGGAAGATCGCGAGACCAAGAGACGGGATGCATGGTTTGCCGCCGAGAAGAAGGGTCGCAATGGCGACGCGGCTATGAAGAAGATGGACATTGATGACGGTATGCTGACCAGCGATACGGATGAACAAGGGGATGAATGAGACATGAGCATCATTGTCTTTGGTTCGGGTTTACGATAGGGACCTAGAAGAATGGCGCATGGTTGATTTTTGTATTACCACAGCACTGGCTGGGCTATGATTCATTGAGTCGAGAATGACTAGCGTACATATGTCTGCAATTATTCAATATTCAACACGCATATCGTCGTGATTTAACTTACGCACCTCTACACTCCGTTCAACGCCACGCTCCGTTCAATGCCACGCTCCGTTCAATGCCACGCTCCGTTCAATGCCACGCTCCGTTCAATGCCACGCTCCGTTCGACTCCATCCGACTCCATGCTCCGTCCGACTCCATGCTCCGTCCGACTCCATGCTCCGTCCGACTCCATGCTCCGTCCGATTCCATGCTCCGTCCGACTCCATGCTCCGTTCAGCTCCCTCCCCAATTGAAAACCTTGCTGATCACAATCTAGAAAACCATACATAGTCTTCCCTTCAGGTTTTTGCTCTGGTAGTGCTCACAAATCTCGTTGATCTGGTCCACGCTGTACGTCTTCTCAATATACGTCTTGCATCCATGCTTAGCATGCAAATTGATCATATCCTGACTCTGCTCAGGAGTGCAGATCAACCTGCCCTTGACCGTCTGCTCCTTGAAGCTCAAAGCAAATGGATCAACTTCGAAAGGCCCATCAGATGGCAGTCCAACATCAACCAATGTGCCACCCTTCCTCAGGAACTGCTGTGACATCTTGACTAAATGCCTTGCCTCCGCATCGATAACAACCCGATCGACACCCGCATTTGTTTCGTAGAAAGATGACTGCAGCTCCTCGATGACCTTCTGCTGAGCCTCATCCGAGTCAATGACAAAGGTCTTATCAGGCCTTAGATGCTCCGGAACAGACATGGCAACATCGATACCCTCACGCCGATTGTCGATGGCAACAACCTTGCTGCCCATGGCTTTCGCGTACTGAATACCAAGGTGTCCCAGCCCACCAACTCCAACAATAGCCAACCACTCTCCACTCTTCACCCCGGAAGCTAGCAGGGCCCCGTAGACAGTTGCCCCAGCGCAGAAAAGCGGCGCGGCCTCCACCATCGAAACCGACTCGGGGATCTTCGCGACCACCCGCGCATCGGCTTTCATATACTCCGAGAATCCACCGTTGATGGTGAGTCCAAGCATGCCGACCAACTTCTCACAGAGCTGCTGCCCTTGATGCCGGCATGCATTGCATTCACCACAGAATGCATAGGTGTTGATCGATCCCACACGGTCACCGACGTGGATCCCTGATTTATGCGCCTCCGAACCAGCTTTCACGACTGTGCCCGCGGGTTCGTGAGAGCCGACGAGGCCGGGTTTGGCGCCTGCAGAGGCATAAACGCCTTGGAGGACCTGGAGATCGGTGTGGCAGTAACCTGCTGCCCCGATTTTGACGAGGATGTCGTTGGGGCCGAGGTCGGCTGGGACCTCGATGTCGCGGACTTCGTAGCCTTTGTTGAAGTCCTTGACGACGGCCGCCTTCATTGATTTGGGGATTGACTCGGGCATTTTGTGATATTCACGAAATGCGATATGCTGTAAAGGATTTTGTAAAGTGCAAAGAAGGTGGGGGGGGTCTGGATGGAGCATTTGGTTAAGTATACAGGTGAATATCAGCTGTGATTGAATTTGGACGTCATCCATTGGATCCTGTTTAGTTCTCATTATCTTATGATAGATAAGGGTTCTTGTTTTATGAAATGCAGCAGCCAGATTAGCCCTGAAAACGGAAGTATACAAGTAGGACTTGGAATATGCAAGTGGTGATCAAACCGATGACGCAACGATTCGGTAAGGATCCCTGTCTTCGACGTCGCAGGCACTGAGGGTCATAAATCGAGTTATGTCCATTCAAGTGCTCATGTAATTCTCTATGCTCAGATTTCGAGAGGGTTCATAGGGTTCATGTGGGGTAGAGCCTGGGGTTGGCCCAAGGTTCTGATGGACGCCATCGTTACGCGGTGGCTTGTGTTCTAGTTCTTAGAAGACCACGGCCGCATTATTAAAACTGGAGCAAGTGGCCCCATTCTCTCCCCTCAGACCCATATATTTCTTTGTGTGACAAGATCCCAGAAGACGGAACCCATGCTCATAAATCGAAAACATGTGGTTTACCATCCCAATGTCCTTCCCCGCTGTGTGGCGGAGGGTGGCAGGGCACATTCTCGTCTCCGCCAATCTAAGCCATCGCCGCTCGGGTAGATGATATCAGATGAAATCATACCTTGCCACCTGGAGTGTTTATATTCTGTTGGGGCCTAATGATGAGCATAGCAACCTCCACGATTGTTATGATTTACGCAGCTATCTCGAGAGTGGGAGATTTACTAAGTTCTCTCCCAGCCTTTTCGATCCCATTTCAGTCTAGTCTGCATATCGCAGGATCTTCTTCTGCCACCATGTCCAGCTCCCGTTCCAGTTCCACCTACTTTTTCAGTTCCTCCATGAACTCTAGCGAAGGGACAAATTCTACCGGTCATCGATACGCGACCACTTCCCAAACCGATGCAGATGGAAATACGGTCGTGCGGACGGTTCGCCAGGATCTAGGACGACCTGCTATTGTAGAGGAGCGACATTACGATCGCACTGGGCAAGAACAGATACAGCTCCCTGGTCCTGAGGGGAGTTCTGCTGTTGGGATGAGACGCATCACCGACCTTGGTGAATAATTTAGAAGGTCGAAGTGGTTCTATATGAATTGTACAAAATTATTTCAATAAAGCGGCATCCAAAATTGACCAATCTTTGCGGCCAAAGCAGTATTCACGTTATAGAAGGACTGGCTTGTAGACTAGGGGTTTTCCCAAAATACGCGTCAGCTTTAATCTGGGTACCATAAAATTTGATTCTTCTTGCGTATAAAGGCCCTTCGAATGCTTGTTCGACTATACATCTTCATGGTGAGAGGCTGTTGCCCTTTTGATAGCCTCCCCATCTCGGTATTATCAACAATTCGGTCGCGTTGCGCACCAATAAATGCCCGCAGGCGATTGCGTTGCGTGAGTTCTGTCTTTCTGAGAACAACGAGCGACTGGTTCTAGATGAATATCTCGTCCATGTTTTCGGGGGCTCGCCGCGGGGATTCCGGGTGTTTATATGCCCTAAAAAGAGGCGAGTTGGATCGCCCTTGCTGGCTTCACGGTAAGCCGTCTACATGGCTGTTTGGCTCCATTACGGGGAAGGAATAAAGCACAAGCCATGGAAACATCTGACACCAAAGATCTACGAATCAAACCCATACCCCATGGGGCCAAGTGGGTCATGATAAGCGGCAGCTCTCGATAATGCACCGTCGTGGCTAGAAGAAAGTGGGGGGAAGGGGGGGAGCGGGGGACAAAGACAACAACATTGACTGCTTCTCATCCGACACTTGTCTTGTCCTCAGCTAACAGAATGTCCTTCATTCTTGTAACTGGTGCAACTGGCTTTACTGGGGCACACATTGTCGATGTGATCCTGTCGCGCGGCCTGCGGGTGCGCGGTGCAACTCGTTCGACAGCCATGGAGAAGCAATGATCAAAGCCCGCCCACAATATGCGGGCCAGTTTGACATTGTCCAAATTCAAGATTTTGAGAATCCAGGTGGCCTTACAGAAGCCGTAAAGGGCGTCGATGGCATAATCCACACAGCCAGCGTATCTCGCCCTGCCAATCGCAGACTAGACCAGAAGCTGACCGTTTTGTCCTATACAATAGCCATTGATGTATAATACAACAAACAACGAGAAAGAGCTCATTATTCCCGTTATCAACGGAGTCCGGGCAGTCATAGAGGCAGTTAAAGGCAGCTAGCACGAATCCGTCTATCCGTCGCATCGTGATCACATCTTCCTTCGCGTCCGTAGTTGATATCAATCGGAAGGGTCCACCTTACTTCACACACACCGGCAAAGACTGGAACCCTCTTACATATGAAGAGGCGGCAGACCCAGCTACCACCGCGGTGGTCGCCTATCGCGGCTCAAAGAAATTTGCCGAGCTCGAAGCATGGAATTACGTGAAAAATAACAAACCGTCATTCGACCTTGTCGCCTTGTGTCCGCCCATGACCTTCGGACCGGTCGTCCACTCAGTTGCAAATGTCGATCAGTTGAACAAGACGGATTCCATGCTATGGAGTGTCGCTGCAGGAAAAAGTCCACTGCCGACTGTCCATGTTCCTTTCTGGATCGATGTCCGTGATCTTGCTATTGCGCATGTGGAAGCTCTCCTTCGCGAGGAAGCGGGCGGCAAACGCTATATTCCAGCCTCTCCTCACGAATTCTCCTACTCGCAAGCTGCAGATATTATTGCAGCATCATTCTCATCTTTGAAAGAAGTTGTTTCGAAGGAAAGGCAGGCGATCGAAGACAATCATGGTGTGGATGGAGAGACCGCAGCCAAGGAGCTGGAGTATGGATACCACTCGTTTGAAGACACTGTGAAAGATTTTGTCACGCGGGCATTAGGTATAAGCAAATAAGATGATTAGGGGTACCAAGGCTTACAAGGTATTGGGTTTTCATTGACGCAAAATTGAAATCAGCTCTTCTTATAAATCTAGATCTCATCAATCAGCTATGGGAATAGCACCACCATATTGAAGGTCTTGCGAGCTGATCACACTCAACCAAATTACTCCAAAATCGGTACCCTTGACCCAAGTTCTCCATTGTATGAGCCTTAGACGTGGGAACCCACGCGGAGATCATGCATATAGGTCTTAAGTAATAATGATGGGCTCCATTAGTTATGCAGAAGGCCTGGCATTTGCGGAATCCAAACAACTATCTTTGAGCTCCTGGATGTTTAGGTTGTGGTTTAAATTGTGACAACATATTCGAACGTGGTCTTAGCTACATTTTCCCTCTACGTATACCATCAAGTCCATCTTCCTCTCAAGTCTATCTTCCAACCTCTGAAGCCATGAAAGGTCCAGACACGGCAACAGTTCTTTCATGTGACGAAGGAGTGGAATTATTCTTATTGCAATCAAGTATTTTATCGGTTCCTGCATCATTTGATAGATTGTTTCACGAGCTCATGGATTTCAAAGCAAGTGAACTGCCCGGGCAGATTCGCGGAAATCGGGAAGGGACAGCGTTAAGCCTATCAGCGCCTGGTCACCTGACCTTTTCCGCGGGAAGCTGTCAGGGCCATATCTTTCTCGGCGCGCACTTGACAACCTCAAATTCATATATCATGGCCACTCCAACTCGAAGCCTGCGACATTTGTCGTCCGTGAGGACGAAGACTGCCTCTCCAGTGACGTCGCTCACTACCCACCTCATCTACCGCACCTACGCCACCACCGACGGCAGCTCCGCAACATCCACACCAGGAATCACCCGGCGGCGAAAGACTTCTTTCCAAGATAAACTAAATGCCGGCCCCTCCTTCAGCGATTTTGTCTCCGGCGGCGGGGACAACGGCCCCCTCGAGCCCAACGAAGCTTATGCCCTGAAAACAGCCATGGTTGGACCCGCCGGCCGCAAGAAGGAAATGACCCGACTCCCCTCATGGCTGAAGACCCCGATCCCCGACTCAAAGAACTACCAACGCCTGAAGAAAGATCTTCGCGGCCTGAACCTGCACACCGTCTGCGAGGAAGCCCGCTGCCCTAATATCTCCGACTGCTGGGGCGGCAGCGACAAATCCGCTGCAACCGCCACCATTATGCTGATGGGCGATACGTGCACGCGCGGCTGCCGCTTCTGCAGCGTGAAGACCAACCGTGCCCCCGCCCCGCTGGACCCTCACGAACCCGAGAACACCGCTGAAGCGATTGCGCGGTGGGGTCTGGGCTACGTTGTCCTGACGACTGTGGATCGCGACGACCTCGCGGACGGCGGCGCCCGGCACTTCGCCGAGACGGTGATCAAGATCAAGCAGAAGGCGCCCAACATCCTTGTCGAGTGTCTGACCGGTGACTACCGGGGTGACACGGAGATGGCAAAGCTGGTTGCGCGATCAGGTCTGGATGTGTACGCGCACAACGTCGAGACCGTCGAGGCACTCACGCCGTATGTGCGTGATCGCCGTGCTACCTTCCAGCAATCGCTTCGGGTGCTGAAGGCGGCGAAGGAGGCGAAGCCAGATCTCATTACCAAGACATCTCTGATGCTGGGCTTTGGAGAGACGGATGAGCAGCTTTGGGATGCGCTGCGGCAACTGCGGGCTGTTGATACCGATGTTGTTACTTTCGGCCAGTACATGCGCCCTACCAAGCGGCATATGGCTGTTGAGGAGTATGTGACTCCGGATCGCTTTGAGCTGTGGCGCCAGCGGGCGCTTGATATGGGTTTCTTGTATTGTGCTTCCGGGCCGCTGGTCCGGAGTAGCTACAAGGCGGGTGAGGCTTTCATTGAGAATGTTCTCAAGAAGCGTCGCTCTGGAGCTGGTGCTGCGAAGGGTGCCGTCAATGACACTGTTGTTGCGGCCAATGAAGCTACCCATTAGTTGGGCGGAATTTCAAATAATAGACATGTTCCATGGGCTCCAGACGGGAATTCCTCGTGGTGGTTGAGCAGAACCTATGGTTCATTGGCGGGGGCGTTGATATTGCATTATTGGTTTGGGTCAAGGTGTTATCTCTCTTTCACTATTTCAACATGCAGTTCTTGTATCACCATAAGCGGTTCCTGTACAGCTGTATCGCGCAGGCTTATCTAAATTCATTTCTAAATTCTCCAGGCCTCTTATCCCTTCCCTTCCTCACGCCCGCCTTTGCAGAAGGGCACTGGGGTCCAATCAGATCTAGTACTCGCTATGAATGATTTATACCGGGAGGACCGTAGGACCGGATTCTTGTTCAGAATTTAGAGAAAGCATACGACTAGCAAGCAGACGGTTGCTGCTAACTGAAGAAGTTGGACATCTGGGTTCGAACCCTGAATTCTAAGCTAGATAGATCTACTGATCAGTAAACCTGGCGTGACCATACGACTTTATATCAAGAGGGCGATCATGTTATAAACTCGCCAAATCCTCCATATCTAATTTAAATGAGCCGAGACAGAGGGGGAAAATAAGAGAAAGAAAGAAAAGCAAAAGGGTATTGTTCGTTCAATGCACTTATTGGGCTTGCGTCCTTCACTCGGTGACTAAAATTGTATTCCTTGGCTTCGTACTCCATAATCAGTTATTCATCTCAATCAACTCCTCGATGTCTTCCTTCTCCAATCCAAGCAGGTACAGAATATCAACCAAGCTTTCTCCGTTAATGCGGGTGGGCGCTTCAAGCTGCACCTTAGACTTGGCACGCCAGGCAACGCCGAGTCCAGCAGCATCAAGCATGAGCAGATCATTCGCGCCATCGCCGACCGCTATGGTTTGAGAGAGAGGGATTTTGTTTTGCTCAGCGATGGACTTCAGAAGAGAGCACTTCTGGACTGCATCGATGATGGGGTAGGAGTCGACCAGTTTTCCGGTCAGAGTTTGTGTGGCGGTGTCGACTTCCAACTAAAGAAAGGGGGAAACATTAGTTCGTTGCCGCCAGTTGAAAGGGGATAAGACGCTTACATGGTTGGCGACTGCATAATCCAGACCCAGTTGTTCTGCCAGCCAGTCGGCTAATGGCTGGAAGCCACCACTCAAGACTGCCATTTTGTATCCGAGGGCCTTCAAAGCCCGGCACAGCTCGCGAGCGCCTGGGGCAATAGTGATCACGGACTTGAGCTTTTCGAACACATCCGCTGGAACGCCCTTCAGAAGCGCAACGCGCTCCTTCAGTGATGCAGAGAAGTCTAATTCACCGTTCATTGCGCGCTCGGTGATTTCCTACGTCGATGGGATTAGGGATTAGCTTATCAGGCTGGCCGAGGTGGGAAGGAACCGGCGACGTACCGAAACCTCCTTCTCCACGCCAACGAACTTGGCAATCTCATCAATGACCTCATTCTTAATGAGAGTACTATCCATATCAAATATAGCGAGGCGCTTATGTCGGCGGAACACACTCTCTTTCTGCAAAACGACCTCAACGTTCCACTCGCGCTCAAAGCGCCAAATACTCTCGTGCTTCCGCAGATCCTTGAAGGAGAGATACTTCGGATCTGGCGGCGGGGAGAATGTGACCTCGACTACACGAGGTTGCTCGGTACGGTCCAGACAGCGATGTGAAGTAGTCGTGCGCTGGTATGGGGTTGGGAGAGCCTCGAGGATCTGCAGGAAATTGGTCAAGCACAGCTGGGACACGTAAGGCCCGTATAAGTGATCTAGCGGCTCCGGCTCTGGGGCAGGTGGCTCGCGCGGGAATTTGTCCATGTCGGCCGTGGGCGCAGAGCCCTCGGGCACCTGGGGCGAGGGGAGTCTTTCGCCTGAGGTGGGATTTGGGGATGCATCGGGATGGAAGTGGGGGTGGACCGGGTTGGCGGATTTGTAGTAGATCGTAGCGACGATGCGAGGGGTACCGGTCGGTAGTGAATTGGCCTGAGGGTGGAAGATGCTGTGGATAATGCCGCTGTCGGTGACTCGCTCGGGGTCTGGGCTGATAGGGTTGGCTATTTTCAAGGTCTCCTCCATCTGCGCGCCGAGGACCTCCCCGATAGTCTGGTTAATGGGGATTGGCGGCTTATATTGCTGGTGGTCCTGAAGGAATGAGCTGCTGCGCATCTGGCCGAGAGAAGGCCGCTGGCGGGAAGGGATGGACTGTGCCATGATGAGGCTGATTGTTGAACTTTTGTGGTTGCAGCTCCTCCTGACAGGGAAAATGGTGAACGGCACGTGGGTAGGAGTGTGCTTGTTTGTTGCACATTTGGTTCCCCTCGATCCCTCGAACGGGGTAAGCTGTGTTCGAGAAATACGGAGTAAAGTTACAGGCCCGCCCTGCGGCGGCTGGGATGGGCCGGAATTACATTACATGGTCGGTATTTTTGTTACGACAGTCTGGACATTTTGGCTCTCAACTTCTCAATTGGACCCTAGTAGTTCGAACTTGATGGATATTTTGCAGAGTACCCTACCAAAGGTCGGGTTTCGCTGGGTCCTCCTTCTCCTTCGAAGTCTGTATGTCTGTGCGAGTCAAAGCATATCGAAGAAATGAAATGCAGGGACATGGCAGGAATCCGTTAGGCGCACAGGTGTACGCGCTGATTCCAGATCATCAGCGCACCAAGATCAGACCCAAGGGCAGCTTTTCCGAGTTCTGTTCATTTATCGAGTAATTTAGCCGCAGTTGCATAATGATCTTTCATCAGCAGGCATCCTGGGGAAATCCTATAGTCTTGGGGAATATTCGCAGCGTCGGGCCTCTGGCTCGATGTAGGGTTACCGGTACACGTGACAGTGCCTCCGAAGGAAACATCCCAAGATATTATTAGAAGCAAGGCAGATCGTGGAATGCGGTTCAAATATGGGAGGCGGAGGTCAAGGCTACCGAAAGTATGATAGTGAACTCTAAGGGAGTTTGATCGTAAAAAGGTCATTATCATTGTATTCGACTCCCTCACTGGGGTGTCGAACTTCTATGTACATGTTGGAGAGAAATCTGCAACTTGAATCTAATACTTTTCCAGGGTCGAAGCCCTTGGTCGTAGGAAAGGTAGGCGTCAGAGCTCGAGAATGCGGCTTCTGAAATTTGGTCCGTAACGCTGAAACGTAAAAGAAAGAACGGGCAAAAAGCTAAAGGTATCATCCAACCAACGCCGATGGATATGCGATAGGAAATGCAAGATATAAATGAAGAGGCTATCACTGAGCAGCAGTAGAGAGCTGAGAGTGAAGTGCTTGGGTCAGGGCCTCTTCCTGGCGCTTGCGTTCCATCTCCATCAAGTACTGGGCGTACTTGGAGCGGGGGTTGTGGATACCACACTCAGTCTTCTGCTGACCCTTCCAGCGACCAGAGCGCTCATCCTCGTTATCGGCGACAGGCTGGGTGGAGTGCCAGTCACCAACACTCTTATAGCCACGGTCAAGCAACACGTTGTAGGGGACGTTGTTCTCCCGGACGTACTGCTTGACTTGGTCGAAAGACCAGTTAGCCAAGGGGTTGACCTTGATCAGGCCGGCTTCGTCGACTTCGATAACGTCGAGGTCACCGCGCTTGCCACCTTGGCTGCGGCGACGGCCAGTGAGAACGGCGTGAACGTTCAGCTCGCGGTAAGCCCGCTGAGCAGGCTCAACCTTGGCAACCCAGTCATAGAGCTGGTCATCGGTCTCCCAAAGACGGGCACCATACTTAGCTTCAAACTCGGCGGTGGTTTCGGCACCGGCAGGCTTGTATACATGGATATTGTTGAGAGGATATTGCTTGCGTACCCGGTCAACCAGGTCCAGGGTCTCTTGAAAGTGGTACAGAGTGTCGAGGAAGATCAAATCAACCATCTGGGGGCGAGGAATATCAAGTTTGGACATCATGTCCAAAGTGACCAGGCCGGTCAGGCCGAAGGCAGTTGTTTGGAAGAGATGGGGCAGTGACGTGATGCACCATCGGAGAATTTCTGAATACCATGAGTCAAAATAAGAACTTTTGTATCATTGAGGGGGGCTCGAAGAGATAATACATACCCTGAGGCTCAAGGAATTGCAGCTGACGATTCAGAAACTTGAGATGGGGCTTGGTGAAGACGATCTCTGGGATGTATTCCTCGCTGGAACCGCCGCTCACATAGCCAGACTCGGTGATAGAGTCACGAGAATCCATGACGTCCATCTCGGAGGGGTATTGAACGGGTGCTTTGGCAGGCATCGTGATAAACGAGTCGAGTGTGTGAAATAGAAGTATAGACAGGCCGGGTAAAGATGCAAGGCTAAGGGATCACACAATAGCTCGAAAGATGGAAGACCAAAGTCGAAGGCAGAACCAGGAATAGACAATTGGAGAATATAAGCAAGAGATCCGGAACAAGCACGACATCGGAGCCTTCGTCCCTGGCAGCTCCTCGGGCATTGAACGCATCGACCCTCATTCTGCCGCGTTGCGATCGCGCAATCGCATATTACCGCCTGCCTTTTTAGGCCAAGGTTGCTGAAAAATTCGGTTCCTTTGGCTTCCGGAGCGAAATGCTTGCAATCACGCAATCACGCAATACTTGCGCTCTGGGTCTCTGCCGCTCCCCCTACCATAATGAACGCGAGATTGCGAACCGATGATGCTCGCCGGCCACTCCACAAAGCCTGAAAGCCCCATGGTTTCGGGTCCTCTTCCGTGCTAGTTGGTTGTGATAAGCTGAGCCTTTTGCCGGATGATAAATCATGACTTTGCAGGCTTGCCCCCTCCTGGACAAGGCATTGATCCCACTGACCCGGACCCAGTTATATTACGGCGCTGACCAATGCAGCTCTTGGACCTGCAGTTGAGTCATCTGTAAGAAAACGTCAGTACCTTCTAGAAATCCGGGGCGTATCTTTAAGCACTATACAGTAGGATCTAATGGTGTCGCGGTGGCGGGGAAGACGCCTTGGGGCTTCCAACTGGAATACGGCGTGTAGTTGTCTCGCCCCCGACTCGTACATCCCGCTCTAGATTGGCACGTGACGCGACCGGCCTTAGAGCTCCAGTTTGTGGTCATTCTTACATCACAATCCAGGTCCGGTGTTTACTTACACTGCGTAGTAGATCTATGTTGATTGTGTATCGGACACAGTCCACATTGTAGCTCAAATCTGGGACTGCTTCGATATTGACATGCTGCCAGATATATTGCCTCTTGCTAGCTCTACTTACTGCTATCATAGAGAAAGGCTCATACAGTATGATACGTCGACTCAGTACATATCCAAGTGGCAACCGAGGATCATATGTTTTATGGTTCTAGCAAGGGCCTCCACTTAAATTCAACAGCACTGGTCGATGCCTTTGGATCTTCACATCCCGCAATAAAGACCGTCCCTCGGTTATTCGTGAGCATGCTATTAACATGCCATGCCCCCAATAGCATGAAGCAGTTGACGACGGAATCTGTCCACTGCTAGGCAAGGCTCGAGTAGTAGAGCATCGTGGATGGTACTTGCACGCAGTGCCGGTGCATCTCTTGGCTTGGCTCCATCAACATGGTGAAAATTGTTCTTATCAAGGGGTTTCTAGAGGCTCCCTTTGGTGGGATAAGTAAGGTGGCTTGTTGAAGAACCTGATATTGTACATGTCCATTATCGAAATAGGTGCCATGATCCTGGTTACAATGAGGATTTTCTTTCCTTCTGTGGAGCTTTGTATCATACCTGATGCAAGTTCCGTTCTTCAAAGACTTCCCATGGTTAAGTGGTGATTCTGATATATGCCACCAGTGTCTGACTTTGGTTAAGGCCGTGACGGATACAAGCGCCGGATACCGATGGAACTGTACTCGGCGCCACGACTTCACGTTAGGGCTTACTATTTGTACCAGAATAATAAGTACAGCTGCTATCAAAGAAAAAAAGAATCGAAAAGAAAAAGGAAACAACGAGAACGGAAAGATCCCAGTATGAAAAGCCCCAAATGCCTCTACGCCTAAGCTTGTAAGAGAGAAATCAGCTGCTCAGTCTCTTGTCTCTTGAGTTGACAGCAGAGAGCGGGCATGGTTCGATTCTGTTGGGCTGGGGGTATTCGGTGCCGAATATTTTCAAAAGGAATGGCAGGCTATTTGCGGACTGTAGCGCATCTTGTCGGCTTATCGATTCATGACCATGTCCCTGATTTCGCTATGGAACAGCATACCTGTGTAAGTTCGGATGAACCTCGTGTGAGAACTGGCCTAGGCATTCATCACAGCATGTGCGACCATTCACACTGCAAGCAGTACATGGAGATATACCGTCACAGGTCACACGGCTTTTGGCACACTGTCGCATGCTTTGCGTCGGCGCTCTCTGTCTTGGTCGGTGCCCGGTGGAGGTTGAGACCTGATCTTGAGACGGCATTGGTAATGCCTGCAGAGGGAATCACTACCATATAATATTAGCCCGACTTGGCATAGAATAAGATCAGAAATAAAATTCATACTTTCTCAAATATTTCTTCCCACACAAATTGCATTGCACAGAGGATTATCGGCCACCTAATCGGCGGTACGGGCCGCATTCTGGGGTTATCCGAGAACACTCACGCGACGCTTCATGTCTTCGTAGATGGATCCGACGAGAGAATCCAATCTGGCAGGCTGAAGAAGTATAACCCGTGATTGGCATTGATTTATTCTGCCATATTCCGGTTGAACTTCAAGTTCTAGGCTGGTCGCTCATGCGAGGGTTGCGTAGGGACGGTACGTTTCGGTCGGGGATAACTTACTGGAAATACGAATACGAGCACGATTCATCTGATTTACCCGGAGATATTTGCTTTCCCCTAGCTCCGGTTAAAAGGGGCTTGCATAATCCTAGCTCTGTGTACATGAACTTATACAAAAAGAAAAGACATTACATCAAGGGAGATTGTATTTGAATGACGCTAGAATTGACTTTCCACTGAATTAAATACCCACGCTTGGAAAGTCCATGTTCACAGTCCTGTTGCCAGCCATACTGGCTCCATGCTACGAGGCCTACCTAGGTAGATAACCTAGGAAGAAGCAGGCAGCACCCAGGTAGTCACAGACTCGCTGGGGACATTGCCACTCCATTCCTGGCCACTGTTAGTAGAGACAGTGACATAAACGTCATTGCTGAAAAGGTTCTCAATAACAACCGACAGGCTTCCATCGGGGTTGAGAGAAGCAACAGACTGAATACCAGTACCGTCACTGTAAGAATAACTCCCGCTTCCATCAAGGATGATAGCACCCGTGGGAATGAACTTGCTGAACTGCGCGATCATGTAGTAAGATGTCTCGAACGTGTAGCCTCCGTTGTCACCAATAGTGACCAAACCGGCGCAGTCGGAACACCCACCACTGGATAAGTGAGGCCCGTCATTGGAGTTGGTCCCGAGGGTCCAGGCAATAACGCCCTGGGCCCAGTTCTGCAGGGGTCCCATAGTGAAGTCGGCGGCCTGGTTCCATGAGCCCTTTGGAGTCCAGCATTCAGTCATGTATTGGTTTACAGAAGGATTCTCGTTGTGGAAGGAGGTGAGGACGGTCCAGTTGACCGGGTTTGCGTAGCAGTGCCATGCGACCGAGTCAACGTACTGACCGGCGTCGTTGATGACGGTCTGGGGATAATCGGAGTTGTCTGTACATTGTTAGAGTATATCCGGCTTAAAATCCCTGTTGTAACCCAACATACCCGTGTTGTGGTCGTACGCCCAAATACCGGTGCTTAGACCAGCGTTGGATAAAGCAGGACCGACGTATTTCTGGATCAATTGTGCCGACTCATCGGCGTAGACATACATAGTAGGGTAGCCCGACTGGCTGTTCAGAGGCTCGTTCTGAATGGTGATAGCGTCGATCGAAGCGCCTTGATCCTTGTAGGCCTGGATGTACTTGACAAAGTACTGAGCAAAGGCGCTTGCGTAGCCGGAGGTGCCAACGCCGCTTCCCAAGTAACCATCATTCAGGTTGTTGTTATCCGTGGAGCCATCGAGTTTGCCATTCAGCTTCATCCAACCGGGAGCACTCCATGAAGAGCCAAGAATCTTCATGCTTGACTTCAAAGACTTCATAGACGCCAGGAGCTTAGCCATGGCCGTTCCCCGGTCCCCCAGCCCAAAACTCGCGAGCGATGTGTCAGGGGAGCCGCCATTGTCATCATACGTGTAGGCCGGGTCGCCAGAAAGATCAGATGAAGCGATAGTGTGACGGAAGAGGGAGAAGTCAGCACCGGAGCTCGTCACCAGATCATTCAACAGGCTTTGTAGGTCTGAGCTAGAAAGCGTGTTGAATGAAGTGACAGTGGCATCGGTGACTGCCGCCCCGAAACCCACAATTGTTTGCTTGTGTCCATTGCTCGAATCGTCAACGGTCAGTTTCCATGTGGAGCTGGACCCGGGACTTCCAGCCCCCTGCACGGGCGCACTGATGGAAGAAAGCTTATAGTTGCCGGCAGAGTTGGAACTGTAGGCCGAGGCAGATCCTGCGCGCTTCTCAGCAGCTTGGGTAAAGGCAGCAAGACCGAGCAGAGTCAACACAAGCATGGTGATAGCTATATAGAACCTGACCCTGAAGGATAGCGGAGCATCCACGGGGGCCACATTGTGCTTTATATGTGCCCCAAAGAGCAATGCAAAAGGTCCTATGGGCGCACGGTGTGGAGTCTTCCAAGGTTGTTGACACGGTTTTGTTCACGGAGTTTAGGCACGAAACATGGCCCCCAATTGCACGAACGGTCAAGCCTTCTACGCCCCGATTTGGTTTCTCCTCGCCAATGGCAAACAAGTGGACCTCCAAATGCTTGATTCTAAGCCTATCCGGCTCGGAGAAACCGGCATATTATGATGCATGTGCCTTTTACACACCTTCAGGGGATATGCCGACGGACCCACAGCCATCACCCCGTCACTTCAGCTCAAGCCACAGCGCTACTAGACAATACGACTCTGTGATTATGCAGATCTCTAGTCCCGAATAGTATAATCGTCATACATATTATTTGAGGCATAATTAGCCCGAGTTTACCGAAAGTTTGCCGCAAATTGGCATAGCCCCAACCCTTCGAATAGCGCAATCCCTTGCTACATCTCCTGTAGAATAGGATTGTCACGCCCTTGATTTTGAAGAAACAGCAACTGAGATGTGTGGGAGTCTGTGACATATATGGATCATGCAGTCAATAGGATTTCCTTCAACCTGGAACCATATTCTAGTATTAGTCATACAGCATTTTCCTGTCCAGGTGATCGGCCCCAATCAACGATCTGCGACGTGATCCTCCCCGAGGGGCAACAGAGCACCGAACAAAACAGCCGTGCTTTCGAGTGCCTTCGATGAACGCGGAATGAGATATTCCTTCTCCAGGCAATTGGGAAAATATCAACAATGACGTGCGCAAATTTCAGGCCACCAGCAAACCCTGGTCTCTATGAAGGAAGCCTGAATCGCGCGAAAGCCACTTGAATTTGAATGCCTGGCTGGCGACAGCTATTTAACGTCTTGTTCATCTCAAGCAAAGAAGTCAATCAACATCTAGTTATCCTAGTGATCCAAAGAGCTCGGATCCAGTTTACTTCTTCCAAACAATGTCTTACCCCAATTACACGCTCGTTCCTGTGGAATCGGAGGACCTGCCGGTTCTGGCACAATTTCTTCACTCCTCGAAGCAGGCGCTCAGTATCAATCGTTTGATTTTCCTCGACTGGCCTAATGACAAGATCCAAATGAGAATGTACTCGGGGGCTGTCAAAGGCGGCTTCGAGGACCCCAGCATCAAGAACTTCAAGGCGGTCGATAACGACACCAAGGAAATCATCGGATACATTGCGTTTGCGAAGAAAGCCGTGGCCACGAAAGAGGAAATTGAGGCGCAAAACAAGAACTTTGCAGAACAGAAGACTCCCGAGGGAATAAACCCCCCCCTCTTTACGCCGAGGTGAACAATGCCATTCTGCAAATTTCTAAAGATTTCCACAAGATCGAGCACGTTGGTAAGAATTGTCCTGTGCCGCGTAGCCCGTTCATTGCTAACTTTATGTAGAACTTGTTTACATGTGTGTCAGAATTGAGCTGCAGAGACGTGGAATTGGTTCCAGTCTGGTGAAGCTTGCGACCGACCAGGCTAAGGAAGAGAACATTCCTTTTACAGCTTTTGCCGAGGCGCCTGCTTTAGGTTTCTTTGAGAAGCTGGGAATGCAGGAGACCAGACATGTGGATATAGATCTGCGTAAATATGCTGCGCCGAACTGCGGATTTGGACCTTTCCGATTGACCGGGATGATTTTGAACCCTTGATTTGGATCGCTTTCTACCCGTAAATCTAGCACGAAGGATTCCCTATATGAATACAATCATAGAATCTTGAAGGAGCTTTTTATTCACTGAGGTACCGACCTTCCTGCAATAGTAGACGTGAAAATTTGGGATCCTACAATAAAATGACTCCCCAAAAGGCCCGTACTAGCACGACTCTCCAGTAACGACATCTGACTTACCAAGCAACTTGCTTCCGTCATATGCCTCAACCCGCACGTATGCAGCGAAGGATTCCAAGTTAAATGAATTCTCAAAGCCGTCCTTAGCAACCTTTCCAAGCTGTGACAGGCTTTCCCTGGAGCTCCCACCATAAACGACCCAATCAGTCACGTCAGTAGCACCATTCCAGCTCATATAAACCACCTTATCACTACCACAGGCCTTGGGCGGGTAGTGAGGAGTGGCATGCCAGATCTGGCGGTAGGATCGGTAGGACATTACCAAGTCGTTCTCGCCGAAGGTCAGGGTCATACGGGGGTTGCCATCAGGGCCGAATTCCTTGATCTTCGGGATACTTCCGTAGCCAATAAGAGTGTTTCCATTGGGCAAGGGCCAGAATGATCCCTGGGAATCAGTGTAGATAGGATCCGTGGGATCTTCAAATACTTCCAGGAGTGTGGCGGTCTTCTCCTTTAAATCCAGGCTTAGCTTCAGACCGGAAGTGGTAGTGGTATTGTCCCAGTTGGTGTTGTTGTTGTTGAACCAATGGATCTCGACAGATGAGTCGGTCAAGTTATAGCCGCGAGCATGATGTTGCCATCTCTTTTATATCATTAGCATGTATTTGGATAATGCAGAGTGTACGGGTAGTACATACGAAGAGATCAGCGAAAGGCAGCACAAAGTCACCGCCATCGCCGCCATCAATTCGCCATTCAATGCCCCCCTTGCTGTCGAGCAGGTAGGTAGACCAAGTGTGACGAGAATTGACAAGGTACTTGTTCCCAATACGTTGCACGGCATTCATGTGGAACCAATCCCAGGGCGTTCCCTTGGTGCCGTCCCCTGCATCACCGCTGCTAAAAGTAGCCTTCGACTGATTGAAAGAGATACCGGCCTCGTAAGGGCTCCAGCGGAACACGGTCTCATTAGTCTTGACATCGATCTCGTAGAACATGGTATCCCATATCCACCCGTCTGGTGGACCGCCCACGGAAGTCAGGTTGGCGGTAGTCGCATTGACCGCAGTCACCAGGATAGTTCCTTCATCAGTGATGAAGGACTCGTGGAGATCGTTGTAGCAGTCGTGAGATGTTCCGTCGGAAGTGACAAAGTCGCCTTGAAGACAGATCTCGTAGATGGCACTGTAGGTATCGTCGACAATTGTAGTGGAACCGTATCCATGGCCGGTATTAGAGCCAGTACCCCGCCAATGGGACAAAACCGGTCTTCCATCAAGTTGTTGGACAAAGAGGTTGGTCTGCGGCTTCGCGGTGTCGCCGTTCCATACAAGCTCGCCATCATCAGTCATTATCATCGCCGAAGCAAGTTCCTTTGCAGCAATGTTGGCTCGGCTTTCAGTGGAAGGAGTGAAGAGGATCAGACCTTCTGCTATCGCCTCCTCATTTTTCTCAATGTCAAAGATGGGAGGATGAAAATCTGGTTCGGTCACGAATGTTTGATAGGGCCATTTCCCAGCCTCTGTAGTGGCATAAGCAGAGCCTATAGCCAGCAAGACAAGACTGGTCGTTGGACTTGTAAAAGATATCATACTGGCAGGAGCTTCAATGCTCAGATGTGGTGGTTAATTTTTTTCCTTTTTTTTGGAGATAAACCCCTGCTATTTCAGGGTTCTCTGATTTTGCAGAATGATGCAATCGCCATATTCGCCCAAAACAGTAGCATTGTCCGTCCCCGCTCACTAGATGGGCAGTTAACTTAGGTTCAAGTTATTAAATCGTAGCTAACAAAGCAATTGCGCAATCGTCCACTACGCGAAACAAGTACAGGGATTAATATATTAAGTACCCGGATGTAGAGCGGAGGTTCTCGACGCACGATAACTTTCGTCATTTTTAGGCTTTCTGAAACGTCCCGAGCGCCTTGCGGCTTAAATTACCGATCGATAAGATGGATGAGCACCTTCTTTGGCCAGTAGAATCGTTAGGCGTAACCGGCACGATGACGCCGTTGTCAATATGAGGCTGGTCAGCACGTGGGAACGCACACGCATGCAAAATCTGAGGATTCCAGTCTCCATATTATTTCATGCATGAAAGACATGCATTACCATGCGGTATTGGAAGGGGCCGGAGCTCGAGATCGCGCCCTGTCCTCCAAAGCGACCGGAGGGTTTCGCAGTTTCGGCGAAACTGCTCGAGTTCTCAACCGATCCGTGGCGTAGTCTCCAGGGGTAGGGTTTGTCCATCTTCAAGCTGAGCAACGAGCTAGCCGCTTTTTCTATCCGCGTCTACTCGAAGAATCTGGAGTAAAAGGGAATTCGACCTTAACTTGAACCCCGATACTTGCCCTGTGTCTGTGCTCATGGTTACGTGCACTGTCGTATTCGTATAGCGTTTGTGCATAATCAAGATTTGCACCCAGTCCAGCAGAATCACCTGATCTCTGCATCCTAAAGGGTAACACCTGGCGCTCTGATTCAGGAAATACGAGATTCGGTGGAGCGACCGAATGAAGTGGGGCCATCCCAGCAGCATACCGGCAATGATTCGAGACACCCATGGTCGCCTAGAGGAAAGCGTAGGATCAATCGTTTTTTGACGGGTAGTGGAAATCCTTTAGATAACACTCGAACTACCGTGGATGTCCAGAAACTCACAATGCTACCTGAGTAAACCGGGGCCTCTCCCCTAAAAGCTGCGCCAGCAAACGCCCGTTTTGCCCCAAAATAAAAGGGGGCCAGATCCTGCCGACGATGGAAGAAGATCGGAAGATCGCAGAGGCTGCTGAGATCAAGACGAATCCAGTTCATATACTCCAGATACCAACGCTCACAACGCCGCCACCGAGAATCCGGTGGTTACCGCGAGTGCCGCTCCCACGCGAGACCCAAGTTTCAAAGATTACCTTCGGGTGTTCAGTTATGCACGGCGATGGGACATTGCGCTCATGGCGGCGGCCGGGGTCGCCAGTATTGGAGCCGGAATCACGATGCCTCTCATGACGGTCGTCTTTGGGAGGCTGGTCGCCAATTTCAGCGAGTTTGGCGGGGGTAACGGGCCAACCAAGGCAGACTTCAGTCACACCTTGGACAGGCAGTGCTTGTACATGCTTGCCCTTTTCATCGCGCGCTTGGGTCTCAACTATATCAATAAGGTAAGATCGCCGTCACGCCTGGATGGGCGCAGTACTGAAGCTACCGCCGATAGTTCTCGTTCCGCATCATCGGCATTCGCATGTCGGCCAAGATCAGATTGCACTACCTTCAATCCTTGTTCGGCCAGACGGTCCATGTGTTGGATTCCATGCCGTCGGGCTCCGCTGCGGCCACCATTACAGCGACGGCAAACACCCTCCAGCTCGGAATTTCCGAGAAGCTGGGGATTTTCCTCGAGTACATGGCCACTATCATTTCCGCCATCGTGGTCGCATTCACTTACTCCTGGTCGGTAACGTTGGTCACTAGCTCAACATTATTGTTCATTGTCCTTGCCTTGGGATTCCTTCTCCCCTTGGCCATCAAATACCATGCACAACTCACCAAGGCCGAGTCAAAAGCCGATTCGGTTGCAGCCGAGGCCTTCAGTGCCATCCGTATGATTGCTTCGTGTGGAGCTGAGACTCGGACCGTCGAGAAATATTCGGAATGGATCCGCGAAGCCAGACAGGCAGGGCAAAAGATTGGCCCCGTTATAGCTGTCCAGATGGGTCTGATTTTCTTCAGTTTCCAAGCTGGGTTTGCTCTGGCTTTCTGGTTCGGCACCAAGTCTTATGTAGCGGGTCGTGTCGATAACGTGGGCACTGTCGTTGTTGTTTTAATGAGTGTAATGCTCATGGTGTATGTCGACCCGTTCCCCATTTCCACCCGATTTTTTTTCCAAGAATAGCAAGCTGACCAGGTGTAAGAACCTCTCTTTCTCAGGTCTCCGCACCGCTTATCGCAATTTCGAAGGCTTTAGTGGCTGCATCAGATTTCTTTGCTGTCATAGATACCCCCCGGCCGGTAGTCGGAACTATTCAGGAACCGGTGGTGAATTCGACTTCGGATATCATTTTCGAAGACGTCCACTTCGCTTATCCTAGTCGCCCCTCAAAGAAGATTCTGGATGGACTCAACTTGCGCATCCAAGCCAACAAAAGCACTGCTATAGTCGGTCCCAGTGGGTCGGGGAAGAGCACCATCGTGGGTCTCATTGAAGGATGGTATACCTTAAATGATCAGCCTACCATCGCCAAAATTATCGAAAAGAAAAAGAAGCAGAAGGGCAAGAAGGATGACGATGATGAGAGCGAGAATGGGAAGGAACCTCAAGCCTCTCTTGAAGACCTGGGACCCCGTGTGGCGCTCAAGGGCAGCATCTCTACTTGCGGCCACGAGATTAAAGATATCAACATCAAATGGTGGCGTTCGCAGATTGGCCTGGTGCAACAAGAACCATTTCTTTTCAATCAGACTATTCACCAAAATGTCGCTTCTGGCTTGATTGGAACCCAATGGGAAGACGAATCCGAGGAGAAGAAACGTGAAATGGTGAAAGAGGCCTGTAAAGAAAGCTTCGCAGACGAGTTCATCCACAAGCTGCCGGACGCCTATGACACACAAGTGGGTGAATCCGGAATCAAGCTCAGCGGTGGGCAACGACAACGAATCGCGATTGCTCGGAGCATCATCTCGAAGCCAAGTATTCTCATTCTGGATGAAGCCACTTCTTCAATCGATGTCCGCGGTGAAAGGATTGTACAGGCAGCTCTTGAAAGAGCGTCGAAGGGTCGCACCACGATCACCATCGCCCACCGGTTATCCACCATAAGAAACGCTGATCAAATCGTTGTCCTTCAACATGGGAAGATCGCCGAGCAGGGAACTCATGCCGCTCTGATGGCTAAGGCCGATGGTATCTACAAGGGCCTGGTCAATATGCAGCAGCTTTCTCTCGGGGAGGGAGACGAGAGTAATCCTGTGAGCCAAGAACGTCCAGACGCGATACCCGAGCCCGAGAAACACGCGATTGAAAGCAATGATGCCAAGTCAGAGAGAAGCTCGCGGTGGGAGAAGCTGAAGCTATTCAACAGCTTCGGACGACTTCTGCAGGAGCAAAGAAGCAGGTTTCCCTTCTACGCCCTTGCCTTGATCTTCTCCGCGGGGGCCGCCACTGCGGTTCCCCTGCAAGCATGGTTCTTTGCTCATGTTATCTCCGTTTTCTCAGAAACAGGACAACGTCTCCACCATGATTCGGCCTTCTGGTCCAAGTGGTGGGCTGTCCTCGCAGCCGGGGTTGGTGTCTGTTATTTCATTGTGATAGGAGTATCAACCAACGTCGAGCATTTCATTGCAGCCGTCTATCGCCAAGAATACTTCGAGTCAATCCTCCTACAGAAAATCTCGTACTTCGACCACGAGGACCATGCAACCGGTCAATTAACGGCCCGGCTTTCCAGCGACCCCAATTCTCTAAAGGAACTTCTAGGGGTGAACACATGTATGCTCCTGGTTGGAGTTTTCTCGCTCATCGGGTCTCTCGCCATATCCTTCGCGTACGGCTGGAAACTGGCGCTTGTCGCCTTATGCGTCATTCTACCCCTCAGTGTCGGAGCAAGCTTTCACCGGATCCGCTACGAGATGCAGTTCAACGAAATGAACGAAGCGGTTTTCAAAGAGAGCTCCAAGTTCGGAGCCGAATCGATCGGCGCGTTCCGGACTGTCTCTGCTCTGGTTATGGAAGATAGTATCTGCGACCGATACGAGAACCTCCTCCACGGCCACGTGGTGTCCGCGTACAAAAAGGCGCGATGGACTTCGCTCATCTTCGCGTTTGCAGACAGTATCGGCTTAGCGTGCCAGGCCCTCATCTTATGGTATGGCGGTCGTTTACTTCTCAGCGGGGAGTACAGCGTCTTTTCTTTCTTCGTGACTTATATGTCCGTAATCCAGGGAGCGGAGTCTGCTGGTCAATGGCTCAGCTTCGGACCAAATGCTATTTTGGCTTCGACGGCCGCAAATCGAATTATGGGTGTTCGCAGCACCCGCGTTAATACTGGACAGGGGTCTTCGGGCACTCTCCCCGACACGACCGAGGGCGTGAAAATCGAGTTCAAGGACGTGTACTTCAAACACCCTTATCGTGATATCCCGATCTTCAAGGGCCTGAACCTCACTATTGAAAAGGGGCAATACGCCGCCCTCGTTGGTGCCTCTGGGTCCGGAAAGACATCCATCGTTTCGCTCATCGAGCGGTTCTACGAGGTTGATGATGGCCGCGTCCTGTTGAACGGGCAAGATATCACCACTCTCGGTCTCCATGAATACCGCCGAGTTCTGTCACTGGTGGCTCAGGAGCCATCTCTCTTTGCGGGCACCATTCGTGAGAATATTCTGCTGGGTGTCAACGAAGGCGAGGTAACAGAAGAACAGCTGCACCAATGCTGCCGCGACGCAAACATCCATGATTTCATCATCTCTCTTCCTGAAGGATACAACACACAGATCGGCAGCAAGGGCGTCAGTCTCAGTGGAGGGCAAAAGCAGAGACTCTCGATCGCACGTGCCATAGTTCGGAGCCCACAGGTCCTGCTCTTGGACGAGGCGACAAGTTCGTTGGATTCTGAGAGCGAGAAGCTTGTACAGGCAGCATTTGAACGGGCTAGGAAGGGCCGCACTACGATTTCTGTGGCGCACCGCCTGGCTACAATCCAGAATGCAGATGTGATTTACGTTCTCGGAGAAGGCAAAGTGCTGGAGAAAGGCACGCACTCGGCACTCTTGAAATTGAGGGGGGGTTTATTGGCAGATGGTAAGCTAATAAGTTTCTGTTTGTCTTGCATTATATCGCTCGGCTAACACTGAACTAGTGTCAAAACCAGGCCCTCGATCTTTAGGGGTGGTGATCAGGAAAGGCCCATGTCAACCAATGGACTCCAAGTCAATGCTTCGCGTCATCTGTCTCGACTTCTAAAGGAATGCTTGTAAATTATCCATAGAAAACCTCCTCTTAATTTCAAAATCTCTCCCCCACTTTCAACTATGCACCTGATCATGTCTGCTACTACGTACAAGTAATAGGGAGACCTTCGGCAGCTGAAACTTGACATTGGACAACTTGAAGGACTGTAATATCAATATACATGTTCTGGGATATGTCTTTCTTCAGCTTGAGGTAGCGCTAGGCTAGATGAAACATTCTAAATGCTGGTGGTCCATATGCATCATCACCGCGTTCAAACTCGAATCTTTAAATAGCAGACCTTCTGTCAATAGCTGGGAGGGTAGCTGCAATACATCCACAGGCAACTCATTGGCATTTCTTAATCACCGAATAGTGAAACCTCCATCAACACGGATATCTGCGCCATTGATCATCCCGCTAGAATCCTATCCAAACCATCAGCATCCCTATACAAGAGATCATATGATACAGACATACCTGGCAAAGAAACAGAACCGAGTCCGCAACCTCCTCAGGCAGCGCAAACTTGCCGGTCGGGATGGTTTTCAAGAATGCCTCTCGCACGGTGTCCTCGCCCCAGGCCTTCTGGCCGAGAGCCGTCCACGCCACTGTGGGGGAGACGGCGTTCGCGGTAATGCCACGGCCTCCCCACTCGGAAGCCATGCTCCGCGTGAGACCCAGCAGTCCAGCCTTCGAAGCACAGTACGCACCATGCCGGTGCAATGCCGCATGGGCAGCCTGAGACGAGATGCTAACGATCCGTCCAGGCGGCGCAGGGCTGGTGGAGGACTCGGCGACTTTCGAGGCCGCGAAGTAGAGATTCGCAAAGGCCTGGGAGCAGAGCATGGGGCCCAGGATGTTGACATTCAGGTGCCTGATGGTTTCTTCGGGGGGCGTGAGCTCCATGTCGCTCAGCGACACGTAGCCAGCTGTGTTGACCAGAATGCTGGGGAACGCCCTCTCGGTCGGTGAACTCGATTCCGGCGCGACCAACTCCTCGTTCAAAGAGGCAAAGGCCGACCGTACAGAATCGGGGGATGTGATATCGCATTCGTAGGCGTGCACGCCTTCGGGGTTCGCGCTGCCATAGCTCGTCTCGAGCAGCTGGTCTTTTTTAGCTGCTTCGAACGGGGCGTAGAGAATGGCGAGGCGAGCTCCCTGCTGTCTTAATTTCTGGCCGATGCTGGTTCCCAGGCCACCTGTCGAGTGGGCATTAGTGTTGGAATCTTGCGATCCTGCGACATTAATACCTACCCAGGCCTCCGGGGAGGATTGCTAAACGACGACTGAACGCCATAGTCTCGTTAGATTTGTTGCGATTGGCACTTTTGTTCGGGATTGTCTCGCAGTAGGTGTGTGCTGTGCGTGCTGCAAGCGTGGTTCCACGTCTGTTTCGACCCCTCGCAGAAGGAGGGGAAGGCGACGTTTTTAAGTAATTTGGGAGAACAGGACGGCCAAATGTGCTTGACTACTGCGTAGATCCAAGTCAGGAGCTTTCTACTAGTATGCCCAGCGGTATAGATAGAGCTGAGATATTCAGGACCTAAAGCCTTGGAGCTAAGCGCCTTGTGACTCTGGACCCGGATAAATTACGGAATGGAGCAGCTTGCGCTCGGAAGTCCAGCGCGAATCGCTTGCTACGTCACGCATGTTCCTTTCGCCAGAATCTTCGTGGATTTGGTGGATCTGGTGGATCTCGTGGACCCCGTGGGGCGTTGGAGCGGGTTCCCGATTTCGGAATCCCGGTCTATGGGGTCTTACATTCTATGCAAGCGGACCTTCTTTGTGGAAGGACAGCCTTAGACCACCGTAGCCAGTCCTGACTCGCTGACTCTCCTTGTTAACGCTAATTGGATGGGGTTTTGGGATCTCATCACTACTGAGCGCAAAGATAGCCGCTTGTAATTTTTGCGGATCAGAGAAGTCTTGGGAGGATTTGATTCTCGAAAAATACATTGACATTGACGGAAGTCTAAGGAAAGTTGTTTAAAGAAACTCTGTTACCTATCGCTACTTCTTCTCCTGTTCTTCGATTTCGTTGCTTCAGTGTTACTACTTGTATTGTATAAGCTATCCCTCCCCCTGTTCTTTAATTTTGGCATACCAGTATTATTGCTTGTATACTCCCAAAGACACCAATTTATCACTCCTATCAAGTCATCACTAGATGAGTCAACGTACAAGAACACATAGACTCGTGTACATGCCTAAAGGCCTCACTGGCCCATTCACTTGCAGCGTAGAAGCTTAAGCGCGCAACTTCAATATTTCAATTTTGGCAAAATTCGGGTCAGTTCAAAAGCAAAAGAGTTTGTCGAACTTGAACTTTTAGTGTCTAACTATCGGCATCGGCATCCCCTTTCTCATAAGCTCGCCAAAATAACGTCATTCGCTGGATGGACCTCGCCAAATCGAAGCTCTGCCCGATTGCTGGAAAGGCTTTGGAAAACGGCAATCTTCTCTTTTGCAGGATGTGCATGCCATGTCTTATTGCAGTGCACGTTCGACGCCGCCAAGCTTAATTCAACTCAGTTGCGCGGTAGGAGCAAGTGGCCTCCAAGCAAGAGTAATCCTCGAGTATCGGCAAATCTGAGATTGGCCAGCCCTTCATGGGCGGATGAGCTACCGCATCCCATCTCTTGGCTACACATTGCATGCACCTGGACGACGCCACTTCACCTGCCTCATGGTCTGTGGCGCCATGATAGAGAACGAGGTGTTTCCTCAAGCCATCATGGAAAAAATCCAGAAATGATGGCAGAGGAACCGTGCGGCTGAACTGCCAGGGCATGGGTTCCGGGTTCTCGGCCAGGTGTGTCTTCTGACAAAGGGCGGCCACCTCGCTGTACCGCTCCATCCACAGGCGGTTAACCCAAGAGATGGCGATGATGGCTCCGTCTTCACCTGGACGTGGATGCCCCTGTTCACAGGTGATTCCATGCGCCGCCCAGATCCCCTTCAGCTCGTCGTTCACGGAAGCGAGGAAAGCAGCGTTTTTTGTCGTGGAATCCTCTGTCAACATCTGTCGGCACGCGGTTGCCGCATTGTAAGCAGCAATAGGGAGTATAAGCTTCTCCAGGTGCGCAACGTTACGAGACAGGAGGAGAGGAGTTGTGCCGTGAGCGTTAGGATGAAGAAGGCGGACCTCGCACCACCCGCCTCGAGTGAACCTCGTGAACAATGCATAGTGAAGATCCCAGGACCAGCTCTCATGTTCTTCAGCGCGGTCTCCTTCGGCTTTGGGTACAGGGATGGTGATGCAGATAAGTTCTTTCCACCCCAAAAGGAAATTTGCCAAGGAGAGAGACTGGTGCAAGTTGTTTCCGCAGTTATGGGCGTTCATGATGGCCCGGTTCAGGACGATTGCATCATAAAGCTTCCATTTAGAAGGATCACTTTTCATGGCGTTGAGGTATGTCAGCAAAGACTCGCAGCTGCTTGCGTTGGAATGGAAGGTGGCCATTTTGACTGGGCACAAGGTTGGCGGTTGCTTCGATGCTCTGGTAGCGCTCTGGGGGTATGGGAGCTTGCGAACGGTAACGTGTAAGGAAGCAGAAATGGCAAGTAATGAGGAACTCTCAGCTGGGTGAAGGAAGTGAAGGAACATACAAGAGGTGAATGGAAAGTACGCTTCTTCTCATTCACTTTACTGGATTCTGGGATGAAACAGCATAAGTGAGCTGAAGTGGAGAGATCATCGATCGAATTTCCATCAAGCATGATACAATTTGGAACTCTGTCTACGGATCCAGTACAAGATCAGAGTCTTCCTGGAAGTCACAGCTGCACCGATTCAACGGACTCTGGTCGATCCAGTCACTTGGTTGCTTATTGCTCAGCAGCGGGAGGACCATATATCAGCGGGTTTCAAAAACCCTGACGCTACGAACTACAAACGGCGGTTGCTGCTCTTTCTAGTTTCGTCATGCCAGGAGTTACAAGACTTCCTGGCGCAAGAGAGATATACGTGGGCACACCTCTCTGATCCTGTACCATGGGGGCTTCAGACAGCATGTTGAGACGACCCTGGCACTTTTTAGACAAGTCCATGTTGAGTGCATCGGTGTCATGGTAAACAATATCCACCAGAAGCCCCAGGCAGACGAAGGCGCTATTCTACGAGTTCACTCACCTGGGCCTGGTAACGACCATGACCAGCAAAATAACCGCAGCAAACCGCACGCCTACATAGAAACAGTTAATGGAGTCTGCCACGCCAAAGTGGCGAGACAAGAAAGAGGGAGTCAAGCAAGCATGTCCTTTCGCTGGTATTATCCAGATCAAGTTTGAACGGTATTTCTCAGAACGAAGTGATACTTGGAAGAAGTAAAACTTCGAACACCCGCCATGCGCGTGACTAACTGAACTGTACTTACCCGGCTTCTCCCTTGGGGTGAAGCCTTCGCTGCCCAGGGCAGACTGCGAGCCGTCTGTACAAAAGTCTTCTCCTAGATCGTTCCCAGCTTTCAAACCGAGACTGGTTCAGCGGAAACGGTGCCGGCTTCCTTTTGCTCAGCGGAGAGATTGGTTTCAGAACCAGTGTTGGTCTCCAGGTGCTGGAACCATTCCTTTTGAGACTTGCGCCACCACTCGCACAGTGCAAGAATGGTAACACCGCCCATGATGACAATGGCATAGTTGAATAAGCTTGAGTCTTTGTCGATCAGGCTGTTTCCATACTGCGGGGCGCAAAGCACGGAGAAGGCAAAGCCATTCCAGGCAAATGTGACAATAGCCGCAATAACTCCAAAACGGCCCATGTCCCAGAAGCCCGGTCGGAATGACTTTCGAGATATAAAGGTGCGACCGAATCCAACAAGGCCGTATGCCGCGATGGATCCAGCTGCAGATGTTGAGATCAAGCTTGAGAAGGCGACCTGGGAAGGCAGTTGGGTGCAGAGCAGGAGAGCTGCGATGGTCGCAATGAAGATGACTGCATTGTGAGGCTGCTTTGACTTGGAGACACGGGAGAGCACATCACTAAAAGGGAAGACACCATCGCGCGCCACAGCAAAGACCAGCCGGGATACGGCAACCAAGGAGATGGACGTGTTCAGAATGGAACCGATCATTGAGATGATGGTCATGACCACATGGGCGTGCGGGCCAAGTGCCAGCGCGTACATCTGGATGAAAGGCTGCGGCGCACTTGTATCATAAAACGTCTCAATCGAAGGCATGCAGAAAAGGAAGAGAACGATGATCGGAAACCCACACAGCGCGGAAGCAACTGTTGCCCAGAACACACCCTTAGCAGCGGCCTTCTTCGCAGAAACGGTTTCCTCGGCCACATGACCCGACGCGTCTTGACCTACGAGGCAACTCGCCGGGAGGAACCAGGAGAGTACCCAGTTGAGGCTCGGGGTCACATCGCCACCATTATATGTGGAGGTGAAGACGAATTCCGCAGACTGAAACCCGTACGTTTTCGAAACGCCGATTGGGAGCCAAATGAAATTGAGCAGCATGTCGATGACGATAACCGTGAAGCCGGCGCGGAAAACCCAAGAGTACATGCGCGGCGGCAGGAAGTTCATGGCCGTTGCAATTCCCAAGAAAGCCAACGAAAACGCCCAGGCGATGGCTCGTGCGCGGACGTCAGACGTGCTGTGGGGGAAGCTTGTTTCCGGATCGAACACCACCACTTCCGACACGAGGTAGTTGGCAACCCCGAACGAGTCGCTGGCCAGAAACGCAGTCCAAGCGACCAAGGTCCATGCTGCTACCATAAACGAGATGAAGCGGCCGACGCGGCCTCCTCCCCAAGATCGGAACGCCCAGTAGTAGATCGATCCCGCAGCGGGGTAGGCAGAGCAGGCTTCGGCGAGACATGCGGCAGTGATGATTGAGAGAACACTCCCAGAGACCCAGGAACTCCACCTGCAGGAAAGTCATTAGAAAGAGACCGGAGCGACCCATATGCGACAGACTTACATGGCAGCAGGTCCGCCGCCACTTAATGCGATGTAGAATAGCACGCGAATACCTCCGATGCAGTACAGTGCCGAGAAAGAGCACGCAAAGTTATCGAAGCTTCCCCAGCCTCTGGCCAGTACAGCTTTGTATCCTAGCTTCAGAAGCTCACGGTCATCCTCGTCCGCAACCTGATCATTCGAAGTCTCGTTGGCCGTTACAGGCCGAGAGACAGAGGCCGATTGAACAGACACCATGTCAGAAAAGCGCAGATTGGAAGCGAATCAGCCTGGTAACGCAGTCCAGAAGCAATTTTCAATGTGCTTGTTGAAGGAAACTGCGACTTTCAAGGAGCTGGCAGAGGTTTCTCGGAGATTTTCTCGTATAAGAAAATCCATGGTTTCCAGGTTTTTTTTAGGTTTTTGGCGTCACGCGGTCACGTGTGTTGCTCAATTGCCTCAACGGGGTCTTTCCCCTTAAGGCCATGAACAGAGAGTAACTATGAGAAGGAGACTCAGGCACCATTCTGGAAGGGCGATAGTGATCTATGATACTTCGAGGCCTTTACTCCTTTCGCATGGTGCAGAATAGGGGTCATGCGTGGCTCCAACTTCAAAGGACCGGCGGTCTTCAGCCTGCACTTTCCGTGCAACATTCGGCCAAATAGTCCCTTTGTCCGGCCTGCACTACTTAAATCGGCTAATCGGTTAATTGGCCCAGGGCCACAAAACAACTGGACCGAGACGGTTGCTCTCGAGTTCTGCCGAAATATATCCGGAATGAAAATCTCCGGCGTTTCGTGTTTCGCGAGTGGGGTTAACGGCGCGAGTTATTCCATCTATGACGCGCTCTCCGCCAATGACCCCCTATTCACTCTATCCTCAGAGATTATACTCTGTTGGTATTGAACTCTCATGGCTTCATTGACTTCTTCTTAATCCTGGATCGCAGTCGATTCCCAGGCGGAGGAGATCTGAACAGACACTACTAATAGTTAGAGAACAAATCGTGGAGGCCAATCACGAGGTGCCAAACCCCCTCGATCTCCTCTCGTTTCAAATAGGCTGAATATGAAACCTTTTTCAGAAGGCAGTTCCGGAGAAATTAACATGTCTGCTATCAGTCCCCACCAAGCTATGTCTATATAAGCCAAAGGGGATCTCTTCACGTCGTACTGGTACTACGACACAGCATCACAACTTGAAGACTTCCTACCAACGAGCCTTGAGTATTTTGATTATGGGATTCTTGAAGAATATCCTTCTGGCGTCAGCCCTGATTTTGGGCGTAAGCGCATTGCCGGGGGACCACCATAAGCGACAGACAATTACTTCGAGCCAAACAGGAACAAACAATGGATACTACTACTCGTTCTGGACCAACGGAGGTGGCTCGGTAGAATACACCAATGGGAACGGAGGCGAGTACAGCGTCAGATGGGAAAATTGCGGCGACTTCACTTCAGGCAAAGGCTGGGCTACTGGCAGTGACCGGTAAGATATTTTCCCCACCCTTTGCGGCACAGGTTAACAGTCAAATTAGCGATATTACATTCTCTGGATCCTTCAATCCTTCCGGGAACGCCTATCTTGCTATTTATGGGTGGACCACCGGCCCTCTAGTCGAGTACTATATCCTCGAGAACTATGGGGATTACAATCCCGGCAACTCGATGACGCACAAGGGTACAGTCACCAGTGATGGCTCCGTCTACGATATCTACGAGCACCAGCAAGTCAACCAGCCATCTATCTCCGGTACTGCTACCTTCAACCAATACTGGTCCATCCGCAGAAATACTCGCTCAAGTGGAACCGTAACCACTGCCAACCACTTCAAAGCGTGGGCCTCTCTCGGCATGAACATGGGTAGCTTCAACTATCAGATTGTCTCCACTGAAGGCTATCAGAGTAGTGGATCCTCCACGATCACTGTTTCTTGAGCCTTGAGAATGTTGAGTCTTGGTTGGAGTCAAGTTGACAAGAAATGTGCCGGTCATATTATCGAGGGATGAGTTTCAGTGAGAGGAAGTCACAAGCGAAGCCAGGATCTTTCACCAACCAGAAAACTTAAAACTTTCCGGCTGGCCAAGCTTAGTTCCCACCGTATAATTGAACTCTTTACTCGAAACCTCCAAACCCTACTCGATACCTTTCCTCTTTGCCTTAGATTTCAGTATCCTTTCGACAACTTGAGTAAATTGTTACTTTCCTGGGTATCTCGATTCAAGGACTAACCACAAATTCTTCCTGTTCTCTCCGCCGCCGAGCTGAAATGATGGCTTCCCTACTTGTCGCCGAGCCAGGTCCGGAGGTCAGGTTATTAAGGATTGCCTTATAATCAAAGGCCGTCAATCCATCCTCATCCACTTCATCGCCTCTGATCTTCCCAGATGCCATCAGAAGATCGGCAATATAATTGTGTTCGTGCATGACCGCGGCGTGCAACGGCGTCCTTCCATAGTTATCCTGTATATCAGGGCGGATGCCGTCAGACTGGAGCATAACCTTCACGAATCCCGCATTGCCGCGACGGGCAGCATAATGAAGGGGTGTTTTGCCATATGTATCGGTTCCGTTACAATCGACGCCTTCGTACTCGAGAAGAGTTTTTGTCACTCCAATATTGCCATGTTGAGCTGCGACATGCATAATTGTCCGTGTTTTGGAATTGATGCCATGGCCGTGTATCTCAAACGGCTGATGAAGGCGTTTTGAGTCGAGAAGGATTCTCATGACTGGGATATTTGCTGACTTGACGGCTCGGTGTAGAGGTGTTCCCATGTTGTAGTCCAGGAGGTTGGGATCGGTTGATTCTAATCCAATCAACTCTTTGGCGACCAATTCGGTACCGAGGGTCAGGGCGGCTATGTGCAGCGGCGTTTGGCCCAATTTGTCTTGCGCGTTCAAGTTCACTTTTCCGGACTTGAGGAGAATGGCTGCGGCTTCTGTATTCCCGTATGCGATAGCGCGGTGAAGAGGGGTTTGGCCTTCCGAGTCCTGCAGATCGAGTTTCGCAGATGGGAAGCTCAAAATGGTCTTGGCAGTAGATTTATTTGAAGAGCGCTGGAGAGCGAGGTGTAGTGGTGTTTGATCGAAATGATCTGTGGCATTGATATTCACAACTCCTGACTCGAGGAGCAATCGGACTGTGGAATCATGGCCGTTCAGAGACGCTACGTGGAGGGCATTTTGTCCCTTTTCGTCAGCTATACCGGCATCAACCTTTTCTGAGTCGACCAAATTTTTGACTATCGCATCATGGCCGGAAGAAGCGGCGAGGTGGAGAGGAGTCCTGCCAGAAGAGTCCGCAGTATTCGGGTTAATCTTGCCTGAATGCAAGAGCAAAGTGACAATAGGCTCGATTCCCCTTTCTGCAGCAAGAAGAAGCAGTTTATTAATTTCATCACTCTTTTCCAGGTCCAAGATGGGACCATTAAGTAGACGAAGAAGAAGATCGTCGGGGTTTGATGCTTCGGACGCTGTCTGTAAGGTGCAAAGGATATGGTACAAGCAATTACATTTTGCATATGTAAGGAACCGGAAATCGTGATTGGATACCGTCTCCGGCCTTGGACGGTACTGAGCCATAGTCTTCCCCATATTGAACCCCGGGGTTCTTCTCAGCTTTAAGAGGTTTAAGGCGAGCTCTCGTGCCGCTGATGGAACGGCAAGGTTCGACCGAATGATTGCGGCCGGTGCTGAACTAGATTGCAGTTGCGGAATCACTCGGGTTGAGACTTGAGTCTCGAAAATTCCATAGTTGAGATATGTGACTATGGTATCGGTCATTCGTTTGTGCGCCTCGTGGAATGTAAATTTAGACTCGTTCGTTGACTCGGGGCCGATCAAGAACTGCCTGACGCTGCCATGAACAAGCCTGACAGTGTTCTCCTCTTCATCAAGGGTAAGTAGGCTTCCACAGCAGGCCAGTGTGGCAAATATGTCATTAATGAGTTTGGCAGAATCCCAGACAGTGTCTCCTGGTACGACACTAAGGGCCTCTCGGAGTTCATCCAGTGTCAAGGGATATCGAGCAGCGACAATCAATTCTAAGATTCGCCTTTGGTTTGATTTCGCAATACTCGAGTCATCAACTCTTCGCAGAATGCGGGAGAATGTCCCAGAGAGTGTCTGGGGCAAGTCTGCAAGAGCCTGACGGATCGACTCATCTGTTCCCATCGCACAAAGGTTATCGATCTGAAGAGCAACCCAAAGAAACATCCCTTGGGACCCTTTCAGAAGTGCATCTTGGATTTCGAGAACTAAAAGGGGGTCTCGCATGGTCAATTTGCCGGATTTGATCCGATCCTCAAGCTCAGTTTCTATAAATGCCTCAATGTCACTCGAGTTGTCGGGGATGGCAGCAATCAACGGATCGGCTAACTCTTCCCATTCAGGGTCAATTCCATGTGGGTCGCGAGGCTCTTTGCGTACAGATTGACAAAGAAGCACCGAAAACTTCTGCTGCAGCCAGCGAAGCTCTTGGAGCACGACTTGTCGGTCGGCAACTTCACATTCATCCAGACCATCGATCACTAGGAAGGCCCGAAAGCTTGGGCTCAAAGTGCCGTCAAGAAGACGCCTGATGCTCGCATATTCATCTAGGTCATCGTTGAGGTTGTACGCTTCACTTGTTTCTTGCAGGCGAGGGGCTCTCCACAGAAGCTGGCGAGCCAAGGAGCCGATTATTGTACGCGGCCTTAGGCTTGCAGGCATATCATGTCTACAGAAGAAGAATGCAACTGACACATTCTGCCCTTGGGCGAAAAGGTGAAGGTCGTCCACGATGTTAGCAAGGAGTACGGATTTGCCGAATCCTAGCCGTCCTGTCAATATGAGTGAGGAAGAATGAACCCGCGACCTCCATTCAACGTAAGGAGAAAATTGTCGGAAAAGGGTGGTGCTTCCTGCTTTTCTTAGCTGTTTCCACGTAGACATGTAGTCGTAGCTTGAACAAAAATCCAATGCATTCAGATAAGCTTTCATCTGGCGCTGGTGGGTAACTTCTTTCGAGGGTTTTCTTGACCAGATCTGAGTTACAAGGCTTGCTTGTTCCTCGATCCTTTGGGCCATGAGATAATTAGCTTCATCTCTGATCTCCTTGGCCCAGGATTCCAGCTGGGACTGGAAACTGATCAGATCTGCATCATTGAGCGTTGCCCCAATTTTTCCGATGGTTGATTTTTGGGTGAATCGCAACATCTGATGGCAAAGGCGAACGACGACACCGAAGTACTCAAACAGGAAAGACTGCAAATCTTTAGAGCGAGGGTATAGCAAGGCCAGCTTTTCATAGCGCGGTGCTGAGCGGCCAATCACCATGAAAAGGCTGGACACCTTCTCAAAATAGGTGGAGAATTGCAAGATTAGCTACATAAAGGTCTCAGTATCGACTCGAAAACAGGCAGTCAAGGAATACTGACCATCAGCGAGGTTCTCACAAGGGCCCAGACTCCACTTGCGACCAGGTTCTGCGAACCTCCGACCAATGTATCCCCGAGCGCAGCGAACTGCTGCACGGACTGGAGGAAATTGGTGGTCCGAGTCCCCAGGCAGCGACCACGGAACTTGGTAGACAGCTGCTCGTCAATTTCTGCAGTAAGTTGCATAACATCTTGAATAGAAGGAGGCTTCTGGCTCGCCCGAGCTCGATGATGGTTGAACTGTGCTTTTTGGTCACCAGTCAGGTCTGCTTCGTACTCGGAAACGGCCTGAGCCAGGCGGATCGCAGGCTTCAGCCGCGGTGCAGGTATAAGCCCTTGCGGCAGCGCGACCATCCCGGCCTTCTCGATGGATATGAAATTACGACTCAATGCATTTGGGCAGAGGCGCGACACCGGTTTTGTGGGGCGCAACTTGCATGACGTTGGTACGTAAGCAGAGGGACTGGGCCATGTAGCACGGTGCTCGCATTCCCAGGCTAGTAATTATGTGTATCCGGAGTATTGAACATAAACTTAGCAAATATTAGGCTTTTCGCGGTAGAGGGGCAGAGGGGCAGAACCACGGACAGGGGAAATGAGGTAGAAGTGGGTCGTTCTTATAACGAATCACCTGATAGCCAGCCGTGTGGCCCCATTCCACGCTAATTAAGCTCGTTAGCTAGGAGCCTGCAGCAAAGATGGCGGGCTTGTTAACCCTTTTGACAGCTGTTGATTGGAACAGGTTGTATTTAATGTTGACGAGTCTTCGTCTTAGGGAGAATGTCGGAAACGTAAATACCATATATCTTTTGCGTTGGACGGGAATTTGACAGGGAGCAAAAAAAAGTTTCAAAGGGAAAAAAGAAATTGCTCACGTCCAGATTTGAACTGAAGACCTCAGCATGGCAAGACTCCGGAAGCGAAGTGACATACTAGTGCTGCGCTCTACCAACTGAGCTACGCGAGCTGGTTCATGTCGTCGGATAAAAATATTGACAATATGAGAGATCAGATACTGATATACGCTTGCCTGCTGGGATCCGAATCCCGCAGCCCGCCCCGAGTCAATTCTAATGACATTGAACAAAATAACATTAGCGCCTCATCTAAATCACCCTTCACCTTTCGATAATTTTCTGCCAGCCATAGTTGGGATGCTTTCTACAATCTTAGACAGCCTTCAACGATATAATACACTGGAAACTACCACCGATAGTGACTCAAAGGCGGCATTGAGTGCCTCGGGCGTAGAATATATATAGGAGAGGTGTTGGTCTATGATCACCCTATATAACGGTTGCACTTGTGGCCCTTTTGACAGAATCTCATTGAGGCATGATCCAATGCTGAACGTACCGCAGGCCGGATGCGACCGTGATAAGAGCTACCGCACCAATGACTGCCAGTAGTACTGTACTACGGCAATTGTGTTCTCCATCTAGACTTCATGCATAGCCCACAGATGGGCCCCTGTTACGGGCCTCAATGGACTCTAAGGGATTTGGTCCTGGCCCGTAACATACGAATGTGCCTATGCCCTGTACTCAAAGCCTAGCCCGTTCGTAGATTTGGTTGGACTGTGAGCGTCGTCAGCTATGTAGACCCCTGGAGGTCTGTTCAAAGATGACAGGTCAAGTAATTGGTCAGGGGTATGGATCCGACAGATGATCATGAGTCATCAAATCAGCTCGCGTAGCTCAGTTGGTAGAGCGCAGCACTAGTATGTCACTTCGCTTCCGGAGTCTTGCCATGCTGAGGTCTTCAGTTCAAATCTGGACGTGAGCAATTTCTTTTTTCCCTTTTTTTGCTTGGATATCTTCATTCTTCCAACGCCCCCATTCTCCCCTTTTTGATTTTGTTACTGTTACTGTTTCTTTTTTTACTCCCTTACTCCCTTCACCAGTCTCTTACAAAGGCCCATCGGGTGAACTACGAAGCCTGACTAGCATACCATGGTCATTGCCTCTTCAATGAATTGATGAACAAGATGGTTGCCTAAGTTACATCCACAGAGAACGCTGGGCCTTATTTCCAAATCATTGTGTCGGAACTAGGATTCGAATGTCCCTTCGTAAACTCGCGCATACGCAACATCAATGATTGATCTTCCCAAGCGAGTGTTGTTCGGGGGTTCAGTAGGGAATCAAAAGCCTTATTGATTCCGGTACTAGAGCCCTTGTCCTATTGAGCCTTGCCACCCCCGGCGCGGCCTTGGCCTTCGCAGCCTTCATCTTCGCCTCTTTACGTGCCTTGTCGTTTGCTTTCTGCTGCTTCCGCCTCTCACGTATTGCCTGGGCCTTTCGCTCCTCCTCAGCTAACGACCATTCCGCCCATGCCCTGAGCCCGTCGGGGTGTCTAAGGCACCATCTGACAACGTTCCTAGAGGCACAAGCATCCTCAAGAGCGCTGTGGCCCCACCCATTCTGAATGTCGTATCCAAGTAGCCATCGGGTCAGATTCTTGAGCGACCAGATGCGTGGGAAGCGCTTGCTAGGCGGGTGTTCCGGCCATACAGCCTCAGCCGTAATCAGAGCCGAATCTACAACCCGCCTGTGGATGATGCCAAGTACATTGAGGTCGTTTTGTAGGGAATGGCCAACCAGGATCGTCTTGTCATCGATGACCTGCCACAGTACCTCCCGCGCGGCATGCCACCCATAAATCGCAAGCCCGTTGGCAATAGCCCAGTCCATGCCTTGCTCCGTGAGACCGCTCCACGGGGTGAGCCAGTTCACCACTGGATGCAGGGGCTTGACGTAGTTGTTGATAAGGACCTTGCCAGTGAAGAAGTCGATTGCTGCCAGGAAGGCGAGCTCGTGTGCACCGCCGGCAACCTGGACCATTTCGCAGTCGAGGGCTACGACTCGTGAGGGCATGGCAAATGGGGACTCGACTTCGGGGGTTTGCTGGAAAGTGGCGATCTGCCGAACGTTTTTGGTAGAGACGTTCGAGTCTGATTTCATTTTGAATCCATGGGCTTCGAGACGGGATTGCGAATGAGCTTTTGCCTTCAGCTCGCGATAAACCACCTCTGCTTCACTGGCATTCATCGCAGTGGAAATCGGAAGGAGCCCCCTGCCGACGGTCAGCTGGGGGGGTTGGAAACAAATTTCAAAGCATTTCCAGCACTTGCGTCAAATTGAGTCGTTGGCCGGGACTGTCAATTCCTCTGCGTGTGGACAGAGAACCGGTGAAGCTGGCAGGATTGGGGAGAGCTTTTGCGATGTGGGTCTGGGTGTTTGCAGGAAGCCTTAGTAGGTTGCTTGAGAAAAAACTTGTAAGTTGGCGTGTCGAGAAGTTAGTTGCGCCCTCAAGCATGGGTTGGCAGTATTATTGGGAGAAAAAGAGGACCTGCTTGTTGCGCAGGTGTCTGGTGATGTGAGGTTATATGACCTCTCAGACCAGCCCGGCTTTTGAATATTCTGACAAAACACTGGGACATGAAAGAAAACTAGATCTGCCATATTCAAGCATTTATTGGAAATTTTCATAGATTAGTACAGTAATAAATGAAGCTCAGTTAGGAGGCAGTCTAGCTTACAACCTCACAGGTTAGATAATATCCCTTGGTTAGCTCTGAACCAGGTCGTGTCAAGCGCCGATTAACAGATGGAAGAGAGAGATCGAGCTTTCTGGCAGTACGCAGTGCCCCAGAGCGAAAGGAGAGCTGGAATAGATACCAACAAAGAAAAATGATTGCTACGGACCAACGAGCGTTACAAGAGAAGACTTGGGCTACCTAATTTTGCTCTCTCGAAATAGCACGACCCAGTTCACAACCGAATATCGAAGCTCCATAAATCAATTGTACCTCCTTGTCATTGCAGCTTCGCCTCGCACCACGATTTAATGATCTGGCGCTATTGTGTTCCACCTACCACATTTTATTCATTACTGCATCACGCAATTCCTGGGCCACTTCCTACCTGCCACACCATATCCAAATCCCACCCGCATACTGCAAAGATCGTTTACGGGAGCAGAGATGACAAGTCGTCCACCTCCTCCGTTGGGTTGCTCTGATCCTGCTTAGCAGCCTGCGCGAACATGATCAACAATGCACCCAGACAAGTTTTGATATGCTCTAGCGTCTCCTCCCAAGTACGAGCCTCATACAGACGGTTTTTCAACTCAATATCAGCCTCCGCCAAAGTCGTGCCCTCCGGAAAGCCATAAGCGCTCAGATGAATGGGGCGTAGAGGAAGCCGATACTTGAAGCGCCATTCACAGCCCCGGCAGAAGTAGCGGGGATGGTGCCTTCAAGGAAGCTCTTGACATAGGGCATCTCGACATGCGCCCAGCCATAGAAGGTGTCTTGGGGCTCTGGGAATGCATTCCTTGGGAAGCGAGTAGTGCTGCAGTCGAAAGACGTAACGATTGGCTGACTGTGAACCCAGCCGTACTCGGGGAAGTCCCTCTGCTCTCGGAAATAACGGTACATGTTGCCGGTGATTTTATCTTTGGGGTTGGGGAAGCGGCCCCGGTCTGGGCTGATATTTTCAGCTTGCTCGAAGCATTCCGCGATCGTGCCCCATTTACGCATTGCAGCCAAGATGGCACATTTTATCGGGATGAGGATATGTTCCTCCTCCACAATCTTGAGTTTACCTTGCGGAATCACTCTGTCAGTGCAGATGAGGTAAGGGATCTTTTGCAAGTCCTCAATGTTGAGAGCGAAACCGTTGCAGGCGTCGATGGCCTTTATGAGCCAGAAGCCGTAGTTTTCTCTAAGGCACTTGTAGCACACACGCTCGCAGGTCGGGACATAAAGGAGTGGACCGTTTGTCTCAGCGGAGCCGTTTCGCTTGCAGTCTCGGCAGTAAGGCCATTCAAGCTCAGTTCGAAGAGCACGTAGGGGCACCCATGGGTCAAGGGCAGTCTGCACGAGGATCTCACGAATACGAGGGAGATACTGCATAACCATCCTGTAGCTCGCGTTGGTCTCGACGACGTAATGGGCAAGGCGGCAGGTTTTAGAGAATGCCAAGAGGCTGCGAAGTTCGAGGTCGTCAATAATCTGGCTGAGGATCTCGTTCGATAGAACTTCGAGAGAACCCAACGTAGTGTTGTGTTCGAGCGTGGGGAGCAGGGCTTGGGTAGACGGGCGTTGCGAGTTGAATTTGGAGCCCCTGAGGGGTCTGTAGGGAGCATCACGTCGCGTGACGGCAAACTTGAGGTCGTCTTCAGACCAGTTGTTGGTATCGGTGTATTTGCTCCAATTCGGACTCTCCATAGAAGCAGTTGCTCGGTTCAGAATTGCACGTCGCAGTTCTCCCCAGGACGATTCGCGTATGGCGGCATTCCGAGACCTCAAGTGGAAGGCCAGGAATGGGATGTTCATCGCCATGCTGGTGATTCAGAAGGGACACAAGACGAAGAAGCAGTGCAAAATAGACCGGAAAACTGTGGAGTTCTAGATAAAATGAATGGCTCTTTAGACGACACGGGCAGGTTCGCCGTCAAGAGAAAGAGGTAGCTGGAGATCTTCAAGATGACGAGAGAATGGCGAAGATTGAAGGGGACGGAGAAGAAGAAGGAGAAGAGGGGGGGGGGAAACAAATCTAGTATGAGCAGAAGAGGAAACAGATAAACAATGGCAGAATAAGCTGGTAGATCTTGTGACGCCTGCAAGTAACGACATTGGCTCCGCTTCTGACCTTCTGAGAAAAGGGAGAGGGTCATTCACTGCGGGCCTTGATCGGAACTTGCAAACTACTCAGTCATTTAGTGTATATTGGTATCCCTTCAACCTTCGTGCTACCTCCTACTAGTAATACTGAAGCCATTGATACGCATGCTATCTAGATATTGTGTAGTAACATAAGGTGTTGGACACCTCCCAGGAGAAACCGAAAGCTAAGAACAAATAGTACAAACATGACGCTACGGCCCGGGGTTGGTTGGCGCAAAATGCCAACTGAATGGGGCTGTATACTCCAATATTATGAAATTGTATTTGTGCACGCAAAGGGTGGTGGTGTACATGGCCAGCTGGCCCTAAGATATGTCTATATACTAGCACGGAATTCGCGAATACCCCGTGGAAGCTGTTCACCGTGGTGAAAAGCGGCTTTACTCTACCTCCTCCATAGGATTAGGCAGTTGCCCAGTTCGTACAACGTAGTCATCCTCATCTCCCTCGTTAGACGGACCATCAGCCATATCCTCGTCACCACCATCGGATTCATCAGAGTCTCCGCTTCGAGGGCCTTTACCCTTCTTTCCAGCAGCGGCTTTCCCCTTGCCCTTGCTGCTTGTGTTAGAATTACCACTGGCACTACGAACAATGCTGCCAGGCCATTGCCTTAGGCCCTTGAGGCGATCGTGAATGCTGCCTGAAAAGCTGTGGTCTCCGTTACTCGTTGGTGTCGCACTGGGGGACATGGGAGGGGCGATCTCCCCCATGCTGAATGCCTCCATGGCATCGGCAATTGTCTGCGGAGCTGCGGAATTTGATTCTTGCTTCGATTTATCGACTGACTCAAACGTTTGACGGATCCGTTCGAAGTGCTCAAGTTCCTTGGCGCTGTTTCCTGTTAGTTCCCCTCTTGACGTAGGTTGGGTTTACAACGTACCTAACACTGGGGACAAGCTCTCTCTGGGCGGCTAAAAAGTCTTCCTCAGTCACCAACACGGAAACATCCTCCGGGGTTGCTAAATGGTCGAAGAAGTATGCAGTACTGACAGGCCCCCCCCGGTAGCTGTTTGATCTTCTCGTCCACTGCGGTAGACTTCCGGGTGATAGCCTTCAGCATTGCATCAGAACAAAGAGCATATAAATCGGCACCGGTGAATGTCAACGGAAGCTGTTCAGCGACCCGGTCAAGAGAAACCTCAGGGTGCAGAGCGAACTTGCGAGTAAGAGCTTCCAAAATCGTAGCCTGTTTTCGGTGTGTATCTGACACACCCAAGTAAAGCATTTTGTCGAATCGACCAGGTCGCAAAAGGGCAGTATCCAGTAAATCAGGACGATTCGTTGCGCCAATGACGAAAACGCCACCGCTATTCTCTTCGCCGCCGTTCATGCCATCCAGCTCTGCGAGAAGCTGACTGACAATACGATCCATGACACCGCCACTGTCACCCTGGTTACCGCGCTTCGGTGCAACCGAGTCCAATTCGTCGAAGAATACCACACAAGGGCGAGCATCTCGAGCACGCTGGAACACACGGCGCACGTTCGCTTCTGATTCACCAATATACATGTTCAGCAACTCAGGGCCCTTGACTGAGAAGAAATTCAGAGAGAATTCCGTGGCAATGGCCTTGGCAAGCAGAGTCTTTCCGGTACCAGGAGGTCCATAGAACAGAATACCACTGCGCTTCTTCATGCCCTTGGCGAAGAGCTCGGGGCGTTCAAGTGGCAACTGAATAGTCTCTGTCAGGGCATCCTTGACATTACTCAACCCACCAACATCATCCCAGCTAACATTCGGAATCTTGGGTGCGCCGATAGAATCGGCAAAATTCTTTCGAGCAGCTTCAACGGCTGTATCGAAATCGGCTTTGGTGACACCCCGTGCCCCATCGCCCCCAGCGAGCAGGACATCGCGGACGCTGACCTCTGCGCCGGGGAGTTGCTTAGTTGCAGTTTCAGCAAGACCCTCGATACGTGCAGTGCGAGCCGCAGCAGCCCGTTCGACGACATCGACCAAATCTCCCGCGACGAGCGCTGCAGTCTTCAGGGCCACAGTTCCGAGTTCCACATCCGCGGCCAATTTGATGCCGCGCTCGGCAACGGCATTGCGTAGAATTCCCTCACGCTCTTTTCTTCCGGCGCACCGAGTTCAAACTCGTGCGTGAACATACTGCGGATTCCTTCGGGGATTTGCTCGACGTCCGTAGTTGTAGCAATGACTACTCGAGCCTCATTGATAATCTCAGTCATGGCAGTGACCATGCGGTCAGCTGTGAGCACCTCAATGTGCTTAATGAGCAATGCAGTACAGTTCGCTCCGCAATGGAATGCGCGCTCGGCCCGAGCTTTGAGATACGCCTCCGTCTTAACATCGCCGCCATTAGCTCCACCCTCCGTCAAGATATCATATGAATCGATGGGAAACGTATGGAGACCAATATCTGCACAAGCGCGAGTCGCAAGGGTCGCCTTTCCAATATGTCTTTGTTGAGAGCGAAGAAGGATGACAACAGGCTTCATCCCAAGCTGAATAGCTCGTGGGCTTGTAGACGCAGCCATTAAATCACGGATTCTCTGCTGGAGCGGTGGAATGAAAGCTTGAGGAGGTTCTGTCATAATACCATGAGGGGCTGGGATATCTCCCACTGTCTTCGGGATAGTCTTTACTCCCAGCCAATATTCCCAACCGTTGCCCAAAACCCCAGGAACCCGGCTTACATCGCTGCCAGCCTGTACCATGCGCGTGCTAGACGGATCGAGGACTGCAACGCCGCCCCACTGGTCTTCGCCAGTTTCCTCCAATTCTTCCACGATAGTTGGTACAACTTGACCCACGCGGAACCAGGCGACACCAACCTTGCGAGGGCCCGAGTCTTCAGAAGCCGAGCCCTGGCCTAGACGGGAAGTAATGTCATCTTCTTGGCTTGCGTTGTCACCGCTAGAACTCGCAGAGAACACAGCTCGGCCAAGGCCCTCATCGACACTGATTCCGACCAGGTCTCCGCTCTTCAAGATCCGCCGACGGGATTCAAAATACTGCTTGAGACCAGCAAAAAGCGCTGGCTGGAGAACTCGGTCCATGGAAAGGGGCGTGGAGACCTTCAGAAGCGTGACTTCCTTTGCAAGTGGAGGGTTACGTATAGCACTGTTCTTCATATGATGCAATAGCCCTGGTTTTGGAGCTTGACTGGCAGCGGCGAATGTCATGGGCGAAATGCGCAGGTATTTGGGGTTCTCAATGTTGCTCAGCAAAAGCGGTGGCACAAATATTGAGGGGGTTAGACGAGTCGGAAGACGTTGCGAAAAGCTCGATCGACGGGCACCGGAAGGGTTGATGGCATAGCGAGGCTTCGGAGATGGCAGTCCTGGAAGACCAAAGACCTTGACTGGCCGCCAATCTCCAGGTTCTTCCGGAGAATCATTGAAGCTTCCAAGCTTGAGGGAAGCGAACATGTTCAACTGCGGTTCCTCGGCGGCCTCAATGCGAACCCAGTCACCCGAGAAGCAGCCGATCTTTGCCAGCGTACTGATATCAACAAAGACAAAAGAGTCAACGTCCTCATCATCGCGAGGACGTGGATGCAAAACTTCATTGGGCACTTGTTGCAAAAGTCCCTCCACTTTGAAAACCTTGCCATTGGTGCGACCGGGGCGCATAGTCGCGGAGGTAAAAGTCGAGGTCACGGAGCCGGGGGTATGAATTCCATCTGCCCGCCGCCCACCCGCACGAGGCGTCGCAGACGTAATAGAAGACATTACGCCTGATGGTGCCTGCGGCAACTCAGGGGCAGACAGAGATATCATGTCTTCCAAGGAGTCTTCCGAAGAATCACTAGCAGACCCAATGGAACCTTCTGTTTCCGACTCCTCCGCCGCAGACGTAGTTTCCATCTCGGTAGTTTCGCCGGCCTTGTCCTCGGCAGCGGAGAAGAATTGTTCGTTTGATGTGTCGTCGGCTTCATCCTCCGCAACATTTCTCAGAAGGCTGGGCCGTGGAGGCAAGGATTGTTGTACTCGATTACCCTGCGGGCGGGCCTGGACAAGCACGACCTTCGTTGTGGGCATAAGAAGGCCTTGAGACACAGGCTCGCAGAAGGAGATTCGGGCAGGTGGGGCTGGCGCATAAGTAATAGGATGCGGGGGAAGAGGAAGAGGAAGCACATCGCCCATGTGAACAATGCGCTGCGTAGCCAATGCTTCACGGACGGCGGCGGTCAAGCGCTGCTCCGTATCGACAGCAGCTTTCTTCGAGTACCGCCTGTTCTCCGGAGCCTTTCCGCTCCGCGGCCACGTGCCATTGGGGGAATTTGTGGAAGTGAATCCACCTCTGAACTTATTCTGTACATCATCGTGGTTACGCAGAAGATGGCGCTCTACTGTTACATAGACTGTGTCCAGGTGCAACGGCGCAACATCAAGCACGCGGATTTCGACGGTTCGGTGGGTCTGCAGTGATTGACGGGCGGAGTCGAGTTTCCCGAGCGCTAACAGGAAAGACTGCAGCGAGTCTGCGGATTCGGGGAAGAGGACGGTTGACTGAGATGTTGGCGGTCTCCCCGCTGGCTGAATACGCACGGGGAGGATAGTCCAGGCTTGGTCCTCGACGGCGAGATGCGTAGGCGTGTGCGGGGCAACAGCCACGTAGAGTAACCCATCACCGGTCGTGGCCTCTGTCGCGTTCCAATTCAAGTTGTAAGCAAAGTGAGTCGCGCCAACCGTGGGGAATCGGTTCGATCACTTACCCAAGAGAGAGTGCTGGGAGAACAGGTCATTGGCGATGTCCTCGGATAAGACACCTGTGTTTCCACGCAGCTGAGGATCCAAAGCAAGACGCGCTGTGATGGGCAACTTGTTGCGCTGGCGCCTCTTTCCTATTCTTCTGCGCCTTTGCCGGGGCTGCTGCTGGGAGCTCTGCCCGTATTGCTCGAACTCCATAGCTGGCCGAGGGCTCCAATTCCCGTCGGGAAAGGACGAAAGTTGATGAAGAAAGAATTCGGCAGCTGGGGCAGTATATTGAAATCGTGAAGCAGCCCAGCTCTCACATTAGAAGCAGCAAGGAACCCGCGTGGCATAAGATAGCGGGGAGAAGATGCCAGAGCGCGTACGATCCAAAATCCGGGGGTTGCTCCATCCGCGGGCACCGTCATTTTTCCGGCTCCGAAGCCGAGGTCCAATTCACGGGGAAGCCGTGCTCGGGAACAATCTGGTTCCTGGGTTTACCAAACTATCTCTGTGAATTTGGATGTGCATATGGAGTTGAATGAGCATTATAGTTGCATGTGGGATTTTGTTACAACTACTCTTGTCACATAATTGGATGACCGTAGCAGCAGGTCAGCAAGCCCGCATATCTTGTGACGCCATTGGTCCTCGGTACCTGGATCGAGGATCGGCTCTGAGACTTTGTAGATCAGATAGACACGCTTGGATGGCAAGATTGAAGCATCACCCACGAGAGAAGACATTCCACTTGCCAAAAAAAAGTAATGCGAACACAAAAATACTCGAAATACTCGGAAATTTTCCAAGACTCATTTACTATTCCGTTATTGCCAGTGGTACACTCGCCAAGGCATTCTTGAAACTTGGAACATTGTTTATTGTATATCCATCGGGTCCTGCTTCCAGGCCTAGAAAGATCAATGCTATACAAGGTAGTGCTAGCATTAATACTTAGAGACTCCATGAAAGCCAATCTCTATTGTAATGACGTGCGTCGTTACTTCGATACAAGCATCTCCTTGACAAGGTGATCCCAGAAAATTGAGCTTATCTCAGGAACATGTTCCGACCATGGTGCATTTTGGTCCGTCGCATCTAGGCCCAAGCTTTCTCCAGCAAGCCCTTTGCCGACAAATTCACGCGACGGAAAGCTCATATTGATCATTCCATCAACGACACGCATACCGATAGCCCCGGCAACGATTTTGACCTGCTCTGCACTGTGCACACCACCCTGTCCTCCGTAAGAAACGATCATAGCTGGCTTGCCCTTCCACTCGTGGAATAGATAATCAATTGCGTTCTTCAATTCCGCTGGAATACCCCAGTTACGCTCGGAGGTGAGAAAGACAAAGGCATCGAACTTGCTGATATGGCGACTCCAAGCTCGCGTATGTTCATTCGAATAGTCTTCAGAGGAGATGAATCGATTGGGAATACCGGGCTCATCAAACATCGGGAGATTGAAGTCTTTGATGTCAATTATATCAATCTGAATTTGAGATTGAGTCGCATTTGTGCTATTGCGTGCCAGTGGAGATTGGATGGCGTCTCGAACGAAGGAGGCAATTTGAGGTCCAATTCGCGTTACGCGAGTACTGCCAATGACAATTCCCGCTTTGAGGCTCTGAATAGAAGCCATTTCTCAATAGATGATAGGTGGACGATTGACGGTACTCGAAAGAAAAATCCACCACCAAAATCAGCAATCTCAAAGTGGGCTTCAAAGTTGTCTATTACTTCCACTTCGTCTTCTTCTATGCGGGGTGTTCGGCACATTATATAGCTTACGACTGCCCTGCTAACCTATCACATGTACTGAAAATATATAAATGCCACTGGCTTTTATTTTGGTTTGTGATGATTTGCAATATACAAGGTGGATCGATGTATCGGACTTTGGGGGAGGCGAGCGGACTCGGCATTCGGTCTTTCAGATCGAGCGCGGGATCCCGCCTTACCCAATCCAAATTGATCCAACTTCTCTGCCAATCGTTTGTAGATACGTATGTGCCATCGCTTCATAGGTTGATACAGTATCAGGTTATCTCCGGCCGGGTTCCTTCAAAGCAGTTGTATGCTGATTTCAACTGCGGGTTGCAAGGGCCTTACAACTAGACCTCTGCGTAGCCCTTAACCCCCGGCCCCCAACCTAACCCAACATACTAATTGGCGCGGCTCTGGGCCTAAGAATAGACTAAAAAGCATGGCATGACCCTAAGTGTAAAAACATAGTGGCTAGTAGAGCCTATTGCGGTCCATAATGGGGACTTCATTCGTGGACTAAGCAGTGTTCCACCCCGAGGCAATCTGATCGTGTGGAGTAATTTTCAGGATGGACTGGCTACGCGCGTCGGAGATGAAAAAAAAAAAACAAGCTTCAAGATCTGTCCCCAACAAGGCTTTCATATTGAGTCCAAAAAAAGGGGCGATACTGGTGCCCTAATTCTAAATTTCGATCCGAATTTTGTAGCTCAACTTTCATATATGCTATGCTTCGTGGATACGATAAGATAAGGTCACGTGCCAGGCATGGCAACGCGAAGCACGCGCGCATCGCGTCCGGACTATGCACGGCGCCCTTGTTCGAGGATCCCGCACTTTGACCCTTCACACTCTCTGAACACTTGCCCTCACCCCCCAATAATGACCCCAAACTCATAACAAACTTTACGAATCAATAGTCAATCTGTGCCTCCTATCTCAAAATGTCCTCCCCATCCACCCCGCGGTCGACGCGTTCTGCGTCCCCCGGGGTAAACTCGCCCAATATGCTTACCCCAGGGCAAAAGATTAAAGCGATGATGGCTCAATTCGACAGCGACTCAGAGAGTGATGATCATGCTAGTCGTCCCAAAATCTCAGTATCGAAGCTGGACTTCGGTTCCAAAAGCACATCTACCGACGCGACGCGACAACCACATCTTGCCATGAGCTCCGACGACTCAGATGCAGACGACATTATCCGACCAAGGGGTCGGATGGCGGCCCGTATGCAAAGCAACGCTGATGTATCCGCGGAGAAGGATTCAGCTTTCGCTCGATTATCGAAATCTCTGCGTACTGAGAGAGAACACCCAGCTAAGCCGCAGAGAGAGAGTACGCCCCCAGAATTCATGTCGAGCGATGATGAGCTTCCAACGAAAGGCGCACGGAAAAATAAGAAAGCAGCGTTAGAGACAACAGAAGCTAGCTACTACTCCTCGAAGTCATCACAACGAGCTCGTTCAGAGTCCCCGCTGTTCGTCTCTTCGCCCGCAGCAGAACACGACCCCGCGGCAGACGCCGACGCTGAAGTGGGAGATGGCCATAAAGGGAATGCCCGGTTCCTTGCTCTCGTGGCCCAGAAACGAAAGGAGCGTGAGGAGCGTGAAAAGGTCGAGGCTGAGCAAAAGGCTGCTCGACGAGCCCGAATGGAGCAATTCAGCTCTGACATTATATCTGGTGAAGACAGCGAAGCTGATGATCCTGAGTCCGCCAAAAAGCTTTCACAGAAACCTCGTCAGCCAAGAAAGGCAAGCAAGAAGGCATTGGAGGAAATGCACCGGGAGACTCAGCGCATGAGTCGGAATATGCAGCTTGCCCATCAAGCTCAGACGAAGAAAAAGATCACCAAGGAGAGCTTCTTCGCCCGATTCAACTATGGACAGCCCACAGCCCCCGTCGAACCGCCTGCAGCCAACTCTTCGTCTACCGCTGGATCCCAACAGTCTTCCGATGCAGAAGGAAATAACAAGACCCGTGACACACCGCGCACATCGCCTGTTTTGGGCCCAGTGGACTCGGATAAGGTTGATACGAATGGACCGAAAGAAACGAAATCTGCAACTGACGTGCAGGCTGGAAACGAAAATCCAGTCGCCCAGTCTGAGACCAGCACCAACCAGCCCAAAGAGACCAATTCTCTCCCCGTTCCCCCTTCAGCCTCGAAAAAAGAGCCCTTCCAATTGACTCGCCCCCCTGTCCGAGTCCTGATGTCCAGGCAAGAAGTCGCTATGCACCAGAAGGATGAGTCTGACAGTGACGACCTGGAGGTCGTTACCTCTCCTGCCAAATGCCGCCGAATTGCAGCCTTTGAAAACCTTCCCGTCCGGAAAATGCAAGAACCAGAATCTCTCACGAAGCTCAAGGCCCTCGCCCATTTAACATCCCCTACTCGCAAATCAACCTCAATGAATTCTGCAGAGTTGTCTGCGAGCTTACTCCAGCGTGCCCGACAGCAAGCTGCGAAGGAAAGACGCGAGCGCATTGAAGAGCTTCGGGCCAAGGGAGTTATCATCGAGACTCCTGAAGAACGGGCAGCAATGGAGGATGACATGGAAGATCTTGTCGAAAAGGCTCGCCGTGAGGCGGATGAGATCGCGCGACTAGAAAAAGCCGCCAAGAACAATGGCCAAGACCCTGATGACGAAGAGGATGATGGCGATTACGAATTCTCCGGCTCTGATGAAGACGAATTGGTCGATGATGAAGATGCGCGAAGTGTGGATGGAAATGATGGACTTGTCGATCAAGAAGCAGATGAGGATGATGAGTCTGAAGACGAGTTGAGCGAGGCTGCCGTCTCTGATGCAGAGATTGAGGTCCAGGCAACTCGGCGCAATCGCAGGGCGCGTGTAGTCAGTGATGACGAGGAGGAGGAAGAAGAAGAAGAAGAAGAAGAAGAAGAAGAAGAAGAAGAAGAAGGATCAGAGCAAAAGCAGATTCCATCAACGCCTGTTCGTCCTCCTTCAAATCCCCCCAAATCAGCTGAGCGCCCTCTTTTCCCAGGCATGGAGACACCAAATATGTCTATGGGCCTTACTCAGGCCTTTGCTGGTACATTGGCCGAGGATGATGCCATGAGCCAGCCAGGCTCTAATACCGTGCCTTTCTCACTCCCAGATCCTGGACAGGCTGTTCCTCGGTTGCGTGCTGAAGAGTCTGAAATTCTTGTTCGTGATAGCCAAGAGCAATCGAACGACCGCGACTATATGACTGGATTTAGTCCCAACGTGGCCAGGGTTTCAGAGTCCCCTGCTGGACGTGCCTTCTCCGAATTCTCTCAGCTTCCCGACCCGACACAAGATGAGGGTTTTGTGTTTTCCCCATTTGATCCTGCCAAACGCTTCCGTGGTACTCCACCGGTATCCACTGTGGATACTGTCATCGTGGGTCAGAGCCAGTCGCCCATTGCCGAACGCAAAGGAAGGCACCTGCGCCGTGGGCGTGCTGCTGAACTGTCAATGGTCCACGAGGAAGAAGGCGAAAAGGAAGACGAAGAGGAAGACGAAGGAGGGTTCGAAGTCAATGCCAATGCTTTCAATGTCATGAAGAAGGCATCTAAGAAGCCTTCAGAACCATATGACAAGAAGGCTAGCATGGCGAAGGATATTGTGGATGAGGCTGCCGAAGAATCCGAGGATGAGTACGCAGGCCTGGGGGTAACAGTGACGAGAGCGATGGAGAAGAGGATGCCTTTGATCGGCAAATGATCAATGACAACAGTGGAGAAACTGTTGACGAAGGAAAGCTTGCTGCACTCAATGCGTATGTCTCCAAGCATTCGATCTTACGTTGTTCTGCGCCACATGCTAACAATTATCTAGGGATCATCAACGTAACCGTGATGAGAAAGATGTTGCCAAGTTGATGAGAGATATCACGACCGGAGCTCTTCGTCGCCGCCGCGGTGCAGCCGATGACGACCTCGATCTTGATGACTCGGATGATGAACGACTGGCACGTCGCCGTGAGAAGCAGCGCGAGTTTGCTAAGATGCGTCGGGCTCTTCTCGCCGATGACAAGGTCGGTGAGCTAGCCGAGAATCCCAAGAAGGCAGCTTTCTTCAAGGCGATTGAGGATCGCGAAGAGGAAGATGACTTTGAGATCGAGTTCCTAGACGAGAGGGAGGGTGGCTCTCAGAATGATTCTTCACAGAATATCGGCGCCGAGGATAACATTGCCTCGGATGATAGCAAGAAGCGTAAACGGCCGCTAGAGCCCTCCGCTGAAGATACAACCAACCGCCCACCTCCTAGTCTCCGTCGAACTCCCGCCAGCGCCATGTCAAAGAAACCTGCGACGCTGGCCGAGATCCGGGAAACCCTGTCTTTCCTGACCGAAACTCCCGAATATGACTCCTTCCACGAAGACGCCTCTCTGGATGACGAGGACGCACCTGAAGACCAAGACCGAGACCAAGACACGACGAGTGCAGATGACAGCCCATTCGAGGACGCCCACCCAGAGCCAAAACAAGACTTCGCCAAACCCACCAACCCTCGCCGCACACGTGGTCCTGTCGTCGACCGTCTCGCTTTGCTTCGACAAGCATCATCCAACTCCGCCTCTGGGAATGGTTCCGGAGCCTCTACTACCAAGATGGCCTTCCAGACAGGCGGAAGCAGAGAAGGTCCCATTGGCTTCCGACCTCCACCACTCTTGCGACGTGTTACAACCGGCTCCTCTTCAAGCTCCAGTTCGAGCACGAGCACCTCTACTCGCGTTACTAAACCAGGTGCTTCCGGCCCGAAGAAGGGCGGTGCGGTTAATTCCTACACTGCTGCACGTGAAAAAGAGCGTGAACGCCAGCTTCGCATGAAGGAGCGTGGTAGCAGCTCACACGTTACTAAATTACTGGCCAAGCATGCCAGCAACAGCTTAGGGAGTCTGGCCCGCAAGGGTCAGTGGGATTAGATGAATTTTTGGGGAAATCTTGATTTTACTAGGATTTGGACAGCAGGTACCGGCGTTTTTGGGGGATTGCTTTGTTGGTGTTTCGGTGTAATGGTGATGTATCATGTTAAGGCAATCGACCTGTAGTTAGCTTATATGACTGGAGATCCCTCAATCATCAAAAAGATGGCCAAAGGCCGAACCAGCTGACCACCCAGTCCTATCGGTACTTCCCAGGTAATGCTTGTAAAAGTGTCGCGGTGTCATTACTCTTCCCCATCGTAGATTATAGCAGTCTGAGTAAATAAGTCTGCCTGCACCCGGAATCGAACTAGCACCCTGAGAAACATGGTACTTTCTCGCGATTTGGTCCGGATAGCTTCAAGTGCCAGTGACGGGCACTTCTGCTTCTTTGATAACGCCCGTTTCCCCCTCCTCTCAGCATTTTTGATAGGAGATGAATAGAGACAGATGTTCTACCAACCTTGACGGTCAAGACTGTCCAAAAAAATTTCTAAAAATTTATACCCGTCAGCTCGCAACCAAGGCCGCGAGGTTAAACGCCCCTGCCACCCTCCACTTGACTTCTTGGTCTCTGTTCTGGCAAGACTTTCCAAAGCAGAAGGGCGGCCTCTCGCCACCAAGGAGGAATCAGGTGTTGAACCGGATCGGCCACCCCAAGAGGCTTATGCCCAGAGATCCAGTTTTTGCTTTATAGCTCAGCACCGGTACTCCCCAAGCGTTACCCAGTAACCAGAGGACACAGTTGGGACTAAATACTTCCTTCTGACTGTTTTGTAGTCCTGTCGCTATCATCTACCACTGCCACACTGATACTATAATACATCGTGAGAACATTGCCATTCACCTGCTACTTTGCACCTGCCCTATGCTGATCATCTTATTTAACTACTCATACTCTTATATGCGTCCACGGGTCCTCTGAATTATTTACAGCTAATTTCTGACAGCCATGCAGCCTTAGGCCACCCACACAACAAGGTATTATCTTATTTACTTAGAATTGAATGGAGATCTCGCGATCATTCGATATTGTACACAGCAGTTATCCATCTTTCGGTACCCCTCCCTAGCTAACGACCGCTGATGTGGCCAGCGGCCCCCGCTGGAAGTAAGTCACTCCATTCTCTCGATTTGCCCGAAGCCTCCATCTCATGACCAAGCCGCAACTTGGACACCAACTCCATCAACGAGCGAATCTTGAGGCCCGGCCGTTCCACGCCCCCCTTCCGATCGAGGAAACAGCTCTGCCACCCCGCACCTCGCGCAGCAAGGTAGTCCTTCTCATAATCATCGCCAACATGCACGCACCACAAACTCTCCGCAGAAACCCCACTGGGAAGTAAAAGGCCCGCCTGGCGCCGCGCAACGTCAAAGATCACCCGGCCCGGCTTCTCCTCGCCAGCCTCATAGCTCGTGATCACCATATCGATATCCACCCCCGGCCGCCCAGCCTGCGACATGAACTCGTACACGGAGCCCAAGCCCGCAATCTCAGGCGAGCTCCGCACCTCCGACTCCCCCGCTCTTCGAACCCAGGCAACTCCATGCTGGAGCGGTCTTGGTCAGCGCGGAGCCCACCCACCTTTAGTCCCAATGAGCGCAGCACCGCCGGGACCCGGTCGTCCGAATTGGACACCACGCCGACGAAGACCCGCTCGTACGGCGTAAGCTGCGGAACGGCCCGCTTGACCTCGCGCAGCCGCGCGAAGAAGGGCTCCACGTCCTCGAAAAGCGCGTAGCCCTCCGCTCCGGCAAACCGGTGCAGAAGGGTCTCGACGAGGCCCGCAGGGAGCTCACTGTGGGGACTAGTGTCGCTGCTGCCGGGGCGCAGGGACTGTGATAGTGCTCCCTCGATGGTCGCCCGGATAACGTCCGTCCACCATTGCTTGGGGCCCGCGTACTGGCCGCGGAGGACCTCTGCGCGGCCGTAGTTGTAGTGTTTCTTGGCTTGGGCCTTGTAGGCGGCTTTGAAGGCGGATTGGATTGCTTGAGGGGTGATGGCGGTGCGGGGGAGGCCGAATTCGTGGGCTACGGAGGCATATTGCTCTGGGACGGATGTGCGGGGCGTGAAGAGGGTGTCGAAGGCATCAAAGGTTAGCAGGAGAGTGCGGCGAGGGGATGGCTTTGTAGATACTTGGCGTAGACCGGTGTAGGCGTGCCTGGGCAGCATATTTCCCCCCCAAGGTTGAGGTGTTGGAGCGGTGACGTTGCGGCTTATCTTTTCTTATCGCCGTGCGCCGTTTTCTGGGACGCGTGGAGACGCAATGGGCTGTGATTGGGGTACGCCGGGGAAGTTGGGATGTGTACCAGGAGTACTCTGTACCTAGCTTGCATTCATTATTGCGACTGGTTAGGAGATATATGAGGCGCTTGTCAATCTCCAGTTTGTGATTGGTATGTGTTGTCCAACGACATAACGCTCCGAACTGCTTATAGCGTTCGTTCTGCGCTACGGGAGCTACTTTCGAGCACGAGTGTTGGATATGAGGATCATTCGTGATCATCCAATTGATCCTTTACATATTGACGGAATATGGGGACTGTATGATGTTAAACATTGACTCGATAGAGGCATTTTATACATGCAGAACAGAACATCCCGCAGTATAAGCAACCCAAGTAGAGTTCGAGTCATTTCCACCTATTCCTCGATCTGAAATGTACTAGTGCCAGACGAAGAAGTAGTCTGTAAGAATGACTTGAGCTCTGCTCGAACAAAGTTAGTACGAGTTTAGCCTAACCAAAGATTTCGTGGCTTATGCTGACGCGGCTCCTGGGCGTTACGGAGAGTGGGGACCTGCAGCGATCAGATAGTGAGCCTAAACAACGAATCCAATCCCCACCCTAGTTGCTTTTCCTCTGTATATACTCAGTCCTTCAACCGATATTTCAGAGCTGGAAGAGCCCATCCCGGCTACAGAGTACCCCCACTGATACCTCCATGAATTCACGCCCCACCCCACGCTGCCATGCGCCCCCATACTCTCTGGCTGCTGTCCATAAGCTCTCTCGCGGGCCTATCAACCTGCACCACAGCCCCAGACGATCCTGTCCTCAAAAATGCCCACCACATCTTCAACGTGCTCCATGACTCCATGCGCCAATGGGGCTCCTCGCTCCACCACAACGGCGTCTCTTTCTTCCTTGCCAGCGTGCCGGCCGGCACCCAGCTCTACCACGGCACCCACAGCGAGCCCCCCCATCACCGGGCCCGAATGGCTCGCTTTCGAGCCCGAGCATGCTATCATCTTTGCCGGCCCCCGCCATGGCGGTGGAGGCCCTTCGCCAGGCCCGCATCGCCATGGGAGCGACGAGAACCCAGATCTCCCCAAAGGCCCTGATGAACTCCGCCGGCGGACTGAAACCGGACCATTCGAGAAACCACCTCACTACGACGGGCCGGGATTCCTGCACACGTACGCCGCGGCGAAAGACCTGCGGCTACTATATGTGGACGGGGAATCCGCCGCGAAGACGGAGAAAGGGACGCTGGACTCGCAGGATGTGGTGCTGCTGAACATCACTGCCGGTGGGTTCAGGGGAGGCGACCACGATCGGGCGGAGAAGGCATGCACGTTGGCGAACGGGGATTGGGGAGGAAAGGTTGATGGGTTGCTGCGGATGGAGGCTGGGTTTGAGGTGATTTTGTGCGATTTTGAGCGTGATCTTACCCTTTTGAGGGTTAGCCGGGTGAAGATGCAGAATAATCAGGAAAGGGAGGGAGAGGGGAGGCAAAGGCCTGGTCCTACTCCTGATGCATTGCGGTGGTTGAGGGCTGTGAGTGAGCGGTATGATGGGATTGGGGGCCACCGGGTGCGGTTGAACTTTGATAGTTTTGTGACGGCGTTCTCGCACGATGTAGACCTGTTTCCAGGAAAGGGTGAGCTGCCGAGGCTGACGGGGCTTGATGCGAATGAAGTCAAGAAGATTCGGGAGGAAGTGTTCCATGCTATCTTGACGATTGATGCGGCGGCACCATCGTGGGATTGGCAGGCCACTGTCGATATGATCGTCAAGCGGTATGGGGATGAGTTATCGTACTTTGCGTCGGGCAAGGTCAATAGTATTGAAAGTCTGCGGGCACAGATTTCGCTTCTGATGTCGCCGTTCATTGACTACAGTGGCCGGAACACCACGCTCGAGGCAGAGCGGTGCGCGACGCAATTCCTGCCGTTGCAGATGCAGCACAGCTCGAGTGTGCCGGGCAGGGCTGTGCATCATGTCGCGCTGCATATTTGCCAGACGATCTTTGAGGCAGCTGGGCAAGACGGGCTCGGGCCAGCGATTAAGAGTTTCCAAGCTTTGGTTAAGCAATTGGACTGGACGACCTGGAAAGCATGTCGGGGATGCCAAGATAACGAGATTTGCGTCGTGCCAATTTGGCCGATGGGGTCGGTGGCAGATTACAACAATCCGAAATGCAAAGACGCCTCTCGCCCTTACGATTCAGATGATGAAAGTTACTGGGGGAGAATGCCTCACTCCCTTGAGGGTGATTACTTGAAATGGGTATAGCAAAGGTGTTGATTCGTTATTCAATTAGACAATACCAATTGAGTCTTTGGACATGTTAGAAAAAGACCAGGCCAGGACGCTTTCAGTAAAAAAATTGGGTACAATTGAATATATAGACAAAAAATTAGAGGGTGGGTTGTGAACTCCGCATGTTCGGTCGTTTTGCGTGCGTTAGCCTGAAAGTAGCCATTGCAGCTCAACTCTCAAAGACATAATTATCAGAGAACCCGTAGAAGCGAATATTGTCCATTCAGGGGTATCGTCATTTACAGGTTGGAGACAGTACCACCGACGGTGGCAGTGGCACCAGTGACGACAGTGCCCACGGTGGTGGACAGGCTGGAGAGGCCAAGGCTGCTAAGGAGACCAGCGACGACGGAGGTAAGGCCAGTCAGGGTAGACTCAACCTTGACGAGCAGAGCGGAGGTACCATCGGCGGAGAGCAGACCGAAGAGGTTGGCGGGGTCCTCACCAAGCTTCTCGGCCTCGGAGGCAAGGTCACCAACGGCGGGGACGGTGGCGATGACCTTGCCGACGGTGCCCTCAATGGTGGACAGGTCGAGGCCCTGAAGGAGGGAGGGCACGGCCTGGAAGACAAGAGTCTCACCGGTCTGGCTAACAACGGAGAGGGTGCCATCGACGGTAGAGCCGAGCCCGTCACGGCGAGCGAGGCTGGTGATGCCGTCGAGGGAAGAGACGACGGTGCCGACAATCTCGTCGACCTCGGTGAGGCCCAGCTTGGCGAGCAGACCCTCGACACCGCTGGTGAGCTCAACCAGAGCGTACTTGCCGTCATTGAGGGCAACGGTGATGGTGCTTCCGGCCATACCGCCGACGTGAAGGCCGGTGACAGAGTCAGCGACCTGGACGATCTGGCCGACGGAGCTCTTGACGTTGCGGGAGAGGTCGACACCGCTCAGGAGGCCCTTGGCATCCTTGTTGAGCTCAACAACGAGCTCCTTGCCCTCAGCGGTGGTGATGGTAAGAACCTCGTTGACCTCGCCGCTAACACCAGACAGACCGGAGCTGGTGACGGGGGTGTTGATGGCGGTAGGCAGAGCGCAGGCAGCGGTGGCCAGGAGAGCAGTGGCGAGAGTGAAGTACTTCATTTTGATTTAGAGAGTGACTGGTGCTATAAAAGCGGAATGAATGGACGGTATGAACCGGTGGTAGAAAGAAAGACTGGAAGTAAAAGACGAATGGCTTCTTGAGGAGAAAAAAGAAAGGAACCTGAAGGCAGCAAACCTACTGGTTATATACGATCCTGCTAGCTTTTGAATCAGGGGAAGAAAATCAAATCCACCCGATGCCTCCTTTGACCTTGAGGGGACAAGCGAACGGAGGGCATCCACAACGCCCATGGTGTGCTCCCAGGAAGGTGATACTTCTGAGGATCTCAGAATAGCGTAGCCAATGATGAGCGGATGCCAGATAGGCTAGCCAATCAGCAGAGGGGTGGTTACTATCTTAGTGTCGACCTAGTGAGAGCGCCAACGCAGGGGAATTTGGGCCCTTGACACGGGCTCATTATCCACTTGTAAACACGGCAAGGAGGGCCTATCCTCGTTCTGGAGATGGGGATCAGCGCCGGACGACTCCGTGCGGAGCTCGGGAAGCTGGGGCAGTGGACCAGTTTCAACGGTCGTGGATGTGTTGAGTTGGGACGAGCCTGCTCACTGCATTTTGATACCAAAACCGGGCTCAAATAAGCAATATGGGTAGGGCTCGGCAGCGGTTTCACTTAAAGCAAGAGGCTCCCAATAAACCAAGGGGGGGGGTCCCTGGGCCCTCGTGGCTGGCAAACTGCCGGTACCAACCTTCAGCGGTGCTGGAGTCAGTGCACATGGACTAACTGTAATTGTATAGAAACCGCCGTCAAACCATATAATTAGGCCTGCAGATCGACATAACCTGCGCCTCCGGCCCACTTCTCTATCCCCTTACGACCCCCAACGGTAGCAGCCCAGCCTCGCAAACGACGCCCAGGAAGCCGCCCCCAAGCCGCAGACTTCGAACTGTAATTTTAAAGAATAGCCGTTGCCACATGAGGAACTGGCAGGTGGCCGTACTCCGGTCCTCCTCATCCTTCGAAGCTATGTGGAGGCTAACGTCAAATAGTCACATCAGTGGGGCTAATTGAGCTTTCCCGCCAACGCATCCACGGGCGCAGGACCCTTGCGAGTACATCGTGACTCCTGAGGTTGCATATCAAAGAATTTTGAAAAAAAAGGTCTTGAAGTTGTGATCATCACGGGGCACGCAATATTGAATAGTCCGTCGCTAGATCACAAGTTCGGCTCTGGGGCTAGCAGAGTTCCTCGAAGCACTTGAAATTAATTGAACACAGTCCCTCAATCGAGGCATTACCTTTGTTGGAAGTGGAGGGCAATTTCCCCTGACAATCCTTCTCTCTTGGGAGGTGTTGATGGGGCAGCTCGAGGTAGCCAGGCAATAAAAAGCAGCGCAAGTTGGCCGGGAAACCTTATTCCCGCGGGGAGGAAAAACACAAATTTGGCTATCAAGATTGCACCTCCCATTTTTGAGCGTTGCAACATCCACTTACAATGCAATAAAAAATGTGATGCTTGCTTTACTCGTTCGACCAGACCTGCGTAGGAGTCCTCCACTACACTTGTAAGGCCATCCTGCCGACGCTGACTGTGGACCCCCCAATCTTGGCAAGGCTGGTAATTCAAGCAGTGTCCATATAAGCACCTAGGGCCGCGGGGTGGCTTTTTTAGTGTCGGTCATCAAAGTAGTCTGAGTCTGTCTGCCCGGTTGGTAGGGCGTGTTGCCCCTTGCTCTCCCATACCGCCCTATTTGTACTGTAGTTTGATACCATAGAAACGAAAAGAGCACTGCATGAAGTGTTTGCTAGTCGTGCAAGGTCTGGAACTGGGTGCGTGTGAATTCCACGAGGAACCTTTGTCTCGCAAGGCCGGGATTACTGAGAGCCATCACTGGTACTTCCCACTGAAATGGTTCAAGGCTGTCGAGAGCGGCAGAAAAAGTCCCAGTTCTATAAACAGCTTCAACAAAATGGGTTGAATGGCCATCTGAATTGTTTCTGAAGTCTTGTGTCGATCTCTTGAACATGATGGGTTTCAGACGAACAGGTCGTTAGTCGTCGAAGGTCTAATCTAGAATCACCAGGTTCGAGGAATTGACACTATCTTCGAAAAACAATTCCATGTGGCCCGTTAGTCTCTACCCGAAAGGTAGGTCGCTTAGATTCTCCCCTCATAAGGCTTGTCCCACTGCTAGCACGCTCCCATTAGCCTTTAAGGTCCACTACCGCTAGGTAGGAGGTAGGGTAAAAGCCCAGGATTATTGGATTGCTCATTCAGAGCACCCTCTACGTCTTACAAATAAGAGAGCAGTAGATTATTGAATGTGGTAATTCCATAGTTGGATCAGATATGGGGGGCTTGGCGAAATCATTTCCAGTTGCGTCAACCAACGCTGCCACTTCACGATGTCGAGGAAGCTACCCGAGCTTTAACGCCATTTGTTGTCCCACCCGGCCTGTTCCACTACAAATGCGAGGGCTAGCTCTGTGAAACGAGCCATGTGCTGTTTATACATAATTAGTCCGTTGTTGGCACAAGGAATAGGGGGAAAAACAAGAGACTTACGTCAAAAGAGAAGTACCCCTTCTCATCATCAATGTCAATAATGTCATGAGACCCGTGTATATACGGGTCATATTTACCGGGGAATCCTTTATTTGCGAGTGGATTACCCTCGGACGCAAATGCAGCGGGGTAGTTGAGTAGCGTATAGGACATATAGTCAGATCCAGCGGAACTATTCAATTAGTAAGTGCGAATCAAGGATGAGGATCGAACTTACGGTCCAAGCTCATACACCTTCGCCGGGATGGCGATGTACTTCTTAGCCAGGTTCAGAACCCAGTTTGTGAGCGCGTCGTCGGCTTGAGTCGCAATGAAGCCGATAGTCTCGGTCGCATTGCGAGCGACGTATCCTGTCATGTCCTGAAACACATATCAGCACCGGCATAATTGATGGTATTACAGTGATCCCCTACAAATTCCATCATGGCCCCGATCTTGGCGCCCTGGTCCTTCTTGTACCGTGCAATGCGCTGGCTCCCCAGAAGGCCGCCCTCCTCAGCAGCGTACCAGTGGAACTCGACCGGGCCGTCCTTAGGCGTGTAGCCGCTTTCCGCCAAGATACGGAATGCCTCCAGGATACTGACTGTACCTGAGCCATCATCATCTGCGCCGGGAGCAGGCAGCAAGGGAAATAGGTAGTTCGCCGAGTCCTGGTGCGCGCCGATAATGGTCAACGGCGCGGAGGCGTTGCGGACCTTGGGTTCGAAACGAGCAATTATGGAGGACTGAGGGAAAGGATGAGTGAAGTATTCGAGGGAGATGTGGGTACGGAAGGGAGATTTGGCGATGATCTGTCGTCTGGTTAGTTCTCTTCAGATGCAACGCGAGTACTTGAGATACATACTTCTGCGATATGATCGTGGAGCCATTCAGAGCTTTGCTCCCCGAAGACATAACCATAGTAGCGATTGTAATAGCTGGTCAGATGCGTGAGGACATCTCGAAGACGCTGTGTATCGACTTTGGAGAATAGTGGTCGTACGAGACTTTCATGCACAAGGTCGGGAAGGTCTACCGAGCTCCGGATTAGCAAAGGCAAGTTAGAAGTCACGGCCTGAATCGGAGTAACCTACTTGCTTTACCGGCAAGCGCATTCACTTGGCCGGCATAGTAGTCTTCATGCTCGGTGATATCGATGAACTTCTTTCCTTCCTTGCGAAGGCGTAGCTTATCGCCTTCGGTCAACCACGTCGGCTTGTCCTCACCAAGGACGTGCAGCAAGCGCGGCTCATATAGCTGGGCTTTGCTCTCAATATTCAAGGATATCATAGCCTCCACCGGGTCAGAGTATTTAGCAAGCGCCGCAGCAACAGCATTCTGGAAGTCGAATGAATCGTGCGGGCTAGGAGCTTCTGATGCCGGACCGAAGACCACCTGGGACGGCGGAAGCGCTGTAGCAAGACTAGCAGCGCCCAGAAAAAGGACACAAAGAGGCTTTAGCATGGTGTAACGAGGTGAGACCGCTATGACAGCTGTTGAGGGCAGGAAGCAGTGAGGTCCGGGGAACTCAGGAATGCGGAGATAACGAGATAAGCAGGCTCGATAACGCCATTCCCATTCGGCAAGCTCCGTTTCGTGCCAATGCGGATCTGCTAATGAGTTTGCTTCAAGATTTGCAGGATACCGACAGAGTCTACTGTAACTACTAGTATCGCTTCAAAAGATGATTCGCCTGTCGGAAAATATCAAGTGGCCTTCCCGGTTTCAAAAGAAATCTTTCAGAGGAAATACGGAAAGGCATTCTCATCAGTTTAGCGAAAGCCCCAGGAAAAGAGTCATTCTATACAGATTCCATTGTCAGATGTCAGCAGTTACAATCCAACTTTGATGCATCGGTTTCTCAAAAAAGCCGTGGTAGCGCCAACCCGAGTGGACTCTTTAGCCTGAGTCGGCGAACACCGCATGGTCAGGTCTTTTCATGCCTCAATCTCTTTCAAAAGCCCTCGGCCTCTCCGTTCGTTACATGATATGCGTCAATGGCCATTAACAACCTCGTAGGCAATTGGCGCCGATCCTAGCCAACCACACAGCCTTGAAAAGAGCTTGAGCACAGTTTTACGGGTTGCACCAACTGGACTGACCCGCGCTTTGATATACTGAAGAAGTTGATTCAAAGCTGAAAGGGTTGTATGATGGATGTCTTGCAGCTGAGCTTAGGCTCTTGATGAGGTAATTCCCGCGGACCCCGGGTGCAACCACTAATAATTTGATATTCCAGGCGGGATCAAGCTTCTTGGGTGATATGGATCGCCAGAAGTTGATCTAACCGAGTCGTGCATCGGACTCCGGGGTCCGATCAGTCCCAGAATCGAAAAGTTCAATTGGGCTATCAAAATGGGCTCATACATACCCGAATCTCTCATAGGGAACTGTGAAAGTTTACCACTACTAGAAGATACTATGACGCTATTCACCGTAGGAAAAAAGGCAGCTTATCGCACTCGGTGACAACTATCCTCGTTCGTTTACACAGGACCATATCTCCTTACTCAAGGAGATCCACCCACGCCAGAACCCTATCCCATGCCAGAATCTGGGAATCATCAAAAACATCAGCGACCGCATCATTAACCAACAGCGAATTCCTCACAAATGATGCTCGAGCAGCCGCGATTTTAGAAGCAACCTGGATATTCCGCCAATGGACGCCAAAATACATACGAAACTGATCGTTTCCACACAAATGGTCCATGATGCAGACCACGCGCGTCGCATGCGTGATCGCGATGAAATCCAGCAAAGCGGTCCTGCGAAGTCTCCCTACTGTTGTAGAGGGGCTGGATAGCGGGGACAGGGAGAGCCATTGTAATCTATCAGCATACAGTATTTACTATCGTATTTCGCTAGACCCGACGGGGCTCGCTCGGAACGGATATCTCGGCTTATTGAAAGGGCGCTGATACGTCGCGGGAGTCCGACTCCTCGAGCTTATTTCCGTGCAGAACTTGGCTTGTGGGGAAGGCATCAGGAGACGTGTTTCATGCATGGCGTTCACCGCTTCGTGGTTGGATTCATAATGTTTGATGATTTCACGGATGGCTAGATAGACCGGCCGGGGTTCGAGCTGATGGTTCAAATTTTCGAAAGATCATGGATGGTACTGTACTGATGGATTTTCGCGAAAGCTTCGGGTTTGGATAGGTTTGGCCCCATTGATCGACGTCATCGGGCGTTTTCATTTTCAGCTACTCGGATCCCCGGTGTTTGAAAGATTCCTTCCGATCCAGTAAAGGAGGGGTAACTGCCTGATGGAACAACAGAGAATTGAATCCCTGACTATAACGTCTAGAAAAGTATTTCAATGTAGGCACTTTCATTCGTCCAATCACTGCAGAGTATATAGCCAAGGGGGGGAAACTCGAAAAGAAGCCGCTAGTATAAGCCATCGCACTGTCATACGAAGCTTTATTTCAGATCTTTCGCAGTAATCCAAGCACTGCTGTCGATTCCGGCCCACGTAGCAATCTTCTTGACGCAGGTAGTCACCGCGTTCAGCTCATCGTCGTTCGCGCCGTGGTTTCGAAGCCCCGCTAAATGGCGCCGCGAGGTACCCTCGAGACCCATGCATGCCATGCACGAGTACGACATGATCGAGGTCTCGGGGCGATTGATCACACTCTCGTCGGAGAGGAACATTCCGTAGATGATGTTGTCGGAGGCCCAAGTGAAATCTGCGCTCATGCTCCCGCATGCTGCCATGATTCTGTTGTATTGCTCTTCGCCGTAGAGGGCGTAGCAGAGTTCTCTGCCTCGAGCGTTGATCTCGGGAGATACAGTGACTCCCTCCCTATGGCTAATTAGAGCGGTTTCTTGTGGTTCTTGGGGCCGCGCTCACTTGGTGAATGAGGGGTCGGCGTCCTCGGGGGGCCTCGGCTGCTGCGAGAGACAAGACGGCGGTGATGACTCGGGGAATTCCAATGACAACCCATTGCTTCATTAATTGTTCGCGTAGGCGGCGGCTGAGGACGCGACGCTGCTCGTGTGTGGACCATTCGGGTTGGGAGATGAGAAAATTGTATAAGTGGGTAATGTTCGCGGGGTTAGAGACTGTGATCAGGGACGAGAGCTGCGCGCAAGCGTTAACTCGAGAGCGTTTCTCCTAGATTGAGAATCTCACGGTCATCGTGTACCAGCCATGTTCGCTGACAGAGCTGGGAAATTCCTTCTTGATCTCCTCGAAGATGGCGGGGAGCTGTGAAGTATCGAGGGGCATTGTGATTGAATCGGGAGCTATCTTGGAGGTATGACAGGAGGACAAGCGGTATCTGGGATAAAAGCAAGTCCAAATACCCCCTTAGCCCCTTAGCACCATCCCGGTACCGGGAAGGGCCTTTGGCCCCCAGCAGGTCTCGTGGGTCGGTCCCTCCGTGTCAATCAGTTGGAGTGGGGCGAGAGTCACATCGAGCCGCTTATTCCCTGTCGTCTACAATAGGGTGAAGTTGGGCAATGTGACACCCAAAACAGAGAACTCATCTTATCTCCGGAGAATTACTCAGCTCCCGAGGAGCATTGAAATAGGGGATCCTTCCGTGATCCTTCCGTATATGGCTTGCTGCGGTACGAAGTACATTCAGAGCCCCGTTCTGAGATAGATTTGCGACGGTAAGTGTGAACTTATCAAACAGGGGGAACCACCCCATCTGATGTAGCTCGTTATCAAATAAGCATCTATACTGGTGCGACGCCTATGCATGCAGCTCGGATTGATCGTGTAGCTTTATACATCCAAATCATTCGGCCTGTATCATGAGCTTGCCAGGATCATCGAATATAAAGAAGAGCAATCTTCGAAAGTTGAGAGGAGAGAAGTAAACGAGTAGCTGCATGGCGCGTTGATCTCATTGTTACACTTTGTGCTCACTAGTAGAAGTAAGTTCGCATACTACTGACGGTACTAGTAGATCACCCGTCTACGAAAAGTCGTCGTTGACAGAGTGACATGCTGGGTACATAGAGCTCAAGGCGGTGCGTTGTGTGCCTGGCACTAATATTAAAATTCGCATAAGGCCTGAAGTAGCGAGAGCGAGTAAGAAACGAAGGTTATTCACACACAGAGCGCTCTATGTAAAGAACCGAATTGCGCCAGAAAACGCGGGCAAGAAAGGAGAACGGAAAAGGTGAAGAAAAAGAAAAAGCTCACAGAAGCTCAATAAATGCCCATTCCATGCTAATTCAATTGCACATAATTTGCTGTTTCAACTTTAGCTGGGCAACCTTCGAGATCAGGATGAAAGCAGAACTTACCTGGAAACTGGCCCTCGCGGCCGTCAAGGCGGCCAGTCCACCACTCGTTCGTGTTGTCTGTCCGGTGAACGATTTCGATCACATCTCCGGCTAAAAAGCCCAAGTCCCCATGGGCCTGAGCCTCGTAATCATACAAAGCGGTGACGGTCTCGGTGGCCGTGTGAAGATGAGACGGCTTTGGCTTTGGTGGGGGGAGGAGCAGGTTTGCCCTTGGCGGCTGCCGAGAAGTTGGAGCCGACGCTTCCTGGAGAGTAGGGTGGCGGTGCCTTATCATCAGTATGCTGAGTAGATGTTGAGCTGGAGCGACCGAGGGAGCTCTTGGCTTCACCAGCCTTGCCCAGAGGTTTCAAGCTGGGTGGTTTGCGCCCGGTGCCTTTGGTCTTAAAGTGGACGATCGACAGAGCCTCGGTGCGCTCCTGTACGTCGCCTCGCTTCTGGTTGAAAGCCTCCTCAACATCAAGATCCAGGTTGAAGTAGGAGATTTGCAAGCCTTGCATCTTCTCGTGTAGGGTATAGAACACGTTGAGCTGCATGTAATAGAAAGACTGGAACAGCGGGCGGATGAACTCAGCCTCAAGAGCAAAGAGCTTTGGGAGTTCTTCCTTCATAAGGTTATTGTAGTAGTTGTATTCCTCCGTGGCCTGTTCGGCGTCATTTTCGGCCTTGTACAATGCCTTCTCATCCTTGAGCGATTTGTCCGTCTTAGCTTGCAACTTCTTCAGCGTGTCGTTGTGACGATCATAGTCCAGCTTCTTGTGATTGCGCTTCTTGGCCACTTTTTGGATGGTCTTAATGATGTCCAACAATTGGTCGGCAGGGCTGATCACTCGGGTTTCAATCATCTCCAGCTCAGGAACCAGAGCTTCCTGCAGGTCCCGGACGATTGCCTCATACTCCTCACAGGCATGGATACCGGCGTCGTTTCCTTCAGCATGGTACGAATTGGGGTCGGAGGCGCGACCAGAAATTGGCTTGTAGATTTCGGCGATTGCTTTGGAGAATTCGATTTGGTGGTTAAGCATTCCTGGAGGCACCGACCGAGTCAGCTATGGCTTTGCCGATGATCGCGGGGGTGGCAGCATCCTTGCAGCCTGGTCGAGCGGCGGGCTGCCGGAATTCTCGCGCACATACCGTTAATTGCATCAAAGTATCGCTTCGACTCGTCGTGTAATTTCTTGCACTCCTTCTCAAGCTCGACGAAGCGCAGCTCGGCATCCGTATACACCGGATCTTTGGTGTCGGTGGCCTTGTGCAACTTGGCCATCAACTGATGGGGGGCTCGGGATATACCCTTCTGGAACCCCTTGAAACTCATGGCGAACCGATGGGGGGGTTGGAAATGGCGGGAGAGAGGAGAAAGAAGGGAAGTTGAAAGTCGTAGGGCGGGGTGATGCGGGCTTTCCGTTCCCAACTTTCGCTTCAACTATGACATAAGACTGCCGATGCTACGGGTCTGTGGCTGTACCTGATTTGCTTCGCGCCCGATTCAGTTACGCTTCGCTAGTTTACCCCCCAGTCTGTGTGGCGCGGGCGCTGCCATTGGTGTTACAGACCGCCGAACTTCCTGGCACGTTTCGGTCCTCTTGTGCCCCGTCAGGCAACCAAGATTCTCGGACCCGAAGCTGTTCTCCAAGCAGATCAGGATCGCCCTTCCTATCCAGCCCTACCCGAATGAACCATGTTCGCGGAGTGATTCAACCGGGAGGGAACGTATAAGATGTATGCAGCGTGATATCGTAGTACTTTCAGGGAGACCTCAGCTGTCTCGAAAGCCACAGGAATAACTAAGGTGATCTCCGGGAACTTGCGCTTCACGAACGAGAGAAATGGGTCTGCCTGGATGAAGTTTCCGGGAGCCTTTCCAAGGTTCCAAAATCCCACCCAAGTTTACGACGTCCTCACCTCGTTGAACGTCGCCACGTCTGAAATTGCGCATTCCCGTACTATACACCCATTCTAGGAACCCTTCTATCCAAAGCACCGTCGTGTCCCTTGCCCCAAGGCAGGCACCTTCGTGAAAGTATCGTCACCGAAGCGGAAGGGTTCAACGCCCACTGCTCCTGTACGATAACATTGTCTCTTGCTCGAAGTATAACCGATATTAGTGTAGCAAAGTGATGCGGTAACTTGAATAACTCTCTTTCTCTTTCCCATCCGATATCGGTATTTCTTCCATCTTATCTGTGTCCTGGAATGTGTCTACTTGTAGGATGGTCCATACAGGCCTGAGGCATGACATCAGGCCTCGGAGAAACTATAACACCGAGGTTCCTCAACTCCGAGAATCGAATTCCCCGATAACGCGGGAAAATATTAGTGCAACTCTCGTTCTTCCTCCTCCCATCTTGATGATATTTCTTTCATCGTCAACATAATGTCTGCCGCTCCCGCTGCTTGGAGACAAGCATCTCGCGCCTACTCGCAGCGCCTAGCTTCTGGTACCTGGACAGCCCCTCGTCGCGTCCTCGCCACCGGTTCCCGGGGAGCTCGCTCTTATGTCACTGAGACCAAGGCCGATCATGCGCAGGTTAACGTCGAGACTGCGATCAAGGAGGAACAAAAATCCTTCATGAAGCAGACAGGCGTTGCTCCTGGAAATGTCAACCTTCCTAGCGCTGGCACCTCCGCCGACGCCAGCCTGAGCCCTTCTGCGGGCATCCTCAAGCAGGCCACCGTGATGGACCAGGGCACCCGTCCTATTTACCTCGATATGCAAGCCACTACCCCTCTCGACCCCCGTGTTCTCGACGCTATGCTCCCGTATCTTACCGGCATCTACGGAAACCCGCATTCGCGAACCCACGCTTACGGGTGGGAGTCGGAGAAGGCCGTCGAGCAGGCCCGTGAGCACATCGCCAACCTGATTGGTGCTGATCCCAAGGAGATTATCTTCACTAGCGGTGCAACTGAGAGTAATAATATGAGTCTGAAGGGTGTGGCGCGGTTCTTCGGCCGCTCCGGAAAGAAGAAGCATATCATCACTTCCCAGACCGAGCACAAGTGCGTCCTGGACAGCTGTCGCCATCTGCAGGATGAAGGTTTCGAAGTCACATATCTGCCCGTCCAGTCGAACGGACTGATCAAGATGGAAGACTTGGAGGCAGCGATGCGCCCGGAGACCGCCATTGTCAGTATCATGGCCGTGAACAATGAGATCGGTGTCATTCAGCCCTTGGAGGAGATTGGTCGGCTGTGCCGCTCTAAGAAAGTCTTCTTCCACACCGATGGGGCCCAGGCTGTCGGCAAGATCCCGCTCGATGTCAACAAGGCCAACATTGATTTAATGTCGATTTCCAGCCATAAGATCTATGGTCCCAAGGGTATCGGTGCTTGCTTTGTTCGTCGTCGCCCTCGTGTCCGTCTGGACCCTCTCATCAGTGGTGGTGGACAGGAGCGTGGTCTGCGCAGTGGAACCCTTGCTCCTCATTTAGTTGTTGGTTTCGGTGAGGCATGCCGCCTTGCCGCGCAAGACATGGAGGTAAGATAAACCTTGTCTATTTCCACTCATTTGGCTTGTTTTTCGATTTCATGATTATATTTTGCTTCATATCATCGGAGAACCCGGGCGGTAGCCCCATTCCCGAGAGGAATGGTGCCTGGGTTCAATGGCGCATGTGCAGGGGTAATGAGACCGCTCCAAGCGCAAGAATTCACGCCTATTTGTTTTGAGTACACGAATGCTAACCGCCAACGACCATATATAGTACGACACCAAGCACATCGAGCGTCTTTCGAAGCGTCTCTCAGAGGGTCTGCTCGCCATGGAACACACCTCTCTTAATGGTGATCCCGAGCACCACTACCCTGGCTGTGTGAACATCTCTTTTGCCTACGTTGAGGGTGAATCTCTTTTGATGGCTCTCAAGGACATTGCCCTCTCATCAGGCAGTGCTTGTACTTCTGCTTCCCTGGAGCCCAGCTATGTTCTCCGCGCCCTGGGCAGCAGTGACGAGAGTGCCCACAGCAGTATTCGATTCGGTATCGGTCGTTTCACCTCGGACGCAGAGATCGATTACGTTCTGAAGGCTGTCACGGCCCGTGTAGGCTTCCTCCGTGAGCTGAGCCCATTGTGGGAGCTGGTGCAGGAGGGTATTGACCTCAACACCATCGAATGGAGCCAGCACTAATTTTACATTCTCTCATCTGCTTCTAATCACTTTCGCTGGAGATTTAAAATTCATTGCCCTTTGGGTTGGCGTTCGGGTTTGATGTAACAACAATGATGTACAGAATGCAATACTCCCATCTTTGGCCGCAGTATCACTTCCAAGATAAGTAGGACGCGTAACCGTTGGCTGGTAGTATCGTCCGTGTGTCCTTGAGGGGTACGTTCCAATGGGAGCACAGATGGATGCAGTTTGAATGACCAGTAAGCATTCAAGTTGTGTCCACAAGACTAAGAAAGGCCTGGGTTATCGAGCCTGTCAATTGTTCGAGTCCTAAAGCCGTCGCTATCTGGTACGGATATAACCCCATCTTAACTCCGCAGGCCAAACCAGAGGGTCAACATGGGCCTCTTATGCGATCGGAATTAAAGAGCGCATTAAGAGAAACTCCAGGTGCTGTAATGCTACGATCAGATATAAATACGTCTCATGAACAAGAGTTGGATATCTAATTTGCTCGGCCAGAACATAGACATCTACGAAGACCTCAGATTTGCCCCAGGAGTACATACCGGGGCTATCTACAGCTTACCTTCAACACCCACCTAATCGATCCCATTGTTACTCAAGAGACCCCAAAAATGGCTTCAGTCTCCCTCCAATACCAACTTCCTTCAAAGGGAGGCCAATTCACCCTTACCCAAGTCCCCACTCCCACGCCGGGCCCCAACGAGATCTCCATCCGAACAAAAGCCATAGCCCTCAACGGCATAGATTGGAAAAACCGCGCCTTCGGCATAATGATCCAAGAATACCCCGCCGTCCTCGGCATTGACGCGGCAGGGACCATCGAAGCCGTAGGCTCGCAAGTCCAAGGCTTCCAGCCCGGCGACGAAGTCCTCAGCCTCGCCGGCACTGACCCGCGAAGCGGTGCATTCCAGGAAATCTTCACTGTGCCCGCGCACTTTGTTGCCCGGAAACCCGCCGGCTTGAGCTTCGAGCAAGCGGCCTCTCTCCCGTGAGTTTCGAGCTGGGCCCTGCGTGCTGCAGATTAAGAAGTTAATGCGATGACAGCTTGGTGGCGACGACCGCGGCGTCGGCTATCGCGGTCGGATTGGGACTGCCGTTGCCCCATGAAAGCGTTGATCTGCCGCCGACCAGCGAGCGCGGCGCTGGGATACAGTCTGTTCTGGTGTTGGGCGGCAGCTCTGGGATTGGGGCTATGGCTATCCAGTTCTTGCGGCTGGTGCTGCCGGCGGCGTTGATCCTAACGACTGCCTCGAAGAAGCATCATGAGCGCTTGCTTTCACTGGGTGCGGATCAATGCTTTGAGCGATCTGCGCAGGATGATCCTACTGATATCCGTACGGTCGCCGCGCGGGGGGCGGGCGTGGATGCTATTATCGATACGGTTGGAGCGGCCGGGAGCCAGCCGGCGGTCTTTGCGGCTCTGAACCCTAATGGAGCGCAGCTTTATTCGCAGGTCATGACGGGGGTGGGGATCAAGGCTCCTGCGGCGGTGAAGGCGACTGTTGTCTTTGCGCGACAGGTCTTTGGGACCCCTGGTGGGCAGACACTGATCCCGGGGTTGGCCCGGCTTGTTGAGAGTGGACGGGTTAAGTTGCCCACCGCAGTGGATGTTGTTGGGCAGGGATTTGAGGCTATACAGCCGGCTCTGGATCGGTTGATGAAAGAGGGGGTTAGTGGGAGTAAGTTTGTAGTTCGTGTTTAGCAGGGCACTACTAGCTTTGAATACGAAATTGGGTCGGCGGGGACACCTTCCACGGTGGGAATGTACTAGCAAAGATCTACGACTCCAATCTGGGGCGATCGACCTTGGAGAAATTTCAATGGAAAATGAATCCGTTATCGGGTAATCTTGCCCTCGTACTATTGCAACTCGACAGGAGAGCGAACATCGGCACGTGTCCATCAGTTGCTATGACCCAGGGAGTATTGTCAGGCCATTTTGTAATGTGGCGGGGGTCCCCGGAGCTCTTGGAGACTCGAATGTTCAAAAGATTCGAGAAATCGGAAGGGCGGAGTTTCCGAGTTTCCAGGGCGGACGTGCGGATTTACTCTTGCGGCGCCTTTGCCAGAAGAAGACAGCAGGTGACGTTGGCCCCGGAAAATCCGGGGACGGCGGCTCCTGTTCACCGTAAACTAAAGGGTTTTAGCGTGAGGGTCGGCGATTGTGCTGACAACTCTCGCTTAGCGACCGGAATCGGCGAGAACGCACCAAAAAGGCGTGTTGGGCCGCTCTCCGGTTCATTCTCTAGCACCCACGCTAGTGCAGCCTAGAGGGGGACCCAAATCGCTCGCACTCATCCTAACCGGCCGTCCCGCTCGAGCGCAGCTGCAAGTAACCATGCGTGGAGGCCCGTTCCCTTGGTTTTATATTTAAACTCCTCTATAATAAACCTAGTCTATTGAGGTTCTTTCCCCTTGTTTCCGCCTGCATCCCCTCCCGAGGTCCTATATTCGACACCCATCTCCTCCGACCCGCAATGGTCTGCCCCCAAAGGTGTCTTGGCCCAGGGCCATCTAAAATCACTACATTCTAATCCTATATCGGACCCGCGACCCAACTTGCTGGACTCTTTGGCTTCCCGCGTGCTTAGAAATGCCTCGTTGCGGCCCATTACGTGCTTGGGAGGGCCCCCGAGGAAAACTCGGTCAATTCTTGATTCCACTCCGCACCTTCTCTGCCTCGTATTCCGGCCAGAACTCCGGTAGAGACTATAACTGGCGAGGGTCCCCTCGGGTTGGCAGCATCCGCTCTCACCCGGTCAACGCAGATTCACCAGCTTCTGGAAACACGCCACCCGTGGATTGGATTTTGTCTGGCCCCCTCTTAGACACAAAAGGTTCCTGACGTTTCTGGCGTTTTTACATTGCAACTTCTCCTGCAACTCCGCCGCACGCCGGATTCAGGCCTGCTTTTTCCTCCGTAGGAATCCCATCTTCCATCCTAGCATCTCTCAGAGCTGCCCTCCGGTTGCTGGATCCCAGCCAAAAGCGTCATCTGATTGAGTCCCGAATGGAGACGGCGCTGCAGTCCACACGTGCCCATTTTAAGCTTTTCGCCCTTCCATTTCCGGGTCCCATCTCTGACCATGCTTCCTCCGTTTTCGCTGGAGGACTATGGCATTTCGCCTGAATTTGGCTTCCTCCCGCCAGAGCCGCCACTAACTCACCTGCCAAATGAGTACTACGCAAAATGGGAATCCATCGTCGGCAACCTCCAGCCCTTGCTGCTGAGCAAGCGCATCCGGGCGATGATTGATGGCATGCCCGTCCTGTCGACGGAGTATTTGCACGACGAGCCGGAATGGCGCCGGGCTTATGTAGTCCTGGTATTCATGCTTCATGGATATGTATGGGGTGGCGACCGTCCTGTATCGGTAGGTTCGAGTTCTCCCCATCTAGGTCTTGATATCAAAGATCTTCTAACGCAGTGGCCATAGAAAGTCCCTCCGCAGTTGACGATTCCTCTGTTTCAGGTGTGCGATCACCTAGATCTTCCACCTGTCGCTACCTACGCTGGCGTCTGCCTCTGGAACTACAAGCCGATATTCGGCAATGAGCCGAGCGCCGACCTCCAGGACTTGGCGTGTCTGCAGACCTTCACCGGATCTCTGGACGAGCAATGGTTCTACCTCGTCTCGGTGGCCATTGAAGCTCGCGGCGCGCCTTCAATTCCCCTCATGCTCGACGCCATCGTTGCAGCTAGCGCTGGCCAGACGGACGTCGTCGCAGATTGCCTGCAGGAATTTGCAGGGATCATCGACCAAGTCACCGAGCTGCTGCAACAGATGTATGATAATTGCGACCCCTACGTCTTCTACAACCGCATCCGTCCCTATCTTGCCGGGAGCAAGAACATGACGGACGCCGGTCTCCCTAAGGAGGGCCTCAACTACGACGATGGTAGCGGTGTGCCCATCTACCGACAATACGGCGGCGGCAGCAATGCCCAGAGCTCGCTGATCCAATTCTTCGACATTATATTGGGCGTGGAGCATCGACCCACCGGGACGTCACGAGAAGGACCCCGCCGAGAAGAGCCCCAAGGCTGGGCATGGCTTTATCCATGAAATGCGCAGCTACATGCCTGGTCCCCACCGTCGGTTCCTCAACGATGTCGAAGCCATCGCCAACATCAAGGAGTATGTCGACGCCAACCGTGACCAGCCAGCCCTCGTGCTTGCCTTCGACGCTTGCCTAGCCACGCTTCGGAATTTACGCGACAAGCATATCCAGCTCGTGTCCCGCTATATCATTATCCAGTCGCGTGGGGCTTCCCGTCGCCAAGTACCCCAGTCTAGCGCCAAACCTGAAGCCCCAGTCCGGGTGAATCTCGCGTCTGCGGTGCCTTCAGACAGCAAGAAGCTTCGCGGCACAGGCGGCACCGCCCTCATCCCGTTCCTCAAACAGGCACGCGATGAGACTGGCGAGGCAGCAGTCGGTGCTTGGGCTCAACGCCTGCTCAGTAACGGGCCGCCACTTACTTCATCTGCTCCCCTGAGCAAGGTTGGCGAACACGCTGATGGGCACCTCGAGGTGGTCGGCCTCTGCGGAACATGGACTGCGGCTGACAGTGAGGGGGGCATCTGTCACTGGTGATAGTATTTGTTTTATGTTCTGCCATTTACGACTCCCCATGATTTGTCTTGAGCGATTAGATTCTGCATTGAACCCTCTTCTGGCGCTCCACGCTGCCTTATGACGGGTATGGTGTTTGGCGGTTATCTCATCCATTTTCTTCCAAGTACATAGCAAGGTCAAACAAGTTTACCATCCATCTAGTGATCATCTCCAATTACGCCATGTGCTCCTTTGATAGCGAGAGGCCATACCCACAGTCAAAGCTTAGAAACTTTCTCCAGGCCCCGTGTGCCCTGGATGACGCAGTGGTTCCTGGTTTGCTTACTAGAACTGGCGAATCCGAGTCGTATCACGTGAGATGACGTCACCGTTGATGTCACACCCTGGAGTATAGCGATCGTGGCTTCTGTTTGCCTTGGATTGAAGCAGCAGCAAACGGACTATATAAGAAGTGAGGGTCGACCCTCCTCGACATGTATCACAAGCTTCCACAACCCTGAGCAGTCTTCAAGGATCCTTTCTTGACATTTAGAATTCCTCCATCTTCCACATCAACTACCAATCCAACACTACATCTACAACCATCATGTCTGACGGCAACTCTTCTACTCTCGGTTCCTACGTGAACGCCGCGACTGGCGCTGCCCAGCGCGCTGTCGGCGCTATCACTGGTGACTCCTCCACTCAGGTTCGTCTACCCCTCCCAAGCTTACCCCCTTCAGCCACGGTGGAAGTCCTCAAGACACAGCGGCTGACATCCCCCACCAGGCCAAGGGTGACCTCGCCCAAGAGCAAGCCAAGTCCCAGAACGAAGCTTCCCATACCACCGCCAAGCTGGGCCCCGTTACCGCCGACCCCAACACCGGCGCTGTCGCCAGGGACGACCCCAAGCGTGACACTGGCTCCTGGGACCAGACCGTCGGTTCTGTCAAGGAAGCCGCTGGCAACCTGACCGGCATCGAGAGCCTGCGCCGTGCCGGTGTCGAGCAGAACCAGGCTGGTAAGGAGCAGGAGGCGAAGGGCCAGCTCAAGGACCTGGGCGAGGGTCTCCAGGACCGTGCTGAGGGTACCTTGGGTGGCATTGCTGCTGCTGTCGCGGGCGACCGCGAGCAGGAGGAGAAGTACCGTGATATCCACGATGAGGGCAAGACCCGCCAGCGTGGGGCTGAGGCCGATATCAACAAGAAGCAGGGTCTGTAGAGAGTCTGGTCTTTTCTTTGCTTTCTTAGCTGGGTGATTTTGCTCCCTGGGCCCGTTGTGCTTGAGATCAGCCATTTCTTCATCTCTTGTTTTACTATTACGACTTTCACGAGAACTACATGATATCCACAATCTGACACTGCTTTCCTTATACTATTTTCCACGGTATCTTTGCTGTATCAAGTAGATTGAATCTGGTAGATGCAGAGGCCACCATTGATGCCTTGTGTTGCTAATTGCTCCGGTCTGGGTCGATCGACTGCCGATCAAATCCAAATATACACCAACAGCGACCTAAAAAAAGGCCCGACAGGACCGGGCCAGATCTAGACATCCAGAGTGATGACATGCATCTTCCCAAGCCCCGCACCTGGTCCGAGGTCTAGTCAAGCCGGTAGAGCATAAGCAGCCCCAATACCCCGGTCATAAGCAGCATATTAGCTCGACCGAGCATAGAGGGATTTTCTTTTAGGTGGACTTGCCGATCGTGGAGGGGTCAAGCATTTGATATACTTGGCTCGTCCCACAACTCCTCGACTTCGTTCTATATCGAACTTGGCGATCCACATCTATTCGAAACAGTCACAAAATGAGAATCTCTACTATCCTCCTCTCCCTCACAGCCTGTGTCTGGGCCCAGACACCCGATCCTGCTACCACCTCTGCTCCGGGCTTCAATATAGCCTCGCTATCGAGCGCCTTGTCCGTAACCCCCCCAGTTCTCGACCAGCAACCTCCATCCCCAACAGACATAGCTAACCAACAGACAGGCAGGATCTCACGGCCAATGCCACCAGAACAGGGAACTTCGGCAACATCTCCCCGCCCCCGAAGAACATGCTGCAGGAAATAATGGCCGTCATCCCCGGCGCTGTATACTGGGACCTGTTCGACCCGCACTCGCGCAGCTCCCTCGCGAGCCAAATCAGTGCCGGCAACACGCCCACCTGGTACGCTGCGCTGCCCACGGACGTGAAGAACTACATGACGGTTGTGAAGGCGCAGATTGCCGGCGGCGCGCTCACGGCGACAACGGGGCTCGCCTACGAAACCACCTCGGCCTCGACGGATACCGCCAAGGCCACAAGCAAAGAGGCCACTGACAAAGCGACCAGCACCCCGTCCAAAGGGGTGGCGCCGGCCCAGGCTACAGGGTTGACGGGCTCGGTGGCCGGGGTGCTGGGGGTTCTTGGGTTGGTGCTTGTACTGTAGGAACGTGTGGTTGTGGGGAACTGGGGTTCCATGGTTAATTGTGATTGGGATTGGGGGGATGTGGCTGCAGCGGTGTGCGTCTTGGGTCGCAGTGAGAAAATTGTATATATCCAATTTTTCTCCCCTTTCGTCACCCAATTTTTGGGGGGTGGGTTTCCTTCCGGGTCCTTTTACGAGTACTTTTTTTGCTTTGTCGGTGTCCCGTTGTCTCACTTTTGCATGGTATAGCTGAATTAGTGGACGTTAGCATTAAAAACGACGTGACGAGCAGATGCATGACATGGTTAACGACTATTTTTTCTTTTTTTTTCCTTTCTCCAATTTGGTTCCTGCTTATCCAAGTTTTCCAGGGGCATAACATGGTGGCGTACGGGAACACATGCTCTTACCTTCCCCTGGCCCTCGGCGCCTCCTGCGCCTCCCCCCTTCTCTCGCAAATACTCCGCATATACCACCACATCCACCGTCCAGAAAACAAGGTATGGGAGGTAGGATTTTAATATAGCAGATACAAGATGGGACCGCCGATCCCTAACGTCGATAACAGCCCGAGAACCTGGAACTGCGATCAGTCTGGATCGCGGCGATCGTTACTGTAGCGAAGCCTTGCTCCGCGGTGGATCACATGGAGGAACCGAAGAGGGAAAGGAAAGGAGTTTTGGCTCGACGCTAGTTTCTCCCCATACACCAACCATGGACGCCCGCCTCGCTCGTCCCAGGGCTGGGCCTGCAGAGAGGCTGCTCGTTGGGTCTGTGCCCTGTGAGGCCGGCGATCTTATTCCAAAAAGCGTTTAGGGCGCTTTTGCGTTGATGCGGGGTGAGCTGCTTTTCTGGGCTGGGCAATTCTTGTGCGATGAAAGAAGTCAGAAAGCGTGGTTGGAGGTGTCTTACTGCGCTTTTCTCCTCTTCGCTTCTTTTTTTTTTTCACATGGTGCCGTTAATTGCGTTTTGCTCGTGATCGACCGAGGGGGTAACGGTTGGTGGTGATCCTGCCAATCCGGCGCGAGCCTTTTGGCACTAGGCCTGGAACTAGGAATTGTGACAGGTCGAGGAGTTATGTTAGTCTCGGGGCATTGTGTCTTTCTTTCTTTTTCTTTTTCTTTTTTTCCCTGCTTCGAAGCTTCTGGACGGCTGGGAATTGTAGACTTTAGACGGTACTGCGTAGATATGCATTGTTTCTGGGGATACGGGATCTGCAGGTGCACAATAATCACGGCTTCCCTCGGACCAAATGGCTGGGCGGATGGAGGCTTGCTCGGCGGGGGTGCAAAGGAACCATGTTCGACCCGACCTAGAGGCAAAGTGGGGGGCGTAATATGGTGGCTGCGGCCTTGCTAGTAACAGTGATGCTCGCTTATAAGACTTGGAGGCTGTATCCATGGGCTTACTTTTCTTCCAGGTCCAACAATCCCTTGATCTCTCCTCCCCATCAGATCAAACACGAACCTCAGTATAATTCAACATGCGTGTCACTTCTCTGTTGACGGTCTTCATGGCTCCCCTGGCGATTGCTGTGGCAGCTCCCCAGCCCAACCCCGTGGCTGCTGCTGCCCCGGCGAGCACCACCGGTCTCCTCAGCGAATTGGGCGATCTGGGCAGCCTTCTGAGCCAGGACAACATCAATAGTCTCAACACCATCATTAAGAACGGCGGCAAACTCCTTTCCGATAGCAACCTCAATACTTTGCAGAGTATCTTGACCAATGCCGACTCGCTTCTGACCAAAGAGTTTGTGGACAACACGACTACTCTGATCGGAGAGGCCACTCCGGTACGTACCCTGCGCTCTTCTTTCATGCCGTTCATAAGGAGCGGAATTACCCCCGGGGCGATTGCTAATTTTCGGACAGCTGCTCGGGGATGTTTCCAAGTTACTGGGCTCACTACTGGGCTCGCTATAATAACCCATACGCTTGACTATTACATGTTTATACGCACATTTTTTCAAAATATCGATACCGATATTCTCTATATACGAACCAAAGCAGTGATGAATCTACGAATTGACATTTACCAAAAAAATCCCACTCATTTATACATATTCATATATTCAATTTTTCTTTTCTTTTCTTTTCTTGTTTTTTTTTTTGGAAGTAGCGCGGAAGAACGGAGCCTCATTGTAGCACGAGCGTATCTCATGGCAGGGTATATACTAGTAACCAAAAAGAAAACAGACATGCAAAGAACCAAGAACAAAAAAAAGGGAAAGGAAAAAGTGAGAGAGAAAAGACCGAAGAACAACTCATGTACAAAATTGGCCATCCTCTCCGTCGAGTACTCCTACTAGTAATCCGCCCTAGGCAGTCAACTTAGTCTTCAGTCGATCCTGATAATAGCGTAAGGGATAGGCGCGCCACTTATTGGGCAGAGCCGGGTACACGGTGATGGAAAAGCCCATCATCATCCGATACAGCGCCCGCGTTTTCGCCGTCGACTTCAATCCATATGCCTCCCGCAGCTTCGGCGGCAACAATTCAACCGTCGCGCTGTGCAAGAACGGCTTGATACGCTGCACCCAGCGCGGCATATCCGTGCTATCGCGCAGCGACTGCGCCAGCTGCACCGCATCCGATGACACCTGCAGCTTGGACACCTGGTCGTCCCAGTAGTGCCAGAAGGCCTCGCGGGAGGAGGGCCAGGTGCCCGGGGGGACACCCAGACAATTCATGATGAGGGTGAACTCGGAGTAGCCGCGCTGGGCGCTCTCGAAGTCGATGCGCCCGTAGACGCGCTGGTAGAAGTCGGTGGCGGTGACGTAGGAGGTGGCAGCCATCCAGAGCTGCAGGGATGGATGGTGGGCGAAGCGGTTGTTGCGGCCGTCTGGGAGGCCCGGGGCCTCGCCGCGGTGGAGCAGGTTGAGCAGGTTCTGGCGCTCGGCGCGGGTGCCGAAGACCAGGATGGAAATGTAACTGAGATGGGCTTGCAGGGCGTCCAGCAGCTCTGTGATCAGGGCGTCGGCGTTGCCGCTGGGGGCCTCCAGGTTGCGCAGGTCGGGAAGGGCAGCCTGCAGGAGGAGAGCGGCGCCGGAGCCGGCGAAGAGGATGCCCTCGCGCAGGATCTGGGGAAGGATCTCAATTTGTTCCAGGGCGTGCAGGCGCCCGGAATCGGTGGTGATGTTTACGGCCGTGGGCTCGACATGGTCGACGCCGCTTAGGGCTTCGGCCTTTTCTTTGTCGATGGGTGATACGGGAGACGAGGTGGACGACATGATGTATAGATACTCCCAGCTACTAGAAGTCCAGAGACGGGTTGCACATGGATATTCCAGAAGAGAAGTCTAGAAGGTCTTTGCAAAGGGAGTATAAGAGAGCAAAGAAAAAAGTCAAAAGGGTATATACTGGGAAAGGGGAGGGCTACTAGATCAATTAAATCAGCGAGTCGCCAGGATTTTCGTCCCCGCAAACCCCAGACAAAAGATTCCGACCGAATCAGGGTTAGTGTTCCAACCCCATCACATCATCTTGCGCCTCCAGATCGCCCACTAAAACCCAGTGGGAAGGCCTCCGAAGGGAGGGGAAGTCTGTGGAAGGTCACGGTGTCAAGCATTTCTCCCGGACATGTGAAGCCCCGACATCTGCGAGTGGGAAGCCGCGGTCCGCAGCTGATCACTATCTCATAGTGTCAATCTATACTGCATGAGGATGACTAGTCTCGTGGGACTTATCCCCCTTCAGGCATTAGTGCTCCGACGCACAGGCCCACTAGTCTCTTTTTTCTCACCTCAAGTGGGGCATTGCGGGTCGTTGGGGTGCACCTTTGGTGCACCCCATTCCTCTGTGCAAGCTCTTCCCTCCTCTATCCGAAATTTGTTTTGCGGTCCATTGGATCCCCACACCCATGAACAATGGGAAAGTCCGGGGCGGACCCCATATATGGCCCAATTTGCGGGAGCGCCCTTCGCTTCAGGAGAGCAGGCGATCCCTGAGTGGTTTCTTCCCTTTGGAACTTTTCCCCCGTACTTATAGATCGGCCGGGGCCCCGATTTCCTCTTTAGCGTGTTCCCTCGTGCATGCCTGAAGTTTTTTTTTTTTTTGCGCGCTCGAGCCAGGAGAATTTCCCGAGAAGCTGCAGAGGGGGCAAAAAACCACAACAATTAAACTCGGCCTTTTGACCTTCCCCTCCTTCAGCCACCATGGGCAAGCAGAACGTTGACCGGCCCGCATATCTGAGTTCCGATGATGCAAGATACTCGGTCGGCATTCATCGAGGCCCAATGGCTCCGAAGGGCCTCGATGAGAGCTCCAAGCTGGAACTGGTCGAGTCTGCAGGGGGCCGCTCGCTCGCGACCACCCGCACCCGCAGGCAAAAGTTTGCTGCGCATTGGAGGCGCTTCTGGTTCTGCTACCTCCTCGGGAATGTCATCTTTCTCGCTATTTTCCTCCCCGTCTTGTAAGTGCTTCAAGCGGCGGAGATTAAACGAAGGATGGAAAGCGAGGCTTCCTGGTACAGCATTGGCCGTACTTTGAGGGGGGCGCTCACTTGCAGGGATCACCGAAAGATCACCCAAGCTAACGCTATCCTTCCAATTAGCTTTCTCGTCGCCATCCCGGCCATTTCGCAGCTAGTCGTCAACAAATCAGACCTGGTTCTCGTCAATGCGTCTGTCATGCAGCCGAGACCAGACTCGATTGTGTTAACCCTGCAGTCTGCGCTCGACTTGCATCTCGCCCTGTCGGTCCGCATTGAGCCTCTCAGTCTGAACCTTTTCGAGCGAGATACTGGCCCCGAATATCCCTGGGGCAAGGGCAATATTCCTGGAATCACCATTCGGGGGAATACCACCCTGGGTGTGAAAACGCAGCACACGCCGCTCCTCAACCAGACAGTCTGGACCGATTATGTCCATGATGTGGTGTTCAAGAAGGAGTCGACATTGGCTGTGCGTGGATCCACTAATTCCTATTTGGGGGTGCTCAAATCGCACGTCACGATGGACAAAGATATTACATCGCCGAGTAAGTCCATCATTTGCTTGATGCAAGCTTTCTAGGATCCATGCAGATGGCTATGTATACTTTCACTATGAACAAGTGCTAACATACCACCCAGCTTTGAACTCCTTCGAAGGCTTCAGCTTATCCGACACTTATCTCAAGCTTCCTCCTCTCGAGGATGGCACCAACCTGCTCGGCAACGCTACGCTCCCCAACCCCTCCGTGCTCACCCTGGAAATTGGCCAAATCGTCTTGGAAGTCAAGAGCGGCGACCTCGTTATCGGAAATGCCACCCTGGAAGACGTGATTCTTCGACCCGGCAACAATACCTTCCCGGTGAAGGGTATACTGGATATCCCCACCATCCTCCAAAACATCGGCCAGGTTTTAGCCGACCAGGGCCCCTCGATCAAGCAAGGCAGTCTTAGTTTAGTCTCGACCACCCGCACAGTCAAGTGGAACGGCACCGTGGTTCCGTACTACACGGACGTGATGTCGCAGCTCCCACTGACCGCCAAGGTCGGGCTGGTCTCGACCGTGAAAAAGACAGTCCAAGAGCTCTTCAGCGGCGGCAAGAACATCACAGACGTGATCCACGAGCTGACCTCATACTCCAAGGGCAATGGCACCGCTCTCCTGGATGACCTCAAGCAGGGCATCCAGGCTATCGAGGGCAAGAACAGCAGCTCGGGCGCCCTGCACGAGATGGTGAAGCGTAATCTCTACTTGCGCGATGAATTCCAGGAAAGCCACCCTGATCAAACGGACGAACTTTTCAACTCGCTTACGTCGTGGATTGCGAAGCACTAATTCTCCCCCACCCTGCATTCTAGACTAGACTTAGACCTAGATTTTGGGATTTGTTTCAAGACTTGGTGGCGTTTTCTCTTTTTGTCTTTTTTCTTTTCTGTCCTTACTGGCGTTACACATACGATTCACCCCCAACAGCCTCCTGACGCTGACACGAACGTGGTGTTTGATTCCCCTGGGATGATCTTGTTCGGAACATGACCGATTACGGAGTCACGGCCTATACATATTCGATTATATCTATATCTCTTCGGCCTCCAGCCGACATAGAAGATACTTAATACATAAACGAATGAAGAAAGAATGAATATTTTTCGTTTTTGATTCTAATAGCTCGCTTATCCCCCGGAATCTGCCCCGTGTTCCCCGGAATCTGGATGCAACCCCGGGTTCTGGCCTTCTGTCACGAGCAAGAAAAGAGCCCCCACACCTCGGCATCGGTGCATTCCTGGAATCTGCACCCGAATTGATCTCCATGTGAATACCCCGTTCGAGCCGTTCAAGCCGTTCAAGCCGTTGTGCTTTCCTGGTTTGGACCAGACATACACATGGTCGATCGGATGGGGAGATTGCCGGACTCCGCTGACGTCGTGGCTCGACTCCGAGATGCATTTCGATGTCATCCGCTGATCCTTCTGCTTGTCAGCCTTGACGAGTTGCCGGCCTTCCGTACGTCCCGACCCGGTTGGCCGTGCCCCCTATTCCCATTCACAGGGAAGAGAAAGATTGCTCAGAACTGATCGTCCATTTTAGAGTTCGAACTGCTACTCCAAGGCCCCCCGTCGGGTCTGTTTGTGGAGGACGAGGACGGCACACGTCGGATGGGAATCGGGATGATCGTCCCGACCAACCCCCCCCAGCTTCTGATCATAGCGCGCGGACCATTATTCGGAATTGAAAGCACTGCGTCCGAGGCAAAAATGCACAATTCCAAGCACTCCACAGGTCGCCAGCTAGTGGTCGCCAATTAGTAGGAAGGGGAAAGTGTCGCTCGACTTGTTCAGGGCTGGAGTTGGGCCCCGACGGTCCAAGAGCATATCCAGTAGTTCTTGTCAAGAACAAGTCGATTTCTCGACAGAATACCAACGGGAAGTTCAACTTACCGCTGCATATCATCTGGAACCGTGATTGAGCATATCTTCTGGATTTCTGAACTTCGTCAGTGTGGAGTCCAGAAAGAGCAGATGAGGTTATTCGAGTGGTATCATGATATTCCTTTTCGCATCGTCACAAGCACGCTCACTTGAAACCCCGCGGTTGGCGGTTTCGCCAACAAGTCGAACATGGCAGGGGACACAAGAATGATGGCACTCTTGCAAGGGATGGGTTCGTGATTAGCTTTTGTCGCCCGTGTTTCGAGGATCTCCTCTGCGAACCCGGACTCTGCTCTGACAGGCATTGAAGCAGAATTCAAACTACTACCAGCGCTGTGGTAACTGGAGCAGACTTTGTTGACTGATTCATTAGTACCACGCCAAGAATGGAAAATTCGTGGTTTTCGTCCAGCTGGCGAAAGCTTATCAGCGCAAGGAGGCACCGGAATGCTACCTCAATAAGCTTCCTCGGCATACTATACTACTTAACGGTGGTACCCTCGATAAATTCGCCACGCCTTTCACGAGCTGTTAGGTCTAGATCTTCTTATGCTGGTGGGCCGACTAGACTTCTAACTTCTCGGAATGTGGCTTTGGGCCTGGAAGACTTTGATCTCCACTTGCGAGGATCCCGGGAGATAAACTCACGCCTATCGGAGACCTGTCACTACGTTTTTGAAGAAGTCGGGCCAATTCCATTGATATATGATATCAATGTTCAGTCAAGAGCTGAGCTGACTGAAAAGCACGGTCGAGACCTTTATCATCGCTTTCCCGACTGCACGTATTCGTGGATCTCTAGGGATTTCTTCAGGGATCGCCTAATCAAAAATCATCCAGTTTGGTCCATGAATCCCTCCTATACTTGAAGTTCTTCCACGCCCCGTGGTACTGCGAAACAAGAGTGCTACTGTCACTTGGTGCTGTCTTGCCACTACGGGTCTAGCCACTCGAAAAGCTTGTTTGATGCAATGGAACCAGGCGGTGTGTCCTTGGAATGTGGTATCTGGTCCCGATTTGGCTGAGAATCAAGCATGGGGAGGCTCAGATACCTGACTCGCCCAGCTGACGAGATTGGAGATATTCGGGATCTCCCGTGGCGTCGATGATATGACACGGGCCGACTGCTAGCTGATGACATGTTGTCAATTCCAAGTGATAGAATCCACTTGTCTCCTCTGCCACCTCGCATTGTTGCTTAGTTAAGGCCTCAACCCAGGGCAATCTTGGCCGGACTCTGCCCTATGACGAACCGTTCTCCTTTACCCTGGTTTCGTACGATGCTGGGTAAATGACTCGATCTGGGGGCTGACCGCGTGAATTTCCGGGCTGGAATAGCTCGTGCCGAGCGACTTGCCGTGGCGCCGTCCTCTCCCATTCCGCGATAACGGCGAAGGGATGAATTCCAATGGCTTCGAGCTTCGAGACCTTTCCGGGCAGTGCACGCTTCCCACGAGGTGATTACTGCCGAGATAAGGCCCATCCAACTGATGGAAATCGCCCGAGCAAGCATTCAAAGGGACATTGAAGATGGAGGTGAATTGATGCAAAGTCGTCGGTTCAATGGGAGGGCTCACGCCAAAGGCTGGACAGGGGGGGGGGAGTGGCTGAGTCGCAGGGGCGCTGTCTTTCCTCCAGGTTTTGCGGCGGTCGATCTCCCGCGTCCCGAAGGTTTTCGGCGATTCTCTGAAATCTTCTAATCTTCTCACCACGCTTAGTTCACGCATTTCACCGAAAATACCGTTCTCCCTTACTGATGGCGTTGTTCCAAGTTTCCGCGTCTTTAAAAGCAGGCCCGGTCTCCGTCCACATCCTTATATTATCTGTAAAGCAACTGCATATGGATTGATCCTGTGAACCTTCCTCCATTGTTCCCTTCAAGCCATTCCAATGACGGTTGTAGCGCAGAAAGAACCCTACTTCGGGCTCAAGGGCAAATGGCTCACCTTCTGGATTACGGTATGCGGTGTTGTCGGTCGCACTGCGCGCATGGGCTGATACACGTTTAGGTTGCTTGCGCAACAGACATGACCTTGTTCGGTTATGATCAAGGTTTATTCAGTATGGTTCTATCCATGCTCTCTTGTATCCATAGGGACTAACCTTGTCGTTAGGCGGGGTTGTGATTACCAAAGACTTCCTGGATGTTCTTGACCTCGCTGGCCCAACCAAAACCAAGACACCCTCTACGGTCACAGCTATTTACGACATAGGCTGTTTCCTGGGTGCTATATTTGCTTTCACCATCGGGGAGCACATTGGTCGAAAAAGGGCCATTCTGCTGGGAACAACCATCATGGCTATCGGAACGATTTTGCAAGCGTCCGCCTTTGACCTAACCCAGATGTTCGTTGGCCGTGTTGTATCTGGGTAAGTTCTATTCCCCTTGAATATACTTCCACGTACTGATCGGTGAAAAGTATCGGCAACGGCATGAATACCGCAACTGCCCCGGTCTGGCAAACAGGTTCGTCCAATGGCTCCGTCAAGTGTCAGAGACTGGATGCTAATGTCTACCAGAAACATCAAAATTGGAAAACCGTGGCAAACTGGTGACTTTTGAAATGATGATGAACATCGGTGGCTACCTGATTGTCTGCTGGATCAATTATGGACTGGGTTTCATCGGAGGTCCAATTGCCTGGCGTCTGCCCATTGCTCTTCAGGCTGTCTTCTTGATCATTCTTTACTGCACAGTTCCATGGCTTCCAGAGTCCCCTCGGTGAGCTAAACCGAGATTCTCATTACCATTCGGAAACTAACAATCTTACAGTTGGCTTCTTGCTCATGGCAAAGACGACGAAGCAATCCAGGTCATTGCCTGCCTCGAGGACAAGCCCCTGCATGACCCCCATGTCATCGCCCAGTGTAACGAGATCGAATTCACCCTGGCCTATGAGCATAAAAATGCTATCCGCTGGCGCGACTTGTTCAAGGAAAACGAGAATGATACCAAGACCCTCCGCCGTCTGCTCTTGGGTGCTGGTACTCAGTTCATGCAGCAGATGGGAGGTATCAATATCATGTCTTACTACCTCCCCACGGTGTTAGAGACATCGGTTGGTCTTGATAGCCACATGGCGAGTCTTTTGACCGCGTGTGATGCGATCTCGTACATGGTCTTTGCGGGTTTCGCGGTGTTGCTAGTCGAGCGGATCGGTCGCCGTGGCCTGATGCTTATATCGACTCTTGGACAGTGTCTTTGCTTCTTGATGATCACGATCTTGTTGAAATATGCTCAGACTGCTCCGGACGGTGTGGTTTACGGCAAGGCGTCTGTGGTATTCTTCTTTCTGGTCAGTCTTCTCGACAACCGTTCAGACGGGACTCGTTGCATGTTGCTAACTCCCGAAAAACAGTACATGGGCTCCTTTGGTATTGGAATGCTAGGAGTTCCTTGGTTGTACCCGACAGAAATCAACTCCTTGCCCATGAGAACCAAGGGTGCTGCCGTGGCCACCGCGACGGATTGGTGAGAAGAATCGTAGCGCTCATGATGTTTACCAGCTCTTCTAACGGCTTCTAGGCTCACCAATTTCATCATTGTCCAGATCACCCCCATCGGTATTCAGAATATTGGTTGGAAATTCTGTGAGTGTAGTCAATCCGCGAGTGCTAGAACCACACTAACAGATCCCAGGGATCGTGTGGATCATTACCAACGCGGCCTTCCTCCCCATTCTATACTTCTTTTATCCCGAGACAGGTCAGTCCTTTTTTTTTTTTGACATACTGACAAGTTCCTTCGCTTACATATTCCCTACAGCCAATCGAAGTCTGGAAGATATCGATATGTACTACCGGCAAAACCCGCCGCTCATCGTCACCGGAGATCCCGACGCGATTTCCAGGGGCCGTCCCCAGAAGTACATTGATCACGAAGATGCAGAAGTTCAGAAAACGGCTGCTGGCAAGGCGTTCGTGGAGCGAGTGTCCGCGGAGTATCTTGAATGGACTGTAAAGAAATAATGTGAAGAGGATTCACATGGCCTGTCCGAGCTGGATATGCGCATAGACTCGGAGTCTTGCCTGAACACATATATGTATCTTGTCTGGGAGAGCACACGACTCACAAACGTTTGCCCTTCAATTTGAGGATTGAGTTCATAAACAGCATATTATAGATTAGCTAATTCAAATTCGGGTATAAAGATTGCAAGAATGAATGTGATATAAAGTCCAAACCTGGAGATTCACTCGACGTGTAGTACAAGGACACGAACACAGGCCTGATAATCTCGGAGAAGGACACCACTGTGTGCTAGTCAAGTACTAGTCCGAGCCGTATCCGAGGACCAAATTTTAGAGAATTTCATACTTTAGGTAGACAGTACTACACACTAATACTGGCTTCGGAGTGGTTCCATGACGGAAAATCTGCAACTTCCAACGTCGGCACGACACGGCGGTCACCACCTTCCAAGTCCAAGTTGGACGAGAAAGCCATGCCACTGGCACTTGTGCTAGAGAATGATCATACTGGAATCCCAGTCCAAGTCCCTACGTCCCAATGCTAGCACTACGCCTCTCATCAACCTAAAAATCATGAGTCGACAGAGCTTCAGTCCGGAGGAAAAAAAACAGACGTAGGCTCGACTCCCTGTACTCAAGGTCTCGAGGTTCCCACCGACTTGCAACGAACCCGTGTTTTGCGGATGCAAAGGCCACCATATTCCCACCTCCCCTTCATGACCGCACACCCTAGCAAAAACATGCACAACGTACAGAACCACAGAAACCAATGGAAGAAAAAGATGGATATTTTTTATTTTCATTCATCGCAATGCACCTGGCTTCAGAAACGTTGATCTGAAAAAGTATCGGAAATCCCCCATTTCATCTCAGGAGTCCGTTAATACACACGCGCCGTTAAACCGCCATTGCAACATGAACCAAACCCCCTCGTCGAATCCCTTAAGCCTTGTTCTTGACGGCCTCGCGACCCTTGCCGATGCGGGCGAGGATCTCCTCACGGTCCTTGTCGAGCTTGAGCTTGGTGATGACCACCTTGGAGGCGGCGATGGGGAGGGGAACGGACTGGCCGTTGGTCTTCTCGCGGACGACACGCTCGACGTAGATGGCCCACTTCAGACGGTAGACGCTGGTGACCTTGCCCTCACGGCCTATATCGTTAGATTAGCGGGCTGTTTCTTTCAAGCGTTGTTTTCCTTCTTCGCCAGATGACGGTAGTTTGTCTGGGTCGTGGTAACTGGTTGGGGTTGGTCCTCACCCTTCTGGCTTCCTCGTACAATGGTAACCTCGTCGTCTTTGCGGACAGGGATGGAGCGGACCTGTAAATTTTGTGCGTTAGTTCGCTTCCTCTGCAGAGACCCTTGTTGATTCTTTTCTTTTTTCCCTCCCCCCTCTCTTCGATTTGTTTCTCGGTTGCTGTGCAGGCCCGGGCTGGGCTGGACTTCGATCGCAAATTGAAGAATCGGGATTCGGGCTCAGGGTTGGGATTTTCGACATACACCGTACTGGGCACGCAGCTCCTTCGACAAGGGTGCGCTCATGATCACGCGGCGCTCGCTGGAGGGAGCAGAGAAGTGAGCCTTACGGCTCTTGCTGCGAGACGACGCCAGGGCTAGAACAGATTCGAGTTAGAAAAAAAAAAAAGATCGGACAGGCAGCGGAATGGGCACGGTAGACGGCGACAAGGAAAGGGACGCACCTTGGTTGCGAACAGCCATCTTGATGAGCGTCCTTGAGGGTATCGTGGATGGGACGGGTTTGTCGTTGGTCGGGGAGAGGAATCTTTCGAGATGTTCCCCGTATGAGAATATTGCTGTGGGTTGTGCGGCACGTGATTGAAGAGCCCTGGGACATGCAACTTCATTGGCCCAGAAAGCGGAAAGCGCGACCCACTTCGTCTAAGTCTCGGTTACTCAGCATCTCCATCTTCGAGGCTTGTTGCATCTTTCAGGCATATCGGATAGAAGCAGAGAAGTGCTGGATCATCGCTAGCTTTCTGTCAGATGATTGTAGGCGTACTGCTGATGCATAACAGCCTTCGGTCGATTGGACTCGGAGTGCGCCGTGGTCTATGATGGGAAAAGAACGAGGGCAACAACCCTTGTACAGTCGATGTTTTGTCGCGTATCGACCCAGCCCCGTTCCGAAGGTACTGACGAGTGAAGATGCGCTATTAGTCTAACTTAGCGAGCAATCAACTGCATATTAAGCTTGGAGAGGTTGAATATACCAATGGAGATGAAGTGGTCGAGGAATAACGAATGCCTGGGTACTCAGGCATCAAAGGAATCATGCATAACTAGTTAACTAGCAAAAATTTCGGGTCCGGCTTAGCGTAACCTGATTCTAACCCAGGCGCTCCAGGAAAATTGGAGTCAGGCTCGAGGATTATCGAGATTTTCAATGACTGCCATCACGCGACCTGGTACAGTTGCTGAAAATCTTTACAATACCAGGAATTCAAAGATCCAGTCATTGGGACGGATTTGTGCTGTTCCTGTAACAGTCCCGGACCCGTGGACCAAGTTCTGTCGCTTACATAGTTATCCCAAAAACGCTGCCCGCCAGCATGCAAGCGGCTCATGCAAGCGACGCTAAATCAAGGCAATGGACTGTGAAACTTGCCGCCGGGCCGAGTTGGATATTCATACCTGAATACATTTGACCGTACGGCACTAAGAATAGCGGAGCAGAGTCTGCGTTCCATGGCTGCGGTAAAGCTACATCCTGCTTTAGTCACTTTAAGGCCCGATCATGTCTCAGTCTTGACGCGTAGCTCACAGATCTGGAGGTCTTTGTGTAATACTGGTACAGAGCTAGCATTAGCTGGAATCGATTGCTCCGCATTCGCATTCGCATACGCCATCCCTGCTTTCATATAGTCATGCAGCAGTCTAGAGCTTCCAAGGTTACCGGTTTGATTCCACTTGCGGGGCAGCGACCCAGATCAAGCCTTGAGCAAGACTAGTAAGCATTTCTGCGACAGTAGATGTCTCTGTGGTTTTGAATTGATTATATAGTGCGCTCTGGTTTTCATTGGCATACTATTACTGCCTGTTCTGTCCACGGGCAATGCCCTTCCGGCTCTCCTTGAACGCATTCAAAATCTTTTTCATTCCAAGTTCTTTTTGATTCAAGATGTCTTCCAGTCTACGACTGCTAAGGCCACATATCAATTGATGTTCCGCACCCCACAATCGTCAGTCCACTCTATTAATTTCCCTCAATCATCAACTGAGCAAGGTAGCTACTTTTACCAGACGCCAAATTGCGTTAAGGCCAAGATGTATTGTACGATGGCCTATGCCCTGTAGCAGTTCATCTGAATTCTCTTGATGGAGCGATATACGGAGTCCTCCTCATGCTGATTTCACCAGCAGCTCGTTACTAAGGATGCATACTAGTGGCTACCTTCAAGTTGACACTGGCGCCTTGCTAGCCAAGGAAGAAAAACAATACTTGATGACAACCTGCATGTAAACAGTAAAACCCTGTTCAAAATGTGCCCCGGAGCTTTCCTTCGGTCGGAGAGATCTCCCAGTCGTGTACTAAGACTTTAACTTGTCACGGTGTAGGGATGCCTTTTATGCAGGGCGGGGAGCTATTTATATAGATCGCGGGCCCCGAGGACCGAGCACCAAGCAAGGCGACTCGGAGCAAGCTACTGTAAAAGGGGATGAGAAAACAAGAAAACCAGTCTGATACATCTCAAGACCGTTCCCCGTTTGGAATGCGCAGTCAATTCTCAAACATGAACGGGTTCCCCAACCAATTCAGAACAGCGGGGAACATTCTCAAACAACACGCCAATTACCTCGACGATGCAACGTAATGCCCGTCCCCCATCATACAATAAACTTAAGCGAAAATGATGGGACGGCAAGCACAGACACCTAGCCCCGTGGCCTCCCTTTGGCCACATCGCAGAAGTGGAGCGACGACAGATCACAAACGCTGATCCGGCGATCCCCAGCTTAGACCCGGAGAGTCCATGCACCTGCATGCCACTAGTGGGAGCCGTTATAGCATAATCCCATCATTCCGCACAGCAGGGGGAAGGGGGGGTAAAAGGGGGGAAAGCGCCAAGGGCTGCTTCGAGTCAGAACCGGCTGCTGCGATGGCGGGAGGACACTCGCCCTGCCCCCTCCTATTGCACGTTACGGCCACGTTTGGCGATGGCCCTGCGGTTCCGAATCACCCGCTTCCGAGTAATCCCCGCCCAATACTAGTAAAAACTCCCGGTTCTAGGCTCCAGGGTAAGCCTAACGGCTTGCGATGTCCAGGTGTGCGCCGCCTGGCCCGCTGGGACAACCGGCGTTATGCCGAACAGCTTCGTGTTGGGCCTAGTCGCTTTTGTTTAGGCTGAGGCGTTCGATGACGCACGGTGGTCCACTGAGGAGCCCAACCGCCCAGCGGCGCATGTGGCGTGATTAGCGTTATCAATTTGGATTGTCCCGACGCAAGGCTGCGCAAATGAAAGCCAATCCATTTGGGCACGGCTATTGACCCGATCTTTCCCACGGATGCTCAACTTAGGTACAGTTATGCAGGATGAGTAGAGAGGAGTCGATTTAGGGCACTTTCGCCTACGGCGCACTGCATAAGTAAGGTGACGCAAAAGTCAAAATTCAATTCCCAAACACCAAGCTATGCGCATCCAGAGTAAGTACAGAAATGGGACCCAGAGCTCGCCATTAGCTGGGTCCCCCATCAAAGCATATGTAACAGGTCATAGTAACAGGATCAAGTATTTGCGCAGCCCAACCTGGGAGATATTATGGCAAGCAAATAGGAAGCGGCCGGGGGGAAACGCGAGATATAAACCACCTAGGTGGAGTAAACAAGAACGCCACCAGAATCCAAGCAAATCAGTGCAAAAATAATGATGATGAGAAAGGGGAAAAACAGACATGCAAAACCAGAACACCTCTCCAGTCCAAGCGATCGCATGGTTGTGTATGGGTATAAGGAATGTGTGATCGTCGCTGTAACACCGATCAGACCGAGTGATTGGGGGCGCTCGGGTCTCTAACTCTCGGCTTTTTGTGTTTTGGGTCCAAAGGAATCGACACGGGTCGATCCCTCCGCTCGTAATTTATGCCGCAGACTCCTGGTCCTAGCACAAAAACCCACAATTGTCGTCTCTGTAGATCATCGGACAGACTGTCCAATTTAGATGAAATTGGGCTGCGTGCGCTCCTCTTCCATATGGTTCGACGAGCTGATCAGATTGGGCGTCGAGATGCTTTGGGTCTGAGGCTGGTTGCCCTTGGAGCGGCCGAAGATCGACAGGCGTCGAGAAAGGCGGCGGCTCAGGCCACGCTGGGGCCCGGCCCAGGAGTCGATGGAGATGATGGACATGGCGCGGGACGAGCGCGGAGGCGCGCTAGCAGTGGAGGGCCGATTGAGCCCGTCGAATATCAGGGTCGAGCGGCGGCGGAGTTTGGCGGCGGCGCTCTCGGGATCCGCGAGGTTGAAGGACATGTCTTCCTTGATGTCGCCGAGGGCGTGCGAGACGCGGTGGAAGAGCTTGGGCTTCTCTATGATCGAGGGTTCGCGCTGTTCAAAGCCGTACATTTGCACAGGGGTGGGCGCGCCGTCGTCTAAGGGCGAGGCATAAAACCGAGGATATTTGGGTGGCATCGGATTACGGCGGACTGGTTGGGAACCGCTCTGGGAGCCGAGCGAAGTAGTTGAGGATGGATGAGGATGAATATAGGGGAGATGGGGATCCGACGATGAGACACTGGAGGAGTATGAGCTGTTGGCGGAGGAGAACATCGTGAGATGGAGCCGGCGATAGTGGCAGCTGGGGGTGGTGTAGTAGTGTAGAGCAAGGGCAGCAGGGGGATCCGAAGGGGAAAAGGTTTTATGCAAATAGACAAATAGGAAAAAAAAATCCAAGAAAGAGAGGATCCCGGAAACTAATAATTGATGGCGTGAGAAAAATGAAAAGGCGCCATTCGTGAATAGCGCTGCAATCCCAAAAGAGACTAAGCATGAACTAAAAGTGGATCAGAGACATTCACCACTTTAGTTTTCCAAGCTACGAGGCACCGGGCCGTGTAACATGTAGATGACTGTAATTTTATGTTTCCAAGTTTCCCACTATTTCCCCCCCTCTCTCCCTGATCTTCTGTTGCATGTTCCAAGGCTGATTTTCGCACTCCATCAAATATAGAGACCAAATTCAAGAGTGACTGTGATTGCCATAAATCTTAGTAAATATCGGAGGATGTGAGCTTTACGAACGGTAACTTTTATTTCGAATTTTTTCTTTCTTCCCACCCCCTCCTTAGCTTCCCCAGTGAACGTCCGAGCGGGTGTGGCTCCGTATCAGATCATCCAATGCTCGAAGTGTACAATGTCTTAAAACTGACACATCAAGGTGTCAAGGTGCATTAAGGTCCCGTGCTGTACAGAATCGCAGCAATAAAGCCAATAAGAGGCGCCACACTAGCTGCCATAGCCGCCGAAGGATCTATAGAAAGAACGAAAGAACGACGCAGAATCTCAAAGATCAACTGCGCCATCTGCCGACGCGTTCTCCTCCGAGGGGACAGAAACACGGGACCAGTGGGTGTCCAAGGATGGTCCCACCGGGATCTTGTGCCGCTGCAACGCGATTGGCCTAGCGGGGGGGGGGGGGAGAAAAATACCCAGCAATGGAGAGTAGGAGAATCACACCTCAGGGGAGAAGCCTTGGCCATTTGGAATTCATAAATGCAGAGGTAAAAAAAAAAACAGGAAATAAAACTAGGCTCGGTGCTCAACGATGTGCACTGATTGAATGACCGATCTCTTTTTTCGAGGTGGCGGGCAGAGCAAGGGAGAACTCCAATGTTTGCGGGTTCCCTCCAAGGCTACTCGGTGGAGAACCTAAGATGGGGGCGAACGCCTGGCAAACCACAGCAAGACATTTCGCAGACACGAGGAAAGACGAGGGGCTCTGAATCGAGAGAGGCCGCCCCCCCCCTAAGCTGTAACGGGGTAATATTACACTTTATCCACTCCCCGCAGAAAGGATCTTCGTATTTCCGACTCGGCAAAAAAAAACAAAAAAAAGCAAAAAAAAGCAAAAAAAAAAGAAACGAAGTCCGGTCCATCTCGCAGAGATGGGGTCATGCAGGAAGTCCGAGATGCGCAGAGGTTATCGGAGAATTTTACGGGTGAAAGCGAGTAAGCCGTGATCTCAATTTCTCATTCTCGCTGAAATCAGCAGATCTACATGACAAAGCGCAGATTGACGTCTGCCGATGCGAAGTCAGCCGCGGAATCCTCGTGGTGTCGTGACACCGGCAGATCAACTTACCAAGGGGATGACTGCAGCTCAGCTGCGGCTTTTGCGAGTACTTGCCCTCCAGCTCCGCTCGAATCGAGTTCAGGAGCTGTAGGTAGCTCTGGTGGGGCCATTGCTTGAGCGATTTGATGAAGGCCCAACTCAGCGCACCACGCGCTTGTCCGTCTTGGAAGGTATCCGCGCTGATCGGAGTTAGATTGGATGGAAATTCCAGGAGCCACTTACTACACCTCTCTGGCTCCACCGAATTGAGAAGGGGAAAACCACTTACGATGTTTGTGTATCCTTGGACCCTGAGAACATCACCACATCGGCAGGGAGGTCTTGGTCCGCAAGGTACGCTCACGTGCCTCGCCGCCATTGGTTGCCTTTTTGAAGAAATTGATGGCGGTGGATGCAATCCCGGAGAAGTCATTTTGACTGTACGAGGTGAGAACGCTAAACAAATCCTGCGCCGCCTCCTTGGCTAGGTTGGGTTCTTTCAACACGCCCTGGGTGGAGTAGATATATGGCAGATCTAAAGCAGTCCCCGAGTGGCACGAGTCGTATATCGCCGTTAACCGGACGCCTGCCTTTAAGGGTCGCACCATAATGGCGTGCATGTCATCATCTACGATATGGCCGGCTGTGCGGTAGTCCAACGGGTAAATCACATCATCGTATCCGTCCTCTTCATCGCCGTCTAAGTCGGGCGTGCGGCCTCCGTGTCCTGAGAAGTGAATAAACAGCGAGTCATTGGGCTCGGCCCCCTGGACCAGCCAATGCATCGCGCGCAGGATGTTGGCTTTGGTCGGCTGGCTCAGCGGGTTGGGCTGGTCATCAGTGAGAATCACCATATCCTCTCTACGGTATTGGAAGCGCTCGGTCAAGAATGTTGACATATTGGCGACATCATTGATGCACCCTTTCAGGGCATTTGGTTGACCGATGTAGTTGATGCCTATTAGTAAGGCCTTCCGCCGTCCGGTACAGGTCGAGTACTGAAACCGATAATTCGATGGCGCGCCTGGCCCGAAGTGTTGAGACTCTTGAGGCGGGCGCGGAGGTAGATTAGGCGAGCTAGGCCTCGGGCTCGCCGGAACACCTAAGATGGAATTAAAATAGAGTCGACACCAGGTTAGTTAGTCCAGTCTTACCGCCATAAGGAGTCAAATGTTGCGATGGGGGTCGAGGGGGCTGAGGCGGAGGCGATTGGCCGTAGGACGGGGATGGCGGTGGGCGCCCATAAGGCTGAGGTGAGGGAGCGCCATAGGGTTGTGGTGGAGGGCCACCATATGGCTGTGGAGGAGGGCCGCCATATGGCTGTGGAGAAGGGGCGTGAACATATGGGCGAGGAGGTTGAGGTGGTGGCTGTGGAGATGGAAATTCTCCTGGGACCGAGTATGGTTGATTTCCTCCATACGGTGGTCCTTGGTAGGGCTGAGGCGGGGGCGGAGATTGCCAATGAGGAGGGGGAGGTTGATATTCCCAAGGCTGCCCCTGCCCCGGTGGTGGTCCAGGCGGAGGATAATAGGACATCGGGTAGATCTGCTAAAACCCGAGACGCGATGCAGACGCAACCCACGAACGCGAGCAAGTAAGAAGGCGAGAAAGTTCGAATGGAAGCACCGGAAGGAAGTGAACTTTTAGAGAAGAAGTCTTTTTTTCTTTGGCGGGGTCTAGAAATACAGGGCTGGCTGACTGGTGGGTCACGTTGATCTTCGAATAGAAACAAACAAGAGAGAATCTTCAAGAACCGTGGACAACCTCCGGCAGAAACCAAACCTTACGGAGTACTTAAACAGCGCAACATCCAACTGACCAACGTCAGAAGCTCCACTGAGGCATATCAGACCCATAGGGCTGACAGGCAACAACGTTTGGTCCCGGTCACGTGGATTTGTTGCTTCTGCAGGAGAGGGTCGGCACGTGCCACCAGTTATGAACACTGGTGCACTGCACTGGTGAGTCATGAATTTTATGTTGGGGTTGGGTTTCCTGGCCAGGCCCTTCCCAGAATGAGGCCCAGGCGTCAACAGAGCCGCTGACGTCCAGAAGGGCGGGCTACATTCCACCTGGGGGCAACCCTGTGGAACCCATGATCTGTTATTCTAAGCAGCCCGTGGCATCCTTTTCGGAACAGAAAGGAAAGCCTAAGCGATGGTGGCTTGCTTCCTTGGATTATGAGCCGCATTGGCCCCAAGGTGACAAATAGTTGAGTCCCCCGTACTGCGTACACAGAAGAGGGGTACGTCTCGTGTCGTCCAGAAGATGCGGGGTGGACTATCGTCACATCTCGGGGAGTACTGAACTTGGATACGCGCTCTGATCAATGAGTAGTGTAGAAGAGGAGTATAGTTTTGAAATTGATAGATAACACTAGCCTCATCCGCTGAAACCGGTAACCTGGGCTCGTGTCGTGTGTCGCATGGCTGACCCACTTATAAAGGCGATCGACGTCTAAAAATTTGCGCCTAGGGGAGAAAAGAGCCTCATCTCTGCCGCTTCACCCAAGAGCAAAAACCGTGTACCGTAACCGCAAATAGCGAGGGGCTGCCGATCGAAACCTCGGAACATGTACGTACGCCCCAGCCTAATCGGACCCCGCTAGGGGGGAAAGGGTAATCCTGGGGGGGGAGGATTTGAAAAGGCAAGGCTAGGGACGATCATGACTGCAAGACGGGGATGACAGGACCCGCCCAATCAGCATCCATGTTTCACCGACTAGAAATGACCGGTTAGCGTGACGCGATGGAATTCTGCAGCGTAAACACCGACGCAGAGCCTCAAGGTTTCTCACCGGGACCAATAACCAACTCCCAGGATTATTGCGTGTCAACCAACTGCATTCTCAGATCGGCGTGGACCCTTCCACGACGGAGTGGCGAAGCTCGGTCTTCTAATTTGGGAAACCCATCGCCTTCTTTACGCGCGGGATAATCGTGAAATTGTTGAGGCTCAAACTGACCCGTGCTTTTCTTTTTTTTAAACCGAACCCGTCTAACTCTTCCAAGGCTTCATACCTGCTCAATTTCCTTCACATTGCCTCTTTGACTCTTCTTTCAAGAATATCTTCTACCAAACATGCCTGCCACTTGTTAATATTCTTGAGTCGCATTAAGACTTCCTCCAGCCATGCCAGCGGCCCGGGGGCTGGCCACCCTCCCCTTTGATATCTTCTATGAAATTGCAACCTTGCTGGATGACCGCGACTATGTCAATCTCAGCAGAACTAGCCGACACCTTCATGAAACCATGAAGAGTGACCTGCTGGCAAAAAAACCACTGGAGGTAGGCGTGACAAGTTCCTCGGGTAGCTTTACACCGCTTGGGGTTTAGGCCAAGGCTGACTCGAAGCTTCCCAGAGCGCCTTACTGTTCACCCGAGAGGGGCAGTCTGCCTTGACCGCTCAGACCGGCTATCGCAGTGCGGTTGGGCATCGCTTCGATATCCACGAGGCAGTCGCCACTGCGGCTCCTTATTCGGCCTGTGCTCCAGCCTACGGTACAGGTTTTCTCTATAACCAGGGGTTCCTTTGCTACCACGTCGGCCACGAGCTCCGTTTGCTCAACGTGCATTCAGCGGGCCACCAAGAACGTGTCCTTGATCTATACGACATTCTCCCCCGTTTACACGCTGGCCCTGCAGATGGAGATGCATCCGGTCGGGTTGAGCTGCTGCACTTTGCAGATGGAATTGTCGTATTTCGTGTCATGGGTCTCGGGTCCCAGGACGACACTCTACTCGCGATCGATATGACACAGCGTACGCAGATGAAGCGAGGTCGGCGCTTGCTACTCCAGAGAGCTGTGCCGGCATCGGCATCTATATTCGTACGACATAGCCGGTCCTATCTTTGGTATGGCGTCTTTACTGCAGTAGGGGGCTCTAATGGAATCTGGTCTATCTTCGGCGTCGATATCACTTCATCATCCGAGCCAATCCATTTCTCTTTGGACTGGACTGCTGATGGAGACCTCGGCCAGTCATTATGCTTTGAGATTTATAGGGATAACCTTTATGCAGTCTCAACTCTGCCTACTTCGGACAGTAATGAGAGATTTTCCTCCTCCTATCATGACGAAGATGAGAGATTCTCCTCCTTCTACTATTGGTCATGCCATGCACCTCGCAACAGCCGCCGCAAATGGAGTGGACGCCTGTGGCGTCGTGAGCACTGCGAGGGCCCTATTAATGAAATGTGGACGGACCTTTCTATCCGCACGGACGAGAGAACTGGTCGGCTGGTCATCCTTGAATGCCGCCGGGAATGGCCGGATGGGAAAAGTGAGAACCACCGCACCTACTATACTCAGCAACTCCCTTGTCCAAGTACTGCTGATGAATATGACGTTGAGGATATCACTCCGGCGACCGTGGATAAAGACCTAGGCGACTCTACAGCAAGCCATCGCCCGTACAACGAACGACCCTCCAAGCGGCTTCGCCGTCACTACCACCCCGAATATGAACCAAGTTATGGCCAGGCGGAGCGCAAAGAATTCATTTCCGCACGCACAAAATACCGCACGTATCATCTCTCAGCATCGACCTTCGTCGATCTGGTAAACGACCCAGTTCCCCCTACCGCAGGCGTACGGACCCAAGATCGCCTGCGACTTCGAGCTGTCTCACGGAAGCGGAAATGCCCGATCGACGAAGAAGGTATTGATGGGCCAGCTGGCCTTCTCTTCAAACCTACACAGCAGAATCTTGACGGGACCCCAGTCGAGCACTCCGAAGAGCGTTTCATATCTGGCGGCGCGCATATGTGGCCAGCCGAAGATGCGCCTTCAGAATTGACCCGGCTCTTGTGCCCCAGCATGCGCATTACCGGAGTCAATGCTGTTGCAGACGAGCGGTCTCTCATCTATTCGATACAATGTCCTGGACTTCCCGAAGGCCATAAGGTTCTGATCTTGATCAGTTTTGATCCAAAAATCCACTTCTCAACGATGACCCCCTTGGGCGCCTCTAAGTCCCCTCTTCTGCCCAACCAGGTCTTCCCTGTCCAGGTGCCCCGGCCAACTTCGTCGGATGGCTCGATGATACGAGAATCTCAACCACTTTATGAGGCTATTCGCTGGGGTTATTGGCTGCGATGAGGTGGTACCGAGTTCATATTCTGTTCTTATGGTTTAGGTGGCATTGATCATAGCGCAAAAAAAGCCAGTAGGGACGAGCAACATTAATTAAGGAAACGTCGTAATTTTACAGAATGCAGAGCCGCTTACGGGAATAAAATCAAAAATTTCAATTCAGTCTACCGTTTCCGTACGAGGAAATTTGAACAAGGAGAGCACCGACTACTAGACCATTATCGGTCCAAGGTTAGTTCTTCGCCTCCAATCACTGCAATGAACATAGTGTGAGGCTGAATGACCTCAAATATGGTATTCAAGGGGCGAGGAATCATGGCCAAGGCAAATGCACGGTCTTGTGATGTTGAGCCTCATGTGCTGGAATTTGTCGCCAGTGGAGTTCAACAGTGTTGCAACCAGGATCGGAGGCGATCGGAGGCTTATTGTTTAATATCATCACCTGACTTCGAGTCGAATCATTCAGACCTTATCCGCGGACGGTCAGCCTGGATTGTTTCTCCTGCTAGCGCATCCATAACAACGACATCTATGCAAGCGTTTCCTTAATCCTAACGATGGTTTGTGACGCTAATGGCACTGCGATGCACCAGGGATGAATCTGAGAAGCATCTTGTGCTGTAGGAAAATTGAGATTTCACGCGGTCCGCTCTCAGTGTGGTACATCGTGGATTAAACCATTCAGCAATTCCTCAAAGCTACTGCTCATCCCTTGACTGAAAATATCGGCTTTCCACTGTAGCAACATTGCTGGATCCAGCAGATCCGCTTCCGATCCTGTAACAGGCAGAGGAAGATTCTCTTGGCTCTTTTCAACCAACATTGTCATGGTTCGAGCCGCAAGGGCTTCGAAGATGTCCCTATACGGGATAGCAGCCTCATGCCACTGTGCCATGAGCACCAGGGCGATCGTACAGTCCGTGCAAGTGCTGCTCACAACATCGTGGCGGCTTGACTCAGGTACGGCGTTTGAACACCAGAGGCAGTGTATATATGTCAATCCGGCTAGAAAGCAATCACGCAGAGCCCCCCCACGTAGGTGTCGTCCGTTTGTTTACAAGCTGCCGTCGAAGCCCCCGGCAAATATCCTCTGCAGCAGCCATGCACTGTTTGATAATGTCATGCGTGCAATGAAAGGGGTCTGTGAGCTGCCCTCGGTAGAGATTCAATATCGTAAGATTATAGTAGAAATCGTACCAGTAGGAGCTGGTGAACAGACACCGTGGTTCATCTTTTTGCAGTGTCACAAACGGTAGCGAGGCTCGCCACTTCTCGAGCTCGTCTCGAAAGCCAGCCACTCGGGCTTGGTATGTTGGGTGAGAAGGATTGCTTAAAGACAGGTCCGAGTATAGGCTGGCGTGAATTCTCGCCCAAAGCCTACGTAACCGAAAAGTGAAAAGCCCCTTGGTTATGCGCGTGGGTGGGTTATTTGCACCTCGCGCCTGTCCCGTGTTCCCGAGGTCGGTGATGTATTCGTCATCGATATCGGAAGGAAGCTGTAAAGTCGAGTGGGAAGTCAATCAGGAATCATAAATCAAAGAACAGAAAATTTTTGAGGAATCTTACTTCACAGTCCACATCTTCAGAACGCAGACAGAGCGGTCGGCCCAAGACCGTTGCGGCGACGGTGTCAATTGTCCACGCACACCAAAATGCTCGCTTGCGTAGTTCGAAACGTAGAGTCCCAGTAGACAGCCCCAGGACGCTTCCATGTCTGTGGTACCCAAGCTCAATGGCCTGGCGTAATGCTAGACCCGAGAATCTCCTACCAAGGTTAGCTGCCGTTATAAGTAGGGGCGTATTGATGCATACCACACTGACGTCCCAGTGGGCGACCGAAGGGAGTAAATTGCGTAGCACAAGTACGCTTGGACAGTCTCCAGGCATTCAAGTCGCAATACATCCTGGACATGTAGCTCGGCAGAAGCACAGAGTCGCTAGAAGAGTGTCAGGATACATCCAAATGTCAATCATCAAAAGCCGCAGAGCCACGATACCTCTGGTTGAAGTCCTGAGTGGGGCAATATCAATGCCCCAATAGCGTAAACCTAGGTTTTTTTTTTAATTTGTTTGTGTGAGAGTTGTGATAGTGAAGTGCTGGGCTTACCATATAAAGAAAGAACGTGGACTTCGAATCCAAATCCGAAGGGTCAGGGGCTTCCGATAAGAAGAGCTTCGCTTCCCAGCCCCTGAACGTAGGCTCATGAAGAAAGGGGTATTGAGGGTGAATATGTTGGAAATATGCGTCGCTCATTTGCAGACAAGTCCTCGCATCTGGAAACGGACACGCGTATGGAACGGCCGGTTCGGATTGCTGCCCGAGCCCTGAGTCAGGCCGCCTGGGGACTGCTTGAAGAAGAGCCGGGCTGATTATTCTGCAGAAATTCACAGCGGAGGAAGGCCCCAGGTAATGAGGTTCTGCGCCGGCAGCGACATTCAGCATACCCACTTTCGAGACTAAATCATTCATTTCCAGTGATTCCTGCGTTTCGACGGCCGGCGGGAGGGACTGTGAAGCATAGCGAGGCGCATCTTCTGAGGTGGCAGCACCTATCATAAAGTCATAGGGAAGATCCGATAAAGAGAGTTCGTGATGTGAATCCCCATGGCTGGCATCATGATTGCTCTGCCGTTGGAGAATGCCCTCTAGCTGTGCCACCCGGTGCTCTAAAGTCTCAAGATAGTTCCGAGGCTGGTGGCGCTTTGTTGCTGGATCCTCCACCAAGCAAACTAGAATTTCATTAGCATCAGGGAAGTTGGTCCACCATAGATGAAACATGCAAAGCACAAAGTCGGGGAAGCCCTACCGATGCCGAAACGTCGACAATTATTACAAGCAGGGACTTGTTCATCGCACTATGATCCATCAGAGACCTGGTGATTTCACATTAGAATATGCTACTTACTCTGAGTTTTCGGTCCTTGCAGTTTAAACAAGCCAGTATCATCCTCGGGCCATGCCGGTTCCGCTGGGGTGCTCTCTGGAGCGGGCCTTTTGAGTTGGCCAGATTCTGCGACATGTTCAGGTCCAAGAACATATGTTAGCCTTTGATTTCGTGTGTTCAAGATACGCCCAGCAGACTAGGCAGAGTACGGAGAGGCCAAAGGGTCTTGCATTCGTGCGGGGAATATGTCGGGGCACCCAAAGCGGAATCCTGAAGGCATAACTGGGCCATATCGCCTAGCGTTTGCTGTGGGGAACTTTTATCTTCAGGCTTATGGTACGTCTGGCGCTGCTTGAATGTGGTTTAGAAACCATAGCCATGGAGCCTCTTGGCCAACTAGCTCCTATCTTGCAAAAGATAAGCACATCTCCATAATTCAAACCCTTTATCGTGATCGTGCCTCCAAGGCACAGTTTATCGCCCGTTGGAGGCTCGGAGGCTCCCGCAGGACTCACGGTCCCACTACTCTTCGATAACACCGCGTCTGCGCTTCCCATTGGCTCCTCGTATTCTTCCGACCGGCCTTTCGCTCCATAGATTGTATCCTATTCAGAATGCACAGCCGTGGTAGCTTGTTCTCCGCTCATCATAGAGCCGTTTAGTCGGACTTGATGGCTTTGATAAAGAGTGCAACTGGCCCTGGCCAGAGAAGCCTTTTTCTAACTTCTGCCCTGATCGGACGTTTTCAATCTCCAAAATGGCTTTCAAAGAGATATTCACTGATTCAACTATCGCCTTATACGCCAAACAAATACGTGCAGCGCCCCGGCCATTGATCTTCAACAAGAAACTATTGCTTTCGGCACTGTGCTATGCCACCTCATCCCTCCCCGTGGGTAAGTATATCTAGTGATTCAGAAAATTCCCCTTTGGGCACTAGACTGAAGCTTCGAAATAGCTTGGGACCAGTCGTCATCCTCTACCTATACCTGATCTACCTGGATTCCAGGGTCATTTTGGCTTCAGCAATAGCAGTGCAGGCCAGCTGCGCTACTTCGTCTCCATTCCCTTTGCTAGCGCAGGAGTTGGAGCGCTGTTATCATGGTTCCTGAATGACCGCATTGGGCGTCTTTGGTCATGGCGCTTGTATACCGTGATATGGATGATTGGGCAGCTTGTGATGTGCTTCACGCCGACACTGACGGGCTTGTGGGTTGCTCGAGTAATCTGCGGGCTGGGGATTGGCCCTCTCAGTGTGGTGGGCAACATGGCCATAGTGGAAATCGCCCCCACCGAGATCCGAGGACTTCTGTCGGTTTGGTATAGTGTATTTATGGTCATAGCCTCTGTGTGCGCCGTGTTCTCGGTCATGGGCTGCTATATCCATATAGTACCGAGCAGACTGCAGTACCAGGTCGTGTGGTTCTCCCCGTGCGTATTCTTTGCCCTCCTTATCGCTGGTAGTTTTTACGTGTGTGAGTCGCCGCGGTGGCTATGGATGGTCGATCGGCACGATGAAGCCGTGAAAACGCTTGTCGAGATACGTGGGTTGCCAGCTGAACACCCTCGCGTCAAGTTCGAGATCGAGGAGATAAAGATGGCGATTGCGAAAGAGAAACGAGACCACTCGAGCACCTCGTCGCTCTTCATCAGCAATGTCAAGGAGACATTTACCGTCCGCTCCAACTTACGGCGGGTTCAACAAACCTTTGCCTCGTTTGCCCTTGCTCAAATATCAGGGGCCAATTCAATCACCTCCTACTTGATTCCCATCCTTAAATTGCTGGGCCAAGCAGGGGACACAACCCACGGCCTGTTTCTGAGCGGAATGTACAGCACATCGAAAATCTTCTTCACCTTGATAGCCTGTTTCTTCCTCGTTGATTCCATTGGCCGGCGGCGGTGTCTGATGCTGGGGGCATGTCTTCAAATGTGTTCCGACATATACCTGGGCGTCTATCTCAAGTACGAACAGGCCGGATCGACGAGCACCGCTTCCTCCCAGGGTGCATTGGCTTTCATGTTTATTCATGCTCTAGGATATGCTATTGGTAAGAACCCCCCACCTCTAAGGGTTCCTTCAGCTCAGTCTTCTAAGCTTACACATGCAACTAAAAGGTTTATATATGCTACCATACCTCTTCGGCGGCGAGGTCTGGCCAAACAGAATTCGGTCTTTCGGAGGAGCTATTTCCCAGTGCTTCCACTGTATGAGAAATTCCATGACATGTGTGCTATTCCACAGGTGCTAACTATATTCAAAGGGCTCTTTTTCTTTGCCATGCTCTTTGCACTGCCCTCACTATTGGACGCGACTAATAATTGGGGGGCATTTCTCTTCTTCGCGGGCTGTTGCTTCCTAGCTCAAGTCTACGTTTTTTTTATGGTTCCTGAAACCTCGGGGCTGAGTGTTGAGGAGCTCGACGAGGTGTTTGAGGGTCCATGGCTTAGCGCGTACAGATACTCTCGGAAGCGCAACCAGCTGGTCATCGAGGCCGCGGATTTAGAAATTCAGAAGTGAGCTGCCCGCTGTCCTTGCTTGATTCTGTCTCTAACATGGAACTTTCCAATAGTGACAAGATTGTTGGAATGAAATCGGGTGAGAAGTTGGTTGTTTAGTTTTTAGTATTTCAGAAATCGATAGCAGATAGCAGTCGGTAGGAGGAATTTGAATAGTTCATTTCTTACGAAAGGAACAAGTTCCGAATGTCATATTCAGACCGTCACTCATTCCTTAGAGCCTCTAGATGTTTCAGGCCTCTCGTTTCTGGACTAAACAGCTGCCAATTTGAATGGCAAACTGATATTCAAGGCTGTCGACACCTATGTTGATACCCTTAGAATCATGTGACTTTGTGTGTATATGCGAGGGGTAGTAGAAATTGGAAATCCATGAACAGTTCCATGTAAAGATGATCCTAGGAGGCTCATGAGCTGTGGCACTGTTGCTGTCGGAATATTGCCGCCTCTATCTAAGAGGGGCACGCTCATCCGGACGACAGCTATCGGCCGCCGGTTCTCCAAGAACTGCCCGGAAGAATACGAGCGACCAATAGAAAAAGACGCAGAATTGGAGACCGTGGTATCTGGGCTTTTCGGTAACATCCGCTCAGCCAATGAAGCTTTTAGTGCTCTCCACTGCATCTGATTACTCAGACTGGACAATTGTCGGGACTCGGGCGATAGAGATGTATTTAAGCAGCTGGCCAAAGGTGGCCTTCAAGACGGAAATCACACATCCCCCGATTAAAGCTGAAATCATCACGACAAAATATCATTGAGACACAAATCATGGAGCCCTCACCTATCACAAAAGAGTCTCCAATTGTGATAGTCGGGGCTGGTGTTTTCGGTCTCAGCACGGCTCTTCATCTCGCTCAGAGCGGCTACAAAGATGTCAAGGTCATTGATAAGCAGCCATACAAGAAAAGTTTGTACTCTTACGACAATGGCTGTGATGCTGCTTCAGCCGGTGAGTAGCATGTTGTTTCCCATGGCCAATCTCATCCGCTCATGGAAGCTAGACATGAACAAGATTATGCGCGCCTCATACGGGTCTGAAGTCGAATACCAAGAGCTGGCGTTAGACTCGGTCGCTCAATTCACGCGGTGGAACGAAGAGATTCAGAGCGGAAAAACTCTGCCCCCCGGCTTCAACACTTCGGACATCATCTACTGCAGAAATGGCAATTTGACTGTCAATGACCAGGAAAGCTTGACAAGCTTCGATATCCAAAGCATAGATGGGATGAAACGAGCGGGCCTTGGAGATACTCAATTCGTGACCAATGATCCCAATGACATCAAAAGAGCTGAAGCCGCAGGCTTCGGGTTTGCAATTAACCCGTTCAACCGGAGCTTGGAGAAGAACTACGGAGTATTAGACACTTGGGGTGGCATGGTGTACGCTGATCGCGCTTGTCGTTTTGCTTTATACAAGGCAGAGTTACTCGGAGTGAAGCTAGTGCTGGGTGACCCGGCGGGGAAGTTCGTGCAGCTTCTCCGTGAACCTAGTTCTGGTAGGATTGTTGGTATTGAAACAGCCGACAAGGCACAGCATCATGCTGCTTTGACCATTATGGCATGTGGAGGGTGGACGCCGTCCCTGATCCCCCAGCTGGATGGTATATGCGAAACTACCGGCGGAAGCGTCAGTATCTTCCAACTCCCATCCGAAAATAAGGAGTTGTGGGAAAAGTTTGCTCCTACCAATTTTCCCACCTGGAAGTACGTGCCGCCTCCGCTGCTCATGCTATTGCGTTTGATCTCTTATTCTAACATTCGCAGATACAAGATTCGGGACGGTGCTGCCGGAGGGTTATACGGGTTTGCAAGGGACCCCCGCGGCAAGATCAAGATTGGCTACCGTGGCACCAAGTATACCAACCCACAGATCCAGGCAGACGGCAAAGCCAGAAGTGTCCCGATCACAAGATGGACCCAGGAATCGACAAAGAAACTGCCTCAGCAGTCTGCCGGGGTAATTCGTCGGTTCGTGGACGACTATCTCCCGGAATTGCGGTCGTGCCCGGTCAAGACACGCCTTTGTTGGTATACCGATACCTTCGATAATCATTTCGTCATCGATTTCGTTCCCGGGGCCCAGGGTCTCATGGTAGCAACAGGAGGGAGCGGTCATGGCTTTAAGTTCCTTCCTAACTTGGGCCGGTTCGTTGTGGATAGAATTGAAGGAAAGAAGGATGAGGAGAGCCTTCTCAAGTCATGGCAATGGAGAACCCTACCTGAAGGGGAAAAGCCTTTTAACAGTATTATGGAAGGTCCCCACAGCGAACGAGCTCTACAGAATCAGCTTCTCACCAGAGACGACAGCCTCGGTACCCAGAAGAGCAGCCTCTAGAGGTATCCACGATTTAGAGCAGATGATATGAGGGTCTCCTGGTCTTCTTGCTGCTATACAATAGACTAAAAAGAAATCAAGCTTTTGATCTCATTATATCACATTTCATATAGTGACTTTGTGTCAATGGATCTTGAGGCTTGTTTCATGGGATCAGAGATCTGAAGGATAAACGGGAGCATACTGGATGATTTTGCACGCACCTGCTGCCTAGCTGCTAGCCACATCACAATTGGCAGGGCCCTTTATCATTGCATGAGATGGGAAGTTGAAGATTTTGCAGGAACTGTGGGTTACACGGACAACAGCTCCGTTGCAACGAGGTCACACCCAAATGCCCTTGGCTATTCTAGCCCCGACTTGGCTGGTACAACTTCGGATCTCTCTGTGCAAAGGGGCAATTCACTAGCCCTATGTAGCCATGCGTCATCTTCAACTTTGATTGAACATTGGTGACACGCTGTCCGGGTGAGAGAGTTGAGCTGGAGACAGGAAGGATCAATTTCCTCTGGTCCTATAAGTCTAAATATCACAGACACCCTTCTTCAAAGCCTAGGGGCCCCCTACAGGTTCACAGACAAGGCCCTTCAGATCACGACTATCCATTTCAGTCTTGATTTTGTCGGCTTGATCCAATTCCAGGCGGCAATACCAAATATAGCTATTTTACTCAAACTGGACCAAGGATTTGAAAATCCAGAAAGCAAAGGTGTTCTCCGCAATATGCTCTGCCTACAAGCGCTGTGGACATGGCCGAAGAGGCGCAACTGCCGCGCCGAAGACGATCGCTCTCTACTTACGTGTTGCAGATCTTTCGACCAATCCTGGCAGATGGATGAGAGGAACGAAGCCTTGAATAATCCACAGCCTCTAGAGCAAGAGCGGTACGTCAAGCTGGGTATTGGCGGCGCTGGAAACATACGCAAGTACGTGTACTCCCTCTCAGCCGTGTTTCACTGGATCTGGGGAACTAAAACATTTAAAGAATAGTTCGGTCCAAAAATCACCAGAGTGACTGAGGAGAAAAGGTGAAAAGTCTTCGGGTTGCTGGTGTCTTAAGTGCTTTTAGCCCTCATGTTTCATCTCAAGGGGCGGGTGGTGAGGAGGCGGCCAGCCACACCCGCTAGCAAAGCAAGGGACACTGATACTCGTTGCCATACCCCTGGAGATCCAATCGTGCCTCGCTCGAAACTAGCATCCTCGGGCCCTGCTTTCGGACATTTCTAGGGTCATGTTTTGATTTTGGTCTCGGATAGGAGGGCGCTCGTTACACGCGGGCCGGGCCACTAGCTTCGAGGACTTCCCCAGTCTGCGACAGCTATACCCCGTAGTTGCAAATCGAATCGAATACAATGAGACATAATTCAATTTCCATTCTGACTTGGACCTCATGTTGCCTGGAGACGCGGGCCAAGCTTTCAGGTACCTATACCCACTCTGGCCATTCGGGTGGACATTGGGCGTATGGCACTCCCACGGACAGCTCAACGGCAACGTCAGGCCGCTCACCCTGCCCAAGAAATTAATTGATTTTTCTTTTTTTATAACCCACCCAATTAATTTCCCAGATTTTGATAGTCAGCGTGTCTTATCCTCCTTATTGAGCTTTATACGCTGGGTGGGAGTGGGGTGGCTGGGGGAGGCTGGGTTGTCCACTACCCGACGCATCAGCCAAACAAAAGCCCACTCCATTTCTCGAGCCAAAGGTTTCGAGTCCTCATTGACAGCTGAAGCTCCAATTCCCAACCTTGGGGAATGCATTTGATTTAGACGTCCTCGCGTGGAACTGTCGCGCCCATCTCAGATTCCAGCGATATGTCTGACTCGCCCACTCCACGAAACTTTAGTCTAAGAAACGTGAACTGTAAGTATAAACGAAGCCCACCCACAGGAAGAAAGCTTTTCATCGGAAGTGCTCTTGTCTGACCCTTTTGCAGCAAGCAGACCTCAAGTCTATCGCACAGAATCAGCACAGTCTGTTGCGGCTTCGGACGACTACTATTCGTTCTCAGATCGACAGACTTCAAGCCCGGACAGCCAAGTGACGGCTATGCGATTCATCACCCCGGAGTCCCATGCATCATCGCAGGCGTCTTCACCAACAGTACCAGGACAACCACAACCGGAAGTTGCTCAGCCGAGTCGTCAAGAGCAAGCTCCTGCCGCGGCCGGGGGCCTAACATATCCCCGGTCAGCTACTGCAAGCACAGTACGCTTTGGAGAAGATCAAGTCGCCCGCATCAGTCCCAAATCTGATCGCACAGTGCGACGGGTGCCCAGTGACTATGCGGGGCCTGCACCGACTCCCGGTTTGGATGATACGCCATATGTTCAGTTCGCCATCAACCAGCTGACCCACGATGAGAGTGGCCGACGAAGAGAGGGATCGATCTCCACTAGAGATGACTATCCCGCGGATCGGCTAGTCTATGATGAAGGACTAGGCTATTTTACCCGGACCAGGACCCCGTTGCACATGGAACTCCCCCAACGGCCTAATTACAAGTCGCCCTCGCCGCAGGCTCTGCCGCAAAGACCGAACTCCGTCGACCCTGAGTCGTTTGTTGCAGTTGATCCTCCAGAAGAGAGCTTATTGTACCCTAAGCTGGACTATCTACCGTTGGTGCTCAGACCATGGGCTTTGATGCTCGCTGTGTTATGCTGTCTTCTAATGATTGCGGGGGTCGCGTTTTGCAATGCTTGGTCTCAGCGACACCAGGGCATTTGGGGATACGACGGAAAGGGAGGAGGTCGCTATTTTGTGATGCAATTCCTCCCTCAGATACTGGCAGTTCCCATCGTGATTTGGACTTTTGTTATCCAAGCCGCAGTATATCGGATTGCACCATTTGCTATTATGGCGTCGGAGTTGCCTCTGGGAAAAGTCTTGCAGGAGTTGCCCATTCTCTCCCGCAACTTCATTCTCCCGACACGGCTCATTTTCGACATGGAGAATTTCTCTTCGGGTTTTCACTATTTACCATCTGGCTCTCAAACTTCTTTGCGATACCTCTTTTGAGCTGTCTCTTTCAGGCGAAGTACTTTGTTGTTGACGGGGAAGCAACGTGGAAGTGGACTTCCGTCCAATCTGTGGGGTGGACTTTGATTGCCTCCTATGGTCTTCTGACGGTCGGGCTGCTCGCGCTCGTCCTTCGATTCATGCGTGGATGGACTGGCCTGATGTGGGATCCAGTCTCCTTAGCAGATCTGATCTCCATTATCCAGCGTTCGAACATTCTCCATGACTATGAGCATTCTGAGACCGTTCCATCAGTCAAAGAGTCTCTTGACTCTCGTGTACTCAGACTGGGATACTGGAAACTATCCATGAAGCAAGAGGTTTTCTATGGCATTGGAGAAGTCGACGCACCGGTCCACACTCCATCGCTCCATCAGATCGACAAGGGCCAAGCCAGACAGGCTCATGGCTTGTCACAGGTGCGCTACGATATCGAGCATGGGAACGACCCGTATGATCAACAATTGTACTCTCCATTCACGCGGTATAGATGGACCCCTTGGTTCCTGCGAAAACAATTCGTCATTGCGTGGTTAATAATAGTCTTCGGCCTGTTCATCGCTTTTGTCACCGTCAGCTACGTCGACGATGCCATCGAAAAGGGCTTTCTTCCCAGACTCCCGACCCTCCCGTCAGTCGACGCATTTTCCGCCTCCAACTTCCTCTACAGCTTTATTCCAGCGTTAATTGGCAATTTCCTTTTCCTCGCTTGGCAACCAATCGACGTCTACCACCGTGCACTCCAGCCATTTTTCGAACTCGCCGCTCCCGAGGGCGCAGCTGCGGAGAAGAGCATCCTGCTAGCCTATCCAGCTGGCCTGCCACTTCAAACAACCATTCAGGCCATAATGAACGGACACTGGAAAGTCGCCTGGTTATCGCTTATGAGCCTTGTCTCGATCGCCATCCCCATCCTAGCGGGTGGCGTATTCATGGCCCTGTATTTCCCATCCGACGACAAGATCCGAATTTCCGCCGTGATGCCAGCATACGAAGCCCTGGTCGCCTTCTGCGCCCTCTACGCCCTATCATTTCTGGCCATATGGCCGGGACGCCGGCGCCATCTTCCACACGACATTACCACCCTGGCAGACCTGATGAGCTTTCTGTATCAGTCCCCGCTTCTCGCTGATAAGCTTCTTCGTGAGCCGCGCAGCAAGACGGATCTGGTGACTCGCCTGATTGTTGCGCCTCCAACGGAGCGAATGTATCCTATGTATGGCTTTGGTATCTATGTCGGTCGTGACGGGAAGGAGCATCTCGGTATCGACCGGTTCGAACGCCCGGGGCGAACCGACATGTTGATCACTACGGGGTCTATGAAATGATCACCCCGTTCTTTTTCGGATCATCCTATGCTTTTTTACGACTTGTATATCCCTTCAGCGCTTTATTCGGACATGAAACATCTTGTCTTTGTTTTTCGGTTTTTGCATATCCATTTCGATGGATCACATAGCGGCATTTCTTTTGATGCTCACCGTGGGGCATTCATCATCGGCGTTGCTGACTTACGTCCTAGTTAGGTAGATACGATTTATGTAGACAAGAATTGATAATAATGGACTATATAATGGGAAGTTATCAAGAAATCACTATTGAATGTCATATTTGAGTTTAAGTTTGTCTTCTTTTATTACCCGAGTAATTCGCGCTATATAAGTACATCAGGGATTGCTCGGCATACACGGTCTCTCCACCCACGCCTCAGCGCTGGAAGTATATGACCAGAATCCTCTCCAACTGCGTCTCGATCCAGCTCAGCTGCTCCGGTGGAAGGCCAAAAGTGGAAGTCTGCAAATTCCTCAAGTACGGGAAAATATGCCACGGCCCCATAAGCGGTGCCGACATCTTATGCGTCGACGTAACAGGCCGATCCTCAGAATACGGATAATCCACAAGGTCAGGCACCATCCGCACCGACCGGACCTGGCTCCCGAGGAAATAAGGCACAGAGGCACAGACGTCGTCGGCAAGTGATCGAAGGGTGCTCTGCGCTTGTGCAGATTTGACTCCGTCGGGGTCTTTGGATGGCAACAGGCGAAAACAATTCAGCATGATGCTCTGGACAAGCATCCTGCAATCGCGATATGTATTCCACGTGGATCCGATCCACATGTCGTTGTAGCAGTCGCATCGATTGCGGTAGATTCCAGCACCGCGGACGGAGGGGGGGATTATTGTTGCTCGTTGAGGGAGCCAATGTGCTGGCAGCCAGTATGACCATGAAATTTAGACCGATGTCGACCTGGGTGGCTTTGTTGAGGAGGGATATCAAGTCAGATTCGTCAGGTTGGCGAACGTTTACTTCGTCCCATGCTTGGCGTAGTTCCACTAGTGCGGAGGCAGCAGTAGAGAGGAAATTTCGGGGCGATGGGGTTGGATTGACTTGAGCTAGTGGCCAGATTTCAGGTTTAGGGACCATGGGACTTGCCAGGCCGCGGGTGGTTTTTATCTGAAGATCATTAGCACTTTGTATGGACCCGGTGAGCGGCTTGAGGACGTACAATATGAGTCTGAACAGCTTGGTACAGGGGAAACGTTGAGGCTGTCTGATGCGCTGGAGCCCTTTTATTGCTGTTTATCAGCGCCACTGCTCCTTTCAAATGCGCCTTCGCAGGGAATACCGAATCCTTCATAGCGGCGAATTCCTTAATTTCCCTCATTAGCCTGAAGCAAATCGCGGCAAGTAGCATTAGGGACAGTACCTCATAAGTGGATAACAGGAGTATAGATGTGAGTATAAGGTCGTACTCTTCATTAATCACCTCTGATATCAAGGCGTCTCGGAGTTTTGGTAGAGCCTTGGTGAAATACTTTTCAGATAATTTCAGCAAGGAGCTCTGACCAGTCCATGCGGCAACGGCAAAGAAAGCCACCGCCATCGTCGCAGAATGGAGGTGGGAATCAGTCTTCGCTTCGGCATATACATTTGGAAGAAACTCCATGAACCCATTTCGGACATGGGGATCCTTTGGAAGGTACAGATAGGAATTAAAGAACAAAGGGAGAACATTACTTTTGAGAGGTAGATAGAGATCATTCGGTGACTGATACCGAGGCCAATAGTCAGCAGGAGGCCTCTCCTTCACCAAGGAGACGCTGCTTCCAGTGGACTTTTTCGATGCTGTAGAGTTTGGGTCGCGCCATGGCTGGCTTGCATCACACTTGCCGTTCGGTGAAGGAGATAGCCTGACACCAGTAGGGGAAGGCGCTATGAAGAATGAAGTCTGGTCGCGTAATACCACATCGAACGGATGTTTGTATCCCGGACATGAGCGGCCTGTTTTAGTACACGCCTTGCAGTGGGGTCGCGCTTCATCACACTTTTTTTTTTAAGTCAGCCTACTGAGAGTGTGCCTTGGATGGAACATAGTTACCTTGATATGCCTTTTCCGGCAGTTTTGACACCCTGCGCTTGGCTTTCCGCTATACACCATGATTTCTGGTATGGATTGGGAAGGGGGCTGAAGATCATTCGCATCATCCCCTTAAGTCGTCTAGCTTTCAAAGGATCATTGATAGATCGCAGTGAGCCAGTGAGCCAGGCCCTCTGGCATGTAAGACCTAAATTTCCTGCAATCAGAAGCCGGTTGATGCGACTATCAGGGCTGAGAATGGCCAATCTCGTGGTATTGGCATACCCACAGTCCCCTTGGAGCCCCCACAGGACCCTCGTCGCGGTCACATGACCGTAGCGTCTCCATCTCCACGATTGAATTGTCGAGCTGATCCCGCGAATTTTCAGCAATTAGCCTGACGAGGCTCGGTTCCTTCGAAGCCACTTACCTGGAATATCGCGTCAATACCTGCCATTCCGAATATTCATTCCTAATATCGCAATGGTGTCCTTCTTTGGCTGGGGCTCCAGCTCCAAATCAGACCCCGGCGAGACCCAATCGCAAGACAAGAGTATTTCAACAGACCAAACCAAACCCACACAGTCATTACCGTCATTGCAACCCCCACAAGTCATCCAGCCTCCGGCTCCTCGCGATACTACAAACCTCAAACTCTTCTTCGGCGGTGCCGCCTTCTTCACTCTCTCACTGCTCATCACAAGGCGCGCAAACCGGAAGAAGCTCATCGCGTGCATCCCGCCCTACTACTCTAGCTCAGTCTATTTCCAGCCCAAAGTCAATGGTGCAGCGGAAGCATTCGAGGCGCTGAATCTAGCCACCATCAACGTCCTCTCGTTCGGCATGATGAGCACCGGAGCGGTCATGTATGCTCTCGACATCAACACTTTGGAGGATGCGCGACGAGTGATGAGGGCGGCCATGGACGGCGGAGCTTCTACCGAGCGTTCAAAGACGGATGAGGAGCTTGAGAAGGACGTGACCGAGTGGGTGTCGAACGTGATGGGCGGCCGGTTCCAGAAGCAGCTCGAGCAGCAGTTGGAGCTTGAACGGGCTAAGAGACAGACTGAAGGAAACCCGGATGAGAAGAAGAATTAGGTTGCATGCACCGGGTATAGCATATAATGCTCTTGTAAGATACACTCTACTCATGTTTCACGACACTACTGTACATTATGCATACTTCATATACCAAGAGAACAGATTTCGGCTTGAATTGGTACAAGAATACCCTCCTTTTGGGTGTGCGTTGATTGCGATCTGTGTTCCACTAGAATAATTCAGGCAGAAGTAGAGATTTGCGACAATATGCATGTAGGCTCAATATGGACAGAAAATTGGTGGGCGGCGACTAAAATTTGGGCGGTCAGACAGACCCCGAGTGGTTATATTGAACGTACACACCAACCATTGTGAGGAGTGGGACAAACTAGTACAGGAATCCTAATTTTGCCTTTTACCAAATTATGCCGTGGTTTGCCCAACATACTCCTCTATTCAATATTTGGAACCCCCACACTCGACAGAGCCGTCGATTTTTTTGCTTCTTGGAACCTGTAGTCATATTCGGCGTGCTAAAATTATACTATCCCCTGACTATTTTGTTATTGACATCTACAAACTCGATGCAGTGAAAAAGAAATTGATTTTCGGGTGCGTGTGTGAAGGCCAAAATCGGCCGTGTCCATTATTTTCCACTGCCACTTCCGGAACGCGGAGGTCCTAGGTTCGACACCCGCCCCTTCCACTTTTATTATTTGCGTCCTTGCGGATCGGCTCTTTTAACCTGGTGGAAAAATATATGTCCCTATTTACTTCACCTTAGTATAATTTCGCATCCAATCAAGCGCACTCATGTTCACGGTACCTGACTTAAAAGCTCTGAAGGCACCTCCTACCTGAATTCGCAGTACTATTGATCTAAGTCGGGTCCATTAGTTAACTACGGCAGTGGAAAGAGGTTGCATACGCACCCGCAGCAAACCCTGTTCATGCCCAGGTAGCCAAGTAATATTCTTTTATCCAAATCACATAGAGGTTCTTCGGCTTTCTGTTATAATTATAAGATATCTCGTTCCTATTCGACAATGACCCTCCGGAATTGAATACACCTTAGTATTGGGGCATATTTGGACCATTTTCTAAAAAAAAAAATAAAAAAAAAAATAAAAAGTCGACTGAGGATCCATCGGAGTTGATTCCAAGTCTTTTCACACTATCATATGCCCATTGCAGATTGCTAAATCACCGCCTCATAGCAGGAGTAGGTTTGCCGTTACCCAAAGGAGACTCGGGCAGGACACGAGTCTTCACTATGGTCAGTGCTAATTTCATGCTAGCAGTAGAAATTGGAATCACTTTGCGTCTCATAATGAGTATCGTCTACCTGATCTCTTAGAACACACCCTCAGACCAGTCTGTCATCGCCTTCACCAATTTCTCAGGTGGCACTTCACCCTTGTCCGCTTCCCTCGCGGAACCAGGACGACTAAGGAAAGACTTGAAGAAAAGCTTCAAATTCGGAGACTCCTGCTTCGCATCACGCCCGTAAACATCCTTCGACTGCCCGCCGGCAAACTCGGTCATGTCAACCCCGTAGCAGTCCCGCGTGAATTCGAAGAACTGGAATAGCGTGATCTCCGCAATGGTAGCAGGCCTCTTGCTGCCGCTGTCCCAGCGTAGATCGGTCGGGTCATACTCGTTTTCTTCCATCCAGTTCTCAATGTTCATCAGGTTGCGTCGGACCCATTGAAGCGTCTCATTTGCGGCGGCTGGGATACGCTGGGTGCCAGCGCCGGAGCCGAAGAGGCGGACAGGGTTCCAGCCGTCGGTGAGACCCGCTGCTAGCGTCAGGAGCTCATTGTGTTTGGCTCTCAGAAGCATCGCATTTACTTTTTCGTCTCCAGGCGGTATGTTCAGGGACAGGTTGGTGCGCAGGGTTGGCGGGTTGGGTAGTTTGGGAAATCCGTATCGACCGGCAAGACATAGCTCGTCAATAAATTCCATAATAGCAATCGATTGCTTCACGAAGACTGGAGATTTTGGAGATATGTCGCTCCCCTGGGGAATCATAAGAATTGGGAGACTTCCAGCAGGCCTAGCGGGGAACTCTGGCGGTGCTTGGTCGCCATTTTGAACGTCGGAGACAGGCACGATGGTCACGAGCGAGGCTGGTATAGACCTTTCACGGAGATAGATGATAAGTCGCCGAGGGAAGGGCTGCCATGGGTAGGCGTATAGTAGCCAGGGCTTGGGAGCGATCATAGATTGCATTTTGGGGTTGTTCGATTGAGGTCTTGTGGGTTCAAATGGTAGATCTGATGGACTACCGATACAAGCCAACAACCGGCTTTTTATGTTGGCTTCGGAAACTTTTCGTCTGTTCGGATATTTTACAGGTAAGATAACTGACGCAATCTCGCGCACGGCGATTTGTAAGTCGCGTCTTCCTAAGTTCGAGGCCGACGCAGTAGAATGTTTCCGAGATGTCTCCGGGGACAGACTTCGGCCAACGCTGATCGTTTCCTATACTGTGCAGAGGTTTATAGGACAACATGTTGGATAATATACTCGTGGGAAATTCGTTAACTGTTCGTAAGGCTGAGTCTCCAATTCCGGGAATCACTATCGTACAACACAGTCTTGCTCATGCCTTTAATCGATCAACTCACTAGTGAGCTGCATATCTCTTCGCTTCCAGCAACTACCACTCTTTCATCCCACCATACCACTAGTGAACTACATTCTTCCTCGTCTCCGAAAACCATCGTACAACCAGGACTTGTTCATCGCCTGCGTCGACTGTGTCTATCTAACTCATTTTATCATACCGCTGACGAGCATTTTCTTTTGTCTTCTCAAGGAACTCATCGTAGCGACCGCGAGTGTTACGTCCCGCTTCTTCAACGGCATCTCCCAGCTTGCCTCCTTGGGCTCCTAGCCCGACACCCTGAGCGTATACCTCGGTGGCAATTGGGGCAGTGACACCTGTCCCTTGAGCTCCCAGACCAGACCCTTCTGACCAGCCCATTTTGCTGAGTAGAGCAGCCCCTTTGGATGGAACGTTAGATGGGGGTTCCTCTGCTTCTTCAGGTTCAGATTCATATCCGGGTCGTGGGTCACTTGTGCCGACCTGGCCATAGGTTTGGCGGCGTTCCTTTGCTCGGTCCCGGTACTCGGACTCGGTTGAGTTCTGAGGAGGAGTGATAATTCCATGCTTGACCAGCTTGAAAATTCCTCGCTTTACGAGCTCTGGATTGTTCAGGTTCTCTCGGTGCATCTGGCTGAGGCGTTCATGTCTATTGACTTTAGCTGGAGACTCAAACTGGCGCAAGCATAGATAGCAGCAGTTCCGGTTGAGATCGGCATAAGACTGTACAGGAGCAGACTTCTCCTGAAGCTGGTCCGCAGGCTGTGTTTCTCCCTCCTTGGTGCCGTGCAATTCTGCGTGGCGATCACTCCAGAATTTAAGAGCGCTCGGCATCGCAAGTCTCTTTGGGTTAGAGCTCCCTGTGGCTTCGGCCTTTCGCTTCTTTGGTTTTTCCTTCTCCTTGGGAGCTTTTTCCTGCTTTGTGACAGGCGTTTCGGTTGTCGTAGTATTGCCCTGATCATCGTCCTTGGCTGGTGACACTTCAAGCTCAGTCACATATCCACCGACATCCCAATACCTGAGCTTCATTGCAGGATTGATCAGGGGGCTAAACGTGAATTTATCACTGGTAGGTTCGAAATCCATCACAGGAACGAAAACGCCGGCATGAATGTAGCTGATCATGACTGGCCGAGATGAGATCGTAAATCTCTCGAATGAATTGAATCGAGCAAGTGCCGCTTGCGCATCCTGTTTCGTTTTCGTCAGTGAAATTCAAGCAGGAGTGGAGCTCAAGCCGGCATGGATGGCCTTACAGTAATATCGGCGAATTCTGCAAATCCGTAACGCCAGCTTTCATTCAGTCTGCGGTCGCGCACAAGCAGCACACGTCTAATAGAGCCCTCTCTAGCACCCAAATTAGCATCCCCAGTAGCCGATGCTGCCTTGCCTCCTTTCTTTGAGGTCACTGAGCCCGCCTCTTGACTTTCTGCGGCGGGTCGATATAACTTGGCAACACCTCTCGCAAGTAACTCTTCACTGACGGACCCATCCAACCCACGAATAAGGAGGAACTGAGATGGCTGGCTGTCCAGTGCGACGTCATTGTCACCGCTGTTGACAACCTTTTGGGGAGGCATTCCAAAGGGTCCTGCCGGAGGTTCTTCTGGTAACGATAGGTTAGCGCCAAGATGTTTCATTCGGGGCGGGTTGTCACAAACCCGGTCGATAAGTATGACAGCGAAAGCACTTCTGGCGGGTCGAGTAATTGGAAACACCACACTATTCCATAGCATTAGCTCGTCTCCAGTTTCTGCGCTTTTGATACGACACGTACATTCTGGCAAGGCCAATCCGGCTCATCCCTCGGGCGTGTGCGATCCTCCTTCTCGCGACAGTATGCAATACGGACTTTGGTGCTGCGCTGAGCTGTCGGGCCGTATAGGTAGATGGAAGGATGATTACGCTTGACGAACTCTCGAGATTCCTCGAGCGACCGGAATCGTAGAAAGCCTAGCTGCTTCGATACTCCTGTAGCAGCGTTTAGCCAGCTTTCGAGTCAAATGGTGTTCTTGTTCTCTGCGTCCACTCACTTGTCACTCGGTCTCGAATTATCCGGAGGTCGTCAAGCTCATTAACGTGGTAGGCATTTCGAAGCTCCTGCATGACCTATTCGGCAACAAGTATTAGCTTTCTGCGTGCAAAAGGATATCAAACATGATATTGCGAAGCTGCGTGCGGGGAATGCTCACGTCGTCCTCTGTCATGTCAATTGGAAATCCCTCGATCAGGACCTCGCGGCTCTCTTGGCCCATATAGCCGTATCCACGGTGACCACCACCACGACTAGGGCTGCCACTGCCACTGTATGGAGGGGATCTGTACCCCTCGTCATCACGGTCGCGGTATGGCTGCCTCCCACGTCGCGAATGGGGCGATCGCGAACTTCGGCGCCCGTGATCCTCGCGATCGAGATCTCTGTAGCCATGTTGCTCGTCGCGGTTTCTCGGGTAATCATATCTAGTATCTCTGTGCTGGTTATGAGAGTGGGAGTAGCCTAGATGCCCAGGGATTTCATTAGTCGCGGTCCAAAGCTCCGTTGCATGCGACACAGCGGAATGCGGGGGAGGAGGACTATACCGGGTGATCGCGATCGCTCTCGATCGTCATACATACGGCCGTCTCGATTGTCTCGGGAGTTACCCCCTCGACGGGGGCCTGGGTAGCCCCGGTGGCTGTCTGAGTACGGACGAACCATGTTGAAATGTGGGGAATGCACAAGTGAAGGAGAAACCTCCGAAGGCGAAGCTATGTATACACGACCGGCAGAACTGCGACGGTACACCGCCCTTCTCACCGTTCGTCTCTGTGGTTTTCATTGTTTGACTGGACGATTATTGTCAAGAAATAGATTTGCACAGAAAATCAAGATTAAATAGCTCATCATTTAGTGGCACTGGTTCATTACCTATGAGTCTACTAGGACTTGACAAGGTGAGAGTGCACTTTTAGTATTTCATTTTGAGAGACGTACTATCTATTTTAGGTGGCTCCACAGGTACGACGCGCACAATATCTGGGCGATAAACATCGATTCTAATACCATACGGCTGAAGAACCTATTTCAAACTCGAAGAGAGCGGAGGAACAACTATCTTAAAAAATATGTATATATTATATTTGTTTATCTATCTATGCTACAGAGCTAAGAGGCGAACAGAATGCAAGTCAAGGGCATAGCTCCAATGTTGCATCATCGTCAGCACCACCACGCACTAGGGTGGGGGATGTCCCCACTCGGAAGGCAATTAAACATACGAATTGGCCATTGGCTTGCACGGTGACTATGAATGGACAGTTGTCTCGTGTATTCGATCCAGCGTAACCCACCACAACCAGCCTATCCCTACAGCAGAAGCACCTCTCAGAGCCCGACGTTTCTCCGCCAAGTGCCCCGCGGTGGGAGCGCGTCGGCCGACCAGTCTATACCTCTTAATAAGACCCAAGGGTCCTCCGCTCGAATCTTCTTACACATAACACCGCCGTCGGCAATTGACTCTCTACACTATGGCTGCCCCTCCTAAACCAAACAACCACCGTGCTTGGTGGAAGGAGTCCTCTGTCTATCAGATTTGGCCTGCTTCCTTCAAAGACTCGAACGATGATGGCATTGGAGACATCCCGGGTATTATTTCAAAGCTCGACTACATCAAAGACCTTGGGGTGGATATTGTTTGGCTATGTCCATCATACAAGTCGCCTCAGATCGACATGGGGTACGATATCGCCGACTATTACAGCATCGCAGATGAGTATGGCACGGTCGCAGACGTGGAGAAACTGATCAAGGGCTGCCATGACCGCGGAATGAAACTTCTGATGGATCTGGTCGTCAACCACACGAGTGACCAGCATGAGTGGTTCAAGCAATCTCGGAGCTCGAAAGATAATGAGTATCGGAACTGGTATGTCTGGAAGCCTGCCCGTTACGATGAGCAAGGCAACCGGCACCCTCCCAATAACTGGGTTTCACATTTCCAAGGTAAGTAGTCAACCGGCGATGCTGTAGAACATTTCTCTGATTATACGGTAGGGAGTGCGTGGCAGTGGGACGAGCACACTCAGGAGTACTATCTCCATTTGTACGCCGTCGAGCAGCCCGATCTGAACTGGGAACATCCGGCAGTCGTTGAGGCTGTCCACAAGATCATTCGCTTCTGGCTTGAAAAGGGCTGCGATGGTTTCCGTATGGACGTGATCAACTTCATTAGCAAAGACCTCCGATTCCCCGATGCTCCAATCAAGGACCCCCGCACTCCTTGGCAATGGGGTGACAAATGGTACGCGAACGGACCACGACTGCACGAGCGCCTCAAGGGTATTGGATCAATCCTGAAGGAATATGATGCCTTCAGCGTGGGTGAAATGCCATTTGTTAAAGATGAGGAAGAGGTGCTTCGCGCGGTCCAGTTTGACCGTGGAGAACTGAACATGATCTTCAACTTTGAGCAAGTCGATATTGACCACGGTCCATTGGGGGATAAGTTTGAGCCCGGCAGCTGGAAACTGACCGATCTCAAGAAATTTTACGAGCGATGGCAGACATTCATGTATGCTCATGATGGCTGGAATGCTTTATACTGGGAGAACCATGACCAGCCACGATGCATTGATCGCTATACACATGCGCCCGAGGAGTATCGCAATGTTGCATCAAAGATGCTGGCTGTCGCACTGGCTTTGCAGTCGGGAACCCCTTTTGTGTATCAAGGACAGGAGATCGGCATGCGAAATGTTCCCAAGTCCTGGGCATTGAGGAATACAGAGATCTCGACTGCCTGAATCATTGGAATCGGTGAGTTAGTCCCTCAACTGCCCCAGAAGGAAACCACGCCTAATGATCCCAGAATTCGACAAGAGAGACCCGATGACAAAGAAGGCCATGCAATCGCTCTTCAGGAGTATCAGAAGAAGTCGCGGGACAATGCGCGCACTCCAGTCCAGTGGTCATCTGCTCCCAACGGGGGCTTCACCGGACCAAACGTCAAACCCTGGATGTCAGTGAATCCGGACTTTGAGCGAGTCAATGCGGAAGCCCAAGTCAAGGATCCGAACTCACCTTACCGTTTCTGGGGCTCTGTGCTGGGTCTTCGAAAGAAATACCTGGATATCTTCGTATACGGTGACTGGGTAAGCGTCGATTCCCCAAGTGAAGAGGTTTTCGCCTTTACTCGCCAGTATGAGAGCCAGAAGGCTCTTGTTGTGTGTAACTGGACCCCGAAGACTATTGAATGGGATGCTTCGAATAATGGAGTTTCCAACATCAAGGAAGTCCTCTTGAGCAACTACGGCAGTGCGGCGGATACCGCTCAGCGACTTGCGTCGGGCAAATGGTCTCTGCGTCCGTTCGAGGCTGTTGTCGCGCTGATCTAGTTGCAAGTGCAAGCTGGTTTGCTTTCCATAGACCTACAGCATCTGGAGCTGCAACCTGAACATGGGCCAGACTTCAGGCCCCAATAAATCTTTTCACTCTGTTACGAATATAGTATTGTATACATTTCGTCATAAGTTTAGAACTGCAATAAGCAACCAAATGAGGCATGGATTCTCCAACATGCGGACTAACACATGCTAGCATAGGCTTTATGTTTGAGACCGATTTGAATGGAACGCCGTATGTCCCAAATCTTTGGGGCAGGGCACTCTCTAGTGAATATGCAGTATATCACGCTTCGAGATTTTCTTCTAGCCTTTCCATCTACTAGAACGCAACTACTTCAGTGCGTTTACTAGGCTGGCAAGAAGAGTATAACCGAGAAACCAAACGAACACACGACCTGATATAGACCACATTGTACCGATAATGACTTTTGGGAATTCTAGTTCCTATGAACAAATGGCCATTCGAGTCATCGACCAGTGTGGTCCTCGTGAGCTTAATGTGGAGTTCCCATTATAATGGGCCACCGCGCCAGATATACGCTGCTTGCGATTTCAGCGGTTTAACGCCGGTGAGGATCCTCTTCTTTGCAAGGTTGATTACCGCCATATTAATAACGAGCACTGGGGCTCTTCAGTCATTACCGTAGTACAAAACGTCCGATCGTCGTCTATTCGGACTTTCGGGCTCGCTGCGAAACTCCGCGGAGTTTCGACCTTCTCAACTATAAGATGAGAGCGTCCTGGCACCAGCAAAACCCACAAGTCCAAGAAATTCTTTCGAGGTGAAGCGTACTGCAATCTATACCTTCTCAAACTATCTTAGTATTTCTCTTTTTTCCAATATTCAATCCCCGCGTTTCAAAATGGAATCCCAATCCTTCAAAATCTCCCCAACCACCACCATCCACGCGCAAATCGCAAGCCTAGTTCCGAACAGGAATAAGAAGCCCCTTCTCGTTTTCTTCCACTACTGGGGCGGCACATCTGCAACGTGGCGAAAGCTCACGGAGCCTACTTCTCCGACCTCTGTCAGCACCGACTACCCTACACTAGCCCTCGACCTCCGCGGCTGGGGCAAGTCGACAGGCCCATCCCAGGACGACGGTAACGCTTATTCGGCAACTTCCATGGCTTCTGATGCTGTCCAGATCTTGACAGACATTTCACAGAATGACGCCGGGGGGGCTTCTCACCCACGGGCTTGTCCTAGTCGGCCATTCCATGGGTGCTAAAGTCGCCTTGGCAACTCTGGCCAACTTGCCAGAGACTCTACTGAAGCTGGCTAAAGGGCTTGTGCTGATTGCGCCCTCGCCTCCGTCTGCGCTGCACTTGCCTGCGGAGATGAAGGAGCAGCAGCGGGGCGCGTATAGTTCGGAGGAGTCTGTACGCTTTACGTTAGGTAATATCTTATCGAGTTTCACCTTGCTTGATGAGGATGATATCCGGTGTGGTGTCCGGGATAGTCTGAGTGGTAATGAGTTGGCGAAGAAGGCGTGGCCTGCCTATGGTATGGAGGAGGATATCTCGTCTGAAGTGAAGACAGTTCTAAAGGCTGTGGTGGCGTCTGATCCGGGCTTCAAGGCCGTCGTTCTAATTGGAGATGGTGACATCGTTGAGACAAAAGAGAAGGTCGAGGCTGAAGTCGTTCAGGTTCTGGTGGACAGTGGAGTCCAGACGTCTGTGAAGGTCGTCCAGAATGTGAGGCATCTACTTCCGTTGGAAGCACCCCGCGCGGTCCAGGAAGTGATTAGCAAGTTTTGATAGAACTCATTGTATTGCTTGTTCATCACCGGGGATCGTAGACCAGTATCTATGACCTATGCAAATCTATCATGAAGAATTTCCGACGCGTAGTCTTACGAATCTAATACCAAGAGATCTGATAGTTTATCCAAGTAAGCATGAGGCCGGACAGGGCCCTCTACAAAGTCCTGTTTCGAGCTCACGCCAGTCAAAACACCCAAAGTGCCCCCGAGCTTACCTTCCAGACCAAATCGAATATCCGTGTTCGCACGGTCTCCAACCATCACCGCACGGCTGCGATCGAACTTGAATTTCCCCTCAATTGAATCCATCATCGCCTGGTTCGGCTTACCTAGGGCAACCGGCTCCTGGCCACCGAGCATCATGATCAAAGGAGCGCTCATGGATCCTGCGCCGGGGAAGAGGGTGCCCGAGTTGGGCAATGTCGAATCGATGTTCGTTGCGAGGAACACGGCTCCGCGCTTGATATAGTGGTAGGCAAGAGCGATCTTGAAGTAGTTTATGTGGAAATCGAGGCCAACGAGGACGACGCCGACCTCTGGGTCAAGCAGAGACTCGTCACCTGCAGCGATCATCTTGTAGTCCTCGGGCTTGATGTCGCGACGGTAGGCAGGGTCTGTGCCGCCAATGAAGGGGACATTCTCGGAGCTGAGTTCTTGCTCGATCCCGTTCTCGCCGATTACGAAGACCTTTCGCTTGTTCTCGGGGAGCTTGAGGATGCGGGAGATGTAGATTGAGGCGCTGTACGATGATGAGAAGATCTCTTCCTGTGGGGCTGTCAGTGTGGTCCGTTTCCAGTATCAACAGTTGGAGTCTGACCACTGTGCTTGGGATCTGAAGACTCTCAAGCTTCTTCCTGTAGTCTGCGCGGGACTTGGTGCTGTTGTTGGTCACGAAGACAACCTGCTTGCCTAGGAAAAACGTCAGCCCCGGCGCTTCCAATTCACCTAAGTGTAGATCATACCGTTCTTCCGTAGTAATTCCAAAGTCTCAACTGTGCCAGGAAAGCAGTGGTCACCAGACCAGAGCACACCTAAATACCCGATCTTATCTTAGTCCCTGTTTGTTCCGAAGTGCCTTGCGGAATGCGCAGAGCGGAGAGAAGGCCGGGCTCGAAAGAGAAGACAAGGCACATACCGTCGCAGTCGAATAGAAAGACCTAGCAGTATTCGTCAGTCGATTGATCTGGGGGTGAGGCGCAAGCAGGTACTCACATCGAACTTGTCCAGGAACTCGCGGATCCCGGCCTTGTCGCCAGTCAAGTAGCGCGGGGTATTCACGGAAGCAGAGGATGCCATGCTTGCAGAATAACAGGAGAATGGCGCAACGGGGGCGCGAAGAAGGTTGAGACAAGACGAGCGAAGAAGAGAGAGTCGGAAGTTCATGGATTCCTGTACACCCCGAATTCCCGCAAAGGAACTCGGTGACTCGCCGATCGCGTGGGGCAGAACGTGGGGCAGTCACCTTCTACACTTTTAACATAGACTGCGTAATGGATTCACCCATGCTAGAATTGATTGACACATACACGCTCAAATTGCTATCAGAGAGTTTGATGTAAACAACTGCTGCCTCGTTCGAGATTCAGAATGGCTCGACTGCCTCGGACGCCGCTGTCAGAGCCTTCCGGAAGAGATCCTTCAGGTATTGCAAATCCTCGATGCCAATGCTGATTCGCACCAAATGCTCGATCACACCGAACTTCGCGGCCCACTCTAGCTCGGAATAGTGTGCTATTAGGGTATATGCACAGCACAACGTAAAGTTGGTGCCCAAACTAGGCCCCTTCGCCACCAGGAGGGCATCGTGGAATGCCACAGCTGCGGACGGTTGTAGGAATCGAATAGAGAGGAGAAACCCATACCCTTTGCCTGGCTTCTTGAATTCATCATACACCTGTTGCGAGGAGCTCCCTTTAGGATAGAACACTTCCGCGACAGCTGGATGATCACGAAGCATCTGCACCAAGCTCTCCGCATTGCGACTTGCTTTGACAACTCGGCTTTCGAAATTCGCACTATTCTGCTCCATGACCATCACATCTAAGGGAAAACACGTGTCCTCGAAATAATGGCCGATGCTCTTGCATAACCGCTGGTAGAACTTGGACCGAGGATTCAGGACCAAGCTGCCGCCCATAACATTGCAACCCCCACTGAACATTTTCGTCAGGCTGGTGCATATTACATCACACTGGTTGAGAATGCTAACATTTACTGACGTTGCTATCGTGTCGTCAACGACGAATAGAAAATTGTGCTTGCTGGCGAGAGCGTGTATCCTCGACAGATCGGGAGAGCTCAGAAGAGGATTTCCTGGGAACTCAGTATATAATGCGTCAATACGCAGGCCTTCATCGAGGTCTTTCTCAAGTTGATCTAAATCAGAGGCGCTGGCATAACCGTAGAGAACACAGTCGAATTCATGGACTTTGCTCAGGACTTTGAATGTGTCGACGTATAAGAATCTTTCAGTTTTAACATCAGTATCCGCAAACTCGCACTGAAGCTCATCGCGCATCTTATAGTGACCACTTACCCAAATATGGCGACTTTATGAACTGCATCACTACCTTGTATCTTGTTAATGGCTGCTGCCGCATGGTAGATAGCCGACATGCCAGAGGGATACAAGTAGACATCCTCAAGTCCTGTCGGATGGGAATCCGTCCCTAAAAGATCCGAGATGCGCTGGCGGAGAGTAAAACTAGCATTTTCAGCTTCCTCTAGCGGTAGAATCATCGGCATGGTTTTCTTTGTCGGGTGTCGGAGGAAAGGCGCATTCTCAAGCCAAAAGCATGCGCATCGACTGGAGATCCCAAGGCCAGCGTGCTGCCAGAAGGACTTGGCCCGTGGCAAGAGATTATCTGCAAACACATTCGCATATATGATATCTTGCTCCAAGCCGACATAGGTCAGGCTGAAATCCTGGACAATTTGGCACTCTCCAGAAAACCTGAATTCGAGAACAACTATATCGTCTTGAGAATCGCTGAGGAATTTTTGGCAGGTCTTGGCCATCCATTTCTTTGGGAAAAGCAGTGATGCTTGACCTGGTTTTGATACCAGTGCTGCTGCCTTGGGACATAAGGGGTCAAAGGCGTGTCTGCGCGTTGCCCATTCTAGAAGCTTGTTTGATAGCTCTCGAACAACGAGAGGAATAAAGAAGCGTGGGTATCCAGTTCTCATTCTCTCGAGAAACTCCGCGTCTTTTCTGGCCCATTTCAATGTATTTTCCCATGTCTGCAGTGACACACTTACTGCCTTTGAAGTGTTAACCTTGGTATCAGGGGACTTCGGTGGGCCAGGCTCACATGGTTGTCTTCAGGGGGCAGGGCATCTCCAGCTTCCGGGATATTGGTTTGAGTAATCGTTACTGTCGACATTTCTAGTATGGAGAGAACCTTTCCACTGCAAAGATTTGACTCGTAGAAGAGGGTGAACAACTCGGAAAACTCGTGTGATTGGGCCTCGCTTAGCACCGAGCTGGGAGATCGAGGAACATGACGAATCTACCTTAAAACGGCATCGCCTTTTTTCCTTTCTGTGGGGATTACCCTGCCTAGCGTCATTCTCAATTATACAATGCTCATTTCTGGACAATGTCTAGCCACTCTCAGCCCGTGGCTGCTTTTTCCGCATTACGATTCGCTGGGGTCCCATGAACTCTCATAAACGTGCATGAAAATTACGATCGCCATACAGGCGATCGTACTCTAGTTACCGCACATCCAATCCTTCTGGCTTGACTGCTGCGCTATGAGTAATTGTGTCACTTCCCTGTTCAGCTAGCTGAAGTCGCATATCCCTACATATTCCCATATGACGCCACATGCATCAAGTAGAAGCTTGTCAGCAACCAATCAAGTGTCGTGCTTGCAGTCCTGAAGAATCAAGCAGGCTCCGTGTCCTGATCTTCCTCTGCGGATTTGCTCTTATAGGCTGACAGCTGGTTGTTTTCCATGAATAATCCTGAAACAAAACCACATGCCGCAAAGGCGAGCGCTAACAAGAACGTACGATGGACAGCCGCCATGTAACTCTGTTTTAGATAATGGCATCCATCTTTGCCCGCGGAAGGCATTTGATCGCTTCTTGCAGATTGTCCCCTTCAACACCAATGCGGAACAAGAGACTGGCCACAGACAATCCAATCGTCGCACCGCTAGATCTGAAAGCATACATTACGGATGTAGCAGTTGCATGTTCTTCGTGCTCAACGGTACTGAGAAGACCGACAAGTAATACTGTCTGTCTGCCACCAAATCCCAGCCCGTTGAGGAACAGGAAGAGCTCTGATAGAGACAGTTTCGTGCTCAGATTACTGAACGCAAATCCGGCGCTGCCCGCCGTCATCAGAGCGGGTGCAATCACGTTCAACACACCGTATTTCCCGGTGACGCGAGTATACGTGCCTGCGAGGAACGGCCCCAATCCCCCTCCGACAGATTCCGGAATTAGTTGGATCCCAGTCTTGCTCGTGCTGGCGCCCTTGAGCTGCAGGTAGATTGGTACGTAGAACATCAAAGTATAGAACATCATGGATCCGAAGAAGGCGGCTACGTACGCCGCTATCAGAGTCCGGTTGTGAAGAAGCTTCAGCGGGATGATAGGCTCCTTTGCAAAGCGATATTCTATCGCAACGAAAAGGACGAGGGAAATTGCGGATAGAGGAAGTGTTATGGCAGGGAGTAGCTTTAGATCCGCCGATTTGCCACTCTCATCGCTAAGACCGACGAGGAGCAGCGCAAGTGCAGCCACAAGAGTGAAAGCTCCGAGAAAATCGACACGTGCGAGCTTTGCCTTGATACTCTCATCATCAGATGCCTTTCGCGGGATAGAAGCAATAGTCCCGATGCCAACAATGATAGATGAGGGCACCAGGATCGCGAAAGCCCAGCGCCATCCTAAGGTATCGTTCAGAGCACCTCCAACCACGCCTCCGAGGCCCGACCCCGTCACATAGAGAACCATGCCCACGCCCTGCCATAGCCCACGACTCCGTAAGGGAATATGGTCCGAGCAAACGAAAGTACAGACCGCATTGCATGCGCCACCGCCAACCCCAGAGAGGACTCTCCCGAATATCATCACCGGCAGAGACCTGGCGAGACTGCAGGTAAGATTACCTGCTGCGAACAACACGCATGCGATCAAGAAGCTGTTTCCTCGTCCAATAATGTCGCTTAATTTTCCACATAGTGGCTGGATGGCCGTTAAAGCGATCAGATATGACGATCCCAGCCATGAGATGGTCGCAATCGAGTTAAACTCTGTAGCAATCGCCGACGACACGGTGGAAGTAATAGTGCTGTCTGTGGTCGATCAGCTGAAGTCTTACAACTAGAAGCTGGGATGGTAAGATTACCCAGCGCAGCAAGAAATGAGCCAAGCCACGAAAAACCAATAGCGGTGATGATTCCCCACCGGTATTTATCAGGGCGATGGCGATTCTCGAGCAGAGCTGTCGACTCCTGTGGGTCACTTCCACTTGGCCCCATCTTGACTGGAAAATAAGGAACACGGGGTGGAGAAAAAAAAAGGAAGCTCCCAGAGGAATCGACAGCTATTTGAGATGAGGCGCTTTAGCCCGCGATCCGCCCTGTAATTGATCTTCGATTGCCGCTCGGTGCGGTCCTGGGTTGGGATAAAACCCGCCGATCACCTTTCAAGAGCTAGCGGGGTGATACAACCCATCCAGACGCACAGCGAGTCTCGCATAAGGAAGGTGTGAACACCAATCATGGTGGCAGATCGGGGCTTCATGGTGGGCTCAACTTATCAGCTTGCAGTTACCCAATACGAGTCTTAGTACATTAGCTCCAAGTACAAATACCAGACTTTCCTGCTTGACGAACCGTGAACGGCGCTAGTTAGCCTGCTGCAGCCTCGTGCATACAGCTCGTGTGGACCAAGGACTGAAATTTGCCACCCTGATGCGACCGAAAATGCTGAGCTCTCGAAAAAGCGCATAAGCATTTGAATGCGCATTTATGTAAAGAATTTTGATAAGCTTTCACGTTGAGTATAGAAGTACTTCATACTGGCCGATAAGGTCCGAAGAACATCACTCTAGTGCTGTTGAATCGAATAGGCCTCCCATTCAAGCCACTGCGGCACACACTCGGAAGCAGGAAGCCCTGTTTCAAGAAAAAAAAAAACAACATTACGACTGCTTTTCAGGAATACGAGGAACAGATGCGCCCCTGGATAAACACCGTGCAGAAAGATATTGCTAGCGGTGGAAGGAATCTATATGGATAAATTCTCCTCGTCGTTCCTGCGAGTTCAAATGACTTGTTTTCTGTTTGGGTGATATCATTATTGAGGCTCAACATGATTGCAATGTAAGATACCAAGGGGTGAAAACTGCCTGGATAGCCTTATATGGATCTCATTCACGGTTAGTTGAATTGATTTCTTTCTTGTTCAGGTATGGCCTAGTGTAGCAGTATCATGGTATTGTACAATACATAACACTCCACTTTCTTATATTGAGATTCATTTTCTTCATCCGAAAGATACGGTTGTTCCTTTCGAATTTTGGAGGGGAAGCGACGATGAGAATGTCCAGTGTAAGGATTGCCGAGCCAATGTACGAGTGCACACATATCAGGGTATCGTGATCATCCTCATTCGCGAAAAAATAATATTGTCGTAGATACAGAACGCCTTGGAATTTTTGAAAATGCGAGCCCCAAACGCCATTGGAATGACCAAGATAGATCAGGGATTAGCGCCTCCAGTAAATCATGCTTTAGTGCCACTCATGATTCCCGAGATGCGTAAAGTTAGATCAAGCACAGACAGGTGCTCATCAGAGCCATCCACCAGGCGCTTATCCATCTCAGAGAACGCCATCACGATCTTGTTCTTCTGGATGTCAGGGATGGCTTCGTTGAATACAACTCTTCGATATAACTGCGAAGGTCAGCTAACACATGGACTAAGATTGAGTACCAGAACATACCTGGCTGATCAACTGAGTCGCACTCCACCCGTCAGCAACGAGGTCAGTGACCACCTTCGAAACAGCTCCATACGAAGACCCAGAGCTCTTTGGCTGCATAGCCTGCATTAAGTCATCCAATATCGACTCAGGGACCACCCCTGCAATTTCCTCGATAGTGCGCACTGTGATGATTCCCGGCCCCGGGGCTCCAGCATCAGCCATCTCTTCATCCCCGTCGCTACTCTTCTCAGCCAGGCCAGAGGTACCAGCCAACCTTGCCGCACTCTGCAGATATGTGATCGCACGTCGCAAGTCACCCTCCGCTACCCGAATAAGAGTGTCCGTAACCCCGTCCTCGAGCTTCAAATTCTCCGCATTGGCAATATCCTGCAGCCGCACTCCCGCTGCAGCGTTGTCCAGCGACTTGAACCGGAACTTGCTGCAACGACTGGCCAATGGCTCGATGATCCTGGTCACATAGTTGCAGACAAGACAGAACCGAGTAATACGGCTGTAGGTCTCCATTGTGCGGCGGAGGGCCGACTGGGCATCTTGCGTCATGCTGTCCGCCTCGTCCAAATAATGATCTTGAACGGCGGGCACGGGTATTGGGCGCGGTATTCGGCATCCAGACCGCTGGGTTGGGAGAGTTGGGCGCGAGCGAAGTTCTTGACTTTATCACGGACAATGCCAATTCCACGCTCATCAGACGCGTTCAGCTCGAGGATACGCGAGCGATACAGGGCAGGGCCGAAGAGGGATTTGGCGAGGGCGAGGATGGTGGATGTTTTACCGGTTCCTGGAGGTCCGTAGAAGAGCATGTGAGGAAGCTAATTGAGATCAGTTACTAGCTGCGGATAGTCTTGCGGATGATTTCATGCGTACATTGGAGGCTTGCAAAGTCCGCTGGAGAACCTTGGTAGTATGGTCTTGAGCAGCAACATCGTCCAGAGTCTTTGGTCGGCTATATGATTGCATTAGAGATGGCCAATGCGATTGGGGATGCTGTCGGGCTCACTATTTCTCCACCCATGGTGCCAGGCGATTCTGTTCCTTGTTATCGGTCACCTTGGGTTTTGAGTTGCTCGAAGCAGCTGCAGCTCGGGCCTTGTTATTGAAAAAAGTGGAAGCCATTATGAACGAAAAGGCCTGTCCAGGTAATGCGCGGGAATCTTTGGCCTCAATGGATTAGAAAGGTGGGACTGGCGCGGTGAGACGCGTCTCCGCGTGTGCACGTGACTCCAGGCCTACGGACTATAACACCAGACGCAACAAAAGTGAGGTTATATTGAACAAATTTGACTACCCTTTCGCCCTTCGGGGCATATGGTCAAATGAAAAAATACAGAGAAGATTAGCATGGCCCCTGCACTAAGGATGACACGCTCAATCAAAGAGAAGCTACCCGTTTTTTTCTTCCTTATTGAAGCTTCATGAAGGTGTAAATCGGTGATGAAGTCGAACGACGGGTGTTCGAATCGGTACCAGCGGAGTATTTTGTTCGTCATTTTACCTACAGTTGCTCGGAGAAGAAGGTACTTAGAATATTCAAGTTGGAAGTTGAGGCACCTGTAGGGTTGTCTAGTGTAGTGACTCTGACCTTCTGACTCAACAAAAGCGAGCTGATATTGCACATGTTGCTCTGTATCCGGAATCAATTATTTCTGCTTAGATTGGAGTGTACATATTACCACTTGCATTTCATTATTGTGGTAGCTCAGATGCCGTGTATTAATGTGGTCATATGCTAGCCGCGTAGGCCCTTTCATTGGACTTGGTGCCTCTCCCAAGATTATAGTGTTTGGCTGTAAAATCGAAATCTTCTAACCAGTTTCTTTCTCGTCCGTGAAGCCTGCGTTCAAAGCATTGATGCAAAGCTACTAACTAGTCGAATAGGCTTATTTACGCTGAGGAGAACCCCGTCACATGTAGAAGTAGAGAATGGGATTTTCGTGAGCTTGAAACAGTCAAGGTCAACCGGGATGTCTGGATTGTAGGCCTAGACGCCGGTGTACGGCAGCCTGTGGTCTTGTCTAAATTATAGATTGCTTCACATCATTTGGATTGGCGAAAAAACAATGCTTTTTCTCATAAGTGACATAGGCATCATTAGATCGTATGTATCTATAGTTCATCCCGCACCGACTCCTCTTCATACATCCTCTTCTTGGGATTCCGTGGCAATTCATCTTGCCGCTGCTGTTCTTCTGGGGGGGAGATCATCGATATCATAATGCCCTTGCTTCTCGTTATCATATACCATTCGCCCAATCTTATCGATGAGCCGATCTGCTTCATCCTGCTTTGATGGCTGGTCCGTGTCTATAGGCATATTACCACTCGTTATTGCCGTCACTGCTGTCGCAGCCTGCTGGATTGTTGCAGAGATGTCCACTGCAATCGGCCTGGATGATGGCTGGATTTCCTTCGATGCACCGGACAGGCCAACTGCACTCAACACAGCAAAAAACACACGGAAAATAAGCTGGAAAGGAATCCATACTAGCCACCAAAGTGGGCCGTACAGAATTCGGCGGAACACTAGCCATGCGATAGTTCCGAGGAGAATATAGAAGGCTGTCTCCAAATACCATGTATCGGATTTTTGAGAGCGAAGGAGCGAGCTGGCGAGGCTGCGGGATGATGCGAGGAGGGTGTCAAGGCTGCTATAGGATTCGGAGAGGGAGGAAATTGCGGCAGTCGATTGTTCTTGGTCTTGTCAGTATGCCGAGGTGTGTTATGCAATGGGTAGCCTTGCTTACCAAGTGTTTCCTGGGCGAATTTACTTCTCGAAACCTCGGCCTGCAGTAATTGATGTGTCCGTCGTAAAGCCGCAGTGACATCACTAGAGGCATTCAGCACAAGGTCATCTTGTGTGAGTTTCTCCGACGGTCGTTGGCGTTCCGAAGGCTGTGATCGAGATAACAGTAGCTCGCGTTCTTTGCGCCTGGCAAGCTCTGTCTGTCTTTTAGCTTGTAATTGTGCGTTTCGAAATTCGCTTCGAGTCCTGGTACCATTCATTAGCATGACATGCGATGGTCAAACAATCGAGAAACCCACTTCTTGAGATCTTGCTCTAAACGCTCAGCCAGGGAGATGACCCGTTCTTTCTCATTGTCTTTCTCCCCCGCAGAAATCGAGACCTTTCGCCTGTTGTCAACAATCGGCCCCAGCGCGTCAACATCGATTCGCAGAAGTTCCAGCTCCTCCTCGGCATCTTTCAGGCCCGCATGAATCTCCGATCCAAGCTCTAGACGAACTTCATCTCCTTTGTCTATGCTGGGAGAAAAGTTCCGGAGTTGGTTTATCAATGGCTGGATCTTGCCCAGGTTGGTTGACAGCTCTTTCAAGCGAGCTTGGAGGACGGTTGGAGTGGACATGTTGGACCACAGCGGGGGTGGTTGTGGTAAGGCACTCCTCGCTCCAAGTGTAATAAGGAATACAAAGGCGAGTGCTCTTGAGACAAGATTACTCTTTTTGGGCTCCAGTGATCCAATCAGAGAGCGAAGTGGTGACTGAAGCTCTCGCGTGGAGTTGCATTGCTGGCCATCTACTTGATGTAAACGGTCCGCCGCACATGCAAATAGTGCAAACACGTCGGGCTTGTCCTGACTTCCACGACTTATCGCATACCCTCCCAATTACCGCTAATTGAATATCAGCCCAGCGAAGAAGCTTCCATTGTTCGCTAGCGTCGTCTGAATCTGTTTCGGCCTCTTCAGTACAACAGTCCCACGGACTTCGCGGAGAGCGACCCAAAAACCTGAAGAAAAAAAAAAACTTCCCGCGACAAGAACCACCGGAACAGGTAGAGCCTTGACTCGTCCCCAAACGATTTGTTTCGTCAGTCCCTTGAGAAGAGTGTCTGATTTTGGACCAGAATTATCAAATCGATACTTTCGACCAAAAGAGCTGAAGTCGCCCTCAACCTCCGCCATGACAATTCCTATCAGCACTATCACCACGTTCCGCGCAACCTTCAATCCCTTCTCCCACGCTGCCCGGCCGTGCCGAGTCTTCCTCTCGCTCCTGCGCACTCCTAGCACTACCGGAACCACTGCCCCAATCGATATCAAGGTCACACAGCTGCCGCGAACATCGACACAGCCACCCGTCATGACTATCGGGTTCAAGGGTGGAAAGGAGCTGACCTTGGAAGTCGGCAAACGCGGATTGAAAATTGGCGATGTTGTCGAGGAAGTGTCACGTATTGGACGGGCGTTGGAACGTGAGGCTAGTCTGAAGTCTTGAACAGATGGTCCGCGTTGGGCTTTTGTTTCCATGTATTATATTGATGTTTATCGGTTGGAACTTTCATGGCGCTGCGGAGAAGTGATGTCTCCCACAGTCGGCTTTACAAGGTCATGCATACATAGCATAATTGCAACTTCTACTTATGTATCTTTTGCACGATGGCCTTTTTTGGTCAGACAGCTAGATTGAATCTAGATTCAAACTAGTCATACTACAGAGTGCGGGAACAAAATGAATCTCATGAGAGAACGCAGTAAGGCATTCCAACTTACCCGCCGCGATTGACGACGGATACATCACTTCATTTGGATACTTTTACTTTTAGGCACGAATTGCGTGCTTAGACGGCAGCGCCAGAGATGAAGAACCACTTGTCGATGCTGCCATCGATAGGAGCAGGAGGAAGGTCCTGGCCAGCAGGGATAGCAGCAAGCTTGCCTTGGTCGGCGCGGTGAGCGCTACCCTCGGTGGTCTCGACGTTGGCGAGGCTGATATCACCAGCAGCGGTCTTGCCGGTGATGAGCTTCTCCCAAGCATCAGCACACTCGTGGATGACGTCCTCGGCGTACTTCTTGTTCTTGCACTCGCCAGAGAAAGCGAACTGGTTCTCGGGCTTGCCGTCAGGGATCTTGTAGATACGGAACCACTCGTTAGTGGCACGCATCAGACCGGGCAGGTGACGCTCGACATCCTCAATGTCGTTGAGCTTGGGGGCAAGAGCATCGTTGACGTCGATGACGATGATCTTCCAGTCGGTCTCCTCCTCGTCGATCAGGGCCATGACACCGAGAACCTTAACCTGCTTGACCTGACCGGGGTAGCCGACCAGCTCACCAATCTCGCAAACATCCAGAGGGTCGTTGTCGCCCTTAGCCTTGGTCTCCGGGTGAACGGAGTTGGGGTCCTCCCAGGTCTGTTGAATGTTGATTAACCGATGCTCCAAATCGACCCCGCTTTCGAAAGGAATGGTGCCATGTGTGGGTGATGCTTTGTTTCAGATAGAATCACATCAAGGTAGACTTACGCGAGGGAAGGCACCGTAGTTCCAAAGGTAGCCCTTGTGGGGGGAAGCAGTTGCGGACGAAGCGCAGCTTGCCCTTCTTGGTGTCCTGCTTAATGGGGTTGAGGAACTCGTCCTTGGAGATCTAGCAATTGATCACGATAAGCATTGATTTCAACGATGAACATGCGGTGTAGGTGGTTTCCAGCGTACCTCCTGCTTGGCGTTGGTCCAGCGAGGAATCTCAACGACCATGTTCAAGATGGTCTTCTCGGCATTGGCATAGAGGGGAATGTCGTGGAAGGGAGAAACGGGAACGCCATCCTTCTCGATGTAGACACGGTGCTCCAGCGTGTAGGGCTGGCCAATCTTGCGGACGGTGTAAGACATGGTGGGTGATGTGAAATGTCTGATCTGAGTAGGGGAGGAAAAGAAGGAACTTGGCAGGCAGTACGGAGGAGAGGGGCTGGTGGGGGGGTACTGATGTGCGCAAAACACGCTCCACCGCCCGGAGTCGGGCTAACGGACGGGCCAGAGCCATTACGCTGGCTGCGTTGTCAACTTGGACCAAGGTCTTGGTCCCCAATCCTTCCAGGTTTGTGTCTATAACTTTGGGCGAGGGTCTTCCAAATAGCCCACAGGTCAATTGGGCGGGAGCCTGTGTCGGCGTGGCCCTGCAACGACTCAATTGTTGTTGATCAACAGAGTCAACAGGGGGAAATCTCGCGGTCCCAATTTTCGGGTCTTCTCGTCGGCCCGGACCACTTGGTGCCCCCAGAATGGTTTGACGGTTTTTATAAACGTCACTGATTCAGACGCATTTAAAATGATCATTTGTAATCTTTGGAACTAACTATTTGGTATTGCTAATTTGGAATGCATACTGTATAATAAAGCGGTCTCGTGTGCATATGTACTCCGCTTGTTCTGCACATGTACATTTCCGCCCGACAGCCGGTATCGGGCTCTGGGACTGGAGTTCGTTATATTTCGTTTAAGACAGGGAGTACAACTGGTGGTCGAGATGGCCTGTATCTGCCGAACAGTCCTTGAATTACCTCAATAGGTAGACTATGTTATTTTACTTAATATGATAAGAATGAGTCCATAACTGTGCCAGGATATATACAACCTCTGGTGGTTCTCAAAGTATAGTTAAATTGTGATGCCCCGCCAGTCAGGCATCAAGGCATGAAGAAATTTTTCGAACTATCACCACGTGATGAGCGGAGCTCCCCGATTATCTCGACCCCAGTTTGAAAATCCCCCAAGTTTTCCCCTCTCGAAGCGATGCTATGTTCAAGAGAATTTTCCGAACAGCAATGACGAGTCTCACCGCTACCGTGTCAACGCCGGCACAGGTGCCGCGCGTGCCCATCCCCGCCAACGGAGTCGACTATCGCGGCAAGATTGTCCTCGCACCCATGGTTCGATCAGGCGAACTCCCATCGCGTCTCTTAGCTCTACACTACGGCGCCGACCTTGTCTGGGGCCCTGAGACAATCGACCGCGCTCTAATCGGTGCTGTACGACAAGTGAATCCGCGCAACGGCACTGTCGAATTTACCCGCTACCCCTCCAACGGCGGCCGCACCGAAAAAGCAACAAAGGCATCTGTCATCTACCGCATCGACCCAGCCCGCGAGAAAGACCGTCTCGTCTTCCAGCTCGGTTCTGCCGAGCCTGAACTCGCCGTTCAAGCCGCCCGCGTCGTCGCCGGCGACGTCTCCGGCATCGATCTGAACTCCGGCTGCCCCAAGCCCTTCAGCACACACTGTGGCATGGGTGCCGCTCTCCTCAAAACCCCCGACAAGCTCGTCGCCATCCTTGAAGCCCTCGTCCGCGAAGTCGGCACCCCCTTCAACATTGGCATCTCCGTCAAAATCCGCATCCTCTCCACCGCCGAAGAAACCGAAGCTCTCAGTCAGCCGGCTCGTCCGCACCGGTATCACAGGCTTAACCGTCCACTGCCGCACAACCCCCATGCGGCCGCGCGAGCGTGCAATCCGCGACCAACTCCGCATGATCGCCGACATCTGCCACAAAGCCGGCGTCGCGTGCGTAATGAATGGCGACGTAACAAGCCGGGACGAAGGGCTTGCGCTGATGCAGGAATACGGCGTGGACGGCGCCATGATCGCCACCGCTGCCGAGGCGAATTCCTCATGCTTCCGCTCCGAGGCGGCCGGCGGACTCGCGGACTGGGATGAGGTCGCACGTGAGTACATGCGCTTCTGCATCGAGAGCGAGAACAAGTTCAATAACACCAAGTACCTGCTTAACATGCTTGTGCCCGGGAAGCACAAGGAGTTCCGGAAGCCGGAGAACAGCCGCACCTACGCCGATACATGTCGGTGTCTGGGCTTCGAGGAGCTTATCCCCGCTGCCATTCCGCTAGATGAGCGGCTGGGGTTGGCAGAGCGGTGGTCGGAGAAGTGGCTGGAGCAACCGGAGGAGAAGAAGCATAGTGAGGAGAAGGCCAAGGCTGTCCAAAATGCTATGCAGAATAATGAGACGGCTCGGGCTGCGGGCGGGGAGACGAGGGTTAAGTCTACGCCTGTGCCGGCGCATACAGGTGGTCCAATTCGGACTACGTCGAAGCCTGCACCTGTGAAGACTGGGAAGCCGAAGGGTCCTGAACCGGAGGGCCCGGCTGATCTTCCTGTTCCTTCTGAGGTTGTTCAACAGTCTCAGGTGACGGCGTAGGCTAGCTGGTCTTGGCTGCTTTCATTTTCTTCCGAGGGGTGAACTATTTACTTACCCTATTCTGCATAGCATGGCCTGTGGATTGGCGTTCGGCCCCGAGGTGGTCCCTATTAGATTTAACAAAGTATGGTTTATAATGTACAGATGCATTGGCAATCTCCATCACTGCTATTATATTCTCTAAAAGCCCATACCCTTCCGCTATGCTATATTAAAAACGGCATTTTTGGCGGGACTACTAGTAACAGTTTGGGGTTTACCTCCCTTTATCGTATTCCATAGATCTCGATAAAAGAAAAATAGACGTTCCTTTGAAGGTCCAAGTGAGATGAATCTCACAGTTTACTGAGGCTAATCCGAATGATAATCAAGACCAACTCTATACCTTTCCAAAATGAAGCCCATGGGCTTCATTTTGCTCTACTCTATAATATTATTTTGCGCCTGCGCAGACCAGGACACCAACAAAGAAAACAAGCAAAGAAAACCCCAAACACCAATAATACAAACCCCCTCCTCTTCCCTCACCTCCGCCAGCCATCTCCCCATCCCCTCATCAGAGTGCGCCTTCAGCAGCACTCTCCCCTCCCAGGCCGGAGAGCATCATGCCCTCAACGGCCCGCATCCCCGCCTCCTCCCTTGGAGCCACCCTCCTCATCACCCGCGACAGCCTGGTCGAGCGCCAGCTTTGTTTGTCCGAGAGCATGGATCTGCTCCTCGATGGTGTCGCGAGTGACGAATCGGATGACCTCAACGTCACGGGTCTGGCCTACGCGATGGGCACGATTTTCGGCTTGGACGTCCTCCTGTGGATTGAAGGACGAGTCGAAAATCACGACCTTATTCGCGCAGGCCAGATTGATACCCGTTCCGCCGGCTTTTGTCGAAAGCAGGAAGACGGGGATGCCGGCGTCCTCGTGGAACGCGTCCAGGATCGCCTGACGATCCTGCACACTGGTGTTCCCGTCCAGGCGCACGAAACGGATCTTGAGGGTCTCCAGTACCTCCTCAAGAATGTCCATGACGAGCGTGAACTGAGAAAACACCAGTGTGCGGTCGCCATTGGCGATGAAGCTGGTGAGCAGCTTCCGTAGATGCTCGACTTTGCCCGAATCCATCCACTCCTCATTGCGGAGGCGGAACTTGCCGAGCGACGACCATTTCTTGCACATGCCGTGCAGGTCATAGTCGCTGTACTCGCGCAATTCCTCGAGGATGACGTCTGGGTCAGAGAGGCGCCAGACTGGCTCGTTGAGGCAAGCCCGAGACATCTGCTTCAGCACAGCTTCAGTGTATATACGACGAGACAGGAGGGGATGAATCGCGGCCTGCCGCAGCTTCATCAGAATGTTCGCCGACTTAGACCCGGTCTTCTTGCCGGCAGCGCGGTCTTCCAACAGTCGACGAACGTTCTCTTGCTCCTCCCTATATATGTCCGACTGGGAGGTCTTCATGTCACAGTATTGGACACGACAGACCTTGTCGGGAAGGTCGATCACTTGGTGCTTCTTCCGACGCAGCACAAAGGGCTTGAGCATTGATTTGGCCCGCCCAATGCGCTGCGCCGAAAGAAGCGCCGCGTGGGATTCATCCGTCGTCTTCGCCTTGTTGGCGAAGATAGCCTTCAAGTCGTCTTTATGCGACTTGAAGACTTCGGGCAGGATGAACCCCAGAAGAGAAGCCAGCTCCTGCAGGTTGTTCTGCAGGGGAGTTCCGGTGAGGAGGAGACGGAACTTGGCTGGGATCCGGATGAGCTTTTCGTATAGTTGTGACCTGGAATTCTTCAGCATGTGCCCCTCGTCGTAGACACACACCGTGAATTCCTGATTGCGAAGGAACTTCGTATCGATTGGGTTCTTCGCAATGGTGTAGGTCGTGATCACAACGTTGATATCATCACGGTTCTCTTCGATTTGATGGCGGATCTCGGCCCGTTCATTCTGACCAGCGTAATAAGGGATGACATGGAGATCTGGGCAGAATTTGGTGAACTCGCGAATCCAGTTTTCAATGGTTGAAGCAGGGACCACAACAAGGTGCGGTCCCTTGATTCCCTTTGTAAACAGGTGAGCGAGAAAGCTGATGACCTGACAGGTCTTTCCGAGGCCCATGTCGTCGGCCAAGATACAGCTCATTTCCTTCTCAAACAGGAGCGCAAGCCAATTGAGACCAACAATCTGATAATCCTTCATGACAAGATCTTTGGCCATTATGTCGGGCTGGGAGATGAATTGGGAGCCCTGTGACTTGGGCTTTCGGGAAGCAGAGACTGGGCCATCATCTTCGTCATCGTCATCTCCTTCTTTATTTCCACCCCCGGGAGATGGGTGACTGGAGGAGGGCGTGGCAATGCCTGAATCATGCGTAGTGCCCGCGGTCATAGAGGTGAGCTCCAGGTCGCCGCCGGGCTTGCCGAAAATATCCACACCCCATTTCTTCATTTCATCGGCGATAGGCTTTCCGAGCTTCGCACATTCAGCCACAAGGGAGTCAACTGCCATGTAGCCCTCCCACATCTCGAGACATTTGTCAACAATCTTGTCACCGATGGGCTTGGGGGCTCGGCGCGCTTTGCCCTTGCCCTTGGGTTTGGCACTTTCATCAACAGGAGCTTGGACAAGTCGGATATCGTCGAGGGTGCGATAGGGACGGTTATCAGTGATCACCTTGGCGTGATCCTCAGGAATTGCGGCAATGTCGGCCAGATCCCGGGTATCGCAGGTGTTGAGGAACTTGAACACTTGATTGTGCAGGTTCACAGACTTCGAATCATCGAGTTGTACTTCTTCATCCTCAGAATCGGTCAAAAGCGGAGAGGGGGAGCGGATTGGCTGGCGTCGGCCTTTCTGGAGGCGGCCAGGCTTTGGTTTGGGTGGGGTGGCATCGTCGTCGACCACGATGATGTTCTGAGGTGAGGCATCGCGCGATAGAACATGGTCACGAGGGCCGCGCATAAGACGACCACGGGGCTTTCCATCAGTTCCTTGGTCACGCGAGGTGGGGTTGGTGGACGTGGGAGGCAGGTTAGCACTATCACGATACTTGTTGTGAATAGTGTTGCGGGCACGAATCTGTTGCTTCGCAGCAGGTAGGGGCGCTGCTGAGCTAGCTACTGCGGAGCTCAATTCATCGTCAGAGGATTCAATAATAATTGCTGTCTTGTTGTTCGACTGGGCGGGGTCCTTGGTAACAATGTCCAGGGCCACATCGTAGTTGCCATTTGCGCGAACTAGAGCATTGACACATTCTTGAACAGTCTTGTTGGCAACGATCTTAAGCATGCGTTCGACTTTGACTTTGACACGGTAATCATCGATATCATTGGTAGACTGGATATGGGGGTTGGTTGTGGCGGGAGACTGGGGTTGAGAGTCGGTAGAGAGGCGGGCCTTCTTGATGGCCGTACCGGTGTGGGGATCAAGGCCGCCAAGCTGCTCTGCAGAGCGTTTGGCGCGGGAAGCTTCAGTAGCACCGGTAGACTGGAGACTGGAGGAGACAGGAGACTTGGGTTGAGAGTCGGTGGAGAGGCGAGCCTTCTTCATGGCCGCGCCGCGCGGGTCGATGTCGCCAAGTTGCTCCGCAGAGCGCTTGACGCTGGAAGTTGGATCATACTTGGCAGCTGCAGTGATTTCCTTGAAACGATCAAACGCGCTGCCGGGGGCCTCAGAACGGACGGGCGATTCCGCCACCTTGTCGGGGGAACGCGTCTTCTCGAACATCGCGGGTTTGATGTCGGTACTTGAGATGGCGTAGCTTTCTTCTTCGTCAGACGAGCCACCAAGATAGGTGGGACCGTCGTCAAAATTGAGGATTGGAGAACGCTTTGCAGGACGCGCAGAGTTGGAAGGGGAACGAAACTGTGTGCCAGCAGGTGCGAGGAGGGAAGAAAGAAGACCACGGCGAGGTGGGGTATTTGTAAGTGAGGGAGCAGTAGGCGATGAAGCAGCGACTTGGACAATCGAGTGCTTCGGTCGTGAATGAGGGGAGTCGATGATCTGAGTTGGCTGAGTGAAGCGTTGCGATGGAGTGAGTGAAGCAACAGGAAGAGTGGCGACGGTGTCGTGAATGTCTTCGTCTTCAGAGGAAGCGGTGCCCATCGTTCTTTCCCTAACTGGGGTATCGGGGACAGAGTCTCCCATTGCGCATGATATCTTGCTTTTACTTGAGGCGCGATTCACTCTCACCAGGGAATCTTGGGATCTTTTTTTTCTGCCGCAGGGACGCGGCCGACGCGACTCACGTGTCTACGTAGTTCAATTGACAGTTCATTCACTATTGAATTATCTCTCCACTAGTGAAATCACTCAATTCCCAAAAAATGAAGCAATTCTAAGATGCCATTCAAGTCAAGTCAATATAGCCAAATTGAGTATAGCCTGACGAAGCTTGTTGATATTGTCCCATTGGTCGATTGATTCTGGACTGGCGTTCTCCGCCCTCCGACCGCGGCGCGTCAGACCGGGGACAATCTCCACATGCGCAGGACCTCTACTGGTATCTTTCGCACGCCTCTGAAACGCCTCTGGGTCAAGGCCTTTCGCTCCCTGAGGGAAGTCATCACGTTATCCAACTGTGCTAGTTCTCGTCAAGTACCAACATGTCCGCTCGCCGTCCCCATGGTCAGAGCTCCAACGTAGCAGTCAAGCCTGCTCCGGCTGGAGACTCGGACGTATCACTGGCAGTCCCAAGGTACATTCTCTGCTGTTCTTAGTCGCAATTCTTAATTTTAACAACTCCAGTGATGTCATCTACAAGCTCCTCTTCTTCACAGCCGCCATGGTATTTGGCCCTATAGGAATGTACTTTCTCACAGTGAATGCCATCTTCTCGGGTAAGAAAGAACCTCCAAAGAGAAAGCAAGTAACTCCGTCTCTATCGAAAACAGCCATGCTCACTTCTAGGCAGGAAACTCCACCTATGCTGGCATTCTAGCTGCTATCACTGCCAACGTGGTCTTATTCGCCTACATCTATGTGGCATGGGTAGAAGACCAGGGCGAGCAAGGAGAAAAGTCAGAGTCCAAGAAATCCCAGTGACATAACGAAAACACTTAAATTCTGCTTTTGTTTTCATGATCCTGCGGTGTCATGGCTATGTTGCCGGTATCAGTAGCTTTCATTGCAAGCTACCAGCTCGTTGAAGGGCGCTATAAAATTAGATCTAGTTTCCAGGATTCCAGGCCGACAGGAGAATTCGCATGTCCCACCTCTAGGAACCCGCTACAGCGTTGAGAAACTCGTCCAGTCTCCCATAGGACCCAGTCCAGGAACACTAGCAACAATGTTCAACTGCGCGGTCACCTGGGCAATGTTCCACGCCCGAGTGCCGTATATGCAGCGGCCGTGGCCCAGCTACGGGATGGTGACTGCACCTCGCCATTGCTCTATTGCTCATGGCCGGCGCTTCACGAATTCCTCCAAATCAGCCTTTGTAGCAACACCAAGCACAAATTTGCGAGCAGCGTCGGTAACAACAGCGAACTGGTGCTTTTCACGAGAGTCTCCGTTGGCACCAGTCACGCTTTCAAAGAACTTCTCCAGCTCCTCCAAAGGTGTCTCCATTGTAATGACTTGGTAGATCCCGCGCTTGCGGTTAAATCGCAGCATGGCAGCCGACACAGGATCAGACTCCTTCACGGCGCCGGTCTGGATCAGCTCCTTCAATCGTGGAATGCTCAGATAGCCCAGGAGGGAACGCTTGGTAGCAGAGATGACAGTGAGGTGGGTGTAGTCGCGCTCGTAGGCGGCCATCAAGGCCGAAGAAACAGGGTCATCTGGCGAGACGGAGAGTGCTGGTGGGGGATCGAGGTCTTCAACGGTGGCCTGTGACGTTACGATTAGTTTTTTTTTGTCTCGCATCAGGTTCCGTGGATTGACAAACTCCGCGATACTTGTCGGCCCAAGCTCCTTGTGGAGCTGCGGAGGAAGCTGAGGGCTGTGCTTCACGACTGAAGGCCTCACTTCCAGTCAGATAGGACGCCATTGCAATTCGTTGTCGGTGATATTCGGAGGGGCGAAGGATGCGCTGGGCGGGGCTGACGGGTGGATGAGTACGTCAAGAACTTCAGGGCCAATCAATTGTCGAGTAGAGTCGCAATGATTTGTTCGGGATTGAAGCTATTGTGAGCCCGGAAATCCTGAGCCTCTGTCAAGGCCGATTTAACCGAGTCCCTATATATCGAAGATTGGCCTGCGCGATTGTGGAAAAAGAAAATTGTCGTTTGTATCTTTCGTAAAGAGTCACTTGACATCTACGTCACTAGGCACGTCAAAGCGCGGCCCCTCAATCTCTCCTCTCAGCTTTTGGCTCTGCATACCAGCTTCAGAGGCCTACAGAAGATCTTTGAGTCTATCGCACGCTTTTTCCTTGGTCGATTTCAATCGAGTTGATCAGTAAGTGTGTTCTGGAAGGTGAACGGCAAATGGAGATCGCTGCTCGATCTCCCGAGCTCCACCCGGTTGCACCACAAGCTAATCCAGACGATGTAGACAGCCATGGCCACTATTAGCACGATAATCGACAATTTTGCGTCACAGCACACCATCCGCTCTACGCAGACGTCCTCCCCGGGGGGAGTCTGTCAATGCGACCCAACGCCAGCTTTTTCCAGCATGGAGCGCGATCGACGAGGTGAAGAAGACGGTCGACACGGCCAGCCAGAAGGCGCAAGGCAAGACCGGTAAGATCGAGCCGTGGTCGGCCCAATACTACGCCACCTGTACAGTCGGTGGACTTCTTGCCTGTGTCAGCAATTATACCTCCGGCATCCATCATATGCGCTAACGGTATGCCTAGGGTCTGACCCACACGGCTGTTACGCCTTTGGATCTCATCAAATGCCGCCGTCAGGTTGATCCAAAGCTCTACACCGGTAACATGCAGGCTTTCAAGGCAATCCGGGGTGTCGAGGGCTGGCGCGGCGTGTTTACTGGCTGGAGTCCTACTTTCTTCGGCTACAGTGTACGTGAGTAGATGGTTGCCTCAAACAAAAGTGCTAACGGAAATTATAGGCCCAAGGTGCTTTCAAGTACGGTGGATATGAGTTCTTCAAGAAGTTTTACAGTGATCTCGTCGGACAAGAGCGCGCTGCCAAATACAAAACCTCCCTGTACCTCGTTGCCAGTGCCTCCGCTGAGGTGATCGCCGATGTAGCACTTTGTCCCTTCGAAGCGATCAAGGTCCGCACCCAGACCACTATCCCGCCTGAGTTCAAGGGTACCTTCAGCGGTATCTCTTCGGTGATTGCTAAAGAAGGAAATGCCGGGTACGGCTGCGCCATCCATTGACATTGTTCAAGGTATCCGTCACTGATACATTGATAGGCTTTTCAAGGGTCTATACCCTCTGTGGGGCCGCCAGATCCCCTACACCATGATGAAGTTTGCCTCGTTCGAGACCATTGTGGAGACGATCTACACCACCCTTCCCGGTCACAAGTCGGACTACAACAAGGGTGCCCAGACTGCTGTTGCTTTCACTGGTGGCTATCTGGCCGGTATTCTGTGCGCGGCAGTGTCACACCCTGCCGATGTCATGGTCAGCAAGCTCAACGCCAACCGCCAGGCAGGTGAGGCCGTTACAGCTGCGATGAGCAGAATCTATGGTGATATCGGATTCCGGGGCCTGTGGAACGGACTGCCCGTCCGAATTGTTATGGTCGGAACATTGGTGAGTGATCATTTGACAACAACGATTGACCCGGTTGCTAATAATTCTCAGACTGGCCTCCAGTGGATGATGTATGGAATTAAGCGCTTTTCATTGATCTTTGCATATGCTAACTCTATCTCAGCTACGATTCATTCAAAATTTTCATGGGACTGCCTACCACTGGCGGATCTGGGGAAGACAAGAAGAAGGCCCAGTAGATCTAACCTTTCCCGCCCCGTCATTCTTATCGTCTCTTTGTTCCCAGCTTGTCTCGTTAGCCCCGCCGAGGTTCAAGCCGCCTTCCTGGGCCAGTGTCCTTAGACAAGAACCATTTATCTCGCAATGCAGTATCCTGTCGACTTTTTGCTACAATACTCAAGAGTACATCGCTATTGAAATAAAGTAGTGCGGGCGCCAAGAGCGCTACCAATGTATTAGTCAAAGGCCCACCAATTGTTGCGACATGTTATCTCTTATCTATGCCTCGTGTAATCTCCCCAGTATAAACGTCACCAATCGCTAATTGCTCCTTTTGAGCTCAAAGAGGCTTGTCCATTGGATCAATCGCCTCCGAAATTAGCGTATAGAATTAGCCAAGCCCTGCCTCTGTCCCGCGTGATCGCGAATGCCCTTCTGTAGCACATACCCCAAGCCCGGCCAATTTTCGCAAACCTACGTATATCTATCTACTCTCCTCCGTACGGGAGGAAGCATCTTTGGTCTCCATCCCCGTCACTCCCATCAGTTTCCCCTTGTAAGTCGATCCCACCTGATCGTACCTGCATCCATAGTCCCACCTTGGTCTGCCGCACGTGGGTACTATACAATTGCTCCTGAGGTACCAGCCTGGCCCACCAATAAGCTCTCCTCCCCTCCCACCCCTGCATGTCGCCGCACAACTCACCTTCCTCACCTCACCAGATCACACCTCATGCCCGAAGAAGGTCCCATCGTCTCCCACGGCCGCGGTGGTAAGCTCCTCCCCTCCCCCGCCTCGTACTAGTACCTAGCTCTACAAGCCAGAAGCTCATGCCCAGTCCAGGCCAGGGAAACATTAGTCACGACAACACAGAGTAAAGCCCCCCCCCCCACCACCTACCCACCCCCCGCTCACCTGGGTCGCACCCGCTAAATACCCCAGATACATTGACGGCGAAATCGTCCGCGAAGGAGCCTACGGCGACCAGGGTGACGGCGCATACTCTGCCGGCGTAAGCGACAAACCCCCCCAACCACCTCCAGTCCAGCTACTAACGATCGACAGCGCGGTGGCGCTGGTAACATCGGCTCTCCACATGTGCGCGCCTCGACCAATGTGCCGCATGACACGGAGATGATCCCCGAGCTGGCGATTCGCAACTCGACGGATGAGACGTACCATACCGGGGTAAGGCGTTCCTTTCTTATTAAGCCGTGAGTGCGTGCTGCTAAGACTGTTTCTTGTTGTAGCGCGGTGGCCAGGGTAATGTCCACCTCGATGACACGGCGCGCAAGGAGAAGGAGAAGAAGAACCCGCATCATGATGGGCTGGCGGATCGGTTGAAGAACAAGTTGCTTGGGCGCAAGTAGGACTCTGGGCTCAAGGTTCTGGGCCGAGGATTCCTTGTCAGTGGTCGAATTTGCTAGTGGTCTTTACACAGCAAATTAATGGTAGTTTTGCGGCTACTGGGTAGTTTGAGTGTTACAGTCTCGTTAGATTTCCAACTTGTGCGAATTTCCATTGAACTGTTTATGAAATTTCTCCGCGGGATAGCGTCGTCCATTGCAGGAGGAGAGAATCCAAAGAAATATCTGGGGTTCCGTTACAATCTTCCTCCGCGTGTTCCACTGGAGCGTCATTTGCTTCGTTCTTGGATGGGTCATTCTGCGTCATGCTGGCCTTCATGTCTTCATATGGCCCAGCAAGGGGAGCAGAGCCCAATTCAGCAGTCGCCATCAGACGCTGGCGGAAGGGACTGCGCGCACGCTGTCGCCCACGCGGAGAATCTAGAGGTCTAGGACGAGCTACCTGCCTCTCCACCAAGCCGCTAACAGGGACACTGGGCTCGCGAACAATGATCGGTCTGGGATAGTACTCGTAGCTTTCGGATGAAATGGCTGGCTCAACTAGACGTTTCACGCGATAATCAGACTCAAGATGGTATGAGACCCCCCCATTGGCTCTGTCCGCGGGATGGTAAATGAGTGTCTCGTCGCCGCATTCTGTACGGCTCTCGCAACGAGTATGGTAAACATCATCACCGTGCCCCTCATCAACCCTGCCTGCAGGACGTCTGATCGTGCTATCGTAGGGTTGACGAGACGGGGTGGATGAAGGAGGTTTGGTATTATCCTTCTTATCATCTTCAGTGTCTCGCTTGTCACCTTTTGGGAGCTTGGCATTAGCCGAGCTTAAGAGCCCGAATGCTTCTTCGTACGAGCCGACAGACTGGTTGCCGTGGGTGTGTTTCAAGATTGTAGCTTCGGCAGAGTGCAGGTTCAGAATACCCGTGCGCATTCGAAAATGGCGACCTTTCTCGAGGCTGTCTTGGTACATATCGATCTCATTCAACAGCTTGCAGACGAGGCTGTAGTACTTTTCGAGCTCTTGGTCTGGATCTGGTGTAGAAGGGGCCTCTACGGCGAAAACCTGGAAGCCTTTGTCGAGGTCCACAGCTTCTATGGATTTGGTGAGCAGTTTGAATTTGGCATCGTTGGCTTTTTTCTCGATCATCAGAGTTGTGATCAGGTCTCGCTGGTCGTCTCGCGGGCTCGTCTCCACTTTTCTATCCAGCTTGTCAGCATCGATTCCAGCCGTGGTATAATGGGGAGACACACTGGCGAAGCTGCCTCGCATACATGATGACATGCAGCATAAGCAAGATGGTCGACTTGAGCCTTTCAAGGTTACTCTTCAGTAAATCCAAGTTCGGCCCCATAAAAGCCACCCCAATCTTCCGTGCTCTTCTGAGAAATGCATTTCTCGCATTTTCCTGGCTCTGTTTCTCCATTGCACTATCGATGCCCTCGAAGACAGTCTTACACTCTGCTAGAACATCTTGGGCTGTGTCAAAGGCTCTCGGGGAACAGAGCTTGGTCTGCTCGTCCTGCTCGAGGGCCTTGCCTAGTTCCTGCAGGATACTGCATGTGAGGGAAACATCACTGGACAGGCTTTGCATTGACTGATTAGCATCTTTCACGGTGCGGTAGAAGGAGCAGAGCTTGACGGAGACTTTGGCGCCCAGGTCCGCTATCTGCAGGATGCTAGCGACTATCCCGATTGCTTCGAGGCCCGACATCGTGCGCGGAATGAGCGTGCAGGCTCATGCTCTGCTCGGTTATCGGTATATATTTTGGGTATTGGGAACGGGAACTTTAGGATCTTCAGGCGGGGCAACGGGGCTGATATCCAAATGTAGCACGGGCCTTGCATCGCATTCTGGGGCTAAAGACCGTGGCCGCTACGTACAGTGAGATCCCATCAATTTTATATTTGGCTGTATTAGATTCAGACCACCCGCATATTATTGAATTGAAGGTTCTGTACATGGATACAAGCTAGAGATAGATCTTTCCAATGAATTTATGCGATACATTTGAGGCCAGCACAAACCAATTCCAGCCACAGGCAGAAAGCCATCCATGTGCGAATCCCGAAGGAAAGAAAACGAAACAGTCCATATCCCATATCCGTAACCCATGTATCGTAAAGACATTAAAGTATGAAGCAATCAAATGAGAATTGCAGAAAGCGCCTCGCCACATATCAACATTTCCGAAGGATGTGCATAAATGTTGAGAACACAGAACGCCGTGAGAGGCATGGCCGTATTCTCGTGAGAGGTTGCAAATCAAGAGGACCATGGAAACTGATGAAACCCATATCGAATCGAAGGGGAAAAGAAAGGTAACGCAGACAAGCCGCCTAGTCTTTGCTGAAACGACGCTTCAACCAGCTCTTTCGCTTCTCGGGCGGGGCAACGTTCGTCTCATTGGTATTCTTGCGCAACCGGCTCGTCGCAGGTGATGGCGACGGTTGAGCAGTCATTACGGGCTTCTGCGCGATGCCTTGGTCCATTGCCACGGGCGAGGCAGGGTACCCGTTATTATTGAGGTTGGGCCCGCTGCCAAAGCCTTGGAATCCGTATTCAGCCTGCGCACGCTGCTCCATCCGTTGCTGCTGCAGAGCCTGCTGCTGCAGCTGGTCCATGGAGCTATTGAGGGAACTGGGATCGGTCGAATTACCGTACGGATCGGTGTTGTTGGAACCCGAGCCCGAGCCCGATAGCGCAGTGACGTTGTCATACGACTGCTGGAAGTTGTTTGGTGTCGGAGGGCCATATGGGACGTTGTTCCCGTACACACCTTGCTCGCTCGGCATGCGTGGCTGCTGGCGCGGGCGCCGATTGCCGTAGGGGTAGTGGTTCTCCTGTCCTTGGCTTGGTCCACCGTTCTGATACCCGTCGGCGTCTGGGCGCGACGGTCGTCCATAGTATCCATTTTGTTCGCTGTGTCCGCGGTTGTGGTAGTTGTTTGAACCTACAGGTAGTCAGTGACTGCTATATGGAGCTCGTGGTTGGAAACAAGGACCTACCATAATAGCTTGTACGTCGGCTGAAATCGCCCATTTGCGATGCTCCGTCTTCTGTCGGCACTCATTAGCTATGAAACAATGCGGAATTGCGAAAGCAAGATTGCAGGTGCGACATACCCGTGCGAGCATATGAAGTGGGGCGCTGACTGCTGTATGTACCATAAATGGCAGCCTCGAACGATCGGATGGTATCAAGGGGGCGTTCCAAACGTGGGCGTGTGGGGTTTGACTTGTCGGGATCCTCTGTATGCAAGGGTGAGCCCGGAGGAACGAAGATCTGCAGAACAACAGGATAACTGACCGATAACATTTCCATACTGATCCTTATGGCGCAATGATCGCAAGGAGCCCAGATTGGACTTTTCCAACGCTTGCTCGGCTGTGATAAGAGTCAGCGGGTGGTCGGGGCGCGACCGCGGTTAGGGAGTGGAAATAGACTGACAGGGCTGTAGTTCGTACATGGCGACGGTTGGATCGGCCTTGGTTTGTAGACTGCGACGGGCCTTTTCCTGGGAACTTTCCGAGAGGTGGCTCTTGTGCCCGGAGTCCTTCGACTTGCGGGAAGCCTCTGATTTCACGCTAAACCCGCGACTCCTGGCCGGAGCCGCTGCCTGGGGGACGGACATATTTATCTCCCGTTTTCTTAGCGTCTGCAGTCAATAGCGCCTGAAACCTGATGGGATCTGCCCCGAGCTATGATGGCCGTTGTGGAGCAGTCGGTGGGCACTGCCAAGATGGGATCAGAGGCCACTAGAAGACCAGGGTCAAGTTGGGTGCGTGAAATTTGACACTAGAGATGGTCCAGGAAGCGCTAAAGGGACAGTGTGGGCAATGTGTGCACGGATGCGTGGGAAATGGGGAGGAAATGGAAGAAAACGCGAAAAGCGAAGGCTGGGATTGATGTACGGTGAGCAAACGAGGGAAGATAAAAGGCCGAAGAGGGGGGACGTTCGTTGAGGCGCAGTTTAAATAAGAAAAAACCGCAGAGGCAGCATACACTATTTGAGTTAAGCAGAATCCCCAGGGCCGCGCAGCCACAGCAAAACCGATTCCCGCTGATGCCGATTTGGGAGTCATACGTGGTTGCCGCGCAATCTTTGGTAGGTGGAGTTGGGCATGGGCTATGTATCCATGAAATTCTAGAAGAACTCCAATGCTCCCCTTCCTCTCCTGCCTCTGCCTTCTCTCTTCCTTTTCAATATTTTCAAGCCTTGGCGAGCCAGACTTGGATGATACGCGTACCTTTCCTGTTTCCCCTGTGGTTCCGTGGTACAAGAAACCCATTGTGCTGCCGTGATTGCCCGTGTTCTACCATTTGATTTTAGCGAACCAGAAGGGTCTCACAACAGGTGTCTGTTGCCGAGGACCATGTGCGACCTTCAGGTCTTTGCTCCGAGTCTTTGGGCCGTCAAAGTTAATTCTCATATTCTTCCTGGATTTTCTTGCTAGTTTCACTTTTTGGAATTTCGGGGATCTTGACTGGATCGCGTGATGCATGGGCATGCGGGCTGTTCCAATTGGCCGGGCCGTCGCTAAATGCTGGGATCACGATAGGTTATTTTTAGACCCTCTGCAACCTTGCCAATCCTGCAACATAAGTTATCTCGAGTATAGAAACTCCGAGGCTCTACGAAATACTGCGTGAACCCCTAGGCGTCGGAAATCTCCGTCTCCTTCTTTGGTGGAGACAAGATCCTGCGTAAATTTTCAAGTATTTCCACGATACACCCAATGACTATTGATATCTTGCAGAACCAGATTGTTTTATGATGATACTAACTTTGACTCCATCCAATCAAAGTCCTCCTGCAACCAGGTAATACGGACATGTGCTCTGACACCTCCACTGTGGCATGCAATTGAAAGGTGGAAGTGTTCGTGAGCGGGAACCCCACCGTTGATCTACGGGGATTAGAATCCACCCAGCCACAAACGATCTGCTCTTGATTCGACAAATATAAACTCTCTCCTCCACTCAATGAGGATTCAATGGCAGTGCCTCAGATTACAGCAGGACAGAAGTAGTAGGCATAGAAGGGCACAGCCGAGACTTGGGAAGGCTTGAATATTCGATGAACTTGGCCGCCTATGCGCCAAAGAATTACCTCTGTGGAGCTTTTGATAAGACTACTACGTTCTCTATGCTGTCAACAGTCACCGATAGAGATCTGGAGACTATTAGTAACGGCCGAAGTGGGCTCGTTCGTGACAACCTGAATTTTACCCCAGCCGTCATTGGCCCACCCTCGTGTAAATACTACATCAATTGCATCAAAGCAAACAGGTATACTCTTGCGGGAGTGCCATCTAATATCGGGGTCTAGTCATGGCCAGCTCTCAAATATAAATTATTAAGCTTGGTCAAAAAATGAACTTGTATGTATGGGATTTTCGAATTCGAATGACTGCACACATGCCTTACTATATATTTAGCCAACCACGCCAGACATTCACACCAGCACTTCGCGAAATTTGAGTATTCCCCCCTCTGGCTATTCGATCATAAGCACACTACCTAATTATCTGCGTGACTAGTCTTCTCGGCATCGGTGCTAATTCGTACTACTTGGCTTGCTGTCGACTCCCAGCAGGGAAACTTTCGATACACACAGAAATTCAGTTTTGCTCGATAGACTGTAATAGCTCTTCAAAAAGGCACTTTGCCATGATCGTACGGAGAGGAAATGATTTCGAATGGCGCACGGAAAGGGTTTCCGAACCTGGTGTGATTTCCTTGCATCTGGTGTTATCTCGAGTCGGTTGCCATGTAGATAAGGATCAGATGGGTCTGGAAGTCCAAGGATAGTAGACGGGATCCTGGCTCGGGAAATCATGAGCACGACCCGTGTCCCACCTACGAGTGCCAGTCGACGCCTTCCAAAGGGCCTACGAAACTACGAAAGACCTTTAATTCCTTGTCGTCGCAATGGGGATATATTTTTGATCCAAACTCTAAACATGCTATGGTGGAGTAGCCAAAGCAAAGCCAATGCCATCACCAAACAGCGCACGCAAGAAACAATCAGAGTTGACCGGTCTGTTGAAGATAGGGTGAAATTTGGTGTGTATAAGCGTTTCAGAGACACGGTGGGAGGCAAGCGGCACGCCGACCAGACATATCGAGCGGCCAGGGGAATAAACACAAGGAAGAATCACTGAGACCTCATGGTCCCTGACCCCAGCTCGGGGGAGCTGAAATCGACACAGCATTGAACGTGTAAAAAGTTATTTTTTTGATTCGTTGGGCTTGTTAATATGGCCCTGCCTTCTCCCACGAATAAAACGTTATAAAACCGCCAACTCCATCACCTCTGCTCAACATTCGGCTTCCATCGACTTTTTCCTTGCCTGACCGACTGTCTGCGAAATATGGAATTCGCCCACTAGATACAGGGGTGCCGTTTAGATGTTGGAGGGGTAGAGCATGACACGGACGGTGGCACCGAAAGACTTGGGAGGGAGGTTGTGGCGGAACTTAGCACGGACAACACCGGAGTTACCTAGAGGATCATGTTAGTAACTTGAAGTCTTCTGCGATTCCGACTGATACAGGGCCTCTTACCATGAGGACGGGTGACCTTGCCCCAGATGACACGGATGTTGGAGCCGCGGACCTCGCGCTTGGCACGGTAGACAAATGCCACCTTCTTGCCAAGGTAGAACTGTGCCGCCTCGGGGTTCTCAACACCGTCGATCTTGACCAGGCTGGTGTTGGGGTTGGTGTTGTGCTTAGAGCGCTGGTAGCTCAAATGGCGGCCCCTATGAACAATAAAATTAATCCTCTGTTCTCATCATGGTGTCGCACAGTGGATTTTAGATGAATCCTCCACCAAGATCTTCCTCTTCGACCGAGTCGGGGGTAGGACCTGGTCGAACCGGATTTTCCACATGTCCAAACTCGAATTGTTCAAAAACCAAGGATGCGAAGGCGAGTGTGTACGGTGGTAACTTACTTAACATAGACTAGAGAGGAGAATTCAGTTAGCATGATTTTGTTCTCGAACGACATTGTTCCTTCAACCGGTCCCGATGCGCCTGGGTCATCCGCAGATCACCAGGTACACGATTTCGGCGTCAAGGGGATGGGTAAAACGTACGGCGGTGTCCTTCCTGAGACATGGCGAACAGATCTTCTCCTGACGGCAAGGAAAACAGGTCAAAAGAAAAGGTCGCGGTGGTCGGCGTTGGTCGATAGTCGAGATGCTAGGCGTGGAAATCAAATTGCGGGTTGTGCTGGGCCAGCGAGACTAATCCCGATCGGGATCAAGGTTAGTCAGACTAAGCGAGGAAGCCCTGACGGCGAAGGTGCGGCCTAGGGCAAGTCGGTCCCGTGACAGATGCCCTATAGCTTAGTCATACATCATTGGTCATCCGACTAACTGGCCTGTTCCTGCCTGAAAATGCCGGCAACAAGTATCCCGGCTCTCCACCGCCTTGAAGACGGAACATCTAGCCGGCCCACAGTCCTCCGACAGTCCTACGGGATGACCAAGTCGGGCTAGCAGTCGAGCATGACGACACTGGCCGAGATTTGATCTTCCACGGTTATGGCGGTTTTTTTCTCTGCTCCGGTAAACACTGGCAATCTCTTTTCAATCGCAGTACGGAAAAAACACTGGATTCCTTATCAGTATTCTAGGTTATCCGGCATAGTTTAGACCAGACCGAGACTTGATTTGGAAGCTGAAAACACCCATGTTGTACTGCGTAGTAGGCCCCCACCGTGAGGTTGTTGGGCTTCCTGTAAGTATGTTCGGGGCAATCGTCAGCTGGCTCTCCTTTGTGTGAGTCGACCTTTATACGACGGCGGGGTACAGTACTACCCTGTATTTGACTCCTTACGAACTAGAAACCGGTCACCAACTCCAGTAACCTAGGCGCAGCCTACTCCAATTCAAGATCCATCGGGAGTATAAGACGCTTTCACCTCCTTCATGGGACTACCTTTTGGCAGATCAGAAGCGCAATGCGTGCATGGATCTGTATCTGCAAACTCAAACTTGGGCTGCCGCATCCGGCTGGGATAGATCGCCCCCGGAGTTAAGTAGAATCCGCCCTGGTATGACAAACCGTGCCGATCTCGAGCTGCTCCACGCTCCACGATTTCGGTCACCGGGCGTCTCTTATCACAAGGAACGGAGCCCTTCGTAAGTATTACCTTGAATATTACCAGAGAATATTACAAAGTCCACATGGCTAGCTAAATAATAGAGGGAGAGAGATACTCGTAGTCCACCACGGTTCCCGAATGGAAGGCTTCGTTAGCATTAAGCTTATGGATTTGTAATACACTGCAATCCTTCACTTTTCGGGCGGGCCCAGCTTAAGCTGTACGATGGACGGTAAAGCCTCAGTTATTTACTGACGGAGCTCACCCGGACGTCAGTTGTCCGTAAATGGGTATGTATCGTGGAAAGGCTCTTGCCTTTAGTTTGCAGTAGAGCAAGTCGAGATCCACTTTCAGAATTCAGGCTATTTCGAGAAAGAAAGGTAAAAAAAGCCATTATAAAATTATGACTTCATAATGGCTGATACGCGTATATACACTCGTAACCTTCGTAACTAGTAGCTATCAAGTATAGTAAGCAACAGGTAAGCAGCTCGCCCTGGATTCTTTGGACGGGGGCTACAAGCTGTGTTCTGCTGCTATTGGGGCCATCGAACGTGGGGGTGACTCGGTCTCATGCTGTAGTTCCTTTGAGCTGTACGAGAAGCCCCCAAGTTAGCCCGCCGGGTCACGGATACCAGCAGAGCAGTCAAAAGGCCAATTGTCTATATCTAGATTGCAGAGCTATGACGGGTAGCCGCAGGGCGGTCGCCGGAGATTCCGCACATGCTAGTTAACGAGGGGAGGTCCACGTACTTCGGATTGGACTCGAATGGAAAAATGCCGGCGGACAAAAAGTAAAGCGGGAGGAGGAGGCTTTAATAGTAGTAGAAGAGGGCCAGAATAGATCGGCGAGGCCCTCAAGGGATCGGTAATCTGCTACGGTGTAGGTAAAGTCGTTGAAATCATCGAAACCAACTTGATACTTGCAGTAAAATACCAAAGCCCAAAAAAAGGCCCCACCACCAAGCTGTTGGAAAGAATGCCGCTTAAAGTACCTGGGTGCGCCGGAACCTGCTGGATCTCAACATCCTCCTCCTTTTACATTCTCTCTCTTTCATCCCCCCTTGGTTATCGCATAGATACCCCTTGGAAAGATGGCTAGCATTATCTCACAGTCGGATGAGAGGCAGAACGCCGGGTACGTTTTCTGACATCATTTGCCCCCCTCCCTTCACCTGGACTTCCCCTCCAGACATCGGCACCTGTCAAATCTCCCTCCCTGCTCCTCCAAAGTCGATCAAAGTCGAAGCGTTATCTAGAGATTCGGGCTCAAGTTTCTCGGGCGCTTTTGATCTTTGCGCTTCCAAATTGGACGTCTCCTGCTAGCCATTGTCCTTATCCGGCGCTCCCCCGCTTAAGACCCCGCCCATCGGCCTGCTATCGGCCTCCCTGCAAAACTTTGCCTTCTTCATCTCGCGTGCAGTCAGACTAACAATGGCTTTCAACCCCAGTACAATTGAGCTCAAGGATGACACCCTCATCGTTGTGCTCGGTGCCTCCGGTGATCTCGCCAAGAAGAAGACTGTTCGTGTGCCCAGGCCCCCATATAGAAGTGACCAAAGCTAACATTTCTCTCAGTTCCCTGCTCTGTTTGGCCTCGTATGTCATGACAATCCTCGATAACGCAACCCTTGCCTCTGGTAACCCGTTCTGACATTATGATAGTTCCGCAACAAGTTCCTCCCTAAGGATATTAAGATTGTCGGATATGCGCGGACAAAGATGGACCACGAGGAATACTTGAAGCGCGTGCGCTCGTACATCAAGGTTCCGACCAAGGAGATCGAGGAGCAATTAGACCAATTCTGCAAGCTTTGCACCTACGTCTCCGGACAATACGACCAGGACGACTCGTTCATCAACCTCAATAAGCACCTCGAGGAGGTCGAGAAGAACCGCCAAGGAAAGGAGCAGAACCGCGTGTTCTACATGGCCCTGCCCCCCAGTGTTTTCATCACTGTCTCAGAGCAATTGAAGCGCAACTGCTACCCCAAGAACGGTCTTGCTCGGATCATTGTGAGCTTCGTTCCCTTTCCCGCTTCTTCTCAGGCGCTAATCCCCGCCCCAGGTCGAGAAACCCTTCGGCAAAGACCTTCAGAGCTCGCGCGACCTCCAAAAGGCTTTGGAGCCCAACTGGAAAGAGGAGGAGATCTTCCGTATCGACCACTACCTGGGTAAAGAGATGGTTAAGAACATTCTCATCCTCCGTTTTGGAAATGAGTTCTTCAATGCTACCTGGAACCGCCACCACATCGATAATGTTCAGGTAGGCTCTCATCGGTTATATGGTAGAGTTGAACGAAATCTCACATTTATTTAGATCACATTCAAGGAGCCTTTCGGCACTGAGGGCCGTGGAGGCTACTTCGACGAATTTGGCATCATCCGTGATGTCATGCAGAACCGTATGTCCTACCTAAGCACCTGGTTAGATTGATTGCTAACTTCTTCAGACCTTCTGCAGGTACTGACTTTGCTCGCCATGGAGCGCCCCATCTCCTTCTCCGCCGAGGATATCCGTGACGAAAAGGTCCGTGTTCTGCGCGCCATGGATGCTATTGAACCCAAGAACGTCATTATTGGCCAATACGGCCGCTCCCTGGATGGCAGCAAACCCGGGTATCTCGAGGACGACACCGTGCCTAAGGATTCTCGATGCCCTACCTTCTGTGCCCTTGTTGCCTACATTAAGAACGAGCGCTGGGACGGGGTGCCCTTCATCCTGAAGGCTGGCAAAGGTGCGTGGCGCGATCAATGCTGTTTTGACCCCCGCTAATACTGCATAGCCCTTAACGAACAGAAGACCGAGGTCCGCATTCAATTCAAGGACGTCACATCCGGTATCTTCAAGGATATTCCCCGTAACGAGCTTGTCATCCGTGTCCAGCCCAACGAGTCCGTTTACATCAAGATGAACTCCAAGCTGCCCGGTCTATCCATGCAGACCGTGGTGACCGAGCTGGACTTGACTTATCGCCGCCGCTTCTCCGACCTCAAAATCCCCGAGGCGTACGAGTCTCTCATTCTGGACGCCTTCAAGGGTGACCACTCCAACTTCGTCCGTGACGACGAGCTGGATGCCAGCTGGCGCATGTTCACCCCTCTTCTGCACTACCTGGATGACAACAAGGAGATCATCCCCATGGAATACCCATACGGTATGGACCCTCTGATCATCACTCAAGATAGGCCCCCCTGCTAATCTTCATAGGCTCCCGCGGCCCTGCTGTTCTGGATGACTTCACTGCTTCTTACGGCTACAAGTTCAGCGATGCTGCTGGTTACCAGTGGCCCGTGACCAGCATGGCCCCTAACCGCCTGTAAGGGGATAACTTTAATCTAGTGCTGTTTATGACGATATGGGATGCGAAATAAAACGAACAAAATCGTTCATTTTTCTCTATGTTACTTCACTTCTGTTAGCCGGTCGGCCAGCCTGGCGGAAGTCGCGTCACTGGTTCGGCCTCGTCGTCGATTCTTAGAATTGGAGGTTGGGCAATGAAAGACGTTACGCAATATTCCGGCTGGGGTCATATGGAGTTTCTGTAGAGGCGCTGTAGTCCTTGTACTGCTTTTGTAGCAGGCAGCCTCGCAATGGGAGCAGATGTCCCTAGTATCAAGCCCACCTGTTCTATAAATGGCACACGGACTCAGACATGGACTCAGATGCTTCACGCTCCGCGCTCTCCCCCTTCGAGTCCCAATTGCGCTGCTAACAAGAAGGCACGGCTGCGATTCCTCCGATTCGGGAATCCTAGTCTAACAAGCCTAAAGAATTTGTAACTAACTATGAAACCCGGATGCCGGATCGACATACCTTGACGTGTCAGGGGCGGGTCTTATCGCCGTGACCCGCAGCCCGCATGGACCAGGTCGTTTTCCTCTTTGTCTCCGTATTTCTCTCCCCAGAATATCCAGATCGCCCTCACCTTTCGACGCCCATTGCGGCAGGCTTGTCTCGCCTTTGAATAAGCGCCACTAATTCGCTTTTTCTGTCCGCCGCCGCGGCGCCCTGCTCCTGCCTGGAAAATATATCCACCCTTCCTCCCGCGTCGCTCTCCAAGCCTGTAAACCCAGGCCACCATTCGTGGTCTCGTGCTCCTCCTGCCCTGCACATACAGCACCCAATCCCGGCCTAGATCCTAAATCCATTCTGTCAATTCCGGCATCGAAACGCGGCGCATCTCCGCCGGGATCCTCGCTCGCTGCAGCAACGCCCCTTCCCACAAAACCGCGTTTGTTACCTAGAACCCTCCGGACACCCCAGGCCTCAGTTCCCTCGCGTTCGCAGACCCGGGGGCCTCCTCGATACCTCCGTTCGGAGCCATTCCGTCCTATACGCTAGCTCGAGCCGTGACACGGAAGAGTCCACGCGCATGCCAGCGCGCGCATAGCAGACATGCCGCAGGCTGCCAGATGGGCCGGGACCCCTTCTATCAGGGGCCGGTCAGAAGCGACGCGCATGGCTCTATTGACATTTAGTCTGGTTGGATTGCAGTGCGTATATTCCTGATTCTTTGCGAGGTTGTGCCGGCGAAGATTTGTTTATTTTTCCCTGTCGTGTTCAATTTTTTTTTTCTCCGCCGGGCGGACCTATAGGTTCAATTCTCGACTGACAGATTTTGGTGGATTTTTAGGTTTACCTGGGGTATAGAAATGACTTGTAAGTGTGCAAACCTATGGGGAGTTTGTTTTTTTTTTTTTACACTTTTTTACTTTTTTTGGTTTTTGTCCCTGCCCAGGCTCTCGTGATAAGTTTGGCAGATGGCTGACCATGCTCCTGGCGTGATCTAGATTGTACACCGTACCTTCTCCAGCTCGGGTTGACAAAATCGAAGACGTCGCTGGTGTGGATTGCTGGACCGATCTCTGGCCTGATTGTCCAGCCTTTGATTGGTGTTATTGCGGATCGATCGCGCTCCAGATATGGGCGGCGGAGGCCGTTCATGGTTATTGGGTCTTTTGTTGTGGCATTGTCGCTCCTCCTTCTGGGTTGGACGACGGAGATTGTTACATGTTTCATCTCAGATCCGGAGAAGGTATGGCGGTGATTTTCCCCAGGACCCAAAGGTGAAGGAGGCTGACAAGTTTGCAGGCTAAAAATGTCACGATTGCTTTGGCTGTTCTAAGTATATACGCTGTGGATTTCTCGATAAACGTTGGTGAGTGGGACTGACTGACTCGGGCTGGATGGCGCTTACTGTGACTAGTGCAAGCGTGTTCTCGCAGTTTAATTGTGGATACATTGCCGATCCCTTCGCAACAAGAGGGATCTGCTTGGGGTATGTCTGATCTCGGGGTTTACTCTCTGGCCATATCTGACAATCAATAGCTGGGCGGATGTGTGCCATTGGTCAACTTATTAGTTATGTGGTCGGCGCCATTGACATGGTGAGCATTTTCGGAAGCTTCTTTGGTGATACACAGTTCAAGCAGATGACGGTCTTCGCTGCCCTCTCTTTAATCGGCACGGTGGCCGTCACCTCTTACTCTGTGAAAGAACGTGTTCTGATTTCAGCGAGGTTTGTCATTTAATTCGCTAATCAGACTGGACTCATGTACTAATACTGCATCGCAGAGGCTCCGAGGGCCAGGCTGGTGCTATTCAAGTGATACAGCAGCTCTTCAAGACAACGCTTGAGCTCCCACCCCGAATTCAGGCTATCTGCTGGGCTCAGTTTTGGGCATGGATTGGTATCGTTCTTGTATCTTTCAATTCACATTTACCTGCTGACTCGAATAGGATGGTTCCCGTTCCTTTTCTACAGTACCACATGGGTTGGCGAAACATACTTCCGCTATGAGGTACCCAAGGATGATTTAGCCAAGGCGACCGATATGCTCGGCGAGGTTGGCCGTGTTGGAAGTCTCTCGCTCACCGTGTTCTCATCCATCACATTCCTCAGCTCCGTCCTGCTTCCATTCTGTATACTGTCGCCTGACTCCAAGCGATCTCGATTCACACCTCGGCCTTCTGTCCGCGTGGCAGCCGTCCTCAAAGCTATGAAAGCTTTCAGACCAGATCTTCAAACAGCTTGGATGATCTCACATGTCGTGTTTGCCGCTACCATGATCTTTGCGCCCCTCGCACACTCTCGCGCATTCGCAACTTTGCTGGTCGCTGTCTGTGGTATTCCCTATGCAATCAGTGGCTGGGCACCGTTCGCTTTTATGGGGAGGAAATCAACAGGCTGACAATGAACGGTGCCACAGCGCCTGGCATCGCAGCCTCGTCCACCAGATCTGGTGTTACCATGATCACATCCGCCAGCCTGCGCGCCAACGCAGCCGCAGACACGGAGCTGGAGGTCCTCCGACTGAACCACCGAGACGAAGACAGCGACATGGATGAAGAAGAACAAGACTCCAGCATCCCATCAACAGGCGAGTTGGCGGGAATCTACCTTGGTGTGCTGAATGTATACACTACCCTGCCACAATTTGTTGGTACACTTCTCAGCTGGATCGTATTTACCATTCTCGAACCGGCTGCAAAGCCCAGCAAGGATGGCGAAGGTCCGGATACGCAGTGGATGAACCTTGACAAGGAGAGGCCGAATGCTATTGCGATCTGCCTCTTCATCGGCGCAATCAGTGCCCTCGTTGCAGCGGAAGCGACGAGGCGATTACGCTATGTTTTATGAGTCGCAGCTGATGGAACGCGCTTGTTTGCTAGCCGGAGATTTCGGTGTTGATAAATCTCCTTTATACCCCCTGACTACCATGCTTCTACCGGCCTGTCTGTACAGTTGACTGGGCCTGGTGGTCCATCGTGGACAGCTGCATATAATCATTGTAACGATCTAGTAATTGTAATGAGCATGAAAATATTCTCAGTGTTGATTGCGTATTTCCCCAGCATTGGCAATGATGTTGGGTGCTTTCATCTCACCCTTCTCAATTCAAACCCACCGTATCCCTGGTGCTGTTTAGTTGCTTTCCTCGCATGCCCTTTCCTACAACCTCTGGATTCTTTCTTTCTACCCAGTAAAATACAGGTCTACATTCGCACAGGAGTATAGGTGCCAAAATCCCAATCCTAGTCGAGACTAACGCTAGCACACTGTTCACCTATGATCAAGAGCATCTCATACAGCGCTAACAGAGAAATCCACCGTAGCACTAGCTGAACACCGCATATACGTGTCCACGATATACAACTGCTTACCCTGAAATCATCATATTCGCTATCCTGAATAAGCACACACCAACATTCAAAGCTATTTACCCCGCGCTTCATCCGTCTAGAGATAAAGTCCTTACATAGCCTCCTGCTGCTTCGCACCCTCTGCAGCAGCCAAATAAGGCACGCGATCCTTAACGTAAAGCTCTAAATCAATCTTGCCACCGAGCTTCGCCGCCCCATTGTCAAGCCCACCAGCCTTGATGACAGTGGAATCAGGCATAATCTCCAGCTCGGTGTACAGGCTGGAGCCACACCCGGAGCAAAAAAAGTGTTTGTTGATCTTTCCACTATTTCCGGTGACATCGTAGGTGCTCGGGGTACCTGGGCGATTACTCAGATCTGCTTTGTGGACTCTGGCCGAGGGAACATACCCTTGGTCACCTTGAAGCTGGAGCGGGGGACGAGCGCATTGGACGTGAAGGCACCGCCGGTCCACTTCAATATGTAAGTTCACGAGAGGAAACTATCAGCGGGCACGGCCAATTACCTTCTGGCAGTCAGTGCAATGGCAAAGGGCGGAGGTATATTGGTCCACTGGGAAGTGTCAGTGGGCATCAAGGGTGGAGAAGTGTCGAAATATAGACTCACCGTCTGCGGAGTATTGGATACTGCCGCACAAGCAGCTGCCGGTGATAGTCATGTTGTGCTATAGATTGGATGTGTACCTTGGGGGAATCGGGAATGTGGGAGACACCACCCAACGTTTCTTATAGAGACCGCTGTTTGATCTGCCGCTTTTCAAAGCCCGAGGATATTCGGCAATTTACCCCGCAATTGATCGCACAGACTGGGTTTTAACTAGATTTCTTGAAGCTTAGGGCTTAGCCACTGGTGTGCCCATTGGGTTCTTGGGAGACTAAGGGGTGGGGGCTTCATCGGTGCTGCGAGAATGCATTACTTGATTGAGCGAGCACCCGGAAAGGACGGGGGTTAAATCATCATGCAGTGCTAGTGCCCTTGGTAGCGGATTGGTGCGGCCTTATGCTGCGATTCTGGGTGCTTTCTATCACGTTGACTGCTTGGAGTGTTCTGTATGCTGGGAGTGGGTTGTGCATGGGCATGGACCAATTCTTCGTGAGATTGTTAACTTGAATGATAGCCAGTCTCTATCGAGGCAATGGGAATTGAAGGGAAGCGACAGGGGGTCTGAAACCTAGTCCGACCCTACTTGGTCCCACTTGGACGACAAAGACAAGTTGCCTCTTGAGATATTCACTGCATTGCTCGAAGTCAGCCGTCTCGATTGGAGGTTTACTCTGTAACGCACTCAGTTGACATAATATCTTGGCATTGATACACAAGCCGGTATGTACATGTCCGCAGGTAGCATGAACGCCGTATCCTCCAAGCCAACAGACAAGAGAGTAATTAAAGATAGAACAAGAAGATCATCGACAGGAGGAAAATTCATAAACAACCCAGCCGATAATGACGAGTAGAGATCAGGTCCAGTACTCGGTGAATAGTCAACCTTATCACAAGAACACAAAGAAAAAAGAGGATCGAAGGGAAATGGGAAATGAATAAAAGAAAAGGAAATGGGAATCCAAGTAACAAGATCAGAGCCGGGGTATAGAGAAGAGCATAAATCCTTGACTCAAACCAAATAAAAGATAAATTGAGAGATGAGGGAGATCGCACGGCGAGATATCAATCAAGTCGGAAAAGGCTTTTCAGGGCGTTTCAGGATACATATGCTAGGATTTGGGCTTTTTATTCGCCGTATCCGCCCTTGCCCATTGTCTGGACTCTTCCGTTTCTTGTCTTGTTCGTCTTCCCGCGAGAAGCTAGGCCCGCTTTGTACTGCGGGTGTGGGGAAGGTCAATGGACTGGGCAACAAGTTGGAGTCAGGGCCCGAGCGGCCGAAACCCCATTCAGGGAAAAAGCTGGATGGCGATGGTAATAGGGCATCTGATACGAAACGGCTTGGCAGTGCAGATATCGGCGTCTCTATGTTATTCGAGTTGTTGCCGTTATTAGCTGACGCTCCGTTATTGCCATACGCATTGCCTGATTGAGTCGCAGGAGGTGGTGGGCGAGCGAAAGGATTGGGCGGACCTTGTGCCCCAGCGCTAAGTATTGCCCCAGCCGATGGTGATGGAGGCGGTAGCACCACGCTAGTAGGTGGATTTTCGTTATTCCCTTTAGCAGGAGTGCTAGTTCTGTTACCTGCCGAGTCGCGATCTGACGACTCAGCAGTGGCACTGCCCCGGTCCGAATTCTCACTAGGAATTTGGACTTTCAATTGCGGACGCTTGGAATTGAGTGCGCCACTATTCGTGCGCTGGGGTGGCTTCAGGTCTGGCGTAGATGAGATCGATTGAGTACGAGTAGGTTCCGGTGGTGCGCTAATATTTGACGGCCTGGAATCTTCTGGTGGTTCGACTTTCGTCGGAGGCCCGCGTGGAGCCTCATACACCGGGGCCGGTCCTCCAAAGTGCCGTGCAAGTACAGAGCCTCGGTCATCGATCGGAGTGAAAATACTGTGGGATTTCGATGTCTTCGGCTGCGGCGGTGATTGACTAGGATCGGGTCTCATGCCAGCATTCATATGGTCGGAGTTCTCGACAGGGACAGAGCGATCGTGGTGTGGTGGCTCGTGAGCAAAGGCAGGTGGCATGGACCCTCTGTTCTGTTCAGCGATGTATGTCTGTTGAACCTGCGGGACGGGCGGAGGCCCTTGAGCCATTGCCAACTGTTGTGGCCCCCCCGGCATGTGGATGTTGTAAATGTGAGAAATGCTGCGGTTGGTGAGACATCTGCGGGGGCAGACCATGTGGATGATGAACCGACTGAGGAGGAGTGCCCTGCGGTCCCGGGTGGCCGTACTGATGGGGAAATTGACCCGGCCGGGCTTGATTCATTGGACCGTGAACGTTGGGATTGTACATCGAGGGATTAGACATATAGGCGAAACCATTCTGAGGGGGGGGAGTAGCATGCTGCTGAGGCCCCAGGTTGGAGACTCGACGGACGTGATTCCTGAGATGATGGACGGGAGAGGTTCTGAGATTGGGGTGTACCGTGTCGCGTTATAGGGAGACCGTTCGGGATCGGGGGAGACGCAGAAGGAGCATGATTGATGTGCTGGAAACCAGGTTGTTGTAGATGAGGCGGAACTGCGCTCTGGGTTTGAACAGCTTGGATATCCTCGGGGGCTGGGGTCATATCATCTTCGTCATCGTCGTCGTCGCGCTTGCCGGAGAAGTCATCCGGGCCTTTATGCTCGTGCGGGCCACCGAACTGTACAAAAATCATTAGCACTGTCTTGGAAAAACAACAACCTGGAGCACAGCATACATATTGATACCGACCAAGGGCATCGTGCATATCACATGAAGAATATTCATATAATTTCTTGTTTTGGCCGAAGATGATAACCGCGACATCGACCGAACAGAGGACAGCCAGCTCATGCGCCTTCTTGAAAAGACCGCCCCTTTCTCTTCAAGAACGTGCTGGACAGAGGTTGATTAGACTACGAGTAAAGCAGAATTTCTCCGGTAGCACTTACACCGAGCGATTGCGATCATCTTTGATAGCCTTAATCTCGATCTTCCTGCGGCCCATCTTGAATTACGAGCGCACGATTTGCGCGATATGGGAAAACAAGAAGGAATCGCGCCGGGATGCCGTGTGTTTTAGCAGTTCAGGCGATTCCGGACAAAGGACTAGAATACTACCTAGGCTGGGTGGATGGGGACGTGCGACCGAAGTGGTACGTGTGGTTTCGAGTCGCGCGATCGATCACCCAAGTCTCAGAAACAATGTTGGCTTCGACAGCCCCAGGAGAACCCACGCGACCAGGGTTCGTGGTCCAGGTGGACGGGGAGTTGGGAGTTGGAGAAAGGGCTCAAAGGGGAGCCACAGACGCGTGCCCGTGGAGAACCGATGAGGGGATTTGATAATGTTGGTGATGCAGTAAGTAAGAGTTCTAAAGATAGAATCACTCGAGGTTTAAAAAAAAGGGAGGGGATCAAGTAAGCCCCGTGGGATCCTCAGGTGTCAAGCACGCTAATTTTAGACCGCATCGGTAATCTTACTTCAGCCAATCACAGCGAGCCATAGTGCGATTCACCTGCATCACAGTGGATACCAGAGCCAGCCAGCTCTGATTGGCTCGCATTTCCCCTGTACGAGGCGCCTAATCCAGGATACCGCTAACACGGTTTCAATGCTCGCTTCGGATCACTTTCAATCTTCACAGAGCGTCCATGGATGCGATGTCTTCGGAATGGCCGACTTGACAAAGCCCCTTGAGGCAAAGTCTGTCATGCTCTGACAAAGGACTTGGGGATTTATCTCCCGTCCTTTGATAGCAAAATGCTGCAATCGACACGTCAACCGCATATATTGGGCCATTGATTCTGGCATTGCTTTAGAAACAATCAACTTCCCTTCGCTGATAGGACATGGCAAGAGCCTGACTGGAAAGAAAGTTGAATTCCAAGCCCGTTCAATTTTGAAAAGTAATAAAGCTCGGCGAGATCTCGGCGAACATAGCATAGTATGCTGCCATTATGCCGATAGGGGGATCAGATGAAATGGACCTGGAAGGACCCATCGCGATAAGATAACATGCGCATACTCCACGTGGTCACCCAAGCGCAAAAAAACATTTTCTGTTTATGATCGTAGTTTCTCACAAATTGAATAGATTCGTAGTGCCCAGAAGCAGGTAACATGTTCCACGACCGAGGCTCTGACTGTACGATGGGCAGATAGGGCTCGGAGGATCGGGCGCCCTTTGAACAGCATGGGCTGTCCTTCCCGTTTCTGTTGTCTGATCTTGAGCAACCCCACATACGCTTCGAGTTTCAGGATGTTGGAGGCTGATTCCAAGCCCTCTAGGACCCATGTACAACCAAGTATGTGTTATCAAGCTGGGCCTAAGTAAAACAAATCACCATGCTGGGCCCCCTGTACATCCCATCTCCCAGCAAGAGCTGGTAGAGCGGCGTCTCGTCTCCTTCTAACGGCTCTTAAAAACGCCCGGGCCCCACCCGAGGGGTTCTATGAACAATTACATCGTCATGATCGTAAGTCGGCCTATGTCAGACCCAGAATCACTGCCACTATCCGGCTTTCGTCGCGTACCCAAAACTACCTGACCACGTCAACAAATAGGATGTTGGGTGCCGTCGGGTCAGGTTCGCGACAATCCTGAAACCAAGTTATCCCATTCTGTTTCAACTTCCAGAACGAAAGACCCCTGGATTCGCTCTGCGCAGGAGCAAGCTTAGGAGTTTTGCGCGAATGACATCCTTCGATGGAGTATACAACATACAGAAGATGAAGATATTCCACTAAATAAACCACCCCATTCATGTGATTGGCTCCCCACACACAGCTGACCTGTCACACTCCCGTAGAGCAAGTACATTACTCTATCTCCGTACATCCTTCGTGATCTGTAAGCGCAAGTACCCAAGAGCTCCGACTACGTAGATATGCCCAACAGGGGATCATCATAGGCAGATAGTCCAACCGGCTTCAGCCTGGTTCCGCTAAGTATCAATTGTGCCTTCATTTATATGGGGCTTCTAGGATACCGGGAACCTTGGATTGCCCAAACTCAATGATCCCATGGCCAAATGATGATCAACATCGCGATAATCCACTCGGAAGCCAACTGTGCACACACCACCCTGGTCCACCACCGCCTAGATTAGCTCTCCCGTGCGATTGGTACCTATTGATGTTTCAAAGAGTTGCCTGGTTTAATTCCGAGCTGCTAAACGACCTTTTGAGAGCTCTGGGGCTAGCCAGAGCGGTAGGTTCCAGCTTTAAGTTCTTTGTGTGGGCGGTAGAGGCCATTCCTAGGCTAGTGTGGTCTCCCGCGCCAGGACATTTTTTTTTACTAGTTACCCCTGAAGCCTTTCTTCCCTTTCTTTTGTGGTCCTGCGTTTGTCTCGTGCTTTCTAACTTGCTACGTTCCTTTCCTTCCGGTTCTTAGAATCTTCACCCCACGCGCTCCCTCACTCCTTTTCTCCGTGGCACTCTGGACCAGGGGGGACCCCTTCGTTTACACCCTGAGCCTTTTCTCCGGGGCGGCAGGACTTCCCCGGGCCTCTGGCCTTGTTCCTTCGCTTCTCTTCGCTTTCTCTCCGATCTCTGATTCCTTGTTAGTCAAGTTCGCACCCAAGCTCGGTTCATTTCGCAAACCATCCCACTAACGTCATTTGTTGACCAAGACCCCTCGAAATCTTTCCCCAGACTTTATCCCCGAACCACGTTGAGACGCGCGCGCGCGTCGAACACCACTCAGCCAATTAGCGTGGTCGCGTGAATCCTCCGACGATGTCGTTCTTCTCTCGAGTCTTTCGGGGCAAAGACTCCAGCGCCGCCAAAAAGCAGGCCGCACCCGCCGTGACCAGCGAGCCTGGCCCCGCGAAGCCCAAGTGGACCGACGCCTGGCAGCGTACTGAGGTTGCTCCCGAGGAAGTGCAGGACCTCATCCGGGGTTGTTCGCACGAATTGAAGGCTCGAGGTAGGTACATTCCTATGTCAACCATGTGGTGGCACGGCTACCCACACGCATTTTTTCCGAGTGCTGATCATTCGCCCCTCTAGCGCTCGACACTCCCTTCTTACTCCTTCCTTTCCGGCCTAGCTCCGATCCGAGTGCTGCGCGTACTTTCATTCGAAACTACTTTACCCAGTCATTTGAACAAGGGGCTCCTGTGAGCGGCGATGGGTTGACACAAGGAGTTGCGGCTCAACGAGCCTATGGTATGGAAAACATCGAGAATGGGTGGTGAATGTAACTGTTGTAAGCTTACAAAGTCGCAGGTTCTTTGCAGTGTCTTGAAGTGGTGTTGGAGCCGATTGCCCGGCGGTGTGGTCACTTGGGAAGCTTATGAATTGTTCAAGGTTGGAGAACAAGGTACGAACTGGAATGTGGAGATGAAGCACGGCCTGTGCTGAGACCAAACTTAGATTCAGATTTGGCGCGCGATGCTTTCTCGACATTTATACCCATCAGTGTCGACTCGGATGCTCGCACCAAAATTATCTTTGACTTTTTCGATCTTCTCGCCGCTATTGCTGCCCATGGAAAATCTAACGGTCTCGGTGGGCGCAAACTGTCCCGTTACGCTGGATGGTGGGCGTTCGAGCACAATGACACGGGGAATGGCTTTGAAGCTTCCTACAAAAACTGGGCTGCGTAGGTCTGCACCGCTGATTTGAGACACGCTCATGCTAACAATACCAGCGCGGCCGATGCCACAAGCCATCTTTTCTTTGCTTATTTACGTTCACTTACTCCTGATGTGTCGCGTGGGGTCAGTGGTATTTCCAGTCTACCAATCTCCCTCAAGTCTCTCGTCCAGGCCACCGAGTATCCACCGGAAACCCCGACCCTCCTACAGGTCACAACTACTAAAGTTGTCATGATTGTTGATACGGTCTCTCCTACCCCCTTTGCCCTGCTGCGCCGGGCCAAGAACTTTGAATACCGCGACGACCACTGGCACCTCCAAGAATTTGCCAACTACGAAGACCCGATCAAGGCACTAACCGACGAGTGCGTGCGTGTGTTGAGGTGCATATCCTCAACGAATGAAAATAGTGTATCAAGCTCGAAACAATCGACCAGCTTAGGCGATGCCTCTTGGTCTCGCTTCGAGGACATTGGCTTTGGAGGAGCAATTGAATCAGAGCCAGAAGAGGAGAAGATCCCAGTTACACCCAAGCCCGAGTCTATCCTTAGCCACCCTCGGTCGCAGGGTGGAGATTTGGGCCGGCCCACAACTCCATCCTGGGCCGACTTTATGTCGTCTGGTTTCTCCGATGAGAATAGCCTGAAAACCCCAGTTGTCGGACCACTTTTGCTCCCTCCTGACAAGGTCCTGCCTCCTATTGCTGCTGCCCGAGGCCAGAGCTCTCAATCCCACAAGCGATCCTTAGATGATGAATCTGCCCTCGAACCAGCTGAGCTTGCTAGTATCAACACCCTGGACTTGGATGATTCTTTCTGGTGGGTCTGGATCACCAGTCTGTCTGGTGACGAGCCCTCTGCTCGTAAGGCCGTCTTTGGCCGTTGCGCTCTGTTAGAGACTGTTATACGAGATACTAAATGGCTGGTTCTTGAAGAGCAGGTCAAGGGGGCAGCTCCCGAGCCCGAAGCGGGTGCACAACTTGTTGAGAAGAAGCGCTTCTTCAGCTTTGGTAGCCGCAAGGGAGGAAGCAAGCTTGGCCGCAGCAAGTCTTCAGCCAAAAGGGTGAACAATATCGAGGATTCTTACAAGCGTGCCAATAACCAGGCCCCACAAAGCAAGACGAGCATTGGCCCCGATCAACATAAACGCATCCAAGCCGCTGCCGCCGCTCTGCAGAAGAAGCACCGGGAGCAAGAGGATGAGGCTAATGCCGCTGCAGCTGGCCCCCGTGACGCAAACTACAACTCCAAGACCAACTCCGTGATGACTCTTCAACCAGGCATCGTTAATGAAGCCTCTTCTGCCATGAAGTGGGCTAAGGCTTACGACAAGGATGCTTTCCGTGCCGCGTACCTCAGTGATAACCGCGCTGGAACTGGCGCACAAGGCGAAGAAATTGCTGCGCAGAAACCTTCTACCCCTGCCGCTCCTCTTCCACCAAGCACTCACAATAAGGCAACGCCTGCTCCTCAAAAGGATGCCGCTGCGACAGCAACCCCTCTTCCACCATCTCCCGAGCCCCCAAAGAAGGATTTGAAAGAACCCCTTCCGGTGTCAAAAATGGAGGACAAGAAGGAGGCGCAGAAGGAAGAGAAGATAGAGCAAAAGGCCGAGGAGAAGGTCGAAGAGAAGCAAGCGCCCAAGGAGAAGGAGCTCAAAGCAGTTGAGCAATCCGGCGAAGCTGAGCCCAAGCCTGCGGAAGAGTCAACCAAGAAGCCGCAGAAGAAGATCCGCACTACAGGCGGCTTGAAGCACATGTTCACCACGAGCAAGAAGAAGACCGAGGCGCCCCCTATGAAGAGCACAGGCGCCAGTGAGGCATCTGTCGCCGCGGCTCGCGCCGCTTTGGAAGCTAAGGCCAAGGCCGCCCAGGAGCCGGCCGCTCAGGAGCCAGCTTCCTCTCCCAAGAGTGCCTTGAAGAAGAAGCCTCTCCCTGAGACGCCCGCCACCCCAGAGGCTCCTGCTTCCGCGAAGCCTACGGAGCCTGCGGCTCCTAAAGAGCTCAAGCAGCCCGCTCAAGAGCAAACGCCAGCTCAGATCGTGGGAAGCGGGAGTCCCCCTCAAACCAGACACGCTGTTGAGCAGGATGCTCTCTCCCGCGTCGGCACCAATGAACGTGATGCTGCCGACCAGGAATTTTCCAAATTCGACCAGGGTCCCTTAGTCGAGCAGCCTGCGTTCGTCCCCGAAGATGAAACCCCCGTGTCTTCTCTGCCGGCCGTTGAGGATGAGGTCCCAAAGACCCCAACGAACGGTCATGCAGAGAAGGCCGAGGCCACGCCCGAGTCCCAGCCCACGCCTGCCTCTGCGGACCGATGGGCGCAGATCCGCGAGAACGCCGCTAAGCGTACTGCTGCCGCTCAGGAGGAGCAGCCGAAGGAGGAGGATGAGCCCCGGGTCAGCCAGTCAGACCGCACCGAGGATGACGGCGACACCAGCGGCGAGGAGAGTGAGTCGTCTATCGCCCAATACACTCGAAAGAAACCCTAGCTAATCTGCTACAGCCATTGAGTCCCGTGTCGCCCGCATCAAGGCCCGCGTTGCTGAACTCACCGGTAACATGGAGGCTGCGCGGTAAACGCCCCAATACACACAGCTCCTTTTCATTTGTGTCATTTTCCTTTCCCATTCGCCCCTATATACCAGCCTCCGCCAACCACAGCGTGGTGCGGGCCAGGCTCCCCTTCCTTTTGCTCGTCGATAATCTACCTCCTTTCCGCCGACCGCGCATTCCTCGGTCTTGCTTTTCGAGCGTCGCCGACCCACGAAATTGCTCTATGACTGATGGACCTTGGTTGTGATTTGTTATATTGTTTATTTTCAGCCGTGTCTTCACGCCCAGTCTGTGGCTGGATCAGATATCCGCTTTTAGTTTTTACTATTTTCTCCCCGGACCATCTATCGTGTTTTTTTTGAGGCATTTGCCTATTTGTGTGTCCTTGCTCTATTCCCCTTTTTGCTCCTGAATATGAATCGCTAGTTCTCGATGGTACACCATGCCCTGTAGTAGCAAGCGGGTTGATGTAGTAACCTCACTGCTACAGTAAACATACTAAATATTCTAGTACCCAGCTTTCGAACATTCGGGTTTACTTATCAGTATCAGGATATTGATGTTTCCATAAAACCAAGTTAATATTCAGAAGTCATAAGCCTCATTACTAACTATTCAGCCTAGGCCAGGAAGAATACGCCTAGATCCCCAAAGCCTCAAGAATCGCCTTCGCAACTCCCGAACCGGAATTAGGGTTCTGACCAGTAATCAAGGGACCGCCAATGCCATTAGTCTTGGAGACGACCACCTTCTCAGCCCAGGGCTCAGCAGCCTTCACATAGCCACCGTCCGACACACGCTGAAGCTCAGTCTCAAGCTCGAAGGGCACCTTGGAGAGCAGGCCAACCTGCTCCTCTTCCACGTTGGAAAAGCCGGTCACGCTGGCGCCGGCAATCAAGGGCTTGCCATCGGGGGTGGTCGCCTTCAGGAAGACGGTGGGACCGTGGCAGACAGCTGAGACGGGCTTCTTGGCAGCAGCGAAGGCCTGGATGAGAGAGAGGGAGGTGGCGTTGTCGGTCAAGTCGAAAAGGGCTATATCATGTTAGCTTGAGTTTGATTATTTGATGTGTAGATCGGAGGGGAACTTACGGCCGTGGCCACCGACGTAGAAGATGGCGTCGAAGTCGCCGGCGTTAACGTCGGAGAGCTTGACAGTGTTCTCCCACAGAGATTTCTGCTCAGCGAGGAACTTTTGGGACACGGGATCCGACTTGAACATCTCTACTGAGCCTTGGTCGAGGGGAGCGGCACCGCCCTTGGGCGACGCAATGGTGAGCTCGGTCTTGCTGTGCAGGACTTCCCAGGGATGGGCAAACTCGGGCTGAGACAGTGTTAGCTAGTGTTCGCGCATGATGCTTTGTGGTTTGATTTGTCGTGCGAAAATAGATAGCAAGGGCTCTTATCCGCTATACCAAACCATAGAGCAATAGCTCGAGGATCAGGTGGCAAAAGCACATACCAAGTACCAGCCGGTCTTCCCAACGCCGGGGAATTCATCGGCAGAGGTGAGAACGATGAGGACCTTGGGGGCCATTGTGATGATTCGTAGTGGTCTTGATGGTAATGTATAAAGTACCTTGTAGAAATTGAGGTCAGACAGGGAGAGGTTGGCTCTTTAAATAATAATTGGGTATTCAAAAAGCTCCATCAGTAAATCGTCATAGTCCTACCCAAAACGGCCAATCACGGCTTGTGATCCTGCAGCTCCCGGCCTGTCAGCCAATGAGCGAGCTGCGTCGATCGCGGGGCATTCTCTACACTTCATCTTCCTTCGCCAACTCCGAAACTCCGCTGTTTGCAGAATCCCGGGCTTGCAACCTTGGTGACTCTGTGGACCCTGACAAATCATAAAATACAATCTCGCTGATATCTTAGAAATCATCACTAAGATAGAGAAGCCCAAGCCGCTGTTGAATGATCGTGACAACCTCGGCCCATTCCCGCATTGCGCCGACCCCGACATCGCCGCAGGCTAGCGCTTTCTATAGAAGCGAATCAGTATACGATCCTGTGTATGCGAATTGATATTGAATGCATTTCCTGCTTGAAAAGATCATCAGAAGGAAGAGAACATACCCCAACCGGCCTAAAGACCTCGAACCAATCCCACCCTTCCAGTACCGCAATCTGTGACTCCGTGACGGGATGCAGCCACATCGCCGTATTCATAGCTGGAAACACGAGAATGCGCTTCTTGTCCTGCGGGCCTTGGCCATCAACTAATCCCGAGGCATCCCAGGCACGAATAATACTCATAAGCAGCGAATCGGAGAACCCGCTCGAGATTTTTGCTAGACTGTTTGCGCTCAGTGGTGCGATGACAAGTATATCGGCCCATTTCCGCAGATTGATATGTAGAATACCCGCGCCCCGCACCCATGACGGATCCCACTCGTCGCTATCACGATAGACGCCATCCACAGAAGGTAGCGCGGCGATTGAGTCTCAGGGTAGGTTGTTCGGCTGATTGGCCGCGTAGAAACTTGGCGGCGGAGTCGCTGAGCACGATACGGATAGAAAGAGATTCGTGGTTTAGAGCTGTTACTATTTGGGGGAGCTTTATTGTTGCTACAGAGCCCGTGCTGTTCGAGATTGTGGTGTTAACCGTGAGTCCTTTCACGTTGGCGACGTATTTCGCCTTCCCGTGGAGGGACATGTGGGGATTACCATGCGAGCAATAGATGGGTCTTTCCGTCTTTCATGGCCGCGGCGACAGCATCCGCGGGTGCTGTTGGGCTGGTTCCCGCCATAACGAAAGCCTGAGACCCTCTGTGAGGGGTATTGGAGCACGCTTGGTGTTGTTAACAAGGTGTGTGGAGCCGCGGAAGTAGAATACGGTGATGGAAACGGCGGGCCGGAGCAACTTTATTTCCGCTGATACCTCCCGGGTACACATCAATAGAAACAGCCCTGGCTACTTTTATTTTCCTGAAGGTGCGCTATGTCTTATGAGTCGCCACTCATGGAACGCTTGTTTATTAGCCGGAAATTTGAGGTTGTAAATCCTTTCCATACCCACTGGCTACGATGCTTCTCGAGGCCTGTCTTTACAGTTGACCGGTGCTAGTTGGTGCATCGTGGATAGCTGCATATAATTATTGTAACGAGCTAGTAATTCTACTGAGCATGGCACTTTTCTGAATGTCAATTTCGTATTTTTCCAGCACTGGCAATGATGTTGGTTGTATTCCTGATATGAGGAGGGTACTCATTCAACTCTATAAGGCCACACTCCAAGAGCGCTCCATAAGCAGCCGATGCGGCTTAAGAAGGGCTTATCCAGGCGCCGGAGTAGAAAGACCATCACTACAGGATTTCAAGATATGTCATGTCTACCTCAACCTGTTTATTGTTTGCGAGCTTCAATACGCTTCTCCTCCGCTCCATCAACACTGGCAACAGGGCCGGCAAGGGTGACGGCATCATTCAAGTTCTCTCCAGTAACACAACATCTAGCCAAAAAGTACGATGCTAATGACCGTAGCCTTATCTAGGATTACTAGCTGCCTTGCTTGCCCCGCCAAGGCATCAGATGCTTCAGCTGCTTATTGGTTGAGAGCTCCAATGAGCGTCTCCTCTCTGTTAGCAACGGCTTCAGCTGCCTTGACGCAATCTTTGCTTTATCTCCGGGGCTTGATATGTCCTCGGCGACAAGTTCATGAGCTTAGCCATGTTACACATCCGCTGAAGGTAAGTTGCTCCAAAAAAAAATTATGATATTGATGTGAAAAGGATATCCTGTGTGAATATCTGTCACGAGCTTCATAGCGAGGTCACCATAGAAATTCGAGCTCTTTCAGCTTGGTTCTCGAATTGTTTCGAGCCACGCAGTCATCGTCATCATACCGTGAGTAGGTAATTCCAGCTGTCAGATATTGGTGACCTGACGGGAGGAATAACTCAGGATCAGTCTAGTCGAGTGCTTCTGCTTTTGGGGCCGGTGCTTGGAGGTACGGGGTGTTTTGACCATCTTGGTATGACCTTTCGCATATTCGAGATAGGCAGGGCAATTAGAGAGTATGAGTCTTAAAATTGGGTATTTCTCAAACGTGGTGAAAAGGGAAAAGAAACATAAAAGAAAAGAAAGAGGGAAAGGGAGAATTCCATTGTAGGTTGGAGGTTCGCCGCTAGCCTGTGTCAGTCCTGTATCGTGGAACCTGGGGCGCGGAGGTAGCCTGGGGTTGGCTGAAACGCCGTTGGGGAATTAGGTGCTAGGGGCCCATCATACGTTGGCGGTATTGACGATAAACTTTGGCGCGATGTTCGACTGGGTCCTTCCAGTCTAGGTACGTCATTTCAAGTTCTGGACGAAGCTTGCCATTGACGTGGTTTCAGTCGGGAAAGGTACGTCGCGGCGAAGATCACTTTCGATACCCTGCCGGATGTGGATCCTCTGGTCATAGAGGGAAGTGTGTGCCCAAGGCCTCTGGCTAAGCATAGCACTCGCTGGACATACACACGATTGGCGTGCCATCACGAATATCGTGTCTAGTGTAGGTTAAGGTATTTACTGGTAGAGGAGGTTCGATGTGGGGAGCGAAACTTAGTCTCAAGGCCATCCGACGGGCGAATCTACGGGGCTGGAGCGTACAACAGCTGCAACTTTCGATGAAGCTTTTGCCGATAGCTTGTTGTTTGAGTTTAGAGTGATGATATGAAATTTGATACCCGAGGCAATGACGAGACGGATTAGTTTGGAATTCTTTGCGAACGACTTTGATCAAGATAAGCCGAATGAAGGTCTCTGGATAGTCGACATCCCTAAAGAGTCCGACCCTTCGGCACCGAAGACTGACAGTGGCGATGGAAGTAGTAAATGCCACCTCCACGGTTCCTTCCAAAGATGCTAGAGCTTGCCCTATATAGATTCTCAGTATGATACGGCCTCAATTGTATTCGGCAAATACAAATCATATTTGATGCCAGCCAGCAGTTTTCGAGAATATTTTGACCCCTCGATTTGGCCAACTGTTCTGCTTCGATCCTTGATCTCTTTATGGAAGCACTGGAATCCGTCACAGCAACTAGGGAGAATAGCCGACGAAGTCCGAATGCACTTGTAGACAAATCTGACGCACAGACGTTGAGATGGACAAAGGTATGGCCAGGGGGCCCAAGACATTGCACATTCTCTTTTTGACGAGCTTCCTCCGGAGATTGTTGCCAGAGAACTACAATGGGGGGCAAAAGTCTGTGTGCATAACCGCTTCACCTACCCCATCAAATACTGATGTATATTCATGGTCACATATCCTACACCACCAACCCTTATGGGATCATAATAAAATTCAAAATACTGAATTTTCAGGTTCATATACAGAGTTATCTTGCTTAATATTCTATATAATAATCTTGGTTTGTATACAATCTATCCATCCTTCTTCCTATACTCAATATTAACATATCAATCTTCGTCTGGTCTAACTTATCCTATATAATATGAATATACTCTTTAAAGTAAGCCCGGTCCTCTCCAGATATTTCTATGTATATAATATCTTATAATATATAAAAAAAATTCAATATTTTAGTCGTTTCCAGACTAGTTTAATAGGATTAAGATCAGGCGAGTATACCAGCCAATCTTCAACATACATCCCGTGCTCTTTAAACCAAACCTGCATATCTTTCGCTATATAGATCTTTTTTTTATCTTGCTAGAATATAATTCCAGATTGATGGCGATCGATGCCATGGGGGAGGTGTAGGAGAAAGAATAAAAATGTGGGTGGTTATTAGGGTGATGGTAATGGAGCCGAGGCACACAGACTTTTGACCGGGTGGTGTACCTCACATGGCTTGTTCCTTTTGAATCAAATCTTCGAATGTGTGTTTTTCGTGAGCTGGGTTCTGGACAAAGCCCAGGTTTTCAAGGCCAGTCAGGCTGGTCAGGCCGACGTATGGCAGGGGCCTGCAAACAAGAAGAAGATTCTGCAGATGGTATCGTCGAACTATACGTAAACGGCGACAAGATATGGGCGCTTCCCATATCTGAAAGCGCGGGCCCGGTTTCTTGATGTATATTGCTTGAAGAATACCAGGTTACACTGGAGCATTTGGCATTTCGTTTTGTCGTGATTGAGCAAGGGATAATGGTGATCGATAGGGCAGTGGTCAGCCAAACAAAGCCCCGTCTTAAGCTATCTGTTCCTCAGCATGGACTTGCCAGCAATCAAGTCCCCCGTTATAAGGACAGGACGGGTTCCAGCAGGCAACAGAAGTGGGGCTTAGTTCGCGCGGCTTTATTGGCCGGAATGAGCTCAACAGGTTGTACAAGCTCGCAATATCGCCTTAAATGGAAGGCCATGACGTAGAAATTGTTTTGCAGAAGCGGACAAGCACAAATCCACGTGGTACACGTGACTCTGGCTCCCCACATTATAGATGCGGCTCTGTGAGAATACCCCACGTGAACCCCGAAGAGATATCACCAAACTATAGCACGCTGGTTTGAACCTGTATACAACTCTCTGCAGTCGGTTTCTTTATGACCTTCTAATTCTCTACCATTTATTAGCTTATCGCTTCTACGTGTTCCCTACCCAGGTATGATTCTCTAATCTGTGTAGACATTTCGAAGATGCGCGCAGTATTGAAAAGGAGTGTACGTAGAACCGTGTACGTAGGACCGAGTGAGCGTGTCTGTCAGGCGACACACAAACCATCTTCAAAGTTCAAAACGAAATCATTTTCCCTTCTCCACAGTTCTTCTCTTGAACAAGTCAGAACAATTTTCAAGGCGTCATTCTCAGTCTTTTCGCACCCATGGTAGGTCTTGAGATAATGTATCCTGGCATAGTATAAATTACTGACGAAATCATTAGTATTGTGAGTAATGCAGGACGCGAAGCCGTTGGACCTCCCAATGTAGGCATCTACAAGCCTACGGGATGGCAGCCCGTAACATGGCTCAAAATCTCGCGAGAGATATGGCCGTATGTATCGCTTTTGCAATTTTCTTGGAAAACCGTCTGATATGGTTAGCATCGTGGCCGCGGCCAACACCCCGGTCGCCGGGCTCAGGCCCGCCCTCGCCAATGCCCCGCTCGCGCCAAGAGGGCAACCCTGGTTCCGCTCGCCAAGAGGCCGGGGACGAGGAATCAGACGCTGCAGCTGCAGCTGCCCGCCGTGCGCGCAAGGCCGAAGAGCACGCGGCAAAGAAGGCCCGCAAACCCTTGTATGTTTATCCCGCATATCCTGCATTCTATCCCCGGTCTGGCTGTATCACCTGTACTTTGTATCCCTGGGACCATGGTAAGCCCTGCTGCTACACCGCTTGTATCGACATCTGATCATCCTTGTATGCTGACTGGTAGTGATGTAGCTGTAGAGGGTAGCTCAGGATGTGTGGCCGCCACATCTGGGGCCGCTCCACTCGATGTGGAGATGGGGGAGGCGGCCCCCACACTAGAACAACGCCGCGCCGAGTTAGCTCGGCAGCTGGGCCTCCTGCAGGCAGAGGATGCTGCCCTCCAAGAGGAGCAGCGCCTCCGAACCCTGCGGGAGGCCCTGCAATCAGGGGATGTGGGCATAAAGAAGGAGGTGAAGGAGGAGAGGGAGTAAGGGCCCCGGAGATAAAGCAGAGACTACCAATGCCGCCAAGGCTGCTGTTAATGGAGAAGAGAAGCTTATTGGCTCTCAAGTAATGAGCAGCTTAAGGGAGCCAAGAGCAGCCGCATAAGGACACAGGTTCATCCTCTTCTTGATGGATAAATCTAAGCTAAGAATGAGAAAAAGACATCTAAAGTTCATTCATCTAAACATTTCTAAATCTAAACATTTCTAAATCTAAACATCTCTAAATCTATATTAATGATTGAGCTTTTGTACTCTTTCAAGTCGACCATAATCCGCAACACGTAGAACTCGTACCTGTATTTTCAGGCAAAAAATCAAGCGACCTCCGTAACAGCATACTTACTCCAGCTGCGAATCGTGGGCCCATACCAATAGAAGATAAATGGTATAGGCACCATAAGTGTACTGATTGCACCCATGATAGTGAGTGTCCAATGAACGCCCATATTATGATAGAACGGGACGCCGACAACTGTCATGCCGCCTGCAGCCATATATCGCGAGACGGTCATAAAGCCCAGCGCCGAGGCCGCGTACATATCATACGAGTCAATCACGTACATGTACGAGCTGAGGAAGATGCAGATCGTGCCGAGGCCGAAGAAGCCTGATGCAACGATCGGCGACCAGATCGAGACGCTCGCGTAGTCAGTCCAGCCCATCCAGAAGAGAGAAATTGGGATTAAAGCCGCACCGACCATCGCAAACCAGAGCCTGATTTCGGGAGGCGTGTGAAGGCCATCGAGGGCGTGGGGGTCGGCGGTGGGATCGGGGCGGTTGGCGGCGACGGCGACGGCGGTGAATTTGGTTTTCGTGTGTTTGTAGATCGGGAAGACGAGAAAGGCGGCCATGCCGATGCCGATGTACATTGCTAGCCAGATGATGTTGGTCAGGCCTTGGGAGATGCCGTAGGTATCTTGGAAGATGTAGGGGTAGCCGTCGAAGAAGGTGAAGAGCACGATGTACAGGACGGTCATATAGAGGGAGATCAGGAGGATGATAGGCTCGTGGATGGTGATTACGATCTGGCGCTTCATGGCGCTGCCGATGCGGCTGAAGAGCGCGATCTTTTGGAGATCCATTGGAGAGCGGAATCGGGAGTCGCCTGTTTGGCGGCGGAGTTGCCTGCCCTTCCACTTGAGGAGTAGCGGGCCGTAGGTTTCCGGTTGGAATAAGAGGATTAAGACGAGTACAAGGCCGGACATGATCAGGATGATCCAGTTCGACCAGCGCCATGAGAGGACGCCGGTTTGGCCCATATAGGAGGCGATGACGGGGGAGAGAATGGGACCACCGAACGACAGGATGGCGTATACGGGGAAGAAGATTGTCTTCTCGAGGGGATTCCATAGATCGGCGATCGTGCCCCCTGCGCAGGTGAGAGGCGGGCAGCCGAAGAACCCTGCTAAGAAGCGAAGGATAATTTGCGATCCAATATTGGGACCAAGGCCTGTGGCCATCGTAAAGAGGGCAAACAAGACCATTGAGCTAATATACACCATGTTGCGTCCCAGGATCTCCGATAGGGGTCCTGATACAAGTGAGCCGGTGGCGAATCCGAGAAGGAACATCGCTAGGAGGAGTCAGTCGAGAGCAGCGCATAATAGGATCCAAGGCCCACATACCTGTCAAGAGAGACCCGACGACTTCACTAACGCCATATTCAGCCATAGCTTGAGGTTGAACGGCGGAATTAATAGACGAAGAGGCAGTGACCACCCAAGCAAGACAAGCCACGAGCACAGTTGCCCTAACACGCCTCCAAAACGGGTAGTTTTTTTGGATTCTCAGGATCATTCGGACCATCCCAGCCTACAAGAAAGACTCGCGATTTCTGATCTTCAGAATCAGTCCTTGTTTGAACATTGACACCAGGAATATTGTAGGCGAGAGAAGTGTTCGCCGACCTATGCGATCGACTTTGCGCCAGTGGACTGGGATTGGACTCTGCATGCGGCTGAGGCGTCTCGGTAGGGTCTTCTTCCTCTTTCTCGCAAATTGTCCGCTCTTCATCTCGAGAAGAATTACCATTCTCGGTATCGCCTCCAAGTTGCTTCTGCACAACTTTTCCAAGCCGGCGGTACTGCAGATAAGACTGCATTTTGCGCAACCGGGGCTAGTCCGAGGGTATATTCCGAGGGTATAAACCGTGAACTTGAAGCCCGGGGAAGGCTTGGTCGACAGGCCTTCGCGTGGTAGGTAGCCTGGGTGGCTGAGTTGAGTAGAATGTCGAGACTGAAGAGATCTAGAGGCGATGATTTAATATAATAGTGCTGTCGGAGTCTCGCTGAGAAATCGAAATGGCGTTACGGAAGAAAGGCGGTATTATTACTGGGCGTAATTACCAGTTGGGGAACTCACACCTCCCCACTTTTAGAGCCATAGTGATACGTCGAGCAGAATGAATGATCCACTTCTCCAAATTCATGCAAGAAATCGGCCCCGTAAGGCCTCTGTATTCGGAGAAGAGATCTCTGCCTTTCGGTGCCGGCCCTCCCTAGCTCTGCGGAGTGGGGCGCTTTTGGTCTTTCAATGGTTTACACCCGGCCTAGTGTCCTCCACTTAAGCTTATGGTGACCAGAAAGTGGCTATACGCTAGTACGAATGGGGTAATGTACAGGAAAGTCCGAATGGGCTTAAATTTCTGCTGCATCTCGGTGACTTCGGCCCTCCACTCCGAACTCCACTCTAGCTCATCTATGACTTCAGCTGCTTAACCCTAAGTCCCTGCTCCAGAGTTTTAACTTGATACTTATGACTCACCTGAAGATTTCAGTGAAATGCTACTAAAGATCCCGATGCAACTTCTCTCCAAGTTGCTATTGACATGGTATTAGGGTAAAAGCATAGACTTGAACTCCAACAGACAAACTTTCGTTTTCCTAGGACCAATGAGACCCATAAACAGACCGGCAAAGAATCCTTCCGATAATCGCTCGCGCCCTTTAGAAAAACCAGAATTCCCCACTTCGCAGAGCTAGGGACGATAGGCACAGAATGGCAGGGATCTCTCCCCCGAATATTCCCCGAATACAGAGTCCTTACGGACCCGATTTCTTGCATGAATTTGGAGAAGTGGGCCGTTCATTCTGCTCGACGTATCACTAGGGTTCTAAAAGTGGAGAGGTCCCTACCGGGTCCGTAATGACCAGTAATAATACCGCCTCTCTTCCGCAACACTATTCAGCCCCGGTCTTTCGGTTTTATATACGGAGATCGACAACTCCGAGTCAGTAGTCTGCGGGGGTTTCGGCAGGGGCGTTATTTCATTGTCATGTGCCTGGGAGCAGCCTGTTACAATATTGATCTCAGTACGGAGTAGCGGCTTCCAAGTTGGGTCTAAGAAGTGGGTCAACTTTCCGACAGGCAAGTTCGAACTAACGTAACTTTCGTAACTACTGTCTACAGAGAGATGTCTCTCATCATATCCGTTGATTCGGAAAGTATTCTATTAGTATTTGAGTTTTTGATTCGCCATGTAGGCCGTCATCCAATGTAAAATAGGTACAATCGAGGTTTATGCATATTAACAGGGTATCGGGTGGTATAAGTCAAAACATTAGACCTCGGTGTCAGGCTTATCCTTGCGATCCGATGCGATGAGCTCCTGGCGAGCACGCTCCTGCTCGGCTAGACCGGTCTTCTGAATAGTGTGGGTCTTGCTCAGCACGCGAGCTCGGACAAAGCAAGAGAGCACGAGGCCAACGCCTGCAACAGCCGTGTAGAAGATCCACATGCGGCTTAGAGCAAACGTGAATGCATCCAGCACAACCTTCTTTTGGGAAGCGGTCAGGCTTTGAATAAGGGTTTTTGATGAGCCGGAGAAAGAAGAACTGATTTGCTGGGTTAATTCCGGGCCGAGAGCGGCCATGAGCTTGCCGGATTGGTTCTTCATGATGTTCTGATATATAACTTCGCCCAAAACCACACTTACAGAAGTTGACAACTGGCGCACGAAACCGAAAGTAGCAGTAGCCGTCGCGGTATCTGATGGCCGAATATTGGACTGCAGGGCGACAAGGGGGGGCTTGGAAGTTGGGACCGACGCCAATACCGCCGATCAGCTGGTAGATGATGATACGAGGCCAGGAGGGATATGGCTTGAGGTCGATGAACAGACCCCAGCCAAGAGTCATCATGAAGAGACCGAACATGATAAACTCCCGGTAGCGGCCAGTCTTGTTCATGAGCACACCAACCATACTAGAAACGACTGCCAGAGAGAGCACCATCGGCAGGAGGTATACGCCACTGAGGATGGGGGAAGCCAGCAGAACAGTCTGGAAGTAGAGTGGAAGGTAGTAAGTGCCAGAGATGAAGACGAATCCGTGACAGAAACAGATCAGCAGCACCAGGACGTTGTACCATTCGCCGAAGAGACGAGCGGGGATAACTGGAAACTTTGCAAATTTTGCTTCCACAATCATAGCCAAACCCCAAGTCACGACACCGAAGACGATGAGACAGATGACTGTAGGCGAAGCCCACGGATAGTTGACACCACCAAACTCCAAACCGAAAAGGAACATCAACGTACCTCCGATAATGAGGAAAGTTCCGATCCAGTCGATGCTTCGTAGACCAGCAAAGAACGGAGTCTTTGGGGACTCAATGTGGAGGAAGAAGATAAGAATCACGAGGGACAAACCGCCGATGGGAACTAGAGAAAGGTTAGCATCATGTAATATCCCACTCGACGGAAATGTACGTACGGTTCAGGTAGAAGCACCATCTCCAGGTGACACTGGTAGTAAAGGCACCGCCAATAATGGGGCCCAAGCCACCAGCAATAGCCCAAGTAGCTCCGAAGAGACCAAAATACATAGGGCGCTCGCGCACACTGAACAAATCCGACACACATATGTTGCAGAGGATGATAATACCTCCCGATCCGATCCCTTGAATCGATCTGCCAGATAATATCATAGGGAGGTTTCTAGCCAGGGCGCAAATCAAACTGCCCACAAGAAACAGGGCCGCCGCTAGGATAATGACCTTCTTCCGGCCAAAGATATTAGAGATGCCACCCCAGAGCGGGATACAAGCCGCATTGGCCAGCAGGTAAGAGGAGGCAATCCACGAATAACCACTCGCCGATGCATTGAAATCGGCGGCGATGGAGACCAAAGCCGTGGAAACGATTGTCATGTCAAGAGCCGCGAGAAAAAGAGCGAGGCATAGGGCGGTCATCACGACGACGATCTGTTTCTTGCCCATCTTAGCGTTTTGCGACCCCGTGGGCGCAAGAGGCGCTCCGCTGGCTTCTTTATCGGGCGCATGATCAGCACCCTTGCTCTCCTGCTCCTTCTCTGGATTCTGGACAGCAGCCTCGACAGATTTGTCGTGATCCGGCGAGACAGTTTTCTCGCTCGAAGCGTCGTGATCGAGGGCCTCGGTTGCCATCGCGGGGGAATATGCTATAGCCGATAGAACGGGGGCCGCACGTGGAATGGCTGAAGACTTTCGAGGTTGGGCCCCTGCAGAGTCAGTAAACGATCCCGGAAACCAAAACTGCGGGAGCTGTCGCTTTAATCACTTCTTTCACAAGCAGGCCCCCCCCAGATGGAGTGGAGTCGAGGAAACTCCCCAAAGAGTTAAGGCTCGGACTTCGTAGCGTACTTTTCAAAAAGGCGAGCCAATCAGATGACTTGGCGCGTCTTCACCGTCTCTAGATCGATATCGGCTTTTCGGATAACGAAATTCCGGAGTTTGCTTCGGATCTTCGTCGTTGCAGCCTTCAACGAGCGCAGAGATTTCTTGATATGGATGGATCCGTAAAGAGGATGATTTCCATGCAAGATTTAGACTCGTAAATTCGCTTTTGCGGCTTTGCTTTTCTCGTCTTGAATCGCACTGTAGATTTAGATGGGTCACTGATCGGCGCCGGAGATAACGATAACGTCGGACCTCGCGTTCGGAAATGTGGGAGCTCCGCTGCTTGGTAATGGGGCTGGATCGGCCGAGGAACACAGTATACTGTTTTCAGGGCGTCCAAATGATGATATGTGATCTACCTCAAGAGAAGTATATGGCGTGCTCCGTGAGTATCGAGATGCAGACGTGAAACATGTTACAAGTAAAGCTTCGATGATTCAAGTAGGCGATCCCGCACGGCTAAGAGTTTTTTCGACGAACTTTCCGTTTTGGGACGGAAATAAGATACATTCAACGCGTCCATGCCTCGGCTCTGCAGGATAGGGACCTGAACATAAAGCATGCAGTAAACCACTACTTGGGACTTTGGACAATGGATTGTTTCTAATCGCCGTAACGCCGGTTCAAACATGCAGCTTTGGACTCTATCAAGACACAGACAGGCGAGGGGTATGAGGGGGTATAAGTATATGACGAAAGCCGATAGCCCAAGAGCCCAGAGAGATAGGAAAGTACAGAACCCAGCACCAAACGCATAGACTCATTAATCTTGGAGCTGGAGGATTTCTACTTGCAAGTTAGCTCTGCGCCGACCCAAAAGTACCGGTTTACGTCTTCACCGCCCATGTAGAAACTTACCAGTCAAAAACTCCTCAAAACTCACGGTGATGTAGCCGTCGCGATCATCATCATACTGTTTAAACACGTCCGTCATGCGCTTCAGGCTGATGCAGGCTTGTACGAAAAGGTCGAAGCTCATGCCAGAATGATTGGGGCTTCTGGGCTGCCCTTGCAGCTGACGGGTCTTGCTCTCAAAAGTCTTGAAGAGTACAGAGACAAATGGCTGGCTAAGGCGGTATCCAAAGGCAACCAGCGCCTTCTCGAACTCCGGCAGACTAATACGCCCACTACGGTCCTCGTCGAATCGATCGAACAGCTCCCGCCACGCGGCAAGATAACGCCACAGAGAAACAAATTCGTCGAAGTTGATCACTCCATTGCCGTTGCGGTCGAACATGCGGATCATCATTTTGACCGTGCGCGGGTGAAACGACGTATAGTCGCCGTTAACAAGGCCGAGCCTAGCTCATTCTCGGTGAGCGAACCAGAATGTGACGAGTTGGCGGCACGGAAGAGCGGAAACAGTTGTTGAGGGTCGTCGCTGGGAACGGTCAGCGGCGGGGGATTGGGCGATTGCGGTGGGCGGGACAGGGGTGGAGGGCGATTGGCATGACCTTTGGGCGGGGGAGGCCCAAAGCCATAATTCTGAGGCGGCGGCGAAGGGTGCAGTGGGTGAGGACGGGTTTGGCTGGGCAGACCGTGAGAAGACGGCCCGTTGGCCGATGGATGCGCCCGACCGTTGTACGAGTGCGCCGGGTCTTGTGGGCGCGGGGTAGAAGACGTGTATGGGTTCGGCGCGGTATATGGGTTGGGCGGAGGGCCACCACTTCCAACAGGAACACGCGGCGGTACACTACCAGGCTTTGAAGATGGCGGTCGACCGGGCAGTGGCTTTTGCGCATTGGCAGCTGGGGTCGTTTTTCCTCCTGAGACCTGCATAGACCCGATCATCTGGGCGACCTAGGGGGATATACGTTAGCGGGCTATGGGTCGGGTGCGGGCTGGTCGCAAGTACCTGTTCGGGCTCAGCGTGTCTGTCCCATTCATGGTTAGCGATCAGCTGCCATTGTAGAGCGAGGATACAGAACTTACGCTGGCAGCGCATCGGGGTTGTAGCTTTTATTGTAGGCCATGATGTAATGGCGCAACCAGACGAGCCTCGAATTTGTCTTGGAGAGTCCTCACTCTGAGAGATCGGAAGACCGGAGAGGAGGTAAGCAGGCGAACTTGCAGAATATGAAAAGAAATCAAGAAACGCTGCTACCTTCCAATAGTCCCGCCAGGCGGTCCAAAGCGGTGGGCGACGCAATGACTCCACAACTTCGGGCGACTTCGATGTGGCTATGAAGCTGCTCAGCCCTACGCCAATCATTTCAGCTTTTTTTAGTGAAAACCCCCCCCCGTAATACGCATATCATTTTACGGCAAAAGCTAGGACTATCGGAGCTTGGAGCTCGCCACTATTCCTGGCCTATCGAGGCAAACTGAACAGAGTAGCCGCGTTCTAAAAATACCAATCGCTATCAAGCTTGGCGAAGTTCCCCTCAACGAGCTTGCCCCACCAAACCCGGATTCCCCGCTTACAACGTATTCCTATACAGGATTTGTGGCTTAACTTCAAATAACTTCTTGTAGCTCGGGTGCCTGCTGCTTCAGGATGGCGAAGATCTCTGCCCACGCCTTATGTTGGAATTCCTTCGCTTCGTCGCCTGTTGTCAATGCCTGAGATTCGCTGAATCCAGTTAGAATTAGCGGGCCTAGTGGGAAAAGTCTTCTCGTACTCAACATAGTCATTGATCCGCCAGCACCGGCCATGCGACTCGGAGCCTTGAAGTGTTGCGCTGACGAGAGCTTCACCCCCTTCCTCTGCTGTACGAGCGATGAGACGATGCATCAAGCCGACAGCCCACCGCTCATAAAATCGGTCATACTGGCGACCGAGTGATGACCGACAGAGCCCGGGACTAACCGTATTGACAATAGGAGAGTTGTCATCCTTGCCAATCTTCTCTGAGATTGTTTTGATGACGTATTCAAGAAGCAGTTTAGATATGGCATACTGCTGCTGGCCCCCAAATGTTTCGGCGGAATTCAAATGTTCTAGGAGCGGGCCATCGGTTCGAAGACTGTCGGCTTTGACGCGAGTAAAGAGTTGACTGGACACCGCAGTCAAATGAGCTGGCTCAGACCCCGACTTTGATTGAAGTTTAGGTAGGAGAAGTAGCGCGAGTAGAGATGTTGAGAGGGTATTGACTTGAAGAGTCTCCTCCCAGCCCTCCGGAGATTTGGTATAGGCCTTATTCCACAGACCGGCATTCAACAAGACGATATCAATCTTTGTTAACTCATCCTTGGCCCGTTGGGCAAAATCCTTGACGCTCTGAAAGCTGCTCATCTCGAGTTTCCAGACCTGGACTACCCCTGGTCGCTTCGTGCGTTCCTCAATCTCGGCCTTAGTGTGACTGCCTTTTTCGAGATCCCGGATCCCCAAGACAAGAGATTCAACCCCAAGATTGAGAAACTTGATCGCGGCCTCGTATCCCAGCCCTGATGTTGCGCCGGTGAGGAGGACTGTTTTGCCAGCCAGGGAGGTTTTGCCAGCCAGGGAGGTGGTCGGAGGGTCTGTGGAAGAGCTCCCCGGCATTTTTTTGTTTGATAAACAGTACCTTTAATAACAAATATGAGTCAAGGTCGAATTTGGGTGATGAGTATAGCAGTTGGGGTCAGAAAAGCTTCATAACAACCTGGAGGGATCAGTCAGCATGCTGACATCTTCCTTTAGCCAATCAGACATCAGAATTTAGTTCATTGTTCAGCTGTTGAATAGAGTTATTTCTGATAAGAACAGATGATGATAAGGCTATCTCCGTGATGCGTACCTTCAATCCAGAAGGCGGAATAGTTCACTTGACTCGCGAGGCCTTCATGAGATGCGCGCTGCACCGTCTCTGCCGGCCCGACCGAATCCCTGGCCCCTGCTAACGTGCCTCGACCAGACCAACAATTGATGTTTTCTATGATAGTAAGCTTCAGCGGCCAATTGGGCCTTTGGAAGGAAAGAAGAGATGACTTAGCTCCACAATCGACATAAAAAGCGAGGTATTTCCCCGTTTCCAATCCATACGGCACTTTAGTACCAAACAACGACCAATTCCCTGCTCAGAATTTCTCCTGTGACCTACAGCTCGTTGGCCGTTCATCATTTCCGACTGTTGACTTTGATTCAATAGCTACGCATCTAGTCATCTAAATCAAACTTAGAATTCCAGATCCGCGAGTTGAGCACCAGCAGGTCTTTCCCCGTAAGGTTTCTTCTCGTACTTGGAATATGCGCAAGTCCAATTCAAAGAGCTTTCTCATAATACCATGCCGTTGACTCTGTGATACGTAGGGGCATAGTTCTCTCGGGGTATGTGAGCCTTTAATTCAAATGGGGATCCATGATCTTCCAATCTATAAGACAAAGTTCAATTGTTCGGGTTGAGAGCCATTGACCAATGAGACCACACCACCCGAAGTAATATCAACACCTTCCGGAGAACTCGAGCGCATCACGCGAGTAAACGAGAACCAGACAGGCATCCATACTTTTCAGGTGCAACTTGGAATGCATCGCGGACCAAAAAGTGATGCGAGGTGGGGCTGACATGCATAAGTTGGGTTCGGCTCGCTCCGCCCAATTCGAACCCCCCGATCAAGCGTCTCGAAACATCAAAACATCAGCCACGGATCTCGAGCTTACAATGAGCAAGTCCACGCCGAAGGGCCTTGCAATTGTTCGGCATGCTCTCGACACAATTGAAACTATAGCAATATGTCCTTTGGGTCCTTCCTCGCGGACCTGATTACAACGGACGCGTCGAGTCGGAGATTCATCATCGGGCGCTAACGCGATCTACGTGGCAAGCGTGATATCATGGGATCGATGCAGCTTCACTTGCGCCTTGACGCACAACACCACACTATCGGCCAACTGACGACGAACCCAGGTTGTGTGATATGATGGATCCGTTCCCCCCGGTCGGCGTGGATTTAAATGTCCCCCTTGTCGGGCCCGCAACAACGTGGAGTGATGGGCTTGATGAGTTGTGATCCCCGCCTTCTTGGGGCAGCAATTGCACCCCGCTCATATGCACGCTACAGTACTTGAGGGGAAGCCTTTCGCGTCAGTTACAATTATCTTTAGAGACCCCTTTGGTCCAAGTCTTTTCCATATTACGCGGTGAATGGCCCCTGTCCTACGAGAGGTTACCCAGACCATCACCGAGGGCTACACCACAATCGGGACTGTTGCTCCTCTGAGGAATATTGGCACAAGGCCAACGGCCAATTACACCAACGGTACTCTTCAAGATCGTTCAGTGACGGTTCTCGCAGATAGCACCGCCGCCACCCCTACAGATACCCGTATAATTCCTACGGGTGGCCGTGATGATCTTTCGGGCGCTGCTAAAGGTGCCATTGTTGGATCAGTATTAGGAACTGCTTTTCTCATCGCCATGGTATTCCTATTCGTTTCATTTCGTCGCCGCCCTTCCGGGCGGAGGTCAAGCAAAGGATCCTCGAAACGCAAGTCGGTTTCGAGCAAGGAATTGGACTTAGAAAGCTCGCCTCCGAGTTCACCGGTATCTCTACCTCCACCTCCGCCTCCAGATCCTGAGCCTGATCCTAAGCCTGAACCTGAGCCTCCATTGGCTCCTGATCCACCACCTACTGAACCCGACCCCGAGCCCGAACCCAACCCGGAACCTCCAGCAGAGGCGGATGCAGAGCCAGGACCCGCCCCAGAACCCGAATCAGAGCCAGAAGTCCCAAAGGAGCCTAAGCCCGAAGGCGAGGCAAGCACTGCCGAAGCTGAGCCTGAAGCAAATAAAGAGCCAGTAGCAGACCCTGAATCCGAACCAGCCCAAGAGCCCGAGCCCACGCCCGAGCCAGAACCCGAACCAGAAGCAGCACCTGCCCCTAATCCTGAGCCCGAGCCCGAGCCCGAACCACCAGCCGAACCTGAGCCGGCACCAGAGCCGGCGCCAGAGCCTCAAATCATCGAGCCTAAGAAGCCAGTGAGGACTGTTTACAAGAAGCGGAAGCGGAAGATACCCCCAAGGGTCGACACCTGGCCCGGCGAAGGACCTACGTACGTCCAGCGACCATCGAGGCGCAAGAAGTGATTTCTTATGACTCTTGCTTGATCGGTCCAGCTGGGAAATTTTGAGTTATGCACCACCCCAGTTTCGTACTTGTTTCTTTAACTAAGCATAGCAGCACTCCCTGTATGAGATGTAAATCCAAGTGTGATCAATACTATAACTATCTCTTATTTCTTTTAATCCCGGCATTGACAAATCGAAGAGGCAATCAACTTGAATGTGCTCAACTAGTCTGGTGCTATGGTTTACCCCTCTCCCCTCCACCCCCCAGCCCACATACTAATACTAGCATGTTGTTCTGTTCTTCAGAGTTAAGTCAATGAAATGTCACCTATAATCCACGATCTCATATTACTCAGGAAAATGTATTGAGACGCGAAAAATGTACGCATATCGACGAAATATGGTGTTCCAACCGGGGCTCTATCACTCCAGGGAGAATCCCAAAACTCATCGTCCAAGAGTCCCACAGACTGGAACCCGAGGTATAACCAGCACCGTGCTACGTCTATTTCTGTTGAAATCCATTGCATAGACCTAATACCTTCATTGCCCTTTTTGGTCCTCAAGCTGCCGCCACAAAGCTTCTCTCTTCGACCGTTCTTCACGCAAGGTAGACTTTTTGACCATGAGACGAAGATGAAGGCTAAGACACTTTAGCTCTATTTGGGTGAGGTGTCTCTTGCGTGCTTCTCATAATCTCCTTCCACGAGCCGCTCAATGCCCTGCGCCCATGTGTCCTGCGCCGACAAAACAGAAGTACGCCTTTGGCGTACAGGAGATGGTGATTCCTTCGCGACAGGTGTACTCTGTTCCGCGTCTCGAGCGTCCTTCAGGAGCTCTTCGCTGCTTACTCGAATTGAGACACGTCGTCTACATCTCCCACGTCTTGACCCTGGCGGTGGATGCGAGACTTGCGATATATCTGATCCGACTGAGGATGCTCGCGAGGATGGCGGGGAGTCTCTGTCCGTGATCTCCTCGTCTTCCTCGAAAGACGGAGACGGGGACGTAAAATGTCTTGGTAAGCTAGAAGCCATTTTAGAGTACGTACATTTCACAGAGGATGGAGACAACGTGGGTGGAGGCCTTCGCGACAAGGACGACGTGTGATCATACTCATGAGCTTAGGGGCATGGCATGAGGGGTCTGGCGAGGATCTCTTGCTTGCGGGGTTTCGAGACTGTCTAGGGTGCTCGGGCTGTGCATTCGGTCAGCCTCAATACGAACTCTAGCGGCGGTGATCATGTCCAACTCTTGTTTCTTTAGAAGACTATATATCTAAATTAAAATGAAGTGAGAAACTAGTACCGCGGATTACTTGAGTAACATAATTTATAATCTTTTGTTATTACTATCGTTATCTAAATCTAACGGTGAATTATTCTCTCCTCCGAGACCGATGCTTGCCCCAATCTACCTCAGGATGCACAACACGCATATGTCGTCCCAGCGCAGAATCGCGGCTGAATATTTTCTCTTCAGTACAGAGATGGCACTTTACTTTCTGCCTGCGCGGATTGTGTATGGTATCATCGTGCCGTCTTAAGGCAAAAGAGCGCGAGAAGGTGACGTTGCATGGCTTTCCAGTAGATGGATTGATGCAACTGCATTGGAATGGGCCCTTCTGAGTTGGAGACTTGAATGACCGTTTAAGGATAGCTTTTAGGTCAGGCTCGTCTTTCTTTGCCGGGTGGTGGATCTTGACATGTCTGCCATATTTTCTCAGGAACACATTTCAGGAGAATAGGGCTTCGTCATCACCTTACCTTTCAATGTTATCTAGTTTTGTAGAGGAACATCTCTCGTTTGGACAAAAGGGACATATGTATACCTTTTCCAACCCATCAATAGTAGTGCTGTGCGATTCATAATGCCGGTGCAACTCTAGGAATGTTGCGAAACCCACACCTGCTTTTCCACGGGGACAAGTCCCTACCGGGCAGTGATGAGGTAGCTCGGGAGGCTGGTCTGGATTTGGTCCGGGTGTTGATGAAACCTGCTCTACATGAGCATTCGTATCGTCCACCGATAAGTTGGCTGGACTTGCATCGGTACAATCAGAGTTCGCTGTAGACTTCTCTACTGTATTTTCCTGCCATGTTGGAGCTGGAGGCCTACTGCAATAATTAGGATAATAATTATGCCAATAAAGAGGAGGGTAGGCAGAGTCGGAGCTAGTCGGAGTGGAGTTGGACTCGAATAGATTCTTATTAGGTTGGGGGCTGTCACAATATCAGTGATTTTATCCAAACAGTGGGGGTAATCGGCCTTACTTCAGAAAGTCCTCCGTTTGCGCATGAGGCACATAGGGCGCATAGGGCACGTAGGGCAGTGGTGGGGTAGACCCCGAAGTCATTGAGGGTGGTGATGCGAACTCATTCCAGCCTGGTGAAATTCCTCCGCCGTTATCCCAGTTGCGAACATAGCTTAGCAGCTCATCGCTCGGGACGTTCACTAAGGTCCGCCGACGTCGTTTTCCCGATCCAGGTGGATGTGAGCAGCCTGAAACTTCTGACGCTGGACTTCCGGACTGCGACCGCGGCGGGACTCCGCCACCGGACGAAGGAGACGGGAACCTCTGCGACGAGGGTGACCTTGGCGACAAAGGCCTCGGGACGTTTAGCGGAGGGAATGAAGAATGCAAAAAATCTTCTTCTTGAGCGACTTTGGGTTTGTCGAGCTGCGCCAACAGATTGCTGTCCGTTCGATCCCGACTAGACGGTTGACGAGTCTTGTACACGCATTCATCTGCGAAGCTCAAGCAACTAGAGCATGGTGGCCCCTCTCCATTGCACTTGATCTTCCTGCGTCTGCATCCTTCGCAAGCCTTCAAGACTCTTCGTGTGCTGATCATCACTTCCTGATTATTTTGGAAACCAGTTCTTGAGGCTGCGGACGGGCTGAGGAGATGCGGTCACTTGGCGCTGACGCCCAATAGCAATGCTCATCTCATCGGCAATTCATGCAGGACAAGATATTCGAATCTGTGCCTGCAAATGAGATTGATCGCATAATTTGCTTGAAGCACATTGTCTCCTCAAAGCGAGCACGCCCAACGAGAGGATCACTTCGATTACCGTATGTCTCCGAGCGTTGGCTCGGTTCGTTAAAATGAGCAAGCTCTCGTGTGGGACTAGGCGTAAGTGGAGGACTCGAATCAAGTTATACACGTGTATATCAATGACAGGTGCCTAAAGCAGATGGAGCCAAAACGAAAGCGAATACTCGAGTTCAATCCGTAGCCCGACAGACCAGATCCGAAGCGCTTGCATCCTCGGGTGGGGTTGCATGTGGATCATGCATTACAAGGCAGACTCCGCGTAGGCAGCAAGGAGTACTCAGCGCTTAAGAGTATGCACACACCCCTGCACTTGTTTCATAAATGCAACTAACGCGGGCAAATCTCATGAGAATATTGGTCATAAGTGGTGGGGCTTCGCGCGGTGCGGTCCCCGCCCCCTGTGAGAAACCCTTAAGACTGCGAAACTGCCACCAGAGCCAGAATGGCTATAGATTGATACCTTTTCCTCTTGATGATGGTCACCTTATAGTATGAAGCTATTGTTTCTCATCTTGCTATTTGCACCAGTCGCGCTGGCCGATGACTGGGAGGACTTTACGAATAATCTTGCGACCGATCTCGTATGTATCTCGGCATTCTGGTGATACGCGAGGCTAACACCGGCGTTCCACCCTATTCTAGGCTCCTTTAATCACTCTTTTTGGAGAACAATTGACGAAGCAGTTCCTGTCCGAGTCTATCAGCTACCTAGATAACATTATATTCGCCCTTTCACCTCTGGGGGGTATTAACCGCAGTAGTATCTCTCATCCGCGTGTGCGGTAGCTCTTCATTGAAGGCGTTCATCGGCCGAGCGCAGGAAGGGCCCGCAGAGGCTGAGAGTGAATTGTTGCCATGTGTCTCTGGATCTACAGCGGAATTATTCAACGACGGCGGCATATCGCGTGTTTTTGGTAGACCCAAGATTTTGGAAATCGTTGCTGTGGAAGAGAAAGATTCTGCAACGGGAGAGTCGTCTGTTGAACTCCAGACTTTGCGCGGCGTACTGGGATCAGATGCCTGGAAAATCAAGGGGTCGAGCCAAAATACTCATCCTGATGACCTATTGGAAGGACCAGAGCTCGACACTCCAAATTTATCGCTGAACAAAGGAATCAGGAGGAGGGACCAATTTTGGTTCTACTGTGTTGCTGTGGTCGGCGCAATCTTACAAATCGGTACGTTCAGGAATTCTACTAGTACCTGCGCTAGGAAAAAACTAAATTTGAGAAGGTGTCATAATCTACGCAGTCGTCACTGTTTATATTGTGCCTGGAAGTTTCAAAGTGGACGGGAAAGCTGTTCCCAAGTATGCATTCCCACTGTATATTATTGGTACAGTGTTCTTGTTCATGGGGATGATGAACAGTGCCATACTAATAGGAAGATCGTCGCACAACTACACACTCGTACCGAACAAACCAAGCAAGGTATACTGGTTGCAACCCGGCAATCAGGTCGTCGGGGACCAAGTGTTCAATGCCTTTTTGGCCGTCAACGCAGAGCCTCTGGACTCCATGAGCTATATCAAGTCTAGGAGAGGCCGGCTGGGGAAGAACCAAAGTATAGAGACTTACGCGACTATATCTCTTACCATGGTTGGGTTTATCTTCCAGTTTATCGGGGAGAGAGGGCTGCATAGCTCAGTGATCCTTGCCCAGCTAGGATCCACGTTTATAATGGCAATCTTGAGAACTTGTCTTCGAACCCAGAGAATGAACGAGGACCAGAACGAAATTCTCGCAGAAAGAGAGCTGGCTTCATACAAGCAACAGGAACTGGACGCGTTTGCCCTTTTCCTGACCGAGGTTGAGACTTTTAGTCCGATATTTACGCCTGTTCCTCAGACCCCGCCAGGTGGAAACCCATCACGCACTGAAAAGCATCTCATTCAACGAGTGATAGATACACGGAAGCGCATTGCCGATCTCACCACCTGCTCCAAGGATGGGTCAAGTGTTTCCTGGGATGAATTTCCAATTCGCATGACAGCTCAAAAATTGGCGAAAGCCATCGAGCGTACAATGGATCTGTTGAATTTGTGGGGAGCAAAGTTCGACAAGTCATTCCACTTTGAGCTTACCTTCGACTGCACTTCCAGTTCTCCCAAAGTACAATACCCAGGCCAAGGTACTTACAAGGTTGAACTTTCGAAACGCGGCGACGCGCTCCGATGGCATCTCGATGCGAACGAGCTAGAGGCTATTTTAGGTCTTTGGATTTGGTCTCTTAACAAAGAGGATGAGATCTGGCAGACCAAAAGGCCTCTTATGCGAGTGGTTGGCTCCGATGAAACCGCATCCGATATTGGAGAGGCTTATTTGTGTTTCCAAAAATGGATATTCCGACAAACTGAACCGGAAATCATCTCATCAGACGCCATTGATACAAAGAGGAGAAGATTTGGTTACAAGTCTGATGTTCAGTCTCAAGACGAAATCCTTGCAATGGCAACAGAAAACGAGATGGAGGTTATGGCGGCGCAAGATATCTATGCAGTATTCTTGAAGGCTGCAGTTCGTCATCTTGACTCGCTCAGTGGCGAGGTGGATGTGGCTCCTGGGCTTTTTAACTCATGGGTTATCACTCACGACAAGATAGATGCCCTAGTGCATTGCTTTGAAGAAAGCCAACTGGGGACGAGAGAGGACGCACTCCTATGCCTCATCTTCATTCTCAAATCAAGTGGGATGCTGCCATATTTAGCATCTGACAGCAAGGAAATCCGAAAGCGAACCGAGCTTCTGATACAAGGTGGACATTGGAAGGCAGCGTTTTCTTTGCATCGCTGGTTGTGTGAGCGGACAGAGGGGGTGGAATTTGAGAGGTCTGTGTATAACCTTGGGAATCTGTGCCGCCGTGCGTTGCTTGAAACAGAGGGTTCTGTTCAGGATGAGGGCTTTGAACAGCTGTGCCAGTTGTTAGAGGGCGACATTCGGCTCCCCTTCTTTCAGGCTAACCAGCAATCAAAGTTGTATCAGTGGCTCCTGTCATCGGATCGATCGGATTGGTGGCAAGGATTCTCTAGGCAGCTTAGCTGGGTTGCATGGTCAATTTCACTGAAACTTCCCAAAATGGAAAGAATACAAGCAAAGCTCAGCGCCTCCAGTTCTCCGAGATATTCCAGTCTCTTCTCAAGTTCCACACTTGGTGAGGAAACAACGCAAAAGGGTATTCGAACTGCACAAGACTGGCTTGGCTGTCGAAGAATGGATTACCAGCGAATAGAAGGTGAAGATTTTCATAGCGAGCGTAAAGCTGCTATGTTGTGGGCACTGCATGGATCGCATTTTGCTTTGTTATACTGGCTGATTCTTATCTGGATTGACCTTCGCGATGAGTATTCTCATCTAATGACAAACGTCTGGCACTTCCTGGTGAGAAATCAGTCAACCTGGATGCTCGATGTTCTAAGCAGGCAAGGGATAGGTATCAATTCAGTGAGTAATGAAGGCCGATTTGGTTTGCTCTACGCGGTGTTCGATGAGCCACCCTGTCCAGATGGCGTCCGATTTTTACTGGAACATGGAGCGAATCCTGATGGCAATGATGAAGTCCCCGACAGGCGACCATTGCTATACACATCTGCAGAAGGCCTCGAAGAACTCACAAGAATTTTGCTAGACTATGGGGCAAACGTCGACCAAACAAATAGGGCTGGCCTGACTGCGCTTTTCTGCGCATGCGATAGCAAGCATATAAAAATAGCGCGTCTATTGCTCTCTCGAGGTGCCACTATCAGTTTTGCACCATACGATGAGAGGTCACCCCTTGCGGTAGCTATTTCCGGTAGAAATGCCGAGATGGTCCAGCTTTTGCTCGAGTTTGGTTGTGACGTGAACTTCCAAGGGGATTACGAGCGCAACCCCCTTGTCGTCGCGGTGACAGTTGGATTCAATTCTATCATACCGCTTCTTCTAAGCAAAGGATGCGATGCAACGATCCGCGGCTTCGATGGAAAATCCATCGCGGAGTTTGCGGAGGAAATTGGAAACTTCGAAGCAGCATCGATTTTGAGACGCGGCATTCTGCCCGAGGCGCCAGACTAACCTACGAGGTACATCGGCCCTCAGGTTGAATGGTATTGAGGAGGTTATCCAATCAGCCCCACACTACTTTTCTGATCTGCTCCGTGATATACCTTTTTGGGCTTGTGGTGCGGGAAGTGAGGGGATTGTTGGTCTAGATTGGGTCAAGGGGGGTGAAAACTACTTTCGGAGGATTTGCATCATATGAGACTTGAATAAATCGATATTAGTAGTGAATGACTGAAAATAACTGCCGATCCATCTGATATATTTCTGCATGTGCATACCGAACGCACTAAGACAATCGGGCTTTGAGGATGCGGGCTTATGATAGTATGTTGAAGGATTAAACTAAAAAAAAGCTATCTTTTGGCACAGACCGTTGCCGATTACCGGACTGATTCCGAGGTGCCAGTCACGTAGTGGCCACGCCCTCCGAGGTTGGCATAAGTAGCGCATGGACTCTTTCGCTGATCTCAAATCTTCCTTCGGCATGATAATATGAGCGAGTATTGCTAAAAGCAGTTCGTTGAGATTCGGTATCTTCCAAAGCCGTCACTTTGATAAAGAACAATGAAGCTACCGCGCACACTACACTATCTCGGATTGAATCTAGTACTCAATGTGTCCTTTGCACGGTCTTTGGAAGCTACTACGCAGAGGCAAGCCATCATAATAGATACGGACATCTTTGGAGATGTTGATGATGTGGGGGCTCTTACAGTGGCCAACGTACTTCAAAACTGTGGACTCGCAGCGATTAAGGGAATCGCCATTAACACACCCTCAAAATACGGAGCTCTTGCAGCAAGCGCGCTCACCACTTATTTCGGCAATGGTGATGTCCCGATAGCTGCTTTACGGCCACTCACTAATGAGACATATTTCGACGATTATGAGTTCTTGTAAGTTAATATGCAGTACTATGTGTCATCCGTCAATTTCTGACGAAATATCACAGAAGGAGTGAATATGCCAGCAAGATTGCTACTCACTGGCCCAGAAATCTTCAAGATGAAGCATCCACGCCCACACCACTGGAATTTTATCGTCAGACGCTGAGTGGTGTCGCGGATAACAGCCTGAACATCATTTCAATTGGCTTTCTGACAAATTTGGAAAGCCTTCTGAAATCCGGAAGTGACGACTTTAGTGCACTTTCCGGGAAGGATCTCATCTCTGCCAAGGTCAAGGAATTGGTTGTCATGGGAGGCAATTACCCATCGGGGTGGGAGTATAACTTTGGGTATAAAGATCCCCAGAGCACGGCTTACATTTTGGAAAACTGGCCAGGAAATGTGCCGATGACTTTTTCTGGATCCGAACTCGGAGGGAGTGTCTATACTGGAGAGAACCTCGCGCAAAATTCGCCACCAAATTCCCCTGTTCTGTCCGCATATCAGTGGTATGTTGGGCGCGGATCAGCCATCCGGCCATCTTGGGATCCTATCACGACTCTCTACGGCATCCTGGGAATTGATGGATTCTCGAAGATCGGAATGAAGAACTCGCTCGCCTATGCGAATGAAGGCGGATATAACAGTATAACTTCAAAAAATGGATCTAATGCATGGGTCAATGACACCAGTGTCACCAACCAGCATTACTTGAAGCTGGCGGATGGCGTGACGAACTCGAGTATGGCCTGGCTACTTGATCAATTCTTTACCCATGACCCAGCTCAGCTGACATGCATTGGTTGATTCTATCAGTAGAAGCGTCGAAATCCAGTGGAAAATGCAAGATGCCAGGGGGGGCTTTCTTCGTTGGAACTTTTGGTTATGGGGAGCCTCGGAGTGCTTACCGCACTATGATTGACGTGGCGCAAACATATTTGCAGCTACCGCCGGTCAGCAGATACGGGGGGGTTAAGAGACGTTTATAAATAAAACTGAAGATTACTTGGCCGAAGCTGGGCGGCTAGAGATAGATTACTCCCTTCATAACAGAGTTAGCCCCCGCCTTGTAGGTCTGAGCTGTGACTGGCTGCTCCCGTCACACTTTTGAGTTCTAATTTACTTGGCTGCCCTCGTGCCCGCCAATAAAAGACATGAGCCCCGACGATCCACCCAATGTAGCCCATCAGACGGTTTGGAGGGAACCTGTAAGCGCCCAACATGCAGTAGCCCAGTGTGACGCCGCAGCTGCCAATGCAATGGGATTACAAGCCCGTGTCCATAATAATAGGAGCTTCCCCATGGCCTCGAAACTACTCTCCATATTCTCTTTTGGCCTTGATCTGTTCTCGATTTGTCTCTGCAGGGCCCTGTTCCTTGACCTAATATCCCATTGCATCGATATCTTACCGTTGGCATCTGCTTCGCAAGGGAACTGTTTAGATTACCCCGCAGAGCTTCATATCGCATCATAAAATGTCTCAACATTTTGCTCCTCCCCCCCAGCAGCAATTTGCACCCCCTCCGGCGTCAGGTAAGATTCATAATCTGCGCTATCCTGCGAATTCAAATAGCTAACGAGGTCGCATAGCTCCGGCACACCAGACAGGTAATTACCTATCGGCTACGCATGCCATTGTTACCCTCCAACTCACGATGCCCAGCTTTCTTTCCCCCGCCTCCACCGCAAAGCCCCCCCTCCCAAAACAAGCCAAGTCCCACAAATCAGCACCCAGAATCCAGGCCACGGCCAGGGGTATACCCAGCAAGCATATAATCAGCAAGCATTTCAGCAAAATGCTTCTGTCCCCCGGATAGAGAGAATACCAGGTGGAGCGCCCGCTCAGCAGGATTTCCGAGGTGCAACTGCAACAAGCGAGGACAATGTCGGAACCTTCAATGGTGGCAGCTATCGCGTCAGCCACCGTGATGTCAACTCGATTCTTACGGTGCAGTTAGCCATGGGCGCACCACTCATCGTCAAACCAGGCGTCATGATCTCGATGTCAACCACCATCACATTGAAGGGAGAATTCCATTTCTCTTGGAAAAAGGTTATTTCGTCAGGCAAAATGAGCATGTCCCACTACACCGGCCCTGGAGAGCTTATCCTAGCCCCTTCGAGCCTTGGTGATCTCATGGTGCTTCCCATGCGGGGAGATAAAGAGTGGTTGTGTGGCAGAGATGCTTTCTTAGCCCATACCTCTGGTGTCAAGCATGATTACGTATCCCAAAGTCTTTCCAAGGCCGTGTTCTCTGGCGAAGGTCTCTTCGTCTATAAATTGACCGGCACTGGGATTATGTGGCTGCAGAGTTTTGGTGCTATCATCAAGAAAGATGTAAGCTCCTAGTATACTGACCTATCGATTTTGGGAAATGGCTAATTCCGTATTCTCTTAGCTTGTCGACGGTGAGTCCTACTATGTCGATAATGGTCACCTAGTGGCCTGGAACTGTAAATATACCCTGGAGCGTGTCGCAAGTGGCGGTATCATATCAAACTTCGCAGGAGGTGAAGGGCTTGCGTGCCGATGTGAAGGGCCAGGCACAGTGTACTTGCAGACGAGAAACCTGAATGCATTCGCCATGCACATGAAGGTCAGCACCGCAAGTGGCTGACGGATATGCGTCGAGGAAATTGCCTTTTTGTCTATAGGTCAGCGTTTATTGGCAGAACATGTATACAATCAACATGCAGAGCAGGGCTCCTTGCATTTCATAACCAAAGCAAGCATATTACCAGTACACATGTCCAAACTTAAGGTCGTTAATCTTTTTGAATTGATATGAATACCGTACAGCATTGCGGACATATCAAGTCTCATTCCTAATGAACGAGTCTATTTTCAAGTCATATCCTCATTTCAAACCCACAATGGCAGGCCGCGACCCCCGAGGTTCGGAAAAGTAAATGCTCTCCTGAGTTTATCCAGCTTAGCCAGTACGCTTCCTGTTGAATTGATTAGCATGTGGTACTGTGAGATTCGTGATGTGGGGACTTACCGGCGTCCGACTTGTCCACGGAAACCAGTCTTGATAGTCGCGACGGAACGACGACTGCCACAGGAAAGACAGGTACAGAAGTATAATCTGGGAGAAAAAGTCAGTAACCATTGGAAAGACAAAGTGTAGGGCATAGGTAGCATACCGGTTCTCTCCCTTGTTGAGTTCGGTATCGGGGCTGCGGCAGGTTTTGCAGGTGACGTATTCGACTATATTCACATTAGCGAACAATCCAGCGAGTATTGTACTTCAGGCAATAATTACCAATGTATCGACGCAAAACACTCTCGATGGCACGCTGGACGAAACGACCCTTGATGATAAGACGTCCACTTCCGTCAACACTACCACTGGTACCCAACCTTGTTCATGTTAGCGGGTGGTGGCAAGAAGTAAGATTGGGAATGACTCACTCAGCAAAAAGATAGGCAATCAAATGCTCTGGCGAACGCTTCATACGACGGCTGATATCCTGAATGTTGGCGAAAACAGTCTAAACCCGTATTAGCACCTGAATATGGCGCAAAATGGCTCGCTCAATCCCTACCTTTCGGTTACCCTCGCGCAACATTTGAGGAGGAGGAATTTTGTATGATTTGGTTCCGCTCGCGAGCATGTCGGGGTGGTGGCTTTGGATGAGGTTGAAGAAGCGGGAAATGAGCAGGGAGTAAGGAATCTGCTGAGTGGATGACTGGTTCCAGATACCAGTGCCGAGTTCGGGGTCTCCCTCAGGCACGGGCTCCTCCTCAGGCTGGCCCTCATCGTTGTCAAGGCCAGCCTCAGCAAGCTTGGAGTCGAAATCGCCGGTGTCGGGGGGTCTTTTTCGACTTCTTCTTCTTCTTCTTCAAAGCGGATGGGTCGAACTCGGCATCGCCGGCAGGGGTCTCGCCTTCCTCGCCTTCCTCGGTATCCTTTGACTTCTTGGACTTCTTCTTCTTGGAGAGACCCTTGAACATCTCAGTCACCTCGTCAACATCCTTATCTGTGGTCACAGTCGCGCTTGTTAGTCGGTCCTTCGTCGGAGTGTTGATGGCATTTCTCGTACCAGCAGCGGCATTGCCATTAGCGCCCTCGGTAACCTCGCCGTTGGTGTCGGTGATCACGTCACCCTCGGTGAACGCGACGGATTTGCGCTGGCTCTTGGCTTCGACTTCCTGTAAATACCTCATGATTAGAAGTGAAACAACATATGGCAGTATTTAAATATGCGTCGTGAAAGATACACTCCAGAAATCGCCAAACCAACGTATTCAAAAGGCAGTTTGAACGGAGGTTGTGGCGATCTTCTGTAACGGAGGGGCAACGCAGAAAATGTGCATGTGGGCTGATTGGGAAAGACCAGGGAGAGACATACAGTGTCCGCCATGTTGGGTGGTTGGACTGGCTCTTTCTTGATACCTGAGAAAAGCTCGGGTATGGCGTCAAGTAGCGGATCGAAGGTCGGGGTTATGGGCAGCAGCGAAGTTATATCGATTCCACTTTTTATCGACTCGGTGGCGGGACACGTGAGATGACTCAGTGTGTGGGCGTTTGCAGATCACGTGGATCTGGCGGAGCCCGGGGGAAACAACATAGACTCCAACACCAGCGTCACTTGTCAACTCCGCGGCCAAACCGATGCTCTAATCCCAGAAGGTAGTTGGCAGGTCACTGCGCAGTCCCGAAAACTTCTTGTTCAAGGTTAATTGCCTATATAATTCACAGAATGGAATCTGCTTCCAACGCTTCGATCTTGTCCTCCGCGTACCTGGTCCCGTCTTCGCAGAGCGCCTATGAGACCGAGGACGATGTCGCGTCTCTGCCTTCTGATTCCGCCTCCACTTCCGACCTTGAGACCTTGACAGATGATGGATCCGATGCCGAGGCAGAATGGCAAGAGAGTCTGGAACAGTTGGAGTTGTTATTGACAATGGTCCTGATACCGTTCATCGGCAAGTTCTTAGGGCGCAAATGTGCATACTGGAGTATGTTACCTTCTCTGAATCTGATAAACAATATGCGCAGATTGAACTGACGCGACTTCTCAGGTTGGGCCCGAGTTATGGAGCACTACTACCCCGATGTCGAGGTCAAGATCAAGAGCCCCGCGACTTTCAAAGCCACCGGTGCGGTCGAGGCTGCAGCAACCCTCTGATACCCTCTTATTGTTTTTTTCTTTTCTCAACAAACTTCGCATCGCTGGCGTTTACGTGAAGGCTTTCGATATTCGGTGTTTAGATGGGACCTAGCCAAAATCTGAATCTCTCTCAATCCAGCTTAAAATGACGAATCAGAAAACGGACCTAATCGCCGAACTTGAGGCATCTCCTCGATACACTGTGTGCTTAATATCGATTCTTCTTAGAGACTGTATATACCCGGTCAAGCAGTACTCCTGTACAGCACGGCTCCCTTATGCATTATCACGCCCCTATGGACGTGATCTCTTTCGATCCTTGATTCAATTGTGCTTTCGTGGGACAGGCGAACTTTATGCAAGCCAAGGATAATAGTTGCAGCGGTTGAGAACAAATAACTGATTTTCCCGAGGTCATGACTCCGCTTACACAAAGAGCATATGGTCTTCGCATACTGTGTAACTTATCGTGCATATGCAGCGGAGTTGGAGACTTTACTGGGCCTAAGTACATGATTCATTGCCATACTTATCCGTAAAGCCTGATTTGGAGGAATTCCTTTCAGATCCGCAATCTTTGCACACAGTACAGAGTGGAAATTGCTATGCGTAGATAACCTGTGACAGGAGACCAATTCGGGGTACTTTTCAAGGATACGATGGCTGCAAATACTCATGAGGCGACGATGTACGTGAACCTTCTGCAATGAAAAAACAGGGAGGCTCATGCAGTCACTCTAATACAAGATGTTTCTTCGCCAAAATCCCGGGGGGTACAGATGGGTTGTGGGAGGTGCGGTTGGAGCGGTAAAATCCGATTGTTTCTTAGTGACTAAAAAGACCGAAGATGAGGATAGATCCAGCCTTTCCTCTCCGTTGGGCGCTATGAATTCTGCAGGTTCATGATGAGCCGCCAGTGGGACTTTGGAATCGATGGGGCGCTGAGCTGTTTCAATTTCAACAGCGGGGTGCGAAAGAGTATCAATGGACCCAAAGAATGACGAGTTCACGGTCTTGAGGAGACTCTCTTCTTTAGGGTTTCGAACGTCAGGCTGTGGCATCAAACATGGTGACTTCATGTGACTGATCTCATTGTCGCCTTGGGGTCCCATAATCGCCCAGAAAGCAGCATCCAGAGACCGAAAGAAGGTCACATCGGTATCTGCTCCAACGTCAACTTCACCAATCCTTATACTTTGATTGTGTTCCACCGATTGGGAGGATTGCGTGGGACCGTCATGCGTATTTAATTTGGTATTTGTGAGACCTGTAGGGTCACTAGTGAAGTTTCGTGAGGGACTTGAACAAGAAAGTTCTGGACGCATGCCCTTTATAGAATCGTTTGGATTAATGTTGGATGGTCTCATGACACCTGTGACCGCTCGATCGTGGTAAGATGAAGTATTGCTCGGCATTTCGTGTTCACTTGGTATATCCAATGCAGTGCTGATACTGATGATAGAGCCAGCGTCATGACTCTCATTCCACAATGCCATTCGGCTCTGTAGCAGAAGCTTCAAATCGTCCAGATTGCAATACTTCTTATTCGCGCTCGTAAAAACGGGTCTCTCGCCTGTCGTTACAGGTAAAACTCCTGCATGCAGGATTTCCATGAGATAACCCTCAATTTCCTTTTCATCGTCAGGTGCTTTGGACGCCGTTTCGGACCATGTGAACGGAGTGGCTGAATGGCATGACAGTAGTTGACCAACCATCTCAGGTGTCGTAGGCTGACCAGATTTGGTTGTTTCTTCGAAGGCCTCGACGATTGGAAAGCCAAGCCGCCGGGATTTGGAACCTGGCCACGTGGGAGATCCAAAATAGAGATGATGGGGTAAGTCCTTCCGTCCAAGGTTATTCAAATTGCTTTTTGGTTGCCTTTCGAGACGCGATACAGAGTCTCCACAAAGTGTTTGCTCTAACTTAGGTTTGAATCGCGCCATATCCATTGTTTCGTTGAACCTCATTGGGGATGAAGCCTTGGCTCTGCCGAAGATGCCAAGTCTTTGATTAGTCTGCAGGGTAAGCCTCCCCCGAGGTACATTGGGTGCTTGGAAATCATCATTCATAGTGTGCTTTCGGCTCCGCCGTACTCTGTGCCTGCTTTTGTTCTTCGTAGTTCTTGGCTGGCAGGTCGTGGACGCAACGGGCTTATATTCATACCGGTCCTCTCGAGTCTTTCGTCGTGGTCGTCGTTCAAAGGCATGGGGTTCGTTCCTCCTCAGACAGTCATGCAGGGTCAAATCCCGATCTGGTGAACACGCGGTATGTTTCAGATGTTCTTTCCGGCAGTTTATCTCAGACGCCAAGGGTGACTCGAGTGGACGTTTCAGGCCCAGACTTGTCATTAGCATTCGCAAGTAAACGGGGGCTCTCATAGCTCACGATCAGTACTCGTAGGATCGGTGACATTTGCGAGCCATTGGCATATGATCCCACGCTCTGTAGCTTGCGAGTCCATGGGTAAGTGTCTGGGATATAATGCAGAATTCACTTCGGGGGAACGGAAAGACCCGCGTACGATCGCATGCTCGAAGGTTACGGCAGGCACGATTGCCGGGACGAACAAGGTTCAAAAAAATCCCCCTCGAACTTTATTCTTCACGTTTCTTCACTTCGAATGTCTCCGACGGGAAGTCGACCAATCATCTCCGCTATGTGCAGACAAATATGTATACCTGCAGCGTGCAGAAAATTAGGCCAACAGTCTCTCGAACCGCAAGGGACAGATAAAGAACATATCTGAGAGCCCAATGGCAAGAGGATCTTGGTGCTGGAGAAGCTAGGGCTCGCCCTCCCATGACTCAATTGTACTGGAGCCACCAGTAGGGCTGCCCAGTCGATCCATGCGCCGATCTTCGCTCTCCTCCGGGATCCTGCCGATGTATGGCCATAGCGGCTTGTGGGTCAGCCCCTCCTGCGGACGATGCGGTCGGACTGGAGGCGAGAAACCCCTCTGAAAGACTAAGCCCATCCGGGACCTCCCACTCTGCAACGCGTGTGCTGGGCCAGGCCATTATGGGCACCTCGCAGCCGAATAGAACCACGGCGGATCCTTGTGTATACGGTTGATGTGCCGGGACTGTGAGGTATACGGGGCAAAAGCCAGAGCTTTGTACATCAGAGTTGCCACGGCATCTAGGGCTACACGCGTGGTTAGGTACGCGGTGGTCGAACCGGGAATTTTCTTTTTGAGGCAATTGTGCACTTGCACCTGTTCGAGGCGTAGCTGGCCTTCTTTTATTTTGCTTTTTTTCGCCATTCGCCCCCTCATGACCTTTTAGCGGCGAGTTGTTTCTGAAGAGGGGAATCCGGCCGTCACTAGCGTGGTTTTTCCCATTATCCAAATCCAGTGACACGCATTTGATTGACAGAGGGCCTTGGAAAAGACGGATAGGATGAATAAACCCATTGGAAGGTTTTTATTCTGGTAGAATTAGAGGGGTTAAAGGATCGATGATCGTCTTCTCTCCTAGCTTTCCGCTCCTCCCCGCCTAGAACCTCTTGCTCGCCCTCGAGTTGCGTCGACGGACTCATCAGGTAAGCATTATATATACTCTCTGGAGCTTCCTATTGGTAGCCTTCAGAAATTAAAAAAAAAAACCCGGGAATCTCTAGGGTGTGGAAACCCTAAGGTAGAGAAAGTTGCATGTTACACCCACGGTCTCGAACCCGGCTGACTTCTTCCTCTTGACGAACTAGGGTCTCCCTCCAAATCTTCCCTCCACCACAACTTTCTATTCTTAGCAAGCCGCACTTCCATTTCTCCGCTCTTATCTTTTTCTCTACTTAACTTTTGCCGTGAAGTCTCCGCCATGGCTTCCAAGCTCTTCATCCAGTAAGTTTTCACTATTCCAACCTCGGTTCACGTCGTGATCACCCCACATTTGCGCGATCTGGAGGATATACTTGACGATGGTCCAAAATCAACTAACGTATCTGGATTGGCAGTGGCCTTTCTTGGCACACTGACGATGAAACTCTTCGCCAGGGCTTTGCCCACTACGGTCAGATTCACGAAGCTGTAAGTATTCCACCGCTACTGTCCGATAGAGCTGCTCTTGCGTCGGTTTGCTAACCCACGATTATTCTAGGTTGTGGTCAAAGACCGCGCCACCATGCGGAGCCGAGGCTTTGGTTTCGTTCGCTTCGAGACCGAGCAGGAGGCGCAGGCGGCCATCGACGCTATGAACGGCAACGAGTACGTGTTTTCATCCTGTATGACAATGAAGTCAACTAACTTAGTCTTCTAGGTTCGATGGCCGCGTGATCCGCGTCGAGAAGGCCATGAACCGTCCTCAACGCCCCGATGGTGGCTTTCAGGGCCGCGGTGGTTACAATACCCAGCCCTCCGGCTATCAGGGTGGTTTCGGTGGCTCCGCTCAATTCGCCGGCCAGGGCGGTGCTCAAGGCTCTCCTCAAGGGTACAACCGCGGTGGGTATGGCTACAACACCTACCAGGGCTACGCCGGCAACCAAGGCTACAGCCAGAGCCAGGGCTACCCCTCTTACGGTGGTGAGAATTTCTCTGATGCGTTCCTGTCGACAACTTCTGACATGTCTATACTATAGGGCCTTCTCACGCCAATCCCAACGCCAACGCCGGATACGGTACCGGCAGTAAGTATCCAGTCTGCCCACGCTGCTTTCGTCACATGTACTGACTCTTCCTAGACTGGCGAGGCCCCGAATCGCAGCCCGGTCCTGAGGGCAACTAGACCCTCTTCGATACCCATTGAGTTTCCTCCTGCGTGTGCGCTTTTTTCGATTCTATTTCTGCCTCGATTCCCTTTCTGCCTCATTTGACAATACCTGGGGATACTTTGGATGGGCGGGGCGCTGTTTATTTCCTTGCGGATGGATTGTGGTTTTTGCAGTCTTTTTCTTGTTCGACTTTATTTCGTTTCTTTCTCCCCGACAAGGGTCGCCGCGGTAGACCAGACTTGCGTGAACCATAGCTGCTTTCAATGTCCTGTCTTTACCATTGTCCTTTTTTTTTCTGGGATGTGGATACCGTACATATGACGGGCCTATCCACTTACGAGTAAGCAAAAGTTCCAAGCAAGATGAACAACTTATCTCTCACAGTACTTTCGTTCCTAGCAGGTGGACTGTCTCACTCTCACCTTGTATTAGTAGGGTCCCTTAAGAAGATCTCCGTACAATGCAGTACGTACAAGCGCGCAGATAGTTATACAAGACGGAGGCTTCAACATATTAGAAATCCTGTGATGAGTAGGAATATTTCAATGAAAATAATAAGACACAGGTAATCTTTTAACTTAAGTTTGGCGGAAATGTAACGGAAAGCGGTGGTGGGGTGTTGATGTCTTAGGGCATAAGGTTGATACAACTATTATAGCTGGCATGAATGGGCTTGCTAAGAAGTGTGATAGATAATTAAGTCATAAAGGTACCTTGTCCTTCTTTTCTTAGGCTTGGCGTCAAATTTCAACGGCCATGCGTTTTCCCTTGACAAGGGATTTAGCTACTCAAATCTATTCAGGTAAGGCGACAAGGCATCACTTTGATTGTTTTGCAACTGAGCTGCAGACGTCCTTACCACCAGTAGGGTTATCCTAGTTAGGCCGAGGTTATTATCCCATATAGGAGATCCACCGCTTTATATTCCCTACGGTTCGACAAGCCCACAAGAGTTGTCTCTATCATTCCCTCAATACCGCTAGCTACCTTCGCTAGGATCCAGATATCTGTTTACATCCTTCTCAGCTTCTCGTTCATCCGCCTCTACCTGCTCATCGGCCTCGATTGCCTTCACCCTCCGTACCAAATCTGTGACATGTAAATCTGCGCTTCCAAGTCCAATGCTCTCCAAAGCCTTCTCAAGAAGAAACAGGTACTCGGCGTTCTTCCCGCTCTGTCCCTGCCCAGCACTGATAACCTGTGCTACATTCTGCGGTTCACGTTCAGCAGGATCGCGGAGGAACTGGGGATTCGTCGGCTGCCCGATATAAACCATGCAGATGATCGGTGTTCCATATCCTGCTGTGCCAGGGACTTGGCTCTCGTCTACGGACGTGGGATGGAATGGGGTATAGTGAGCGCTGTAGCCGTCTATCTCCCGCTCGTCAAGATAGTCGTGGACTTCCTCGGCATGGGAGGCTGGGATGTGGTATGCTACGCCCCAAACTTTATCTGCGGAGGACTGGTTCTCCACGCGTGCGAGCTGTTATACACAGTTAGCTATGCGAGTATAGCATGGTGGAAAGAATTGAGCAAGGCACACCGGGTCATCTAATGTTTCCCAAAAGCTGCGCTCGATCACGGTGACGACTCGGCCTGGTTGCTCGGGAGTTCCTCGGTGATCCGTGCTGAAAGAGATCAGTTATAATTCCCCGGCATGTGTTGGTTGAGGCTATGCTTTGGGGCAAGATTTATACTGCATACCTTGCCTGTTGATGAAACTTTCGTCAGCAGGTGCGAGGCGTCAGTGCAAGATTGGAAATTTAATATCATCCTCACCTGCCAGAATCTGCGAACATAACCGCTGATATATCCCGGAACACGTTGATCTAGTCTCCAGTCAGATAAAACGCGACGGATTGAGCATTGAATTTGGATGATTGCATCAATATAGCCAGATTTCCTATATTAGTGAGACTCACCATAATGGGGTGGAGGCTTCCAGATTAAACTCCTTGGATCATTAGCATACGTTCTATCGCGAATGAAGAGCCACGATCTCCCATTCTTGAATGCTAACATACCCATATCCAAACACCCATAAGTCACCTTTCGGGAAATGTGTCTTCCATGTGCGGCCTTCTGGGTGTACTTGATGGCCCTGTAGAATAGCCGCCATCGTTGTAGTGCGGTCTAAATCCGATTGCGCAGAAAAAGAAGGAAAGCCGAGACTGGAACCCCCTGAGTCAACTGCCTTTCAACTGCCTTTCGACTGCCTTGTCTATGTCCAAGCCCAGTAAATATCAAAAACGATCTATGTTTTGTACAAATTCAGATTCCCCCCCGCTGTCCGGCTCTCGGTGCTGAGAAATCGGTTTGCAGTGTTTGCTTCGGCTCCGCTCGCGTCATTTACACCGTGATGGGCTAATTGGCATATGAAACTGTTCATTCAATGGGAACATGTGGAATACGTATTGACTAGAATTAATTTCCATTTCCTGAGGAGCAATTCCAGGTGGCTGGTACTCATGGTTTCAATGTACCGCGTTGTAGTTGTAGATAAGCCATCGAGACGATATACTGCCCGCCAGGGCCTAATTCCAGGAGCTTGATAATAGAGACCAGTGGCCTCAGGACTCTTGCACCAAAGTGTGTACTTTTCAATTGGCAACGTTCCGTCGATATGGGCAACTCTGTCAAGCACAGCATGCAGGGTATCGTTGCGCAGATTATCGGTTGTAACATGAGAGCGGAAATCCTGCGCTACAGTCAGTACAATCTATAGGGCTTCCTTATACTCGGCATGGTATGTTGCGAGCATGGACACTGCATCGCTAGGCTTGCGCGCCGATATTCCATTGTTGGCACATTTCAAGGCTGCAATATATCCGCCCATCATTACAGTCTCGACTATTTTGGTCTTGTTCACTTCAGAATCTTCTAAAGGCCCGAATTTATAATAGTAGTTGCCATTTCGTGTAGACGTGTTGCATATGGTTGGTGTCTTGGACTTTGGCAGTGTCCTAGGATAGATTCGAGTAGCTCCCGGTCAGCAGTGAAACCTCTCTTGAGGACTGTGACGACTACACCAGCGCCAGTCTAGCGGCTTGGTGTTGTGAAGCATGTGGACAGATGCATTCACTTCCACTCTAGGAATTGAGGATTGGAAAAGAAATTGGGGAACGGAATGAAATGCAATTGAGTCTGGAATTGATATCGGGTAGTAGACTCGCACGCAGAAGCAATTCAAGGAAGTTAAGCAGAACAAGAACCATAACCACCAACGCCCGACCATGAGAAGCTAGAAAATAGAGTTGACAACTGGGAGAGAGTTCGTTAGGAATAAAACAAAGCTAAATAGGGACAGGTGCACTTACGATCTGCGCCAGCCGCAGCGCCAGCACCGAAGATAGCTGCATTTCCGAGTTTCTTCCCGAACTTCTTCCCACCCTGCGCGAACTTGTTGCTGCTCGGGTCTGACGGGGTACTAGGCTGGCCTCCTTGGCTAACCTCCATCGGCATATTTCCATAACTGGGTGGGGCCGCTGCAGAGGATGGCTTCTCATCAATGACGTTGACGTAGCTCCGGGGGGAATATCCCCTGCCCGCCGGTGCGCTCGTTGCGACCAGCCCACCAGTCTCCATTCATATACTCAGACACCTGAATCTTGTCGCCGACATTTAGCGCCAAGTCGCCAGGGTCGGTGGGAGTGTATGCGTAGAGTGCAGTTGCGACTGCTAGCACCGGAGGAGCTTGAGGAGGTGGTGCTGCCTGGGGCGGAGGAACTGGGGGAGGAGAGAATGCTTGCGGAGCGACAGGGACGGGTGATCGAACGGGTTCCGGCAGGGGTGCTTTCTCATTCAAGGACAAATTGTTCATCGGCGTGGTAGGAGGCGGCTGCGCATGGAAGCTTGGAGGGGCCACCGAGGCGGGGCTTGAAGAAGTCTGCGCCTGGTATACGGAGCGAGCAGCATTTTCGTTGGTGGGAAGTTGGGAAAGAAGTGATGAGAGCTGTTGCTGGCTAATAACCGATGCGTCGGCCAAAAACTCGAGTTCCTGTGATCCGGATCAGGGACCATTCGGGGCCTGAGTGGGGCATAACCTACCGTCTTGACTATGCGGAGCGACCTCGCGGTCATGGCAGAGGAGAAATCGCTAGCCATGGTGTGGATGGAAGATTGATCTGGGGCGGATAGAACTATGCAAGAAACGGGATCGGTGGCCCTGGATCGGCTTAAGGAGGAAGTGGGTTCGCCCAGAAACCTTCCGCTCCCGGGCTTCCGCCCCATTTGTTGATGCCTGGCGGAAGTCCAACACGCCGAGCTCCAATGGCCTTTCCCCCCTTTTGAAAAGGAACAAATTTCGGGAACACCAAGGCTTTTTGATTACACAACTCTAACACAAATTATAAAGGAACACAGACCAAAAACAAACAGGTTGTTAGTGTCTCCTGGGACACTCATAAGATCCATGGTTTACTAGTACATGGTACCAAATCAATACAGATAAGAAGTACCACCTTTCCAAAAGGAATCTAAAGCTTTCTGGATGCATCTAACTCACATATATCTTGAAAATTTCTAGCCAAGGCCATCCTCTATCAACGCAGTGGTAGTCGATGTCATTTACGTACCTGTCTTGGCTTCTCTGCCGGGATCCCTGAATGCGTCAAGAATTTTCAAGGTCCGTATTACAAACACGCCTATTATATTTAGAGCGCTTTTCCTTTCTGGTTTATACAGGAAAGATACCTCACAGAAGCCATGCAGGAAGTCAGCAAGTGCATGCGCAAAAAAGATATGTAATGTGACTCGAACTTCTCCATCTTCATGCCCTGAAGTCCAGATTTGTGAATCAAATCATCCTAGGACTGAAGGCGTGGAACATATCTTGTTTGCAATGAAAAGGACCGCATCGCGTATTCAGTGGAGCATGAACAGCATACACACCTTTTGAGCTATAAGATTCTGGGGCTTAATGCTTAGTAGAATTTTACATTCGATTTCTAATTCGCGTGTGAGCATTATAATTTGCTAGCTAACCTAGGTTTGGCAATCTGGGAAATATCTTTCGTCAATTCTTTGCACCCACGGTGGATCAAGAGGAACCGTCTATGGCCAGTCGATCCCATTGAAAATAGGACTTGTTGAGCCGAGAGGTTCTGGAATATCATTGAGCCAGTGAATAACTTCAGCATATACGTGGTCCTCACTGGTCGCACATAGAGATTTTGACGGCAAGAAGCTTTGGGAGTCATGGTTGGAGTCTGAGATAGTGTGCGCTTCATACACACGGGTCGGCTGGACTTGATGCTCAGCATTCATATGAGAGCTAGTTTCGACATGGAAAGAGCTATTTGAGCCGTTGTGTAGCTGGGGCTTTCCGACACTGAAATGAGGTACGAACGGCTCCAGTGAAACATCTTCTACTTCTTCATTCAGCTGACTTATCAAATCCAGTGATGAAACTGGTATGATGACGCGCTTTCTTTTGCCAGCTCTTGGTGGATAGGATGCGCCTGAACAAGAGCTACCGATCGATGACGTTCGCGAGGGTGGTCGACCCGGACACGATCGAGGATATCCGGCCTTTAATGAAACAGGAAGGGGCCGGGGTCTCCCCGATGATTTTCGTTTCTCAGGAACTGAACCCTGCTAAAGAAGAATGTTAGCCTCTATAGTTACAAGCTATTTCAAGTGTGTATTTCTTACATTCAAAGTCACGGGATCGTGCGTAAAAAGGTACTTGGTAGGTGGTTCAAGAGGCATCGTTAGAACCTGGAGCTCATTTGAAGGGTGTCGAAATCAAACAGTCCAGCCGTGAGGCTGATATTGAGTTTCAACTCGTAAAAGTACTTAGTGACATCCGCCTCATCACTCATACCCCGCACCTGCGCCTCCGAGGCGCAGAAGATTGAGGCGCAGGGCGAGCCGACCGAGTCACCGTCAACTTGCCAATGACTGGATAATGAAGAGATAGATCCCGAGATTTGATGTTCGAAAGGTTGCTTGTTGGGCTCGGACATGGCGTCCAGTTCGCCGCTTGATCTTTGCACCGTGGTCTGGCTATGTCCGCTGGAGATCGAGCTTCGAGCCGCGCTGGCTATGCTTGACACTATATCTGACGAAATTCCGCCCAGAGTGCGTGGACAGAATGTGATCTATATGATCGGTAAAGTCGGGGCTCACATGGTAGCTGTGGTCGGCTACTACCAAGAGCAAGGTCTCGCGGCATCAGGGAGTATGGCTGCAGAGGTTATGAGAGACTTGCCAAATCTGCAGTTCGGCCTCCTGGTTGGTATAGCTGGGGGCATACCACGCCCAAACGACAACATGCAGCTGGGAGATGTTGCAGTCGCAGTCCCCGAAGGGAATCGGCCTGGGGTAGTTGGATATGATCTTGGCAAAGCGGGTGAGAATGGCAGCTTCGAGCTCAAGCATTGGCAGAATTCAACACATCCTTTCCTTCGGTCGGTGATAAACTTGATCAAAGCCCGTGGGGACTCTCGCTTTCGACGGCATCTCCCAACCCACGGGCTCGAGTTCCAAAGGCCAAAGTCTGATGTGTCAGATCCGAACCAAATACACCCAAAGGTTCACTATGGAACCATCCTCTCAGGGAACACTGTTGTGAAATCAAAAGAGAAAAGGGATCAGTTGAGCCTTCAGTACGGTGGAATTGCCGTTGAAATGGAAGCTGCAGGAATCATGACCAGATTACCCGCCGCTGTCATACGAGGCATCAGTGATTTTGCTGACGCCGCTAAGAGCAACGAGTGGCAGCCCTATGCTGCGATTACAGCCGCTGCTTTTGCGAAAGAACTATTGTTGAACTTACCCGTGGAAGCTCCCCACGAGCGGAAAGGTAGGTCTCCCGTGTTGAATACTCGCTTCGGAACGGGGACTGATATGTTCTATATACCAGATCCTCCGTTAGCAAGCTTTGCTGTAAAAAAAAGTTCTTCGCCGTTTTCAAATCAAGATATCCGGTTGGCACAAAACCTTCCAGAGCAATGGGCCTTTGCCGGAAGGGAAGCTGAGATGGCTCTGTTGAAGTCGGAGCTTGGCTTCCAAGAACGTGCACCTCTTCAAAAGATCGTCGTTGGTTTATGGGGCCTTACGGGAATTGGCAAATCACAATTAGCTGCCAGGTTCGTGAAAAACCAGAGAGAGATGCATCCAAGTCGAGAAGTTTTCTGGATCAATGGCGAATCCCGCGAGAGTCTCGAAAAGAGCGTCATTGGCATGCTCAAGTCTGGCGATGGATCTATCAATGAGATTGGAGAGCTTCGCAAAGATTCCCGAACATCGAGAGGCGATCTCATAAACCTTTTCTTCACGGAGCTTAATCATCTGGAAGACTCGCGGTGGCTTTTGATTATTGATGGAGTCAACGAAGAGCAATATCCAGCCACAAAAGACCTTCCCCCTTATGATATCCGTGACTCCATCAATGGACTGCTGAGAGGCTATGTTCTTATCACGTCTCGCCGGCGAGATATAGTTGAAAGATATCACCCCATTGAAGAGGTGAAAGGGCTATTAAACACCGATGCTGTTGGCCTGATCAAGTCAAAGGTGCATTCTCAGTATCTGCAAGGTAATACAATACTTTCCTTTCTTCGACTACCCTATGACTAAAGCATTCCTGTAGGTGTCGAGGCATTAGTAAACTTGCTGAAAGGTCTACCACTGGCTATTCGACTGGCCATCTCCGTAATCTCGCGTGATCGTTGTACCTGCTCAGATTATCTCGATCGATGGACCAGCCGCGACGAAGCGAGAGAAGTCTTGGGGACCAATGACACACTGTATCGGTCTCTCGACTTGAGTTTTGAAGAACTCGAACATGCGGATCCGATCGCGGCGAAAATTTTGACTCTGTTCAGCTTCTTGCATCACCATGATCTGTGGTACGAGTTGCTTCACAATGCTTCGGAAGATATTTACCCCTCTTGGATTCAGGGCATAGCCGCAAGAAAAGTCTCATTCCAACGTTTGTCTGGTTTATTGGCCGACTTGTCGTTCATCGAACGAAAAATACATTCAAATGATAACCGAAGATGGGAAATACATCCGATTATTCAGGCAGTGGCTCGGCAAAGAGCCCAGGCCAACGAGGGTGAGTACATGGTGGTTGCCATCTCACTTGTCGCTTCTGCAGTTCCAAGGTCGCACGAGGAAAGTGCCTGGGGAAATATGAGGCGCCTGGCCCCTCATGTCGAGGTGTGCTGGAAGTATATTGAACGAGGGCGATGGGGCCCTCAGACGGATCTCACCGACTTGGAGAGCCTGGCCCGTGTCTTTCGACATATCGGACGGTATAACGAGGCATGCTTGATGTATCGAATGATCGAACACGGCCTTCAGCAGCACAATCTGAGTTTTGATAACAAAGAGTTTCTAGCTGACACGCTGACCAACCTTGGGCTCGTGTATACAAGGCAATGGAGATTTGACCTGGCTTTGAATACATTCAACCGGTCGTTAGAGCTCATGCGGGAGCTTGGCATTCTCACACCTGACGCTTTGATGTCAGTCCAATACAACAAGGCCGTGGTCTTTGTCTTCAAAAACGAGCTAGACGAGGCCGAGATCCTGCTCCGCCGTGCAGCCTCACACTTCGCTGCGCGAAGTACGGACCCAAGCTCTTTGCTACAGATTGGACGGGATTCCATCTATCTTCGCATAATGAACGACCTTGGAGAAGTCCTCCTCCAGAAGGGGGACGTCAAATCGGCCTTTGAGATCTTCAATCATATCCACAAGCAGCAGCATTTTCATCAAATGGAAGCCAATCAGACAATTCTTTCGATCGAACTCAACATCGGAAGGGCATACAGTAGAGCTGGGAAGTATGCAGAGGCTCGCGATATACTCATGAACATAATAGAGGTCTACACCGAATTTTGGGGAAGACATCATCCAGAAACGATGAGAGCCATCCATGAACTTGCCTGGACCCTTATGGAAAAGGGTAAGACCAAGCAAGACTGTGGCGAGGAGGGCTTCCACGAGTTCAACGCCGCCGAGGAGCTTTGGAACGAAGCATTGGGCTTTTACAAGGAAAGTCATGGTCCTCAATCAGACTTGGTGGTCCGAATGAGAGCGAATTTGGAACATCTCCATGTACTAAAGAATCCAGGTTGGGATTTCATCGGTATATGATTGGCTATTGGAAGGCTTACAGGGTCAAATCATGAAATCGAAAAATTCCAAACTGCATTACTTCGAGCCATATAGAGTTGTCATAGCGACGGTCAACTTGGATGCCGGCGAGTCCCACTGCTGCAAGTCCTTTCAAGTTTCAATCAGGTTGGCGTAGCCCCAAGTCGTTACAAGCTCATGTTTAACTTCACCCCACCACGCGGGTAACAGTAACAGCGTCCTAAGCCATGTAAGTGTTAGACGTGAATTAGAATTAACGGACTGAAAGATAGTTACGTACCAGTCCGAAATCGGTCTCGAATTTGGTGGTCGTACTTTCGTAGATCAAATTCGGGTTTGGTTTCAGGGTACCAGCTTTGCCAGCCTCAACCATCGCGCTCTTCTGTTCTGTGGTCGACTCAACCCACTTGAGGTAATGAGGTGCCCCGGGATATATGATATTATCGGCCACCAGAACGGACTTCCCTGGCTTGAGAAGATTTAATTCCTCCATAAGCCACAAGTCAGGTAGATAACGCTCCTGCCAGTGATCGATAAAGATGAGTTCGATGTCTTTGATTACTCCATCTTGGACGAGTTGTTTTAAAGTATCATCACTGGACCCAACCAAAACCTTAGCTATGCCTTGTAGTCCAGCTAGGTCGATGAGCTGATTGGCCACAGCAGCCATTTCAGGGTTCAGCTCAAGGCCTAGATATTGTTTCCCTCCATTCTTAGAGAGGGCTTCTGCAAAGAGGATTGCGCTATAACCGACGTAGCTACCAAGCTCAACCATTGTAGAAGGCTTTCTCTCATCGAGGAGATTGACAATGTGTGCACCTTTTGTCGGACCGATATTCATGAGTACGTTAAACTGACTATGATAGTCGTCAATCGCCGCAAGGACTTTCTGGGGATTGTTTCGAATTTCCTTGATGTCTTTTCGGCCATAGATATAGTGAAGGAGGTCGACCTCACGGCCATCCTGTGTTTTGTTAGACGAAGAACTGGGAGCATAGACACGGGCTTTCACTTACAAGTGCGAAGTCGCGAGCGGGAGGAGCGTGCTGCTTGATAGACATAATTGTTCAGATGTGAATTTGAACAACTACATGTATCGAAAGTTGATCGATAGCTGCTACTATCTGGTTTGTGAATGGAAACAAACGCTTGGAGGACTACCAGCTTTATAGACTGGCAGGGCTATGATGATCATATACTCTAAGAGCCAAAGTTGACCTCCGGAGTTTTCAACGGAAAACGAAGTTCGGATATAAGTGCTACTCGAATACGACCTCCGAGCCCCGTTGCTCGGAGATCGGAGATCTGGACACACATCCCCTCAAGTAACTCCTTGGAGACAGTGCTCAACGGACTATCGCATATTCCTGCATATTCCTCGGCCTGGCCCGACCATCCCCAGCCTTGAGACTAATGAATGTTTAGATCCGAGTTCGGGGAATGTTCAGCAATACAATAGCATTACGACTTTGCTTCTAGTCCCGCAAACCATGTACCATATATGCTCCATAGTAAAAAGCATTACTTTACCACTGTGTCACGTCGGGCGTGAAGACCGGTATCTCCGAGGAGTCCAAACGCGATGACTTTGGGCCCCGGGGAGAGTATCCAGGGTTATATAACAAACAAAGATTTAGGTAGTCATTGGACAGCATCCGTAGCTCATTGCCTTAGCTGTCGATATCAGGGTATCTACATAACAGCGTTGGATTTTACTCATGGATGCCAACAGCCGCCACACGCCCGCCTTATGACATCATATCAATCTATCTTCCATTGGGCAAGCTTACGCGATCGCACACAGAATAACAGCAAACAGGGGTGTCGAAATCGCCTCTTATATAATGCAAACTCTGGTTCCCGGTAAGCATCAAGAACTGTACCCTGGTGACTCAAAAGTCAAAGGCTGATGATTCACAGCTTAAGCCAGCCCGACTTCCTGAAAAGGTTTAGTGCGGGTCCGGTGGGGGGACTACTCTGGAATCTTCGACGGTTTAAATGATTTCATTCTCCAGCCTCACGCGATCATTCTTCCCTATCATACCGCACACTCGCTCCAGACCTCAGCACGCGACTTCTCAACACGCTCCTAAATTTAACAATCATGTCGGACTGGGATACTGTTACCAAGATTGGCAGCAAGGTTCGTGGCGGCGCCGCCGGACCCCGCGAGACTACCATCAAGGGCCGTTCGCAATTGAACGCCGCACAACGGTCCGGGGCCATCCTCGGCACTGAAAAGAAGTACACAACTGGCAACATTGTATGTTGAGACCTTGAATGCGTCCGTATCAACTATTCTTCGACAGAGCTAACAAGTCCCAGAGCGCCAAGGCCGGTGCCCCAGAAGGCCAACACCTCACCAAGGTCGACCGCAGTGACGACATCATCAAGCCCAAGACAGTCGGTACCCAGGTCGCCGATGCCATTAAGAAGCGCCGTAACGATGAGGGATACAAGATGACCCAAAAGGAGCTGGCCACCAAGTGCAACACCACCGTCACGGTCATTCAAGATTTCGAGCGGGGCACCGCCACTCCTGATCAGAAGGTCCTCTCAGCAATGGAACGAGTCCTCAACGTCAAGCTTCGCGGTTCCGACATAGGGGCGGAGAAGTTCCCCAAGAAAAAATAGACGACGATATGTACTTTCTTGCATCTTGTATTCTTTTTTTTCTTTTTGATGACTGCAATGTCACATCGCTATGGCGCGATGTCTATTGTTCTACTGCTTCTGCTGGTCGGATTAGCGCTAGCCTTGCATGGAATTGGCTGATAAACACCCATGAAATGTATAAATGAGATACCTTCATCAAAATTTGGACCACGCACGAGTAGACGATCCAGTATTAGAGCGCTCGGAGTAGGTTTGCGTGATGACATATCTTTGTGGGGGGTTGATGTCAAGGTCCAACACGGTTTCCACGGTCCACGACTGCCAGTGTATACGACTATCTAAATTAGTGCTAAGGCGGTATGATGAATCGTGCAGATTTCGGGACCAGTTCCATCAGAATACTCCCATTGGTTTTATGTACAAGATAGAAAATAATACTTTCCAATAGGATAGCAGCAGATTCAAATGTTACACTGGGGCGAATCCCAGACTCTACCGAGTACACATCATATAACCTACTGACAGAGGACCATCATTCGAGTTTTGCAAGGCTTCGTGTCTATTGTGTAATATGTTCAATATCCTCAACCGGCAATTCATAAATCCCAGCAAGGTTTAACATATAGCTCGAACCTAAAGAAGTGAAGCATGCTCTTTTATTAAACCAAAAAATAACTCCGGTTGATCATGTAGGAATCAAGCAATGAGGACCGTGCCTTGAAAGGTCATCATCTCATCTCATATGCTGAACTCGGCAAATCGAGTCTTTATAGCATCATAAACACGTACACAGAATATTGACTGAATCACTTTTTTTTTGCCATTTCTTTTTTTCTTACTTTCGCAATTGCTCCCGCTCGACCTCGTACATGAAGTCGAAGTAGGGCTTGTCGAAGTGGTGGATACGAACGTAACCGTCTTCACCACCAGAGGCATATGCGGTTCCAGCGGGGTGGACATCAATGGTGTTGAGGGGACCGAAGTGACCACGAACACGGCCAATCTCGTCTTCGAAGATCTTGTGATAGAAGCGGGCCTCGAATTTACCCTGGCGAGCAGACGTGGTTGTGACATCCATAGCGGCTTGACCACCACCCAGGATCACGTAGTCCTTCTTAGGAGTAATGCTTGCGGAGTTGAGAGGGGTATCAGCGGGGTAGGTCTTGAGGATGGCGAGGTTACGGGCGGACATGAGCTGGGTAAATTAGCTTGAGACCATCACAGTACGAGGATGTTGGGATGTACCTTAGCGGACTTATCCTTGGAGGCGGTGATGAAGTGGGTGCGGTCGGCTGAGAATTGGATGTCGTTAATCTGGTGGTCGAACTCGTGGGCCTGGACGTTCTCGAGTTGTTCGCCAGTCTGATCTGGAGTTAGAAAACGCTCTCCCGTAACATATACACGGTGCTGGCGTACCTTGGGGTCGTATTGGCTAACGCTGCCGTCCTCGTGTGCAGCAATGATGTACTTGCCCAGATAACTCCATCCCGCCACAGTCGCCTTGCTCTCATTGCAAGTGATCCGCAAGCTTGGCTCGTCGGCTTGCTGCTCCAGGTTGCCGAGCTGTCCATCACCGTAGGCAATATCGATAACCACAATCGTACCCAGGAAACCCATACGCTTCTCAGTCACGGCTAGCAGCTGGCTTCCGTCGGGCGAGAAAGCCACGCGCTTCACGGCTGTCGGGAAGTCGTAAACCTTCACACACTCTCCAGTCTTGATGTTCCATAACCGCACAGTGTTGTCGGCCGATCCGGTGGCGAGAAGAACAGTATTCGGGCTCACGTCGACGGTCCAGATAGCACCCTGGTGACCAGCGTATGTTCCAAGACGCTCGCCGTTGGCAGACCACCATGCGCAAACAATCTTATCCTTCGCCACGGAAAACAGGAGATCGCCATCGCGGTTGAATCGGATTTGGTTAAGGGACCGTTCCTAGCTTGGTTGTCAGAATACCGGTGACCGCGAAATTTTGGGGGAGGCCGCAAGACGAAGCGGGCAGTAGGCACATACATGGCCCGAAAGCAGGATAGGCCTCATATTGAAACGGTGCGACGAGTATCGAGGGGCCGGGTTTGAGAAGGCAGTTCGCGTTGATCCGACTTTTACGGGGCTCGTGGAGGGGGGTTGGTCGCTAGCCGCTTTTCATTGACTACCTGAATTTAATCGCACACATTCAATCTTCAGGTTACGCCTCAGGCTCCAACGGTGGGGCCACACGGATCAACTAATTCTCCACGGGCTTCTCCACGTGATGCTCCCATGAAGCCCTAGCCCTTACTTTCCTACTTGGGGCGTCGGCGGGGCCTCCGATGGCGGATCTCATATTATCAAAACTACGAGGTATTGCGGCTAACCATGAAGATTGCGGCCTGAATCGTCTGGCTTCCAATCCGGCTTCGGGGACACCGTATTTTTTTTCCCCGGTATCACAAGGTCCCCTTCAAAGGTTGGACATCAAGGGGCTCTAGATCGTGAGGGGAACCGGTTGGAGAGTGAGTACAAAAAGGGACGTGAATTCACATCCCAAGACTCCGAGTTGTTCCTGGTTCTACCGCGCAGTCGCATAGAACGCAAGATTCCATACCTATTGAAGGACAAAAACACCTAATCAGGAACTCCAATGCTTCCCGCGGCGAATCGAGTCCCCCTGCAGGTGCGACTGGCCAATCTACGTCTCCGTCAACCCCGCACTTTTCCTTCTACCTTCATCCATAGTTTGCTCTCCTCACGAGGAGTCCGGCCCTGGTCATTATCGTGCCCGGCATCGTCTCCACTGCCCGCCCTTTTAACCCCGCCGGCTACCCCTTCTCGTCGACTCTTCAGCAGCTCCGCCATGGCTACCAAAATCGATGGCACAGCCATTGCTAAGGGCTTCCGCGAGAGCCTTAAGAGTGAGATCGAGTCGATCCAGGCTGTGAATCCTCGCTTCAAGCCAAACCTGATCATCTTCCAAGGTAAGTTTCCCGATGGTGGGGTAGTAGAACTACACAGGAAAAAAAAAAAGTTCCCTAGCTAACAGCGCATATAGTTGGCGACCGACCCGATTCCAGTGAGTCCCTCAAAACGGATTGATTTCGCACACCAGAGACCAGTTTGAAAATCTAACATTCTTAGGCACCTATGTGCGCATGAAGTTGAAGGCTGCCCAAGAGGTACTTGCTCGCCCCATGGCCCCCTTTCCTTCTTTATTTTGCTGACCCATTAGGCTGGTATCCTTTGCACTCTTATCAATATCCCCGAAACCAGTACCGAGTCAGAGCTACTTCAAGAAATCACGAAGGCCAACAACGACGCTTCTGTCCACGGTATCCTTGTTCAACTGCCATTGCCCAGTCACTTCTCGGAGCATACGATCACCTCCGCCGTGGCTGACGAGAAGGATGTCGATGGATTCGGCGCTATCAACATTGGTGAGCTGGCAAAGCGTGGGGGCCGCCCTCTGTTCACTCCTTGCACCCCGCTCGCGGTGATGGAGTTGCTGAAGGCCAGTGGGGTCGACCCCGCAGGCAAGGAAGCTGTGGTACTTGGTCGCAGCGACATTGTCGGCAGCCCAGTCAGCTACTTACTGAAAAATGCGGATGCCACTGTGACTCTGTGTCACTCCAAAACCCCTGATATTGCCCGGATTGTCAAGAATGCCGACATTGTGGTCGCAGCCATTGGTAAGACGGAATTCGTCAAAGGAGAGTGGTTGAAGCCTGGCGCAGTTGTAATTGATGTCGGCATCAACTACAAGCCCGATGAGACCAAGAAGTCTGGCCAGCGTCTGGTCGGTGATGTTGACTTCGAGTCGGCTGAGAAGGTCGCCTCATTGATCACTCCTGTTCCCGGTGGTGTTGGCCCTATGACTGTCGCCATGCTGATGAAGAACGTGGTGTCTTCAGCTAAGTCATACTTCGAGAGACAGAAAGACCGCCACATTATCCCCCTGCCTATCCGCCGTCAAAACCCGGTTCCTTCGGACATTGACATCTCTCGTGCGCAATACCCCAAGGCCATTACTCAGGTTGCGTCGGAGATTGGCATTGCCACCCACGAGTTAGAGCCTTATGGCCACACCAAGGCCAAGGTCAGCCTTGAGGTTCTTGACCGTCTTTCTCACCGCCGCAATGGACGCTATGTTGTTGTTTGCGGTATCACCCCTACCCCTTTGGGTGAGGGCAAGTCTACCACTACTTTGGGTCTGACCCAGGCCATTGGCGCTCACCTCAACCGCGTCAGCTTTGCCAATGTTCGTCAGCCTAGCCAAGGACCTACATTTGGTATCAAGGGTGGTGCGGCCGGTGGTGGTTACAGCCAGGTCATTCCTATGGATGAGTTCAACATGCACTTGACTGGTGATATTCACGCCATCACGGCTGCCAACAACCTCCTTGCTGCTGCCATTGAGACCCGTATGTTCCACGAATCCACTCAGAAGGATGGTCCCCTGTACAAGCGTCTCGTGCCTGCCAAGAAGGGCAAGCGTGAGTTCCAGCCTATCTGGTTCCGCCGCCTGAAGAAACTGGGCATCGACAAGACCAACCCTGATGAGCTCACTGAGGAGGAGATTCGCCGCTTCGCCCGACTGGACATTGACCCAGAGACTATCACTTGGCGTCGTGTCCTGGATGTGAACGACCGTCACTTGCGTGGAGTCACTGTCGGTACTGCTCCGACGGAGAAGGGCCTCAGCCGCGAGACTGGGTTCGATATCTCCGTTGCGAGTGAATGTATGGCCATCCTTGCGTTGAGTAACAGTTTGGAGGACCTGCGGGAGCGTCTTGGTCGCATGGTCGTTGCCAGCTCTAAGAGCGGCGAGCCAGTCACTTGTGACGATATCGGTGCCGGTGGTGCTCTGGCCGCTCTCATGAAGGACGCTATCAAGCCTAACCTGATGCAGAGCTTGGAGGGGACCCCTGTCCTTGTCCACGCTGGGCCGTTCGCCAATATTAGTATCGGTGCTAGCTCCATCATTGCGGACAAGCTGGCCTTGAAGCTGGCTGGTACTGAGCCCGACGAGGACCACGATGCCAAGACCGGCTTTGTTGTCACCGAAGCGGGCTTCGACTTCACCATGGGTGGTGAGCGATTCATGAACATCAAGTGCCGCTCATCTGGTCTGCAGCCCGATACGATTGTCATTGTTGCTACTGTCCGCGCTCTCAAGGTGCACGGTGGTGGCCCTGATATTAGCCCCGGTGCTGCCCTCCCTGAAGTCTACCGTACTGAGAATATCGACATCCTCCGTGCGGGTTGTGTCAACCTGCGCAAGCACATTTCCAACGCCAAGCAGTACGGTGTCCCCGTTGTCGTGGCTATCAACCGATTCGATACCGATACCGAAGCCGAGCTCCAGGTCATCCGCGAGGAGGCTATCGCTGCTGGTGCTGAAGATGCTGTCCCTGCCAACCACTGGGCAGAGGGTGGGGCTGGTGCCGTGGACCTCGCTAAGAGTGTTCTGGCTGCTAGCTCCAAGCCTAAGGACTTCAAGCTTCTATACGAATCAACTGGCACCATCAAAGAGAACATCGAGGCCATTGCCCAGAAGATGTACGGTGCCGCCGCCGTTGAGTTCAGCGAGCTCGCGCAGAAGAAAGTCGACACCTACACAAAGCAGGGCTTTGGCAACTTGCCAATCTGTATTGCTAAGACTCAGTACTCTCTCAGCCACGATCCCGCTCTGAAGGGTGCCCCCACTGGCTTCACCGTTCCTATTCGGGATGTCCGTCTCGCCGTGGGTGCCGGATATCTGTGAGTCTACGTGCTTTTCATCTGTCTAGATCATGCGCTAACAACAATAATAGGTACGCTTTGGCTGCCGACATCCAGACCATCCCGGGTCTGCCCACCGCTCCGGGCTACATCAATGTGGACATTGACACCGAGACTGGAGAGATCCGTGGTCTTTTCTAAACTATGTAGGCTCAACCACATCAAAGTCTGTCGGATGAGATACATAGCCCCATATATACCACTGGCTGGGATTGAATGGTGCATATACTTTGCCTTTTTTTTCTTCTCATTTTCTGTGCTTTTTTTTCAACACATCTACATTTGACGAATTGGCGTCCAATTGGGGGAGCATTTAGACGGACTTTTTCAACACCGAGCTCACGGTCTCTTACGAGATTGAAATATTAAACTTGTCAATAATTTGGAGATAATCCCATTGCAACGGCAGATCCCTCTCTTTAGGTTATCTCAATGCTACCATGTACCCGCCTCAACCCTTGGATTTCGGGACGGGCCCAAAGATAGAATGAGGTTCCCTGTATTCTGCGGATTTTACCGAGCACAAGTCAAAGAACAGAAGGCTAGTACCTTGTTTCCAACGTCTTCAATTCCCTCACCACAGAGGTGGAAGTACGCGTGGCCATGAATTCGCCCATTTCAAGATCGACACCCAGAACCCTGTGCAACGACGGAACTCGTTGCAAACCACCATAGCCGGCGTGAAGCCTTGGATTTCACTCGTCCCCACACGCCAAGTAGGGGGAAACAGCTAGCGGCCGATCATGATTTGCATTCCTTTTGCCAAACCCTCATGTCAGAGGCTTGGAAGCGCCAGTCACAGATCTACGATATGGAGTCGCCCCACGTCTCCAAACCTGCCAGTGGGGGAAAAGTTTCACTGCAAAGCTAATCCAATCGATTAGGAACTCCCTGGTCGATCCGGGCCTTCCATAGGTCGACGGGGGGGTGTGGGCTCGGGAGTGGTTTGGTTGACGAGCAGCACCACATGTTCCAGATATCGCGGCCCCTGGCACGAGATCGCGCATTCAGATTGGCGGACTTTATTTCGTGAAGAACTTCCCGGCCAATTAGATCGTGAGGTTTTTGCGTCGGGGGCAGTTCGGCCTGTCCAGATCGAATGTCCTTGACGCAATCGGCAACCCGGGCATTCCTAATCCGGCGCGATCGAGGCCTGGTTGGACCAACCATGATATGGCGGCCTCACGAGAGGCGGTTGGCGCAGATAACATGGTTCGAAATTGGGGTACTGCCTTGGTAAAGAGTCTTCCGGTTGATGAGCGGTTGTGTCTCCAGCTCAACGTATTTGTATCCCGGACACATCTGTCAGAGCACCTATACAACGAGTCAAAGAGTCTTGACACTCTTTCTTCTCCAGCATTCAATGTGATACGCGACCTCGCTGTTACGATTCGACTGAATTCTCCGGTCAAATGGACTGACACTCTGCTTGGCATCCAATCACTGCGCCCTCGATTCCTAGTATTCGCGGGCACTCTAGCACGGTCCGATCATGCGCGTGGTGGCCATCACGACTGCCATGGGCTCTTTAGCGCTATGTATGGTCGCATTGCGCTTATGGGTCAGGCTTTTCCTTATTCGTAGCCCTGGTCTTGACGATGTCGCTATTGTGGCTGCGCTGGTATGAGTTGAAATCATTTTTGCATTGTTCGTTTGGGCTAACGGATACCTAGATCTGTGCCATTGTATTATATGCATTCATCATCCTCGGTAAGAAGCCTATCGAGAAACAAGACTGGATCAATCTGCTAACGATATTCCAGAGCACCAGTCGGGGCTTGGAGTTCCAACACAAGACCTTCCGAACCATGTAGCCTCACAACAGATGCACGTAAGTACATTGTCGACCTTATACGGGTGTTGATCTAACAGCTCTCAGTGGCTATGGTTCTCTGTACCATTCTATAACCTGTCTCTGATTCTTACCAAACTATCCGGCGTGTTCTTCTTCCTCCGAATATTTCCCCCAGCGCTCATTCAGAATTTGGGCATACACCTTCATGGGATTACTGGTTATTTTCGCATTATGGGCAGTTCTAAGTGGGTTTCTCTTCTGTGCTCCAACGACAAACTTCTGGACATGGCTTTTGTATGAGAAGCCTTCGAAAGCCCATTGCATGCGACACGGCTCCGTATGGTTCGCCAATGCTGGGCTTCAGATCGCCACTGATATTGCTCTCATGATCACGCCAATGCCCTTACTCTCGAAACTACAGCTGCAGCGGCGGAAGAAAATTGCGGTCATATTGATCTTCTGCGTGGGGTTAATGTGAGCATTCAGTCCTCGGGATTCTCAGTGCTGTACGTGCTAATGATTCATAGTGTCGTTGTGATCAGTTCGATCCGGCTGAACGAATTGAGCAGGATGATTAATGGCGACGATGTGTCGGGTAAGTCTTGTTTGCTTGGGATGTCGTAATTTATATTAACAATAGTTACCAGTCAGGAATGAGTCAGCGACTGTCTGGTCCAGTCTGGAGGTCGACGTATCCCTAATCTGCGCCTGCCTCCCCCCGCTCAACCCTCTCTTCTCCCGCATCTTCGCCTACCTCTTCCGGCCTCGCCCTCTGCATTCCTCCCCAGCTTCAAACGCCCAATCCTATGCCATGAGTCTCACGAGCGATCGGAAGCGCTCCATATACGACCACCAAATCGGACCGGAAGCCGGGGTCTTTGCTAATGATATATTTTTCGCTGGCCCCGCAGGCTACTCCGCTAGCATTTCCAAGGTTGATACTAATCAATCAGACGCTGAGAAAGAGGACGGTATTCGCGTTGTCCGGGAGCTGCGTGTTGGTTCGGATTCCAGGCACAGCCCAGGCTTGGTGCCCAAAGACCCTCACGATCGGGATCTTGAGATGGCTTCTGGAAGCAGCAAGACGGGGCCTGGTATCGAGTGGGATCTGGGGGACTTCGAGTTCCAGGAGTATAAAGAGCGGATGAACGCTCCTATGTGATGTATATACTTCTCATGATGCATACGAATTTCTGGATCATCTCTCTACGGTAGTGTACAATCTAACTTTCGGATTCCTTGGTTGTGACGATTCGACGGCGTGATCTATATCTGAGCTTGAAATTCTATCATACGGCTATGGAAGCCACTAGAAGCTTGCACGAGCAGAGTCGCTCCGTCGAGTCGCTTGCTCAATAGCCTTTGCGACTTTAATGCAGACCTCGTCTCCGAATCGGCCCCCAACAACCTGCACACCGACTGGCATGCCGTCGACAAGTTCGATGTCGTCTAGACTCTGTTAACGGGTTTCCCTTTCTAGGAAGCTTTTCGCGCACTCACATTGCTCTTTATTAAATTTATCTCCTGCATTACGAGGAACGTGGTCCAGCCACTCCTTGTCGGGCTGGTCTTTCTCCCTCGAAACGGTGGTTACGGGCACAGCCAGCGAGGCATAGCCCAGGAGGTTCCAGATGCTTGTGTATCCCACATAAGCATTCGACTTTACCCAAGTCCAGGGTTTATAGCCAACCCAGGGTGTACTTGGCATTATAAGCGCATCGATTCCGGACGACATCCATCGCTCGAGATAGGAGGTCTCGAAGTGATATTTGTCCGCGTTTAGCTGGAATGTATTAGACTCATGCCATCGCAGCACTCTTTTTCCAGACGTACCTGGTAGATTTCTAAGGTAGTGAGAAGATCCTTCTCCTTTCCCACGAGCATTCCCTCAATGAGAGGCTCGCCGGTTAGCTCGATCATTCTCCGGCATCCTGCGCCACCGTCGGAGAGAATAGCCTTCTCCCATAACTGATATGCGTGTGCATGGGAGGATGCATCCCACTCGATAACTGGAGTCGCCGTCAGAAAGAGGTTTCGCTGTGTCAAAGAAAGGTAAAAAAAGTAATCGTACCCTCGTGTCCTGCCGCCCTTAGAGCCTCGACAGTCTCGCGCATGGCCCGCGCAATGGGCGGCTGCACCTTCACCATCCCGTCGTCAATGAGGAATCCAATCTTCAGCCGCTTGGCTCGCAGGGACGCAAGGTCACTCCTCCATGGAATGGGCGCTGTTTGCGGATCGACTTCCCAAGGCCGAGCAGCGGGCAGCGCTTCCATGTATCCCTCGATACTTGCCAAGCTACAGCTCATAGGTCCTGCAACGGAGCGAACGATATCTTGGCCCGGGCTTTGAGGGAAAAAGGTCAGCAACTAACCACATTGTACTATTATATACTGCGGATTCGAACATACTTTCCTCGCTCGTAAGGATGGCGGCCTGGCGTCGGAGAGAGACCATAGATTCCCGTTAGCGTAGCCGGGATTCTGATCGATCCACCAATGTCAGTACCGATTCCAATCGGACTGCCTCGGGCTGCGACCAGCGAGCTCTCGCCGCCTGAGCTGCCACCGGAGATCAAGTTGCGGTTCAGCGGATGGACGCATTGGCCGAAGACGTGGTTGTATGAGTCCGACATCATCATGGACTGCGGGATATTCGTCTTCACATAAAGCACCGCTCCCAGTCGGCGCAGGGTCTTTGCCACTGATTTATCCGCCGGGGCTGGGCGTCCAGTCAATCCGACCCATCCTATACTGCTTGATTAGTCCGGGTATCGGAGATAGGCGAGCTTTTAATCCATACCGATCGATGTATCCTGCCCCTTCACCGAGAAAAGATCTTTGATCGAAACAGGGAGCCCGTGTAAGGGGCCTAGGGTCTGCCCTGTTTTGACAAGATGCTCATCCATCTCCTTCGCAACTGCGAGTGCCTCTTGGAAGAATATCTCGGTGCAGCATACTGTCAGCTGATGGGCCAGTGCTGCCCGCTTGCAGTATGCTTTGGTCAGTTCGAAGGATGATAATGCTCCCGATGAGAGCTTGCGCAGCAGAACAGTAATGTCCGTCTCCTCGGTCAGAGCGAGTTCTTTTGACGTCAAGCTCTTTCGGATGAATTCCAGGGCATTTGGAGCGGACTCCACCGACGGGATCGGGTCCAGGCGCCATTCGGGTGGAATGAGAGCAAGCTGCTGCTTCCGCTTTTCAGCAGCACGCTCTTCGTATGACGGGGTAGCCATAGCTGTAAAGGTCTAATAATTCTAATATGCAGAGTATAATGGGATTGAAAGCCCCAGGGGGATGGTGTGTGTTTATGACTGCATAGATAAGCCATGTGGAGAAGCATAGGTAGCATGCCTAATGCGGAAGGGAATCTAGCTGATCTCCCCCGCTATGGAATCATACGCTTCTCTATCTTGCTTTGTGCTGTTCCTGGGGGGCCTCGGCACTTGGTCGTCAACCCGGTTATTGGCAATCTCCACATCAGACCCCTCGTGCCCTAGTGTGAGATCGACGTGGCGCGCGATTGATCGATCTCACCGTCACCGGGATATGATCTGCCGGCCCAGTCCAATGGGTTACTCCACATGAGTTGCCACCAGGCTTTGGGGCCTAAAGAAAAGCATCGGTGTGAAGCCCTATATTACGCAAGGCTCGAATTTGAGATAAAACGACGAAGTGAGGCCAATAGTTCTACGGATTTCCCTGTGCAATAACTCAATGGCAGCGGTGGAACCAAACTAATCGCGCCAGGAGCCTCTAGGCTTCCTCACCGATCAGCTATTTGTTGTGGGGTTGTTTAGCGAACCATCACGTAGGGGTTGCGACGATCGTTCAAATCAACCGCCGAGCGTCATCCGAGCGTCTCCCGCGACTAGGGAGGCTCCTCGCCATTCATAGCTATAAGGGCAAGCCCCTCCGAGGTCCTTTCCATATGCAAATAAAGGTTGAGTCCGTGTTGGCATGCTGCGCTTCGGCCATTATGAAAGCCTGTCAACTGAATGAATATGGAGAGCCTAGGATATTGCTAAGGATCTATTCGGTAGCACCACAATCTCTCTCAGGCACTAGTCTGTCTTTCTTCCCCATTATACAATCATCCTGTTTCTCCACCTCACTTCACATTGGTGCTGAGCGTCCGGATATCTTGGAAAGTCACAAAGCCTGCAGCTCCGCCAATAGGATCTCAATATCTCACACTGTTGTGTTTGGCTTGCGTACACCCCAGTCAAATATGCAGGGGTCGCCAAATGCACGTAGAACTGCGATGATCGTGGGATCTTCGAGATCGCGCCGCACACTCGATCCACCAAGGAAGATATGACGTTTTCGTACCGAGCGGACGGAGAGCCTTCGCCCTTCCCAGCGATCAAAATCCCCAGCGCGCCCATAGCCGCTGTGCACCGATAAATCAGCGCTGTCAGCCCGCGATCTGTCCCGTCGCTCGAATCCAGGCATAGGGTCTGCTCCATGGCTCTGGCGCTTGAGATCCGTGGAATCCAAGGATGTGCCGGGTTTGGATAAATGCGCAAGCAGCTCGAACGTATCTGGCGGACACCCAACAGAAGCGAGGAACTGGCTTGACATAATCTCACGATGCCAGTCGTCGAATATTAAGTCGCTTTCTCTGATAAGAGCTCCAGTCACATCAAACCAGACAAGATAAGCTAGAACGTCCGTGAGTCCGGGCATTTGGGATGCCAACCGACCAATATCACCCTTGGAACGGCAGTGGATATCGAGAAGTGAGCGTGCTCCATGTAAATGACGATGCCACTGGCCAAAAGGCCCACAGCAAACTTCGAAGATGGCGAAAGTAGCGATTCCGAATAGCGCGATGGGGTGTCCGGATTCAATCACTTGGCTGAGGTTCGTCAGGGCCACTAAATGTGACTGGATGGATTGCCAGTCAGGCCCTTGGAGGCGCGACTTGGCAAAATTTAATGTGCGAGAGATGAGTTGGATGGTTTCGTCCGGCAAGTCTTGGCTGCTGGTTTGGATGTCTTGGTAAAAGTGAGAAATAAGGTCGATGAAGCCGTACAGATTGATCGGCGAGCTGCTATCTGTAGGCGGACACTTGCTTGAATTTTTATTGGGGATCCTCTGGACTTGGCTGGCCCCTTTTCTAGCTGTATGATCTTTGACGTCTGGTTTCAAGTTGGTATCGGTCATCCATTTCACTCGGTGCGGGTAACGGCATGATGCGCCTGTTTGTTGGCAGAGCTGGCATGTTGGACGGTTCAGATCGCACTTGGCTCCTTTCAGTCGGCACTGATGACAATGGCGATCTTTCCGCACACCACGAGGCTTCTTGGCTGGTATTTGGGCCTCTGACATGTTTGGTGATACGCAAAAGCCAAAGGATCGGGACCCAAAGATAACAATGCGGGGAAGACATAATTCCATGGTTCCGCATTTGGCATAGCGAGATACGTGCCCTGAAACTAGATATACTCGGAGAATTATATTACACGCCGTCTTCGAGCTTTGTTTGCTGAAAGGAGCGTTGATTTGTAATGAAGGACCCGGTTAATCTATAAACATGATGGAAACGACCGCGAGGTTCTCAGACAAGAACAGCCATAGCTAAGCGGGAACGATGCGGCAGATTGGAGCACCACTAACAAAAGAACAGTACCCAAAAGGAATGAACACGATTAGAAAGCCGGGAAGCAGGTGCTAAAAAGAACTATAAGCTATCAAGGTGAAAAGAGAACGAAAGAGTGTGGATCGAAGCCCAAGGCGACGGCGGTAAACACCAAACAAGTTCCAAGCGAAAACGTACACTGCAGGGTGAGATCGAAAAGCCCAAGGACATAGCGACAAAGCAGCCAAACTAGGGAAATCAGCACAGTCAGCGAAATTAACGACGTGGGCCATTGCTACCCCAGTTGGGGATCATCATCATGTGCCAGTGCTGACTCGCGGACTCTTTTCCCTCATGTTTTCTTCGAAAGGCTCTCTCCCGACGATCTCGTCGTTTAGTCGCAGAATTGACTACCTCGGGCTTTCCCTGTTTATGATCATGGGCAGCATCCGAGCACTTGTCCTTTTTGGCAGCACGGTGCTCGAAGCGCACATTTCGGCGTGCTTTGGACCGGACCCGACGGGGCTTCCGCTTCGAATTCGAATAGGCGGATGGGTTGAAGGACTTCTTCGCCTTCTGCGGCCCCCTTTGAGACTTCAAAGCTTCTTCATTTCTTGTCTTTAGAAGCTCAACCGCTTGAACGAGTGAAATAGTAGAAGCGACGCTGGTGATACTGTCGTCGCGGGAGCCGAATGGGTATGGCGAGTCAGGTCGTTTACCCGTACAATTTTCTTCTTCATACAGAGTCCTCATCAACTTGCGCTTATTCCGTGCCTGCTCCTCTGGGATTTTGGAATCAGTCGGGGCTTTGTCACTCTCGTCCACCGATGTAGCAGGGGTGCCAGGCGCGTTCTGCGACGCATGATCGGAGTGGATTGTGCCTGGCCGTGCTGGCATCGACTCTTCAGAGCTTGAAGGGGTCGAATTAGAAAGCTTCATGGGGTTCTGGAATACGAGCGAGGCTGATCTGACGTGGGATCCTTTGCCAACGATCTCATACAACTGTACCCCCATGAGGGGGTTTTGAATCACCGTAGTCAACGGGATCGCGGGCGGGGGCAGCTTAATTGAACCCTTTGATTCCGTATGAACATCGCCATCTGGAATCTCTGTGAAAAAGGCCCCCGGGCAGCGTTTCGTTTGACTGGTTGAAGAAGGCGACGAGCGTGACTGCGAATCGCCGTTCCGTTCGGAGACGCTCTGATGAAGGGAGTCGACGCTGCTAGAACAATGATGACATATCACATCATACTCCCCTTCACGAGGTATATAGCTCAACGACGCTGGTTGCATCCCGAAGACCATGTTCGGGGTCAAGCAGATGTTCACCCATGCGGGGAGCTCGTCGAGAGGAATCAGAGGAGCGATCACGCCCCCGGGACGGAAAATACAAAACCGGGGACGTGGCTGCTGTTGCGAGAAGAGAACTTGGTATGGAATCATGATGGCAGCCAGACTGGGATTCGAATAAATGATAGACGAGGAAAGCAGAATAGGACTCTGAAAGAACACAGAGCCAAATAGGACTAGAAGATCGTATCCCTATAGCGAGTGCAAATCCTCGAGACAGTAATGAATGTGATGGATAACTGGGAGTAGAAGCGAAAGTGGATGGGAGGAAAGAAGAAAGAAAAAGAAACGTTCATCTCGACAGTGTTTATTGGCAACTATCCGCCATCGTGCCTTCTTCGTCCTATCTGGAAAGAGCGTTCAGCAACAAACTTCTAGTTCCCTCCTCCTCCCTTGGCCGTTCAAGCCTGAGCGTACGTTCCGTTCCTACAGGGGAAGCCAAGCTTTGGATTGAGCGCTGCTGTGGCGTTCATACAGATGACTGTTGCCGGGCTCACGCTCTGGGGGATGATATGGATATCTTTCGTCTGAAAGCCTTTGCATGACGAGTTGGTATTGCACTCTATGATGATAGCTTGTGTGTGCGTCAGGTTGGGCAGTCCCACGTTGTACCAACATGGCTTGGATACGCAAGATCCATCTCCGGGCTGGTAGGTGTTGGTTGTCCCGTAAAGCCGGACCATGTGAAGTCTTCCATCATCACGGAAGCATTATTGACACGCCCAGTCACCGCGCCATTGACGAGCTGTGTTTGCGAAGATCCTTGGTTTGAGTAGGTTTGGGTCACAAATACTGGAAACGTGACATTGTACATCCGCATATTGCTCCATGTAATGTTCTTTGCCAGTCCTTGGCCTCCAATCCAAGACTTGAAGCGGGCTCCATAGAGCGCATTGATTGCAGTAACATCAGCAAAGTGAATATTCGTCACATTCGCAAATACTGCTTGATCTTCGCCAAGCGATCCAATACTCATCCCATGGGTCTGGTATCCAATGTGCTATTGACGGCGTTGAACTGCAATAGATGTGGGCGAGATTCAATGCCCGTCCCTTTGGGTGGGTTTGCATCCCACCAGGCTTGCCCGTAGGAGTAGACCCAGCCGTGTTTGACGTTTGACGAGCCAATATAGTCGATGTTAGACCCCACGAGGGAGAACCAATATTTTCCGTTCGAGTAAAGAGCTCCGCTACTACCGTTCACGATTTCCTGGACGGCTGTGATGTTTTGGGGCAGATGGATATTGCCGTTCATTTGTATTTGTACATTGCTGAGATCGGTAGCGCTGACAGGCGTCATAGTGTAGTAGTTCATGCCTTCTTGGAAGACGATGACAGAATCAGACGCACATTGTTATAGTGCCTGAGCGATTGCTGGGGAATCGTCAGCTGTCCCATTGGACGACGGGATTACACATCGATTGGGGCGGTTCTTTGTCTGGGCGACCCCAAGTGTCACCAAAGTGAATATTAGCCAAGGGGCCGCTAGCCGAGAATACATGATTGAATGTAAGATCTATTCCATTTCAGAGAATTGCAGAGAGGATAATCCAAGTTACACTGGAGTTGACCAATGCTTTATACTCGCCAGCCGTTCACTTTCATACTCCAATGCAACATTGCCGGAAGGGTTAGCACGAGGTCCGCTACCCCAACTTGAGAACTTGAGTCCGAGCCATGTCATTTCGGTTTGGGGAATTGAATGGGTGAGATAGCTTCTTGTGGACGTGATTTGATTTCAGCGGTCAACCGCAACGTTATTGGCGGAGAATTCATTGTAGATTGGCAAGATGCAGCGAGAAAGCTGGGGAACATAACCGCATTTGGCCGGCCTCGTATATGGCATCTTTCTTCTAAACTACTAAGATCCAAGAAAAACGAACCTAATTGTCTATCAGCACCTTGTAGATATTCCCTGATGTACTACTGTCCTAAGTGGGCTTTCACAGTTAAAGGTTAGCTTCATCTGCGTTCTCGGAGTCGAAATGGCTGCCCACGGGGGAAAAGAGCGTTCTTGGAGGCATTGGCGCGCTTTGACAGTTTCCCATCCTCCATGTACCCCGTATTCGCGATATTCGCAATAGCGGGTCATTGGCTCATCGCTCTCTACTCGACGAGATGTCCTAAGCAACTCAAACCAGATCTGTCCATTCACGGCAAACCAGCCCCATCAGCTGCCGCGCCCATTGAAAGTGATACAATAGACCGGCTGAGACTTTGGCGAATAGAGCGAAAAAGCAGGACAATCCCTTTGCACTGTTATAGAAGCATTTCAGCCCTTACGTTCCAGTCCAAGTCTACTGCAACGCCGGGGGCTTTGCCCCCCTTTACTGACCCTCGAACTAAGCTCCTAGGCGATGATCTACCATATCCAACACAATAAATCCAGTTATTTTTCTAACCAATAAATCGCCAGGACCCGTGATCACGCCCCTAACCCGACGGTTGTTCATTGAGTGCGCTACTGACCTGTGCATAGGCCAACATCACACATCCCTTGAATGGGGTTTTGTGCAAATGTTGTACTAGTAGTTAGTTCCTCGAAGGAGCTGAGTTGCCCTACGAGAAACACGGCTCGGTTTGAAAACATAGTACGAACTGCGCCAATGGGAGACGCGCCAGTTGATGACGGCTAGTCCGACGGCTAAACCTTCTAGCGACGGATCAGTCGTTCCTTCCGCGCCAAGGAATAGTCTGATCCGCCTTACTTCCCACGTGTCAAAACAATCCACATGCCAAAACCCAAAGGACATCAAAATGGCAACCGATAGCAAAGAACTAGTGCTGGTCACCGGTGGAACAGGGTTTCTCGCTGCCCACTGCATCATCCGATGTTTGGCGGCCGGATACCGCGTGCGCACTACTGTCCGCTCGCTCAAGCGCAAGGACGAGGTCGTGAATATGCTTAAAGCTGGCAAAGCCACTAACATCGATGATGTATCCTATGTTGAAGCCGATCTTCTGAAAGATGACGGCTGGCATGAGGCTGTGAAAGACTGCATGTACGTGATGCATGTCGCCTCGCCATTCCCAGCCAGCCCCCCCCAAACACGACGATGAATTGATCGTCCCCGCGCGGGATGGCACTCTTCGTGTGCTCCGCGCATCTCGTGATGCAGGTGTCAAGCGCGTTGTCGTCACTTCGTCCATGGCAGCCGTTACCGGCGGCAATGGGAGCCGAGACGCTTCCAATCCATTCACTGAGGATGACTGGACCGATGTGGATAAGCCTGGAGTCGGTGCTTACGAGAAGAGCAAGACACTTGCAGAGCGCGCTGCATGGGACTTTATCAAGAACGAAGGCGGCAAGCTGGAGTTGTCGACCGTCAACCCTTGTACTGTGCTCGGCCCTGTTCTTTCCAAGGACTCTTCAACATCCATCGAGATCATTATTAGGCTTATGAATGGCGCGATTCCGGGTTGCCCCAACCTGAATTTTACGATTGTCGACGTCCGAGATGTTGCTGACCTGCACTATCTGGCCATGACGAACCCGAAGGCCAGCGGCGAGCGGTTTGTTTGTGTCGGCCCACCAAGGGGATACTGGATCTATGAAATGTCGAGAATCTTGCGCGAGAAACTTGGTCATAAAGCTAGGCGAGCCCCAACTCGACAGCTTCCCGATTTCTTGCTTAGAACGATATCTTGGTTTGACTCCAGTGTTGCGCTCGTCTGCCCCATGCTGGGTCTGCAGCATGCTGCATCAACGAAAAAGGCGGAAACACTGCTCGGCTGGGCTCCTCGCACGGTGGAGGAGTCTATCGTTGCCTCTGCAGAGAGCCTTATTGAATTTGGTGTCGTGAAAGCTTGATTAGACTGATCGTGTCTCTGCCAGATGGTTTTGCGAGTCGCGATGACTTCTTATTTTTGATGTATATCTGTTATACCCATCGCTTTACAACCGGATTTAATGCAACAAGCTCCATATTATGTCATGTTCTTGCTCTATCAATCGATGAATATCGAATTGCAACTTGAAATTAAAAGGATAAAGCAAAAGTATATCACATAAGATGCAAAGTAAAATATCCGTCCAATATACGGGTTTCTCCAACTCCATTAATCCGGGTATCTCTCTATGCCGAGCGAGTGTATGCAACGAATGCTCCAAAATATGCAAAAACCACAACGCGCAACAGGCGCATAACAAGCCAAAAAAAAAAAGAGAAAAAATCCATACAAAAATATGTCAAGGATACAAACACAGTCATACCGAAGAGGCCAGCGCAGCCCACTCAGTCGCCGCAATGCGCTGAGCAGGATCCTTAGCAACAGCAGGCTGAATGAGCCTCTCCACAAATCCGTTCCTGGGCACACGAGCAGCATTAGGACCCGAACGCGTAAAATTCAGAATCTGGTGTCCGTCGCGCGCCATCGCAAGTCGCTGCATGCTATTAAAGCCAGGATACAGCAAAAGATCGCCGGTAGCCGCAGCCACCAGCGTCGCCGCGAGTGAAAACACATCTGAGGCCGGAGAAGGTGCGACAGTGCCTGCCTTCAGCGCCGTGAGGGATAGGAGCTCGGGCGCTGTGAAGGGCGGCGTGAAGGCCGAATACGAGGCCCGGTTTGCATCAATGGGGCCGCCGCCGCAGATGTCCAGGGCGGATGAAAAGTCGGCCAGCAGCGGCTCGTATGGGAACGCGCCAACTTCCACGCCCGGCTCGTCTGTTGGCAGCGTACGGAGGAGCAGGTTGTGCGGCTTGATGTCGCCGTGGAATATGCTGCCTTTGGAATGGAGCCAGGCGAGTCCGCTGATCAGTTTGCAGGCCATGTCGCGCCATGAGTCGGGACCCTGGATGGGGTCGAACATTGTTGCGGTTGAAACAGGGCGCTTGCGCGCGAGATCGGCTTGGTCTTCGATGTACGTGGAGAGTGCTAGTGGGACGGCGGTCATGACTAGCGCTTTGGTGTCGGTGTGGAAGCCGTGGAATGGAACGACGTAGCGCTCGTGGTCGCGCATAAAGTGCAGGCGCGTGAGGGTAAGCGCTTCGGCTTGGAGGACTGGACGCGCATCGCGGCGGAGTGGTGCTTTGACGGCATAGACTCGGGTTCCTGCAGCGGGCGAGCTCGGTGGCGTGTACATGGGCCCGGTAGATGGTGTTGCGCGCGCTTTGTATACTATGCTCCAGGCGCCGCGGCCAAATTCAATGGGGCGCTCTTCTGCGTCGCGGCAGATCTCCAGTTCATCGGTAAAGCGCAGCGGCGTACAAACATTCTGTCTTAGAGTGGCGGGTTCATCCAATTCGTGATGTATAGAACTGGGAGTGGATCGGTCCGAGTCATCGATCTCTTTGCCGACCGGCGTTACCGGAGGGGTGAGATTTGAACCGGATGACGGGGTATGGATCTGGATATCCTTGCCATTGCTGTTGGTGTGCAACATCAAAGGCATGGGGGAGTTGGTTGGAGTCATGCTGGTGCCGGATGCGAGGTATACTCGGCAGGCGGGGAAGTATTACTCCCCTGGTAACGTCCCAACTATATACTGGGTGGGAGTTGAACCAGGTAAAGCCCCGGCTGGTCGGGATGAGTTATCGCTGATATCAGAGGACGGCGCCACGAGCAGGATGAGGCCGTACTTATGCTTCCCGGTAATTGGGTTAGGGCTCGGGTACTATGACGCAGTGGCGGGGAGTGGAAGTCGTCGGGCTAAAAAGACATCAAATCGCCCCGGGGATGAGATTTCGGGCTCATGGTTCGGTCATATCATTCTGACGGATCTGTGAGAATCACGTAGAGGGGAAGAAAAGCCGAGGGAAAGTCTGAAAAAGAGCCACGAAGGGTCCAGGGAGAGGAGCCGCTAAATAGCTGGGGGGCAAAAGGTAAAGCCCGACGAGAACGGGGAAAGCTCGCGACGTTCGATGACCGGTCCAGACCGGGGAAAGAGTGCAAGTGACAGCAAAAAAAAGGCTTGGGGCAAATACGACGGTAGTAACCATGGTTGGCGCCTCGAAATTAGCGGATGGAAACCTGCGGGTGGGATTGCGCTGATCGGGGACGAACGTGTCTTGGAAACATCTTTCACGGTTTAGCTCTATCACATCGGCACTTGACCGGCCCCAACCATTACGATTAGGACCAGTGGGAGATTAGGTTGGGAATACGATTATTAGTAAATTGCTGCTAGTCGAGGCGATCGTTATCTTACAGAGATAAGATGTAGAAATTTCTGCTCGTTTTTCGTCTTAGCGCGGGAACCGTAGCGCTAGCTTTCGTCCATCCATGGTTTTACCTTAGGACCCTTATTATCGTTATCGCTTATCTGGAGGATGACGATTTACGAATACGCAGTCCAAAGATAACAACACCATCAGAGCCTCCACGACCACACCAAAAATATCGCAAGCTTGGTGGTTTTGGTGCGCATCCTGCCGGATGCGGGTCTCCGCAAAAACGGCCACCTCGCCTCGCACGGGACGGGTCAATGGGGGAGCAGATGCGCGCTAATGCAAGATTTTTATAGACGGACCTGGGAAATCTTCCAAGCTGGAAACCGACTTGGCTGATCCATGCCTTTTCACGCGTTTCTAGAGGCCCGAACCACGGAGTACTGCCGCTCCCCACCAATCCTTGGGTCCACGAGCCCGAAGGGTTGGTAAATAACTGGCCCAGTGTGCTCGGCTTCCGAAAAGCGCTTGGAGGAAATTCATTTTCTCTATTTGGAATTCTATAATTACATGATGTACAATGACGTAGTAATACAAGCTATAGTACAGTCCGGGCTTGTTAAGCTTTGAACTCCTCCACTCCATGCCGGTAGGTGGTAATTGCGCCTCCAAGGAGCCGGGAGAACTGGATATATGAGAGATCCATGGCGTTAGCGTGATACAAAAGCAAAATCTCCCAGATGACCCTGATCGGAAGAGTTCGTACACGAAGGTCACTCAGATCGTAGTCAATGTTCTCTTGGAAGCACTTGGCCGCGTCTAATGTGGGATCGGGAAGAGGCACAGGACCACATCCCGGTTTCAGGCGCTTTCTAGCGAGACCAGCTAACTCGGGAATATCTCGCACTAAGTGATTCACTGGCTGCCCAGGGAAGATAGCGTTCGATAACTCCTCGACGGTCAGAGGGGTACTGGTACCGGAGAAAGTAAGTGCATCGAAAATCTGTTGCAGTTGCTCCCGCTTGGCCTCTGGAACCCTCTCGAGATATTGCCTGCCGATCGGATTCTCGTCTGCTTCGAAATATAGCACGGTTCGTGGATCATATGGGTAGACTTCATGTTCATGGAGGGTCAAAGGATTGAATGGTCGTCGGTCCCACATGAGAGGAGAGCCATCAAGGTCCTCCGAACTGGCTTCGACTCGCGCGTCATCCAAGAAGCGGTCGAAGCTCTGCTTTTTTTTTCTGGTGAACTTGAGATTTTTCGGTCTCGAAACGATCAACCAAAGCGGCAACTTCTCGATCAAGTCTCTCGAGGTCGGCTGCAGTTTGTTTGGGGTCCGCGGCTGCACGCGATAACTCCTGCATTCGGCGGTCGATCCTGAGTTGGGCATCAAGGAGATTTTGACGAATACTCCAGACACCGTTCTCTCTCCTTAAAGCTGCACGTGATGTGCTAGCTTTCTTTGCTGCCTTCTTGGTGTCGGCATGGTGAGCACCTACCTCAGCCAGCAATTTATTATGCTTCTCCACATCATCCATCCAACGGAGGTGTATTTCTGTCTGTACTCGAGGGAAGGTGATCTCGTTATCTGTGAGATCCACGCCTATCTGCTTATCAGGAGCTGATGGAGCAGGAACCAATTTAGGAACCTCACGGCCGGCTGGGGTGACAATGCCCCTTGCCTCTCGTCGTTCTTCCGCGCGTTCTAAGTTCCGCGTGATTGATACCAATGACTTAAGAGAATGCCAGGGTTCTTGATGTTTTGTAGCAGCAATGTCTAGAGCATGCAATGCGACATTCTCCGTGAGAAAACTCACGCGCTTGCGATCGGCTAATTGACGCGGAAGGACAGTATGTACTTCCTCCGTAGGGAACGTCGCGATAATCCTTACGCTTCCGTATCTGTGAAGGTCTTGTCGCCTCAGACAACTGTCCATCATTGCCGCCCACCATCTCGCTGGAGTGTTGTGTTCTTTCTTCGATGCCTGAGGCGGAACATTGGCTATCACCAATAGTGTGTCGTTCTTGGGCAGCATCACCCCCTTCGGTATCTCCTTCGCCTGGCACTGCTCTGGTAGATGGTCCGCGAATATTTGATCCCAGTCCCGTATTCTGTATACATGCTCCGAAAGCAACGTATAAGAGGGATCGCTGTTGGCCAGGGTTGTGAGGAAAGGTCGATATGCGTGGAGGTCCGGCTCAATGAGAATATGTCGACGTGGACGAAGGTACTTGTTAATCTTGGATGAGAACACGCCAGACATGGGCCATAGATCAATAATGTCCAGGGGAGGGTTGCGACGAAGGTAGGGCGAGAGTCGTTGAAGAATGTCGTCTGCGATTCGTGTGAGCTAGCAGTCCTTTCACCAACGTTTGCGTCTCAAACTTACCGCATGCTTCCTCACTGACTATGCCTGGAGCTGGCGCCGATCTAAATAACCTCATTCGAGAGAAGCGGTCGAATATAGCCTGGCTCATGGGCGTACGCGCGGACGGCGCCCATCTCTTAAGGTTCTTGAGGTTCTTGGCCATTTATGGTTCGCGGTGCAAAGAAAGATGAGGTCGTATAGGCATTACCCATAGTCATGACAATCAAATCAAGCTCAACGCTGAAACATGATGCCGAATACAAGTGTGATTGTAGCGTAGTGCAGCGCAGCGCGATCCGTCGACACTTTTTTTTTTTGGAGATGCAGAGCAGAGCGGAAGGCGGAGATCCACCTTGCGGGTTCGCGAATCCTCCCCACTCAATCACCAGGTCCGTCCAGGCCTCCCCATTCTGCTCCTTGGTCTCACCACACTCTTTTGTCAGCCCTCGAATGTGGATGCCTTGGCCACTGGTCCTTGTATCAGCCCTCCCGCATCCATTGTCAACCATGCCCTTTGCGGCCTGAATCGCGTGAAGAGGGGCTTGAAACATCTCCCCGCCGAATTCTCTCACATCATGGCGCCTGAGATCCCATCCAGCCCAGGGGGTCGTCCTCCCATGAGCGTGGAAATGATCAGCAAGCGCGCCCAAGATTACGAGTACAACGGGAATATTGCTCTGCGGTATTGGCTTCGAACGGCCTCTACACTGATCCGTGAAGTCCGTCAACAGACACCCCACATGACAACGACGCAATACATACTCATCCCATATCTTTTAGGCGCAAATCTACGAACGCGAAGGAAACGATGAACAAGCATACCTCCTCCTCTTCCGACATGCTCAGCTGGTTCTGGTACATTTATCTGTACATCCCGACGCGCAGAAAGACGGCGAAGGGCGAGCTGGGTTGCTGGCCGCCGAGAAGCAAGTCAAGAAGAACCTGGTCAAGCTGGAGAGCCTCAAACCTCGGATCAACAAACGATACGAGAGATACACTCAGCTCATGCGTGAACGCCAATCGCGCAAGCTATCATCGGAACCTGCGATACCCGAAGCAGAACAGACTCCCGCGGATCCTGCTCTATCCGGCGTCGCGGAGCCGTTGGAGGCTGGGGAGAACCGAGACCTTGCGGTGAAATTGGCGCAGTCCGAGTTGACCCGCAGAGCCACTCTGCGCAAGACTCATGACGGCCGTCGCATTGCGGGGGAATGGAGCGACTGGGAGAGTGCCCTACAGGCTAACAGGAAGACGAACGATACCGATCTTAGCCAGCGCATTCAAAGTATAAGGTCAAATATCGACCACACCCATTCGGTCAGCCAAGCAAAAGGCCCCCAGAAACCCGTTGTGCATGAGGCCCCTCCAGTGTCTTCAGCATATAAGTATCCAACCGTTCCTCTCCAGAAGCCTCTCGACCCTATCTCATCCGGTCAAATCGCCATTCACGACAAGAACGCCGAACGACAGCCTCCTCCAGTATTACCGCCAAAGGAAACGGCTCAGCCTCGAAAAGCCGCCGTGTATGATGGATCTCCCATGGATGGGCCCCCCCCGTCCATCAAAAATATCGCCTCAGCCGCTTGTCCCTGAGAAGAAACTCTCGGCTAATGCCAACCCCGAACTCAACCCATCGAGCTACACGTTCAAGCCCTCTGCGTATCTGGAGAATGGGACGCCTCTACGTTCAGTCTTCCTCCCTGCCCACCTTCGAACGCGCTTTTTATCTGTGGCGGCTGCCAACACGCACCGCAATCTAGAAACATGTGGAATTCTATGCGGGACACTTGTCTCCAATGCGCTCTTCATTTCGAGGCTGGTCATACCCGATCAAGTCTCGACCTCCGATACCTGTGAAACCACAAACGAATCGGCCCTCTTTGATTACTGCGACACGGAAGATCTGATCATGCTCGGCTGGATTCATACACATCCCACCCAGACCTGCTTCATGAGCTCACGGGACCTGCATACGCATTCCGGTTACCAGGTGATGCTTCCTGAGAGTATTGCTATCGTCTGTGCTCCCAGCAAAGATCCAGACTGGGGCGTCTTCCGTCTTACGGATCCGCCTGGTTTGAAGACTGTGCTGAACTGCACGCAGGGCGGGCTCTTCCACCCTCATGCTCAAGAAAACATTTACACTGGTGCCTTGAGGCCGGGGCATGTTGTTGAAGTTAATGGATTAGAATTTGAGACGGTGGACCTTCGTGCCGCCGGATCGCGAGTCTGAATTTGTATACCCTAGCGCACAATCGAATCACACACTTATCTTCATTTGGCCCATTGTTCTGTAGAGATTTAATTTGCAGAGATACACTACGGTTGGTGTCATTCTCCTTAGCCAGCTACCTTGCAATAGGTCTTCTGTTCTGTGTGAATTGTGGAAATAGCATTGTCGTCTTGGAATTCTTGTGTCGACGACGTGCTTCAACAACTCGCATTCCTTTACATGACCGTGTTATGTGTCGAGTCCGTTCTCCTTTGCCCCTCCTCTCCATTTCGATACTTTGATACTTTGATATTCTGCCTTTGTCCCTGGCCTGCTGCCTTCTAGCTTTCGTGTCCCGCTCACGGACGCACGCCGTAGCATTGAACTCGGGCTCATTACGACCATTACGTAGTGCATTCTGACACTTTCATAGGCAGTCTGCTTTGAAGCAAGCATTGGCGACTAAACCAGGCTATATGCATCAGGAAGAGGTAAAATTGTGCTTTATTCAACCAAGTCTATCATCCCCGCCTCCGACATATTTTTCTCATGCATGGCAATAGCTGCCGTCATGTTCTATGATCCTTAATCCCCCGGGTGATAATGGTTTTTCCCATACTTCTTCTTTGACGTGCGTTTGCTGGCTGATCCCGAGCTTTCTTTTGCCCTGAGTGATGCTTCGGGCGAGCGCTTGTCCTTCCGGTTCAGGTGCTCTACTCGATAAGGGCCCTTCAATCGAGTCAATCACAATCGGTCCTTGCTCATGTGCTCCTCGTTCTTCCAGCTTGCGATGCTTACTTTAGACCTGGGCTCCGCATTATGCGTAATGTGATGGTGGTGATGAGCGCCGAACGCTTCTGCCTCCATTTGGGCGACTTCGCCGTGGTAGCGATCTGCACGAGAGATCCTCGTCGCCATTGTGGTTACAGGTTTGGAAAAGAATAGTGACCCCGTCGCGTTAAAAGCAGTTCACGTTATAAATGGAGATAAGGTTGCTCGCGTCTCTTATATTAGAGCGCCTCCTCGCCACAGTTCCGTCATTCCATCAGGAGAGGCAAAATCAATGAAAATGCCCGTTCGAGCTCCACTGCAGTAACCTTGGAAATGGCTGGACCCATCTATATGTCAATTGGTCATATTGGCCGATTCTCGATGTTTTCTGGTTCTCGCATTCTATGCGCATTACCACATATACATCTAGTACTCTCGAAGTCATATCTACATCGACTCCCGAGAATCACTACGCTTGTGTTCTACGCTTGTGGCAAATGACGGATACAAGAAAAAACACCTCTGGTTTCCCAAAGAATCTTAATCGCGCCAGGATTATGCTCGATATCTCCAGACTGCTGTCCCCTTTTTTTGTACAGTAGACCAGTGGGGTATGGCCCACTGCCATTCTCACGTGACTAACTCTATTATGCTCTTTGACATGCGCCACAGGGTCTGGTTGTGCTGGATCCACATGAAAACATCAGTTTTCTAGCCGCAGAGCAGCTGTGCATGAGGCTTGTGGCGATAAGTTACTTGGCGACCTCTTTCTTGGGCGCGTCCAGGATTGATTACCAGTAAAAATCACAACTTCCGAGTAAGGGAGCTTCCACGCCGAGAAATCGGCAGCCGTGGAATATGTTTTGGGAACTAGATCTCTTCATTTTCATCAATCGATTGAAACATCATATGATATTCTTCAACAAAGAAGATGATTGGCTGTTATTGTGCGGGGGTGGTTGTTTCACGGTAGATAAGCCCGGTCTTCTGTACGGCATGCGGCTCCCTGAGTTTCACCTCAAGACCACATCCTTTCCCACGCGCGCCCCATCTGCATGGATATCCTATCACCACCACATCTTGAGTAGTCTGCGCCAGTCGAATTGAGCTTCCGTATGTCCTCCGACAGTTCAGATAGGGGGTCTCCCACCCCCGACACGACCACCTCCAACACCCCGCCTGCATCTCACACGTCTCAGCAAAAACAAGACCTCGCCTCCCCCTTCTCCTTCTTCTCCTACCCCGTCACACACGTCGCAAAGGGATTATATCGCCGAATTACGGATCCAACGCCCCCACAAAGTATGCCCTCCAGCCTGTGGTCCAACTCGTCCTCCGAAGTCTTCACGCCGCGCCGAACAGCCTCCCCGTTCCAACCACCGCCTCTCACCCCTCTATCTCTCGAAATCCCCAAAGGCGCCGACCTTCTACAACAGCAACTTCTCAACCGAGCTCTAGCGGAGGAAATCCGCCTCCTCGTCCCCGCCCGCCTCCAACTCGTCGAAAAATGGCGCCTAGCCTACAGCCTCGACCGGGACGGGGCCTCCCTCAGCACCCTCTATGACAACTGCGAAGAATTCTCCCATCGTAGCCCGCGGGCGGGCTATGTCCTCGTTATTCGCGACGCCTCCCCCGCAGGCACCGTCTTCGGCGCCTATATGACCGACGCGCCGCACCCAAACTCCCAATTCTTCGGCACGGGCGAGTGCTTCCTTTGGCGGGCCAGCGTCCTCCCACCACCCGCAAACCTCGGCCTGGCTTTCTCCACCGACGGGCCTCAATCAGAGGAGGCCCTCGAACGCGCGGGCCTGCCCCCTCCTCCTTCGGCGGACACCACCCACGCCGGGCGCTGGAGCACCCTGCGCAATGATCCGAAATCGAAGACGGAGTCGCCGGCCCATAATCTCAATATGAATATCAAAACCAACCTGGCGGCGGCGAGTGGGGGTGCGCTTGCTCCACCGTCGCCCTCCTCGATTAACACGCCTTCGCGCAGTGGGGCTAGTACCCCCGAGCGTATCCGTTTCAAAGCCTTTCCTTATAGCGGTGTGAACGATTACATGATGTTTTGCGAAACTGGGTTTCTGAGTCTGGGCGGAGGGTAAGTGGATATCGACATTCCTGGGTGTGAAATAACGTGGACTAACCTTTGATGACAGTGATGGACACTACGGCCTTTGGGTTGATTCAAGCTTGGAAAAGGGTGTCAGTGCACACTGTCAGACATTTGGTAATGAACCATTATCGGAGGAGGGGGAGAAATTCGAGGTCATTGGTGTCGAGGTGTGGTATGTGGGCTCATAAGGTATGTCGGCGAAGTGAGCATATATACGACTTAGTATCCTACCACCAAGGGTCAATGTTTGCAAATTTGGATGGACAGGTCTCGATGATCATTAATACCCCGCGAGAATAGCATTGATTACTTGGGCGTCATGGACATTTGTCTGCCCCACGTTCTTTATGAATGTATAGACGCTGCGAAGACTCCCTCTATTTGGATAATCTGTAGCCTGTCGAGACCGACTGGTAGTATGAATTGTATGCATTCCAAGGTGATCCAGCGAAAGAAGGTCCAATCTCCAAGAAAAATTTTCAGTACATTGGCTCAACTTAATAATGAACGCAGCCGTCATTACTACAACGTCACACATACGATCAGGCTAGGATGGTTCGTTGCAATTCGATTTATTCGTATCTAGTCAAGCTACCTAATAGAAGAACCTTGATCAAGGTTCAAATAGAACGCTGTCGCGGGGAACAAAGATTAGAAGCAGCCCTCGAACCTGAGTGTGAAGCGTCAAGGAGGATTTGACAAAGGGAAAAGAAAATCGTTGGAAAAACAGCAGGGGGTATGGGTAACGGCACAAAGCAGATCAGCAAATCATGAAATCAGAAGGGGAATGGGAAACAGACAACTAGTAAGGTGAATTGACGATATTGTCCCGAAGATGACTCTGGCGACCGCTGCGGTTACGAGCCGGAGTCATAGGGCCAGCAATACTCTCGCGAGTAGGCTTCTGGAAGCTTCGTTTCGCGACCATGTTGACCTCGTTGGGCAAAGCGACAATCACGTTCTTGTCGGAACCGAACCGGAAATTGTCGGCCATGACATTCTCTTCATATCGCTTAATGGTGTAAGGATCCTTGCGGCCCGCAAGAACCTTCTTCATACTCCAAGTGATGATGAATGGCCCAGTAGCAGTAACAATCGATGTTTCTTCGGTATCAACACCGGTGTTGAAACGGGCCGTGGTAAAGGACAGGGGCTGCTTCGTCTCGTGCTGGAACTGTGCAACGTGCGCAGGCTGGAGACCCAAACGCCGAGGCTGAGGCTTGGAATCCTTGGCAAATGACTTTTCGAACCCAAGTTTGCCTTCGTTCTTGCCGTCCTTCTGAAGCGCGTCGATCAGGAGAAGGTAGGTCCGACAAGTAGCTAGCACCCAGCGTCCGTCAGCTGATACATCAAGACCGATGATTGGCTCACCAAGAGCCGGGATGTGAGTCTTAGCATTAATTCCGAGACGGTCAAACATGCGAATGTCTCCCTTGTTGGATGCAACCGCGATATAGCCCTTCTCGGTAGTGGAAACGGCAGAGAAATCATTCTTGCTCACGTATTGCTTCAGATCAGCATCCACGAGCTTATTGCCAGAAAGACGAGGGTCAATGCGATACAGCGCGTTCCTCGATGCACCGACAAATGGTTGAGCAGCAGTCATCTGAGAAAATTTGCTCTCCGGGGCAAATGTATCAACAGTAATGTCATCGTGCACCTTCCACTCATCCACCACTTTACCGTATTCAAGATCCATACGATAAAGAGAATTGGGATCATCGGTGTTCTGAAGTATCAAGTCTTGATCCTCCGCATGAAGCATGACCTTCTTAGGACTGAATAGCTTGCCGCGAGGGGGTCTCGACCTTGGAAATGTTGGTCGAAAACTCCAGATTGTTGTTGTCGGTGTGCTTGAAGACACCAATCTTGGAGCCACGAACCACGAAAGACCGGTCGTGCTTGTAGCCAACAGCAAGCTGGGAGTTGACGTTTCCATCTGCATCACGCGTAACATGGTCATCGTCAGATTCATCGCTATCGTAATGTTCACTGCGCTGCCCGTCATCCTGATCGGTCGCTTCTTCCTCTTCATCTTCGTCTTCCTCTTCCTCGGGATGTTCGTCGGCATCGTCCATTGTGAGATCCTGGAAGGCGTCTAGTACGTAGTCGCGATCGTCTTGCTTCACCTTGTTCCACTTCATCTCATTCAACTGCTCCCATAGCGCCTGCATAAGGCCCTCCTGGAAGCGCTCTTCCGAGGGCTGGTCCCTGAAACGAAGAAGCCAAGAGTAGGCCGATCCATCTTCGGCATAATGATTGAAGATGAACGACAAATATTCAAAATTGAAGACAGGGTTGATGTCTGCCACAACAGCCTGGCCGAGCCAGTCCTTGTCCTTGCTGCTGATCTGCAGCCAATACTGCCAGTTTCCAATTTCTGAAACGCTTGCGACAACCTCAGACTCTTGCAACACGAAAGTTCCAGTGGCGAAGTCGAATAAGTGCAGCTCGGCTCTCTCCTTTGCCAAGATCTCCTTCGATTCGGGTTGGGGAGCGGCAGCTGGCGCAGTAGTCGACTTGTCTTGTTCAGCTCCGGACTTCATCTTGCCCTTCGACTGGGCATATTTCACGTCCTTCGCCATCTCTGCTGCGCTTTCTTCGGCGGAGGGGGGGTTGATTCTGAGACTGAAGGGTGGGAGAGGCAACAGGGCTGGCGGATGGAATCGGACTTTCTTGGAAAGAGAACTGTTGCAGTTCCTCTTCGGTAGCTTTCTGGGCACTGCAGCGGAACTTGCGCTCGTACTGGCACTGCAAAGCCGCCAACTCAAAGGTGGCGACCTTGTCAGAGGGGACAGAAGGGTCGCAGATGAACTCAAAAAGATCACCCTCGTCTCCGCTGAGATCGTCCCAGGCGAGGATCTTGACCCCACCTTCGCGAACCTCAGATCGGAAGTGCAGGCTCTGGTCCAATAGGAAGACTTTCTCGTCTTTGTCTAGGCCATCTGCTGCACCGTGCTCGTCTTCGTCCTCGGCAAGCTCCTCTTCGCCTTCCTCGTAAGCCCTCTGAATCACCAACTGGTACTGGAACTCCTGGCCGGTCCGGCGGATGGAAGCAGCTGCGTCCTTGAAGATGAGTTCAGAGTAGCCTTTGGGGGACAAGGGGCGAACAAGATAGAGCTGGCCTTGAGGGATCTCGATGATGGATTCTTTCGAAGTATCCCGAAAGAGAAACTTGCCCACTGTTCAAGAACCAATATTAGCATATATTTGACGCTTTGTGGAGTAAACCTCGTGGTTGGTATGGAGGGGTTTGGCGGGGCAGGAACGCGTTGCTACCTACCGTTGCGGAGCATAAACATTGTTGCGAGGGGCAGGTGACCAGGGCAAGACTGAAGGCGAAGACCAGAGAAGACAGAAAGGGCAGGTAGTCCTGGTTCAAGACACTCGAAGGGATGCAGCTGGTCCGGCCACCGACAGCAACACAAAGAAGGCTGAGAGGAGTATCAACCTAGAAAAAATAAAAATAAATAAATGAAGCATGGTGAAAGAAGTGGACTCCGTCATCGTACTGTGGCGTCTGTGGCTCCTAGATTATGTAATAATGTGGCGAATCCAGATCCAAGCAACAAGTGGAAACGGCAACCCAATCAACATAGAACCCTAATATCTGAATTAGTGGAAGAACCCAAATTTCCTACCAAAAGACGCCACCAAGTGTATGACTGGTCTCCTTTCAAGCCAGAGTGATGGGCGGAATGCCCTGTAATTCCGGTTGGCCACTCTTAAGCCCCTCAGTCTAACTAATTTGAGAACTGATTATGGAATATATTGTAAACTTAATCTAAAATTTCATCTAGTTCGGGAATAGGATCACCGTAGTTGGATTCTACATGTAGAAATGGCATCTTGGTATGGAACGGGCGCTTCTTAGGTCAAGATAGGACCTCTCGAAGCCCTTACTCTTCCTCCCCGTCATCTGCTGCAGCTTCTACCGCAGCAATATGATCCTCCTCGGCTACATCCTCAACGTCATCCTCAGCATAATCTTCAACCTCCTCCGCATTATCATCAGCTTCATTTGACTGAGTTCTTAGCTTCCCTCCCTTGCGTGGTGGAATGACCTTCATGAATGCCTCTCCCCAATCTTTCAACTCAAGCCAGTTGAGCATGATGTCCACCACGTGGTTGGTTGTAAGAACAGTGCGAGAGGCCATTTGAATATATTGGCCAATAGGAAGTTTGGCTGTTTTCATCCCCTTCTTCAATGCCTCTTTGTAGCAAACAGCCTTGTATCGGTTCTTGTCTACCAAGCCACCGATTATGTATGTACTGTAAGGCTTGAGCTCTGTCAATGTGTTGGGACTGTCGCTGCTGAGATAAATGACTTCGCCATCCTCGGGCTTGGCTTCAGTCTGATCGGCGAAGGGACCAACAAGGGCGCCACCTTTTGGAGACGCCATGTGTTCTTTCGCAAGCTCAGCTGCCCTGGCAAAGTCCTCCTGAATGATCTGAATGCCTTTCCAATTTTTATGCGCAACAAGCACGGTATCGAAGCGTTCCTTCAGAAGCTTGTCGAAAGAGCTGAACATAAGGTGCGAGCGCCAGGGTGCACGGGTGTTTTCGGAGTAGACACGAGTCAATTGAGAAGCCAGAGAAATTCGTTCTTTGACGTTCATCAAGTCGTCGTAGCCACAGTCGATGACAATGGATAACGGGATTAACGTCGATTTGTGCTTTAAAGCTCGGGTCGAGGCCCAAGACTTGCGCAATGCAGTGACCGCTTCCTCGCCACCTGTAGCGCGAGCTTCTTCCAGCATTTTATGGCGTCGTTCTTTCTTCGCAGCAGCTTTTTCCTTCCGCTGGCTTTTCCGGTGTTCGCGGTCTTTCTCCCATTTCTCTTTTTTGCGTAGTCGCCGAAGTTGGTTTTTGGACATTCCTGCTGTCGCGTCCACATTCTCAGCTGGAGCATTATCTTCCTTGGCTTCTCCCTCGGTTGTAGAAGTGGCAGCCTCTTCTGGATTCTGCCCGGTAGCTGCAGTATTCTGCTTCGACTCGTCGGCGAGAAGGGCGCCTGTCATTGCGGGACCAAGCTCTCCAGGAGTAGGATCGTTGTCAGGAACATCAAGCTTCTGGAGCTTCCTCGGGCGCTCTTCTTCCGCCATTATTGTGTAGTCGCAATTCTAATGCGGTGGGCAGTTCGAGCTCTTCGTGGGCGTAGAATGCGGGCAGAAAATAAGAACAGCCGATCTACGGCCAATCAGAGACGACCGGTCCTTCATTACGACGGCCGACACGTGACCGCATCTCCCCATCGTGACTTCTCGTTCATCCGCCTTGACATCCCCAGGATCCGAATCCCCCATTCCACCGCCACAATGCCTCAGGATATGCCCCCAACGGGGGGCTACGCTCAAGTCCAGTACAAGGTACGCCATTGGCCCAGGTCCGGGCCTCCATGGCCCTAGAGGGAGCCGCCCGGAGCAGCTTCTCAGCAGCGCCATGGCTAACGTCCGTTTGAATCTTTAGCGCAACCTCCCCGCCCGTGGCTTCAGGCCTTGGGTCTATGCCGTCGGTCTGCATGCCATCATGGCCTATGGATTCTACACACACTGGGTCGGTGTCCGCGAACAACGGTACGTGACCCCACCAAAGTGGTCCCTTCCTCCGATCCGTTCAATGTCGAGATGGAAATTGGGACCAGACCACCCAGCAGCGAAATACTCCTTTTATGTTGAACCGTGACCGGGGGCTAATCTCCTACCGATATAGGGAACTCACCCGTGAGAAGATGTGGTCCCGTCTCTACCTTCTGCCTCTTCTGCAGGCCGAGGAGGACCGCGACCAGGTCCGCCGCCACTTCGCCGAGAATGCGCGCCAAAAGGAGCTTTTGGGCGCTGAGGAGAAGGTCTACAACTCTGACCGGTATGTTCCGCCGTACGTGAGAGACTTCGAGCCAATCGCTAATTCTATGCAGCTTTATCCGACCTACCGTTGTCTACACCCCCAGCGAAGTCACCCCTGAAGCTAAGAAGTCGTGGTTCTAAAGGAGCACAAGATTATCTGTCCCTCATCATGTTTGATCTGGTGCTATAGTTTCGCGTTCTGGGCTCAGAGTTGGAGTCAAGATTTGTTTCATGGGGTCGATGCAATCGGAAGATCGTGAGGAGGTTCTGATCTCGAAGGTTTCGAGAAAAACAATGTAGATATAACACTTCTAGGAAAGTTTCCTTGGTTTTGCGAATTTGAGACATTTATTCAATTCTATGTTCCTTGCTTGCTTTTCTACCAATAGAAATTGACTCTGTTAGTACTAGTATCTCCATGAGAGAATGAGAGAAGCTTCGGGTTTAGATTACTTGAAAGTTTACATATCTTGGTTGTATTTTTGGTCTTTTTTCTTTTCAGTTCTCTAGTGGTACACAAGAGACCCGTCTAGCATTATTTTTGACATAAGCGCCTCCGCCAGGGTAGTCCGTTAGATTGCGCGCCGGTGATGAATAATATAAGGGAATGAAATAAACATGAAAGTGCACAATATCAGCTGAACAGGTCAGCAACACCAGAGAGATCTGGACCGTCGTTGATGTCAACCCGAGGGTTCGATTCCTGGGCTTCCATTTCGTGGTTAGTCATGTACCGCTCTTGAAGTGCGCTGCGGATCTTGCGTCGTTCTTCTCGCGAGCTTAGAATTTTTCCTTGTTCGGCGATACTCACGCCCCGAAGAGGCTCAAGGAGTTCGAGAACAAGAGCACGCTGTTGGCGAGGGGAAGCGCTTCGGCGAAGCTGAGCTTCAGTATTCACGACTTTTTCTTCGGTGATGCCTGGTAGTGTGAGGAAGATATCTCGTGGCGTAGAGCTAGCTGGGCCATAGATGAACCAGATGGATGCGATCAACTGGGCCAGATCTTTCTGCATGTCAACAAAGTAAGGCTCGTGCACGGACGTGATGCATGCCTTGAGCACATCGGTGCAGATGAATTCGCGTATGGTGACCGTGGTCTGGTTGTCCTTCGGACTGGGGGCGAAGTCCGGAAGGATGGATCGAATAACCCTAGTGATGATGCTACAGCATCTCGTGTCACGCATACGAAGAGCATGTGTACAAAAAAGCATAATGGGCTCGAATATATCCGAGGATGAGAGGACAAATTGTCGAATGGAGTCACCGAGCTCTGGGGTTGGCGATCCTGGATGAAGATCAGACTCGGTTCGATCTGGGTCTGGTATATGGTCAATTTTTCATTCTCTCAGTCCCTGTCGGGACAGAGGATAGGTGTTGTCTCTTCTTACCTCCCCTCTGAGGGTCGAACAGGCTGGCCACCATGATTACCGCAGAGTATGTCAGTTGGCGGAGCACACTCTCAGATTTCATCTCATCCGTAAGATCTCCCTCTGCTAGTCCAGTCTTCCGCTGTTCAATGATTTCCCATTCATGAGTGATCTTGCGGTCTAGGCTCTGGAAAAGGGTCGAAAGCATCGGTGGTAGGAATTGAGAACGATATTGCACTGGACAGTCATCGATTAAGCAGCGAGATATGTTGAGCAGGACCGAGTATTGATGGGATGAAAGATGCTCTGCATCTTTGAAGAGCGCTTGGGACAGCGGAAGGGGGAGTTCGGCATATCCGTAGAACTGATGGCGCATTCTACTCATACTGAAAAGCATAGAGTAGCATGATTCACGCACAGCTCTGATTTTACCGCGGACAGATGATGCGAATCCCTCTAGTGTAGTCTTGGACGCCGTAATTCTCGCATAGAAATCGTCGCGGCTACCAGTCGAGATACCGGCTTGCCAGAAGCGATCGGTGAGAATACGCTCGACCACGGCGCGCATCTCGTCACTTACTGCCCAATTCGACGGATTGTGGAATGCATGAGCATTGCTACATGATTTGTTAGATCAGTCTCAAAACGCCATTCACCGATAAAGGATGGTACCTGAGAAGTGGCAAGAGAGTTCGCAGTATTTCTGGGATCAAGTCATGCCACATGTTACACGCAACTTCATAAGCGGGAGTGGTCTTCTTAAGCTTGTCAGTGGAGACTGCCAGCATGGTCTTAGTCCCTCGCAACGGTAGCATCTAGAAAGGTCAGAAAATATTAAATAACGAGTTCCGAAGAAATTTACCTGAAATTTCTTTGTCATCTCTTCTTGGACAATCTTTCCCTCGTTGTCCAAATGAACCTCTGACCAATCCGAAATTCGATGGGCTTGCTTAGCTTGCATGTATGATCCGACGTTCTCCAACCCCAACATCGAACAAAAGCCTTCAAAGGTCGAGGCCATGCGACAAAACGTTTCATCCCGCCAAGCTTGTCGAATTGGCTCAAGGAAAGAAGCTAGTCGGGTATTGCGCACGTTGGGATCAACATTGTTGGCCCGTTGCCTGCGCAAGTTAGCCGAGATCTCCCAAAGAGGCGAAGAAAAGAAATAGAAACAGGACGAAGAGAAGCAAACTGGGACAACAAAGCATACATGATAATGAGCAGGATTGATGTCAACTCCATTTGAAGCTTATCATCCACGCGATTTGTCATGGTGATCTCTGTGATCTTCGGTTCCAGCAGGTCGTAGAATGTCTAAGACTCGATCAGTACCAGTACCTTTTGATAACACCTGTCGCGGATATACGTACGGCAAAATAATCCGCATAGCGCATTGCCAAACGGCGGAGTTCATGACTAGCAAGGCCATGCAATTCTTTCAAAGCCTCAGAATATGCAGGAAACTCAGGATGATCCGGAAGTCGTGTCATGAGAATGTGCTCCAGAACTTTGAGGGCAAATGAAGGGTGATTGTCAAGGGCACGAGAAGAGATGTCGACTACCAGCTTAATGACTCGCTGTTTCAAAACCGGGTCCTGTAGGCGGTTATTAAACAATCTTGCCTGTTCCTTCTCTGAGATCTTACATCGAAGGAACGTTGCATCAGGCTTGTTGCCCAATGTTCGATCACGTTTTCAAGCCCATTTCGATCTTGCTCCTGTAGTCCGGTCAGTATGCAATCATTGGTAGTTTGAATTAAATACTCACATCATTCTGAGGGGCTTTTCCGTGGGCCTCGATCCATTTATGGTAACCCTTGATGACCGCTTCAACGACCGCGAACTGAGCATCGGCTCGCATGAGAGGGATTGATGATTTGCTGAATGTTTGCACTTTGCAAAATTAGTAAAGTCCTGTCGCTGCATCAAAGAACGGACACCCACTTGAGAAAGGCTCGACTCCATCATAGAGACTGTCCAAATTGGTATCGATCTTTGCGAGAATCTCACTGACAGCTTCTTTGGGTCGTTTTAGAGTGATGCTCTCGATTATTGACGAGCAGTAACGGCGATAGTTCCCAACAAATGCATGGCGCTCTGGAACGGTATCAATATCATCTATGAGGAATTGCACAGTAGGATTATCTGAGTCCGTGGAAGAAGATTCCCAGCGGATCAACCGCTGGGTACAAATGTTCAAAAAATTAGGAGTTTGCGCAACCACAAAGTCCAGCTCATTCAGTTTGTTTATAGTGAGCAGCCGGGACCAAAGATGGAGAGCAGGAATAGAAACTACCAAGCTCTCATTCTGCATGATATTGATCATGAAATCGAAGAAACCGGGTAAGTCCAGACGATGCATGATTTGCCGAAGGACTCGCTCATCCTCCAAACAGCCCGCGATATAAGAAACAGTCTACTTCGGTTAGCACCTGTGATGCTATTGAGGAAGAAGCAAATTACCTCAGAAAGTTTCTTTGAAATAAGATACTTTGGATCGTCCATGTCGTCTGGGCCAACAACAGACCACTGATAGACATTCCTCAGAGCGTTTAAGTAGTCAGGTTCAAAGATGAGCCAGACAAGCTCTTGCGAGTCTTCGCTCCCCATGTTACTTCTCCCATATAGCGCATGCAAAGCCTCGACTGCAGCCTAAATTGGTTTATTAGGATAAACAGACCGACAAACAATGAATCAATACTCACCAGCAAAACTTGCTCATCTTGGCATGTAAGCGCCCTGAAAATGCTGGACACGACGTGCGACGCCACAACCGCCTTGTAAATCGACCAGGAAAGAGCGGATCGCAGACTAGTTAAGGCTTTGACGGCGGCATCCCTAGCCTGCGGAGAGTTGGAAACATTCAGAACGCAGTTGTCGAGGAACTCGCAGATTCTGACTAGCCATCCTTCTTGCCCACATCTCAGCACCGCACTGGGGTTCTTGTCCGGGTTGATATGCTCCACAATTGCAGCAGGGGTGAAAATTTCGACGAGAGCGCGATTGAGCTCCGTGCCGCGCAAGGACGAGACTGTATCCTCGCGGAAGAAAACATCTTCAGACAGTGTCTCCAAAACAGCAAGTACCAGTTCATTGTGCACAAGTGATGAGCCCCAGAACTTTACTAGCGTAGCATCCATGTCCATCCAGTCCAGCCCCCAGCTCTTCTTGGCGGCCTCGGACCATAGCTGCGGGATTTTGTTGCGGAAATAGCTTGGGTCTTCCGGTTGCAGATTCTCGGCGAGCTGTAGAACGATCGATCGGAGGTTCGCGGACTCTTCGGCGTTGCTGAATGAAAGATGGCGCAGTACATGGTCCAGGAGTGTCAAGCCAAAATACCGCACGACGTACGCATGGTTTGAGCGCGACGCGAGCAAGAAGCCATTGCGGGCCGCAGCGTCACTGTCTTTTAAAGACTCAACAAACGTGAGAGCCTCTTTTCGGAGATCGTTGGACGATGTAGGACTGTGGATTGCCTCCAGAGCCCGAATAATGTCGGCCATGCCGGCCTCAGAGAGCTCTTCCGCAGCCATGTTGACGGCGCCAAAGTTCGGTTGCGTGGATTATGTTCGGAGGGTATGCGCACGGGTTGAGGGATTCAATTAGGATCGTCCTTGAGCTGTCTGGTTCCGAGCATCCAGTCCTTAACTGTTCATACTCCGAGAGGAGTTCAAGGCCCGCGGTTCGGTTCGCCTGGCCGTTGGACCTGTCCGTGAGGTGCTTCGCAGTCGGACACAGTGACAACGGCCAACCAAGGACGCCAATCAAGCAATTTAGTTGAACGAGGAAGAGGTGGCTCCAGCGAAGGGATCGAGGGGCTTGGAAGGGGAAGGTGGAGTGGGTTATTTTGAGCGGGAGAAAAGTGATCTTCCCGCGAGGCGGAAGTTGGAAGTGCCGGTCTGCTGAAATTCACTCAAGTTGTTACTCGACGCGTTCTATAGTTGACCTCCCTTTTCGTCCCAGCCCGTTCTAATTTCAGGGATCCATGGACAAAGCGGGTCCAGAGGTTTTTGTTTCATCTTTGTCCTGCTTCCCAAGCTTCTATTGGCTTCGACGGGCTCTTAAGTTGTACCCCTCCGTCACCGATTGTTTTATCTTATCTCTCTCTACGCGCGCGATCCATGGGCGCCAGGCGAACCCAGTGGTTGCTGCTGTCAACTCACATTTCCAAAGCAAAGAAATCCGGCCTTGAATCAAATGGATTATTCAAGTTGCATTCAAATTTGGTAAATACGGAAATTCCAAGTAGCCAAGTCTGTTTCACATAATAGCACACTCTCCTCGTTGGCATTGATCCATATATGTTATATCCTCCCCTGCTGGATTAGCAATTCCCCCGGGTTTACGTATTACACCCTGAACCTTTAGCTCTTGCTCTCCTTCAGCATGCCACCACCGTAGGCGCTGCAGCTTGACTGATTGGACTTCGTAATTGTCCAGCTCCCATTTCCCGCCGCTGATCTCCACGTCCAAGTTGCCAACGGGGAAGTGAAATTCCGGCAGGTGAATTTCCGTTGGAGCCTGAGCGTCCGTGGGAGCTTTGGCAGTCAATGACATAGTAAACGTGCAGCTGCGGAGATCAAAAGCGTGACTAGTCAAGGTACCGCCGACATAGACAGGGCTTGGACGCAAATATGCCTCGGCCGCCCGATAGCCCTTTGGTGGTGGGTCCTGGGAATGGGTGCTCGAGATAGAGGGTGTCGTCAGGGCGCGCTTGAGATTGCGGGGTCCAATTTCAGCCCCACCGACATTGCCGTGAGTCTCAGAATAAGAAGGGGAATTGGGATTATGAGAGGGAATGATAGCGCCCGTGGGCAGTTCCAAGTCATCCCCGGAATAGATCGAGAGATCCTCTCCGTTCCAGTTGTCGCCCCATTTATGAGAATTCTGGTTATGGTTAGGACACATACAAAGCACAAGGGATAGTGACATACCTCCGTTTCATAGACCCAAATGGTGTAGCCATTGGAGGTGCTGCCTTCCAGGGCAAAATGGTTGGCATCCATAGCACTGGTCTGGCTGCTGTAGTCTCCTGTCTGGTAGGCATATTTGTTATCCATGTCGTACGGGATTCCAATCTCTGTGAAAACCATGGGATGATTGCCCATGTAGTTGATGCTCTCCTCACGAAGGAATTTCAGCTGGTCGCGAAGACAGTTCCGAATCGCAGTCTCGCCAACCTTCACTCCAAAGGCCGGAGCCCAGTATTTTCCTCGGAGGACTCCAATTACATCAACGTTATAAAATCGATTCCTGTAACGATTAGAGCTTTTCAGAAAGATGGATATTTTGGCTACATACCAGTGCTTGGTCATCAGTGTCAAGCCATCATAGTAATGGACCGCGTGCACCATATTTGGGTCATCATCGATGGTGCCCTTTAAGTCAGGCGGAACTTCCATCACAGGTGGCTGGCACAGCATGATTGATTGGGGCCACACACTTCGAATGGCATCTCTGAATGCGCGGTAGTGATTCAAAAAGTAAGTGTTAGTGAATTTCTCATAGTTCATCTTCTCTCCGGTCTGAGGAATTTTGGAGAAGTAGTCCTTTTGCAACAGCGTGTCGGTAGACGTATCCCAAACCCCATGCTGAGCCCAGATACATTCACCGAGCTTCCAGCCAGGATCTCGTTTCCAGCCGTACTTCCTATCTTCAAGGTCTGTTGATAGCCAGGTCGTGACGCCAGCTGGGTCAAGAAGCTCTCTCCCAGTCTGATAGGGCCCAAAGCTTCCAAAGGCCCAGGTAGGGAGCTCACAAGGGCGACCGGAGCCAGTCAGCATAGCTTGGAATGCAGTTGGGCATGTTCCAAGTTTCAGTTGTTGGTCAGCAGGGATCACAGAAATATCCTGAAAGCCGATAAGCCCACGATGAGGTTCGTTCATGCTTTCCCATCCAATAACAACATCATGCTCAAGGTCGCCCGCATCATGGATCTTCTGGGCAAGAAATTTGCAAGCACCGATGTAATGGTTTTGCAGATAGTCCTGGATATTGACCCCATCGATGATAGCCTTGGGTGCATAATCGCGACCAGCCCAAAACAGGGTGAACATGGTTTGACACAAAATTCGAGTATAGTTTGTACTCCAGACCATTTTGGGGAATTCGGCAGGATTGTCGGATGTGTTGTGCACAAGCGCTGCTCCGGTCGTCTTGAAGTTCTTGGGTTCGAACCCGGCCGCATAGAGTGTCCATAGAGGCGCGCCTGACCCCCCCGAAAACCGTGACCACTGATTCAATTAGCAGTAGCCATCTCAAGCAAGTGGCTGTACTTACCACATCCTGGTGCGGGTCCATAAACACATAGAACTCGTATTTCTTCGCGATTCGCAGAATCTCAACAGTGAACGCGGCCCACTCCTCATCATAGATTCCCGGGCCAGCATGCTCGATGGCTTCCCAGGTAAAGATGTAGCGAATGGTATTGTATCCCCACTTGCGTAACCGTTGAAAGTGGATGTGCGACTCTTCTAATGAGAACGGGCGGCCGACGAACGATACATTGTCGCCCTCGAAGAACTTATTGGATTCATGAGACGGAATATCCGGGGACTTAGGATATTTAGCGTCCGCCGCCACATTAATCCCACGAAGCAAGATCTCTCGGTTCTGAGGGTCCCGAAAGGTCCGCCCGTCAATGTGGAGTTGCATGAAGCCCATTTTGACTATTCAAAGACGGATCGGCAGAAGGGAGGATGAACTAGCTGAGACTTTGATGATATCGTAAGGAGTAAAGCCAAGTTATCGAAAGTGATATGGACCTCCAGGTGTAGATTTCTCCAAGTTAGAGTTAGAGACAGTAAGCACTCTTTTCCAACTATGTCGATAAACCCAGAGTAGCAAAGGTGGAGCTCGAAGCTTGCCTGGTTTGTCGGTGAATAGTGTAGCTAGGGGTTCTGAGTCTGCCCTACGGCCTCAACAGACCGCGGCAACCCTCAGCAGGATAGCGGCTGTGAGTAGGTTTGAAGGGCTCTAAAGGAGGAAAGACGGAAGTTGTGGTTAAGAGATGAAATGCCAAGGCATTGGGAAAGCCCGATAAGACAGGAGAGGGTGACGTTATCATCTGCTCTCCCGTGGCTCCGGGGAGAGACAGCCACGGCGGCCGATAAGCCCCCGCAAGTTCGTTTCATATATGGTAAGTGTGACTGGCTGGAGCCCTAACCAATGACGAGCACTTGCCAGTGTCTTATACATTTATAACAAGAGAATGATCCGTTGTTGCTACCATGGAAGCTACTAAATCTCCCCTTTGAAATTGGTCGCATCCAGATTGTATATCGAATGAAAGACCTCACCATTGTGAGTCTGCTGATGTCTTGCCCTTATGAACCTTGTTCTTAGCAAATATTTGTGCACAAATATCCAAGATGTCAAACTGTTAAAATATAGTACTATTGTGAAATACAGAACTAGACAAATGGAGTTGAAATCAGTTGGCTGTAGACAATGAGATCGAGACGAATAGTAGGGACATCACGGCCAAATTAAGTTTCCAGTGATGACCTACCCTTACAACTGTTAGTTAGCTTATCGGCAACGGAAATACTAAACACCGGCGGCCTTCACGGCGGTGAATTATAAAACCTCGCAATTTGGCGATAAGATCTGGAGCTTATCGGCTTCCGTACACAATCGACAGCTTTGCTCCACCACACATCTCCCCGCTCTTCATAGGTGTGGCCATTGACCATGTCGAGCAAAGCTGCGCTCAAGGCTATCCGTACAGCCTTGGATGCGAAGGATTATGCGACAGCCATCCAGAAATCGCAGGATCTGGTTTCGCAAGATCCAACAAATTACCATGGGTATGTGGGCAACTGCTCATTCTGTGCATGAAGCTAAACCGGTCTTGACACATTAGGAATGTGTTCCTTGGACTCGCCAACGATAAGTTGAACAAAAATGATGAATCCGAAAAGGCCTATCTGGCAGCGACGCGTATAAAGCCCGATGACCGCACAGCTTGGCAAGGGTTGATCAGTTTGTATGAGAAACAACAAGGGCAAAAACTTGATGCCTACCGTGAAGTGGTCCTGAAGCTTGGAGAAATTTTTGCGAATAGGTATGATATAAGTACACACCAGAGTGGATTGACCGATTTATTCTGACAAATCCGCAGTGACGAGCTTGAGCGATGCCAGGACTTAGTCAACAAATACACCAAGTTAGCAAAAAGTTATGGCACAGCGACGCAGCAGAAGCAAGCTCTAGAATTACAACTCCCTACCTCACCTCTGTACGGTTTCCTTGAGGGGCGACTTCCTCACCCGTCCCTTACTTACCTTCGCTTGATTGAGATCGCCGAGCCGGAAGAGAGGGAATTCATCAACCGGGAAATTGGCGAGCGACGGACTCGCCTTGGTGCCCGGATCGACCAGGTAACTTTGGAAGTAAGGAGGGAAGCTTTCAAAAAGAGCGGGCTCAAGGAGCTTTACCGCGGAATCATTGACTGGACCAACGACGACGATGTGCGTCGTAAGTACGAAGAGAAGCTTCTCCAGCGTAGCTATGACGAATTGGAGGTTGCTTCTGCTAAGGATAAACGGACGAAGAGGAACGAGCTCATTCGGGGTTCGCAAGATATGGTGATCATAAAGCACCCTTTCGAGCTTGCTTGGAAGATTGTGCTAGAATGGAAGGACGTCAAAAGTTACTCCGAGTATGATGTGGGGACACTCCGAGAATTCAGGGATTTCTTTCCAGAGACTGGACTTTCCAAGGTCTTGAAGGGGTTCCTCGAAAGTGAAATGTCTCCTTTCCCGAAGGAAAAGAAAGAAAAAAGGAAGAAGACGAATTTGAGATTACTGCAGAAAGTGACGATGCCACCACGAATCTCATTCTGATGGTAGATGGCCTCGATCTTGCCCGGGATTCGATAATTGCGCACCGGATAGTATCTGAGCGTTACCTGGCCCTTGAGGAATATGAGAGTGCCATCGATGTTGCTCGTAAGGGTCTTCTCAACGTTAAAGAAGCTGCCAGGGTTTCTGGTGCGAATTTTATCCACACGACTGACGCGTTGAACACTACACTTGCAAATTCTCTGATCTACCACCAATCTCCCCGCTACCACCCTGAGGCCAAAGGTATCTTCGAAGAAATCCTCCAGCGTGACCCCACTTCTACCAGTTGTCTTCTCGGTATTGGTTTGATCTTCATGGAGGATCACGACCACACTGAGGCTGTCAACCTCCTGGAACGCGCCTCTGAGCGCGATCCCTCAAACGTCAAAATACTCGGCGAGCTGGCCTGGGCTAGAGCGCTTAACGGAGATCTTGAAACTGGTCTTCATGATCTTCAGGATGCTCTAGCTCGCTTGAAGGAGGAACAGCCCGACAACAAAGCCTCCAAGGCTGTCTTGCTCTACCGCATTGGATACTGCCAATGGGAGCTCGATCCATCCCCGGTTGCACGAAAGAACCGTCAAGGTGCATACTCGAACTTCCTGGCGTCAATCCAAGCGAACATGAACTACGCGCCGGCGTACACCAGCCTCGGCTTCTTCTATGCGGACTACAAAGGCGACAAGGGACGGGCTACCCGGTGTTTCCACAAGGCCTTTGAGCTATCGAGTGACGAAATCCAGGCCGCTGAGCGCCTAGCGACTACGTATGCGGACCAGAAAGAATGGGACCTTGTCGAGGCCGTCGCACAACGCGTGGTGGACTCTGGCAAATGCAAGCCTGCCCCCGGATCCAAGCGAACGGGATACAGTTGGCCCTACTCAGCCCTGGGTACCGTTCAAATCAACAAACAGCAGTACACCCAGAGTATCACGTCGTACCACGCCGCCCTACGAATTTCTCCACACGACTATCACTGCTGGGTTGGACTCGCGGAGAGTTACCACCATTCGGGCCGCTACATCGCTGCCACAAAGGCGTTCGAGTTTGCCCAGACCTTGGAGGAAAATCTCTCTGACGAAGAAAAGAAGAATGTTTGGTACGCACATTACATGCTTGCGAATGTACGACGAGAGCTCGGTGAATATGATGCGGCGATTGCTGCCTATCAGGATATTTTACGCGAACGAGCAAATGAGGTCGGCAATTCAATCGCGCTGATCCAAACTTTGACGGAAAATTCGTGGAAAAGCCTGAAAGGAGGCATGTTCAACAATGCTGCGGAATATTCAATTAAAGCTATTCATGTCGCCCGCGACCTCGCCAAGGAGCGAGCGGACATCTTCAACTTGTGGAAATCTGTTGGGGATGCATACTCCAACTTTACGTACATCAAGATAAAGGTTGATCGGCTTTTGTCACTTCCAGAGTGCAAAGAACTCCTAGCTACTCAGCTTGATCCAACAGCGCTTGATATCTTGGCTGACGTCGATCGCGTGGGCAATGACTGGCTGAAGGCAGATCAGGCGGATGGTTCTGTTTCCGCGGACGCTTGTATCTGCATGGCGATTCTGGCATACAAGCGAGCCATTCACATCTCCGCCCAAGACGTCCATGCTCGGGCTGTTGCATGGTACAACCTTGGCTGGGCTGAATACCGTGCATATCGCAGTGTGCAACCGGACCCCGGGAGCAAGGGCAAACGGCCCCGCAGGTTTCTCAAAGCAGCGATGCGTTGTTTCAAAAGGGCCATTGAACTCGAAGCTGGTAACTCTGAATTTTGGAACGCGCTTGGGGTAGCCACCACAGTCATGAGTCCTAAGGTCGCCCAACATTCGTTTGTCAGAAGCCTACATCTCAACGAGAGAAATGTCCAAGCATGGACGAACCTGGGTGCCCTCTACCTTTTACACAACGACATTGAGCTTGCCAATCAAGCTTTTACTCGTGCTCAGTCTACAGACCCGGATTACCCCCATGCATGGATTGGGCAGGGAATGATCGCAATGCTCTGCGGGGACCCGAAAGAAGCACGTGGTATCTTCGAACACGCATTCGATATCTCAGGCTCTTCTTCTACTCTATCTAAGCGCCAATACAGCCAAACATTCTTTGATCAGCTCGTCTCCAGTCCTACTGCTTCAAATGAAGTCTCTCAATTAATCCAGCCATTCTTCGCATTGCACCAACTCTGCGCCCAGGACCCATCAGACCTGGCATCCGTACATCTGAAAGCGTTGCTAGCGGAGAGAATGGGAGAGATCTCTGACGCAGAGTCCAGCTTGCAGGCGGTATTGGCTGGCATGGAGGCTGAGTACGAGGAGACCGAGTCACCAGCGTCTCTCTCCAAATATGCCCAAGCTAATGCCGACATGGGTCGTGTGCTGCTGGCCTGTCACGACTACGAACAAGCTGCCGAGAAAGCCGAACTGGCCCTCACCCTGTCTGGCGAGGAAGACGCGGAAAAGTTCGATCCCGAGGCTTGCCAGAAGCTTCGACTCTCCGCACATCTCACCGCTGGCCTTGCGCACTACTTCATGAAATCTATGGACACTGCTATCGACATGTTCCGTGATGCCCTCCAAGAGGCAGACAACGCTCCAGATGTCGTCTGTCTCCTTGCACAAGTTTTGTGGGCGAAGGGTGGTGAAGAGGAGCAGTCGGTGGCGCGCCAACAGCTTCTTGACTGCGTTGAACGCAACCCCGACCATGTGGGAGCCATCACTTTACTTGGAACGATTGCTCTTCTCGACAAAGATCAAGATGCTATTGATGCTTTAGATTCTGATATCCGCACCATGATAACAAGAGACGACATTCACGAGCATGAGCGGGCCAAGCTTCTGAAGCTACAATCGGCAATCTCCGCGCTGGGTCTAAACGAGGATTCTTCTCTCCCTGAAGAGATGAGATTGCGGCAAGAGGCAACTGCAGCTATTATGCTCACCCCAGGCAACCCACAAGGCTGGAAGGAGCTGTCCGCTGCATCGGGGAAATCATACGCCGCCCTTGTCGCCCTCGACCGCGCTTTGCACAGCATTCCTCCCCATGGCGACCTGGACGCTGAGGATCTCAGCCGGGCTTATGCTCAGACAGGAAGACTCTCGGACGCGTACCGAGCTATCATGGTTGCTCCGCACCTGCCAGATGGATGGATTGCGGTTCGTGAGAACCTGCCCAAGTCCAAGCCCAAGCCTGAGTGATCCCCATAAGTCTAGCCATTTCAATTAGTGCTCAAAATGCAAAAGGCCTTTTAAGGCATGTAAGTTATCCTAGTTGTCTCCATCTGAGTGATGCCAGTCCTTGTTCAAGAGGCTTCTGCTCCGACTGCAGAGATTCGTTCTAAGATCCTGGCCTTTCTCCCTTCCTTCCACGGTCGATCCAGGGCTTCGATCTTGCCCCCAAGTAATGTGGCGCACGCTGGATGGAGTAGAATCATACCCCGTGCTACCAAAGCATTACGAAGTACAAGCTTCGCTCCGATAGACAGCTTCTCGATAGATAATCCTTCTATGTTATGCATCTCCACGGCCACGGCCCGCTGACCATTCGCGTCTTGTAGAACCAGCCGATGTGGACCTCCACCACTCCCCGGCGTGTTCAGCGCTCCTGTTGTGTAGTTTGCCGTGGAATTGTTGTCTGCAGCTTCTTGGTCCTCGCCTACAGAGATAGTCCGAACGATCTCGCGACCACGAATCGCTTCGCCGCGCTCTACGCGCTCAATGGCCTCGACTTGACTCCACAGGCTGGCTCCAATGTCCTCGATGTCGAGCACCTGTACCGGGATTGGGCCTTGGAGGTGTCTCTCACGAATATTGGGGTCGAAAATATTCGCGGGGAAGACCGACGTAGGATTGGGAGAAAGGGACTCGCGTATATCCGAGGCGAGGATACGGAAAATAGCAGTCTTGGTGAGTGCCGACGCGGGGATATTGCGCTGCGCGTTGGATGCAAGAAAATTGTTCACCCACGCGGGCGAGACACAGAGACCCTTCGATGCCTGGATCTGCGCAGCTAACTGGTCGGCAGATGCCATTGTGCTGTCATACTGGAAGTCGGTAGTTGCGAAGGAGACTCCAAGGTGGAACGCCAGTCCAAGGCCGCAGAAATCAAGCACGGACCACCGCTTAACCCCCGTTGCTCTGGCCGTCCCCTCGCGAGCTTCGCTCTCTCTTCCTCCACCAAACCGTCATGTCCACCATTTCCTCGCCACGACCGTCAATTGCCTCGTCCCGTGCTCGGTCACCCACACCGGCCTCATCCAGGCCGTCTCTGGATGCGTTGAACACCAACGTTGGGGGGGCTCAGCACCTCCTCCACTCCCTCCACCGCACGCGCGGTCTCACCCAACCCCCGGCGGAATCGCTCAGCTCTCCGGGACTACTATAATCTCAAGCCGCCGGGTGCAGACTCGCCGGCTACAGATCGTCGGTCACGGAGTGTGCCACGAACTACGGACGCTGGTGATATATCGAACCCTACGAGCCTTCCGTTAGGAACCGAACTTGACAATGCCGATTTCGATCCCCAGCGGTATGTCGATCACCTCCTGTCTACATCCTCGCTGTCTACGATTTTAAAGGCCGAGAACACACTTGTGGGAGATATCCGTACCCTCGACGGAGAGCGCAAAGCTCTGGTGTACGATAATTATTCGAAGTTGATTCGGGCCGTAGAGACAATTGGGAAGATGCGCCGGAGCATGGACGAGCGTGGCGCGCCGTTGACCATGACAAAGACTCTTGGTCCGGCGATTTCTTTCGTCGCGGAGACTGCTGGCAGTCTCATCAAAGAAGGAGAGGAGCAACGGAAGCGAATAAAGGAGGCTCAATGCGACGACGCGGAGTCGAAGAAACAAGCTGAGAAGGACACTGTGAGGTGGGTGCTCGCGGCACCCGACAGGCTGCAGAAGCTCATCTCTGAAGAGCGGACGGAGGACGCGGAGAAAGACTGGAATGATGTCAGAAGGTTACTTGACGCATGGAGTCAGGTCAAAGGTGTTGCAGAGGTTCGCTCGGCCTGCGAGAAAGTCATGAACAAGAACGACCGGGAGGAGCCGGAGGTTCAAATATGATCATGCTCTGTGATGCACCCGGAAGCCCTCGTCAAAGACCCTATATGGGAGACGAATGTCCGACCGTGTCGGAAATCTACCGACCTTAACTCCACTGCTGAGTGGGCTGATTAAAGCCTTCAACGAGCCATCGTGCTCAATTTCACCCTCTACACGACCTATAATCCTCCGAGGTTATGGGGCAAGGCTTCGGTCTAGCATTTCCTTTTACAGATACCCAAGCAAGTCATTTTAGAGACCGCCGTCTGGTCTCCCGTTACGTTACATACACAGCTCAGTCATACAAGAATTCTGATTTGGACACTTGATGTACCCATTGCCCTTTAGCGCCAGTAATCATTCAAGCCTGTAGGGAATAGATCAGAGCAAAGTAAGTTCTTTACAACTGATCATAGCAATTCAGAATTTATAAAACTCTCAGCCCACATCACTCATCAACGCTCCAGCATATCTCGACTCGAATACATGCTCGCCTTAAGCCCATACTCATTCTTCGACGTGATATCAAGCAGGGTATACGCATCACACTTGTAATAAATCGGCTTCTCTTTCCCCTTCACCAATCCCAGCTCCGCCATGCTCCTTACCACGCGCTTCACATCTTCTGCATCGCCAAAATCCGGCGTATACACGCAGATCAGCCGCGCCTTATCCGACCCATCGTCCGTCGCAACTTTCGCCATCCTAGACAGTTTCCCCTGCTCCATCGCTTCGACCACCGTCTTCCACACCCCGTCGACATCCCGCGGACTCGGGAACAGCATCCATTTCCCCGCCAGCACGCGCGTCTCCCGCGCGAGCGCGAAAATATCCTTCTCGAGCTTCTGCCGAAGCGGATTCAGTTTCCGGGTCAGCGGCGCCGTGGTTTTCGCGCCCGATTTGTCGTGCGCGGCGCGGAGCTCTGCGCTCGTGTCCTCGTATGCGTGGAGGAGCTCTACGCCTCTGCGCGTGAACGTCGGCTCGTCGCCTGGCTCGATTGTCTGGGGATACCTGTGCATCCAGATCCACGGGCCTGCGGTTTCTTGGTTGGTGGTTGATGGAGGCAGTCGGGCGAGAAAGTGCGCTATGGGCTCCTTTTGGCCACGTCTGTTGGGAGGGAGGGACCCTGGCGCGCTCGCTTCTGCGTCCGCCATGGGCTCATCGTCGTCTCCCGTGGTGGCTCGGGGGGGCTGGCGGGCGAAGCTTGTTCTGTTTGGTTGATAGCAGGCCTGCATGGTAATTTGACCAGTAGAGCTCTGGGTCGTAGGATTTGACAGCGTTTTCTAATTTTTCTTTTTCGTCATCGTCGCCTGGATAGTGTTAATGGGGGTATGACGATGTTGAAGGGAAGGACTTGCCGTAAAAGCTCGACTCGTCGGAGAGTATTTCTTGCATTGCCTCTTTCTCGGAGTATCGTGACGGTGACATTTTGCAGCCGGGTGAGGCGGTTGCACGAGTCGAATTCCAAGCCGTCCTCGTACTAGTAGGAGGATGAGGTGCAGCGTGGAGTTGTATATCTGCCGATGAGATCAGGTGGGGCCGTGTGGGGAACCAGCACCATCTACATTTTCAAACTAGATCTGCTTGTGGCGATCAGGCGAAAGTAAAGAAACTACCTTTTATGGATGAATTCTCAAAGTGAAGATGAATATAGATGGGAATTTACAAAAACACACCCGGTAGCCCGTCAGGAGCAACCCAACCCTCACGACCAGACTGGAAAAGTTGGGCTACGTAGATTTTTGAATATCTGGCCACACTTGATCTACAAAAGCTGTAATGTCAGACTTTAAAGCCGCAGGCTGCTCGAGTGCTGCAAAATGACCGCCCTGTCAAAGAGTGATTCCGTAGTCAGCACATCGCCGCAACAGACTTTGGGAACTCGGCAAAAGGATTCCAACGTACCTTGTGGTTATGCCTCCAGAACACAAGATTCCCTGTAGTTTCGACCCAACAGCGGGGCAGGGGAGCCAGTTCCTTGGGGAAATGAGAGTAACCAAAAGGCTTGTGGATATACCATCGCTGCGTATTTGGTAGAGGAACCGGAGGTGGAATAGCGATCTGGACGAGTCAGCAGATGAGAATCGATGCCATATACACGGTTGAAGATGAGCGTACCTGGCGATAGAAGTAGATAGACCGCGGGAAAGTATTTGTGAGCCAGTACAAAGTAATCGACTCAAGAATTTGCTCTGGATCCAGTGGCTCGTCTACCCACTCGAGGAATTTCTCACCAACCCTAAAACCATTTAGTCGGCTTTTTTTTCCCTCGGCATTTCGAGGGCTATGCATACCATGCGAGGAGAGCCAGTGGGCTGCTGGCGACAACGTGTCCAATGGTACTTGGTCGAGTAGCGTGCTCATTCATATATCCGCAGCCAAGCGCCCTGAAGTTCTTCATTCTTTCTATACCTTTCTTCTCCGCTGCCGTTAATTGATCGTCTGTGACGCCGGTGGGCGGCCCCATGAAAGTCACGTTGACTAAATTCATCAGTACGAGTGAACACCAATAGCCTTCGGGGTATCTCACGATGCACAGCTGTCCAAGCGCGACATCAGTATTGGGGTTTTCCATAACATAGAATTACTTAGCATGGATCCGTACCTTTGCAGCTATCATAGTCTACTGCCAGTGATCGAGCGATATGACTTCCTATATCGCCACCCTGCGCAACATAGCCGCTTTCAAAGCCGAGGCCTTTCATGAGTTGGTCAAAAATTCGAGCGACGTCTTCCGTTGTGAAGTCTCGGTCAAGAGGAGGCCCGGACGAGAATGTAAATCCCGGTAGCGAGGGGACAATCAAATGATAAGGGAGAGCAGCGGGAGTGTATTCCTGCCTAAACTGCTCCAGAAGCGGGAGGAACTCGATGAAACTTCCTACAGAATCCCATCAGTATTAATAGCGGACCCTACCCATGGGTTTAGTCTCACCGGGCCAGCCATGGATGAGCAAGATTGGAACCGCATCTTTCTTCTCCGAAAAAAGACCTACGAAATGGATCTCCAGGCCTTCGACACCCGTCATCCACTGAGGAAAACTATTGAAATGGTCTTGCGATTTTCGCCTATGATGAAAAAAAAAATAAGCCTGGGGATTGTAAAATTAACTAAATGATTCAAACACGCGATACCATTTGTACGACCGTAGCCACTGGTCTTTCATTGCGACCAGCCAGTCCGTGGTGACGCCATAGCGGGCGTCTGTCTGGGAGCTCTCATAGGTATGCGGGGCAATCTTCGATAGCCTGATCAGCGCCTCAAGGTCATCGAGGTTCGCCTTGGGGACAGAGATCTTGAATGGGTGTGGCGTGATTTTGGCCGTCGCCGGTAGAGTATTAAAGGAAAGCGTCATTTTCTTCCATGCGGGGTTATTATTGCGGATGTGGGAGCATCGAAGTTTATAAATGCTTGGAGGCTCACAGGGTCCAACCGCTGGGATGTTGAGAGGGGGTGAATCCCCGCTCTGTAGGCAAAGATCTCCGCCGCCCACGTCATGCTCTCTGATCTCTCGGATGAATTTTCCTTACGAGCTGGAAGGATCCCATGAGATGGCGATCTAAGACTGTGCCCCTTGGCCTACCCTAGCTTGTCTAAGGAAATAGGCCACTGCCAGATCCGGGCGAAAGTGGTCCATCTATGACTGTTTTCGATCCCACTTACACATAGAACCGCTTGGAAGGACCCCCTGGCGGAACGTTATCTGCTGACGCGGCGTGTGGCTGTACGTCTACAGGCAATAAACATCCCACCAGATTCATGTGCAGTACCGGCTCGTAAGTTTGGCCCCCATCTCCCTTTTTCTGAGCTGTTCTACACGTGGCGCCATCGAGGCCGAAGTTTTTCCATGATCCAGGACGCAGTAAAGCAATTATCGCATTCTCAGCTATACATTTTAGCAACAATATCATATATGCAATGCTAACCATAGACCATATACGCCCGTCTTCTATACATGGAAGAGCTCTCGCTTATACTCGCTCCACCAGGCGAACGGGAATGTCCTTCTGTCTGATGAACCACTTGTTTGTAAGCTGCCATTCATGTTCCTGGCGCGGTAGTTCCATCTATAGGCCCAGGTCAGTTGACATTGTCCTGATTCGGAAAAGAATTACTCACGTCAAACGTCCTGAAAAGCGTCGCAATCAGCTTGTAGCTTTCTAACTGGGAGAGGTACTGGCCCAGGCAAGCCCGCGAGCCAGCACCGAATGTGAAGTCAGTCGCCTTCATCTTCGTAAAGCGTGCGTGGTACGCATCGTCCGCTTCACCCGGACGCTGAAGCCACCGCTCGGGGACAAAGCTGTCAGTATCAGCGCCAAAGACGTCGCACCGGTTGATCACCCATGGGTTCATGCCAACGACGGTGCCTTCGGGAACGAATCGGCCGTCGGGTAATTGAAACCCGCCCTTGGGCACAACGCGCTCGAGGATGAGACCGACACCAGGGTTCAAGCGCATGGCTTCGCGCATGACGGCTTCGAGATATTTGAGACCCTGGATCTCCTTCCATTGGGCCGGCATGGAGAGGTTCGCTCCCCGAAGTTCATCACACAAGCGTTTGTGGACGGCCGGATTCTTGAGGACGTGGTATATGGCTGCGCAGATCGTGCTCGCGGTGGAGTCGCTTCCCGCGAGGACATTAGAAAGGAGGTATAGGATCACGGTATTATCATCGATAAGGTCTGGGTTCTTCTTCTTTGCTTCCAGGAACTTGGACAGGAAGTCGGCGTGGCCGGTTGGGTTGGCCTCTTGGTACCGCTTCTGGAGCTGCTCGACACTGAAGATGTTGGCCCACACGAAGGTTGGGGGTCCGATGCGCATGATCGGGTTCTTGTCGAAGAACATATCAAGGATTGGGATTTGGCATATCTGAGGATCTGTCAGAAATATACTTCAAGCCCTCACGGGAGTAAATAATATACTAACCGGGGCAAAATAATCCAAGGTTTGGGCAGATCTTCCCAGGAAGCCCTTGTAGTCACTGCCTGCATCCAGGATGCCCAGGTTTTGCGAAAAAGTCAGCTGGCTCATCACATCCCATGCAACTGCCTTATATGTTACTCCGTGTCCTTTGAGGCTTGAAAACGAGACCAGCATTGCGCTAGCACGGGTACTCACAGAAATTGATCCAATCAGACATCTCGCAGACTTCTCCGGTGCTGGAGAATCGCTCGCGTAACTTCTCGAAGAAAAGGTTGATAGTCGCATCCACATTTCCTTCGACGTCTTGGACTTTGCTCATTGAGTAGAGGTTCTTCACTTGGCGCATATGAGTCGAGTGCCATTTCTCATCCTGCGTTGAGAGAGAGGTTCTTCAGGCGCATGCCTCCGACGACGGCATCGTTGACATTGTACATAGCACTCTGTATTGATAGTTAGATAAGACGCCTCTCATTGGGTCCGCAGATTCATTTCTGTACCTTTAACCATGGATTCTTGGTGTTATAGACTACACTAATTAAACTCGGATCGGAGAGACTGAGGAGATTGGGGCCCATGCGAACCACCGATCCATGTTTCTGGTGCAGTTGGTAATGAGTGATATCGCATCGACCATTGAAGACATCCACCATGCGCCAAGCATTGGTGAAACTTGCAAGGGCTGGACCGGGAATGACTTCAAGGGGGATCGAAGGTAGTTCCAGAGGAAGCGAGAGGCGAAGACAATCGCTGTGCACAGGGCGATGTTGGTCGCAAATTCCGTGAGAGACGCCATCGTGGTTTCCTATCGATTGCAAAAGTCCCAGATCGAGGAGTTTTCTCCCTTCAAATAAGATCTGGGGGGGAGCCGATGCAGCCCCCGAGCTCTCGTTATCAAACCCACGCAAATGAACGGGTCATTTTCTAAAACCTATCCATGTGGGCGACTCCCATTGGAGCCATATTATGGTTCTCCATCGGAGGAACAAAAGCACCGCACAGACAATGCAGTTGCAGGTTGCAGTGGCGCGCAGGAGATCTTTTCCATTATCTGGGGGCATGCGTCCGGGCACCGGGTGAAAGGTTGGCTAGAACCTAAAAGGTGCGTCTTCAATGGGGAATACATCGACGCATCTCGGCAAGATGTGATGCTGGCCATTTAGCTGCAGTAGCTGGATCCAGAGGCAAATTTAGGAGTGCATCCGTGCCAGAGGTAGGAATTGGAGCTATCACGGAGCGCAGTTCGCCACGCGATTCGATCCCCTTGCCTTATCTGCGCTTCCTGAAATGCGGGTGCTTTTAATAGTACGGAAAGCAAAGGGTTCATAGCTTCCTTCCTGTGAGGAACTGTGGCTTTTTCTCATCAAGTGACAGGTCACATTTGCCGTGGCAAGCGTTGGCGTGGAGCTTTGAGTTTCGGGGTGGAGCAGACGCGGACCATTCTGGCGTCGAGACCCCAGCGCGATACATAGATGTGAGGCGTCCGAGGGTTTTTTTGACAGGTGTCAAGCTTTCAGCTCTACGTCGTTTAAACTCTGAAGTTTGGTGCTTTGTCCTTGGCTGTATTCCAATATGGCAGCGAGTCCTTCAGTGGGTTACACTTGAACTAAGGGCTATGAATCGGCCCTGTCATGATAGGGGACGTGAAGATCTCCCTAGTACCAATACTATTGATGCATGTTCGGAAAAGAAGAAACTCGTATGCTGCAGAATAATTTCAACGACTTGCGCCTCCCTATTGTAAGCCATTAGGAAATCTGCGAAGGCACCTCCATATACCCTCCCGGCTCGAAATACTTCCTATGATTCGGCATTTACCATGTTCCCGGGATTTAAGATTCACGTACCTGAAGAGTGAACAGACACTAGGGAAAGATTCTATATAGACGCACTAGTACACTAGCAGGTAGTCCAGGATAAGCAGTTACTAGCAAGGGTTTGCAGGAATTACCGAAGTGTTGGTAACAGAATCGGCGTGGATGGATGCAATGGGACCCTGGGGGGTCTGAATAGCCTAACACAATTTGCTGAGCCCTGTTGTACACTCTCGATACCGCAATGTGTAATTCAAAATTGAACTTGAATGTTTTTCTGTGGAAGTTACAACTTGAACACTGGAGCCATCCTCGGGAGGATGTGCTTTGCTGGGCAAACGGCAGGACGGGGGAAGTGGCGACCCTTATACGAGACCATCTATCCGGGGCTCAAAAATTACATATCACAGATCGCCATTAACCTTCTGGGTCGTATTGCGGGTTGATCTTCCTGTTGTGTCCCCTTCGTTGACAAAACTCGACATGCTTTCCCGTCTCCTGTGCGCTCGCATTGTAGGAGAAATCTACTTCATTAAGCAATTCAGTCTCGGGCCGCATGGAATGCTTAGCCATTCAATAGCGCGGTCCGATCGATGGTTCCATCTGGAATATGTTCGTATTTTGCGAGGGGCGTGTGGTGGAGAAAGGGCAGAGATAAGCTGCAGCTGGGAGCCGTTCGTCAGAGATCCACAGGCCGTGCACTGCATGCGCTAATGCTTCGACTCATGCAGGTCACTTGTACCCCGCTCCATTTGTCGGTCTATCTTGTCAGTGGATGGATCTAGGCCCAAGAAAACTCAAATTAGGGCCTTAGATACTCCATGACTAGGGTTTGCTCGCGGGAGTCCCCCCCTTATTCCCGCGAGGTCCCTACGCACGGAACCCTTGGGGATTAAGGTCGTCCGTTCGCCCAAGGGATGATCTACTATGCTCCTTATTTTCAACCCTGCAAGCCTAATTCAGCATCTTCGTCTGGATACATTCACGGATATTCCACTGATCACATCCGGATGCATAGTTGCCATCCCGCGCCATGGCTGCCCGGGAGGCGAACAATAAACTCGGATGATCTTCAGTGGCTATACTCGAAAGAGTCGCCTGCTGTCGATAAATTATCAATTGATCGATTCATGCTACGACAAGTCAAACCCCAAGCTTCTTGGAAAGGAACGACGAATGCAACGGGCGGGATGGTTGTGATATTTATTCATCCGGCTCCGGTCGCCCTGGCTATGGCCGAGAATAGCAAAGGGCCTTTTTTTCTTTCATCCCTACCTTCGCTTGACTTTTGTTCTTGATACAGAGTCAACGGCAGTGGAAAAGCCCAATTGCTTCTTACCCCGCTTAAGATCATGGATACCAAGTCCGCTGCCATGGACGATCAGAACCGGGGTCCGACTATCGTCGCAGTATGCTGGGTTCTGTTCATTGTGCCGGCCATGATGGCAGGGTTGCGATTTTGGTGTAAAGCCAAGCTGAGTCGAGGACTTGGTCTAGATGACCTGATTCTAAGTGTCTCTTTGGTATGTATTGGGAGCCTGATAATCCTATTGCCTCTTTCCTGATTCGGTTGCAGTCAATCCTTCTCGTCTACACGGCCCTCATTACTAAGGCTGTAAGTATGGGGGTCATTGGTCGCCATGTATTCGCCATCGAAGATCAAGAGAGTATACCACCTGCCCTCAAGCTCGTCTATATTAGTTACGTGCTCATTATCATTGGCTGTGTGCTGAGCAAAACCTCTTTTGCCTTCACGCTGCTGCGGATCGTGACTCGCCCCTGGATGAAAGTACTTATCTGGTTCATCATTGTGTCCATGAACGCTATTATGTGGTTGTGTGCGATCTCATACCTGGCCCAGTGCAGACCTGCAGCTGCTCTGTGGAACGTAAAGCTCATGGCTACAGCGAAGTGCTGGCCGACGAACGTTTTCGAAACCATTGCTCTTGTTGCAGGATGTATGGCACTCCCCACAACAACAGAAAGAAGAAAGACTAATGCCCTTTCTCAATAGCCTATTCGGGATGCATGGATTTCATTCTTTCAGTGCTACCGTGGATCGTCCTCTGGGAACTTGAAATGAAGAAGCGAGAGAAGGCTGGTATTGCTCTTGCCATGAGCATGGGCATATTGTAAGCAACCCTCCCAGTATTCGATCTGATGCCTCTAACAAAGACCAGCGCCGCTGTTACCGCGTTCATCAAAACATCTAAACTGGTCAATGTGGCTCAGGTCCAAGACTTTACCTGTAAATTCTCCCCTCTTGGTTTTTCTCAAACGCTCTGAACTAACTTACCGCAAGGGTTTTGCTCCAGTCTTACCATCTGGGCAGCCGCTGAGACGGGCCTGACCATCTTCGCTGCCTCCATTCCCGCTCTCCGCCTGCTTGTCATTCGTGCTCGCTCCAATTACGATGATTATCCGACCCAACAGTCCTCCAGACAAAGCCGATCCGATAGATCGCACAACCGCGATGGCGCGCAGGAAATGCAATTGGTTGCGTTTGAGACAAACCACCCGAACAGCAGCGTCAAAAGCTTCATCAGCAAAAATGGGGTTAACACCACAGAGGTCACCCCCGACGCATAAGGAGCGGATGTGAGCCTGGCTTATGAGCGTCCAACAACGCCTTGTCGAGCTTCTTTACATATTTCTACATCCCAGTTTTTACCTTCCATTCTTTGTCGACACTTGAGTGGCCTATACCTCGAGGCGATTGTCCATGCTGGGGGTCAATCAGTCGGGGGAGACCCAAAAGCTCGTGTCACTTTCCTTGGCCGCTCGTGTTCAGGGTTATTATCTTTATGTCAATTGGAGTTTAATCTTAATATACGGATTTGATGCTAATAGTCTCGTGACTTTGGGGAAGGGATATCTCATTTGTGGACGTGCCAACATTATCTGCTCAAAACGGAAATTGTATGAAACCCCCAAAAGAATAGGATACTAGTAGGTTCGATATGCTCTCCTCGGGTACATTAGTGGGTTCGCTCTTCGTTACCTCTCTACTTGGTGCCCGGACGCCACGTTGATGCAACTAATCGTGACTGAAAACTTGGTCTTGATGTAGTGGAACACCTCTTCCTCGGTCAAGGATTAGTTGGCTTTTCGAACGATTCAGGCTTTTAGATGCTCTTGCTTTTTAAATGATAAAAGACATATTTTCAATAGAACACACCCGCAGCACGGGACGATAGCGCACATACACGTCAAATAACAGCGGTATCTTTAATCCCCGGTAAATAGCGAGAGTGAGTTGTAGGGAGGAAAAAACGAGCGGATAGTTGGCTCGCTCGGTCCAACCTTGTGCTTACCCCAGCCTTTGGCCGCGGTCCATGGTTACACATGAATACGTGAAAGCATGATCTTTCGAATCACGATTTATGACTTGCTATTAAGCATCGCATGGCTTGTCTGACATGATTCGTGGTAGACGCATAGACGGTAACCTTAAGTGCTAGGTATCAGAACTGCTCATGACTTAGTGGGCAAATCTGAAGTCTAGCCGCTTGCTGCCATGGTCCTTGCTCTGCTTGATATAGTCGCTTTGCTCTTGTTCCGTCATAGCTGTCCAGATCTTGTCCCGTCGCTTATTCTCCCAGACGTAGTACGCTTTTGCTCCGAGGAACAACACAATGGCCACAACGTTGATCGCAATCAGCACGGTATTTCCTCTCCGGTACTTTGGCTTGTCGTCATCTCGGTAAATAAAATAGGCAGCAATGTCTCCGGCTTGGACGGACATCTTGCCACACTGTCAGCACGTTGTCAAGCTTCTGGCAGCATCCTTGACTCACATTGTAGAGGGCGGCTGAGACGGAGCGGTTCCCCACATTATTGGAATTTCGAGAGGCCCATGCGACCACGATTGCTATTGATATCAGCGCTGTGCATATCACACAAAAGGAATATCATCACATACCATGGCAGTAGGGGTAGCTGAGCAACACTGTGACCAGGGCATAGGTACCCCAGGCATTGCTGATGACATCTGGCCAGAAACGCAGCGCTAGTAGACATGGAAGCGTCCAGAGGGCTTGGAACATTGCAACAAGTGACCATTGCCTGAGGCGCGTAGAGACCCATGTGATTAGAAGCAAGTTCAGAATGTGGGCCACATTTGACGGGATGGTCAGTAAGTTGGTATTGAATTTATTGAAGCCCACCGACCGGAGCGTGAGCGTGATATATGAGCTCGGGGGTGACTGGGGGATGTAGACCACAAGGCCAATAAGGTATATCGGCCACATATGATAGTCTTTGATACCATTCCACAGACGCTTAGGAGTAATAGCCTGTCGGTTATGCATGTCACCCTTGCTGGGGTCGTCACGCAAGATGCGGTTGACGGAGATGGAAATTTCGCGTTCAGTAAACCACCCATTGGGCCGGAACCACGTCTTGGTCTGCACGATGGATGCCGGCATCATGAAAAATGACCCAAGCCCAATTGATAGGGTGATGACTCCTTCGATAAGAAAAAGCCACCGCCAACCTGCCATGCCATGTACACCCCCTAGGTGGAACACGGCGAAGGCCAAAAGAGAGGTAACAATAGATGTTACTGAGAGTGATGTCCAGAAGAAACTAAAAACTATCAGCATGCCCAATCGATGACCCGACCACTATCACGTACCTGAGGCGGATAGGGAGCTCGTTGCTCTTATAGAAATACGAAAGCCAAAGGACGATATCGGGAATAAAGCCACCCTATCAAGTTAGTTCGAGATCATTTCTATAGGCCCTGTTACCCACCTCCAGGACGCCCAGTAATGCCCTGGTGAGGAAGAAAGTCGCACGGCTGTTCAGAGCACATTGCGAAATGGCGACCACAGACCATAGCACCATCTGGATAGGGATCCATCGGTCCGGTCCCAGTTTCTTCGACACGAGTTGTGAGGGGAGCTCAGCGCAGAGGAAGGCCACACGAAAAGCAATATTCCCGTAATTATAGTCTATGCGTATGTGGTATTAGTATGAAAAAAAAAAGTCTTGAAAGGATCTCCCAGTAGCGCATCTCAGACTGCATATCGCCCTGCCATTATTCAAAACGTACCATTCGTAGATAATTTCAAATCTTTCAGCATGGTATCCGAGACCGCCTGTACAAGGTTCCCTCGATCAACCTGAAGTGCGAAAAACATCACGCACTGTCGAATGTTAGTGTCCGAGTCTTTCCATCGGGTTCAAAAGTCGAATCACATACTGCCCACAGACAAATCCTCCAATCCAGTTTCCGAAGCAGCCGTCTTTCTTCCTCGGGCGACCAAGTGAACGCAGGATCAAACACGTCCCGACATTCATACTGGGCTTTATCGTAGACTCCCCTCCAATGCTCTGCCGCATCGGGATCTAGAAATGGGTTATTAGAGTCAGTGGATTCGCCATCCAACTCCTCCACGGTCCCGTAGGATCTTTTGCGCTCCTCCGCTACCGTTTCACCAATTTCAACGACCGAGGCACTGCTTCCCTTTGCTGTGCTCATCTCCAAGTTATTAGTGGTCACGTATCCCACTGGCTGCCTTCTTGTTCTGTATCGTGCAGGATGTCTGCAAACCTGGCGGGAATTCCCACAGCTTATAACCCAATTTTGAGTCTAGAGATAGTCACATCCCCGCCGTGACTTTCGTCAGATGACGAGAGCATTAGCGCGGAAGATGTGCTACGTGCACTAAATGAGGAAATGTGCTATGGCGATTATTGTAATGCTTGGCCGTAATGACGTGCTTGGCGATAGCGGCTATGGCGCTGTGCCTTGAGCTTAGGTGTTGAGAGAGACCGCCTTGGATTAAAACCATACACTGCTCAGTAATCTCAACTACCTATCTACACTAGCTAGCTGTATATATATATATATATATATATACCTATATTGTGTCAATGGCAGGGTTATATGCAGCGAAGTTACGTGGGCTTCAGGCGTAGGAACTTCGAGAGGCAAACATCCGCTTTGGACAGCGAAAAGACGCGAGCACAAATAACGAATCAGCGCAAGTCTTGCTTACGAGCGATACCGAAAAGACGGGCTGAGTTTCATCGATCAAGGTATTCTCATCACTAACCTCAATACAGCAGGGCATTGATTACGCCAAGTTCCTGAGTACCCTCGATGGAGCGGGACTGGCCCGGTCACAGATGAATATGGCATCTTTCAACTGCTTAATTCCGAATTTGGGAAGATCAAGACTCTCATCCCCACTCTAATACGATACATCAGACCTATGGGTCGCTTGTCCAGCCGCCATCAACAACATACGAGCTTCCCGTGACGGCACTGGCCTCGTCGCTTCCCAGAAAAACAATAACTTTGGCAACATCTTCCGGCTGCAAATCCCGCTTCAAGCTTTGTGACTGGATGACTTCGGCATGATACTCCGGCGATGGCTTGTAGACCTGCTCAATCTGGTTCGAAGTTGCGATTGCGCCGGGCATCACACTATTCACACGGACATTGCGGGCCCCAAACTCTTTACTCTGAGAGCGAGTCAAGCCCATTATCGCCGCTTTGCATGCCGCGTAGACTGGAGTCCCACTGGCGGGGATGCGCCAAGTGATGGATCCCAGGTTGATGATACTCCCCCCACCGTAGCTCAACATAGTAGGCGCAAGGGCCTTCGTGAGGAAGAATACGTGTCGGAGGTTGGTATTGACGTTGAAGTCCCAGTCTTCGAGGGTGACTTCAGGAGTCATTTGCCTGGCCTTGTTCCCGGGAGCGGCCGCGTTGTTGACTAGCACGTGGACTATCTCGTGCTTGTGCAGGATGTCCTTCGCGATGCTTTCCAGTAAGAGCAGATCGGTCACGTCGCATTCGTAGAATATGGGAGTTTTTACCGCCGGACGACCGGGGGCGTTTGCCTCATTGATTTGTTTGATATCATTGATAACCTTGTCTGCCTTCTCTTTCGAGATGTCTAAGAAGAAGACCTGGCATCCTTGAAGGGCGAAGAGTTTGACCGTTGCAGCGCCAATCCCATCGGCTCCGCCTGAAACGACCACATTCTTCCCATTCAGGCTGGGATAGAGAGCGGACATGGTCACCGATATGCACCGAGTTGTCTTTCGAGGTGCGACAATAGATCGCGATGACTGTCCTTGCTGCGAGATGCCAAAGCGTTCTGATACACAGCCTGGAACGAGGGGAATTTACCCCTCATAACTCGGGCCCCGTACGTCAATCAGCGGGGTTTTCTACAATATTCCCGGGTCTGATCAACGGGCTTCGCAGGCAACACGTCGATTGGTCCAGCTTTTGTGTTTGAATAGCAGTAGAATATGGCACATACATCGTGTCGATGTGACTCGGGATTTGGTGTCTGAAGATTATCGACTTGAGTGGTCAGCTGCTTCTCTACGCCGAGCATTAAGACCGTTACTGGCAAACTGAATGAATTCAACGTATGTATAAAATGAAGGATCCTGCCTCATCTGGAAACTATTTAGTCATATCTAATACAGGCACACAGCTATAGGTCAATCGTCACCGAGATCTGGTCACCAACAATTCTCTTATCCGACTCATAGCGCTAGCGCAAACTAAACTTCCAACTCCTTTTCCTTGAGAATGGTTGCCAGCTTTGCTTGCGAGGGCAATTCCTTCCCGAGAGAAGCTTGCATGTGCGGAAGCTTTTTCGCCACCTTGACTGTATCCAGAAAACCTTTGGAGAGCGTGAAGATATCGTCAATTTCTTCCAAGCTGCGCCCCGACGTCTCGGGGTAGAGAAAGTAGACAATGGGCGCAATAAGGGCGTTGAGACTGGCGTATACGTAGAAGTATTTTTGTCCCATGTATCGGAATGCTATGGGGGGTCACATTCGTCACGACAATACTGAGCGCCCAGGTAGCGCTGACACTGATGCTGGTGATGGTGGAACGCAGATGGAGAGGTGAAACTTCGGCGGCGTATAGGTATGGAATTCCGCCAAACCCATTGACATAGCTGACGTGGAAAAGAAAGATGAAGAAAACAGCGGCATGCGAAGCCGCAATGTTGTTGACCTGGGAGCCAAGGGAAGCAATGCACACAAGGCAAATACAATTGCCAATTGCGCTGGTGAACATCATCCGTCGTCGACCAAACCCCTCAACGAGGAAAACGCAGAGAGTTCCTCCGATGGGTCCAACAACCTGGTAAAAAGCAGCTAAGAGCCTTGCGGTAGACTCATTCAAACCAAGATTGTTTTCGAAGATGGTGGTAGCTAGAACGTTGAGTCAATTGGATGAATCCTAGGATGAAAGGGCGATGCAAAAGACATACTGTAAAACGTGGTAACGGGGGGAGCCAGTCAACTGGAGAAACAATAGCACCAAAATAGCCAGAAAGGCTCTATGCAGGGTTCTCTGGGTGCCCATTTGGAAAAGTTGCTTCCAGCCGGCTTTCTCATGCGACAATGCGAGAGAAGCCTGGACTTCCACAATGGTTGACTGGATTTTATCATCATCTGCGTTGGCGCCACCAAGTGCAGACAAGACTTCCATGGCCTCCGAAGTCCTGCTTTTCTGGATAAGCCAGCGCGGTGACTCTGGAAGAAAGGCAATGCATCCCAGGACAACCAGCGAAAGGATGATAGAGAACCCCAGGGGGAGGCGCCATGATATGCTGCTGTCCTTCTTGAAGGACATCCCAAATTCAATGAACAAAACCATCGCACAGCCCAAGCCAGAAAAGATGCCTTTTGTCACCACATGGGAACCGCGCTTCTCGGTCGGGGAAATCTCAGTTATCCATAATGGAATCGCTGCTAGCGATGAGCCTGCACCGACGCCGACAATGATGCGAGATAAAACCAATTGAGGCATATGGAAAGCACTTGCGCTAAGCATGCAGCCGAGTATTTGAGCAGTAGTGCCCAGCATAATGACTCGGCGACGACCCAGCCAGTCACCTAGCCAAACACATGCCAGCGCCCCCAAGAAGGCCCCGATGGGAAAGCAAGCAACCACGAAGCCCTGTAAAGATGACGCGCGACCTTTGTTCTCGGCATTGGCAATGTCAATCGCGGGGAAATGCTCTCCAAAGCTTCGAAAGGATAAGACCCCACCGATCGAGGCGGAATTATACCCAAAGGATAATACTCCAGGCATTAGTACGCCAAGGATGGCTGCGACATTGAGGCTATTGCCACGTAAGCCAAAGAAGCGCTTCATGGTCTTGGTATGCAGATCTTGCTTATAAAAGGATTGGACCGATTTATCCAAGATCGACACGATCGACTGAAGGCCGCGCAAGTGATATTTGAAAAGAGATCGGAAGCCGGTCCATTATAATTTATATCGAGTGTCCCTCCAGGACCAGGTCGGCAGTTTCTGCTGGCTTTTTCCCTCTGAGCCACCTGGATAACCGGATATCGGCTTCTTTAGCATGGTTGCTGCTGCATTCCATTCTTTGCAACGGTGTGATGAAATTCCCGCATGAGCCAGTATCAACAGTGCCAGCCGCCACAAGGGTCTGGCTAGCGCGTCTAGATTTCCTGCAAGGTTTTGGCCATTCTTGATCGTCGACTTGGCAACTACCCGCCCAATCATGCTTAAAAAAAGCTCCGAGGCCCTGTAATCAAGTGGCAATTGCAAGGAGATACCGTATCCTCATGGATTCTGAGCACTACGTCCCATGTTTAGTGCACTTGCGATCTGACATAGCATACAGATTTTTCAAAGACATACCTGTGGTCTTCTGACGTCGTGTTCCAAACCACGTGTCAGTGATATTCAATCGAAATAAGAATATTCCGTACCTCATGATGCTTGCTGTATGCCTCTCAGGGTGGTTCGGCGATATACCATGCGCCGTCACCGCCCCACTTCGCGGCTTCATACAATTTTTCTACTGGGACTGCCAACAGCTCCGGGCGCGATTTCTCGCCAAAGGCAGGGAATATCTCTCAGTGGGTCTGGTGTTTATCATATTAGTGCCGCATAGACTTTCCATCCAAGCTTCCTAGTCTCCCTTTGTCTGATAGGCAGGATTCTCATCCCAGCCTCCTTGCCCCTCCAGTTGTGATACACAGTGACCATAGCTCCCGAGGCGTCAGAGTCAATTCTGTCTGAAAATGGCGGATAACATCCGAAAGCCAAAATCAGATAACACGGTATTCCTGGACCAGCCGCCAAGTTGTCTCGAATTCTGTCCTGAGCTGCCAGGTCACTTTGTGGTAGGAACGTACCTCCTCTCGGAGACCAAGAATGAAGGTGGAGAAATCCAACAGGCCAAAACAGGCAGCCTGCAGCTATGGGAATTAGACTCCAGGACGCATGCACTGTAAGTAATCAAGAAAACAAAATAGCTCGTGCTGGGCTCTGCCTCTTCATCCCTTCTGTGACATCAGATTAACTTCCTCCCCTCCGTCCCTTCAGCGCCCTTGTGCAACGATTAGATCTTCCATACGCCGTGTTCGATCTACATTTCCATCCAAGTGAGAAAGACAAATTGGCCATTGCCAGCAGCACAGGTGCTGTGGCCCTCTTCACAGTCTCACATGCCCAGAACCCACCAAGCATAACCCCAATCTGGACCAAACAGGTCCATGAAGATCCCTCCATTCCTGCCCTTTTCCTTGCTTGGGCGCCAGAGGCCTGGCTCCCTCGATCAGCATCTGATGGGTTCGCGGTGACTTTCTCCGATAGCCGGACTGCCGTCTTCGCGACGAATGGCAACCTCGCTGACGAGTCTGGGCTCGCGGAATGGGGGTCATTCGCGGCGAGGCAGATGATCGAGGTCTGGTTCGTCGCTTTATCGACTGCCATTCAGTCGTCCGAGAATGGAAGACAAGAGAAGGTCCCTTTCATGTTTACCGGGAATGACTTTGGCTCGTTGCATACTCGCCGCTTTGGCGAGGCAGGAGTAGAGCTAGGCCCCGAAGAACTACCCCCGCTGACCCTCGATCACGACGATCGTGCCCGCCACCATACCGCCGGCATTACTTCTATTGTCCCACTCCCGGTGCCACTGGTAGATGACGCCCCTGTTCTGTTGACAGGGAGCTACGACGAGACTCTACGGGTTTACCACGCCTCACGGCGGGGAGAGGTGCTGGTGGAACAGGGCTTGGGAGGAGGTGTGTGGCGACTACAGATCCTCGAGTCGAAGGAAAGACAACTTGACTCGGAGCTCGCCATAGAGAGAGGAGTTTCCTGGTGCTGGCAAGCTGTATGCATGCTGGGACCAGAATCGTGAGAGTTACTCAGACACAGCAGGATGGTAGTTCGGAATGGGATATTCGGGTCCTGGCGGAGTTCACTGAGCATGAAAGTATGAATTATGCAAGCGATGTGTGGAAGGGCGTGAAATCGGAACCCGCGGAGGGGGGGATCGTCCTCAGACCTGCTTTGTGTGTCGAGTAGTTTCTACGACCGGAGGCTCTGTGTTTGGAGAGTCGATCTAGCTCAATAACCCGTATTATGCCACGCAGGTCAATAAAATCTTCCACAGTATCGGAATTCTCACGATCCAGTACGCATTGATAAGCTCCACTCTAGTGCTATCATGATCTACGTAGTAAGACGCATCTTTTCTCCAGATAAGCTGAAACGTTAGAAAGAATAATAAGGGCATCCGGATTCATTGCAGAAGTGCTGTTAGGCTGGTATGGTTTATTAAACAATGGTCTCAAGCTCGCGTGCGTAACCCAACGTGTTCTCAATCACCGTGCCGCTCGCCACCAAGATATCCTTCTCGGACCTGGTAGCCGCCTCCGGCTCGACGGGGAAGTGTATCCGTCCATCACGAAGGATCCAGCCACGCTGCTGAGCAAATTGAATAACCGCGCCCTCCGACTCGAGGAAGAGGAGATTCTTAGCGTTTGAGATAGGAAGGGAGGGGTATGCTTTTTCAGAGCAGTCGGCGATCTCGCTCCGAATAGTACCAATGAGAACCTGCACAAGCACAACGGTTAGTCGTTTAATCGAACATATCAGGCAGACTGGCGCCAAGGCCGACCGGGGAAATAGCTTACGTTGGAGAAGAGCCCAAAGTCCTCTGAGGGCACACGCTCCGACTTAGTCTCCCGCCACACCTTATCGTAGCTTCCCTCCATCAGATTCCGCTCCAGCTCAACGGGGTATTTGATATAAGGATCATCCTCGATCCGGCCACCCTTCAAACTGGCCTCCTCGACCAGACCCTCCAACACGGTGTGGAAGTTGGCACTATCACCCATGCTCAACAGCAGGAGCAAGTATAATCCCGTCACTTTGCTGCGCTGACTGGTGCTGAAATCGACATGCGATGATTGCTGGCCCGGTAAGCCGGCGTGTCGCTCAAGGTCGTAGAAAGGCTGCAGCTGTTGATAGTATCGTGTGAAAGTCTGGGCATCGGTCTGTCGGATGGACGCGAGAGCGCCAAGCTCAAGCACTTGCCGAGCAACAGCAATGAGCTGAGGGGGGGTAGACGGTGTAGGAATGAGAGCGTTTTGCAGGAGAAGAGCGCGCTTGGCTTTGCTCAGAAGATCGTTGGCGGCGTCGAACTGTTTGCGCTCCAGAGCCTTTTGGAGCTCTGGAACGATGTTCTTGAGGTCGGCCATCGCAGTGTTGTCGGATAACCGGATAGACAGACAGTCTATTCTATGGGAGATGCGGAGATGGGCGAATATAGAGGACAATGACAATAATGGAGCGTTCTCGAAGCCCTTGAGCTGCTGGATCTCCATGACGGAGCTTCCGTGGGCGGTCAGCGGAGCCACTCACATGACTTCAAGCCTCAGGTTTCAGGCTTGAGATCGGGGACTGCCAACTAACTAGTTAGTTAACTAAGCGGTTCTTCCAAAGCCTTGGAACAACAGAATCTCAAGAACGAAAAAAAAAGCCTCTTTTTATATTTTCAAGGATGCAGATTTAAATGCGAACTGCTGAAGCTTCAAACGTTCCTCATATTCAGAAATTTCAAAATTAATAATGATAGCTCCAGTGCTTCCGACCACCACCACTGCTACGAGTTCTACATCTAGTAAGGCCAAATGCTCTACGAATAGCTCTGTGGCGCTTAGACTTGGCCTTAGCCTCAGGGTATCCCTGATGTTGGCAGCTGAAGCTTTTGTGTGGCTTTATATATATAATATATCTCTAGCGACAGGCAAACACTCTACGAACATATCGTCGGTTAGAAAGACACTAATATTGCACCGCAATTAGAGTGGAGATCATAGAAAAGCTGGACAATGGCAAATCGAGAAAACCAGAACTGGAGGGAATTCTTGACAGGAGCTGGGGAGCTGGCCGACTAATCCAACTCTAAGGGCGAAGCCTAGATTGCGCATTTCTGATGCAGAATTCTACTTCTGGCCTGACCTTTTCAATTACTTTTGATGATAACAACTCGAACAGCTCGAACACAACCTTGTGTCTTCATGGTCATGGTCTCTTGGCTTCAACCCAGATTCTCACTCTTCCTTTAAGCAGAAAACCTTTGGTAAGGTGATCAATCACCCCAGCTGAAGCAACAGTGCGCAGACAATAGACCGACTCAATCTGGACCGAAGGTTCTCATGTCCCTACCAAGACTGCAAGTGATTTGAACAAAGGCGTCCCCAACCCAGTCGCTGGATCCCATCCACGAGTTGCATTCCAGCCTGCATTACGCATTGATGACCGATAACACCCTCTGGAGCCTCCATCAACAATGTCTGTGAATCCCCGATAGCCCATGGTATAAAGCCAAGGATTCAAGAAGCCAAGTCGAGGCTTTCCTAAAGAGAGGCGGATATAATTGAGCTGTGAGATTATGCCAGCAAAGACCGGCGCTGATGCACTAGATGAACATTAACTCGGTTCTTTCACCTGTCTCAATCATCTGCTTACCTTGTTCCGCCAACTTGAACATATAAACCATGATCTCTCACTATAAAATGGTTTGACTGAGCAGACACATCGGGAATACCTCTGCCTTTTGGGTTGTACAATCCTTGCCACTGACTTCCCAGCTGTTCCAGAAACTCTTTCACTGCGTGGTCCTGATAAGTCGGACGCTGGAAAAGGTCGGAAAACCCACCCCCGGAAAACCCTGCCCCTCTTTCTGGATTCAGACCTTGAACTCCTCCCACAGCAGTGATGAATGGGCATCCTGCTGGGAACTCTGGAAGGAACTTTGAGCGGGCACTTCCGTCATTCGTTTCACATGTATTCCCTCCAGGTCCAGAGTCCCCACTGCTAAATATAATGGATACACCTCGAGCACCGAGCTGAGCGAACAGATCGCACACTGCTGTGGCATACGCTGCAGGGACCGTCTGCTCTGGTTCACCATATGACATTGTCAGAACAGCAGGAAGATTCTCGTCAGGCAGGCTAGCCAAATAGTGCAACTGTTCCAGGTATGGCTCATTCGTTGAATTTCCTGCACGTGGGTGCCCTCCGTCAGGCACTACCGGACCTCGCCCACCGGTGCTGTAGAAGGTTGCCATTGCGTGATAGGCGATGGAAAGCGAGTATTGCAGATCCAAACTCGCTTCAACACTGTTATGGGATGAATGCTCGTCATTTACACCGTTGTTGATGGATACTACCGAGAAGTTGGCATCTGTCTGACCGGGGTCATATTCCTCCAAGAATAGCTGGAAATCACTGTGCCTGGCGGATTGGTCTAAAAAGCCTGCTATACCGAGCTGATTCCGAACATCAGGTGCTGCGGTTACGCTGTCGAGTCCATACAGCTGTCGCAGACACTGCGGTGTGACTACCGTTCCGCACCCAGCTGCGCTTTTCAGAGGGGGGATTCTTCGTGGTAGAATAAGCGTCGCTGGGCAGCGAGATTCCCGAAACGAGTAGTCGGTTGAATCATCTGAATGTAGGCATGAATGCTGTCCGGCACAGAATATTTCAGAGTTCTGATTGCGGTAGTTTGGCTTTCATTGTGGTGAAAATTGAAGAACTCCGTTTCCAACATACGCTCGGCTTGAGAAACAGACGCTTCAAACGTGATCCAATTGGCATATATTTGGATAGTGGCGGGGCTGATAGCTTCTTCCTTCAACCAAGTAGTCAATTGGTCCAAGACTACTGCCGGCGGACGCAGGAACTGGTCCACGTCTACCTGCTTCATATGATGTCCGTAGTTTGAATGGCCAGGCGTTGACAAATCAACAACATGCTTTCCAAATCCTGCTATGTCAGACGCATTTGTAGATAATTTGAATTTTATCAAGGTCGAAGGGTGTGGTTTATCGCCTTTCGACCATCCCCTTGGAATGTTTTGCATCTGCTCAACGAGTGTGTGCGCAAATGTGCCGTGAACAATGCATAATAGGCCAATTGTCTGTGATAGGAGATACGAGAGATAAACTTTCATATTCAAATGGGTTTTTTCAAGTCACGTAGTTTCTGTCTGGCTTTTATGAGCTTGCAGTCGCCTTCGTCATTCAAGTCAGTCTAACTAGGGGCCTGTTTCATCGAATGGTCCTTCAGCCCCCTGATATACCCCAAAGGGTGGTACGAAGCACATGCGATCTTTGCCAATTTGGGACATTTCGATCTAGTCAATCATTAAATTTCTTTCAGGGATTGCGACACAGATTGATGAGTGACCAGCTTATCCGGTAACTGCACTTACCCTCAGGCCTAACGCCACACAAGATACCAATATATGACCGCATCAATGTCACCTGTCGGATATTTAAGTATTAATGAACAGCAAATTCGTATGACAGAAGCTGCTGGGCTAATATTAATTGGCATAGATCTATAGGGAAAGTTTTCTCTTCATTATTGTGAGGTCGTACCTGCCGACTGTAACCTTTCGGAGGTGTAACCATATTGCCCTTGAGGGGTTCTCGGGTGATAATTAGGATAAAGATAGGCTATTCAAGCACCCTTGGCTTTTCATATAAGAGTCACTTTGAAGATGCAGCTGTTGCAAGTAATGAAATGTCCGACTTTGGGACGGTGCCTTGGCGCCTGAACATGGAACGGATCAATTCACATCCCGAGGTGCGGGATGATCGACGTAATGCACTGCACAGCGGCCCAGGTACTCTCCACTTTTTGAGGAGTTGGGAACCTGCAATAGCAAACCCCGGATGGGCTGATGTTCCAACTGGGTATCTCATTAGCTGTCACGGGACTTTCCTCACGCTCCCCAACGCATAGAGTGAGAGTATACACTTTGCAGTCCTTTGAACTTGCTGCTCAACTGCGTTGGATCCAATCACCTAGTTTCGTCCTGTATCATTTAGGCCCGGACGATCACCCCTTGCACCTTGCAGGAGTACGGAGTACTTTGTGGGGTGGTATGATAGTCGGGGGTCTGACCGACGTCATTCTAACATTCTACCTGCCGCGTGAGAGCTGTATCCGCACCCGATCTCTCCGCAACACCTCTTTGACCAGAGCAACTCTGTTTTTCGCGTCGCCATGGCTGAACCAGAAGCACAGCAATCTCGCCGCTTGTCGGCTGACAACCAAACAATTTCCAAATCTGAGATTCCTCTGAACGAACGGTTCTTTCGGTTCTTCCAACATGAAATTACGGGTATGCCCGAGTAAATGGATCTCTGTGGGCGAGACTAAATGCTTACGGGTTGAAAGCGCTGCAGCAGCAAATGGATAATCTGACCGACACCTCTCTGGTTGGTGGAGAGCGTGCAGATGCGACTGATCACTGCCTTGCAGGGATTGTGCGGCTATCGAACGAAGTCAAAGATGCTGCAAGCTATATCCCCACCTATGACCAACGAGTCTATGCCGAGGTACGCGATGCAGATAAGATTGCACATGTTCCAATCCCAGCTCTGACATCGACTTTAGGCTATCAAAGCACTGCAGGATAAGCTGAATGAACTCCGGGCTTCATTCGAGCCGCGAGCCAAGTTCAGCTTCAAGACTAAGAAAAATGCCTCCGCCGTATCTCTGTCGGATGCCGCAAATCTAGCTGCCGAAGGACGCCGCAGTGTCCCAGGATTCGGATCCCCTGGGGCCTCATCGTGCGATTCATCCGCAAATCATACCCCCAACTACCCCTCCACCCCGCTCAATGAACCGGATAAGCAGCTCCAGGAGCGTCCCGAAATTGCGCCTACGTCTTTCCCTTCCATCGAGGCAGCTGCAGGCACCGCTTCAAAGGCAGAGACAGATTCGAAGTCTACCAAGTTTGCGACAACCGGCATCACGTCTGTGTCCGTTGATAACCACTATGGCCTGCACATTATGCTCCCATCCTCGGGGTCCGTAGCCACGGTCCCTGCGTCTATCACTTCGTTGCGACACTGTGTCGTGGATATGTCTATTCCCACAGCCAACGGAAAGCCCTATGCGACCTTAACTATCAAGAACATCAAAGAGAGTCTCCTTATCTGTGGACAGGTCCATGGCCCTGCACACATCACCGGTGTCGAGCACAGCGTACTGGTAGTATCGTGCCGCCAGTTCCGTATGCATAACTGCAAGGACGTGGATGTCTATCTGAGCTGCTCGAGCAACCCCATTATCGAAGACTGCTCTAATGTCCGCTTCGGTCGGATTCCCAAAGCATATGTGAGCTAGTGATCCAACCTGTGTTGGCCGATAAAACTAACGTCTCCCTAAGGCCCTCGACCACGATCGTCCCGACCATGAGGATCGCTGGAGCCAGGTCGAAGATTTCAAATGGATCAAGCCGGAGCCTAGTCCCAACTGGAGCCTTTTGGACCCCGCTGACGCTGTGCCGGAGGAGGTATGGGCGGAGATCGTTCCCGGCGGGCCGGGATGGTCCCTCGAAGACATTCTTCATGCTATCAAGCTTGTGAAGTAAAGAGAACCATGTTCTTCCCTTATAAAAGCCGCGGAGAATGGAAGCGACTTCTTTGGTTGACTCTCAACATACTTCACACACTTCGCTTGTAATGATTTTCTTATCACTGTACTACTCTACTCGGTTTCTACTATCGAAGCTTCTCGCCGCTCTTATGGAATTCTGATGTAGCCATCTGCAAATGGTGTTTCATGTATTTTACTGGCCTTGGCCTATACACGAGCCCCATGCAATGTTAGTTTCATATCCATCTATTTGCAAGGACAGCAAACTTTACCAACTCAGAGTTGACATTGGAATCTGAGAAAGGAGAGTACTCAGTAGGAGTAGCATCCGAGCTTAGAGCCCCCTTCATCGTCGCAATGGCCTCAGATGCAGAGTCGTAATACTTCTTACCCTTCATATTGCTAGCAGAAGAGTTGTTCAGCACGAACAAGACATCCGTATGCCGGTAAACGGAGCGTGTATGAATCTGCCCCCGGCCAAAGTCCGGGTCACTACTATGTACAAGGAACTTAGTTGATATTATCGATGGAAACAGTTCTAACTACACAATACAGCGGGCTTCTTTCGACATTCTCTTGCAGGAAAATGCGCCGATAAGAGCTCAAGGTATCCAGTTAACCACTTCGATAGGTGGTTGTTTTCCAAGACTCCAAAGTGGTATGCCACCAGGAACTGGATATCGTTATCAGCATACGGTCGGTTTTCACCAGAGAGCGATTCACATCCACCAGATAATATTTCACGTCACCAGATTCCGTCTCCATACTCCAGGATTTCCAATTTCACCAGAGCACGATCCTCCTGATGCTTTCTGGCCACCGGAATTCTACACATGAGCTCAAGACATCCAGCTGACCAGCTCAGTGGGCATACTTACATGTATGTTGAAATGAATAATCTAGTCGCGTTGCAAAATGCGAGTACTATACATACGAGGCTTGATAATAGTCTCCAAGCTTTGGGAGCTGAAACATCTGCTTTGATCCATATCACTCCATGTTCTGTCTTATATTCCGCTCTAATCGTTGCTCCTCTGTTTCCTTTTCACATTCTTCTACTCTAGCCCAAATCCAGTGACGGAGACAAAATCTGAGTCCCAAATACCAGATCGATTTCATCGAGTCGCTGTATATTTGCAAGACGAATTCTTGGTCGTTCTCTGACACCTGTTGACATCATGAAATTGTCCGCCATTGAGGATTGCGTTGGGTTGCCACCAACTCTCTCCCTTTGAGACATTGAAATAATTCCGAGTCCAGCAAGTCTTTTCCCACGGTACTAAAGATCTGCCACCCTGCCGCAGGGGCAACAAAAACGGAGCCAATATGATCGAGTTTGCATCACTTTCCCCTTGGGAGGTCGCGGCAGGCTTCAAAAGTGCAGGTCGATTGAGACACAGAGGTACGAGAATCGCTACGCATAATCTATTAAGGAACAGGCTTGTGTTTTGACGTAAATTTGTTTGAATTACGACACTGCAATTTTTAATTTTTTGGCGGCTGCTGCTGCTGTATTTGTACAGTAGAAACCCGGATAGGCATAATGTCGCTCAGGTATCCCAAGTAGTCGGAAGTTGCGGGTAGCTTTTCGCAAAAATCCCCAGATCTTGAAAAATTGTTTCGTCGCCTACACAGAACACGATTAGTGATGAATTTCCATTAGCGTGGGAACAAATCTTACCCTTCAAGGCTTGAGTCCGGGATTCATTCTCTTGTTCCAGTTTCTCAAGTTCTTGGCCCGGCTCTTGCTCGTGGGGCTCTTTCTTCCCTTCGGCCACACCAGCTTTGCCGAGACTATCCTGCGCTTCGCCAATAAGCAAAATTTGAGCGTTTGGGTAGTTGATGAACTCTGGCTCAAGAGGGACCCATCGAAGATCTCCGAATTTCTCTTTGACTCTGGTATCCGTGTTAAGTTCGGGTTCATCAGGCAGGGTGCATAGGGGCGACTTACGGTTCAGGGTATTCTGGATCCTTCGGCAATTGTCCAACTGGAGGACCTGGGAACTTGGGGTTCTTCGACTGAGCTATCCAGCTGCCACGCTCATGGAGACCGAAGTTTTCCTGGATCTCCCCCAGCTCTTTAGGCAAGGTAATGATATACGCGAGATGAGATGCGCGTGTGGTCGAGGTGATGGCATAGACCCCTTCCGCATACGGTTTAGCCTCTTGCGTTGTACGCTCCCCCTTGGTTTTGGTCTGGTAAGTCGTGCTGGCGATGAAATTTTCCTGCAGGTCTTTCATGGATTGGCCAGCCTTTTCCACAAAGGCCATGTCCCTCTCGGTATGGGAAGTGGGGAACTTTTTCTTCGGTAGCATAATGACACGACACTTAGCATCCTTGTCGAGAGGGCCTTGTCCCTTGTCCAGTTCGGCGCCTAGAGGAGTCGGGCGAAGGACAGCAAAACTTCGTGCAACTTCGTCCATGCTGTGCGGATCCTCTACATTGACGCGAGGTCTGAAGAAGAAGTATATGATGCCTTTTTCGAGAATATTGAATGGCACCACGTCTTCCCTTTCTTCAGACATTTTGACACCAAGTTCAGTGGGTGGAGCAGGTCCAGGCTGTGGCTCTTGGGACGCTGAGGTCGGTGGGTGAGAAGGAGCCTCTTCTGACTTCACATCAGGCCGTTCTTCCTTCGGAGCGTCAATTACGAGGTCTGAGTTTCGATCGGGCGACTCATTTTTGGGCTCTGGCCTGGAATCTTCCGTCTTGGACTCCTCCGTCTTGGAATCCTCCGTTTTGGAATCCTCTTTCTTCTTCTTGGGTTGATTTGTTTTTTCAGAGGCAGCCTTCCGCTTTGAACCTGTAGAGTTACCATCCGTAGAGGCTGTAATAGCCTTCTTCGCCTTTTGGGCGGCTTGACGATTAGACGCACGAGTAGCCATGTTGATGACTTTCTCTCGAGTGTTGTGGAGACAAGTGGATTTCTTATAGAAGTGTTCGCAGCCACTCGCATTCACAGGTCATGATATAGAAATGACGTCATTCATACATGGACGTCACATGTTAGATCACTTTCACTGAACGACACATCGAGGTATTTGGAGGACCCCCCCCCCTCTGGACTTCAATCGATGTCCATGTCGTCCGTCAAAGCACTTTCGGGAGATGATTCGGCGCTCTCGTCGCTTGATCGCATCTCGGACCCCGAACTCTCCTCTAGCGTCTCACGGAAATCATAGAGTGAAGGCTGAATTGTATCCCCTTGGAGTCTGCTGCGACGGCGTCGTCTCTTGGGGCTCAGACCAAATTGAGATGCAGAAAGCAGCTGATCGCCAGATCTCGATTGCTTAACATGGGGGAAAGAAGAACAGGGATGAATCACATTGCTTGCACTGCCTGGTTTTCGCTTCTGGCCTCTGGCGTGTCCGACGTAAAGTATGTCTAAGCCACTTCGGGTGCAGACATTACCCATATCATCCATATCATCGACCAAATCACGCTGCCATCGCTCAAAGTTGTCTGGCAGACATGGCAGTAGCAGGGGACCCACGGGCGGAGGATCTTCGGGATCTTCAGGCTCTTCAATGGCGTAAGGTCGGAATAATCTTTCCTCCTCCATATCCGGTGGTAGACTCGAAGCTATACTTTCTTGTTCAGTCGCGGGTGTTGATGGCTCAGAGCCGTTCGAATGGTCCCCACTGCTGCTCGACGAGGTTTCAGATAGATCGTTCAGATCAGCAGATTGTCCAATCGGTCCCGGGTCAATGTCAAGATCCAGAGGCTCTATAAATATCTTGGAACTCGTATCCGTCATAGATTCATCGAGAGGGGATATGTAGGAGTATCGTCACCATGTGAAGAAATCCCTGGTTATTTTCAAGATGATGACGCGGTTTCATACAATTTGTTGTGTGTGGCTTGAAATAGGGTTATCGGCATATAAAACAGGTTTGTAGTAAGGGAAAAGGCTTAAGAGCGAGCATACTTTTAATCTGGGAATTCTAAGAAAGCAATCGAAACCGTTGCTACCGATCAACGGACTATGGTGTTCCAGATGTTTCCAAGCGGGGAGCAGCCAGTATGCTTTGGTCACCAATAACGAGCCGCCACTCAGGGAAAGTACCCACCGACGTGAGTTCCCTCATCTCGATCCCATTTAGGCTAACCAAAAGAGCAAATATCGGATAGGAGCTCCTGTAAAGCCAATAATACCATGGTTAGCGGGGGTTTGAGTTTCTTCTATAGGGCATCAAGCAGTATTCCGCCATAGTAGACTAGTGGTGGTACCTGTCTGCTCTACAGCAGGTTCCCGCTCACCGCCCACGACCATGATTGGCTCCCACGATTCGCTTACACAATAAGTCCACGTTTAGTTTACCTTGTTAACAACTTGCTACGCTACAAGCAAAGGCATCCAACCACCGTTGCGCCTCCACTCCATCTTCCCCCTGGTGGATGCGCTGGTTGTCTCTGTGATCTTTCCTTTTCTCGCGTGCGGAGCTTGCAGCTGTCCGGTGCGGCTCCGGCCAAATTTCCCAAGATGCAGTCGTCTCCAAACATGCTCACGAAGGTACGCCCTCGATCTCCGCCGATGGGCTCGGTGGCCTCCCAATGACCTCCCGCCTGCTTCTTTGGGTCCAATTGAACTTACTGACCACTTCTTTCAATCTAGTTTGAGTCAAAATCCTCCAGAGCAAAGGGAATCGCATTCCACCCCAAGCGGTCAGTTCGTCCTGCGGGGATACCTTACACGTTCATGATAAACCGCCGATGCTAATGTCCAACAATACAGACCATGGATTCTCGTTTCTTTACACTCATCCACCATCCAACTATGGGACTATCGTATGGGAACACTCATCGACCGATTCGAAGAACATGACGGCCCTGTGCGCGGCGTCGACTTCCACCCAACACAACCCCTGTTTGTCTCCGGAGGTGATGACTACAAGATCAAAGTCTGGAACTACCAGACTCGGAGATGCTTGTTCACATTGAATGGCCACTTGGACTATGTGCGCACAGTTTTCTTCCACCCCGAGCTCCCCTGGATTTTGTCTGCGTCGGATGACCAGACCATTCGAATCTGGAATTGGCAGAACCGATCTCTCAGTAAGTGGTATTCACGTCCGTCTCCAGCCCCGAACAATTCTTATATATTCGTTTCCTTGATTAGTCTGTACTATGACCGGCCACAACCATTACGTTATGTGTGCCCAATTCCACCCTACTCAGGACCTCATCGCCTCTGCCTCCCTTGACCAGTCTGTCCGCATCTGGGATATCTCCGGCCTGCGAAAGAAGCACTCCGCCCTACGTCGATCTCATTCGAAGACCAAATGGCGCGCGCCAATCCCAATCAGGCTGATATGTTTGGAAACACCGATGCCATTGTAAAGTTCGTATTGGAGGGCCATGATCGTGGCGTGAACTGGGTGTCGTTCCATCCCGAGTTGCCCTTGATCGTCTCGGCCGGTGATGACCGCTTGATCAAGCTTTGGCGCATGAGCGACACCAAGGCTTGGGAGGTTGACACTTGCCGTGGTCATTTCCAGAATGCCTCGGCTTGTTTGTTCCACCCACACCAGGATCTCATCCTTTCCGTGGGTGAGGACAAGACCATCCGTGTTTGGGATCTGAACAAACGGACCTCTGTCCAGTCATTCAAGCGCGACCTCGACCGATTCTGGGTTATTGCTGCCCACCCAGAGATGAACCTGTTCGCGGCGGGCCACGACACCGGTGTCATGGTGTTTAAGTTGGAGCGAGAGCGTCCTGCTTCTGCCATTCACCAGAACCAGCTCTTCTACATCACGAAGGAGAAGCACGTCAAGTCATATGATTTCGTCAAGAATGAAGAGTCACAGTCCTTGCTCTCCCTGCGCAAGCTCGGCTCTCCTTGGGTCCCGCCACGGACACTTTCCTACAATCCCGCTGAGCGGGCCATTCTGGTTACGTCGCCTGCCGACAGTGGCACATACGAGCTAATTCATCTTCCCCGGGATGCCACTGGCGCTGTGGAGCCTACCGATGTCAAGCGCGGTCAGGCTACATCTGCAGTCTTCGTTGCTCGCAACCGTTTTGCTGTGTTCAACCCTGCTAGCCAACAGGTTGATATCAAAGATCTCAGTAACTCTACCACCAAGACCATCAAGCCCCCTGCTGGAACAACCGACATCTACTTCGGAGGCGCTGGCTGCCTTCTGTTCATCACCCCTACTACAGTTGTCTTGTTCGACATCCAGCAGAAGAAGCAACTCGCCGAGGTCACTGTCAGTGGCGTCAAATATGTTGCGTGGTCTAACGACGGTCTTTACTGTGCTCTGCTCAGCAAACACAATGTCACTATCGTCACCAAGACTCTCGAGCAGGTGAGCACTTTGCACGAGACTATACGCATCAAGAGTGCCACCTGGGATGATGCTGGTGTCTTGATCTACTCCACCTTGAACCACGTCAAGTACTCTCTGCTGAATGGCGATAATGGAATCATCCGCACTTTGGACCAGACTGTTTATCTTGTGCGTGTTAAGGGCCGCAACGTCTATTGTCTGGACCGTAACGCTAGCCCCTCGCATCCTCGAGATTGACCCTACTGAGTACCGATTCAAGCTCGCCCTTGTCAAGCGTAACTACGATGAGATGCTTCAGATCATTAAGACTTCCAGTCTGGTTGGTCAGAGCATCATTTCTTATCTGCAAAAGAAGGGTTACCCCGAGATCGCTCTGCAATTCGTTCAAGACCCGCAGACCCGTTTCGACTTGGCTCTCGAGTGTGGAAACCTGGACGTTGCCATCGAGATGGCCAAGGAATTAGATCGCCCCAACTTCTGGACCAGATTGGGAGCCGAGGCATTGGCCCACGGTAACCACCAGACCGTTGAGATGGCCTACCAGAAGCAGCGCAACTTCGACAAGCTTTCCTTCCTGTACCTATCAACTGGTGACCAGGATAAGCTTTCTCGTATGGCCAAGATCGCTTCCCACCGCGGTGACTTCACCTCCCGTTTCCAGAACGCTGTGTACCGTGGAGATATCGAAGACCGCATTGAGATGTTCAAAGAGGTTGATTTGTGTACGTTGAACACCCTTTACAAACTTGTTGCGGAACACTCTTTACTAATTACAGACAGACCCCCTGGCTTACCTTACTGCGAAATCTCACGGCTTGACCGAAGAGGCCGAGTCTATCCTCGAGGCCGTTGGATTGACAGAGGACCAAATTACCTTGCCATCTTTGGAACAACCCCTGAAGGTCGCTCACCCAATTGTGCCAACCTTCAAAGCTGCCTGGCCTGTTAAGGCTGCTGGCCACTCTTCATTTGAGAAGGCTCTGCTTGGTGAAGTTGGAGCCGTTGATGAGGAGGCTGCTGCCGACGGCTTTGATTTTGAAGATGATGAGCAGGAGACTACCCTTGCCAAGGAGACTTTGGATGACGATGAGGAGGATGCCTCCGGATGGGACATGGGCGATGATGTCAATGTTGAGGAGGATGTGGATTTTGTCAACGTGGAGAGCACTGAGGCTGGTGCTGGCAGCTCAGAGGCTGATCTCTGGGCTCGTAACTCCCCGCTGGCGGCTGATCACGTTGCAGCAGGCTCATTTGATACGGCCATGCAACTACTCAACCGCCAGGTTGGTGCCGTCCACTTTGCTCCCTTGAAGCCCCGCTTCCTTGAGGTTTTCAAGGCCTCCAAGACTTACCTCCCCGCCACCGTTGGCTTACCTCCTCTTGTCAACTACGTACGAAGAACCACCGAAGAGACCGACAGCCGCAAGCTCCTTCCAATCATCCCCCGGGATTTGGAGACTGTCGCCACTGTCGACCTCCAGGAAGGTTACACTGCCATGCGTAGCAACAAGCTGGAGGATGGTGTGAGAATCTTCAAGGGCATCCTTCACACTTTGCTCGTCAACACTGTTTCCTCCGAGGCTGAGGTGGCGCAAGCACAAAAGATTATTGCTACCGCTCGGGAGTACATCCTTGCTATGACAATCGAGCTTGAGCGCCGAACCCTCCCTACTGAGGGACAGGACAATCTCAAGCGCAGCCTCGAATTGTCAGCCTACTTCACAATCCCCAAGTTGGAAGTCGCTCACCGTCAGCTTGCATTGATGGCTGCGATGAAGCTTGCCTTTGCGAACAAGAACTACAACTCCGCTCTGGGCTTCGCTAGCCGGATGCTAGCCAACGGCGGCTCTGCTAAGCTTCTTGAACAGGTAAGAATGCCACTCCAGAATAGAAAGGTTCTTTGATTTGATGCTCACCCATGTTACTTTACAGGCCAAGAAGATCAAGGCTCAGTGCGAACGCAACCCCTCAGATGCCATTGACATCGATTTCGATCAATTTGCCGAATTCGATATTTGTGCTGCTTCTCACACCCCCATCTTCAGCGGCTCCCCCTTCGTCACCGACCCGTTCACCGGTGCGAAGTACCACCCGCAATACAAGGGAAGCGTGGACCGGATAGCAGAGGTTACAGAGATTGGTGCACCAGCCAGCGGTCTACGTTTGTTTGTTCCTGGGCAATTCTAAATTTTGCATGACGAAGTTTGACGGGCTGTCCAATTGGTTTCCGTCTGCTGGCATGAGTTTACAAAATGGCTTCTATTCAATCTTCTGCTCAAGAAGCTGTGTCTATGGTGGCGCTTTTTTGGGAGACACACCCTATGTCTAGATGTCTCTGTACTCAAGATTATAATTGTTTAGCGGTTTTAGTTTATGCGAATTGGTCCTGTTCACTTGTGCAACGCTCATAGATTTTTCCTCCCTTTTTCTTCAAGTGTAACTAGTTCGACATCAATGCATAGTTATTGAAATCTTAGACCCAAAGTATGCAGTATTTTACAATTTCCAATCCAATCTAAATGCAAGGTTTATCTTTGATACAAAAAAGTGGAGAGCTATCAACGCTTGAGTGGAGAGTCTGCTCATCCCAGTCCTCAAGGCAAAGGGAAGCGTCTCAGTCACACCTCCCATCCTTCCATCCAGTCCGCCACCGCTCCTCCCATAGCCGACAATCGAACTCTTTTTTCCCGAGCTTGCGATTCACCTCGTTATGCGCCTCGCACATCCACCACCCAAACTCCTTGCGCCCCTTCAGCTTCGGCTTGTTCTGCCCGCTTGGGTGCGCCATCCACGCCTGGAAATCGTCCGCGCATACCCAGCATGGGTACAGCTTGGAAAAGAGCTTCAAGAAACCACCCATGTCTGCTTGTTGCTGGGTGCTGGCTGTCTCGGGGTATGTGGCTGCCATCGAGTGCAGGAGGGTCCAGGTGGAGCGGCCGAGAGCTTCGACATCCGGTGGGCAATCAGGACGTGGGGAAGGAGCCTGTGAGGTTGTGGTGGGTGTTGAGCTGGAGCTGGTTGTGTTTCCTTTGGATTGCTTCGTCATAGCAAGCCATGAGGAGACGGAGGTGCAGGTTCGGCAGCTGGAGGGCAAGTGTTAGTTTTCCTTCTTGGTAGATAAGCCTTGTCTGATTGCGGGCCTCCTTACGGTTTGCCATCCTTGTCGAGCACAACGCCTTTGGGGAGCGGTGCTTGGGAGTCATCTTGGGATTGAGTTGCGCCTGCGGGCATCTTGGGGAACGCGGTGTCCACTTTGCTCGTGTTTTGGGGCCTGAGCGGGTCCTGATTGGGGTCCGCCATATTTGATGCTGCGATTGGGTATCTTCCAGCGTGTGGTGAGCAGTGGCTTGGGAGTGAAGTTCTCAATTCTTTGATTTCTAATGAATTCCAATGCGGGAAAGGCGGACCGGATCGACTAAGTCAACTCCTTATCGCTTATCGCATTATCAGCCCCGAAGGTACATACATTGACGTTTATTAGTGTCTGTAACCCCCAGCACATCTCTCCCGCACCAGTTCAAACTCCTTGACTCAAGTATTCTTGCCAAATGGGGTTCTCCTTTCCGGCAGACCATCGAGCTAGCGGTCCGCGAAGCCCAGAGAACCGGTTCATATGGCCTAGGCTTAGAACACTAAACCCTGTCCCTGGGTCAACGATCGCTGGGTCCGCTCCGGCTTGCAGGAGAACCTCTGCAACTGCATAATTATGGCGATTACTGGCAGCAAAGAGGGCGGTTGCACCAACCCGACCTCCGGGGGCATCAATATCGAGTTCAGAATCTGAAGCAAGGATGGCTTTGACCACAGACATCATTCCGAATGAAGCGGCATAGTATAGAGGCTGCGTCATTTCAATCACACTGGCGTCGACTCCGGGGATTAGCGTCTGCACCCAAACTCCAAAGTTCCCTCGACGCGGGAGCTTTCCAGTGTCAAAGAATCGTTTCACGAGCTTCTGCTCTGCTTCTCCCAGTTCGCAGGATGCAGCGTGATCCGCCCAGTAGTGTGCGGCATATCTAATGAACCTGTACTGCGCGATATACCGCGTGGATTCGCGACGATCAGGCTCATATCCACCTTTAAAGTTGTCAAGGCAAAGGTACGATAGGCACTTGCGCATCATGGTAGAAGTAGCAGTCGCAGGATCCAGGCTGAAGTACTTCACTCGCGAGGTTCGAATCCATTCGGAGGTGAGGAATTCTTTCACAGAGGCATGAGCCAGTCGTATCTGGCCTAATCGATCTTGGCTGATGAGCCCTTGGCAAAGGTGCAGAAGGAGCTGAGGCGGTACGAGCATCATGTCTTGATCCAGCTCCGTACATTCCTCGTCTATGACTACTGCTTCGTTCAGTTCCCCGAGCCAAAATGGACGGGAGGCGAAGCTGAGCCAAAACAAGGCCTCCCGCACGAAAACCCAGTCATCGGGAGAAATTCTCTCGAGTGTGCTGACGTAGGTCTCTCGAAGGGACCCCGGTAAATTACTCAAGGCCAGTTTCATGGCCTTTGCCGTTCTTTGTGATTGTAGATTGTCTAAAGACAGTTGGACCCAACGGAACCTAGCGAATATTGTTAGACTCCAATGCTTGACGGTAAGTTTTTCTCCCCCTTTTCGCGACTCACGATCCGTCTGCATTGTGTAGAAGAGTTTCAGCAATTGAGGCTTTCAGGTCTGGTTTGAGGTTTCTCAGCGTTTCATCGTGGACCAAACGATAATCTATATACGCCTTGATATCCCCACGCATCATCTCCGCGGTGATATCAAAGTTGCGGGTAAGATCCTGGAATGGTACTGCCACTGTTGTCGTGACGATGATACGAACGCTGCTTGACAGATGGGCTATCCTTTGAAGGGATTTCTCGATCCCCTCTCGGTCTTCGCTTTCGTTGATGGCATCCAGAAGCAGGATTACTTGCGACTTTTCAGAGGTCGCTTCGATAATAGCATTTTCAAGTGCAGCGATGTCGGCAGGTGGCTTGTGTGACTGGTTTGTCGGTATCTTGTCGTATATCGCTTTGATTTAGCTCAGTATTGAAGGCTGCTTGGTCGACAGCTGTGCGACAAATGATCCTAGAACATTCAATGGGCTCTGAGTGTCGGAATTACTGATTGTGCAATAGAAGTATGCGATATTTGTGGACGGATCGCGCGATAGTTCGTCAACAATTTGAGCACTGCAACGTGTTAGTCTTGCTGGTTTTAGGAATATATCCTTGTATGCCTTACAATAATGTAGTTTTCCCAGTTCCAGCTGTCACGCCCGATTAGCCTGCTTTTGTTCAAGTGGTCGGTGCAGGAACGATCTTTCTACTTACATTTGCCCACAAGATAAAAGATCTTTTCCTGATTCTCATATCGAAGCCAGTGTTTCAGCTTCCCAGTGATGAACCACTTGCCAGATATGACCGGACGGCCTCTAGACACTCTCAAATGGGTATCTCCTGGGCTCACGGGGGCAATCCACCGATAAAGCTCCCTGTTGGTCTGTTGTGTTCGCTCCTCGTCTCGAATGCGCAAATCTTCACTCATGGATCTTGCCAGACTTCTTATATCTTGTTGTATATCACGCTCTACCGCCGCACTATCGGCCATCAAAACAAGGATAAGCCATGACTTGACTCGCTCCAGCGTAACCAGATGAGTGCTGACGTCTTCTTTGGACATAGGCCATTCCAGTTTCTGTTTGATCTTCTGAAACTTGCTTTCTGGAGGCTCAAGGTCCTTCAATATGGATTGAAGAAACTCGTTCGTCTGTTGTAAGACCCTGTCTAGTGTGCTTCGATCAAACCCGCTGGACGTTTCTGATTCATACTCGACATGCTCGAATTTCGAGGTCTCACCCGAGCTCTGCGCAGCCAAGTGTTCTAAAATCCCTTTTAGCGCGAATAGTTCTTCACTGAGCTTGCGGATTTCTGCTTTTGCGCTTTTCACGGTTTTGGCGTATTGGATTATACTCGCCAGGATGTGGCTGACATCTATGATAAGGCCAGTGATGGAGATTGGGTCAGCCATATTGTTCCGACACGCGCCCAGGCAGGTAGGTCGTGTACTCTCGGCTCTTTCTTCTTTCTTTATTTCTAGTGATCACTGATCAAACCTGGGGTTGATGTCCGGCCTGCTTATGGTGTGGGCGGGGTAGTGGGCCCGCTTCGTATTTAGACCCTGCGTAGGGCACGAAAACGCCCAGGCAAAAATAGCTTCCACTAGTTGAATATCAACTTTCAAGCTGATGCTCTTTTCAAATGGAGTGGGTTGCTCAAACCAGTCCAGAATGTATTCAGGATTCAAGTTCTGCAGGGCATAGAGTATGAAGTTCTCAAAACGTCGAGTTGAGTCCTCAGCCGGCCCAGTGCATTTTATGTATCGGGCCCGGACGTAGAAAACATTGGAGCTTGTCGTTGTTCGAGCTCTCTTGAATCTTGAACCCTTATCGTTATAATTGTTTATAAGTTCCTCCATGAGCCTGCGCAGTTTTAGGTTAGATATCAAGCCACAGGCAGGAGCTGGCAGGCACCCTAGTGGCCTGAAGTACTAGAATGAACATTCGGATCTACAATCTACCCTGCATAACTAGGCATATAATGAGCGCCCCGTGGAGATACTTTCACTTCAACACTCTTCAATTTGACAGGGAAAAGTCACTTGAAGTGTGGCTAGACATTTTGCATGCAGCTAAACATGAATATACACCATGTTGGGTATTCAACTGTATCGATATCTCTGACCCTCAAGTTCGGTGGTCGCCATGCGCTTTGTCATCCGCCTGTTACGGGCGGGACCCGCATCAGCTCCGCAGGGCCACGCGTGGAGACGTGTATCCCTACTTCATTGCGATTTCAATTGACGTGCCCTCCTTCGAAATACACGTCATTCGTTTAGATCAGTGGAACAAGTACAAAGCGACATCCACTGGCACCTATTTCCAAGATGTCGGACTCAGAATCTGACCGAGAGCACAACTCTCTCACTCCTTCCGACCAGAGTCTCGAACAATCCTTGCGCGATGAAGTCGCAAAAGTGTTCAAGTCTGGAAAGATGGAGGAATTGACGGTGAAGCGAGTGCGGCTGGCTGCGGAGAAAAGCCTTGGGCTTGCAGAGGGCTACTTCAAGACTACGGGAGATTGGAAGACGAGGAGCGAAAAGATTATTAAGGACGAGGTGGTAAGTTTACTTCGTTTTATTATGCCTTTTAGTCCCATATATTGACCGCATGTCCATCCACAGGAAAAGCAAGAAGCCGCACCCGAGGAGCCAAGAGAAGAAGTACCGCACGAGCCACAGCCCAAGAAGAAAGCCGCACCCAAGCGTTCTAAAAGCGATGCTGCGCCCAAGCCAAGAAAGCGTCAGAAGACCCAGACGCCCGAGTCTGAAGATGATCTCGCCGGTTCGCCGGTCGTGGAAAGTGAGGAAGAGTCCACAAAGCCTAAGCAGGGGTCAACTGCCAAGGCAAAGAAGGGGGCCAAGTCAAAGGAACGCGAGGTGTCGGTGGAGGCTGCAGACGCCCCAAATGAAGACATCGATATGGAAGATAAGCCCACAGAATCTACCGCAGACCTCGCCAAAGATGACTCCGAGAGCGAGATGTCCGTTGTCCTAGACGAGGAACCAGAGCCTGCACCCAAGAAACGGAAGAGTGCCAAGGGACCGGCTAAGAAGGGCAGAAAGACTGCCAAGCCGCCTCCGAAAGAGAAAGACGAACAAGACCCAGACCAAGCGGAAATAAAGAGGCTACAGGGTTGGTTGGTCAAGTGTGGCATCCGCAAGATGTGGTTTCGTGAACTGGCTCCATACGAGACACCCAAGGCCAAGATCAAGCATCTCAAAGATATGCTAGAGGAGGCCGGTATGACAGGACGATACTCGCAGGAGAAAGCAAACAAGATCCGGGAGGAGCGAGAACTCAAAGCAGACTTGGAACAGATCCAGCAGGGCGCTCAGCAGTGGGGCGACAGTGGAGGCTCTCGACGACGTACTGCTCGAGGGCAACAACCGCTCAAAGTCCAAGATGATGATGACAATAATGAAGAGAGCGAAGAAGAGACCTCTCAGAAGCGTATCCCTCGGGGTCGGCAATCGCTGGCCTTCCTTGACGATGAGGATGGTGAAGAAAGCGATTGATACTGAGTAGCCGTGAAGTATATGACATCAGTGCACCTATATTCCCCCGGAATTATTCCTCATTCGCATCGATAATTGGATTTTGGTACTCCTTTGGCGCATCCACGTGCGCAGCAACCACGGCATGACTGTATACCCTTTCACCGGCCGGGCTTGGGGCCACCCATACGTTGGGCAGTTAGGCTGAATACAGCGACCGAGGAAAGAAAGAGAACTAGGTTGTAGAACTGTAATGGGTTAGAACTTGGATTATCCTAGAGGAGAATGCAATAGGGAGGGGATATATACCGCTGTTCGGGAGTACTCGCTTTCCTCGGCCTCTGTACGAGCCTCAACGAAAAGACGCCGCAAGTTAGGGAGATTAGCCTAGGCACCATTAGCACTAGAATCGATCAGACGAGGTAGGATTACCCACCATTGGTAAACACGATCAGTGGGGAAGAGGAGGGAGGCTTGGATTAGGAGGTCAAGAACGGAGCGGGAAGGTCGAGACCATTTGTGGACAACTTTCGATCCCCGAACACCCTTTCTCTCCTTCCCACCATCCGCTCTTGGCTCATCCCCGACCCCCACATCTTAAGGGTCTTTTTCGTCAATCAATGTCCGTGTTGAGCGAGGAAGGAATGGTTTGAATTTCGCCTCCGATCGCTTCGTCCGTTTTCCACACCCCAAGTCGCGCGACCGCTGCGAGCTTGCGATTCCCCGCAGTCGCCTTCAACTCCTCGACCACACCCGCACAAAATCCCCGATTCTATTGGCGGCGACATAGTAAAGCCGCTGCCGGAGCTGCAAATCTCTCAGCATGGCGATGAATAAGATCCGTGGCGCCTTTGCGGTGCCCCGAAAAGGAGAGACCTTTGAATTGCGAGCTGGCCTTGTGTAAGGTTTCCTATTGCAGAACAATGCAACTCCCTACCCGACAGCCTAAAAAACCCCCCCAAAAAATGAAATAAAACACCACAGCTAACGTTTTTTCCGGGTAGCTCTCAATATGCTTACGAGCGGTATGTCCACCCGGGATTGCTAAGAAAACCAGTAGTGGTATAGTGGTGAGCGATGCGTGGCTGACTGCAAGCAGGAAGGAATCGATTCAAAGGACAATTATGGCCATGACCCTAGGCAAAGATGTCTCAGCGCTATTCCCCGATGTTCTCAAGAACATTGCAACCTCCGATCTCGAACAAAAGAAGCTGGTTTACCTCTATCTCATGTAAGCGTCAGTCTACATTGATAGGGGCGACATACAATTGCTAACCGTGCATTGTAGGAACTACGCCAAATCACACCCTGACCTTTGTATCCTCGCCGTGAACACTTTTGTTCAGGATTCGGAAGACCCCAATCCGCTGATCAGAGCCCTTGCTATTCGAACGATGGGATGTATTCGCGTGGATAAGATGGTGGATTACATGGAAGACCCCCTGCGCAAGACTCTTCGTGACGAATCACCATACGTACGAAAGACTGCTGCAATCTGTGTAGCAAAGCTGTTTGACCTGAATCCAGCAATGTGTCTCGAAAACGGATTCTTGGAGATGCTTCAGGAGATGATTGGTGACCCTAACCCAATGGTGGTTGCCAACTCTGTCACCGCACTCTCAGAGATCCAGCATACCGCGCCTGAGACTAAGGCATTACAAGTCACTCCCAACACTCTACGAAAGATGCTCATGGCACTGAATGAATGTACAGAATGGGGTCGCGTAACAATTCTCTCAACGCTTGCCGAGTACCGCGCAGCCGACGTCAAGGAATCTGAGCATATCTGTGAGCGAGTCGCTCCCCAGTTCCAGCATGTCAATGCTAGTGTGGTTCTCGCGGCTGTCAAGGCAGTGTTTCTCCACATGAAGTTTGTAGGACCTGAGCTGGCTAAGACTTATTTGAAGAAAATGGCCCCTCCATTAGGTAAGAGGTGCAATCATTTCTTTTCTCATTGCACACTAACCTAATTGTAGTGACGCTTGTTTCATCGGCCCCCGAGGTGCAATACGTCGCCTTAAGAAACATCGATCTTCTGCTGCAGAAGCAGCCCGACATCCTGACCAAGGAGCTCCGTGTCTTCTTCTGCAAATATAACGATCCGCCCTATGTCAAATTCCAGAAGCTTGAAATCATGGTCCGGATAGCAAATGATCGCAATGTGGACCAGCTTTTGGCTGAATTGAAGGAATACGCTCTTGAAGTCGATATGGATTTCGTCCGTCGCGCCGTTCGAGCAATCGGCCAGGTTGCTATCAAAATTGAGGGTGCCAGCGAGAGATGTGTCAATACGCTATTGGATCTGATAAACACTAAGGTAAACTACGTTGTGCAGGAAGCTATCGTGGTGATCAAAGATATTTTCCGAAAGTACCCTGGCTACGAAGGTATTATCCCGACTCTTTGTCAATGCATTGATGAGCTCGATGAGCCCAACGCTCGGGCTGCATTGATTTGGATCGTGGGTGAATACGCTGAGAAGATTGTCAATGCTGGTGACATCCTGGGTGGTTTCGTGGATGGATTCAATGAGGAATTTTCTCAGGTTTGTGACGCCGCCCTATCTTCAGTTGTGCTTTTTATATACTGATGTTTCTAGACTCAACTTCAAATCCTCACCGCTGTGGTCAAGCTCTTCCTTAAGCGACCTGAAAAGGCCCAGGGTCTTGTGCAACGAGTGCTCCAAGCTGCTACTGCTGAGAACGACAACCCTGATGTTCGTGATCGAGCCTACATCTACTGGCGGCTTCTGTCCAACACGAGTGATCAAAATGCCACGAAGAAAATTGTTCTTTCCGAGAAGCCTCCGATTGTCACCACCATCTCCACGCTTCCTCCAGCCCTCTTGGACCGCCTCCTTCAGGAGCTTTCTACTCTATCCTCTGTTTACCACAAGCCTCCCGAGCAGTTTGTTGGACAGGGTCGGTTCGGCGCCGACGCTGTTCAACGAGCCGCTATCGAGTATGTGTTTGTCCTACTGATTATAAGTCGCTTTTAATCCTAACAATTCACGTAGGGAACAGCTCCAGAATGCGCGCGAGAACCCGTTGGCGGCCGCAGCGGCCGCAGCGGTCAGCGGATCTGCACCGTCGGCGCAGGCACAAAACCACGTCGAGAACCTGCTGGACATCGATTTCGACGGTGGCGCCCCTGCTTCGGCACAGAAGGAGCCTACTGCTGGCATGTCTGGTCTGGAGGGCCTGGCTGGCACTCCTGTGCGAGTCCAGTCTCCTGCGGTTGGCTCCTCATCGCCCGCCCCTCAGGCCAGCAACAACCTGGACGACTTGCTCGGTGTATTCGGAGACTCAGGAGCTACACAGCCCTCATCAAGCGGTGTCAATGCCGCCTCTGGTGATCTGATCAATGGCTTCGACGGCCTCGATCTGTCCAGCCACTCTGCTCCGCCCGCGAACAGCCAGCAGAAGACTAACGAGGATATCATGTCGCTTTTCTAGGGACCTGTAAGGTATAGCGTCCCTAGCCACTGGGCTGGTTGTTTTTATATCCATGTTTTGTAAGCGAGGATTTCAACAGAACGAGATAGAGCAGTTTCTTCTTCATACTTGTTTAATATTTTATTTTTCTACCTCATCTGGTGGCATGGTGTCGGATCCTAAAAAGCGCGGTACGTACATTGCTGGGTTGGAATTTCGCCACTTCTTGCCGATCGCCAATCCGTTTCGAGTTCTCCAGTAACCTAGATCCAGTGGCCTGACATCATGTCGATTTCGGCAGAGACAGATAAGCAAACAAGCTCAAACACTGCGTCAGGTCAGCCGTAGATCGGCCATGGACATAGACACCGGTTATGTCCGGTAGATGACATTGGGCCACATATTTTTCGGGAAGTGGGACAGGGCATGTCTTGTTATCGTCGGTTCCACTCGTTTTCAGGATCCAGATTTCGTATCTTCGAAAATTCTCGAGGGGCGGAGTTTCGGAGTCGATGGCCCTGCCGGAGCGTCGGCACCCTCGCCTCATTTTGCGCGAGAGCAACCCATAGCTGGAGAATCCACGCATTACGTATATGTCAAGTTTCTAATCTACACCGCCAATCGGAGTAAGGAAGCACCGTAGCTTAAGTGCTTATGTGCTTATTCTTCAGGCGATTAGTGCAAACGGAAATTTATGCAATTTGAGGATGTCAACCATGCATGCTCCACAACTCCGAGCTCCACCGAATCTTTCCTGAAGCCTTGTGTTTGATTACCAATTACGTATCATGGAATGGAGATTCGGAATTCAATGGAACCAGTGGTTCTGCAGAAATTGGTTCAGCTCCACTGGAGTTCCGGAGAGAATGGGTCTCCGTTGATCTATAAAAGGGACCTGGAGTCCTCTTGAGGCCGACATCACTCAATTGAAGCCCTATCAATCCTCCGATACCGTATTCGATCACTATACGCACAAACAAAATCATGTCGCAAACCGATTACAAGTTTGAGGGCTGGATGGGCCTTGACCCCAAGGCCAGCGAAGGGAAGATGGTCTGGCAAGAATTCAAGCCAAAGGCCTGGGAAGAGACCGACGTTGACATTAAAGTCACTCACTGTGGTATCTGTGGATCAGACATGCACACTCTCCGCAGCGGCTGGGTATGTACGACATGGTGCATCGCGAATCACCAGCAGAACTAACTGTATCTTCCACAACAGGGTCCCACCAAGTACCCTTGCTGCGTCGGCCACGAGATCGTAGGAAACGTCGTCCGTGTCGGATCCAAGGTTACCCACCTTTCCATCGGAGACCGTGTTGGCGTCGGCGCGCAAAGCCAGTCTTGCCAGAACCGCAACGGCGACTGCGAGGAGTGTGCCTCCGGCCTAGAGCAGTACTGCAGCAAAGGCATCGTCGGAACATACAACGGCACCTTCATCAACGGCGACAAGTCATACGGCGGCTACTCTACCTATAACCGTGTCCCCGCGCACTTCGCAGTCAAGATCCCTGACTCGATTCCCTCGGCTGAGGCCGCGCCCATGCTGTGCGGTGGTGTGACTTTGTTCAGCCCGCTGAAGCACAACAACTGCGGTCCCGGAAAGAAGGTGGGCATTATCGGTCTCGGTGGTCTGGGTCACTTCGGTGTGCTCTTCGCTAAGGCGATGGGCGCCGACAAGGTCGTCGCTATCTCACGTAAGAAGAACAAGGCGGACGATGCGCTGAAGATGGGCGCTGATCTCTACATCGCCACCGACGACGAGCCCGACTGGGCGACCAAGTATGCTCGCTCTTTGGATCTGATTGTTAGCACTGTCTCTTCTAGTAAGGTGAGTAGGAAAATTTTTATTTTTTTTTTTTGGCTCCGTCTCATCCCCTGGGCTGTGGCAATTTACGATTTGTGGCGACTAATTTTATTTTATAGATGCCGATGGCGGGATACGTTGGCCTGCTGCGCACTGCTGGTGCCTTCGTCCAGGTTGGTCTCCCTGACGACGGAGTTCTCAATGCTCCTGTCCAACACCTTATGCGTCGCTTGAAGATGCAGAGCTCTCTTGTCGGTAGCCCTGGCGAGATTCGCGAGATGTTCGAGCTGGTGGCGGCCAAGGGCGTTAAGCCTTGGATTCAGGAGCGTCCTATGAAGGACGCCAACAAGGCCATCGTGGACATGGATCAGGGCAACGCGCGCTATCGCCTGGTCCTGGTCAACGAGCAGTAATGAAATGACCCTGTGTATAATGTTGTAGAATGATAGAAGAATGAAAGCGCTGTATTTTTGTTGAAACAAATTATTGCGAGCCAATGAAATCGCACGTGAGGCCGCTTTCGGAGCCGCTAGTCCCGATACGGAATCCCCCGCGATGATTCATTTGGATCATTTTGTCTTAATCTTCGACTTTCGTTCTCTCAGGTTCGTTGGTTGAATTCCCTCTGCAAAAGGTCAATTGGCTTCCCATTTGTCCAGTATGTCTCCAAGTCTCTCGCAGAAGTATCTGAGCACCCGTGGTGCCGAGTATGGGGTGAGTCCAAGATCTATGGCGGGGTGTTTGCGACAGGCGCAATATTGAGAGCATTGTTGGCTGTCGCCAGAATCCTGTAGTCGTGGCTATTGTCTTGTGCGGGAAAAAAAGAAAAAAAAGACACTAACAGAGTACCCCTCTCCAGGTCGGCTTCGAAGCTGCCGTGCTTCAAGGCCTTGCGAAAGACGGCGGTCTCTTTGTCCCTGAGGAGATCCCTACCCTGCCTTCCTCATGGAAAGAAGACTGGAAGGATTTGAGCTTCGAGGATTTGGCATTCCAGATTGCTTCTCTTTATATCTCGTCCTCCGAAATTCCCTCCGACGACCTCAAGGATATCGTTAAGCGATCATACGCAACCTTTCGCCACCCAGAACGTACGCCGCTGGTAGACTTGGAGTCTTCCCGGGATCCTTTCATTCTCGAGCTGTTCCATGGTCCTACTTTTGCTTTCAAAGGTGCGATAATCTAGGCCATATGTTCTCTCCCCTGGTGTCTAAACTGACTGAGGTTCAGATGTGGCTCTACAGTTCCTGGGCAACCTATTCGAGTACTTCCTAGTAAGGAAGAACAAAGGCATTGAGGACCCCAAGAAGAGAGTATGTCCGACCCTATATTTCTTTCAGTCCGCGGCCCTCACAAGGTCAGGGTTGTGTTTGACAGTTTCCCGGTCTAACGAGATACCAGCATCACTTAACCATTGTTGGCGCTACTTCGGGCGACACAGGCTCTGCGGCCATTTACGGTGTGCGCGGAAAGAAGGATGTGTCATGTTTTATTCTTTTTCCAAATGGCAGGGTATGTCTTCCAGAGCCTCATGATATGCTGAAAGAGACTGACAGGCCTAGGTATCACCGATCCAACAATTACAAATGACGACCGTTCTCGACTCCAACATCCACAACTTGACTGTGGATGGATACTTCGACGACTGCCAGAATATCGTTAAGGAGCTCTTCGCTGATCCCGAGCTGAACTCTACCCACAACATTGCTGCAGTGAACTGTAAGTGGCCGGACATTTTACTTCCGAATCCAGACTAACAATTCGCAGCCATCAACTGGGCCCGCATCCTTGCCCAGCAAACCTATTACTTCTACGCCTATTTCTCGCTCATCAAGTCTCCCAAGTATAACAAGGCATCAAGCCCCCGTATCGTTGTCCCCAGCGGAAACTTCGGTGACATCCTGGCCGGATTCTTCGCCAACCGCATGACTGGCAGCGAATTAGCCAGCAAGCTTGTCATTGCAACCAACGAGAACGATGTAAGGAAGCACAGCGCAGCTCACATTCAAATCCAGTGCTAAAAAGCCCTAGATCCTCGATCGCTTCTTCCGCAGCGGCGGCCATTACACCAAGAAGGCCATCGGCGCCGAAACCGACACCGTGAAGGAAACCCACAGCCCCGCCATGGACATCCTCGTCAGCAGCAACTTTGAGCGTCTGCTCTGGTATCTCGCCTTTGAATCCGACAGCGCCAGCTCCGTCGAAGAGCGCCGCAAGCACGCCTGCGAGAGCGTGGCCACCTGGCTGAGCCAGCTCAAGTCGCAAGGCGGCTTCCAAGTGCCCGCCGCCGTCCTCGACGGCGCCAAGGCCGAATTCGAGAGTGAGCGCGTCTCCAACGACGAGACTATCGCCACCATCCGCGACGCCTACGTCACCTGCTTCCCCAAGAACGTGGGTGCTGGCAGCGCAAAGAGCTCCAAGACTGGCGGTTATATCCTGGACCCCCACACTGCTGTCGGTGTGGCTGCGTCGCGCCGCTCTATTCAGCGGAACCCGGGGGTTAGCCATATCTCGCTTTCGACGGCCCACCCGGCTAAGTTTGCTAGTGCGGTTGACCTGGCTCTGAGGGGTCAGGATGGATATAGCTTTGAGGAGATTCTGCCACAGGAGTTTGTGGGGCTGGAAACGCGGGAGACTCGCTCCATTCCTGTGCCCACGGGGGCTGGGTGGAAGGGTGTGCGGGATATCGTTGTCAAGGAGGTTGAGAAGGAGCTTCAGCACTAGCTTGTTGATATAAGTGCATTGATTTGGCTATGTTTATACGTGCATAAGACTCACGTCTGGTAGATACACAAAATTCTGATCTTACTTCTCACCTTCCATGATTTCTATACGTCACTAGCTAGGTATTGTGAAGCCTGAGAAGACTAACGCGATGACCGGTATCTCATATCACACTTGATTTGTGAGTCCTTCACATTATGATCAGAGTATCTTTAGGCTGCTAGTATGTGTTCATGTACCGGTGCCCCGAACTTCGAGGTCAAACATTCAATCGGAGTTGCTCATCTACATTCAACTCTCTTACTGATTTCGCCGGACCACAAATCAACCATTAACCCTGAGGTTATTGTATTGATTTTCAGTCCTCGGATAGTTCGATTGGTTCTTGTATGAAGTTGAGTGCTCATCTTAAGTTTTCAGGGTTCCGGGGTCCGCAGGTAGTAAGCCCTCAACCGCCTCCACAGCCTTGTCCTTGGACAAATAGTACTATAGTAGCTTAGAAGTATGAGTTGTCTTTTACAGGTAAAGGTTCTGAAGAGTTGAGATTACCAAAGAAAAATTATGGAAGGTCCAAGCTATGTCATTAATATTACGTATATAGTACCTCCTGAACACCATAAAATCAAAATCTCGAAATGACCAAGCAACCCTTCCTCCACAGCGGAGATCGGGCGGGTCTAAACACCGACAAGAAGCAGAAACAACCAATGTCCAGATCAAAAGCTCCCCGGTCTGCATCGAGGCCGCAAAACCATGATCACGGGAATAACTTTAATAACTTTTTCTCGATTTTAGGGGAAAGACAAGAGGCAACCTCACATCTTCTCAGAAGAAGAGGAGCTGCTCAGCTCAAGCTCAGCTGGTTTACAGAAGAGCCATGAGACCGATGACACCGGCAAGGAGACCAGCAATGGGCTTGGAGTTGGAGGCAGCGCCGGTGAAGACGCCGGGGGAGCTGGGCTGAGCCTCGGCAGGGGTGGAAGGCTGCTCGGGCTGGGCAGGCTGCTCGGGCTGGGCTGGGTGAGCGGGCTGGCCAGGAGCGGAAGGCTGCTCAGGCTGAGAAGGCTGCTCGGGCTGAGCTGGGTGGGCGGGCTGTCCAGGGGCGGAAGGCTGCTCAGGCTGGGCAGGCTGTCCAGGGGCAGCAGGCTGCTCGGGCTGGGCTGGCTGAGCGGGCTGACCAGGCTGAGCGGGCTGCTCGGGCTGAGGAGCGGGAGCAGGAACCTCAGGGGTCGGCTGAGGAGCAGGAGCGACGGTGTGGCCAGTCGGCTTGACAATGGGGACAGGCTGGACAGCAGGGGTGGTGGGCTGGACACCGGTGACGACGGAAGTCTTGGTCACGCTAATGGTGTTGGTGATTGGGACGGTGATGACCTGGGTGCCGGAGGTGACAACAGAAGAGGTGACTGACGGGGATGTTAGCTGATTGATTCTTATGATATCTTGGGGGAAGGTAAACGGTTCAACTATAGATTGGAGACTTACCAGGGCAGCTAGTGGTCACGACGGTGATGGTCGAAACGTGGTGGGGCTTGGTGTGGGTAATCACAGGAGTGGCAGTCTCCTTGGTCAAGGTGGTGCAAGGAGTCTTAGGCTTCTCCGTGGTGACGGGCTTGACAGGAGTCTTGGTAGAAGTGGTGCAAGGAGTCTTGGGCTTCTCCGTGGTGACGGGCTTGACAGGAGTCTCGGTAGAAGTGGTGCAAGGAGTCTTAGGCTTCTCCGTGGTGTGCGTGGGGATGGTGGGAGTCACGATGGTCGTGGTGATAGGAGCCTTGGTGGTGGTAGTGCAGGGAATGGAAGCAGCCTGGCCCCAGGTGTGGTGCTCCTCACCACGAGCAATGACACCAGCAAGAGCGGTGCTGCTGCACAGAGCAACGAGAGCAACGGACTTGATCATTTCGAGAGATTGAAAAGGTTTTATTGTAAACAACAAAGCTTGGACTGTTCTAACGAGTGAAGATGGAAGAAGGGAGTAAGAAGTGTACCACGGACAGACCTCTCTGCTTTTATACCTTCTTTCTCATGGGGGCCCAAGACGGTCGTATCCAAGTCATGACGCTGAGAGCTGCCACGGTTTTGTCCAGTAAAGCAAAAAAAAGCGGTCCTGGCCTGATCCACATTTGCTCAGAATCGGGCTGAAAGCAGTAAACCTTAAGCTGGGCATCTCGACCCATGAGAGGAATCCTTCATGCTGATAGGTTTGCTCAGCAGTGATACCCCCATGAGAGTAACGAAATGGGAGATGTGACATTTTGTGGTGCCATCGCTGTCAAGGGCCCATCGGGGCTCCACTGGTTTCCAAATGCGGAGGAATATCAGATCTAAGCTCGAAGGATCGGCAGCCGAAGCAGCGGAAGCATCAGTCCATGAACTTGATTGGGCCAGACTTCAGGTTGCCTGAACTTTGCTGGTTTCCTGATCTTGGTAACAGGTTTGTGTGTCAAACGTAGGGTGTCTCACAGATGCATTCGGGGACAATAGACTTGGTCATTGTTCAACAATGTATGAAGCCAAGCCCATTGCAAATTATTGCAAATTATTGCAGCAAGCTACCGGGATATTCGATATGGTTTGGCTAGATATGCATCATCTGGGGTAGTCTATGCCGACCATCACCCACTCATGCTCCATCTAGAACCACGTTCAATTGTCCAAGTGAAAAAATTTCCGGACCGCCACGAATCAGAATGTTTCCCTCGGGGCCGAGGAATGTAGATCATCGCTCTTGGACGATCTGCCGCCCTCGTTTTCTGGCTTGTCTACTCAGGAATGCTTGGCGGTAGTAGAGCTGCCCTGGTTTCCAAGGGCGGCAGCAATACTGAAGCTCCAGCTGCGGGGCCCATTGGTAAATCCGACAATAGTAGCATATCCTTTTGATCCATTCAATGGTTACGCTATCGTGACACCACATAAAAGCCTCCTTCCAAGGTTGCATGAGGGATTAGGCCAGGTTGAGAAAGACGTCTCGTCTCGTATGTTCCAAATCGAGGCATTGAAAGGAGGACCGCGTATTCCAAGCGTGGAGCAAGGAGAATTCGGACGCTTCTGCGAAGGCGAGCAGTCTCTCCGTCCTGTAAGGCACCATGAGTAACAGGCACAACGCAACATTGGGTCAGTGATGGCCGCAAACGGCCAGGGGCGGGCGAACAAATTTTTTTTCCCCGGGCCTTGGCCTGGGAGAAAGTTCATGTACCTGGGGCACGCGAAGAGGATTACCTCGGTCCCTGTTGATTTTGTTCGCGTTCAATTTCTGGCACTAGACATTAGTAACTGGGAAAGAGCACCCGCTGACGGGCTTCATGATTCGGGGCGACCAGCACTTCGAATAGTAGTAAGTGGCGACCTTTGAAAAAGTCTCATACGTACGACTGGCGCAAATTAGAATAGAGTGGAGTATTTCGAGTTGACCATCATTTCCAATCCAGGATACTGACATTGCCCCATGGTAGAAGTAGTTAAGGTGCGACCCGGGGAAATATTTCCGGAGTATGTCGGCTGGAGTGACCGCCTTGACGAGACACAACCGCCGCAATGGGAACTTCCACTTCCATGTTCGTCTCGAATCTTCAATCCCACCATTTTTTTTATCTCGGACTCAGGGTTTCAGTCAAAACGCCACCTATGGACCCCCCCTCAATATCTCATTCGCAAGCCTTGGCTTTTCTGGTCTTGGACGAGATCCGATTTCCGGCCCAGGGCCTTCTGGGCGATATCCTCGAGGCTCAGGATCATGGGGTTTGTGATTAACTAGAGAGACAAAGAGACCGACTTTTGAAGATTCATTGTAGCAACGGAGCCCGCCTGTTTCGCCCGCCTCCACAGAGTCACGCTTGCGTGGCCAATCCATATTGGAAATGACCTCCTGATTGCAGCGGCGGACTGGCTGAACAGTTAGGGCATCACCTGGGTCATTGATCGTGACTCTGGTAATTCATCGCATCGTGGCCTATTGGAGTAAAAAGATACTACCTTTGGCCGTAAGGATTAGGCCGATTCACTCAAACCAATATATGGTTGTACGTTTAGATGAATGCCGATTCCATGTAGCAAAAGTCTTCCAACATACTACTGGGGTCCTCGCTGTTGAAGAGAGCAACCTACAGGGGATGTCGATCTTGGAAGCACTATGTCACCTTGCTAACGGGACAAGTCATTCAATAATGTGCGTCGATAGTGCTTGCTTTTCGAGAAAGGGGTGGCATCTTAGGGTGGCCCCTAATGGTTTGGGAGCCCAATTCTCGTCAATGCAAACCTGAGAGTCTCAGCTCTTGCCTGGTAGGTGCAGCTTGTGTCGATATGGTCTCGCCAAATCATAATAGAGCTAGCAGGCCTCTTTGGTATACAACCCGATCCCAATGTTAGCCGAACACAAATCGAGATACTTGCATCAAGATTTCTCGACAGCGGATCGGACCAAAAGGTGGAGGTGCGATCCTTGTGCACGCTGGAGAACACGGTTGTCTCGTCAAGTCTCGCTCGCTTTCTCTCTGGCTTCTGCCGTTCCACGAAGCCAAGACTGGAGGGCATGCGGACGAAGTCATCGACCCAACTGGTGGAGGAAGCACTTTCTTGCGCAGCTATGCTATTGACTGTCTTGAATCGAAAGATATTGCACATGCAGCCTGCTGGGATCTGGGTACTTCATTTGCCTTCGAACAAGCGGGAATGCCTAAGAAAAGCAACGCGGGCGATATGGAATTGTGGAAAGAAGCGAATGTGTTTGGCAGGCTAAAGAAGTACATCCCGAGGCAAAGTATTCAATCCCTGGATAGAATATAGAACATTTCTCATCCAATCTTTACCGGTCATTGCAGAGTGTCCCCCTAATGCGGTAAGATTGGTCACTATGAGCTGGTCACATGACTCGCTCCGTTGCGGGACGCGCCGCGACGCGTCGATGAATTTACGCTCCGCGATTTGGGACGACACCAACTCACCACCGCTCACCATGCCACACTCAGTAACCTCTTCTGGGTCTGCCGCCCAGAATGACGACGAAATGTTACCAGATGCTCCAGCTGGAAATGGAGTCAAGTTGGAGGATATGTTCGACGGTGACGACGACGAGGAATTCCCGGCCTCAGAGGCCCAGGACGTGAAAATGGAGAGCTCGCCTGCTCCTGAGCCTCCATTGTGAGTCAGAATCTATTCTTGCTCATGATAAGGGTCGCTAACAAGAGACTCTCTTTTGCATTAGAGCACAGAATTCTGCAGCGGCGGAAGTCGACACTGAAATAATGCTTGCATTCTACCAGCGCCTTTTTCCATTCCGCTACCTGTTCCAATGGCTCAACCATGGAATTGTGCCAACTCGTGATTTCGGAAATCGAGAGTTTGCTCTCACACTCCAGAACGATGCGTATCTCCGGTACCAGTCGTACCCCACTGCGGACCTGTGAGACCCTACATGCCGTTGCATACAAAAGAAGCAATTGATTAACCTAGTCTATGATAGGTTCCGAAAGGATATTCTCAAAATGAACCCATCTCGTTTTGAAATCGGCCCGGTATACAGCACCAACCCGCGTGATCGCAAGACCCTCCGCGGAGGCCAGATGAAACCCGTCTCCAAGGAACTGGTTTTTGATATTGATATGACAGACTACGACGACATTCGAACGTGCTGTCAAGAAGCAAACATCTGCCACAAGTGTTGGGCATTCGTCACCATGGCGATTAAAGTAGTCGATACCGCGCTACGGGAAGATTTTGGGTTCGAGCACATTCTCTGGGTGTACTCAGGTCGTCGTGGTGTCCACGCGTGGGTCTGCGATCCCCGTGCGCGAAACCTGCCAGATGAGCGACGCCGAGCGATCATGGGATACATGGAGGTCCTCAAGGGAGGCTCGCAAACTGGTAAGAGGGTAAACCTCAAGCGTCCCTTACATCCACATGTGGCGCGCAGCCTCGATATTCTCAAGAATTACTTTGCCCAAACTACCCTGGCCGACCAGGACACATTCGAAAGTGATGCGCAAGCAGAACGGCTCCTTTCTCTACTTCCGGATAAGGACCTGAACGAAGCTCTGAAGAGGAAATGGGATTCCTCCCCCGGACGCCCCAGCACAAACAAATGGGCCGATATCGATGCGCTCGCCAAAACGGGCAAGAGCAGCAAATTGAATACAAGCACCCTGCGTGACGCGAAGCAAGACATCGTCCTCGAGTATACCTACCCTCGACTCGATGCTGAGGTCAGTAAGAAAATGATTCACTTGCTGAAGAGTCCGTTCGTCATTCATCCCAAGACCGGCCGGATATGTGTTCCAATCGATCCGAAGAACGCCGACGAGTTTGACCCCCTTGCTGTTCCTACCGTCTCAAATCTGCTCGCTGAAATTGATGCGTATGATGCGAAACACCCGGCCGGCACCGCGGAAGCAGAGGTTCCTGATATGGAAGGGAGCGCCGTCAACGGGTCGGATATCAAGGGTACTCGCAAGCTGCAGGACTATGAGAAGACGAGCTTGAAGCCGTACATCGACCACTTCCGCTCTTTCATTGCTAACCTACTGAAAGAGGAGCGGGTTGTGAAGAGAGAGCGTGAAGAAACCGGCCCGGCCATCAAGGCTGATCCTATGGAATTCTGAGTTTCTTGGCTTGCCGTCCAAGTTTTTTATTGAAGATTACGACTAATGTTCCATTATTTCCATGTACTCCAGCCCAAAGTGTCATAGAGCCAGGGCCGGTACACTCAAGGCGTTCTGGTGCTTGGGTCATCCCCATTCCATAGTTTATCCGAGTACAATTCATCCAATTTGGTCAAATTTACGTCCTTCTGAGTTGGCAGGACGAGTATAATCGGGTCTTAAAAGGGCCGACAAAGACTACCCAACTTGAGAGTGGAAGTTATATATTGAATAGGAAGGTATTGGTACACATTGGTCTCAGGAGCAAGACAGTAACAACTGCTGGCCTGATCGTTATTATAACAGGTGGGAGAATTGAGGAGGAAAGGGTGTCATTTGGGAACACTTAAGCAGCAACAAACTTGCGGACGTCTAGAAAAGTAGGTTAGCAATGAGAACTTCTTTTCACTGTGCGAAGGTAAAACCTACTCTCCAACCACCGAACGTATTCATTCTGCTCCTTGTAAGAGATGTAGTCGGTGACCATGTTCTGGAACTCGACATTCAAGCCACGCTCCTCGAGGTAGCGACCCCAGAATGCCAAAAGCTCGGGGTCAAGGTTCTCAGCGGGAGGTCCGGCGTAGAGGCTCTGGCGGGTCCAGTCCTTCTCGGCGGTCTGGGCATTAGCGATAGCGGCGTCCTTGAAGTGGGAGATCTCCTCGATCTGGAGGTCACCATCCTGGATAACAGCCTGGATTAGAAGAGCGCCGTTGTCGGGCTTCTCGATGGCAATGCTGAGGCGGGCAGGGAAGGTGGGAGGGAGAACCTCGTCCTCGCCCTCACCCTCACGCTGCTGGCTCTCGAAACCCTCATCGCCCAGAGCCTCGTCGGGGAGCTGGTCCAAGGGGTCCTCGGAGAGGTTGTTGATATCGGCGACAGTGAAAGTGACCCGGATACTATAGAGAGAAAGACAGGAGCAGTTAGCATGTGAGAGGTGACGGAATAATAGGTGTTTCATACTTCTCGTTGCCGAACTTCTTGGTCAGGACAACTTCCTGCTCACCCTCGACGTCCTTGGCCTGCCATTCGCCGGCCTGTAGGGTGTAGTCAATACTGGCCTTCTGTTCGCGTGCATCCTCGACACCAGAGGCCTTCTCGTGCTTGACCTCCTCCTCAAGCTTGGCAATCAGCTCGATGTCACCTAGAGAGAAGCAAAAAAAAGTAAAAAGATTAGCCCATTTGTTTTTGCTTGGGAGAAGGCATAGTGACCGTAGGAAACCCGTCGATCAATTTTTGATAGCAATCGGACTCCGGATTCAACTTACCTTCAGCGGCGGGCTCCCGGAAGACACTTGAGGTGGAAAAAGCAGCGTAGGCGGGCTTGGAGGCCTGCTTCCAGGGCTGGGCAAGAGCAGGCTTGGTGAAGGTGGCCGGGCGCAGCGAAGCGCGGGCGATGGACTGAGACAGCCGTGGCACAGAGCGCGAGAAAGCACGGAGGGAGATCATTGTGATTGTGATGGATGGAATCCTGGAATTTGGGACGGTTGAAAATGAAGCGAAGTCGCGCGGAAGCTAAAACTGATGATGTTAGCCCGGGCGGGTCGCTTTATGGCTCCACCCAATCAACTTTTCCGCTCTGCCAAACAGCCATGATCAGCTGCATCGAGGGGGGTTATTGGGAGTCAGCCTATTGAGTCTTGAGTCATACGATGCATTTATCATTATTGGCTTCATAAAGCTTGAAGTCTATCTATACCCGTCGATTGACGGACACCCAGGTGCTTCTCGATCTACATATATCCGAATTGTGGACTGGCCGGTACAAGTAATGTCCCATGGGAAGAATGCATATTAACGTTTTGATTTGACTTTCAATATGCTGAATGTGAGCAATCATTGATCGAAGGAGTATCCCAAAACGCCGATCGTCTATAAGACATAAACTAAACCATATGCAAGCGAACTCATGACGCACCCTTCGGTGGGAAGCTCGAGGCTTGCTTGTTTCCCCCCTGGAACAACCGGAGGAATTTCAGGGTACTAAGACCTGACCACTGGCCATTCCATCGCTTTAAAGCAAAAAGTACATCCTCTTCCGTGAGATCTGGCATCCAGAAGCCCGTTTTGAATTCTTTCTCCTCCGTCTGTAATCGTTGCTTCAATGCTTCCTCCCGTCGAGTGGGAGGTCGGCCTTTTCGCCGTTCTTGTTGGAGTTGGGTAAGCTCTTCTGTGTCTCGGTTGATGAATCTACGGCGATATTAGCTGGTTGTCAGGTCAAGCCCGCCCTGTTGAGCTCACCTCGTAACCAATTCAGTCAAGTCGGCATCGGTCAAGGGTTGGTCAATTGATTGAACGGCATCATGGAAGAACTCAATCCGATCAGCTATTTGCCATATTAGCATGTGGGTTTCGTCTGATGATATCTTCTTCGCTCACTGTATGGTTGGCGGGCCTTTAAAGTCATGGAAGCATGGCGGGACAGACGATCATCGCGATGCCCCGCTCGACGTAAACGTCGAGCATCACGGCTGTTCTCGTGGAGCGCATCGGCAGCGCCTCTCTTCTTGGAAATGTGCTTTTGCACCTTATGTAACGCGACGGGCATAATTGTATTTGCGTGGTGATTGTTGGGGGGAGGGCGCTATCAGTCGACGATAACTTAATTTTTTAATTTTTATTTTCTTTTTGGCGCCGGCACTAAAGAGCGGTGACTCGAGAAGGAGTACCGTACCGCCTTCCCCATATCACCCTCGCGTCGGCGCGTCAAGAGCAAACCAGAACAAACATTCCACCAGCCATGCTGGTATTTACTTGGTGATTCCTCGCTGATCCTTCATACTTATCGGTCGCTTGTTTGGTACGCGTTGGAGTCTTCAAACCCTCCCAACTTGCATGTTACTGCTCCTCGAGTAAACACAAGCCCCCCGCTTGTGCCTCGACTTCGGTACCATGGGTATTAAAGGTACTTTGGATGGAAACCTGTATGAGAAATGGTCGGCTTGTTAACATCATCCCAGGACTTCACGGTCTCCTGAAATCGATCCAGAAGCCATGCCATCTTAAATCGTTCGCTGGCCAGACCCTAGCAGTGGACGCCTACGGATGGCTCCACCGCGGTACCGTGGCCTGCTCCGTGGACCTGGTCCTAGATCGGCCGACCAGAAAGTCAGTTTGCTCCCACAATTGGGGTGTTTTCAAACACTAATGAGAACAATAGGCACATCGATTATGTCCTTCATCGAGTCCGCATGCTGCTCTACTTCGGTGTCATACCCTACATGGTATTCGATGGCGACAATCTCCCCAGCAAAGCTGCTACCGAGCAGGACCGCCACAAGCGTCGTCAAGAAAGCAAGGCCTTGGGACTGGAGTTGCAACGCAAGGGCAGAATTGCCGAGGCCTACCAGGAATTTCAGAAGGCGGTCGACGTCACGCCCTACATGGCTCGCCAATTGATTGAGGAATTGAAGAAGATAAATGTACAGTATGTGGTGGCACCCTACGAGGCCGATCCACAGATGGTGTATCTTGAAAAGCATGGAATTGTACAAGGTATCATCTCTGAAGACTCGGATTTGTTAGTCTTCGGAGCGAAGCGTCTGCTTTCAAAATTGGATCAGCATGGTGATTGCATTGAGATCAACCGAGCAGACTTCACAGCCTGCCGAGATGTGAGCCTTGTGGGATGGAGCGATGTGGATTTTCGCCAGATGTGCATTCTGAGTGGCTGTGACTATCTGGCCAATATCCCAAAGATGGGATTGAAGACGGCGTACAGGAGCATCCGCAAGCACAAGAACGTGGAGAGGGCATTGCGTATGCTTCAGTTTGATGGACAGTATAAGGTGCCAGCTGACTATCTGAAGAACTTCAAACAAGCAGAGAACACTTTCCTTTACCAGTGGGTGTTCTGCCCCAACGACAAGAAGCTTGTGAACTTCAACACCCTCGAAGATGGGGTGGATCCTGCGGAAATGCCATACATCGGAGAGCATGTGGATGTGGAGATCGCCGCAGGGGTCGCGTCTGGAGAGCTTGATCCGACTACCAAGGAGAAGATTGACCTGGAACCATTGACCGCAGGTAAATTGCCCCTGGGCATTAGTCGCCGCCAGACCCTGGGTTCTTCTTCAGAGCTGAAACCCAGCAAGCCAATCAATTCGTTCTTTACCCCGAAGCGAATGCCGCTCGCCGAGCTGGATCCGAACAGCTTGACTCCCTCCCCGAGCCAGCAACGCCTCCTCGAGCGGAATGCGAACAATTCTTGGCAAGCCAACTCGGCGCCCTTACGCTCTAACTCCACGAGGGCAACCCCACTGCGCGCGTTCTCAGCCCAAGGGCTCAGTCCCATGGTTCGCAGCGTGGAACGGTCCTCCTTCTTGGCCCAGAGTACCAGAGCGCCAACTCTGCCCTCAACCAAGAGACAGAGGCTGTGCTCTGAGACCGAAGACTCGCTGCTCCCTGCATGCCCCACTGTCCAGAGTCGCTTCTTTGCCTCTGGTGAACAGGCCAGCCCTAGCGGACAGAAGCTGTCTCGAACTAAGAAGCCTCGCAAGTCTACCCTGGATGTCTTCTCTGATGAAGTGGCAGAGGACATATTCTCCCAAATCCCAAACCCAACGGAGAAAGGAGAACCTGGGGTTGCGGAAGAATATGACGTGAGAGCTGAACCTGGGAGTGCAGAGCCGAACCCCCCCGCCAAAGAAGCTCCTCAGGAAGAGTCTGCCAAGGATACTGATCCATCCGACGAGTCAAATTTCAACAAGGTTCTTGATTATCATGTCCAGCGGCAGAACTCGAGCATCGCTTCAAAGTTTTCTTTTCAAGCAGGATCCAAAGCTGCTTCTCCCACCCCCCGTGCTCCTGCTACTAGAATCCCCGTGATGCAAGCTCGCCGGAACCCCCTTCCATCTCCCCGAACTCCACGCATGACAACACAAACCAGCTTACCCCCACGGCAGCGCTTGACTCCGATGCAACAGCTGAAGCATCATGCGCTTACACGGTCTCGTTCCATCAATTTTCCTGCAAGCCTTCGCCATACAGATTCTTCCGAATCACAATCTGATGAGTCCTTTATTACTACCGAAGCAAATACACCACTGGGCAGCGAAGACTATATGGTGCCGAACAGCAGTGACGAAGATGAAGTAGTTACTAGCTTTGGACAAAGTTCATCTCTGGATTTGAAGCGTTTCTCGTTTGCCGCCAAATAAATGCATCGATACGATGCTGCGGCTATATGCATTGTGGTTCTGAGTATGGGAGTCAAGGATGTCGACGTTAGGCGTGCACATCAGGACTGGGCATGGAGTACAGGTATTTCGAAGGTTTTCCCGGCCATGTGGACCAGGTGTTAGGATTACTGTATTGTTTTTGGTTGGGTATGCATTTCTCTTTAGGGGGGGATCTGGAACTTGTTAGCGCTTTACTATGAATACGTTGCCTTCGCAGTACAAAGGTCCATCTTCAGAGTTCTCTGCACGTAATACATAGTGAAGCCATTTGTAAGACAGCTGTCACTGACCTCCTAGACCCCCATTTCATAGTCGTTTCCCCTTCCAGTCTAATAATCTCTTCAATGTCTTGACAGGCGTTCAGTCCATTCTTTTATACGTTGTTGCAGCAAAAGTCATCAAGACTTGTTCTTACTCCTTGATGAGTTTCGGGATTGTAGGAAAATGCTAGATTAAGATAATACTAGTTTCCCAGATCAGACGATAGTCTTCGATAAAGTTTCACAATAGTGGTCCTCTTCAATAGAGACGAAAAGCTCAATCCTTTCTCTGGTAGATGAGGTACCTATTTATCAAAGGCTTGGGTCGACAATTCCATCCCAAAGGCAGGGAACACCTTCTGGATGTACTTATATTGGGAACTAGATACGGACTTACCAGTGTGATAGACGAACTAGATTGTGCTAGTCAATTATTGGCGGAGATTCCACTCAAGTAGCTTCACCCAGATTTGGGGGCTATCGATCTATTAGAAGGTCGGTATCTGGATTCAAACTGAAAGATTTAATATTAAATTGAAGGTCTTCAAATAACCCCTACCTCCTAGGGCATGCCCCTCGATGGCAAAGGCGGAACATGATGGCTGGATGCATATTCGGCAAAAGATCTCCGGCTCGCATTTCTTTGATAATGTCGACGTTCAGTTTCTGCTTCAAACTTTCTGAGGATACCCGCTGGAAAGCCTCACCCAGAAGGAAGCTGACGGTCGTGTTGATCGGCAAAGTCGTAAAAGGCTTTGAGAAACCCATGGTGGAAATAAAGGGACTTGAAAGGGTGCGAAGGTGTGTTGTTCGTGGACCCACATTGGCCTTAGCCCCGCTCTACCAATTGTAATTAGCGGAATCACGTTTCAGGGTCTAAAAGCCTTCCCGTAGTCTTTCCATCTCATCGTGATCGCCAAATGCTGGAGGCTGGAGAGGATTAGCGCGCGGTGGGGCAGGCGGTACCTGATCAGACCAGACCAATCATAACGCATAAAATACGGGGCGGTCGGGCAGATCCACGGCAGAACATCCCGTGTGTGGTAAGCGGTCGCCTGTGGTTACCGGGGAAGCGACGCTGTAAACAAAGCCTGTTGGCCCAGCCTCCTAGATTCCTATACTACAGTCTCCATCCCCAGCCTCCATTGATGGTCTCCAAGTGTGCCAGATTGCAAGCCTAACAGGGGGTCTACTACCAGCTACGATCTTTCTCCCCTTCCATTCCTTCTACACATTCCTCTCTTTCACAACTTTTACCTTACAGCGTCGTGGTTCTGACCTGTATCGAATCTTTTATCTCAGGTGCGATTTGGACCGAAAGCTCTCCCAAACCTTCTTCAATTGGGTTGGGTATTTGCTCGACTTCGAACGGCTCGTTTGTTTCTCGATACCGATCTCCTCTCGCACTTTCACCTCACATTCCTCCTCCACATTCCACATCTATCTTGACGTCGGCCGATCAAAGGCAATCCACGTTCGACTAAGCCGCAACAGAGCTCTGAGTGTGCCTTTGTTCTGCAATACTCCTTCTCGGGGACCCGAGGAGTGAGTCGCTTGATCTGAAGTAGTTGGGCCAGTTGCCGGCCATCCTTGGTCGCAATGGCGGTCAATTTCGCTGCAGGATGGGCTCGTGAGTAATCGCGGTATGCTACCAGGAGACCAACACATGCTGACCAGTATCCAGGCTTCATTCCGATGATCGGGTACCACCACGTGTTGATGGTTATCATTGCCGTGGCTATCATTCTACTATGTAAGTATCCGAGCATTCCACGGTTCGGCGCTCACGTTTGACCACGGATCTAACTGTTGACAGCTCTCCTCTTGGCTGGATGTTCATCATCGTCGCCACAAATCCCTGACATCTTCTTAATATCGCTTTACTATGAAAGCTACAAGCCGACCTTCGATTTTGCTCAGGTGGATCCTGGTGTCGTCACACCCATTGCCAATATCGTACATGGCGCCGAACTGGAAGTTCGAGTTGGATACTTCGGTATCTGTGCTCAGCCTGACCATGGTGCCTTCATTTGCAACGCCAATGCTACAGCTCTGGCGGAAGTCGTCAATGTTGATCAAGATCCCCTCAACTTGATCTGGGTCGCCTCGACTTTCAAAGACGCAGTTGTTTTCCCGTACCTCTTGTACGTTGACCCGCAATCCCACCAAACTACAGTGATACTAATGCACCATTTAGAATTGTTGCGGTCGTCCTTGCCTTCTTCTGCTTCATCCTTCTCGCCACCTTTCCCGGTTGGCATGAAGAGCGCGATGAGTCAGGATCCGACGTCGAAGTGAAACCCTTTCCTTCACGGCCTGTCTCTCAAGCAGCCCTGGCACTCATCTTCGTGTCATCCGTGTTTGTCCTCGTATCTGTGTTATGGCAACATACAGCATCCGTTGCCGCTAGTACCATCGCCCAGGATATGGGGAACGGCAGCGTCAAGAGCGGCGTCGGAACCTCGGCCATGGTGCTGGGTTGGTTCGGATTCGTTTTATTGGTTGTCGTGACAATCGGTCTTCTTGTCATGATACTCAGTATCAGCTTGATTCGCAAGTTGACGGACGACGAATGATCTGAATGACGCCCTTGATTTCTGTTTTCCTTGTTTATTGAATTTACGCCACACATACTTTACTCGACACGACTCCCCGACATACCCCACAGCGACACGACACACGAAATGGGACACGAATAATAAATAGGCACGGCACAGGGCCGATGCTTGATGGAATGGACAATGGACAATGCAGCGGGACTGGGATCCCATGGAATTGGATTGGACAAATAGGACACGGAACATATCAGAGGACGGGAATCCTCTCTTCATTGTTCACCAGGTACTTCCGTCTCAGCTACGAGGCCGTCATGACTGGGAACACTCGACTGGCTATTCTGTTGTACCAGAATACTCCTCTTTGACACAATCTAGAATGAATGTCATCAAATACTTCTGTACAAAGGGCGTTACGGCATTTCCCCCCCCTTGCAAGCTCTTTATTATCATGTACCAAAACCTTGATTGATGCTTTAATGACACTATTTGAGTCGTCTCTGCCACACATTCATTACCTGGGAACCCCAAGTAGACTAGAACCCTGATTTCAATGTAACTGGCAATCTTCATCACTTTCAACTTTGAAGTACGAACATACTAACTGCCGCCTAGTGTAGAGTGTTCTAGACTTTTGCGATATTGCACTTACAGTATCGGCTCAGGCTGGGCAGTCACTTTGTGTAGTAAGCTGCGCTAGTTAGACCTTGGCCCTCTCCCCACAAATTCCATACCATAGGCAATGTGCCCCTACTATCTTCTTCATAATTCGGATAATCTCAGTAGTCGCAGGTCTCAACTTAACGTATACTCGTGCCGCTGTATAACACAACATAGGAGCAGTATAGCTTGACTTTTAGGCCGTCCAACATTTGAAGCGACTCGCGGCCTTCGCCCATGAACTCTGGCAGCAACTCTTTGGCGACACAATCTGGAATACCAAGCTAGGATACTTCACAGCCCACCACTACCCAATTGACGGCCAGTCCGAACGACTCAGCTGGATCTAGGTGCTCATTTTGGGACAGCGTTTCGCTGGCCAGGGTTTTCGAGCCCCCAGATAAGAATTAGCCTCAAGAATGGCTATGAACTCCTGTCAAAGGCGTCTATTAGACACTGGCATACTATGCCCCACCAACTCACTTGCTGTACCCCTCCAGCTGCAGCGACCACGAGACCTACGTGAAATAGGCGATTCCACTTTGGAGTCATTCAAGAGCTACGTGAGCTTGAACAGAGATTACTTGGTATCATTTATCGTGTAGCTATCGTGATGCAAGAGCAAAAGCTCTGCCGAACACCCGCCATGCCAGGCTTACGCCGTCCCATGCACGCGAAACAGAGAAACAAAACAGTTACCGAGGGAAACGCTACTTCTCTCAATATGGCACGCAAGTCAAGATGAGACCGAACGGGCGTCATATCCACGTTCAGCGCCAGCCCTTTACTCTAGCGTAAGTGGCTTGTGCCTGCCCCATCTCCTGCCATGGCATTTAGTAATCCATATACCCAACTGCTTGGTTGCTGTTATCGTTAGTACCCTCAAAATTGCTCGCATCGTCAAGAGAACGGTAATGGTTACCAGGCCCCTGGCCATGCCCTCCACGCCCGCGACCGCCACGCCCGCCCTGACCACGTCCACCGCGAGCCCCCCGGCCTCGCACGTTACCAAAGTTACCGCGGCCCCGGTTGTTATTGCCTCCACGGCGAGGTGCTGCGTCAAATTGACCGCCTGGCCGCTGGCTAGAGTGGGATCCTTGGCCTTGCGTCTGAGGGCGGAGGCCGTCATCGTCTGGCTGGAAACGCCTCTTGTTGGGATTATGCTTGGAGCGATCTTGAGCAGGTGTGTCGGCCTCAATTCGAAGAGTCGCTTTCTCGCCAACTTCGGTGTTGAAGGTCACAGGGTTGTCGGGTGGGGACGGCTGCCAATTCTTTATATTGGATGCTTCAACTGGACGAGCACCCTTGCGAGCAGCCAAAACAATGAGAGGTGGGTCGTTCTCTGAAAAGTACTGTTCGGTGCTGGGGACAGGCTCAACGCGAGCTGCGAAAACACGATTTTCATAGGCTGCCGTGCCAGTGACCTTCCATGTCACTTTTTTGCCCATGCCCCCGGCTTTTGCCAAAACCGACTGGGAAGCTGGGCGAGGAACAATCAAGATGTTATTCGCCATATACCTGAGGTCGTTTGATTCGGCGAGGCCGCTTGGGATGATCGGAGCGAGGACATGCTCAATCAGTCGTGCAGAATCCTCTTTCGCGACAAGGTACCCAGTGTAGATGGTTGTCTTGCGGATACGTAAGAATGAAGATCTACCTAGAGACGCGTTTTGGCTGGCGGTGTTGTGCACATTGATCATACGCTGCACTTGCGCCACTTCAATCACGGGGTCGAGATAAGTAACACCCTCGAATACCTCAATAACTTCCGCATTGATCACGTTACGATTGAGTGGAATATCGCGCGATAGAAAGCGCTTGTTCATCTCCTCGAAAAACTGACGGAACGCCTTGGCACTGCAGGAAAAGTTAGTACCACGCCCTTTTGTGAGAAATATGAACCAAGATGTACTTACTGGTGGAGACGATCTTCGTAAACGCGGATGTCTTGGGCTTCTTTGTAGGTTAGAAGAAGATCCGTGAAAAATGCCTGTTTGAAACCCATAGTCGATGGAAATCGCTGAGCATTGGGGCCAACCTCGGGCTTGAGGGCAATGAGATCAAACTCGAGCCTCCGACTCGCCACAATACGCTTGATCAGGTCTGAGAAGGCAACTTCGCCTCGGCCGGTGAGCAAGACTGTGAGCACATCCTTTTGATCCATACTCATCTGAACCAGGCTGACCTAATTCATGATTAGTCCGGGTCTGGTACAAATAACCAACGCGAGCGAGCTGTCTTACAATTTGCTCGTTCCACCATCCGGGCCAGCCCAGTGGCTCTTCCTCTTCAATGCCTTTCCCAGTCGCTTCAAGCATTTCTGGGTCATGCCACCATCCCTTCCGTTGAGTGAAGAAGTCTTGCGATTGGAGCTGGCCAATTACATTTGACTGCCACAGTTGCGGATTGGGAAGAGGGGTCAGGAAAACTGGCACACAAGTCAGCATGGTTGTTCTGCACAAACCACAAACGGGGAGCTCACGTGTATTATCAAAGTCATATACATGGATCGATTTGATCTGGGAAACAGCTGTAATGAGTAAGAATGGTTAGTCCACGTTCACGTTCATCCTATGTAGCGCCGCGGTGTTTTCGTACCTGGCAGCTCCTTGTTCGCGACCGACCATCTCTTCAACATAGTCACTGTGTGTTGTGGTTGCTGGGGTTCCACGGCACTGGAAGTACCGTGGCCTGGCGGACCACGCTCAGATACAACAGCTTTGGCAGAGCGCATCATGTCAAAGATGAGAGAGGGACGAAGATGGAGGCAGATGGAAGGGTGGTGGGGGCGAAGTCATTGCATTCCTGCTAATTCAGGAAGGCGCGTGTGTACAAATGAGATAGGTCAAATTGGGAAGCTGCGACGCGAGAAAGCCAAAAACCCTGTAGTATCGAAAGGCCTTCGACGTCAATGCAGACGGCAGTATTTTTGCCGCTTTTTTGCCGCCCCGATCAAGGCGGTGACTCATCCCCGATGTCATCCCGCAGTGAATCCGAACTTCTTCGAAGATCACTGCTGCTATGAAGCTCCTTGATGGCGGAGAATGGGGATTTGCAGCAAGAAATCCTCCAAAAGACTCTACAAGAGGTAGCCCATGAAGAAGCGGAAGGAGATCCCTGTGTGATCTGCTTGGAGACCATTACGGAACCAAGCATTGCAAAGCCATGCAACCATGCCAACTTTGACTACTTGTGTCTAGTCAGCTGGCTCGAGCAGCAGCCAAGCTGCCCTTTATGTAAGAATGAAATTCCAATGAAGCAAATGACACCGCTAATATTAAGTAGGTAAGACTCTGCTTACTGAAGTTCAATATGACCTGCAAGCTCCGAGCGGCCGGAAAACATACCAAATCCCCCTCGAACAAACCGAGAAACCAGCGCGAGGCTCCGATCCAAGACATGGAGCATTCCCTGGACGTCCACGAGAACGAGGCCGACGGCCGCATCTTCATACTCGAGAGCACCAGCCTCCACAGGAGGATCCGTTGTCAGTGCGCCGGAATGTCTATCGCAACCAATTGTACTCCCTCCGCGTCGGAACAAACCGCCTTTCACAATACAGCGAAGTGACTCCACAACAGTTCAATAGAGACGAAACCCTCGCCTCCAGGGCTCGGAAGTGGATCCGTTGGGGAGCTACAAGTTTTTAGTTTCTTGGCTCCAGAGATGGAGGCAGAGCAGCCACGAGATCGAGACCGCGTGCCTCGCCCGGGCCATCAGCGACTCGAAGACCGCAGGGCTAACAATGCCGAGTTCCTGCTCGAGTATATTATTGCTATTTTGCGCACAGTCGACATCAAGGGCAGTGCGGGACAGGCAGAGGAGCTGCTACGGGACTTTATAGGCCGCGATAATGCTCGGTTATTCCTGCATGAGCTGCTCGCCTGGCTAAGGAGCCCTTATACGTCGCTAGAGAATTGGGACCGCCACGTCCAATATCCGGAGACCCATAGGAGACTCCGTAACTATAACGAAGACGGTCGTGGTTGCCGATCCTCCCCGTCCCGTGCTCGAAGCGCATCACCTGCGCGACAGGAGCCTGATAGGAGTCTTTTTGACCGTGTTTCAAGGCCTGGTCGCGGCCAGAGTGGCTCGCGAAGGTCACGAGGGGGGCGTTCTAACCGCCATTCTGGAATGCCTCGGAATTTGTTAGATCGTTACATTCCAGATTAATGATATCAAGGTATTCATGAGGACTACCAGCTTAGACGAAAATGCATAATGTTGTGGATTGAAAATGGTAAACAAATCATCCGCTCAACTGAAACCCATATAGCTAGTCGATGTGATGCACCACTTCCCAAAAGAAAAAAAAATGCTAATGCCCAATTCCAATGCAATCGTTGAATTCGTGAGCTCAACTGAGCCTTATCTTCGACGGAACCGCCCACCCCCAGAGCCTCTTTTATGATGGATCTTAAGCGACCGATAGTTTGCATGGGCCTGTGGGTTGTACTTCTTGGGTCGAGGCTGCTTCTCCTCCTTTACAGGAACGGGTTCAGCCTTAGGAGCGGGCGTCTCCTTCGGCTTCAGCTTTGACATCCCGACGGCTTCCTTAATTCGTTCAGAGAAACTCTTGGATCGAGCAGGCCTTGGTTCTTCGTCATACTCCGGATCGTCATCGATTTCTGAACCAGGTTCCGTCTCCGCGTCTGACCCGGCCCCTGAGATGGTATGCAGAGACGCAACATCATCGCTATCTTCTTCAGCGGCTTTCCCTCTTCTTCGACCTCAGGTGGTACTTCCTGAACTTGGGTCTCGGGAACAGCGGCCAATTCATCATCGCTCGAGTCATCGACAACAGGAGCAGCAGGCTCTGCTGGCTTCGGCTTTGTCAACACCGGCCGCATGATAACCCTCCGAGTAGTCCGCTTCTGCCCCTTCTTCTTATATGGCTTGCCATGCTCAAAAGACTGGCTTTCTGGAACCTGGAAGTTGGCTGCCTCCTGCTCCGCTTCAATCTCCCGCAGCATATCCAGATCAGCTTCCATTTTCTCCTCTTCCATCTCTCGCAGACCCTGCACCAGATGCGAAAGCCCTCGCCCAGCAAATTGTCGAGGCTTGCGGGAAGCGATAGGGCTTAGTGCTGATCCTTCAGTTCCTGGAGGCGGATACCGGCCAGAATTGGAGCGTCGGAGGAATGACGGCGTTCCAGACGGATTTGAGCGTTGTGTTTCGTCGGGGGCAGTTTGTGTGGGCAGGATCACTTGAGTCTCTTTCTCGTCTTCGGCCTCTACCATGGCGGCGTAGCGCATGGTTGTCGGTGTTGCAAACAAATTTGCTAGATAAAATTGTTTTGTGGAGGATGCGGGGGTTCTGGATAGCTTGGAGGATACTTCTTCTTCCTCTTCTTCGGGGATAGCTGTTATGATTTTGGTCTTGGGCTTGGAGGGCGTTCGGAATCCTGCCGCTAGGGTTTCGCCTTGTTTTTTCGCTGATGGCGTCGGGGCGCTTCCGCCTGATTCGGAGAGCATATCGAATAATCCGAAGGCCTTTCCATCGCGTTGGGGTGTAGGGCCGATTGCGGCCTTCAGAGGCGATGGCGCGGGCAGGTTTTGGCGATGTGTACTGGGGCTGAATAGGCGACGGAATGTAGACGGTGAGTCATAAGGGTCTACGTCCCAGGGTTGGAGCTTGGTGCGAGGATTCGAAGGGGTTGCGAAGATGCCTTTGGCCGATTTGCGAGGCGTTGCTCCCTCGCGGTCAGGTCCATTCGAGTCAGGGCCATTCGAGGACGTATGTTTCCGTTTCTTGGAATTGGCTTCGGGATCTTGAGCACGTTTTTCACGGCGCATGAGGGCAGCCTCAAGGTTCTTAAGTCGACCATATTCTTTGTATTTGGCGGCTGGAAGTGTGTTAGGCCGTTTGCTCCCCGCGGATCGAGGTCGCACATTCGAACTTACCGATATCGCGATTCTGTTTGATGTCGTCACGCCCTGCTTTCCTCTGGTGATCTGAGAGAAATTGTTTCTCCCAAACCTTGAGTTCGCCTCGAAGAGCGACAGCCTGGGCAGCGGCCTCACTCGAGTTTTGGTGGTCCATGGTGGCCAGGATACGGCTGGTGAAGGAGAGCAGAAGATCGCCGCGATCAATTAACGATTAACGTGTCGCGTGTCGCGTCGCGCCCCGCCCTGGATCCGCTGGGTCGGAATGTCGTCATTCTAAACGCAAATTTTAAGATAGTTGAACAATACTTAATTTACTTTTTCTCGTTATGCAGTGACGATGTATGAGGTGAAATGCACGCTATTGATGATCCCTCCCGCCGAAAGACAAGCTGTGTACTCTATAAGCCTCCATTAGTCCCTTTTTAAATCTACCAGCTCGTTACCAGCTAGTTACTCCGCGGCACCGGTCAAAGCCCCCACGCAGCTGATCCTCGGGGTGGACGACCTTGCCTTGCAGCAGAGTGTACTTCACAATTCCTTCGCAATGCTCCGGGCGAACGCGCGCGAGCCAGATCATCTGTTGGTCCTTCTTGCGATATATCAACACATTTGCCGAGAACTTATGCCCACCAACATGCGAAACAAAGAATATGCCTGCACCGCCAGGGCGTGAATCATCTGCGTCCCGGTCCAGTCCAAGGGGGCGGAGATGGCGTTCAAGTTCGCGCTTGATTAACGGGGCTGTGATACCGCAGCGGGCATCTCGTCGGCGATGGGAGCATAAGAGCACGACGTAATCGAGTTCGCAGGGCCGGGCCGCCATATGACTGGTAGGTGTCACAGGGCCGATCCCGCTCTTCTCGGTGACAGGGCTGTCGACAAACCGGTGGATGAGGTCTGGCACATCGGCTTGGGACACGGAGTCTATGAAAGTGAAAGATGGAAGAATAAGCACTGTGGTGGGCTTTGACGGGTCGTCGGTGCCAGAATAGTCTGGTGGCTGAATGTTGGAAGCTGAGACCATGTAGCGCTAAGAAAGGAATTAGCTCATTGTCACGATTGCTTTTGCTCGGAACATACTCCGTGCTTTGACTTGGCGGATGGCTGGTTTAACGCCTCCATGAGAGTCCCTTTTTCATGCTCGACCTTCTCCTTCCAGTCGGTTCGGCCTGTTGCCACCAGGATGTGGGAATGGAACTCTTTGATTTGTCCATACAATGGAAGTGAAGTCTCGACTTTCACTTTGTCGGGAAAATGTGTCGTGCAACTGGCGCAGTCATGTAGACAGTCCGGCCCGTCTACCTTGGGGTCCACTTTGGGAACAAAGTAGTTGGTCGAGCGACCCAGCGACAGCAGGGACTTGAACATTGCAACGAGCGTAGAGAGACGTGGACCGAGATTGTCGCAAGGTCTAGGAGGGAGGGAGGAGTTTTCAGATCGAAGGCTATTTATCAGATCAAATATAGTCGATGTTTACAGTAACTCCGAAAGCTTGTTATACCCCGAACGGTTAACCCCGAGACGCCACGGCCCAAAGTCATGGAGACTGTGGAGCGGACGCATGAGTGGGGGCACTGACTGGAATGTAAGTGGAAACTAGGCACCAGAATCCAGAACCACACTTGGGAGCAATTCCAAGGTTCTTTGATTGGGTCATATGTCATCCTGGTGGCTATTGCCAATCCGGGGGACTTAGACTGCGCCCCTAGGTCTTTTGGGTGATTAAGACCGAGGGTAATTAGCGGAAGCGTTGACAGCCAATCCGACCTAAATAGGTCGAAGTTGATGTAAAATCCGATCCATGTTACCTGCTGAAACCTGGCTTTTGGGCTTTGTATCTGAAGAACGGCTAATCTCCTACGTGCCGCTGAGCCACTCTCTTTGGGTGATCTCTTTGGAGCTCACGGGTCCCTCAATCTGCAGGAAGGTATCAACTTGAAAGACCCGGACGCAGTTTTGGATAGGGGCTAGATATATAAAGGCAATTTGAAAGAAGTTTGAAGTCTCTCCTGGGTCATCTCTTTGTTGAGGGATTCTGCTATGGTGCCCTGGTTCGGTCGGGGGGAAAAAGGCCGTGGAGTTTTCTATGGGTAGGTAAAATACATAAGTCCTTGAACACTTCCACTTGAACGAGACTGATACTAGTACTAGTACAGATGATTTTAGTATACCAATCCAACCTTCGAACTTGAGTCTTAAGACACTAGGACCATGAGAGATTTTAAAGACAACCTTACTATCGGGATTATATCCCTCCTTGGCCTCATTGCAACCTTCGTTATCATCGCCCCCGTCATCTATATTCTTAGCTGCATAGCTGATTTCTGCATCCCTCCTGAAATTGTCTCGAAGGAGTACCCCACTGACTGCCAGCGCCAGTGGCAGAATCAACAACTTAGATCTCGCGATTATGTTTACCCTGAAGGAATCTCTACTAGTGTAGAGTTTGGGTGCTAGGACGGCAATGTTGCACCTTGCCAATCGGAAGAAAGACATCCTAGGAAATAGAGCCTACTGCCTAACTCACGTTCTGATACCTGTCTGTTCACGAGCAGCTTGAATCTAGGTCTCGGAATAGTGCCATTGGATAACAGCGATTTGCCATCATGATCTTTGCGGGGAATAAACACAGATTCGACACGAGTTCTAATTGTACGGTCCTAGGAAAAATCGGTAGTCTATCTAAACTTTGATCAAGTCAAATATACTAGCACTAGTCGAGTAGTCCAGCTACGGGGGCCAGAGGTTGAAGGCGAGCTCAACCCGCCATTCCATGCAAATACCTGCATTTATGCCAAATTGTACTCCTTCACAAGCTTCTCTCCCAGAGTTGCTCCTGTGACATAGGCAGTAGCTTGAACGTGAGCGTTGACCAATACAGGGACAACACTCATATCGGCGACCCGCAGGTTGTCAATACCCATGAGCTTGAAATCAGGGTCCACCGCAGCATCAGCGTCGCCCTTCTTGCCCATCTTCACGGTACCGGTCATGTGCCAGCTGGATGAGATGTTCTGGCGCCAGTACTCAAGCAGCTCCTCGTCCGACTCGCCCGCGGGCATCGCCAACTCGGCTATATTATCCTTAATGTATGCCTCACTCTTAGCAAGACGCAAAGAGTCACGCAGCGCCTCCACCGCCAGGCGACGATCGAAGGGATGGGCAAGGAACTTCGGGTTGAATAGCAGAGGAGTATCGGGGTCAGAAGACTGAAGGACGACCTCGCCACGGGTCTGTGCGTTGAACAGAAACACGAGGAAACACGAGTACGTCAGGGCCTCCGCGGGGAAGTCTGGGATGAACCAATGCAGGGGGAAATGGGTAATAATTTCATAGTGGGGCACCGTCTCCGCCAGCAGATATCGCTGCTCGTCTGCGGGAAGGGCCTTGAATTCTGGCCATGCGGAGAGCTTTTCGGTAAGCTTGAACCAGCCAATGCCCAGCTCGCAAGCGAACTTGGCCCACGGTCCGGTTCCATCTTTCTGCCACTGCTCGAGCGCCGCGTCCATGGCTTCTTTCGAACCATAGAAGGCTTTACGGTCGTTGGTGCCTTCCGCGCGGGTGTTGGCGAGTGGGACGAAGCAGTGGTCGCGAAGGCCTTGGCCGATGGCGGGGGCGTCTAGCACTACATCGATGTTATATTCCTTAAGCTGGGCTGCGGGGCCAATGCCGGAGTGCATTAGGATTCTTGGGTCGTTGAGCGATCCCGATGAGAGGATGATTTCCTTGGACGCATAATCTGGAACAAGCTTGTCAGTGAAATCTTTGCTCCCACACGGCTGGAGTTGAATTGGAATTTACATTTAGTGCCCTTAGCTTCGACTCCAACAGCCTTTGTGCCTTCCAGAAGCACTCGCTGCACCGGGGCACCGGTGATGATCGTCAAGTTCTCCCGGCCCTTCACCAGGTCGCCAGCCATGGAACGCAGCCCCTTGTACGCTGAGTTGATCAGGACTGACAAGCCAATGGGGTTACCCGAGTTATGATCCGGGTTGAGAGGGAAGCCAGCCTGCTCAGCGGTTTCCAAGAGATCGGTCAAATCTCTCTCCCATTCGCGGGCGAAACCAACATGCAAAGGCCCGTCTGACCCGTGGTCCTCAGGCCTCGGGTTGGCGAACTTCTTGTCCACGCCCTCCGGTATCTCCCCATGGAAGCTCTCCAGCGCCTTGAATCGGCGTTGAATGCTGCTCCAGGCAAAGTTGTCGTCGCCAGCGATGCGGGCCCATTCCTCATAGTCATCCCGCGCACCGACGCTGTACACTCCGAAGTTGATGGCGCTCGAACCGCCAATACAGCGGCCGCGGCTGTAGTCAATCTCGCGGTTGTTGCAGTCTCGCTGGGGCGTGGTCTTGTAGCCCCAGTTCATACTTGAGTTCTGGAAGGTGGTCCATCGCTGCCCGTCAACCCGGTGGCTACGATCATCATTGTCATCGCCGGCTTCGATTAGAAGAATACGAGGCTTGGCGGCTGATCTCGCTAGTTCATAAGCCACAGTACAACCTGAAGGGCCGCCTAGTAAAAGGGGTAAGTTTCTATCATATGTCGTAGTGTGATGTACTCCGTATACTTACTTCCGACCACAATGAAATCAAAGGAAGACATTTTTTTTTTTGGGCCGAACAGATTGACTTTGGCAGGAATTGTTAACCGGGGGGGCCCAACCACTGGAAATAATCACGCGGGGAAAGACTGCCAAGCTCCTTATTTTTAGGGACCACAATAAATCTCGGTCAGCGAGCTAGGCAGATATAGTTCCACCCATCTTACTGGTCCGCATGGGACTCAGAAATGGTTACAAGTTCGGTGTACGGAGTACGGAGCACATATGCACGCTAATGGTAGACCCTGAGCTGACGACTTTGGGTCCTTTTGGCACGGTGGCCCTCCTGCAACGAGGCCTTAGTACGGAAGGCCTTAGTACGGAAGGATTGCGTCCATGCAGCCCACCTTCGTAAATAATGCTTGTTGACGTGCGCAGGTTGGCACTCGCAGGTCCACTTCGCGATGTCCCCGGTGACAGTCCCTGCCCTCGTGGGTATAGTGAGGATGTGGGGCTACCGAGCGATGTACTCCGTACGTCCAGAACAGCGCTATGCGCGAGATTCCATTTTTGGCTTAGGCGAGGGGATCCTTGCTGTGCGTTTCAGCAGTCTTTGCAAAATTGGGTCGTTTCCCGTGTATGCAGATGTTGACAAGGGTCTTAGGCGTCGTTGAACTGAGCGGACCGGAGCATGAAGACGCTGACAGCTCTTTATCTATATTCAAGCGCCCAGCGAAGGAGACCCCGGAGACTGCACAATGGAGACAATAGTCCCAATGGGACCAATGAAGACACTGGAGGCAACAGACACAACAGACGGGGACTAATTGACAGCGCCGCGGGACGAGCCCACCCGAACCCACCGAATCCATCCGATCCACCGATCCACCTTGAGGGACCCCAGCCACTGGGGGCCTGGGGGGCCACTGGGGGCCAATCGTTTCCGGCATTTACAGCGCCCTGTGTGGTTAAAGTACGTGATTAAGGAGTTCGAATGGCAGCCCAAAACATGGAATGGAAGTCCGGTGGAAAAAGGAAATTGGGGCCGCAATGCCTGGCCCATCGCGGCTGCCATTCATTTCTGGCGTCCTGAGCACCCCCGGTGTTCGGGTCATCCAAGGACACGAGACTCAAATTTCAGTCGTTTTGATTTGGTCGACTGTTCTTGCCTATAATTTCGTGTGATCCCCGGATTTGTATTATTGATCTATCACATTTCCCCGGATTGGACCCTGCAGAATGTCTGTCAACGTGGAAGCATGGGTCTTGCTATCACTGGCACTCGCATTCATAATCGTGCGGATCATTGTTCGATGGAACCTGGTTGGGATCTCCCAGTTTCAGCTGGATGACTACCTTATGCCAGTAGCCGGTGTATGTTATTTCTCGGGTTTCATAGCTTTTGTGTCCCAGGCTAACCGAATGATTCCCAAGGCGGTCTTCACTGCGGAAGTAGTAGCCGCATACCTCGTCGTCGCTGACTATAGCGGCTTGACGAACAGTTACATGTCCACCGAGGAACGGGCAAGCCTTGATCCCAGCTCGCATGAGTTTTCGATGCGCGTCGCAGGCTCCAAGATCCAGGTCATTGGATGGTCACTTTATGTGGCGAGTCTTTGGTTAATCAAGTTCTGTTTGGCGATCTTCTACTCCCGTTTGACGTGTGTTTCATCTTCTGGTCCGAGAATCTTCCGTACAAGTCCTAACAACAATCACACAGAACTGGACTACAAAACCTGCCCACTCGCGTTCGCGGCGCTTATATACTCCTAGGAGTCACATGGCTTGCGGCGCAGTTGTCTCTGCTACTTTCATGTCAGCCTTTCCACCGCTTCTGGCAGGTTAACCCCGATCCCGGAAGTCAGTCTCTATCCAAGTCAATCTACCTCGTTCGTAGTTCCTAACCCGTGAATAGATATCTGCCAGCCAACAAAGTCTCCGGTTTATGTCTACGTTTGCGTGATTTTCGATATCATCACCGATCTATATCTCTTGTTGATCCCGTTGCCTCTTCTTTGGGCTGTCAAGATTAACATCAAGAGAAAGATTCCATTAATCGCTCTGTTTTCCGGGGCTACTTTTGTTATGGTCGCAACTCTCATCCGAGCGGTTGTCATTGTCAGCGTGGGTTGCCAGCACTCCTTGTGGTCAATGTTTTTCTCTAACCTGGATACAGGCCGGTCCGGATGGTGCCGTCTCTGGCTCGAAATGGGCTTGCCGTGAAGGCTTTGTCTCTATCATTGTCTCCAACCTGCCGATTATCCAACCCCTCATCCGTAAACTCTTCAGCAAGATTGGTCTTTCCCAGTTGTTCAGTTCTTCGGGCAAGCCGAACACCCAGTCATACCCTCTTTCCAGTCGAGGCTTCCAGACCATAACCAGCAAGTCCGGAACCGACACCAAGAAGGGCAAGTCGAATGCCGGAGCCGTAACGGGTACTCTGATCTCGGCATGGGGCAGCGATGAACACATCCTGAATGATTCCCCGCCTACATCTAAGGATATTACTGTCGTGTCGGAGACGGTTGTCCAGAGCGAGCCTTGGGATGCCAACAAACACTCCCCTCCTCCCCGCAGAGAATGGGATTCCGAGTTGTAAGATTACGGTGTCTCCGATTTGATAACATCTTGTACCATAAAAAGTAGAGCGCTATAACGATGGGGCCAGCTGTTCTATACAGCGTACAGCCTTTCGATGGGGATTTTTCTATGCACATATGCATCCATCGATAATTTAATACATTATAATACCCAAAGAGAAACATCTAAAGTTTGCCAAAGGTTCTTTCCTGCGTTACGAGCACATCGGGGACAATTTCCGCATTCGCCCCAGTCCCGGGCCCACCGTGACCTCTTCAAATTAACGTCAAGCCACGACCACCGCCCGTCCTGGGAGGGAAAGGAGCACTGGCAGAGGGCATCTTCAAGTTCACCATTCCAGTCATGGAGGTAATTCAAGCATTCGGGGCCCAGCAAGACCGCCCGCGCAAGCGGCGCAGACGGACCATGGCGTGCACCAATTGCCGCCTGCGCAAGCTCCGCTGCGACCGCGAATTTCCGAGCTGTTCGCGCTGCCGCAAGAGCCGTTCGAACACGAGCTGTACCTACGAGGATGGCTTTCTATGGCAACAGCCCGCGACGGTGGCCCCCAGCGCGTTGCCCCCGGGTCGAGGATCATCTACCAGTGCCCGAACTAAACCAGAAGAAGGTCCAGCATACTCGACGCCGGCGTCGGGGTTAAGAGAAACTCGGCCAGAAGAACCGCTTTCGGCGTCGGCGTCGGAGCCAGTATCTGCTTCTGATGGCCCAGGCCCGAGGCGAAGGCACATCAATCGAGGGTTTTTAGAGACAGTACTTGGGGCTCCTAAGGCCGCTGTTGACCAGGACCCTTATGTGAATACTGATCTGTTGCAGCGTCCGAGGCGCGTGGAGTTTGAGCTGCCCCATTCGGCGCAGGGCATAGAGGAGAATGACGATGCTCGCTCGGAGAATTTACTCTCGCCGTCTCATCGGCTGGCTATCTCGCCTCGGATCATGATGAGAGGGCGTGAGACGAAGACTAGATTCACCGGGTCAGGAATCATCGCCAATGTGGTTGCCCAGGTATGTTTGTCCTGGATAACCCACGCCTTTATTTTTCTTATTCTTTCTCTTTTCTTCCATTGATGGACAATTGCTTACTGGATACGATTAAGTTTCCGGACATCCGTGCATTTGCAGAAGACATCAGGTTGTCCAACCCGATTATGTCCCAAGTTCGCCCAGATCTGGAGCGAGTAAGGCGAGGGCTATGGAAACGCAAGCCACTTAACGAGCCTTTCCCAGAGCCAACCACCGAATCATTGGCTACGCTGCTGCCATCGAGAGGCGTGGTTGATGAGCTTATCGCTCTATACATAGCGTATGTGGAGTCGACTCATCGGATCTTTCACATTCCTTCGTTCCTCCGTGAAGTAGATGACTTCTGGGAGAACCGGGAGAACCCTAGCGTGCAATCCGCTCCCTTTGTAGCCCAGCTGCTGCTGGTGCTCGCATGTGCATGGAACTTTACCAGTTTGGCCAGTCTACAAAAGAAGAGCCCCGCGCCTCTGAAGTGTCACACTGCCATCGAATGGGTTCTACATTCGGAAAAATGGGTCCACAACGCACAAATCAAACGGCCGCAAATATCGACTCTACGTCTCCAGATTCTTCTCATCATGGCAAGAAATGCGTTTGGCATGAAACGCAGCCAGGCTTGGCTCGCCACCAGTACCTTGGTCAAATCGGCCATGATGGCGGGCTATCACCGCGATCCGAGCAAAAACAGCCGCATCTCGGTATTCAATAAAGAGATGCGTCGTCGGATCTGGGTAACCATCCTAGAACTGGACCTTCAAGTCGCTATTGACCGAGGCATGCCACCATCGATCCAGAGTTCTGACCACGACAGCCTCCGTCCATTGAATATTGACGATGAAGAACTCGATGAGACTACGGTAGAGTCACCTAGAGACCGACCGGTTCACGAAATAACAGACTCCTCTTTCGCGACCGCTCTAGCTCGGTCGCTAGATCTTCGCCTGAAAACATGCGCTCTGATGCATTCTCCCCACATCAACTGCCGCTATGAAGAGATTCAGCGCCTCGACTGGGAATTCAACCGGCACTTGTCTCAGATCCCTTCTTGGAGCGCAGCCAATACTGATATGATCACGAAAGAAAAGGTGCTATTATGGAATTCCTTGATCAAGACCAAGATTGCCCAAAGCTTGCTCTCGCTTCATACTCCGTTCGCTATCGAAGCGCCGCGTGAGGTTTTGTTCTCTCCTTCCGCAAGGGCCCGTTTAGACGCTGCCGTCATGATCCTCTCCACACAACGCTTAATGCACGAGACCTCGCCGCAATTGTCGCTTGGCATGCTCGGAGAGTGGACGATGCAGGCATTCATGTCTGTTTGTCAAGCGCTGCATAATCTCGATTCGGGCTCACAGGCGTCCACGTTCCAACTCCACGCCTTGCCGGGCCTTCCCGACACGTTGGTATCTCTTCTAGAGACCGCCCTCATCGCTATGGAAGTCAATCTCTTGTTGGTGGTCAAAGGCGCCAAAGACTACTTTTTCTTGTCGACGATCGAATCACTTGTCAAAGCCCAACTCTGGCCCGTCCAGGAGACCATGTATAAGCAGCAGGTCGTTGAACGGGTCCTCAATTTTGCGCAAACCTTGTTCTCGCAGCATGCGACCTGCGAGCATCTTGGCGAGCTTGGACTGGGAAATTTCCAAGAGAACCAGGTAAGCACATTCACTTTTACACCAGTATTATACCTTTGGATGTGGGTTCTCATTTTTGCTAGGTCGCGGCTTCCCTTGCGTCACAAGGTATGGCCCCAGTTGTACCGGCCGATTTCACTAGCGTGCTGCCGCCGTCTAGTCTCGGCAATATGGTTAGTGCCCCCATCACGGTTACGCTATCCTTTAACACTAAAGTAGACCACAGCCATCTCCAGGCAGTTTCGATCCTTTCCTAGATGTCTTCGATTGGGACAACTGGACTGGCATGGCACTATTAACGTGACAGATGAATCCATGTGTGGTGTTTTTGGGTATTTTTCATTCCAGTACTGGCGTTATCGATACCCCCTGTTGAAGACAGCTAGCATACCTCGGAGAGTCCATTTAAATAAAGTACTAGCATGAAAACATGACAGCATGCACAATTCTCGCATGGCGCACAAGAAATATACTGCCTGGCTTTAGGCTAAACGCTGACTTGCATCATGAACACGTATTGTCGATCAGACAGCGCATAACCTCAATAGTCATAGACGTATGGAGTAATTGCCTGTTGATCCCCGCCGAAAGGAGTCGCAGATCACTTGGAAGCTGGAAGCTTCCGATCCGTGACGTTTGATCTTCATCATTCAAGGAACTATTGCTACTAGCCCCCAAGGTGCTGGGTAGTGCTCGCATTGCCACTACTAGTACGAGATCCTCCGTACGGAGATCCGCAACTATTCAGGGCTCAGCCGCATTAGTTAGGGTCCAGCCTCGTTACACGTACAACTGGGGCCAAACGTAATAGGGGTCGCAGCCTCGAGAGCCAACGGGGGGGTTGACTGGGGGTTGATTGGGGGTTTCAAGGTCAAGTTATAGAGGCACCATCACGTTCTGGTAATCATATTAAATAAATCAAAAATGGCAGTCCTAGTACTCAGACTGCACTGATCTCAGGATTATGCAGCTGCCAACTCACGGGTTATAAATAGGTGTGCCGTACCGAGAAGATCCCCCCCTATCGCAAAGACGGCCTGGCATGGCCAATTGCGAGCCCTCGATCGTTATCAGCTCTCCACCCCCCAACATAGGCGCAAATCGAAATTATCACAATCAGTGGGTAGTGGAGAAAGGTCGTACCTCGGTGTCCCTCGGAGGGACTTCGCAATCCCTGTTCAGCCTCGGATTGCCCCCCCTATAATCGGGACCGTTCAGATGGCCCTCGGGCGATCGCCAAGTGCATCGAGGTTATCTTGCCAAAACACGGCAGCCTAAAACACTTGGCTTCGGTTTAGTGCGAGACTAATTTTGGGCCTGATTGAATCCTGCAGATTACGGATTTTCCTGGGGCTGTGCTACTTCTCAGTGATTCTCTCAGGGTTTCGTTATCTCGTCCTTTCCCGCTGAGGTGCCTGCCTTTCTGTCATCCTATGCCAGGCATCTTTCCTCGGGCGAGCCAGGCTCAATTCCTCCGAACCGGAAGAGCATCGCGCTGCTTGGTCCGATAACATATTTACCTTTTCTTGGCTCTTGATATCCACTGCATTGCCTCTTTTCCCCGCATTATTGCGAATATTGTGCATGCTTACCCCGGCGCCACAAAAAAGCTTAGGATCCCGACCCCATGGAGCTTCTCGGGGCGCTATGGCTACTAGCCAGCCTCAACCTAGTCTGCGCCGTCCCTGGAAGGGCCAATTCGGCCATGTCTCCCAAGTCTACGATACGTCTTCGGCCATGCCGTTGCCTAACCAGGGCAATATCAACATCCACGACCCCAATGTCCTCAACTATAATGGCGAATACTACTTGTTCAGGGGCGACTTCCATATCCCGTTCTTCAAATCCTATAATATGAGCGGGCCATGGGAAGAAGTCGGCACCGTGCTGCAACGCGACAGTATCATCGAGGGCATCCAGAACAGATCACGACCGTGGGCCCCGACCACCATCGAACGCAACGGGACCTTCTACTGCTACTACGCGCTAAGTACCCACGGCTCCCGCGACAGCGCGATCGGCGTCGCGACAGCTACTGCTCTTGATGGCAGCTCTTGGACAGACCACGGGGCCGTGATTCGCACTGGCAAGGGCAAACGGTCGGATGTATGGCCGTACAACATCACCAATGCCATCGATGCGTCCTTTATCTTCGATAATGCCACCGGCAAGCCGTACCTCAACTTCGGGAGCTACTGGCATGATATCTGGCAAGTCCCGCTGTCGGACGATCTGCTCTCTGTCGAGGATGCCGACGCCCCTGACGCGGTGCAGCTTACGTTCATGCCGGACCAGAAACAGAAGCCGGAGGAGGGCTCGTGGATGAGCTACCGTGATGGCTACTACTATGCTTGGTTCAGCCATGGTGCGTGCTGCCAGTTCATTAAGACTGGGTTTCCGCCAAGGAACGACGAGTATAGTATTCGGGTCGGTAGATCGAAGAATGTGCGTGGTCCTTTTCTGGACAAGTCTGGCCAGTCATTATTGGAAGGCGGAGGAACTACTGTTTACGAAAGTAATCATGGTGAAGTCTATGCCCCTGGTGGGTTGGGCGTGTTAGCTGGGAATGACTCAGTTCCCGATATTCTGTATTATCACTACCTCAATACGTCGATTGGGTTCACGAATGAGGTAAGTCCCGTGAATCGCATTGATGTACACATATTGACGGACTGGATAGGAGGCTTTACTGGGCTGGAACTTTTTGAACTATACTAGCGATGGATGGCCAGTGGTTGTCGACGGTATCGACATCAGCTCTGGAGCTTCCATCAGGCGTCCTCGCTGGCTGTCTCTGACGATTGTCCTCGGTGCATGGCTGTATATATGGTCATAAGGGTGGTACGTCTTCATGGTTGCTTATTGTTCAAGACATAGATTTGATGAGGCGTTCGGGTGTGATTTCAATGGGCCGTCCAGGCATGGATGGCCGCAACGGCGGTGTCACATAAACGGAATGAGAATATACATAGATGAATTCCAGGGCTAAACCCTACCTCCGTACACTTGACCTGTCGTATACGGTGTTGCATCACTGCGTAAGGATGACACAGACTGCGCAATTTCTGACTCGTAGTATAGTCGCGGGCAACGCTGAAGATCTACCTCCCGTGATGGATATCCATCCGTCAAGAAGCGGAGTCAGTAAAGCCACTGAAAGAAACTAGCGTCCGTCAATCGTCACTTGGACGAACGAACACAGCGCCACAGTATTAATCCGCGTAATTGGTCTAACCTCCTTCGCCACCAAGCTCGTCAGCCCAACAACACCATGCTTCTTTGTAGAGTATGCCTGCATGCAGAGGGTGGCCTGGACCTACCCCATGCTGAGCGAGGGGGGTGAAGGTAAATCGCTACAGGCAGTTAATAGGAGTTGGACTAGAATGAATAAATTAGGTTTGATTTGCATGCATATGCAATCTCTCGTAACATTGGGTATCTCGATCATAAAACGAATGCCATAAATCACAGTGCCACATCAAAACATCACCATCGAAAGCACGAGGCCGCCCACGCACAGAATAGCCCACAGCCTTGCCGTAGGCACAGCACCGGTGTTCGCCAACACCCCATAGTGGATCTTCTGCGCATTCAGGCAATACTGCACTTCCAGCGCTTGTTTCAACGTCCTCGAATTGCAGATCGCCGTGCATAGTTCTGGGTCCGCGTATGTCCACGTCTTATAGTGACAGCACTCCTGCAACGTTGCAGGCAGATCGGTGTGGTTATTCTCGGGCTGGTAGAGCGGAACTTGGGTGAAGAACTGCGCCGACGGGGTGTCGCTGTCGAATGGTAGCACCGGGAAGAAGTTGCTGTAGTCGGCGCATTCCGGCGGCTGCTCGAAGATCGCCCGGGGCGAGATATTGGCGATCATAATCGTACAGGGTTGGGTCTCAGGCGAGTGGGTATGATCGCCGTGATTTTGAGGCGTGCGAACGTGCGGGGATACGGGTGTTTAGTGACGTGCAGGCGACAGGTCCGACGGGGACGGGTTATTGCATTCTCAGGAACGTGTAGGCAAGGGACGTCTGGCTGGGCGCGATTCCATTGCAGCGGGATCTGTTGGCTGCAGGAGATGTGGGCGTAAGCTGCATCGGAGTCTCCGGCTTCGAGCTGGGGGCGCGCCAAGCCTCGAGCCTCGAGCCCCAAAGGCCTATCAGGATGCTTGATGAATTCCAATTCTTAGTGTAAACCAGGAAACCCCTGATGATCTCGCATGTGTCTTTCGCGTTGGATTCACTCGCGACACAACATCTTGATTCTATGGAGTCATGACTATGTACAAATCTCAATACATGCTGGTTATGTGGGCAGGCGGCAGGACACGACAGTATGCCGACCCCGGTTGTATTCACCTTTACTACTTATCTCTCCGGCTCAAGAGTTAGGACATTCCCACCCCAGCATGGCTTAGCGTTAAACAAAATCTACAGGTAAGTTTCAGTGTTCAAACCTCTGGGGGTGTCTCGACAGCCTCAATCTCGCGGGTTTGAAACAGTTCCAATACATCCAAGCCTTCGTAGCAACGTTGCCCAATCGCTTCATTTTAACGGTTTACAGGTTTAAAGCTGGGCACCTCGATTCAAGCGACGCCACATCCGCTTGCGGCGTTCATGGCCAGAGTTGAAAGCAATCACCCAGTTCTCGTCGAAGGCTGGCAAGGGACGGCCCTTGCCATCGCGTGGAGGGCCAGCAATCGCACGCAAACGTTCGAAATAAGACTCGAAATGAGGGCTCACAACACTAAATGAGGGCCCATCCCCCCGCTGCTCGATCCCCTCCTTTTCCCACTTCTCTCGTTCGGCCATGGGAGGAAGAGAAGCCTTGCCAGCAAGAACTCGGGCCGCCGCAACCGCCTGCCACTCGAAAATCTTGAAGGTCAGGCCCGCCCCAACCGCTCCGATGAACATCAATGTGGGTTCGCGGTGGAAGACGTGGAGAAAGATGTCAGGCACGCGATTGTTGCGCGTTGGGATTTGCGGCAGAAAAGGTAGCTGCCACGTGAAGCCGGTGCCGAATATGATATGATCGACATCGCTCTCGGACGTGCCGTCTTCGAAGTGAACGGTACGCTCTGTGATGTGGGAAATTGGCGGGCGTCGCTGGATGTTCGGGTTTTTGAAGGCTTCGTCACCAAAGAAGGGGTTGTATCGACCGCGCACCACTGCAATGACCGGAGACCGCGCCGTGGATGTCACACTAATTGCGGTGTCTGCCGCGGATACAGATGCTCCAACAGTGACAACTTTCTGTTCGAGTCAGATATGTATCATCACACAGGGCTGTCAAAGGCTCACCTTTCCTCGGTATTTTTCTGGGCCACGATAATGCTTTGTGTGCTCAACACTGCCGGGGTTTCGCATCGCAAGTTCTTTCAGTCCCTTGATTGCAGGAATATAAGGCACTGCATAGTGACCAGAGGCCACCATAATAGCATCAAACGTCTCTGACCACCAGTAGTCTGAAGGAGCGCCGTCATGCAACTCGCGGCGACGGAGCACCACGTCCCATTTCTCGGTTTCTGGGTTCTTAATCGCGCGCTCGACGGTAGTATTATACTCGACGAGATGCTGATTCCCATTGACAGTCAGAACATCTTCCACGTACTGTCTGATCACTGCATGAGGCCGGAATGGGGTATCTTCTCCGTGTCGCTGAATTGACCATTCCGATCGAACGACCGGAATGCTCTCCTGAGAAAACGACATCGCACTCGCATCGACATTGGTCTCTAACCCAGGGTAGATTGGCGAGTCTGTGAACCGCTGCTGCGTTAATGGCGGCGTTCTACATGGCAAACTTGCCGGAATAGCCACCGGAGCATCTGCAGTCCTATCGGCGAGTCTATCCAAGTCCAATTCCCTTGGTGGCTCGTCATCGCGAGAGACCCTGCGGCCGTCAGAACACCCTTTACAAGGAAAATCACAGGGCAGAGGACTAAATACCAGCAGCCGCCCGCCTTCTCTTGTCGTTCAAAGACGCGAATCACATCGAACGCTTGCTCTTTTACCAATGCATCAACCGCGATGACACCCGCGGGGCCGGCACCGATGACTGCCACGCTCTTGATTGCCATGGTACCATATACTGGCGGGGAATCATCAGATGAGCTGCTTGCTACCCCGACTTGGCTATCGGCCGAGCTGTAACTTTGAGTTAACTAGCTAGATCATCACGCCATATTATCTGTTTTCGCGCAAGGCTGGACAGCAACCGCCAATTACATTGGATCACGGAGCAGCGCCGAAATTCAAGCATGTTATCAAGGTGCGCATTGTGTACTTACTATAGCCGCCTGGAATCACTGCACAGGACAATCGACTACCGCTCCCTTTTTAGAGATATAGCCAGCACTGCTGGTCCTGAAAAGCTGGTTCAGAATTCGTCTGATTGGCCCGCGCGAGCGGATCGGAAGCCAGATCATGATTGGACAGCGTCAAGCGTCGACACCCGGTGTTTCAGGTATCAACTGGCATTTTCTTCATACGGAAAATGGAGCCGTTGAGCCATGGAGACTGCGCTCATTGGTGAGTTAACACGTGCGATGATCTTGTTCTGTGTTCTTCTTTCGCCACTTGGTATAAGATCTCTGCCTGTTGCGGCGTGCATCCATGGATGCTGCTAAGAATAGTTGGTTGCACATGGTACGAAGGGCTCTGTGCCTGGAACCCATCCATGGACAGCATCAGTCAGTCCAATTATCCCTGATTCTTCCAGGACATGCCGCGTTTTGGTTATTATGAAGTCATTTTTTTTCCCTACAGAACTCGTTAAGATGCCTCGGGTCGCGCGGTATTCGTCTAGAACGGACTAGAATCAGCGACGTCCCGCCTGGCTATTTTGGGCATATCCAGAACGAACCGCAGGGCACTCGGGCGGAATGGCCCTTGGGAACGAGACCCCCGGACGACTCTGTCGTAGACCCATGTAAATGGGGGGTGTATGCGAGAAGCTGACGCGTTGCCACAGAATGCCTGAGCCAGGCCCCAAGGCTGTGGGTGACAGTCCCGACCAGACCATTGGGGGGGCACCCGGCGATCAGTGGATCGGGGCCCTCGCTGGTACAGCCCGGCCCTGGCTGTGGCGAACGGACGATCCGGACGACGCGGCAACGGCTTCGCCTGTTTTATGCCTCGTTTACTAAATAAAGAGCAGTCTCTATTTCCAAGGCCACTTCTCATTGCACCAGGCAACCGCCTAATTGCATAGACGTCCAGACCATGAAAACTTGGGGCCTCTGAGCCGCGGGCTCGAGTATCGAAGCACGCCCCCCCACGCCGTAGGATCGTATTCCAATCCGCCCCGTGTGTTATACCTAGGTACGCAACTGCCATGATGACATCGACTGTCAAAGCCTCCAAATCGCAGCTGCCAGACCTGGAGGAAAGCCTGCCTACGCAATAGACCCACTCCCCAACACCACCGACGGGGCAGCCCCATCGCATGCACTAAATACCATACATATGATTTGTCTGCGGGATTTTGTTTGAGTAATATCCCCCAGTGCAGTCCATTTTGTGCTCAACGGATCCACCGACTCGAATACCTGATCCACGCCACTCGAGGCCTCGATACTTAAAGCCAGCCGTTGCTCGCCTCTTTCAAGCATCCACAAAAACCAGAAAGCTACTCGCCTACAACCCCCATCTCTCCACAATCCACATCTGCAATCAATATGCAGTTCAAGACCCTCATTTCTCTCGGCCTCATGGGCAGCTGCGCCGTGGCTCTGCCGGGCTCTTGGTCCTCAGCCTCCTCCTTTTGGACCTCAGCCTCTTCATCCGCTACTCCTACTCCTTCCATCGGTCCCCTTGACGGCCCTCCCGCCGTCCAGGCTGCCGAGTCGAAGTTCTACGCCGACTACAACAGCTTCCTGGCTGCCCCCAGTGGCTCTGCCAAGCAGGCCCTCTACTCCAAGCTGAACCCCGACCTGCAGGCCATCCAATCTGCGAAGGCCGCTGCCTGGTCCTCTTCTGCCGTGGCTCCCACTGTCTCGGCCACCCCTACTCCTCGCCGTTAAAAAAAAGGGACTGGGCATGATGGATATGTGTTAAATGGTATACACGGTTTTAATAATGGCGTTAATTTTTCTGTATATTTTTCCCTTCGTGCATTGCGCGGTGAAAGCCTTGATTTTGGTTTCTAGACTGGACGCTATATCGGTTTCACAATAACATTCCTTTGACGATCAGAATTTCCAGACGTAGTTGATAACAGCCCTATCCCATCACGGCTAAAACAGGGGCCCCGGCACTTGATGCTCATGTATTGCGGGTTTCGCCCGGGTGGTCGATGTCCAGCATAGTATTTATCCCGTCCGGGACGAGTCTCAGGCTGGTATTTCAGTCGCAGTTTGATTTGCTTCCTGGAGGTTGATCTTCCGGGGGGTTGATATCAATTTAGAGACTGTCTATAGCGCATTTCACTAGTTGGATGTGGCTGCCGACGCCCCGCGTGCTCGCGCGATGAGAGGAATGAAGTGGGTTCTTAGCAACGCCTTCGCGATCTATGGTAATCTTTCTATGTCCCTGCGAAGAGGGGGTGGGCTCGGTTATGGATTGACTAAGCTTATGCAGGAAAAACTGTCAGATCAAGCGATCCTGAGCTTCACGTATTTAATCTTCCGGACATTTCGAGGGGAACGCATATTAATTTTTATCAGTGGTTCTCGCGGCACCAACGATGGATTCAATTAAACTCCGCGCCACGTCAGACCCAGTCCGGTTAGTGCAGCCGCTAGCATGCATGTCCTAGTATCTGATCTCTTCATGCTTACAACAAAAGATAGTTGGATTCAATCAACATCAATAGCGCTGCGAAACAGTTTCGCGCTCGGTGACCTGGACCCACATATCGGAAATCGCAAAAAGCCCAAGATAATTGCGCGCATCCCAGGGTCGTGTTGGATTGATCAGAGCGAGATCGAAGTTGCGCAAAAGCTGGAATTCTTTCAGTTCAAACTCTTATAGTAGATACGGACTACCAGTCTGCTTACCTCAAACAAGATTTTCCCCATCTCGAGCTGAGCCACCGGCTTGCCTAAACACTGCCACTTACCGTGGCCGAAAGTCAGGTCACTAGTTCGGATCATGCGAGTCAGCTTTGCAGAGTCTGCCTCAAACCACCGCTCCGGTCGGAAGGCCTTCGCGTCCTGCCCATAGATTTCCTTGCTGTGGTGCATTGCGTACGCGGCGTATCCGATGCTGATCCCACCCGGGAGAAACACACTCTCCCCATCGACGACGACCGTATCCCCGCTTGCGGGAACATCTCGCGAGAATATATTAGCCACCGGCGGCCACACCCGTAGAGCCTCGCGGATCACTGCCTGGAGATACGGAAGCTCTTTAGCCAGAGCGGCAGGAATGATGCTGCCCTCTGCAACAAGGCCGCGTTGCACGGCATCGTCGATCTCCCGCTGGAGTTTTGCGTAGACCCGGGGGTTCGTCATGATGTGTAGCAGCGAGCCTCTGATCGCTCCAGCCGTGGTATCGGAGCCTGCGAGAATTTGTTCCAGCGCTTCGCTGCGGAGCTCCTCCCCTGTGAGCCCGTGCCGCATGAACGAGGCTAGCATGTCAGATCTCTTGTCTGCAGAGCTCGCCGCTCGTTCGTCCACGATCTGAAAGCAAGCCTTCATCATTTTCCCAAATCCGGTCTTGTCTTTGGGAGAGGGCGCAATCAGGCGGCCGATCAGCGGCGCCTGCGTTATCCAGCTGAAGCCTAATGCGAGGGCGGTATTTCCGACTGCGAGCCCTTCTTTCAGAGACTCCACGTAGCTGTCGACGTCGTGGTCACTTTTGAGCATTCCGAAGGTCTTTCCCAGGCCGACGCTGCTGATTACGTCCAGGGTGAAGAATTGAACCTTTATAGCTAAATCCATAGGTTTCACGACGTCGGATGAGATGTATCTCGAACGGATGAGATCTATGAATTCCTGAACTCGATCATCCACGGCGGCTTCGAGATTCAGATTCTCTCTCCCGGAGTACTGTATGGTCAGCACCAATCGTGATGTTTGTAATGCGACGACGTACATACCCCCGCAGCCATCTGTTTTCTGCGCTTGTCGTGTTTGGTATTGTCGGTCTGGCTGAATACATTGTCTTTCCGATACTCGATCCTCGTGGCTTGGTAGTACCAATCGGATCGCTTGTATCCTGGCTTATTATTGACGTGCGTCCAGACCTCGGGCGAGGAGGTGATCAAGATCCCTGGTGCGACACGAGCAATTGGGCCTGCTAATCAGATAAGTCACTTCATTATGAGATCTTGAGCGCACCATATTCATTGCACAGCTCCGCGTACCACTCATGGCAGCTGGTACCAAGTATTGCTAAGCTATGCGGCCAATTTGAGATGCGGGTTATGAGCGGTCCGCGGAAACGCCGTAGCTTTGCATTCAAGACGAGGATCTGAACAATATACCACGCAACGAGACAGCAGAGAAGCGTGCTGCAAACCCCCGATAAGGTAGCTACCCCCATCTTCAAAGACGATGAGTTGACTGTGGGTTCTCCAAATCAAGAGTGCCCAGTGAGTGTGGTCTCCCCCATTGGACGTACAGTGCCACCACGGCCACTTAGCGGGGTAGAGCAGCATAAGTACATCCTAGTATCACGTGGATGACTGCAGATATGATGCCAACGTTTCACAAAGTGAATCACGTACAGGCGGCACCTCTTGCACTACTAACCAGCTGGGCGGGCTTCAATGCCCAAATCCGACAACCAGGTCGCATTTTGTTCGCGTAGGCGCAAGGAGTCCTTGCCATTCACCGGACTCGCAAACTCGACCAAAAATCTAACCATCCAAGCATCCATGCGGAAGCTGGTATCTGCAGAGTTCTTGCAGGCCTCATGAAACGCCATCAGCCGCTCCATACAAAAGTCCAGCGTGGGCCAGAGCCTGCACAGACGGTTCAGAATGCAAAAATTCTTCTCCAAGCAGTCTTTGGCATGGGAAGCTTCCCTATTGCTATCAAACAGCAAGGAATGCAGATGAATAGTCGAGGAAATAACCAGGACGTGGCCCACCATGTTATATTTGACATCACACCCACGTGTGCTTTCCGAAGCATAGACGATCCGACACAGCTTTTCGGCGTGGAGCTTGCACAGAGCAGCATAAGCTTTTGTATCTGGGTCACCTTTCAGCTGCTGTAGGTCCTCATGTAGGAAGCGGTAGAATAGTATCTGACCATAGTGATAATATCCCAGATAAATGGCAACAAACACTCGACCGAGGCCTTGCGCTGCGCACCTCTCCATGTTTTCATGCGTATCACGGAAATGATCTGGAAGCTCCCGGTGCCATGCGTCAAGCTGATTGGAAAGACCCTCGACACTGCGCAGTATAGATATGGGTTCCATATCTGATTCAGAGGACTTGATGTTGAATTCGTTGATCTGTTGCAATATGCGATTTAGGCGAACCATCTCCGCCAGTAGAGATGTTTTACCTGGAGTAGATATATCGGAGCCCTGGCGCATCTCAAGGAACGTCATTTCTTCCATCGGTAATGGTACATCCTTGGGCTGGAGCAGCCTCGGCAGTCTCACTCCGTTCGATGACCATGTATCGATCATGCTCAGGGTCCACCAGACTATGTTCGTTAGCTGAGAAGTTGATGTCGGCAGATGACTCACTTCGAATGTTTATTTCACAGTCCAGTTGAGAGCCTTTGCGATTTGGCAGGTCCAGAAGCTGCGCTATTCGACATGCCACCGCATAGTAAATAGACTCGGAAGCCGGCTTGCCATCTGTGATAGCGATGGCACCTAACAGAACACATGCCTGAATGGTCATGACCGAGACATCATTCAGATTCAACAAAGACTCGCATTGCTGAGCGAACTTTTCGGCTCTGTTCCTCGGATCTATGCCGATGAGCAAGGGGTGATTGGAAAATCTTGCAGAGAGCGCCATCATCCCGTAGAGGAGGATCGGTGGGGCATTACCATTTCTCACATCCTCTAGAAAAGTCGTTTTATGGAACAGGCTATGCAGCTGGTCGTGCACGTAGTCGAAGTAGAGCTCCACCAGCTCCAGACAAAGAGGCTTTGCCGACAAGTTGCACCTCCGCGAGTCAGATCCCTGTGCGAGATTTATTGTCTCGCCCGCCAACCGCGTAGCGCCGGCCTGCCCTGGTCGCGAGCTTGAGCAAGGGAGCCCTCTCTGCAGACAATAGGAGCAAGGGCCACCAGGCACGGGCTTGCACTTGCGGCGGCGGGATCTGCCATCGTTAGGCTATTCGTCAGGACTGGACTGGCGATGAAGACTCACCGACACGCGGAACAGGCCGACGCTTGTCGCATCTCGGGCAGAATTTTCCTGGAGCCGAATCCTGCTGGAGTGAGATTCTCCAGAATCCAGGGTCCCCACTTCTGTGCGAAGGGCGGAAAATTCGAGAATTGTCATTCAGCGCTGTCTAACTTTGAAGGCTGACAGTCCAGGTGCGCTAAAAAGGCTATAGTCCGCGTTGACTCCGCAATGCAGACGGGAAATTAGCCGAAAAATGCGGAGATGCGGAGTCAAGGTTTCCTTCGACAAATCAGGCGTGGTCAAAGCCGCCGCTAACAGAAAGACCCCCCACGTTCTACGCACGCGGGAGCTACACGAAAGGACGATGAATGGCAGGAGCCCCTGCCGGGGGTTATACGCCAGGAACCAAATTCCTATAAAGGGACTGTCCGGTCCCGATTCAAAACCTGACACGTCAAACAGCAGCAGAGATGTTTCTCAAGAGGACCGTGGTCGCTGGCCTGGTCTTGGTGCGCCAAGTGACTGCTCACGATAGCAATGGTACGTACGTTCCAAGTGATGAGAAGCCCAGCTAACATCTTCAGCTATTGTTGTGGACGGAACCTCTTTTGCCCTGAACGGCCAAGGGGTGTCGTACCTATTCCATGTTGATAACACCACCGGTGACCTGATCAATGACCACTTCGGTGGCAGCGTGACTGGCCCGATCCCCCAGAGAGATCCTTCCAGCGATCAACGGCTGGGTTGGTGAGCCTGGGCGCATACGCCGCGAGTTTCCTGATCAGGGAAGAGGAGACTGGCGCACTCCCGCGGTGCGCATCCGCCAGACACCTGGATACACCGTTTCCGACTTCCAGTACCATTCCTTTGAAAGGAAGAGCGGGAAACCCGAGCTGACGGGCCTCCCGTCAACTTTCGGCGATGATGCCGATGTCTCTACCTTGGTTATCCATCTGTATGACAAGTACAGTGATGTCGCAGCGGACTTGACCTACTCTATCTTTCCCAAATACGATACTATCACTCGCAGTGTAAGCATCACGAACAAGGGCAAGGGGAACATCACAGTCGAAGCACTTGCCAGTATGAGCGTTGACTTCCCATACGAGGACCTCGACATGATCAGCCTGAGCGGCGATTGGGCCAGAGAAGCGCACCGTCAGCGTCGAAGTGTGGAATACGGATTGCAAGGGTAAGCCGTGAACGCAAAACATACGAATGGTATCTAAGTCTAGCAGATTTGGGTCTTCCGTGGGATATTCCTCCCACTTGCATAACCCCTTCCTTGCCATCGTGGACCCTACTACCACAGAGTCTTCTGGAGAGGCCTGGGGATTCTCCCTCATCTACACAGGCTCCTTCTCTGCAAGCGTGGAGAAAGGATCCCAGGGCTTCACGCGGGCTCTCATCGGGTTCAACCCGGACCAACTCTCTTGGCCCCTGGCTCCCGGCGAAACCTTAACCTCGCCTGAAGTGGTATCAGTCTACTCCAAAGATGGCATTGGCGGGGTCTCCCGCAAGCTTCACAGACTATACCGCAACAATCTTATCAAAAGCAAGTTTGCTACTTCCGATAGACCGCCCCTCCTGAACAGCTGGGAGGGTCTGGGGTTTGACTACAATCAGTCCACCATTGAGCAGCTCGCCAAGCAATCTGCCGATCTAGGAGTTACCATGTTCGTTCTTGACGATGGCTGGTTTGGTGATAAATATCCACGTACAGACGACAACGCCGGCCTGGGCGATTGGGTTCCCAACCCTGCCCGGTTCCCCAACGGCATTGCACCAGTCGTAGAGAACATCACCGCCCTCAAAGCAGCGAACACCTCGACTGCTCTTCGTTTCGGTATCTGGATGGAGCCCGAGATGGTGAACCCTAACTCCAGTCTATACCGTGAGCACCCAGACTGGGTCCTGCACGCAGGACCTTATCCGCGCACGGAGCGACGGAACCAGCTCGTTCTCAACGTGGCTCTGCCTGAAGTTCAAGAATTCATCATCGAGTCTGTGTCCAACATCCTAAATAGTGCCAATATCAGCTATGTCAAATGGGACAACAACCGAGGCATGCACGAGACGCCCTCTCCCACCACCGACCATCAATATATGCTCGGCATCTACAAAGTCTTCAACAATTTGACCACCCAATTCCCCGACGTCCTCTGGAAGGGCTGTGCCTCCGGCGGTGGGAGATTCGACGCTGGCGTGATGCAATATTTCCCGCAAATTTGGACCTCTGATGACACCGATGCTGTGGAGCGGATCACCATCCAGCTCGGGACGTCTCTTGCCTACCCGCCGAGTGCCATGGGGGCTCATCTCTCCGCAGTGCCAAACCAGCAGACTGGTCGTACCATCCCCGTCGAATTCCGTGGCCACGTCGCCATGATGGGCGGATCGTTCGGTCTAGAGCTCGACCCAGCGAAGATCTCCGAAGAAGACAAGGCAGCGCTCCCGGGTCTCATTGCGCTGGCAAAGAAGGTCAACCCGCTTATTCTGAAGGGCGACCAGTATCGTCTCAGTCTTCCGGAGGACTCGAATTGGCCCGCTGTTCTTTTCATCTCTGAAGATGGTGCTCAGGCAGTGCTTTTCTACTTTCAGATCAACCCCCTCATCAACCATTCTGTCCCTTGGGTCAAGCTACAAGGCTTGGATCCCAAGGCTATATATACGGTTGACGGGAACCAGACGTACGCTGGGTCTACGTTGATGAACATTGGCCTGCAGTTCCCATTCTCGACAAACTATGGCAGCAAGGTTGTGTTCTTTGAGAAGCAATGACGCGACCAGTCTCCAAGTTGATCTGAAGTACACAGTAATGGTGCAGCATAGTCCTGCCTTACTCTGTAGACACTGGAATAATATCTGAGACATGCTACCCCAAGGTGTAGCGCCATAAATACCAATAGCAAATTTTATACACCGCTCGTACCAAAATTGGATCGACGCTGGACACTACATTCATCAGAGAACATAATGTTATGCCAATGCTCGGAATCAACCCCTTGACGTGCAGATGGGAGGCCCCCTCGTGCCAATTGGGCTGTTGAGCCGATCTGCTTTTTCGATTTCCCTTTACAAAACTTGTATGTTCGCAGAATGCGATAAATGGTCGATTTTGACATTGTGTCGGGTGCCTTCGCGATAAGCTCTTTGTAGCTGTCTCGAGGAGATCGACACGCTAAGCGATATATCGCACGGCGAGACCTGTGACTAAACTTTTGAGGCCGCCCTTTTTTGGGGAGATTCTCCGTGGTTGCGTGGTTCTGGAATCGCTTGCGTGTATAGCCAACGGTGCTCTTAGAAACGCCAAAATCGTGTGCGATTTTGGCGTAACTCACGCCGTTGTCGATCGCGGCGCAAATAGCAGCGCGTGTCTCGGACGAGAGATTGGAACTTGGCCTACCGTTTGAACTCATTTCGGTTCCAAACCGACGCATATTGATGGAGATAGGGGAGTTGCAAAAAGATGGTTCTGTTTTTGTGGGTCAATTTCCGGCCGACGCGTTCAAAATGCATATGACGTAGTTACCAGCGTATGTAGTAACAGTAACTAAGCACTCGGCGACGACGTCAAGTTATGGTGAGCTATTAAGATCTACAAAGGCTTCTGCAGATGCCAGGAAAGCCTGAAATGGTGGGATTAGGGTCAAGCTTTGGTTTTCAGGCTGACGCGACGTAGGATATCCTTTACGGGGCTACATTTGGGGCATAGATTGACTTACCATCCTTTATCCGGAGGCCGGGTCTGTCACGGTGATCATAGTATAGTAATTATGGTATCGCACTATTTCCTAGCGACCCCAATTCGCTCCCCCCCCCTTCTGTTCTTCTGTCTTAGTTGCGCTCCCGGCCAAGTGATTACTATCAAATTGGTGTCTCTACTGACTTGAGCGTTACCGGACAACTTGAGCATAAAGACAGAGCAGTCAACTAACCCTAAGTAAAAACGTCAGTAGCATACCGCTCCTTAGCCCTCATCTTGTCAAAGAACACGTCAGCCGCCTCCTCATCACTAAGGCCCGGATCAATCTCAGGTTCCTCCCCGGCAGCTATCTTCTCCTTCGTCCGCGCCGCCCGCTTCTCAAGAAACATCCCTTTGATAGCCTCCCGCACCGCAGCGCCCACACCCGTACTCCCACAGACATAGAAGTTAGCGCCCTGTTCAAACAACTCGATCAATTCCAGACTATCAGCCTGCATGCGATCCTGCACGTGTTGCCCAGGCCCGGTTTCAGGGCGACTGTATGCCCACCGGATATCTACGGCGCCGATCTTCGCCCACTCCGCGAATTCGGCAGCGTGGATGTCGTCTTTGCCTTGCGTCCTACAACCCGCGTAGAGGATTGCCTTGGCTGGCTGCTCTGCCTGCGGAGAATCGCCGGATAGAGAGCTGCGGCGGCCGCGGATCTTTTCTGCGCGGTCCATAACGAAGCCGCGGAACGGTGCGAGACCACTGCCTGCGCAGGCCATGATCATGGGTGTCTGCAGACCGATCGGTGGCTTGAAGCCGGAGTGCGAGGGGCGCACGGTTACCTGCACGCGCTCCCCGGGTTGCAGTTGCGAAAGGAATGTCGAGGCGACGCCGAGGTACCGCTCTGTTTCTTCATTGGCGGAGAGAGAGAGGAGCGTTGAGCACGGAGAAGGTGATGCTACATTCGGTTGGGTCGGCGAGGGGGGACGACGAGATGCTGTATTGCCGGACTCGCATTGGGGGCAGCATGGCGAGGAAGTCGCCGATTGAGAGCTTGATGCTCGGATACCGCATGAGTAGGTCGAGAGGGCTTACCCGCTTCTGGACGATTTCGGAGGCGAATTTGCTGGGGCTGGAGGCGATGTAGCGGAGCTCAGCTTGCACGTCGGCGTTCTCAATGGCCGCGTCTGCCAGGGCATGGAGATCACGCTTGGAAACAGGCTGGGAGAGCTCGACGTAGGTCGAAAGGAGCTCGAAAGCGGAGATGGGAGTGTCGAGGGGGATGGTTGGCGATAGACCGCCGCTGGTAGATGTCTTTTTTATACGAAGTACAGCGTCCCAAGGGAGCTCAAATCTGCTGATTGCGCGGCGGGTGACAGCGCTAGGGTTAACAGGTAGGACGGCCAAGTAGTCTCCGCATTGGTAGGTCATATCGCTTGGAAGCTTGAGCCGCAGACAACGCTTGATGGGCACACTAGGCTCCGTCAGAAGCTGGTTATCCACCACGTAGGCTTCTTCCAGGTTGAGACCTAAACTCGATGCACGGCCCGACGTGACTTCAACCTCCAGCGATGGACCTGGCTTGGCTTGCTTTTCGCCTCCGAATTTGGCTGTCACAGCTGGCCAGAACGTAGAATCACCCCAGCTATCGAAGGCCGTGAACATATCGCCCTCCGCAGCGTTAGCGGTGCCAAGACTACAGAGCCTATGTCCTCCATTGCTTTCAACCAGCTCATCAATGAGCTTAGGGATACGGTGGAACGTGGAAGCCCAGTCATCTCAAACGGGAGTCAGTATATCGTATCATTGCTCAGGAGCGATGGAGACTTACGGTGACCACAGCCAAATGTAGCGTAGTCCACACCTTTTAGGCTGTCGCCCTTGAGCTCACTCAGCCACTCGAAAAAGTGGGCAGCATTGTCAGGCGGCTGTCCTTCGTAGGAGGCTGTGATAAACACCACAGGATCCTTTGTGGGAATATTCTGCAACGCCGAGTCCAAGGAGGTGACCTTTGCCTCGAAACCGTTCTGCGGGGCATCCTGCGCCAATCTATGCGCAAATGCCTCACAAGTACCCGTGTTACTTCCGTAGAAAATATACATGGGCTTAAGTTTGCCAGCTGGCACCACAGTCATAGGCTTTTTGTCTCGGCTGGTGATGTTAGACTCCTGGGCCGCCCCGTTGGTGTTACTCAGATGGAGATTCAGGTTGGTCGGGTCGAGGCCGTTGCGGAGAGTCGCCTTCATCTGGAAATCTTTAGGCTTGATGGTGAGGGTTTGCTTGATGCGCAGGTCATAGCTGGGGTTAGCCAACGAGAAGTTGAAGTTTTGCAATAAGAGCGCCGTCGTCAACAAAGCCTCCTGCCAGGCAAAAGGCCGTCCAATACAGCCGCGCATTCCGTTTCCAAAGGGCTTCCAGCTATTCTTGGGCAGCTTGTTGAAGTGCTCGTCCAGCATGCGCTCTGGCTTGAACTCGTCCGCATCAGCGCCGTAGACCTTGGGGTCCTGGTGGAGCTTGTTGATCAGAATCGCGATTGTCTCATCCCTGTGGAGGACGTATTTGCCGCCAAGGGTCACAGGGTCTTCTTTGTTCTTGGTTGGATGAGGCCGCAATCCGACAATCGTCACTGATGGTTGTATTCGAAGCGTCTCCCTCATTACCGCGGTGAGATATGGTAGCTTGCTCATATCGTCCACCGAGATCTTGCGTCGTCCAATGACGGTGTCGACCTCTTCTTGGGCTTTCTTGTAGGCGTATGGCGTCTTCAGGAGATAATAGAAAAGAAACGAGAGCATGCCGGAGGTCGTCTCATGGCCCGCAATAAGAAAGGTGATCATATTATCGATAACGGATTCGTCAGACAGCCCTTTTCCTGTCTGAGGGTCCCGACCCAGCAGCAGTGCATTCATCAGATCCTTCTTCTCAGGCTGGGGATGGTTTTTGCGGTCATCGATCAGTTCTTGGGACAGCTTCCGCATGTAGTCAATGTTGGCATAGAACTTGGTGTTCTCACTCGTGGGCAGGTTTTTGAGCAGAGTTGGGACTCGGGCTCTGTGACCTGATCCAACAAGGAAACCCGTCATCGCCGCGATGAAGGGGTGCATCTCATCGTGGTAGTATGAGTTGAAGCGCGTCCCCATGGAACACAAGGCAATAGTATCGAGGGTCAGCCGGGTAAAGTCGTCCGTGACCTGGATAGGAGTATCAGGGCCCTGGCGAGCCCATTTCATCGCCAGCTGGCTGGCGATATCATACATGTCATCGAACATTTCTCGAATCATCAGAGGCCCGAAAGCCGGAACTAAGATACGATGTGCGACAGCCCAGTTCTCTTCTTCCGGGTAATGAGCGGTGAACAAGCCGTCGTGGGTGCCTATCCATGTCAATCATCTTTTGCAACGGAGGGCAGTTCAAGCAGAAGGGAATTACCGTCTCGGATCTCCTGCAGAGCTGCAAGAACTCCCTTGGTAAACCTCGACTCGTCGCAGGCTTCGTTGACCAGCTCCTGAGAGCTGATAAAGACCCTCGATTTACCAAATGTTGTGAGGCGAAAGATCTCTCCGTATTGGTCTGCTAGCATGTTAAAAGAACGCAACGGGAGCTCCCCGTCGATATCGAAGACATTGCCCACGAGGGGCACCCCCCGCGGGGCCCGGGATGGGGATTTCTTTAGAAGCCATGGTTGATGGTTCCAGACAGGCAGATCGCAGCCTTCTAATAGAAGTGCAGGCGGGCTTTCTCGAATCCCGACCGAGTAAGGCTGTACGACGCACAAACCTTCATGCCTACAGGTCACCGAGGAAGTGGGGGGCCCCCAGGGTCGCTGAACACTTGGCCTGACGCTGACACTATATTGGTTGAGGCCGGGCGGTCAACTAGGAGTAATGAGTACACCGGATCCTTCATAAGCCCAAATTGTGCCGTCCAAGACTTCTTGGCTCCATACAAGCCGAGGCTGCTAGAAGAGCGCGCTAAACGCACTGTCGTCCCCGACCGCTACTCCGATCCGAACTCTTACTGCGTATGCAAGTTTGCCTAGAAACGCGTCTCCGCTTACTCGAGGTGAAATCTTCTCCGATTCTGCACAATGCCTGATTTAGCACTCCATGGTTTCAGCATTTCATCCGTGTCAGCCCAGTGGCGCCTGATCTGTCACGTCTCGTGTGATATAACAAATGCGGATTTTCCGTCGGAAACATCGCAGTATGTAACCCGATGTACCAGTACGGAAAGGTAGAGGAATAGCGCTTAGGGAAAACTGCAAGGACTCAGATTATCCCGGTAGAAGAGAAAGATCCTTAGCGGAGCGGGTTCAACTGGCGTGAATATGCAGCTGTGGGCCACTCGACTTCAGTTTACTCATCTTCAGTGAGGGAGCCCTGGAGTCGCCAATACTTCGTACACCGCCCGGTAGCGATTAGCGATCCTCTACGGCGTGATTCTAGCTCGGCTTGGTTTATCCTGACGACTAATATCATTATTCAGGTGCAGGAGTGGCCAGACTGACCCAAGCTCAATTTCTAACACTGGCGCGGGATTCCAACGTTGGCACACCCTAATCTGAATAGTCCGAGATACTCGGAGGCAGGTCCTCGTTGGCAGTGCCCCAGTCCGACTCTTCTTCTCCCAGCGTAAGTTCCAGTGTCCCACCATTGGTGAAAAAGTCATGGGTCACCCAGTTTTTCGTCCAAGTCTTTCCATTCAGCTTAGCGCTCTGGATGTAGATCGCCTTGTAGCTCGGGTCGAAATTCACGTTACGAATCGTGGCAATTTTGCCGGTGATGGCGTTCTTGATGCTCGCCTCCTTGAAGTACGGGCTGGTTATCAGATATACATCTTGTCCGGGACGGGCCACAACCCGATCATGCTTAGCACGATGTATGAGCCCATCGCGCCGCTGTCGTCATTACCAGCAAGGCCGGCAACTGTCGTGTTGAACTTGGATGGAATGTAGAAATGGCTGTACTTGGCTGATAGGGCTGGCCTGCCTGAGTAGTGGAATTGGAAGATTGTCAGGAAGGCCTGCTCGTCGCCAACGTACAGCAGGCCAGACTCGTGCAAATACTCCAGGCGTCGCGTGAAGGACTCCTTGCCGCCGAGGGCCTTGATCAGCGATCCCATGTCGTGCGGAGCGTAGAAGGTGTACAGCCAGGCGCTTCCTTCGTACGTCTCGTGGCCATCGGGATTGAGATAGCAGGATGTGAAGTTCAAGAGAGGGCTGCAAAAGATTGGGTCCTGGTAGCCCCATGTGCCGTTCATGTATCGAGGTTGCAGAAAGCCGGTGAAGTTGGTATTAACGCCTTGAATGCTGGAGGACTGGTCTGACTTGTACATGTTTATCCAGTTTCCAGAGCGGTTGAGGTATTTCTCGTAGTCAGCGGAGTGGCCCAGCCCCTTGGCCATCTCAGCAATGCAGAAGTCGTTGTATGCGTACTCCACGGTTCTTGAGATACTGCGCGTATGAGTGCCCGTCCCAAGAGTGTCGTGATCGTAAGTGGGAATATAGCCCAGCTGCTTCCAGTGCGCAAGGCCGCCGCGTCCTTCGATGTCCCAATTTGCGGGTTCGACCTCGGCGTCTTTCACAACAGCTTCGTAAGCAGTAGCCCAGTCGATGCCAGGAATCTTCTTCAAATAGGCATCCGCTAGGACTGTATCGGCATTGGAGCCTCCTTGGGTGTAACCTATGTGGAGCACATGTCAGAACGAACTCGAATGATAGGTGCTATCCCATTCTTCACGATGAACAGGGCTTAGTGAACTCAAAGTCCAGCCGGAGATATTCACCTTTGCAAAGCGACATTCTACAATCAGGGAGGTATCCTTCATTGCGATAAATGTCGACAAGACTGCGCAACATCAGGGACTGGGCCTGTGGATCCATCAGGGTTAAGAGCGGGTGTATGCTTCTGAAAGAATCCCATATGCTGTAGCTGTTAGCACGGGTCAATAACGCGAAATGTCTCGGTTACTTACCAATAGTAGCTATCAAAGTACGGCTCGTCACTTGACCACAGCGGGTTCTCCCCTGTATAGTCCTGGGGGCTGATCATCGTGCGATATGCACCGCTCCAGAAGATCGTCTGCAGCTCCTTCGAAACTCCATCTGCTTTGATAGAGATAGTACTAAGCTTTTTCCTCCATGCAGTCTTCGCCGCGGCGACAGTAGCTTCGAAATCGAAGTTCGGCTGCTCGGTCTCGGCATTGTGACATGCTTGGTCAGTGCTAATGAAACTCACGCCCACACGAGCAAGAATCGAGCTTGACCCGTGGAACCGAGCAAAGGTCCCGCCTGAGAGACTACCCGCCGAGACTGTTCCATCGAGGTGAAGAGAAGTCTTGTTCATTGGCTGGTTGTTCATCCAAGTGCCAACCTCGCGGACCTCGGCGCCCTTGAAGTCTACACAGACAAAGGAATTATAATGGCCTTCCCCAAAGCTCGGGCTAAACCGACCACTGCCTGTCATCCTACCCGTTTTATCAATCGCAGCCGTCCCTTTGGTTCGAGACTGCGGCAGATCCATCAGATCCATCAAGATCAGCGGACTGGTGCCATTGAGCGTGAACCTGTACAAAGCCGACCGATTCGTCACTGTCATCTCGGCATGCACGCCATTCGACAGATGGATCCCGAAGTATCCGGGATAGGCCTTGGGCGCAGTCTGGTTCCAAGTGACCGCCCTGTCTGACTGCTGCCATTTGCAGTGACTAAGGTCTAAACACGACTGCGCAAAGATGGGGAAGTTGCCCATGGAGGCTCCTCCGCCGGTTCCATCATCATGTTGATGACTGAAGCCGTAGACGGTATCATCGTCATAGGCAAATCCAGCTTGGTTTTCGCCGATGGTGTCGGCGACGGACTTGGCCATTCCTAAACTGTCAGCGAGCGCCTGGAGGTGATGCACGTGACGTACCGTAAGGCAATGTTGCGCCGGCGAATACGTGCCCTGAATCCGTCAGCGTGGTTCATGAAGTCGCATCACTAGTATCCCTACCGCCATTCGCCGTTCCAATAAATGGATCTATATAGTCCAGCACATCAAAGTCATCCTGCTGAGCTGACAGAGTGCTCTGGACAGCGTGAGCAACCGTGCCGTAAAGCGTGGCGGCAAGGGCGTGGGAGGGCTTCATGGTGATGCCACTGTGAACTGGGGAAACAGGCTGGGGAAGCTCTATTTAAGCAACGCATGTTGCATCGGCCTAACAGCCGCAGGGGAACATTCATAGGCTGGGGGGCATTCACTTCGGGTATGATCGACATGCCAAATTCCCGCTTTGGAATCGGAGCATGGCGGGGAACTCGCATGAGGGGACTGGGCCCCAGATCTTAATCCCCGTGTTAATGTTATAGCTGAGACTCACATCATGGAATTGCGATGAATGTCGAATAGCTTTTGATCGAGAAGGCGGGTTCCGATTGCCAATACGGCATCGAGCGTGAATTGACTGCCGGACAACCCGTGCAAGTTACTTGTCGTTGCGGGGATACAAACCAAAATGGGGAGAACGCTTTGATGGGTCTCCATGTAACGCTTCCAAGGTCGTATCGGGCAACTGCAGTCTAGAAGGAAATTGAGCTAACCAAAAATGTCGATTCACCTGGCCTGCTTGTTCTCACATACACCGAAGTCGAACTTTATATACCGGACCGGTTGAATTATCGATAAGAAATGTCATTGAGCTACTCAATTGAAATATGTACAGATCCTGCGAATATGAAACCACAGACACCGGCCTTGAACCGAGAAAGAATGGATATCGACAAACTAGCCGCCTGAATTAAAAAAACGAAGGTGGGCGGCGTGAAGCAAAGGTCATTAAGCTGCAGTCATCCAGGTCAAGGGGCCTGAACCTTGGGGAAGATTTTGTCAACATCACGTATTTGGCACGACGAATGACCGCAGCGCAGGGAGGTTCTTAGAATTGTTCGTAATTGGGTTCGCCCAACATTCCTATGATCGGATCTGGCCGTAGCCGCTGTTCCTCCACTCTGTGGCCCTCCACTCGCTTTGCTTCCAGTCGTTCTGGTAGTTCTGCATTTCGTCCCGCTCGTTGGCATGCTGGTTGTCACCGAGGGCGTTCTCAAGGCGGCCGTTGCGACGTTGACGCAAGCACCAGAAGAGAAACCCGGCCACGGCAATGGCGCCAACGACACCTGCGGCTACGTACACGCCAATATGAGCGCCTTCTGGGAGCTTGTTCCACTTATCGCTTACTGACTCAGAGGGCTTCTTGTTAAGGTCGTCGGCGATGGTTGAGTTTCCGCTAAAAGGGAGGAAGAAAAAAAGACGTTAGACATGTCACACATGGGTTTACGGGCGTACTCACTCAATAACCTTGATGCTCTGATAGGAGCCACTCCTGTTGCCATAAATGTATTCCTTGCCGGAGTGAAAGTCCTTCGCCCGGATGCTCTTGACACTCATGGTGAACGGCGCCTCATCCCAGTTGACCAAACCACCAGCCCACTGGATCGTCCACTTGCTGACACCAGGCAGACCCGCGGGCCAGATACTGACCTTGATCCGACAGGGAGTCTGGGGGTAGTTAGTACCCCCGAGCGTCAAAGGATCATCGTACGTGAGGTTGCGGGCTAATTGGCCGTCAACCCACCACTCCAGATAGCCCGAGGTCCAGTAGGTGGTATAGTTGTGCCACTCGCTGGCAGCGTTCTCCACAGGGAAAGTAGTACCGCGGCCGTATGTGGTCGTGTTACCCTTTCCAAAGAAGTCGGTCTGCACCGAGTTGGTGTCGTTGCCAACCCACTCCCAATCAATCTCGTCCAAGTCGTCGGATTCGAGCACGACACTGCTGATCATACCCACTCCGGGTGACATCTTGACCCATGACTCGACCACTCCGAAGAAGATGTAGAAGTTAGAAGTGACTAGGACTGCCTCGCCTTCCTTGGAAAGAGTGAAGTCTGCTCCGTCGTCGGTGTATGTCGGTGGCATGCTGTTGGTCATGTTCCAGATGTCCGTGTCGATCTTGGACGTCGAATTCATGTACCATGTGTGCTCCGTGCCGAGGGCCGTATCTGGTGGGCAGGTCTGATTGAGAGGGTTGCAGCTTGTCCAGGTTTGAGCAGCAGCCCCCAAGGCCAGGGCCGCCAACAAGAAGAAGCTTCTCATTGTGAACAAATTCTTTCCAAAGATGAATGAATGGACACGAGATCAAAGATCTCGATTTGAAAGAGTGGATGTGCGATATCGCACGGGTAAGGAATGAATATGGAAAGATGGATAGAATAGAGAAGACAGAGGTTGAGAAAGGGGAAATAACTGGGAAATGGGGAAGCGCCACAAGAGGGCTTCAGGTGGGCTAGCTGTAAGGAGCAATGATAGCATCGTAGGTTCTGCACGCCTAACTGAAAGGGGTGTAGTGCAAGGTACCGCTTGGCCTGATCAGGTCGATTTGGCTGTTCCTCGCGGGTCTATTGGCTGCTTCTCTTCTCCCTATCCGAGCTAAATTAGCTGGTGTTTGTGTCTCGCCCACTGCCACTCAAGGACCACTCCAGCCCATCACGCCTATTGGTCCCGATAAACGAGGATTTGCGGCTTCCTGCAGGCATCAGGGGACGCCTCCAGGTTCCCAGTTCTCAGTCCACAGTCGGCAATCCGCAGTTTGATAGTCCAATGCTGGAGTTCCTACATTCTTGGAACAAAAAACTCAGATCGATCGGAAGAATCCGCACGGTGGATCGGCGGGGCTCCGAGTTGTGGCCCAAAGTTAAGGAGGTTGACCCCAGCTAGACCGATAACAAGGAAAAGGGGGTAACCTCGTCCTCGTGGGAATCTCGTCGAGGAGCTGCAGTTCATCCCTGTCGTATGCGGTTTCTCTCCCCTCCAGGCTTTGCTCTTTGATTTCACCCCCCCCACCCCACTTACTCAAGCCACTAGTCTCACGAATGGGGCCCCCTTCCGAGTCGTCCTTCTCCCGAACCGGTGATCTTTTCTTTTACTGGGTTCGGGTCTCAATTGTATTTCTGATAAGGATCCCATCACACTATCTCCCTCGTCTATTCGCCAGTCCCAGAAAGATTCTAACAGCGAAGCTTTGGAGGCGTCGCGCACGTCGTTACGTACTCCGTTGAAATTTCAAACTCAGCCAAACTTAGTCTACCGGAACACACGGAATCGCACTCTGTGCTGAGTGCCACAGCATCATCTGGCTTGATTGTGGAACCTCAAGTGGCCAAGAACCCGCCAATAGCATGGAGAAGATGAACTATTTTTGCATTTCGAGGGTGATTTTTGTCTTTAATTAGCATCAAATTAATACTCCATTGCATAAGCCATGTAGCGGCAAGGCGTGTCAGTCGTGACTTCATGTCTTCTGAACTCTCATGAACCGAATCGTAACCTATCGTAATCATAAGCCCCATCCTACCCCTTGTTACCCCCCTTCCTATTCTGATCTCATTCAACTGCTGTAATAGACCTTCGTCGGGCGCCGCGGTTCACTCCGGTACCGTCGCGGCTTTTCAACATACTCCATGGTCGATCCATTGCTGCGTCTCCTGCGGGAACGGGTGCGACTTGTTGCTGGGGCAGTATAGACTGTCTCGGTCGTTGAAGAGCTGAATGGCGATGCACCCGGGAGTCGGCACAGTTTCCAAAGCCATAGCAGCAGGAGAGTACCCGCAATCGATCCAATCACGATCCCTGCGATGCCTCCGCCCGAAATGGTGCTAGGGCAACCCTCTGCGCGAGTGTAAAGGAGGGGTGCCTAGGACTGAGTCAGTTCCCGTCTATAAAGCATTGTTTTTCTTTCTCTTTTTGTTTTGTTTTGTTTTTTTTTTTGATTTTTTGGTTCGAGCCGGGATTGAGCCACGGATCAATACTAACCATGGCGAGCTTATTTATACTCCGTACTCCGTACTATTGTACCCAACGCAGCAATTGGTCTCTTGGGCGATCTTGGGTGGATGCGCCCGATCGCGAAGCAAGTGGGGTTGCGCGATGTTAGACCACTTGGCAGAGAAATGCAATCGGGAGAATTAGCCAAACGTCAAGAAACTATCGCATCGACTCGAGGACCCCTCTCCATCTTATAAATGCTTCCCCTCTTTTCCCGCCCATCCCAGCCTCCTCAGAAAGTTCCCGCGGTGACGTCAAATACCCGTGGACGCTATCGACTTTTCGGTTCAGAAAAACAGGATCTTTCAGCCGAGATGGGCTCTACACGCCCCGATTGGCCAATTCGCAGCTCGATTCGCCTCGCAAAAACCTGGCTCGATTCGCAATAGATAAAGTCTCAAGCTACCATTCTCACATGTTCCGGAGAATTTGTCAGTGATCTGCCAAACTTCGGGAGTGGCCTGCTGGGATCAATTCCCCAGGCCTGATCGATCACATGTTCGTCATGCGACCGTCAGTGGCAGAGTACAGTGGTGTTTCAGTATTATTTGCACCCCGGTCTATATCCCCGCACCAGCAACGAGAATTTATAGGAGGAGCCGCCACTTACCATAATCTCATGGCGGGACTCTACCAAAGGCAACTGCCCCGAAAGGCCACCCATGATAAATTTGCTGCTCTCCCTGAGCCGCGTCATCGTTGTCTCACTGGCAGTTTGCTTTATCTCTGAGGCCCTGGTATGTCCTCGGCCATCAATCCATGAGCTTAGGAATGTCACGGTCCACACATCTACTCTAGGCAGTTTTCTCCCCCAGCAATTGTGGTATCGATGTGATAACAGGTATTAATGAGCCTATTAATGGCACAGCAGGAACACTAATAATACAGTATAAGGATAACTACGGGGCTACCCGTCCCCATCACTCTCCTCTGGGGTCCTGCAACGCCTAAGCGTAGAAATAAATCGAGATCTTTCGGCTCGAGTGCGTCTGGTTTCGGGGCTGAGGCTTGGTGCTACCGTAGGTTTTAGCCATTTTGGTATGGCCTTTCGTATACCTCGAGACGAATAAATGAATGAGAGGTTGTTGGTCTTGGATCGGTTTTCTCTTGTGAACAAAGGAAACCGAGTGTTTCTGGTTTCGACTTTATTAGAGGATACACAGCGTACCTCGCTACCAATCCGGCGTTCTGGTTCAATTTCAATCTAAATTGGTAGAAAGGGCAGAAAAATTTGACATGGAGGTTTGTTCGGACAAAACCAGTTGGCAGTCGATGCTAAAGGTGGGAGGACGCGGCACAGCGCGGGCGAGCTGGAGCGCTTACGCAGATGCACCTCCCACAAGTGGCGCGAGAGGGATGTGTCTATAGTACAGGCGTAAATACAAATTTGCGAGGCATTCTGAGAATTAATTATACACAGCTTACCGATTTTGAAGAAAAATCATCCACCAATATACACCGCAGAAAACGATCGCTAAGACCGTGATCGCTGTGATGATCCCTCGAAGGACATGCCACAGTCTTGTGCCTGTCCCAAAGACTGCTTCTAAAGCTGTCAAAGGCATATTCTCAGCGATTTTTGAATTCAAAAATAAAAAGGGTTCAGATGGGCTCTTTTTGGACATAAAAGGGTTGTGTGCCAAAGCCTCATCCTTGCGCCGAAAACAGGGCCTGCTTTGATTGAGGCGCCCTAGAAGAAGCTTTTCATACTGCAAGATCGCAGGTACTATTCTGTAGATGAGCATTGTAAAGATAAGCAAAGTAGAGACAGCAGAATTGAAAGGCGAAGGAGTGAAAGGTGGGGGAGTAAAAGGTGAAGTGAAGAAGTGAAAAGTTGATAACTTTTATATTGTGAAAAAGTAATGGAAGTCAGAGGTTGAAAGTCTGCAGGACCTGATATTTATAGAGTAAGATATACCCTAGTAGGACTTCACAACACAGAGACGAGTCTAGTACTAGTAGCATTCTGAAGACCAACCGATGTTCCATACATGTGCATTCCCGATTCTTAAGATTTATAGCAGCAGCGGCTCCTTACACCTGGCCTAGAATAATGATTAGTTCTCCCCAACCTTATTCATCAACAGCATGGCATACTGGAGTCGAGTGGCCTAAGACTGAGGGATCGGTCTTAGCGGTCACGCACCCAATCATGCTACATCGAGCTCCAGAACCCCATATGTACTTGCGGCAATACGAAGGTCATTTGCTGAATCAGTACCTCCATGCCACCTGGTTCCTGCATGCCAAGTTACCCTAGTACCGGCAGTCCTCAACATTTGAAACCCCACTTAATGACACGCTACGCTATCATCCATATAACATATCGAATACTGTACTAATATCACAGCATCATTCCCTTCACCTGCCAGGGCATTTATCGATATAAACCATGCTCATACCAGAATACAACCTCCTAGTACCGGTACGGTGTGGCACCACGGTTCGGAGGTGTTCACGCTGCAATACTAATACCCTTTTTTCATGTAAATATAGTGGCAAGCCGCTGGTTGGAACATATTGAATAAGTTCAAGTCCCCAAGGTATATTCAAAGGGAAGAGGAAGAAAGATTACTAGACATCATGGCTGCTGGTAATTGCGATAACCTCATGCTCCACTATGACGACCCCGACTGCCCCGCATCGCCCGCTATTGATTTTCGCATCTTCAATTTGATCCGCCATGGCGAGCAACTTCGATCAGGTCATCTCTTTGCAGGGAGATGGGCTTGAAGTCCAAGGCCTTCTCAAGCGGCGAACCCCTTCGACTACGTCGCTGCCTCTGGTGGTGTTTATTCATGGCGGGGGCGCCAATGCGGCATATTTCGATAACTCAAGCTACTCGTATGTACTATTCCCAACTCCACACGCAACCCACTAACGATTCATTCCAGGTACCCTAGGGTTCTGAGCGAACAGGGCCACAATGTCCTGAATATCCAACGTGCTGGATACGGCGGTGTTTGCCTTCCTAAGACCCAAACACCTCTTCTCGATTCGGTATCTTTGATCACCAAGCTTATTGCCAATGTCTGTGAGACCGAGCAGTGCGGACAAGGGGGAGTGATTCTCGTGGGGCATTCGATGGGAGGAGCGATTGTGCTCGCCATCGCAGCCCAATCAAAGACTCCATTCTCCATTCTGGGCGTCAGCGCTCTAGGGGTCGTCCCTAGTCCCGAGAAAGGGACTCTTCTGCCAGATCCAGATCCCACCCCTAGTGAACCTCGCTATTCGATTGAGGATCCGCCTACTGTAATCAAAAAGTTCTTCGGGCCTTTTGAATGCCTTAACGAAGACGTGTTTACTGGCGACACGCTCCGGGCAGTTTTTGAGCCGGGTATGGATTGCGTGATCCGCTTGTGGGCGTGCTTTGCTAATCGGCTTCATCATGTCAGCTGTTAGATCGGAGTGTCGAGAATTTGCCGGGTCTGAGTGGTATCATCGGTTTCTTGACCATATTTTCCCTTCGATCAAGGTATTTAACGCAGACCTGATAAGATAACTGTCGTTAAATAAGAAAATAGGTCCCTGTTCAGTATCTTGTCGCAGAATTCGAGCTTTTCTGGAGTGGCTACGCCGAGGCCAAGCCGCAATTCGATCGGCTTGTCGGACTTTTTAGCTCATCCCCGTCTGTGGAAGCAAAGCTGCTTCGAGGTGGGGGGTCACAACTACGAGTTTACCAAACATTCAGCTGACCTCCACGAGCTCCGGTATCAGTTTATCTCGAAAATGGTGGGTTCTCACACACAACGGACGTGGCACAGATCGAGCTAAAAAAAAAAATGATAGTCGAAAGAAAGCACTTCGAAGCCTTGTTCTTTTGCTTCTATTCCCATTCTAAATTTTTCAGACGCTCTGTCTCCAGCAACCAAACCCGCATTCCTCGCGGAACTTCGGGAGGCGCTCATCAATGTTGGCTTTCTCTATCTTCGAAATCCACCCGTATCACCTGAGATCCAAAGTTCATTCTCAAAGAAAGCATATGAGCTCTTCGAACTGCCGCTGGAAAAGAAACTTGAAATTGAAATGGTTAATAGCCGACACTTTCTTGGCTATTCTAGGCTTGGGGCTGAGATAACGGCGTTAAAGCCCGACCATCGCGAGCAATTTGATGTGAGAAAAGCTTAAGAATTCGCTCACGTACTGGCATCAACTAACACTGTCGCTAGTTTGCAACAGAGCTGCCTGCACCGGGGCCTGATGAGCCTCTGTATAGGAATATCTGTGGTCCAAATCAGGTGAGAAGCCAGTTTCATCGTCCTCATGATCGCCAGCTCATTATAGGCCAGTGGCCCGATAGCACTGCGCTCCCGGGATTTCGTGAAGCGATTGAGAACTATATTGCACAGATTACCAACTTGTCTGGCAAGTTCACTGCTCTCATAGCCGAAGCATTAGATCTCCCGCCAAACGCATTCGACGAAGCATTCGACAACCCGCAGCAGCACAAGCTAAAGCTGATCAAATACCCACCACCTCCCCCTGATCACTCGGAGGCAACCGGCTTTCAGGGTGTCGGCCCTCATAAAGACTCCGGTTTCCTCACGTTCCTCTTACAAGCGACGCCTCACCATGGGCTCGAGGTGCAGAACAAGGCCGGCGACTGGATCTCAGCCCCACCAATCCCGGATACATTTGTGATCAACATTGGAAGAGCACTGGAAGCGATGACCGGCGGGGTGTGTACTGCAACAACGCACCGTGTCAGCTTGCTCAAAAAGAACTTTGTTGACTCCAAGGGTGCTTCTCTGGGGGCTCGCTTCTCCTTCCCAGTTTTCCAAGGCGTCAGCCCCGACCTGTCGGCGGATAAAATTACTCTCGTGGTACCGCAGCATATCCGCGACCTGGTCAAGGACGCCAAAGTCAAGTCAGATGCAGAAGCTACATTCAATCAGATGTTCAAGAGAAACCTGGGCGAGGGCACGCTGGTCGCGCGGGTCACGAGCCACCAAGACGTTGGACAGCGATGGTATCCCGAGATCCTGGCGCGTGCGCTTCAGGGCCAAAAGGAGTATGTAGCATGACTTCTCTCATATTAAACAGAATTTAATCACTGGACAACGTGGCCCCATTTCCCCGTTCCACATGGCTCAGGCGCGACAGACGATAGGGTGGCCGATGGCGGGTAATTACGAAGCGGGGCTGTAAGCTTAAAGGAATGTTCAGGAAGGCGGTACGCGTCGAAGAATCTCGAAGAAGCAGGTGAAGGGACTTTGTGGTCCGGTTTGGATTTCTGGACTGCTCAAGCTGTGTAATCTCTAGAACCTCTGCTTCCTGGGATTCGCCCCCTCAAACCATGCGGTGGTGGTCGGGGTTATTGGTTGGGCTTATCTCCGCCTCAGGGGTGATTGCGACCCCAACGGATGCTCTGTACGATCTCGTCAAACGAAGGCTGCCAAATCATGTCGGCGACTTTCGCTTCAGCTTGGTGCACAATTCCACCGTATCCGACGGATATGACCATTTCAAGGTCCAAACCACGTCGAACGGGACTGTGCTAGTTCAAGGGACTACTATTAGCGCGCTTTCTTCGGGGTATGTCCACGCTCGAGGCGAGAAAGTCGAGCCAGAAAACTAACTTCCGCAGGCTTCACCGGTATCTCACTGATGTCGCGCACGTCGATATTTACTGGTTCATTGGGAGCCGCTCTTGACGTCGCGCCTTCCAAGCTCCCCCGTCTTTCCTCCCCCATCCATGGCTCCAGCACAGTCCCGTGGAGATATCACTTCAATACAGGTAAGGACTAGGTTGTTGCTCACCCCGGACGTCTGACTAACAAGGACAGTCACATTCTCTTACACCTCGGCCTTCTGGACATGGGAGGACTGGGAGCTACAGCTGGACTGGCTCGCTCTCCGCGGCGTCAACTTGCCCTTGGCGTGGGTTGGTGTGGAGAAGATCTTTCTTGAGGTCTTCCAAGAGATCGGTTTGACGGATGCTGAAATCGCAGCTTTCTTCAGCGGACCAGCCTTCCAATCATGGAACCGCCTTGGCAACATCCAGGGCTCCTGGGACGGCGACCTGCCGCTTCAATGGATCGATCAGCAGTTTGAGCTTCAAAAGAAGATTGTCCGCCGGATGGTCGAGCTCGGAATGACCCCTGTTTTGCCCGCTTTCAGTGGATTTGTTCCATCCAATATCACTCGCGTGTGGCCAGATGCGAGCGTTGTCCGGGGATCGGCATGGGAGAGGTTCCCTACACAGTATACCCATGACTCCTTCCTTGAGCCCTTCGACAAGCACTTCTCGGAGATACAGTCCAGATTCATTAAGAAGCAGGGTGCCGCGTATGGCCAGGTGAGCCATATCTATACTCTGGATCAATACAACGAGAACGACCCTCTTTCTGGAGATCTGGACTATCTGCACAATGTTACCAACAACACTATCATCAGCTTGAAGAATGCGGACCCGAAGGCCACCTGGATGATGCAAGGCTGGCTATTCTCTTCGAGCGAGGACTTCTGGACCGACGAGCGTGTGGAGGCGTATCTGTCCGGCGTGGGGAACAATGACGACATGATCATCTTGGATTTATTCTCAGAAAGCTCTCCTCAATGGATACGGACCCAATCCTATTACGGGAAACCCTGGATCTGGTGCCAACTCCACGGGTACGGCGGCAACCAGGGCTTATATGGTCAGATCTCCAACGTTACTCAAAACGCGACCCAAGCCCGAATCGATTCGCCTTCTATGGTCGGTTACGGACTAAGTATGGAGGGCCAGGAAGGCAACGAGATTGTTTACGATCTCCTCCTCGACCAGGCATGGTCTTCCAAGGCTATTGATACAGAGAGCTACTTCCATGATTGGGTCACTAGTCGGTACTCTGGCTCTCGGGACGATCCCCAAGGCTCTCTATGAGGCATGGGAGATCATGCGAACTACGGTGTACGACAATAAGAACTCCACGGTGGAATCCGTGGTCAAATCTATCTTCGAGCTCCGCCCCAACATCAGCGGCCTTGTCGGCATTACCGGACACCACCCCACAGCCCTGACCTACGACCCTTCGATTGTGGTACGCGCATGGCAACTGATGACCAATGCTACCAAGTCACAGCCGACGCTATGGAACAACCCGGCGTATCTATACGACACAGTTGATGTTACACGGCAAGCGCTCGCCAATGCTTTCATTCCCCTGTACACCGATCTCATCTCGACCTGGAACAGCTCTAACTCGTCGCAGACAGCCATCTCGCAGGCCGGTGACAAGATGATTCATATCCTAACCGATTTGGACCGTGTCCTCGGGACGAATGAGAATTTCCGCTTGTCCACCTGGGTCAACTCGGCTCGCGCCTTAGCGAATGGCAACGAGACCCTTGCTGCATCTTATGAGTACAATGCGCGAAACCAGATTACCCTCTGGGGGGCCTCGGGGGGAGGTTCACGATTATGCGTCCAAGCAATGGAGTGGCCTTGTCTCCTCGTACTATGTACCACGATGGACCATATTTGTTGATTACCTGAAGGCTACCCCTCCTGCGTCTTTCAATGCGACGGCCCTGGATGCGAAGCTCCTCGAATTTGAACTTAGTTGGCAAACGTCAAATGCAACCAAGTCTACCTCAAAGCCCGCTATCCACCTGAGGGACACACTGGCGGATGTAAGTCGCAGATGGTCTTCTGTTTTCCAAGCTGTTTGAACGCCTGCAACTTTGTCTCAACCGCAGGCAAATCCTTGTCAATTATTAGCGATAGACCACAGGATGTAGACCGTTGTTCTACACCACCCGAGATGATTTCCTCGGCACCTGTCAGAATATATGTACTTTCATTAGATCAAACTTATGCTGATCACCATGCTAATTGTCCCCTTATCCATGGAAGATGAACCACTTCTACGGTTTCCAAGTACCAAAGGTAGCAAACCCTAACTCCTAGTCAGATAACCCGCGGGGTCCGTGCAGGTCCAGAACTCCCCAGCCCCAACGGCCGCGGTCCCCTTATCGGTCAATCGGCCCCGGAATCCCTGAACAGCAGGATTTCAGAACGATTAGAAATACACCCGCTTAACTCCGGGCCCCCCGCTCCCAATTCTCTTAATATTGCTTTTCATCAGCTTGGCCATTCCATGTGGCAGCTTCATGTCTCTCCAAAATGGCCGAATCACCTGAAGTCCCAACAGAACAAACGCCGCTTGTTGGCGACGCGGCCAATGCCAAGCCCAAGATAAGCTTCGCCAGAGGGCTTGGGATCATGATTCCGATGGGATGCTTGATCCTTATCCAGAGTGAGCTGCGATAATACGATGCGGGGAATTCGATAAGCTGACGCCTTTGACCTGAACAGCTACCAATATCTCGATGATGACGACGGCCCAGTCCCAGGTAGCGGCTGATCTGGACGCGTTCGCAGAGACAACGTGGTTTTCAGCGGCCTTTATGGTATACTGCTTGAATCAGATTTTGTCCTATCATGAGACTAATTGGTTCAGATTGCCGTCTCGAGTGTTCCCCCATTAACCGGCCGGTTGTCGCAAATATTCATGCCCCGATCCATTCTTCTCGTTTCGAGTATTGTACTCTCGATGGGTCTTTTCATCACTGCAATTGCTCCAAACCTCGCAATCTTTCTTCTAGGCCGTGTTGTGTCAGGCTGCGGCAGTGGTGGCTTGACAAGTGTTACTATAATCTTGGCTTTGGATATCGCCACTCCAGATCGACGGGGGATTCTTATTGGCCTCATTAGCTTGGCATTGACCACCGGCCTCTCCTTGGGTGCGATCATTGCGGGAGCATTAACCCCCACATTGGGATGGGTATGTGATATGTCCTTCCAAGGCTGGACAATCAACTGACATTCTTTGAGCGCTTCATATTCTGGATCCAAGCTCCTTTGGCCCTTATATCGGGGCCGTGTGTTTATCTCGCTTTCCCGCGGGCATCTACAGGAAATGGCAAGAAAGAACCAGAGGACCTGTGGACAAATCTCGCGCGGATCGACTATGCTGGAGCGATTACATTTGTAAGTCCCTTTCAGTGGCTTATCCGGGCTACGCTAACTTTCTAGACCTCTGCTCTCACGCTTCTCCTGACAAGTCTTGCTTCGCCCGAAGTGCTCATTTGGCCCATTCCACTTTCGATCGTCCTGTTTGGTTTGTTCTTCGTAATCGAAGGTTTATGGGCCCGAGAACCTATAATACCGCTCCACGTCTTCTTTACCCGCAGTGTTCTGTTCAGTGCTCTAGCCGGCACTGGCTTGATGATGTCCCGCTGGAGTGTCATCTTCTATAGCCCGATCTACACCATGGTTGTCCGGGAATGGTCCCCTGCGTCCGCCGGGCTTATACTAATTCCCACCAACGCAGGCTTTGGGCTTGGAGGGCTCTTGGTGGGAATCCTTCACATCCGTAAATCGGGCAGCTATTATCTGTGAGTGCCTATGCTCGAGAAGGACTCAACTCTAAGCTTACTCTCGCTCTAGATCTTGCGTCGTGACTTTCATTGTGTACACACTGACCACATGGGCGCTTGCCATACTCTCCACTCCCGACTCGCCAATACCGCTTTTTATGATATTCACGTTCTTGAATGGTCTCACGTGTGGGGCACTGATGAATTACTCAATTTCGCACATGCTGCATCTAACCCTACCAAGCATGCATTTTATCGTGAGCGCGATATTCACCACGTTCCGTGGCTTCTCTGCTAGCTGTGGCTCCGCTATTGGGGGGCGGCTTCTATACTCGTGTGCTCAAGGGAGCATTGGAAAGAGGCTTCGCTGAGCATGGCTTGCCACCCCAACCAGATCTGGTGCGGACTCTTCTAGGTAGCCCCGCGACTGTTATGCGACTTGAGGGAGTCAAGCATCTTGTTGCTATACAGAGCTATGAGCAGGCGATTCGCGCCCTGTTCTGGGCGGGCGGTGGGTTGACTGTGCTGGCCACAGTGCTACAGGCGGGCACAGGATGGACTGCTCCATATGAAGAGATTTCTACGGAGGAGGCAGAAACCTCGTAAAATTTTCTAGTTCTCCGTAAGAGACTGCCAATATATCAGCTACCATACCAGTATGAGAGTGCGTGATCTGGTCAATCAATACAGCTTTTCATACGTCTCCCGTACTGAGCACATACTAGAACCTGACTTGGCAGTGAGTATACCCGCTTCGTATACTCACTGCATAAAAAAAATCGAAGAAGAGGAGAATAGAAAATATCATATAAAAAATAGTAGCATCAGTTGACATTTACTCGAGTTCTAGCGAAGGCTGCGAACATAAAGTTGATCTACTGCCGCAAAGTTTCTGCCTTGCTGCCTGGATCTTCACCCGCTCGATCTCTCAGCCTCCGATCCTGCCTACCTCTCTTACAATCTACGTCCTCAATCGCCCAAGCCATCCAGGGGGGCCCTCGATCTCAAAATGCCACGTGCAGTCAAAGGTAACTCGTCTATTTTCACCATTGTGTGCCTTCCCGCTTATGCCACCCAGGCCTGCTCATCGAATGCGATCCCTCAATCAAAGCCATGATCCAAATGTACGACGAGGAGCGCCATGACTACATCGTGGAGGACCTGGATGACGACAGACACCTAGTAATCAAAGAGAGCCAGCTCGAAAACCTGAAAGCGCGTCTCGATCAGGTACGTGGTGTCGCCGCGCTCCGTTCTGGGCTATGAGGAACTTCGCGGTCGCAAAGCTCAATCTAAACTCCTTGCAGGACCTCGATGCCAAGATCGGTGGATTAGAAGACTCCGAGTCTGAAGGGCAATGATTGCTCTTGCCGTTTCAAACCTCCGAGTTGCAGCCACACACATGTCCCGATCGCCTTTACCATCCAAGCCTCGAACAACCATCCTTCTCGATCTACCCTCAGTCGGAACTTTCCATGCCCCCAGATACCAAATACAGGCTTGTCCCTTGGGATAAGCGTAGGGATACTCTCTGGGGAATATGTACAAGGGTCTCTTTATTGGGCCTGAGATAAAGCGCATTCAATGATTTCGTTGCAGGGCCTTGAGGACCACTCTTCTGATGAGGCCATGCGCCGAATTGTGCCGTTCAGCCTCACCTACGACATATCGGTACATGCGCCTCCCCTCCGAGGATTCTCATATTAGGGAATGGGCGCCTGAAAACTTCGCCTCAGACGCGTCCGCCCATTACATCCACATTCTGCAAGCTGCCTGGCGTACGATCGAAGTAGACAAGCGGTCAACTCTGATGAGTGAACCTTTGGCCATCTCCAAGGACCTTGTATTGTCTTTGACGAGGCCATTGATTATCGGGTTGGTCAATATCACGTGATAACATTGGAACGAATTGTACTTTGGCATTTCCATCTAGCTGACAAGTCAACGAAACACCACCTAGAAAACCAAATTCATTTGAACTAAAGCTGCTGCGCGTTGCTCAGTAATTGCTTGGATGACAAGGTCTACCTACTCTTAGGTACGGCATTGATAGCCCTGAAGCTGCTCAAGGTCATCTTCGAAGTTAGAATACAGATTTGCCGCCGAAAGCTCTCGATTGGCCACGAGATCCCCCCTCCATCGAATTGGGCTACATGCCCCTGGTATAGGTCTAGAAGAATCGGTGCTGGTCCACGGAATGCTCTGGAGAATCCCAGGGCCCCAAGCGACTGTCTCGAAGAAATGTCACGTGACTGTAGAATCGGGGGGCGTAGAAACGTGGAGAAAGATCCACATGCAGCGGGAAGGGCCGATCATCTTCAGAGGTACATCAGGCAACCTCTCGAAGCTGCCACAACATACCACAACCTGCCACAATCTGCCAGTTACACTGACAGCTTCCACATGATGAAAGAATAACGTAGCTCTGGAAATTTCCAGATAGCCTAACCATGTCTATATAAGCAGTCTCAGGACCTAAGCTCTCACCATCATCAGCAATCAAATCACACAGCATTCTACAAAGCGCTTAAGCTCTCAAGCCTCCAAGCTCTCAACATCTCAAACGCTTCCACATCTCTCAACAACTACCAACTTCAATCCAAAATGTCTCTCTTCCGCGCCAACTTCCCTGGTCAGGGCGACTTCGCCCCTCTGTTCCGTCTTCTGGACGACTACGACACCCACCGCAACACCCGCACTCGCGCTACTCCCTCTTTCAGCCCTAGCTTCGATGTCCGCGAGACTGATGACTCCTACCACCTGGACGGCGAGCTTCCTGGAGTCGCCCAGAAGGATGTCGACATCGAGTTCTCCGACCACCAAACCTTGGTCGTGAAGGGCCGCGTTGAGCGCGAGTACCACAGTGAGCCCCAGGCTGAAAGCGGCCACAAGGCCACTGTCGAAGACGAGGGATCTTCTAAGGAAGTCGAAAAGAAAGACAAGGCTCAGCCTAAGCACCGCTACTGGGCTCACGAGCGCTCTGTCGGCGAGTTCCAGCGCACTTTCACCTTCCCCTCGCGCGTGGACCAGGACGCTGTCAAGGCTTCCCTGAAGAACGGCATCCTTTCCATTGTCGTTCCCAAGTCGAATGGCGCTGCTTCCAAGAAGATTACCATTGAGTAAGCTTTTGCTGCTCATTTGCTTCCCGCCTTGAGTCGACTTCTCAGTTGACGACTGGGTTTCATTCTACGATCTACGACTTTTTGAGTTCTCATTCATTTGCATTGCATTTTTATGGAAAGCGCAGCATGATGTACTTTAGTGGGATTAATTGACATTCCTTAATTCACATTAATTGACATTCCTTGATCAACGAAAATCATTACAATTATGCGCATATACGTAGGCTATATATTGTAATACTCTTAAAGCTGGATTTTTAGAGGCGTGGTCGCAAGTTGGTTCCTAGCTATAAGACAGTTTCACATGGGTTGGATGTCTCACATGGGTTGGATGTCTCACATGGGTTGGATGTCTCACATGGGATGGATGTCTCACATGGGAGTTAGCCTCCGGCGTCCAATTCTTCGCCAATATCTCATGTGGAGGATTTCAATTTTCAGTTCACTACAAACTACAGGTCATCCACCTAGTATCATGGGATTTCCAATCATCATTCCCAAATGAGAAATTAACATCTAGAACTGCTGGATCTGAAAGCCGTTGTTATCGGGCCTTATCACATCTTACGCGGACCGAGGCAACAAGCTGCGGGCGTCGAATTCCAGCCGAGGAAGCGCTTTGTTCAACAGTCTCAAAGCTCCCAACTTATTCGAAAGCGTTAACTGCCTTCGCTCCTGCAGTATATCCAAACTGATGATTTGAGCTACCCCCAGTCTCGAGATCTTCAAATTACCCTTTTGAGCCCGCCCCGACCGCAACATCCCCAGCTCTCCCCACATTCACCATGGCGCAAGGCTACTCCTTCAAATACTTCAATGTCGACTTCCCGTCAAGCAGCCCGTATGTCGCGCACGTCGAGATCAACCGAGCCGACAAGCTGAACTCCTTCTTCGAAGAGTAAGGAATAGCTCAATTCCCCCAACCCCCGCTAATCAACCTGTACTCACGCAACACAGCATGTGGCTCGAATTGCGCCAAGTCTTCGACAAGCTCTCCACCGACCCCTCCGTGCGTGCAATTGTCCTCACCGGCGCAGGCGACAAGGCCTTCACCGCTGGTCTCGACGTCAAGGCCGCTTCGCAGGGCACACTATTCGAGGGGGGAGCCTCCGACCCGGCGCGCAAGGCATGGGGCATGCGGCACCACATTGTAGAGTTCCAGGACTGCATCACGGCCATCGAGCGATGTGAGAAACCGGTCATCGCAGCCTTGCACGGCTTCTCCTTTGGACTCGCCATCGACATCTCCTCGGCGGCAGACATCCGCGTGTGCGCGCGCGACGTCAAGTTCGCCGTGAAGGAGGTGGACATTGGACTGGCGGCGGATATCGGTACCCTGAGCCGGCTTCCCAAGATCGTAGGGGAACTACGGGTGGGTGAAGGAGGTTGCGCTGACGGCGCGCACCTTCGGCGCAGAGGAGGCGCTGCGGGTGGGCTTGGTCAATGCGGTCTATGAGAATAAGGCGCGGGCCGTCGAAGAGGCGTTCAAGCTGGCGGCGCTGATCGCGTCTAAGAGCCCCGTCGCCGTGCAGGGCACCAAGGAGATTTTGAACTACTCGAGGGATCATACTGTATCCGAGGGTCTGCGGTATACGGCCGTGTGGAACAGTGCGGCGCTGCAGACCACAGATGTCAACTCGGCATTGTTATCGGGGATTCAGAAGCGGACTCCGACCTTTGAGAAGCTATGATCGGGTCTTCAAACGGTTAAACCTCCCTTGTACATGACCCCACGGGGTGACCAGGCCAGTATATGGGTCTCTGTAGATGTTGCCTGAACTGTTTTATGAACGCTGGTTATATATCGCGATGCGGATAGGTACGTGCTAGGAAACACTAAGAAAGATCGAAGTATTACTGCCTGCTTACCAGCAGAGCAAAATACAAGTCAAACAAGGCGAACATTTGCAGACCATAGAGTAGGTATATATGGCTAGCATATTCTATACGCTTAGGGAGGAAATTGTTGAGGCCTTCTATCCTAATGAACCATACCCCTCCGAGCCCCGATGGGGCGCATTCGCGCAGGCTTTCTTCAAGGCTTTGCTTTGGAGCATTGGTTGGGCACCACAGAATTCCCGGTCGATTGCTGATACAAGCACTATAATAAGACAGGAAAACTAAAGATGACGACTGACGGTTCAGATTTATGCTCAGCTTTTCGCATTATGTCCATTGCTATAAAAATCAAATCAGGGGTATCTTGTTTCGCTGGAAGAATAGGAGAGAATAAGCCACTCGCTTCACTGGGTCTCATCCATAATGACTCGCACGATGCCCCTCTTCTCCACACGTTGGTAGTACTGGTGCAAGTTGCTGAGACGTGCATCGAAAGGTCCATGGGTCTGGACTATTTCCCGCAAGACCGGCCAGAGCGCGCAGTCATCGATACTGAAAACGGTCCCTCCAAGGTAGTGCTGCCCCTCTAAGCCACGCTCCCAGTGACGGAGGGCAAATTCGAACCCCCCCGGAGGGCTTGCCAGGGCTGCTCTCCCGCGAATATTCGAGTAATTCTTGGATCCATGAGAGATGACTCCCACCGCGGAGGATTTCAGTTCCTGGCCGCGCAGGATCAGCGGGCCGCGAAGCCAAGTGTTTCAATATAGCCAGGTCGCCTGACACAGTTAAGCCCTGGGGATCTGTGTACCGGGGCAGTGGGCTCTTGTTGCTGTCTTCACCGGCCATGGCGGCGTTGCTGACTTCATAACGGAGACCATTTTCCCCGAGCCCCATACGCACCCGCAAATCTGCCACTGGGTCTCCGCTCAGGACAAGTTGTGCTGGAGGAGACGCAGTGACGAAATTCACCACGTCAAATCCACTGCCGTAGACCGCATCCCAGTCAAATTCGCTGGCTTTGTTTTCGTGTCCGAATGCACGGATCAACCGTTCTGTCTCTTGAGGGTGACCATGAATTATTGGGCGAGCTTGGTCGCGAGTCTTGCTCACGGCACCCTGGCCCCAGATGACATTAGCATGTGGATCTAGATAGGTGCCGATATGTCTGAACGTGAGGGAAATTCTCTGGCCACCAAAGGCTTGCTCTTCTGGAGACTTGGTGTACGCTGGGCGTTTATCTGGTCTGATGCCATGTAGCCATCGCATGTTGGTCTTCTCGCCCAGCACAAAAAGGGATTTGTGTGGCAATGGGACCCGCTGCGTGACTCGTGCAGGTTCCGTGCCTTCGATAGATGCAGCAGAAGTTTTGGTCCGCAGTGTCATGGAGCGTTGGGCTCCCAGACTCACATTGCAGATGAACGAGCCTCGAGTGATGTCCAATGTTTTATCAGAATGCTCCGAGATATTGTCTTGGCCATCGCGATAGAGCTGGATAAGCACATGGTTCAATGGATGACCAACAGCCTGTTCTGCGGCTACTCGGGCTTGGTCGACGGCGGGCGTGAATTCCTTCAGCGGCGGAGATTCATCGGCTGGGTGTCGATATATGGGTATCGCACCATCCGGGTGAACGTGGCCTTGCACAGCTACTAGTCGTGGCACCTGCCCCGAGAGATGGAACATCTTCTGCCACGAGACCTCCTCCAAGAGGCGATCGAAAATCCCATCCGGAAGATCAAGCTCTGGTACCAGACGAGAGTCCCCTTCGCCGAAATCAGAGCTGGAACCCATAGTAGCCGGAGTTGGTTGGTTGGACGAGTGATTGTGTTGTGCCTCCTGGTCTGGTGTCTCTTGACGTTTGGACCGACGAACCCGTACACGTGGTTTCATTTTGCTGTCAGAAGAGGGCTTGTCAGGAGGCCTCCTGTACCCCACAGCAGCGCGATGTGCTCGTGTTCTTGATATCAGTTCAGCAATACTGTTCACCTTGTCTTCTTGGGGATCATTCGGCGGCTCTTCCTCAGCATGGACTCCGAAGCTCTCCAGGATACCTTCAAGGCCAACCGAGGCCCCGTCAACTCGTCTTGGTGCGGGCGCGGGTGCCCGGGCGATCGTGTTTGTCTCCTGCCAATCCAGCTCTTGCAAAAGCTCATCAGTGCTCAGGCCAGTAGCTCCCAGGATATCTGCCATGCGGCGCATGGCCTCGCGATGGCGTCCGAAATCACGAAACCCCAAGCAATCCTCGACTAAGGTGACTGCAAAACCATTGTGCACGGCATCTAATGCGGTCGCATATACTGAGATATTTGACAGAGATCCGCCAATGTACACCTCTGTCACAAAGCGAGTCCGAAAACGGAGCACTAGATCTTTGGACTCCAGAGCAGAATACGCAGACTTATCTAGCACGATATCCTGATCGGGGTCTATGGCAGCGAGCACAGGCGCGGGGAATTGAAACCCCGGCGTCTGGGCCGCACAGCATCTAGGCGAGCTGGTGGACAGGAAGGCTTCGTTTTCGACAGGGTCTCGAGAGTCCTGGTCCGATTCAGCCTCGATTACATCGGACTGGGGCATTGCCCGTCGTCGCGGGGGCTCATTGCCCAGCACAATGCGGTCGCCAAATGCCCAGTTGCTGATAGCCTGGGGGGACTCGTACAAAGAGCGCACCCAGATCACATCGCCAACTTTGCGGAATGCCGCCGCCAGGGCCGGCAATGTCTCTAGGATGTCCGGGGTATTTGGAACATGGAGAGCTCCCGAGGGCGGACGAAGTCATTCTGAAAATCGAGGAGGAGCAAGGCCTTTCGGGTTTTGATTACGGGAATATCACCAAATGGAAAGGAGCTCATCGTCTGCACATACGGATCCGCATCCGCACGGGGAAGAGGGGGGGAAGCTCGACACGCTGGCTGTGTGGGGGACGAAGATGGACACCTGAGGCAGCGGGCCTGAAAATTACTCAGAGTATTCGGGCTTCTGGGGCGTGTCAAGGGGCAGAGAAACGTTCGGAGGTGGCTAGATCTTCCAGGGATTCCCGCACCGTTTTATTTCTTCATGCAGAGGGGGCTCTGGGAGGGGTTGGCCGCTTCTCGGTTCAAAAGGCGATTGAATACGTCGAGTCCATCGTGCCGGGTCAGCTCAGTAGGTGCTATTGGCTCTGCAGGTGTGATTCCGGGCCGTTGGGTGTAGTCCGTGGAACATCCAGTACAGAGTCATGGCTGCGAATGCTTCACAATGGGCTTCAGGCTGCATTTGATGCTATAAGAACCTATACAGTAATCCATCGACGATCGACGAGTTGGCCTTGGTCGGGGGGTGCTCACCACTGGCGATTATGACCAATCAGAGGTGGCGCAGATGGCCGGTGTCGGCCGGGGAGGAGTGTCTTCTCTCCGGAATGTATGAGTCGAGGAATTGTGGAACCGAAACTCCACTGCAGCTCTCGATTTCTTTCCCCCCCCCAGACATTTAAACTCCCTCTCTTCCCCCCTCATCCCCAATCCCTCCCAATTACTCTCTAACTCTCCACTCTAAACCCTCACATTCACAATGGCTTCTCGTGGTCTTCCCCGTGCCCTCCGTCTGGCCCGCGCGGCTGCTCCTCGCTCCGTCGTGACTGCTGCCCTTCCCCGTCCTGCCTTGGCCAAGATTGTTCCCCGGGCAATTGCGCCCGTCACTCCCGTCCGTGGTATTAAGACCATTGACTTCGCTGGTGTCAAGGAGGATGTCTACGAGCGTGCCGACTGGCCCCGTGAGAAGCTCCTGGAGTACTTCAAGAACGACACCCTTGCTCTCATCGGTTATGGCTCCCAGGGTCACGGCCAGGGTCTCAACATGCGTGACCAGGGCCTGAACGTCATTGTTGGTGTCCGCAAGGATGGTGCTTCCTGGAAGGAGGCCATCCAGGACGGCTGGGTCCCCGGCAAGAACCTGTTTGATGTCAACACGGCGATTGAGAAGGGTACCGTCGTCATGAACCTCCTCTCCGATGCCGCCCAGTCCGAGACCTGGCCCGCCATCAAGCCCCTCATCACCAAGGGCAAGACCCTCTACTTCTCCCACGGTTTCTCCCCCGTCTTCAAGGACCTCACCAAGGTCGAGGTCCCCAAGGACGTCGATGTCATCCTCGTCGCCCCCAAGGGTTCCGGCCGTACCGTCCGCACTCTCTTCCGTGAGGGCCGGGGTATCAACTCCTCCATTGCCGTCTACCAGGATGTCACCGGCAAGGCCAAGGAGCGCGCCATCGCTCTCGGTGTTGCCGTCGGCTCCGGCTACCTCTACGAGACCACCTTCGAGAAGGAGGTTTACTCCGACCTGTACGGTGAGCGTGGCTGTCTCATGGGAGGTATCCACGGTATGTTCCTTGCTCAGTACGAGGTTCTCCGTGAGCGCGGCCACTCCCCCTCCGAGGCCTTCAACGAGACCGTCGAGGAGGCTACCCAGTCTCTCTACCCCCTCATCGGTGGTAACGGTATGGACTGGATGTACGCCGCTTGCTCCACCACTGCCCGTCGTGGTGCCATCGACTGGTCCAGCCGCTTCAAGGACAACCTGAAGCCCCTCTTCAACGAGCTCTACGACAGCGTCCGTGACGGTACCGAGACCCAGCGCTCCCTCGACTACAACAGCCAGCCCGACTACCGTGAGAAGTACGAGAAGGAGCTCGATGAGATCCGCAACCTCGAGATCTGGCGTGCCGGCAAGGCTGTCCGCTCCCTCCGCCCCGAGAACCAGAAATAAATAATATTGTGATACCTACGGAGGAAGAGTTTGGATAAAAGTTATGATGTACTATGAACTTATTTTTGGGCTTTGCATAATCCAATATAGGCAATAAATGCCATTTCACACGTTCCACCTTGTTTCTTCCCCCTCCCCACTTTTAGCTATGTAACCTCCATGCTTAAAGATTAGTTCGCCTTTGGAGGGACGATCGCCTCAGCCGCGCATGGCCTCTCCATATTTAAATGACCTTAGTGTAAACCCACTTCAGAGCGAGCATTTTTTTTGCTCAGTTCAAAAAGCCTTGACTTTGTCCTGAACTATCGGTCATTCCAACAAAGATACTCGAGATCACACCATTTCCTCTTACCCTGCGAACACACGGACAAAGACCGTGAGCTCCCAACCGATCGACCCCGCACTACCCAATAACCATAAGCACCTCCGGTCCGAAGGCCACATTCATCCTCCCTACAACTCGAATCCTCGAACCCAACCCTCCCAAGGTCGCCTCAGAATGTCGACTCCAGCCGAACAGGCCCAATTGCTCACCGCAGCCCGAGTCCAAGCTGCATACACCCTCATCCAGCCGTACATCCACAAGACGCCCGTCCTCACCAACAAAACCCTCAACAGCATCGCCTCGACGCCGCAAACCGCCGACGCACTCGCCGGAACACCATTCGCAGGACAAACACCCGCACAACCGCGCATCCGCTTCCACTTTAAATGCGAGAATCTGCAGCGCATCGGCGCATTCAAGGCGCGCGGGGCTTTCCATGCGCTGCTGCGGTTGATCGAAGACCGGGGGGAGGAGGAAGTTCAGCGGCGGGGAGTGATCACGCATAGCTCTGGTAAGCCCCCACTGACCCAATTGATAGCCCGCGAGCGAAGGGGAAAGGGGGTTTCGTCCTTACTAACGCGGCTTTGCGACAAGGCAACCATGCACAGGCACTTGCGCTCGCGGCGTCAACGCTCGGCGTCCCCGCCTACATCGTGATGCCGGAGATTAGCACGACGTCCAAGATCGCCGGGACGAGAGCGTACGGGGCACAGATTACTTTCAGCGGGTCGACGAGTGTTGAGCGCGAGGCTGTTGTTGCGGAGATCCAGAGCAAGACGGGTGCGATACTGATTCCGCCGTATGATCATTTCGATATTATCTGCGGGCAGGGCACGACGGCGCTGGAGCTGGCTGGGCAGTTGGCGGAGATTGGGGAGGAGCTTGATGCGGTGATTACGCCTATTGGAGGTGGAGGGTTGAATGCCGGTGTTGCGACTTTCTTTTCGGATAAGACGACGAAGGTGTTTGGGGCTGAGCCTAGTTTTCAGGGTGCCGATGATTGTCGGCGTGGGCTTGAGGCGGGGCAGCGGATTGAGAAGGTGTCGACGCTGACTATTGGGGATGGGCTGAGGACGCCTGTCGGGTTGCTTAATTGGGAGGTTATTTCGGATCAAAAGAAAGTTGAGGGCGTGTATGCCGTCACAGAGGAGCAGATTAAGTCCACTATGAAGCTGGTTCTGGAGCGCATGAAGGTTGTGGTGGAGCCGAGTGCGGTGGTCGGACTTGCCGTCTGTCTGTTCGATGAGGACTTTAGGCGACGCGTAGAAAAGGAGGGAGGTGAGGAAGGTTGGGATATTGGGGTTGTGTTCAGCGGAGGCAACACGACCGTTGAGGCGATCGCTAAACTTTTCGGCTGAAGATAATTGTATAGTTACCGATAGACCTTTGAGGGCATCCTAGCATCAGGGACTTAGTAGTATCATTCAGGCAAGGGTATCTCGACTCCTGATGCCTTAACATAGAAGGGAAAGCTGCCTCCTGTGTAAGAGATTCCGTCCACTACACGTCGAGGCCACTCTTCGCGTCCCCAGGCATTGACCCAAGCTGAGAACTTGCCCTGCAGGACCACACTTTGCCGCATTGAAGCTTCACTTCTAGCATCATGCGCACTCATGGTTGGAGGAAACGGCCAAACCGTATCACGCTGAACAACTAGGCGAAGAATGGGGAAGGTGCCCCATGGTGCCGGCAGGGCTGGTCGAAGCGCCGGTGTCCGAGATGACGGTTGGTCGAAGGGGCCAGGAGGCCCGGTGTATTCAGTGCTATTTTTCGCGGGTCGTGCCTCAGGGACGGTGGATGTGAATACCACTGCAGAGCCAAAACGGCTTTGCAGCCGCTTCAGCTGCTTGACAAGCTCAGCGTAGAGGTCGGAGACAAAAAAGCTGAGTTTCAATTCCCGCTCTCGCTCGATCTCCGCTTGTGGGCGTCCTATATCTTCAGTGCGAGCAATCTCGTCCCGCAAACGATCCAGCCAAATGAAAGCAGTGGCACTGTCAATTGCGATCATCTGCAACGGACGCGATGCGGAATAGTGGCGAGAAATGTCATATAGGTACTCATCCAGAGATTCAAGAGTAGCTAAGAGAGCAGAAGACGACTCAGGTCGAAAGACATGAACATGCTTAAGAGCAGACAGGAGGATTGCCTCAATGTCGTCTGCTGATACGTCCGACTCTTCTCCAGATCCTTCGCGGTCCATTGACCCGTAAGACTTGCGTACGATCGCCCGGGCTATGGTTCGTAAACGCTCGGCATCGAATCTATCATCAGCATCAATGAAGACAACTGCAGCGTTTTGGCCATCGACGGGAATTTCCCCGATCGCTCTGGGGAGAATTGAAAGGGCTACCAGGTAGTACAATAGTTCCGTCTTTCCGGCGCCAGAGAGGTTGCTTGAGATCTCAACTACTGGGCAGGGTCGTTTGGATCGATAGGCAGAGTCCGAGAAGAAGACGTTGGAGGGACTGATTGGTTCCGTAGCTGGCGCAGTTTCTTCTTCACCACGAAACAGCATCTCTTCAGCAAGTCGGTTTTGCTCTTGCGCCGCCCTCTGCTCTGGACTGGGCGGATGTGGCTGTCTGTGTTCTGCTCCAGGGCCCATCGCCTTGAGCATAAATACTTCTAACAACACATCGATAGCCGGAACATTGAGCGACCTGGCCTCCTGCTCCGGACTGACTGGGTATACATTTGCCAGGTCGTGGAGGATCTGTTCTCGCATAAATCTTATAGTCCGAGTAAAACCGCAATTCAAGACGACATACCTCATCTAGTCTCTCATGGCGGACCTCACGCAGAGATGCCTCTCCTGAGACTAACAGCGATGCCAGCCATAGTCGACAAACCTGAGCTGACGACATCAAAGGCAGCGCATCACATATATCGACGCATGCCACCATGCAACCATAAGCAAGTATGCGGTTTATGCGGCAGAACGCGTAGTGGCAAGATCGGCCAAGAGCGGGACGGAGCTTTACCGCTGCGGCGCAACTTTTGCCTCGACCGTACGGCGCCTACCCAACCCAATTGTTCCCGGCGCTTGCAAGAACCAGACCGGAGACAAACCGGAGACAAGATAGCTCGGTCGCTAACGCAATGGCGCCTCCCGTCCAGTCTTTCTCCGCGAGCGTCTCCCCAGCCATGTCAACATCGTCCAACACAATTTCATCCAGAAGAAGCGCAAGGGACCACAGATCGAGCTCGAGAAGTGCCCATTGATGGAGATGATGCAGTATTCATGCAATCCGCCATCAAAGGGTGCTCCGGAGGCCGGGAGGATCGTGTGTAAGCCTGTCTTGCGGCTGTTCCGTCGGTAGGTTTCGGTTGAACATTGGGAGATCTCTGGATAGATTGCTGACATGGTGCTCTCCATAGCTGCGCCGACGGAGTGACGGTCGAGACTACTTCTTGGGAACCTATACGAGAGCAGCAGGCGAAGCAGAAGAAAGCTTCCGCTTCGAAATGAGTAGGGGTTGGGACGAGGATCTCGTCACAATTGCATTGCACGGAGTTATGACTGTTTAGCATTTCGACACTGGGACTGTACATTACAAGACACAAATACTGCGATTATGATATGTCATATGGATGCTATGGGGTATCTCCTCAAGAAACAAAAACTCCAGAAAACAAGACGAAACGCCAGCCATCATAGACCAAAGAACGCCATATTCCCCCACCTATGCAGTAGTCTCTTCCAGCACCACCTCTGTAGCAGGAGGAGCAGGCTTTAAACTCTTCTCCTCCCCCTTTGGACCACTTGCGGGCCGACGCCAGAGGTGTCGCTCGCAATTGACGATAGGTCCCATTTCTATCGATAGCAACCCTTTTGTCCGAGCTTTAGCCTCTGCCTCCGGGTTCAAATCAATGTCCATAGCAGTCCCCAGCGGTGGAGCAGCTGGGTCCTTTTGTTCTTTCTGGATTCTCTTCGAAAGGCCTTTAACCGTTTTCTCGAACATGGACTCCATGCTCTCCATTTTGCGGCCCCAAGGTTTCTTATCGCGTCCAATTGTGTTGGTAGGGTTGTCACGATGTGCGGCGCTGGCTAGTCTGCGCAGGGCCTCCTCGCCATGGCGCCCATCGTCCGCAGCTTGTTCGCGGATCTTACGGGGGTCATTATCCCGCTCCGTGAAGACAGGCGTCGCGGAGTAGGTGTGTTTGCTGGGGAAGTCGGGGAAGTTTTTAGGAACGTAGGAGCGATTGGTTTCGCTCTCCTCGCCGCGGAGAGCAGTGAGAAATGCGTGATTGCGAGCTAGCTCATCTTCGGGGGGCGGAGAAGGTGGAAGTATTGAGATCTTGGCGACGGGCTGAGGTGTTTTGACGAGAGGGTGAAGGTCATTAAGAGAAAGACGGATACGAGTAAGGGCGTGCTCGAAATCGGGCGGGATGGGCTGGATGCGCCGGGACGCAAGCATAGACTCGCAGATGTGTTTTGAGATTTTGGAAAGGTCTGCTTTTCGTTAGTGAGCTCTTCCACGGCCATTGCGAACTAGCGCCAACGCACAAGTATCTGTGGCGAGGCGCAAACTCTGCAGCGCGGCCGGATCAGCATGATCAAATCCTGTGTCTTTGAGGATGCGTCCGATCGAGCGGTCCATTAAGTCATCAACGTTCGCGTCATTTTGCAGGGCCGGCTCGGACGAGACGGGAATCGCGAGAGGTTCGTGTAGCCGATGATGATGGTGATAGTGCTGTTTTGGGCGTTTTGTATCCGGTGATTCAAGTGTAGACTGCGATCTTTTCTGCGAAAGGCCCAAGGACGCCATAGCCACTGTCAATGAGTCGGAGTGAGCGCTGGGGCGTTGACGGATGAAAGCAAGTAGCTTGATGAACCGGCTGGTCGAATAGGGAAACTCGGTCACGTGACCCTAATGTTCATGCCTCAGGCCGCCATGTCTATTGATGAACAAGCGATTTGGGGGGTTCTGGAAAGTGTGGAAAGTGTGGAAAATGAAGAGTTCAATAGTCGTAACAATATGGAATGGAAGAAACACTGTCTTCCAGAAACGATGCCAACCAATTTGGAGCATGATCATGCCATTCATTACCCAGTAAAAGGAAGTCGAAGAACCGACCAATCCGGAGCCTCGCTTACCGCCCGAAAGCTTTCAACTTCACTTCCGGTCGAGGTCACCTCACTATCCTCTCCCCCTCCACCTTCGTCCCCGCGCAACTCCACGGCAAGTCCTTTAATCCGTTCAATTTGTATGAACCGGCCTGGAGCACCTACTGACACCTAGCTGCAGCAACAATGCCCGCTGGAATCCCCCCCCATCACCGGCGTAAGTCACCCCTTCCCTTCAGCCGGCTTGCCCCGAGCGCGGCTGGCTGGACTTGCCCACGTAAGAGACAGCAGACTAACCATAATCTCTGCCACAGATGCTCCGCCGCAACCTTGTGTTGGACCTGAGCACCGCTTTCGGTGAGTTCCCACGACACCCAAATGAGTGGCATGATTCTCGGCAGAGTCAAGATCTAGACGTGCTCAAACTTGACCCGATGGACCTGGAATTCACGGCCGGGCACACAACGTCGTATCAATGAGAGAACATAAAAAAAAAATTAACTGTACCTCTTAGGCTTTGGCACCACTTTCGGCTACCTCTGGTGGTACGGTAAGTAGCGACACCGAAGAACCCATTCCAACGCAGCAACCGTTTCTTACACCGTACAGGCTTCCACCTTCCCCGTGTCCGTGAGCGCGACGTCTTCTACTCCCGCCTCGAGGCCACCCGTGCCGCTGAGCGCGCATAAGTCGCCTGACGCTAGTCGTCTATCGATCGATAGTCTTCGCCCGCCGGCATTTCCTTGTCCAGATCCATAAAGACGCAAATACAAGCTGTTTTACGTTGCCGTTACAAGGACCATGTTTCCTTTGCCCGAGTAATACTACCTGGGTCTCCGTGCGGACCGGCTACTATCTCGTCGATGGAAGGCGGCTGTTGATGCCGATTGTACATATAAGCTGGATCAATTGTTTCTTTCTTGACCTAAACTTCCGCCAAGGGCGGCTTTCCTTTGTCGACGTTTCTCCATGGTAGACTGATCTCGGAACTTGTCTGTAGACTGCTATAACCGTAATAGAATAACGCGGTGCTCTTTTCGTCTGGTATACTTTCTTCCTTCTACCCAATCTTTCGAGGAAAAGCAAATATGTCTATTAATCAAACGCTAATTACGCCATGTATATGTACGTTCAACTCCACCGTAAGGCCCTCACCAGAAGGGCCGCGCCGCGAAAGCTAATGGATCATCATTCTGCACGAGGCACTATGGTTAACATACCTCGCCGAGTATCCCCCATCCGGTATCCTGCGATCCTGCCATGCCGACAGCCACCTAGCAAGCCCAGTTCCTCCTATTTTAGTACACGCTCGAAGGTAATATTGTGGACTGTGCCGCCGCTCATTGAGGTGCGCACATTGCGCTTGAACGCCTCGCGGTTTGCGCGCAGGTCTTCGGCGGCTTGCTTATTCAGAGGGTCGGAGGCGTTAGGCTCGAGGAAGAGGAACTAGTCACAGGTTAACTCATATCTCATGGAGGCTTCTTGGCAAACTTGAACGGGCAAGACTGGGGTTGTCTGCCGGGTGGTTGACATACCTGCATGCCCACGATCACGGCGTTGAGATTCAGCACCGGCTTCCAGTCTTCGCGGAGGATGTTTAGGCATACATTCCCTTCCAGGTCGATGTTGGGGTGGTAGATTTTCTGGGTGCATTTGACCTTGGGAGGATCGTGTGGGAAGTTCTGGTTGACGGCGAAGGAGAAGTTGAAGACACCGCCCTTATACATGCCCTCGTCCGGTTCGATGGAGAGGGTGAAGTTGAGGATGTCGTCGGGGTTGGGGAAGGTCATCTTCATTGTGTTGCCGAGGGTGAGCTCCTGGAGGTCTAGACAGTATAGTGGTCAGTATCTGTTCCGGCAGCTCCGAATAGGCCATGGATGCAATGGACAGGGCTATAGATGCAATAGTAGCTCGGGATATGTGATAAAGGCCAGGCCTTGCGAGGAAATTCAACGCGGAAGGACGACAGGAGAGGAAAAGACGCGAGAATGGGCCTCTTCACACAGGGTAGAACTGGGCTGCACGCACCTCGTTGCACACGCAGCTGAGCCGCGGTGACCTTCTTTTTCTTCTTGCCAGCTCCCCCTTCAGCATTCTCAGCCTGCTGCTGCTGCTGCTTCTGTAGGGAGTGTCAGACACCGCAAATAGAGGATCTCTGGGTTGGGCGCGTCGGGGAAAACTGACCATAGACCAAATCTTCAGCATCTTGAATCACCACCCGCCGCGCGGACAGATGCTGGGAACAGATTTTATAGGCAGTGGTCGGACGACGAGGCAGATGTGATACGAGGAAACACCGGGACCTTATCGCAAGAGTCCAGAGTTCGTGGTTCGGCCGGTGTTGGGAGAAGATTGAGGGGTCAGATCGGAGGGCGGCTCTTGCGGGGTCTTCGCCGCCTTGTGGATGTCCGGGCTATGACGCTGTTTTCACAATATCTGAGCAATTGATTTTCGGCCAAACTAGTCACAAAACTATGAGGATTTTGGTTACTCATCTAGTATCCTTAATGAATAACGAAAAATCTTTCCCAATCATGAATGCTTATTGCACTACAGTAAAAGTGAAGAAGGGTATAACCCAGACTAGATCCAAGTTTATTTCATTGCGCCTCCGAATGCATATTCCCTTGCGTCGCTAGAAGACAGATATCACGGTTGCAGGCAGGCTTACCATAGAACATACTTGCACGGAAGAAAAAGTGAACAGAAAGTCAAGAAGCGGGCATCTTTAGCTAGAGTACATATCGCAACAGGGAAGGAGAAATGATGAAAGGATGGCAAAGACACACGAGTGTCACAACTACAGGGGATTTTAATAACAGGTTCGTAAAAGAAGGGCATATCATCAACAGAGCTTCTACCGACGGGCGAAGCAGCACTTGATACCAGTGCGACCCAAGAACCAACAGCAGCCAATGAAGCGGAAAAGAGCCATCACGGCGTTGGACCACAGGAGGGCTTGGAAGAAGCGGGTAGTACGTTCAGTAGAAGTGTTCTAGGAATGTTTAGTATCGCGGTCAAGTGAATAGAGCCGGTGGGACTCACGGTGAAAGCAAACTGGTCAATACCCTTGCTGGTGATGCAGACCGCTAACAGAGCGTTACTGAAAACCCAGAAAGTGACCAGCCGAGTACGGAAACTCTTATAAGAGTCCTCCAAAGACTTCTCCTCATGCTCAACAGGCGCGACATAGGGCGTCAAGGCACGCTTGACAGTCGCCTCAAACTGGCTATCAATATCGGCCTGAGGCTTGTCAATTTCCTCGATGTGGACATCCTTACTGTCATCCCCCTTCTCTGTTTTGGCAGAGGGCAGCGCATCGGCCTTGTCAGATCCCTTGGTACCCCAAGAAACATCGTGCCAATTGCTGAAGGCGTAGACATTGAGGATGTTGATGTAAGAGGACTGGAGAAGGAAGTACTGGGGGAAGGAGGTGAACATGTGCCATGGGTCGGCATACATGAAGGAAGCCAGAAAGTAGAGACCGAAAGTAGCAGCCAGAGCGATGATGATAATACCAGCTCCGGCAGATCCAAAGAAGGACTTGAGGAAACCACCCACTCCGTGCGTGGTATCGAAGTCCATGGTGTTATGGTTCGAGAAAGCACGGATGATCAGATAAATGGAGTCAACAACAATGTAGACCTGGACCAGAGCAAACCATATGAAGGAGGCCAGGTAGGAAAACTTAGATCCCTTGGGACGGTTACCAAGGGCAAGGATGAATTGAAGACCCAGGAAACCCAGGTAGATGTATTTCAGGAACGTGTTGACGATAGGAGTGGCTGTCGTTCCGAAGGGAAAACCACTATCGCCGTTTGATTTGCTGGGAGTGCCCACCAGGTCAATGATGACAGTGGTGGTCAACCAGTAAGAGGCGAGAGAGAACCAAGTAAGGATGGTGTTGAAGATGTTGTACAGCATCTGGATGTGGAGGAAGAACATGCGGACAATGTTGTGTCCACTCTTGTACATACGGCCGAAGTGCATCAGGGAGTAGATACCGGCTGCAAACGAACCGTTCAACCAACGACGACGCTGCGAAATAAATTCGGCCGCACCTTCAGGCACGTCAGTTTCGGCCTTGGAGGCCTTCACGTACGACAAATGCCACTTCGAGCCTGCCTTGGCGACAAGCTCGAAACAGAGAATACGATCCTCGGCCAAGAACATGTTCTTCTTGAAGATGTTCATACCCTCGATACCCTTCTTACCCAATTGCTTGGATAGAGTGTGGTCACCGTGGAAGTACTGCTCTAGGGGTCGTCCCATAATAGCACGGAACCGGTAAGCAGAGAAAGCACCGGGCAACACAGAGACATAACCGAATGAACTCTCAAGGGGCTTATCCAGGATGTTACTGATCTTATACTCGAAGTTCTGGCCCGCGACGAGCGGGTTGATGAGATTGCGCCATCCCTTACCCAACATAGCGTGGATCTCACCACAGGCACCACCAAGATCCTTGTCATTGTAGAATGCCTCCCACAGATAGAGAAGAGACTTAGGACCAGGCTTGGTACCGGCATCGAGAAGAATGCAGACCTCGGGGTTCAGGATACGACCGAAGGCATTGAAAAGCCAACGGTGGGAATTAATCTTCTTGCTGTTCTTTTGCTTCAAGCAGAACATCATCTGCACGGGAGGGAGGGTACTTGGGCCATCGTCGGTAGGGCGAATGAGCTGTTGTGAAGGAGTGACCGATAATTGAGTCGTATATTCGAAAATGTGGGCCACAGTCTCTTTTCCATCGACATCACGCTTCATGATACCATCCTGATAGATACCGACTGTAGCGAGGACATCCAAAGTGTCCTTGTCACAAGGGTCAATACCGTCGAACACGAGACAAACAACGATTTTCTGCCAAGCAGGTCCACCCTTGTTCCAGAACTCAGACTTTTTGAGGTTCACGATATCACGAATGTTTTGCATCACACCATGCAGAGTACGGGCAGTCAAATTCTTATCTTCGTTGTAATAGGTAATGGCAATCAACAACTCGGTGTGTCGGTTGTACATCGCGGGACGAAGGTTGTAACCATTGTGCAGAGTGAACTCGTTCGGATCACAGGTGGCCGCAGTGTATCGCATATGGGTGAACTCTTCGCTGCCGCCCTCGACATCGTTGCGGTACTTGGCTTGGATGGCGTTTTGAATGGCACTGGGCACTGGGTAGTCGATACTCAGGACAGAGCCTTGAACCAGCTTCACCTTACGGGTGGCATATCGGCGGAGACCGCCACCTCCAGCACCACCAGCAGGAGCTTGTCGCTGGCGCCAGGCCTCGGTCGAAGAGGTCTCGCTGCGGGCGTAGGGAGAGGCAACTCGTCCAGGAACACCAAAGGCGGCTGCTGGGTTCTCCGATTGTACAGAATAGGGGTCATGGTAGGCTGGCGAGGAATCTTGGGCGTATGTCTCGGTCAAACTGTACCCGTGCCGGCGGTACCGGGGCGAACGGGGGATTGGCCGCGGGAATGAGGGTCATCGAAAGGGGTCGCGAATGGACCTTGGTGAGAGAGCAGTCCGCGCGACGCATCCTCGTCGTCGGGGTACTGGCAAGTGTTAGGTCGAATAATTTGATCTGAGAAATCAACCCTGTTGCGCGCATACCTGAGAAGCAGGAATATCTTGGAGACGAGGGCCGCCTTCGTCGTAAGGATGAGGGGAGTGTTCACCGTGGTAGGCCATGGTGAACTCGATGGTTGTTTAGGCCAGGGGTGGGAAGGGGAGAAAAGGAGAAGAGGGGTTGTCGGATTGCGAGAAGGGGTAAGACAACACCACGCGCGACAGGTCAGAACGAAGCCGCCAGGGCTGTGGACTTGTAGATGTGTTCTCGAGGAGAACGATTAAGGAAACGTAGGGTGAGTGATCGTCGTGTCTACTAACTCTTCCCTTTACAGACGCAACGGAATGTACGATGATGAAGGGAGGGAAGGAGCACGAAGTTGGGGAGAGGTCCAAGGGAATTTGAACCAGAGAGAAGGGGAAAAAAAGGACCAGGGGCACCTAATGGGGGAAATCTGAAGAAAAAAAAAATTAAGGAGGCCAACTTAACGTGTCTCAATCCCAAAAATAATTTTAGAATGGATCAAATATCGGGGGTGTAGAAAAATAAGCCGAGGAAAATAAAATAGAAAAAAAAAAAAAACCAATCCAGAAAACGGACTAAAAAAGCGTGAGGCTAGAGACTTGCGATACTAAGCCCATTTGGCAGCAAAAATAGACCAGACTGATTCCATTTTGGTGGTTTTAGGGACTCTAGTTGCACTTAGTCCCTCGATCTAACCTTGTCTTGGTATAGCCGCGGAAGGACTCAGTGTCCACTCTCCTTTCGTGGTATTCTTGGTGCGCTGCATTTAAGTGGCTTCGGGGGGGGTTAATGCAGCTGACCCAATCGCAGGCTAAGGGCAGCGTGGCGTGAACTTCTCCCTCGAGACCAAGATCCGATCGTAATGATGCAACCCGTACATACTCCATCCCTTGGGAAGAGACTCGAGGTGGGATGGGCCAATGAGCCCTATCAGCCCTGACCCTCTTGAAGTCCCAGCCTATCAAGCAGTAGTGGTATTTTCAATCAGCCTTTCATGAGCAGGCTGCACTTGCTTAACGCAACCGTAGTACTGCGCTTGTACTCATTCAAGCTCTACTCCGTACAAGTATCAGACTTTTTCAGACGGTGCGGCTCCACGAGGCCCCCCTTTTCCATGTCCGTTCAACTACTTCTCTAGTGTCTCTGAGCCCCCCTGTAATAGTTTATTCTCCCCAGCTCCTCCACAGACTAACGGTTCTAGGAAGCCGAGTGGACCTGGGAGAGGCCCGAACCCAATCAGCCAACGCAGCAGGTGGAACAGCTTGAGGTCGCTACGGAGTACCGAGTACGCAGTAGACGATGAAAATCCGGGCATTCCAGCATTCTTCGCGAGCTCAACGTGCTTTTGATATGATGTCTTGCTACCCGGATTGTGAAAGCTCCTACATACCGTATGGAACCCTAGCTGCTCGGGAATATATGCCAACTGGGTGATTTGTTCATTGCGCTATACCCCATGTTCAAGTGGACTTGGAAGTACTTTCGTGACATTCAAAAGGATTTCTGCCGTTTGGATCAAGTGATATATGTATCCGTATCAGTTGCGCGAATGGCGGCCTCAAGGGGGCCTCAGGGTGGTACAAGCTCCACTGGGAGTCAATCCAAGTTCATGTGCCTGCGCAGTACTCGGTAGACAAACCCGTTTTCCCTGTGAATTTAGGCCACCATCCATAGCCTTACTCAGAGAACCGTATGGGACTCGATGATAGGGCCAGCACAGCAGCGGATCGGGGCTGAATGACCCCCCAAGGAATTAGTCTGGAGAATACTCGGCTCGGATCCACAGATAGAACACATTGGCTGCGGAACACAATATTCTTCAGTTTCGAAGGGTATATCCGATCTAATCTGACAGTAGGGCTGTAACACCAGGGGGGGTTTCCTGGGCTCACCGTGGCTGGTGAGCGGTGGTCCCGGCTGATGCTACGTGGACTGGTTGGGACTAGTTCTGTGGTGTTGGGGCGCAGAGACCCTAAGCTGAGACACAGGAGGCGCAGCCTGCCTCCGGGTTTTCCACAGTGGCTCCCCTTCTTCCCCTCCCTCCCTTCCCGCAGCCTGCAGCCCACACGTCCTGCGGGTTCCAGTGGTCACCCCGTTTCGCATAGATCACTCCCACGCAGTACAGCCTTTTGGTTTTCACTGGATCTCCCAATCCTCAGGACTGGTTGCTCTTGAATCAATTGGTTCATTGCACAACCTAAATGCTTGGGAATTGGCCTTGCATCTGGGGAAGGATCGGTCCCTACTTATCCGTTTAAGTATCAGATGAAATCCGTGTAACCCCTTTTCGCTTCCTTCATTTTACGATGCAGGTCGAACAGTGCATATCTTGACCCGCGAGAGACATGGAAATCTATCAAGAAGGCACTTCTAGGACCAGCGTGGATCATTTACCCACTGAACTGTACTCCGGATTCATGTCACAATTATGAAGAGCCCTCGCCCAACACAGTGCCATCAAAGACGTGGTTTCTTTTTAATTTGGGCTGGTTCTCTGTAGATCCTCGCCGTCTTCTGGAAAGAGTCGGGGAGATTCAGCCAATCAGAACCGAGCGGGGTCAAAGTAATCTCCCGGACCGACGATAATCCGGGGTCCAGACCACGTAAACCGTGGACGGCGGACAGTGGGACTTGCTGGATCAGGGCAAAAGTAACCAAAACACGCAGGGCTTCTTAGCCTCGTACTGCAAGGTCCCAAGGGGAGATAAACCAACCACTCGCTCGATTTAACATTTCATACTCTACATAGAAGGCTGGATGTTTCGAAGATTTCCACAATCTATTGCCTTATCTGAGGATCGGATCACTCTCGAGTCTCGATTGCAGATTGTGCCGCTTTGGCTAAATTGGGTGTTACGCCGAAGTGGATCCTGGGCTTAGGCCGCCCCGTGACGCTCTCCTCCCAATTTCCCCAGGGGAAAACTTCCTCCTCCATCGTTCTCCATAATCCGATCTCGAGACACGACCTTGCAGGCTCGCCTGCTTCCTCTTTTCTTCCTTTTTTCCTGCTCGACTAGAACCTGGATCATGACTGTCGTCAGTCCGTAATAGGTTCTGCGACGCCCACACTCATTTATACTCAGCCAACTTTTCGCTTACGACCTACCTTTTCACGCTCACGACTGGACGCCGATTGAGCATCGCGAACTCCCTTCTTTTTACCCATTGTCGCCTTTCGTCCCTTTTCACCGTTGACCGGTTGACTGTCCATATCTCCCTTCTCTTGCTGTTCCGATACCCCTCCGCCCCCACCATGTCTTTCGATTCCGTCAACTCCTTCTCAGGGTTTACTCCTGCTCACTCCCTCTTCAAGCGTTGCGCTTCATGCGATAGCAGCGTTCCCACCTGTCCACAATGCCCTTCCGGCCAAATATGTAACATGGTCGCCCAGACTTGTGATCACTGCGCTACGACTAAGTGTATTGCCAATCCCAATGCACAACCCCCCTCGAGCAGCGGCTCCAACACCGGTGCGATTGCAGGAGGAGTAGTGGGTGGTGTTGCTGGTCTTGCCGTCATTCTCTTCCTAATTTATTGGTTCGTCGTCCGCCCACGCCGTGCCGAGCGGGCCGAGCAGCAGGAGAAGAACAACGGCTTCGCTGCGAACCGATCCGACCGCCAGTCCGTGGGTGGCCAGTCGATTGCCTCTACCGTCCTCACTCGTGCCTCCAATGTCATCCAGATCGCGTACATTCCCGGTGTCACCAACCGTTCACCACCTGAGACGCCGGCCTCATTGGTACCCCCGGTGCCCCCTCTACCCGGTGCTCACCCCGACCAACACTTCTTCATGCCCGGTGACTTGCGAGACTCGTCATGGACCACGACCACCGGAGGCGGCCACCAGAGCATAGCACCAAGCCTACGCAGCAGTGTCGCAACGACCATCTACCGTAACGATGCTGTCATTGCGGCTACCCCTGCCCAATCGATCGCTCGTGCTCGTGCCAACGTCGTGAGCGTTCACTCAGGCCCCGGCTCTGGCGCCACTACCCCCACATCGACTCAGGCTCCTATCTTGGTGACTCCCGCCGATGCTCCCGCAGTTCCAGCTATCACCTCATCACAACTGGCCAAGGCCGAAGCCTTGGCACCCCCTCTTCATCCAGCAACAACAGCTCCTCGATCGTGGCACGCACTGTCATGGCCAAGCCCGTGATGGTACGTGGTACCTCGTTGAAGAAGAAGGGAGCTGATGACAGCAAAAAGAGCGCCCCGTCTGGAACACTGTCTGCCAACGCTTCTGGGACATCACCGTCAAACCACAGCAGCCAGCAATTCAGTCACAATACCTCTACCTTCGACGGAAGTAGCTCCGAAGATGAATCCGACGATGAAGAAATCGAAGCTGTCATTCAACAGGCCCAGCCCACCCAAGTCCAGTCAAAGCCAGCCCCGGCGAGCGGGCCACTCAAGTTTGCCTCGCCCAGAACCCGCACGTCCAAGATTGTGGAGCTTGCAGACACATCTAGCAGCGCCACCTTGAGTGCACCCTCGGAGACAGCCTCCAAGCGCAGCTCAGCGAGCGGTAAGCCGCCAATGCGCGTGGAGAGCCCTTTTTCCGACGCGAATGAACTTCCATGAGAATAGGTTCTTCCTCTTGATATCCCAGGACTGGCTTCGGGTTTTCTGATTTCTGATTTCTGATTTCTGATTTCTGATTTCTGATTTTTCTTTTTTTTCTGTCTCTCGACATTAGATCCCCTACCTGTTCATTATATTTGTACGTATGAATCCTTGGGGCTTGGTACAACCTTCATACATAGTTTTGGCGTCGGTGGTTAGGGTGCTCTGTACAGCGGGAAAGCATGTGGACACAAAATAGTCAATCGAAGTCGACCTAAATATTCATCACCTTTTAATTTTTGCCAGTGCAACATTTCAATGACCCAGGCCCTAGTTACAAACAAGAGCATAAATAGATTTCTGAGAGCGTTCCATTTCGAGTTAGGCCGGTGGTTCAGGTCCGGAGCACCTGTGTTCCTGCCCCAAGGATATATTTAGGTGGCCACCCCGCAGCCTCAAAGACTAGACTGTCCACATAACCTTGACCTTGAACATGTCACCACCGTGATAGCTCCTAGCAGAACTAATCTTCAAATAGGATCATACGATCTTACCTGGGCAACAAATTCCGAATCACGTTCGGGTCAAAGAACGGATTTTGAGCGTATTATGCCATGAAATTGCCGCATTGATATAATACCCGCTGCGGTCTCCAAGCATAATTCTCGACAATGGCGAGCACTTCTCACTTATTCTAGGGGTCGTGACTGCTTGCTTAAGGGATAGGTGGACTGAGGGCTTAGGATGACCCCTTGAGGAGAATCGTCACCTCGAAATTGCTCGGGAAACGCCCCTTGCAACCGATGAAGGAATTTGTACAATTCCAGTATGTAGAGGCTGAACTGACACACTGTTTCTCGAGTTGGAAAAGGATATTAGAGGGCGTCGTCAATGACCTGGGTCTGGATCTGTGGAAGGACCAGCGTTGTTTACACTGCCGAAGATTTATTTGTTAGCTGATCCAGACAGAAAATTAAAGGTAAAGAACTCAACTGTTATCCCTCGAGAACATCAGTCATGGAGGATTTTGCAAATCTGACGGCATCTTGGTGAATCGCAGGTAATATCCAAGCTGCTTTCGCGCTTTCGCGCCCGACGCCACCGAAAGCTCAGCCACGAGCTTTTCAGCTGGTGCAAAACCCCGCGCCCTACAGAGGCTCCCTCCCATCGCTGTTATATTCAGGAATAAGGCCCGCGGCCTTCCCATGCCTTTACTAAGATGCCTGATCCCCTCGCGATAACCTCCCTTGTCCTTGAAGTAGGAAAGATTGTAGCGGACTTGATCAAGTACGGAAAAGCAGTGAAAAGTGCCCAGTCTGACGTCGCAAAGTTGACCGAGGAGCTGTTGGCGCTGAAAGGCATCCTAGAACAACTCTCAGCCCAGGCAAAGGGAGAAGATAATGCCACTATAACTGACCCCCATTATTTGAAGGATGCGCTTTTGGAAACAGAGACCACGCTTCAGTCCCTCTTATCTGACCTTGGGCCGCCAACGAGTAGATTGGGTCAGATTAAGCGGAAGCTAGAATGGCCATTTGCGAGAGACACCTTCGAAGCTCACATTGCTCGCATCGAAAGGACCAAATCATTCTTGATGATGATTCTCATGAGCGACGCCAGGGCCTTGCAGCAGGACATGCATGGTAGAATATCGGATCTCACCAGGAGGCTCGAGGAGGATTTGCAGGTTCGAAAGGATGAGAAGATCTCAGTTGCTCACCGAGAATTATGCAAGTGGATTTCTCCCGTTGACACAGCCAGTGTGCATCGACGAGCGGCAAAAGAACGAGTCCACAACACAGGCGCTTGGTTTCGTGAGGGCATTTTCAAAGACTGGCTGCAGCAGAAAGGGCCCGCAAAGCAGATCCTGTTCCTCCAGGGCAAGTCCGGCGCAGGAAAGACGACTCTATTCTCCAACATTGTCGATGGTCTGAGTTCCTCTCGACTGGGAGAAAATGACGCCGTCTCGGCATTCTTCTACTGCCAGTTCAGCGATCCAGCCTCCCACGAGCCTGTCAACATCTTGGGATCATTCGTGGCTCAGATCGCCGAGTGGTTCCCGGCAATACTGGATGACATACTCCCAGAATATGAGGCCACCATGCACTCCAAAACCCGTAAGTCAGCGGTTGACATCGATACTCTAGAGGAGGCGATCGTCAAGCACGTCAGAGGTCGACGGCCTGTTCTTTTTATGATTGATGCCATCAACGAAAGTATGGAGCAGACAGAAGATCTTCAATACCGCATGGGACGCCTAGTAGAGAGAGTGCCGAATGTGCGAGCTTTGATGACGGGCACAAATGCCCCCCCTCGACTCCAAACACTCCACCACTCTGAATATAGACGCCGCTGCAATCAAAAATGACATTGGCATTTTCACCAGCTCGACGCTCAAAAAGAACAGAATGCTCCGAAATCTGCCCAAGTCATTGCAAGAGCACATCCAGACGAAAATCGTTGAAGGGGCAGACGGATCGTAAGTACGCAAACCACGTTGTGTAGGCTCTGCTTACAAGTTATGAAGATTTCGCTGGGCAGACTTATCCCTAAAAAACCTATGCGCATGTCAAACGCCAGCGGAAGTACGCGAAGCGCTAAAGGTACTCCCAGAGACCTTGCAAGATGTATATGCTTCGATATTGGAGAGAGTCTCGACGCGAGACCGAGAATGGGCACGCAGCGCGTTACTTTGGGTCACGTTTGCAAAGCGGCCGCTCGTTCTTGAGGAACTCAGTCAAATCGTCTTGGTCAAAGAGGAGACAACGGCCCTAGACGATGAAATGAAGCTCGTCTTCCCACGAGTGTTGCTCGAAATATGCCAGGGTCTCATTGAGGAGGGCGAATCCGGGAAATTATATCTGGCACATGCGTCTGTTCGGGAGTTCCTTACCTCACCATGGATACGGTCGCCAGATTCGAGTGTTCATTATTTTGGCCTCGACCCCAAGGACGCTGATAGGATGATCATGATCAAATGCCTGCATTATCTCTGTCTGGAGAACTTTCGGTCTGGGTATGTCGGATCCATTGATGCCATGGTGGAACGGGACGAGGACTATCCCTTCCTAGACTATGCGGCCAATTTCTGGACGGTACATTGCCAGTCACACAGTCTCGATGACCAAGGGGCGAAGGCAATTTTGCGGCTCTTTGATCTGTGGCATCTTCCTCGTCGGGGGAATTATGGGACATGGGCCCAAGCAATCGCCCCTGAAAACGACGTGGAAAGGATAGAAAGTTCAAATCCTCTATACTATGCAGCTCGATTTGGACTGTCAGACGTGCTGAAGGAACTGCTCAAGGATGCTTCACTGGAAGACATCGAGTGCCCTGGTGGGCGTTTCGGCTCGACTCCTTTCTTCGTTGCCTGCTGGATGGGACATTTTGATACTGCGGAGCTTCTCCTCGAAGCCGGAGCAAATCCATACGTCGTAGATCCCAGTACAGGATTCATGGTGTATGAGCTTCCTGGGATTGCTCGAAGTCCACGGATCATGGCTGTCCTTGCGAATCCACTGCCAGGCACGACACAGAACTCCGATGCAAGTACAAGTACCCAGGGCCAACAGGGAGAGGGTCAGGATATGATTCGAGAGATGCAGAAGACTGCACATCGCCTCCAACACTTGGAAATAATCACAGAAGCTGACTTTACCCCGAGGACGCTTCTTGAATCTCCTCCACAGCGGATGTTCGAGGACCAGCTCATCTATATGTTCCCCAAAATCGACGACATGTTGGTGGCTCGACTGGGGCATCTACAGCGTTGTCGATACCGACTACTTATGATACTTCAACAGAAACATGACGAAGCAGTTCGGGCAGGCTCCTGTCAAGCTGAAAAGCATTGTATTAGTCTGCAAAGCAACCTCATACCGCAACCGCGCCTGTACGCAGACAAAATGGAATGTCCCGTCTGCTTTGAAGTCCAACAATTCGACACGATAGTCGAATGGCAAAAACACATTCAAACCGACGCTGCACTTTTTGCGTGCACCTTCGCTCACTGCCCAGTGTCCTTCCCCAATGAGAAAAATTTCATATTACTCGGAACGAAGGAGGGCTGGGTGCGCCATGAGACGCTGTGGCACTGGCGAGTTGACATTTGGAAATGCCCACTCGCCTGCGATTACACGACTTACCGCCAGGAGAAGATGTTCTCTCATCTTGTTGAACATCATCATGTGCAAATGTCTGAAGAGGAGGTGTGGAAAATGATGGTGCCGTGTGAGCAACGACCCGAGGAGTTGCCCAGCCAAGAGGAATGCCAGTTTTGCGGAGCCAACTTCGGTACTTGGAAGACTTTTATGGCTCATGTGGGGAGTCATTTGGATAAGTTGGCGATTCCGATTCTGCGAATGATCAAGCAAGATGGGCTTTTGGGGGAGTGGATGAACGGGGAGATGTTTTGATATGGTATAATTAGTCCATACTATGAGCTGTTTGCTTCACTACGAAGGAGGAGTCTATCACGATATAGCCAAGGGACGACGATGTTTATCATTGATACTTCGATTCATCTGCTGGAGACGTATGAACCTGAAGAGAACTACAGGGCTCGCAGTAGTAGAGCCTCAGCAGAGCAACATTTGGAGGATCGCAAGAACAAGAGCAATAGCAGATTTTAGCCGTATTGGTCCTGTGGGCCTATTTAATTTAGGAGCGCCGGACTTTAAGTTTGCGGCTGTGACGCCAGTGATGTGGTTGAGATACTTATTGGTATTTGCTGAGCATGCCGGAGGTCGGCTCAGGGATGCTGATCCGCCAAGGCAATCGGATTCTTCGTGTAATCGTACCTTTCCCCATCGATGCTGCGAGGACGTGGGATGATGGCAATATTCACTACAGACATCTCATCTTCACTGGTCTCACCCGAAGAACAAGAAGTGAACAAAAGATACATCATAATTGTGGAGTGGGGTATCTACGTTAAATCGCTTGGCAAATGCTCTCCACTATAGTCTAGTTAAAATTCAAGGTCAAATCGTAGGTTCTTCCAAGCCCATTCCCCTCGCAACCTTGCGGATAAGGGCTTTCTTGAGGAAAGCTTCCCGCGCCAAGCCTCGCGTCTGGCGCGACCAAGAATCAACACCGATGACGCCGCGCACAAGCGCCGCCTGCAGCGCGTACAGTGCGTGCTGCAGTCCTTCTTCTTCCGCAACAAGATCATAAAGCTGCTTGCCAACAACAGTTGGGGCAACAAGAACATCATCAATGGGCGGCAGACCTGTCGGAGCATCAGAGGATGTAGAGGGGCCGGGGGCTCCAGAGGTAGCGGGGAGGGGCGGAAAAAGAAGCCCGAGTCTGCGCATCGGCAATAGTCGCATCTGCACGATGAATGGATTGCTGCAAGATCGAGGTGTTAGACTTTAAGGTTGCATTAAGGCTTGTAAGGGCTGACAACTCCGCTTGGAGTGTGGCCATTGCACTCTGCAAGGAATGGGACTGAGAGACGAGAGACTGCGCTGCAGCATCGGATTGAGAAGCTTGGGTTTGGAGAGTCTCTGAGAGTGTCTTAGAAACCGCGTGTAACAGAGCATCCTTTTCGGGGTTAGGAGGGATGGGCGGTGCTGGGCCCGTCGGGGCAAATGAGGGTAATTCCAGCTCGAACGGCGAGGTAAGTAGATCTGGAGCCGGGGGTTTTGGAGCCGGGGCTGCCGGAGCAGCTGGTGGCACCGGTTGGTAGTTTGGTGGATATGGCGATTGTTGATATGCGGGCCCTGGCGGCATGTGATTATGTGGATGGGGTTGGTATCCCATATATTGAGATGGCTGTGCCAGTGGGATTGGATGGTTGTTTAGTACTTGCGGCGGTGGTGATGCTGGAGAACCTTGTGGACCTGGCTGCTGATATGGTTGCTGGGGACCACTGGCATCTCTATTGTGAGATATTGCCCCAGCTGGCAAAGGGTGTATTGGAGGTTGTGGGTGTTGATACTGTGGCGACACAAATTGACGACTGGCTCTGTTTCCTGGATTCGTTGGACCCACTGATGGGATTGAAGCTGAAATCCGCCGAGATTCATTTTCCTTCGGGGGGAGCGGAGGGAGCGGCGGAGGCGACTTATATCGTTCTGCTCCCTGGGGTGACTGCAGCCCTTGCGGAGCCCCAGGCTTTGGTGGCAACTGGGGAGGAGCTGGAACTAATGGACTAGCAGGCTGTATTTGTGACGGTGCTGGCGTAGGGCTAACGCCGGGCGGCAGAGGTGGAAGGGGCGGGGGTGTCTGTGTCTGTTGCGGCTGCGGTTGGGATGGTTGCTGTCGATACCGCACAGGCGGTTCTTTGGCAAAGACTTCACGCAAGATGGAAAGGAAATCGGTAATTGTTGACCTCTAGTAAACAAAGACATTAGCTATAGCCTCACGAGACTCTGCAGTGTCCACATATACTCACATCCCAAGCTTCTGCCCAGTGTGCCAGATAGTGATGGTATACTCGACCCTCCAAGGTCACATGCTGGCCAGGCCGGACAGCCATATCTTGCGGCGGAGTGACATATACCATGGGAGGATCTTTCGGATAGGTATTGGGGATCCATAATGCGATTGGGAATCGGTATGTCGTGCCACGGAAGACTACCGGCAAGGTGCCGACCAAGTGAAGGAGAAGGCAAGAGAAACCATTCTCGTAGGCTATAAGATACCGTGGTCAAACTCTAGTCTCAGATGGGTTTTGGTTGCAGTGTGACTCACTGTAGACGTCCGTTCGTGGGGAGAGCGAGGGGTATTGGGCTAGAGCGCTGACCACATCCTGGTACGTACGGTTCGGGTCGTGATAGGTCTGATTCGGGTCGTAGTGGTCCTGAGAGAGAATTAGCAAGGGATTCCAAGGGGGGGAGGAGGGGGATGGGGCAATTACTTTGCTCAACACTGAGTAAAGCCAGCTGAGCGTCCGCTGAGGGAGCGCCATGGTGCAGAGGTGGTTGGGGGAGAGGTGAAGCCGAGTGTTTTGCTGCGGAGCATCCCCCGCAACCAAGCTTGGCGCGGCTCACCACTGCCGGTTGAGGTGATTGCGGTTATCGAACATAGTAGATTCTAAGCATGGCCATGCCCAGAGAAGAGTGCCTCCTAGCGCGGAATTTCTATCCTAATTGCTAGCCACTACTGGTCTGCTTTTCATGAACAGGATGTCCTGCCATGAGGCAAGGCTTCGTCAAGTTGGCACCGAACAAGCGAGTCATGCCCGCGTCAAGGTCGACATCCTAATACCAAGAGAGTGGCATTGGGAGTTACGGATGCTAAAAAGGAAAAAAAGAAGAAAAACAAAATTCGCTCGTATTTGCGAACTTCCCGTCAACGATGTTGGATAATCCTCATGAGCAGAAACTTTCGCGTCGCGACTCTGTAAATGCTGAGCCCGGGCTGTTACTAGTGAATCTACACCATGGCAGGCATTAAGACCACAAGCCTCAATTTGCATGATGGATATTTGAAAGGCCCTTGGATGCAAGCGAGCTGCGGTTTTGTCATTGGCATGCATATCCAAGGCAGCACGATCATACAACTGACCTCTGAAGTGCCTCCTGCCGACGCTCTAGATGTGAGCTTGTCCTTGCTCATATATGGTAGTGGCAAGTCGAGCCAGAAACCCCGTGATATCTCGGGCATTGCATGAGAAGAAGATATTGCTTTCGTGGGGGTGTGTCTCAAGCAATCCCTTGAACCCCTCTATACTGATGAATCCTGCTGCTAAATCAAAAAGATTTATTGGAGATGGGCCTTACTACGAAAACACCTGTTGCGATCCAGATATATCCGCTCGTTCTAGTTATAGGCCTTCTTCTGATATCCAATTGAGCAATAGGAGGTAGTGCTTCGGTATTGGTTTCTGCACTGGCCGCTGTACTCGTCGCATTTGAGGTTGCCCCTTTTGACAATTGAGGATGCCCTGGGGCTCGGGCTCTTTGGATTAGGGATGCAGAGGGACTGAGCACCGAGCTCATTGCAATTGATGTCCACGGATCATGTTGCATCATCGTTTGGGCAAACAAGAGGTCGCATTTCGAACAACCTGACCGGGAAAAAGAGCCGTGAAGACCAGGAGCAGATGCACGCCCGCGATAACTTTGTCGCTTTATGTTGTAGATCTTGAAGGGGACCTGATCATTGTGTTGGAAGATGCAAATTCTCCATTTGCTGTATGGCCTGTCAAATCTTCCCAAGCTCCTTTGGATATATCCGAACCCTCAGTTGTTCCTGCAGGGACAACGAATGGGACCACCAATGTTGAGGAGCAGGAGCAGGGCGACTTTCGTATTCAAGTTTCTGCAAAACATATGATGCTTGCCTCTTCATTTTTCAAAAATTTGCTTACCAGCGGCTGGAAGGAAAGTACGACCTATAGGCACCACGGCGCAGTTGAAATATTTGCAGATGGCTGGGACCTTGAGGCGTTTTTGATCGTGATTCGAGTGATTCACTGTCAATTTTATCAAGTGCCCAAAAAGGTCAGCCTCGAAATGCTCGCCAAAATTGCAGTCATTGCCGATTACTATGACTGTAAAGAGGCGCTGCATGTTATAAGAGATATATGGGTCAACTCTCTGGAAGAGACAATACAACAGTCTTATTCCCGGGATCTGATTCTCTTGATATGGGTGTCTTGGTTTTTCCGACTTCCTCGGCATTTCAAAAACTCGACTTCATTCGCAATGTCATTCAGCGACGGTTCGATCGATGGTCTAGGACTTCCAATTCCATACAGGATCATCGGTAAGTGAAAATCAGTGTATTGAAAAATGTTTGGCCGCTGACGAAGCTACAGAGTTGATGAATGAGAAGAGACAAGCCAGTATTGACTCCATCATTACCCGTGTCCTCTCAGTATTCCGGGACTTCCAAACCAAAATATCGGGCTGCGGGTTTGAATGCAGGTCGATCATGATTGGAGTCCTGGCAATGCAATTTCCGTCAATTTTGCCTGGCTTGGGCTCAAGGCCTGTTGCTCCTTTCCAAGGTTTTGAATACTTCGAGCTTGTTAAGGGGTTAGCATCGTTGAAAACGCCAGAATGGGGGCTGGCTCCGAGTCCTCCGAAGACTGATAGTTTCAGGTACTCCAGTCCTTCTCCAACCATCTTTGAAGCACATAAGTGTGACCACTCGGACTTGGAGAAAATTGTTTCCCCATCCCCGCCGGCGAGATATATTAAAGGAGTGAACCTTAGAAAAATACATACCCCCTAAGTTGACTGCGTACTTCGGCGGGGGGAGTCAACCAGAGTGCCCGGTGTTGAACAATTGAATGATTCTGCTCGGAAATTCCAATTCCATTAGTTATAGGCTTGGCTCAGTGTCATATTTGTACGGTAGGCGGTCCTCCGAAATCACGCGATGATTGCCATATCCGAGCACCGAGCCCTCTGAGCGCCTTCTACGATTCGGGAGGCGTCGTTACTAGAACAAAACTTGTCGTGACACTGTTACATACTTGGTTCAAGCATGCCCCCCTGCTCCATGTAAGATACCGTTCCTATCCTAGGAACAAGGGACTCCACAGGCACAGCCTGTCTGGGTAGCGTGTTCCAAAACTAGGGTTCGAGGATTAGAGTCGAACAGGGGAGATAAATCTGGTTTCGAATATTATTGTATCTGCCTGTAGATTTGGGGCACAGTCATTGTTCTGTTCAACAGGGTGCAGATCACTCTAGCTTCAGGCAGGAACCCACGTACTTCCGGCCAATGTTACACTGGGCAGGGATGAAGCAAGCTTAATCCAGAACAGCTCTGAGGACCCTCTAGTTCGCCTTGGAAGAATGACCCGACTAGATCTTTGTGATTCACGAATGGCCTCGGATAATTATGATTAGTCGTGCAGAGCAGCAAAAGGATTGCGGAACCGCAAATCCGCTAAGCCACCATCAACCCGCGGAACGGGCGCGACTTGGTGGCCAGAAGAGTACCTTGATGAGTGACCCCGCCCCATTTGCTGGGATCTCCACATGTACCCCCCGCATATGGCTTCGCCTGGAGAAATGCGGGGGAAAGCATTTATGATTACCTTTAGGGTCGTGGCGGGGGTTGGGAATGTACAAATAAGGGGCAATACTCCTCCCTGGCCTCCGTCCATAACCAGCTCTTCTTTTGCTATTTTCTTACGATGGGTCGAAAATACAGAAACCCTCTCCAGAACCCTGCTCACTATGCAACCCCACAGCTGAAGACGGGCCCACCAGTCACCTATGCTTCAGCCCAGCGTACCCTCCAAAACTATGACTACGGTAAGTTTGGTTGTTTTGACTTAACGTGTAAGCTGAATAGCTAACCATTGTTTCTCTGCGTAGTGATTGTGGGGGCGGGAGCAGCGGGCTGCGTGTTAGCCAGCAAGCTCTCCGAAGACAAAAACACCTCCGTCCTTCTCCTTGAAGCAGGCGGGGATCACAGGAATGTTCTGGAAAGTCAAATCCCATTGATGTTCACCAAGATGTATCATACAGAGCATGACTGGGATTACAACACGGTTGAGCAACCGGCTCTTTCGTCACGCAAGTTATTTTGGCCGCGTGGACGGATTCTTGGCGGATCGACGTCGCTCAACGCTATGATGTACCACCACTGCTCGAAATCCGACTTTGAAGAGTGGAAAAATGTGCATGGCTGTGAAGGATGGGGGTACGATGATCTAGCGCCTTACCTGCGCCGCATGGAGAAGTTCACCCCGAATACCTCCCGTCCCGCTATTGAGACCTCCAACCGCGGTACCACGGGGCAATGGCTGACAGGGTACTCATGGTTGTCTGAGATCACCGAAGAGGGCTTTTTGCCTGCTTGCCATGATGCCGGGATTCCTCCGAATGCAGACATCAATACCAAGGATGGCTCGATGGGTGTCACTCGTTTCCAAACATTCATCGATCAGAAAGGGCAGCGGTCGTCGATGGCGACTGCGTTCCTCCCGTCGGATGTCCTCAACCGGCCCAATCTATATGTCGGGATCCATGCCCAGGTCACCAGGATTCTTTTCGATACACTCACCACAAAGAGCCCTACCACGATTGGCGTTGAATTCAAGACAAGCCGAGACGGCGAGGCGTTCCAGGTCCATGCGCGTCGAGAGGTTATCCTCTCGGGAGGCGCCGTCAATACGCCACAGCTCTTACTGCTTAGTGGAATAGGGCCCCGCGAGGAGCTCGAGAGCCTTGGGGTTCCAGTGGTGCAAGACAACAGAGCTGTAGGAAAGAACATGAAGGACCATCTCTGTCCTACCCCTGTGATCGTGAAAGCTGATCCGGCCAAGACACTCGACTATCTTGGCAATACTGCCAAGGCTATTCCAGCTCTGCTTCGCTGGAAGCTCCTTGGATCCGGCCCATTGACTAGTAATGCTGGCGAAGCGGCCGCGTTCATCCGATCGACTGATTATAGCTTTCCAGCAGCGGAGTCCACTCCAGAAGATACAACCTCTGGACCTGCAAGTCCCGACTTGGAGATTATTGGTGTTCCGCTAGCATTTATTCATCACGCCGAGGAGCCGGTGCCCGATGGGAGCAGCGTTTTCAGTATCGCCGCCTGCCATCTCCGCCCTTTGAGCCACGGAACAATCTCTCTCAAGAGCAGAGATGCCTTTGAACATCGTAAGTTTTCCTACCAGGGCAGATGAAAATCTCACGACGCTAACAAGAGTTCAGCAATCATCGACCCCAGATATCTCTCTGATCCCGACGATAACGACCGCAAAGTACTCCTGGCTGGACTCCGGGTCTGCTTGAGAATCATGCGGAGCCCAGCGTTCAAGAAGTTCCTGCAGCCAGTTCCGGAAAACGACGATCCATCCTCCTACTGGTGGCCTTATTCCAGCAGCAACATTGAGAAGATTTCTGATGATGATTTAATCCGGTTTATGAAAGAGAAAGCCTTCACCCTCTACCACCCGGTAGGCTCAGCTCGGATGGGTCCGAACCCGGGCAATAGTGTCGTCGACCTGCAATGCAAGGTCCATGGCGTCAAAGGGCTGCGCGTCATGGATGCAAGTATTTTCCCGGAGCAAATTAGCGGGCATCCGACGGCGCCTATCGGTGCTCTGGCATACAAGCTGAGCGAAATGATTAAGGAGGGACGTTCAGGAGATACCCCGTTATCCGCACATCTCTAGAACCTGCCGCACTACTTCACGAAGTTAAGCGCAATGACCCGCTTTGAATGTTCAGGTAATTTTTCTTTTAGAGAGATAGGCAAACCAAGTATATCTGCCGAAGTAGTCAATCTCAACTTGAGCCGTACTCGGGATGCTTAAATATCCTCCTCATGTACTCTTCCACTTCCCAGCCTCTAATTCCCACTCCTCTCATCCAGAACCACATCATCATACTCCTGATGAAACTGCCGATGCACCTCCCGCATCACATACTGCATCACGGACTTCTGCACCCCAGCAGACGTAGAATCCTTCGCAGTTGTCCAATGCGTCATGAGCTCCCCATGGCAGACACCCCCTCCCTCCGGCGCCCCGGGGTACCCCATCGCCTCCGTACACGGAATAGCCACGACCTCGTTCGTGCCATTGAAGTCATACCGGACCCAATTCGAGAACGTCCATTGCTCCAGCGGCCATTTCTCGCGGTACTCTCCACAGCCGGGGTATCTCGTCTCGTCGGGACAGGTCGCCCACGCCTCCATCAGCTCGTGGGCACGCTCAGACTGTTGCACGACGATGAATCCCGCATTGAGGATCAGGTTGCCGTGCGACTCGTAGCTCCATGGAGCATCGACATCTTCAGGCATGGCGATGAGGGTGTTGTTTTGCACGCCCCAGAGATTCATGAGCCATTCGAAGGGGATGTGGGGGAATGGGAACATCGTGTCGCCGTCCATGAAGACCACGAATTTGTATTCGTGCAGTGCGTCTTGGATGGCGGGGACTTTGGGGTAGCTTCCGGTCAAGCTGGACTTGGCGGGTTGGACGAGCCTGTAGTCGTAGCCGTGGGTGCGAGCTGGTTGGGGGGACAACCTGGTCAGTTTTGAGCTCGAAACCTGAGCCCTGGGACTCTCACTTACCATACATGTAGTGGCTCAGTCGGCTCATGGTGTCGTAGGGGGCATTGTCAAGGTTCAGCGGTTGGCGGTTTAAGATCTTGCCTGCGCCGTCGAGTGGCCGCGACTCCACGTCGAGGATTAGAAGGTTCTTCCCCAGTGGTTTTGTGAAGACGGGCTCATTTTTCAAGGCGTAGACTGTGCCGTTGGGGGTGGTAAAGTGGCTTGCTGTGATGGGGAGCAGCTCGTCGTAGATATTGCGCAGGTCGGAGTGGATATCATGTATGGCATGGCTGAGTGCTTGAGTTGAGGATGAAATCGCCCTGGTGTTGTCAGATCAAGCTGAGCAAAGGCTCTATCAAGGAATAACCTACTTTGAGGTGACGGTCGACACTCCGTCCAGCTGGAAGACCAAATGGAAGGTAAAGTAGATGGCGACTGCCGCCACTGCAAGGTACATCAATTTGAGATGCCACCGTGCGGGCACCGCTTCTGCAGGCATCTGCCACATCTTGTATAAACTTGAAGAAAAAAACGCAGCTGAACGTCCGGAAGGTGTTCGCGGATTCTGGACTTCTCAATATGGCCTTGTACTAGTAAAATGTGCTTCGGCCTGCTGCAAATTCTAGGAATCATCTCCTACCTGCGATATTGCTCTCTGCTTGGTCATACGAATGTGCCTGCGCATCCACAATCAAGGCTTCCAATTCCTCGATCTGGTTTGGTAAGGTCTCCGCTCTCGGAAATAAATATGGTGTTTGACCGTTCGCGGACAGCAGAAACTGTACTTCAAGTTGCGGCATCGAAAGTGCACTGTCGTGAAAGAACTCCAAGAAACTTTTGTCATTCGCTGCCCATTTGAGTGCGTCTTACTACGTTTCGGCACTAGGCCGGTTCGAAAGACGACATTTCAATCATAGGATATATAGTAGAAGAACTGTATAATATAGGTTGATAGACATGAGGTTGAGGAACGAGTGTCAGGTAATCTAGCAGATCAACATTCCTTATGTACAAATCGGGAATGCCCGCAACCCGTTTACGGGTTGGCAATTAAGGGATGTTCGAAGTCACAGAGTTCGCCTCAGATAATTACGATGGTCGTGAAATTAGTCAATCCTCCTTTAATTACACAAATGGCCTGGTTAGAAACCTGATATGGATCAACATATCATATGCTCTCCGTAACGCCTTAGTAGTGCGGAGATACTGGCCCGGTCATGTTCACCAGCAGCTTCTCAAGATCTTGATGAAAGATGGAATGAGCCTCTCGTATGCTGTACTGCGCGATCGAATAGTCAACAGCAGCCGGCACCAGATGTTTGGCCGTCCAGTAGTGGCGGATAAATTCGCCATGACACGTTGAATTCTCCAACTCAGGGTACCCGTTCGCCTCAGCACACGGAAGTACTTTGACATCGTCTGGCTCAAAGTCATAGCGCAGGTACTCTCCGAACGCGGCTTGCTCATGAGGCCATTCTTCGGCCCACCAGGAGCAATTTGGATACCGGACCTCGGAAGGGCACGACTCCCAAGCATCGAAGAGTTCATTTGTTTCCAGGCTTTGCTGGGCCACGACAAACCCTGTATTGAGATAAGTTACTCCTTGGGAATCTTTGTTCTGTGGCTCGTCCGGGTCCAGCGCCATGGCGACTCGGGTATTCTCATTAATGCCCCAATAATTGAAGAGCCACTCGAAAGGCAGATGAGGGTAGCGGATGATCGCATCTGCGTCCAGAAACACGACGATTTCATAGTCTTGCAGCGCCTGCCTGATGGCAGATACCTTGCTCCAGGTCCCGTGGAGGCCTTGCGGGCTGGGTGCTTTGAAAATCTTATAGTCGTACCCATGGATCGTCGCTGGAGTCGTTAGTACGGAGCATCCGTGCGCGTGATAGATGACACCCACCAAACATGAAATGATCAAGTCTGCCGATTGTATTATAGCTAATTTCTGGCAAGTCTAATTTCGACCTGTTGGCGATTCCCCCCAGGGCCGTCAAGAGGACGATTGTCAACGTCCATGATGAGCAATTTTTTGCCCATTGGCTTCCTGAAGACCGGCTCATATTCAATAGAGAAGTTTGTCCCCGACGGGTTGATGAAGTCTCTGGCGGTGATTGGATGCAGGCGAGGGGTCCATAGAGTTTGAACCACAGTTAAAGAGAGGGGGCAATGCGACTGAGCCATTGTGAATATTCTCTAGAGAGATTTACTGCGTCAGTTTCATCTTGAGTGCACCAAACGGGATCTGAACGTACGGGGACAGGTCCTCGAGAGAAAGATCACTTGGGGATGGCAAAAAGTAAATAAGAACGCAGAGCAGGAGAGCGGCAAGGGCGAAGTATACACCCCGCTGGGACGCCATTAGCTCCAAGTCGTGCGGGTGGTTATGTGCCTCAATGTCCGGCCATTGGAGGTCATCAAGAGGACGCGACGTGGGAGGGATGAGAAGGGATCGCTTTTCCTCTTTCCTCTTCATGTTCAACGCACAAGCTGGTGCCGGCGAGTACGCTGATCTCGTCGGAACTGGCGATGTTGATGTAGATCCTTCCTAATCCGGCGAGGGGCCCCGGATGATCTTGTGCTGCCATGATGACCGCATTCATATGGCGATAGCTGAAATACGCAGCTAGTCTTAAAGCAATGAGTATTAAAATATCTTAATATACCTATTAATCTAGCGGGGACAGAAAGCTTTCATCTTATGTACGAGCTGGAACACCTGTTGAAGCGTTCATCGGGTACACGTATATCGCCGTTCTTACGGCCAAAGATCTCTACAACTCGATTCATTAACCAGTCGAGTCCACTTTTGAGGGTAACAACTTTCCTTTCCTCCAGAGTAATCCACCTAGCTTGATTTCCCCATGGAGAAAGAAGGAGGAGACTGTGACTAGGAAGGGTTGTGAGGTAGACCAGATTGTTGAGGGTGAAATCAGTTTCACACGTATAATGGGTATATAAGCCGAGGAGAAGAGTGGAAGAAAGGGGGAAGGTAAACTCTGTGAGGAGAAAAAGGGACTATCCTCACATCCAACTGGTCTTGCTGCTTACACCAGGTCAACCCCCACAGCCCTGGAGGCCTCAGACCCGCCCCGTCGAACTAGTAATTCCACCGTCCACGACAATCTTCTGGCCGGTAATATAAGCGGCCTCGTCCGATGCCAAGAATAACGCAGCATTGGCCACGTCCCATGCATCCCCCATTCTCCCCATCGGAACCTGTGCGTCCCTCTTCTCCATGTAGACCGCTTCATCTCCGCCGGGGTCATACCGCTGAGCCAGAGTCTTTGTGTAAGGGGTGTAAATTAAGCCCGGAACCACTGTATTCAAACGCACGCCTTTGTCCGCATAGATCACAGCTGTGGCCTTGGTGAACTGCATGATCGCGGCTTTGGTCGCCGAGTACGCCACTTGAGGCTTTCCAATATACCGTAAACCAGCGATGCTAGCCACGTTCACTACCGCACCGGAGCCCTGCTTTTCCATGATGGGCAGCACATAGTGGCAAGTCAGGTACAGACTATTCAAGTTGATGTCGATCTGGCCATCCCAGACCTCCTTCGACATGGTGGCCGGACAACCGGGCTCGGAGCGGCCGACGTTGTTTACCAGGATGTCGATCCGGCCGTGCTTCGCCACGCACTGGTCGACAAGTGCTTTGACCGAGTCGGAATCGGTCACATCGGTCTGGACTACATCACAGATGCCCCCTTCTTTTTCAATTCGTTCTTTCGTGCGCTCGGCTGATGCCAGAGTGCGGTTGCCCCCGAAAATGGAAGCGCCTTGGCGGGAGAAGAGGGTAGCAATTGCAGCGCCGATCCCCCATCCTTCGTCACTGGTTTGGCCCAAGCCAGTGATCAAAACGACCTTTCCCTGAAGACTCAGCATGATGATCGGAGAATGGACGTTTCGTTCAAGTTTGTAAGGTGAGGCGGTTGAGTTCACGATGCCAACTCTTTTAAACCGAGAGCCGTCGGAGACGGGGCCGTTGCGACGGACGGGCTCCGCCCGCGCAATTACCTTTAGCGCTTGATTGGCATTTATTCCCAGGTGGGCCTGTATGGTTTCGGTTTTGATGTCTTGGGATCTCCTGAGCCCACTTTTGACATAAGTACTGCCACGAGGTACAGACAGTTGGGATATGGTGTCTAGTCGGAGCAAAGCTACGGTCATTCTCGAAGTCGCCTGGACCAATACTCAAAATCGGCCGGGAGACGCAGAAGGACATCATGCCACCAAAACGCGGGGGGGCTAAAGTGCATCTTGCGAATTATAGTTACTCTGCGCACTCAAACGGAAGCCATGTGCTATTGCTATCAAGCTGAAGACTTCGAGCAATTGGATTAAGAATATCAAAGAGAATAATTGCTTGCTAGCAAGTTTCATGATTCAGTATTGAGTTTGTCCTACCCACTTTTCTGAACATATAAGAGTAAGAGACACTGTCGAGTATTCCTTACTTCGAATGTTAAATGCGATTTTGCCGTACAGCATGGCGTGTGTTCCTGGAGCTAATCAATGGCCTATCCTTAGGCAAGTTCGAAGGTTTGCACATCTATATCTTGTTACTTACGGGAGAGATGCCCTTCGAGCAGAGGCTTTCTCTCTTTCTTTTCGCCGGTGTGGGAGTTGATTATGGCTTCTGGCTTCTAGAATCGGTCTGCCGTCTAACGAGCGTGCTAACTAAGACTGATCTTCAGTAACCTATAACTGCCACTACCGGACTAGGGCCGAAGCGCCTCTGAGGATGCCCCGGCGAAAACGGACCAGTTTGTGAACTCCCCACTCTCCATTGGGCTGTGACAAGGCAGTCCCCGCTCCATGAGACGGCCGACTCTGCCTTCTTAACGGCCAATAACATGATGCTCTTTTAATGGACAAAATCTGGGTATTGCATTGAAAGTTTCATTACTCATGTTCATTTTCTATCATCTATTCTATCAACATACAAGCCCATCGCCTAATTTAGCTGAAGATGTCCTTCTTGTAAGCGCTGGGATTAATGTACTCAGAAGCGTTTCTGAAGGAAGTAAAGCCCCAGCGGATTTGTCCAGCCATAGCAATCTCAGTACCAAGGTCGTTTGCAAAGGCCCAGGCCAAGCCACTGTCGCGCTGGAACAGACGGCCGACGAGGATCACATCGACGCTGTCCTCGTTCAGAATCTTCTCTGCCTGCACGCCATTGGTGATGGTGCCAACGGCAGCCACAAGCAGCTTGTCACCGACCGCCTTCTTCACGGCAGTCGCAAAGGGGACCTGGAAGCCGGGTCCACTCTTAATCTTCTGCGCAGGGTGAACACCACCGCTGCTGAGATCAATCAAGTCAACGGCGCCCTGCTCAGCGAGCGCACGCGCAAATTCGACTGTGTCCTCGAGCTTCCAGCCCTTCTCCTCGGGCAAGCTAGTCTCAAGCCAGTCGGTAGCCGAGACACGCAGGAAAACAGGCATGTCTGGCCCGACGGTGTCACGGGTGATCTGGGCAATCTCCAAAGAGAGACGAATGCGGTTCTCAAAGCTGCCACCATACTCATCCGTGCGCTTGTTGGAGGAGGGGCTCAGGAACGAAGAAAGCAGGTACCCGTGAGCATTGTGGATCTCAATGAAATCGACTCCGGCCGCCACCGCACGGCGCGCCGCAGCCGCCCACGCGTCCTTGACCTCCTGAATGTCGGCCTTAGTGAGCTCCTTAGGCACAATGTCGCCTTCGGCAAATGGAATCGGGCTGGGACCCTTCACGTTGTCGGTCCAGCCGCCAACAGCATTGGTAGCAGTGACACCGCCCAGCCAAGGCGGAACGGTCGAAGCCTTACGGCCGGCGTGTGCGAGCTGCACACCGATCTTCTGGCCCTGGCTGTGGGCGAACTCGATCACCTCCTTCATCGGGGCAATCTGCGAGTCCTGCCACAGACCGACACAGTGAGGGGTGATCCGGCCCTCGGGGAGAACGCCGGTAGCTTCGATAATGATCATGCCGGGCCCACGCATGGCAATGCCACCGTAGTGAGCCATGTGCCAGGGGGTCATGTGGCCGTTATCAGCGCTGTATTGGCACATGGGCGCCACCTAAGCAGAAATGGTGAGCACATGGTTTCGGGCGACGCATGGAAGAAAGAGGGTTTGACTTACGCCTAAGCGGTTTTGGAACGTCAAGCCTCGGACGGTCAGGGGCTGAAAGAGTTTCGGAATGGGCTTGCCGCTGGTTTGCGGGTTGCGCGCCGTGCCGGCCGGTGGGTTTTGCGCCGGCGTGAAGAACGAGACGCCCTCGGCGGGCTTGGTAGGGACGTCAGGCCAAGTCATGATGGTTCCGAGAGGATGCAGGTCGCTACTGAGAGCAGGAATGGATAGTACCAACGCAGCATATGTCGATCGATCTCCCTTTTATACTTCCTGAGTTGAACATCTGATGATTTCTAATCGATTGGAAACGCCCGTTTCGAAGCTTCTGCGGGGCCGCCACGCAACCAACGAGCCGACCAACAAGGCGATATGTAAGCTCAAGGGGACCAATTTTTTGCCAAGAGAGAAGATCCATGGCAAGGATCAATCACCTTATCCAGTCCTTCTCTTTGTCATCGTGCCTGTCAGAAACTTAATCCAATTTTGTTCGACAGGGCTGAAGATACGCTGAAGAAACGTGAAGTTTAGAAAGTCTCCGAGGATTTTCGCTGGTGGAGACTCGGGCCAATTCCTCCCCGGGAATGCCCCTTGCCGATTTAGAACCGATTTAGTTCCGAGTTTTGCAATCAACGAGCTAAAGCAGGAATTAGCTCATACTTTAATTTTCTTTGATTTATCTTCCCCCCTGATCCTGATGGAACCAAGGGCAGAATGTCTTAGCGCGGTCGAGACCAAGAAAAGTCGTGGAGTATAGACTTGTAAAAGGCAGGCTCCTAGGAGGCAAGAGCCTCGATTGCCTCTATTTCGTAAAGCCTGGGAATGCATGGCCGATACGGAGAGGATCCATGATCGGTAGTGAATGAGGCCGCCCAATGTATAGTACGGCTGCCGAAATCGAATTAAACTCTGAACATTGTTCGTAATCGTATTCTGCGATGACGGTCAAATTGGATGGACTTTTTACACGGTTAGGAACCCATCTTACCAGCCGTGGGACACAGAACGTTCTGGAACAACCGTTGTGACCCGGAGGACAGGCACGTGATGAGCGAGGGACCGCAAGTAACTTGATTTTGACCCTGTCACGAGACGTTAGTTAAGGCGCTGCTCTAGGTCCACGGTACCAACAATTCTGGGAAGGAAGGCAGAGAAAGCTGATCCTGTCAACTGACAGGCGGAACATGTCTCGGACCAGCCGGTACTTCTGAAGGTCAGGAAGGACTAAACATATAAGGACACATCCAGCTATATGTATCCAGATAGTCGCGACCAATCTTATCATTCGAGATTAGTACCGAAGACCACAAGATTGGATCCCAACAGCCATTCACTACTCTTGGTTCTGAAACCCAACCTAACGAAAGCAAATGCATAAGAACCTGACCTCGTGGGCATCCTCAGTCGACACCACTTTTACTAAGCGATCGTATCCAATCCATGGATGACTTGGGCACCTAAGTCCTATTGCCGTTCATGATCGGTAGGATAAAATAGTGACGAGACACATTTAGGGTTGACGAGATGCCAAGCAAGTATCAGCTTTGAGGTCCGACTCACCGTACTTGACTAGGCGTACGTAACATTACACCGACACTGTAGGTATTATTAAAACGTAAACTGGTTTGGCGGCATTCGAATATCGTAAGGAAGCAGCGTCGTCCTACAGATTATAATAACTTCAAGGAGGTGATGAGTCATGGAACATATCAATTCAGATGTGATTGGCCTAATCTTGAGTGGAAGGCGCCGATATATACCGTTCTACGCCAACATAGATCCTTGGATGGTACGCCTATCATTGATACATATTTCCTCCGTTTATCTACAATTTGAACCTACTTTTTCGAAAGTCGGACCTAAATGCATAGAAGTATGCCCGTTTCGAATAGGGGGGGTTTGAAACCCGGTAGTATTACCTCATTCGGCGCGTTCGAATACAAATGACGCAGGGTATGCTCAATTGATTATGCAGAGTATTGTTTGGGTAATGCCAGAGAAAAACCCTCTGACTAACTTTGGCCTTCTCCAATCAGATTGCCCGCTAGCACCAGCCACGTTCACTGCACTTATTCTTGTGTCACCACCTCTTCCTATTGTTCTCCCCACTTTTCCTATTGTTCGTCTCAGCCATGTCTTCACCATCAGACACCTTCGCTAGATCCCAAGATCCTGCTGGGGCTATACTGGATATAAGATGCTGCTGCCGGCGATTCTGGGTTCTCGATCACTGTCGCGTTCCCCGATCAATCAATTCTTTGGTGATACTAGAGCTACCATATTCATCCTCGTCGAATCCGGCAACAGAACCTCGACAACCAAGTTACCCGCATGATGGCCTCCATGGATCCGTACAAGCAGAACATCACAATAGCTAGCCCGGATGGCATTGTTCCTGTGTCTATCCGTGAGCTGCAGTTCTTTGTGCATTACAACCAAACCCTCTGCATCAACTACGCAGCGCAGCTGGGGGCCTCGATCATTCTATTTGTGATGCTCCTACTGATGACCCGTCGTCGTGGCTCTTGGGTTTTCTGCCTCAATGCTGTCGCCCTTGTCTTGAACATTCTCCGACTTCTCCTTCAGATCATCCACTACTCGACTGGGTTGGAGGATATCTACAGCTACTTCACTGGAGACTACTCTGAAGTGCCTACGAGTGCATTCGCGGTGTCGGTGATGGCCGTCGTATTCGAAACCATGCTTATCATCTGCTTTGAAATCTCTCTTGTTCTACAAGTGCAGGTCGTATGCCTGACTCTTCGCCGACGTTATCGATACTCTTTACTAGCACTATCGATCGCAGTAGCGCTCATACCCATCGGGTTCCGTTTAGCCTACATGGTAGGGAACTGCAGGGAGGTGATGACACTTTCACCATGGTCCGACAGCCTTATGTGGCTGGAGCGCACCACGCCGATCCTGATCACAATAAGCATCTGCTTCTTCTGCGCCATATTTGTCGGAAAGCTCTGGTATGCAATCCGCCAGCGACGTCGTCTCGGTGTCCGCGACTTCGGGCCCATGAAGATCATCTTCGTCTGCGGCTGCCAGACCCTTTTCATTCCCGCTATTGTGACCATCCTCCAATTCATGATCCATGTCCCTGAGTTTGGTTCCAACGCGCTCACTCTCGTCACCATTTCTCTGCCCCTGTCTTCCATCTGGGCTGGCGTTACCCTCGACCACATAAAGTCGACAGGCTCGAATCGTAGCCGGATGCGGAATCTTTGGCAAAAGTTCACCTTTGACTCCGAGAGTACATTGCGGAATAACTCTGTGGCTACGGAGCTTGCCCCTTACAGCCAAGACCTTTTGCTATTCAAAGGGATCCAACAACGCTGCGACCTATGGTATTTCCGTGGAGCGCAATATTTCTGTGAGCAGTGTCCACGAACCTGCAGCGATGATATGAGAACTCTTCTCGGTGGCTTTGCCCAAGGGGTAGACCGGTTTTATTTGGATTTCTTAACTGTGAAGTAGCTCTTTCGGGCTGTCTTGGTCAAATACCTTCATACGAAACTTCCACACTTGTTCAATTATTATTTCAGACACAGCCTGATCAGGCGATGAACGTTCATTCAACACTACAAAATCAGCCTTAGCCTCTTGTCTCAAAGTACGTTTAATGCTATCCAAACCCAGTACTGTAGCCGATCTAGAAGCAACCGCCTGAATAGCCGCTGGAATTGGGGCACGAGTCTAGCGCCGGAATTTTTCAAGACACTGGAGCAAAATAACACATCTAGTCACATTGAAAAGGCAGCTTGGCGAGAAAACCATTCTTACTGGAACAGGTTGCTGTTTCTCGCCTTCCAGCAATATTGTCAGTAGCCTCAAGTTTACCCAGGACTCCCTTCTTCGTAAGCTTCCATATAACCCCGGAGCAAAAGCAGAGTGTTGGTGATCAGAACCATTCCCTCTGGACGTGACAGATAAAATTGCATGGTGCACACGATTTCCATCAGCAATGATCCCAAATAGGGACGACCGCGAGACGCGGGTTTTTTCTCTAATTCCAACGGACCGGGGGGGGGGGGCATTTAGGGTACAAACCTCAACAAATGGGGATGATACCTCAATGTCCGTTTTAAGGCCTGAAACCGCAGATCCGAACCTAATTCCAGCCACGGTGATTGTAAGCCAGGGGCCCTTTTAGCTTTACGGGGAGATGGATCTTGCCCAGTGGACTAGTGGGACCGAGCCTTGTCTGTTCTTCACAAGAGTTCACACTGACGTGCGTAACCAGCTGATCGCCGTGCCCTGTCAAGGGACCTCGCTTCTGGAGTTGAGCTGAAATGCAACATTATCCAATACGAACTACCCCTCTAGCCAAGACTAAATAGCCCGACCAGGATCCATTAGAAAGGAAGCGAGGTGTGATCAGCGTAGCCAAAACGGGGGGGGAGCTGACATTCTATTCTGGGGGCTGAATCCTTTGCTACCGAATTTGTCGTCGCGTGGTAACAGAAGGGTCAGTCCTTCACGGAGAAGAGGAGGCGCTAGTCTTCAATAGGGTTTAATAAACTCTTGCATATGGCCCCCATCGAACTTTCACCAGTAAAGCGTGTGCAAGGGCCTGCGAAATGCATTTGATCAGGATCGATCGATCGATCCTGCGAATTCTTCGTTCTTTTGAAGCGACCTTCGCCTTTTCAACTCCTTCATGGGCCTCTGCCGGTCCTGGCAAATTTAATCGTCATCAGGGATGCCTAATTCTGCCCACTACATCCCAGCGCCTGGGAGCGCTGAATACAATAAACAGTTCCAACAGTGGGATGCTGATGAGCGACCACAGCAATATGCTGCGATCATCATATGTTCAGTCGCAGCGACCGTTTCGGTGGCATTACGTCTGTATGCCCAGCGCAGGTACGGTAAGGGCTGGGGACTGGACGACTTATTCATTATTGTGGCTTGGGTATGTCCATTCAACTGAAACTCTACTGAGAAATCGCTAACTCAGTTCTAGCTGATCGTTTTGGCCGAGTTGATTGCTTCTTGTCAAGCGCTGGAAAGTGGAGCAGGTCTTCACCAAATTCGCGTCCAGTACGAGGATCAGGATCCTCCTCATGCGCTTTCCTACATCTACACGGTATGCGTATCTTGTCTTCGAGTACAATCGCTTATCTAATATGCTGTGGTTGAAGAATTACTGGATCGTCGCTATCCTCTGGGCTCCAGGCGTTCTATTCGTCAAATTGTCTATCCTTGTCCTATACCGACGCATATTCCTCGTCCAGCAACGATGGTTCAAAGTTGCTCTTTGGGCGAATGGCGCGTACGCTTTGGGACTGGGCATTGCGTCCACTTTGCTGTTCATCTTCCAGTGCCATCCGATCGACTACTACTGGACTCGGTATGTCTCCTTCTACGGAGAACCAATACCAGGCGGCGCATGTTTGGCCCACACAGTCCAGTATCTGGGAGCACCGCAGATTCTCAGCACGGTTTCAGACCTGGTCATTCTATTCCTCCCAGTTCCGATCATCTGGAATTTGACTATCCAAACGGCGCGTAAGGTTGCTCTCTCCGCTGTCTTCCTACTTGGTGCTTTCACAGTTGGATGTGGAATCGCCAGGATTGCCGTCATCTTCCGAGTAACCAATGAAACGGACGTGACAGTAAGTTCCTGACCTCGTGCGCTTGAAATATTAGCGGCTAACTTGCCCTTCAAGTGGAACAATATTGATACAGTCACCTTCACTGTCGTTGAAGCCGCTGTCGGTATCGTCTGTGCCTGCCTTCCAGCTGCCGCGCCCTTATATTCCGCCATCATGCAGAAATTGGGACTGATGTCCCCATCTTCGACCGGAAACCACTACTACGCAAGCAACCAAAGAGTTAGTTCCCCGAAGCGACGCCTTTCGCGTCTGCCCAAGTTCTCTGGCGCCAAGCCACGATACGATGACCCCGGCATGGAATTCGAAGACTTGATCGCCGATCAAAAGTTCCAGGCATGGTCACCAAGAAGGACTGATGACATTGAAAGTGCCTCGTCGCTTCAACGGCCCGACAATGCCATTACTGTGGAAAATAAGATTGATGTGACCTCGTATGCCGCCGAGAATTCGTACCGTTAAGCCCGGAGTTTGCGGTCACTGTCGGACTAAATTAGTACTTGATACCCTACGATAGCTGTTTCAAAATCCATGAAGTTTACGAGATTCCACTCCCCCCATCTTTGATGTAGAATCCCGCCGAGAGACTTCAGGGGAGAAGATGTCCGCCTAAAGACCTGAATAATTCCTCACGTTCAGATGGCTCTTGATATTCTTAAATATATGGGCAGACTGAATGCTACTGGAACAACTCCATGCTCGATTACGACGAAAGTCCGATATGCTCTTGAAAGGACTCTTAAGGGCTAATTCAGTGCATTGAAGCAACTGGAGTTTCCATGCAAATGAAACAAGTATACTGATTGTCACTAGAGTCTAAAAACCCCCGTTGTACAAATTAGCACCCTGTCCGAGGACATCACACCAGGTTGCAGAAGATCCTATCAGGTCCAAGGCGATAACACCAGATTCAGAAAAGTTTTCAGCACACCGTTCATGATCCTTTGATTCGTATATCCATAAGAAGGTGTTGTTCATGAGCTATCTCCATATATTGCAGATGGTTCCCTTTTTGTATCCATGTCAGTACTCCGTGAGTGGGAAACGCCGCCCAGTAGAGAATCCGCAGCAGATGAGGTTGGACTCCGACTTCACTTCCACCCGCGCGGCCTTTCCTACCACCGTGGACACGCGCCCAGCGTAATGTCAGCCCCTTAAAGCAAATGCCATTACCTGGAGTACGCAGCGTACCGTCCATTTTCCAAAAAACTCAAACTGATCCTGGCTGCAGACTCCGTCCCCATTCCGCCTACCCCGCCGCCAGTCCACGCGTCGCGCCGGACCTCAGTTCGCGAACTCGCCTCGATTCCTGTTGTCGCAATCGACTCCACGAACAAGCAATCAAATCGATATAGTCGATGACGATGAACCCCTGTCGACAGCCCCGGCAGCTTACACACCACAGCGCTCTGTCGCGCCACGGAGGCCGAGAGACGTGATCGAAGATTCGGACGATATCGAGTTTTCGAGGCATCGAGACCTGGGACAGGGCGATACAAACGCAATAGAGGATAATCCAATCAGTAGCACTCCACCATTCGAGCCCGATACCCCCGGCCCCTGGATGCAGAGTATGATGCGTTGTTTGCCCCCGTTCAAGCGAGTAGCAAACGGCGCCGGCTAGTCGCAGATGAACAGGGCACAAGAGACCAGCCGTTACTCTCAGCGCGGGAACAAGCCTCGTCGTCTCCAGATCCTCGCCGCCAAACCCATGAAGCCCTCGATTTCTCTGCACCAAACCGCCTGCCAAGGACTACATCCACAGAGCCCGACGTGCACGCAACACCGCGTTTATCAGCGAAGCCTTCGACTCCCGGGTTCGTCACGCCAGGGAACACCAAAACGCCCTTCCGCAGCAAGCCCAAGTTTATGCTGTCCAGCAAGAAGCCACTGAGTAGCCAACCAGTTTACAAACTCGAGACACCCACCGCAACGCGACAAACCTCGCCGCCGGAACGGCGCAAACCGAATTTTGTCCTCCCCAAATCACCGTCCCCCAAGAAAGCAATTGATGATATTCCAGCGCCCTTCTCTCCTTCTTCGCGGGCCCTCCACCGCCGCGGGCGGGCCCGTGCCGGCGTGTCTGCGTATGCCCCGGGAGGAATGGCTGCGGAGGTGCGCAGCTGGATTCTTGAAACAGGGTCGAAGCGCGAAAACGCTCTGCCTCACCGCGTATCCACTATTGATACGGACAATTTTGCAACTGTGATCAGCCAGTATCTGGTTGCTGCACGAGTGCTCCATGCTCGACACGGGTTCCTGAGTAGCTCCGGGCCACTTGTATTTCTAGAAGCGGAAAAGGTGTCGGTTACATCCAATGACGGGGACGCTGAGATCCTCAGGCTTATGGTCATGGGCCCTCCTCGGTCGACGCCCTATTTAGTAGCAGCGGAAAACCCTAACTATGTTCAACCCGGAGACTTGGTAGGTGTTCATCGAGGGTTGGCGTGGGATGTGGATTTTCAGGCCTCCGGGTCTCGGAGGCCCCAAGACCCAGAGCAGTCCGAAGGGGAGAAATGGCTTGTGGCAATGGATTGGGATATTATACGTGAGCCGGACAGTTGATCTACCGTGAATCACGCTGCCTTCTATGATACCTATACCCTGTACGATTATATGTGGTAGAATTTATTTCTCAAAAGATCACCTAATATTTTGAGTGTGGGTATATCGTAGTTACAAAACACTTGAGAAAGGACCATTCTGATTGAGCCAGTTTAGTCCGAGACGGCCTTGAGAGCGTCCACAGCCACGTTACAGCCCCAGCGGACCAGCTTCTGCTCCTTCTCTGAAGCTGGGATATCACTCTTCGCAACAACCTTGCGCAGGAAGTAGATGAGGCCCTTGGCGATATGAGGCGTTTCTTGAACACGCAAGAATATTTGCATCAACCCATCCTCATCCCTAGACTCGTCCGACTTGGATTTATCTGCTTTCTTCGATTTCTTCTTGGCTTTCTGAGACTGCTGGATGATACTGATCAACAACAGCTCCGTGAAAACCTTCGTTTTAGGCTGTAGATAGGCAAAATTGAGGTTCTTTAAGATGCCAAGTGTGAGAGTACCATCCGCAACAAGCATGCCGAACATCTTGGCCAAGTTCACGACCGATTTCATGCTGACACTAGTCTCCTCGTCGTCGGGATCGAAGTCTGCCTCGTCGTCTGCATCGCCTTGCTCACCCATCTTCTTAAAAATATTCCACAGAGCGAACATGAAGGAGACCTTCAGACGACGTCCGGCTTCGGCGCAGAGACGGCGCGCAATCAGCGTGTAGAATGGGTTGTGGGCTTCTTCCTCCATGGCACAGTGTAGAAGCACACGGGGAATCTCAAATTCCTGGGCACGCTTCAGGCGTAACTTGGTAAGTCGAACCTGGGCATCTTGGTAATCATTCGCAGACATAATAGCCACGAAGATCGAGCGCCGGACATCCGTGTTCATACGGTGAGCTCGGGCGAGTTCGGCAATATCGGGCTCATCCTCGCTATCTTCCTCCCGCACCTCGGGTGCTTGGGCGGGAGCGCCAACTAGCTCTTCACGAGCTGCCACCAAGGGGTCCTCTTTCCAGCTAGCGCCAACAAGCCACCACTTACCCTTCTTGGAAGAATCGTGGATGTCGGCTCGGGAGATATTCATGGGCTCAGATGCGCGGATCACACGGTTGTTGTTCATTGAACCCAGAATCTTGCGCATTTTCGTAATGTGCTCCGAAGTGACGTTGGCGCCGATGGCTTCCTTGACGCGGTTGTTCTTGAGATCGGTGATTGTGTCAATCATGAACTTCGTGCGCACGGAGAGACTCTCCTCGCCGGCCTTTGCCACGGCAGGCTGAATCAACAGGACAATATCTTTCAGTGCGGATGGATCGTCTTGTCGAAGCTGGGGTCCCGAGTCTGGTCGACTGGTTAGGAATAGGTATCATGATGGCCAAGCGATATCACTTACTTCGGACGACTTTCAGAAGGAGCTCAGTGTTTGTCTCAGTAATCTCCTGCAAGAAGAGTCGGATATAGTCGAACATCAATGCGCTGCCGATCACATGGAAATTGTATAGCTGTGACAGTAGAGACACCAAGTTGACAATCTCCTTGCCCTCGAACTTTCCCCGCTCGTCACCACCAGCGTCTAGTGTTTCAACAAATCTTTGCACGATTTCAGCACCAAAGTCCATGCCCATGATTTTATACAAAGCTGCGATGAAACCCGCATGGAGCACGATGAAAGTGTCTTGCAGAGCCGCTCTTTCACAGATAAGCCCCATCAACAGGTTTATGATGGTCGATGTGACATGTTGACGGGGATAGTCTCGGTATAGCTTCTCGAACTCGCCGAGGATAGAGATCAGATTTGCCTCGGACAACTTGTTGAGGTGGCCCTGCGCTTGGCGTTTTAATCGAGTCATAGACTCAGACTTCGAATCCGACCGGCCCCGTAATGATGGAGGGATATACTTTTGGAAAGATGCATTTTCAGCTTTTGGTACAGGCGCGACGTATGGATTCTCCCGCTTTTTCGGCGGCGGTTTTTCATCGAAGCCCTCAAAGTCGCTGCCCTCCCCCATCTCCTCGTCTTGATCTTCATCTTCTTCATCACTGTCTCCAAATATTTGTTCATCAAGGTCATCTTCATCTTCGTCGCTGTCCATATCGCTAGCTTGCTCCGTTTGGGCGTGGAGCTTTTGAGCCTTGCGCCGTTTATTCAAAAGCCACTCATCAGCTTCCCTTTTGCGTTTCCGGTCCTCGTCTTCGGATTGGTCGCCAAGATCGCCCAGTAACTCATCCAAACCATCCTCTGCAAAAGCCTTGGGAAGCTTGCCGCCTTTTTTAAGGCCCAGCTTCTTCTCAAGCGCTGCAATCTCTGCATCATCCTGGTCTAATTTAGACTTGACATTTGACGGTATATGCGGGGTCTCTCCGAACTCGTCCTCAGACTCATTGAGATCAATATCTTCGTCAAAATTTTCGCTTTCCTCGGATTCGGAATCCTTTGGCGGAGGCTTTTTCAGGGCGGATTTCAGCGTCGAGACTGGCTCTTGCGAATGTGGCTTCTTTTTCGATGCATTTCGAGCAGCTTTGGACGTTTCCTCCTCGTCTTCGTCTAGATCTAAATCATCTTCGTCCTCTTCATCTTCCTCAACCCGCCGAGAAGGTCTTCCTGAGGGCTGTGAAGATTTCCGTGATTTTTTTCTCCGCTCGCTCGTCGCGCCGGCGGTCCTTGCGGGCAGCAGGTCCGGTTCGTTTGCGCTTTTTTTCGCCGTAGGTATCGCGAATCCCGAGCTCAGATCGCAAATTCCGGGGGAGGGATGTCGTATTATGCTGGGGGCGCTTGAATCTAGCCATTATGAACCTTTCGCAGTTGCTCAAACCCGAGCAAGTAGAGTGCGGTGAGTGAACTTTTTTGCGGCGACTGTTTTTTTGCCGGTTAAATCTGGAGGCGGCGGCCCACAACCCACAGCGGAGTTTCTTCCCCCACGAGAACTGGACTGCTCGGCGTTGGAAATTCCCCAGGTCAATTCTTGATCTCCTTGGCCATATTGCAGTTCGGAATGGCACCCCATCTGAGCCATGATGAGGTATGTTTTGCGGGAGTTTTGAGGTTGTGCAGGATTCAACCCCGCCGGCCACGCGACAAGCACCAAGTGTTCCGCTAACAGCTTGACCGACAGTTCTTCTCATCTCTCGCAAACCTGCTCACGAAGACATCCGACAAGGCTCGAGGCTCCGTTTTTTTGAGCCAAAAACCAGTTCCCAACACCGACGCAGATGCGCCTCCCTCTGTTGTGGTTCGCGCAACCGATGGAAATACCGGAGCGCCGAACCCGAAATCTTCTGGGCAAGCAGGCAAGGTCGCAAAGAACACCTCCTCGAAAGTCAAGTTCTCCACCATCGTCTCCCACAATGAGCTTGAGGCTTTTTACGCCCGCTACGCCGATGTTTGCAAGACGGGCATGACGGGCTTGAAGAAGCGAGATCGCAAGCGCAAGGCCAAGGCTAAGGGCGGAGCTGCGAAGGCCAAGGCATAGACGGCGCTTTTATTCTTGTTCAAAGGGTCCGGTTGCAATACATTCGGTTTGATCTCGATTTTGCCCAATCTTTTATTATTGCATTTCCAGGCGTTAGGGTTGGCTTTACACCAAGCCTTTGTGGCAATTATTGATCACGAGCTTTCCACTACAAGGTGTACATACAAAACCAAAACTCCGTCCTCGAGTATGTTATCTAAAAAAAATTTAAATCTGCAGAGACAAAGCTTCTTGCTGCATCTCCCGGGCTCGGTGGAAGTCTGCTTCACGCTAAAGTGAGAGCCAGCCAACCTTTTCATCTATCGCGAGGTTATGTCGGGGTGATCATTTGAAAGATTCTTAGAACCCCTACAAATATACTGACTCATGGAATCCTCGCCATCTAATTGCACCTGGAATCTGTAGTACTGTGCAAGGACTCGGAAGACATCCTGCCGTATTCATGTACTCCCCTTCGCACATTCCCAAGAAGCGCCAGGAACGTCTTAACAGTGATAAGGGGAGACCCAACTCACTGAATGGGAGGAGGTAACTCCGAATCCGCCAGACTTGGATGGAATCGATATCGCAGCTGTATGTCGACTACAGAGGGGTTTTGTGATACATTCTCTGATATGCGGGACATCTTTGGTCTTCTGCCGCCAGACTCCCTTCATTTCGGTTTAGATTCAACGGATTTCTTTCTTTCTTTCAACTAGGGAATATATCTCGTCCTCATCTCACAAATCCAATTGGCTCCCCGTGGTGATACCTTGGAGGAATCTAAGTGTATGCATAAACCGGGGTTTCGCATAGGAGTGGGGCGAGCTGCCAAGAGTGGACATGGGATCTGGAGAACATGGAGAAAATGCATGTAAAGCTTCATACATCCCTACAGTTATTGGGAATACTCAAATTGACATTGATCCTGATACTTGCAGCTTTGAGAATATGTTGACTGGTTTGTGTATAATAAATCATGGAAGCCTTCGGGCTTGGTTACCGAGGTATATCTCGAGTTGATGTGGTATTGAAGCCAATATTAGTACACAGGCGTATCGATCACCTACTCGCACTCAAGCTTCCATTTATCCGGCGAAATTGAGCTACATGAGCACGAGCGAGATAGATAGGGCAAAGGGCCGCTGGAGAGATAAAGATGTCATTACGTAGTATGGATCGGCCCCTCTGCGGAGAAGCTCCTTATCAGTCCGTGTTCCCCTCAGTGAGAACTTAGACCTCTTAGGAACTCTATTTGCTTTTTGAGAAGAACCTTTCCTCAAAAGACCATCTATAACACCTCTTGAACTATCCCACCTAGGTATTTGTCCACAGTAAAGATGGGTATCAAAGGGATTCGCACGGCCCTGAAGGTCGATCTAGATAAGCCTGCCCAAGAGCAGCAGGGGCTTCACGTATGTCTAATTTCGCCCTTCTAGTTCATGAACTATGAGACTAACTTTCTCTAGAACCGGTGGCACCCAGATAGTGAGTTCGCTGGAACAGCATAGTTGCCTCGCACGCATAACTGATCAAATCATGTGAAAGTCCCTGCATGCGGCAAGATCGCCAACAACGAAGTCGTCAAGATCGAATGCCTTGACTGGACCGGCGGTCAAATCAAGAATAACGACTCAGCCGACGATGTCAAGAATGTTGATCTGACGCAAATCCACTATCTCTCTGGTCCATTCGACATCGAGACGGCTGAGCCTGGCGACGTCCTGCTTGTAGAGATCCAAGACGTCCAACCCTTCCAGGAGCAGCCTTGGGGATTTACCGGAATTTTCGATCGCCACAATGGAGGCGGCTTTCTGGACGAACTATATCCAAAAGCGTATGTATCTTCCCAAAAGAGGTTGACTTCCATGCTCATATTATACACAGTGCCAAGGCAATCTGGGACTTTGAAGGGATCTTCTGTTCATCTCGACATATCCCGCATGTCCGCTTCGCTGGACTGATCCACCCTGGTATCCTGGGATGTGCTCCTTCGGCAGAGGTTCTAGCAGAATGGAACCGGCGCGAAGGCGAGCTGATCGCCGCAAACACCGTCGCTGAGCGAATCGTCGCGCAACCTCCCAATCCGCAGAATTCCCACGCTGGAAGCTCGCCAGAGGACATCAAAGCGAGAGTCGCGAAGGAAGGCGCACGAACGATCCCTGTGTGTTAACCCCCCCATCCACAGCCCGCCGACGACCATTGCTAATATCACCAGGGGCGCCCCGAGCACGGCGGGAACTGCGACATCAAGAACCTTTCCAGAGGCTCGAAGGTGTACCTGCCCGTCCACGTGCCCGGTGCAAAATTCTCCGTCGGCGATCTCCATTTCTCGCAAGGAGACGGCGAGATTTCATTCTGCGGCGCCATCGAGATGGCAGGCGTCATAACGCTGAAGTTTACCGTGATCAAGAACGGCATGGCGAAACTGAATATGAAGTCTCCGATTTTCCACGCAGGCCCCGTCGAGCCGCAGTTCGGCCCTGGTCGGTACCTGACATTCGAAGGCTTTTCGGTCGATGAGACAGGGAAGCAGCATTATTTGGATGCTACCGTCGCTTACCGGCAGACCTGCCTGCGGGTGATCGAGTACCTGCGGCGATATGGGTATAGTGATTACCAGATATACCTACTCCTGAGCTGTGCGCCTGTCCAAGGGCATATAGCTGGAAATTGTGGACATTCCCAACGCGTGCACGACATTGGGTGTTCCGATGGATATCTTTGATTTCGATATCAGACCTGAGGCGGAGATCACGACACGCGATATGGGGACTTGTGCCTTTACAAGCGAGTAGGATATTAGTATACTAAGAGATATCAGTTGATATTCTCCGTCATACTAAGGTAGCAGTCATCGTATCAAAACAACCGGTTTCTGGTGTTGCCGTAGTGCTTTTTTCAATTAGCCATATGCATGAGATTTACGTGTGTAAAGATCCAAAGTCGAGAATAAATCCCTTTCACTTAATGATGTCTATATTACATCATGTATCGTAGAAGCAACGCAAAGAACGCCTCGTGAATCGTGTTGAGAGGGTTAGTACAAGAAACAGGATCTTCAAGAGAAGAACTTCTTAGCAGCAGCTTTGTCCTTAGCCTCGCGGGCCTTGATAGTGTGCTTGACCTTGGCAATCTCATTAGTGATAGCCACGTCATTAGGGGACAGCTTCAGAGCATCCTGGAGGTCCTTGAGGGCCTCATCCTCCTCCCTCAGACCAATCTCTGCCACGGCGCGACGGTAGTACACCTTAGCCTTATCGGCATCCTTGGCCTTGGCGACCTCCGCAACTTCGAGGGCAAAGCCAGCCCACTTCTTAGCATCTGAGAAGCGCCCGATCTTGTTGGCGAGCAAAGCAGAGTTCGAGTGCAGGGTGAATCGGAGAGCCTTCATCTGCTCAGCCAGCTCCTTGGGGTCATTCTCAGCAGGCTCGGGGAACTCATTCAGGTAGCGCAGGGCCTTCTGGTACTTCTCCAGACCCAGCTCGTGATCACCACCCTTGAATGCGGTGTTTCCGAAACCCTTCAGCTCGGTAGCGATCTGGAAAGCCGAGGGGGCGGTCAAATCCTCCCCCTGGTGGTCCTCCGGGTAGTCCTCATATGGGTCTCCGGTGGAGTCCTGCACCCGCTTACTGGCATTCTCATAGTCCTCGCCCTTGAGCTCACCGCAGTCGACCACGGTCACGTCGAGCTTGGGCTTGTCGGATTGGGTTGGCAGGTTCTCGATCTTGCGCACGATGCTCTTTCCATTGATCACCTCACCGAAAACGACGTGCTTGCCATCGAGATGAGGGGTGGGAACGGTGGTCACGAAGAATTGGCTACCGTTGGTGGCGGGGCCCGAGTTGGCCATGGAGAGCAGGAATGGACGGTCATGCTTGAGGTCGAAATTCTCATCTTCGAACTTTTCACCGTAGATCGACTCGCCGCCCGTACCGTTGAACTGAGTGAAGTCACCACCCTGGATCATGAACTGCTTGATCACACGGTGGAAGATGGAGCCTGTGGGGATTGGTGTGTGGTTAGTCAGGCTCATGCATGCTATGCGCGGGGAAAGAGGGCGTCGTACCTTTGTAACTCAATGGCTTGCCCTGGGTACCCTCGCCCTTCTCGCCAGTGCAGAGCGCCCGGAAGTTATCGGCGGTCTTGGGAACAACTATTGACTCGATTAGCTAGGTGTTTCCAGCAAAAAAAATAATATGCGCGTCAGATCGTCCGTACCGTCATTGAACTATGCGACAATCTGAGTTAGTCGGAAGGCGTTTCAGTATGGGCTAGGAGAATGACATACAAGTTCAAAGACAACGCGGCCGGCCTTCTGATTGCCGATCTGGATATCAAAGAAACGCGAGAGCGCTCTGTTTCAGTAGTCAGTTTCAATCTCTTCAGGGCAGATCGGCGGATCCCCGCATTGGAAGGGACATACGAGAGCCAGCCATGGTGGATGGAGTAGGTGAAGTGAGAGTTGAGAGAAGAGGACAAAGAAACCAAAATTAGAAGAAGAAAATTATGCGATTGGGAAGTGGTGAGGAGGAGAGGCAGAGAGCTCTCTGATCTTTGGTGATGGTGGGGTGAGTTTCGGCCGATCTTCAGGAAGGTTCTATGCCCCCCAATCATACTATTTGCGCAACTTTCACTGCGGGTACTTCTCGTTATTTAATCTAGTTATCTAATATACAAGGTTGTTTTGTTTTTAGATCTCCTTTCATTGCAATAATTCTGGAGGGATTTGGAACTCAAAGGAGGTCTGTGTAGGCCCAGAGCCTGCCTCGCTCTCATCTTTATCTCCTTCCTTGGGCTTCGGTTCTTTCTTGGGGAGGTTCGTGTTGATTTCGATCGTAACCTATAGATCAACCCATCGTTAGCCGTTTGAGATGCTGCGGCGCAAAGGGAGAAGCCAGCAAAGGCAAAATGTACCGCCGCGTCTTCACTGCGATAATCAACACCCACCGGCCCGTCGTTCTTGAGCTCGACTTCCATCATGGCCTGGAAGACACCGTTCTTGACTCGCTCAGGGACATAAGAGGTTTTCATCTTTTCATAAAAATGGTCGTATATTTTGCGTGCGATGTCGGGTTTGGCGGCGTCGTGGAAATCTGGCTTGTTGCCTTTCTTCATCTTGGCGTAGAGGGTAAATTGGGAGACTTAAGTAGTATGCTGGTCAGTACAGAGAAAGCCCCGACAAGAGCAGAGCACATACCACATAAGATTTCGCCCTGAATCTCCTGGACATTCTTCTTCCACTGCAAACACCTCGGAGTAAGCTTCTAGCTATCCAAGCTCAATGCGACATGCTTTACCTGGTCGCCATTCTCGTTCGGCCAGAACTTGGCCTTGAGCACCTTGTTGACTATGGTCTCCGCTTCCTTTTCGGTATCCTCCTGACCGACGCCTGCAAACACAAGCAGGCCTCGGCCAACAGAGGGAAATGAGTTCCTCGTCCACACTCACAGAGGCGGACTTCACACGCTGGATGATGACTTTTGGATGTTAGAGAGTCAAGGTCAATTCGTATCCGTGCATTCCGAACCTTTCATGATATTCAACGCAATAAACAAAACTTGAATAAATGTCACTTAAAAAGCGCAATTCCAAAAACGAAGCAAGAGACCAAACCTAGAGTCTTGACGTGGGGTTCAGTAGATCAAACCGAGGGCGATCCAAATCGGACTTTCCCACTTTGCCATAGACACCCAGCTACGTCCGAGCACGCATCTATCGATTTCCACACAACTCAATTCAACCGACGTCCGGTTGTCGCCAGAGAATCCCTTGCGTGTTTCATGAAAGTTGGGGTTTGCCTCATCATAGGTTAATCGTGGGCGTTTCGCATTGCCGCCCGCTCGAAGTCACCGCCTTCTTAAAGAGGCAACCATCGAAGCTTTGCAAGTTGTGAGCGAATGAACGTATCTACGGCTCTCCGTCTTCTCCCTTGTTGGCGACATACTGGCGAACCTTCCACTGGACCGAAAAGATCCTCCTCCGCACCCCATTGTGCAGTCCCAACCCGCTACTGAGACTGCATCTCACCTCCGCCCCCACCGTACTACAACTATCGCGCCTGTGGACGGCTCAGTCCACACCCCGACACCGCAATGGCGTCTCGAAAAACGCAGCAAGAAATTGACAAAACCTTTAAGAAGGTCGCCGAAGGGATACAGACATTTGAAGGCATCTATGAGAAGATCCGAACCGCTTCAAATACTACCCAGCGCGATAAGCTTGAGGAGAACTTGAAGCGTGAGATCAAGAAGCTCCAAAGGTTCCGTGACCAGATCAAGACATGGGCCTCGGGCAATGAAGTCAAGGACAAGGCGCCGCTGCTGGAGCAGCGGAAAGCCATTGAGCAGGTTTGTTTCCCATGAAAGCGTAATGGCGGGGCAATGATGTGATTCGAATGCTAAAGCTAACGACTTGAATAGTGCATGGAGCAGTTCAAGGCCGTCGAGAAGGAAATGAAGACCAAAGCATACTCCAAGGAAGGCCTCTCTGCTGCGTCACGGCTTGACCCGAAAGAGAAAGAGAAGGTAGAAGCTTGTGATTTCTTATCGTCCATGGTAGACGAACTTCAACAGAAGATCGAGGCGATGGAAGCAGAGGAAGAAATTCTTCACGCGCAAATGAAGAAGGGAAAGAAGGATACCAGCAAGGCAAATCGTATGGCTGATATTTCGCGAGTAACGGAGCGACATAAATGGCACGTCAATAAGCTGGAGTTCCTCCTTCGATCATTACAAAATGGCAATCTGGAGGTGAACGCTGTCGTCGATCTCAAAGAGAGCATCACCTACTACGTGGAGGAAGGCGGTAGCGCCGACTACAATGGAGAAGACGAAACCCTCTATGATGACTTGAATATCGGTGAAGATGTCGAAGCCCAATTCGGCATGGGTGGCGCCGACGACCCAAGCTCATCACAAGATGCCCAATCAATGCCGGATGATGAGCCAGAACCGAAATCGAAACCCAAGGCCGAACCGACGCCGGCCACAAGAAGGCCATCCGCACAGATGAAGTCTCCCCTGCCCGTCCTCGCCACCCTCCACCCATCTGCCTCGTCCAATGCTACTCCTGGCATGAAACCTGCCCCATTGCCCACCCGACTTCCAGGAGAGACCCTCAAATACGCATCAGCTGCCGCTGCAGCCGCTGCAAGTGACAAGAATGGTGTTGGAATTGCCCCCTTACCCCCGCCACCAGGCGCCAGTCCGGCATTCTCAAATGCATTCCCGGTCTCTAAAGCATCTTCGACAGCTTCGCCGAGTGTTTCATCAGTACAACCGGTCACTAAAACGCCTCTATCCGCGGCAGCCTCCTCGGAAGATCATGTGAATGCAAGCCGATCAAAAACCCCCGGTGGTACTAGGATAGCGGGCACCTCGTCACCCGCTCCAGTACCGAAGCCCGAACCTTCGAAAGAACCGGGGATGAATGGCAAGGCCACAAAGGGAGACGAAGAGGATTCCGAAGAGTCGATATTCCATCTGCCTCCAAGCTTACAAGATCTGGTTCAATCATTCGAGGTCACCAAGCAAAGGTCAACCACCAGTGGATCATCGCCATCTGTCCAGCGCCTCCTGGCCACATCTCTCACCACCTGTCCGGAACCTGGGGATGCAGAGAAGCCCCGTCAGTACAGAGCTCAGAACCCATACAACACTCCTCTCTACTATCCGCAGGATCCTCTCTCTATCTTTGATGATCCTAGGCTGTACGATACCGGTCGAATCGACACTGACACTCTCTTCTACCTCTTCTACTACCGACAAGGCTCCTATCAGCAATATCTGGCTGCAAAGGCCCTCAAGAACCAGAGCTGGCGCTTCCACAAGCAATACCAGACCTGGTTCCAACGGCATGAGGAGCCCAAGAACATCACCGAGGAGTTTGAGCAAGGCACCTACCGGTTTTTCGACTATGAAAGCACATGGTACGTTGTCACTGATTGTACAGACTTAACGAAATATCATGCTCACTGAAACAGGATGAATCGACGCAAGGCGGATTTCAAGTTCGTGTACAAATACCTCGAGGATGAGTTATAATTCCATCCTACCGTGTGATGATGGGTGAAACGCCCCAGGGCTCACGGATCCCCCCGTTAACGGTCAGGCTAGATAGCCGCGGCCCTTTTTTTTCTCCGAAAGTGAAAATAGATATCATGGGGTTCGGATCGAGACCCCGGGAGTTTCCATTTTCCGCAAGTGGTTTTTTTTATCGTTTCCCTTGTATCGTTTTGCCGGGTGGCATCGGGCAATGGGTACAATGAACTGGGTCTTACGCACACCGGAGTTCTGAGAAATGTTGACTTCATTATCTAGTGGTTTTAACGTAATGGACAGGCGCTGTCTAGGAATGCCATGTGCCGGACTCGCGAATTGAGCACGCATCATTCAACCTGGACCGTACCCTCACATTCCCTATGGATATGTACTAGTCGTGATAACCCGTATTAATACTGGTTCTAGTGCCAGATGGTAGATAGAGAAGAGCGTATGATTCCATGCAATCTTGATGTCCATCCCGAGACATGCGAGAGGGTAGCTAAAGCGAATCCAAAAGTAGAAAACAAAAATACCCCCCCAACTCCGTCCCGAAATCCCCCCTAAGCACCTTTCCCATTAAGTCATAGATGAGCCTCGGACGAGACCCAGGGGGCACACCTGAGATCAGGCATGTCTCGGATAAAGTGCGACTTCTTGCACTGGATGAACTTCCCTGGTCCGTCTGGGGAGACCTGGAAATTCTCGGTATTGACATCCAGCCATAACTCGTCGAAGCCGGTCATCTTTAGCTCGATGGTGCCCTTGACCATGCTCAGGTCAATGTGAATTTTGAAACCCTGGCCGGGGACGCCGTGGAAGATGCCCAGGTTGATGCCGTAAACGCCGAGGGCGAGTTCGGTTTCGTGGGTTTGGGTGTTGATGGAGCCGGAGACCTGTGGCTGGATTAGCTGGCAAATTCCTTTTTCAAAAGGCCCGGATGGGCGACGCCGGTCACTTACGGTGAAGATCTCAACGGCGGAGCTAAAAGAGACGCGGTGCTTGCTCGCGTGGTCGAAGAGGTGTGACTCAGTGTTCTCGACTTGACGTATCTGGTAGGCACCGTCGCTGTTGCGCGAACGCTGGACCACAAGAGCTGGAGGATGTGTTAGGGACTGGACCAGGCGGGGCGTTGGTAGCTACCTACCACTGTAGAGCATCTTGTCTGCTTCTTCGGAGGACAGGACACAGAAATATTAATGACTTCAGCTGCTTGTAGGTGGAACTTGACAACAAGGCTGGGAGTCTGGGGGTGGACTTGGGAGGGGGAAGTCAAGATATAAATGCTTAGAGACAATCAGGGGGAGGGGAAACGTATTTGATTTGATCAGATTAAAGAAGCAGATCGTAGCCCCACGGTTACAGGAAGTGAAGATCACTCGCACTATATCCATTAGTAGGTGGGTCACGGCAGATGCATACAAGAACCACGGGGTCTGGTAATCCAGACCTCAGAGATCGTGCAGAATCGCGGTCCGCACCGTGCGAGCCATGGATACGCCTCTTCATAAGTACGAACATTGAAGTTGTGACTGTTATATCAAGATCTGGGCCGCCGATTGGGGGAGACATTTCTGCCGCGGTGGGTATCTGCTTCCCCAACCAGGCGTATCCACTACCGGAAGCGGCCACAAGCTGTGCCAAATTTTCTGGATCCCAAGCAGGATGCAGGGTGATCTCTCATCTCTTTACACTTTCAATGATCAACGTTGATCTTGCCTGGCTCTGTGTGGGGGTAATTGGGTCCAATGAGGAAGTGGATCTCGAAATCAATAGTTTATTGAGCAAAACACATCTAACCGAAACAAGACAAGCATGAATAATGCTAACCTGTCGGAACACGCGATGCCATTACCACCGTATTACCGAGCGTTCATTTCTTGGCCTATGGGCATAGTTAACTACCTAGTTAGATACTCGGTGCCTGTCATTTTAGAGAGATCAGAGCTACATACGGAGTATATTTCACTCCATTACCGTACATTACAACACCTTTGCCTCCTGACGCTCCAACATAACCAGGCTGTTGATCGTACCCCGGAAGATCCTTTCTGAGTTCAATAAGAGGCCATTTCCTCATTTCTGAGATGCCCCTGAACTGGAATCCATCCCAGTACACGTATCCAAGACACATATCTTGAAAATATGAATTCCCAAGAAGAAACCGCCGGCTAATAAGGCGACATTACGCAGCCTATCGTGTATCCTTGCAACTCCTCCTGTGAACCCCTCATTCCTTTGCCGATCGTGAGCTCTCGCCAGCGACAAAGTCCCATGCAGCTCAGATCCTCGGTCCAGCAGATATAAATTTCGGCTCGCGGATCGGTCGTAATCCCTCAAAAGTCGCCTATCTTGAGGCTTGGGCGTGGTGGACTCGACAGGGAGCAGTTCCTCCCACAGCGCCGTGTACCCCGACCTACTCTCGCCAGACGATAGATCGGTCGCATTCGAGAACTGTCTACACTGGAACACGAGTTTTCCAAGGTTTTCGGGTCGGGTCACGGGGTGTAGCAGGTTGAAACATGCAGATGGGAACACTCACGTATCCGCGCAATCAGATGATGCACAGCTCGATAGCTTCGCCGGCCATTTCCCCTTTTTATGACCTAGCGGATCATTTCCCCCGTATGGCGCAGGAACCATGCTCGCCTCTGTGACCGTCTTGACCAATTCAAGTCGGCTGGATTGAGGAACGGCAGCGAAGATCATCCAACCGGGGACTCCATTCGGAGAGGGACTCCCAGGTACTGCGGCTCCACGACCTATACCAGACCTATCTAGTTGGCACCGCGGCGACTTGTCACCAGGGCCTTCGGTCATTGGCTACTTCCATATCAATGCTAAAAGCATATGATGCTCGAACTGCTCGCGAAATCGTGCGATGGCCATGTATGATTTTCCGGTATCATCACTGTGGCGGAATGCCTCTGAGTGGTGAAACGGGAAGGCCTTGATTAGAAAACAACGGGAAACAATGGGCTTCGAGAAACATCCCAGATAGGTGGCTGATTTCTATCGATCCCTGGCAAGCTAGGTGGGCTGATCGCTTTTTCCATGTTGTAGATGACTCACGCCACTTTGGACTACCCCGTCTGCCTGTTTAGACTGGTTTGACTGGTTTGGCAAACAGCAGCTGCCCCATAGCAATGAGTTCAAGCTTCGGACAATCAACTGACCTCGGTAGTCCGCCACACGGATGAACGCCCGATGGTTACATCACGAAGCGGCGTTGCGCTTCTTGAGCCTCAGCGCGGTCTCATCCGCCGTTGACGGCTGCTTTGAATTGTAATCAAGTGTGCCGTGTCACTTTGGGGTCTCTTTGAGAATTAGAAATAGAATAAGGCGAAGGTGGCCAGGTTCACTATTACTTCTCAGTACACAAACGGCCTTAGCACCTATGAGCAGCAGCTGCTAGAGCCCGTGATCGGAAAAGCCGCAGGTGCATGGTTCTTTGCTGCTTCGCCGCTTGGCCGCCCTGTCGATCCAGGACCACAGCTATCCCTGAACTAGACTGGAGAACTTTTCCAGCCAAGACAAGACCCTGCGCCCCGCGCCAGGAATTACGGGGTAGGTCGATCATCGGAACCGATTACCAGAAGCTTGCTGTGAGGCAGAGAGTACTTTTGTTGACCCGTGAGGCTCCCGGCCTTCCGCAGATTAATTCTGCAGTCAGACCAACAGCATACGGAAGAGAGCAGCCAATGATAAATATTGAGATCGATGTGTCAGAAGGCTAATAGATGCCTCTCGGTGACTCTACGCAAGATATCATTCCGGTGGGTGCGGATCAGCTTGCCACGAGAGATCCAGAGCCAAGAAAAAGTGCCGTCCAGTCAAAACAAAAGAACATCCGACGGACTAATTCCTCTATTGTGTCAGGGTTTGGTAGCCTAATCTGGACGTTCTTCGAGTCCACGATAGCACCCTTATCACCAGATGTGAGCGCTAAGACCGAACTGGCATAGCACGATGTGCCTTGACATAATTGCGTGGCTCGAGTCCACGGGTCCAAGTGCATGTGCTAAAAGTACTGGATTGTACCCCGGAAGGTGCGCTGGACGCATTTGCGATCTACCAAACTCGAACCCGCTCACAACCCCCTTCGTAAATTGAACATACTAGTATAGGAGGAAATACCTACCGTCTGGACAAGAAGCGCCTCTTTTGACGGATAAAGCAGAAGCCAATCCGGCTTAGTGGCAGGGGCTGAGCGGAAAGGTTGCAGCGTAGTCCTGATGCACCTCCTCTTGGCACGCTAGAGATGCGGGATTTTTTTTTTTTTGTTTTTCGCTTCTAGAAGGCCGGATCAGAAGCAGGGGCTGTGCGATGACATCGGTCGTCGATCGGTCCCCCGGATTAGAAAACTGGGAATTGGCCTGGCTTGGCGATCGTCCCAAGTGGTTTAGATCGTGCTAGTTTACTAGTCGATCTTTTGTGACTTCATTCGGGCCGCCGTTGCCGAGTCTGAAAATGGGAAAATATGGAGCCTCCAGAGGGAGAAAGCCTCTTCGCCGTTTTGTTTTTCTCTTTTAAAAAATTTTGTCCAAGGTCATGAGATTGTAGAGTTTTCTGCCTAGTCTTTCACCCCCTCCCCCCCGGGAGTTAGGAAACAATCATCGAGCGTGCTGAATGAAAGGGGGAGAGGGAACAAAAATAGCAACTGGCAAAAGGTGCTCGAGTGCTAAAACAAAGAAAAGGCCCCTTCGCGAAATCAGGAAACGCAGCATGGCAACGCTAATCCCAAAGTGGCAGGTTTCTGGAAGAACTGTGGCATGTTCTGGACTGGACGCCACGCAGCCAAGATGAAACGCAGAAGAGGGTGCGATGGGGACCACAAGCCAAAGGAACCAACACAGAGAGGGGGCCAAGAGCGAGATGCAACGACGCTAGAAGTTTTCCAGAAGCGCACTAAGCAGGCCGAATGTTTCCATCGAAGCCCAAGGGGAGTGGATCGACCTCAGCCGTGCGAGGAGTGGGAAAACGAAGGACAAAGAGGGTCGAGCGGAATATGCACCGGGTCTGACCGCTGGGATAATCGTACATGCAGCTTATCGGGGCCAATCCTGACGGTGCACTGGAGTCACACCGGCCAATGAGCGGCGAGACAATATGCAACGACCGGGGCCTGACGCTAGAAGGGGGGTGGAAGGTTCGTCGAAGCCCACTTAACGGCGCTAGCAAGTCAGCACTTGGGAAGCCCGGGCTAATGCGTCGAGGATCCGTGTTTGCAGAAATTCCCGCAGATGCAGTGATCCTCTCTCGGAATGACGCTGTGGGGGGGCTGTGGTGTGGGACCCCATTCACCATGCAGCCTCAAAGTGAAGCCAGTTCACTGGCGTGCTGCAGTTCGTGTTCTTTGGGGCATGTGCCAGGACACTTAAGAAAGCCCTCCGCCTGCTCTGGCCAGCGATTCTTGCCCAAGGTCAAACCGCTTTCCTGCTTCGAGTGTCGCCAGTATAGATCATTCCATTGCGAGTTTGGTACTCCAACACTATTCCACAAGCGGTAGTACACTTCATGCATCTCGCCCCCAATCACCGGCACTTAGGATTGCTCGAGTGGGAAACCAGCTTCAGAAGGATTCGTACCGTCGTCTCACAATGGTAAGGTCCCCCTGGGTCCAGGATTTTTTTTTTTCTCTCGACCTTCTAGAATGCTGATCGTTCCATGCTTTTTAAAATAGACTGCCTATCCTCTTTCTTCAATCCCCATCCCCAAGAAATCCTCAGCCATGCAGTCTCCCTTCAGCTATACCGACTCCTACACCTCATCGCCCGGCGGTATGGACTTCTTCTTCTACGGGCCTCCGGTCTATGACAACGTCTGCGACGTCGACACCCATTTTGTCGATGTCATGCCCGAGCCCTATACGTTCACCAGCGGGCCCAGCGCTCCAGGTGCTCCCTATGCCTATGCCCCCACTATGCCCGACTTCACCGTCTACGACCCCTCCGTCATGGCCACCAGTATGCCCAGCCCTACCAGCAGTTGCGGGAGCTCCTACAGCAGTAGCTTCCATGTCCCCGAGGAGGTCCCCGTCCCCAAGTACCACTTCGCTCCCGCGCCAAGTGAGGATGTGACTACCCCGGACTCTCCACCAGCTCCCTCCAAGTATGTTCTCGACATGCGATCGCGTCACAGCCATGATCGTATGATTTCACGTATCTCGCACAGCGCACTAACAATGCTCTTCCAGGCCTGCTAAGCCCTTCGCTTGTGATGCCTGCCGCAAGACGTTTACTCGCTTCGCCGATCTCAAGCGCCATCAGTCCAGCGTTCATTATCCGGTCTTCCGCAACTGCCCCGTCGAGCACTGCTCGCGGAAAGGAAGTAATGGTTTCCCTCGCCAGGACCACTTGGTCGAACACTTGCGCTCTTACCATCATCTCGACGTCCCTAAGCGTCGCGCCTTGAAGCGCTCGGCCAAGGATATGGCATGATCGCACGATCGCACGACCGTACGATCGCATGCTGTGATGCGAAACCCATCTGAACCCTCTGAACACGTCATCTTTTTGCCTCTCCGGCGGAGCAAGATATGCTATCACCGATATTACGAATCCACGACATTTTCCGTTCTGCTTCTGTGTTTCTATACCTTCGATTCGAGCCTGGCGTCTTCTCTGGCGGCACATTTACTTCTTTCTTGAAACCCTTTTCGCACTAGCGATTCTTCAATTCAACATGTGTTTCGATTATAGAACCGCTTTTTTCTTCTCTCTCTTTTTTCTTGATGTATCATGTATAGAAGATAACCCTGGATCTTTGTTTTTATTCCCATTTTTGGTCTAACTCATGATATCAACGTTTGTTTTCCTCCTCTTCTCATCACATTTCTTGGACTCTATGTCCACAAGACTATTACACTTTTGGACAGTCGAGACAGTCTCAATGAGACTATAGACGGGACTGCCTTATTGGGATATACAAGCAGGGGAGTCGCGATCTCGACGATGGGCTGCCAGGTTTCAGAAATTCAGCGACTATGATAGGGCCGGCGAGCCCGGTTTAACTTTTCTCTCTGGCTTTTCCTAAATTCAATAAATCGATCGAAACCGGGGTCGTCAATGGTCAATGCCCTCGGGGGGTGACTTGGCGTCGCACCAGCCTTGACTCGGTCGCTGCCTCTGCGACCCACAGCCGCCTGTGTGACCTGACACGATCCGGACTAGACTCTTTGTAGCAGGCAGCGCCGCCCCTCGAATCGAGGTGTGCTGGCCTGCCATTGGTGCGTGCCATGCATGCGTCTTGGAGGGGAAGGGGTGCAGGAACCTGCTATCTCCCCCGCCCGTCAATGCCCAGGCTATCAAGGACACCAAAGTCACAGAATCGCAGGATCCTTTCGGGAGGCCCACCTGGCGCGGTGGGATTGGCAGGTACCTGGAAAGAGTATGTAACCTCGTAGGAAGCCTCGGGAGGCTGGAATGGGAAAGTTCGGGGTCGAGTTTACCTCGTAAGCGAAACAGAATACACACCTGAGCCACCAAAAGGCTGACCTACGTAGCCCCCATGCCACCCTTTCCTTCTCACGGGTTTAGTGCCAATCCTTCTACCACATTCAAATCCTCAACTCCAACTTCTCCAAGGAGCCCCCGTTGATCGTATCGGGTCCTCCGCACAACAGTTGCTTGCTTCACTCGATTTTCATTGCCCCCAATACATTTCAAACAATAGTGCGTAGAATGCAATGATTCGACCTCGACTCTGAACTTGACGGGGTATCTCCCAATATGCACCACGCCGCACCGCTTCCCATCCCTGTTCCTAAGAAAAAGAAACTTGTTTCTTCGCATGGAACATCTGTACAAGCGTTGAAAAGGGGAGCTATTAGATGTGGGTCTTCAGACAGACCCAAGCCGTAGTGTATACGGAGTACGGAGAGGGCGCCGATCAGCGTTTACCCTTCAAACAGCATCCGCAAAAGACACTCATATCCTCACCACAGCACAGTATCACAGTGGCCCGTTCCCCAGATCCAGTCTCGAACAGTCCCCCATTGCCGATCACGGCCGTCGGTGCTCAAGAAGGAGCCGAACACTAACGTGTGTTGACGCGGACAACCAGAAGCAACCCCGTTCCTCTCCCTGTTTCAGAATTCAACGTGCATATACGCTGGCAGTTCATTCCATGTTGGGGGGAAGTGACGCTGCAGCTAGCCCGTCAAAGCATCTAGGCCAGGCCGTTTAGCTCCAAACCAAGTACGACGCGGCCACGAGCCTCCCGATCAAGGAGCCGAGTTCTCGGCCTTCACAGCATCTGCGGAGACGGGAGCTAAAGGGGCCCCTGAGCGATTACTGCACCTTCGTCTGTGCGGCGACGCTACGAAGATTTGCAATCGTATCTCGCCTGTGCGGTTGCCGGTGCTGTTTTGCTGGTTTGCTGTTTTTGCGCTTCGGCCGGAGATTACCGCGGAATTGGAGCTCCGAATTGTGGGCCGAGTCCACTTGGTGATAGCAAATTTGTGGGCTGGGTATTTCCAGCTTACGTCGTTGGGATGCCTCAATTTTTGGTCCCTGCGGTAGCGTGTAGCTGCTAGTATGTCCTGAGCGGTTGCGAGGCTGGTTTCTTGACCGCGACTTGGAGTGGAGTGGCCGCTACCAAGCTAAGCCGGAAGCTCCGTCTAGTACTCCGTAATGCCGTTTCTAATATATTTTCGCTTCCCGCGGGTGTGCGTGCAGGGACCACCAGCGGTCTATACCCACATGGGCTGGTGGTTGCACATCAGAGGCCGATTGATATCGTCTAGGGACTTGCCATGTGTGCCCACCTAATTTTATGATCTACGAATTAACAAGTATAATGGAGCTAGTATAATTCGGAGACTACGGATGGTCGACCAAGACATTTCCCTCGAACGACTCGATCGTGAAACCAGCTTCGACCTATGCAATATGCTGTCTTCATTACGGAGTACTTGTGGCCAAGCTATTAACCCACATGGTCCTCAACCGACATGTGTAAATACCGACATGTGTAAATGATTTGCGAGCTTGGAGCGAGCTCTACTAGTAATGCTTCACCAAGTCCTTGGCGGAGATCGTGCGATTAGGATGAAACCAACCATATTATTAGTAGGTGTCAAAAGCTTAAGCAGATTCCAGGAGCCAAACACGAGATGCTATAGAGTTTTTTTTTGGCTGAGATATGTCTCCAGTAATCAGCTGTTATCAACGCCGACTCCAAACCCAAAGTCAAAAACACCTGGGCACCCTACATCTCAATACGTAATCGCATCACGACAAGGATGCTCACCAACACGACCTACACTATTGGGCGCCCAGATCTCGAAAATCCATAAAACAGACCCCCTTCGCCTTCCCCGCCTCATCAAAAAGCACTCCTTCATCTCTTAATCGTAACTTCTTTTCATTCCGAAACGAGCCATTTCCAATATGCTTACTAACTCTCCACTCCCCCTTGTACCCGCCCAACGTCCCGTCCGCTGCTAGCACACGGTGGCATGGCACCTCCGGCGCAAACGGATTGGTCCGCATAGCGTTCCCCACGGCCCGCGGCGAAGATCCGAGATACTTGGCCATGGCGGCGTAGGTGGTCCAGCGGCCGGCGGGGACGCTCAGAAGGCAGCGATAGACGCGTCGGCGATAAGGGGTGAGAGTGGGGTGCATTGAGATGCGGCGGAGGAACTTTTGCTCTACCTGAGACGGAGTCGGGTTCGGGAGCATCTTCCTCGCCAGCGGTTGGGTTTGACATGGTGGGTGTGTCCGTTCCTTGCTTCTGCGACTTGGCGGAGGTGGAGGTAGAGATGGCTGGAGCAGTGTTAGCCGCGCCCAACGCGTTATTCCCGCGCTTCAACATACCGGTCGGGCGGACGAGGTATCAGGGATCAAGTTACTCTAGAAAATAGAGTCGACGAGAGGTTGTTGATGGATGTTTAGGCTCGTCGTTGATTTGTAAAAGTGGCATTTGCTACCAAAGTGACCAATCAGAGCCTGTCTCTGCCATCGGCACTGAATGGGTGCTCCCTTTGCTCGTGCGTGATTGGGTACTGTGGAACTAGATATCAAGCTCGTCGTACATGGGGTAGGAAGAACTTCGCTGGCCGATCTGGTCGAATCCTTGTTGTTTGTCGGCCGTACAATCCTCGTCGCCAGCATTTTAAACAAGGCCGATGCTGATTAGCTTCGTGGCAACATGCCCTGCATTTCCAAGTCAACCGGACTTCCCTTGCACGCAAGACCCTGGCCATATCCGGTGTTTCAGCCTTAAGGCGTGTGAAAGGGCTCTGCATTCCAATTATGGGTTCTCAGCAGATGGGAGGCTATGTCTGAATCACCGCGTCTTGCCTCAGTAGAAGTGCTGTACGAGATGTATCAGGACGACGTTATGGCTTGCCTATATGCTGCCGAATTTTGCTTTCCAGATGTATTCACTTAGGGCTAAGTAGATGCATCTTGCTTCGGGAAGTTAGAGTGCAGTCGAATATGTTGCTTCCTGGGGTTTACAGAACTAGCCGGTCGGGATTTTACTCCGATCTCATTGCTGACAATCAAGCTATATCCCATCTCATAGGACACCGGGGAAACAAAGTCAGCTCTAGCTGCTGAATGGCTGGTCTTTGATGAAGACTTACCAGAAGCTGTCCAAGAATTAATGAGATCAAGTGCAGTGGCAAGGGGTCATTCCCTAGACAAGAGAGGTTCCAGCGCCGTAGAGGGACGCTTAAGCCATAATATAATGGCCAACTGCGAGTCATCCCAGAATCAAATTCCACCGAACTGAATCTCGAAGCAACACGTGTGATAATGTTACTCACCCGCACCTGCGCACTATTAGCGTTTCATCCCAGCTCATCATGCTTCCGTCATTTAACCGCCCTGATTCGGAAGGAGACGGCCGGAGGCAAGAGCCAAACAGGCGAAGTACTATATACCCCACAAGTGTACCTGAGGATACATAACTTCAGCCTCCTCTGGAATTCGGAGACCAAATCATGGCGCCCCACGACACACCTACTCTTCTGCAACTCCCCTTCCTCGCCATTGCATATCTGCAGCCAGGACGCCGGCAGGACCCCGACTGGACGTACCGACAGGCGCTATACAACAGCGCCCTCAAGGCATTGTTAGATGCCTTCGCATTTTGCCGCATCAAGCCCGGTCTGTCACTCCGTGCGGGTTTCGAGCGAGATCGATTTGTCTTGATAGAGCCGGGAAGGCCTGAGCTCTACACGGGCATCGCGCAGGACAAGGAGGTCAAGCCGGAGGTTATTGGAGGAACGTGGTATCCGAAGCGACTACCAAGTGATTTCACCATTCCAGAGGGCGGGCATATCGTTCTCCATCTGCACGGCGGCTCGTATATCATGGGTGACGGCCGCACGGCTTCATGTCAGTTTCTAGCCAAGAACCTCCTCTCCCATACCCCGGCTCGCTATGTGCTGTGTCTACAGTACCGACTCGCAGTGAGCCCGAAAACTCGCTTTCCGGCGCAGCTCCAGGATGCCATTTCCGCTTATTCCTACATGATCCACACGCTGCACATTCCTCCCACACGCATCATTCTCAGCGGTGACAGTGCGGGCGGGCACCTGGTCCTGGCATTACTGCGGTACATTGTTAATTTCGGGGGGAAGTCGCTCCTGCCACCCCCAAAATGCAGCTGGCTATGGTCGCCATGGTGCGATGTCCCTGCCGGGGCCGAGAGAACGGCTTGGATCAAGAATCCGAAGTATAGCACCGATTACACCCCCGGCTCGCTACAGGCTTGGGGGGCCAAAAATTTCCTTAGGAACCTGCATTTGACAGCGGCAGTCGAAGAATATGTCGCGCCCATTAAGCATCCATTTCCGCTTCCTTCGCCGATGTTCATTGTTTCGGGGGGGGCGAGAGGTCCTGTTTGAGGACCATCTCTGGCTAGCCCAGACCTATCAACGAATACCTGAGAATATGTCATCTATCAAATTTTATATGGAAGACAGAGCGTCACACGATGTTCTCATGATCGGATGGCTCATGAACTTCGAGGAAGAGGCCCGCAGGTGTGCGATCAAGGCCGGGGAGTTCGTGAAGCACTTGGAAGAAAAGATTTAAATAATTTCATTCAGTTCTGCGGATCGAAATGTTGAAATCAATTCTTTATTTTATTATCTCAATTCTCGTAAGCTACCCATCGCCGAGCTACATTTCTATGTCCTTTATTTACCATGGACAAAAAGTCGTTTCTCAACAGGCTCAAATGTCTTCTCACGAGGAGGTCCTATAGGCTTACCAAATACCAATTGAGCCTGCAGGCTCCATGCCGCGGGAATGTCCCACTCATGTGATACCCGGTCGTCGATGAGGGGGCTGTAATGCTGGAGACTGGCGCCCAACCCCTCCGTTTCCAAAAGAGTCCAGACTGTTCTCGTTAGCAGTTATCCTGGTTATTGTGAGTAACCTCGACTTACCTCCAAGCTGATGCATTCCACTCGTTTGAAGAGACCCTGGAAACTGTTATTCTCCCTTCCTTTTGAGAACGCTCGCAATACATACATTCTGGGAACTTCTCAACCAGCATAGGCCACTTCGTCTTCAACGCCTCAAAAGGCGCCGGGTCTTCGTAGAACAGAACCTATTTATTTGTTAGTAAATTGACAACGTGGATCATAGGAATACGTACAGTTCCGTATGCGGCGCGAAACATGGCAATGCGAGGTTTGTACAATTTTTCAAACATCTCTGGCGTGCTAGCGGCGAAGGCAGTCTCGTAGGCGATATCCCACAATTTCTCGTGTTGTTCTTTAAGCAGGACAACAATGCGAGTAGTCTGGGTGTTAAATGCGCTGGGAGTATGTTGGAGGACCTCTGAAATTAGTCCTTCGATGCGCTCATTAGGGACCGTGGACTCGTTTGTGAGGGCATAGATCGAGCGGCGGCCCTTGAGACCCTCGATGAAGGAAGAGGCGATGGCGGACATCTTGGATTGAGGCAGCTGAGGAGATCAATGCAGAGAATGCGAATTGCAAATGACAATCCGCAGTTCACCAGCTTCCCAACCTTTATATACTCCACAATCAGAATGAGCTTCGGGAGCGGTATTCCGCCAGGCCGGCCATAGCGTCGGGCTTCATTTTGGCCCCAGACTGGTGAGGTCGGATGCGGCCTTTCGCCGTCTGACCTCTTAAGTCCTCTAACTCCGCTATTTGAGCTTAAATCCTCGAGCTTATCAGAGCTTAACTCCTTGTTCCGAGACATATTGCCGACTTGCGTAGATTGCAAGGCGATCTCTAGGCGCACCTGGCTCCACCAGAGCAGGGACCGCAGGTTAAGCGAGTGGAATGATTCTGGAGCCTCAATAGCCTTCTTCTCTTCTCTGTGTTCAAGGTTGACAGAGTTCGCATTCTTACAGTGACATGAAAATCCTAGAACTCATCTACACTGCGATATCTCAGCATTGGAAGGGTCACCAGTTAATCGTCAGCCCTCTTTATAACGGAGTGGCTTTTCCCGGTTCTCTGCGACTTTTCGGGTTATGGGGGTTTGGCCTTTGGACATGTCACAATAATCTGATTTATACCACTTCAGTACGCTCCTTTAACTTTTCATCCCGAAGCCAATGATCTGGTTCTTAAGTCGAAGCTAAAGACCTCAAATCGGAAATTGCTGACCGAGCTCGGAGCTTCAGCTTTTCTGACGCATCTTTAGCAGAGATGGCCAGGTAAAACGCATATTCGCTTATCAAGTACTATCAAATTTATCAGCTACTATATCCTGCCGAATCAGTAATGTTTCAACACGCGTAGAACTCCATCTCTGGGCGCTTACTTGATAGAAAGTTACACTGTTTGCAAGATTTGCACCAGGAGTGGGCCTGACTCAAGGAGACATAGTACGCAGCGTTTTAGGTATTCTTGCCCTGATAAATGGTGACATGGCCTCCAGAATTAGATCCTTTTTGGGGCATGTAGTGTGGGCCTCCAAACTTTTACATTCACCCAATCACAGCAATGTATGTGCTCTGATCATCAGGAAAATGCTAGGCCAGCAGTATGCCACCAGCCCTCGATCACAACTGATTTAGAAAACCTCATATGTTGCATTTTGTTAGGCTGGTAGACATCTATACCAACCCCGCTCTCTACAAAAATCTATCGAGGTGTTTGGGGTACATTGACCGATGTCAGTGCGAGCCGGTTCTACACCCCAGGCCTTACACAAAACCACGTCATCACTAGCGACTACTGCAATTTCGCCGATTCCATTTCCATGGGGAATGAACAGCTTCTTCAGTCAGCTTGGTGGCTAGTCAGGCAGTAATATTGGCTGCTGAAATGAGTGGGAACAATGAAGGTCGGCAGGGCTTCCAAGGTTGGCTTCGATAACTAGTTAATCGGGGAACTACATAACTGTGTGTTATCCGATATCTTTATCGAGATCAAAAGGGCGCCACCATGAGTCGTATCTGGTTCCAGCCACTCATTCTTGCTAATTCAGATCGGAATCGAACTGCCGGAGCACCACCTTACTAATTCCATGAGTGCCCGGGGCTTGGAAGCGGCAAAGCAGCGCTTACAGCATGGTAGTGGCAATGAGACTGGCTACCCAAGCATGTCATCTTGTATGCACTGCCTGGAACTGCTATGTGCACGGCACATTAGTCCTAATTGGGACGCTGTCCACGGGAAACTAAGAGCAAAGCATTACGTACATTCGTGCTTGGCCAACAAGGCACCTGCATTCTGCCGATTCTATTGAGCCCGTCGTTCTATACCACTTCGAACGCCTGGGTGACTGTTGAAGTCATGATATAAGCTCATTCAGCACTCTGATAGTATGGCCATTCCCAAATTCAAAGATCTGGCTACCAGCATCTCTCATCTAAGCCGCTACTATCCGGGGATATCTGGGGCATGTCCGCCGGGAAATCCGCCTGGCCGCCTTTCTCACCGCCCGCCCCCCAACAGGCCGTGGCCATAATGAGGTTTTGGTGTCCGTAAGTGCTCGCCGCATCACCGAAACAAGCCGAGCGGCTTACATAACGCGTTCTTCGATCTCAAAATACCGCAAAAGCTCAGTCCTTTCCCGTCACAGCGTTGAAGACACATTCTCCCCCGATTGCGCCCACCTTTCCTCCTCCGGGAACAAGTATCTTGGAGGCATTTTCTATTCTCCTTGCTTCCTTCTGATCTTTCCTTGCAATGTTCCGCTCTGTCCTTCCCCGGGCTTCGCCCCGGGCACCCCTGCGCGCCTGCGGTCCTAAGGCCGTCCCTTTCAACCTCGTCACTCCTACCGTCTTCATTGGCGTTTCAAAACGTGGCTATGCCTCTGAGGCTGGTAAGTCATAGGTTATCGAGTTGCTTTGGAGCTACCGGAGTGACTCCCCAGCCTTGCTGGATACAACGGCTAATTCCTGGTTCACAGGAGACCATGATCTAGTTATCATCGGCGGTGGTGTCGCCGGTTACGTCGCTGCTATCAAGGCCGGCCAAGAGGGTCTTAAGGTATGACATAATTCTCTTTGAAGCAAATGTCCCCCATACCGACGCTATTGTGCTTCTTTCATCCCAAATACCCAAGCTCACTCGACAATAAACAGACTGCCTGTATCGAGAAGCGTGGATCTCTCGGTGGTACCTGCTTGAACGTCGGCTGTATCCCATCAAAGTCCCTCCTGAACAACTCCCACCTCTACCACCAGATCCTCCACGACACCAAGAAGCGCGGTATCGAGGTTGGCGATGTGAAGCTCAACCTGACCCAGATGCTCAAGGCCAAGGACGCCTCCGTTGAGGGTCTGACCAAGGGTGTTGAGTTCTTGCTGAAGAAGAACGGTGTTGACTATATTAAGGGTGCTGGTTCCTTCGTCGATGCCAACACTGTCAAGGTCGACCTGCTTGACGGTGGTGAGCAGACTGTCCGCGGAAAGAACATCCTGATCGCTACTGGCTCAGAGTCGACTCCTTTCCCCGGCCTCAACATCGACGAGAAGCGCATTGTCACCAGCACTGGTGCTCTTGAGCTCAAGGAGGTTCCTAAGAAGATGGTTGTCATCGGTGGTGGTATTATCGGTCTCGAGATGGTATGACTATACTTGCACGCCTCGTGCCGACATTTTACCGGATAAGCACTAACGTCTCCTTCTAATAGGCCTCCGTCTGGTCCCGTCTCGGTTCCGAGGTTACTGTTGTTGAGTTCCTTGGCCAGATCGGTGGTCCCGGCATGGACGCGGAGATCGCCAAGCAGGCCCAAAAGATCCTGGCCAAGCAGGGCATCAAGTTCAAGACCGGTACTAAGGTCACCAAGGGTGACGACAGCGGTGCTACCGTCAGCCTGAGCGTTGAGGCTGCCAAGGGTGGCAAGGAGGAGACTCTCGACGCTGATGTCGTCCTGGTCGCCATCGGCCGCCGCCCTTACACTGAGGGTCTTGGTCTGGAGAACATCGGTATCGACAAGGACGAGCGTGGCCGCCTGGTCATTGATCAGGAGTACCGCACCAAGATCCCCCACATCCGTGTCGTCGGTGACGTTACCTTCGGCCCTATGCTGGCTCACAAGGCGGAGGAAGAGGCCGTTGCCGCCATTGAGTACATCAAGAAGGGCCACGGCCACGTCAACTATGCCGCCATTCCCAGTGTCATGTACACTCACCCCGAGGTCGCCTGGGTTGGCCAGAACGAGGCTGAGGTCAAGGCTTCCGGCGTGAAGTACAACGTCGGCACCTTCCCCTTCAGCGCGAACTCTCGCGCCAAGACCAACCTCGACACTGAGGGTGTTGTCAAGTTCATTTCTGACGCCGAGACTGACCGTATCCTCGGTGTGCACATCATCGGTGCCGGTGCCGGCGAGATGATCGCCGAGGCCACTCTGGCCGTTGAGTACGGTGCTTCCAGCGAGGATGTTGCCCGTACCTGCCACGCCCACCCCACCCTCTCCGAGGCCTTCAAGGAGGCTGCCATGGCCACCTACTCCAAGCCCATCCACTTCTAGACGCTTCCCCGTGACTCTGATACCTCCTACCTGTACTACTTTCTGAAATGTCACTAGTCTGGCTATGCGTGCAATCTACATGTAACATGTAGCATTTCTCATTTTATGTAATTTTTCCTATGTTCATTATTGCTAAATCAAAAATAGACTTCGCAAAGTTCTGTTATTTCTGTATTTACTTCCCAGCGTCAGATTGCCGAGTAAAGCAAAGCGACTCTCAGTAGTAGTAGATAGGACGCGTACTAAACCGAGTGTCAGCGCGGTAATCCGCTATGAGCGGAGGCAGTCCGTTCGGGTGGGGCTTCCGGCCAATCAGATTCGTCCATTGGCGAGGTTCAACTGAGCAGGACTGTACTTTGTTTCGTGCCAGAATAAAGCTGCTTTATTTGTTCGCTATCTTATTGACTAAGCGTACTATCCAATGGCCCGGGGGGAGTTGTTATCGCTGCTATGGAGGACCAAACTTTGGCTCTGGTGATCTTTGACCTGAGGATGGAACAAATGCCGAGACCGATATATCGCACCGGTATCCACACGATGAACTGCCACAAGCAACTGGCTCAAAACTTGAAGACACGAGGCAGATACTACAGAATACCTAAACCTGGATTCTCTAACCTTTCACCTGAAAACTCGTAATATATGACCCTAATATGAAATATGAGAACAATTGAAACCCCTTGAATAGCCGTCCAGGGCCTACCTCTTCCAAGTACTACTGTGGCCCAACCAGGCCTTGAAACTTAATAGGTGCGCGGAAAAAGCAACTAAATAATATCCCTAAATCACCCAAGGTTCACTAATTGCGCGGAATGGGCTACGCGATCGCAAGCCCTGATACCACACGGCGCCTTTCCCATTCCGGGACGAATACCAAGATCTGTCGACGGCAGGGCAGACACGTTCAGCTGCAAACGAGAAATGGAATCCATGTATGTAGACGGGATCTGCAACGTAGAATGAACAGAAGCTTCAGTCATCCAAGCTAAATAGGCGGCATGTCTCGATCTCTCCTCTGGCATTCCAGCCTTGTCCTCCCCCCCCCTTGTCAACCCACGCCTCGGACTCGAGCTAACACGAGCATGCATAAACTCTTCTTCGCCACGGCTTGCCTCCTGGCTACGGCTAGAGTATACGCTGCTAGCCCTGTCCAATGTGCTAAAGGCCTGAAGATGTTTGTGTCCCGTGGCACGGGAGAGGAGATGGGTCTCGGCGTGTTGGGGAATATAACAAAGGTTATACGTGAGAGGATCCCCGGCTCGGACGACGAGGCTATCACGTACCCTGCGTCGAGTGTGGATCCGAACTATATGATTTCCGTGGGCAATGGGACGTTGCTGCTGAAGGAAGCCCTCACGGAATACGCCCAGGCGTGCCCAGAGTCCAAAATTGCGGTTTGGGATACTCGCAGGTAAATTGGACTTGATCTGTCAGAAAAGAGTTATGCGCTGATGGAGAGTAGGGCGCTCAGATTGTTTCGAACAGTTTTTGTGGAACACTGCCTTTCTGGACCATCACCGACATGGACAATATCAACATGGAGGATATCATGAAGAGAGAGCCTCCGCTCTCGAAAGAGGTGACCAAGAACGGTGAGTACTTAAAATACATAACATCAAATTCGTCCTAACGTGTCCAGTCATTTCGGTCGTGCTTTTCGGCGATACTACACGCGCTGCGAGACCGTCCTATAATTACGGCACATGGAACAACACAGGGAATGGGCTATTCTACCGCGACGACGTCACACCATATGTGGAGCTAGGAAAGCGCGTTCGATCCTATTGCGACGCAGGTGATCCGTTCTGTGACGCGGGATATTATCTGAATGTCAACGCGCACCTGGAGTATGTTCAAAAATATGGTGACGAGGTTATAGACTATGTCGTTCAGCAGTATAGCAGCCACAGGGTCTAATGTAAATACTTTGCGCCATTTCCGAGGAGCGAGTTCGCTAGGATGGAGGGTGTCTGGAAGCCTGGAATACGTTTGATGGGGTCAATTGTTAGATGGCTCGAGGTTGACAGGTCTCTTTCGAAATCTATAACAAAGAATAAAGTGTAATTGGCTCGCAGCCACTATCTTCGCAGGAACAGCGGTGCAGGGATATAGAACCAGAGATGTCCTATAAGATAGACGTACTCAGTACTGCACGATGGTTGGCAGAGGAGGCCCTAGAACCCAATATCGAACTCGGCGAGGCCGTTGAGGCGAGTGGCCTTCACAGAGACGTTCGGCAGAGGGATCCATAGCGTGCTCGGCATGTGGGCCACGATGTCGACCGCATCTCGCGCGGTAAGGTGGATCAAGATGCCTCGCGTTTGAATCGATGCCATGATCATGACATGTGTGGGACTCCACGGGTCCATGAAAGTCCGAGAAGTGATGATCATGATAATGTCGATAGTGATGGGTGGCCCGGTAATTGATGTTTTGATATGACCTTGACGACCTAGATGATTGTGGGTGATGGCTGTAAATGCCAGGGTCCTCCACATCATGATGCCAAGGGCAAGTGCAAGCATGGTTGGAAGCACTATCTCGTTTTGGACCTTGCTTGTGGTCAGGACAGGGGGAGTTGGGCGGCTTTGGGGGAGCAGGGCGGCGCTGATGCAGAGGCCTGATAGAAGTCTTAGCTTGTAGCCATTTGCAGTAGGTCATGCTGCATACAATTTGGTTGTGCTATGAACGTCTGCATGTAAATCTTCATCTCTCGCTGACCTGGATGGTTGAGTTTTCGCCACATCTTCGAAGATAATTGGGGGACTGTCAGTAAAACAGACAGCCCGCACATGCCCATGTTGGCAAATGGAGTTCTTTCGCTCAAAGTGATGATCATGATGATGATGGAGTGGGAGAGGTATTGACGATGACTTGAAATATTCCATTGCGAAACCAGTTTGATTGGGATCAGCATCGGTGTAGGATACCTTCGATTGTGGCTGTCTGAGAATCTTAGAGTACCATCGTCAACCGACTGGTAGTATAACTTTATATGAGTTTGATCCATCAAGATATTTGTTGAGCATGATGGCAAAAGAGATACAGCGTGGCACCAAGCGGGAAGTTGCATACTCTCGTTACATTTGATAGGTTTCGAACTGACACTAACTTTGTTCGATTATTTTCCGGAAAGCCCTCATGTCTGGAAATCATAAGACCCTGTAAGCCATGAAGTTATGGACCTCGATTTATTCCATGTTGACCTATTTTTCACTATTTGAGATTTAGAACATGGCCAGATGATGTAAGAAGCTGGTGACTATGGGTCATGGAAGGAGTGAACCTCTTGACCCATTGGTCCAGGATCGCAAGGAAGGTATCACAGACTGCTTTGACAGCGTCGTCACGAGAGGAACCGCAGCACTCAATGTAGACTGTATTCCAATGTCAGCGCACGAAGCAAGCTTTATGGGACCAACCTACATTTAACCTTCGGCTCCGTTCCAGAACCTCTAATTGTAAACCGGACTCCCCCATCGAGCCACAGCGTCAACATTTGGCTGGTAGGGTCGTCAGGTAGATCAGGCTTGTTATCGGGAGAACTGGAGTCATAGCCCTCGGTCAGGTCTCTCCAACGAAGAATTCTCATAGGCCCAAGTTTCATATTAGCTAGGAACGAGCCGCTTCTGATCCCCTTGAACAGTTCAGTGGTCAGCGCTGGACTTGGCGATCGAAAATAATTGTTCAACGTTTCATGGTGACCAAATTGAGTGAAAAGCTGCTGGAGCTTCGCATATGCTGTCATCCCTTGGGCCTTCCACTTGGCAGTGGCAGCCAGGAAGACAGCAGCGGCAGTGATGCCGTCCTTATCGTAGCACACGGATGGGAACATGTAGCCAAGGGCCTCCTCATACGCAAATGGGACATGTCTGCCCACTGCTTCAAGATCTCGGGCAACATTACCCATCCATTTGAAGCCCGTAAGCGTCTCTTTGAATTGGACACCCCTAGATTTTGCCATCTTCTCGATCATGCCACTGGATACTGTGGTAGTTAACACGGTTTCCTTATTGACGTCCTTCGGGTCTAAAGAATCAAGGATATGGGAAGCCAGAAGGACCCCAACGTGGTTTCCAGTAAACAGAAACCATTCTCCGCTGTCACATGTCAGCTATGGTTGGGAAGTATAGCCAGAAAAAAACCTACTTGACTTTTTCTGCCGCAGCAAAACGATCTGCATCCGGGTCATTAGCGATGATCAACGTCCGCCCGTTTTGATCTGCAGATTGTGTTGCAAGGTCAAGCGCCCCAGCTTCCTCGGGATTCGGGAATTGGACCGTCGGGAAGTCGGGGTCGGGTTCAGTTTGTAGAGGCACAGAAACAAAGCTTTCCACGCCCAACGAGCGACAAAGTTCCGGAAGGACTAGGCCCCCAACACCATGAAGAGGTGTGTAAACAAAGGGAATCAATGTACCCAATCCTGAGACAGTAGAAAGCTGTTCATGGTCAGACCTGCTATTCAATCGGGATGCAGGGATGCTTACCGCGTATTCCTTGACTCGGGCCTGATACGGAGACAGGAGCTGCTGATATGCATCATCATGCAAATGTTCACTAGACTGCAGCTCTTGCCAAGCTGTCGGCCAGGGCTCTAGATTTTCTCGAATGGACTGTGCAATTTCTCCGTCCTCGGGGCGATTGATCTGAGCACCATTGCTTGAGTAGCTGTATGCCGATATTAGCCCATGCTAGTTCTCCTGCGGCCAGACTTACACCTTGTAACCTATACACAGTTAGCATTTATTATCTTAATTAATGCAAGTGGACATACCGTTATCTTGAGGTGGGTTCTGCCATCCGTTAGTATGCAATGATTCTTGGGGGTCTGGATTACATACGTGACTGGCGGTGATCATGACGCCCCCCGCTGCCTTAAAGTGGTTGATTCCGAATGGCACAGTAGGCGTGGGCGACGGCTCTGCAAAGAACCACACTGGAATCCGAAGCGCGATGAAGGCATTGGCAGCAAGCTCAGCAAATCGTCGAGAATTGTGGCGCGCATCATGGCCAATGACCACACCTTTGGAAGCAACCTCAGAGCGTCTTGTCTGGATATGTTTGGCCAGCCCCTGTGAAGCTTGGATCACAGTTAAAGCATTCATGCAGGAGAATCCCGCACCCATTCGGCCACGGAGACCAGCAGTGCCAAACTCGATTCCTGGACTCGTTAGGCTACCATACTCGTATACCGTGGGTGCGACCTACGGTGGCGAAGACGGCGCTCCAGTTCATCTTCAGCTCCAGCACCTTGCAGTTGCTTGATTTCTGCAACGGTAACGGGGTCCTATCCAAGTAAGAACAACATCAGGCCACCGTGATCAGGCGATTACCTTATCCCACTCCAGCCATGTCTGGGTCAGAGAGTGCAATGTTTCCTAAATCGTATTAGCTGGAGCTGATTGCTCGGAATGTGGGATTCACCTGGGCCATCATGCCATTCATGTGCTTGTCAACGTTGTGGAAGCACTGCCGCCGAAGAAACAGCGGGGCCGCTCCACTTGCCTTGCTCCTCCGAAACGTCTGCCTACCAGCTGCCCCTGGTTCCCTTTTACACATTCTTGACATTTGCAGCGGAATCACTTGAGCGTACTATGTTTCCTTGATCGTTGTCCGATCCTATATCCAAACTGGCCCCCCTTTGTACCGCAACTCCGCACCCCCCGCACCCTCCGACCATGGGGAAACCATCCCAGACAGACAGGAAGAACACCGTGCTGAGCCGTCGATATATCGAGGGTTTGATCGCAGACAACAAGCATGTCTTAATTTTCGAGGGCCGGGTCCTCAAGGTGGATGCCTTCCTGAAGTTTCACCCTGGCGGTGAAAAGCCCATCAAGCACATGGTGGGCAGGGATGCTACAGACGAAATCAATGCGTACGTGCAGCTAGTTCGGCCTGGTCGAATAAGACTAATGATCATCCAGGCTGCACTCCAGAGAAGCCCGCGACCTTATGCTGTCATACCAGATCGGACGAATTGAAGGACTTTGGGTCAACTTTCTACCGCCAATTCAAGGGGGCAAGTTCCGGCCGTACGTGGAGGACTCTTGTTCCAGCGAGGACGACCTGCCCAGCCAAGACATTTCCAGCCAGGAAGGGTCCATCCCACCCTCCCCCGTATTCGAGCCAGCCGACAAGACCGTTCAGCGAAGGAAAGATACCAAAAAACCTGTAATTGCGGACTCACAGCCGAAGCCGGCCTTCCTCGATGCTCGCACGCGGCAGGAGATCATTTTCGACAAGGAGAAATACCCATCGCTTGACCAGGCAAGCCAAGAGAGCATCAAGCAGAAATATCGTGACCTGCACGACCGCCTCTATGCCGAAGGGCTATTTGAGTGTAACTACTTTGCCTACTTTGTCGAATGCTGTCGCTACAGTCTCTTCGCCGGGCTTGCCTATACTTTCCTGCGATTGGAATGGTGGGCAACATCTGCATTCTTTCTCGGTTGTCTCTGGCACCAGCTGGTGTTCACAGCACATGATTCCGGCCACATGGGTATCACGCATAACTTTCATGTTGATACCGTGATCGGAATTCTCATCGCCGATTTCTGCGGAGGTTTGAGCCTGGGTTGGTGGAAGCGGAGCCACAATGTGCACCATATCGTGACAAATGAGCCTGAGCATGACCCTGATATCGAGCACATCCCGTTCTTTGCCATCTCGCACCGCTTCTTTGATAGTCTCCGGAGTACTTACTATGATCGCACTATGGCCCTCGACGCCGTGGCGCGAGTCACGCTGAAGGTCCAGAACTGGACCTATTACCCTATCATGGCCCTGGCCCGGTTCAACCTTTATGCCCTGAGCTGGGAATACCTGCTCAAGGGCCAGGCGCCAAAGAAAGGCCCTGCGTGGTGGCATCGATGGCTCGAAATCGCAGGGCAGGTGTTCTTTTGGTACTGGTTTGTCTACGGTATCCTGTACAAGACCCTGCCTGACTGGAAAACCCGATTTATCTACCTGATGATCTCGCACATTGTCCCATCACCTTTGCACGTGCAGATCACTCTGTCCCACTTCGCCATGTCCACCGCCGACTTGGGAGTCACCGAGTCCTTTCCCCAGAAGATGCTGCGCACCACCATGGACGTTGACTGCCCAACTTGGCTTGATTTTTTCCACGGGGGCTTGCAATTCCAGGCTATCCACCACCTATACCCGCGGATGCCGCGCCACAACCTCCGCCGGGCTCAGAAGTATGTATTGGAGTTCTGCAAGGAGACTGGCATCCCATATGCCATCTTCACTTTCTACGACGGGAATAAGCAGGTCATCGGCAAGCTCGGTGATGTGGCGAAGCAGCTGCGCCTGATGGAAGAATGCCGGAGGTCGATTGCTCAAGATGGTGTTTTCTCGCATCATTAGACAGCGGGCCTGGGTACTGTCATGTACATATGAACGATTTTCCTATATGGTAGATAGCCCTGTAACTCTTACTGAGCAGCGGTGGTTGATGATGAATGCAACGTGTATTGCCATGCTTTTATATGCGAAGTTTATGGATCCCTTTTGGTCTCCATCTGTAATCATGTGTAACGTGAGCTACCCCGGCAGCCCACCACCCCGGGCAATCTTTTTCGCCCGCTGCTGGCGCCGGTTATGGTTTGCTCTACTAGCCTTGTTCTCCTCTTTCCTCCGATTCGCAGCGGTGTTGCTCTGCTCTCCAGTCTGCGGATGACTGCCACCTCGACCTGCACCTCGTCCACGGCCATGGCCCCAGCCACGGCCACGGCCCCTCTGACCAGGCCCACGGCCTGAAGGCGCAGACTCGTCCTCCGAACCCTCCTCTCCTGCACGCGGCTTCCGGTAAGACGTAGCTTCGAGATCAGGCTGGTTCAGCCCACCGCTGACGCCACCCAGGTCATCTGCAAGCTTCTTATCAAGCCTGGCAAGACGCTTAGGATCCCGAGCGAGCATAACAGCCCAGCCTTCAATTGCCTCATCCGTCATATTCGTCTCCCGCTTGAGCTGCGCACGCGGCTGCGAGCGGCGCGTGGCCGAGTCCCGGCCGAAGAGCGCCGCATTGGATTTGTATGTACGGAAGAGACTCATTTCAGCCGCTTCTGATGCTGCAGCACGGTTGCGAGCCTCGGCGTCCCCATCGGCGTCGGTGCCGGCTGCTACGCTGTCGACTGTGCCGCCCACGTCAGCTTCGTCGTAGGTATCGTCACGCTCGTCGTCGTCGGAGTCGAACGCTGCCAGCGCAGACAGGATCGCTGCTTTGTTGGTCGAGTGTTGGCTGCGGTCGGCGAGGACTTCGTCGGCTGTGAGTTCTGGGTTCGCGCGCCCGAAACGGATCTTTCCTTTTGCGTTGTCGGATAAGCTGAGCTCGGCCAGGTCGACGTCTGTGTCGAAGACGTTTCTCCGGACAGGGACGGGCTCCAGAGGTGGTGTTAGGTCTGGAGGGGTTGGGCGTGGTGCTAAATTGCTCTTATGTGCTTCTGGAGGGGGGGAGCTGCTCAGATCGGTCTAGACCTTGGAGTTCTGGGGCAAGGGAATCGTCCAGAAGATGGGCCACGACTGTTTCTGGATTATCGCCGTAGACATCCAGGAGCCGGACAACGAAGGCGGAGCCAAGATCTGGGAAGAGGTCTTGGACTTGAGAGATGAGGGACAGCTTATGTGCGTGGATTTCTTCTGGAATTTCAAGGCCGGAAGATGGGCCCTTGCCCTTGTCTGCTTTCTTACGTCGTTGATATCGGCGGTGCAGATCCTTCGAGTCCATCTGATATGCATGCAAACTTGCCAGTAGATTCTCAGCTCGTTTCTGTGGATGACTTGCAAGGTATTTTTCCAGCCGGGCAAGAATATCGGAGCTACAGACAAGGTCTGAAAGCATTGTGGCCTCGTGCTTCATTTGGGGTGTCCCCAAACCAGCTGCAGATTTGAGGCTGAACAATTGGTCCAGCAGGAGGGACAGGTTAGCTGGTCCTTTTAGTAATGAGACCAGGCCGACGTAGACGTTGGCCACGAGGTTCTTGCGAAGCTCTTCTCTATCCTTTGGAGATTGATATGCTTCTGCTAAAGTGTCGAGGTAATCTGAGCCGGCCATAAGAACTTGACCGCACGGCGGCAATGTGGAGGCCAGAATGGTCAATCGCCGAATATTAAAAATGAGATCGCTATCCGAGTTTCCACCGGAGGTGGCTAACTGGCCGATCAACTGTGATTTAGCCTTTTCTATGCTGAGGGATATCTTTTCGTGATGCAAGTCCCATGTTTCCGATAATAATGCCCGCAAGGCGGCACTCGACGGATAGCAGCAACATAAGTCTCCGAGAAGCGACCACTGCAGGATTCCTGGCAATGGATCTTTTAGCAGCATGTATCTCCGAGCTGTCAAGAAGCATAGCTTCCGGAGCTTTCGAGCTTTCGGTCCTGACTGTAGCCCTGAATCCCCAGCCGCGGTCTGTTGGTAGAATGATTCCAAGAATGGCACAACAGCGGGGTCTTCTGCTGCGGCCTCTGCAAACTGCGCATCATTTGAGTTCAGTCTGAAGCCCAGCAAGGCCATCCACGCGTCTAGACATGCCTCCCAATCTTTGGAGGGGATCGTCCGCCGCACTGCGGGGGAGGGGACCGGAGCTAAAGGTGGAAAGACCACCATCTCAAAACCCCAAACAGACCGTGTACAGCAGAGAGGAGAGAAAAGCACCAATGAAACAAATCAAGAAGCCTAAATAAGCCATCATTCCTTGTATATGCCACTGCATTGGGACCCCGACCGCTGACTCATCAACTCCCAAAGAGGCTAGCGGCAAGATAACCGAACGCCAAGACTTCGCGCACTGAATTGCAAATTTCGAGAAATTCACCGCTCCACACAGTATTCACCGGCCATCATCACTTTACCGAGCCTCGCAGTTCAGGTCTTGATAGCCATTCACTACATACCCCCAATCACTCAAGATGTCTTTCCAGAAGCCCGAGAAGGATTTCGGCGAGGGCCCTGTACGTTCTTCCTTCATGTCTTCCCCTTCAGTATCCGAGCGCGACGCAGCGCTGTATGAATCTGCCAACAAAAAGATCACCCGCGACTACGAGCTCCAGGCATCTAGACGCTGCATCACGGAGTAAAGCCAGTCGCTAACAACTTTACAGAAGGTCCACAAGATCCGCATCACCCTCACCTCCCGCAAGGTCGCCTCCCTCGAGAAGGTCTGCCAGGAGCTGATTGACCGTGCCCGCAGCAAGTCTCTGCAGGTCAAGGGCCCTGTCCGTCTTCCCACCAAGACCCTGCACATCTCCACCCGTAAGACCCCCAACGGTGAGGGTTCCAAGACCTGGGACAAGTACGAGATGCGCATCCACAAGCGTCTCATCGAGTAAGTGTGCCCCATCATACTCTATTCCCCGCCACCCCGCGGGTTAATACGTGATTTGGATTGTGACTGACATTTGCTAGCCTGCTCGCCCCCACCGAGACCGTCAAGCAGATCATCATCAACATCGAGGCTGGTGTTGAGGTTGAGGTTACCATTGCTGCTTAAATGCACTATCTTTAGTTCAAGCAATGGGTCAGGGAGGGCTCTGGTTAGACTGTCTTGAGTGATCTTTTGGTCACCTTGGCAGTTCTTCTTGCCGTGGACTTGTTTTACTTGTACTAGGATTCAAGGCTGGATACCCGATTACCTGATTAAAAAAAAAATGGAAACATCTTGAGAAATAATGTTTATGTAGAACTTCTGTCTAGCATCATTCGAGTGTGGGTAAGAAGTAAATCTCGCCTTTCAAATCAGTAGCTGCACTAAAGTGGTCGCTGCACTAAAATAGCACGTACGCCGACTGCATTACCGTGGAGCCGCCAGGCAGAACGCCCCATAACCCGATTCGCTGTAAGCACATGATCATAGCACCATTTTGAAGCAATTGGAAACCGGACAATACATAGCATCCGGGTATACTCAGAAATCAAAGCTGATCCACTCTCGCTTTGGTGGCACAGCGGGAATCTCGCCGTTCTCGTAATGGCCATGCTTCAGAAAATATTCATACTTGGCTGCGATCTCAGGAGTGTATTCATCCTCCTTGGCCTGAGAATCACGCAGGGATGCCGGATCTGGTGGTCCATCGGGGAAGTGGATGCGGATCCAAGTCTTGTTGTCCTGGGGTGGAGATAGCAGGGGTGGTCCTTGAGATACTGGACTGGACGACCTTTCCACATCGTGAGGCGGTTGCTTGCAGGGTCTCGTCGAGTCTCGCCCTGCAGGCGTGGAAGAGGGTTCAAGTACTTGGTTTCGTCCACGTCCATGAACGCTGGTGGGCCGGCGTTTTGGTTTGACTCAACCGGAATGCCCTGAGGAGCAGCAGTCTGTCCAAAGGGAGCGGCAGAAGTAGGCTGGCCTCCAAATGCTGTAGTAGTAGAAGCCTGTGGCTGTCCGAAAGGACTCGGGTTAGATAATTGGTTCTGCTGTGGTTGTACCTGGCCGAATGGTGACACGCTCTGAGCCGCTTGTCCGAATCCGCTCGCGCCTGATGCCTGGCCGAAAGGAGAGGCAGCAGCAGCAGGCTTCTGCGCCTGTCCAAAGGGAGAGGACCCGGACCCGAGTGCCGATGGTTGGCCAAAGGCGGACGGTTGCGAAGGTTGACCGAACGGAGAGGGGTTTGCTTGCGTGGCGGAGGGGTTTGAGAATGGGGACGGGTTGGCATTTTGGTTGATCTGGGAGAACGGGGATGCTGTGGATGCACCGCCAAATGGTGATGCAGATGCCGCTGAGGGTTGACCGAACGGAGTCGACCCAAACGATGATGCATTGTTCGTGGTGCCAAATGCAGAGCCTCCCGTTCCAAATCCTGGCTTGCCGAATCCACCTCCACCTCCCAGGCTCGACGGCTGGCCAAATGCAGTTCCCGAGCCCAGCGCAGATGGCTGGCCAAATCCAGGTTGCTGTGGTTGGCCGAATGGCGACGCACTTTGAGCAGGCTGGCCAAATCCGACAGATGCTGGCTGGTTAAAAGCAGTTGAGCCGGATGACTGTTGAGCTTGGGAAAAGGGAGCTGGGCCGGATTGGTTTGAATTTGGACCAGTGTTGCCTTCACAGATATCGATCCTGTTGGGGTGTTCCTGGAAACCATCAAGGATGTACTTGATCGCACCTTGAGTGTCGTTCAAGGCGACCTCCATCTGCTTCATCGACTCTTGCCACAAAGCCTGGGCCTCCTGAACCGCCTGGTCCATGTTTCCGGCTGCAGTAGCCTCATAGTGTCGCAAGCGCATTTCCTCCATGCTCTGCTCCCGCTGAGGGCCACCGAACAAGAGTCGAGGAACATCTGGAGCAGGTGCATAGGAGGAGAAGATCCAATCAGGGCGATTCTTCTTTTCAGTCAGGTCCGCCTTGATGTCAGATACATTCAATGTGAGTCTGTACGGAAGTCAGCTACTGTCAACCTTCTCAGGTCAACCGACTTACTTGTTCCCTTTCGGAGTCTGGACTGAAGTCTGACCTAATCGATCGAAAATATTAGAGCAAGGAACAAAGGGTGACATATTGAGTAGGCTCATGGTCAAAGGCGCTGCTGGCGGGGGAAGAAATATGACAAAAAAATTGGATGGTGAAGAGGAGAGAAGTAATTGCACAGAGGGAGAAGGGGACAGTTGTAGGGACAGAGTTCCCAGAATATGTATGTGGTAGGACCACATGGCAGATGAGTGAATGAAGAAAGGAACCAAGCTCTCGCGGACACAGCCATGGGAGATCGGATGATTCACAAGTGCGAATGCTTATTTACCTCCAAAACCGCCGGACAATGCTCCAAATCGATTTCCAGACGAAACGGTGTTGCCCGAGCCTGGGTGCTCGTAGCGGCAGCCATCTAAGTAGTGATTAGCTTGTACCAATTGACGGAGTTTCAATCGACTCACCTCCGTATCTACAGCGACCTTGCTGGAAGTATTTGCAGATCGTCATTGTGGTCGTTTTGAGTGGGCAAATTGCTTCCAGAGGCCCAGCCCCATTCAGATCAGCTGGCTCGAGTCAACGGCTCAGTCAGTGAGATACACCCTATCAGCTGGTGGATTTGAGGGTGAGAAGAAGGAGTTATAGAGTCTCATTGATTGGAGAATGGGGAACGCGTGAAAGGAAGAAGCTCTTCCGGGGATGTAAAGTCAATCGCGCCCTACCGTTATCGTTATCGTTATCGCTTATCGCGCCTCACTTTGTACTGCAGACTGACTTGGATAGAAATAAGAAGTGAAGGGATCCAGCGCAAGATGTATGATCCAATATTTCCAATGTGTGTAAACTGAAAGATTCGAAGGCTTTCTCAATCCAGAGCTAATGACATTTCATCGCCGCAGCCTAGTTCAAAGCTTATAGGAGGTATGGCAACTGACTTGATAGGCCACACAGGTGGGTATTATCAAAAGAACCAACGTACGTGAGAGCTTTCTATCTCAGAGCTTCTGAAAGTCAGTAGGAGAAATAATCAAACGCCAAGCACAATACAGAACGAGTATCCTTGGATTCGCGCCTGGCTTCGATGTAGTATCACTGGTTCTTAATGATAAACACCGCCAATGGAAAATCTTGTATATAGCTTCAATTGGCCTTAAATTGCAAGAACACGAAGTATAGAGCGCGCAGTTTTGCACAAAAATGAGTCCAAAATGGTTGAACCCGTCCTCGACGATCAATCGATAATGCTGAATGGCTAATATTCAAGAGCTCGACATAGCTTGAAAACCGAAGCATAGGAAAAGACGAATGGGTCAAGGCACGAGCAAAATCGTTCTTGAACCATGTGTGTCACCTAGTGTTTCGCCTAATTTGAGGAGCATCTTCCAGTGGTTAGCATGCGGCTCTTTCAGCAAGCCAGTGATTCTCACCTTCTTAATGTGTCTAGTTGACCCCAATTAGTAGCCCATCCAGATATTGCTACCAGTTGAAAGCCTTTCAGAACCTGGACATCTAATAGAATCGGAATCGATCTCTCGACTGCGAACAATCAAGATGAATCAAACCCCTGCTGCTATCCTTGGAGGTCATGGATGGCTTCTTTGAGACTGTCCCTGAAATAAACAGTATACTTGGCTGCTTCTTGTCTGCTGGAATCTCTAATACTGCTTTGATAATCTACAACGTTTCTGGTCCGCGCGATTGCGTGCTGGGGTTTACTTTCCAGGATCCTGAATATACGGCCCTGCAGATCTGGATAGTATTCGGTGAGTTTACCCCAAATATGCTTTAAGAGGCCAGCTGCTGTGTAATTTTAAGCCAAGCAGGTTCAATAGCAACATTGCACTTAGTGATCTCATTTTCGGCCTTGCTGGAAGATTTATATTAACTGTAAGGATTTGCCATGTCTAGATATATTAATTTAGGGTTCCTCGACAGCTGATACTACGTACTTTAAGCGAAGGCCGAGAGTTATAACAATAGCAAGAACTAGCTCTGCGCTAGCCATATTGATAAAGTCGGAAGTCGTGTCCTCAGGTGACTCGGCGGAAACCTGGAAATGAGTTGATTTAGCCTTGCAGCTCCCACGCGAACTAAGTGTTCATGGCGAAAGCCCTGGAAGCACTGGGAATGCCTTCCAGGCTGATATCGAAGATCCTTATCATGATCGAATCCCATTTAATTGAGTCCTTAACTCCTATCTACCCAATTCATTCGTGTACTCATTGCGCAGGTGTTGCCCCCGAGGAACGCACACTTTCTCGCAGATCATCCCAATTCAAGCCCTCCACCTTTTTACCTCCGAGGGTTTCGAGTTCAGCGGCCAGCGCATCCATCTTACCAGTAGCAAAGCAACGCATCATCAATGTATCTTTGGCGCCCGGGAAGTGGCTTGCGGCTCCGCGGAGCAATGATTCTTGGAACCACGCCTCCTCATCCTCGTCCAGTGGCAGCCCAACGAGCTCCATTGCGCGCTTTGATCGGGTTTGACCAGGCGAGGTTTTGAGCACAAATTCAATGAGCTGGACGAAAAAGCTGTGGCGGTGGAACTCATCGTACTTGCGAGTAAAGAAGAATGCTTCGGTAACACCAGACCGCGCTAGTGTCTCAAAGTATGCTCGTTGAACCTTTTCAGTTGCTAAAGGCGGAGCAGCAGTCAGGTAATAGGCGATAGCGAGACTGTCATCGTGCTTCGGGATGTGAGGGAGAGTGAGGGTGTAGAGGATCTCATCAGGGAAGGTTGGGATCAGAGAGGGCTCGGCAAGGTATTCGATCGCACCCTAGACAGTCAGCGATGAACAGTGGGTTGCTCATTCGAACTCACGCGGAAGTCAAGACGGTCCATATGCCAAACCCCCTCAATGAACAGTCGGTACTTCTCCGGGAAATGACAGGAGTTTGCGAATTGAGCTGCCGCCCCTTGGGCATTACGGCAGTCTTTGAGGATGTAATAGATCAAAGCTTGTTTATGATGGATGTCGAACTCGGAGGAGACGATCTGGTCGACCAGAGATCGCAAGTCGGAATTGGTCTTCGGCGGGTACACTTTCGTCACTTCAGAGAGTCAGTATTCTGCAAGCCTTCCAGGAAGAAGCTTGGAAGCTCGTCATACCTCCTTTGATCCCGAGCAGCCCAAGAAGCCGATCCGCAAAGAGCTGGTTGTCCAGCACCCGACGATTGCTCACAATGAGCTCAACAGTCTTGGATTCATAGTGATACTTCTTGTTGAAGCTGAAGATGTTATCAAAGTCCGCCCAATATGACATGATAGGCGCAAGTGGTTTGAAGATGGAAAGCAGCCAGAAGAGCACGTAATTTTAAGTAATTTTGTGTATTGCGACGGTACGATATGGCGGTGAGGATCTGTTATGGCAGTAAAGGGCGCTAATCTGCTTTTGGCCGGACGTAAACAACCCACTTCCCGTGAAATGCGATTGTGTTCCATCATCATTATCTTCTCCTTACCCCTCGCACCCATGCAGTAAGCGCTTCGACTCTGCGCACAATGGCTTCTCTCACCAAGGGCCGACCCTCGCGTCGCGCTGCCTCCCGCAGGAGCTACGCCGTCGAAGAGACCTCCGAATCAGAGATCTCCGGGAACGAAACACCTACCGCGACACACGACGACGATGACGAAGAAGAGCAGGATTATACGCCCGTCCCGAAACAGGCAAGGCGGCCATCAAAACGGCTGGCTCTTGATCCAACGACACCCCCGACTGTGCGCCCCGCGCGCAAATCTCGACCTTCGGTAGCCGAGGAATCAGACGTGTCGCAAAGCACGGATAACGACGAAAACGAGACGGGCGAGGAGGAGGATGATGATGACGATGTCAGTATGGCTTCTGCCGAAGCCGATCCTGAATCACCATCTGGCAAACCAAGATTGAAGAGAAAGAGCACTGAGGCTGTCGAAGCTGACCCTGATTCACCTTCGAGTCAGGCTGCTTTGAAAAAACATAGTATGGCTCATCCCCGCAAGAGTCGTGGTTCTATCACGCCGAAGCCGGCAAAGGGCTCACTTCCCACTCCAGAGCCATCCGCGTCGCCAGAGCCTGAAGCGCGGGCTCGTCGGGAAAGTGTACCGCCTCTCTCGGATATCACTGATGCGGCCGTCAACCAATCGCAATCGCCATCGAAGCAGCCAGAAGAACCGAAACAGATCTCTATAATCAACCCGAACTCGACCGTTTTGGAAAGGCCCATGGACATCGTGATGAAGTCTAGGAATAATGTTGCAGCCCCAGCGCCAGAGGAGCCCGCCGAGCCCAAACCTCGTATGATCATCCAGAATCTGGTACTCGTCAACTTCAAGAGTTATGCTGGGAAGCAAGTTGTTGGACCTTTCCATGCTTCGTTCTCTTCCGTTGTTGGACCCAATGGATCTGGCAAGTCGAACGTGATTGATTCGCTTCTGTTCGTATTCGGTTTCCGTGCTAGCAAGATGCGACAAGGCAAGATCTCCGCGTTGATTCACAACTCTGCCCAGTACCCGGACCTTCCTTATTGTGAGGTCGAGGTTCACTTTGCCCAAGTTCTGGATCTTCCAGATGGCGGGCACGAGGTGATTCCTGACTCGCAGCTGGTTATATCCCGCCGCGCGTTCAAAAACAACAGCAGCAAATACTACATGAACAAGAAAGAAACCAACTTCACTGCCGTAACGACATTTCTTCGCGACCGCGGAATCGATCTCGACCACAAGCGATTCCTGATCCTCCAGGGCGAAGTCGAGTCGATCGCGCAGATGAAGGCCAAAGCTACGAACGAGCACGACGAAGGTCTCCTCGAGTATCTGGAGGATATCATCGGTACCTCCAAGTATAAGACGCCGATCGACGAAGCAGCCGCGGAACTGGAAACCCTGAACGACGTATGCGTGGAGAAGAACAACCGAGTGCAGCACGTCGAAAAGGAGAAGACAGCCCTCGAAGACAAGAAGAATAAGGCTCTTGCATATATCCGGGATGAGAACGAGCTTGCCGAGAAGCAGTCCGCTCTCTATCAAATCTATATCGATGAGTGCGCTGACAATGTCCGCGTCACCGAGGAAGCTATCCTCCAGATGCAGGAGTTGCTGAACATGGAGCTTGAAAAGCACGAAGGCAATGAGGCCGGCATCAAGGAGATCGAAAAGGCCTACAAGCGCGGCGTCCGTGAATACGAGTCTATGGAGAAGCAGACCAAAGAGCTCTTGAAGGAGATGGCCAAGTATGATAAGGAGGGCGTCAAATTCGAAGAGAAGAAGAAATTCCTTCTCGGGAAGCAGAAGAAGCTGGAGAAGACAATGCAAACAAGCCGTCTAGCCGCGTCCGAGTGTCAGAGTCTTGTCCAGAAGTTTACAGATGACATCGAGAAGAAGACCGCTGAGACGGCCCAGCTCGAGAAAGAGATGAAGGCCGAAGAAGCAGAGTTGAATACAATCCGTGAGGGTCTCAAGGGAAAGACCGAAGGACTGTCCGAACAGATCGCTATTAAGCAAAAGTCACTCGAGCCCTGGAATGAGAAGATCAACAAGAAGCAGTCTGCTGTTGCCGTCGCACAAAGTGAACTCGACATCCTCCGCGAAAGAAGCAATGCTGGTGCCGTTCAGCTCGAAGAGGCACAGGGCAAGATTGCCGCCATCCAGGAGACGCTGCAGATGAAACAGACCAACCTGGAAGAGAGACAGGCCCAGAAAGAGACCTTGGAAGGAGAACTGGCGAAGCTGCAACACGATCTCAAGAAATATGCCGCCCGCGAGCCGGAAATCCGAACGCATGTCTCCAGCGCCAGGCAAAAGGCCGACGAAGCTCGGAACAGTCTTGCGAGCACCCAAAACCGCGGAAGCGTCCTCACAGGTCTGATGCGTCTGAAGGAGTCCGGCCGCATTGATGGCTTCCACGGCCGTTTGGGCAACCTCGGCACCATCGACGAGAAATATGATGTGGCAATTTCAACCGCGTGCCCCGCACTCGACAACATGGTCGTGGAGACCGTCGAGGTCGGTCAACACTGCATTGACTACCTGCGAAAGAATAACCTGGGTAGAGCCAATTTCATCCTGCTCGACCGGCTCCCCCGTCGTGACATGTCGACCATCTACACCCCTGAAAGTGTGCCCCGTCTCTTTGATCTCGTCAAGCCCAAGGATGCCAAGTTCGCACCTGCTTTCTATAGTGTCATGCAAAACACCCTTGTCGCCAAGGACCTGGAGCAGGCCAACCGAATTGCCTATGGTGCTCGTCGTTGGCGAGTCGTCACACTCGATGGTCAGTTGATTGACGTATCTGGTACTATGAGTGGTGGTGGTACCCGTGTGGCCCGTGGTGGCATGTCTTCCAAGCAAGTCGCCGATACCACCAAGGAGCAAGTGGCCCGGCTGGACTCGGACCTCGAAGAGCTGGAGCGCAAGTTTCAGCACTTCCAAGAAAAGCAGCGCCACATCGAGTCTCAAATGCGGGAAAAGACCGAAGAAGTTCCTCGTGTGGATACCAAGATCCAGAAGATCATGATCGAAATTGACAGTGCTAAGCGGAGTCTTACCGATGCCCAACGTCGCGTGAAGGAGATCAGTGCCGAGCACAAACCTTCCAAGTCCGACGCAGCCCAAGAAAATGCCCTCGAGCAGCAGATCGAGGCCTTGAACAACGAGATCGACGACCTCAATGGCCAGAAGAGCGGCATCGAGGAAGAGATCCAAGAGCTGCAAAGCAAGATCATGGAAGTCGGTGGTGTCCGTCTCCGTGGCCAGAAAGCCAAGGTCGACGGCCTCAAGGAACAGATCAGCATGTTGGCGGAAGAGATTTCCGATGCCGAGGTCCAGATCGCGAAGAATGAGAAGCTCATCACCAAGCACAGCAAGGCCCGTGACACCTCTGAGAAAGAGCTGAATCAGATTTCCGAGGAGCTGCAGAAGCTGGAGGACGACGTGGAGAGACAAGCCAAAGATGCTTCCGGGTGGAGACAGAAGGCCGAGGAAGCTCAAGAGGTATGCCACGCAGTAGCAAGAAATGATCCACGTACTAACGATACTAGGCACTCGAAACTCAAAAGGGCGAGCTTCAAACCATGAAGGAAGAGCTCGACGAGAAGGTCGCCGAATTGAATGAGACTCGCGCCACGGAGATTGAAATGCGCAACAAGCTCGAAGAGAATCAGAAGGCCCTTGCCGAGAACCAAAAACGTAGCCGGTACTGGGAGGAGAAGCTTTCCAAGCTCGCTCTCCAGAACGTCAGCGATCTCGGCGAGGAGCAGGAAACTACCGAGCTTCAGACATTCACCAAAGACGAGCTGGACGCCATGAACAAGGAGTCTCTCAAGGCTGTCATCGCGGCCCTGGAAGAGAAGGTTCAGAACACCTCGGTCGATATCAGTGTGATTGAGGAGTACCGTCGCCGGAACGCCGAGCACGAATCTCGTTCCGCAGACCTGGCAAGTGCCCTGGCTACCAGAGACAGCGCCAAGGCTCGCTTGGACGGCCTCCGGTCAGCTCGTCTTAACGGGTTTATGGAAGGTTTCGGTATCATCTCCCTTCGCTTGAAGGAGATGTATCAGATGATCACCATGGGCGGAAACGCCGAGCTCGAACTGGTCGACTCATTAGATCCCTTCTCCGAGGGCATCCTGTTCTCCGTCATGCCCCCAAAGAAGAGCTGGAAGAACATCGGTAATTTGTCTGGTGGTGAGAAGACCCTGTCCAGTCTGGCTCTCGTCTTTGCCCTGCATCACTACAAGCCCACCCCCCCTGTATGTCATGGACGAGATTGATGCCGCCTTGGATTTCCGGAACGTGAGTGGTCCTGAGTCACCCCTTTTCATGGTCTATCTTTGTCTAACTTTTTTAGGTCTCTATCGTGGCTTCATACATTAAGGAACGAACGAAGAATGCACAGTTTATTGTCATTTCTCTAAGAAACAACATGGTAAGTTTGTCTCTCCAGTTCTCCCAAGCCATGCTAATCCGTTCCAGTTCGAGCTCGCCGCAAGACTCGTCGGTGTCTACAAAGTTAATCACATGACAAAGAGCGTCGCCATCGAGAATCGCGATTATGTTAATATCTGACGTTCTAGTCTGTTCAGCATGGCTCTGGCTGGGTATGGGTTTTATGATATCATGGCAGGAGTTGGCATTGAATTCATTGTATCTTTAACAGGCTCCAGCTTGTAGGCACGTAGATTTGTACAGCTATCAGCAACCCGACTGGATCAAGTTCACTCTCTAGGGCGGCAGAGTGCGAGAACGCCAGAATCGCCCGAACTCGAAGTAGTAAGCTGCCAGTGAAGAATAAATTGCAGGTCAACCGACTGGAGTGTATCTGGTTTCAGATCAGTCGCACAGGGGGCTACACAATGATTGATTTCTCTTTGAGAGGCGGATATAGCTGCAAATGGCATATATGCAGCACTCGATCAACCCACCGGCTATGTTAGCACTGTGCGAGAGCTCGACGGTTGGGCCGGGCGTGTACAGAGCTGATCTTTGGTGGGTTCCTGACCTAATGCTTTGTTACATCGAGCCTGCCGATCACTATGTCATAGCGCTTCCAGTCGTCAGCCGATTCTTGGTCCAAAATGTCCGTGTCTGAAATGGCCATATATGCGGGGTAAAGACTGGGGAAAGCTTCTCGGACTTTTTGCCGAATACTTATCGCTCAAATGAATTGGGCTCGAGTTGCACTGCCCCGGAATCCTGAGGTCGTGGAGTTCCAAGAATGCATGCATAAAGGGGCTACAACCTTGCACTGTTTGTCTCTTCTTTGCAACCAACCCGTTATTATAGTCAATTGACTACTCCATATGAAGGGGCCCCGACTTGGACTAGCCACCTTGTGGCTTCTGCGACCCTGCACAGCTGCGGAGCTAGACTTGTCTCAATATGTGAATCCGTTCATCGGGTCAGAAGGCCCAGATGGCTCCGGCTTCGGTGGAGGAGACATATTCCTGGGAGCGACTCTCCCTTTCGGGGTTGTGAAACTCGGAATTGATTCGACCGCGACAAATTGGAGCACAGCAGTGCTTAACGGCGGATGGACCCCTGGAGGCAATGTTTCAGCGATCTCTATGCTCCACGAAAGTGGCACCGGTGGTGCCCCTAAATATGGACTGATTGCTCAGATGCCCCTAGCATCCATGGATGGGGTCAATGTCCTGGATAATCTGACGTATAGCCAACCAAGAGTGAGTGATATAGAGCCTGGTCTTGAAAAATGCTGACCTTCCAGGTCGGCCATGATCGTGCGAGCGTGGGTTACTACAAAACGCAGCTGAAAAGCGGCGTTACGTTCGAGCTATCTGCTTCACGCCACGCCGGCATCGTTGATTACAAATTCCCTGACGGCGAGAAGCATATTCTAATAGATATATCCCATGTATGGTCTATTTCTTGGAGAATAGAACACAGCTGACCTGTTTAGTACCTGCCAGCATCCCCGGGTGACACCGGCGGCCAGGTCTTTATTGGAGGAGAATTGCAGATCGAAGATGGCGGGGCGTACAGCGGGTTTGGGACATATGCCGGAGGCTGGAATGATGGTCAGCTCTGCGAATATAGGCAGTGATCGGTGCTAATGCGAAACAGGAGCGCCGTTTACGGTCTACTTCTATGGCGAGTTTTCCGACAGCCCAGATCAATCGAAGACTTTCTCTGGGATCAACACCGATCCGATGGCGCACTGGCAAACCGTCGCAAATGCAGGGCCTAGCAGACCGTCATTCGAAAACGCTACCAAGGTTACTTCTGGTCCAATGAACAACCGCATAGGGGTGTTGATGAGCTGGAATGATGGGCCTGCCTCAAACATTACATCCCGAGTTGGCATCTCATTCATCTCCACCGCCAAAGCCCGCTCATACATTAGGAAGGAGATCCCATCTTGGAAGCTCAATGACACTGTCGCTGCATCGGTCACCGAATGGAACAAGGATGTTTTCAACAAGATTCAGGTTCCGCTCGATGACTCTGCCAACATGACCCACGTGAGACTGCTGTATAGCTCTTTATATTTCACTCACCTCATGCCTTCGGATCGCAGTGGGGAGAACCCCCTCTGGACCTCGGATGAGCCTTATTGGGATGATTTCTATACTATGTGTAAGCGCAAAAGAGAATGGAAATGCTTCAATTGCTAACGAAATAGGGGACATCTTCCGCTGCACCGTGAGCTTCTATCATATCTTCCAGCCTGAATACTACGAGTCCATGATCCGAGGGGCCATTGATATCTTCCGGTAAGACGACCGCTCTCCAAGCTGTCTCCTCTAACACTCGACAGGCACCAAGGCTATCTTTTGGACGGGTACTCTGGTGGCTCTCTCGGCCTAGTGCAGGGAGGCTCTAATGCCGATAACGTGCTAGCAGATGCATACGTGAAAGGCCTCCGTGGCGCTATCAACTGGACCACCGGGTACGAAGCTATGGTGAAAGATGCCGAGGTAACACCATATAACACATTCAACCCTACCGACCTCTCCGCGAGCACTAAGGAAGGTCGAGGAGCTCTCGACGACTGGAAAGCGCTGGGCTACGTCTCGCAAGACCGCAACACACGATGCATCTCACGTACCGTCGAGTACAGTCTCAACGACTACGCGCTGAGCGTGGTGGCTGCCGGTGAGAAGCCCGAGGACCAGCCGAAGTACCTGAATCGGTCCGCGAACTGGCAGAATATCTGGGATCCAAGTGTCGAGAGCCTGAATTTCACCGGTTTCCTGGCGCCCAAGTTGTCCAATGGGACGTTCAATAGCTCCAGATATGACCCATTGCTCTGCTATGGCTGCGAGTGGACTGACTATACGTATGAGGGTATCCCCTGGGGTGAGTTGATGCCATTTGGATACTGAGCGTTCGCTGATTCCGGAAGAATATTCTTTCGTTGTCCCGCATGATATGAAGACCTTGATCAAGTACATGGGCGGCAATGCTACTTTTGAAAGACGGCTTGACACCATGGTAAGTCGATCGGATGTCTGCCATTCATGTGCTAACCAGTTCAGTTCCAACCCAATCTCTCGGTGCAGAATCTAGGTGCCAATGGAGCGGGAATAACAACACTGATCAATATTGGGTACGTGCACCTGATAGTGCTAGAGATCAACACTGACTGGCCTAGCAACGAGCCCGATTTCTCCACGCCCTATCTATTCAACTACATCAACAAGCAGTACAAGAGCGTTGCCCAATCTCGCCGTCTCGCCGACCAATAGTACGTGAATACGGTGTCTTTGCGAGCCGATACTAATGAGATTGCAGCTTCAGAGACGCAGCTTATGGAATACCAGGCAACAGTGATGCGGGAGCTCTCAACTCCTGGCTGATATGGCAGATGCTTGGCTTGTACCCTGTTGTTACACAGCCCGTGTATCTCCTTAGCTCGCCCTGGTTCCCGGACTTAAATATGACCGTTAACGGCAACCAGACGCTGCGCATCACAGCACGCGGGCTAGACGACGGCATGTACGTACAGAGCGTGAAGATCAACGGGAAGCAGTGGACTCGGAACTGGTTCGAGCATGAGGACGTGATGGTCAATGGCGGCTTAATTGAATTTGAGCTCGGCCAGGATCCAAAGCAGTGGGAAACTGGCCCTTTGCCTCCCTCGCCCGGACATATCTAAAGTCATTTCTGAAGACCGGAGGCAAGAGGATTACGCTTGCATTGGCCAGATCAATATTTTCGCTACTCATCTACGCTTCAGGTCGAGAATGAACTTAGCCATATGAATATGTTGCTTCTGCAATTATCAGACATGCCTAGCGTAGTTGCAAGATTAACAATGACGCAACATGAATTCTTGCATGGTAGGATGTATGAAGAAGAATAAGCTCTTTGGGTTTCCTAGGTTAAGAGAAACGCCACGAATATAGGATACCGATTCGGAAAAATATCGGCAGTACCAATTTGCCAATATGCCGGTATTGACGTGAGGGCAGCCATTCTCGCCAAGCCAAGCAGCATCGCGGGCGAAGAAATGCTTCAGGAGCAAGACTTTGACCTAAGAGCAGCTCCACTGAAGAAGACAAGGGGCACAAGAGAAAGCTGCAAAAGAAGAGGTAAAAAGAGAAGCTTACGTTCCAATAGGCACCAGAAGAATCACCATTGCCGGATGAGATGGCGGCAATTGTTTGAACCCTTTTAGGGCAATGTCGACCAGTAGCTCTTCGGACTACAGCTGATCAAGTATTTCAAGAGTCAGAGACCGAGACGAGTTGAGTCGAGAGACCAGGTTGCTCCGCTGGGCGAGGTAATATCGCAGGAAGCCTCAGTAGGTATCGATTGATTCCGAATCCAGTGTGCTGCAGATATTCCCTCCCTCGTAGAGTCGTGACAAGGCGCTGAAGGGCTTGCGAGGTATTGAATCGCATTGCTATTGATTCGAAAAGAAGGGAGGGATGTCTCTGCACCCAAACCCAAAGCGATCCAAAACGCTATGATTCAAGTCTCAAATAGTCATTATTTGATACACGCGGAGGGCAGTACAGAAACTCGACATCTTGAGTTCTGGACCATACAGGCTTCTCAGACACAGAGGGGATAATGACTACACGGGAAATAGAGTTCTAGGGCGGTCAGATAGGCAGTAGATGGGACAGCAGATGAGACAATGATGGGGGCACTGAAGGGGACAGGAGATGGGGCTATGGAGGGACAGTAGATGGGGGCCATGGAGGGGTCCCAGAAGTACAAATGAGGGACAAGCGAGGCAATAAAGGGGTAGGGCCTTGGCATTGGCGCCATCTGGCCAATAGAAACCCCAGGACCGACCACCGAGCCGTGGGGCTTCATGACACCATCTCGGATCGATCGATCTCATAAGTCAGATCGAGAGAGTTTAGAGTTTTAACCTTGTGGACAGATACCACGTCACGCTCAGCTTAGTGGATACACCTCCGCAATGACGAGACCAATTATCGGTTGAGGGGTAGGACCAGATCCAGTCTATTTAAGGACCCCCGTGCCTGCCGTTTTCCATCCACTATACATTTTCATCTTCCTACACTCTATCTTCCTACACTCTACACAACCACAATGGACAAGCTCTCTGGTCTCGCTTCCAAGTTCGGTGGTGACAACATGGGGTCGGGCTCCAACTCCAACTCCAACTCTGACTACAACTCCAACTCTGACTACAACTCCAACTCTGACTACAACTCCAACTCTGACTACAACTCCAACTCTGACTACAACTCCAACTCTAATAACTACAACTCTGCGTCCAACTCTGACTCCAACTCCAACTCTAACTACAACTCTGCTTCCAACTCTGACTACAACTCTAACTCTAACTACAACTCTGCTTCCAACTCTGACTACAACTCCAACTCTAACAACTACAACTCTGCTTCCAACTCTGACTACAACTCCAACCCTGACTACAACTCCAACTCTGACTACAACTCCGCTTCCAACTCTAACTCCAACTCTGCTTCCAACTCTGACTACAACTCCAACTCTGACTACAACTCCGCTTCCAACTCTAACTCTAACTCCAACTCTGCTGGCCAAGAAGACTACCTGGACAAGGGTAAGTTACCTGCCTAGGGTTGGGAACTCATGCATTCTAATATTGTATCAAGGCCTGGATGCTGTCGAGCAGAAGTACGGTGGCAAGACCCTTTCTCGCGATACAAACGAAAAGATCACCGATGGAGTGAGAGAGCAATTCGAAAAGATTTCTGGGCAGCATGTTCCTGAGAATTTCTCTAACTAGAGATCTCTTTTACGCCTAAGATAGCCTCCCGGGGCCATGGGATGAATATGGGCGTACGTGAAAGATATCATACTCTCCAGATAGTCCAATATCATACGCTCCAGATAGTCCAATACACCAATAAAGGCCCATCCGACTACGGAATGAGGGCTACTGGAATGTCATAGTACGGGTGATTGAATTGTAGACATCATCTTAGAACCGCTTAAACGAAGACAATAGCTCAGAAAGCCCCGAACCCACCCCTGCCCGATTCGTGAACATGTTGTTGGCCCGGCACAGCTGCAGATTGGTGCTGATCTGCTGGGAGATGTTTGCATCCGTGTTCCCATACGCGGCCAAGGCTCGCTCGTAGAACTTCTGGGCAGGTCCATACTCCTTGGCTATGAAATGCAAGTCTGCCATCATCTTCAGCACACACCGCACCTCCGCATTCTGGACGCCTCGGCGCCTCTCCAGCCAGTCCAGATACCGATTCAGCCATGGATAGGCCTCGGCGCGGGAAGAAACGGCCAAGAGTTGCGGCTCCCGTAGGGCGTACATGAGGCCGATATTACTGACAATAGCCAAGCTCATGGGATGCTCAGGTCCAAGGGTCTCCTCGGATATCGCAAGGGCCCGTCGCAGGGTTTCAGAGGCCTTGATGATTTGGTTTGCGCGCGTCAAGCCGCGACCCACCAGGGTCAGGGCTCGGATCGTCAAGGGATGTTGGCGGCCCAGCCCTTCTTGGAGTTCCTGATGAACCTGGGGCAGCATATCGACTGCCTGCTGTACGTCAGGCTGCAGGTGCATCGAGACATAACTGTCCGTCGGGTTCGACATCAGCCAGTCCAGTGCGTCCAGGATAGCGGCAAAAACAAGGATATGGTTGTCTCCGAGCAGACGCTTATAGTTTTCTGCCAAAGACTCTGCGGTTGCGACTGCGTGCTCGCGACGGCCGAGCCCATTGTACGCTAGGGCGAGTCGGCGTCGTGTTTCCAGAGTGTGGAGATGATCTTCGCCAATATTGATCTGCTGGCTCGCTAATATTTTGGCGCAGATGGACTCGGCCTCCTCGCATTTACCGTACTGCATGAGAATCTCTCCGCGGAGACTCTCTGTCCTCAAGGACAGGATGTGCTTTGGCCCCAAGGTGTATTGCGCATTTTCCGAGACCCATTGACACCACTCAAGCGCCTTACCAAGGTAATCAGCTTCCAGTTCGGTCTCGGCGAGGCTGTATCCAACTTGAAGTGTGCTGGCATGGTCAGGACCCAGTGTTCGCAAGCGTTCCTGGAACATTTCGTAGTCGATGTCGCGAGCATCATCCCACCGCCATTTGTTTTTCATTTCCGCACATCTTATAGAGCGAGGATCGTTATCCTGCGCAACGTACACCGTACCGGCAATTTTAGTCTTGGACGGCTGGCTCGCACCGGGAGGTGAGTATGGATTCGAGTGCATCCGCGGTGGCACAGGCGGAGGCTGTCCAGAGGGACGGGGTCCCGGCTGAGGGACATAACCGTGCTCCGTTAATAGCGCTTGGTCTACCAGTTGCTTGATGTTTCCTTTGATGAGATGGTACATGGCACCGCCACGATTCGCTATCTTGCACATCTTCGTATGATCTGCATCAAGCTTGAGCTGTGTCTCGCGCAGCCCAGATAGGCCTAGAACTGCGGACTCTTCGTCGACAATCAACTATTCCCATTAGCCGTCATGGATTCACGATCCATCATGAGAACGTGGGACCTACACCACTTTGAGACCTCTTTCCCTCGATGAAACTGATAACGCGATAGTCCTCAAGCTGATGCCTAAACCTCTCCGACATGTTTCGTGTAAATATGGAGTTATATTCTAAGCTGTGGAGTAAATCATTACTTGCACTGCCATCAGATACAAATCTGGCTATCGAAGCTGCGATCGTCCCTAGCTCTACCGATTTTGAGCCTCTGTGCGGGGTTGCGAAGAAAACAAGCCCAGAAGTCGCCGTGCGGATGGAAGTATATTTCGGGTCTTCTTTGGCGTTGAGGAGCGCCTGTTCAATTTGGTGTCAGAAGGTGTCTCGGCGACAGGGAGGATAAACCTACCTGCTTCACAATGAGGCCCCCGAGACTGTGTGAAACAAAGATGATCTTGGGGGTATTGACTGCATATGAGGGCTTCGCTCCATATCCAGTAGATTCAGCAAGGTATTCGCATGGTCTTTGATGCTCGCGTTCGACATGGCCTGCGCGTCAGTGATCATCGAGTTGTAGCCATAAACAAAGATCCGCGCATAAGGGATATCTTCGGGCAGCAGGTCCCCAGGCCAAAACACCTTGTTGGGAGCCGTCCATGTTTCAAAGGGGTGGTCATTTCGACCATGAGGGTTGAGGCCATGCACGAAGACGAAACTGCCTCATTAGCAACGAATTTCGGGGCTCAGTTAGTTTTGAGCAATCGAGATCTTTGACTTACTCGACCTTCGGCGCATCCGGGATGTAAACTGCTTGCAAGAAGGGGTACTCGTACTCTTCCCCGTCCTAGTGGGCCATATGAGGATAAAACCTTGAACGGCAGTTCGGATAACGTACCATTTCAGATCCCTCTTTCAAGTGCGTCTACTGGGGTGGTGGGATCCTCGTGGGAGAACTGTCGAGGTTGGGAGATGTCAGCTCGCGCTGCCCTTCCCTTGGGAAAGACCGCCGGAAATACGAGATGGCGCGACATGTGACGCTTGGCTCCAGGGCTGAGATGGAGGTGGTGAATAAGCCTCCCGGATGTGCGCATTTTAGGAGAAAAGGCATTGCTGATGCCAATCGCTAAAAATTACGAGGTCTGTCTGAAGCCACTCTTGGCGGCGCTATGCTACATCGGCCACGGTCTGCCTTGCGGACCGCGCTAGCGTCAAATGGCTGAGTCCGCAGTCAAGTCTCCTGCTTCAAGTTGCATGCTAAAAGGTGCAGAGATTACCACCCTGCACTAGCGAATGTCTGCTATCGTTAAGAAGAGAGGGAAGTATATGACGGAATTTGAACGTTGAAATTGTAGCAGTTCTACTGTACCACCCCTGCCGCTTTGCCTGGCGCTGTCTTGGGCGCTGTCTTGAGCGCCGCCCCTGGGGCTACTTTTATCTAGGTACTAACTATTTCAGTTTCAGGGGCCCAGACTCTCCCTCGTACCTCCTATTCTAGTCTAATGTAAGTTCCTAACTTCCAGCGCTAGTTACATCCAGAACTTGCTTGCAACGATTACCTAACTCAGGTACGCTTTCATGCAGAAGGGCCTAGTCTGGATGGCTCGTTGCTCATCTACCATTGCAGAAGCCTGCCAGCGAGGGTAAGTGAAATTTCCGATAAGGACAAGGTTATCAAGATGAGTATACTAAATAAAAATGCTAATAATCCAGATCTAACCACACGAACAGACCCCGAGAATGCTAAGAATACAAAGATAAAGATACTAACCGTGGCCGACGACCCCTAGAGGCACTAGTTACCTCCAAAAACCCTCAGCTTGAAATCACACCGTCAAACTCTCCCGGGGTAGGGAGGGCAAATTGAACTAAACAAAGCTGATTAGCTTGATCCAAAGAGCTGGTGCGTTCCCGGTTGGTACTTACGGGGATCTCCGCTCATCTGCACGGAAGGCTCACTCGGAGCCTCACCAACCCCTCTCCCCACTCCCAGCCTTGTATGCTTTGCCCAGGGCCCTTCTAAATATCGGCTTTTGCCTGGCCAGGGCGCTTCTTGGCCGTGTCCTTTTGGGTAAGAGCCTCCCGCCTCACCCGAGACACCCGACGCCGGCTTACGGGCCCACCACGATAGCCTCGGCCGCGATTTTGGGCCTCTACCTACCTATCTATGTATTAGCATCAATACTACTCAGGAGCAACGAGTCTACTTACCTTTCTCGAGAGGCCGAATAACTCCAGCGACAATTAATGGTGGAGTTCAACCCACTTTGACAGCGCATGCACCACTGATTCCGCCAGCAGGTGGATAGAGGCCGATAATGGAAAGGTAGCTTTGCGAACATACCATTGTAGAGTGAAGAAGGCGGGGAGGGGATTTGGGGAAGGAGAATTGGAAAGAAGTAATTGGTCTCTCGATAGCCGTCTTGGGTAATCTGAGATTTCCAAACCTTTGAAAGGAAGGCATGAGGCTGAATGTCGGGTGTATAGAACCTGGAATTATTTAGAAACCAGCACGGGAACTTCAGAGCTCAAATACTTAAGCCAATCCTTCACCCTATCTTTCATAGTTCGGACAAGACGTTCTTATGCTAAACCGGTGACCGGCGGCAAGACAGACTCGAGTGAGTCCATGGTTTCAGTATGAAATATGAGCTTTCAGTCCATCTCCCCAACTTATATAATATACATGAGCTGGATAGGAGATCTCAGGCGGCTGTATAGGTCGTATAGGCGACGTTGCAAGGAGTAGAATGCATAGGAGGTGTAAGATAATGGTAGGAGAATAGTAGAGGAGAGTTACTAGCCGGTCACTGATATTTCAACACACTCGGAGGCGGCAGGTATCTGCTGTAACTTATCTTCTATTTAGATGCTGGCAGCTGACTGTAGATATCCAAGAACTCTCTCGACTAGAAATTCGCGTGGCTTGGCTTGGTCATCATTGCTCAAAGCATGAGAAGCATTTGGTATAATGGCAGTGTGATCTTCATCCCAGATTTTGAACTTGCCACTATGATCCGTTGCGTCCTTCCACCTCGATAGATTGGTTTCTTTATTTACCGCAGCGGGCACAGCTTGGTCCGCTCCGGAGTAAAGAACCATCAATCTATATCTCAGCAGTCCCTGCTGCTGGATCATACCGAAAGTCTTCGATAACTGCTCATCGCTGAGATCTGCGCTGAAAAGATCTTCCTCTGAGGGCGTCTGCGGGCTATCCGGGCTATAAAGGCTCAGGAATCGACGACAGCTTATCGGCGTATTGGATGGGTAAATTGCAGAAGTCAACTCCAGAGGAAGTAGTGTATCATAGATACCCTGCGTTTTGACCGCCTCTCTTGAGATAGCTTCCATCTGATCGCATATACTTCGCATCTCACCCGGAGATTTACTACCGAATCCATGCTGGATGCACAGTTGTATGGCCTCCCGATCAGACACTGGGGCCTGCATGATCGCTCCATCAAGTGGAAGGCGATCCACGTGTTCAAGAGAAGAGTCGAAGGCTGATCGGCTTGTAAATGGGTTCGGTCGGTACAGGTAGTGTAGGACACATTGGCTACCCGTAGAGTGGCCCATCAGCACAATCTTCCCGTCGCCAAAGTTCTCCGTTTTATAATCTTTGATGTACCGAATGCATTGGGCGATCTCGTTAGTATCCCGATCGAGATGCCCTAGACCCCACGATTGGTACGATGATGTTGTATTGAGAATAAACAGGGACCACTGCGTAGGGAGCAAGGCCTTAGCCAGGTCCGCCATGTAAGAAGTCGTTGCCAGTCCGTCTCCGAGCCCACCGATGAAGACCAGGCTGTGGGGCTTTTTGGCTGCGGCGGTGGTATATTCAAAGGTGACCAGGGTCTCGGTCTAGGAGGCGGGACATTAGCCTGCACAGGAATTGTTTGAGATCTCACTCACATAGTGGTGTAGGATGCCTGGTAGGCCACCTTTGGGCCAGAACTTGGAGTACATTCTGCCTGGCCGGGGTCTTTACACCAGTAGCGACCACAGTGAGTGCTGCTCTGGATGATAGAAGGAGATGCAGCGCGGCTTCGGTTCTGAAGTCGATTTGGAGGGGGAAGTACTAGAAGCGTTGTGAGACCGGAGAATTTAGCGAGCTTGGCTTCGTCAGAGCTAGTCCACAACAAAGCTCATGCTTTCATATGGCCTTATCAGATCCGGCTAATTCGAAGGGCGAGATGAACCTAAGCGGCTGCCGAGATTGTATTGAGATTTCTGTATTAAATACATGTACGAGGAAATACAGAATACCGCCCTCACTGTGCCGTAATCGCGAAAATACATGTTAGTTAGACCCCACGAAAGGATGAACCGGGTGGGGTTCGACTAACTTTAGTGGCGCTAATTAGCAACGGAAAGCCCTATCCGAATGTGATTATCGCTTAGATGATGGGTGGGATTCACCTGACATAATAAAGGCACTGATTTGACTAAAATGGAGTGATCGTGGTCAATATGGCCAATAGGCGTGCCAGTCTACGACATGCAGGTGCAGCGTAGGGTTGATCAACCGTGACTCGGTCTGGGCTATTTGGTCTGCTACATTTCTTGCTATGGCTGCCATGGTAGTTCTCCCAAAATGAGAAATGTAGACGACAATCACCGCATTTTATTAGAGCGGGGATTAGGCGACCCACTTTGGCGGATCTGATAATATCTTCCAACTAATTGACCCATCAGGCCTTTATCAATCAATCGGTAATACGAGACGACAAAGTTTCGCGGGAAGGTAATTTGGGTTGGCTTTCCGAGCTTTTTTTTTTTCCCCTTATTTACGTTCTCTGTCGGCAGGACGCGCTCGGCTCACGGATATGGAAACGTACACAGGCTAGTTCAGCAGTCAAGCCGGTTTCGGTTGCAGGAAGTCCGCAGGAAGTACCCACCGTGACAGTGGAGACCATTTCCAACGTGGTAGAACTCGTAACACAATCTACTCTATATCAGGAGGTTTTACGCCATTTCGGTCAGTTCACGACTAGACCATAACCGCAACTGAAGTTAGATCTTCTGACGCTGGCCAATCCTCAAGCCTCACAACTGATGACAACGGCCGATTGACCCGGGTAGTTGCCAACATGGGTTTCGTAGAAGCTCTTGAACCCCGCGATCAGAATCGACAGGACGAGACGTTCGTGGATGATCTCAACGGCGGAGCAAGCCGTGACGGCTTCTGCATAGAAATGAACGAACTGTCATCCCAAGATACCACTTCAACGGGAATGAGGGACGAAATTGTACTCCTTGCGTGGGCACTTGTTCTCATGCGAAGAAAAGAAGGCGCTCTTCCTCGGTTTGAATGGGCTCACTTAGCTGAAGGCAAGCCAGTGATCAATCAGCTACCCACCGAAGAGGTCTTTCCTAGCCTTCAGCTTACTACCAGAAAGGTTGCAGCATCGATACTGCAGCTGATTCAGAACGCAACACGCACAAAGCACGTTCCAGGCGCTTCAGCTCTGCTATTGAGTTCAAACTCCCTTTCCAAGGACTCGGAGGTAACGAAAAATGAAGTATGTTGGGTTGTGACTCACTCTGGACTTGGTCTGACCGCCTAACAGGAAACAAAACACATCGAAATTCGGTTCAGTGCTGGACAAATCCAGATTCGTACCATTTGGTGCAGCGTGAATACGCTTCCACATACAGTGGCCCATACGATCAGGACCTTTGTCGACACTATCCGTGCGTGTATCGCCAATCCCGAGGAAACGATCGAGCAAGCCCTGCAGGCAACGGAAAGTGACTTTGATGAGATATGGAGACTTTGCCACGAGCTACCTCCGACTCACAGATTCTGTATGCATGAGAAGATATCCGAGCGCGCTCGAAGGTTGGATGAAAAAGTCGGCATTTCATCATGGGACGGGGATTTGACATACTGGCAAATTGATCAATGGTCTTCGCATTTCGCTGGACTGTTGAAGAATAGAGTCCAACCACAAGACGTGGTCCCAATTTGTTTTGAGAAGTCAAGATGGACCGTCATCGCCTTACTTGCCACAATGAAAGCCGGTGCGACATTCGTTCTGATGGACCCAACCCTTCCTCTGGCACGGCTTCAAAACATGGCGAAGCAAGTCGGCGCAAAAGCTATGGTGTCTTCAAGGAAGCAATTCGAGCTTGCAAGTTCAATTCTCCCAGCGGAGAAGATTCTGGTTGTGGAGCGGCAGGCCTTCAAGGCTATTGAACGAACGTGGGAGATCGCCGAGCTGCCTAAAGTCGATCCATCCACTTTGATGTACATCATTTTCACCTCTGGCAGTACCGGTACTCCCAAGGGAGTTCAAATTTCCCACGAGACATATACAAGCAGTGCAATTCCAAGGGCAAAGGCTGTTGGCTACACGGAAGAGTCTCGCGTTCTCGACTTTGCTTCATATGCATTTGATGTAAGCATTGACAGCATGCTGCTTACCCTTGGAAACGGCGGGTGCCTGTGTATCCCTTCGGATGAAGATCGCATGAATGATATCAATGGGGTGATCCGAAATATGAACATTAATTATGCCGGACTGACACCTTCTGTTGGTCGTATTCTGGACCCTGATGTCATTCGCTCTCTGACTGGTGGCCTCGGCCTCGGCGGAGAGGCAGTGTCGGCTAGAGATGCGACAGTATGGGGGAAAGATGCCCGTATCGTCATTGGATACGGCCCTTGTGAATGTACGATCGGCTGTACCGTAAACAGCAGCGCCGCAACTGGTCGTGATTACGTATCAATTGGGCCTGGAAATGGTGCCGTGATTTGGATTGTCGATCCCAACGACCACACTGTTCTGATGCCCGTTGGTGCAGTTGGAGAGCTTCTCGTTGAAGGTCCAATTGTAGGGCAAGGGTATTTGAATGATCCAGAAAAGACAGCCAGCGCTTTCATTAACGATCCTCCATGGCTTCTCGCCGGTCACAAGCAATACGCTGGGCGATCAGGTCGTCTTTACAAGACTGGTGACCTCGGAAAGTATGACCCGGATGGTTCAGGGGGTATTGTGTTCGCGGGCAGAAAAGACACCCAAGTCAAATTGCGCGGCCAACGTGTAGAGCTTGGGGAAATCGAAAGCCAACTCCGAGAGAGATTGCCTGCTGATGTTAATATTATCGCGGAGGTCATTGCCCCTCAAGGTGCGAGTGGTCAGCCTACATTGGTCGCATTTGTGACCTGCCCTGCCATGAAATCAGGAGTTGGCATTAGCATAGCAACCCCTCCAGATGAGCTGAGCACAGTATTGTCAACAGTAAATGTCGAGCTGTCCAAGGCCGTGCCACGTTATATGGTCCCTACAGCCTATATTCCTGTGAACAATATCCCTGTTCTGATCTCTGGGAAGACCGACCGAAAGCAGCTGAGGCAGTTTGGCAATGGCATTGAGCTGCGAGAATTAAGCAAGGGTGGCAACCCCTCGATCTTCCGAAAGCTCAATAAATTGGAAGAACGCATGCGCCAAGCTTGGAGTACTGTACTGAAGCTAGATGTGGGTAAAATCCAGCCCGAGGACAATTTCTTCGCGTTGGGCGGAGACTCCCTAGCTGCAATGAAGCTAGTGTCCGCGAGCCGATCTCAAGGTCTCGATCTTTCGGTCATGAGTATGTTTGCAAATCCATCTCTCTCAGAGATGGCCAGTGTCACCCAGCCATTCGATTCTGAATCACAGCCCGAGGTCGTCCCGTTCTCGCTGTTATCTCAATCTTCGGAAAGCGCCGTGCAAGAAGCTTCCGAGACGTATGGATTTGCTCCATCCGCCATCGAAGACATTTATCCCTGTACCCCAACCCAGGAGTCACTTTTTACGTTCTCACTGAAATCAGAGAAGCCATACATTGCCCAGCGAGTGGCATCCATTCCATCTCATATCCATACCGAAACTTGGAAGTCAGCTTGGGAGAGAGTTGTCTCGGAAATTCCCATCTTGCGTACACGCTTAGCACAACTGCAGGAACCAGGTCTTCAGCAGGTTATCTTGAAGTCTAAAGTAGCATGGAAGGATTCCATCAATCTTGACCAATACCTCACAGCTGATAAAGCCATGCGAATGAACCTTGGAGATGACCTTGCCCGCTACGCTATTGTCCACGCTCAAGATGGCAAGCGATACATGGTTTGGACTATTCACCATATTGTTTATGATGGATGGTCTGAACCTGTCATTCTTCGTCAAGTCTGCCATGCCCTAAAAGACGAACCTTTGGAGATCATGACCCAGATGCGAGATTTTGTCAAATATGTGAAGGACACAGATGAATCTGCTATGCAAGAATTTTGGCGGCGCGAGTTAAAGGGCGCTATTGGACCCCAATTCCCGCGCCTCCCGTCAAGAGATTTCCTGCCTAACCCGGATGGGTTGGTCGAGGGCGACATCACAGTTGGCATCAGCCCTGGCTATCCTTTTACAATGGCAACATTGATTCGTGGAGCATGGGCTCTCGTGGCGTCTCAATATTCAGGGAACGATGATGTTGTATTTGGAGAGACACTTACTGGGCGGGATATATCACTATTAGGCGTTGAAGGGATTATTGGGCCCTTGATCGCTACTGTTCCGGTTCGAGTTCGGGCCCAGCGATCAATGTCCATTGAGGCATTCCTCCGAAGTGTTCAACAGGGGGCACTGGCACGCACACCCTACCAGCACATGGGCATGCAAAATATTCGAAAGGTTAGCTATGATGCTCAACATGCATGTGAAGCTCCTACTGGCTTGGTCATCCAGCCCGAACCAGACTTTGGAGGCAGCGAGCTAGGCTTCGAAATAGGAGACGTTGTACTCGAGGCCCTTCATTTTAACCCATATCCACTCATGATCGGTACACAGATTCGCAAGGGGGGGCTTCCGAATCTGTGCAAATTTCGATAGCAGTCTGGTTCAAGTGTCTCAAATGAGACGAGTCCTTGCCCAAATGCAAGAGGCCTGCACGCAACTGACACAGGATCTTTCGCGTCCACTTGGTAATGTTTCATTCGTCTCAGAAATAGAATTGGATCAAATATGGGAATGGAATGAGACTCCACCTCTGTCTTTCGATCAGGGGTCAAGCACCCTTCGCTCCGGTGAGAACACAAAGTCTGGAGAGAACTACCCTCGTGCTGTTATTCCTTGGGTTTGCGATCCCCGCAACCCATGTATACTATCGCCTATCGGGTGTCTCGGTGAGCTGTGGCTAGAAGGAAATTGTCTTCCTGGGAAGACCGAGTCTTCCAAATGGCTTGAAAAGGGAAGCTCTTCGTTCCCTGGTCGCATAGGAAAACTACAGTCAACTGGTGATATTGTGACACAGAAGGAAAATGGAAGTATCACTTTCGTCGGCAAGAAAGAGAGCATCTTTGTTCAAGGACATGCGGTTAATACTGCCGAGTTGGACATTCATTTGGCGCGATACCTTCCGCCGACAGTTCGCGCAGCAACTGGTATGCTCAGTCCAAGCAAAGATGAGAAGCAGCAAGATCATATCGTGTTCTTGCAATCAAACTCTGCCAAAGAGAAACATACAGAGATTATTCCGACTTCCCGTGAAATGGACCTTCCGAATCAGAAGATCCATTTCTTCTTCGGCTCCGTCCAGCCTCTGTGTCGCATTGAAAAAACTTGACAAGTTCATTCAAGATTCGTTACCTTCATACATGACCCCATCTGCATATGTCGTTGTCGATAACCTCTTCAACACAATGGGAGACGTGAGCCAAAAACAGCTTAACATTATTGCTTCTGCAATTCCTCAGGACATTCTTACCGAGTTCCGAGATGGATTTAAAAAGGCCTGGGAGAGCACCTCCGCAAACGCGAACTTGACTCCTAAAGAAAGAATTTTGCGAGCTGCTTGGGCCAGAGTTCTCAAGATGAAAGAAGAAAAAATCGATCTTGACGACAATTTCTTCCGTTTGGGGGGGTGACTCAGTTTTAGCGATGAAGCTTGTCTCGAGTCTCCGGATGCAGGGACATGACTTGTCTGTGGCAAATGTATTCCAGCACATGCGCCTGGTGGATGCTGCTCAAGCCATGAAGCTGGACCAAACCCCCGAGCACGTCACCGAAGAATATCGGCCCTTCTCAACCTTACACGATGTCGATGTTGACTTGTTTGTGTCTCGAGTTGTTCGCCCTAGCCTTGCAAACGCCGAATGGAATATACAAGATGTCCTCCCTGTGTCTTCTTCACAGGCTATGGACATTAAAGCAACAATCCAAGCCCCAAAGACATCGATTCAGTATACAATGCTGTCTTTCGACCAAGGCATTGTACGAGAACAGCTGTTCGACGCATGTCGAAGGCTTATGGATTCTCATCAAATTTTGCGTACTGTCTTCATTGAGCACGAGTCAAAATTCTACCAAGTGGTTTTGGACAAGGTTGAGCCCATCATAACTAAGCATGTAGGAGGAGAGGATCTAGAGCAATCGACTAAAGAAATTTGCAAAGCCCATGCCGAGCTTGATTACGTGCTTGGATCGCCCTTCTTCCGGGTTCTTCACATCGAAGGGAGAGACGGTCGCGAATGTCTTGTCCTGGGTCTTTCCCACGCTCAATATGACGGTGTGTCGCTTCCCAATTTGCTTCAAGACTTCGAGACTCTTTACACGGGCGGCAGTATCGTGGGTTCAAAGCCGTTTTCGGAGTATATCGCATGGACCTGCGACAAGCGGGTGAAGAAGACCGCTATTGATTACTGGAGTGCACTACTGCGAGGGGCAACTCTGTCGGGTCTCTCAGGCCTTCAAGGACCAACAGTTAAGCCTACAGACCAGGGGATCTTCCAAACAAAGACCGTTGAAGACTTCTATGGCTCGGACTACATCACTACTGCGAACCTTGTGACAGCTGCTTGGGCTTTGATACTTGCTCGCCGACTCCAGAAACCAGATATCACATTTGGGGGCGTGACATCTGGTCGTACTGTCGATTTGCCTGGCGTGGAAAAAGTGGTCGGGCCATGCTATCAGCTTACTCCAATTCGAGTCACCTTTGAATCACATTGGTCTGGGATCGACCTTCTGGAATACGTGCAGAAGCAAGCTGCTGAATCAGCCAGTTACGACTTCCTTGGCTTCGACAGCATTGTCAAGCATTGCACAAGTTGGTCGTCCAGCCAATTCTACGACTCTATTGTCCACCACCAAGACTGGGATGACTTTGACACTATGCCGTTTGCCGGTGGCTCATGCAAGGTGGATATTTTGAATCCTTATGGGGATTCCCCGTACCCTCTGAAGATTGTGTCTTTTGTGAAAGAAGGGCAGGTGAATGTTGGCGTGGTAGGAAGTGAGAATGATCTATTGTTCATCGATTCGGTTCTGGATGAGTTGACTTCGACTGTTCGAGAGTTGGCTGACATGCAACCCGGGGTTCTGCTAGATGCGCAGCTGTTTTAATATTCCCCGCTTCAATACAATTAGAATGTATATTTAGCTTTTAAGTTCGGATTATGAGCTTGTCCCATAAACTCCCCTTTATCCAAAAAATACTCAAAAGGAAACTAAGGAACGAAAAGAGAGAATCGGTACTAGTATGAAAAGTCCTTCCGCACGAAACACCATAGATAAACACTTTACAGAAATAATTGAATGAAAAATGACTTTACAATATTAATCGATATATATAAAACTTTTGATAATAAATGCTCGTCTGTACAGGAAGGAAATCAAGTAGCTACTGTTTGGTGCATAACATTGGCACGGTAGCTCTCTGAGCGCTCAAGCAGCTCCTCGTGAGATCCCTTGTCTATACACTGGCCTGCTTCGATCAAGAAAATTACATTTGCCTTTCGAATAGTGTGCAGCCGATGCGCTATTGCGATAACGGTAATGCCCTTTGCGGCTTTCTCGAGTCCGTCTTGAAGAAGTTTCTCTGACTCTGCGTCAAGGGCACTTGTCGACTCATCAAGAATAAGCAGTTTGGGCTTGCGAACAAGTGCGCGCGCAATGGAAAGTCGCTGTTTCTGACCACCGGAAAACTGATTGCCGTTTGGACCACACATGGTCTTGTATCCTTCTGGGAGAGATGCAATAGTCTCGTGAATGTTGGCAAGTTTGCACGCATCAATGATCTCTTCCATGGTCGCTTCTTGTCCGGGCCTCGCACCGAGGCCAATGTTGAACTCGACTGTTCCCTCAAACAAAACGCTCTCTTGTGGAACAAGGGAGATTGAGTCGCGGAATGATGGGTCGCGTGTTTTTGACACGTCGCGTCCGTCGATCAGGATCGATCCCGATTCAGGAACATAAAGTCGCTCTGCGAGAGATATTATGGTGGACTTGCCTGCTCCGCTAGGTCCAACGAGGGCACAGAATTGGCCAGGCCGAATGTCGACAGTCAAACCATTCAAGACTTTCATATCCGGGCGGGCAGGATAAGCAAAATGCACATCCTGAAGTTGAACACTGGAAGCCTTGTTGCTTTGCTGGATGGACTTGGCTTCCATAGCGGATTCGGCATCACCACTTCGAACGAACGTATTAGGTGTATGGTCGGGAACAGTGCCTCGCATTTTGTCGGAGCCCATCTCGATCAGCCCCAATATACGCGCTGACGCCGCTCGCGCTTGCGAAAGCTCTGGTGCGAGGGCAAACATCTGGCTCCACAGGAGAGCACTAACTAGTAGCGAGAAAACCACGATAAGGAATTGGGTCTGGGTATACGTGCCGGAGATGATCTGTTTCGCGCCCCACCAATATGCGAGTGCGTTGACACAGTTTCCAAGGAAGTATGTAGTGGACTGCCAGAGGCTCGCTTGCAAAGTCACATTAAAAGTCTCTTTCTGGGGCCCCTTAAGAGACTTGCGGTATGTTTTCAACGTCTCATCTTCAAGGGACAGAGATGCAATAGTCTTGATAGATGTGATTGCTTCCACTCCAATGTCAACCGAGGTAGCGTAGGCGTTCTCATGACGCTCTTCAAATTTTCCAAGGACATGGAGCTCCATCAAACCAGCTCCAAGGAGCAGTGGTACCAAAGATAGACAGACGAGCGCGATCTTCCAGGCAATGATGTGAGTTAGGATAATCGCAGCGATGAGGTTGACCGTAATGGAGAATAGTGTGCCGATAACGGACCCACTGAGACCGGCAAGGGCATTCCCATCGCGAGTGATGTAAGATAGAAGCAGGGGAGGCGTTCGGCCGTTTGATTGATGCCACTGCAGGTCCTGCTCGAATAGAGACCGGAATGACAAGACTCGCACAGTATAGACAACTTTCTCAGAAACCCAACCGAAGCCGGCCCAGCTGACGATATTGGCAAATAACTCAATAATGGCAAGAACAAAGAACATCAGACCGTAGAACCGACCTTGTGACTCGATATAGTCTGCAGTGTTGCAAGGATTCAAACTGCCAACGGTATTTCCGAAGATCACAGCCTCGCCGGAGAAAGCTCCGCCCACGATACTCGCGCCGATAAGCGCAAGAGCGATGATCAGGAGATGCGGTCGTACAGTGGGAGCATAGCCTTTGAGAAGAGCCCAGAGAGATTTGGAAGGAGTCTTAGGTTCGTCCTCTGCAGTCTCTTCTTCGCCGGTGGGGGCGGGGGTTGCTGTTGTAGTAGGAGCCTTCTCATCAAGAATATCAGGCTCGGTCGACTCAGACTTTTCGATGTCCCCATCCGTAAGAGAACTCTGATCAGATCTGCTCGCGCTGTCGGCACCAGAAACCGTTCCGCTCTTATCAGTACTGAGGGTCTGCAGCTTCACCAGTTCCGCATAGGATCCGTCCTTCGCCATTAAGGCTGCGTGGTCCCCTTGCTCAACGACGTGGCCTTTGTGCATTATAATAATATTATCCGCATTTTGAATTGTTGACAGACGATGGGCGATGGAAATGATGGTTCGACCAGTGGCGATGTTATTGATAGCCTGCTGGATACGCTGCTCGCTACGAGAATCCAAAGATGCAGTCGCCTCGTCAAGGACAAGAACTGCAGGGTCTCTGACGAGAGCTCGGGCAAGGGAAATGCGTTGCTTTTGACCACCACTGATGAGTCGACCGCTTGAGCCGACAATTGTCCCCAGTCCATACTGAAGACGAGAAATGAAACTCTCCGCGTCTGCGAGCCCGGCGGCCTTTTGAACCAAATTGACTATTTCTACGACATTTGTACCGCGTTTTGCAGCCTCCGTCATAAGATCCTTGCCTTCTCTGAGATCAGCGGCAAGTTCTTCCAGATCGCAGCCGATAAAGGTCTCTTTCAAGTGTGCATGGGACGGGTTGCTGGAGTTCACCAAGCCATGAGCAATGTTCTCAAGCAAAGACCGATCTAGTAGTGAAGGCTCTTGCTGAACGAGGCCAATATGGCTTCGAAGATCCCTGACATTGAGTTCATGAAGATCGTGATCATCAAAGGTAACCTGACCCTCGTTCGGGTCATAGAGTCTGGTAACAAGACCTGCGATCGTTGACTTTCCACTTCCGGAGAGACCGACCAGAGCTGTGTGCTTTTTGGCGGGAATGGAAAGGCTGATCTTATCGAGAACGGTGACTTCAGGACGAGACGGGTATGTGAATGACACATTTTTGAATTCGAATTTGCCTTGGGCCTCCGCAAGTCGGATACCTTCCGTTGATGTGCCGTCAATCTGAGGGACACGGTCAAGGTCTTCACGCAGCTTGCTGTAGGATGCAACGGCTTGGATGAACAAATGCAAGAATGGCGAAACTTGACTGAAAAGCAAAGTAGCTATAGCGGGTCAGTCGCGAGTCTCATGTTGTTGAATTCATACATACCTTCAATCAGAATAAAGATCACAGTAAACGTGGCGCCAACAGTGGCACCAGAATGGGCCACGGACTTACTAGCCTGCCAAAACGCCAGACCGTTCGCACCGTATGCGACAAAGTATAGCACGCCAGACTGGATTCCCACAGCTACAGCTTTTTTAAGGCCTTCGCTTTCTGAGGACTTGAGCTCTTTCGAGAACTTCTTTTCCAGTCGAGTGTTTGCACCAAATGCTTGGACGACTACGATGTTGGACAAGGCTTCGGATGCAATCGACGCCGCGCTAGCGGCATAATCTGACATGAGTCCGGAATACTTTTCGATGTAATGGCTTCCAACGAATGACATCAGGAGATATGCCGGAATCAAAGAGAGCAGCATGGCAGCTAGTTTCCAATCCTTGATGAAAGCCACAATATATGCGGTGATAAAGAAGGAAACCGCCGAAACCACAATTCCCACTTTCTCAGATGTCCCAGATCGAATCGTCTGGATATCACTGTTCAGGCGCGAGGCGACTGCGCCCGGTGGCAAGTTGTCGAAATAGGAGGGCTCTTGTCGCAGGAGGTTCTTCAGGTAATTCTCGCGCAGACGTTGCGCTAATCGCGCCCCAGTCATCGTCCAACATGTCAGGTGGATGTAGATCAACACGAACTGTGCAATGGCGAGGTATACAATCAAAAGAATTTCTTTATTAATAGATTTCTGGTCCGATGATTGTGACGCTGATGTCGCCGTGCCTTCTCGCACCGAACATGTTGCCGAGTTGAAATCATCGAGTAACTGACCAAAAATGATGCCGATTATTGGGAAGGGTACACCAGAGCCTATGGAGCTAAAGAATCCCACCACTAGCATGGTCAGATCCAGCTTTGAAGGATTGCATGCCACGAGGAGACTGGCATAGCCGCTGATCTTCTTGAACCATCTCATGACGAGCAGAATTGATCAACTCGGCACTCCACACCCTGTAGATGGACCAGGAATCGTGCGACGAGTTAGGGTAGAATAATGTTATACTATACCCGCCAATTTCCCATGCACAGCTCTGAGATTTGTGTGAAGTGTTAGAGGCCAGAGCTCGAACAGAATGTTTCGGATCTTAGTTCCAATCTTATCAATCAGTCAAGACCACAGTGGAACCGAAAAGCCACCGTATCCATTCCGCATGAGTTCTGGAACCGTAGCCAGAGCCACCGGTCTTGCACGCCTGATCGGATAGCCCCATATCCGAACTGCCCTCGCGTCATGGGATCTGAAAAAAGTCGCTAATATCTCTCGGTTTCTCGGGAATCGGGTCCACCAAGATATCAATAGCGATGATCAGATAACTTCCATCTACCCACTTCGCTTAAGGCAACCCCATAGAGCAGCAACCTGGGAAGTGGAAGATGGAGACGCGGTCCAGATTAGGAAGTGTTGACGACCGTTTGGTGATACGCATGTATACGACATGACGCCGCGTATTACATACCGTGACTAGCGCCAACCACAAAATTACGTACATTCAGCTCCTGCCCTAAATCCATCGGTTAGTTTCGTGGAAGAAGCACATGGCTTAACAAGGAATCTGGGTCGCCGATATAATAACGTAAGTGGTTAAATGAGTCGGCGCTTTCCGCGATTTTGATTGACCTGGCAAATCAAGAATTTCAGCTCGTAAATTGCACTCTGGGCTTGCGTGGCGCTATGGTTTGCCCTCTGGATAGGCTATAGCCGAGATCAGGTGTTCTAGCTATCAATCAGTGGAGTTTTTTTTGGGCTGAAATTTGAAAGCATTGTCACCTATAAGGATCCAAGGTTTCCACGTAGGATCGTCTATCTTCTTTTCCTCATCTGTCTTGTCTGTTACGACTCCATCATGGCAGTGGCTTCTAAGATCCGCTCTGCCTTTCGTCGCCAGAATACCGATGAGTCTGCCACCTCAGTCAATATGGCAACCACCGAAGAGCCGAAGGGAGAGGTTCCTGTTGATGTTTCCGCAGCCGAGAAGAATGTCAACGACGGGGAAACAGCCCCGGAGATTCCTGCCATCAGCGATGATCTCCAGCAAGGTGTTCGCGATGTCGCGGCGATTACCAGGACTTGGTCTAAGTGGTCTTTAGCCGGTGTTTTTATCAAGTATGATATATAAAAGAATTGGACCATAAAGAATATAACTAATAAAATCTTACAGCATTTGGCTGCTTTACTTTGTCAATGCATTCCAGAGCAATGTCGTCAACAACCTGATTCCGTATCTTACCAGCGACTGGCAGTCTCATTCCCTCCTTACCTCAATTTACGTCGTCTCGGGTGCTATTACTGCAGCATGCTACATCCCCATTGGGAAAATCATGGATGTTTGGGGGCGTGCAGAGGGATTTCTTCTGATGACTATTGTTGCCACGATGGGCCTGGTCATGATGGCTGCGACCCACAATCTCGCAACATTCTGTGCCGGTTATGTGAGTTCACCGGACTCAATGTCCCAGAAGCAACCTTTACTGATCCAATATCGATAGGTTTTCTACAGCCTTGGCTTCGGCGGCATGACCTACTGTGTCGACTTGCTTACTGCTGACGCCTCGCAATTGAAAGACCGTGGTCTTGCATACGCCTTCACTTCATCCCCTTATGTTATTACAGCCTTTGGTGGCTCGAAGGCTTCCAACGAGATTCTCAATGGAATGGGTATGCGTTGGGGTATCGGGATCTTCGCCATCATTTTCCCCATCGTTGCTTCGCCCCTGTACTGCATCTTGAAGTACAACCTCCATTTAGCGAAGAAGCAAGGTCTTCTCGCTAGACAGAAGAGCAACCGCGCCGTTTTCCAGAGCATTTGGTTTTATACTGTTGAGTTCGATGGTACGTTTCATGATCTTGCATACTGGACCTCACACTAACCAGTGATCAGCTTTGGGTGTTCTCTTGTTCTCGGCCGGTCTTGTTGTCTTCTTCCTCGCATTTGACATTGCTGGAAGCGCCCCTGATACCTGGGGTACCCCTTATATCATCGCGATGCTTGTTGTCGGTTTTGTGATGCTCTTTTTCTTTGTCGCTTACGAATACTTCTTCGCGCCCAAGCCGCTGTTTGGACAAGCGTATCTGTGGAATCGTACTGTGATCGGTGCCTGTGCTCTTGACTTCACCTACCAGCTTTGCTATTACTGCTGGAATTACTACTTCACATCTTTCTTGCAGGTTGTGAATGATCTCACGGTCGCAGAAGCCGGGTACGTTAGCAGCACCTTCGACATCGTCTCTAGTGTTCTCCTGATCGCTGTTGGCCTTTTGATCCGCTACACTGGTCGCTTCAAGTGGCTTCTTTGGATTGGTGTTCCTCTGTACATCTTCGCCCAGGGTCTGATGATTTACTTCCGTCGCCCTAACCAGTCTGTTGGGTACCTCATCATGTGCCAGGTTTTTATTTCCATTGGTGGGAGTGTTTTCATCATTTGCGAGCAGCTCGCTATTTTGGCTGCAGTCGATCAGCAGTACTTCGCCATGGCCCTCGGCTTGCTCAACTCTGTCGGTACTGTCGGTGACGCTGTCGGCGCCACTATCTCTGGTGTCATTTGGCAGAACACCTTCCCCAAGGCTCTCAAGATGTATCTTCCAGCCTCGGCGATGGCAGCGTTTGATGATATTTACGAAGACCTCGATACTCAACTGAAATACCCCGTTGGAAGCAGAACTAGAGTTGCCATTCAACAAGCCTACGCCTATGCACAGACCCGCATGTTGGCTGTCGGTACTGGCGTAATGGTTCTGTGTTTTGTCTGGGTGTTGATGATCAAGAACTTCAACTTGAAGGACAAGCCTCAGGTGGGAGGTATTGTTTTTTAAGATATTTGGCAAATCTTTGAAACCCTTGTCAACTTTGTCAAGATAAAAGTATGGTGGATGATGGAAGCTTTGGGCTTGTGATCTGGGTTTAATGCATAATAGGGATATTAGCAAGAATTCTGTATAAACGCATAGAATATCTATAAATCAGAATCACCACTCAGTTTTTGACCAACTTCAGCTCTAGTGCCGATAAATCATGACCAGGGTAGCGTCACTTGAGGTAAATCCGACATTTCCAAGACTGCGACTTTGCCGCGCGATTGCGATCTCGATCGCCTTTTAAGCCTTCAGGCATATTGCTGTTACGATTACGGGATTGAAGGGGAAAAGATTTTGAAGCACGAGGGGCTTTCATTATAACACTAATACTTAGAGCTTCGCATTCCAAGCTGCGCGATCCGCAGATTCTAATGGCCGTTCGCGCCCATCCCAAAAGATAGGACACAGCTGGAACCACTTCTCTCGGCTCACAATCGAGTGCACAGATCTTTTATGCCCAAGGTCCACATACTTACCAATAGTCAGGCCTTGTGAGTTCTCATAGGAGAGAATGGTTGAGCCAGTGGCGCGGGGCTCGCCAACAGCATTTGCAGTTCGGGGGTCGTCCAGAAAACAGTAATGGATACAGCTGGAATACCATGCGTTTACCCTCTTCGCACCGCGAAATGACGCATCTCCAACAAGGGAGTGGCGTCCACGGTCATAGTCTCCAGCATTGTAGTGAGCGCCATAGTGGTCCTCCTGCGAGTGGTCTTAGCCTCTGTTTGTAACTCTCAAGCGCGAAATTCTCACCTTCGCCCAGTAAAGTTCGTAGTAGGAGAAGCGACTCTCGTTGAAACGTCCGAATAGACACAGGACGTGGGGATCAAAGTGGAGTTTGCGCAGGTACTCGCGATGTTCATCAAGCGTGCCAGTCTCATTCCAACCCTTCGCAACGCGGGGATCATTCTGCCAAGTATTGAAGAGTTGTAGATGATCTGGGTCTTCCCAATTCACTACCTCGAGCGAAAAGTGCTCGTCAACTTCCGGAATATAGCGACTGTATGCAATGGATCCAGGATGGGGCTTGGGGCGACGAATTGGGTGGCGCGCGTACACCGGTTCTTCGGGGAACTTGTTCGTAAACTGAAAATTTTCTGGCCAAGCGGGATATTGCGATAGAGGTTCTCTTACTGGGCCATCTGTGCCGTCGCCAACCACCCAGATAGGACGTGGGCCCAAGGGAGAAGCTGCGCCCTGCCAGAAGGCGCTTCGGGAAATCAAGATTTCTTTTGTCTCTTCCTTGGTGAAATGCTCCAAAGCACCCCATGGTCTCGGGTGCTCAACACCAAGGCCTGTTGCCAGAAGCTCCGTCCGAATGATTTCTTCGCCTGTTCCAACCAGTTTCACGCGGAAGTACTCATTGGTCGGATAAGCCAAGAATATCGCATGAACAATTCCCCATATCTGGCCCAACGTCGGTGTTTCCTCAGTCCATTGGAAGATAGTGTGAGGGCTGCGACGAGCTCGCGCCCATGAGCTATTGTCGTTGGTCAATGGAAGCTCCGTACCCCCAAAGCTCAAATCGCGCCACGATAACGTTGCAAGATGTAGTTGCTTTGGCAGAGGCCTCCCTGATTCAGGCTGTCCTTCAAAAGAGAGGATACGCTTGTCGTCGATGCATTGTACTTGGTAGGAGGTAAGGTAAGGGTGAGGAAGTTTGACCGGAGTATAAGCATGCATGTGCGGCGTTGACATATTGGCGATCGGAGGAACACTCTGCCTGTCCGGAGTTGTCAGATCGCGGTGCAGAACAGGATTGGACTACTCTTAAGGGAATTCCGTTTAACTGAACCTAGATCATTCTTGTTATCAATTTTTCAGAATAACAATAGTCGTATCCATATTAGGCGACGGAGCTTCGGTCGGAAGAAGCTCCGAGCCTGAAGCTCCGAGCCTGGGGCTCACCAATATAAGGGAACATGTTAGTCTCGGTTTAGAAAGAAGGCAAAATTCAAAATCTGGGAGCCCAAGCTTCTTCCCTGCTCGCTCTCCTAGTTCACTGACGGTCTAGGCCGTGGCATGTGTCATTTTTTACGAACCTAGTAATTTGGCCCGAAGAGGTCCCTCGGTCCTAAATGGATCCACCTGGGTTCCCATTTATCAAGTCCCAGAATACGGAAATAGTATGGAGTAAAGGGTGGTCCTGCTTTTTGTTTCATTAGACTAATTTTCGTATATGAGGTAAGGGCGCGACTTCCAGTTTTGTAGAGCACACATCACAATGACCTTACGATCAAGACCTTCGACCTATGAACATTTTCTCCTCTCCTTTCCCTGTGAAAGGGTCGTTCAAGTTACTTTGAACAGACCGGAAAAGCTCAATTCCATTACAAAAGAGACGAGCAGTAAGATTGCAGAAATATGGGACCTTTTCGATCAAGATGAGTCCCTATGGGTTGGAATCATCACAGGCAGTGGAAGGGCGTTTTGCACCGGAGCCGACCTCGGAGGTAGGATTCGCTAGGATGACCTTTTGTCTACAAGTGCCAAGCTAATCAGCAATACGGCGATTAGAATGGAATGAGATGGTGCGTTCTGGCGTCGTGAATGACATGTCCCCGCCAGGCCTTGCCGGTCTCCCCCGTCGAAGTGGGAAGAAGCCCATCATAGCCGCCGTCAACGGGATATGTATGGGCGGTGGGTTTGAGATGGTTGCCAACTGTGATCTTGTGATTGCCTCCTCTACGGCTACCTTTGCTCTGCCGGAAACAAAGCGCGGAATTGTGGCAGTAGCTGGATGTCCCTCGATTGACGCGTACTATCGGCCTGCAACGTACGATGGACCTTGTTTTGACTGGTCGCACGGTACAGGCTAGTACATTATACGACTGGGGCCTCATCACCCGCCTTATCGACCCCGGCACCAATATTGCGCAAGCTGCCGCCAAACTCGCCGGTCAGATATGCCAGAACAGCCCCGATGCAACAATTGTGGGTCGCCAGGGTGTCCGCCTAAGCTGGGAAGCAGGCAGTGCCGAAGACGCGGTGACTACCCTCGCCAAGGACTGGTACCCGCGGCTCTGTGCTGGAGAGAATTTTGCGGAAGGGATCCGAGCATTTGTGGAGAAGAGGTCACCCAACTGGGTCAATTCCAAACTGTGAAAGAAACTAGATTTGGCAGGTCATCTTATCAGATGCGGGCCCATTTGATTCTCCGCACCCGTAATATCGTGCCGTGGTTCGTTTTTTTTTTGGCCCCATCGGAAAACAGGGGTCGGTACCAAGCTCCATAAAACTATAGCAGCTGTAGGATTAGGAAATTTAGACGGCGTGAGACAAAGGTCCCTTGGCAGCATTCTTAGTTTGCGTTTTTGTTAACTTATTTTGGGCACAGAAGCACTGAGCTTCTCTCTGGAAAGGACGTCGCTTCCGTTGGCTGGACTGCATGGTATTATTACCACTGTAATGATACGGTTCGTTCTTTCTGTAAGTTACGCCATTGGTTCATAACGTGTAATGAAACTAGTCTGGTTGTCTGGACAGATTCGTGCCCCCCGGGTTTGCCATTATCTGATCAAGAGCTTCGAGGATCCACCTGAGCTGGAGCCGAGGTCTTACTTCGTAATGATTAACAGGCGTTGACAGACGAGAAAAGGTCTAATGAGCTTGCTTCGCTTCGACACGTCGCATCTGTCTTGGCCTTTTCTTTTTTTCTGCAGAAGTATATGCATGGGTCCTGGAGCAAAATGCGATTGGCAACAGCAGCGCCACCTTTATGAGTCCCAGAAGACGTAAACTGTTTATTCCCTGGATAAGTTCTACTACGAAGGATGATGCCGACCGGCAAGCAGAAATGAATATTGGGAAATGGGCGTCTCATGTTGGAGGCGACGCTTGCGGCTGAGCTTTTTCTGAAATAACAATTTGGAAGATATCCCAAGGCACACCTAGTATGATACATAGATCCGAAAGCGTAGACATCTGTAATCCTAAATGAAACGGCATCGTGGTCATGAGTGTGGTTAAAAAGGATTCTGACAGCCATGAATTTGATGTGGGGCGCACAAAATATACCATTGAATAGCTAGGCCTTTCAGGTATCTGGCTAGCAGCTGATGGGCGAGCTCAGTGCGTTGTTTGACGGCTTCCTTACTCAAATTGCCTCCCTGAGTTGTGCCTGTTGAACCGTAGCTATAAGTCTATCCGCCAGCGTTGGAGGTGTAGGCAGGGATCTCCACACCAGGAGGCGAAGATTGCATCGAGATCTTCCTGAGGACTACAAGAGAAGATCTACCAATACAGACTTTGATCTCAAGAGTGCAAGCACGCATTCGGCAGATTATTGTTCCAAATGAACGCCCACAAAGGATGATCGCACGAGTATACCCAATAATATCAAACCAAACTATTCCAGCAGAGGCTAATCTGTCTACCCTCGGAACGGTTGGGTCGCACTCCAGGGCCAAACTCTCAAAGTCCCGGCTTTCTAGCTGTGATCAAAAAACGATTACTCCTTTATGCATGGCGACTGAGCAGTAGTCCAATGCCTTCTCCATGATCTCAAACAATTGAGTAACATATGAAAATCAATGAGCTCTTATCGTCCATTGGAATGCCGGTGCTAGCTTTGTCTCCTACTGCCTGCGAAAGCTTGTGGTAAGCCATAGGCTCCAGGTCAGTTCATTTGAGGTGAAAATGTTGTTGCATCTAGGAAAGGCGCCGCTTACGATCAAGGCCCAATGAGTCCACTCATGACGTTAGAACACCTATATCACCTCTATGGCCTCAATTGAGCCCGTAGTAGGAGTAATAGTAGTATTGATTAATGTCCAGTGGAGCTGGCGGTATACACCGCCGGCTCATAACTTCCTTTTGGGGCAAAAGGGACGTGCTGAACTAAGATTCTATCTTTGCCATTTCGGCAGCTAACAGTTGGCAGAACTTGTTTTAGACGTACTTTCGCCGGATATAGTCCCAGAAAACAGCCTGAAATGCACATACGACCATAGGGTGTGGAGAACAGGGCTTCCCGTCCGCTCAGCCGTACTTAAGCCACACGCCGGTCAGTTAGTACTATGGTGGGTGACCACATGGGAATCCTGACTGTTGTATGTTTTTGCTTACCAGCCGGACCTCGTTTGTCCGGCAGAAAACCTCCCCTTCAGGTACTTCACCTTGCCTGCCTGAACCTCCTGAATACCCCTTTATTCTACACCAAAACTACCCCTGTACGCCTTAAAGCGAACTCGGTCATGAGAGGCCTATGTCTCGCCTTAAACCCTTTTTGGCTAATGTGTATTCGCGTCTTCGGTCTTTCTTCTTGGCTTCCTATAACCTCTCTCTCTCGTCTAATCACATCCTACATTCTTCTTTTCCTATCTGCCCAAATAGTCTTCAGTGATATTTCGGATCCCACTCAGATCTATGTGGGTGATCTCCTCGCATGACAGTGTTTCAATCGACTGGTTCACTATTGGATTGTAGTTCAGTAAAGTTCCGAATTTTTATCACGGACAACCGCCACCCGCCTTTAGGAGAAACCATTAGGGGTATTTGGTTATCATCAAGCAGCCAAGAATCAGGAAATAATGTGCATACGAGTGTCTTGTTCCTAAGTCAATACCAATGGAGGTTCACGATCCTCCGAGTGTGTACGAGATTCGCTGTCATAAGTGGCAACGGCAAGTGATGATAAGGGGAAAATAAAGTTCAGCAGAAGGCAGAAAAGGGTTGCTCCGGTCAGGAAATTAAAGGATACATTGTTGCCCCGTCGTCCCATCGTTATTATAAAAGTGCAGAAAAGTGCTCGGCTTGATTGAGAAGATTTGAGAGAATGGAAAGCAACCAATGGTGCAATAATTGAATTATATTCTTGACATTGCGCAGCCTGCAAGCTGTCCTCTTCCCAGATGAGATTACTCTTTCGGTCGTGATCGGTAGAGAGTCAATTGGCAGCATACAGTACGGTGAGGCTCAGTAATGGGGCTCAGAAAACACGAGTCATATATGCGCAATATATCACAATAGGACGGCTGAATCTAGCAGTCATTGCAGGGAGTAGGACCACAAGTAGCCGGCTGGCCTTCCCAAGAAACACAGTACGGGAGGTTTGAAGGACAGTCAGCGTTGCTGCTGCAAAAGATTGGGTCTCTTTGTATAAGGCCTGGACGTAGAATTTCGTCAGCAAACCCGAAAGTTCAATGTGTTATGGAATACATTGGAGAACGCATACCGGCGGCAGCGAGCCCAGTGAGGGTAGTAGCAACTAGAAGGGCGAGGAACTTCATGGTGGTATGTGTGTATATAGAAGTGCCGAAGACTTGAGATAATGGTAATGTCGGGAGCAGGAGTTGAGGACGTTTGGACTTGGTTGCTTGTTTTTCAAGGGAATGATCAGGTTAGGATCCATGGGGGGGGAGTGCAGCTATTTACCATTTTCTCCAGGCCGTCTTCTGCTCATTAGAATTTGGAATTTGGTCCTAGGCAATGCAATTGCCCGCCTTAGGAACCCCAGCCTTGCAGAAAAGGATCTGAAGCTGAGAACATCGGATGTTCATATCGTCCTTTTGAGGCTACATACAGCTTTGTTGGGTGGCCTGAATATCTATGGAGCTAATCAGGGTTTGAGGTCCTGGGTGGCCTGAATGTCTATGGGGCTAATCTGGGTCTGAGGTCCTGCATATCACTTCTACATAGGCTTCTGCATAACCCAACTTTGCCGAACCTTTTGCACAGAAATACATAGATATGCCAAGACATTCTTATTTAGGGTTTGTAAAGCTTATTTTGCATAAAGTTGGGTCGAAAGTGGGTTGAAAGTTGGGTTTTGGGTCGTGATCCTCGACCCAAGTTGGGTTACAGTAGCATTGCATAAGTGTGGACGGGTGGTCTCTAATTTGGGGGCGGGTTTCTACACCGTTTTCACCCTGCCTTTTACACGCTGTCTCCTGAAGTGCGCATTTCGCGTTATTATTTTGAGTGGGAACTGCCAGATTTGGCTGGCACCAGTTGACCAGGCAAGATCATGGTATTCGATGGAATTCCACTGTAGGGTTCCGGTCTGAACAAAGACTAAAGCTTACTCTTTCATCTAAACAGAGAACCTCTTTTATAGGGGAATTCGTCAGGGGTTCGGCCTCAGCTCGGGTTTCAGCTCTAACCCAACCAATAAGATGTAAGAAAGTCTAGTGGCCCCGCTTTCATCAGTACTGAATGGTACGACTTCGGCTTGAAGGATCTCGGTATATCCTCGAAGGCGCTTTCAACGCCGATTCGATGGCGTTCTGCCATCTAATCCCATTGTTCCTTGACAATATTCTGACTGTAGAAATAGGAGAAGTCTGTCACGGATTCCAGCTAGAGGGTATACTATAAAAGGCGTGCCTGGGCATATCCGCACCTCATGTGCAGATATGGTGGTCTTTTGGCTCAGCTGTTGGAACATTAGCCCAGGGATGACCCTTCACAAAATTACGGATGGAAGTTCTTTAAATGCGGACTTTTCAATTTTCCAAAGTGTTGTGGATATTCTATAGATATCAGTAGAATTGCAGCTCAAATTTCTAGTGTGAAGCCTATTAATCGATAGGCTCAGATATGGGGATAGGATAAGACTGAAGGAGGCCGATACTACTACGAGTTCGGAGAGGAATACTCGATGGTAGCAAGATAATCAAACTAATCGCTGGTGAATCCTTCGGTTCCCTTCGCGATTGCCTTATATATGGCGTGGTTTTTCTAACGAGCCCCTTCTGTGGGTCTAATTCATACAAATAGGGGCATCGAGCCTTCCTTTGAATATCTCCGCGGTTCCCGCGGCTCCCTCGTGGCTAAACAAAGCGTGTCGTGACAACTAGGCCTTAACTTTCAGCTCAAAAACAGGGTCCTTAACTATGCAGTCAAATAGTGTAGTTAGTTAGACAGCGGCCTAAAATACTAGGCCTTAACATTTAAGGTTATGGTTAGGGTCAGGGTAGGTGACGTTGGACCCTGATCCTTCTAAGGTACGGGTAGAGGTTCCTGATCTTGGATCCGTTGGGCAGATGAGTGCCAGATCTAGCTATAGCCGAATTAAGATTGTAATTATTTGATCAATACAACACTATTACATGAAAAATACTGGAGGAAACATAAAAATAATGTATACACATTGAGATCATGAGTCTTGGCATATTTATGTTGTTTGATATCTATTGGATATCTGTAAATATCCAGAGGATATGAGGTCCATATCCAAATCCGCAGTTTATGGACACGGACTGCGGATATCCTTGGACATTACGGATCGCGCCGCAGTCTAGTCTTCACCGCGACAAGGCTTTATGCCCGCTCTAATATGTGGAAATAGTTCCTTAGTTACGGGAGCACTTATTGTCGGTTGATGTGGTACCACGAAAATATCAATATATGGTAAGTGAACAATCATTTAGATCATATGTTATGGTAGGGCTTCGAAATCAGCATGAAGGCTGAGAGGCCTTGGATATGATTAGCTGTGCAGTATCTCGAAAGGAACTGGTTGGTCAGATAAGGCGGCCTTCGGCTAGGTATCTCCTTTCATAAGTTTGACGGGCCAAGATCAAATCAGCGGCGCCCTGCACCCCTCCCCTCGGCCCTTGCACTTTGGACTCTAGACTCGGAGACTCGAGGCCTGGCAACCCATTGGGTGACTTGAGCGATCGGTCATTTTATGTATGAGAAACACGAGTCACTTGGAAATCAAAGATGTCTCGGTCCAATCAGAGTTATTCTCGCTGATTATGTTTCGGCGCTTGGCACATGTAGCTTCCCCGCATAATGGCTTACGCATCTCGTTATCTCATTTCCGATGATAGGCGACAGACCCGGTCCATAAGTGGGCTCTCTTTGGGCGCTTCTTATCTGATACGCTGGGTTATCTTTGAAGTGCTGTGCAGCAGCTAAAGGAACAAGGTACCGTCGCATGTTGCGTGTCAGATAAGGCGTTGTGTTCGTCTTCGTAGTACTAGTATCGACTAAGATGGAGGGCGGCAGAAAGTCCCCTGGTATCGGGGGGGATCGTATTCAACACCCTTCGTTTCACTCTCCTTGGAGGTTGCCAAGGTGGGTTTCCCGAGGCTAACAAGCTCAATTCAGAGATAATTTCCTTCATTGTTGCGGGATGTCCTGTCCCTGAGGGGCACCAAGTGGGATCTTCACCAATCTTTCCCAAATGCGGCTTGCGGCATGTTGATGTCCTCGGGTTTTGATTGGCTGATAGTGAATTTAGCAGGCCACGGGCCTCGCTCGGGGAGCCCTAACCAATCAGGGTCCCCCGTGCGCCAGTAGCTTCGAGGTAAGCGATGGAAATGGAAAGCGCAAGAGGCGAGGGAAACACGGCAAGAGCTTTGGAGAGTAATCGACCCCTCTCCCTTGTCGCCTCTCGTGCCTCTCCTCCGAGCCTCTCTTCACGCGCAAACTTTCGATAAACACATCCAACAATGGATGTAGAGTCGTCCGCCGCCCTTGCTTCGGGCGAAGTCTCGAGCAAGGCCAAATATCCCAATAGCTCTGCAGTAGCGGACGAGGATCGCTCGATTGACCAAGGCGATGTCCTCGGTCAGGAGAATGTGGATCAAACACTTGCGGCCAAGATGAACTTGGTGAACGACGTAAGTTTGCCGTCGGCGAACAGGTTTCAAGAAAGACAGAATGCGCAAGACTATGTCCACTCACACAACACTTACCGCTAGGCAATTGACGAAATCGGGTTTACCCCTACGCATGCGAAGTTGTTTTGCCTGAATGGCGGAGGTTACGCAGTCGACTCATTAATACTTCTGCTGCAGTCCATTATATCACAGCAAGCGCAGTATCAGTTCAAGCCCAAATTTGACACCGGATTAACGATTGCCGTCTACGTTGGTATGCTAGCTGGCGCTCTTTTCTGGGGAATATCGGCAGACTCTATCGGCAGACGTTTTGCCTTCAATGTCTCTCTCTTCGTCTCTTCCATCTTCACGATAGTGGCAGGCGCATCTCCCAGTTGGATAGTGCTGGGCGTGTTTACGTCCTTGAGTGCATTCGGAGCCGGTGGAAATCTGGTGCTCGATACAACCGTATTTCTTGAATATTTGCCGAGCAGGCATCAATGGCTCTTGACTCTGATGGCCGCGTGGTGGGGTAAAGTTACTCAATCCAGATACATTACAAAGAAACACACTGACATATGAGTATATATAGGCCTTGGCCAATTGATTGCCGGACTTTTCGCTTGGGCTTTCCTCCCCTAATTATTCGTGCGACGCTCCCCTGCCGTATGCAACAATGATAACAATCAAGGGTGGCGCTATGTTTGGTACACCTCTGGTGCTTTTGTCTTCGTCCTTTCCGTTCTTCGAGTGACTATTATCCGGCTGCAAGAGACCCCCAAATTCCTTTTGGCAGAGGGAAAAGACGAGGAAGCTGTCCAGGTTTTGCAGAATATCGCCAAGAAACACAATCGCCCATTCAGTCTTACTGTTGAGCGCTTGGCAGCCTGTGGAAGCTGTTCTGCAGTAGGTGATACAAGTTCGGGCGGACTCTTCCGGCGACTCATTTCTCCAAAAGAGGTGGTTTTCCATTTGAAGGGTCTTTATGCAACCCGCAAGATGGCATTGTCCACCTCTCTAGTGTGGTTCTCCTGGCTGCTTATTGGACTAGCATACCCTCTGTACAACGTGTTTCTGCCCAAATACCTTGCGACCCGTGGAGCCAAGCTTGGAGAAGGAAGCGACTACATTACTTGGCGCAACTACGCTATCAACAATACTGCGAGTATATTTGGCCCTGTGTTAGCGGGTGCCATGTGTAGCTCGCCATGGTTTTGGGGCCGTCGGGGCACGATGATCATCGGCGCTTTGGTGACCATGATTTTCTTCTTTTGTTATACTCAAGTACGCACCGCCGCGGAGAACTTGGGATTTACGTGCGCGATCTCATTCTGTTTGAACATCTACTACGGTACTCTATATGCATATACCCCCGAGGTTAGTCTCCGATTATCCCTCAACATATCCCCCTTCCATTCGCGAGTCAATCAATAACACAAAACAGATTTTCCCCTCCAGCCACCGGGGAACCGGGAATGGAATTGCAATTGCCCTGAACAGACTCATGGGTATTGTTAGTGCCATTGTGGCTCATTATGGTAATGTAGGTGTTTCTCTTACCCAGTCAATTTTTCAATGCTGATTACTTTATTAGACTGCTACCTCAGTGCCAATTTATATTTGTGCGTGCTTATACATTGTGATGGCTATTGTCGCTGCAGCCATGCCCTTTGAACCATTTGGTCGCCGAAGCAGTTAGATTATCGTAATATAGCTACAGCAAACCCAAAAGCCAAGTTCTTCAATTGCTCTCCTCTTAGGCTGCGGCTGAAAGTCGAACATCCGTGGTGGGTTGGTTTTAAGGTGAGCAAACTTTAGCTCGTTCTTTACTGCCTTTGCAGCCATCACCAGTTCGCCCAGGGCCGCAATTAATTGAATCGGCTAGGACGTCCGGCGTGAGGTCGAATTCAACAACAAGCTGTGAATCGCTTAGATATCAGCTACCTAGTACTAGGTATATAACTGATAATATGTTTGAGTTGAGTAAATCGGAACCACGAACTTGAATGACTAGTCTGCCGATTCACAGAAGCCTTCTCTATTGTTCCAGTACTAATACTGGCGATACGACATGATGCCAGGTTCAATTTTGATTTGAACTCTTACAATGAGAAAGCCTTGACGATAACGGAATCATTAGTAGTACGTAACTATAGCTAGTTAAGTATAAGCGATAGGTTCGTAAATAGCCAATCGAAATTCTTTCGGACTTTTCTCCGATCTCAAACTCAGGCTAATTAGTCACGCTTATCGCGTTTTCAAACCCAGAGGTTGTGGCAACATTCGACCTTATCAACGACGGAGTCGGATTAGTCCCCGCACTTGCGAGTAGCGACCCCCCATTTGCTCCCCGAACTCCGAGTCGTAAATGTCTTCTCTCCACGTAATATCATTGCCATGACCACTCTTCTGAAGAAGCCACTGAAGCTTGCGTTGGTGCAACTTGCATCGGGTAGGCAAAACCCTGGAATCTTATGATCTTCCTCCATAATTCATTGCTAATGGTAAACAGGCGCGGACAAGGCCGCTAACCTCTCCCACGCGCGCAACAAAGTCCTGGAGGCAGCCAAGGCGGGCGCTCGTCTCATCGTGCTCCCTGAATGCTTCAATTCTCCATACGGCACGCAATTCTTCCTAAATACGCCGAGACCCTTGACCCCTCTCCGCCAACGAAAGAACAATCGCCATCCTTCCACGCTCTTTCCGCCATCGCCGCTGAAGCCAACGCGTACTTGATTGGCGGCAGCATTCCAGAGCTGGAGACCTCAACCAAGAAATTCTATAATACTTCGCTAGTTTTCTCGCCCACCGGGTCGCTGATCGGGACGCACCGCAAGACCCATCTCTTTGACATCGATATCCCGGGGAAGATCCAATTCAAAGAGAGCGAAGTGCTATCACCTGGGAATCAATTAACCGTGATCGACCTACCGGAGTATGGCAAGATCGGCCTGGCGATATGCTACGATATTCGGTTCCCAGAGGCTGCCATGATCGCCGCCCGCAAGGGCGCGTTCCTCCTGGTGTACCCTGGCGCTTTCAACACGACCACTGGGCCGTTGCACTGGTCGCTTCTTGGGAGGGCTCGTGCCGTGGATAACCAGTCATATGTGGCGCTTTGCTCTCCTGCTCGGGACCCGGAGGCGGGCTACCAGGCATACGGACATACTCTGATTGCGGATCCAAGCGCAAACATCTTGGGCGAGGCGCAGGAGTCGGAGACTATCATCTATGCAGACTTGGATAACGAGACTATCACGAGTGTCCGGAAGAACATCCCTATCTATACTCAGCGTCGCTTTGATTTGTACCCTGATGTCAGTGGGGAGGCTTCGAAATAGACAGTAGCACCAATCCATGTGACATTCAACACTTTCAACTTCCAGGGTTCCCTAGTTAGCTCTAACTAGTTATCTCGAACAGTTTGTGTAGTAAGCAAGGCCAGCTGGAGCCCCGGCCAAGTGGACACCTAAGGCGAAAAGGGCCCATATTAATGTCATGTGACCTAGCCAATCGAAGCCGCCCGCCGTTCACCGCCCACATAAGCGAGCCACACTCACCCGCGGCCACAAATCCAGAATTTCCGATCATCGACCAATTTCCGCCCACAGTCGACACCGACCCCAGCAGTGAGTCGCCCTCCACAGAACACTTTCTTACCTTGCGACACATCACTCATACATCTCTAGAAAATGTCCAACCCCACCGCCGGCAAGAAGGGCCACTCGGCCATCGACGACGTTGTGTCCCGCGAGTACACCATCAACTTGCACAAGCGCGTATGTTGAACATCCAAACCTTCCCCAAAGACTGTGAATGTGAACCCCTGCGGAGGCAAATGGACAGAGAACACACGTCTCCTGAGATATGGAGTCTTTGATTCTTTCTTCGGAAGGTCATTGATGTGTGTGCGTGTGTGTAGGCACGATGAAGTTTTCTCTTTTTTCCCACCTTCGCTTCTCTCAGGGAAAGTTGGGGGGGAAAAGATGAATCGCTTTGTCGGCCTTGACATCACAAAACATCTTCGACCGACCTGTGGGCAACCACTGGACGGCCGCTCCCTCCTCGACTGGGACACCTGCGGGTCGCCTCGATCGCGCAGCGGCATCCAAGAAGAAGAAATAGTTTTATGAAGTCCACCTCCATGGCCGCGGCCAGCAGAACATCGCAGAGCTTGCTCAATTGATGCTTTTCGGGCGGAAGACTAATCTCGACTTCTTGGTGATTTTTAGACCCACGGTGTTAGCTTCAAGAAGCGCGCTCCTCGCGCCATCAAGGAGATCCGTGCTTTCGCTACCAAGGCCATGGTGAGTCCGCCGGACAACTTTCCATACTTCTGTCGATACTGATTAATTGTCCAGGGTACCAAGGACGTCCGTCTCGACCCTGCCCTCAACAAGAAGGTCTGGGAGTCCGGTGTCAAGGGCGTTCCTTTCCGTCTCCGTATCCGCATCTCCCGTAAGCGTAACGACGAGGAGAATGCCAAGGAGAAGCTCTACTCCCACGTCCAGGCCGTCAACGTCAAGTCCGCCAAGGGCCTGCACACCGCCATTGTTGATGACGCATAAGCGCGCGATCTTCCGGCGTTTGCTTCATTGATTCCATGTTACGATTGGGGTTCGGTCGGGGCTTTCAAAAATAAAAATACCACTTTGTTCTATCAACACTATTTCCCTTCGTAGTCCATTCTATAGAATCCCCCCTTATTGTAGTCGAGACGCTCTTCCAAGGTTTCAATGGAGCAACAGATAAAGATGGCGATTCTTATAGGTGTTTACAGCGTCCACATTCCAAATTATGATTCCAATGAGAGTTGGAGTTGAAGATTTCACATCAGACATTTTCATGGTAAAAAGTATATGAGATTCATTCTAATGTAGAGTATTCATATTCCGGGACAATTTCACCATTAACAAGCTGTGAGAAAACTCCGAGTCTATATAGCGAGCGTGTTCCCAGATCCGTTACTATAGGTCGGTCATTGAACCCGCGACGTCCCGCGTCCTTGCATTGTGTGCTATCTACAGAAATGAGCATCTGGTGAGCTCAGTCAGAAATATTTCCTGCACCTGGGCATTGTGTTGGAATGTCGATGATTAAACCATCACGCGAGTGTGGGGGAGGTATTCTGCCGTGAGCTGCACTGATGGACCCCGACTCGCCGTCGCTGGTTATATAAACAGTCGCGGGGACCCTTGAGGAACCAACGCCACAGCTGTGCTATCCGGGTTGCATCTTCGACGACAGCCATGAAGATCGTCGGAACTGTCATCACTATAACATTTATAAAGCCAGATGATCCTGCCAGATTATTGGCAATATTTCTGTCTAACTCTCATATCAAATTTGCTCTAATTTACAGCGCGTATTCATGATGCTTAGACCATTTGACGGAAAAGGAAAGAAAATTGTCAAGTGATGTGAAAAGAAGGGTATACAGGAATGAAGAATGTGCGGCTGCACAATATATATCAAGAAAGTTAAGAGGCCGAAATCCAAGCTTCTCACTCAACACTGAAGTATGCAATGGTGGAAGAAAAAGTTCCGAGGTTGTCAGAAACCTTGGCCAAAGAAGTGCCGTCCTGGAGGATCATGTTTTGAACACCCACAGTGTTGAGGGCAAAGACATTAAGAGCGCTAGTCGTACCCTCCACGCTGAAGATTTCACTCTGGCAGTTTTCGGGCGAAGGGAAGGCAGAGCAGTCGGTGCTGTAGTCGTTGAAGAAACTGTAGAGGCCGGCACCGTAGATGGAAATGCTCTTGCCGTCAAGAACACGCAACCCGTAGGAATCGCAATTTCCACTAAGGCACTTGCTGTAGTCGGGGTCTTTGAGGCTGGCGTTGGAGGGGAAAGGACCGTGGTTGACATCGGGGTTGGGCATGTAGTATCTGTATGGTGATTAGACCTGGTCGAAGGTACAAGGTACAAGGTTCTGGGGTTACCCACGGAGTCTCAGTCTGGAGGAATCCAGCGACGATGTCACTGGCGCCAGCAAAGTTGTACTGGTAGAGGAAGTGATGCTCAACAGCAGTCCCCCAGCTAGAGATGTATTAGCGTATGCAAGTCATCGTGGTTCCGCTGGAAACTTACAGCCAGGTGTTGCTTCCTTCAACGAGCAGACCACGGCCAGAGAAGACGGATATCTGAGTATTGTTGGAGTCATCAATGTCGTGATCGGCAGTCCATAGCCAAACATTCTCCAAGTACGCCCCGCTAGCGCTGCTCGTGATATGGAAAGACATGTAAGCAACTTCACAATTCTGGGTAGGCTGAGCGGTCTTGGGACATTGGGAAACCTGTTGGCTTGAACCATCAAATCCACCAATGCGAGTGTGTACATCCCAAACTCCAGCCCCAGAGTCCGCAGCCAGGTTCCACTCAATTAGAACAGCACCGGGAGCAGAGCCCTGGGTGCTGACGATAGTGTCAGTCCACTCGATCGAACCCTTGTCACCAGGCTTTCCAACTTGAATAACAGGGGTAGGGTTCGACACATCAGAGAAAGCATCGCCGCTAGCCATGATTACAGGGTATGACTCTCCAACGACCTGCAACCCAGGAGGGAAGTAAAGAGTACTAGTGACCTTGTACGTTCCCTGATCAATGAACAGAACATTGCCAGAAGATGCTGCCTTGGTAACAGCGTCTTGGATAGCAGAGGTATCGTCAGTGGTACCATCACCCTTCGCCCCAGCGTCTCTAAGACTGGTGATGGACGACAAAGCGACGGTCTCAAACTGCGGTTTCGACTTGGTGTAGTAGTTAGAAGAGCCACTAGCAACCAAGCCACTGGGACGGGAGGGAGCAGTGTAAGTTCCCTGAAAGCTAGTGGGGCCATTAGGGGTGTATTTGTGTCCTTGACCCCAGGCGGCGATAGTCGTGGAGCCACCCTCGAGGATAGTGTTACCGGTAGAGCCATTGACAGCCACAGGAGTGTTGTCGAGGACAACGTTCTCAAGGATGAGACTGCCGTTGGTTGAGTCTGAGGTTTCCCAGGCAGAAGAGATAGCTGCCTTGCAGCCTGAGATTGTGCTGTCTAGCACAACAGCAGAGCCAACGGTCTGAGCGCCGGCACCGCCGTTCTCGAAGGCAAACCCAGTTGTGCAGTCAGAGATACTGACGCCCTGGTAGGTCCAGCCCCAGTTCCAGATTTGGGAGATACCAGTCACAGCGCCTGAGATAGACAGGTTGCGCATAGTGAACTGCTGGCTTCCAATGTTCAACCCATACAAACCACCGGTGGTGGTGACATCGGTTAGGAAACCACCCGAGCCTACCATCAAGTCAGATTATACTCTTTCGTGCAAGGAATGAATTGCTACTGCTTACCGTTCTCGATGAAGATGCCTTGGTGCTGGGTGCCAGCACCGGAGCTCATCGCAATCTCTACATTCTGGATGCTAGTGGCCTGACCAACTGGCCAGTGGATACCAGTAGCAGCAGTAGTAGCTCCAATTCCAGTCAGGTCGATCTTCAGGTTCCGAATTTGTCTATAGAAGACATTGGTGGAGGTCCAGCCCTGGTTTCCGGAGGGCTGGTATTGGTCGCCATCAATCACACCCAGTCCAGTGAAGCCGGAAGCAGCCTTGATAACGGGAATTGAGTTGGGATTGCCAATGATCTGCGTGAAGTAGTAATCGATGATTGGGGCCGAGACAAGGTAAGTTCCCGCAGGGAAGTATACAATGGCGGGTGTGGTTGTGGAGGTCTCTCCGCCAGCAGGACCAAACCGACCGCCATCACTGATGGCCTTGTTGATGGCAGCGGTGTCGTCAGTGGTACCGTCGCCTGTTTCGAAAATAAGTCATCTATCCAGGGCAAGTTGCCTCCAATGTTCTGGTGTAAAATATACCTGCAGCTCCGTAGTCCTTAACGTTGCGGAAGACCTTGTATCCAGACGGGTCCGGGTTGAATGCCGCAACCCCTTGATGCTTGATATCCTCCAACCAGAAAGAAGCCGCATCAGCCTGTACCTTGCTGACGGCCCCTTTCAGGTGACTGACGCTGGAGGAAGGAGTGGGGGTTGCGGTGAAAGATGCACTCGAGGTACTGAACGAGTGGATCGGATGGCCTGGATGGCGGTGGTTCTCGCCACGAGCCTCGTGAGGGTGCGCCTGCACACCCGCGAGCAAGGAAAGACCAGCGATTACTTTAGCAAAGTACATGGCGTATTCGCTAAAGTGAGAGGAAGGTTCGAGGGTAATGGAGATCACGACATTCACCGGAGTACACGAATGGCGCTTCTTCATAAGTTATAACCCTTAAGGAGACGCCGCGGAATGGGGCTAAAAGGTCAATGTGATCCATGAGACGCCCTGGCACGTCCAAGCCCAAAGCCTAACCTGGAACGGAGTAAATGGCATACGCGCCTTTTCTTCTTAGCTTGAGACCTTATGTCCATATAATCCTACCCCGGAATACAACTTGAGACGGGGAACCAGATTGCAAATGACCCTTTCATTCCAGACATGACTAGGTCCAGACCAGGCCAGATCCCTTTACTTCTCGATGCCGGCATTTGGCTGTCACGCTGGCCGTCTCGCCTCATGATCTTAATGGGAGAACTGGGATAAGCCGTGTCGATCGCGCCCCAGGGGGTAACACGCCCCTGTCGATTTCCCCATCCGCAGTTGCCAATAGGAACCAGCAGAGCCACCATATCACATCATGCGTGCGATGAAATGGGACTAGGCCGGCGGGAAAGTGTACAAACGGATCAAACTGTGACTACTTGCAGAAGCTATTTAGCGCCACGCATAAGGACAACTGCGACTCAGGGGTCATGCTTAGTGTCACAGGGGTAGAGTAAGCATGCAAGCCAAATTGCGCTTGCGCTGCCTCTACGTGGATAGCCTAGTCCATGCACTAAACATTCTGAAGGATGACACCAGACTCTTGACTTTTGGTTGAACTACGACGGGCGCGCGACGGTATGTACGTCTGGGAAATGAGGTAGGATGATCAGGAGCGGGTTGCCCCGCGACTCAACACTAAAGGGAGGCTAACAGCGACTAAATGTAGAAAGCCCGATCCCGATTAGATCAAGGAACATTCGTAAAGTCAGAGGAGCCCACGATCGGTGGAGTTAGGACCGTGTCCTCGCCCCTCTCACATGTAGATCGTCCTCCAAGCTCAATCTCATGGGCTATCGTTGTCGGACGTCGAATGGCCGGTTGTTTCTCCCATAACGGGTAATAGCTGGACATGCAAATATCTTCAATGATTTCGGTCAGTTTCACCATGGTTTTGAAGATCTCTAACTAGGCAGAGCTGGTGGCTAAGGGAGGGAGATCTATGAATACCGCGTTCCATTTGCCGCTGTCATAAGGTAGAGAGGGACAAAGCCGCCGGGCGACAGCTGAAACATTTGGTCTGAGCAAACAAAAGAAGGGAGAAACTAGACTATTCTTCCCTTTCCAAAAGACTAGAGACTTCAGGTGATATATGTATATTGGCTCCGGGAGTTCATGCACGAATGTGTGCAACCACGCGATCAAAGTCGAGTCGCTGGTGCTCCGTGCACAATCGGAAGCAAACCATGTTCGGCGGGTTCAAAGACGGACTGCGCCCTGGAGGGCGAAGTCATGGATACTGCTGTCTATGGTGTTCCGTAATGCCCCATCTCATCCGGTTTCCTCGTTCTTTGGCAGCAATCCGATCGTCTGAAAGGCGAGGGGCCTCGGCCAGCACATTGTCTTTCCTTGTTTTGCGACCCCAGTGCCAAGGGCCATATCACGTGACTATGAGCATTTGCTGACTGTAAACTACCTCCGCGCATCATCAAAAAAAAAATATCCCTTCATCTCTTGAAGCCTCATCTACCCGCTCCCCTCACCTGGGTCTTTTGCTTGGACAGTCTTCTCGGATAGAGGAGCCACGTTGGTTTCTTCGAGCTTGCGTGTTCTTGGTCCTCCGGTGATTGTGGGTGTTGGCGCGACGGGTCGCGATCAGGGTCGTGTCACGGAACTGCGGCGGACCGCGAACCCTCATCCAGTCCAACTGAATGCTAGTCAACGTCTGCGCTGCCTACTCGATTGAGCATCACTTCCGGTTCCCGTGTCGCGCGTATTATTACCCTTCTTTGTTCAGCGCTAGATATCACGCTCTCCTCGAGACGAACGACTTCCTAACTCTCGACATTCGCTCAAACAACTTCACCACCTCGGCGCTCACTCAGCTCAATTGGTCTTTTGCGCGTCAAACTATAAGTCCATAATGTCTAAACGCGAGGCTTTCGGTGATCACACTCGCCGAGAGGACATGGGCGCAGGAATGGGGATGGCGAGCACACCAGATGACAAGCCCCAAAGGGCAACTGCGGCGCAAATGGCCAGCCGGAGGTAAGTACCATCTGTTTTTCTTTTTCTTTTTCTTCCCCCATTCTGTTTGTTTTCGAAGTGTGTGGTGGTGGGAGTTGGCAAGACTGGGGCTGAAGATGAGGTGGTCGCGGGGTACTCAAACATTTGATTTGGGCAGAGCTGAAGAATTGCTTATGGAGAGCATCGTGTTGGGTATCTGCCATTGCATGCTCTCCTGACACTGTGCTCGCACCTTCATTTGTTTACGTTTATTCTCACCACTTCTTCTTGTCTTCCCTTCTCCTCCACCGTTCGTATCACCCGCAAGTTTGCCGTACCAACAACTTATGCTGGGTTTGCGGATCATTCAAAACTTCTCTTATTTGCGTTACGATGCCCCTCCGGACGGATCGTGACATCTCGCCCTCTGGGCGTGCCACCAAGAAGGTACGCGTTAGAGCCGGCGAGATGCCTCCTACAGATGCCTCCCATGCCCCCGTCGAGATGCTCGCTCTAGGCCCCGAGCGTAAGGCAGATCACGCGTCAACCGAGTATGAGAAGTGCACCTTGCGTGCTGTTGTGACTCTATAGCTGACTTGACGTGTTTGAACAGAATCAAAGATCTGAAAAAGCGCCCTCGAGGTCCTACACGGGGTAATTTGTCGCAACAATCCAACCCATTTGAGACATCCGGGAACACTCAGTCTGCCCAGTCTTCTATGAGCCAGCCTACGTTCTCGTTCGGCGCTCCATCGACAGGCAACGGGCTCTTCGATAACAAACCTCAGTCTCAGCCTTCCTTCTCGTTCGGCGCCTCACAGAATGCCTCTCCTGCACCAAGTAGCGGCTTATTCGATAACCCATTCCAGTCCTCTCAAACTCAGCCTGCGTTCTCGTTCGGCGCCTCACAGAATACTGCTCCTTCAACTGGCCAAGGGCTTTTCAATAGCAAGCCTTTCCAGTCCTCTGAAACACAGCCTTCTTTCTCATTCGGCAATTCCCAGGAAGTGTCTTCCGCAACTAGTCAAGGGATTTTCGATAAGCCTGCTCAGTCTTCTGACACGCAGCCTACATTCTCGTTTGGTGCTACCCAGAAAGCGTCTCCTGCACCTAGTCAAGGGCTTTTCGATAAACCTGCCCAGTCCTCTCAACCTCAGCCTTCCTTTTCCTTCAGTGCCTCACAGAATACGTCCCCTGCCACTGGTCAAGGACTTTTCAGTAATAAGTCTTTCCCGTCTTCTGAGAACCAGCCTACATTCTCCTTCGGTGCCACCCAGAAAGCGCCGTCCACAATTGGCCAAAGCATTTTTGATAAGCCTGCCCAGTCCTCAGAGAACAAGCCTACATTTTCGTTCGGTGCCTCACAGACCGCGCCTTTTACTACTGGTCAGGGACTTTTCGATAAGCCCGCCCAGTCCTCAGAGAACAAACCGACATTTTCGTTCGGTGCCTCACAGACCGCGCCTTCTACTGCTGGTCAGGGAATTTTTGATAAGCCCGCCCAGTCCTCAGAGAATAAGCCTGCATTTTCGTTCGGTGCCTCACAGACCGCGCCTTCGAGTACTACTGGCCAAGGACTTTTCGATAAGCCTGCCCAGTCCTCTGAAACCCAGCCTACATTCTCGTTTGGCGCCTCACAGAACCCGTCTCATGTAACTGGCCAAGGCGTTCTCGATAAGCCTGCCCAGCCTCCTAATATGCAGCCTACGTTCTCATTCGGCGTCTCGCAGAACGCATCTCCTGCGTTTGGTCAGGGGCTCAACGGCAATCCTTTCCAGTCTTCTCAAACACCTCCTACATCCTCATCCAACGCTCCGCAGAACGCGACTCCTACGACTGGCCAAGGGCTTTTCAGCCAGCCCGTTGCAGATAGTGCTCCCACTGCAGCCAGTCCCCCGGCTGCAACCAGTGCTCCCGCTGACTGCATGCAAATGTCTCCGGACGCGAAACCTCAGTCAACGCTTGCCAACCCATCGTCTTCATTCCCGAGTCGAAACATTTTTGGGGACTCGAACGCATCTCAATCGTTCTCTCCGGAGCCTTCTCCGCAACCCAACAACCCATTTGCGGGCATAAATTTGGCTCCCAAGCCTTCGGAGGCTGAAGTTCCTGTTCCTGCAGCAGCCTCCGCTGTGGATGCGTCCGCTCTTACCCCTCCTATCGCTTCAGATCCTTTGCCTAAACACCCTGCTCCTCAAACTGTGAAAGAGCAAATCGCCAGTATCCCCACGCCTGCCTTTGATGATGATATCAGTCAACAGGCGAAGGATAAGTGCGAGCTCGAGTGGAAAAAGCGGACATTAGATTTGGCTTTCAAGCACCAAATTGCGTCGATTGATCCTGGTACCCACACTTTTGACAATACTATCGCGTTCTACCTGAAAGTCCGTGATGCCCTGGGTAAGCCGCTTGTATTAGACGAAAGTCTTCGATACAACATGCAAGATGCTCGCCCTGAGAGTACCGAGCCCGCCGAATCTGAATTGGACTCTGAGGTCGCCACGCCTTCCGTTGTTGAGGAACCGAAGAAATCTGACACTTCGAGCATATTCGCGAAGTCATTCATGTCACCTATCTCTGCACCTAAGTCTGATACTAGCACCGCTCTAGCTCCAGCACAAACTGCTGATGCTAGCCGGAGTCTCTTCGATCGCATCACCCCAGCACCTCCCAAAGCCCCAAATGAGCCGGCCAAAGCCGCAAACCCCTTTGCTCATCTGACCGGGGCGACCGGCCTTCCCCGGCCTCCTACCTTCCCATTATCTTCTGGCGTGGACTTTTCAGCGCAGTTCCAGCAAAAGGCCAAAGAAACTGAAGCCGAAGAGAAGCGGAAGCGCAAGGCCGAGGACTACGACTCCGACGAGGAGGATGAAGCCGAGTGGGAGCGGCGAGATGCCCAGAAGCAGCTTGAAAAGCGCGCCAAGTTTGAGGGTGAGGCCCGCAAGAAGACTGTTTGGGTGGAGGGCGAAGGCTTCAAATTCGTTGAAGAAGAAGCACAGTCCCCATCACCAGTCGCTCCTGCCGGCTCCACCCTATTTGGTCGTGCTTCTCCCGCTTCTCAGGACGTCGGCGCGACGAACCCATTCGCTCATCTCTCTGCGAAAGCCGTCCCATCTCAGCCGGGGAAAGCGACGGAGAAGGCGGATGAAAAAGCTTCCATGCCACCTGCTTCTCCCGCTACAAACCCATTTGCCCAGCTCTCCGCGAACGCCGTCCCGTCTCAGCCGGCAAAACCGACGGAGAAGGCGGATGAGAAAGCTTCAATGCCATCTGCTTCTCCCGCTACGAATCCATTCGCCCATCTCTCTGCGAAAGCCGTCCCCTCCCAGCAGGAGAAGGCAGTTGCGACACCTGCTACCGGCGCCACGAACCCATTCGCCCATCTCTCTGCGGCTGTTCCCTCCCAGCCGGAGAAGGCGGTTGAGAAGGCGGTTGAGAAGGCAGATGAGACTTCCACCGAACCCGCAGGTGAAGATGATACCTCTGCTGGGTCTGTGTTCAAGGGCCTGGCTAATGAAACGGCTGGAGAAGAAGACGAGGACCTCGTCTACACCTGCCGTGCCCGCGCCTTTAAGTTGGAGACGGGCTGGACTTCTCAGGGTACTGGAGTTGTTAAACTCCTGAAGCACAAGACCACCGGGCGATCTCGCATTGTCCTTCGCATCGAGCCCAGTGGTAACATCGGTCTGAACACGTTTTTGAAAAAGGAGTTCGACTACCAGAAGTCGGGTAATTCCGTCCAATTCATGGTTCCAGTTGCTGATGGAGCGCCAGAGCACTGGGCGATCCGCACGAAGGCAGAGTTTGTCCAAGAGTTCCACGAGAAGATTGAGGAGATAAAAAATTAAGCTTAGGACCTTTTCATGTACAATAGAAGAGCAATGAGAATTCGAATTCGACTGATAATGTTCAACCAAGGCTTTTACCCCGCGGGCAATCTTGATTATCGACGGAAGGCCTTGGTCTTGGTCTTGATCTTGAGGAGTTCACGGCGTCTGCCCGTGAAAACTGGGAGTACTGATTCTCACGCCTGATGAGTTCTGATCATTGGCAGCACCGGGATACCTACCCTTCTCCTTCTCCATGCAATATGCCAAATATCTCCCTCGCCCCCGCCCGGCCCACATTTCAGCAGGTGACCCCAAAGGACAACGCCCACTTTACATTGTCAAGTGGTTAATTTGGCATAATAGCCTTTGAAAGCCAGCGGGGCTCAATTTGGCAAGTTGCATATTTCTGGGCTTTCGGATTGGGTGTTCCGACGGCAACTTGCACCGAACCGTGAGATCATAGGGATTACTCAAAGGGGGACGATAGGCTCGATTGAACATTCCACCGTATCTAGCAAAATGGACCGTCGCGCCAATTAGCAAACTTGACAGGCACTTGTCATTTTTCGGCACATTCTTCTCAAATAGATGCCGGAGAATCCAGCAAAAATGCCTATGGTATACTATGGATCGCGCCTTTATCGGACCGGACATGGAATTGCAACTGAAACTAGCTTCAACCCTCCGAGTGCGCTTTTTACAGGCCCGTTTTGCTTTGGGCCGTGTTTATCTCCCGCTCCTTCACCTGTCAACGAGTTTTGCCTTGCAAAGTCCCCCAATGCCAAAGCGACCAACACCCCATGGCCCATCCTCGAAGCCAGGGTCTAGTGGGGACAATTGGAAGGCTCTCACCAAATACGAGGAGATCATCATTCTGCGACTTTGCTTAGAATTCCGCTCTCTCATCAAGGTGGACAGCTATAGCTTATTCTATCAATCTGTCGCTCAAGCTTTTACAGAATCACAATGCCTTCCATATTTATACAGCGCAAGCGCTGTCGAATTGTTTGTGGCCTTCAACATGAGCAAGCGAAGGGAATCTCATAGAGACTCAAAGACGCCGTCGCGCAGCTCTAATCAGCTCGATGAGCTGCTCGACCAATTAATCCTATACATCGACCAAGTTGAACGAGCTGGACCAATGGCACATCCTCGAGACAAAAAGTCCGATTCACATCTGAGGCGTAAGTATTCCGAAGCCGTTCCTTCGAGCTACGGCACATATTCACAGGTCTAGGATCAACTGTATCGGTCGAATTTCCCACCAGCCTTCTCAGTTCGCCAACTGATAGGACGCAATCGAATAAATCCCCTTCGACTCGAAATCCAGACGCTGAGACGGCCCATGCTCTCGAGTCGCTTTTAACCGCCATCATGAACAAAGACACTCGAACTGAGAACAAAATCAGTAAAATTGAAAGAAAAATCAGCAGTCTTGAAACGTCACTGCTGGACATCAACACCAAACTGGATTTCATGTTGGAGCGATTAGACCGTCGAGGAGCTGACTTTCAGCCATCTTGATCAAGCCTTTGGTTGAGTGATCTGAGATATTTTCCTTCCGCATCTAAATGCTCCGCGCACGATATGCCGTTCCGTTCTCTGTTCAGCACATGGTTACTCTATACAGCACACATCACACGGTACTTCACTTCGATCAGCATACGACTTGATCGCACTGCCGATAGTAATATATCAGATTCTACAGGTAAATCTTGATAATACATTGCTACCATTCCAGTATATTGAGGACTTGGAACTTGAGCTGAGCCTTGTTCGTCTGGTTTAGAGGTTTTTCTGTCGTATGGTAAAAAGGGTTGGTTCTATAGCTATACTCCTCTCCCTTGGCCCAGCTACAACCCCAATACTACTCCGGCTTCATCTCGTTGTAGACTTCAACAAGAGGTGGCGGGAAATATGATTTCTACAAGAACATGAGAACAGAACAGGAAAGGCTTAATAAAACCAATTTCGATCGTAGATAGTTACACAATGACAGTTACTCAAAACGATGAAAAGATCCCCTTCGATACCCTGCCGCTGGTTTCAAAAGGCTCTCCTGGCAAATTCTGGGGTTTTTTTTTTTTTGAAAAGGAAGACGAACTTGGTACTCAATCTAGTAACCACAGGTGGTCGTTGAAGCCGCAAAAGGAGATCAAGACCGGCATTCGCATTTCTCCTCACTCGCCGTTCAAACATGTCAACACACCCCAGCTTCAGTAGCGATCCATTGAAAGCACGAGTTATTTCTACGCAAGCCGAACTGCATCTATGACGCTGATCCTGGATTCAATATCCATAGTTGGGGTTTAGCTGGATGGGTTACTTCGATCGGAGAGCAGTTTGATCTTGAAAAAGCTGTCTATGCATTGCAAAGCAACGGATAGGTATAGCTTTTCCCTATCAAGTACACCTCTGAAGGTCCCGGGAGGGGTTGCGAGCTCGCGAAATTCTTTTGCTATCATTTGTAACTAATTCTCCTAATTACAGTACCTATTTAGGTTATTTTCTTAATAGTGTATATTGGGTCAAGTTACTTCTCTCTGCGTTAGCGCATATTTTGTGCCGAACACATAAACTGGCAGCTCTCACTGGTGTGTTACACTGGCGTCGAAACTGGGTGAAGGCTTCGATGGTATCACAACCCCCGCACTCTCTGGCAATAGTCAGTCTTTGAATGTCACAGTGCCGGCGCACGTGAGGAAATTTCAGAATATGCGTCTGCATGACTGATGACGCCATGGGATATCGCCAATGTACCGTATCACTTTGCCGAGACGGCTTTAACGTATAGATGTAAGAATTTGTATCACTTGGCGGGATTAGGGTGACCTTATTCTTTGTGCCAAAAAGTATACTACAATTATCACGAATTGATGCGAAGCCACTAGTACCCTGGCTATACTCGTCCCATCCTTTATTCTTCCATCCCAAGTGCTATGCTTTAGTACTAGTACTACTTGTACGAGATCCCACTACTATTCGACCTATGGATGGCACTGGGCTAGGACTACTAGTGCGTACCAGTATTACTCGGTTTATTCAAAAGCAAAGGCAGGGTTTCGTGTCCCGAATGACAATTGAGTTCCTTCGGCGATATAACATGTATCATTGTGAAGTGGTATTAAGCTGACATGACTTGCCAGATGTGAATGTAGACATTTGGATGCTAAATCTCGAAAATTCCGACGTAGGACAATGTTCATGTCCACGAATACTTCCATACTGACATCGGGAGAAATACCCTATTTCCATTGCCATGCTTGGGGTACCATTGGGGAGTACCGTACAATCCAAGGTATACTACACATCCCCCAGTAGAAGGTGACCAGCTATAAAAGCTCTCGTCTACCTCAATAGCCCATATCGCGCAGCATAGGGTAGTCTCTACCAAACGAATATTCATGTAAGTCACAGACTATTCTTTCCGGACTTACAACCTCTAATTTGAGCTTATGAGTTAGGTACTGAGCTTGTTTAACGAAAATCCACCATGCACCTTGGTTACTTTCTCACCCTCGTAGGGTTGGCAAGATCTGCCTTTGGCACTGCCATCCCGAAGTCTGGTTCGTGTAAGTAACCCGTCATATGAGCTAGAGCTAAGGACATTGAATAGGCTTTGAAATCGTCGCACGAGATGAAGAAGTGCACACTGGCAATCCACCACCCGGTGGTCCTGGAGGACCTCCCGGTGCGCCTGGAGGTGGAAACCCGGGAGAGCCTGGGGGTGGCGGACCCGGAGGATGGCCTGGTGGTGGTGAACCCGGCAGTGGACAGCCAGGTGGGGGATGGCCCGGTGGTGGAGGTGGCCAACCAGGCGGTGGGTGGCCTGGGGGTGGTGGAGGTGGAGGACAGCCCGGTGGTGGACAACCAGGTGGAGGGCAGCCCGGTGGTGGACAACCAGGTGGAGGGCAGCCAGGCGGAGGACAACCTGGCGGAGGACAACCTGGCGGAGGACAACCTGGCGGTAGATGGCCCGGCGGTGGTGGACCTGGTAGACCATGGCCCAGTGGAGGCCCCGGCGGAAGCCCTACCAAGGTTTCTGATAACCATTGAGCACAAAATTATCTGGTCCTGACTTATAATTTCATAACTGGAGATCCTAAAGATACTACTAGGTACCGCAGTGGTCAATTCTCCTGGGGCAGCTCTGGATACTCATGAGTTATTGAGTATGTTCAATCCAACTTTAGGACACTGAGGCTTTTAGCTTTACAAAAATAAATGGATGATATCTACCATGTTCATAAATCGACATTTATTCTTAGAGGGTAGACTAGAGCGCGCTATGTAAACATGGTAGAATGCGACGCACTTCTAAACTAGAGCAGTCCCTTCTAAGCGTGGGTAACTTTGAGGCCCACTTCCTTGAAAATGCCTGCTCACTGAAGAGACCATGATGTCCCTCTGGATAGCAACCTCTGGATAGCAATACATGAATCTCTAAACTCGAGGGCAAAGAAAGATATAGGCAGCATCTTCCATCTATATCTCGGCCCGGTCGAATGATGTTCCGGACAGCAGCCCCCTCAGGACTTCGCGGGGGAGAGCACTTCACAATTCCTCTTTGGAAGTGGCAATTCCACCCTGACTGTGGGTTTGTTGGGAAGAGCTATGGATCATATCCCTTTAATTGAGGGCGCAAGTCCGAGGGCTTGCCCCCGCTTTTGGGTAAGGTGTCCCTGCACTGCCCGCGAGCGCGCGCTTAACTGACTAATGATGTGATGTAACTAATAGGATGTGGAAAATGCGAGAGTGTCCCCATGTGCATTGCCGTACTTGGTGATATTACCAGCGACAGTGGCATTTGTTTTTGCCCTTGCGCACGCTGTTTCGCCTTTTCTCTTGCCCTGGCGTCCTACCTGGGCTGTCCCATTCCTTTCAGAGTCCAATGAACACTATGCAGGCTGCACGGAAGACGCCAAACCCACTTTAAAATGGACTATCATTCTTCTTATCCTCTCTGCTATCGGATTGCTGGCAGAGACAGTCCAATGTGTCCCACCGAATGTCGACCTTCCATCTTTTGCTCTTGTTGTTTCATGGGTAAGTCCTCTATGCATTCCGAGTATTCCTTTCGTTAATAGAACCTTAGGCAGCAATATGTCTTTTACTCTCTGTCAAGAGACCGCGATCGTGCTCCGCTTGGATGATGTTTTTTGTTCTGGATTTCGTAGTCGAGGCTATCTTAGCCACTCAATCGCTTCCAGGACTTGGTTTTAAAAGAGTTGCCCGTTTCATCTCTGCCACGGCAGCCCTGAGTGGTACTGCAACTGTTCTGTTCATGCCATTCCGGCATCCATCGCTTCCGCAACTCGATATTAGCACTGTTGGACAACCCCCATCGAGCAATTTCCGTAGTCCGGAGGACAATCTGCGGCTTTGGCAGTTTCTAACTGTCTCCTGGATGGAGCCATTGATTTCTTTAGGCCGGAAAAGGAAGCTTAATGAACCTGATGTCTGGCTCCTCGGGTTTGAATTCCAACATGAGCGCCTAAACGAGAAGTTCCGCCAGTTGAAAGGATCTGTTCTTGGTCGAGTCCTGAGAGCGAATATCGTGGACGTTTTCATTATTTTGGCAGTCGCGGTCGTCCAAATAGCTTGCGGTATATCCTCCTGGCCCACTACGCCCTATTATCACGTCTAACATTCTACCCAGAACTTTCGACCCCGGTTCTCCTGCAACAGCTTCTCCGGGCGATGGAGGACCCCGGCAAATCAAAGCGCATACCATTGACCTACGCGCTTTTCTGGCTTCTGATCCGACTCATTGCCACCCAGTCTCAAGTTCTAAATATTTGGTACGGCCGAAGATGCTACGAGAGATCCAGAGGGGAGATGGTGATGATGGTATACGAGAAAGCACTCTCTCGGAAAAATATCCTTGGCATAAGACTCGATGGTCCAGAAGACCGTGACGGTACGGCGGACGGCGAAGGCGCTGCATTGCCGGTTAGTAAGAGACGAAAACTTTGGGGCTGGCTCCCTTTTGTAAGGGACACGCCAAAAGAAAAACCTGCGAAAGAGGCTGCTTCACTAGGAAAGATATTCAATCTCCTTCGGGGTGATGTGTATGAGGTTGCACAGCGATTCTGGGAGGTGGGTGATCTGATTGACAAGCCTGTCGGGTTGATGTTTGCCATTTTCCTAGTGTGGAGACTCTTTGGCCCATCCTGCTTCCTAGGCATCGTCGCCGTTCTAGTGGGACAAGTTTTAAATGCAGTCATCACTCGGTACCTCCTCCGATGGGAGAAGATCAGACGTGCAGCTACCGATGCTCGGCTCCAAATTACTTCACAATTCGTCGAAGCCATCAGACACCTGCGTTGGTATGGATGGCAGGATCATTGGCTTCGTCAAGTCATGGATTCTCGCCAGCATGAATTAAATTTACGAATCGTCACCGCTTTGTGGAGTATCCTAATTCGTTTTGTCAATGCTTTTGCTAGCGGTGTCTTCCCCGTCATTGCACTGTACGCCTACACTATGCTTGCAGGAATGAGCTTCGTATTGATGTCATTTTCCCCGCTCTGCAACTTTTTACCATGCTGGAAACGCGGTTGCGCGATATTCCTAGCCTGATCACATCTTTTATCAATGCTACTATTGCACTAGGTCGAATTGAAGACTTCATGTCAGAGCCAGACAAAGCACAGCTGCCTTTAGATGGTCGAGCACAAGACTCTCATTTCGAGATGCAGTCATGCTCGTTTGCATGGCCAGGAAAATTAACTCCCGTTCTGAAAGATGTGTCCATACAGATTCCAACTGGACTGACTGTCGTCACCGGCAAAGTTGGCGCAGGCAAAACAGCCCTGCTGCAATCTTTTCTTGGGGAGCTAGATCTAATTAGTGGTCAATCGAAAGCCCCCAGTGAGATGATAGGCTATTGTTCTCAAAGCCCCTGGCTGCAGAGCATGAGCATCCGTGACAATATCCTCTTCTCAGCCCCTTATCAAGACGAACGATACAAGCGGACATTAGAAGCTTGCGCCCTTTTGCCCGATCTGTCTCAGTTCAAACACGGTGACCTCACTTTCATTGGTGAAAATGGCGTTGGTCTATCGGGTGGCCAAAAGGCCCGAGTCGCCTTAGCTCGAGCTGTGTACAGTTCCTCGCGTATTCTTCTTCTCGATGACCCAATCTCTGCATTGGATCATAATACCGCCGAGTTTGTCATCCGGAAATGCTTCGCAGGTCCTTTAATGCAAGGCCGCACGATCGTCCTTGTGACCCATCGTACAGCTCTCGTCAAGGCCATTGCCGATCAAGTGCTTGAAATTAAAAGCGGATTTGTTACGGTCTACGATAAGGCAACCATGTCAAACATACTAGGCGAAGACGACACCGATATTTCCCATAGTAATCACGGCGACGAGGATCTCCCAGGTCTGGAGGATGAAGCGAATGCAGTTCCAGACAAGTTCATCGAGGATGAACATCGAGCGGAATGGGGTGTTCAGGCGAGGGTCTACTGGAATTACATCAGAGCTGGCAGATATCGCTGGTGGATCACACTTGTGCTGGTCTTGACCGTGTACCGCTTATCAGCTGTTGGGCAGTCGTGGTTCCTCAAGGGCTGGGGAGAAGCCTACAATCGCTCGCAGTCTTCGCTCTTCGAGGTTGGGAATTCGAATCAGCATTCTTCCATGATTCATTTTAGCCCTTTTATGTCGACCATCGAAGGCTCCTTTTTGCCTCAAGATCCCGTCCGAGCATTACCCTCCCCACGCGATGACGTTCGGCCTTGGCTATGGACTTTCTTCGCCATTGTCTCGTTCCTATCGGTCACCCTTCTCATTTCTCAATTACTTATGGTAGTCGTGGTCTATTGTGCCGGCAAAACACTGTTCCACCAGGTCATAGTTCGGGTCAGCCATGCTACTTTTCGGTTTTTCGATGTCACCCCCGTTGGGCGGCTCATGAACCGTTTGACATCGGATATTGGTGTGGTTGATGGGAATATCAGCGAACAGTTCCAGGCTATTGCTTTCCAGGCAATTACCTGGGTCTCGTCCATCCTGGTAATTGCTAGTGCGACGCCCACGTTCTTGGTGTTTTCGCTCATCTTAAGCACGGCCTTTGTGATGATCTTCCTGCGGTTCCTGCCGACTTCCCAAAGCCTCCGACGGCTGGAGATGGTCTCTCTGACGCCGCTATTGTCGAATTTTGGCGAATTATTAAATGGACTGACCACTGTCCGAGCCTTCCGTGCCGAAGAGCGCTTCCAGAACCGGGTCATATCTGTTGTTGACAAATTTCAAGGGATGGATCATTTCTACTGGTCCCTGCAAGCGTGGCTGATGTACCGATTTGAAGGCCTCTCGGCCCTGTCGACATTTTGTCTCACTGTCCTGGCCCTGTACACTAACACAACCCCAGGCCTTATTGCCTTTGTGCTTTTCGCCGCTAACGCCTTCGTCACCTCGACCCATGCTCTTTGCAAACAATATGGCCAACTTCAGATGGATTTTGTGTCCGTAGAGCGAGTAGATGAGTTACTTCACATTGAGGAGGAGCCACCGGGAACGATCGATCCTCCAGCTGCATGGCCAACCTATTCCAGCGATATCATTTTTGACGATGTATCCATTCGCTATGCGCCACATCTCGAGCTTGCCTTACAGAATGTCTCTCTTCGCATCCCTGGCGGATCTACCACTGCCATCATCGGCCGAACAGGTAGTGGTAAGTCTACCTTGGCTGTTTCTTTGCTCAGTGCCATACGGCCAGAAACTGGACAGATCCTGATGGACGGCATCGACATTGCCAAAGTCAACACCCAAGCGCTTCGGACTAGAGTTACATTTGTCGCTCAAGATCCCGTTCTTTTCCCGGGGAGTATCCGCCTCAACCTCGATCCCACCGAAACCTTCTCCGATAGCCAATGTGCGGATGTCCTGGACCGCCTATGCGGTCGGCACGGCTGGACTCTCGAGACTCAAATTGAAGCCGGAGGTCGCAACCTCAGCCAGGGACAGCGTCAGCTTATCGCTCTCACTCGGGCCGTGTTGCGACGCAGTCCTGTTGTCATCTTTGATGAAGCGACGGCCTCCATTGATCATGAGACCTCGCTTGAGATCCAGCAGATTGTTCGTGAAGAGCTCGAACAGTCTACTGTGATCACTATTGCTCACCGCGTCGAGGCCGTGAAGGATGCGGAGTATTATGTGGTCCTCGATCATGGAAAGGTTGTTCGCCAAGGGGATGTGCGCGACGGCAAGGTGCACAATTTCTGAGATAGGACTACATTCGGATCATCTAGCAACAAATAGAAGGTTTGTTTGTACAACGTCTTTCACTCGTAGCAACGTACGCTATTCAAGGACTCCCATGGACGGCCATGTAACCAAAAAGCCATTGTGTACATATTTCTCAAATGTCGATGGGTATCTAATTCTTTACAGCTTGGCCTTGCTCTGGGCCTTCTTGAGGACGGGCTCCATCTTGGTAGCCTTCATAACGTTGCCCTTGATCTTCAGCTTGCCGCCCATGAACAGGCGCTGAGCGTTGGCCTTGCCGGAGACGAGAGAGGCGAAGTCTTCGTCGGAGAGTGAGAGAGTGACTGTTGTGATGAAAAGAGTTATTAGCGTCCCTGCCATCTTAACGCCGGGATGTGGATAAACTCACCATCAGCCTTGCCTCCTGGGGGAGTGGCGCCCTGGCCAACCTCACCCTTGTCCTTCAGGTCGAGGTACCAGCTCTGCTCCTCACCGCTGGAGTTCTTGATGTTGAAAACGACGATAGTCTTCGCCTTGCTGATGGCGTCCTTGCGCTCCGCCTCGTCGGACTGCAGGGCGGAGTTGATCGCGTCGAAGGCGGCGGAGGAAGGGTGGGAATCTGTCTGGGTCAGCGGATTTCAACGAATGGGATACGGTACGGCGCTACCTTTCTTGAGAGACATGGTGAAGATTGTTGGATTGACGGGGAGGAAAGGGGGAAGAAGCTCAAGGCCAGGTTATAAGGGACGATGATGAAATAAGGCTCCGGAGCCTCGGCTTACCCACCGCTTCACATGTTGTCCAGCAAACCCCCGTGTTTCCCCACACGCGACCGAGGGAGCTCGATTTGCTGCCACAAGCTTGCAATTTACGTGCTTTTTCAAGGCACAAGGCCCGTGATCTACCTTTATCCCCATGTGGCCCCCCCGATGTGACTACCCCCGTACCTTCCTGACATCTCAGGAGTTGAGAAGTGGATCTGGCCGGACCCAATCCCTGACCTCACGGATCCGGTAACCATCGCGACGCTATAGTCGGACCACGATCGTCGCTGCTTTCCCCCTACAGAGCCACTCTCCACTAGTCCCCGCTTAATTCATACCCACGCGCCGACGCCGCCAGCCACTTCACATGATTCCGACATGCCCCAGCGCCTATTTGGGTATCTGGTCACTCTGCGCTTGTGTTTTTGTCCTTGCATCGCCCCGGTACCTCGCTCCATTTGCCACACGTCGGTTGGCGGGCTGAGAACAATGGGTGCCTTGGAAGAACTGCTGTCATGATGTTTTATCATTGTGCGCCATCGCTACGCTCGTTTAAGGCCGCAAACGCGTCGTCCCAGGTCCCGGCTCGGATACCTTGAAAGCCCATCACGCGCAAGGTCTGCTTATGGTCATGAATAGAGGAGGCTATCTGCGACAGATCCATGAAGGCATTGCGAACTTCCATTGTGCAACAAAACGTTCGGCTCTTTATCCCAGTGAAAGGCAATTTTTTGCAGCCTGGGAAAGCTCTGAAGATACACCTGGATGGTCGGTTGGCATGCTAGCCCGATGGGCACAGCTATCTATATGAATCGTGAGGTGTCGAATCTGCAGCCATCTCTTTCTCGAGGTGAGCGAAGCACCATATGATAGAGTTGGTCACAGGTATGATAGAGCCCCTGCGTGAACCAGTCAAAGGGACATGCTGCGCAGTAGCAGTAGATTGGCCCTGCTCTACTGCAATTCGCAGTGATATCAGCGCGTAGTCCACCACGTTTCGGCGATATCGGTGGCCCGAAAGTTGACCTCCGAAGACGACCTTCGGATGGCTTAGACCTCCCATCAACGATAACGCGTGGAAAAATGACGGCACATCTGTGGCGGCATGGCACAAGGGAAGGATCGCTCGACTAGTAAAGAGGTGACTTTTCGATTGCCGTGCCGCGGGCCACTGCATGAAGCATTTGGTCGCCGGAGTGTGCAGGCAAAAAGATTACTCCGTGCCGGCACCATCGATTACTGGTGGCAAGAATGTCTCTGCAGAATGTGGGATCTTGAACATCAGGGTGTGGATGTGCCTCCTCATGCGCACGAGCGCTGCGATGCACGACAGCCGAGTCAATAAGCAAGATCGATGGGGTCGTTGCAAAGACTGACAATGCTAACCGAACTGCGAGATCTCGACACTCCAGGCGATATGCAAGGTCTTCCTCTTCCAAGAACTGTATGAGCCTGTAAAAGACTCGGCGGCTCGTCAAAAGCTCCAGCAAGATGTTTTTCACCATTATACTTCATTGGTGTCTAGGCGCAATCAAAAGATTTGCTCTATTGAAGCTCTGGCCAGGGCCCGAGGACTGTGAGTCCTGAAACTGACCATATTTCGCTTGGCGTACCTTGCCCTGCCCCCTTTTTACTTTCTACTGATATTTGCAGCGCGACATGGCTGATCGCATATGTGCTGGCATTGGACTGTTGGGATCTCAGCTGCAAAAGCAGCTCGTGAATCATCGAGGCCGTTGAACAAGCTTGAGTCTACAGGATCAGAATCAAATATAGACCACGTGTCTGCCCGGGTGCCTTAAAATGCAATTGACTAGGACTTATACATGTCCGTAAGCGTATGAATCGGGGTGTTTATCTTTACATCATTGCAAACTCCCAGCCATAAATAGCTGGCCTGGTGCAAATTCCGTGGGTGATCCCATCCTGTAGACCCTGGTTTTCCCAACTACACAGTGCGAACCTGTAGTGAGCAGTCAATCGCGGCAAATCCTCTCGGCTTGAAGAAGGCTTGCCCATATCCCTCTTGCTGAATTAAGGAGTTTATTGCCATTGAAGGGGAATTTGGCTTAGCAGAAAGAACTTTGCAAGTCGATCATACCAGCACGCCACGTAGGCCAACAAGTAGGCAATACAGCAACTGGGGACATCCAGAAAATATTAAATGCACATTGAAAACATTTTCCCATTTATTTCATCTAAATCCTGGTTCAATCCTGCTAGACTGTATACCAAGCCGTACTGTGCTAGGACAAGGTTTGGTCTGTTTGCAATGTTTACACTGTTTGCCCTTTGTCTGCGCATGGTGATAGCGATAACAATATAAAAAAACAACAAATTCGTCTCAGCCAGTCTTTGCACTCAAGGACAAATTGGAATCTTGATGGGAATCTGTGGTCGTATTCTATCCCGCTGTTAGATCGTATGCCACACTTTATGTTGTAGTTTGCAGACCCGGAGATAAGTTTCGTCTCTTCGGACAATACGGAAGCCGCTGTACCTGAAAATATTTATTTAGCCGCCCTGACAAGAATTAGCATCGCGCTACGCAGCTCGACACTTAGGCCAATCTCGCCGGGACCTTCGAGTGTCCTGTTACCCGGGTGGCGCCCGATTCGCCTTGCGGCTCCAGATTGACCCAGAACGCCCCGGACTCTCCATTCTTCGTCCCGCCGCAGTTCAAGTCATCGTCCCCCTCCATCGCATCTTCAAACACGATCCTTCCTCCTCCGCCCAACCTCCCCCTCCCCCGGCGACGCGATCTGGTCCGAATCTTACCCGAATATTTTACGCCTTGATCTGTCTTGTTCCTCGTGCATCCTGCAAGCTACAAAGGACGCGCGCGTTTGCCCGTGCAAGACTTTCTGCTCAACCTTGGTTGAAGAAGACCCGTCCATTCCACAGCCTTCGTTCCTGACTCGCTCACCTGGGCTGACCTGCGACGAGATTTCTGCAACTGAAACCTTCAGTTCTCCTATCCCCTGCGCATGTCGTCCTCCCACTGCGTCAACGGCGAACGGTCACTTGGGGGTATCACGTCACTTTGCGCCAGTGTTGCCTAGCTTCAACAACCCCATTTTTGCCCCTCAAAGGCCTGTACATTTGCGCTCCTCGAACGATATCAGTTTCATGCCTGAGTTATTTCTGCAGACAACGTGTCCGGAGGCATTTGACGGGGGTGCCCGCGGGTTGTTCTTTCTGGTCAATACCTTACCGTAACTGGATACTCTGAGAATCAATTATCGCCTGGTCTCTGTAGTCTTCCAATCACACTTCGAGTCTGCCTTTCATGATCGCCTTGGTATTAGAAGCACTCAAACCGCTTCTCTGAGAGTTGAGACTGCCTCCATTTTTTCGATATTTCCGGTTATCGCCGCTTGGTTCGCCCTTGCAACAACCTCAGCTCTCACACTTCTCAGCTCTCACACTTTCAGGCGGCTCAAAGCTACCTGGTGTGTCGGTCAGCATGCCCTCAGCCATGGTGAACGAAAACGAGGTCGAGCTCAGCAACATTCTTGAGGAGATCGAGACCTACAAATGGATCCTCGAGAGTTATGCTCCAAACGAAACAGCCAACATCGAAGACACCAAAAGGACAATCAGGGAATTGGAGGCCAAAGTGCGCCAGCTCTGTGGCGAGCCTTCTCCAGTTCCAGAAACAGCTCCTCCTTTGACCTCACCGCCGCGATCGATGGCTGAAACACCTCGGTTAGCATCACAGGTTCCACAAATGACCCCATCTCCTCATCAAACCCGGACCATTCCTTTACCACAGACATCCGGACATTGGCCGTCTTCTGCCCCTTCTCCTTTTGGAAACCCGCCTATACCTGCCAGCGGACAGAATGGGTGGTCCTTTGCCAATATACCTTCTCGGTCTTCAGCTGTCGATTCTCCCCGTAAAAGAGACCGCCAGGATTCTTTTGAGACCTCTACCCCTAGCCAGTCTGTCAAAAGGACAGCTGTGAACCCAGCGCTGTCTCGTGTGGATGCTATCAAAAAGGAACTTGCCATGCAGTTGGAGAACAACGTCAAGATCCATGCTGATATGAGACACCCTGATGCAGTCCGGCGAACTGCTGAGTTTGAGGACAAAAGTGAGGCTGAGGTCCTTGACGAGATCGACGCGGAGGAGGAAGAAAGTCGGCGAACGATCGAGCTCAAATATCAAATGGAGATTGACGAAGCATATGCTCGATCTTTACAGGCACAGTACCTGGTGCCAGGGCATGATCCAGAGTCTGAGTTGCCCTTACAGAACACTCTGAGGCGGTCTGCTCTACCACAGCCTCAGCAGTCCTACCGATCATCCTCCCAACCTTATTCATCCACCAGTCTACGTAGCGATGCTTTTCACCGTGGAATGTCACCTGTGGCTGACTCTGACGATGGATTCGATTCTTCTGACAGTCTGGAAGAGATTACCCCAGATGCCTGGAGATCTCGGTTTGGGGCTCCAACTATGCCTGGAGGTTATCCCCCCAAATCCGAGGCCACCATCTCACCCTCTTCCTTTGCCCTCGCAACTGATACCAGGTGGTCCGTACTCTAGCTATTTTCCGACGATGCATCAACCGACCCACAAAGACCCGTTGAGGGACGCTCTCGGGATGCCCCGGAGACTTCCATGGATGTATGATCGTAGGAATCTCTCATTCATGCAGGACCCAGCTCGCACAGCCCATCCTGAAATGAAGGTCTTCGATGCGATTCGCGAGCAGCAGGATATGGATGAAGATGCGATCGACTTTGAGTACGTTCTCCTCAGCTCTTCTAACAGTTCTCCCCCTAGGTACACATAGTTAACTTCTCGAGCAGGATGTACAAAGAGGAGGACTTCCCAACAGACATCAAGACTCTTCTCACGGGCATTAAGGATATCAACAAGGCAACCAAAGCTGATACTGACGCCGGACCTTCTGCACTAAAAGTGACTCTGATGAAACATCAAAACATTGGGTTGGCATGGCTCAAGGCCAAAGAGGATAGCACTCATAAGGGAGGAATCCTCGCAGATGACATGGGCCTCGGGAAAACCATCCAGGCCATCGCGCTGATGGTAGCACGGCCATCCACAGATCCAGAACGGCACCCTACCTTGATTATTGCACCAAAAGCACTCATGGAACAATGGCGGTTGGAGATCGGCCGTCATGTCAAGCCTGGGTTTCACCAGCTAAAAGTATTGATCTACCATGGCGCCACGCGTAATACTCCCTGGAAGGAGATTGCACAGCACGATGTCGTGATCACGACTTTTGGTACCCTAACTGCCAATCACAAGATGTACCTCCAAGCAGATGAGCTTGAACGGCAAGGTAGGGACGTCAGCATAGTCGCAGCAACTCGTGAGAAAGCAACGTTCTTCACCCCTAAGAGCTTATTCCACCGGGTGATTATCGACGAAGCCCAAAATATCAAGAACCCAGCTTCCAAAGGGAACCAGGCATGCTGTGCATTGGACTCTCAATTTCGCTGGTGTTTAACCGGTACACCAATGATGAATCGGCTAGAGGACTTCCAAGCATTGCTCAGTTTTCTTCGAATTCGTCCATACTGCGTCAGACAAAAATTCAAACAGGTATGTACGGCTTCTCCATACAGAAGAAACACTGCTGAAGAACCACAAACAGGACTTTGTTCGGCCATTGAAGAGCGGATATGGCGAGGAGAATGTTATGGTGCAACTCCGAATTCTCGTCAAATCAGTCTGCCTTCGTCGTACGAAGAAGACAAAGATCGACGGCCAGCCAATCCTGCAACTTCCCCCAAAGGTCATCGAGAAGGTGCACGTTGTCTTTAATGAGACAGAAAGAGAGCTCTACGATGAGCTCAGTTCCAGTACCCAACGGACGGTCACCCGCTTATTGAAATCTGGTACTCTGGGCCGGAATTACAGCCATGTGCTTGTACTACTTCTCCGGCTGCGACAGGCGTGTGATCATCCACACTTGATTACCGGTGGCAACTCCGGTCCGCTAGCTCCAGCAGTCGAAGGTGTTGATTTGATTGCCAACGCCAAACTCCTAGCTCCCCCCGTTGTAGAGCGGATCAAGAAGATCCTCATTGCCCCAGGGACCAACAATGGCGACGATGGCGACGATGGATCATGTCCTGTCTGCTTTGATGCGGTCGAGAACTCAGTCATCTATATTTCCTGTGGGCATTCGGTTTGCTCGGAGTGTTTTGCCAAGATCACTGACCCAGCTCAGCTCGCGCGGGTATCTGACTCAGAGTTTGCTAAGTGTCAGAACTGTCGCAGCGAAGTTGATCCCCTAAAAATCACGGATGCTGTTTCGTTCAAGAAAGTTTACGATCCTGCCTTAGCTGAATCTCCAGATAAGCCAGCAGAAACATCAACCGAGACCGGATCGGCTTCAACCACGGCTTCAGAAACAGACACAGATTCGGATCTAGATGACTCGGAAACAGGAACCTTGGCCGAGCGCAAGTCAAAGCACAAGACTCTTGGTGAACTGCGCTCCAGTGGCCTTAGAAACAAGGCAGAGAAGAAGAAATACTTGCAGCGCCTGGAAAAGAACTGGGTTTCCAGTGCCAAGATTGACAAAACTATGGAGATCTTGCAGGCGAACGAAGATCGTGGCCAGGGCGAAAAGACAATCGTCTTCAGCCAGTTCACCGCACTCCTGGATCTCCTCGAAGTCCCCATCATGCGCCGCGGCTTGGGTTACATGCGATTTGACGGGAGCATGAATGTTAACGAGCGTAACATCTCGGTGGCTACGTTCACGGACAACCCCGACTGCCGCATCATGCTTGTGTCGCTCAAGGCGGGGAATGCCGGGCTGAACCTCATCGCTGCTTCGCATGTTATCATCTTCGACCCCTTCTGGAACCCGTACGTGGAAGATCAGGCCATTGATCGTGCTCATCGGATTGGCCAGTCCAAGGATGTTTTTGTGCATCGCTTGCTCATCCCAGATACGGTTGAGGATCGTATTATCGCCCTCCAGGATAAGAAACGAGATCTCATTAGTGGTGCCCTGGATGAGGGTGGTACTCTAAATGTCTCCCGCCTTGATACAAGGGAGTTGGCTTATCTCTTTGTAAGCCGTCTTTCGAGTGGCTTATGTCCTCCACTAACTGGTTGTTATTTCTCTTCTAGGGCGTACGACAATAAAAACATGCGGCCAATTGGTGTGTTCTACCCTTGCTAGTAAGATTGAGACAAACACTTCTTCTGGATGCTTCTTCCTGTCTCTTAGATGAGAATCGGGGATTGTGCGTCGGTCTCCCTTTGTTAGATTAGATCTTTTGGTTCTTTTTTTTGGTTCTTTTACTTTTTCTTCTTTTTTCTCGCGAGGAGTTCCATGGCGGAAGGATTATTCCAGGCTGTTACCGCTTTGCTTTCCCATATACCCTTGTGCTTTAACGATCCTCCGCGTTGTTGGACCCGATAGACAACACTCCTGCTTAGAGGTTGCTATAATGTTATTTGAGCTTCAAAAGATTGTTTGAATCAAAGTAGATATTCGCTCGGCAATTGCCCTGTATTTTATTTCGTAACTATCAAGTAAGTTTTTTAGGACGTCAAAGAGGGCTTGCTTTTTATGCAACGCGTGCTCATTCAGGGTAGAAAAAAAAAACATTGAGATGGTAAGTCTAACTACTAAGGTCGGGGGAGGGGAACAAATCAAATAAGGTAAAAAAAAAAGAGCATAATCGTGCCGTCCCTTTCTTCAGACCGCCGCTGCCCCAGCTCGCATCATCGTATCGTGATTCTGATAAGTGGTTCTGCAATGCGCAAAACCCAACAGTCGTGGAACATGTCTTCCCTCTTTGGGCTTTCTTTCTGAAAACACGTGAGCAAATGGGGAGAGACGAGGTAAAGAATACCAGCGTTCATCCTGGTAAAAGTGCACCCGGTGGCGCGAACTGAGCCACTTTACAGGTCGGCATCGTCCTCGTCGGGCAGGGGCTGGTTGGCAGCAGCCTCCATCTCCTGACGGTATTTCTCGATCTGCTCGTGGTCGACGGTGACCTCGGGGGGGAGCAAGAGCGGGGGCGGCGACGAACTCCTATAGTTACATGTTAGATACCGGGTCATTGGGGTCGGGTGGCAAGAAGAGGGAGTCGGGCTTGTACGTACCAGCTGAGGGTTGCCAACCAGCTTGCGGGCGAGCCACAGGAATGGCTTCTCGAAGTTGTAGTTGGACTTGGCGGAGATGTCGTAGTACTGGAGGTTCTTCTTGCGGTGGAAGGTGATGGTCTTAGCCTTGACCTTGCGCTCCTTAACATCGACCTTGTTACCGGTCAGGACGATGGGGATGTTCTCGCAGACACGGACGAGGTCACCTGGATAAACAATTAGTCAAAACTCGATGGAGATCCTGGGTCGGGGGTAGTCGCAGAATCACTTACGGTGCCAGTTGGGGACGTTCTTGTAGGTGATACGGGAGGTCACATCGAACATGATAATACCGGCCTGGCCGTTGATGTAGTAACCATCACGGAGACCACCGAACTTCTCCTGACCAGCGGTATCCCAGACATCGAACTGGATGTTACCCAGGTTCTATAGGATTTATCCCAGTTAGTTGGCTGTTGGGTCGTTTGCCGGAAAGGCATATTGGGATATTGTCGCAGAGCGGGGCTCGGCGGGGCATCAACATACGGTAGTGAACTGGAGCGGGTGAACCTCGACACCAAGGGTGGCGATGTACTTCTTCTCGAACTCGCCAGTCAAGTGGCGCTTGACGAAGGTGGTCTGTCGAGGTGATTGAGAGTTAGCGATGGTGCGCGCAGATGATAGGGCGTCGGGCAAGCAATTTCTTCGTCTTTGTTGACAATGGCGGGGCAAGGGAGGAGTGGACATTCGACAAAACACAGCGCTTGTAGGAGCGCCCCCATCGGAAGACGACGATGGAAATTGAGATACTGAAGTCCTCCACAAGCGCCGCCAGAATGAACCGATTCCCCAGGTATTCACAGGATCCTTACCTTGCCAGTACCACCGTCACCGACCAGGACGAGCTTGAAGGTAGGTGGGGCTTGATCAGTCATGGCGAAAGTTTGAAAATTCGAGCCGGATAAAAAACGGTGAAGGAGATTCCAAGGAAGGAATTCGTGGTAGAAGTGGGAGTGGTGAGAGATATTCGCAGGGGTGGAGAAAAAAAGGGAAGGGGAGGTTTTTGGTTTTGCAATGCTAAGATTTTGCCCAGCGGTCACGTGTCCGGGATGCCTGGCTGACGTAGTGGGAACAATGAAAACAAAGTGAAGGCGGGCGGATGAAGACTTTATAGTCTTGTTCTGTTTGCGCTTTACAGGTCTGATGCTCAACCAGGAATTTGGCTCTTGATTTCTAATCCAGTTTCATGATTGTGGTGGTAAAAGGGGCCTAAAGTGAAGCTGGAGGCTCGTTATTCGTGAGTTTCCCACTTCCGCCATCTTGACGGCCCGCAGCTCGGTTATGTAGCCTAACGGTGAACTCTGGTCCGTCCACCCAGTTGCCTAAAGACCCTCTACAAGGGTACCAGGTGACAGCCCAATAAACCCCGGCCACCCCAATTGCGTCGGGGAGTAAGCTGCAATTCCAGCTCAGTAGTCTGTGATCCACCCTCCTCCTTGCGCGACACCTGCACTAGGACAACACGCTGCAGTACCAGTTAGCTCAAGGGTTCTGTATGGTTCCGGCCCAATATGCGGAAATGCACTAGCAACTTACCCCTTCGTTTTGCCGGACAACCTCTGCGACCTTGGACAGGCGTTCGTGGTTCAACCAGTGTACATTGCCAAAGCCCCGGACCAGGTCGCCCGGCTTGAGACCTGCTTGGTCAGCTGGACTCCCTGGCTCCACGGTGTTGACTTTCGCAAATGGCCGTCCAGGCGCACCAGGCTCGGAAGTGCCAGAGGGGGCTACAGATGCGGGGGGCGCAGAAGGCACGGTAGTGCCATTGGTGGTTGCGCCTTGCGTGTTTTGGAGTTGGGCGAAGTGGGCATGGAGCCCTTTTCTCTAGATGTGTCATGAGGTCTTTGTGGTCGTTTCGTAGTCGAATGATTTGAATACGAGTATGGCGCACTAAGCTGTGTCTTTAGCACTGCGGCGCGCGGAGGTTGTAGGCCCACGTACCTTGAGGCACGTCAATATCATCGCGCGGGAACCCGTCGAACGTTGTTAGAGTGGAATTCATGGTGACCGATTGCTGTAGTATCGGACACTCGTTAGACTCGACTCCTTAGAGAAGCCCATTCATCTGCAAAACGCACCGTAGTAAGCACCTGGCTAAGCTCTTTGAGCTCCTCCTCGATCCGGTCTTTCTCTTGCATCAGTTCCACCATGGATAGCTTCGACAAGTCGCGGGGGGCAGCCCCGGACGTCGGGCCAGACGCCACGGTAGGAGCGTGGATGTTATGATCCTCCATGATGCCTACCATGATCGCATCAAGTCACAAAAAAAGGTGGGGAAGGTTATCGGCACAGGCGGTGGGTCGCTTTATATAAGCGCATAGGAGCCGCCATAGTTATCTATATTTGCCCCCCATATCATCTCGGACTTTTCGATCGATTATGACGCTAACAGTCCTTACGTGCTTGCCGTTGATTGATAAAGATTCATAAAGTCAGCCCAATCAGCAAATCTTCGCGCAAAATGCATTCGTATCCTATATACTGTCCTGCGAAATTTCAATCCCACCTGTTGAGGGGCTTCACCTCATGACGTACATGGATGGGATTCAAATTGGCGGTTTCTCAACACAAGAGCTGACTAGCACACAAGGGCAATTGTGTTCGAAATGTTGTTGCCAATCCGGCGGCTCAAAGCTTTTTGTTGCTGTGTCTCTGAGAACGCGCCTTCCCTGCGAGCTCTTTTCTTTCTCCCGCTCGCGACTGCCAAATCATGAAGCTGGAAAGGAGCCGTAGAGCTGCTTGGATCGGCTGCATCGCCTTCTTCATGTCATTCAATACGAGAGTTCTGACGGTTTTGTGCTCGGCTCGCCCCTTGCTTGGTGCCGACTATGGAGCATCAAGATATGGACGAAGAAGAACTGCCTCTCGTCCAAGAAGGTGATGCGATCCAAGATGACGGTAAAAAGGATGACCTTACGCCGACTCAGCCCGCGTCCCCAGATACTCCGTTCAAGAAGTGGATGGACAGTTTCCGATTTCGAAAGCGCGGCGTCTCGACAATCCAAGAACGCTATGTGTTTGGGTGGCCGTCGCCTCCTAAGGGGTCTTCTCCACGAGGTTCTCCTTCCCGGCCTCCGATTCCTTTTGACCAAAGCACGGAGAAGGGGTCTCCGCGCTCGTCAATTCTGCACACTGTCAGAACAACGACGATGAGCACGTCAACAAGCCAGGCTACGAGATCCCGGGGCGCAACAACGAGCACGGCCAATCAAAGCACTACGTCTGATATGCGGAACTCGGCAGACACTGATCGGTCACATCCGGTCTTCGTAGATCAGGCGGCGGAGGAGCGAGCGGGCAAGCGACGAGAGGTGGTGAAAGAGCTGGTGAAGACAGAGGTGAATTACGTCCAGGGACTAAAAGCTCTGGTCGGGGTGAGTGACGAGACAAGCTGCTATGAATCCCTTGTCTGGATTCTCATTCAGTTTGCGCAGGTTCTCTCCATTTTCAACGCCCGGGGACAGATCCAAGAAAATATCCAGCAGATTTGTGGCATCCACGAAGACTTCCTGTCCCAGCTGCGAAAAGTCTCGCCATCGTCGGCCGAGCATCTTTCGCATGACTCTTCCGATCTTGTTTCCAGGGGCATGGACAAACCCACGGGTACAATGACTTTGAATGTACTGAGAAATTTACAGAATCTATCGTTGAAACCCCGTGGCGCCAAGGCTGCTTACAATCAGAAAGTGAAGGCACTCGTCTGCGACCCCTCTGAATCTTTGGAGGTGGCTCGAGAGATCGAAAGATTGGTGAGCTTTCCCTCCTCGAGTTCGCAAATGCATGCTATCTTGCTCACGTGTCATAGTCGGCCTCCTTTTCGACATATGAAAGATTCTGCAGCAATTACGAGCTGCTCAACCAAGATATAAACCTCTTGCGTCGCTCAGTTCCGGACTGGTCCACATACGACCAGGGAATTGAAGCCTTGTCGAAATCTGTTGCATCTACAGCCACTCGGAAGCAGGAAGAGAACAAGTCTATGTCGATGAATGATCTGATGATTAAGGTAAATCACCGTGGCTTCTCCATTTGCTCGCATGCTTACGGAAGCTTAGCCCATCCAACGAATATGCAGATACCCTCTCATCCTCCAGGAGTTGATGAAAACCACCCCTGTCAGCGACAGCCCGTCTGCCCACGAGGCCATCGGCCAAATCTTGGAAAACTTGCGAATCCTCGTGGCCAGAATAAACTCTGCAACAGGAAATCCAGTCAATGAAGACCGAATCCAAAAGACTTTGCTCCTGCAGAGCAAGCTTCGCTTCTCCGAGCATGTACGTGTACATCCGGTAGTGACGAGGAAGCCATGCTAACCCGCAGATGGAAACCAGAACGCCTTTAGGGATATATACAGAGACCTTGGGCCTATGGCACTATGCGGCGTGCTCTTTGTTACCTATCAAACCCCGTCTCAGATCACGGGGGAGTTCATGGTGTGTGTATTATTCCATTCACATTTTCTCATCGCCAGAGGACTTGGTGACTGTCATCGTCTGGAAATCGTTGCTTGTATTTATATGGACGATGCGAACATGGATGGCCTGCAAAATGGACGGGGTAAGTGAGCAGGACACGACACAACTCGAGAACAGAAATTAACGTTGCAGGTATGTCTTGCTACGGGTGCCCTTTTTCGTGGAAAGTATTGTTCCAGGCGGAAGACGAGACGTATGAGCTTGTGTTCAGCGCAGCCTCAGCTATCGAGGAGAAACTCTGGAGGACGGAGATTTTGAAATGCTCTGCGGCATTGGCAGAGATGGTCAAGCCAGGGGGACCATGGGATCCTCGAAAGTATTTTTATATGTCTTTGAATCTTGTGGCGTTGGGTGTGAGCCATACCCAGTATACTGTGGCCTCTCTAACGCGCCGGACTTCCATGGACTCCATGGCGCTCTCGCGCAAGTCCCGGGCACCAAATGTTATCATCCGAAAGACAAACTGCCCGCATAGCTCTGAAACAACGAGTCCTGACTCGGAAATGTTCCGGCCTGGGAAACCGGAGCCTGAGTGCGGACCGATCAATGTCATCGCAAAACGGTCAGATCGGATCCGACTAGAGCGGGCAATATCTGATATCTACACTCGAGATGTCTTGCCCATGCCTGGAATGGCTACCGGCCGGGGGAGATCTGTTCAGCCGCAAAAGCCTGAGGCGCCGTCTGAGTATACATGCGTTTAAACGATCCAGCTCAATCAGCAGTTCTCATTCAGCGGCGTTGGTCCCTGAATCGCGCTCTGTCGAGGAATACAGCGAAGACAAACAGCTTATCCCGACCCGCGATAGCTCGGGGGACCAGCATTCGATGGATCAAGACTGCGAGTCCCCAACCACCCCCAATTCTGCGCACTTGGCCTTTCGACTCCGGCAGACCCCTGGGGAACCCGGCTCTGTCTCGACCCACCGCCGTGACAAGAATCGAAGCCTGGATAGCACCCCGGATTCTCCCTCTCGAAAGAAATGGGGCTCGCCGATGACTCTTCTGAATGCGCTCTCACCGAAATCCCCGAAATCGCCCAAGGCGCGAGGAATGTAGACCCCTGTGATGGCGGGGTGGGGAAGACATGATGCATGGCTTGGAAAGTGGGGGGTTCCGCCTGTTATTATTATTATTCCAATAATCCAAAAAGCGCAATTGAATTTATTAAACCCCCCTCCTAGCTCCACTTCCACTCTTGGATGACGTCGTAAGATAGAAGCAGGGAGACACTTGACCCGACAGCTCCTGAGCTGCCATGACGTCATTTACCATCATCATCATCACGGTCCTTTAAAGCTCTCCCCACCCTCCTCAGCTCCCACTCATCCTCTCCCAACTGATTGATCCAATACTACCCTGTCTCATTCGAACCATCACAATGCCTCGCGCCAACGAAACTACCAGCAAGGTCTTTTACAAGGGCAAGACTGACGACTTCGTCATCTTCGTCGACGACCTTGACATCCTGCAGAAGTGGAAGAACGACCGTAGCATTGCATTGTCCGATGTGCTTAATGGCTGGAAGATCTTCGTGACTCATGGGTACGTTTTTTTTTTTGCGCTGATTGAAGCTATATCCAAAAGCTCTGAAGCTCACATTCCAAAAGACACGGCCCCCAGGGCATCCTGGACACTGCTTCCAACTCCCAGCTCGAGAACGAGTTTGGCACCAAGAACGAGGATGAGTGCATGATCAAGATCCTCGAGGGCGGCGAGTACCAGACTGCGGTGGTAAGTTATCTATTATCTTGGAGCCGATGGCCAAGCATCATGCTAATCGTTTCCCCCACACAGAGCCGTGAGCGCGAGGGCCCCAACAAGCCTCGCTAAACCCTCCTCTTTGCATCTATGCGCTCTCGATGGCGCTGTACACTGTACATGTACCTCTCCGTCTGAGCTCTTCCTCTGATCTCGAGAAACATCCCTCGTCGGCAACATACCCCGCCGCTGATGTGGGGCATCACGAACAGCAAGACCTCATTTGGGGGGTTTAAGGAGTTTTGGTCTTCGGATTTTATTGCATATGAATTACCACAGGCTTCTGCACCTGATATCATGAGATAACGAAGATGAATGAGAGATCTCTTCACAAATCCAAATACTACCACCCAAAAAAAAAAAAGAAACCATCTCAGCCTCGAGCCAGTAAAACCTTTTCTGCTTTCATATCGTACCATATTGTCATTATTCATATAATCTATGCATAGATATCTCCCTAACTGAGCTAAAGACTAGCAAGAATCTTACTCTGATGCTACCATCGTCATCCCTCTTTCCTCCCTCCGCTGCACAACCCATTTCCCCAACTCCGCCCAAATTGCCTCCTTCTCCGCAACGCTCATGGACGCCGCCAGCCCACTCGTCGTGGTCGCCACAAAAACAGGTGCCCCGCCCCGCTCCTCTCCAGCCTTCCGCCCCATGTTCTCGCTCTCATCCTGCCACCCATACCGGAACTCCTCCTTCGTGATGGGCCGCCTATGCCGCACCCGCCAAATCGCCTCCCAGATACTCTTCCCCACAATGCACACGGCTTCCGGCTTCTGCGCTGCAATCTTCGCCTCGAGCTCCGGCACCCCGGCGTCCATCTCCGCTTTGGTTAGCTCGCCGCCGTTGCGCGTGGGGCGGGCCACGATATTCGTGTTGCCGACCGAGTAGAGCTCCGGCAGCCGGTACGTATCTGAGGGCGGGTGCCGGATGGGCGTGATGCCGGACGAGTGCAGGAGTCGCCAGAAGAGGTTGCTCGGGTGGGCGTAGGCGAAGGATGTGGTCGCGGTCATGATCCCCGGGTTGAGGCCCACGAGGAGCAGGATGAGGTTGGCAGGGATGGTGTCTTCGAGGAGGGAGGTGAGTTTGGCTGGGGTTGGGGCGGGCCGTTTGCGTTTTGGGGTGCGTTTGGTGGTGGTCTTTCTGGTCGTTGGTCTGGTTGGATGTGGGAGGGCGGAGGAGAGCTTCTGCGAGCGTGGGGACCGGCGAGGGTGTGTTTGGTAGATATCCGTAGTCTTTGCTTCTGCTTTGGATCGGGCGGGCTTTTGGCGGCCTTTGTTGGATGTGGTTGCGGTGCGGCGCTTGCTGCGCTTTTTACCGGCCAAGTCTTCCGTGTCGTCTCCCGCGGAGGATAGAGAAGAATCAAGCTTCGAGAGATCATCGGAGGGGTTGTCGGAGCTCGGCCGTGGGCCTGGAGCTGGAGGATTAGAGTGAGTATGTATAAAATGGTTGAGTCGGCCATGGAAGCTTGTAATTTTGTTCACTGGCACATCTTCAGTTTCGACTTCAGGACTTCCGGGCGGATTCCCGGAAAAGTTTGGCGATAACATATTGTCAGACATTGGAGCGTCAACACCTTCTCACGATGTGAAATTGGCGACCGCAATGGAGGTCCAGAGAGGCTCTACGGTTATCTCCGCAGTCTAAGTTGTCGAGTGCACTTGCGGTCCCATGCCTCGTCTGATATCTGACCAAAGGAACCCAGCCATACAATCCTGCTAGGCGACTGTCCTAGACTTCTGCTTTCTTTTTCTCCCCTTTTCCTTGGATCATATATCTCCCAACAGCAATGCGCTCAGTAGTGGGCTTGTTCCCTTGAATTGGACCGTTGTGGCAATAAATCCTGAAATGGAGGCGAGGAAAGGCAGGATCCGCGGAATGTAGATAGATCGCAGACTTGTAGTTGGTGAGATTGCGTGAAGAGGCGGTAAGATGAGAGTCACTCTCATTTCACCGCCGGCCCCGGGAGGAAAGACCTGCTACAAATACAAGGCCATGGGGAAATCACCATCTTCAATGGTATTGAGCATGGGTGATGCTAGTGTTGTCATCCACATTGGCCCCACTGGCAGGTCCAATTCACTGGCCTTCAAGCTGGCTTCATGGTTGGCTTCCAAGGCGGGGAACGCAAATGATTCAATATTATGTCATTGCTCCCTGGTTTGCCAGGCGCTAAACCGAGCCAGCCCCAGCTGGTCTCCTCGAAGCGCCAAACGTACGCTTTGAATGTTCTAGAAAGGAGATTGCAGGAACTATGGGGCTTCTATTAAGTCATGTGCCTGGGCGGTATGGCCCAGGGGCCCTGGTCTGGTTGTCAGACCCATGTTGTCAGACCCGTTGTGGTCAAGATCCTACATTCCAAATATGACATCCATGGACACGAGCCTGTTCCCTGCTTGGCAGCCCGAATGAAGCCCTCCTACCACTAGCACTGGAAATCCGATTCCCTCTCTTGTAGTGTCTGCAGAGTACGCATATGGTTATATACACCAGTAGCTGAGGTGTCAGAAGACAGTGGCACCATAAGAGCAGGTCACGACTGAGGGATTATCGTATTAGTATGCCTGCGGGTCGAAATACCACATCACCAGTACTAGTACAGACAAAGCGTGAGGGAAGGCCTTAAGAGTCGTCATGGGGTATCTCATTAAATTTTTACACTATCTGCGTCCGATGCAATCAATGCACCCAACCGACAACAAGCAGCTACCCACTGAGCAGCGCTGAGCGTTTTGGTAATGTCCATGGTTCCGCACAAACCACCTCGCCTTCACTGTAGGCCCAGAAGTACACCGCCACGCCAATCAGATAATATAAGGCCGGGTCGGTGCCTTGGTAGATGAGAGCGCAGAAGAGAGCGCTGAGAGGATATAGGATGATTCGGAATTCTATGCTTCGATGGGGAAAGGTCCCCGCGAGCTGTTTGAGCGGCCATTCCCAGGCAAGACCGACGAGGCCCATGATCAGATTCAGGATTTGAAGGATGGGAACGGGTTCGACGGCGCCGTCGAGATTGTGGGATATGAAGTCCCAGAACACTTTGGGCCAGATGAAGCCTTCCACAGCGGCAGCGATTTGAACTGTAGAAGTTGACGTTAGTACTAGGCTTGGATACAAGCGCAAATGCGACCCTTACATGTTGAAGCCACCATGATGATCAATCGTGCCCAGTGGTTCTTGATGAGCCTGCCCATCTTGTATTACGTTGGTGCCGGAGTATGTGCGATGCCGAATCTCCCAGCCAGCGAGAGATCTCAGCTCTATAGGCGGGCGCCGTTTTTATCAACTGGAGAGGCTGTCTCCCAAGGCGCTTCCGGGTGTTTTAGCTTGCGCCGGAGGTACGAACACAAGTTGAGTCCCAGAGGTGTGGCAGTGCTAACACGCCATCAGGTCGGTTTCAAAGATCATGTGTTTTGAGAAGTTGCGAGAGGAGGTGTGGTTTAGGGTAAGTGGCCGGAGCTAGATGGGAGCTTGACCAGGTGAGAAAAAAGAATGCCCTAGAGGTGCATGTTCTCAAGGCGAGCGGGGAAGGCCATGCATCTATACTTAGCCCCGGGCCACCAGTGAACCGAATCCAGATAGGAACGCAAGCTGCATGGCGCTAAGCTTGACATCCGCACGGAGCCCGACTAATCCAGCAACTCAAGCAAAACACGAAGGCCCCAGAAGGGCTTTGCCATGGTGAACCGCACAGAGAAACTAATCCGCCAGCCAATGAAGACTCAAGGTGCCGCGAGTCGAGCACAACCCCTCCTGGATTTTCTTCAATAGGGCTTGTCTGTGATACAATTGGCGGAAGAGGGATGTGACGGAGCGGATCGTAATGCGGGAGGAAGCGAATCACTGTCCGTCATGGAGTATACGGCGGGTCCCTTGGCGTGACGAGCTGCAGCTCATTGCACCCATTAGCGCTGGCTGGGGTTGCCGTGCGGAAAGTCTAAGGGCTTGCGACACGTTTCCATCGCAGCGATCTAGGGGATTTTGGACCGGTCGGACTCTCGAGAAATGCTAATCTACCTCGTGTAAGGGACGAGCTACAAATTTTGCGGGTTCTGAAGCACAGTCGGTTTCACGGCCCTTCGATCAGACTGATACTTTGGTTGCGCTGTGATGCTGTGATGCTGTGATGTGTTGTAGTCTAAGTGGGTCGACTCGTGTTCGGGTTGACTCTGATCTTCCAGCAACAAATCAGTTCTGACGGGACCGCACTATATTTGGACCAAGATTCCTGATGGAGACTAGAGCTCAAAAGGCACAGAGCGGTGCAGTTCACCGACTGGTGTAAGTGGTGGGATTGGTCGCCCTCGAACTGAATCCCGGGCCCCGGTGTGATGGGGGATGCCAGCGCTTGCAGATGAGCCCTGATTGGCGCCTTCAACCCTTTCCCAATATTGCTTCACCAGCCGCTTTTAAGATGGTTCAAATCTCTAGCAACTCTCGGGTTCTTTTGCCTATTTGATTCCTTGCAGAAACTGCCCTGACTGTTTTGCCCCACGAAAACTGCCGGGGAAAATTGTCTCGCGTGGCACGTTGCCGGCTTTTCCACCGTGACTCGTTTCTCCATTGGCGATTCCCTGAGATCAACAAGGAAGATCCAAATCCATTGCAGCATGATCTGACGAACATGAGCCCACACTGGTTCCCGAATTCATCCTAACGCAGCTAGCTCAAGGCCCACCGAAGCTCAACCTGAAAAGTGCTCCAGGTCATGAGACCGGAGGACGTATCGCAAAGGAAATAACCAAGAGTAATGAGGAGCTAAATCAAAGTGCCAGCCAGTCAAAAAGAGTTGTCTCGTGCTATTTTGAGCCGACCCGACGTATCGGAAGGAGACGTCGTAAAAACAGGCAGATTTTATCGACGTGGCGTGGCCTCGTAAGACCGAGACGTACACTCTGTAGACCTCGAATGGAGGTTCCCCAGAAGTAGTGGTAGAACGGGGAATTGGCGTTCCATAGTGCCGTTGCTAGGTCCCCCCACCAGCGCCTATCACATCTGAGAACCGATCCAAGGTCATGAAATGGAATTTCCAAAGCACTGACCTATCAAACGGAAGGCATTGGGCGCGAGTCCATCGGGCTCGGCTGGTGCGTAATTATAGATCGGCCCCCCCTCACCCCTGCAGCCAAAACCACAACGCTGGGATTTTCAACCTCCGCCTTTTTCTTCTTCCATCCTTGCTCAACGTCATGCCAGCTTTCCAGTGATCAGGAGATAAGACATCCCATGCGTTGAGGAGCCTCAAGAACCCGGACTGCGAGATCTATCTTGAAACGCCCCCAATCGCCGGCGCTTGCCCTGCGCGAACTGTTGCAAGTGGCCCGACTCGCACTCTGCCTCGAGGCTGACCGAAGCCACTTGCGCAGACTTCCGAGTTGACCAAAGCATTTTGGTCCAAGTGGTCCTCCGGGGCGCCGTCTATGGCGAAGCAAAAGCGTCGCCGAAGCCACCCACATTCAAGTTTCCTCGTTGTACGACTTGTGCTCCGAACGTGAAGCTCCATCGTTGCGACTCGGGAACGAGCGTATATCAGCACGACCCCGAATCTTAGCGAAAGGTCGCAGGTTGCTGGCCAACTGTCTTGCTCGTCACTCCTTTAATCTTTGCCGCTGAAACTCGTCGCTGGCCGACGAGACAAAATTTCTCTAGACAATATGGTCGCAACTAATGAATCTTGGCTGAAAAGAGTCGGTCTGACTCCCGCCAAGATAATATCTCTATCTACTCTTCTGGGCCGCCCATTTTGGTATCTTCGCAGTTGGATGGTGCGTTTTCTTTTCTTCCAAGCAGAATGCACTTGCTGACATACCGATAGGTACATTCAAGCCTCTAGCAAGAGATTAGCGCCGCTGAATACACTCAAGTATTCGGTCTGGATTTCTAGAGGCGCAGGTCTGACGCTTTCATTTGACGCGACCTTGATTCTGCTGCCCATGTGTCGGAATATTCTTCGTTGGCTGAGACCCCAGATTCGATGGCTACCCTTAGACGAGTCGGCTTGGTTTCATCGTCAAGTCGCCTACGCCATGCTGTTTTTCACTTGCGCTCACGTTTCAGCCCATTATGTCAAGTAAGGCACTCCCATAAACCAAATGGAGCAAAATCCTGACAGATGCCAGTTTCTACAACATCGAAAAGGATCAGATTCGCCCTGAATTGGCGGTCGACATCCAGTGGAAGCAAGCAGGAGGTATCACGGGCCATGTCATGCTACTATGCATGCTGTTAATTTACACGACTGCGCACGCCCGAATCAGACAACAAGCCTTCGAAACATTCTGGTACACGCATCATCTGTTCATCCCATTCCTGCTGGCCCTGTACACTCATGCTACGGGGTGTTTTGTCCGGGATAGTAAAGAGCCCTATTCCCCATTTGCGGGGTCTAAGTTCTGGGGCCATTGTTTAGGATATGAGGGGTGGAGGTGGGAGCTCGTCGCATTTACTTTGTATCTCTGCGAGCGAATCTACCGTGAAATCCGCGCTCGTCGAGAGACGGTGATTACCAAGGTTATTCGCCACCCTTACGGTATGTGGACGCTGCATTGAACAAAGGTGAACGGTCCCGCTAACAAAAGACACCAGATGCGATGGAAATACAATTCTACAAGCCGAGCATGAAGTACAAGGCCGGCCAGTGGCTGTTTCTACAAGTCCCCGAAGTATCCACCACCCAATGGCACCCTTTCACCATTACTTCCTGTCCTTTCGATCCATACGTCAGTATCCACGTCCGCCAAGTAGGAGACTTTACTCGCGCACTGGGAGATGCGCTTGGTTGTGGTCCTGCGCAAGCCAAAGACCTCGAAGGCCTGGATCCAAACGGGATGTACGAAGTTGCTCTGCAGAATGGCCAGGTCATGCCGCGACTGAGAGTCGACGGGCCCTACGGAGCACCAGCGGAAGATGTGTTTGAAAACGAAATCGCGGTGATCATCGGAACCGGCATTGGTGTGACGCCCTGGGCGTCCATTCTGAAGAACATCTGGCATCTCCGCTCGAGTCCAAACCCTCCACGCCGTCTCCGCCGTGTCGAGTTCATCTGGATCTGCAAGGATACATACTCTTTTGAATGGTTCCAGGCCCTGCTCTCTTCCCTCGAGGCCCAATCCGCTGAAGCCGCTGCGTACGACACGCACAATGAATTCTTGAAGATCCACACATACCTTACCCAGAAACTCGATACCGACACCGCGGCGAACATCTACCTGAACTCCGTCGGTCAGGCTCTGGATCCTTTGACCGAGTTGCGCAGTCGGACCAATTTTGGCCGCCCGGACTTCAGGCGCTTGTTCGTGGCTATGCGCAACGGTTTACAAGACCAGTCCTATATGAGCGGATTGCAAACCTCGGGTGCCACCAAGGTCGGTGTTTACTTCTGTGGACCAAATGCAGCTGGAAGGACGATCGGCGAAGCGGCCAGAGCCGCATCGACCAAGGACGTCCGTTTCAAATTCTGGAAGGAACAATTCTAACTTTTATGCCTCGTTTTGCCTTCATTCTCGTTTTACTCTTCGATATTTGGCTCCTTTCCAACTTTGCCTCCCTGCATTGCACGACTTTATGAGTAACGACATGTCTTTTTTTTCTCTCGATCTTTTGCTATTACTGTTTACCCGGCTAGTTTCTACGGCCCTGCTCTCTCTATCGATACATGCTGTATCTTGTCTTGTACTATAGTCGATGACTTCTGCTTAGGATTTCCAAGATTCGGAGATCTACACGTGAAATCAATTCGTAATAGTCGTTCATTTTTCCATTACTTACGAATCCCCTTTGAAATTGGATACTGCGCGCCATGCATTTTACCACGGCGTCGTACGCAGCCTTGGATGACCGCTCCTAATATTGATCACGCTCGCGGGGAGAAAGACAAGACGAAGATAAGAAACACAATTAGTTCGTGTGACGGTGATACAGATTATGTACTAAGACAAATACTACTACAGATAATCCCCTACGTGTCAAAGTCGGGATTCTTATGGGGAACTCAATCACTCTTCCTCCGAGTCGTCGTAGTCCGGAAGTTCCTCCCACCCGGGCGGAACTGCTCATCAAGGCGACGCTGGATGTCAAGGTAGATACGCAGCTCCCGCATCGTCATCAGTTCGTACACCTGCTTCAGCTCCTCGGGTGCAAGGCCCAGGCCAGACTGATCCATTGGAATACCCGAAGAGCCGTTGCAAAGGTGTTCAAACCCGATCATCACCAGCTCCTTCGACCAGGGACATGCCACAAGCGCACGCAGGTAGACCGCTTTCGCGGCTTTAAGGTCCACTGCCTCGTAACGCTCGTACAGAATGTAGAGCTTCCAGATCGTCACACTCGTTCGGGCACTGTCGCTGCCGAACAGATGGCGAACCGCTGTCCCGCCAGCACGGACTGGGCGTCGAGGGTCTGCTGCCTCTCCCAATGCCTTCTCGAACGCTGCACGAACGGAGAAGCGCGTGGCCCCTGAACGCGATGACCGGCAGAACTCATGGTAGATCTGGTATAGATAGTTGGAGACCGGAACGCTCTGGGGCGTTAGCGCAATCTTGTCGTCCGGCTTGTACCTGGAGGCGGTGTCTCCCTGAGTGATGTCGAAGGAGTCTCGGATCCGGTCCATGATGAGAATGCGGGACTCGTTCCACATGAAGACCGCGACGAAGATGCTGTTGTGGGGGAAAAGCGTGACGCTGTCCTTGAGCCAGCCGCGGAACTCTTTGGGCTTCATGCCATCCTTTTTCGTGCCTCGCTGGACATACCGGAAGAGCAAACGCGCGCGAGACTGATGGATCAGCTCGGCGACGAGTGCTTTGAAGTTTGCCGAAGCATCAGAGAGGCTGGCAACCTCATGACAAGCCTGGTCGTAAACATCAATAGAATTTTTGAAAGGTGAGTCAGAGGTGTAGTAGGAAAGCGCGAGACAGTCGGTGTACGCTACATATTCGAGCCAGTGCTTTTGTGACAAAGCGCGGCGTTGCCATTCACGAAGATACTATATATCATTAGAATGAACCCGGGGTATTACCAAAAAAGGGGACACTCACCTCATACGTCCGCTTCCTCGTAGTCGCGCTCAAGGGAGCTGAGTGTGCGTGGGTTTCGTCTGGAAAATGTCCCAGTTCAACATGGCCTTCCGGAATTGAGTGCAAAATGTATTGGGCCGAATCAAGCCTTTCTTGTTCAATTTCCGTCCAGATCCAACAGTTCCAGAGCATGCTTGCCTGAACTGTCATGAGCTCACTAGAGACCCCTTTGGAAAGTGTTTTCGCCCAGATAGCTCGAGCTTTGCTGTGATCCTGGGTTCCGTAAGAGACCAAAGCACAAGCGTTCCAAAGCCTCAGACTCCAGGGTTTTCGCTTGACCATTTTCTTGGCTGCGTCCATCGCAGCAGAGAGTTCAAAAGCGTACACGAAAGCCACATAATATTCTGCTAGTATTTCATCGTCTGCCATATTGTCTACCAATGCTCGAAGAGTGTGTCGTAGATAATCTCGATTTGGACAAAGTGCTGGAGCCTGATTGTGAGGACCATCAGCACGGAACGAGTTGAACCAGTTTTTGGGTGATGTGAAAAGAGTTGAGGTTGTATGAATGAAATTCGAGACAGGACAAGTAAGGGGAGATGGCGGAGTGCGACTGTTCTCATTATCGTTTGGGGGCATCCAACCCGACAGCAAGGAATCATCGCTGATTCCGTCATTCTTCAAGAAAGGATCCCAGTCCCAATGGCGCGAATTGTCGAAGTTTTCAAGGGTGGTGGTATGCGGAAGCTGCCAGAAATGCAGGAAGCCGTCAATAACTACTCGAGCGGCTGCTAGGTGGTGGAATGGGCGCAAAATGTCCTCCATGTCAGAGAACATGAGAATTCGATCTTCATCCGTTGTCTCATGGGATGCCGAGTCTAGGACTCGCCCTGGGAGTGGAAAATGGGTCATCCTTTCTCTCTCTGCGGTGGTCCATGACGGGATGAGGGCCAAAGGCTGAATCTCATTCGCAAAGGTAGTCGTTTGAGGCCGAGGTCGCTTGGGGATATCGACAACATAATTCTTCCATCCCTTTGCGTTTGCTTCGCCAACTCGGGGAGCTTCTGAATCCCAAAAGATACGGAAGAGGTCGAGGACCCGGTCTTCATTCGCGTCCATAAGGAATTCAGGACGGAAAAAGCAAAACTCGATCAATGCCTGCCAAAGACCGTTTGCTATTTCGACATATCCTGCTTCTCTCAAGAGGACAGTTGAGCGAAGAAAAAGGTAAACTTGGATTTGGTCTCTGATTGGCCCTGGTTCGGTGATGGCTATATTCATCATGCTAACCTCAGAAAAAAAAAGCCAGAAATTCGTAGAAACCGAACTCAGAGCATCCGGCCTGTCGATAGTCGAGATACTTGATCCATATATTGAGATCACTGGGATTCTGCCGGAGAGATGTGTTCCACTCGTCCATCAATTTCTGGGGCCCCCAGAGTTGCGCGCCTTCTTGTAAACGACCAAGGACAAGCCGATATTTTTGCCGAGATTCTCCAGCCTTTGCCAAGGCCTTTTCATATAGGGAGATCTTGATATCCGCTAAACCATGCCACTCATCAAGGGTAAGAGTTCGACTATCCTCGTCATCCGGACCAAGAACCAGGAGGCCTTGGTGGTCGATCAATTTGAGCCACAGCCCAACGTCCTGCGGATTCGATTCAAGGGCCCGCCAAAGCTCTGCATTCCGGGCCATTCTTTCTTTTTCGCGATCAATTCGGACAGTGGCTAGGTATATGTCCTCTTTCGGTGCTGCTTCTGTCAAATCAAAAGGGTGTGTTAAGTCTAATCCGATTCGATGTTCATAGGACAAGCTCACCCCAATCATCATTAGCGCCGGATGCAGTGTTATCCCGCATACCAAGGGAAACAAAGTCATTGGTTATGTCCAGAACATTGTCGTCCTTGCTACGAAGTCGGAACTCGGGTTCGCCGAAACGTGCTGCTGGAAGTGGCCTGTCGCGGCTGGTGGAGACTTCTTCGTCGGGGCGGATGCGGTCCGCAGTTCCAAGGATATAGCCGCCACCAAATCGCTTGTATTGGGGTATGGCGTATCGGTGACTGGATCCGTACGTGAGGTTGAACCGGTCGCCTTTGTTATCCACAAAGAACAAGCCATCGTCCTCGCTAGAAAGTGTTTTCGCAGGGTTAGAAAAGATTCTCGCTGGGCTAGAGGCACTGGCATTCTCAGAAGAACGACTGGGTCGTGCTACATCGCGTTCGGATGGGGCGGTGATTCGTTCCTTGTTGTTGCTGCTAGTGTATTCTTTTTGGGCTGGTGCACGAGAAGCAGTGGGAGGTGAGTGTGTACGGGATGAACCGGAGGACTCTTTAGGAGACCTGTGGCGATAACTGTCATGCTTCCGGCGTGGCGATCGTGAACGAGCGTGACGACGGCGGTGGCTGGAACTTGAGCCTCGATCATCTCGCGCATGTTCCTCGCGCGGGCGTCGATCTGGAGGGGCGCGTGGTGTATCCGGGAGTTTGAAGCTCCCAAACTTTGGAGCGGACTTTTTCCCTGCAACTCAAATGTTAATGACCAAGAAAGTACACGAATGGAGACGCAAAGACAAACCTGAGACCCCGTCGAGTCCATCCTGGCAGACGCGACCTCGGGGGGAGAAGGTCCTTATCACACGAGATTCTTATCAGTTGACTGCAAATCCGTTGATAGTTCGGAGCGATGAAGGGTCCGCTCTGAATCAAGCAGGCGGTACCAAACAAGCTGGGGTCGAAAAGAAGCGAGAAAGCAAAAGAGACTAACTGGATCGAGAAGGCGGAGAAGTAAACAACAGTCCTTGGTGGGATGGGGAAGGCGGTAGATGGAGGGTGGTTGGCAAGGCGATCAGGCAGGCGGTGAGCAAATATCCGGAGACAAAAAAAAAAGTTTGGTTAACTCGACCTAAAATCTTGACAACACTGCGGCGAGCTGCGACTACTTCAGCGCTGGGCTTGGGAAATGGGATACCCCGTTCTGGCTTGAAAATCAATTGAAACAACAGGATTTAAAAATGGCCTCGTCTCTTACGGCCCAGCTATCGCGCATCGCGGCCAAGTCGACGCACGAGCTTGACCTCAAAGCGCAAAGAATCTCTCATTCGCAGTCGCTAATCTTCGACCACAAAATTGCCGGTTCTCAAGATTTCGATACAGTATATGATATTTGCTCTGATGGATTCCGGGAATTGTGCTCCCTGGATGGTCGCTTCCGGAAGTTTGAGCTCTCAATCTTCAGCGAGCAGAGCAAAGGCCAGGACCGTACGCAGATGAACTCTGCCCAGAACAAGGAGCTCAATATCACGATAGAGAACTTCCTTGCTTTGGTCGGGGGGGAGGTTGCAACTAAGCCCGGCTGTGAAAGCTGTGGACTGGTTAGTGAGAAGATTTAGGTTTGTCTTTCTCGTCTCGAATTAGTGTTTGCCGACTGAGACTAAGCTGCAAACAGGTCCCACGAGTATAATACGACCGCTATGCTCCTCACATTTCTACCATATCATACCACGCCACTTTTTCTGAACCTACTCTCGATTCTCCCAAATGACCTATCCCCCGCCTTCAAAGTGCTTTACCCCTACAAGGCTGCATTGACGAACCCCCCAAGGCATCCCATCGTCCATAGCGCCACTACAAACAGAGCCTTTTTTGCTGAATTAAATGAATATGTCTTGAGGACATCGGAATTGCGCGCGCATAGCCATCCCCTCCTCTCCTTTTGGGCTGGGATCACTACAGAAGCAGTGGCAGGAATGCTGGAGAATGCCCGCTCAGGAAGGCGAGAAGTCGAGAAACAAAAGCAGGACGACATATGCCGCCAGGTCCTTTCGGTCCTTTCACGGGCCTTTGTTCTGAAAGATGTTTCTGAATTGATCATCAGCTGCTACATGATCTCTGTTGTGTTGGCTCAGAAAGCGTCCTTATCTAACGATTATGTCAATGGTCTGATGGAGTGTGTGGTTGACTCATGGACCCAAGAGACCTTGAGCTCTGGTTTGATTTGTCTCTCTGTTCTTGCCCAGCACAAGCCGTCCGTCGCACTTCCAGAAAGGGTATTCAAGGCTATTAGCCGCCTTGACCGTCTGGTGCCGCAGATTTCGGAGGTCACTGCGAAGTACCAGCCTTCTAAGCTTCTCCTTGGACTTGTCCATGGCTGCTTGAGCGACCTTAGTAAACAGAAGAGCGCCTCTCGAGTACTTCTCGCGAGGTCCATTCTCCAATCGACACTTCTAGGGGATGATTCTTTGAAAGAGGCCATAGAAATGCTTCTCAAGGCTGCCAGCAATACAGATGTGATGCAAGAAGTTTCTCTCGAGACTCAGACTCAAATTACTGAGTTGATTGAAGAATTAACCAGGTCCAGCTCCATTCGGCCGATTTTCCAAGCAGCGATTGCTGAATCTCCGCAGAACATTTCTGCTGTGGAGCTTCATTTGCAGACTCTGCTTGAAGCTCCCGTCCAAACCGGGACCATCCAAGATGTTGAAATGGAAGACGTTGCGCTGGAGCCTGCTACCGACCGCTTCTCTGCTGCTTTAGAGGCCTTCTCTGAGAAGCCGTTGTATTCATCATCGTTCTTGAGCAAGCAGCATATTCCAGAATTTGAAGATCTCGTGCAAATATTGGCTTCAGCATTTGACTCTGATAGCAAGATCTCGCAATTTACGGATTTGCCAATTCTAGGGAAATCCAAGGCCACGCAGTCTCCCCAATACCTCTCTTTCTTCGCCCGTGTTGCCTCCGGCCCTTACCCAACGGGTCCAAAAATTGCAGCCTTGCAAGCGATTTCCTCTGTCATCTCATCAGTGTCTCGTGATTTTGACCCGCAAGCCCTTCTGCCATTCTTGCTTGTTTCTTTGGAAGATAGTTCCCAACGGATCCGGCGTGAAGCCGGTGGTGTCTTGGCTGCTATCAGTTCCCTTTGCAAGAAGTCCAAGGGAGACGATGGCGAATCGAAGAAGCCCTGGGCACATAACTCGATATATGGAAGCGGGAGCCCGTCGGCCGGTATCTCTTGGTTATCTTCACGAGATGTATCCAAGTTCTTGGAACGCTCTTTGCTCCCCGAGCTTGAGGAATCTATTCTTGATCCGGCCCACGTGAGCAAAGTCCTCGATGCTACGCTCAGAGGATCGGTCCTTTCGGAAGATTCAGGTGCATCAGAACTGAAGAAATCTCTACGTCTCAATCTATTCACTTTCTTATGTTCCCATGTTACTCATCTACCAGTCTTCGGCCCTAAGATTCGTCTTCTACGACAGCTGAATGGCGTGAAAAAAGTTTCCGGAACAACCCGCGCGAAAGAACTCTTACCCCTGCTCGAGAACTGGCGCGGTTTGAGCCAAACTGAAGTGGAGGATATCTGTTCCAAGGAGCATATCCCCATCTCGGAGGCCGAGCAAGAGATTGTCGCTATCATTACTCCCAAGGATGCTGATGCAATCGACGCTCTGTTGTCTTTCGTCAGCTCCAGCGAATCTGTTCGGCCATCCTTTGTTACAGCGGACTTCAATCGTATGAAACAGATTTGGCCCAAGGTCGCTGAGGATAGCCAACTTGTTGCAGCCGATAAACTCTTGGAAGTCTCTTTGGGTCTCACAAATGAAAAGGCTTATCTGGCAGACAGTTGTCGTGATGTTCTTCGGAGTGTTGACCTCTCAGGACCAATTCTCTTGAACTACGTCAAGAAAATTCCTGAATCCTTGACTCAGATCGATGGACTCGCCCCTGCGCCAAAGCGAAGACGTACAAGTCAGAATAACATGGTTGCTATGACCGTCAGGGATGAAGCTGAATTCAGTAAGATTGTTGATAAGATGACTTTCATCCTTGAAATCGTTGATAGCTCCACCCCAGAGTCCCACCCGGAGCTTGCCGACGGCCTCTTCCAGACTCTTGCCGCCCTTCACCATTTCAAGTCACAGATCCAATCTGGAATGAGCTACCTCCTCAGCCTTACACTCGGTAGTTTGCTAGCTATCGTGAACAAGTCCAAAGCCTCTGCCAAACCGCTTTTTGATACATCTGTTATTCGAGCCGACCTTGTTGTGGATTGCGTACGAACCACGGAAAGCCCGCAAGTGCAGAATGCAGCCCTACTGCTCGTTGCTGGTATCTCTGTCATTGCTCCGGAGCTTGTTCTTCACAGTGTTATGCCCATTTTCACTTTCATGGGCTCTAGCGTTCTTCGCAAGGATGATGATTATTCTGTTTCCGTTATCGATCAGACGATCGATCAGGTGGTTCCAGCGCTTATTCAATCTCTGCGCGATCAGAAACGGGACGTCGTTTCTGGTACTTCTGAGCTCCTGCTCAGCTTCACTGCGGCGTTTGAACACATCCCATCCCACAGGCGCCTCCGCCTGTTCCACGCATTGATCACCAAGCTCGGCACGCAAGACTTCTTGTTTGCTGTCCTTGCTATGCTCGCCAATCGATATGCTACCAACAAGGATGTCCTCACTTTGATGAGCGGCGTGGTCTCGGATACTGATCCAGTTGTGGAACTCACGACGTACAGCAAGTACCTCAACCTTGTTATTGACGCATTGAAACCCAAGCCAGGTATCTCCCAGGTTCTTCTTGGAATTGGCAGTGATGATGGTCGCGACCCTCAAAAGGTTTCGGTCGATCTCCTCAGGGACCTTGCTCACCTGCTCAAGCATTCCACTCTCAAGTCCAAGTTGGAAGTCGCATTCTCAAAGGACGATGATTTCTCGAACCAAGCTCGGGCGTGCTTCTCGCGGGTTCTGGAGCAAGTCCTCTCCATTGGTGAATCCGTCAAGACTATGGCACAAGTCAGTCACGCATGTGGTGAAGTTCTCGGCTCCCTGTTCAGTACTCTGTCTTTCGTGGACTTCTTGGATACTGTCGAGGTTTTGTTGGATGGACCTGACAATGATCTTCGTTGTAAACTCCTTCGCCTTCTGGAGAACCGCCTTCGGCAGAGTCCCGAGCGAGACAGCGAGTCTCAAATCAGAGTCCTCGATTTTCTCCCCACCTTGGTCAAGATTGTGGAATCTCCTTCCTTCCTCCCTCTTCTCAAGCATGCCGCAGTTGCTTGTATTGACCGCGTGACGGAAAAGTACGGCCGCAAGGACCCATCAAAGGTCATCACAGCCGCTAAGGTTGTGGCCAGCCCATCTTGTCTCGGGGTTGATGACGATCGCATCCGTAATATGGGTGTCCTGTGCCTTGCGTCCATGGCTGAAGTGCTCGGCGAGGCAATGATTCCCGCCCTTCCCGATACATTGAGCCAGTCGTTCAGGCTACTGGAACTTAGCCTGGCGCCTGGGAAGGAGAACGCACGTCTGCACAATGCTGTGTTCTCTCTCCTCTCTGCTCTTCTTGCGAACTTGCCGTTCATGATTTCGAGTTCCCACCTCGACAACATTTTGCTCCTCTCTTTCAAATCCACTGAGGCTGGTCTTGAAGAAAGTTGCGATGAAGCCCGTGAGGGATACCCTCCGTCTCTTGGCGGCTCGCAAGATGGATTTTTTCGGCCACCCTTGGAGCGATCGAACGTAACTGGCTGGCGGCCGTCAGCTCCGGAGCAGAAGCCACCAACGAGGTTCTCCAAACCCTCAGCCTCGCAGTCGAGAAAAACCCCAAGTCGGTTATCGTCAAGAATATCGACATTCTTTCTCGGATCCTTTTCAACGCATACGATCTGCGACGCCAAGCTGGCGGTCTTGCGGACGTCAAATTCAGTGCTGACCCCTCTGAATTGGATGAAGCTGAGACCTTGCTGAACGACGTCACGATCAAAATGATCTATAAGCTGAATGACAGTACTTTCCGACCGCTCTTTGTGAAGTTCGTTGATTGGGCCACCACTGCTGCCCCGAAGGACAAAGATAGCCAGATTGCTCGTCTGACCACTTTCTACAAGTTCCTCCAGGTTTTCTTCGGTACACTTCAGGTATGCTCACTCACCTCCCGTGGATTGAGCTCGCTCACTAATGTTATATAGTCAATCGTTACCAGCTACTCCAATTATATTTTGGAGAACGTCGTTCAGGTCTTGGCGACCGTTGGCCCTGCTTTGAATACCAGGCCACTGTGGCTTGCCAGTCTTCGCACACTGCGCAATTCGTTTGAACATGACCAAGATGGTGAGTTCCATTTCCCCGGAGGAAATAAAATACCAATTAAACTAACAAACTCTGGTAGAATTTTGGCAATCTCCCTCCCATCTGGCCAGCATCACGGGGCCTCTCGTTGCTCAGCTGGCACATGCTACTACCGCGAAGACTGCCGAGATTGTCGCCGCCGAGGTAATCCCTGCTATTGTGGAACTTGCGGTCGCAGCCGACTCGACCGACAACTACAAGGAAATCAACAATGTCCTCATGAAATATCTCCGACCATCCTTTGGCCCGAATGCCCAGTCAACTGGTGGTGCCAACCCCTTCACTCGTTTGGTTGCCGTCAAGACCGAGCGCGCCCTTACCGAACAACTTGGTGAAGAGTGGCTCGCTCTCCTTCCCGAGATGCTTCCATACATTAACGAGCTGCAAGAAGATGAAGACGAGGGCGTTGAGCGAGAGGTGCGCAAGTGGGGCAAGCACATTGAAAATATTATTGGGGAGAAGATCGATGATATGATGAATTAGATATCGATTATAGTGGCTCCCCTGTACCCCCCAAAAAGCATTTATGAGGCGTTCGTTTCTTAGACTCCTGGAGGGACATACTGCTAAACGTCTACTCAAAATAAAGTTACTGTCTATATCAATGTTTGGATGAGAGTCTTAATCATGTACAACAGCTTGTACGTTAAGCTGTGGTAGTAGTTCCTCATTTAGTTGCCTGGGATTGGCGCATCCGCAGCTTCAACGCCAGCATTCCATCTGTACTTGAACGCCGGATGGTCAGAGGGTGGTCCAGATTGACCCGGACGTCCGTACAGGTTTTCGCGATAGGTTCCCTTCTGCACCGCGTACTCGTCCCAGAAGAGTCCTCGCTTGCGAAGTTCGGGGATCAGCAGATCAATCACGTCCTTGAAGGATCCTGGCTTGACTGCGTAGGCCTACGTGGTGTGCTATTAGCTTACGGTCGAGAAAAGCGGCGTTGGAGGGATCCTCACCAAATTGAATCCATCCACATCGGCTTCTTCCACCCAACGCTCCATAGCATCTGCGACCTGCTGTGGTGTGCCAACAGTCGTGGCACCGAGACCGCCGACGGTGATGTGCTCCCCCACAGTCTTCTTGGTCCACTTGGCGACCTCGGGGGTCGCCTTCGACCAGCCCTCGACCGCCGACCTATCCAAGGTCAGCATACTCAACTTCTTATGGACTAATATCTAGTCAGCTTACCGAATCGCATTACTCTCAACATGTCGCAGCTCCTCGTCGTCGCCATATTTGTCCAAGTCAATGCCAGTCCAGCCTCCAAAAAGCGCCAGCGCCCCGTCGATGGATCCCAAGCTGCGGTAATACTTGAATTTCTCAACCGCCTCCTCTTCAGTGTGACCAAGCACGGGACACAGCAAGGCTAGGAATTTGATACTTTGGGGGTCCCGTCCGAATTGGTCCTTGGCCAGCTGGCGAATCTCAGCCACGTTCTTTGCAACCACCGAAGGGCTGTGCCCAGCAACAAAGATGGCTTCCGCATGCTGAGCAGCAAAGGTCTTGCCGGCTTTAGAGGTTCCAGCTTGGAGGATGACTGGTGTGCGCTGAGGACTTGGCTGGGTAAGGTGAGGCCCGGGCACGCTGAAGTACTTGCCCTCGTGATTGATTTGCCGCACACGCGATGGTTCGGTGTAGACGCCTCGTTCGCGGTCCAGCACCACGGCGTCCTGGCGCCATGAAGACTCCCACAGCTTATACGTAACTTTAACATACTCTTCTGCGACAGCATATCGGTCATCATGCTGGATTTGGGTTAGCTGAAGCCTTGAATGGCTGATTCTGCGGAACACTTACATGTGGTTGTTCTGCTTGGCCCATGTTTCGTGCCGCAGAATCGAGATAACCAGTTACGACCTGGTCTTGCTATCAGATATCTTTTTCCTGGACTTGAACAGATGGCTAGCATCAGTGATACTTACATTCCACCCTAGTCTAATGTCCCAAGATTAGCAAAAGCTATATTCAAGTCCGAGTCGGAAGCACGTACCGTCCCTTCGTGAGGTGATCCACGGTAGACAGTCTCCGAGCAAGGTGGTAAGGCTGCTCGTATGTCGTTGTGACTGTCACGCCGAATCCAATATTCTTTGTCGCTGCAGCCATTGCTGGAACCACAGCCAAGGGCTCGTTCACGGGCCACTGGGCTCCGGATACTATTGCAGGATCCAAATTCTTGGGCCCCTTGTAGACATCATATCCCCCCAAAACATCTGCGATAAAGATGCCATGGAACTTGGCAGACTCGAGGAGTTGAGCAAGCTCAATCCAGTGGTCGACATCGTTGAATCGCCAGGACTCGTCTTCTGGGTGGCGCCATAAGCCGGGAGACTGATGTCCACTGCCTATACCGATGTTAGCAAGGAATTGCGAAGGCAATGGAACAGACACATACACATCTCGACGAAGGCATTCAGGATAAGTGACTTGCGAGGCTTTCCGCCCCCAGCTCCGTTTTGCGACATCGGTGTAGTTGGCGGTTGGTGATTCCCGAGGCCTTTCCAACCCTATGGAGCAAAGAAGTTGATTAGAGGAAATCGAGATAGAGTCAGTGAGGGAAGCAGATTAGCTCCAAAGGTCTCGTTTTGCAAGGAATACCCCTCCAATATGTACGATCGACATGTACTCCCCGCGTGCGTCATTCGATCACGATGTGTATAGCACCAAAGTGGGTCACGATGGCGCGATGCGGCCGGGCTTCAGGGGCTCGATTCCTTTCCAGCCTGCATTTCTACTGGATGATGTTACTTTAGAATTGGGCAAGCGCATGAACTCTATCCTATGAAGGCTACTCTTTTCTTCGAGCTCTCTCGCCCGAGAGGCCTAGTACTTGCTGCGGCTATGAAGGTTGACTGCCTCGTCCTGTACAGACTCGTCCGAGACGGGGTCGCCCAATCAGCGCTCATGTGGATCGTGCCCGCATTGCACGTTCTATAAACTAATACAAGGGAGCTCTTGTAATATGTGTAGCCCATGAGCATTGAGATGGAGGTTGTTAACGGACCTCCTACAGTCCCTTCCCAGTACCCGTGAGTCGTAGCTCGTGAGTCGTAGTGCATTCCCATCGTCCCCTTTTTCTTGAGGATCACCATGTGAATATCACCTACAATGACACCATCCCGACCGACATAGCTATTGACTGGTTCAAACTTAATTCGTAATGAGTTGCTTGGCTGAATTGTCGGAAGAGCACCTCATCGCGAACGTCTATCGAGTCATCGCCGATCGCCCGCGGCTTATTGGCTTTCATCCATACCCGACCCCATGGGCACCCTAGATACAGCGATTCTGAGTAGCCCAAGTGCTGGAAGCTCTATCTCAGCTTTTTTGACTCGTTATAAACATGGTTCAGCCCCAGGGCCATGGGCCTGGATCTGTTCCCCTATTAGAAGTATTCTGGTACCTCCTCCTAAATTCATCTCGACTTACTGGTTTTCTGGGTCTCGACCAACTGCATTTTGATCGCCTAATATAACTTTGCGAATGTCTGGCCTGCAGGCACGAGCTGCTGCCGCGGCTGTGCAGCCGCCTCTGTCCCAGGCGGTTGGTTATGTTGTCGTCGTGGTAGTTGGTGTCATTATCGCCCTGGGTAAGCTGTTCAGTCCACAATGAGGCTCTAGAGTTCTGACAGGGGTCAACAGTGATGATGGTGATTACCAAGGTCTTGAAAAAGACCACGGGCGAGGATAACAAGAAAACTGAAATGTGCGGACTCTTCCTCCCATCAGAAACAAGTAGGCGCTAATAAATCACTTTAGGTTTATGACCGCAAATCGCACAGTGAGAACCGGCCTTACTGCGTCTGCTGTTATCTCGGTAAGTGGAATCCCCTTTTTGTGTCTTTTCTTTCTAACATTCCTGTCCAGTCATGGCTCTGGTCGACAGCCCTCCTTGGGTCTTCGTTCGTTGGATATGATTACGGCGTTGCTGGCCCTTTCTGGTTCGCAGCAGGATGCAGTCCCATGATTGTGTTCTTCGCGCTGCTGGGTATCTCCTGCAAGCGAAAGGTCCCGAAGCCCATACCTCGCTGGAGGTTGTCCGGATTCGCTATGGTAATTCCCCCCCCCCCCCGGGAATCTTCTGCAGAATCTCTGCATACTGATGTCAATATGCAAACCAGGTCGAACCGCGCATGTTGTTTTCATGTTTCTCTGTCTGGTTAACAATATCTTCGCGTGCGCAAACATGCTTCTCGGCGCTGCTGCCGTCATCTCTGCTATGTATGTCTCTGAGCCACCGGCTAGGTTTCAATGCCGACTCACAAATTCAGGTCTGGGATGCATGTCATCGCTGCCACCTTCTTGCTGCCCGTTGGTGTAACCGTCTATACATTTGTCGGCGGGATCAAGGCGACGTAAGGATATTTTGCCTCTTTTGACAGATGGTTCTTGCTATGATGCTGACTCCTCACAGATTCTTGACCGATTATTTCCACACAGCTATTATTCTGATCATCGCATGTTACTTTTCTGTCAAAGCATTCACGGCCGACCAAGTCGGCTCCGTCGGCAACCTCTACGAGCTCCTCCAGGCTGCCGCTGTGCGAAACCCCGTGTCTGGTAATAAGGGCAAGACCTACCTTACTATGACTTCAAAGGGTGTATGTTCAATTTGAATCATATATGACAGAACTTTCGCTAATCAGTGCCCAGGGAATCTTGTTTGGTATTTTGCATACCCTAGGAAACTTTCGGTCTAGTCATTGTAAGTAGCGCTGTATGACCTTTGGGAAAAGACGATATCCTCATCCCTGTCCAGATGGACACTAGTTACTTCATCAAGGCCTTCTCAGCCTCCCCCGCTGCGGTCGTTCCTGGATACACCATTGGCGGTATCGCTTACTTTGCTATCCCATGGGCTTTGGGAACCGTGATGAGCTCCGTTGCTCTAGGCCTGGAAAACCAACCCAACTTCCCAACATACCCAAGGGTGAGGTTCTTCCACGTCAGGAAATTACATCCCTCCTATGCTAACTGCCCTTCTAGCGTATGACCACCGCGGAAGTCAGTGGTGGGTTGGTTCTTCCATACGCTGCGATTACCATCGCGGGCAAAGGCGGTGCTGCGGCCGTCCTTCTGATGACCTTCATGGCTGTCACCTCCACGCTCTCTGCCCAGGTTATCGCAGTCAGCTCGATTTTGAGCTTCGATGTATACCGGGAGTATTTCAAGAAGTCGGCTACCGACAAAGACCTCATCCGCGCCAGCCACTTTGGTGTTATCTTCTTCGCCGCCTTCTCAGCAGGCTTCAGTACGATGCTCCACTACGTCGGAATTGATCTCGGTTGGACTCTGTATATGCTGGGTGAGTGGGATTATCTGGTTATCCTTAAACTGGACTGTATTAATGAGCATCATTCCAGGTGTGGTCACCTGCCCAGGTATCTTCCCCATGGTCTTCACAATCCTGTGGCGCCACCAGAGCAAAGCCGCTGCGATTCTGTCCCCCATCCTGGGAATGGCAAGCGGGATTGCGGTCTGGCTGGGGACGTCCGTTTACTTTGGCGGAGAAGTCTCGGTCACCTCTACAGGTGAGGTGCTGCCTTGCATGTATGGTACCGTGACATCTTGCTTCTCGCCCATTCTCTACTCCGTTGTGATCACCCTGATCAAGCCCCAACGGTATGATTGGGCAGACTTCAAGAAAGAAAAGCTAGCGCTGGAGAAGCTCGAGAGCGACCTGACCACTGCCCACCACCGGGAGATCCCCACTCAAAGCGAACAGAGTGACCCTGAAGAAGCGAGTCCGACTGGTGCGGCCTATAGTGCCAAGGAACTAAAGAGGTGGGGTAGTATCGCCGCGTTTTGGTCGATCGCCACATTCCTCGGCCACTGGGTCATATGGCCTTTGCCGATGTATGGCTCTGGCTATATTTTTGGGAAGACGGTATGCTACTGCACGAACTGGTCGCGAGATAAGGCTAACGTTGTGTAGTTCTTCGTCGCTTGGGTTGTCGTGGGTATCATCTGGCTCTGGGCACGATGCTGATCGCCATTGTTTACCCTCTGATCGATGGCGGTATCAGCCAGATCGCTCAGGTATACCGAGGGTTGACTAGTCGGGGGGCCCTTTCTTACGATGAAACGCAAGGAGAGGAGATTGGGGCTACCAGTACGTCTGCGTCTGGATCTGTCAGCGAGCGGATCGGAGAGAAGGCTACTGCAGAACTGCACAAGTAAAGAGCTTGAATGAGCACGTGGCTAGTGGCATTTGGTTTCATTTGGTTTCCGGGGGGGGGAACCCGGGCTCCATGTGGCTATTGACGCGATCATGTGCATACCTTAGTAGTAGTTAGAATTGCCCTGAGCGTCATATATGAAGCTCTCCTGGAAATCAAGCTGAAAATAAGTATGAACGAGAATCTGTACGCAGAATTGAATAAATACATGTAGGCCCAAACGAATGACGGTCTACATCAGAGCTTGGAAGCTATATATTCATAGGCGAATACTATCCGGCCGCCCGCCAGTCCCGAATCGTGTGCAAGACCATATCAATTCTCTTATTGGAAGCCAGCTCTCATATTGGCGTACTGCGAGGCTGGATAGCTCAACTGATTCTGGCTACTATCCAAGGCGCCAGTCCCCCCGAAGGTCGACACGACCTGACAAGCCCATTAGCAGATGTCATTGATACCCATGGACAGTCAGCGCTTACCGTAGAGATCAGACTTTCAGACCCGTTCTTGTCGCTGCTGCTCTCCCACCACATCCCACCGCCGAGACCCTTGGATTGAATGTACTGCGCCTTATTCTGCGCGACCTGTGGTGTATCATAGCTCACCATCATCCGCTGGCTGGAATCGTAGCTGTAGCTTGCGACGGGCTGATCCAAGTAGTTCACAGCGGCACCTTCCAGGGGCAGCGCCTTGTAGTCCCACACTCCGTTCTCCCACGAGCCGCTGCCGACACCACTGTAGTTGGTTCCAGGGCCGTCCGTGTTCATAAACGAGCGGCCATATAATGGCATGCCCATGACAAGCTTATTTGCAGCCACGCCGTGAGAGAGATAGTAGTTGATGGCTTGATCTGTGTTGAACGGGGTGCTTGGAAGGCTGCTATCGGATGCGTAGATATTAGCATCATGGCCAGCAATGGTGTCCCAGCTGCCAGAGTAATCGTAGGCCATCAGATTCCAGAAATCTAAATAGTGATCCATATCGCTGATATGGAGATTTTGATAATTCGCAGGACCTTTTTAAATCATTAGCATATCAACACAATTCTCCATGAACCTGAATAGATAGAGCCTTACCGGCTGGAACGGCAGCAGTGATAAGGAAATGGTAGCCAGAAGCATTGGCAGCACTGTATGAATCCAGGGACTAAGCATTGTTAGTAAGAAAGATCACAATTTTTAGATGTGTCGGGGGATTTTGTCACGTACAGAGCGCAGTGCTTGCAAGGTAGCCACAAAGTCGTTAGCCTGGTCACTGTCGGTGGGATACTGTGGCATCATTTAGCGTTTATCTCAACCATCAAATCCTCAAAGACTGACCTCCCAGTCTATGTCAATTCCATCTAGACCCAAATCCTTGACCAAGGTAGTAGCAGTCGAGGCAAATGTTTGCCGTCCGCTTTCACTGCTGAGCGCGCCAGCGAAATTAGAGGAATAAGTCCATCCTCCGATGGACAGGAGAACCTTCAACTGTCTGTTCCGCTGCTTGAGTAAGAACAGCTGCTTGATACAGCCATAGACATTATTCCCTTGGTCATTCCAGGAATCTGAGGAATAGTGCTTCTCAATATCGGCCCAAGTATCAGAGAGGTACACCTCCCCATCGGAGCGCACGTTTGCAAAAGCATACAAAACATGCGTGAGTCGCTCGGCGGGAAGATCTTGAGGGTTGAAGGCCCTTCCATAAATTGCCTAAGCAGATACATGAGCTCTGGTCATCTTTTCTGTCCGTCTTGGAGCTTACCCAGTTCACAAAGTACGCTACCGAGCGGTATCCGGTCGCATCACGAGTCTCCAGATCTTTCTTGACCTCGACATGACGCGGAATGACACCCGCGTTCACCAAGCAAGTCAGGCTTAGTACAAAATAAAATATTTTCCACATTGTTTGCGACACAATCATGGTAATGGCGAAGTGTCTGTGTTTGATATTGTGATAGCCCAATGAAATTTTGAATCCCACCCGAGAAAGAGAGGCGCGATCGTCATTATTTGTAGTTCAATGCTCCAGGTTACCTTGAGTTCTTTTCCTCAAGGGTTCCCCGCCGATAGCCAAGTTACCAGTGTCCGCACGACCGAACGTCACCCTCCCTGCCGAGTGACAATCTCGACGGTTGCCTCGTAGGTTTGAAACGCCTGTTCAACGCCTCTCGAGCGGAGCGGAATGTAAGCCGGCCAACAATCGAGGATCCAATCTAACCGGGGTTGAGCATGTGCGCAGATGCATTTCAGCACACGAACTCTTCATCACGGGGCATTTCGACAGATGTCCGGCTGAACGCCACAATAAACGGCGTGCCCAAGCTTATCGCAGAGCAACTTATACATCCCAACCATGTCACTGCTAAGTATGAGTTTCAAGCTCGATGAGCATCCAATATGGAACAGTACAGCCTGGCCGTCTCATATTTTTGGCGGGTGCAATATCACAATCCCTCCTCAAGTTGCGCCAGGGTCGGAACATTTCTCGCATGGGGAATCTTATGCCCGGTTGACATAACGTCCAGATCTGCGGTTTATTGGACGGCGAATAGGGTAACATCGTTGATCTCAAGCCGTTTCCATATGGGAAAGTTCAAGTCTATCGGAGTATATCGTGATATTGTGCTCGCGGTGGGCCTCGTGCACCTTCAACATCCGCGTCTGATCAAGGCGGGGAGCTCGAAAATAGAGCGAGCCCGCGGATGTAACTTCGGGGAAGGCCCCCTTTTTTTCTCCCCCACCCGCTAGTACCAGGCTGGTTCGTTTGACAGATTAGCATCTGGCGGAGAGTGCTGACGGAGACTGCAGGAACTTTAACCGCAAGTTGCTTGCCGCACCGCGAGCTGCAGGAACGGATCATCCGCGATAAGCCAATGTAACACTGAGACCATGCGACCTGTGCAGGTGCCATTCCACTCTGCAGGGAAATTTACATATCCTAGGCTGGAGGCAATCCTTGCGGGCTTGACGATCTCAGTACCTACTCTGACAGGGTGTATGTCTTTGCCGGAAGTGACCGGGGGCCGTCAAAGCCCTCCCCTTCGTAATGTCGTAAATAAATTTGAGTCATGGCAATAGGTTAATGTTGCCATTTCAGCTTTTTCTCTATATTGATTTTTCACGATTCTTGTGCTATGTCGATGGAGTATGTACAGGAATCATTCATCCAACAGTGCCTAGGTTGCAAACCGTGGAGCTCGGTTTCTGTCATTGGGAAATGCACGGCCTTGCGTATGTAGATTCGATCACACAAGTCGGGTATTTTGCAGGAATTAGTCCCTCACAATGCGTTATCAGCACACGACCAAGCCCCCGATCCACTAGATTTCGAATAGCTTTGGGCGATGCTGACCGCAGAGCCATACGTGCCCGCGACCATCAAAAAGGTCCCTATCAACAAGACCAACCCGCTCCAGATAACCATCGCTACCCATCGTGGTGACTTTGCTGTCTTTCCTTGTGACCAGTTATCGTATAACCACATGCAGGCCATTGGCTGGAAACACATGAGCGTACCTAGAAGAGCGCCAATGAGAGATACCAAGCCGTCGAAAACCGGAATACCACTTGCGATCACATAAGCTACTATGGTCACACCAGATGTGCACCCCAGCCATGCGGCCCAGTGCCGGATGCTGCTGGAAGTGAGATGCGGAGAGCCTCGCATGACGCGAAGGAAAATGTACTTGGCGGGCACCTGTTCCACATATCAGTGTTTGGAAACCAGCGGTGCGGGAGTGATGGGCATATTTACATGAGTCACGATAGTCAGGGTGACAATCAGACCAGGTAGAGCAAAGGCATAGCTGATCTTTTTTACCAAAGGCCCTGCTGAGCTGAGGGCGGGCGATGCTACGTAGGAGCCGCAGAAATAATAAACAACACATCCGATCGTGATATACACTGCTGTGACGACGCTTTGACAAATCATCAGCGAGCGGGTGTACATCCGCGGATCTCGCATTTCTGAGGCGATGGAGAAGAAGGAGGGTGTGCCGGAGAATGCAAAGACGATCGAAGAGACAGATGTAATGGCGTCGGTAAACGAGGGACTGGCGATGATCTTATAGTCCGGTACCCAGGAGCCATTCTGCGGTGCTGATGCTGGCCGATCCTCAACTCCGACCGCGATAGTCACAATGAGAACTGCGTGGATGCTTTTAGGGAACTTCTTTCGATAATAAATTTGAATTTGAAGGATTCGGACTTACTTGCTGTCAAGATGCAAAACAAGCCTCCCCAGGCCATGAAGCCAATCTTGGCCAGGGTCTGTATACTGCTAAGGATGAGCCCTATTACAGCAGACACTGCAACATAGGCTGCCGTGCAGGTAGCATGGCTTGAAATGGCATTCAATGAGATGGACACGCCCAGCATGCCAGAGCCAGAGACAAAGACCCAATCTTTTCATAGTCAGGATATATGCACAGGGGCCCCTCTTCTCTGCCAGTCTTACAGAGGACGAAAACGATCTCAAGAAACCACATGCCAGGCTGGCCAAAGATCATCTTTCCAACATCTCCAACGCCGTAAACCTCGGGATGGTTCAGTTTGAAGACTCCGATCATATAGTCTGACCACGTTGTAATGACGGCAATAATGACCAGGATGATGACCCCTGGAACTATTCCCAAGCTTTCAAAAGCAATTGGAATCGAAAGAACTCCCAGTCCGATCTGAGTCTTCATCATGAGAGCTGCAGTGACAATCCACCCAACCTACCAATGATTAGCTTCGACGGTCGACTCAAAGACTTCCGACTTCCTCGAGTGCTCGCATACATTACGGTAGTTAGGGCCGTCCTCTGAAATCTCCCCAAAGACGGCATCATGGGTCAGGTTTTGGCCTTCGCGGGCCTGGCCAAGAGAATTGACTGGGGAAAGTTGATCTTCCTTCTTCGTCATCATTTTACATTGGAGGTAGAAAAGTGGAATGACGGTTCGACCCACGCTTAGGGTTACGGGGGGCTCTCCGAAGCTTTTTGAACAAGATCGTACCCCAGATTCCTCCTTGGCCGCCCCGCTAGTATAATATTGCATTGCTGTGGGGCCTGACTCCTTGAAGCTCTTCTCCTTTTTTCTTGAATTAATGTTTCCCAATTTCCATCCCAGTGGTTCTCATTCCTGGCAGGGAATTTCGTCAAGCCACAGCAGCTAAGAATGACCCAACGCTACATTAACTCACTGCCTGATGGAATGTAGTCTCAGACTGCCGATAGCCTGTCTTCCTCACTGGGTATTTGCTCTACTCGGGGGCCTCTTTCTCCGCATTGAAGATTTAAAAAGCCCCCTTCTGGACCACGACCCCAAGGACTTTGGAAAGCGTGGCGAATGCCGACATTGCAGGGTGGGAGCTGACCCCTGGAACTTGGAAGCAAATCCCGTCTCAATGTGCCATCCAGTAGGGTGGTCCTAGCCAAGGACAGATCAAAACTCATTACCTTGAAAGAGACATTATGCTGGTACCATGGCGGGAAGAACCTGGCGTTTTAACGTCTCGCAATCGCTGTAGAGCCCCGTCGTCGAAAGGCGCAGCTCACCCGCCATCTCCAGTTCTGCGATGGCCCCTTGCTTATCGGCAGAGCCCCACTGGTTCCAATGCACTTGGGTAAGCTCTGGGCTATTGCGAGCTCTGGGTTACTGCGGCCAATTGCGTAACAACTTGGCCGGGACTCGTCTTCACAGATTCTCCACATCGCCGCGTTTCTCCTCATGGGGCCGCTCCCCACATCAATATTGGGTCGTACGGGGAAAGATCTTAGGGTTGGGGATGATGTTGATATTATGGATGGAGTTGAGGCTCTCGAGTGTCGGGTGCTGGGCCCAGTGGTTAAGCCCTATGGCGTCGGTATTTCACTGACGATGTTAGGAATGGCTTGATCAAGGAGAGGTTAGGAGGCTACGGCAGGCCTCCCGAGATGTACAAAGGTGCTTTGCGAACACGACTGGAAGAGTTTTTATCATAGAGCCCATGGGATGGGTCCTCGCGATCTGTCGGTTTTTCCGGTCAAAATCTCAAACCTTGATCCTCACCTGCCCCGCGCTGCATTTCCCGTAGTTTCAATGCAAACTTTGGAACGAGAACTTTTCATCTCCACAAAAGCTGGATGACTGCTAATCCGAGCATCATCGGACGAACGGCCTGATCCGAGAGCCTTGAAATTGGGCACCTTGTTGAAGGGGAGCTTCATCGTCCGCTTTTCATATCAATATTATATCGGAACATTGGAGTTCATTGAATCTGCACCATCCGAGCTCTTTCTACATCGCATCAAGCTGGCTGCGATTGGCGTCGATGAGGAACGCTCGCTTCAAATGTTTGAGAGAAAGGTTTGCGTCTCTATTAGGCACTCTGGCCATCATTCGAGGGAAGCAGAGGTAAACAAGACAAAATACACCACAGCCCCTTCTTGACTTGATTTGTCAGAAGATGCTTGTGATCGTCGCAGTCTCACACTTGAGCAACCCACTCGTAACGACAAATCTTGAGAGGTTTAATGTTGCAAAAGTCAAATCATCAACTCCTATTCCAAATGCACAATCCTACTGCAGGAAATACAGTCAGGAAGGAGGAAAGTACTAGTAGCGAAATAGTAATATAGGTGAGAAAGGGCTTTTGAGGTTCATATAGATACAAAATTATCCTCAAGGCTCGAGAGGTCAAGAAAAACTCCTCGCTATAAAGCGAGGTAAAAGACAAGGCACTAGAAAGGGGTATTTTCACAGGTGAAACAAACAAAAAGGCATGTCAGTCGTCATCGCAGTGTGGAATGAAAGGCATTTCAGCGCTTCGGAGATAGGGTATTAAACAAGTGCAAGAATTTTGAAGTCGAAACGGCTCATGAGAAGGCAGGCAGAGGTCGAACAATCGTCTCCGAATAATCCGGGGGAGGGCTCACGTCCACAACCGCTTCGTGCATCAATGGCGCGATTGAGCGTGGCCTGAAAAATTCGTTTAGCTCTGCCTCCGTCACAAGAACGTCGAGAGAGGTTTTGACCGCATTGGCATACTTGGGCGGGGTGGTGATTTGTATGGGAAGACGGAGCGAGATGGTCGGGGTGAGGATGTTGGCTTGCGGTGTGTGATATGAGAGAGACAGGTCTAGGGCGTAGATGCGAGATATAAGGCAAGTATGGAAGGTTGGTACGAAGGCTTTTGTGTCTGGGAGGTTGATCGGGATCACGAGAGAGGCAGTGTAGAAGGTGGACGAAGACGCCGTTGAACCCTGCGATAAAGCCTGCGACGAAGCCTCCGAGAACGTTGAATCTACCGAGTCGCGCCGTTCTACGTCTGCTGTGCTGTGTTTCTTCCATTTCGCTGAGGCTACACACATGGTAGACAAAGGAACAGTCTCTGTGAAGAGTCCCTGGCCAATATGAGAGAAGGGGACAGATCCAGACTGCGATGGGAAATCCTCCCAGGGCGTGGCGCTGTAAAATGTATTGACTCTCAACCTGCTCACCAACGAGCCTAGCATCGGTGGTTGTTCGTCGCTCACTGGGTCGAAACGAAGCTTCACGTTCGCCACAGTGCTCACACGCTGGTCGCAGTCAGGCGGAAGAAGTTGAACGGGGTTAGGCTGAGTTGACGACGCAGTCATTCGACCGAGTTTGCTGCGCAAGAACCCGCGTTTCACGCTCTTCTCCTTCTTCAGCCAGTAGTTTGCGTTATCGAGGATAGGGATCGGAGGGGCTTCTTCTGTGTAAGGAATTATGCGGATCTTCTTCCCCACGTTGGCCAGAGTCTTCAATCGACCGTTGTCGGTTGTGGATCGTGCCAGGACGGACGCCCGGATGACATACGCGATCCGAACCATGTCAGGGGCCATGTCATTTAGAAGGGTCTTCCCGTTCCCTGAGATCATCGGGTCTCCCAATGTTGGTGGAAGCATGGTGTGCGACTGGTGGATCTGGGCATTGCAGGTTTCGTGGGTACACACATGCGGCAGCAAGCGATCTGGAACAACAAAAGTAAAAGGAAACTTGTAGAGTTGGTTTGTTTCCAGAACTCGTGGCGTTGGATATTCATCCGGTTGAATCGGCTGGCGCAGCTTCAGAAACATTTGTTTCGAGCCGGTTCGCCCAGGGCATGCTGCCCGCTCAACAGTGGTATGCGAAATTCCTGCGGTGTATTATCGTGAGCTGCGGTTTCTCAGATGCTTCGATTCCAGAGGACCATACCTTGAAAGATGATTTCAATATCATCGAACCTGGTATCGTGTTCGACCGAGACGGTCACAGTTCCATGAATTTGATCTCCAGTGGTATACGAGCTGACTAGTCCTGGTTTCTGCCCGTCTAGTTCGATCTCGACCTTGGGGGCTGCACGCCGACCCCAGATGTCGCGCGAATCTGACATGCGGCTGCTAGTTGAAGACATTGTGATGTGAAAGAGAGTCTATGTTGAGGAAGGCGCTTTTTATCTGCGACACCGTTTGGGGAACCAAACGAGGGCCCTAACCGAGAGGTCTTGAATTAATCGACTTTTTTTTAAAAGAAACAGAAAAGAGAAAATCACAGCCGATGCCCTGGTTTAAAACCAGATCAGCTCTGGAGTCGAGAAAAATTAAGTAGAAAGTGGAGCCGTGGACAACCGCGCCGTTCTTCTCACGTAGTTTGCGCGGCCTGAATGTGGAGGCCCCTCGTTTTATAGATCAGAAATGGCGATCGATACGTGCTACGCGTCAGAAAGACAATCTAAGGTTTTTACAAATCAACGCTCGTGAGTCATTCTCGACCGCAACTCGGAATTAAAGAGAGGGAATGCTCGAAGGCGTAGGATTGTGGATGGATGATTGGCTGTGGAAAGGGGGGAAGTGTTAGGCCATGTCCACGCCCTTGGATTGGCATTCCCCCGTTGACTGACTTGCACTAGTCGAGTCTCACACGAGGACGCCAAACGCCAATCTCTTATCATTAGCCACGCGTAGGACGCCAGTGACCTCATTGGAATGTCCCGCTCGACAACTGCTGGAGATTCAGGGCCTTGGGAAACCCTCAGTCGTACAGGCCGCCCAAGCTCTCTTTCTCTCTTTCTCTCTTTCTTGAGATATCCGAAATCCGAGCAACAATTCCGAGCTCTGTGATAGTGGGGTCTGACGCAGAATAACCTGGGCACGCCTTACGGCGACATCTTTCACGCCCTTTGGTGGCTCCACCCATGTCGATTTCATCGAGTCAAAAGCCACGCTGCGATGCTCGACGGTCGCTGGCTTCAATGCGGCCAATCATGGCCCGTCGCCGTGACGCGACACCCCTCACTCTGACCCCGTGGGATCCCAAAGTATCGGGGCACAGACATTCGTCTCCGATGACTGCTTTAGGCATAGGATGATTCGAAAATCAGTCCACGTCTCGATCCCTAAATTCATAAAGGTTCTGGGATCCAAACCCCGAGCTTCAAGCACTTTCCCGAGGGGAAGAATCAAGCCGGTTAACCGTTCCAACAGGTCCATATATTTCCGCCCGTAACCGAGTCCTGGGGCATGCCGAGTGGAGACCACTGCTAAATCGAACACCCGACTGTCGCAGAGTAGTAAAAGTTAGTCAGGGAAAGCTCTTTGGCATCGGCCTGCCATCGGCTGCTGCCGGTCTTCTCGGCTGGAAGAAGTTTAGCCGATGGGGGTTCGTAAAGTGTAATCGGCCTGGGGTAGATATTCTCGCGTGGCTCATGCCCGGTTTGTGAGTCAAAGATAAGAATCTAACTGGGTGCTTTCGCCTTTCATACCTACCGTTCCATTACCATTGGTGGGATCTAGGGAGTTCGAAGCTGGTTGTAGCCACTCGGCGTCTTAAGTTGTACTGGGTAAATTGCAATGGGGTCTTTTCGTTCTTAAGAAGCAGGCACGCAGGGTTATAAGCTTGAATAAATATTCCATTGCTTGGTCAACGCACACGTAATCTACTTAGTATGACCATGTTAAGGACCACCTAATCAAGGATAATCCCTCTACGTAGAGACCTCTGGTTGCTTCTCCCGAGGCATTCAACCAGAGGCTGTCTAGATGTCACGACAGATAAATTACGGCGTATATCCGTGGTGCAATGCGGATAAAGCCGTACTCAAAAAACGTCGAGGCGTGAAAAGTCACGACTTATTCTTGTCTCATACAAGCTGTTCATTTTGAAATGACCAGGATGTATCCAGCTCAAGATTAGCCGAATGAAACGGCAGACCGAGCGAGGCAAGAGACGACTGCAATTGAGGGAGATCAGGATTGTGGTGATATGATCTATGAAGAAGGGGATTTCGAAAGAAAGCGCGGGTCTAAGCCGCGAAACTGAAATGGGATATCGATTTGGAAACCTAGATATGTCAAGCCCACCCCCCCCTAAAGCACAAACGCCAGCTTAGAACGCCCAGTCAGCATGATTAGTATGCAACCCTTGTCCGCATGTCCTGTAAGGTGTTAGTACTAGTTCCTCGCGGGACTGCAGTCAGACAGAGGAAGGGAGGGTGGGGGGGGGGAGGGTAAGCCTACCGAAATCTTCCGCTCGATCTCACGCACGGATCGATCGAGTTCACCGGCAATCATCAACTTCTTGTCGTTAGGCAAGAGGAAAAAGGTCTCGCAAAGATCACCGTCAATGACGCTTTTCACCGGTGCATAGTAGCTACGGTAGGCAAGGTGGTCACGACCAGCAAGAGGAGGGTTGAGAGACACAAGTTGGGTCGCAAGGTTTTGGAAGAAATCCACATCCTCACGACTAGCAAAAGGAACCAGAATGCCGATAGTTCCCTGGATTCCACTCCAAACGAGGATATCTTGGCCACCAGCGACCAGCTGAGCTTTGTGGACACTAGTCGGCATATCTTGAGCATAGTAATGGATCATCAGATCCAGGCGATGAGGAGTCCCCTGCAGGTAACCACGCTCATGCATAATATGAGTGCCTCCATTTTCATCAGCGGCTTCTGACACCGTTTGCGGGCAGCGAAGCAGCCACAGGTTCCCAAACTTATCACCTCCGGCGACAGTTTCATAATCAACCATGGTGGTTGAGGTCGTCCAGCGGGGGATAGCATCGTTGACAAATGGGATAAGAGAATTTTCCTGCGGTTCGTAAACAACGTACGTCACACTCTCACGGATATCGCTCACGACAATACGATGACCCTGGGTCTGTATGTCGACAATCGTTGTATTTACCACCGGGGCCTGACACTTGCGCAGAAGTTGTTTGAGTCCCAAGTCGTAAAGGCGAAGAATTCTACTGAGACCAGCCAAGAGATAGCCCTTGAAGGGTCGGAGTGCAAGAGGAGGATCTTCGACCTTGGTCTTGTGGATGAATTCAAGACTGCGGCCATCGTCATGGAATCGATAGATGTGGATGTAGCTGGCTGCAGATGATTGGGCACTGACATCCATGTCTTTGACCGTGCCAACCGCAAGGAAAGTTTCACCGTCCTGACTAGGGAATGGCACGGCAGTCACACTGACAGCCGCCTCATTATCTTCCATCTCCAGAGTGAAAACAACCTCTTTGGAAAAAAGGGGGTCCACGATTTGGATGCACGATGCCCAGTGGCCTGACCCGCGCGGATAGCCAAACTCCGCTGGCGGCAAACTCTCCGCCTCGCCATTTTGAGCCTCGGAAGCTTGGGTGAGTCTCTCCCGAGTAGCAGGGGAGAGAACGTTATTATCAGATTCGATCACGTAAAATAGAGGCTGCTCGGGATGTTGCACGAAACGGCGGGGAGTGTAAGCCAGGGGAATGATCTCTTGCAGCATATTGTTTCCCAAACTATTGATTGAGAAGATCCTACCAAGAGGTTAGCATCATACTGCGCAAGTGTATGAGGTGACAAGAAAATAGATGATTCTTGATCTCAGGAGGAACAATTGGAAAAATAAAATGTTTTTCATCCACATGGAAGTTCGGGTCCCATGTTTTCATCATTTGATCAGGGATAGGAGAAGGACATAATGAGGAGGAAATCACATACCGTAAATGTCGGCCTTGGATGCCAACCATTCCCTCGGCGCATTGTTCGCTGGTAAAGTTCCACGCGTATTCTAGGGCATCGTAGTTCAGGGGGGTGATGACGAAGCCGTTTGTTTGGACATCAGAGTACCCGAGCCATGGGCGGGAGCTAAGAGCTAAGACGGCGGTTTGGTCTGACACTGTCACTTGCGTAAGCTTGACAGGCTTGGCTCCCAGGAAACGAGTTCGAGTATCAGATAGCTCGCCAGTTACGTCATCCAAGACGGTCCGCAGGTAAACACCAGAATGGAGGCCAATGTGGAGATACAGTGATGTTCCTCCAGAGCTGGAGTCAATCATGGACATAATGCTGAGTGCAGAAGGGGCGGCGGTCAATGCTTGGATTGATTTACTCTCCAGCGTTGTGCCAGGGTCCAGGCTAAGGATGCGAACGGTGGAATCGTCACACCCAACGGCCAAGAATGAACTCCGTTGTCGTCCTTCAGGAACTTGACCCAGGCTCAGACATGTGACAGTGCCTGACATCTGCTTTCTTTCGTCATATTCGGCCAGAGATCCGTCGGCATCCAACTCAAAGTAGACAATTTCGCCGGAGCTAAGAGCCACCACAACTTGTTGAGAATTCGTGGAAGCAGCAACGATAGTTCGGTGTTGCGGGGACGGCCATTCATTTACCCGGTTGTCTGGAAAGAGGTGGCGAATACCGCGAGGGTGCACTTGGATTATGGAGTCCTCACCGAGCTGTTGGACAGCGATGGTAGGTGCACTTGGCAGGAATCCAGCTTCTTCAGTCATTTCCACCACCTCCTCCCCAACACCCAGGACAATCGTACCATTGGCGAACGAGAGAACGATGTATCGGTCAAATTCGTCGGACTGGGTTAACTTGGTCGTCCAAACAAAGGAAGGTGTGGCCTGGAGCTCGGACTCGACAAGCTCTGACACCTCCAGTCCATGCTTAATGGTTCGGAAAGAGCTGCGGGCACCTGAGCCAGAGATGGAGAAAATTTGAGGGGCGTCCTCGTCAGCGAGATTGGCGATTTTGGTATCAATCAAGGGGCTCAGAGACTTGATGTTTTCAGTTAACTGCAGGTTCACAAGCCCTCGGGGGCGGAAGTAAGTTGGCTGATAGGGTGTAGTAGGGTCCCCCTCCACCAGCTCGCTTGTGAACTCCGTCTCATCATCATCATCACCGAGCGATTCGAATTGGTAAAGATGTTGGTCACCCGATTCACAAGCAACATAGAGGTAACCACTCTTGAAGATGACCAAGCTTGATGCAACAGGCACAGTGTCGAAATATTTGATCTTGAGCCCCTGCACTTCGCCGGTCAACTGGCCCTCACTATTCTCTGCCATTTCCACAGTCACTTTGAAGATATCACCATCCTCAGTCTGGAGCAGAAAGAAGAATGCACCGCGCATCCTGTGCATCACGCCAGATACAATGGTTCGTTTCCGTTCTGGGTTCTCAGTGGGCCCCATTCGTCGAGGAATGGCCACACGATATGGGTCCTGATTCGAGTGTCGATATGTGATATTGTCTTCGGCACACACCAAAACACCACTTGGGCCATCTGCTCCTCCTGGGACCTGGAAAAGCATGTTTGCAGTTCGATCAACTGGCTCTGACCAGCTTTGAACGACGTGATTAAGGCCAAGGTCCAGTTCATAGTACACAAGCATCTTTTGCATTTCTTCGTATGCCATTCCACTTGGGTCTTGATCCGCCTCGGTGTGGTCTGTCTCGAGGGCAGCGAAGATGGGATTTTCATAGCCCACATCCAGGGAGGTCATAGCAAACACTATCGTGTTTTGCTTATGGGCTTCCAGGGGGGATGAGATAGTGACTTCGGCTTGAGAATTACGGTTTAGAACATAGACCAGCTTGTTCTTTTCGGTGGAAGCGATCATGCAGGCTCTTCCCTTAGGATCTGCAGCCAGGTATTGACCAGGGATGACACGACGGACGCCAGATTTGCCGAAGGTCTCCAGATGGATTTGTTTGAATCGATTGGTAGAAGGCACATATTCGACAATGGCAATACGCCCGGAATCGGAGCCGATGATCAGGTAATCTAGACGGAGTCATACTCAGCATGTTTCTTTTAAATTTTATTTTCCGTGCCCACGTCCCTGTCTGGGCGGGGCAGGGCAAGTGAAGGAAAACCAGGGAAAGCCCTGATGACGAGCAAGCTCCAAGTATTACTCAGGCGACTGTGCAATTGCAAATTCAAGTCCACAACATACCTTTATGACTTCCAGCCAGGCGAAAGACTGCCAATGACCGGATGATCCCACGAATATCTTCCGAATAAATGGTTTTCACTTTCGACGCGATCGTGTCCGGTCGATGGATGCTGAGCTTGGACCCGGACGCGGTGATGATCTGTTGCTCCTTGGTCCCGGCAAATTGGCCAAGAACTGCCTGAGTAATGGCAGTCGGAGGCTGGATTGTCAGGCCATACATGAACATGTGGGAGGTGGTAGCCATGGTGGGCAACTAGCTCCTAGCCCAGGAGCAGCTACACTGCAGGCAAAGTCGAAGGCCCCCTCCCAAGTTCACGCAATTGCAATCGATGGTGCAATATCACACCAGGCCCATATCTGCAGAGGAAAATAGTGGAGGAAATGATAACTTCACGCAGGCACACACCAGACGCGATGGTGTGTAGAAAGAGAAAACAGCTTGAGCTGCACGATGCAAATTCGTGTGTGAAGTGGTCTGAGCGTTTGGTCACGTGACATAAACCCGCTACGCAGTATACAAGCCAATGGTGTGGCGTATACTTTTAGCCCTCCATAAGCTTCGACCGCCTTCTGTACCGCTTTACGTAATTCGATGAGGGCAGCCAGAGACACTTCGGAAGAGCATTGAAGCCAGCTCAAAGAGCGACGTTTCTTATCAACCTTGATATTCCATCGTTGTCTCGGCTGCTCCTACCTTTTGTACCATTCCCCTTCAGGGTCTAATCCAGAGTACATCTTCCAGATTGCTCTTACGACAGTCTTCAAAACCATTTCTTTTCTTCAACTTGAGGCTCCCCCCTCCATCCCGCTCGGCAGGTCTTCACCATCGTGCCAACATGGCTGATGACGCCGGTGTCATTGAGGACACCCCTATCACCTTCACCGTGAAGTCCTCCACTGATGCCAAGTTCACCTTCACATTGCCTGCCACCACCTCCGTTTCGGATCTAAAAGAGAAGCTATCCACCTCCGAGTATGCCGACACGCCAGTAGATCGCCAGCGCTTAATCTATTCTGGTCGGGTCTTGAAGGATACTGAAACTTTGCAAACCTACAAGATCAAAGACGGCCACACAATTCATCTGGTGAAGAGTGCTGCCAGCAATCAACAACGTGGTAATACAAGCAGTCAGAGCAGCTCAGCTACTGCCTCTAGTGGGGCGGCTGCGAATCAACCAGCCGCAGGTGTTCCAACCAACCTTGCCGCCGGTACGGGCAATAATCCTCTTGCTGGCTTGACTGGTGCTCGCTATGCTGGATTTGCTCAGCTTCCTGGCGCAGGTCTCTTTGGACCTGATGGTGGGGTGAGTTTAAGCCCGGAGGTCTCACCCTTGGTACATCTGCTAACTTGATGTTCTTATTACACTAATAGATGGGCCCACCACCAGATACTGAGTCTATGCTGAACATGCTTGAGAACCCACAATTCCAGTCTACTATCAATGAAGCTCTGCAAAATCCCGCGATGATCGACATGATGATCCAACAGAACCCAATGCTGCGCGATATGGGCCCTGGAGTCCGACAAATGATGCAGTCTCCTGAATTCCGCCGCATGTTGACCGACCCTAGCTCAATTCGCCAGATGATGCAAATGCAGCGTGCTATGGGGATGGGAGGCGGTTTGGGTGGCGAGAGTGCATTTCCTGCTCCTGGTGTCACTGACACCACTCCCGAGGCGAACCAACCCAATCAACAACAAAACGCCGCTGCGAATCCTTTTGGTCAATTCCCTCCAAACCCCCTTGGGAACCCGTTCGCTTCACTTTTCGGAGGTAATGCAGGAGCCAACCCCTTTGCCCCTCCAGCATCTGCCACTACCGGCAACGCCCAACCAGAAGGCAATGCCAATACATCCAACAACATCGATCGTTCGACATCAGGGGACACGCCTACTACCCAGGCACCGCCAAATCCCTTTGCTGCTTTACTCAATCCAGCTCTCTTTGGTGGTGCAGGCCAGGGTCAAGGTCAGACTGGGACCAATCCATTCAACCCCCAGCAGAATCCATTCCTTCGAGATCCCGCTCTTATGGCACAAATGATGCAGGCGATGGGTGGACAAGGTGCAGAAGGTGGAGCTGCAGCAAATCCCATGGCGGCATTGTTTGGAGGTGGTGGTGGTGGCTTCGGTTCTCCCCACCAACCGACAACCGACCTCCAGAAGAGAGATATGCTGACCAGCTGCGCCAGCTGAACGATATGGGTTTTTACGAATTCGAGCGAAATATCGAAGCTTTGCGACGGACTGGTGGGAGTGTACAGGGGCGGTAGAGTACCTCCTTAACCTTCCGTCATAAATATCTGTCTGCTCACCACCCCGAAGGCTATCTTCTCCTTCTCATGGTCATCTATTTTTCATCTCCTTTTCCTTCTACCGAGGTATTCCATGGTCCGTGGTGGGGCTCTGTAGCTAACGACGGCCGATGAACTTCCATGCTTTCTTGCATTCCTTGTCTCAGGAATTGAACAGTCCTTTTCTTCACTATTGACTGCGACATACTTCTACTAGCGTTTCCTTCTTCAATGTCCAGTCCACGTTTTTTCTATGATTTCATACCACCTAATGGGTGCTAAGTAGATACCAATGTGCAAACCCTGGAAGAGCTCTTGCATGTTATTAAGTCGCCTAAGCAGGCACATTTTCTTCAGGACATCTTTTCGAAATTGTCCAAGTACTAGCTAGAAGGGTGTGGAATACTTAGCTAGTTGGTCAGTTACTGTCGACTGATGACGTCATCGCATGTAGTTCAATTTAACTAATCTTGAAATTCCAGCTTTAATATATGGGCAGTACTGATAATCTATTTGCAATGACCAGTTCGATGCGATCGTAGTATCTTAAATTCCAATTTAGTGGGATACTAGTATCTTTGGAAATTCAAAACGCAAAGCTCTATATGTGCCGCTGCGGCGGCGGCGCTATATTTCTGGGCATCACTACTAGTATTATTAGCCGCACTGATGCTGAGAATATCGACACCCAAGTAGATTGAGGTCTAAGATAGTAGAGGAATGAGGTGATCTTGCATCGATCTGTAGTTCCGAGCCGCGTTGGCGATCTGCCGGGCCGTAGATAATCCGTGTTGACACGCAACAAGTTGAACTCCGTTGAACCCCCCCGAATCTACTTCTCAGGCACTGAATGTTGGCCTGGCAGTTAATGCCGATTGCATTCGTCATTCTGTATTCAAAGCCTTGAGTCAAAATCACGCGCTAGCGTCTGGACCCTGGACATCCACCGCCTCCCGACGATCCACATCTCCCTCGATAAGGGAGCTTCGATTCAAGCTTCGTGGGGCGACGAGCAAACCAATCTGAACCAATCTCCTTCGCGCAGCACGACGCTGATCGCGTGATTCTTCTGATTGCTGGCCACGTGCATGGATCGCCTGGGATTGCACCTTCCCTCAAGATAGAGTGAAAGATCCAGCGTAGCTTCCAATGGCCATGCCGAGTTCAAAACGTCCACGCCTTGGGTATTGGGCGCTTTGGATTTTCTCATTTTTGTCCTATAGCTGGGCATTCTACATTCCTGGTAATGTCTACACTCCGAGCTGGCCCACCGCAGGATGACTGACGATGATTCTCTCCATATTAGGCTACTCCGTCACACGGTATAACGACGGTGAACCGATCCCACTTCTAGTGAACAAGATATTCTCGGACCACACACAGCTTCAGTATGCCTATTTCGATCTTCCCTTCGTATGTCCGCCGAGCGGAAAGTCGCACGGAGGCTCGCCTTTCGGCTCTGGCCAGAGTATCTCTCTCAATCTTGGCGAGGTTTTGCGCGGCGATCGCATCATGACATCCGACTTTGAGGTAACAATGGGTAAAGATGTTGAATGCGCGGCTGTCTGTACCCGTGAGGTTAGCCGCTCGGATGTCAAGTGGGCTCGACAGCTCATTAGGGAGAACTATGTGATTGAGTGGATCTTGGATAATTTGCCAGGTGCCACTAGTTTCGTCACCGTCGACAAAAGTCGCAAGTATTACGCCTCCGGCTTCAAACTTGGCTCCCAGGACATTTCACCCTCGACGGGCCGGCCACGATTTTTCATCAACAACCACTTCACAATCGTCATCCGCTGGCGGAGCGCACCGGAAGGTGGGAAGCTGATTGTTGGTTTCGAGGTATACCCTAAAAGTATCAGTGCGGAGAACCGAAAAGAAGATGGCTGTCCTGCAGCTATACACAAACCTCAAGAAGGACTGGGCTTGTTCATCCCACCTAACATGGCGCACCTGAAAGAAAAATACGCCGGTCTTTCATACATACCCGAAGATGACGATGAAGATGACGGTGCTACTTTGAAGATTCCATACACGTACTCGGTCTATTTCCGGGAGGAGCCCCATATCGAGTGGGCTAACCGCTGGGATTTGTACTTTACCAACCAGGAGGAAGGCTCAATGACGCATTGGTTGGCGATCATCAACTCTTTAATCATTTCGACCGTTCTTGGCGTGACGGTGTTTGTTATTTGGAGCCGCACCGTGCAGGGCGACATCAAGGGTCGAGGGATGGAGCCATGGAAGATCGGAAGCTAAAGGGGCCGCTGCGGCGAAAGAGGTCAGGCGAGAAGAAAGGAGAGGGACTGCTCGATAATCTCGACGTGGAGAACGATGCTGATATGTCTTCTGATGATGAGGGTTTCGAAGACACAAGTGGATGGAAGCTTTTACACGGCGATGTCTTCCGAACACCAGCTTACAGCGGTCTTTTAGCCCCACTGGTGGGCTCTGGTATGCAGTTACTGTTCATGACGACCGGGTTGCTTGTTCTGAGTTGCCTTGGAGTGCTGAACCCCAGTTTCCGCGGCGGCTTCGTTAGTGTTGGCATGGGCCTTTTCGTCTTCGCCGGAATATTCTCCGGTTATTTCTCCGGCCGGCTCTATAAGACTTTCGGCGGCTCTTCGTGGCGTAAAAATACGCTTATTGTAAGTTTTCCCCATCCTGTTTCTTTGTTTCTCTCTCTTATTCCTCCTTCCCGCACCTCGACAAAGTTCCAGAACACCCCAAGACAAAATACTCATTTCGGTTCTGTTGTCCATGGCTAACTCAAATTCCAGACTGCATTGCTCTTCCCAGGCCTCGCTTTCTGCCTTGTTCTCATCCTGAACCTCTTCGTGTGGGCTCAAGCCTCGAGTACTGCAATCCCCTTTGGCACGCTTGTTGGTATTCTTGCTCTCTGGCTTTTAATCCAGGTGCCTCTGGTCTACTTGGGCAGCTGGAGCGGATTTGTACGGGCCAAGCCATGGGAGCACCCCTTGAAAACAAATGCCATTGCTCGTCAGGTCCCTCCTCAGCCTTGGTACCTTCAAAGCCCCGCGGGCCCGTTATTGACCGGATCAATTCCCTTTGCCGTACTCTTCATCGAGCTCCTGTTTGTGTTCAAGAATCTATGGCAAGACAAGAGTGGGTACTACTACGTTTTCGGGTTTCTCAGTGCAGTTTCTACTGTACTGGTGATCACGGTCGTGGAGGTCACTGTCATTGCCACTTATAGTCGACTCTGCTCTGAGGTAAGCTGAGCCGATTCTTTTTTGTTTTGTTTGACAAATTCCAACTAACATGTTCTCAAGAATTATCATTGGTGGTGGACTAGTTTTCTCACCGGCGGTAGCAGTGCCTTCTGGATCTTCGCCTATTGTATCTGGTATTACATATTCAAGCTTCATGTCACAGGCTTTGTGTCCACCCTACTGTTCTTCAGCTACAGCTTTTTGGCCTGCACCGTCTACTTCCTGTTGACAGGAACTATAGGGTTCTTGGCCGCATACGCCTTCGTTCGCCGCGTATACAGGTATTGAATCTACTCCTTCTCCAGTCGAGGGCCCGTCACTGACCATTTTGCAGTGCAATAAAGGTTGATTAGCCAGGGACGAGAAAACACTCGAGTCCTCTCTTCTCAACATGCCTCATAATTTCATGAATTAAATTTTTGATAAGCATAACTGGTGCAGTCGATTACAGTGGCGTTAAATTTTCCTTCCTTGCATTTTCTTTCTAATTTTTGAGCAAGCCCCCTATCGACCCTACGGATGAGATTGTGCGGCTTCGTCTATTCCTTTGGGTTTTGTCTCTACGATGAGAGACAATCTTCTGTAACCACTACACATAGAGTCGAATGGAGCATTTCGATCTTACTGAACCTCCAACGTCCTGCTAGATTGGCTGTAAGATTGTAAGTATGACTGGTCATGAGTTGTTGATATCAAAAATTAGGCTGGGGTCCATATCATTAGTTCCTTGCATTTGGCTGCTAGGCATCGCTTCGGTCCTCTCCTCACCCAATAGGGAGCCGCATGCCTGTTAGGAGAGTGAATGACGCCAGGGAACCTGCTGCTGGCAAGTGAATCTGGTGAATGTCCGGACATTTCTTCAAGCCCATTCACTTACCTACAAATATCTCAGTTAATTCCCTTCCATTCCCCTCCTGCTTTCTTCCTCCAGCGCACCATTCTTCTTCTTCTTCTTCCCTCATGCCCGTCGACTTCAGTCCTTGCAGTCTTTGCATAGCCTCTTGAGTTGTATCTGGTACAGCCTTCCACGTCTGTTCTTTCGACTTGCTGCATCTTGCAAGACGGTCTTGACCAGGAAAAGATACTCACTTGTCCAGTCCAGCTTTCTCGGCTATCTCTGGTGAGAGCTTCGACAGATCCCTGGAGTTCTCTTCGTCCTCCGCCACTCGATCCTACCTCGCCGCCTTGGTTCATACTCGTCATCCTTACCAGTCACCTATCATCACCTACATCCCTCATTTTCTTACGTGTGAAGCTGCCTTTGAAGCTTCTGATCCATAAAAATGGCGTCTGCTCGCATCCCGTGGTCTGCTAGGGGCAAGCCGATCTATTCACTCGACAACGAGCACCGTGTACCGGATGCTCTTGAGAGCTTTTCAAAAGAGACGAGCTCTATTGAATGCGATGTCAAGCACATGATCAATTTGCAGGGTGCGTCGATTCGTGTGGCAGCCAGTATGGGTATGTTTCCAATCAGTTGAGCATGAAAGACATACGAGAAAATTACTGGTGCTGTTCAGTGTGCCAAAGTAAGGTCCCCCAACCCCCCGCGTCGCTTCTCTTACATCCCGTTCTTCATGATTGCTGACGGTTGTCACAGTGCCCTTTAAGGGTATTCCTCTTTACGTGAAAGAACCACGTAAAGCGGACCGCGAGGCCATTTCCCACGTCGAGAAACTGGCCTCCCAGTCTCGGGCTCTCATTTGGCAGCGCACTTTCCCGGTTGACTGCGATCCTTGGAATCACGAACATGGCGTCGATCCGTATGCCGGAACCGACTATGCCCAGGACGGACCAAACCCTTCATATGCCTTCACCGGAGAACCGCAGCTCGTCAGGACCGTTGAGTCCATTACCACCGGAAATGGGCGTGACTCCAAGGCCGCCTGGTCCGTGATGGGCATTCCGTCATCTACCCGCAGCACCATCGAATTCCGCCACCAGCTTTGTTGCCGGTCGAGGAGTACTTGAAGATGCTTCCCGACTCACCTTTGGACTTGCAAAAAGCAAAAGTCGAATTGCAACCGTCCGACTGCCGAAAAACCAAACGCACAGTCAAAGTATCTGTGGATGGAGAAACCGATGCACTCCTCGTCAAGATCTATGAGGAATTTCCACCTGATCACTGGGTGACGTTCGATGAAGACGGAGTCGAGAATTGGCTTCCCCCGGCGGTTTCCCGGATGAATCCCATAACCTACAAATGCCAGAGTCATCCTGGAAAGGTCATCAATGATGTACGTATATATTCCCTCCCGAGGTCTTTCCGTCTGTTTCAGTCACTTCCAGACTAGAACTAATGATTCATAGGCTTTTACGTGCTGCGGCAAATCGGTGTACTCGCGCGAAGGTTGTGTCAAACATGAGAGGCACGAAGAGCATCCAACCTACAACTCAACGATTCATCAGGAGCTTAGCGCCAAATACGAGTTCTTTAATTTGGTCCCCAACGATGCTGGACAGTGCGATTACATCACAATTTCTGCTGTCTTCGGTTTGAATGTCGAGCGGCAATTTGAGATCATTCGTCTCGCTGCTATCGAGTTCCTTTCCGGTTGTGTGTTGATCGATTCGCTCGTTTACCCCAGCATGGACATGATTCACTACGACACGCCTCGAACTGGTATAACCAAGGCTATGATGGAAGCTGCGAAGGAAGCTGGTGAGATCCTTGAGTCACGACACATCCGGGAGATTCTTGGGCGCTTGCTCCATCCTCAAGGACACTTGGTCTTGTTTAACGGGGCCAAACTGTTGAAGGCGCTTCGTCTCAGTACCGCGAGTTCCACGAGTCGGCCCTCCCATGGATTCATCGAGCTCTTGCACTTTGAATGGAGCACAGGCGAGTACAGTATCTCACCCCATATCAAGAAGATCCGTGGAGGGGGCGCACCCAAGAGTCTGTGTGGATCAAACCTTCTCTCAAGGAAGTTACCGCCAAGCGTCTGAAGCGCAAGATTGGCCTATCGCCCAAATTCCGAGACGACCCCGTTGAAAACGCCATGGCCATGCGCGACCTACTTGTTTTTTACTCGAAGGTCCTTGGTCAACACAACATTAAGAACTCTCGGGATGCGGTTTGGGACTATCGACCAACACGCCGCCAGGAAACACATCCCAAGGAGGCTAATCTGCTCTTGACTCGTGAGCTCCAAACTCTCTCCTTGGGTCTCGATGAAGACAAGAAGGAAGCGCCTTATGACGACTGGAACTGCCAGACCTCGCAGTCTGGCCATCCAAACAGCGAGCCTCGTGTGATGCCCACGCAGACCTCACAATCTGATTACTGGGGCCCCCCGGCTCTCCGCGGAGCGAACGGATATGTGGCGGCGAATTACGTCTCGGAGGAGTTCAATGCCCTCTATTCTTCGTACAACTGGGAGCGGACGCCTGGCCTGTAGGGCGAGGAGCCCTACTAAATTTCATATCTCATCGTGTCTGCCTTGGCATTTCCTTCTCCTCGTGGAGGGCGGGGTTTGCCGGCTTCGTGGGTTCGCTTGTCCTTTGAGACCAAGACCCCGGTTGATCTCTTACGATTTGAGTTTCACCTTAACACTTTTGCTGTTTCTTGCTTTTTTTTTCTTTTTTTTTTTCCTTCTGGTTGTCGTCTTTTTTATTTTTATTTTTTCTGTCTTTTGTCTTTTGGATGGCTGTGTTTCATGGGGTTGGGTTGTCCCTGCTTCGGTGGGCGTGACTCTAGATTCATGGATCCTTTGTCATTCCTAGATCGAGCCCGGTTTGATTTTGAAAGTGGTTTGCTGTTCCCTTCCTTCGTCCACGCGTCCACGGCCCATGATTCAAGGTCATGAGGCGCTTCGATGTGGAGGTGGAGTCGTCTTGCCGTATTCGCAGACGGATGGCGATGTTGCTTCCTCGTTTGCTTCGCTCTCCACAATGCTGGGCATGGAGGGGTCGGACTCGAGAAGACGATGAAATAGTCCAATGCAAAGCTATTACGTCGATTCTGGCCCGAGTAGGCTTCAATGTACCGTAGATACGGACTAACTGGCGACGCGCTCGATAACAGGCATAGCAGCGGCCTCAAGCATGTAACCTCAGAGGACGGATCACATATCTCGTGATAGACAAGTGGTTATCTAGCATATCTCGTGTCGTTGCGCCATTCTGGATTGGGTGAAAAAGCCCGGACGTTAGCGTATGTGGGGACGGAAGGGGGTGGCCAGCGGACTTGAGGGTGAAACAGCGGTGACTGCCAACATTCCCTGACGTAGCAAAGACCCAGAATCCGGGGAGAACAGAAGAAGAATTCCAGATCTTCGAATTCCCCGGTCTTGCGGGATGGCGTGATTGTGAAGGGAGATTGCTCATGGGGCAACTGGAGAAGGGCGTGTACAGGCTGACGAGTCCTTTGTAGGTGCTTACTTTCTTTTTTTTACTTGCTTTTGTTTGGGTTTTAAATTTATTTGTTTTCCTGTTTTAGTGCTGGTGTCTGATGAATGATTGATTTTTGCCGTCCCACTCCCTAAGGTACCCTTAGAGAGTCTTCGCTCCGAGCCAGCACGTCCAGCTCGACGGGCTGTGATTGGCGCTTCAGATAAGCAAGTGGGGGAGGCTGCTCCTAAACCCCTTAGCATCTCAGCTTAACTGACTCGGGCAATCGCAGGGGCTCATCCTCGTGGCACCGGCCGCCCACGATTGGCCACGCTCACCCTGACACGATCCAGTGGAGTCGTGGGTTTGGCAGTGGGAGATCCACATGGATTCGTTGCGTTACAAACGTATGTTACGGCGCAGCGGGCGTCCGCCCAGCTCCCCGAGGCTTCCAGGGTCGAGTGAAGATCAGGACAAAACTGGCATGAGCCGATCGGGGCCAAACTCATTCAGTGCTTTCAGCAGACGTGGTGCGCATGAAATCGAGCCGAGGGGCTCAAAGATCAAGCAATCTTACATGAGCCTCCTGGTATTACCAGCGTAGGGCTGCAAAAGTGGCAACTGCCGCATACAGCGCGGATGACGCCTGGGTCGGGCAGTGTTTTATTTCCTGATAAAGTGGAATGGTCGTCACGGGGCTATAACAGCCTCCTTAAACAGGCAAAAAGACACTGGACCAACAAAGACTCAAGGGAGGTGTACCATTCCATACGGCGCTGATACGTTCAGTAATATACACCTGCTGCCCACATAATGAGTAATCCATAGTCCCCGCTTCAAGGCTGGCACTAACAGCGAAAAGCAAAAAAAAAAGAGCGGAAATGGCCACCGCCTTCGATCACACCATCGCACCCACAGATTATCCCATCGCACGCCTTCCCAGGTCTACGTCAGTGCCGGCTAATCCCCCTGATCTCCATTGCAGTAGACGCCGGCACTAGAGCAGGAATGGGCGTATCAGGTTCATTCTGATGCTTGGATGCAATGCCCTTGCTTGCTGTGATTTGGCCCGCGCCCGCTCGGGGTTGCAATTGTGGATCGCTGCGATCGCCCAAGAAGTATAACTCCCCCGTCCTTTCCGGGCTTTAGTTACGTCGCGCTTGTAAGAGCATTACAATCCTTCGCATTCTCCAATTGATATCGGCACTCGAGCCTAGTTATCTTTGAAAAATCTTTTCCTTTTTCATTTATCTATGCGATTTGGGGGGCCCAGTATACCCCGTCGTTCCCCACATATACCACTTTCGGCCTCACCTATAAAGACCCCCTCGGCGCCCAACCTTGGTTCGCCCTTCTTTTTTTTTTTTTCTCTCCGTGGCGGAATCATATAAGCCTTTGTTCTTTTGAATCCTTCTTCTTGCCTTGAACAAAGACTCTATCTCACCATGGCGACCAAGAAGCCCAACATTCTGTACATCATGGCCGACCAGATGGCCGCGCCGCTGCTGTCGCTGCATGATAAGAACTCGCCCATCAAGACTCCCAACCTCGACCGTCTCGCCGAGGGAGGGGTGGTCTTCGACTCAGCCTACTGCAATGCGCCCTTGTGCGCTCCGTCACGGTTTGTCATGGTCAGCGGCCAGCTGCCCTCCAAGATCGGCGCCTATGATAACGCCGCCGATTTACCCGCGGACACTCCCACGTACGCTCACTACCTGCGCCGTGAGGGCTACCACACGGCCCTGGCCGGTAAGATGCATTTCTGCGGCCCGGACCAGCTTCATGGCTATGAACAGCGATTGACGAGCGATATTTACCCCGGTGACTACGGCTGGTCCGTTAATTGGGATGAACCCGAAGTTCGCCTGGACTACTACCACAACATGTCCTCCGTCATGGAGGCGGGCCCGGTCGTCCGCACCAACCAGCTGGACTTTGACGAGGAGGTCATCTACAAGTCGGAGCAATATCTCTACGACCATGTGCGCCACCGTAACGAGCAGCCCTTCTGCCTGACCGTGTCCATGACCCACCCCCACGACCCATACGCCATGACCAAGGAGTTCTGGGACTTGTACGAGGACGTTGAGATCCCCCTGCCCAAGAACGGCCCTATCCCCCATGATCAGCAGGATCCCCATTCACAGCGTATCTTGAAGTGCATTGATTTGTTCAACAAGGAGATCCCGGATGAGCGGATCAAGGCTGCCCGCCGCGCTTACTATGCGGCCTGCAGTTATGTCGATGCGAACATTGGCAAGCTCTTGCGGGTGCTGAAGAACACCGGTCTGGACGAGAACACCATCATTTGCTTCAGCGGGGACCACGGTGACATGCTTGGCGAGCGCGGGCTTTGGTACAAAATGAGCTGGTTCGAGAACTCGGCGCGCGTGCCCATGCTTTTCTACGCCCCCAAGCACTTCGCTCCCACGCGGGTCCCTCAGAATGTGTCCACCATGGACCTGCTGCCCACCTTTGCTGAACTGGCTGGCGCTCCGCTCGTCAAGGAACTTCCGCTCGACGGGGTCTCCCTGGTCCCCTACTTGACCGGCGGAGAAGGTCTCCGCACCGACACCGTTTATGGGGAATACATGGGCGAGGGCACCCAGGCCCCGTTGATCATGATCCGAACGGGCCCGTGGAAGTTCGTGTACTCCACACTCGACCCGCCCCAGCTCTACAACTTGGTCGATGACCCGGAGGAGATGAACAACCTGGTCGCGGGGCTCCCGGTGCCCGCTGCCGGCCGTTCGCTTCCGGCCGCCCCTGGAAAGTCCGACCTCTTGAGCGCTGCCGTCAACCTGCCCACCCCCAGCGATACGCCGCGTGCTTCGCCCATGCCCCAGCGTGCCGCAGACCGTGTGTCGTACCCCTTCCCTTCGCCCACCCCTCCTCGCTCCCCGAGCCCTGCCCGTGCGCTGCCCGTCCTTCCAGACTCCAAGGAGCCTGTCCGACTTTTGGCCCACTTCATGGAGGAGATCTACAACCGATGGGACCTCGAGGCCATCCGCCAGGATGTGCTGCGCTCGCAGCGCCGTCGCCGTCTGGTCTACTCTGCTCTGATCAAGGGTACCCCGACCGTGTGGGACCACGAGCCGCGCGTGGACCCAAGCACCCAGTATGTGCGCAACCAGGGCCGCGGTGTCCTGGACGACATTGAGATCATGTCGCGCTGGCCTCGTGTCTTGGCCCAGGCAGCCACTGCCAACGGAATCTCTGTCTAGACCGGGCAGCTGGCGGATTCGGATTCTCACTTATGATCATGAAAGCACAAAATCATTTGTCTTTTATATATTATCCCTCCGCGCGCATTGAGCGTTGTATCTTTTTGGCGACGATTCTTCGTTTGAGCAACCGCATTGCAGTTCCCCTTTTTTTTTTTCTCCGATTTACCCCCTTTCACAGCGAGGCGCTATACCCGGGGACATTCGCCGGAAATCATTTCATGCGTCTATATCTTCTGCTTTTGGTATCTTAATGCATTACCAGCGTGGTCTGCCCTGCTGGGACTTTTGTATATATTTGTTTTTTTTTTTCCGGTACTTTCACTCCCGGGGTCTTGCGTTGAGGGAAAGCGCTTTTTGGTACAGATAGCACCCAGACTGAAATCATCTAGTAATTATTTTGTATGGCATGACCGCTTCTTACTGCGTAGATGCGTCTATACTCCGTATACTCCTGTTATCAACACTAGTAAACTCTATAACCCCGCCGACGAACGCCTGTGATGTCACCCCCGACTATCTCAGTAATCTCGACTATCGGCAATCTGATTACGGGCTCCACTCGGAATGGAGTTGCCCAATCCCCTCACACTGTACCACCTGGTGACACTAGGCCCAAAATCGGTTGCAATACGAGTACGTAACTTGTGCCGGTTTCTCCCTGATTATCATCTGCTCCGCCACACCTCCTGACACGCGTTCCACGCGGCAGCCTTGCTCGACGATTGTACTCAGGAGAAATGATTCGCATTGGTATTGGATGTATCGGGGGTGTTACGGGCCAAGACTGATCTTCGGATGTTTCATGCTCGCCAAGCGATGATCGTCTGAGTCGATAGTCGGTGTGCGGAATACCTCCCTTTCACACCCGGCCGGGACTGGATGAGCTCTGCATGTGAATCCAGACAAATCCGACATGTACGAATGTTTTCGATGGTGACTAGACCTTGGCGCTAGGGCTGGATCCTGATTGTTGGGATTGCCCGGATAATTGGGCTCCAAGCTTGCTTCTATAGACAAAAACGAACTCGAACCCCCCATTGATTCAAGTCGTGTATGCTATTTGTATATCGCGCGTCTACCAAGGAAAATTTCTCCCGGTAAAGAACATGCCAGTAAGCAGAGAGAGTTCCGGTAGCAACCCCGTTTCCACCCCCCCCGGCATCTCCAAATCCTCCACCCCGTAGATGGAAAATCGGACATGCTCTCCTTCCTCGCAAAACGGGTCCCTAGAACCCAAACCGCCAGCCGGACAACCCTGCTCTTCGACGAAGGCCGCTCGTCTATCCAGTTCAAAGCACCCGGGGACAAGTACCTCGTGGTCAACCACTGGCCCCCGGCCTCCAGCGAGCAGGACAGGAACATCGCGCTGCGCCCGCCATTGCACTGGCACCGGCACCAGACGGAGCATTTCCATGTTCTCAGCGGACAGGCCCGGTTCACCCTTGACGGGCGCGAAATCGTGAAGCGCGCGGGGGAGTCGATAGTTATTCCGGCCCAGGCGTTCCATACCTTCTGCAATGCGAGTGCGACGGAGGCGCTAGCTGTGGAGCTGGTGCTGGAGCCGGCGTGGAGGGCCAGGGACGAGGCCTTTTTCCGTATGTATTTTTGTGCTAGAGCGGGCGGGTCGCGGAGGCTGATTGTGTAGGGAATGTACAGTCGTACCGCGACGATTGTCGGAAAGCGGGCGTGGCGCGCAGTCTCCCTCAGGTCTTGCTGTTTAATTGGGCTGGTGGCGTGGTGCTTGCGTTGCCAGGACCGCCCGTCCTGGCGAGGCTCGGGGGCATCTTGATGAATTTCTGGGGAGGGCTGGTGTTGGGGAAGTATGTGCTTGGGTATCAGGAGTCCTATCCGGAGTACTATTCGCCCAAGCAGGAATAGTGGTCGCTTCCAAGGTGATGGTCGAACTGCCCTCGATCCATTCATAGGGCCGGAGTGTACTAATCAGATTGCATAGCGAGGGGGTTTCAGATTGATATCTTATGACAAGGCTGAATCTATGTAACTAGCACAGGTCCTATCTGTAACAGGGGAATCGTGCAGGGTCAGCAGGGGGTATCGTGTAGATTGAATGGAAACCTGGGCCGTAAAGCCGTAAAGAACTAACTAAAGGCAGCCAGATCATGAAATGCAATCAGCTTAGATGACTTCGGAACCAAAAAAGAAAGAAAGAAAGAAAGAAAGAAAGAAAGAAAGAAAGAAATAATCCGCTTTACAATGAAGAGACTGCAAGTGTCAGTCCCTAAAAGACAAGTTCAACCCTCGCTTTCCTCATCGCTAATCCGCCGACAAAATGACGAGTGCGTTTGGGGAAGGGGATATCATTTCAATGTGCTCATGATCGTCATCATAACAGCAAGCCACAGTATTTACAAACCCTCCCGCACCGAATGTGCCCTACTTTTCCTTCAAACTTTCGCTTTCCTCGGGCTTTTGGGTTTTTTGGGGGGGGCTGGTCATTGCAACTTTCACTCGAGCAGCCACACCGGCGCTTTAATCAGAACCGTCGCGGGTCCCTTACCGCGCACTTCCACGGTCAGGAAGGATGCATAGCGGATGCGCGGTGGATCGGGCTGCTCGGCCTTCTCACCAGTGGCCGGGCGGGCAGAGGGTTCGTTGCTGCGACGGCCGATAAGGGAGCTGAAGACCGACTTCTTGCGGGCTTCGCGTGGCGGCGGTGGGGCGGCCTCTCCGCCGGTGGAGTTGGACCCGGGCGACGAGGAGTCTGCGTCTCCGGCGAAAATATCCTCCATGTCCTGATCCGTGGGTGGAGGAGGAATGTGGCTGAGCTGTGGTAGTTGGCCTTCGACTTTCATATAGTTGTCATGAAAGGCGATGTTGGGGGGGAAGTATTCGACACAAACATCCCGGGCTTCCAGGGGGATCTTCTCGATAATGTTGACCGTGTTCTCGATGATCATGCGCACGCCCGCTTCCAAGCCCGGCAGCGCCTGCTCATGCAGCTGGCTGCTCAGGAAGGTGGCCAGCTCTACGGTGAGATGCTCGATCAGATCGGCGCGGTGATTTTGGGCGGCAGGGGTGGAGAGAATATCGCCCAGTCCATCGAAGGTCGCGCGCCGCCAGTTGGAGAGCTTCGCGATGACGTTCTCGCGGTCCTCATCGGTGGCGGGCCGGAGCTGTTGCCGCCGGAGGTTCATCTCGATGTTCTTCAGCTGGATGCTGAGCCCGGGCTCGAGGCCGGGGTGGAAATGGCGCTGGAAGACCTCTTCTACCAACCAGCGAGTGATCACCGCGCGTCCCAGCGCCATCATCTCCTTCGTGCCCACAGAAACCGCCTCGTCCGTCGCGAAGCCGAGGAGCCATTGCGGGATGCCGCGCCAGTCCTTGCGCACAGAGAATGCCAAATCCTTGATCGCCCCATCTAATCTTTGGAACCGGTTTGTATATTCATTATCGTCGAGCACGGTGCGCGAAACAGCCATGCGCTGGTGTGCCACGGTATTCTGAAGGTGCTGGACCTGCGCTTCCTTCTCGAAATAGTAACGCTTCACCTTGGAGTATTTACTCTCTGTATGCTCTCAATTAGTACGGGAGCCGCTTGATTGCGTCGGACATTTGATACCATCCGTCGTGAGGTCCCCAAAAGAAAAAGAAAGAAAGGTGGTATACCCGAGGAGGGGACTTACGCAGTTCATCATGCTTTTGCATCAATGCTCGAACATCAACATTTTCAATCTCCTCGCGCGATCTGTTTGGGGTTGGGGCACCACGAGCCTGTTCCGGTGCAGCTTGAGTCGGCTGAGCAGTGCTCCCTCTGCGAGCAGGTTCCTGGTTCCCGGATGAGCGATCGGCAGCTTGTTGCTGCGAGGCCTGAGGTGGCTGGGAAGGGGGTTGCTGCATGGCGTCGGGCTGGTTCTGCGACGGCGCCTGAGATTGGGGCTCGGGGTAGTGCCGAGACGAGGGGCGCGAGTTGAACACCAAGTCGTCGTTGCGTGAACGAGGTCTAGTGCGGGGATGGTTATCGGACCCGTATCGCGGGGATTCAGGCACTTGATCGACGAGGGAGTTTCGGGTGAATTGGTCCGTCAGGTCGGTCCTGGATCGAGTGAGAGCAAGCGGCTTGCTGAATTGCTGGGGCGACCACTCGGGGTCGCTGTCCTGAGATGGGCGCGACTGATGGAAGGATCGGCGATCGGAGGAGTGATGATGTTGATGTTGATGCTGGTGGGCAAAGGCCTGGTGCTCATAGGTCGGCGAGTCCGACGGCGGGGAGTCGTCAAGATAGTTGTGATCCTGCTCCTGATCCTCGTAGCTTCGGGGCAAGCGAGGGGAGGTGGGCTGGGAGGCGGGCTGCGGGGACTTCCTCTTGACGGAAACGCTGCGCTCGATGAAGCCGGAGGTTGGTCGCACGAACAAACTCTTTTTCTGGCGACGAGGCGGCGGATCCTCAGGGGTTCTGGGGTGGGGCTGGCGGCGACTCTGAGAGCGATGGGGGGTCGCCGCTGGAGAAGGGTAGGAGTATTGGGGAGACAGGGGTTGAGGATGCAGATTCGGGCTGGAATCGTTTCTGTGATGATCGTAGGCCGATTCAATAGAGCTGGTGCTGTGGTCCGGTGGAGCTAACGCGGGGCGGCCCAGGTGCTCGCTGGATCGCACAGGATAATGTCCAGGCGGAGAAGAAACAGGCGCCTTGGATTTCTTGAACAGGGGCATCCTTGGAATGGGGTCCTTTGAGTCTCAAGAAAGGCCACAAAAGAAAGCCCGCCCCCCCCCCCCAAAGATGGTGGCGGAGGGTTAGGGATCGGCAGGTGATTGGGCGGGGTTGCAATGTCTCTACGAGTCTATCTAGTGTCTTCCTACGCTTTCACGATCTTACGAGTAGCGCGAGCCTTGCCTCTCGAACACGAGGTTCGGGCAATTCGGGTCTCGCTGCTCCGCTAAGTCGCCCTCATTCTTGCTTAGTGGGTGGAACGGTTGAACCTAAGTAAGCGGTTCTATATATAACTTGTAAGGCGGGGGCCTCAGCAAGGAGGCTTGCAGGGCCTGCAGGGCCTACAGCACCTGCTCTCTGATCTCATATATGTTGAGGTCTGGGAAATTTACCATCTCCCAATTGCAGGGTGATTGTAAAGCCCATGCAGAGTCTATGCCAGAAATATACGCAAATCACAAATGACAGCAATGGGCTGAGCACTCCCAGGGTCCAGTGGTAAAAACGGGGCTCCGCTGGGGGCGAAATGATGCAGTGGAGCCCGAGCCTCTGGCACTGTTTTCGTAGTTCAGGCTACCGGTGAGGTGCGGTCAGAGATAGTGCATAAAAATGTTAATGTGGAATGGAGAAGCATAATAAGCTCTTTCCATGAACCATGGGTGCGTGCCTTGTACAAAGCTAGTAACTATTACTAACTCGAGACATACTTCGAGACTTCGGAAGTCTATGTAGAACATAGGATATTCAGAAAGCTCTAACTAAAAATACTAGTAGTATACAAAATCCAATCGAAGGATCTTGAATGTTAGCCTCGAGCTCAACATCTATCCAAGAGGACATTTCAATATTGGCGTAGCGACAAAGCCTCAATATCAATGGTCTCTGAGATGTACAATGAGCCTGCGAGACAATGCCCGCTTGAACAAAGATGATCAGCAACGGTCCCTGGTTATTCGCATGAGCTGCTTTTTCTTTATGTAACGTCAAAGAATACCTTGTATAAAGAGCTTTGCAAAGCCGGAGTCTGGGATGAAAAGCTCTCTGTTCTTCCCATCTTTCAGGGCTGCGTAAATTCTTTATCTACCATCGTAGTTCCTACCAGGAACCATTGTTGGGGGTCATTCACCGTTTCGTAATGTGATCTACATTTACCCCTGATCTTCAAGAGATCTCAATTGAGCCATCGAGTTTTCAGCCTTATATATAACACGCCGACTCGTTAGAATGGGCCCAACCACCGTGGAAGATAAATAGTTCAAGCCTGCAGGTACGCGAGCCTCGCACCGAAGGTCATTTGTCTACTACAGTATTACGCAAATTATACGATTTCCTTGACTTTTCTAAATATTCGCAATGACCCTGGGTGTCCCCACCTCTGCCCGAACGTTTCATCACGTTTCGTTACATAAAATCCTCGAGCCCCTCGGGGTGCATGACGATGAAAATGAGGCGGCAGAGATCTATCATGACATAGAGACTCTGTGGAACGAATTGATGGATACAGAAGGCCCTCACGCATTCTTCAAAAATCCGTTTAAATCTAGTATTACACGCCAGGCAATGAAAGACATGCTGGCAGATCCCACAAGGGTCCCACCGAGTCTCGTCAGTCGTATTCCTGATGCTGAAAGCCGAAAAGAATGCTTATACAGGATGGTTCAGTACTACCAAAGCGAATTTAATCGTAGACGTGCGGAACGGTTAGGGCTAGATGGGCCGGACTTTAGCAGACCGCTAGAGTCCAAACGAGAAGCGCATGCTGCCGCTCCTGCCGATGAAGGGATCGGAAGCCAGAGAGCTGGGGAAGGAACGGAAATACAGCAGTCCGGGCCTTTTCCAGCAGACCCTGTTCCATCTGGAGCTCACCAAGGCCAAGCCCCGGTGGACGCTCACATTCAAGAAGCACCACTCTCCCAGGCGCCATTGCCCGTCGGCGATCAGCCTCTCCTCAACCCGCCTGGCACCCAATATCAAATGAATGACTGGGCAAATCAGAATTTTCTTCTGGAAGGCACTCTTTCACTGCCTCCAATCCCTGGAGGTCCTGAGCCCGGGGCTCCGACTAGTCACACGAGAAGCCCATTTGTACACGTACAGCCTGTACCATCCAGAAGTCCATCATTCGATTATACTAGGGGTTCGATCGTTCCCAATGCAGACATCCAGGTTGTAAGAGCAGGCCGCCCCAATAATGCCATCGCATTTCGACTCAGTGACTTTTTACTGAACCAAGATGACCCTCACAATATTAGCCGTAGCGGAGACTGGCTAAATTCTTCTAATCTCAGCTTTGCTGCATGTCGTCAGCAGCTCACGGAGGAAGGCTTCTACCATCCAGAGCAGGATGCCTTCTGGTGGAGTCCACATCCCCTGCACAAGATCGATATAACTAACAGAGACCAAATGACTGCCGATGAAACCAGACTCACCGCGATGAATCTAGCATCTAATATACAGCGCTCCATTGACCGGTTCTATCCAGGGTACCGGAACCCGTCCCCGGACTTAGAAGGGGGGCGTTCGCCCTTGGAAAGAATAAGCTTTACCATTATCATCCGTCCAGAAGACCAGCAAGGCGGGCTTCTTAGTGGAGCACAGCCTCCTCTTGCTCGACCGGGATTTGGACGTCGACCGCGCGATCTACCGCGTCAAGGCCGATCTGGTCAGGGCAGGTCTGGCCAGGGCAGGCCTGGTCGCATAGCTTCACGCCAAACCCACCGACAAGGGTCCCCCCTTCTAGAACAAGAACGCCAGTTGGCAGCGGCGAACCGGCCCATAGAATCTATAGAAGAAGAGCCACCTGCACCTACCGGTGCTAAACGACCACGTGAGGAGACGCCAGAAGAGACCCGTAGCCTTCGCCCGTCTCAAATCCGACGTCTGAATGAGCCTGCAGATGCGCCTGAAACTGATGATGAAGACAACCCCTTTCTACGGGTGAGACTCTCTGAGTTTTTGGAACATCCAGAGGCCATGCCTTGAGACCCTGGTATATTCATGGGTGGGAGAAAACCCTGAGGAATCCGAGGCTATTTCTCCCTCGCCAGTTTTGCTTTCCGTGGGTTCTCTAGACGAATGAAGCCTCCGGTCAATCCGGATCGACTATGTGTAAGGGCTACAGATGGCTCTCGTAGGTGTCAGAATAGTTTTATCGTCAGATTTTGTGTCATCTCATTGTAGCTGCTTTTTTCTTATTGGAATTTTTTCTTCGGGTTCAAGCTTACGGGGATGGAGAAAGACTAATTACTAGAAGCAGAAACTTTTATGGAGATATTGGAGTTAGGCGTTTTGTCAGCTTTAGTATTTAAGCCCAGAGGTAACCAACTCAATCTACAAATTGGTAAAATAAGAGCATTAAGCCATTGTGTTACAAGAACCTCTGGTCAAGATCGAATCAACTGAATTGAGATCAAGTAATTTCGTTACGGACATGTCAGATGAAGGGCCATCAGGACTGGTCAGTACTGTCTTGCTGTAACCAAAACAGCAACATCTGATCTACAGCCACATTGTGCGACGTTACGAATTGGAATTTAGGAAAGAGGTAACGGTAAACGCCGGAGGCCAGCCACGACATCTAGCAGACACCATGCGTCTTGCCGGTCTTTCCCTGCAACGAGTGCTTCTCACCGTGGTAGGCGTGGTGAGTGCGCTTGTTGCGGGGGTGGGCCCGATGGCTTTGGATGTGTCTAGAGATAATAGCGTTAGTAATGATCAAATGCATTTCCAGGTTCTGAGGCTAGATGCTTACGCCTTGTACTTGGCAATCATGCCCTCGTCCATAGATTCCAGGGTCTGCAGAGCCAGCTTGATATCAGTGAGCAGGCTGTCACAACGGTTCATGCTGAAGTCCTCCCGGATGACGATGCGCATGAGCTGAAGCTTCTCGCTGTGAGGGGCCATAGTGTAGGCGGGGACAACCCAACCACGCTCGCGCAGCTGGTGAGCCACAGCAAATTCATCGAAGACGCGGTTGTTGTTCGGGGGCAGGCGGAAGGCAACCAGAGGCAGACCCTTTCCTTTGGACTGGCTCATAATAATCATACCCAGTTTCTCCAGCTCCTGGGTCAAGTAGTCGGCAATGCGGGTCAAGTTGACCATGATTGATCGGTAGCCGTGCTTGCCCAGACGGATCAGCTGGTAGTACTGACCAATGACATGAGCAGCACCCTTGGAGAAGTTCAGGGTGAAACTGGCCTGGTCGGCCCCAAGATAGTTGATATTGAAGACCAGCTCCTGAGGTAGGTACTCGGGTGAGCGCCAGATCACCCAGCCGACACCGGGGTACACTAGCCCGTACTTGTGACCGGAGACATTGATCGAGACGACCTTCTCGAGACGGAAGTCCCACTCAAGATCAGGGACTGTGAAAGGAGCGACGAATCCACCACTAGCAGCATCGACGTGGATGGGGCAGTCAATGTTACGCTCGACCAGAAGGTCATTGATACCCTTGACATCTTCGTATTCACCAGTGTAGGTGGTTCCGATAATGGCACAGATACCAATAGTATTCTCGTCTATCAAGTCGACAGCCTGCTTGGGGTCAATAACATAGCGGCTGTCCGTGCAGTAGACGTAGCGCTCTTCAATGTCGAAGTAGCGCGCGGCCTTCTCCCAACAGACCTGCACCGCACTGTTCATGACAATGTTAGGGCGCGAGAAATCTTTGCCTTCGGCCTTACGCTTGTTTTGCCAGCGCTTCTTCATGGCCAAGGTACCAAGCATGATGGCCTCCGAGGAACCAATGGTGGAAGTACCCATGGCATTTTCCGCGTTGGGATCGGTGGGGCAGTTGAAGAGGCGGGCGATCATGTTCACGCAGCGGTTCTGGATCTCGGCGGAGTGGGGGGTATTCCTCATAGTCAATGAAGTTCTTGCTGAAAGAATCGGTCATGATCTGCTCGATTTCCTCCTCCTGTAATGAAAGTAGTTGTTAGAGCTGTCCACGGGTGAAGCTCCGGGAAGCTTCCCGCAGTAGAGAGGAGCTCATACCATGTAGGTTGTAACGAAACTGGCCAGGCTGCAGGAGGGAAACACAGTTAATTGAAGCTCATTAGACTCCTCGGCAATGCGAACACCACATACTTGAGCTTGGGATTTCCATCCAGGCTCAGCTCGTCCTTAATCAGACGAGCGGCCACCTGGCGAGGCATCTCGCGTTCGGGCATCTCATGTTGGGGCATGTGGTCCGCAGCGAAATGGCTTCCGTAGACGTTGGTGTAGTAATCATTCTCGTCCGGAGGGCCACCAATGGACTCGACCTGGCGAGCGAGGTGGTCAACCACCTCGTCGTCCTTCTTAACAGCAGCAAGATGAACCATGGTGAGATATGGGGAAGCAGGAGGAAACTGGACAGGAGAGAGTCCGGAAGTGCAGCCTAAGTTTAAGTACCTTGAGGTGCCATTGAGGGAAAAAAAGAAACCCAAACACGTGCGGGGGACCAGACCTCATCAGCCAATGCTGCGTTGGTGTTCCCTATGACGCAGCTTCCGTTTACGTTTCACCTTCTACAAGCCCTTCCTGTTTCACTTTTCCCCCTGTCAATGTTTCCATTGGCGCCCTCTACGACCCATGAATAGTGCTCTGAGAGAGAAAAAAAACGAGAGCTAGCATGCCAATCAGCAGGCACTTCGTGACATGAACAAATGGGATGCAAAAGCTTGGGAAAGCTTGGCGGCAGAGCTGAACTCCGATGGGTCCCAGATCTGCCCCTCAAGGAGAACCGAGGATTTACCCAGTGGCTTGACTTGCTGCCCGGTTTTGGGCACGATTGGCGCCACGTCTCTTGCTCAGTGGAGATCGAGTCGCGGGGCCTCCTCACTGGTCTCGTCACTATCTGACAAGCAATACAACATACAAGGCATGCGTTGGCGAAGCCCCCGTATCTATTTATGATCGGCTCTATTATATCGCTGCCTATACAGACCGTGCTTGCCCCTCATTTCACTCCAAAAAAATGATTCGTCGATCTTCAACCCGAGAGCCCCGCACTAGGCTTTGTGCCGCCCCGCCCATGTTCCAGCAAGGAACAGGACGACGAAGGGAAATTGTCCGTGGCGCATGCGAAGGACCCATCCAATATCTATAGAATGCACACCCCTGCCCTCCGTTTACAGCTTGCTCGGTCGCCCAAGCTTCTCCACTTCGGCAAATTGATAGTAATAGTCAAGACTACCGGGGTTAAGCAAGGTCCCCGAAGGCTGGATTTTTCTCCCGCACACGATCTGCTTCACGGGCAGTTCCACTTTCTTCAGGTTCACGGTAGTCTAGAGTTTGTATCAGTGATTTATCGCCCTCTCTGACTGGCTGTAGTCGGGAGGAAACACTCACCGGGATCTCCGGGGTCTCGAAGATGAAGGCCGGGACATGCCGGGGGCTCAGTTCTCTGCGAATAAGACTTTTGATCTGCTGCACAAGATCCTCTGTGAATGCTTTTCCAGGCTTCATTAACAAGAACAACATGACCCGCTCATCAGGGTCGGTAGGCCGGCGCTGTCCAACGCAAAGCGAATCGGCAACTTCTTGTTGGAAGTGGCCTTCTATAACCCGATAGATTTCTGCCGAACCGAACCGCACACCCGATGGGTTCAGTACCCCATCTGCGCGGCCATGGAATAACAACTGCTTTGTAACTGGATGGATCGAAACAAAATCGCCGTGGGTCCACACATCTAGCAATGGCGTCAGAATACACAGCTCAAGACGGACGAGACCTACTCACTGTCAAACCTCCCGAAGTACGCGTCATGGTACTTCTTGCCGTTGTCCCCCCCAGAACTTCGTCGGCATGTTGGGGAATGCAGCGGTAGCGACCAGTTCACCGGGGACACCATCTTCAATGGGAATGCCCTTAATCCCCTCTCCCCCTTCAATGGTAGAATCATAAACCTCGACAGGGACACCTAAGCTGCAACCCCCACACCCTCCTACGTAGACCGGCACCAGAGGGTTCCCAATCCCAAAACAGCCTGCAATATCTGTACCGCCGGATATATTGTTGAGACGAACGTGCGATGGAAATCCTTCGTCGTAGAACCACTCGAATAGCTCATCTCGCAGCACCATTCCCGTACTAGTCACTCCACGCAGGAAACTCAGATCTGCAATCTCGCGAGGTTTGATGCCAGCCCGTTTCTGTTCATCAAGCCATCGCGGAGATATTCCGAGATGTGTGACTCTATCCGCCGGTTAGCAATACTGTTCTCGACCCGGTATTCTCGATGGGTAGGAAACGGAACGATGGAAGGGGTCATACTTTTCTTGCGCCGCAAGTTTCACCAATGTAGTCACGTCCGGGATAAAGGGACTGCCATCGTAAAGGACAGCCCGGGCTCCAAACAGCAATGCCTGCACGGCGTTCAGGTACATGATCCAGCCAGTCGTGGTAAACTGCAGTCCAACAGTATCAGGCCCCATTTCCGAGTGAAGTCGGCCTTCTTTATGAGCATTCATCAGCACTCCTCCTACCGAATGGACGATGCACTTGGGTTGCCCTGTTGTGCCCGATGAATAGACCACTAGGAACGGGTCACGGAACTCCACGCGCTCAAACTCCAGCTGGGTATTTCCCTCCGCTTTCTCAAGATATTTTGCTAGTGTCATAGATCGGGGGACCTGGTGCAAGTCGGCTGGCTTGGACGGGAACCGTGGCTGAGATACCACACCCTGGAACTCTGCCACTGCGCCCATTCCTTGGACTATGTCTTTCATTTTTCCTCGCAGGTCGGTGGTTTTCCCGTTATAGACTGCGAAATCGTCCATGAAGAGCCATCGCGGTTTGATCTGAAGCAGTCTCTCCAGAACCCCTTTGACTCCCATGTCTGTAGAGCTCGAGGAAAAGATTGCCCCAAGGGCTGTCGAGGCTAAGAAAACCACCAGCGTGTCGATACTGTTAGCCGAACAAACTGCGATACGGTCACCCCGAGTAACCCCATTCGCCTTCATCGCTTGGACCAGAGATCCTGTCTTTCTTCGCAGTTCACCCCATGTCAGATGAACGGCATCGCCGACTGCACCCTCGCGGACCTCTGTGACAGCGACCTTACCATCCTCTTTGTAAGTCGTATTGCCTGCCTCTCGAGTAAAGAGGATATTCTCGGCAAAGTTGACTCTGACCCCGGTAAACCAGCTGGGAACACTGTCGATTCGTGCCGACTCATCCACAACCTGGGAATACGATCCATCATGGATGATTTGGAAATACTTCCAGCAGAAGTCCCAGAACGCCGATCGGTTCTGAACTGAGTATAGGTACAATTCATGGAATGACTGGGAAGGAGAGGGCGGGTCAGCTCTGCCATATCCAGCCATGACCATATATACTCACGTTAAACTGCTGTCCTGTGACCTGCGCAATCTCACGGCGGAAATGAGCCATTGCGGTGGACTCGGGGTCTGGGTGTTCCCAGAGCTTTCGTGGAACTGGCACAGCAACCATTGCGACTCTAGTCTATAAGATGTCTAGATGAGCGAGAGGTCAGAAAGGGAAGAGGCCATTGATTGAAGGATCCAATATTTACTCTGCTTACCGAGGTCCATTTTAAGCGGCCCACGCAGGTCCCGCGCGGGGAAGTCTCTTTACCGGGGTATCCAACTATTTGCGGCTATCCGGAGGACTCGGACTACATGACTGAATATATGGTAAAAAAAAATTAATTGTACATGGAAATTGGTGTTTTAGAATCAGTTCGCTGACTTCGGGGTCCACAAGGCCCTAATCTGGGGCCATATAGACCAGCAGTGACCTAGCAGGTCTCCGAATTACAGCTATACGGCACTTGGTCAACCAAACATATGCGCAGATTGGCGACTTATAGCTCATTGCAGCTGTTGACCTGATTTTGTGCATGCTTCGGAAAGCTGGTCTCCCAAAGTTGCGTGCTTTCAAAGTATTCGCCGACTTTCTTGCACCGATCCGCGGTGATGTACGGCAGCAGGAACTTCAATGCATGCATCTTCGCGGTCCGACTATTGTCTTCCGCGCATTTGATCGCATTTTTAGCTTGCAAGGAGTCTTGACAACCTTCAAGTTGTGCTTCTTCGAAGGCGGATCCACATCTGCCGCGCAGTTCTTGGAACATCGTGTCCAGGAAATCAACCATCCCCTCCTTTCCTTCCTGGATACCCAAGTAGGAGGATCCGTCTTCGGCTAGCTTGTGCATTGTGTCTTTCCCAAGGACTCCCCAGAGATCAGTCGGGAGAAGAGCATCCTGCTTTGCAGGACTCGTGTTGTGCGGCTTCGATGAACCGGCGAGGGCTGATGCTGTTGAAAGCCTTGATGCAATTTGGAGCTAATGAAGCGAAGATGCCTTCCGTACAGGATATGGCAATGACGACAAGGTGCCTTAGACGCATTCTGGGCTGAGTAATTCGTTCTCAATTCAGATATCTTCTTATCCAACAAGCGCACTTTGCTGTTCGATGTTGCAAGGATAGTTCCAGGGTACTCAAGAGGACTCTCTTCGGCAAATGTCACCTAGTCTCGCATGCATGGGTTCTCGCTGGGTAATATTATGGTCTTAGCTGGGGAGGGTCTTTGCTTGCAACGGTATGCACATCAATATGGAAGGGGAAGACCTGGAATGCCACGAACCGTAATCCTGGAAAAATACTGGATCCCTACTATTGGCGGAGATTTGGCCTAACATTCTTCATCGCAAATCCTGTAAATCATTCAACCGACGCCCTCTTTTGGTATGCTAGTAAGTTCTGCGCGGGGGGCGCATGTTGCTTTCCAGATACTTCGATATTTTCCTACGGGAAAGCATCGTGATGGAGGCGCATAGTTTACGAGGAACTTTGGGAGCAAGCCTAGTTCCAACATCTAATACTGTAAAAGAATCTATTAGCACACACATACTCGTCGCAGTGTTCTCTACCACCCCTTCTAGCCTCGCGTTATCTCCGTAAATGCCATACGCTAATGGATACCGGGGAAGATCACAGGATGCACGTGCTGTCATGAAGCCTCACTGCTGCGAAGCCAGGCAGGGGGAAGATTTGTCGCCTGGCCGGAGCAGCCTGCCGCCGCGCATTGCTCGAGTCCGCCGAAACGGATATGCCGACCTGTGAGGCCTTTTCCATAGTGTGCATACTTGCCCGAGTTTGTCATGATGACTTTCGTTTCTCTTGGAATCACCGGCTCTTGGATCATGCACCAACAGGTATCAGTAACTATTTGAACTCCATGTCCTTCCAGCACCGCGATAAGACCGGCTTTTGAAGCCTGTGAATAAGTAGCACGATTGCATGTGACCATAATCCCGGTCGTGGTATTCTTCTGACGTCCCTGCAATAGACCCACGAGGCGCTGTATTTCTTCAAATGCAAAGTGCGGATTTCCAAGGGATACTAAGTCTATTTGACAAGAGCTTTTCTCATCTTCAAATGTGTTGAATCGCTTCCACTGGCGTGCCAAGTCTGCACGAGACACTGTCGATCTAGGTGTGTCTCGTAGATGAAAATCAATCTGCTGTTGGCTCATAGCTTCAACTGTAACCCCAGCAATGTGGAACATTGGGGCACTTGAAGTGGTCGCGAAGGCGGCACCAAACGCCTTCAAGTCTGCCATGGTTGCTTTTGTACTCTCTAGGCCCGTGATTATTGGAACCACATCAGCAGCAAGGTCACCGGCAATATAGCCCAGCAGCGGAAAGAGGGTATCGTCGGCATCTTCTGTATGGTCGATGTGTATCTCGATGTGAGCCTTGCGATTCTCCTCAAGGTGGCATCCGGAATTCAACGTTCGCCCCGTCAAGGCGACACATACGTCGAGAAAATCCGGACACTTTATAGTCCGTGCCCCTAGGACGCTGTTGGCAAACACTACTGCGTTCGACTCCGCCCACATGATATGGTCGCCGGGCTTAGGGGCAGTTTCTAGCAAATAAGGAGCACAAGTAAATGTAGGCCGAGCTCCCATATGTAGATATGCCTGTGCAAGCCTTTCAGAAGGTTCCCCCAGCTCTGGGTCCACCCCCTGTGAACGCCATAATCTTCGGTCAATCGAAATAGCATTCAATGACGTGGGAATCCTCAGTTTACCTCCCCAGTCACATAGTTGTTGGGCAAACTTTAGCGTTGCTGGCCCAGTGTAGATGCAGCAGTCAATATGTGCTTGCTTGACGTCGATCAGCTCTGTGACGCCTTGTATCAGGGCTGTACGAAGGATAATCCGCATGGCAACTTGGGCGGCTCTGCCGTGGGTCCCGTTCAAGAGCTCATGATCTAGCGGGGTCAGCTGGATTGATGAGAAATCAACATCTGTAGCAGATACATTCAGGGGTGATTCCGCTTTTGGAGATGGCAATGCTTCATTGCTCAGATAGATCCGAGCATTCTGAATTCTGGCTCGATCAAAGTTCAGCAGCTTATCGAAGGACGACCCAGACACCTGCAAGACCGGGATGCTTTTTTGAAACAGCTCTTGGGCGACCAGAACTCCGATGGGCAGGATCAGCTCCTCGCGGCTAAAAATGAGCGCCGACGGAGCCCGATCCTGGAGTAACAGTTCGAGCATAATCCCACTTCCGGTGCATGACCCACGGCCGCTTGGAATCGCCAACACGTTCCCTTGCACGGATCTTCCCACTAGAGGATGGTGCGAGTCAATGACACGACCGTTTCCGGGATCGACTCCTCCCCAGAAGCTCAGCGCGACGTCACTGGCGACTAAGGATCCATCAGCTTGGCCAGGGATAATTTCTCGCGCTTCTATGGTTTCCTATAAGCAGGAGGATGAGGTTCACGTTGAGGGCTTCGAGCATTAGCGGGACTAACCTGGGTCATTGTCGCGGGCATCAGCTTTGGTTCTCCCATGGTAGAGCCACCTGAAGGGCCAGACAGCTTTGTATGCCAAATAATTTTGGAGGTTGTTAAATATTCCTGGACTGATAAAGCGGGGAGCAAGTGGATGTCGGAGAGCCGTTCCGACATGGACGCCCCACTTGAATAAACAATAAGAGATCGCGTCGATTATAGGAACACAATCCAGGGCCTACTAAATCAAAGAAATCAACGGCACACGCCGGATTGAGATCTCCCAGGGCCATGGAGTGCTAAAGGGCGAAAGGAGAGAGCAGAATACATTGAGTATAAGGCATGTTACTATCCATAATCAGTCTGCACTCCAGATACCTAACTCTACTGATCTTCTCCAAGCGATCGGGCAAGCCGACACACTTGATGAAGAACAAAGGGGGTCGCGTCGAGAGGGGATAGTGTGAGCCCAATGACACAGTGTGACTGGCATGCGCAAGCACAGAGGCCAGTCACGGTTTCCAAAGACTATAATTGTTTCAAGAGTTACCCAGAGGTCAAACTGGAGGCGTCAGTGGCCTTGAATCTGTAAGACAGTGGGACAGACCAGGCTTACCTGGAGAAGGAGAAGGAGAAGAAGAGGAGAAAAGAGGGAGATCTCAAGGGATTATATACTCAGGTAAGGATCCCCTTTCCGCGCTAGTGACAAACGAGACAGCTCTCGCTAGACACTAGCGTGGTAGCTATCTCGTTTGCTGTCTCGTTCGTCACTAGCATGGTCAAGCCTAACTAGGATATCCATGACACCACACGTGATGTACTGCCCTTGGTATATCGTCAAGATGACTGATCCACAAACCTTCTTGAATCTATTGGCGATCATAATGTTTATTTCAGTATTCTTTCAGTGGCTTGAGGTACGCTACGTCTGCCAAGCTTTGGCAATGGAGCTAATAGTCGTCAAGGTTTCCCTACCATACCGCCTTGTTCGTCAGATAGAAAGGAAGATGAATTAGCTCATAGGGGAGTGTTCTTGCTACACAAGAGCGATCTACCATGACTATGAAGGTATTTCTATGGCTACAACCAGTGGAGCTGCATAATGTATGCATATTTGCTCCTGTAAATCATCCCGATCTTGCAAGTAATTGTATTGCAATATGAAACCTCAGAAGGAGATGTATCCCAATTCCATTGTCAACAATCAGCAAAACAAATAGCCGAGGCTGAGGACTTGGAAGAGGCTTAGCTAAATGGCGTTTGAATCGTAGTCAAAAAGTAGGAAGCGCGGATGGGTTTGGGCGAGTGACGCTATCCCCCAATATTTGACGGCGCGTCTGCTTGGACATGTTCAACGCGATATTCAATGCACCCAACGCCACCCGATGAAAGGCATTGATGATCGAAGTGCGCCCAATTTAAACTCAGGGATGGTCAATATCCCCGAAGGTATCTCAGAGACACCACCGATTCCAACCGCTTTCTCGGACGTGCAGCATATTCGGGTCATTCAGTGCCATGGCATATGAGGAATCGGGGTAAAACTTCGACCAGTCCCCAAGCCCTGCTCTATCTGCACCCTCAGGCTGTCCAGTGCATTTTACTCAGTGGTGTACCAAGCACCAGCCCATCATTACTAAACCTAGCTACTAGTATCATTGCCGTACCTTGTAGCATGTTCCCGTGGATTCTAGGAGTCAGGCACACGACTTAAGATTTATCAATTCGGCCGATCATGCATTGTTTCCGCGTTTCGGCTTCTAGAGATTGATCATACTGGAATCTACTAGGGCAGGTTGATAATGGCCTGAATTGATGAAAACCTCGGACAGAACGATCGTGCAGAGCTTTACGTTGGCTTCTACACTTTTAGCGCGGATTGGAGAGGCACGGGTTAATTCTAGCATATCGATGGTGGGACAGACTAATTCCGTAGTATTACATGCAGCGCTCTCCTTCTAAGGCACCTCTACCCCCTTAAGTCGGGTATACGGAGAACTTGAAGTGCATTGCTCCATCTTGTCCATTCCACCCCACGCCTAAACCTGTGGGTTCTCCGCTTGTCTCCATCCACTACTTACGAATAGCACTCCACTGCGTGGAAATACATCCTTCAATACATCATCAGTCGCCCTCTGCTCCATCAAGCTTCCTCGAATAAGGCATGTCCCCACCGCCCCTCATGGCTGCATGGGCCAACTTGAAGGCAAGGCCAAAACTAGCGGTGAACTATAGACCACGTATTCCAGGCCAAGGCGTTAACGCATAAGAAAAAGGGGGCCAAGGACCCCATCGTCTCAAGAAAATTCATCCGACATCCAGAAAGAAAAAGAAAAGAGAGAAAAGAAAACACACTACAATATGAATTTCGGTTGGAGTATCATCAAAGTCCCTAAAAACACAATACAAAAACATCACCTCACCCACAGCTACCGCGCCCTACTGCGCATATCGTACAGCTAAGCCACGGAGTAGGTAAATCACATCCATCCCATCCACCTTCCAAAGGAAGAAAAAACAGCAATGGAAGCAAAGTGATCAGCTCACTTGAACTTTCGCTTCAACCACGCCATGAATCCGCCCTTCTCCTTCTTGGGCTCGGCCGCCTCTGGCTTGGCCTCTGAGGGCGTCGCGGTATCCTTGGCTGGCACGGCAGGGGCGGTCTCCTTCGCAGGCTCTTGAGGAGCAGCAGCTGGGGGCTTCTCAGCTGCCTCAGTCTTGGGCGCTTCAGATGCCTTAGCAGCCTCGGGCTTCTTGAGCTCTGCTTCCGCGGGGGCTGCAGCGCTCTCAGTCTTGGAAGAGTTGATGGCCGCCGCCGCCGCCGCGACTGCGACAGGAGAAGCCTTGCCCTCGGATTTGTTGGCCTCGGTGGCCTCGGTGGCCTTGGCTGCTTCGGGCGCGGCAGACGCGGCAGAAGCCTGCTCGGTCTTCTTAGGCGTCTCGCTCACAGGTGCCGTAGCGACTGGCACTGGCTCGGGAGCTGTGTATGCGGCGGTTGAGGCGGGACCGGCGCCTGCGAGAGCCTTCTTGTCGGCCGCGGCGGCTTGTTCCTCCTCGGTCTTGGGAATCTTGTGTGGCTTTGTCTCGTCTGTGGCGAAAATGGGCTTCTCGTACGGGCGCTTGTGCTCGGCGTGCTCGGTGGTCTCGGAGGGCAGCACTGCGGGCTCGCTGGTGGTGGCTGCAACGGGCGCAGTCGACTCAGACGCCTTGGGTCGCTCGGGGAGAGTGGTAGCAGCTGTCGAGGTCGCCGACTCTTCGGCAGCGGTCTCAGTGGTGGATGGGTAGGTGTCTGCACCGAGGCTGGTCTCCTTGACCGTGCTCTCGGGGAGAACAGCTATTAAAGCGACATCGTCAGTCTCAGCTTGGAGGATTTGTCGAGGATCAATCGCCACTTACCCTTCTGCTTATCCGCTGACTCCTCCATTGTGTTGACCTGACCGGCCGGGGAAGCATGGGCCTTGTCCACAACATTTTCAATTGTGGTCTCATCCATCTTCTCAGAGACAACGGGAACGGGCTCAGCCAGGGATGCCTCCTTAGTCTCCTCAGCCTTGCTCACTGGCGCAATGGGCGCTGCCTGAGAAGCCTCCTTGGACTCCTCGGCCTTACTCACCGGCGCAACGGGCTCTGCTCTTCTCAGCCTCAGCAACAGGCGCAGTCACCGCAGCCTTCTCCTCGGCCTCCTTGGTCTCGGTCACAGGCGCAGCGGCAGGGGTCTCGGTAGGCTTCTGCTCCGCGGCGGTAGACTCGGGCTGGTTGATAGACTCAGCCTTGCTGCCATTGGCGACAGACTCGTCGGTCTCATGGCCTGGGTTGCTGTGGAGTGCGGCGCAAATGTAAGCGCATTGTGGGATCGCAAAGCGGCACGCGACCACCACTTCTGCCCACCCCAAAAAAGTTTTATTCTTTTTTAGGGGGGGTTATTGAGGAAGAACGACTTACACAACATTCTTGACGGTGTCTTCGACCTTGTTGACCGCAGCGGCAGCGGCGGGCTTGGGACCGCCCTTCTTCTTGTTCTTGCCACCTTTCTTAGCCATTGTCGTGACGATTCGTGAGGGAGTGTTCTCTGCGCACGGTCAGAATTGCGGGATGACGACAAGCGCGACCAGGGTGGGCCAAGCTAAGGTCCGTGACTATGAGAAACCTACAAGGTTGTAGTTGGAAGGAAAGCGTTGAAAAGTTAGCGAGGTGGATGACAGGTGGAAGTTGAGTTCGGGTGTGGACAAGTAAGGGATGAGCGATCCGGTATGCTGGCGCTGCGAGGATCCGTGGTTTGGAGGAGATTAGAGATGCCTGGAACGTCCAACTTGGTAATTGGGATCAGCTGAGAGCTGAATTGTGTGATATTTTATTGTTTCTATTTTCGTGGCATTGTAAGATACCTATTTGGCTATTGGTTTCTTTTGACTGTTGGACTATTTATTTTTCGGGCCGCTCCGGGTTATTCAGTAGGACGCATTCTCTTGCTGCAAACGGCGGAATGGATCCTTTGTCTTGCTCCGGGGTATGCTTATTGACTATGTAGATATGGATATGCAGACAAGTGTCCGTCCCCAGATCCCCAAGGGCTCATGCAGGTCCCAAGTGCCGCAAGCAGTGTCGTGTGAGCCCTAGCACCCAATGGGGCAATAGGGTTTAGGTAAGGAGCAGATCGGGGCCCGCGGGCCGTTGGCCTCCTCGAAGTATACCTAGCATTAGCACCATAGAAGGGACTAAAGGGTGTAAGTGGCATCCTCCTTTGGACTAGGTCCCCTGGTTGATCGACTTCCTTTTCCCTTTAGATCCTCTATGGCAGAGACACAGCTGGTCTGAATGACATCATCCGTTTGAGGCGCGGAGCGGCACAAAAATAGTAATGAACGTAATGCGCAATACAACGAGCCGCGGACAAAGCCCCACGAGGACGCGACGAGTGGATGTTTAATCATATTCCGAGCACGGCACAAGACGATAGTATGAGGCGAGAGGTCGGTAGAAGGAGCAGAAGATAGGCGGTGCCTTGATCGAACCCGCGAGGGCCGAGCCTGCGACCTCTCGGCCCCAGTCGGATTTGGCAGTCTTTCTATGCCTTTGTTCTGCACATTTCTTTTGTAGCCCCTCACTGACGAAGTGCCGCTGTCAATGCATGCGTCCTTTTGACACAAGGGGAGAGAGATAACTATAGTGAGCACAAATATGGGAGACACTATGTTAGACGAGAGGAAAAGAACAAACACAAACAAAAACAAAAACAAAAACAAAAAAGAATTGACCGACGCAGGGGTCGAACCTGCAATCTCTTGATTCGTAGTCAAGCGCCTTGCCATTGGGCCAGCCGGCCGCTGTTGAAGCAAATCCAGGAAATGTGCGCTATGATGGAAAAATTTGTCACGTGATATTAGCATGATGTCAGCGGTCGGCTAGCTGGATAGCAGATTCTATTGGTCGAAGATACTAGTCGGGGCGCAAGGCTTCTCAGCGACGCCCGGGCGCCCCGTGGTGGAGTCCGTTTTCATCATTTTCCCGGTTTACCGCCGTGCGCTGCCATCTTCGTCCTCTGCCATGATGCAAGTGAGGCTCCCTTGCCGATCAGCAGTGTTCTCGAACCCTTCGCTGCATATTACCACGCCCTTTTGAGTCTTTCGAGCCTTGGGGGGGGGTATTCTATGGTTAGCCAGAAGCTGGATCCCCCGGGGGCAATTTACATCAGAAAGGTTGCTCTAGTTGAAGTCGTAATTTCAAACAGAAATCGCCCCAAGTCCCGATCCGACCATGCCCGGATCGTGGCGGACTGGTCTCGATGCTACGGGGATGGAGCAATCAGCGACCAGAAGGCGGGATACCATCCACTTTCCCTCCATGTATCCACGTTGGGATGCCCACCACGTTGGGCCCACTGCTGGGTGGTAGCGCCTGTGACTGGCCCAGATTCTCCGAATCTGGAGTGTAGTATTTGCCCGCCTGGCTTTCCCCAGTCTCTGTGCCTTCACCGAATGTCACCCGAATTGGGGTTGGGAAATTGGAATTCCCCTTTGGCTTAGTGTCTTGCTCTCGTTCTCTTGTTCTCACTTAAACCATCCCATGGTTCCCTAGATTCCCTTATCTTCTTTTCCTTTTAGGACTCCCTCTCCTCTCCTCTCCCTTACTCCCTTTTCTTAACGACCTCTGTCCTGCATAGAATGGTCCATCAGTCCTTGGACCGTCTCCCTCTCTCGTGCTTGCACATCCGCGTCCGTTCCCAAATCGGGATAGGTCAGCATCTGTGAAGTCTACTCCCATCCATTGAACCCCATTAGACAACCATGACGTTCCGTGAGAAGGTCAAGCGAGTCTTCCACCGCTCCAGCAGTAGTGAAAGCCAGGCCAGCGGCAAGCCCAAGGTGGAATACTATCGTCGCCATGAGGTGCCACCGTCGAAGTTCCGGGGCCCGTTTGATAAGGAACACCAAAAGCGATTAGCCGCCTGGTCCTTTGAGCGGGCCACCGTTGACCGCACGCGTTCTCTCGACTTGTCTCTCTCCCCTTGCGCCACTGCCAATGATTGTTTGTGCGATGCTGGTTCCATTGTCAGCCTGGCTATTGATCCAGGTATGTTGCAACCGCTCGAGCATGGCAAATTCCGATGTTCACAGTGTCTCGCAGTTAGCCGTGGGGTCTCGGACTCTCCTATCTCGCCACTGTGTCCCGAGTTATCCGACCTGCCGGACTTAATCTACCCGACCGATGAGGGGTCCCAGTCCGACTCGGCTCCCACCTCCAACCACGAAAGCTACAGTGGCTCCATGATGACCCTGCAAGAAGGGTCAGTCTACGAGTTATCGGAAGATCCGGTCTATCAATTTAAGGAATCCATCCGCTATACTTCACCCATCGCTCGCGCCAAGACCCCTGTGTCGCCCTGTCCCATGCCTCCCAGCAAGCATTTGCCCTTTTCGCCCGAAGATCTTACTCGCGCGTTGCTGCGGGTTGCTTAGGCCACACATCCCGGAGATTGTCTCTTTCGGCTGTTCTTTTTCTTTTTTTTTCTATTGTTTTTTTTTCTGCCTCTGTTCTCGAAATGATTCGATGTCATCTGGGTAGATCTCTTTTGTCCTTTCCTTTGTTTTTTCTTTTTTTTTTTTTGTTACTCTATCCGCAATTTTGTGGAAAACTCATGCATGACCCGACCGATCAGTCCCCGATCGGGATGAGCATCGAATTTTGGCTGGAGATTATGACCTTCGCCGCGCTGCCCTCAGCTTAAGAGAAGCAGCTCAACCCCTTGCATTTGCATTTGAGCGAATACCCGTTGGCGTTTCTTGCATTGACGCGACCCTAGAGTCGCCGCGACTTATCTTGGCATGATACCAGGCGCAGATAGAAATACAAAGTCGCTTTATCTACCGTAAACTCTATCTACCACAGATTAAGATTCACTCCAGGTGTAGACACATGTGGAAGTTCTAGAAGACTCGGACAGCCAAGCCCCGCACCGGGTCCTTGGCTGGTTCTCGGCGTCACAAGCAAAACAATGATCCTTCCCGATCAGCCCGATCGTCTCTCGGTCGCTCTCTAAGTGGCTGGGCGGACCTCTTGGCTTCATAGTCACGGTAAGTAGTCGGGAGTTTAAATAACTTAGTTACAAAATATACTTCCCAAGAATTATCATGTTGGTAATGCCGCCTTGGCGACTTGGTTCAAACGAATGCTGGGGTACATCACCCCTGGTATAATAACAAATCGCGTGCCCCTATAGAGATCTGGCCCGTCGTTTCTTCATGAGTTGTGGTGGAGGTACTACCCTCATTCCCGATCCCCGTTATGTGCAATTGTTGTCCCCGTACACCCAAAAATTGAAAAATATCATTGCTCCTAACTCCAGTCCTAACCCTGAGATCCATGTATGAGCGCCCCAAAGCTGCAACCAAGGGATACAAAGTATTGAGGGAAAGCACAGCTTCTTCCCATTCGGTTCTTGGTGTCTGATGCTGGATACAAGATAAGTCATAAGAGTCATCTAGTATATGGTTAGAAGGCCGACTTACAGGCACTAGACAAGTGACTGGGCCAGCTGCAAGGTACTCCGGACCAGCTTCCCTGTGATTTTGAACGAGAGCCAAAGGACGAACTTGACGTCGGTGTGGAGAGCGGTGATGATGGGTCCTGGCTGGACAGAGAGCACGTTGACACGTTGTACTGGGGTGCACATGTTGGCGTATGAAGTCTTCCTTGTAGGGCCACTGAGGGCTGACAGATTCAATCTTATGGTGGATGGGGAGTAGAAATCCACAGATGGCATGGTTAGTAGGTCACGGCGGGGAAAGCCTTAATTAATAGCTGCTACGGTGAGAACGCGCTTGGGCTTCTTACACCTCGGTTTCTGTCTCTCAATGCGTGACTCCAACAGATTGGTGTTAATTCTCCGCCTCTTCGTGTCGGCCAGCTGCAGCCACCCCTGCCTCGTCCTTTTTTGGGCACTTGATTTCCGAGTCAATTATCACAGGAAACATTTATTTGATCCCATTATGGAGTTGGATTCTATAGTTGGAGCCCAAGATGTCGAATCTTCGAGATACCTACTAATGCGACCTGCTTCTCCATAATCGGAAGCCAAACTCTCAAAGCTGGTGCTAGTAGGGTGTTCTCATTTGTAATTATCCATGTGCCCTCATCTGGACCGATTATTACGTCCTGGTCAAGCAGGCAAGTTCCCGGCTATCGTGCATGTCGTTCTAAAATATATACGGGAGCGCCGACATATTGAACCATTTTAATTCGCTGCATATGATATCATCCAGATGTATGAGCTAGAGTACTAGGCGTCAATTGGCGAGGCCCTGCTTACTGGATTCAAGGAATTGGTTCAATCTCACTGCTTGGTGAGAGCACGAATCCTCAGCTTGTTTCCTAAACGCTGGAAACTTCATCACATGACTACCCCCGCCCTAGAAGCTCGGGCCTGACTTGCGAGATTCCAATGTAATCATGTATAGTGGAGCCTTGGTCCAATTGGCTAGTTGCACCCACAACATTAAAAGAGGCGACGTCTATGGCAAAGATAAACCGTCCGTTATTCATATTTGGGGCCAAAAAGCAAATACCGAGGCAAGTCAGGCAACACACGGATACCCACTTCTCATATTGGGTCACATCAGCATAGCGGTGCAGAAACGCTTTGGTAGATAGTCTTAGATCTAGTGAAATCAAATGCTTTCCTTTAGATCCCATGATACTGGAACTCGGTTGTAGCCGTGTGGTGTCGTAGTTAGAAGCTAGACGTTTAATATTGATGCCGTCCTTATTCTCAGACCATCCTTCGATTTTGATGTTTAGTGGACATAACCTGGAGGGCCAAAATCTTCTGGGTTACGTTGACCTTTTGGGTCATCATTTTCCAGGTCGTGTAACGTGTTCGCATACAGTGGTTGGGATAGGAAGAAAGTACATACTGGTTATCTCAGCGAAAGAACACTCCTGCACTTGGGCAATGCCCAACCGAAGGTACATGAAGAAACCGAATAGATTCCAAGCTCCACGAGTTGGAATTGGGTTGGTTATGAGGCTTTTAAGAGAGAAGGGTGTCAAACAGTCATTAGCTTAGCCATCAGGTATGCTCGGGGAGAAATCTACCCTTCTTGCCCCCTCCCCCTTCCTGCCCACACAGGAAGGACACCGGATCATCACGGGCTGCAACACCTAGTCAGGATCATCTGCAGAACTGGGCAACAATCACACCGTACCATCGTATACGAAGCCAACATATGCTCGGGCCCCTCCCTTGTTCATCAGTTGGGTGTTCCCAATGAACCAAGCCCACGTGAGAGATACTAGTTTTGATCTTTCTCTTTCTTTGCCATTAAACCCGACTCTGAACCAAGAGCTGTACATACAAAGGCGATGCGTCGTCCTCGACATGCAATACAGCCACCTGTAAGATCCCCAATGCTCTGCGTTCCTGGATCCTATCTCAGGGCATTGTCGATATGATGTCGTGCCTGCGTCGCCTTTTTTGCTTTTCTGCTAGCAAATCCTCCGAACCTCGCAACCATGGACTGAACAATACACACAATGTCATTTGGCTGAGATCTATCCGCAAGCCAGATGTCGAAACCCGTGTTGCTGTCTCCCAGATCCCAGAACAGGCCAATGCCAGGCTAGCGCTAGGCCCGGCCCCTCGGCCCATTTCCCCATCGACTGACGACATGAGTGATGACCCATCGGTGTATACATCTGACACAGATTCTCAGATCACCGTGAGCTCCACCACCACTCATGAGGCCTCCTCTTCGCCCGAGACCCTTGTCAAGCGCCCTGCTATCTCTTACCAGGGTACTGATGATGGTCCATCCTACATCTCGATCCTGCAAGAGGGCTCCGTGAGGCCTCCGCAGATCTCATTCGACGGTTATGGCGCTTTCGGTGGCCGGTTCGCTCCAGAATCCATCATGGGCTTCCTAAACGAGCTAAGCCTGGCCTTCGAGAGCCATGTCACAGACACTGGCTTTTGGTCTGAGTTCGCCACCTTCCAACGAGCTGAGCCAACCCAGTTGTATTGCGCAAGAAAGCTCACAACCCTGGCCGGTGGCGCCACAATCTGGCTCAAGCGCGAAGACCAGAACGAGTATGGCTCCCACAAGACACGGAACATCATCGGTCAGCTCCTGCTCGCCCGCCGCATGGGCTTCGCCGAGATCGTCACGGACTGTGCCGCAGCAAAGCATGGCAAGTTCACGGCCGCTATGTGTGCCCGCCTGGGCCTGCGCTGCGTCGTCATCATGGGTGCAGACGACGCTCAGGCCCAGCAGGAAGATGTTGTCAAGATGAAGCTGCTTGGGGCCAGGGTCCTCACCGCACGAACCCCATTTGGCATGGGCTCTCTGCGTGCTGCAATCACCGAGGCGCTCCGCTATTCTGTCTGCAACTACGAGTCCGCCTATTATCTGATGGGAGGTCCGGTGGGGCCCAATCCCCTGCCGACTCTCACGCGCACCTTCCAAGCCTTGCTAGGCGAGGAGGTTGTCGCCCAGATGCACACGGAGGCCGGTCGTCAGCCTGATGCGGTCGTTACGGCTGTGGGGAGTGGCTGTGGCGCCGTTGGGCTTTTTCGACCGTTTCTACACGATCACAATATCCGGCTGATCGGCGTTGAGGCCGAGGACGCTGCTGCCATTACAAAAGGGAAGATGGGGGTTCTCCAGGGGGCTCGTACCCTGATGCTCCAGAATGAAGATGGCCAGATCCTCGACTCGCATTCCATCTCGCCAGATCTCAACCTTTCCAACGTGGGGCCTGAGGTGGCTCATTGGAAGGAATCTGGCCGGGTTGAAATTCTGACGGCTACCGACGCAGATGCCCTGGACGGGTTCCAAATCCTTCAGCACCACGAGGGTATTCTGGCTGGCCTGGACTCCAGTCATGCGGTGAGCAACGCGATGCGGGTTGCCAAAGAGCTCGGGCCTGGCAAGAACGTCGTACTATTGGTAACGGGATGCGATACTATTCGGACCCAATTCTTGGTTGCTTGATTGACTGTCCTTGTTTTTGGGATGAAGAGAAAGGTAACAAGGGGCCATGGATTTGCTCGTTCTTAGCCTGCGAGCGGGGAAGTTTGCCAGGGTGTTCGAATGTACTGTGTTCGCCGCCCCTAATTTGCTCTTGGCCGTACATATACCCCCTTGGGAGTCTTTTTTCCTCTTTTTTATTTCTTTTGGTCTATTGGGGTTTTTTGACATGTACAGCACATAACACCATTTTTCTCTTTCCCCCCCCTCTTGTAATTATGACGCGGGATTGCTATGGTTGATCATGATGCTCGATGGAGTACAGAAACCTTTTTTTTTTTGTGAATACGGAATTGGTCACTGATATTTATGCCAGACATGGTATCTCGCTCGCTCTATTTCTCCTCGGTCTAGTCTAGGAGAGCACAGAGTCGGCACGTTCATTGGTTTTTTCTGGCTCGTTCATTTCCCCTTCTTTAGGGCCTGCGGACCTGTCACTGTCCTCGCATGGCATTGTGCAACGTTCCGATGCTCTGGTAGCCAATCCTTTACACAAGTTTCCTGAGCCACAGCAGGTCATGCTCGAGGCAAACTCGAGTCGCTTCATTTTTGGTTTTGTCAGATAATCATCAATCATTGGGCATGAATGTCATGTACATAATGCTTGGCGTAGTCTATGCAGGCCCCCGACACGCTCAGGCTAAACCAGCCCTTCTACCTAGGGATGGTACTGTTCCCCATGCAAATCGTGCGCCATTTTTCTTTCTTAGTCTTCGTGGGTTACTGACATGTCGAGCACCTCTACTCGCCCACGTCCTCGAGTCTCATTGCCCACGAACTCGTTCAAGCCCTTGAAAGCTCCCGGCTCCGCAAAGCCGACCACCTCCCACTCATCACTAACCACTTCTTGTGACTCCACTGATTCAATGTAGCCCAGGATCTTATCTTTGACAGTACCTGCTGCCTTGGGGGTACCTGAGTTCTCGGTATCAGACCCAACAGGATCAGCGTCAGAGTCGTCTCCTTTTGATTTCTTCGATCCCTTTCCTCCCTTCTTTTTTGACTTGGAAGCATTACTAGAGGGCGCGTCTTTTTCTTTGCTTGCTGCCGGAGCGGGAGCAGCCTTAACGGCCTGTTTCAAGATAGAAACGGGACAAGTGACACGCAGACGCATGCGTGCACGCATCACAGGAATGGGCTGCCATGCGATAAGAGCCTTCATAGCGTCAAGCGCCTGGCTCTTCGCCGAGCGATTAGAAGCCACGCCCGTCCAAACAGGCTTTTTAGGGTGCTCCTCGCCCGTAGCGCCATCGCCACCCTGCTGCTGGCCGCTTGCGGAGCTGAGTTGGTCCAACGCCTTCGAGATCATTCCTGGTGTGTAGACTCGCTTGGTTGTTGGGTCTACTAGACGCCCGGACACGATGTCTAATACTTCTTTCTCAACTCGTTCCAGGATGTCCTTGCGCTCGCGCTCGCCGACTTGCACTTCACCCTTGCGAAGGATTTCTTGGAGGATCTCTTCACGTGGTGTGTCGGCGCCAAATGACTTGGCGAGTTCTGCGGTGGGAGCGGTTTGGGCTTTTGAGACGGAGAGGAAAATTGTCGGGACTTGAAGGACATTGTCGAGATCTTTCTCAGCACCGGAGCGGTATTCAAGTAGTTTGTTTTTGTAACAGGCGAGTTCAAAGCGCTTTTTGCCTGAAGGCCATACCAAGTCAGACTTACAATGATTTTTCCACTTTCGGGCTTGGAGATATGATACATACCTTTTTTGAGTCGCACCACTGACACGTTTGTGAATTTGATCTGGTTTGAGGGCTGGTTGATCGGCATGGCGAATCAAATGCCGCTGGTTTGCGGTCTCGACAAGGCGATTAATGTGTACCGTAGGGAATACTTTTCCAAATGACCAAATCCGCATGACCACAGGAAACCTGGAACGCAAAAAGATCGCCGCTGAGTCATCCTTGCGACCCGTGACCCCGCATCTTCTCCACATGATTGGCTGCAGCTTATCGAGCGGACCTTGGAGACTATGACGCCGGACCCGTCCCGACAACTCCCAACCTCTCCTCCTCCCCATCTCCTTTGCATCCTGATTGCAGTCCCTTGCCTTCAGAATCCCTCGGAGCTTTATTCTTTCGACCTCAACTGAGCATAAATTGTCTGGGTATGTGCCTTCTCTTCCCTACCGTCTCCAGAGTCGAGTGGCGGGATTGTGTGAGCTGTTGACTGATAAGCTGCCGCTTGCATATTCAGGTACCCATCATCCCAGAGCTATCCTTATCCATCACCATCACACCTATCCTTCCTTGAAATACATTCAGTATGAGAGTTCTCCCAGCTACTCTGCTGGTGGGAGCTGCTGCGGCAGCTGCTCCCCCAGTGCAGCAGGTTATGGGTGTCGGTCGGGAGCAGATGGAGTCTCTGGCCCAACAGGGCTCCGATGTCTTCTCCAAGGCCGGCCAGCTCGTTGAAGAGCAACTCAAGACCCTGTCTGGAGAGGCTAAGCAGCTCTGGGACGAGATGTCCAACTACTTCCCCAACACCGAGACTGCTCCCATGCTCTCGCTGCCCAAGAAGCACACCCGCCGCCCCAACTCCCACTGGGACCATGTCGTCAGTGGTGCCGATGTCCAGAGCCTCTGGGTTGATGGTGCCAGTGGCAAAGAGCGTGAGATTGAGGGCAAGCTGGAGGCCTACGACCTCCGTGTGAAGAAGGTGGACCCCAGCTCTCTTGGCGTCGATCCCAAGGTGAAGCAGTACAGTGGTTACCTTGACGACAACGAAAACGACAAGCACCTGTTTTACTGTAAGTATTGCGAAAACTCTGACAAGCTTCAGGATCTGTATTGATCTTCATCTCAGGGTTCTTCGAGTCCCGTAACGACCCCGAGAATGACCCTGTCGTTCTCTGGCTGAACGGTGGCCCGGGCTGCTCTTCATTGACCGGTCTGTTCATGGAACTTGGCCCTAGCTCTGTTAACGAGAAGCTTGAGCTGAAGTACAACGACTTTTCCTGGAACAAGAATGCTTCCGTTATCTTCTTGGACCAGCCAGTCAACGTTGGCTACTCTAACAGTGACTCCGCTGTCACTGACACCGTGGCTGCTGGCAAGGACATCTACGCTCTGTTATCTCTGTTCTTCAAGCAGTTCCCTCAGTATGCCAAGCAGGATTTCCACATCGCTGGCGAGTCTTACGCCGGTCACTACATCCCTGTTTTCGCTTCTGAGATTCTTTCTCACAAGAAGCGAAACATCAATCTCAAGTCTGTTCTTATTGGAAATGGTCTGACCGACGGTCTCACTCAGTACGAGTACTACCGCCCTATGGCTTGCGGTGACGGTGGCTACCCTGCCGTCCTCGACGAGAGCACTTGCCAGTCTATGGACAATGCTCTGCCTCGCTGCCAGTCCCTGATCGAGTCCTGCTACAGCAGTGAGAGTGCCTGGGTCTGTGTTCCCGCCTCAATTTACTGTAACAACGCCATCCTTGGCCCTTACCAGCAGACCGGCCAGAACGTCTACGATGTCCGTAGCAAGTGCGAGGACCCTTCCAATCTGTGCTACAAGGGTATGGGCTACATCACCAAGTACCTCAGCCAGCAGCACGTTCGTGACGCTTTGGGTGCCGAGGTTGACGATTACGAGAGCTGCAACATGGACATCAACCGTAACTTCCTCTTCCACGGTGACTGGATGAAGCCTTACCACCGCCTGGTCCCTGGCCTTCTTGAGCAGATCCCCGTCCTGATCTACGCTGGTGACGCTGACTTCATCTGCAACTGGCTTGGTAACAAGGCCTGGACCGAGGCTCTCGAGTGGCCTGGCCAAAAGGAGTACTCCAGTCTCGCCCTAGAGGACCTCGTCATCCACGACAACGAGCACAAGGGTAAGAAGATTGGCCAGGTCAAGTCCCACGGCAACTTCACCTTCATGCGCCTCTTCGGCGGTGGCCACATGGTTCCCATGGACCAGCCCGAGAGCAGCTTGGAGTTCTTCAACCGCTGGCTTGGTGGTGAGTGGTTCTAAGGGTTGAATCACTAGACACTGTCAACACATCGGAATTTGCTATTTCTGAACTTTGGCAATTACGATGAAATTTCGACCGGGTCTTCCCCCCCCCAATATACTGTAACAGCGTACATCTCTGACGATTTCCTGGTCAGTGAGGTTTGTGGCTTCTTCATTTGCGAGAGGAGGATTTCGGTGTATACGAGAAGTATATACGCGTCAAGACAACGATTTATTTCAATTTCAAACAATAAGACTTAGTGCTAGTAGACCGAGGAGATCGGTAGAATGTGAGGGGCGTGGGTTGATATTTTCAAGTCCTTTAACAGGTCTTGTCCCACCACAGCGTGACAGCGGGTCCGCGGTTCACCTCCAAACATATCGATTTCAGAGGAATCCACTGAGGCAGCACGGTATTAAAACAACATTAACATGAAATATAGAATACTTTAGCTTGTGAGATAGGTGATATTGACCACTTGTACAAGTCATACGGAGCGCACTGAGGTTACCAGTACTATCAATACTTAGGAAAATAAGAAAGTAGATAGGTCATTCATATTGGTATGATTCATTTTCAATTTTTAGGACTGTACCACGAAACCAGCCCTGCGGGGAATAAAGATACCCACGGATAATGCCCATAAAAAACACACCGACAAGTAAGAAATCCCTCCGATAACCCCGGCAAAAATCCGACAAAGATAGTTTAGCCCTTCTTCTTGGACACACCGACGGTGCGTCCACGGCGGCCAGTGGTCTTGGTGTGCTGACCACGGACACGCAGACCCCAGTAGTGACGGAGACCACGGTGGGAGCGGATCTTCTTGAGGCGCTCAAGGTCCTCACGGAGCTTGCTGTCCAAGCTGTTGGAGACAACCTGAGAGTCCTTGCCATCGGTGATGTCGCGCTGTCTGTTCAGGAACCAGGTGGGGATCTTGTACTGGGTGGGGGTCTGGAGGATGGTGACGATGCGCTCAAGCTCTTCGGTGGTAAGCTCACCAGCACTGTAAAATTAAATCATCAGTATTTCTTTTCACGTTCATAATTCTCTCGATGTTGAATTTGTGCATTGTTCTTCGGCTTGGTTGGTGTCGCTTTGCCCCTTGGCTCCTGATACTTCATGTATCAAGATTTTCATCATGTGCGCACACTCGCCTGGGTGCAGAAAAAAAACCTTATCCATTGCGACCTCCATTCCATTCCCAAAAACCAAGCCGAAAACATTGCAAAATTCGACCGCTGAGATATGGTGCATCGTAGACGTACCGCTTGCTGAGGTCGACATCGGCCTTCTTGCAGACCAAGTTGGAGTAACGGCGACCGACACCCTTGATCTGGGTCAGGGCGTACATGATCTTCTGCTTGCCGTCCACGTTAGTGTTCAGCAGACGCAGAATGTACTGGAAGTTCGTCTTCTCGCCGGACACGAGCGCTATAGATAAGAACGAGACGTTAGCCAATCTATTTCTCTTCATTTGCGATTTCCAGGGCGCCGATGGGCGCTCATTTTGGGAAGCACGCAAGCCGGCTATGCGAAGAGCAATACAATGGTCGAGCAGGGTTGGGAAACGTACACATGATGGGCGATGGGCGCGGTGGTCGCGGATGTCTTGTCGAAGATCGAAGGATAGGAGGAGGAACGCAGTCAAGTTGAATTTGTGGGATCGGTTAATTCGGTGGGGGCGCTAACCGCTTTGGGGGGGCTCATGTGCGTGTCCTCTGTGTGTCCTCGCTTGTAGCACGCTAACCTATCCTGGATATCATGTGATTATCCTTAGTCACGTGATATGGTATTTGGACCATAATCCATCTTGTTGGCTACTGGTAACCCTGTTCAGATGGACGGGCCCCAAAGAGGAATCCAGACAGTTCATCACCGACTCCTAATTTCCCAGCAAATATCAAACTCTTTTTTGTCTCCTCATATCTACAAGCTCCTCAAGGAAAGGGAGATGTATCATGCGGAACGGGAGAATCCTCGATACCTCGTACGCAAGCTGTAATTAGCACGATCGATGGGTAATAACTTGAAGATGAAGTTGTAGTCTGAGGCTTTGTCTGGAATGTATGTCCTATGGTACTTCTAACATTTCCCACTCCATTGCAGTTTGTTATCATCATGATTCATGGCTCAACGTAGCATGATGTCTCGGCTTCAGATGTAGTCGCCAGACAATTCCTGGAGTGGATCGTAGTCCTCACCAAGGTATCCTGAATAGCTGTTTCTGCAGTGTCTTCCGGATGTAGATTCTTGCAAACCTGTCCTGGATGATCGTTCTCACCAAGACGACCGTGGTGGACCTTCTCGCGGAGTTCACGGATCTCGCGTGATAGGACCCGTTTACACATGACACTCATATTCCCCAATATATCGGTATTGCGTGCCAGTTTGCGAAACTCCACCTTAAGCCACGTATTTTCATCTTTCAGCTTCTTGACTCGGGTCTTTTGCTTGCGAGATTGCAGTTCAAGCCGTGAAATTTCGTCTCCCAAAGTCCTCTCCCGGGCGTCTCGTCTGTCCTCTTGTTCGCAAAGTTGCTCCTCAAGCCAAGCCACTTTATCCTCCAGCTCCTCGATCTCGTGTTCCATTTTCTTCAAAAGGGTTCCTCGCTTGGGGGCTCTGGTTTTGGCAATGATTTCGGTGACTTTGGAGATCTTCAGGGTGTTTTCCTCTGTCAGGATCCTGGCTTGGACATGCCTTGAAATAGTGCTCAGTGTTTGAACCATGTCGTCAGAGATCCGGTCCAAAAGTTCAGTTCTTTCGCTAGAACTGAGCTTTCCCACCTCCTGGAGCTGGGAGTGCCAACTCCCCATCGTCAGCCCATTAGAACTTGTAGACATGTTGGCTGTAGCTATGAGTTTAACTTTCTTATAGGGCGCTTAAAACCCAATTCAACCTGTGAATACACTGGTGATGTCAGGTTCTTGACCTTTGAAAGATAAGGCGTAGACGTGTAGAGGCAAGATTGGGATAAATGCTGGCAAGTTTTCGATTTTGAAAGTATGTTGGGAATGGAAGGACCTGAGAGGAGGTGTTCTCCAAACGAAAGGTCTGAGAAATTGCCCTGACTAGCCACCTCTAACAAATAAACTTATCAATGACTTATCGATAGAGGGAGTATGACCCATTGAGGAGTAGCCAGTCCATTCAAACGATTTCTCTTTCACCAATATGCAAACACTAGTTTTCATAAAGATTCCTCATCTAGAGTGATTTTGGTTTCTTTTATGTGGGGCGATCGTGTCCGGATTGGATAATTAGACTCTACAGAGCCGCCACAATAGCATCACCCACTTCGGTGGTGCTCGATTTCCCACGAAGATCTGGGGTCCGTAAGCCCGAATCCAGTACTTTGCGTACAGCATCTTCCACCTGCTGTGCCTCCCTCTCCATATCCAGAGAGTAACGGAACATCTGTGCCACACAGAGAATCATCGCAACCGGGTTTGCAATATTCTTTCCAGCAATTCTATATACAAAGGTTAGCTCCAGGCCTTGTGCCCTGATCCGTGCTCGATACTTACGTTGGGGCAGACCCATGAGTCGGCTCGTATAATCCGTAAGGGCGTGTTTTCAGGTTCTTATCGCCTGGAAGACCGTTTAAGCTGGCACTTGGCAAGACTCCCAAAGTTCCCACGATAGAGCCTGCCTGGTCTGACAGCATATCACCAAATGTGTTATCGGCTAGAATCACACCGTTTAGGGAACGTGGGTTGGTCGCCATGATCAAGGACGCGGAATCTGCAAGTTGATGCACCAGCTTAACCTGAGGATACTCTTCCGCAATAGTCTTCTCTACCACTCGGCGCCAGAGCCGAGAGGACGCTAAAACATTAGCCTTATCTAGGGAGATAACAGGCCATGGAGGGTCATGTCGCAAGGCAATTTCGGCGGAAAGGCGCGCGACACGCTTGATCTCCTCTTCGCTGTAACCCCACTCGTCCATTGCTGACAGAATATCAATCAGTCCCATGTTCTCTACTAAGGGGCAGGGGTGGTTCCTGGGATAGATATCCCTATTCCATACATACCATAGGTCGGATCCTCCACCTTGCGTCCAAAGTACGCTCCTCCACAGTTCTCGCGAACAACAACGAAGTCAACTCCGTCAATAATCTTTTCCCGGAAGGGACTGAATTCCTTCGCAATTGAGGCACTAGGTGACGTAGCCGAGCATGGACGCAGGTTTGCATAGATATCCATAGCCTTGCGCAGCTGCAACAGCCCGCCCTCTGGCCCATCCAACCCCCGGCGCGCATTGTCCCATTTCGGCCCACCCACGGCAGCGAACAGCACCGCGTCAGAGTTCAGGGCGGCTTGCTTCACCTCTTCGGTGACAGACTTTCCCGTCGCATCAATGCTACAGCCTCCGATCAACTCCTGGCGAAGTTGGAATTTGCGCTCGGATGTCTCAAAGGTCTCCAGCACCTTTACAGCTTCGGCCATGACCTCCGGGCCAATGCCGTCGCCGGGGAGAACGAGGATGTTGTGGGATTTGACCATGGCGGTATATCAATTGGCAACTGAGAGGGAGGGAATGAGGCAGAATATGGGTGGTGCTAGAATATCGATTACAAGCTCCTATGTCGGCGTGTCGGGCGAAAGGCCGATCAAGAGAATGGCGGGGTTCGCTTGGCCTCGGACTGGGACCGAAGGTGTTGCCTTTGATTATAGGAAGGGACCTTCAGATCTATTTCCTGTTTGATGATCCACGGAATATGGAGTCAATCAGCGTGAGTGCATGATCCACAACCAAATGGAGGGTTGTGGCACGCTCCGTACATGTCCAGGTCATTCATTATATGTACGAGCGATGCAAAGGCAGACCCATCTGATCTTGTGGTAAGATACTGATGTATCCCATGTTTTACTAGGCATGATAGTATTCCAATACCAATTTGGTCAAAGGCAAAATGCAAACAACCAGGCTCCTTTAGCAGCAACTTCAACGTCTGTACATCCTTAAGGAACAGTGTTTGCACTGTTTGTTCTGATATTTTCCCCTCCGCGGGGAAAAGAGAAAAAAAAAGTTTGGAGCAGCAGACGCTCGCCCACTCGTGCTCCAAACTAGAGAGACGCCATGTCGCGCATCGAAGAGCTTCCGGATGACTTTGATGAGTCTCTCAACCTCAATGAAATCCCTCCGGAGGCTGCGCAAGGCCCGCCACCAGATCTGCCACAACCCGGGTTTGACGCTTTCGCCGCCTCCAATGAAGCGCCCTTCCCTATCAACGAAGAACGCCTAAAAGAAGTACAGAATGACCCTTCCGCACCTCGCATGCCGCCGACCATGGCTTCGGTCAGATCGCATTCGAAGGACGAGCTCGTCAGTATGATGAACAAAACGCCGTTGTTCATGACCGATATCGAAAACGCAGGCGATGAAAGTATGTTCATTTCCCCCTCTGCTTGTTTGCGTATCAAACACTCACCGGTGCTCTACTTTACACAGATGGCGAAAACGTGCTTCTTGATGCCCTGACCGCACTGCAAAATGAAGGTACCCGTGGTGAGGTCGCCCTGAGCTTCAAGGAGCAAGGCAACGAGGCGGTCCAAGAATTACGATGGATCGATGCGAAGGAATTTTACACCAAGAGTATTGCTGTAATCTATGCCAAAGAAGATAAATGGGAGAAACCTGAGGATCCGGCTGCAGAGAAGGAATTACTACGCCAGATGGAGGAGTTGTCGCACATCAACCGGGCACGATGTAATCTTGAACTCGGTAAGTGCATGAGAGGAATTTCAAAGTCTGATTCTTCTGCTGACTATTTCGACTGTCGTAGGCAACTATCGCTCCTGCACTCTCGATTGTGCTGCTACCCTCAAGCTGAACCCCAACAATATCAAGGCCTATTATCGTTCTTCCATGGCCTTATTAAAATTAGACAAAATCCCTGAAGCCGAAGACTCGGCTGCTCGTGGTTTGGCCGTGGATCCAGAGAACAAGTCCTTACAGGCTGCTGCGAAGCAAATTGCCGAGCGCAAAGCTGCACTGGAGCGCGTTGCTGCAAAGAAAAGGGCAGAAGAAGAGCTAGCGCGGAAAAAGAACCTTGTTCTGAGCACTGCTCTGCGCGCGCGCCAGATCAGAACCCGCAAAACAGGCCAGCCACCCGAGATGGAAGATGCAGGTATTCGGTTGGTCCCTGACCCTCTTTCGCCTGAAAGCTCCGTGGAGTTTCCTGTCGTGTTTCTCTACCCTATGGACGCCCAATCCGACTTTATCAAGGCGTTCTCGGAATTGAATACTATTACGGATCACCTCGAATACATTTTCCCTCTTCCATGGGACACAAAGAAGGAATACTCTATTAACAATGTGGAGTGCTTCATGCAGACCGTATCGGGTGGCCTCATTAAAGCCGGCAAGAAGCTCCCCTTGCTGCAGATCCTGTCGGGTGGAAAGGTTGAAGTGATCGATGAGTTGGTGCGGATATTCATCGTACCAAATGCGAAGACTGGTGCATTCATTGCTGAAATGAAGGCGCGGAAGGAGGGCTGAGAGTAAAGCCCGTCCTCATTTTGATCCAAACTCCTCTCGGCACCACAGGTCTACCCATGAAACCTATCATGACGGAAAAAGGTGTTTCACACTCTAACCGGGCATCTGCCTTCCGCTTGGTAATCTCTATTCCTCGTATACATGTATACTTCGAGGACAGTCCTGTTCGCTCGGGGCAAATCAAAGTTGAGTCTTCATGATTAGTATTTAAAGAATTAAGGGACTTCATCGTGTTGTGCAGGGTCATCAAAAATGACCAAGGGCACTACTAGGAGCCAGATAAATATCTAAAGCAGACTAAAACACATATACCTCTTCCAATATCCGTTTGAAATTTCGCAAGGCATCTCTCAAGTAATACGGGAGATCACACCGTGACGGGGCTAAGGCTGTATCAATTACTTTACTCTTATTATGATCCCCACGTGAGAACGAGAGGTAAGGACATTGAGGACGCACTGTCATCAACTACATTTCTACTGTGTGGAAGGTGGAAACTCGATCGTTTGGGTGCGGGAAATCCTTTGTATGTTAGGAGCCTATCTATATGACTGGCACTGGTCATTGAAGAAATAATCGAGGGTATATGGATCCACAGCCCCACCAAATGGTGCCATGCTAGATGGGATAGTAGTTGCAATGCTTGATGGATGGAGATATGCTGGTTGGGAATAAGGCGGGGGTATGAATGCTTCAGCTCCTCCGAAAGCAGCGTCAGAGAAGCCTGTTGAGGTTGGGCTGATCGGATCTGAGAATCCTGGCCCATCAATATGTCGTTTCCTTAGGCGATCTTTTGGTAGAGAAGCAGCAGCAGCAGCTACTTGACCACCTGCTGGGTTCAATGGTACAGAGCTGGGACCAGGGAACCCAGATGGTGAGAAAGATGTTATGTTTGGGGTGAAGTGGTAGTCGGGCGACACCGGACTCTTTTGTGTATGTATCCCTTGTGATGGCGGAACTTGCGAAGATATCGTTTCTGCTCCTCTGTGTTGTTCTACGAAAGCTTGTTCGATTCTCTCAGATGATTCTGACGACTTGAAGGGGCTGGGTAGGTTTTCCCGTGAAATAGTCACCAAGGCTTTGCCGTCTGAGATCGGAATCAGTATGGCTTTTCTTCAAGAAATTCGCTCTAGACGGATGCAAAGAAAGACGTACCTGTTACTCCGTCAATGTAGTTCTCTTCTTCCTGCCGAACCCTGTATATTTCATCCAATATTCGGAGTCGCTCGGGCGGGGCGATTTGGCGGCGGATGGGCTGGTCTGCTGCCTTTAACTTCTGGGCTGTGATTCCATGGGTCTTATGTAACTCGCAGAGCAGATGAATCAGGAGGATTATACGCTCTTCCATATATTGTCAGCGATTGAGAAGGAAACATGGAGTACAAGATCCTGGATCATACCATCTTTTGGGGAGATGATCAGGCTCTTTGTGGCTCACACCAGGTGGCCACCAAGGAGGCCTCGTTTCCGACGGATCTAATTGTTGCGTCCTGCCATTGACCAGCCTTCGCCCGTTGTATGGATAGTTTACTTGCTTGCGCGGCTCAACTAGTTTGATGTAGACCTTGGCAATGATGCGGCAGTTGATCTGTTGCAGCTTCTTGAACGCTGTTTCGTAATACTTCCACAAGAACGCTCGGTCCCGAACAGATATTTGGGCCCTTTCTGTAGGAGGCGCAAGGTTTTCTGCAGGATGGCTTTCGGTGATTTGGCTTTGTGGTGGCGGTTGCGACCATTCATATCTCCGGCCCTGCTGCGATTGCCATAGGTCGGGGTTGCTCGAAGTCTCTTGATTGGACCTTGGTAATATCAGGTCTCTTTCGGAAGTATTTGGCTCAGATCGCGAAGGCCGTCGATGCGACTGCCGTGGAAATGGGGGCCGGTCTCTTGTGCTAATGGTCGAGCATCTTGTTGGAACTGGGAAACCTCCTAAAGGGCCTCGGAGTAAGCGACGAACCACCTCGGATGTCTTCAAAATGCCAAAAGGACTTTGCTGTTCATACCATGTTGACGAGAGGGTATATTTTCGCTCGAGTTGGCTACTGCACCAAGAAATGCGTTTCTCACTCGCGAAGAAATAATACTTTCGCCATTGACTGCGATCGACGGCGAAGCTTCCTGGCGCAGATAACCTTCGTCGTCGATGTATATAAGGGCAAAATGCCGGTAGGGTGGATTCCTCGTTTCGTCTGTCATCTTGGGAAATGCTGCCAGGGTTGGGCGAATAGTCCTTATCTGGCAGCGGAATGCTCTGCCTGTGAAGGATCTCGAACGATCCTTTCGGGGCCGGTCTGGGAGCAGTCTACCTTCTTGGTGCGAAGGATAAAACCCTTTCTAAAATAGCAGGCATATGATTAAATATCAAACGCAGTCGATCTTGTTGGATCTCCGGGAAGCGAGATGAAAATAGGGGGACTAAGGATAAAGTTGACTCAGGGTTGGCCCCATGAGATTGGCGTTTGATCACCTTATCGACACTAGGCTGACATGGCGTTTTATATTTCCGTTTGCCTCCAATCAGGTAAAAAAGAAGCATAAGCGTCTGAAGGGCCACTTGTGGAGGGCACTAGCCCCAATCTGCAGAGTTTATAGAAGCGTGGACCGGGCCGGATTTAGGCAAAAGGTCTAAGGAAAGGATATTCAGGCCATCAAGGACTGTTGGGCGCGTAGATTCATGCATGCGGCAGATACTTGCAAGGAGCTGCCACTGCCTTTTGGTACGTCGTGTTCAGTTGGCAGTAAACGGTTTTACCCTCCTGGGTAAATGTATCTCACGCAGTTCCTCTGTGTTTCGAGCTGCTAGCACACCTGGCTCTGTCCCACTCTCGGGAATAAGTTCTGCTCTACAGTCCTCGAATATCCCAACCTAAAGTTCTCAGCGTGGCAACGTTACACCGACGAATCGCATCAACGTCGTTCATCGATTATCTTAGCCAAATTAGGACGAGGCTAGAGACAGTCTTGGAATCTGTTAGGAGCCAGCCAAACCAAGTGGGCTCTCTAGGACGATAGATCAGAAAATCCCTCGAACTTGGGGGTTCGCCAGCGCCAAGTGCAGATCGGTAACCTCCACCACTAAAAATTTATGAGCACCCCGCTTACTGAGTTGAGTCGATTGCCACTTTGAGTCACCTACATTCACCTGGAGATGGCTTAGACTAGGCTATGGTCAGCATTACCAGCAGTATGGTCTGCGCTGAAACCTCGTACTCATCAAGAAAGCTCCAGGTCGCGGGTCCGACTCAGGTCTCTGCAGGAGTCTAAGCGCTTTTCGATGGAAAACCTCACTATCGGACTATGCCAGGAGTAGAATGAGCAGTTGGTATGGTTGATCTCATTAGTTTTGTCTGTGGTTTATTTACGATGTTCAATCGCTAGCCCTTGCCAGAATGATAGTAGGAGGGTTACGTTGAATCGGTTCCAGCCTGGAGGGTTTATTTCAAGTGAAGCTCAAGTATTTCTCCTGGCAGCAGCTCCTCTTTAGCACCAGTATTGTGTTGCACTATATCAAGGAACTTGAAGCGGGATGGCCCCGAGTCGATCGAACAAAGGATGTTTTGTTCACATGACACTCCGTTTGTGGATCTGTTTCAACTTTGCTATTTTCCGGAACTCGCCGGCGGTGATAAGCTAACAGTATGATGTTCGATCGCTGGATAAACTTCGGTAGCCTGTGTAAGTACGTATTGACGTATACTCGAGCAGTATTATGAGCAAGGATGCATTGGTCCCTCACACACTCAGGACATCCTCAGCCACCCCTGAAAACAAACTGAATCATGAAAGTACTTTTTTCCATTTCCATTTCCTTTTTGTTTTGTTTTTTATTATTTTTATTATTTTTAATTTTTTCGTGCTTTTGTTTTCTTATTTTGGGTTTTCTGTGAGTGAATTGTCGATCGATTCGATCTGCTTCCCTTTGCCCGAAACTCCGTAAGAATCGCCTCTCAAACTTTATGTATCCCTATCACTTGCATATATAAAGATTAATTTTTTTTATTTTTTATTTTTATTTTTCTGCCTTTTTCTTTTCCAGCCCCATCCCAAAGTACGATCGATGATGTTTCACCGCCAGTCATCACGACTGAGCGAATTATCCCAGGGCCGGTACACTTTCCACTCCACTCTTAGGTTCTACTTGTATCAGACGTAGCGATAACAAAGCTAAGCTCTTAGCCTGGTATAAAGTTTACCTAGCTGGACGCTGGAAACATGAAACACAAATCGGGTTCCTGGGATCGCGTGGCTCTTGTAGCAGGCCCACTCGCTAGGCTCTGCATGGTAATGGAGAACGTTACTTACTGTGTAAGGGCGAGCAGGGTTCTATCTCGATCCCACTCCGAATCTCCTCCCTTCGGGGGTGGAGTACGCGCAGATTCTTAGTAGCACCTGCCTCCAAATGATCCATCACCTATGCTGATATGTGCTATGAGATGAGAGTCTTGGTTTGCGGGGGGGTTCTTGTCAAAGACACATTGGACAGGATATCGGGGGAAGGGGAGATGGCGGAGAGGGTACTCTCTTCTACTCGCCCTTTCTCTCTCCCCGTAGTATCATGCCAACCGTCCGTCATCTACTTAAGCATCGGGAAGATCATAATGTCGTGTAACCCGTGGCGGTATGGAGAGATACACGTTTCTCGAGGCAAACCTTGTGCTCCGGTTCTCGGCCAGTTCTCGGTCATGTCGGCAGCTTAGGGCAGCTTAGGGCAGCTGGTGTGCAATTGCGCCAAGGCAGCAGACATGCAGACAGCAGGTGGCTCGCGTATGCACATGCGGTAGACGACTTACCCCGGTGCGTAACAATGCTGTATCTCGTTGGGGAACCTCCACCAATTGGTGAATTCCCTCGGGCGATGCACCAAATCCCCAAAAAGGGCGATCCTCATCGTGCATTTCCAGGAAGCTGGGAACGATGGATCCCCCTAAAATGGCGTCTTAGGATAGCTCCGCACTTCCCTTAGCGAGGTGTGGGCTGCCTGTAGGCTGCCCGTTACAGATGAGAGTACATCCTAACTTGGAACATCGATGTGGGCCCTTGGGGAAAACACCCAGGCCAAGTAATGACTATTCAGCTTCTGCGTCAAATCATCTTGCTGCTGATCGCGGTGAGGATCTAGCAGCCGCCGCCACAGTAGCCACCACACAGCCACCGCACAGCACTCTGCGCCATCGTACGGAGTACATGTGGGATGAACGGGAAACCCAACAAACTCTCACTTGCCTCGAGTCTAATCATTTGCTGGAATGGCGGTTTCGGAGGGTTGAGACAGGTCGAACCTTAATCCACCCTGTTCGACAAAGCAAATTTTGAGGCGTGGCCTCGACAGCGATCATGACAAGTCCAGCGTAGCCATATCCCACAGAATACGGAGTACGCAGGACGCCCTTTTTTTCCCAGTCTCTTGGTTTAGGCACCCTACTAGTATGCGGCATATCTGCAGGAAGCCTCAACGGTAAAAGTCTTGGCGGATACCCTTTATGTCCACAGATTCCGCAAACTCTCTGCATCTCGGAAACCCTGGTGCCCCCTCTTGTCTTCTGCCATTCCCCTCATACTAGCAATGAACGGATTTGAATCGCAACCCTAAACACATAAAGTGCCTTCACTGTAAAGGACCTTGAACGAAATGACAGACCTCCCGAGGTCGGGAGGCAGTGGCTTAAGTCATTCGATGTCATTCTTACTTCAGCCTTTCAAGGTTCCAGAGTTCCAAGGTTATTTTGGCCACGTGCAGAGTTCAGCAGTCCGTAATATTCTCTATCGCCAATATTTACTGTAAGAACCTCCTTGACGACCCCGGCTGTCATGCAGAAATAGCAGCTGCTTCGACGGTCGCAAAGTGGTGGAATGGTTGCCGATGTGTAATAATACATGTCCCGTGACCCAGAGCCTTCGGGACTTCACGAATCCCTCCTTGTTTCTCTCAAGAACTCATTTGCTTCCTTTTCCAGACGGAATGAACCCTGGGATGCGCGGAGATAGATCCACCTAGGAGGCAGGCAACAAATTTCCATCCCTCAGCGAGTCAGAAAAGGCATAGGACCACGTCTCCACCGCTGCATTAGCCCGTCCACGGCTGATCCCACTGTATCCGGGCCACCCGCCAAAAATCTGTCCTGCCCCGAGTCCAGCTTTATCAAAGCTGCGGTCGATCGCGTTCCAGCACATCCCTAACCATCTCTCGCCTGGCCAATCATTGCTCCGCATTGTCGGATCCCTTCCTCCCCTTTCCAGATCGCTCCCGATCGCGTCCAGGAACACCAACAATCGGCCCCTGGATTCCGTGATTCCTAGGATTCCCACGGCTGTGCTAGCTTTTCCCGTCCGTGCGCCACGCGCTCTCTCCAGCAGGTTTCCCTGGCTTCATATACGGATAGCAAAGGATTGATTGCACATCTGGTCGCGCCCCCGTCACTAGTCCACCTAGACTCTGGGGCGGCACTTCCTTGGACGATGGACCCCAACGCGTATCCCGCTGGCTTTCCGGTCCCATCCCCGAGCCCGAATCCAATGTCCTTCTACCCAAACAATTACCCCCAACAATTTGCCCAGTCCAAAGGCCTGGCTCAGCCTGGACAACAGCAGCATTCCTTTGGTATGCCCATACAGCCAGGCGCTGGTGGAGCTATGATGCCCCAAGGCTTTCCCCAATCATCTGGTACGAAACCCCCCCCCCCCTGTCCCCATTTTCGCTCTCTGGATTTCAGTTTGCACTATTGTCAATCCAGATGCGCCCAGTGCCACTTTCTGGGGCATGGCGCATTTGGCATGGTGCGTTTCGGATGTTCAGCCCAGGCTGCTAGTCTGTTTGAGCCTCAAACATCCGTGCTGTGATTTCCCTTGGTTGCCGTTTAACACACGTGTCTTGCCTTGTGGATCAGCTTTAATTGGCACCCCGCAATAGCGAGCTCTTTCATTCGTTTGCGACTGCCTCTATCGCATTAGCACACTTTCCAGCTACCATATAGGCCAGTCTCTGACATAGTTCCCAGCATCCATGGATAATTTCTCGACGCCTTTTCCCCAAACCTCCGCTCCCGCAAACTTGAACCACTTCTCCCAGCCAAACAGTGCGATGAACACCCCCTCTACTGTAGCGCAGACCTTCTCTCAAAACATGGCATCGATCTCCGCCAACAACCTGCTCGCCAACCAGCCACGAAATCAAATAAACTCCCCCAAAGTGCCCCAACCCGGCACCCCAAATCAAAATCAGAACACAGCTCAGGGACAAAGCTCTGGTCAGACCCAGGCTCCACCGCCGGCGTTAACTCCAGCGCAGTTACAGGCACAGGCTCAAGCGGTGGCTCGTGAAAAAGTCCGCGTTATGACGTTGCTCGATATAAATTCGACGCTGTTACAAGAGATTGCGAATCTCCAGGCGGGGGGCAAGACAGGGTCGGGGTCACATACGGATGGCGCCAACGGCTTTCAGGGGTCAAAACCGAGTCAAGAATACATAGACTGCATGCGACGGCTGCAGGCAAATCTGGCATACCTCGCCTCTATCACTGATAAACAAAGAAGACTCCCAGCACCCGCCATATTGACTCCACCTCCGAATGTTCCTACCCTGAATGATACCTACAAGAAACTTAACGAGCTTTTCCCGCGACCAGGCCAGGTTCCAGCCAAGAAATTTAGTCCAGGGTTGGGACAAGGCAACGGCGGGCCCAGTCCCTCCCCTATGCCTGACCCGGTCGCCTGATTAGTCTACGATATTTGATAACTATGACATACAAAAGGGCTTAACCCGCTAGGGTCTCACCCTCTTATCAGCATCTTCGGTCGATCCCGGCGGTTGATCTCGTCAGATGAGCATAGTTGGATACCACAGACCCTCTTCAAGCTCGGGCGCCCCCCCCCCCCTCCCTCCCTCTCCGTTTGCCGCCAGCATGAGGGACGGCGCGATCCGTTTAGACGTCTGGCTTTGGATACGCCACCCGAACTCAGATTCTCGATCAACCCTTGTATGCTCTGTTTGGATGACGCAAGTTACCTCACTTACCTGGCCCCAGCTCCGCGGAGTCAAAGCAAAATCGGTCAAGACCTCCAGTAAGGGGGAGGCTGTATGAAAAGGTTCCCTGAGATTTCATTTCCGAAGGAGAGGGGACCACTCCCAAGTATTAGTGCTTCCATATGTCTATTTGCCTCCCCACTATACCATAGACATTCTAACTTGAGATCGGATCGTTCCCTATCTAGATGACATCGTAGGCGTCTACCCCTCCCATGATCGTCGGAGGGGCTAATGTAGCTAAAAATGGGACCAAATGCACGAAATGCTCTCTGGCCATCATCTGGAGCGCGTGGTGTAGTCCCATGCCCGCACCTTGTGAACGCGGCGCGGCCCAATCAGGGTCGTGCGTTCTCTCCGCCTCACATCTTTCTTCAATGTCTTGGAGCAAAAGCAGCCTCCGCGCCATCGGTCCTGTCACTGCTGTGGTGAATTGGCCTTTTTTGGCTCCTGTCCCTAATCCTGTAGCTCGCTCCTTTTCCTTCGCCTCCCGCTCTTTTCCTTCCTCGTCTGCGTGTCCCCTTCCGCAAGCTTCCTCAGCCTCAACTCCACTCCGCCCATCTCTAGCTACCAAGGTCATGGATGCAAATGGCGACGGCGGTGCCAAACGCAAGCGAAGTGGCGGCCATGCGATCGAGCGACCTGCAAAGCATCTAAAGCCCGAAGCCTCGGCGTTGACCCCTGGTGAAGCGACTCCGCAGAATGGAACTATCTATGACATCGAGGAAAGCGATGATGCTGGCCGTCTACTTGCCCTGGGGACTGCACAGGCAGATTCGCCCGAGTGGCAGGAAACTATTGAGTCTGTTGTGAAGAGTGTGGTATCGATCCATTTCTGTCAGACCTGTTCCTTCGATACCGACCTCTCTATGAGTAGCCAGGCTACCGGTTTCGTGGTCGACGCTGAGCGTGGATATATCTTGACCAATCGGCATGTTGTTTGCGCCGGTCCTTTCTGGGGATATGTGATCTTTGATAACCACGAAGAAGTGAGTCCGTCAGGAGTGGTTGCGGCGCGAGAGCGATCAAGGGAAGGAATCTGAATCAGTTTCACTAACAACTGTATTTTCTAGTGTGATGTGCGTCCTGTGTATCGAGACCCCGTTCATGACTTCGGCATCCTCAAATTCGACCCCAAGGCGATTCGCTATATGAAGCTCACCGAGCTCAAACTCCAGCCAGATGGAGCTCGCGTGGGCACGGAGATTCGCGTGGTTGGTAACGATGCCGGTGAAAAGCTGAGCATTCTGTCGGGCGTCATCAGTCGATTAGACCGTAACGCTCCGGAGTATGGCGAGGGCTATAGTGATTTCAATACCAACTACATCCAAGCCGCTGCGGCCGCCAGTGGAGGCAGTTCTGGGAGTCCCGTCGTCAACATCGATGGGCATGCTGTAGCTCTGCAAGCTGGCGGTCGGGCTGACGGTGCTGCTACTGATTACTTTTTGCCTCTGGATCGTCCTCGTCGTGCGTTAGAATGTATTCGCCAGGGCTTGCCCATCACAAGAGGCACGATCCAAACACAGTGGATGCTTAAGCCGTTCGATGAGTGCCGTCGATTGGGTCTTAGCCCGGAATGGGAGGCCGCTGTACGCAAGGCCGCTCCCATCGAAACGAACATGCTTGCTGCTGAGATCATCCTTCCGGAAGGCCCAGCTGACGGGAAATTACTGGAAGGTGATGTGTTGCTGCAAGTCAATGGCGAGCTTCTAACTCAGTTTGTTCGGCTCGATGACATCCTAGACTCGAGCGTCGGTAAGACTGTGCGTCTTCTTGTCCAGAGAGGAGGGGAAGACCTTGAGGTTGAATGCGAGGTTGGAGACCTTCATGCGATTACGCCAGATCGCTTTGTGACTGTTGCTGGTGGTACCTTTCACGACCTATCATATCAGCAGTCTCGGCTCTACGCTATTCCTACCCGTGGAGTGTTTGTGTGTGAAGCTGCTGGCTCTTTCAAGCTGGAGAACACGATTTCGGGATGGATCATCGACTCCGTCGACAAGCGAGCGACTCGTACTCTGGACGAGTTTGTGGAAGTGATGAAGACCATTCCCGATCGCTCTAGGGTAGTCATTTCCTACCGCCATATCAGAGATCTCCACACCAAGGGCACCAGTATCGTCTATATCGATCGTCACTGGCACCCAAAGATGAGTCTGGCCGTGCGAAATGACGAGACTGGCCTCTGGGACTTCTCCGATCTGGGAGCGCCCATTCCAGCCCAAGAGCAGGTTCCACGTGCCGCAAACTTCATTCAGCTGGACGGGGTGAGCCAGCCCGCCGCAGCTGAGATTGTACGCAGCTTCGTGAGAGTGTCATGCACCATGCCTCTCAAGCTGGATGGATATCCCCAGGCCAAAAAGACCGGCTTCGGTCTTGTCATCGACGCTGAAAAGGGTCTTGTCATTGTATCGAGAGCCATCGTCCCTTTCGACCTATGCGACATCAACATCACTGTCGCGGATTCGATCATCATCACCGCCAAAGTCATCTTTCTCCACCCTCTCCAAAACTACACCATTCTTCAGTACGACCCGAGTCTAGTACAAGCCCCTGTACAGAGCGCACGCCTTAGCTCGGAGTACATCAAGCAAGGACAGGACACTCTCTTCGTCGGTTTCAACCAGAACTATCGCATTGTTGTCGCTAAGACTGCGGTCACGGACATTACCACTGTGTCTATTCCAGCCAATGCGTCCGCCCCACGATACCGCGCAATCAATCTCGATGCCATCACTGTCGATACAGGCCTCAGTGGTCAGTGTACCAATGGTGTGTTAATTGGAGAAGACGGGGTGGTGCAGGCTCTGTGGCTGAATTATCTTGGCGAACGCACCCCCAGCTCTCACAAAGACGTTGAGTATCATCTAGGATTTGCTACCCCATCCCTGCTCCCGATCACATCCAAGATTGGACAGGGTATCATTCCCGATTTGCGTATTCTTAATATGGAAAGCTATGTGGTTCAGATGGCCCAGGCTCGTATCATGGGTGTCTCCGATGAATGGATTCAAAAGGTTATCCAAGCTAATCCCTCCCGCCATCAACTGTTCATGATCCGCAAGGTCGATTGCCCGCCAGCAACAGTTACCTCCGAAGGCGATAGCTTCCAGGAGGCCGACATCATTCTCACGCTGGATGGTCAGTTAATCACTCGCGTTTCTGAGCTGGACGTGATGTACGAGAAGGAGTTTCTTGACGCACTCGTCGTCCGTAACGGCCGGGAAATGAAGATTCGAGTCCCTACGGTTCCCACCAAGGACCTAGAGACTGATCGCGCCGTTGTCTTCTGTGGAGCGGTGGTACAGAGGCCTCATCACGCTGTGCGCCAGCAAATCTCTAAGCTCCACAGTGAGGTCTATGTCAGTGCCAGGGTATGTAGCCCCATAGAATATCCCCATCAATTTTTCCCCCTTCTGAAAGATTCTTACCACCTGCAGAGTCGTGGGTCCCCTGCCTATCATTACGGGCTCGCCCCCACCAACTTCATCACGGCCGTCAATGGTGTGCCAACTCCAAACATGGATATCTTCGTCAAGGAAGTCCTCAAAATCCCGGATAACACCTACTTCCGTCTTCGCGCCGTTACTTTTGACAACGTCCCATGGGTAGTAACCATGAAGAAGAACGACCACTATGTCAGTCAACCCCTTTCTCTTAGCCCCGTGCAAGCAGTCTTCTAACCCGTGCTCTTGTTTAGTTCCCGATGTCTGAGTACATCAAAGACCCTTCCGTTGCTGCCGGCTGGCGGACTGTCTCTCACGATACGTCCGACAAGAATCGGAAGCCCGGAGTATCCCCGGACACGGCAAACCTCAATCCGGACGCTATGGATGAAGGTCAGGATGGTGGCGGCAGTGATGTTGAACCAGACCCTGAGTAGATTTATCGATTGACCTTGGACACAGCTTAGGACGAACAGTAACTTAACCTTGTACGATATCTACGGATGGCGCCCGGATGGACTGGGCTGGGGCTCAATTTTTCCTTCTTGTCTTATTCTTACTGCATTTGGCGTGCGGGCGCCCCGGGCTGTGTCGTTCGGCTTCCAGACTCTTATCCACTTGAAGCTGGATATCATACCATAAAATAACATGTTAATAACGCCATTTTGTCCCCTCCGTACGAGCATAGGATTGATGGTGCGCAAATTCTGCTCATCATATTGGAGTAGCCGACTGTGCCCGGGTGCAAGTGCCCAGGTAGATTTTCAATTTCCACGAAAGACGGTTCCTCGACGCAGACTCAGAAATATATAACACCACCAATTCGCCTGACAGTCCTCAATCAGACACAAGCTCTATCGTGGCTCAACTCTTTTTGGAGGGCAAATCAGTACCCGATAAACCTGAAATGAACTAGTAGACTTTTGTAAAAAGGGAAAAAAACGGGTAGAGAGTATTATAGCTTCAATTGAAGATTTATGGGGCAAAAAAAAGGACAGGGGAAAAAAAAATTCAGGAATTGGTATGCATCATCCGTGAATCGAACACGGGCCTCGTCGATGGCAACGACGAATTCTACCACTAGACCAATGATGCTGGTTCATGCAAGTGGAGGGAGATTAATGCATTATGGCTTCATTTGGGGCCAAATTGAGTAAGTCAAATAGGTGCGGGCGAATATATCTGTTCTCTTGGACCTCGCCAAGGGAATACAGGTCATATTCGAGTTTGGAAAACCCTTACATTCCATCGAAGCCGTTGCGTAACCTGGCATAACTACTATTACTCGAAATCCTTACCTAGAGGGGGAAAAGAAAGGCGCAGATGGCATTGGTCTACCCCGACCCTACCTGGCTTTAACGAGTCCAGTCATAGTCGCCCTTTTATACCAGGCTAATAGCTCTGGTAGACGAAACTGGAGCTAAAAAACGGACTGCTCTCTTTAAAAATTTCAGGCTGCGCGCTGTCAGGAACAAAGGTGCCCCCGCTGGTAGAGCACGAGCGGTTTCAAGTCCAATTCCCGATGCCGCGCCAGTGATGACAATTTGCCAACGAGTTTGTTTTCGAGCTGTCCACCTTCAATGATCTAGAGAGTAGCAGGGGAACATCTGACGAGCCTCTGGAGATCCATAAATGCTGAATGACGGGAGCGACGGGGGCTGGATCCAAGTGGACCGCACGCAGTCAATGCTGAAAGCCTCGCTGGAAGTCGAGGACTTCGACTCCGACCACCTTGTCATTTGCCCATGGGTCAAGCAGACATCTTGAACCCTCGGGGTAATCGGAGCTGGTATTGGGCTCTCGCCTAGTGCTTTGATGGCTCTTCATGCGCCTTGACTTTATACTCAAAGTAAAGACACCCGTCGTACAGGCTTGCAAAAAGATCAATTTCAAAGTTGGCGGAAAGACGCAGGCCCCTGGTTCGCAGTCCTGACGAATTGTCGCGCTGGGGAATCTTTGCTTACTAGGCTTCGAGCTTTTCTATGCTTTCAAGTGACCGTGAATCGGCTTCAGCCGAGGGCCGTGAGTGATTCATTCCTGGCAATAAGCAGTCGATTGACCGTTGCAGGTCATTAATATCGGTTGTTAGAGAGCCCAGAGGCGTGTTAAGAAGTTTCGAGGAAGTGAAAGAGATTATCGAAGCAGAAAAAATGAGCTATTAATGAACATTTGCACCTATGGATGCTCCCCAGTCGTGTAGTCCAAAGATTTGAAGTAATAGACACAAATCGACTGTAATGATAAACCTCGCCCAAAACCGGAAGATTAATTCTCTGAACGCCAGAATGCCCATTCTCATAATGTAGGATCACCTTCCGCAGCTACCCGCAGCTGGCAAAAATAAGGGGGAAAAAAAAAAGCAAACTATACGCACTTATGCCCCAGGGTTGAAGGACCAACCGCCATTCAGACGGAGCCGTTGTCGATCCGCGACATCTTTGCGAATTTCCTCTTGTGTGAGACCATCTGGACCAGACCAGTTGGCGCTGCTGGTTCGGTCGCGATATTTCTTGATCTTTTTGTCTGACTTGAAGGTCTCCTCCAGGGAGAATGGGGCGATAGGACCGAAAATCGAGTCGACCTCCATCCCGTCCTGTATGCGCAGCAGTCTTTCCAGCTCCTTCGTTTGCGCCCATTGAGGCACAGGAAACATCCCAGAATCAGAGTCATCTTCATCTTCGCTATCGGTAGCAATTTCTGGTAGATGGATGCTTTCTCCGCTAGGGTACTTGGGAGATGCCTTTGCTGGAGCAGGGGCCCGCTGAGGAGCTTTGTGTGCGGCTGGTGGAGCCACAGCATTGGGCTCTGCGAACGGAATCTTTCCGGTCGCAAACTTGTTCATCGCGTTAGTCGGCCGCTGTGCTTGTCCACTCTGAAGGACCGACGACCCGGCTTGATGTGGCATTCCAGACTGCCCGAGGGTCGAGATCTGTTCCAGGTGAGTTGTAAGCATTCGTCTCGAGATTGGACATGAGCTTTCGGAGGGAAAAGCGAATAGACACCATACCTTGCGCATATTGGAGTGGCGAATCGGGGGGGGCCATCGGGGGTCGTACTTGCTGCATAGGGTTGTGTTCATCCTCGGTCTTCCGCCGTTTAGCTTCGCCATAAGCATGAACATTGCTTGGTTTGCGCACAGCCGCGCGCTGACCAGCGTCTTCATCGGGCTGTCTCTTGGGAGGCCTAGCAGGGTTAGGCGCAGGGGGATTGATTCGTCCGTAAGGTTGCACTGATGACCCCAGACGAGAGGGTGGGCGATTTGCCCCCAAATCATTCCGCTGGGAGTTTTGTGAGCTCTGCGAAGCTGACTTGTCGTGATAGGACATCGGTGCCTGATTCGGTAAGTCAAAGCCTTGCGAAGGTATGGTCATCGAAATCTTACCTCATTGTTGGGTTGTTGACTACCCTGTCTCTCCTGCCGACGGGCATTCTCCAAACGCCGTTGCTCAATTGCCTGCTTCTGCGCTGCCTTTTTGGGATCTTCCAGGGCTGCTCGGTCACGTCGGTCCCGTTTAGCCTCGGCACGGCGACGGGCATCGTCTTGTTGCTGTTGGGTAAGGCGCTTGCGCTCCTGCTCACGCTTTTGTTCCTCCCTTTGGCGAGCCTTTTGGTCTTCCTGCTCTCTTTTCTTTTCACTGGCGAGCTGGGCCTTTCGTTGAGCCTGAGTTTGGCTAGAGACGGAGCTCTTGAAGCTATTCGTTGACGAAGCCGTCTGGAGGGACGCATTGCTGCCTTTCTTTTTCAGACCTTGTTGTTTCGGTGCCGAAGTGCTCTGAGGAGCAACTGGGGCTGGGGCACTTGATTCTTGGGCACCTGAGGAGATCGAAGATGACACTGGCATAGGCCTTGAAAGAGTACTGCCCACCCGGATCGAGACCGGCTGTGGCTTGGGTTTTTGCATTGGCTCACGGGTAGGCTTGGGCCGTCGATCATTCTGCTTGGGCTGAGGAAGGGCAATTCTTGAATCGTCAATGGATGACTCCGGCTCGCGAGACTGTTGTCTGACAGACTGCGAGGGCTTGTAGCTGGTTCCGGGTCGCTCCTCAGGTTCAACGGAAGATTTCTCCTGCATGGCTCGTTGCTGGAGAGCGCGCTGTTTGTCTTGCTCTCGTGCTTTTTCCTGTCGCAATGCTTCCTCTCGCCGGCGGTCTTCCAGATCTTTCTGGCGCTGCTTTTGTTCTTTCTCCGTGGAACTTCGCGTCCGGCGTGTTTCCGGTTTCGCAGGGCTCGACTTCGGGCGCGGCTGAGACTCAGGCCGGTCCATATCCACATCTTCCTTGTCAGCACTTGCCCGGTCCTTCGGTTGCACTCGGGGTTGGTCAGGCGATGATGCATCCAGTCTGATGGAACTGCCACTGCTGGTGAAGAGACCCTTCGCACTTTTCATTATTGACTGAAGCCGCATTTTCGAAGCACTGAGGGGACCATCAAAGCGGCGAGGGGACCCAGTTGGTGTTGTGGTTCCACCTGCGAAAATGTTGGATGCAGAAGCGCTTTGCTGATGGCCATTAGGTCGAGGGGAGGAAAAATGGAAGCTGATGATTTGGGCCGCTCCGGCTCAACTGATTGCTGCTTGAAGCCGCGCGGGTCTTGCTTGCCAACGGACTGCTCTTTCTCAGTATCAATCAGTTTCTCCATCACATCTGCAGTCTTGCTCTTGGCAAGAACAGGCCGCGGTGGCGAGCTCAAGGGCTTGATCCAATCATCCTCATCAGCTTTAGCACCGGAGGCGGAAGGCTCACGAGGCCTTTGACTCGCCGGGTCAACCTTGGCAGCAGGTAGTTCAGGGTAGGCGACCTGGCCGGCAGATGACAGCCCACCTGCCGCAGAAATAGACTTTGTCGGTCGGGGAGCTTGATGTTTTCCGAGCATGCTAATTCTCTCATGAAGGGTCTGCGTCGTTCTTGTGTTGCGAGTCTTGCTACCATGGCCTCTAACCGTAGTCTCACTTTCCTTCTCGACGTCGATATCCATCCCATCCGAGTCATCATCGAGGGCCGCCTGTGTGGGTTTGTGGCTACCGGTGAGCCGGTTGAGATAGCTAGGACGCCCGGAAGTGTTATTAATTTTTGGCAGGTCAATATGGCTGGTACGAGACACTCGCGAGCCACCCATCGCTTTGGTAAGGGGCTCCCGCGCGGGAAGAGAAGCAAAGCTGAGGCTGCTTTTGCGAACCGGGACTCTTTCAAGTCGCTCGGGAGTTGAGTTGTCGGAAGGGGATCCGATATCATCAAAGTTATCCAGAACAGCGTCTTCCTTGTGGGGGTCTTCCATATTCACATCTTCATCTTCAGGCTCTTGTATTTTGGTAACATTAGCACCAGGTGACTTGGTTGGCGAGGAGCGCAAAGTTGAGGCCAGCTCGTCATTTCGCGAAGATAAATTGACCTTGGGTTTCGGCTGAGCCTTGGCCTTGGGGGTATCGTTCATTTCTGTATCGAGATCCCTCGAGATTGGTTCCGCAGGGGCATTTCGCTCCTGCGTAGGTGTCGGTTCAGCATTGGCGGGCTCCACAGTTTCCCCACGGGCGCGGACATTTTCCTGGGCGGAGTGGAATGAGTCTTCAGTTGTTTGCTGACTCATAGAGATATCGACGTGCGAGGACGACGCTGGTTCTTCGATCTGCGTTGGAAGTGTGGATGGTTGAGTTTCAGGCTGTGTGTCCGATCGGAAGACATCATCATCTTCCATTCCATGATAGCCGGAATCCGTGTTGAACTTAGTGAATGAGTTGAGGTTCTGACTGAGATCGGGATACTGAGGCTGCAATGCGACATCGACAGCAGCCTTTGGTCGAGGCGGGGCTATTGAAGAGTTTGTGGTCGTTTTTGAGACCACGCGGTGAATAAAAGGGCTGGGGCTGATAGCTTTGTTTTCCACTTGCTTATGAGAAGAAGAAAATATCTCGCTCAAAGGCTGGGGCTTTCCCGTCAGCTTCGTGTAGTGGAAAACGGCATCGCACACAACACGACTCATAAAACTTACCATTCGGCTCTCTTCCAGATTGTGCTTGCGGGCGGTCCTTGGAGTCTTGCCTCTCATCTTTCCTGGGGTTTTGAATACGTCCGTGAAGTTACTTGTGTCTTGTTATTAAGGAGGCTCTTTGTCCGGACGAGATCGAAGGCAACTTACGCTTGACCTTTGGAGAAGATCTCGGCCATATGTTCATTTAACCAGTCCATTTCGTGGCGGACAGGATATTCAATCTCTTCCATCTCCTGTTCGACTAGTTCTGCCATGTTTTCTTTCTCTGCGGCGATCCATGCTGCCGAGCCGACCGGCTTCTGGGCCCTCGCACCTGCTGCGGCCATGATGTAAACAACGCGTCTCGGGGGCGTAAGGCTGAGATGCGAGACAGCTGGAGGAACGGAGCGGACGAGTCAGATTCTAACCACACCCACGGTGACTACGGATGAGTCGGCATGGGTATGTCTTGGTAGGGCGAAGAAGAGCTGTTGGGGGGGTCTGAAGTGGTTCGGCGGAATGGGAAGCGCGTTCTTCAAAACAGAAGTCCCGATCGGGGAAAGCGCACGGTCACGTGCAACTATGAGCTTCCCCGCCTGGTGGGGAGTTTCAGGGCTGAAACCCATTATTTGCTTGTATTTCGATAGGGAGCTCCTCATTGAAAACGATATGGAGCTCGATACATACCTATCACTAAAGGCACTGATTGTCTCCGGTTGTCTCCGGATACGTGCAGTAGCTGAAAGGTCTGCATGGGAGCTGCTCCGCGGAACCAAGGAACTCGGGAGAGCTGTCTACAGCACCGTCTCTTTTCAAACGTTATGTTCGAAAGCAAGATGGGGTTCAGCACGGGAGATATCGCAATTTTGCAGAGACTCTCTCGTACATTCGTCCTTCCTACGCCACTCCCACGCCGTACAAAGTATTCAGGGGTGTCGTAGCTTAAAGGAGTAACTAAGGAAGCTTCAAAGACGCCCATACCAGGGTGCAAGTTCTCGAATATTACAGATAAAGGGTCTGACATGGAATTTGAAGCGACTCGGCGGCTATCAACGCTCCTGTGGACGAAACCTGCCAGTTGCGGTAGCGAGTCATAGACTAAGCTGCGTTGTGCAAGAAGCTGCGTTGAGCAAGAAGCTGCGTTATGAGGATCTGTGGGATACCAGCAGGGAACTCGTACAGCTCCAAAATAGCGCCCTAATTGTTGTTCAGATACGCGGTAGGTCAACCTACTCTCGTATTTCCAATGCTTCTGGGCCTTGAAGCCAGTCTTAACCTTATGGTAGACTTGCCCAGGTTGGCCAGGGGTTAGTTTTAGTTTCGGTTGCGCCACTGCAGACTAGGGTTATTCACGCCGGTTTTGACTGGCTAAAGGTTGAAGCCGGAAATTCTGGGGCCTGTGATCAAATCCATCCGATCGTAATCTGCAACCTGCGCTTTGATTGGTGGAGGGTAGAGCTACATTGCCCAAACCTTGGGGAACGTTCGGACTACGCTTGGGCCGAGCTGCAGTAGAGAACAAGGCAGAAAGCCAGGAGCTGCGGCTTTTGTGTAATGGGGGGGGTTTGCTAAACTGTGAAGAGTGCGACGGGGAAATAGAAGAATCGAGGTAGCCTAGAGGTCCACTCGAAGTACATGGAAGCTCCAGGCACTAAGAGAGCCCTTGCAGAGATCCGGTTGACATCACAGTCCGGACTCTGGAAACTGGGAAAGCGTAACGGGTCTTGGCGACCGCACATGCTAAGCAAAACAATCCTTATCTCCCTTTTTTTCCTCCCCACCACCCTTTCCTGCTCTTCTCTTCCCCTTCCTTCGTGAAATTTGTTGAGCATCATGGCCGATTCTGGTGACGTGAGCTATCCCAACACCGTCTGTAAGGTATGCTATCTATGCTATCCCATACCCTCCGAAGCTGTTGAGCTCTCGGTTTCGCGGATACTAACTGAACTGTGTGCGCAGTACCAGTCCCTTTTGCTCGTGACTTTCCTCGGTGTTTTTCTCGGCTCGGACTAGGAATGAAGTCTTGTGAAGCTTTGGCTGCCCCGAGACCCCCTCTGTAGAAGCGCGGTGCACAGTGCGAGTCCTTCCGAACAGACCCGCTAACATCGGTTTCTTGTGTCATCTAGCTCCGGTCGTTGACAAGATCAACTCTGAGGCATCCAAGACCACCAGCGAGCTCAACGACTTGAAAAACTCTCGCGTCACTCCATCAACCACCACCGCAGATGGCCAGCCCTTGACTCGTAATGCCAACATCCTCATATGACGCAATAGCCAATCTCCTAACAGCGTGATCTAGACTACCACTCTCTGCTTTACAGCCTCCTGAGCGTGAGTTTCCCAAATACCCTGCGCGCAGTATGAAGTCTGCGTTGGGCCGTGACAACCGCTCTAACCTCCCTTCTTTTTTTTTCGAAACAACAGTGGGAGCAACCCCGTGCGACCGCCGTCTCTTTCGCTACCGTGATTAGCTTCATCTTCGCCGCTCGCTACTTGCCTATTCTTCGCTGGGCCTTCAAATTCCTTTACATGTCCCTTGGTTGTAAGTGGTCGTGTGACCTCAGGAAATTTCGCCAAGAGTGACTAAACATTGTCGCAGTGACCGCTGCTGTCGAGGTAGCAGGCCGGGCCGTTCTCAAGCAAGGAATCGCCAGTTCGTTCCGCCCCCGCCGATACTACACAATTTCCAAGGAGACCCACGAGGCTGTATTGGAGGATGTCTCCCAGCTGTCGAACTTCTTCTTGATCGAGTTCCAGCGCATTCTGTTTGCTGAGAACGTCGTCCACACCGTTGCTGTATGTTTCGCATTTTGCCGGGTTTCCAATTTGAAATCCATTAGTTCTAACTGTTGGTTAGGCTTTCTTCGCAGCTTTCACTGGGTACTGGTTGATCCGCTTTGTTCCGCTCTGGGGTTTGGCACTGATCGCTGTGACCACTGCCTACATTGGTCCTCTCGTCTACATCAGCAACCGCGAGATTATCGATGAGCAGATCCAAAACCTCCAGGATCTTATTGCCGCCCAGACGAACCAGCTTAAGGATCTGGCCGGCGAGCACACCTCCCACGCCACCGGGTTAGTCAAGCAGTATGTTGGTGACTATAGCAAACAGGCCCAGGAATACATTGGTCGCCGTTCTGCCTCTCCCGAGGTTGCTAAGGCTCCCGCTCCTGCTCCTGCCCCGGCTCCTGTCAAGTCCGAGCCTGCTGCAGAGCCCCTGATCAAGACCGAGGACTTCCCGGAGGCTCCCAAGGCTGAGCCACAGGCCCAGCCTGTCGAGTCTGTCGAGACTGAGCCAGAGCACCTGGTTGCAGCTTGAAAACCCCCGGGCTTGATTTAGGGAGAATCGGCTTCACTGCGAATGTGAAGTGAGCTGGGCCTCTCTTGATGGATATGGTTTAACGGAGCGCAAAGCTAGTGTGGGCTCTCGAGATGTCTTCCGAAGCAATCTTGGGACGTATGATTCGAGTCCTGCACTGCTTTGTGCTGCATTGACGACTCACTACGGAGCGAAATGGACCTGAAGTCGATTTTCAGGCCTTTGGCAATTCCGTCTTTACCTTCTCGAATATCTGTTCCTTTTTACGTCACCCCAAATTTTGTCTACTTTCAGCATCCTCTTCTGACCCCTGCCCATTCTTGTTTCGGGTTCATATTGTTCCATCACAGCTACCGTATGAGGGTTTTAAAAAATTTGCCTTTTTTCCATAGTTCCGATGTATCTCTGCAATCACGAGTAAACTTTTCATGAGTAAATCCGACGGTTCACCCTCTATGCAGTTACCAACCTAATGCGTCAGATAGCACGGCCTTTTCCAGGATATGGAAAGCAGCACGAAGCCACCTTGTACTCCAGAACATGAGCCTCGACCTCGGAAAAACTGGCGCTGCCCGGCCTCGTGAGTAACGACGTCCTCTCCGTGCGAGGACCGTTGAGTTTCACTCCGCATCGCAATCCGGGCCGGGCCGGACGTCCAACCGTGTCGTTTTCTGTTTCGAAGTTCCTGCTGTGGGAAGAGTCTTCGGTTTCTCTTACCCCGGATTATTAGTTGCACGAGGGCCGTTTCATGGGAGAGGGGAGGAAGGAATTTCACAGGTCGATTTGGAAGGGCCTTGAACTCCATTGCTTTCTAGTATCTTATAGTATCAGATCAGCTATTCTGATCGGGCATACATGCGTCACTGGCGTGGCTCGCCGGCTCTTGCAGGGATTGTAGGAAGGATTGTGGTTAGTACGGTGCCTGAATCGACGTCCTCGAGCCAGGTAGCCTAGGGGTTAGGTGCACAACCAACCGCTGCGTTTGACTTCATGGAAAAGCGGTGGAATGACTCTAGAGGATAATGACATAGAATCACAGAATCGGAACCCTGGATTTCGGGATGCTGGCTACTCCTTCCATAAACCAGTGGCACGATGGCTTCTGAAGGGCTCGTGCCCCGAAGTATTTGCCCATCAAGGTCTCCTTCCTCGTTTCCCAGAAAGCCGCTGTTAGAGACAGGCTGAGCAGCTTTACCGCTCTTTTCGGCCCAGTATCAGCCATAATTTGCCACTTGTTATGTCACTGGTAATGTCTAAGACAGTAGGGCTCCCCCCCTATTCTCTGGAGGCGTTGCAAGGTTTCAGACTCACCCCGGGAGTAACTCCAAATCCGTCTCTGATAAAGGGTGAATTGGAATAACACCGACTCATAGCTAGGGTCAGTGAAAAATGCACTTATGCCTCTGCATGTGGCATTGGGAACAGTAGATACTGAAATGGAGTCAAATAGCTGCTGCCATCATAGGGAATGCTGTGCGCTGGTACTCCGAGGAAACCGATCGTACTTGGGCCGTATAGACTTTTCCCTGCCATTCAGAACTCATCTGGCCATTTGCTGGAGTATAATCGTACAATGGGGTGAGAATGTTGCAGAGTGGACTGGCCAGTCAAGTCAATGTGCCATAGTGGTGGATGAGCCAATCTAGACCATGAACTAAGGAACACTGAGCTCTAAAAAGCCACAAAAGTGTAAGCCCTCCTGCAAAGAAGGATGCATGGAAGGTTCTCTAAACGAGGACAGTGACAGAAGCTCCACCTAGGCCACGATCTCCAAAGAGCGGTCTCCTCCCGAGAGCTTTGATCTTTGGCGTTCGGCTATGTGGCATGTTTATCATTAAGACATATCCACTGACCTCCGCAGATGCTCTTTCTTTGAAGAAAAAGAAAAGTAGATCCCCGTTATTTACCCTTCCAGCTGCATGTATACTGCATCTGTGAGAGGGCATTGTTTTAGCATGCTCGACCCCGTGGGACTAAAACTTCGTGGGCCCCCAGAGAGGCCACCTTTGTCCTCTCTACACAATTCTCCAGGTAATAGCTCTGAAGGACTCGCCAGAGGTCCATGCAGCTCGCCGCCTTAGCAGAGAGACGCTCCCCCGAAGGCAAAAAGAGGGATAGGGGGGAAAGGCAGGCTGCAGCTTCCCGCAAAGTGGTCTCAGGCCCCTTTCATGCTCGTCTTGTCGAGCCAGCATGAGGCAAGAATCCAATGTGATTGGTGCTCGGAGGAGAAATCCTAGATCTCCGGGGTCTGCAGCACCTTGTAGCCGTTAGTGCAAGGCGCAAAACCCCCTCGATCTAATATGGGCCAACGAGGGTTGATATCGGAAGCCTATTCCGATCTATCGAGACTGCGGCAATATAGGTGTTCCTGGTATCTTCACGATGTCCACCAGGGTCTATATTGCAGAATTAGCAGGCGTTTGACGATAGCTTTGTCTTGTGCAGACTGCCGCAACGGCCTGTTTGTATGCATGATGTGATGCCCAGCGCAGCGGTATTGCTCCATCACCGCCGCAGGAGGCTCACATGGAAGTAACGGGCTGCATCTAGTGGGCTGCTGGGCCTTGGGTACCCACATTGGGACGGTGAAACGAAGCCTCGAAGTCAGAGAGGCAGAATGTCTCATTTGCTGGTAATGCTGGCCTTGACATCATGGAATAGACGAATATCGAGAGTAAAGAAGCATTGCACCTGGGAGGGGAGAGATAAACAGGTGGCCAGTCGCGTAATGGAACTGCAACCTGAGATGGACCTACGAATGCAATTGGATCCTTCATAGATTCAAGGCTGCAACACAGCAACCTTCTCCAAGAATAAAGGCCTCTCTACCTTTGGATGGGATCACGCAAACACTGTACTCACCCTCTCGCGTAAAGGGCCAAACCAACAAAGAGTCACGGGCTTCGCTATATCAGACCAGAAGGACTTTGTCTCGTGTCAAGGAAAGAGTCGTCAATGCTCTGTTTTTTTTGGTTTTTCTTGGTTTTTTTCTCTTTTCTGGAAAACGCCATTTGTTCCACAGCTTTTCCATTTCGTTTCTCAATTGCCCCGCCATACTTCTTCGTTCTCCTCGACACCTTCGTTCTTAGTCCTCCCAATTCCATCTTCTCTATCACAACCTTTTCTCTATTTTGTCTTTTCTTCGAGATCTCCTGGCCTTGACCTTGGCTGCGGACCATCATGGCCGCTATCAAAGATCTTTTGAATCCCATCACGGAGGATCCCGATGCCTGTCCTTCGTTCTTGATGCGCCACATCCAGCGCCAAGGTGTCAAGCTATCTGATACCATCCAACAAGCTTCCAACAGCCAGCACACCTCCGTCGCCAACCATTTTCCTGTTTCTGTTGCCAACTCTACTCAGCCATCCAACGTCCAGCAGGCTTCCCGCAACCACCAAGCCTCTAACACTCGCCAGAAGAAACCCAAGGGCGTCAAAGATGCACCAATTTTCCGCCTTGGCCCGACTACTGGTGTCGTTCGCTATGCTCCACATGAGGCACGCGATCAGCGCTTGACTGCCATCTATGAGCGGTTCAGACTCTATCCCATGAACCGGCAGCTCCGTGACGGAACTCGTGAGGGCAACATTGTCGATTACCCTCGCCCAATTCCTTACCAGAGCGAGAAGAAGGATTTCTATCAAAAGACTGGCCGGGACAGCTTCCATGGTAAGTCTTCTTGCCTCATGCTTCGTTTTGACGGTAAGAAAATGAAACTTATCATCCCCAGTCTTCCAGTATACCTTCAGCCTCCCTGGCAGTGACGACAAGTGGACAGTCATGTGGGACTACAATATCGGCCTTGTTCGAACCACCCATCTGTTCAAGTGCATGGAGTTTGCCAAGGCAAGGATCCTTTATAGCTCCTCTTCAAATGTTGAAGCCGTGCTAACGACGGCACTTGATGAATAGACCGCCCCTAGCAAGGTAATGGCGCAGAATGAAGGCTTGCGTGATATTTGTCACAGCATCACCGGAGGTGCCCTGGCTGCCCAAGGTTCGTTGGTTCTTCACCCTTCATATTCATGCATGAAACTCACACTTCCGTTTTTGCTTTCTAGGCTACTGGATGCCCTTCGAAGCTGCGAAGTATGTCGCTTCTCGCTTCTGCTGGGATATTAAGGAAGTCTTGATTCCTATGTTTGGCCATGATTTCCCGGACATGTGCCAGAAGCCCAAGGAACGCACGACCAAGATCACAATTCCCCAGACCATCATCTGCACGGAGCGGGATCGTGCCAGAGAGTTCCGCCGCCTGGAAATGGGCCAAGCGCAAGCTGGACAGGGCCCGGAGCCTGCACCCACTCCTGCTCCGGTGCTCCCTCGCACAAGCAATGCACACAGTCCTGCGGACTCGAACCCGTCGCCCCCGCACTACGAGTCCCGTTCCAAGTATGCCCGCAACTCCTACTCAGACAGTGTTGCCAGTGCTCGTGGTTCCTCTTCGGGGCCCTCTTCTGAGGCTTCTCTGAGCCCGGTTCGTGGTGCTTGGAACCCAGTCAATGCGCCCCATCGTGCCCATGGACGTCGATCCTTGGTACTGCGTTCCCGGGAGGAGCAGGAAGCTCGTCGTTCGCAGGAGCTGAGAGAATTTGAGGAGCTTGACGAGGTGGACGAGGGAGACGTTGACCGAGACCCTGGCTTCCGCCACGAAGTGGATGCCGCCCAGGCTCTGATCACCATGCATATGCATGAGGTCGGGGCTAACAGTGGCAGCCCTTCTTCCGTGGTGGAGTCCATGGCTCCCTGGACCCGCTCTTCAGGTGCTACCTGTGAGAAGCGCAAGCGTCGCGCCTCGCTGTGACGAGAGGGGATGGCATGATGGAGGTTGGGTATTTCTCGCTTTGATTACAACCTCTCGTTCCCGTCCTCCGCCTCAAGAGTCGAAACCTTCCTTCTTCCTGCTTCTTCCTGCTTCTTCGGACGGATGATTCTTTTCGGTTATTTTTGTGGCATGGTAGGGGCTTTCTTTTTCTCTTTGGGTGTGGCGGTTTGCTTCTAGGCGCATGATCTAGATTGGGGTGGTGTTTCTGGGCGGCATTTCTGTAGGAGGGAGAATTTATGTTTTCTAAGATCTTCAACGATGACGATAGTGCGAATCAGAGATTACTTGTGAGCTGCCACGCGAGATGCTCGGTAGATATAACCTACGCAAGGGCTTTTCAAGATCAGGCACAAGAAAATCCTCCGAATAATCAAGTAGCATGACACCGATACCATTTACTGCACGATCCTAGAGAAACCTCGATGATAGGAAATGCGTTGAAGTCTTGCAACCGATGGCCGGCCCCGCCGGTCACTATAATGGAATACAAAAAGAAAACGCGGTGGAGACGAAGACAGAAAGTAAGGAAATAGATCATATGAAATCACTGCACTGTAATCTGGGCATGACTCCCCCCGACAACCAACCCTCAAAACGCCCTTGAAGCACAACTAATCTAGTCACTCTCTGCGTCTTGGAAATCATCCTCCGACTCCTCTTCTTCCGCTTCACTTCCGTCCTCCTCGTCCTCATCGTCGTCTTCGATCACATAGGATTTCTTAGTCTGCGATGCCGTCCGACGAGACGGCCGGGCAGCAGCAGCTCGACGGGGAGCAGCAACTGGTTCGACGTCATCGTCGTCTGAGCCCTGGTCAGGTTTGCCAGCTGGAGAGTCTAAGATATCATTGGCCATGGCATCAATCTCATCCTCCGAATAGTCATCAGCTAGCTTCTTCTTAGGGGCCTTGGCTTGCTTGGAGGCATAAGCTTTAGCAGCGGGGGACAAGACTCCTGGAGCAGGCTTGGCAGCTTGTTTAACGGGTTCCTTCTTTGGACGACCACGAGCCTTCGGGGCCGACGCAGCCGACGCGGCCTTGGACTTTGCTGATGCCTTGCCTTTCTTGACTGGGACTTCTTCCTCGTCCTCTTCGTCTTCGTCGTCCTCGACACGAGAGGCCTCCTTCGGCTTTACTTGGAGAGAGCGCCGACGGGGCGAGTTTGCAGGAATAAGCTTACTGTAGTCGGTCTCATCCGTCTCTCTGTCGTTGGCTTTGGACTTGGATGAGGGCATTAGACTAGCACTGCTTCCAGCCCGGGAGCGCTCTGAGAAAAGCTGGCGAGATTCCAAGTCTCCACCACCAATGCCCTTCACCATTTGGCTGACGTCTCCAAGAAGATCATCCCCATTGTCGCTGTCAGAATCATTGCCTCCAGCATAATTGACGGGAGGCTTGCGGGCACGACCTGTCGAAGTCTTGGGGGCCTCCTTCGCAATCTCTAAGAAGTCGTCATCTGAATCATCCAGCTTTGGTTTTGGCTTTGGCCCACGTTTCGCTATGGGCTTGGGCTTAGGTGCAGGCTCTGGCTCATCATCCAAATCAATGATATCATCTGCCGCCTTGGGCTTAGAATCAATGTCCATGACATCTTCCGCGTCTTCTTCATTTGCCAGTGGTATTGCCGGCTGGGCTGCTCTCTTTGCCGGTCCGCGGGATTTCTTGGGAAGCACCTCCATATCGAAGTCAAAGTCGCTGTCTGAGTCACCCCCGTCGCCGCTAGGAGGCGGCGGTGTGGGCTTGTTGGAACTTTTGAGGAAATTGGCGAGGCTATTCGTAGGCTGTGCTCCCTTCTTCTTTGCCGCCGCGGCCTTCTTTGCCTTGGGAGCTCCAAAGTCCTCGTCATCAGGATCATCGCCATTCGCAGCCTTTCGCTTACGAGCAGCACTGGCCTTGGAACCGGTACCGACCATCAACTTAGACGATGCACGTCGGCCGGCGTTGGCCGCCTTGCGCGAGCGACGCTCCTCATCCTCCAGCTGGAATCGCCATTCGTTGATGAAGTCATCCAGATCCTTGGTCCAGATTTCCTCCTTGGAGAGCTTGATCAAAGCGTCGATTTCAGTCTCACGATCGCCAATCTGGCGACGAAGTCGCTCAACGCGCTCGAGGGTCAGCGACCAGATGGGCATGCCAAGCAAATAGTCATAGCCGTTTGACATCTTCTCGATTTCCTTGTCTTCCTGTTCGCCTTCCTCGAGGAAAGGCTCATCCTCGCCCATCTTGACCGCCTCGGCCACCTTGGGGAATGACTTGAAGCCCTTCTCCCGGAGCTCAGTGATGAGGATGGCCTTTTTCTTCTTAGAAATGACCAACTGGCCTTCAACGATCATGAGAATGAAACGGGCCTGGTTCGTCAGCTTTTCCAGCTCACGCTGAAGCTCTGACAGTTGGTGCTGCTTGCGACGTTCGTAGTACTTCAGACGAACAGTGTAAAAGTCCTTCAAAATATCATCCACTGTGGCATACTTAGTGATACGACCTTCCGCGTCGAATGCGACCAAATTGGTTGTGGCAATAGTTTTCGAAAGCTTGAATTTTTCTTCCAAGCCTTCGGAAAGGGCAGTCTTCATGTTCTTCTCGTCAAGCTGGATAACAAAGTGAACCTTGCTGTGGGTGTTGTAATCTTTGTAGTCCTTGATGAACGAAGGAACCTTCTCAGCCTTGATGATCTCCTCCAGCTTATCCTTGAAATCTTGGGTCCAAACACGGATGGGCAACTCGGTGATCTCGACCTCCTTGTCGCCGGTCTCTCTGATTATACCACTGAACTTGTAGCGGTCACCGCCGATCGCGACAACCTCGCCAGTGAACCCACGGAACCATGGTTGCATTGGCTCGGGGGTCTCTCCTCTCATCAAAGCCTTGAGGTTCTTCACGATATCTTCGGGATTGTAGTTCGGAATGTTGGAGCTCCATCCCGTTCCAATACCATCAGCACCGTTCACCAGAACCATAGGAACCACGGGCATGTAAACCTCAGGCTCAATCTTCTTGCCATCATCCTCATTGTAAGTCAAAAGGGGCTCATCTGCGGGATGGAAGATTTTGCGAGCGAATGGAGACAGCCGGGTGTAGATGTAACGAGCACTGGCACAATCGGCTCCACCTTGAAGACGACTACCAAAGTTTCCGCTAGGCTCAAGACAGTTGATGTTGTTGGAGCCAACAAAAGTCTGGGCTAGACCAACGATGGTTTGCTGGAGCGAAGTTTCACCATGGTGGTAAGCAGTCATTCCGGAGACAAGACCAGCCAATTCAACGACTTTCATATCTTTCTTCAAATTTCTGCGGAAGCAGGTGTATAGGACCTTACGTTGACCAGGCTTCAATCCATCGATCACGGAAGGGATAGAACGCTGATTGTCAGCCATACTGAAGAGAATCAGTTCCTTGTTGATGAAATCGGTGTACGAGATCTTGGCGGAGGAGTGGTCGAGGAACGTGCCCGGTTTGAATTGGCGCAGCCATTCTTTTCGCTCGTCGGCCTTCTTCTTCGCAAACGCCAGTTCAATGAGTTCAGCTTCGTTGTCCTGCATGACGTGGAACTCCTTCAAGTGGCGATCAAGGTCTCGGAAGTATGCTTGAGCATCTTCAGTGGAACTGGTTCCCAGACCCTTGTAGTACTTGTGATCCCAGCCGCGTTCGTCTCGGTGTTCTTCCAGCCATGCTTCGTACTCGGGCATGGTGAAAAATGACTTTTGCTTACTGGGGTTCTTTGGATCACCTTTCCAGACCTTGATGATAGGGGTGATGAACTCAATGAGGAACTCCGGGATTTTCAGCAAGCTAGGGAATTGAGCTTGGAGGAAGTTGATAAGCAGCCCCTTGATGTGACTACCGTCATGATCTTGATCGGTCATGATCATGAGATGGCCATATCGAAGACCCTTGGTATCGGTATACTCTTTCTTGTGTTGCAGACCTATGAAATTCTTAATGTTTTGAATTTCTGCGTTCTTGGATATTTGGTCGAAAGAAGCATCGCGGACGTTCAGCAGTTTTCCACGGAGGGGGAAAACACCGAACAAGTCAGGCCCGACAACAGCACGTCCGGCCATGGCCAGACCCTTGGCGGAGTCACCTTCGGTCAAAATGAGGGTGCAGTGGTGACCCTCGCGAGTACCAGCCTTGTTGGCCTCGACTAGCTTAGGGTTGCTCATACGGGACCGGCGGCCAGTATCACCCTTCTTCAGAATTTGGTCCGCTTTCTGCTCTGCAAAATGCAGAATGTTGGTCATCACAGGGGTCTTTAGAACTTTCTTGTAGAAATCCTCCTCCAAGACACATTTGCTGCCGAACTGGCTGACCTTTGTAGTCAATTGTTCCTTAGTTTGCGAAGTGAAAGCCGGGTTGACGATCGAGGCGTTCACAAAAATGAAGATGTGATTCCGGATCTGCGCAGTCTTGAGTGTGGCACCGCTTTTGTTCTTTTTCTTGACTTGATCCGCAAGTCGATTGCAGATCTGGTCGGCAATGTAGTTGACATGTGTTCCGCCAGATGTGGTTGCAATTGAGTTGACGAATGAAACTTGCTGGAAGGCGCCGTCCGACACAGCAAAACCGATTTCCCAACGAGGATCGGGCGAGCAGGTGATGATCTCGTCTTTGGCGGGGGGGCCATCGTCACCACGCTCCATGCGGATAGCCTTGGTATACATCTCCATGTACTTGCGGAAGTTCTTGATTGGAACCCGAACGCCATTCAGCTTCACATTCACATTCGCGGTACCAGCCAAATCATAAACACGCCGCTTGACAAGAGCTTCAAAATCATCATCTATGCCATCCATGCCGAATTTCGCAAAATCGGGCTTGAAGGTGACCTTGGTGTAGTCACTGCCCTTGCTAGCAGCGGTGATTTTGGCCTTGCCCATCTTGCTCATGTTGTCTGTCCAGGTTTGGACGTACTTCTTTTTCTGGTTCGAATCCACTGTTTCAAGAACAAATTCAGTTGAGAAAACGTTACAGAGCTTAGCACCAAAACCATTTCGGCCACCAGTCACTTTCTGCTGGGTGTCGTCGTAGTTGGAGGAGGTAAGAAGGTGTCCAAAAATCAACTCAGGAACGTAGATCTTCTCCTTGGAATGAATCTCAATTGGAATACCACGTCCATCGTTCCACACACTGATCTCACCCGCCTCCCGGTCGATTGTGACCCGAATCTCGCTCATGCTTGCGTCGTTATGTTTGTTGTCGGCGGCGTTGACGACAATCTCATCGAAGATCTTGTAGAGACCAGGAACGAACGACACATTGCGAAACTCCATGGACTCTGTCTCAGAGTTGTAGACCCACATTTGTTGTACAGTGCGTTCGACCGAGCCGATGTAGGTATCAGGACGTTTGATGATGTGTTCGAGCTGCGTGAGCTATAGACGAAAATACACGTTAGGATACAAAAGCCATACAAGTGTATATTTCGTTTTCCGTTGGACCTCACCTTTTGATACTTGTCTGCAGCATTCCCCTCCTTCTTGTCTCCTCCATCTTCGAACGACTCATTTTCAACATCCGCAAGAGGCTTCGAACCCGCGCGCTTAGCGGTAGCAGCCTTCTTCGCCTTGGGAGGAGTTTGAGAGAGCGAGTCATCATTATCTGAGATTTGAGCATCAGAGACCTCATCTTCCGAGTCAGCTGGCGCCTTCTTCTTCGCTGGAGCCTTGGCTTTTGGTTTTGCAGGTGCCTTCTTAGGCGCAGCAGCTTTCTTGGCTGCCGGCTTCTTGGCCGCAGCCTTCTTTGCAGCCTGTTTCACAGCCATTAGCAAATTGATTAACGGGCGAGGGGAATTGATGAATAAGAGTCAGGAAACATACAGGGGCTTCGTCCGGAACAAAGTCAGAGCTTCCTCCGTCACTGTTCATATCAAAGAGAGAATCGTCCATGATGGAGTCGTCCATGATGGCGAGGCCTCAAAGATTGAGGGGGGGGTGTTTGATCAGCGAGCGACAGTTGAAAGCAGTTCAGACGGCGGAAAGGACAAAGGCCAGCATAGTCGGAATGGAAGCAAATGAGGGAAAGGGGAGCCCAAACGCGAGTGGGCATTGTTGACCCAAAAAGAAAACGCGCCTGCTGCAGATGCGGGATCGGGCTTGGGCGGTCAGGGGCTCACCGCCCGGGCCACATTGCTCCACTTCTGCTCAATGCGGAATTTCCAAAACAATAAACAAGTCGCTCAAGCGGCATTATTTTCGCGTTCTCCGTAACAAACAAAGCCACTGCTGGTCTATATATAGCGCTCTTCCTACAATGCGGGGATAAGCCACCAGGCATGGCCTGAGTACTAGATATGGATGCTCTTCACAGTACTAAAAGGCATATGAGAATTTTAGAAACAGTGTGGGGTTTATGTCAATGAAAAGGGTAATTTCGCTATATATATATCCGCCTCATGTTTGCCGTTTTTGGTCGCTCTAAATTAAGATGTGACTTGGACCCTTTAGCTTATTTTCATCGGTTTATCATTCTGATAAGCCAAGATTGTGCTTCAACCTGTTCAATCCTCAATTCAGAAGTAGGCTTTCTTTAAACGACTGTGCCCTTCGCTACTACTACTGCGTAGTAGTAGCGTTAGTGCTGGAGGTAGCCCGGGAAAGGATAGGTGTGTCCACCACAAGGATGAACCTTAGAACTTACCGTAGATCTGAGAAGAAAGAATCCTTACCTTGGCAATTTCGGAAGCTTTCAAGTTTACAGTCAAGGTTGGATACTGGTAAAGCAATCATGAAAGGGCCTGAATAAGAATCACATCGAAAATGAGAGGATTGACCAATTGGTGCCCCTAAGGGAATATTCCAGGTTTCCGGTGCGCTACAAGGACAAATGCTTCTACTCGTATGACTGGCAACTTGAACTGCCATGGTGTATGGATTAGAGAGTGTAAGTAAAAATTCCTCCTTGTAGCATGTAACTGTTCTTAAGGACTGGGAGTCAAATTGAGGCTGGCCATTCTAATTACTTCGAGCCCAACAAAGTACATGCTCTGGGTGCTGATCCCTTCTTCATCCATAGCTTCGGCTAGAACTAGAAGCAGAGCCCTGACCAAGGCTAGACCTGGTTGCAAATAGGTGGTGATCTCCTATTTGTCAAGTCCTCAAGCTTAGTAAATCATTCCGGTTTCCGAAAGCTCCATTGCGGCCCGGTGGGATAAAAAAATATCGTCGGTTGTACAGTAGATCCCTGGAAAAGGGGGAGCGGCGGGGAAATGGCGGGTGTTCAACCTCCAAGTTTTACCCTCCAGCCCCTCCGTTCATCTGCATCATTAGGATCATTTCTGCAGGATCTAAATCCCCAGCACTGTATTTGTAAGGAAACAGGAATATTGTTAAGATGAAACGGCCATGTAACTGCTAGGGATGGGTACTGTATTAAGAACCAATTAAACGGACCAGGACTTATCAGCCGCCAATAGGATTAATTTAAAGTTACAGGAGCGGAACCCCCCCTGTATTTGTATGACAGCTCACGAGGGTAGCGCTCTGGTGATTTGAGAAGGCTTGCAGCGCTGCAGGAACCAACCATCTGCAGGCCCGGGCCCTAGGGCAATCAGCAAGGATGGCGGGCATAATGAGGTGGCAGATTGCTATCTACGCGTCCAATCGCGTTATGATTGGAGGCGATAAGGTGATGGCGGGGAGAAGAATCCATGGAACTGCGATCGGGGGAACGCGACCAGGGACGCCAAAGTCCCGCATCGTAGTTCAGGGGAAGACGTCGTAGAACGCTCTATCAGAACCGGTAAAACCAGTTGGATATGGAGAGTCAGTGCATGTGCTCCTCTTCTAGGGGTACAGATGCAACAAGTGTCAGACAGTCCGGTGTGTGAGGGCTGATCGACGAGGTCGAGAGCGGGGTGGGGGGATGGGAACGACGCCAACCAGACACTAAAAAAGGGGCGCTAGCGAATAGTCGTAGTGCCACTTTTAACCCCCTAAACTCCTGCCTCTCATTTTTCTTCGCGAACATCATTCATTACCAGGATCTATTTTCGCCTGGAGTTGTCTTCTACGGTGCTGGCTCACCCCGAGGTAGCTATTCCCCCTGAACTGCCTGGGACGTGCGAATGCTAATTAGGGTTGGTTAGACATGAAGCATATCGGCAAGCGCATTACCATTCTTCCTCTGATTCACACTTATTTGCAAAAGCTTCAATTTCGCCCAAGCCACCATGTCCGAATCCACGCCCACGTCGCCTGTGCAACCTGCGCCTAACCACGACTCAATGGTGACCGTGTCGCTATCCGACATCCAATCCAACTCGGAGCATACCCAGCCGGACTGGCAATCCCTCGATATACCTTCCACCCCGGTAGAATCCACTCCGGAATATGTATCGGACGCCAAACAAAATCGGGTCGAGTCTCTCGGTCCTATGCCACTTCAGGATGCCGCAAAGACCACATTTGTCCCTACCGATGGCCCTCCGACCCCAACGATAACGAACCAGAGTATTGTGGAGGAGGAAGAGCCCGAAAAAGATGTCGACTGGGAGCATCTAGATAAGACAGAGGAGCAGGAGCCACGTGGCGAGGGTTCAGATGATGTGAGTTGGCTTCGCGAACATTCTTGCCCTTGTGGAATGGAACTCTTGACTAACCTCGGGTGGAACTCTCTAGTCAACCGCCCTTCTATTAGCTCGGCTCGAGCAAGAGAACAATGCCCTAGCCACAGATCCGAAGGCGGGGATCAGTAGTCCTCAGGCTCGAATCCAGTTGCACCAGCGACAATCAAGGTCGCAGTCGTTACATCAAATTAAACGGCTGATCAAGGAACCGACTCGGCATGAGCTGCGTTACTCGCAACTGCAGCCACCGCCAATGACCGAGTTGGAATTCTGGGCTGCGCTCGTGGCAGACTACCCCCAGACAGCACAGCGCCTACCGACTTTGACCTCGAATAAGATCCAGGGAGGTGTGCCGCCGCCATTGCGTGGCGTGGTCTGGCCGAGTTTAGCGGGCGCGCGTGATCCCACATTGGTCGATGAGTTCCAAAGGCTCTCCGGGGAAAGCAGCCCATATGACGGATTAATTGGCAAGGACATCGGTCGCAGCTTTCCTAATGTGGAAATGTTTCGTGACCCCAACGGCGAAGGTCAACAGATGCTAGCCCGGGTGTTAAGATGCTTCAGTCTGTACGATGCAAAGATCGGATATTGTCAAGGCTTAGGCTTCGTGGTCGGGCCTTTGCTAATGCACATGTCAGATGCAGAAGCTTTCTGTGTGCTTGTTCGACTGATGGACCATTATAACTTGCGGACCTGTTATCTGCCGGATCTGTCTGGCCTTCACTTACACGTCTACCAGTTTCAAAATCTTCTTGCCCGACATCGCCCAGCCCTGTTCGACCATTTAGAGTCACTCAATGTGGAACCAGTCTATGTTTCGCAGTGGTTTCTGTCATTCTTTGCAGTGACCTGCCCGCTGCCAATGCTTCTCCGAATTTATGACGTGATTTTCCTGGAGGGGGCCTGCGAGACCTTGATGCGGGTCGCGCTCTCCCTGATGCAGCGGAATGAGAAGAGGATTTTGGCCTGCACCGAATTCGAGGATGTGATGCAGCTTCTGCTCTCAAGAAGCTTGTGGGATACGTATGCTTTTCCCTCTTATGGCGTGACGCGCTGAGATTTGCTCGTGAAAACAAAGACACTGACGATTGTTGACGTAGATACGCCTTCAACGCGGATGACCTAGTCAATGACTTCGTTTCGTTGACATCTCTTGTCACCAAAGAGAGCCTTCAAGCCCTTGAGGCCAATTACAATCACTCTCAGGGTGTCCCGACCGGTATTTCCTTTCCACAGATGCAAGCTGCTGCATCTCGGTTTCTTGGACGCCTGTGGGCTGGTTCCAACTCTCATAACTCAGTCAAATCACTCAATCCCAATAACAGTCCTTCTCGTCCTAACAGCACCATCCGCCGCTCCACTTCAAAACAAAGCATGACATCAACACTCAACTCGATCGAAAGCTCCTCGGATGCAAGCACTGCGCCCACCGAACTGTCCAGTACGGCTACTGTGGATGGCAAGTCAAGGGTTAAATCCAACATGTCTGCCTACCAAAAAGACAGAGATCTTTACACTCAGATCGAAGATCTTCTCATGGCTCTGACCGACCTCCAGCGGCAGAACTCAGATCTCTCTTTGGAATTACAGCAGGAGCGGGAGGAACGTGAGGAAGACCATTCTCTCGCTAAAGAAATGCTTAGCCATATTCAAGAGCAACCTGAAGAGTCCCAGCCGACAGAACTCATTTCGAAAGCGCAAGACCGATTTGCTTCCAATGAACATAAGGAGGCCGCGATTCCCCAGACCAAGCACCAGTTACACGATGATATGATTCGGTGGAAGGAAATGTACGAGCTTGAAGCCGGCAGATGTACTAATCTGTCCCGGCGCATGGACGAATTCGAGAAAGAGAACACGTCGCTGAAGGAAGAGTTGCGCGAGGCCCGTGGTCGGATTCAAGAGGGATACCGGGATAAACAACGCCTGGAGCGATTGAACACGGAACTGCGTTCGATCAAAATCCCTCCGGGACCAAAGACACCCTCCGAGATCAACTCTGCAGATTCTGATACCGCATCTCCTCCGAGAACCTTCCCCTCAAGGACTCCGTGAATTGAAGCTCGTCCGCACCAATTCACAAAAAACACCGGCATACAGCAAACGCACCAGCAGCCTCGGCCTTCAGAGTGTCCTTTCTACAGAAAACAATAAGCCAGCGCCCGACGAAGCTTTGCTGCTGGAGCTGGTGGGGGCGAAGACCGCCGAAGCCGTAGCAAAACAAGAACTCGAGGAGGTCAAGGCCAAGTTGGATTCACTGCGGAAAATGTTCAGTGCAGCTACAGCTCAGCCTGCCTCCAAGGCCGAAAACCGATCTTCATTCCTTGGGCACTCACACTCAAGAGCGAGCATCTCAAAAGCCCCGACCGAGCCCTTGAAGACACCTGCTGCTTCCCATACTGGGGGTGGGGGCTTCTTCAGTGGCTGGGGTCGCCGAGCTCCCACTCCCAGCACCGAGCCCTCTGCATGAGTGGTTCCTACGTTTGTATTGATTTTGTAACTATACCGGTTGAAGCCAAAGGCGCGGACATATGATTATCTTGTAATAGGAGTTCCGGATTTCCTACTGTTGATGTTTTGGAGCCTTCTGTTTGCGTGATTAATACATGACATGATATCCCTCCTCACGATAACCAGAATAGAAGGTGTCTTTCCAGTACAGCCCTGCCCCCAATTATCTGATCCAGTAGCATCGTTCGCACGCCCCCTACGAAGGGCGGAAAGTCCATACGAATACGTTATACGGAGCCCAGGGCCTTGCAGACCCAACAAAGCTTTCCTTTTTATAGACCCTGACGGGGCCCTACAGCCACACGTCACTAAAATTGGCGCGGGGCGGATAAACACCGACATGCCGCTCTTGTACATAGCCAGGAACCGATTTGGGGGCCGGTTCCTGCTTGGTATGCGATCTTGGTTTTGCTATTACCTTGCTGGAGCTCTTTACTATGAGGTACTATGAGGCTGGGGCACTCACGAAACCATTGAATTCTAGTAAGCTCCGGAGGTGAACGCGAAAGCGTGCCAACTTGTGAGGGCTCATACGGTTCCCTTGTGTTCATTCGATCATTTGAATCATACTAATAACTACGTAAATACTGGAGAGTAGCTCTGGACCTTGGATTAAAATATGGGGTCTGAACTTTCAAATTCTCAGCATGGTGTTAGGGATATATGTACTCATCAGAAGAAGTATTGTCTATTCGTGTATCTATTAGGGAATCGAGACCAGCTGGGCCCCCTAAGATTGAAAAGAGCAAGAAGACAAGTAAAATCAAAAAAGTCGATAGAACCAAACAGAAGAACGAAGTGCTGACAGATGTCGTTAAAAGAAAGGCTCTAGAGGAGCCTCACCTGGTGACCTCAAGTGGGCTGGTCCATACTATACCATAAATTATAAACTCTTTACAGAGCAGCGATGAGCGCGTTGATGTCGGACTCAAGAGCCTTGACGGAGTCCTCAATCTCACCACCGCAGACAGGGGACTCGCTGATGATGGGCTGGAGGTATTTCTGGATCAAAGTCAGACGTGGGTCCTATTGCAGATGTACATGAGGGCTTGGGCTTGATTTACCTCGGTGTCAGACTCAAGGAGCTTGGCGACATCGGCGACTCCGCTCAGGTCGTAGTTCTTCAGGAGAGAGCTCTTGGTCGTCAGAGTGTTGACCAGGGTATCCTCATTCTTGATGAGGGTGTTGGCGGCGGCGCACAGGTCCTTTTGGTCCTGCTGGGAGACAGTGCCGGAGCAAGGAAGGTTGGTGCCCTTAGCAAGACCAGTCAGGTTGTCCTTGACACCGTTAACGATAGCCTAGAGATGATTAGCAAGCAGCGCTATACATGTGTGGAGAAGATCTTGTTTAGAACATACCGAGACGAGATCGGCAAGGTTGGTCTGCTTGGACAGAGAGGCGTTGAGATCGCTGAACTCGTTGGCGACGGAGTTGATAGCAGAGACAGCGGTCTGAACACAGCTGGGCTCGCTGTCAGCGGGGACAGGAGCAGCAATGGCAGTGGTAGCGAAGAGAGCGGCGACGATGGGAAGCTTGAACTGCATTTTGGCGGTTGGTGAGGCTCGAAAGTGTTTGAAGATTGAAAGAAGAGGAGATAATGTGTATTGGAAGTGAAGTACTTGACTGTTTTGATCTGGTTGATGGAGAATAAACTTCGATGAGAGCTACGCCTTCTTTATATAACCTCGAAATCATTCAGTTAGTACTATACTGATCAACTCTCTGGCTCTGGACCCTGAGACCCTGCAATGGCCACGAGGTCCCTGCCAAGACCGATCAAAATAGTATCAAGCTGGGGCTGGAGAGCCTACCTTTGGCTAGCTCAGTAAGCCAACACCCTGTCGATGCATGGTCCTAAGCTTGATTCGGCGTGGGGGATCTTCAGTGACTGGAGTTGTCATTGGGTTGGATGCTGCGATCGTCCAAGTTGGTCAAGATCCTCGAGGAGCGCAGGTTCGAAACTGGCCCCAGCGAAATGGCCCCGCCCGACAGTCGACCCCACCCATTAGCGGGATGCCACCCCAAAACCCTCTCTAATTTTGGCCCTTATTCGTATGAGGGCAGCTTCGGTGCGCCATGTCGTATATACTTCGTACGAAGATCTGCGTTCGTGATGGAGTGTGGGGGTGGCATCAAAATCACGCACAGTGAGATTACGCCACAGGTGAAGGCCATACTGATTTCATCCTCAATCCTTCGACATCGCCCCTTGAAGAGTTGCGCCACTAGTGGAGCTATCTTGAAACGATAGTTCAAAGGTTGGAGGTCCCTTTCTCGATCCCCGTGGATCCTGGGTCTTCTCAGGAGTATACTAGGAGCGATGGGCCACCAGCTTAACGATTGATGTGAAGGTGTCGACAAGAAGGATTGACTGGAAATAGAACGCTTTAGAGTCCTAAATTTGAGTCTGCTTAGACACCCTAATTCCAGGGAAATAGTACTGTGCTCCAACTACCGTGATGTCTCGGGAAAGTAATTTTGGGCTGCTTGACCCTGGCTGGGATGCCTCTATCACTACCTGTCGTAAGGGATCTTGATGATTGACGCCAGAAATTTTGTTCGCTGACGGCGAGCAGTGGAAGGGGCCCCAAAGGTTGCTTGGTGGAGCCAGGAGTCTTCCTTCGAACCTTCTGCGCCGATCCACGCTGTGGCAGCCATGCAGGCCTCGCAAAGGAAGACAACGGCGCGCGGGCCCCAAAAGTCCGCTCTGGCTACCTTACCTGAAAGGAAATACCCTGTGTACTATTACTTCTCACGGAATGAATGTTAAGTGAGGCATTCATGGTTGATAGAATACATAAGAAATGCGATTACAACCCACCCCGTTTTCTCAACAGCGTTCAGCACTGGGAGAGAACGCTACTATCGCAGGACTGAAAATCGATGTACTAAAGCGTGTCGGCTGGGAAGGATCCCGCTTGGTTAGTCGGGGAAAGTCGATTCGATCACCGATGAGTGATGCTACCTGAATTTTCGTTCAAGATGCCACCTCCTTACAACGTGCTGGCTATTTTTATGACGAGTTCTGGCAGCGGTTGGTACGCTAAGCCTGCCAGGATTAGCGTGCCGTCTGCCATGCGGTAAGAGGCAGGGATGCCCTGAATCATAATTCCGCCCAGCTTCGTTTCGGGCAGAAGCAGGAGCCGCTGCAGTTATTTTCGCCCTTCAACAGATCGATAGCGTAATCTTCAGTCTTCAGGAGAACCCGAAATACGAACAATCGGGCCGTCGTCGGGTGGAAGTCATTTTCATTGCTCGCGTTGTTCTTGCTTCCCCAGTATCGTTTTAAAAATAATGCAGCTCGCTGATCGGCATCTTCAATTCGGCTATCAGATCTTAGAATTAGCCCTTAGAAACCTTGGCGATCACCGGGACATGGGGACAAAAAGGGAATAAGATGGAATGACCCCTACCAAAGCGCCTATGGTCTTATGTTCTCTCTTCTAGCCTTCTATATGTCCAATTTGTAGGAAAGAGCATTACCCTTGGCCTGAATAAAGCTCGCGGAGAACCCGATGACGCTCATCATGTTTTGATGGATACCAATAAGGAAAAGCTAGTGAAAGGCATGACTGCAATGTAATTTGCTACACAGGAATGATGGAGACCTGGAGACCTGAAATTGAAAAGAAGTAAACATATTCTAGTATATCTCCTGTTCATCTGTCACTCTGGTCGTTGGAACCATAAAAAAGAAGAAGAAGAAAAGAGGCATCAATACAGTATGTAACGAAAGATAGCAAATCGGCATACCATGATGGGTCAAGAGAAATCAAGCTCCTTCATAGAATAGAGCACGTGGAGGAGGAAGGGGGAGACTCGGGGACTGGACTTTCATTGAAAATATCATCCCAAGAATCATTGAAGGAGAACCCCGCCTCATAGAAAGGCTGATAATCGAATTCTTCATCAAATTCGCCAAATGATGGGGAGCGACGGGCATTCGCGGACATGAAAAACCTGCCTGCCTGATAGAGGAGTCTAGCCCAGCGTTGCATGTCTTCCCATTTGACGTTATCCCAGAAGTTACCTTGTCCCGTACCAGAACTATTCGATGATCTCTCTTCTTGAGCATCGGCTGTACCGCTAGATGTGTTTCCGTATTTCAGCCATCTCCCTGCCCGTGTCGTCTCAAGTGTGGCTCCGTTCGCGATCTCAATGTAGATCTGGAGCTTCAAATCCGTGGACCCGCGATAATGGGTTCCGATAAATCTGCGTGCCCGAGTTTGCCTTTCGGAGGCATCTCTGTTGATATGGAGTGTTTGGTAGCCAGGTTCCTTATCAATGAGTCCATGATGATAGATGGCTGCCCCTTTGGAGGTCATTTCTGCAAGCCACGATTTTTTCCAGTCCTCAACATTCTTCAACTTTTCTGCGACTCCATCTGCGTCTAGGCCGTCCCATCTTGTGGTGACAATTGCCACGTTAGGCATGTATTCAAGACCACAGAATAGAGATAACCAGGTCAGAAGAATTTTGGCGGAGGGACTGACCCTTGGTCTCGAAAACGAATCGACGAACAGCACACCGCGGAATTCGACGTAGCTCTGAACAACTGACATAGCCGCCATTAAGCGAAAGAAGACATCCCAGTTGTCAAAGTCAACGGTATTAAATCCAGGCATATCAAGGAAAAGGCAACGCTTATCATTGATGACAGCTGGAACAAGGGCTGTCACCCTCGTACCTGCTGCTAGTCAGCTCCATATAAATTAACAGTGTTAGACCTGATTGAGATCCTACCAGACTCTAATGTGGATCCAATGTAGACATCCTCGCCAGTAATCGATTTGATAAATGACGACTTTCCAACCCCGCCGTCACCGCAAACAATGAAAAGATCCGATCCAACACTGAGGTATATTGTCAGTCTGCAGCCAAATACCATGATGGATTGCTTGCCAACCTACTGTTTTTTTAAGAACTTTAGTGCTTTATCGGTCAGTTTATTAGAAAGGATGTCGGAGAAAATATCCCATCCATTCGTCATGGTGAACTGCGGCGCTCAAATGGAGTATACCAATGATGCACACGGGAATTCAAAGATTGAAGAGGAGGGGTTATCAAGTCCTGCTTCTCAAGCCAGACATTCACATTTCCACGGGGCCTTCGTGGGAGATATCTGGCTCTTTATATGTTCCCATTGACTACAATGGCTGACTCCCATCCTATGTCCATCCCTAGAAAGCAGCCTGGTATCCTTAGTGGTGAAGGAATGAATTTGTGAGGGAAGAACACATTCCATGCTCTTGACCTGCATGTGTTGACTCGCTTCCAAGTATCTTATTGGTGCTTGATATATTTGCAGCTCTTGGGATCAAAAGTGCGCATGTGTGGGTCTTACATGGCCATTCACATCAGATTGAGTTGATTGCCTGACATGGCGCACTATGCCACGTCAGTAAGTCAAGAGGGTGCATTTTCTTATCGAGGGTGGATTGTTAATATGATTGGATAGACCCGTGGACCCCGGTACAAAGTTCTGCCGGGCTAGGTAAGACCGCCACGTCTACCCCTGTCACAGCAAGCGTATATCGTGGAGGATTGATGAGGGAATTTACTCAGAATGGCAGATAAGAGACTTACTTATTTGATCAATGAAGCGCCCTAGTAGTGTCCTCAATTCCGAAAGTATCCCGTTCCAGAGAAACAAACCATCGTACTCCAGGTGACGACTTCTGTCACTACGTCCCCGTCCCCCCAAGAGCATCCTGCGTAAATCCGGGAACCAAAGATGCCGAAGAACGAGATATCTTCACTTTTGGACAGTTTCTGCCAAGAGAATCGTTGTGATATTGAGAGGCTTTTCCATATCGACGAGTTGAGCTCTGAACAAGTCAAGCAATGCATGGAATCCAAGTTGAGACAGATGGGGTTGGACCACCATATCTCGTGAGTCATCAAGAAAATTTTCGATCTTGGGAGCTTGACTAGATACGAGCGGTACTAACTTTGGCGCAGGATGGATCAATGGAAACGCCAATTAGGGAAATTGAAAATACGGAAAAACCTATGCCAAAGGGAAGTCGATGCCATTGAAAGTCACCTGGGCCCCAGCCCAGAGATTATGCCTTACTTGATACTAGCTGATGGCATCCTATTGGATGGCAATCGAGTAAGAGAATATCGCCAAAAAAAGAATCAAGACTCGCGGTTTCACCGGAATGAACATCCGCGTCAGATTGCATATGTGCAAGTGCCTTCAACCTGCACATTGACCTCTCTTTCTGACCCGTTTATATTCAAATACTTCCGCCAACTTTTATTTTATACAAGAGTCCATTTTGACAGGTCATTTTACCTGCGCATATGGACGATTGATCGACGGGGTCTCTATGCCAGAACTTCAGCACTTCGAAGCGATCTCACACAGCTAAGCAAGCTGCACAATAAGATCTCAGATGCCTTGGGCCAATTTCGGGCAGAGAACATGAGCACCGCCTGGGCCTTGATACGAAGTGCATTCTTATCGATCAAAGAAGCTGTGGTGAATCTTCATCATCGCCAATTGCCAGATCTCCTGGCTATTTTGCTCATGCTGCAGCGCAATAAGCACACGGATCCCATCCATGAGTCCATGACCAGATATCTTCACCTTACCGCAAGAAAGTACTTATTCCAAGATAGTCCAGTTCGGGCCGTGTTTGAATCCTTACCGGGGTTACCGAAGGACCCTGCTGGACACCTTTTCCTTGCGTACGATGCCTATTGTCGGGCAATTTGGAAGCATAACACGGGAGATGGTGGAATAAAAGCTCTCTGGTCTTTCAATCAAGCCAGCTTTCCACGTGCCGAAGAGGGAGGATTCTATGAAATTTTAAAAGGCATGCAGCCAGAGGATATTGAAATTCAATTGCGATTGGTCGAAGAAGACTGGGGCCCCTGCAGCACTGAGACCTTCAGCTTGTGGCACATGGTGGCTCAATGGTTCTATCGAAATGGAGAGTTTCGATACATGGAGTCCTTTCTCCAACAGTTGTGTGCTCGCGTCCACGGTCTTGAGAATGAGTTCAACTATGCCGAAGATCATCAGCTAAATTTCAACTGTATGATGAGCTTTTCTCTACTAGGGGTGGCTCAAGAGTCACAAGGAGACCTGATTAGTGCAATGGTCGCATTGCACCGATCGATCGCTATTCGAAGCCAAATCATTCCGAATGGCATGTGGGATCCCGGCAAGTTGGCTGCATTGCGAAAATTAAGATCGATCGTCCAAAGACTTGGCGATGCCGCTCAAGCAAGTTATTGCACAGAGCAAATTGACAGCATGTATGCATCCCAAGAGAGAGAAGACAGACAAGAGCAGCAACTATCGGGCGCTAGGAGAAATTGAATACCAGTGAGATCTCTCGCAGGGCCCTGAAAAATGAAGAGAACTCCTGAGCTTCAAGCACACTTTGAAGCCAGTAGGAGACTGGATTTCCAGTGTTTGCGTTGCTCCTTTCCATTTCTATCGAGCGCATCTACGCCTTTTGCCTCATGAATTGCATATGTTAGTCCTGAGAAATCGAGATAATGCAGAGTGCTACGAAAGCAATTCGAAAGTGGAAACTAGAGTGAGATAATAGCTCATGAAGGGTCCATGGTCTTATATTCTCTTCCTACTCTTATATTTGTCTAATAGGTATTTGCATATAGCTAGCGGAAAGATGGGGAACTGTCCATTCTGCGTACTGTCTGCGGTCCAGCCGTATCTTATCGTGCTTTTTGCTTTTGCTCGGGCTTTCGCCCCCTTTCTTTTCGCTGCATTGGCGCGTACGGGAGATGGAACTGTACCTGGAAGACCGCCAAGCATGAGATTCAGGTAGCCATGCATTTTTGCAAGAAGCATGTAGTCTCGAACTCTGGCCGTCTCATTCAAGACCTACACGAAACTAGTCGATAGTTGCGGCTCAACCCCACATCTGAAAATGGTGGCTGGATTGTCCGACTCAGCGGAACTCTCTGCATGCAGGGCTGTGCTTTTTGCGAGGACCCTTCAACAATCTGGGCATAGTCAGAGAGATGGCAGTGTTGGCAAGTCTCGGTGTTGTCCAAATTCTGAAATGTGGGAATGTATGTGTTTGGCAAGAAGCTTCGAGCCAAATTTAAGCTTACGGAAAGCGGAGCTATTGGTACAGGGAGAAGAGCAAGAGGAAAAGGAGACTTGGTTGGCGGATCATGAATGCGCGAAGCAATGGGGGGGGGGGGTGTTTTCAACGTATAAATGGTATGTGGAGATCTCTACATAGACTATGTTAAAGAGTATGGTTAGTTTCTTCTCCGCTTTCATCGCCTTCGGTGACTAGTATAAGTGGCTTAACGGATACTAGTAGACTACGCTAGGGGCATTGATAGACAAGAGAGTCGCAGCCTCGAAGCTGCTCTCCATATTCATGAGATGAATGGGCGTTGAAGCATGGCAGAGGGCCCGTGGCCGGGACGCGGCGGCCTCCGTCTAGTTGAGTTACTCTTCTCACATGCATCGAATTGGGTTGCACATTGCCAAGAGATCCAAGTGACAAAGATTGGGCATATTGGAACTGCAATTCACGCTTCAGGGAACAAATAAGCAGAATCTCAAACTGTTGTGATGGCAGTTCCAAGTTGAGGTTTCAAACCAAGGACATACTAGCTGCTGGAGGGCGAAAAGGGACTTGGAGACATACCCATGCTCTCCAGAAGATAGAAGGGCCGTTCAAAGACATGAGAAGAATGATGTACGGACCGTTAGTAATTATGAAGTTACTATACCATTGGACTTTTATTTACGAATGATCTTTTTGCAATGCTCCACCACTAGGTCGTTCCTGTTGATCGTAGGACGCTGTAACTTATTAGAAGCTATGTTTCATACCAGAAATTGACGCACAAACCACAAAAACCATCTTCTCATGAGTATGGAGCATCAATTCCTATCGTATAACGCGTGCTTCTTTTCACGAGATTGAAACTTCGGCGTTTCGGCGTTTCGGCAATGCTAGTTGAGATGGCCTAGTGACACTTTGGTCTGACCTCTACTAAGCCTCCTTTTGGGATAATGAAATGTCTGGCCGAGTTGTTCCGCTATTTGGTAAATAACTGCTCTGTCAATTCCCTCGGAAAGCTTCATTTCTTATTTTCTTACGTACTACAAATCCATCATGAACGGCCTTAGCTTCGAATTCCCAATCTATTTGATCTGGAATCTCCAGCGAACTTATTTTCCGAAGCTCGTACCGCAATCTTTCTATTTCCTGGTGCTTTTATCTCCATATCTCAAAATCCAGGTTTGCTTGCGCATCGCCCATTTGGCAAGGGCTTCCACTGTCAATGGATCAACTCAGTACCCCGGCGTCCCAGCAGCTGTCGGGATCCAAAGTCGAAGTGTGTAGTCGCTTATGTGAAGGTTCTCATGTCTCGCCTCTCGAAACTCCAGCACCTGAGCCTCAGTCTACGTTTCTCCCAACCACGGACCGGGAGCCTCCGTCGGTCGACATGCAAGAACAGGGCGTTGGACCGAGTAATATTCCAAAAATGGCGAATTCAGCGCCTTTAGGTCTCTGTGCGTTTGCATTGACCTCATTTGTATCAAATTTCGTCAATATATACGCACATGATAGGACATTCGGTGGCATCGACGTAGGATTGCCGTTGGCTTATGGAGGGCTGGCTCAGATGTTCGCTGGTATCTGGTAAGTGCTGGTGTACTCTGCAGATCTTTTTTTTTTTTTGTTTCTTTTCTTTTCTTTTTGAAGATTTCTTCAGGTCTTGATTGATGAGAGATACGAGAAGCTAATATTCAATCAGGGAGATGGCAGTGGGGAATACCTTCGGGGCTACATCCTTTTGCTCCTACGGGGCCTATTGGATTACCTCTGGCATCATGTCCGCTGTCAACAGGTCCGAAAATCCCTCAAGAACTCCGAGTGGTGCGTCAAATACGTGTTCGCCAGAGACCTTGATGGGTGCCTTCCATTTGGTGCGTGACCTCTCGCCACTCTTGTTCATTGCATTATGATTCATTGATCGATCCTAACAAATCCTGCTCCGGCGGCATAGGCGTGGTTCATCTTCACAACCCTAATGCTTTTGTGCACACTGAAATCAAGTATTGGGATGTTCCTACTCTTCTTCTTTCTCGATATGAACTATCTTCTTCTGGGAATTGCGCATCTACGATGCGACTCGAATGGTGACATTCCTGTAACAATTCAAAGATGCGGTGGTGTCTTCGGTATTCTGGCCTCATTCGCTGCCTGGTACAATGCCTTAGCTGGGCTGTTTGATGAAATCAACGGATTCTTCGTAGTTCCCTTGGGCCAGTTCCCGTGGTCACCCGCCGCTCGAGCTCATCGATCCAGGGTGAAAAAGAATATGTGAACGAGTCTTTTCTGTAGCCAATCAAAATATCAGATTTAGCTATATCTTGCATGTCGATCCCTTTGGGCTTTTTCTTCTTCAATAATAAAAAGAAATACCCGAGTCGTTATATTCTCGCTTGCTAGGCGAGGCGGGATAGTGATTGACATCAGGGCAGTTTAATGTCCATCCCATTTCTAAGGAGGGGATGAACATAAACCTCTCCCAAAATTCAAGAGTTGTCAATAACATCAATGAAGCTCCCCTAGCCGTCGTCTCATAAAGTCACCCATTGTCTTGATTCGGCAGACTTATAAAAGGCCTCGATCACTTTCATGATCTCAATGTTCTTGGCCATGCCACAGCATTCGTCAGAGCCTTCATGCATGCCCCGGACTCGATTAAACAGAGACTCGAGTTGTTTCATGAAACAACGAGGTATATTCGTTTTCCCGTGGGGATACTCGGTCTGCAACTTTGTTTCACCCGCTGAGAAGCTTCCCGCGGCACGTCGCAGGTTAAGCGTAGCCACAGGGAAGTCCGGGATGACATGTAAAGACCCATTGGTTCCGTATATATCAATTGCCCATTCGTTGCACCATTCGGTCGGTTCCCAGGCTGTCATGTCGAGAGTGACAGTTTTATCATCATATTCTAGGATACCGGAGCAAACATCTTCGTATAGCAGTGTCCCAACACCAAAGCTTGCCTGATCTACCGTCCCAGTGAATAGATCAGGGATCCAACCCACAATAGGGCGAGGTGGCTTTGGTGGTAGTTTTCGAATAGAGGACACTACTCGCTCGGGGGCCCCGAATAGGTCCAATATGTTTTCTAGGGTATGACATCCCGAGGTTTGGAGAATTCCACCGAGGTCCTCAGGGATGGATTGCCATAATTCTAGCCCAGCCCCAGAGGGACATCCTCCGTGAAAACGCGCGGTGGTGATATCGCCTAATGCCCCTTCGCGGATGACTTGCCGCGCAAACTCTAGAGGCTCGGAGTAATGTAGCTCGTACCCCAGTTCAACCACGAGTGTCGGCCGTTTCCTTTTGATCTCTTCTGCCAGCCGATAGAAATCACTGGGCAAAGCAGCTCCCGGCTTTTCCAGAAACAGTCCTCTGAACTCGGCTGGGTGATCTATCGCGAACCGCGCCCAGCGTGGAACATCTGGGTCTAACGCATGTATCATAACAATGTCTGGGTTAGTATCAAGAAGACCCTTGGGCGAATCAAACCGAAGCAGCCGGGGAAGCCTTTCAGCAAGCCCCTCCGCAATAGCAGAATCCTCTTCGTAGAAACCAGAAAACTCAAACCCACCCATCTTCTCCAGAATCGCGAAACGATACATAACATGGGGATGGCGACAACCTAAGAACGCGATTTTGATTGGCTGCAGCGTCTCACCATCCGGCAATTGATTCCGGAAGGAGAACGAGATTTTCCGTACGTCCATCCTGGAAAGATCGACTGCTGCAATGGCGGATACTGATTGGCCTATACTGTAAATCAGCCAGGCGATGTATGCGTATTTCAAGACGGGACGTCACGGCCAAAGGGGTCCTCTGGCATCCCTTCATGGATGAAAGAGGAAAAGGACACATGCCCCCGTTACGGATACCATCCCGCGCAGTCTTTCGAACATCGAGGCAAGGTCGGTGGAGTCAGGGGTAGAATTAGTGCCTGTGGGCCCAGGCCGAATGCTCGTATTGATACGGAGCAAATGCCAAGCCCTGATCACGCAGGCGGACTTGGCGCTCTGAGGCGGTGGGTCTTTTTTTTGCCACTCTGTCTCGCCGATAAACAATCTCTCTTTTCCTGCCCCCTGATCGAAGACTCCCGGCTGGCTGGCCCAGAATTTATGCCCTGGAGATGTAGAGATGATCCTCTCTGCTCTGCTGACATTCTTCCTTCTGGGAGTTGTCGCCGGGGAATGGTCCCAATTCGATGACCGCGATCTCATACATTATCGCACGGTAAGATCTACCCGTAGGCGCCTTACTGACGATCAATCCTGGGACTGACCAACACATCCAAGCTACCTAATCATCGCGTGGTGAAATGGAACATCTCTTATCATGACAAATCACAAGTTGCCCCTGGGTATTGGTTTACTGCACCATACTGGAGTCTTTCTGAAAACTCAGAGACTAAACAGTTTATTCCATACCAGGTCGGACCTCACATCTTTGATCAAGATGGGGTAGGTGCTCTCCACAGATTCATTGATAGGAAGTTGTGTTCCTAATGTACTATTTGCGATCAGGTTCTTATATGGGCTGGTGCGGTTGAATCCAATAATCACCAGGCCCACGATTTTCGCGTGATCGATTTCAGTACTCGAGAAGACCTCCCGCCGGTCCCTCATCTATCCTGGATCTTGATGGCCGGCCCCGGGGAGCCTGACTCGACTGGCCGCTCTGTTGTTTACAACAATCAATATACCCTCACGCGTGAACTGTCTGTTGCGACTGATGCTGTCGATACCCATGAGTTTTATGTGAAGAATTCCCCGAAAGCGATGTTGATCATTTCGAGTAAAGCCCGGGTCAAGCTCAGCGAGCTGGGCATGGAAGAGGCCAGCGATGTTGCGTCAAATGGATTTGCGGAAGTGGATTTGAACACAGGCGAGGAAACTTTTCGATGGATGAGCACCGGGAAGATCACCTTGGACGAGAGTTACGTCATGACCCCCGAGCGCTTCATAGAGAGTGACTACCTCCATATGAATTCCGTGGACAAGAATGAAAACGGAGACTTCTTAATTTCGGCGCGCCATACGAGCGCCATCTATTTGATCTCGGGTCGTGATGGACACATCATCTGGCGACTCGGGGAAAGAAGAGCAATTTCCAAGCTGACTTCACCTTCTGCGGTCAACACGATGCAAGATTCCTTTCCATCACCCCAGATGCGGCCAATCCAACTTCTATGGTGATATCTTTCCTCGACAATGGTGCAATTCTGACCGGCCCTTGGGGCACCATTGGCGATGAGCCAACATCATCCGGAATGATTGTGGAGCTCGACTTGGTGGCAATGAAGGCTACGCTCTTGAAACGCTTTATGCGGCCAGATGGAGGCAGCACAGATCGTCGCGGAAACATGCAGTCTCTTCCTAATGGAAACAAACTCCTCTGCTGGAGCTACGGAGGATACGTGACAGAATTCGATGCTGATGGTAATATTGTGATGGAAGCATCGTACGCTTCTGACAGATTCGATTCCTATAGAACCTACAAGCTCCCCTGGGTCGGCCGTCCTTCGTATCCACCTACGGTTGTTGCAGAGCTCTACGGCACCAAAGACCGGGATCCATCCACGCTCTTCCATGTGAGCTGGAATGGCGCAACAGACATTGCATACTGGCGCTTTTATGCTCGTAACAGTTCGGCGAGTACCAGACGAGAAATCGGCCTTGTACCCAAGAGTGGCTTTGAGACCACTTTCCTGGTCCATGGTCATACCGATTGGGTTTCAGTAGAAGCATTGGACTCGGATTATCAAGTTTTGGGGAGATCTCCGGATTCCCGGCCCCAGTCGCCAGACTTGCGTCTTTCTGATGCCGTTTCGCCAGGCATGAGTAACGAAACCTCAGCTGATGGTGGATACGTGCTGACGCCCGTGTCTGGCGATGCAGATGGTCCGAGGGACTACTTTTTTGAAACCTCGGCCGTTCATATAGTCCAGCGCGGGGGGTTCATTGCACCCTTCATCCTCGGCATCGCTTTCAGTGCAGGCCTTTTCGCTCTCCTTAAATGGAGGAGACCCATTGTGAAATATTGTACGTCTGCGTATAATTGGATGACATGGACCGGATACACCATGATCTGGCAGGATGAACGGGGGGGATTTTAATGATGATATCTCTGTCGCGAGCGAAGATGAGCTGCACACGTTTGATTTTGAAGATGGCAGACCTTTGGGAATGTAGCATAGTAGAATTCATATCGAACCCATCTCGTTGCATAATATAGACATGTTTGCGTCCGAACTCTTCTGAAATTTTCATGTAGCATATTGAGACTTGTTCATCGAGTTGTGGATGAACACTTACCGTTCACTATATGCGATCATAACTTGAATGTAAAAGTAGAAGTGACCCAATGGTCCTTTGCGTTGCGTCCTTGAATGTGACTAGTATAGCCCTGATGTAGTCTATCGGTGGATATCGCATGTGCTCGCTCAAGTCTCGTCCATTATGTACATTATTCTCACCCTTAACTCATGACGTTCTCTAATATGGAGCGGGAAAACCAGCAAGATCTCCAGGGCTCATGCTGCAATATCCACCAACCTCCCTAGAGTGACATACGCCTCTTGAAGGAGTTCCCACCGACATCCGACAAAGCAATCTCGCACTGCCAACAGTAGCTCTCCTGTCTGCTGAGACACCACACTCACATCCTCTTCGTTGCGAATCAGCATCAGCATCCGGACAAGATATTCCTCCGCATTGAGTGGAATTGCTCGCGCCTGGGTCTTGGTCCTCCTCCCCGACATGAACCCATATGCCCACAGGATCAGCACGGCGTGATATAGGGACCACGGCCGCAGAGAGATGTTGTCTTGACAGGCCAAGTACTGCTTCCCGGTAAACAAGATCTCCTGGATCAATAGGAGGCAATGGTAGAGCACCCGTTTCGATTCTGGTTTCTCCCGCCACGCTTCCACCCGAGCCGTCGCCCCGACCAAGTCCGGCTCGGAAGGTAGATTGCCCAGGAGCGATGGCGCACCAGCCAAGATATGCATGTCTGTGACATCGGTATAGATGGCCACGTACGCCATGCGGTATAGCGGTTTCGAAGCCTCGAGGGCCAGAGACGAGCTGCGCGAGACGAGGCAGAAGGACCAGGTGTCCAATGCTTTCTCCAGAGTATCTTTCCAGCTTTCGATGGTCGATGTTCTAGAGCGATCTGGAGCGGTTCCGCCGACGCCAAGGGTTGCAGATTCACGGGCTTTCAGATGCGCCGCGACACTGAACAGGCCGTGTAAGAGGATCAATCGGCCATATGGAGTGCTCTGTGGAGGAATTGGGTTCTGGGCGATCAGGTCTTTCAGCACGGGGAGGAATCCGGGAGGCTCGGGGGCCTTTTGGATTAACCGGTCCCATTTGACCGCGTCGTTGCACTCCCATACATTTTCGGGACATGGGAGCGGGAGGCGGACGTCTTGCACGGATAGAACGCAAGTATGGCCGAACATGAAGCTGTGTTGTGCGTCCATCAAGAAACCGAAGAATGCCGTCCGGTTGGATGACTGGATTTCGATCCACTGTTTCCATGAGAAATCCAGGTGGCTCATGTTCCCTACCGGGGACACATATGATACTCCACGCTTCATAAGCTAAGCTCGTTTGCCTGTTAGTACCGCCGCAAGTGGTGTTTTTACCAAAAGGAGTGGTCGCGAAAGTAAAGCAGCGGGACGTACTGTGATGATTGCCCCGTGAAAAATATGGGACAGTTGGTGATGCTTCCTTGTCGAGAACATTTTCTCCTGTGCTTGGATGAGCAGAAGCGTTTGTACACACCATAAGGACGCGGGTGGCTCGAACTCGGGAGCCTATCTGGAATTAACGTCTCGACGCCTTTCGAAGGTTGGGGAATAATAAGTCCGACACGGACACTCACTGTGAAAATTATATAGCGTAAGGAGTCGTGGATCTGAGTTGATATTTGAAAGTGATCATCATCTTTGGAAAGCGTTGCGCCCAGCGTAACGATGGCCGCAATCAGTAAAGCGGGAGCAGTAGCGGGGTTGAGTGTTGGCCTGTGGAGAATCGGAAAATGAGGATGGTAGTTCTCGAAGTATAGATCGAAAAAGTGCGACAGGTTCGAAGGCATGAAGAATGCAGAGCTAAGCACGCTCTTGGGTAGCGTGCCAAGAGCCTCGAACAGTCGCGCCTGCGCAGAGAACCACGGTGCAGAGGATGGCGAGCCAGCTTTCAACGCAGACCGATCATCCTGAGTGGAGGACGGGGGGGATACCTCAGATGAACCAGTTTGCGTTGGCGAGAATTCCTCTCCGGTGCCCCTCTCCATGGGGTTGAAATTCGAGGGGATATGTTCAAACAGCCAGTCAACGTCCAGCAACGGATCTGGTGCATGAAATGAAGGATCCCAGAACAAGGAGGTCACATTTGCTGGGTTCGTGAAGTCAACATTATTGTGCAGAGAGCCGACTGCGTGAGTGTGCATGGATGAAGTATCCTGCTCCGTCGGCTGCCTTGCTGTGCTCTTATTTTCCTCCTGCCCCGCGGACATCCCAATGTCCCAGCTGCGGTGGGCAATGGGCTCCTGATACGACACAGGATGTATTAATGGCGAGGGCGCTTCATCCTGTTGCGCCGAGGGAGACACTACGATGCCCCCCGAATTGCGATACCACATTCCGCGCTCATGGCGTTTCTGGTGCCTCCGCAGGAGATCGTTTCGCACGAACCTCTTCGGGCACGAGGGACATTGGTATATGCGCTTGGGCTGATCTGTCAAGGTTGAGCCTCTTCGATGCAGATTTGGGGGGGGGTTCTCATACTCACGGTTTAAGCGATGCCGCGAGAGATGCTCCGGTCGAAGGAAGCACTTGCCACACCCCGGCTCTATACATTTATAGTCCCGGCCCGCCATTCCCCAGTCCAAGTTGTCAATAAGGAAGGACAAGGGGAAGAGTAAGCAGAGGTGGGAGGAGTGGAGTTGAGGTGGGAAATGTTGGAGTTAATAGAGCACCCGTCTGCTTATCGGCTCTCCGCGCCACAGGAGTCTTGGTACGGGGCATTCATTCCATCCATCTATCTTCCCGGATGGATCTGGCTTCGCATCGTTGTCAATTTCGGGGGCTCTTCAGCGCCTAACCAACTCGCGACAGATCTAGGTTTTGGAAGGTCACCACGCAAGGATCCCTGTGGCCGAACTCGACTCGTTCTGCACGGCAGTCGGAGGTAAGCCGAACCCAACTATTCCCAGCGCAGTCTAGTTGGAGGTCCGAGCAAAAAAGAGAAATTTGGGTGCGGCCCTGCGAAAAAGCGGGGGGGTTCTAGAGTTTTCCAAGGGGTCTATACTTTGACACGCTAAGATGAGTGTATTATACGAGGAATATATCAGATGCTATACATATACAAAAGCAAGAGCTAGCCAGCCCAGTTCCGACGTCTAACCGGAACAATGCAATGCAGTCCAACGCGCCCTGCGCCCCTTTCTCTCTAACCTTTTCTTGGCAGGAAAGATCAAATACCCATGGAAAAACGATAATAAGAAAGAATAGAAAAACCACCCCAGGGCGGCTCACGCTTACGACGTCGGAGCGGCACAAGTGAAAACACCACGCACGGTACCGGCGTTGTATTGCGAGATCTAATTCGTCATTAGTCAAGCTGGGAGTGGCGGGAGGAGGAATGCGAAGGGGACTTACAATATCATCAACACTGGAGTAAGTTCCGGCACCCAGAATAAGGAAACCAATGAGCATGATGAAGAGGTTGGTAATGCCAAGCAGCAAGTTCTTGCGCTCAAAGATGCTACCCTTGCGAATGAGGATGAACCACATCATAGCGGGGAAGTAGAAACTGAAGCCGGAGATGAAGAGGGCGGACGAAATGGACAATAGATCGTCGAAGAAGGGGATAACCTCGGCGATGATGAAGGCGAGAACGGTGATAACAGTGATGATGGCCAGCCAAGTGATCCAGCCCATCTTGGTGTTGATGTAGCGAACAGGCGATTTCGCAAAGATGCGGCCGTGGATCATACGACCACAGACGACCGTGTTGATCGAGCCACTGATGAAGATGACGGGCAGAGCGATGCCATATGCGACACGGCCCAGCAGATGGCCGGCGGAGGTCAAGGCGGGGGAGGACACCGATGGTCCAACAAAGGCGTAGACCAACGCACCCGTTAACGTGTAGATGATAATCTCAATGATTCCCAGCACCCAGATGGATTTCACGTAGTCGCGAGGCGTGTGCATTTCGTCCATGAAGGAGAACTGGCACATGGCGAAACTGTACGCGAAGACGATGTTGGTGATGGAGTTGAACCCTTCGCCAAAGGTGAGGTTATCCTTGGGCCATGCCGACCAGGGAACGGCTGACAAGCCACCAGGGCTGTTGGTCGAGGACACACCAGTGCCGATAATCGTGATGCCAATGGCGATGATGATGGAGGCGAAATCCACGTATCCGAGGATCGCCACTTCTGCGAAACTCGGCGGGACAGCCAGCAGCAGCAAGAGGATGGCGGAGACGACGGCAAAGACGACGGAGCAGATGTGGCTTTCGGTGATGTTCATCCAGGCAATGGTCCCGGTCAAGGTGTGCGATCCCGTCAGGAAGACCAGCTGCAGAGCCAACATGACGTAGATGAGTTCATACCCAAAACGACCAAACATCAGGCGCCCCGCATCGGCGTAATGGGACACCTCCGGGAACAGCAGCTTGACCTGACCGACGACGTAACTGGTGTAGATCGCGATCAGTCCGACCCCGACACAGCAGATGACACCCGCCACCATGCCCAGCGTAGCGAAGGTCTTGGGGATAGACAGACTACCCAGGGCGATGGCCTCGACGATCAAGACGACGGTCAATCGCTTCCAGCCCAGGCGGTTGAACTTCTGCACACCATGGCGCTCGGCCTCGCTCATCTCCCCAACAATATCACCCTCGAACGCGGGTGGCGACACGTAGGTCTTCTCATCGTTCTCGGTGAACTTGCTCCCCTCGGAGCCATTCGAGATGTCTTCTGCGTAACCCATTGTTGCCAGAACAAGATGGGGGAAGGGGGGGAGAGGGCAAAAAGGAAGAACGAGGAAGAAGAAAAAAAGTGGATGGAGACGAAAAGTGACGCAGACACGCGAGTATAAGAGGCGATGAGGGATTTTGGGGGTGGAATTCTAGCTCGGCGACTAGATCCCACAGTTGGATCAAGCGTGAATTAGCGTGGACAGCGTTATCTCTAGTGGAGGCGAAGGAAGGTCATTCGAAAAGATAGAAAGAGTCAAATCCGTGACTAACAGAGTTCCGGGCGTCGATTGAATTTTTTTTTCTCTCTCTTTTGTCGAGTGCGCATCCACACGTGGAGTACGACGCTGCTCCACCCGCGATCGTCCCTCCAACGAAAAGGCCGCATGCGGGCCTAATGAGCTCCACGATTCCCAGGGTTCTCTAACCCTCTGCCCACCCTCTGCCCACTTACTGCCCACTTACTGCCCACTTACTGCCCACTTACTACCCGTTTGCTGCACGCTGATTGCTCTGGTCGCCTGAATTTGCCCGGCGGCCACTGAACTTTGCTGTTCGAGGCAACTCCCCGGGTGCTGCGGGCCATTTTTGCCTCCGTTCGACCCACCATAGCCCGGTCTCTACGATAAGAAGGTTTCGGTTTTTATGTAAAAGATTCATCGTGCGCTGCCGTGCTTAACTTAATGTTTCATAACCCCATGATTGCGGGGAGAGCGATGTTCGGTGACAGGTCGAAAGGATGACGTCGAATATACTTCTGGGACAAGCTTCCCATGTTGCGAGCATAGCATGGCGCTACACTCCATTGAGCGTGGTCAGAGGACGCCACCAGCCACCCGGATCGCCCGGGGCGCATCTGGGGAGAACCACGCCCAAGGAGTACTCCGTCCAAAGGGCATAGCATGATAAGGGTTGGGTGATTCGATTCGTAAGGCCCCTTTGCCTGTTTCGGACTCCGCCTCTACCGAGCCCTGCAGGGTTCACAAGGTCCACAGCACCGATTCGCCCACGTAGAAAACGACCTGGTCCTTCCCAAATTTGCATTTCCACTCTGTAACTTCCCGTACTTCCCGTACTTCCCGCTCGACTGCCCGGAATTGTCACCGCGGTCACGTGAGCCCGCAAACGGCTGTTTATTGTTGACGTTTCCAGATGTCTCATACGCAGTTATGTATGTTGCTAATAATACCAGATAAAGCGCAGCTGTGGATAGTCGATACCCCCTGAGCCTCGAGATATCCTACCGTCATCTCCTTCCGGGACTCGATGACCGGGGTTCTCTGAGGACCCAGCACGGCCTCGGAGTGAGACGGTAAATGCTGCCAGAAACGCCAATCTCGTTACCTAACAGCGCCCGTTAACATGCTCGAAAACTTGGGGTATACAAGCTCCCCCGCATGGGTTGGAGCCAAAGGGGCTGCGAGTCACAGGCACGAAAGTTGGAGGCGACCCCACCCCGAAACGACCGGGGGGGGGGGGGTTCGTGCTCCAGTCTGAAATTGGGTACGCTGACAACAGGCCCCAGTTTCGAGATTAAGCGGGGTAAAGACAATCCGGGGCTGTATTACCACCTCAACCCCCCTGAATGGTTCTGTTGTTTTCTGCAGGTCTGGTCTGGGATTCTCTGTGGTAACCGGTCGCGAATGACAGGTAGTCGTTCGATCGTAACCCATCCTAATTAATGAGCCGTGAAGAAGGATCGACGGCTTACGAAACCACCCTGATTTTTTGGGGCCAAGACCCCAGATCTATCCTATCGTGTCCAGGGCTTCCAAGCCACCAAACCATCCAGTTGGAGCGAAGCCGAATCCGGGTCTTTTGCTGCAATCTGCTTTGCGGACGTGGCTGCCGGTACAAGATCCCCGTGCACGGCGTTCGGTCGGACAGCGGACTGGTCGTCCGGCTCTATTGTGCATTATCGTGGACGGATTAGCCTTGGGGCTGAGACTATGGCGCGATCAGCCCCCGGGGGTTCCCTGACACCAAGCAGGGCATCGATAGTGATAGTATTCCCGAAGGGGCCTAGACATGCTTGGAGGCATTAAGAGTGCGTGAACAGTCTTTCTACTAAACTTCTAATTCCAATACCCATGAGGTCCAGAATCGCCAGGAACCTTGAAAAAAGAGAATAATGATTCTCCTAGGAGATGCTCCCAGCTCATATCGTAACAAGATAGGATGGCTGCCCGGACATCATGCTCAGGCTCTGGCCTGCGGCTACGACCTTCTGTCCAGGTGGAACACCGAAGTGGTATAGGCCAGCGACAACCCTGCTCGCTCTGCATTGCGCGCACTGCCCGATCCGGGTCGAGTAATCATGCTCGCAACCGAAATGCCGGAATGATGGGCATCGTGCAGTCGCGCGTGGATCAATGCTTGATGCACGCCCCGTCCTCGATGCCGGGGGATAGTACTATCCAGATATAGATGAGCCACACTCCCATCGGCCGTCTCGATGATCGCCATAGCCGCGCCTCCCGCAACGTGCCCATCCACTTCTGCCAGATACAAGGTCGTGTCTGGCCTGGACGCCGCGATTCCGGCAACTGTGCGCAATAGCGCCGGGGAGCGGCCTCCATCCTCGAACCCAGCCACCGACGCCTGGACGAACTGCTCGATCTCACTCGACTGCACAGTCCGAGTCACCACATGTCCTGGTTCAGCCTTCCGTGTGCCGGTGGCGTGGTCGGCGGGCGGACCGTCGACTCGGCACCAATAGGTGTGGAGGCGCCCCCAATTCACATATCCGCGAGAGAGTAAGGTTTGGATGGTCGCCGCCGAAGCAAAAGGGCTGAGATGGATCTCTGCGCCGAGGCCGATCACTCCGAAAATGGACTCCACCTTTTCGAGATCTGCGTTGTCGAGTGCGCCCTGTTTCCCAGATCCAACGGCCCGGTTGAGCTTTCCAGTCAAGGCCGATGATGTTCGAATGAGAACTCCCCCTTGGGTCCCGGCTGAACTAAGACATCCTCTTTTGGATTCTTTCGGGCGCATTCCTCACCTTGTCGCTGGACATGGATGGCTTCGGCGGTTTCACAGAGATTGGCTATGTGTGCGTCGATGAACACTTGGGTTGGAGAGGAGTCGTCCACGGTCACCGGCATTTTGGTTTATCTTGTTTACTGGCCGTGATGATTGGCTCTGGAATTTGGGGATCACCTGTGAGCTCGACTTGTCTGGCATCCAGGCCTGTTTTATTCGTCTAATTTTTTTTTTTTTTGTGAGTCATAACACCCCAGACGCCAACCGATCCGTACTAGTGAATTCACTCAACCACAGCATACGGTTCATATCGTACTACTCACTGGAGAAGGAGAAGCATCGTTCTAAATGATTTTTCCATTTGAGGCCTCGTCCCTTTGTCTGCTAGCTCTGCTGAATGCCTAAATAGGCAAATGCTCATGCTTTGCAGGATCATCTAAATCAACGGGGGCTCTAGCGGATCACTTTGCCAGTGGATCATGGGGACGAGTCCCTCGGCTCTTAGCGCAGGAATCTCGGGGCGCTAGCATAGGCTTGCATGTGCTCCATAAATGATCTTCATAAGAAATGTCACGAACTGGGATATTCATACATCACAGGGGCCAACCAGCCTATGACGTGAGCTTGCGTTATCTAACGCCCCCAATTCGCAGGCCCCCTCAATAAAAGGAACCAATCCCTGAAATCCTTTAGATATTGAGCGATCGAGCGCGCCACGTACTTCATATCGCCGTGGTTCAGCCCACAAGCCGCAATTCGAGAGCCACCACATAGCCATGATATTGCTCTAGGACGGGGGTTAGTCTGACATCAGCAATCATTCATCCTGGTGGCCTTACCTCGGGGGGTGGTCACCACTTCCAGTGACATCCCCGGAATCCAAACATCCCCGAGGGACAGATCAGGCGTTCGCAGGACCCAGGTGCTCCTGTGATTAAAGGAATGCGCTGGCGTGCGTGCCGAGCGCGATCAAATTGCTGTGAAGCTCACTTTGTGTTTTACGAATATGACCGCTCATACGCTTCGCCGTCATACCACTACGCGCAAAGCCTTCCGATCTGGAGGACCTCGCTGGTTATCTTTGCTCCGAATGCTGGTGGGTTTGATACGTCGGGGGCGTTGTGATATTTCCAATATAGCATCAGTGACTGCTGCAGTCTCTTTCGAGTCCTTTTTGGCCAGAAGGAACCCCACCCTGTCTCCTGGATGATGGGTTGGTTTTAACATAAAGAATCCGGTCGCGAGTTCGAGCTGAGGCCCCCACCACTCACCATACAGGCCCATGTTCTTTGCAAAGGGCATACAAACCCACCTTCCATCTGCATCTCTCCCGGGAACCGCCAAATGGCGGAAACATCTTCGAAATCTCCCCCGGAGCGAATCCTAGATACGCAGATCAAAGAGCGGAGAAAGTTCCTTTGCTTTCGTAAATTGGGCAATCTTTCGCCTCTGTCCTTTGCTCGGGCCATAGGCTGTTAGGCTATAGCACAGGCGCGAGGTACTACCGCAAATCCTGGCTCAGCTTGTTCGAGCGTAGGGCGATACGGCATAAAATCGAAGTGCCTGAAGCTCTCGCAGGGGAACCCCAGCGACTCAAATATTTGGCGTTGGACCAAGCTGACTCTGGAATATAGACGTTGGGGGCTTAGAGTGACAGTCTTTTGAGAGAAACCCTAATCAATTGTAGTGATCCAGTGCCGGTAAGATTGTCGACCGTCGCAATAGTCCATGTTAGTGTTTGGAACCTGACACGATCTATCTTATCTGATGATATGCTGCTGATCGTGGTCCGCGCCCGAGACTGGCCTTGGATGGCGCCTCAGAACTCCAAGAACGGAGGAGACTGAGGACTCCTGAATGAGCTCCTGAGATAGCATCTCTCGAGTTTTCTGATACGAAGGGAGATCCAGTTGGCTAACCGTTTGCGTAATGATATGTTCTCTGGCGCATAGTTCCCACTTGAGGGAGAGGGTCAGCCACATATTGCTGTTAGCGCACAGATAGCACCGGCAGGGATGAACTTGGCCTCGCTGGCCCAAGCAGTCCCAGATACTGATGGGAATGTGACTGTCTTTGTTGCAGTAGCCGTTCGGACGACTCTTCCGATAGTAAAAATCCTCAGAAGACTAGAAACACTCGGTTGAAATAATCTTATGATACCGGGGCGTGAGGGACACCATCGGGGGGATCCCTCCAATGCATCGGCAGGTCTTCCGGTCCCTCGTATTGCCCACCTAACTCTGTACATGCATATCGATGAGTCTGGATGATCAAGCAATTCAGAAAATAAGGCCCACAAGCTCTGGTTAATCGCAGGCTATCTTGGCAACTGGCGATATAGCCCATCGGGCTCGCCCTCCGAAGCTCGGGGTGTGATCCACCAAAGAGCAATTCACGGCCGCCAGAACTTGACGATGCCCCTTTTATTCATCGGCATATCCCCGCAGGCGGGGAGCAGCCCCTCCAAACTCGCTCTATCGTTATGTGTCCGTCGGAGAATTATCCGATTGCGGGGTGAGGCGAGAATCCATTAAAGAGGGCTACGCGCTTCACGCTCGCACTGCCCTCTAGTTGCACTGGTTCATTTTCATCACCCCAAGGAACGGGACATAATGGGTTCTCACGACGCGTCACTACCACAGGTTCCACCGGCGGGGGTGTGGTGCCCTGCGGTCACCTTCTTCGATCACAGCAAAGACGCGTTAGACTTGGAGTCGCAGTCGAAGTACTTCGGCTACCTGTCCACGACCGGCCTTGCCGGCCTGGTCATCCTGGGAACAAATTCGGAAGCGTTCCTCTTGACTCGAGACGAGCGCTCTCAGCTCATTGCCGCCGCCCGAGCGGCCGTGGGCCCCAATTTTCCGTTGATGGCCGGCGTTGGGGCCCATTCGACCAAACAAACCCTCGAGCTCGCCCACGATGCCGCCGCCGCCGGCGCCAACTACCTCCTCGTTCTCCCGCCTGCATACTTCGGCAAAGCCACCACGATGAATGTCGTGAAGAGGTTCTTCTCCGAGGTCGCAGCCAAGTCGCCTCTTCCAGTGGTGGTCTATAACTTCCCGGGGTGTGCAACGGAGTCGATATGGACTCGGAGACTATCACCGCCATTGTACGCGAGTCAGCTGCCTCCAGCAGCTCGGGCAAGTCCAACGTAGTCGGTGTGAAGCTCACTTGCGGGTCTGTGGGGAAGATCACTCGATTGGCTGCTACGTTCTCTCCCAGCGAGTTCGCGACATTTGGAGGGCAATCCGATTTCTTGATCGGCGGTCTGGCTGCGGGCAGTGCAGGCTGTATTGCGGCATTTGCAAACGTTTTCCCCAAGACGGCTGCTCACATCTACACCCTTTACCGGAAGGGCCAACTTGAGGATGCACTGAAACTGCAGCAGAAGGCTGCTCTGGCCGAGAGTCCTATCAAGAGTGGCATCGCTTCCACCAAGCACGCTGTCGCAACTTACTCGGCTCGCGCGGCCGGGATTTCAAATACAGAAGAGAAACTTCACCCGCGTCACCCTTACGAGCCTGCTGGGGAGCCGGTGAAGAAGGCTATTCGGGAGACGATGGCCGAGGTCGCCGAGATCGAGAAAAGCCTATAATAATTCCTGGGGGGTTCTCTCCCGCTAGACGCCTTATAGAAATTCGCTTTGAGGTCGATAGCAAATGAAACCTCGAATGAGAGACTTCCTGCATAGAAAGCGTTTGCTTGTTCTTATCTTAGCAATATTATCGCGCTCGGAGCTCGATTGTCAAATCAACAGAGAAACAGACGCTTCTACCGGAACAAGATGCAAGTTTGAATAGCACGCAATCGTCAGAGGTGGGCCTTCTGGCACCGGATCTACATAACGCAACAATGCTTAATCTACGGAGATCCACTTGCGGGTCCTGCGGGACAGTAGCCTCGCCTTTGCAGGGACGCCTGCGCAGGGAGTTACGATGAATAGGAGTACACGGCAGTACTGATCGGAGTGAACAGAGATGCATTCCATTAAATTCAATCTATGATCAAACAAACTTCCAATGAGACAGAACTCGTTGGGTCCTAATTCACTCGGCTAAGTCCCCACCTTACTTTCAGCACCGCTGGAATTCCCCTCATGAGAGTAACCAGCAAAGCTTGGATGCACTTCCAACATTACAAGATATGGGTATCAAATCAGAACAATTCGTTAAAAAAGGCCGTTATGCCATGACCACCTTTAGTGGACTCCATTCGCGACAGGGGTGAAATCGCCCTTGCTGAAACTCTTCTTGGGTCCGTTGAAAATGCCATTCTGCTTCTCACGCGGAACACCGGGGGGGAATTCCACTCACGGAGATGCTGCTGCGCTGGCGTGGCTTCGCTGTCCAGATGGAGCCGTCGTCGAGGAATTCCTGTCCGGCAGCCAAGGCCTTGGATGGTTCCTCGCCCAGCCAGTGGGATTCGAGACGCTCGACATTCTCCTCGGTTTCCCATGCGCGGCCTCCTTCCACGAACATGGACTTGCCGTTGAGGGATCGGTCGGCTAGCATCCCAGCGGCAATGTGAGAGACCTCCTGGGGGGTGTTGGTGGGCAGGCTTGCCTCCTTCCATTTGTGCTGGATCTTCTTGACACTATCGGTTTCGGTGATCCAGGGGGCGATGGTGTTAATCCGGATGCAGTGTTTATACGGGGATGAGATGTAGCTGCGCAGCGAGCGCATGAGCCCGAGCACGCCGTGCTTGGACGCCTGGTAGACAAACAAGGACGGGCTCTCTTTGAATCCAGAGACACAAGAGAAGAGGAGGATGGAACGGTCTGTGCCGGGGCCCCGGTTGTGGCGGAGGTAGACCGAGGCAATGCGAGCAACATACATGGTGCCCAGAAGGTTGACGTCCAGTACTTTGGAGGTGGGGGTCTTGAGGAAGAGGGTTAGTCTCGTTGTGGCAACTTCGGGAAAGGGGGGGGGCTTACCTCACGGACAGAGTCCAAGGTCAAGCCAAAGTCGAACCAATTCCCGATCTCGACGATTCCTGCGGCCGACACCACATGGTCAATTCGCTTGTAGGTCTCAAAGGCCAGGTCGAACAGCGACAGGACGGATTGGTAATTGGTGACATCGGTAGGTTGGAAGACCACCCGGGCCGGTCCATTCTCGACAGGAGGGAACCTCTCGCGGGTTTTGTTCAACAGTCGTTCTCCTTCCACATTATCCAGGTCTCCGAAGCATACGTTGGCGCCTTTCTCAAGGCAGTCTTGTACGAGACTGGCACCAATGCCATTGGCACCGCCTGTCAGGCCATTATTTAGTATCCTCTCACATAAACAGTGTGGCAATGGGAACCCCCCCCCCCCTTAGGCGGAGACAGCATTTACTTGAGACATACCCGTAATGAGGACCACCTTGTCCGCTAGAGAGTGGGAAGTAATCTGCGGGATATACTGCGACATTTGGGGTGGAGATAAGCGGCTCGGTGGTGGATACGCAGAGAGTGGGGATTCAACTAGTGCACAAAGATAACAAACGATCTAGCGATGATGTATAGAATCAATGTGAGCCCATCGGGGCCGTAAGGGGGACAGTTTATATACTTGCCGATGGCCTAGGCGCGCATGGTTCAAGTTGAGGTGGAGAACGAGAACTGAAACCTCCAAAGCGGGTAGCATGACGCCATGGACTGCATCTTGACCCAAGAATGCCCATTCCCACGGGGCAGTGGAGGCAGGTACTGCGTAGAGTGTGGCTAGCAAAGTCCACGAGAAACTCCATCTCTCCGAGACCCTCGTACCATTCGTTACCCCCCTCCGACTGGGGCCACATGGGATCGTCACTGGTCTATGCGGGGAGACCACCGCCAAAGACGCTAAAGGCTGACGGCCATGAATCTGGACCCCTCGCCTGCGCACATTCCCTCCATCAGATGCGACCTGGTGGGCAACAATGCCCCCGTCTAACCTGCCTGGAAGGGCGAAACGAGCCAGGCGGGCGTTCCATGACTTTCTATGAAGAGAAACGTACAGGCTTCCCTTGCCCCGATTCGCCCAGCCGTGGCCTGCTCGGATATCTGTCCTCCGAGGACTTTATTCTGGCTTATCTGCAAGATGACCACTCACTGGTCCCCTCCGGTCTGTCCCTCTGGGCTCTTCTAGTCTCTGCGTTCTCCCTGGCATAAGGTCGAGGCAACCGGTTTGGTAAGACCCACTGTGGACCGCAGATGCAATCGCGATGTGGATGGCAGTGTTCCCCTCCCCGGAAAAACTGGTTTTCATTCGATACGAGGGCCACCTTTCCCCTTTATTTGTCTCTCTCCTTCCTTTAAACCGTCATCCGTATCCACTTGTGGTCCACGAGGATCGCCCGAACACCCGATCGGCAGGGTGTGATACTGGGGACCTTCTACGGCAAACCGGTCCTGATCACGCCATTCACGAGTCAAGAGAAGGCAATCAGAATAGGTACAATAGAATATCAGCATCATATCAGAAGACTCATCAGAAATGATAGTGGATTTTGGGATAATCAAACACACGTAAGTTCGAAAAAAGCGCGGAGAAATGAAGCCCACGAATGCGGCACGGAACCCTTTCCCGCAGGTCAAAACAAGGTAGGCAAATCAGAAATCAAATCATACATGGATCGCCCATGATCCAGCCTCGGCGATGACTCCCCCAAAATTGAGACATGAGAGGGGGAAGATTCGAGGACATCAGAATCATCCATCCATCTCTCTATAACACAAAGTTCTCCTCCGAAAACACATCATTAACCAGATTTTCAAATCCCACGCCTTGGATGGTGCTATGTACAATAACAAGTATGAAAGGAGGGGGGAAAAAACAAAAACAAAAAAGGACTTGGGCTCTTGAGAGACCCTCGCGGTTCCCCCGCTCTAGCGCCGGGAAACGCAGCAGAGAATGCCGGACTTTCCGAGGAACCAGAGAGACCCGATGAAACGGAAGAGGGACAAGCCGGCCGTGGTCCACAGGATGGCCGAGAAGTAGTTCGACGTGCGGACGGTGGAGGTGTTCTGTTCGTTAACGTTAGCGCAGCCCTGGGCAATCGATCGGGGAAGGAACATACCGTCAGACAGAATCGATCCACGCCGGTCGCAGTGATACACAGGGACAAAATGAGATTGCTGAAGATCCACAGCAGAATAAGGTTCGTTCGGAAGGCCTTGTACGAATCGTCCATGCTCTTTTCCTCCTTCTCATCGGGCTCCACAAACGGCGCCAGCGCACGCTTGACGGTGGCCTCGAATTGACTGTCAATATCGGCCTGGGGCTTATCCACTTCCTCGATGAAGTTGGATTTCCCTTCGTCCTTCTTCGTCTGCGCCTCTGGAAGGGCCTCGCTCTTATCTGAACCCTTGGTACCCCAGGACACGTCGTGCCAGTTACAGAAAGCGTAAACCATTAGCACGTTGATTGAGCTCGTCATACCGGCAAAGTAGGCCCAGGACGAGGTGAACATGTGCCAAGGATCCATATACAAGAAACTGGCCACGAAATAGACACCGTAGGTCGAAACCAACGCAATCACGACGATTCCGGCTCCGCTGGAACTGAAGAAGGACGACAAGAAAGCGCCGACACCTTTATCCATGCTGAAATCGAGGGTTCCTCCCATAAAGGCATTGGCCACAAGGTAGAAGGATAACACCAGGACGTAGGACTGGACAATAGCAAAGTACACGAACGAGAGGGTGTAGAATAGCCGGGATCTGTTGACGAGTTGATCGTTAGACAAAGATCAGCACATTGGACTTGCGAGACTTACCCTTTCGGTCGGTTTCCGAGAGCGAGGATGAATTGAAGCATAAGGAAGAAGACGTATCCATATTTCAAGAAGTTGTTCAGAATGGGCGATACATCGTTGCCGAAGGGCCACCCCTTGTACTTGTTCGATGAACCTGGCGTTCCGACAAGGTCCATGATAACCGAGGTAGTTAACCAGTACGAAGCTATGAAGGATTAGCATCCAAATCCCCTCAGATCGGTCTAAAATTCGCAGATACATACCGAGCGAAAACCAAGTCATCACGAGACCCACAACATTGTAGACCATTTGAATGTGGAGGAAAATCAGCCGAATGAAGTTGTGACCACTGCGATAGATACGACCAAAGTGCATAATGGCGTACAGACTGGCAGCGAAGGATCCGTTTAACCAACGACGGCGCTGAGAGATAAACTCCGGGGCTCCTTCGGGCACATCCGTCTCGCCCTTGGATGCCTTGACATAGGTCAAATGCCACTTGAAACCGGCCTTAGCCACCAACTCGAAACAAAGAATACGATCTTCAGCAAGGAACATGTTCTTCTTGAAAATATTCATGCCCTCAATACCCTTCTTTCCAAGCTGTTTTGAAAGCGTGTGGTCACCGTGGAAATATTGCTCCAGCGGGCGACCCATAATGGCACGGTACCGATATGCGGAGAACGCACCAGGCAACACACTAACGTATCCGAAGGCACTTTCCAGCGGTTTGTCGAGAATATTGGAGATCTTGTACTCAAAATTTTGCGCAGCGACCAAGGGGTTCATCAAGTTCTTCCAGCCCTTACCCAGCATAGCGTGAATCTCACCGCAAGAGCCACCAAGGTTCTTGTCGTTGTAGAAAGATTCCCACAGGGCGAGGAGGGATTTCTTGCCGGGTTTGGTACCCGCATCGATCAGGATCACGACCTCCGGGTTGAGAATACGACAGAAACCGTTGAAGAGCCAACGGTGGGAGTTGATCTTCTTACTGTTCTTCTGCTTCAAACAGAAGATCATTTGGACCGGGGGTAGATTGGTTGATTCATTTCCTTGCGGTCGGATCAATTGCTGGCTTGATGTGACGGAGAGCTGAGTTGTGTATTCGAACTAGACAGATGTTAGTCATGGGTTCTTATACACTTGACCCGGATGAAGGTTTTAACTTACGATGTGTGCAACAGTTTCACGGCCATCAACGGATCGCTTCATGATCCCATCTTGATAGATACCGATCGTGGCAAGCATATCAAGCGTGTTCTTGTCGCAAGGATCTATTCCATCGAAGACCAAGCAACAGACGATCTTCTGCCAGGCCGGACCACCTTTGTTCCAAAACTCTGATTTCTTCAGGTTGACAATGTCGCGGATGTTCTGCATGACACCGTGAAGGGTTCGTGCTGTGAGGACCTTATCTTCGTTGTAGTAGGTGATGGCAATGAGCAGCTCCGTGTGTCGATTGTACATCGCAGGCCGGAGGTTGTAGCCATTTCGAAGGGTGAATTCGTCGGGATCGCAAGTAGCGGCCGTGTCTACATCTTAATTAGCATTTCCGGCGGGATGGTCTATCTTCCCTTCTCACTCACATCGCAGATGAGAGAACTCCTCGGGAAATCCCTCCTCGGACTCTCGGTATTCGCGCTGGATGGCGTTCTGAATGGCACTTGGCACCGGGTAGTCGACACTCAGGACGGAGCCCTGGACCAGTTTGATCTTTCGTGTCGCATAACGGCGAAGGCCAGAGCCGGGAGCTTGACGCTGTCCCCAGGCCTCGGAGGGGGAGGCGGATTCTGACCCGGTGGTCATAGGGGATCGCATGCCGGATCGGCGATTAAAGCCGGGAGTGACCGACCGTGGTTCCTGGTATGCCCCATCGCCAGGGAAGATGGTTACGCCTGGGTCTTGGAGGGTGTAACGGCGGAGTGAATCGGTCGACGCATAAGGGTCTTCGATCGGAGCGTTGAAGGGACTCGGTTGGTTGCGGTATAGTAGGGACTGTTGGGACTCTGCGTGATCGTTCTTGTCTTCGTAGGCAAAGCTGTGTTGCTATCGGGAGGTTAACCCCTTCGATTCGACGACTGGCCTTGGGATACACGCTACTCACATCACGATGCATGTTGTGCAAATACAGACTGCTCTCACTCGCCCCCGGAGAGTGTGAAGGGTCTGAGGGAGGAGAATGGGGAGAAGTCGGTAGGGGGGGTACCCATTGTGTGCAGCTCCTCAACCGTTGGGTAGATGAAGAGATAGACTGGAACGGACTAAGGGAGAAAAACTAGAGTCCACCAAGGGACCGAAGGGCGTGAAAGACGTGAAAAGCGAAGGGATGCGAGGAAGCCCAAGCAAAGCGTGCACTAGCACACAAATTGTCGATGCCCTCCTGACAACGAACAATCAGGATGTTGAAATTGAAACGAGTTGACAGGTGGAACTAACAAGCGGAGGGAAAGTCAAGAGGGAAAAAAAGGATCCCAAGAAGGCTAGGCACCGGAGATCTGGGGGGTAGGGTGAAGTTCCAAAGATAGAATACACAAGCATAAGCCCGAACTAAAAAAAAAAAACTGAAAAGGTATTTTTGGGGGGTGAAAACAACAGGTGAGGGAGGTGATTGGCAGAATGAGGGAAAAGAGTGGGAACGGATGGCGAAAGGGGAGGAAGCGGACGCGGATGTTCGAGACAGAGTGGGCGCACTACGGAATCGCCATTCTATACCTTTCTATTGCATAAGACCTCAGTGCTGGTCGAGTGATCCTAGTTCTTGATAACTAATCCAACACTTAACTACCACTGCGCCACCTGCACTCCTGCAATAGTTGGTCTCCGATTCCTGGAGGTACGAGCAGATCATTGTCCCTGAGAAGACAAGATTCCGACCCAAACCCACGCATGAAACAGATTGGTCAGTCAACAACGAGGCGCCCCACTACTCCTTCCAAGACGTGGACAAGCCCAGTGTCAGTATGCACATGGGCTTCTAAGAGGATCAGAACCAAAGAATCCGAGCCCACGCTTGTTTCCCTCCCACCCGCAATCATGCGGTGGGAATCGGCGTATGCGCAAAGGACAAGAAAGACAGCCACGAAATGACAGCCACCCGGGGTCATGCCAAGGGCGCATGACGACGGGGGCTTGTTCGATCGGGCCAGGGGCGCATTGCACAGTGGAGCGACCTAATATCGGGCCCCACGCGAAGAATGTGATTGGGATCCCTCGGAGGTTCCGCGGCCGCGAGTGCGTCTGATCGCCTGGACAAACAGACACATCACGTGTATTCCTGCTGCAGGGACCGCGAGTTCACTCGGTGTTACAATATACATCAGCCATGTTGACCAGCTGATGCTTGACAAGCAGTCTTGTCATCTGACTCATAGTGCAACTACAAGCTTCTTACAGACTCAACATGTTGTATTTGGATTGCGACATCCGCCATCCCATGAGCTGCGACAGGATAAGCTTCATACCGGTGGTTTCTCACGGGCTTCAATGCGGAATGGCTGGGTTGCAATCTGCTAGGATCACTCAGGTAGTATTGGCTATATGATTCCACCCTAAGTGAAGCTTTTTGCTTTGTACCAGTGCAGGTACTCTACTTAGATTGTACCTACCGCCCCATGGTCGATGTCCAGCCGTGTGGGGGATCCTAATTACTTCAAAAGGGGACTCAAGACACAGAATAGTTATGCTTGATCGCTCTACATAATCGCGAATACCTCAGATCTGAGGTGGGGAATTTGACGGCTGGGCAGGCATGTGTACTATCCCGCGATATCTTCAGAGCAACTACTTGCACGAATGTCTGCTGGGAGGCATGCTGGGAGGCCAAGAACCTGACCAGGAGTATTCTCCGTGGAATGCGGGCGCTACCGCGCTTCTCCTGCTTGCTTTAGCCAAACATCTTCATAAAGATATACCCCCAACGATCCGGCTTTCGGCCCTTGAGCCGTGCGTACTATAACCTGAGAATAGTACGGGTGTCTGGAGGGGCTGTGGTTGACGCGGTTTAACTCGTCAGCCGCGGCGACTTCGCCCCGATACTGCAGGCTGTCTCGACTGTTTCTTACTGCGATTAGCTCATCGAGATCATGCTCACCTGCTCCAAGGCCATAGACACCACAGACAACATGTGCTACACACCGCGAATAGACCATAGACACGTCATTAGATAGATAATCTGTACGGATGATTACGCTGGCGGTGGAGCCATCGGCCCGACGCTCCCGACACAACTTTGTCTGCTGCGTCCATCTACTTTCTACGAAGGCTCAACTGGAAATGGCAGTCAGAATGTCTCGTGCAGGCCATTCCAGTAGACGATCAACGGTAGCGTATGTGTAGAGCACCAGATCCTCAAAACCCGAGTACTAAATCATACCTGCAGGTGCAATAGATGCCGGGCACGCAAGACGCGCTGCGCTGGCAAACCCCCTCTTCCCTGCGCAGCCTGTGTAGATGTTGGCCACGTATGTGTATACACCGAGGCGGAGAAGAGAATCTCGATCCCGGAAAGGTAGACCTATTAATCTTTTGCCATTGGGACCTTGGAACTTATCGAACCTCCACTAGTTACTACCGACATTTGCAGGCACAGGCCCGCGCCCCACCAGGTTAGCAGACATGAGAACGGTCACATCTCGTCCGCGTCCAACGGGTTGACAGAAAGATTACAGTGAGGAATCGGCCCTTGAGTACACCCATCGCTTCTACATCCAACTCCGATCCCCAGGAAGCCGAAGTGTCTGCAGAACGAGATGACTGGTGGTATAAAGACACCGAAAATCTATTCCTGAACCGATCAGGCGAGCGTCGTGCGTATAATAACCTGCACTGATTGAAAGCTTCCAGGTTTTCTCACGCAGACATGCAGACTTTGTGGGAGCGTCCTCGGCAACCCATCTAGCGAAGCGTCTGAACCCAACCTCCCAGAACCTTGCATGGGACGTGCGTCCTCTCTACGACGACCCCTCCTCCTTGCGGCGGCCAGTCGGGGGCCCGCTCCCCCAACTGCCCCCTTTCGAGTTCGCCAAGAAGCTATTCTATACTCAATACGCCTACATCGGCACGATCTTTTCTTTAATCCGACCGGCTCAGTTTGAAGAAAGATTAGACATTGTTTATCATCATCCCCCAGATTTCTCTCATCGGGAGTCATGTCTGATGTACTGTCAAATCCTTCTTGTCATCGCCTTTGGCTTGATGTATTCGGTGAACCAGTGGTCGGGTGATGATGGTCCTCCGGGATTCAAATATTTCAAGCATGCTTTGCGGTTTCTTCCCGATATCCATGAGGAGGGCTCGATATTTTTTGTAGAAGTCCTATGCTACGTTGCATATTACATGCAGAATTTAAATCGTCGGGATGCAGCGTTCCTTTATGTGAGTCGATCCTCCTGTTTCTCCTGGTTCTCTTGGACTTGAGTTTTCATATCTGACAGACTTCAGATTGGCCTCGCCCTTCGTATGGCTATATCTCTTGGTCTTCATCAAGAGGTTGTTGACGCGGATCTTAGCGAAGCGGATAGGAAGCGTAGGCGACAGGCTTGGTGGTCAGTCTATAGTCTAGACCGGTAAGAATTCCGCTCCAGTGCATGTAAAGAAGTCGAGATTGCTGAGGCTAGGAATCCTCGACAGCCTTTTATCTGTCAAATCAGGGAACCCGATCACGATTCATGATGAAGACATTGGAACCAAGTGGCCCGCAGAATTGGTATGTAACAAGGACATACCGAATTTGTACGACTCTCTGACTTTATCTCAAGGATGGCTCTACTCCTGAGCCCTGGCCGTCTGTCGTACTTGGTCATTATACGAAGTTATCTCGCATCCTAGGAAGGATTGGAGAAGGTGAGTACCTGTTGATCATAATTCGTTATCTCCCTCCCAAGTTTCTCAGGCTAAAGCGTTATTGTTAGAAATCTACCCGCAAAAAACCTCGCTCTGGGTCGAACCTTATAAGGTCTGTCCAGAGTATAACCAACGATCTGGCGAGCTGGCTACGGCAGATACCAGATCGCCTTCGCATTGACTTTACCACCCTCGATAACCCGATAAGTCGGGAGACCATATCGGTGAACTTGCATTTCTATTCTTGCCTCAACATGACCACTCGTCCCCTGGTATTCTATGTGATCCAGCGACGCCTTGAATCAGGCCGCCTAGGGGCTTCCATGGACGATTGGAGAGAAGGTCTGGCCACTAACACGGTCGCTGTGATTGACAGCTGCATTACAGCCGCTCGGGCTACGACTATGATAATGGATGCAGCACGCAGACAAAGTTTGATCGGTATGTGGGGCAGTACCCAGTAGACCGAATGAACTTCTGACTCTAGACGCCAACAGCTACCTATGGATATCTTGACGGCGAGTATATTTTTTCGGCGGCATTGCTCCTTGTCATGGTAAATGCCGCGTTTCCACCAACTGTAGTAAATGCCCGAGCGATGGAAAATGCCCTGGGGATTCTCCGCAGCATGGCTGATCAAGGCAATGCCTACTTGAGTTCTCGGCACTCCTTACTTCTTGAGCTGCAAGCGTCGATTGGGCCTAGGGTTCTGCGCAGCTATTCCAACGGGCTGAGTGAGCTCGCGGCCGAGGGATCCAGAAGCCTGGATGCCCAAGAAGTTGATACTAGTGTCGCAATCACCTCGGATGACTGGCAACAAGCGAGCAATTTACCCTCACTCCAGGATATCTCTTTTCGTTTTGACCCCAATGACGATTCGGCGATATGGGAGGGAGCTTTGAACCAGATTGATATTGACATGGATACGGACTGGATTGAAAGTAATTTGTACCGATAGACGGGTCACTTGACGCAGTGATCCACTACTAGTACATCGCATTATTGCATGGTACTAGTAAGCTTAGGTCTTCAAATTGCGGAATTTTATCCTTTCAGATCTAGGTCTCAGGTCACTTCAATGATAATTTCAGCACTGGTATCTCCCTACGCTTTTGGGAATTGATGAGAGGTGCGATGGAGGAAAAAGAAGTGTATTCATCGATATCCGGGGCAATGGCCCGTAATTCTGATTCTTGATTATTAGACCCGGTGGTAAGAAGAGGATAAGGAATATGAATTCCACACGTAGTACTAGCTGGCGTACAGCTTGCCATCCAAATCTGAATATAATCACAAAGCTACTAGCCCCGGTCTACGCCATTATGGATCTGCTGATCTCAGGCTGCTCCTTCAAGTTCCAATGTGAATCGGTTCGGGGCGACTGGTCGTCACGTGTCGGCCCGATGATAGCCCCCGTCGGTCCGACACGTGACCGCGTGCGATAGTCAAGAGATCCAATGCCCCTCAATACCAGCGTCGAATTACACTATATTAATCTGCATCTTCCTCGTCTTTCTGGTAATCAGACTATTTTGAATACCACAGCCCTTGAATTGGCCTATATTAGCACCACGCGAAGACTACCTCTGCATTATGGCTGAGCCCGGGAAGATCACTATCTCAATAGACAGAGGAGGCACATTCACGGATGTACATGCCATAGTTCCTGGCAGCCCAGACATTGTTCTGAAGTTGTTGTCCGTGGACCCCTCACATTATCAGGATGCCCCCACCGAGGGAATCCGTCGAATCCTTGAGCTTGTGACTGGAAAATCACATCCACGAGGGCAGCCACTGGAAATCGATCGCATTGGCTGTCTTAGAATGGGAACAACAGTGGCGACAAACGCCTTACTTGAGCGCAAGGGTGCTCGATCCGTTCTATTCACAACGAAGGGATTCCGAGATCTGCTGAAGATTGGGGACCAGTCCCGGCCTGATATCTTTGACTTATCCATGGCCCGCCCAGGAGTGCTACCGGAGAGCGTGGTAGAGGTCCGCGAAAGAATCGTCCCCTGTCACCCGTCTGCCGACTCCGAGTGTTTTAAAGAAGCTCGAATCGTGGAAGGCGTGACTGGAGAAAAGTTCCGGGTGATTGAGGAACTAGAGCATCGACCATGTGCGCGCAGAGCTCCAACGTCTGAAGGAGCAAGGCTACCATTCTCTATCTGTGGCCCTAGTTCATTCATTTGCTTATCCCGATCACGAGCAGAAGATTGGTGAGATCGCGGAACAGATGGGGTTCTCCGTCACACTATCATCAAAATTACAGCCCATGATTAAGATCGTGCCTCGGGGCATGTCAGCTGCTGCCGATGCCTACCTGACACCGGTAATCAAGACTTACATCGACTCCATTTCATCGAGTTTCGAAGGTGGGCTGGAGCGGCAAGACAAATGCCGCTTCGAGTTCATGCAATCCGACGGCGGCCTGGTCGATTTCCGGAAGTTCAGTGGCCTGAAAGCCATCCTGTCCGGCCCTGCTGCTGGAGTTGTGGGGTTCGCTGCGACCAGTTACGATCCTGTGGAGAAGACTCCCGTTATTGGGTTCGATATGGGTGGAACTTCGACGGATGTTTCTCGCTTTGATGGTCACTTGGAGCATGTCTTCGGGTCCCAGGTCGCCGGCGTTTTAATCCAATCGCCCCAACTTGATATCAATACGGTTGCTGCTGGCGGTGGCTCTATTCTCTCCTGGAGAAACGGTCTTTTTTACGTCGGACCCGAGTCGGCCAGTGCACACCCTGGTCCCGCATGCTACCGCAAAGGCGGGCCATTGACTGTCACCGATGCCAATCTTTTCTTGGGTCGCCTGCTTCCCGAGTACTTCCCTCATATCTTCGGACCTAACGAAGATCAACCGCTTGATACCGATGTCACGGCACAAAAGTTCCGTGAACTGACTTCTCAAATCAATGCGGAACGTCGCCAGCTCTCTCAGCCGGAGTATACCGCGGAAGAGGTAGCCCTTGGGTTTCTGAAAGTTGCAGACGAGTCGATGGCACGACCAATCCGCAATCTCACAGAAGCTCGAGGATTTGAGACGGCTTCACACCATCTGGCCTGTTTTGGTGGTGCTGGCGGACAGCATGCTTGTTCCGTGGCTGCATCCCTCGGAATATCGAGAATCATCATGCACAAATATTCTTCTGTGCTCTCAGCGTATGGTTTGGCTCTTGCAGAAGTTGTGAAGGAATCACAAGAGCCTATTTCTTCTGAATACAGCTCCTCTCACGCCTCTCTTCTGCAGCGGTTCGACGATATGTCTGGTGCAGCTACTGAGGAGATGCAGACCCAGGGATTCTCACCCGATCAGGTCCGCCATGAACAGTATCTCAATATGCGCTATGAAGGATCTGATACAAGCCTGATGATACTGCGACCGGAAGATTCGTCGGACTTCTTGGGTGCTTTCCGTGAACGTCATCGTCGCGAATTTAATTTCAACTCAGACCGTGCCGTTTTAGTGGATGATATCCGGGTGCGAACAGTCGCTTCTTCCAATATTCGCACTGAACGCAGCCCACTGGAGCAACTCCGGGAAATTTCGATCAAAGACGTTACTATATCTCCTGCCAGCATCACATCGGCTTATTTCGATGGGCACCCTGAGCGAATTGAGACCCCCGTGTTCCTGTTAGACCAGCTGGAAAAAGGTAGCCGGGTCACAGGACCAGCTGTGATCATTGACAAGACACAAACGATTGTTGTTTCCCCAGGTTCCGCAGCAAAACTTTTGGAAACATGCATCGTTATTGATTTGGAGGAGAAATCCTCGGCGGCTCCTTCGTTAACGCAAGTGTCAGAAGAAGTTGATCCTATCCGATTGAGTATCTTTGGTCATCGTTTCATGTCCATTGCGGAGCAAATGGGCCGAACACTACAGAAGACCTCTGTTTCAACCAATATCAAAGAGCGACTGGATTTCTCATGTGCTCTGTTCTCGCCAGACGGAGGGCTGGTGGCCAATGCTCCTCACGTGCCCGTCCATCTGGGTTCGATGCAATTCGCTGTGCGTTACCAGCATGAGAAATGGCTGGGCAAACTGAAGGATGGCGATGTTCTCGTGGCAAACCACCCTAGTTGTGGTGGTACCCATCTCCCCGATATCACGGTATGTCGTGAGATTGAGATATCTCATCTGCTATCTTTTACTAACAGGAGACATCTAGGTTATTACTCCCGTTTTTGACCGTCCTGGTGGTACTACAATCATGTTCTATGTCGCATCTCGAGGTCACCACGCCGATATCGGTGGCATCTTGCCCGGGTCTATGCCTCCCAAGTCCACAGAGCTCTGGCAAGAAGGTGCTGCGATCGAAGGAGAGAAGATTGTCAGCGATGGTGTCCTTGACGAAGCACGCCTTATTGAGCTACTGGTCACAAAGCCTTCTCAATACCCTGGCTGTGCGGGCGCGCGATGCATTAGCGACAACTTGTCAGACCTGAAAGCGCAAATTGCAGCTAATACTCGGGGAATCACCTTAATCCAGGCTTTATTTGCCGAGTATGGGGTTGAGACTGTTCAGAAATACATGTATGCCATTCAAGCCACGGCCGAAACTGCTGTCCGAAACCTCCTCAAGGATCTCTACCAGAAATTTGGTGGACAGCCATTGGAAGCTGTGGACTATATGGACGATGGCACGCCAATTCGTCTTAAGGTGACTATCGATGGCAGCACCGGCTCGGCTGTCTTTGATTTTGCCGGCACTGGCGCTGAGGTATACGGAAGCTGGAATGCACCCATCGCCATCACACACTCGGCTATTATTTATTGCTTGCGGTGTATGATCAACGCCGACGTCCCACTTAACCAGGGTTGTCTCGCTCCGATCGATATCCAGGTTCCTTCGCCGAGTATCCTGTCTCCAGCAAAAACTGCTGCGGTGGTCGGTGGCAACGTCGTCACCTCTCAGCGCATCACAGACACGGTGTTGAAGGCTTTCCGGGCCTGCGCGGCATCTCAGGGATGCTGCAACAATCTGACCTTTGGCACAGACCCCACGACAGACTCCGCGGGCAAAGTGATTAAGCCTGGATTTGGTTATTACGAAACAATCGCCGGAGGCAGCGGAGCGGGACCAACCTGGAAAGGCGAGTCTGGAGTGCACGTACATATGACCAACACTCGCATCACAGATCCCGAGATACTCGAAAAGCGCTATCCGACGTTGCTGCACCAATTCACTTTGCGCGAGGGCTCTGGTGGTCGAGGCAAGAACCCCGGTGGTGAGGGCGTCGTACGTGAGATCGAGTTCCTTGCACCTGTCAAATGTTCCATCCTTTCAGAACGACGGGTTCATAGACCGTATGGGTTGGAGGGAGGTGAAGATGCCGAGACAGGCCTGAATCAGTGGATTACCACAGATGGTGAGACGGGAGAACCGCGCCATATCAATATTGGCGGTAAAAACACTGTCGACGTCAAAACACATGACCGTGTGGTTATCATGACTGCGGGAGGAGGTGGCTGGGGAGCTGTCGAAGCATGAAAGTGATGGATTTTCGTTGGAGAGCTGACAGAACTAGTGGATTTCTTTCTAAATATGGCGCAAATGGTTTCAACTCAAGCACGCGCCTTAAGTTTTATGTGATCGAATTACCTACGAATTCTCCACACTTTAGTTATGAAGTTGTAACTCACAAGTGCAATATACTGTCTATTGGAATTCTAGAGTAAGAATAAGTGGGCTAAGGAAGAGTATGATAAAAGACCACCAGACAGGACAACGGATAACAATAGATTCCGAAAAGGAGAGGCTGCTTGGAATTTTCATTCCACCACGATGCGACCCTCGAGGCGAGGTAAGATGGCGGACGTCCAAGGAGGCGTGAGTTCCCCTTCCCCTTCTATCTCGTCCAGAACCGTGGGATGGAGGCCCGCATGGCGCATCCACTTTCGAACCACCCGGCGTGCCAGCTGAAGACGATATTCTTCTTCTGCCGAAGACCGAGCAGGCTGTGTCACATAGTTTGTTACAGCGCGAGGCGAGGTGAGAACATCTGGGTCGTCATCCGAATCGGAGTCCATGGCATCGCTGCTATGAATTCCATCTTCGGGATGCGGGGTGGGCCGCTCCACTTCTTTGGGAAAGCGACCGTAATAGTAAGATTGACGGCCAGTTCGACTGAGCGGTGGTCGATCAGTCAATGGATGCTTGGGAGTCTTCTCCGATATAGGAGATGCGAATGCAGAGGGTGGCTTCAGATATCCTTTGCCGTGCAGGCTGCGATGTACTGCGCCCCAGTGGCGATGGAGACTTGGACTCCAGTAACGCCATTTCCCTAGAACCTTTAGGCTCTGGAAATATTGGCGCAGAATCGTGCTTATCAAGACTCCATTCTCTTCGCAAACCAGCTCTTCTACCTCGCCGCCTTCAGATTTAACCAAGAGAGATGAAAACCCATCCTTTCCGCGAGCCATGTATCCACGCGTGGCAACGGTGTACATACGCTGTAAGTCGATGGGTTCGCCCCCGACGCGCGCAAATGTCACTCGTGATCCTGGTGGGCGGTCTGCTTTGAACCCGAATGCGATGTTCGATACCTGGGTAAAGCGGCCTTCAAGAGCCGGAAGGGTACTAACGCCGTTCTCTATGGCTTCCAGTAAAGCCTTGCCATTGAGCCGGAGAAGAACGACCGGGTCTTCAAACGGAAAGCAGTTTAAGAGATCTTTCAATCTTAATATTCCCGGTGAATAGATTTGATCACCACGGATAGTCCCTCCGGCCATCATAGCACAATCGGCATTATGATAGAAGCGCATGAGATCGCAGACGAAATTGCCGAGATTAGACTCACGTTGTCGAACAGTAGAAAACCGGCCATCCAACGCAATCGCTGTATACCCGATAGGTTTATCCAACTTGGATTTGAGACTGGACGTGAGACGGTCGACCATGCTCATCGCTCCAGGGTCCTCAGGGATCGAACGCACAACGTCGCGTCTCACGATGTTGAAGTCCCAGCCAGTTGATTTGTCCGACTTGCGGAAAGCTTCGATGTAGCTCAGCTGTTTGAAATCTGTTCCTGAGCGAAGGACATGGACGCCATTGATGACGTTATGAGCATAATAATGATCGTGTCCACCCAAGATGATATCGACCAGTCCCGGGGGGAGGTTTCTCGCAAGCTTTTCATCATTGGGCTCCCGTTGATGAGAAACTATAATAATAACCTCTGCCCCTTGCTCCCGGAGTTGCGGAGCCAGTTCCTTGGCCGTCTCGGTTGCTGATTTATAAATCAGATTGGGTGGGAGAGAATTGATAGTCCCGAGCCTGAACATCGTTAGCATGCGGAAGAGGGCCCGGGGTCTTCGCTTATACATTCAGCCTTACCACTCTCGCTCTCCAAGTCCAATGACTCCTATCTTGATGCCGTTGGAGGAGGTCAGCATGGTCGTCTTCCCGCAGTTGGCAATAGGAACGCCATCACCCAGAGCCGGGTCCAAGACATTCGCAAGAAGCCACGGGAAATGACATTGGCCGGCCAAATGCCGAAATTGCGCGACTCCAAAGTCAAGGTCATGATTCTGACTGTGTCAGCGGGATTGCCAAGTCCGGAATCCAATTTAGATTCGTGTACTCACTCCCACACAGGCGACGTCCGTCCCAATGGCGTTGAGAAACGGAACCATATGCCTTCCCTTGGTTACAGTGCTTTCAATACTAGGATTGAATGCATCACCCGAGAAGAACGTGAGGATTCCGGGCTGTCCGGCAAACTGCGCGTCGGACCGATAATAGTTCACAAGCGACTGGAATCGAGGTACCCCGCCAATGGGTTCCGCAGATCCAGGTCTAAAAAGCGGGGGGGTCAGCAGGGGAGAAAGGGACCGCACAGCTTCACCGAAAAGAGCTCATACTCTACATGATAGACGTCATTGTAATGGATCAAGCGCAGGTCCGGATGGCCGGTTTGGCCCGAGGCATATACGCCCGAAAGGCCGGCGGATTCGAGTGTTGACATGGAATGCGGAGGCGGGGTTACTCTGATACGAAAAGACGAAAGAGGGTGGGGGTTCAATTGAAGAATGAGTGTACAGAAGAGGAGACGCGGAGGATAGGAAATAGGAGAAAGAATCAACCCAAAGCTCCATACTGGAGGGAATTAATGGAACAACAATTGGATTCGGTCGATCCGGGGCTAATCTAGGTGCCCTAAATTCCAGGCACCCAGGCACAAATACACACAGCCGCAATGCCACAATTCAGGTGTCTACGTTTCCATCCCCAGAAAGGCCGAACGACTCACCGCCACTTAGTCTACAGATTTGAAAAGCGTCTCGTCGATCAAGACAGGGGGGTGGGAGATGGATCATATTGTCCTTGCTAACCCATTCATATCGGACCAAAGAGAAGTTAACCACAGCTATGGCAATCCAATGGAAATCGAAAGTAAACACCGAGCGCCATGCAAAGAGGTATACTCGCAAAAGAGCGAAAAGAAACAAAACAGGCATTGCAAGTCATGAAGGGGGAAAAGGGTGGTCATGATTCTCATAGTTTTTGCTCTGCCAGCGTCCACCGCCGACGCGAGCCAACCTCGCGGTCCTCCAGAGACTGGGCACTTCCCCAGAGTCCTCGTTGAGATTTTGTTCTCTGAGGTTGTTTATTTTTCCAACCAGTGGTATTTACCATATTCACCACAGGCTCTGGGCATGGCGGATCTGGGCTGGTCGGTTGGCTGTCCCTAAAGTTGGGCACCAAGTTATCTGCCTCATCATCTTCGTCAGTAGGGGAGGAGATGGATCCCCAAAGACCGGATGCACCTGAGGGAGATCCTGACGTGACTGGTCGCTGCATGAATGCCCATCCTAGCGCTGGGGCTGGGCCCAGTGAAAGGGAGCTGTGAATGGCGGCCGAGCGGGAGCCAACACGACGATACGTCGAGACCGAAGGCTGGGAGGAAGGCTTGGGGGCTGACGGGGAAGCAAGGGACGTGAGTTGAGACGGGTTAACCCCCGCTCGCAGATGGTCAGTGGATGCGATCAGTGGCATTGCATATTTTCGTGATGTCGAGGTATTGTTTTGCTGGTAGGTAGGATCACTCATTTGTTCCGGACCCTCTTCTACCCCAGGCAAACGGTCTCGAGGCACAGACAAAGTAAGAGATGCAGTCCCAATGTCCAACAAAAGCGGGCGGCCTGCGAGAGAGTTGATCAGAGCGTTGCAGTCTGCGCCATGGGTGACGATAATGAGAACGGTTTGTACGGGTCGACTGTCGTTTTCTGTACTATCCGATCCTGGTACCACGCAGGATGAGCGGGAGTTAGATGGTTTCTCGTACCATTCCAACATTTTTTCAAATCCATCGTTGACACGTTCTTGCATTATGCTCCACTCTTCGCCAAATTCACCCCCATTCCCCCAGGTCGGAGTTCGCATACTATCCCATTGGTAGTCAATCTTGGTGCAGGCATCTCTCGCGTGTGCCACATATCCGGCAGGGATTGGATCCGATGCAGAGACGGCATAGCCCGGTGTCGGGGGCACATACGAGGCGGGGGCTAAGGATTCGAGGTTGGTATCGAGCTGGCTCAACGCCTGTGGGGCTTTACTCGCGGGGAGGGGGCTTTGCGGCGTATTCACAGTGCTCGCCCGCTGGCGCTGGAAGTAATGCGTCGGGGGTGGAGACTGGCTCTGCGCCGCAATTTCTGTCTCGTTCCTGGGGGATGTTGGGTGGGATGGACTCCCCCAACCGCCGGGGAAGTGACCAGATGAAGACCTCGCGCCTTCTCGCACGGTGGGGGTCGTCATGATTTCATCACGACGCAAAAGCTCAGATTTCGCCGAGGCCACCATTCGATCTGACGCAGGCGGGGGGATAATTTGATCAAAATAGTCGGGTGACAGCCACTCGCCCAGAAACGCGTCTACCCGGAGTAACGTGCGCGGGCCCAAATTCCCTGCAGAGTTTGTTGAACGGCCCGTCGAGCTCACTTTATCCACATCATTATCAGCGCGTGCTTGTTTGAGCCCCGCGCTCAGGGCGATAGCGGTTTGGACGCATCGAAGGTAGGGAGAGGTATGGACGATCACATTGTAACGAGGAGATGAATCCGAAGTCAGGGAATCTTGGGGGTCTTCGGTGGCTTTTCCGGCTGAAGGTTTATTGCTCCCAGCTTGCGGTGGATTCCCTGTGAACTCTGAGGCCTCCAACAGGCTAGCAATGCGAACCCCCAGGGCGCGAGACTGAATCCAGCCTCCATATGACAAGGGAGGATCGTAGGGGGTCGGGGAGGTCAGGTGCCAGTTCTTGTCGGCTGCGTCAAGACGAGCGCCATGTCTGTTCAGGTCAGAGGGGGGGCTCTTCTTCTTTAACGGATCCACGTACCTGGCTATGAAGATAATGGGTGGAGCCTCCGCCATGGAGACACGTTCCAAGAGAAAGAAAGGGTGTTATGGGGAGATTGAGCACAGCCACCAGACTCGAAGCCCCTGGTGAAAAGCTCAGAAAAGCATACTGGGCATCGGGGTCACCCCGAGTTACGAGTGAAGGACTTTGTCGCCAAAAAAGAAAGACAAGAAAAGAAAAAAAAAAAGGGACCAGTGCTCGGCCGCGGCAGCTGACGACGCTTAGGTAAGGATACCCCTCCTTTGACATGTGGGATGCGTCAGGATGAGAAGCTGCACAGGCATTGCAAGACTTTAAAAAAAGAAAAAAAAAAAGGAAAATCCAAAAGGACCTGTTGTGGAACGATTCTGCCCTGGAGGACTGCCAGGTGCTGCGAAGAACATATGCTATTTGTAGAGGATGATCCCTCGATGATGCAAGCTGACAGCTTTATCGCGATAAGAAAGTTTGGATTATCTGATTTTATGATCTGATTTGCTTTTGCTGTCTTACGGTGATAACATAATAAGGTTTATTTAGGAGCCAATACTCGCAACTTGCTTCACTTGAGAAAGAACAGTAGCTAGCTGAAATAACGAATCCTCTGCATCCATCGATCGCCCCCACCGGGCACTGTTGTGACAGCCACACAGGCCACGCTACTCCGCTCGTAGATCTACCGCTTCTATCCGACCCTGGCAGCCTTTCGACAAGCCGCATCAGGTATAGCTAGGGTAATATTTCATTCTGGGATTTTTTTATGGAAACTCTACCCGATTTTCTTCCATGGCACAGCTATTATTGGCATACGCTAGGCGCACTGGCGCATTTGATTCCCAGTGAGTCAGAGAGGATTCGAGGATTTGGAGTTCTTCACGGGTTTGGTCAGCAACTTTTGGAGCGCGCGGATTTATAATCCAAGTCGCCCGATCCATGGATCCATGAATATTAAACGTTTAGTAGATACTGAAATTTGATCTAAACTTGAAGGATCTACTACTTGTGCATGTCTCATTTACGCTCCGTTATGGCCGCCCAGACCAAACCTAAGGCTGTGTTCTTTGACTTCATGGGCACTTGCCTGGACTGGCATTCCAGCGCTGTTCAGTCCGCCCCCGCCTCTATTCCAAAAGATGAGGCGTCCAAACTCGCCCTGCAATGGCGCCAGCAGTATTTTGACGAAAACGAAGAGCGGATTCGCCTAAATCTCGCCCCCGAGGACATCGACCAAACTCTCTCCCGGGCGATGGACAAGGTCTTGGCGCAAAAGTTCCCGCATTTACAATCTCATCTGGGCCAAGCGGAGAAAAGCCATATGATTGTGAAATGGCATTCCCAGTTCGCATGGCCCGAGGTGCCCCAGGCGATCCAATCAATCAGAGAGGATCTGGGGCTTGAGGTGTTCGTTCACGCCAATGGAACTACGCGTCTCCAGTTGGACCTGATACGCTCGTCCGGGCTGAAGTTCAATATGCTATTCTCAAGTCAATTACTCGGGCTCTACAAACCGAGCTTAGACGCATATCGTAAAGCACTGGAGTTCATCCAGAGAAAGCCCGAAGAGGTAGTGATGGTGGCTGCGCACGCATATGACCTACGGGGCGCAAAACAAGTTGGGATGAAGACCATTTACATCCACCGCTGGACGGACGATATCAATGAAGACATGGATAAGGTACGGGGTGAGTTTGATGTTTTCTTGGAGAATATGGAAGATCTACCCCGGGTTATTGCGAATCTGTAGAGATCCGGCATGCTAGCCAAATAGTATATACTAGTGTAAGATTGAGATCTTCCTTCCCGCTGATCTGCTATTTTGTTGACTAGCATTCGTCGGAAATCCGATCAGCTGAATTGTTCAAATTGTTTTGATCATGTCAAGTGAGGACGTCATGCAGGAGTGGTTCGCCCCTTGGATGTCCCTCGGTGCTCATCGCCACCATCAAGGGCTGAGGTTATACAGTTGCCTTTACCCCTAGAACAGCAACTCATGCTCGTGATTTCCCTTTACAGGGCCTGTCTATGGTAGCTTGCGTTATAAGGAGACAGGTTTTTGGTTTGCTCTTCCTTTCAAGTTATACTAGGAACTTTCTGCACTCTACATATTCTCTTTCCTCCAGCCCACTGTGATGACACTCATCCTAGACTACTAGCACTGATATGACATGATCACCCCGGAGCTTTGGAGCCCGATTTAGTCCTTCTTCTGTCTCAATCGTCTACCTGGACCTCTATATCACGTTTCCTTGGCGTATGCTAATGGAAGCACGCTGTCATTTGTGAGTCCACGTTTACCCGTCATCGGGTCAAGGGATATATTCGAGTTGCAAAGAATGTCGATGCCGTCAAGGATAAAATCACACGGCCCCTACATGCCTTTGACATCATTTAATCCTCTTAAATTGCGTTTCAAGTTCAAGACGTCTGGGGATACAGGCAATATTGTCTCTTCCTTACGAAAGGTTGATGTAATACCTACGGGTGAATATCTAGGATCACTATTTCGACAGAGACTATATTAACCCTGAAGTTTCCGCGGATTTCAGCGTGGAATCAGCGACCACCAAGAAACCAAAGATTCCAATTATCTCCGAAAGCAAGATTATCATTCAGAACTGTGATCCACCATGCGCGTCGAATACATCTGGGCTTTGCTCATTGCAACCACTGTTGCCATGCCTCGAGGCACAATTCAGCAGGTAAGATTATCCACTCCGAATCACGGCCCAAAGTCAAATATTCGAGGACTGACTCAAAATTTCAGCATCAGCAGGTACGTAGAGTGCTCCAGGAATAAAAGTAGTTGGTAGCTTACCCCATCACATCAGATTGATCACCCTGCGTCCTCTTCGACGTCGGCGCTGATGAAGAGATCAACTCCTACCTCCAACGCGACACCCACTTCTTCCGCATCCATGGGAGCTCCGAGTTCCACTGGTATGAAACCCGGGAAAATCATGATGCCGTAAGACTGATCTCCAAGTGGAAAATGGATTGGGGTCTGCGGCTTACAAGCAAGCAGGTTTTGACCGACTAGTATGAGTTTACGACACCAAGAGATATCTCCTGTTTAGTGTGAATTTTTGAGAAGAAGCAGACGAAGGAGCTGACTGTGTACCTACATTGCTTGAAGTTCAAATTGCAAGTCTTAATCTTTTTGAATATGCTTTAAACCGTATTATTTCATCCTGTTGCCTGAGTTATGACCCTGTGTCCCCAGAAAGAGACGCCCATGTGTTCGAAACATTCAGACAACTTCAACATGTTCGTCCTGAGCCGTCTTTTTCGGGATAGTGGGAAGTGTTTGAGCTTGTACGGAGAGTCGAGTATGAGGAGTGCCACGATGTCCGGTCCAAACCGCGAGTTCTCGTACAAAGCGGAGCGGCCGTTTAACTGCGGGCCTCTCGGAAGGAGGGAAAAGATTGGTTGACCTCAAAAGAGGGGAGAGAGACCGGCCCTCTGCTGAGACCTGCTAGGTAATGATATGTGGGTTTTGCATCTGTTCTTTTCCGAGGCAAGGAATGCACTGGTAGGATAGGGCCCGCTGGACCGAGAGCGGTTCACTTTATTGAAACAGTATACTACAGAGGGTCCCTAGTACTCGATTTTGAATCGGGGCAGCAATCGTATCAAATGTGGCTTCGTCACGCGTCACGCATATCCGAGTCCTGGTACCTTAAGGAGCGGTGCCAGTGACTCATGCCATGCCGACGGGCTTTGCGCCAGAAAGATTCACAACGCGACCCCCTCCACCTCCGCCGCCCCCCCGCCGTGGGGCGCCATTCGCAGAAGGTGGAGGAGGCTGAACCCATCCAGGAACGCGATCGTCACCACTCTCGTGTTCCAGAATAGTTTGCGATACATTCGGGAACCCAGTTGGCAATGCTCCTCGCAGTCGAGCTCCAGGAATAGCAAACCGGGGGTTGCTGTGGGTCAGGTATCCACGCAGCAGCCTTGGAACAGCAACGATGCCATGATCGATTCCAACTCTTGCATCAACAGAGTAGGTTGCATCTCTTTAAGCCCATATTCCGCGTACGGGTTCATTTGGTACCCGGTATAGTCCAAGTCTGGGACAGCTTCGATCAGGACATTTTCCGGATTCTGGTGCCATCCACCCTCCTCGTCGAAAACCCCGGCGGGTGCGAGATAGTCGCCAAATTCTTTCAGCATTCCAAAGTCTGGGCCAGACGGGTTGATGGATCGTGCAGTATCCAGGCCTGCGAACTCGGGGTGGAAGGGTAAAGAAATGGTCTGTGACCCGAAAAAGATCGAATCGGGATGTGGTTCGCCGTATCCATTGGGGGTTGAGTCCTTGTGTCGAGTCTGAAGCCACCGGGTGGCCACCGCTAGTTTCTCAAGATACAGATATGGAGGAGGCCCACGCTGCGCCTGTGCTTGTGGATCCCCGTGAAACCCTGCGTGAACGAAGACTTTGCGGCAAAGCGACCGCCAGACTAGAATCTCGCACCGATTTCGAAGAGTGAGTAGGAGGCCTTTCTTTGCAAACCATTGTGCGGTAGGTGAGCTAAAGTCAAGATGCTTCCGAAATTCCAGATAGTCCCCGCGCACAATCAATCGACATAATGGCTCAAAGTGCTGCCCTAAGCCTTCTGCCTCGGGCTTATGCAGAAGACGTTGGGAAGGAAAGCGGCCCATCACGATATTGCAAGGAATAAGATATGTGAGGATCAACCTTTTCTGGCTGAAAGCTTGTCGGTGACATTGGTTGTATGAAGCTTGTAGAGCAATCTTTGCGAAGTAAAACATATTGTTCGCAAACAGATAGCGGCCCAGGTAGTAGAGATAGGTGACTCGTTGGGAAGCCGGGAAATATTCTAAAGGTGGTGATTGAGCGCTGATACTGGCGAACATTTGTTCGGCGTTGCGCAATTTCCCGCACTGGACCAGGAGTTAGAACATTGAGTCTGAATCACAATGGAGGAAAAGATCATACCTGGAACAGAAGCTTGAGGCATAGGTTCGCCATCAGATAAATGCCCTTTCGCTTGCCCTCCGGTCTGGCATTTCGGCCTGTAGCGCCGCTGCGATCGGTCAAGCATTTGATGAAAGCCTCGCGGACAACATTGGCGGATTTCTCTACCAAAGTGACCTTTTCCATGCTAGCATCGCTGTCCGTACCCTCCTTCCGCAGCACATGGGCGATTAGTTCGGGTCGACGGTCTAATCCCATGGCCAATCTTGCCAGCACTTTAGAGAGGTAAAGGACGGTTTCTAGGACGACAACACCATTCTGGCTGTCACCCAGGGCGAGAACACATTGACTGGAAGCAAAATTGACATGTTAGAGGTGCCATTGCGAAGCGGAGCTTATTTGAATGGGGCGTGGGGTGCGAAGACTCACTTCAACAAGGCTCTGAGAAGGTTGTATGTCTCGAGTAAATTGTCGACATTCACATCGCGCAGAAAGGTAAAATACATCCTCATGAATGAGGGAAAGGCTGTCCATGACGAACCACCCTTGGTTTTGGGGACCAACGGCTCACATCGTCGCTGCAGTTCAGTGTCACTCTGTGGACCGGGCGGGTATTGCTGGTGCAATTCTTGAATCATGCGCTCATAGGTCGGAGGCAATGGCGGCTCAATCTGTAAGAAGTCTTGTAGCTGCGCGCCATTGCGGTCTCGAACCAGATTAGCGATGCTGGCAAGGAATTCGTCCAAGATGGGGGTTTGTCCTGTCATACTGATGGACACAGGGGAAAGGACAATGGCGCCCGACGGTGCGCGTAAGAAACAGACGACTATGTCAAATTTGCAGAAGAAGCGAACATGATCACCGCTCCTGAAAGAATCCACCCATTGAATACACCCCTCGTGATCTCGGAAAAAGGCTGACGCGCGGAGTCGCGGAGTGAATGTTGCCCAGACAAGCTTCGGGCAGAACCCGAAGCGGTACTCACCGCCCACGCCTTGGGGTTTGAAGCTCTAATCTTACACAGAGCTTGCACTCGGGCCCTTATCAGTCATTTTTAGGGTTATCTCGACAAATACGGAGTCCTCCGGAGAGGATGCAATGTCGAAAGTGGGTATCTAATTGGTGAAGTCATAGTTACACCCCGCATGATGTGCTGGACTTCGACGCCCTGCGACTACACTCAGCGGCAAGCCTACGGACTGTTACAGCGTACTAATCTTTGAAGCAGATAGGAGAGCCCAAGGTCTGAGATTGGCTGGCGGACTTCTACCTTGAGACGCCGTGCATATTGGACAAGTCGGGTTGATTGCTAACGGGGAGGCTCCACTTAAGTCCACTCTGTCCACTTGCAGGGCCAAGTTTCATGTATTCTATCTATAGAAGCCCAGGCAAATTAATTAACTCTACAGCACACCATGCAGCTGTCACATGAAATCTCGAGGGCATTGAGCTATTAGCTGTCCCTTGTTAACTTTGCAGATCTTGCAATTTGCTGCGAAGCTAGTCCACTAGAGCTCGGATTGAGCTCAAGCTCCGACTGGTAATCTTACTGCTCGCGACACAGTACAAGCTCGCGGGGTTCCACGATTGTACCGAGATATCATAGGCAATGGGGCCGAGCATCTAAGCAGTAAAACGAGGTATAGGGTCAACAAGACAAGGAAATGATAAGGGTGTCAACAGCAAAACCTGTAGTTACTTGGTGCGCCATCGGATGATGTCATGGCGCTGTCAAGCCAAGGATCCAAAGCTTCCCGCCTGGCAAACCGAGAACTTGCTTGATTGAACACACCACGATCACATGGAAAACACCTCTTCAGCACGAATGGTGTTCTGCTCCACTGGTCACGTCACTAACCCAGCATTTTCTTCTATAAAGTCAATGGCAATTCTCGAGTGATTATTTCTTCCACATTCCTTCTAGGCTACTTCGAGGCTTCTTTCTCGGCGTCATTTGAACGCCATGGCATCAGCCAGATCATCTATCGCTGCCTTCATTCGGCATCCAATTGTCCAAACCTTCACCCTTTTCTATCTGTTCATCCAGGAGGTGCTTCGGTATATCTTCTCCCCGGTGCCACCCCCGCCATCGGCAAACCGCCCGGATAAGCCCAAGAAGAGGGTTGCTGTCATCGGTGCCGGAGTGACCGGTATCTCGTCGGCCGCCCATTGTGTCGGTCATGGCTTTGATGTGCAGGTTTTTGAGTCTCGGTCTCGAGAGAAGGGACTTGGAGGCATCTGGAGTGTATGTGAATGCGACCAATTACTTCCGCTCAAGCGTAACGCCCTTGCTAATCGGCCTCTAGAGAGTCAACTCCACCTCCGCCCTTCAGGTGCACAGCTTGATGTACCGATTTCACCCCTCTGTTCACTACGATAGTGCCTATCCTAGCCAGCAGCAGATCAAAGAACAGGTTCTTGCCCTCTGGAAACGATACGATCTCGAAGATCGCACGGTATTCGACACCCCAGTGACATCTGTCAAAAAGACGAAGGATGGGAAATGGATCATCAATGATGACGAAGGCCAGTACGGCCGTTTTGACGGTATCCTCGCTGCAGTGGGGGTTTGCGGAGATCCGAAGATGCCCACATTGCCCGACCAAGAAAGGTTCAAGGGGCAAATCTATCATTCCTCCAACCTCGACGGCAAGGATGCTAAAGGGAAGAAAGTACTCATCGTTGGTGGTGGTGCCAGCGCTATTGAAGCGTTGGAGTTTGCTGTCAAGTCTGGTGCAGCCGAGATCGATGTCCTGGCACGTTCCGAGAAGTGGGTAATCCCGCGAAATATCCTGGTTCAATCTTTACTGGCGTTCAATATTTTCGGTCAAGAGACGCCGCTCTCGTGGATTCCAGAGTGGCTTTTGCGCAAGTTCTTCTATCGCGACCTACAGGACATTTCCCCGGCTGGTGACGGTATCTTTACCGAAACTCCTATGGCCAACTCTGACCTCTTTCACCAAATTCGCAAGGGCAAAGCTCATTGGCTTCGAGGCGACATCGTCTCGGTCGAGGAGGAGGGCATCCTGTTCAACCATCGGGACCAGGGTGTTCCCAAGGGAGGACCTGGTCGAGAGGGACTAGTGAAGGGAGACATCATTGTCATGGCGACCGGATTCAAGCGCCCCTCTTTGACTTTCCTGCCGGACGAAGTGTTCGAAGAGCCTTATGGGCCTCCCAACTGGTACTTACAGGTCTTCCCCCCCAAGTATCCCGACATCTGCGCCAACAACAGCACTTATGTTGATGCGATCGGAACTGTGGGCAACATGCACATTGGAATTTACACGCGCTTCCTCATCATGTTTCTTTCTGACCCATTAACCCGCCCCACTGAGGATCGGATGAAGACTTGGATCGATTTTACTCGGTTTATGAAGCGGTTTTCGCCTACCAAAGCTTTTAACTTCTTCACGTATGCTGAGCTCATTTACTGGTATGTGTTCTGCTTAGCGGTCAACCCATTCCGGTGGAAGTGGGCTCTCTTTGTCTTCTTCGGAATTGGGCGCTCTATACCTTTGGCGTTTGTTGAGCAGGAGGCCAAGTTCCGGCAGCAGTTGCGCAAGGAGCGAAAAAAACAATTAAGTTTGGGTGGGAAATATGGAACGGCCAAGTGCCGAGACTCACAATTAGCATCGCAATAGAATGACATTCAGAAGATCATTCGTCCTCTCGGTACGAGTTGAAACACAGAATAATTCCAAGTACTGCGTTATTGATATCTTTGCAAATAGAAACGACCAGAATAAGATAATAAGAAACGATCCCATGCTCAACTCTGCTTAATCTCATGAATCTTCAGGTCCATATCGTAAGCCACATTTCCTTTCGCAATCCAGCCAGGGAGATACCCATTCTCCTCTAGCCATAACATGGGCCAGAGGAAGAAAGAACCCAGAACACAGAACAGGGTCGCGATCAGATGCCAGCCCAGTACAAGCCAATAGCCAACGTGCGGGAGGATAAATTTCACAAACTCCGAGGTCTGATAGAGGTCTTCCTGCTGCGTAATGTAGTACAGAGTATCGACCCCGTCAGTGCGATTCTCCCCCTGGCGGGTTTGGTGGTAAGATCCAGGACCGTGGTCAGAGTCACCGGTGCGACATGGAATGGCACAACCCAAATGGAAAATATTTGAGACATGTGGACGTATAGCTTCAGGTTTTTTTCGTCAAAAGCTTTGGTTGCGGTTAGAAAGTTGGTTGATTCTGAAGGGCACTGGAGGGGATCTCACCCGTCGAATGTATTTCTATCTCGACTCGTGGTGACATGCATTTGTACCACTGGAAAATCTTGGTGATGTACCAGCGGCTTCCTTCGAAATGGGGCACACGGCAGAAAGGGTGGATGAATGCTGCATCCTGTGTGAAAAAGCGCTCAATCGCCTTTTCTTGCAAGGAAGGGACGCCCTGCGTTAGGAGACGGATAGCGGCGGGGATCTCGAGGACTAGGGTAGTCTCAATTAGGTGCTGGAGGTCAAAGGAACGGGCAATTGCTTACCTGGATTCTCCATGGTATGTAGTAATAAGTTTTAAGGGGCAGATAGGGGGGAGAATGGGTTGAAACGAAATAAAAAGCCATGATACCGACCTGGAAGCTGTCAAACTACCAGTTGATTTCCTGCTTCAAGCGATGACATCACGGACATGTGAAGAGGGGAGTGTGGCTTACACCACTGAAATTATTGAATAGTTATTTACTATTTTTGAACATTCTGGCATTATTATACTTCAGCGTGGACCAGGATCTTCCTTATGCGTTATTTCTCGCCTCGCTTTTTTTTTTCGGTGTTGGGCTCTCTTCGTGCAAATCCTACTACAGTATTATACACCATCATACCCTCAGATGTCCGGAACGCTCTACACCAGCCCGTCTGCTGCCGGATCGCAGAAACCATCCATCCGTGGTATTTCGTAGTATGTCGTAGACAGCTTCAGCAAATGAGTCCGTGAAGTTTTCCGTCATCGCCGCCTAGGTGCTTCGTGCTGGTACTAGTATACAATTGAATAAAGTGCCGACCCATTCCTCGCCCTAGAACTCGTGCAGTTATCACTACGAGTATACGAGTGCGCAGTATCCAATTTTTGACCAATTCAGGCGCGGGGAACCGTATTGATGCGGCGCACTATATAGCTCGATCATCGTTTCCAGCTCTCTACCTTCCGTCGCCGCTTGTCGAAAATTTCACCCATGCCTACACCATCGCTGCGTTGTCCGTCCTCATTCTTTCTCTTTCTGCTCTTTTCCAGTGCGACCCCGCCGGTTCGCCCTCGGCGAGTCAGCTGTTCAATACGGTCGGCACCTTCGCCTAAGGAGCGCCACTCATCACCTGCATAGGTGCTTTGAGGCCCGCGACCGCGGCGCTTAGCCATTTCCTTCTTTGTCTCTTTGGGGAGTCGGACGAAGTTGGTTTCCTCGTACTTGGCTCGTTCGGCCTCGTACTCTCGATCCTTCTTGGTTTTCGTCTCTCGGCCACCTGCCACGATAGTGCTACCGATGCTGGGCTCTGCCATCGGAGCAGAGGACATCTCAGCACTCACGAACTCGTCAATCACATTAGAGCGACGGGGCCGGCGATCGACACGCTCTCTACTATCTGTTGTGGGTAGAGCCGTAGGCATAATCCGTGGTGGGCGGTAGATGCCATCGCTGGGCTCGGTTTTGCTGGATAGAGATTTGGCTTGTTTAGGCTCGACCTTGGTTTTCGAGAATGCCGAGACATTAGGGCGATAGGCCATTTCGTCCAGATCTTCTTCGTCTTCGTCACTACCACTTTCGTCATCCTCATCCTCCTCCGAGGACGCATCTTCATCGCCCGAGTCCTTGGCTTTGCTGGCCTTGGACTTCTTCGACTGAGCCAGGCGCTCCATCCGTTCACCGTCTTCGGCTGCCTTGATGACTTTGTCGATTTGGTACTTGAGACGAGTCTCGAGGGGACGCACACCCCGATCGAGGAAGACGCGGAGTTCGGTCAACTTTTTCACTGCTCCATCCTTCAGGTTTTCGTCGACAGCATCCTCTGGTGACGTTTCCTTGCGAGATGACTTTTGTCGGAGCTGAAATATGATTAAAAAGACGAGATTTTGGAGGTATGAAAGGAGGATTTCGTTCTTCGTATCGAGGAGGGAGATGCCGTCCTGCGGCGGTTGAATGGAGACCTCGGAGGGCGCATTTTTAGAGGAGGCCGGTAGAGATGAAGCGGCGCTGGTCAGACATGACGTGAGGCTCTCAAGAAGAGTCGCCAGACTCTTCGGGTGTGACTCTGCCATGTGTGGGATGGGGATAATTGGAGAGAGCGATCTGGTCAGCGAGAATTTTCCCTCTTTCCTTTTCCCGTTTTTCTTCTTTTTTTTTTTGGCTATCTTATCGGTCAGGAACGGATCACGTGATAGGCAGCCCTTGCCAGCGTCATGGACGGTTAGATTCAGCCGCGTGTTCTTTCTGGATTCCAGTCTTTGACCCTCCCCAACAGGCACATTGGACGCCCAGAATTCCCTGTGCTTCCAATTGTATATGTCCTGGATGTTCTCAATTCCTTCTCTCTCCCTCCTCGACCTCTTCCCCTTGAGAAATCAGAAACTCTATCCGGAGGCGCATGCGGGTCTAAGCAACTAGGAAGCCCGGTATCTCTTCACGCCATGCGGTTTACCGACCGAGCCACCCTCTTAGCCTCGGCCGTTATATCAATATCCTCCTTCTCCACAGCATTCTACCTTCCCGGTGTCGCCCCATCTTCCTACGACGAGGGCCAAAATGTCCCGCTTTTCGTGAATCATCTCACTCCCAGTTTCTCGCGTGATGATCAACTCCACTCCGTCTTTGCCTATGACTACTATCACCCCCATTTTCAGTTCTGCCAGCCGGAAGGTGGCCCGAAAGATATCCGGGAGTCGCTGGGGAGTATCTTATTCGGAGATCGAATCCAGACCTCTGCGTTAGAGCTTCATATGGCCCAAAACCAGTCATGTAAGGCGATTTGCAAAGAGGCAACCTTTGACGCTCGAAGCGCAATCTTCACCAATCGGCGGATCTCGCAAGGGTATAATATTAATTGGCTGGTCGACGGGCTGCCTGCAGCGCAGTTGAATCGGGATTCGAACACTCAGACCGAATTCTACAGCCCTGGATTTGCGCTAGGGTATTTGGATGACGGTGGACGCGCCATCTTGAACAACCACTTCGACATTCTGATTGACTATCATCGAGTGGGGCATGGCGCCAAGGAGAAGCTTCGGGTGGTCGGGGTGCTTGTCCAGCCCGAATCGCGAGCGGATGCTCGCCTCCTGGAGGATGGAACGACCGAGTGCGGCACTCGGGGCAATGCTGTGTTACTGAACGAGGAGGGTAGCACGGCCGTCACTTGGACCTATAGCGTCTACTGGCGAGAGTCCCCCACTGCTTGGGCAACTCGTTGGGACAAGTATCTTCATGTGTACGATCCCAAGATTCATTGGTTCTCTCTTATCAACTCTGCGGTCTTCGTGGTCTTCCTCGTGGGCATGGTGAGCATGATTCTTGTGCGCGCTCTCAGGAAAGACATTGCTCGGTACAACCGATTGGATACATTTAACCTGGAAGATTTGGATGGCACATCTGCTGCGGTTGAGGATGGAATTCAGGAGGACTCAGGCTGGAAGCTGGTTCACGGCGATGTATTCCGTTCCCCCAAGGCACCACTTTTGTTGAGTGTCCTTCTCGGTAACGGTGCTCAGCTCTTCATGATGACCGGTGTGACAGTGGGTAAGTTTTGGCGATTCCGTCCGCACTTCTTTCTAATTTGCACCAGCTAACGTCTGCATCCTAGTGTTTGCACTTCTCGGCTTCCTTCCCCCGCTAACCGCGGCTTCTTGGCCACTGCGATTCTCCTTAATCTCCGCCCTGTTCGGTGCGGTTGGAGGATATGTTTCGGCCCGCGTTTACAAGAGCTTTGGCGGCGAAGCGTGGAGGCGCAACATCGTGATGACTCCGTTGTTGATTCCCGGCGTCATTTTCGCCACTTTCTTCCTGCTGAACCTATTTGTATGGGCCAAAGGTTCCAGCGGTGCTGTTCCATTCGGTACTATGCTGGCCCTTGTTCTCATCTGGTTCGTCATCAGCGTGCCTTTGAGTGTGGCGGGAAGCTGGTTTGGCTTCAGGCAACCGGTAAGAAGATTCTCTATACAATGAAATTGGGCATCACTAACTCCGGTGCATTCAGGCTATTGAGGGTCCTACCAAAACTAACCAGATCCCCCGTCAAGTGCCCCCCATGACAGGCAGCCTCCGCACCATCCCCTCCATCTTGTTGACCGGCATCTTGCCTTTCGGTGCTATCTTTGTTGAACTGTACTTCATCATGACCTCACTTTGGACCAGCAAGATCTACTACATGTTCGGGTTCCTATTTCTGTGCTACGGCCTGATGATCATTACGTCGGCAGCGACCACCGTCCTGCTGGTCTACTTCCTCCTTTGCGCCGAGAACTACCGGTGGCACTGGCGAGCATTTGCAGGTGCTGGTATGACAGGCGGGTATGTCTTCGTGAATGCGCTGATCTTCTGGGCCACGAGAGTGAGCTTCGGTGGATTGACCGGTGCTGTGCTTTACGTGGGATACTCCGCCCTAATCGGCTTCATCGTGTTCATCCTGACTGGTATGTACATACACTTAATTGCCGCGTCTTGGGAGTGCAGCGCTAATTCTGTTGTCCCGCAGGCTCTATTGGCTTCTTTGCCAGCTGGGCATTCGTTCAGCGTATCTACGGATCTATCAAGGTGGATTGATCTGTTCCTGGAGTTCTGGGTGCTTCTTCCCGCCATCGGTTGGGCAGAAGATGATCCGAGTGTTTCCAGCTGCCCCGTCTCTATCCCGTCCTTTTTTATCGTTTTTTCCCATGTGTTGATAAGCTTCGGGTGCATTGTTCGGCGAGATAGATTGATTTTTGATTCTGCCATCATGAATATTTCCCTCCGAGGATCTTGCGGGGATCAAACCCCCCCTTGTGTATATAATGAATTTGTCACTTTGTCTCCAATAAGATTAATCGGTGGACACTCGAGACACGCCAAGCCCGGCTGACAGTCTCGACCAGCCCACCTTTCGCCGGCTTTCCATGTCTCTCTCTAGTTCTCTCGTTAAGACTCTTCTGAATAATCTTTAAGTAAGAGTCCACCCCCCACATTTCCTCTTTTCTCGTTTATCGCGGAGTTACGCCATTCCTGGAAACTGACCGCCGAGCACAGCCACACTTACGTCTCCCCTCGTTATACCCCGCGCCGGCCACTCTTTCTTTGGTCGAAAGCTACCCTGCCGATCGTCTTTTTGAAGTGAACGGGATCCCAACGATCCAGGGCCTCTGATCATGGGAAAGTCGTAAGTGCTGCTCCCTTCGCGGGTCACGGGGACCTCGGGCGCCAAAGGCCCTGGGATCTCCGGATGCCCGCGAAGTTTCAAGGGATGAGCTGCAAGGCCGGCCAGCGCTCTCCGCTACGTGCCCGGATATTAACCGGAAATTACCAGACAATCGAAATTATCACCCTCCCAGCTCGATGAGCTCCAGCGAGCAACCCATTTCGACAAGAAGGAGCTCCAGCAATGGTACAAAGGTATGTCCGGAGGATCGGACGTTAGCTTCGGAGGGAACCCATCATCGCTCCAATCGTTCCTTGTCTCCGGCCACAGGAAGGGACCAAGGAGATGGGGACACAGTGTGTAAGAGGACGATCAGATGGGCTAACTGCGCTTGCCCGTATTAGGCTTCCTGAAGGACTGCCCGTCCGGCACGTTGACCAAGGAGGAGTTTCAGAAAATCTACCGGCAATTCTTCCCCTTCGGCGACCCTTCCTCGTTCGCGAACTATGTGTTCCGGGTGTTCGATTCAGATAACAGCGGCATGATCGATTTCAAGGAGTTCATCTGCGCGCTATCGGTGACGTCGCGAGGCAAGATGGAGGACAAACTGGACTGGGCGTTCCAATTGTACGATATCGACGGCGACGGAAAGATTACCTACGACGAGATGCTGGCCATTGTCGAGGCGATTTACAAAATGGTGTGTTTCTGGCCCCGTTTTCCCCAGTCGGGTTTCTCCCCCCCAGCTCACGGATTTCCAGGTGGGATCAATGGTCAAATTGCCCGAAGACGAAGACACGCCGGAGAAGCGAGTGGGCAAGATCTTCCGCATGATGGACAAGGATGAAAATGGGAGTTTAGATCTAGAAGAGTTCAAGGAGGGAAGCAAGCGGGACGAGACGATCGTGAGTGCTCTGTCGCTCTACGACGGACTGGTATAGGGGAATTGGGGTGAGTCTGGCGCATGTGGTTTTGTCCTCTGGTCTCTCTATTCTTCTGTAGGATTCTCAAGGTTTGATTTGTTCTTTGGCCCTACTCATCATTTGTGCCCTCCTGTTTTTCTGTACATAGGCCTTCTCCCCGGATACCAAAGCCACGAAGTAAATGTATACGAGATATACGAGTGATCCGATCGAATCAGTCCGTAGAGAATCGAGAACCGCCGCACCCCACCGCCAATCGCTTCTTCTTTCTGATCCGCGTCAAAACTCAACTTTCTCTCTGCTCATGCCGATTCATCCGAGAGCCTCTTGGGGACTTGACCATTATGGTCCCGCCCCGCCGCTGTGATCGATGCTCTTTCTCTCAGGTGGCTATTGGTGATCCACCGGGGTGGTCGCTGCCATTGGGTGTCTCTCCAGTCTTTGCTATGCAGTGGACCCCCGCCTCTGGTCCGATTCTATTCTGTACCTAACTGGTTCCAGTGCCAGGTGTGATGGCATTTCATGTGGCCAGAAGGCCCGCCTTTCCTGCCGGTCTAAGCCCTCCGATGCACATAGACCTGCGCTAGTGCAACGTTCTAGATCCGACCCGGCCTCCTCGGTCGTCTCGGAATGTCCGATCTTTTCCTCCGAGTGGCGCGCAGTGACGCACGATGGTACACTCCATCAGGACGTCACGCCGTCACTGGTAGCCAAGGCGGCTCGTCTACCGCGGATATAGCTCTACACGCACTTCGTGCTATCGGCTTTTCCCCTGCTATTTCAAGGCTATGGAGAACCGTTGCGCGCTGGAAAGACACCTCGCGCCAGCTTGATTGACCCAATGCCTCATCATTCCTTCGATGGGTCTTCAAAGCTATCCTCTAGTATTCTTCTCAACTACATAATTACTCTCCTAATCCAGCGTGGCGATCCGTTGCCGAGGTAGAACACCGCGTGATTACATACCGAATGCGAGCGGCATCATCTCATGATCACTGACAACTCAGCTCTACTACCGCTTCCTAGGTTACTGGCGCCACAGCGTTTGATGATTCGATCGCAGGCTATATCTGGGATATGGATGGACCAGATCGCTCTCACCATGGGCATGGCAGGCGTTCGAATCAGCCTCGTTGATGGATCTTGAGTATACAATTGTCGACATGTCTCTGGTCTGACGTCTACTATGTGATGACACCCCGTCTCAACGACGATCAAGTCGCTTACCGTCCGGTCCAGGTTGACTTGTGTGTCGAGTGATGCCCCAAAATAGAATACATTTAACCAATCATTAGAATTTCGGGCTTCCTCCTTGTAAAATTGAAGTTGTTCAAAAACTATGGTCTCCCCTTCTCTCTCCTGGACCCTTTAAGACTTCGGCCAATGCCATATATGCGGTTTACGGTTCTATTGAGAAGCAAAGAGCTGCGCCTCAGTGCAACATGGGGTAAGGTAAGCCCGGGGTTTCTTGTCGTCTCTCCTGTCTCCCAGGATCCCCCTTTTCGAAGACAATTCGGGGGAAGTTGAGGAAGTCGGATGTGGTCTATCTTGGAGATGATCGCCCACGTGTAACCTCATATCAGGGGCAAGAGCCTCCTTTTGGGGAGTAAGGGTCCGTCCGGCTTTGGAACCATTATTCTAGGCTTTACTCTCTGAATTCCTGGAGCGAGCATGAAGTCTTCTGCTCTGCTTGCCGCGAGGGTCTCTGAGTCCAAGAATGGAGCACGCATAAAGAATATAGCTCGAATGTTTTTAAGGTCTAGAAATCCGATGCTTCCCCCATCCAAGCAATCAGATGCCTACATGTCGTCGTCGTCGGGATCATAAAGATCAAGATCGAGAGTTGCTTTTGGCGGTGGCCTTGGCGCAGACGCTCGGGGTGCGGGCGCCCGGGCTATATCAGAGCCCGCTTGAGCTGCGGCATTGGCAGACTGCTCTTGCCTTGCGTCCGCTGCAGGCGCTGGAGCAACCGGCTCTGCCGCGCCAAGGCCTTCCGCTTCACGGATTAATCGATCGACTTCTTTGTCAAGGTCTTGGCCTGCCGCCAATTGCACCTGGCCCATCAGACCCATGCGGATCCGATCCTCCATGGGATATGGTAGCATGTAGACTTCGCGGGTGCTGTTTGCGGAGTCGTCCAGCCATTGTGTCGCGCTCTTGGTCACCGTTGCTACCGGCTCAGCTCCATTATTTGCCTCTCCGTTTAAATCAGGGACGGCGGTCTCTTGGCTTTTCTGAGCAGCAATTCCATTCGCGGCGTCAGCAGCGGCCTCGTGGTTATATTTGCTGATCCGGCGAGCGAAGTCCAATAGGAGCCGATAGTCGATTTCTTTCCGGGGCTTGATTCCTGCGTTGCTGGTCCCCTCTTCTATTGAATCCCGATCACTGTCACTGTCGTCGCCATAGGCTGATTGGATCCCTTTATCGAACTCCTCGATTGATTTGACAATATCTTTCACTCGGCGCTCCAGTCGCTCTGCTTCTGCGCGAAGACGAAGAATCGTGGCATGGTTCTCTTGGTGGAGCCGGAGGGTGTCGATGGAAGTAGATAGTGTGTCGTCCACTTCCAATAAAGCTGCTGCTGCAGCTGGGGCTCCCGCCGCAGCAGGCGCAGTAGTGATGGTGGTCAGGAGCGCATTGAGCTTCGATTCGACGTTTGAGAGGGATGATTGAAACGCGGCGTTCATTTTGGTCGATTTTCGCTCCAGCTGCTTAAAGAGAGCAAGCAATCAGATAGGGTCGCGCGAGGAAACCGGGCTTGGGTCCGTGGAATGCAACTTGACGAGGTGAAGGAGCGACCACTTTCCACAAGATGCACTGGAGAGCTTTGAGCTTCCAGCTCCGGGTGGCTTCGAAGCAAACAACTGTGGGGAACTCATCACGTGATCACGGCCCAAGCTCTGTGCATGCCCCAATCATCCCCACGTCACTAGGATTCGCCTGACCGTGTTGGATTGTATCGGTTAACGGAGCTGTGAATGTATTACTGGGCTCTCGTAGGTGGCTTGGAACTTACAAGATCTAAGATCAGTATTTCTACTTTCCGAGTGTCTTCGTTGGAGGTTACATTGTCTGAACTATATCTCAAGCTACAAAAAGATTTTCAGTTCCCTACAAATCCAAGCATCAAGATTGAAGTCACCACTGGAACCTCTCGCTCGACGAGAAGTCTGAAATACTGCTGGGAAGAAAATCACCCCGAGCGATGGACCGTGTGTTCCGATTGAGTGGCGTCGATGGATAACCCCCGGTTAATGTCTTCCGGAGCGGGGGATCTTCACTGGGGAAACCCCACTGCATCTCCAGGACCTCGGGAGACCAGAAGCCCCGTGAGCCAATCTGACTTCTACCCTTGACGAACCGGTTTGACTCGTCAGATTCCATCTGGCACTAACGTAGGCTCCGTGTAATGCGGATGCAGAGAGGCCCCCTCGCACGAGTGTGCCGAGGAACCGGTGAAGAGCCCTGGCGGGTTGCTCAAAAATGCTGGGACTTGCTGTGCGGTTCCAGAGGGGTCGGGTCTCTTGAGCCTGGCTGACATCCTCTTATTCCAAGGGATGCAACTTCCTGAAACGTGGGCCCGTCCCCCCCAGAGTTACCCCATACTTCTCCATCCTACGTCATGGACTGCATGAAGACGCCAAGGAACGACCGGATGCCAGTGGGATTGAGGAGTGGGGTAGTAGCAGCGGTGGGGACGACTTCGAGGTCTCTTATTAGACGTAGACTTGGATGAGCGAAAGATTCTTGTTCAAAGCAGCTTGAGACTCCACTTGAGGAGCGGGGACTGTAGCCCCCCAAGGTCATGCTGCATTGAGAGCCATAAAAGCTGGCATAGGCCGCCCACTGGCACACATCTTCGACTTGTCCATGTTTCTGGGGCAGCCCCAATATTGAGCCAGAATATTGCACTTGCATTTTCGGCCCCTTGGACATTTTGATCTGTCAGTACAGGAGGTCCCGCTTCCTCCACCGCCAAGATGAAGACTATAGGATCACTGCTAGCGATATTCTGCATATGCTCAGCATCCTCCTTGCCTGTGGTGGACCTGGGATACGAGTTACATCGTGCGATCTCATTCAATGTACGTCTGCTGGGTCCTCGTAGTGATATGGAGCCGACACTGACCATCCGCCATAGAACACCCAGGGACTGTATAACTTCAGCAACATTCGCTACGCTGCGCCACCAGTGGGCGATCTTCGATTCCGCGCCCCGGTTTGGCCAGAGGAAAATCGAACTCACATTCAAGATGGCTCGAGAGGCCGTGTGTGCCCCCAGGCAACCCCGCTGTGGGAACAATACATCGAGCTGCCGTTTGTAGAAAGTGTGCTGAATGGATCTAAATTCAATCAGTCGACCAACATCTCCTCATATCCCTATATACCCGGAAAACAGGATCCACGGACTACGGAGGATTGCTTGTTCCTGGATGTCGTGGTCCCGCGGAAGATATTCCATCGGGGCCAGAATAACACCTTGAACAAAGGGCTCGCCCCCGTGCTCGTCTGGATATACGGTGGGGGGTATACGGCGGGCGAGGAAGAGCTCGGTGGACCCATCGGGTCTCATCGAGCGAAGCACTGTAGTAGGAGATGGCATTGTCTTTGTGGCAATCAATTATCGGGTAAGTTCGAAAATCCCTTTCCCTTGTCTGACGGCGACATGTTCGCCCCAGAGAAACGTTTGATCGCTAACATCACATCAGCTGGGCGCGTTTGGCTGGCTTGGGGGTGACAGCATCACCACAAACGGAACGGCCAATGCGGCACTTCATGATCAGCGTTTCGCCTTGGATTGGGTGTATAAAAACATCCATCTCTTTGGCGGCGACCCGAAAAGAGTGACGGTGATGGGCGAATCAGCCGGAGGAGGCTCCATCATGCATCAGGTCACGGCCTATGGAGGCAACAAGGGACCCTCGCCATTCCAGCAAGCGATTATCCAAAGTCCAGGCTGGGTCCCTGTGGTCTCCGAGGCTCAGCAAGAAAAGACCCTCCAGCAATTCCTCGGAATTCTGAATGTCAGCACTATTGAGGAAGCCCGGCAGCTGTCCTCGGCGAAGTTGATTGCTGCCAATGCATACCAGGTTGCTACCAAGGCGCAATTTGGAGATTTCGTCTATGGCCCAGTCGTGGATGGGACTTTTGTCCCAGCGCTCCCCGGGCAGCTACTCCTACAAGGGAACTTCGATCGCAACCTCAAGATCATGGTTGGGCATAATGCAGACGAGGGCCTCCTGTTCACCTCGCCGGACAGTCGAAAGAAAAGTGGCCTCGTCACAATCTTGAAAAATGAATACCCGTCGATGAAGCCAAATGTCACAGACTATATCACCAACGTCCTCTACCCGGCGGTTTACAACGGGACCTACGGCTACAAGAACCCGGTTGAGCGAACCGCCTTCGTGATCTCCGAGGCCATCTTCGAGTGTAATACGGACTATCTGAACCGTGCCTTTAGCAACAGAACATACGCATATCAGTTCAGTGTGCCCCCCTGCGATTCATGGGCAAGATGTGATTTACACTTTCTACAGCAGCAACGGGGAGCCGAGCGGCCTTAGCCAGGCAGGTCTGGAGGTCACCAATGTGACGATCGCCCATGCTATGCAAGACTACTTCACCAGCTTTGTACAATCCGGCACCCCCAGCTCGCCCGTGGGACCGGTATTTTCCCCGACATGAGAAAGGGCGACTGATCAATATTGGTAACAGCAGTATTCGGGCCGTCCACGATGCAACGAGCAATCCTCGTTGCCGGTTCTGGCAGACCGTGGCCTACGATTGATGGTTTCTGTTCGAGATAGCATAATGAAGCCATCAAATGTTATATGCATTCTCACGCCACCCTATTCCAGATCCTCCAGGTCTAGACCTCCGCAGAATCTCGGTGTGTTGCGACACTCTGATTAGGCCCCACAGACGCAGTAGTAGACAAGTCGTGTTGCCACGTCTGCGAGCCAGTCAGAGTTGCGCGTGTTCTTTTCCCAGTCCTTGGCGATCCTGTTCCGCTAAGGTACCTCGCCATTGGTCTGTCGGATCTCGTAAACTAATTGTTTGTAGCAAAGATCGACCCGGCATCGGGTTTGTGGCGTCGATGACGGGACAGTTCTTACCAGATCCGCATAGAATCGAACTGGCGGGACGGGTATCTGTGGAGAATGGAGACGGAAGCTGAACCTCATGGGTGATACGTGGCCCCGATGGCTGAACTTTGAGCTGCTAGCGCGGGTTTTCTGTTTTCCTCCCTCCTTAGATTGTGTTTTCGTCCAGATTGACACTCTTCTGCTTACTTTAAATCAAGAGTCTGGTTTACAGAGCAAGGCATTACGGATGCATTAGAGGAATGCGTACTGGGCGTGAGCAGCATAGGTTGGTGATGAAAGGAGTAAAGTCTCGTATCGTCCGCAAAACGCGCTAGTGAGATCCGGGGCTGGGGACGAACACCCTGCTCCAGGGGCTAAGAGATGCAGGTCTCCACTTTTGATCTCATCCTTGAGCCGGCTACGGAGTCGAGAAGGAACTTTGCCATATATAATAGCCGTGTCCCCCATGTAGGGAGCTGACATCATGACTATTTGGTCAGAACACCATGCATCTCCTTCGCGTTCTCGCGGTGATGTCGCTTGGCCTGCAGGTCAACGCTGCGTCCAGCGTGAACTCCTTGCCGGCTAAAAGCGTCGTCGAATATCCTCTTTCAGCTGCCGCTGAAACCCACGAGATCATCGCCGCGAGCGAGAAACTTCTGCTCATTTCTCAGCAAACCGATGGCGCGCTGGTCAAAGTTGCCCTCGACGGCAAGGGAAACCCTACTGGCTCTCGCGCGTGGACGGTCACAAACCAGTGGTCGGGCCTCCACGGACTGGTGCTTCACTCTGGCTCGAGCAACAGCTCCAATTCCTCCGGAGCCACCATCTGGGCCACCGAGCAGTTCGACAACACCATCCTTCAGATCGATCCCAATGGTGACGACATCAATTCCCCGCCCAAGATCATCAACCGCTTCCCCATTCCCGCTCCGGCTTTCGGACCCCATGGGATACTTCAAAACAAGGGAGACCTCTGGGTCGCTTGCAAAGACAGCTCGCACGTCGTCCGAATCACCATTGATAACCCCGATGAACACCAGATCTGGCCCGTCAGCAGACGTCCAATCTTCATAGCTGTGCATCCCACCAGCGGTGACGTCTACTCGGGTCTAGACCTGAGCAGCAAGATCTGGCGTTACCAGAATGACGGCGGCCACGGCGAGGAGATGGACGTCCCCGCGGACAAAGGAAGCGTCCCTGTCGGTCTGGTTTCGGGACCTGACGGCAACTTCTGGGTCGCTTTGCTCGGGAACTCGACCGGTGGCACCGGCACTTTTGGGCGCATCAACTCGAATGCCACGATCGACTGGTTCACCCTGTCCTCTCAGGTCGGGAGCACTGCCGGTCTCATCCACGTCGCTTTCGGTCCAGACCCCTCGCAGCTCTGGCTCCTGGGATCCTCCACCAGTTGTGCATCCTGCGTCAACGCTGTCTTCACCGTGAAGATCGACGATGTGGCTGGCGGCACCGCGAGCTCCCGCATTGCTATCCAGAATTCGATCGTTCTGCCCACCCAGTACAGCTGGACACACCGCATCATCGCACACCAGGGCACCCTCTACGTCACTGAGCTGAAGACTGCGCTCCTTGCTCACATCAGTGGGAGCCGTCTCAACTGGCTTGAACACCAGTGAGACGTGGGACCAGTATGCGGACTTTGGACTTGGCTTGAGGGCGCAGGACATCCACTATCAAGGCCTTTGATCGGCCGGGGAAGGGTTGATCTGGTAAAGCGGAAGCGAGTCACAGTCAAATAGATGAGCGAGCTATCGCGGACCCCTTCTAATGACGCCTTGTAATGCGTATAGAATATTAAAAGTATCGTCATTGTGCGTGATCGGGTGCTCGCGACCCTAGGCTGAAACGAAGAAATAAAAGGTTGCCGCCGTAGGCATACTTCGGAACCTCTGGAGAACAGGGGGCCTGTTGCACGGCGCTAATGAGCGTCCGGGTGGCCTGGTTCGGGCATAAGAAGCCCCCTCTGACTTTTGCATTCTCAGGCCCGAGTGGAAGATTCCTGCATCATAGCCTGAAGGATGGGATTGGTTCTGACCGTCACGGTAGGGGCAATTCCTTCGCTCTGATAAGCTAAGAATTGCGCTAAGACTTGCGACCGTACTACTCCCGTCTAGAGCACTCCGAATAGACTTTTGCCATGGACCTCCGTATATCAAATGATCTTAACTGCCTGGAGGGGCCGAGGTCAAAGGTACGTTTCTGGGTTCTAGCGGATGACCGGGCCTAATCTTTTGTTCTTCCCCGGTGACAAAGCCGATCAAGCTGTTTTTTCGACCACCGCCCCAACCACATGTGATAAGAGAGGTAGAAAGGGAGAGGTTGATTTGAAAATACATAGAATTGTGCCAGTGATGGAACATCGCAGTTCGCCGGCCGGGTCTCTGCCCCAGCGAAAGGGCATCACCACCCCGCAACTCAGTTGTGAGCTCTGTCGCAAGCGCAAGGTTAAATGCGACAAGCTCAACCCGTGTACCAACTGTACTACTATGGGAACTGCTTGTATTCCCATATATCGAACGCGACTGCCCCGGGGCCGACATGCCAATCGTGCGCGTCTAGTGTCATCGCCGCCTCCGCCCACAACAGGGTCCGGGGAGACCGAACGGCTGACTCAGTCTGCCGTACCAGTCAATGAAGATCTCCAAGAGAGGATATATCGCCTAGAAGCCCTCATCCAGGGCATGAGTTCGACCGGGACGCCATTGGCGATTTCGCGGGGACAAGTAAGGCAGCAACTGCCTTTCCCAGTTCATCTTCGAAGAATACTGACCGAGACATTGATCAGTCTGCCCATCCTGATAATACCACATTCCCATTGGAGCTGATCGGTGCTCCCATCTTGAATAGTTCGACGGTTCCCAAACGCCTCATGCTGCAACGTCCCGATCAGTTCTGGGCAGACTTGGTGGATGAAGTAGGATCTACAAGAATGGACCACGGAAATGAAAAATATGCTGACGCGGACACGACACAGATCCACGGCCTCCGCGACATCGTTGAATCGTCACTGGGTCAAGGAGAAGAAGGCCCGATACCATCTGACTCGGCCAAGATCGAGCCGCCCGACGACAACGGGATTCAGGTACTTGGGCTGGGGGCCAGCCATCCACCCGCAGTTCCACGATCCCTTCTTTCGTCGCATGATCCCGCAGTCCACCGCCAGCTGTGTGAGGTCTATCTTCAACAGGTTGACCCGGTGATCAAAATCCTCCATCGTCCGTCTCTGACCCAGTGGATGGTCCACGGAGGACTATATCTGGCCTATGCCCAGGGTCACCCATCAGTGGAGGCGCTGGGTTCGGCTGTGTGCTACTCAGCCGTCAGCAGCATGACTGAGAACCAGTGCTCAGCCATGTTCCAGGCCAGAAAGCCGGATCTGATGGCCGAGTCTCGTATGGCCTGCGAGACGGCAATTGGGCGGGCAGGCCTACTCTCCACCCGTGATGTTACCGTCCTGCAAGCATTTATCTTGTATTTGGTACGGATCTGACTTTTAGGGGCACAAAAACGACGACTGACCCTTCTCCCAGGTGGCCAGGAGATCAGAAGACCGCACTCAAGCCGTCTGGACCTTGATCGCGGTGGCAGTACGAATTGGCAAAAGCCTCGGTCTCTATCTAGACCCTGATACGGAGACATTCTTCAATCAGCAAATGCGCAGGCGCCTCTGGTTTACCATCTGCCTGATGGACCTGCAGGCCTCATTCTTCCAGGCGTCCGAACCCCTCATTAGCGTTGATGAGTCCTCGTCCACGGCCCTCCCACAACATATCAATGACTCGGACTTCGATCCCACCACTACGCACAATGACCCAAACCGGGAGGGCCTCACAGATACGACTTTTGCATTGGTCACTTACCACGCCCAGCGGATGGGACGTCTGCTCAACTTTGTCAGGCAGGATCACAAGATCGACCAGGGCGAGCCCCCTACCACATCCTCCTCCTCCTCCTCCGCCGCCGCCGCCGCCGCCGCCGCCGCCTCAATATCCTCCCCCGCCGGTGCGACCCCAATTGGCCACGGCAGCAGGCCCGGTGTTTTGAAGAGGAAGCGCTCCGCCTTCTTCATTTCTGTGACCCTGAAGCTTCCGCGTACGCATGGTTTACCTGGCACGGCACGCAGAGTCTCATCGCGTCGGCGCGGCTGGCAGCCCTCCGGCCTCTCCAGTGGCCCGGGCAGGCGCCGCCCCGTCGCCGGAAGGGCAACACTGAGCTTCTGCGCCTCTGCCTTCCGGTGTTGGAAAAAGCACAACTCATGCACACAGACCCCCGTGCGGAGGGTTTCCGCTGGTATGTGACCATCCCCTGGCACGCGCTGGCCATTGCTATGGCCGAATGTTATGTGAGCAGCGACGCTGCCTTGGTGCAAAACGCCTGGCCGCTGGTCGAGTCGTCGTACCTGCAGTATGAGGCGACTTCGGGCCGGTCCCACAGCGGCCACCTCGGACAACTCATGCGGCGAATGAGAGAAAAGCTGGCGCCGGCGGCACCATGCCCATCAGATAGCCTCACAAGCTGCCGCTGGAGCCCGGCCACCCATTCCGCGTGTCCCGGGCTCCATCGACCGCCGAGTAGTGGTGACAGTCGGAATCCGTCTGACTGCCCCCATCCACCTACCGAGTCCACCACGCCGGCGGATCTCGGGGTGTCGTCACTCCTTCCATTATCGACCTGGGAGTCGCTATCGCCGTCCTTGGAGAACACATCGCTTTTTGCCGTGCCGCCGTCGATGCCGGCCGCGGCGGACGGCTTGGATTTGGGGTGGAGACGATGTGGGAGGAATTATTCTCGGAAATTCCGTTCAATGAGGTCGCCGGTCCCGACGTGTTTTTCTTCGAAAAGAATTTGGGCCTGAACTAGATGTACCGTATAGACCGAACCGTAACCCCTCTCGCGACGTTCACAAGTAACGGTAGATGGGATGATTCTGTAAATGGCGTTGATCAAGCAGAGGCACCTGTTACTTACTTCTCTCGTATCTACGAAAACGCTCCTGGGGGTTTTGTACTCGTCTTCCGGGATTGAAGATTCCCGGGCGAGGTTAAAACCCGCTCAAATCCCGAGCCGACCAAGATGGGTGGGTTAGGAGAGAATGACGGCATTCGTGATTTTACAGGTTCATCAAAGCAAGAAGCTTTCAACTGGTGAATTCAGAATGATTCTTCTCAAAATTATCCCTCTTCGTCTGGTCCGATTATAAAAGTTGTGGAATCGTTTCATCCAATGCCAAAAAACCATGATGACTGATCCAAGACCAGGGATGATCTGGTCCACACCGCTACTGTTGGAAAATACTACTGCGCCACTAAAGGGAGTGTACAAAGCTGGCACGATTTAGAGATGATAATGGTAGATTCGTTCATCCAACAAACTGCATCTCTAGTAGGGGAAATTGATCCCCCATAAATGAACATGGGCCTCTAGTAGCCCCAAAAATCTGCATCGAACAATCTCTCAGAACCTTAAGTCAAACTAGTTGTCGATCGGCCGTGCGGCCCGAAAGATAAAGATGGATCCTACGACCCACGTCTCCACCTGGTGGAAATTCTCTCGCAGCGCCCGCTCAAACTCATATGCATTATCCTCCCGATTATGAAACACTCCGTGTTTCAAACACCCGCGTCGGATAAACGCTGCAAACCAATTGTCCTTTCGGACTCCGCATCCCAATACATTGGCCCCGTGGATCACCCCGTCTGCCGTCATATCTTTCTTGAGATGGGAGAAAACCCGGCACTTGACCGCCACCGGGACTGGGAGGCAGTGGAGGAGGTAGTACATGGACACTGAATCAAACTTCTCCGTAGCGGGCAGCGGCTGGAGTATGTCTGTCACAATGCCGCGGGCATCCGGCCGGTTCGAGCGGGCGATTGCTACGCTCAGGGCCGCCTCTTCGTTATCGACGATGGTCAGTTGTGCGGAGGGAGGGATGTGCGCTTTGCGCAGGTAGTAACCGGTTCCAGCGCCGATATCGAGATGATTCTTGCCGACATTGGACCGGAATAAAGGAATCAAATACTGGCTGATCGGGCAGCCCCAGGCCCAAGTGCTGACAATGCCTAACACCCAGATGTCGTAGACTGCCAAGCGCCAAGGAGTGTAAACGGCTTGGGGAGGTTTGACTTTGAGCGGAGGGTCACTGGACGTCGAAGCGGCAGTGTGCGTAGCCATGTTGGGTCAATCGGTCATCGATGGTTGAAAGTAGATATGAGGTTTCTTCCATAGTAGAGGAAATATCTTATATTCTCCAACGCGGTGCAATTATCCAATATGTGATCTGCACAGCTTTGGAAATTACCAGAATTAGCATATACATGACAAACCCCTCAGAATCCGGATCAACCCCACATCCGTTTCGGCTTTTAACAGCCTGCCTCTCGGAGTCCTATTACGGGGTCGAATGTCCGGAGCATTTGGCCCCATCCACCGAGCAGATTCATTCTCCGACGGGTGGAGGAAGGGGACGCTCGGTGGTGGCGAGACGAACCGTTAATCAAAGCACCGGATCCCGCTCTATCTATATCCCTGATTCGGCCCAAGGAACTATCAGAGCTGATGAGAAGTGGGAAAAATAAAACGGCGGGGAAACATGGACGTCACTTCAGCCTGTCCAATTCTTATCCTCGGCGCCGGTCTTTCTGGGATCACGACAGGCCGGTTGCTCACCAATGCCGGCCAAGTCGCTGGCTTACGCACTGTTCAAGAACGTAGTCGATTATGCTGACCGCTACCGCGGCATGGAACGCGTGGTTATCCACGACCATGAAGCCTTTGCTGACATCACACTCACGGACGAGCGCCACGGAACCTGGCACACCCCGCCGCACTGGATCGACAGCGTCTCGCATCTGGCCGGCCTCGTCATGAACGGGAGCGATGCCTCGAACACTCGGGATTATTTCTACGTCACTCCCGGCTGCCAGAGCTTCCGTCTCCTGGAGCCGCTGAAACCGGGGCCCGTTACCGGAATTACGTCCGCATGTTCCCTCTCCCCCGATGAACCTCACATGTATGCCGGCGACTTATATATCCTGCGCGAGGACCAGATAGTAGGCATGATCAGCCAGCTGAAATTCCGCAAGGTACCGCGCTTGCTGATGGATCGGTTTTTCTCCCCTCGAGCGGCTGCCAAAGAGGCCTCGTCGACGGCTGTTGTAGCATCAGTGCCCGCAACCACGAGCCCCACTGCTCCATCAGCGATGAAGTCGACCGGGATCTCTCTGCCCGCGTCCCAAGAACAACTTCCTCAGTCAACCCCTAGTTCACTTTCTGCCGGGTCCTCTGAGCCTTCGTTAGACGGCGCCGAAACACCGGAAGAGAAAGAACCAGCCGCGGGGTGTATTCCAGAGGTGAGCGGTGTGCCCGGGAAGTGCTTGGAGCTGATTGCGCACGAGACCGGTCTCAGCGTGACCGACCTCACGGCGGATGCGACGTTCGTGCAATTGGGCGTGGACTCGTTAATGTCGCTGGTTCTCTCGGAGAAGCTCCGCAGTGAGCTGGGGTTGGAGATCAAGAGCTCACTGTTTCTGGAGTGTCCGACGGTGGGGAATTTAACATGCTGGTTAGAGCAGTATTGCTGACTGACGTGCATCGGGGCGTTTTGGAGACCAAAGACACCCTTAGTGTTGAGTATTTGCTAGCTATGAATCAGAAAACCATCATCCTGGTTCTGTAATAACACACGAAGTATTTTCGACTGGAGCCAGAGAAGGAGATAAATGGTCCGAGTTAAGGCAAACAAGACCTTAGAAAGGGTTTATTCCAGCCAAAGGCATCGGGAGCCCAGTGGTATCTATTCTGTGTGTTCACAATGCTGACCACTATGGCAAACAAGGCAAAAATCCATCGATGCAATGATCTCTTCATGGGACTTGCGAAAGGAAACGTGCTTCTTAACGCGGAATATTTTGTATGTCAGTGTGGTCACTGGAAGTAAAAGTGCGGCTAAATCTTTTTGCTCACTAGTCACTCGGTTGAATTGTTGTATTCTGAATCCGCACATTCATGGCCCGTTAACCTGTCGGATGGACATTTCCGGTAACTAGTTATATTAACCACATTTCTGGAATGGCTGAGCTTTCTTGGAAATCAGCTGTCAGTTATAGAAGAAGACAGTACCAACGGGAGTGTGGTAGAATATGTAACACGGCATGAGAAGAGGGAGATGTGTCTAAGTGGCGATCGATATAGCATACAGAGTCAAGAGAAACATAATCCAAACAGGGAACATGCAGCATGGCTTAACCAGAAGCATACCGGGACATCCCGCGAAGCTTTGCCCCAAAGAACCAGAACAGAAATGGAGCGGGAACCCCGATGACAATGCTGAGCAGGCCTAGCAAACTGTTCCCCCAGCCATAATGCAGAGCATGGTACATGGAGGGCGCAAACAGAGGAAAGCTAAAGCCTGCAAGGCTGCGCAGCACCACAACAGCGGCCAGTCCGCTCGCAGCAAACCGAGTGTAGCTGTCAATAACATAGGTCTGCATGCACTGCAAACAGATGATTGATCCAAGGGAGAAGATGACAATCCCGATGTTTGGCATCACCCAATGGATATGCGCCTGCACACTCCAGCCATACCAGAACAGTCCAATTGGAATAAACAGGGATCCGATGAACATGGCAGGGATGCGAAATTCGGGAACAGCTGTGTTGTTCCGCTTTCTCTTCAGCTGGCGGAATATCCGATCACTGGCGCGAGCATTTACCTGGGCTCCAAGCACAAAACCAATCCCCAGTGAGATATAATTCAACCCCCCAATACCGACGCTTTCTCCGTACACGCCTTCCCATACCCCCGGGAAGGTCGACAGAAGCAGATAAAACAACCCGAAGAGGTACGCCATATACAAGGCGATCACTTGCACAATGGGTTGTGTGGTCAGCAGCAGAAAAGGACGCACCAATGCCGTCTTCAAGGAAGACGCTAAACTATGGCTGGAGTCAAATTCGGTATAGTAGCGCCGGTCACCCGATTTCTTGCGGAGAGTCTTTGCCTGACGTTTCAGCAACGTCGGCGTATAAGTCTCGGGGAGGAATGCCAGACCGAAGAGTTGAATGACCGCACCTGCGATACTGGTAGACCAGAAAACCCAGCGCCACGTGGTTGTTTCTGCAATGAAACCACCGGCAATTGGGCCCACCACAGGGCCGAGCAGCGGTGCCAAACTGTAAATGCCGACGGCCTTGCCTCGCTGGTCGGCATTCCAGCAGTCGCTGACGAGGGGAGTGAGCTTTTCGGCATCCATAAGCAAAGGGTGATGGGACTGACCTCAATACCCCTCCCCCCAATAGCCAAAGGAGCACTCCCCGCAATCCCACTCATGAATCGAAAGGCAATCAACTGGCCTTCCGTCTGTGCAAACCCACAACCCAGATTCCAGCCCACGTAACAAAGATTACTGACCTGCAAAACGTAGGCTCTACCAAAAATTTCAGAGAAGGGCCCAAAACACAGCGGGCCCACTGCGTAGGCTAGAACAAAGACGGAGAGAGTCAGTTGGGTTTCAACCTCCGATTGTATCTTCAGCTCATCGGCGATCTTTGTCAAGGCGGGGGCAACCATCGAGGACGAAACCGGAGAGATGAGGGTAAATAGGGAGACTGTAATTGTAACCACCCATTTCCTGCTCATGGTCCAGTTTTGGGGGGTTTGCGCTGTCGTCGAGGGGAAGACCAGGAGACCTGAATAGTATCCTTCCATCAGTATCGGTGGGGCTAGAGTATAGGGTTGACTGGATGACTCTGACCAGGTATGGATTGTGTTCTAGTCTCCTTGTTTCAGTCCCGTGGGGTTGTGATGATGTGGATTCTGTAAAAAAAAAGGCCACTCTGATTAGATATGCTCTCCAACGATGTTCGATAAGCCTGCATAGCAAATGGATGTCCTTCCAACCTCTTATACATACCTCCTTCTTTGGCTGCCATCTCCAGCGTTCGGCACTGCTTACTCCAGCGTAGAGTTGAGAAAAACAACAAAAAGGACACCTTTGTTATCTATAAAATCGTTGCAGTATTCATAAAAAGCGAAGATAAGGGTATCATGTCCAAAGGGGCTGACTTTTATATCCTATTTTCTCTCGGCTTTTAAGATGGTCTTAAAATCCGGCGAACCCTACATTTCAGGCATCAATATCGAACTGCCTTGTTCCCGCCGCAAGGACTCGGTATCATCCGGCGTTCGCCCCATCCAATTGTTCCCACTTTGAGTGACATGTCTGTCCTTTGGCAGTTTGCGGTCACTCCACCTATATGATTGGTGATTGCCTCAGGAAACATGATGAGTGGTGGGTCTGCGGAATAGGATTAGGAAGATCGACACGGAGCCGTCCGCAGCCAGCCACTGGTTCCAGGGTCCGCATATCGGGGCAGTGATAAAAGTTCCATGTTCCTCCGCTGGTCCTGTTCACTGTTCAAATCCTTCCTATACCCTTAGCAAAGAGTGAACGAAGACCAGACCTGAGAGTAGTGATAGCCACAATATAAATGTTGCCCTTGGCGCTTATCGGAACACAAAATAGGAGCTGAGGTTCAACTTGATACGCTCCAAAATTCTTAGCTAGATACGCGACCCTTTGCTCCGTACCCTTGTTGATCAGATCGAGGGTTGTGATGATACCAGTAGTTCTCATGCTATCTTTGTCGAAATGATGCGCCCGCTGAATAATGTGTTGAGTCTCTGTATTGCTACTTGCGGGGATCGCTGCAAGGATTATACTGCGCGAACTCTCTAGATAAGAGTCGACCAGACTTTGGGCCATCTTAACATCACCATCGTCTTCCAAGACAGGTCTAAGGCCTGGAAGGTTAACCAGAGTTCCATGAAGCCCAGCATTGCCGACTGCCCCGAGGTGAAGAACATCGGCTGCAAAAGTTGGAGCATCTACAAACTCGCTGAAACCACACCGCCCCGTCAGACAAGAGCCATCCTGAATAATCCCTGGCAGGTCAATGAACTGTTGAAATTCGCGGCGGAAAGCAGCGAATTGCTCCCTGTCTTCAGGTGAACGGGGTGGACTTGGGAGGAGGCTGACTGCCATTTTGCTTTCACCATGAGATGCTGGCTCATTTGCCGTAATTATGAGGGCGTATAGCCGGTTTGTTAGCGACCTTGCGCGTACGCGGTACAACCATATTGACCAGTGTGAGTTTTTGGAAAACTACCAACACGTGTAGGAGCCTCCCAAGAGCTATCTATTATTCGGAATTGAATCGCAGCTAGTGGCCTAGGACCACTCGATGCCGAAAGAGTGCTTTGGAAGCCATCAAGTCGCCAGCCACGCAGATCTAGCCAATCCACCCCAAAAACACATAGAACCGTGATTCGGCTAGCGCAACTGCTGAAGCAGCGGTCGAAGAGCCCCCCCAAGCCCATCAAATGCTATACTAAATCGAACTATCAAGGCCCACTGCGAATCGCTACATAACGCTGCATTCCTTGCGCAAGAGAATGCGAATCTCCGCGCAGCGAATGGGAGGATCGTCAAGAAGCGCAATCGGCCAAGTAGGTATATACCCTGCAAAGAGGGCTTACCCGTCGAGGGGGGGCGTACAGCTAGTTGAACAGCTAAACCAGCCGGCAGAAGGGGATAGGGTAGAATCGCATGCGCAGGGCGAATTGCCTAGTCAGGAAATCCACCATGTAGGGAAGGTCGGCTACTGACGGCAAAGATTCTCGTGAGCGCGCTATAGGATTGATTAGAGGTTGATTAATGCTCCCCGTAGAGCTTAGCAAGAAGTGAGACGTGGGCTAAGACGATTCAGATCGAACATTGGTGGGGTCCAGGCAACCACCAATTGTCCCGTGCAAGAATCAGGCATTCACATTCAAGATCCACCTCCACCGTTCGGCTAAGAGGCCCCAAGGCGGTACAGTCAGCAGGGTATGTTGATCAAGCTTCCAAGCTTCGTCCAGTGGGCCGCCCTGGGCAGTGGGTCGCGTTTCGCAGAATAGGCAGACACCTCAGTATTGACTCGAACCGGCTGCACGGGTGCCTCCCCGATCTTTGATGCCCTCAAGACAAACTTCCAATTTCCCTCGGGGCTCTAGTTCGAATGAGCCATGCGGCTGGTCTGCGCTAAAGCCCGACCGGTCAGATTTGTCGGGGCTCCGAGACAATAAGGCCCACCTGGTATGTATCTACCGGGCACAGCCGCCATTGAGGAAAGGTGCAAGTCCATCCTGCCCAGAGAGTTTCGATCCAACTAGTTATCCAGTACCTGGATTGCAGACAGTTGTACGCCGTTTCTCGGCCAGAATTGCCAATTGAAGTCCGCATTGAAGTTCTCACGGTTAGTGTGCTTTGGACAGGGCCAATGGCTCGGCAACTCTGCTCCACGTGCCCAACACAGCCTTGGGGGACATGGGCGAGGAGCGGTTCTGCGACTGTGGACTTTTGAGTCCAGGATATATTTATCCAGAGATACGGGCGCGCCGGAGGAGTCACTGGACCCTGAAAGCTTTGCAGAAAGCTTAGAAGGCTCGCCGTCTGGCCAATCAGAAGCTGTACTAGAGGGATCACCTCCCCCCGCACGGCATGACTAAGATGGGTGCTCACTGGGAACCAATCAGGCTCGCTAGTTGGGAAAAAAAAAAACAGAGCAGCTTTCTGCGCTAATAATAACTTGCGAAATCAGAGCGGACCCCCTGGTCCTTCATAGTTCGAATAGACTACTACTAGTACTCCTACGGCCTGCACGGCCGAAACTTTCCCAGTTCGTCCAAGCTGCGAGGCTGCGCTACTGCAGGGCTTAGCAACCACGGAAATCCGAGCCGAATGAGTGATTTTCAGGCATCAACATTACCAGACGTAGTAGAGCCCGGGAGGCGTATATTATCCGTGGGATCCCAGTTGCCCCCTTCTCTCCTCAGCCTTGGGGTCCGGGAATACGCTGCGTCAAGTTCACGTTTGGGGTCCACCGTTGAGCCCCAGTCTTGGCCGATTCGTTTATCTCCCAGCCCGCGAAGGACTGGTTCAGACTCCCGTCTTTTTCCCTTCTACATTAATACAACACGGCAGCGCCTTTTATCTTCAAGTGATCTTTTGTCGCAGGCCCTGCCTGAACTACTTTTCCTTGCCCTTCGAGTCACTCACCGACCTCACTGCGACTCTACCTGAATCCCTTTTCTTGACCCCTCTCCCGGCCACTATGCGGCTTTCTAGCATCACGCTCGGAGTCATTGGCGCCCTCGCACCATTGATCCCTCTGGTCGCATCCCATGAGACCCATTTGGCTTATCTGCCAACATCGGCATCGAATGAGGAACCGTCCTCATATCTGGTACGTCGGCGCTTCTTTCCGAGCTGGCCGGTTTTAATTTGCTAACTCCACGGCCAGTCCGTGAAATGGTCCATTTTGCACAACTCGCTCTTTGCGAATGGTAACCAAGTATTCCCGCCGCCTACGGCCATGCGATTGAATGTGCCTCGCTACGACGGGTCACACAAGACACCTGTGGACCTGGTGCCACTCTCTTACTCGCTCAATGCTCGCCCTCTCTCCATCAGAGAAGCGGCCTCCTCGGACGACGTTGTGAGAGTCAGCGTGGACCTACTGAACGAATATGGTGATTTCGTCACCCCCAGCACGGTGCTGATTGATCTCCTTCATCTACCGGAAGGCGACCCCCGCATCATTCGCATTCGAATCCAATCAAACGAGGTCATGGAACGAAGCGCCTCCGGCTCCGCATCCACGGTGTCTTCCTTTGCGCCCTCTTCCGACGACGAACTTCGAACTATCAAGGCTGACTCAGAAGCTCTTCCCTCTGGAGATATCTCCGGCAGCTCGAAAGATGCAGGTTCGCATACGGGGTACATCTTCTCGCCATATTGGTCCCCACCTACTTGGTCACCGGACCGACGACCACATCCATACCGACACCCAAAGGGCCACCCTCCTTCTGCTCTGGGCCGTCTCGTGCGGCCTGTTGTTTTACCGGCTCTGCTTGGCACCGCTGCGGGCTTAGTTGCTTGTCTCGTAGGGTTCTGTTTCGGTCATCTTGCCATGTCACTCGCGTTACGGTGCAAGAATGCCAGGAGGTGCCAGTACGACCGTATACCATCGACCGATGAGGAATACGGCGAACTGTCCGAGAAGGAGCCTCTGGTGACTTCAGGGACCGTCCTTGTCACTATCTCGGAAGAAGAAGAAGAAGAAGGTTCAAATCCACCCTGAACTGGATTCAATCGGGATTCAATTGGCGTAACCCGGGCATTTGGACACGGCGCAGGACAGTTCTTTGCACAGCAAGCATTTTCATTTTGTATCTATAGAGTTCTCCGATGTATATGGTATTATGCACTCCCACCAGGATCTGAATATGACGTTATACCCCCATCAACCTCATACCGCCCCTATGGCCCCCATCAAGCCTTTTGAGAGCAAGTGGCTGGCCTAGCACAAGGCTTATTTCGTAGAAAAATTGCCCAAGGCCGTTGCATAAGCTCTCGTCCCTAGAGCCCTGGAAGTCCCGAATACGTTACACTACACGCTCAAATCAGTGCGCACATGACATATACCCCATCCGATCCTCGCCGGCCGCTCATAGCGCACAATTCCTCGACATTCGTCAACAATGGCCGGCTGGCCCAATGGCAAGGCGCTTGACTACGAATCAAGAGATTGCAGGTTCGACCCCTGCGTCGGTCAACATCTTTTTGTTCTTTTTTACATCATTCAATGTGCTGTGGATTCGAAAATTTCTGGTTGTGGTGGGGCCGAAAACCGGCCGAAGCTTAGCCGTCTCTACGGAGGAGATGGAAAGGAAAAGAAAATGAAGAGGACCTGTGGTTGATCGTAGGCGGCGGAAAAGAAAGGTCGTTTTTGTTTAAAATGCGTTTTTCTATCTGGGATCTTGAGCTAGGCTATTGGCAGGGTGAAATGTAATGGACTTGGGAAGCTGTTTCTCTGTAGAAAGGCAGTCCCAGTCCCGGTGGATCCTACCCGCGTCAGGCGTCCCTAGCAGCAGAGCTCTCAATGTTGGGAATTTCGAGTTCATTGGGAAATTCCATGAAATAGGATAACCATTGGTCTTCGTCCATTATTGAGCTAATTACTGGCGTATTTTCTACTTGTCTTGCTACTGTATACATTGGACTCGAACTCGAGCTCGAAGTTCCTTTGGATTACCACGTGCTCCTAGTGGTAGCCGTGAAATATATACTGCCCAGGGTGAACAGTGGCACTGGCCTGGCTACCTCAAAACGTCCCCTTGAGGCCGCCACGCCGAGAACCTCCCCAAATGACGAACTTGGGCTCAAAGGCCTTTCCAGCGCCCTGGACTTGGCCAATACTCTCATTCTCCGGCAGGAGCACAACATTTTCCGGATATATCTTACCGAGGATCGCCAGAGCGATGGCTGCATGATTGGCGGGGATTATATGCAAGCCATCCTTGGCCGTGAGAAGTCCGTCACCTGCAACTCCCAAGATACTGAGGGCATCGTGGACCTGCGTGCGTGGACCAGAGTCGATGGAATCCTTCCGACTTGCCGAGCCATTCGCTGACGTCTCCTGGGCACCGTAGGAGTATCGATGACCACGGGCGACCTGGCCTAAGTCGACTGCGACTGATTCCGCGCCCTCGAGCCTCAAGGTAAAATTCAGCTGACAGGTTCTACTCTGCAGAGACATTCTGGTCAATTCTATCGAAACATGTTGTACGACGGGCTCTCTAGCAGCGGGCAGGTCTGCAAGCGAACCTGGGCCGAGGGGAACCATGGTCCGATGGGCGCTGTAGTAATCTTCCAGGCTATAGTCGAACACCATACTAGTAGCTTCTTCGGTGGAGCCAAACTTGCATGGCACATATTGCACGAGATGTAGAGGGGTTGGACCACCAGCCAAGAAAGCAGGCAGCACAGAGCCGTGTTTGTACTGAAATCCATACCCCACATGAGGGCTGTTGTCTAGCTCCGGAGCGAGTAACGCCCTTGCATACAAGACCAGACCCTTCTGCGTAGCTTGCTTGGTCAAGATCTCAGCTAGGAACTGGCTGCGTGCCGGTTCGAGATGCCTTAATCCTCTGGCCTGGCGACCCACCGGGATCAGGACATCTTGGTAATTCGAAAAGGGGAGAAGAGCGTCTCGTAAAAGCACCATTTGATGTAAGTACTCATTAAACAGTTGCATCAAGTGGGGCTTGCTGCGGTCGCCAAACATGAGATCGACATTAGAGGGTGTGAGTAAATGACCTTCGCAAGGACTCCGCAGGTACAGTTCGGGGTTGAATGAGGGTGATTTCAACTCCCCGGCCCACGCCAACAGCGTCTTGCCAATTGTATCGGCCTGATCTCGCACCTCTCTCCGCGAAATGTCTAGTGGTTCTGCTAGGCGAAGCGTTGCTTCTCGGGTGTCTGTCGATAGATTGGCAGAAAGGTTCTCCAGAAGCCTGTGGCGAGCGGACACTGATCCCGGGGGATCACTACCGAGGCGAAATACCACCGTGTCGAGTAAGCTGGCAAAATTCTGGACGAGTTGCCGTGGGGTGTAGACCCCCGAGCGCAGACCCCAAGCTTCGGTCAATGGCTGACTGTCATTCGTGCCGCCATCGGGAAAAACTGCGAGTTCCTCGCCCATGAAGATCCCTCCTAGCCCGTCTGAACGGTATCGCCTGGCGGAGGCAGCCATGGAAGCAGAGTTGACAGTCATCTCCAGAGGGTCAAAGGATGATCAGAGAATCGCTGGGAAGGGCTCTGCGACGAAGCTAGTATGTGTGGTGTCTGCATTGCTTCCATGGTGAGCAAGAGGTGCAGGGATTAAATAACATTCTTTCAGGAGATGGTTTCGACGAAAGATTCCTGCAAGGATTGGTAATCACCGGGCGTGACAATCGGAGTTCCTTGGCCTAGTCGGAGTAGTGACACTGATCAGTCCTCACGGAGATGGTTGGTCGAAGCGGAGTTTCGTGGTTGCGGAGTTCCGTGGTCGCCCATACTAAAAGTGTAGAGCGCACGCATTGGATATCTTCATTACGTTCACTTGTGATGGAATTGGTACAGAGCGCATCTGATAACAAAGCTTCTTAACTCATCTGATCCATTGAACCCCGGACCAAGAAGAAACGTGTCGAGATATTGCTTTGGAAACCGGGTGAGCAGTCCGTTCAATGTCTGGCCGCCCGGTCTCACATAGAAAGCAGTAGCAAAGTCTTCTGGCGCCTGCAGATCATTTCCCTGGCATTGACTGTATTCTTCCGTACCCTGCCATTCTTGCTCCGTGCGAGCGCTCCATAAGGCATGGCTACAAGGTAGCGGCAAATTAAGGACGAGTTCATCATTCAGCGGCTCATAGTACGGAGATGTGTGACCTGTGTTCGGGTCGATACTACTGAGGAAATGGATGGCGTTCGCGAGAAATATGGTGCGCCGTGCCGTCTCCGCGACGCTCCAACCCGCCAGGTCTTGCGTCTCCAAGCCAGGTGCCGCCATCAGGGTAGACCCGGGAGCGTGAAGATGCGAATGGATAAAACCCCGAGCCATCTTGACCAGGAAAGGAGCCTGCATGCTTTTGCTGTAGGAAGTGAGCTTCCACGGGGCCTTGACGGATTCCGAAGCTATTCTTATCCCGAGGACCTCATACAGCAGCATCGCATGTAACAAGTCCCATTGCTGCATGCACTCGGACGCGGGAAAGGCCTCGATTATCCTTTGCCGTTCGAGGGTCATGGCTTGCCGCGCAAAGCGTGCGCCGTCCGCAGTCTCCAACGCGCTCCCAAAACAGACCGCCATGGCACTCTTTGCAAGCGTCGCCATGTCCGCCACATTTTCCTCGTACAGACTATGGTGCAGGAAGGGAGAGCAGAAACCGTGCTGAAGAAGCGCGCTAGGATACTTTTTCAGCACATCGATCATCTCCCCCGGAGTATACGTATCTACGGGTACTGGGTCTAGGTTTGCCGCGGGAGAGACAACACTCGAGGGGAGTTCGAACATCCCAAAGGGGCCTAGGGGATCTAGGCGCTCAGCGAGGTTGGATGAAGCCCCTTGCATGGCCAGCCCCGCGATCGGTGGCGGGAACACGCCCCCGAAAGGGGAGTCTCTTCTCGAGAGATGGGTCGAAGACAAAGCTTCTTCAGCTGAAATCACCGGATGGCGTCCTTGATTCGTAGCATCCCATGCATTAGATGGCTGGATGGCATAGCTGCAGGCAACGCCACGCCTGGCGCAACGACCACATGGTAGGGTGGATGTGCATTTGGCTTTCGCCTGGACGCATGCGTCGCAGGCCTTGCGACGCGACGTTGGCTTTCGAAGCCCTTGACAGCGCCGTTTGTGTCGAAGAAGTAAGTCGTCTGAAGATCTCTATAAGTAATCTTCTTCGCATGATGGTTGGAATACATACGACGCGCGTAGGTCTTCTGACAGAAGCCGCAATGGTGCTCGGAGTGGGATACCATGGCAACTCAACAGAGCAAGCCTCACCACTGGGTTTTTCTATATGTACTTTTTATGCGACAGGCTCTGATTCTCCATCTACGTACTTCCCACGGTAATTGGGGCAGAACCTTCGAACCTGGAAATGACAACGCTGCTGATTAATCCTGTTGCTGAACCCGAGTCCACGTGATGAGGTCGACCTGGCAACCAGATATAGGCGAGGGCCAGGCGGCCGACGCCTTAACGCCTCTACTACTGTGAATGCATGGGGATGAGATCGATTGCAGATGTCCACCTGTCGCCCCAAAACAAGCATTGGGCTTATGTTGCGAAGGTCGGTGAACGCACAAGTCGGAGAAGTCCGTAGGAAGCATGGAGCTATCGACTCAGGGCTGATCGGACAGTACACGCCCACAGGGTCCATCATTACGTAGTGGCGGGGTGTGGCTGGAGCGTACAGGGTTCAATAGTGCTATTAGGGCCTCTCGCCACTTCGGTTCCTTGATTTGCTTAATCGGGCTTTTAGGTTTTCGCTCTCACCGAATTCCATTTTTTTTATGTTGCTTGGCGTCTTTTGGGCCTAACTGCTACTCTGTATTTCTCTGTGGGCTCCACCCTTTATTGGCTCTAGCTCAAGGCCTCAGGATCGGAATTACTTCATTGGTGGAGTCTGCACCTGGGCAGGTGGAGAGAGTTATACCGGGGCCTTGGTAGTCTGCATCCTTCGAAGAGGACCAGTTCATGAATGGCTTGGCAGGGCATGCACTAGCCACATGTTACAATGGGGTCTTACGCAGGTTTCTTTCAATGCATGCCTCGTAATTACACAGTGTAGAACGCTTGGTCCAGGAATTGGACTCGAGCTGGGAACCTTGGGAGAAAAGAAGGGAAAGCAAACTCAAAACCCGAGTCGCGAGTCTGATTTGGGTTCAATGGGCCGGCTCCAGTGTAGCTTTGCTCTCTCATCATTAAGATCGACATGTGCGGGCACCACAGGATGTAAAGAACCCCGGTGGATGGATCAGAGCGTGGCGATCGGGCCCTGACCGAGATCTGAGACCCTAGCTCTCAGCGGGCAGATCCCAAATCGTTAAACCCCAAAACAAACCCTGTACACCTCACGATATGCATGGAGCAGCTGCAGCCTAATGACTTCATAACGCCCCCCCCCGTACTGCTTTTACCCAGCCACGTTGGCAGGGCCCGCAAGGCTCCAGACAGGACTCCTGGCAATGGCAAAAGTTGGGGAGGCAATAATATCCGAAAGTAACAAGGAATATGAATTGACAACATCGAAAAGTCGCTCCGGAAATCAGTAAGAGCCAATCTAGGCAACCTACACGGTCGATCTGCCCAGCTGAGCTTTTACTCCACATGGCCCAGTGTTGTTTGCTTGATCGGACGTGCCCACCCGCCTCCCAGGCTTTGTTTGGTTACGAACTGGCATATGCCGTCTTCCAGTTGCTTATAAACTTGAGGAACCCTACTTCTTGTGCTCCCCAACCATCTCTGACTCTGAAACCCCTTCCCCCCCCCCAGTGAGACCTTCGGCTCCAGTGAGAATCTTTGAAACAATTCATCAAGATGAAGTCCGTCTCTATTGCCATGGCCCTGCTGGGTGCCTCTGTCGTCTCCGCTGCTGGGATGTCTGCAAGTGATTGCGCGGTATGTATTGCCTCCTGCTTGGCTTGGGGTGCTTTTGCTAATGTCTCATACAGCAAATGTGCATTAGCAATATGAACGCAAAGGCCAGCGAACTCGGCTGCTCCGCGAATGACAAGGCTTGCCTGTGCAAGACCGACGACTACGGATATGGGATCCGTGACTGCACCAAGCAGGCTTGTCCCAATGATGACGCCGCCAAGGTTCTGCAGATGGCTTTGGCCGGCTGCCCTGGTATGTCTTAATCGCGTTGACCAACTCCACGTCCGTCGCTAATCAACTGGTAGATGGTTCTGGCTCCGGCTCCGGCTCCGGCTCAGGCTCTGGTTCTAGCTCCGGCTCCGGCTCTGGCTCCTCTACCACTTCCGGCTCAGGCGCAGGCTCAGGTTCGGAGACCACCACTGGTTCTGGCAGCGACGCAACTGGTTCTAGCACCACTGTCTCTGGCGCCGGCAGCGGCTCGGGTGCCACAACCTCTGGCTCAGGCTCAAGCTCCGGATCCTCGGGCGCTGCGACGGCCACCAACACCGCTAGCATGACTGGTACCAACACTGATGGCAGCGGCAGTGGAAGCATGACCGTATGTAGCACGGATGATCCTCCACATGCTGTTCTGTGTCACTAATCGCGCGTTTAGGCTTCCGGCTCTGGTGCTACCGGCACTGGCAGTTCTATGACTGGCTTGACCACCATGGTGACTGCTACTACCACCGGTGCTGACTCGAGCTCTACCGAGACTGGATCTGGCAGCTCCAGCTCCAGCTCAGATTCTGGCTCTGGCTCCGGTGCTGGCTCTTCAACTGACGCTGGCTCCGGCTCTAACTCTGCCGCTCCCACTTCCACTTCCAATGCCGCTCAGCCCCTGGCTACTGTCGCCAGCGGTGCTGTCGGAGCCCTGGGTCTTGCTGTCATTCTGGTTCTGTAAGCACCCAACGTGTTTTATTGTAGGGGAAGAGATTGTAATGGACAGTCATGTGTGGTGGAACTATGCCTATGCGCATAGTACCGGTTTATAATGTCGACCTAACGAAGTGATGCTCCACTCCAGCACGTGCGTGGATGTACAATTGCATGTGATAATGAACTTTTGTGACAGCCTTAACAGGGTCTTTGATCTACTTTGAAGGATAAGACACTCTCCCCTGAGACGTAAAGCCATCATAGCACTGGGTTCCCCCAAAGTATACTAGCATCCCGCAATTCCATCCCGCCATTCCATCCCGCAATTCCACCCCGCGCCTCGGGGAGATACGCGAGGCGCCGCTGGCCCGAACAAGGTTTCGCGGGGGGGGCTCCGATAGCCCGGTCAAATGAACGCTTCAGCCTGGCGCCTTGCTTTTCCGGCCTTATGGTAGAAGGAATCTCGAAAATTTCGAAGTCGCAAACTCCTCCATATACTCCGTACAAGACCAGCCCTGCCGACCTCGGGCGACTGATTAAGTGAACCGGCAGCCAAGATTCTCCGCACCCGAAAGCCGAGGCATCTTCGACCAACAGCTGTCCAGCTGTGTAAAGCCGATCGGTTCGTTTTGTTCTTCAATCTTTTGAAATCTTAATTTTTTTTTTCTTGGTGGTTCTTGGGCTCATTTTCGATTTCTTCTCCCCTCTCCTCTCTTTCTCTCTTCCACCTCCACCATGTCGACCTCCTCTGCCCCCACGCAGGAGATCAAAGATGAGATCAACGCAGTCGCGACGAAGCCCGTCAACCAGACGATTGCGCAGCTGCGTTCGCTCGCAGCCGGTGCAGCCGGTGGGCTTTGCGCGGTGATTGTGGGCCACCCATTTGACTTGGTCAAAGTGCGCTTGCAGACGGCAGAGAAGGGTATCTACTCTGGTGCCATGGATGTGGTGCGGAAAACCGTCGCCCGTGAGGGGCTGGCCCGGGTAGGGAGCTTTCAGACACCATCGCCTCGGAAATCTCAATTGACGTGTGAATCAATAGGGACTGTATGCTGGTGTATCTGCCCCGCTTGTGGGTGTTACCCCAATGTGTAAGTGGTTTCCCCGGACGTCCCCTGCGACCTGGGAGTTCCAAGGGACTTCCCGTGACGCATTCATCGGAACGGTGGGCTAATGTTTGGTAATGCGATTCAGTTGCCGTGAGCTTCTGGGTATGTTCCGACCCCCCCCCGAATTGGATTCTAAGTCATTTCATGCGAGACCAGAGTCGATCCTAACATGGTGATAGGGCTATGATGTCGGAAAGACTTTGGTCAACAAATTCTCCACGGTGCCCGTGAAGCATGACACCCCCCAGTATTCCATTGCTCAGATTTCCGCGGCTGGCTTCTTCTCCGCCATCCCCATGACCTTGATCACTGCCCCCTTCGAGCGGGTGAAGGTCCTCCTCCAGATTCAAGGCCAGAACCCACCTCCTCCTGGGGAGAAGCCCAAGTACTCCGGTGGTATGGATGTGGTGCGACAGCTATACAAGGAAGGGGGTGTGCGCAGCGTGTTCCGCGGCAGCGCGATGACTCTGGCACGCGATGGCCCTGGCTCGGCTGCTTATTTTGCCGCTTACGAGTACATCAAGCGCTCGTTGACCCCCAAGGATGCGAATGGGAACGTCACGGGTGAATTGTCCCTGTCTGCGGTCCTAGCCGCCGGTGGCGCTGCCGGTATTGCGATGTGGATCCCTGTCTTCCCCGTCGACACAATCAAGTCTCGTCTGCAGAGTGCACCGGGCAAGCCCACCATTGGCGGCACCATCAGCGCGGTTTATGCCAACGGCGGCATCAAGGCCTTCTTCCCAGGCTTTGGACCAGCCTTGGCCCGTGCTGTGCCAGCTAACGCTGCTACCTTGTAAGCAATCCCCTTTCCCCTCACAGGGATCCATCTACTAACGCTGCGCTAGCCTGGGTGTCGAACTGGCCCACAAGGCCATGAACAAGTTATTCGACTAGGACGGTCTTGTACCAGTACATTGGCTTTTCTCTTATTCTGCAGCGTTGCTTATCTCGCCCATACTACGGATGGCTACTTATCAGGCTGGGTTCTTGTTGATTGTGGACTTTTTTCTCCCCACTATTTAGAGGCTTGAGGGACGACTGAGTTACGGACTTCTCTTGTATCTGGTTTGTAGATGACATGGAGTCTTGAAATAGAAATCCTGCGTTGCATGCCGTGAATCCTTTTGTTCAAGGGAAACGTTTTGACCGAAATCACATCCGGTGCCAATGCCCGGCCAAGCCCCACCATGAGGCTGATGGGACAAGCCCCACTCAGGGGGTAAACAGGCGAAGGAGGTGCGAGTGGCGGATTGGTTCGGAAGGGTGAGGCACGATACAGGAACTAGTGGCATTTCACGCGAGCTGGATGGTTTCGGATCGTTTCATGTAGGGGGAGAAAGGGCTCTATGCGGATACTCGAACACTGGACTGATAAGGAACACGCGATACTTCTTTTCCCTCCAAGGCTGGAGCCAGCCAAACGCAGGTTGATTTAGCCGAACCCGTAAATCCTCCAGAAGTGGAGTTGGGAGACGCAGCGCCCCTGGGGCCAAAGTGTCTCAGTTTATCCTCCGGCAACGCAAATTCGAGGGTGTCGTTCATAGGCTCTGAACCCCGGTCGGCCGTAGTGGACCCTGTTGCCTACCATCCTTTAACCTCCTCTTCCCCCTCTTATCCTCGTTTCCTTTCTCGTTTATTTCCCAGCTTCCCTTTCACCATGTCTGCCATCACCGCCCATGTGGTGCGTCGCAGCATCGAACTCGGCTCAGACCTCTCCGACAAGACACCCGGCCAGGTTGACGAGCTTCACCCTCCGGGCGCTCTCGTCGCTCTGGCCATATTCTCCTTCTTAATTCTTGCCTTGGTCACTGCTGCTGTGAGTATATTTGTCCAGGATTAACCCCCAATCGTGGTGCTCATATCGAATAGATTGATTACACCTATGGAAACGTTGTAGCAACTCTTGCCGCTGTCGAGGACTCTAATCCAGATATCTACGTCCGCATCGACCATGACGATCCTAACAAGCCTCTGAACCCAGCCGACCCGGAGCCTGCTGCGAATTCTCCCCTGAAGCCTGTGACCAGCTCGCTGCGGGCTACCATCCGTCACCTGCGTGCTCGTGCTGGCTTCTGGTCGCGTTTCCGCGGCCTGTCCATGTACTTGACTATGGGCATCGTTCGTGGCGTGCTCGCTTCACTCATTGTGCCCGTCGGAAGCTTCCTCGGCCAGTTCGTCGTCCAGTCTTTGATCAGCATTCTTTTCTCCACATGGCAGATGACTTGGGTGCATATTGTTATCACCGAGCCATCCCCTAAGCGCTTCTACCAGCGTCTCCCCAAGACCACAAAGACTTGGTTCAAGATTGCCCCGGCCGCTGCTCTGGTGGACATCGCCTCTGCTGCTGCTGTATTCCTGCCCATGGAGCTGGCGGGTGCTCTGTCCTCTTTCCTGACGCTGTGAATGATATGCCTGGTCTCTTCCGCTTCGCTGCCACCGCTGCTCTCCCGGCGCTGGTGGCTGTCTTGATTACCGTTCCTGCGCAGGTCGTCTTCGTCCGCGTGGCGGCTTCCATGCTGCCAGAAGAAGACGAGACCATTGTTCCCTTCGACCGCTCCTTCGGTGGAAAGGTCAACCCCGAGATCGTGGGTGGCAGCGGTAAGATTGGATTAGTGGACGCCTGGACCACTTTTGACTGGCCCGCTCGGGTTCGTCTTGCCAAGGTGATTGGTAAGACCTTCGCCATGCAACTTGCCGTGGGTGTGGTTGGATTCTTGGTTCTGGGGATCCAGATATACTTCATGGTTTCCAAGTCCAGCAAGACGCAGCCTCCTGCCTCGGCTCCCACCTCGCCCCCAACCTCCGCATAAGTACTGGTCTGAATGGCAATGATTCACTTCTCGTTTGGGAAGAACCAACCTTTTTCGGAGAGTACGCTCTGGCGGCTTTTAGTTCTTTCTTTTCTTACTATCATAACCGAACGGATCTTGAGCCAGCTAGATCACTTTGAAAGCGTTCTTTATTTAGCAATGAGAATGGAAGTTTCAAGTATGCACAATATTCCGCTAGTCGACAAAGCCAATGTGAAGATGGAATGCATGTATATTGCCTTTCTTCCAATGCCCGTGTAGCTTGCAAGCCATCTCACTCCCCGGTAGGCGGTAGGCCCCAAGCGTACCTGCGTGGCAAAGTCGATCTAGATTTGCCTCACCGCCTTCCATATTCAAATGACGCTTTCTCGCGCGAGGTCCCCCTCATTTGCCTCTTGGCTAACTCCGTCCTCTCCTCCCTCGTTCTTCTCCAACTTTCTGGCGTCTCGGCTTTCCAGTCCCGCAGAAAATGGCTACCACCCCGGCCGGTCGCATGCTGACCCGCCAGCTTCAGCAGATGCAATCTGACAAGGACATTCCCGGTATCAGCTGCGGTTTAGTCGATAACAATATCTTTGAATGGGAGGTCATGCTCATGATCTCCGACGATGTCAAGCTCTATGGAGGTATGGGCATTCTATATAGTCTCCTGCGTGGCTGCTCCCGGCTTACAGGGTGCGGGCACCCGTACAAGGTCAAACGAATGCTAACCTACTTTGACCTCAGGTGGCTTCTTCCGTGCTCGCCTTCTCTTCCCTCCAGAATATCCTCATATGCCCCCGAAGATGAAGTTCGAGTCTCCTCTGTTCCACCCAAATAGTAAGTGCTTGTCACCTGGCAGCCTGACGGGCTTGGACCTACAGCCCGACTGGCACAGATGTCGAGAAAGCCCCGCCTCGGTTATTGGTCCTTAGCTAACCGTCATTTTCCCTTTGCGCTACAGTCTATCCCAACGGCGATGTCTGCATCTCTATCCTGCATCCCCCCGAGGAGGATAAGTATGGCTACGAATCTGCCGCCGAGCGCTGGTCGCCCGTCCAGACGCCCGAAACCATCTTGCTATCCGTTATCTCCATGCTCTCTAGCCCAAACGACGAAAGTGCTGCGAATGTGGAAGCTGCTCGATTGTGGCGTGAGGATCCAGCTGAGTTCAAGAAGCGCGTGCGTCGTTGTGTTCGTGAGAGCCTAGGAGAGGATTGACCGCCTCTTCTCATGCCTTTACTTACCTCCTCCCACGTCTTCTTATGCCTTGAAACTCGTTTCTTATCTTTTATTTCCCTTTATCATTATCACGGTGCATCTGGATGGTCATTTTCTTCGGTTTTGCCTGGGGGGTGCCAATGGCCTCGGCCCATTACTTTCTGCGTGCTCCTGGTGTTGATCTCCATGACTGCATGTTAGAACGAGCGGTATGAGAGGGTCCAGCGTGTTTGGAGATGATCATTATCTATTACCTCATATCTCCTGGGAGCCTTCTTGCTTGCACGATCTGGGCGACTGGAGTTTTGCTAAATCTGCCGAACCTCGCATTTAGGTCTTTTTCTTGTTCTTTCCTTTTTTTTTTTCTTACGATATGCTATCTATGACAAATGAGAAAACGTCTTGTGCCAACACCAGTCTTCGACCTGGAGTTGAAACTGAAGAATACTCCACGTCTTTGCGATTTAGAGACTGAGCCTATCAGTGGCAGTATCATTGATATACCTCCCGTACGCTCCTCTACAAGGCTCTCTTTAAGAAGAATACGAGAAACCGTTTCCAGTGGTCGAAATCTTATATACTTGTGTATGTTGTAATTAAGCAAGTGATCTATGGAGCTGGTGCATGCTAGTGCTGGAGTCGTGAAATTCGTTACCCGCCATGCAAAGTCTATTTGCTGAAAGAAAAGGAAAAGGGAAAAGGAAGAAAGGAAATATCCCTCAGGCACTGAGGCTTGCAGAACCGGACAGTCCGGTACAGACCTAGACACGATTCTTAAATCCAGTGCGCATTGACGGAATGAATAAGCCGGGGTGGAAGGCAGTGAAAGCCAAGCATGCGAGGGCGATCATCCTACTCTTGTCAGAACTTTCCCCTTCATGGGATTATTGAAGATAGACTTACATTCCATCGAGGACCAAAAACTCATTCTCCTTCTGCATCAGGGGGCTACCCCAGCCACCAGCCATTTCAGGAATACTAACACGAAAGTTAGTCCACGTCTTCCTTGAGATCCCATGGCATTTTCCGACGGCACTCACCGATAGATGCATCGAATCAACACGGTAAAGTAGGCGAAAACCGTCGAACCAATCACCAGTCGCATCCGACTGGCAGAGATAGGTGATATGCCGCCGTCTGGGATCTTCTCGCCGGTCAGACCATTGCCATGACGCGCGACACTGATGAAGAATTGCAGTGCGAGCACACCACACACGGACATGGTAGCCACCTGGAAGGCAATACCGGCAATAATGATGTCGTCGCCAGCTTTCAGCATCGCGGCATCGTCGTTGCCTGCACCGGCGGCCACGCCACCTCCCGCGGCTTGTAGAAGTAAAGAACCGACGTCGCAACTGATGAAAATCCAGGTGAACAGGCGAGGCTTCAATTTCGAATACTCCGGTCCGAGGTTGAGTAAGATGTGCTTTAGAGTGAGGTAGATACCGGCAGCCACAAATGTCGGAGAGAGCACCAGGCAAACGATCTGTAGCTTGAAGGCGCCGCCATTCCATGGGTTGTAATGCATCAAGATTCGACCGATGTAACCCGCCAGTTCCATCCACGTTCCAATTCCCAACGCGACCATAAATGTCCATGTTCGATAGTAGACTCCGAGCCCGATTTGGCACAGCCCAAGGACACCGAAGAAGACGGCGAAGAAGACATTGCCTCCGAGATTAGGATAGTAGCCATAGGTCGTCGCTTCGACCGGGCAGAGCTCGGAGACCTGCGAGCAGGTCTGGTAGCTGGCCATTTCTCTCTTTCCCTCTCACTCAAGGAAGGAAGCAAGAAGAAGCACGCCGTCGGCCCTTTAAAGCGTTCGATTTGGTTCCGATCCTTATTTATCATCTCGCAAGTTTGACAGGAGCAGGAAACGGGGTGGTGGATCACACCCATCCATCAGGCCTGAGTCTATTGGCGCATTCGCTCGCTATCGTATTCGCTCTCGGATCCGACCCACCAGAGATCGTTATCATCGTAACGAATAGGGGTCCGTGAGGCTGTTGCCTGTTGCCTTTCCCCTCCAGGGACTTGTTCCTGCGGATACAGTCGAGGCTCGAATTCTGGCCCCACGGGCTGGTTGGTGAGAGTTTACCTCCTTTGGGTATATGTAGAACTTAGGATGGGGCCGTGCCCACAACGACTTTTGTTTTTCGATCGGATTCTGCCTCTGAGCCGTTTGGACAGCTCCGCCACGTTTTTGACAGGCCCCGTGGTGACACCGATACAGCTAGCAGATCGCTTCCACCATGCTTCGTTCCTGAACTTGAAGGATTAAAGTTTTCAAGGTTCCAGTCCGGGTCGAGTCAACGACGATCAAAGAAAACCTTCCAAGGGACATCCTTGGTGTTACTATAAGTATTCTTCAAGTCGAGGTACGGAAGTAACTGTATTTATCTCTGGACCGATTCGACTATTGAACCCTGCTCATGGTTCTCTCTGGGCACCTGGCCAATCGCGCGGTCGAGCCGCCCGCGGCTGAGTACTAGTTAGTTAGATTAGATCGAAGAAGATTCTTGCCTACGGCATATGGAACTGGAGCATGACGTTGACTGATCCAATCGACTGCGCTTGAGCGTTTCAACCACCAAATCAAGATCGGTCTCGTGTGTTGAGCTGCTTCGCCCTCAATACGGGAGAGCCCTTGGACAGAGGCCCTCTGTATTTTTCCTACACGTTCCCCCGCCAAGGACCTTGGACTTCTACACATTCGATACAGGCAAAGAATTCCTAAGTCTACAGGCCTGCCCTTTCTCTTGACATCAACGTCTCTCACTAGTTCTGATTGTATCCTGTTCGATCCTCTTTCACCAGCTTCAAGTTTCTAATGTGGTTCTTCATTTCCAAGGAATGGCGCTAGTCCCGATTAGGCGACGGCTACCGTTTGGAAAACGCGCTTCCTCCTACTTGGCGATCCTTTGGCGCGAACTTGACCATGATATGAGATTGAGTTTCAGAGGGGGGTCTAGGAAGGGTTCTTCCTCATATTCTTGCAGAATGCTCAAGCCGCTCGAATTGTCCCTCTTTCCTTCATGCATCCAGGCCGTTGCCTGGTCGTCCGACGGTGAACTTGCCGTGGCGTCGGGGGAACATGTCCAAATTCTGGTCTGAGGAAGATATTTAACTTGAACTCAAGGGTTCCGGAAGCTAACATTCTCATAGACTCCTAAAGCCTCGGATCAAGCCGACCCCGAACAAGAAGGCAAGGATGCGTGGGACACCATCCGCATCCGTGTCAATGTCTTCACAAACCTCGAGTGGGCGATTATTTACCCCCAGAGCCGCGATGACTTCAGCTTAGGTGTAGAGCAATCCTTCAGCCACGTAATCGGGATCGCATGGTCGCCTCCTGGTCTGGGTCGTTTCCGCCGCTCCGTGCTGACGGTCTTAACGGCCAATCTCATTCTATCCCTGTGGGAACCCGTGGGCGAGAATGGCCAATGGGTTCGCGTTGCTATCGTGAACCATGTCATGCACCCAGATCCTGGGACTGTCAGGGCCCTCCGAGGCGAGGAGCTCCGTCGATTCAACATTCGCTCATTCCACTGGTGTCCTCCACTCCTGGTACCGAACTCTCCCGTCTCATCTCAATCCTCGTCCGATCCGGAAAGCCGATGGGGCATTCATTTATTGGTGGCAGCAAACGACAATAACGAGCTGGCTATGTTCCGTGTTCGCCGGTTTCCAAAATCCCAATCCTCCCCACAACCTTACTGCGTCGAAAAGTTGGCCTTTCACCCGGTCAAAGCTGAGGGTGCCTTATTTCCCCAATCAAACCCGGAAACCATTCTTTCTAGAACTCTCCAGGAGCGAGCGCGTATTTTAAGTGTGTCATGTGGCCCATGGGATTGGTCTGCATCGCCTAGGGACAGCTCGAGCAGCTTCGCTAGTGCCATGGTAGCGGTGACATACGGGGCGCGGCTTCTGGTCTTCAAAGCCTCTGTGGGCCTTAATGATTTACACGCCGAGGAGAAAGTGACGCCGCGCTACGAGGCTATTGCAAAATTTGCGGATCATACTTTGGGCTCAATGGTAAAAGAAACAGAGTGCCACCGCGTCACTGGACCCCTTGAATGGCTGCACATGGTCGAAGAGGATGGCCGCGGAAATGATCAACTCCAGGGAACCCAGGAACAGGGATCCTCGAGGAACATTATCCTTGTTGTAGGCATTATCGGTGGGGTGGTGACATTGTCAATACCTCTTTCAGTCTACAACGAAAGCAGCAAAGACACAAAAGCCGTGAAAGTTCAAGACTGGCCTGCACCAATTTTCCCTGCGAAGAATAAAGATGCGGAGCCACATCTAGAACCGGTCTCAGGTAAGTGAAACAAATGGGGCTGTTATCCTTCTACTGAAACCGATCCAGGATTCGTTTCATCAAAAAATGCACGTGGCACACCCGTTCTTCAGATGGGTACTTTAGGTGGACTGAGGGGATGCATGAGTCTGAATCCGTCGGGAGAACTTGATGCGTGGACCTTGCCGCCTTGGAGCAGAACCGTTGACAACTTTCGAGAGCAGTATGATCTAGACCTCGATCTAGGCGGAGAAACGACGGTTCGCATCTGGGGAGTAGCCACGTGCCGCGGGCTTTCTGCTGTGCTATTCACACGACATCCCACCGATATGATCGAGTATAGGATGTCATCTGCTGAAAGGACAATGATTGCCTTTGGATCAGAAGAGCTTCACAGTCTACTTGATCTGTATTCGCGGCTGCGATCCGGGAATGGCGAGTTGCCACCTGCTTCCGAACAACGAGAAGGTGTGATTACCTTTTTGCTTTCCTGTGGAGTATGCGACAATATACAGAGCCATGAGGATCAGAAGCTCGTTTACGCGGCGGCTTGCTGTGCTATTGTAGACAATCAAAAGGAGGCGATTCGGTCACAAGCCCGACGAGCGCTGGAACACTTGACAACCTTGACAGGAGCCGATCTGAGCATCGAGATTTCTAAGTGCAATGCTGACCCGTCGCACATTCCTTTCAAACCGTCCCATTTGCGTGACAGCCCTGCAGCTCATCTGTTTGAATGGTGCGAAGTCTGTGGCTCGAGCCTCAGCTGGTCTTCACCGGATGAAGCACAGTGCGCCGAGGGTCACGTATTCGGTACGTCTAAAAATTCAATCGTTGGTCGCAATATCCGGACTGACGCTTCGTGAAATAGCGCGCTGTAGCCTCAGTTTCCTGGCAATCCAAGAGCCTGGGATATCCAAGTACTGCCCCGTTTGCCAGAGAGAATTTTTTGACGAAGACGAGTTGGCTAGTCTACCCGATAGTCATTTCGGACCCTTGTTTCGGAAGCTCTTCGAAGCGTATGACGCCTGCATATACTGTGAAAGCAAGTTTCAGAGTAGCTAGTGCTGGCAACGCTCAATTCCTTTTCGACATTCTATGGTGACTTGATCCTAGAACGCCACTGGACGAATGGAACTCAAAAGAAAGTAAGAGGGAAAGAACGAAGGCTAAGACGCGGTCGAAAAATGACTGATTTTCATGCATTGATCATGCTTATGTGCTACGGGGGAGGCTCTTGAGACCAGCCCGAGTAGCGCACCTGCGATGGGATTCCATTCATCGTCCCACCGCCGGGTGCTCTCTTTCTGGGCCCCAGAGCGAAGTGCTTCCAGCGCCTCGTCTTCGCCGAAAAGGTCCACAAGGCGTTCGGAGAGTTCCAACGAGCTGCCAAAGCCCATGCCGTTTACCCCTTCTGTCACCAATTCCGGCCACGCTTCAAATCGACTCCAGCCAAGCACAGGCAGCCCGGCACCGAACATGTCCACCACCTTCATCGGTAGATCTACCCCGCTGCTACTGGTATGCAGGCTGACCCCTAAAGATGCAGATGCTAATAGTTTGGCGTAGTTCGCCACACTCAGCCACGCAGTCCGAATGATGACCTTTTCAAGTTTTCCCTCTGCTTCAAGCGCGGCTATCTTCTGAAGATAGAACCCCTGCTGGGGCCCTTTGCCTGTGATTATAGCTAATATTGCTGGAAGCCGCGGGTTAGTAACGGCTTGTTTGGAATACTGCACCAGACCGTCGATGAGGACCCCAAAATCCTCATCCGGCGTCCAAGAGGTCGAGCTGACAAGCACCCGCATCATTCCTGCTTCTAGAGAAGAGCGCATGTCTTGGGCCTCGGGCAAATTTACGAGAAACCGCATTCTTTCGCTGTCATCGTGGATTGGAGAGAAGTGACTTGCTGGGCGATCATGGAGAGGTAATATGGGAGCCTGAAGTTGGAAGTCCTTTTTGAGGACCATCCGCATCGCGTCGGTGACGCAGAAATGAGCTGAAGCTGATCTGCAAAAAATCTTCTCGTACTTGACCGAAAATTTAACCAGCGGATGATTTGGACCGAGCTTCAAGGCCAGAATCGAGTATCCGAAATTATGCCAGTCTATTACCAGTCGGGTCTGCCGTAGGAAGCATGATAGGGAAGCAACAGCCAGAGTGGGGATCGAAGGAGGATTCTACTCGATTGAGGAACGGAGTTAGCCATAAATCAGGTCGTAAAGTCCACTTTGCAGGCACATTACCTGCACGATAAGCCATTGCGACGGCGGGGTCGTGTATGCAAGACACCACCAGAGGCAGACAATCTGAAACAAGACCTTCAACGGCCCACAGAGTATGAAAAGAAGCTTGTTACTCGTTTGAAGAATCGAGGGATGTGGCCGGATTGGGACAATGGTGACATTGGGGCTCGCAATCAGGTCGGGATGCGGATCCGACTCTGTTGTTGCTTTCTAGTCAGCGCTTCCAATTGCAATGGCCATGCGCACAGCTTGGATTCGGCTCTTCTTTGTTTCTCTCACCTGCATAACCAATGACAACCACCTTCCCACCGTTCTTTGCAATACTTAGGGCATGGTACTGCATGCGTGGACTCCGGCCAAGGTCCCCCAGCACGAGGATCTGTACGGTGGGCTTTGCCGACGCATCGGAGCTCCTGGCCCGAGGATCATATTGCGCTGGAAGAAGCAGGATCAGCACCGTCAGCACACTCGATAGAACAAATGCGACGCTGATTACCGTCTCGATCATGACGAGAGTTGCAGCAGTCGCAGTTGCAGTCGCAGTCGCAATCGTGAAGGAGGACGCGTCTGTTGATCGCGATAAGGTCACGTGCTCCTCCGCGGAGAGTGGGCGTGAGGATGATCACACTAGTCTGCTTTAGTTCCATTTTGATAATGGCCTCTTGTTGACCCCTACTGCTACATCATGGACCTGCTCTGCATTGCGCCCTAACCGTCTTTCCCCCGAATCGAGAAGTTGATCATTTTATCCTCGTGCCATCTCCATCCTGCATCCCTATCCTCCTGTTTTTGCGCTCAGCTATCGATAATGTCTACGGGGGCGTCGCCCTTACCTGCGGACCCTATTGCTCCCGCTGCCTCCAATGGTCATGCTCACGGACATAGTCGTGGCCGCGGTCACAATCGATCTCGCTGGGCCCCACCGCCACCACCTCTTGCCCTCGCGAGCACGGATGCCGTATCAAAGTCTCCAAACTCACCAACCCCTGTAAATGCAAGCTATTGCTACAGCCACACCCCTCAACAATCACTTTCTCATTCCCACGCCCATTCATTGTCTCAGTCGACCTCTCATCATCATAATCACCAACATGAGCATGACCATGACCATAAATCACACTCGATGACACAGACAGAATACAGAAGTGGTCAATTGTTAGTAATGGAGATGTGGATGTATAAAGGAAGGGACTGATCATGGAAATTATAGGCAAGAGATCGTTGCCGCCGCTCTTATCACAGTCCCCTGGATAGCCATTTCATGGTACCCCCGGAAATGTGCCCAGGTGTGTCTTGCGAACCCCACTGCGACGCCGAATACGCCGGGACAAGCCGTGCAAAAGACGGGGTTTGTGACTGCGCTCACTCTGTTCATTTTCGGTTGCTCTCAGCTTGTACGGGCACACCAACAAACCGGGAGTTCGATGGACATGTCTGCAATCAAGTTTCCAGCTGCAACGGTGAAGACAGCACAGACGGCTTTTTTGCAAATCTGCTCAGTGGGACTTCCCATTTTTGCTAGTTTAAAGGTCGGTGGCTTTATGGTGGCATATTCTTTACTTCTCGCAACAGCCTCCGGGGTGCCGACTTTGGTGCGGACGAACCTGCATAATGCGGCGGCAGAGCGGTATAAGCAGAAACCGTTTACAATTGCTCTTTTGACAGCAGCGACAATGTTGAGCATGCTTGGCTTGAATAAATCATGGGACTCAGCGCCATTAATGGGATACATGGCATTGATTACGTCGATTTTTGTATTGCCTCCTCCCTTTCCGTCGCTTCGATTCCAAGGTCCCATCCCAGAGCCTGGGCTTGTGGCCGAATCCTTATCCCAACAACGCAAGATCTCAGGCACCGGCCAACCAGCGGTCCTTGTCACAGCTGATGCACCTCTAGCTTTAATCTCTGCCATCTCACTAGCCGTGGTGAGCTTCATTGTCTCTCGAGGGGTGCCTTTTGAGTTGTCTGACCTGGGCTACCTCCTGATGTCTGCCGGTCCTTTTGCCATTAGTCTGATGATCGTAGCCCCTGCAAGCATTCGCTCTGGCGAGAAACTGGGACTTGGTGTTTGCACTGGAGCAGCAGCCCTTCTATCTTCTCCTCACATTGAGGATGAGCTCGTTTTTCTATATGCAGTACGCGGTGTTCTAGCAGCAGCGTCATTTTTCGCTTCCAGAATGGATGATAGCCGTCTTCGACTGGAAGACCACTCTCATAACCATTCTCATCATGACCACAGTCATGCCCATAATACTGAGTTGACCAGGGTCACCAAGTGGTTAATTTCGCGCAGCGAAGCTTATCCCTGCTCTACAGCATTCTTAAGGAGAAAGACTCGCGAAGCATCTTCTACTTCATGTGGTAAGGGCTGGATTGCCTGTTCGTACTGATACATGGATGAATCACTGACTGCTCATAGCCTGAATTTCACTTTCATGCTTGTCCAGCTATCGTATGGCTTCCTTACGGGATCCCTTGGACTGTTGAGTGATAGCATCCATATGTTCTTTGACTGTCTTGCTCTTGTGGTTGGACTCTGTGCTGCCGTCATGAGTAAATGGCCACCTAATGCTCGCTTTCCATATGGCTACGGCAAAGTTGACACGTTGTCCGGGTTTGCCAACGGGATCTTCTTGATGTAAAGTTGCGTCGGATATTTTTACCGTGTCGTTGCTAACTATTTGCAGGATTATAAGTGTGGAGATTATCTACGAAGCGGTAGAACGACTCTCGACAGGAAGCGAAATGCATCGTATCGGAGAGTTGCTGGCCGTCAGCGTGGCTGGGCTACTTGTCAATCTTGTGGGCATTTTCAGTTTTGAACACGGCCATCATCATCACGGCCATGATCACGGCCACGACCACTCTCACGGTAATGAGAATATGCATGGAATTTTCTTGCATATTCTTGCCGATACGCTTGGATCAGTCGCTGTGGTCATTTCCACCATCCTCGTACACTATTCTGGGTGGTCTGGCTATGACCCATTGGCCTCGTGCTTCATTGCCATCTTGATCTTTGCCTCGGCCGTGCCGCTGGTCAGTAGCACGGCCAAAACTCTACTTTTGACTTTGCCAGCCGATACAGAGTACAATCTTCGTGAAACCCTCGCTGGGGTCAGCACCTTGCGCGGAGTGGTGAGCTACACAGTCCCTAAGTTTTGGCTCGACGACACAGGATCTTCCTCTGAGGAGCATTCCCACTCCCACGCCCACGCCCACGACCATCACCATGATGCCCACGACCACAGCCATGGTCATAGCCATGGTCATCATCATGGACACTCCCACGATCACCACCACCATGACCATGACCATGACCATGACCATGACCATGAGCACGAACATAAAAATCAAAAAGTGTTAGGTGTGATCCATGTGATTGCCTCTCGAGGTTCAGACCTTGAGGACGTGCGGCAGAGGACGGTAGCCTACCTCGGGCAAAAGGATATGGACATCGTTGTCCAGGTAGAGCGCGATGGTGAGGGGCGCTGCTGGTGTGGCGGGGGAAACAAGAGCCCTTGAGCGATGGCGCCATGTTTCATCTGGTAAAGACCTACAGTGGCCATATTCCTACAAAGACTCTAGCCGCATCACCGAGTCTGACATTAAGAGAAGGCCATGATTTGTTATGTACATGCTACGAAGGCCCACCGGCCAATACCAATACATATACCCAGTTCTAGGTAATGTTCAGACGTCAAGTGGACATGATTCCAGTTGCATCTCATGCGTGAACTCACATGTAACTTGGAAGTATTTGTGCGACCCGAGACTCTGCCCCTTGATATATGACCCCGGTGGCTCCTAGTTACTAGGTACTACTATCTTACTTCCCTGTATCCAATAGAAGACTTAGCAATCAACTTTAGGTTGATATTCCGTACAGACGTGGTCCCTCATGTAGCCCAAGACTCGTGAGGCTTCTGATATCATGCATGAGGTCCTCCCTCTTCTCCTCCCTGTCCTGCGCGTGAAAAGGAACTTCCCTGGGCAAAGTTAACCTCCAAGACTATGGTCGATGATCTGTGTGACATTCTTGACTTCCGAGAAGGACCTCGGCAGCATATGTCACTTTGTCCACGTTGATATGAACAACAAAGCACCCTGGAAAACAGACAAAACTGAAATCAAGTCATAATCTTGAAGTGGTTTGAAGACCAGAAGCAAGTCTTGCGGACTCTAAGTGAGCTATTGTGACCATTGGATATTTGACTTGATGCCAGTGAGTACGACGTTTCCTTGCGTTAGGTAATTCGTCGATCTGAAAGTGCAGCCAGGACAATCAGAAAAGTCTTACTTATGACAACAGACATCCCGAAACTTACCAGAAGTACCCCTTTGCAAGATAGAATTGGTGCGATCAACATGCCAGAAACAAAGTATAACTGAACTTGAGGTAGACTGACAGACATCGACGGTGCTTTTTAGAGAACCAGGTAACACCGACTGAGCCTATATATCTGAACTCAGGCTTTAACCTGAGCCAGCTATAGAACAGTTTGCCCAGTTTCCAAGGGCTCTCCCTTCTGCACTCATGCAGTCACACGCTGATCAAATTATCCGGGAAGGATATACTAAAGAGTTTGCGAAACACACAGTTTTACTGACCGGGAGCACGGGGTCCCTCGGTGGGTGTCTTCTGTACAAGTTGGCGCTGCAATTGCCCACCCGCAAAATCTACACTTTGATTCGAGGCAGTCCAGAGCAAGCGATCGAAAAATGGACTAAAGCGATGCCGGATCAGACACCAGCTATCATGGCTTCGAATAGGACGGAGTTTGTGACTGGTGACATGACGGCGCCCGATTTCGGCATTGAGTCTGGTACTTTGCACCAGCTGCAAGACCAAGTGACCCTCGTCATTCACACAGCAGCTAAGATAACGCTCGATGCGAGTCTCCCTGAAGCCCTTGAGAACAACTGTCTCCCGTCATTGGAGATGGCGCGGATAGCCTCTCAATTCAAGCGTTTAAAGCTCCTGGTCCAGCTATCAACCGCATACGTCAATAGCTTTCTCCCAGACGGCCCCGTGCTCGAGAGACCGTATTCGTTGACAGAAGAGGACCCTGAAGACGAACTTGCCTCCATTTTCAGTTTGGGCCAATCCCCGCACTCCGATCGGTTTTCATCAAGCTACGCTCAGGCAAAATATCTAATGGAGCGACTTCTCGCTCAACGGTTTCCACTCTTACCGATTTTGCTTGTTCGACCAACGATCTTTGGACAAGCATTCCGTGACCCGTATCCGTTGTACGGACTCGAAAACTCTACGCCCCTGAATAAATTCTTTCAATACTTCGTGGCTGACCAAGACAGCACGCAGATCTGGCACGCCGCGAGAGGATATAAAACAGGAGCTAATGTGCTCGATGAAATCCCAGTGGACTTTGTTGCCAATGCGTGTCTTCTTCATGCATCGGCACACACGGCGGGAATCGTGCAGGTCGGATCAGGGCTTTATGAGCCTTTCACCTTCGATGAATATCTGGAGATTGTGAATTCGAACGCCCCGCCAGCTATCCTTTCCACACTCCCACGGGTGGTCTTTACAGAAGACCGGGAAGCGCCCCAATGCTTCCTCGCCGAATTGGTCCAAGTCGCCTCGAGAAACTGGCTGTTTGACTGTGGGAGGTCGTACTGGCTAAAGCAAGTGGGCGGGCCGTTGAACCTGCGGTCATGTAGGACACAGGTAAATGACTTGAACCAGCGACGAATCGCTCTGATTTACAGTCGACTGGCCCGGGCTGGCAAGGCTCGACTGTGAAAGGTGGGCCCGGAGGTAGAGTTGGAAGTATATATGCTGGTAGCCGGTTCCCTTAAAGCTTGGATGTCAAATATCGCATTTCTGGCTCAAATGTCATCTTCGCTTTTTCATGTTATGGAGCTTGACAGACTCAGATACTCGCGCAGTCCCCGTTCTTGTATATCGTCGAAAAAAGGAATAAAGCGAGGTCAAGAATAAGTAAAGACTTAGTTTTTATGACGCAACATCCTGCAACTCGGAATAACCCGATCAGGGAATTTATCCCGTGGAGATCCCCCTCCTCCAAAGTCCCCGCCAGAATTCCCTCATTTCATACCACCTGCTCTTGCTTCGTCTTCCTACTTCCCTACTGGAGGAAGTTCACCAATCGATAATATTGAACATCGCCAACTGCCTCTATAATGTCGACTTCTGCTCGCCGCCGTCTCATGCGGGACTTCAAGGTACGTTACTGGGGACCTTGATCGGGAATGAAGACTGGAGGCCGCGGATGGGACTCAACAATCTCTAGCCTGACCAGGAATGGGAGTTTGTGGAAGAGGAGGCTGTCTCGAGCTACCTCATCCCTAAAGAAACCCGAAAACAGTGAGACCCTGCGGAACAGCCTGCTAACTGATCTCCCCTATCAGCGCATGCAAACCGATCCCCCGGCCGGTGTTTCTGCTTCCCCCGTTGCAGATAATGTCATGACTTGGTGAGGACGGAGTCACCTCGGCAGTTGGATCATCGGCTAATTGTTCGTCTAGGAACGCTGTGATCATCGGTCCGGCCGACACGCCTTTCGAGGACGGTACCTTCCGCTTAGTGATGAACTTCGAAGAACAGTATCCCAACAAGCCCCCTGGCGTCAAATTCATTAGCCAGATGTTCCATCCCAATGTCTACGGCACGGGTGAACTTTGTCTTGATATCTTGCAGAACCGGTGGAGCCCGACATACGACGTGGCGGCCATTCTCACGAGTATCCAAAGGTAGCGTGGCCGGCTTCACTACAGAGCTGGTATACAAAAGAAGGGAACCATCGAAGCTAACCGGCCCCTTATAGTCTGCTCAACGATCCTAACACTTCGTCACCCGCCAATGTCGAAGCCTCCAACTTATACAAGGACAACCGGAAGGAATACGTCAAGCGTGTACGAGAGACCGTGGAGAAGAGTTGGGAGGATTAGACGACCGCATTTTCTACGGTTTCACATTACCCCCCTTGGTATCTTTCTCGACTGGAGCGGTCGATCTTCAGAGTTACTTTTCAGAACATTCCAAGCGTTGGGGCTAAAACGCGTTCGGAGATGGAAATGCCGAGTCAAGTATCGCCTTCAACCGGACCGTTTGATCTGCACAGCGTGGGGTTTCGGCGTCTGGTCCCTTTTCTCTTCTTTTCACGGTCGGACCTTTTCTTTCTTATTTTCTCTTGCAGTTTTAGTCTTGCATCGTCGATTCCCCCCCATCCCATCTAGTATGAGCTTATGAATATTGCACTTTGGTTCGGAGCCTTTCCTTGTAGATCTGATCTTCCTTCATAATCCCTAAGCCTTGCACCATTTTGAGACACCTACTGTTGTGAACCAGATCTCCAAACGCGAATTGGAGGGCCAGTGTCGTTGGTTCAAAAGCCGCTTTCCTGTATTTTAAAGGGTTTCGTAAACAAGTGGTGTTCCGATGGCTCTGCAGCGCCCAAGTGGTCGGAGCATCAGGGCGGTCAGTTGTTGCGCATCAACAAAACAATCGTCCCCCCACAGACTCCTCTTCAGGACTCCTTCTCCCATAACCCACACACCCCCTTGGGCTTAGCTCTAATTTCGGTTTCGTCTTTCCTTGAATCATTCGTTCGACTGGCCTCGCAGGTAGTGGAACAACCTCCCTGACTCTCCAATCTTCGGCACAGAGCTGCCCCTCTTCGGGGACCTACTTTCTAGTGACAGAGCTGGTGAACCACAAAGATGGCGTGAGTCTCCGCGGGGAAAAAAAATGATGGATCTCAACGGGCCTCGCTAACTTGGAGTTATAGGTCCGCGGGGTCGAACACCATTAAGGGTATGTAAAGAAATAGGAGACGAAGGCGACAACTGGCGCAGGGACTAACCTCGTGCCAATAGTGGTGGCCAGATTCCGACCTCAGAACAAGGTGGAGTTGAGCTCGGGTGGAACCCCAATTGTCGAGTTCGAAAGCGAGGAGTCATGTCGTATCAATGTGAGCGGCCATCATGGAGTGCCTCCCCAGGAAAAGGAGGCATGCTGACCGGATATCTCTAGTCCAAAGAAGGAACTGGTACCTTCACCTTTGACCGCGTGTTTCCGATGGACTCTCTCCAAGCCGACATCTTCGATTTCTCAATCAGGCCTACTGTCGACGATATTCTCCAAGGATACAACGGAACGGTGTTTGCGTACGGTCAAACGGGTGCCGGAAAGTCGTACACAATGATGGGTTCTGATATCGACGACGAGGCCGGAAAGGGTGTGATTCCTCGTATTGTGGAGCAGATTTTCGCGAATATCCTGACGAGCCCAAGCAGTATGGAATATACGGTGCGGGTCAGTTACATGGAAATCTATATGGAGCGCATTCGGGATCTTTTGGTGCCGCAAAACGACAACCTACCCGTCCACGAGGAAAAGGCCCGCGGCGTCTATGTCAAGGGTCTATTGGAGGTCTACGTGTCTAGCGTCCAGGAGGTCTATGAGGTGATGCGGCGCGGTGGAAACGCACGAGCCGTGGCGGCTACCAACATGAACCAGGAGTCGTCCCGTTCGCACTCAATATTCGTCATTACGGTTGCTCAAAAGAACCTCGAGACGGGTTCTTCCAAGAGCGGTCAACTGTTCTTGGTCGATTTGGCAGGTAGTGAGAAAGTCGGCAAGACCGGAGCCAGTGGACAGACCCTCGAAGAAGCCAAAAAGATCAACAAGAGTTTGAGTGCGCTTGGAATGGTCATCAATGCACTGACGGACGGAAAATCAAGCCATATCCCATACCGTGACTCGAAGCTGACGCGGATTCTGCAAGAATCGCTCGGTGGTAACTCTCGCACGACGTTGATTATCAACGCCTCCCCCAGTAGTTACAACGACGCAGAGACCATCTCAACTTTGCGCTTCGGTGTACGAGCGAAGGCGATTAAGAACAAGGCAAAGGTCAACGCGGAGTTGAGCCCGGCCGAGCTGAAGATACTGCTTCGCAAAGCGCAGACCCAGGTCACCAACTTCGAGACATACATATCCGCCCTCGAATCCGAGGTCAACACTTGGCGCGGTGGTGAAAGTGTCCCTAAAGAACAATGGACTCCTGCCAGGAGCAGTGAGCTTGTGAGTGCCACTAAGGCCGATGTTCGTGCGGCCCCTCGACCAGCGACGCCGTCCCGGCTGCAGGAGACCGCTCGAGCCGAAACCCCTCGGCCTGACTCCCGATTTGGAGAACGGTCCAGCACCCCCCAGCCTGGTGCTGGAAAAGGATGAGCGGGAAGAGTTTCTGCGCCGTGAGAATGAGCTCCAAGATCAGCTCGCCGAGAAGGAGACTCACATCGCGAATGTCGAGCGTAGCCTCCGTGAAGCTCGTGAAGAGCTCAAGTCAATCAAAGGAGACGCTGGACGATCAGGCAAGGACAACGAACGCCTGAACACCGAAGTCAATGAACTCCGCATGCAGCTCGAGAAGGTGTCGTATGAAGGCAAAGAGGCCGCGATCACTATGGACGGTCTGCGCGAGGCCAATGCTGAGTTGACCAGCGAACTCGATGAGGTGAAACAACAGCTGCTGGACGTTCGCATGCGAGCCAAGGAGACTACGGCCGCGCTCGACGAAAAAGAGAAAAAGAAGGCCGAAAAGATGGCCAAGATGATGGCCGGGTTTGACCTAGGCGGTGATGTGTTCTCGGATAACGAGCGCAAGTTGCAAGACCTGATTCAGCGGGTTGATGCTTTGCATGAAATCAGCTCTGCCGGAGAGCCCATTGCCCCTGATGATGTTTGGAACTTCGGACCAGCCTCTTGGAAACCCAAGGCTTTATCCGTCAAGCCGAGTTGACGATGAACGACCGCGGAGACTTCAGCGAGCTGCAGGACAGCCGCCGGGCTGAGCTGGAGAAGAGGCTCGACGAGGTCCAGCGTGAATACGAGGGCCTTCTGAGTCGCAACCTGGGCGAGGCTGACGTGGAGGAGATCCGGGAGCGACTGGAAAAGTCCTTCATCAGCCGTAAGGATGCAGAGACTGCGGCTGTCGAGGAACTGCGCACCCAGATTGCCCGAAAGGACGAGGAGTTGACTAAATTACGCCAGTCTCTTGTTGATACCGAATCCCGGACGTCAACAAACGGCGCTGCAAGCAAGACATTGCACCAGCAGATCGCCGAGTTTGATGCCATGAAGAAATCTCTGATGCGGGATCTGCAGAACCGTTGCGAGCGAGTGGTCGAACTTGAGATTTCTCTGGACGATGCCCGAGAGCAGTACAACAATGTCCTGCGATCATCCAATAATCGGGCCCAGCAGAAGAAAATGGCGTTCTTGGAACGCAACCTTGAGCAGCTCACGCACGTCCAGCGCCAGCTTGTGGAACAGAACAGTAGCCTGAAGAAGGAGGTTGCCATCGCCGAACGGAAGTTGATCGCTCGAAATGAGCGCATTGCCAGCCTGGAGGGCCTGCTGCAGGAAAGCCAAGAAAAGCTGACCCAAGCCAATCATCGGTATGTTCCAGCGTCTTCCGATATGCGATTTCTAGACGTCTAATGCTAACCATGGGATAGATTTGAGGCACAGCTCACAGCCGTGAAAGAGCGATTGGAGGCCGCGAAGCAAGGGTCCACCCGCGGGCTCCCAGCCATGGATGGCAATGGGAGTTTCAGCTTTGGAGGGTCTCGCATTGCGAAACCTTTACGTGGCGGGGGCGGCTCGGACGGACCAACGAATGTCAACATCGCCGGCGTACAATCGCAGGAGACGGCCAGCAAACGTTCCAGCTGGTTCTCCAACCGCAAATGATCCCCTCGCTCCACCGGAGAGTTGCATGACTGTGGCCATGATCCTTCTCAAATGTGACGGGTGTCTGTCATGGACTCCAGATGTGGTACAATTTCTTCTTTTGTCCTTGGCCTTTGGCTGATTCCCCACGCTTTGCTTCTTAACGCTGTCCCACGAAACCCCAACTTCTTGCTTTTCTTCCACCCCTCCCCTTCGGAGCAATTGGCGACCTTGCGCCAGGGTTGCTCCATTTTTCTTGCCTTTCCCTGATTGGTGTTCGGTTCTCTTGATCCCCCTTTACTTTCTTTCTTTCTTTTTGCTAGGACATTATATCGTCGGAGGGTCTTGGCTCTTCCTGATACCCTTTGTACATCAAACCCAGATAGAGTGCGACGGAGCGGGCGAGGGTCTACGCTACAGGTGGGTTTGCTGTGACTCTTGACGCGTCACGAATGATATATATACAACGATAGTCCCCGAAAGTTATTGAGCCCGCCATTGAATGTGAATACTTGTTTCTGAACTTCCCGACGATCCTTGCAGGAAGAAATTAGAGATCTCTGCCCTCGGACGACCTTGGGCATGGAGGCTCACGCAACGGGGACGGTTAAGAGTTGCTCTACAAAGCCCTGGTAGCCCCGCTCGGTGTCTCTGAGATGGATTTCGAGAATCCAATGTCTCTTCAGGCCATCTTTGCCGGGCTGGACCATTGCGCCATGGTTTCCCTCGGTAATGTACAGCTGAATTCGATCTTGCGGGATTCTTTCGTGGGGGAAACTGCCGACCTTGATGTTCGATAGGTTAGGGATGGGGCGTGAAGAAGCAGGGACCAGCGGGGCTTACTATATGACCAGCGATGTCGGCCCCAAAGTCATACCCCCGTTCCTTTGCCTCCGCCCTGGCAATGGTGTATAGCTCGTGGCCCGTCATATCGGGCTTCTCATCGAACTTCGCCTTGACGGTGTCCCAAATGGGCTGCAGAGAATCGCGGAGTTTGATCTTGTGCGGGTCATTTCCTGCGATGAAGGTCAGACTTGGGTAGCTGCCGATCGAGACCTGCTTGAGACCTTACCGATCACGTAGGTTCGGCCAATGTCGGCTTCGTATTTCTCCAGCACCGGGCCCAAATCCACGATGAGGATATCGTCCTCCTGAATGACGCGGTCTGGGGGGGTTCTCCGCGAACGGACTCAGCGTGTTCGGTCCACTGCGAATGACGCGCTTGTGCCAGTGCGTCTTGATGCCAAAGCGATCCAACCCGATCTGATAGATTTCCTCGCTGAGAGTCTTTTCGCTAACTCCGGGGCGTACAATCTTGTCAATTTCATCGAAGAACTCATAAGCCTTCACCTGAGCTTCGAGGAGCTTCGAAGCACGTTCCGCTTCTGCGTCAGCCATGACTGAATAGACCTGGGCCTGGAGGGTGGCAAAGAGGAATGCTCAAGAAGAGGGACGGGGGTGGGGAAGTAGGTGTTCCCAGAGCGGGGTATTCTACGATTTCGAGACTGGGGGAGAGATCCTTCGGGGAGGATATACAAGTTCAACTACGATTAGCTGTGGAGTAACGAAGACGTGCTGACTGCCTGGAGCTGGCCGTTACATCATTGGGCTTATTTCGGATTGGCCTCGACAATCCAAGTGAGCCAGTGGGCATGCTCTCGACGCCAATGTCGATTTTCCCCCGCACGCTATTCTCAACCCGGAAAGATCGAGCCCCGCTCAACAAGCGGATCCCACAGCGGATGCGAGGCGGCTTGCATAGTCAAGTGGAAGGGGGCTAGATGGTGATAATGCATCAAACTTTACTATTATAAGTTCTGGACTTGCTCAGCAAGTGGAAGACACCCAAATCGTCTTCTTCTTTCAGTCTTTCCATGACTCAACAAGCATATTGATCATCGAGGCGGTTCTGAGTCCCAGGTCCCTTGTAACCCCATGCAGGATATCTAAAATAGTTCGACGCTCGGTCGATCCCTCTATACATTTGCCAACACCAAACAGCAGAGGGATCATATGCACGCGGACGGCGCCATGAGGTCTACCCAAGGCAATACTGCATACCTCACGACAGCGAAACTCGACTTCTTTGGTGACTTCTCGGTATCGTTTCAAGCGATCGAAGGAGCTTCCAAGAGACGGAGAATCGTTCTCTGGGCGGTTGAGAAGAAGGGCAATGCGTCCAAAATGATAGTGTTGCATGGCAGCTGCGCAGGTAGATGAGCTGAAAAGGGTCTCTGGAAAAGGCAGAACCGTTCCGTCGGTGGTCCTCGGGCGTTCAATGCGAATGTAGGGCCGGAAGGTCTCGGGGGCTCCTTCGAACCATGATTGAAAAGCAAAACATAGCTCTAACCATGCGACAGGGGTCGAAGAGAGCGATGCTGCTGGACTGGCACTGCCCTGCAAGCCCCTTTCTGTCGTCGACCCCGGAGATTCCGTCAACCTGCACAGTTGAGACTGTGCCAAATGGGCCAGAAAGTTGACCAACTTACTCAGGAGCCAAATCAGGCCATTGAATGCTTGGTCCTCTTCGCTGGACTTCAAGGTTCCACCGGAGCCCATATCGAAGCCCCTCGTACCATCGATAGAGAGGCCTGCAGCGCGCCACAATGGGAGATTTGTAGGATCCAGATGGGTGGGCACCCGCAGCATATAGGAACCACAAAAGTCCTGACGGGCAAGATTCCAAAATGAAGCCCGGATACCATGAGGCATATCCGCTGGCTGAGAATCATACAGGGACACCAAGGACTCGAATAACCGGCCAATGCCCGAAAGATGCCTGGGAATTCCGCTTGTTAGGATATAAGCATTTAGAAGCTGGCAAGCATGGGAGCTTACAAATGCCATTCTTGTATATCGGAGTCGAGGAGCTTATAGAATATCATGAGTGTCACAGTGGCTAGACTGTTTTCCAGTTGGCTTATCTGTGCTTTGCCATCTGTTTGCAGACCAGCTTCCGAGACGTTTTGGCCTGCAATCCAGTTGTTCAGAGATTCAGTCGGAGAGTCGAATACAGTTGAGCTGGACATGACCGTATAATGTTCCGAAAAGGACGAGTGGAGTGATGAAGAAGCAAGGTAGTAGTAGTTGGTGGCTTTGAGGCTCCAGTCCACTTGGAGCGAGTTGGGGTATATCTCTGTTGTCGCGAGACTGGTGGCTTTTGCCCCCGCGAGCGAGGTGACTCCTTTCAACAAGCCAAGTTGTTTTGCAGCGATCGCTCCGACTGCGTATCTCAATGGCATGCTACTCAGGGCCCTGATAGGAACCAGTACCGAAAAAAATCTCCCTGAATCTGAGATATCGAGCCTACCTCCATGCATTAGCTGGGGTTCTTGTCGCAAGAAGACAACCCATGACATGGAAATGGGGGATATGAATACCAGCTCCCTATGACCTCCGTAAAATAACGCATGAGAAATGCCGTTTCATGCTCAGTGCCAGTTTTTAGGTCTGTGAATAGGGCTTGCAACTCTTCCTTTTCAGTCTCCTCGGCTGATCCTTGCCACGTAGGTTGTGCCTGGCTGTCAATAGAATCATTTAACGGGCCATGACCACAAGGACCGAAAGTGTCTAGAACAGCTCTAGTGACCGCAGAATTCTGACCTAGGCTCCCTGGGGGTTCCCAACTATCCCGGACATTAGATCGGAAGTCAGGAGGAAACGAATCACTCTCAGATAAGCCGGCGTCCAGGCTAGCGGTGTTTTTAGTCTCTGTCCCCATCGGGACTGGATTGCCTGCCATCAAACCTTCTGAATCTTGGTGAAGGTTGGTGTCGGCATGATCTAAAGCCTCTCGCTTGGTAGGCCCTGGCTGTCCTCTCCTGTCGCTCGAGTCATTCCATGAGAATGTGGGATTTCCCCAACCCTTTTCAAAGGCACGAGTAAGATAATGTAATATGCTCGCTTCTGTTGGCCACTCACTTCCACTGACGGCTTTAGTGCTGGGGTCTTTGTAGAAGACCCCTGATATGGTGCGAAACGACGCCTCACAGTAGGCCCTTGGTCAATAAATTTGCGTGTCTGCACGTAGCCTGGACATTCTACGTTGGCCGTCTGACACCGTTGGCATTGAGGGCGAGTTTCATCGCACTGTTCGGTCAGATCGGAGTAGTGGCTGGGCGGGGACCCACATACCTTCATGTGTTTCTTCTTGCATCGTTCACAGCTTTTATTGGAAGGGACCCCCGGCATAGTGCAGAACCCCCAGAGCAGATTGCGACCACACTGACAGAGTCCGGCACGAGCAGGTTTCGTAGAGATCGAGCCCTGGTGAGCCCCGAATTCATGGAAGCAGCCTCGCATTATGTAACCCGCGCATTTCGCCTCGGGGCCGGGAATTTGGCGAGAATTTGCCGATGCTGTAGATCCTCCAGGCTGGAGACTCGAAGAATTGGCAAAAAGGCGAGATCCAAATGATGTATAGATCGGTCGAGCATTGTCACCAACTGGATTCCGCTCCAGCAAGCACAACTACCACATCGTGAAGAGAGCCGATTCTTTCTTGCTCTCTACCGAGATCTTTTCGTCCTTCAGCCTGCATACCGTCGTCAGTCCATCTGTTCACTCGAAAAGATCAGCCCTGATAAACACCGGCTGGATCCAGGACTAGCAGATCCAAAGAAGCTTTGAGTGGGTTGGATCGCCAAACCAACGACCAGCGACATCGACCTACCAGACTTGCTCGCCTTATCGCGATACAAGAAACAATCGCGGCTTCCGAAGGCCCCAGATCCCTCGCTTCAGCTAATCCAACTAATGCACCTAATTTCTTACATGGATCCACTTGCCCCTACGACTCCTCATGGACAAGGTGGGGACGCTAAGGCACAAGAGTGCAGTGGAGAATGCTTCTTTCTTCTTGTCCAGGGGCTGGATCTTTCGGGAGGTTGAGCCACACGCGAGCAGATGGAACTCGCTATGTCAGTGGCAGGCCTCTTGCTAGGCTCTTTGATCCTCGTTCTCTGCCCCCACAGGCTTGGCTAACGTTGGTTGGAAGATCCACCTTGACATAGTGGCGTTTTCCTTTGTAGTACGTGTTTACCATTGGTTTGTTCTTCCCCGAGCCAAGGGCCCGCCGCTTGGACGAGATAGCTGTCTGGTCTGTCACAACACGCTTCAGATATTCAGAAAAACACGAGGTATACTGACAAAAGGTATGAGGCATGCATGCATTCGGCGTGAAACGTTGCGACACTGGATGACCTGGAGATCCCCCTTGAGATCGATCAAGCTCTCCACTCACTCTACGATAATTAACTTCGCCGATAACGAGAAGGGGTACAAACTAAAATACTACCCACAAGGAATGGGATTATGCTCACTTGTTGTCATCTGATGGCTGACCTGAAGCCTCTAATCACAAAACCACGAGGAGGGGTTGGAAGTCCCAAGGTTGGAAATGAAATATACGGACTTAACAGGGGTGCCTCACCCTCGATAACTCACTTCGGATTTTTCTCCTTCGTCTCCACCCCTTCCAGCCCATGGTGATGAAAATTACCCCGTTCCAAAACCCTCGTAGAGATCCAAGCGTACTGACTGCCACGAGAAGAGGGAACGATTCGGAACCCGGATGGATAAATGCCGCCACACGGTTTATTGTCGGCGCCACCCACGTAGCCAGAAGGGCAAGGAAGAAAAGCGAGGGCATCATGATGTATTGCTTGAACGAGACTCGGCGCTGTGTGGAGGAGCGGACGGCAAAGCCCGGAGGCCTCAGCGGCGGCTGGGAGGCTGGGGATTGAGCAAAAGCTTCAGTCCCAGTCCTTGACGGAATACCCAGCGAGGATTTCGCGGAGAGGGTCTCGTCCTGCACGGCCGTTGAACTCCACGAAAGGCGTGCTGGAGAAGGACGGGAATGCGCGGAAGTCAATGCGATATGATCGTCCCCCGTCAATTTAAAGTCATGGCGTAATTTGAAGATCTCGAAGCCGATCAAGAAGTAGATGAGAAGTACCACACCAATGAGAATCCTGGGGAGGCCTAGAGGTTAGCCAGAGATTGCACTGAAGAGGCGAAATGCACGATACCAGACAGGGGCGTAGTAGAGAACTATTCTAAGTATCACCCATTCCGGCGCTATGGAACACCATATCTGGGAAGCTTATTAGCTCATGACCACGGCAAGACGCCACGAGAGTATCGCCCACCGTTTCGCTTCCATAAACGGGGCCCTTCTCAGGCGATCGTATGAACAGAAACACGATGGCTGGGATGAAGGTCAAGACCGTTATGACACCAATGTAGAACGGCTCAAGCTTGTGCAAGTAGCCCGATTCAAAGCGATGCAGGACCACGAGATAGGTGTCCAACGACATGACGAACGTCCAGAGAACATCTGCGACCGGAAACCTAGTCTAGTATAAGCGAACGTTCGACGCAGCTGGAGGGGATCCGCCGCACATCTGAAGCGCAAACCCCTGGAATTGGCACAATGCAGACGTGTTTCCCGCACGCGGGCCACTGACGGATATCATCGTGGCCACCGAGTCGAAAAGATTGTAGAAAGCATTGTAAAAAATGATCCGATGGATGGGACTGCGACAGTAGCGCGAAAAGGCGAACGCTGCGATGATGGCAAACGACCCCAAGAGGGACAGCGAGGAACTGACACGACCTGCAATGGATATGGAATTAATCTCTTCCGAGCTCAGCGACATTGTAAGGGCCGCACCCTGAATCGATCCTCCCGATCTCCAGCATTCGTTCCTGTATGATTTCAGGAGGTGGAGGACCCCAGTGATTCCAGTTGATGAGTCCCACGCGACATGCTGGGATTACCATCCCATATCCCCTGTCAATGATCCATTATTATGCGGAATTGACGTGCTTCCTGTGCAAACCATCCGAGATCTGTAGGGTTGTGATGGCGCCATCAGTGGGGAATATGGAGTGATGATCTCCACTCATAGCACAAGACGGGGGGCGCCTCACTATGAACGGTTTGTGACTGGTCGAGGTTCACCATCTCCCGACAGTCTCGACCCAACAAAGACATAAAGGACGAACGAACACAAAGCGTGCATCTCTTTGGCGGTACCTACTGTTTCGACTCTGGGACTGGACCAACCTGGTTTACTTAGCCATTGATAAAGTTTCTACCTTTGATCGGGCCAGCTCAATCACCCATTTAGCAGAGAACGACTGAATGTTGGTTATCAGCCACCCTGTGCCACTGTGTCCGCTCTTTGTGGCGCTTTGATTGACAGAGCAAGATGCGTGCGATAGCTGCCCAACCTCGACTGGGTAATGAATTTGCCTTTGCTAATAGCTAAGGTTAGGAAGGGACAGTCACTACTGGCCGATCATGAATCGTAATACTTTGTGTTGATGAATTCAGTCCTGAGGAGGCAGCCAGCCCCATGTCATACTAGGATGCATTGGGGGATGAGCCTCTTGAAGCTAGGAACATTGGCTCAGGACAGCCTATTGCTTCTTCAGGTTATGGTATTTATCTTAGAACCCGGCTTTCAAACATGAGCACTTACCCGGAATTAAATTTCTTTTCCCAGAAAAGCAATAAGATTCCCTTGCCGCCACTGCCGACCATGAAATTCTGGCTAAGGCATTGACAAAGTTGTGAATCTACAGACGGAGGGGCGCGGAGTCAGGCGCTGTCATGGCAGGAAGGGCTGTAATGACTGGAATGACCAATACGCACGTTGATGTGTCTCTGGGAGTATTGTTGACAGGTCTGTCCCTTATAAACGATGGCCATCTCGGAAAAGTGGATCAGGCGTTCTGTCCAAGAACCCTACCATCTTATCGCCGCAGTGTCATTCAGGGGCAAGAAATCTGACCAGCGATAGTACTAGCAGTACTCTGTAGTTGTATGTATCGCCTCAAAACGTCACCAGCAGTAATTGAGACTGTTACCCGATTGGCAGATTCTTTCAAGACCTCAAGGTGGGACGGGAATCGTAGCACCTTCAATCACAACCTGGACTACCTTCCGGAAACCATGAAGTGCAACTACCTCCAGTGAGACTACTAGGGGTAGCCCAGACCCACCGAAGGAGACGTGAGCTTCATTCGAGCCGCGGATTCTCAAACAGGGTCATCCTTTCGATAGGGAAAATATAAGCATAATTACGTAGGCTGCATAGGTTGGGTTCCAGTTGTTGGGTAGTACGACAGACGTATTAGATGCCGGACTCGATAAAGGACGGTTTAGGTCGCCTCTTCCCATCCTCGGCATACAAGTAATAGGACCACTACTCGTGGGTAAGCCCCACCTTTATAGATGGCTTCTTATCGGTTTCTAGACAGCAAAGGATTTGGGAAGGGGTTGACGTAGATTGTGAATACACGTTGAATCATCGATGAGAGAATGACTGTCACGGTGATTACTAGTCAAACATTCCAATAGTCGACACAAGTAGGCTTTCCGGGTCAAAGACTCTTAATGGAATTGTCCCAACAGAAGCTGCGTGAGAGCATCGTGCTGCCAAACGCAGCGGACCGCCCTTGCAACAACCTGTTTTTTTTTTTCAGTCGATCAGGATCCGCTAAATTGGTCGAAATTCCGAGAAAAAAGTTCCAAGTCGGTATCTAGCATAAACTCATTTAGATCCATCTCCGTGGGCCCAGGTCTCGGAAAGCTGTATGAGCTAGCGACTTTCACGGATAATGGATCTTGAACTGCTGTGCCAGGAAGGGCGTTGGAATCGTGGGGAAGGTGAAGCCATCTCTCTTCCTGGTTGGCGAACGTAGACTTCCCCAGAGAGTCTACCTCGTCGAGAGATGAGTAAAGAGAAGAGAAGAGAATGGGGTATTTTCGAGACAAGGAGACTCACAAGAAGTAACGCGAGCTATGGGCAGCTGACACAGATAACCAATGCACCGGTCTACGACGCGATTTCCGCGGTCGAGGCTCTGGAGCGCCTCAACGGCCATTTCGAAATACGGTAGAGCTCCTTCGATGAATTTCCAGAGCGACACGCGGTCTGCGTTGTGGTGATGGTCGTGACGGGCCACCAGCATTGCCGCAAATATCACCAAAGCGGCATTAAATGCTTGGCGAGTCAGCAATCATTGCTCGCAGCATGATGGGGCGATCCCATCCAGCCCTGGAGGCTGGAACAAGGGTTGGTTGACTCACTATAAAATAACGAATAATTCCATGCACCGAGCAGGTCTCGCTGCCAGCCCTCTGCGAGCACGACAGTCCGCACGATAGATATGACAGTCATCGCTGAGAGAACGCACTTTTCAATACTGGCGATTCCAAAGTGTTGAATCATGCATTGGCTCGCATGCTCGTTGTTGGATGCGCCTCGTCCACAAACATCGAGGAATTTCTCTAGCGACGGTCGGTGGAGGAGAATATTCAGATTGTGATATCGCACAGAGAGCACGATCGTAAACCGGTGCAATATTTTGTTGGAAGATTTCATATTTTGGAGGGTGTCTTTCCCTATAGGCTCCGTATACAGGGACATCTGTAACGAGGCAAGTGACGATTTCCATGCGTGCAGCTGTTCTTCTCCCTTGAGAATGACGGTCAGAAGATCCGAATCCGAGCGGGTTTCGTCAAGCCCCAAGTTTTGGCCATAGCAGGAGTCGATAATCCTGTACATGACGTCATACAGGGTCCTGGTACCATTTAGTATCTCTAGAGAATTAATCCCATGTGCCCAGGCGTTGATACTCACACTGTTGCTGTATAAAATGTGGCATCGCCGCGCGGTTCTTTTGAGGATGATGTGGAGTTTCCCACAATTTGAAAGGTTGCAGCCGGTAGATCTAGCTTGCAATAGCTTTCAGGGATCATCGCCGGTCGCCCGAAGGTCATGCTCAAGGATCTGCTCCACAGAGTTACAGGATTAGACGCGAGGTTGGATTAGCCTGACGCGGAGAAACTCACCTGTCTAGTAAGATGCATCCAAGCCAAACCCGCTTCCGAATTTCATTTTCGAGGGGTGGAAATCGTTTATTGGATTTGGGTGAGTGGAGGCCCAGTTGGAAGGCTGTTGTGATTGCCAAACCATGCACGGTCCAGGCTTGGACGGACTTTTGCGTCCCCTGAAGATATTGACCCAAGATAAGAAGATATTGGACTGACTTTTCTTTAGCGAGGGCACTTCTCCAATCGCACGGTCTCCTTACCAAGCTCTAGACTGATGTTCCGTTTGGATTCTTTGTCACATAATTCATTGGCTCGCTGGTAAAACACATCCGACTCTTCAATCCTTTTTTCTGTTGACATATCAGTCTCGACACAGAGGGTTGTCGCCATGGCAAAAATAATGTTCAGCAACCCAAGCCATGTTCTCCGTGCTTTGGTAAAGTTGCTCCTCTTCATCTCGAGAAAGGTCGCACAAAATGACTCTTCGTGGACGAATGGCAACAGCTGACCAGTCTTCTGAAAGTATTCTTTGATAAGAGTCCATGCCCGGTCTTCCGATGGCAGGGCATGCATGTTAACTTTTCCATATACGCGGCTTTGCTGTCTTCGGGCAGCATCGTCCTCGGCGTGGTGCGGTCGCGAGACATTCACGCCGCTGGCGATTTCATCAGAAGGAGCCGCCGGGGGAAGACTCAGCGGGTCTTGGCTCCAAGATTCTGTCCGTGCCAAAGCGACGGAAATATAGCGTAGAAATGCAATGTTCGATGAAGGGCCTGCAGAAAACAGTCAGTAGGGTCAATGTAGCATGATATTCTACAGAACCGACCAAAATATCCCCAGTCCTCTTCCTCAGTAAATTTGATGGCACCCATGCCATCGATCGGATCTTCTGTTGTATCTAGATCCCCGAAATCCTCCTCTGGAGGATCCCTGGAAGCTCCAGGGTTGATACTCCTGATAGTTCGCTCCAGATTCGAACCACGTTCCTCTTTACGATGGGCAGATGAAGCAGTTCCACCGGTCGGTGATAAGGTCTGGTTTTCCTGCACCTGATCCAATTTATCCTCAATGTCCCTGAGCCGCTTTTCGAGCTTCTCAAAATAGCTGTGCTGGGAGGTCAGTAACGGCCGGTACATCGAGTCTGAAGGGGCCATACGTCCGTCCAGCGGTCAAATTAGTTGAGATTGCACCTTCCTCGTAATAGCATTCGCATCCCAGTTCCTCACATAGAGAGCAGTTCGGTCGCCGCCCATCACACTATGAACCCCGATTCGGTTAGCACAGTCCGGAAAATAGGCGATGGGAGGGCCCTAACGCGCGACTTCCGATGCCTGCAGCTGCTGCAAGCCAATGCGATCCTTCGTCTCTTGTTCGGGCGAGGCGGAGGACCGGTCGCTGTAGGTCGGGCGCCATCGGTGGCGCCAGGGTGGCCCATTGTCGGTAAGAAATCCATCGCGGTCTTCGGAAGCAGTCGCTTCTTCAAAAGTCTCTTATTGTCGGGGCGTCCGGGAAAAAATGGGGAAAGTTGGGGAAAGTTGGGGAAAACGCTGAAGCTTATTTTTGATCGGTTGGGACTGAGTGGGCCAGTTTCGCGGGGTTTCCTCGACCCCGCCTTCTGCTCCCAAAGCTTGCAATCCAGCAGTGCCCCAGTTTCTTGGCCGCGCCCAGGGGGAAGTTAGATGTTACCCCGCCCACGATACCCGGGACGAGCTTTGGGATGTGGAGCAGGACGTGTTGAAGCGGGTCTCGGGGAGTTAGGGATCTCCCTGCGAGAATTGGACTGCAAGCAGCTCTATTTGCTCTAGGACGACCAAATCAAGTCTACCGAGGAAAGGTTTGTCTGATTGCTTGTGTACCAAAATCTACATATCTTCCATTGCTCATAGCCCTTGCACATCGGCGAGGCTTACATCTTGGACAGGGGAGGCTTCTCCCCGCGAGATGACGGCAGGAACCAGTCCATATATTGGCTCTGGAGGGATTTGGTTACGCCAGTGGCGGGGTCGAATGGCTCCCTGTTGTGGTTGAGGTACGTTGCTAGGGCGATCTCTGCGTGCTCCTCGGCATCATAGCCATACACGCTCAACACGGTCTGTGGGTCGCCATAGAGGTTGCTGCTGCGCACATAGTACTTGCCGTGTAGCTCTGGCTCCATCACCTTGTCGCGAGCCCTCTGCGCGGGCCCGTCAGGAAGGTGCCATATGGCACCGTTGATGAAGGACACTTGCTGTTTGGCATGCGCCTTAGGCATCCGCTCTTGTTCGTAGATGCGGACGGCTTCATCGAGCCGAATCTTACCCTCGACTACTTTGCCGATACACCTTGCCAGGAACGCTCCATCTTCCATAGATGTAGCTGCTCCCTGCGCCATGTGGTTGACCATGGAGTGCGCCGCATCTCCCATGAGCACGACGTTCTTGCGCGGTGACGACCAGGAATCCAGGGGGCCGGTCATCATCAGAGGCCATCGAGACTATATGCGTGAGAATGAGAACCTTTTTGCCGTAGTGGAAAATATTCCATGGTATCTTACCGTGTGATCAATCATATCCACAATTCGCTTGATTCGGGGGTCGAAGTCTTTGTATTCATTGCGAAGCTCTTCAATGGGCACCTCCGGCACTGTTGCTCGTAGCTTCTCCGGGCGATGGTGAGAGAGAACGAGATTGAAGAGGTTTCCCGCGCTGATAGGATACGTGATAATGTAGGCATTCTCCGCCATCCAAACCTCCATGGTTTTCTTCTCGATGAGCTCTTTGGCAATGGGATCTTTCCGTATCTCATCATATGGCACCAACGCTCGGTACGCACAGTTCGTCGTAGGTGGTTCCGGGGTAACCGTTGGAAACAACGTTCTTCTTGTGATACTGTTGATACCGTCTGCTCCAATAAGGAAGTCAAATGTGTAGCTTGCGCCGTTCGCTGTCTCCACAAAGACTTTATCAGCGCTCTCATGGCGGATTGAAGCGACGGCAGAATTGATCAAAATCTTCGCCCCAAGAGACTTTGCAATTTTCACCAGGCCTTCGTGAAGATGGGCTCGATGCACGACCCACCATGGACGGCCCAGAGACTCTTCAAGAGTAGCAATCTTCGTATACCCCACGCGGGTGCCATCCTTGCGACGCATGTTCAATTCTTCGAACTGCACCAAGTTGTCGCCAATGACTTTGTCCACGCCCCATCGCTGGAGAAGAACAGAGACATTAGGCGTCATCTGAATACCAGCACCAATCTGTTATGATGAGTCGCTGCTATTTGAGAACATCAAGAACAATGCAGTGACACACCTCGGTGAGCTGTTCTGCAGACTCGAGCACCGTGACCTGGGCCCCTGCTCGCCGAAGAGCAATAGCCGCTGCAAGACCGCCGATACCTGCGCCGACGATGCCCGTATGGACTTCCTTTACGGTAGAAGGCTAAACATTCATTAGAACAAGATCAACCCGTGTGTTCAACAAGCATACCATGGTGAATGGAGTGAAAGACTAATTGTGGGACAGAAGATAGACGTCTTGTCGTTTCTGCCCTTGGAAGACCTGTGCAAGTACAGAAGTCAAGGTGGGAGTCGAAAGACCATTTATGTGTTTCTCCTGTCAGTCCTAATTTCAGGCACGAAGCCATCGATTCACGCCTGAGTCTGCTGCTCCGAAGATCCGGGGAGTTAGGAAACCCGTACAAAGTTACCCATTCTTCCCCACAACGCCTATTTCCGCGGAATCAGAGTCAACTAACTACCCCGCCCCCGAGAGCAGATTTCCAGAGGTTATATCTATTTGGGGGGCTTTCACCTTCGGCTACACACACGGTGCCTCAAGACCCGAAATTCCACAGTCGAATTCGCCAGTTGTGAAGCCAAGAAAGCTATTCAAGTATATACAATGACGGAACCTATCAGGACGCTGACGGTTCCCCATCTGGGAGGCATTGAGGTAGGCTTCCGTATGTCTTCGGAGGTCAACCGCGATAAGCCTACGCTGGTCATGTTCAACCCATTCACCACAACGGCCGACTACTACCTGCCGGAATTCAAGAGCAAGAAACTGACCGAGTCGCTCAATCTTCTTGCAATTGAACCCCTCGGCCACGGAAAAACTACTGCTCTCAAGACAGAAAACTTCACCTACTGGGACTCTGCTATTATGAGTCTTCAACTCCTCGAGGCCCTCGAGATCGACCGCTTCTTTGCTTTAGGGACATCGCAAGGAGGTTGGATTGCCGCGCGTATGACACTTCTGGCACCAGATAAGGTTAATATCTTCCACCGGAAATCGACATTACTGGCTGTTAACTTCTCTCCGCAGGCAAAAGGGATGATCATACTAGGGACATCAATGGACTCGGAATCACCGAAGAGCCGCGAGCTTGGGTGTTGGAATGGTGCAGAGGCATGTTCTGGGCTCACTACTCTTGCGGAAAATCTCCAGCCAGTCGATGATTTCGAACCTGGGCAAGATTACTGCGACTTCCTGATGGAAGTTGGATTTGGGAAGGCAATCGACGAGGAAACCAGAGACTTTTGGTCTCGGAAGATCAAGGCGACCTATCGTGGAAATGAAGGGAAAAAGAAGATCTGCATGGCCGCTGTCAATCTTGCCGGAAGAGATGGTCTTCATGAACGCCTGCCGTATATTACGTGCCCCGTTCTCTGGATGCAGGTAAGTGTACCACTAGAAGTACTTGATTTTTTCTTTGTTGCCCGGCTTATCATAACGTTGTTGCAGGGCTCCAGTGATGTCGTCTACAGCGTCGCCCAAGCGCAGGAGGATATCAAACGGTTTAAAAACTCTACTAGTACCAAGCTAGTCGTCTGCGAGGGAGGGGTTCATTTCTTGGGAAGAACACACGGACAGGAACTTCAAGAGCAGCTTTTGGAATTTATAAAACTTTGACTAAGCAGCAAAACCCACAGATGAAAGGATTAGGAAATGAACCGGCTCTATGGATGCATACTTGTGGCCCGACCGCCCCGACCTTGACGTCAACTATGTTGACGATTGTGGCTCCTCTGGCTTTGAACGTGTTTAGGTGCAAATAGTCCGGGTGATGCAGGTCTCTCAAAAGGAGATATAGCTGTTGACTGCATAGATAGCTCGATGCTAGGTCGCCAAAATGGTAATTTTGTTGCCTTAGGTATGACAACACGAGTTACTGGTTCAGGAGGAGAGCACCCCATTCTATGATGGCCCAGACTGTAAAAAGATGATGAGCTTCTGGAATCTTTATAGTCAGAGGTCACGTACCTGTTTTTCGCAGTGAGTGGCTGTACATCGCCTTGATTATAAGACTCGCCCAAAGAATAAGGGATATGACAAAACATAAAGCAACGCATTCCATTTCTTCGAGATTTTTGGATCTGCTTCATGGTGTTTTAGCAATGGGAAGCAGCAAAAGTTTTGTTATAAGCCGTGTACGGAACATCATATAATAACCACCAACAGGAAACATACAAGCAGAAGACCCCTTCCTCTTGATATATGCAAGGCGACTTCGATGGACGTGAGTCCTTATGTATTCGCACCTCACTCGGCACCCCCTGCCTGCTATATATAACAGTTAGAGATAGTAATAGTCTGTTCTTTTGTAGCCTCCGGTCAGAAGTAGATCCATCTAGATTCTTCCCCTAGAGATCATGTGCTTGGATCTACACCGGATGTGTTGAGAGATTTAGTTGATGCTACCTATAGCTGTAACCTTTGCTATGGAGAGCTCCTTCCGGTACACTGCTGGTATACTATTAAGTGCTGAGCAGCCCATCCTTGTCAAGTCTTTATAAGAAGAAGTTTTCAACTATCTAACTCTAGTATTTTTGGTTTGGTGTTCGTCCCTGGTTGAAGTCCGCCACAAACAGTTACACGGCTCTCTCTGTTTCCTCTCTTTTCACAGCCTCATCTCCACATCTCGTGCCCTAAATGGTATGTACCAAATCATATGTGAGTCGCGTGCTCAATACATCGAGTATGTGGGATCGAATGACAAAGTGAAAGCATGTTTTTACCATGTGTGGAGCCCGCATTGATCGCAATTTTTGTTGGAATGGGAAAATACCCTTTGGGACTTGTGCCATCATTTTCGCCACGCAGATACGCCGTTGAAGTCATCGATCTTTTCGAGATTATCTCTGTGGCTGCAGTACGGAAACATATCTCACATTGAACCCGGGCCACTTCCGTCATGTGCAACCTGCCGTGTCACTTTAGAGTCGGCCCGTGAGCTATTTGGTTGCCGGAACAAGTTCTTGGGAAATAGTGGTTGCAGTAAAAGTCGACCTCTCTCCAGTCCAGATTTGACCAGGGTAACTCGACTGATCTGTAGATGAAATTGCCAGCTTTGGCTAAACATATGTCATCAAGCACAGAATGGAATGGCAGATGATCGTATTGATCATATTGCTAACGATGGAGTGGAGATGATGAATGCGACGACTTGCATCACTGACATTGGAGTCAAGTCTTGACCCATGTGAGCCTTTACCAGGCTGGTATGACTGAGGAAATTGTACAATGTGATGTACAAAATTACATGTTTGCGAATATCGCTTGGATCGACCATGCTTCACGCCAATACAGAAGATCAATATGATGAGCATTCCAATCACAGACTACGTCGCTGTTTGAGTTGCGTCTACGATCTGGCCCACGGCCATTTGTGACAGGTTCGACGGCTTCCAGCATTTCACGACAGGGTCGGCTTAAGAGAGTGTCTTTGAGGGTTCTTGATGGGAAGCACAAAGTAATTTCCCAATAGCCCTAGATAATTAAATCAAGGACCTGCTATCTGCATCCTAATATAACGAACGGTTAGCCTCGAGGGTTTATTAACTGCGGAATCTCAGAAGAGGACTTGAGTTATCCTCTCATTGAAATCGATGTCACTAATGAAGCATTGACTCCATATGTTTTCCACTGTCTGGAGTCGCAGTATCCCAATAATCGGCACTCGAATAATTGGGGAAAAGGTTCTTTTGGCTCGCTAGATCGTGTCGGTGCGAGAGCCTGATGACAAAAGAGGGTGGGGACTCGGACTACGCTAACCTACTTTAGGTCCCCGATCCGCGCCGCAGCAATCTTGCAACATTCATGATATCGATTGAGCGTCGCCGACGGAAAGCTACGAAATTACACAACATTTCACAGCACGATTCGAGCACATTTGACAACATCATCAGCCTGTTTCTTTTCTCATTCCCAACATGGCCAGTTTGACCATAGTCCCCGTGACTCTTCCCGAGGACAAAATTCCCACCAAACAGAACGTCCGAGACATCATCAGTACATTCCTGGCGCAGGAGTGGCCATATGTTGATCCGGATATGTTGGATGTGTCCTATAATGCATCGTGCACCAACCCTCACTGTCTCGTCAAACGACCGAAGCCTGCTATGGGCACCCCCTCTGAAGCGGTACATGTATTCATCAAGTTTCACAGTCACAACGAAGGCTGCCTTGAGATATTCAAACCGCTGGCGCCAACCAAGCATGAAGAAGCCCTTTTCTGCTATGAGTACGGCCACACTGGACTAGGAGCTCAAGTCTTTGGATTTTTCAAGACCTTAGATGGCACATGTGGGAGAGTCGAGGAATTACTTCTTGCACGCAATTTGCAGCCAGAGGATGTCGAGGATCCCATCATCCGAGCAGACGTTGCCAAAGCACTAGCCACCTTTCATGTCATGGAGACGTCTCTGGAAAAAAAGGCGGTGGAGCTGTACTATGACGCCGTGATCCATGGACTTGGGACTTTTCACACTATGGATAAGCTGAAGGTGCTTGGGCGAGAGGGCGGTGTCAGCATCGAGGAACTGGTGAATTATGACTTTGGGGGAAGACTCAGAAACGTGGTGGATAAGCTTGAATCGATTGGCGGGAAAGCGGGGTGGTGTATTCATGATGTTCAATTCATGAATGTGATGGTGAAGAACCGCCCAAGCGAAGGGGAGAGCAAAGTCATTCTGATTGACTTCGAGTTCGTGATGCGGAATTACCGAGCGTTCGACATCGGTGGGCACTTTATGCAAAAAATGTTCAAATGGTTTGATGCGGAGAGCAGAATAGCTGATTGCAGGAAATATACGGAGGAAGAGAAGAGGCATTTTTGTGGGGAGTATGCTGAACAGTGGAACCGACTCACCGGCGATTCCGATACAGGAGATCAAGTTTTTATGGAATCCGAGTACGGATACCTCTTGGCCATTACCTTTGATATCCATAACATGCTCTGCTTTATGGACGTGCACGGCGACAAGGATCCATTGAATCTTCTCGCGCTGAATAAGCTGTTTGATGAATTTGTGCACCAGTATGGCAAGCTTCATATAGAGAATCCATGAACAAAATGATTTGTCGCCCTCTAATCGTTCAGGCAACTTTCCGATATTCGCACTCGCCAGCCAGATATAGCTTCTATAAGGTGGAGCCACGATGGAGTTTGCTCCGATTAGCTTGAATTCTCGCGTGGTTCAAGTGAAGGGCGGACTTGGCTTGCGGATGATTCACGGAGCAAGGCCTAGAAAGAGGACGTTCTACAGCATCTTGATACCGCGTTCCTCTACCCATATCGTTTCGTCCCGCCTCTGGGCCTCGAATCACCTAGATGAGAGGCTCGGGGGGCCCGGAAACCGCTTACTTGATGGACTTTCTTCTCATTGGAATATCTCCCCGCAGGAGCGTGAGTGGACGGCAATATATCTATGAAAGGCTACGGCTGAAAGCTGTTCAATTCGGCAGTGCCACGACTTGCATAAAGCCTGAAGGGCAATTGATCCGGGGGATCCAAAAGCCGAGAGATCCGGCAGGTAATAGCCCCCCCTCAGGTCCAGCCCCTTCCAAGATCCGTCAAAGTGGAGTCCCCTCTGCTTCTGACGGGCTACTCCGTACAGTAGGTTCATCCCGGGTGACATGTGACATGTCATCCCGCCGCTGTTTCGAGTTTCGACCTCGAAACGCACCCAGTGGCCGTTCTTCTCCACGTTGTTTCGTACACAGCTCGCAGCGTTGCTAGGTCCAAATCAAGACCTGCATTGGGGAATATGGCCGGAGACTGCTCTCCGCACGTCGACGAGGCTTGCCAGTGCATTTGTCTTGCCTCGTGTCCCTAAAGCGGGGCCACAGACATGTTTACGTTTCGTTTTCCCTAGCCGAAGCCCAACGGCCAATGAGAGTAGCCAAATCTACTCAAAGAAGGCTGCTGAATCGTCTAGCGATTCTATGCCGGTGATCGATCTAGTAATATGGTTGCAATCTGTGGGTTTCCAAGGGCTCGGGTCCTCGGAAATTACGAAGTTGGCACGAAAACTCTGCCGTGTGGGGAAGCTCCGCATATGCACTCATTAGTAGCACTCGTGGGGCTTGGCGGTGCTCAGGCCTGGGGTGCAGATTTTGATCTCACAGCCTGTCATCACAGGCTTGGAGGGCCGCTTCTGCTGGGGCTCGGTCTTCGAAAGGACACATTCCTGCGTGGAGGAGGTTCAGTATGCAACCTAGCTTGGGTGCAAATCACCTCAACCACACAAATGCCCCTTGTCCTCAAAACCCGAATACCGTCAAAGTCAACAAATAATCGATCGTACGGATCATCGGCTCCGCGTCGTATTCCGCCCAGGGATCTGCGGATCGTTCGCTGGAGCCGCTGAAGTCTCGCGACGATTTCTTTTTGCCTTTTGCCATGCTTGCGAAACCTAGTGCCAAACTAGTTTCTCACTAGGTACGAAGGCAAGAGCCGCTCAGGCCCGCCTAGACTATTCTTTTTTTGCCACCCCACGATCAGGGGTGCCGTGCTTGGCTGGTGACCATAACATACCTCTCTGGTCGTCACATTCTCTTTCCACTCTCTGTGCCCGTCTGACGTCGCCGTCGCGATTCAACGGTCAAGACTGCGTGTGGTCAGATCCGTTGAACCCGCATCGTGACTCTCAGGACGAGGACCACGCCTTGATGAATAACATGGGAGAAGCTCTTATTTGCAACAATCACCATGTTACAGTTGCAGGATCGCAGTTTGGCGATCTTCGTTGTTACCGTGGTTTTCCTGGGGATCTCCTCAATCACAGTCTGCTTGCGATGTTTTGTCCGACTCAAAATTGTCAAGGCGTTTGGGTGGGATGACGGGTTGATGGTCTTCGCTTGGGTAACGGCACCGATGCAGCACCCGCGTTTCGAGCCAACTGACAGATGTGGTAGATCTTGAATATATTCTTCGCGCTATGCGGAATCACGGGGGCATTACGGGGCTTTGGCCAGCGAAAAGAAGTGCTTCTGAGGGAAGGTAGACTAGAGACCGCGATGTTTGTATGTGAATTCCTCTCCCTCGTTTTCCGGGATCCACGCCGAGGCTGTCCTGCTCTAACACGATGTCGTAGTGGTGGTGGCTGGGCCAAACCAGCTATGTATGGGTCTGTGGAGTGGCCAAAAGTTCCATTGCGGTGACTTTGCTTCGTCTCACCGTCTCCCGCGTGCACACGGTGATTCTGTCTGCTGTCATTGCTGTGACGGTGGTTGTCGGCCTGGTCTTTTGGTTCATGTTGACTCTTCAGTGTCACCCCGTATCCTTTTTCTGGCAGAGGGTTCGGCCTGGCGCAGAAGGCCGCTGCTTCGACCCTGACAACATCATTAATATTGCATATGTCTACAGTGTGAGTGCAGCGTGTTGCGACCTCACCCTAGGCCTTCTTCCCGTGTTCCTTGTGTGGAATCTACAAATGAACACCCGTTCCAAGACTGCCTTGGCTGGTATCTTGGGCATAGGATGCGTGTACGTTCCTTTTCCTCCTCATGCTTTGTCTGTGGCTCCCACTAACCATCAGATCCAGCGCCAGCGCAGCCGTCATCGTCCGTATTCCGTACCTCCACGATTACAAATCAGATGATTTTCTCTGTACGAGTCGCCGTTTCTGCTGAAATCCCATGCCCATCATACTAATCAGCTTCCGATGTAGACACGAGTGCCAATATCTCCATCTGGTCAAATGTGGAAGCCGGCCTGGGTATTGCCGCGGGGAGCCTCGTGACGCTCCGCCCTCTTTTCCGATGGTTTCGGGACCCCAGTTCCGCCGGTAGTCGAAGCAAACGTACCGCTGATATGCCACTTCATAGCGTCAACCTGAGACGCTCTGGGGGTAGGTCAGGTTCAAAATACTGGCGATCGGATATTGATGATGTGGACACTCTTGCGGTCGTCACAGCCTCGCCCCAGGGCAGTGGCAACAGTAGCCAGGAGAATCTCAATCCGAAACAGGAGCCATACTTGGGCGGCGTCCATGTGCAAAAGTCTTTCTTTATATCAGAGCATCAGCCTTGAGAAACAATATACGCCGACACGAAAGCAGTCATTGGCCCACGTAAAGCCCTTCGGATGCATGACATCTACCACTTATCATATTCCGCGCGTAGTTAGTAGTAATAGAGCATTCACAGACTAGGCACCTAGGGAAGACAACCGCCAGGTCGGGCGCCTGTTGAGTGATCCGGTGAGAAGATGTTATTCAATGGAAGCCTGAACATTACTATTCCAGGGGAAGAGACTAAAGCTTGCCCTTGAGTCTAGTAGCTTAGCTCCTCTTGATAGGGTACTTCGCTAATGGATAGTTATATCACGGGCATTTGTAATGGTACACGCCACATATGGATGCTAAATAACCATGATCAACCTGAACTTGAGCAAGCAGCTGAACTGCAACCCATACTCCAAACTTTGGATCGGAGACTGATCAGTGGCAATGTCCTATGATTACATCATGTCTCAACCCAGCCAGAGCGCCGCATTGGCTGTGGCTGGGGCGGGAACCCCTAACAATGGGATGCTTCTTCCATTGTACCTCCGTCTTCTGCAACAGTTCCGGGGCCGATGGGTCAGACGGAAAGAAGGTCGGGCTTTGGAAACTATGAGACCCTCCATCCGGGCTACAACTCCCTCTTGCCATGAACCTTGGGGGAAAGCCTACAAGGAGCTGGGTAGCTCCGTCCCTAGGGCCCCCGTGCAGTCTATATTTCTGTTGGCTCGAATATGGGATACGACCAAGGGAGGCCAATACTCCTATGAGTTCGCTGTGCAATAACTCAAAGGTAGCGCTGTAACCAAGCCAGTTATAAAGCAAGCCCACGGCTTTCTCCGCGATCGGTTGTTTATTATGAGAGCCTTTAGCGAGCCATAACCATGGTTCGCTCTATCTCTACAGTAGGTGTGGTGCGACGATCATTCGAACCGTATGAGGATCCGTAGAACCAGCCTCCGAGCCTTCCCCGAGAGTTTTCCGCCATTGGAGGGAGCAGGCGCGTAACTGTAACAAAGCGCATTGTGACAGCCCAGACTCTTCCCCGTAAAGGCTTGGGTGAAACATCGCAAAAGACCTAACTCGTTGCGGCTCTTCGTCTCCACCAATGTCCCGCACGTCGATACTACCCACTTATTCTTCTACTCGGTTAAAACAGTGCGTCCTGTGGGTTTCCCAATGGCCTACCGTCTGCGCCTTAATCGCTTTGAATGGGTGTGCATACGCTGCAACCGCCCATGGTTCGCACGGAGGGGCCCCTGCCGCATCCCACATTGCTGTAGCTTAAGAGGAGAATTTTTCTACTTGTATTTGTTCGAGGGAAATGAGTGAGGCTATTTATATATTCAGGAGATGAAGGTTGAAAGACCACCTATTTTTGTTATAGACAGGAAGGAAGTGGCTCCGGCGGTGCGGCCAGGTTCTTGGCTTGAGCGGGTGTTAGGATCGCGTCGGTTTCTAATTTAATAGACGGAAAAAAGTTACCTATACAATTGATAAGTCAACTTAAGTGTGGACGGACCCCTCACCGGAGATTACGGGCCCACTGTGGGCCAGCAAGCCACTGATAAGCGTCACGTGCGAGACTCGGACGACTCCAAGGAGTCGCACGTTCCATCCTGGGCATGTTGACGGTGCTCCTTTAGGCCTAGAATTGAAAGGCTTGAGGCTTGCTCTCACCAGAAGATGCCTGCAGATCATGGCGAAAACACTCCACTTCTGGATACCTCTCGTCCTCACCAGGGAAGGCTACGTAATGCTCTTCCCCAATGGACATCGATTCAATGGAGAGTAATGCTGCTGTCAGCTTTTCTGATGTTCTCGGTCAATTTTGGGCATTTTATGGGGACCGCGCCGCAACTACTGATCTTTGAGAACACCATTTGTGAAAACTACAAGCGATCCCTCGGTCGGGAGGCTTCGCACACGACCCTAGGTTTGGACGGCGATATATGCAAATCAGAACCCGTGCAGACGGAGCTTGCTTTCATCAGTGGGTGGAAGAACACGCTTGATGTTTTGCCAGGTATGAGACCTGTCTCTTTCTCGGGGAATTACTGACGCAGACAGCTCTTCTTCTCGCTTTGCCTTACGGAGTTCTGGCCGACAAGTTCGGGAGAAGACCTTTTGTTATCCTCTCTACAGCGGCAACCGCAATTAGTGAATGGTGGCCAAGGGTTGTCTGTAGATACCTCCTTCCTTGCTCGAATTTACAGTGTTGGTATACTGATCATGACAGGCTGGTTCAATTTGCCCCTCCGCCTAGTGTGGCTGACAGGCATGTTTCGAGCACCAGGAGGCGGTGATCAATTTGCTACATTCATTCTCATGACCATCATAGCGGACGTGTTCAGTGAGAAACAAAGGTATTTCAGCCCCTCTTCGATACGAATGAGTGCATTTGGTAATTTGGAGCAGAACCACAGCTTTATTCCGCTTGGCCTCATTACCTATCATCGCTGAAGTGGTGGCAACTCCTATCAGTGCAACCCTCATGAAGGTCAACCCGTGGACCCCATTTCTGGTAGGGCCTCTCATTGTGCTTGCCGGCGCTGTCTTCAGCGTCCTAGTTCCTGAGACTCTTAACAAATCAGAATCGAGATCGACCGAGGGCACTGCCGCGTCTCCTCTGCCACCATCAAAGCCGAATGCACGATCTCTTATAACAAGCAAAGCCAAACACTTCATCGCCGATACAAAATTCTTATGGGAAACCCCCAAACTGCTTATATGCCTTGTTGTTGTCTTTGCCGGGGTTCTAGATAAAAGCTCCCTGTTCCTGCTTATCCAGTATGCGTCAGCCAAATTGCACTGGACTATTGCCAGGGTAAGTTCCTGCTAATGAACATGGCGTTCAATTACACTAATCTCAAGTTAGGCAAGTTATCTTATCTCAATCCGAGGCTGTATGACTCTGGCAACCTTCCTCGTATTCGTGCCGCTATTGTCATCCTTTCTTATTCGGCACTTGCACTACATCACTCTGGAAAAGGATCTCGTGATTGCAAAAATTGCCGTTACATCTGGCATAATAGGTTATCTCCTGATCTTTACCGCCTCTGATGCAGTTTTGCTCACTATCGGGTGTCTATTTGTCTCACTTTCTATGCCGTTTGTGATCACGGTCATCAGCATTGCAACTTGTTTCACTCCAGCCGAACATGTCGCGACTTTGTACACAGCCATGTCTGTGTCCCAATCGATAGGAATCATCGCCGCCGGGCCAATGTTCGCTAAACTGTATACTGCGGGTATGCATATAGGACTAGAGTGGTCGGGTCTTCCGTTCGCTGCTGCCGCAACTCTCTTCGCTCTCATTCTGATCTCGCTTCTTTTCCTTGGACCCAATTCTTGAATTGGGGGTGGGCTTATGGCATGAGCCAAGTTGTAATGGAGCACTCGTGTTTGTCCATGATCTTGAATCCATTTGAAATGGATGAGTCCAGGACTACATGACACTTTATATACAAGTGGAACATGGATAAAGTATTAGACGGGTGCTCATTTGTTTTATGCATCTAGCCTTATTAGCACATTCCCTGCGAGTAAGTACAGATACTCGAACTTGGATTGGTTATCACATTGTTGGAGGGGTAGGGGAATGTTTATCAATCCAGATGTTAGGTACTTGATTGACCTGGTCCAGGAGCCCTTGGCTGGTATCTCGAGCTAGCCTCTTGTAGCAGTCCAAACCAACCTGCCTACATCCCAAATTGCCATTCATATAGCAGTCCTAAATATTGCCAGAATTCGATGGATCCCTATTGCTCCTTTGATGCACAATTGTTTGGAAGTTGGAGACTGGAAGCACAGCTGACGGCCGCACATTGATATCCTGAAACAGGACGGCCTCAGACGTAAGCATTGGCGATACTAAGAATATCGAAATCGCTTGAGGGGTGAATCACTTTCGCGCTTCCATGTGCCTGTTGATCCTGGCATGTCATCCTAACCGTCATGTTCTCCACTCGCTAGGCAGTGTTATGCAAAGAAATAGATAAATCAAGGGAGGGTACAAGCTTTGACTCGGATTTAATAGCTCAAACCTACAGGTAATATCATTACACTCAGATTGCCAACTCTGCGAATCGTGTCACGCCCGAAGTTTCCGATTAAGGAGACCGCCAACCTTAGAATGACTCAAAATCCAGTTCACTACCTGTACAAAGCAGGGAATTTCGCCAGGCCCTTTTTCGAACATTATTGACAATATTGACTCTTAATATGAGAGAGTACCCGCATCAACAGCCCTATACTGAAACTATAGACCTTGTTAAGGTAAATTTTCTTTTTACAACAAGCTCGGAATCTCTGGATAATATCTCAACTTAAAAAGGTATTGGACTTAGGATGTGAAAACTAATGCCCGGGTCAGGTTAGCTATACAAAAGAAAAAGTCGGTCTTGACTGGAAGGCTCATAAATCTGGTTACCTATATCAATAGGAGCAAATGTTACCAGAGTGGGGCGGCAATAACGCTTATATTCAAGAGACTAGGGAGGAGAGGGAGAAGGAGAGGAAGAATAGTAGGAAGAACTACAGCAACGACATAAGTCCCTCTAAGCGGACCCCTATCTGTCACGACAGGCTTTGTTCTAGTTACGAAGACGCCCCCCGGATCGCGAAGGGAACCGAAGGGCTCCCAGCGATTAGTTTGGTTATCCTGCTATCATTAAGCTAGCGCACAACGAACTGACAGTAGCATTAGCGCCCTCCCCCCCCCCAACACCACCAGCACTCGGATCCTATCCTAGATTCGAGCCTATCATAGAATAGGCTTCACACTATCCCAACATCTCATAATCCAGGCAAATTCTCCAATGTTAGGGTGGTTACGGACGGCAAACCCCAGTAACGGTGACAAAGAACAGACATAAGATAAGTTGTGGCTTTCGCGCCCATAAGGATTCTCTCGTGGAGCAGTTTCAAAGGAACCAAGTCAAGTAACCGATGAGTCCTGGTGCTGTTAAACTTCATCCATGACAGGGACAAAAACGTTCACCAATCGGAATCGAGCCTCTTTACCGCGGAATAAGTGGAACCGACATTCCAAGGCCCCATGATTGGTTAGTTCCAAGATTAGTCATGCACTGTCTAATCGAGCCGGGCCTAATACCTCGGCAAAAAGAATTGCCACCCCATGCAAGTACTCATAATTCCTCGGGAGACGATCAGCACTCTTGCCTGCAGACCATGAGCTCTCCCAATCAAACCCCCAGGGCCCGCCGCCATAGGTCTGCCGTTGCCTGTCAGGCCTGCCGTAAACGCAAAGTACGGTGCAGCCTTACCGTCACTGGTATCCCTTGTGCCGGCTGTGCCCAGGATGCTACCGAATGCATTGTGAACCCTCGGCAAGCGAAAGGGTGAGAGTGCCGTCCGCTCGGCAGATACTCGACCAAACCATGCTGACCTCAAACCAATTTGCCTAGTACTAAGCAGAATGACCGCTTAGGACCTCGCTGTCGCCGTCAAGTCCATGCCGAGACGGCCAACTCAAACCTCGCTACCGGCGCGTATCAGGCACGCCAAATTCCGCACCCGAGCAATGAGCCTACATCTGCTGGCTTGCCTGCCCTCAATCCCCGTGTTGAAAATACGAGGCGTATCCTCGATCGGGATCCCTCGGAGAATGAGGTTAACAACATGGCCGAAGAAGAACGCAGTGGACTCGACATTGCATCGGCAGCGCTGGGCCAACCGAATAGTGTTGGGGAAGTACCTTACTATACTGGTAAAGCAACCGATCGTACACGCAAAGAGACTCTAAGCTTACGATGAAGTTAGGAGAACAAACTGGGCCCACCTCAGCCTTGGATATTTGCTCCCCCAATCACCTGTTGCCGAAGCATTTTCTCATCCCGTTGCACCGCACGCACCTATCGGACGAGGACCAGGACTTCCTACAGAGAAAGGGCGTGTTTACCCTTCCAGGCAAAAATGCTTGTGATGCCATGGTCCAGGCATACCTTGTTCATGTACATCCCATTCTCCCCATAATTGAAGCAGATGTGCTCGTGAGTCATCACCGGATCGGACAGCTTCAAAACTACAATTTGTTGCTGCTTTGGAGTCTCTTTTTTGTCGCTGTTAATGTAAGTTGTGATGTGGATCGTTTCTATCCTCCGAAACTGACTGAATCTTGTAGTTCATTCCTGCTGCTATATACGAGCAAGAAGGTTATACCTCGAGAAGAGCAATGAAATATACGATGTACTGTCGAGCAAACGTACGTACTCTCCTCCCCTATTTGAGCCTGTCTCAAGATTGAGCTGGTCTCAAGATTTCTTGAGCTAACCTTCTCGTTTGAGCAGTGCATGTTCAATAATGGGGGAGAAAGGAACAAAGTTGTGCTGTTGCAATCTTCACTTCTAATGGGATTCTGGCATTCAGACATGGACGAGCACGCACAGCCTTGGTACTGGTCAGGCATCGCAATAAGCTTGTGCCAGATCCTTGGCCTGCATCGCAATCCTGATATGTCAAACTTGACTACTCATATTTCTGGCCGACAGGTATCCTTTTGGCGCCGGCTTTGGTGGTGTTGTCTTTTCCGTGACCGCTGGCTCGGCCTTACTTTAGGAAGGCCACTGAGGATCAATCTGGATGACTGTGACACCCCTATGCCAGTGTTGGAAGACCTTCTTTTCGATATACAGAAGCCTGAGGGATCTGCTGCCGCGTCGTATTTCCCCGCTGACATGGAACGGTTAGCTAGATATTGGATAATGCTCATTGAGCTCAGTTGCCTGCTGGGTGACATCCTAACCATGAATCGTCGACTTGGAGGTCTCAAAGCGTCACAAGCTCAAGTGGAAGGGCTGGAGAAGCGGCTGTTGGGAAGCAAACTTCCAGATCGATATGAAGTGGGCCTGACTCCAATTGCAAGTTTCTATTCGAATCATGTCCATTTGCATTACCAGTCAGTCTTTCGACCATTGAACCGTTCCCTGTTCTCTCTCTGACATCTTCGCAGAGCAATGGCCGTTACATTCTATCGACCCTGGGGAACAGAAGCCCCGGGTGATCTGCGTTCCACAGCAAAGGAAAGCTGGCAGCACGGAATGCGCCTAAGGGCTGATGCTGCGGCTTCCAAGACCAATGAAATACTAGATGTCCTCGTTCAAGAAAAGCTCCTAGGATTTGCAGGGCCTATGACGTGAGTGAATCCAATTGGCCCCATCTATCTTCTCTGCGCCATTCCAACCGTCTTTGCTTTGCCCGGAAGTTGACTCAAGATCAAATACCAAAGGCCTCCTCTCCTCGTTCCAGCGATGCAGCTGCACTTACTCCAATGCAAAATTGGCGACACACTCACGAAGCGGATCCGACTCAACAAGCTTGAAATGTGCATGCTGGTCTTGGAAGAATTTCAGAAAACGTACACAGTGGCTTCGCTGTACCGCGGAATTTTCACGAAAGCGATCCAACAAATATTCCCGGATTACTCGCCGCCTATCATATCTTCTGACTATTCAGCAATCCCTGTCGCTGCACTGGCCACTAAAAATGATACCACCGGTGTGCACATGGAAGAAGAGAGCCTTGACACCAACAATAATCGGAATGATCATTTGGGTGCTTTTGGGTTTGCTGCTACGGATGACACGGACTTTTTGCATGTTTTATTGGACGACTCTTCGATCTTCGACGTCTGGCAGACGTGGAACCAAATTTGAGTCACGGCCCCGTTTTGACACCTTTCTCAAATTGTGTATGCTGCTGTCTGCGTGCATGCCAATGTCATCTTCAATGAAGTATGAGAGGGAGCTTGCCCAAGTCCTCCAACTTCCGCGACGACTTTTTGATTTTCAAAGTGTCGACGACTCATTCGGGACAGTAAATTACCGGGTAAGAGTTTCACGAGACACTTCATCTTGCCACGCGCCGTGGCCGCACCTCGACAAAAATATGCCTGGCTACGTAGCTTGTGGATGCGTGGCTCTCGAGCAGCGGGATGTGACAAGTTTGTGTACCGGTCCAATATAAACTAAACGTCAGTCCGTCGGAAGGCATTGCTTCCAAGTGACTTCATTGACCTCTAGACAGCTTTTGATATGTCAATTTTCATAGATGAGCTGATCGGAGTCAACTCATACCGGCGCCCAGCTCAAATTGGTGTCCCTATTAAAAGTCCCATTTTGAAGCAAGTCTTACATCCGCGATTAGGTTTTCGGTCTTAAGCCTCTTTTTTCTGGATGGCTTTCCGTGACAATTATCACCAAACCCGCTCAATCCTGCACACTCCTTCCTTTATCTCCTCACGTCCCGAAGGAACCAAACCAGGACATATCAGCGTCTAACAGCTTCGTGAGATCCTTCGAATGTGTTTGCGTAGTGTGTGGGAAACTGTCTCCAATAGATCTGTGGTAAAATCGAGAGCGTCTTATCACTCTCAAGAGCACACTAAAGGTTGCCGAATTGGCATTGGACATCTTGCGTCTCATTGAAATTCAGATACGGACTCCATGGATCAAGTCTCCATACCGAACCCATCAGAAATACAGCACTAAGCGTGAGTCTTATACGATGCTGCATATTATTTCTCGCACCTCCGCGCCTCGCAGATTTTGTTCATCCGTAGGTCAGTAGACAATCTCAGATGATCTCACAGATATATATATTTCTGCAAAAAGCCATGTGGATAAAACAACCCTAGGGACGGCGTATTGATGTTGTTGTTGTAGGGGCTCTCAGATTCCCAAGAATGAACTATGATCGATTGAAACATCAAAATTGAGTTCTATAGATCTGCGAATTCCGTAGCTGTTTTTGTCTCAGCCCGCTATTGAAAACCTAGGACTACAGAGGCTTGTGGAACACAGTCGAATACTACCGGACCATAATCGTAATATAGTATGCAAGCTATATAATCTACATAATACCGATAAACCTTCAGCGGCTGCCTGGCGAGTACCAGCAGGATAGTCTGTGTAGCTGTCGGCTTCATGCACTTACTTTTCCTTGGTTTTACTGCGGGACATCGAGATAGCTTAGCCAGAAGCCTAAATGGCAGCAATCGATTGCCACGGCATCACTCAAATAGTCTTTTAGAACTAATAAACACGTAGACATCTCCCTTTTCACCGTGAGATGTGCTACCACTACGAAGTGAACTTCGGCATATCGGGAGTTTACGTAGTCCGAGAAGGTGATGTAAGTAGGTTTCGAATCACTGTGATTCTGGTAAGAACTCCTTTTGTTTAATTCAGGAATTGGTTTAAGATAATCTATCCTATGGCAACTCGTCGTTTTGTAGTACGTCCTTCCAGGTGCATCCTGAGTCATATAATACACGTCTTTCAATTCCAACGCTAATCTATCCTCTAAACATTGGAAATGGGGAATTTCTGAGGTTTTTTTTTTTTTGGGTCTGAGAATGACTCGTACAAAGGAGGAAGATTTGGGATATTGACAGCACGATCTAGACGGCGTTCCTTGATTTACCGGGCCACTTGGTCCGCTTTTCGGCGCGCACGTAAAGGTTGTTTGGCCTGATTAGCTGGAACATCGGGTCATATTCAATGGGACCGTCGCCTTCTCGGGAGAACTTGTACCGGTAGACCAGCTTGGGCAGGAAGACCTTGACCTCTTGCAGCGCGAAGTTGAACCCAATACACATGCGGGGGCCCATCGCAAATGGAATGTACGCCGCCTTGTGTCGATTTTTGACCTCTTCCGTGTCCCAGCGATCGGGATTGAAGCGGGCAGGATTGTCCCACAAGGCCGCGTTATTGTGGATATGGTGGAGGGCCGGAATGATCACCGCGTCCTTCGGCAGCTTATAGCCCCCGGGCAGAATGAGGTCCACCTTCGCAGTGCGACCGGGCTGGAAGGAAGGATTGTGGCGACGCTGCGTCTCCTTGATGAACTTGTCCAGGAACTCCAGTTTGTCCGTGAAATCCGCGGTCATTTCCGTATTCTCGTCAAAGCCGTGGTCCACCAGCTCTTGCAGAAGCCGTTCCTGCATGCCGTCATACGTGACCAGGCTGTAGATCAGCCAGGAGAGGAGAGAGCTGGTGGTCGTAAAGCCGGCGCCGGTCGCGACCACCAGAGCCCAGACCAAGCTAGATTTGGGCAGCTTCTCGCCCTTGTTATCGGTGGCTCGGAGAGCGTAGTCTATTGAAGGTTAGACGGATTCCTTACGGGCGGAGCTGACCGATGGGCGACGGGTACCACTTACCGACCATGTTGCTTGCGCTCAGGGCCGCGTCTTGCAAAGGCAGATCCTCGATGCCCCCTTGGGCGGCCTTCTCCATGGACTCCTCGACCATCCCCTCAATGCGGGCCTTGAGCTGTCGCAGCCGTTTGGGATCGCCAAATGGCAAGGAGCTGTACCAGTCACCCTTGGAGGTGACCTTCTTATTGAGAGAAAGCATTTCGGCAATATTGTGCACCATTTCATGGACCGGGGCATCAGGTGTATCGAAATGTTGGAAGTCGATGCCCAGGGTCAGCTTGCCCACCGCTTGAGAGCCCATCTTCAACATGTACTGATACACGTTCCAGGCCTCCCCCTGGCGATCCAATTCATCAAACACCTTGAATGAGTCCTCGACGGTCTTCTGCATGGTCGGAGCATAGTGTCGAACGGCCTTCGGCCCCAACGCAGGGGGGTAAGAACTTGTGCGTGACCTTCCATTCCGGGGTGTCTGTGTCGCCAAGGAACACGCCCGCCGATGGGGTCTTCAGCGCAAATAGAGGGTGGGCTTCATTGATTTTTTTGGTGAAGAAATCCGACTCGGCGAATGCCACGGCCGCAATTCTCGGATCGTTCGTCTGGTACGTGGCACGACCCATGTTGTTCGTCTTGACGACCGGACCGAGTGACTCGAAGAGGCGCTGGTGGTTCCCTAGGTGGTCGGGATACACTTGAAAGAAGGTCCCCACGAATGGTAATTCTTTGGGGCACGGAGGATCGCGGACCTCATGTCCATCGATTGTCAGTGGCACAGGCCCGGGCGCGGCCAGAATCTCGGACACCTCCGTGAGGAGCGCCTCTGGTCCCTGGAATTCAATCTCTGGAAGAATTCTCGCTCATCAGAACCCCGAATCAATGGATCATGCTGCTGAGGGGTTTAAGGGAATCACCTACCACTTGGCTCCACGATGGCAAAATGTGCCGCAATCAACAGTCTCAACGCATCCAGAGTCAGCGAGGCGTCCACCTCAATCTGCTTGGCAGACGACGGGCTTTGCCCAAGAAGATAGAAAGTTTGCGAGGGCATCCCGGTTCGGTACTTCGAATGTGTCCAGAGTCGACCAGTAATACAACTAATATCGTAGGGTTATGCGGGAACCCTCTTTTGTATACCTTGCCGGTTATATACTCCCCCGAGTCCAACCATGTTGACCACGGCACGCTCTTTCCGAGATAAAAAAAAAAAAGCCGCATTGCGCTCCCGGGATCGACCATTGTTTCGGAACAACGTCCTTTCCACTTTCTCGGCTCCTCGCTACTGACGCGATAAGCTGCCTAAACCCTAAACACTGCGTGGGTCTCGGCATGCCGAAGGGGCAATCGGCCCGCGGCTGTTCACAAATCTCGGCATGTTCGCGTTTCAGAAGGCAGACGGTTACATTTCTTTCCGCGGAAGTCCTGGAAGTACGCGGATCTATCTTTAGAGTGGATGCGTCAAATAGCTCCGAGCTAGTGCATACAAATATGATAATAGGTGATTCCCTGTGTCTCCCAAGTCCAGCATCAAACAATTCTTTTCACCGACCGAGTTCGATCTTTCCAGTTGGTCTCCAAGGCGCCATGCAGGAAATTACAACGGAAGAGCTGGGCGCTCACAAGAGCAGAAGCGATTTGTGGGTTGCCATTCACGGGAAAGGTGAGCGCAATCCCCGTGCTATCGAAAGTTTCTAACTCTAACTAACCCCCTCCCTCCCCCTCCCTAGTCTACGACGTGACAAAGTACCTCAAAGACCACCCCGGCGGAGTCGACGTGCTGCTCGACGTGGCCGGGCAAGACGCAACCGCCGCGTATGAGGATGTCGGACATTCAGAAGACGCTGATGAAATCTTGGAAAGTTTTCTGATCGGCACATTAAAGGACGCCACTGAATACAAGGCGCCGGCCACCGTACGGGTGATTCAAGAGACCCCGGTGGAACAACCCGCCAAGGGCAGCTCGAGCGCGGTCCGCACCCTGGGCCTCACCGCTGGCTCGATCCTCTCGCTGTATCTCGCCTCCACTTCCCTCAAGACCCAGGTCCATCTCCACGACCTCCGAAGGCTGCTCCCGGGCCCCATCCACCTGTCACCGAGCAAGCTCTCCGAGTCCATCCTGCATGGCAGTTTTACCAATGGGGTGATTGCCACCGCCAGTGTGTGTGCGGCGCTCGCTGGCGTGTGTGTCTCTCGCCTCTCGAAGTTTACCGAAGTCGATTCAGGGTTCACCAAGTACCCTCCTCGCATCAAGCGGAAAGCCCTGCACAAGATCGATCCTCATCTGGTCCCGGGCTTTCTGCAGCCCAAAGACTACCAGGCCTTGCCCTTAGTGGCCAAGGACCTTCTAGCCCCCAACGTCTATCGGTTCGTCTTCGAGCTGCCAGGCAAAACCGATGTCCTGGGTCTGCCGATTGGCCAGCATGTGGCGATCAAAGCCACCGTGGATGGCCAAGTGGTGACTCGGTCGTACACCCCCACGTCCAACAATCTCGACCGGGGCAAATTGGAGCTCGTGATCAAGTGTTACCCGGAAGGCCTCTTGACCGGCAAATACCTGGCCCACCTCACGGTGGGGGATAAGGTGCTCTTCCGGGGCCCCAAAGGCGCCATGCGGTACAAGAAGGGACTATGCAAGAAGATCGGCATGATCGCGGGTGGCACGGGCATCACCCCGATGTACCAGCTGATTCGGGCCATCTGCGAAGATGATACGGACACCACGGAGATTTCCCTGATCTATGCCAATCGCTCGGAAGATGATATTCTCTTGCGGGCCGAGCTGGAGGCGTTCGCCGCGGCGCATCCCAAATCCCTCAAAATCTGGTACATGCTGGACAACCCACCCCAGAAATGGCAGTTCGGGAAGGGGTTTGTCACGCCGGCCGTCATGCGCGAGAAGCTCCCCGCGCCCTCGCCGGACACCAAGATCATGCTTTGTGGCCCGCCTGGCATGATCACTGCCGCCACGAAGGGACTGGTTGGCCTGGGGTTCACCGCACCAGGCGCCGTGACGAAGATGACGGACCAAATTTTCACTTTCTAGACGCATTGTTTTTTTTTTTCCTTTTAGACTCGCATTCAGTTTCAAAAAGGCAGTTGCCTCCTGACTTTTGTCTTTCACTTGACTTCAAGCTGTCTCTTGTGTACTTTATATGTGTATGTCGTTCATTTAGCTAGACCTAGACCTATGTTTCATAGATTCCCTTTCAGCACGGAAGATGGCACTGTACGCTGACCGAATACCAAATCTTGGGGTCTCGGGTACGTCCGGCGTTTTGACGCTTTCGGAGTTCTTGGGAGTATCCAGGCTTAAGAGCAATGAAAAGCACAGTTTGTCAGCTGTAATTTACGGGATTTTCGGCTTAGATGCAGTGCCCCTTCTTTTTTTGTTTTCTGTTGTTTCTTTTTTGCCCGCCAGTCCAGCTTCAATAACATAAGATACCCGACCGATGCGAAGGGCTAGGAGCGGCAATGGTGTTTCAAGATAATCACTACCCGCCTGAAGTGTTCAGTCAAGGGCGAGTAGCTAGAACGTCAATTGGTAGACACTGCTTGCTTTTTACCATTTCTATGTATGCATGTACTAATTGCTCACTATCTGGGCAGGGCTAAAGCAAGACTTTGGTTCAATGTCAACTCGGCCACGAACGTTGTCCGATCACCGGGGAGACGAGAAGAAGAGAAGTTCGACGTACAAACCCTAACATTGATCTGCGAAGGTCACGTGCCACTTGGGATCCACCTACTGTATCCAAGGGACCCGCACCAGGCCGTCTTGCCACGGCTACTAGTCGAAGCGTGCAGGGGAGCGTATCGGACTGCTGACGAAGTTAATCGCAACGCCAGATAGCCAGCCGCAATACAGGAATTGTGCCCTCCCGATATGCCTCCTCGAGCGCCACGGCTAGATCGGCCTGCCGCGTGATCCCCGCTATGCCGAGGTCCAAAGAACCCGCGGAAACACCATCGGCAAGCCGATCTTCGGCCAAAGCGTTTCGTCAAACACGAGAAGACGGTTCGGGTTCGCGGCACTCGGATGTATACGGCCTGAGATATCCCTTGTGGTCGAAGGGGGCCCTCTAAATGCGGGAAGGTTCCCAAGGGTTCGCCTTCGAAATCCCTCGGTCATATATAACGGCAAAACACCCCCATCGACAGTAGTATCTTTTGCAAGCACTACTGCAGTCCGTGTTTGCTACCCCGTTCCCTCCAACCCTGTAAACACTTCGCTTCTGATCCTTTTCCGCGAACATGACCTCAGCGTGGCAGCCACCCAAGAACTACCGCACACGGCCCGTTGCGCTCCTCGGAGCGGGGGTCTTGGGCCGTCGAATTGGTATGTTCTACTGCGTCAAACTGGACACCCTCTTTGTGCAAGAAGTTAACAATCGTGCAGCGGCCATTTGGGCCTCCGCGGGCTACAGTGTCCACGTCCGTGACCCCAGTGCGGACCAACGTGCGGCTTGCGAAACCTATGTGAAAGAGAATGTGGCTTCATACGCAGCCAATACGGGTGCCGAGCCGGGCAAAGTCACCACCTTTGAGGATATGGCACCAGCCCTCGAGAATGCCTGGCTCCTCATTGAGGCTGTTCCCGAAAAAATCCAGTTGAAAATTGATACGTTCGAGCTGGTTGAGAAACTGGCTCCCGCCGACTGTATTCTGGTAACCAATTCATCGTCCTACAAATCGTCGGAGATGCTCGACAAGGTCTCGGACAGCACCAAAGCTCGCATTCTGAACATGCATTACTACATGCCTCCAGCAGTCATGGTCGTGGAACTGATGACCGACGGCTTTACCGAACCGGCTATCTTTCCTTTCCTGGTTGAGCGCTTGAAGGAAGCGGCCACCCTGCCATACGTTGCGCGAAAGGAATCCACCGGCTTCATTTTCAACCGCTTGTGGGCCGCCATCAAGCGCGAAACCCTCACGATTCTTGCCGAGGGAGTCTCGACGCCGAGTGAAATTGATTCGATGTGGGGAGAGATGTTCATCAAGGGCAAAATGGCGCCCTGCAAGGGCATGGACAGTATGTGATTTTCTCTTCCCCCCTTTATGCTGAGTGCTCTGGACTCTGGCATTGCTCCCTCAAGAAGGCCGTGCTAATTATGCTCTCTCTCTTACCAGGCGTCGGTCTGGACACTGTGGCATTCATCGAGAAACACTACATCGCCGAACGGGGCCTCTCCGGCACCAAAACCGTTGACTATCTTCAAACCAACTACCTGGACCAGGGCAAGCTTGGAAACAAGTCCGCAGCCGGCGGTCTTTATCCAGCCCCTGGAAGTTCCGAGACGGACGGTGACAGCCACAGCCTCGTCGTTCTCGACATTGGCTTGTCGGCCAAAGAACCGAGCTTGCACGCCGGCGAGGTGCTGCAAATCTCAACAGATGGACAGGTGCAAAAGGTTCTCGTCACCGGTCAAGCTCTGCCGGATGGTCTTGCCGTAGACTCTGCGAGCAAACGCATGTTCTGGACCAATATGGGTGTCCCTGGAAAGGACGATGGTTCCGTCATGTCGGCCAATCTAGATGGATCTGACATCCGGACGGTGGTGTCACCGGGGACCGTCAACACGCCCAAGCAATTGACGCTAGACACAAAATCCCAAAAGGTCTATTTCTGTGACCGCGAGGGCAAGCGCGTCCTTCGCTGCAACTATGATGGCTCGGAATTTGAGGTCTTGGTCGCGACGGAGAATGCGGACAGCCCGGACATCCTGAAGTGGTGCGTTGGCATAGCTGTGGCCCCGAGTTTCGGCAAATTTTACTGGACCCAGAAAGGCCCGTCCAAGGCCGGACAAGGGCGTATTTTCTGTGCCAATATCCAGACCCCTGCAGGTCAATCAGCATCTTCAAGAGATGATATTCGTGTCGTCTTGAATGGGCTTCCGGAGCCGATTGATCTGGAGGTAGACGAGGAGGCGCATACGCTTTACTGGACGGACCGTGGGGAGCTACCGCTCGGTAATTCCCTGAACCGAGTGCACCTCGACGCCTCTGGCCTTCCCAAGCCACACCAATCTTCTAGGGGCTACTGAAATTCTCAGCAGGAATTTCAACGAGGCGATTGGGCTGAAGTTGGACCCAGTCAATAACGTCATCTATACGACGGACCTTGGTGGTAGTCTCTATCGTTGCGACCGTGATGGAAAGCACAAGGTCAAGTTATTAAGCGACGAGAACCGGGCTCTGACTGGGATCGCACTTGTTTGATGAGAATGGATTTTCTCCGGCAGATTCTGGACGCGATGTTTTCTCCATTGCTTAATTTGTCCGTCCCTCAGATCTCCAGCCATAGATTTTCTTTAATTGCTTAGATTATAGTCCATAGATGTGTAGGTAAGAGAGCAAGGCTATCTCAAATTCAGCGGATACTCCAAAAAAATATTCCTCGAACATAAATGCACAACCACAGCGTCACCCGGGCCCGGGGAGCACACATATTAAGACGTAAACTCTACGCGGTAGTTACGCCTAGGCAGCTAGTAAGCGGCAGGAAAGAAGTGTTGGGCTCTGGGCACTAATGATAGTCTCCTGCGAGACTGTGGCTCGATCCGTAATCCACAGCTTTGCGGATTTGATATTGTCACGGATTCCAGCTAAAGGGTGTACTGTATAAGATGTGCCGGGCATATTCACACATCATGTGCGGACGTGTGCGACAGGAGAAGCCGGAAGAAGATGTGGTATTAGCATAAGTCAAGAAGCAGAGCCTCTTAGAAGAGAAATACCAAAATATAGGTAAGGTTAGCGCGACGGTGACAGAGGTTGAGGACTTGTAGAAAGTGTTAGAGTTAAGTATAGAAGTATCTACATATCGGTACGGATAGGCGGATGAATCAAGGGTCGCTCATCTATATTACCGATGACTAGACTGCGGCACGATCTGCAATGTCTAAGGATGTCTATAATCCATGTGTGCGAACTGTCAAGGAATAATGGGTTTCGATAGCGTGGAAGCGGTGTTGGAAGCGCCTTTGATATCAATTCGAGACCTTTGAATATGAAGCCAAGCCCATTCAACGATAGTGAAGCAGAGTCCAAGAGCTACCCTGTATCCTATTGGCGGGCTCAGGGCTGAAACCTCAGCTGAGACCGAATCCCTAGCGAATCTCTCCATAAAAGGAGGCGCCTGTTTTAGATGAATGAGTGAGCTTTAGTCTTTATTCAAACCGGAACCCTACTGTGGAAGTCTATCGAATACGATTATCTTATCTAGTCAGCTGGTGCCATCCAAATCTAGTAGTTCCCTTACACAAAGACCCTTTCAACGCTACTTCGGTGGCGAAACGCCATTCAATCCCATTATTCCTTGACAGTGCCCAGAGAGATCTACCGGCAAATCGGGTGATAAGACCTGATAGAACTATAAATATTAATCAATCAATACTCCTGGGGATAACATCAAAGTCTTACTAGCTCTAAGTATCTACTGTGTAGAACCTCATGTTATGGAATTTGTAGTCAAAATATGTCATTATGGTCATTTCGCTTACTATCTAGATGACCCCAGTGGACTTGTCGAAGCTGGAGCAAAATATGCGGAATCAGACACCACAGAAATTGCCCTGCTAGATTCTTCGCTCCAGCCGTTACTACGGAGTCGATCACTGGGCCCCCATGTGTCGATTTCACTTGGTGCTGTAACAAAACAGTCAGGTTATACCTTGAACCACTTGGCGATGAGGGAAGCTTACTTGATTACAATTGTCTTTGGCTCCGTATAATGACGGAGAGCATATTCTCCTAGCCCGCGGCCAATTCCACTTAACTTAAACCCTCCCATGGGCACCTGAGGGCTGGCAATCGATGTACAATTGATTCCGACTGTACCTCCACGAATGGCACGGCTGACTCGCAAGGCTCTTTCAATATCCTGGGTATAGGCAGAGCCTGCCAGACCGTAGTTGGTGTCGTTGGCCAGAGCGATTGCCTGCTCTTCCGTCTTAAAGGTTTTGATACATAGAACAGGTCCAAAGATCTCCTCGCGGTAGATCTTAGCGTCAGAGGGGGGGTTCAGGAAGATGGTCGGGGCGACATAATAATCATCAACGGAGTACGTATCTCCCCCAACGACAGGAGAGAGCACTTTCTGGGCGTCGTCGATATAAATGCGGACCCGCTCATACTGGGCCTTGTCGACCAGAGGTCCGTACTGTGTCTCGGGACTCATCGGATCTGCGCCCAGGGTGGCTCCAATGTGTTAGAACGCCTGCTTCAGACCTTCGATGAATTTCTCGGCAATACTCTCCTGTACAAAAAGGCGGGATGTGGCAGTACACACCTGCCCACTGTTGCCCGTGATGCCAAACGTGCACCAGAAGAGATTTCGCTCAATGTCAGCATCTTCGAACACCACGGCAGGGCTCTTTCCTCCAAGCTCATAGGTGACGCGCTTTAGATTACTCTTAGTTGCGGCATCCTGGACCTTCCTCACCGTACCAGTGGACCCTGTAAAGGAGATCTTGTCGATATCCATGTGGCTGGCTAGCGAGGCACCAACATCCCCAGCCCATATAAATCGAGTTATCACTGAGACCTATCACGCTCTCTGGTGGAGCGGTGGCGGGGAGGGGGAGCCGCGGGGGGGCAAGTATTATCTCTGAGGTCGCTTACCTGCAACAATTTGGAAGGCGCCCGGGGGGAAACCGGCCTTGCTGATGAGATTCGCAACAGACAGCGTGCCCAGAGGAGACTTTTCCGAAGGTTTCAGGATGACAGTATTTCCTGTCGCCAGCGCCGGAGCAGACTTCCATGCGAGAAAGTGTAGCGACCCGTTCCAGGCAGTCACACCAGCACAAACACCAACTGAGGTGTGCTCTACGATCTTGCAGAATCCATCTTCGGGCGGGAAGTAGTCACCCTTGTACTTGTCGGTCCAATCTGCGTAATCTGTTTCGCCGAGGTCCGCTTGCCTAGCACCACGCTTTCTCCGGATTGGAGAAGATCACTTACACCTAAAAACAGAGACAACGCTGGGCATCGTGCTTTTCAGGAAGGAGATGGGAGTGCCACTGCAAAGACTTTCGAAATATGCAATCTCCTGGGTATGCTGCTCGATCAAGTCCGCGAGTTTATTGAGCACGACCCCGCGTTGCTCCCCTGTGAAGGCACCCCACTCCCCATTAAAAGCACGTCGGGCATTCGCAACGGCGGTGTCAATGTCGGCAGCTGATGCAGAGTTCAAGGGGGGGCAGGTCGATATCACTCCCATCTTTAGCACGCTTGAAAGTCAGCCGGGAGCACCCCCCCCCCCTTGCACCCACTAATCCGATCAGCATGCTGCTACCGTGAACTTATTGGAGCAGATGTATGTCTCACCTTGTTGTCGAGGAAAAGAGCACTGGGAGGGGTGGTGACATTCATCAGTCTTTTAGACGCCATTCCGTTCAACTTGTTGGTCGTGTCTCCTGTACAGGTAGAGGTCAGGACTTGATTGTTCTGAGCAATAAGCCTGCCGGATCCATTAAGTTCCTAGATTTCCGAACGAATATAAGTCAAAGACAGTCATTTAGCGCTTGCTGTGAGGCGAGAAGCACTGACACGTCGATCCATCAACCCCCGCAATGTCCTAATTCCGCGAGCCGGTAATTCCGGCAGCCCGTAATTATTTTCCTCAACCCCGAAATACGGACTCCCACTGGAAACATAAGAAGACATGCGTATCAGAAACGACTGTACTTGTATGACACGGGCCAAGCAGGACATAATCAATAGGAATTCCGGTGGGTCCTTCTATCCCGCATCTTGCGGCCGTATTTTGCGGGGGAGACCATGAAGGCCTAGGCAACCTGCATGAAACATCTGGAACATCTTTATACAACTGTTATCACGGTGAGAGGGGCCGATTCTTCTTACGCAAAATATTTACCTCTCAAAGGCCCTCTGTACTACGTGCTCATTCAAACATGCCATGGCTCAAGATCGAGGATCCCAAGATGCGAACGCCATGTTCGTCGATGAGGTCCGGCCAATAAAGCCCGAGGACGATAGATCCTGAGCACACAGCTTCGGCAAGAACGAGGAGCTGTACCTCGACTCCGGGTTTGTGATGCGTGCCACTGCCGAAACCGGAGAGTATGTGCATTTTTGGACCATCATGTATCACCAAAAATGCAAGGACGTGGTTATGGAGTGTGATTTGAACCGTACGGCATTGCTGGTGACAAACCATTCGGAAGAAGAGAAGAAGAACATGACGCGACCCCTTCCATCGACAAGGGCCACAACCTCGAGGATTTCCTCCCTCTAGGCTCCCTCAAGATCAGCGAAACCCCAACGGGAGCGCAATGGGAGATCGCCGGTCGCCAGTATGTCTGCGCCACGCCGGAGTGCTGGATTCGGGGGGAGTACGCTGGCGTTAAAGCCAATATCCGGCTATCCGACCCCAGCGATGGCTTCTTCCACCTCGGTTTCTTCGAGAATTGGAAGCCTGATGGCATGGCCGGATACCAGAGCCACATGAAAGCAGAGGGTACTATCAAGTACGAGCGTCGGATCCTTAAGATCAAGGGCCGGGCCGTCCGAGAAAACCTAGGGTTCCGTGGAACGAACAAGGGAATACCTAACCGCATTGGATACATGGGCGCCGAAGGGCTGAATTGGTCACATGCATTCAGTGATGAGTTTTCCTGGTATATCATGGCAGGCCACGCAGATCGCAATCCAACAGGTATGCTCGTTCTTGATGGGAAGATAATCCACGCTACCGGCCAGTCCAATGTGTGGCTGGAGAGCATCTACCAGTGGATTGACCCAGACAGCAACCAGCTGGTGCCATGAAAGTGGCGTGCTTACCTGCGTGCTCCAGAGGGCATCATGGAGGCCTACATCACCGCGCATAGCCGTGTACACTACACCTGGAATTGCCTAGGAGGTGTCATTGCTGTCTCCTATCTGGTCGAGAGGCTGAGGCCACATTTACACACACAAATGGACGTGTAGTCAAAGCCTCGAAGCAACTTTTCTTTACTGAGTTCATGCGCACCTTCCACCGCTGCCCCAAACTCCTGGGCTAGATACAGTTAGCCTGGCTTAGTATGGGGTATGCCATGATATCAAGCTGCTGTAAAATGAATATGTTGTTAGTGATTATACTCCGAGAATGTATGATGTTTTTGATATTATAATATACAACCCCTAAAAAACCTCCTTTTCTCCTAATACAAAATCTTAGTAATAGTCTATATAGCAAATCCTGGCCATGACAAGACTTTTATAATAAGGTTCGAACTTCAAAACTAGTACTATTAGAAGGTCTAGATTTTAAGGATTCTAGATCTATTTAGACCTGGCACTCATCTGCCCTGCAGGTCCAAGTTTAGAAACCTCTGTCTGTATCTTAGAAGGTTAGGGTCTAACCTCGCTACCCTAATCCTGACTCTGACCCTCTAAGGATGTCAGGACCCAAGGTCTCTGAGCTGCCGCTGGGTACCTTAGGCCCTGCCGTATCAGGTTGATGCGACGGTCACCCAAATAGGCTTGGCTCTGTCCGCCATTCACACGGATCTGCTTTTCAAAACGATCGGGCGAATTGCTGCTCACCCAGACGTGTTACCTGAGCTACGCTCCGAGATTGAACAGGCCATATCAGTTCACGGGTTGAATAAGAATGGAGTTTATAATATGAAACGTCTAGACAGCGTGCTCAAGGAGACGCAGCATCTTAATGCAGTCGCCTTGGCGATTATGAACCGGTACGCCACTGAGGATATCACATTAGCGAATGGAGTGACCATTCCTAAGGGACCTCCGTCACTACAGACACCATGCGCAGTGATAAAACCTACGATCGTGCCAAGGAGTGGGATCCATACAGGTTTCACAACATCCGGCGAACTGGTCAAGAGCAGGAAGGTCAATTGGTATCCACGACTGCACAACACTTGGCCTTTGGTCTTGAAAAGCATGCGTGCCCAGGTCGAATTTTCGCAGCTCATGAGCTCAAGATCATGTTAGCTCACATTTTGCTCAAGTATGATATTGAATACATTGAGCAAGACCGACCAAAGATCAGAGTTGTTGGAACTGATGTTTTCGCAGACGGTATACCCAGGGCTCAAGTTGGCCGCCGAGATGGGTATAAGATACCCATTGTATCGGAAGCCTGGGCAGACTGATTGGGTTGATATTCGATATTTCATGTGTCGTAATAGAGATGGCTTGGAGGCTGGGCTTCAAGCAGTACGGGAATAGAATGAACTTAAGTTGGTAAAAAGTATCCTGTTGTTCTCCTGGAATGAAGGAAACATGTCACCTGAGAAACTCTGCGATTACAGTCAATCCTACCTAGGCACCTGGACATCACGTAAATGAAGGGGCCTCCATAGTCCATCAGTGTGTATAGTGTACTTGAGCACTTGGGTAAAATAGACGAAGACCAGCGGAGTAGCATGGTCGCATTGCACCTTTCACATGCGTATACACGCAAGGCTGCCTGGATGGATTAAATTGAGTAAATCTCAGGTACCTTCTGTGGAAGCTGAGGTGGATCTCGGCATCGTTGCCTAGATAGGGCCAATCGGTACGGATTTAAAAAGTAAACTCCGTAGCAGTTGTGATCTCTACCGATAGCGGTTAGATTCGCTGCAATTTCAATATACTCGTAATCATCAGCTGATATTATCCCTGTTATGATGTAACACGTGGTTCTGAGGGAAATAATGGAGGACTTTGCGTCTATCCCTAATGTACTCTATTTCATCTTCCTTCCACCCCTCGCTACTGCGAAAATCATCCTATCAGCCTAACCAACATACAACTCTCCAAGGAAACCTTAACCCCACTGAATCGATTGATACAGATAGCCAGTCAATTTGAACTCACCATGACTCCTACTCGATCGACCTGGCTAGTGACCGGCGCATCATCAGGCCTTGGCAAATATATCGCTTCCCAAGCTCTTAAGGCTGGAAATAAAGTTATTGGAGCTACACGCGATGTCGGAAAGGCCGAAACCACCTATCCGGAATTTGCGGCCAAGGGCGGCATTTGGGTAGGGATTGATCCTGCCCAGCAGGATGCCTATGATCAGTTTTCGAAGTACTCTCGTGAGTATCAAGTGGATGTTCTGGTAAATAGTGCTGGCTATGCTTTTATTGGGGGCGTAGAAGATACAAGGTCGGTATCTTGAACAACCCGGTGTTTCGTTATCCCTCACTAAATTTTTTTATAGCGAAGAAGAAGTCCGCCAGCAAATGGAGGTCAATTTCTATGGGCCTCTTCGTGCTGTTCGAGCCTGTCTACCGGTCATGCGTGAGAAGCGCTCTGGTCATATCATTCTTATTAGCAGTGGTGCAGGGTATGTGTATCTTCCTTAAACCTCCCAGATCTACAGGACTGATATCAAGCTTTGTATTGGATAGATTTATCGCTCGCCCTGGACGGGGTACCTATTCAGCGAGTAAATTTGGAATCGAGGCTTTTCACGAGTCCCTGTCTCACGAGGTCAGGTCTCTCGGAATTAAAGTCTTGATTGTGGAGCCAGGCGCATTCCGAACCCCTTTCGCTACCCGTCAGGTTGTGCCTGCTGCATTTGAGAACGGCTTCAGTGCTGGCTATACTGGTACACCAGTTGAGGTGATGGTGAGCATGTCTCGAAATCTTACGGCTGCTCCGGATTGGATTAGAGGGGATCCAGAGAAGGCGGCAAGAGTCATCTTGAACGCTACAGCTGAAGGGTACGATTACCTCCGGCTTCCCCTGGGTAAGGACTGCGTGGCTGCTTTAGAGGCGAAGATTGGAGAGCTGCAGAAGGATTTGGACGCTACACGCTCGGTCGCCATTACTACTGATGTTGATTAAATCTTCGAAGATTGCCTTGCCAATATCTATCACAGTGTATGGCATTTGAAACATGCCATTCTAGTCCAAGAGCTTCATGGTGATCTTTATAATAGTAAATCAAATTGAATACAAACGTATGGCCTTTGAAGAGACTTCAAGGTTCTTTTTAAGATAAAATATTTGAAATTTTGTACAGCTCTATATCAGTATTCTCTACCCGATATCCCGCACTTGAGTAGTCCCATCATTTGTTCACAGTAAAGAGAGAATTCCGTGCCGTATGGACTGCAAAATGAGTCCGTGTACTGGGAGGAGGCGATGAAGGATTTTTTGGAGGCAAATTCAATTATGCGTTTCTTCAATGAACGGGTTGAATAGCTGCATTAATCTATCAATCGGTTCATCCACCTAGGTATATTGAGATGAAATATGCTAACGAACATAAGAGGAAGGTCCTTTACATCTAGTCCAGTATGTGGCAGTTCCAATCTACCCGTGCTCTTGTCAATCTCAGAAATGCAAAAGACTAAGGGGATAATAGCCAATCCCTTCCAGTCAGTTCTTTGTTCAGGCACTATATCTCTTGAACCATAAATTTGCTGTAGAATCTACTACTGTCAGAAAACCCGCGGCATTGCGCATTGGGTGCCCAGGAGAACCCTCAGCCAGTTTGAAATCGTAGTATTTCAAGAAGGGTGTCATTATGACCTTCGCTTCGTGAATCGCGAAAAAGCGTCCAGGACACACCTGTGTGCCTAGGCCGAACACAAGGCGATCATTACCAGTACCGACAGCCTGCTCGAGGTCAATGGTTAATAGAGGAAGGAGGATGGTAAAATATCAGCATGATATATACTTAGAATTTCCCGTCTAGCGATGGTTTATTGCGCAACTTCTCAAATCGAAAGCCTGTCAATGGTGGCCTACGTTGGGGAACAGAAAGGACCAGGAACGGCGCTCTTATTCGAAATACTAAGACTAGAGGGGGAAAGGAAGAGGGAGAAGGGGAGGAGCTACACGACAATCTATCTACTCCTTCGCGAACCCCCGTCCCATCTTCGCCAACCTCGTAGTGCAGACCGTCCTCCTCTATCCCAGGGCTAGACTGCGGCACGATCCGCAATGTCCAAGGATATCCGCAATCCATATCCGCAAACTGCGGATTTGGATATGATTTTATATCCGCAATCCGCAGCCTTGTGGATTTGGATATGGGTCTCATATCCGTTGGATATTTGCGGATATCCAATGGATATCAAACAAGACAAATATGCCAAGACTCGTGACCTCAAGGGGTATACATTATTTTTATGTTTCCTCCAGTATTTTTTATGTAACAGCCTTGTCACGCGGATATCCGCACAGATATCCGCAGAATATCCATACCCCTTTTAAATTATAAAGTCTACATTTTGAAAACTTCTATCCATGATTTCTCTTACTTCCACGGTCGGAATATCTTTAAACTCTAATATATCAATAGCTGGAAGATGTAGCGTTGTTTTGAATCTAGAATTGGGATATTTTACCAAGAATCAGATATTTTTTCCTTATTCATTCTATTTGCTGTGAAAGTGGAGGAGGTTAACAGTAGTCAAATATATATTTTCAAGTAAGTTACCACAAAATCTTTATTTCACAGCCATACTCAAGATTAGAGTCAAATTCTCCTAATTATATAGCCTCATATTTAATTATTACACAATCAGACCTCAGATACACATTCATTTCCTAATATTTCACACTATATGGTATGAATTAGGGATGTTGGTTCTGTTATAACCAAACACGGTTTTCTTTCAGGCGGGGAGAAAGATTGGTAAGCTGCATTAGTGTCAGGTGACAGCCTATATTCGGGAAGGTAAGCGAGAGTTATGCTAGTGCGGATATCCTTGGATATCCGCAGCTTGGATATGGATATGAACTCATATCCATTGGAGCGGATATGCCGCAGTCTACCCAGGGCAGTAAGCGACGGCAAATCGAGTAAGCAATGACAAGCTATAGATGTTAGAAGCCCTAGTAGATTAGTAGTTTAGATAGGGCCAATACCTCTAGACTTATAACTAGACATCTTCAGGGCCCGACAGAGGGCCGAATCCCCAGGCCCGAAGCCCGACCCGACACAGGCCCATGGCCGAACTTTTGGGCCCGAGCCCGACCACTAGGCCCGCGACGGGCCCCCGACAGGCCCCCGACAAAGCCCGTTTTTGCATAAAAAGGGGGTCTTGGTGTTCATAAACACACTTAATAACCTAGATAAAATACTGTTATTTATTTCTGTTCTGGTTTTTCTTAAGAAAAAGATTGTTATTCACTACTTAGAAGTTGGAAATTTTAGGAAATCCTTTTAAAATTAGAACAGAGATTACCTGTTCTCTATTATTTATAAGAAAAAAAAGAACTTTCTATATTTTTAAGTATATCTTGCCGGTAAGATAAAATATTGCATAAAGTAGATTAAATATATATATATTATACTAGTAGATATATATCCTTTATCTTCTGATTAAATAGCTCTTTCTAAATTATCACCAAAGCTAGATCTATCTCAATATATAGCTATATCTTCTCTATAAATATTATAATCTACTATAACTATAACGATTCGAACAGGATCTATAAATAGAATTTATTAAGAATAATAACTGCGGCTTTATAGATAGGATCGAAGTTAAAAAAAAATATTTGAGACTTTTTAGTCTGAATAGGCTGGGAATAGGCTATTTGTAGACTTTATCCCTATTTCTATAAGCTCTTATAGGCTTTAGTAAGGCTTTGATAGGTTTTAATAGGCTTTTTGTAGGCTATTTATAGGTTTTATCTCTTTTTCTGTAAGCTTTAACAGACTTTTAAGGACTTTAATAGGCTTTTAACAGGCTTTTAATAGGCTTTGATGGACTTTCGAGAGCTTTGACAGGTCTAACCTATTTAGTTAGAATATCTATCTTATTTAATTCTAATATAATAATTACTTTTAAGCTAAACAGCTTACTTAGCTTTTATATTAACAAGTTATTTAACTCTTATTATAAATAACACTCTTCTTTCTAGTTCTCTTAATAATTTTTATAGCCTATATACCAGTTAAATCTTAATTATATTCTAAAACTAACAGTCTAATCTACTATTATCTTTATATAATAGAGAAATTGATAATCTACTATATCTTATATATTTATATCCTCTAACAATCCTATCGGAAACCTATATATTCGATATCCTTAATATATCTTTTCTCTAACTAGCGATTTCTTTTATAATTCTATCTAAACTTGAGTATATTAGATCCGATCGAAGAAAGATATATATTCTTTATAATAATATATCTTATAATAATTATATTATATAATAATTATAGATAGATTATAGAACAAAAAATAATATTAACTAGGACTTAAACTATTTTTCTAATATTTAGAAATACTTCAATCAAGTTATATATAATGTTAATAATATACCAAAAATTATATATAAACAATATTCTTAGATTCTCGAATATCTTTATTATAAAAAAAAAGAAAATAAAAGAAGAGATATAAATTATAGTATATTAATAATAATAAGATATCTTAAAACTACTATCTATTTAAGATTAGATAACTAATAAAAAAGAGAGATATCTAAGTTTCTATAAAAAGAGATATTTTTTAAATATAAACTTTATTAACTTATTTATATTAATTTTAAATAATAAAATACTTCTAAGACTAATATTTTATTCTCTTAATAAGTCTAAAAAAAGAATATCTTATTCTTTCTTTCGATTAATTATCTTTTATTTATCTTGATTAAATATCTAATATTTATCAATCTAATCAAAATAGTCTAGTCTATAATATTATATCTTTTAGTCTTATTAGTTATTATAATTTAGTATTATCTTAAGACTCTTATATAAGATCGATAACAAGATATCCTTCAAATATTTTCTTTATAATCAAAAATTTCTATTATACTTAATTACTAGATATTACTATTTTTCTAAGCTTTTATAGTTATTACTAGTTATTTTATCGATATAGATTAGGTTTACTAAAAGATTTTCCTTAGATTTAAATCTTTTTATAGTATATATACTAGTTCGAACCTGAACAATATTTTTTTAGAGATACTTATAGAATATTAGATTTAAGATTATATTTTTAGGATAATTATTAATAATATATCAAATAATAAGATACTTATTAATTTATTTTAATAAGTCTTATCTAATAATATAACTCTTATCTAGACTTCTTATCTTATCTATATTATCTAGTTTAGTTTTAACTAATTTCTAGACTATCTAAATATAGTTCTGTTTAATAATACTACTAAAACTAAATAGATAAACCAATAATTATTAATAATTAAGATTAATATATAATAATAATAATATAAGATTTTATCTACTTTAAAGAAAGTCTAATATCTTATAATTTATATTAATATAAACCCTTAATACTAAGAAATATTTAATAATCTCTAACTAGATAAACCAAAGCTAGTTCTAATTTAAGATATTAGAACTTGATAGAATTTAATCTTTCTAATATTATACTAAACTAAATAACTCTGATCTATTTTTACTCTATTTTATATAGATTATAATTATAAAAAAATATTATTAAATAATAATAAATAGTATCAAATTAATTATCTTCTTTATATCACTAAATTATTTTTTCTTTATATAACTAAGTTTTTAAAGATTTATAATATGATATTATATCTAGTCTTCATGATTTATAATATCCTCTTTAAATATCTTAAAAAATTGATTAGTCAGCTTTAACAAAAATATATTTTATAAAAAATATAGATATTAGAGATACTTAAATCTAGTCAGCAAAAGCTTGATAAATATTATTTAGAAATAGATAATATTTATAGCTATCTTTATATAATTAATATAATACTTATCCTAGATAATAAATTCTAGTTTTTTCTAACTAATAACTAGGATAAAAAATAATAAGATATCTACCAGAATTCCTTTTAAAAAGCTTTAATTCTATATTAATAATAGCTAATAAATATCTAGACTTTTTTTAGTTTTTATATAATAATATAACTAAACTTAAGACTAAATAAGTTATTAAAAAGATATAAATAATAAATAAAACTAGTTAGAGATAAAATAATTTAATATCTAGATAATAATATATTAATAGTTTTTTAATCTTGATTAGATATTAATCTTTTACTAGATATTATTAATATAAAATCTCTTTCTTTTTAGAGAGATAATCAAACTTGTTTCTTAGTAATTATATTACTTATAAAAAATATTCTATTAGTTCTAGTAATAGATATAGATATTAAGTGATTTTTTAATATAGCCCAAGATCTCTATTATTATTATTATAATCGGATGAAATCTGAGATAATTAAGAAGCTAATAATATTTCTTTATATATTAAGATTTGATCTTGAATAGAAGAAGGAGGAGTATTTAAAAGAATTTTCTATTTTTGATAAGATTGAAATGTGGAGAGAGAAGAAAGATAAGAAATTAGAGTATATAGAGCTTGACAAGATTAGTAATACTAAGAAACCGGATATAAAGTAAGAAGAGAAGGAGAGTAAGGACTCTAAGCCATATCTACTAGAAACTAGTATCTAGTAATGTATATCTGAAAGGAAATAGAAGATATAGAAGGATAAGGGCTTTTAGTGTTACTAGTAAATAAATGAAATAGATAAATTTATATGGAATTTTTTGCCGAGATTATTGATTTAGAGAATATTTCTGTATCTAAGATATTAAAATTATTACTGAAATATTATATAAGTTATGTTGTTATAGGGTCAAGTGTTGTTTATACTGTTTAGCAGTTTTCGGAGGCCTGTTCGGGCCCCTGATGTGGGCTTTGGGCCTATCGATAAAGCCTAAAACCTGTCACAGGCCCTAACTCTAGGCCCGAAACCCGGTCTGCGTGCATGGTTGGGTCGGGGCAGGGTCGGGCTTTCGCGGGCCCTAAAGATATCTACTTATAACTCGGATCTAGAGATAGGATATATTAGACCTCGACCAAGATAGTCTCCCAGAGCAACCGTGATAAATAGATCTAGGATAGATCTTAATAGTGTTTAGTAGCTAGATAGGCTTTAGTCGGTAGATAATCCATCTGCTTGTCAAGGAGCAATGGGATTCGACGGCGCTCCGCCGTCGAATCGGCGTCGAAGGCGCCTTTGAAGATATATCGAGATCCTTTGGGCAAAAGTCGTGTCATTCAATGTCGACAAAGCGGGCCCGCTGGACTCTCCTGTATCCTATTGGTTGGATTAAGGCTGGGTACGCTGGCCGCTACGGTATAAAAAATAAACGGGCCATCGTCGGTGATACCCTTCCGGATTATGTTTTCCAAGGTATCTTAGCGCCACTACGACCCACAAGCGAACCATGGACATAGATTTTCATCTATGCTCGCTACCAATTTTCAGGATCAGCCGACGGTGTAAGACTAGTAGGGTTTATGGACAGGGATAAACCTGGTACGGGGCAGCCTCAGGGCGTGGCCGGCGACCATTTGCGACACCTCTCATAACAAGTGTCAATTTCCAAGTAAGGTTATACAAGTCAGAGATGCTGACATTCATTCCTTGACCTGCCTTTGGACTGTGCATATAACATGCATCTCCAAGTAGAAAAACACGCTGAGTCTGATCACAAAAGTTATGAACAAGTCGTTGAGCAACATGATATTGGCTTATCCAGACAATATCAGTGATAATAATCTTGTACGGATGGATGAATTTGCTGATATGCGACTGGATAGTTTTCGCGAGTTTGAAAGCGCCATCTCCGCAGACAACTTCCTTTTGGTGATGTCCATCTACCTCGAGATTTCCCTGATTTTGCTCATCCACTTGAAAGGAAGATTCGAAGGGCTTCGTCTTTGCGAGGAATAAGCATACAACCACCATCTGTTGTTTGTATGGCGCAACGTCGTCTGTAATCGGGGAAGTCAGTATCCACATAAACATCTGCCACGGCCCAAACATCCTTCCCACCCTATGAGGAAGATTTTACGCCTGTCACACAACGCGTAGAGCTTCGTGCACCATCGCAACCCAGGATATACTTTGCCTGCTAAGATTCAATGGCCCTACTAGCATTATCTTTTATAGGTCTGGTCCGTCTGGAAGGCGGACCTGGATGTGAGGAATTTCCTATTATCATCCCGGGAGCCCCCGGGCCTTAGCTTTTAGTGAATAACACACTTTTTCGAGAATCAGATACTAGTCAAGTTTCTTCTAGTATGGCTCCCTTTTAGGTGGGTCCTAGACGCTTTCGCGATAACCGTCCGAACTACAAGGTGGGTGTAGATAGGATAGAGGTTCGTGTTGGAGTAGATAGATCGCTACAATAGTTCCTCCCCCTCTCTTCTCTCCTTCCCTCCTCTAGTTTTAATATCTCAAATGCGAGCGCCGTTGCTAGTTTTTTTTTCTGTTCCTAACATAGGCCAACATTGACAACAAGTACACAATACTTGAGTAAATTCTAGACCCTCGCAAATAGCCTCCACCGTCCTTGTATATTACGACTAATCAACATAGTCAGCTCGCCGGCAATCGACATGATTCCCCAAGTATCTATATTGAGTCGAAACCTTTGCTTTTGTAAAATAGCGCCTGTTATAGGCGTATCTATCAAGTTGCCAATTGTCATGATTGTATAACCCATATCCATACAGGTACCAATCAAGTTTCGATCTGGAGAAAGATACATAAAACGAGTCAGTGGTAAGGAAATAAAAGCCCTTGATAAAAACCTGTAGAGTAGTGTGACAACTACTATAACTACCAGACTAGATAGGTTCACTAGAGCAAACATCAAGGCTCCGCACACAATCGTGTATAATGAAATTATGTTAAAAGGGCCGACCTCATTTGCAAACAAGTTGGGGAATATGCGTCCCAAAACCGACCTAGTTGTAATAATAGAGAGAAGGTAGAAATGCTATTCCATCAGCTGGTATCCCTTTCTCTTGCGCGTAGGATTGGATGTAAAAAAAGGGAATGTTCAGAGAAATAAATATAAGCAGGCTACCATATCTAGACCGTGGACCTTGTGTATATAACGTACAAACACCCTCTTGGAAAAGCCAGGGCAGGCACAACGCCACGAAAAGGTTACTCACAAAGGTCAAGCGCCTTGCGGACCGTAAATGCGACAATATGCCAGTATCCCCGGCCGAAGGTAGAATCGACGATAATCCGGCTAGTCCATGCACCTCTCGAGAAAAGGAGACATTGGCAGAGAAGGAAGCCAGTGAACACTTCACTCCGTCCGGTGGGACACAATGCTCACGGAATCAGAGCCATCGATTGGTCGGATGGTTGAAGATCTGTCCTATAGTATCAAACACGCGCAATTGACTACTTATACAGCCAGAGATTTTAGCGACCGGTGTTTTGACTAGTTATTAATCATACAACATTAGAATTGGGGTCTCAATCTCGGGGCTATCATATCCTGGCCAGGCGTTATGGCGGAATAATCTCAATGAAGACCGAAGCTATACAAAATGAGTGTTTACGCTACTGAATTTTACGAATACTCTCAGGTGCTTAGGTGCCTTAACCCTTCAGTCCATGACGCGAATTTTTATATTCGATTAATACCGAAGCCATTCAAGATTATAGGCGTTTAAAATTAAGCCTACAATTCTTTTGCACCCTTGAATATTATTCATCGTTAAAATCCATACGCTAATATTTCGGGCTGTCCAATATTCCAAGCCTAAAAAGGTCCTCATCATAGCCACTGGCCCAAATTCAGAAGGCTATTCAATTTTCGTATCAACTCGATTATCTCTTTACCATTGATCGTCAATCATCTACAAATGCACACCCTCTCGCACTAGTCTAAGCCCAAAATCACCTTATAGAGCCTTATACTCCAACACAGATATACTCATGCAACCAAAGGTCCGTGCAACCAGTTCCAACTTTAGGATTCCACTGTGTAACCTGAGCGACAGTCACGCCCTTGCTGCTAGCAATGCTCGCGCAAGTGTCACCTGAGCTGACGAAGTAAAAGGTCGTGCAGTCGTCCACCATTCCGGGCTCAAAGGGAGTAGGGGTCGGAATTCCGTTACCGGAAGATGTGGTTGAGGTCGTCGCGGTGTAGCCAGTGATGTCCACACAGACGTAGTCGCCCACATCAAGATGGGCACAAGAAGAGCCGACGGTTGGGTTCCAGTCGTAGAATCTGGCGAGGGGGATGTTGTATTTGTTGGCGATGACAAAGCAGGTATCGCCAGCTTTGACGAGGTCGAACTTGTTGCAAGTGGCGGTCATACCAGTCTGAATGGGGCTGGGGGTAGTGATGCCGTCGGCAGGAGTTGTTGTGACTGGGACCGTGGTGGTAGTAGCGACCTTGGTGGCGCCGGGGATATCGACGCAATAGTAGTATCCGACCAGGAGGTTATTGCAATCTGTAGCACGGGTCAGTGCGAGAGCTTTATCTCAGAGTTTTGTTTGTGCGTTTTTCTACCGACGTGTAAAATTGATAAGAGGAATGTGGCTTACCAGAGGTGAGTGATAGGTTCCAGGCGAGGAATTCGGCCAAGCTGATATCATACTGGCTCTGAATGGCATTGCACGAGTCGCCCTTTACTACTAGGTGGTATCGGTCGTAAGTGGTAGCAGTTCCAGTCTGTTGAGGCCGGTATGGAGCCGAAGATGACGAGGTTGATGCGGCTGACGCCGACGTAGAACTGGTGACCGTAGAAGTGGTCACCGTGGAAGAAGCTGTGGTGGTGGGCCCAGTGGAGGTGACTGTGCCAACTACATAGTAGTCTTGTCCACTCACGAGATCCGGGTAGGGGATACCCGGGTTGATGGACACAAAGGTCTCCGTAGTAAGGCCCTATTCAGCGGCAAAGGAAGAGTAGGTGTCTCCAGAAGCCGCCGGGGTCTTATAGTCACATGTGATGGACGAATGAGGGAGGACTGCCAATCCCCAGATTACCTGTAGCTGAGCGAGGAGGGCGAGACTATTTTTGAAGGTTGTCGGCGCTATCTTGCTTC